GGCCGAGATTGATGAGGCTGGTCCCAATGCTGTTGTTCGCAAACTTATTAAGGACGATGCCCAAGACAAGCTCAACGATCTTGTGCTTGACGACTACGCTGAGGAAATTCTTCGCAAGATTGGTCTCAAGAAGAAGGCTACTCTGGAGCTTATTCGTGGTGAATTGCAACAACCTTATGAGGAGCTTCGACGCAGCTTCTACTTGCTGTCAACGGACGAGGTCTTTACCATGCTGACCGGAGAGACCAAGGAATCGCTGACTGCGGGTATGATCGTGCCTGTTTCGATCAAGCGCACCTTCCCTGATCACATCGATGTCAAGCTGGACTGTGGTATCGACGGAACCGTCAACGAGCAAGACTTCCCTGCTGGTGTCGGCAATGGTGGCGCAGAGCCTCGTCATGTCTGGCAGACCCACCAGACTGTCCAGGCCAAACTCCTTGAAATTGAGCCCAAGCGCTTCACGGCAAAACTTTCGCTCAGAGAAGACGACCTGCGGGAACCTTTCCGTCGCGAGTTCGACCACGAGCCTGGACAATGGGACGAGCGGCAAGAAGCTCAGGACAAGAAGGAGGCCTTGCTCGAGAAGGACGCCAAGACTGGTAGAGCCCAACGTGTTATCAAACACCCTCTTTTCAGACCATTCAACTCGGCCCAGGCCGAAGAATACCTGGGTTCACAAGCACAGGGCGATGTCGTCATCAGACCATCGTCAAAAGGACTCGACCATTTGGCTGTCACATGGAAGGTTTCAGAAAATGTGTTCCAACACATTGATGTGCTGGAGCTTGATAAGGAGAACGAGTTCTCTGTGGGTAGAACTCTCAAGGTTGGCGGCAAATACACATACTCGGATCTTGATGAGTTGATTGTCTTGCACGTCAAGGCAATGGCCAAGAAGGTTGATGAGATCATGACGGACGAGCGCTTCCAGAAAGGCTCAAGAGAAGCGACGAGTAAGTACCATCATATCATCATATACTTCCTGAACCTACTGCCTCTTTGCTAACACAAACCNACAGATGAGTGGCTCAATGCCTACACAGAGGCCAACCCCATCCGCAGCATGTACGCCTTCTGCATCAACCCCAAGTATCCTGGCTACTTCGATCTCTGCTTCAAGGCCGGTGCCTCCGCAAAGGTCGCAGCCTGGCCCGTCAAAGTTATCCCCAACGCTTTCGAGCTCCAGCGTCACCCTTACCCCGATATGCGCGCTTTGAAGAACGGCTTCAAGCTCTTGTTCTCAAAGGCCTCTGGCGTGGCTAAGCGATAGAAGCGTGCTGGAGTTGACATGCTGATGGACGATCCTAATGCGGACAGAGGTACATTGGATTTTGTGCTTGAGAAGAAAGGGACCTTCGAAAGCGTCCTTCGAGCTGCGGAAGGGGGGAGAGGAATGTATCAGGCGAGGAGAAGCGTTTTAGGCAAGGTTCACCAGGGATTGGTATCAAAGCGATTTGGAACGTCTGCCCAAGGAATTGCAAAAGCTTCATGATATGCATGTCAAAGGAGACGCAGCAGCTTGCATCTCTAGCAAGAAAAGAACAAAGAAGGAAAAAGCATAAATTACTAAAGATTAATTGAGCAGCGATAAAAGGTTTATCTTTCAGCATTTCTAGGTTTCGTTCTTGCACGGGTTGTTCTTCAGGAGCTCGTTCATCAGTAGTCGTGCCAGCTCGACAGCTCCGGAGGCTTTGCTATGTGGAGAGTCATGAGACGTTCAGTCGTCTATGTGCGTGCCACCAGCTTGTCATCACAACAGACATGTCTGCTCACTTCACTCCCCTTGCAACCAACAATGAAGAGTCAAATCTCTCTAGCACAAAGTTTATGACAACATGAAGTGATTGTTGAGAAGAATTGATCAAGACACAGATCACCAATCACCAATCACTCGCGAACCCTACAAAAGACATCTTTCACGACGGGTATCGTTCTGCCCCTGCTATCACCAAGACAATTGCTGCCAAAGCGCAGATTCTCAACTGGCTAGACCCCGAACACGGTGGAGATCCAGAGTGCGGAAGTGTATTGTTTTTGATGTAATTGGCAGGGATTCCAAGAAGGATGGTGCAGAGGTCTGTGATCTTATAAGTCTCTCTACATTTCCTGTGACTATGGGGTAGGACATGGTATTGAAACGTTTCAAGATTGCTCGAGAGACTGAAGAGGAGAACAGGAGAATAGAAGACAAGGATAAGGGGTTAGTGACCTGGTGATTTATGTGCCTTTTGGCTGTGGTTGTGGGAAACCAGGGACTTAAACCCGAAAGACTCTCCACCATATCTTGGGAGGGTCGCCAGTGTTGCTTCTCTACCGAGGTCTGGTTCCTGCAGATTCTCTTGGATAGATAAGTTCTAGAAGATGAAGGTGCGCTCTTTATACCAGTCGAGGTGAATGCTCCTTCCCTGCGATCACTGTTTGAAGTGAAAAAATTGTATAGATTTCCATGACCAGAAAAACATGAGAGTTGATTATGTTCACAGGCTCAAAAGTTTCACTGGATCTACTATAAAACCACGTCTACCAGCGTTCAAGGGGATCACATCTTGAACTCTCAGGATGATGTTCTCAGTGAGAATCCTTGCTAGCCGCAGAAGATTGCGCCCAAAGATCCAGGATTTGCACTCTTGATGGTCGATGAATAGTACAAGGGCACGAAGGAAACTGCATGGGTCTGTGACTTTGTAACCTTCCTACACTTCTTCGGTACTTAGGGTAGTCGGAAGTATCGAACGATATCAAGATCGCTATAGAGAGTGAAGAGGAGAGTGGGAGCAAGCCCGACGAGTCAGTGACCTGGTGATTTATGTTGCCCTGGCTGTGGTTGCCCAGAAGCAGCGACTCGAGACCACAGACTGGAGTCTTGTCACCAAGACCAGGGCAGAAATCTGCTGGTATAATTTGTATGAGGCATTGTGTTTAGTTCCTGCATTTGACGAGCTCGGTTGTTATATATACTAATTTCATGTCGTAAACCTACATGGATAATGGTAAAACCACGAAACTTCACCTCGCAATTATAAGGTTGCTATATCGAAAGCTCTCCAACTATCTAAGCATCTTCTTTTGACAAATATCCAATAGCTCACTCATTCGACATGTAGTATCTCACATCTTCCTCGAAAAAGTGCTTCACTGCCTTTTTTTTAACGTGATCGGTCCTATTATCTGGTCGACCCTCGGCATCCTTAGATTCGTTGCATCGCTCATCGGTTTGGGCGGTCTAAGTCCCATTGGTGGTGAGCGCTTCTTGGATCTTTTAAAAAAAAAAAGTGCCTTACTGCCTTTGGAAGGTCCATAAGGTCTGTGACCTTGCAGCCCCTTGTACGTTCCTTTGACTCAGGGTAGTGTAGAGTATCGAATGATATCAAGATCGCTGCTGAGACAGAAGAGGAGAGGAGAGCTGGAGCAAGATTGAAGAGTTGGTGACCTGGTGAGTTGTGTGACTCTGGTTATGGTTGTGCAAACACCAAGTCTTTTCCGTTGTCAACGTGGGACAGCCGAGCCACCAGGAGCTATTGAGGCTATAGTGAGGTTGGAAGCAACAGTATCTGGATGGCCAGCTCGAAGAAGCCACTGGCAGAGCAATGAGGGTGTGGTTGAGCAGCTGAGCAATCTATAGAACGTGTGCTCGATCGAATGTTTGTTTGTTTCCAGCATCACCCCACTTCGTATCGTACATAGTATCTGTATGTGCTTTTCACTCGACGAATGTAGTGAAAAGAGCGATGGAATCTTCAAATCAACGAAGCGATCTACCATAAATAATCTGTGCTTAGCCTTTGTGTAGTCTTTACACAGCGCCGACTAATATATCCCTATTGCACACGTATTGCGCCTGCTTTAGCCCCAGGGTCCACACTAAGAGTCGCGGCACCTTCGTATAGTAGACATTGGAGATTGGTAGATAGTGTGGCGGCCGTACAACCGGCCATTTGACATAGTGTCAAACACTCTGCCATATCTGCGACGTATATCGCAGTGATTTCATAAGTGCCCCTAGCGTAGTAATAGCCGCAATAGAGATCATACGAGCCAGATGAGCCTTCCCATAATGCACCATAAGGTTGGGTTCCACAAGGTGTCCCTGTGTATACTGGCGTAAGTGCCGTGGCTGTAGATGTGGCTAGTTCGGTAGCTATGACCGCCTCGGTCTCGTATGCAGTTGTCGTCGTGACTGTGGTAGCGACGGTCTCAATCGAGGTCATCGTCATGGTTTCAGCAATGATCTGCGTCGCGGGGAGTTTCGCTGCTCTGCTGCATCCTGAACTGATGGCACCCTCGGGGTAGGCGGCTAGAGCAGCCGGAGTTGCCACTGAACGTTTATCCATGATCTGATTCGAAGTCACGGTTACGGTTCCGACGACGTCGGTCTCGGTGGACACCAAGGTGGTTTTCGAAGTCGTGCTTATTGTAAAGTTATTCGTTTCGGTCATGGTTGCAAATGCAGTCACAGTCATTGTGGCTGACGGGATGGTATAATCGAGGTAAGTTGTGCAGAAAGCTTCGAGGCTTTCTGAAGTGATGATGTCGTATGCATCAATAGTCGAAGTTGGAAGCACCGAAGAAGAAATGCTTTGAGTGCTGGTTGAACGCGACGTTGTGCTTGATGAGACCATAGGACTGAGAATGCGACTCGATGGCTTCGATGATATTGAAGAGCTACTGAATGCAGACTTCGATGGCGTATTGTTTTTGATGCTGGAATGTGACACCGAAGAAGTTTTGCTCGATGTTGTCACACTTAGTGAAGGTTTGCTAGAGGAAGCCTTGCTTGTGGATGAAATATTGCTCGATGAGATCTTTGTCGAAGTCTTTGTCCTACTAGATGACACTTTGCTAGAAGTCTTGCTTGCAGTTGCTTTACTTGATGTAGAAAACTTGCTTGAAGAGGGCTTGCTAGAATATGGTTTGATAGTGGAAGTCTTGCTTGAGGAAGTCTTGATAACCGGCTTGCTCTTTGATTTGGTTGAAAAGGTCGACGAAGTTTTCGAACCCGGTCTCTTCGAAGAAGATAATGATGATGACTTGGAGCTTGTTTTCTTGGTCGACGTTGACGCTGGCTTTGTGCTGGATTTCTTTGTGGATGTTGTAGGACTCTGCAAGACGCACTTGCAAGCATGTCTGACGGCCGGCACGTTCAGGTTAGGTATAGGCGAATCTTGTCGCTCGCTTTCACAATCAGTTAGTATGACGGTTGTTAACTTGAAGGTTCGAGACTTACAAAGAGTTGAAGAAGGAACAGAATGCAGAAGAATCCTTGAACTCCTTGTTGATTGGGTTACCAGATGTGCTTGGGCATGTTGCGCTAACGAAGCTTTGGAGGCGTGCTGCTTTGGCAATTGCATCCAGGTTCTTGGCCTTTGTGCCAGCTGGCTCTACACTAGTGATGCAGTTGCAGGCAGTCAACAAAGCATTGGTGTTGATGTTCTGGAGAGGTGATCAGGTCCTTCCACTATTTTGAAATTAGTCGACAGTTGTGTAGACTGAAGTCATGCCACGTACTCGCTCAGGTACCAAGCACAAAAGTAGTGAGGGTTGGTCACTTGCTGTGCTACAGCGACAACGTCAGATGAAACGCATGATCTCTGCTCTATGGCTAGAGAATGCACAGAGACAAAGAAGGAGAAGATGGCCAACAACTGCATGGCTAGAGAACTGGTGGCTGTAGCGATTGCAATCCAGTCTACACGGAACTCATTCGAGGTCTTATAGAGGTACTAAAATACGGAAAGTATTGTGATCGGACATGTCCGACTCATTGAACTGATCTATCGAAGCGTTGTTCAGCTGAGCTCTTACTGCAGCCGATATCTTCTTCGGCTCAGACATGTACTATCGTGTTTCCAGAAGACATTTTTTCAACAGTTCTGCATTATTCGGAGATTCGAAATGCAGAAGAGAGCTGTGGAGATGATGGCTGAGACGTAGTAGTTTGAGATCACAACGGTCGTTGAGAAGTCGATGTGGTTTCCTGGTAATCAGCCAGTCCATGTGTTTAGACTGAAAGCACGAAGTGCTCCTGTCCAGTCCTTGTGCTCTGCCTTGATACGATGAATCGAGCTGAAGAAGTTATGGTTTACAATCTGAAAATGATGAACCGATACCCTGTTTTCAAATAGAAGTCTTATAATTTGTAGAAAGGAGCCTCGATTGGGGGAGTTCTTTCCTTGCGAATTGCAGCCGCGTGGGCTTCAGCTTGACCGTTTCTTGCTACAACGTGGAAGGATCTGAAGAACCGTCTAGTGTATGTCTTGTCTTCTTGAGCTGACCATTAACGGCATTAGGACCAGCTGCGATGTGGACACTCTGGGAAACGGAGTTGCATTCGTGGTAGCTCATAAAGATTGGCATGATCTGGACAGTAATGCTTGTTGGAGCGAGTGACTTGGCAGTCAGAGCATGCTGAAAGACTTTAACGTCTTATCTCGACTACTTTCCACCAACATGCAAACGTGCGTCTCATTCATATATCTCGTGAGAATAACAATAGTATTTCTCTTCGCCAGGTTCCAGGACAAGAAGCATCGGACTGGACAAGCTACTGTATCTGGCCAATTTATATGACTGGCCAAAAGTCATGGTTAGATACTATGACGCACAGCACCTGGCGAGCAACACCTCGGCCTTGAGGATAGCAAGGAGAATAACCTTCAATCTACCCCGCTTACATCTTCGAGCTCAAATAACGCGTCTTCGCTGAACAATCGAAACAGCACAATCACGTTACATCAATCTAGCAATCATGGTTTCCGGAAGCTGTCTCTGTGGTAAGGTGGGCATCGAATACAGCGGTGAGCCTGCATTGAAGGTATGATCAATCATCAATACACGATACTATAGGAGCTGATATGAATTGTCAATANNGGCACTCTGCCACTGCACCGACTGTCAGAAGATCAGCGGTAGCGCTTATAGCGTCAACAATGTCGTCTCTGGTGATGGATTCAAGGTCACGGGCAGCCCCAAGAGCTTTACCAAGACAGCCGATAGCGGCAAGAAGATCACCTCTTACTTCTGCGGCGACTGTGGATCTACTCTGTACCGCGATGGCGATAACTTCCCCGGTATGAAGATTGTCAAGGCTGGTACTTTGGATGGGGATGCCTTGAACCAGAGCAAGCCCAACGTCGAGTTGTTTGCTCCTACGAGGCCCAAGTGGATCTCTGCGCTTGATGGCGCCGAGCAGAAGGATACCATGTAGGACGATTTAGAGATGATATGAGGGTTGGAATCTTTTTGGAAGAGCTGCATAGCTCTGTTATTGGATTATTTGGATGACTGCCTGTAGTCAGTATGAGAAAGACACAATCTACTTGGACTTCCTACTTTGTGTGTTTCTATAGTCGTGTCATTGGATTCGGAAATTTCGTCTTTTTTTCGTGGACTCGTTATGTGTACGGGCGGATGCTGGTATTCTTCCTAGTCTGTTGACGATGGTGGATCCAGCCCTGTGGTGGGTCTTTGGAGCGACTCTCAGATCGTCTCTCTACTCGGATCCAGAGTCCTCGGCCTCTCGGACAGTGTCTTTCAGAGCNNCTTTTGCGCTGTCAGTGAGTGTTCTACGATGTGATAGGATGGGAGTATTTACGTCTTTTAGTTTTTGCTTGAGCTCATCAAGCTTCTTGGTGTTGATCAAGCAAGTTTCGTCATCGATATCTTCAGAGATGTAGAGGCCGCCATTTTCTTCGTTGATTTTGCTGATGATGGCTTTGATAGAGGGGTCGCATTGGACCAGGGTGCCTGAGCATGGAGCTTGGTCAGGAGATGTTACGGACGGTGACTGCGGTGCTTGATGCGCAAAGAGATGGAAGCTTACCAGCGGTAGCACGAGGCATTATGGTGAGTCAAGATATGGTGAGGCAGAAGAGTTGATGAGAAGTTGGATATGGTGATGTTGTGAATGACTGGAAAAGGATGGAACCTTGATGGATTTTTGATTGACGTGCCCGTGGGAGGCTGCGGCTCGGCGGCGGTCGAAATGGAAAGCTCGACATGTGGAAGCGTTCAAGCGTCTCCCTTCGTCCTTGCAACACTCAAGTCGCCTCGACTCTGTCTGCGCCTCATCATGTCGCCTGCCTTTCTCCTATATTCGTGATTCACCATCTCGGACATTTCCTCACTCATACAGCAACTCGTTCTGAGCATTGTTTCGCAGGCCATCCTAGGAACCCGCGAGACTTTTCGTCCTCGAGCCCTCGGATTCCGGGCTATCCGCGCTGCACTACTTGACCCGTCGCCTGCTCCGGGTACCTGTAATTGTGAGACTACTATTTCATGACCTTCATCGACCATCTGCCGTAACGGCTCGACGCTATAAGACATCTCCCATCACCGTCATGGCTCCTGCTCCTCTGAGCTCGAATCCAGCCTCCCCAGTCCCATCAGTCGCTTCAATCGCTCCTGCGCATACTGTTGTCTATACTTCGAGGCATTCGACACGAGACAATGGCGGTCAAAGCTTCGGAGAGCTCTACCACAACTACTTTGTCTTCGTCGCCATTGCTATCGCCATTGCCCTTCTCGTAGCCTGTGCCTTCTACCGCCGGAAAAAGCGCATCATCCACCAAGCCAATCTCTCACGTCAGATTGCTTTGACCCGCGACATTCAAGATCAAGGCATACGCGCCAATAGAGGCTGGGGCTGGGGTGCTTTGTCACGCGACTATGCAAGTGGTCCTACTCCTCATGGTCAGCCGCTTGCCGTACGAGGTGCAACCGCCCGCAGGAGAGAAGAGGAGGGTTTGAATGATGCAGGCGAGGCTCCTCCTGCCTACAAGGCTGCTCCAGGTTACAACGACACTGTACTAGAGACTGCTCGCCCAGCTTCTACCACCAACCTCGCCACTCCAACCTTCCCTCGTCCAGCCTTGGCCAGAGAAAATACCGGTCTCAAGCCTCCCGACTATACTGAGACTGCTTTTTCTCCTATCAGTCCTGGAAGGGGTTCCTCCAATACTACTGTTCCGACTTTTACTGCCACGAATACACATACCAATGCAGGATCTGAGCATCTTCCAACATACAACGACACGCATGACCGCAGATAGATTCTGCTACGACGATACATTCTGTTTTATCATACTTCGCCCATTCCTTTTCTGTTGGTAGCATAGCAAGGCGTTGGGTGTTCAGGATATGGGTTTGAGGACACGACAATGCATGGCGCTGAGATAATCTATTCTTATACCCAAGGGCACTTCCGCTCATCCTTCTTCCATAGCCAATCGTCAAATATGGCATTCACAACCTCGATTCATGTCTTTCCGAAATCACTGCCCCAGACACGGAAGCGGCCCTGCTCTTCCGCCCTTTGCGGGTGTTGTGGAGCAACCCCCGGATGTCTTCCTTGGCACGAGATGGGTCATCATCTTGCCCTACCTAGATCTTGTGACTCTTTTCTCCTTATCGTGAAACCAAACATGTCGAATACAGAGTTTACTCCAGAGCATCTTAGAGAGATCTATGACTTTGCGGTGCAATTGGCCAAAGATGCCGGACGCATGTTGATGGATGGTGTGGAGGCCAGATGCGGCAACGACGGTACTGCTGGGGTACAGCAGGAACAGATTGAGAAGGACAGTTCGGTGGATATTGTTACACAGACTGATGAAGGTTTGTTTCTCGCTTCTACTTATCGTTTTTGACATTCCTCGATGGTTCTACACGTATCTGCATTAGGGGAATGCGAGACATAACCAAGAGGAGATGAATCATGCTATCTAGAGTATTGGCTAACTGAACATCACACAGATGTCGAGGCCTTTGTCAAAGAACAGATCACGAAGAGATATCCCAGCCATGCGTGAGTCCAGCGTCCATCCTTGGAATCTACTCGGACATCTTACTAACCACATCCTCTCACAGCNTTCATCGGCGAGGAAACATACTCCAAAGGCGCCTCAAAAGACTACCTCATAACCTCCGCACCAACCTGGTGCGTCGACCCTCTAGACGGCACAGTGAACTACACACACCTCTTTCCCATGTTCTGCGTCTCCATCGCCTTTATCCTCGACCACAAACCCACCATCGGAGTCATCTACGCACCTTTTCTAAACCAAATCTTTTCCGCTTGTTCAGGCCAAGGAGCTTGGCTGAACGAAACTAGAAAATTGCCTTTGGTGCGCAATCCAGTGCCGCCTATGCCTGAGCAGGCACCCAAAGGATGTGTGTTTAGCTGTGAGTGGGGGAAGGATAGACGTGATGTGCAGGATGGCAATTTGTACAGGAAGATTGAGAGNTTTTTGAATATGGCAGGAGAGATTGGAGGAAGAGGAGGAAAAGGTGGTATGGTGCATGGAGTGAGGAGTCTTGGAAGGTATGTTCTCCTATCATTTTTCCTGTTCTCTACCTTCCTCATTCTTCGGAGAAAATTGCTCACAGTGCAAAACAGTGCAACTCTCGATCTTGCTTACGTAGCCATGGGATCATTCGACATCTGGTGGGAAGGTGGATGTTGGGAATGGGATGTAGCAGCAGGCATCTGTTTGCTACAAGAAGCAGGTGGTTTGGTCACTACTGCGAACCCTCCTGCAGACCCTGCTACAGCTGCAATTGAGGATGTTAGGTTGGGCAGTAGACTGTATCTTGCCATCAGACCTGCTGGACCTTCGGCAACAGAGACTGGAAGGCAAAGTCAGGAAAGAGTGGTTAGAGAGGTCTGGAAGAGAGTCAGGCATTTGGAGTACTCGAGACCTGGTGCATAGAGGTGGCAATGTGACAGGGCTGCTATGACATATATATAAACGCAACACTAGTGGTTGCCTCAAGACAAGACAAGTCCTAATCACTTGCAATCATGTTGCCTTCTCCTCCATTTTACCTTACAGAGATTCATTATCGCACAACTCGCCGACTTCGCACGAATTACATCTTCTATCCATCATACGTGCGTATACCCAATCTCAAATCACACCGCAGCTCCACGCGTACGCATACCACCACCACTTATAGCAGATCAAGATGCCGAGTCTTCCGGACGAATAGAGTGCAAGAATAAGGCTCGGGGTTGGCAAAAGCTTGGAAGCGATAAAGGATGAGGGGAAAGGGAAAATGACGACAACGATTTTGATTGTCCCCCTCGCGGGGTTTTGTTTCTCCTCAGCGTGTTGTTTTCGCTGCATGCACACCTAGTTTGACAGGTAACCTTGTAGCTTTTTCTCGACATCATGCCTCGTTTGCTTGAGATTATGGCGGCTGGCGATTGATTGTGATACATGAGGCTAGAGGTCTTGTGTTTGACGACTTGGGTCGGTCGGATTAAGGTGCTCTTTGCCTTGAGCCTTCAATTGGGTTTAATGAGTTTCACATCCCAGCCTCGTTACTAGTGCGAAGGTTTCAATTGGATTCATCGATTCTTCTTCGAGAACACCTTCCGAAAGTTGTCAGCAAAGATCAAGGTGCGGCTTATACCGCCACCATCAAGATGATCAACATCGGGTTAAACCTCCGCTTCGAGCATCTACTCGAGTAGGGTAGTTGACTTTGACCTTGTCTTCGGCAGTTTGGCGCAACCAATCGAAACAGTGGCAACATGGTGCAAGAACTTCGATCTATCACGCTTGCCCATTATAGCCGATGTTAGTCGCGCTCTAAGGCATAGCTTTCATAACCTTTTCAGACCGTTACGCAGAGATCACCGTCATGACGACCTATCCACTACTTTTCCATTATGTGTAGCCGAGAGCCGTGGGGTATGCTTGTGCTACTGATATATAAGGTAGGATAGGGTACCTTGAACTTGAGGCAAAAGTTTCAACTCCCCTCAACTTTACGCCCACCATGAGGACAGGCGTTTCTCTTCTTGCGGCCACAGGTCTGCTGGGCTCTGTGTTTGCTGCTCCTGCTCCTGCACCAAACCGTGTCAAGCCTCGACAGAAATCTGCAGTTCAATTCCTTGACAACACAAACAATCCCACCGCCACTCCTTTTGGACCTGCTGGTGCTTCTGGCTCGCTCAGAGGTGGATCTGAACTCTTGGGCGTTAATCCTACCAATGTCATCAAGTCTTACAACCCTGGTGTTGTGCCGTCAAGTGCCTATAGTGTAGGTCCGCTACAGACTGCAGATGCGGATACTGGATTCTACCTTGATCTGAGTCAGATTGAGAACCCGCAGCCTATCCGTGGTGAAGGAGGAAAATCACCTACAGACCCTGGGCCAAGGAATGAGATGATTGAGAAGCAGAACCCGGACCTGTATGCTCCTCCAGTAAGTTTCGTCAACCACTTCCACTGCGACCTTCTCTGACCAGTGAACCTATAGGGTACCGATGCCGGCGATGTCTCGAACGCTAAATGGCCCCTTGGTCTTTCTCACAACAGACATGGAAAGAACGGCGCAGGATGGGCAAGACAGCAGAATGTCGATATTCTTCCCGTGGCCAAGAACATGGCTGGTGTGGATATGCACCTTGAGCCTTACGCATACAGAGAACTGCATTGGTGAGTTATGCTATCCTCATCTCTGTATATACATTCAGCTGACAGGTTCTCAGGNCACCAAGCCAACGAGTGGTCATACATTCTGAACGGCTCAGTCCGCATCAACGCCGTCAACGAAGCCGGCGAGACCTTCACCGACGACCTATCCCAAGGCGACGTCTGGTTCTTCCCTGCCGGAGTGCCTCACAGCATCCAAGCCGGCCCCACCGGCGTCGAATTCCTGCTCGTGTTCGACGAAGGAAGTTTCAGCGAAGACAACACCTTCCTCGTCTCCGAGCTCTTCGCCCGAAACCCCAAATCCGTGTTGGCCAAGGACTTGCGCGTCGATCTCTCAGCTTTGGACAATATTCCCCAAGACCAGTTGTATATTTTCAATGGCTCGGCTTATCCAGCTAATGTCTCTGATCCTTTGAACAATGTTACTGGTCCTGCAGGCAACATCCCCAACTCTAAAGGCTACTCTTACCACTTTTCTGAACAAGCACCTTACGAAGTCCCCGGTGGCAGTGTCAAGATTCTCGACACGCAGACTTTCCCAGCAGCTTTTGATTTCGCCGTCGGTCTGTTCACAATCAAGCCCGGCGCCATGCGCGAACTGCACTGGCACACCACTTCCGACGAATGGGACTTTATCCTCTCAGGCCAAGGCCGTCTGACTCTCTTCCAAGCACCCCAAGCCTCTCGCACATTCGACTTCCAAGCTGGCGATGTAGGCTATGTGCCTGTAGTCACTGCACACTACCTCGAAAACACTGGCACAGAAGACTTGATCTACATTGAAGTGTTGCAAGCGCCCATCTACAACGATATCAGTGTTGCACAGTGGTTGGGCTTGACGCCTAAACAGGTCGTCAAGGAACATCTTGGGTTCAGCGATGATACGCTTAATCGTCTGCCTAAGATCAAGCCGTTTATCTTGCCTGGAAGTACGGATTTGGGGGCGACGAACTTCACCTCTGAGGTTGAGTAAGAGTAAAGACGTACATTGCGGCAAAAGTATGAATGATGTTAAAGGCTTCATAGATGATTGGATGGATCTGGAAGATATTACTGTAGATGAAATGTTATGAAATGAATGAGTTTTATCCAGTCTTGTTTATCAAAATACGCTATGCATCAAACTGCATGGTTCATCTTCAGTCTGTGTGATGGATAACTTCTCCACCACAGCGTTACCCAGCACATTGCCACATCTGTCACTAGCCTTAGGGCAGCACGAGTCTTTAGGACGTGAACGTACCCCAATCCGTTATGGCTATGGCTGTAGAGGGCAAACAGATGCACACAGGTCCGCACCCCTGTACTCCTGAGTCTTCATCTCCACGAACAGTGAGAATGCTATTGCGGTACTTGTGCATCACATCAGCAAAGAACAGCTAGTCAGACAGATTTGGACAGAAAAGAAGAAATTTCTGCTATTGCTGCGCAGACCTGATGACTTACTCCATCTGCTGGACGGGGTATGCTTCAAGAAGCACCATGTCAAGGGATTTGATGTTAGCGCATCTACGCTACTTGTGACGAATGCGACATTAAGCCGCTAATGATTAGAAATTGATGAGCTGTCAATCCCACCAGTCTTGTTCTCGCATCAAAAGAGTAGAAGAGTAAGTATCACAACAAGTCTAACCACTCTCTTTTCAGATGATCCGGACAAGGAGCATACACATGGTCAACGACACAGACGAGGAACAGACGTTGGTAGATGACACGGACGAGGAGGAATTGCAAGCTAATAGCATGGATGAAGAGGAGATACTGGCTGATGATGTTGTCGATGACGATGATAAAGCCGACAATCTTGCAAATGACCACACATCAGCAGACGAGGAACCTACTATAAAAGCAATCAGGAAGACTGCTCGCTCTAGCCGGAAGTATTAGCCACTCTTCTGGAAACCTGCAAGGCAAACACCAACGCAAATATCCACCTGCGGATCTTGCAGTGGTTGATGCAACTGTCGTCGCCGAAGACGAATATGGTGGAACAGAGGCAGGCACACAGGTCCACACCCCTATACCCCCCTCTTCTCATCTCCGCAAACATTGAGAGTGCTATTGCAGTACTTATGCATCACATCAGCAAAGAACAACTCGCACATGTTTCTGATACAGGAAAAGAAGTCATTGATGCAATTGCTGCCAGACCTGATGATTGGATAGATCTGCTATATACTTCTTTGGGCGTAGCAACCCTGTCGTCACCATCCAGAACAAGGTACTTAGGCCCATTGGACCGCCTTATCGTTAGCGTGGTCAAGGCACCGCTTCCAGCCAGATTCCAGAACTCTAGCTTAAGGCGTATTAAGCCTGGAAGGCGGTACCGGATGCTGTGGCTTAAAAAGCCGACGAATTGGTGTTCAGGGCCGGGTTTGACTAGACCAATATGCCTTGTAGCATGCTGTAGAGCAGACTGACTGATGAGTTGGATCCTGCTGGGTTTCTGGAAGTATGCTGAGGAAGCGCTAGCAGTAGATGGATTTGTGGCCTCAACCAATGGCGAGTGACTATTAAATAGGACTCAGAAAGAGAAATGAGCAAAGGATAGTGTGCACATAAAGGTAAAATATCGTGATACAAAACAGGCCGATGCCTTACGCCTTACTATCTGGGAAGCCCTAACACCCCTTCCAACCACATCCTCGTCTACAACTCCAAACCTCCCTTCAAAACACCCTTCCACTGAAACTCCAGAACAGCCAACCAAACCACCTACTCAAATCCACCTCCAACTCTACCCAAAGCACCAAGGGCACCACCAGCCTTGCGTCTCAACCCAGCAATCTTCCTAACATTCTCTTCCCTCCTCTTGGCCGCCTTCTGCACAATTTCCTGTCTCTCCGCCTCTCTAGCTTGGTAATTGATACTGCTCTTCTTAGACCCTCCGTTTCTAATTCCACTACTGCTTTCCCTGGTCAAAGCAGGAGGGGCTCTATTCTCAGTGAACGAGGTATTGTTGACAGTAGCTTTTCGGAGCAGAGAAGCTGGTTTGAAAGAAATGCTGCCTCTGGATTGTTGGGAGAGGGAAGTGAATGCGAGGTTGGAGTCGGAGGAGGTTTCGGCGATAGTGGAAGAGGCTTGTTTCTTGAGGGTCAGGCGGTCGATGATGGAGTCTTTCGCGGGGACTCTGCGGGCTGAGGCGGGAGCTCTGGGTTCTGAGGATATGGCGCGGACTTCTCTTTCTTCGTCTGAAGACAGCAAGATCTCGGAAGCCAGTTCTTCGTTGGATGGGTCATCAATAAGGAAGGACAGCGAGTCGCGGACTTCGGCCAAGGACTTGGGCTTGCGGAATGTGTCACTAAGGCCAGAGCGGCGGAGAGAAGACGCTGCAACAGACTTCTTCTTCTGCAAAGGCTGCTCTTGTTGCGATGACTGGCTGAGGTCCAGAGCATCAGCTGGTCGTTTCAAGGCGTTGGGTTGTTCTTCGTTGCCTGCTTGGGAAGCAGTAGGTTGAGATGCAGAAGGTTGTTGTTGTGAGTCGACCATCTCAGCATCGTCATCTACATCAAGGCCATCCAGGAAGTCAACATCGCCGGCTTCATCTCTGTCTTCAATGGCGCGGAGGAAGGCTTCTTTCTTGTCGTTGCTACCAAGCTTGCCCAGCGTCTCGTCTTGAAGCAAAAGTTTACGCTTGCGAGCTTCTTCGCGTTGTCTGCGGCGTCTTCTTTCGACCAATTGATCATCTTCGTCCGAGTCAAGTTCGAAAGCATTGTTGCCACGCTTGCGTCGGAGAGCACCAGACATGAGGTCCTTGTACAGCTTGCTTGTTTGAGCCTCATCTTGCACGCGCGACTTCTCAGCGTAGAGAGCTGCTAGTTGGCGCTCATCGACCTTGACATCAGTCTCATCGATCATTTGCTTGTCGTCTTCGTCACCAGAGCCTGCATCTTCATCGTCACTGGCACCTCCAAGACCGCGGTATTCATCTTCAGATTCCTCGGCTTGTTCGTCAACCATTCCCTTGGCATTACTCTTCTGCTTGTCAAAGTCAGGTTGGGCGGGTTTCTTCGCTGCTTGACGCATGACGCTGAAGGCATCTGATTGTTTTTCGGCAGCAACAGGCGCTGAAGATGGCACTGCTTCTTCGTCCTCCTGCTGGTCAATCTCAGATCGCCTGACCAGACGACCACGACGCTGGACGATGGGAGATTCTGGCACACCGAGCATGACGGTCTCGACGGTAGACGAAGGAGCACGGAGTCGGTCAGCGAGTGGAATAAGGTTAGGATCGAAGCCAACATCCTGAGATGGATCTGGAATCTGAGAGAACTGTGACATTCGTTGGACTGCGGGCGAGTCGGCAGAGGGTGGAGGGAATTGTAGATCCATCTGCTGAGTAGGCTCATTTGCCTGACCCTGAGTCGCATCAGCTTGACTGTCGGCCACAGCATCCTGGGAATCCTNCAAAAAGAGAGGTAGTGAAGGCATTGGTGCAGAAGGAGGAATGTTACGAAGCATCTCAAGAGAATCCTGGTCCTGTGAGATCATGCCTGAGGCTTGAGTGTCGTCCATGGTTCCCGCGAACATTTGTGACATGCCCATAGGAGCAGAGGGTGCTTGTCCGAAGCCGAAAGCAGCAGCAAGTTCGTCGTTGATGCCTTCACCTGATGTCTGCTGAGTGATCGGTTCATCCTCGTCCTCATCATCCTCGATGACATGTTTCCTGCGTGCTCTTCTTGATTTGGGCAATTGAGGTCCATCGTCTTCGGGCGTCTCATCTTCGGCCTGTTCCTCAATCTCTTCAGGGTCATCCTGATCTTCTTCGCCGGCCTCGGCATCGATCATGTCGTGGTCAACAGTATCCTCCTCCTCGGAACCCGAGAGCTCAATGTCTTCTTCCTCTACTTCATCCTCCTCTTCTGCTGGAGCTTTTCCTTCTTCGTCACTGCCAACGTAATCCTCATCCTCACTCTCATCAGAGCTGAGAGCAACATCTTCTCCATTGGCTTTGGCAGTGGCTTTTTCTTGCTTGCGTAACTTCTCGGCTTCGTCTCTTGCCTTGCCTAGCATGTCCTCAATCTGCATTTGCTCTCTCTCGCGCTCTTCCTCGGTCAAGATGACAATACCCTTGGCACGCAACTCAGCAAGTCTAGCAGCACGTTCCTGATTTGCGATCTCGCGAGCACGTTTACGGAGTTGCATCTCAAGTTGTTGAGGTGAGATAGACGGCTTCTGTCCTTTCTTGCTACGAATCCTGTCGCCGTTGCCAGTGAGTTGAGCAAGATGTCGAAGCATCAACATGGTTCTGCCCTCGGGAGTTTGCGTCTTGGGGACTTGGTTGAACATAGCAAGGGGATCGTGTACGATTTCAAGATCATCGTCTTCATCATCAACCTTAGATTTGTTGAGTTTGTTGTGGGTAGGAATCTTGACGCGGACCTTGCGAATTGGGATCGACTTCTGGTCAGTGGAAGGTTTGGGCATAGGAGCCTTGCCCTTGTCGACTTTCTTCTTAGGTTGACTTAGAATTTCTTGGAGGGTCGGCAACTCTTCATCAGATTCTTCGACGGTTGCCGTATCCATCACAGAGTGCTCGGGAATACTCTTCAGAGAATTGTCCATGCTCGGAGGACTCGATGGTGGTGTATCGCGGTCTTTGTGCGCACCAGTTTCCGAGAAAGGTTCTGGTGGGGGAGACGAAGATGTGACATCCGCAGCGTTTGTGACATTTGCGAGGCCAGAAGAAGTCTTGGGACGGTTGAAGGCAGACAGGAAGTCTTGTGGTGTGAATCGCTTCTTGACCTTTGCTTGATGTGTCAATTGCATGTTTCTCTTGATTCTCTGTGTCTCCCTGTTCATCTCTTCCAAAGCCTTCTTACTAGCTTTGCGTGTGGGTCTTGCGGATTGTGTGAGTCTTCGTTCCGTGGCTTCATCTCTGGTATCCTCGTCGTTGAACATGTCCGATAGAGGAGCTTGGCCGGCAGTAGCACGTTCCTCCTCTGCTTCTTTCTCTGCTTGCTCTCTTGCCAATCTTTCAGCACGACGACGGTTGACAAGATCGCGAAGTCGAGAAGGTGCCGATGGGTCTGCAGGAAGGTCCGAGTCCGAGTCGCCTGAGTGGTTCGAATTGTCGTCAAGGGATCGTCTCTGCTCGGGAGCTGGCGACATGAACAAGCCAGGACTCTCTGATCTAGTAGAAGCTGCTGGAGTAGAAGCTCGATGTACGAGTCTCTTGCGAGGAGGGCTGAGCTGGGGTGTTTCTGCGCGAGCCGTCTCAATCGAGTGTGTAGCTTTGATGGGAGATCTGTCGGCAGAGGGAGCCTTCTTCGAAACCATAAGGTCTCTTCTGATCTTTTGGTACACATCTTCATCTTCTGAAGACGACTCTTCCTGAATTGGAGGAGCTGCTCCTCCCATTCTAGCTGCCAATTTGCCTCTCGGCTTGAACACAGGTTCATCCTCCTCTGCGCTCTGCTCATCCTCTTGATTATTTGACGCGTTAAGGTTACGCGTCATGCTTGCTGATTGTGTTGTAGAGGTTGACTTTGTTGTAGGTCTGACAGGAACGCCGGCGTCATCTTCAGACTCTTCGTCGAAAGCAGCCATAAGCTTTCTCATCCTGGTTCCTGGTGATTCGAGGGCCATTGATACGATAGAAGAGCTATCATCTGCTGGTGTCGAAGCGCGACTCGAGCGCGTTGAACGCGCCGGAGAAGACATTGTGATTGAATAGAGTATGTTATTGAGGATGTAAAGACGTATGGTAATTGCTGATGGTTGAGAGACGCGAAACAATATGAATGAAGGCGTAGTTTAGCGAGGTGTGGAAAAGCGGTATGGTAGAGATGGTAGACAATAGACAGGATGATGCTCCGAATTGAAATTCCGCGCGATAGACAGACCAAGGGACGCGTTCGCGACAGCCAAGCCTTTTGATTGGCTTCCCAGCCTCCTCTGACAGCTACTCGTGCCAATGTCGACCACATTCATCATCGCATGAATGATAAATTGCAGAAACTTGTGTCACGAGCTTGTTTGACAGACGACAAGATATGCCTTTCGTTCTAGTTCGATCATACTCCTTAGCTGAAAAATGGGAATATGAACATTTATTTCGTGACAAGAAAACGTGCCAAAAAAATGCTACATCAATGCACGCTTCTAACAAAAGGACAACAAACATAGACATGAGAGAGAAAAAACAATGACCACACGCGCGCCTATCCTGTCATCCCACTTCTACCCAGGCATATCGTGTCAAGATCAACCCTCCCGTACGCGCAAATAAGAAAAGAAAAAAAGGTAGAGACCCGACCCAGAGCAATACATGAGAAAAATAAAAATGCTTTTTGGAGTGTTGGCCAAATCATCCAGAGGCTTCACTCCTTGTCTTTATCCTTGTCCTTTTGCTCGTTCTTTCGTCGTAAGCCGGTGAGGCCGGGTATAAAGTCTTTGAGTCGTCGTTCTCTTTCTTCGCGCTTGGCTTTTTCCTTCTTCTCCTTTTCGCGCTCTCGTCTCTCGCGTTCGCGCGCAAGACTGGGCAATGCAGTCGTGGTGTCTGTTTCGCTACTGACCACACTGCCACTGACACTACCGTCGCGAGGTCGTTCTGTAGACTTGCGCTCGCGGTCCCGTTGAGGGAAGTGTAGGTTCAGGCTTGCAGAGGTGAGGTCGCGTGGAAGTGCTGAATTGCCTTCACGCATGAATCCAGCGCCGATATTGTTGCTGTATGAGCCAGATGCCGAGACCGAGGCGGTCGATGTCCCTGGTCTCGCTACATCAAAGCTAGTTTTGTCGAAGTGGCGGTTGTTGTCGTGGCTCAGAATACTCACAGCTGCTGTTTGAGCACCGCCGTCGCGATCTTCTTCCCAAGATGGTGGTGGATGGCCTTCGGTATCTGCGCTGTAGCGACCAAGTCCGACTCCTCCAGCGCTGTACCCCCGGCCTCTTGCCGAATCGAGCTGAGCAGCCTGGCTCACGTCATCGAAGGAGTCGCGAGTTGATACGTCGAGCGCATCATCAATACGAGCGCCATTGTCCAGCAGTGATGTAGTTTGCAACTGGTCGATAAGCTCCTCCCAGCGGAAGCTGAGCGCAGAGTTAGGGCGCTCGGCGCGCTCGGCACGAGACAGACACTCCTTTGTCTGGGCATCGAGGGTTTTGCAAAGTTTGTGGAATGTCAAGAGATCGCCATCTTCTTTACCAATCTGTCCTGCTAACAATTCTGCTTCACTTCCGTTGGTCGTACCATGTAGCCAGAGTTCAACCAGGCTTGCGATCTCACGACTTTGGTCAATGAGGTATGGCAGGCTGGGGAATCCTTCCCGGCTGGTCATCGGAAGTCGGGATTGGATAGCCAGAGGAGTTGAGTATGAGGTCGGCTTCTGGCCGATCATGCCGTCTGGAGCAGAGATTGAACAGATATCGTTGATGAAAGTCTTGAAAGCTTCCCGATGGTCTGTGAGGAAGGCATTCATAGGTTCCATCCAGTGTTCCTTGCTACCAAACGAAGCCATGTTTGCAAGGCCTTGTAGTGACTTTGCAATCAGGGTAAATGTTCGGCGAGCGCGAGGTTTGGGATCATCCTTGAGAAGGCCAAACAGCTTAGGGTTCAGAACTGCTGGGCAGAAGAAGCGCAGGAACAAGAAACCAGAAACACTGCTGTAGCTGACACTTCTCAAAAAGTCGCCATATCTGTCTTCTGCGCAAGCTCTGATGTGTCTGAAGATGACTCTCAGCTCTGGAGGGGCGTTTCTGGCACTAATTTTGATTGTGTTCCAGACGGATTTGGTACAGTTGATCAGCCTGTCCCAATTCTTCTTTAGATCATGCTGGTTCGTTACTCGGTTGGGATCAACTTCGCAATCGGGGTCTTTCTCATTAATGTCCATGATGATGGGACCAAGGCATTCGAGGAGGTATTCCTTGCCTACTCTGCGCATGTGTGAGTCCAAAGACTTGGTGAGTAGTGTGTTTCCGCGGAAGAGCAAGTTTGCTTCCAGTGTGGCGTTCTTGTTCATGTCGCGAACCATTAGCTCTCGCTCGCTAGCAGCAGTGACATTTGCGTCTGCCTCATTGTTGCTGTTTGCCATGCGACGAGTATATCTCATGCGAGAAACAGGCGTCTCTTTGTGTACTCCGTCAATCTCTTCTTCGACCAGAGCCATGATCCACTCAGTGACCTGGCCAGATACTTGAAAGATGTTCAGCAGCAAGTCCGATAACCGCCTTAATTCTGTCGGGATCATCTGAGCGACCTGCAACGTGAGTTCGTTTGAGAAATTATGCAATAAATCGTTCAAGGGCTTGTAGTCCTTAGCCATGAGAATGACATTTTCTTCCGCACGAGCCTTGATCAAGATCTCGCCAACGTTTTCGTCATGCTGGTTCATGACTGGCCACCACTTTTCGACTTCTTTGCTGGCTTCTAATTCTTCGAGATATATCTCAATTTTGCCCAGTATTTGATCGTTTTGTACGGGCGCGGAACCACCAGTCTTCTGCGAAGGGTCCAGCCAGGCGTCATGCACAAGGCGGAGTTCGTGTTGTTCGCGAGGGCTCGAGAGATCAGGTGGGCGGCGCTTCAATAGGACGGAAGCGGAAGTAAGGACGGCGGGCAGATCTAAGTAGTCGAACTCCTCTCGCCAGAAGGGCGCCATTGATTCATGTTTGATTTGTGTCTTGCCTCGGGTTTCACCGTCCAGATGGATCTCAACATAGTAGCCGTCCGAGAGCTCGGGCTTGTTTGTCGCATTGTTATTATGGCGATTTGAATGGTGGTGGTTGAATTCAGCCAATGAGCTCAATGGAGCGTGCGGCAATTTGGCTTCAATTATGCGAATGGATAAAGCGCGCTCCATGCGGAACATTTCAATCTTCTCATTAGCCATCATGTTATCGAAGGCAGCAGATGAAGGGGTATCAGGAATAATAGCAGATTCGTCAGAATGGCCATTAGGTTTAGGTCCATAGAGTTGTGGTATCGTGAAAGCTCTCAACAAAACAAACCAAACTTCGTAGAGCACACGGGTTTCCAAAGATAGGTATATGGGTCGGATGGCGGTCGTGACGGTGGCGCCGGATGTGTATTGAGGATAGATGGCAATGCAAAAGTCGTTGTCCAAGACAGAAGGATCCAATCTTTGGACAGCGCTGCGAGAGAGCTGGGAAAGTTGAACAACAGATAGAAGAGTCGAACCGGATTCTGCGTAGAGTTTGAGTTCTCCATTCTCACGCAGCGTACATGACACGCGCCTCCACCAGTGCGAGCCATAGCTCTGGAAGCGCGAAGGTGAAGGTTTGAGTGATCTCGGCGTGCCAGCGTTGGCGTATGAAATGTTGCTATCCCAGTATATCATAGGGCCAACCTTGATGATTGGGGCTTCTTTTAGTGTAAGAGACATCTCAGAGTTACGTCTGCTGTCAGTCAAGGTGATGCCTTGCACAACAGGAGTCTGAGGTTTTGTCATCTTGTTGTGGATACCTCTCGGCCGAATTGGCTGCCAACAGAGTAGAGCGGCAAACCACGAGTCAAAGTCTTTGCGATCTTTCAGACGAACATGCAATTGCAATGTCGAGTTTGGCACTGAAATGTCAAGATAAGGCATCTGAGTGTCTTCATCCATGGCAGTGCGCACTTGACAACCGCGTAGATCAGGGATCAAAGTGCGATTCTGTGGCGAGCTAACATCAGCCTCGCACAGCAGACTGCCCGTGTCCTCCTGAATGTAGCAGTATGACTGGAGCCACATTGCTGAAGCGCCACGACGGAACCAAAGGGTACCCGACATACGACCACATAATGTCTTCATAAGATGTAGAATTCGGCGAGCGCTTGAATTGGGCAAGGCACCGGAGACACTGGCGGCGTCAGACGACGAGATGGGCGAGCGCGGACGTTTTGAAGCGGACGACGACGTTGATTGCGAGGGATCGAAGGACGAGGTGGAGGCGACCTGAGTCGAGGTGGTTTCGCTACCGGTGAGGTGGATCGAGCCATGGCGCAGACGGCTACCGGGATGGAGAGCAGAAGCAGGCGACACTTCGCGTGAGGCGCCCTCATCTAGCGTCCTCGTACGATTGCGACGGGTGGCCGAGGTCGAGGTGTACTGCAAGCGATTGCGCGCATTATCGGTCGACTCACTGCGGGCAAGTAGTAGGGAACGAGGACTATCGCGATCTCTCTTGAGACTGGTCCGGGGCGAAGAGCCCAGCACGTGGCCCTCGATGTTGATGGTCGTCTCTTCAACGACCGAGTCAGGTGTCACGGTGCGGATTGTGTTATCGCTGCGAGCAGATCGAGGTCCGGGGAAGTGCTGTTCGCGCGCTTCGGTGGTTGTCTGTATGATGCTCTGTGATACTGGCTGGCTCTGAGACATGGCGGAGCGCTCCTGGTTGAGGTATTCATCGTACAGGCTGGGCTGCTTTCGGCGGCGGCTCGACTGCTCCGACCATTTCTGGCGAGGGGCTGGTTCCATATGAGCTCTCATGCTTTTCCGAGGCTGAGGTGGGCTCAGGCTTGCTATACGAGCCCCGCGCGATTGGCGAGGGTGGAGCAATCGGTCCCGTCAGCAGCAGCGGCGCCTTGAGGGATGCGATGGGGTAGTGGTCGATTGAGCGAGACGACGCGCTACAGCAGACATGGGGCCCGATGCCTGCTGTGCGGAGTGGGTGTCCAGGTGTATACAATCGTGTGGCCGCGGATGGCGGGATGCTACGCTGAACTGAATGCACTAGTCTGGCTTCTTTCGCAAGCGCAATGTGTTGGCAGCAGGATGATTGTGGTTGGCGAGCTTTGCGAGGAGGAAGATGGAAAGGATAGATGCGTCGTCGTCGTTGTTGCAGTGGTTGCTGTGCTGGCACTGGTGCTCAGTGCTCGCTGGGTGCAGAAAGCCAACGGCGCGCTCGAACTGCCCTGGTCTGCTACGCTACTCGCTATGAAGACGGCAAACTGCCACCCTTCTTTTGCTGCTAAACGTTCCCTCTCGTTCTCGCTTCTCTGCTTGCTACCCTCTTGACCGCTGCTTCGACTTCCTCCTCGGCACATGACAAGGACAGCCCGCTTAAGGATATCAAATTGTCACTCTAGGGCGGCCTGATAAAAGTCCCCTACTCCTATATTGCCCTTGTCACCTTGCCAGAAGCCGCAGCTTTCCAAACTTGTCCCTCTACCATGTCTGATTGGTCAGCCCGAGGAAAAGGTCCAGACGCTGAGACGCCGCCGACGGCGCCGTCGGCGCGGAACAATGCCAGCAACCAACAACCAGGAACGAAACCAGGCGAGCAACGTTTCAAGAAGCTCGAGCAGAAGCCTTGCGTCGAACACTTGTCGAGCATGAACAATAACCTGTCTTGTCAAACAAAACATTCTGGCAAAGCTCCACCGCCTCTATCTTTGGGACCCATTGCTCGAACGCCCTGCATATCTTTGCACAACATGCTGCTTCTGCCGTGTTTCAGGTACAGTGCACCGTGCGCCTTCCTCACCGTCATCCTTCCAAGGCCACCAGCCAATTTCTCTCGACATGTCCATATCTCACATCAGCCTGTTTCTGCTTGCGCAATAACATCTATCTATATCATCTATCTCACAGGAGCGGATGATGGGCTTAGTTGGCTGTCACGTTTCAGATCATCGATATTGGAATTATGCTTCAGGTAGTGAAAGTATCGTCATAAGCATGCCGCCCCTGGAAGTAGAGGGGAATAGAGCGCAGAGAAATAGACCTAAACCGGGAGAGAGCCGCCCCTTGAGCGATTCATAAGCAAATACAGAGACAAGGAGATCTGAGAAGTGAAGAGAGTCGGCGCATCAGCCAGCGGACCATAATCCGCTTCTTGTCATTCGTTAAACGTTTGTTATTCTTCATTTGAAGCCATGTCTCTCAAGACCGCCATCTTCAAGGCCTGTCGAGCTTGCTGGATATGGTGCTATCTTGGTTCCTGTGAAGTCTCCACTGGCTGTCTTGCGTAGTGCCTGGCGCATTGTTTCGATTGTGAGTTCTCCATGTTGCTGGTGGGGACTGCCAATTGGGCTGCGTACCGGGCTCATGTCAAAGCCCTTGATTGATGTTGGGTTGCTCCCAAGCGGTGGGGTCGTCACTTCTTGTGAGTATTGCGAAGACAAGGGCGAGCGCGCAGGTGATGGTGAGCGAGGTAGTGGAGGAGAGTGGGTTTGAGCTTGGCTGAGAGTGCTGGCAGACAGTGGTCCGTGGTGTAAAGAGTCCTTGGATTCAGCCTGTTCTGCCTGGACCACGTCTGCAAAGGAAATGAAACTTAGTCTGCGCACATCTGCAGGATCTAAAGCACCGTAGTTTGACGCGGCATCATCAAGGTCTGGTGGGTGAGAGGGTACCGAGTGGAAACTCTCGTGTTGCGAATCTTGTGGTGAGACTGGGAGTTGTGCATCTGAATGAAGAGCATTCGCTGTGCCCTCTGCGACCTTATCAATCGCAGGTTGATGGGCTGTGTGGGTGACAATCTCAACTTGATCCGGATCTAGATGGGTGTCGGTAATAGCAAGGGAGGACGCCTCGAGAACAGCAGGGATATGATCTTCGGTCTGGATGTGTGCGGGAATCGCGGGTGACAGTTCGCTTGGTACAATCGACTCTTGGACGTTGCGCTCGAAGATCTGCGATGACGCCAGAGTCGAGGTGGATTGACTCGAAGTCAGCGCAAATGGCAGACGTGTCGGTGATGCAGCAACGAAGCGATTGGGCGGAGAGGGCGACGAGGTGAGAGGATTCATGTTTGGTGATGCAGATGCAAGTGCAGCTGTCGAGTCGGACTGGGTCGCGTCGGTATTCGCGTCGATGACGGCACTGTCGGGAGCCTTGTCCTTTCTCTTGACCAGACCAAACAATCGTCGTTTGCTGGGCTTTGCTGGGTCGGTAGTGGGCGATTGAGAGACTGAGCGCGAGACGATGGGCGCAGTGTCAGATTGCGAGCTGAAGGTCGAAGCAGGTGGAGAGTGGGCACGAGCGGACATGATGGGTGCGGCGGGCTTTCTTTTGTTTAGGATTCAGGAAGCTGCGGCTCACTTATCAATCAGGGATCGTTCAAGGATAAGGCCCTGGCACGTAATGAACCTTGATTTTGTAGACTGAGACTGAGAGAAGGAGCCAGAGAAACGTGCACATGTGCCGACCCAAGCCTCTTGCCAAACACGCAGCCTTGCTCACTGGTCAACAACGGCAATACGACAAAGCGTGACGGGCGCCTCGTCATGCGCCCATCGCAGCTCGCTCCGCTCCAGGGTCTTGGTCAAACCCATTTTGCTTTTTGCTAACCACCCTTCTTGAACAATGCTCGCCGAACACGTATGCAGGTACACTTGCGGTGTCATGGACAGCGAACCGTCCATCTGAAACACTGGCTTGAGCACATCGCCATCTCTTCTTTCAAGATGCTGTTCCAACCCACTTCCACATCATCTACGGATGTGGCTTTGTCACACACACAATCCTCGTCATACGTGCCCTCGGCAGCGTTGGCATCCGTCCGCTCCAAGTGCACAAAACACCTGGAGTTTTGAAGCCGTTCAAACTCTACCGCTCTTGATCCGATTTCGCTTCCTTTCGCAAGCACATCCTTCTAAGGACTCGGCAGTGGGCACGCGCATGCTTAGGCTAGAGTACAAAGTATTGATGCAGCAGGTAGGTACTCGATCGATCAATCGATCAAATGTCTGCCTTGTGATATCTTGTCTCGTTGTTATCGATCCCACAGCAACGTTCTGCAAGGGCACGCTCCAATACTCTACTGATATCTCATCGGCATTCGTGCAGGTGATACTAGTACTCATCTAATATTGCCAGATGCCAGCATGAACGTATCTAGCGAAAATAACGTAGATGCTGATTGAGATTCAAGGTAGTGTTATTTTTTCTTCTTTTTCTTCTTTTTTCTCCTCGATGTGGATGAGCGTGCGACCCTGTTCACGCAACTTGGGTCCACCACTACAGCCCCATTCTCTATCCCTCACGTCGGATAGACTGACACGATACAGAGCTTGGATCTCGTGTTAGATATGCTAACAGCTGTCGTACAAAAATCACTTTTGAAAAACAAGACACTGACGCTGTGATGAGTTATGAAGTTTCGGAAAGCGCAACATGGAATATCTTGAAATGCTAGAGCTGGTCTCATCTGCACACTCTCCATCAAGACATGTTGTGACACTACGAAGTATCCCAACGCACAGTTGTTTCGGATTCAGCAGGCAGTCAAGGTGATGCTCGAGATATAGGTCTCTTCATACACCTTAGCTCAACCAGTGAAGTTTTATGCATCATTATGCCAAATGTGACAGTCTTATGCATACGTACAGCCTACAGAACAGACTTAAGCCTTCCTTGCAGCACACCCGTCAGACTTCCCAGCAACTTCCGTGCAAAATCCTGATCAAAGAATGCAACCCCCAGTTCTTGACTAGTGTACCAACTTGCACGATCCAAATTCCCCGAGCCAAGAATAACCAACTCTTGATCCACGATCGTACACTTGAGATGGCTTTGCTGTGGCTCTTTATCCCTATTGCCTGTTTTAGGAACAAAATAGTCAATCCTCAACTTTCCTGGTCTGCCTCTTCCAGCTTCTAAATCAGAGGGAGACGATGTGGAGAANNAAATGTCCTGGTATCGTGATATGAGTTTTGAGATGCAACGAGAAGTTGTAGTGCCGGCGGTGACTAGCTGCTCGAGTATCATGAGTCTCTCACTGGTGACGATGTGGATATTTATGCCACGTCGCAAGGTCGACAGAATAGCTGCGAGGACAGGTGCAGCGGTGAGATTAGGTGTTTGGATATAAACTTCTCGCTCGGCGGAAAGGAGGCTTCGAAGCAGAAAGGTGTTCAAAGGCGTTGGTGGTGGAGCAGAATGTTCTTGCCATGGGAACCTGAAATCTGGGTTTCGATGGTGGGGTGAGGGGAGAAAGATTGTTGGAATATCTTTCGAGTCCAATGGCATGGATAATGGTAGTTGTCCTTGTGAGCCTTGAGACGTCTCAGCAACCAAGTCTTGATTTTCAGCACCCGCTGAAAGATTGATCAGCTCGTCGCGATCTTCCTGCTGAGCCCAGAACTCTTTCCAGAAATCGACGAAGCACGAAACCACAGGTCCAGTAAGAGTCACAGCGCCTTCGAACCAATCCTCCCAGCTCACATTGCATGAAGGTAAGACTGCCACCTTCCTATCCACAATGATAAACTTCGGATGCATAACCGAGAACGGCAAGAGGAAGATACTCTTAACTTGCATATCCAGACCTTGTAGTTGATCCAGGTGTGGGAGGTTCAGTGTGGACTGCCATGACTCCGGAGGATACACCTTTCCATTGAGAGTCTGTGGATGCAGAAGTTTTTGGAGTATCGACGACGAAGAAAAACATATCCGGACGCGGATCTTGCGGCCTTTGCTGATGCCCTTCTCTGATAGCGTTCTCAGCGCATCGTTTACCAGTTTCTGGGTTGCGGAGGTTGCCCAGAAGCAAGTCACCAGGATTAGCTCCTCATTCGCAGATTGTAGGAGCGGCAGTAGAGAAGTATATATCGATTCGCCAGTGCCGAGGTGTAGAGAATGTAGGTTAGACGTCGTGATCAAGGACGCCGATGTGGAGTGGAGGAAGTAGTTCGGTCGCGATGTTATATTCCTATTGTAGCCAGATTTTAGGTCACCGAGCCATGGTTGAAGAATTGTGATATCGCGTTTGGACGGGGCCATGAGTGATTATTCTTGGTTAATGATGTTTGATGTTCCAGTGCAGAGGTGGGAGTGATGGAGGGTGTGAAGCCCGGCGGGTGATGAAGCCTGGCGTCTGTGTGAACACAGTGCTTGTCAATTACATTATGACAAAGCCAGAGATTTGCCTGGCGACGTGATTTCGAGACGAGATAGACATCCGTTACTCTCTCGTTACACATTCAGGGCACTGACAGTTTAGACTGGGCAACCAAGGAGAAGTCTTTCGAGAAAACGGCGGTATAATATCACCAAGACTACACGCATGTGGCAAGAGAGGTTTGAACATTTATCTTTTTGGCATGAAAAAACCTACGAAACGAGTCTTTTTCTTTGGTTGGACGAAACGCCGTTTATACCCTGCACTCCGTCGAACCGACTCCATTCGTCCTCGCCATCCCAGCGTCGCCTCGACAAGCCCTTCTTGTCGGGAACAATGTTCGTGTAAAATAGCCACGTTGGAATGGTTCGCAAAACAGCAACATAACTTTTCAGTCAATCCTGTTTCTCCTCCTGACAGCACTGTCGAAACATCAAAGCATTTAAGCTCTCGACATGACGCCCCAGGCGCGGATCTTGTTGTCGGTGTAACCGGCGAAGAGGGTCTGACCATCGGCGGACCAGGCGAGGGAAACACACTCGGGCTCTCTGCTCTTCTTGCCAACCTCGACGTACTCGGGCTTGAGCTCGTCAACCTTGCTCTTCTTCTCGAGGTCGAAGATGATGATGCTCGAGGCGGTGGCAGCGCACAGCCAGTAGCGGTTGGGGGGAGAAGACGAGGGCGTGGATCTCGTCACCAGCGTTGAGCGAGTAGAGGTGCTTGCTCTCGTTCAGGTCCCAGAGCATGGTGGTACCGTCCTTACCACCGGAAGCGCAGAGGGAACCGTCGGGGAGATGGTGACGGTGTTGATGTAGCCGGTGTGACCGATGTGGTCGGTCTGGATACGGCAAGTGGCGAGCTCCCAAACCTGTATTTCGAATCTTGTCAGCGCATTGTTCATCAACCGGTTCCTAATCAATGTGAAGTCTGTGTATTATGCGAAGGATCAGGGCAAATGGGTGAATAGTTGTCTCATGGCGGTAGATGGCCGCTCTGAAGTAGCAAATACATAATTGCAAAACATCATGTCGAGGAAAATTTGGCGAAGAGAAAGATCTGAAACGAACCTTGACGAGCTTGTCCCAGCCGGCAGAGACGATGACGGGGTTCTGGGGGTTGGGGGAGAAGCGGACGCAGGAGACCCAGTCGGTGTGGCCCTTGTCGGTGATGGTGTACTTGCAGTCACCGAGGGTGTTCCACAGCTTGATGGTGCGGTCGCGGGAAGCGGAGACGATCTGGCGGTTGTCGGCCGAGAAGGAGACGGACAGAACATCGTTGGTGTGGCCGACGAAGCGGCGGGTGGTCTGGCCGGTCGAGAGCTCCCACAGGCGGAGAGTCTTGTCCCAGGACGAGGAAAGAGCGTAGGCACCGTCAGAGGAGATGACCTAGAAGAGGTCAGAGGTTTTGTCTTTGTAGTCATTGAGACCAGAAAATTAGCGTACACAGTCGGAGACAATGTGCGAGTGACCGTGGAGGCTGCGCTTGGGGTAGCCGTATGAGGTCTCGTCGCGGGTCAGGTTCCAGATGATCAAGGTCTTGTCGCGCGAGGCAGACAAAAGCATGTTGGGGCTGAACACGAGGCAATCAGCATCTCTGCCTCTCTCTATCTCTTTCTTATTGTGTGTGCTCACTTCTCAAGCGAGGTAGCCAGGCTGGTGACCCAGCCGGAGTGGCCCTCGAGGGTGCCGCGAAGAACAAGTTGCTCGGCCATGTTGACTTATGGAGGATCGCTGCAGCTCGATTGTTAGACTGGAGACTTCCTGCTTGGTTGCGCGCGTGTTTGCTGACCTGACGGAGTGAGACGTGGGCGATTGACTGGCGCTTGATCCGGTGTGAAATTGATGTGAAGACGCAGGCTTTCGTGGGCAACCATCGAAATTCTTTGCCGAGTTTTTACCATGCCAAGCATTCGACCACCATCTTGACCCTCGCTTCATTGTCTAGATCATCTCTGCTTCAACTATTCTGTATTGGGACATAGTGATATCTTTCTTATCATGGTGGATGGGACGACCATAGAGTGAAATGTGCTATTTTCGAGGCAAGAACGATGCACCGAAGGTAGGCTATCGAAGGAAGTCACCACCAGCAGCCTCGCAGCTTCGACGCCCAGACCGTCCATGAATGCTCACTTCGTGCAGCAGAATAGGCAGGCAGGACACGCACTCATGTCTTGATCTTAGATTACGAGAAGGTTTGATTGTAATATTTTTGTTGTCATTCTGCCTTGCTCGCTTCCGAGTACTACGTTTTCTGCGCTTCGTTTCTTTCAAGGTAACGATTTCTGTCCTGTCTCACTTGTCTTGTTCGTTCTCCTCCCACGATCCTGACTCCCCCTGCAAAATCCTTCTCGCATCAACAATACATCAAAATCCTTGTTTCCCACGCCCCACGCTTCGATTGAGCTTTCATCGTTCCTTAGAGGTCTTGCCATCCTCGTCTGACACATTCTCGTCCATCGTCTCCCTCGCTCGACTGTCTTTCTCTGCTGAAGCTTCTTTCGGTTTCAGTGTCATTTTTGTAGTCGAGGTCTGCTCTTGACGACTCTTTGCTCTCTTGCCATCTTCAACCAGGACGTCGGCAGCAATCTCCTTGACAAGCACTCTCTGTGCAAGAACTGCTCCGATGGCACAAGCCGAGCATCTAGCTCCCACGAATCCGGTGCCTTTGCATCCGGTACATGGCACTTTGCTGTCAATCTTAAATCAGCATCTGTCAAGACACATGCAGAGAAAGAGAAATTAAGTAGGGGAAGGAAATCACTTACCCTCTCAGCACATGCCCAGCGCACTTTTTGCACGTGGAGATCTTGACGCCGTTGATACAGCCATGGCGAGGATCTTTGCGCGTGCCAGAGTTCTGTGCGGTCCAAGTGGAGTAGCGACAGTGGTAGGAATGGAAGAAGTCTGGACAGGTGTTTTGGAGATGTTTTCCAGAGCAAAGAGGAGGTTGGGGTTGGTTGTCATGATGGATGTGTTACTTGTTTGAGAGTAGGTATTTATGGTTGATTTGTATCGATGGTGGTTTGGTGCAGAAGCGATGGTGTCGGCAAGGGTGATTATATAGTTTTTGGATGGATGATGCAAATGCTACGGTGATTTCAGGCGCTGGACAGGATGGGAGCTCGTGATTCTTGTGCTTGACATGCAGAGGAAGTCACGATCTAGGGAGGGGAGCTTGCACGTGGTTGCTCTAAATGTGCAAGCATGCGACCTTACACGTGCGGGATTGCGATAACGTTGTTTTAGTCTTGTGTTTTTGTCTGCCTATGCAAGATGGAATATAGTATTGAACTCTACATCTGTAGAACGAAGAAGACCGTATGGTTCAAAAAGCGGAAAGACCGATGTATGGTCCTGTAAAGCGAGGAGGTTGGGTTGCTCTGCCATACAAGTTCTCTGCATGTCGGCTCCATGTCACAAGCACACCATGCAATCAGATGTGTATGCAAAAGGTAAGATTTTTGCATTGCGTTAGACGACTATGGAGACCAAGTCAAGGACCAAAAAGTCAGAATCATACAAAGGATGATGGGAAAAGCACATAGGAAAGGGCAATCAACAAGAATAGGGTATTTATCAGCGCTCATAAACAAATGAAAGGCGAAGGCATGAGTGATGATGATCAGACCAAGATACCACCCGAAAGAGAAAGAAATGCTGTTCCTCGATCTCTCTGCTCGAGGAGTCAGTTACGGCATCTCGACTGGTGGAGGTGGCGGAAGTTGAATCTCGAAAGCGGCACCTTTGAACTCGGGATTTTTGTCTGTGGCCTCCAGCTCTGCGATGCTTTGGAGCGGTGGCGCTTCGGTATGGTCCCCTCGTATTGTCGTTGCTGGCGTCGTGCTGTCCGCAAAGCTGCGATCGCTCATACTGCTATGGCTTCGGCGTACGTCGCTCATGCTGCTGTGGCTTCGATGGACATCACTCATACTGCTATGACTTTGTGATGATCGTGGGGAGGTAATTGTTGGTGAAGCGACAGTGAGACCAAGGCCGGTGGCTCCGCCAGCTCCCATGAGGACCGAGCCACGACGAACACCCTCTCTGTATTTCTTGTCGTCCGCTAGATCTGCCTTAACGACTAGGCGATCCACGAGAACTTGGTGGGCTTTGTTCAGGGTCTTCTTGACAAAGCCGGTAAGGAAGACGTTGCAGCTCATGTCGACGTCCTCGCGCAGGTACAACCCTTCACGGGGTACACCGAGGTCACTAAAACCGAGCTCTTGATGCTCTCTTTCCTCGCCATTCACGACGTCATTTCCCCCAATGGTCCATTTCTCCTTAATTTCCAGTCCGGCAGGAGCATAAACGTGAGTCTGAAGCCCACGCGGCAGATCGTGGAAACAGGCCTTGTAACTGACTTGACCCTTGACTCCTGGTAGATATGTGACACGGTCTGTGAGCTCGTACCAGAGGCAATGAAACTCGTCCGGAAGTGCATTGGNGGGAGGTTTGCATCGTGCGTGATTGATGACCAGCGGATTCAGTTCGATCATCTCGCTGTGCGAATGCAGCATTTCAACAGCGGTTTCCCTACTGACTGTGGGAGGTAGTGGCGTCACCACAGTATATACGCTTCNTTTCCAGAAAACCATGGTGACCTGAGATGGTATACTAAGTCGCAAAGATGATATGTGAGACCGCGCAATCCTTTGGTTGGTTGTGTATCGTAATGTCCAGTCGCAGTAGAAGCTGTCGCACACTCTGACCGAATGAGTGTTTGAGTTGAGAGGACGATTGTGCGAAGGAAGAATGGCAGTCTTATTTGTCAGGCAAGCTTACGTGTGGTTGTTTGCAAGGATTTGGGCCAAGCTGTTTCTGGGCTTGGGCAGCACTCAGCTTATCTACTTCTCAGAGTATTGCCTTGAACGGGTTGCGCAACGGTCGGCCACAGCCGCACCTAATCTTTTCATGATTGCGACTACAGCCGTACTCGTTTGGTTCCCCATGTCTTACCTGAAAATGATCGGAAAGGCGTCGCTTGTGCTGGTTGATCCAATAATGCCCGTGCTCGATGGACATTTTTCAACCAATAGGAACACGGGAAGAAAGCTTGGCCATACTCTAAATTTCACGGACGTCATCAAGTGGACCTTCCTTAGCATGCGGTTGCTCTATCAAGCTTGCAGACTCCTCTTTCCTGAGGTTCGACTTTTCACGTTCTATCATCACAAAAGTGTTATTGTTCTTGATTGTCCTCATTGCAGGCGTTCTGGCAGGTCTATACTCTCATCATTGACATTATCAGCTCAACTCGTCTCCGCCATCCGGCCTATCGTTATAATTCAACACCCGGCGCGACGATCAACTGATTCGCAATTTAAAGGCTCTCACCCTCCATCTCCATCAACTCGGCACGATGGTCTGGGAACAGCTTGAACCTACACCACCCCATCTTTCATACCTTCTCATCTCTTCGTTCTTGATTGTCTACTGCCTCTTCGCTACCTTCGTCAGGAACCGCCTTCATTTGTCAGAACCGCCATTGGCACTTCTCGTTGGTATCCTTCTGGGACCAAGAGTGCTTGGCTGGCTTAATCCAAACTCCTGCCCTCAACAAGGATGTACTGGCGATGAAAGTGACAGATGGGGTTGGGGAGACACCCAGGTCCAAGAGCTCTCGCGTGTCATCCTCGGTGTTCAGGTCTTCACGGTCGGTGTCAGCCTGCCAAGGTACTATGCAAGCAAGCACTGGAAGAGTGTAGGCATTCTATTGAGTAAGTCCTTCCTTTTCAACCTCATATCTGAACGACTGCCGGCTTTCTACACTTGACGGTGTATGGTCTGCTGCGTTGCAGGGTTCCCTTCATCGACTCACAATACAGCATGTAATCCTCGTTCTTACAATATCTCCTTCTGCGCATGTCTCTTCAGAACTTGGTGTTCGGACTCTTGGCCATTCAAGCCCATACAGTCTGAGGGAAAACCAGAACTGACTCTCCAATCTAGCGATCGTTATGACCTTTGGCTGGTTCGTCTGCTCTCTCTTCGCCGCCTTGATGTTCAAGGTCGACATAGCCACTGCCCTGACTATTGCTGCTTGTTTGACACCAACCGATCCTGTTCTGTCATCGTCCATTCTCTCAAACAGTCAATTCAGTACCAGAGTGCCGAAACGCATCAAGGATATGCTGGCTGCAGAGTCCGGTTGCAATGATGGAATATCATTCCCGTGAGTCTAGCATTATTATGACCTTAGATCTTGGCTGACTGTCCTTCCTAGATTCCTCTACATTGGACTGTACGCACTAATCCATGCTGATCCTAAGACCGCTGTCAAGGAATACTTCCTCATCACTATCCTCTGGCAATGCACTTTCGGCATCGCTGCAGGCCTCGTCATCGGCACAGTCTTCAACAGACTTTTGCGCTTCTCTGACGGCCGAGGCTACGTTGACCCTGCCGGCATGATCGTGTTCTATCTGCTCCTCGCAGTTTTTAGTGTCGGAGTAGGTAGCATCCTTGGCTCTGACGACTTCCTTGTAGCCTTTGGTGCTGGTTACGGTTTTGCTCGGGATGGCTGGTTCAGCAAGAAGATCAAGGACGCCCATCTCCCAGATGTTACTGACCTGCTGCTCAATTCTGCCATGTTCATCTATCTCGGTACAATCATGCCTTGGGAAGCATTTAGCGCTCGCGACATTACTCCTTATGTCACTCCATGGAGACTTTTGGGTTTCGCCGCTCTGGTCTTGTGCTTCCGCCGCATTCCCATCATGCTTGCAAGCTACAAGATCAACCCTGACATCCGCACCTTTCGTGAAGCACTCTTCTGTGGACACTTTGGACCCATGGGTTTGGGTGCGATCTTTTGGCCATTGAAGCTCGTGCAACTCTCGAGACCGGCACCAGCGAACCGTTGCCTCACCCTCCAAAGTTCTCGCCACCTTACTCGAACCGCGAGAAGGCAGTCGAAATGCTCTGGCCTGTGATATGCTTTGTCGTCATGTGCAGCACTTTTGTTCACGGACTAAGTGTTCTCGGACTGAGCCTGGCCAGCCACTTCCGCAGAAGAGAAGGCGAGAGAGCACCTTTGCTGGCTCAAGAAACTGATCCGCTTGACGGCATGGAACATGAACGTCCTGAAGAGATGGACACAGACCATGAAGAGGACTAGAGCTCCACCATCAGTCTCTCGCAAGTTCTGGCAGAAGAAGGCATGGCTATTCACGTCCCAAACACGAACAACGTCCAATTTGGCGAAATTGTCTGTGCTCCATCATCGTCTGCACCACAAACGAATCCAGAAGATATAGAACTTGATGAGCTGAACCCTGATGGAACTCGCCGAACCGTGAATGCGGATCCAGGTGCAGAAGATCAAATTCAAAATATAGCGCCTACCCAGGAAGGCCAAAGTGAAGAAAGTCTGATAAGACAAGAAGAAAATGAACCTGGTTCCGGCAATCGAAACGAAAACGAGAGCGAAAATGAGAACGAGAACGAGACATCGGATGTCGACGCTCAATGCATATCACTCAAAGGCATCGGCCGACTGTTCAGCTATTGCTTCTACTGTTCCTCCAAAGGGAAGAAACGTGGGAATGATCCGAAACCAAAAATAGTCAATATCCAGGGAAGGGGTGTAATAACCCCAACACGACCGGAGTTCCTGGAGGAATTGGAATTGGAGGATACATAGTCCACCAGCACGCTCCATGTTGCACTCACCCGCGCAGACACCACGCATTCTCCAGTAACGAAAAGAACAGATAGATATGCTGTAGACGGAAAGGGATAAGAGGATACATTCGTAACAATGAGATACATTCTTTTTTCAGAACGAAGAGCGTGCCAGGTATTGCTTGTGTGTACACATGAACCTTTGAAGTCCAAGTCAGAGATCATCACGCTTTTGATCAGTAACCCTATCAGCTCCATTCTCAATCCCCTGTTCGAAAGACATGCAAAGAATTTTGCCACCAAGGAACAATTTCAACTCCCAACTCCTTCTACGCAATAACCTCAAACGCCCATAACCCAAAGGAACCAGAAATCTATGCCTGATGAAACATCCATCTCTTTCTTCCTGGCCTCAAATACACAGCAGTCCGAAAGAATGAAAGGATGACCAACAGCAGCAACAAAGTTCTACTCCAACCATCTAGACACAGTGACCCAACTGTGGCGCAAAGAGTGTCTTCTGCTGGTGACACCAAATTCTGCCTGTTCCATCTCTTGCTCTTGCTCTTGTTCGTTCTCAGAGACGTGTTCGTGGGTTGATTCAACCAAAGTCTCGATGATGGTAGGGGGTTGGTTTTCCTGATCGTTGTCTTCTTGCTCATCTTCTTCGTCTTCTTCGGGGATAGTGGTGTGAGATATGGGAACACGGGGTTGTGTCGTTGGAGCAGGTTGTTGAGTTGAAGTCGAAGTTAGGTGTGCGGTAGAGGTGCCATCGACGTGAGAACGAGAGCGGCGACGAGTAAACAGTCCACAGCAAAGAGATCTCAAACCTCCACTTCCTCTACTTCCAGAACGTCTGCGCTGATGAGGTTGCGAAGGAGAAGCAGCAGCACCATCAACAAAAAGCCTTCTCTGCACAGGCGGAGGTGTATCCTCTCTCACATGCACAACCTCCTCATCAGCTCCAAACCCACCATCATCAACAAAACTAAAACTCTCATCGTTGGCAGAGACGAAACTGTCATCGTCGCCAGGAGCAACGATAAAAGGCTGCACCATTGCTGTAGTGCCGAGATTGGCAATCACGACTCCGCAAGAAGGACGGAAGTGCTGCAAGCTGAGCCAGTGGGGGACAGGCGATGGAGTAGATGGATGCAGGATTGGCGAGGAAGGGGGTGGAGGTGGCAGAGGTAGATGGTGGGTTGGTGGGTTTTGGCGCAAAGGGTGGCGGATNNCTGTAGATTGGTTAGCTTGGGAGTTGAAGAAAGGAGGACAAGAAGGGAGGGGGGAATGTACCCAGCGTTCACTTGGTTCGCGACTTAGAGGGGTGGGTGCGCGGGTGGGCGCTTCTTCTGGTTCGGGTGCGAGGTTGGGGTCGTTCAAAGCGACTGTTGATGGTGGTAGAGGCGGCAAGTTTGAGATAGATGGAAGTGAGGCTGATGCTGTGTTGAAGGACGCCGAAGAAGACGCAGGAGTCGGGGATACCAGGGGTGCCAGATACGATACGTCCATAGCATTGACTTCTGCATCTGTGTTTGCTGCCTCGCCTTCAGGGCTCACTGGTGATCCAGATGCACGATTGGCCGTGACGAAAGCATTCCAATCAGCGATGCCACCAAGACTGACACCATGTCTCCTGGTATCATGTCTGTAGTTCTCTCGGCCACCAACAAGGCGACCAAAGTCCATGCTTTGAGTGTTCCTGCCATCACGTTGGACGTGGTCAACATCGTAGCCATCGTCACAAATAGGACCATATCTCTGGCCCCAGAGATCGCTGAAACTGCTTCGTGGGATCTCAACATCGAGCCGAGGTCGGCTGGGATGATTGTAGATGTACGGTCCGTCATTAGGAACGCCAATCTCTCCTTGATCAACAATGGGTCTCGAAATCTTAGGTCTGTTGTCGTGATCAAAAGTGGGCGTTCGAACATGACGACCACGATGAGAGATGCCGAACAGATCGCTGAGACGGCGACCATTGCGGTTGCGAGCACGCGTCGTAATGTTTGGATGCAGACGCGGGCTAGGGACCAGATGAGGAGACTCAGGATCAGCGATAAAGGCGGCGGGCTCAGGGGTAGCAGTGCGGTAGCCAGAATCAGGATCGGAAGTATTGTTCTGATGGGACATCTCTTCGTATGCCTGGAGGTTGCGCCGAAATTCTGCTATGCGGCGATCTGTATTGTCGCCATTCTCCATGTCCACCGTCAGACGGTGCAGCCCTCTTGAGCGGACATGGCTGCCCAGGCGAGAAGAAAGGGTGTTGGTGTATAGCGTGTTGGTGCAAGCGGCGTTTTTGATTAATCAAATACTGTATGAATGCCAATCACTGCAGGGACGATCTCTTAGAGCAAAGATACATAACACTGATGCTGGCGTTGAAATGATATACAGAAAAAGGCGGGCACGATTGGGAACCATCAAGTAGTGACTAGCGACAGGGTCGATGAAAATGGAGGCCGTGCGCAAGTGAATCGATATACAAAGTCCGACACGGAGAACATGTGCCTTATGACGACAGCGGCAGAAGATAATGGAAAAGAACATAGGGATTTGGCAAGAGTTGTGGATGTACATTTTCAGACTTGTGATTGATAGATAAAAGCAGCAGGTCATGAGAAAGAACCAGGTGTATCAAAGAAAGAGATGTGGAGCAATGAGGAAGAGAGAGCAGCAGCAGCATTACTTAGATTCCGTTCCTGGAAAACAAGTAGATGTTTTGGTAGACGTTGCTGGCGCACGCAGGTCGTGATTGCACCAGGCCTCTGTCCAAGCAAGCCATCCCGCTTCAGCGCTGAAGAGAAAGGGCCTGGTAGCAGGCATCAATGAGGCATTGGAGCCCTTGTTCCATTGAGGCGAAGACGTGCCGTCTGCGCATGAGTTTGGCAGGCATCTCAAGAGGCGTGTATCGTGATCAATATTCGCCCGAAGCAGGGGTGCAACGGCGCAAGATCAAAGGCAGCATGGGCTGTTGGCGTTTGTGAATATTCAGGTCGTATCGTCACATTCATCTTGCGCCGGCTCTCTTCTTGTCAAGAATCTCAAGCCTGAGCTTCTCGGCAGCGACTTCGACCTCAAGCATCTGACCCACGCCAATCTTCCATTGCTGCTCTAAAGCTTCCAGCTCACCCTTGCGAGCGTTCTGACCATCTCTTCTTGCATTGTCAATGTTCTCAAGCTCAATCTTCCTCTGTGAGACTTCGCGTTCGGCAGTGCGCAGAATTGCCTCGAGCTGATCATTGGATATGAGCCATGCGTTCTTGCCGTAGGTTTCGAGTAATGACAGGTTGACTTGACGGGATTCTAGGTACTCTGAGGAAGCGTAGGCCTGCTGAAGGGTTTGGCGCCATTGTTCCGTGTCGTTTGTGGCTGGCGCATCCTGGGCTTCGTAACGCGACAGATCAATTCCAGCCTCTTTCTCTGCTCCGGTAGATAGACGCTCATGCTCGGCTTCGACAAGATCGCTGAACTTGATGGGTGTACGCTCTGGTATTGAAGGGTGGAGTGTCGTCTTGTGGTCTTGAGGCAGTTCAGCTTGGATGAGAGCGCGTGCTGAGTTGAGCTCCTGCTCTGACGGCACTACGTCAATGTCTATCGCAATTATTAGCGCTTGTTGTTTATCGTTCGAGATTCAATTCTTACAAGGCAAATAATCTTGTGAGCTCTGAATTAAAGGCATCTTGGCTGATGTGTCTTGCGGAAAGAATTGGTTCCATCAAGCCTCAAGATTGACGTTCGTGATCACGCCAAGCATCCGACTTTCGAGGCCATCTCGAAACGTAGAAGGATAGGTATCCACCACATTCACACAAGACACGAATTTGTAACTTAACAGGAGAGATGTCAGGGCGCTGTAGTCTGGCTTGAACATCCGAGCAGGTAGGTACAGAGCATCCATTAGCACCTTCTCTACCTCTCAGTGTCCCTGTCCTTCTGAATCTGGACAGGGTTCTTCTTTGCCTATCCACTTTTCACCACAACAAATCTATCCCAATACTGTCAAGTAAGTTTTGCTTCTCGTCGAAGATACTCTTCAGAATGTCACCTTCAGCAAAGTTCAAGTCATCTTCTCAATGGGTCGGCTACGTACGAAACAGTATGCCCATCGTCATTTTCGATCCTTTGCCAAGCTCAACCAGCCTGACGACCCACCAGCCTCTTGGTCTTGGTAAGGCAGTGCTATAAGCCGGCAATATCGCTGATACTTGCTCTCATCAAAACTTCAATCTGTTAACTCACGATTCTCATTGACACAACCATACCATATCGCTGCTCAAGTTATGACCAGAACCATCACCATGGCTCCCATCAAGACCTACGAAATGGTCACCACAAACCTCAAACGCACCAAGGCCGAACTCAGAGATATCAACAATGGCACAGCAAGCTACGAAGTCGACCTCTCCTTTGCAACAACAGACCTACGTTCCTCAAAACCTGGTCGACATGCCATAGTACTGCAAACACCATCTCCATCCAACCAAACCCTTGGTACCTGCGACTTTACCTTTGGCTCACTCAGCACACCTATCCACCTTGGCTTTGGAGATTCAGTGGCTTCTCCAGATACTGTAGTCTGGGAAGACATATACGTTCGCGAAATAGCCAAACAGTCTGGTTTCGAGATCGGCATTGATTTGGGTGATTTTCTTGGTCGCAAGGTATTTGATTGGAAACGCACGAGTGCGGTTGAGAATAAGTCAACGATCAGTCAGAAAATGGATGGGCTGCATTTGAAAATGGTGGAGAGGGAGACTGGTGTGGTTGTTGCCAAATTTGTGCATAACTTTATGTTTGGAAGCAAGAGAGGCACCTTTGAGCTCGAACAGTTCGAGGGTGGTAATGATTGGGAAAGCGTTGTATTGTTGAGTGGACTGGCGGTGCTCGAGTATATGAGGAAAAGTCAGGGGTGGTCATGGTAAGGAGAAGTTGTAATTACAAGGGGCATGATATTCTCCAAGACGCTCATTTGCCTCAAGTATCAAGCTCCCTGCTACAGTAAGTTTGTTTCCTGAAAAGACTTCACATGAATGTTATCAAAAGCTGCGAACCAAGAACTCTCGTTATCAACTCCCACAATAGCAGAACATCACAGACCATACGGGTGAGTTCAAGAACACTAGGCTGAGCACAGAGACGCGTAAGCATGCCATCAAAACGAATGTCCTATTGCAGACATATACGCCGAAGTAACAAGCACGACACGTGATATAAAAAATCAGCACAACAAACAACACCAACACCCCTCACTCACTTTCCACAAACCAAAGAAAAACCAAAACAACTAAAACTCTTCTTCAATCCCCAGCTGTTTTCACAGCCAGAAAACCAATGAAAAGAAAAAGTGAATTCGCGTCAGCTCGAAGTAGTGCAATACGAGCGACACTGTGCCAAAGACGATAAGCAAGCCCAGAGGTCTTCTAGCCAGTTCCAAAAACAAGAATAATCATTGAAAAGAACGGTCCGTAGACCGGTCACAGCGATTAAACTATGAAGAACAGATACTACACTTGATCTAAGCCAAAAGGCAAGAGACTTGAGGAGAGAGAGAGGAGGGCGAGGGAGGAGCTGCTTTTATAGCAGTGTGAGAGAGGTATTGATTATGTAAGCGTTTGTCTTGTTTGAAGAGAGAGCTCAATGGAAGGGTATGGAAGACTCAAGTGAAGTGAAGAGGAATGAGTTGGCTGGTTGTGAAGTGAGATACAGTGTTTGTTTGGTGAGACAGCAAACGGACATTTATAGGTGTGGGGAAGACCCTGGCTTTCAGGCTTCGCTACCACATAACTTCACTTCCTAAATGTGGAACGTCAAGTTCAGATGCGACTATGTTTTCGAAGTGTGAGATTCATCAGTAATGCGTGATACGAAGAAATTTTGTTGTTGGCTAAGAATTATTCACTGCTGGCCGCCGCGAGGCCGAGAATGTCCAAACGAACTGCAATAATCACCCAACGCTATCGGAACCCAGAGTACTGCGCTACGCTGAAGAAACACAAGTCAGACGTTAACCATCTTGTCAAGACAAAAGACATGTTCCCACCATGTTCGTAAGATCATCAAATCATATCATTCGTATCATCCAAATTTCCCTCCCTTACTTTTAACCACCAAATCAACACCGTCATTATTCCAAATTACGATCTCCTGGTCGACGGAGCACGACTGGTATGCCTATGCTCTCGATGCTGGCGATGCTCTCTATATTCGCGGCCCTGCTCTTGTCCGTCAGCTCCACCACGAGTAGCATGCCTTGTACTACCCGAAGACCTCGTAGGTGCACGAGACGTCTGACTCGCACTCTTCAAGTACCTAGACTCGCCACCAGCAACAGTCCCAATTGTAACCTCCACCATTCCAGGGTCATTGGCCGAGCGGAACGACACCTCGCGATCACCCATATCGCCGCTCAGCTGGATTTTGGAGACTTCGGCTGCGGCGATAGGCATGATGAGTTTGACACTGCCTTCTGCGCCGCGGTGCCGTGAGGATGTTTCGCTCATGCTGTGTTGGCTACGGCGATGGCTGTGATTGCTTCGCGTGCTGCGAGGCCCATTGGGGAGTTGTCGTAGTGCTTCTGCTGTGACTCTCTCTTCGGGGTAGCCGCGAGCTTGGTTCATGTAGTCATTGGCGGCATACTCAAGGTCCGAACGGCCATGATCGTACTGGACATAAGTTGAATATTGAGGATCCGAGGCTGAGGTATGCTGGGTCCAGGTAGTTGCATTGGATCCTCGTCTACCACCTGGATAAGATCGCTGATCCCCATACTCTGGGTACTCGGCATGAGTGTTTTGACCCCAAGATGGTTCATGATGGTATGTATGATGATGATGATAGTTATATGACGACTCTGCTGGATAATCTGATCTCGACCTTGAATGGCCGCCGCTCCGGTGGATTTGATGAACTGCTGACGTAGTGGCACGCTGAAAGGGTACAGGTCGCCTTGGCTGTTCAAAGTATTCAGGACTATCTGGTGGCGATTCAGAAGAGTAAGAATCTGAGTCAAATCCTCCTGGCACTTGCTGCGGCTTTGTGGGCAAGGTCCGAGCCGAAAAGTGCTCATCGTCATCGGGAGAGAAAGGGGCAGAAGAGGTATCATATGTCGAGATCTTGGAGGAACGCTTTTGTGGCAATGAGGTCGAAGGGTTTGTCCTCTCTGGATTATGAATCGCAGGCCGGATGGGCATTTTCAGGGGTGGTCGCTGTCCTCCTATGCCAGGCAGGGATGGTGGCATGGAAACACCAGAAGGAGCATACATACTGGGATGAGGAGGAGGTGGCATGCCAGATCGCATTGGCTGTGACCTTGGATCGAAGGCTGGCATCATCTGTGGGTATGGAGAATGGCCCGCTGGAAAACTGCCACCGGGTGGATACATCATCCTCACGCCAGGCGGTGGCATGTGTCCAGGGGGCATTTCAGGAGGCATGGCACCAGGTGGTGGACCATGGCGAACGACCGGAGGTGGACCATGAAGACGCCCTGCAGGGACGGTGTGGGCACGATAGTCCTGCTGAAGGGGGTTGGGCCCTGGTCTTTTACCATGTTGAGATGCATTCATACAGTTTGGGCAATGACAAGGAGGCTTAGTGGGAAGTCGTTTTTCACGACGATGTCCTTCCGAATCCTGTCTGATGTCCTTTGGAACCTTATTGGGACTGGATGGAGTAGGAGCATTGCTAGATCGTCTTGGTTTATGTGGCCTTCTGGCTCCTGGCTCAGAGCTTACCTCCTCCTTTGCTTCTGCTTGGGATATAGGNNTTTCTCGGCATGTCTCGGAGGAGGATCCGTGTCATCAGGAGGTGGAGCTTCCGGCTGTTCGAGTTCACTAGCTGGTCGTGCTTTGCTTAGAGAGTTCCGTCTGGTCTTCAGGTCCTTGTGGCTCCTCTTNGGACGCGGAGTTGGAAGCCGGCTTGGATGCGCTAGAGTCACCCTTCTCATCATCTATATCCGTACAATCCTCGACGGTGGCCTGCTTGCCAGCAGCATCTGTCTCCGCCATCGTTGCGGTGTAGTCTTGGTAGGATCACTTAATGACTCACGTCAGTCCGAGGCGGTGGGCTGATCGAATGCTAGGATCCCGCAAATTGCGGTCAGGCATCAAACGCGGGGTGATAACTGCAACAGTATATGGCGTTCCTTTATCGCGAGACACAATAGGCGATGATTATCGATATAGTCGCAGAGCTTGGAGAGAAGTTAGACATTGCGGCATAGAGACATGCAGAAGAAAGAGAGATTGACATTGTTCTGGAAACAGAAGAAAGAAAAGGGAGATGACTGTTCAGAAACCAGGCAAACGCACAGCGAACTTCCGCCCAAACTGCTGGCGAATGGCGTTTGCACATGCAGATTCGGCTAATACGACCGGTCAGCGAATGGATGCCCTTTGTTCTTGGGCACTGCAGCGTGAAGACAATCTCCCAAGAACAAGCTGGAGGCAGTTTGCGGCCTGAAAAGGTAAGAGGTATTCTTGTGAACTGGAAGCTGGGTCGTAGGGCTGCAACGATAGATGATATGAAAAGGAAAATAGATGACAGACATCAATCACGGAGTCATTGCGGGACCATTATATGTCGCCTTGCCAGCCCGCATGAGGAATGTTGTCGAGGTACAAGTGGCAAGTCAGCCAACGTCTATCAGCACCTCTCGTCCACACTTCTACGAGGTTTCTTGGATGTCAGAACGAACGACAGTTTGTTGACTGGCGGCACGTCGAAGGAGGGTGTGTGATGCGGGGCCCGCATTGGCCAATGCAGGCGATCGACTTGCGGGAGCCCGCCTTTTCCACCACATTTTCTGTCCTTGTTCGTCCCATGAATCCGGTCTGAAACAAGAATCAGATAGCACATCTTGGAAGGACAGACGACTGGTGGTTTGCTCAGGTCAGCTTTGATGTTTTTCTTCGGCAGGAGAGCGCACCCCACAGTCGGTCCAATTTCAGCAATGATGCGCGTCCCTGCCTGACGACATAAGCTCAAAGTGCTTGGGGCCGATACACTTATTCTCCGAACCTAGCAACCCGGACATCGTTGTGTCTTGTCGGACAATCGTCAGCATGGACGACGTATATGTTGGCGCTCGACCGTCAGTCTGCTCCTGGGCATTTGCTCGTTCGACGTCCAAGCCCGGCTACCACAAACAGCTTGCTTTTTCCATATCACCACCCCCTTGATATACGTATAAACACCACCAATTGAATTGACAAGTCATCTTCTGCACAATGCCTCATTTGGAGGAAAGGATTCGCATCGCGATTGCTGGCGGAGGCATCGGAGGCCTCTGTCTTGCAGTCGGTCTGATGGAATACCCCAACCTGGACGTACACATCTACGAAGGCGTACCGAAATACACCGACATTGGTGCCGGACTTGCGCTGCACAAGAACGCTATCACTGCCATGGACCTTATCCACCCCGCAATCAANAAGACGTATTTCGCCAAAGCTCTTACCATGGCTGGAGAAGAAGATGAGGAGATGGTTACACAAGTTGTCCTTGTCAGTGGACCTAACACTGGAGAAGTAGTCGCGGAGTTGGGCAAAGCAAAGGGTCGCAGGACGGTGGCTAGATCGGATTTGCTTGATGGTTTACTGGCCTTGTTGCCGAAAGATCGTGTTTCTTTCGGTAAGAAGCTCGACAGTATCAAGGAAGACGATGCCAGCGGCAAGGTTACACTNACATTCAAGGACGGTACCACAGTAGAGGCCGACTGTCTGCTTGGTGCGGATGGCGTACATAGTGGGACTCGCAAACATATCCTTGGACCGGATCACCCAGCCGTACCGCCGAAGAACCCTGACGGCTGGAGGGTACACTCGCGTCAAGTGCCCATGGATATTGCGATGAAGACAATTGACTCGAAGTGGAGGCGGACAGTGCCGATTCTCTGTGGTAAGGAAGGTCACGTCAACATGATGCCTCTTCACATGGGAAAGATATTGAGCATTATTTGCGTGACACGTACCGGTATTGCAAGCGATGGCAGTCTTGCGCCCTTCGAGAAGGAGCGTTTCGCAGATTATCGCGAGGATGCAAAAGCCGCTGTTGAGGCAAGTCAAAAGATTCAAATTCTACAACAGACAAGCCTTGTACTGACTATATATGAAACANNGCTTGTGGCTGAGAATCCTCACATCACATGGGAGCTTCAACAACACGAACCCGCCCCCTACTACAATCGCCGTAACATCGCCGTCATGGGAGATGCAGCACATGCATGCATGCCTTTCGTCGGACAGGGTGCAGCTCAAGCCATCGAAGATGCTGCAGTTCTCACAGCGCTCTTCCGCCGTCTAGAAACACCCTCGCAGATCGAGAAGGTTCTGGCAGCCTATGATCAAGTCCGCAGACCCCGTGCACAAGCAGTCGTTACCATGGGCTGCGACTTTGGCCGCCTGTACGATTTCGCGCTACCAGGTGTTGAGGACGATCCAGTCAAGATGAAGCAGTTCATGGGAAAAGCTGCGGCCTTCACCAACAACGCCGATTTGGGGAAGCAGAACCAAGACGCTCTGGATGCGTTCGAGGCTCTGATGTAAATGTCGTGTATGCGTCTAGTTTAGCTCACTATGCACGACATCTGAGCGATCGACCGGCAAAGGGAAAAATTGTCGAGGCTTAATCGGCGTATGGGTTGGAGCGGCAATTTAGACATTGCTACAGTACTCTGGCAAAGGTATCAATGCATATGTATCATGATCTTTATCATTTCGAAACAAGTCAATTATGATCCCCCGTCACATATGCAAGTCGATCCTTGCAACAAGAAAGCAGGACCAATCGTACAATCCAGTGGCTTTTCTGCTTTATATCGGTACTTGTGTCTTCTTGAGCGATTACACTGCATATCTTATGACAGCTTGGCCAGCCCGCTCAAGTAGTGCAGGACTCGAAAATGCCACTACCTTATCTATACATGCCGATCTCTTTTGTACACCTCTCTGAGCAAAGAGCAACAACATACCAAATAAGGTCTTTCATCGGCATCATATCCAAGCATCTTTGTTCCCGCAAAGCAACACTTACTCTCTATCATCAAGAATAGAAATGTCCTACTCATTATTGCGCCATAACGCCATCGCGTCAATGCAGCAAACTATTTTCTTCAGTCGATGATATCAAAGGAGATAGAATAACACGCCATGGCATGATTGGTCTGTGTGTTTTTTTTTACCAACCACGCCATTTACGTGCTGTGCTGGTGGCAGTTCACCGCTTCTTTTGCTGCTTGTACCCCGCTTCTCGTAACCGTTCTTTGTCGCTGCTATACCGGTGATTTTGTCGTTCTCAGCAAAGACAAAAGAGTGGGTTCAAGGCAATGCATGGATGGCATAACTCTGCTCGGTGCCATTTTCTTGGCTTCCAGGCAGGGAGTTTATCGATGCCCTTTGCCCTTTGCCCTTTGCCAGTCGCCATACAACCCTAATTCCCCCTTTCCCCTAACCTTTGCAACCAAGATGGTGTATCTAACTCCGCGAACCTCAAACTGTCAAACCATCACCGAAGAGACGTTTTGTGAGGAGGATCAGACCTGGGCGGTTTCAAGAACAAACGCTTTTGCGCATCGGCTCGATCTGAGACACGAACGAGCGTGGGGGTTGGTGCAAGAGAGAGAGAGAGAGATGCGGGGTAATCCAAACAAAAACAGATTGCCTAATGCAGACTTGGGTTTGCAATATAGCCAGTCATGGCGATGGGATACCAAAAAACCCTGGCAATGACAGGCCGAGAATCGTTCATCCCGTTCCGTTGCGCGCAAAAGGGGGGAATGGTTCAAGGCATCCCATGCACCAAAGCCCATTGCTTCTAGAAAAGCGCAAACAGGAGGCCTTAAACCAAAAAGCGAGGACACAGTGGCAGTACTCCCCGATAATAGACAAAGTCTGGTAGGTTTGACAGTGATATGCAGGGAGAGCTGGGGCCTTGAAACCCTGTCTTGAGTCTCTTTGACCTGACACCTTAACAACTCCTGACTCATTTTGTGACAAGCAAGAAGAGGGGTAAGAATGGGGAGACAAAGTCATCGGATATTGTGATATACTTCTCGGAAAGGAGGAAGGAAGAAAAGGGGATTTGTGTACATGCCACGAGGGACATTTGAGTCACTCGCCGATGCATCACATGCCAAAGTCAATACATCACAAAGAGACGACAAAAGCATCACTGAAAGAGGCAAAAGGACAAGATGCAGAGATCATAGTATGAGTAAGAGCGTGAGCTCCAGAGTGTATTTTCCTTGTTGTACCTTAGCATATGCCCCCGAGCCGTAAAACTCCATTGTATATATTCTGTCGGTAAGCAAAGAAAGAAAAGAAAAAAACACAGAAAAGCCATTCGCATGCAACATTCAACCATAATGCGCATCCGCCGTAAATCATAAAGATCAAAATGCAAAGAAACAAGAAGCTTGGGTATAGATCAGGAACGAGAGTTGCAAGGAAATCAAACATCGCAGAAAAAACAGAACCAGACAAGCGAGCGGAAAGCATGCGTGAGAAACCCAGACCGAGAACGCCGAAATGCTGTGTATGATCGCAGAAAAAGGACGAGAGACAGCGTGAGTTCATGACGAGAAAAAGGAGAACATCAATCCAGAAGTTATCGTTTTCGTGATTTGTCGTCATAGAAAGAGCCATCCATCATGATAAGGAAATCGCGCGCGTTTTGTGTTTTCGAGTGCAGTGGGAAGATCATCGACTAGATCTTCTTCCTCTCATCTCATTCCTCAATTGCTCCAAGATCTCGTCATGCTCACTCACAGTCCAGAGATGGGGACTGGGTGCCACGAAGGAGTGAGGTCTTCCACTCAATGTCCTAAATCTCTTATATCTAGGGCGTTGAAGTTTAGGACGGTGAGTTCGCGGTGAAGGTGCGGTGACAGGTCTATCCATTTCGTCGAGGTGGAAGTTGTTTTTGCGACGCAGGACACGGCTGCGTCGACGATCTGCCTCCCAGCCATCTACCTCTTCGTCTTCCTCGTGGATAACATCTTTCAGTGTCGTAAGAGAGGGAAGGCGAGGTGGCGGAGAAGAGGATGGTGAGCCAAAGCCCTCGAGATCGTCGATGATGAGTTCAGGCAGTTGGTCTTCTGACGGCGGTGTCCTCGGCGGTGTCTGCTGTGATTTTTGTGGCGACGGCGAACGGCGTGACGACAAGAAGTTTCNCCATTTCTCCTCCAACCTGACGCGGAACGTCGTTCTCTNTTGCTCTACTTCCTCGTCGAAGGGACTGTCGATGCCAGCGTTGTAGTCGAGGCCATCAAAGGGGTCGTCTTCGTCGAGTACGGGCGACAGGAAGTGTGAGAAGGGGTCCTCGTCTATATCATCCATTGCAGGCGGCGATGGACTCTTGCTATTGCTCTTTGACATATTGGTTGTGATGGTTTGAAGATTGGGCCATGTTGTACGGCGAGATTGCTTTTGTGCTGCAGCAGAGGTGGACATCAAGCTTGTATGTAGGCAGCAACCAGAAGGCAGATGATGTGAGGCGGTGTTGTGTTTAGGGTGTCGTAGACGTTGAGGTGTACAGTAGTAGTGTAGTGGTAGGCAGCAGAGGGGAAGGAGGATGGTGGGCTGTGCTATGACTGAAATGACAGACTTGTGCAACAAGAAAGAGTCACGGAAGAGCAAAGCAAAAAAAGCTAAATGGTCAGGACTCCCAGTGACGACGTAGCGTATGACAAACAAGACGCAAAGACTCGAGGATCTTCGCGGGACTTGGTTAATATAAAATGGGATATACGAGTAGAGATGTGGATGGGAGCCAGAGCGTGGGAGGAGGGGCAACCGCAAGGATCGGATAGCATATATGAATGATTACCAGTTATCAAGTGAAACGGTCATCTAGGAAATGGCCTGGAAATAGGCACAACGGCTCTCCCTTCACCGCTCACGCGAACAAGTAGATCGACCAAGGACCACTTGTTAGACCAAGCGTCTAGCCGGCACATGATGGCGCCCGGACGTTGGGAATAATGTTCGCGGTATGGGGACACGGCCCTTCTGCCTCTTTGATGCGTCAAAGGTGCCAAAAGGTCAGATCATCAGATGTAGATTGTGGATTGAGGGGGAGGGAGTCATGCCGCGCGCGACAACGCGCCGTCTGACTCTTGGCCCCTCGTGTATCTGCGCCGCGTCAAGCTTGATTCATGATGATCATGATCATGATGGCGGAGCATCAAAGCCAAAGAGATTGCATGCATACTTTACGGACCTACGAGTACGAAAGTACTGTTCATGACAAAAGGGCAAGAAGCATGAATTGACGAGCCGAAAGGAAATCAAAGCGAGTATTGCGGAGAGGAAAAGGGCCGGGAACAAGAAAAACATAGTCAAGCAGCAATGCCAGCCAGTCAGGCTTCGTGATAAATTAGGAGCCCAGCACGCCTCGAAATCTCCCGTTTTCCCTTTAGGACCGGACCGCAACGCAAAGCACGGAGCTGGAAAAGAACGACATTATCACCAGAGCAGCTAAATGATGAAGCCAAGAACGCTCTTCACGAAATGAACGATTCGTTCAAGCAGCCAAAAGATGTACACCGGTGCCTGGGCTGGGCAGCGGCCTACACACCCTCTTTTTGCCTTCAAGCGTGCACAACATCCGCATGACTTGTGTCCAGCAGCGAGCAGAAAAATGACCAAGGGACGCGATAGGGCTCTTTTGTGATGGCAGGTGTGTGTGCGCATGAGAAGCCTTGATTCGCACGAACGAACGGTCAAGCGCATCTGGCCTTTCTCCCTTCATGCATCTCTTCTTTCGCTACCTGATTCGTACACCCGCATGACGATTCAAGCCTACTGGTTTTGACGATCTACACGCCTGTTGCGCAAGCCATTGCGACTGGCTCATATAAAGTACGCAGCGGCTTAGCAAAGTATAACAGATTGGCTGGCAACTAGATGAATGATTTGCTTTGCAGCGGTGTGTTGAGACAAGGCTTGCATGACGCCTTTTGGCTTGCCGGTGATTGCGATTCGTGTTTTGTGATTTTTGCGGAGAAGGGAGACGAGGAGGATGGGTGGACCATCTCTGCAGATCACCGTCAACAACTCCAACATGCATGCAGGGTCTCGCCGCTGGTGCTCCCTGCTTGCTGTGTGGCCGTTAGGGGATTCTGATACCGTGTCTTTGCCTGCTGCATACCTTTAGAAGACTCGAGGCTCTTGACTGTTGTTGTGTGTGATACGGCAACAGCGTTAGCCGTTTGTCGAGCTGATGAGTGTGATTTGCATTTCCTTGGTTTCTCTGGTACGTATGACTTCAATGGCAAGAACAGTTGCTATCTCGTTCTTTGCTTATCTTATCAATACACTTTTACCGGTATATTTACTCGTGACTTCTGGATCGCGGTCTGCATTTCATGGTGCACAGCTTTTGCAGCTCTTGTCTCCGCCTAACGATCACTGGCTTGCATGCTTTTACGGCCGGGAAAAGCGGAAAGAAGGGATAGGCACTTGAGTAAATTGCATGATAACTTAGGGCCAAGGGAGATGTCGGCTTTCGATGTCAGACTTGTTTGAGGATCTGTTACAGCTTTTGATTCTCGGCCCGTATCCGTTTAAGCTGTGTTACATCCAAAGCGAAACATTGGCTTAAGGGCTCGAGTACTTGTAGTTGTACTGCTCCTTGGCCTCATCCCTCAACTTCTGCAACTCGGTATTCTTGTCCGCAAACTCCTTGTCGTCTTTGAGCTTTTGCTGGAAGTTGGCATTGATCATAGGTGAAACGCCAGGGATAGCTTGACCCTTTTGAACTGCCGGGCGATCATTGATCGACTTCCACCACTTCTCCAAGTTGGGGAACTTGCTGAGGTCGACGCCCGAGAAGTATGCTAGGTTGACCCAGCTGTAATTTGCAATGTCGGCGATCGTATACCTGTCGCCAACGAGGTAGGAGTTGTCCTTGAGCTGGTTGTCCAAGATTCCGTAAAGACGTTCCGTCTCGCCTACATAGCGNNCTATATGACACAAAAAGCGGTCAGTATGCGGCTTCGAACCTTATCATGGAGCGCAGTCCGAAAAATTGATGCTACGCACCTGTGTGGGATAAGCGATCCTTTCCTTCGCGAGTCTGTAGAAGTGGTTGGCTTGACCTTGCATAGGTCCTAGACCGCCGTGCTGCCAAGCGACCCATTGCTCTTGGTACGACAGCTGAGGGTCTTCCTTGAACGAGAACTTGTTCTCCGTGTCTATTGATGCAGGTCAGGATACCGTCTAACCTTACGCCCCATAGATCGGGAGTAGCTTACCGTAGTGTCTAGCAAGATAAGCGAGGATGGCNNTGGGAAGAGACAGATCGAGTCAGCTTGACACTTCCTTTCCAAGATTGTCGTGTCCAGGATACGACTCACCAGAACCCTCCTGAATCGCGAGACCGCCCTTGTCATGGTCAATGAGAACAGGGATACGGCCATTAGGTCCCAACTTTGTGAACCAAGGCTCTTNTTGTGTGTTCTTCATGATGTTGACACTCTGGTAGACATAGTCCTTGCCATAAGCTTCCTTCAACTCCTCAAGAAAGATTGTGATCTTGTGGCCATTGGGAGTGCCAAAAGTCAAAAGCTCAAGGCCCTTGTTGGCGATCAAGCCGGTGGGTTCGGGTGCATCAGAAGACATGATGTTGGAAATGGGTTTCGTGATTGCTTCAGGTATTACACGAACGTATTGACGTTGAGTTTGTGCAAGACGAAGAATTGGACTACGAAGGAACATTTGGGATGGGAGGATAAAGTGATACAAAGAAGTCGTTCGAGATTGTGTAAGCAGCGAGCTCGCCTCGACGTCATCGACAACTCTTCGGGAGACCTCTCCGTCTCAACCCCGCAATTTATCTCCGGTTGCTCCAGCAGTGATCGTGTAATCAGAGACCCTCGAGTTGGAGGACGACCTCCCCGTGTGCTAAAGACAGTCACAATTCGGCAACTGACCCTTCTCCCTCGCGAGGTACAAAGGGTTGGTATAAGCTATCGAAATGCACAGTTGCGATTCGAATATAAGTCTGTCCACTGAGACAACCCTCATTAGGGTTCTCTCTATGGAGACCACATTCCTTACCAAAGTATTGTGCATTTTTGCAGCTACACTGTGACTGTCTTTAGCACACGGGGAAGGAGAAAATGAAAGACAGGAATCCGCAAGTCGAGAGAAGAGATTTCGTAGATCTAACGATTGCATTCAAAGCGCTTTTTGGTCGTGCGGGTATACTAAACTACTCATGAAGAAACAACATCTCAGAAACGCCCTTCGCAATGCTCATAACGCCATGATTTTCCCATCCATCGTGCAACCATCCTGACCTCCTGGTCATCTTACGCAGCAGCAGCAATTGTCTTGGGGAGGCAAGCAAATGCAGATTCGAAAGCCGATTTCTTCCTTCCATGCTCGGCTTCGGTAATGCCAAGTTTGCGGACCACCTTCATTGCGCCAGTGCCGATGGACATGCTTTGTCCCATAATAATGCATTCCGAGACACCTTCGATGCGATCTCTCTTCATGCCCACTGCAGCGTTGAACAGATGATCGGGAGTCTTCTCGAAGGATGCAAGCTGCAAGACCGAATCTCTCATCTTCGCAAGACCGAAACGCGTGATACCAAGGACATCACCCTTGTAGGTCATGACGTCTGCAAGCAGTTGCATGTGACGAGGATCAATGTCCATACCTCCCATGACCGAGCTGATTTCCGCAATGATGGTGCTGCGAGCGGCTTCGATACCGAGCACGTCTTTGGCCTCCATGACATTGTTGGATCGTGTTTTTAGACCGTCCACGCCTTCGGTCGTCATGCAGGCCTTCAAGCCATAGCCTTCTACCAGCACTGACACAGGCTCGCGGCCAGTGGCATCGGGCTTGTCATCCTTCTTGACAATGGCACGGGCGCAGTCTGGGTAACCCTTCACCACCACGTTGGGAAGGATGCGCTTCAAGTCTTGAATGATGTCGAAAATCTCGAGGGGTTTGCGGGTCTTGTTAAGTGCTGCTTTGCCACGAGGTTCAGGGACGTATTGGACGTTAACGCGGATGTGTGTTTTGCCAACTGGCGCAACCTGTACACCAAGTGCTTTTACGGCCTTGCTTTTTGCGATGGCGAAAGTAATGTCTTGGGTGGTAAGGCGCAGACCCAGCTTCATGACTGTATCCCAGTTGATACGCATGTTGACATATGAACTGGTGACTGACCAGACATCTTCGATGTAAGCGATAATGTCGCGGAGATATGTCTTTTCGATCATCGCTTTTGCGACACGACCAGCGACAGTCTCGTATTTCGAGTCGAGTGTACACGAAATGACCGGAGTTGATATTACACGACTTGCATTGATAATTTCCTTGATGCGAGGTACGCCTTGAGTAATACTCATACCGGCGACACCAGCAAAATGGAAAGTCTTGAGCGTCATCTGTGTACCAGGCTCACCAATGGATTGGGCACCAGTGGCTCCGACGGCGTGACCTGGTTGGACCTTGGAACGCTCATACTTGGTCAAGCACAGCGTGAGGAATTCCCTGATGGCAGCAGTTGAAATTTTGTGCACACCATCAGCGATTGTTCTTTGCTCGCAATCGTCCGCCACCGCAGCATCAATGTCACCGAGATCTTTGACACCAGATTCCATACCAATCTTGGTGCGGATGGCGGCCAGCTTATCGCACTTGATCTGGATATAGTTTTGAACAGTGTCGAGGAAGTCACGAGCACTCTCCAACTGATCAACACCGTGGTCGCTTCTGTCGTTGTAGCCGAGCTTCTCGCCTGTCAAAGAAATACGCTCAAGCTTCGCTCTCTCAGGGTCAAGAGTGTCGGTCGTGATTTGCATGATCTCAGATGGTCTCAAACCACGGTCGTTGAGGTCCCATGTAGTGGTGACAGCATGGGTGAAACTGCGGTCGAAGTGCACAGGCTTTGCGCTGCCCTCCATATCCACAGGATCCAACTTATCGTCTCCGTACTGGAATTGGACAATACCAGAAGATGAATTACGGACAGTGTTGTCGTATTGAGCCGACAAATCTTCGAGTGACTTCATCAAACGACGAGACATGTAACCAGTTTCGGCGGTCTTGACAGCAGTATCGACCAGACCTTCACGACCAGACATGGCGTGGAAAATGAACTCTGTAGGGTTCAAGCCTGAGAAGAAACTGTTTCCGACGAAACCTTTGGCAGGAGCATCTCTGCTGCCCTTGGCGAAGTGAGGCAGAGTACGATCCTGGAAACCTTCCAGAACACGCTTACCACCAATAATTTGTTGACCTACAGCAGCAACCATTTGGGAGACGTTGATGTTCGAACCCTTGGAACCACACTTGGCCATGACAAGGGGTGAGTTGCGGCGACTGAGCTCAGCGAAACAAGCGTCACCAGCTTCTTGACGAACTTTCGAAAGAATACCAGAAATCTGGTTCTCCATGGTCATCTCTTCGTCACAACCAGGATCGCGCTCCAGCTCTCCCTTGTTGTAGAGGTCAATAAGCTCATAACACTTGGCCTCTGCGGTTCTGATCAGGTCCATCTTCTTCGCCGTCAGTGCATCACTAGGGTATACATCGCTGATACCGAGCGAGAACCCTTGGTTAGTGAGCCAACGCGCGGACAATCTAGCGAGACGGTTCATAGCATGAACAGCATAGTCGGGACCAAAGTCACGCATGATGACATAGAAGACTGAGTCTTTCTTTCCATCACCAACTGTCGCCTTGTCCATGTAACCACACATGACTTCGGAATTGCGGATGACCAGGTAAGCATCGTCCTCATTCATGTCGGGTGCAACACCCTTGGGAGGAGCCTTGTATTGCTTGCACTTTGCTTCCAAGTTGACCAGGACGTTCAGCTTCTTGTTTGGTCGCATCAGTACGTTCCAGATCTGTTTGCCAGTCCACAGACGTTGCGGCTTCCACACAGTGGGTGGAGGAAGCTCGATGGACAATTTCTCTCCAGTCTCGGGGTCCTCAATAACATCGTCGTGGAACATGAAACCAATGATTTGACTGAAGGTCTTGCGATCGAAGAAGTTGTCCTTGATGGAAGAAAGATAGGCTCCTGTGATGAAATCTTGAATGGCAGCAATGATGGGAGTACCGTTCTTTGGTGTAGCCAGGTTGTTCTTGACACCCATCAGGTTGATGGCTTCGGTACGGGCCTCTTCAGTTTGCGGAACATGCAAGTTCATCTCGTCTCCATCGAAATCGGCGTTGTAAGGATTGCAGACACACTCGTTGAGTCGGAACGTCCTCCAGGGTCTGACCTTAACCTTGTGACTGAGAATACTGAGCTTGTGGAGTGAAGGCTGACGGTTGAACAGCACGATATCACCATCTTCCAAGTGTCGCTCAACAACATCGCCAATAGCCAGCTCTTTTGCGATAAGATCCAGCTTTCCAATGCGCTCCACGACTTCCAGAACCTTCCTCTGACCATCTTTCTTTATGACGAAATTGGCACCGGGGTGCTTCTTCTTTCCTCGGAGGACGCATGCACGGAGTTTCTCGATGTTGTATCTGGTGACACGTTCGGGATAGGTCATGTTCGTAGCGACTTTGGAGGGAACAGCGACCTCTTCGATACTAAGGTTGGGGTCGGGAGAAATGACGGTACGGCCAGAAAAGTCGACACGCTTGCCTGAAAGGTTACCTCTGAAACGACCTTGCTTACCCTTCAGACGCTGACAGAAACCACGAAGGGCTTTACCGTAGGCAGAATCACGACCAAGACCGGGCAGATTACCGTCAATGTACATGGCGATTTGGACCTGTAAGAACTCCCACATGTCAACAATCTTCATGACCGGTTGTCCGGACTTGAGACCAGCAGAGAGAAGAGTGTTGATTTGGATGATGTCTCCGAGCTTGTTTGTGATATCGTCTTCTGTGCTTGCAGCTTCTTGAGCGACTGACGGGCGGATAGCGACTGGAGGAGCGGGCAGGTACTGCCAGATGAAAGCCTCCGGACGGCCTCTGCTTGGATCCATGCCCAGCAACTCGACGTCGGTTGTTGAGATTCTTTGGAACAGATTCAGGGCTCGGAGAGGGTTCATATCATCGACGGCACGTTTGGCGTGCTTCTCCAGATCCGGAACACCCTTCTTGGCCTCGTCGAAGGATTTCTCAAAGGCAACCATAGAGGCAGGCTTGACCTTTGATTTTGCGTTGGAAGCAAGGTACGTCTGCCACTTGACGTGAATGAGCTTGATAGGGTGTCCTGCGACCTTCTTGACGGTGCCGTTGATAGAGCCGCAGTAGAAGCATGTCTTTGTCTNTTTGGCCTCGTCGACGATCTTTTTGCAGATGGCCTCCTTGCGCAGGGAGTCCAGCTCTGGTCTACGGATTTGGCGCAAGTATTTTCGGCGTGTGTTTTCATCGAGCAGGATTCGGGAGCAGTCTTTACAGATGGTGTTGAGAATTTCCATAATCTTCTTGAAGTAGCCCCAGTGGTAGGCAGGAAGGGCGAGGCGGACGTGACCAAAGTGACCATTGCAGTTCTTGAGATCCTCCTTGCACTGCTCACACTGTCCAGTCTTGGAAGAAGTTCCGAGGCGGCCATCGAGAGGACCGTGTGCGGTGAGGGTTCGTTTGCCGCCGGGGCCAGTACCAAGGTCATAAACGTTGCGATCGGAGACTTCGACGACGGACTGCTTTACCATGTCCTGGTTGGANNGCTAAGACACAGTCAGAGATGGCATATTCGAGCGGGCGCATGGCAGCTTGACTCACAGGACACCAAACTCGAGTTCGGAGATGCGCTTAGGAGGGCGGTCGATGACCTGCTCCTTGGGAGGAAGCTCATCGAACTGCTGTGCTTGACCTTCCATGATGGCAGGTGTCGACTAGTTCCATGCAGCACAGACAGGCGCAAGTCTGACTGGCGATGACTTGTTCGCCGAAGTTTGCCGTCTGGTCGATAAATTCACAAGTCCATCCGCTAAGGATTTGCTGCCCGCGTCGGCCACAGGGTCCGAGCTTCTACTGTTTGGCGGGGTCTATCTCCGTCCTTACGTCCGACTTTTATCTATCGTCAGCTCATCAATTAAACAAACTCATCTAAAAGTATATTCATCCATCTGACCAACTTTGTATTGTGCAAGTAAAAGGCATAAGTCTAGATACTGTGTGTGATAGGCTGTCAGGCCTTGTTACGAGGTTGGACAGCAGAAGGCCCCGGAAGAGAGGGGTCGAAGTTCGCAAGGCTTCTGCCTGAAATAGCACCCGAGTGGTCATCAGCATACAAGTTGGGAGAGGTCGAGGATATACTTGGTCTATCTAACAGCTTCTGAAAACTTCTGAAACTCTGCTGAGTGCTTGTGCAGATGTAAGAATGAGAACAGAGTGAAGGGTGTTAGAGCAGAGAGCAGCAGTGAGTTGGTGGTGGCATGTGACAGTGGGTTGGGCCTATCAGTGTGTCTTGGTCCCCGCTCGGGTGCTTCTTGCCTTTTGAGTGTCATCCAACCATCCAACCTTCACTTCCTCCTCCACTCTTATAAAGTCTCGCACTCGGCCTCACACATACTAATCCACCTCAGTTCCTCGTACCTCTTGACTCATCTTTCCTCCGCCGCCATCCAACATGACGGCGCCCTCGTCACATACACAGGCTGGCACTCGTGTGACTGTCTTCCTACATGTCAACTCTCACAAAGGCGCCCAATCCACCGGTCCAACTTCTCGCACTCTGATTATCCCGGAACGCGAGCCTGTATTGATTGGCCGCGCCAGTCTCACCAAGAACAGAGAGCCTGCTATCGACAACGCCCTCTTCACTTGCCCAGTCATGTCGAGATCTCACGCTACCCTCTCGATGCCACAAGGCCCTTATGTATGTACATCCCATCTTCTATCCTACTCCTGATCCTCTTCACCTCTATTCACTTCTTTCCGCTCTCGACAGTCCGACTAACAACCTCAGGGTCCCATCATCCTCGAAGACACTGACTCCATGCATGGTGTCTATGTCAATGGCAACAAGATTTCTCGCACTGAAATCAAGCCCTCGGACGACATCATCTTCGGAAGCAAGGTCACTCGTGCCGAAGGTAAACCAGTCTCTTAACTTCTTCGAGCACCCTCGACTAACTCACATCCCNNAGGTACTCACGACGGTGTCAGACTCACCATGAACAACATCAGCCGCGAGGGTGCCACCTTCAGCAACCCCATCGATCTGTCTGGAACCACCAAGACTATGCCTCCCGCTTCATATCGTGTTCCTGGTTACGAGACCGATTCTTCAAGGGACGACAGCATCAACACCACCTTTGAACAGCCCGCCGTTGTCGAGTACATCGATCTCGACCCTGTCTCCTCTCCTGCCCGCTCCCATGGCTTCGTGGAATCTGAAGATGAATTTGAAACACAAGTCTACTACAACGGCGCCGACTCTGATTCCGAGTTCGACAGCGATGACGAGGCCAACGACTACCCTGAGAATCCTGATGAATTCGATGATGATGATGAGCAGAGTCTTGCTAGCTTAGATGGCAGTCGTTCTCGCGGTTCTTCTCTGGCATGGGAGGGAGAGATTACGCAGAGAGATCAAGTAGACTCTGAACTTTACGAAGTCTTCGGATCCCATAAAGAGCCGGAGACCGCAGCAACCCGCGTCGACGAGACCGCTCCTCCTAAGGCCACATACATTCAGGGTGAAGAGAAGGAGAAGGCTCGCGAGACAGCCGAGATCATGTCGCTGCCCTGGATCCTCGAACCTTCCGACCGCTGGAACACATCTGCCGTTACACTTACACCAAACTCTATCATGCCCAAGGTACCTTCAACCTCCATTGGTAAGGTCGCCGAACTTCCTCCCATCTCAGAAGGCAAGAAGGATGTAAGTCATGCTGGAGCCGCTGGTGCTCAAGATACAGACAAGGATATCGAGGACCAGGACACATCTCTGAAGGGTCAACAAACCAGCAGCAAGATTGACAAGATCGAAGACTCCAAGACTATTGAGGAGAAAGAGGTCGCCGTTCCAACAGCAAATGAACTATTTGCCAAGGTGGACTCTCCCACTGGAAGCAAACGTAAGCGTGACATCGAGGACGATGGACACGAAGACGTCCCTGCTCCTTCCACTGAACGCAAGTTGCTCAAGTTGAAGTTCAACAAGCAGCAAATCCTCAAGGACTTCTTCAAGGGACGAACCCAGGCCACATCTCGACCCGCCAAACGTGCAAAGCCTTCACCCGCTAGATTCGCCCTGGGCGCATTCGCTGGCGCTATCGGTGGTGTCGCTACTGTGGTCGGTGTGCTCATGACTCCCCAGTGCGAGCAGTTGCTGGCTAATTGGCCAATCTCATGATGGGGGGAAGTGTATTGATAAGGATGTGGGTTCAGTTTTGCAGTATGGGCTGCTATAGAGAGTCTCCAGAAAAGGTCTCGACGTCGCCAAGGTCACCTGCAAGCTTCTTTTCTTGTTTCTCTGGAGGGTGGTCTGCTTTTGCTTTTTCTGCTTTTGATTTTTGATTTTGGGTCCGGGGAGTTATCACGGCGAGTTGGACTTGCTGTTCTAAGGGGGTATACCACGAAGAAAACGATGACGATGATAATGCAAGTCTTTTGTTCACGCTGTTCCTCTCACATGTATCAAGGGAAAGTCAAGCTTGCTGGACAGTTTGTGAGTACAGCACCGAGCCACACATCTTGTCTTCACTGTAGTCGCATGGATATCACACGAATGGCTCCTTTCAGCACCTTCCTCTCTATCTTTCGACCAGTAATACAACGTAATGCTCTCACTAATCGTCACTGTCACTAACGCATCCGTGAATCAATCACCGCCTATTATATAACCCCACCCTTCTTCTGTGACTTCCACACACACAATGTTCATGTGGAGAAAGATCGAAGAAACTGGTAAAGGATCGTAGGTGAAATCTCTATGGTCTGGGTTGCATTTGTGAATCCAGAAGATCCAGGTTAGTCCATCGGGTCAACATCCAATCATTCTTTTGTATATCCCCAGTTATGAACAAGAGAATTCAAAAACTTGGTGGTTAGTTTCAACAAGTTGAAGATACCGGATACAGGGAGATGGTTCCTGCAAGTCGAAGGATTTAGTGACCTGGTTGCTGTAGGAAGGGTATTGGGATAAAGTGGTGGCAGTTCTAGCCATTTCTGAGTAATCGGCGGGAGAGAAGAGGCGATCGGAATATAGGGAGTGCTCTATACGAGCCTTCGCGAATGTGCGGCATGATTAGGATAATAGTAATGAATGTAGGTGTTGCCTAGCGATTGACTGCGAAGGGGTATGAACACGGTTGTTTATCTAGAAGAAATGGCTGTAGTTGTAGTTATAGTCCTTCAGAGCTGAGGTTTAGTATGAAGAATAAAAGACTTTGAACCGTAGACTTGACTTTGATGTCGACTTTGAATGGCGATGGTATGGGTTCTGTCGTATCTGACAAGCAATCATATCGTGGTGCTGGATGCTGCAGTGTCTTACTCTCGCTTAAGTCTCACAAGATTTGGATTGAAGAGGAGAGATATGTAAATACCAACCTTCGATAATTCAATATAATGCATCTTGAATACGATCTGAGCATTAATTACTCAACACACATCCACCACGGCCACCTTCCCAAGAGAGTGCGCATTAGGGTCAACTGGAAGACTGCTACAACAGACACTATATAAATAGGCTGAACTTGGAGAAGATGACAGCTGAGAAAGTACCTCGAGGTGCAACCGGGTTTTGACATGGCACTGGCGCTAGTCATTGTGATGAGGTTAGAATGGGAGGAACACCAATTTCTAGGTATCCAATTCTGATTGGGTCTGCACGGACTGGGAGAAAGAGAGAACCAGGTCCATGGTCTGCTATTCTTGACTTATATCCCCTTGTTCGAGATCAGGAGTATGGGAACAGTGTTGAAGTGATTCAAAAGTATCATGTGAGAGGGTAGAAGGTAGGAGAGAGTATAGCAGGGCAAAATAAGATGAGGAAGTGTCACCAGTTTATCTCTCTTTACTGCATCGGTCCTGTATCTCCTAACTGAGAGAACAAAAGAGCAGCATGTGTTGATGTAACTCAACACTATCAAGTTTGAAGCACCGCAGGGCAGGAGATGCCGCTCGGGTTGAAAGGATCGGTGACCTAAAGGCCGCATTTCCCTTCCAGCCCGTAGTACTAAGCAGGTAGTTTAGGCAGGAACCTAAACGTATTTCGGCTTGGTCTTCCATTCAATTGTGCCGTTGGCCTTATGACGTTTCGGTTGATGGTGTTCGCCGGGCTTGTCGAGAGTCAGTACACGCTCAACGGTGCGTGTCTTGTGTGTTTCGTAGGAGGTAATGATAAGTGCCCTGCAAGCAGAAATATTTCTCTGGTCAAATACCCACTTGAGGTGGTTAGGGATCGATGCAGGAAAGTTTGCCATGTGTGATCTTGTCAGCGTTCTCTCTCCCATGGATTTCTTGAAATTGTGCATGCGCAGTGACCTTACAAGTGAAAGAACAGCGAAGAAGAGAGATACGAGATTTCGTGGCACCTATCTTGTATGTGAGTATATAAGTCGAACTTTCGTCCTTTCTTGATCAATTGCCAACATCACAGTGTGATATGAGACATTCGCTGAACACGACACCGCATACACGTATCCAGATATCGAGCCCAAGGAAATATCAGACATCGATTTCGGGACAGGTTAGAAGCCTGTAGAACGTATACACCTCGAAGATCAGTCCCTCAGGTCCTCGAACCATGCCCTACCTCCCGTGCAAACACAGGAGTCTAGGATAGTATCATGTTGTACATCGACAAAATCTCGACCATCGGTGAGTGCAGGAGACTTGATTGGAAGAATTTAGGTGTATTGGCCTGACGATGTGCTTGTTCTCTGTCGTAGGATCCAGGCGAACAGTATAATGCATCTTCAATCAATTAGGCACGAGAGTCACGCTTGTCATTGGGGTTGGGTCTCTGTCCACGTTGATGGCGGCGCCTCATGGCGCGTTGACAGCGTCTGCAGATTCTTTGGTAGCTTTTACATTTATAGTGTCCAGAAACTTGACAGTGAATGTCAATGGTGCTTGAAGGAGTGAGGCCTACGGGTTGTAAACAGGGTCAGAGAAGCAGCAAGTGAGAGCAAGCCGTAGTTACCCCATGTAGACTAGTATCATGACGAGTCATTCACAAAACATGTCATGCCGGCCATGAACATCGAAATCACAAGCAAGATTCAACGTCAAAAAGTGGCTGCAATATAAGAATGCCTCTTGGACAGCAGACGCTCACAGGTAAGATGGTCAAAAGTAGGTGATCATAGAAAAAAAAAGAACCTTTTGTCCTGTCATTGCCATTTTGGTATGTAACACAAGCTCAGAATACATCGTGAAAAAAAAAAGAAAAGGGTAGTCAAAAAGGAAATCAAGGCCCAACACCCTCAAAGGTCATATCGTATAAAACAGGGAAGAACAACTTTTGTGTGGTTGCCTTTAGTTGTTCTCGGGACGGAGGCTGCGGACGGCCTTGCCGGCGCGCCAGATCTCGAGGTTGCGGATCTCCTCCATCTCGGCCTCGAACTTCTCGCGGTAGTCGGATTGCGAGGCGTACTCGAGGGTGCGGCGGGTCTCCTCACCAGTCTGGACGGAGGTGTAGAGGTCGTCGAAGACGGGCTTGAGGGCGTCCTTGAAGCGGGCGCTCCAGTCGATGGCACCACGACGGGCGGTGGTGGAGCAGGCGGCGTACATGTAGTCCATGCCGTGGGCGCCGATCAGGGGGTAGAGGGACTGGGTAGCCTCCTCGACGGTCTCGTTGAAGGCCTCAGAGGGAGAGTGGCCGCGCTCACGGAGAACCTCGTACTGAGCGAGGAACATACCGTGGATACCGCCCATCAAGCAACCACGCTCACCGTAAAGGTCAGAGTAGACCTCCTTCTCGAAGGTGGTCTTGTACATGTAACCGGCACCGACGGCGACACCGAGAGCGACAGCCTTCTCCTCGGCCTTGCCGGTGACGTCCTGGAAGACGGCGACGGAGGCGTTGATACCACGGCCCTCCTTGAAGAGAGTGCGGACGGTACGGCCGGAACCCTTGGGGGCACAAAGGATGACATCGATGTCAGAGGGGACCTCGACCTTGGTCTGGTCCTTGAAGACGGGGGAGAAACCGTGGGAGAAGTAGAGAGTCTGGTTGGATGGTTAGTGATGTGCGGAGAAAGCTGTGAGAGCAGAATAGCGTACCTTGCCCTTGGTGAGTTGGGGCTTGATGTGAGGCCAGGTGGAGGACTGGGCGGCATCGGAAAGGAGGTTCATGATGATGGTACCCTTGCTGATGGCCTCGTCAATATCGAAGAGGTTCTTGCCCTCAACCCAGCCATCCTGCTGGGCCTCCTTCCATGAGGCACCGCCCTTTCGGACACCAACAATGACGTTGAGGCCGTTGTCACGGAGGTTGAGACCCTGACCGTGACCTTGCGAACCGTAGCCGATGAGAGCAAGAGTGTCGTTCTTGAAGTACTCAAGGAGCTTCTCGCGAGGCCAGTCGGAGCGCTCNNTGGAATCAAAGTCAGATACAGCTCAGTTTTTGATCAATTGGGACTCAATCTCACCGAAGACCTTCTCCTTGTCACCAGCAAAGTCAACGGTCTTGACACCGCGAACCTGCTGAGCAGCAACGGAAGCTCTGGGGAGCTGCTTGACACCAGTGGTGCGGGCAGCGTTCAGGGCAGCGCTGAGGTAAGTGCGCTGCTGCTGGACAGCGGGGCGCGAGGCCTGCTTCAATGCGGCGCGAAGAGTTCTGCTGGCAGTGCGAGAAGACATTGTGATGGATGTGTGGATGGATAGAACAGAAAGAGCGTGGGAGTCTTTGATTTTTTGAAGGCAGCTGTGACTACGTCTCGTTCGGCCGCTTCAGCACGCACAGACGGCGGCCATCACTACTACGCCTGCGACATCGGCTCTGCCCCAGACTCCCTCGTCCTGGGCCACTCTTCTCCAGCAAATTGTGCAATATCCATTACCAATGAAAAGACACCGAGCCTCCTTTAACCGTCTTGCTGACCCTCGAGGCCCTGGTGTTGCATGTGAAACTGCGATTCGAAAACTTCATCCAGCAACCATGAGCTTTGCGAAAATCCCACAAAGCTAAGCGAGGAATATCGCGGAAACGGCTCCCTGCCCACCCAACAACCACATGCTCATTCTTCTGACAAACAGCACCGGATAACATGCTGCCAGACGTCAAACTGTCCCCACCGGGTGACGATGATTTGGTAGGACACCCCGAGGACCCCGATGTGCAGGCCCGCGCAGGGACCATTGGCTCGCCGAGCGTCATCGCCCATTCGAGGCCGACATCGTCCGCAGCGCCATCTTTTGTACTGCACAGAGCCTCATACCAGTAAACACTCCGTTGTCGCAAACAACATGACTGTGCCAATCTCGTGACTCAGACAATGAGCACTCCTGATGCTGTTTCTACGTTCCTTCCTCAACTTCATTCTCACCAATTGCCGACTTTCGCTGTCGAAATAGACCATGTTGTTCGGCCTTGTTGTGAGATCATCCGCTGAGAACGGCTCTACCACGGACTCTCGCCCGACCACGCTCTAGGCTCTGAATGAGTTATGCATTGTGATGGCATACATATCAGTATTCATTCCAGACGGAGTCTCTGTTCTTGTGTTAACATGATGTCAGCATCAAAACTAGGACATTCATCATGCGCGAACTTTTTCGCAGCTCAAATTTAACAATGTTGGTCGTCTAGCTGTCGGCCACCAAGCCACGATTTCTTGTTCGATTGCGTCAGACCAGCACAAGCACGCCCGAAGACGCGACAATGGTTTCGACAACGATCGACCAGCCTCCGAGGACAAACGAATTTAGACCCGTCCATCTCGCTCGATACTACACATACCGAGATCAAGGGTAACAGAAAGAAGGTCGCCAAGCTCAGCATGCGTGAACTGAAAGACGCCTCACAAAACGATTCGAGAGTCAATCCTCTATCAGGCCTATGGCGCTGAAAAAGGTTGCGCCTATCTCATCCTGTGAGCAAGGAAATGATGGCAGCTTTTTGGCGTGGATTCAGAAGACTGCCACAAACCGAGCTCGGAGGAAGCCAGAAGACTCGGTCCAGTCAGCAAGAGCAAGTGCAAAGGGCATACGCAGCATACGATCACCTGGTCATCTCAGCCCTACTCGAGTCGCAGGAATGTGGTTGTCGAGACGTATGGTTGCATACGAGATCGAGACTGTCCTCGGAGAGGGCTCACTCGAGAAGCTCTTCAACCATCGTGTCACCTCTTCGAGAATTTATGTTCTAGAGATGGTCGCAAACCATTGCTGACCAGGGGAAAATGGCCGAACACGAGAAGGTGAGTGTAACAATATCTTGTTGTAGGTAAAAATGAAATTCATGCTTTGGTATCTTTGACATCTCAAACTCGTACTCTTCTGGCGCCTTTCTACGACTCGTTCATAGGTTCTTCCGCTACAAAGCTCAGGTACGAGCCCAAGAGCTTGATTCCCTCAATGTAGTTGCGCTTGTCGAGCTTCTCGTTGATGCTGTGAGCAGCATCTGTGCTGGAACCCATGGGCAAAAGGAGGACGTTCTTGCCGGTTGCTTGCTCGAAGGTAAGAGTGACGGGAATGCTGCCACCCTCGCGAGTGAGGTCAGGCTGGACCTTGAAGACCGACTCGACAGCCTTGGCGGCAGCGGTGAAGTTCCAGTGCTTGGGCGAGGCGACCCACCACTTGCCAGAGTGCTGTTCGATGACCTTGCAAGTGTTCTTGGAGTTGAGCGACTTGAAGACCTTGTTCACGTGGGCCTCGACGAGTCTGTTGACCTCAGGGATCTCCATGTTGGGCACAGTGCGGATGCTGAACTTTCCAATAACCTTGGCGGGGATGACGGTCTTTGCGCCGGGAGCAGAGAAAGCACCCTCAATACCGTGAAGCGAGAGAGAAGGGAATCTCCAGCGGGCCATCAAGGTGCTTTCCTTGTCCTCGAAAATGGTGGTCTTGCTGCCGAGCGACTCGTGCAAGTTGTCCATGGTGAAGGCGATATCCTTGTACAGACTCTTCTCTTCCTCAGTAAGAGGAGCAACCAGGTCCTTGATTCCATCAATCTGGATCTTGCCGTTGGTGTCAACCAAGCTTCCCATGACACGGACGAGGTCGGTCATGGGCTCCTGAGCAGTACCACCAAAGACACCACTGTGAAGATCCTGGCCAGGACCGCTGATCTCGATGCTGTAGTAACTGCAACCTCTCAGACCGTAGGTAAGGCAAGGCTTCTCGGTACCGAGCCAGTAGTTGTCGCTGATGCAGACAGCATCGGTGTCCTTGAAGAACTTCTTTGCCTCGGCGTTGATGAAGTCGTCAAGACCCTCACTTCCATACTCTTCCATACCCTCGAAGCACATGAGAAGGTTGACAGGGAAGTCGATGTTGGCCTTCTGGTGAGCCTCAATGGCGTTGAGCCAGCCGAGAACGGGACCCTTGTCGTCGGTTGAACCACGTCCGAACATGCGACCCTTGTCGTCGATGGTAAGCTCGAAGGGCTCGGTGGCCCAGCCATCTTCCTTAGCGGCGGGCTGAACATCGTAATGACCATAGACGAGGATAGTCTTCTTCTTGGGGTCCTCACCGTAGCGGGCGATGATGACGGGAGGGAGCTCGAGGTATTCCTTGTGAGGCTGGGGACCAAGAGGACGGGCTTCGACGTGGGCACCGAGGGCCTTCAACTCCGACTCGAGGAACTTGCCCANTCTATAGAGTGGTCAGCATTCGCGATGGGCACTGAGGGGTACACCACGTGGACATACACGGACGACCTCAGGTCTTCTGTCATCCTCGGAAGAGACAGAGGGAATGGCAACAGCCTTTCTCAGTCTCTCGATGAAGTGGTCTTGAAGTTCGTCGACCTTGGAGAAGTATGCATCAAGTTGAGGAGCCATGTTGGGCGAAGGATGTTGTCTATAGATATAAGGCCAAGCGGCGGTTGTTTGACGGCGGAGCTGAGGTCGACAAGCTAAGGTAGAGCACTTGGGAAGAATAAACTGTCTACGAGAGAACAGCTGGTGGATAGAGCGAAAAGGCGAGGACATGCAAACACAGAGAAAGGAAATTCTCTAGTGATACCGTAATGGAAACTGTGGCAGGGCGCAAAGAGGCGCGATACGAAACGGAAAGAGCACAGAGCTTTGGTCGGACACTCGGTCAGGGAAACTGCCACCCGACTCAGGCCTCCCCACCTGCCTCTTTCGGATGACATGTTGAGTTCGCCGCGCCCTCCGCGACTTTCGCCGTGCGGCGGACAAAGACTCCTCCGAGACACATTTAAATGATTCATATCGTAGGTCGTAGAAAGAACGTCTTGACCGTGACTCTCATCCCAAACAACCACCATTTTCAATATGGGTGACGTCTCATTGTGCCCACCTTTGACACGCTCGTCGGTTCAAGCGGCGCATGCAGCGATCAAGCAGCATATCCATCGGACTCCTACCATCACATGTGACACCATCTCTCGTCTCGCCTCGACTCCCCAGACTCCGGAATCACTCAAAGGAACTCCTTTCGAGGGCCGTACACCCTCTCAACCACGCATCAATCTCTTNTTCAAGTGCGAGAATTACCAGAAGATTGGCGCGTTCAAGGCGAGGGGTGCCTTCCATGCACTTAGTCGTCTGAGCAAAGAAGAACTGAGCAAAGGTGTTGTTACTCATAGCTCGGGAAACCATGCTCAAGCTCTCGCTCTGGCTGCCCGTACCTATGGTATTCCAGCCCACATTGTCATGCCTACCATTAGTACTCCGTCCAAGATTGCGGGCACCAAAGGCTACGGAGCCAATGTCATCTTCTCTGGTTCCACATCCGACGAAAGAGAGGCTGTCGTCGCAGATGTGATACGAGACACTGGTGCTATACTCGTGCCGCCATACGACCACCCCAACATCATGCTCGGCCAAGGCACACTGGCACTTGAGCTGGAAGAACAAGCCAAAGAGATGGATGAACGAGGTCTGGACGCCGTTGTAGCTCCCTGCGGCGGAGGTGGCATGCTCTCTGGTGTTGCCACCGCTCTTTACGGAACCGGCATCCGTGTCTTTGGATCTGAACCCAGCTTCGAGGGTGCTGATGACGCAAAACGAGGTGTAGAGTCTGGCACTCGTGTCGAAAAGGTGAAGACGCTGACAATCGCTGATGGTCTACGAACACCAGTTGGTAAGATTCCGTGGACCATCATTAGCGACAAAGAGAAGGTGAAGGGCATGTACAGCGTCACTGAAGAACAGATAAAAGCTGCCATGCGCCTGCTTTTGGAAAGAGCCAAGGTCTTCGTCGAGCCGAGTGCTGCTGTGCCTCTTGCTGTTGCCTTATATGATGAAGACTTTAGAAGCATGATTGAGAAAGAAGGAGGCGAGCAAGGCTGGAACATCGGTATTGTTCTGTCAGGAGGAAACACCACTGTTGAAGCTATCGGCAAACTTTTCCAACCTGTCTCTGAAGAACAGGCAGAAAGACAAGAGTCCAAGTTAGGCATCAATGGCGAACGAGTTGCGGAGAATGTTGCAGGCTAGGTCAACGACAAATCCTATATCGAACATAATGTGCACACTCGAATTTACACGGAACTAAAGAGATCAGCACAAACTTGTATCTGGTATGGAGCATACGGCATCGGAGTTCAGCACACAGACGTTCTTGATACTCGTCTTACAACCTCTCGCCAACATGATATATAGTCGCTTCAACCAACATTCGTTCATGATGGACGAGGGTCCCACTATTAGACAGATTTGGTCCAGCAAAGTCCGAATCAAGCAAGTGCGGAGGCGGCCGATTGACCCCTCCTCACGTTCTCCAACCCCTCGCTCTTATCGGTTGCAGCTATCTCGCCAACTCAAGCCAAGCATACCCAGAACCAGTGCTTGAACGCGTCTTGGGTCTGATGATACCGTGTCATGTTGAGGAGAGATGACTTCCTTCTACACAGACGCACCCTTGACCACGTCGTAATCATCAACCTCCCCGAGCATAACGTTTACAACCATGACACCTGAAGTCGAGTATTTATTGTCCCTCGAAGCCGTTCGTGAGAGATCTAGGATCGTTTTCAAGGCTGCTCAAAAGGATCAGCTTTCTCATTTCGACTATCACGCCTCCAAGTTGCCCGAAGCTGCGGCCTTCGTGACTTCCGTGATTAATGTGAGTCGTCACTCCCATATACCTGCCTTATCCTCGAACATCTTTCATGATCATCCAAACCCATCGATACGGCTTTCGGAGTCGTTCACAAGCTTCTGACAGCCTTGCTAGCGTGACTTTGGGCCGGACAATTTTGAATCCATTCCTCCTCATGGCCGCTGGCAACACTTCAATGTTGGCGGAGTTCCCAGGATTGATGATCTCAATCGTCAATGGAAACATGAAGGGTACAGTGCGAAACAGCAAGCTCAAAGATTGATCGACTTGTTCGTTGTATCCGTTCTCCTGGACGCAGGTGCAGGTGACAAATGGAAGTTCGTGGAACCTGGATCTGGACAGGTCTACACGAGAAGCGAGGGTATTGCAGTGGCAAGTCTTTATATGTTCCTGGAAGGCACTTTCTCGACGACAGAGGGTTGCGATCATATGGTTGACGGTGAGCTTTGCTGCAGAACATTTATATGCATAAGGCTAATTGTTGGCNNAGCCAAGGGACTGCAACGTATCAACGAAGAAACACTGATAAAAGGCTTTCAAATTACTCCAGACAACCCTATGGTTGGTGTGGGTTCTCGCGCGCAGTTGCTTTCTCGTCTTGGCGACTCTTTACTCGAGCACTCTGATATCTTTGGTCCTGAAGGACGACCTGGCAATCTTGTCGACCACGTCATCCAGACAGCAGAACCTGGGAGCAAAGTGTTAGACTACCGCGTGTTCTGGATGACACTACAGAAACTTCTGATCCCTATCTGGCCTAAGGATAGAACACAGATCGACGGTACATCTATTGGTGACGCCTGGCCTCTGGCAGTTCTCGAAAAGCAGAACGGCGGCCAGGACATCAAAAAGCACATTCAACCCTTCCACAAACTTACGCAGTGGCTTGCTTACTCGCTCATGGTTCCCTTCGTCAATATCATGCGATGCTCCTGGCGTAATGCAGAGCTCGGCACTGGCCTTCCCGAATATCGCAACGGCGGCCTCTTCGTAGATCTCGGGGTACTGACTCTCAAGCCTGAGGCTCTAGAACGTGGCCAACGCGCTTCCGGACAAGAATTACCTATGTTCAAAGATAGCGGCGATGAGATCGTTGAGTGGAGAGCTTTGACAGTGGCCCTTCTGGACGAAGTGTACGCTATTATCAAGAAGGATATGGATGAGCAAGGCGTGCAATTCAGCATGGCACAAATGCTCGAAGCTGGCAGTTGGAAATCAGGACGAGAGTTGGCTGCACAGAGAAGACCTGAGACAAAGTCAAGTCCGATCTTGATAAAAGGAGACGGCACATTGTTCTGATAAAATATTCTGACATTCGACTACAGAGAAAATCTTGAATACAACTGCGTTTATTCATCTTATTACTACGCTTGTTCGCCCTCCCAGCCAGCTGCATCACTAACGGTCAGCCGGCCCTCTTCTTCATCTTCCTCTCCTTTCGCCGTCCTTTTCTGCTTTTGCGCCAACATGGTTGATCTAAGCCTGATCAGTAGAAGTAGGCTGATTGCTTCTCCAGCTGATAGGCATGCCATCTGTGTCTACAGTCAGAGTAGGAGTGGCCTGACTGCTCTTCCAGCTGATAGACATGCCATCTACATCAGCAGTCGGCTTGGGCTCAACATGGGTCTGGCTGTAATGCTCGAGCACTCTTGACTGCCAAGACGCCGAGTAAGCAGCTGCGACTTCATCCTCATATTTGCTGAGGGCTTCAGGAGTGCAGCCTCCCTCAAACAAACAGGCTCCGTTGCAGACGTAGGGACAGTCGAGTTCGGAGGAGTGAGTGGGCTGGTATGGGAAGCTTCTTCTCACCAGGGCGCTGCTGGTTGTGGTGGTGGTCATGGTTGGATGCACAGCGCGAACAAGGGTGATGACCTTCACGACGTGAGTTGGTGGGTCGATGGGAGCTGCTGCGACCATGGCGATGCCGCTAAGCAGAGAGAAGAGAATAGTTGATATCTTCATTGTTGCTGTGTTGTTGATTTTGTGTTGTAGTTGTTGATGTTGTTGTATGAAGTAACTTTTTTCTTTCGTCCCTTTCCTTGCTTGGTCAAAGTTGTGGAAGTTGTTGGAGGAAGAAGAGTTCGTGGTCTTGCGACAACTCTTTTACATTGCGTGGTTGAGTCATTCTCGCTCTGACTGTAGAGTTGTGAGTTGTATCTCAAACTAACTCAACTTGCAGTCATACCTATGTTTCGGAGTTGCAGAGGGCTATGGGGCGTGGCGACTACTACTGGTATCAATCCTCTTTGTGTGCTCAAAACTGTCTCACCGCAGGCGTGGAAATTCACAGTAGTTTCGGAATAATAAGGGTATCCATAGGGAGAACTGTTTTTACGCTTTCTCCTTGGCTACACCTGAATTCCGAAAATTACCATGCATTGCATCAACAACGATTCCAACGATCCTCTCCGCATGTCAAAGACTGTCGCAATGCAGCCGTGGAAATGCACAATACTTTAGGTACGATAGGGGGTTGATGGAGAGATCTGTCAGTATACTACTTTGGGTGTAGCAACCCCCACTGATCCCTATCCCGATCTATCCTTGCTAGAACCCTGTCGTCGCCATCCAGTACAAGATGTTTAGGCCCATTTGACCGTCGTATCATAAGCATAGTCCACATGCCGTTGCCAGCTAGATTCCAGAACTCTAGCTTAAGGCGTATCAAGCCTAGGTAGAAGACGAAACTGGAGACTATGGCTTAGAAAGCCGACGAGTCGATGTGTAGGGCCGGTTTTGACGGACCAGGCTGCTCCGGAAATGTACGCAGTGACGCTAAGCAGCATGTTGCTAGCATGATCTTTGACGGCTAGTGTGTAGTGCCGTTTCTAGGCGCTCTTGGGAGAAGTGCCCAGGACCACTGTTCTCAAACCAGGCTCCTCCGGAAAGGTACTGAAGGCCGACCTAACATCAACACTCACCTCAGTCATCTCCAATGCATTCCGAAAGCAACGTGGACTGGAAGCCATCAGTGCTGGGAGGTTGTAGATCGATATGAGGAGAGGTCTCTCGATACAAATTCAAACATCATGTACGATTATGAGATGCCACAGGAAAGGAGAGACAATAAACAAAAAAAAATGAGTGGGAAAGCCGTGAAAAACGACAAAGTGCGAATACAGTAAACACTTAATCTACCATCTCCATGTCCAGAGCCTCCTCCAGCTTCTTCATATCAATTCCAGCAATGCCGTGACTGCCATTACCCTCGATCATGCTAGCAAAGTTAAGGACTGCATCCTTGTCGCCCTTGTCATCGCTGTCTTCGTTCTCATTACCACATTCTCTTTTAGCCTTATTCTGGCAATGTACGACGATAAACGGGGTAATGGGGAGGAATGTGAGTAAACCTCTAGAAAATTGTCTTTAGTTAGTTCAAAATTTGCGATAGCAAGTTTGGTGAGAGAAGACGTACGCCCAGTTCGCTAAACAGCGGTTTCTGCATTGTATGTAGCAAGCGTCCTTGTTACTGGTAGCGACGAGGTTGGCATCAGGCTGAGCCGAGTCGACAGGAGGAGGAGGAACAGCAGCAACCAAGGTAGTAAGCAGAGAAGCGATGAAGATTGACTTCATGATGTTCTAACAAAGGATCGTGTTTTGCAGGATAGTGGTCTGTAAGAAAAGCTGACGAGTCTTGTCGATTTGAGGAACTTGTCAAGAACTTGAAGAGCTGAACCGCGTGTTTATATCTGAAGGAGAGCTCAAAATGGCTCACACCATGCTGTAGAGTCAATGATTTTCAACGTCAGCTCACCTTCCTGTGGCTTCTCAACCTGGCATAGTTCGATCTTCGTCGACGGCGTACATATGGCTCGCGAGTACAATGGATTGACTTGAGACGAGTTCGATCCTGTGAAACCCTTGCCCCAGGGTGGTGGACATACGACCACACGAAGACGGCAATGGCATGATCTGGTCGTCAGGTTTGATCAGCACCCTCAGGTATCTACAGTACTCGCTAGATGGAATCGAGTGGTCAGTGATATAAGATGATAGGCGTTCAGATATTATGTCGACAGCCCTTTGCTGACACGGTTCTGATCCAATTGGGTCGAACTCTGGACAAGTTCTCTGACTGTCGCAAGAAGGTGGCAGCTCCAATTGACTTTGGCACGCGTGGAGCAAGACACGAAGTGTGGAGATCGTGCAAACCGTGTAATTATTCGAGGTCATGCATGACTGCCACAACCAGACTCATTCGCTGACCATTCCAAGTGGAGTTATTCACTGATCATTTCGCCGCATGTAAAAACACGCAAGATACGTGCAGTGGAGTGTGAGGTGACACTGGAGGAGCTTCGACAACATCACGAGCCAGTGAACAACAACCAACTGCTCATCTTTTGCCAACGCTTCGTCTCATACCTGATCTCTTCCACGCAGTTAGTTTGTTGTTATCTTGGACCGCTGGACCAGCTTCACTGTCAATTTGTTTGTGGCTCTGAAACTCGGTGTCGATGTGGCAGTACAGCTCTGATCAGTCGTTCTCGAAGAGCTTTTAAACATCAGACAGCCACTTGAATAACGAATAAACTTTCTGAAAGCCAGGACCAAACAGCGAATGAAAACTAGCAGCGATTTGCTGTTGTCGAAAGAGCAACGTTGCCGGAAACTATACAGTAGATTACACGGCCACAGCTGATGCAGATGAGGTCTCATTATGCCTCTGACGAGAAGTCTGGTGGTGGGCATGGAGAACCGATCTTGAACATAACAGTCTGCGTTACTCCGAATACGATGATGCTCCTAGAGATGACGGTATTCCTCATAGTGTTTTTGCAGTATCTTTTGACACCTTCGTGCTCGAAATCGAGCTTCAGATGGAGAGAGCATACTTTACGCGTGGACACATCTGCTACAAGATGTCGATAACAAGTCGGATTGTCATATCACAAGCACCGCGTTCGATGGCGAGGTAATGTGTAACCATGAAGTTTGCGGACGCGTTGATGTCAGGGACCAGTGGAGGGCTGGCGACTGATATGAGGCACGACCGCGCCCACTTCCTAGATTATTGAAAAGAATATCGGCGACCCTTTTGCCTTTGATCTTGAGCATCATTTGAGAATTGCGACTGAACTTAGTAGGCTTGGCAAGTGTAGATAAGTGGGAGGAGGCTCTGGCAGCTGTGTAAAAAGAAGCTCCTCCTGAAACGGGGTCGGAAGGGGGAAAGAACGATGACGACGCACGGACGCGTTTGAACAACGTGTCGAAAGCTGTTCGTAAATGCTAGGAGCACTCGCGTCCAACAACATTCAGCTCCTTCCTTTGCTGTTCTTCCTAGCGACCCTTTCTTCACTGTGTCGCACGTCTCACACATCATATTGATAGCCCCAGGGCACCCTTTGTCCAATCTCATCAGCACAACCCAGCCGCTTTATTTTGGTCGCAGCAATGATGAACATCTTTCGTATACTGGGTACGTTTACTGTAGTTCAGAGTCGCTTGCCAATGCAATGTGCTGACCCTCCTGACCAGGCGACTTGTCCCATCTCTTCTCCATCCTCATCCTGCTGCACAAGATGAAGACATCTAGTGTACGTTTCGACCATCGTCTGTTGTCCCCGCTACCAAAACTCTCGATTTCTAACCACATCCAAAGNAGCGCATCAGGCATCTCGTTCAAATCGCAATTCCTCTACCTCGTCGTATATGTCACCCGATACCTTGGTACGCCTGCCTGCCCTACGAAAAACGCATATCGCATACTGAGACTTGCCCTACANGACCTTCTTTGGACAGACCCCTTCAGAAGCTTGTGGAACACCACTTTCAAACTCGTCTTCATTGGCACCTCAGCTTATATCATCTATCTAATGCTCAACGACTACAAGCCCACCCACGATCCCAACCTCGACACCTTCAGAGTTCAATACTTGGTCGCAGGAAGTGCCGTCTTGGGCATTTTGTTCCCTTACAAATATGAATTCGCCGAGGTAGGCAAACTCCTCGAAATTACGAGCTTGGAGAGGACAATAAAAGATGCTGATACAAGACAGATGCTTTGGACTTTCTCAATCTGGTTGGAAGCTGTCGCTATCCTGCCCCAGTTGTTCATGCTGCAGAGAACCGGTGAAGCAGAGACCATTACCACCCACTATCTGTTCGCTTTGGGTGCTTACAGAGCCCTCTACATCCCCAACTGGATCTACCGCTGGTTTACTGAGCGCCACTTTGAGCCCATCTCGGTTATCGCAGGTCTTGTTCAGACCGTTCTGTACTCCGATTTCTTCTACATTTACTACACCAAGTACGCTTCGATCCTACCACCTTTCTTTCGAATGACTTGCTGATCTTCTCTTAGGGTCTTCCAAGGCAAGAAGTTCAACCTGCCTGTGTAGGCAGTTCAGTGTATGATCGAAGTCAACTTCACGGATTTGTTAAGGATGCATGGATAGGCGTACGCGATGGGCCTATATCTTTGGGACATCTTCATAGCCATGGATAGATCAAAACTCGAATACCAAAAGTTACAACCCAGGGGTAGGTCGCCCAATTGACATGAAATGATGATAAGTCATGTCCGTGCAATCTCAGCTAGACGGGTATGTATTCCTGCATGGTGACAGATCATTCACGTACGGCCACAGTCAGCTGAAAACTGGGCATCCCGTCCGCTCTGCCATACATAAGCAGTTGAACGGCAGATTAGTACTCTGGTGGGTGACCACAGGGGAATCCCTGCTGCTGTACGTTTTGCCTTTTCTNTTTACTCGTCAACCTGAAACATATCTTTTTGGCTACCAAAATCACTCATATTGCGCTACCAGGNNAAACATCCAGTCTAGTGGCAGTGCAGATTCCTTCGCCAAGAATGATTTACACTGTCTCAGGCCACCAGCATCCTACTCTCCATTGGTATTTATGCTGTTCTATGCCCCTGACTTTTACCTTATCTTCAAACAAATACCTCCAACAGCAGAGACTCCAATGGTCTCGTTATCATCACTTTTCCGCCTACAGCGGTCTAACAAGTCACGGCAAAGCCCAACACCACCTGAACCATCGCCAGCCAAACCACAAGTGCAAAGTCCTCTCTTGTCACTCCCAACAGAACTCCGCTTGAAGATCTGGTCTCTAGTTGCTGGGCCTAGTCGAAGCATTACATTCCGCTACAACCGCGACAGCTACAACAAAATATCCCGCGAGCCGGTTAATCGCAGTTGGTCGATTCACGAAGACGGCGATATACGCGGTTGGGAGACAGCGTTATTGTGTACCTGCAAGCAGGTTCACGCGGAGTTGCTGCCTGTACTTATGCGTGTGGTGCACATGAATACCATGGACCACTACATGATGGGTAGATTGTTCGAGCTACAGCCTCCTCAATTCAACATGCTCAGAGATGTGGAGTTTGTTTGGTTGGTGAGCAACCCGTCTTTTCTAGGGTCTCAGAGAAAAGATGATAAGAAAGGGATGAGGGTGATATGCACAACCAAGCCCCAACGCGCAAAGGACACTGCCATAGCGCTGAGAGCCATATGTGAGAGCTTGGAGAAGTTAGAAGGTCTGGAGGTGATGAAGTGGCACTTTCAGCTGATGAGTGGAAAACGCGCGTGGGCTGCTGACGAGACTGGAATCCTCAATGAAGTCAACAAGGCTAGACATGGGAGACAGGGATGGCAAGTGATTGTCTGGGATAGTTTGCCCTGGGACAGCAACAGGGTGGTTGAAATGGACTGTGATGGGATGCCTGTCATTAAGCTCCCAGGAGGATCTACTTTAAAGGACTTAGAACGCTATTTGGAAGGCTCTAGGGTTTAGATGTTGTTGCCACTTACAAGTGGGAAACACGATCGACAATTGACACTCGATGATAAGTATTAAACCCCATATGAAGTAGTGATTATATAGCTGTGGGAGACACCCTGTCTTGTTTTCACCAAATGAATTTAGCTACACCAAGTTGCAAAGAAAAAACACTTGACGTGCCATGCTTACGTGCACACATCCGATCCAAGATGAAGGTACAAGGCTGTCGGCGTAGCAGGAAATGATGTTCCCGAAACCCCTCTATCCTATTGCAGACATTAACCTTCTCATTGAGTAGGATATTCAACTTCTTCTTACTCCGACTGTAACAAAGAGCATGTCTTTACTACAAAAAGGCACGATCGTTCTGGAAGTACAGTATGGCTAAGAGAGCTAACAAGATATCGTCTTTCAGTGGACACTAGTCTATTCTCGAGTAGTGTCATGCATCTGAACAGCTACACGTGGACAAGCAATAGCCAAGATGTAAAGCTTAAATCCTTCACCCTTGCTAAACACGTTGACGCTTTCGATGATTAGGTAGATCATCTAGGGCTCAATTAGATAGAGTTCGTTGGTCCGAGATGGGCCAGCAACAGACGATGCAGGGCCTTGAGCTTGACAGGGGACGAGCAGTGATCAGTGAGATTAGGTATTCGTGAGATCTTGATTATCCTTGTTTTTTCTCATTTGATTGTAGAGTATAGGTGTTAATATGGTGTGGACCAAAACCAAGCAGGAGGCTTCTAGTAAAGCGCCGGATATCTAAGAACAGAGAATTTGTGAACAAGGAAGAGACAATAAGGAAAGGAAAAGACAGCGCCAAAACCGAACTTTCAGCCTCTCCTAATAAGAGAGGACCAGCCACCCATAATGCGCCTGAAAGGAGGAGAGGAGAAGAAGGATGAAGGACAAGCAAGATTATAAAAGACAAGTGCAAGAAGGGTAGAAAAGAAGAACGGAATAAAAACGGGGTTTCACCACCTCTAGCATCCCAGACTCCATTTTGGCTGATCACGAAACCGACCCGGAAATGAAACAGGAAACAGTATGGAAAGTCAGTCTCATGGCGTAGTGCTGACACCTTCCATCTTCTCGGGCTCAGTGCCGTTTTCCTCGCCACTGCTAGCAACAGCTGAGTCATTGGCCGAGTCACTGCCATTTGTAGTAATGTCGGCAGCTTGCAATTGTTTTCTCAAGGTGGCCATCTCCTCGTCTTTCTTCTTGAGCATCTCGAAAGCAAGGTTCTTCTCTTGTTGCAGTAGCTTGATGTAATCGATAGCACTCTCCACGGTGGCAGCTTTGGAGTTTGCACTTCTGCCCTCGGCAGTGTTGTTGCCTTTGCCTTCCTTGGCATTGGCTTCCTCCTCTTCGTCGGCGATTTCTTCTGCTCTGCCTTTGCCCTTTGATTTGGGAAGTAATGTTTGCATCTCCTTGATAGCTTCGTTGATTCTGTTACGTCGGCCTTGCTCGGCAATCTTGTGTGAGGTGCGTTTCGAGGTCAAGCCCATTGATAATGACTCTGGATACGACACGCCAGGGAGGCGAGTGCCTTCGAGCAGGTGGGTGTAGTTTGACTTTGACGCCAGAAGAAGCGCTTGTTGAGTTTCNNACTAAGTCCTACAGGTAATGGTCAGTAAATTGATAGATTGTGAATCGGGGTAACGAATGAACGTACCACCCTCGGGAAGCAAAGGCTTGATACTGGGACTGATTTTTGGTCGGATGGCTGGGCTGACAAGAACGGATGCAGTACCGACACTGCCACGCTTTTTCGCAGGCTGCGATCGTTTTTGATCGAGTTTCTTGCCCATTGGCCCCATGGCAGGCGATTGTGAAGCGCCAATGATGGGGCTCGCTGTAGTGGAGTTCGATGGCGCCAGTCTCGGCTTGCCCTTTATAGCTGGGGCCAAACGAGGAGTACTCTCACCGGACAATGTTGTGTCGATTTTGGTCAAAGCTGGGCGGGAAGTTTCGGCCACGGACGGGGGCAGGGCCAGGTCCTCGAGCATGTTCATTTGATCCTGTGATTGAACCTGGAAATGGCCTGAACCCGGGTGAGGTCCGGCAGAACGATTAATAGCATTCTGCTGCTGGCTCTTACGGATGGACATCAGAGAAGCAGGGGTAGCAGGGCAAGGCGCGGCGTGGGAGTGGGAGTGGATGGCAGTTGAAGCAGGAGCAGAGTGGTTTTGGGGTTGTAATGCAGGAGAGTGGTAGGTTGAAGAAGGCAGAGGCGGGGGCCNCATGACTGAATCAGGCAAGGCCTCAGGCGATATCGACTCTGTACTCGATTCCTCTTGATATGGTGGAGCATACTCGACAGACGGAGTCCGCGAGCCTTGGGCTTGACTTTGGTTCTGGGCTTCCATCAAGATATTGTTGACCTCGCGGGGTGGAATGATGGTGGACAGGTGAGCCGAGCGACGTCTCTGGCCTTTGACAATTGGCGATTGTCGCACTCGGGCAGCAGGACCTGCCGAATGCGGTGCTTGAGGCTTTCTTCTGCTTCTACGGGGAGCACTGTCTGCCAACTCTTTCAACGAGTCCACGTCCATGTTGAGGTCGAGCGGTGAAGCGGCAGCCGAGTTGTCAGCCGTCGTCGGGTTGGTGTATTGGCTGTGAGCATAGCCGCGGTTCTGCTGCTGTTGGGCATGCAGAGCTGGAGATGTGAGTGGGCTGAAGTAAGCGCCAGGGATGGTGTACTCGGGGATGGGCTGGAAAGTCGAGTCTCTCGGGGTTACGGCTGGNNGGGAGACTAGAGGGGTGAAGGCCATGTTGTCTTCCTTTGTCAAGCGTCGGTGTTGTTCGAAGAAAGGACCGGCTGCCGGGTCCATGTGCTGGGCCATATAATGACGCGCATTGCCTTGAAGCTCGTAACTGTTTGGCGTTGGTGGAACTACGTTTGGCGCACGATACATGTTCTGCGGCATTTGCTGTTGTGCCCATTGTTGATTCTGGGCAAAGTTTTGCACGTCCAATGCGGTCGGTAGTTCGAAGCTCTCAGTGCCAAAGTCGTGTAAAGGGCCATTTGAACCCAGGACTCGGCCATCGGGCCCGTCGAGAGAGGGGAAGTCGCTCACATCGATGTTACCAATGTCGCCTATGTCACCAATGTCGAGGAAGTTTGCAAAGTCAATGTCTTGCATGTCTGACATGTCCATGTGTTGCGGCTGCGGCCATGGCTGCGCTTGCTCGGTGTGATTCATTCCAAAGGACGAGTAGTAATGGTTAGGAAAGAACGAATGTCGTCGTTGTTGCCGCAGGTGGCTCGTTGGTCCCCTACGAAATTTCGCAAGGCGCGACGACTTCAAATTGTAATACGAGGCTGCTCGCTTGTGCTGACGCGAATAAAACCGGCGACCGAGTAGGGCGCCGAGTTGCAAAAATATGCCTCTTAATGAGATGTGGACGGGTGACTGAAAGAGGGCCTCTCGTTGAGAAGTGGACCCGAGGGACGGCTACAAGTACGCTAAAGAGAGGTGGGGGCGAGGTTGCTTGTGGGCGGGTGCGGATTAAATCATGGGACAGAGTCCGACAAGATAGGGAAACCGCGCTGCAATAAAGTATTTTTTCTTGTCTGCCGGCAGGCAGTCTGAGACGGTTTGCGTCTTCATCGCTGTCGATTCTCATCGGCCAGCATCACACCAAACATAGCTTGAGCTTTGCTTTCACAACCCAAGCATGGTCTTCAATCGCTCAAAGACATCAGAGACGATGCGCCCCAGGATCAGGACAACTCCACCGAATCAAGTATCTCCGAACGGACCCTTTTTGGGGGAGTTTGGAGGATGCGTCTGTGCATGAAGTCAAAAGATTCGGAAGCGATGAATTTAGCCCAGGACCGCCGCCGGCTTGCCTGGATGGCCTCCATAAACAACTTGCTCCATAAACAACCTGGAAGCGAATGATCTGTCAGTTCCTAGGCGTGTGCATGGGAGATAGCTCTCTGCACTATACAACTCGTCGGTTCCATGCATCGAACGTGATCCTATTCATGCACTCTGAGAGCATGTGGCGCATTATGGTGGCATGCTCCTGATGACCCGCCGCAGCCCTCGCAGATCTTCCAGAGTGCTTGCTTACCTCTCGACCTCGACCTCGACCTCGACCTCTGAATTTTAGAAGTTCCTTGAGGATAGCCTGCTCATACACCGCATCGATGGGCTATCCCAACGTGTATAAGCATATCGATCCACGGCCAAATTACTGTCTTGCGAATCGGTTACATCTCGCCGAGAGTCGGCGCGCGCATGTCACTGGAATGTCACCTTCAGGAACTGCAGTGGCTCATCATGTGTGCACGGGCTGAATCCGGTTAATGTTCAAAACAAGCCACTAGGGTGCCGACATCAAACGTACAAACTTCTTCGAGAACGCAAAGCGCCGTAAACCACGACAGCTCAATGAACAGTCCCTGGACTCTAACTTTATTTTAATCATTGAACTCTTACTCGAAACAATCCATTACTCTTCGCCATCAGAGTCGTGGCCAACCGTGTCACTGAGGGACAGGCCTTGGTATACAACATGCGGTGCGCAAGCATCTCCCAACATAGGCAAGTCCATGCGCCCTATGGCGAAATCACATGTGCCTGGAATCATTAGCTGCTCCTTCGATGCCTCGTCTCGTACCACTGTCCCTGTTGACCCACAACAAAGTTTATCAGTGCTTTAATGTCTTGAATCCCTCAAGCGTTGCATTGACTGCAAGCTTGATCATGATTACCTTTTTCTCTCATCTGCAAAGAAGTCCTTGCCGAGGATATTATTGCTTCATGGCTTGCGTTCGTCGACCTCGGCACGAGATCAACTGCACAATGAGACGAACAATGTTCAGGCTCCGTCATGTCATGGTCTCTGACGACTTTGACCGGATCATCTCTTTCTCTCGCTGTAAAGTGGCTTGAGCGCGTTGAGGATCATCACTTTTGACGTTCCTGGTTTCCAGACGATATATCCTGCTTGCATACCACTGTTGCATGGGAGCGACGAAAGAGTACATGTTTGCAGTCACTTCCAGCCGCCATTGGCACGGATACCTCGATGCTTGTTGGTATGCCAGGTTCATCAGATCCATTCAAGGATTCGAAACACTACGAGCCCCAAGGATCAATGTCACTGCTCATATACCGGTTAATTACCCTTCGGGATCCACAACTTTAGGGCACCGTCGACATTCACTCCGTATCGCCCGGATGATCGCTAGTCCCCATATCATCAGCAAAGGCGCCTCTTGAAACCTAGAACCCAAATTTGCTTGTCAAGCATGGACAAGGAAAGTGATCTCGTGCTCAACAATGGTTTGTGGGTCCTCAAGAAAGAACATCTGCAAAATCCGGGCATCGACGATCTGAGGACCGATATTAGGGCTGTGTATCGATGAGCAGATGTCTCAATGTCACAGTGTCAGGCACTGACATCCCGAGGTTCGACTTGCGATGACAGGTAACGACAATGCTCTGGAGAGACCAGTTCAGGACCTCATCTTTGGTCTGAGAGAGATCAGGTACCATCTTTAGAAGGAGGGAAAACGTCAACTTGCATGCACTTTGGCCAATGACTATGCATACCGCAACCTCGATTCCAAGAATAAAGCACATGCACTTCGACCATGTATGGGGCTCCTTTCATCATCCTTGAGCGTAGGTGCAGCAGATACTATGAGCCCTGCATGATCATAACTCACAGAATATTCCACGGGGCACTTCCGAATCTCAAAGCATGCTTGACGGAAACGCCACATGATCCTCTTGTCTCTAAAGCCCACGTGGACTGGATTAACATCAACTTATTCCATAGTATAGTCGACCCGCTGGTTCGCACGCTCCCAAGCGTGCACATCCATGCGTCTGTAATCACAGCTGCAGCGAATCACAGAACTCACCAAGTTCGAGATAAGGAGTCTGTAAGACACGCACTTCGGGGGTGTGTGTCTACACGCGTGCAGCTTGTGACATTTGCTACAACTTCCATCCAAGACTAGGATGAGGCTACTTGGGTCTTGGAGGATTAATTGTATAGCCAAGCAAGATGTAGATCATGATAGATATACGCGTAACATGTGCGATAGCAACGTATTGCCGTAGAAGAAGAGCGAGACCAAGACAAATGGCACCGTAAGAATAGTGGAAAGAGGATGGGAATATTCAGTGTCGTTCTTGTCTGCCCGTGTTTTTACTGACGTGGTTGAGAAACCTATTGTTATCGGTCCGAGAGCAATTGCAAAGATCCATAACGCCGAAGTCTATCAACAGGGAGCGCGATATTGGGAGTTCGTTAGCGGTATTCTGCAACCTTCACATACGCAGTCAAGAGATGGCAGGCAGAGACTGTATGTTCGAATGTGACATATGAAGCGTCTGCACTCCAATGTCTCTCTTCCTTGAAGCGACGACAGGACAAGTAAGAATGCTCTGTGGGGTTTTGAAGAAAAGAGATTTGAAGACCAAGATTGGAAACAATCCGTAAAGAACATTATGCTACAAGTGTGTCCCGGGGAGCGTACAGCCATTTCTACCGTGCTGCCGCATCCTACCCGGGGGGTTGAGGAGAAACGAAAAGGAAGAAGAAGAAGAAGAAGAAGAAGAAAAAGATTAAGTCGAAACAAGAACCGCCACTTTCCGCCGAAAACGCCAGTGCTGGTAACCCGGTATGATGGAGTCTCTTGTAAAGGAAAGGGTATGCTGCTTTTACATGATGATGCAGCATCCGCCGGATTGTTGGGGGGCGTAGGGGTCGTCGCGCTTGTCGATNNCTAGAGGGACGGGTCAGAATTGGCAAGTGTGGGAGGGTGTGTTATGGGTACTCACAGTGCCCCAGCGGCTGGGAACCATGAAGTCCTTGGGCTCCTTGTCGGTGAAAGCGATAAGGCTGAGAGTAGAAAGTCAGCGCGTGTGAGACAGTATTGGAGTAGAGGCGCAAACTCACTCCATGGAAGCCTCGGAAACAGGGATTCTTCTGCGGTTCAGGTCCTCTTGCAATCTCTGGTTGAGCTCATTGAGGCGGCGAAGCTTCAATTCGGCCATGCTCTGCTTCTTGCTTCTGCCGGTGTCGTTGTTACGGATCTCGTATGGCTGAGACATTGTGAAGGTGATGAACGAGGATTGGAGCGACTAGTGAGATTGACGAGCGGACGGTAGATATATGGGTAGGCGGAGCGAGAGAGATTGGACAAGAGTCTGGCGACAACTGCTGGCACTGTCATAAGCGGTCAGCTTGACGAAAAGTAAACGAAGCACGAGGATGTCGCACGGTGGATGGACAAGGCGTGGGAACCAATGGAGCGGGATTGCAGGGAGGTTGTCGAGGCCGTCGCGCGCGTGTTGTTCTCGTGGGCGGGAGACGAATGCAGACGAATGGGGTAATGAGCGACGCAGTGAAGAGAAGGCCACTGGGAAAATCGACGTTACACGGCGGCGAGGATGCAGGAATTGTCGTGTCTTGAGGATGGGAAGCGCTGGTCGTCCGGGTTGGCCGCGCGCTGCTGCTCCTCAAATTGCTCTAATTGGCCTCGCCGATCCGGGCATAGTCAAGACTTGGCACTGGCCATGGAACGGTTTGGTCTATCTATTCCACTGTCTTTACTGACCGCCAAGACCCATCACGTTGTGTCTAACGCCAGGGATGCTTTTTGGAAATGTCGATACCAGCCTCTGGGACAATGACAGAACTATTTACAGCACCTTGTGTCTGAGCCAGGTCCTTGCTGAAAAGCACGACAGGATCCAACCTCGACCCCAGAAAGTCAGGGGCTTCGCTGACTTGAGCCGCTTGATCTCAGCTGCTTGGCTGTCAATTGTGAGACTCATGAGGACATGTCCTGTCGAATCTCACCGGATATCTCGTATGCGTGCCATGACAGGCCATGTAATACTGAATGAAGAGCTGCGCAAAAACTTTGTTTGATAGATCTAGAGAGTAAACGATTCACAACAGGCTTCTCACCAAAAGCTGTTGCCATATTGTGGTCGTTCTATCAGGGACCAACGCGCAGTCATTATACAGTGGTGTGAGGTTATAGGAAGCAGCTAACTACTCTTGTTTCAAGAGTGATGAATGCAAACGTGACGAACAGAAAGACGTGCAGACCCAAAAGTCCAAAATGCAGTACAAGTTGGCGAACTCTTGGCGCGACTCTGCGCGTCAACCAATCACAAGCGAGCCGCACCTGGCAGCGACGCTGGGAAAAATCGAACATCTTGACGGCGTCTCTCGATCAACGACAGGAAGGTCGCCATATCGCCCAAGATGCCTCCTCCACCCCATACCAAGCCTGAGAACGTGCTCAAGGCAAGTCCTGCTCGCGCGCAGTCGCCCTCGACGCGACCGAATACTAACGCCATGGCGACAACANNGAGAGCCCAAGAGCTCATCGCAGTCAACCAGAAGCAGTCGGCTCTGACCATCCTCCACGAGCATGTCACTTCCAAGCGCACCCGCAACAGCACTATTGCTTCCCTCGAGCCTGTCGTCCTCCTGTTCGTTGAACTTTGTGTTGAGTTGAGAAAGGGCAAGGCCGCCAAGGACGGTCTCTACAACTACAAGAACACTTCGCAGAACACAAACATCGCCACTATCGAGGTATACTTGCACGACTCGGCCGCTCTGTCCGCGCTCCCGCTGACACATATTTAGCTTGTCTTCAAGCGCTTCATCGAACTCGCCGAATCCAAGGTTTCCGAAGCCCAGGCCAAGGCTGATGAGGTCTCTTCCGCCGCAGAGACATCTGCCGACCTGGCCAATGTTGGTGATCTCGAGGCCAGCGAGACCCCTGAGTCCATCCTCCTGTCGACCGTCTCCGGCGAGCAGGCACGCGACAGAACCGACCGCGCCATTGTCACTCCCTGGCTCAAGTTCCTGTGGGAGACTTACCGCACCGTTTTGGACATTTTCAAGAACAACGCCAGACTCGAGGTTATGTACCAGACCGTCACTCTCCAGGCTTTCCAGTTCTGTCTCCGTTACGCCCGCAAGACCGAATTCCGCAGACTGTGCGAGTTGCTCCGTAACCATCTTCAGAATGCCGCCAAGTACTCATCTCAGATGCACGCCATCAACCTCAGCGACCCCGACACTCTTCAGCGCCACCTCGACACCCGCTTCCAGCAGCTCAACGTTGCTGTCGAGCTCGAGTTGTGGCAGGAGGCCTTCAAGTCTGTTGAGGACACCCACACTCTTCTTTCTTTAAGCAAGCGTCCTGCTAAGAACGTCATGATGGCCAACTACTTCGAAAAGCTTGCCCGTATCTTCCTCGTCAGCGAGAACTACCTTTTCCACGCTGCTGCCTGGAGCCGTTACTGCAACCTCTTGCGCCAGTCGGCCGCCATCATGGCCGCTGGTCAGGGTCAGAAGAAGGACAACCCCTCAAACATTGGCGATGCAGACCTCACCAAGGCCGCCTCTTTTGTCATTCTGTCCGCTCTCGCCATTCCCGTCATCAGCACTTCCCGTTCCCGCGGTGCCCTGGTTGACGTTGACGAGGCCAAGAAGAACAAGAACACCCGTCTTACTAACCTCCTCGGCATGTCCGCACCCCCTACCCGTGCCATTCTGTTCAAGGATGCTATTAACAAGGGTCTTCTCAAGCGTGCCTCTCCCGAGATCCGTGAGCTCTACAACATCCTCGAGGTCGACTTCCACCCTCTCTCCATCTGCAAGAGAATCTCTCCCATCCTTACCAAGATTGCTGCCGACCCTGAGATGAAGAAGTACGTCCTGCCTCTCCAGCAGGTCATTCTCACCCGCCTGTTCCAGCAGCTTTCTCAGGTCTACGAGACTGTCGAGCTCAAGTTTGTCCTCAACCTTGCTCAGTTCCCCGAGGAATTCCAGATGAGCCCCGCCGCTATCGAGAAATTCATCATGAACGGTTGCAAGAAGGGTGATTTGGCCATCCGTATTGACCACGCTACTGGTGTCCTGACCTTCGACTCTGACGTCTTCTCATCTGCTCGTGCTCTTCACCCTGGTAGTGGTTCTGGTTCTGCTGGCACCGAGGTGGTTCAGCGCCTCCAGAGCACTCCTGCTGAGATTGTCCGTTCTCAACTTACTCGTCTGTCCAAGGCCCTCTACATCACCTGCCAATATGTCGACCCTACCTTCAACGAGGACCGCCAGAAGGCCAAGCTTGCTGCTCTCAAGCGTGCTGAGGCTGGTGCCGACAAGGAGCACCTCGACACTATTGCTCGTTCAGAGGTTATCCAGAAGATGAAGGAGTCTGCCGCCAACGCTTTGGCAGCCAAGGAGCGTGAGGAGGCACAGAAGAAGAGACTCCGTCAACAAGAGTTGCAAGCCGCCGAAGTTCAGCGTCTGGCTGATGAGCAGCGTGAGCGTGAGGCTCGCCGCATCAGACAGGAGCAGGAGAAGGTCCAGAGAGAGGAGATGGAGCGCCAACTCAAGGAACTCAAGCAGGGTGTCAAGGGTGTTGACATTGATAGCTTCGACATCAACGACCTCGACACTGGCCGTATCCGCCAGATCAAGCTCCAGGCTCTCGAGAAGGAGAAGAACGAGATGAGCGAGAAGTTGAGATTCACCGCCAAGAGAATCGACCATCTCGAGCGTGCCTACAGAAAGGAGGAGCTCAAGCACCTGAGTGCCGACTACGACACCCAACGCGAGCGCGATTTGGCTGCTTACGAAAAGACCAAGTCCGAGACTCTCAGAGATGCCGAGGAGAAGCACAAGGAGGCCGTTGCCCTCAAGCACCGCCTCAGCCGTTTGGTGCCTGCTTACGAGAAGTTCAAGCGCACCGTTACCGAGCAGCGCCACGCCGAGTTCGAGAAGCGCCGCAAGGTCGCAGAGCGCGAGCTCAACCAGAAGATGGAGCAGCGCCGCCGCGAAGTCAAGGAGCGCATGGCACGCGAGAAGCAAGAAGCCGAGGAGGCTGCTGCCAGAGCCCGCGAGCAAGAAGAGAGAGAGGCTAGAGAGGCCGAAGAGAAGGAACGCGCCGATGCCGAGAAGCGCGAGAGAATGGAGAGGGAGAAGCAGGAGAGAATCAAGTCGAGAGAGTACGTTTGCACCAAACACACATCAAAAGCTCTACCAGCATTGCTAACACAAGACCACAGGGAAGCCGCTGCTGCTGCCGAAAAGCAACGCCAGCGCGAAGAGGAAGCCGAGCGTCGTCGTGCAGAGCGCAAGCAAGCACCCCCGCTGCTGCCGCTGCTCCCTCCCGCTGGGAGAGATCCGGCGCACCCACACCTTCCGAGCCCGCCGCCGCTTCANGCCGGAGGTCCTCCCCGCCTCGCCCTTGCCGGCAACAAGCCCACATGGCGTGAGCGCGAAGCCGCAAAGGCTGCTGGTGGTGCCTCACCCGCACCCGCCTCTCCCGCCCCTGAGGCTTCTCGCCCTGCCGCCCCTGCCGCTCCAGCCGCCGAGGAAGCACCCAAGCGTTCTGGCTACGTTCCTCCTCACATGCGCGGTGCTGCTGGTGCCGCACCTTCCTCAGACGCTGCCCCTCCCGCCGCTGCTCCCCGCGAGCGCTGGGCCCCCAGAACCCCTCGCGGTGATGGCGAAGCCCTCCTCCTGCCTCTGGCGGTAGATACGAGGCTCCCTCCTCCCGTGGCGGTTCTTCCGGTGCCTACAGACGTGGTGGCTTCGGTAGCAGGAACTAGAGATATGTTCCTGATGAAACGACCAGTGGTGGATGTAGTAGTATAGGGGAGGTGATGTTTTGCAACGATCTTTCTTTTTGGAGCACAAAAAATCGGGAAGGAATGATCATCGATGAGAAAGAGGTTCTTTACACATAGTCTGAAAGAAAAAGCATGCATTCTTTTTCTTAACCACTTTTCCATGTCTACGACTCTCTGTTTCTTCCATCGTACCACCCACCTTTTGCTTGTTCTTGTTGGATGTAGATTGGAATTCGACGTTTTTGGTTCAAGACACAATTCTTAGAATCAATATGTGCAAACTTCGTTGGTATCGAGCAATAATAGCTAACAGTAACATTGTCCTCCCTCTTTTGCGTGACTTCTTTCTCGTGCTTCGAGATCAAACCAGGACACACTGCTTCATCCCTTCCTCCCATATTGTTTAGCTGGCTTATGCAGCCTGGTACTTGCGAAGCTATTTCAATCGAGTCAGTTCCTGTAACAATCAGATCATGGTTCTTCCTAAGACTTACATCCATAGTCAAGGTCCTACTGCTATTCACAGTCTGATCTCTCATAACACCAACAAGTGTCTCACTGTTCTGGAAGAGTCCAGNTCTATCCAAGATGTTAGCAGTTACTTTTTGCAATGGATGCTTAATTGTTCTTACCTTGAGAGAAATGACAACGAATTGCATGCCAGGACCGGCGTGCTCCTTGACGTAGTTGGCCAGACGAGCAGTATTCGCATTGTCGAGAGCAGCATCAACTTCATCGAGGACGAAGAAAGGCGAAGGAGCATACGTGTGGATAGCGAAAAGCAATGCCAGCGCTGCCATGGTCTTCTCTCCACCAGAAAGATGCTCCATATCACGGAAGCGCTTGAGTGGAGGCATAGCGTGGTACTTGATACCACTGAGATATGGCTCGTCAGTGTCTTCAAGATCAAGGTATGCCTGACCTCCGAGAGGGAAACTGGCAGTGCGTGTGAGCTCCTTGTACACTTGATCAATCTGACCAGAGATATGTTCGTAAGCTTTGTTAAAGAGTTCGGATCTCAAGTCTCTGATGTCGTCAAACTGATCTTTGGCTTCTTTGGCTGCTTTGCGACTTGCTTCGAATTCATCATCAGTAGATTTGAGACGTGCTTCAACACCTTCCAGACGTTCGATAGCTCTCATGTTCGGTGCCATCTTATCAAGGTCGGCTTGTATATTCGAGATGGTTTCCTGCAGATTTGCTTCGCATTGCTCGGAATCATCTTCCTTCAAATCGTCGTCCAGGTCCGAGAAGTCGACATCAATGCCGTAGTCGTTAACTCCAGGCACGCGTTGGGATACATCCTCTTCGTCCACGTCCATGGCATCTTCATCAGCAGCCATGCCACCGTCCAGTGGAAGAGACTCGAGCTTCCTGCTCTGTGAAGTAAGGGGAACGTTGATCTCTTCGATTCTGCACCGGCGAAGCAAAGAGTAACGATCTGAGTTGGACCGTTGTACAGCTTCTTGTAGAGCCGTGATATCTTTGTTCGTATCTTCAATCGACTTGGAGCGTTTTGCAACCTCGCGTCGGTGCTCAGCAACCTTGTCAGACTTCTCGTCGTACTTCGTTCTGCGTGTAATTAGCTGCTCGTTCATCTGCTCAACTTCGGCATTTAGTTCATCTAGCTCGTTGTTGAGATTGTCGCGTTCCGATTCGAGGTTTGCAATGTTGGCTTGAGCTTCTTTGACGTCGCTCTGCAATTTGGCAATGCGGTCCTTCGTTGTCTGTAGACGTTGTGTCTCAAAGGCAAGCTGATTCTCCAATCTACTGCGCTGGGTAGTGAACTCGAGCTTCTTTTGTGCAGCCTCTTGCTGGGCACTACCCTGCTGAGCTTCGTATGCACGTATATCACTGTAGCCTAGACGCTGGCAGAATGCAGCGAAGACTTCATCCTCGACAGTCGCCACAGATGATGAGTATGACTCGAGCTGGCTACGTAGAGTAGTCACGCCCTGAGCTTGCTCCTCATACTTTGGCCTTGTCTCCTCGAGTTGACGTCTTGCAAAGTTTAGCTCACGGCGCTTGCTCTCGATGTTCGATTCGAGCGCCTTGAGCTCTTCGTCGGCAAAGGCGCGACGTGACTCGAGACCCGCAAGCTCACCCTGAAGAGCCTCTTCTTCAGCTTGTCGGCGATGACCCTTTGGCAGAGCACTGAGATCAGCAAGCAGCTTGTCTTTCAGACGGCGCAAGTTCTCGACTTCTGAATCTTCCCACTTGCGGGCATTTCTTTGGTCGTTTGAGCCATGTCCACCGGTCATCAAGCCGCCCTTGTGGATGATGGTTCCGTCAAGCGTGACTGCCTTGGCCTCAACACGTCTGTCGTAGCAGAGATGTCTAGCAATTTGTAGATCATCGCAAACAATACTGTTTCCGCAAGCGAAGGAGATAGCGCGCTCGACGGCGTTTTCATAGTCGATTGTATCAATAGCGAGACGCATGCCCCTATGCATGCCCTTCAAGTTGGCGTCCGGTGCTTTGTGCATGATGGTGTCGAGCGGGATAAAGGTTGCCTGGCCAGCACGTTGATCACGAAGGTATTGGATACACTCCTTTGCCACTTTCTCCGTGTCGACCACAATCGAGTCATTATGGCGACCGAGGACAGTACTGACGGCGACGTTATACTTTTTCTGCTTTGGCTTGCAGAGCGACCACAGTTGACCTCGAACACCTGGGAAGATTCTCTTCATAGCAGCGACAGTCTCACGAGCTCTTGTTTCTTTCTCAGATTCTCGTTGAGACACGGACGCATCGTTAAGCTTGCGCAGGACCTCTTGGAGCTTCTCCTCGATCTCGGTATGTTTCTGAGCGGACCTTAATCTCTCGGATGTCAAGGTGTTAAATTCCTTCTTCTTGCTGTCCGCTTCATTGTTAATAGAGCGAATAGTCGAAGTCAACTCATCACGCCTCGTTCGCAAGGGAGGACACTTCGCTATCAAGCTTGGATATGTGGTTTTCGGTAGAGTCCACCTTGCTCTTCAAGCTCTCAACAGTTTCTTCGTCTGTTTNNTCAGTTGGCGAGTGATGTTGTCCACCTTGATCTGATCGGCTGCTGTTCTCTTGTTGACGTCTCCTCTCAAACGGTTGTATTCTTGAAGGTCGGCCTCGCTGAGTTCGCGTCCTGCTTGCTGTTGAGCAGCTGACCATTCCTGTTCCCATCTGCTTTGGGCTTTCTGGACAACATCAAGATCCTTTTTAACTGGTCGGCGTTGCGAGACTGGGCGTCGCGCTCTTTTGAGATTTCGGTGATGCGTTTGCGTGAAGCTTCGAGATTCTTNGTTAGATAGAGAAATCTTCTCGTTGATAGGCAAGAGATCGTTCTCCTTGTCTTCGACAGCCTTTTCCTTATTCTTGATGTTACGTTCAAGCTTGTGAACCTCGCGGCCTGCTCTAGCCTGTTCTTGTTGTGCCTCAGCAAGCCTGGCTTCATAGGCCTCGACGTTTCTTCGGTATTCCTTCAGCTCGTCCTGATGTTTTTGGATCTCAGCACCAGATGATTCGACCATTTGTTGGAAATGATACAACTTCCAGAGTACGTGAGTGACAACAGCCTGGTCTTTCTCATCGGCTTTGCGGTTATAGTTGTCGACCTCGCGCTTTTGTTCCTGATATTGCTTGATCTCGGAGTTGATGCCTCTGCGTTGATTCAATCTGAAAGCTTGGTCTTCGGCAGCCTTTTCGGCCTCAATCTTCAGGCGATCGTAGTCGGCCTTGTACTCAAGACTGCCGCTGATTTGCTCGATCAATCTGGTGAGGTCCTTGGAGCTTTGAGAAGCGATGGCCTCGACATCACCTTGGAAGACGAGGAAGTTGCGGGCCTTGATCAAGATATTCTCAGCTTCGAGAGCTTCATTATACTGCTTGGCGGAGACGAGTCTGTTGTTGATGCGGTACTCAGACTGGCCAGTCGATGTAATGGAGCGTTTCCAGGCTTGTTCGTCTCCAGCGTCATCCTCGTAAACGGCCATAACCCAGGCATTTGTAGGATCCGCGCGTTGAGTGCTTGTCTGGGTGTCTTGGCCCTCCTCTTGTGCACCGGATTCAGCCTCCGGGTCTTGAGCCTCGCCTTCCGGAACTTCAGTAGCGGTTCCATCGGCATTGATTCGTGAAGTCTTTAGGACACGGCCACGGTAGACCAAGTCGCGTAGATGGGTGGAGCGAAGGTGAGAAGATTTGATACCAAGGACGAAGGAGATGGCGTCCATAGAATTGGACTTGCCGGATCCATTAGGGCCAATGATGGAGGTGAAGTAGGAGTCGCCAAAGAGGAGAACATGATGGCCCTTGTAAGACTTGGAAGTCTGCGCAATTGTTAGCAAGATCATATTTGAAGATTCAAGGGTGATGAGCGCACTAAACAACTCAAGCCGAATAAGTTTGCCCATGATGGCGGCTTGTAGTGGTGTGCCGGTCTGGGAGCAGGTGCAAAGGACTGATCAAGTCGGACGACGCGTCGATACAGGCAGGCGCGTCACACGCGAGACTGCCGCCAAGCAGGAGGGCGGAGCGGAACTGATCGACAGGCGGTGGGACACGGACCAATGACATCGTGCTCTGGATCAACATGGTCCAAAAAGTAGTCTTGTATCCAAGTCGCTCCTGACTTGCATTCCACCTACAACAAAGAGGCCACACGTGAGAAGCAATGCCCGCTTAGACGTCCAGCTCCCCCGTCGCCTGCATATCTATCTTGATATTCCCTTCCATCACCTATCAGACCACATCTCCCTCTCTCTATCTCTCCGCGTCCTGGTCGCTCACCGCCATGTCGCAGCCCGTCGACACACTCAAGCCCAAACCAGAGGCTTCTGGTGCTGATGCATCTTCGGGCCAGTCTTCTGCCCCTGACACCGACTACCTTTCAGCTGTTGATGCTCAGCAATACGCAGGCATGACATCTCAGCCCACCTCGCCAGGATATCCATACAGCGTCTTGTCGCGAACCACTTCAAATGGAAGCTACAGTGAACTCGACGATGAAAGCTTTCCTCCCCTCGACCGCCTTACCATGTTCGACATAATCGAGAACCTCGCCTTGCCTCAGAGATTGGAACGTTTTCAGCATTCCATCACTGCTCAGAAGGACAAGGTTCGTCGACAGCAGCAGAAAATTAGGATGTCTAGTATCACAGCCAAGGACAAGATGGTCGAGGAATGGAGACGTCGCATCCCAACTCCTGATGAGCAGCTGGACAAGTACAAGAAGCGCATGCGCGACAACGTCGACCGTCTCAGCAAGAAGTGGAACGATGCCAAAGCGGTTACACTACGTGAGAAGATCTCCTTCATCACCGGTGTTCTCAACATCTTTATCTCTGGCTATCTCATAGGCGCCTACCCCGAATACTTCCACATCTGGTATACCGCACAACTGGCCTACTTCATGCCTATCCGCTACTACAAGTACCACAAGATTGGCTACCACTACTTCCTCGCTGACTTGTGCTACTTTGTCAACCTCCTCATGCTTCTGACCATGTGGTTCTTCCCGAATAGTAAGAGATTGTTTATCAGCACATATTGTCTGGCTATGGGAAACAATGCCGTTGCCATTGCTATGTGGAGAAACTCGCTAGTCTTCCACTCCTTGGACAAGGTCACTAGTCTTTTCATCCATATCATGCCATGCGCCACGCTCCACTGCCTCGTTCATCTGATCCCTATGGATTTGCAGAAGGAGAAGTTCCCCGCTATATACAGTATCAAACACTCCCCTCCGTCCTCTCCCGAACACTACACTCTTTGGGGCATGATTGTTTGGGCCACCGTTCCTTACGCTTGTTGGCAGCTGAGCTACCACTTCATGATCACTGTCAGGCGAAAGGACAAGATTGCTGCTGGTTCGTATACTAATCACTGCGTGAACTTCACAAAATGCTAACCCATTCATNNAGGACGTCCAACCTCTTTCACTTGGCTTCGCAAGTCCTACGCGAAGAATTTCCTCGGCAAGTTTGTACTTTCGCTTCCCGAAGTTCTGCAAGGCCCAGCTTTCATGATGATCCAGTATGCATATGCTCTCATCACTATGGTGCCCTGTCCTTTGTGGTTCTGGTACCGTTGGGCCAGTGCAGCTTTCNNCCTCACAGTCGTCTTCACCTGGGCCACCTACAACGGTGCCACATTCTACATTGATGTCTTTGGCCGCCGCATGGAGAAGGAGTTTGAAGCTCTCAAGAAGGAAGTCGCGAAATGGCAAGCCACTCCTGAAGGCAAGCCTATTCTGGAGGAGTCAGACCCTGCTTTAAAAGCAGTCAAGAGCATGTCTCTCGACTCACAGGGGCCTGCCCAACATCACTCAGAGAATGTCGAGGGCATTGGACCCAAGCAGACCGGCTCGACCTCAATTGAAGAAGCTACGAATACTGGTGAAGTTCGCCAGAGATGATTGTTACGATTATGTTGCATGGCTAGATTGTGGTAACAGACCATTCATGGCGTTTTAGAGCTGGATACCCCTTCGTTCATTAGACTCTTCGTTGTCGAGCAGCTTTGTCATAATAGAATGATTGTTTCGGTTTGTGGTTAGCTCGTTGCAACGCGTAACAAACTTGCATTTGCCAATCAGATCCAGTTAGCTACCTAATCTTTGCCAGCGTCTCGCTACCGTCTGGTCGCAGGTGGTCAGAGGTCAATCATGAGTAGCACAATATAGAAAGATGACTGTGGCTGTGACCCTGGCAAGAAATTACTCCAAGGCAGGCACTATTTTCACGCGCAACTAATTATCTGTACTGGAAACACGAGGCAGGAGCTCTCGGAGCAACAACTCTATTTAGCACTAGAACAATCCAATGATATTCCAAGCTGTCTGTCACAGATGTTCCCAGTCATACGTGTAACAAGATAACGAGTCACGGAGCACGTCCAAAATACATTTCAGCAGCAAACATGGTTGATCATAGTCTGTCTGTATCGACACAAGTTCCAGTCTTTCAAAGGGCCAAGTCTGATTTGCTTCAGGAACGAGTCGAGATGATGAAATCCGCTATAAACACTTTCCATGCTTTTCCACTAACCCATTTGCGAGCGAGAGAAAACCTTGAGAAATAACATGCCGCTACCCCCTTGTGTCCTTTTCCAGCCAGCCCATGTCCCCAGATGTGTTCCATGCGCCCATCATTTCTTTGAACGTCCCTCTTTCTTTCTTGCTAGTCGCGAGATCGTTTCATTGTTCGTCCGCGGGAAGGTTCTTCGTCAGCATGAGCACTCTAGGCCTCTTCTTCTGCCAAGCTCGAGAACTGATTTCTTCCCTTTTGTTGTGAGCGGTGAGGTCCTCCCTAAGGCTCACCGGCAAAGCTCGCTCCACGACCTCTGGGTGCGTAGCCACCTCTGGGCGCGAATCCGCCGCGCTGGCCTCCACGGCCAAATCCTCTGCCGCGACCGCGACCGCGGAATCCGCCACGGTATCCGTTATCCACGTTGGCTTGGCCAAAGGTTTCGAAGTTCTTCTTGCGCTCTTCGGTTCTGAACTCCATGCCTCCCATGCGTCTGCCATCTTCTTGAGCTGCCTGTCTGTCCTTGAGCTCTGATGAGATGTTATCAAAGAATGAACTTGACTTGTTGTAAGTGGCACCAGGAATGACAACCTCGCGCTCAGCTTGAGGAGCCTCGTGGCCATTGGCAGCATCTTCTTGGGGCTCATCGGCGGGTGTGCCTAAGGGAGAGCCCGATGCGATCGCCTCCTTGACCAAATCCTGCTTGTTGAACTTGGCGTTGCTGGTCTCGAAGTCGAAATCTGTCGTAGGAACCTCTACCGGCTTGGCAAGATGGTTGCTGGGGCGTCTACCACCACGGCCGCCACGGTTTCCAGCCGGGAATCCACCAGCACCAGACTGGCGGGGATGTCTTGATCTGTCATCAGTGCGCATATCACCAACGCGCTTTGTCAAGTTGTCGATACTGGCGTCAGTAGGAGCAGCAGTCGAGACAGGGAGCTTGGCCATAGCGGCAGCGACGGCGGCGGCAGCGGCTTGCGTAGCACTTTGCTGCTGTTGGGTCGAATTTGTAGGTGCGTTGCCAGGCTTAGCGTGCAGAGGAACAAGAGGAACGGCGACACGAGTGTTCTTAGGACCAGNTGGGAGGCTTTTGCTGCGATTGAGCAGGGGCAGTAGCTGCGGCAACATCAGGCTTAGAGTTGACTGGTGGAGGAGGAGCGGCAGCCTCGACCGAAGGTGTCTGGTTTGCGGACGATGCGGGCTTCTGGTCGGGAACTTGAGGAGGGAAGGTTGTGGTGTCTTTCGCAGACTCGGGCTGCTTCTTTGAGGGAGCAGGTGTTTGTGCATCAGAAGATCTCTGTTGTTGGGACTGAGGTTGCTGCTGCTGGCCAGGAGGACCAATGGGCTGAGGAGGGAAATGTCCGGGAGGGCCTTGAGGGAAGCCCTGTCCTGGAGGAGGGAACCAACCCGGAGGAGGGGGGCCGTAGAACTGAGGTGGAGCGTTGGGGAAGCCATGGGNNGACCAGCAGGAGGACCAAAGCGAGAGTTGGCCTGAGGAGGAGGGTAACCGTATGGAGGGAAAGGTGGGGGTTGTTGAGGGCCGGGGCCTTGGGGACCTTGAGGACCGCGCCACTGCTGCTGTTGCTGCTGCTGGTTGGGCTGGGGGAAGGCGCCCTGAGGACCAGATGATGGTGCTTGGGGAGCTCCAGGTGCACCGTGGGGTCTTGCGGCNNCTATGGAGTTCATGTCAGCGTCAACTCTTGAACTGGCAGGTGGAAGATGTGTAGTAGTGTAGAAGCTCAGAAGGAAGGCAACGGAAAGTGTCCACGTGGTTTTGCGCTCTCGGAAAATGANCAAAGGTTTACATCCGGAATGTTTCATCAAAGCGATGGCATGTGTGTTGAGCGAGGGTGGGCAACTTACACCAAGGATGGCGGGGTCATTGGGCATCTGAGGAGGCTGGGGCTTGCTCTCCTTGGGAGGCTCGACGATGGTCAGGTCCTTCACATCGCTTCCACGGAAGACAATATAGTCGTAGATCTGGTCATTGGGCGGGATCTCGTCGTCTGGGTTGCCGCGACGGCCTTCGGTACCGAATGACTTGACATTTTCGAGAGCGACTGTCGAGTTCTCCGAGTTGATCTCGTGTAGTGTACCGACGTATCTGCGCAAACAACAGTCAGCTTGCTGCTCTGAACGGCCTACGACTCCAGCAGTTCTGGAGACTCACTTGATGTCGCTCTTTGAGATGAGTGAGATGCGCGATCTGTCCTTAGTGTTAGCTAGCTTGCTACACGACAGGACTCGATTGGGCGTGCGCACCCGATGAATTCGGACATTGCGACGTATGAATGGCAGCCTAAGCTGTATAGTCAGGTAAGAAGAAGAGATGCAGGTGGAAGAAGAAGTTGGTTGCTTGAGACAAGACAGGGAGTAGCAGCAACCATCCAAACTGCCATCCAACACCATCGACTCACTTGTTACATGCACGGGCCCCTCGCGCATCTTGTCCATCGTCATTCTAGTACCAACCCTGTCCTTCTGTCACACGTACAAAAGACAGCCAACATGACAGAACTACAGTCGCCGAGTGATGATACCGCCGTATTTCAGCAGTTGGACAGTTATGACTGGGATCACGACAATGAATTCCAAACTGCTCTTGCGTCCATTCTAAGATCTGCAAAGACTCCCGAGCAAACAGCCCACTTGACCACACGAGCTCGTTGTTACTACTACACAAGGTGACACATCTTGACATGTCTATTATCTTACACTCATTCTCATGTCTTGTGGNNTAGAAAATTCAAAGTGCCCGTCAGTTTCGAAGCTTATCAAAACTGGCTCCAATCTCAACACCATACTGCCGTTGAGCCTCAGTCTGCATTGTCTACTGAACAAGCTCATCCACCTTCTATGGGTGATGCTCCTCCGCCAGCTTCCTTTGCTGAGATTTGTGCACTTATCGCAGAGGGTAAACCAATACCTGGTATAAAGGACATTCCTGATACCATTCTGGAAGGTCAAGGAACCCAAGCACAAGCCCCTCGACGCAAGAAGCCGTGGGAGAAAGATGCAACTGCAGCGCCAACTCCAAGCTGGGCAGCCCGGACCTGAATCAGAATCTTGGTGACTTGAATTAGCACCCATCTCAATCTTTTCGTCACGTAGATTGGATCGCTGATGTTACGATTCAGTAAGCTCTTAGTGGCATCATTACTCGTTAGTATAGAAAGCTATACATGCATTTACAACAAAGCGTCCAGCACTTTGTCTTGTAATCTGTTCAGCTGACCCTTCATGAGCCTGACCGTGAAATCAAGGGCCATGTACTTTTGCTTGTAGTCAATCTCGGACTCCTTCATGTTGGCGACCTCTTTGATCATCTCGTGCGCGCGAGCTTCTGCATCGTTCGGATCCACCTCTTCCGGCTCAATCTCGAGTCCAACAGCACAAAACTTTCCACCTACTCCACCAAATCCAGCAGACCAGCTGACATCAAACTTCTCCTTCACTCTTTCAGCATGTTCGTCTGGGGCGATGCGCTCTTCGAGGCCGTTGTCCCTGATTGCAAACCTTTGCACCGTGATCTCTTTCTCTTTACACGGTTTAGCAGAGTCGAATCCAAGTTGTCGTGATACACCAAGCCAGCTCGTGGCTGCAATACGAAGAGCATCGTCTCTTTTGTTATCAGAATCTGCCTTGGGTATGCCAAACCGTTGGAGGATTGCATCGGACAAGCGCATTGCTTCAGGTCCCAACAATCTGCTTGACCTGCCAGAAAAGTCTGCACGAAGGAGATCAGCAGCGAGAACGCGCTTGAGAGCCTCGTATGCAAGGCCTACTTCTGGCTCGGGGTTCTGACTCTGACGCGTAGCAGGTGTTTGTGAAGCAGGCCGAGTTTGTGGTTCTGGCCATCTCGAGGTTGCGGGCTCAGTGTCCATAGGCATAAGACCTTCTGATGCTTGATCATATCCTTCATTCGTAAGCACTGATGGCGTGGCAGGTTGTATCGGACCACCTGTGTTTTCAGGCACTTGCAAAGATAGACGTCCGCGCTCAGGTCGACGCGGCGGAGCATCGTCATCCACTGGTTTGGACATCATGAAAACAGGTTTGTGCAGTGGTCTCGTATAAGCATTGGGACGCAACAGATGCGATTCGGTATCATACGGCATCAAAGACACAGCTGGAGTGCTTTTCTGCGATACTGATCTCTCGGCGCTCGGATCTGCTGGGAAAGTGGTGTATGGTCCATCCTGAACCGATCGATTGCCTGGGGGCCTACCTCGAGCTCTAGCATTTGTCGCGGTCGCATGCGTCCAAGCAGAAGACACCGCAGGACCATGCTTTCTGCGTGATCGACCGCGAGAAGATCCTGGAGTGATAGCCGACATCGGCTCGTCATATGCTGGTAAGCCTGGTGCTCTGGGTTCAAGGGCCGACATGGGATGAGGAGTTGTGGCGGTGTCATGAGACCCTTCAACCTGCCATTGAAGATGTTGTGGTGGTCGAACAGCTATTGCAGAATGCGGGATCGGTCGTCTTGAAGCGGCATTCGTCGGTGTCCACATGTCGTTAGCAAAGTTTTCCGCCGGTCTAGCACTCAGTGGAATCGCAGATGCTGTGTATGATGCCTGCGGCTGAGCATAAAGAACCCGACCCTCATAGGAGAACGAAGTCGTGAGTAGAGGCTTCTTCGGAGGAGCGGCATCTTTCTCTGGCGTCTCATTCCTCTTTCTACCTCTTTTGGGACGAAAAGAAGGATCCAACGCTCTGATAGCAAGATCCTCATCAGCTGGCACTCCATCTCGACCTCTGGAAGGATGAGGATCGTGTGGTGGAGGCAAGTCCAAGTAGTAAGAATGCTTCTTGCCGAGTAAATACTCGAAAAAGGCATCGACATGCATTGCACGCATCCAGCGCTAGATCGAGTGTGAGTTTGAGTAAACGCTTGAACATCAGGAGACCACAGAACGGACCTTTAGTCTGACAGAGTACTGCTGTACCTTTTGGACACTACCACCTTTCTCTGCCGATGGTGGCTCGACACCCAATTCTAAGGCTAGCTGAGTCCATGTTTTGATGTCCTTGTTGTCGAACCTTTGTACAAGCCCCCACAATGTGAATATACTGAAATCTTTGCCATCGCTACGAGGTGGTGTTTGGAAGATACGTCTCAAATCAGAGGTATCGATGTCCAGTGGAAAATACGGATTACAGTACAGAATGAAAGCAACATATGCATCGACAATACTCTCTTCTGAGACGTCGCGGTTAGGCAGAGCACGTTGAGTGAGCGGTGCAGACGGTCGCGCAGGCAGCGTCACAACATGTCTTGGGGAGGCAGAAGTCGAGTCATGTGGCATGTCGCCATCAGTAGCACCGGTAAAGAGCGAGTTGGGCGTCGCATTGGCTGACTCGATATCGTAGTCATGGCCCAGACTGCCATCACGGGCATTTGACGAGGTTGGAGAGCTGCCAGCGCTCTCCATCATCTCCTCAGACATATCTCTATACACAAGTTCTTCTCTTCCTGGATTGGTCTCGTTGACAGAGTCGATAGCAGCTCCGAGCTCGGAAGCTACAGCTCCAGGAGTGTCAAGGTACCCGAAGGACGCCGGGCGGCCAGGGGCCGAGGAAGGCCAGCGATAAAACAAACGTCGAGGCCGAGGGTGAAGGTGATGGACACTGGCTTCCGGTTTCAAGACGTGACGTCCAACTTAGTCGGCTTTTGGTATTGGCGAGAGGTTCGTATAACGGGTCAATTGACTGATTCTGGCTGTCGACGATCTGGAGAAAAGGGGGGAATTGTCAGATATGCAGCCAAAAGTCGTGGTAGCTCCTGCTTCTTGTAGCCCTATGATTATCCTTGTGCATGTGTAAGGGTCTCGAGATGAGGCATCGATCGAGTCCTGTAGAAATCCAGGCAGGGAACTTCTATCGTATCCTATGCATATTCTACCAATATTTGATATCTTGTTACGTAGCATGACTATCTTGCTTCGACTCGACGAGACTTAACAGACTATTGACACGAGTTTTGTCAAGAAACGCTGAACAGTTGCCGATCTCGTTCGTTCACATGTGGGGAATGCAACCTCGGCTCCTTGACCCTCTCCAAGGTAAAAAGCTACACCTGACGCACCTGGATACAATAACTTGATCTAGGCATAAAGGGTTTCTCTTTCTTCCACTCCCTCGTCCAAACCCTCGAAACATTGCTGTAGCTCCTGAAACATCAAACGATACCTTTTATCACCCTTTTAAAAACAACAACTACCCCTACTTGCGTAATCCTTGAGCTTTTGCTTCGTACTCACTCCCTTTGATCATGTCTCAATCCGTCGCTGTCAAGNNGGACGAGCTGCAAAAGTCGACTGCCACTGCGCCTCCGGATGCAATTTCTCAGCAGTCTGACAATGTCGCCCATGCTTTGGCTGGTTCGGGCGGTGGTCTCATCTCCATGGCTCTGACATATCCTCTGATCACCTTGTCAACACGCGCCCAGGTCGAATCCAAGAAAGCCGATACCAACGTGCTCCAAGCAGCTCGCAAAATCATCGCTCGCGAAGGTGTCCGCGGTCTATACGCAGGTCTTGAGTCCGCACTTTTCGGCATCAGCGTTACCAACTTTGTCTACTACTACTGGTACGAATGGACCCGTGCTGCTTTCATCAAGGCCGCAAAGGCTGCCAACCGCCCCAACGCTAGTAAGCTCAGCACATTGGAGAGCATGATTGCTGGCGCGATTGCTGGAAGCGCAACCGTGCTCATCACCAACCCCATCTGGGTCGTCAACACTCGCATGACAGCCCGCAAGAATGAGAGTGACGAGAGTGCTCTCCCCACTGAGGAAGCAGGAGCAAAGCCCAAGAAGCAGCTCAGTCCCAGCACCATCGGCACACTTCTGTCCATCATCAAGGATGAAGGCTTCATGAGACTGTTTGCAGGTGTATTGCCAGCTCTTGTGCTGGTCATCAACCCTATCCTCCAATACACTATCTTCGAGCAGCTGAAACAATCTCTCGAAAAGCGTCGTCGTGTTACGCCCAAGGACAGCTTCTACCTCGGTGCTTTGGGCAAGTTGGCAGCAACATCCATCACTTACCCATACATCACAGTCAAGTCGAGAGCCCATGTTGCCAGTGGAGAGAAGGAGGGCATGTTCAACAGCTTCTCAAGAATTTTGCGTGAGGAAGGCTGGTCTGGTCTTTATGGAGGTAAGTTATCACCTACCACTAAAATTTTACTACTCGATACTGACGTTCTTTTCNNAGGTATCGGTCCCAAGGTTACCCAGAGTGTCATCACTGCAGCTTTCCTGTTCGCATTCAAGGATGCCCTGTACAATGCAACAGTCAAAGCTCGCAGAAGAATCGCTCAAAAGGCGTAGACGTCTTGCTAGAAAGGCAAGGAAGTCTTGCTACCAAAGGAGAAAAGTCCAATGTGCACGTGGAGCCCAAACCAGAACGGATGACTGAGAAGCATATGTCTGTTACACATGAGGTGGAGAAGGGCAAGCATGTACGATCATGACCGTCAACGAGAAGCCAACCGAGAGAAAGAACGCAGTGCAGTGATAGCAAGGAGCTCGAAATTATAACAAGAAACCCAAGTTTGGAGTTTGCATTTCATCTCATCCTTTCACAAGATGTATACACCCTGTTTTGTTCGAAGTTTATCTCATCACTTCCAATATCTCCTCTCGAACATGGTCTCAAGCCAATCTCATCATCCTCCCATCCTCTACCTCGTCGCCCCCAGAACCATCTCCCCAACCTCCTCTCAACTCTTCTCACAAATTGCGACAGCAATAAAACTCGCCCTTCCAACACTCAAACTAATGACTTTGAAAACACCTCGACTAACCAGATTTGTAAAGTTATATTACGTCGACTTCTGAGGGGTGGGTAGGTTGTGTGGAACTGGTGTCGTTGGGAGATACTTAATGCACTTTTCATTATTATTCTGATGTTTCGATATTATAGAATGAGCAATTTACCTTTTGCATCATCGGGGTCTTCTATAGAATACATCGAGTTGTTTTCAGAGGATATTCTGAATGGAAGTTTTTGTGGTCGTCAAAGTCAAGATGCGAAGGATTGCGACCGAAGCTGCTGGATGGATCTGCAACTAGACTGTTTGCCATGAGTATTAAAAGATTACGAGAGTTTTCTGCAGAGACATGGATAAATAAAATTGGTATCTGAGACTTGCTACACAGCACAAACAATGCCCGAAATATATTCTAATGGGGTGGGTAATCTACTTTCTCTTTCTGGAGGCACCAGCCTTGCTCTGGGAACCAGAGCTCGATGCCTCAGTCTTGACAGGAGTCGCATCCTCTTCAGGTGCAGACTTCAAGGGCTGATTTACCTTCTTCTCTTCAACTTCCTCATCATCACCGCCCTGGCCGAATTCATTGACACGGGTGTGGTCGACCTTGTATGCCCAAGCCTGGTAGAGGTAGACAAAGAAGATGACATCGTCGCGCAGGGTTGCCAAGCGATGAAGTGTAGGCATCTTGATGGTGAAGGCGAACAGATCATCGATGAAGGTGTTAAGGAACTTGTAGGTCATTGCTTTTGCAGGCATGTGCGCAACACTCTTCAGGCGGTAGTTGATGTACAAGCTGGGCACCATCATGAGGAAACCATATGCGTAGACAGAGCCGACTAGGGTGGCAAGAATGAAGCTGTACCAACTCTTGTGAGTCTCGTACACAAGCGAGTATCCGGCATAGGCGAGTAGAAGCGGGACTGCGATGATGTACACGTAGCGGAAAGCGATCTCATCGTACTCTTGAGTCTTCTTCTCAGTCTCAGAGAGCTTGTGCTTGTCCTCGAAAACAACGCGGTAGGGGATCAGAGAGCCTGCAGGAGCAGCACGAACACGGACGTCGACAGCCTTGGTGACCTTCCAAGCCTCAATAGCAATGCCCATACCTTGACCGAACAAGATCATCCAGGAAGTGTTTTCGTTGTTATCCATCAGATAGAGGAAGATGACGCTCTGCATGAAGACATTGGCGAGAATGGTGCGAACCGAGGTTCCAATGTTATCTTTCTTTTNTCTGAAATGCTGGANCCTGTCGGAGGGTACGATTAGCATGACCTTATAAAGTTGGATGGGCAAGAACACCACGACTTTGCTGGCAGAGTGCACTCAACTCTGCGAGACGCCGTCTCGAACGGTGTTTCGAGAAACACAGTCCGAACGGGCCTTTTGTGCAGACTGAGACAGAACACCAGCGCTAGTCGTGGTATTTGTACCTTTGTCTTAACTTACATCGTTCTTGAAAGCCAGCATTTCGAAGATCATGTGCAGAACACTGACGAAACCAGTGATGCCAAGCAAGTACATGTTAGTATCGAGAAGTACCTCCTTGATCATCTCGAGTTCACTGCCATCACCACCGCCAGGAGTAGTCTCTCCACGAGCAATCTTTCTGGCATTTTCCTTCATACCTTCGTCCATGCTTGCCATGACGCTGAATTTCCAGTTGGGGTCGGTCTGCAAGTCGAGGTTGAGGGGCATCTCCTTGACGGTCGAGTTGAGCTCGGTCATCTGAGAACGAAGCTGCCAGAAGGTGTTAAGATAGAGGACGGGATAGTACCAGCCGTTCTGACCAGATTCATCACGAGCACCGGTTGCTTCTAGTGATACGAATTGGCGCATTGCTGGGTGCATCTGGGCGTAGACAGGAGTTCCAACATTGGGAATAATGGACAGAGTGAAGTTGGGGTGGTAGAAGTTTGAGATGACGGGACCCGAAGGCTCATCCTCAGCTTCTTCTTCGGTCTCGGAAGAGTCAAGCAGGTTGCGAGTCTTGCGGACCTTCTTCTTAGCCAAGTAGTTTGTCAGGGGTCGAGTAACGCGGTAAGCCTTGAGAGAATCATAGCCAGGCTGAGTGGGATCCATAACACTTCCCGACTGAGAGATGTAGATATGGGCCCAGAGTGTTCCGTTCTCTTGCACCGACTGAGGAATGTTGATGGTAGTATGTACCTGACGCTTGTCGGACCAGTCGCCATAATGGAAGTTACGCTCCTGGAGGACCAGAGATTCGGCGGGCATATGGCTGAGGGCAGGCATTACGAACGAAGGCGAGACATACATGTTGATGTCCATGGAGGTGTCTTGCTGCCAAAGAGGCATGATCATGTTGGGAATGGCGCTATACGAGGCAGATGCTTGTTGGCCAGTGCCAGCGGCGACAGTAGGAACAGGAGCATTTTCGGCTTGCTTTTGTTGTTGGACACCACCGGTAACTTGCTTGATAGCAAAGTTGACAAACATGAAGATACCAACCGTTTGGGCGACCGACTTTGCGGTTGANNCTGCGGAAATGTTAGCTGGACTGAACGACTATCAGTATGCGACGCTTCTTCTGACCATCCAGTCAGAGCCCTGGTTGGCTTGTCGCTGTGCTGCAGACATGATGGACGCGACCCTTTGCTTACGACTTGTCAACAAAGAACAAGAGGTATGTCTCTCGGCAGGAGGTGCAAATATCTGTCCTCTCAATCGTCAAGCCACCACTCTCAACCCTTGAGCTACCAGCCTCCGCAATATCCAGGACTCGGTGTTAAGACGGAGAATAGCGCACGGTCCACTCAGACTACATCCGGATGCGTGTTTCAGCTGGATGGACCCTCAAGGGCTCCGGCTGCCGACTCTTGTCTGCGCATGTCTTTGACCTGTAAAGGCTCTTGAACAAAGTGAATATCCATCTTACACTCTTGACAAGCACCGTCTTTGGACTCTCTCCTAGTTTGACCGGTTTTGAAGAGTGTCGCAAGTGGGCACGTGTTGGTGTCTTTGTCACAAGCGACAACACCGCCTGGACAGATCCGAAACGTCATTTAGACGACCTTAGTGGATATTGAGAATAATACCGTTGCTGCCTGCACCAAGCCAACAACATACACCTACAACCTTCGACCTCGGCGGAGTGTCTCTTGGAGCTGAACAACCTCTGTGGGCTCCATCTTGTCCGCTACAACAAAGCCCGCCGCGAGCTATTGTCCTTATCGCCGAAGTCATCGTCGAGTTCGGACAAGATCGACCCGCTCGACTGCCTATTCGTTTTCAACCTACGCCCTTGGCCATCCGTCTCGACTCGCTCCATATCGTGTTATCATTCATCCGGCGGCTTTGGCTAGGTACTGCCGCTGCCTGTCATGTTCTCTGAATGTGAGTCCGTCGATGCGACAAATGTCCAGGCGAGAGCGCGTGACTGACAAGTATCAGATGCCTCGCGCTTCCTGGCGCAATCTCAAAGTCGTCTCTCCTTCACTCAAGCTGATCCAGATGCTCGCTCTCGCAATCCCCTCGATCGCCGACGTCAACCTGCCTCGTCCTCTCGCTACGTCCAACGCACTCCGATGCCCACACCTTATCAGCACTCGGCATCAGCCTCATATCTATCTCGCTTTCCATTCGCTTCTCGTCCGCGACATGACGACCATGTGCCGCTATTCCAGGGCATCGACCAGGAAGATGCAGAGACACAACACGAGCGTGAGATGGCAGATTATCTAGCTCTACAAAGGTCTCGCCGCAACTTCATCCCCAGTCATCTTACCGAGTCGTCCGAGCTTGAAGACCACACTCTCGAGTTGTCAGATATTGCTTCGCGAGCTAGTTTATCCGCTTCAAAACAAAAGTCAGCTATGGTCGATGTCGAACTTGACTCTACCGATAACGACGATGGCTATTCCGACTTTGATAGCATCGACAGGGAGCTCGATGCTCGTCCACCCGCTTTCCAAACATTCCAGCCTTCAGTGCCTCCTCCACAGTCTACCTTTCTTCCGCAAGAGACGGATCCAGAAACAGCCTATGCTCACCCGAGGCCACCTAGTCCGGACGGCGATAGTGTCCCGCCGACAGTCATCCTCCCAGCACCTGAGCCACCACGACATGATGTCTTCTGGTCCCAGCTATACAAGATTTGCGTCTTTGCCATGTTTGCGACCTTCATACTGGTCTGGTTCCATACTTCTTCACCAAACTCCAAGAAGCCCCTAGGCGACACCATTTATTCTGCTTTGACGTCTTCCATCAATCTTCTGCTTTGGGATACAGTCATCACAGTCATAGTCGCAATGCTCTGGCTGGCCCTTCTTCGCGAGTACGTCCGCGTCCTGGTTTTCCTGATGCTCGTCTCAGTTCCCGTCATTCTGTTCTCCTTCTCACTGTACCCTTTCATCTCAAGTTATAAGGGCGCTTGGCACGGAAGCAGCGTGCAGGACAAGGTCATGCGCTGGTTCTCTTTCGTTCCAGCAGTCATCGCTTGCGTCTGGGTTTACTCGGTCTACAAAGGTCGTCGTTCGCTCGGTAAAGCGATTGGCATACTCGAATTCGCATGCCGCATCGTCACCGCATCTCCAAGTCTGACTCTGCTAGGATTCGGCACGCTGGGCGTCGTGGTCTGCTTCACCTGGATCTGGATGGGCATGTTCACCAGACTCTTCCTGGGTGGCCATATGTCAAAGCTCCAAACCTTTATCATCGATCTCAACACATGGTGGTTGGGCTTCTTCTTTGTTATGGTCTACCTTTGGACTCTGGGCATTATTGCTGGTGTGCAGAGGGCAACAACTGCTGCTACCGTTTCGCAGTGGTACTTCCATCGTCTCAGTGTTCCCGCACCGTCGTCAACCACAGTCGTTCGAGCCTCTTTCATGCACGCGGCAGGACCTATGCTCGGCACGATCTGCCTCTCCACCTTCTTGTCGCTGCTTATCCGCTTACCTCTGATTATCCTTCCTCGTCGCATTGCTAGCATTGTGACTCTTTGCGCCTTCTCCATGGTACCGACGTCGCTTGCTGCCCTCACCAACCCGCTAACACTTACCTACGCTGCCATTCACTCTCAATCTCTGAGCATCAGCGCTAGAGGCTTGTCACAGCTACGTTTTGTCTCCAATACCTCGCCCACAACTACACTCAACCCTTCCGTCTTCGCGGCACATCCAGGTTCTGGCGGCACCATGATGCCCTACCGTCTAGCAAAGCTATTGCTCCACGCAACCCGCTTCATCATGTCGTTTGCCCTAGGCTTTGGAGGCTGGGTATCTACAGCACGCAATGTGCAGTTGGCTGGCGGTGGCTTCAAGGGCAGTCTCTACGCTTACATTGTAGGTCTGATAGCAGCTACAATCGGCTGGGCAGTCCTGGGAGCCATCGAAGGCGTTATCGGCGGTGTGGTGGATGCAAGCGTTGTCTGCTGGGCCAGCGAGACAGGTGGCAGAGGAGGAGCAGGCGAAGCGAGATACTGCCGTGAAGCAGGCGAGCTCTTTGGAGAGGGAGATTATTAGTCTTTCTCTTCCTGACTTGGACACGTCGCTTTCATTTCTTTTGCTTAACTTGAGCGCTCGTTGGTCTTTTGGTGTTAGTGGGTGCTTGGGTTGGCTTTTCTTTGGGGTGGCACACGATACCCACGGGGTGTGCAGAGAGCATCTACGGATCATAGGGGGCGTTTCTTCTGGGTTAGTTTCCTTCGCTGAGAGATGAGTCGATAGGATCAAAGTATATCATACAGTCCACACATTTTCTTCACGTTCCTGTTGCAAAGTAGAGTGTAATGTTGAGTCAATTGATTTGTTGATGTACAGAATTGTATGGATAAGACGAGGTTCAATCCCCTCCATCTCTCGTCTCATCGTCCTTCTCGCCTTGTAAAACGCCTTGAGCTATGCATCGCCGTATTGTATCGAAAAGAGCAATCCCCCATATCCCTTGCCCCTGCTAAAGAAAAAGTAATTCATGCCGTCGTGTAAAAAATCCTCCGAAGCCTTTTTTTCTAGTCGCTAGACTCTTCAACTAACCGAGCGTCTGACCAGGTCCCCAGGCCGAAGCTACAGGATTCTTCGATCCCTTTGATGTTTTAGGGGCCTGGATTTCCAGACCGGCTTGAACCATGTTGATCTTGTGCAATTTCAGACGCAAGAGATGTTCGATTTCGTCGGCGGTCTCGATGACACCGCGGTGGGCATCGGCGCGGGAGTCCTTTGGTGGAGCGATGAGTAGTTGGTCCACTGTGTCGATTCTGGCATTGAGGATGCCGCGTTGGATCATATCGACTAGTTCTGCCTCCATCATTTGGGGTGTTCCGCCTGGTCTGGGGAAGGCTTCTGTCAGAGCAGAAAGAGTGACTTGAGAGAAGGGGACAAAGTATTGAACGATGCTCTTGCTGCGAATCAAGTGGTACAGCATATTGACGTGAGGACCAAGGAAGATATCGAGCAAGTAATCGTTACGGTAAGCTTCGAGAATAGCTAGACACTGACTGTACTTTGCACCACAGAAGAAAGAGATTGCGCGACGGATGTGTGGTTCCAGCTCGAGGAAGTTGCGGAAGTTTGCGTTTTCGAGGACGGAGTCTTGGAGTTGTTGGCGGTCCATGGAGGCTAGGGCACAGAGACCTCCGTATACGGCTATGTCGTTGGCGGTCATGACAGAGCGGGAGAAATCGATGTTTGCGACGGGGCCGACGCTGGCGTATGAGGGGTCGACCGCGAGGAAGGCGTATGCGGCAGGAGCGTAGTTACCAGAGCCAAGGTAACCCAGACCAGTACATGCTTGAGAGACAGAATCGAAGCGGGGCTTATCCTCAGGACGGAGTGTCAGGGAGCGAGCCTTCTGAGCAGACGAGACGGCCGAGATCCAGTTGGGAGTAACAATGTTAATGTATGCCAGCTTGAGGGTCATCTCGGCAATGTGCTTGGGAGTGGTGCAGAACTCGCGCATCTTGTGGTAAGCCTTTGTTGCCTGTTCCAGTCTGTTCATGTTGAGAAAGTGGGTGCCTAGGTCTTCCTGGCCCATTCTGATGCTCTCCTTGATGAGGTTGTTCTTGTAGCCGCGAAGCTCGTTTTCCAGGCGTTCCGTCTCATGCTCGTTCAGCTTGTTGGTCTTCTCGACCCATGCGGTATCGACTTGGGCCAGGTCGTCGTCAGGGCTGATCTGAGAGAGCAGTTTTGTGAGATCGAGGTATTGCTGGGTGTCCTTTGCGTTCTTGGATGCGGGGATGGCCAAGTGAAGGGCGTCAAGGGCCAGCGGCGGGCACAAGTGGGCAATATTGCTGAGGCGGTTTACTCGAGTGTGTTCTGTAGTGACTTGTGAGCTGAGGCAATAGTAGTGATGTGGACATGTAGACGTACGGTCATAGTTGGCGGCGTAGCTGTCCAGATCAAACTTGGGAGCGTCTGAGACAATGAGACTGCCATTCGCTCTTCGTTCAGCGAAGTAAGGGCTTTGCTCCACTGCTTGCGCCATGGTTGTGTGGTGAGATGGTTGTTTGGTGTGTTTGAGTGCGACTGCTTGTGAATGACGGATGCATGTATTCTGCCAGCGTCGGCGTCGGGCCCGAGCTGTCCGCCTCACCGCCTCTCTAACCAGTACAGAATCAGCACCTGTTGAATAGCAAGATACTGAGAGTCAAGCTCGCAAACGCTGCACTGACTCGACTTTGATTCACTGCTATGGGCGCCTCTCTAGCTCATTCACCAGTGCCATGTTCGGTATCCCCAGAAAAGTATAGCAAAGCCCGCAATTGCCGCATTGGCAGCAGATATTCGGCTGAAGTTACACCCAGCACGTTGAGTCGCCGTAATGCGGGCCGAGTTGGCCTTGTCATAACATTCGAATTTTTTCGTTGCATCCAAGAACGAGTGCCCCTATTGCGCTCGTTGTTTGTTTTCTGTCTACATCACTGTCCTGTCTCTCGCTCGGTTGTCTTGAGGCTCCCAAATCCTACTCCTCACTTTCCTACCCGGTACCGTTGTCGTATACCAGGATCGCTGTCTTGACCGTGCGTCCCCGGATCCTTCTGAGAGTGACGCCGAACTCGCTGTCCGCGCTCCAGCTGTCATCGTCCGTCTGAATACCCAAGTGTATTCCCAAATCACATCTCGCAGTCATGGCTTCCACCACCGCGACCCTCAAAGAGTCGGTCAAGGAGACGTTGCTCGGCGTTGAAGATGAGCCGCAGCTCTCGTCCCAGATGCGTGCTGAGTTCATGCAACATGCCAAAAACGATGCCGAGTCTGGTGACTACTACATGGGTCAAGACGAGTTCGTCAATGCCATTGCTCCCGAGTCTGAAGACTACGTGCGCACCCCTTTGCTTCGCCCTTCTGTCCTCCCGTCAATGCTGACCTCAAACAGNCACAAAATCAAGCGCTCGCAGTATGCCGTTCTCTTCTCCGTCGCCGATCGCCGCAAGACTGGTCGTGTAACCCTCTCCGACTGGGCTACCTTCAACAACCTCCTAGCAAAGCCTGACGCCGAGTATGAGATTGCTTTCCGTCTCTTCTGTGACCCCGAGACCGGTGTCGTCGACTTCAACTCGTTCAAGGAAGCTTACGCTCGCAACCGCTCTCCTGATAACATCCCCTTTGATTGGAATTCGACATGGGCCTCGCTGTATGTTGGCGACCGCAAGAACAGGCATAGCATGACCTACCCGCAGTTCGCCCAGATGCTGCGCGGTCTGCAAGGAGAAAGAATCAGACAAGCCTTCCACCACTTCGATAAGGACGGCGACGGCTACATCGACCCTGAAGAGTTCGAGCGTATCATTCGTGAAACTGCTTCACACAAGCTTTCCGACCACCTCCTCTCCAACCTCCAGACCCTCTGCAACATCTCACCCGGCAGCCACATCTCGTACGCCAATGTACGCGCTTTCCAGAACGTCATTCGCGACATGGACCTTGTCGAATTGGTCATCCGCAACGCTGTAGGAAAGACCGAGGACGGCAAGATCACCCGTACCGACTTCCTGAACGAGGCCGCTCGCATCACTCGCTTCTCGTTGTTCACACCAATGGAGGCTGACATCCTCTTCCACTTCGCCAGCTTGGATCAGCCTTCTGGTCGTCTTGGAGTCTCCGACTTTGCACGTGTCCTCGATGCTTCCTGGGCTTCTCACCACACCGTCTATGGCGTTGCTGGTGCTGCTGCTGCTGACACTGCCGCCGCTGTTGTCTCCAAGTCAAAATCATTCTTCCACGATGTCCTCGTGTCCGCACATCACTTCGCACTTGGTTCTATTGCTGGCGCCTTTGGTGCTTTCATGGTCTACCCCATTGATTTGGTCAAGACCCGTATGCAGAACCAGCGTAAGGCTCGTGTCGGTCAGCTCCTCTACAAGAACTCCATCGACTGTTTCTCTAAGGTCATTCGCAACGAGGGTGTGCGAGGCTTGTATTCAGGTGTTCTACCTCAGCTTGTTGGTGTAGCGCCTGAGAAGGCTATTAAGCTGACAGTCAACGACTTGGTCAGAGGAAAGGCATCGGATCCTAAGACTGGCGAAATCAAGCTGCCTTGGGAAATCGTTGCTGGTGGTACCGCCGGTGCTTGTCAAGTCATCTTTACGAACCCTCTTGAAATTGTCAAGATCCGCCTGCAAATCCAGGGTGAGGTCGCCAAATCACAAAAGGCAGTCGAGAAGAGAAGCGCCATGTGGATTGTGCGCAACCTTGGTCTGGTCGGTCTCTACAAAGGTGCCAGCGCATGTCTGTTGCGTGACGTTCCCTTCTCTGCCATCTACTTCCCTACATACAACCATCTCAAGAAGGACTACTTCGGTGAAGGTCCTAACAAGAAGCTTGGTAAGTCGACACATACACCATGGCTCTATACAGATTCTAACAGAGCACTNTTAGGTATCTTGCAACTCTTGACTGCAGGTGCTATCGCTGGTATGCCTGCAGCTTACCTGACCACTCCTTGCGACGTTATCAAGACCCGTCTGCAAGTAGAAGCCCGTAAGGGAGAAACTCAGTACACATCGCTCCGTCACTGCGCCAAGACCATCTGGCAAGAAGAAGGTTTCCGCGCCTTCTTCAAGGGAGGACCCGCTCGTATCCTTCGTTCGTCTCCTCAGTTCGGTTTCACTCTTGCTGGTTACGAACTTCTCCAAAATCTCCTTCCTCTTCCTGGTGAGGAGCACGAGCTCGGACCTCGTGGCAGCCTCGAGCCCGCAACTGGATTGCAAGAGGCCCAGGCACCACTTCCTTATTTGAGGAGCAGAAACGCCCTCAAGATCATCCTGGACCTTGATACTGGGTTCGGCAAGTTGCCTGAAGGCCAGAAGTTTACTGGCATTCCCGGCTTCCGTTGATTCTTTCAACGTAAGAGGGTCATAAAACGATTGACCATATAGATCTCTTGCCATGATAGGTCAAGTCCATCATTCTTACTTAGTAGAATTTCTTTTGTGAAGGATCAGATGGAATAAAAAGTGCGTGCGGTTTGCATAGCGTTCCAGGCGTCTAGGCATTACGGTGAGATCTAGTGGCAAGCAAATGTACGATAATTTCAATAGACATTCAAGTCTGCGACGACAACTACAATATTTTCCAGATACAAAGAATATCGTGATTCGACAAATATTATCAGATGTATGATTGAGAGTTTCACGAGACGTTGTTTGGCTGCCCGCCCAAAAAGCTTGCCGATCCACTTTCTTCGAGCAAGCTTGAGCGTTCATCCCGTCCTCAACTTTCCTAAAGTTGTTTCCTACCACCCATCATTTGTAGCAAACATGAGAAGTGAGTTGATCACTCATGAGCTCTAGGCTCACTTCGTTGTGTGCTATTAAAATTATCCTCACTGCACGACCCGCACTCCTGAGCTCAATATAGATAGCTTGACTACATTCTGTGTGAAGAAGGGATATACACGCTGCTGACGATATCACGATTGTGAATGCTTTTGAATCAAACGAATGCTGTGAAAGAAGATTGTGTGGAGAGTCTCTGCGGGGTGTGTCAATGAAAGCAGAGGGTAGTGAAAGGGCCGACACACTTACCTTTTTCCCATTGCTCCGCGCCTATTCTGGCAACCAAACAACATCGAGATCCATTGAAAACAACATGCTCATCATGCTAGTATGCCATCCGAACTAGATTCTCATGCAACGAGCTCGCGACTTCGGTATGTCACGTGATGGCGCTGGTAAACATGTAGTTGAAATAACCTACTCTCAGACACATGGCATCTGCGGGGATGATCGACGGGAACTATGAATGGGGCAGCAGGGAGATATGGTTCCTGAATGCTCTACGATATTGTCTGCTTGATTGTGAGGCTAGGGAAGGCCTAAAGGGTCGCGGAGCAAGGCAAAGAGGTCATCAACAGCTGCTACGGACAATTTCGACCTTGAATTGATCTATCTAGCATGAATTTGGCCGTATAATGTTCATCCGGTTGTGCTTGTTAAATAAATCGCAAATCGAGTTTGGCGTTGCGATGTATTGAACGCCAAGACGTTTGATATCAAGAATCCCTCACTCCGAAGTCACTTCTCTCCTTTCCATCATTTCCCATCATTTAATGATTTGAATTTTATCGAAGAGCAGTATCAGCGTGCTCCATGTCGTGCGAAATACGACGCGTCTGTTTGATACATTAATCGCGAGGTTGAGCTTTCGACCGTCTGCCGCAACGCCAGCACTACGCACGCGCGACCCAACACAGCCAAACGCGTGATCAGACGACCGACCACGATAACTACATACCGGCATCGATATATGCATACTATCTCCTTCTAAGTGGTGCATGAGACACTGAGTCTGCCCATACGACACTGGCAGCCTGGACCCTGCATCCCGCATCTCGCCGCTTGACACACCATGCCCAAGCGTCCGCGCTCGTTCAGACGTCCCGAAGACTTCACCAAGAGTGACTCCGACGACGAAGACTACGACGACGCGCATGTTCGCTCATCCCCCAAGAAAGTNGAGAAGCGGACGTTCCAAAAGTACAAATCGCAAAACGCGCGCAAACGTCAAAGAAGAGACGACTACGGTAGCGACGGAGTTGTCGACGACAGCGACGATAACGACGAGGGTTCTTTCGAAGAAGATAGTATCGAGGAAAGTTCAGGTTCGGAGGAAGAGGAGGATTCGCCTGGTCCCGGCAAGCGCAGGCAACGCAAGGCTGCTCGTGTCCCGGTTGTATACGCTGAATCCGACGAAGACGCCGAGGGAAGCGACGACGCTATCGCACGCCTACCATCGCCGCCAGTCACACGCTCGCTCCTTCTTAAACTCAAAGTCGCGCCAGAAAAGTTGGAACTCCTTAGAGACACAGACAAAATGAACAATACTCGTAGATCAACAAGGGCTAATAGCGCCAGAATATCGGCGCGCGGCACAACACCTGCAGAGGGCTATGGTATGTCAACCAGACGCAGCAGTCGTGCCTCTCAGCAACAGGAGCCGTTGCTAGCCCTTGGTGATTCAGGCAAGCATGCTCATACGCAAGGTGCTCGCCAAACATCCTTTACACCTGATCCTCAATTGCAATCTGCTAGAAGTACAAGGAGCAAAGGCCACAAGAAGCCACCACCTACTGTCAGTGCCATCATGGAGGTTTCCCAAGAAGAAATTCCTGCTTCTCAGGATTACGGCGAGGTTCCCGAATCCTTCGACAGAGAGCTGCGCGAGTATGCTGAGCCTGCACCCAAGGAGGAAGAGGAAGACGCGCCAGCTGATGTTGCTTCTCCTTTTGTCTCAGATGTACGAATGGAAGAGCCAGCTGAAGAGGAAGTCGATGCCGAAGGAGAGGACGATGATGAAGACGAGGGTCCGATTAACAAGAACAAGCGCAAACTTAGGGTAAGCCAAGTGACACTGCCAGAAGGTTTGGTTGCGTCTGACCTCTCCGTCCAGTCACAGCAAAAGACCGAAAGTCCACCACAGCGAGGTCGCGAGCAACGACGACTCCGGCCACGAACTCGCAAATCTCAGGGCGAAGCTAGTAGTGATTTCGAACCTCCAGCTTCCGGTGGTGAAGAGCCTTCCAGTGCCGACGAACTGCAGGATTCGCCCAAGAAGAACCAAAAGAGTGACAACGACTCAAGTAGTGGTGGTGGCCGTCTCAGGCGCTCTCGACGTACTGCTACAAAGCGTTCGCGCGAGTCGTCGGTTGAAGATGTTGATCCAGATGAGGTTGCCGACGAAGCTGATGACTTGCGTGAAGATAGGCGTCGCAACAAGCGCCCTCGTCGAAACAGGCACAATGACATTGTTTTCGAGGGAACAACTCTGCGCAATAGAAGCAACAGACCGGATTACCGTATCTTCCGACCAGAAATTCACCAAGCAGATGAGGAAGAAGCAGTAGCACCGACGACATCACAGCGACCTCGTCGTGCAGCTGGACCTTGGAGATCTTTGTTCTCGACTCTGGGTCCTTTCGGTGGTGCTGGTGGTCCCGCGCCTGTCTTTGGTGGTGAAGGGGCAGAAGCTGCTGGCGGAGCCGACTCTGACAGCAGTGACGACGACATGATTCAAAAGATGCCCCGAGCAAGTGTCGGAGGCGCTGTAGGCATGACGCCGACTGCTGGCACGGCAGCTGGCCTCTTCCCACAAACTCACAATGCCGATGCTGGTGCTGCGACTGCTGGCGGTCTGTCCAATTTCGGAAAAGTCAAAGACAAGAAGGCCTTGGCTGATGCTGATCCATTGGGAGTCGATCCGAACGTCAATTTCGACGGTGTTGGAGGTCTTGAAGATCACATCGACAGGCTCAAAGAGATGGTTCAGCTTCCACTCATGTACCCAGAGATCTTCCAGACATTCAAGGTTACTCCACCTCGTGGTGTTCTCTTCCACGGACCTCCCGGAACTGGAAAAACATTACTTGCAAGAGCCCTTGCTTCGAGTGTCAGCGCTCATGGAAAGAAGGTCACCTTNTACATGCGCAAAGGCGCTGATGCGCTCAGCAAATGGGTTGGAGAAGCTGAACGACAGTTGAGATTGCTATTCGAAGAGGCGAGAAAGACACAACCCAGTATCATCTTCTTCGATGAGATTGATGGTCTTGCGCCTGTTCGATCAAGTAAGCAAGAGCAAATTCATGCATCGATTGTTGCCACTCTTCTTGCTCTGATGGACGGCATGGATGGTCGTGGCCAAGTCATCGTTATTGGTGCTACCAACCGTCCCGACTCGGTCGATCCAGCTCTGCGCCGTCCAGGTCGTTTTGACAGAGAGTTCTATTTCCCACTGCCCAACGTCAAGGCCCGTCGTGCAATTATCGATATCCATACCAAGGGATGGGAGCCTCCATTGAAGCCTGAGTTCAAGGATCAACTTGCATCTTTGACCAAGGGATACGGCGGTGCCGATCTTCGTTCGCTTTGCACAGAAGCTGCTTTGAACGCTGTGCAAGGCACCTTCCCTCAGATTTACTCCAGTAACAAGAAGCTGCTCATTGATCCTTCGCAAATCAGAGTGCAGGCCAAGGATTTCATGATCTCTGTCAACAAGATCGTGCCTTCCTCTGAGCGCTCTGCATCTTCTGGTGCTTCAGCATTGAAACCCAACGTCGAGCCTCTGCTTAGGGATGCGCTTGCAAAGGTTTCGGCTATTATCGATGATATCATCCCACAAAAGAAGCCAACAACTGCATTGGAAGAGGCCATGTACGATGACCGTAACGATGAGCATGGTTTCGAAAAGGAGAACCTACAGAGAGAATTTGAGAGCTCCAGGATTAATCGCCCAAGATTGCTCATTAGCGGTCTTGAAGGTATGGGTCAGCAATACATCAGTGCTGCATTACTAGCCAAGTTCGAAGGGCTTCATGTACAGTCTTTTGACATGTCGACGTTGCTCAAGGATTCAACAAGAGTAAGTTTGTGTCTATCTTAAGGAGTCTCGTTCAGAGCTAACTGTGTTGCANNGTCACCCGAAGCAGCTGTTGTTCAGTTGTTTGAGGAAGTTAAGCGCCACAAACCTAGTGTCATCTATCTACCAAGCATTGATATCTGGTACGAGACAATGGGCCAGCAGGTCATCAAGACTTTCAATGGTCTCTTGAGAACCTTGGCTCCTACGGATCCGGTTTTGGTGCTTGGTGTGATGGAGTTGCGCTCCAGTGACGCCAGTCCTAACCATGAGATGATGAGAGAGCTGTTCAGCCGTTCAAGAAAGAACTACTTTGTCTTGGACAGACCCGGAGAGGTGAGTCTTGTTCTTGACGTCTTGTCCTTGCGATTTACTAATGGCCGCGCACAGATGGCTCGCAGAGAATTCTTCAGCAAAGCAATGAACTACATTCGACAATCGCCCGCAGAATTTCCTCAACCAGAAAACCGCAAGAAGCGCATCTTACCAGCACTGCCTGAAGCGCCTGTCTTGGAGGAACAACCTAAAGCACCCAGCAAGGCTGAGCTCAAGGCACAAAAGAAAAAGGATCGCTTCACGCTGAACAATCTCAAACTGCTTATCCAACCAGTCATGGATCAGATCAAGTTGAAGTACAAGAAGTTCAGAACTCCCGTTGTGGACGAAAGTCTTATTGGTTATCTCTATGAGGAGCAAGATCCAAGTGTCGTTACCACCGATTTGGACCCTACACAGGCACAACAATTCCGACCCTATGAAATAGCCAAGGACGCAAAGGGCACGACAGTCCTGCATGAAACTGCGACCGGCAAGCAGTACTACAATCTGGAAATTGTTACCATCGAGAAGCGCTTGTCAAACGGATACTACAAACGCCCGAAAGACTTCCTGACAGATATCAGGGCACTTGCCAAGGACGCAAAGACTTGTGGCGACCAAGAACGCACACTCAAGGCAAACGAAATGTTGGCCAATGTTGAAGTCGACATGATGAATCTTGAGGCGATCAACCCTGTACTAGTTGCTGAGTGTGAAGCTGTGTACAATCGTGAATCGGCACGGGAGAAAGAGCAAATCGAGACAGCCAAAGAAGAAGGGCATGAGGTGCCCATTGTCAGGCCAAATGTACCACCAAACGTCTCTAACACCGTCACCGAGCAATCTACCGGGCCAGTTCACCTCGGCGAGGATGTGCCTGGATCACGGATGTTGCATCCTTTCACACCAGCTAGGCCACTTGGACCCAGTCCCTTGTCTAACGGTTACACCAACGGCTCGAGTGTTCCTTCGAGAGTCCACGATGAGCCTGAGATGCCCGACAGTCAGGACACCTCTCTCGTGAATCCTCAGGAACGTGCCGGATTCATTCAACCGTACGCGACTCCATCGGCTCAAGGCACACAGCCATACCACACACATACTCAGACTAGTGTGTTGACACGGATTGCTCCTGGTTCGGCACATCAAGACTACTATAACAGCGCGTCCTCTACCAGCTCGGGCCAGAAGACAAGCAATCAGAGCCACAGGAGCAGCGCTCCTTTCTCAGTCATCACCAACGCATCTTCCAATGGAGCGCGTAATGATGATGCTCCTGACTTCAGTGCTTTGCCCAATCTTGAAGGTGGCAGTCAATTGCCTAACACGCAGCCTCCGGATATGTACAGTTCGCAGCAGTCGCTGTCATCTCAAGGAGCCATGGGCCCGCCACCACCAAGCAGCCAACCTCACCATCACTCTTTCACAGTCCAAGCATTGCTGAACGAGCCACAACTCATTCCGGCGGATCCAGGTCTTCTCAAGAGTCTCGACGACCAAATGGTACGCAAGTCGAGCGGACTCAATGTCGAACAGCTGGAGCAGGTGATGGCAAACATCATGGATGCAATTTGGAGGACAAAGGGCGATTGGAACCGCAACCACGCTGCCTCGGCAGTTTCTGACACTTTCAACGAGACTATTCGAGATATTGAGGAGTGTCAGGCCATCTTGGCGCCCAGTCAAGATGAGTAGGACGAATAGGCTGGGATGGAAGCAAAAGGCATGTTGGGATAGCATAAATGCTGCTCTCTGACTAGCGTGCTTAGTATGGCATGAAGATACAACTGATAATGCTACATGCTAATGATATTATTCTCGAGTCTGTTTGTGACTGTGTTATTTGTTCATGTACTCGTCTGACCATTCCATCAAGTCCGGCTTGTCCCTGGTGCGACCCTGTTTCCAATATTCTCGTCCTTCCATCGTCTTCATTTCCACTGTACGTACGAATACTGTTTCCCAACCAGAGCAGTACTGTCACACCGTGTGCTTTCAGATGATATTTGGGTTCTATTGAGGGTTTTGAGGCCGGCGTAGCAAATTTACATTTTGCAAGTACAATCAACATGCAAGCCTCCACGAGACAACGCAGACTACAAGCCATTTGCAACTCGTTCCACACTGCTCAACATCTCAGAAACGGATCCAGACCCTACAAATCTGCGGTCCATTTCGTTCGTTGAAACCTCATTCTACAGTTTTGCCAGTATATCTCACATCCATGGCTCAAAGATCAAAGGTCGCACAGGCTGTCTTGACGAGCAGCGGTTGAACTCCACAGGACATGGCGGGGATGCGGCTCAACTCAAAAAAGCTCAGGGCAAAGGCGAAGAAAGTTTGACACCTCGGTCGGCGCTGACCGCTATCGGTCCTGCTACGAGAAGGCGAGCAGAGCTCTGGGTAAATAATTGTAGCCAATTCTTTCGCATTGGGAGTCGAAGGCAATTAGCAGAGCCTGCATTACCTAAGAATGGTATGATAACAAGCGTGGAGTGTCATAGAATGGACAAACTCCAGCGAAGCTAGGACAACGCGGCAGTTGCGAACGGATCGCTTGCAATAATTCGGTACTTCATTTCACGCCATGGAGGGGCATGTCTATCTTGAAGGGTGGTCTTTGTGACTTTCCTTCTCCTTCATCAACATACCCAGTCACATTTTCGCAATCATGGTCAGACTTCCCTTCCACGCCGAGCACATTGGCTCTCTCCTCCGTCCTGCCGACCTCCAGGAGGCCAAGACCAAGGCTGCCAACAAGCAGATCTCAGATGCCGAGCTCGAGGCTGCTGAGCACAAGGCCATCACCCACATTGTCAAGCGCCAGCAAGATGAGGGTGTCCGTCCCATCTGCTCAGGCGAGTACGACCGCAAGGTTTACTTCGGTGGCTTCTTCGAGGAGCTTGACGGCTTCGAGGAGGTCGACGACGCTCCCTGGGACCTCTACAGACTGTCTGCTCCCCCAATTGCTGCCCTGAAGAAGGCTGGCCTCAAGTACCCCATGACCGTCGTTTGCAACGGCAAGATTGCCTACAAGCACAGCCCTTACCTCAAGAAGTGGGAGTACCTCAAGTCGCAGGTCCCCGAGTCGCAGTGGGGAGAGTGCAAGTTCACCATGCCCCCGGCTCCTTACTTCCATCTCCGTCTTGCTCCCGGCAAGTGCTACCCCAAGGAGGTCTACCCCACCGATGCTGCCTTCTTCGCCGACCTGGCCGAGTGCTACAAGAAGGAGTTCAAGGTCCTCCACGACGCTGGCCTCAAGAGCGTCCAGATCGACGACCCCACTCTTGCCTACTTCTGCTCCAAGGACATGCTCGAGGGTCTCAAGGCCGACGGTGTCGACCCCGACGAGCTCTTCGACCTGTACTGCAAGGCTCACAACGACTGTCTCGAGGGCCGCCCCGAGGGCCTCCACGTCGGTCTCCACATCTGCAGAGGTAAGCTAGACCGTCACAGACAGCAGTAAGAAGTATACTAATCTCGCGCAGGTAACTTCTCCAAGTCGATGCACTTCTCCCAAGGCTCGTACGAGCAGATCGCCGAGAGATTCTTCAAGACCCTCAACTACGACACCTTCTACCTCGAGTACGATGATGCCCGCAGCGGTGGCTTTGAGCCCCTCCGCTTCCTCCCCAAGAACAAGAACGTCGTTCTCGGTGTTGTCAGCACCAAGGTCGCCGACCTTGAGGATGCCCAAGAGATGAAGGACAAGGTCCTCGAGGCCGCCGACATCATTGCCAAGGGTCAGGGCGTCAGCCGCGAGCAGGCCATGGAGTGCATCGCTATCAGCCCTCAGTGCGGTTTCGCCAGCACTGGTGTTGGTGCCGAGGCCATGACCGAGGACAAGATGTTCGCCAAGCTCGCCCTTGTCAAGAAGGTCGCTAACGAGCTCTGGCCCGACCGCGCCTAAGTGCTAGAAGTAGCATTGGCATTTGTGGGGAGAGAAAGTACGATTGGGATTTGATGAAGCTCTAACGAAAGGATTACATGCATGGCGTCAAAGGATATTCAACATTTTGGGGGCTATGCATTTACGTTACTACGAGTCTTACCGGCTGTCAACCACCGGAGGAAGAAGGATATTGGGGATGTTATATTGATTGGATCAGAAAAGTTGGCCTTGGGTTGGGAGCCACAGTTGCATACAAAAGGAACAAAGATACAGACATATGAAAACACATGACAGCTCGTGAGAGCCGACGTCATATCACTCGACCGCATCACTGTTCAGCTGAAGATAACGAGATCTTTGCGCATCAGTAGGATTATGTGGGCTGTTCAATAGCAAAGAACGTCAATTGGATGACGAAGGGTATGCACTGCGCCGCTGTAAGAACAAGGTTCGATTTCAACGACAGACAGCGAACGTCGTCCCAACAATGTCGCCGTGTGAGGGGTTTCGCAAGCAACACCTCAACTGAGCGCTTTGATGCGAGCAAGCCCTGCATACGCCCAAAGAGTCAGAAGCACAACAGATCAGGGGGAAAAGAACAGTTTGCTGCAAGCTGCGGCACGGGGAAGAAAAAAGCAAAAAAAGCAGCCAGTAAAAGTGGTACGAGAATGGTGGATGTGAGAAACATCTCGAACGGTCATGGAAGCAAGCACAGATGTTGGGTCAATCTAGCTCTGAAGCTCTACAGAACCGACCCGCAAAAAGCAGCAACAGCATGCCAAACTTCCATACGTGACAAGTGTTGCGGTCAATGATGACGGGCGTAGGGAATGGAGACGCGAAGAGAGGCACGCCCGTGTCCCCAGACCAATCTACCGGCGGCGGGTGGTGGTGGCAGTCAAGAGGCACAGGCACTCAGGCAGAAGAAGAAGGCCGAAGGTCGGGGCAAGTAGGATGCCAAGGACGAGAGCAGGAGAGGATCAGCAGACGATGCTGTTGAGGCGCTTCACCACGCTTGAGCCTTTGGCAAGGGGCTTGCCTCAGCTTGTGGGGACGCGATCGACCATGTTATGGAATTCGCCGTCTGGAAGAATTCAAGCAGGACGAGCAAGAATTGGCGCCTGGAGCAGTTGGTATGGAATCAGAATGCACAATGGGAACTCAAGTGCAAGGCACGAGGAATATGTACAGGTGGTAAAGATAGCGTGGGAGCAACAAACACAGGATAAATGTTGTTGGGAAGGTTCAGATGGTCAGCCAGATGAAACGCAAGATTCGCCCGAGGTTGATCGGGCTTTGGAAGTTCTCGCCTTCAGAGTCGTCGCTTCTAGCGCGTGGGCGACCAAGAGCTTGGGGACAACTGACAATTTTTCTGACCGCACAACCACAGACGATTAAAACCCCACTCCTCCTGTCCTTCTCTTGCAACCTGTTCGCTCATTCGTTCTGCCATCCTCCCACAGGCTACAGGCTTTTACTTGTTTCTCAACAAGTCTTGTTGCATTTACCTCTCCCCACTTGACACGGCAATTCGCCTTTTGCTTGGCTTGTCTTGTCTCTGCCTCTCCTTATTTCTGCCAATCCACCCAATTGAGCTCTCGCTCACACGTCTCTCACTCACACAATGGCTTCCACCACTGCTCTTCCCGCACAGAGGGCTCCCGTCCAGCGCACTGTCACCGACTACTCGGTCGCCAGTTCGTCTGCTCCCTCGCAGGTCGTCTCTCCTGCCGACTCTCCTCGCAACTCTCCCTCGACCAGCTCCCTGACTTCGCTTGATTCCGTCGATGAGCCCCTCAAGAACCAGCGCGGTACCTTGATCGACACCTACGGCAACGAGTTCAAGATCCCCGACTACACCATCAAGCAGATCCGTGAAGCTATCCCTGCTCACTGCTTCGAGCGTTCTGCTGCCACTGGCTTCTACTACATCGCCCGCGACATTGTCTGCATCGCTACTACCTTCCTCCTCGCACACAACTTTGTCACTCCCGAGTACATTCCTTCAACCCCTGTCAGAGCTGGCCTCTGGGCCCTCTACACCGTCCTCCAGGGTTTGTTCGGTACTGGTCTCTGGGTCATTGCCCACGAGTGTGGTCACCAGGCCTTCTCTCCTTCCAAGACTCTTAACGACACCGTTGGCTGGGTCCTCCACTCTGCTCTTCTCGTCCCTTACTTCTCATGGAAGATTTCCCATGGCAAGCACCACAAGGCCACTGGTAACATGGAGCGTGACATGGTCTTCCTTCCCAAGACCCGTGAAGTCTACGCTTCCAGAGTTGGCCACGCTATCCACGAGCTTTCTGAGCTGATGGAGGAGACCCCCATTGCTACCGCTACCCACATGGTTCTGCAGCAGCTCTTCGGCTGGCCTCTGTATCTCATCACCAACGTCACTGGCCACGTCAACCACCACAAGCAGACCGAGGGTAAGGGTGAGGGCAAGCGCAACGGCTGGTTCGGTGGTGTCAACCACTTCAACCCTTCCAGCCCTCTGTACGAGCGCAAGGACGAGAAGCTGATCCTCCTCTCTGACGTCGGTCTTGCTCTTACCTGCACTGCTCTCTACTTCATCTACCAGAACTTCGGCTTCCAGAACCTTCTCGTTTGGTACCTCCTTNNCCCTTACCTTTGGGTCAACCACTGGCTCGTTGCCATCACCTACCTCCAGCACACCGACCCTTCGCTTCCTCACTACGACGCCAACACCTGGACCTTCACTCGCGGAGCTGCTGCCACTATCGACCGCGAGTTCGGTTTTATCGGCCGCAATCTCCTCCACGGTATCATTGAGACACACGTCCTCCACCACTACATCTCGACCATTCCTTTCTACCACGCTGACGAGGCCACCGAGGCTATCAAGCCCATCATGGGTCAGCACTACCGCGCCGATGTCAAGGATGGCCCCGTTGGCTTCCTCAAGGCTATGTACAACAGCGCCAGATGGTGCCAGTGGGTCGAGCCTTCCGAGGGTGCTCAGGGTGAGGGCAAGGGTGTTCTCTTCTTCAGAAACCGCAACGGTCTCGGTGTTCCTCCTACCAAGCTGTCTGCTCCTGGCGCCACCAAGTCTGGCATGACCCTTGGCAGTGACAGCGACAACGAGTAGATGATTGGCTTGTACAGACAGATTTGACTACTGCGATTTTGCGTTCAGCATGTTTTTTTTCGACACCTTATATTCTTCCAGACAAAACACCGGATCAACCAGCAAAGCAGACACGGCGCTGTCCTTTGCTTTCAAGGAATAGAGCTATCAACCTAGCTGCCCGAAGCCACGCGCCGCTTCCATAGATGTCTCTACGACCAGTCTTGCGTTAATGTTATCGACTTCATTTTCTTTGGAAGCATGCGTTACTGGGCAGTTCAGGTGGTGGCATATAAACATAATTTAGATGGGCTAGGACCTTGAATGCTGTCATAGGTGACAGATTCGGATAAACCATTGTTCTGTCGTTTTTGGAAATTCACGAAATACGAAAAGTCGATTCACTCCACTCAACCAAACGTTCGATTCTAAGTGACGTGTCTCTGTTCTCGATGTCCATCCTCGCGAATAAGTGTAGTTTTGTGATTTCGCATGTAGATGCTATGCTGTTCAACGCCTTTGGGTATCTTTCCAATCAATAGTAAAAGTACAGTGTTTCATAGATGACATGTCTCAATTCTTCTCAGTCACCTCATCGGGATCCCTCCAGAAAGCCTNTTTGACAGGTTCCGTCCTCAAATCCCAGATCTTTTCCGAACTGCCCTTCTCAGCCTTGTTCTCTTCATCCTTTGCCTTGTAAAACTCCTTGATGCGCTCTTCGCGCTCACGATCGGGTAACGTCTTGATGCGCATGCAGAACCAAAAGGCATTCCAGTTGTCAGAGCAGCTGCGCAGTTCTCCATAACGGTAGATGTCATTAAACTTGCCGCCTAGAGATTGGCAGTAAAATGCTTGGTCGAAGGCTTGACGGCAGGACATTTGGCGTGGGTACAGGGCGTCGGGGGAGATGTCGAGGGGTGCGTCTGAGTCTGATTGTTGTTCGATTGAGCCTGAGGGTGAGGGGACGTAGTGTGTGGGTGTCTCTTTTGGCGCTGGCGTTACATGGTGGATCTCTGGTCCTGGAGCCGCAGGCTGTGGTGTTGGATTTGTGGGTAACGTTGTTGTTGAGGTTGAGGGTTTCTCGAAGGAAGCGAATATGGCCTCAAAGTCGCTGTCTGGTGAAGCCTTCTTGGGAGCTTCTCTCTGTGGTATTGAAACTGGCATTGGTGTCTGTGTTGTTTGTGATGAAGCAGACTCCGTGACAGGAGCCGCTGTTGAATCCGATGACCACCACCAGCCCATGATTTGATGTGAATGTGTTTGTTGTAGGAGAAAAAAGTCGCGGCCAAGACATGCATCTTCGAAGCACTGCGTTTCAGGAAAGTCCGCTCGAGCAAAGCCACACGTGACGTCGTTGCTCTCTTTCCAACTTCTCTACTACCTTCTCCAAGTTTGCTACGAGATATCTTCTTCTACTTCTAACTAATCGCTGCTCATTTGGTTCACTGTTACTCATCTGCACATATTGGATATCATCTTGGAAAACAACTTGGAAACGAGACCATGGGCTCGTAATGCTGCCGACTCAACATATATCAACCCGCCAGCTGATGCGCCCGGGCTTGCCCAGGGTGTATCGTGTGGCATGTGCTCAAGGACTTCGCCACAACTCTTTGGAAGCAGGAGAGAACAACACTGGTCATATCAGTGTCGATTCCAAGGAAGGCGTGCTGTTCTTCAACAGTAAGTCCCCTGGCTTCCAAGATCAATGATGAAACACAAATCTAAGTAGAATCATACANGATCTATACCCCCTGAGACTGCAATGGCTCCTTCGTTTACCGCTCCTGAGCGCCGAGAAGTTGTTCTCTACACTGACTGGAGGTGACAAGTCTATGGGAGCTATTGATCCTCAAAAAGTCATCAAGGGAGCACAAGAAGCTACTCCTGGCAAGCCAGTGCAGGCGAACGTCGTCGAAGTACTGCCCCGAGTCAAGGAGGGCGGTGCTTTCGTCAAGTTCACATATGACTCTGGCTCAAAGCTATCCGACATCGAAGCCGCTGTACAGAAACATCTGCAAGATCACCAGGTAAAGCCTTGGTGGGCGCCTATTACCAATGTCCGAGCAGGATTGGTAAAGGGTAAACCATGGGTCGAGGATCTGTACCGCTTGCCTAGCCAGCGACTGAGAATTGAGTTCTTGCCTACTGCTCCTGGAGGCGAGGTTGCGGAACTGTCTCAGGAACAGCTATATGCTTTCTTCAGACCTTACGGAAAGTTGGCAGATATCATCTCTCAGCCTTCTGACTCGAAAGTCCTACCAAAGTTTGCCAACATTGACTTTACGACAGTGAGAAAAGCAGTCATGGCCAAGGTAAAGATTTCTCTGACTAGGTCAAAGAAGCAATACTGACAGCTTACANNGAACTGTTTGCATGGTTATGTTGTTTCCGAAGAACAGGGTGGTGGTAAACTAGGAACAGTGTTCCGAATCAGTTATGAAAGGAAGCANAAAGCACGATGGTTTATCGACTGGCTCACGAACCATCCCAGAATAGTCATTCCTGCTATCGCCGCTCTAGTCGCAGGTTTCACTGTTGCAGTCTTCGATCCTATTCGTACCGCATTCATCAAAGGACACATTACTCGTACGCTTCACCTCGAAGACAACAGAGTCTATCGCTGGTTCAAGAAGCAGGCAAGCGACCTTCTTGATGTTGTGCGCCTTAGATCGCACACTCCCGATGAAGCTGGAATGGAAGCTATCTGGGAAGATCAGAAGGGTAACATCAATCAAATCAGAACCTGGCTTATGGAAACGGCAGACACATTCATCGTGGTCCAGGGGCCGCGTGGGTCTGCAAAGCGAGAGTTGGTCGTTGACCAAGCCTTGAAAGACCGCAAGAATAAGTTGATCGTCGACTGCAAGCCTATCCAGGAAGCACGCGGAGACTCAGGTACCATCAATGCCACAGCGGCAGAGGTTGGCTACAGACCGGTATTTTCATGGATGAACTCAATCAGTGGACTCATTGATCTCGCAGCCCAAGGAGCAACTGGTGTCAAGACTGGATTTTCTGAAACTTTGGACTCTCAGCTTAATAAGATTTTCACGAACACACAGACTGCTTTGNNGAAGCAAATTGCTCTCGATGGAAGAAAGAAAGATGACAGAGATGCCAATCTCAGCGATGATGAGTATCTTGAAGCACACCCCGAGAGACGACCTGTCGTTGTCATCGATAACTTCCTGCACAAGAGCCAAGAAGGCACTGTAGTCTACGACAAGATTGCTGAATGGTAAGTGAAATTCGCTGGATGCTTTCCAGCCAGACGCTAACTTCAAGCAGGNGCCGCTCGTGTCACTACTTCCAACATTGCTCACGTTATCTTCTTGACCCACGACGTTTCCTTCAGCAAGTCGCTATCTAAAGCTCTGCCAGACCGCGTGTTCCGCCAAATCAGTCTTTCCGACACTAGTATCGAGGTCGCTAAGCGTTTCGTCATCAACCACATTGACTTCGAAGCTGAAGACGCAGAAGCTGGTATCAAGCAGCTGACTCCCTCGCAACGTCGCAAAGATCTTGGAGAACTTGACAGCGTACTTCCTGCTCTAGGTGGTCGTCTCACAGATCTCGAGTTCTTGGCCCGCAGAATCAAGGCTGGTGAGACACCGCGCAAGGCCGTCCGCGAGATTGTTGAGCAATCTGCTAGCGAGATTCTGAAGATGTTTGTACTGGGTCAGGAAGACGGTAGTCGTCAATGGACACCACAACAAGCCTGGCTGCTTATCAAGCAGCTCGCCAAAGACCAAAGCATACGCTACAACGAGATCCTGCTATCAGACTCGTACAAGACTGGTGGCGAGAAAGCACTTGCGGCTCTCGAACAAGCGGAACTCATCGCCATTCAATCATATAACGGTCGTCCATACGCCATCAAGCCCGGTCGTCCAGTCTACCAGCCTGCGTTCGAAAAGTTGACTCAGGATAAGGTCCTTCTGTCACGCATGGATCTCGCAGTCTTGGCAGAAGGCATCAAGGCCGAAACACAGAGTATCGACAAGTACGAGCAAGAATTGCACCTCTTGGGCGAGTTGCCACGCCAGCCTGCAGAGTTGACGAGCCGTGTCAACTATCTCTTGTCTAAGATCATGGCTAGTCAAGCCAAGGTCGAGGCTTACGAGAAGCAGAGTGGAGAACTTAAGAAGATCTTGACTTCAGAATACTAGGATGTTGAATAGGAAAGGGGTCAATGCTTTGGATGTTTTGATATCCATACTCATCTCAACTTTTTGTAACCATAGTTATGTATAATCTATCTCATCTTCCAATTTACGTGTTTCTCTTGAGCTAGTCTCTGCTGGCGTTGTTCATCAAAACAGGGAAACTGTAGTTGTGCAAGGTCCGCTTCCTCGCTTGGGTTCAACTGCATGCTTCGATCTCCTGATGGCTTGCTCTCACTTGACGGTCCACCGTCCTTGAGACTTCATATAGCTCATGCGGCAGTGCCCCTTCAACAATCACATGGTCTGGCTGGTTTAGTATAGCAGAAACGAATGCTAACCACACGTCTTGGCAGTCATTCACGACACCAAAACATCAACAATCAACAACAACACCAAGTGCTCGAGTTCGAATCTCTTCGTCAGCTAATCGTTTCGCCAGAATTGCTGAACACGGTCTCTCGATAGACGCGCCCCTGTGGAAAGGTGGTCTGGTCACTATCAGAGGCTGGAGGAGAAGAGAGAGGAAAAACTGAGGGAGGAGAAGTGAGGAAAGGAACGAAAAGAACTTGAGGTGAGTTACCAGATCCCCGAACCCGTCAGACCTGTGATTTCTTTTTGTTTTTGCATTAGCAGTATGTGTATGATAACGTTTACGATTTAGTGGAGTGCTCGAGTATGGAGTGCTCGAGTATGGAGTGCTCGAGTATGGTTCCATGGTAATGATGGCTTGAAGAATTGGATTAGATTAGATTCATTGTACATCAGACCGAATATAAGCTCTGGAGGCGCCAGCACCGCCGTCAAATATACCACCACCCCCACCCAATGACCATAGAGATACCTTCCTGGCGTCTTTTCGGTCCTGAGTTATAGACACGATCTTTGTGATTGCACTACCTGAATTGCTCATTTCTTGTTTCGGTCCCGCTTCTGGATCGATGTTGTCGTTGTTCTTGCCAAATCGCCACCATCCTGGATGACTGTGGCGCGCTGACATGGATTGGCGGTGTGTGTTTCTTCGCGACCATGTGCGTATTGTGATGGCGCGAAGGCTGGGCAAAGAGGCGCAGATAATGCCCACATTTACTTCCATGGTGGAAAGAACGGCTGCGCCACCGTCATGTTTGCTCACGTCTGTGTTTGTTGAGATGATGTACAGAGGACCTAATCTGGCGATCGAGACTAGACATACNNGCTGTGTTTGGTCAGCATATCTATGCCTTGTTTGAAGATGCAGCGGTGGCTTCACTTACAAGCCTCCGAGCGAGAAGACGGCTATCAAGCCTGCCTTTTGACGGCGAGGTAGATGTAGGCCTTTAAGGAAGGGCATGGGAATGCTCAGAAGTATAAAATCGGTAAAGATGTTGACCGCCGCGTCGCTGAACCACTTTGCCTTAATGTTCATGCATTTGCCGTTACCAATGTCGTCCCAAAAGTAGTGGATTGGTCTGCAGAGGAGTAAGGATGCGATGATCGACCATGTTCCNNTTTTGAGGTTGTGTTAGTACTCTCTGTTTTTATCGAAATGGGAAGGCGTAAGTATTCAACAGTACTTACCAAATGCGGCGACGAAGACTAGCATCCCGATGATGATCCTGTGTATTGTTTTCCCTTGGAAGAGTCTCATATATTGTAATAGAATCGAGACCTTGGTCAAGGTCAATCCGGCAAGGTATGTAGGGATTGCTTTGTACAGGGTCTTTGACATGTATTAGTCTTGGGAAGTTGGCTCCAGACAGAACATGGCTCATACCTTCCGCAGATTCAGAAGGGTATCCGCTGAGAGCTTACTCTGGGGTAGACCTTGACCATTCTGAACCTCTGGACACTGGTCAGTATTGATCGTTTTTGAGTGCTGCTCGGGTACCCGTACCATGAAGTACAAGCACTGATTGTGCGACAGAGAGGCACTGTCTATGTCAGGAATGGTCACACGACAGACTGAATCATCCAAAAGACCTACGAATGCTGCTGTGATGACCCAGTCTTCGGGGCCATGGTTCCGTGTCACGATCACTCGAGTGAAGAGCCGCAGAGATAGGACGATGAGAGCCAGTCCAAGAAAGACAAAGACGACGACGACCTGTGCGGTGCCATGTCGTGCACCCCAATCAGCCATGCCAGTTGCCGTACAAGCGTAGAAGATTGCAAGGAAGGATCGAAGTCAGGATGGAGACAAGCAGAGAGTGTTTGTAGTTCGTGGCCAGGCCGCGCCATGCCAGCCGGCTGCATGGCAGTTGAGGCGCATCATGTTCTAACGAGGGACGAATACCATTCCGACGGAAAGCGACGCAGAGACGTTGAACGACCAGTAGCTGTACACAGAAGTCATTCGATTGGTGCGAAGGCCAACAGGGTTGAGCCCTTTCTACTTGGCTGAAAGTATCAAAAGCGCTAATTCTTGAAGGAACAACACGGCATGACATGGAAATCACGTCTGGGCTGTTTCGAAGACTTCTTGCTTCGGAATATCCACAATCTTGGAAGTTGCGATAGAGGGAACAAATCCAGAAACGAGCAGCAGGCCGTTGTTTCCTTTGCTTACCATTTGACTCAGAATACCCCATGTAGACAATAAAGGTATAACGGTACCGGCCAACGGACATGTTCGGGAATGCCAAACCTGAAGTCAAATCGTCCTCAGCTGGGAGACGGGCTTTGCTGCTTGTCAATTCTCAATGAAGAGCGAAAAAATTGTAGTGCTCTTCTCGACAACATACTATATTGTGTCGTGATGCAAGACGGACTGAACGATGTTGATGGAAGGAGGTCTATTGCAAAAACAGTGGGACTTTCGCTTGCAACCAAGATGACCCTCTGCGACGTCAATCCATCTTCAAGGCAATTCGGGCCCGATTCCGAAGACAGAAAGTCTTGGTAACGGTAGAAATGTGACGGGCGCGCAAGAGGAAAGCTGATGGATGTCTCGCCGATGTTTTCCTGTGGTGTCGCGGACTATCGCAAGGTGGGCTCGAGAGTCGAGAACCATTTTCCTGTTGCAGATATCGATTTTGAGCAACATTACATGTAATCGCCAGCTCTGGCCATGATATTCCTCGCTGACGATGTCCTTCGACGCAAACTTCCTTGCCCCATTCTTCAGTAGCGATGCACGGCCGTGAGATACTTCACGACTCGGCGCTTGTTCAGTTGACTGTAGGGGATTCGAAACACGATTAGCCGCTCGTCAAGACCAAGCCTTTCACAAGAAGTTCCAAGCAAGTAACAGTTTGTTATGGATTCAATTGTTTTGTGTATGTGGTTGGTATGGCAACACTATGAAAATCCAAAGAATCTGTTCCTCTCAGAGATATCACCTCGCCTGAACTCGGATGCCAGGATGATCCTGCCTATTGGCAACGCAACCAAGGATAACAGAGTTCTTCTCAACAGGACCGAGAATGAATAGACCAACGCGGGGAAGATCGTGACACTTAGCCAGACGGGATAAGTGTTGTACCGATTGAGTGAATCATGACTTCGGCGCTGTGGGCATCTGAATGGAGGCTCATCGTGTAGTTGACATGAGGCTTGCTGTTAGTGGCTTCCGTGATTTCATCCACAGGAACGGTGTAGTCCATGAACAGATCATCTGCGAGGTTGTCGATACCATTCTGGATGGATCTCGCTCCGAGCTCTTGAATGTAATTTTCGGCAAGGAACTTGCAGAGTTCTCCATCTTTTGAAAGAGAGAGATTTAGATGACCAACGGGTCGAGGCGGCTTACTGTGCAGGTCAATTGGAAGGCGAAGTTGGTCACCCAATGATCTTAAGAACTTGTGATTGATAATTGCAGCTTCTTCGAGACTGAAAGGAAAGAATGGCAAGAAGCTACTGATTCGTCCGGTCACGGCAGNGCTTGAGCATGGAAAGTTAGTGTTGGGAAGAATACGACTTTAGGCTCGACTCACGGTATATGTCTTCATAAAAAGTTTTTTGAGATCATTCTCGAGCGGTTTGATCGACACATAACGCCTCTCACGTTCGACCTTGCCCCGGAGGTTTTCATTGTAGAATCTTGATACCAGACGGTCACCCTTGTTGGACGCGAGGATCCATATTGACTTGGTCACGTTTGTGACTGTGTTCGAGCGCAGATCCATACCAANTCCTATGTCAAGTGTCAGCTAACTTCGTTAGCACAATTTCGAAAGAAGAACTTACCCAGAGTCAAGGATTGTAAGTAGAGATTCACGAACTTCTTGCGTTGTTTTGTCAAATTCATCCAGGAACACAACACATCTTTCGCCCGTATGGCTGGCAAGGTAGTTGTTCAACGGTGATACCTTATCATGATTCTGATACGGAGCAGCAGCGCCAAACAAACCGGTCACAGAGCGCGTCTTACTCATATCGACATTACACATGTCTGTGCCCAGGAGGTAACCAAGGCTAGTCGCCAGCTCCGTTTTGCCATGACCCGAGAGACCAGCAAAGGCGAGCACTAGAGGCCGCTTGCGGCTGATAGTATTGTAGGCAAGAACTTTGTTCATGACCACCTCGAGGGTATAGTCCTGTCCAATGATATGAAAGGGTAGGTGGAGAATGCGTGGAGCACCAATAAGTCGCGCTATCTGACGATGTCTCGTTCTTGCAGGTGGTATCAGACTTGCGCGACTCAGATGGTATCGGATAGTGAGATTCAGGGTTTCCANAAGGATAGTGCGGTGTTCCCTCTCAACCCAGGTAGCTTCGAGATGAGACTTCCCGCTAAAAGACAAAGACCATAGAGATGAATCCTTGATGTAGTTCGACCACATCTCCTCTGGTATAGCTTGAGGACTTGCACCATAGGATAGGAGAAGCGCAACGATTCTGTCGACATTCTTGTACGTCCACTTTGTCAACATGATCGCTGCCGCAAGTAGGGGNNGGATGTTTGAAGGATAGGGGCCCTTTGCCAAGGGATCGGCGCCGTATTCCAGCAAGAGTTCCATGATGTCGAAAGCGGCTCTCTTTGCGGCATGGAAAATGACCGAATGACTTCCATTGATGTTTTCTGAAATCCTACGCTCGACTTCAAAACGTGAGTAGCTCTGCATGTAACTCTTGATTTCATCCTTCGAGCGACCCTTTTGGATAGCTGCTGCCAGTACCATGGGATTAAAGCCAAACGAGCATTCTTTCAGGTTTTCTCGATTCAAGGTAAGTGATTCCAAGCGTAAGAACTGTGGTAGTGGCTCTGTCGGAGAAGATGTGACTGTTCTACCAAATAGCGACTCAGCTGGTTTTGCCGTGGTTGATACGATCGTGCTGCTGAACAATGACTTTGTTGCTTCTGCTGTAGCTGGTGCGGCTGATGCGGGTGGTTTACCGAAAGGGTACAGCGAAGGTTCTGCTGTGGATGACATGATTGTATGGCTTTGAGCAGAATACAAACAAAAGGTGTGCAGCGGATATCGTCTTATAAAGTACTGCTCGTGTCCTTCCGAAACACTCTCTAGATATCATAGCGAAAGATGCTGATAGGCAAGCTGAAAAACATGATGTCTAGGACAGGCTGCTCTGAGCATGATTGTGAATCATAGCGGCGGGCAGAGTCAGCGCCATCGCAGTACTGAACAGAACAGGTCAGTCCTGAATTGCTGAGAGCAGGTCTCAAGGTTAACCTGAGAACACGTCAATTGGATTTGCACGAGCTGTAGTGTTGAAGACAGCGTAAAGAAAGATTCATCGAAGCTCTGAGGCATACTGCATGTCTTGCGAAAACTGAGACAAGACCATCAAGGGCGCAATCTCCAGAGGACATGTGTTTCGGTTTTGGTGCGATTGGCGTCGGAGCCATGACAGAAGAAGGTTTCTCAATTAATTATCTGGTCTGAGTTGTGTCACAACCCTTCTACCATCGTCCTGTGCTCCTACGATGCTCTTCTTTTGTCACCCAAGATTGTACATTGTTCTTCTCAACTTTTGTGATGGGCCTCGAAGGCGCGTTTCACACGCAAATGATTTTCCAGAGCCTGCATAGCTCAATCTTCGATGCTCATTGATCGTTTGCTCCATCCAATCCCAGGTTCCTCATTCTCTCTGCATTTAGTCCGCTGAACTCTCTTCGACGTCTCTCCCTTTCTTCTGCGTCCGGACTGTTGGTTGTAGGTGGCGTTGCGACCTGCATTGGCGATTCGGCGTACTTTGGCAAACGTTGTTGGAGTCCACCAGCAGCGCCCTTGATTGAGAAACCTTCCGCATTGGAGTAATCTTCACTGCCTACTTGCATATCTTCTTCATGCATGTCCCCAGCTGGTGGGGGCGGTGGAGGTGGAGGGGCAGGCGCAGACACCCTAGCCTTCTTGCCTTGTGGGTCGTCTTCATTTGCGGCTCCTGTCATCGAGCTTTCCTCATTCCGTGCTCGCTTCAGGTTCGCCGAGCTCAGTGATGCAGCAGTGTCGTTGTTGTCGAAGTTATCCGGGATATCATCAACATCGGCGTTTTTGGGCGAATCGACCTGCATGGCGTCCATACTTGCTTGATTCGAGCTTTGTCCTTTGCGTGGATCATGCTCTTTCTTTTNTACAACGGCCCTCTCGAAAAAGTCCGCCACGAATTTCTTGACAGCCTTTTCTTGTCGAGAGTCGATTTTGTTTGGGTCGGCGACACGCTTGTTCTTGAAATCCGAGTTGACAAGCTTCTTCGAGCATTCTTTAGCAAATCGCTTGATATCATCTCTGTCGAGTTTGCCCTTGTATTTGTTTGCGACGTGAATGACCGATGGGAAGAGNNCTGTATGGACATCAGTCACGATGATTCAACCTCGTAGAAACCCACAACATACCGTGTTTTCGTATATCCTCTTCTGCTTCTCTTCGGGCAACGAACGCCACTTCTCATCAGACTTGACCTTGTTTGGTGTCTCGGTCGGCGTCGCAGTGGCAGAAGGTTTATCCGTACTGGGTGTTTCCTTCTTGTTGACAATACCTTGAATCAGATCTTCAAGCTTCTGTGCTTCAGTCAAAACTCTAGGCGGCGGTGGAGGAGGTGCGTTCAGTGCCGGTTGCGTTGGTGGTATCCATTGAACATTGCCATCACCATCGTAGTAGTAGCGTGTGCCGTTTTTGTCAAAAGCGACATACCAACCAGGCGGTAGTTCGACGGGAGGTGGGGCTCGGGGCCTGAACGGGGCCGAGGACCGCCATGATAGAAGCCACCTCCTCTATGTCCACCTCCGCGCGGGCCTGAGGGCGTTGCCCTGGATGGTCCTTTGGGGCCTTTCGGTGCTTCAACCGACCTTGAGCGTGATCGAGATCGACTTCTCTCACGGTTCTTTCTNTTCAGGGCGGTCCAATTTCTTTTCTTGTTGTAACGCGTTGGGATCTCTCTTCACTCGTGGAATGCGATAAGCGATGACCAATTTGCTCCACTCGTCGAAAATCTTTGCTGCTTGCGACTTGACTCGCTCATCTTCATGTTCGAGCAGACCCTCGACAGTGACATCGATCTTGGAGTCAACAATCTTGTTGCGAGTTAGTCGAGGAATCTTGTTAAGAATGTCCAGAATCTGCAACAGGATGTTTGTGTCGTCGGCATAGGTCTTGAGAAGTTTGTTGAGGATGACATAGCCGTGCATCTTAGCCACCTTGAACTGCACGTTCTCGTTCTCGCAGTTCTGTATACGGTTGAGCAGTTTGACGATGATCCATTTTTCCTGGCTCTTGTAGATTTCTCCCATGACGACCTTGACATCTGCTGGACCAAGCTGCTTAAGCTCAATGCTATCAATGTATTCTTCATCGTCCTCAGAAGCCTTCTTCTTGCGCGGCTTCTTGGTATGAGCGGCATTCTCCCAGTCTTCGTTTCCAAAGATACCAAGTGCCTTTTGGATGGTTGATGAAAGCTGAATTCCACGGTCGTCGGTCTGCGTCTTGCCACCGATAAATCCAGAACAGTTTGGCTCTCCGCAATAACAAGGTTGAGGGTCAGCTCCGTAGCGGTCGACATTGTAGTTGAAGGTGAGTTCTTCTCCAGCTTCGATTTGACGCTCGGCGAAGATTCCCATGCGGAGTCGATCTCCCACAACCCATTTGTCGACATAACAATTCGGGTTGCATGAATGATTGCAGAATCGACCGAGGTTTCCCTNTTTGGTTGCATCGACGAACTCGCTCTTGGCTAGCGACATGAAGTAAAAGTGCTTGATGCCTTCCTGGTCATATTGGTGCATCCGGCGCCTGAAGGCAGGCTCTGAAATGACTTCGCCAATGTATTCAAAGATGAAATCATTTGGCTTGAGGTCTTTGTTAGTCCGTAGACCGAAGCCTTTCTTGTCTGTCTTGATGACCGAAACGTCAGCGTACGCCTTGCGCTGGAAGCGCTGGTTCTGGCAGCCGTCTCCACAGCCGCAATCCCCCGGGCACTCCATCTTGGTGGCCCGGTTGATGCAGTCCGAGTCTTCACCGCAGGCATGGTTGGATTGTGTTTGCGCATCTGCAGCTGGTTAGTTCACGGCCGCGATGGCAAGTTTGGAGTACAACGTACCCCATTCTTCGACACAGTCGCATTCGAGCGCCTGTTCAGTAGTGCCAAGATGCCTCGCGCCGTACGTGCAATCGAGCAGAACATCAAAGGTTGAAGTGGCTTCATCAGTAGCGTCAGGGAGGTCGTTGAACAATTGTCGAGGCCCAGTGATGATTTTNNTTTGCGACATGGTGCGGGACAGCTTTGGAGCTTTGCCGGGCTCAAGCTTGATGCTGAGATCGCCACCTATAGTTTCTTCGCGCTCGCCCTTCAAAGCTGGTGACTGTGCAGCGCTAGGCTGCTTTGATGAAGGAGTCTCCTTCTTGACTCTGCGAGGTGTGTCTCTGTCTAATGTCGGTCGCGCCTGCGTGTCTTCGATGCCTGAAGACTCATGCGTCGCTGCCGCCCCCTCGATTGTGTCGACTGCTATATCCATCTTTTCTGCATCTGTTGTGAGGCTCCTGCCCCTGCTATCTCGCGAGCTGGGCATAACGGCGATGTGGTCTGGGAGGATTGAGCGTTGCGCAGAGCGAGAAGGCCGTGATGGTTGATGAACGGACAGATTTTAGAGAGCCCCAGATTTGTCGACACGCTTGAGACCAACACACATCCCGATGGGCCGACGGCGCTGTACGAAGGAAATGCGAAGTGCGAGAGCTGCTTTTGCGAAATGGAGAATGGCGCGTGGGCTGTTGGCGGCGTGGAGTTTCTGAGAACGAGAGACGCACTCAACGCATGTGGCAAGTTCTCGACGGTATAGATGGAGTCGCAGGAAGCAGGCGATTGGGCTCGTATAGCGGCCTCTTGCAAGTTGAACGTTTCTCTGAATCTCATTTAGGTCCTGGATCTAGGTACTTGACAACCACTTTCACATACGTTGACTACAACCGGAAGGAGCTCTACAACGATCTTTCCGTTATCCTCTGTCACCTGTAGAAACTCTGCCTCTGCAATTAATGGGTTGAAATAGTTGGCTGTGTCTTGTTGCGAGTGACGACAGGGATGGTGAGAGACAGGACGATGGATCATGGATGCCATCTTGAACTGTCACCGTTTCGTCAAAGGCTTGGCGCTGATCAACTCTCCTCGTGAAAGCTGCGACCCTGACCTACTTATGTCTAGCACTTTCAAGACCTGTTACGGACAAAAGTGTTGCTGGGAACCACTACAAGCCGTGCCTGAATGAGCTCGTAAGCTAGTCATGAACTAGCACTACGAGATGCAGCGCCGTTCGTCTCCCGCGGAAGCTCATGACCATCTTTCTGGTGCTAAGATTGACGATATGGAGGTGCGTGTATGGGTACCGCATGCAGTAACATCGCACAAGCAGTACCTAGTAGTTAGAGTTTGGGCGGGTCCAAGTGCTTGTAGAAACTGCTCGAGTACAAGTGCAAGCTGAGCCGAAGCGAGATGGATGCAAGACTGTTGTTGAGAAACCTTGGTTGAATTCTTCTGCAAAGAACATCCGCCAGGCGCGCACTTGCATGTGTTTTGATGCAACGCAGGCTCCTGATACGACGCGGAAATTTCGATCTCGTAGTGCACCCAGGGTTCCTGGTCCCGACAAGCTGGGGCAGAGCAAGGAGCCGTCTGTCTGCGATTCTGAATGACCCGTGCCTAGGGACCAATGAAGCGTTAAAAAGACAATGCGTTCAAAATCGGTCGCTCTTTTGTAGCTGCGTGGCCTTCATGTAAGAACTGACGAGGTCATTGCGTTAGCGCAAAGGTATTAGGATTGAGAACCCGCCTAATTTTACATGAACAGCAATGACCCCTAAGCCTTACATACTTCGCAAGCAAAGTAAATTTACTGTCGTGTGCTCGAGAATCCTGGCTACTTTCATAGATCTGACGCTGATGTGTTTCAAGGTTGCAACGTCACAAGCGACCGTGCCTGCTGGGCTGAAGGGAACAACACCCCGCACCAGATGTCGTCTGTGAGATGAACCATATCGTGAAGACAAGGCTGAAGTCGAATGATCGAAGCAAGAACGACAAATCGACCTGCCGAGCGTTTCATGTTGGGTTGCCGTGTACCGGGACGAGCGGGCCCATACCAAGAGTGCGGGACTCTCTTGAAAGCCGAAAAAGTCAACTCAAACCCAGCCTCGCGGGTCGTGTCCTCCCATGCATGTTCAATCGAGAACAGCAGCTTGCTCGAGGCAGTGGGGTAGGGCGTCTACAGCAGAACAAGAACGAAGTCTGTATATCATATTTCAAGATCACGCTCACGCAGCCCGAATTGGCGGCATCCTCTGGCCTTGGTGAAGCATGACATCCATCTTGCAGGGAGATGTGCGCCTAGGCTGCAGTACCTGCATGCATCAACCTCGCCCTTTAGAACCGAGATCCCAGCCCTCTCTTGAGCCTTGACTGACCCCATTCTGGCATTCTCCACTCTGGCTCCATGCTCGCGGCTTTTTTCTTCCACTTCGATGCTGAATGGTTACATTCGTGCCTTTCCTTCTTTGCGTCTCGTGAGATTTTTTCTTGACCTTCTCTATGCTTTCGTTCAAGGCAGGTAGTGTTTTTGGTTTAGTCGTCTGACTGACGCACTCTCGTTTCACCAGCTGCACTCGTTTCCTTTCTCATACCTGAGACTTGGCCCTATTTCTTTGTAATACATGTTCGCCTTCTTCTCTTCTTCCTCGTTACTTCTCCGGCTCGTTACAGAATGAACCCTCGGGACGTGAGCTTGAATGCGCACGAGCAACTCGAAATACTGGCCGAGATCATCAAGTCTAGCAATATCCCTCCAGACGTGGTCATCCACTTTATACGACAGAACGGCATCGTCCCCGATTGGGGTGATGTGGCGCTCCCAAGGGGTAGGTATTTCGCGCTTACGCCAACGCGGCTCGTCGACTGATCTGCTCTTCTAGGACGAACTGTCAATCAATGCAGCAACTGGTTTTACAGTGTCATCAATCAACCTGGCCCTCCTGGACCCGCTTCTGGCCATGGCCATGGCCATATCAGATCGCAGAGTCTCCAGGGACCAATTCAAACGTCCTCTCTGAAACGTCCGTTCAGCCCGGATCAACCTTCCTTTGCAGGTGGCCGTCTGCTTGTTCCCAAGCCACCTATGTCTACCATTGGGAACATACTCAATCAACAACCTGAGCCGCCCAAGAAGAAACGCGGCAGGCCTACCAATGCAGAGAAGGCCGCGAGAAGCCAGCAGGAGTTCTTGCATGGACAGCCGTTGCTACCTCCTTCTCGACGCATACCCCCGCTTGCAAGTGGGAGCAGCAACAGTGCTGTCGCACCTGGTCCTTTATCTGTCGCAGCACATGCTGCCCAAGCTGCCATGCTGCCGCAGATTCGCGATGAGCCTCACAGCGCAGAAGAGTCTGAAACCTTGTCTAGCAAGAANAAGCGAGGTCGTCCTGCCAGCGTCGACATGGAGACGCGACGGCCGCAGCAACAGTTTAACGAACCCCATGAAGCTGCCCCCGGACCTAGTTATCCTGGTCCATCACGGTATCCAAACATACTTTCCCCTGAGGAGGCCCCAGGAGAGNNGGGGAGTGCCAGACGACATGAGGGCTCACCCAAAGGCGACCCAGCAACATACCGATAGCCTCGCTCCTACCTTCAAGCACCCTTCCCACGATACACGAGAAGCCATATCAAGTCTTGACGCCATTAATGACACGACCACCGACTACACTTCTTTTGGATTGGCATACATTGGCACATCTCTTTTCCTTTCATCTCGCGTTGGATCTCTCTACATCTCTTTTGTTGGTTTCTCACGAAACACTTATGACTGGATGGCATTGATGTCATGATGTTGTTGTTCTTTTTTGCTTTGTACGGCTCATACTATCACGGCCTCTTAATGTCTTGGTTCTATTTTTCTTTTCGCTGTTTGACAGAAGAGTTGATGTATTATGCGGCTCGCGCGAATTTTTTTTGGTGTTAAAGATCTGAAGCACTTCTTGGAGCATTTTATGCTGTAGATGACCGAATCAAATGCGTTACGCTTGTTGGAAATGCCATTCTCAGGCACGTTGAAAGATTTCATGGTCAAGATCTTTTGCCGATAGGTCAACCCTGTTCTCAAATACAGACCACGCTCAACCAAGGTCATATTGATATGACAAGTAGATATCTTATCCATACAAACTCATGCGGTCACTTCATTATAGATTATTTCAAAGCTTGACTTCCGGCGACCAAGATTGCGTCAATCTTGAAAACCGAAGGTCCGTAGACTTAGGTAACCGGAGCTTTGAAATCTGAGTATCGAAGTCTGGCCCAGAACGTCACACGATAACTATGAGATTGAAATTGAGATTCGTGGTTTGTGAAGTTTGCAAATCGTGCTCGCATGAAATAGTACTATCTAAAAAGGTTCTACAACCAACCCAACAATGGCGCATTCGAAGTCGATTGCTTATTATACAAACAGGGCCGCCCTGCAGCCCCGTCCAGTTTTTGTATGCCCGAAATTCACGCCAGGCAATTGCAATCAAGCGACTGACTTGTTTGCGCAGCGGTCTTTTATGTTTCGAGGTGGAGATGATTTTTCGTGTCGTGTGGCCGGAAAGCTTAGGGTGCTCTGACATTGGACTTGTTTTCGCCGTGCTCGAGGTCCTCGTGCTTCTTGACTTGCTTGCCCTTCTTCTGGTCGGCAGCTTCTCTTTGCTTGACAGCGGCTTCGCGCTCCTTGATGCGCTCTTCCTCGGCAGCGACCATGTCTGCAAAGGTCAGTTTCAGGTTCTGGTGTTTAACGGAGTCTCAGAATAGCTTACCCATCCATTGATCCTCACCAGAGTAACGCTCGTGGTGGATCTTCTTCTCGATAACGTGCTTGTGAGTAGGGTCATTGGGGTCAAGGACCTTGACAGTCTCCCAGCGACCCTCACCCTGGTTCTTGTCCTTGGCCTCTAGTGCCAAACTGGCAATGACGACAGCCAGAGTCAAACCCTGAGCGTAGACACGAGCCTGGACGAGCTTTTGTTGACCACTAAGGTAGGGGTTGCGGCCGACGATACCGAAAGCAGCGGTGATTGAAGCAACCCATGAACCGAAAACGATGCTGTAACGGTTCTTGTTTCCCCAGTCCATGGCACGTTGAGAGAAAGGCTTCTGTGACTCGAGCTGCTCTTGCAGGGTCTGCTGCTTGTCGGTGTAGTCCTTCTCGGGATGACGGCTAGCCTCGTAGGTGCGCGAGTAGCGATCGGCATTGATGATGGCAGCGAAGGTACCGGTACTGGTCACCAAGAAGGCGCGGAAAGGAAGAGAAAGGCCACGGAAAGCAGGGTATCTCCTGCTAGCGGCCAGGACACCAACAGCACCAGCTGCCGTACCGAGCAGACCACCAATGGTACCTCCATAGACGGTGGCGCTNNGAATGTCTGGTCAGCAGTGCTCACATGCGTGTATCGCGACAGTTCAAGAGACGACGTACTTGTAGTGCTCCTGCTCTTCTTCCTTTGTGAGGATCTTCATGATGTGCTAAGTATGTGGTTGAGATGGGGGTGTGGGATGCAATTGACAAGCAAAGAGCAGGTTGCAGGTGTTTTGATGTATGACGACGTAGATGAGTGAGGTCAAGATGCGCAACAACAAAATAAATTAATATGGGTGTAAGTCCGTATCTCGCCGATTATCACTTCTGACGTACACGCCACTTTGAGCTCGAGAGAGCACCGAGCAGACACCGCGGGGTTTGCGAACGCCGAGCTGCCTGTCAAGAATCAGTGCCATCCTGAACTCTAACCAGTCCGATTCATGAAAGAACCCCGGTTTGAAGCCTCAGCCGTGCCTGCCGAATACCTTGTCGTTGTTAATATCGCCGAACAATTCTCGAATTTAGTCCGGCGCATTCCCATCTCCAACTTCGACCTGTAAGCCTGAATCTCACCAAGCAGCTTGCCAGATCTTGCTAAAACGAGGACTTGCAATTTCATGACAAAGGTTTGATTTTTTGTTCTCGCTGATTCAATGCGTTCATTCAAGATCTGATCGAGTAACCCGGTGCATGAACGAGCACGCGCGATAAAAGATCAAAAGCTTGGCATCGAGCATTGTCAGACAAGCGCAGGCGCATCTCGGTCCAGAAATTCTCAGTTTCAAAAGTTATTTCAGATTTCAAACACCATGCCTCTACCGCTCGGAAAGACCGTCAAATCGCGCGCCGATGTCTCCGACGACGAGAATGACTACGAAGAGTACTCGGGAGACGATTCATCAGCATCCATCATCGAGACCGGAGGCGATGAAGTCGATATTTTGAGCTCTTCAGACGAAGACGCAGAAGAAGACGTGAAGGACAAGCTGAGCAACATCTCGTTCGGGACACTGTCAAGAGCACAGGAGTCTATATCCAAGAAGCGCAAGAGAGCTGCAGGTGACGATGACGAGAAGGAGGACAAGCTAGAAGCTCTTCGCGCCCGTCTACGAGAATTGAGAGAATCTAAAGGTGTCGATTCCGCTCCCAAGAAGAACAAGAAGGAAGCAGACAAATCTATCACGAAACCCGCTGCAAAGAAGTCACGAACAACAAAGGAAGCCAGCGACGACAGTGCTTCAGATGCCAGCGACAGCGATTCTGACGAGGATGGCCCTCCNCAAGCTCGTAGCTCCAAACACGCACCCATGGCACAAGCATCAAACAGACAGGTCACCCGCAAACGCCAGGTCATCGATGTGCCCAAGCGACAAGTTCGTGATCCTCGTTTCGGCCCACTAGGCGGTCCCGTAGACAATGCCGCGCTGGCAAAGAAGTATTCTTTCATCAACGACTACCAGNNGGATTCAGAGATGGCCGAGCTCAAGGCTGCCATTAAGAAGTCCAAGAATGAAGACGACAAGGCAGTTCTCAAGCGCAAGTTGCTCAGCATGGAGAGCAAGAAGAAGGCACGCGAGAACAAGGAAAGAGAGCAGGAAGTGATACGCGACCACCGCAAGAAGGAAAAGGAAGCCATCACACAAGGCAAGAACCCCTTCTACTTGAAGAAGTCGGAACAAAAGAAGCAAGCTTTGGTCAACAAGTTCGACAGCATGAAGTCCAAGGACAGAGAAAGACTCATNCGAGAGACGCAGAAAGAAGGTCTCGCAAAGGAGAAGAAGAACATGCCCGCCCCCAGACGCATGTAAAGCTCGACTTCCTCTTCAAATGGATTATGGACATCGGAACCTTATCTTTGAGAATTTGCTTGATGAAATGCATATTCCTGTTACAGCCAATGTGCGGTTCAGGTCCCAAGGAGAAAATAGAACGCATCATAGTCATCAACTACTAACTTTTCTGGCATTCCGATTATGGTGTTCTGTTCAACTGAGTCTCTGGAGACGCCTAATAGCACCTCGAAAGCATCCGTCCATGATGCTACAGAACTACTGCTACCAATGCCTCAAATGGCAGTTGTGGGTAGAATCATCACAACCAATGCTATAGAGTCCAGTCCGGCGATAGCCCCGAATTGATCGCCCTCAAGATGACAAAAACTCTGCTTGGATCCATAGTCGGTAGCATCTCATGATGATGTTAGATACACGCATCTCACAGGTTTGCGACAAATACGTCAAGCTTCCGAAAAGAAGGGTAGAAAATTCCATGAAATAAATTACCTGATTAACCAGAAAAATTAGATGCTAGAACAGAGATTATAAAGAGATTCGTATCATGGGGTCATTCCGACCGATCACTCTTGTGGCTCCTCGGTCTCTTGTTCGCCGTCCTCATTGTCATCGCCCTCCTCTTGCTCACCATCTTCGGCACCTTCTTCAGCCTCTCCCTCGTCGTTCTCGTCGTCGTTCTCTTCACCGTTCTGCTCGTTGCTCTGGTCTTCATCATCTTGTTGACCATCCTTCTTCTGAGCTTTGGCTTGCTCAGAGTCCTCCAGAATAGGCTTGACCGGGTCTTGTCTTGCGTCAGGAATGCTATCCTTCTCAAGGTTCCACTTTTGCATGGCAATGATAATGTCCACAGCAAGTTGGCCGTTCTTTCTGAGAGCCTTGTCCCATTGAGGTGGCATGCCTGATTCGCTGGTGACGAGGTTTCTGGCAACAGCGCTGATGAGCAACTGGCGCATGGGAGATTCGAGGTCGGTGTTGGCGTAGATGTACTGCACACGGCGGAGGGCAGGGTAGGTGTCTGACAACTTGTACCAGTTGCGGACGCTCTTGAGGACTTCCAGGGTGAGATCGCGGATCTCCCACTTCTCGGCCTGTGGTTGCTGTTAGCTCTGGTCTACTCTGCACATTCAGAAAAAACTTACCATCAAGTACAGATCCAGCAGAAGTGTCAAGTCCTTCTCTGATTCAGGAGTGGGTGTGTGCTAAGTTCTTTAGTAAAGACCAGCGGCATAGATGATGATATGGCACTCACGCCGCTGTAGAGCCATCCCACAAAGGTCTTGAAAGGACCATCTTCTTCATCTGGCAGTCCCAGCTTTCCTGAGTTCTTGTTTTCCTTGTTGTAGAAGATGTTACGGAAGAACTTGCTGCGGTGGCACAGTAGCTTCTCGTGTAACACCCATTTCGTGTTTTCCTGGCCAACATAGATGTCCACGGTTTCGTGAGAGAGCAACCTAGATAGCTGTTAGCATATTGGCTTCGTTGAAGAACCAAACATCTGTCGAAGACCTTGCGGAACTTCTACTAGATGGACAAAGGAACCGTGTCGCATGAAACGTACTCGTTGAGAGGCTTGTCCTGTTGTTCTGCCATTTTGAAGATCGTATATTATTCTCCAAGTATAGAAAAGTAATCAAATACAAATGTCAAAAGACTCGAAAGACTTCAAAGAAGTAGAGAAGAACGAGGGGACAGGGATATTTATCAAAGCAGGGAACAAATCGTGGCTTGACCAAGGTACTCGAGGAAGAAATGAGGCGCAGGCACGGCAGGTCTTGTAAAAGACATGGCTGGGGATCGATCGTTGTTACAGAGCAGGGATGGTATTGTGAAGCATTCTTGCGTCACTGTGCAGGCGGAACGTCACTGGCGAGCCGAAACTTGGACAGCGGGGCTGGCTTTTGCTTCAGGTTCTCCAGCTGTTTTCCACGTGTGGATCTTCTTTCTCTCCTGATGATCGCGAAACGTCTATCGCAACTGCACTTGTAGTCAAAGACTTCTCTTCTTGGTTCAGTAGAGCGTCGGGGTCAGCCGCGAAAGCGAGTGAGGTTCCCAGCAACTCAATTGTGTTGGACCGAGTTTTCGAACATCCAATCTGAATTTGATCGATAGCTACCCTACGATTCGAGCTACCAGAGGGCGTATCGTGAGTATACATCGTAGTAGCGCACCTGCTAGAGGCAGGACCGGAAGCAGTGGTCAGTCTTGACTGTGCAGACTCGGAGCATGTCCACTATAGAAAAGATCGGGAAGAGTGAAGCATTGTAAGGAGGGACGCGCTCTGCCTCATTATGTGCACTTTGTTCACTCTCGAAGACACCATCGTGAGTAGGTTTGGGCAAAACTGCGGAGTATATCGTTTGTTCACTGCTACACGAGAGTGAGTGTTCTCACTTCGATTATCATCACTTTGCTTTCCATAGATTATCCCACTACGTTGGTTCAAGTTTTCAAACCTCTTCTATAGCAGAAAGTCAGGCACCAATCACGGTGTTAAATGTCTCTAACAAGCTACTCCGAAGGAGCATCGCTAAGCTCCACCAGGTAGAAGCGTCAGATCAAGATATCTGTTTCATCTGGCTGACGATTGACTCCAGATGGCTCTCTTCACCGATTATCACTATACGCGTGGGTCCTACAAAACAAGAATTCTGTATACACAAGGATCTACTCTGTTCCCGCTCGATGTATTTCACAAAAGCTCTTTCGGGAGGATTTATGGAGGCTCAGACACACATCGTCGAGCTCGAGGACGTGCATCCGGTGCTCTTCAGAGTCTTTATTACCTTCCTGTACACCGACAAACTCGCTCACGAGTCTCCGTACTCAAGTATCCCTTCGTTCGGAGACTTTGACGATTTGAATGAGACGCTGNNAAAGAATACCATCCCTACGAAAAGGAAGCAGACGAAAACCAAGATAATTCCGAGGACGAAGAGGACGATATTGACGATCTCTCGCAATTCAAGGAAGGAGTCNCCCGAAAGCTGGACCTACTTGATTCTTGCTGGGCTGTTCGTTCTAGGCGATCGTCTGGATGCCGCTACATTCAAGAGGCAGGTACTTGATACTATTGCTGGAAAGACCGAAACACTCTTCGCCACACCACATGATTCGGCCATACTTTACGCATATGCAAACACGACCAAGAACTCTCCGCTGCGCCGACTTCTCGTCCACATCACTGCCTATCAAACGTCCTTCGAGAAATCTTACAACACTTGGAACCATATGCCAGTCGAGTTTCTCACTGCAGTGATGGTGACAATGGGAAGGAGGCTGCCAGTCATGCAATGTCCATCTTGNTTTCAAAAAGCTATTCACGCCAACAAAATCGAAAAGTTGGTCATTGATGATGTGGCCGTGGACGGAGACTTACCACCATTCAAATATGATCTCTGTTTCTACCACGAACACAAGGATGAAGATGAGGAGGAGACGTGTCGTGAGACTCGTTTGAGCAGAATGGACCTCGAATCATCGGAAGACATGAGCCAGAGTCCCGAGTTGTAACACGATTTCGCGGCGAAAAGGAAAGGTTTCGTCCCAACTCAGCTACGATACAGACGCGAGGGCCGGTTATGAGGTTTCGCAGCAAGTCGACGGTAAAAAGCAAAGACGAAGAAGACGGAAAAGAGCATTGAAGGTGCAGAGTGAGAGGATGAAGACTCTTGGAACATACAACGATAGCAACACAGCGAGGACCATGAAAGGAAGCAGAGACACAGAGGTTAGCTCAAAGCATTGCTGAAAATACCAAGAACTCTCCCCACAACTTTAATCATCTGTCACTTCCACAGGACGAGGCATAAACATTTTGCCATTACACAGGATGTGATTCTATACCTTAAGACGAGAAGAACAACGAAATCCGGATATATTACAACCATAATAATTACAATCCTATTACTGTATTACTTTTACAATCCGAAGGTAAACATAACAACCATCGCCACTCCCAGAGCAAGCGATGAAGAAGCATTGGTGAAGCTAGCAGCGCTGTCCTTGCCCGACTTTGACGTGGTATCATTGCTGCTGGACCCAGAAGCAGAGTCCGAGTCAGAAGACGAGCTGGTGACAGTAGTGTTTGCATCGCCAGTACCGATATCGACCTTGGCATCTGCAGCAGCAAGAGTACCATCATTGACATCGACAATATCAGTGGCACCTAGGACTTCGCCATCGGCGTTCAAAGCCGCAACACGAATGTAGCGTGCATTGGTGCCTACAGTGATATTTGTCTCAAAGCCAGTCTTTGTGACGTTCTTCCACAGCTCGTCTGCAGTAGCGAGAGAAGAAGACGAGTTCGAAGCAAGGATGGCCCATTGCTTGATCTCAGTGGCGCCGTTCCAAGACATGTAAACAGTAGTGTTGTCGGTACCATTTCCTGTAGCAGCAATGCTAGGGTTCCAGCCAGGGAAGCCTTGCCAGTTTTGCTTGTAGGCGCGATAGCTCTGCACGCTTGAGTTGCCGATAATTCCGAACTGAACGTCCCAAATGGGCTCACCATCGTTCGTGTACTCGATGAAGGCGCCGTTGCTGCCATAGCCCATGAATATGTTACCGCTGGAGAGCAATTGCACGCTTCCTTGCGATATGGACGAGATGCCTTCGGGACTAATGTAGTCTTGCTTGAGAGAGACAGACATGTCATCGTAATCGAGGGTCAGCCAGAGACCGCGTGTCTGTTCCTCAGTTGTGACCCAGTCGGCAGCGCCGTTGTCAAAGAGAGTCATCTCAGTCAAGTCACTGTTGCGCCAGCGTGCATCATGTTGCCAGCTAAAATTCGTGGCATTGCCATCGCTCCTGTCCTCAAAGTCGTTGTTCTTGCCTCCCAAAGTCCAGATGACATCGCCATTGGTTCCATTGATGTAGTAGAGACTGTGTGTATGTCTTGCAGAGACGAGGTAGTTGCCAGAGTCGTCTTTCTCGATCGAGTTGATGTGGAAGAAGTCCCAAGGACTGTCTTGGGAGGTACCAGTGGCACCAGGATCGGCAANAGATTCGTTGAGCGCTACGTGCTCGGATGCTCTCCAACTGAAGATCAGGTCGTTAGTGGCGATGTCAACCTCTTCGAACAGAGAGTCCGCAAGCCATCCGTTCTCGATATCATAAGCCGTGAGATCGTATTGCATCGGTTCGTAAGCAGTCATGAGTGCAGTACCGTTATCCGTCAGTTCGATCTCATGGATATCTCCACCGACGGTTAGGTTTCTTGTGGTAAGGTTGTAGGCAACGTTGTAGTTGTGGTCAAGCATGATGTAGCTACCACTTCCATAACCAGATTTCTTGATAGCTCCACGCCAGAAGGTGATGTAGTCAGAGTTGTTGTATTCTTGTACTCTGACACCAAACGTAGTCTTGTAGCTGGGGTCACTCCACACAAGGGATAGATCATCAGAGTTAAAGATCATAGGAGCAATCTGCTCTACTGCAGTACCTCTGGGGGAGATGAAAACACGGTCGGCGTCGTCGACATTGTCTCCNNCTGCAGCCTTGTTGACCTGGAAGACAGGCACTTCAAGGCTCGAAGACTCGAAGGACTGTGTAGGGTAGAGACCATAGGCCTGGGTCTGGAACTCAGAGCCTGTGTAAGGAGATTGGTCGCCCAATGCAAGACGACCTAGAGGTAGTGTGGCGAGTGCCAACGTCAATAGAGTAGGCATATTGATAGTGACAAACAAAAGGAAAAGAATGAGAAAAGGGCACGCAGATATTGGAAGCAATTTGAAGAAGCTTCTCCCTATTCGACGCAGACAGAAAATATTCACCTAAGGACGGGGACCTACATCATATACCAGATCTCGTTCTATACCCATGTCATGTCCTGAGGCCCGCGCTCACACTACCAAGGCCTGAAAGAGTATCTAGCCCGTGGGGCCGTCTCATCGTCTTGTTTCCAGAAGATGCCAAGCACTGTGATATGATGTGTGGCTTCCGCCAATGTTGTAGAGTAGTGAGATGAGATCGATATAAGTCATGAATTGACCTAATAGTTGCAGAAAGCATCATAACAAAACCTTCTCGTGCTGGTTTGTTGCCGAACCGGCTTGTCATGGAACAGCTTGAGTCAATGTAGGAACAATTTGTCGAGTGTACTTGACTGTAGGGGCTTTGGGGATATCAATTTTTGCTGATATTCTTATCAGATCGGTTGCAGATTATTGGAGACGGCAAATACTACAAGCCACCCGCATCAGTGGTGATTGCTCGCGTGCCTTCCTACCTAAAGAAAACTTGGTACAGCGAAAAGGACGCGTCGTCCAAAGTCAAAGCGTCCTTAGCGGTCTCTGGCGGCTGCAGAAGCACAGTCGCCCGACCGCCTTCCGCTATTCTCACCAGAGATGGCGTCTGTTAGATGCCGGTATCGTTGTCGCAAAGTCAAGGTTGTTGAAAGTCAAATCGAAGCGGCTCTGCATGGTTGCGTAAAGAGCAGATGCTTCCCTGCGAGGCGTGTCATGCGAGTCTTGGCTCAGGAGCCAAAGTCTGATCGACTCCGAAACAGTGCCGTGGACCGGTAGCCCTCAGAGCGGCAGACTCAATTCGATGACCACGATATGAAACTGCCACTGATCAAACATGTGACGCAGCAAAGACTCTATACTACCATGTGATCATGTGTGTTCTTGGGGGCAATGCTGTCAGTACGCGTATAGACGTAAATAGCAATGTTAAAGCTTTAAGGATAGTATCCTAATAAGAGTATATAAAATAGGTAATAATTATACTAGAATTTGCTATATTTATAAGAATAGAGCTTATTAACCATATCATGATTATTGTCATTAGCTCATTAGCTACCTTCTTATACATAGCACTTATGCTCTTTCCTAGGTCCTCTAGGTTAAAACAGGGCTGCTCATGTGTTCGAAACGCGAGTCCAGAAAAGCATCCTCGTACTTCGCTCGACCATCGTGCGCCGACTTCCTGGAGAGGGTGGTGGTGGATGCAGAGTGACGCTCGTCGAGTCCTTCTTGTGTGACTGTACGGTGAGAGTCCATACGATCGGCACTGGTGTAGGAGCTGGCAACAGTGCTGAGACGGGAGCTGTCGCCGTGGTTGTGTAAAGCATCAGACAAGTCCTTGTCCGAGGCGTGAGTACGAGATGTCTTGGGATCCAAGAGCACGCTGCTGCGGCTGCTCTTAGGCCTGTCCTGATAGGGGTTGTGTGAAGCATTGGGCAGCGCGACACCCAAATTGTCACGGCGAGAGGATAGCGATACCTCAAGATTGTCCTGTCTAGAAGGAACAGCGACCGAAGCCTTGGAAGAGGAGGCATGTCCATAGGTGTGGACAACGCTCGCTTTGGGACGCTTGAGGCTTGAGTCTTGAGTCTTTGGACGAAAAGGCATGTTTGGAGGTCTGGATGGCGCTCGCCTTTGAAGGCTTGAGGCTTGGGTCTTTGGGCGAAGAGGCATGCTTGGAGGTATGGCTTGTACTTGCCTTCGAGTGCCTTGAAGTGGGCGGTTTGGAGGAAGAGCCACGACTGGAATCTCCGGTGCTGTCTGCCCTGGAAGTGGTGTTTCGACGACGCTCCTTGCTGGTTCTGTATGAAGCATTGTGATTCTTATCGGAGTCGCTGTCACTGGCTATGCTGCTGCCATTCCCGAGGCTGAAGTCCCTGACCAGGGTCAGTATATTTCACAACGGATCGTGGAGTGACAATGTGATACCGCTTTTGGTGCTTGTTCGAGCTCATGGAGGAGCGGTGAGGTGCGCGGCTGCCACTGTCGCTGTTGTCGTTGCTGTTGGTGAGATGTCCAGAGTCACGATGACTAGCAACGCGCTTTCCCTTCTTGTGGCTGACGCTTCTGGTGAATGTTAGCTCGGGTTGACAATGAAAAGTTGTGACAGTGTCATACCGCTTGTAGTGATTCCTCGAAGCTTGGGAAGGGCGGTGAGATGCCTGGTCACTGTCATTGCTGCTGGAAGACTGATCGGACTCGTGGCGGCGGGCGGCGTTCCTGCCTTCCTTGGATTTGCTTTTCCTGTTGAAGAGAGAGGGTCAGCTGAATGTAAAGCAAAGGGAAGAGTGATATCGCCGTACTGCTTGCGGCGTTTGCCTGAGACGCGAGAGGAGCGGTATGGTTCATGGTTACCTACCATCATCATCCTCGCTGCTCGTAGTCTCGTCGGAGTGGTCGATGCTGTCAGTACGCGTACAGACGTGATAGAAGTGTTAAACTTCAAGGACAGCATCTTGACATGAAGTCTGTTGAACAGGTAACATTTATACCGGAATTTGCTATATGTACAAGAACAGAGCTCATCGATCACATCACGATTGTTGTTGTTGGCTCGTCAGCCACCTTCTTGTGCACAGCGCTTGTGCTCTNTTCCAGGTCCTCCGGATCGAGGGCTTGACCCTTGTAAACACTCACTTCGCTGCTGACATCCACATCAGCAGGCACTGGAGGACCAGTGAATGCTTTTCGTCCGCGAATGAAGTACCAGACGACACTGATAAGGGCAAAGCCTGCGAACACGCAAGCGGCGTAATTCATAGAGCTTGGATCGACCGGCAGCGTGACTGGCATAGAGAACAGGACGACAGCCAAGGAGATCCAGCAAAGAGTGAGCACATTGATAGCCATTCCGAAACGACCCAGTGANNGGAAGGAGGAATGCGCGACTAGTTTGCGCCCACGGAGTACGCTGACCAAGATCGGCAATCCATATGAGGTGGAGAGGCAGATCGTGGCCACGCCTGTAAACGAGTTGAACGCTGCAGTGCTACCGAAGTAGATCAGACCCAACAAGCAGTCGACAGTGGTTGAAAGCACCAAAGCCCACAAGGGAATGTCGAAGCGTTTGTCAACTCGAGACCAGATGCGAGATCCAGGAATCGCGCCATCGCGAGCAAAAGCATAAGTGCAACGACTTGCGGCTGTCAAAGCACCCGTTCCGGCAAAGAAGAGAATGCCTAGNNAGAATGATCAGTATTGGCTTTGTCCCTACATTACGGACATTGGCTTACCGAGAAGGAGAAACAGCAGTCCGAAACCACCCGCCGATGAGCCTGTAACAGTCTTGAAGAGAAGGCCGATTGGCTGACCATTGGCGACGTTCAAAAGCATCTTGATGTCGGGCAGAACGAAGAGGATTGGGATCAGGTATATGATACCGGTAACACCCGCTGCAGCAACAGAGAGAACGATTGCCTTGGGCACCTCGCGGGCAGGATTCTGAGCAGATCATGTTAGCCAAAGTCATATATTCATGTTGCGATTTTGGCTTACTTGGACTTCTTCGCACATTGCAGCAACCATGCCGTAGCCAGTCAATGTGTACGAAGCCTGCAAGAGACCAACAAAGAAGGCCCAGCCGCTCGGCCAACCGCTACCACTCGCATCATAATGGGCGAAGACAAATTCTCCACTCCTGTAGTTGTCTGACATGGCAAGCAAAACGACCATGATGATAATCACACTGGCTCCAGTCCAGTAGATGCAAACCTTGTTGATCAAGTCAAGATATTTGGCACCAAAGATATTGATGAGCATGCATATCAGCATCACACACCAAAACATGAGCACTGTTTGCCATGCGTTAGGCACAAAGTCTTCATTCCAGAGACTGATCGCACTCAGGATTAATTGGGCCCCAGAGAAATTGATTGATGTTGTGACAGTCCAGTTGCCAACCAATGTCAGNNCCTGTTGTGGTTAGCAGCCGCAGTACACTTGAGGCAAAGACGAAATGACTTACCAACCGGTGATCCAAGAACTCAATCGAGCATATTTTTTGGTACTCAGCATAGCCGCCCAGTAATACACACCGCCAGCAGTGGGAAAGACAGCACAGATTTCAGCCAACGAAGCTGCGATTGACAAAGATATCAAAGACACTAGAACCCATCCCCACAAGATTGTCACGCTCTGACCATCGGCGAGAGTGATGTAGAATGTGGTACTCAATCCGAATGGTACAGCCATAATCGCAAAGGANNACTAGATTCGTCTTCGTCAGCGATCTTGCAGTGGTAGCAATCACTGTGCAACTCACAGTCCTAGGACACTCATCATGCTCAAACCTCTGGGCAACTCCGATTTGTAGCCCATACGGGCCAAGTCGGCCTCCGCAGCAGTAGCCATAATAAAGCCGTCGTTCTAATCAGAAGTCCCAGATATTGATCTTGGTGTTCAAAGCTAGTCCAGGAGATCTAAGTGCCTTGTCCCGAGTAAAAGCAAGGCGAATATTGAGGTGAGTCGGAAGTAATGTTGCGGTGGTAAGCAGCGCCGGCCAGGATGGTTGCGACGAAGGAGCTGGAGTCGACAGAGGGATGCCAGCTATTAGGTTAATATTAACAGACTAAGGATCGGCCAACATCGGCGAGAAAGTGATGTAGCGGCGGTCCACTTGTATAGGATAACAACTTTCTAAGTTCCTGATCCGCTCCTAGGCGTCTGGGATGGTAGTATAGATAAGGGAGAGGTCGCAATAGACGATAACCAATTGACTGTTCGCATTACTCTAGTGCGACGATATACAGAGATATGAGGAAGAAGGATTAGGGCATCACGGCAGATAAAGAAAGCCCCCATTGACTCGTTCTGGAGCCCTTTGATCATGGTTTGTGTGGGTGGTGTCCTTGACCGTTGCAAGCCCCGCGTCACGGAGGCGCACCGGAGTGAACGCCATGTCCCTTGGTTGAGCTGAGCGGCCTCGATAAAGAATTTCTTACGTACAAGGCTGGGGAAGAACATGGAGCATTCGGGCCCTTAATTGACGGTCATGCTGTCCGATCTCATTTCGTTCGACCCAGAACATCATACAGGTGTCTGCAGTAATGTAGAATAACATGTTCACAGGTCACTGTCGGCAATGTGCGCCAAGGGACCATCCCGCACTATATGCTTCAATACCGTTGTGCTACAACACATGGTCGAGTATGCAGTATGACAACCTTTAGCACAAAAGAACAAGTTGACTGTACGCTCAGATACTTGGGCGCTTGAGCACAACCGCTACAGTATGGGCCGTACCTGAGGCATAAAAGAACACTCACGGCGAGGGCAAAAAAACGACAGGTTCTTGATAGTAACGTCTCGAAGAACAAAAACAATTCCCTCCTCCCAAAACGCCGGCCGACCCAGAGACATGCATTCGGCTGCAGGAAATATCGTCAAGAACATTAGTAAGCGCGTTGGGTATTAGGCACGCCAGGCATGTGTTGTTGATGCATGTGGGCTTGTTGCTGCCTCAGCTGTTGTAGATCAGCAAACCATGGATGCTGGAGAGCTTGTGTGGCAGAAATGCGAAGCTCTGGACGAAGCTGAAGCATAGCACTCAACAATTGGAGGCCAACAGGATCAACTTGTGGAAGGATGTTGCGCAAGTCCTGAGTTGCGTAGACAGGGAAGTTTGGCTTGTACTCGGGGAATTGGGAGATACCAGGCCACGAACGCTCGGAAGGAGTGCCCATGAGACGGAAGATCTTCTGCAACTGGTCCTCGTTGGTGGTTCCAGGGAACAAGGGACGACCGGTATACATCTCAGCCATGATGCAACCAGCAGACCAGATGTCGATTGAGGTGTTGTAAGTGCGCGAACCCAACAAGACGTCAGGAGCGCGGTACCAGAGTGTGACGACTTCGTTACTGAAGGTGTTTACGGGAATGCCGAAAGCGCGCGCAAGACCGAAGTCAGCGAGTTTGAGCTGACCCTTGTTGTTGATCAACAGATTCTGCGGCTTGAGGTCGCGGTGGAGGACTCTGTTGTCATGGCAGAAAGCGATACCGCGGAGCAACTGGTGCATAAAGGACTTGATGGTGACGGGATCGAGCATGCCGCGCTCACCCCTTGAGTCCATGTATTTCTTCAGATCCTTGTCCATGAACTCAAAGACCAGCATGAGCTTGTTCTCGGTGTGGATGACATCGTGTAGACGCACTATGTTTTCGTGCTTAAGTTCCTTCATAAGTGAAATCTCACGGATGGCGGTGCTGGGTGTGCCTTCTTCTGAGTCGAGGTGGATTTCCTTTAGGGCGACGAATTCGCCGGTCTGGCGGTTGCGACCCTTGAAGACCTGCGCATTGAGGGTTAGCGATGAAGGAGACCAACATAATGCATGGTCGCTGCGCTGCGAGAGACGTACGGTGGCATAAGTACCCTCGCCGAGCTTCTCGAGCTGCTGGAAGGAGCTGGGGTGACGCTTGTCCATGGGTGGTATGCGCTGGCCGCCGCCTAAACTGCGCACGCTGATAGTCGAGTCGGAGCGGTTGTCGAGTGAGAGAGTACCGACGTGGGTAGGATGGAGCCTGGCGTGGGGAGGGTTGCGATTAGTGTAGCGAGGATCCCAAAGAATGGAGCTGGCCGTCGTCAACTGGCTGGCAATATCAAGAGATGATGCCGTCGACGAGCGAATGGAGGCGGGGCGGGAGGATTGCGCCGTCTTGAAAATTTCAGAGAGCAGGAGTGAGCAGGGATGACTGCCCGACTTCCTGACAAACAAATAATAATACTCTTAGGGGAGTCAGTGGCCACTGGCATAGGAGTGCCGCCTTCATTGTTGATCGGCGCGCTGGCAGTTGCGTCTTGGCGCTCGTGCAACGGTCTAATATCTATGCTATTGCGGCCTCTGCCTTTGCTATTACCTGTTGCCCCTTAAATATTGTACGAGTGTCCGCATGCCATTTGCAGCTCAAGACAGATCTCATAGCTCAAAGAAAAATCACACGGCATTTTTGGAGGAAGGCGCACCCTATTTAGGCAAGATCGTCTGGTCGCTTCCAAGTACGGAGTACCGCCCATCTCCCGCTGCCAACACGCCAGCAACAGGTGATGGCAACGCCCGGTGCGGTTCATTCAGCTTTGCGACAGCGCTTGTATGGAAAAGTGTCACAGGCCAGTGACACACGCCCATCTTCTTCTAGCACATTGTGTCTCGGATACTGCGTGTTGCCTCTAGCTTCTCTTGTTGTCGACCAGCGAACAGACCGAGGGCTTGACAGCAAGATCCGGGGTAGCTGTGAGTGCTTAATGTACCTATGACATGGTTGGTGGTTGCTCAAACCACTTTCCAGGTAATCAACCTTTCTTCCTGCAACTCTTTTGTCGTTTCACTATTTCGCTGTTTTGGTGAACTTCATATGCCGCAACTAACCTCGGTTCCTTGTCCTCACTGACCGTCTTGTCTACCCGCCCCAGCATGCGCGACTCGTTGTCTGATCGTCTGCTCCGACGCGAGCTGCTGGACTCTGCTGGAGGTTCAAGAAAGGTGAGGTCTATCTACGGTGACCAGAAATGGATTCGTGAGCTGGACATCGTGAACGAGCTCGACGGACATTCGGGCTGCGTAAATGCTCTCAGGTTCGCCTCTCATTCATCGGTTCTATACATAACTCTTCGCTAACACGCTTCCACTACNAGTTGGTCCAAATCAGGTCGTTTTCTGGCAAGTGGCTCAGACGATCAGCACGTGAACATCCACTCCTATCAACCCGATGATTCGAACTCGCAGTTCAAGCTGGCTACCAGCATCGCCACAGGCCATCGCGCCAACATCTTCTCTGTCAAATTCATGCCTCACTCAAACGACCGCACCGTCATATCAGCTGCTGGTGATAGTGAGGTCCGTATCTTTGATCTGGAGTATTCTGGTGCCACTACAGAGGCCTCACGCGCATCAGCAATGGCTTCAAGTGGCTCAAACAGGGGGATGCGTGGCAATGTGCATGACGGCATACGCCGCCTGAGTGATGGAGATACAAACTGCAGAGTCTACCGTTCGCACGGCGACAGAGTCAAGAGGATCGTCACTGAATCTTCCCCTCATCTCTTTCTGACTTGCTCAGAAGATGGAGAAGTGCGCCAGTGGGATTTACGTCAACCGTCATCCGCCTACCCTTCTCCTTCTAGTAGGTCCACATCTGCCGTCTCTGTANNCCCCCCTCCCCTCATCTCCTATAAACGTTATGACTTGGATCTCAATACCATCTCTTGTTCGCCGAGTCAACCTCATTACATCGCCCTTGGTGGTGCCCATCTACACTGTTTCCTTCATGATCGCAGAATGCTGGGTCGCGACAAGCTTGATGAGCGGGCTGCTTCACCTGCTCTCTCGGCTACTCATTTATCTGATTTGGATGAAGACGCTCTTGGTCAAGCCACTCGTTGCGTCCGCAAATTTGCACCTCGAGGTCAGCGTATCATGGCTCAACGGGATTCTGGACACATCACTGCGTGTAAGATCAGTGATGCTTATCCGAACGAAATTGTAGTCAGCTGGTCTGGTGATCACGTCTACAGCTTTGATATGGTGCGTAGTCCAGACGCCAGCGAAATCTCCAGAGAACAGGTCTCGACAGCACAATCAAACAATCAGAGAGCAAGGGAAAGCAGCGAAAGAAAACAGAAGAAGAGGACAGCAAGTCAGCTCTCGCATTCCCCAGGAGGCTCCTCTCGGATACAACCACGTCAACGTACTGAAGAGTCGACCGCATTAAGAGTGAGATATCACAACGGCCAAAGCGAGGATATTCCAATTGCCCGTTCTACAAGCCCTGTTTCGTCCCTACGAGAGAGCGTGATGACAGACAGACAGCGAAAGGCATATCGTCTTGCAAAGACAGTAGTTGAGCTTCGCAGGACGATGTTCACCCTTGACGAGCAAACAGTCGCTCATGTTGGCGGAGACCTCACTGGGCATGCTGCAGAATTCACTTCAGTGCGAAGTTTGGCTGCCACTATCCTGCCGCAGATGCAAGAAATAACTCGGATGTGGCGCTATCCAGTGGCCCCTGTCCAGGAGGAGGTTCTGCTGCAGAGAACATTGCGTTCCAACAGAGAGTCTGCATGGCGCTTTGTGCAAGCCTCTGGGGTTATTTCAAGGGCTCTTGGAGGCCGAGCGCATACTGCTAGTCAGGCGACCTTTGACACGCCTCTCTTCACCCGCGTCGACCATGCCCCGAACGAGGGTAGTACGCTTAGCGATCGCGAGAGATTCGGCTACGACTTCATCAAAGCCATCTTCTTGTGGCTTGATAGTGGACCAGGAGCTTTGATTGATGGTTTCACCAGATCTTCGGACGTCGCTCGATATGCCTCTCGCTTGCCAGTACCAAAGGATGCCAGCGCCGATGCATTTGATGAATGTATTGTGCCTTATTTTCTGGCTCACTCATCCAACTCTCCAGTTTGCAACGTCGATGCTTCAAGGTTCGAGGTGGACGAGAATCGGATCATCTATGAGACCGAGACCGATGCAGTCAGAGCATTCGTTGAAGCCGTCAAGACNCCCTTTGCGGACTTATCATCAGATGACCCTATGGAAGGCACAACGGAACCCACGCAAAGACGGAGCGATGCCTTACTGCACTGGGGCTTGAAGGTCGCGCGTGGCGTGCTCATGAATGCTGGTGAGGGCGTCAATTTTGCTTTTGTAGACAGAGCATTTGGCGGACTCGGCACAGANACTAATGCCGCAGCTCGCGAAGATGCGCGATTGCGAGAAAGACAACGTCAAATCGACACCACAGAGGATGATCCTACGGCGCGGTCGATGGAAATCGTGGAAGCTTCGCCGGAGCAATCCTCAGAAGAAGATGTTATTGCTATGAGCGATATCAGAGCCGCGATGGGAGAGAGCAGCGACGAAGATGAGGATGAAGATGACAGTGATGATGGCGAGAGTTTTGAAATCCCACTAACGGGACAAGAAGAACAAGACGCTAATATTGACGAAGACGAGAACGCCGATGCAAGTCAGGATGAAAGCGGCCCTGAAGACGATAGTGATGAGGAGGAAGAGGAAGAAGATGACTTTCCCCGTCTCATGTATCGCAGCGCTCTCGGAAGACGACGCAAGCGAGGCGAGGTCGAAAGGGACGTATACTGCGCGCCTCACACCAGAGTTTATCGAGGCCACTGCAACGTCAAGACGGTCAAAGATGTCAATTTCTTCGGTCTGGATGACGAGTATGTCGTGTCTGGCTCAGACGATGGCAACTTNTTCGTCTGGGACCGAAAGACAGGACGACTGGTTAACATCCTCGAGGGCGACGGAGAGGTGGTCAACGTTCTACAAGGTCACCCATACGAGCCTATGTTAGCTGTCAGCGGCATCGATCACACAATCAAGGTGTTCTCGCCGGATTCAAGGGCGCGAGAAGCTGCTAGGCTTGGACGCGGAGTAGAGGCGGTCGACAGCTCGACATTCTCGTCTATTTCCTGGATGAGACGAAGAAGACAGAACAGACAGGCTGGAGCCACTTCAGAGCCTGCAGTAGATGCAGGTGCTGAGGAGCGCAACGCAGCAGATGATGAAAACTACGTTGCACCCGGAGGACTGGCAAGTAGAAGAAGGATGCACCTCGAGTATCAAATCACCTCGCAGAATGATGTGGAACGACAAGGGGGGAACCAGGAAACTTTCATAACAGTAAGTAAAGTGGTTGCACCTGCCAAACATCGAGTGCTGACATGCGGCGACAGNAGAAGTATGCTGGCCTCGTTGGCTCAACATCTCAGAAGGCAAAGAGCCGAAGGAGGGGGGTGAGGGNNTGAGGATGGCGAAGGAGGAGCATTCCCTGGCGGCAGAGTTGTCGTTGGAGACGACTGTATTGTTCAATAAGAGGTCGGATAGCTGTAGAGATGTCCAGAGGTATACAGCAATACGACACACGATATTCAGAAAGAGATGAAGCAGGCAAGACAAAAGGGGTTGTGGTGAAGGTATCTACTTTTGAGTATCTCAGACTACTTTGCCTTTGCTTTCTGAGCCTTGAGAGCCTTTTGACGGTTGCTTTTGATCATGATCAGGGACAGGAAAGAGCCGACAACAGCACCTCCGACCAAGATGAGGATAACAGGGAGACGAATTGCCCAGACACGAGGGGGNNGGAAGAGCGACTGGGAGGGGTGCGACGAGTCGACGAATGNGCTGTGCGGGTAGAGCGTTAGAGGCTTGGAGAAGATAGAGATAGGCAATGGCGGAAAATGTACCATAACCAGCGTCCAGATGGTGTAGTAGAGAAAGACGGTGGTGGCTACGATGAGCATGCTTGCGCCGACGAGAGGACCGAGCTGATGAGAGTCGTGAGTAAAACTATCTTGTGGACAACAAACTATAGACGCATACCATTGTGATGTGTGATGAATGGAAAGTTTTGATCTCGAGTCAGAAACTGAAGGAGCACAAAGTGTGTATTGTTATTCAGGACGACAATATGATACTCCTATAACGTTGTAGACAGTTGGTCCGGGGTCAGCTCGGAGGTGCCAAGACGCATGTCGTCGGAGTTAGCTGCTGCTGCCTGCAAGAGTCAACTGTCTGACGCACTTTCTCGTGCTTGCTTCTCATCCTCCACTTTTCTCTCACACTCGACATGGCGACGGCGATGCAGTCGGCAGTGCGCTTGCCTTCACCCGAGGCCGCCGACGGCCAGTCGCATGCTTCTGGTCGCAAGCGTTCGCCGTCATCGCGTTCTCCCTCACCCGAAAGACGCCCTCCAACTCTGCGCACACGCTCTGTCGACCCAGATACAAACGATGCTCCTTCGCCTCCGCGCCATCGCTCACGCTCGCGCTCACCGCTGCCCCATCGAAGCGGTCCTCTGCCTCGTGATGTCGACCGTCAGAGAGCACTCGAGCGCCAAAGACAGGCCGAATCGCGCCGTCGAGAAGAAGTCCAGCAGGACAAGCCTCTGTCAGCCGCTGAGAAGCAGGCCGCAGCAAAGGCCGAATACGAGCGCCTGCTCACCATGCGCTCGGGAGGAACCTACGTACCGCCAGCCAAGTTGCGCGCCCTACAGGCTGAAATCGGAAATGATCCATCTTCAAAAGAATTCCAGCGCATGGCTTGGGAGGCCCTTAAGAAGTCTATCAACGGTCTGATAAACAAGGTCAACGTCTCCAACATCAAATACATTGTCCCCGAGTTGTTTGGTGAGAACCTCATCCGCGGCCGTGGTCTTTTCTGTCGAAGCATCATGAAGGCTCAGGCTGCAAGTTTGCCGTTTACTCCGATTTACGCCGCCATGGTCTCCATCGTAAATACAAAGCTTCCTCAAGTTGGCGAGTTGCTGGTCAACCGCCTGATCGTGCAGTTCCGCAAGGCCTTCAAGCGCAACGACAAGGCCGTTTGCTTGAGCAGCACCACTTTCCTGGCCCACCTAATCAACCAGCAGGTCGCTCACGAGATGCTTGCCGCCCAGATTCTGTTGCTTTTACTGAACAAACCCACTGACGACAGTGTTGAGATTGCAGTGGGGTTGATGAGAGAAGTTGGCCAACACATCGAGGAGTTCAACTCACAAATCGCTATGGCCGTCTATGACCAGTTCCGCAGTATTTTGCACGAAGCCGACATCGACAAGCGAACACAGTACATGGTCGAAGTCCTATTCCAAGTCAGAAAGGACCGCTACAAGGACAACCCATCAGTCAAGGAAGAGCTGGATCTCGTTGAAGAGGAGGATCAAATCACCCACAACACTGGCTTGGACGATCAGATTGAGGTTCAGGATGGTCTCAACGTTTTCAAATTCGACGCGGACTGGGAAGCGAACGAAGAGGCTTACAAGAAGCTCAGGGCTGAAATTCTGGGAGAAGCCGACGGAAGCGATGAAGATGATGAGGACGACTCGGATGCCAGCAGCAGCGAGGACGAAGATGACGAAGCGGATAAACAGATCGAGATCAAGGATCAGTCCAACACTGACCTGGTCAACTTGCGCCGTACAATCTACCTCACCATTATGTCTTCTGGTGGCTTCGAGGAATGTACTCACAAGTTACTGCGCATCAACTTGCCACCCGGACTGGAACACGAACTACCCTCGATGATCGTCGAGTGTTGCTCCCAGGAACGCACATATAACAAATTCTTTGGCATGATCGGTGAGCGTCTCTGCAAAATCAACCGTATGTGGAATGAGCTCTTTGAAGCCTCGTTCGTCAAGTACTACGATACGATTCATCGTCTGGAAACTAACCGTCTGCGCATTGTCGCCCAATTCTTCGGTTACCTCCTGTCTTCAGATGCTATCGGCTGGCATGTTATTAGTGCTATTCATCTGAACGAAGATGAGACCACATCATCTTCGCGTATCTTCATCAAGATCTTGATCGAGGAGCTGGCTTCGAACGTCGGAATGAAGATATTGTCGGAGAGAATGAAGGACGATGCTCTACAGCCTGCACTGGCCGGTATATTCCCTACTGACAACCCTCGCAACACTCGTTTCAGCATCAACTTCTTCACTGCTATTGGTATGGGTGTGTTGACCGAGGGTATGAGAGAATACCTCAAGAACATGCCCAAGCCAACACTACCTGCTCTACCCGTTAGAGCTGCTAGTCGAAGTNNGCCAGTGTGTCCAGTTACTCGAGCTACTCAAGCTACTCGAGCCGTTCTCGCTCCCCATCCCGCACAAAGGGCCGAGCACGTAGCGACTCACGTTCAGCCACGCCGCCAAGGCGCTCTGTCCGGAATAGGTCCTACTCGTACTCTAGGTCGCCATCCCGATCGAGGTCTCCCCGTCCAAGACGCCGATCTCCCTCTGCTTCTATCTCGCATTCGAGAACACCTGAGCGCAGGAGAAGATACACATCCTCCATCTCTCGCTCTCGCTCTCGTTCTCCACCTCCGAGACGTGGCAAGGCTCGTCAAGAATCTCGTTCGCCCTCATATTCTCGCTCGCGCTCGCCTCCTACCAGAGGAGCTGCGGGAGAACGAAGCTACTCCCGCTCAGGTTCACCTCCTGCTCGTAGAGCTCCGGCACGAGACAGAAGCTATACTCGCTCACCAACACCACCTCGTAGACGCCGCGACAGTTATTCTCGATCGCCGGCCCGCTCTGTCTCTCGTTCGGGCTCTCCACCACCTAGAAGAACAGGCGCAGGACGTAGACGCTCTCCATCCAGATCTCCCTCTCGTTCTCCTCCGAGACGAACAAGATCTCCAGTCAGAAACCAACGTCGCGTACGTCGTAACACATCGTCGCCAGAAACATCCCGATCTAGATCGTCCCCTCGCCGTGCTCGACGAGCTAGCAATGCTTCTGCTCGCGGCCCTAAATCCTCGGCTCCGAGCGCCGAGATGGACCTTAGCGACATCCATCCCAGCCGTAGGGGTCTGCTAGGTGCAGGCGGAAGGGCAAGGCCCACTGCTGGCGATCTCATCTAAGTAAATAGCAATACCCACTATCAAAAAGTAGATCAGATTAGTCACGATTATCAATTATACCATCAGTAGGACGGATGATTTTCTTCTCCGTGACAACAGTTCAATAGAAACACGATGAAATCAAGTGTAACACAAGTCGATTGATGAAAAGTTGGACGGAAGATTGCCAAATCTCGAATGATTTTCATTGCTTTACCGCCCATGCGGGTGAGAGTCTAGAGAAGCAAGCGCATCTATGCAGTCTGTGAGCGTTCCCTCGTGTGACTATCTCATGCCTGTCGTGCATCGAGAAGCAGGCGCGAAAGCAGGCCAAGGTCACTGTTGCCGGTCGGGACTCGTCAACTACTTCTTCTTATGGTACATCGAGTAGGTATTCATCTTCTCTCTTGTGATTCTCGTATTTCACTCAGGACACGCCAGCTCATGAGACCGAGGGAACTCGGATTCAATAACTCCACCCTGTCATTGAAGATCGAAATGATTCAAAAGTCAGGCATACCATGCCAAAGAACAAGATGTGCTGAACCAGGAAGATCGTAGCAACACCAAGCCACCATCGGACAATTTTTCTTGGTCTCCAAGGTTTTGCATTGTGTTTGGTGTTGCGGCTCCCCAAATCCTGCTGTATGCAATTATCGCGTTGGGCGGCTACCAGATATGCAAGGATGCCTTTCGCTCGCCATAATGATCTTCGAGGGTTTCATGCATCAGAAGGATCGGACAAGCGAAATATCGAGTAGATTAAAAGTGTTTGTTGATATGGATCGAGTATGCCGGGATAAAGATGCGAGCATTGGGCTTTGAGCATCAACCCTCAGTTCGTATTCTCGGCCCACCCCTTTCAAGAGATCGACTTTGCTGCGGACCCGCTGAGTCTCCCTTTGACAAAAGTCAACCATTGTCGACCGAGGGGAACGACAAGGCTGAATCTGACTCGACTCTGTAGAAAGAACGACAGAGCTGGCGATTTGAGTTTAGGGATCGTCGAGGAGAAGGTTTTGGTTCCTGCAGCAGAGAGTCTCTGCTTGACGGGACTTGGCGTTTCAGAGTCCCGCTTTCCCACTTCAACCCCTTGTCATCAAAGGACTTCATCTATCCCCTACATACGAACAGGTCTGATGCCAGCCCTCTTCTCTCCACAACATGCAGTCAAGTAGCCGAAGCCCGGTGACTTGCGTGCTCTGATCCACGTCTGGGCTCTGAGCCCTAGCGCCGGCGCCACATGGATGTCTGCCTTCTGAAACGCGGCAGTACTATACCATATTGATGACTCCACTACACTAAGGCAGGGGCTCCGCTAGAACGTTTATCCTCATGAGTCGGTGCTGGTCCAAACATCGTATCCACGGCTGGCTCACCCAAGTATAAGAACCATGTCTCCCAAACACTCTTTGCCTTCTTCTCTCTTCAAGCTATCGCCTTCGACGTTCTTTGCAGTGCAAACTTTTGGTCTCGTACCACCCACACTCTTTCTTCACCGTATCATTCTGCATTGATTGCAGCTGGGATACTTTCATTCTTTACATTTGACACTTCAACCTCATCCGCACTTTCGCAACCAAAAAGCAAACTAGCAATCTCTTCGAGAAAAACTTATCAAATCAACCAAGATGTCTTTCAAGATCGCAGCCGCTGCCGCCTTGGCTACCCTCGCCTCTACCGTCTCTGCTCACGGCCATTTGCAGAGCATTGGTGCCTCCGGTACTGTTTACGGTGGCTTCAACAACTCTATCCTGTACTCGAACACCAAGCCTGAGCTCATTGCCTGGTCCGACACCGTCAAGGACAACGGCTATGTCTCCGACTACTCCAGCCCTGACATGATCTGCCACGCTGGTGCCGAGAACGCTAAGCTCTCTGCCCCCGTCAACGGTGGTGACACCGTCACTTTCAACTGGGACACCTGGCCGACCTCCCACAAGGGCCCTCTCATCACTTACCTTGCTAACTGCAACGGTGACTGTGCTACCGCTGACAAGACTGGTCTCAAGTGGTTCAAGATCGACGCCGTCGGTATCATTTCTGGAGACAGCAACACTGGTACCTGGGCTTCCGACAAGCTGATTTCTGACGGTTACAAGTGGGACGTCAAGATCCCTGACAGCATTGCTTCTGGCAACTACGCTGTTCGTCACGAGATCATTGCCCTCCACAGTGCCAACAACGTTGGTGGTGCCCAGAACTACCCTCAGTGCATCAACCTCGAGATCAAGAGCTCTGGTTCTGACAACCCCAAGGGTGTTGTTGGTACCGAGCTGTACACCGCCCAGGACAAGGGTATCTACGTCAACATCTACTACCCCGGCTTCGCTGCTGATGAGTACGACATGCCCGGCCCTGCTCTCTACACTGCTGGCTCTGGCTCTGGCTCTGCTCCCGCCTCGTCTGCTGCCGCTTCTTCTGCCCCTGCCTCTTCGGCTGCTCAGGCTACTTCCGCTGCTTCGACTTCTCAGGCTACTTACGCTGCCTCATCTGCCCAGACCACTTACGCTGCTTCGTCCGCTAAGGCTACCTACTCTGCCTCTTCGTCCACCGCTGCTCCTATCACTACCCAGGCTGCCGTTGTCTCATCTGCTGCCTCGGGTGGTGACGATTACGTTGTCACCGCTTACGAGACTGATGTTGTTACCCAGTCCACTGCCGTGACCGTGACCGCCGGAGCTTCCGCTACTGGCGCCCCTGCCGCCCCTGCAGTCTCTGATCTTGCTTCTGCCGTTCCCTCGCAGATGCTGACCAGCACCATCTCTGCCGGTATCCCTACTGGCACCGCATCCGCTGGTGTTGCCAAGCCCACCAAGGCTCTCCCTGAGGGCACCACCCTTGAGGACCTCCTCTCATGGGTTGAGTACCTCTTCGCTGAGAACTCTGCTAAGGCTGCCACCAAGCACCGCCGTCACGCTCGTGCCTTCCACTTCTAAGTGGTTTGCACACTTTGACGAGTATGTTGATGATCGGAGTACCGGGCTATGATTTTGTTCGGCTTCTTTACCTCTTTTTTTTCTCTTCTTGATTGCTAAACTTTTTGTACATTTTTCCCCTTTGGGAAGATGCGAGTGGTTGTTGGATGATACCCGCACTGCAAAGTTTCTGTCCCCTTTTATAGAAGATCAATGAATTCGGAGCTTGATTTGGTGGTTGCTGGCTTGCCGGAACTACTGCATACACAAACTTCTGTGCCACTGTATTCGTATCGTGTTGGTCTGCTTGAATGTGCCACTGTCGAACTTCAACAAAGAATTCTGCTATCATGATAACTTCGATCGTTATCTCAGAACTATTGTCCTTAACAACACATGCTAGCCGTCAGAGACTTGCACGCGAGTCGCTGGACAGAGCCGACTATGTCAGGGGTCGTTGACTGAGGGGTCCTCGGGAGAGGTGCGGACCGAGACGAGCAAACTAGCGGGGAGGGCAGAAAGAAGCATCGCTTCGGGAAAGAACATCTTCATCTCTTGATAGCAAGGAGAACACGCAAACACCTCATTGAGCAATTTCCTGCATCGCTCGAACGACTACCGGAATGCTGCAGGTTTGGTTATCGGCACGATGCAAGCATTCGTAATCATTGTTCTTTCTCCAAAAGACGCGCGCGGTTCTAGAGTAGGGCAAGTGATGAATGCAATGAAAGCAGGATATGGTCGCATCGAACGGACTTGGCAGCAGCATCCGCCAAGGCGTGAGCAATTAAGATACCCAATATAGAGTGAATGATTGTCACCCTTAGGCATCTGAATAGAAGGAGAACCCGAGAAATGTGAGCTAGCAAGATGAACAGCACATAGGCAGGCCTTGGCAGATGTCGGGACAAAGCAAACAGGAGAGGGGCATGTGGTAATCACTGCTGATTGATTGAGTACCTATATAAGGCTGGTGGGGGTGAGTTGCGTTGTTTACTTCTATACACTCACTCTTCACTTTTGCATCCATCTCTGCCAATTCCAAGCTCATATAGGGAAGATCATCTTCTCTTGCACGCCTTCCACTTTCTCAACCCTCACACAACAGGGATCGCCAAGATGTCTTTCTTCAAGAAACTCAAGAGCGAGTTCGAGGATATGTTCGGTGATGATGACAAGAAAAGGGAAGAAAAGCCTTCGCAGCCTACTCAAGATGCAAAGCCCGCCGAGAGCAGTAAGTTATTGGGTCTTACCCGTTAGACACACTTACCAATCGTTGACCTTGCCTTGCACAGAGCCNNCGAGCAGACACGCGATGTCAACCAGCCTCAGTACTCTTCGCCCGCTCCTCCGGACTCGTATGCTCAGCATCAGCAGCAGTCTTATCCTCCACAGCAGCAGTATCCTCCCGAGCACCAGCAGCCTTATGGACAGCCCAGTCCTAGCCGTTACGGTCAGCCTAGTCCTGCTCCATATGGGCAGCAACCTCCACCTTCGGGACCTCCACCTCCCCAGGCTGGAGGCCAGCTTCCACCTGGTTGGGTCCAGCAGTTCGATCAACAGAGTCAGCGCTTCTTCTACGTGAATCAGGCTACTGGTCAGACTCAGTGGGAGATGCCTCAGCACCCCGTACCTCAACACCAGTACTCGTCGNNCCTCCCCCCTCCCACTGGTGGAGCTTATGGTGGTTACCAGCCTCCTCCAGCACAAGGCCAGTACGGTCAGCCAAGCCCCGCTCCTTATGGACAAGGTCCCCCTCCTCCTGGCCAGTATGGTTCAGCTCCTCCCCAGGGTGATCAGTCCCGTGGCCAGGCAAGCTCGTTCTATGACAGCTACGGCGGTGCCATGCCTTCTGTTCCACCTCAGGGCCAACATGACACCCGTGCCAACCAGTACTATGGCGATGTTGAGAACAAGGGCAAGGACAAGGAAAAGGACAAGAAGAAGAGCAGCGGTCATGGCGCTGCCATTGCTGGAGCGGCAGGTGGTCTCGCTGTAGGCGCTATTGGTGGCGCGCTGCTCGCTGATGCTCTGGGTAAGTGCTCAAGTCCTGTCGGAAACTTACATTGATTCACACTGACTTTGGAAATTGTAGACGACTCGGACGACGAGAAGAAGCCAGCCGCTGCTGCTCCCGCTGCTCCCAGCTACGCACCCGCCCCTACCAACTATGCTCCTGCTCCCGACCCATCGTATAGAGGCTACGGTGCTTCTTCTCAAGACCCTTACGGCTATAGCGCTCCTGCCCCTGTCGCACAGCCATCTGGTTATGGCGGATCTGCCTACGAGCCAGGTCTGTACGATGACGCACCTCTGCCAGATGAGACACGTTCGGGATCGTCTGTATCGAGTAGCGACCGCGAGAGTCTTGAGGAGAAGCGTGAGGAATTGCGCAAGATGCAGGAAGAGTATGAGGAAGAGTACGCTGAGACCTACGATGACTAGACGATCTGTAGCAGCCACGGTCAAGTTCCGATGAGGGGGTTCTGATCTTATCGGCCGACCTCCGAAGGGGAGTCTGTGTAACTCCGACTTTTGCTTCGTTGACCAACAAGGAAAGTGGTCTTGTGAGCGACAGTACCCATACGTTCGATAGATCATAAGAATCAGAGATAACACACAGTTGATACCTTCTCTTTTCTTCCACATTTTGCTGTTATCGCGTCTGGTCAGGCAAGTTTCTCTGTAGACCGATTCCACGGCATGTCTTCGAGGATCCCGACCGGACAACAGCCAGCCAAGCCGTCATCAGCGGCCAAAGCAAACGGCAAATCAGTGCCGATCTGAACATATCATCCATCTTTTCGCATCAAAGTATCTTCTCGCGCAATATTTCGACATGCTGTACTAGACGACGCGACTTTCTGAGCAATCACTAGGGCAAAAATCTCAACCTATTCAAAATCTATCGTGTCATCATGATCCACCGACCTTATCACTCTGAGTCCCACATCTTATCACGAACATCCACACTACGAGTATATCCCACCACTCAAATTCTGACTCAACACCCGGCGACGTACATCGCCCTCGCATAACCTTAATTCCATTCTTACCTTGAAATCCTGAGGAAACCAGCAGTTACGGTTCGCATTGAGAATGGCGAAAGAAACCAAAGACCTGGAAGCCGCCATCCATGACCAAACAAATCTGGTCCCGTTGAAGGAACGATTGACGATATTTTTCACCCTCGCGTTCTGCATGTTCCTATGCTATGTCGACCAGAATGGAATCACTGTGCTTTTGCCCAGTATCGCGAGGGATCTTAACGCTGCAGATACTATCGCCTGGGCTGGCACGTCGGCCCTGATCGCCAATACTGTATTTCAGGTCCTCTATGGTCGCCTATCTGACCTCTTCGGTCGCAAAAAAATCTTCGTTGGATGTGTCATAGTATTGGCTGCTGCCGACTTGGTATGTGGCCTCACGCCCAACGCAGACGTCCTATATGTGTTTCGCGGAATATCTGGTGTTGCCAACGGTGGCATCGTCGCTCTGGTCAACATGATAATGTCCGATGTTGTGACTCTGCAACAAAGAGGCAAATACCAAGGTATCATTGGGTCCTTCATTGGCCTTGGCAATGCTGCAGGNCCCTTGATTGCCGCTGCCTTTACTCAGCATTCAACTTGGCGAGGTCTCTTCTACCTCAACGCACCTTTGTGTTGTGTAGCTGCGTGCCTTGCTGCATGGACCTTGCCACAGAGCATGCCTAAAGTCAACTTCAGGGAAACCATCGCCAAGATTGACTGGATTGGTCTGTTCTTCAGCACCGTTGCCATTATTCTTATACTAATCGCCATATCTGATGGTGGCCACGGTACACCCTGGGATTCGGCTGAAACCATATCAATGCTGGTCATTGGCGGAGTCTGTGCCATAGCCTTCGTCATTGTTGAGTGGAAGTTTGCAAAACTGCCAATGATGCCACTGGAGATGTGGAAAAACAAGTCTGTCGCATGCATGCTGGTTCAGTCGTTCTTACTCGGCATGAATTACTACTCCCTGATATACTATCTGCCGTTGTATTACCAAAACGTTGGCGGATACGATGTCATGCGATCTGCGGTTCTCATCCTCCCTCTGGTCTTTGTGCAAGCAACATTCTCCGCACTGGGTGGACAGTATATGTCGTTCATCGGCCACTACATCGAGGTCATATTCGTGGGCTTCCTGGTCTGGACTCTTGGTTCAGGCTTGCTCGTCTCTCTCGATGCCACTTCTCCCGTCGGCCATATTTGCGGCTTTATTATTATGGTTGGCTTTGGCTGCGGCTGTACATTCCAGACCACCAATACCGCGATGCAAGCACACTGCCCCAAATCACAACGCGCAGTCGTCATCTCAAACCGAATGCTGTTGCGTCAACTTGGCGGTGCTGTCGGTCTTGCCATTTGCTCGGCTATCTCTGGCAACGTGCTTAAATCAAGTCTGCCGCCCCATCTTCAATATATTGCTGACTCGACATTTGCTGTGCCTCCGCTGAATACCCTCAGCGCTGCCGATCGAGCTAGCATCAGCAATGCGTATGCGGATGCCAGCCGAACCGTGTTCATCTTCTGCGTAGCAGTCATCGGCATAGCGCTATTACTAACCTTCTTGGTCACCGACAAGGGGCTCAAAAGAGAAGAAGACGTCGTCGAAGAAAAAGTGCGCGAGGCAGAAATGGGACATACAGATGACGATCTGGAGAATGAGACCGACACCGAAAAGAAACCTAGTATCACAAGACAATTTATTGCATGGAGGGATTCGTTGGTAAAGGACGAGAAGAATGCTGGTGGCACCAAGAGTCCACCTGTGGAACTACAGACACAGGCTAGGGAAAGAACCACTGCAGCCACGATGTCGAAAAGGACGTTAGATTCCAAATAGATGATTACCAAATAGACTATGTCTGCAATGACCAAAATAATGTCTTCCCAAACCTTTCTCTGGTTTACTCCAAAGTTGCTCCATACCTTCCTTGCCAACTCGGGTTCCTGGTCAATACACATTCTCAGACGTCGTAAGCCTTGTAAGGACCCTTGTTGAGACTCCATCCATCAACTTTGTCAATCTTTAGATCTTCCAAGGTAATGTTGTCCATGGTTCTGACATTGATCGGTCTCACCGGCATCTTGTAGATATGGTGGAGATCAACTCTATTGACAACATCTACACCACAAACGCCGCAGAAACCATGATAGGCCCTTTGAGGACCAAAGAGGTAGTCTGTCAGCTTATCCTCTGTGCCCAAAAGGTTGACAGAGGCAATGGGTGGATATATCCACATATCTGCATNTCTTTACGTTTGACGTGTTAGAAAATAGTAAGAAAGACTGGAAGAGGGAAAGAGGGGAACAGAACGTACGCGAGAGCAGAAACTGCAGTTGCAGGTGCGGACTTCTTTGATTTCTTCAGACACGACGGTGTATTTTATGGCTTGGCAGTGGCAGCTTCCTGTATATAGCTTTTGCCCTTCTGGTACCTCTGGCTTTTGGTCGTCGGGCAGGACGAAGGGTTGGTAGATTGGTTCGACTTTGGCTCGATCGGTTGTGCTGATCTCTAGGCTGTCGACATCTACCGAGCCATGCTTGAAGGTATTTANTCTGGCTGTGTCAGAGGGTAACAACGACAATAGGATATTTTGCTGTCTTACATTGATAGCGAGGAAGTTGAGCTTTTCGGCTTCGACCAGGACGCCAGAACCGCAAATCGGACAGAACTATATATATTAAGCAATTGAATCCTGCAAAGCATTCATGTCAAAGGGTCTTACCTTGTGCTCGGCAACCCCATTTCCAAAAGAATAGGTCTTCAGTACACCCTCGCCGGCTTCGACCTTGAAGTCAGAAGGCTTCTCGGGAACAGCAAAAGATATCCTTTCTTGACTTCACATTAGAGAAGCGAACGCAGAGAAGAGGTACATATGAATCGCTCTTACTCTGCTGCAAATACTGCAGTTGCATCTCGCGGCCTTCTTGATCGGTGCAAGTGCAACGGAGAACTTGAAGGCGCCGCAATGGCAGTTTCCATAGTATGTTTGTTTTTCTCCACTGTCTGCCATTTTCGACTGTATTGCTATCACAAAAATGGTTCTGGAATCAGTTCGATCTATACAAGTGCAATCGCGGAGACGGCGCTCTCTATCTATCCGTGGTGCTCACGGCAGGTCCGAAAGCTGAGGTAAGCTGTTCGCAGCACCTGACTAAACAAGCAAATGTGGCGCATCCTGATTCCTTCGCTCCTGCAACCGGCCGAACAGCTCGAAGGATCAACGGGTTGCTGCTTCATATGCTCACGAAGCTGAAGTATAAATGGAAAAGACACGATGGCACGAGGTTTGGCAATAATCGCGTTTCTCTTATATTGTAAGCATATTATGCTTGTCAACAGCTATACAATACCACGAATGAAATATGGGCTCAAGTGTCTGCACATGAAACCCGAGATAGCGTCTATCTTAATCCTCGAACTTCAGCAACGCAATATGTGCACCTGCGTTTACAGTTTCGCCAGGAGCAACCAGCAACCTCTCGACACTTGCAGCTTTCTGATCTGCAGGAGCATTCACTGCAATTTCCAACTTCGTTGCCTCGAGAATGGCTATGTTTTGTTTCGGGCTGATGGTCTGCTTCTCCTCCACCATGATTTTCCAGACGTTCGCAGCGACAGGTGAGTCTATGGTTGTGTACTTGGGATCNNTGTTTTCTGTCAGCTCGTTGCGTCATGAATCAAGAGGTTCAAAATACTCACCAGCCAGCATGGACTCAATTGTGCTGTCGTCGACTTTGTTCTTCGCCTTCTCCTCTCGCCATTTGGCCAAGCTCTCATTCTCTGCTTTCGTCATCTCGGCTTGAGCGATTGCTTGTTCGGCACGAACGCGCTCGACTTCCTTGGCCGTGTCCGCCAACAACTTGTTGTGTTCGGCCATGTCAAACTCGATATCCTCCCATTCGAATTTGTATCTCCCACTGCGGAAGTCTGCAAGCAATGTATCTAGCTCTTCNNCCTCACTGACTTGATAGTAAGTTAAGATATCGAAGTCTTGGAACAGATAGGGACGTGAAGGAGAGAAACCGTTCTTCCAACCGAGTGCATCGAAGATGGGAATTGTGCGACCAGTCATTTGGTAGCCACCTGGACTATCGACGGGATAGATTGACATGCAGGATCCGCCCCAGCTGACGGTGCCTTCTGGTGTGAACACTCGACTAGGGTTTGCTTTGGGACAGGACATTCGCTGACGAGGATCGACTGGTAAGGATACCGTGTTACCTGCATAGAAACCCACCACGACAGCCATGAATTGGCCAGTGAGAAAGATGTCTCTTAGTTGGTCTGATGTGAAAGCGTTGTTCTTGGCGACGAAATCGAAATTGCTAGGAAGGTACGGCGCATGTGGTCGCTGCGTTTCCATGTATCTCTTCGTTGCTTCCTCTTGCGTTTTCGATTCGAACGAAAGTGGGAGGCGAAATTTTCGGCAAGGTACTTTGACGGAGCTAAGATCACCCAACTCGTCNNCCTCCAGATTTTGGAGATGTGCTACCAACTTCTGTCTTTCGATCTTCAGACCATTGTAGAAGAGTGTGACACTCGTACAGCAGGATACCGTGTTGTTCAGCCACTCGGAGTTTGACGATCGAATGGCTTTTTCAAGCGCTGTCGTTCTGCAGCGATGGTTCAAGTCGAATTCTTCGTTGCCATACTCGACAATAATATGGTCGTCACCACCTTGGCGGTACCTGACCTGAGGTTGGTGACCTTGCTGAGACCTCTCCCAGATAACAGCTTTGCCGAAGTTGCCTGAAGGACTGAAGGTAGAGCTAAGAGGCTTGATGTTTTCGAAGCCGTTAGAGTTTTTCACAACATTCTCGATTGATGCAAGGAACTGGTCATTCTGCTTCCGCAGCGACAGTGCTTCTTCCAAGGACACCCTTTTGTACTTTAAAGTGTCTCCTGACTTCAGCTGGCCCAGTTTCCACCATTCCGCTCGAATGACGGTCGTGCTGGAGACAAAGCCACCAAAGTTCGGACAGTCTACTGGGAAGAGACATGGGTCATCTCCCGTCCAGTTCAACGCACCGATAGGATATCCGTACTCGACCAAATTTGAAGGATGAGCGCCACCCTCGCCGCCGTCCTTACGGGCCCACTTGGGTACAGGTCCAACCAATCTGATAGCACTGCGACTGGCGTTGTGTGAGACTTTCCAGGTGGTCGTGTATATCATATCGATGTCCTCGGGAAGGAGGTATCCAACGTCGTGTGGCCCTACCATGGCCATAATCTCCCACTCACTGGTGTAGACAGGCACGAGGTTTTCTGGTAAGCTGACACTCGAACTCGAGATAGATTCAGGAATATCATCGACGATAGCAAGTAGGTCTCCAGGCGCGAGCTGACGTCCTTGATAACCACCAATCGCCACAATCGGAGAGGTCGACTTCGATCCAAAGTACTTGGCCACCGTAGGGAAGCCTCCATATACTGCAAGATAAGCCCTACAACCAGAGCCTGTTGTCTTCCCGATTTTGAGTTTTTGTCCTGCTTTGATGTGGTATCGCTGCCACATCGAGAATGGTTGTCCATCCAGTTCAGCATCCATCGGAGCACCCGTCAAGGCGACCACTGCCGGACGTACGAAATGTAATTCTGGACCGCTTAAGGTTATCTCCAGAGCTTCCGTAGTTGTGTTGTTTCCAGCAAGGATGTTCGCAAGTGAGAAAGCAATCGAATCCATCGCACCAGAATGAGGAATTCCTTTGCCTACGTTTGGCCTGGCGGGAAGATCTTGTATGAGGGTGTAGGCACCTGCTGATATGACATCAATGGCAGCGGGACGGAAGTCGAACGTGTCCAAAAAGTTCGTCAATGTGTTTCCAGCCTTGAACCTATCGTCACGTACGATTTCCTCGAGGAAGTCGAGATTGGTCGGAGGACCACAGATCTTAGATGAAGAAAGAAGTCCTTGCATGCCTTCGACAGCCTCGTTTCTGGATGGGCCGTGGAACATGACTTTGGCTATCAACGGATCGTAGTTCGGTGTGATTGTAGCTCCTGTGAATACCCAGGTATCAATGCGTATCCGGTCGTTCTGTTGTTCTGGCCAAGACACAGACTGCAGAAGACCAGGAGAAGGTGCAAAGTCACGCAGTGGGTTTTCCGCGTAGACTCTAGCTTCAATAGCGGAGCCCTTTGGCGACGAGGGCTGCATCTGCTTCAAGCGTTCTGCTTCTAGTCCACCATGACCCTTGAGTTGAGCGTCAGCCTGTTGGAGCATGAGCTCTACCAGATCAACACCATAGCAGAGTTCGGTGATGCCATGCTCCACCTGTAGTCTAGTGTTCATCTCCAAGAAGAAGTAGTCTCCAGATTCGTCATCGACTAGGTACTCCACGGTGCCAGCAGAGCCATATTTGATCGATTCTGCAAGACTGACGGCCGCATTGCCTAGCTTCTCTCTCAAACCAGAATGTTTCTCGACAAACGGGCTGGGACATTCTTCGATGACTTTCTGGTGACGACGCTGGATGGAACACTCTCTTTCGCCGAAGTGAATCGCTGACCCTTGGCCGTTACCAAAAACCTGAACTTCAATGTGTCGAGAGGCTGCATAGTACTTCTCGATGAACAAGCCAGAGTTTTTGAAAAGCGTCTTGCCTCGAGACTGCACTTTATCGAAGCCGGAGCGAACTTCGTCGACATTGTAACAGGTCACCAGACCCATACCACCGCCACCGCCCGTGGCCTTCAACATCACGGGAAACCCGAGCTTTTCAGATGCTTGGACAGCGTCTTCAGCACTCTCCACAAGACCTTTGGTGCCAGGTACGATTGGCACACCAGCATTCTCAGCCAGATCTCGTGCTACGTGCTTGACGCCGAATGCTTCGATTGCTTCTGGACTTGGACCTACCCAGGCAATCCCAGCATCTGCGACCTGTCTAGCAAACTCGGCATTCTCAGACAGAAAGCCATATCCGGGGATAATTGCATCGACGCCTTTCTGCTTTGCTATAGTGATGATGTTCTCGCCATCAGTGTATACGCTTGAGTCATTGCCAGAGAGCAAAACAGCCTCATCGGCGGCCGTGACGTGAGCTGAAGCTGCGTCTGCTGCCGAGTAGATTGAGATGGTACGGATACCGAGAGCTTTCGCTGTCCTAGTGATGCGGANCCTAGAAGAGGTGTTCACGTTAGGTAATAGCTCTATGTCTCCTCGCCAAGCCTGGTGGGATGGTGGGGATAGATAAAGTGGACATACGGCAATTTCACCTCTATTAGCAATAAGTAATGTCTTGAGTTTCTCCATATTGTTGTATCTCAGAAAACAGCCATATCGGCACTCGAGATGACCAACCACTTATATAGTCCTCAGGGTCGTTTCCTTGTCGCCGGCTGGGTAGATGCGGCTGACTGATGAGGGGTCTTCGGGGTTGGGGTAAGTGTCGATCAATGATAACACTCCAAGTCAACTCCACCTCGCTAAGGCCATGATGACCTGCGCATGAATAATGAAAGACAAAAGAGAAGGTCGTGCCATCCATCCTTCCACTCATCCGATCAACGCTTTGACTTGACCAACCACCCTCAATCCTCGATCACTCCTCCTTACAAGCAACACAAAACAACATGCCTCCAGTCAGCAAGAAAGTACATATCAACGTCGACCTCGGCGAAGGATACGGCAACTTCAAATGCGGTCCGGACGAGGAACTGATTCCTCTCATCGATCACGCCAACATCGCCTGTGGATTCCATGCCGGCGACCCTTTGATCATGGCCAACACAGTCAAGCTATGCAAGCAGCACAACATCAAGATCGGAGCTCACCCTGGCCTCNNCCCTGATATCCAAGGCTTTGGCAGACGAGAGATTAAAATGTCACCTGAAGAACTGACTGCAATGGTCATCTACCAAGTGGGTGCCTTGAAGGCCTTTCTAGACGTCGAAGGAGTGCCTCTGCACCATGTCAAANNCCCTCACGGAGTACTCTATGGCATGATGTATAGAGATCGTGAAGTATGTCGAGCGGTCTACTCTGGTGTTCCCAAAGGCACACCTGTCTTTGGACTTGCAGGCACTCTTCATGAGGAAGTTGCAAAGGAGCTCGGCTTGCCATTTGTTGCCGAGCTGTACGGAGATGTGAAGTACTCAAAAGACGGCACGTTGGTGATCGACCGCAAGAAGAAGTAAGCTCGTGTTTGAAACATATCTTAGTATACTTAGCTAACACGGCGGATTTAGNNGGCATGGACGCAAGACGAGACAGCAGCGCATATAAAGTCCCAGCTGGAAAACTCGTCTGTTGTTGCTGTTACTGGCGAGGAGGTCAACCTACCAATCGGTGATCACGAGATTTCACTGTGTTGCCATTCTGACTCTCCCGGCGCTGTGAACATAGTGACAGCTGCCAGGAAGATGGTAGATGAGTTCAACAAGAAGCACCATAGTTAGGCGTAGGCACACACGGAAGGATGTGTAGAGTCAGCTGCTTTCGTGGGTTGCGCTTTAAAGTAACGATAGTGGCATACAGTATAGTACATTTCGTTGGTAACGTATGTGCAAGTTGTTTTCGTGTTTCTCGTGCTTGTGACCCTCAGGTCATATCAAGGAGTCATCGATATCGACCGCCTTCCAACAATTCATCAATCTGCCTCACAGCTGTCTTGACTCTTTCCCGCGTGTCAGCATCAACATCTTCTGCCAGAGCACGGATTTTCTCGTCTATGCCGAATGATGCTAAAATGCGAGCTCTAGCTTTGGCATCTTCTCTATCGGCGGCACTATCGACCCACGTCAAGTTGATAATGGCCCAGACAGACGCTACACGGATGCGACGGTCGGCGTGAGAGAAATGTGGCAGCCAGGCAGTCAACAATGGCGTCTGCGCTATTAATTGTTGGCGATGTTTGGATGATCCTCCAGCAACGTGTATGATGACACCCAGAGCAGCATTAATAAGTTCCGGTGGCTGCCACACAGTGTTTGATTGTTGCGATTCGGATGAATGGCTTTCCCTATGAGAGTGAAGCGGCGAGCTAGGTCGGAACAAGACAGGACGGAGTTTGTTGTGAAGCATTTCAAAGAGCCGATCTGCACCCAGAACACTGTTGAGGTGCTCGATCATGGCGACATTGTCATCGCCATTGATCAGATTCCTGATGAAATCCAGTGCTTGTTCTTGGACCAGCATATCGTCATGTTTTGCCTGGACCCCAGGATCATGTTCGTTCTTACGAAGCAAGCGCAGGTGCGCTTTGTAGTTAGTAGTATCCAACGTCGACCTTAGCCCACTGGATTGGTAGCGTGTACCGTTGTGGTCCATCAACACTTCACCATCCTCATCGTCGTCATCAGCATCATCATCTTCCTGCTCGGTCCAGTCCCTGTCGACCCCAGGTGTACTAGACGCGTTTAGCAGGTCAACTTGTTCGCCTGCAGCATTTATACTACCAAGAGCCACAGAGGTTCCTGGTTGAGATGTTCCATTTACTGCCTGTATGAGCCAACCTGTTCCTAGCTGTTCGAGACATTCAATCTTCAGGTCTTTGGGAGAGTTGAGAACAAGATGTTTCAATGCCCAAAGCGAGGCTTGGCGCAGCTTCGAATTAGATCGCTTCGCCTGCTCACACAGCACTGTGACGATGCCAGCGGTGACAAGATCCTGCGGACTCAGCATGTATCGACCAATAAGGGAACGAGCAGAAGTTCTTACCTGACGCATTGGACTGAATTCGAGGACCAGGTTGCAGACGACATTGGTAGCAGCGATCTGGACCTCGAGGTCTGGGAAAGCCAAGAGGTTGTATACAGGTTTTGTTATACCAGCATCGATAAGAGCTGTACGCAAGAGACTAACAGATCTCGACAAGGCTGTAGCAGCACGGCAGGCGGCGAGCAAAACTGGTACTGTGTTCCCATTCTTGGAAGGCAGTGTCGAGGAGTCAAAAACGCTGACAGGTACAAGCGAGTCAATAAAATTAGAGATGATGCCACTATCAATGACCGCCTTGCGATTGACATCTTCTTTCTCGGCAATAGCAGCGAGGGCCTCTAATGCACCTGCTCTACATCTCATAGCATGCATAACTTCTGGGGCAAGACCATCGGGTCCCAAGGTAGCGGACGGGGTTGGGGGCATTTGCGAGTCTAGAGCTTGGGGCTCTGCAGACCACATTGGTCGGGCAAGGGTAATAGGGTCAAATGACCTTTTGAACAGCTGCGAGACATGTTTGACGGCGCCAGCATCTAGCGCAGCTTGCTGAAGCTCGGTGCTGTTCTCAATGAGATGGGCTAGAACAGCACAAGCATCTTCTCTGATGACAGAGAGGCTCTGGCCAAAAGAAACATCTAGTGAGTCTTGAACAAGCTTGACAGCAATAGGGATCGCGAACAAAGCCATTTGTCTTTCTCTTTCTCTTGATCTGGTAAGCGTATCGTAACGAGGAGCGTCGACGTCAGCATCGAGTGCATCGTTGAGGATGGCCAGAAGTCGAAGAGCGGCTAGACGACACCGCGCATCTTGCTGCGAGCGAGCGAGATACATGAGCCAGACACAAAGAGGAGAGTCTACGGAGATGTTGGTGGGGGCGTGATCCGAGAAGAGTCTGGGGTTGTTCAAAGCATGATGGCCAAAGGCGAGGGATTTTTGCAAAGGAACCATGACTTTGGGGAGTAGAGTATCGACCGGAATAGAACTGCTGTGTCTAGAGTATCTATGATGGCTCGAGGCAGAGGCCTGAAGAGGATCCGAAGGAGTGGCGTCTGACGAATGGCTAAAGATGCGCCTCAGATCATCAGAGAAGATGAGACGATGGGCTCGGTAGGTCGAGTCGCGTACGATGGTTGAAATGGCGTTAAGAAGAGCGGTGACATCGAGTTTGTTATGGCTGGACTGGGGGCTTATGTTGTAGACGAGAGCAAAGCTGGCGAGGTTGGAAGCAAGGGCGTCTAGAATGCCGCAATGGACCAGAGTCGAGCGGAGCTGAAGGCAATGAGCATAACATGTCGCCAGCAGGGTCGACACCAAAGCAATATGTTGTTGTTCGGTTGAAGTAGGCAGTGGGTGACGAAGGATGTTCAGGAAAGAAGCGAGTGTTTGTTTGTTCAAGACGTGCGAGACAAATATTGGGTCAGGATTGGGCGAGAGGGTCCACGAGACGGCGAGAGCGTTCAGAGCGCGCAGAGAAGCAGTGACAAGGCTGGTCGAAGAAGGAGAGGAAGACGGAGAGAGATATAATGATATTGGCTGGACGAGATTGCTATGGAGGATGGGAGCAACAAAGGCAGCGCCTTCCTCGGCAAGGCTGGCGACGATCAAGGTTGTCTGCAGTTGAATGTCAAAGTCGGAAGAAGTGGCCAGAGTGTGGGCCAGGCAGTCAAGCAGGCCATGACGGACAACAAGCTTCTTGCGCTGGCCATGGCCGACAATGTCGTTCTTGATGGTGCGCAAGAGCGGCAATCGCTGGTCGGGCGAGAGTTGGGTCGACGTCTTGAGCTCGTGGAGAGCTGCCAGCGACGGAGGCTGTACCATGATTACAGAATGTCGAGGACCAGTGACCAGCACTCGGTGATCGATGATGGCTGACGGGACGAGTACGAGCGACGCGACTGGTGTTCCTGGCGTGCCTGGCTCTGTCCTGTTCGCGAGACTCGGCTAACGACTCCAGCATTTGGAGGATCGAGATGACGTGCGTGCCCGACGCCAAGTCTAAACTCTGAAGGCTCCTCCGGCTTCGCACCACTCGCACGTGGTGGCTCTCGGAGGCCTTCAGAGGTTGGCCTTCGTCGAAACACCGCAGACTAAACAAGACGTTTTGAAACATCCACACTCTTCGCGCAAAAGACTCTGCTCACGCCTGCCCAATTCGCTCGCCCGTCAAAAGACGCTCGTCGCCCTTCGCCCTCGTTCTTGCCTTTCGGCCTCTTCTCTGCCCTCCCGCACCCGCCCTCCTGCCTAATTATGCGCCACGCCCGCGCATCGTCGCAGTGCCTGCAAAACACAAACCAAGAACAAGTCCAACCACGTCCATAAACCATCGACCTTTCCGTAAATGTCGGCCTTGGCTTCTCACTCGCCCAGTGCCGCCTTCCACGCACGTTACTCGAGACCTTCACCCAAAAGTCCTGTCTCTAGACTTCCTTCCACCTCATCGCCCGCATTACAGCCCATTTCTTCTTATGCCCGCACCCCTGTGCAGAAACCCATGACAGTCGATGCTGCCACCCAGTATACTCCCGAAGGCTATCCTCCAACCGCAAACAAGCTCGCTGGCAGCAAGCGCAGAGGCTCATCTCCCTCTGCGCCATCATCAATCCCCGGTCAAGAGACGACTATCCCTGAACGCCCCGTCAACTCAGACACGACGACTTCATCAGCCCAACCCGTCCCCGACCCATCTCTATCCCCTTCGCTCACGAAAAGCCTCGCACTCAGCCCGATTCCAATGTCAAGATGGACTCCAACATCAAAATCATGCCTCTCCGATACGAGACATGCAATGTAAAGGACCTCGGTTACTTGATCAGTAATATGCTCATGGAACTTATTCGTCTCAACGACCCAATTCCCTTGACCGGCCGCCTGACCAGGTTTCATTCTAGGTATGTTCTCCAGTTGACATCAATTTTGGGACGCACGCTAACACGTTGTACNAGAGCCCCACCTGGTATTTCATGTCATGATTATCTGCAGCGTCTCATCCAGCACGCTACCCTCTCGCCACCAATCCTCCTCTCTGTCGTCTATTATATCGACCGCTTGTGCTCACTGTATCCCTCCTTCACCATCAGTTCCCTCACTGTCCATCGCTTCCTTATCACGGCTGCTACTGTTGCTGCAAAGGGTCTGAGTGATAGTTTCTGGACGAACCCTACTTACGCGAGAATTGGTGGTATTAGCGTCAGCGAACTTGCAACTCTAGAAATGGAGTTCTTGGANAAGGTTCAATGGCGCATCGTACCTAAGCCAGAGGTTCTGGTCGACTACTATGTCAGTCTTGTCCAGAGATGTGAAGGCTACCAACTTGAGGCTGCTGGCGAAGCAGACCCAACCTGAGCATTTCTTATCAAATGCCAGAGCTATCACTTCCTCAACACTCAGGCTTTTGCACTGTTCCTACCGGAATGGGAATGTGCCCCACGCCCAAGAGTGATCGAAGGCCATCTATACACGAATCCCGCAGGATCCCCCAGAAAGCGTTGGGGACCGGCAAACCGTGCCGCATGTCATCAGGGCATGGATTCTCACTATCGCAAAATGGGAATAAGACCTCAATGTCACTACCAATATTGGCAGTGCCGAATGTCACTGCACATAACCCGCCAACAGCATGATACGAGCTCACACCCACTTTTTCGATCCTGCAATTAGGAGCCGCATGAATTTGCAAGCCACAAAGGCTCGTATATGTACACTGCGCCGCACGCAAATTAAGCCGCTTTAAAGCGGTAGGACCCTGTGCGGCCCAGAGATAGAACACTATACGCAAAACATAGACGATCGTCAGTCGTCTTCAGAATAAAAGTCAATCATTCATACAACCAAATCTTTGTGTCATGTAGACCAGTGCCATTTGAATGCTTAAAATAAGCCTTGTCTGATCTGGAAACTATCATTTGTTCGCTCACATCGTTTCCAAGTGTATATCTATGATATCGTACAAAGGGTGGGTATGCTGTGCATATTCCTTTCGGATACCCTTGGGGCATGCGATGCTAGTATAGCATGTCCTGCTTGTTGGCCCCAGCTGCCCATCTCGCATGGCTCCAAGTTTCCGCCCTGCAGATCTGTTGCGGGTGAGGTACGATCGGAAGCTTCGGCAGCAAGATATGATGCTTCGGCATACATGTGCCGCGTTCATCTTCTTTCCCCATCTGGGTGGGAGATAATGTCTGATTGCCCCGTCGTTCACTTTCTCTTGTTCAGTCCTGTCTTGGAGGCTTCTTGTGCAGATTCATGGCTGTGGCTGTGTCCGTCATCATGGCTATGTTCATGTTCGTGTTCGTGCTCGTGGACATGTTTCTGATCCTTAGCAGCAACGAATTCGTTTGCGAAAGCATCGGCAGTGTTGTCAGAGCTGGTGAAGCGGATGGAAACACGCTTGATGCCCTGAGCTGCCGAAGCCACTTTTTCACGAATGCTGTTTTCGGCTTGGGTCATTTGGTCCAGTGTCCAGGTTGATGGCACACGAACGGCAATCTCGATCAAGTAGTTCTGGCCACTCTTGATGCCCTGGACTTGAGGTGCGGACTCGGTAGGCAGTTTCAGATCTCCCAGGGCTTGTGATGCGGCGCTTTCGATCTTGTGCTTCATGTCGTCTTCGATGGATACGTCTGCCAATTCCAGCAGTGCGGCTTTGGTGTTTCCGTAGCCGGCTTGGACGATCATGCCGGAGATGATCAGACCGCCTACGGGATCGAGCCAGGCGGCGTTGGTCAGGAAGTGACTGGCAGTAATAGTGGCCAAAGCAACAACAGCAGTCAAACTGTCGACGCGATGGTGATACGCATTGCTCGCCAAAACACTGCTGCGTTTCTCTGTCGCAATCTTCATGGTCGCTCGGTATAACCACTCTTTGATTATGATACTGCCGGCTGCTAGCCATGCGGCATTGATATTGACACCTAAGCCTTCGACTCCATGGCTGTGGCTGTGGCTGTGACCGTGGCCAAAGATGCCAAGGTGAGAGAGTATATGAGCGATATCCGGGAAGAATTGTTGTGTGAGAGCCATAACTGCTTGTAGACCAATCATTATTCCTCCTGAAAGCAGGATTCCTGATACTCCAAGTGCACCTAGAGACTCAATCTTGCCGTAGCCGGTAGGAAATCTGCTTGTAGGGGATCGTAATGAGTACGAGACGGTTGCGAGGGTGGTGAAATCGGAGATGAGATCTGTAAGGGAGTGGATGGCGTCGGCAGACAGTCTGCAAAGATGGCATGTTAGCGTTGAAACATGGAAAGCATACGGTTCTGGTACATACGCTTTGGAGTTGAAGACATAGCCACCAACGCCCTTAGCAATGGCCATGCCAAGGTTGACAAAGAGTCCGACTCGCGTGATACGCACTCCAGCATCATTCTTGTCGGTGCTTGTCAGATATGTCGTATCATGATGGTGGTGGTGGCCATGATGTGAGTGACCGAAATGACCTCGAGCCTGTTCCATGTTGGTGGTGATGTTGGTACTCGTGCCGACACCAGCTGATGGGGACGGGGATGGTCGGGTCGGTATACGGTGATTGAGCAACGACCAGTTGTGTCTAGGGCGACAAGTCACGAGAATGCGTGTTTGGTGACTCTTCAGCAATATCCTCGACGTGGTAGAAACAAAAGTAGAGCGAGACGCGTGTAGCAAGGGGCTAGTCGTCTGTAGACTCAGCCCCGGGAATTGACACGCTCTCATCTAGTTCACAAAGATGCGTCTTGCATGCGAATGTCCGCACTTTTCCCACGTAAGTTGACAATTGAATGCACAGCAAGTCGTCGAGTCTAGCTGGAAAGAAGGTCTCTTTGTCCAAATCTAGCTTTCCCCAAAAACAATGCGACTGAGAAGGACTCATGTCGGGTCCTGTCGCCGGCAGCGGCCTACTACCGAGATACGTCAATCGTCTTGGCGTTGCGATATACACCATATCAGCCTGAAATGCGACGAGCCTGAATACGACAATGCTTGTATAGTTCACTACTACATTCTATCGAAGCTGTGAAGTATTCTATATCAACCTCAGGACCAGAGCGCGGTCAACCGTCTCAACTAAGCGGACAAAAATTTGATTCAAAACACCTTTCATAAATCGTTCACTCCATGAAATCCAACCCAAATAACGCCTGGCAATGCTCAACATTCATAAATCATTCGTGATAGAAGCCCTCTGGGTGACATTAATCAAGCTTGTGGCGTATGCGACAGCATTGACTTGATACTGACACTCCTCTGAGCTGGGTTGTCTGGTGTCTGCTCTCTATTTGCGCGACTGCTCCCAGGTGGTTCCATGGAGACGAACCTGCCTGCCTTCGGCACAGCGCGAGCAGGGACATTTGGTGGAGGCTGATATAGGGGTAATGGCGGGGGTCTAGGCAGGATATGATGCAGTGCGTGCTGTTGGTTGGTTGTAAGTCCTAGGGCAGGCTGTAGCACATTGACTGGTGTTGAGATTCTGGTGGACGGGCCAGCAGCTGTGGAAACATCTAATGGCTCCATTTCAGCGTCCGAACAGCCGATGCCGGAATCGCCTTCATGCTCTTCCTTGTTTGGGGCAGGGAGGTCCTCACTTGGAGCGGATGTCTTGCGAGCCATACGTGCGATCGACTGTAGATTCCTGAGACCCTTTCCATGCACTGGCAGGTGTGTTAGTGATGACTCNNAAATGCACACAATTTGCGACCTCAAACTTGCCTTTGCTTCAACCACATTCCATCGCTCGCCAATCTTAGCTGCCAACGGAGTCCAGATTTCCTTTCTGAGTTCCATGTATTCCATTGCGAGGGTATCCAGTCTTTTGCAGTNCCAGTCCTCGTGATTCCGGCGTTCAACTAATCGCTCATGACGTTTCCGACAAGCATTGGCTGTCTTGTTTGGGAAGTGCCTCGCTGCGGTGGATTGCCAATTGAGACCAGCTGCCCTAGCAGCGACTAGAATTTCATCATCTGCAGAGGTCCAGTTGGCTGTGTTTCTGTGACCTGGTTGGGGTTCTGTCGACCCAGAATGTCGTGCTTGTACCACTGGAAAGGGAGACTGGCGAATGTTTGACAGTAGTCGTCTGCTTTTAGGCATCTTGAAGATTGAACGTCTCTTTGACTTGGTTGTAATTCTTATGTGATAGCTTAGTTTTGATTAGGTGTAATGACCGCCCTGCAGTAGCGTGTAGAGATTAAGACTAGACAAGAAACAAAAGTGTTGATGAAGAAGATGAACAGAATCGAAACAGAGCTATCAGAATGCAAGAACAAGTTGACATCCGTACAGCTTGCACAGGGGCTGAATTTATACTTATGGTTATGATGCGATGCTTGACCTGGTGGCCAATTGAGCGAAGATGCTATGGACGCTGAAACACATGGCCACATGGAGAAGGGAGGCTCTCAGGCAGACCTATTTTGGTAAGAGGCCGTCCAGGAACAGCCAGGATGCTATGAGCGCTTCTGCAGTCTGAGATCGAGCAGATGTTCGTGGTGAAAGAACAGCCTACCATGACGAGCGCGTCTGAACTGAGGATCAAGCGGTTGCAGAAACGGACAACAAGAAGCGTCGCGCCAGTTTCAAGCTATTTGTGGCAGATTGATGTCAGACATGTTGGAGTCGATGGTATGCGCGGTGGGCGCGTATCTCAAGAGCGGCTATCAGGACTGTTTCGAGATGGTCAGGGTCACAGATGTCCAATTGCTGAAATGAAGTTTTTGCACAGTTTCTCTTGGACGAGATGGCTTGCTTGGGCAGAGTGAATATGGCTCTCAATTACGCGATGGATGAAGAGGATTTAGTTGTGATGAGAGTCATGCAAGAATTGAACAGGTCAAAGTCGGGAGACCAAGGGTCGAGTCGGAAGCTTTTTCGGGCCGGGCGTTCTTTTCGGAGGTCCCCTTCGGAGTCTTGGTTATTGTTGAGAGCAGTGCAGCAGCATCCAACTTGTCGTTGTCGTCGTTGTTGTCGCCCACACGTCGTCGATTCTTGCACTGACAATGGTCGCCTTTGCCAGCTCTTGCAGGTTCGCTGCTGCCGTCGTAGGCAGACATGGCCGTCGTCGTGAGTTCCTCTGCCTCAAGCCATACAAGTCTCTGTACATGTCTAATGCATGCATACCGCANGCTTTCAGTGTCGCAGCAGCCAATCGTGCTGCCCAGAACTTCGCCATGCCTGCATTGTCGCCCACTATGACCGAGGGTAACATCACAAGCTGGAAGCTCAAGGAAGGTGAGCACCTCGACAACCCCCCACCAACAAGGCCCATTGAAGCTGAGCTGTACNNAGGCGATTCCTTCTCGGCTGGAGATGTCATCCTCGAGATCGAAACCGACAAGGCCCAGATGGATGTTGAGGCCCAGGAGGACGGTATTCTCGCAAAGATTGTCGTTGCCGAAGGCGCAAAGGCCGTTCAGGTCGGCTCGCGCATTGCTGTTCTGGCTGAGGAGGGTGATGACCTAGCAACTCTCGACATTCCCGCCGAGGACTCGTCCTCATCTGCTGGACAACCCGCTCGCAAGGACCGCCCCAGCCCGCAAGAGGACCTCAAGTCTGGAATCGACACAACCGAATCCTCCCCCAGTGCCGCAGAAGCCCCACCATCATCCAAGCCCAACGCTGATGCCTCTGCTGGCGGTGCTGCAGACACCACCAGAGCCACTCAACTGCACGGCTCCTCCGATGCCAAGCCAAGAAAGCAAACATACCCTCTGTACCCCTCGGTCCAGCACCTGCTTCTTCAGAACGGCTTGACCAAGGAGGATGCCAACAAGATCCCTGCNAGTGGTCCCGCTGGACGTCTCCTCAAGGGTGACGTCCTCGCCTACCTGGGCAAGATTGAGAAGAACTACCCTGGCCAGCAGGCTAAGCGTATGGACAAGCTGGCACACCTCGACCTTTCCAACATCCAACTCGCTGCTCCTCCCAAGAAGCCCGAGGCCAAGCCTGTTGAGGCCGAGAAGCCCGCTCCTATTCCTGACACCGAAATCGCCCTCCCCATCTCCCTCTCTGCCGTACTCGAGACTCAAAAGCGCGTCCACGAGACTCTCGGAATCAACCTCCCTCTTTCTACCTTCATCGCACGTGCTTCAGAACTCGCAAATGAGAACCTCCCTCTTTCCAAGAACAGAAAGCCTACGGCTGATGAGCTTTTCAACTCTGTCCTTGGCCTCGACAAGGTGTCCTCCAAGGTTTCTCGTGGCAACTACGTTCCCCAGGTCACTGGTCTCCCTGCTGCACCTCTGTTCACTAGCCAGCGCGCTGCTAAGAAGGCCGACATCATCGACATCCTTTCCGGAAAGCCCTCAGGCCCCAAGAAGGCTCCCAAGATTTTCGGTGCACAGGGCGTCGCAGCAGCTCAAAATGTCTTCAGCGTCTCAGCACCCAAGGGTGACGAGAAGAGAGCACAAGAGTACCTTGAGCGTATGAAGCAGGTTCTTGAGGCAGAGCCCGGTCGCCTTGTTCTCTAAGAATCTTTACTCTACATTTCCCCTTCCTGCTTTTTTCTCTCACAGCGTCAAAGATATCTCTGTAGTTTTATATTAACTCGAACGGACCGGCATAGAATTTCAAAAATCACATATTGGCATCATCTCGCAATATTGGTCCCGTGCGTCTGGGTTCATCACTTGCGATACACGACACTCCAAAGACCAACAGACAATTTTCAGAGGAATTTCAATTGTCGTCACGACTGCGTTGACAGTCTTCCTCTCATAACCGCATGTCTCGAAGAATTGTCAAGCAGCTTTGCTGTTACCGTTGTACCTATCTTATGGCTCACGCATCTGTGACAGAGGATAGAATTCTTTGCACCTTGATCCAATCACTTCATGTCAATCTCAGAATCGGATCGCATGCATGAGAATACTAAGCATTGCATTGCTCATCAAGAAAACATTACAGGCACACTATCACCAGCAACAGAACATGGTCAACTCAGTGACAGACTAGCACAAGGCAACAAAGAGAAAAGTCACTTTGTTGCATACCCTCACAGCAGAAGTTATAATAAGAAAGTGCACAGTTAGAACCTCATACCACAAAGCAAATTCCTTGCACATACTCAATACTCAGATTTATCGCGTGTTCGAAGGTCTCAATCCGTATCGAGAGGCAACCCCTAGACTGCTCGAGAAAATGAATGTAGGGTCGTGTCCGATGCTAACAAGTGGATGCGATGCGCTTTTGGGGCAAAATGGTGATATTTGGACCATTGCAAGACTCTTCAGAAAACATGGTATCTCTTCGTTTATCATCATCGATCTACAGTCCTGTATACCTGCTCTCATCAATTCTTCTTCCCGAAATAACTCGTTAGTTTGTTGCTTTGCCCTGCATCGATTGGCTTCTTCCCCTTTTGAGGACTTGCGCCTTGGGGCTTGTCCTTTTTCTCTCCAACACGCATCAGGCGCATGAGTTCCTCGAATTGCTCGACGTCGACGATGCCTCCGCTCGCCTGCACATGTCCTCGAGCAAAGTCGTCTCCTAAGCGTTCTAGTAGGGGAGTTTCTGGCTGGCTGGGTAAGCTGCTATCATCATCGCCTTCGTCCTTCACCAGTTTCAAGCTGGCATAGTCCTTTAGGCTTTGTATGATGTCGACTGGCGGGTCCCGGCTTTTGGCACACCTAGGTACTCGACAGCTGAAGTTGACCTTGTTCGGTAAGTAGCCTTCATTGGCGACCATGACGATTTCGAGAGCCTTGCTCTGCAGATGGCCGGCCCATCTCGTTGCAATCACTGGGTGCACCTGTGCCTCCGACTTGATCCTGAATACGGCGACTTTGCCATCTTGACTGAACTTTGGCGCTGTATGTGTACATCGCTCGACTTCGGCATTGACTTCTTGACGAGCTGCGAGTAACCTGGAATGTTTCAGGACGTCTTTGGGGTGTTCGGCCGTGAGGAGTGCATCGAAAGCAGAGTTGACATCGTATGTTGCTGTTCGTCGTGGTGCATTCACGTACGAGACCACATCATTAAGAGCCTTCTTAGTGTACTNTTTGAGAGTGGAGGAGAGGTCAGGAAATGGGGGCTCCCACTTGATGGTGTTGCCCAAGTCACCATGGGTTCCAACCACGCATAGCCAGTCGGTCTGATCCCTGACGCCATCGTGTAGCGGCTCGCAAAGCAGATATGTCAGGAGAGCTGACGTTACCACCGGCGGACATTTGTTTGCCGTACAGAAATAAGATCCTTCCGGGAAGTCATCAGACGTGGCATTGTGGTGGTCAATAACCAAACCGGTATGAGGGGAGTCTATCAAAGGCCCAGACTTGCGGGATCCCTGATCAAGTACGAAGATGAACTCGGGGGATTTGGCAGCCATAGCCTCCCGTTCGTGTTCATGGTGGACGGTCTGGCCTTTGCTCAGCAAATGGACATGGATGAGCTCAGGCTTGAGCCCAAGAAGAATTAGTGTACGATGTAGAATCACACCAGATGAGAGTCCGTCTGCATCTTTGTCTGGCACTATCAATGTCGGCTTCTGCGAACGGGCACTNNGGAGACGTATTAGCAGTTGTAAGAAGGTTATTCATGTTCAATGCAGTTACCAATTAAGGATAATCTCCCTAGCTTGCTTCATCTGAGCCTCTGGAGCGGGCCATACGATTCCCGTATCATCGCGCACAGGCGGGGTCAGATGATAGTCGGGCACCTCAACCCGTGTTCGAGAGCGTTTTGCAGAGTTGGCCTGGGCCGTGGACAACGGCTCCTTGCGCTTCATCTGTTGCGATTTCGAGGTGGCGTGAAAGGAGTGGCGGGTGTTGGGAATTGAGGCTCCGCTACTGCTTACACGGAAATTGAGCTTGCGACAATTGTGGTATAGAGGCAACCCCTTGCAAAAGCGGCTTATGAGGGGCCCGATGCTGACAGAAGAGATATGCATAAATGAGTTTCCGCTGTGGTTAGTTCACGGAATGCCATGCAGCGTCGGTCGTTCAAGTCAGACCCTGGATTTGAAGCTGGACTAGACCTTTTGGTTTGGGACAACCCTTCCGCGGCCGTTTGTGGTTGGTGTCCATTGTACTTGAGTAAGTTCCTTGGAAGGGTTTGCGGTGAAACGTCGACAGACCTGATCGTGATCCAAGAACCTACCAAAGAGTTACAGCTGTGACTCGTGAGAAGTGCGCCATATGTGCTCTAAGGCTGCCAGAACACGTTTATGCATGGGTAAGCCGTTGGCGTTGTTCAAACACACCAATACCTGTATGCGTACGTGGACTCGGCGGCTGTCTATCTTACCGTGTGTCATGGCTGCTTTGGCCCTCGAAATCAAGGAGCATGATTCGAGGAGATCAGTAATCGAATGCTCATCAAAAAAACGACAGCAAAAACAGCCGGCGGATACGACTGTGAAAGCATCGGATCGGCCAGGGATTCCAGTTTGGCAACGCACGCGCTTGCTGAATGGACGGTCTAGACCTGCGCCCTATATGGAGCTTGGCGGTTTCGAATCGCCCATCGCACCCCCTCCCCAACGAATGACAGGTCGAGGAGCACGCTCCGTGACAAAGAACAACAGAGCTTGCGAGCCGCAGAAAGGCTTCGTCGAGGAATGAAAGGGTCCGATTAGTGAAAGAAGAGGGGCTCCAAACTAGTGGGCGAGTCGAGAGGCTCGTCGGCAGATTTGCGGTCGAAAGTAGTAAAGAGCCTCTGTAGCTCACCTCGGATCGAGCCCGCGTTGCTGGGAACTGAGCTGGATCACTTCCATCTGAGGCGATGCGACCGACTCCGCCGGGCTGTTAAGTTAGTTTCTTGTCTGCTGCCAACAACCCGTCCGTCCCCCAGATAGCATCCTTCTTTCCTTTCCCTCTTCCATCGTCTCTGCCACCTTCGGTCCATATTGTTTTTCTTCGAATATTCTGTCTATCGTTGTGTTTTGCAGTCGGCAGGAAGCTGTCTGTACCTCTGGAATATCCTCAGGACGCGTGCCCAGAACGAGTTTGCCGAGAGATTTTCCCTCCATCTTTTCTCCTCCCAAATCCCAACTTGCCAACTGATTCGCACACCGCAGCTGGTGTTTTGCGACACACCAGCGTCAAGACACTGGTGAAATCCATTGCGCGACCATTTATCGTCTAGATACATTGGAATCAATCACTGCTAGACGTTATACTCAACCCGCCGCCCCAGGGGTTGGTCGTGTTGCGGTGCCCGCGACGCTCGGTTCAGTGCAGTGTTTCCCACGCTCTGGTAAGTACGAACACGAACAATGTTTCAAGATGCTTCTCTTTCATAATCTGCTCCGCCGCCTGATTGATAAATCGAGTCTATCAAAGGGCTGGACCAAGCCACGCGCTTGGCTTCTGCATTGGTCGTCTTCGCAACTGTTTGCGTGACATATGATGACTGTTTTCCACCCACGTCCTGGCGCAGTCGTCTCCATCTGTCATCCAGCAGCTCGAGGCCTTTCTACATCCCTGAGCTTGCTCCATGACTCTTGCTATTGCTGCTGATGCAGAAAACGTTGCTAACTCGGGTGCCGCTTTGCAGAACTCCGTCAGACATTATATGCTACAGCTTCTTTAGCTTATGCATTAAGACATCTTCTTCAGCACATAGACGCCCTGCCGTCCTGACTTGTACATCTTTTATTTCCATCCAACTAACACTCTACTCTTGTTGATCTACCGCGACCAACACTATCACTTATCCAATTGTGTCACAAACTCAATCGGACCCCGCCAAACCCAAACCGAGCTGCTATTGAGGCTTTCAGAAGATGGGCCATCTCGACGAGCAGCTGCATCAGCTCAACGGGCTCGACGAGCGTTTTGCGCATGGAATTCCCTCGAAAAGGCCTAATAGCTTACCTGGTCCGGAGCATGATTTTGTAAATCGAAATATACCACCACCTGATCCACGGCCTCCTGCAATGGGATACATGCCTCTGCCCGAGCCTCGCGCAGAACTCTTGCACAACTTCTCCCAGGATCCATATCACTTTGCAGACAGACGGACTGACGGAACGATGAATGGAAAGGGTCTCAGCCTGCGTACCATGACGAATACTGCCTCCATGCCCGAATACGCCTACCTAGAACGCGCCGATACCAATTCACCATCCCAGAGAGCTCAATCAACTCCTTTGGCAGGAATCCTTTCATTGTCCTCCATGTATCCTCCACCACGGCTTGACGAGAAACCTGAGGAGGCAATAACATCACCCAGGAACGATAGACTCCTCCCGTCGTTCCATCAATTGAGCAAGATAGCCGATAGTGCAACCGAAGCAACTGACACAAGGACTACTGGATTGCCGGCCCTCACTGCATATGCCGGTCAAGTCATTGCGCAGACTGTCGCCACTTCTCTCCCACACCACTATCCACCATCACAACAGTCCAGTCCTTCGCCCAATTTCATGCTGCTTGGTCACACATCACCTACGAATATCCGAGCCGACGGTCACGAAATGTATGCGCCCTCGCAGTCGCAGGCTCAGTTCACTGCTCCAAACGATCGTAATCCCAGACGCAATGCCCGGCCTCCACCCTTCATCCCCTCCATGACTTCGTCGTCCATGGGAAATGGATCTTCTACAGATACTATGAGCAGCCTTCAGAGCCGTCAAAGCTCAGATGCTGGAGGACGCAGTACTGCCAATACCACTCCTATGGGCTCTACTCCATCATCCTTAGATGGTATAACAAAAGCGGTGCCTCGATTGCAAACATCGACCTCAGCACCTGGAGGTTTCCTTTGCGATCATCCTGGTTGTGCCGCTCCACCTTTCCAAACTCAATACCTTCTCAAGTAAGCACACTGTCGTTCTTGCGCATCCATTGCATCTGTCTGACGAATCACANNTAGCTCGCATGCGAATGTCCACAGCTCAAGCCGTCCGCACTATTGTCCTGTCAAAGGCTGTTCAAGAAGCGAGGGAGGCAAGGGATTCAAGCGCAAGAACGAGATGATCCGACATGGGCTAGTCCACGACAGCCCCGGTTACGTGTGCCCTTTCTGCCCCCTCAGGGAACACAAATATCCTCGTCCGGATAATTTACAAAGGTTTGATAGCACGATGTCTCTGGAGTGAAAACCTTGACTAACAGACTTGAATAGACATGTTCGCGTCCACCATGTGGATAAAGACAAGGATGATCCTTTGCTACGGGAAGTTCTGGCCCAGCGACCTGAAGGTGGTGGCCGAGGACGCCGTCGGCGAACAGGTCCTGCTTGATGCAGAACAATTTACAGATCACGGTGGCTGGACAGAGAAAGTATGCTTTCGATCAGGCCGGCGTTCTGGTATCACGTCTTCCATACGCTCAGGAATCACGTATTTACGATCCATCGATGGGTCAAAATGGGTCACATTACAATTGTCAGGGCCGCTGGCGTGCTCGACATTCAATGGAATGGGACATGCTTCAACGATCCCCACGATTGGCGCTCTGGGTTTAATTTAGTTGCCTTGTTCTCTCCGACAGATGGTTTTTCTATCTGCGTGTACAATTATTCGAGAAGGAGGGGGGCCAGTTCAATAATCGATAAAGGATCGATCGAATTAATTTCTACATGCATATTCACTGACACGTCGCCTGCCAAGAGTTGCTTGAGTTCGCGGAACGCACTCCTGATCGAACCCTATTGGTCACCGGTCGAGCCGCAAGAATCACATGTCTGAAGATTGAGCCAATCGTTCAGTTTGACCGCATTCTCCCTAACTGTTTACGGCCGGCCGTTTGCGATCATCTGCTCATCCTCCTGTAGCCTCTCGCCTGCTCTAACTTTGAAGACCCTCCAACAACCGTAACGGCCCAACGAGCAGTTCCCTGTTTTCTCGGTAATCTCATCATAGAAAACAGATGCTTATCGGAGGATGGGAATTGACTAAAGGCATTGGGAAAGAGCACTGATCAACACAACGATCATGGTCTGGCCACGAAGCATCTGCTGCAGGAAATGGAGCACTTGCGACCCCTGAGTGCGCTCCAAATTGTCGCGACGAAGTCAGAGTTCAGAGTCACAGCAGAGAACGATGGGTGGCTGTCTGCGGCTTTGGGGCTGCATCCAGGTTAAAGTTGTCCATCATGCAGGCATCCGCTGCCATGAATCTTGTTCCTAATTTGAATCAAAACTTGGTGTGTAGGTTAACATAACCAAATCAGATCATCGAACTGTTGCGGATCTGTTGGCAGACACCACACAACCTGACACAGCCATACATGACTCTGGTATCTAGAACGGGCTACAATATATGTTGGGTTATCGGAGACTCAGGGCCTTTGTTAGTGAACTCTCCCACATGTCCATTTTTTGTTTACCAAAGACAAGCTATGCGCGAGCGAGACGGCCTCTAAAGGCTCCAGCATCTTGAGCTCAACTGCCGACGTGAATATGGACACAGACGCCGCTCGTATATACAAGCGGACTTCACCTTCAGTAGCGTGTTCTCTCTTCGATGTCACACTGAATAGGCTTTGGGACATGACAGAGACAGTGATGGGCAGGCGGAGTCCTGTCCGTCGCAAGCAAGGCAGACACATATTGATATCGAGATTTTAGTGCTGTCTCTATCGGTGTGCAGCCAAGGCACTATGTATTACAAGAAGGTTCTCTGTGTCGCATCTTGCATATTGCATGAGATAGCTCTACATAAAATCTGCTGGAGTACACTCCGGTATAGACATGTGAGGACTAGAGAATCTGTAGAAGGGCGGCAAGGATAAGCTACTGCCCAAAGACAAGCTACGTATTCTTACTCTCGTATCCGATGGTCTACGGAGACGATCTGATATGTGGATGATGCCCATATCCTTAAAGCAGATCTTGTAAAATAGCTGGCACTGAGACCCGCATTTGCTGGGTTGTGCCCTTGTGCCTTGAGCCCAATCTATTTACGAGCGATCACCACACACTTGCGAACAAGTGAACCTGGTTCATGACGACAGCATCTTCCACCTCGAGCACTTGGCCACTCCGTACACTCATTTCGCCTTCAATTGAATCGTTTGCATTCTCGGGAGACCATGGTTCCGCAGTCTCCTTGCGCCAGGTTTTCCATATCCTGAACACAGTAAAGATCCACAAAGTGGACTACTCCCTTTGAAGCTGTGATCAGCTACGGATGTCTTCGGGTTCAAACTTCACGCCATCATCAATCGCCTGCCAAATTGCCAGATTAGGACTTTGCTTTTCCACATGCAAAAGTCTCGTTGAAGTTTGCCCACGCGAACACGAGAAAAGCTACACAATGATACGCCGCAGCAAAACATGAGGCACGGAGAATGGAAGATGCACTTTTCCGACGGGCAACTCTGGATGTGGAACGAGCCGAAAAACACCAGCGGCATATCGGGAATAAGATGACTTTGTTGACAAAACCTGTCAAAACGATATGTGATCTGCAAAAGACCTTGGACGAGACCTTTCTTCCGCAAACCCTTTGTGGTCAGACCTTGTGTGGTCGGATCTTTGTGGTTCACCGGGGACAAGGGATGCCCCACCGGAACCTGCGGTTTTTGGTTGCTCGAGCGTATCGAGTCGTGCCTGCGCCGCCGGATTGCAAATGTGAGATTTCAAATATGGTGATGGGGATCTCTCTAAACACATGGCCTCAGCCTCAAAAAGTCCCTGAGGCAGTAAAGATAGCACCATCGGGTCGGAAAGTTTTTCGAAACCAGCTTGGTGGGAAAGCCTTTTCTAAGGTCCATCCTCACCATGTGCTAAAGTTTGTCGCGCAGACGGCTGCGAATTCTGATAGAGATGTTTAGATTATGAAACCTGCCTTTGGTTTTGGCAAGTGTTTTCCAACCATCGCAGATTCGATCTCTATCAAACCTTACAAGTGTATACTCTTAGTAATGGCGAATCTTTTGCATCAATTCTGGTTAAAAAGTAACCAGTATTGCCTAACATATCCCAAATGCAAGAGTACATGATTTGACCCAGCGTCATGAATAGGGGGCACCAAAATCTGGTTTTTCACGATGCTAGCCGCGTGATGTTATGGAAGCAGAACCACTGATCTTTCCTAATCATTCGCCGTCTCCCTACGACTATGGTGTTTCATTGCTCGCGCTTGCATGTTTATAATAAGTTCTCTTGTCACTTCCTTAGTAGGTATTGCGATCATCGTGCCTTCTATATAATGCTTGTCGTAACGTCCTCTGCCGTTTTAACATACGATATCCTTTCTATTCCAAACGACCAATCGTAAACAAGTTACTCTGTAACACATACATAATCGCATCGAGAATAGAAAGAGCCTAATCACATACTAACTTGTTTTGCAAAGATTCATTCTGGGAGTCTAGGACTTTACATCCTCAAATGTAAATGGTACGACCCTGACCACTTCCATCGCCATGACAGAAAATTGGATTTTTCTGCCTGGGCAGTCAGGTTATATAGCATACCACGTTGGTCTTTTATACATATCAACAGAGTGATGATTGCACCATCTGAACACAACATAGCGAATGAGAATTCTTTTGCGGGTTGAGACTAATATTGTGTTGAGCCAAAGCCAACGAAGCAAAAGACCGTCTAGCAATATCATATGCGATCCGAGATAAGTCATTGCACAAGAATCATCGACTGAATGCTTTTAACTTTTAAGGGAGAGTTACGTGGCAGGTGGTAGGTAAATATCATTTGTTCTTGTTAACGAATGAGTGGCTCGTTTACATACAGCAGAGGGACGAGTGTTAGGGCATAAGTATACATGAGTGACGGAGGGAAAGCGATAGGGGTATTTGAGACTGAGACAATGCAGTGAAGGCAACGATGCTAGTGAGTTTGGTAAACAAGAGATCGGCAAATGGCATGCTGCGACGACTAGAACCAAGTCGGTAGAGAGGCATCAGAAGGGCAGGAGGAGTGCTCTCTGTCAGAAGAAAGAAAGAAAAAGGACCGCCAATAGGACCCAAGGTAATCTGGAAATAGCGTTCATTCATCAATCTGTTCGTAGGAGCGTTTAGGGGCGTTGGTATCATTCGAGTATGCGGCTTAGAAAGCAACCACAACGATGCCTTCTTCCATCAAGGTACGCTCAGGGATCTTGTTACGAGTGGGCATCGCGATATGCGAGAATCTCTTCAAGTCGCCTTGAGGAATGTGGTGGGCAAGAGCTGCAGCCTTTCCATCCTGAGTGTCGATGCTTGATGCTGAAATGGTAGAGGAAGTGGTTGCGAGAGAAGAAGCCATAGTAATAGAACGATCCAGACCTTTGGGGAAGTCATGGATATCATAAGAAGGAGGCGCCAATTCCCATTCCTCGAGCATGTCCATCTTGGTGTTGAGTCTCAAGCGACGACCATGACACATAATGATATCGTTAGCGCGGGGAGCATCGAATAGCAGTGTGGGCATGCATCGCTTGATGTATCGCCACTGTGATGCATTTGTTCGGGCATGCGGAGGTGTCCACTTCCCACCAGGGCCCAAGTTGTCAGGGTTGGTCTCGTACTGGAACGAAGACGTTGTCGTGGAAACTGTGGAAGAGGTTGTTTGACGAAGGTTAGCTGGGCGAACTGACGGTTGTTGCTCCTGGCTAAGATCTTCAGCGAGGAACGACAAATCAATGTCCTCGGCCTCTTGCTCGAATGTGGCAGTGAGTGTCAGGGCGTTGGTGTCGTCCGCAGATTCCGTACGCACGAGTTCCGCACCTTCCAAGCCTCGTTCGATTGATCGTGCGAGGGATGGGTACATCTCGCGCATGATCTGCTCCTGCTCTGCAATGACGCTCTGGTCGTTGATGTTTTCAGTCTCCTGGACTCGCTGTCTGCGTCGGCGCCTAGGGATAGTGCATGGCTTTGGTGCAGAACGCTCGTCAAGTGGCAAAGAAATATCAATGCTGGCAGATAGATCATGGATCCATCGGAAGATTCGTTCTTCAGAGTGGTCTGCCAAGAGGAACTGATCAGTCTCAAGTCGCAGACGGAGTACGACCTGAGAGATAGGTGTGAAGAGGTCAGGATCCTTCTCGTATGCCTTGCGGCGAGCAGCAGTAGGAATGAAGTGAGCTAAGCGCGTGGCCGGAAGCAGCTGGCTGTACTGAACATCAGTGGCCAGGCCAATCTCGGCATGCTGAAGAGTGTATCGCTTGATCAGTCTTCCTGCAGTAGGCATAGAGTGACCAGCGAGCTGAATGGTCTTGATTTTGTGGACACTCAATTGAGTGCCATTCAGCACCACGTAGACAGTACGGAAGTCCTGCTTCTGAAGATATTGGAAGGGCGAGATTTTCTCGATGCGCATTTGCATCGGACCTTCCCTTGACACAGAGCAAGTGTATTTCGGCAGAACTTCCCTTCCATTGTCAAAGAATCGAGGCGCGGGCGGAAACTTCGGAAGGCGAGTAGCCGTCGCATATGACGGGGCAGGGTCGTTGCATGGTGAAGCACGAGTCTGGAAAGGATGATGATAGCTGGTCACGCGACGGCTGCGGGGACGAACTGCTTGCTCATCATCGTTCTGAATTGGGGTTGTGTTTGAGTCTCGTGTTAGTGGTCGAGACAGCTGAGCCGTATCAAGAGGTAGAACAGCTGAGGCACGCCGTGTTGTTAGAGGAGTCTGCGTGGTAGACATAACGATCGTGCTATGACGGAGACGCTCGGTCTTATCGATTGAGAAATGGCTTCAGATCGTCGGGCGTGCGTTCGGAATAAGCAGGAACACTGCCGGATCGACAATTGGTATGTTGATGCAAAGGTGACTGCGATACGGGACAGTATTACTGGCAATGAAGCGAAGATATGAGTCGAGGAACTGAAGAGCGAAGAGGAACGACAACCGCGGAAGACAGGAAGTGTTAAGGCGTCCTCCCACCCTTGCTGTCGTCGACGATGCGACTGATTGGCAAAACGGTGACCGAAGAATTATGGAGAAGTCTAGGCCAAAGTCGGAAAGCTAACTTAGCGGCGTGTTCATCTGTTTAGCCGAGGTTGGGGACACCGGGGATTTGTGGAGGGCTTGGGGATTGCAACGCTGGAGAAAACTTGGAGTGAGCTGGAGAAATACCGCCGAACAGGCCGAGCAAGATGCAGAAGAATTGAAGAGAAACATCAGAGAAGTACTTGACAGCGAGAGATGAGAGATAAATGCAGGATTCCAAGGTTCCCCGCTCGCCACAGGGGGGGTAGTCATGGCAGAGCATGGGAGAGCATGTGGGCACATGCCAACATCCGGTTGTGTCCAGACGAAGCCACAGAACCACTAAACTGTCGAGCAATGTGGTTGATGGCGCACCGCTCAGGCACACGACTGATAAGTCAAACGCAGTCGAGGCACAAAGCTGATGCGCATGTTTCAAACATCAACAGTCAACCAGCCTATTTGCAAGCAGAAAGTGTTGTACAGGACTTTTCTCTTGCAGCATGAAGGCATGAATCATCGCACGAGCATGATGTGGCCGGACCTGGTTTTTTGTCTTGGAGGGTGGGCACGCTAAGAGCCACGGGGCTGAAAAAGGCACAGTCGCACACGCAACGTGAGGGCCCGCTGTTGGCAACGAGAGACGCGATACAAGGATTGCTCCGCGCGGACCTCTTTATTGCCCAGACGGGGGTAAAGGCGGGGTGGAGCATGCAATAATTATTTGCCAACAAAACACCAAGAGTGCATTCAGCCGGCAGTCCTGAGATCCATGTCCAGGGCGACGGCTTCTTCGGTCAGAACATCCATGTCGTTAATGGGTAGAGCTTCATTAGCAGCATCAATGTCAGCAATCGTCGTCTCCAGCTGCGAAACCAAGCGCTCGATTTCTCGTCGCTGTTCCAAGACCGTGTCGACCAGGTCGGCGTTCTCCGACTGAGCAGTTTTCAATCTTGCCGACAGAGAAGCGTGCTGGTCGGACAGGAGCGGTGCAAGATGTGAAAGGTACAGCGACGAAGCTGGCAGGGTATGAGGTCTGAGAGTCGGNNGTAAGTATGCTGTTCGCGTGCAAAGAGTTTGGACTTGGACGTACGGGAGCGGAGGTTGTACTGGCTGGCCATTTGTCGCTTGCTCGGCAGCAGTCTTTCTTCTTCTCGCGTCGTCGACCAAGCGGTCCAGGTCGTTCAGCGACGCGACAACCTGGCGGTCGCGTAGGATCTGATCAAAGTTGAGCTTGCAGGTGCGGTCTAGCTTCTCGACAAAGTCGGTATGCAGGCGCTTCATGGCATCGGGAGCATGACTGGCTGGAGTCGGGAAGGACGAGGCGAAGTTGGAGTAGCTACACGTCCGGAGCGTGTGTGATATAGCATCGTTATAGAGCTTCTGAAGGGCAGCGGCGCGCGGGCCCGGAGTTTGCTGGACAGGCGGTGCCTGGACGGGCGATGGAGAGCGAGAGGTTGGAGCTGGAGCAGACATGGCTGACGAAGGAGGACACGAGGTCGAGGGCTTCTCGGTGGATTAATGACTCTTTGCTAGAGACGCGCGAGTGCTGATCGCTCTGCTCTTAGTATGTTAGAAAGTCGATCTAATGCATGCCTTTGTGCCGTGTTTGCAATCCAAAACAAAGTCGACATGGCTGCCAAGCACAGTTATGCACGGCGCATAGGTTATCGATAAGCCATGCGCGGCGAGACATTATTTCGAGACCATCTCGAGTCCGACTAATGATCCAATTGCCAACCATGGCTTCACTCTGGCGACCACTCCGGCTACTGGCCCCTCTACAGTCGACACTGTCACAACCGCTAGGTCTTCGCGCCTGCACACCACTACAATCGCGCCTGCTCCATTCGTCGCCAATTCTTCATCTGCGCAAACCATCAAAGGCTGTAGTCAAGCCCCTCGATGCCTCTGCGCCTACTCGCAAGAAGCAACACAAGGATGCTCTTAGGAAGAAGCAGTATCCCGATGAGCCGTTCCATGCGCCGACACTCGCTCCCTCCACTTCGCCAACAATCTCCTCCACCAACACTACCACACATCAACCTTCGACCCCTCCTCCAACGATACACCAGCCCATAGCCCTTGCATCTGTACAACACCCGCCTGTTGCCAAGCAGCAAGTCGATCCACTTTCAACTCCTCTCCCTACTTCGCCCCTAAAACCCACCTTCGAATATGTACCTGGAGGCCGCTCTGGTATCCTTCAGACCCTGAAGGAGCTCGCCAGCGCTGAATCGCCAACCCTGATCTACGAAGCCACAAAAGCCCGCCAATACATCGCCTGGTGTCTGTTTGCCAGTTTGCTTCTCGGTGGCATGGCCGCAATGCAGGTCGGCTTCTTCACCACAGCACCTTCTCAGCAGGACATCCGCGTCGCCACTGTCTTCCTTATCACTGCCTCCATTTGGGGTGTCCTTGCGTGCTGGGCTGCATTTGGTGCAAACGATGTCATCAAAAGAATCTGGGCCATTCCTTCTAGCACAGGCAAGCCGCTTTTGCGTCTGGAACCCGTCAAGATTGCTTTGGGCAAGCGACCTTTGCCNTTTGACGTCCCTCTTGGTCGAGTCTTCTCTGACAAGGGCTTCGAGGAGTGTATTGCCCATTTCAACGCTACGAGGGATGTGAGACGCAAGCCTGGTGTCCTCGATGCTCTGTTTGAACCTGTCGGCGCAATCATGTCTGCCAACATGAAGATGATTCAGAGAAAGTCTTCGTTCGCTCAGCTGCGTGTAGCAGATTCAGGTACCTGGAAGGTCGATGTTCGTGACTGTAAAGTACCCGATGGTGGCAAGAGTACGTTCTTTCTCATCTGATATATGCTGCATACCAAGTTTTGCTAACAACTGCTTGTAGCCCTTGATCTTCTCATTCTCCCTGGTGAGAGAAAGCGCGGCTGGTTCGCTTCGTTGTTCGTCTCGGATGTTTGAAGCGTTGCTTTGCAGACTGGCTTGTTTCCAGCATAGCATTCCCTCTGTGTACCTCGTCATCTGCACACCCGATCGCGAGCACTACCACGAAGCCCCACCACCGCTCTTGGTATCTAGACTGCTTTTGGCAGCATCATCGTTCGTTCGTCGATATTGGGCAGACCGCAGAGCCGTACATCACTGTATAGAAGCAGAGGTCAGATTTGTAAGATTACACATAGCATAGGATCACAATTGCGTGTACGAATATGAAAAGGAAGAATAGCGCTTGATTTTGTATGACACCAAGCCAAGTCGATAACATATCAATACTCTCTGTCGAGTTTTTGTCTTGCTCTAGCTCCAAATCTATCTTCTGTCATTGTCGGCAAACTTGTGGTTCCAGAAACCTCTGAAGTGCTTCTGCGAGCCAGCCTCGTTGAGATCGTTGACCTCTCTAGGCGTAAGCTTGAAAGTCATGGCTCTGAGATAATCGCTCAATCTCTGTTCCTTGCTGCTGGTAGTGATGGGCACAATATCCTGATCAATGCAGTATCTCAAGCAAATCTCTCCAGGGCTAACAGCATACTTCTTTGCCAAAGCCGCCAGGACGTTGTCCACAGGACCAGGAGCAGCCTTTGTGGCGGGAGTCAGGGGTCCATAGGCTTCAGTCGCAATCCCCTTTTCCTTGTGGTAGGTGAGCAACTCGGGGTGTTGCAGGTAAGCGTTAAACTCGATTTGGTTGACAGCAGGAGGGATAGTGGCAGTCTTGATGATAGCATCCAAGTGCTGAGGCANAAAGTTGGAAACACCAATACTGCGCGTCAAGCCAGCTTCCTTGACTTCCTCCATTGCTTTCCACGCCTTTTGCAATGCCTCTGGCGACTCTTCCGGCGTTCCAAAGAATGGCGCATGAATCAGATACAAATCCACATACTCGAGTTGCAACTTTTTGAGACTGGTCTTGATGGCAGTAGGGATATCTCCAATGTTTGGCAACACTTTTGTGGTAACGAAGAGTTTGGATCTTTCGACACCGCTTTCTTTGATCGCCATGCCCAGTTCGGGCTCGGTTTTGTAGACTTCGGCGCCGTCGAGGTGGTAGTAGCCCAGACTGATTGCAAGTTTTGTGGCGTCCACGCAGGCTTGGTCTAACTGGCTTTCGTCGCCGGTCTTGTACCATGCGGTGCCGGTGCCGTAGCCCAGCATGGGGATTGAGTTGCCGTCATTGAGCTTGAGGTTGGGGATGGGAGTGTGGATGTTGGCCATTGTTGCGTAGGCTGGTCTTGCTTGTTGCGAGGTCGGTGGTGGGAGATAGGTTCGTGGGAGGGAGCGTAGAGGAGCAGTCTTGTTGGGAGAGAACTGACAGATTCTTCGATAGAACAAAGTGTTCATAAGGTGTTACGTGGCAATGGGTTGTGTTGATGCAATCAGGGAAGCTGTCGCGGTCATTGCGGATAGCTCTGGCGGGGCACCATGACGCGTGTGGGGTCAAGCCGTTGCCCTTTGATATACCCCCACTTGCTGATATTAACATTGGTGCTTGGGTGCTTGTCTGACATTAAGCATTCTTGTCTGATATTAAGCCAGACATCTCATCCTCAATCATCTTATGCTCAGCCACAATGAGAACAATGATATTAGAGGACAAGCAGATGTGTAACATTATTGTAGTTCGGGAACCTGCTAGCAATAAGGGATGATTGAGACTCTTATACATATGCCCAGCAGCAAAAGCAAGAGTGAAGCGAAAGTGAGTACTCGAACTCTGACTCTACATAACCATTTCGAGTCTGCACATCGAGTCTTCCAAGCCCTTCAAATCTCATCCCGAAAGACGTAGCGACCACCTCTCATAGCTTCTCGCCACCTCTCTTCCACCTTCTGGCGGTCCCTCTTCCTTGCTTCTTCCCAATCTTGTTCCAGTTCTTGTGTCGTCGGCATATCAGTACGCCAGAACCCTGGAGGTGATTGGGGTCTCTGCCAGATCTCTCGATGCTTGCCATGTAGGTCCGCAAACGCCTTGGCTCTTGCTTCAATCAGCATATTCTGTCTTTCCTGCGCTGTAGCTTTATGGATCGTTGATGCATATCCCGCACCCAGGTATCCTTGCAGTGTCAACTCATCGTCAGTAAGTGAAGTGTCTTGTGGCAAGCCGCCTGCGGCAATGAAGCGTCGAATCGCACCACAACACTCTTCTCTTGTGCAACCAGGTAAACACTTCTTCTCCTCACGCTTGCGAACGCTCTCACGGTAGGCATATCCTAATTGGCCGCCAGTGTTGGGGTTCACTCTGAAGTCGTCAAGATTTAGACGATGGAGTGGTCGGGCACGCAAAGGCTCATGTTCAGGTAAGATTGCCTCCGGATCGTCCGACTCAGTGGTTCTCAGCACGGCAGCGCGGGAAGCTGGCTTGTCTCGAACGGTCCTAGTGATGCGACTGGCAGGCCTTTCCACAGACTTTGAGACCGCTTGCATTTTGAAGTCTTTCGGAGACGTATCGTCCAGTGGCTCGCGCTGTCGTCGACTTGCTGGCGCGGAACGTGGGCTCAAGATTGTTCTATCAACTTGAGGGGAAGTTCCTTCGAGGAGTCCGTTCAATCTTCCAGTGCCTACGGCTCTTGGAGTGGTACCATCGATGCGTGGTTTCTTAAATCCCTGTCTGGTGTGGTCCCCATCTTCTGATACCACATGTACAGCAGCAGCTCCCCTACTATGGTCGAGCTNTTTGCCAGAAGTCACAGGAGCAGCACTCGTTCGAGGTAGCGTAGGAGTGTTGGGACTCAAGTCATGCAAGGGACCAGATTGTGGACGCGACTCACGAGGTCCAACACTCTTGCTAACAGTCCTGACCAGCATGTTCTTTCTTCTTTTGGATGCACTACCGGAACCAGGCTCCGTTTTGACAGTCTTGACCGTACTATCGGACAGCTGAGCATCATCTTCGTAGGCATGTGTACCATCGTCGATGGCGACGTCGGCATCTTCATTACTGAACGAACGAGTCCCAGGTGCACGATTGACTGTCGGAGTTTCAGGATGTCCAAATGAGCGCCGTGTGGCTTCTAGATCCCGATCTTCCGACTGTCTTGAGGGTGCTCGACTGAGAGGATGCTTTTCGGGAACCAATTTTGGTTGTTGTAGAGGAGGTTGATCTCGATAGACGTCTAGGTCCGAAGTCTCTGTCCGGAAGAGAGTGGGTACCGGGGTTCGCGAGTTATGCGGACTGCTACTCAAAAGCTCATTCTTGATCTTGTAAGCTTGCGAATCTTTCTTTGGAGAATTTCTTTTCCTTTTAAGGGCTTTCGCAGATACAACGACGGGGGTGTCGTCGGATTGTGCAATAGAGCTAGAACGAGCTTCTCCTTCGGTGGTCTGGCTTGAGGTTATTCTGCTGTGAGCTGGGGAGTGCGATGGAGCGGCGGAAGTGTTCCTAACAACATCCAGGACGGGGTTGGGTACGGCAAGAGCATCTTCGATGTTTTCCAGATTGGATTGAACAGCTCGAGGGGTGGCAAAGCCCTGGTTTTCGAATTCCCGGTTGGCCTCTCGTAAAGCCTGCTTTGCCAGTTTATTGTCGATGTAATCCTTCCATTTGCGAACAGTCTCCTTTGCTTCGCGTATCTTCTGGGCAGCCTTCAAGGCACGAGCTTCAGCTTCCTTTCTGTATTCATGATAGGTTCTCTGAAGAGCTTCGTGTTTCGAGAGCAACTCGTTGTATTGAGCAGCCGTCACGAAACCATCAGGTATATTGGTGGAAGACTCGGCTTCCATGGGTAGTGAACTGGAATATGTTAAGAGGGAAATCAAGACATGGTGGTATGGAAAATAGCAAACGCGAAAGGACAAAGGCAGACGCGTGCCTGACGAGGCCGAGGCACGCGGGGCGGGAGATCGGCCGGGAGCTAGCCCAAGGAGATCGCGGAGATATGATAAAGACGCATACCCAAGTTCGCCGCCGTCAATCAACCTCGACTTGTTCTTGACAGTGACAGTATGGTTAAGCGCAGGGCGTCGGACGCGCTCGAGGACGACGAGCGCAAAACCAAGAGACAGCATGCAAACAATCCCGATCGGTTGTCGAGGCTCAGTCACGAACTAACGCTCAGGGTGCTTTCGTTTCTGCCCGTGCCCGACCTCATCATTTGCCAGAGCGTGTCGCGACATTTCCATCGACTTGCTGGCGACTCACAGTTGTGGAAGGCCCTCTACTACAACCGATTTGTCCGTCCGAGAGCATCGCGCATACCTGGGATCAACGAATCTGGAGTCCCTGCTGAGAGTTTGTGGTATTCGAGCAAGCTCTCCAAATGGCTAGACGAGGATAATCTGGTTAGAAGAGGGAAAGAGACAAACTGGAAGAGGCAGTACAAAACACGCCACAATTGGACAAAAGGGACATGCGGCGTTAGTGAGGTTCCTGTCTCGCCTGAACCATCAGTCCCACCGACACTGCTTCAGATGCACCATGGCATTATCGTCATGGCCGACAATCTCCATGGTTTGCGTGCATGGTCATCTCAATCAGGCCGGGATATGCTAGCCACCATCAAATTTTCCGCCAAATCAAGTCCTCCTTCAGCTCTAGCTGTTGATACTGCATCTTCATCCTCATCAACTGTCGCCATCGCTGTCGGCTTCCAAGACGGCTCCTTCACCATCTACCATCTTGATATTCATCAGCGCCGCTTTGTTTCTCGCTATTCTCATGAGCCCTCTTCCAATGGCATGATCTCGGCCACGGCTTTATCCTTCCCCTACCTTGCCACCATGACTGCAGGCCAGCTTCTATCTTTTTATAAATTCACGCCTTCCAAGGACGAAGCATCGAAGGAGGACACAGCCCTAAAACCTCCACTCCTGTTGCAATCATTACACTCACGTACCGTCTGGCCGCCCCTTACTCTATCCATTCGACCACAGCCAGATAACGTGCTTGTCTCAATCGCCTACTCACTACCTACATATCTCAGCGGCTGGACCGTTGGCATTCAGGAAATGCGTCTTACCTCAGAAGGTACCCTCATAGAATCACGCCTCACCTCAGCAATCGACCAGAACTATCGCCCCCTCACCTTCAACTCTTCGAATCCACCTGCAACACCAGCTCCACAAGCAATACCTCCTTTTGGCCACTTCAACACTTCCGAAGCCAACCAAATACACTCCAAACCAACTTCTCTCTCTTACTCACATCCATATTTACTGGTCTCTCATCCCGACAACACATTAACCCTCTACCTCATCTCTTCAACCACCGATTCACTCAAAATCAGCCCAGGCAACAGACTCTGGGGCCACACCTCTTCAGTCTCCGGAGCCCATGTGGGTGGCCGCGGCAAAGCAGTCTCAGTCAGCACCCGCGGCGACGAACTACGCGTCTGGGAACTCGAAGGCGGCTTTGCTTCTGCATCTGCTCGACGCCGTTTAGCTGCTGGCGAATTGAGTGTGCAACTGCGACCCGAGAAACCCTCCTCTCTATCTATCAACGACGAGTCATCTTCACCTATCAAAGCTGGTGTGGGATTGAGTCTTGCACTCAAAGACAGAGAAATCGACGAAACTAGTATGACAAGAGGATTCATCGGTTTCGACGACGAAAAAGTAGTCGTGCTCAGGGAAAGACACTGTGGCAATCAAGCTTTGGTGATTTACGATTTTACTTAGAAGGAAGCATAGATGGGCTCTTCTTTTCTCCACCTGTTTTTATAACGATCTTGATGAATTTTGAATGAATATTCTTTTCTCTACCCCCAATCTTGGTGGGTTTCATTCTTGGTCATCCGTTGCTTCTGATCTTAGATCCGTGTATGCATCTTGTCAATGGCGACTTCAAACATCTGTGAGGAGAGCACATGAGTGAACAGAGGCGTGAACCCTCATCATTCACCTCTTCGAGATTCACTAGCATCATCTTAGACTATAAGAATCCAATCACTGTCACTATTTCCAACAGCAAAGGCACGGTGGTCTAGCGGTAAAGACACTCCACGCATATCAGTCCGCGCTTGGTGCTCCGACGGTGCGCTAGAGCCCGGACTGTAATGGAAGAGCCCCGAGTTCGACTCTCGGCTGTGCCATCTTTTTGGCATCAAAAACTCCCAACAACCCTCAAACAATAAAGCCTTACTCATTCTTACACTGGGCAATCTAGACAAAAGATCAAATCAAGGGTCTTGTTGCTCACGGTAAAAACTCAAATCTCATAATTCTCTACTCTGGTATCTTCCTTTGCCTCTAGCATAAAAACTCAAAAATTCATCTTCAGAGCAATAGTGGGTTCCTTTTCCTCAACCTCTTCTCTAACTTCTTGTTTCGGTCCTTGAGAGCTTTTGATAATCTTTTCCATCAGTGCTTTCTGCTCTGCACTGAGCCTCATCACAACACCTCTAAACGCATTCGCATCATTACCCGCCAGCTCTAACAACCTCGCTGCTGTTTCTTTCTGCACAACGGCAGAAGGTTCCTTGGCAGCGCGAGAAAGCAGAGTAGGTATGAGCAATGCTAAACCTGCGAGTTTCTTGTCGGTGGCAAAGGAAGAGATTGCGGTGGTGAGGGATTGCGCAATGATGGTGCGGCTTTGGGCAATGCCTTCTAGATCAGAAGGGACGGTGAGGAAAGTAACCAGACGTGGCAGAAGACGTGATAGGATAGCTGGGTGAGCAGCGCCGCGAACAGGTACAACGAGTAGTGTTCGCACACACCCAGCAGCCATCTTTGTCGTCATGGGGTTATCAAGACATTCCGTCAACTCAGAGACAAAACGGAGAAGAGCAGGGTCATTGGCCTCAAAAGCGGCATTGGCAGAGGTGATCAGCATGGTGCCTGCTAGTATGGTGTTCTTCTCGCAGGGCAGAGAAGCTTCGAACTCGCGTTTCTGGGCATTCTTGAGGATCATCAGGAAGCGAGAAAGTGTGCTGCGGATCTGCTTTTGAGTGTCTTCGCCAGGGTCTGCACCAACGCCACTGATGAAGCGACGGAAGATGGGTAATGCCTGTGGTATCAGAGTCGCTTGACACGCACCCGTGCTCATGATGGTGACAAAGATTTGGAAGATACATGCGTGCAGATCGGCTTTGATAATGGAGGNGAAGACCTCGGAAGCATCGACCAATGCATCCAAAGAGAGGCGTGCTAGCGTGACAGCTTCATCCGAGATGTCGGCACGTACAGGACGAGGACTTTCTGCCAGACCAGGCACAATACTTGCCAACACAAGCACAATGATGCGAGTCAACTCGAACAGTTGGTCAATGTCATCCGACAGATGGTCATCTGCACTCATACCCTGTCTCGAGGAGGGATGACCGACGCAGAGGTTTCTCGCAATCTCGACAATGACAGTCTGCACGTTTGATGGCTCGGTAAGAACCATGCGATCAAGCAGATCCATTGTCTCGTTGAAGATGACCTCTTGGTAGATGGCGTTACCAGAAATTGAAGGTCGAAGGATTCTCTTGAGTGCTTGTAGAATCTCGAGCTTTTGTGCTCTTGCAGTTGCAGAATCTGCGCCAGGCTTACTTGCCAGAGCTTCAAACGCAAGGCCAAACAACACGAAGAAGAATGCTACAGGTTCTTCACGATAGTTGATGTCGGTCCCGCGTGACACAGCGTTACCGTTGTCAGTATCAGCTTGCGTCTTGCCGTCCAGTGCATCGAATACAAACTCGCTGTCCTCATCAATCAGGCTGGCAATGGCGTCGACGAGACTTAACCACGAGTCCTGATAGAACTTCAGCAAGGTCTCACGGTTCAACGCAGCGTAGACTGTCTCGAGGTCATCTGATAACGGTGTCGCACTAGTGTTGTTCGAAATGTCTGGTTCGAAGCGCAAGCGTGAGTACTCTCTGAGGGACGATAACCAGAGCGGAGTCAACTTCGCAACATGAGGTTTGACTACATCGACCAGATATTTCTGCTCAGCAGTGGCGATTTGGAGGCCAGCCCATGCAGAGAAGACCGACATGCGTACCATAACCTGAGCATTGGGACTAAGGCCCTTGAGCTCTCCGATGGAAGACGTTTCGCTAGATCCTGCAAAAGTCTCAAGAGCTGCTACCAGAATCTTCAAGATACGCCCCATTCGGTCAATATCGGTGACGATACCTGTCGATACGAAAGTAGCGCAAACGTTGATCGCTTCTGCGGCTAGTTCAGGAGACGAGTCGACGGCGAACGCAGGAGTCAACGCGGAACTGATCTGGGCTTGATATTGCTCGAGCAGCATGGCCTCGGTGAAATCGGGATCAGGCACACCACCAAACAGTCTTAGCACCTGGTCGATGATATGCAGACCAAGGATGCGAAGACCCACAACGTTGGCAGTGGAAGCGGAGAAAGCGACGCGTACAACATCCGCCACTCTCTGTTGGAGCGAAGCTAAGGCAGGAATGTCTTCATTGATGGCCGATTCCTTGACGACACTATCCAAGAGGCTGTTGAGAAGGTCCATGCCAAACAGCCGTACCTGCCATCTCATGAGCTCTTGGCTTGATGTTGGCGCAGAAGCATCTTCGTCCTTCGTGCCTGCTCCAGCAGCAAAACCTGCGACTTCTTCATCTTGAAGGTCAGTGGTGGCTGCCTTTTTGGCTGCGGCCTCGTCTTGGACAGCATTGTCGACACGGGCCTTGGCTTTGGTGAGGACTGAGTTGCATCTCTGTATCCAGCCCGCGGTATCTGTCAGTCCGGTCTGTGACAACCAGTTGACGAAGATCTCCTTGATTGTCTCCTGGGCCGGGTTTTGATCGAGCACGTCCCAAAGCTTTTCTTCGAGTCCAGGATTTGCGGCACGTACGATATCCTCAGCGTCCCGACGCATAAGATTAGCCAATCCTTTGATCGCCATGTCACGAATCTCAGGAGATTGAGAGTCGAGATCTGCTTGCAAGCGCTTTACATACTGCTCAAACTCCATATGACCAGGGGCATACATCGAGAGGTTGCCTAAACATCTAGTGCTTTCGACTAGAACTAGAACATCATTTTCGGTCTGGAACTGTCGGATAAGAGTTAATACCATGCCACGAGGCTTGGCCATCTCAGAAAGGTCTGGACCCATCACGTTGATGATGGCATCAACACAGCACACATTGGCAGCAGTCGTTTGTAGCTCGACTTCCAGGTTGGAGGAAGCTAATGGCCCAGTCTCCGCGTTATGCGTGTCTAGTACATACAATTGGCCAAGAAGCCCAATCGTGCTCGAAACGTAGCCGGAGAATGTCAAGCCGGCCGAATCAACAATCCTCTTAAGACTTTCCAGTGCCCAAAAGTGTACCAGCGGATGCGGGTCAGCGCAAAGAGACATGAAGATACCAAGTATGGTCTTGAGATGGAAGCTGGCTGCCATACCACCGAGAGAATTGTGTATGCAAGCAAGAGCCAGGGCACAGCCAGATCGGACGTGAGGTTCAGTGTTCGATACGATAGTCTCGATTAGGTAGTTGATTTCGCGTGAAGTCAAGTCATTGCCGCCCGCCTCGCAGAGGTGGCCTAGAGCTTGAGCAGCGATGTGCCGAACGCTTTCGTCAGGGTCGGCGACAAAGTTNNCTACCACCGTGTCAGTCACAACACTTCGTCTGAGGCCTTAAAAACTTACGTGAAGCAGATTTTGCATGTTCTTCTCCGCGTTTGCACTCTGCAATTTACCTTCCAGCCCCTTGACTTGACCCGTTAATACCTTGCAAGTCACAAGTAGGGCCAGTGCAACATTCGCACTTAGTGCTGTCTTCTGTACTACGCTCTTCTGCACAGCGGGTGATGTCAGGAAGGCGTTCACTTGTTCTAGTATGCTGTCTTGTATCCTAGGAGATTGCAAAGGGAAGGCTAGCGCAAAGATGCCAATTGCACTGTTTACCACTTCTGTAGCTGGTGGCTGTGGTTGATCGTATACTCGAGGTCCATCGGGCGTAACGTAAGAAGTCGTTGAATCGTGCTCCCATGCTCCGCCAATCGGTGAAAGAANGCTGCTAAAGGTCAGCGCGGCTAAGAAAATAAGTGGTGCATATCTTACCGTCCTGTCTATTATTGCTTCGTAACTGTGCCTTGAGGTCCAGTGATCTTCCGACTCACCCTGTCTCTCAAAAGGCAGAGGGGAATAGTCCAAGCCGTTGATCAAGCCATTCACGCCGAACCCGCTGTTGTCGCCGACTCCCCAAATGTTGTCAAGTGTACCAGCAGAACTGGCGATAGATACGCTCAATGAGGAAGGCCCGAGACGTTCTGGATCAGCGAATGAAGACACAGCTAACGGCAAAACGTTAGACTGAGTCGCAATCTCTGAAGCTGCGGCCGGACTAGCAGTCACAAGAGCGGTGTAACATTGGAACACCCTACGCCTGACCATGAGATCAAAGTCTACCAATTGCAGAGCTGGAGATAGTCGTTGTGACATGTCCTCGGATGTCTTCTTTTCAGGCAAGATGGAGAGGAATGTGCCGGTGTTCTGCAACATGCTCGCAAGTCGTCTCGATACATCAGAGGTCAGAAGCTTGATGTTGTAATGCAAGAATGCCTTGACAGATCCCAATGCGCACTCACGAACGTGAGCAAGGAAACTCAGCTCGAGTTGACTTTGTCGCGCCATGTTTTCTTTGTTTGGAGGTGCAAGTGCGTTCTTCCACAGGAGCAACAACTGCGAGAGATGTGTCTTGACAAAGTTGGGTCCGAGCGACATGAGACCACCAATCATGATCCAAGCGACCTGCACTTGGGTACTGGATACTCGCAAGTCAGAGTTACTGCTGGACTTGAGTAGGCCAGTGGCCTGTGACAGCACACGAGCGTAAACGTCCACAGATCCATAAAGGGGATGCTTGTTCGAAGCACTCAAGACAGCAGCGAGACCGTTTGCATATCCGGCACATCTTCTCGGACTCTGACGGGGACCAGTAAGTAGACCAATTTCCCGATTGACACTGTTCATACAGATTGTCACGGTCGGAAGAAGTTGTTGAGGACAAGCCAGAACAAACGATCTCAAACACCTCGAAGCATGAACCTGAACAGTATAACTTGGATGCTGCAGCACTTGCAATAGTGATTCACGACAAGTTTCCGAGACGACGCTTACAGCAGCGTCGAGCTTGTCGATTAGTGATGCCAGAGCACTTAAGGCGGCCGTGAGCACCTGTTTTCCTGGCTCCGGTCGCTCCTTGATGACTTGCGGATAGTCTTTGATGATGTCGTTCATAAGGAATCGGGCAGCATTCAGCTGAGATGTCTCTCCTAGCATACCTCCAACCACATGCTGTAAGATAATGCGAACAAACTTCCTGGTCATGAGATTGCGATAGCGGTGGTATATGAGACTCTGGTGACTGAGCAGTTCGGTAAACAGATGTCTAGCAATGACACCGTATTGTCTTTCAACAACGCTCTCACCCAGCGCAGTGAATATCTGCTTGTAGCATATAGCGATAGCAGCACGGGTACGGTTCGAAGCTGCAGGTTTGCAATACTGAGTAGACAGTTGGCGCATAATATCCAGCAGGCTGAAGGCAATTGAGGTGATAGGTTTGGATGATACGGGAGTGGTGGGACGCTCGATATCCTCTTCACCATCATCAGCGGCTCCTTGTTTCTTTGACTTTTTGATTTCTTCGGAAGGAAGAACGTCTCGTACAGGAGCCTCGGAGAAGCTCTTGACAAACACAGCAGCCATGCAAGTAGATGCAGCGTGACGCACGGGTACCGAAGGACTATCCATGGCTTTCCACAAGGCAGTTTGCAACTTCTCGAAATCATTAGAGTTGTCATAGTAGGAGGTGTAAGTGGCCAACTGCTCAAGACACCAACAAGCATTAATCTGAACCAGCAGAGCCTTGTCGCTCGAAGCAGCACTGCGGGCCGACTTCCAGAACTCCTTTGCAACGGACTCATCAATGGAGTTGCCAATGCCTCTGACGACTCTACCCAGGGCCTTGTAAACTGCACTTCTCAAGCCTGCATGACTAGACGCTGATTTGAAGGTGCGCACGAGGGATGCACAAGTCAAGCTAGACAGACTAATGGCGCTGTCACCAGCTGCTTCGAAGATTGCGCCCAGACAATGTACAGCGGCATGTTTAGCCTTTAGAGGCTTGTCTTTCCCAGCATTGAGAACAGCAACCAGGTCGTTGATGGACTCGTATAGCAGCTTGCGGTTTCCTTTGGTAAAGAGGGATGCGAAGGTGTTTGCGAGATTGTTACGAATGACACGTGTTGGAGCGGGTGAAGGGAGTCCGACAATCTGTAGAAGCTCTTTCTTGATCCAGACTTGGTTCGCTGAAGCGCCGTCTTCGTCCGAGAAGGATGCGTGACGAGCGAGGTCCGAGGTGAAGGTCAAGAGGTATAGGTCCTGTTGCTCGGAGGGGAGACCATGAAGCTTGGCTATGTCGAGTTGTAGGGTCGAGTCGGCCACCGGAGGCGGGGCGTTCTGATCTGTCGACATTTGCGATTGTGATTAGGAGGAATTCATTGGAATTGAATGTGTGTTTGTTGTGGATTATGTGAATGGTTTCAGGAGTCAAGCACCCTTGACCTGTAACTGGCGAGACCCCCGATGATGCCGCATCCATCTCCACACTTGGCGGGCCGTGGTTGAAGATGAGCTCGTGAATTTATGCTCCTTCCTCGTCGCATTCCATTTCCTTCCTGTCTCGTTTGTCGCGTTTGCTTTCTGTTTTGTTCATCGTTATGCAGTCTTGTCCGTCCCTCGCTCGACCATGTCGTCAAACATACCGATGCCTCAGTCGCCGCGCCACCGCCTCCCGCAGCTTCCACCAAGCAGCCGCATGCCAATCGGGACACAGCAGATGGTCAAAAATCAAGCACGACAAGGCCAAAGCCGATAGTTCCAAGAACAAGGCCCGGAGTGTCTTTGCACAGGAAATAGCCACGGCCTCCAAACTCTTTGGCGGCGACCCAAACTTCAACCCTAGACTGGCCGATTTGATTGTCAAGGCCAACAGGAGTGGTTTCGCAAAAGCCTCGATTGAGGCAGCTATAGCTCGTGGTCAAGGACGATCCGTCAATGGCGCCGCTCTGGAGACTGTCACCCTCGAAGCCATGTTGCCCAACAACGTCGGCGTCGTCATCGACTGCGAGACCGACAGCAGACTACGAACGCTGGCCGATCTCCGAGTCATAATCAAGCAACATGGTGGAAACGCCACGCCCACGGGCTATCTCTTCACCAAGAAGGGCCGCATAATATTCGCCAACAAGGACGGTGTGGGTGTGGACGAGGTCTTCGAGCCTGCTCTGGAAGCAGGTGCCCTGGATGTGGATGGAGATGGCGAGGGTCGAGTGGTTGTATACACCGAACCTAGTGACACAAAGTCGACCGGAGAGACCTTGTCAACAGCGCTGGGTTTAGATATCGCCAGCTCAGAGATCATCTCAGATGCCAATGAGGACACCAAAGTGGCTCTGAGCAACGCCGAAGCGACGCAGGAGCTGATCAAGTTCGCCGACGCCATCCAGGACAAGGAGAGTGGAGTGCAGGGCATCTACATGAACGTAGCCCAAGGTACGCTAGAAGAGGGAGCGTGGGCCGAGTTGCAGAGCAGAATCACGGCTTGATTGTAATGTACATATAACCAGCAATATACCCCAATGTCGATATCTCCCCTCCTTTTTGCGCCAAAACTCCGCCATGCCTTTCCCATAATGTACAGTGTGGTATTTCGATCGTAATGCGAGGCGGCTACTTGAGCCATGAGAACCAGCCTTGGGATTGTGAGTTGTTTGTCGATTGTTCGGGCTGCTGTGGCTGTTGGAAGGAGGCAGAATCAGTGTTCTTCAGAGTCTCGAGGATGGGACTGGGTTGAGAGTCGACGTGCTGCTCAACAGGAGCATCTTTGCCCTCGAGTTCGAATCTTCTCTGGCGAGCGGCCAAACGGCGAGCGCGTAGTCTAGCCAATTCTGACTGAATCTCGTCCTTTTCGAAGGGAATGTGATGGGTCTCGTTCTCCTTGGGCCAGAAGTCTGGGATGGAGAAGCGCTCGTCGAGGTTTGTGCCAAAGTAGTACATCCAGCCGATGGGGAACATGATGTACATGCCAANACTGGTGGCGCATTAGTGTTTGGTGTGCTGGACGGGTCGCATGGAAGGTACCTTGAAGACTTCGAGATTGGGACCTCCCATGATTGCGGTGTTGGATAAACAGATGTGGTATAGAATTGTCTAGCGGATTGACTCTTGTTCTTGAATGGATCAAAGGTGGGCAGAGCGTCAGCAGACACCGAGACGCCGATTGAAGATTGTCGTGCATCTCAGGGTTTTGTCACATTCAAAATGCCTGAGAAAAATGCGGCGTGAATGCGACACCTCCGAGATGTAATTCACTGCTACCTTATGTGCCTAAACAAATTCAGTCGGGTCCAAGGCCAAACACAGTGGCTCCATTCTTTCACTCGCCATCAATCTGCGCTCGCGCAACCCGTCAGTTGCGCGCACCCTCTTGGTTTCCCTTCCCTCCTACCAACTGCCACCATTCATTCCATGCCGCGACTATGCAGCCCGAAAAGGTTGCGAGCCAAATGGACCATCTAGCCGTCCAGGAACAGCCCAAGAAGCGGAAGCCTCGCTGGTCCAANGACCAAGAAAAGGAACAGGCCGCTCTCAAATCATCGCTGCAAGATCAACACGCTGCCTTTCCACCTCCTCTCGACCAGCTTCCGGACCAACCTCGACAACCTCAGCAGGATCCCAACTCCAATCTCGTCCGCTATCTGCCCTTCGACGACGCTTTTCCTGACTCCTCCTATCGTTCTTCGGCCTTTCGACCCATCAACGCCCCGGCCCATGACTATCCTCCACCAATCGCTCCTCGCTCTTTCCAACCTATAAACCCCCATCCCTCGTCGTTCTTTGCGCCCTCCTATGCAAGTCTTCCTCCGCCGCCTCCGCCGCCTCCACCTTTCTGGACACCTCAGACGCAGCAATCTCAACATGGTTATGCACATCCCATCGATTTCTACTTCCAGTCCCAAGCCTCTTCCTTAGTCGCCGCCTCGCGTGCTTCTGCTCGCCCTTCTGTCCATACACCTGGCCATCAGTCAAATACACGGCAGGGCCATGTCAAATTCTTACGTTCGGACCACATTCAACAGCCACCACAGGACAATCAGGATCCTGAAGTCCGCACTCCCAGACCGTCCGACAAGCGCGCTCGTGTGTTTGGCAAACTACTCCGTCCGACCCCCTCCCTTCCATACCTTATGAACTCTCTCGTTACAGCTCCCAAGCTTGACCAGCCAAAATCTCTGCTTGTCGTTCTAGATCTAAATGGTGTTCTAGCATTTCGCAAGAAAAAGACTAGGGGTTACCACCCTAGACCCAACCTTGGCCATTTTCTTGACTACTTGTTCGCCAATCACCACGTCATGATCTGGTCAAGCGGTATGCCCGACAATGTTGAGCGTATTATGGGACACATGCTCTCCTACGAACGACAACAAAAGCTTGTAGCCATTTGGTCACGCGACAAGCTTCGCCTACCAGCCCATCTGTTTTCCGAGAAAGTCCAGGTTTACAAGCAACTAAGCTGGATCTGGGAAGACCCAACCCTGCAGATGAATGCACCGCTGGGAGGCTGGAGCCAGAGAGACACAGTGCTGGTTGACGATTCAGTCGATAAGGCAGCCGCTGAACCTCACAATCTGATAGAAGTGGATGAGTTTACCAACAGTGCTGCCCAGCACGAGAACACAACTCTGTTAGATGTCATCGCATATTTGGAGCGTATTCGCTGGTACGATAACGTCAGTGCAGAGATACGCGCTGCTCCATTTGTTGCATCTAAGGCTTGATTGCACTCCAAGTCTGTTTCTCACAGCATATTGTACGATAACATGACCTCCAAAGATACCCCTATACTGCCTGCTTTTTCTTTCTCAATACATACATGTACCAAGCACATTGCTTTTTCCACCACACGTGCCACATGTATTCACTATTTCCATCTTTGCTTTGATATTCCAGGTCTGCTGCAACCCACCACCTCTACGATTCTCCTGAAAACTAAATTTGGATAGCCCAATTTTATTGGCATCATTGTTGACTACCAGACAAGCAGCATAGCTCTGTGAATGAACACAAGCCTAAAGCAATGACTACTCATGGGTATATTGTTCCTCACGATTTATGCACACATGTTGAAGGTAGGGGCGTGAATATCGAATTCTTGATACAGGGTCACTCCGACGACATCTCGTCAAAGCGTGCAAAACCGCTCTATTGCTGCTCCCTATGCCTCAAACTTCCCTTCCCCACCATACGCCTTGTGACAAGACATCCGGTAGGCCATCACGGCTTCGAACATATGCAACATGCTGCACATTCTGTTGTTGTATATTGACCAGATTTGCGAGATCGGAGTGTCCCAGCCGTTCCACCACCAATATGGATGAGTCGCAAGTAAACCAACTGTTTAGAGATGCGGCTCAAAATGGCGACCGCAATACTCACTCGGGAAGCCACAACGAGCAACACCAGCCTTCAAACCCGATGTTCGGAGGTGCAGACGCAAATCAAAATATACTTGATCAAGACCCTACCCTGGACGACTTTTCCAATGCTCCTTTTGACTATTCAAGTCTGAGCAGCCTTTACATACCCAGCTCTGAACTTACGACGGATTTCGTATCTGCAATACCTCCCATGGAAACCTTCGAGCCATCATATGATATTCTCGGTACTGCTGAGGGTAAGGGCCTAGAGATACCTCATGGATGGAGCAACGAATACATGGATGTTGCGCCACTAGCCTCATCTTTGGCGAACAGAGAGATTCGAAAGTCTGGCAAGTCTTGGAGTCAGCTCCTTGCCGAACAGCGGAAAGCGTCGCACAGTAGTGGTCTGCCACGACGTCGAAGTCGCTATCGCTTGAATCGCATGGACAGTAACAGCACGACCACGAGCATACCAATACCAGAGTCGTCATCTGCCGAACGATATGACCCGTTGCAGAGATACCAGAACTCACCACCCGAGGATGACTACGTGTCTATGGCAGCCGTCGAGCAAGCGCTGCAAAGCAGTGATTTTGATATACTGGATCCCAGCCACGTTAGTCAGCCTGCAGAGGTGCACTACCCTGGCAGAGGACGTCGAAGTCGACCTGGCTCTATCGCAAGTGTGGAGAGCGCAGCAAGTTCTCCTTCGGTTCGATCATCGAATTCGGCCGCATCCAGCATTTCTGCAAGATCGCGCTCTGCACGAAGGCGACCGCAAAGGACTCGCAAGCCCAAGACACAATCAGATAAAGCGCACATCTTCAAGTGCACCTTTTGCTGTGACACGTTCTACAAAAGATACGACTGGTCGAGGCATGAAAGGTCACTGCATCTCAATCTAGAGGTCTGGCTATGCTGTCCTCAAGGAGGCTCAGTGTTTTCAGAGGCCACTGGCAGGAATCACTGTGCCTACTGTCAAGTGCTAGATCCAACGTTAGAGCATCTCGACAGTCACGACCACAGCAATTGTGTGAGAAGCTCGCGACGACAATTCAACCGTAAAGATCACCTAGTTCAGCACCTCCGGCTATTTCATCGATTACAGACCATGCCACTGATCGATGAGTGGAAGACNCAAGGTCCGAACATCACTTCTCGCTGTGGATTCTGTGATCGCAGAATGACGAACTGGGATGAAAGAATCGAGCACTTGTCCGGACACTTCCGTGCTGGACGTACCATGAAAGACTGGCGAGGTGACCACGAATTCGAACCCGAAATTGCCGCAAGGGTCACCAATGCGATACCACCATATCTTATTGGCGATGAAACGGAGACTATCGTACCGTTCTCCTCGACTAATCATGTAGTGAGAGATCATGTCGCACAGATTTCTTCACGGCTAACAGCAATGCCTTCTGAACCTTCTGAGCCAACGTCGCCTCTTCCACTCACCCCAGAGATGGAGGTCCCGTCAACGCAAACCAATAATTTGACCCTAAACGAGATGGTAATATTCCATCTTGGTCGATATGGGCGGCAGCAGTTGAGCTTGGGAATTATACCTACAGATGAGATGTTCCAGAATGAAGCTCGAAGGTTGCTCTATGATTCGGAAGACCCCTGGAATCAGTCTCTTGTAGACAACCCTGAGTGAGTTTCTATGGTATATCTTGAAGCTAGAATGATGTACTGATATTTTGCAGANTGGTTGGCAGCTTTTCGTTTATTACATGGATGGACAAATACAGGAGTCTAGTAGATAGAGTAGAAGTCCTAGATTCTAAGCATGTCCGCTGGAGCAGGTTGCTCTCTCGAGAGCCATACCATTATTTCTATAGGTGCAAGCATAAATGTATACCTTGAAGTGATACAGATCGGCGCCGCCAAGAAATCTGTAATAGCTTCTCTGTTTGCACCTCACTCTCCTGGTGTTTCGAACTTCGTCAGCATCAACACCTGTATGTTAATAGACGCATACGACACATATCTTCAAGCCGTTCGACCCGATCTAGTCGAGTCTATAGCAGGAGGCGAAACGCCGCAAAGGGGTCGTCGACCGACGTTTGACCTATTGCCGAAGATCACACACACACCCAACGGCCTCCACCTCGCCCTCCATAACAATCTCCACAAGCCNGTCCTGTTTGTCTGTTAAACGGCCACGGCACATTTTCAATGGAATGACGCGCTTATATGCTATGCAAGACATGGCGTTCGAGTCCTTTATCTTGCTCAAACGTCGTGATCCGGCAACTAAACAGCAGATCTCCAAAACGCTCAGAGAGTATGGGTGGTCATTCTGAGGCGACTCAGTACCTCGAAAGGAAATATGCACGAAGAAAATGACCCATGTCGACCGCGTGGAGACCCNCTTGCAGCTTGCATTAGACGNCCGCCCCAGCCCGTGTTTCAGATCTTGCGAAGTCACTCAGTNACCAAAGGGCATTTCTCTTCATGAAGAGATGGTCTGGCCTGCTATAAGGTAAGGACGATCCGTAACGGTGACTGACGACTATTCATTCTTCCTATGTCATCTTCTTTCATTCGTCTGTTCTAGCTTCATCAAAGCTGAATATATACGCTCGTTACAACCCATCACACTCACTTCATCATCACAACCAACTCAAACTCCTCTTCATCATGTTGTTCAACATTCTCTCATCCTCTTTGCTGCTGGCAGTAACCACCTCTGCGCTTCCTGCCGAAATCGAGCCTCGAGCAACAAACCAATACCTTACAAACTCTCACACGGCTATCACGGAGCTTCAAACCTTTTACAACTCTCCTCGTCCTGGTTTTTGGAGTGCAGGCTGGTGGAATACTGCCAATTGCCTCACTCTGCTTGCCGACCTGCGCGCAAAAGACGGTTCTTCTTTCCTGACATCTATCACCGATGGCGCCAATGGTGTCTTCACACACACCCTGAACAGCCAAGGCAAAGACAGCACCGGAGCTCTGAACTGGGATGATTTCTTCGACGACCAATTGTGGTGGGTCGTGGCACTCATCAAGACCTACGATGTCACCAAGAACACCAGCTTCCTCAAGACTGCAAATGCTACCTTTGCCTCGGTCAACCTGAACAACAAGCCCTCCAACAACCCTTGTGGAGGTCTTGCCAATGCTTATCCTTCTGAGAAGTATCTGGTCAAGAGCAGCACCATCGCTACAGTCCTCTACGTAGAGGCTGCAGCTTTACTCGCCGTCCGCTACCCAGCTCAAAGCACCTACTTCATCAACCTCGCCAAGACCCAATGGAGCTGGTTGTCCCAAAACATCCTCATCAACGGCATCATGCAAGGCGATTCCTTGACCGGCAGCCCTCCTTCCTGCGGCAACAACCACGCCTTCTTGACTTACATCGAAGGCGTAGCCCTACAAGCTCTAGTCGCCCTCTACCACGCCACAAACGATGCCTCCTACCTCTCCACCGCCGACACCCTCGCCACCGAACTGCTGTCTGGAAAATACGGCATGATGGACACCAACAAAATCGCCCAGGAGTTCTGCGACGCAGATTTGTCTTGTAATCCTGATGAAGCACAGTTCAAGGGTATTATGATGAGGGGCTTGCGTACTTTGCGTGATGCAAAGCCTTCGGCTGCTGGAGGACAGATTCAGAGCTTCTTGAACAAGAATGCGGATAGTATTTGGAGTAACAGCAGACAGAGTGGTACTAATTTGCTGGGAGAGAAGTGGGCTGGTCCGTTTGCGTTGGGAAGTAGTCAGGCTTTGCAGTTGAGTAGTCATAGTTCTGCTACTATGGCTTTGGTGCAGGCTGCTCTGGCTAGTATGTGAGAGGATTGCGAGGAAGAATTTGGAGGATATCGGGAGTGGGCAGAGCGGAACGGAGTGGCAGCATAGCATGAACAGTTTTTCTCTTCTTTTTGCATTTGGTCGGCTGGCTCGACCGACAAGGACGATTCAGTTCAATAGATAGATTACAATGAAGAGTTCTGCATGAAAACACATGTCTTTCCGTCTCACATACGACGTGGCTATCCTAACAGCTTGAAGATTGCACCATCTTCTGATCTTGCTTCCTCCCCGTGTGGTAAAGTATATAACTTCCACCATATTCCGACTGTAGCTGAGAGCAGAATGTACACTATAAAAAGACACAATTGTTCTTAGAAACAGGGCGTTGTCCACAGAAAGTCGAAAACTCATCGCTTCTTAGTGGATACTGTCTCGTTTCCTTATCGTGTATTCCAACAGCCTCACGCGTTATATACTTTTGCACACGGGGAGGTTGTTATCACAGAAGAAATATATGTTGATCTGAACCATCCCCAAAGCTTGGAGAAGCATGCATGTGAATGACGTGTGAGGAAACAAGACATCATCACTTTTCCCCACCCACCTACCCGTCCAGTAAACACCCATTGACAGCAACACCTTTTGCAAGACAGACGTACGTTCCTCGAACCAGCTCTTCGAATCCGACACATACGAACCCATGCTGAAGCAAACAGCCCTCCGCTCAATCTGCACGACCACTTCTTACCCTCGTGCTCGCATCCTCACCTCCATCCTCTGCTGCCACCGTACCTTCACCTCCACGCCCACCACCATGAAAGCCCANAAAGGCACCATCCACAGTATCCAAGACGTCTCCACCTCAGACACAAAATGGGTCGCTTTGCGAAAGATCTCCTGGACAGACCAAAGCAACGTGTGTCGCACCTGGGAAGTGGCTTCTCGCAAAACACGCGGTAAAGCCGGTGTCGACGCCGTCGCAATGGGAAACATAATCCTGCATCCTACAAAGCCTCCAACCACGATATTGGTATTGCAGTATCGGCCGCCTATTGATGCCATTTCTGTGGAATGGCCGGCGGGACTGGTGGATGCGGAGGAAAGTGTCGAAGATGCTGCTGTAAGGGAACTCAGAGAGGAAACAGGTTACGAAGGAAAAGTAACTTCTGTGAGCCCTATTGTGGCTGCTGATCCAGGAATGACGAGTGCGAATATGCAGTTGGCTATGATGGAAGTGCATCTCAAAGAAGGAGATAAAGAACCAGAGCAGCAATTGGACGAGGGCGAACATATCGAGCGTGTTGTTGTTCCCATTGCTGAGCTCTACGAGAAGTTGGTCGAGTATAGCAACATGGAGGGGTATATGGTTAGTGCAAAGCTTTTCCATTGGGCACATGGTGTGCATATGGCAAAGACGAAGAGTTATCTGTAGAGATGACATGCAATTGCGGATATTTGACTGCCTGCAAGAGAGCATCCATGAATGATATTAAAAATGATTATAGTCTGTCTGTTCATGCCCTCATACGATATATACCATGAGATTCATTTTGAATCAACCGATCTACCCAACCCTTGCCAATTTTTTCATCTCCCAGACGCCAAATCATCATACGTGAGTACCCTTGAGCAGCTCCTGAAGCTCAGCTGCCTTGACCAACTTACAACTCGTACCCTCACAGATCTGAACCATATCTTTGTCTGTTTGAATCGACCCAAGAAGCTCGTTTCTCTGTTTGAGCCAATCGCTCTTGCTATGGCCTCCAATTCTGACTACCGTCGAACCAGGACGAACCATTTGGCGGAGCTGCTCCAGTGCACCCTGCACTTCTGGGCTAGATTCGGTTCCTGATATCACAATGGGCTTGATATCGAGGTTTGAGTTGACCACTGTTGACATAAGACCAGTGAACAGACCAGGGTGCTGAACCATCTCCACTTCAAACGCCTTGGCTGTGCGCAGAGCAAGATCGGAGTATTTCGAGTCATCAAGCAATGACGAGAGTCTGGTCAGATTTGTCGCGCTCACACCGTTGGCGCTGGGTTCTGCGTTGTCCATGGCATCCTTGCTGCGAATCAAAATGTCAGGAGCGTGGGCTGGTGTGCCAAAGAAGCCACCCTTGGTTTCGCTTTCATTATCAGCGAAATGCTTGATTTGTGATTGTTGCAGCTCATCAGCCCACTGCAGGTACGAATCGTCAAAGGTTGCTTCATAGAGGTCGATAAGACCGCTGATAAGGAATGCATAATCATCAGCGAACCCTGCGGTAGCTCCTGGACCTTCTCGGTAAACTCGTCGCAGTGTTTTGCTTTCTGAATCGTAGAGTTCCTTTCTGATGAATTGAGATGCTGATATGGCAGCCTCAAGATACTTCTTGGATGCTTCAGAATTGGATTGCTTCAAAGCAGCAGCTGTGCGAGCGAGACCGCCAATAGCTAGACCGTTCCAGGAAACAACAATCTTGTCGTCGAGGAGAGGGCGAGGACGATGTTGGTCACGCCAGTCGGATAGCCTTTGGCGACCAGTCTGGACAGTCTTTGCTGCGTCTTCTTCGGATAAGCCAAACTGCTGAGCAAGTTCTGAGAGCGAAGAGGTCACACAGAGCGTGTTGAGTCCCTTGAGTTCACCCTGGATGTCATGTTTTGAGCTGACATTTCCGTTAGGCTTTACGTTCCAATATTTGGCGAGCATGTTGGCCATTTTGTCATCGCCAAGAGCCTTGTAGAACTCTGAATAAGACCACACATAGAAAGCACCCTCCTTGTGTTCCTTATCGGAGGCACTCGGCGCGCTGTCAGCGTCTTCAGAGGCGTGGAAGCCGCCGGTGGGGGANNAATGTATGGGTGGTGAGGTGAGGTAAGTAGCGATGTCGTGGACGGTTTTGAGGAAGAGGGGATTTTTGGTTATCAGCCAGGCATCGAGGTAAACAGGCAGCAGTTGAGCGTTGTCGTAGAGNNCCTGCAGACTTGTTAGCAGCGTCCAAAGGAGCAATCGAGGAACATACATCTTCTCGAAGTGTGGTAAGCTCCAATCTTTGGTGACGGAATATCTAGCAAAACCGTGGCCAACCTGGTCCTTCATACCACCTTTGGCCATGTTCTCGAGTGTCTTGGAGACCATTTNTTGAGCATTCTGCACAGCGTCGTCGCCTATGACATCCTTGACAATGCCGTCCCACTCGCCAAGCCTTAGCAAGAAGGAGAGGTGTGAAGGTGTAGGGAACTTTGGAGCACCGCCAAATCCACCGTACTGCTCATCGTATCTGGACTTGTAATGATCATAAGCCTCTTCCAATAATTCCAGCTCAAGAACATCGTCGCTTTCCTCAGCACCTTCGCCCGACCTCCTCCCGGAGAGGGTACCTTCCTGAGCGAATTGTTTGAGCTGATCGGTAATGTTGGCAGCGCTTTCTCTGCATCGGGATTCCTGCTCCTTCCACGCGCTAGCGACCTTAGTCAGGATGGCCTCGAAGCCACCACCATGGCGAACGCGTTCGCTCTTCGGACCTGGCCAATAGGTACCGCCAAACAGCGGTTGGAGATCTGGAGTGACGAAGACATTCAGTGGCCAGCCTCCACCACCAGTCGTGGCCTGCAAGAAGTCCATGTAGACCTTGTCGACATCAGGACGTTCCTCGCGATCGATTTTGACAGGGATGAAGTGCTCGTTGAGCAGCTGGGCGATGCGATCGTTCATGAAGCTCTCGTGAGCCATGACATGGCACCAGTGGCAGGCAGAGTAGCCGATGGAAACGAAGAGCAGGCGGTTGGTGCGTTTGGACAGCTCGAGGGTCTCGGGGCTCCAGAGCTGCCAGGCTGTAGGGTTGTCGGCGTGCGATCGGACATAGGGCGACTTGCTGTCATTGCAGCGGTTGCTGAGCGACACGAAGCCGCCTTTGGACGAAGCAGTGCTCATGGTTCGGACAGCTGAGAGGCGAGTGATGGGGCGAAGACGGGATGAGGCGGCGACCGATGAGAATGCGGATAGTCCGAGACGCGATGACAATGGCATGCGCTTGTTGCTGCTGTCCTTGTCTAGTACTTGTACGTCGTTTGCGCGGTAATCTCAATCCAACAACCAAGAGCCTCTTCGCCGTACCCCACCAACTCCACTCTTCAACGCTCCTTCAGCTTGCGTCATTTTGGGGTCTACCTGCATCCACATGTTTAGCCTGTACCATGCATCATTTGTTGTGTTAAAACAGCCAATCTTGAATCAGGAGCTCGAGTCTAATCTATGTCGTCGCTAATTGCCGTTATCCGCCGTCCTTGTTGAAGACAGAATGGATGGTGCTGTTCCGATGACCTATTCCGGTGAAGAATCTATTGCTTACAGAGCCATGTACGGAGACAAGCTGCTAAGAAAGGCAGTAATGGCAATGATACGAGCTGACGTGCTTGAATCAATTATGTTGACAAGGGGGAATCCAGTTCCCAAGACTCGTACTCGGATCTGTCCGAAGTCTGTACCAAATCATCGGTAACAAGAAAACTATGAAGAAACCCTGTCTTGAACGAGGCGGAATAACGAGTGCAAACCAAAGTGCCTCTTCGACCAAGTTTCATCAAGTATCGAACACATGTGATGCACTGAGAGTCGTGTCACTCGGGAGTTGGGGGTGAAATAGAGAGTAAAAGTCATTGCTCGTTCCATCGGCCATTTTCGTTTCGAAGAACTGAGAGCTACTAAAGGTGACCACAAGCCATCCATCACATCCGTGCGTGAAGAAAATATTGACACTGAAAACGAGTAGTAGAAAGAGGTCGTGAACAGAACGCCGACTGTGCCAGCGCTGATGTCCTCGGTCTTTTTTTGACGGGCGAATGAAGATTCCAGCCTCACTGCCCAGAAACTCCTCCATATGCAATCAACAAAGAAAAGAAGAGAAGAGAAGATAATCAAAGGGTGAATGCCGCTGCCATCAAGACAACTCATCTAAGCCCGGTACTGTGAAGAAGAGAAAGTTTTGCCGTCAAAGTCGTCAGGCAACTTTTAGAGCTGCGCCGCCTGGACTGCTCCTCACAAGTCGTACGACCAGTTCTGGGTGGGCTTGTTGAGCGAATCACCAACGTTGTCGGCGTATTCACCAGCGTAGTTACCTTGAGACAGTATTAGTATCGTCTCGTGAAATTGATGGCTGAGAAAAGACTTACCAGGGGAGCCGTAGTTGCAGACGGTGAAGTAGGGAGAGACGTATTGACCAACGTTGGCAAGACCGCCAGAGCAGTACTGAGTAGCGCAACCGACCTTGGTAGTACCCTTCCAGACAAGCTGAGAGAAGTGACCCCACTTCTCGAAGTTGGTCATGTCGGGGTTGGCCTGACCGTAGAGGTTGTTGTAGTAGCCGACCTCGCCGTTGTAGAAGAGCTCAGTGATAACAGCGGAAACGTTGTTAGCCTCGACACCGGCGGCGATGTTCTGGCCGTAGCCACCACCGTTCACATCCATGCTGTGGGCATAGACGCAAGTGGCGGCGATCTGCTGGGCGGTGGCGGCAAGCTGCGAGTCCCACTCGAGGTTGCAAGCAGAGTGGTTGGCACGGTGGACGTTGTGGTGGGCAAGGACGATCTCCTGGTAGGTGGTAGCCTTACCAGAAGGAGCGGCAACAGTGCTGCTAGCCTGTGAACTTGTTTTAGCATTGCTGGTCAATGTAGATGACGAGGATTTTCTCAATGACGACGACGACTTGAAGGAACTCTTGGGCTGGGACGATGATGACTTGGAAGTAGAGGTAGAGCGGGATGAGGTAGTTGTGGGTTTGACTGAGATGGAAGAGGTCTTGGAGGATGATGTGGGTTTGAGAGAAGAGGAGGGTTTGATGAGAGGTGACGAAGATTTGGGATAACTGATGGGGGATGCAACAGATGACTCGCGCTTGCATGCGTTGCGCGAGGCAGGGACAGTGGCAACTCTTTCAACAGTGGAAGGGGAGAGAGAAGAGACCTTTCTGGTGCTCGAGGTTTTCTGGGAGGTGGTTGCCTTCGTGGAGATAGGAGTTCCCTTGACGCTGGTCGACACCTTCAACGTCGAAGAAGACTTCTTGCTGGTTGAAGTTGTCTTCCTCGTAGAAGAGGAAGATTTCTTGCTTGTCGAAGTTGCCTTCGAGGTGACAGTAGTCTTCTTCGTCGAGGAAGATGCCTTGACCGTCAAGGTTACCTTGATCGTCGAAGTGGCACGCTTGATTTGGGAGGAGGAGGCAGGGTGGAACATCTGGGCCATGAGGCTTTCGAAGTTCACACGGGGGTGTAAAGAATCACGAGAAAGAAGATAATTGAACGATTTAAGTAAGCTCACCTCAGTGGTGGCTGCAGGAGCAGCAGAAGTAGCAACAGCAGTGGTGGATTCGGCAGAAGGAGTCACAACCCAGGTAGAGGCCCAGGAGCTGGTCCAGGCACTGGTGTATCCTTGGGCAGGGGCAGGAGGAATGGCGGCCTTGGGGTCTGCGGATGATGAGGCAGCGACGGGAGCTGATGTGGCCGATGAGACGACAGTGGGAGCGGGAGCCTCACTGGTGACCACAGTGACAACAGAGGCAGCCGACGACTCAGCAGCAGGTCTGGACCACGAGTGACGGTGTCCATAGTACTGAGAAGTCACGACAGCCTCGGTGGTAGCGGCAGGGGCAGGTTGCTCTGCGGCAACAGTCACAGGGACAGTGACACCCTCGGTCTCGGTAACGTAGACGGTCTCATAGGCGACATCATAGACGGTGTCGATCTCCAGGTCGCGCTTGAAGATGGGACCAGCAAAGGCAGTGGCAGCCAGGGCGGCTCCAGTGAAGAGGGTGGTAGTGCGCATGATGATTTCTTAAGTTCTGTTGATCGTTGTTGATTGTAGGGGTCGTTTGTGTTTTCGAAGGATACCAGATCCGGATAAAGTAGAAGACTTGAAAGACTGATGTGCCAGAATATTAGTTACCACTGCTACTGCTGTTGCGTTCTGCTGCTACTGCTTTGGTCTTTCTAGAAGACAGCAGAGGCAGGCAGCTTTTATCTATTCATGATAACAAGAGAGTGATAGCAAAGATGAGGTGAATTGGTGATGCCGAAGGTTGAACGGCCAGAGTGCTCGACTCGCAATAATACCGTTCGTTGTCTCTGAAAGATGCCTGTAACGGTGTGCTCACCAGGGAACGCGGGTGTGTGTGGAGGATGTGGGCTGGATCTTATCGATCTTCAATGGCGAACGGTGGTGTTTATATAACGGCCAGGGTGATAGATGATAGTGAAAAGAGTGTGAACTTACGTGAAAGTCCTCGCGGAGGGAATGGCTTGCAGAGTGTGGTGGGACAAAAAGAGTGAAATGCAACCGTATAGGCGCGTGAACGAGAGACAAGAAAGAAGCGGTGGTCGACAACGAGAGAGGAAGTCGATGTGGCAGCGTGATGGTCGACTTTTGAATGGGCGTGTTGACGGGGCTAAAACGCTAGTGGCCGCACTAGTAGGCGCAACTCCTGTGACCGGGATGTGAGTGAGAGTGGACGTCGATGAAACACACTCCGCAAATGCAGGGCTGCTGTCGATTGCGTGGGAGCACCGTTAAAACGCCTCCCTAGGCGGACGGCTCCTTTGTATAAGGTTGGCTGCAGCAAGTGCTGAAGAATTGACTGCTTCGGTCCAGGGGCCTGTGTCATTCTTCAAGTCTAGACAAAGTTCAGGAGACTAGACTTGACATGTGGTTCAACTGCTACTCCTTGCTTCTTCGACAGGCATGGAATGTGTTTACTGGATCCGAACATACAGACCGCCCCAAACACCCATCCATCTCCTCCGCAACCACCTCATCACTGGAAATCGCAGCAATGTAAATCATGGAACAAAGGACTGCAAAGCCGTGTTTGCCTGATTCTCAAGCCGCGTCAGTCATGCTCTCCCAGGTCCAAACGCGGCCCGGCACGAGAATCAAGGTACCAAGGAAGTTTCATTCGTTGTCGCAAGAAAAGTTGTTCCTGCGTTAGCCACACATCTCTATTCTGTGGGGTAACCCCTGCCTTCTTTCGCTTCCGAGCCCCGAGGTTCAAACATGCTTTCTCGCTCGCTCGTATGACAGCGCCTCGCGCCTTATGCTATACCACCATACGAACCTGTTTCTCCGCCGACTCCAAATAGTCGCGACAAGCGCTCTCCTGAATCTCGAGCGTTGGCCGCCAGGGGAAGACGTGGTACAAGATTAAGCGCCGGCGAGATCTGTACTTCGATTAGGTATTTGACAAGGTTTCGCGGCCACGTAAAAGTAGCGTGGAAAAGGAGGGGCCGTTCAGGGCGCTCGGAAGCCTCGATCAGAAAACATTTGGTGACCTTCATCTACCAAAACATATCTGGTAACTTGCCAGAACGAAGTCACATCGACGCTATTGTCGTCACCTCTGATACGGCCTCCCGCTCACCCTCTGAATCCCGTTCTGAGTCACCTACTACACCCTTAAACCGCCCTTCATTGTTCGATTGTTGACGCCCTCGACTCATGACCGAACAAGCCCTCGTTCATTGAAGGTTCAGGTGCTCAAAGCTCGTCAACGCAAGTCGGTACGACATGCAGTCTCATGGGCGGTACTTCTGCACAACCTCGGAGCATGAAATGCCATGGAATGTCGTTGATTCTCGTAGCCGTTTTTCAGCTCACGTTCCGCAACGAAGTTTCAACCGCTGACTCGACAACCACCTTTCTCGTCTCTCCGCAACGTTAGCCGTTCAACAAAATAACTGTGTCTATCCTATCACCAGGGTAGCGAGGCGACCATCTGTGACTGACGCATCTTTGGGACGATGCGCATCATGACGTGAAGGTGAAGTGTCACAGCGCCCTCCTTACAACATTCCAGTCGATCACGAAACGCCCTGCTACCTTCAGCCCAAGGAACATCAAAAGCACCTCGAACCACTCCTTCTATGATGCGGCTCTGCTAATCACCATAATACTTACTGTCCATTTGCCTGAAACTTCCAAGCAGTCTCGAACCTCTATACGTCCAGATTGTGTCGCGAGGGCTGATCTCAAGACACGGCACGAGCACTTCAAGACGTCGACGAGGTTCGCTGGCTTCTGAATTTCCAGTCCTGGTCAAACGTGAGAAGAAGGCTGTCTACTTTCGCGTCAGAAAATGCTAAATGTCTGTTCTACTACTTGGGTGCTATAACGGATAGGATGCGAAATTTGTCGATGTTTCGACGGCTTCTATGATGCACCGGTCTGCTTGGCTCAACAAAGCAAGTCATAAGCTGTCCAACGAATACATGGTCGCACTCATTTGACGTGTTACCACTGGGATCTCTCATGTCGTGAGCTTTGTCGCCCAGTACGGGAAACATCGCTCCAGTCTCCTGCATACTCAACATTCAGGGCACTGGCTAGTGGCAGAGTACGTACCGAAGAGAAAATTTCCTATGTGCATTGACGCTACACGCAAACTCGAGAAGCATGATATGGTAGTGTATACGTAGGTGACCACATCAAGCTAAATTGCTGTAGGGTTTCTCGAGACAATAGTCCAATTGTTAGCCCTATGCCTTTATCGTCACCTGCATCTCAACAATTGTGAAGGTTCTCAATGTGGAACTGTACTGTGCTCAGACAGACAAGCATACACTTGGCTGCCCTGTCACAGGATTGACCTCGTTCACATGATTGGAGTCGGGTTCGTGTACGTGCGACTAGAATAGTGGCCCGAAGGCCAAGGCCACGCGGGAGGCGCGCTCAGCAAGACCCAGCATGGTAATATTTCTTGTTGCACGTATGCGTCTTGATGAGTCTGTTCGAATAGCAAGTCTAAGTGGCAGGAGATTGTGTACAGCGCTGTCCACCGCCCAGAGATGCAGCTCTGGTACCTATGACTTTCAAGGGTTACTTGTGTTGACGACAGAGTATTTCACTCGAAAGCCAATTCATTCGGTCGAGTTACGATGAAGACAGCCAGCATAGCTATAGTCGCAGGTCTATCTAGATATCATGCTCAGGCGCCCGAGGCGATCTCAGGGTCATCACTTTAGTAGACACTGCTTGGCTTGGTGGTGTTAATGAGCAGAGACGACCACTGATCACGATCTGCATGTTCGTTTCAGAGATCACGAAACTGTCACAGAACCTTCAGAACCATGGAACTTGCTGCAAGTCATTGTTCGGAATATAAAATTGGATTTGTTTCATGGAAACAATGACAGGCGAGTGTGCCTTGGAGCAATTTGTGGAGAACCGAAATGACGAACTCGAACCTGTTCTTCTTCATCACGGCAAGGCCGTCCACAACATCGACAATACAACATCAAGGATCGATGCAAATCTCTCTTCGCAATATCTCGAGTCAAAGCTTCGAAGATTGCGTACCGCCATCTGTCTATCTCTTACGTCCGGCGTCGGCTGCAACAATCTAGACTCTCCTGTCGCAATATGACGAACGAATTTGTGGTATACACGCACCTGATTCAAGTACGGAAAATTCTCCTGCGAAAGCACGACTCGTCGGGTAGCCACGAGAAACCATCGGCTTGTCAACAACCGTCAACGTTGTCGTTGACTTCAGGTCGTTGCTACCGGATAGCCGTTAGAGGAACGCATCGAGCTTGCCAAGAGCAGTTACGAAACAATAGTCGTCGCGAGGCACGACTCGCCTTGGAACTGGCAACCGGTCAAATGTCGTCTACTTACAGCAGAACTTTTCGGGCTTCGAAGTCTTCGATTGTTTGTCGTATTGCATGCGCATGTCACGAAAGCGCCGCTGCAGCTACTCTAAATCTGACAGATCTTGTTGCATATCTGAGCATGAACATAGAAAGACGTACGGCCAATAAGATTACGCTATTACTGTGCACATGGATTACACCGCTCAGGACGGCGGCCCCTATCGTCAAGTGTCGATGCTCGACTATGATGGCGATGCTCTCTGGAAGTTCCGTAAACGTGACGACATCAACATTATCAAGTTTTGTGCGTCCTGCTCACCTCTCGAGGGAGAGGCGCCTGGCAAGGTCAGAAGTTCGGAATACGTCCGCAAACACTTGAGAGTCTACGAGCAGAAGCCTCGCATGAAGACTAAGCCCAAGGATGAAAGCAAGAGCAAGCATCACTGCATCTTGCAGTGAGAGCGAAGACATTACGTTGATCGATCACAATGGCAACGAAATGGTGTTCTTGCATGGGCATCACTGCTCTGCTCATCCATCAACGCCATAGTCCACTGCGACCCTGTCCCCGCGATCTTGAATCGTTCATCGGAAGTTGTCTTTCACCAATACTTTTCGTTTTAGCAGTCGAAACACAGGCAGTCGACAGCGTTACAGGTGGTCTGGTCCGTTATATGCTTTGACTGTCGAAATATTATGGATCTGCTCTTTGTGAGCTACATGTCATTTTAGACAGGAAATTCACCTGGACCCAGATATTCTATGCTGTTTCACTGCATCAATCGCGTGTCTCTTGCCAAGTGAGTTTAGATGATTGCCATGTTGTCAGACCATCGATCGAAGCCCCGGATACGATCGTTATTCCTGAGAACTTTTCGTCTGGAAATGTGAGAACAAAGATTGCAACTTCGGAACATAGAAGAATCACAACGACTACCGCTGTACAAATCTCACAATCGAAAAGTAGGCAACCAAGTCATCATAGCTCGGCACTATTGTTAGCCGCTCCCAGCCAGGTATTGTTGTTGATCACCCAAGACTGCCCAGGTGTATCAAGTGTTCACGTTTCATAACACCAACACTTTGAAACTCAAGTATCAGCTTTACCACCACGTCCCCAGATTGGCAAGTACACAAGAATGGTCTGTTGTTTGTGAAAAGAAAACATGTACCTGATACATGTATCGTTGCATTTATATTCGGGCTCCCATGGATTTTTTTTTGCCAAACAATTGTGATGTTCGTTCGACACCATCGAGTTTTGCAGACCATGATATGCTTCAAGCAACTAAACATGGCACTAGTAGACCAAAATGGGCTGTGATGGTGTCTGTGGAGGCCTAGTCAGGCAATGAGCTTTCTCTAGACGCATCCTAGACTCAGTAGATAATGCGCCATATCATAGCAGCCTCTCTGACATCCAAAAGGAGGCTAATATGCTTAGTTGCGTAGGAGGGCTTGTGATCATACAGGATACTTTCTGAGATAAGGCAGCATTGCATATATCCGGTCTGTGACCGTCTTTCCACGTGCTTACAGGGTGTATCCGAACCAAATTACAGACTTCAAGCAAGCTATCGCTGCACACTTGCCGGCAATTGACATATAATAGGCCAGCTGCAGAAGTAGGACTATTTAACTGGCCAGGTCCCCAAAGATCTGGAACCTTCCTTCCTATATGCTACAGATTGTTGTACTGTAGCTACAGGAGTGCATGATACATCTGGGAACAACTTTATTCTTACGAAGAGAACTCTGTCGATGGCTTTCTTGATGGTCAGACTCATATCCAGAACGTGACTGCATCTTGATAGCTTGTACATCGGGTTGGATAAATCATCAACCACGACACTGCGACAGTCTATTGCGCATTGAAAGCTGGGCACTTTGAAAGAGTGATGCAAATATGATACTGTGATGATTGTGTACAGAACAATGCGTTCCATGACCCAAACCTCTCCTATGCAATCCCTAGCCAGTGCTATGCTCGAAGTACAGCAGAATTGAAGACAAAAGAAACAAATTGGCCATTGAGAATGCAAGCAACGCTTCGAGGAACCCATACTGAGAATGCAATGCAATGTTTCAACAATCCCACACTACCGATTCGACTCACTGCTTGATGTACACCAGGATATAAGGGTTGAAGCCAGATGTTGGCCTTCTCCACTCCTTAGCATTGCTGTTGCTGACAGAAGAATCACTGATCTCTTTGATGCCATCGGCGCCACGTACGTAGGCAATATAGTGGCCAAACTTCAGTGAGCCCGAGTGTGCGACAATGGCTTGAAGGCGGTATTTTGATGGCTGGGATTGATCAAGTGCCCAAGGGGAAAGATCGAGCTCCTCAGGGAAGTCGACGTGCTGCTTATTCTTGGTTGGTCCACGCGCACCATAGCCAAAGCGCATGAGTTGAATGGGCAGAACGTCGGGTGCGTTGTCGAGTTTGAAGATACGAGTGCGCTTGGCATTCTTCTTGCATTTGTCGCAACGGATGGTGACGTTGGACTCGCGGTGATAGGTGTTCAGACAATCGGTGAGGCTGACACCGGATCTGTTTGGAATAGGCACACTGAGGCTGAAGCCCGGTGGATCGCTGTGGGTGTGCACCTNTTTGCAGCCATCGCAGACCCAGGAAATCTTGTGTTTGATTCTGAACAGCGAAGCAAACTGGTCCTTGTCGACTCCTTTTGCCTTCTCAATTGTACCCAGCAAGTACTGTAGGAAATCGTGACTGTCTTCTTGAGTTTGGCTTATGGCGCTCCAGCGAGGCTCGCTCGATCTACCAGTCGCTCTGATTGCGCCGTCGAGAGCGGACAGCTGACTGCCTACGCTGCCAGGGGTGGTGTGATAGCTTTTGAGCAGCTGATGCATTGCGCAGGTCACGCATCTGCCTTGCTTTGGGCAGGATCTGTGAGACTCGTCCAGTAGATTGAACAGCTGAGGGATTGCGATGAGATTTTGCAGCACACTTCGACGATAGCACCATTGACTCGGATTGCTCAAGCCTTTGATCTTCGGCTTGCCCACGCTGGCCGGCCAGGACTTTGATGTTTTGCGTGCAGATCCAATGAGGGGTTTTGGCGTTTTCCCGACGTTCAAGTTCTGCTCTCCTTTCGATGGTTTGGATGAGACAGGTTCCTGCTTGGGACTCTTGGTCTGGACAGTGCTTGGCTTAGACGTCTGGTCAAGAAATGGTCGGCGGTTGTCTTGCTTCAAGGCTTGAGAGTCTGGCTTCTTAGACGACGGCTCTCCTGCATCTTGCTTGCGGGGCTTCTTGATCTGCTGTTGCGACTTCGCGTCCTCCGGTGGCTCTGATTGGGAGATTCTTCTCTTCTTGCCGAGTTTAGATGACTCCTGACTAGGCTGCGCAGGCGGCTGAGATGAAGCTCGAGAGACAGTTTCTTGAACGACCGGCGTAACTGTGACCTTGCGAGTAGCCGGGAACGATGGCGGAAGGCTTGTCGCGCGTGCCCGAGTGATATTGTCCATTTTTGTAAGCGGCGTTTTAGGTCCAAGAATTTGCGCAGCGCGTCTTTGCGACAATGCGAGCAGGGCGAAGAGCTTAGATCATGAAACGCTTGAACAGTCCTGCGCTTGAGAGCGTGTTCGACATAAGTAGCAGCAACATTATTGTTGCGCCTTCTTATTGTCTTTGCATCGTGAAAACCTGACTTGGCAATAACAATATGTGGAAAGTGCTATTGTAACGCAGGCAATTGAGGTTCGCGATGACAATAGGGAAGAAGAATACAACCGAGGACTTATTACTCCAGCGCGCTCTCTTCACATTAAACTCGTAGAAAGTGAAGAATAGTAGCTCTAACAGCAAATCACGAAAGACTACTGTTCATGCACGCGGTTTCCACGGAATGCCAGGTTCGTTTCCAAAGCAAGATGCTACCAGCAAGTGACCAAAATGCGAGATCCCCGGATATCCAGTATCAACGATAATTGTCGTGATTCCTGCAGACTCTCAAGTCCAGTCGAGCGAGACGTGATGAACAAAAGTTTGCGACTTGGAAACAAAAAATCAAGGGACTTCCAGATGGGGAAAGGTTCACCGCGTCCTCGACGGGCTTGGCGTCGTCACAGCATACAAAGATTCAGATGTCGAAACGATAGCAATAGCTTCGTTGCCCAATATTGTCGTTGTCGCTTACTGTCTGACGATATGGCAGCAGAACAGGCTGGCGCAGAGTATGAGGCTCAGCATGTACATGATGTATACGAGCAGATCGCATCCCACTTCTCTGCCACCCGCTACAAGGTGTGACTCGATAGCTTGTGGTACCTCGTCACTCTTCTGACAACTCTCTCTTAGCCATGGCCTGTAATCGAAAAGTTTCTCAAAGAGTTGACTCCGGGATCTGTAGGACTGGACATTGGCTGTGGAAATGGCAAATATCTGACCGTCAATCCTGATGTCTTCATTGTTGGCAGTGACCGCTCGCCCTCACTCATCAAGTTCGCCTCGGCGCACCAACCACATGCTGCAGTCGTATCCGATATCCTCGCGCTACCTCACCAAAATCACTCCTTCGATTTTGCCATCAGCATTGCCGTCCTGCATCACCTGTCTACGCCAGAACGTCGCGTAGAAGCCGTTCAGACCATCCTAGACACGCTCAACACCAATGGCAAAGCATTGTTGTATGTATGGGCTCTGGAGCAGAAAGATAGCAGAAGAGGCTGGGACGAGGGAAACCAACAAGACACCATGGTTCCTTGGGTTATGCGCGAAAAGAAAGAGAAGCAAAAGAAGGATCGCAAGCAGCAGAACAAGGGAGATGCTGTTCAACAACCAGAGGCCTCGGCCGAACAAACACAGACGACTGGCACGAGTCTTGAGCCTGCTGGAGACAAGACTTTCTACCGCTACTATCACCTCTACCGTAAAGGAGAGCTAGAGCAGAACATTGAGCTGGCTGGCGGCACAATTGTAGAAGCTGGTTACGACAGAGACAATTGGTGGGCTATTTGCCAGAGAAAACAGACTTGATAAGATCTTCTATCACTTGATGAATCTGTAGTCGATCTGTGCAGGAGAGAGGCTGATCTCGTTCAGCGTCTCAATGACCTGGTACTTGGCCTTGTCTTCTTTGCTCAGAGGGGCATTGCCAGGTCTGTCAACAACCACAGACTGCATGCCTGCCTCAAGGGCAGCCTGAACCTCCTTTACGTTATCACTCAAGAAGAGGATACTGTCGGCGGGCTTGCCTAACTCCTGGGCGATTTTGGTGTAGCTGCTGGCATCATGCTTCAGGCCAGCGTTGGTCGTATCAAACCAACCGTCGATCAATCCCTGGAGGTTTTGCGTACGTTTCTCATCCGCTTCGCCGAGTGGGTCCTTGACATGCCCAAAGAGCAGCTTCTGCGCGAATATACTGCCTGAGGAGTAGATGACAAGCTGTTTAGATGAGTCATGCCAGTGCTTTAGCTGAGGAGCGACATCGTCGAACAGAGGAGTGGAGTAGGCGCCGTTCTCGTAGCCGGCCTGCCATAGATAGCCNNTTAACAAAACAAAAGTTCGAGTCAGACATTTTCCACCTATGTGGGCCTGAGATAAGAGTGGCCGAGGATTGGTGTATGACTCACCCTGCAGGTTCTTGAGATAGGCAATCTTGACATCGCGGGCTGTCAAGTCCTTGACGTGATCTTCGAAGGCTTCGGGAGATGCTTGTGCCTCGGCAGGAAAGGCATCACGGTAGGGTCTGAAGTCTGCAGAGTCCCATCGTTTGTGAATGACGCTTGAGAGAGCTTTCAAGGCGTAAGGGAACTTGAGACAACGTCAGTCTCAGCGTGACAATGTCGAGATAGCACGTTTATCTTGCTAAAGGCAACAAGGTTTGCAGATCCAATGATGCGATGATAAGAAGGAAAGCGTGAATGGAGGTAGATCAGGCATGGCGTATGTCTACGATATCAATACGATGCTCTTCAACGTGATGTGATCAGGTGGCCATGTGAGTCGTGACGAGTTCAAAAGAAAAGAAAAGAAAAATCTTAGACCTACCAGAGTATCCTTGACGAAGGAGATAGGGCAGACAGTTCCCTCTGTAGATAGAAACAATCAGCCATCCTTATCGTAACAAATGGTTGTTGGTTATTCAGCATTCCCTCGATAGTGGAGTGAGTGGTGCATACGAAATCATTCGAAGCATTTTTGCAGTCCCGGACCGTTCAATGGCATCAAGCACATACCGATATCGAGCAGCACAGTGCCCACGTTCTCGTGCTCTGGAAGCATCGTGTTTCGTTGGCGAGATGGCTGGCCTCTTTCTTCGATGCGTTGTTGCACAATGTGCGGTGTAAAAGTCTAGATGCTGCACTTTGGCATGCGCGGAAGCTTCAGCGGGACCGAAGCTGCTGTTTTGGGGCATCTGCACACCTTGACGTCGCCTGAACTGTTTTATAGCACTTTCCTCTTGTGCAGGTCTGCAACAAATTAATGCGCTTGCTCGATACGATTGGCGACTGGCGCCCCAGAACTAAAATTCAGTTCTTCATTCTTTGCGAAGAGCTCGAATGCTGTCAGACCGTCCGAGCACGGCAGATCTGACAAGATCACTTCAGGCCCAAAGGGCTCTGTTGGACAGATGGCATAATTTATTCGAGCTCGATGAGCGGTGTACACAATACATAAACTATCGCACCACTGCATCACTGGCGCATGCTGGCGGCCAGTCTTGTGAAGTTACCTAAAGGTATTCAGGTACACCATGCGGGGCAATATGGATAGCTTCGACGTTCGAGGCATCTGCACCCGTTATATAAAGATACCGTCCTCTCGCCCATTGGATGGCTAGACGCACACCGCAAGGTCTTGTTTCGAGTTGGCGCCGGCTAGGATGCGAGTATCCTGGTATTCATACATTAATGCCAATCCCAGCTGGTGTGGTACCTGGAAGCATGTCTTTAGTTGGACCAAGGATAATGCACTCTTGCGAGGAGGCTGGGCTCTACAGCCGCCGGAGATAGCATAAGGTACGCATAAAGTTAGCGGGTGAGCATGTTGCTATTCTTCTAAAACACGTGGGGTGTTGGTGGCAAGCGTGGCACTCGAGCAAAGGACAAAGGTTGTGACTAGGCCGTTTTAGTTCGCATATTGACTTGCGTGTGACCTGCTTGCGGGACCAGACCCGATGCATACAAGCACTTGACAGCTGTGCGATCGGACTCGCAGAATAGCGGCAGAGAGGATGAATCTCTGCTTGTTGGATGAAGTATTGATTGAGTATTGAGCCCAAGCATGGGAGAAGCATTGAAGAATGCATTCATCCTTCTGATGAAGCACACCGACATTGTTTTGATGCAGGCACTCCGCTGCGCCCCACGTCCGCTTGCCGGAGCATGCAGCATCGTTGTCGCTCGAGCTCGATACGTTGGTACCTGAGGATCATCGGCAGGTTTGGTGGATCGAGCACAACTTTTGTGCATAGCATTACGAATGCTCTTTATCAATCTGATGCTGCGATGTTTCATGGACACATCACCTGCTCTCTGGCAGCCTGCGATCTCAATTACAACGTGACTCATTCAACCGTCTTTGGCTGGGCCGGTCTCGCAGTCCTGAGTTCGAGACATGCTGCTGAGCGGAGGAAGCACTAGTTTCTCGGGTGTGCACTGTGAGAATGAGAGCTGGTAACACGAATGCTGCGATGTATTCTCGATTGATAAAACTTTCATAAATATACAAGACATCGGCAGCAGCTTCCCGCTGCGACCCCATGGGATAAAGTGATTGGCCGAAGCCGGGGAGAGGCAGTGGTGGTGAGATGTCTGTCGCCGTATCAAGCCACGTCCCTGGACAAAGGGCCGCGGGTCTCTGATTCGGACGATCTAACAGGTGATAAGGATAGTTGCGTGTTTAGAGGCTCAGGCGGAGGAGTTTTAAGCGATTGGGAGGAAAGAAGCGCTGGGCTGACACGGCATCAAAACAGCTGGCCCGACCGAACAATGTTTGTTGACAGGCGGTGCATGCGAATCTCATCAGACCTAACAGGCATGCACACAATGCGTTACGTAGGGGAGACAGTTTCAGGCTTCATTCATGGGCAGAGATTACGAAGACCTGGTCGTAGCAGGGACCTGTTTCGTAAGAGCAGCCTGAAGCGAAGGAAATGACGCTCGTCAATTCCCGAATATTCTCAAGCAGCTCTCCAAGACAAAGGATGACGAACAAAGACGTGCCTGGCAGAGAGAGCAGCCAAGGCCAAGGTCAGGTGGGCCTCGGGGAGCGAGCACGCAAAGAGTGTGGCGGTTCCTATTGATGTAACTAGCAACGGTATCGGACCATTTACGGATCAGTGCGTATTGGATTGTGACTGGTCGGGAGTCGTCGCCGATGGGGTTCCACCTCCTTCTGCTGTCGTCCTGCCCTCTCTATCTTTCGACTCACACCGCTAAGCTCTGTCTTGTTTCCCTTTAACCTCATTCAATCGCCCTCCTAAGCCAGCTCCAATTCTCACCACCCTCGTACCTACTGCCTCAGCTCGAGTGTTTCGCATCGTTCCTGCCAATCTAGTCGCCGTTGCATTCCTCGCGTTACCCCGACGAAAGCGGTAGTCGAGAGCGCAAGCGCCGATAGCCGATTACACCGACACACCTCAGCTCTCCCTCTCCTTGGACCCTACGACTTTCTCCTTCTGTTTCATTGTTTGATCGAGAGCTTTGGACGTCCACCCGCCAGTGTGCTGCCTGTTCCTCAGCGAGCTTCACAAGTCCAGCGACCGTCAGATCCTCAGCTTCCGCTGCCTCCGTCGTATCAGCTCGTCCCACTTCAACGGCTTCCCTCGGCTTCCTGCCTGTCATCATTTCTCTGAAGCCCAAGGCCTCCACGCCCACAACAACTCGGCGAGATCCCAGTCAACCACTGTCAATTGGCCTCAAAGACTACTATCAGCTGCATTGATCCCTTCGTCGGCCCTGTCGTCTGGTTCCCTGCCACTCGATCCTGTACAGCTCCTTCCACACCTACATCGACATCAAAGAAGTCAACAGCCACACCTCCGACAGAGCTCCGCCGCTTGATTTACCAGACGCACCTCACTTCCGCCTTCGGGTCCGCCCATCCACCTCCCAGCTTGCCCATCTTGCTGCCGGACTCGCTTTATACAAGATTTATTCGATGCTCACATTAACGACCTCTACTCTTTCTTATTCATAGTGCGTTTGGGGCTTTGATCCCTTTTTCCTGGCTCGTTGCGTCTATCCTGTCGATCCTCTCATCATTTATCCATCCTCATCTTTGGCGGATCTGTTTGCTGCTGTCTTCTTTACGCCATCCGTGGTCAGCACTGTTGCTTAGCTCGCCCCCTAGGTCGACACCAAGGTCATCTCATTCGATTGGCTTGTACAGCTTTTCGGTGTCCACCCTCGTCTCCAAGCTGGTTTTCGGAGTCTCGAACCTTTTTACGTTTCATCTTTAATCCCTCTCAACACATCACCGCCCAAATGGACAGCATGCGGAAACAATTTGATCAGGACCTCCTCTTGGATGGTCGTTACCAAACCTTGTCTCCTCTCAACCATGGTTCTTTTGGAATGGTCTTCTTGGCTAAGAACGTCAAGACTGACGCTACTGTTGCCATCAAGTGCATCATCAAGTCAGGCTCCGACACTTGCCCTACCGCCATCGCTGTTGATGATCGTTCCGAGGAGCTAGAGATTCACTCCCACCTCGGCTCTCATCCCAACATTGTCAGTCTGGTTGACACTTTTGAGACAGAGCACCACACGTATCTGGTTATCGAGTTCTGCCCCAACGGAGATCTCTATGAGGCAATTCGTCTCAACAGAGGTCCTCTGGAAACTGAGCATGTGCGTGACTTCATGATGCAGCTGATCTCCGCCGTCGAGTTCATGCACGCTAAGGGAGTCTACCACCGTGACATCAAGCCCGAGAACATCTTCTTGACTCAATCGGGCTCGATGAAGCTTGGTGACTTCGGTCTCGCTACCAGAGACAAGTGGTCCACAGAGTACGCTGTCGGCAGTGATCGTTACATGGCTCCTGAGCAGTTCCAAGAGACAAGCTACACCCAGGGTTACTCCCCCGCTGCTGCCGATATTTGGGCTATTGGTATCTGTTTGTTGAACGTCTTGTTCTCACGCAACCCGTTTGCTACTCCTACCCAGTCGGATCCCATCTTCGACGACTTCGTCATGGACCGTCAATCTCTCTTCGACGTCTTCCCAACCATGTCTCAGGACACTTTCAACGTCTTGATGCACTCTCTTGCTCTTGACCCCGCCAAGCGCTCTCTGGATGCTGTTCGCTCTGCCCTCAAGTCGGTCGTTAGCTTCACTACTGACGACGATGCCATGGATGACTTCTGCATTGAGGATCGCGATCCTATCCGTGCTACCCTCAACCGCGAGCCTCTGCGCACTCCATCGATCACAAGCCCTACCATCGATAATGGTGGCTGCTTCCCTTGGGCAAAGGCTCTGCGCGAGACTTCGCAGAAGCATGGTCGTCAACTCTCGGTCATTCTTGACAACGAAAGCTACACTGAAGACCTCTTCCCTGAAGAGAAGGAGACTACTGGTAAGAGCTGGTTCACTTCCACGGATCCTGATTCGACTTCCTTGAACTCGGCCATCGAGTCTTCTCTGGGCATGTCGTACAAGTCTGCCAACAACTCTGCTGAGCTCATTGGTCACGCTTCTTCCAGACCAGTTCCCATCTCTGCGTCCGTCCCCATCAAGAGCTCTCGGGCTTTGGCTTCGGTCTATGGTAACATGGATGAGAATTTCTCGAAGAGCTGGAGCGATCTCTGGGAGGAAGACGAAGAAGAGGAGCTGCAACACCCTGCTTTCAATTCGACTGCCAGCCTTGAACGCTGTACTACCGTCAAGCCTTTCGAGCCTAGTCCCTTGTCAGCTGTCACGGCTGCAATGGACATCAAGAATGCTTCTGGTCGTTCTTCAACCCCTCGCGGTTTGAGTGAGCTTGAGATTGCCGACCAAGGTCGCGATATTCCTGGTGCTTCTCGTCCTAAGCCAGTCGTTGGTGTTGCTTCTTCTGCACCTGTTCTTCAGAAGTACTCACCGCCTTCCAAACGATCGATCGTTGACAAGTGGTCAGCTTTGGGTAACCTCAGACGTGGAAACAAGAACGAATCAGTTTCCGCTTCGAGCAAGCCTGCTCCTGTCACGCCCCAGAAGAAGATGGAGAAGCCCGAAAAGACTGAGAAGTACAGTTTCACTCCCTTCAGCACCAGTGCTAAGAAGCCTAAGTCTCGTGGACGTGCTACCAGCTGGCGTAAAGACAGTCCCATGGCCGCAAATTCACCTGCTTATCATGGCAACACCGCTGCTTGGGAGCGTAAGCCTCAGAGCAACTCTCATGTCTCACCTCCTCATGATTTATGGCAAAGCACCCGCGACTGGCGTCAACACCCGGAACCTCAACACTTCTTCAACTCCCCCTCTCAGCAAGCCCCGCACTCAGCCTGCGACTTGCGGACAGCAGCTGTTGAAGTCAAACAAGCCACACGTTGATTCTTTGGATGACGACGACATTGGCGATCTTGAATGGGTTGGAGGTTGGCACGACCTCCACTTGTAGTCTCAACGCTACCACCGCGCTCGCCCTTATTTGTGCATCTCGTATTCTCGACTCTTCTCACTGTATATTTTCCGGTTTATGGTGTTTCTTCTTGCAGCCCCCAGTTTCATAATCTCCTTTGTTCAACAACTCTACTCAAGCGACGAAAAGAAGCAACCTTCCTGGCGTACATCGAATCAGCCGCCACCGCTGCGCGGTCGATGGATTATCATTTTCTGTATCTTTTCTTCTGTCTCATCTTCAACAATTACATTGAGCGATAACATGGGTTTGGCCTGGGTTTGGCCGGTTTGGGGCGTTTTCTTCTTGTCTATTTTCTATCACCACTTCATCATATCACTGCGGGCTGCGGTAGAGTAAAAAAGCAGACGAAAAGTTGGGTCAAGGATAAAGGTTTTCTGGAGGAACTCTTCGGGAACGACGACGATGTGCAAAAACAAAGCAAGGGCGAGCGTTTCTCGGTGGTCCGTTGGACTCGCTGTCTGTAGAACATGGTTTCCAGACTCCCCACTCAATGATATTTACGTTTAACGATTCACTTTATTCATCTTGCTCGTCCCTTTGTTAACTGTGTTTGTTCGTGGTGTGATTGGTGTCCCTCTTCGATTCCAGCTTGTCGCATGCTTCGTATCGAAAGTCTACCGTGACCAAGTTCTCAATTCACCATCTTACCCACCCACAAACTGCATCAACAGTCATCATGGTACAAAGGCGTGCGATTGAAACTTTCGGTTTCGATGTAGATACTTCGTGAGGTTGGTGAGGAGTCGACCGAGTGCTCTAAACAATGGTTGGATGTATAACCCTGGTTGATTTTCTCAAAATGGCAGGTCAACGCGAGCGCCAAAATACCCGCCAGACACGAGCATCAAGTTTCAAGCCTATCATCTGCCGAGGATCTTATCGTACTGCGCCGCAGCGCCAGCCTAGTTATATACCTTGACTACAACACATATTCTCTCTACGCCCTTTCATACCGCGATTCTAAAGGAAGGCTGAGGAAGGGATCTTCCTTTCAGATTGTATTTCGACTCGACAACCGCGTTCTCTCCATTTGCTCGCTGCTACTCCACCAGCCGACAATCCTTGAACAGACTTAACATGCCTATCCGACCTGCGAACTTTGCAGATCTGCTACCAGCAGCACATGTCTGCGCGAAGGCATTCGCAAACGAAGATCTGTTCGGCATAAAAATCCACCCAAACAGATCAGTTTTCCCGGGCGACATGTATCTATTCTTCCTACGAGGACTGCGAAATGANTTTTTCGATGGCCGCACTACAGTCATGGTTTCGCATCTCGAGGGTCAGTTGACCAGCATAACTGGTGTTGCAGTCTGGATACGCAAAGGGCCTGGTGGAGATCGCATGGCTGCGTCCCAATCATGGCTGGCATGGTTCACGGGACGCTTCATCATTCCAACATACAACTATCTTGAATCTCTTGTCTGGCCCAACCGTGCCGCCGATCCAGCTATGGTTGATGTCCTGGACCGCGCCATGCCGTTCACAGAACACTACTGGAAAACTCCCGAACGCCTTGAGAATTGGTATCTGTCTCTCCTGGGCACTGGTCCTGAGTATCAAGGTCATGGTTATGGCAAGGAGTTGCTTAAGTGGGGTATGGAGCGCGCTGCTGAAGAAGGTATTTGTGTATCTTTGGTCAGCGCGAATAATAAGCATGGCTTCTACAAACGATGGGGTGTGGATCAAGAGGTGGGATATGGTACTGAAGGTGGAGAGGAGAATCCGATTCATGATGTTCCTGGTGGCATGATTCTTTTCTCTAAGAGATTGGGAAAGCAATAAGGGCGAACGTGTGAGGACAGACAAATACTAACAATTGAACTTCCACATTACTATCATCCTTCATAAATGTGACTGAGCCTATTTCCGTGTGTCGTTCATAAGCTCGGCTCTTCGCATACTCAGCCCAATCAAAGCTTCATCGTGAACAACACAACGCTAGCAAGATCACTTCCGACTTGTCTAACAAAGCATTTGATCTTCTAGATTACTGAATTCAGGAGTCATGGCTGTTCTGCTGAAGCAGAAGGCACCACCCTGCTGCGATTTGTTGCCAAGGATTCGGCAGAACTGGCCCGTAGCATCGACCGATCTACTCGGGAATTTAGCGTATCGTTCTTACCTTTTAGACCGGTCGAGACTCTCGACACCAGGCTTTCCTTCTTTCTCGCACACTCGACCCCCTGCCTGTCGCTGGTTCTAACATTGTGCGCTGCTGGTCGTATCACCAACTCTGTCCATTGTGCCCCACATCGGTTGATGTCAGACCTTTGAGAATACCTGGACCCTTATGACTGTCACTGGCAGCGACGGAGTGGGATCCGTTGATATACACTAGCTTGCTTACTTACTGCTCATTGGGACAATTCACGCCAGCACAATCACCACTCTTAAGATGGATGGGTTTTATGCAAACTCGTCGCCGATGCGTGCGGTCCTAACCAGACTTCGTGGCCCGGACATAGACGATCACTTACAACTCTTCGGAACGATCGATTGGTCATCTACAAGTCTGGGACCGCTTGATAGCTGGCCACAGGAACTGGCGACTCAGATCTTCCTCACTATGCTAGTCCCAGATCCGCAGTCCTTGGTTCTGGGCGAGGATCAGATAGTCATTTACAATCAAGCATACGGACGGCTCATTCGAGATCACCATCCCGGATACTTCGGGAGACCCGTGGCCACCTGGACGGAGTGGCAGCCATACTTTGAGAAGATGGGAGCAATTTATGTGCAAGCCGANAAAACCGGACGAGCTTGGCTGAACTCAGCGTTTCCAATGGTCATGGACAGTGGTGGCTTCAAAGAAAACGTGGATTTCAGCTGTGCTGTCATCTGTCTACCTCCACCTTTGAATGGATTCCTTGGGTCGTTTAAAGAAACCACAGCGACTGTCGCAGCCGACAAAAGGAATCTAATCTTGGAGGATTTGGTCTCAGCATGGAAGTCATCCTCTTCTTTGAAAGCACTTTGGTCCAATGTGCTGAAAAGCGTATCTCAATACCCTGAGCTCTTCCCATTCTGCTCATTATACTCCACTACCCTAGCCATACAAAACGATCTGTCAATTTCGGATTCGAGCGGAAATGAATCCGATGGTTGCATCTACACACTCGAAGGAAAAGTCGGGAGTGTAGATTCTGACTTTCCAGGNATACCCCAGAACCTTGACCTCGGGACCGAGATGGATGGAGCGTCTTTAGACCCGTTCTTATCATATTTTCAACAAGCCGAGAGGACGAGAAGCCCTGTTACCATGGACGTAAGAGACATACCCCTGGGATGGCAAAGCATCGCAAAATCTCGCGGTGTCGCTGAATCTTGTCGAGGAGCTGTTGCTTGTCCTAGTAGCTCCAACCAGCTCAGCAGAGTACAGGCCTTCCTGGTATTCGGTCTGTCGACTCGAGACGCTTACAATGAATTGTACCAGGAGTGGGTCCTGCGGCTACAGCGAGAGTTCTCAGATGTTGTTGCCTCCATTCTCTCGACACAGGAAGCAGCTAGGAAGAAAAAAGAGACAGCGAGGAGATTGCGTCTTGAGTCAGAATTGATGAACAAAGAGCTTGCACTCCAGAGAAAGGAAGCCGAGCTTGCAGCACTCAGAGTTGAAAGGATCACCAAGATCGTTGGGCTGGCGAACATAGCGATCTTCGAGCATGATTTGAGTGGTCGACTCGTATTTGCTAATGTAAGTCACTCGCATGGTTGATTCCACAGACACTGACATAAGGCANNGGATGCTTTCTACAAACTTGTGGATGCTCCTGAGGATCGGAGTGACAGGATGCCATTCCTTCCAACCGAACACTGGGATGCCTTACTACGAGGAGAGTCACGAACTTTCGAACTTAGGTGCCGGGACGGGACATGGGGTCTTTGCAGCGCCTTACCGACCAGAAATCAAAATGGTCAAATAGATGCTGTGATCGGAGTGATCACCGACATCGAATCACAGAAACGTGCCGAACAAGAAGCCTGTGCGAAAATAGAAGCACTAGAGAAGGCACGTCTAGCCGAGAAGAGATACTATCGATTTCTGGAAATCATCCCAAGTGGCATCGCTGTCACAGACCCGTCTGGACAGATTACATATGCAACACAGGCATGGTATGAGATGACCGGACACCGACCTTGTGGCTTCGGCGAAATCAGATGGCAAGATGTCATACACGAAGAGGATCTGAATTTCGTCGAGCGTCATATGAAAAAACTTACTTCCGAAAATCAACCAGTCGCGTTCCAATTTAGGATGAAGAGGCCTTGGATAAATCCAGCAGGCGAGAATTGCGGCAGTAAGTTGACCAGAAGCATGCTTTCGTTTGTTATAGTCGTATGTTGCTTCGAGTTTCTGCAAATGTCTCTGCAACTGCAGTCTTGTATTGGCTTCAACGAACTCGTGGAGTGTTAGCTCCTTCCCTCGACTGCAAGTTGATGCTGACAATGCACTTCTATCTAGGTNTCCTGGATGCTTTGTAACGCGCTTCCCGAGTTCAGAGATGATGGCTCTGTTGAGCAAGTCGTAAGTGCAATTACCGATATAAGTCATCTTAAATTCGCCGAGTCGGTCAGCTTCAACCGAGTCGAAGAAGCCAACGAGAGCAAGAGACACGCTTTGGCTTTTATTGACATGACCAGTCATGAGGTATACTCGTCTTTTGGCCAGTTCACCATTGATAGTATAACTAACTGTACCAGNATTCGAAATCCGCTCGGCGCGGTTATACATTGTGCAGATAGCGTTTCGGAGTCTCTAACAGAGCTCAAGAGGCTGCTTTCTGACCCGACAAAACGAAGTCTGGAAGTAAATAAAGTTGCAGTGAAAGATGATCAGCACCTGACGCAATTGATCGATGCTGGCATAGATGCGGTCAGCACCATATTGTCATGTTCAGAGCACTTGACGAACATAGTTACAGACACCTTGACACTAAGCAAGCTTGACGCCAACCTCCTGCGGATTAGTCCTTCTGCCGTACAGGCGGTCTCCATACTCCGGGACATCCAGAAGATGTTCGAGGTCGAGGCCGAAAGACTAGGCGTCAACCTGAGCACGATTGTCGATTCATCAGTAGCAGTACAGGATGCGGAATGGATGGCCATCGACCCAGGCAGAGTCATGCAGATTTTGATCAACCTTGTGAGTAATGCCATCAAATTCACAAGGACAAGTACAAGCGGACGAAAAGACATTACGGTTCGCATGGGTGCTTCGAAAAACCGTCCGCTGAACCTTCCGGTCGATTTCACCATTGCGAGGGCACTTCAAGACAGCATATACGATACTGCCGAATTTTCGGAGAACACTTGCTACCTCTGGTTCACCGTCGAAGACACAGGCATTGGTATGAACTCAGAAGAGCAAAACAGGATTTTCTCCCGGTTTGCGCAAGGCTCGATTCGGACGCACAAGACCTATGGAGGCTCGGGGCTCGGATTGTTTATCAGCAGAACATTGAGCGAGCTACAAGGCGGAGAGATTGANGTCTCAAGTGAGCCTGAAAAAGGCTCTACTTTCGCTTTCTTTGTCAAGGCGCATACGACCTCGCCGCCACAGTTGCAAGAAAATGGCAATGGCATCTCTAGGCTTCCAAGCCCGGCAGCTCATGACCTCAAGCCAGGGAAAATACCAGTCAGTGTGCTGATTGTCGAAGGTAAACCACGTCTGGTCCTGCAATCTCAACAAAACTCCGACTAATCGATGCTGCANGATAATGCCGTGAACCAACGCGTTCTGGAACGAAGCCTCAAGAAAAAGGGCTACGTAACATACGTCGCAAATCATGGACAGGAAGCGCTTGACTTTTTGAGAAAAACCAAGCTTTGGAAGGGCAATGGTCTTAACCCTGCTGCGCCAGATATAGATGTTGTCCTCATGGTAAGCTTCTCACTGCTTCTGCAATTCCACCCCACTAACCCTCCTTTTCCTCCANNGGACGTAGAGATGCCAGTTATGGACGGTCTCGAGTGCGCAAGAAACATTCGAAACTACCAACACACAGGCGAAATGAGGTCAAATCTTCCCATCATAGCCGCATCTGCAAATGCAAGAGCCGAGCAGATCCAGTTGGCTTTACAAGCAGGAATGGTAAGTCTTGCTTCTGCCCACAGAAGAACAAACTTATGAATGCTTAGATACTAACATTCTCTACAGGATGATTCCATCACAAAGCCATTTAGAATCCCAGAATTGACGCCGAAGATCGACTCATTCGCTGCATGGGCAAGAGCACAGGGATGATGAAACTGTCGACGAGACTTGAACTATCAGACAAGAAGCCCTTCTCTAGCAGTGCTAGTCTTGAACCTCGCGCAGTCACGAAAGAGACGATTGCTCAATCTTCGCCCCACCGCTGTCTTAGCTGCAGCATAAAGCGGTTTTATGGCTGGCCTTCAGGACGGTGCTACAATGCAGGTCGTTACGAAAGCAAAGCCTCTCTGGCAACTTTCTTGGGATATTTGACTGCCAATCTGGACTCCACACATACCCTCTTGTCATGCAGTGTACTTTCAACCCTGAGGGACACATTCTTGACCTTAATTTCGATGGCGCGGCCTGGATCTGTGGACTGTGAATCGCTGGTTCTTGACCGCCTCAGAGTGCTTTTGTACCAGCTGGCATCCGACAAAAGCTGCACGCTTACACCCACGGCGAAAACGTTACTGGCTTTGGAAAAAATCTTCCTATCATATAGAACATACAGGGTTCTGTACGACCTCGACAGGAGGACCATTGCCAACGTCTAGAGGGGCCAGTCAATCACGCAAGAACCTTCCTATCGCCTGCCGGATTGGAAATGCTGCTAACATGGCAACGCAAACTCCAAACAACGACACGCGTGCAGCGTTGAGAGTCAGGGATAGAAGAGGCAGGAGCATTGTACTGCAGGTTCCCTGAATCTGTCGGTCACATGAACGTGAACAGTTCACAGTATGAGTTCGTAGACACTTGCACAAGTCATAATAAACAATAGGACTGGTAGTGCCGTGACATCTACCTATAGTATATACAAAGTTGGTCTGCTTCATCCAAATCTATGCCGTATCGTTTCAAACGCTTCTCGTCTATCATTTCCAGTGGTTGACCAAACTCCAGGTTTGCATAAAATCTATTCCCCCAATAAACAAACTCCAGGCTGCGAGTGATAAAATCAAGGTTGGTGTTCTCTGGGCGACTTCTCGATCAACAAGCCATCGCTACCGTTCTCATCTGCGCCAGGGAGAAGCGAGTTCTCGAACCATCTAGTGAACTTAACAATAGGGACGTCGATGAATCTCCAGAAAAGGTCTGCGAACCAGATGGTCAGAGGAATCACAACCAGACCGCCAAGAACGAATCCAGATTCGTATTGGAAGAGCGTGTCCTTGCCAGTGATCTGCCAGAACCCGTATATAGAGACATAACCAATGGTCTTCAACGTAAAGCCGTGAACCAGATATAGCGCGAAGGAGATGTTTCCGAGGTAACGGCTCAATGGGTTGTTGAAGAGGAATTGAAGTCGGCTGTCGAGGCTGGTGGAGTAGATCATGATCATCGCACCAATACAATGCCAGAAACGATAGCCCTCACCTTCACGCAGACCTGATGGAACGAGTGTTGACAAGGTGGAATAGCCAGGAGCAAATTCAGCTTCTTGGAATGGGTATGAGAGCAAGAAAAGACTCAGAACAAAAGCAGAGTAAGTGCACCAGACGGTCAACTGGCTACGTGGCTCGTCTTCGTCAGAGAAAGGATCAACACTGATGCGACTGTCCTTTTTCTCCTGATGGATGAGGTTGGCTTCGGCGATCAGGGCGCCACTCCAGAATGCGCTCAATTCCCACGAGTCTGCTTGGAAGGCGAAAGCGACAAAAAGAGCCAGAATGATCATTCTCACTCTAGTACGGACCAGAGCCAATCCAGCGATGGTCAAGAACAGAACGTAAGAGCATCTGAATTCCTGTGGGATCGTCCAGAGATGAACATCGTATCTGGTATCGGGCCAATGCTTGTGTGTGAAGATGTCAAACAGCTGGAGGTTCTGGTGTGTCCAATCTCTTGCTTGCTCCCAGAAAGTCGGCAGTATCTGGGGTTGAGGGTCGTGGGCCCAGCCAAGGAAGATAGACCTGAAAACATCCTCTGGGCCGGCGATCGAGTTCGGGCCGTCGTATATTCCCAGGCGAAGTGCGAAGAACACAATGAGGGTGGAGGCAAGGCAAGGGAGGTAAAGTCGCAACGGACGTCTAAGGATGGACGAGGCAAGGGTCCGCATCAGCTGTTCGTAAGAATTCTTTCTGATCAGTTTCAGTGCCTTGAGCGACAAGGCGTAGCCGGAGATGACAAAGAAGATGGCGACCATGGCCTCTCCACTATACAGAAGGCGCAGAATCGGTAGTTGCAGCAAGTGATGATTCTCATTGGGATGCTCGGGGTCCTTAACGGTGCCGTATGAAATGGAACCTTTGCGGTGATAGCAGAACTCGAAGTGACGGAGGAAGACGANAAAGGCAGCCCATCCACGAGCGCCGTCCAGCCATGCGGTAGGGGAGACACGAGTTGGTTTGTGAGGCACATCGACGACAAGATGGTGTAAGAAGCTGGGCAGAAGCGCGAGCAAGAAGCCCGTCAGCTTCCTCTCCTTGTCGCCGCCAATCATGTCTGTGTTGTTGACGACAAGGATGATGGCGGTGATGAGAAGCAGAAGTCGAGAGTCATCAAGAACAAAAGGGAAGGCATGACTTACATAGTTAGTTCCTCGGGAGTAAATTGGGTTACCAAGATTGTAACTTCCTGAAACACGCAGCCATCACGTAGGCACGCGCTGTCTCCCGAAAAGCGTAAACACTAGACATTCCAACCGCTAAGCCACCAGACTGATTGGAGCTGAACCTCACATGCCAAAGTCTATTGTGTGACTCCAACACGCTTCTGCAAGTACATGAGGAGTGCGACGCTGGAAATTGTTGTTGAGGCTGATGTTCACCATCATTTCGCAGTGATCTTCAGCATTCGTAAGAGCTGTGGAGACACAAGGTTGATCCGTCATGCGCACCCGCGTGTTGACCATGCCGTGGATGTTCGACTGTCACAACTTCGAGTTCCGATTCCTCATCATAGTTGCTGCATCTCCCATTGCTTGTTCGTTCAAGACACCGTGCCAATGTGTTCAAAGGTCCGTGTCGTTTGAGGGTTGGACGGTGGACATTGCGGCTGGCGCGCGACAGGCTGTTGCCAACGTGTTGGTGACGCGGAGATCGCAATGAGGCCGCGGCTTAGCTGAGTTAGTAGCTTGCTTCAGCTCATGCATCGATCGAAGCCTGGTCGCACCAATTGCTATTTCCATTCTTCAGCTGGTCTTAGATATACAATGGTCATACCGTCGCCTTTTTCATCTTGCTTCTCGACCAGACTTATCGACTCACCATGAACTTTGGAAACGTGCTTCATGATATTGCGTGCTTCCGGGGTCACTGTGCATCCCCCCCCCCCCCCCCCCCCCCCCCCCCCCCCCCCCCCCCCGAAGCCATCTCGTGTGCTGGAGACGTCTCATTGTACTGTAAAAATGCACAATTGCTTGATGAAACAGAGCGTGGCCACAGAGATGATCTGAGATGAATTCTCTCTGTGGAAACCACACGACCTCGTCAATTATTGTGCATTTTCACAGCTACATTGTGACCTTTACACGGACCGGGGAGTCAGATCGCATCTAGAGCGGCAATGTCATGAGCAACATGGTGTATAACATTTACTACAAAAACGATTGCAAAATTCAAAATACGCTTGTGAAATCAAAACCAGAAAACCAAAAACATTCATCTCTTGTTCCATCCCAACGTTACAATCGTTTCCCTCTATCATACACAGTTCTTCTTTTGCGTTTGCGTCTCTATGTTTGTTTTGTGACGCCATGGGTATATTTTTCAAAAGTGACATGAACGAATGCATGACCGGATGCTTTTAATGGCCGTGAAAAGTCGCACTGCTTTACGAGGCGGCAGAGACGAGCTCGATTGGAGCATCCTTGGGCTTGTTAAGCAGCTCGTAGGGAGGACGCTTGACAATACCACCAGTAATGGGCAATTGAGTGCCCATGCCAGTGAGGTAGGAGTCAACATCACGAGCGGCCATGCGGCCTTCGTTGATACCCCAGACAATCAGGGATTGACCGCGACGGCAATCACCAGCGGCAAAGACACCAGGGAGGTTGGTGTTGTACTTGCCAGGAGGAGTCTTGACGTTCTTGCGAGCATCCTTCTCGATCTCGTCACCAAGGACACGAGCCTCAGGGCCGAGGAAACCCATAGAGAGCAGGACAATGTCAGCAGGGAAGAACTCCTCGCTGCCCTCGACCTGCTTCATGTCCCAACCACCAGAAGCGCTCTTGGTCCACTCAACACGGACAGTGTTGATACCCTTGACCTTGCCAGTGCCATCGTCGACGAAGTCCTTAGAAAGGATGCAGTACTCACGAGGATCCTTACCCATGTGGGTCTTGACCTCTGAGTGACCGTAGTCGACACGGTAAATCCGGGGCCACTGAGGCCAGGGGTTGTCGCGAGCACGCTCGGTAGGAGGCTGAGGAAGCAGCTCGAAGTTGACAACAGACTTGGCACCGTGACGAACGGAAGTACCGATACAGTCGTTACCGGTGTCACCACCACCAATGACAACAACGTGCTTGTCCTTGGCAGAGATGTACTCGCCGTCAGAAAGACCAGAGTCGAGAAGGGACTTGGTGTTCTTGTGCAAGAACTGCATGGCGAAGTGGATACCCTCCAAGTTACGTCCAGGAATAGGCAAGTCTCTGGCGACGGTGGCACCAGTGGCGAGAACGACAGCGTCGTGCTCAGCTCTGAGAGACTCGAGAGTAACATCGCCCTCACCAACGGATACACCGGTGACGAAGTTGATGCCCTCAGCAGCCAGGAAGTCGACACGGCGCTGGACGACGTTCTTGTCAAGCTTCATGTTGGGGATGCCGTACATGAGCAGACCACCAATACGGTCGGCTCTCTCGTAAACGGTGACACTGTGGCCAGCCTTGTTAAGCTGATCAGCAGCTGCCATACCAGCAGGACCAGATCCGACAATGGCAACTGTCTTGCCACTGCGAACCTGAGGAGGAGAAGGAACCATCCAGCCCATCTCGAAACCGCGGTCAATTATGGCGCACTCGATGGATTTGATGCCAACGGGGTCTTCGTTGATACCGAGAACGCAAGCGCCCTCGCAAGGAGCAGGGCAGACACGACCAGTGAACTCGGGGAAGTTGTTGGTCATGAGCAGGCGGTTCAGGGCGTCTCTCCATTGATTTTGGAACACTAATTCATTCCATTTGGGGATGATGTTAGAGATAGGGCATCCAGTATCCGATTGGCAGAAAGGTACACCACAATCCATGCAACGAGCGGTCTGGTATTTGAGTTCATCCTCATTCAGACGCTGAGAAAGCTCCTGCCAGTCACGAGTTCTGGTCTTAGCGCTGCGGTACTTCTCAGAGCGACGCTGGTACTTCATGAAACCCTTGGTCTTGTCGAGGACAAGAGCAGAGCGCTTCTTCTCAGCCTTGCCATCTTGGACACTCTCCTCGATGTCGAGAAGGTCATCCTTCTTCTTCTGACGGTCCTCAGCCTCGTGTTGCTTCTTGTTGGAGTCCTCGTGGAGAGAGCGAACAGGGTTTCCGGGCATGATGGGGAGGGGGTATTGGGCTCTCTTGGCCTCGGCAGCCTTCTTGGCCTCCTCCTCCATGACACGCTTGTAGTCGGTAGGCAGAACCTTGACGAAGCGGTGCAGGGCACGCGAGAAGTCGAGGAGAACACGAGCAGCAAGCTCGGAACCAGTGTAGTGGTGGTGGTCCTCGATAAGACCGCGAACGAAGGCGATCTCAGCAGGGTCCTCCAGAGAGGAAAGCTCAACCATCTCTTGGTTGACCTTGCNCTCGAAGTCGCGCTGCATGTCGAGAACGTAAGCGATACCACCAGACATACCAGCGGCGAAGTTTCTACCAGTAGGTCCAAGAATAAGGACACGACCACCAGTCATGTACTCGCAACCGTGATCACCAACACCTTCAACGACAGCAGTGGCACCGGAGTTTCTGACAGCGAAACGCTCAGCACCCATACCACGGAAGAAGCACTGACCGCTGGTAGCACCGTAGAGACAAGTGTTACCGACAATGACGTTCTCCTCAGCCTTGAAGACTGCGTTTCTGGGAGGGTAGACGATCAAACGACCACCGGACAGACCCTTGCCGACGTAGTCGTTGCAGTCACCCTCGAGCTCAAGAGTGATACCGGGTGCAAGGAAGGCACCGAAAGACTGACCAGCAGAGCCGCGAATGTTGGCGTGGATGGTGTCAGTGGGCAGACCCTNTTCACCGTAGCGCTTGCTGACTTGGTATGAAAGAGTTGCACCAAGAGCACGGTCAGTGTTGACAACATCGCACTCGATGCGGCAAGGGTGGCCCTTCTCAAGAGCCAGCTCAGACTCAGAGATGAGCTTGTTGTCGAGACGAACATGCAGCTTGTGGTCCTGCTTGCGGACGTTGTAGGTTGCAACGCCAGAACGGAGGGTGTGGGCAGGTGTCAAGATGAGGGAAAGATCGATGTTCTCGGTCTTTCCGTTGCGGAGGTCGTCACGAACGCGCAGAACCTCAGTACGACCAACCATCTCGTTGATGGTACGGAAACCAAGCTTGGCCATGATAGCACGAAGCTCGTTGGCGACGTAGTAGAAGAAGTTGATGACGTGCTCGGGGGTACCCTTGAACTTGCTTCTCAACTCGGGGTCCTGAGTGGCGATACCGACAGGGCAGGTGTTCAAGTGACATTTTCNTGCCAAACGTTAGCATAGGCTTTCCCAGAGACACATTTGGTGCACAGAAATTTACCTCATCATGATACATCCCATAGCAATGAGAGGAGTGGTAGCGAAACCCCACTCCTCAGCGCCCAACAAACAAGCAATAGCAACGTCGCGACCAGTGCGAAGTTGACCATCAGTCTGGACAATGACACGACCACGAAGGTCGTTCAGGACCAGAGTCTGGTGAGTCTCGGCAAGACCCAACTCCCAAGGCAAACCAGCGTACTTGATACCAGTCCATCTGGAAGCACCGGTACCACCATCGTGACCAGAGATCAGAATGTGATCAGCTCTGGCCTTTGCGACACCAGAAGCGACAATACCGACACCAGTCTCCGAGACAAGCTTGACGGAGACACGGGAGCGGGGGTTGGAGCACTTCAGATCGTAGATGAGCTGCTTCAAGTCCTCAATAGAGTAAATGTCGTGGTGAGGNNGAGGGGGAGAGATCAGACCGACACCAGGAGTGGAGTGACGAGTGCGAGCGATGGGTCCAGACACCTTGTGTCCAGGAAGCTCACCACCCTCACCAGGCTTGGCACCCTGAGCCATCTTGATCTGAAGCTCATCAGCGTCAGCCAGATAGGCACTGGTGACACCGAAACGACCAGAGGCAATCTGCTTGATAGCAGAGCGCATAGTGTCGCCATTGTCCATACGCAAACTACGCTCGGGATCCTCACCACCTTCTCCGGTGTTGGACTTACCACCCAATCTGTTCATGGCGACAGCAAGGGTAGAGTGCGATTCCATCGAGATGGATCCGTAAGACATGGCACCGGTAACGAATCTGCGGACAATCTCAGTCCAAGGTTCGACCTGGTCGATAGGGACGGGAGCACGGTCTTCGAAGTCAAAGTCAAGGAGACCGCGGAGAGTGCAGTTCTTGATTTGCTCGTACTCGGATCTGGAGTAAGCCTCGTATGACTTGTCGTTCTTGGTACGGACGGCATCCTGGATGTTGGCAATAGAGGTAGGATCGTTCACGTGAGGCTCACCGCCGTCACGCCAGTGGTATTCACCAGTCTCGGCAAGACCAGGGATCTCCAGGATGTTGCGGCTAGGGTAGCCCTTCTCGTGAAGAGCGAAGGCGTCCTGGGCAATAAGCTCGAAAGTCATACCCTTAATACGAGTGGCAGTACCAGTGAAGCAGCGGTCGACGACAGAGTCATCGATACCAAGAGCCTCAAAGATCTGTGCACCCTTGTAACTCTGAAGGGTAGAGATACCCATCTTGGACATGACCTTCAGGATACCACCGTCCAGAGAGTGCTTGTAGTTGTCAATGAGCTGCTCAGGGGTGAGCTTCTTTCTGATCAGACCCTCACGAGCCATCTTCATGATACACTCAATTGCAAGGTAAGGGCAGATGGCATCAGCACCGTAACCGACAAGAACACACATGTGGTGAACTTCACGAGCCTCAGCAGTCTCGACGACCAAAGCGACCTGCGAACGCCACTTATTGCGGACAAGATGGTGGTGAACCATACCAGTAGCAAGAATGGCAGAAACGGCGACACGATCGGCCGAAGTAGCGCGATCGGACAGGACGATGATTCTGTCGTTCTTCTCGATGGCCTCTGCAGCCTGGTCACAGATACGGTCAAGAGCATCAAGGTAACCTTGAATGCCCTCCTTCTTGGGGAAGGTAATGTCGACGGTGTGAACATTCCACTCACGGTGCAGCTGCGAGATCTGGCTCAGTGCGTTGAACTCTTCGATAGAGAGCATAGGCGAGGGAAGCAGGAGACGGTGGCACTGAGAGGGGCTCATCTCGAGCAAGTTACCCTGAGGACCAACGTAGGCCTCGAGCGACATGACAACGGCTTCTCTGATAGGGTCAATGGGAGGGTTGGTGACTTGAGCGAAGAGCTGTCTGAAGTATTCGTAGAGCAGACGGGGCTGCTGTGCCAGACATGCCAACGGGGCGTCATTACCCATAGATCCAAGAGCTTCCTTGGAGTCGGCAGCCATAGGACCGAGCAGTAAACTGACTTGCTCGAGAGAGTAACCAAAGGCCTTCAGTCTAGGGTCTTCCTGGACTCTGGTCTCTGACAAGGTGAAACCGAGATCAGCACCCTTCTCGCTGAGCTTGTCATGAACACTGGGCATGGTAATAAGCTGGCTGCTAATCCAGCTCTGGAAATCCTTGCGCTTGGAGACAGTCTGCTTCAGCTCGGCATCATCAACGATGCGACCGGCGACAGTATCAACCAAAAGCATCTTACCAGGCTGAAGACGACCCTTCTGAACAACCTTTTCAGGCTCGATGGGAATGGTGCCGACTTCAGAAGCGCAAACAATGCGGTCATCGTCTGTGATGTAGTATCTGCAAGGACGGAGACCGTTTCTGTCAAGGTTGGCACCACAGTATCTGCCGTCGGCGAATGTGAAGAGAGCGGGACCATCCCAGGGCTCCATCATACAGGCTGCCCACTCATAGAAGGCTTGCTTAGCAGGGTCCATGGCGCGGTTTCCTTGCCATGCCTCGGGAACCATGAGCATGACTGCCTCGGGCAGAGACAAAACACCGTTGATGGTGAGAAGCTCAAGAACGTTATCGAAAGCAGCAGAGTCAGAGCCACCATCTTCGATGATGGGCAGAAGCATCTCCAGCTCGTCTCCGAACAAGTCGGACTTCATCAGACCCTCTCTTGCGCGCATCCAGTTCTTGTTTCCGCGAAGAGTGTTGATCTCTCCGTTGTGAGCTGCCCATCTAAGAGGCTGTGCTCTGTCCCATGAGGGGAATGTGTTTGTGGAGAAACGCGAGTGGACCAGGGCAAAGTGACCCTCGTAGTCAACGTTGACCAGATCGAAGTAGTATTCGTAGACTTGTACGGGAGAAAGTTGTCCCTTGTAGACGATGTTTTTGTTGCTCAAAGAACAGAGGTAGAACCAGTTGTGCAGGCCAATGACGTGGGTGACACGCTTGCGCAGTACATATAGCTGGCGCTCGAAGTATGGCTCATCGAACTCCTCCTCGAAGGACTCCTTGGGTGCATTAGCCTCACCATATGCAAACTTAAGCACAATGAAGGGCTGAAGGATAATAGGTTCTCTAGAGGCAGCTGCGGGACCAAGCAGCGAAGAGTCGCGAGGAACCTCACGCCAGCCCAAGACTCGCAGATCAAGGCCGTCTGCCACTTCCTCGAATGTGTTCAGTGTCTCCTTCAAAACCTCGGTATCGGGCTTGAAGAAGACGTTTCCGGCAGCGTATTGTCCTTGCTTGGGCAATGTGTATCCTTGCTCTTNTCCGAAGTTCTTGACGAAGAACTTGTGAGGGATCGATGTCATGACACCTGCACCGTCGCCATCACGCGCATCCGAACCTACAGCACCACGATGTGTCATGTTGCAGAGGAGGTTTCGTGCATCACTGACAATCTTGTGGCTTGCAGTACCCTTGATGTGNNGCTATGAAGAAGTCAGATAGGACTCGGCCGATCCGTGCAATGGCGCGACTTACGCAGCAAAACCGACACCACAGGCATCCTTCTCAAGCTCAGGGTCGTAGAGACCCTGCTTCACGGGGAGTGCGCCAGCCCATGACTTGTTCTGTGGCGTGTTCTCATACGGGTAGATGTTTACAGGTTCATCTTCCTCGATGATGGTGTTCTCAACTGGTTCTTCGAAAGACACTCGACCCATTCTTTCGGCCTGGAGCCGAGTTCAAGAGATCCTAGGGGTATAAAAGACAGGCGTGGACCTTTGGTGGCGAGGGGAGATCTTATCGAACTCGTCTATGGAATTTGAGGTCAGCTAAATGCTGTTGAATTGGTATGGCGAAGGTGCGCTAGTGTGGCAAGCAAAGAATGGCGTGGCAAGAAGGGGAGAAGTTGGAGCTCGGCCAAGAGGGAAGAAAAAGGGTGTTTCAGATGATGCGCAGACAGATGATCGTCCGTCTAATCACGTCTCCGCTGTACGGAGTATGCCATCTGGAGAAGAACGGTATTGCGGGGGGAGGCAAAAGAAAGTGGTGCAGGTGTTGATAAGGCGAGGAGCTCTAGCGAATGAGGGGCGACGAATTCGCACGCCTTTGGTGCGCGCTGCAGCCGAGAGAAAGCTTACCTACACTTAATTCGAGAGCGCTCTGATGGTCTGCGTGCAGAGCGTATTCCAGGCGTAAGTTATGCGAGGTAAAGACGAGACGAAGAGGGTGAGGGAGCGGCCACGCTTTTGTAAATTGGCCGCAAAGGTGGGGATTCAACTAGCGCAGCCTGGCAAGTAAAGGCAATAAATGCTTCCGCCCTGCACGGCAGCAACCATCTTGTACAGCATACACAATCTTGAATTGATAAAGAGGTACTCTGCAATCTATTTGCCAAACGAGACTGACTACGTCTTGGAGAACACTACTCCCTCATTGCCACAGCTTCCAGCTCGAAGCTCTCTAAACATAAAGGAGGTGATGATGCCTTCCCAACAATAACTCAAAGACTACACGCAGCTCTACTGGCCAGATCAAGTCTCCTCTGTGGCTTTGGTCAAGCCGGAGCCATACTCATTGATGCGCGGAAGCATCACGTCGTGTCTACCATGCTCCTGGACGCGCACCATCTGCTTGATAAACAGCGACCACAAGACAAAAGATTTCCCCGGACCCTTGTGGTGCCTTGGCCCGGTGGCTGGGTCAGCAAACCATCTGATTGGTTGATCTTGGTTGCATCTCCATTAGCCGAATGCTAATTGGGCCGACCGGACGTCAGGGTTTCGCGAGAGTCATAGCGACATGTCAGAGATGCTCTTATCGCTGCTCTTAAAACACACGTCGGTCGCTGATCGGAACGTGCCATCTTCGTGAAAAGCTGGGGTCCTTACTTGAGGGCAACTCACAGTCATACTAAAGAGGTCCACAAGTGCCTGCAGAAGCTGTTTCTTCATTTCGAGAAGATAATGATACCAATCTGTTTGATCCCGTGTCGTATTCCCAACCATTCAGGTGATGGACAGACTTCGGTGAGCTCGGGCGAGCGTGTCAACGGGATCAGTCGGAACAACGGATTATGGCTGGCTTTAGCCCTGAACGGATTGGTGCAGGTGGAAGCAAAACACCCCTCGCAAGTCGCAACCTTCATGGAATTCACCGATACCGGCAGAGCTCTTAGGCAAAAATGTCCTGTTTTCAATCACAATTCCCGTCAAATAGGCGAGATCCATCGAGTGTTCAAGCCGACCTAGATATTCAGCGAATGGCACCATGACACATGAGCTGACTTCTAAAGAGATACCGAGTAAATTCACTTGTTGACCTTTTTCTTGTCGGTCCAATGTTAGTCCGTCAAACGCAAGAAGTTTGGCGACACTTGACAACAGGCAGAGCTATGACGGGTGATCTGGACCATGAGTCCATGTGTATTCTTCGAAGTGATTACTGCTCATAAAGGTTCGTTTTGTTGATGATCATCTGGTATGCCCAAGCCTCGCGCCGCGACTCCTTGAATGCTGAAAAACATGTATCCATCCTCCTGCCCGAGACGCCTTGCACAGCTGCGCAATACCCAATGCCTGCTGTGGCAGTAATGATCGTGAAAAGGTAAGGTAAAGACTTTTCGCACTGCGCTGATGGTTGCAGCAGCAGTAGAGGTTGTCCCTAGGCGCAGATCTACTGCTGCATCTCCTCAGGATCCTCGAAGTCGTCGTCCTCATCCTCATCTTCTTCGTCGTCGAGACCTTCGGCAGCCTTGGCGAAATCAATAGTCTTGCCGCGAGTGCGTCTGCCTCCAGAGATGATGTTGCTCTCGTCGATCTCCTCCATGTTGTCTTCTTCGCCCTCCTCCTGTTCCTCTGTTGTTTGTCAGTTTGGTTGCGCGTATAGAGATCGTTGGTGGTGGTTCCTACCAGGGGCGGCCTGCAAAGATTGGTTAGCGTGCGTTTGTGAGAGAGCGATAAAGACGCGACTAACCTGTTCTTCCTCCTCAGAAGAGCTGTCATCGTCCATGTCCAAGTCTTCGACAGCCTTGGCCTTGCCCTTGCCGCTGGCCATCTGGGCGTGAACCTGCTGGTGTTCGGCGTCGTTGAGGATAGGGGCACCGCCCTGGGAAGTGGTCTTGTTCTCGTCGCTCATTTTTGCGGTTGATTTGATGGGTTTGTTGTGGTTGGAGATGTAAAATGTGGATGCGGATGTGAGATGCGAAAGATGGTGTGGTGAAAGTCGACAGTAAACACAGCTGAGATGTTTGCGCATGCAACCGTTGCCGCGGTTCAGAGCTCGGCGGGCTGTAAAGAACGTTCAAGATCGCTAAATCCGGCACTTTTGCTGACAGTGAACTGTCCAAGAAGAAGTGATTATGGCTCCAGTATCATCAAAGTCGATCATCAGTCAGAGCCAGAGATACATTTGATGCTCTCAAGCTTATGGGTTTACATATCTAGGTAGAAATCGAAGCGCCTGTATACCGCAGAATCATCCTGACCATCGCCAGACAGAGATTGAACGTTCTGTAGGATATTCGAAATTGATTCGCGCGCGCGTCGCGTCTTCGTGATTCACTTCCAGTCGCGTCCATCTTGAGATTATTCATGATCGCAAGTGACGATAGCATCTGTTATCCGATACTCTCAGAACCTCAATATGGCTTCAAAACCTCGTGCCAGACCGGCTCGTAAGTCTTTTGCTAGATATGATCCCATAGCGGTCCTTACTAACTCATTTTCAGACGCCCCTGGACCTACTTATCTAGCATACACTCCTAACGGCAACAAACTGATCACAGTTGGATTGAACAATGTAATCCGCATCTTTACTACTGGATCTGATGCGGAGCCTGTCAACATTGATGTTGTGCAAGACTCTCACACAGCCGTGGCTGCAACTAATGACTTCTTCTTGACTGGTTCCGAGGATGGTAGTGTTTGCAAATACTCCTTGTTCACCCACTCGCTGGAGGAAGTCCTTGTTCGGAGTACTCTCCCCATCAGAGACATCTCTATCTCGCCGGACGGATTCTGGGCAGCAGTGGCATCTGAGTAGGTTGCCCGAGTCGAGAGCGTATGTTGTTCTATACTGACCATAATGACAGTNGAACTGGTTGTGAAGATTGTTAACACGTACGATATGACACGGGTCATGTATCTCAGAGAACAGACTAGGCCTGTCAAGCATGTGTCTTTTGACCACAGTGGCTCTCACTTGGCTGTTTCTTGCTCTGATGGCATGGTATACATTTACTCGCTGAGTTCAGAAGAGCCAAAACTTGTCAAACGACTCGATGGTCTGATCAAGATCATGGAGACAGACTCGCAAGCCAGCTCAAAGATCACATGGCACCCTGATGGACGAGCATTCTGCGCTCCTACGCCCACCAAGACTATACAAGTGGTCTCAAGAAGTGACTGGACCAACCAAAAGAGCTTCAAAGCTGATGGACGAGGAGATATTACTGCTGTAACTTGGTCACCGAATGGAGCTCTACTTGCTACAGCTAGTGACGACCTCAGCATCATCTTGTGGAACACCTCGACGCAGCAGCCCGTACTCAAATTTGACAGCGACCGTGAGCCTGTGTTGGCTCTTGCCTGGCACCCCACCGAGAACCTTTTGTCATACACCACCAACGATGGAGAGCTATATATGCACACAGATATCATACCGCAGGAACATGAACATCTGCTCCGAAAGACACTCGTATCCGCACCTTTCCTAAACGATCGTCCTGCTGAGGACGCCACGAGAACTTTGGTGAACGGTGGCTCCAGACCTGGTGCTCAGCGTAGAGCAGGAACTCCTGACTCGCTCGACGACATTCTAGGAGATGATGGGCTGTCCGAGAATGGAGATGCCTTCATCGTAGACGACGACGGTGCAGGATATGCCGAGGAAGTCAATGGCAACGGCAAGCGACCCGGAGAACATATCGCATACCCACCATCGAAGAGACCTCAACAATACGGCAGTGCTAGGTGGCAACCTCGTCTACACGAACCCTTCCAGCCGGGTAGTACCCCTTGGAGAGGCAATCGTCGTTACATGTGCCTGAACCTGACTGGCTTCATCTGGACGGTCGACCAAGACACCCATCACACAGTAACTGTCGAGTTCTACGATCGTGCCGCCCACCGCGACTTCCACTTTACAGATCCTTTCCTATACGACAAGGCCTGTCTTGGCGAACATGGTGCAGCCTTCTCCTGCCCATCCTCAGACCAACATCCCAGTCTCGTTTACTTCCGCCCGCACGAAACTTGGACATCGAGAACAGACTGGCGAACACAGTTGCCTGCAGGAGAGGAAGTCACATCCCTGAGTCTCAGCACGAGTTTCGTGGTCGTCACTACCTCAAAAGGATACGTCAGAGTCTACACATTGTATGGACTGCCTTTCAAAGTGTACAGACANAAAAGCACTCCAGCTGTCGCATGTGCCTCCTGGCGCGACTACATCNNCCTCACCGTAGGAAACGGACCCATCGGCGGCGACGGCACAGCAAAACTCGTCTACACGATTGAAAACGTAAAGCGCGACGAAGTCTGTCAATCTGAAGACATTCTCCCTCTGCCCGAGCAATCAGAACTACAATCGGTTTTCTGGTCTGATAGAGGCGACCCCTGCATCTACGACTCAGAAGGCGTGCTGTTAGTATGTCTGCACTGGCGAACACCCGGTCAAGCAAAATGGGTCCCTCTGCTCGACACTGCCCAACTGGATCGCCTAGCCTCCGGGCGCAAGGAAGAAGCCTACTGGCCCGTCGCAGTCGCCATGGACAAATTCCACTGCATCATCCTCAAGGGTGGAGAAAAGTACCCTTACTTCCCTCGTCCACTACTCTCCGACTTTGAGTTCAAGATCCCAGTCACAGCTCGCGACGAGGAGAATCAAGATGAAAACGAGGAAAGCGATGTTCAGAAGCTGGAAGAGCAGTATGTGCGCAACTCGGTCTTGTTGGGCTTGCAGGATGACTTGGTTAATCACACGCACGCCACACATGCGCANAAGACGGAAGCTGCGCAGCGTGAGCTTGACGTCGACAAGGTTTTGTTACAATTGCTGGCTGCAGAGTGCAGAGAAGGTGAAGAGAGAGGTATGAAGGCGCTAGAATTGGTCAGCTTGATGAGAGACAGATCGGGCAAGATGCTCGAAGCGGCCGTCAAGATTGCAGCGAGATTCGAACGTGACGTGTTGGGAGAGAAGATTTCTGCGCTTGCGGAACGGAGATTGGTTGGTTTGGCTGATGAAGAGGAGGTACTTTGAACGTCATGAAGGGCTTAGACAGAAAGTCACTTGGAGTTTGGGTTGTACAGTAATGAAGACTTTTGTATTTGATTACATCTATTCGTCGTCAGAATCCATCAACTCAGCCAGCTCGGCTTCCTCTTCTGCTGTGAGCATGCTCTCCTTCTTGACTTCTGGCTCTTCCTCGACCTCGGCCCCGTTTTGTTGACGCTCATATTCCTCCTTGGCCTTCTTGATCTCTGCAGGGTCGAGAGACCAGGTTCTTAGCGTGCCATCAATACTAACACTAACGACACGGCTGGCTCTGCTGCCTTGTGCGGGAGGCAGCAAGGCAAGGCCAGTGACCTCATTGAAATGGCCACTGAAAACACAAGCCAGCTCTCCAGAAGCAGAGTTCCAGACACGCACCTCCTCGTCACGGCATGCAGTGACTACCCATCCAGCTTGCTGGTCAATGACAATGTCTCGTACAAAATCAGGGTGAGCGAGTGTGGTGTCGGTAGTCCAGTCGCGCGAGCGGACTAGTCTCTGGGCTGTCTTGTCCGAAGATGCGGTCCAGAGGTCTGCATCAGCATCGGCGTCGTCGGCGTCTACGACAAGCGAGTCCTCGAAGCGTAGACGATTGACAGAGGTCTCGTGGGGTCGCAGTGGTGTAGCCGGACCCTCGCTAGCACTGTGGAGAGTAATCTTCCAGCTGCGGATGTCGCGCACGGTGTCGGCACTGAAGAGGCAGAGCTCGTCCTTTGTGGTTGCTGCTGGGTCGAGGGCGAGATCAAGGACAGCGCGGGCGTGACCCTTGAGTGTGTGTATCTTTTGCCCGTNCTCAATGTTCCATACTATGATGGTAGAATCGGCAGAGCCAGACAGTAGCACAGGAGTACCAGATAGCTCAGTTGCGAGGACGCATTTTACAAAGTCGGAGTGACCGGTGTAGCGGCGCAGGGGCTTGCGAGTCTTGAGGTCCCATGAGTGGATTGTCTTGTCCCAGCATGCGGCGAAGAGGATAGGGTTGGCTGATGGTGACCTCAGGACGGTGAGGGATGTCAGGGGAGCAGCAGCGCCCGTGTAGACGGTTGACTTGTCGCCATTCTGGTGGTTGTATCAGGGTTTTGGTCTTGTCGCAATGGATCGGTTGTCACATACCTCGAGGACGATACGTCTCGCGGTGCCGGCAGCTTCGGCAATGTAGACGGCATCCGGGTCTTGTGGGTCGGCATGGACGGCGAGGATCTTTGAGGTCAGGGCGACGGGGTTGCCATNTTTGTTCGAGGCTTTGGCCTGTCTGCGTTTCTGTTCGGCGACCGAGTCCCTTTGTCACCGAGTCTCAGCGGACGATTCCTTCTCTTGGGTATGTGGTCGGGCGGTCGCTCACGAGGTCTGAAAATAGTTGTCGGCGTCTGACTGTAACATGGTGTGTGTGAAGTAAGGATGTTTCCATTGTTTCTCAACAGGGCCCTGAATTGGACGGCCCTTTCTCGCCATGATCCGGGATCCGGAGCTTTGACCCTGTGCTCCTTCCCACCAAAAGTACTGCTTGACTCTTGACCCTTCTGCCGCTGCCACCTTGCGGCTAAAGTCTATCGTTTGGAGAGACTTTTATACCATGAACTCTATCCTCTCCTTACTAGTCATACTCAGTCTTGCTGTTGATGGGCTTTCTATTGACTGTTTACGATATATCTGTTCGATTTGCACGCAGGCGAGATTGTGCTTCGACCCGCAGTTCCCTCTGCTTCCCCAGCTGGTTCATCGGTCACATCTCGCCTTGAGCCGTCGCCAGACCGCTCTCACTTCATGCCCCTCTGTATAAATTGTTGAAACCACAGAATGATCGATCGCCATGTATCACTGAATTATGAATACCTACCATTGCGAATCCACTTCTCACACCATATGTTCCACCATGCTTAGCTGGTGGATTCCACGTTTTTCTTCCCGTCTGCAGCTTTCTCGTGGCTAGCCAATCACCCGGAAATTTTGCTTGCGCCTCTTGAATCCTACCACGCCTTCTAGTTTCATCCACCAACGCCTCCAAAACTTCCATGACCCGGCATTTGCTTGCCTGTTTCTGCCTAGAACCACTGTCCTTACTCGCTAATCAGCCCACCCATCTCTACGCACGTATCTCCCATCTCTAGTAACGTCGTACCCGCTCGGTTGAGCGATCAACCTTGGCCATGTTGCATCCCTCGGCACTGAGAACCAGCCCCAACTCGATTCATGCATTTAGTGTATTACTTGGTCAGGGTCTTTGATTGTGCCCACAAAAGCTCCAAGTCCAGACATCTATATCGCTTGTGGATCCTTGGCTTCAAAGCTCCTGCTCTGTGGCTTGGACCAATCTCAAAGTCTAATAGCGAGATTGTTGTGCCGCCGACGTCTCATAGGCCTGCACCTTCCGTGCATTCTATGCATCAAGCAGATCCTTCGCTCCCCATGCTCATGCTGAGGCATCCTTCAGAGCACTGCTATTCGCGACAAGCTGCTATCGTTAGTTACTAGTGCAGCTCTCTAACAAGTGCTCAGCGTGGCTGATCGCAACAATTGACTGTCGTGAACAGAAGGCATAGAGTTATACTTGCATATAGCCACTAATTAGCCAGCAAGCGAAAACGCTTTCAAACCGCGTCCACTCCGGACGTTCGTCTAGTCAACGGTTCCTCGGTCGGCAGACGGTCCACACCCCATCCGCAGGCTGCCCACTGCCCAGCCTCTAGAGTGATCAAGGTTCGCATACATATCGCACGGGCCGTCCGCGACCCTCTACTGTTTTACAATCACTTCAGATCTTTTTGCGCCACGCTAGGGTCGGCTGTTGGACTCTTTAAAGTGCTGGAGCTCCCGTTCCGACAGCCTTTCCTCAAGCCCTGATAACCATGTCTGTTGCCAAATCACGCCCTGGCAGTAACGACACCATGGACCACACCATCGCGTCCACCTCTTCAGCTAGTGTCATGCCTGAGGCTACCACCAAGCCCGGTCTCACATCTGGAGCTCAGGAAGTTCGCAGCTTCGACGGTATTGACGATGATGCCGACCTCGACTACCACGGTCACCTTCGCAACACTCAGAACGATGATGGCTTCACCCGTAACGATGCACGAGAGATGAAGCGTATGGGCAAGAAGCAAGAGTTGAAAAGAAACTTCAGAACTCTCTCGACTATCGCCTTCACCATCATCCTTCAAGGAACTTGGGAGGTCCTCTTGACTGCAACAACCCAAGGAATGACCAACGGCGGTCTTGCAGGCTTAGTGTGGTCCTATATCTGGACCTTTTTCGGTTTCATCTTTGTCGTCCTCTCGCTGGCCGAGATGGCTTCTATGTGCCCAACTGTATGATCTCATATACAATTCATGTTTCTTGCACATTGTACTGATTTGAATTAGGCCGGTGGCCAATACCACTGGATCTCCGAATTCGCTCCTCCCTCACAACAGAAGATCCTGAGTTTCCTCGGAGGCTGGATGTCTACCCTCTCTTGGCAAGCTGGTACAGCCTCTGGACCGTATCTGGTCGGAACCCTCATTCAGTCATTGATCTATGAGAACGACCCCAACTACGTCTTCAGAAACTGGCAAGGTACTCTGTTCGTCATTGCCATCGCTCTGGTGGTTTGGGCTACCAACGTCTGGGGAACCAAAGCAATGCCTGTTTTCCAGAACCTTATGATGATTGTCCACGTCTTTGGCTTCCTGGTCATCATCGTGATGATTTGGGTCCTTGCTCCTAGAAACACCGCAGCAGAAGTCTTCGGCACTTTCACCAACTCTGGTGGCTGGAGCTCCATGGGTCTTTCCCTGATGGTTGGTCAGGTTTCAGCCGTGTATGCCTGTATTTGTTCCGATGCAGCTGCTCACGTTTCCGAAGGTAAGTCTATCCCTACATGATATGGCCTTGCATTTGAGCTAATCGTTCCACAGAGNGTCAAGGATGCCGGAAGAAACGTTCCCAGAGCCATGATCTGGTCTTACTTCTTGAACGGTGCTCTGGGTCTCGTTTTCCTCATCACCTACATGTTCAGTGTTGTCGATCTCGCCGGTGCCGTCGATGATGGCAGCAACGGCTCTGGCTACCCGTACATGTTCGTCTTCACCAAAGCCTTCAGCATGCCCGCTTTCAACACTCTTTCGGCTATTGTCATCATCTTGATCTACGCTGGAACACTGTCCTACAACTTGTCGACCTCTCGTCAGACCTGGTCCTTTGCTCGTGATCAAGGCCTTCCCTTCAGCAACTGGATTGCTAAGGTCGACCCTAAGCTCGAGGTTCCAGTCAACTCCGTCACTGCTACTACTGCATTCACCATCATTCTCTCGCTCATCAACATTGGTTCTGACGCTGCCTTCAATGCCATCGTCTCGCTCAACCTGACCTCTCTCATGATTACCTACGTCGTCAGTATTGGCTGTGTCCTCTACCGCCGCTTGAAGCACCCAGAGACTTTGCCCAACTGCAGATGGTCCCTGGGCCGCTGGGGAGTCCCCATCAACACTTTTGCTGTGTTGTACTCCTCCTTTGTCTTCTTCTGGATGTTCTGGCCTCAGTCAACTTCCAATTCTGCTGCTGATTTCAACTGGTCGGTGCTCATGTTCATGGTCGTCTTGATTGTTTCTGTCATCGACTGGGTCTTCAGAGGAAGAAAGGTCTACTCTGGTCCCGTTGTCCTCACTGAGGGATACAAGGGCGAGTAAAAGTCAAGCGTCTGCGCTCAAAAGAATGACTTGTTTATTTTCTGTTCATATTTGCACCTAATATAGAGAAGAAATGCTTCACGGCCATGATGTTTTGTCTGTCATCTTGTCTGACTTGCTCAAATTGATTCTCTGCAACAACTGAGTGAAAGTCAATTCGCATCTTCCCCGCTCTGCTCGCCGAGGTCATCCGTTGTATCCGCTCTACCCGCATATATGTATAACAAGTCTATTGCTGTAAGGACCAACAGTCATACAAACTATCAAGACAATGATATGCCCTCTGGTTACTCTTCGCGACTGAAGCTTCTGGAACGCCAGTTCATTCTGCCTTCGAGCAAGCAGTCATCTCTGCTACCACGAGCGACGATCAAAATCAAGCACACCAACCAGCAACCACAACCATGAGCGCCAAAGTCCTTCGAGCAGCAGCATGCCACGTCTCTCCAATCTTCCTCTCCGCTTCTGCAACAACCCAGAAAGCCATCTCCCTCATCAAACAAGCAAGCAACAACAAAGCCAACCTAGTCGTCTTTCCCGAAACCTACATCTCTGCATTTCCCATCTGGAGTGCTGTTCGCGCGCCTACAGAAAACCACGATCTCTTTAAACGCATGGTGGAGCACTCTGTTTATGTTGATGGACCCGAGATTGAATCTTTGCGTGCTACGGCTCAGAAACTTGGGATTATGGTTAGTGTGGGCATATCAGAGAAGGCGAGGTACAGCAGTGCAACACTCTGGAACTCCAATTTGCTGATTGGAAGCAATGGCGAGATACTAAACCACCACCGCAAACTCCAACCCACCTTTTTCGAAAAGCTGACTTGGAGTCCTGGAGATGGGCATGGGCTAAAGGTCACAAACACCCCCTACGGCAAGATAGGAAACTTGATTTGTGGTGAAAACACAAATCCTCTGGCGAGATATGCCTTGATGGCACAAGGAGAGCAAATCCACATTTCGACTTGGCCTGCCGTGTGGCCTACCAGAGCTCTTGATCCAGATGTGGTGGCTACAAAAGGAAAAAACTACGATAATTTGGCTGCTAATAGGACTAGAGCTGCTGCTCATTGCTTCGAAGCTAAATGTTTTGGCATTATCAATGCTGCATTTTTGGATCAGCGAGCAATCGATATTGTTGCAAAAGGTGCTAGCAATGAAGGCAGCGTCCGACAGACATTACAGCTTTCTCAACGAGCGGCTACTATGTTTCTTGATCCTACTGGCATGTTGAAGCCTGGGTTCACTGTTGACACATCAACGGGCAAACAGCAGGTGACCGAGTACTTGCAAGACAGAGAAGATATCCTATACACAGATATGGATGTGGAAGAATGTATTGAGGGCAAACAATATCATGATGTTGTTGGTGGATACCAGAGATTAGATATATTCGATCTGCAGGTTGATCGAAGTCGAAGGGAGCCAGCCAGATTCGTGGAAGGTTCGCAGGACGAGAAGGTCGAGTTTTGAGTAGCAAAGCAACCTCTTGCACTTTCTTTTCTTGCCATGCGTCTAGTTGCCATTTTTGGGTAGTGCACGACACAACTCGATCGGATCGAGCTTTCCGGTCGATCGACTTTGTTTGAGTCAAGGGCCAACCACCTCCTGGAGCCGGCGTCACGAAACCAACCACTTCTCATACACCAAGCACTCCAAATACTACTTGACTAAAACTCACGACTCCCTGCCAGATCTCAATTGTGGATGTTGATATCATGAACCGTCTCTTGTCCACCTGGGACCTCGTGCTGTTCCGACGACTGCACGTCTATACCAATGCCAACGGTCTGACGTAGCCAAAAGCAAGATCTTCAACAATTAGGTTACTCCATGCGCGAGCATGACACCGTGAATACAAGGGCTACTTGGTCACTGCAGATACAAAAACCAAGTCATGCTGCCCCGCTTGCCTCCGAATGCTTTTGTATCCTGGTGCCAACATGAAAGGCACCTTCGGCCTCGCGTTAAGCACACAGCTTTTACTGACCCAAGCCGCACCACTCGCAGCCAACTACTTCGGCAGACCTGCGCAAAATGCAACATTTGACTATGTTGTCATTGGTGGAGGTACAGGTGGTCTAGCAGTCGCATGGCGTCTTGCCGAAGCGAATCATTCTGTAGCTGTCGTCGAAGCCGGCGGGTTTTACGAACAGGAGAACGGAAATGTCTCTGTCGTGCCGGCTTACAATCAAGACTACAACGAGATCACACCAGAGTCGCAGTGGGACGCGCCGCTGGTTGACTGGGGCTTCTTGACGACACCTCAAGCAGGTGCCCAAGGACAAAGGTTCCACTACGGCAGAGGAAAGATGCTCGGTGGCTGGTAAGTGATCTTCAGCAATGGCATGACATGACTGACACTATTCGAAAGTTCTGCTGAAAATGCTATGAACTACAATCGACCTACAATCGGCGCTCTCCAAGCATGGGCCGATAGTGTCAACGACTCAAGCTATACTTGGGACAGCTTCTTGCCATACTTCCAGACGACAATCGAGTACACGAATCCTGACAGAAGATTACGCGCATCAAACGCCTCTGTGCCCATAATAACCAATGAGACGGGCACAGGTCCCTTGCAGGTTTCTTTCCCGCATTGGGCAAGTCCACTTGCATCTTGGGCGAAGGCAGGCCTTGCAGAGATTGGCGTTGGGGACTTGCGCAGCCTGATCAATGGCCGCCTGATGGGAGCTCAATACAGCCCTCTGACGCTCAATCCGAAGGATCAGTCTCGAAGCTCTTCACAAGCATCCTTCTTGAACGCAGCGTTGCAGAGCAATGCATCGCGCCTAGAGGTCTACACCCATACATTGGCCAAACAGATTCTGTTCGACCATAATAAGACCGCTACTGGTGTGCGAGTACAGAGTGGTCCATCTCCTGAGTCTTACATACTCAGCGCCAGCAAAGAGGTCATCCTCTCTGCGGGAGCTTTCCAGTCACCTCAGCTTCTGATGGTATCGGGCATTGGTCCAGCTGATGAGTTGCGCAAGTTCAACATTTCGATGGTCGCAGACCGACAAGGCGTAGGACAGAACATGTGGGATCATGTTGTGCTCAGCGTAGGACAACAAGTCGACGTCGAAACTTATGGAAGGCTCGCAAACCCTGTTGCTGTCGCAAAAGCGCAACAAGATTACCTCAGCCCAAACCATACTGGTATCCTGACCAACGATCAATCTGACTTCCTGGGCTGGGAGAGATTGCCAAGTTCGTCACGATCGACCTTCACGGAGTCAGTTCTCAAGGACCTCTCATTGTTCCCATCAGACTGGCCGGAAGTAGAGTATGAGATCTCCTCTGCTCCTTTCGGTACNTCCATCCTTTCTACTCCCGATAACCCGATCGATGTAGGATACATCCAGCCAGTGCTGCTCACACCTCTGTCGCGCGGCAACATCACCTTGGCAAGTGCAGACATGTCTGACGCTCCACTCATCAACCCGAACTGGCTCACCCACCCAACTGACCAACAAGTCGCCATCGCAGCCTTCAAACGCGCAAGACAGTTCTTCAATACAACAGCCCTCGAGCCCATCCTCATCGGCCAGGAACTGCTTCCTGGTCCCCAAGACTTACCTTTCAACTCTACTGATACAGAGATCCTCACTTACCTGCAAGCAAACATTGGCTTTAATTGGCATGCTAGTTGCACCTGTAAGATGGGTTTGACAAATGACTCTATGGCTGTTGTGGATTCAAAGGCAAAGGTTATCGGTGTTGAGAGGTTGAGGATTGTGGATGCGAGTGCTTTCCCTTTCTTGCCGCCGGGACATCCTCAGGCTACTATTTATGCGTTGGCGGAGAAGATTGCTGTTGATATCTTGGCCGGTAGATGATTTCTAACTAGAGAATAATGATGCTGGTTCATGTTGTTCACCAGTCGAAAAGAATTGTGATTAGCCAAAACCAGGGAATCCGAGGACGCACCTACCCTTCCAAAATATATCGAAGTAGACAGCTATGTAAGACATCTGCGACAGTCATATAGACAGTACTCCGTCTAGATTGTCGCTCTCCGTCTAGATTGTCGCTAATTCCGAGAGGCGCGTCTACATGACTAGGAAATTGATTATAATGGCAGGGTGACACTGCCGACCATGATCTTTCGACATCATTCATCCTTCAGATGGCAAAGTCATATGCTATAGTGTTGTAAGCAAGCTAGAGCATGGTAACGACCATTTGAGGAACGAGTGCTGCTTGCAATCATGGCACATGCATGGTGGGTTGGTGTCTCACAGGTTTTGATTCCCTCAGCCTGGCGTGGTCAGACACGGAGCAGCTCATGCGTCTCATCATATCAGCAGGCATTCCTATCCACTTATCATCATCGAAGTATTGTGCCAAAGTTTTCAAAAGGAAAAAATCACCACAGTGTCTACATAGGTATGGACAAACGATTGTTAAGGGAAGACTCAATGAGGTTCAAGCGTCCTCATGGAAACCAAGCATCAACAAGCAACGACGGGCCGCAAAAGCGGCTCGGCAACCACGACCGAACCCATGCTCCTGCAGGGCAGCCATGACGCAGCACCGACAACCAATAGCTCCAGCTCGTGCTCCAGATAAACCAGTGCCTATGGTGTCTCACTTGAGCCTGCTGCGCCTATTGACGACGCGTCTACCCCTCATAAACCTGTAAGGACTGTAAGCTGCGTATCGACGTAAGTGGAAGCAATGCTGGATGGTCGAACTCAAAAGACTGCAATCCCTCTGTTGCTGCCAGATCACTATCATCTTCTGCCTTCTCTCTACTGCATTGAACTACTAGCTTGAGACTGTGCCTCTTTATACACCCATACACCAACTAAGATGCCTCACCACGGAAAACACCACGGCGGCCACAGAGACTACAGATCTCGTGACAGCGAACGCAGCTCGAGATATCATCACGGAGAAAGCGACCGCAGCCACGGAGGAAGCAACAAAAGCCACTCCCTCTCTGAATACAGCATCTGGGTTGCCAACCCCGTTTCCTACGTAGCTCAAACCCCCGAGCAGGACCCCAAAAGCCCCCACATCCAGCTCAAGTTGACCGATGGCTCAAACAGCCCTGAAGCTGATATCAACGTCAAGTCCACCAGCCAGGACAGCCGTCTCGTCTACTGGGTCAACAACAACTTCCAGCACCCAATTACCTCCCAACTTGAATCTCTGCCTCTGGGTCAGACGGTCTTGAAGCCTACCAATGGTCAACCCTCACAGTACGCTCTCGACTTCTTGCGCACCACACCTGCCCTCTTGGACCTAAACGCCGGTACCATCTTGCCAGCTTCAGGCAACAACACCATCGAAGACAAACTCGAGCCCATCCTGACTTCAGCAATCAACCAAAACGCCAAAGTCTACCTCTGGGGTCAAGGCTACAATGACTCCAACGGCGAGTCTGGCATCCACGATATCCACATGAACCAAGGCAACACTGGACACTTTTCCAATGATGTGTACAGTGATGGCAGTTTCATGGTGCAGTTTGAGGATCATTGGGAAGCTGTGTTTTTGGCGTTTGCGGATCAGGAAGTGCCCACTGACAATGAGACTGGCGATCCCACTGCTGATGCCGAACCTTTTGACGAGACTTTGTCGTCTTAGATGTAGATGGCAGTATACGAGGATTTAGGAGGTTCTTAAAGTCCATGAGACTTCTCTAAAGTACAAGCTCAGCTCTAGCCTCAGTCAGAAATTGACGTGTTATGCTACTACGATGACGGGAGTTTCATACAAGTGAGCTATGCACATGTGACTTGTTCTACCAAGTATCAGAATCCCCAGAGCATGATTGACATTTTTGAAGGCAAAGTGTTTCGCCGAAGATCGAAACAGGGGTGCAAGAACCATCAAGGCAGCACAGCTCGTCAGAATCCTAACTTTGTTGCTCAGGGACTCCATCCCTCGAGATTCTGCCAGAGTTTTGCTATGCTAACATCTCAACTAAGCAGGTGAATCTGTAATTTCAACCATCGACACACCCTTAAGCCATCTTCCCGGATGCGCATACATAAGCAACCCCACCGCCACAACCATAGGCGCAAACTCCAAGCATCCAAAGTAAACCTCCTGATTAGCCAGATCGGATTGTAAACCCGGTGCTGTCTCTGCCAATCTAAAGCACGTTCGTAGGCATACAGCCAGCGCCGCTATAACAAACGCAACCAAGAACCTCCGCGAGACACTATGGACACTGGATCGTGCTTTGAGGAGGATGCACACAAGAACGATCAGGAATAGAGCAAAGGAGACCACCTGCACGCACAGCCCGGAGAATAAGATCGTGTTGTAGTCGGTTGGGTCTTCTCGGTTTGAGTATGCGGTGCCTACTAATGCAGCACCAGCGATTTGAAGGATTGTCGCTACGATATCGCAGCTCACGAAGCCCCAGAGGATGAGTTTAGGCGGTAGGGGTGCGTAGCGGCGGCCGTAGAAGTTTGTCAAGACCGAGGCGATGGAGTAGATCGATGCACTGAAGAAGACGGGTGCGACAACGATGCAGAAGTACTGTTTTGGTATGCATCAGCGGGTCTTGTGACATGAGCATCATCCAAAGGGGAAAAGTACCTGAGCAACGAACCAGGCTACTGCATAAGGATTTTCGACATTACTGAGGATGCGGAAGATATAGCCAATGATTTCCATCGCGGTGCCAATGGCAATAGGGACGAAATACCAAGTACGATACTTGAAGAGAAAAAAGACATGTCCAGCAAAGCCTAGTATAAACAGTGCGATAGCGATGATGGACAGAGCAAGGGATGGAACATATCTATCACAATTCGTGTTAGCAACATGCAACATACACCCAATCACAAAGATGCTGTAACCAACCCATAAATGATATTATACAATTCTTTCATATTGTAGTGATTTCTTGCCAATGCTTCTCCATCATCTTCATGGGTTGTCTACACCTTTATGTTGTTATGCCAATGGTGTAGAGCCAAGCGCAGGATTCACAGATCAGCAGCTTGGCTACCAAGGAATTGACTTATTTTGACAACCTGTATAAGCACCCGTTTCTGGTCCTACGCAGGTGGCTATGCAGAATTATATCATTTGGATGTTATACGAGGAGGATTGGTCCCTGGTCGTACCTGCGGTCGAGCATTGCTCCGCACGGAGTAAAATGTGTAACCCGGAGAGACCTTCTGCCTGCCAAGACAGGTATGAACAGCCATATTCTTTTGTTGCATACATAGCTGGCCTGAATCATCTTGCAGATCGGACATATGTCATTCTGAATCTGCGTGTTGTGAAGATTGTCAGATGATCCAAATACAGCATATGGTCACAGACACCTGTGTCACAAGTCGTCACTGTACGTTGGATGGCCTCTGTGTCTCGTGAAAAGTTGCATTAATCGTTTGTGTGGGTATCTACCATTCCGGATCCTCAGAGACAACCTGACATCCAGTTCCTCCAATGTAGTCGCGCGCTTCCGTGTCGTTGTCCACAACCTTAGGGTGCCGATCGCCTTGAGCCTTTGTGGGATCCCATTCCAGTACTCCTGTAGGATCGATGATGCACAAGACTCTTCGTTCCGTCAGAAGTCGAGTGATGTCCTCGTGAATCAACCGCCGGGCAATGAAGTTCAGCGAGAAGACCTCACGGAAGGAGAAGACAATGGCGCAAGCATTGGAGTGGTGTCCAGATTCAGGATCAGATGGATCTGGCTTCCCCAGCTCATAGGCCAATGCTCTTGTTAATCTTTCTGCACCAGGGAAGCGTACGGCACCTCGTAGTTTGAAGACGACGACTTTTCGGGAGCAGCTTGCATTGTGCTTCTCGTGCTCGGCGCTGATGAGATTCGATACAGAGGTTTGGACAGTGGATCTTGCGACATGGCTGACATCCATCATGTGTAGACCCATGTCCCGCGAGAGCTGTTCACACATGGACACACCACGTACGCTGTTACCGCGCTGATCGATCTTTGGCGAGAATGTGGCAAGACCGACTTGACCGGGCAGGGCACCAATAATGGCACCAGCGACACCACTCTTTGCCGGGAAACCGACGTTGGAAACCCAGTCACCAGCAGCATCGTACATGCCGCAAGTGGTCATGACAGACAAGACCTGACGAACACTTGTGTGTGGTATAATCTGCTCTTCAGTGACTGGATGGATGCCACCATTGGCCAGCACAGCGGACATCATAGCCAAGTCTTGAACGTTGACGTTGATTGAGCATTGCCGTACGTAGCCTTTCACAGCCTCTCTTGGATCGCATGAAATGACACCAGCAGCCTTCAGCATATAGCCTAGCGCCATGTTTCTATCCGCATCTTTCAACTCGGCCTTGTAAACTTCCTCATCGACGTACAGTTGGCGACCAGCCAGCTTAGAAAGGACTTTCAAGATGCGGTCGATGCGCTCGTGTAGGGTTGCAGTAGGCGAGCAGACGAGGGTGTGAGCGGTGATGGCGCCAGCGTTGATCATGGGATTCATGGGACGGTTCGTGTTGCGTTCGAGAGATAGTTGGTTGAATCTGTCGCCCGAAGGCTCGACTCCGATCTNTTTGAGCACTTGGTCGAGTCCAGCGTCCTCGATGGCGATGGCGTAGACAAAGGATTTGGCGATAGACTGGATAGAGAATTCGACCTTGTCGTCTCCTGCAGAGTAGACATTGCCGTCGACCATAGCTAGGGCTACTGCCATTTTTGACGTGTCTGCCTTGGCCAGCGTCTCGATGTAGTCGGCAGGAGCTCCCCNCTCGTTCGGTCGCGCCTTCTCAAGGACATGGTTGAGATAGTCCGGAATGGGCGACTTCATGTTGAGACAAGAGGCAAGGGATGGATTGCAAAGAGTGCAGAACAGGTCAGAGAAGGCTTCACGCCTCCGGTACAATCTCGTCGACTCATCTCATCGTGCCTTGCATCCCGGTACACTCTTGCCCATTTACGTACATTTTTGTCGCCAAGCGCCATCAAATCCCAGAAAAATCTCAACGCTTGTTGACGTAAGACGTAATAGTTTTTCGCATGTGATGCACGTGGAGCAAAACTTTCTTTAATCTAATCAGATGACCCGGACATCCCTTCCGAGTACCTCTCCATGGTTGGCTTCATTCTTGCCATTCAAGTTGATGCATCTATTCGATGTCTTGATATCATTTCGGCTGTCAGATGGCGGTATGAGCCAGTGTCTACTCATCATGATTGATCCCCACTCGCGAACATCCTACGCGCATCTTGGCAGATATCCTTTTGACAGTCAACACACCTATTACCGAACTGCCGCGAAGACTTCTCTCCACTATCTATATGTTCTTTGACCATGTCCGCAAGTGCTTCGATAAACAACGGACTTCCATTCAAGCTTTCAGCTCGCTTGATGGTATCCGCATGTCCTGACTCACCAATCAGTTCCTCATCAAGCTCGTACAGCGTCTCGATATGATCGGATGTAAAAGCGATAGGCACCAACAGCAGGTGTGTATCTCCTTTGTGGATGAACTTCTCAACCACTTCACTGGTTTGTGGTCCTAGCCATGGCTGAGGCCCGACTTTGGACTGCCAGCAGAGACGATATGCATGAGAGAAGCCTAGTTGCTTCATCACTGCATAAACTGTTGCAGAAACTTCTGACGAGTATGCATCACCNNTAAGTTTGTGTGTCAGCTCCAAGAATATCACTGTGTGAGGGATGACATTGAACGACGCACCCTGATTCACTGCACGCATAGGTTGGCTGTGCGCCGAGAAGATGATCGTGACATCTTTTCGCTTCTCAACTGAATATGTCGCAAGCGTAGCCTCGATATTCCGTGCAACGGCTTCCACGAACTTCGGGTGTGCAGGCCAACGATCGATAATGCTCCAGTCAATATGCAAATCACAACTCTCTAACTTCTCTTTACATCTGAAAAGTTCGTTGATGGAGCTTCCAGTTGTTCCACAAGAGTATTGAGGATATTGTGAAAAAGCAATTGCTCTGCCCCGTTTGCCAAAACCATCTGCCAGAAGCTTGGAGTACACGTCCTCATTTAATGGGTGAGCATATCGAAACGCAATGTATGGTAAATGTGGCGCTGATGAAGGCGAAGTCTCGTCCAAGATACGGCACGTCTCCTGTGCCTGCAATTCGGACCAATTACGAATCGGAGAGCCACCACCAATTGCAGCATACTGTTTCTGAATTTTGGATGTGCGTAGCCTAGTGATTATGTTTGCAAAAATTCTTTGGAACCTTCCGAACGGGATGATGTCTCCATCTGACTGCTAGAACGTAAGCTTGATTCGGATCGTGCTCGTAAAGAGCCTTACAAAGAGTCTATGCAGGAAATCTCGAACTTCTCCTTGATTGCCAGGGCCGCCCATGTTCATAAACACAACAGCAGTCGGGCCATCTCTGCCATTCTTGGTTTCAGATTTTGTGTTGAGTGATCGTCTTATCTGCTGCAGGCAGTTGACTCGAGCTCGCTGCTGCATGATGTTGAAAGTTTGTATAACCATCATGCTTAAGAATCCAGAAAGTCCAAACAAGAGAGAATATGCACGTATCTAGGAGAATTGGCAGATTCAATGCTGCCAAGGAAGAATTGGACAGCGTGTTTACGCCAATCCTTTAGAGCGTAGTGCTAAGAATCCTACGGCCGCTTATATAAAGTGGATCTCGAAGACCCCACAAATTTGTTGCTCTAGTTTTCGAGATGAGTCTTGATCTGTGTCAGAAATTGACTTTCCTTATGGTTGTTGTCTGGTCTTGATATATTGTGTGTCTCTAAGCTGTCGTACAGAAACGCATTCCATCCCGAATGGAACGAGGTGCACGTCTTGGTTGGTTCTTCAGTTGAATCTAGGAAGACCATCTCATGTAAGTCAAGCCATTCAGATCCTGTTCGCTATTCCCGATGCAAGGGTCCGGCCAACCCCAAAGAAGAGTGAGCATCAGCTTCCACCCACGACGTCCCTGCCTCGCTTTGTTGATCTCATTCAGGATCCACGCTTCCTGGGCATCCCATGTCTCATGATGACCTCCATAACGATGGCCCCAAATTACGAAATTCAGTGTCACCACCTCCAACCCTTGCATAGCTTTCAAACCCTCACAAACACCTTTGATTCTGACCGCACTCGCTCTATCCAGGTCAGGATCAATCTGCCTGCACGGTCCCCGAAACACCGGCCTACGGACATACTTGAGCTGGCCATTGAGATACAATGAATCAGATTCTATGGTCTTAGAGGTGGGTATTTCCCAAATCAACTCCACGCTCTTGATCATGTCTAGCTGGTCTGGTGGCAGTAGCTCAGGCAATCTCATCACCGCCGATGTGTCCCGTGTCCTGAGATGCACCGCACGAAGCAGCATCGGCAGTAATTCAGTATAGATCTGTCTGCTCGTGCATAGTAGCGCAGTTTCCCAGACGTTAATTTTAATCCCTGTTTTGGGAAAAGCGTAACGACTTTCGCGCATGAGTCCGCGCCGATAAGTATCCGTAATTTCGATGGTTCGACTACACCCGACAACGACAAAGGTCCAGATCTGCAGACGGATCTCGAGTGGAAGAGATAGCAAACGACTCTGTAGTTGAGCTTGAGTGGCAGGACCTATAGGCCGTCTCGAGGCAAAGGCCGCGAAGGGGTCTCGGACCTTCCTTTGGTGATGCGCCCAAGCGCCCTAACATGGGCTGAGCGAGGATCTGATTCGCGATACCGTGACCATGGGAATAGAGAAGATATCGAAACCATTTGGAAACCTTGAAAAATGTAGAATCGTTTACTGTTGAGTCGAGCCAGAGCTGATGAGAGGCAGGGTGACTTGAAGTAGCCAAAGTGACTGGTGGCCTAAAAATTGGTGATCCGATGGTCGTTGGCATATATATAGTGTTTTGATATTGCCGAGCGAAAGATGTCTGCCGACTCGGCGCAAGTGCTTGAAGGGTTGGTAGATTTATGTGGGTCGAAATCCTTCCTACATTTTAGCGTACTTGGTGTGTTTCAGCCTGAGGTAGGTCAACCATGTTTTCACATTACCGTGGACAGTAGTTCCTGATATATAGATGAATCACGACATAGAAGACAGAAGTCGCTCAACTGCTTATGTATTACCAATAGAGCGGAAGGGGTGCCCAGGACTGTGGCTTTACGTACTTTTATCGTTTAGCTTCGACGTTCATGTGACTCCAACTTGAACAACCGGTCGTTCTTCCAAGACCTTTGTTATGTAGCTATATTCTTAGCTTTGATGTAGACAAAGTACGTATGTGAATTGTACGAATTGTCTGAGATACCTCAAAGATCTCGTTTCCACCCACCTTCTGCTTCGAAGATGTCACCCACCTCCCTACTGACAGCCAATAGACGCCTATCGTGGTAACGAGGAGCGACAAGAGAAATGCCAATCGGCATGCCATTGTCACCCTTGAAGCCAGGGATGTTTACCACTGGTGTATGCAATGCNNCTGGATCATGTCAGCCAAGGAACTATCAGAGCTCTGGAAGTTTTCTGCTTACTGTCCAGATAGAGCAAAAGGCTGCACTGCCAGTCTTCTCGATACCTAATGGCGCCTCATCAGGCACACTGGGGGTCAGTACGGCTGCATACTTGCTGAGGATATCATCTACCACTGGCCTTGCAGCCGCGATACTGTCGAATGCATCTAGTTGGGCCTTGCGTGAGATTTTCGTATTGTTCTCGACATGGCCCACCAAGAACTCTGAGAGATCTTCCTTCATCGTGGTATATTCCGGCAAGAATGCCGTACGGCCATCAGAGTTCAGCACTGTTGCGTGCCAAGCAGGAAGGTCGTTGAGATGATCAGGAAGCTCGATCTCCTCCACCTCTGCACCATGGGCGCGCAGTAGCGATGCAGCTTTCTCCATCGCAGCAGCACCTCCTGAACCTATCTGTGGCCAAACCATCGTCTTCAGCACAGCGAACTTTGCCCCCTCGACACGAAAGCTTGAAGTGGCTGGTTCATCGTCTGCTAAAGCAANAACATCAGCAAGAAGACCAAGGTCTGCAACGCTGCGAGCGTAAAGTCCGAGTGTATCGAGAATGAGAGAGTAGATCTTCTGGCCTTCACGAGTGATCGAGTTCCAGGTTGGTTTGAAAGCGTAGATACCATTGTAAGAGCCAGGTCGGATTGTGCTGCCACCGGTCTGTGTGCCGAGACCAACAGGAGCTTGCAGGTCTCCCACAGCTGCTCCAGAGCCAGAAGAGGAACCTCCAGGAGTGCGATTTGGATTGTGCGGGTTGCGGGTCTTGGGTCCAACAGTGGTTGCAGCAAATTCTGTGGTGGTCGTTTTACCGAGGATGAGAGCACCAGACTTTCTCAGGATGGCGACAGAACCAGCATCAACCTGAGGAGCATCATCGGTGTAGATGGGAGAATTGAACTGTGTGGGCATGTCTGCGGCTTGGTTCAGCTCTACATCCGCCAAATTGTTTTTTTTTACGTTGACATCTCACCTTTNTGTATAGATGACATCTTTAACAGCTATAGCCACGCCGTGCAAGGGCCCACGTTCAGATGGTGGAATTTCATCCAGTGCTTTCGCCTGTTTGATCACATAATCCGGGTCAAGGTAGGCCCATGCTTGAACAGTCTCGTCCCTATTATCGATTCGTGCGAGCAACGACCTTGCATAAGCCTCTACGGTCAGTTCACCAGCCTTGATCTTGTGTAGCACTTCAGTTGCTGTCAGTCTATAGGATTCGGCGGTCATTTTGTCCAGTGCGGCTTCTGTCGAGGTCGCAGCTTGTGAGATAGAGACGAGCGACCTTTGATTGCGACTGCTAGTCCTTGACCGCTATCGTGTATGATAGCTTGTTCTATAACAGGTGGCGTCACGGGCAATTTGTCCCTTTGGAGAAGGATGGTCACATCGGCGCGCCGGCCCTGTCAGACCTAGGAGATAGGCCAGATCATCTGATTGTTATCCATGCATGCACTTTTGGCGACTGTCAAGTCTCTAGCTTCTCATATCGGCCAAGAAGATGAGTTGTCAGTGTCGGCCGAGGTTGCAGTTCGCCGAAGGTGTCGGCTCAAACTCACCCGATGCGGTTGGTCTTGGCATCAAAGTGGAGGCGTTCGGCCAAAGCAGTTTCCTGCCGCAGCACCGACCAAGGGACATCACCACCTCCTTCGGTCGCTTTCACGCCTGTAACTTGTACGCTGTTGAACAGCTCTTACGTTTACAGTCTGTGTCTGGAGGGGCTGCATCGAATTGCAGGCGCTGCCGACGCTGAATTAGGCAGCTCGCAAGTCACTATCAACGGTTGCAGAAATACCTGGTACTCGCGGGGTCTGCCACGGAAATCTGCCACGGATCTTGATGACATCTACCATGGCTCGAAGGATCTCTATTCGGCCTAATTCTCAGGCACCGTAACGATGGAGGCCGGGTGTTTTGAGCAACATCATTCGCAGTTTCCGATGTCCGATATTGCGCATCTCACATCGGTAAAACATCTATGATCATTGTTGAATCAAATTCATAATTTACTACCTGATTACCGTGCTTGGACCTATTTGACGTCCCAGTCGTCTCGGAATGATAGGACAGAGTACTTCAAGAGATGATATGGAGAAAACCAGTCCCAGCGAGAAACACTTTGCTGAGGTTGGTGCCACAGCACTGATACCCCTTGAAAATGAAGGCCGAGCAGATACCGCTGCCATCGAGTCAAAACGTGGGAAGGAGCACTGAATACTGATGACCAACAACCAGACGACAACAGCGATGCAGAATCTATTGGTGGGCAAAGGAATACCATGTCAGCGAAGCGTCTCATGATAGCCATTCCAGCCCTGTCAGTCTGTCTTTTCGTCTCGTTCGTCGACCAGACTTCAGTATCTACAGCCACGCCTGCCATAGCAGATGATCTGAATACGGGAACTGCTACATCTTGGATTGGAACATCATTTCTCATTGCTTCGACGGCATTTCAATTGATCAATGGTCGCCTCTCGGACATTTTTGGACGCAAGAACATGCTACTGATCTGTCTGTTTTTGATGGCCCTGGGCGATCTTGGGTGCGGGTTCGCCCAGACTGCTGGACAGTTGTTCGCCCTTCGATCGATTGCAGGTATTGGGGTGGTGGCATCAATAGTCTCGTTATGATCATCGTAAGCGACATCACGACGCTCCAAAATCGCGGAAAATACCAAGGTAATAATACAATATTTCTACAGGATCTCTACTAACTCGATATATCAGGTTGTATTGGTGCCATCATTGCTCTTGCAAACGGAGTCGGTCCCTTCCTGGGAGGTGCTGTGGTCGAAGGCGCAACTTGGAGATGGGTTTTCTGGATGATACCTATCATGACTATTCCCACGGCTCTGGTCATCCCTCTTCCTGCTGCCATTAAAACACCGCTCTGGCAATTTTGGTGAAAAGATGAAGAAGATCGACTATGGCGGCATAGTGCTCAACATCGCGGCCACCCTCCTGATTCTTGTACCCTTGTCAGGAGGCGGCGTAACCTATCCATGGTCCTCTGCCTTCTTCATCGCTGCTACTGTCATTGGTGTGGTCCTGGCGATAGTTTTCGTTTTCTATGAATGGAAGGCCGTCGCCTTACCACTCATGCCACTTCGACTGTATCGAGCTCCTCACTGTTGGGCGCTTTATCTTCAAACGGCCTTGATCGGGCTGGTTTATTATGGAAACTTCTTCTATCTGCCGATCTACTTCCAATCGATCCTGAGGTATTCACCACTAGTATCTGGAGCTTTGATCTTGCCAGTCGTGATCACGTCGTCTATCACATCTATCTCGAGCGGTCAGTACATGGCTCGAATTGGCAGCTATATGCACTGCATCACTGCCGGTTTTTTCCTGTGGACCTTAGGCAGTGGGCTCACGTTGATGTTCAATCGAGACACTGGACTGGGTCGACTCATTGGTATCCCTCATCATAGAGGGCGCTGGCATTGGGCTAACTCTGCAACCCACACTTGTTGGATTATACGCCAACAGCCGAAGCGAGGACAGAGCCGTCACGACTGGACTGCGTAATTTCATCCGTACAGTCGGCGGATCTTTTGGTCTCGTCATCTCTGGTGTAACGTTGTCGAATACTTTGAGCTCGGAGTTGAAGCGTGCTGGCTTCGCATCAGACAGGTTGATTGCTGAACTCACCTCTTCCACGTACGCTCTCGACAAAAGCGACTTGACCGAGGCTACGAAGGAGAAAGTCCTAGACGTATATATGCTAGGATTGCATCATATCTTCATATTCTTCACAACATGTGCAGGATGTGGATTGTTATTGAGTCTTTGGGTTGGCAATACTAGTCTAAAGGCACCGAAGCAAGTCGACGGAGCAACTCCGAACAATAATGAGGCAAAGGAAGTGACAACCGAGCTACCAGGAACAGAGCCGGACTTAGAGAGTGGTCGTGAACTGAAGAGCTGAGCGCATAGACAGTCAAAAGAACCATGATAGGGTTGTAGTCCCAAGCTGTAAATTGACAATGGATATTGTAAAGCATCAACGCATGAGGTGACCCTGACCACGTGCCTGTCCAATTGCACGACGCTCCACTTTCGCGGAGATTTTCATCTTTGACTCTGACACAACTTCACTTGTCACCTGCCACACTAATCGACGCATTTGACAAGCTGCTCAAGCGTCTTGACTCATCTGGACAACGTGATCATCATGGTCTGCTTATCTCGGTGATAGCTCTCTTATCTTCGAGCAGTCCTTGCCGTGCGACGACAGATACCCCGCCTCAAAAACAATCAGGAAGGCGCCAAAACATGACCCCACCAGGATGCAAAGTGCAGGAGATAGGGCAACATGCAGCTGCCACGAATTTGACTGATTCGGCTTATGTGTCGCCGCTGCCAAAGCTGCATCCAATGCAGGGTGAACCTTCTCCCAAGCGGTAGTCTGATGGCTAATAGCTATCGGTCGGCCGTGAACAGCCTTGGACAGGATGAGGATAGTGAGACGTGAGCCAATCGCCTTCGCAATGCCGATGGCTCGAGGCAGTATGGCCAAGCTTGACCGATAGGCATACGATGAGGAACGGAAGGACAATCCGCGATATGCTTATATATCGTCAAATCTGTGAAGTCTACCAGTCTTCTACTACACACAACCTCAAGTTGTTTGTTCTCGGTTATTCATTCTTCTCAAGATGCCTGAAGTATATGCTGCACACCAGGATTATGCCTTCCCTCGAAACTTCAAAGGATATGGAGAGAAAGGCCTTGAGGGCTTGAAATGGCCTGACAATGCCAAAATTGCAGTCTCATTCGTTATCAATTATGAAGAGGTGAGCTTCCAAGAACTTTTGAGGGTATCTCGAAAGTGTAAGCTAACGCATATAAGNGGAGGCGAGCGATCAGTGCTGCATGGAGACGGCCGTTCAGAGACATCCCTCCGCGAATATCCTGCAGAACCGGACATCAACGAGCGCAACTACAGTGCCGAGTCCGAGTTCGAATATGGCTCTCGTCGCGGATGGTGGCGCATGTTCAAGCTATTCAACGATCACAAGATGAAGTTCACACTTTATGCTGTTGGCTCAGCTTGTGAGGAACAGCCCGAAGTTGTGACTCGATGTGTTGAAGAAGGTCACGATATTGCATCTCATGCGTACCGATGGATCGACCATAAGAATCTGTCTGTGGAAGCCGAGAAGCAGCACATTCGAAACGGCATCACTGCTCTCAAGAAACTCTCTGGTTATGCTCCAAAAGGATGGTACTACGGCCGCCCATCGCCACAAAGTAGAGCACTTATTCCTGCCGTGTATGAGGAGATGGGCGAAGAGCTCTTGTGGGCAAGCGATACATACGCTGACGACATCCCTTACTGGACCGATCTACCCCAGGAGTGTGACAGTGAGAACCCCAAGGGCTGCTTGATGCTCCCTTACAGCTACGACTGCAACGACTTTAAATTCCTCACCGCGGCCACTGGCTTCCGCGACCCCAATGGCTTCTATACTCACATCAAGAACGCGTTTGACGTGCTCTACGAGGAAGGAGAGGCAGGTCAGCCAAAGATGATGACGATCGGCCTGCATTGCCGCATCATCGGACGACCTGGCCGCTTCAAGGCTCTTCAGGATTTTGTACAGTACATCTCTTCCAAAGAGGGTGTTTGGGTTGCCACCAGGACAGAGATTGCTGAATCTTTCAGAGAGCAATTCCCATACAAGAAGGGACAGCTAGCGTAAACCGGCAAATCACCAGAAGTAACATGAATTTAGAATATTCAGCAGTATCGAAGAAGTGACATTATTCATGAATCATGATACACACAAGCTCTTGTATGGAACCTAAGCCCTGTAATTCCAGCTGCTGTCATCCATTTCCCCACAACTCATTGTCTGCATGACTGCATCTTGAACAGGATCCAAGTTATAAGTATGTGCATAGCACTCCCAGCTCGTTCCACCGTAGCTTTGTTCGTGTATGCGAGAGCCCAAGTCAGGGGTATCAACACCGGATGCATTATCCCTGACCATCTCGTCCCACATCCGCCAGCCCTGCCAACCGCCTGGTGCCTCCTCATCGACCTCCATAAATGCCTCCCTGACCGCGTCGGAGATCATCGGTGTGTCAAGGATGTTAGCAGGTTGATGTGGAGGTACTAAAGGCTGTAGATGTATTGTCTGATGAGTCCGCTGTGCTTGGGTTGTGTTGTTAGGAATAATGCCTGGGTTGCCTTGGTTTTGCTGNNGAAGTCTGTCGCGTGGCTGGAGAGAAGGAGCCGGATTGACAACTGATTTTAGCAGGTTTCCGGAGAGTTCGTCGAATATGTCTCGATATTTGACTGCACCTGGCCATTTCTCACCAAAGATAGTCAAGCTCTGTGAGCAGTCTCTTGTCGCTTCGAGAATCTCATAGGAAAACAGATTTCGATCCCGCCAGATACAATATACGAGTGTCAACCCGGCTACAAAGCATGAATGTAAGGATATCATGGTGTAGGTGAGAGTTTTGTTCTGGTTTAGCCGCTTGTATGCGATGCAGACAGAGGTTGCTGAGCGAGTGCAGATAAGGAAACGTGGGTCTGATATCTGTAGGGATGGCAGGAAGTTGGTGAAGAGGAAAAGGATGGACTTATGGTACTGNNTCTGTGAGTTGTTAGAAAGCGGGTCGTGGTTCTTTGTTTGTACTTACAAGCCGTAGAAGTCTCTAGCATCGAGGTAAGCGCTTTCTGGATCATACATCCAAGTAGTCTTGTTCCCATCCTTGGGAGTTTCAGGGCACTTCTCCAGCCACTCATCCAGATCTGCTTTAATGGTGGCCATTTTGCGATCGCACTTAGCCTGCTCTTCAGCTGTGCCATTCAAAATATCTCTGTCAACTCGGAACACAACCTTATGAATTCGTGAGTGGATTCGATCAAGCCGAATGATGTGTATGAAAGGTTCAACGTTCGACCAAACTCCTTGAATGGGGCTAGGAGGCTCTTTGTGAGTTAGAGTCCAGAATTGACTGTCAGCGCTCGGAANGCTACGAATTAGTGAGCATGTTTCAAAGAGATATAGAAGCGCTACGATTACCTCCACATTAATATCTCTGTCAGTAATAGCAAAAGCTCGGCCAAGTACAATACTTGTCGCGCGATCAAGACAATAGCAAGACCAGAAGATCCTTCGACGAAGTTCTTCATCTCTCGCTTGTTTGTCTGTTACTGTACGAAATCCTGGTCTTTTCCTATGCAGGCCCATCTCAATACAAATTGAGGTAGCAAAACGGATCTGGGACCAGGCTCCAGCACCATACGGCGACCTTTGACTATGTACACCAAGCAGTACGAGGAACTGAAGGCTTGCAAGACTGTGTTGCTCTAGTATATGGCTCATTGGCTCTGTGGCCGCCGCGAGATGATNGCTTTAAACCTTCAGCTTGTATACGCAATCTAATGCAGCACTTCTTACCTCAGGATTGACGCTGTGTACCCTTCTTGTCAAAGACAAGAATCGAGCCGTAGTTGCATATATCAAGTGGAAGATACTTCGCTCAACAGCCGTCAGAGCTCCAGAGAGGTACTGCTTTCCAAACAGTTCTTCATAGATGCTGCGATCCAATATCGGCCAACGAGTATGGACGCGCTCGAAAAATGTGTCAAACAACATACGAGCTTGCTGAATCTCAGGGAATTCAAGAGAAGCTGCATCAGAGTGGATTGATTCAGGTGGCGTTCTCGGCTCTGATCGGATTTGTTCTGGCGACGATGCAATGTCGGTCGTTATCCTGGATTTTGCATGTCCAAATATGGACGCTTGGATAACTCGTGCGATAGTAGATCCAGAGCTAGAGCCGATGTAGTACGGTTCAGATGTCGAGTCAGTTGTACCAGAGGCACATAGTGAGAGGTAGGCCACACCTCCCACCAAAGACGTNNCCCTCTGCTCAAGGTTTATATGATCAGACATGAGTTCTCTTGGAGATGAGTTAGGCGAATGACTCTGCCCGACACCATCGGCCTCTGGCACAGTCCAAGTACCATCGATGATAGTCTCTGAGTGATCCTGTACATCATTGAGGAGGTGATCTTCGGCGTGGTCAGGCAGTCGAGCTTCGAGGAATGCAATTCGTTCTTCCAGCGCACCGATATACCTGTCGTGGTCTCAGCTTACTGTGATCAAGAGTGCCAATGGAATTGGAACTTGAATATGGGATCTCTACGTACAGTGACTTGCCACCTGGATACTGAGGGCGAACAGTTTTCTCGTACGCACATGCCACTCCTGCCTTTTCACACGATTTGCAACGAGGACGCGCGCCATCGCACTGAAAATTGTTCGTCAAATCAAGTTTAGATATCACCAGGGCTGTCTAGGAGGCATACTCGCTGCTTTCGACGCTTACACCTCTTGCAAGCCAGCGATACACGGGATTTCTGTGTTGCAGACTTGGATGGTCCCGAGGTGGCGGCGGTAGGGGGAGTCGACTCGATTGCAGAACCTATGCCACATTGTCCCGTTCCAGAGGGTGATCGTGCGTTCGCCATTGTCATGTTGATTTCCGATCGCCTCGATGGACGTAGGCAGAATTTGAGCCGATGTCAAATGCCTCAGAAGGATGAGATCCCGAAAGACACGTGAAGCGGGGCCAACATACTCTCCAGTATCGTTCCACTACGCTGGTGCTATCAATTCCTGGTGTGGTTGCTCTTTGAGGCTCGAAGCCGCCATGACAGTGCGTTGAGAGCCGATAGATAGGCCAAGATGAGCCAATGGGAATCACCAGAACCCACCACTCTAGGCCTGGTAGGCGAATCCAGAGTTCGTGCAACTATACCACATGATCAATGTTAGAGAGTTGTTCGCTGAATTTTAGTCAAGCAGTATGATCTCAGAAGCTCCTTCTGGACTTCGAAGCCAGCCCCGTCTACAAACACGGGGCAGCGACGAATCCTTCCGCAGCTGCTATGATTCAACTCATTGACCTCGGTGATTCGGATCCGATGTGGTTGCCGCCTTGTCCATAACATGTCAATGAATGTTCGCTAGTCTGCCGGCGCATGATAAGGTCGACTTGAGACTTAGGCGTAGGTGCGTGAGAGATAGGGAGGAAGAAGGTATGACAGCGCCAAGCATGGGGAGAAGATGTGGATCCTGTCACCTGGTCCAAGCTCGCTATCTGCGGAGAGTGGTCCCGCTGTCTTCGTGTCTTTGTGACCCAATCATTACCTGGATAGTGCCATCGTTCTCGACGTCCTGCTCAAATCACAGACAGCCGTCTTTATCAGGTCCTTCATGCATCACCACTCGTGCCTATCATGATAGCAGAAAGACATCGGTCAAAAAGTGGCCGAAACATCTGGAACCAGGTCATGCACTTCCACAGCACCTGGTATAGCTTTGTCAGTCAGTTGGTATAAGTGCTATGCTGCTCCTCGCCTTTCACAATATAGAAGGAGTTATACAGGTCAAGTTCGCATTCGATCTGCTGTAAACGCTGATCCCACACAGCCCTTGTGTTTGATCCATCAGCAGAATACGATATCTGCTAACCGACGGGTTCCTTTGCGATATGGGTAAGCTTTCGGTACCGAGTAAAGCGGAGATGGCTGCACCTTTCCAGTCCAGGGAAGCTTTCCTGGATTTTCTGAAAGCTCCAGAGGGCAGTGAAGGCCGCACTCTAGTTGGGGACTCAAGGTGGTCAAACAAAGACTTGGCACCAACACCCGTCGAAGACAGAACATGGACATGGTAAGCACCTTGTTTGGAAGCACAGCTTCACGGGTATTGCTGATCATCCAAGNNGTACAACTTGCCTCTCTACTGGTTCTCTGCTCAATTCTCCATTGTTGGCTGGAACACTGGGTCATCCTTGGTTACCGTCGGTCTCGTAAGCGGACCACGAATGATATTCTGATGTCGATGTGCTAATGCTGCGTAGACATGGCAGCAGTCCTTCATATCTGCTTGCATTGGCTCATTCCTTGCCTCTGTGATTGTCGTCTTGATGGCTCGTCCGGGAGCGAAATATCATATCGGCTAGTAAGTTGGACTTCGAGATACAGTACTTCCTGAGCCTGACAGTTCCNNTAGCCCAGTACTCGCAAGATCGGTCATGGGGATGTACGGATCTTACTTCTTTGTATTCATTCGAGCCATAGTGTGCATCGTCTGGTACGGCATCCAAACATTCTATGCCGGCAACGTCCTCTCTGTCATGTTTCGCTGCATGTTTGGGAGCTCCTGGAACAATCTCGACAATACGCTACCGCTAAGCTCGAACGTATCGTCGAAACAGCTTCTGGCATTCTTCATAGCATGGCTCATACAATTTCCGTTCGTAAGCTTTTCTGCTATATATCAAGAGTTTGCGTCACTGTACTAATCTTATGCANNGATGTGGGTTCATCCTAAGCATATACACTACATCTTTACGATCAAAGGATTTACCATGCCCGTGGCTGCTTTTGCTCTATTCGGATGTGCTATGAGCATGGGTGCGGGATTGGGAGATATGGGCATCGCTTCGAAAGCCGGCGAACTCTCTTCTTCAGTCACGCCTCTAGGCTGGTCCATCATGTCTGGAATAAATACGATCTTTGGAGGTTTGTCGCCTATGCTAGTCAATCAGCCCGATCTTGCTCGCTACTGTAAGAGACCTCGAGACGCTGGATTTCTCCAAGGCCTTTGTGTTTTCTTCCCTACAGTTCTCGTCTTCTTTTTGGGACTGGCTTCAACGACATCCATCCAGATAGAGTGGGGAACTGCTTACTGGAATGTTTGGGATCTTCTCGACGTCATCCTTGACCACCATTTCAGCGCAGGTGCTCGTACTGGTATCTTCTTCATTGCCCTCACATTCTTNTTCGGCGTGTTTGTGACCAACATTGGCGCGAACTCGCTCCCATTTGGTGCCGATATGACAGGTCTGGTTCCCAAGTTCTTGACAATTCGCCGGGGACAGATCCTTTGTGCAATCTTGGGAGTAGTTGTGCAACCATGGCAGCTCATGGCAAACGCGTCGGCCTTTCTCAGGTATGTTGATCTAATAGTCGTCCGACGTGATATGCGACTGACTTTGCGAAGCTTCTTGGGATCGTACAACATCTTCATGGCGCCGCTTTGTGCCATCATCATCGTTGACTACTTCATCATCCGCAAAGGCAACCTACATGTACGGTCATGTTTCAGTGGCAGCAATGCTGGCCTGTATTGGTACTGGTCAGGTGTCAATATAGTTGGCGTAACTGCATGGCTCCTTGGCACAACCATGGGAATACCCGGTCTCATTGGACAGTATCAGCCAGAAATCATTAGCTTGGCCGCAAAGAACATGTACAGGCTCGGTTACCTGTTGACGTTCACGACGGCAGCGACAGTGTATTATGTCCTGAGGTTGTTCGTCAAGCCACGGATCTTCCCTACTGAGCGCGAAGATTCACCTTTCCAGTGGGAGTGGCTTGCAAACGAGGGACGGGAAGGCTTCTACGATGATGAGAAGGATGGTAACGAGCTCTTCGCACCTGCCACACCGCCTGCAATGGAAGCCGAGGAGGTCCAGATGAGCGAGAAAGGTTACGAATTGAAAGTCTGAACTGGAAGGGGGTCCAAGAAAACTTGAGCACCTCACCACCTCCCCATTTGCGAATGTTTGTAACGCGTGCGGCTATAAAAATGCATAATTCTATCCAGGAATAAGGACATGGCCAAAGAGAGCTAATGAGAGATCGCTTCTCAATGGACACTATCCTGTTTTCTAATAGTATTGTGTATTTTTGTAGCCACACGCGTTACAACATTCGCAATTGGGGAGGCAGCAAAGATCCAGTGTGAGGCTGGCTCGTGTTTGCTTGGAGCCACTTGCTCTATCCAAGACAAGATCGTATTCGTCTTGGGACATCTCTACTCTTGACTCTTAGTACCTTGGTGCCACTCATAGCATGAGTAGCGTTGCGGCTCTAAAGCTCGAGTAGCTGAGTTGGAAGGACAAACCAGGAGCTGTAACTGTCACTAATAGTTCTGCATACCTTATACATACTGTTTTTCTCGTCTACCATCCGGGTACGTTGCTTATTCCCTTGAGTCACTAAGCTACAACTGACATGATTAGAACACTTCCTTCTACACGGTCCTGTATTTGAGAAAGGAGTGGGCATGGATCTCCTTTCAACACGGCTTGCTCTCTGACAGGCTTTATTTCTTTCGATCCAAACTTTATGAGCATGTGGACGCTCTATGGGATCCGTACCAGGCTGAGCCAGTGGGAACGTGAGTACAACGGAAGCATCTCAACCTTGAAAAAGGACGCAATACTACGCGTCGCGCTCGAGATGTATCGGGCAGAGATCACATTCGGTTTTCGCATCGAAGAATCTGCGAGTCCAGAGCAACTGGTAACCGTCCAAGTCTCATACGATGTCTCCTGCAGAGAGAGAGAGATCGTTCGACATGAGATCTTCTCCTCGACCATGTCGGACGGCAAATCAGGTGCAGCGAAAGCGCTCATCTCACAGCCAGGTGAATTACCCAGCGTTTCTTCAAGACCACAAGGCTGGTATTCGAGGCAAAGACTTCCTGAAGACTGAGTGGTCCAACGTGTCGCGGGACGACTTCGAGTACGATCCTTCGGTGCCCAGGAAGCGCAGACTCAAGAAGTCAGGCTGCAATACCCTTCGAGCGGTTTATATTGAAGACGACAATGCTGATCTACAAGAAAAGGATGCACTCATCGACACACTCCTGTCCCAATTTTCGCCGAGTTGTTCGCGGCAGCTCTCCCAAGAGATGCAGCAACGTTAGACAGGTCTCTCGAAGTGTGTAAGCTTATGCTAAGGCGATCTTGCCGCGGGAGAGGAGAGGCTCACAAAACGAAAGTGCTGTCCTTTTAGCAACGCACAACTATAAAAAGGATTGTATAGGTCCATTAATACGACGAACCAAGCGCCAGTCATGTTCGAGTGTGAGACGCTCGAAAAGACACTTCATCGCCCACAATGTGACTGTTTCGCGCATTAGGCCACCCTTAACTGTTTCAAGATCTGCAATCATACAATCCTTTACGAAATTGACAGATCCACCTCCTTAAAGAGCACGCCTTGTACCTCGAGTGATCCTCAGTAAAAGATCATGACCTCCTCTGTAACTTGCGAGTTTACCAATTCAACTCGAACGAGGTAATGTTCCTCCCTTTATCCAAATCCACCACCATGTCGGCGGCTTCGTCGATCATCGCCGATGACTCGGGCTTTGATGTGATGTCTCCAAGCCAACGCAAAGAGAAGATGGAAACAATGTTGAGCGACTTCGGCGAGCGTATGAGAACACACAGCAAGCGCGTTCTCGAAATCGTCATCGACAAGATCTGTGAGCTCGATACAGATGGCAAAGAAAAGATTCGTCTCAGTCTTCTTGCAACTCATCTCGGCAAAGAAGGTCCTGAGATCCTGAACACGGTGCTGTGGGACGCGGAACACTCTGAGTTGAAGAATCTTGGCCTTGCTCGTGTACAAGACTATGTCGACACAGTTGATTGGGACAGTCAAACCGGCGTCCCTGGATAGAGCCATGTTTACGACGGAGAATACGCACCTCACCGATCAGTTGAAGGAAACACACAGGCCATTGAGGAATTTCTGGAGGACCTTCGAGATGGCGTCCGCGAACACGCTTCACGAAAACACCTCAGTGAAGACGAGATCTCGAATCTTGAGCTCCCTGCCGTCTTTTGCGAAATGTACAGGCAAACCGACGGATTGTTGCCTACCTACTGGGATCGCTTGAATTTTCTGCCAGCCTTTGGATCTTCAGCTCCATGGGGCGCGGGTCAAGCTGAACCACTCGACGACTTGATCGCAAGCGCAAGAGAATATCAATATGATGTCGCCGCTGGATGGTGCCCTGGAAGCCATGTGGCGTATGATCAGTCGACCGAGATATGCTACTTGCTTTGTCGTTTGAACGACGACGAGCTTTGGCAATGGAAGATCTTCGTTCAAGCGTCTGATCAGAACAACAACCACGAATTTGAGTCCTTGTCGGACTTCTTCATTTGGTTTTCAGCTGTCTACGATCGTATACATCGGAATAGCCTCTTCGGCTATCTGGAGCGCGGTTATTGCCAGGTGGTGGAGGATATGGAACTCTGGTGCAGCGATTTTGAAGAAGACTCTGACGACGATGATGAAGACGACGATGGCGATGAGATCAAAGACGATGCTGTAGATGAGGTCAAAGACGAGGACAACGGCCAGGGCCCACAAACTGTATAGCTATCGTCTCCAGTAGGGTATCTCCCCAAGCACCATCAATGCGTAATGAACCAAGTACTCTTGGTGCGTCGGGCGCATCTGCAGCCCTTTCAAGCACATCATTTTGATACATCGCCCATACTTGAGAGTACTTCGGCTATCGATTCATGGGACATCAGCGCCACCCCTGATTGGAGTCAGGTTGAATTCCCGAGAGCTCGAGTTGCTGAGTTGGCAGAACAGCTTGAGAGCTGTGGTTGTCGCTACTAAATACTGCTATAGCTCCTTGATATCAAACTCAATCGAGTCAGCGTGTATATCAATGGGACCTTCTCCCTCAGCGGCTTGGAGGTTTCCGTAAGGCTCATCGTCGTCAACGAGGACATCGTCTCTAGTTCCCCACCACCAAGTATCAACTTTTTCCTCGCCAGTGACTCCAAAACGATACCTGTGTCCTGCTTGAAAGACTGGCAAATCCGTCCCAGACATTTTCCTGTGCATGACAAGAAATGGACACTGTATCTCGAAATTCACTCCAGGATACAGAGTCACATAATACTTTTCATCGAAGCCGTTTCTTCTACAGGAGAACCCAGGACGCCGAGGGCCTTTGGTAGTTTCTAGGCTGATGGGCGTGGNGGGTTCAGTAGACACATCGTGAAGTGTGAAATTGCGTCGTTTGAGAGCTAGTCGGGGGTTGAATATTCCGTGCCAGGTAAAGATTGTGATTGGGGTTGGAGCAGTGAGATTCAGAGTGATGGTTAAGGTAGGTGATTCGGCGTCTCGAACATTGATCTGCGGAGGCAATGAGAGGGTTGTTGATATGATTGGTTGTGTAGTGGTTGTCATGATGAACAGCTTGGTATCAAGTGGAGACTTGCAGCATAATCTCTCGATGGACTTTCGGAGCTGAGATTGTTACATGAAAGGTATAGCATAACTGTGATATATGTTACACAGTCACAAAGGTGGCTAGGAAGGAATCTTCTGCCAAGCGCAGCGCGGCGTCATGATCTTCTGTCACCAACACTCCTTCCCTCCTTCCATCCTCAACATCAATGCAGGGTATCTGCAGCTGCAGCTTGCAAACAGTGATCACAAAGCAGGAAAACAAGGTTTCTGCCATGATGCGTAATAATTCGAAGCAAAATACTGGCAAGCGTTCACATGCAAGGTTTCCTAAGGTGGCCACCCGAGATTATGAACATGCTGCCTGTAATACAAGGCTCGTTGTCGACTCACAAAACCAGGAATGTTAAGATGACACCCGCCAGAGCCACGCGGCCCAGGTATCACGAAACTAACCGTCGATCATTTCAACCTTACTCGACCGACAGCTCCGAGCACAGCGGGCGAGTTTTGTGCAACCGGATGATGCATCATCAAGAGCACATGCAGTGTAACTACCTACAGAAATAGCAAGAACAAGAATCACGTGGAGATATACTGCATACGACATGATATCCAATAGCAGAATGTCAAGTCAAGTCTTGCTCATCTTTTCCATTCAATCTTTCCAGCACGAGTCGAAAGGGCGCAATGGCTTCTATAAAGACCAAAGACAGCGATACGAATTCTGAGACAAGCACACTTTCAGGAAGCATTGCAACAGCAGATTTCGCCCCAAGGACTATCCCAAAACACAGCAGCAACAACAATACCAACTTCGTTGCTCTACAGACTCTACTCGAGGCGCCAGAACTAGAACAGTCGACCTCATCATACAACGCCAATGAAGTTGTCACAGAGTCACAGGCGGTCATCAAGAAAAACAAGCGTCGAAAGATATACTGGATTGTAGGATTGTTGACATTCGGATGTTCTATCGTTCTTGGATCTATACTCGCTGTGATATTCGGGCCGCGACCAGTCAAGCAAGTGCATTCTTGGTGAGTGTGTTTCTGATAGATCTTTGCGATACATTTCAGCATTGCTAACTTGACAGATTGACAAGTACATCTGTCAATTGGACCTTGAGAGGAGTTGTAAGATTACCTTCATACTTCTTGGTATCAGAACATCTAAAAGAGGATCTGCTCGCCGGTAGTAGCACTGTATCCAGCCTTCGTCGCTTTCAGCACGCCAGCCTTGACCAAATCCTGCACCAAACCGAAGATCATGCCATCGCAACCTTTGGCCGCCAGGATATCAACACTGACTGGCAGATACTCAGTCTGCAACGTGATGTTTGACTTGTATGCTGCCTGTCCAATGGGCAACACAAAGTCAGGCACGCCAGAAAAGATAGAGATTCTGCTGGTGGAGAACCCTGTGGGTATTCCAGGGGGNNGACTGCGATAGGCATTTCTGTAGGTGGTGGTTCCTGAATTGCCTACGTAGATGCCTAGGCTATCGCTGCAAGTCTGCTTGTTGGCTACGAATACCGTTTCCTCGATCCAATTGCCGAAGGTTGTTTTGTTTGTTACCGCATCGTCAATTGTGGATGGAGGGAAAGACGCCGCCCAGCCCCAACGAGCAAGTGGTACAGGGTTCACGAAGGGGAGACGCCCTGAGTTTGCCGCGGAGTAGTCAGCGTAGAAGGGGTCGCGAACTGAGGACGTTTGTTGGCCGATCAGAATGGGATAGGTGATGTTCATCAAATCGATGAGCGAGGATGTGACATTCGAGGGGTGGGTTTCAGACCATTGCTGTGTCAGATTTAGGTTGGTAGAGGTGGCATTGAGGAAGGTTGTCAACTTGTCGAGGAAGGAAAGAAGAAGACCATCAGCTTCAGAACTGTTAGATGTAGGCCAATTTATCGTCTGAATTTTGGAAGGATATCTGTGCGAGAGAGTGACATTGTCTCCATACAACACTTGAGAGGCAGCAACCCAGATGTCGGGATGTCTTGTCAAGAAGCCTGCAGTGTCCATCTGAGGAGCCATGGGCATGACTCCTTCAAGCGAGACCATGCCCCATGTAGGTCTGTTACCGAAGAGACCTTGCACTTGCGAGGGGTTTCTGATGCTACCGCCAGTGTCGGAGCCCAGCGTCAAATCCAGCCAGTCGTATGCTGCTGCACCGGCACCAGGTCCGCTAGAGGACGACGAGGTGTCTTGATAGCCATCACCGCGAGGGTTGAAGGGTTCATGGTAATCAACCCAGTCAGCTGTTGCGACTTCTCCGTTGGCAAACTGCGAAGTCTTCATCTTGCCGACAATGATAGCACCAGCGTCAATGAGGCGCTGAACAGCGAGCGCTGTCTGGTTTGCTGGTGGGTAGAAATGGTACCATGCTCTGTTACCATTGGAAGTTCTCAGACCAGCAATATCATAGATGTCCTTGATACCTAGACGGACACCTGCAAGTGGTTTTGCAGCTGTTTTTGTGAAGTACAAGCGAGACGGCACCGCAATCGCCAGAGATTGACCTTCGACATTGGCGGGCAATACCGAGAAAGTACCATTCTTGTTGGCGATAGTAGTTTCCAAGAAAGCGCCTTGGAAATCACTGTAGAGTCTCCAGGCTTCGTGAACAGCACCAGTCGAAGATACGAAGTACGGGCCGGGGGGGATGGATGAAGTGTTGGAGGCAAATCCAGGAATCACTACACTGACACTATCATTTCCGGACAGTTTCGGCGCCGAGAAGCCTGGGTATCTGTGACCAGATGTGCCTGAATACTGCACATAGACCGCTTCCAGAAATCCTTTGTTGAAGACATCGTCTGAAGAGATATAAGAAGCGACATCTTTGCTGAAATCTCTCTCGCCATATCCGAACGAATCGGCATGGACAACAGTAAAGGGAAGCAATCCACCAGCGTTTTCCAAAGCTCTCTTCAGAGGCTTCGAGACACTGATAGTTGACACAACATCAGGAGGAATATAATAGGATGCTCCGTCCAACTGCACAGTCTGTCCGGTAGGAGTAAATTTGAAAGCGAAGGATATGCTGGCGATTTGAGATATTAACAGTAGCGCGGCGGAGACAGACCGGTATTGGTGGAAAAACATGATGGTGGACAAAGAACAGAGCAAGAGACCCCGATGCCAATTTTGGCAATAGCGACTTTCGTAGCTTTTATACTTGGCTTATCGAGTCATCCAAAAAGACTCACGGAACATGGCAACCACGAGGACGATTAGTCACCTACAAGCGTTCGAACCTTACCCCAAATTCCTCTGTAAACACAACTCATCTTAGCTGTATTTTCGTTGTAAAGTCGTTGATTGGAGATAGGCGAGATATCACTGATACGTGAGCGGTTCCGATCTCCGGGTTGACGATAAGCTCGCATGACTAGCGGACGAGGCATGTTGTTATAGCGGGTGCTATCTCGGCCCCAAGTTCCAACCACCGCCATGATCTGGCGCGAGAATACTTCAGAAAGGCGCTCAGCAAGAGTCGGTTTGAATAATGTCGACCAGTCATGCGTAGGCGGACGTTTGCCTATCAGTCCCCACGCGGGCTGTGCAGGATGCTGGGCATTTCTTGGACCTTCCGAACTCGCTGGCATCCAGGTATCTGCATCCTATCATCAGGCTAAATCGATAGTATAGAAGCATACTATGCCTTCTATCGTGGTAGATTTTTCCATCAATCCGGCCAGTGTATCGCGAATGTTTTGTTGTGTCGCGGCCAAGTGAAGTTCATGTAGTTGGGAACGCCGGACAGTCAGGTGAGTTCTTAAAGAGCGTTTGCTTTCGAGAGTCCTTGACCATTGCGCATCGGTACAGCTAGCAGAAGATGTCTTTCTTGAAAAACGGCTCTCTTCCTCTTCGTGTGCTGAAGACAGTCACAGTGTAGCTGCCGAAATGCATAGTTCTGACTTGAATGTAAGTCTGGCCATTGAGACAGCCTTCATCGAGGTTCTCTCTTTGGAGACCATATTGTTTACCAAAGTATTGTGCATTTCGACAGCTCTACCGTGACTGCCGTTAGCACATGGAAAGGTTGAAACTCTTGAATTGCCATAAGTCGAACCTATTTCCACGAACAATATCTGTCTGTCTGACGGTCGTCCGCAGTAAAAGGCAGGATCGGTAGATAGACACTATGTTCGGTAGTTAAATATATTGCGTTCCTGAACGATATCATCTCAACGTACCTGATCATAGCTCGAAGCTTCTCCCCATCACAAAATGAACTTGTCAACACCTCGTCATCAAGGTTCTCAATTCACCATTCACCTGGAAACGATACGAAACAATACAAGGGAACAGTACAAAGCAGAAGTAATTGTAGTAAGGTGGGTGAATTATAATATTCATGAGCCGGCTGCGGCTATTCTGTTCTCATCATAAAAATACATGATAGTCATCATCGAACCCTTTACTTGGGGTTGGTGGGGTGGATGCTCTCAGGGAGAGCCTCCTCGAGGCCCTTGGGGGCGACATTCTGGATGGCCTCAGGAACCATAGAGGGGCCAGTGGCGTGGCTCTGCGACTGGGAGCCGGTATCGTGCACCTGATACTATGTGAATAGCTGATTCTTGAATGTAGGTGTGAGCTGTTTACCTTGTTGGGGAGGGCGTTCTCGACCTCCTTGGGGGCGTTCTGCTGAACGGTCTCGGGGACTGATACTTTGTCAGTAGTGCTCGTGAAGGGCGTCGAAGGGATATATCGTACCCTTGGAGCCGCCGGTGGTGTGAGATTGGTCCATTCCAGACATGTTGATTGTGATTTGATTTGTTGGTTGTTTGATTGAAGTAGTGAGTTGTGTTGATGAAAAGAAGAAGTGTACTGAGGTAGAGAAGTATACTTATATACCTACCATGAAGAGCTCGGGCTCAAGGATCTCAATGTCGGTGCCTGAGATTACGATGTAATGATGAGTCGACCATTTCTCTGAACCCCATGGCGTTCGCAGGCACCATGTAAGGTTTCGTCAATGAGTGCGTGACAGCTTGGCTGATATGACGATATATCGACATACGTGGTGCAGGCGATGAGGCTCGGCTGGTTAGTTTCTCGGGAGATCCGCCACTAATGACCTACTCCTCAATCAGATATACCTCAATAGATACGTACTCTACGCATCACGATAGAGGCATGCATGTTTCGGGCTAATTTTTCACTCCACAGTCGGCTGGTTTCTCTAGACTGCGTCACTGTAAAGATACCCCACTAACGGCCGTACGTGGCGTTCGGGTGCGGGCTTTGTCTGGAGCCGAGCTGTCTGGAGTCTTTTACCATTCAAAGTCCGTCACTGAGTCCATCACAACATCACGAGACTCATTCGCAAGATAGTAAGAGTAACAATGATGTGAAGACTCCACATGAATAGACGACTTAGCAAAGTCATGATGTATGAACAAGATGAGATGAGGCACAGACGCAAGAACAGTCACATTCGAAGACAACCACTTGAATGCCACCATTGCACTGGTGAATCGCCTCATGAGCCAGCGATTGCTTTCTGAAACTACGAAGCTTACAGACCTGGAAATTTCCCCTCCCCGAGTGCCAAAGAGAGACTGTTACAATTTGGCAGCTGACTTCTCCCCATTCTGAGGCACAAATCCATTACGAGCTATCAAAATGCACAGTTGCTTTCTAGACACGAGTCTGGCCACGGAAACGCCCTGCAATGAGGTCTTCTCTCTGGAAGCCACGTCTTTCGTGAAACAATTGTGCATTTATATAGCTACATTGTGACAGACTCTCACATACAGGGATACTGTGGTCTCCGACATCAACAGCACGTAGCGACTTCGGTCACAACAACATCCCCAGCACAAGTCATTCCGTCTGCAGGTCAAATGCTGCTTGTCATCTTCTGCAGATGTCAACTGGGCCGTCAGCAACTCATGAGCGTTGCCATGTTCCTCACTGCGAGTTACATCCTCGCAGGCCAGTCAGATCTTCTGACAGCCGTCCGTACAATTAAGGTGTCTCGTGTATGGTCGTCTCAGAACCAGGGCTCGCAAGTCCGTGGTGGTTGGGATAGTCGGGCTTTCACGACCTTAGTTAAAGGTCAGGATCTCCTTACCCAATTGGCACCATCGCACAAAAACCTTGCGGCTCGCAAAGTCTTTGTCAAGTACATGAGCAATAACTATCCAGTTCTCGCCGAGGAGCGCCCTAAGTTTGAGAACTTGATGCGGCTTGAACGCCTTCGTTGCCGACTGTCAGCAGGATCGTCCGTTGGATACCTACACCCCTTGGCTATTGCTAAGGCCATCAAGAAGAAGCTCGACTACGGCTTCTTCATGGTGTTCCAGTGCCAGCCATTTATCACGAGTGGGACGAGACCTTCGACGTCAAGACCTTGTGGGACTCGGCGCAAAACAATTGTGCATTTATATAGCTACATTGTGACAGTCATTCGCACGTAGGGAGGTTGTGGTCTTTAACATCAACAGCGCGTAGCGACCTCAGTCACAACAATATTCCGGGCACAAGTTGAGGTCATCATACTAACCGTCTCTCCTCGGGCGTGAGTGCACGAAAAGCAGCTATCGAAAGGCACGATGTGGTTGAGATCAATGACCGCTAACTAGAGGGGCCAATCCGCCACATCATCCAACTCGAATACAACCCTGTCGCGTACAGCGACAAAACGCGAGGTTTCTACTTGTTATATCATATATATGGATAGCATTGTTATATATATACGATTTGTCATAGCTATATTAGTCAACATAAGCTATTATGAATTTATTCTCATTTTTCTATGTACATAAACTCGTAGGTGATATCGTGGTTCCATTACGGTTCATAGATAAGACTCGCAATAGAATAATGCGGTTCCATTGCAGTTCATAAATAGGACTCGCAGTATAAAAATGCAGTTCCAATACGGTTCGTAAATCAAACTCATCGTGGAATGATGCGGCTCCATTGCGAGTCGGAAGATAAAAGGAATAAAAGAAAAATTGGTCCATTGCGAGTCTATCTGCGATTCCATTGCGAGTCGTACAGTCAAGGTGTGGGGACGAAGCGAAGTTGGGAAATCTGAGGATGTGGCGGATTGGCCCCTCTGGTCAGCGGTCTCAATGGAGTTATCCAGAGAAAGAGCATGAACTAGTCACCTCTCTGGACTTGACTCTGTTTCTCTTCACGATTCTGCCACTGCTCGGAATACAGCTCGTGGTGGTGCTGGTCCAGGACTACCATGTCGGACGGGTGCTCGACCAGAAGAACGTAGCGGCCAATTCCCGAGAGATGTCAACATTGATCATGCTCTTCTGGGTCTCTCTTATTCTATTACAAAACCGAGAACAAGTCGATCACTTGGAAGACGTATTCGTGTAAAGGAACAAACTCCAATTCTCTATGCAATACCCTAATGCAATTTATTCTCTAATTCCCAAACCAATCGCTATGCTTTCGAAACAAATATATACAACAAGAAACCTCCTCAAATCCATAACTTCCTATGTATGTTACTCTAGTGAGCGGTAGGGGCAGGAGTAGGAGTAACAAGGCTTAAACCACCGTTGGTAGACACACAACGAACGCCTTGGGGATATTCATGAGCTGGGTTGCAAGCGTAGGTAGCTTGAGGAGCAGGTGTGACCAAAGTCAAAGAGCCAGAGACCTCAGTGCAGACAGCGTTGTTTGGGTAAGAATGAGCGGGATTGCAAGCATAGGTAGCCTGAGGAGCAGGAGTAACCAGGCTCAAAGCTCCATTGGTAGAAATGCATTTGGCATTGTTTGGGTAAGAATGAGCGGGATTGCATGCGTAGTGGGTAGCTTGGGGCGAAGGTGTGACGAGGGTCAAAGAGCCAGAGACCTCTGTGCAGAAAGCACCAGCAGGATAACTGTGTGCGGGATTGCAGGCGTAGGTAGCTTGAGGAGCAGGTGTGACGAGAGTCAAGGAACCAGAGACCTCAGTGCAGACAGCATTGTTTGGGTAACTGTGTGCCGGATTGCAAGCGTAGGTAGTGGCCTGCTTCTTTGCTGAAGGAGCAGGTGTAACAAGGCTCAAGACTCCATTGGTGGAAATACATTGAGCGCCGGGGTATTGATGAGCTGGATTGCAAGCATAGCCAGATGTTGCTGAGGCGGTAGCAGTGACCAGAGAGAGTGCTCCGTTGGTTGAGACGCACTTCTCACCGTTGGGATATTCATGAGCTGGGTTGCATTGGTAGGCAGGAAGTGCAAGAGCCTGAGAGGCAGCGAGGAAAGCGAAGACAGCGGCGGTCTTGAAGGAGTTCATTTTTGCGATGTTGGTTTGTGTTGTGTAGATCTGGTAGAAGCTCGGTGTTGAGAGGTAGAAGAGATGTAGAAGAGGTGATATGAAAATGATATTATTTGATGAACAAAAAGACCTACCACCCATCCATCTTACCTTCTTATATATCTTCTTCTCTAGCCACCTCAAGTAAAAGAATCGCTGCCGTGACGTCGCTGTGTTCTAAAGAAAGAAAAAGTTCATCGTTCGCACTTGCTCTGTGCACTGGAAACCATAATTGATGAGGAGGTAAAAGAGATTGTGGAGCGACACGAGCGAGCCGTTGATAGAGAATTACATTGATGGTAGCAGCGTAGGGTTGTCTCTTAGGGCGACAGCGTGAAAACCTAAGGCCAGACACCGCCCCATTGTCAACGTCGTCGGTGGCGGTCAAGCTTGTGAGATAGAGTTCAAGGCTCGTGGGTTAAACAGAACGCTCTGTGTCACTCAGCGTTACAGTAACATTTCTTCTTAGGCGTCCGAATCTTGACATGACCCTCATGTCTTTCGTGACCACTGTAGGGAGATGAATGTCATATCGAGCCACCCTCAAGGCAAAACATATGCATGCCTTCTAATGAAAAGAAGTTGCTGATTAAACATAGTGTCGGCAAAGGAGGACCACAGAAAAAAACAGCCGAAAGGTTGACAGATCCACGTGCAACGGTTTTCAGGGTCTTGCTTCTAAATTTGGATCTTCGAAGTCAGTGATGGCCGACCGAGGCTCAAAACTCCTTGAACTTTGTACATTTATCCAAAAGCAAGGGTGAAATGATAGGGCTTGGAGAGATCACAGATCAGCGGATTGAGCTCGTATTGATAGTGACACCAGAAGAAGAGAACGGGAAAATGGCATGACATTTCTCATATTATGGTAACATCTTTGAACATCTCACATCCAGGGAACGGCGTGACCGTCGGCTCNTGGATCACTGCCTGCACTCCAGACACCGCGGTCCTCGACATGGTCGACATGCCATCTGATAACTTGACCTCTGCCAAAGAGACCTCTGCCATGTCCTTTGATAATCTCGACATTGTGACCCATGGCACGCAGTTTATCAGCAGTCTCTTCCGAAATACCGTCTTCCAGGTAAACAGTCTTGTCAAAGACATCTCCACTGTCGGGCATACCAGCACCGATACAGATACGGGGTGCATCGAGAGCTGCTTGCGGGGTCATCTTGAAGACGAGCATGTTCAATAGCACCTGCACGTGTCCTTGAGGTTGCATGAAGCCACCCATAACACCGTAGACAGAGTGCAAACTTTGGTCTGCCTTGTTGGTGATCAGAGCAGGGATAATGGTGTGGTAAGGACGCTTGTTGGGAGCATAAACGTTGGGGTGATTTGCTGGTTGCAGCATGAAGTTGCAGGCTCGGTTTTNGAGGGTGAAACCACATCCCTTGGGGATGATGGCAGTGCCGAAACCAGCGTAGTTGGAATTGATGAACGAGATACCGTTACCTTCGCTGTCAGTGGCAGCAAAGTAGACAGTATCGGAGTGGTTGTGGGCGGGAGAACCATGGTCAGGGATGTCACCAGCCTTCTTGGGGTCGAAGAGCTTAGCACGCTCGGCCAGGTATTGTTCTGAGATGAGCTCCTGAGAAGGAACCTTGACTACGTTAGGGTCTGCCACCCACCAGTTGGCATCGGCAAAGGCAATACGGAGAGTCTCGACAACAGCGTGAATGTGCTCAGCAGAGTTGTGGTCCTTGTCGGAGAATGTGGGAATCTTGCCGTCCTTCTCCAACTCTTGAAGCATTCCCAATGCCATCAGAGCGACGATGCCCTGACCATTGGGAGGATGCTCCCACACATCGACACCTTCTGAGCTTTTATCATGCATCGTGTCTCCGTGTGACTTTGCGATGCCTTGTCCACGGTAGTTGAGTTTGATAGGGTCAACCTCTTCGCTGCCCTTCTCCATGTGGTTCTTCAGATCATCCAACGAAATGAAGCCTCCCAAATCCTGAACGACCTTGACCAACTCTTCTGCAATTCTTCCAGTGTAGTAACCAGCCTTTCCGTGTTTGGCAACCTCACGGAAGGTCTGCGCCAGGGTAGGATTACGCATGATCTCGCCAGGCTTTGGAGCACGGCAGCCATCCTTTGCATTCGGGTCTTTCTTGAGCATCTCGGCGAAGTTGGGCGAGGCATCTCGGATCGACTTCTCGGCTTTCGACCNACTACACAAGGTATTAGCAGAGTGTCTCGTTGAGGATATTGATTGAGTGCTCACGTAGTAGCCCATGATCTCCGAAACTGGGAAACCTTGCTCTCCCAACTCAATAGCAGGTGTCAAGATTTGTTCCATGCTCAACTTTCCACTGCCAAACTTCTCAACCACATCAACCCAGCCAGCTGCTGCTCCAGGAACAGTGACTCCATGTGCACTGTGCATAGGAATTGTGCCGTTCTGTCCCTCCTTGATGCCTAGTGACTGTCGTACTTTCTCGCATGTTGCGTTTCCTGGAGCTCGGCCAGAGCCATTCAGAGCATGTACTTGCTTGGTCTTTGCATCGTAGAACAGACAGAACATGTCACCACCGATACCCGTGCTACCGGGCTCGGTCATGTTCAGACCGGCCGCAACTGCGACGGCTGCATCCTGTATCTTGTCAGTCTATAGCTCCTGAGAGTAGCTGGGTCCACTTACTGCGCAGTTTCCACCTTGTTGCAGCACTCGCAGACCACAGTTCGAAGCGAGAGGTTGTGAACTTGACACAATACCCTTGGTGCTGTGTACTACACTCCTGCGACTGGGAAAAGCGACAAACTCTGGGTCGGCCGCAGGGTAGATAGCCTGAGCATTGAGAGGCATGTTTGTGTTTCAAGACTGGGGAAAGCTCAAGAGATGTGGGGTCGTTCGTACAAGCTCAAAGAAGATGGGAAAGTCAAATGGAAAGAGGAAGAGAATCACTACAAGTATTAAGAGCAGCCAAGTCCTCAAATATCTAGGGACGGCAATGTGATGGGACAATTATCGATGCTCGGCAGTCACCACATACAAAGAGGCGGGGCATCGCGGGTGTGTCGTTGGCCGATTCGGCCATCCCACCTTCCATATTCGTCATGGGGTGCCTGCTTACCCCAACTCCTACCTCGGCCTGCTATCAGGAATTGGGGTTTTCTTGAGTGGTCGCATGTAGAAGCAGAGAAAAGAGGTCCGATCTCGGTGCTTTTGGAGATAGTGTTATACAGTGGTGTTTATAGTACAGTACTTCAAGAGTCCGTCTTAGCAGCCAGCTCTTCTTCGGCAGCCAGGCCTAACACCTCTTGTTCGCTGAGCCATCCTCTGACACTCTCCATGACACGTTCGAGTTCAATGCCTCCTTCGAGCACATCGTCCAAATCGTGCACACTGATGCCGCTACGGTGATCCGTTACTCTCTGCTGACCCCAATTATATGTCCTGATCTTGTTCTCTCTGCCCATCTTTGCGACTCCGACAACGCTTCGGCGCATGGCGAGCATCTCTTCTTCTCGTTGTTCACGCCTTGACTGGGCGATTCTACTTCTGAGCAGCCTCCATGCTTTTTCCCTGTTTTTGTGTTGCGAACGTGCATCTTGCATGGCGACCACGGTTCCGGTAGGCAAATGGGTCAATCTGACAGCACTGTCGGTTGTGTTGACGTGCTGCCCACCTGCTCCTCTTGCGCGCATGACGTCGGTACGGACATCCTTGGGATCCACGTAGTAGTCGCTATTGGGGTCATCGAAGCTGTTTTCTCCCAGTTCCTGCGAGGGCTCTGCAGGGAAGGATGGAAGTACCAGAACTGATGCGGCGCTAGTATGTGTGCGTCCCTTGCTTTCTGTTGCTGGCACGCGCTGTACTCTGTGAACTCCGGCCTCGCATCTCAAGATGCCGTATGCGCCCGGCGACTCGACTTCGAGCACTGCTTCTTGGAGTGGTGCATCTGAGCCTGCGCCTTGGCCATCGGCGTCTTCGTATTTGAGCAGAGATATCCGTAGACCTAAACGATTGCAGTATGATGTGTACATGCGTAACATGTCACCAGCGAAGATGGCAGCCTCTCCACCACCTGCGCCAGGTCTAATTTCAATCAGACATGGCAACTCCGCGAATGGATGACGAGGCACGAGCGCAAGCTTGAGGGCATCCGAGGCTTGAGAGAAGTCGGTCCGCGAGACTTCTAGATCCTCCTCTGCCAATTCGACAAGATCTTTGTCTGTCTTGGGGTCGGATAGAAGTGTTCGCAATTCCGCCAGAGAATCGTTTGCCTTTTCCCACTCTTTCAATGCATTGGTGACGGACGATAGCTGACCCAATTNTTTGGCTGCTTTTGTGTCGAAGCCTTCGGCGAGTTTGGCAGTGATTTCATCGTGCTCTTTGGCCATTGACCGAGCTCGTGAGAGCAGGGCAGGAGAGATGGCTCCATCAGCCGCCGCTGCNNTGCGAAAGGTTAAAACGTGCGTCCAGTGAACAACCTGATCGCGATAGATCTTACCAGTGGTTTGCAGACGAATGCCGCGAAGCGACAAAGGCCGCGGCAACTGTCGCAGGCATGTCGACAATGTCCATAGGGGTTGGCGCATGTCGAGCAAAACTTGTCGACCATCTGTCTTCGTCCTCCGGACATTTCACATGCTTCTCCGAACGGCTTGGCGCTGTCACGACCATCACCCTGCCATGAATCTATCCTTCATCTGGAATCTTGCTAAATTATTCTAGAGACTATCAAAGACTATCTTCGGTCCATGGCAAAGGCTCAGAGAACCGAGTTCGTTCACGACAGTCCAGTAGCCTCTGTAGCAAGTGTTTGACGGAGGTGTCTGATATTTTACCAAGCTGATCAACATCGGCTGACCACTGCCTTGCCGACCTCTTGGACGACAGAGGAACATGAGTACCATGAGGATCTGCTTTGAAAAGATCAAGAGTCTCCTTTTCGAGTCTCTGTACCTCCTGCAACTCTGACAGAGGAAAAGGTGGATTCAACCCCTGCACACGTATTTTCTCGCTGGGCCAGCAAATTGCGTCCGCGTGGCATTCCTGTGTTCGTCAGCACTCACGTCAAGGAGAGACCAATCCGAATAACACCAACAAGAANNACCTAGCTTCTTTGAAACTATGCGTGATCACAGTTATCATGCGTGGCCACTTGCCTTTCACCTCGTAGTATCTGATGAGGGAGAAGAGCAGATTTTGGTAGCTGTCTGTTGCAGCGTCTTCGCACAATATCCTACCATCTGTCATGGCTTGTTGCACAACATCGGAATCACCGAAGCAATGCACGAGGATGTTTCGATAGCTGTCAGCTTCACTCGAGGGCGCATCCCGCTCGGTCTTTGCACCTGAGAAGACGAGAATAGTCTCCTCTCGACGTAGTGCATTTACTCCAGCCTGGATATGCAGTAGGAAAGTCTCGTGTTCACCTGGCTTTCCAGTAGAAGCGTTAGACCGCTGAAAAGGCTTGAGCAGCCAGCTCGACTCCTCATATGGATTTCTGCTCGGGGACAAAGAGCATGAATAATTGAAACAACAGGAACAGCCAGATGGAAGCCTTACGAAGAATCTGTGCAAATGGCATGGCAGCACACTACAACCAATTCGCCCATGGCGACGTCTTGTGGCTTGTACAGACGGCGTTCACAAGCTGGAAATGAGGCGCAGCTGAGTCGGAGGATGCACAGCGTAAAGTGAACACGGTCAAAGCGTACAACGAACGCGAATAATTCGGAGTAGCTGCGAGAGGTACTCGTCCAGGTGTGTCTTGAGACCAGGTGGCTGCAATGCCGCTGACGCTGTGAGCAGAGACACTTTTCTGCTAAAGGCGGCGTAGTGCTGCAGGAGGTGGAATGGCAGTTGGCGGTATGCAAGTCTGAGTGGTTCGAAGGTTGTCTCACGTTCACACCGACTGCATCGTTGCCAAGTCAAAGGGGTCACAGCTCCAGCGGTAGGCGCGATCAACGTCAACAGAGTGCTATATTTGGTTCATGGTTCGTCGCCGAGGGTTACTGGGGAAATGCAGAGATTGTGATGGAGGTAAGAGGACGATGGACATGTAGGGAAATGGGAATAGATGATACAAATAACCAACAAGGCCTTGATTAAGAGAAGGGCGACTTCTGCGAGTAGATATTAGTGTGTGTTTCGAAGCGCTGTACTCGTTTCAGCTTCCATCTCCGCAATTTGGCTCACTGGCTCAGGGACCAGCAGTACGTACAAGTTCCAAGTCCTTTGTTCCGAGTGGCATTTGCATCAGGCGCCCTGACAGGGAAAGTTCTGTGTCGTCGTTTCGATCTTTCTTCCTTGTCCTCCAACAACCACCACCCTCCGTCGCAGACTTGATACTTGCCGTCGCAGGCTTTGTTTCATTGCATTCCTTAGAGACTACCGTACCAAGCTTCACACCTCAGTAAGGGGTAATCTCCCAAGAGTTGCCGAGCATGGCCTACCATGGCGTTCCAGGTGGCTACGACCACGATGCCATAAACAACGACGTGCGAAGCCTTCCCACATACTTCAAACATAAACATGGACAAGAANNGACGACTGACCGGCGGCAACCGCAGTACCACAACCAGCACGAGTCGGACGAGGAGGTCGAGCGCTCGCTCCTGCATACCAACCCTACCGGAGCCTACCAGGGCCCCTTTGATGACACACACTCGCACACGCCCGCTGCACAGGACCACGGCTACAGCTTGACAGAATCCTATGCCGACAACAACACCCACCACGTGCCTCCGTACGATAACTATGACGACTACCGAGGTACCACTCTGCAAGACCCAGGATACCACCCTTCTGGTTCTCCAGTGTCCCGCGCACAAACAACATCAACCGAAGCGTGGGAAGCAAGAGCACAGATCGGCGGGCCTGCTGCTGGCGGCGGCGGTCTCAAGCGCAATGCCACACGTAAGGTCAAGCTGGTTCAGGGCAATGTCCTGAGTGCCGACTACCCCGTGCCCAGTGCTATCCAGAACGCCGTCCAGGCAAAGTACAGAAATGACCTAGAAAGCGGCAGCGAGGAGTTTACTCACATGCGCTGTAAGTTTTGGTTCGTAAAAGACACAAGTACCCCAGCGCTAAACCCCTGAACAGACACTGCGGCGACATGCGATCCCAACGACTTCACACTCAAGAACGGCTACAATCTCCGCCCAGCCATGTACAACCGCCATACCGAGCTTCTGATTGCAGTCACATACTACAACGAAGACAAGGTCCTCACTGCTCGCACCCTGCACGGTGTCATGCAGAACATCCGAGAAATCGTCAACCTTAAGAAGTCCGAATTCTGGAACAAGGGAGGCCCAGCATGGCAGAAGATTGTTGTCTGCTTGGTTTTCGATGGTATCGACCCCTGCGACAAGGGTACTCTGGACGTGCTGGCCACGATCGGTATCTACCAGGACGGAATCATGAAGAAGGATATTGACGGCAAGGAGACGGTTGCTCACATTGTAAGTTGCCTCGATTCTCGGGTTAGCATATTCCGGCTTACTGACATTCTGCAGTTCGAGTACACAACTCAGCTGTCCGTCACGGCTAACCAGCAACTCATCCGCCCTCTTGACGATGGCCCAACGACTCTGCCTCCTGTGCAGATGATGTTCTGTCTCAAGCAAAAGAATAGCAAGAAGATCAACTCGCACAGATGGCTGTTCACCGCCTTTGGCCGTATCTTGAACCCCGAAGTCTGTATCTTGCTAGATGCTGGAACCAAGCCCGGTCACAAGTCTCTGCTCGCTTTGTGGGAGGCTTTCTATAACGACAAGGACCTCGGTGGTGCTTGTGGTGAGATCCACGCCATGTTGGGTCCTCGTGGAAAGAACCTCATCAATCCCCTTATTGCCGCACAGAACTTTGAGTACAAGATCTCCAATATTCTCGACAAACCGCTCGAAAGTTCGTTCGGTTATGTCAGTGTCTTGCCTGGTGCCTTCTCTGCTTACCGCTTCCGCGCTATCATGGGCCGTCCGCTGGAGCAATACTTCCATGGTGACCACACTCTCTCCAAACAGCTCGGAAAGAAGGGTATTGAAGGCATGAACATTTTCAAGAAGAACATGTTCTTGGCCGAGGATCGTATTCTTTGTTTCGAGCTGGTCGCAAAGGCCGGCTCCAAGTGGCATCTTACCTACGTCAAGGCCTCCAAAGGTGAGACCGATGTGCCTGACAGTGCTCCTGAATTCATCGGTCAACGTCGTCGTTGGCTGAACGGTTCGTTCGCTGCTTCCATCTATTCTCTGATGCACTTCGGTCGCATGTACAAGAGTGGCCATAACATCGTCCGCATGTTCTTCTTGCACCTCCAGCTCATCTACAACATTGCCCAACAGATTCTGACTTGGTTCGCTCTGGCTTCTTATTGGTTGACGACTACCGTCATTATGGATCTTGTCGGCACTCCCAGCTCATCGAACAATAATCAAGCCTTTCCATTTGGCAACGAAGCTACTCCTATTATCAACACGATCATCAAGTATATCTACCTGGCATTCGTCCTTCTGCAATTCATCCTTGCCCTGGGAAACAGGCCCAAAGGTTCGAAATTTACATACATCGTCTCATTCTGCTGGTTCGGCCTCGTCCAACTTTACATCACCGTCGATTCGCTATATCTGGTCGTTCACGCCTTTACAGGAGGTCCAGGGTTCAATATGGACAGCACTGACGATTTTGTGAAGTCCTTCTTTGCTTCGTCGGGCCCTGGTATCATTATCATCGCTTTGGCTGCAACCTTTGGTCTCTACTTTGTCGCTTCCTTCATGTATCTCGACCCCTGGCACATGTTCACCTCATTCCCTCAGTATCTTCTGATTATGAGTTCGTACATCAACATCCTCAACGTCTACGCCTTTAGTAACTGGCACGACGTGTCCTGGGGAACCAAGGGTTCCGACAAGGCCGACGCACTACCATCAGCCAAGACAGAAAAAGCCCACGACGGCAAAGCGACGGTCATAGAGGAAGTCGATCTAGCACAAGCAGACATCGACTCACAATTCGAGACCACCGTCAAGCGCGCCCTGACACCCTATGTCGCACCCAAGGANAAGGAAAGCAAGACGCTCGAAGACTCGTACAAGAGCTTCCGCACGCGTCTGGTCGTCTTCTGGATCTTCAGTAACGCATTACTCGCCGTCGCCATCACCAGTGACAATTTCGATAAGTTCGGATTTACTAGTGGTGCCAGCAAGCGTACTGCAAGATTCTTCCAGGCTTTGCTGTGGGCGAATGCTATTGTTGCGCTTGTTCGCTTCTGCGGTTGTTGTTGGTTCCTTGCCAAATCTGGTCTGCTGTGCTGTTTCGCACGCAGATAAGTGCTTTGCTGCATGATCATCTTAACGTCTACGCTTATGTTTCTTTGCATTGCACAAAAGATTGTTGTACCTTTGGAAAAACATGTCATCTTGTCGGAGTTTGGATATGCATGCACCTGTCTCTGCTTTTGCGTTTTCTCACTAGCTGCATTTTTGCATAACTCGAGTAGCTTATATACCACTGGTTGGTCTAAGAAGCCACAAAATTCCTTGCATCCTTCAACTCATTTTTGATCATCACCATTGTATTAGTATCTAGTCAAAAATCTGACGCTGTGAAGGATGTGAGGAGCATCTGAAATATGAATGAGAAGTAGATAGTAGTAAGGTAAGGTGACGAGAGTGCGCACGTCGCCGTGGCCATGGTTCATAGCTGAGGTTATTCTGGGCTATAGTCTTCCTATACATGACCATGCTTGCTCTCCTGACGGGTCTGCTGCTTACTTGTCCACACGGCGCTGTAGCGTTCAGGGCATAATCGAGCAGAGGCATGGTTACCAGCTTGAGCGGCAGGTGATATGTGGCTTGCAAGTCGTCCTTTAGGTGGCAAACCTTGCAGGACTTGGTTGTTCTGGCGGCGCCGACTGACACGGGTCAGCAGGCAATGATATCTGATTGAACAGTCTCTGTGTTCAACCCGAACCCCTCAATGCCATATCGACGATAAGTCTTCCTCTTTCTCCGCCTAGGAAGCCGGCACCGTCTTCTCCTTCATCTTGCTCAATGTCCAGACTGGCATCGTATGCTCTGCGAACCATCTCTTCGTCAACCTTGACACCGTTCTCGGCCAATGCTCTGATACAGCCAGCGACTCTTGCAATCTCTTTCCTTGTGTCTGGGCTGATGTCGTCGTTCTGGCTCGAATACATGGTGGTGCTGACTTGCTCTTCGATCCTGGTGATGCTGACGTCCTTTGTCTTGTCTGCTTCAATGTGCTTGGAGATCCAGATGTAGCCATTGACTCCAAGAATAACATCGACCTCTCCACCCCTGCTGGAAGTCTGCAGAGTAAAGATCTGTCTCTTTGCTCTGACGACACCAGCACCGCCTCCAACTCCCGACACAGCCATGAAGTATCCATTGCGCAGTTTGCCATACTTTAGACTGCGCGTGTGTAGAGAAGCAGACCCATCCTGAAACAAACTCTGCACTTCTGCAACTAGCAACTCTCCCTCTTCGAAAAATGTGCGAATGTTTAATTCGTCGACGCTGGTTCTTTTGCGCAAGATACCGCCGGGAAGGTTGATACTGCTCAACGGCAGAGCAGCAGTCAGCGCACCTGCAACATCGACTTTCCACCTTCTACTCTGCACTTCGATGATGCGTCCAATGACCAAATCTCCAATCTCTGGTGTGTAGCGCGCGCGCAACGGCACCACCGAAAGCAGTTTGTTGGTTTTCTGGAGTGTGCCGGCGAGGGTGGAGCGGATGATGGGAGCAAGGTCGCCATTGTCGTTTGTATAGGTTCCGTGGCCGCGCATCCATTGCGGATCAGAGGTTATGACTTCGCCGGGCGTGATGATGGTTTTTCGGCGTGTCGAGTTGCGCGCGGCGTGGTCTGCGTTGTCGAGGTCCATTTCGTCGTCTGAATCGTCGCGTGGCCGTGTGACGGCAGGTGCTGCTGGTGAAGGTGCGAATATTTGGATTGGCATTGTGAATGTGTGTGTTATGTGGTTTGGGTTTGGCACTGGTGTAGAGAGCTTGTGAATAATTTCTGGGAGGAAGCTCGAGACTGGTGATGCAATTAATTGTGCCAAGCCTGTTTTGTTTTGTGCAGGAATTATGTTTTGCATCGACATTATCTAGAGCAGACTATCTTTTAAACTGTCATAGACGTATATAGACACATCCGACCTGAACTCCAGATACCCCGTTTCAGCCCATCTATCTATTCGAAGCTGAATCTGCTATTCGCTTCTGAGCGGTCGTCTCGAATCTCGTTCCGTAACACCACTTCTTCTGGTTGCACAGCTCTTCTATCTGAAGGCTCTCCGGCTACTGGAGTCGAGGGGTTGCTTGGGTCAACTCCATTGTACACCTCTTCTCGCCGCCTCATCATCTCCTTTTCTGTGATCGTTCTGCCATCTGCTTGTGCCAACTCAGGCATATCACCAGGCATCTCGAAAATTTCCAATCCTCCTGCCTCGCTTGCAGCTCTTGGTGATGCTAGGCCAGGCGAAACCGAATCTGCTTGTGTTGAAGACCATGTGCTGCCTCCGTAACCTAGAGTTGTAGGACTTGCCAAACTTGACTCTGGGCGAAGTGATGGCTTGGGATCCTCATGGACCCTTGACCCTTCCAATTCTGCTTTGGNGAAGACAGTCGTTCCCTTCTCTCCGATACCGATCGTGGTGTGCGAGATTGAGTCTCTTGACGGAGACGATGAGTCGTCTCCCGTCTCATTTTCTGCCAAGCGTCCCTTCTGCTTTCTGTCACGACGGACGAGCCAGGTGGCTAAGCCAATGACTAGGAGCACACCAATGACACTGCCGGCTACGATTCCTCCGATCGCACCACCACTCAGACCCGTTGTGACAATCGTTTCTGAAAAGTTTCCTGATGTTGCCGATGTACTTGATCCTGAAGAAGCTCCACTGTACCCGCTGTTCTGAGAAGATGGCGCTGGCTCAATTATAATGATCTCCGGAACTTCACCAATATCCTGGGGCCAGACGCACTGCGACACATTGAACTTGGCACGTTCATAATCTACAGTGATGTACGCTTCCTGCATGAAGGTCCGCCCAAGCGTGTATTGAGAACTGTTCGCTGCTCGTCGGAGGGGNNGGAAGTAGTTCGACCTGTCAGCCAGTCCCTGGTATGGTGATTGTGCTGTCATATCAAATGCAGCATAGGGCAGCGTGATTGTCATTTGCTGGAGACCTGAAGCCACGGTGCCGAGCGTGAAGTTGACACTAGCATTACGAGCTAGGAGAGAGGCGTGAAGTGATGAGTTCACGATATAGAGGTCGTATGTAGAATCCCAGATCAGGCCGAATTCTTTCTCGAAAGCCTCACAGGCGTCGAGAGGAAGCCAAATCTGGCTTACCGTAGAGTCGATTGTAGCGTAGATTGGTGCCGGTAATAGCTCAACACTAGATGACGAGTTTACTGCTTGCGTGGTGATAGACTGTATCGCAACGATAGTGTCCTTTGCAGGATCAGAAGCGAAATCAAATTCAATGCTGTTGACTTCGAACCGGCTCTGGTCGTAACCACCTAAAGTAAGAGAGCCTTCTACACCAGTGAAGCGGTATGGAGCACCTGCAGTGTAGCCGAATGAGATACTAGGGATTGCACCCTGTGCCTTCAGCTTCGTCATTAGACTGACTCCATGCGAGACATCCGACCAGTTGGTAGGCTTCGGATTCAAGCCCAGTCTTCCAAGCCAAAAGTCCGATACAGCAAAGGCGCCGACTGTCGAGCCCTCGACGGTTGTGTGATTTGAATCATCCAAGGTGATGCTGTCATAGCCATAGTATGCGTTTCCGACAAGACCCAGGTTCTGTTCGATTCCGAATTCGAAAATGCCAATAGAGCTCCAATTTGATGATTGACTCAGGTTGAAAACTTGTCCTCGGGAGTTGACACAATCATTATAATTGGAATATACAGAACATCCCTCAGGATTCACAACCAGAGTTTGGAAAGACTGCCATGATGGTAGGAGGCGGACTTCCTGCGCTGGAACTCCTACACTCAGATTGAAAGAAGACCATGTGCCGTCAAGACCATCCCTAAGAGTCATCAGTAAAGATGCTACGAGTTTTATCCTCGAATATGCATACCATGTTTCACTTGGGTTGACGACCAATGGTTGCGCACTGCCTGAGACTTGCGCGATAGTTGTTGCCAGGAGAAAAGCCACTCCTGCGCGAGTAGGACGACCCAGAAGAGGGAATGTCATGGTTGATGTTTCCGGTTGACAGAGAAGCCAAGGTCGAGGTCCGAGACTACATGAGAAACTGTGCGCGCGCCTCGAGCGTCCGTACAAGCTCTCAACTCACAATTTGCTCTGCTTCTGTAATTTGACAGCGTTGTGCAGGAAGAAATCTCAAACAGCAACCCGGTCAGCGTAAGATCGTGGAATCACAAGATTCACAACCCGTCGGTTAGGCCGAAAGCTAGGCAAGACAAGTGCGCCAATCGTGTGGGCGCTCGGTGGGGTGCGTGAAAATCACGAGCACGCATGCAGCATAAACCATGTCGCTTGTCATCCTGGGCAGTGCTCACCAGAAGGATCCCGGCCAACCGTATGTGGCTTGCTTTGCGCTGATCACATACGAAAGAGGACTTGTAAAATTGTAGAGCGATGAGGTCTCTGTCTGGTGCTCGAACTCAAAAAGCATAGCAGGGAACAAGTCGGTCGTGATTGCTACTTTGAGCTTTTGGACTTGTGCTTTTCAGAGCTTGCAAGAAGGAACCCACAAACCATGACGATCCGCGTTTTTGCTTGGCAACATATGCAAACTGTTAGCGTTTATGCATCTTCTCTCCCAACCTCCATCGCGCGCGACCCCGCGGACCAGACCTGTTTCCTTGTTCGTCCAGGACGAAACGTAAGGGACAAGATCTCAGCAGCGTGCCGCACCGCTGGGCTGGCTAGACTCGACGACGCTCTTCGGACTTGACACATGTCCTGCGTGTCGAGGTACTTGTAGTTACATCAGATACCCTATCCTTGCTGAATGTTGAGTCTGCTCCGGACGCAAGACCCGATTCGAAGACGATTGTCGCGAGATCCTCGCAGGTACATCTTCATGCGCGGACTATTTTGAGCAAGGCTGATGCTTTGTCACTCTCGGTAACGATGGTCGCACTCATTTCTCTTGTAGACTGCGATCATCTGGAAGCAAATGGTATCGTATATTTTTACAACCACTCCATTCCTTACTGAGCCACAACCGCCGTATCGCGCACTGACTACCAATGTCGTAGCTGCCCTATTTTCAAAGCTGCTTCGGAGACGAGTAAGCTTTGGGGCTGGCAGGCGAAGGATTCTGCACGCACGGCCGGGATTTGAAGCCAGTCAGCAGGTGTCTGCCGCCTGTTCGAGGTAGATGTTTTGGAATCAGACTAATAGACGCGGTAGGCTCTCGCAACGACAAGGCTCTGCTTGTCATGCAATTCCGCTGAAGCCTTTCCGTCCTGCACTTTGTGTGGATCCACGACCCCAGTCAATTCCCACTTCCCTGTCTTTACATTCATATAAACCGATCAGCCTTGGCATAAGCGATGTTCTTTCGTATTTTCCTTCAACGGCTCCTCAAGTAGCAGAATACCGTGACATTGAGCTTCCAAGGTCGTCGCTGTCTTCTTTCTGCTTCTCTTGTTCAGCGCATCTTTTGGCAGTCTCTCGTTTCTACAGCCTCGTCCGTCATGAGATTCTGCTCTCGCTAAGAATCACACTTCGAACCGGTGTAACGGCAAGATGTCGTTCTACACTTTCGCTTTCATAATTTTGCTCGCTGGGCATGGCATCTGTACGGATTTGAAAAGGACTGATGGTGCGCAAAGAAGACACCCCGCGACTAATGTGCTTGACTGACTCGTTACAGGATGGAACGTTACTTCCTCAGCAAGCAGGATCTCATTAACGCCCTCCATAACTTTGACTAGTTCTACATCTCAAATCTTAGGCGAATTCACCAGCCTAGGTTCTTCGTCCATACAAATCTCGTCACCATCATCGTCACAGAATGGAACGGATGCAGCATTGGCACCAACAATATACGTTCATACATCGATAACACTGACACATAGTAGTCGACTGTCTTCCGACTCACCACAACCGTCTGTGGCGCAAATCAGTTCATCCGTGACATCGTGGAATTCGTATCACAGCACTGGTGTCGTTCCAGACAATGTTCAATCAACAGAACCAAAGACATCGACCAACCTCAGCTCGTCTGTTTCTGCATCATCGGGTCCAGCAAGCTCATCGCAGAAACCTTCAGCGTTAACATCAGGAGCCATTGCACAGGAATCGGCTTCCCCACTGCCCAAACAGTCCAAGTTGATTCGCAAGCATCATCAACACAGAATCTGGCAGATGCAGAAACTCAATCGACGACATCTGAGTCCGAGGCTGAGGGGCTATCTAGTACCTGGCAAGTCGGTATCTCGCCATCGGCTCATGCAGCAGGCTCTGCTCCATCAAGTCAACATGCAGTCCAACCTACAAGCAACGTCGGCTATGGTGGCTTGGGATCTCTAATATGGTCAGGGCTTTCCGGATCTGCGCCAACCGACAACAGTGCTGAGGACTCCAACCTTGGAGGCTCATCGGGTTACGCCAGACCCTCTGCATACAACTCCGACAGTGCACCTATTGCAGGGCAGCCAGACTCAACCATTCTTACAGGCTATACCGTGACTTCGCTGGTGGTCGTCGCCCCGAGCAACGGCTTCAGTCCTGGCACAGGTGCCGGCTTTGAAGTTGGAACCGCCCACTCGGGTGCGACGACGTACACGTACGGCACTCAGACTCGCACCAGCCAAGAATCTTCGATTGGTAGCAGTTCCAGTGCGTTTTATTCACCAAAGTATTCATTCAGCTGGAAATTCAACACTAGTACTACCCGCCGACCTGTGAGGACTAGCAGCAAGGTTCCTCATCTTCCACTCCCTCGACCTTCCCCGCTAAAAAACGACAACGGAACTAATGCTACCTGTGGAGGCATCACTGTCAATATTCCTAGTGCGAAACTAGATTACTGGTATACTACAACGCTTGACTATGCTGCAGCCACATTTTCAATTCAATTTGACAGCAATGACTCCGCTACTGGATGGACACTTCTTCCTGCGACAACCACTTTCAATGTCACTGATGCCTTGCAAGATCCTACCACGTTCTATGTCCCCACGACTATCACGCATAATGCTGCCAACACTTCAGTTTCATACTATACAACGGTGGATGTAAGCCCAACACCTGTCTATGCATCCACCGCCGTCGTCACTCAAACAGCCACGAGTGCTATCAATTCTACTTCCGGCATAGGTGCCATACCGCTGGCGCTGTGATCACTCCACCCCTGCAAGCACAGTACTGTCTGCTGGGCCAGATCAGCCTTCCCTCACAGCCTTGACTAACACACACTTTGTGTACTTTTCTGAGTATGCTCTTGACAGCGAGCACACTACTACGCATAAGAATGGTACGCCGGCTTGTGTGACCTCGAGAGAAGTCAAGAATCTTGGTCGCAACTTCGCCATGGCATACTTCGGGGATGATCCTGATGGCCAAGCACTTGTCACTGGTGATTTGTCCGATGAGTTCTTGGAGCTCCTTCCTTCTGGTCTCAAGCTTGATGTAGGAGTCTTCACTGCAGCACCCACTCTGATCGTCCCGGTTCAGATCGACTATGCTGCAGAAGCAGTGTTAGCTTACTCACAAACCTCTACACCAATGGGAAAGAGTCTCGGCCCATATCCTTCCGCTGCTTCGACAGTCTATTACACTGGCTCATATCAAATCGTCCCGTCTCTCACTCAGCCGGCTTTCGCTCCTGTCTTCAGTAGTAACGCGCTACCACGACCACCAGTCATCTTCCTGAAACCAACTGGTACTTCAACCATCGCGGTTACCAACACACAACTTGCGACAAACTTCTACATCGTTTCTCCTACGAGTACTACTGTCGTCGTGGAGAAAACACAGACGGCACTCGATCTACCATCAAACCCTGGCCCCACCAAGATTCCTGTGGGTGGACAGACTGGAGCCAATGGAGATGCAAACTCGAATTCTAAGGGAGACAAATCAGCAGGTCAAGACAATGGTGGTAGCGGCACTGGCTCTAATGGAGGATCGAACAGCAATGGTGGTTCAGGAGATGGCGGTGTTAGCTCTGACAATGGCGGCACATCAGGAAGCTCCAATTCTGATTCCAATTCTGGCGGGTCGAGTCAGAACTCCAACTCCGGAAGTTCTGGAGGTTCAAATTCAGGCTCCAACGCTGGAACATCGAGCCCAAGCCCTGATTCTGGAAACTCCAATCCAGGCTCTGACTCCAGTTCAGGTTCTGGCATTGCTGGCAACGCTGGAGGCTCCAGCAACTCAGGCAACTCAGGAAGCAGCTCAGGAAGCAACTCGGGCAACTCTGGCAGCTCAGACAACTCTGGCAATTCAGGCAGCTTTGACAACTCAGGAAGCTCTGGTAGTTCTTCCGGTACATCAAACACGGGAGGCTCGAATCCTGGAGACAGTAGTTCCGAAGGGTCATCATCCAATGGTGGTTCGACTTCTGGTGGAGACTCTACAAACGGCGGCTCGTCTGGCAACAGCGGGTCTCCTGGATCCAATGGCGGAACACCACCCGGTGTAGACTCTGGTTCAGGCGGCAACGTCATTATTCCTGTGCCTGTTGTCGTTAATGTTGGCTCTCAGCAGGCAACCATAAACCCAGGCTCTACAGTGATCATCGGAACACAAACACTAGAGCCACAGAAAGCAGCAATACTTGTTGATGGCACACCGATTTCCATCGGGCCTACAGCTGTCGTTGTAGGATCCGAAACACACGCCTTCCATGGCTCTACGATCCATGCAGCAGGACCTGTTGCACCTACAGCCATCACGTATGGCAACTCAGTGATTACACAAGCTCCTGTTCCTGTATACAATGTTGGTGGAACTTCCGTCCATGCAGGTGAGGTTGTGACCATCTCAGGCACGATTGTATCCGCTGCTTCTAGTGGTGGAGTTCTGGCTATTGGCTCCAACACCATTTCTGTCGGCACGCCAGATTCTGCAATTACTCTGAGCACTGCTGGCAGACAGGTTGTCGTCAATTCCACTCCTGGGTTCGTCATCGGCGGTCAAGTCTTGGCTGCTGGAGGACCGGCGATAAATGTTGACGGCACTCAATTGTCTCTGGCTCCCTCTGCAACAGCAATTGTCGTTGGGTCTAAAACATCGCAAATCGCGGCGCCGGTCAACCCATCCCGAGGTGCAATCCTGACAATTGGCTCCCAGACGTTCACTGCGGATGCTTCGACACGCTTCTCGATTGCGCCCGGCATCACTCTGTCTCCAGGCGGATCCGCCACGGTCGATGGGAAGACTGTTCATCTAGGTCCTTCGGGATTCCTGGCTTCGCTCGCCGTAGTCGATGGTGTAACCCAGACTTTGTCGCCTCCCCTCATCACTCCCCCACCTGCCTTCTATATGGGCGGCAATGCCTATGGAACGAACGGTGGAGCGGCATTTGTGGTCGACGGTCAGGTTCTTACGCCTGGAGGAGCGATAACGGTCTCCGGTACGCCTGTGTCCTTCGTCAAAGAAGGTACGGCTGTTGTTGTTGGCGGCTTCACCCAAGTGCTTCCACAAACCTCTGTTGTGGCGGCTCCAGTGTTCGGCTTTGGTGGTGAGGTCCATACTGCGCAGGTTAATTCGGCCTTCGTTGTCGGAGGGCAAACACTTACTCGAGGCGGTGTGATCACGATATCAGGGACCAAGATCTCATATGCCAGCGAAGGCACAGCTGTCGTTATCAACGGCGTGACTCAAGCTCTTACACGGGCAAGCCCTACATCAACACCAGTTCTCACCGTTGGAGGTCAAACATACACGGCTCGTATGGGATCGAACTTCGTGGTTGATGGTGCTACTTTGGTGCCTGGTGGCCAAATCACTGTCGACGGAACGACCATCTCTCTCGCTGTTGAAGGCACTGCTGCAGTCGTTAACGGCGTTACCAAGACATTATCACAAGGAACAGCAGCATCAGGAGCCGTCTTGACAATCGGTAGTCGCACGTATACCGCTGGAAGTGGACCTAACTTCGTGATTGGGGGTCAAACTCTGATTCCTGGCCAGGCCATTAATTTCGATGGTACGTCAGTATCGCTCGCAGCGGGCGGCACTGATGTCGTTGTGAATGGTGTGACTCAGATATTGTCGCCCGGAGTGCCAACACAAGCAGCCGTCTTGACCATCGGCGGTCAGACGTACACTGCCCAGTCCGGGGCTTCATATGTGATTGGAAGTCAGACATTGTATGCTGGCAGTGCGGTGACCGTTGATGGCACAACCATATCACTTCTGAGCGGAGGCACTGCTGCTGTCGTCAATGGCGTTACCCAAACCCTTCCCGGGGCAACAGCAGCAGCCGTACTAGACATCGGTGGACAAGCTTACACTGCTCAATCTGGCACTTTTGTGATCGGAGGCAAAACATTGAGACCTGGAGCTGAAATCACTGTTGATGGCACAACGGTATCGCTCGATGCTGATGAGACAGTTGCTGTTGTCAATGGGGCAACGACGACTTTGGCCCAAGTCACTGCACCTGCAGCATTGACTGTTGGTGGACAGACTTACTCAGCCCAGACAGGCTCGTCTTATGTTGTTGATGGAAAGACCTTGATACCTGGAGGAGTTGTGACTTTGGCAGCTGGGACCACGATCTCTCTTGCTTCTTCCGGTTCGTTCGTCGTGATTAACGGAGTCACGTCGAGTATCCCTCATGCAGCAGGAGCGACTCCGACATCAGTCCTGACAGTTGGCGGTAAAACATTTACAGCATCGTCCGGCTCGTATGTGATTGACGGACAAACTTTGACTTCTGGCGGAGTTGTCACCCTTCTAGATGGCACCACACTTTCTCTAGGCACCTCAGTGCTTCTCATCAACGGACAAACCTCGACCTTGCCAACCGCACAGTCAATTTCACCAGGTGTCATCACAATTGGCAACCAGGTGTTCACTTCTCTGGCAGGCAACACAGCTGCACCCAGCTACATCATTGATGGACAGACTCTCCTGCCAGCTGGCTCAGAGATCACGGCCACCATGTCAGGGACGACCTACATCATCACACTCAGCGCCGGAGCCTCGACCGTGGAAATCGAGGTCCTGGGCTCTGGAGGAAATGTCATCTCCACAATCTACGAGACACTGAGAGGTAGTGGTATTGGAGCAAGCACAGTCACGGCGACGGAGATTCAAGGTGGTGCTGCAGCATCGGCGACTGCAGGACCTAGCTTGACGGCGACACCGACCAAAGGCAGCAGTGCCGGTTTGCAGAATGCAGCCGCACCTCGAAGTGGTGCTATTGGCATTAGTGTCGCGGTTGCCGCTCTGGTCGCTGGAGCTTTGGCTATCTTGCTCTAGAGACAAGAAACAGGAGGTACTTCATGGCTTTTACGAATCTGTACGAAATCACAGGCATTTGTTAGGGATTTCTTTACCCTTGGCGTTTTACGCAGCAGCGGGCGTTGTTTGTGGGGAGGATGTAATATGGCATCAAAGAATGTAGCAACAAAAAGTGGCTGGCTTGAGTCTTGATCATGTTCTTCTCTTCTGGTGGGTTGCTTCTGTTTATGGTATATAGCTTTAATACACCGATGGATTTTCTACATGCTTTTGTCCTTGTTCTTGGTCTTCATGTCGTATGTATTCGTTTCTTTCGTTACAGCCGTGGCATTCATTTGACAGGCACCTCGACAACCTGATCAAGCCCTTCATACGGAGGAATATCCAGTTGATATTTCTCAGCCATATCCTTTGTCANAAACCTCCCACCCACAAAATGTCTACCCTCAAACCACTTGACCAACGGCTTTGGCGCCGTCAAACTGATCAACGCATCAGGGTTATATCCTTTCCNCGGTCCCTCGTCCGGAGGTCCTGTTTCAATGTTCCAACTACTTGGTGCGTCCACAGCCAAAACAGGAATTTTGGAGGCTTGGAGAGCGGAAATGACGGAAGGGAAAGGTTCGCGGACTTCGCCGGAAAAGGAGAATCCAAAGATGGAGTCGATTATGTAGTCGGTAGAGGAGAGTTGGGCGGAAAAGTCAGATGTAAACGGGATATGCAGGTCGCGGAGTTGTTGGGTGAGACGCTGTGTTTACCAAATACCGTCAGAATCAATACTTCAAACTACAAGTGGTTGCAGAAGTCGTACCTGGTATAACTCATTCTTGGGTTGCTTGGGATAGTAGACGGTAGGTTTGTAGCCATAGTGCCAGAGGTGTCTGGCAGCGACCAATCCATCACCGCCGTTGTTGCCGGGTCCTACGGCAATCAAGATACGGTTTCCTTTGCTCGGAGGTTGAAGTTTGAAGAGGGCTTGGGACACGGACAGGCCAGCGAGTTCCATGAGTTGGTCGAGGGAGAAGGCGCCGGTGCTCATGAGTTCTTGGTCGAGCGCTGCGGCTGCTTTGGCGCCGAGGGTGCGGAGGGCCATGGTGTTTTGCGTCTCCGTGGTAATGTGAGGTATTGGTTTGGGTGTAGAGTGTGGAAGGTGCGTTGTGGTGAGGAGAATTGGATTGTCAAGTCGAAGAAGGTTGATCGTCTGCATACGTCACCGTTACCCGAGTGGAGCTTTCTGTCAGGGTTGTACCTTTGACCAGTATTTTTCGACCTTTCGAAATCATGAAATCCATTCACAGGACAAGTCAAGGTTGACAGATGTTGGATCGAGTCAGTCACTATACCGTGAATCGCTTTACGAATAATGTCGAGAGTTGTGCAAAGGTAGGTATAGGCTCTAAGTCGAGTCATCGAGATTGTGTATCATCAAGCGAAGGCAGGGAAGATAGGGCAAGGTGCAAACTGTATCACACTCTAATACGAGTAGCAATTCTCTGTGATAAACAAAAGTACATAACCCGAGTCGCGCTTGTAAAGTTTCTAGACCACCCTGCCCACCTATCAATCGTATCTTATGTACAATTCTAACTGACCAATCTGGCCCACTCGGTCAAATAGATGCAAAACTTCTAGCGAGGTCTCCAAACGAGCATCAATCACTTCTTAGAAACATGGCGGCTCGACTCTTTTCTCTCGTGAAGCCACTTCTTGACCGGATTTGTGTCTTGCTTGACCGGTGCTGGCGGTGTATGATCGTGCTTGACATTAGTCGGCGCGTTTTCTTCATACGACACTCTCTGGCAGCACTCCATTCTGCGCACTACATCTGACGCAAGTGCTTCGGCAATGCTGATTCGCTTTTGCGGATTGGGATTGAGCATTCTCAAGACCAATCGCTCCAAGGAGTCGCTGTTGAGAAGGTGGAAAAGCTTGCCACAATCCGGATAGTCATTCGACCCAGGCTCGATCTGCCCCTCAGGGTGATCTTTTAGCCACTTGTTCCATCCGTTGAGGTACTTCTTGTAGTTTGTGTTGTCAGGTGTGGCTTTGACCCATGGATGCACACCAAAGACCATACTCAAGAAATTGATACCGCACGACCAAACATCGAGACCTCTTGGGTCATATTCATCCTTCGCGTCCATAACTTCAGGTGAGATGTAAGGCTGGGAACCAAAGATGGCTGGTTGCGAGTACCTAACGCGATCAACCTTGAAAGCCTCGACGTCCATTCCTATACGGAAACTGGGATGCGGACCACTGAAGATCTCGCTCAGACCAAAGTCGATGATCTTGACGCACCCATCCCTCGTAAGCATGATGTTCTCTGGCTTCAAGTCGCGGTGAGCTATTCCGTGGTTGTGAAGATAATCGACGCCACGTAGCAGTTGCTTGAAGAAGCAGTACTTGTCATTGATGGTCAAGTATTTCTTCTCAAGGAGACCAAAGAGCTCTCCATTGTGACAGTATTCCATGACTTCGCTCCAGATGCCATGTGAGAAGCAAAGACGAACAGGCTCGATGATGTTGGGATGATGACAAGATTTGGCGATGCAATATTCGGACTTGACCTNTTTGACGTAGTCATCCTCGGTCTCCCAAGAGTCACGGCCGCGGAACTGCTTGACAGCATAAAGGTGGTCCGGCGTCTCTCCTCGCCGTCTCATAAGCTTAACACAAGCATAACCACCCTCGCCGATCTGCTTTGGGCGTCTAAGTGGCAGTCTGGACGATGTTTTGAACTCCTTCTCCAGGGGACAGCATTCTATAGGGAACTCATTGGGAATGTTTGTCGAGAGTCTGCGAGATCTCGTTCCCATACCCTGGTCGGCAGTTTGAGTAAATGATGGTAAAAGGCCAGGGGCATCATCCTGGTAGGTTTGTGCTCTCTTGACCTGAGCGCGTGGAATCTCGGTGCTGCCAGAGCGACGAGAGCTGAAGGACTCATTGCGAGTGTGCCTGGGATGTTGACGGTGTTGAAACTCGAGTACGCTGGATTTTCGTCCAGCAGCTTCCAAGTCGGTGGCAGATCTGTACTTAACTCGTCTGTCGCCTGGATCTTCTTCTTCTTCAGGGGCTAGATATCCTTGCTTGGAAGAAGACGTAGAAATGGGATTGGGTGTGGATGTACCAGTGTTAGGTCCGCTCGCATCCAGGATAGAGAAAATAGCATCAGCACTTGACTTGGACTTGGAGCTGTCAGGAGCAGTTGCAGCCGAGTTTACAGAGGAAGTCGCGCTATCATCACTGGCGCTCCCAGATTTGGTTGCTCCGGCCGTACTGGGCAGCGCTTTGAGATGATGATCATCCGGCAAAGCAGAACGGGCTGGATTAGAAACGTCCATATCGCTCTCTGAAAGACTCTTTGGGGGAGGGGGAGCAGGTCGCTCCGACTCTGGAGTTATAGCAGCAAAGTCTGCAGTCCCCACACCCCCAGCAGAAGAAGCGTCTTGCACCATCAGATTGTGTGGAGGGTCGACGTGCGTCGACCTCTCGGATAAGTGCCGCGGGAAGATGCAGAGTCGAGTTCTGACGCGTTAAATGTCGCAGTCTTCGACAGCGAGCGGGGCACGCGCGAAGACGGGGGGAGAGGAGCAGCCAGCAGGCGCTTAGGGCGCGTGTTAAGTAGACGGACTAGAAATCATTTTCGCATGGATGCTGGCGGTATCTTTTGGGGTCGGCGAAGGAGCCAGCCTGAGTTTGTCAGTGGCTTGCTTGGCATCGTCCGCGCTCATCGGCGTTCGCGGGGCTCGACAATCGCATCATTGGTGCTTGGCTCATTATGTCCGGCTCTCGGCCATAATAAGCATCGAACTTGAGAGACATTGACGAGTAGAAACACCCAACCTTCAATCAGTACAGAAGCGCGACTACAATACAATGGAACCCAAACTCCACGCTGTCCAACTAACGCTGTCAAAATGATCCAAATCTCGTCATCACTGCTTTCTCCTCGACCGTGTGGTCTTTGCTTTGCGCTTTGTCGTTTTTGTCGTTGACCCAGCTTCCCTGCCTTGAACGTCCTCCTTCTCCAGCCACCCTTCGTCAAGAGCGAGAACGACCAGATCACTGGCGCATCCGAGCCCAGTCTTGGGCATCTCCTCGGGATCCAGTAGCTGATTCACTTTGAGTAGCGCTGCCTCAAGCTCTACTGCCCTTTGCGCTGCTTCCTCGTCCTGAATGCAATTACCCGAGCTGGGCCATTCGATCTGCTCAGCAAGCTTGTGCAGTACAAAGTGTAGCCACACGAGATTTGTCTGCGGGTGATATCCTTTCCAAGTTCTTCCAGACTCTTCAGCCTCATCCCATCTCTCCCAAAGATCACCCAGAGGCTCGCCCAGATACATAGCAGAACGCATGTATCGGTACATCTCATACTGGTACTCCTCCTCGGCATCACCTTCAAAAAGAGAGAGATCTCTTTCGAGGTCGAGGTAGGCAACATCCTCATCGTCTTCCGTGATGCCCATTTCTGCTCGCGAGATGGTGTAATCGATGAGCGTTGTTTCGATGCCAGTGAAGTCGAGCTTCTTGCTTGAGCTTGCTGGAACATAGTCTGCTTCACCACGATGTGCAGCATTATTGAGACCAGATACACAAATGTTACCCATGTGCAAATCTCTGTGCTCAAATCTGGCCGCCTCCTCTCCTTTGCCTAATGCTAGCACAACTCCCCAGAAGATGTCCCAAGCAAGCCAAACGTTTGCGACTTTCGTGTTCTCGAGATCAGTGCCGGCGTCTTGCATCTCGATGACAGCCCACAGCTGATCTTCAGAGTAACTCGCTTTCTTGCTAGGGTCAGGGAACACGCTAACCTCCTTGCCCTTGGCCTCTTGAGAATCGTTCCATGACGACCAAGCTGCCGCAAAAGCATCTCCAGGACGACCTTGTAGCACACAAATTTCACGGAAGTTGGTAAAACCAGGTGTGCATGTCATACGCTGCATGAGGCGGACTTCGGCAGCAACATCTTCGGGATCGCTCATCATCTCGGTTCTCTTCTTAGCAGCCTTGGTCATCTTCCTTTTGGTGGATGTTGGAGGCTTAAGAGCAATAATCTTAAGTACCGACTCGTCCGTCTTACTCAAGGCTGAATGCGCTTTGAGGAGCGAGAGACGGTAGACTTCACCGAAAGATGCTTCGGCGATTTTGGTAACTGCAAAATGCGAAGATAGTTGGTCGGACCAGGCAGAAAACGAGGTCAGATCCTGAGAAGAGAGCGATAATAGTGATGCGGCGTGTTTGGTGAAGACGTTGGAGATGCGTGGTGTTGATATTTCCAGAGCGGCCAAGTCAGCTTCGATAGAATGTACTTGTGTTGGTTCTGCCTCCTCAGACGGTGGTGCGACTTCAGCTGTTTGGTGCTCCTCTGCAGCAGGTTCGGTCAACATGTCCGAGGATGTAAGCTGTGGCTCTTCGCGAATGTTGTTTCTTGGTCGCTTTTCTGACTGACTCTTCTTGGGTTTTCCATTTTTCGTCTTTCGGTCTCTTGGTGAGATGGATCCAGTACTGGTCACAGATTCGCTGCTCGTTGTCCTTTGGCGAGACAGTTTGACAGGTCTCTCGGTGTTTGCGATTCTCTCGCAGAGCGCCTCACGCGCACAAATGATTTCATCATCATTATGATCATTGGTCGGGAATTTTGTTTGGACCGTCAGCCGTGAAAGCTCTTCGGCAACTTCGATGACCTCAAATGAAGNTCGGTTCCTTTTTCGTTGCTTGACAGGACTTTGAAAGCTACTGAAGCTGGAGTATAGATGTGACGGCTTGCCGTAGACTGCTTTGCGAGGCATTTTGGCGAATTATGGTTTGCTGAAGAACGAATGTTGGTACAAGAATGACAATGGCTGGCTGGCTTGTTGTGCTTTGCAAACAAACGACGTTGTCGGGGCAAACTCAAATTCGACCGTGCATTCCCTACTCCAAGACCATGACTCGAGCTTCATCTATTCTACACGCGAACCAACTCCTGAAACAAGTCAGGATATTCAGAATTTCTACTGAACATGGCCTGCATCGTTGCTTGATTCCTGTTCATCTGTACATATCCTGTTCGAACCATGGCGCCCAAAGCAGCCGTCTCACCAGCACCACCAGCCACCAAGTCTGAGTCGGATCCTTTTCTCTATGTCTTACGGGCTATGTGCATATTGGAGCTGGCCGCCATCTATTCATCTTTGTCACAGCTCACTCTGGCTCCTGTCTATGGATCAATCCCCTCATCCGTCTTCCACGATGAGATTACCTCCGTCATTGTCCTTTTGTCCCTCACCAGGACCAATTTTCTTTCGCGCTACATGCCAGCTAAAGTCGAGTACTATATTCCCATCTTGGCCTCGAGCATTCCCATGATCCAATCCTACTTGTTCAAATATAGCACCAAGCTTGGTGTGGAATCCGGACCTCTTCTCACTGAAGGCCTTACTTACTACCCTCTGCTACTGATGAGTACTTATTCAGCAGCTCGTATACTCCTGGACGCAAAGATTGACCAATACCTGCACGCTGCTATGGGCTCTACCATACTTGGCCTCTCCACCTACGGCTTCTTCGTGCTGGTTCGTTCTAAATCCAATCTGTTGATTTCTCAATTCTTTGCACTTTCTGCTACATTCACCAGAGTTAGCCTTCAATGCGTTATCGGTGCCTTGTTCACCATCTTGTCGCCATCAAAATTGAGCCTCCTTGCCATACCTGCCATGATTCATACCACATGGTTCAACCCGCACTTCGTCTCACCACACACGGACGTCTTAGCCAATTCGACCCTTCAAGCAAATCAGTGGAACCTCCTGGAGCGTGCCGAGTCTAACACTGGCTATATCTCAGTCTTGGACAACCTAGATGCTGGTTATCGAGTCCTCAGGTGTGATCATTCCCTTCTGGGTGGAGAGTGGTTGATTACAGACGAGAGAAGGAGACAAGGCATAACTACCTCTGAACCGATCTACTCAGTCTTTGAGATCCTGGAGGCTGTCCGCTTAGTCGAGACTTCTACCAGCAGCGCTCCGGACAACGAAAAGAGTGCGCTTGTAGTGTAAGCCTATCTCCATTTGTGTCGTAGCAAACCGGCTGACATTATGTTTTTGCAGNNTGGTCTAGGTATTGGTACAGCACCTAAGGCTCTTATTGCCCATGGTATCGACACCACAGTCGTCGAACTAGACCCTAAGGTTCACGAATATGCGACGAAGTATTTTGACTTACCTTCCAATCACATCGCTGTATTGGAGGATGCCGTGTCTTGGGTTCAGAATGCATCCACAAGTGCTACCAAGCAGTACGACTACATCATTCACGACGTCTTTACTGGTGGCGCTGAACCCCTTCCCTTATTCACGAACCGTTTCCTCGGCAACCTACGCTCTCTCCTCAAACCTGATGGTGTCGTTGCTGTCAATTACGCTGGCGATCTTGCCGACTCTTCTACAAAGCAAATCATCAATACCATCAATCTGGCATTTGATCGTCAATGTCGCATGTTTCGCGATACCGAACCATCCTCCGAGCAATCGTCCGAGACAGAAGCCACTGATTTCCTCAACATGGTCATTTTCTGCAAGAACACTGTTGACGGCAAGCTGGAGTTCCGTGCGCCTGTCGAGGCAGATTANCTNGGTACTGTATCGCGCAAACACTATCTTGCGCCCAAGGAAGAACTCGAGTTGAAGTTCCCTACCGAGGAAGAAATGCAAGAGGAATCAGTTCAGACATTGACTGTGGACAACCTTGCCGAATTTGAGAAGAAGCAGATCGACTCTGCCAAAAAACACTGGAAGATAATGAGGCTGGTCGTACCGGATTTTGTTTGGGAGCTCTGGTGATATTGTTTGCATAGTGTCTATAATATCAACGGTCTGACTCCCCACTATCTGCGCCGAGAACTAGAGACTCTTTAAGGTGGAGTTACGTGCTCAGAAAGCGTGTCAAGCTTATTTACCTCAATCAACCTCAACTTCGCCACAAGCAAGTGGTAACAATCAAACACATCTTCAGCTACCATTCATTGGGGAAAAGAAGAGTCATACGCGGTAATTCATGAAGGTCTTTCTCCAAACTTCTTTCTTCACTTCTCCACTTCACAACACCACATCCAGCGAGAACCTCGTAACACAGTCTCCAGACAACATGGCCACGAAATACAAGTTCACCAAGGAAGAATGTCATACAGTCCACTCCGATACAATGCTGCGTCGTATGCTCTCAATGACAGCAGTGTTACCTACGTCCGCAGATTCTGGCTCGCGAGTCTCAGGCCACACCCAAATCGGAAAAGGACAATGTGGTAAAACTTACACGTTGCTACGTAATGTCGACCAAGTCTACAAAACGCCAAACTCGCTAGAAAAGATACCTGAGCTGCAACGCGACTTTCTGTTCCACACCGCTGTTAGTGAGGCTTTCAACAATGCTCCAGAGGCTTTGTCAAGCAAAGCGCTGGTCCCTAGATTGCATGGCTACAAGTCTCAGTCTGTTGAGGGTGATTTGATAGCCTACGAGATACAAAGGCACAGTCGCGGGCAGATAGATCCCATGGCGTACAGGAGTCACAGACTAATGTCAGAACGCATATATCCGCTGCATGACCCCATACCAACGGCTCTGTTAGAGTCTTTGATACCTGAGATAACACCGATTCAGAGAGAAACATGCTTGAACAACCCTACAAACAACAATTGTCTAGTCCGCTTGTATCTTGGATGTCGAGGTGGGAGTAGGAGCAAGATAAACCCCGAGATGATGAGTCTCCGCAACTTCCCTCTGCATGTCGATGAGATGGAGCGACTGTGCTTGCCAATCACCGCTTACATAACGACAATTGCACAATCTCTGGCTCTCATGCACTGGAAAGCTGGGATCGATGCCAATGATGTCGAGTTCGTGTTTGGCAGCTCACGTAACGACAGCAACAGCGAAGGCCACACCGTCTCTATTTGGCTACTGGACTTTAACCAATGTCAAAAATTCAGCCACGATCAAGCTGGACTAAAGCAGTTGGTGGATGGCTTCTGGTGGAATGACCCTTACTATCCTCGGCCTGGTTCTTCGAACTCACAAGATAAGGTGTGGTGGACTACATTCCTGAGCAAGTACCTGGATGCAAGTGCTTTGCTGACCGACAGCAAGATGCCGAGAGAGTTTATTCAGGCAGTTGAAGCAGAAGGTGAGCGTCGGCGAGTGAGGCCTTCGCTGTTTGGGTAGTCTAGACACTCCATACGTGACTGGCTTTCTTACCGTTCAATGAAAAGTCCTTAATAAGATAGTCACGACTTCCTCTATACTCCAGTACAAATGACACGCACAGTTGGTCCCCAATACCACCATTTCTATCTTTTCTTGGTCCTCTGTGCACAAGTGATTCTATATCTGCTATGCTGACACCCTGGGACCATTAAAGCGTTCTCAAGCTTGTCGTGTTTGCCCTGCTCTTTTGACGACAATCATATTGTATCTATCAAAGAATATCTTACAAAATGGCGCTCTGGCCGAGTGGTTAAGGCGTTTGACTCGAATTTTATTCTGATATCAAATCCTTTCGGGGGCGTGTGTTCGAATCACACGGGCGTCGACATCCTTTGCTTTTTGCACTATGTCGATGGTATAGAGAAAGAGAGGGTGTTTGTTTTGGTCGGGAAAGTGGTTGGAAGTGTTGGGGGTGAGTGGTGGGTGATTAGGGTTGATTTTTGATGAAGCTTCGTGGATTTGGTGGATTGCGGTGGAAGGAAATTGCACATGTGACAGGGACTCAATTTCACATGCTTCGAACGTATTTACCGATTGGAAAAGGCAATATGAACAATAAGTGACTGTGAAGAGCAAACCCGATCGAAAGACAAGACAGCATGAACTGATTGATAGTCGGAAGTCGAGGCTTCTGGACGCCGAACCTCGGCATCTCTCGTCGCGCTTTCCCAAGAAATATTTCTTGGAACCTACTTGGTCCAGCATTGAACTGCATAAATCATGTCGGCAGCCCAGCGCATGCCCATCCTAGGAGGCACACTCGCCATTGGAATCACTGGTGGTGCTATGGCCTTGATTCCTTCCTTTCGCGAGGCCGTGACACGCTATCTAGGCATCTCAGCTCCAGGAGGTGTTTGGCGCATCCTAGCCATCTTCTTTGCATTGCTGAGCATCAAGAGTTTGCCATTTGTGTGGCATGTAAGTCACAAACACACCTCTTCTAGTCGATGTCCTCTCTAACTCTCAAACACANNGTTCCGCGTCTTCAAAAATCTCATCTGGCATCTTTACCTCCAACCCACCCAACTGCCTCCCTCCCACCTCTTCGCCCCCATAATAACAACCTCGCACAACTCCATCTCCGAATGCGACTACAACTTCCACAAGTCCAACTCGACCTACTTTGCCGATCTGGACGTCAGTCGCGCTGCCTTCGTAGGCGTATTGCTCAAAAAGTCTCTCGCACGCTTGAATGGCGGAGACCTAACCGGCCTCCCCGAAGAAGCCAAAAAAGTCAAAGGAACATATATCGTAGCATTGGGAGGTGTAGGCTGTATCTTCAGGAAAGAAATCAAACCGCTTGAAAAATTCGAGGTTTGGACACGGCTGTTGACTTGGGACGATAAATGGATTTACATCGTCAGTCATATCGTCAAGCGTGGAGCAAAGAAGCCTTCAAACTATTTCTTGCAATCGTGGAGAAATGGAAGAGGTGGAAAGAAGCANAGTCAAAAAGAGGGAGAAGACAAGATCAAGAGCATTTATGCTACCAGTCTTGCTAAATATGTGGTTAAGAAGGGACGCTTGACGATTGCGCCTGAGATTGTGCTTAGGAGATCGGACTTGTTGCCTGAACGACCTGCCAACCAACCTGCCGTTCCTGCGCAGGTATCGGACACACCTACGCCTGAAGGAGGAGAAAAGCCATACATGTCGAGTCCGGAGAACCTCGTTGCGCAAGTCATGGGCCAGCTCCGATCTGAAAACATGTTCGACAAGGAGCAGGCAGCCAAAGAGGGAGAAATGACTTGGAAAGAGGTCGAGACAAAGAGACTCAGAGGACTGGAGATCGCTCAGCATTTCGACGGCCTGACTGCTCTGCACGGTGAGTGGAACGCCGACGACAATGTCATTGGCGAGTACGGAGATTTCTTCTGGTGATATACAGATAGACATATACACATAGAAATGATACCCTTGCATCAATCAGACATAATTCAGGCATCGTACCGTTATTCAAAATCTCGTAGAGTTGCACGAGATCATAAGGCACTTCGTACGCTCATCTCTTTGAAATAGGTAATATTGTGTACGAGAAGGGAGACTCGTGGCATTGTGATATCACGGTTCTGCAGCTATTTATTTTCGAAGCAGTCTCATGTTGCAAGCAGCTAACTTTTGAGAAGCAGAAGAGCACTCGATTTGTGCCATTGTAGAAAAGGCTTGAACAGAAAGAGACAGCGGCATGGTTACGTACAAGTGTTCGACATCAAGGAAGGAAGGCATAAACAACACAGAGTCGATAAGAAAAGGAAAAGAAGAAGAAGAAGAAGAGAAGCGAGAAGAAAGAGCAGTGGAACACCAGTTCCTTGCTGAAATGCAGAATGAATCCAAGTCCTGAACGCCTCCCTAGTAATCGAGTGTGATTGAATCATCCGCCTCGACCGGGGTATGCTCGTCTTTTCGCTGAACGCTAAACACTGAGAAATGAAATTGACGACTGAGAGATTATTTGCTGGCCCGCAGCATACTCTCATCAATCCGGTCACCATTGGGCAAACGATCCTTCTTCAAGCATTGACCTTTGCGGCCGACCTCCTCTCGTAGGTGATTGAGCTTGTCTTTATCGCCGTTCCAGCTGAAGTCCCTGCTCCAGAAGCCACATCCGATGTTGCTGGTCTCGCCGCGCCAGTAGGTCTGCTTCAAGCCAGCCTTGTCGACGGGCGGACGCCATTTCTTATTGTCCAGATTACTAATCAGACTCTCGCCCTCCATATGATGCAAGAGTTCTGGATTGACAGTGAAACAGCGGAGACCCTTGTCACGGCAAGCAGTCAGAATAGCGACGTCGTATGCGTGATCAATGTTGCCGCGGTTGCCGCTGATTGGGGCGTATTCTTCGACGAGCCGTCTGGCCGAGGCGCGAGTGACAGCGTAGCCAAAAGTGCAAAGCGGTGAAACGGACTTGTGGACGATGCGCGATTTCTCAGGTACGTCGAAGGCAGTGAGAAGAGAAGAGGTGAAAGGGTGCAGGTCGGTTCGACGAGGCAGAGTCTGATCGGGGTAGACGATGTGAGGAAGCTCGGTCAGATTGTTAGGATGAACAACACCAACCCCAACGGGCTCGTCCATGGTTGTGAAGTAGTCTCCACAGTGTCCGACATAGAATAGCTCCCAGTCGTCTGGGTGTCCCCAGTAGTATTCTTCGCCAGCTGGAGGCAGCAATGCGCGAGCAGCGGTTGCGGCGAGAGGGACTTGTTGTGTACGCAAGCGGATGTCCCAGTCGACATCATCTTCTAGGATCAGGGCCGTCTCGAGGCCCGACTTGAGGAACTCATTGAGGACGAGGTTGTGGCTCAGCCATGCGCGAACAGAGCCGTTTGTGATGGTCGACTTGTCGTCCTTGCCCCTGAAGGCCATAATTTGATCTTCTGTCCATGTCGGTAGAGTTGGGATGGTGAAGTGTAACTCGGTAACGTTGGCGGACTGGATCAGGTTGTTGCGGCGAGGACTTCCGGGGCCAGAGACAACAAACAAGCCACCGAATCCCAAGGTCGAATTGGCCGGGGTTTGGCGGTTGATGGAGAAGGAAGGGATATTTGAGCTGACGCTGCTTCTGAAGTATAGAATCAGAGTGAGAACACTCAGTCCTATCAGGACGTAGAGCGGCGGCAATCGAGGCGTAACCATCGTTGCTGTGAGGAGAGTTGTCGAAGGACGGGGCGGCGTTGGAACCTTTGGGGATACGAAGAATAGACGCGGCGCTATCAGCTGGAGTCAAGTAGTTGCGATGCGGGCATCTGCCAAGCGGTTTGTGGCTTGGTAGCGGCGTCCAAGTGCCGGTACAGGAGATGAACAAGTCCTGAGAGGGGCCGTTGCGCTTCGGGGTTGAAGATGTTGGGAGGTGTTGGGAGGGAGAGAGAGGACGAAAGTACTCTCTTGTCAAGGCTGAGCAATGAGGAGCTGCATGGGGACATTGAGGAGTCGCCGCGCAACCCGTCCCACTTGGAAGGGCTTGGTGCGACAAACATGGAGAAACCTGGTCAAGATCGCCCACAATAATCTCTGGCCCAAATCCTCATCCTGTCAGCCTGTCAGACGCTCGTGTGAAACAATCAAAATTTCCATGTCGATTGGCTTGGTCAAGATCGCCTGAAACATCTTGCCATAATTCATCATTCGCTCACGTGGCTAACAATAAATACGAGTAACGATGCTTTAGCGATTCCTACATTTGACGAACAACCAAAACTGTCATGGGGATTGGGGATTGATGCTGACTACTCGAGTACCTGTTGTCAGCTCAAGTTCAGCCAGCTTACCAAGTACTCCATGGCTTGCATATCGAAATGCAAGACCCTTGTACAATGAGCCGCATTCTCAGCTGCCCTTGTCGGTACGCACGTGGCCAGTTTGAAGATCGTCCTTGCCCTGCAGTGCCGACAACGTCTTTCAGCTCGCTGTTTTGCTGGATCTCCAAACCTTCTTGCCTTCAAGCCGCAATCGCAAATGTCGCCGTTGTGCTTTCAGCCGAACCTCAGGTCTTTGCGACATGGCTTGCTATATCTTGGTTCACGGTTCATGATCAAAACGACTATCAGCTAGACTTGATTACATGTGCTTTCACAGTATGCAAATATCTCTTCATGAACAAGAGAGAAATTGTGTGTAACATGTATTGGTGCTTGACTGCATTGATCTTTGGTATTGAGTGCTGTATTATGGAAAAGGGTATGAGTGTGTCATTATCTTCATCCTCGTGATCGTCTTGCGGGCTCTCCCTTCTAGCTTATCTTGTCTTTCTGGCAATATCGAGATGGAACTTGTGGAAGTAAGTTCGTGTACCTGCCCAAGATTACTTAACGACAGTCATGCCGCGGCGAGCACGACACGCTTTCTTCTCTTCTTCGTCTGCGTGTTCATGGTAAAGACACAGATCGACCTCGTAGGGTGCGATGTCCTGGTTCTTGCATGGGTGATCATCATCAAGCGAGACGTGGTTGAGCAANNAACCCTCTTTGTAGCAGAAGTTACACAGATTAGGAGGCACTCTTTGTCCAGCTGTGAGCAGGGCTGTGATCGCCATCTCGTGAGGTATATGTCCCCAGAACCTCCTGTCAACCATACTGTGTTTGCATCCATACGCTAGCCAATCCACAACGAATTTTCTGAGAGGTGATTCTGCTGTCGTATTGGCGTCGATATAGTGGTAATCGAACCCACAAAGACCAACACCAGATTTGAGCACACCGGAGACTAGAGCATCAATACTGCCAATTCTGAGCTCCTTGATGTCAAGACGGTCGGCGAGTACGTGAAGCCCAGCCAGCACGCTCCTAGGCCATGTCGACGTATCTTCGTCAACTGGTAATTGGATGTAGTTCTTGAGATAGGGGTACGGCCAGCCACGGAAGTCTTTTTCGATGTTCGAGTTGTCGTCGGAAGTGGTGTAGACAATCTTGCCGTTGTAAAGCCAGGTAACGAGGATTCTGAAAAGAACAGGGGACACATCCTCGAGTTTGACGGTGCCAGTTCTGCTCTCCTCGAAGGATCCATTGAGTGCTTTGTTGAAGTACTGAGATTTGCTGCACAGTAATGGCTTGTGAACCATGAACTTCTCATGTTTTGGGCCAACCAAAATGGTGGCCATTTGTGAATTGTAGAGAAATCTGGATAGAGATCAGTTTCTAGATGCACAAATCAATGTGGTAGAGCACGTACTTCATCTTGAAGATAGTAGTTGAATGTGGTGGAATGGAAGGGTATTAGTGCTTGTAAAGGGGTATCATTGGTGCTGGGGGAGAGTGTGATGTTGTTGAAAGAAGGAAAAGAAGCAAGGAAAGCGGACCAGGGTTGAAATAGTCGCAGAGTGAAAGCTCAGGTCCAAATGTGAGACATTGGACCAGAGTGACGGAAAGAAGACAAGACTGTGAGTGACTGCTCAACAGACACCACAGTCGCAGTTTGGCAAGTTGTGGAATACGTGATACAAGTGAAGGGCAAACATGCGGGCTGATCTGAAGTGACCACCAGAATGGCCCCAGAGGAAGTAGTGTCCCTGGCGAAGGCCATCTCTGTTGACATGGTTTCCGCGTGGCCTCCACCAGAGTGAATAGCCCACGGGCAGATCCACAAAGACGACCTCCTGACCACCTCCATGACGACGGGCTAGTAAGAGTCAGACAGTCAGGTTCATGTGCATGCTTGACGATTGTAGGCTTTCGTGTGTCGAAGTCTGTACTGTGTCTAGTCATAGAAGTGCATAGTTTGTTTCGAAAAAGGCAACACCCTGAGCATTGCAGTTTGAGCTGCTCTCTCTTTGCGCGCTTCTCTGGATCGGAAACAACTGTGCAACTCTACAACTAGACGCGATACAACTAAGCGAACAGAGATGGTAGATAAAACTTACTGTATTCGTCGCCTAGGTTGCGAAGGTACACCCGCGCACGGAGGTCACCAGGGACGAGGTACGTGGCACCGTCCTCGAAAGTTCTCAGGTGCCATTCGCCCCTGATCTGAGTCGTAACAGAGGGCGAGACTGAGCTCGACCCTCTGAGGAAGAGGTTGTGGTTGTGGTGGCTGGGCGGACATTTTGTTGACGAAAGCGGTTAGCGTCTGTCGGAGTTCGGCAGGCGGCTGAAATTCGGCGTTGTGGGGTTTGTGTTGTGCAAACTTTGTGCAAACGCTCCTTGCCCTAGCTCAATCGGCGAAGGCTGGCTTTCACGGACATCATCACGATTTTCTACGAATACACTATTGAGAACTCAGATCAACATACATTAGCAGGGCAGCATTTTCACTGATGTCCCAGGCTAGTGTCAGTTTGAGCTGCCGTATGGTAGTCTTTGTTTCCCTACTCTGCTTTGCTTTGTACTGTGATCAGCGACCTTGTTCTATGCTCAAAGGGCATGTGTGTCTGGGAAAACCACAACGTGTATCTCAGAGCCATGCCTGTGTCTCTACCTATATCCCTGTATGCTTCATCTCTCTTCGATGATTGTCATATCCGTCTACGGAACCAATGCACGATCGAAAACTCATGTGGTATCATGAAAGGCGATACTACAATGCAGCATCCCTGTGCCTTGCCTGTGCTGGCACACCTTTGATCCCTTATCAGCTATTGCTACTTTTGTCTACTGAACCGATTCATCGAAGTTTTTACAAATGGTATCGAGGAGAGACGATGAGCAACCTCTGAAGCCATCGTCGTCGACCGGATACAGGCAGCGACAGATATCGGACGACTCGATCCGAGGACAGGTAGAGCGAGTTTTGATTGCACTCGATGTATTGACCTATTGGCCAATGGCGAGGTTTGAACGAATTTTTCTTTGGGACCGAGGACACCATTTTGTCTTGAGCTTCATTCTGGAAATAGGAGTGATAGTTATTGATTGCGAGAATGGGATTGACCTTGATTGCTACATCCTCATATCTGTTTGTGTGTTCTTGCCATAGATATCTTCTCTTTTCTAGGCCACTGCCCATTTCGCTTTCCCGAATCTTCCATTTCCTGAAAGCAGACTGAGATCAGGTAGCTTCCTTTCCTTCAGGTTTCCTTGCGATGTAATTCATTTTCTGCTTTGGTAAAATATAAAAGACTTTTTGAAAGATTCGCAAAGCAGAAACCCCTCCCTTAATGTGACAAAGTCATTTAGCTTGCACGACGAACGCGGCACACGTTACGTTCTTCTTCGTTGAGATGTTCGTGGTAGAAGCAACTATCCTTCTCGTATGGTGCGAAGTCGTCTTCCGCGCAAACATCATCGATGTCGAGTCCCTGCAGACCGTTCAGTAATATTGCTGTGTGGTGGCAATCTCTACAGAGTTTGATGGGCAGTCTTCGACCATTGATGACTACCAGAGCAGCCAAAAATTCGGCGGGATAGTTCTCCCACGAAGAAGCAGATTCGCTGAAAGCATGATGATATGCAATGTGGTGAACGACGAATCTTCTGAGGGGAGAATTTGCAGAAGTGTTCATGTATATGTACCGAATGTCTCTCAGGCCAAATTTCGAAGCGTCTCTGTCTATGGCGTGCATCAGAGCGTCCAGAGAATCAGCTCTGAGGCTTCGGACATCGAAGCGATCAGCGAATATGTATAATTTGATCAGGACATCACAGCTCCAGGAGTTGGGGTCTGCTTCTTTGTAAAGAGCAGAATCAGATGCAGAGGATGTCTTGGGCGGTCCAGGGTTCGAGAGAACGTCAGGTCCAGAGGCCTCCAACTCGGCAACAACGCTAGAGCGTTCAGTCATATCATCACTTGAGTCCCTTGAAGTGGCGGGCTCTTTGTTGCTTGAATGGTTCTGAGGTTCGCTGCGGAGTATGGGGTCTTGCTCAAGATCCTCCTCGGTAATCTTGAGGCTCTTGAAGTCCTCATCAATTGTTGTCTTGTCCGGCGGGGAGTAAATGAGTTTGTCATGATAGATCCAGGCAACGAAGATCCTGAAGAGGATTGGCGAGACGTCTGGCAGCTGCACGAAACGAGTGGTTGCCTCTTTGAACGAGCCGGAAAGGGCTTTGTTGAAGTATTGCGACTTCGCACAGAGAAGGCTTTGATGGACGACGAAATGCTCTTTGATGGCGCCGACTTCGATGGTGACCATGTGAGTGTTGTACAAGAGTCTGTGGGAGAACAGTCAGCATGGAAATAGTGCGATTCATTTGCACCAAACACACTTCAGTCTGTCCTGGGGGAGTTTTCCGGTGGTGCTTGGGGTCGTCATCTTGGTGACTGTTGGTGAGAACACTCGTGAAGACAACCGTGGCGTGCTGATAAGCGATGCTTGGAGGTGTGCGCAATGCTGTTGTGAGAATCCGGGATAGTAGACTATATGTGATCAATGTGTGTGAAACTGCTGTGTGAAAGAGAAACAAGACAAACGGAAACTTCCTCTTTTGTGAAAGTGACGGACGATTCACTTCCTCTGAAGAGTGGTAGAGAGACATCTATCACAACAAAGAGCACAACTATCGCCAGTTTGGCACTTACATCGGAATCAAAGACACCATTACATTATCACTACTTAGCGACACCAACACAACATCCCAACAATCCTTTTTCCTGCGTCAACACACACAAGCCACAAGACATCCTCAATGAGAACGCTGAACCTTGCGCAAACCGAACTGACCAGGTCTCATCGTATGAACGATCTCCAACTCGCCATACTTGTTGATGGTAGGAATATCATTAACCATACATATAACACTGCCACTGTTACTCATTAGCATTAACCCCTTGACTCCAAATCCAAAAGAAGAAGAAAGAAAAGAGTTGTTTAGAAAGTGGTAGAAGAGTTGGTGAAAGGTGAAACTCGTTGAAACGTCGATGCCAGGGATAGGAACGCGAATTCAGGGAATGTCTCCATATTCATCCATCATGCCATGTCGACCATGTTCACCAAGGTCGACAAGATAAGCCATTCAAGCATGCAGTCTTAGCGCCGATAGCTGAAAACTTTCCCAAACTTGTCCATGGCGATCCTTGAACCAGCAGCACAGATGTAGGAGCTAGAAGTTTGGCATTCAGCAAGAGACTCAAGAGGAAAACGCAGAAGCAGCGAAAGAGCAGCGAACAACAGGCAAACTCAAAAACAGCCGCGTGAAAAGACTAGGGAAGCGACTACACTATCCGTGTAGTGCCATCGCTGTACTGAATCTGCCATTGCCCGAGTCGAGACTTCGCAAGGCCGGCATCCGCAGGCACAGTAACGCTGCGGTTTCCCAGGAACGTTAAAAATTTACGTCCAACCATTCAAGGATTGAGGAAGAGGAGAAGCGAAGACTTGATGGACCGAGAAGAAAAATCCTTAGACGACCATTCTGCCGTCTGGCGACATGACCTTGAACTGGCTATACTTGTCTTTCCAGACACTCGAGCCTTGGATGCAAGTGATTCTATCGCGCAGACAAGATAAGTCAACACAAGGTTAACAAGCGTTACAAGCGTCCGGATTTTTGTTGCTTATGCGAGTCCAGGTGGTGTGTAGACGTGCATCTTGCCACATTTGTCCTGTGTGACAACCTCGCCTTTTCGACAGAAGATCCTTTTGACGATGGTGAGCCACATGTAATGGCAACAAAAGAAACGGCGGGCAGAAAGTGGAGGAATAAAAACCAGAAGAAACAGGAAAGAAAAATGGTACTAACCCTTTGTTTGCATTTTCGATGTCGAAGCCATCGGGACCCCAAACCTCTTCCATCTCCTTTCTCTTCTGGCTCTTGGGCTTGTTCTGCTTGATCCGCATCTTCTCGAAGAAGACATAGGCTGAGTAGAACACTGAGCTGGTGTTGCCGGCATCGGGCCCTTTCTTGCCTCTGAAGGACTGCATTTGAGAAGCACTGATGCCTTTTGGTCCTTTGTCGGTGTGGTACTGTGCGAGCAGATCGCGGCCGAATTGTGCTTGTGTGACACCAGGTTTCTTGAGGTATGCTGTGATTTGACGGCGAATGTCGTCGCAAGTGTCGTATACGGGGACTGAATCTGTGTCCTCGCCTTTACAGTCTTCATTAGCGAGTCCTTGCTTTAAGAGCTCAAGCCATCGTTTTCTTACCATNNCGAGATGAATATCGCTCAAATCAAGCTTGTCATCCTGGGCCTTGCCGCCCTTGCCATCCTTATCATCATCCTTAGTCTTCTGCTTCTTCTTAGTCGGAATCTTAATCCCAGCATCCTCTCTTTCCTTGAAGAACGCATAAGCAGCAGGATAAGCAGCACATTCATCTCCCTTCATAGTTCCATGTTTATGCATAAACCTGTACTAAGCATTACTGCTCACATTAATAGCACTACAAAACTCTCCAACTTTCATCTCGCCAGACTCAATCAAGCGGTTGATCTTGTTGCGCACGACTTGACAGCTATCAGTGACAACGGTGTAATCGTCAAGAGGATCGGCTAGTGGGTGGGCAAGTCCTGTTGCGCCCAAAGACAACTCATCATGGCTGCGTTTGGTCCCTAGATCGGCACTTGTTGGGGCTGCAGGTGTGTCTTTGGTCAAGTCGATTTGAGGGACGCTGTCCTTGCGAGCTTCTGAATCTGCGCCAGAAGTAGGGTTCTCTCCAGTGCCAGTTTCGGTGGAAGTGTTTTCGGTAGGGGCATCGAGCTTTTCTGCAGTGTTCGCTACTTCTGCCGCGACATCTGCGTTGGCTTTGGTGTGAGGGGAGAGAGGTTCGCTTGTCTCAGCCATGGTTATGGTTGTTCAGTTGATATATTCTTGAGATGAATTTGGTATACCACAGAGTATAGATGTGGAGATTTGAGAGCAGAATCTAGAGAAAATTAGGAATCAATTCAACCTACCAAAGAGCAATTGAGCTCTTTATGAACCATGGTCGGCGCGTAGGTTCGTCGATCTGCCCACCCTGGTTTGCGGTGACGTTGTTGTTGGTGTGGAGCTGGAGCTGGAGCTGGAGCTCAAAAAAGCAAATCCCAGAGCAAACGTCACACTCACGAACTCACGTGTCGAAAAGCGACATCTTGAGGTGCAACCAGACTGCAGGTGGATTGAGATAGATGACAAAAGAGATATCCTTTATGCCACATTTAGTCTACGAAAATGAATATGCAATACAAATGATCATACACGGGACCTGTTTCTTCGTTATGCCCATTGTTCTATGCGCCGCGCTTACAAGATTAGATAGAGAAAAAGCTTCCAATGATTCCATCCAAGCAAAAGAATCCAGTTCTTGATGGAGAATGCGTGCTGAAGAATGATTTGAAGAGGTGCAAAGATATCGAGGTTACGTCGCTTCGTTCGTCGAGGCACCTTCCCCATTACTTTGTGCCGGTGCTTCTGCGGTGCTCGCTGCAGGGCGAGGAGATCTGGGTGCTCCTTCAGCGCTGGCTCGTGAGACGCGCTTGGCCTTCTTCTCCTTTGCTGCCTTATCAGCATCGAAGTCTTTCCACTTGCGCCAGCCATCGAAGTCGATCAGAGCTTGCATGCAACCCCATTCCTTGACCTTGCGTTCAAGCCAAACGAAGTTAACGGGCTATAGAGTCTAGTTAGTGTCCTTGAAATTCCTGGAATTTGGGAACAATTAACTCACCTTTGTCAAGAAATCATTGCATCCAGCAGCCAGAGCTTCGTGTCTATCACTCTGCAAACTACTTGCAGTAAGTGCGACAATGATGACCGGACTCTTGAATAGGCCGCCATCAGAACTAAGCTTATCATCATCCTTCTCTTTCTTGTTCTCATCATACTCATCTTCCTGCTCTTTGCCTTTGCCGGTGTAGGGAGCAGGAGTGGAAGCGGTACTGAAGACACCAATTCCGTTCGCTCTTTCAAGGCGACGAATCTCTTNTGTTGCCTCCAGACCGTTCATAATGGGCATTTGAATATCCATAAGCACCAAATGGAAGCCGCCAGTCCGCCATTTATTTACGGCGATCTGACCGTTCAATGCTGTGCTCCATCTTACTTTCAGGCGCTTCATGAACGCCTCCAGAAGTCTCAAGTTGATGATGTTGTCCTCGACGATCAACACATTGATTGGGGGGACTGCGCCATCGAGCAGCGAAGGAGGGAGTGGCGTCTTTGCGCTACTGTTGGGAGATTTGACGGTCGGGGTGCCATCGGTAGGTGTGAGTTTTCTTTGACGCCTAGGGCGAGCAGGCTTTAGCGTGCTTTGACCTTGAGACGCTGGAGTAGGAGGGGTGCTGCCAGGATGCACAGGAGGCACCGCCTCTGCAGCAGGGGTGTTGGAAGAGCTGGNCGCAGGCGGAGCATGGCCCTGCTCTCCGGAAACGCTTGAACCGGCTCTTGGACGAGACTGCCGGATCGTAGGCAGGTGTTGAGAAATGGCTAGATTGGATGCATTAAGGGGCATGGATGCAGCTGGAGGGTTATGTGTCATGATGGTTGGAGAAGAAGTGTGCTGACGATTGAACTTGGGACGAGGATCACGAGGATCGCGATGACGACGGACGCTACCCGGCGATGGCAAGACAGGTATCTGGCCAGTGTTTAGCACAGCTATTGAGCGCGGCGCCTCAGGGTGTAGTGTCTGTTGCACTGGCGCTTGATTGGGTACATTTGGTGGAAGTTGGACTGCAGGCATAGGGGGGAAGTAGTCTGTGCCGGTCTCTGCAGGTCGGTAGTCGTCCAGAGCAGCATATGAAGCGCCATGGTATATACGGGGAGATGGACGAGGGGTGCGACGTGCAGGAGTTTCGATGAGGAGAGCTTCCTCGGCCGTTTGACCACCGGCATAATATGAGTCCAGGGTACGACAGACATCCTCGTCTGGGCTGAGAATACGCTCGGGTGCACGCTTGCCATTCTCGTCAAGTCTGCTGACAATACGCAGCACAAGATCGGGCGAGTCGTAACTCCTGCCCAGCGAATTGCCGTATTTTCTCATGACAAGATCTCTTACATCATCGATCAAGTCGTCTTCGCGCACAGTGACCATGGTAGGTGAGGCATTGGGCCTCTTGACCCATACTTTCCGTGTTAACATGCTGACGATGTTTGGAACGGCAGGAACAGTGGTATCGACGAAGTAGTCCGAGGCTTCGATGGTAGCGGGAGGAGTCGAGGGAGGCAGCGGAAATTGAGCAACAGTATTCGGACTGAGCAGTGCACGGATGATTGGAGCGTTCGCGCTGTTCAGGAGGGACTGACGGCGGACAGTGTTCTCGGATGGTCGTTTAGGCGGCAGCGACGGAAGACTCGGGGACGGCTGAGCGCGAACAGATATTGGAGAGTGAGGGCGCGAGTGGGCAGACTGAGGACGGAGGCTTCTTGTGCTGGCAGGGGCATCCTTGTCAGCGCGTGGGAGATTTGTAGGATGTGCAGCTTGGACGACATACTCGGCCTTGGAGTCTGTGGACTTCTCGGGAGTGGCACACTGCAGTATCAGGCTTGGCTTATCCGAGTGGCTCGAAGTCCCATTTCTCTCGTCGTTCGGATCACAATCGTCGACGCTCTGCTGGCCGGTGGGAGGTGGTTGAGAGTCGAGTGCGGGAGCAGCGGTAGTGCTGGTGCTGTTGCGGTTGCTGGCTGGACGGAGAGTGGGCGGGCGCGTTGTGGCCTCGACAGCGTCGTGGAAGTTGTCGTCGCTCTCCTCCTCTCTAATGCTGTCCTGGACACTAAACTTGGACGGACTCTTGAGAGCAGCGATATGCGGAGCGGATCGGCCGTAGTCGCGAGAAGTGCTTCTGCTGCCTGCTGCTTCGACTTGGTCTTGTCGCTGCGCCGGCTGGGACTGGGGTTCTGCCGAGGAGCTGCCTGTGCTGTGAGAGCGCTTCAGCAGCCCTCGAAAGGCCGCCCGAAGTCCTGGCATTGTGTGAGCAGAAGACGCTCTCTGCCTCCCAGATGCTTGCTGCTCTCCTGTATATTTCTCAAAAGTGTTTTCAATGTTTACGCGCAGCCGCGGCTGCCGTGGCTGTCGAGTTACCGCTGATTTGGACTGCACTCGATTGTCCAGAACTCACGGCTCGCCCAAAAGGCGCTTGGTCCTCCTTAATCTTCTCCTGTCATGGCCTGTCGCGAACTCGATACACAACCTGTCAAGCCCTCAATCCTACCCAACACTTACTCGCAAATCCCTCTCATTTGCTTGCACGTCTTGTCGTAACCCATTTCTGATGCTGCTACCTGATTCATCATGTTTGACTTGGTGTTTTGCTTTTCCTATAGGCAACAAAGCTATACCCTCGATCCGATCTCCTTCGCATCGTACTTGGTAAGACTTGTCTGCGACAATCGACATGCACCTCCCCTTGGCCTTGCACATGCATCCTCCGCCCCTAATCGTACAACCTTCTCAACCGGTTTGTTGTGTAGCTACCACATCCAACCATTCGAGTGCTACCTCGTAAGACAAATCCTGGCACCTCTTCATCTCAAACTCGAGTCCCTCGACTGCGCCTTCTGCACTGTCTGCTGCCTTGTCCGACATTGGTGACAACGCTATCTTCCAAGTATGCTTGTCGCCAATGTGACGGCGTCCCAAATCAAGCTCCTCTGTCACTCTCTTCTTCTTGGGGATTCGCTGGATGAACTGCCAACCTCTGTCTTTGTACTTCTGGTGAAGGATGACGCCGTTGAAGTAGTCTGGGATGCGGGTAGGATATGTCTGGCGTTTGATAAAGGTAGCATTGGGAAAGATGCTGTAAGCGTGATTGCCCGTAATGACATTAACCAACGCAGTCGTGTAAGTCGAAAGAGTAGAGTGGATGGGATGTTGATGGGTCAGGATGATTTCCAGCCTAACAATCTCGCCATCGACCACTTTGTCGTACTGATGAACCTATCAACAGTATTAGCAGTCATCGCCTTCCATATCCTGGAGGAAACTCACCATGTCGACATGAGTCCAGTTGTACTTCCCAACCTTACGAGAAGCAAGATCATATCCTTCGACCTCCTCCATGTAGCGGCAAAACGCATCAGCCTTCTCTCCAACCTGCACGCAAACATCTAGATCCGAGCCCTCCCATCGGACACGATCCATAAACTGCAGAGCAAAGCCTCCGGAGATAATGCCATCAAGTTCCGTCAGTCTCTTTCTGAATCCAACCGGGTCGTTGACGAATTGCTTGAGTCGATCGTTGATGTTCCAGGCGCCTCTGCTGACCAAGTTTTGATACAGGGGCTTGAGTGTACGGCAAGTGCGAGTGAGTGCGACTATGTCTTTGATGGGAAGGTGCGCAGTGAGGGTGTCAAAGACTGGCAGAAATCTATCGCTGCCAAGTATGGTGACGAGATTGGCCATGCTGAGATTGTTGTGGTTGTTTTGCAGGTGAATGATGAAGTGACTCTTGAGGCTGTTGAGGTAATAGCAAGACTGGTGTTCAATGAGCTTGATCAAAACACTGCGACCTGCGAGAGAATTTATATTTGCCTGTGACTGAAGAGGAGCATATGAAAGATGAAAAATGAGAGCTATGCTTTTGTTTGTGATCCAGTGAAGTGGTTCGCGTTTGAGCTGCTGTTTGATGCTGGCCCGGCCACAGCGAGAAGTTTGAATGACAATGCGATCTATCAACCAGCACACTTAATGTCGAAGCCTCGTTAGGGATTTATTTGCATCAAGCTTGCTTGGAAATAGTGACTAAACAGGCCACAATGTGTGAATGTGGTTGTCCAAGAATCAATCCAGTATGTGCCAGGGTGTGGGTCTCAGCAAAAAAGACATGGTAGTGGGTAGCAAGCCGACCAAGACGACAGCGAACACAATTTATAGTTCTTGTACTCAGGAAAAACACAAGCAAGGACAAAAACAGTAGAAATGTTGAATAACTATTGGCGACCGTAACTTCGTTATAGTGGTGGTACACATTCCCTTGCTTTCAAACCAATGACTGCCCATGTGTTGCAATCTGTTTTCGCTAAACACCACTTTCTCCAATCTATACCCGTTCTTGTAACTCATATATGCATCATTAGTTCTAATAATCTCTCGCATCCTGATTGATAGCTGGAAGAGCCAGCTGGATTATTACGCCTTGCTTTTAGACGATCTCATCTGCACCAGCGTTGTCCTGGTCAGGGTTCGCTTCCTCGTAGTTGAAGTACTTGCAGAAGCGGTAGTAGCCTGCAGCGAGGAGGGCGCCCATAATTGGGCCAATCCAGTAAANTCCTAAAACGAAGGTACATTAGCAAGATATGAAAGGATGGATTTAAGGACACCACGGCTTTGCTGAATGAATAAATTCGAATGCCAGCACCAGCCATGATGTTTGTCCCCTCGAATTGACTTACCAGTGAGCGTGATTGAAGCTGGCGGCAGCAACACAAGGACCAAAGGATCGTGCAGGGTTAAGAGAACCTCCAGTGTAGTAAACGCCTGACATGACTTGTCAGCACTTTATAGCAGTAGATGATGACAACACTAGCTTACCTGCGAGCTCAGCAACGAACAGAGCCAATCCAATACCGAGAGGAGCAAGGAACGTAGTCTTTGACTTTTCAGCCGCAAGCATGAGGACGGTGAAGACGAGGAACGATGTCAAGAACATCTCGAAGAACACGCCTTGTGCTTCAGACATGCCGGGAGCCAGGACGGTACGTGTGGCCGCAATGTCACCTGGGATCATACAGCTCACCAAAGCAGCAGCGACAATGCCCCCGAGAATTTGAGCCGGGAAAAGAACTAGACCTCTAATCCACGGGAGTTGACCAGCGCAGACCATACCGAGTGTGACNNCCTTCAACTATGATCAGCAACCACAATATTGCATTTGCATGATTTTGACTTACGCTGGGTTGAAAAGCCCTCCACTAATTCTGAACAAGATCCATACGGCGACCAAAAGCGACATGCCATAGCTCAGAGCGATATAGACGACCGTTGAGGCACTGTTGCTTCCATTCGGGCCCTTGTCGCTCGCTTGGTCAAATGCCATGAGTTGACCTGCGAACGCAAAGTAGAGGAAGAAGAAGGTGCCGACGAACTCTCCAGTAGCAGCAATGAAATGGTTTTTGATAGCATGGCCTTTACTCCTATCTCCTGCCATGGTCTCAAAAGGTTTCTCGACAGGTTTGCTAGGCATGATGGGCGGTGGTAAGGTGAGGTTGAACACGAAAATTGGTGGTTTAGCTGGGAACTTCCCTATGCAAAGGATGGATCAAACAGATATAGGAGAGCCAGCGAGGAATGAGATTTTTGTGACGATTCCTGTGCAGACCATCCCGCTTGAACAGCAACATGACGTTGTCCAAGCAAGAGGGATAATGCCAGTCGTCAACTCGTTGCTTAACGAAAGACGGATCAGATTTGGGTGCATGCCGCCCCGTTGCCGCAGCATAGGGCTGGCAAACCCTGTACAGAGCGTCGTTCAGAGCATGATTGGCACGGGATGGGCCTCGCGTGCGGAGGATGCGTTTCAGCAGTTGCGGACTCGAGATGTCGATTCAACGATTTCACGTCGGCGGCGATGCACATTTGCGGCTCGTGCTGATGCCGTCACGTCAGTGGGTGTTGTTAACGATCATCCCTGCATGAAACAGCCCATCCATCGTGGAGCTCAGAGATTCGCGATTCGAGCGGCCGCTGGCATTAAAGCCTCCATGGCAAGATTTGGGTGTGGACTGGAGGTTGGAGCACACTCGACGCGGGTGGTTGGAAATCTTGGTTAAACATTCTTCGGGGAATTTAGAAGGACCATCAAGCTCAAACCTCCACGGAAGTTGATAGAAAAGGTCATTCTCCTGTCAACCCTATCGGTATCTAAATTTGCTCCTGTTGATGTTCAGAAAACACAATCTCAACAACCCCCTGTGCCCAAGACGTTTTGCGCATCTATCGACATTACGTGCTGACTGGCAAGGAGTGGGTCGAACACAACAAGTCTGTGAGCGGGATGACCACAGTAAGACCGTTCCGCAGTACAAAGGAACAATAATGAAAATGTGATATTGATAAGAGGCTCTGGATCGTTGCTCGCTAAATGTGATCCTCCTGCATGAGCACGAGGCTGAAGTGAGGATGACGTCAAAATCATTTCGTACCCGATCCACTTCGACCATCCAGGAACTTGCATGTGAGCACTGAGCAACTCTTGCGGAGGGTGGTAACGTGATTGATGGCGTATCAAGCGCCGACAACCTGGAAGTTGGATAGTCAAAGGATGATCAAAGCGACTTTGAAAGTTTCTAGAATGCATGTTGATATTAACCAAATTTCAACTTCTTCTGGCCTTTCTCTGCCTTCGCAACACTTGGTGGTCGTCCTCGCCCTCTATTCTTGGGTTGAGTATTCGGGTTCGCACTTGAAGCCCGACTCTGTTCCCGAGAGGCTGCATTTGCTCTTTCCTCCGCTGCAAGGTCAGCCGCCAGGTCTTNTGCGAAGTGCCAATCATCATGTTCGCTCTGTTCTGTGACCAGTAACGTACTGTTACATCGTGGGCAAGTATACCGATCAGTGTCATCATCTGTATGTCGGCTTTGCTTCTCTGCATGTACTTCAAACATATCATCCGATGCTCCTTGCGCAGATGGAGGTACATCGAAGGGACTATGAGCCTCTCTCGCATCATCACCCATGTGCAGATTTTGCTCTTCTCTTTCGGAATGACCGCCTGAACTCTCTTGTCTCGCTCCGAAGAAGCGCTGTATGCCACTTTCCTCAACCCGCCTGCGCTTGTTTGGAGGAGGTGTCTCCGGATTGCGTAGATCTGATGGTTCCTTCAGGGCAGCTGATATTGCTTTTGCTTCGTCACCTCTCAGTAGAAACCCGCCAATACCTTTGTTGCCGGTCACACCTTCTTCGAAACCACTGACGCTCAATGAGACGTTCGCACACGGCCATGCTCGGCCTTCTGCAACGACTTGAGCAAGCAGTCCCTTGGCAATGTCGAACAGCAGAGTCTCGTCCATTGTTCTTCCCATCGGAATAGAAGCCGACTTACTCCTGGTCTGTGCGCCTTGCCTGTGATATAGGTTGAGCGTCTTTGGTCGTCTCTTGTTCTCCAAAACACCCTCTTCAACTAATCGGGAGAAGATATCGGCAACGAAGATGCGGATCCATCTCACAGCTGTGTCTAAGGTGTTAATAGAAGGTCGGAATGACTTAGCACTGAGCATCGACTTGATTTGCGTCCGAGGATTAACTTCACTATGGTCCTCGCCACGAATAATGTTGTAGAGCCATGTACCAGTATCGTCACCTATCTNTTTCTTGAGCTGTTCGACAGGCACTTCGAGCAACTCTTTGACTGTGTCTGTATTGAACGCTGCGACAATCTCGTCGCCGAGTTTACCACCGAGGTTTCTGATTTTGGTGAACTTGAAGTCGCTCAAGAAGTGGTTTACAGCCCTGTTACGGATGATGGTCTGCTGATTTGGCTTCTTGTGACCGGATCCAAGCTTCGCGAGCATCTTGTTCCGTGCAACTCCGGCCGAACATGTGTATCTTAGATCTTCAAAGATTTTGGCTCGGACCCCTCGTACAATCTCAGAAGCAATGACCATAGCAACATCATCCCAGTCCGGATCGTCATCCTCAGTCTCGGAAGAGTCCAGATCGACCAACGCATCGGTGTGCCATTCCAAGGCAGTGGTTGGGGGTCGAGGTAATTGTTCTGTAGGATCATCATACGGTGGAGGACCTTTCAGTTCTGGAAACCTTTCGAGCATGATAAGATGTACCTGAGTTGACAAGTCCAAGAAGACCTCGTCAATACTGGCCTTCTCTACCTTAGAGACGGGAGCGGCTGGTAAATGATTCTTGATCAAGGCCAGAATCCTCCTACTTTCAAGTCTGTATGGGTCAAGGCTGACCTTGTGTGTAGCCATGTTCTTGAAAGAATCTTCATGATATGCCCACTTCTCATCTCCCTCTTTCCAGGTAGCGACGTGTTGCATGATCAGATCCGGGCACTGCTTAACTGCCTCGGTGATGGTGACATGTCGATTAAGGCCAAATGCTCGCGCCGGATAGTTGATTGCGATAAGTCCCTGCCACTGTTGAACGGCAAGTGGTTTGTCGGGCGGAATGCCCAAACGGACCATTTCACACTGGGCGTAAAAGGCATCGAGGTCGATGTGAGCGATGACACGCAGCGGGCATGATGTAGCGGAGGATGCGAGTTGAGCCAAGTGTCGGTATGTAAATGCAGATTTACGACGGCGCTGTGAGCTTAGAGACACTGGGGAGGACTCGAGGAAATTCGGCGAAGACATGTCAGCCTTGTCTATAGGACTGTCCTTCAGTCCATGGATGAGCGACTCGCGTCACGCGTAAAGTGGCGATGTATCGAGAGCAGAAACACAGAGTCAATGCGATTTGGAGACTCGGTTGTGTTCAGACCAGAGGCGGTTGTGTACGTAGTATCAGAGCAGCAGTTGGCGATATAAATTATATGGATGTATGAACAATGAACCTTTTCTCAGAGGGAAGACGCGACGCGCTGCCGTCATGAATCTTGGCCTCGCTGGAGGGTCTTTTGATGAACATTCTCAGACAGACGAGATTGTGCTATGATTCAGAGCAATATGGTTGTCATTCGTACTGCGAAGCATGCTGAGCGAACAACAAGCCTGCTAAATCTGTTCTGGAGCCAGCATGAAGAGCACAAAGTCCTCAAATGCTTGATGTTCGAAAGATTCGTCTACGTCATGGAAGAGATGGTGTTTCTTCAGTAAACGTGCAAGTCGCAACCAACAGCAATTCTACCAGTCCTCTTAGGATCATACTTCTACTTCACCTCGAATCAACCTTGATATCAACCACAGGTTACTTAATATGTCTCTTCGTTCACCCACCTTCCTCATGGGACTAGCCAACCTGTTCGCAATCGGAGGAGCTACATATCATCTGCGAAGCCATCACATCTACAACCTTGAAGAACACGAAGCACGGATGGATGAGCTCGAGGGAACATTGAGAGGCCACATTGGACTCATCGAAGAGTCTCTTGAAAGATTGGAGGGCAAACAGATCACTAAAGGCCAGAAGACGTAAGTCGTAGCTTCCCCGCTGCTTCAAGACATAATACTGAACGTCGACAGCGAGGACCTGTACACAAAGCGAGGACGAGACGAGAAGCAGGACAAACAGAAGAAGCAGTAGAGAGGCTAGGACGTACGATTGACTCGTGGAGATAATGATAGTAGCAGTAGAAGAAGACAGACGACTGCCATGTAAATGTTATGCCCCATGCTCTTGGCGGGACGAAGTCCAAATTTGGCCCGTGCAGAAGGAAGGGTCTCGGATCCCCCTTGCTGGCTGCACCTCCCCATACCGTGACAAGAAGCAACCAGACACAGCAGTTGCTTCCACATCGAAATCCGTCGCCTTCACCACACTCGTTCCTTGTAATTGTTTGTCGCCATCTAGTCGCTTCGAATCCCCACACCCTCGGCACAACATGTCTTCCTATGTGCGTGCCCTCCGAGCTCAACATTGCTGTCTCTCGCGTGTCTAATAGCGGCTACTGACACAGCCACAGATCAGGCGCAAGAAGAACGTCAAGAAGGGCATCCAGTTCTGCATCATGGTCTGCGGTGCATCTGGAACTGGTGAGCCAAATCAACGACATTCCACTTCCCTATCCATCGACTAACTAATTGCGCCCAANGGCCGCACCACCTTCGTCAACACACTCTGCGGCAAGAGTGTCCTGTCCGGCGTCGAGCAAGATGACCCTGCCAATGCACACATCGAGGACGGTGTTCAAATAAAGCCCGTCACTGTCGGTACGACATATCAACATCTCCATCGTCGCCACTACCGTGATGCTCACACTTGTCCACANGAGCTCGAACTTGACGAGGAGGGTACCCGCATCTCGCTGACCGTTGTCGACACCCCTGGATTCGGCGACCAAGTCGACAATGAATCAAGGTGCTTAGCATTCACCTGCAACACAATCAATGGCTTCAGCTGACACGCATACCCNAGCTTCGGCGAAATCGTCGGCTACCTCGAGCGCCAGTACGACGACATTCTTGCTGAGGAGTCTCGCATCAAGCGTAACCCTAGATTCCGCGACAACCGTGTTCATGTTTTGCTCTACTTCATCACACCCACCGGCCACNNGGGTATGCACATCCCTTCTACCGTCCGCTTCCCCGATTGTTTCTGACCTCTTGCTACCAGTCTCCGTGAACTCGACATCGAACTCATGAAGCGCCTCTCACCTCGCGTCAACGTCATTCCTGTCATCGGAAAGGCCGACTCCTTGACTCCCGCCGAGCTTGCCGAGACCAAGAAACTGGTCATGGAGGACATCGAACACTACCGCATCCCCGTCTACAACTTCCCCTACGACATCGAGGAGGATGACGAAGATACTGTCGAGGAGAACGCCGAACTCCGTGGACTCATGCCATTCGCTATCGTCGGATCGGAGGACACAGTTGAGATCGGAGGTCGTGTTGTCAGAGCTCGTCAATACCCCTGGGGACTGGTCGAGGTGGACAACCCGCGCCACAGCGACTTCNNCCTGGCAATTAGGAGTGCCCTGCTCCACAGCCATTTGGCCGACTTGAAAGAGATCACACACGACTTCCTCTACGAGAACTACCGCACAGAGAAGCTTAGTAAGAGCGTCGAAGGCGGAGCCACTGCGTACGTGACCCAGGATATAGCATTGTTATCAGCAAGAACTAACGACTTTGGCAGCGATCACTCACTCGCTCCGGAAGACCTGGCGTCACAATCAGTCCGCCTTAAGGAGGAGCAGCTGCGCCGCGAAGAAGAGAAGCTCAAGGAGATCGAACTCAAGGTGCAGCGCGAGATCAACGAGAAGCGACAGGAGCTGCTGGCCAGAGAGAGCCAGTTGCGCGAGATCGAGGCCCGCATGCACAGAGAGCAGAGCGCTGCGCTCAGCGTCAACGACACCGAGTCAACTGAGGCCGGTGCCTAAGAAATTCCACGAAAGCACACCATGTCAAGTGTCAGTCTACCACACGGGCTTTCGTCCAGAGGGCTCGCGGGAAGAGTCCGTCTTTTTGTTTCGTTGTTCTTTCTCTGTTGGTTGCGCAAAGTATTCCCCCCTGATATTGCTGTATTCAAAGAAGGCCTACCTCTAGTCTGTAATACTACCTTCAAAAAGCACTTTAAACCATCGTCTCTGCTCCCAAATTATACCTGCCGTGCCAGCCTGGACAAACTCATGAACAGCTATAAGCAGAGCATGTGATTCTTGGCGTCGTCAACCACGCAGGTGTTCGTTGATGCCACATGTATCCGAGTGACACCCAACTGTAAACACATAACACAACCATGGCCGAACTTTTCGACAAGGCACCCGAATTGTCTCCACCCTTCGTAAACGTAACAGGCATCGCCAACTTCCGCGACATTGGCGGCTACAGCACATCCTCGGCAGACCAATCCATCCGCTCAGGCCTGGTCTACCGCTGCGCCGACCCCAGCAAAGTCCAACCGGACGGCCTCGCAAAACTGAAAGAGCTGGGAGTAAAAAAAGTCTTTGATCTACGCAGTATCCCCGAGATCTCAAAGCAAGGACCTGAATGGGCTGGTGTTGCTATCGAGAAAGAGGTGTTTACGACCAGAGAAGAAGGAGACGAGCGACCTGTTGCTGCAGACGAGATTGAAAGGATCTGGTGTCCGGTATTCAAGAACACGGATTATGGGCCTGAGCAGGTTGCCGTCAGGTTTCAGAATTATGCTAGGAAGGGGGAGTGAGGTGTGTTCTGCCTCTCCCTTGCTTTCTCAGCTTACAAGATATCAGACTAACCAAAGCAATACCAGGGTTTCGTAAAAGCATACTCGGATATCATGGCAAACGGTCCTACAGCCTACAAGACCATCCTTTCGCATCTGGCCCAACCAAATCCTTCTCCGTGTATCATCCACTGCACGGCAGGAAAAGACCGTACTGGCGTTATAGTCGCTATTCTATATCTCCTCTGCTCTGTACCCAGCAACACAGTCGCGAAAGAATACTCTCTCACCGATACTGGGTTACAGCATTTGGTACCTCTGTTTACCGAGCGCTTGCTCAAGAATCCTGCACTCAAGGACAATGAGGAGGGTGTCAAGAATATGATTTCTGCACAGCCTGAGAAGATGGCAGCGACCATTGAGATGATTCAGAATGTCTATGGTGGTGCGGAGGGTTATGTGAGGGACGTGGTGGGCTTGAATGATGAGCAGATTGCTCAGATCAGAAAGAATCTCTTGTCTGATGAGAAGGCTGTGTTTTAGACGTTGTCAGTCATATTCTTTGGTATCAGAAGAATATAGGGAAGTGGACCAGTCGTCAAGAGAGATTGAGTTTGTAGAAAGATCACAAACTCAGGTACATGGTCATTCCAGTTCTTCAATATACGACTCACATGCCTCGCCCATCGGCTCATGACGACAATCAACGATAATCAGAAGAAAAGAATATGTGCACCAGAATATGTAGCTATAGAGTGTTTCATTAATGCTTCTGGAAGCTGTTATCTAATAATGCTACCGATGCCTTCATTAATTCATGCTTTCGTTATTCATGCTGTCGTTACTCGCTGCTTTTTGTGGCACTGAGTGCATCTGAACACGCTGTTCACTCAGTCGTATCTCCTTCGGTACGCTCCAACCATGGTCGATCATCCCTGCCAACGCACTCTCTCGTTTCTCAGGAGGTTGACCAGCTCAACTGGCAACATCTCCTTCTCACCCAAGCCCAATCCACCAAATCTCTGCATGGCTTCGGCGGCATAGAGATGAACAGTCCAGCGCCAATAGACATCCATAGTCGAGAACTTAGTTTTGATGTGCTTGGATGCGTGGAACTCCAGTGGAAGTGTGTTCAGAGCATAATCGACGAAGCGAGTGTTTTCCAGTCCCTCGATCTTGGGCGAGGCCAAGAGGTCGTCGTAAGCCAGCTTGAGGGCTTCAGAAGTCTCCTCACGAAAGCGGACGTAGTCTTCGAAGGAGAAGAACTTCTCTGGGTCGCATCCCTGAGGCGCATCAACAAAGTGCTTGGATCTGTCCTTCTCGAATTTTTGCTTCCATTGGTCGTACGCCTCCTCGTCCCTCTCCCAGGCAATTTCGAGAAGGTCATGAGGATTCTCTTCAGAGTTCTCACGAGCAGTCATCAGAGGGATGAAAGGGTTACGCAGCTCAAGGCCGCCGAGCTCAACAGGCCAATACAGGAAGACATTGGCAATGTCCTTGGTTCCGAAACGCTCTTCAATGACGGACTTGAGGTAAGACGTGACATCCTCGCAGCCGGTAGTGTTGTCGTCGTCCTCGAAGAGCTTCTTCTGAATGTACTTGAAAGTGCTGAAGACCATATCGAGATGCTCAATGCCTAGGCAGTTGGCAGGGTGCGCAAAGTTGTTTCCCAAGAATCGACCCATGTAGCTGTTCCAGGCCTGAACATAAGAGAACACAGAGCGACACTGCGCAAATTGGAGGCGCATCTCAGCGATATGCTGATCAACATTGGCCATATCAACGATCCAACGGCCCTTGACAGGATCTAGGACCAAGAAGCCCCATCTGACAGGTCCTTTGGNGAGAGAGCTTGAAGGCTTCTCACCCTTGTCGCTGATATGAACAGATCCAGTCTTTTCCTCGTTCAAACCTAGACCCACGACACCTGTAAACTTCTTGATAGCCGCCCAGGCCAGCTCACAGTCTCCCTTCTGACCCCAGAACCAGACGTCGTCGTGGAAGCGGTAGAGCTGACAACGACCTTTGGTTGCCTTGCTGACAGCGAAATCGAGACAAGCGAGTATTATCTCGCCGAACACATCGCTGAGTGTCTGACTGATAGGAACACCACAAAGACGTGTACGGGGCTCGGCATTGGGACCGTCCTGTGGGAAGACAAGGGACATGGAGAGGAACTTCTTGAAGAAATCAATGTAAGAGTCCTCAACACCCAAGAAGTCCAGGACAGTAAAAATGGTACTGTGAGGAAGACTGGGACCGAACCACTTGAAGTCGGTTTGACAGAGGGTGAAGCTTCCGTAGATCTTTCGCTGAACCATAAGCTCAGTAGTAGCCAGTCTGAGAAGAGTCTGCTTGATCTCGAGGGGCGTCTTCTTGTCAGTATCTTCGTCGTCCGAGTCGCCGGGGGCATTGTAGTCACGATTACCTTCCTCGATCTTATCGGGAAGTTGTGTGAGGAAGAAATCATCCTTGAACTGTTCTCGACGCGCATGGAGAACCGAATCCTTGAAGTCGGTCTTGTGGGCGCGGAGGTAGAAAGCGAAACGGGCGTGGTCTTTGGACGACATTGAGCTGTGAGCCGACTTTGGCCATGCTTTGGAGCGAAGGAAACCCTTGAAGATAGCCTTGGTAGACACCGCGAAACGCGTGCCGATGTACTGCAAGAGAAGAGCTTGGTGAATCTCAGGGTTCATGTAAACTCTGTACTTTCCATTGATCTGCTTTCTCATGTAAGTTGGGGTTGGCGAGGGCTTCCAAGACCAATCGCCCAGATTCGCGAGCTCCATGTTGATGACATCGGCAACTTCTGTGAGCACGCCCTTGCCAGCGTTGCTGAGTGCAATCAACTCATCTCTCTTGCGACCGCTGAGTAGATCGGCTCTGAGCACAGCCTTGATAGCTTGCTCAACATCCTGACTGTCGCAAGTGTCGTCTGTGACATTCCACTTACTGAAAGCAGTCTGAAGATGATCAAAGGGAGTTTTCTGAACCTTTTTCTTCTGCTGAGGTTCAATGAAGAGGTCGGAGAGGTAGGCTTCGATGGCAGCTGTGTCTGTTTGGCGCTCGGTGAAGACGAAAGAGTCCCACTCCCGACGCTGGCGATACATCTCCTCACGACCAACCTGTACCGACTCAAAGCTCTCGGTATCCGAGGTTTCTGCAGTGCTGTCGCTTCCGAAAGGAGATCCAAGGAGAAGGTTGGCATCGTTAGGCTTATCGACCCATTCGGTAGCAAGGCGTGAGAACAAGTCCGTGTATTCGAATTTGTTAGACTGAATGGTAAGGAGACGTTCAAGATCGGCCTGCCAAGCTGAAGGAAGAGCCGAAGGGATAGAAGCGTCGAAGGTGGACTGGATGAGCATCTGACTGGTGTTGGACAGTGAGTATCCTCCGTTCGCTGTCGCTGCAGTTGTTGACTTCAGACCCAACTTCTTCAGGCCGTCAAGGAGCGTCTGAATGGGATCATCGCTCTTCTCGGTTTGAGATAGAAGCTCAGCCTTGCGTGCTTCGAAAGCCTGATGACGATCGGCCAGTTGGGACCGTTTGTATTTGGTGACATCGCGCAGCACTCTGGAAGCCATGTTGGGCGACTGAAAGAAGGCACGAAGTAGATGGGTAATGGAGGGTGGATGGTGGAGATGAAGGGGAGGATGAGAACTGGAGGGTTGACTTCCAGATTCCCCAGAGCGGATGCAGAGAAGAACTGAGAAGGCACGCTGGACATGTACTTATAGCTCTTGCCAGGCAAGACCTGCAAGCCAAGATGGCAAACGCAGGACGATTCACGGTGGTCGTATTGGGAAGGATCTAGTCTGGGCGACTCCCCTTCCACGGAAAGGAATCACAGCACTTGCTTGAGACGTGCGAAACAATACCTGCAGTTTGCTAATGGTTTTCGTCGGTGCCTTGTTAGCAGTGACGGTGTCTCGCTTTGGAGTCTTGGTCAAAAAAAGGGTCGCGGATCCCGGCACTACGTCATCGTTATTCAACATTTTGGTTGATTGTTACGCTCAACAGACAGAAGAGAAAAGAGATTGAATCTTTGTATAGATTCAGGCATGGGAAAAGGCACAAGAGGACGAGGTTGAAAGGCAGATTCAATAATTACCATAGGGGCTAAAGTTGTGTTGTTTCTATAGGAGAGCTGAATTTATCCACCACATTTATCCGCCCCGGAAGTACGACAGGGTCTGGTTGAACTCATTGTCCTTGCTGACTTATCTTTTGTGGATCATTGAAAAGAAGACTCGGTCGGCGGCGAGAATCAAGAGTTCCACTTCAATTATTTTCTCATACATATCATCATGGCAGGAACAGGACCTTTGTACATGGTACGGGCTTCACCACAGAGAGAGCCTAACCATTTGCTGACTTTCAATGCCAGNGGCTTTGACCTTTCCACACAACAGCTGAAAGGTTCGGAGACACCGCTCTCTAAGTACTTATGACGTGTCAATTGACTCTCAAACTCACANGGCGTTGTCGTGGACTCACAACTCAAGCATCAGCATGAAGCCAAGGTCGACTTTGACGCTGATTTTGGCGAGAAGTACGGCATTGAGAAGGGTGTTTTGACAAACCCTTCAGAAGGCGAAATCTATGCACCTGTGGGCATGTGGCTTGAGGCCGTAGATTTGGTACTATCAAGACTAAGAGAAGATGGTCTTGACTTCTCGCGAGTGAAGGGTGTGTCAGGAGCGGGCATGCAGCACGGAACTGTTTTCTGGAGTCAACAAGCCGAGAGCCTCCTTTCAAGCCTGGACGCAAAGAAGTCGCTGGTTGAGCAACTGGAGCCCAGTGCACACAAGGATGAGCGCAAGGGCGCTTTCAGTCATCCGGACAGCCCTAACTGGCAGGACCACTCAACTCAGAAACAATGTGATCTTTTTGATGCTGAGCTCGGAAGCCCGGAGACTTTGGCCGATGTCACTGGCAGCGGTGCCCACCACCGATTCAGTGGTCCTCAAATTATGCGATTCAAGTCCAAGTACCCAGAGCACTACAAGGAGACATCTCGCATCTCGCTTGTCTCGTCATTCCTCGCATCCGTCTTCCTTGGCAAGTTCGCTCCTATTGACATCAGCGATGTTACCGGTATGAACTTGTGGCACATCAAGGAGGGCAAGTGGAACGAGAAGTTGCTGGCTCTGGCAGCTGGCAGCACAGAAGGTGTTGCTGAGCTTAAACAAAAGCTCGGTCATGTTCCTGAAGATGGTGGTGCCAGTTTCGGTCACATCAGCAAGTACTTCGTGCAGCGCTACGGATTTGCCCAGGACTGCAACATCGTCCCAATGACAGGAGACAACCCTGCAACTATCCTTGCTCTTCCTCTCCAAGCCTCGGACGCCATGGTCTCGCTCGGCACATCAACTACTTTCCTCATGAGCACACCGCAGTACAAGCCTCACCCTGCATACCACTTCATGAACCATCCCACAACTGCTGGCTTGTATATGTTCATGCTGTGCTACAAGAACGGTGGTCTCGCCCGTGAGCACGTCCGCGACGCAATCAATGGCAACAAGACCGACCGCTCATGGGACAAGTTCAACGAAGTTGCCCTTGCAACCCCTCCTATGGACCAAAAGTCCTCCTCTGACCCCATGCGCATGGGTCTCTACTTCCCTCGTCCTGAGATCGTACCCAACGTCCGCGCCGGCCAGTGGCGCTACGAGTACGACTCATCTTCCAACAAGCTGAACGAGATTTCTGCAGAGCAAAGCGTAGATGCCGATGCCCGTGGAATTGTGGAGTCACAAATGCTCTCGCTACGTCTGCGTTCTGCAGCTCTGGTATCTGGCCACGAGATCAACGGCGAGAAGCTGCCTCCCCAGCCTCGTCGTGTGTACCTCGTTGGTGGTGGATCTGCCAACCCTGCCATCGCACGTATCATCGGTGACGTTCTTGGTGGAGCAGAGGGCATCTACAAGTTGGACATCGGTGGCAACGCTTGCGCTCTTGGTGGCGCCTACAAAGCAGTCTGGGGCTGTGAGCGCCGCGACAAGCAAACCTTCGAAGAGCTCGTCGGCGAGCGATGGAACGAAGACGCCTTCGTCAAGAAGGTCGCCGACGGCTACCGCAAGGGCGTATTCGAAAAGTACGGCGAAGCTCTCAAGGGCTTTGACGCCATGGAAAAGGAGGTCGTCAAGGCCACTTCCGAAGGTGCAAAGGACAACGAAGGTGTCTTCATGGCACCCAAGAACTAAGGCTGCACGAAAGTAAAAGAATGATAACGTGGTATGTAGGCTGTTAATGTAATCTCAAAATTATGCAAATGCTTCAAGCACTTTGAGGATGGGACTCTTGGATGGTACCACTTGACACAGACTCCCTCATCCAGGCTCCCTTCCCGCCGCCAACCCTTATATACAAGGTATCCTGGTGCCCTTCCACCAAGCAAAAGCCGTGGTGGTGTAGTGGTAGCACACCCGATTCTTAGTCACTCATTTGATTGGTTATCCATTCGTTCTTAACACGTTCGGCAGGTTCGATCCCTGCCTACGGTGGTTTCTTTCTGTCCATTCCTCTTGTTGTCCAGCAAGTTGCTTTCTCTTGTGTGACTGACTGCATACGGGGATTTCGAACACGATGAAAGTCGTAAACAAAGTTGAAGCTTTATGTTCCTAATCAAAACACTATATGTACAAGTCTCCAAAGCACGCCGAAAAACGCCATGCAATCCAATGCCATGTCCATACTAATCGCCAAGGTATACAGGAACACCATATACAACCGTCGCTGCGCCGTTCAAATACTTCAAGTTACAAGCATCTCTACTCAACATCACTGCTTCCACCAGACTTTTCTTTCTGGTCCCTTCTTCGTCTCTCATCACAAGACGACTTCTACTTCTTCCGCCTGGTGTGCGTGATGGCGTCTTCGAAGGTGTTTTGGGCACAGATCTGCCTCTTTTGCGTGGTGTTTTGGGTGGTGCGAGTTCCATCGGGGAAGGCGTAGGGGCAGAAGACCATAAACTCCAATGCTCGCCTGTCTTAACGGCAAACCGGTCGATGTCTTTATCTGTGACGTCCCAGAGTGTTGCAATAACAGCCATACAAAGACCTTCTCTGTTTTCGTTGCGCTGAGCCTTGGTCTCCTCATCCGTATCCTTAATGTCTTTTTGTCGCTTGCCAGCGACGAGGTAGCTGAGTGGCACACTTGTGGGTTCATAGTCGCCATGTTCGGTTACTGTGCCGCTGGAACAGCCCATCAGCCACACGACTTCGGCGCAATTGTCCAGTTTCTTGATGGTGCGATTGCGAATGTATTGATTGCCGCTGCCATGGCCAAAGTATAGTAGCATGCTTTTGTCTGATAGTGCCGTTGCGAATTCTTNTTCCGAGGGAGCCTTGTTGATGGTCGATTGCCAAGATGAGCGTGACGACGTCGACAACGAGTCAAGCAATGGCGACATGGTAGTCTGTGTCCTTGACAGATCCCCTGAAGGGTTGAGAATGAACGTTCCAGACTGCTTGTTAACAAAGTATTTCTCTTCAGTGCTATCCTTCATCTGACGGCGCATAGCAAGGATACGTTCGCGAAGCGTAAGCATGCTGCCAACTCTGCTCACACTGACATTCTGGAGACATGGCAAGCTCTCCCAAGGAAAGCCGTGCAGTTTCCTGTCAAGGATGAGTATGAGATGGTTTTGATCAGATTCAATTGAGTTGGCCGTTTCATGGTAGGACCTCAAAGCATCCATAGTCTCGGTCGCCATGACATCAAAATCGACTTCGTCATACGCATTGCGCTCGCCGTTGAATTGGAGGATATCGATGACGAAGTAGAGAAGATCGAGCACTTGTTCGTCCATGTCGATTTCACCATCATGGTCATCTCCCAGACCGACAAACAATTCGACAATGTTGGAATCGAGCACAAGCTTCTTGGTCTTGCTTTTCGTACCTTGCCTGGAAGGAAGGTGGCGGTCCAGAATGCCATCCAGCGACTTCCTGAAACGAGCCAACAACTCTGGATCCTTGCGGTGCTGTGACAATACACCCTTGAAACCACCAAGCCAGATGTTCTCAATATTCACAATCAGTTCTTGCATGCGAAGATCCAACGCTTCTCGCTCGTCCCACCAGCTCTGCTTGGCTTCTGCCGTCATGGAACTAGGAGGCTTACTGCAGCTGTAGTTTGAAAGTTCAATTATTTCCTGTAGTTCAGCCTTGCCAGACTCGAAATCGAATGTTGGAGACTCCTCGTCGTCTTCAATGTCCTGCATCTTGTTACGCGTCATCGGCAGACGTAGTAAGAAAGGTGCATGATTTGCTCGATATCGTACAATGTAAAGCTCATTGTGGTCCTCGCTCAATGTCACTGACACAGCAGTCCAGCTGTTAGGGATGATGTCAATGTATTCCTTCTGGAATCTTGCTGCCGAGAGATGACTATTGGAACCTTGAGTCACTGATTGTTCATCAAATTCGTGGCTGTTAAACTCCTTCTCAGCTTCTATAGTGTCCAACTCTCGGGAGAACGCCTCGATACGAGACATTTCGATAGAGCAAGCTGCACGTGTAGGATGCAATGACCCAGAAAGAGGCATGCTAGCATTGAGAGCTGAGAGTAACAAGACAGCCTTTGAGCCCAAGCCGCAAAGCTGATGGAAGACCGACATGCCAGCTGTGCTTGCAGATCGGCGCTGCATATTGACAAGGCGTTCCTGTGCTTCGCAGAGGAAACGAGCAAATTCATCGTCGGCACGTTTCTGCCGACTGGTCTNTTTAGGTGTGGGAGCATTCGCAAGAGACATTGGCGTCGACGATAGCGAAGCTTGTGTTGACGTCTNTTTGCTGGTTGCGATTGAAAGTGCAGGGAAAGATATGGTCGACTCAGGTAGGACATTGAAGGTAAAGTCCAGAGCCAGTTCGTCCCCAAATTTACGAAGCAGCCCTTCTGCCATTGCCAGTTGCTGCAGAACTTCTTGAGTTGTGTCATACTTCATAGATTCGGCCCGCTCTAAAAGCTCAAGGCCAAGATCGGTTTCGCCCTGGTTGATCAACAGAAGACCACGTTGCCTGAGCGCTGCTGCACACAAGCTGGTTATGGGGACGTCCTCCTGGTTTGGGGCAGTAGTGATAACGGTAGCTTTGGCCTTGGTATTGGCTTTCTTAGGCGTCTTTGCTGGTGGCACTTTGGGTGCAGGGGTTCTGGTCACAACTCGCTTACCATTTTGAGTAGAAGCACCTTTGGGTTGAACCTTCGAAGCTCCCGGTGTCTCGATGGACCGCTTGCTTGCGAGCCGACTGGCCATAGATTCGGCTTTTTCGTACTCCTGCTGTGCTTGTTCCCAGTTCTCTTCGTCTGCCGCAAAAATGTCTCCACGTGTGATCCCCAGTTTGACCAAGTCGACGGAATCTTTCAAGTCACTTTNTTCAACATGATTGTCGGTCTCGATGCCTTCAATATAGGCTTGAGCTTCTCGTTGAACCAAGATCTTGGTACGCAGCTCGGGCACTCCAACGCGATCGACTAAGGCATCTGCTTGATCAAGATAGTAGGACGCTTCCGTTCGTAATCCCTGGTGCGCGTAAGTATCTGAGAGATGTANAAAGCTATTGAGCAGATCTGGCACAATGGCAGAGAACGCAGCGCCTTGGATGGTAGCAGGCCCTGACTCTGATGCTTGACCAGATTCAGTAATGAAAAGCTTGTCGACCGCATTGGCAAGCTCTTCCTGTGAACTGATAGAGGGCAAGGCGTTATCTCGCGGAGCATGTTGTAGTTCCAAGAAAGTCATTGTCTGCTGACATGACAACACGTAGCGTTTTGCTTGAACCACAGCCTGCTTGATTTGTCCTATGCTTCTTGAGTACAAAGAACATACGAAAGCAAATCGTGCTCGTACAATTTGAGCATGAACTTTTGTTGCTTGGTCCACTTTGGGGAACGAGTGCATACATTCAGTTGCAGATGCCATCGATTTGGCCGCAAGATTAGCCTGTCCTAGTGTTGTCCATATTTCTGCCTGGGCAATATGCCATTCGAGCTTCGCCAGAGTTGAAACGTTAGGCTGTGTCAGTAAAGCTACTTCTCGCTCGAGGATGCGACATGCCTCCGAGGAGTAGCCCAAACTCAGATATTGCAGAGCGAGTTGTGCCGAGGTACTCAAGATGAATGATGGTTCCAGTGTAGGTCTTAAATGGTTGAGGTGCGAAAGCAGTTCGAGTGTTTCAAGGCGCGGATCGTCTTGACCCTTGACGGCCAGAAAGGAAGCTACGAACTGCAGTCTCGATATCAAGGTATCCACGTCATCGACTTCCTTCAAGATTGATTCCCACGAATCTAAAGGTTTTAGCAAAGATGTCAACTTCTGCATCGTTGTCCTGACAAATTCGACGGAAGTTTCTTGTGCATGAAATGCTTGCGCCAAGGAGAGAGATATGTCCAAATAAGGTGCGAATGTCTTTAAACCATCGTCTTGATTGAATGAATTGTGCAAGATCTTGCTAGCCATGATGGCCTCCGTAGTCTCGTCGTTGGTGAGACCTGGAAATTCGTTCGCGTATCCGAGGATCCGAGCGCATACACGTCCTCGGCGGAGTGGGAAGTTATCTTGGTCATACAATTCCAGAAGTTTGGTGCATAAACACTGCATATCCACTGCTACTTTCTTACGATGTGATGGCTTGAACAGATCTTCTTCGAAGAAAGCTAGCTGGATCTCAAGCAAAGTCGCGCGTTCCAAAGAGTTCATAGAGTCATCGTCGAAGAAGGCAACACTTGCAGAATCTTTGGCTGCAGATGTATGATATTCGAAGAGATTGCGTCTCATCATTTGTGCCTTTCGATCCGACTGTAATATGATGGAAAGTGGCCTTATATTTGCAGTCTGTGCAACATCATGCAAGACGCCAGAGCGAAGCTGAACGCCGATGGCTTCGGTAAAGATAGAGCATGATTTAGCTATGCTGCCAAATTTCTCTAATTTTGCTGCTAGAAAACCAGCTTCCTGATGAATCGATGCGCGATTGCGTAGTATGTCAATTGATGCTTGTAGAGAATTCAAGGCTTCTTGCGATGACTCTCCGGTCTTTGACGATAAGAGTTGAAAGCAGCGCCAATACAAGTTGGAGAGGTTGACCACTAGATGTTCTGCTTCAGACTTCGACTCTTTATCCAACAGACGACCGCACGTCTGAAGAGCTCTCTGAATAGTCTCGATATGGTCGCAGGATGAGACCAGCAACTTGCAACAGAATATAGTCGAGCTGACGAAAGAGACGATCAATTTCGGCGCTACACTTTCAGACGCCTTGCCATCACTGGTACTCTGGAAGGACCGGAGAAGAATTTCGGTGCAGAGAAAGCTGATTGTACATAGTACCAGAGTACGCTCATCAAGTCCAGGTTCAGTCTCCGTTTCCTTGTCATGTGTCAAAAGCTTGACTGTTGTTTTGCGCAATTTAGCAAGCTCCATGAGCATTTCGTCAACTGAGACGGTAGATAATTTAGAGTCAGTCTCCACTTGTGACCTGCAAGACGAGATCTGGCGTTGCAGTATGGCCAGATCTGGATCGTGGTCACAATCGAGGCAGAGAGCCATGGCTCGAAGTGTACAGAGTAATGTCACGTTGGTACCCGAGACATTATCTGACGCTGACGACATGAAGTCGTTGTATCGCAAGGCTTCGTCTTGCATACCAAAAGATTCTGCAAGCGCACTCAACGCCTTGTACAAATTTGAAGGCAGAGGCGTAGTAACACTTCTGGGTGTGTCCAGCTCAACAAGAGCACTCACGCAGTCAATGGNCTCTTTGTAAGCCTGCGACCCTTTGTCCTCAGCGCGCCTTCTGTATGCCTCCAGGTATCGAACCAATGGTTCATGTATCTCTCTCTGCAGATTTGCTTTGTGTCTGGCCATTGGCCACCACTTCATCTGGATAAGAAGCGCTGTGGTCTGAAGCTTGAGGGCGACATCTGGAGAGGTGTGTGTCTTGCAATCTGTAGCAGCATGATCTGTCGAGGTCGAGTGTGATGGACACATGGACAAAACGAGCTTTGAGAGGGTGTCCAGCTGCTTCGCCCCCTTGTTCCTGTCTTCTGAAAAATCGACAGATCGTAGTATGAGTGCGGTGGCAGAAATAGGATTGTCTGGTAATAGATGGGGAACCGAAGCCTCAATGGTAGCGGGTCGACCCGAGTTCACAACGAGTCGTAAGACGCTCATATGGTACGAGATAGCCAGCGACAGAAGCTTGACATCAGATGTGTGACATTCGAGGTGTAATAGCGTGGCCAGAGTTTCCTTTTCCGTCGCAGGAACCGGACTGACTCCTTCAGACTTCCGATGTATACACGTCTTGAGTATGCGCAGCTCTTTCATGGCCAGTGTGTCCATGCCCAGGGCGATCAGCTTCGTGGACAGGGCAAGCATGCCTGCCTCGAGCTGTAGAGATTCATCGCCTGACGGACGAGCAGATCGAAGATGTGAGAAGGCAATGCGGGCGCATTCGGCGACTGTGTTCAAGCCAGACGATAGCAGCTTCTTGGTGGTCGAGGATTGCGAGGACGAAGATGTTAACGTCTTTGTCGCATCGTTCAAGACTTTCAGCGAGACATTGACAACGTCTGTGGCCAGTTTGTATCGTTCTTGCACAGTCAAGGTGTAGGTCGCATCAGCGGCTGCAGCAGGGGCTGCCTTGGTCCTCGTTGTTCTTGTGACTGGTGGTTTGCGAGTTGTTGTCTTTGCCGGCGTCTTGGTAGGCTTCGATTGCGCATCTAGTGAGGGCGCCAGAAGGGCCTGTAGCGTAGTGGTAGTGGTTGGCGAACAGGAAGATGGTGTCGCTATGGCTTTGCGCACCACCTCGGCCGGACTTGTCATAGAAGGCATCGTTGAAAGAATTCTCGCCGCATGTCAGTACCTATTCCATCATGGTATTTCGAGCGCACGAGCGGCAACTTTCAGCCTTGATTACTCTAGACAAATCGATAAAGAAACATGCACATGCCTTTTCCAGGCCCTGTCTCTGCAGCAACCGCTTCGGCCCGGTCTCGCCGAGTGGCCGAACTGTGCCCTAACTGCTCGGAGCGTTGGAATCTCAGAGCCGGCCAAGTTCGAAATAATTGCAGTCAACCAAGAATCCTCGACAACACTCATACAAGCATCAATATGCGCCTCGTCGTCGCTTCCCTACGCCAGGCGCTAAGTCGTCGCGCCTTCTCTCACTCGGTCAGCCATGCTTCGACACCTACCTCAGTACCTCGTGTAGCCTCGGTCTGGCAATCCGTCATTCCCAAGGCCTTCAGAAAACCCGACGACCCCGTCTCTGTCGCCGAACGCCAGAAGGCCCAAGCAATGAAGTCCAAGGATTGGAACCCTGCTACCTTCTTCATTGTTATTGCGCTTCTGATCGGCTCAAACGCTATCCAGATGATTGCCTTGAGAAATGAACGTCAAGGTTTCACACGCAAGACAGAAGCGAAGATTGCTCTCCTCCGGGAGACGATCGACCGTGTTCACCGTGGAGAAGATGTCGATGTGGAACGCATCCTAGGAACTGGCGACCCGGAAAAGGAGCAAGAATGGGAGGAGGTCATGCAAGAACTCGAGTCGGACAACATTCTGTGGAAGAAGAAGAGGGGTCCACAGGCACAGCAACAAGACGAAGCTCCAGCTCAAGCTCAACAGGCATTGGCAGTCGAGAGTCCTAAGATGGTCACACAGGTTTCCACTCCCGAGCCTCAAACTGCTGCTCGACGACCTGGTTTCTTCTAGATTGTCTGTGTCGTGTCGTAGTCCAAGTCGTCTGGTATCGAAGTCATTGCTGTATCGGCTTAGTGACTTGGTTGCTGACGAGACGTCAACTGCAGCCGCGCGTCGATCCGAGTGGGGAGGCAGCGACTTCCTGGAGCATTGCATTGTGCCGTGGTGCACACCTGCCGAAGCTTCCACGGCTGACCACCAGTTCTGCAGATTGTCCGTCCTCGAAAATGTTCGTGTCGCAACTTCTGTCGCTTTTCTTTGCCATCTCTCGGCTTTTCGTGTGGGTGTGAATTGTTGTTTGCTGGCCCCTGCAGCCATTGTCGTCTCGGTCTGGATGCAAGGGCGATCCAAGCCAAATTGCCTACCTCCTTCCCTATCATGAGCTTGGCTGCAAACGACTTGCGTGGTCTCCACGTGTGTCTGTATCAGAGAGAAGGAGTCACCAACCAACGCCTTCCTGGCAATTTCGTTTCCGCGCATTTCTCGACATGGCGCCCTTTGCTCTTTTCAACCATCGCAGCTTTCGACGCGGGCAATCAGGTCAATCGACTTCGGCGTCAGAGTCCGTCACTGCTCAGCAGAAGACAGTCATGGGAGGCGTGCCGTCCAAGGCTGCCTCGAACGTCAATGAGGCACCGCACAAGAAACTGAGACCACGTTCATCGTCCGTGAATCTTCTCAAGCGCAATCGCACCCCTTCTGCTCCTACTGCGGTGCGCATTCCAACAGTCACCCAGCCTTCTGCCAGTGTGGACACGACGACCATTGAAGTCTCCGAATCAGAAGCAGATTATACCAGAATATCTCTTGCACGCCGCTCCGACTCACAGTCGACTGTCAAGACACTAAGCGATTCTGTCCACTCCCACCGCTTCGAAGCCCCTAAGGATGACAGCTTTGAATCGGATGCCAGCTCAACAAGAACAGCTACGCGGGTGACCCCACCGCCCGAGGCCGCTATCACCTTCGGTGCAGACGACGAATCAAGTGGCATGAGCACGCCTGTACCGCCTCGTCCACCCAAGACAGCTCATATCCAACTTCCTACTCCTCCATTCTTGACTGAAGACAGTCCTACCAAGTATGGCTTACGCGTCACTCATTCTCCCTCTCCTGATCGTGCCATGGCAGCCACTCAACGACAGAAGATGACCGGTGCTGGTCTCTTCGTGGTATGTGATGCACTNCATTTGTCTCGTTCTCCAACGCCTCGACTAACATACNNTAGAAAGCATGCTGCTACTCAGCAAAGGTCCACTACCTTGACTCTGCCAGTCGACCAAGCAAGATCGGGTGCCACGAACCCTACACAATCGTTCGCTCACAGTTCACCCACTCTGCCTCTGCCCGACAAGACGAACATCAAACCTGATCAGTCAAACTCGTTGCCCAGCCGTAAATTGCAATCCAATCACAATCGTCCCTTCAAAGATGCGCCTCAAGAGCACGTCGCTCACGCACTTCCCCTACGAACTTCGCAGAAAACATGCTATCGTGAGCACGACCTTTGGCAGCGCATGGGTTCCNNAAACTACAAACATCCAGTCTCTTGTGCTATCTGTGACGGGTACGAACCGCCTGGCGACGATTTCATGACCTGCTTATGGTGTGAGGTTCATGTGTGTGGACGATGCCACGCAGCATTCGTGAGCAATGGAATGACGGGTATGATGGAAAGGCAGCAAAAAGATGATACAGTTGATGTCGAATCGATGTGATGAGGAGTGAGAGTGGGACGCTGAGGCCTTTGCAGGGGGAGTCATCATTCAGTTGCATGGCAATACCATGTCTAGCAAGGTGTCAAGACGCTTGTATATTGTCCCCTAAGAAGACACAAATCCAACGACAGGTCGAACAAAATCGACTTCAGTCTGTCTAATCAACTTAAGTTAACCATTATTGCATGTCAACTCAACAATCGTTACAGCACGTCACAGACATTGCTTTCTATCAAATCTCCACAAGTCCAAGCATTTCTCATAGCTCGCCCATCTTCCTCCTCCACAGCAAATTTGCCCCTGAGCTCAAACATGCGCGCCTCTGTTTATCGTACCTATCCTAACTACAAAGAAACATGAACTACAGCGGTACTCTCTGTCTCCTTGCGTATGCCTTCATCCACCCTAGTCACAGTGCTAAAAGTAGTCACAGTAGGGAACTCTCTTTTCTGCAATCCACTCAACCTAAGCAGTGGTGTTCCCAATGCCGCAGGTATGACAGCAGCCACAGTAGTGGGAAGGGAGATGTTGGATATGAAGATGCAGTGATGTTGAAGCTGTTTATACTCATGATGGCTGTGAACCATGACGAGATGGGGATATACATGTTGTGTTGTAAACGTGTATCGTGGTATGGTGTGGTTTATGTAGGCGTGGTTCTGTTTTGGAGTCCAGAAGGAAGCAAGGAGGAGAGGAAGTTAAGAGTGATCGATTTCGCTAACACTCACTGGTTTTCGTCGCGAGAGAGTTTGAGTGAATTTAGGGATGATTCACTACCAAATCAATCATACACGATATAGCTTCCTCCTCGACATCTGAGTAAATAGACGTCATGTCGCAAAGTGAATGAGAAGGAGACGATGTAGCACGAATGAGGTGGACAGAAAAGCGAGAAGAGGCGTACTGCAAATCGTATTCCCAGCCCAAACACACTTTCCCAAAACTCCCCAAGGATATCGACGATAATAAAAGAAGATTAAGTAACTCAGCCCTGCTAGTTTCTATCACGCAGCAATCTGCTCGGCGCTCTCAGCACCTCCACTACCTGAGATGTTCGAGATAAAGTCTCTATATCTGAAAACTTCGCCTCTTTTTCTGTCACCCCCAGCCAGCTCCTTGCCAAAGACACCTTTGGCACCAAATGCCCTCCTCGCTGAAAACTGGCTCATGATGGCATCGATCTCATGCTCTGACAAACGCACATTCTCAACCCCTGGCTCTGGAGCGGTGTTGAGCAGAGCATCCCTCAACTCGTGCTTGTCAATTTGACCGCTGTCGTCAACATCAAAAGCAGCAAATGCGGCAGCAAGCTCGGATGGCTCGCTGAGCTCTGCTAGCGGGGCAGATAACAAATCCAGGAATCGACCGAGGGTAATTGTGGAGGGCGTGTTCGGAGGGAAGAAGGCTGCTACAGCCTTGGGCGAAGAGTCCATGCCCATTTGCTGCAACATATCGGCCACACTGGCAGAGGTGATGGTGCCAGTATTCGAGCTATCCAAGACTTCGAAAGACTCGCGCATGCTTCGTAGTAAGGATTGTGGAAGGTGAGAGTATTGGCCAGTGGCCATCTGAACAGGGGCCGAGAAGGTCGGCCTCGAAGGAGCGGTATAACTCGGTCTTGAAGTAGCACTGGGTCTTGGAGCAGCACTCGAAGTCGAGTCGCGAGAGGTGGGTCTGCCAAATACAGGCGCTCGAATAGTGGCCTGAGTNNAGATGATGTGACGGTACGCTGAGCGGTTGGTCGCACAGGTCGGTTAGTCGATGGAGATAGAACGGGAGAACGAGGACCTAAAGGTGATGAGGGTGCGGCAGCTGGCGAGCTGGGCACGACAAGCGGCGAAGGCGAGGGAGGAGCGCGAGGGGATGACGGCACTGCTCCATCTCCCGGCATTGGTGACGACTCTACAGCATGGGCTACAGGTGAAGGAGATGGCGGAGCGGAGTGTTCCTCCTCTACCGAGGCTTGTGAAGCATGGCGAGAGAAAGAGATAGGCGGAGCAAGAGAGCCAGAAGANTGTGGGCCTTGAAGAAGACTCTGCGATGCTAAGACGGCTGGTGGGACGGGCGAATGGACTCCTTGGACGATCGCCGGTTGTCAATTGCGAAGGTCGCCGTACAAACGGATTAGATTTCTCAGGCGACAGGGAAGGTGATAGTGGCTTCGTGGGTGACTCGGATCGATCACGGACTGTCGAAGGAGAGCGAAGAAGACCGTCCGAGTCGGGGCGGCGGAAGGGTGATGCTCGCGGTGAGCGCGGCGAGTTGAACGACAACTTGGTTGGTGACGACTAGCGATTGTCAATGATGCTGAAGCTTGTTCAAATTATGTATCAGGCTGGTACTGACCATGACAGCGATACAGGGTCGGAGTGCGAATGGAATAGCAGTATATGGCGACAAAGTCGTGGTATAATGGCCGTTGTCAGGCGCCCACTTCAACAAACAAACAAGCCCCGGGCGCCGCTCACTCCCGCTCCGCGCGCTAGACAGCGTCACGGGCCCGTGCATTGCTGCAGATCGCCCGGCCCTGGACCCTTTGTGGAGAAGGAGATCAAGAAGTTCGAGAGACACTGACTGAGGCAGGCACGATCAACGTCAACTTGCACATGGAGTTTTGGCAATAACCTTGGACCATCGGATCCTTCCTCCCGAAAAGTCCTCCTGAAAAGCACTGCTCCGAAACAGCAGTAGCACCAGCCAATCCACATCAATCGCTCCTGCCGCCGCAATGTCAGGNGGTGCTACGGCTGCGCGCCGCCCTTCACTGGCCTCGTTCCCCTCTCGCAAGCAGTCTTTCTACGACGTTATGCCCTCGGCCACCGCGAGACCTCCAATGCGACCTTCACTATCTCAATCTGTTCGCTCGCCGACCATGCCTCGTCGCAAGCGGAAACCACGCCCGCAATACCCTCAGGACTCTTCCGAGCGCCATGTCGAGTATATACTGGTTGCCTCCTTTGACATTGATACTGGCTCTGTCATGGAGCATCAATATCCCGCTCCAATTGGCGGCGACGAGCACATGTTGGCCGAACTCATGCTGCCTGACCAGACCCATCTGCGCAGCCAGGATTGGACCGTCTTCTTCTTACACAAGGACCAATCTCCAGAGGACGAGCTACTACAGCAGAGAAGAGATAGGCGCAGACAACAAAGAGCAGAAAAGAAACAACAGCGAGCCCAAGCCAAATCAGATCAAGGTGCTACCGACCCGGCACTGGACAACGATTCAGACGACAACACTGAAGATGCCGAGTCAGAAGATGACGCTGTCAAGAGCACCCAAGGTACACCACTAGTATACGTTCTCAATCTTGTCAACACCAAGCACGATGCCAACGTCAAGCGTGGTGCTATTGTCAAGGCTATGGCCATATGTACGAGGCACTCGTTCTTGCATATATACAAACCACTACTTCTTCTGGCACTTGAGGATTACTTTCGTTCGCCCACTATCGAGACGTTGGCTTCGCTGTATGAATCTGTCAATGCCATGGACCTCTCGCTACTCCCGCGTCTGTCTTTTCAGGAGCGCTTCATCCTGCAAGCTTCTGATGTCAAGGATCTGTTCATTGAGAAGTTCGAGGCCATGGTTCACAAGCGTGTCCAGGAGGACAAGGCCGCAGATCAGTCCGACGAGAAACAGCTTCAACAACAGACACCACGCCAACGATACGGCTTGCCGCGAGACACACATGAATTCGATTCTGTCGTGCATTACAATAAGATCCCTGTGCCCATCAAGATACCCACTGCTTTGTCTCTCGAGACTGTCGGCGATTTTTCACTCATCAAACTTATCCAAACTTTTAGCACACCGCACTCGGCCTCCCCCCAACCTTTTACTCAGCACCACCCACATCTGACCACGTCTGGTCCTCTCACACACCCTATTATCGTTCTCCTTAATGCATTGCTCAGCCAGAAGCGCATCATCTTCATTGGTCACAACTTGCCTTCGTCGGAAGTGGCAGAAGCTGTATTGGCTGCTTGTTCCCTCGCTTCCGGTGGTTTCCTCAGAGGCTTCACGCGTCATGCCTTTCCATATACCGATCTTACAAAGATTGACGACTTGCTCAAAGTTCCAGGCTTCATCGCCGGTGTCACAAATCCAGCCTTTGCTACCCACACCGAATGGTGGGATGTCATGTGTGATCTGCCGACAGGACGAATCAAGATCAGCCCAAAGATTGAGCAAGCTCCATTGACAGAAGGCGTGCTGTTCTTCCAACAGAGCGGCGTACCGCAACAACACAACGCACCAGGCGCTGTTTCAGCAGCAGGTACAGCGACTGGTGCAGGCATGAGCGGCTTCCCTTCAATCNNCCCCTCTGGGTCTGGGGATCCAACAGGCGACGTGGCGTTCATGTCCAGTGTGCTCGCCGCAATCGCCGAACGCCGTGGTGAAGGCGCTGTGCGATCAAAGTTCCGCCTCTGGATCCTCAAATTCATTCGTATAGCGGCATCTTTCGAAGAGCTTGTTTACGGCGCTTCGGCAATTTTCGCGTACTATCCCCCAGGATCTCCTATCACACCAGCCACGGCCACTATGGATCTCNNCCCCTCACCAATGACGGTACTAGACGCCGCGTTCGAGGATCCTGCTGTCGCGGGTCATGGCTATGTGTGGCCTTCACAAGAAGCTAAGATGCGTGAACTAGCTGCCAACGCTACACGTATCGAAGGTTGGACAAAGACTCGTAGTTACTATAACTTCATCCAGGACTTCAGCGTTATGTTCTCGTTGCGCCCAATTCAAGATCTCGATCTTCAGCACTTGCACGACAAATTGACAAAACTCAGACTCGGCAACGACGCGTCTGCATCGGTCTATCTCGCCATCTGTGCCAGAGTAAAAACATACGAGCAGATCAACCAGTTGCTTTCTGTGTTCGCGTACGCCAGCCCCGCCGTGATGAACGACAGGCATAACGGCATGTTCTACCTAGCCCTCGGACTCATGCACCCGAGACTGGATGTCCGAGAAACGGTTGCCGAGCTCATTGACAAGATCAGAGTACATGAAGCTGGAAGACATTTCTGGGCTGCGCTTGGTAGATTCGAGCAAGCGGCCTTCGATAGAGTCGTGCTTGCAAGGGCTGAGAGGGAGGATGGCGGGCTACTGTAATGAGGCCGTGTCAATGGCATGCATAGAGCTCAGCGTGTGATTTTACTTTGTTCTAGATACCATGGTTGTTTTTGGAGTTTCACGGGACGTAAAATGGATAGACTATATGTATATAATGATGATAGATCTGATGCTTCTTTCCGACAGTGTTTACCATCAATTACTACGGTGAAGAGCGATGGGGAACTGAAGGTGGATCATTTCACTCGTTTGGATCTCGTTTCCTTGGTCTCGCAGCTGATGCGCTGTAAAGCAGGTGATGACCAACACAGCCACAATAACAAGTTGTTGACGATCAAGACATACAGAATGCATATCTCCTACTTCAAGAGAATATTGAATGCAAATCTCGTGCCATCGAGGAACAGATGCATGCGTGAGGGCCTGTAGACCACATGTCACGAGATGTCATAGGAGCGACCCTGCTTCCGGCGTATCAAGTGACCCCTTGCATGACAATAATTTCTCCGTCCAATCGAGGCCACTATATCGAAATTTTGTGTATGTGTATTTGGTCTTTCCATGTACATGATCATCGTGCATCTCAACAAACATCTACTCTGCAGATTCAGGCTTCCATACGATGAGTTTGTGGTCAAACCCTCCACTGATCAACCACTCCTGCTTCTCGTCACCCGAGGACACCCAGCCTGCACTGAGACATCTGACTTTGCTACCGGGTTCATGGCCCTTCAGAGTGGTGATGATTTTGCCGGTCGTGGCTTCGATGCCGCGTATGAAGCCGTCATCGCTGTTGACCCAGATGCCCGTGCCGTCTGGTCGCCATGCGAGTGCAGGTGTGCTGTATGCTGTCTGTGGTGCCATGGTTGTGCAATGGATCTGAATGGCAGCTGACTCGCGGTCTTGCAAGGCCAATGCGGCACGTGCTTGAGATGCTTGTGTTTCTTCAGCGGGCACGATGGATGCTAGCGAGGCATCGCCGTCAAGCGAAGGTACCATCAAGCGTACGATTAGCAGTTTCATGTGAGGAATAGCACTTGTTGCCACTGCGATAAGAGTGCTATCTGTTGGGCACAGAGCAATCGCAGAAGGAGTGAAGGCGATCCAGGCATTGCTGTGTGGCGCTAGATTCTGCTTGCCGATGAGACGTGCTTCGCTGTCCACACTGTAATAAAACAGATGGGTCGAATCTCTACGCGAGACGATAAGGACGAGTGAACCATTATCGGGATGCTTGATGAACAGAAGTGCTTCCGGGTTTGTTGTAAGCGAGATAGATGCAACAGGAGGTGGCAGGGTGGGTGAATCAGCACCAGCGACGTCAAGCCTATAGAGGTGGACTCTGCCATCCCAGGCTGCTGTCGCGAGCCAGGTCACGTCTTCGGACTCGTGAATTGCGATCTGCACAACATATTTGGTGTGGTCGCGGCGCTTGTCAAAGACCTCACCCTGCAGATTACTAATTGCCAGCTGCCCGGACATGGATGCTGTCAGCAGATGTGTTTGCTTCAGCACAGCAGTCGAAAGCACAGGTGAATCGTGCATAGCCAATAGCGAATCTCTGAGCGTGCATGCAGGTAGATCGTGAACATTGAGCCGGCGGTCAGCGGTCGTGACTACCAACAGCGGTTCGGATGCATCACTNNATGATCAGGTCAACCTAAGCACTGCTCCTTCGAACACGGCTTGATCGACTCACCTGGATACCGTGCTCGCTACGAGCGGCAGCGATATGTGAAGGATGTTGGAACGTGTCGGTCCTGCTATCTCATTCGGTAAAGCGGGCGCTGGAAGGAATCAATATATTGGACTCTGTGAGAACGAAAGCAATCATTTACCATGCTGGCTCCAACCATGAGCGCCATCATCTGTGCCAAGTCTTTCGAACTGCAGGCTCATGTCAAAGGTTCGCTTCTCCTCGAGGATCTTCTCGATGGTCAGATCGCCCTTGTTTGTCGATCCAGCGCTTGGTGGAAGGCCAGCTTCCCTGATAAAAGCATCCAATGTCTGGCATAGAAACACTTCAGCATGAGATGTCCTGGTGATGAAGCTTGGCAGGTGGTGTGTTCAAACCTCATCGTAGCTGTTGGCCTTCAAGAAGCGGGCGACGATGATTGCCGCCTCACTTGGTGACATTTTGACCGCAACCTGATCGGAATGCGGTGCGAGACTGGTTCTGAGGCGGCTGCTGCCCCGGACGTTTGGGACTGTTTGGGCTGTGGCGGATGAAGTCTGGAAGTTGCACCTCGGTTGATGGACTGCGACTTCCCAAGATTCTGGAGCGGACGTCAAACCTGTACCTTCTGCACGTCCGCGATATTGTGCTTGTTATTGTCCTTGCCGCACTTTGTGTCACAACCGCTGTCGTCGAGCCTGAAACCTGGTTGGAAGAGCTGGATGCTCGCCTAGCATATGCAGCGCGCCTCCACAGAATTCTTCACGGGATGCGGCACGGGTAGGCGTGAGACCATGCTGTGCAACAACACTACCATCGAACCTCAATGCCGTATGCAGCACTCGGTCCTTTCGCTCGACTCGGGTCTTCAGCTGGTTGTAATAGCCGCCAGCCGAGCCTTCAGTTGGTGGACAGAGCCGCGAAGGATCAGATCCACGTTGCTCCCTATGGACGCCCTCAACATTGGTCGCTTCATAAGGATGTGCCGTGCCGCAAAAAAATGACAGATCACAGTCCTGTTCCATCCATGACCATGGCGTCTTGTTCAGTCGAACCTGCAAACAAAACTCTTGACCCCAACCAGTGGTTTCACCGCTACCAGACGCGCATTCAGCCCTGCATATCATTTTTGAACATCTGCAACTGAACAAAGCGTTGACTGCGACAATCGAGAGTCGGAGACTTGGCCTTGCTTCCCCTGTTCTTTCAAGGTCACTTCTGGGTCAGCTCTACCCTATTGCCATCCCTGATCCTGGTGGGGTGGACATTTCGCGTGCATGGGTGACATGGGCCTTGATCGGATGGCTTGCTGCAACCCCAGATTCCTGCTGAGGTTTGACCCTCTTCGATCGTCTCGGGTTACACGTTGCCGGCAGTCACAACTGTTTGTCAAATTCCGCTTTCAGCTGTTGCTTGCAAGAATGTAGGTCAAGGTCCAGACAATCAATTGGATTCGCTGATAGAAGCCACGCATATCATGCATTGGAGCTGTATACTCGGAACCTCTCATCAATGATTTGTACAAATAGCACACGTCCAACCAATCCCCCGAAGGACCTTTCCTCGACCCATCTCTCTCGTTTGCAATCAGTTTCACCTCGAAGATCTGAAAATCGTTCGAACAGCGATTCCTTATGCTGCGGTTCTCTTGCTCATGAAAAGTTGATTACGACGACCATCTCTTTATATCAAACTGAGATCTATCTTGTTTATTCCACCATTCAATATTCTGTCCCAAATGCCTACGATGCGCTGCCAATATCCCCCATCTCGAGCAAAGAGCTCTGGCGATGGAGACTTCTTCTTCTATGTTGAAGGCGTAAGTTATATGCCTCCGTCGTCTTGTCAGAATCTGACCTGGAGTGCANNGCTACCGCCATACTATACTTGGGGCATGTTGAAGGATCTCACCAGAAAAGCTGCTCCTTATCCAGGATGGACTGAGATGGCCTCGAACCCACAAGGCATGCANAAAGGCCGTGGCTGGATTAAAATCAAACGAGCCAAGGATGCCTTCAACCTATATGGTATGTCCAATCGTCTTGTTGTTGGAAGCAAAAGCTGATCAGAGTTGTTAGGTTTTCTGACGACTGGTTCACCTTGTCTGAAACCATTGAAGGTCTACCTATGGTCAACAGCTCGATCACCCCCAGAATTGCTGCGGTCCAACGACATTCAACGCCCTATGCAGCCATTCTCACCCCCACAGCTTGGCACCCCCTTTTCTACTCCGATGAGTACACTTGTGGGTAGCACACCTATGAACACTCCCATGAGCACACCTATGAGTACGCCTATACACATGAGTCCGGTACTCCACCAAACACCTCCATTCGGTTCGAAGAACATGAGTCCGACCTATGTATACACCTCAAATCACCGTCCCATCAACGCCACAGGTGGACTCGTACGAGCCGAGTCAAAAGGTATCTTTATAAATCAATTGGACTATGCCATCGATCAGCGGCAACTAGAGGAGTACCTGCGCAGAATCGGTTCCTTCGACAGCTGCGAGATCCGACGGGATCCTGCTAGTGGACGATCGCGCGGCACTGCAACAGCCAAGTTTGCAAGTGCAGAGGCGGCTGCCAGAGCAATTCAGGTGCTGCACGGTCAGAAGATCATGAGCAAAACGATCAGTGTGCGTTTCGATACTGAAAAGGAAGCAGTCACAACAAAGAGCTCAGTCAAAAGTTATCATGGAGGGCTCATCATCGCTAATGGCTCACAATGAGATATGCACCACGGACTCAAGCCCGACCAACCAGAAGATGAGATTGTTATCAGTATGAGGATCTTTTAGCGAATAGCATCAAATAGTTAGCATGTGCCGTTCAGTCTTTGCTTCCCCCGCACCTGCAATAGGAATGACTAGTGTGAATGCTCATGTTGTGTAACACGAGGAACTGCCTCCGCCATCATGTATCACCCATCTCGTCAACTTTAACGAATGGGATCGCCTCCCAATCTGCTGTATCTCTGGCTGCGAGAAAGACGTAAGCACACTACATGGGCATATATTGCAGCTAATACGAAGCGGAGCTGCAGAGAGCGAAGCCATGATCAAGTTGGCGTGGAGGGAGCACCTCATCTCGTGAATGACCAAGCCAAGGTCTGAAGTCATTGTTGCATGTGCGCATATGTTTCAAGAGGCAACACGCAATCATGTGTCGACCTTTGCTAAATGAAGATTGCAGTCTGCGGGCTAAAGTGCCTTGTTGAACAACATGTCAGAGAGTGATCAGTGTGGTGCTGTATACTTGTTGCTGACCAGCAAATGCGAGATCTGCATCTATTGGGCGAGTTCAATGATCGATGTTGTCGTATCTTGACTGGTAGCGAGCATGGACATGCTAGATCTGTTCAGGTCTCGCTTGAGGATCACTAATCTTTTCGTTGTCTCCATAGCGAGATGTGTATCCGAGTCTTCATCCCGGTCTCCATCGGAGCTCATCCCACTTGGTGAGCTTTGCTATAGTCAGATGTCCATTCGTGTCGCAAGCGAGTACCTCAGCTTTAGCAGTCAACTGTAGACATAACCAAACAATATAGATAAGCAGGTAGGGCAGCCAATCAAGCTTCTGCCGTTGCACACACGCCCGAACATGCGAAGACCAGGAGTAGAAAATGCAATAATCTTTGTTGTATTGTATACATTATATCCAAACAGGGTGTCTATATTCGACAATAGCAGGATCACCCACGGACCTTGTCAGCCTCGCGATTAATTTGTTTCATATCCTCGAAACACGCCTCCCAGAGACACCTTTCACAGCAACAGTTACCTCCCAGAGCGCCAGCAGCCCACTCGCGACGATCCTTGACAGGCAAGTCAATATCGCAATAATGGCTGAGCACTTCTTCGCCCTNTTTGAGCCCGGCCTTATACTTGATGCCGCCGCGGAACTCGCTTCCGTGCCAGGTTGGTCTTTCCTCCAAGACACGGAAGCGCACATCGCTGGCCCAGCGCCAGGTGACGTTGGGATTGCAGCTGTGGTTTGCGAGACACCACATGGGGTGAACGGCGCTGACTTCGGGGCCGCGAGCCACGCCGCCGCCTGATCCACTCAGGCGAGCGGATGCTGTGCCGCGGAATTTGGCGTAGAGGGTGTTGAAGACCCAGACGTCGTACTGGGGGTTCTTGAAAATGTCGACGTCCATCTTCTCGAGCATGTTGAAAGGGAGTACAACGTTGGCTTGGAAGCTGAAAGGTAGGGTGCGTGGGAATGGTGACTCGGTGCTGTGGCGGTCGTGTGGGCGCCAGTGCTTTGACAGGTCGAGCGTGTGATAGTCGCCCCAGATGAACTTGACATACTTGATGTCCAAGGGATGAATCTCTTGCGTCTCTGCCATAGCCAGCGATCTGAGCAACAGCAGAGAGTAGAGAGCATTTGCAGCTTCGGCAGGTGGGACGTCCTTCGCAATGTCCTCAACACCACGATCACATACAGCAGGATGATATTCCTCCTGAGCAAGGTCGCTGCACTTTTCACTGCAAAAGACGACCTCGCAGTCTGGACACGCCACAACATCAGCGGAAGCTGGATCGCTGAGCTCGGGCAGATCAGCACTGCAAGCATCGCACAACGCGTCCTGGAGGCGGTTGTTTGCCGTGAGAAGCGAAGTCTCAGACAAGGCAATGTCTCCAGGTGCAATGTCTTCCTTTGCAAAGACACCTAGTTGTGTAACGAACTTTTCCACGCCGTCACCCTCAGTCAACAGAGGCAACTTGGTGGCCTTGACCTCAAGTCTCGGCGCGACCTTCTCCATCTCTGCGTTCAAGAATTTCAAGCTCTCGTCTGAGCAGCGATCGGGTTCATGTTCGTTCCAAGGATAGCACTCTCTACGAACCATGCCCTCGTCAGGGAACTGGTCGAGTCCGAACTTGAAGCCGGGCTTGTTATACTCGTCGGGCTGTGTCTCGCGGAGCCAGTCGTCGATAGCAGCGTGGATGACGTCCAGAGTCGCTTCGATGGTAGGGTCTTCTCCAAAGAGGTCTTGAGCCTTGAAGCAGTACTCGGCAGCACTTCTCTGGCAACCAATGACGTGGAGACACTGGGCAAGCAATGCGTNAACTACTAGGCGTCAGGACAAGGGGCACAAAACAGCAAGGAGCAACACTCACACTTGGAAAGAGAAGAGGCCTTTGGTCCAGACCAAAACTTCGACATCTGACACATCAACATCTACAAGCTGGTCCTTGTTTCTCAACATGAACTCGGGGTAGAGATGAGCCAGAATCTCTGCATTCTCGAGGATGTTCTGGTGTCTGTATTCCAACGACTCTTTCGAGATGCTCAACGCCAATGATTCGATGGCCTCGTCACAAAATTCGTCTTCATTGTTGATCGCATCGATGAGAAGGAGAGCCTTGTACGCCGAACCGACAGCAAGATCAGGGTACCCGACCTCGACGTACGCCTTTGCGATACGCAGATAAAGATCGATGTTGTATGGGTGTTCGGGTAGAAAGCTGCAAAGCTCATGGAGAGCATTCAAACGTTTTCTGAGCTCGGGGTTGGTGATATGAGGATAGTGTTCGTCGGTCGACAAGTCCCACTCTCGCGAAAAGAGAGTCGAGCGAGGTGCGTAAGGAAGATCATCAGACTCTGAACGATGGTGTCCATTCATTTTGCCATTTTTCTCGTTCTTGTAGCTGCTGATAGTAGCATTCAGGCGGGCCATGGCCTCTTCGATCCTGTGGAACGAAAAGCATCCTCGGAAGACGACATGCTAGTGTACGTAGTCGCAATGCCTTGCAATAGCTGTACGAAGATTTTTGGTCAAGCATGCATGCAGCTTTGGTCGATTTTTCCTTAGCGCGGAGAACTCCGTGAGACGCGTCGCGGGTTGATTGATTCTTCTTGAACGCGGAGCATGGCGACAGCAGCAAAGTTCAGAGAACGTGTTCGACCATGGACTTTCATCCGTCGAACATCTCCTGCTTTTGCTTCAGTAGAAGTCCGCTTGCTTCAGCAGTGTCTGAGGCTGGATATAGATTTCAATAGGCCTCCTGCTTCCTCATCAGCGATGCATCGCCTGCAAAATACTCTTTCATCAACGATGTTTTGCCTTCAAGTCGCAGAGCAAGCTCTCATCGTGATGGCCCCTTTCTTTGTGTCGCATCGCACAGAGTTCCAATACAATGGTTAAGACATGACTAGCGCATCTTTTGATAAAATACCAGATCGCAAAGATGAATCGGTAGATGGAATATCTGAGCCGAAACGTGTGGTGCATGTGTCTAACGCCGTACCAATCACCGGCTGATCGTAGCGCCATCGAGTCTTCGAGAAACAAAGTTCCGCATTTCTTACAGCACATGAAAACGTGCTGGCTTTGTCAAATGGCTGCCTCGCACCGCTGACTGCGACTTTCTTCGTTGTGCAGCCCTCCGAGGTACCGGCTTGGCCGTTTGTACTCAAAGCAGTCTCTCGGTGTTGACAGTTAGCTGACACTCGAGTACAGAAGCGGTATCTTGTCTTAATAGCAGCCGTTTATCAACTACGGAGTTGGGCGCGCAATCGAGATAACAGCACGCAAGAGTCGTGCGCGTCTCATTTGACTCTTGCGTCTCGTAAACTCGGCGGGTTTGATGCCTCGGGGTCAACAGCATATCAAAGCGACCATCGAGCCATCTTTCACGAGCTCCTCATCTCGCAAGCTCGTGCAAGCCATGAGAACAAGGCTGTGAAAGCCGAGTCAAGGTTCTTTCAAAAGTCCCTGAACTAGGCGCGAAGAGGCAAAGCGGACACTCGCGGACACCGCGTGCCCGTGCTGATCGACGATGGTAATTCACGATCCGGTGTGGGGTCGAGCAGTTTCAGTGGAAAAGACCTGACCCAGACTCTGTGAGAGAAAAGTATGAAAGCTTATTCAAGATCATCTGGCAACTTGGAAACGGGAATCAGAACTGGAACAAGATTGAGTCTGAGAAGAGGGTATCTTGGATTGATCAAAAGGAGTCGCAACCAGTGCGCTCATGCAAGAGGGGTATCTAGAAACAACAATGCATCAAAAGGGTGGACAGGAACCAGCCCCGGAATGCAAACAAAAAAAACTCCCAAGAAATGCTTTCTTTGACCGACCCAGGGTATGCAACGCCTTGAAAGAAACTATCGTAATTTTGGTTGGAAGTATCCAGAAAGGCCGTGTCGTGAATGAAGATTATGCGCACTGCGCATGATAGTGTCGTGAATTATCGTGGCATAGAAAATCGGTAGACGGTCAGAACAACGAGACCCGTGCTCTACTCGAGAGACAAAGAGAAAAGTAAGACGGCGGATGCGTCCTACTGACGTTGAAGAAAGCCAGTGATGTTGGCGCATCGTAAGCAGTAGAAGGAGTTTAGACCATAGGCAACCATGTTGGCTGCCTTGCCCGTTGTCACATCGATGCTTTGGGAGCGATGGCAGCGTGAGCATCTAGCGATCTCCATAGGTGAAGCCATGGTCCCTTGGCTTGATGAAGAGCTTGCGTCCGACTCGGACAAGTCATCGCTAACAGCGAGAACATTCTGGAGAGGTTGAGGTTGAGGCCGTCTTGGTGCAGGGATGTGTGCGACCTGAGTTTGGAGTTGCANAAGAGAGTCCATTCTTGTGCGAGTTTGTGTGGTCGAGGGAGATTGCAAGCAAGGTCGATAAGCAAGCAATGGGTTTGATGGATCAGAGACGATGTTTTCACCAGGTGGAGTGAATGGAGTTGTTAAGGGTGTCTCGTCGTTGTGTGAAGAATGGGTTGTGTGTTGGATAGAAAAGTAACAGACGCCCTGAATGGGAGAAGGGGCTGTATTTGAAGTGGACATTTCCAGACGGGATCTTAATCGAGAGATGGAGGGTTGGATCGACCAGATGGAGCGGACGCAGCGTACATTTATTTGGTTTGCAGCAGAGCCGCAAAGCATCTCGATGGTCGCCCTCTGAATCGTTGATTGGCCTTTGGCTTTGGCCTCCCTCAGAACGGACTGGGCACCGTGACCGTGCGCCCGGCCAACCCTGACTTAGGGCCGTAACCTAAACAAAGCCACCTGAGCAAAGCCAAGGCTGAGTCCCAAACCGCCCTAAACTCCCTGCTGCAAGATCATGCGATTCATCAGCTTATCGCCAATCCCAGCCATGGCAAAACTACTGCCTTCCATCCTGGCGAAGTCAAAGATCGATCTGCATGATTTTTCCTCCTTATGGACGCGTGTTCCTTGTGGATATTGCAGCACTCTCACTACCAAGACTCGAGGCTGACAAACACAGCAATCAGCCAGCCAGATTGTCCCGACCTCCGAGGTCGTACTCTACTTTCGTCGCAGACGCCCCACCAACGTTGCTGGAGGTACTGTATGCAGCTGGCCGAGGTCGTCAGTTTACCAACTACGGACACTCTGCTGTTGCTGTCGTGTCTCACACCAGTCATTGCTGTCTACCCTTCGAATGTTCGACGTTGACCTGGACAAACGACAGTCGTTTCGAGATTGTCAAACCAGTAATTTCAGCTGAATTCTAGACTAAAGCTCGAGAGAAAACATCTCCTCTCCACGCTTGCGCGCCGTTGCGGGCCTCTCCGGCGCCTTGCACTTAGTCCCCCCTGCGCGCTGAGATACCAACACGGCACTGGCACTCCGAGACAGCTTACAACAGGCTATTGTTGCAGGTGTTCGAGCATCAGGCCCCCAGCACAGGGGCGCTTGCGCGATAGCTCGCGCCTCACGTCTTACTTAAGCAGAAACGGAGTTGCACAATCAAACTGATGCCACGGTACGACCGAGACGACGAACATCGAATCGCTGTAACAGGGTCCAGACCAGTCGAAACATGTGCAAAGACGAGCTCCACGAACTACTTGTCGCATTACCCAAATGCGAGCATCATATCCATATCGAGGGTGCTCTAACCCCTCATCTTCTCTTTAAATTTGCTGCAAGGAACAACATTGACCTTGTCTCAATTAATAATCATGATGAGGCATATACCAACGAGGAAAGACTGCAGGCACGTTACGGATCCTTCACCTCCCTCTCTGACTTCATCCGGTACTTCTCATCCGGCAGCTCTGTTCTCACAACGGCCGATGACTTCGAAGAGCTAGGCTATACCTACTTTGTCAAAGCACACGAGCAGAATGTGAAGCATGCAGAGGTCTTCTTCGATCCTCAAGCCCATACTAGTCGTGGCATTACCTATGATACAGTAGCACAAGGGCTGTCACGCGCGAAACGGCGAGCGGAACAAGACTTCGACATGACTGTTGCGTACATCCCGTGTATATTGCGCCACCACGGTCTGCAGAGCGCAACAAAGATGTTCCAGGAAGTCACAGACGCAGGTCACTTCGTGGAGGGTATTGTGGCCGGGCTCGGTATGGCCGGCGATGAACTCGTACATCCTCCCGAGTACTTCAAGCCAGTATTCGATGCTGCAAGGATAGCTGGGATACGACGCACTGCACATGTGGGTCAAGCAGGCCCTGCGACATTCGTATCGTCTGCCCTTGAACATCTCAAAACCGAAAGAGTCGATCATGCATGGATTGCAAAGACCGATAGTCAACTGATGCAAAGACTTGCCCAGACTAACACGCTCGTTACGCTTTGCCCGATCTCGAATGTCATGCTTGGCTTCATTGGCAGCATTGCGCAAGCACCCATTCGGGAGTTCCTTGACCAAGGGATTCGATTCAGCATCAACAGTGACGATCCGGCATACTTTGGAAAGTACGTCCAAGAGAACTACTGCGCTGTCCAAGAGGCTTTCGAACTGAGTATGTCCGATTGGAACAAGATCGCTCTCAATGCTGTGGAAGGATCGTGGTGTTCAGATCAGCGGAAAGGGGTCCTCAAACGACAGGTTGCTGCGGTGATCTCACGCTGGCAGGCTGAACGAGGTGCATAGCTGGGCCAGGCACCTGCAGACCATGCTCATGTTGGCCAAGGTTACCAGCCCACTACTCGAATAGGCAATCTTTTGATACTGTATGTACCCGTCTGGGCTGTTCATAATCATAACCCTCTCGGCCAGAAACTCGCCGTTTAATACCGCAGTACTTGATAGCCGACGCGTACAGACCTCCTGCAAGCCACTTGTGTTGCGCAATGTGGTTCGCATGAATTGGTTCATGTACGTTCGCGCTGTCAACTTCCAGGCAAGAGAAGGCACAACCGGCTGTAGAACCGTCCGTCGGGTTGACTTCCGAGTGTGAAGTTCTGGACCGTTCCAATCTGATTACCAGACCCTTCTGTTGCATTTCGCAAAATAGCTTCTGGAGTAACATTCTTGAGATATGTTGCTCATACGATTCCGTAGTAGGTGGCCTGATTTCTAGAGGCTACACGGGTCAATTCACATAACCATGCTGTCAAAGTTCGCTGTAAAGTTTTGTTGCATGTTCATGGGCACTTGGTCGTCGTTCATACCTCCTTGGGTTGGATTTGAAGGTGGGGTATGCGGCTTGGCCAGACTTTTGTCGAACTTTGTCCGTTTCGTGTCAAAAGAGGTCGTTTCAAGTCCTAGACCCTTCATGGGGAGACTACAGACAATCAAACAACTGTCAATTTCACCCTGTTCAGGCCCAATTTCGAAAGCACAGGGTTCTTGAGCCTATCGGTGTTATATAGAAGCTTCTGTGAATGAGCTTCCAGAAGTCTAGAGTAGAGCTGGCGTTCGTACGATTTACGCACCCCAAGCGAGGCGTTGGGCAAAGAAACTCATCGAGGCCCCTAGGTCGTACCACCAACCACTCAAAAGCTGTATCGCCAGCTCATCCATCAATCACAGACATAAGCACTCCTTCCGCCGACCACCCTTATCTGATGTGAGCAGGGCTGCTTCGTAATCTCAAAAGTGTTTCGTCGCTGCCTATGAAACGCGCAATGTCGAATCCTCTCGGCAAACCATCCTTGATGCCTGTCAGGAATACTAGCTCTCGGCGATTGTGTTGGGCGTCTCGGTGGTTGGCCTTACGCTTCGAATCCGAACGCCTTGAGGGATTCTGAGCTGACGGCTGTGCTGTGCCACCACCACTCTTCATCCTTCGCGCCAACTTTTGATTACGAGGCAGAAAGGTTGACTGATTGTCAGAAGCTGCGCTCAAGGCAGATGCCTTTAGGGAGGCTTGGACGAGACGACGTGGCCTATCCCGGCGAATCGATCGTGTATCAGCGACGATACCTTTGCGAGTGAGAGTGGAGACGGCTTGCAGTGGTGATGCCAGCCCCTTAGAGTAGAATCGCCAAACTGGCCAAGTGTCATGGCGGAGGATCTGTATCTTATAAAGCCTGCGACATACAAAGTAGCAGGATATGCTGCATCGGCGTCTTTCGAGGAAGGAGCGACAGCTTTGTCACATGTCAAAGTTCCTCCGAACATGTCGACCATACGTTGACTGTATCAATCCTGCGTTCAAACGAGATGCGAAACTTGTACCTCATCAAGTCGCGACTGAGGCTGGGGATATATCTCTAGACTTGTGATTCTCTGCTTGAGTTCTAAGCTCAATCTTTCTTTGAACTGGTCACGGTCTTACTGATTTCAACTTCTGTGTGGTTTCTCTGTCTACATACAGCAGTTGATTTTCGACATCTACCTTTTGACATGACAAGACTTTGATCTTGAGGCTGGACACAAGTAGTTGTCGGTCAAGACGAACCCGGTAATTGCCTCACACCGTTCCTCTTGGATTCTGTGTGTTTTGTGTATATCGTTCAGCATTGTAATGTCTCCTGTTCTGCATCTTGCCGGGCCGGCTGTTCCAAGCAACAGCGCGCCTGATGCCGACCAGTGCCCGTAAGGGGAGAGATTGTTACTCCAGGCATGAAGAATTCCTAAATATTTCTATAGATGAAACACAAACCACGCCTTTCGCATGACTTGACACAATTCTGATACAGGAACGAGGCTCCGCAGAGGTCGATTAAGGTTGACGGGCAGTGAGGGCAACACGTGAAAGACAGAAGGCTCGTAGGATGACGCGATTGGCACACGGAGGATGGCTCCGAGGAGGGATTTATCTCCGCGACGGCTTTCCGTTTTGACAGCAGACGAGCTGAACATGAGGTATACAGAAGTCGGTCAAGCTGTTGGGGTGTCGGTCGTTGCGTTCTGCGATTGAGTTGTCGGTGGAAGTGATCGCAAGTCGGGCATTGGGTAATGGATGATTGCGGTGAGCGCGGCAGAATGTCGTAGAATTGGTTGATTGTATTGCCGGGATGCCAAGACTGGTAAGAGCCCCACGTTAGAAAGATTGGAAGGCGCTCGTCATCGGCAAAGAAGTGGTTTATCTGATAAGTCGGTGCCCGTCTCGCTGTACCTACCTGGTCACATCACCGTCACTTCACCTCGCACCACCACACGTCTGTTCCGCCCTAACTCCGCCAAACGGCATTGACAACATATCCTCCGGCGACCGTCTCCGTCACAACAAACAATCACCATGGGCAAATCTCCCAATGTCTACAGTTTCCCCGGCGTTGCCGAACTGGCTCCCACTCTGCGCCAGTACGTCCTCGCGCAACAACAGGCTTCCATTGAGCGTCACGGTACTTTCAGAGTCGCCGTCTCAGGAGGCTCCCTGCCCAAGACTCTTGCCCAGGCTCTTCTCTCCAAGGGCGACGGCACCCCCGCCGACACCGTCGACTTCAACAAGTGGGAGATCTTCTTCGCCGACGAGCGCTGCGTGCCACTGGACCACGAGGACAGCAACTACAAGTTGCTCAAGGACGAGCTGCTAGACAAGATTGACAAGGAGCAATTCGGCGAGCCCAAGGTCTACCCCATTGAGGAGAAGTACCTCGACGACGCCCAAGAGTGCGCAGACCAGTACGAGAAGCAGCTCGTTTCTGTCTTTGCCGCTCGCGACTCGGTCAAGCTTCCCCTCTTCGATCTTCTCCTCCTCGGCTGCGGTCCCGACGGCCACACCTGCTCGCTTTTCCCTGAGCACCCTCTGCTGCGCGAGACAGATGCCTGGGTTCTCAGTATCTCCGACTCGCCCAAGCCCCCACCAAAGCGCATTACCTTGAGCTTGCCCGTCGTCCTCCACGGCGCAAAGATCGCCTTTGTCGCTACCGGTGCAGGCAAGAAGGACATCTTCAAGAGCATCTTCGAAACTGAGGAGGGCCGCGCCCTGCCTTGCGGTCTGGTCAACGAGGGCGCTGGCGACAAGGTCAGCTGGTTCACCGACAACGCCGCTCTCGAGGGCGTCAGCGTGCCCCGCAGAGGCAGTCTGTAAAGCTCTCTCCTCCCCCTCCTTGTGCGAAAACAAAAGAGTCCTCATCTGGAATTGACTTCCCCAGAGGACTCGCGCCCTGTTATACCTGGAGCGTGCGTGACTGGATCACTGCCTTACCCAACTCCCATCTCTCGAATCTCGAATCTCGAATTGAATCATATGAAAGGAACAGTGAGCTTTGGGGCACGGGATTTGACATCCGGCGAGCAGCAAAGTTATAGACAATCACAGCAAAAAAAAAAACAAGAAAAACACCACACAACACACACAGCAATTATTCTCTTTGTCGTTGATAAGTTTAGCGCTTTATACCACCAAAGAACACAATTTTGATTTTTCTCCCCTTTTAACTCAGCTACCTATTGCATTACATTATGATTGTGTGATACACAGCGGCTGACTAGATTGCGCATTCTTGCTCATACCAATATGGAGCTTGGACATCACCATGACTATGACCTTTTGGCTTGAAAGTCTGAATGTCGTTCCACTGTTTTGAGGCTCTGCACAAGGTTAGACTTTTGTCCTCATGGCAATCGTGGTATACACGTGGAAGAGTGGAGCTTGGATCTTGTTTTGATGCTCCTTTTCTTAAGCTCGGAGTTGGGTATAAGTGCTTCGTTTCATGCTAGCTAGGGGTGTGGGCTTTCTTCTATAGTACAATGGGGAAAATTCTTCGTTTTCTCGCAAAGCAGTCTTGCTCTTTGATCATTGCTTTTCCATCGTTCCTTCGTGATGTTTCGTTCTTTTGTCGTTAGTGTCATTTGTTTCTCGTTGATGTCGTACTTCTTTGATTTCGTGATTCTCTGCCGCCCCCTTCGGTCCTTCTGTCCTTCAACCCCGAGATCTCTTATAGTGTCCTTGCTGGTCAGCTGAACTTGATTACTGGAACTCAATTGTCGGCTAAGCTTTCGTAGAGTGGCGGCATTACCAGCGGCGATACTTTTGTGATCTGGCGATTTCGCCGGCGGCCTCCATGGCCTCGCGCTCATGCCAAAAGGGCTTGTGGGGTATCTTGATTGAATGGTTGTCCTCTTCAGCTACTGCTGCGGCGTGGTCTTTAAGCATTTGAGCATAATGAGTCCAGTCCTGATCATCAAGAGAACCAAGTTCGAGGTGTTTCAGGTATTCCTCCAAAGGTTCCTTGGCACCGGTACATCCACTCACGTAGGAGTAAGGATCGATGGAGGATGTATCGTGCTGGTAGTCATGGATGGTGGTGGTCAGCATCTCTTCAGCAGCGTTCTTGGTCCTCTCAGTCTCGTCCTTCTTTGTCTCGTGTATGGGAAAGGCACGGGGTGGCTTGAGGCGCTCGATTGTGTCATAGTTCGAGATAGTTGTGTGCTTGTTCATGCCAGCGGATGCGCTGTGAGGCAAGCGAACACTTCGCTTAGGTGAATAAGCAGAAAAGACATGACGTCTTTCAGGTGATCCGGCAGTTGAGCGAAAACCTGTTCGGAACGAGTTCTCGAGAGATCAGTTGAGGCCTGTTCGAGGGGCTCGTATGAAGACAGTGTTGATGAATTGACGTTAGTGGAGCCGAGCACATTGGTGTGGCAACCTCTGCCAATGTCAACAGAACTGCGTCCTGAGCGGTCCTGAGGTTTGAGCACAGGACTCTGCTGATGTGGAATATTCTGGGAACAGTTGTTCGTCTGGGCTGTCTTCTCCATCTTCATGGTGTTCTTCTGCTGTTGGGCCATTCGTTGCATATGCATCTGCTGCTGCATTTGGAGTAGTTGCTGCTGTGAACTATAGTATCATGTCAGCACCTCGATCGCAAGCAGATTTAACGGAGGCAAAGCTTACAGTTGACGGCCTGGTTGAAGGCCAAACTTCTTGGCCGTCTTGGGAGACACTGGTATGTTGTGATCGAGCTCGCTACTGTTCAGAGGGTTTGCGGCAACTTGGCAAGGAACGATAGGGGTCGTGGGACATGATTCGGCTGTTGGAGCTGGAGGATAAGGCTCATCCGCAGCCTCGATTGATTCCACGACTTTGGGCTTGAAAAGTTCAAGCATCTTCGGTGTCTCAAGGTTCAGAGCGACGGCAGCCTTTTCAGAACGGTTATCCAGAATGCAGACTTTCTCCTGAGCTCGCACAATCTGATTCTTGGGATTTTCGGTCCTGCCAGTGGTAGTGCTGTTCGAAACAAAAGGCCGCTGATGACCTCTGCTGGGCTTCTTAGTCTCGTACACGAACTCACTGTCTGAATCCTGGGAGCGAATGAAGTGCTGCTCGGACGACTCCAGAATGCGTTGCTCGTGGATCCAGATCATGTATGCGACCCTGTGCCAGAGCAACTTGATCTCGTCATCGCTGTCTTCATGGGTATGGTTCTTGTGCAGCCACTTCTTGAGAGCTGCCAACTTCTCTTCAAAATCAGATAGGATCTCGGCGCCCTCGTCAGCCAGAAAATTGATGCCTTGACACATCTTTTGCTTGTGCTCGACAGGATTGAGCACCTTCTCGCCGCAACAGTCGCGAGCAGCGGGCAACCCCGTGATGATCTTGATTCTTGGCTCAGGGCAATCAGACTTGGAACTAGAAGGGTCGCCAGAGGCTGCTATTGTTGTCAACGATGGGGTATCGCCGAAGAGCTCATTGGCAGTTTCAGAAACCGAGTCTTGTTTGACTTCATTGCTGGTCTCGCCTGGCCCCTTTATGCTCTCAGATGTCACCTTAGCACGTGTCACTTCGTTGGCATAATGTCCCTGTGGAGTCAAAACCTTGTCGAGTTTCTGGTCAAATTCGCTGCGTCGGAGGCAGACCAACATCTCGAGTAGATCTTTGTTCTTGAGAATGTTTGGATCCACGCTTGCGGGTATAGAGCTTTTGTTGTAACGTTTAATGGCCTTCTTCAAAACGACGTCAAAGTCAAAATCAACACCTTGTTGACGTGCGTTCTCGAGAGCAGGAAAGGCATAGTCGTCTAGGATGCCACTGCGCATAGAAGACACCTTGAGGCGCGCAGCCTCATTGTCAGACTCTGGTCTCGAGGACTTTGGTACACCAAAGAGCAGAATGAGTGATTGACAGAATTTGGCGATGTTCATCTCTCCACTTCCATGGTCAAAGATGTGTGAACCGTCGATTCTGAGGCCGATGTGAAACCAGCGAAGGGCGGAACCCCTCAGGAAGATCTCGATATTGTTGATAGACTTTGTACGAAGTGTGCGATTTACCCTACCAACGAACGTCAAGGCATCCGAAATGTATTGCTGATTGTTGTGGGTGTACTGGATGTGGTTTGGGTAGAAGTAGCCACCAACATCGGCCACGGTTGCAGACGGCATACCGGAAGTCTGGCGTGGTATGTCGGAAGACTTGCCAAATGACAGATCAAAGTAAGGTTCAGCCTTTTCGTGAAGGGAAGAGGTGGATGATTCAAGAGGAGTGAGTTAGATCAAGGTCGTCAAGTTTGTCGGACAGCAGATTGAGTTGATGCTCGAGTCTTTGAAAGCGATCTTCTTGCTGCCTAGCAAGGGCACCAACCGTGGCGCCGATGTGTTTGATTTGCTGGGCGTAGTCTGCCATGATGACAGAGGGAAGCTGACCAACCTGGCTTGAGTCGTGTGTTACCTTGGTGGAATGTTGACGAGACTTGTTAAGCACGGAAGCAGTACGTTTGTTCATAAGATCAAGTTGCAGCCTGAGCTGTTGAAGTGAGGTGTGAATGTCGTCGCCGTCCATGTTGGCGATGCACTTCACTATTACTTCTCAAAGGGAGAGTGAAGTAGAGTTGTGTTGTGAAAGCGAGGTGGGTCTTAGAGGGGAAGCTGAGCAAATCAAGCAAACACGGAGGTTGAGTCGTTGTTGTTTACTCGGTATCAACATTCAACCCTCACTTCACCCGGTTCGAACTAAATACCATATCTATCATTCGTGCTTCTCATCAAACGACAATCTGAAAAAGCAGAAATTGTGACTGAACCATGTCGTCGCGGATGCCTTCAATCCGACGTCCTGTAAGGACAGCAACAAAAGCCGAGGTAGCATCCNNTACAACCACTCAACTCTCCAACAGCGCTGAGATGGTATAGGACTCGGTAGATAACGATGGCACGGTCAAGAAGAGGAGTCAACTTCCTCAGCTGACTCCGCGCTCACTCAAAACAACCAAAGATGTTTCTGCTTCCAGCTTGCCTGTCTCTAGTCCCACAAGGTCGACCATAGGCATTGCGACGAGATCAAAGGAAGACAAGGCTGCTATGCCACCCCCTGCCGCTCCTCTTGGTCGCTCTCAGTCTATTCGAACCCGTACAACGCCTCAATCCTCGTCGTCTACCACCGCATCGTCCACAAGGCCTGGCTTGACCGCTCCCTTGCGATCGCTGTCAACTCGAGCACCTGCATCTTCGACAACCACTGCTCCAAAGCCTCGCGTCGTCTCGCATTCTCGTACAGCCAGTGCCTCGACTCTTGCAGCCTCGAGCACAGGTGACTCGACCCTGAAGCGCTCTGCCACACTTGCTTCGAGACATCTTCGCTCACAGAGCTCGACTACCACTGGTCTCAATTCAAGGTTCACGACGCCTTCCACCCCATCGACTCCAACTTCTATCAAGAGTAGCGCAGATCCCGTCAAACCTCCTGTAAGACGCCTTGTTCGGCCAGGTGCAACATCAAGTGTACCGAATCTCGAACCCTCCACCTCAAGACCGGCCTTCAACACACTCCAACAACACTACAGTCCTGCCAAGACCACCTTGCCCAAGCCACCAGTGCCATCATCACGGCCTGCGCCGTCTGCTGAAGAGAAGGCTGTTCAATCGGGCGCCGTCTTTGAAATGACCAAGTTGCAATCTGAACTTTTGTATCTCTCAATACTGCACGAATCAGCCGAGCCGAACTTTCGAAGTTACGAAACTAGCGCCAGAAGAGCACTCCAGACAGAATTCGAAGCAGCCCAAGATGAGGTGAATGAGATACGAGAGCAAGAGCGGATATTCCAAGAACAAGAAAATCTGGCTGCTATAGCAGACTGGTTAGGAGTCGAAGCAGCACACATGGGTCCCGAGGCAGCCGAGATGATACAGAGTCTGAGCGGCTGCTTCAACGAGATCATGATGCTGTCAGCTCCTGAGAGCAAATATACAGCGCTCGTACACAGCTTCTCGGAGTGGGCATCAGAAGCAACAGAGCCAGATAGAGCACACATTTTCTCGGGGCCGTTAGCACAAGATTGGCATCAAACGCATGCATCTATCACACAACGATTGCGGTTGGTGGAAAGAGAGGTTGAAATGCTACCGTCAGCACCTTCTCAAGCGAACAATGATGCAAAGTCATCACTATCCATCATGCTCGAATGCTTGAAGAATTTGGTCTTGGGCATGAAAGAGGAGCTGGAAGCCATGGCGCGGCTTGAGCAGCAGGTGGTGAGCACCGAGAAGCAACGTGTGAGCAACGCAGTCGCTGGACTGTCTATGGATACTCTGTTGCAAGATACAGAAGAGCGGGCGGCTGCTTGGTAGTGCAGATGGATTTGTATATACTAAAACAGGGCAACCCTGGCCGTGAGTGCGGAATTGAAGCCGAAGCAAGTCGATGACGTCTTCCCAACCTTGGTCCAGATCAATTCCAAAAAGCATATTGTTTCCTTCCCAGCACTTGTAGAGATCCAGCAAAAGTTGTCGCGTGTGGAAGTGCAGTTGAGAGAAGACATTCGAAGATGGGTGGACAATTGATGCGGATCCCATACACGGCACCCTTGCCAGCACCAACCATCATCCCGTCGGCCGCAGCTTCCGTGTCTGGTGCAATCGCCGCTCTGACCGAGTTTCTGACATCAACGCCACAACAACAACACAAGTCCAAGGACAAGACAGTATTGCTTACCGGAGCTGGCATCTCTGTCGCATCAGGCCTCGCCGACTATAGAGGCACCAAAGGCACATACACTCTCAACAAGACCTACCGACCAATCTACTTCCACGAGTTCGTCGCCAACCATGCGGCGCGGAAACGCTACTGGGCTCGCAGTTTCCTGGGATGGACCAACCTGAACAAGTCGAAGCCGAATCCTGCACATAAAGCAGTGGCAGATCTAGGACGTATGGGCTATCTGTCTAGCGTCATCACTCAGAGTAAGCATACGCTTTCGTCCTCAAGGCACGAGACAAGCACGACTGACAGAACCAAATCACANGACGTCGACTCGTTCCACCCACAAGCGCACNNCCCTTCCCTCCGAACCCTTGAGCTCCACGGCTACCTCCGCAGCGCAGTCTGCACAACCTGCCGTACCGAATACAACCGCCAACTCTTCCAAAACGACCTCGCCCAGCTCAATCCTGCATGGAGTTCTTTCCTAAACGAGATGCTGGCCTCTGGCGCTCTGACTACCGAGAATCCCGACGAAAGACGGCGACTGGGCTTGAAGACAAATCCAGACGGTGACGTCGATGTGCCCGGTGTGGATTATGCTACATTCAGATACCCTGCCTGCCCAAGTTGCTTAGCAAAACCGCCGAAAGACAAAGATGGAAAGACACATGTCGTCGAAGTCGATGAAGATGGTGCATGGCTGGCTGAAAAGAGCACAGCAGGCATACTCAAACCGAACGTCATCATGTTTGGAGAAAGCATTCCGGATGCAACAAAAGTAGCCGCCGAGAAAGCCATCGACGAAGCTGCAAGAGTCTTGGTCCTAGGGTCTTCGCTGGCAACATACTCGGCTTGGAGACTGATCAAAAGAGCAAGGGAACAGCGCATGCCAATCGGCATCGTCAACATTGGCGGCGTCAGAGGAGAAGAGCAATTCTTTGAACATCTGTCGCCGAGTAATACCGGAAAGGATGGTTTGAGGTGTGCACACATCCTTGAAGAGATGTTGCCGAACCTGGTCAAGGAGTTGGGACAAAGAAATACTGCATCTCTCGCGGCTTCTGCTATGTCTCGTCCTTTTGTCCCTGCTCCGTGGGCATGAGCCATATCTCACTCTCTCGGACTGGTCTTGAGTCATTGACAACAACCTCGGTTTCCGTCGGCTGTTGGATGTCCATCCGTACTGATCTTGAAACAACTAGCCCTACATAGGTTCCAGACAAAGGAGCAACCGACGAGAATCGCTAAGCTGGTCCGGGAAGAGTGGCGCTCAACTAATCAGATGCGCCAGCCTCGCGAGAAAACGGGCGGTCATGAGAAGAAACAAGGTTCCTTCTATGAGTGCAGATATTGTATTATCGTGCTCGAAGGCGAGGCCGTTCTCAGGTGGCAACAGCGACTTCGATTCGCGAACTTTTCTGAACAGTTCTTGGAAGCTCTGGTCATTTGCTTGTGCACGTTCAGACTATTAAGACGTGATCTCTTCTCATAGATGACAAACTTTGACATGTGCTTCAAAAGAGAGATATATATAGAGAACTCGGTCTATATTATCTATATGTCTAACAAGAGAATAGAAAACACTTGCAAGATCTGAACAACTACATCAAACCATGTGTATCGAAGTCAATTATTTACGAGATGTAGCGTTCCACTTGCTGTAACCAATGATCTGGCGAGCATGACCATAAATTCCNNTGCGAGCTAGATTAGTCAAAGTTGTAGCACTTGTAATCGAAATCCACGTACCCATAGTCGCCATCAAGATGAGATAAGGCGTGTAGACAATCGAAAACAAGATCATCATCCAGAAAGTCGTAAACTCTGATCGAGCCATTTGTGTTATAGCAAGTGTGAAGATGAGGCAGATGACNNGCTGATACTCACGATTAGCTCTACGATCAAAGGTCAAGTTTGGATAACAAACTTACGTTGCAAAGAGGAACCATTCAGCCATTGGGTAGCGGAAGAAGATTAACTTTACAAGATCCGCCGGGTTCTTCGGCCAACCGGTGATGATGAAAGAAAGCAGCAAACATGTATGCTGCGTAACCAAATAATAACTGATCTCTCGGACGAAGAGAAGGGATAGAACGCCAAACCTTTCACTGATGATTCGTTTACCGTCTGGTGGGTTGTTCCATACCAGAGGCATGTGTCTGAGACTCGCTTGGGTCCAGCCTTGCGCCCATCGCATGCGCTGTTTCCAGAATGCGGCAAAGTTTGTGGGTGCCATTTCGTAGGAAAGGACGTTCATGTCGTGCACGGCTTTCTTGCCCTCACCGTAGGCGCGTAGTGCGGAGTCGATGTCTTCGCATAGCATGTGGCCGTGCATCTGATGTCCCTTGAGTAGGTCGGCCTTCCAGTAGCCGTTGCTGCCGCAGAAGAGACNCTGGCGAGGATACAGTCAGCACCCGTTCTGTTACACGCAAGGTGATCCCGTCTACGTACCGAAGTTGAACAAACGACTGCGTCCCGGATGAGACACTGCATAGATCTTATCGAATTCGATTGCAATCATCTTGGTAAAGAAAGTTTCGTTTGTGTTGTAGACCACACAACGTCCTTGAACGATATCCACAGAAGAGTCTTTCATGAATCGCTCAGCAGCCCATCGAGGGTTGTAAGGATGCGGGAAGTGATCACAATCAAAGATTGCAATGATATCGGCACCCGTATTGAACTTGAAGAAGTAATTGAGGTTGTCGGCTTTTGACTTGGAGCCAGGGACATTGGTGACGGTTAGTTGTGGGTATTGCTTCTCCATTTCTGCCAGCTCGGATTGGAGCGGTTCAATTGGCTTTGGCGTGTTGTATACTGCAAGCCATCAGTTTATGTTGCAGGGTCTCGAGTCGAGGGTCCTTACCAANNGGTTGACTCTCAGTTTGCTTCGAGGATACACCAGCTCATCCAAAGCATAGCACACTTGATCCTTGACAATATCCTGCTCATTTGGAAGATATGCCACAATCACAAGGTCAATGATTGGAAGCTCATCATCGGGGGTTGGAAATTGATTGTTGTTCTGATCGACCTCATCGGCAGCCTTTCTGGACTCGCGAAGAGGAGAGATGCCTAGAAAGGCTTCGATAACCGTACAAGCGGCAATATAGAAGTTGACAGCCATGTAGAAGAAGTAGAATACTTTGATAGTTCCTTCGGTTGCCGATGTATATACTGCGGTCGAAGCGATGTAGTAAGTGGAGACCAATACGAAAGGGGTCCAGTCGAATAGCCATGCTGATGCCTGAGCGATGAGAGTTTGGACTCCCATGTTCAGTCGCCGAATTGACGATGATCTGGTCAATTGAGGATTCGGTATCTCAACCGAGGTAGCACTCATGGTTTTAGACATGCCGAGAGTAGACGGAAGAACAGAGATAGATAGAGGGGTCGCCAGAGGCAGGGAAGAACAGAGATAGACAGAGAGGTCGCCAGAGGTAGACAATAACGAATGACTGAAAGAATGAGGACTGGAAGTAGAACAAGACGACCAAAGAAGGCGAGAGATGCTCAAATCTCAATCAATGAGCGGGATATAGCTATCCTCCGATAACTTACCTTCGGTTATAGCACTCTCTCATTCTGGCACCTCCAGAAAGGACTATCTGATGACAGCGCCGGACATTCATCTCCATTGCATATCATCCCGTCAATGCCAATCTGCGGATTCCCGAAACCATCTGGAGTGCATTGTAGATCTCCACAAGCAAGCATCAGTGTTTGTTGAGAAGCCACGAGCGATGCGCATACCATGTTTCGACGTGTTAGGGCTGCATGTGGATAGAAGAAGGTGATGGCTCCGACTCTCCGAGATGTTCGTCGCCGCGGCTGTGGAAGATCCCTTGGGGCGCCAGCCAAGACAAAATGCCGGTCGGGGCTTTTTGAAGGCTCTGAGCCAATCAGTGCATCACGATATCGTTTTGGCTTCACGTCTACTGCAGACCTCGCATAGACTATGTTACTCATCCCCAGGATGCAGAGAATTACCCTTGCTGTCATTTGGAGATTCCAGATGTTTGCCAATGTCCGAAAGCCTAGGAATTACCCCGAAGGCGACCACAACGGCGGATTACCAGAGGTGGGTCGTGACTCGCTAGGCGTTCTGCACATCCGTCGTCTAGTGTCAGGGCATCTGCAGCCATACGCACCCGAGGAAGGTAGGTAGGTGGGTGATAGCAGAATAGATATCTTGTGATGGTCTCGAACTTGATGACCTCCAAACGCCTGAGTTATACTACAAACCACCATGGCACAGAACAAATTTCTCACCCCCTTCAAGGAGATGTTCTCCTCTAGGGGCTCAACGATCACACAACAGCAAGACCATCTCTATGGCCTCCGCGGACTGCTCGCCATTGAGAGCTTTCTTTGGCTTTTCCTCAAGACCTTTGTCCCAGCAGTGGTCACGAATGAAGTACCAGGTCCTGCACACCAAGTCATTGTTCGCAAGATACTCTCTGTGCTCTTCTGGAATGAGAGCCTGATTGCTTCTTTCTTCATTATACTCTCAGCACGCTCTATATGTATCGGTTTCTTACAAGAGCCAACCGCCAAAGCATTTGCTCGCTCACTGATCACCCGCCCTATACGTATTGGCATCCCGCTCGCCTTCGCTTTGGCCTTTTCGATCTCGATTTTCTCGTCCACCAGCACAGTTTATATCGATGCAGCTGCACTGGCGTTGGAGAACCCCAATCTTACTGCGCCATCCATGCCTTCTACCGCTTTGGCATCGTTCAACACGATCTGGGACGTGCTCTGGATTGTCCGTGATTTCGGAAAACAAATGGCAAACCAAGCCTTCCCTGGTGCAACGATGTGGGCACCATCGTTGATCTACTCGCAGAGCTACACAGTCTACATCGCTATGGTCATTCTTCCATTCACGAGGGCATCCTGGCACATTCAAGCAATCACAATCTTCAGCATCGGATCGTTCTGGTTCAACTCCTGGGGATGGTACTCGGCAGCTGGCCTTTTCGTCGCCGATGTATCTCAGAACCATGATCTACGCGCTCGTCTGGCTCGAGGTATCAAGATTACAGAGGGCATCACATTCCCCTATTGGATACTGGCCATGTTTTCTGTCGTCCTGGGCCTCACCCTGAAATACCTCTGGGTAGCTGCACTGCCTCAGCATCTTCGAGCCGAGCTAGTTCTGCATCCTAGCATCCATCTCACCCAAGGCCTGACCGTCCAGACTTTCAACGAGGACCAAGCCTACGCTCGACTGGACGACTATTTAATCGTGGTCGGTGTTCTGTTCCTTCTTGAACTGTCGAGCCGAATGAGATCAGTCCTCTCATCAAGACTACTGGTCCAGCTCGGGAAACGATCATTGAGTGAGTTGTTGAAATGATTCTTGAGAGCTTCCATCATACTAACAGATCCTAGGNNTATCTATGTGGCCCAATCTCTGATGCTTTACGTTGTCAGTCTTCGGGTGTTCGTTGCCCTTCACGTTGTGAAACACATGCCCGTAGCCTCTGCGAATACCGTGGCTTTCATTTCTTATCTAGGCTTGACCGCTGCGTTTGCCGAGGCTTTCTACTGGGTTATGGAGAAGCCATCGATGTGGTTTGCTAAACACCTCTTTGAGTGGAGCAGAACTTGATGTGCTTCAAGCTCCGAGATGGATTTAATATAGTGTCGAAGGTGAATGGGAATTCTACGCAGCATTCGAATCAAGTATTGCGATTACTTTGTCATACCCTAATCCCAAGCTCCTCATGTGCTCAACGATGTCAAGAACTACCGTCCCCTATCACGAGGTATGAGGGTGTTGATAGCTGTCAAAATGTACAGTAGCGTTATAAACACGAGCCTAGCCATAGAAACTGTTTTCGATGGGGTCTCTCAATGGAAGTCACATGGTTTTGCGAAAATTTTGTGCATTCCTTCAGCTGCACTAAAACAGTCTCAGTCGCAATTCTGTTGACTGCTATCGTCAGCCATTTCCAGGACCCAGATCTGCCATGTCTCGGACATTCTATCTCCTCGATATTACGACGGCTGCTTAGGAATTTAATTATACCACGTACAGCCGCAAACAGATTGTGCGATGAAGGAGTTGTTCTCCGAGCAGGGTCGTCGTCACTACGGGAGATTCAGGGTCTTGGCGCGCCAATGCCAATGCCGAGCCAGTCCCGAGGCTGTTTCTTTCTAAGCCTCACAGGCCTGTGCTTTCAGCCTCTTCAACCATACTTTTGTATATCCGCGCCTAAAAATTCGATATCGGATGCGCCAATCTAGTGTCAAGAGTCAATATGGACATGACATACATGAACAAGTGTGGGTGTCAAGATAATCGATTTCTCGAAGATCTGCTTGGCGTTATAGTGCACGCTGGTCCAAGATAAGGAAGGGTGCAAGGGTCAAACGAACCTGCCTGAGGAACAACGCGATAAGAAAATATCTTTTGGCGGTTCGCCGGTCTGGGGAGCCGACACATTCGTACCTGCATTTGACTGTGGGTCCCTTGAACTTCTGCAAGATCGCCAGGCCCCAGGGGACCATCTCTTCCATAATGGACGTTTCTAGCCTTTGCCGCCAAAGTGTATCACTTCATTTAGCGATGCGACCCACCTTATCAATCATCCGAAAGCGGCAACACCTTGACAGCAGGCCATTGAACTCCAGCATTTCTTCACAAAGTGTGGTCGATCATGAGAATGTTATCGTCCAACCAGAAGACAGGGCATGATACACATGTAAACATGGATGGGATATCCCTGTAGGCGTGCATGACACATCTGCCATCGCACGTCTTTGCAGAAGCGTACCTGCCTGAAACATGCATTGGTTTGTGTAATCAAGCAGCATGCATCTACACTGGAGACGGTTCGGACATTTTCAAGCGCCCCAGGGCATATCATTTCTCGAGGCGTGCCTTCTCAACCAATGTCATATGGCACCACAGATAGTCTGCAGTTCTGGTTGGATCCACACGGCAAGCCATAGTGAGTTTTCGGACGACCGAGCGGCTTCATCTTGCGGCTATCGAATAGACTTCAGAGGTTGCCCAAACGCTAGACTGGATACAATGCCTGAAAGCCAGATCTTCACTCTACGGAACAGCGCGACAAGGACCACGAACGGACACTGCCCTCTCGTCCACCCAACCGAATTGGCAGACATGCATGGCGTTCAATATCATTGACATCTGGGGCGGGCGGCCATATATCCCGCATCAATCGTTTGATATAGGACAAGATCGAACCAGGCAAGAGCACCTCTCATCAGTGACACCCTCTGGAGTATTGTGCACACTTCTTCATCCTACCTCTCTTTGCATGACATCATGCGGTCGTTCTTGTACTTTCTCGTTGGAGCAGGGAGTTTGATTGAAGCTGCTGCTTCCAGCTCCTGTGCCTGCGGCTTCTATGATCGTTCTACCAAGCAAGTCTTTACTGATTCAATCATCGTATATTTCAACGAGACACAAACTATCCCGGAAGATGTCTTTCAAGTCCAATCTTACACACACAAAGCCGAGAAAGGATGGAACAGCTTGTATCGGCAAGGTGCTGTTGCTGGCAACAGTTTGATATCCACCTCCTCGGACACACAACAAGCATTGAATCTCTTCGTCGACCCAAGCACGAAGAACCACGTCGTCGACGGCGGCTCCATCGTGTCTCAACGGCAAGACATCCTCCATGGCACTTTTCGAGCTTCTGTGCAAGGATCAGGGCCTTGGACAGGTGGTTCTGCACTCTCGATGATGCTTCAATTCAACAAGACAAGCTCGTTAGAGATCGACATGCTAAACAACGACAACCCGGAAAACGCTCGAATCACCACGCTTGTCAATGGCGAGTATCCTTCACAAGAGTATGGCCTGAACTATACCGCTTTGGAGAAAGGCTCCGATAGTCTGCCTGCTGTCAACCCGTGGGATTTCATCACAATTCGCATGGACTGGACCAAAGAACACGTCAACTTCACCTTGGCAGAGAATCTCACTCGATCAATCTCCTACAAGAAGGAATTATTTCCTACAGAGCCTATGCCCTTGAGTTTCAAGCATTGGTCCACTGGTGACTCTGAATGGATGCAAGGGCCTCCAAAGAACCGTTCTGTCGCTAGTGTGGCATGGGTTCGAGCTTTCTTCAACTCATCTGTCACTACAACTGTACAACAACAGCAATTCGATGCTCAATGCAATCTTGCTCTAGCATGCGACGTTGACGATGTAACGCTAAGATCAACGACAAACTACACATCTGCTTCGCTCAAAGCATGGAAAGAGCCTCCCAGAAACGAAAAGTGGCAGCTGCCATCGGGGCTTGTTGCCGGCTCCTCCTCTTTCTTTGGCCTCGTTGCTCTACTTAATGTGCTCTTACGAAGAAAGCCGTGGGAAAAGCTCATGGCCAAGGCTCAGGAATCTGGAGAGGCACTGCAAAAGCAGCCTTCATCGAGCAGTAGTGATGATAAGCTCCACATGCCTCGATCAGTCTCTAGCTCAACGCTTGGTAGTGTGGGTGCCTCGAAGCCAAAGTGGGACTACAAATGTACTACTTCCGAAGCATCGTCTTCGAACTTGACAACACCTTGGGGAGCGAGGACGCCTGCATCGTTGTCTAGAGCACCAAGCACAGCCGATTTCATTGACATGGCACTGCTCCGCAAGNNAAAAATGTCCGAAGACTGTCCTACACCATTCGGTGTTTCACTCAACCAGAACAACTTACGCCAAAGCCCTTCGACTGGTAGCGACGGTTGGTCAAGCAATGGCAACACACTTGTCTGTCCCACTCCCGATATCAATTTCAGCAAGCCTATCAAAAGTCCAGAGACGATCCGAGAATCTGTAGAAATCAGAGTCCTCGAAAGAAAGTCACTCGAGTCCGATGAGAAGCTGAAGCAAGCTATCGTTACTGCACATGAAGTGCCCTCTCAGGCAATGTCCGCCACAAGTCCTACACTGCCACCTCGTACAACCGCCCCTCCCAAGCGCATCGACTATCTCGCTGGCCTCGTTGCGATATCATGTATCGGTGTTACCCTCATCCATTTCACCCTGACGTTCATTCCCTACGCTGGTGGTCTAGGCTACGGAAGGCACTACAAATCAGAGCTATACTCGCGCTGGTCTGCCACACCCATTCTCTTGAATCCTATCTGGATTGGTCCATTCTTCACTACCTCCACTCGCTTCCTGGCTTCCNNAAATTTCTTGCGTACCGGAAACCTTGCTGATGTTGCTAAGAAGATGCTGCTCAGAGCACCGCGCATGGTCATACCTGCCATAGTCGTAGCGGGACTCGAGTATTTCTTCATCGAACTGGGCTTGACTGCAAAATTGGAATGGCTTCCCTCCATCACTTGGTCAACTTGGCCGTGGGTCGCGAACTACCCCAATTTTGGCTGGTTCATGAACGAGATTCTAGAACTCGGGTATCTGATTCCGAACAAGGCCCCTGGCATCGTCAACCACTACTGCGTAGGTGTTCTGTGGACAATCCCTGTACAGCTACAGTTTAGTTACACTACACTGCTTGGTGCAGTTATGATCCGTGAGATGAAGTCTCACTGGAAGCGCTTTGCCTTCTACTTCTGGTGTATCTCTGTCAACTGGTACTCCATGAACTGGGGTAGTTGTTTCTGGGTTGGCCTTCTCATCGCCGATCTGAACGTAACTTATAACTATGTTGCCTTCCTTCAAGCAAGACCTAAGTATCTGTACCCGAGCTATATTGTTCTGTGGATCTTAGTCATTCAGGGACCTCTTTGGACCTTCCTCGAGGACCGTGGCTTCTATACCTTGATGACTCGGGAACGCAACATTCATCCCAATCTCGCTACAGGTGCACCTCAAGGCCAAGTGGCATCGGAATACCCAGCTTACTTTGAGCCTCGCCTCAACACTATCCCTTTCGCTGGCGCCGTACAAATGATGACTGAGCTCAGCACCTCCTTCCAATGGTTCCTATCGCTCAAGCCCTGGATCGTCCTGTTCCCACACACATTCACCATCTACCTGATCCACGGCTTCGTGTTTTGGTCTTTCGGTGCTTGGTTGTGCGTCACTCTCGCCTCAATGGATATCTTGCCTTACTGGGCAATTTGTTTGATTCTGTTCGTATGCTGCTATGCCGTTATCGGTATCGCTGCTTTGTGTATTACACCGTTCTCTGAGGGTGCAGCCATGGCGTTGTGCAGAAACTGTTGGAGATGGGCTAGTGAGGAGCCGGTGCCTCATCGCAAGACGCTTCAGCCTTTCCGCAAAGATTTGTTCTTGAACAGGAACGGTGCAGAGGCAAAGGACGAAGAGGTCGCAGTGCATGGACCTGTTGAGATTCTTGACGAGAAAAACTTCGAGGACGAGGATGATAAAGGGAAGGGTGTCCATGATGGCCCGTTTGATGATGTGAATGAAGTGTCTAGTGAGTCTTCCGGGTCGAGNACCCGTCTCTGAGGTTGAGCAGGAAGACAATCTGTTGATGATGCCATCTTGCCTGTGGTTGTTACTGAGACTTCGACCAAAGGGTTGGGCATTCACTTCGACGAGAAGAAATAGAGGTGTGCGATACTTTGTAACTAGATTTCATTACTTCGTTCTCTTTGGACTTGTTCTTGTTCTGTAATGACTGCTGAGCTGATTTGGTGAATACGACAATGCTTTCTTCTATTCCTGTCTTATCTGCTTCCAAACATGGCTTGTTACTCCTGCCCCGTGGATTCGACAATTCGATCTTATTAGTTTAGAGAGAATGAGGTCAGTGATGCTTTGACCATACGCAAGCTCATGGTTGCTTATTTTTTTGGGGAAGTTGCGTGAAGCGATTTTGCTTCCTGCAGGCGTCGTAGTTTCCTCGTTTGCAGGCGGTGTTTCTGTTTCTGTATGCCCGCCATCGCTACTTCCCGCTATTTTACAACTTCGGTCTTTCCTCTGGTCTTTGTTCTTCGCTTCTGCATCGCGCATCACTGCTTCGATTCTTCTGTACGCACAATCAGATCTTCCAACACAGTGATCCATTTCGCGACCACATTGGCGATCCATTCTTCGGCGGGCTTCTGCTCTTGTGCCTGAGCTTCCTTCACCAGATTCCATAACGAGTTGAAGAACCTTCTGGTCTCATGGATGTCGCTTGCCATCATTCTCCACGCCTCCGCTGTCTGAGCATGATCCTCTAACCCCTCGATCTTGCTACAAGCCTTGAGCTCTATGAAAGACTGCTTGCGGGAAACAAAAGCATCATCTCCCATGCACGGTGCCAACGTGCCTTCACAATAGGCTTTGAGCGTCAGATAACTGTTCGACATGTCGTGCTCAACAATGTATGCCAGCAACCATGCTTTAGACTCTGCATATCTCAAGTCATCCAGGAAGGTCTGTCCGATAAAGCGCTTGATAGGTGATATCTTGTAATCGAGTGGCAAAAGAGCTCGATCGTTGATGTNCAACAAAGTCGGGATCCAATCGCTTAGCTGCGCATGGTAGCTGCGCCTTTCAGATTTGGTCAGGTCCTTGTGCACTTGGATACATATGGCCAGAGTCTTTTTGTTCATGACCCGCAAGTCCCTATTGCAACTATCAGAGATGGATTGCGCTCTTTCTTGAAGCTCCTCAAATCTCTGATGTTCCCGAGAGATGTTGAGCTGGCACTCCAGGTGGTTGATATCGACCGAGTGGATAGAGGCCTTGGAAGTAGGTTGAGAAAGTGAGAGAAGCTCCCGTAATGACAGCTTGGTTGCGTTGACGATATTGGTCTTGATGGGCAAGATCAGAAGGAGTGTAGCGAGGTGAGTTCTCATGATATGGATGATTTTCGAAGTAGGTCATGAACCTGCTGTATGTTTTCTGTCGATTTTTAAGTTTGCTCACACATGTTTTCTTCGAATGTATATACCCTCGTCATGGCTGGATCTTGAAATCACTGGACTTGCAAGACTTCAAGACATTGAGCTTACACAAAGCGACTTTGCTTGTCACAGTGTCATTCAGATTGCTCGACTGCCGAACACATTCTTTGTGCAGGATGTCCCAGAGTACAGTTGTTGAGCCTTTATGTTGTTGTCGAGAGGCTGGTTCAGTACTGTTCAGGGGTTTGCTTCCTGGAGACCCCTTTCCGGTACAAGTAGACTTCATTGCAAACTTGTCTGACAACAGTCAAAACACCAGAAACATGCCGAAAGTTGAACCAGCCAACTCAAACATGTCGTGGACAACTTGCATTGAGCTACAACTCGGTTCAACTGCCTAGCAAGGAGCTGAAGCCTCACCATGTCTTATGACAACCAACGTGTTACGAGAGACGCGAACCATAGAAACCTGACTGCACAGCAGTAAACATTCAAAGAATGCCTGAACTGGAACAACAAACAACAATGCAGGATAGATGCCGGTCAGCTCAAGTGTTCGGAGCCTCCCTCTTCGCTTCCAGCTTGCCATTCAAGATCGTTCCCAGCATGGTCTGGCTCCGCACAAGCGTCGTGTCAATGCTACATATAAGCTACTACCTCAATTTGTTAGCATCAAAACAGGTCGGTTAGCTCAGTTGGTTAGAGCGTGGTGCTAATATCTGATGATATACGGCACGCCAAGGTCGCGGGTTCGACCCCCGTACTGACCACCACATCTTCTTTTGCTTGTCTGGGACATCCTTTTGGTGCTGAAACCATCATCTCTGGTCGTTGTGGCTGGGAAAAATTTTCAGGCTTCAAAATTGACGGGCGTTGCGGCAGCTGAAGCCTGGCTTGGCATTTCTTTTTCTTCCTTCTTTTCTCTATATTTTTCGTTTTCTTAGAGGCCTAACGTTTCCTCCCTGTGTACTGAAACATGTGTGAGTGTGCCAATGCACAATTCTCCAGGGAAACGATCGAGTGCTCCCTGGGAAGCGATAGTCCACTGGCTCTCCGTGTTCGCGCTTCTGCCTTGGGAGACATTTGTGCCTTTCTATGGTGTATACTTCTCTCTTTGCTATACTCGGAGTATGACGGAGGTCACAGGCTTTCATACATGGGGAGATTGCTCCCTCAAAAGCACGATCACACACATTGGGCAACACTTGAAGAGATCTGAAGGTGATTCAGTTTAGTCAAAGAGGACAAACAATCGAAGCGTTTTATTTGCAAGCTAAGCAAAAGGGTATCTAGGAAATCAAAAACAGAAAAGCATTCTATAAGAAGATCTCATACTTCAGCACGTTGAATCTGTGCAGCGATAGCAGAAGATCGTCTACGTTTAGGCTGTGCCGGACGAAGCAGATGCAAGTTGTAGATCGTAGAAACGACAACATAGATGGCAACAAAAGGCCCTGTGAACATCACGACGCAGAAGCCGAGCAGGTAGCGAGCCCGACCTTCCCAGGAACGAGCCAACCACATCGCAGATATGATTGCGTAGATCCAGGGCAATGCAACGATGGTGCTGAGCACAATCATCACATGGATGTTCTGTTGTAGTACAGCAGATCGAAGAAAGTTGATGATGAGGGCGAGAGAGCAAAGGGGAAGACCCCAGGCCAGCAACTCAGCAGCAGATGATAGTCTTTCAAACCAATGCATCTGGTTGTTGCAAAGTATAGCGAGATTCGTGGCGCAAGTCGAGAATGCAAACCTCTGGCGTTGCGATAAGAATTCAGCAAATGTGTTTGTTGAACGGGCATATGAGACAGCATAAACGGCATTCAGGTTGGTTGATTCTGATGTACCGTAAGTCATGTCGTCTTCCTCAATGGATGAGCAGATCTGCTTCACCATATTACTCATAGGAGTAGGCCGACGTTCCTTGATTTGTTTCAGGATTTGCGGACCACAAGTCTCTTCACAAACTTTGAGCATCTGGCAAGCACTTGGACTCACGCTTGCTTTGTGCATGACACGCGTCTGGTGACATTGTATGACCTGGTCATACATGAGTTGTGAGTTGCTGAACAGTGTTCCCACGGTCCATCTGAAAGAGCGAGAGTCGATTTCTACTCGACTCGAGACTGCCACACAAGCAGGATCCTTCAGAGTTTGTCGATATAGCTGTGAGATACAGTGCTCGTCGAGTAAGGTCTCGGACCTGACGTTCACCANAAAGTCGAAGGATGCAAAGTCGTGCAACTCAGCCCATTCCTTGTACCAAGCGAAGAAAGCAGAAGGCACTGAGTTATGGTACGACTCTTTGCGAAGGTTGTATGAGTGAAGTAGATTTCGGATCAAGTCAACAAATTCTGATTTGTTGGTCATGCCCTCCTTGATCATCAGAACGTACGGTAGGCCTTTGTAAATTCCTCTTCGACACCACATAGTAGCAAAGTCAGCGTCCTGATCCTCCTGGAGGATTTGAAACTTTGCTTCATCGACGATGTTGGTGAGAATATTCTCAAAGATGATCCTTGTGGTCGATTTGGCAGAGTTGCTGTTCCATACATTGTCATTGCACGAGATGAGTAGCATATTCTTGTGCATGTCAACGTGTTNTTGATCGACCAGAGAGTCGAGGGTGCTCTGAATATCCTCAAAGCTCTCGTTGGAAAAGGAGATGACGGTGGCGTAATCCATAATAGGAATCTCAGGTTCTGCTTCTCGCGGTTCCAGCAGAAGCCTTGTCTTCTTGTATGCATGGCGGGCGATTAGATCCAGCCCCATGATCGACTTGAGCAGAGGCGCTACTAGTATCAAAGGAGCAACAGCATACCAGGCGCTGAACAAACCAAACGACAACACGATGCAAATTACATTGATCATTACCAGTGACATTGCTGCAACGTCGCGAGAATAGATCATTTTGCGCCGACTTCTATCCTTCTGAGCGTCTGCGATCCCTTGCTTGATCTCATTCTCAGATGCAGAGGGTTTGAATTTTAGATCAGGATCCAGATCGACATCTTTATTGGTAAAGATGTTGGCAAACAACGATGCTCTTCTGCTTATGGATCCTGCTTTCGGCTCAATTTCGACTTCGACAAAGTCGGGGTCTTCTGCCACGTCTGCCAACGCTTCTTGGTAGGCAGGCTCGAGCTCTTGCATGGGAAGAGCTACAGCAGAGTCTGTCTTGCTCCACTGAAAATGACCAAACAACGGGACCAAGAGAGAGGACTTTCGTCGTGTCTGCGCATCATCGCAATTGGTACGATTGTGCTGAATGTCGTTCGTCGCAGATTCTACATCGTAACTCGACATGGAAGCTGTGGAAGAAGCTCTTGTGAAATTCGACATTGTTCGTGACCACGTTGATCCGGACATGGTCCTCACACTGGACATTGTGCGAGCGTAAGAAGAGTGTGACATAGTCCGTGTAGTTGACATGGTACGAGCTTGCGAAGCACTAGACATGTGTCGTGCTGAAGCTAAAGAAGGGCGATTGGGTCGGTCATGCGTTGAAGAAAAAGTCCGAGTGCGAGGGCTATGCGCGGGCGGTGCGAGTCGAAAGTCCTTAGACGACCGTATTGAAGAATTTCTCGCAGAAATACTGGGTCTTGATGCGGTTGACGGTGTCCGGGATCCATTCGCCAGCATCGAGTCCCTCCTGACGAGTGTGTACATAGTGGCCGAAGAACTTCGCCGCAGTAGACTGGGTCGAGCTAGCTGCTCTCCTGCTGACTCAGTTCTGATAGAAGACATTCTGCGTTCACCAGTGATCGGGTTGACGAGCATCACGTCCTGTGTAGTCTCATATGGTATGCTGCTCCCAAGGCACATGCGGGCAGATGATGGTCGCTGAATGCCACTCTCTATACTCATGGGATCTGGAGTTGCACCACTTTCCTTGCGTGTCTTAGATCCTTGACCAAAAGAAAATGAATGCAAATCGGCAAAGTTGTTGATCTGCTTGAACACACCAGAGGGAATGAGATGTGGAAGCTTTAGTCTAGTGACCTCATTCGTGAACTGCTCTTCGTCAGAAGACATTCTTCCGAGGCACTCTGAAGATGCTCTGGGTGATGTTGAAGTGCGGATAGATGGTGTCAAAGGGGTCAGTGGTGAGTGCAAAGGTCCCAGAACATCTGACTCCTCAGTGATCAGAATCTCGATATCAGTCTTCGGTTCGTTATATTTCCCATTCTGAGACTGAACAATGGATGCCTTTCGTATGAATATCTCAAGCTCAGCAATCGAGCCATGACGCGACGCCTCATCATCGGATATGTCGGGAATCACAGATGAAAGCTGAGCTAATGTGCTTGGTGGTTGAGTCCATGATTTGGCAGGCGAGTATGTTGAGTCGAGTCCGAGAGGTGTGGTATGACGTGGTGGTAACATTCCCCATCCTGCTATGGTGATGTTCGGAGAGACAATGCCAGGAGACGCTTCAGGAGAGCTGCTTCTAGCAACCGGCACTAACGGGCATCCAGTACCAGAAGCTGATTTGACGCCATGTTCTTTGACGTGCTGAGACTTCGATTTGCCGAAGTAGTCAACCTTCCGCCATTGAGGCAATGACGAAGGTGGTTCTGATGGCGATACTTCTTCTGTCGGTAACTCTTCTTCGACGATGCTGATCAGGCCAGCCTTTCGAGAATCAAAGACAATGCAAGGTGTTTGAGTAGGCACTGCCGACGCAGCGGACGCCATGTGTGCTAAGCCAGTGCTGTGGTTGGAACTTTGTCCGAAATGTGGAAGATCGACACCTGGACACAAAGATTGACAGTAGATCCAGCTGGCTCAACCTCCAGGGCTGCCATGCAATCTTATGAGCAACCCGGCAATGACAGATCGTTCCAACGGCTGGACCAATCCATGTGAAGAGTTCATGGAATCCTGACCGTTGGACGATAGTCAACTTCAACGGCGAGAGTCAACGGCGGAATTTCTCGAACTCCAAAGTAAATACATACGTGTAGGGTGTGTGATTAACATGACTGAAAAGACGGAGAGTCCAATAGTTTTGGAAGTCACAAGAGACCTACCATTCTATCTGATTGATGATCACAGGATCCTTATTCAGTACGCCTGCTTTGGTGGAAGCGTGAGATCCCATCGTATAGCAAACCCATCTCGATCTGAGATGTATATCCGAGTTTTGGGACCCAAAAGCTTGTGCTAGTATGGCCCAGTCACCAGTCACTTGTTCTTTGCTTGTGCTGAGCGTCCAAACTCCAGAGTGTCGTAGCCTCAACCGCAAACCTGTCCAAAGAGATGATTGTATTGACGGCGTCATCCGATGTCGTGCTGAGAAGGATTGACGCCTCCTTGCGAGTAGGGTGGATATTGATGCCTCAGGGTTAGAAGATGACTTCAACGTTCTATCCTTTCAGGGTGCTTCCATCAGTCGCCGCAACGCCACAGTCATCAAAGATATATTCCGCGAAGCAGAGGCCTCGCGAACCGCCAGTCGTTTGAGTCCAAGACCGGCTGTAGACATCGACGTTTCGATATAGAAGAAGTTTCGAGGAAGTTTATGCCGAAAAGAAGGACGATCGCCAACGGTTTTATGACATCCGTCGAAATTTACGCGGCGCGATTGACCTTGTCATCCATGTATAGTGGCTTCTCTACAAGAAAAATGTGCTTCTGGGTTCTTCTGGAAAAGGTACCGTTGACTTGATCGAGTCGCGTCAATTACCGAAAAAGGCGGGTTTGGTACAGCCAAAAGTACATCGTTCCGGGTCTTGCCATGTGAGTCTGAGGGCTAGCGTAGACGTTCGGGATTTGAAAACAATGATTTTGAGAAGTGACGGGGAGATGCGCTGTACTTGCTGAAGCTGATCAGTAGTTGTGGCATCACTCAAGGTGGTTGTCGATGTGGAGGAAAGTGCAGCTGGCTGAAGCCGAAAGCCTCACAACACCCAGGCTTCAGGATGACCCTGGCTCTTCGTGCTCCCATGATCAATGATCGCGCTCAAACGCCATCATATATCCATGTTAGTATCGGATTTCTATGGCTCTATACGATCATCTGGAGGGACGTTCACCATTTGTATGGATACCGAGTAGTTTTCGAGATGCCATAATTTTATACACCACTTGTGTTCAAAGATGTTTTTGTTTGACCTATACTAAAGTCACACCGTGGTGACGCCGAGCCTATTATCAACCATTGTATAACGGATTTACCGAGCCCACAATCCCCGAATCGGACGATATCATAGGAACCAGAATGGACAACAGCCTCTATAGAGCGATCATGCGTGTATCGTGTTTTTGTCGAAAGACCAGCAAGTATTCACTAAAGTTATGTTGCCCGAATCATATTTGACAGCTAACTACTGATCCAAGTGATATAATCTTTCAGTGAAGCCAGCCGTCATGCAAAAACTGAGTGATATGTATTTTGACAATGAAGCCAGCCGTCATCCACAAGCTGAGTGGCGCAGCGGAAGGTTCGTAAAATTACCATTCTACCACCCTATTACTCAATACTAACAAATTGTAGCGCGCCGGGCTCATAACCCGGAGGACCTTGGATCGAAACCAAGCTTAGCTATCCTTTCTTTTGCCGGTGTAACAAGACTGGTGAGTTTTGTTGCATCTATTTGCACATGGCTTGAGGATGCGAGTATAGTCAAGGCACGTTTTGTCAGGACAAAGCTGATGTAAATCATGTCTTTGCTTTTTATCCAGACGATGTGTGGGGAATTGGCAAGGCACGAACAGAAAGACACGATAACGTTCGTATTGGGAAATCCATCAAGATACGTAGGCGTACAAAGAGCGTGAGGCCTGGATCCCGGAGTGGAATATGGTCCTATATTCTCTTTCATATAAGACACACGCTGAGCGTCTTGCAGGTGCAGGTGAGTCTGCAATGCATGCATCATGGTCAGGGTTCCATCTAGACCTTAGATTTAGGACCCTGACCCTTGTGCATATCCTCAATAGTCGTCTTGCTAATCTCCAAACTCTGCTGCCAGACCGGGAAACGCTTGCTGTACCATGATGTGATGGTCTCACCGTTTCGCGCCGCGATCGCTTCAGCAAGTGTCAAACCATCAGATATCGCGATATTTGCGCCTTCGCCACCAAGAATTGCCTGAGAATGGGCAGAGTCTCCCATTAGGAAGATTCCATTGGACGCAAGTTGGTAGAGTTGAGGAAGGTCGACTTTGGATGTACGCATCAACCAAGCCAAGACACGGTCCTGCTCCATCTTCTGCTCATCGAAAATCTCCAAGAATGGCTGGGGAAGGTCTTGTAGAGCAGCGATTTCCTGATAAAACTCTTTCAGAATATCAGAGGCACCAGATAGCGGTCGGTTGGGTTTGAAGCAACGATCGCTTGATCCTTGAGCTGGACGTGAATACACCCAACTCACGCTGGCTTGTTCTGCGGTAATGTCGTTGACAGAGACTTGTAGGAAAACGCCATTGTTGTGAATCTCAATGACGTTAGAGCTTTCCATGCCCGGAGCGTAAATTTCGTCAAAAGTGCTTCTGTTCACTTTTCTCTTTCCATTGAAGGTCACGTAGGGTAGAACGTCGAGACCAACCTCCCTCAAGATTGATTTTCTCGTGATTGAGTGCACTCCGTCGGCGCCGACCATACATGTCTGACCTTCCCTGCTGGTGTCGTTCTGCAGGTACAGACTTGTGCCGTTTGGTGTTTGTTCCAGCTTCTCTAACCCATTTTCCCACCTAATATCCAGGCCTTGACGTATCAACTTCTCCAGTCTCTCGCGGTGGGCGCGAAACGATGTGGATGCCACGTCGCGTGGACATATCAACCTCTTGGGGTCAATCGCACCATTTCCACCAACTGCAGCATCGACAGCGACGTTTTGTCTGAAAGTTTGCTCGTCCATCTTGAGCATCTTCAACAAGGGCTTGTAGGTAGACGCGTGCAAGCTGATGCCGTAGCCATGTCTAGGTGATGAGGTCGCGCGTTCGTACAGCACTACAGGTATGCCTCGTTCCAGAAGTGCTCTTCCAAGCGTCACGCCTCCTAGGCCTGCACCGATAATACTGAGTGGTTGCGGAGACATCGCGAATATGTTGTGAGATTAGCCAAAATGAATGAACAAGTCGACGATGTCATGTAACCAAGACGCAGCGCCGAGAAGTCCCGTTGGTATTATTGAAACGCGTAGGAGCCTTCCATAATTTTGTGCAGATGACTGTGCATATCCATGGCCGGCTAAGGAGCACAGCAGCAGAATCGGTGCTCCGCCCAACCAAGCTTTCCTTCCGACTCGGAAGGCACGTCTAAGCACGGCGGTCAAAAGCTCAGCATGCTTGAGAGAACTGACGATTGTTCTTCACGCAAGATCAATCATAGTATGGCTATTCTGGCGGGCATGTCGACTGAAGCCCTGTGTGTGTAAAGTGTCAAGAATCTCAAGAATTTTCGTACGAAGCTTGTCTCTGGTGATGTTGCATTGATGGTTGAGAGATCGGCATCAAAGTAGGAGCACGGCCCGAGTCTCCGCCAAACTTTTGCTCTTCGGTGCTCTTTCTGCAGCTCAAGCACCACGAAATCACGAGCTTGACAAAGTGACATCGCTACAAACGGATCATCACGGATATTTAGGGCTTGAGTCAGACGACGAGTTGCTCCCCAGGAGTCTGGGATTCTGGTCATGCCTGTGTTCTCGAGGGCGACAGGGCCACAGTGACCCTATGGCGTGGTCACAGCGTCAAGACTAATCCTGCACTACCCGAACGTCGACCACGATATGCCGTGTTTTCCTCCATCATTTCTTCAGGCCAAGGAAAGAAAGGTGGATCAATATACGGGGCGATGTGCCGGGGATGAGTGATTGGGGTACCGGGGGTTCTGCTACGTGGGGCCCCATGGGAGTCAACTATAAAGAGAGGCCCCCTTCAGGCATGGGTTGATCTCTGTTTCTCACTCGACCTTGGATTCCTTCGTGCAGCCATGAACGACGACATGAAGAAGAGTGGCAGCGACCACTTCGACGCTGAGAAGTCGCCGATTGAGACCTTCCACTCACGGCATCCACCTATGGACCCGGAACGCCGCAAAGTCGTGGAGAAATCGATGAAGCGGAAACTCGACGCAAGGTGTTCGCTGTTCATCTTGATCTATATCATGAACTATCTCGATCGCAACAACATGGCCGCTGCCAGATTAAAGGGGTTGCAACAGGATCTAAAGCTCAGCGATACACAATACGCCACCTGCTTGAGTATTCTCTATGTTGGATACATTCTGATGCAGGTACGTTTATCATATCGCCTCAACAGCTCGAAGCGGTCTAATTCTTGAAAGGTTCCTTCGAACATCATCATCAACCGCATCACCAAACCCAGTTGGTACATTGGCGCAGCCATGCTTCTTTGGGGTCTGATCTCTACACTATCTGGAATCGCCCAAGGCTTCGGCGGCATGGTAGCCATCAGATTTTGCCTAGGATTCGTGGAGGCTGCTTTCCTGCCTGGCGCTCTTCTTATCCTATCAAAATGGTACACTCGCAGCGAATTGACTAAGCGCAATGCTCTCCTCTTCTGCGGCAACCTTATCTCGAACGCTTTCTCCGCACTTGTTGGTGCTGGAGTTTTGTCGAACATGCAAGGTACCCTGGGCCACGCAGCCTGGCGCTGGTTGTTCTGGATTGAAGGAGCCGTGACAATGGGAGTTGCCATCACCGCCGCCCTCGTACTACCGGACTTGCCTCACAACTCGAGAGGCTTCACCGAGGAAGAACTGCAGGTCGCTCAACTCCGTATGATTGAAGATGTTGGAGAAGCCGATGAGGACAGCAATGAAGACGGTGTGTTTGACGGCCTCTTCATGGCTCTCAAGGATCCCAAGATCTACGTCTTGATGTTCACTCTTACCGCCTATGTCGTTGGCCTCAGTTTCAACGCCTTCTTCNNCCCCTCCCTCACAAAAACTCTAGGATTCGGCTATGTTCCCACTCTGCTTATGAGCGCTCCTCCATGGGTGTTTGCCTGTATCGTTTCTCTTCTTAACGCCTGGCACGCCGATCGAACCCAGGAGAAGTTCTGGCACATTGTGGGACCCATCTGTATGGGTCTCGTAGGATTCATCATCAACATGTCTACCTTGAACACTGCAGGCCGCTATATTGCACTCTTCCTACAGGCAGGCTCATACGCAGGCTTCATCGTTTTCTACTCGTGGATTTCTTCCAGTTTCCCACGCCCACCTGCTAAGCGTGCCGTCGCAATCGCTCTGGTCAACGCATTCAGTCAGCTAGGAAATGTGGCCGGCTCATACGTATGGAACCTCACCGAGAACGGCTACCGTAAGTCCTATGGTATCGTGACAGCTATGTTCGGCGTCACTATTGTGGGCTGCTTCATCATGAAGATGATTCTCGTCAACCTGAACAAGAAGCTCGAGGCAGGAGAGGCTGCAGCCTGGGCCACCAAACCTGATGTCGCTGAGCATACTGCTGAGAAAGAATTCTTGGACAGCCCCGATGAAGCTCTGCGCATGAGACAGGGATTCAGGTATCTTGTATAGAGAAGCAGGGACAATTTTTGTATATATAAGCAATAATAGTCTTACGAGACACGAATAGAACATGACTCCATCACTATTCAAATCAAGGTCCTGACTTGAATAACAATGTTCCACGGTAACGAATTTGTAGCTACGATGCCGTGTCTGACAGGCAATTCTTGGATTGATGAACCAGCGTATGTGTAGACTCGAGTGGTATGCAGTGAGCGGCGGCTGTCAGCTCATCACATGTCACATTGATGGGGCGGCTACGTGCAGCAGTTCTTCGATGGCAAGATGAGTGGACACGTTGAGCTTGCCATGCTCCTATATCTCCAGAAGAGCACCGAGATACATGGATCAGGTGCCCCGAAGCAGGTATAAATATTTTACAGAGTGTCGTGATGGTTGGATGATTAAAGTCGAGAAGAGAAAGGGTCCGGGTTCAAGGTCGGCTACGCGGAAGTGGATGAAAAGTGTGGGGCAATGTTTACGAGTCGACTTGGAAACTGGTACTCGTACTTTTGACTGCATCGTCCCTCGGTTGCGAGTCACCTATCGTAGACGAGTGCAGTCTACCTGTCTGAGGGAGAGCACCAATACCAGACAAGTGACTTTACAGGTCGCGCATCAGCTCAGCTGCGGGTGCTCATTCCTCCTAAGCCGCAGGCACTAGAAACCCGACGCTCCTTTGTTTCTTCTTGTCTCAAAGCATCCACCATCATCCTACCATCTCTTCCTCCAAACCTGATCAACAGCGTCATCGCTCAACCTCGGTCATCCACATCATCGTACAATCTCAGCCATGTCCGGAGGTTACGAGGTTGACTACGATTCCGACTGCGATGTCTACGATTACGATGATGATTACATCTATGCCGATGCAGGAGCCTACGACCTAGCCGTATGTCGCATCTGACAACACACAACAAAGCAGCGCTAATACTTTGTCCAGGATGAACTTGCTTCTGGTGCCATAGCCGAGGCACCCGCCCTGTACTACCGCGATGACGAGCTCGACGAATACGACAACTACAACTTCTGGTCCGAGATAGAATACGGCAACGGCGAGATTTTTGATCAAGAGATGGCCCAGGAAGAACACACAGCCAAAGGCGACACGAAAAAGAAGTCAAAGGCTTCAGACATCAAAGATACAATGAAGAAGATTCGCTTGCGCGGCATTCAAGATTATCCGACTGTCTTGTGGAAGTCCTCACAGGATGCTTTCAGCTTGCGCCAACAGTGTCCCGTCTACGAAAAACCACAACAACCATCTGCACTTTTACCCAATTGGCGACAACTTCTGAAAGACCGACCCGCCGTTTTCACTACATCCCACATTGCCATACATTCTGCTAAGAATGAGAAACAAGATGCCGAGTGGGAGGATGTCTCAGGAGACGAAGACGAGTCAGATCAAGATGACGAGGACGAGGAAGAGGAGGACGAAGACGCACATGAAGAAGAGGGCATGGGTCTGCAGGACATTGACCCAGAAATGCTCAAGTCTGTTCTCGCCGCAAGACTCTCCGCCTCAGGTATGGCTGGCAAAGACCAAACCGCCATAATGGAAGCCATGTTGCAAATGCTTGCAGGCGGCAATGGTGCTGGCACGGATGAGCTGCTCGAGAGTTTGACATCAAGCATGTTGAACCAAGTGAGCGAAGAAGGCGATAGCTCTTCAATGGGACAATGGCTCTCTGGTCAGGGCGTCTCCTTGGACGATAACAATCACGACGACGAGCAGGGAGACGTCACGCCCGGCGCGGCAGAGGACTCCTCACCGAAAGACAGCGTAGCAGCTGAACCGCCTGCTGCGCCCAAATCATCCGAACCGTCTATCGAAGCTCTACTCGAGCCGCAATCAGTCGGAAAGAAGCGAAAACATCCTCTGTCCAAAGAGATTAAACAAGACGATGCGAACATTGAGCCAATACCTGATGAAGGCCCAGATCACAAAAGAAGCAAGCCAGAAGTTCCAAAACTTTCGACTGTCTCTACTCAGTCCAAAATCTCAACACGAAGAACAGCAGTGACACAGTCGGAAGCGAAGACCGTGGACGACAAGCCCACTGCGAAACCAAAGACCACTACNGACGGCCAAGACCAGGCCCGAGACGACGAAAACTACCAGACCCAAGCCTCTGACCACTCAAGCAAAGAGAACATAACTTCATCCGCTTCGACTACAAAACCGACCACGCGAAAGCGCAAAGCTGCAGACGAGCAAGTGCCAGACGAGAAGCCAAAGCGGCAATTGCGCAACTTTGCCGCACCAACCGCGAGCAGTCAAAGCAGAACCGCAGAAGCTAAGACTTCTGAGCCCAAGACTACAAGAAGCGGAAAGGCCAGAAAATAGATGAAATAGTTGTTTGGGACCCATTCGTCGATATCGTTGTTTGGGCTAGCTTCAGAGTTTCAGGCGGTCCATATCATCGTCACCAGGTTTCAGCGCGGAGGCCCTATTTCGGAATTAGAGTAAAGCATTGTCTCGGTTCTTGTTTTTGTATGCTGTCAAAAGATGATCTTTCGCATCGACCATCATGGTGTGCGACTAACAACCAATCAGTAGTCGGCCTGCCAAGTTTTGTCTGTAAACAAAGGAATAAATCAGGGTCTTGGGGGTTCAGCCTCTGACGAACAACGGTCTCGCCTAAACACGACTGACCACCCCATGCATGCGGAACCGATAGATAAATGCCTTGTCGACGGTAGGATTTTTATTTCCACATGATTCTTTGTAGAGCTGAGTTTTGACAACAGAAAAACATCCTTTGAGCTGTGTTTCTTGTGATCCTGAACTTTTGCGACATTTTTCTGGGAACACAAGCATTTGAGCAAGGTGTTTGAGACTATCAAGTTTGCGTTGCACTGTGTTGGCATTCCTTTGTATTGGTCACACGTGCCGGAGTGGCTACTGCCATTTCTACTGCTTCAGCTCCTTGCTTTGCTCTTTCCATCGAACCTTCCTTCCATTGCAAATTCCAGGAGTAATTGACAACTGAGAAAATCCAACCAACCATCCACCCATCAATAACAGAACGAAATATTCTTCTCTTCAACGACGACAATATCGATATCTCCAGCCGACCAAACAAACATGTTTCAATCACTCAAGGACCGCTCTTCGTTTGGAGGATACATACGCTTCACCATCCGCGTCTTTCAATTCGTGCTCGCCATCACGGTCGCAGGACTCTACGGCTACGATCTCGATAATGCGAGAAAGGCGCACATTTACGCAGACCCGAAATGGACTTATGCAGTCGTTGTCGCCGCACTCTCTGCCGTCAGCGTATTCTTCTTCTTGTTCAAGTTTTCACTCAGGTTTTTCTGGGATGCTGTTATGCTGTGAGTTCGTTTTCCTTTTCTTCCCTTCTCTTCACACCACGATGTTGTAGAAACTTCTTGCTAATGGGTTTGGGAATGTATAGCNATACTCTGGGCAGTCGTCTTTGGCATCTTCGGNAAAATGTACATCAACGCTCATCCCACACCGCACCAAAGCGGTCAAACACGCATGAAGAATGCAGTCTGGGTGGACCTCGCAAACCTGATCTTGTGGTTTATCACCTTTGTCTGGGACTTGATTTTGCACTTTACAAGGATGGACAAGATGACTCTGCACACTGGTCGCGCCCACGTCTAGGGGACTGGAGAGAAAGAAGGCCGCTATGCTCCTGTGGATCTCTATGTCAAGTATCCGACGCTGCTTACGGCTGATGCTTGGCATTTGAGGACTAAGGGAGAGTGGATGGATGATACGGAACAGGTGTTTGCGGAGTGTAGGGTGATCAAGGAGAGGGTGTATGCTGCAGAGGCTGGAGATCCAGCGCCAGAGGAGACGCCAAATGAGCTTTTGGATGAGGCGTGGATATTGCCTGATGAGTTATTACTGGAAGCGGTATTGGACAGAGAACCTGTTGGAGAAGGGAAGACACCCGAGGAGACGGAGGCTTCCTATGCTCGGCCGGGACCTATTCATGTTGATTGAAATGATGAGACGATGGCGTTCTGGGACCTGCGAAACCATAATGACAATTTTATTTTTGGTTAACATCCATAAACTACGGTGATTCTATGATGTGCATATATCGAAGACTGATAGATCATCATTAAACCTGACACCATCGCCCTTCCACGTAGTGAACACCTAGAAATGAGGCGTGTTCAGTGCCATCAAACACAAAAGCCCGGCAATGAGACCAGCACATGGCAACGTCAAAACCCATCCCATAAAGATGAAGCACAATTGCTTCCAGTTTACGGCTTTCAAGTCATAGTTCATAAGAGCGACTCCCATGACTGCTCCCGTCAAGCACTGAGTCGTCGATACTGGTAGACCCAATCGCGAGGCTAGCAAGACCGTGACTGCTGCACCCAACTCAACAGAAAAACCACGACTGGGCGACATTTGGGTGATCTTGTTGCCCATGGCACGAATGATTTTGAAACCNNTAGCAAGCGTCAATATAGAATTCTGCAAAAGAGGCAGACAAAGCCACTCACCATAGAACCAGAAACCGGCACCTAAGAGAAAGCCTGCGATGACCAGAAACCACACTGGAGTAGGAGATCGTGTGGCCACTTCGCCTGCTTGGTAGGTCTGATACACTGCAGCCCAAGGCCCAACAGCATTGGCTACGTCGTTGGAGCCATGTGCAATGCTCATCATCATGGCAGAAGCCACCTGGCAATAGGTCCACAGATGCTCCACTCTGGGGTCGTATTTGTTTGCGCGCGCGTGGATGGCACGCATGGCGGCAGTATCGTGGATAACCACATCACGCGTGACTCCTTGAAGCAGTGCAAACTTGACGTATCCCCAGAGTCGTTGAGGATTTGCGATGGAAAGATTTTCTGTAGGCTTCAGGAAGCGTTCGTGGGGTCCTATGTGGCGTTTGCGTGGTCTGGGTTGATTGTGTTCCAGGCCAGCTTCGACGGATGAAGAGTCTCCAAGCATGTGGTCTACTTTTTCTGGGCTTTGCTCCTGTAGTGATAATGGACTGTTGCCTTTGATTTCCGGGCTGGCATCGGGTGTGTCGCTGAATGCCTTGCCTTCCGCTTGGTATTCTCCGATATATTCACCTTCAGCATTGCCAGGATAGTAGAGAGGTGGATTGTCCCTTAGAAGGAGGGGACCCAGAGGAATATGCCAGGCTTTGACTCGTGCATCTTTCATAACCAAACGTCGCTTGAAGTAAGGCATGAAGAAGATGTAAGCAATGGCGAGGACACCAANAAAGACACCCAAGATGATTCCAACAGCTTTACCAGCGCCAAACTCTTCCAGCGAGGGAGCAGTGGGAGCTTCGATGACGATAAAAAGCGCAAGGATCGCACCCGTCAAAGCCAAGTAGTAGGGGATCAAGCGCAAGGCCCACTTGAAAGATTCTCTACGCTCAAGCACACTATACTTGACTGTTGCAAAGATGAGGGCGCTAAAGCCAGCAGCGATCAAAGGAGCAATGGCCCAGCTTGCCGCAACCTGAGAAACACTGCCAGATTCCCAAGCCCATTTGACGGAACTGCTGCTTGCGAAGCCGACTCCAATGAGAGCTCCAACAACGGTCTGGGTAGTTGAGACTGGCATGCCGAGACCGGTGGCGACCATCAACCATGTAGCGCTTCCAACCTCTGCACAGCCCATGGCAAGCATAAGAGCTCCAGGATTACCCTCGAAGCGATCGATGGAGATGATGCCGTTCTTGATTGTCGAAGTGACGCGAGCGCCTAGACCGACAGCTCCTACAAATTCCGTGATGGTCGCCAGCACGCCGACTTGTGGCATGGTCAAGGTCTGAGCAGCAACCGACGTGGCGTACGAGTTCGCGACATCGTTTGCTCCGTTGCCGAAGGCGCTGAAGATGAAGGCGATGGTTGTGATAGCAAGGATCCAGTCATCTAAAGACAAGGGCGCGATTAGCATGTTTCTACGTTTGCGAGGGGTAGAAAAAGCAGTCAAAACGCCATTCAATCGCTGTTGACCTGCGCCGACTGTACTCTTGCCTTACGTACATCTGGCGGTGACTGCAGACGGCATGATAGAAAGTGAATCTTCTATGAAGCAAGCAGAGAACTAAACTAGAAGGGAATTTGGATAGCCAAAGCCCTCCTCGTTCTTGCAGCATACTTAATATATATAAGGGACCATAATGGCAATCCTGCGCATAGATTCGCAGAGATCACCTCCCGTCCTCTTCTCGCCTGCCGTGGGTCGTTACATTGGCAGTCTTGTCATCGAGCTGCCAATATGGAGTATTGGTTGGATCTGTTGAAATAATCCAACACGTGTGCGATGCGACTGCATGTCGGTGTTGACCGAGTATCCTGTCCAAGAGCAAAATGTTACAACCAAGAGACCAAGCCTGGGCGCTCAGAAGAGACCAAGAGCTGCCCTGAATGGCGATCCAATAGGCAGTCTCATTAATTGCACGTTCTCCTTCACAGTCTCTATACTGGATAGAACAGAGCTACAGATCGTATGTTGACTGTCGCAATCCAAGATATCATGTGTTGGAAAAAATCCCATGGCCGCGGACATCTGTATCCAGATGACTAGACAGGGATTCTGCAGGATGACGACGTGGCTGGTGTGCGGTCGCTTCGGCCTCTTTCGCTGCACACAACTTGGGGTCCTTCTCATCTCTCAACACCATCAAAGAAGCTTTCATCATGGACTCTTCGATGGATTCAATGACTGCGGACTGCGATGTTCTAGGAGGAGTAGGGATGATGATCACATGCTCCCGATGATTCCCCATAAAGCAGGTAGCGTGACCCCGCAGCGCCCCCACGACGCGCCCTGCGATTACCCTCGGCGTGCTCTCCGTCCGGGACTTCATCAACTCATGCAGTTGCACTGCTAAGTACCATCCTGCTGAATTATCATACTTGTGATCTGAACCAATCAATCAACATGTTCCGTCATACTAGAGGTCATCGAGGCCTCATACCTGCAGTGACCAAACGACTAAAAAGTACAACAACAAGTCAGGGACCAGAGAGACAACCACTTCAATCTATCCTGATTGCCAACAGAGGAGAAATTGCTCTCCGAGTTGGTAAGACGGCTGCACAGTATGGTATCAGGACGACAACCCTCTACACCGACCCAGATGCACACAGTCAACATGCCTTGAGCTCTCCCTTTGCTATCAATCTCAGTGACCCTAGTCAATACCTCAATGGCGACCGAATCATTCAGACCGCTCGCGATCACGGTTGTCAAGCCATTCATCCTGGTTACGGTTTCCTTAGTGAGAACGCAGACTTCGCCAAGAAGTGTACCGAAGCAGGACTCAAGTTTATCGGACCTCCATGGAAAGCTATCGAGGCAATGGGCGACAAAAGTCGTTCTAAGGATATCATGACTTCGGCTGGCGTTCCCTGCATTCCTGGCTATCATGGCACAAACCAAGACCCCGACTTCCTCAAAGACCAAGCAGCACATATTGGATATCCTGTCTTGCTAAAAGCTGTCAAAGGCGGAGGTGGTAAAGGTATGCGGATCTCTAGATCACCCGACGACTTCTTGGATCAACTAGCCTCTGCAAAGTCTGAAGCCATGAGTTCCTTCAGTGACGATGTCATGCTGGTTGAGAAATACATCACCACACCACGACACATCGAGGTCCAAGTTTTTGCTGACAAGCACGGAAACTGTGTTGCACTAGGCGAGAGAGATTGCAGTATCCAGAGAAGACATCAGAAGATTCTTGAAGAATCACCAGCACCACATCTTGACGAAGCTTTGCGACAAGACCTCTGGGACAAGGCCCGATCAGCTGCTCTCGCCGTGGCTTACGAAGGTGCTGGTACTGTTGAGTTCATCTTTGACAACGACTCAGGCGAATTCTTCTTCATGGAAATGAACACTCGATTACAAGTCGAGCATCCAGTCACCGAGATGGTAACCGGTGAAGATCTCGTGCATTGGCAAATTCTCGTCGCGGAAGGAGGCAAATTGCCCCTGACTCAGGAAGAAGTGCACGAGAGAATCAAGACTCGTGGTCACGCAATCGAAGCCCGCATCTATGCAGAGAATCCTGACATGTGAGTATTGAACTGTCATCCTGGCAGAGCGACTCTGACTATGATAGGNAACTTTGTGCCAGACTCTGGCAAACTGCTTCATCTAAGGACCCCTGAGATTACCGACACCGTACGCATCGATGCAGGATTTGCTGTTGGAGATGAAGTCACATCACATTATGATCCAATGATCGCAAAACTCATCATACAAGGTCCAGACAGACACGCAGCGCTGCAGAAGATGAAGACAGCCCTCGAGGAGTATGAGATTGCTGGGCCAATCACTAACATCGAGTTTGTCAAGCGTATGTGCGTCAGTCCCAAATTTGTTGCTGGCGAGGTCGAAACTGGTTACATTGAGAAAAACAAGGAGGAATTGTTCCGCAAAGTTGAGGTACCACACGAAGCCTGGACGCAAGCAGCTATTGGATTGTATATCGCCGAGCAAGGATTAAGTGGCAATGAGTCTATCTTATCTTCTCAGACCATCGGCTTCAACACTGGACTATCTGGTCCAAGAACCTTCGACCTGGTTGAGATTCCAGCGGATGGCAACAGCAGTAGCGCGTCGTCTGTCACTGCACGCGTACAACACGTAGGCCCGCACACTTTCTCTGTCTCGGTGGGAGACCAACAAGCTCTCCAAGTCACCAGCAAGCTTGACCAGACCAGCAATATTCTCCAATCCTTCTATCCTCACACCAGGNNCTTGGAAACGAGAGTGATACGAGACCCTGAAACCAACAACCTGATCCTCTTCCAGCAAGGACGACAATACCGACTACAGCTCGCGGTTCCCAAGTGGGCTGAGAAAGCATTAGGGTTGAAAGATGTCGCGAACAGCGTTCTAGCACCTATGCCTTGCAAAGTCCTCCGTGTTGAGGTAGAAGAAGGTGCAACCGTTACCAAGAACCAGGCTCTTGTTGTAATTGAGAGTATGAAGATGGAGACGGTCATCAGAGCACCTCACGACGGCGTTATTGCGAAAGTCGTGCACAAGGCTGGTGATTTGTGCAAAGCTGGTACCGCTCTGGTGGAGTTCGCTGGAGAAGAGGATGAGAAGACATCGTGATAGAAGAACAAAAGCAAAAAAAAAGTCCTAGCCTCTCGAAGTATTGGATTGTTGAATCCATGAATTGTCAGACCCTGTCTTTTTTGAAGGTGGTTATCGCTAATCATTCAAGCTGTGTAGCAAATTATCAAACTCCACGCGTCGATGCATCAATTCGTGTTTGACAAGCTTTTCCCAAGACCTTGAATCTGCTAGAACATTGGCGAACAAGCAAATGGCAATACTCGGCGAACGTTGCGAGCTATCCATGAACTTTCAATCGCGTGGTATATAGGCACGCTTCAGCCCACCTGCTTCCATCAAGGTGGTTTTGCATCAAGGTGTTTTTTTTTGTCCAGAATCAGCAAAAGCTGAAAGAGGGCGACTGCAACTCGACAAACTCTTTTCTCATCTACATTCTGTTTTAATGACCTTCCCCTCCAGCGACGATCTAAAGTATCATGGCGTTCGACCCCAAGAATGTGGACCTCACCACCGCCGATGCCAGAGAGATTGTATGCTACCTACAACTATGCGAAAATGAATACAATGGTCACCTTCCCGCTCGAATCTCGGCAGTATTCGTCATGCTGGTGGTATCAACGCTTGGAGTGGCATTCCCTTACATTGGCAAGCAGATGCCTAAGCTCCGCATACCTACTCAAATGTATTTGTTTGCCAGATACTTTGGCAGCGGAGTCATCATCTCGACTGCCTTTATACATTTGTAAGAGAAGTATAACAGGTCCACCCACGCAAGTTCCAAACTAACCAAGAGGAAACCCAGACTGGATCCTGCATACGCCAACATTGGCTCCAATAGCTGTGTCGGCATGACTGGAAACTGGTCTGTCTACCCCTGGGCACCAGCAATCATGTTGTTTTCTTGCATGAGCATCTTCGCCATCGATGTCACAGCTCAGAAATATGTGGCCGACAGATATGGCATGAGTGTCCACACCACCAACATCGAGAGCTTGATTACCAAAAGCACTCCTGCAAGTACAAGTCAGGCCATAGTACCACGCACCGATGAAGAAGACACCGTGAACGAACAAATGGCGGAGAAGATAGCGTTCGCGCAACAATTTGCTGCATTCTCGATTCTGGAGGCAGGCATCGTATGGCATTCTGTATTTATCGGACTCAACTTTGGCGTTGCTGGTGAGGAGTGGTCGACGTTGTATATCGTCTTGATGTTTCACCAGGCCTTTGAAGGTCTCGGCATCGGAGCTAGACTGTCCATGATCCCGATGCCTGGAAAGTACAGACGATGGTTGCCTTGGGCCTGCATAGTTGGGTACGGCATCACGACACCCATCAGCATGGCAATAGGGTTGGGAGTGAGAACGACTTACAATAGCGATGGCTACGAAGCGGTAAGACAACAAGAAACAACATGCAAATCCCAGACACTGACTGATCATGGGGAGCAGAAACTCATCGCTGGAGTTTTCGATGCTATCAGTGCTGGTATCCTTGTCTACAACGGACTCGTGGAGTTGCTGGCTAGAGACTTTATCTTCGAGCCGCAGACAAAGAGTAACAGACGTCTGGCTTTCATGATGGGATGTGTCTTCCTTGGAGCTCTGATCATGTGTATCATCGGTGCTTGGGCATAGTTTAAGGATAGAGAGATACTCCATCCACCTCAATTAGATGTCAAGAACTTTTGCCTGATTGTGACCGGCCACGCACCTACCCCTCCACCGGAGCCAAGTCCGTGGAAAGCACGAAGGGTCCTCCTGCTTTGCCCATGAAATCAATCAACTTCGTTAACACTTTTCATCTCCGTACCTAAGATCCCATCATCTTCCGGTATGCACTGTTACGCTGCGGGCTGGAGAAGTAGTTCTCCATTTGATCACCGGTTCGCTCCTTGTTGAAAACACGCTCTGTAGTCTGCCGCCACAGCGATGATGTTTCCTCCCGCACGACCGAAAAGCTAAATGATCTTCAGACAATTCAGCTACCCCTTGGCACTGACTGACCTGATGGGCACATAGCCCCTCACTCTCGGACGAGATTAGGCCTCCACTGTATGTTGGCATCGGCAGTTGATTCGTAAACCCCACTCTGGAGTCTGAGCGCTCCGCAGCAGCAAGATGATATATGTAACCTTGTTGTGCCGTTCCCTCATGGAGACAACGATTGCCCTTGATTCAGACAATCATCCTCAATATGAAACAGAACGAATTGGCAGGCGAGGAAGGGTTCGGTGTAGGAACCTCTTCAGGTGCCTATCGAGTCCCTGATGGCAGTCGACCCGAGGCAGAAAGGCGACCACTGACTCTGCCCCCGAACACAAGCCTGGACAAATTTAACAACTTCATGCAACGTATCGCCGATATTGTTGGTATCGAGAATGCTACAGTCATATCCAGCGACAATGAGCTTAAGCATGAGTCTTACCTTGACCCGAGCAAGGCTTACGATGTATAGTCGTTGTCCCTTTCCTGCGAACGGATCATACTTACGGAGATGTTANNGATGTTCCATATCACTCCGAAGGAATATTTTGTCAGCTCTGCCGTTGTCGCTCCTCGCAACGTGCCAGATGTCCAAGCTATCATGCGACTGTGCAACGAATTCGAGATACCAGTCTGGCCATTCAGTATTGGCAGAAACGTCGGTTACGGAGGTGCTGCACCCAGGGTCCCTGGAAGTATCGGTCTTGACATGGGCAAGAATATGGCAAAGATTCTGGAAGTGAACGTCGATGGTGCATTTGCCTTTGTCGAGCCAGGCGTAACGTTCATGCAAGTCTTGCTTGATCCACATCTGAGCGTCCTTGCTGACATGAATCTAGCNGATCTCCACAACTATCTGGTCGAACACAACTTACGCGAGAAACTCTGGATCGATGTCCCTGATCTTGGAGGAGGCTCCGTGATTGGTAATACTGTTGAGCGTGGTGTAGGGTATACGCCATATGGTGACCATTGGATGATGCATTGTGGTATGGAGGTAGTCCTGCCAGACGGCACTCTATGGCGATCTGGTATGGGTGGTCTGCCAAACCCGAACGTTGACCCTAACGCGCCACCACACGAACAAGCTGCAAATGAGACCTGGGGTCTGTTCAACTATGGCTTCGGACCTTACAACGATGGAATCTTCACTCAGTCTTCTCTTGGTATTGTCGTCAAAATGGGTATATGGCTCATGGTAAACCCTGGCGGGTATCAAAGCGTAAGTGAGAATCAAAATCGGACATAGGGCAAATGCTGATTTAACCAGTATCTCATCACTCTGCCGAAGGACGAGAATTTGCACCAAGCTCTGGAGATTATAAGGCCTCTACGAGTAGGTATGGTGCTACAAAATGTGCCGACCATGAGACATATCTTGCTGGACGCAGCAGTCATGGTAAGCATGAATAACCTCTATCCATACAGATTACTAACGTTTGTAACANNGGGTGACCGGAAGTCATATACAGACTCAGACAAGCCTCTGAACGACGATGGGCTCGACGCTATCGCAAAGAAGCTCAACCTAGGACGCTGGAACTTCTATGGCGCAGTCTACGGTCCGCCACCAGTACGCGAAGTACTGCTTTCAGTGATCAAACAATCATTCTTGCAGATCCCGGGAGCGAAATACTACGAGCCAGAAGACATGCCCGATAACGTGGTTCTTCAAACTAGAAACGACACACTGCAAGGAATTCCTAGCACAACCGAATTACGATGGGTGGACTGGCTACCCAATGGCGCTCACCTGTTCTTCAGTCCTATCGCAAAAGTGTCAGGAGATGATGGTGTAGCACAATACAAAGTGACCCGTCAACGCTGCGAAGAAGCCGGGTTCGACTTCATCGGCACCTTTGTGGTTGGGATGGTAAGAGCACCTGATCAACTCATATACTCGCTCACTGGTGGCTAACAATGCGTACACAGNCGCGAGATGCATCACATCGTCTGTATCGTGTTCGACCGCAAAGACCCTGACAGCAGGCGCCGTGCCCACTGGTTGATACGAACATTGATCGACGACGCAGCAAAGCGTGGCTGGGGAGAATATAGAACACATCTCAGTGTGATGGATCAAATCGCAGAAACATACAGTTTCAACGACAATGCGCAGATGAAGTTGAACGACAAGATAAAGGCTGCCCTAGATCCGAAAGGTATCATCAGTCCAGGCAAGAATGGAGTCTGGCCTAAGAAATACAACAAAGCTGATTGGAAGGTACCCGAGCAATGAGCAATCAACTCTGTTCTTCGCACATCGCAGACTCTTGACTCTCATCGTGAGCTGGGGAGCCCCTGAATAAGACTACATAGCTTTTGAAAATTGCCTTGCCACCACCTACTCAGTCAGTAATGCGTACCAAAGTATGTTTGGCTGGGCGGAATAGCCGGTTCGCGTATGCGTACTTGTTCGATAATTAAATCTCTTGTATGCTAGCTGGGAATAGTAGGTGTAACGCGACCTACTTTTGCTGGTTGTGAGTTCGATTCCGGTTCGCGGCAAGATTGGGCTCTTTTTGCTCTAGCCTCATATACGCGATCTCTCTACAGTCTTCTCCAGTGACGTAGAAGCATATTGGGCGAGCGCTTGCTTTGCTGAAGTATGCTATAGATGTTAGCCATCACAGCCTTGTATGTTGCGGAGTGTACTTGCTTGACACTTCTACTAAAAAGCGGTCAAGAAAACTCGTGATATACAGCAAGACACAAGTGGTCCTCAGAGCGACTGAAGAGAAGTCAAGCACTGTGCGAACTGAGTAACTTTGAATGGCATACTCTAGCTGCTATTTGGAGCAGAACCAAACCGATTTTCCTCCCTCTGTTGTCGTATCATCTCATGGTCTTCTCCAAAGCAACACTATCTTAGAAGCAAAGTCACGTTCATCTCGCATCCTCGCATGAGCATTACTGTGCCTCAGGTTCTGCTCCAGCGATTCTCTTACTAGCTCTTGTAGCTCCGCATCCAACCTCTTCACTCTCCTTGTCACGTTTTCTCTTCGCCCTCATTTCGGTTTCCTTTCCAACAAGAGTTTGTTTCTTTTGCTCGGGCTTGACTGAGTTCTTGTTTGTCTTTGCGGGTGCTTTGTTCTTGGGCGTGCCCTTGCACTTAGCCACCAGGCTGAAAGGACTGGGCTTGGCTCCAATTGCTGCAACAGATTTCGCGATTGGCTTTTTCGCACGCTTAGCCGGAGTAGGAACAGGTGCGGGCTCAAGGTTTGGCTCGACTGTCGAGTTTCTGGTTCTGCTTTCTTTGACCTCAACAGCGCCCAAACGTTCGACCTCTGCGTTGCTGATGGCTGATTTTGTACGCTTCGGTACTGGCTTGGCCGGATCTTGGGCAGGTGGTTCTGGGGCAGGTTCGACTGTTGCAGTCCTTGCTCTCGTTCTTGTCTCTAGTATAGGAGTATTGCCCAGGTCCGTGAGTTCTTGAGCACTCACAGGATTGGCGCCCGTAGGTCGCTTTCTCTTTGNTTGAGCTGGCGTGCCTGTGTCATTTGTTTCAGTGGTTCCAGTCGCAAGGATTGTTTGTGTGGCAGGGGTAGATTCAGTAGCGGAAGCAGGTGCAGGAGTCTGAGATTGACTACGCAGTCTTCCGCCAACGTCTGCCTGTTCCTTGTCTGCAGCTGTCCGAGGTGGTGAAGCTCCAAGAAGTTCGGCCAATTCTCTAGTGCCAACACCTCCCCTCGTGGTCCTTGGGATGCCTATGAGCTTTCTGAGGGGAGCGGATGTATTGACCGGCTTCTTAATACGTGAGCGACTAGCTGTAGATCTGTCAAGCTTAGGCTTGCTTTATTTCTTGGAAGGTTTGCTCAGAATGAAGGGGTTCGACACGGTAGAATCAGCAAGTTCGTCTGGTGAGGCTGAGGCGAGTTCGTCAGGAGAACCGCGTTGTGCGGATCTGGGGGTTGCTTTGCTTTTGCCTTTTGTGCTGGCTTCGGACTGCGTTTGACTGTCTCCTCTCTCGATGCAAGGATTGTCTCTGTATCGATTCCCGGNTTGATGTTCATCTTCTGTGTCTGGCGAAAGACGTCTCTTCTGCGCCGGCTCGTCTGCATGGGGCTGTTCTTGCTTGCGCTTTGGGTTGGCAAGAGTCAGGTGGTCCGTGGATGTCTTCGTGCCATCAACACGGTCTTCGTAAGCGAGCTCGTCAACGACTCCATTGACTGTGACCATGTATTTGGCATCGCCTTCCTCTGCGTCAATCCCACCCATCGCATCCGCATTGGCATCCATAGTGTCGACAAAGCCTGGGGGTGGTGTCAACGGGGAGAATGATGGTCGAGGTGGTGTATATCCGTCGCGGCCGTTGACTTGATCAACGAGTTGGATTGCTGGCAGCTGTCCATCTCCAGAGGCCAGAGAAGTCAGAGTCGAATCAGCGGACGAGTCATCGATGTGGTCATGGGTCTCATCGCGAGGCTTTCCAGTGAGAGTCGATGATGGAGCTTGCGGATCGTCGAAGCTGAATTCATAGGGTGTATCGGAGTATGGATTGGGTGGAAAGAACGAAACGGCTGCTGCGGATGGGTCATGTACGACAGTGGCATCATCTTCTTCGGTAAGTATGCTTGAGTCGAAAGCTTTCGGTAGTCCATGTTCGTCTGAGATCTCATCTTTGACAGCTTGAAGACCTGTTGGATCATCCTCTGACACTGTCGTAGCTTCTTTCGTGGTAACGTTATGCTCGTCGGAGGACAGGTTGTGTATGTTTTCGAGGGGGAGNNTAGGTGCAATACTATTCTCAGCTGGGGCGACTAAGTCTGTGAAAGCACTGTTATTGTCTCTTTTGGTGAGTTCAGGTGGCAAGTCGTCTCTGTGGCCAGCTGGAGCATTGCGAACGATAGGGACAAGCTTGTGTACTTCAGATGCGGAAGGCACGATTGCCTCGTCCTCATGAGACGTATCAAAGCTGACTGCCGCATCTGCAAATATGGAAGATGCTCGAGTATTTGAGTCGGGCTGTGGGCTAGTCTGTCTGGTGCTTGTAGTTGTGCTGATAAAGAAAGGTGACGATGTATCGATGGCATCGCTGCCGGTACTTGTGCTTGGGATTGGAAATGGTTTCACGAGGGCAGATTCCTCTGAGTGAGATTGTGAGTCCTTGGAGCCACTCGTGATGGCAGGTGCGACTTCCTCCGCTTCCTTAGGTTCAACATGCGCTGATTTGGCAGCTGAGAATGGGTCGTTGCTGAGATTCACGATCGTGGCTTGCAGTTGGATGCCCTTACTGCTCGGCTCAATGGACTGATTTGCAACATGTCTCGGGTCATGCTTCTGCTCTTGTTGACCAGTAGAGAGGTCTGTAGTATTCTCCACCGAGTCACTGAGGTTGACACCGGCATTGACTGGTCTTTGTGGCTCCTCGCACACTTCCAAAGGTTCAAGAAGATTCAAGAGATCTTCTAAGCGCTGGTCAGTCGCATCTGCATGTGGCGTGTCTCCATCAAAGAACGCATTGAGAGTCTCGACGCCTTCATCCCACCACTCAGGTCGATCGAAGTAATTTCCAAGTTTGCTGAAGAAGGGTCTTTGTGGAGACCATCCATCACCAGAAGTCAAGGTGGCAGATGTGCTCATCTTGCATAGCTGAAGCGGAAACAGGTGATGCCCAGATTTGTGAGTTGTGTGGTGCAAACTCGTGGTTGAAAAACGCGTTCAGATGGCATTGACAGACGCGTCAATGTGATCGCTTGTTTCTCTCTGTTGACGACTAGACTTGAAATGTCAACAAAAATGTGTGGGAAGCGCGTAGTGATTGCCAGTGATAGTGAAAGAGTTGCACTAAGATTGGAGCATAGCATGCACCGGCGATGTGAAAGCGATTCGTGTGAAAATGCGACTGGTCGAAGAAAGAATCGAGAGGGATTGATTGTGATGCTCAGAGACGTGAGGAGAGACTGCCGCCGAGGGTAAGCTGTGAGTTGGACTTGGGCTCTTTGAATCTTAAACTATTCGTTCTTCTCTTTTGAGGAGTTGTCACGCCTAGCCAGCACCGTGACGAACTTCAAGAAAATTCTTGATGTGACGAGTGAAGTTTGGGATAACAGCATGTACACCTTGATACTTTGCCGCCATTTCGACGGATTAATTATTAACACCGCAAGCCATGCTTTGCACAGCTGAACCAGAAACCTAGGTTGAAAACGCCATCATTCCCAGCCCATAATAAACAGCCCATAGGAGAAATTCGATGTGAAGCAGAACACGCTAGAACGGTATAGCATTGCTGATTTGGCCACTAAGATCCGCTGGTGTAGCAAGCANTCCTATTATGTACACGTTAGCAAAGATATTCACGTTAAGCATGTGTTCTGATGTCTGTTACTTCTTGCCGGTTTCAGTTGCACAACAGCCACAGAACAGAGAGGCAGGCCAGCAGACAANCCTATTTCGTGGTCAGAAATGAAAGTATATTCGAGATGCATTCACGTTTCATACTGCGAGGACAATAGCGCTGGCGAAACCGATGGTAGGACCGACAACCTTGCAGTGGCAAGGGTTCTGGTCGGTACCTTAATTGCTGTTAGAAGATGAATGTATTGAGGGCATGACAGTGAACATACCGCACTGGAAGCAGACGAAGGGAATAGGAAGGCAGTCCATTGTGAAAGAAGAAATTAGTCGTGAGAGTATTGGCCGTCCAAATGAAGATGGAATAGAATTAAGAGCTAGAAGAAGAACGGGCGATGGGGAAATGCTTCGTGAGTCGTGAGAACAATGTGGTCGTTGAGGATATCAAGTAGGACAGAGAGCTTCTTAAGGTTTGCCATCAAGTAGCAAAACCGGAAGACGGGAGCGTCGTTAGGCAGTCGATCCCTACCCGGTTTGTTACGCTTTAATGACGTGTCGGCGTCGGCATGCATGAGCTTATCCAGCAACAAGCATTTTGCACGTAAGAACGATAGGGTTGCGGGACGTGATAGTGCGATTCCTCGATCATGACGGAGAGTGGGATTTTTGTGTGGCATTTTGTAAAACGTTCTGTAGTTCAAAGCAGTATCTTGTTACTGAAACCTAAGCTAAAACAAGGAATACATGAATAAGACGACTATTCGTCTGTCATTCGACTAGCTCTAGAAATGAGAGGTGAGAAATAGTAAACGGGACCCATGGCGCCCTGTATTCTTGCCTGGTGATATCAACTCAATCGTTGTCGCTTAGACAAGTGTACACCATGCTCCCCGGTTTTTCAGGACGACGAGAAGGGGTTGACACTATCGAAGAGGCCTCCAGAGGAAGAGGGCTGAGTCGAGCCTGCACGTTTGGAGGGGTCATCACGACGCATAATGCTCTCGACAGGTCCTAGAAGACGCTGGAAACCATTCTTGCCCAACATGGCCACCTTGACATCTGTTTCTGCGACCACTGATGCGGCACGAGGCTTGTCATCCAGCAATGCCAGCTCACCAAAGTAATCACCCTTGTTGTATGACTTGAGCGGCTCCTCTGTTCCAGACTTGTAAACAGCAGCAGTACCTGACTCCAGCATATAAAAGTGGTCACCAACATCGCCCTGACGAATGATTGTGCTTCCTGCCGGCATCTTTTGCGTTTCGAGAGCATCGGCAATTTTGCTGCGTTCGTATGCGGTAAGGCTTTTAAGGAGAGGTACGCTGTCGAGGAAAGACTCGTACATGCGGCGGCGCTGGAAGGCGCTGTCCATCAGAATGCGACGGAAAGTGATACGGTCGAGTTGCCAAATGACACTAGACTCGGTGCTGTTGACAGTTGCAGCGCGGGGAGCGTTGTACATCAGGGCAAGTTCACCAAATGAGGTACCAGGGCCGCATGAGGCGACCTTGTTGCCCATACCATTGACGCCGGGCTCGATCTTGCCAGTGTCCGAGACGTAGATGTCGAAGCTGCCAGACTCGACGACGTAGAAGTAGTCACCAACGTCTCCTTGAGCGATGACCTTGATGTCCTTCGAAGGGATCTTGCGTTCTTGAAGAGCACCCAAGACTTGCTCGGTCTGCTCGTCATCCAGGTGAGAGAATAGGAAGTTGCGCGAGACAGCAGCGCGCAGACGACTGAGTTGTTCTTGAGTCTTGGGGTAGGTTGGAGGCTTCCAGTCCGAGTCATCTGTGCCTGAGGGTGCCAAAACTTCAGCAGAGACGGACACACGACGGCCCATGTTGTAGTTGTTGGGGAAGTTCTGCGGCACGTCCAATTGTTGATTGTTGCCGCCAGCACCAGCACTCTGATCACGGGTAGCAACAGTGTTCTGAGCACCGCCAAAACCAAAGTTGAAGCCGCCCATAGAGCTATCGTTGTGTTGGGCTGAAGGGTCGGTGCCTTGAGACTGGGCAAAGGGACTCCCGGAAGAGCTGGCGTTGTTACTGAAGGGGTTTGCATTTGCGGCGAATGGAGATGCGTCGCGGTTCATGGCGTTGTTAGGGAAAGAAGCTGCAGTGGGCGAGGCGAAAGTGTCCATTTCATCTTCTTCTTCCAGACGCTGCATTCCGGGCTGCTGGACGTGGTGGAAAGGGTTGCTGCCTGGGAAGTTGTTCTCGGCCATTGTTTTGGTGGAATGCTGTGCGCCCAGCAGGAACTCGTGTCGCTGAGACTCTAGTCGACGAAGGAAGTGGTTCGCGCAGAACTGCAAGACGTCGGTGGGCTTGTTCTGCAGGACCTCGCGTTCGAGGGTTTCGATTTCGTGCTTGTAGTCGGCGGGAAGAGCCATTGTTGTAGATGGGTAGAGGTACTTAGGAGCTTAGGGAGAGCTTGGGTCGGGACGTTTGTGCAGGAGCCCGCAGACGTGGAGCTACACTGCCGTGGTGGGGTTCTTTGTTTCGATGCAGCTGTCACCTTCGATCGACTGGAGACGTGATGAAGCTGATCTGATGCTGCAATGCGATGCTGATAATCGGATGTTCTGATGCGAAGTGACTTTGTTCAGAGTATTGAGGGGGGGATTGAGACCGATGGCCAATGAGATAATGAGGGGGGATTGGCGCGTGACGACAGAAGCAATTTGGACGACTTGAGGGAACAATACCACCAGCCAAACAAACTTCAAGCTTTCTATCCTAGACGACCAACTGATAAAGACGTATGAATCGAAGGGAGAGGAAAGAGCGAGAGTTGGCAGCTACGTGCTTTTGACGCCAATTGATCTCGTTCCCCTCGCTACTACTCGCAACTGCCACTATTCATGACACTATTTGCTACTCCTTCGAGAAGGTCACAACGGCACAGCTCTGGATTGACAACGGTTACACAGCAGAAGCTCCACATCCAATACTTCGATCGGGCAAGGCTGCAAGGAGGACAACAGCATCTTTCCTGTTACGACAACCTCATATAATCCATCCAAAAGCATTCGCAGAGAAAGATATGCTTGCCCTACCTAGGTATGCTTTCCATCGTGCTTCCAAGCTGCTTGCAAGCTCCCGACACGCCAAGACAAGGAACACGTATGTCATCTGTGGTGAGATTGGCATAATACGACGAAATTGTAGAGAGACTATCCAATTGATGAGATGCTGAGACATCCATCATTTACGAGCGCACTCATGTTCTACTGCCTTCGATTGTAGACTGATATAGTGATAGATCGAATAAGCTCCCGTCGGCGGTGAGAACTGAATAGCTGTGGGAGGACTTGTTAGACAGCACCTGAAACCTTTTTAAACAACGCCCTCAAACCAGTTATGCTTGTCTTATGAACACCAAGATCCCCATTCTCCAACCGCAGGGTCTTTCCAGCATTGCTTGCACGCGACCAGCATGCGTGGAAGGCTTCCCTCCTCAGTCGTCACATAATGTCTACTTTGACGAGCCTTGTGCATCTTTTACAAATACCTTTCGGCCGTACAAGTCCGAGAGAGCTGGGTCGCGTTGCCAAAGAATATCCAGCCGTCCCATACAGAATCCCACTCAGGATTTAGCTTTGGCAAAGAACGAGGACGTGCGTGAACTGCAATGACGTCTCACCTCCAATGTCATCAAAACCAGGATGCGCCTAGTCTGCCTGGCAGTACGAGTGGTAGAACAAGTATAACATAAGCGTGTATCCATCTGAACCAAGTGACAGTTCTCACCAAACAACTCATTCGCAAACATATTCTTGAGCGGCCTGCCACCGATCCAGACCCCTGTTGTCAACACAAGGATCATCATCAGCCACACGCAAGCCACCGCACGAACTTGTCCTTGGCCTGTGCAAGCTGTTCCGCTGTCCTGCCTCTCCTGCAAGCTCGACAAGGCGCGCGCATCTCTTGTGTTACCAGCGCATTATCTATCTTCCTCAACCTACGCCGTCAGCTCTTGCAACAGGCCGCTTCTCTATAGGCCATTCATTCTTTGCAACCGAACCAGCTGATTGCGAGCCGACATGGGTCAATACACATTCACTTGGTAAGTATCATGGCCTTCAATCGCGTCGCATTTGGCCAATCTGGGCTTGCGTGCGAACTTCTCACTTGTCGCGCGAGCTCAACAAATGCGCGTCCACCATTCCTGAAACGAAGCGATCGCTGACACGCTGCCACAGGGACCACCCCGCCCAAGAAGTCTACGTGACGGGTGACTTCGATAACTGGTCTAAGTCTGTCAAGCTAGAGAAGACTGGTGACTCTTTCCGCAAGACCATCACTCTTCCTGGCGAGGAGAGCAGAATCCACTACAAGGTGAGAACGGTCCCGTCTGGGACATCGAGTGCACACGACTGACCACTGTCCCTCTTANNGTTCGTTGTCGACGGAAACTGGACGACCGACTCTACCGCCAAGCAGGAAACAGATGCCTCGGGCAACGTTAACAATGTCGTCGAAGCCAGAGAGCTGAGCCCCGAGCCCGAAGACCGACCATCCCACACATTCATCTCTTCGTCAGCACATCCTCAATCAACCACCGCTGCTCTTGCTGGCCAGGTACCCCTTGAAAAGGAAAGAAACGCTCCCTCCGAGCAGAATGTCGACAACGAAACGAGCTTNCCCCAGGAGACTCCCGGCTTCGAGGATCTGCCCGGCCAATTCCCCATTACACCTATGGCTGACCTCAATCAGTTCACTGTTAACCCCATCCCTGCTACTGAGGGCCCTTCCAACCCCGTCAAGCTCCCCGCTGGCGAGCCTGTTCCCCACCCGAGCACTCTGACATCCAACACCATCCAATCTACTGTACGCGATGATCCCGAGCTGAAGAAGGCCGCTACATCTACCGACGGTGCTAACGAGTCTCGTGAGCGTGAGCTTAACGAGAACGATCTTCCTGGCGCCTACGCACCATCCACCGCCGAAGAAGAGAAGGAGGACACCCACGCTTTTGGCGTCAACCCCATTCCTGCCACTGCTGGTATCGGCAACCCTATTAAGCTTCCTGCTGGCGAGCCTGTTCCTCACCCCAGCAAGATCACCTCCAACACTGTCCAGTCGACTGTTCGCGACGGCTCTCAGTACGGTGTTAGCGACACCGGTGCTCCCGTCCTTCCTCCTGTCCTTGATCGTCAGAGCGAGGCCGAGGCTAACGGTGCTTCCATGTTCAACTTGCCTCCTATCGGCGGCAACATGATTCCTGAGTCTAGCCTGCCTATGGGTGATGACAACACCGGCCGTCTGCCCGACTTCGAAAACGCTTTCACCTCTTCTGTTGCNCCCCAGAGCACCACCGCTCAGCTTGCTGGACAGGTTCCCCTTGAACCTCGTGGTGCCCGTGGCGTGCCTGGAGTCGTTTCCGAAAGCCAGGAGGCCGCACACGTCAGCCCTGAGGCTGCTGCCAACCCCGAGGCTGTTCGTGAGAAGGCTGCCGTCGAAAATGAGTTGAAGCAGACAGTCTCCGCAGAAAACGAGAACGATAACGCTTTCGTCGAACGTAGCCCCGTTGCTGATGCTGCTTCAAGCGTGTCACAGGCTGCCTCCAACACTGCTTCAAGCGTGTCGCAAACCGCTTCCAACGCCACCCAGGCTGTTTCTGACTCTCACGTTCCCGAGGCCGTCGCTGGTGGTCTCGCCGCTGCTGGCGCTACCGCTATTGGTGCTGCTCTTCTCGCCAAGGACAAGCTCTCCGAGGCCTACCAGCATGCCACTGAGCCTACTCCCGCATCTAAGGAGGTCCCTGACGTCGTCACCGAGAGCCAGGAGCGTGCTCGCGCCGAGCCGGAAGCCTCTGCTTCGTCTGAAGCCGTTCGTGAGAAGGCCGCCTTCGAGGATGAGTTGAGACATGCCGTTCCCGAAGCCCCTGCCACCTCTGAGTCTGGTGTGCTAGGTACCAGCGAAGGTGGTCTCGCTGGCAAGATCGCCGCTGGTACTGCCGCTGTTGGCACTGCTGCCGCTGGTCTTGCATACGCTGCTAGAGATAAGGCTACTGACGCCTACGAAAACGCTGGTGCGCCTTTGTCCAACCTCACCAAGGAGCCCACCATTGACGGTTCTGTTCCCGAGGTCGTCACTGAAAGCCAAGAGCGTGCTCACGCAGACCCCGAGGCATCTGCCTCCCCTGAGGTCGTCCGCGAGAAGACTGCCATGGAGGGTGAGCTTCTCTCTGAGGTTTCTAAGGCCCCTGCAACTTCCGAGTCTGGCGCCTTTGGCAGGAGCGAGCAGGGTATTGCTGAGAAGGCCACTGCCGGTGCAGCTGCCGCCTCCGCTGCCGTGTCCACCCAGGCAAACAAGGCCTACGATTCAGTCGGTCTGCCCACTAGAGGCACAACCGAATTGGAATCTGGCTCCGAACAGGTCCCTGAAGTTGTGCAAGAGAGCCAAGAGAGAGCTCATGTCGAGCCCGAGGCTTCTGCCAACTCCGAAGCTGTCCATGAAAAACATGACATGGAGAGCGAGCTCCTCTCTCAAGTCAACAAGGCACCTGCCACTTCCGAGTCTGGTGCTCTTGGTAACAGCGAGCAAGGTATCACCGGCAAGGCTGCTGCTGGTATCGCTGCTGGCGCTGCAGCTATTGGTGCAACTGCCGCAGGTGCTGCTTACGCCGCTCGTGACAAGGCCGCCGATTTGACCGGCAGAGACCTGAACACCACCGAAAAGTCAACATCATTCGAGTCTGGTTCTCAGCAGGTTCCCGAGGTCGTTCACGAGAGTCAGGAAAGAGCCCACGTTGGACCTGAAGCTTCCGCCAACGCTGAGGCTGTCCACGAGAAGTCCGACATGGAGAAGGAGCTTCTGTCTCATGTTCACAAGGCACCTGCCACTTCCGAGTCTGGTGTTCTCGGCAACAGTGAACAAGGAGTCACTGGCAGAGCCGCTGCCGGCCTTACTGCTGGTGCTGCTGCTATCGGTGCAACTGCCGTAGGCGCTGCCTACGCTGCCCGTGACAAGGCTTCTGACCTGACTGGCAGAGATCTCAGCACTACTGAGAGATCGACTGGACTGGATTCCGCATCGGAGGTTCCTGAAGTCGTCCACGAGAGCCAGGACAGAGCTCACGTTGAGCCTGAGGCTTCGGCTAACGCTGAGGCTGTTCACGAGAAGTCTGACATGGAAAAGGAGCTTCTGTCTCATGTTCACAAGGCACCTGCCACATCTGAGTCCGGTGCTCTCGGCAACAGCGAGCAAGGACTGACTGGCAAGGCCACTGCTGGTATTGCTGCTGGCACTGCTGCACTAGGTGCTACTGCTGCTGGGGCCGCCTATGCTGCTCGCGACAAGACTGTCGAGGCTACTGGCAGAGACCCTACCTCTTTCCTTCCTCCATCAGTCGCTGATGCAATCAACAACATGAATCAGGGTCTTCCTTCGACGAACACTTCGCTTGCCTCGCCTAACCTTCACTCATCAGTTCCAGAAGCTGTTGTGGATTCTCAACACCAGGCTCATGTCGCACCTGAAGCATCTGCTGAGCCCACCGCTGTTTCCGAGAAGAGCGAGGTTGAGAGAGAATTGCTGAACCGTGTGCCTCGCACCAACGAGGCTGGCCAGCCTGCGCCTACCGAGACTGCTGCATTGAGCGCTGTTGCACCTGTCAAGCCTACTGAGCCTTCTGACATGGAGTCAGCCGTTCTTGCTGCTGGTGGCGGCTCCGCTGCTACTGGTATTACTGCTGTCAGCGGTATTCCACCTGTCGATGCTCCTCCTGTCTCTTACTCGACTACTGTCCCTGAAACCCATACCTCTGGCCTCAGCGAGCAGCCCCGTGACCTGACTGGCGGTCACAGCGCTATGCCCACTTCTGTGCAGTCTGCCACTACCAGTGCTGGAGCCTTCACAGAGAACAATGGCCTTTCTGGTGCTACAACTAGCGCGCACCCCATCTATAATGAGATAACATCCGCCAATGCACGTAGCACTGGCCTGAATGCTCCTGCCGACAGTCAAGCTCAGATTCCTGCTCCTCTTGAGACTGAGAAACCTGCTGCTGCCACTAGCGCGCATCCCATCTATAACGAGATAACATCCGCAAAGGCAAAGGGCACCGGCTTGGACGCTCCTGCCGAGTCTGAAACGCTTGCTGCTCCTACCCTCGCTGCCCCTACCGAGCAATCACGCGACGTCTCACCCATGACTCGTCCTGATTCTTCGAAGCAGACAGAGCCTCAAGTCACTACCGGTGCCGAAACCCACAATGTACCTGCCACCAGCGGCAGCACACCCACCACTCCTCAGAGAAACGCTACCAAGAGATCTAGTCAATTCGGATCCCTTCGTGGCACACCCAAGAGCGACCGCACTAGCATCGCCGGATCATCCAAGGTGGATGAGGATGGCAAGCCCAAGAAGAAGGGTTTCCTCGCCAAGCTTAAGGAGAAGTTCCGAGGATAGAATCCGCACCAGCGGACAGTGGAGCAGTTGGAAGAGTCGAATCCTCGTCAGCGGACAATGGGGAAGCTGAAACAGTGGAGCCCTCATCAGCGAATAGTGGACAAGTTGAGAGTCTAGCATACCCATCACCAACTCAACCCATCACAAACCCATATCGTCACGATTTGGACCCATGGCGCAGTTGGGTTTTTCCTCGACAAGCCCTTGAACGAGAGGAGGTGGTTCTGGCAAAGGGAGACGACGGGATTGACCAAGACTTATGGGGGTGGAGGCTTGTAATTGTTGTAATCACCCTTTTCTTTTCGCGCGTGTCGTTATGTAGCTTATTCCCCTTTTTGTTTTGTGGGTTGGTTGTTTTATTTCTTTCCTTTGTCTTCTTTTCTCTTTCTTTATATAGCTCTCCCATCGTTGTTTTCTACATAGGAAAGTTGTTAATTTGACTGTTCTTTATTCATCAACCACTTTCTCATCAACCACTTAGAGAACTTAGTCGACTTCATTCAATCGCACACTCTTTCATCGTCTGACCCCATCGGTTCAGGTTTCGGTCCCTTGCGTGAGAATTTTGGTCACATAGTCTGAACTACGGTGTCAAGCATATAAAAATTGGCCCTTAAGTGGTGATCATATCTCGAAGTTGAGGTGCTTGAAAGCCACCAAGAAATTCTGTTTCACGAAGCGACAATATCAACATTCTATATGTCGAGGTTTTAGTATTCATGGTTTAGCTGTTTGTGTTCTCCCTCTCAAGGAATACACATCTCGTAGAAGTTGTACTGGTTTGATGATGTGTCCCATCTTGAGTTCTTGAGAACGATTAAATCAGGGTCACCCTACATACTGTCGAAAAGGGTCCGTGCGCATGATATGTTTCCAGCTCTTCAATACTGTCAAGGATGACGACAAGAGGATTTTTGATCATGTAGTCTATTGTAAAGAAGATGATGTACAGAGATGAATCGAACTGTGTCTATCTTACATACTGGAGCTTTTAGCTGCGGTATACTCCCCCTGGACCATTGTTGTCACACCAAGAAGGCACCAGCGTCCCGAATTGTCCGACGATGCTTGCCTTGTTGGCTGGGAGAAGCCAAGGCATATCCATTCAGCGGTACTGTCAACCTCTATCTCTTGGTAAGGCGCCATGCCATACCTTAATGGAAATGAGGGGCCCACAGAATTTAGGGGAGCAGCGGATCACTTTTGCGTGATTACCCTTTCTCGAGCCGAGTGCTACTCAGCAGGCTGATTGTGGAGATGAGTCTTGCAGAATACCTCCTTTCAACCAGCTTTGCGCAACGAGTTGTAATGCTCACCGAGACCAAAGCCATGTCTGTAGTAGGCCAGCCATAATTGCTTGACCTCAGCATCGGCATCCGGGTTGATCTCTTCGACTCTGCCATCACCCTGCAGCACGCTGATAGCGACGCTGTATTTCTTTGCCAGAGCCGTTAATTCGAGTTGACCACCCCACTCGCCAGTATTCTTGATCTTGTAGATGTAGTAATCCAGAGGCTCTTCCAGGAATGGCGTAAAGTCATTAGGGTTTGCTTCAATGTATTCGGCAGCTGCTTGTCGTACGACCTTGTAAGGTTCGAGTGTGCTGGCAATGTCTGGGGTGGCAGAGGGGCACTGCCCAAAGGGATTTCTAGTTGTTGGAGTTGGTCGGCGATAGCAGAGTAGAGGCAGTGACCATCGGCGCGAATCTCTTTCTCGGCAAGCTTGCGGGCAGCGAATTGTTTAAGCATGCTTTCGCGCTCGACAGCTTTGAGATTGGGAATGTCTTGAGCTTCTTCGGCGGCTGAGGCTATCAGGGCTTCTTGCTCGGCTGCGCGACGGGCGAGGCGGGCTTTGCGCGATTCTGCTTCTTGGGTGCTGGTGCGGCTGGCGGGTCTGGTGGTGCAGAAGAGGCGGGCTCGGGTTGTGTGGTTGTTGTGTCTTTCTTTTGTGCACCGATCTCGAGGGCTTCTGTGCGGTCGGCCAATTCATCCTGGTCTTTGTCGGGGTCGTTGTCGTCTGCTTGGCCGTCGTTGGGTGCAGTCATGTCTTGAATCTCCTGGTGATGGCGAGCCTTCATGTCTCTTTCCAAGTTGTCGCATTCATCGTTGACACCTTTGCGCGTCTTCTTGGTCGCACCCTTTTTCTTTTGAGTGATTTTCGATTGCAAGTCTTTAGCCTCCTTGCGATGGCGCTGTTGTAGCTCTTCCATGACTTCGGCCAGTTGCACGCCAGAGGGAGATAGGTGTAACAAGTCGGCGTGTCGCAAGAACAACGGAGAGCTTGTCATGGCCGCGGCGGGCGTCGGTCGAAGCTTTGGTGGACCAAGGACCGCCTTCCGCTGCGGCCGCGACCACTTTATAACCATCCAGACAATGACGTCCGACTATTGCCTATAAGCCGTTGACATCGTCGTACGTCTCTTTGGCAATCTTACTCTCACTGTTTCTGTCATTTGATCAAAAGAATATGACTGTATCATAAAAGGCTATACCATCATCCAACGCCACCATGCCGCAACATGCACGAAGCGGACTCTCCTTCGCCTTGACAGCCGCCTTCTTGGCCTTGACTTCCATTTTCGCCGCCATATATACATTTGGTCTTCCTGAACTTGATTACTGGCACTGGAGAGCTTCTTATGATCCTCTCAGAAACTATCCTTCGTCACAAAATGTCGTCGGCTCCTTCACCGGACCATCCGCCTCGGATGACTACCTCGTCGGCGTCGGCAAGGCTGATATCACCGGCCCTGTCGTCGAGATTAATCTTATGGGCTATGCTGACCCTGCACAACTTGGTTCTGGTCTGAGGCAGCGTCTTTACTCTCGTGCTTTCATCCTTGGTGACACAGAAAGTCCTCGTGATCGCTTCGTCTACCTTGTCTTGGACACTCAATCTGGAGATACTGCCGTTCGTAATGGTATTCTGGAAGGCCTCAAAGACCTTGGTCCTGAGTATCGATTCTATGGAAGACAGAATGTCGCTGTGACTGGAACTCACTCTCACTCCGGTCCCGGCGCTTGGTTAAACTATCTGTTGCCTCAGATTACTAGCCGAGGTTTCAGTCAACAGAGTTACCAAGCCATTGTTGATGGTGCTCTTGAATCTATCAAGCAGGCCCATGAATCACTGAGTTCTGGTCAACTCTCTGTTGCTTCTGTTGATATCGAGGATGCAAACATCAACCGCAGTCCTTATGCCTACCTTGCCAACCCTGAAGAAGAACGCAACAAGTACGACCACAATGTCGACAAGACTTTGACTATTCTCAAGCTACGTAGAAACAGCGACAAGAAGGATATCGGTGTCTTGACTTGGTTCCCTGTCCACGGTACCTCCATGTTGGGCAACAACACCCTAATCACTGGTGACAACAAGGGTGTTGCAGCATACCTCTTCGAGAAGCATGCTGCTCAGCTAGACTCTACAGCTGATGGCTTTGTTGCTGGCTTCTCACAGGCCAATGTTGGAGACACGTCTCCAAACATCAACGGCGCTTACTGTGAATCTGGTCCTGATGAGGGCAAGCAATGTGACTTCAAGACGAGTCTGTGTGCTGGCAAGAATGGGCCTTGCCACGGACGTGGTCCTCATTGGGGACTGGATGACGCAGGTACTGCTTCTGCATGGGAGATTGGTCGCAGACAATATCTTGGTGCTCGCTCAGCCTATGAGTCCATGGTTGCCAAGTCTACCTCCACACCCATCCAGGGCAGTGTCGTTCGCTCTCTACACACTTTTGTCGACATGTCGAACCAAACTGTCATCTTGCGCAACGGCTCAATGGCCCACACATGTCCAGCAGCCATGGGTTACTCATTTGCTGCTGGTACAACCGACGGTCCTGGTGCCTTTGACTTCAAGCAAAACAACCCTGGTGACCCCAATGCAAGCCCAGTCTGGGCTGTCGTTCGTAATAGCCTGCACTCACCTGGGCCGGAGCAAATGGCTTGCCAGGCCCCCAAACCGATCTTGCTTGACGTAGGCGAAACTGAGAAGCCCTACCTTTGGACACCCAACGTCGTCGACATCCAGCTCTTACGCGTCGGTCAACTTCTTATCATCGTCGCTCCTGGAGAAGCCACCACGATGGCAGGACGACGCTGGAAAGGAGCTTTACAGAGTCATGCTCTCTCTGCTTGGGATGAGTCGCCAAACGCGGCGGATCCTCTAGTCGTCCTGGGTGGACCAGCGAACACATATGCACACTACATAGCTACCGAAGAGGAATACTCTATTCAACGCTATGAGGGTGCGTCCACACTATATGGCCCACATACTCTGGCCGCTTACATCAACATCACACTCCACCGACTGCCCTACCTCTCTGCTTCTACAGTATCAAACTCACCATTATCGCCACCATCTCATCCTTCTCTGCCGACGTTAGAGTTGGGCCCTGATCCTCCCATCCACACAAATAGCTCGTTGAGTTTCATCTCGCCGGTAGTCTTCGACCGCGCGCCTCTATTCAAATCCTTTGGCGATGTGGTCACCGATGTTTCGTCTCGCTACGCCATCTCTTCATCCCCTGTCGTCAAAGCGTCATTCGTAGCTGCCAACCCCCGCAACAATCTTCGTCTCGGAGGCACATTTGCCGCAATCGAAAAGTACACCAACCAAGGCACTTGGGAGATTGTCAGAAACGACGAAGACTGGAGTTTAGTATTCGAGTGGGAGAGAACAAGTACCACAGTCGGCACTTCTCAAGTAACCATTTCTTGGGAGCTTGGGTGGGAAATTGGAGAATGGGGTCGTGTTGATGTGAAGAATGAGGGAAATGAAGATTTGGAGCTTGAACTTGAGTTGCAGAAGAGACAAGATGTTGAAGAACAATTGAAGGGAAGGTATCGTATTAGATACTTTGGAGATAGCAAGGGGATTGGAGGAGAGATTGGAGCGTTTGAGGGGACGAGTGGGGAGTTTGAACTTGTTTGATTTATAGGCATTTAGTTGTTTATATCTGTATTTGATATGTGTTTTCTTGCATCAAAAGCCGCTTTGGCTCTTTCCATCGGCTGTTTGCTGCCTTTGACTTTCCTGTACTCATGGTGTTGCCTCTTGTTTACCAATCTCGCCAGCGAGACCAAGGGCCCAAACCCATCAATATCCATCGGTTCTTGTCATTGCCATCATCCCTCCATCTCTATCACAGTCTTCTCCCTCTGAGTCTCTCTAAGCAACATTCCTCCCACCACTGCCCCCTCTAGCCGGAAACGACACAGGCGATCCAAGCATATACGTAGCATGATTTTCCTCACTCCCGTCCTTTCCCTTCCCCCCACTGTTCCCACCGGCACCTCTTTTAATCTCCACCATCAGTTCTCTCATCTGCTCCAATCCCAGATTCCGTTTTTGAAGATTTGTGACTTGAGATCCTTGAGAAGCCTGGGAGTCTTGGGAGGGTTGGGAATCTTGAGATGGTTGGGAAGATTGGGATGACTGCAGAGGGTGTAGATTTGGCGCGTGAGGTGTACCGGGCAAATGAGCTGTTGAAGGCATAGGTGTGGAAGCAGAGACAACAGAGACAGAGGCCAGAGGAGTTGGAGCAGCGGTTGCGAGAACGGAGAGAAGGGATAGAGTTGTTGAGATTAAGAGGGTAGAATGCATGACTTGAAATTCCTTGGATCTTCTGGTTGTGTGATGCGTAGGTATGGTCGAAGAGGTGCGGTCTGCTAATGATAGTGATGTTGCTGTTCACAATGGCTGAAGAGAGAGTCCTCAGATCTTGGAAGAGGAGCAGTTGATCAGGATTGCAAATTACTGTGCTTGGATGGATATCTGAACTGGGTGCAACTCGTCAAGGACCATGTCGAACATATATATCTTGGCCCTTGTGGTTGCTTTTTTGGAAGCGTGACTGCGAGCCACAGAGATTGGAGGAGCGTCTAAATGTGCTCACATGTTCACGATCAGAGGAAACATGTTTGGGCGTGGTCGATATGAGACACGTATCTGGTGGAGCACATCTGGAAGAGCAAAAGGAAACATGTAAGGAGTTCAAACGAGCCGAAGTTCTTGAGACGAGTAGTGCATCCATGGAGATCATATCCCACAACGATAACAGGACCACGGTTCGTAGATGATGTATGTACAGAAGGTGCCTCTATGTGTCTATCGGGCAAGGTTATATGTGGTAGGCAGCTAAGAAGATAGATGGGGGTGCCCCGATACGACTCATTGATCTTTCCGCAGCGGAAACTCTCGAAATACACATGACTGCAACATTGCTTGTTTTTGAGTGTTGCTCGTATTCGGTCTCGGAAGGTGTTGAGATGTGATGGAAGTCGCGTATCTTTTGTTGCACGAAATGTGTCAAAGTTGTTTCAGGCTCGTGACTTCGTATAGGATACGTCTGAGGCATGTAGTAGAGAAAAGATGCATAGCACCAGGCAATTGGCGACCTAGCTCAATCAATGTAGGTATCATGAGAAGTTCTCAAGAGTCCAAACACGGACTTCACCATCATCGCCGGTGCTGATGATGATTTCCTCGTCATCGTTACGACGACCAGCATCACTGCGCTTAGCCCAGCATACGTGGTTGATCTCAAAGACATCGTGCGCATCAGAAATCTCGGCCACAGCGATCCATTCGGTCTTTGCGATTTCCTTGGGCCCATCTGTTGTTTCTATTTGTGTTGATGCATTGTCGGCAGCCCATTGCTCTTTGTAGACTATGATTTTGCCGTCGCTACCTGCGCTGACAAGGAGACCTGTAGTTTTGCTCCACGAGACAGAGTAGATGGCACGTTCGTGGTGCTGAGGCAAAGCAGCTTCAGGGACCCATTCTTCCTCGATGGTGTTTGTCTTGATGATACTGGGCATTCTGGGACCGGTCTGAGGAGCACCGTTGGGCCTGTCTTTGGGTATACGGCGCCAAATGCGAATGCTGAGGTCGTCGGAGCAACTGGCCAGACGTGGACCAGAGGCTTCTCTTAATTCGAGTAGTTTTTGCTGTTGGTCTGTGGTAGCTTTGAGGCCTGGTCGTGTGGCACCCTCGAATTCAACCCACCAGACCGTGCCACCGTGACCTGCGAGTACGGCGCAGCAGCCCCAGTCGTCGATGTCTTCTCTCCAGAGTCGGATGTTGTCGTCGTAGCTGGACGAGGCGAGCAGTTCTTCTGATGGGTGCCAGCATACACACTTGACATCACCCTCGTGCTCTTGCAGGACAGCAACGGTTTCAAAGTTGTCATCTTCTAGCTCTTCCCAGATCCACACGCTCTTATCACGACTGCAGGTAGCGAGCAATGGCGACGTAGGACTAAATGCCAGACTCTTGATCTCGGACTCGTGGCCGTCGAGGACGACAGCAAAGCGCCACTCGTCATCCTCGTCATCTCCTCCGTCTTTTGTGAAGTCAACTTCATTGTCTTCTGACTTGTTGACCTTGGCGCTGTTGCCCTCCCATCGTCTCCAGATACCGGCGCTGGCGTCGANACTGCCAGTCGCAAGTACGCTTTCGCCGGTAGCAGAAGTACCGCTATCAGGCTTCCAGGCGACACTGCGAATGGATCNTTTGTGGCCACCAGTGATGTTGCTGACGAGGTTGAAGGAGTTGAGTGAGTAGACGCGCACGCTGCGGTCACTGCATGCTGTTGCGACGATGGGGAGGTTCGGGTGCGGCGACGAGAGCCATGTACGTGTGTTGGAAGCTGGTGTCAAGGTCGCCAGTGGCGCAATCGTTGGTTTTGAGGTCATGTTGTGTGTCAATTGAGGCTTGTTCAAGCTACAGCAATTGCGTTGACACCGAGTCGAGATTGTGACTGCTACGAATTATCCCCAAGTACGTCAGCGACCCTGACCCGTTGTCGCAATCTCAGATAGGCAGCGACTCCCCAAATTTTGGCACAATCCAGCTCCTTCCTCGACTTCTCCGAGAAGCTGTTTTTATACGTACCTCATACCAGCCATGGACCCCGACACTTCCATGTCTGTCGACTCGCCTAGTGGTGAAAAACCATCACGCTCACAGCTGAAATGGACAAACGACATGGAAATAGCCTTCATCACCACCATGAAGCGTGAACAGGGCGCTCCTACAAAAACNGTGCCTTCTGGCTTTACCAAAGACGCTTATAAACGCGTCGCTGAGATTATAAAGGACAAATCATCGCAGCCTGACTTGTGCGATGACATCCGCATGAAGAACAAGTTGGGTGCTTTGAGGAATGACTGGCGTACCTATGTGAATCTGCTCAACATGCCATGGCCTCGATTACCCAATGGCTTGCCCACAAACACAGATGACGTCCTAGAGAGTTACTACAAAGACCAAGACCCAAACGCCAGAAAGTTTCGGGCTGCTCCTCTAAGGCATTATGATGAGTTGACTGATCTGTTCGATCCCGAACATCTCATCTCACAGCGCTTGGCTACAGAATCTGTATCTCGACCTGCCGAAGTGCCCGCTACTCATCACCAATCCGTTCCTCTGCCACATTCTCCTTACGGCTCTGTGGCGCCTCAGGAACAATCGTCTACTCAGCTTCATGGTTTACAGGATACTCCGGCAGACAACATCAACACTCCCTACACTCCCCAGTACCCATCACTTTCTCACACAGCATCCAAGCGCCCTGCCGAGTCATCCCTATCCAATCAGGCTAAACGAATTCTGATGGGCGACTCCCTACCAGAACCACGACCTCACGATACTGTACGAACCTATTATGGCAATACATCACAGATCTCTCCGGTCGCAGCTGCCACTGCCCTTTTAGAGCCACCTTCTCATCCTTGCCTACCAAACAAAGAGCTATCGTTGTAAAGCACTTTGCAGATACGAACATGGCTGAAGTTTTCTTGCATACTGACGCAGAGGTAAGGGAGGATCTGGTCAGGGCTGGATCATCGCCGCCGGCCAACTGCCGGCCAGACCACCACACAGATCTTTATGAACGTATGACGATAAAAGGTCCTAGTGAACGGCAATTTCACTACGAGTAGAAGGACGAGCCATACTTGAAGTAGATATCATGCTGAACGGCAGCCGATACATCATCAAAGCCCGCGTCTTCTCCATCACGATCCAAGAGATACTTGAATCGACCCTTCTGCTCGTACTGCGCTGTGATATAGGAAGGCACATCTTTGTTATCCTCAATTTTGTCATAAAGCTCATCAGCTCTGCCGAAAAGATCCAGGCCATGCCGGACACGGTTGATCAGAGTCCTCGAGTCACGATTCTCTTCGGTGTTCCAACCTTGATGCGAGAAACTGTGCATCTTGGTGTGCATCTCGGCCACCGTCGCAAAACAACTGGAACAGTGCCATCCCGCGTTCCAGAGAGTGTCTCTGTTCCACCAGCGACGGATCGCAGCGATGGGCGTTCACCCCTGTCCTAGTAGCCCTTGTCGGAGATCATTTGGCATGATGGTCTGCGGACCTCGATAGATTGTGACATCGGGATGTGCCCACTGCGGACCTCGGTGCCGCCACTGAAAAGAGTAATAGTAGAACTGCGTCCGCAGAGTCAAGCGAGCTGGCACGTCGCAATGTCGTAGCAGAAGCATGACTCCCGGCCTAATAATCTCATCCATATCACTCACAATCAACACATTTCCATCCCTCGCCTCTTGTTCCGTCCCCTTCAAACCAGGAAACATCGCCGTAAACAAAGCATTCCTCAAATAATCTTCATGATCCCATACTCGCGAAGTCTGAATAGGGTCTTCCACAACACGATAGATAATCTTATGATGAAAAGCCTTGAATCGGTTCCAGTTGTCTTTGAGAACCAGAGGTTTCGATCTTCCAGTAAATGTTGTGGGGGATTCGATGATGACAAAGTAGTCTACGTGGTTTGCCAGAGTATGTAGTCGTATCTCCAACCAATCTAGTTCTGTAGACATGAGAACGAGGTCGTAGATTTTCTTCTCTCTGGTTTGGGAGGTGAAGGCAGTGAAGCCATTGGTATGGCACATTGACTCTACGTCCTCGGGTGACAAGAGGAAGTTTTCGTTTGCGAGGGAGTGAGAAGGGAATGCTACCAGATCTGGGGATAGGTAGTGGTTCCGAGAGAGTTGGTGGTTGATGATTACCCAGAACCCTAGGATAAGAGAAAGCAGTATAATGGAGGACAAGGTGCGGAGTTGACGTCGTGACCATCTCATCGTCCACATCTTGAAGGCAGTAGTGAATGGTGTATGATCTGAGCATTAAGTTATGGGAGGTGGCTTGGTTTTATGATATTGCCATGGCGTATATGAAAGCAACACCATATCTAATGCGGTCTAGCCCTGAAATCTTCTCGACAAGACTCAAGATGAGATTTGTTTGCCCAGTGCAGTTCTCACTCGGGCTTTGGACGCGTCATGAGAGGATCGAATGGCTTTGGTCTAAGCCTCATTTCATTTGTAGACAGTGATTCCGTCGACCAAAGTCTCTCAAAATCTGATTGGACGGTTTACGAGATGGTGTCCAAGGGTTCTGATTGGACAGTTTACGAGATGATTTGCAAGAGTTGATGTTGTCAGCATTGTCATCTGGACAGCAAACATACAATCAGGATCAAGTCCTAGGAAATAGCTGACTTGATAGCATTGGTCGGAGCCATGTGCCATTTTTGGTACATTTACAAAGGTTCTGTGTTGAAATTTATACATGAGCCCACCCAAACCACGTCAAGATTTGCATCTCGTTTATCAAGCACGAAGGCCCTGTCTCGTGGCTGTTAGGGCGCTTTTCCATCCACTGCTCTACGCGACGTCTCATGACCCGCTCTTTGAACAAAGGGGATGTCAACCACCGCAACAATCTGTTAATCCATAGACTACGTGCAATAGAGAATGTGGATATCCAACCCTTCGAGCCTTCTGGATTGACAACCTTGTAGGCATGCTCGTTATAGCCTACGCGCACATTTGGATTCACCCAGACGCCTTGCTCTCGACTGAAAGGGTTGTCTGTGTGAATGAGACAGCACTCTGAACCCTCGACATGGAACTTCGCCAACGAGTCTGGTACGCCTCGGAACGTCAATTGAGGGGTTTGGTAGAATGGTTTTGCGTTCATAGCAACAATACCATTCCAGCAACTTGTCACTGGTGTTGGTTTGCCATACTTCAAGGCTTCTCGAGATTCTCGCGATCGAAAGTATGGCCATTCTGTGGTTACAGCTTCGTGTCCCTCGATATCACGAAGTGCAAAAGTGTCATAGAAAGCAGGAGGTTTCGAAAAGTCCAGAGCGCAAGCTGCGGCGTAATCTCCTCCTCTGGTAGAAAGCAGTTTTTGGACATCTGGAGTCTGGTCTGGAGTCAGCAAGACTTGGTTATAAGCAGGACAGGAAGCAAGCATTACCGTAAACACAACATCATTGAGAAACAAAATCTTGTCAAACGCAACATTGGCATCTTGTAGATCATACAAAGGCTGCATTGCTATGTTGCGCAGCTTGGCCAGATACGGTATACGTCGCAATTGCGTGGTTCCATTCGGTACTTCGATCCATCCACTCGCACTCGGAGTCATGGATATCTCATCAGCATGCGTGGTCTCATCAAGCACCACTTTTCTAGGTATGCCATTTTCTTCCAGCGCTTGGTCCAGTATCCGCAGCACCGCTTTCGTATTGTCGTAACTCCCGCTTTCGTAGATACTGACAAAAACGTTTTTGGGTCCGATGGCTTTGGCGAGAGCAACTACGGCAGGTATCCAATGGTCTCGCAAGATGTTTTCGCTGTTCCAGTGGATGCCCACGATGAAGATTTTCTGGTGTCCGAAAGCGATGGGCTGTTCCAAAGATGCTTGTTGGAGTGCTGAGTGTATGCTGAATGCCTCAACCAAATTGATGATAACGAAGAGGACTAGAGCTACGATTAAGTAGCGTAGACTGATTCTCCGGTATAGACGACGTCGGTATTGTGATAGCAGCATAACGTCCTGAACAATTCCCACAGCTTATGCCTGCCATGCAACCAGGAAGAATCATCTTTCAAACAGCGCTGAAAAGAGCGCTGAAAAGAGTGCTGAATCCCTTAAAACGGTTTCAGGCTTGGAGGCAACCCCTAGTAAAATGAGGGGCCCCGTACTCATACGTAATGAGACTTCGAGAAAAACATAGTTGCCTAGAAGGATACCACGTCTTTCGCAGCGAGGCCGCGAGGCCTCAAGCATGATAGAGCCATCTTAAGCATCATCCGCCGAGCCGAGGTCTGTAGATCAGCGACATTGTTCCTTCGCTCCTTGATCTTCATGGAGAATTCGAAGGTCTGGTAGCGATATGCTGCGCGGAGGATCGATTCCAGTTCATGGCAGATGCCGAAGGACACTACGAGGGACGTAAACCAGCCAACAATTCAGACAAGATTGTTTCATTGGCGAAACGACATCGCAACATCGAGACGAACAAAAGGGGGCTTTGTTGGTTCAAAGGGGCGTTGTTAAAATAGATCCGGGGTGCCTGCCAAGCAACGCCGATCTGAGCTTGAGAGTCCTCTAGTGGTCATATAGGTGATATAGGTACTCTAAGCTCGGCAGAAACGCTCTCGATATCGCAATCATGCATTGCAAGGATGATTCTCATAATCCAGCACTTGATGATGTGACCAGAATTCGAACGGTGAATTTGATATTCGTATAGACCGCGTAATGCACAAATTAACTTTCGGAGGTCGTCTCCGCTTCTTTAGCTCATATCTCTTACGTACGTTGTATCATACCATATATGTACAATGTTGATTCAATAACACTCCTAGTATATTGCTATCATGAGTAGCTCTCTGGACCTTGAAACGCACTTGAATGTCCACCCGAGTACGATTGTGCCTAACATTTGCTTCATCCAGCAAAATAGACGGGTGGTCCGGCAAGCACAGGCCTTCAGGAGCTGTACTTGCCGGTCATTTCTGGTGACGCGAAGCATACATGTCGCGCGTTCTGTATCCTCCATACACAAACAGAGCGATGGCAAACAGCTCTGGAAGGAAACCCAGAATTACTTTCGCTGCCAACGAGCGTGCAAAAGCAGGATCAACCAGTAGAAACGAGATGACTCCATAGACAAGTCGCATACCGATAAAAGGCAAAGCGGAAAAGGCAGTATGCAGCANGCTTGCAGAATCAGTAACTTGCAGATCGAGATCGACGAGAGGTATAAGACCTACCACCGTGCCATCAATGAACGTATCGTTCTTTGGCCTGTCAGGAATGCGTAGAGACATAGTGGTCCAGACAAGAAGAACCGCATATGATATCACTAGCATAGCCAAACCAGTCCTGATGAGTGCCGAGTCGTAAGTGGTGGACAAGCCCTTCACAACATTGACTACACCAATAACCACCAGCACAATAGCAGTTGTGACGATGCTGTGAAGGACGCCAACAAGCACCCATTCCCGTCGTGGACGCAGGTTGACAACACGAGAAACGCGGGCCTCATGCAAGGATCCAAGTCCAGCCAGAATGAGTGGTGAGATAGCCAAGCTGTTGACGATGGTCGCGCTGGTCTCGAGGTTGGCATTGTGGACAGCGACAACGGATAGCGCGCCGCCAGCGATGCGGATCGCGCAGAAGGCATAAACGAAGTTATAAGCTAGGAAGCCGGGTCTGCCATGGCGGCGCCAGACGTAAAAGGTCGGCACAATAAGAATGGAGTAGAGGGCGATAGTTGCAATGTATAGACTTGTAGGGAATGTGGCTGATGAGAAGCCTGCTGGTGAAGACATGTTCCAGGACGAGTTGCTATATGACCTAAATGATGCGGAACGATTGAGTGTTTATAGATTTCGTGAATGATGACATTGGTGCTGTAAGATGTCCTCGAGACTGGGCGAAGCTGACATGCTGACATGGTGATAGGACAGAATCATCCCGAGATGCTGATTTTCGTCCGAAAAAGACCCGGAGAAGTCTGGCAGTCCAGATGTGCGAACTTTTGCAGTCACAGGAATCGTGGATCAATGGTCATCCCATAGATAATTGGTGGTTCGGTGGTCACTACGGCCGAAAAGCTCAAGGACGGCCGGAGAGATTCGAACGCCGTGTCGCACTCGAAACTGAACAGTACGAAGACCGTGGTCGACCATCTGGCGTTGAAGGCTCAAGCATTTACTGCAGTCCGGAAAGATTGCAGGATCGAGATATGCTTGGTCGTTGATTTCGAAAGATGTTGTGGAGTCAGAAGGGTTTACGTGAGGGAAGGCGCTGGAAGAAGTGTAGGATGACGCGGATGTTGCCAACCGTTACCTTGACGATTTTGTTCTAAACAAAAATACAAACATTACGATCAACAGATTCAACACTGTCACCAGAGACATCAGATATCAGCTCCACCAAGCCATGACATGACTTGGTCTGTCAATCCATACAAAACATCCGACACCAAACGCCATTATTTCTATCTAGATTGTACCTCACGCACCAGCACCAGCCCGAGTTATCAATAGTCATCTTCTCTTCACCCAAGCCTGTGTCTTCGACTTCCTATTGAGACCGCGTATCAGAGCTACCAGCCTGTCAAGGTCTGCTTTGCTTCCAGGAATGTTATGTCCGCCATCAAACTCGACCACGTCTGATGAAGTAGCGTGGTAGATCTTGGTATGGAGCATTCGAGCGTGCTCGAGGAAAGGATCTTGCAGACCGTGCAAATGCACACAAGGAAGTTGTAGTTTCTTGCCCATGAAAGCCGTGACTACTCCATCACTGCAGGATCCTGACAGCAGTACACCGAATCGCAAGCCAGCCCATGGCACATCTGCCAGATCGACATCCGTAGATGCCCACTCGACACTGTGATATTGAGCCTGACCCAAAAGCATAGATGCCACGATTGTGCCTTGGGAGAAGCCCATCGCAGCCGTAATACCCGAAGGCTCGATATCGAGTTTTGCCAAGCTCTTCTTGATGTGCTCATTGCAATTGGTAAACTCCCTGGCAACAGACTCCAGAGAGTCATTCGTGGTGGGAGAGAACCAGCTGTAGAAAGGTCCAGAGTCGACATAAGCAGGTACTACACCAGGCCCAGGTTCAGAGAGGTGAGGTGCATCGATAAAGATAAATTTGAACTGTGACCGCAAGGCAGCTCGGAGGTTTCGTGTTTGTGCCTCGAAGATACTGGCGGATGTACCGGTGCCGTGAAGACAAAGGATTGTCGGCAAGAATGAAGAGATACGGGACATCTTCGACAGACCGTAGTGTGTTGTTTGGCTTGGCTGAGCTGATGCTGATGCTGAGTGGTATGATGCATGACTTGATGAGTACACCTGACGCTTTATAGTTGTCGTCCTGAGTACGTCTGTCAGAAGGGAACAAGTTGGAGCAGATGGTCCGTCAGATGTGATTCTGTGTCATCCTGCTCGATCGATTGACCTGACGGTGACAAAATTAGAGACTGAGGGATAGCTTTCTGGCCTCAGAACAATCGTCTTGTGTGGGGGATAGCACTTTCAACAGCGTCTGACCACTGTTAATCTCTTGGTATGTCACTGTCTTCCCCAGCTGCTTCTTTGCCAATCTCTTTTCCCCAAACATCAGATCCGCTTCTCACCTTCCTCAGTATGTCACCAACCATTGACTACGAGAAAGTAGTCCCAGCAATGCTCGGACTCACGGACTCTATCATCAAGCTCCTGAACGCCACGAGCCACCGCGAAGGTTGCAGCAAACACACAATCACTGCTCTGCGCACCTTGATAGCTCGCGAACGCAAGATAATCCAACGTCAAAGCACAACCATCGTCGATTTGCGAAAACGACTGCTAGATGTGGAAGAGCAGCTTGTTGCAGTACAGCAGGGTTTGAAGAGCAATGCTAGTACGACAAGTGAGAGCTCCGAGGATGGAGATGAGAAAGTAGATCTCTCGGCTGTAGCGGAACTGGATAGGCTTGACGAAAGTCCGAAACAAGAGGTCAGATTCATTAACACACGAGATCATGAAAATTGGCTGACACGATTTCAGGAGTTATCTGCTCGGGCCGCAGCATCCACGTTATATGATTTGCAAAATATCTATTCGCAAATGGCTGAGCGGTATACGGCAGAACTCGAGTCAAAGGTAGAGGTCGATGGCGAATCTGAGTGGGGAGAAGATGTTTAGTGATGATTCAGCAGGAGTTGAGATGTTGTCGGAGGCGTCGATACGGCCAGGCGTTCACGATGAGGATATGTTTTGATTAGCGAATTATCTGGTTGACGACCCATGCGTAATGATGCTACAACTAGTCTTTCCGCTTGACGAGTGTCAATTGATGTGATGCTTTAGTGGAGGTCCGAGACCTGTGTATTTAGTGCCACAGTCACATCCAACCAAAACACATGTCAAACAATGACTTGTGAGCATGGCATCCCTGAAGACCCTCATATTCACTTGCAAGCTATGAGCCAGCTGAATTAGATTTCCCTCAGCAAACGGTAGAGATGGCGCAATTGGTAAGACCAACTCCCTCTAGCGATAAAACTCCTAGAAGTCCTTGGTTCGATCCTCGGACGTAGCGGAACTTATGTTCTTTTTCTCTTGTAAAGGTAGAATACTTTGCAGGCAGGTTAGGTTTTCCCAAGCTAGACAGCTTGGTTTTTTGCTTCTTGTTTTGAGCGCAGAGTCTACTACACTAGCTCAGTTTCTGCTTTGTAAACGTGAGCAGACAGATGCGAGGCGCAACACTGTTGTTCACTACTGCTCATCACCCAACTGATTCCGACACACGGTTCATGTTCTCGAACGATGCGAGCTGGCCAGAAGTAGAAGAGAGAAATGTTGAGTTCAAGGTCAAAAGAACTGGCTTACTAATAAAACCCAAATAGTGTGCCTGCTAAACTGCTTGAAAATTGATTTAACCAACCCCTCAATAAAATCAACGACTAGAATGCTTGCCGTGAACCAGACTTACTGATTATGCGTTCAAAATCTCAACCACCTTGTCGAACGCAACTTGCCTACCAGGTCTCTCCTGGAAAGGCGCAGCAATCTGTTTTGCTTTTACCAACATAGCAGCAGAGCCATCTCCATCCACAACTTGGACAAGGGCTTTGCCAAATTCGGACCCCTCAGCGTGTGGAGCAGCGGCGCGATTGCCCCAGACTCCGATACCTAGGTACTCGACACGAATGGCAAAATCGTATGTATCAATCCAGACTGGTAAGACGACTTGAGGGACTCCAGNCGCTGATTGCGGTCAGTTCTGTTCTATATTCAGGATTCGAAGAGCTTACAGGATTGCCTCATGGTATGAGTTGGAACCTCCGTGGTGAACCATGCAAACAACATTGCCTGCTGTAAGGATTGCAATAGGTTGTGCGGGCAGCCATGGCTCTATCCAAACTCGCTTCTCCTTGATCTCATGAGCTATCACGCTCAAAGCATCTCCAAGATTGACATTCGTTTTCAGCTTCCATAGGATCTGAACATCTGGCCGACGGTCGAGCAAAGTCTTGATACCAAGAGCGAATTCGGTAGCTAGACACCGATCGACCACAATATGAGAGCCAAAATTGATCAACACTGTGGGACCTAGGTGCAACCAAGCATGGAGCATCGGGTCGGTTTCAACGAGAGGCACATGAGGCTGAATGATGGGTCCGCAAGGGGTCACATGCGGCGGCACGAAGAAGTCATAGTCGATCGCTGGTGTCGAGGGGAGTAAGATGTGGGCATCTCCGAACCCTTCGAACATACAGGGGATCTTGCCTGGTATACCGCAGGCCTGGCGATATCGTGATAGCTGGAGGAGTCTGTCATTTTGACGTCGCGAGCGTAGAAAACGATAGATGAGGTATATGTTTGCCGGCAGATACGACCACGGAAGAGGATAGGGATAGCCCGAGGCCATACTTGGACTAGTTAGCAGTAGAATCATCAAGCTGCGTAGGACTTACGCAGGGAACTTCCATAAAGCTCCACCACCAGGTTGCCGATCCAACACAAGCTCTTTCAAAGTGTTCGGACTGAGAATTAAACACTTCTGGCCGATAGCGTTGCAAGCATCGACGCCTTGACTGAACAAAGGATCGATGATAACCAGCTCGGGACTGGTCTCGTTAATAATCTCGAGAGTGCTGCTGTAACCGATCATGTACTGGGTACCGTGCCAGGGAGCGAAAGTTGCGGGTAGGACATTGTCATAGGCAANAAGAGCTCCATCCATACCTGGTGAGTGCAGATCGAGGAACTCAGTACCAGGAGGTGCAACTTCCTTCATTGACTTTCCAGCCAGAGGATAGAATTTGGCAGCACTGCAAACACCATTGTTCAAGCGAGCAGCTACATCATTGAGCTGTTCAACGTGACTTTGCAGNNGAGCAGTAAACGAGGCAATGTGCACTTGATATTCGGGTCGAAGCANAAATTCGTAGGCGACAGCGAGGACGACGCTGGCTTGACCCAGCTCGCTGTTTGTCACAAAGAGAAGAGAGCGTCGCTTTTCCATAGTGATGAGGCGATCGCAGAGAACTTGTGCCGTTCATGGTGAACGGGTCACTTGCTGGGTATATACTGCAGTCTGACCCTGCTGTAGGTCTCTATTGTAAGTCTGTCACATCTTTGATGAGTGATGTTGGAAAGAGACAATGGTAAGGATGACGGGTAAGAAGTCAGACGATTGGAAGGTCCGTGCATGGGGAGCTTCGACCCTACCGCCCTGTCATCTTTTGCCAACCTTCCTTCCATCACAACCATCATCAGTCAGTCAGCAAACAGACATTGATCACAAAGATGACTTCGAATGCGGACCATGGCTGGTCGGGATACGTTGCTCTATCTCCCTCAAGCTCCAGATGGTCCTATATAACCTGTGCGCACCACAAATGCCATGCTCTCTCGAGACCCCGCATTTTTGACTGTTTGTCACACAATCAACCATGACTTCAACGATATCCGAAGACAATTCTACTCCAACTCTATGTTTCCAGTCTGGCGAAGATCGTATCGCCAAACCAAATTCGATATCAACCGAAGGACAGCACGAACAAAGCAGTGTCTGCAGTGATGCTGAGAAAGATCCTGGTGTGCCTGTCCTTGAGGGTTGGCCTCTTGGTTCTACTGTGTTTGCGTATGTCGAATGCAGATTGTCATAGACGTGAATGCTTATGAACTATCAGCCTCTGCCTAGCGCTTCTTCTGGCAACACTGGACACGACTATCATATCTACCTCACTGATCACGATCGCTTCAGATTTAGGTCACTTCGACCAAGCAAGCTGGATTCTGGTGTCGTATCTACTGACGTACTCTGGATTTCTCCTGATATTCACCCGACTGAGTGATGTTCTGGGTAGGAAGTCCATGCTGCTGTTTTCCATAGTAATGTTTCTGGTTTGGTCTATCGGTTGTGGCTTCTCTCAGACACTCAAACAGCTGTAAGAACCTGCAAATGAGATCAATGGCGTGTTACTGACCAATCTGCAGCATCGTTTTTCGTGCTCTACAAGGTATAGGTGGGGCTGGAATCTATGCCCTTGCGTATGCATCAGTCCTGGATGTGGTACCGTTTAGGCTTGTCAGTGCAGCGTCGGGCGCCATCTCTATGAGCACCGCTTGTGCGAGTCTCTTAGGGCCTGTTCTCGGTGGTGTCATCACATCCAATACTACTTGGAGGGTAATGTCTCTCAATTCCGCAGTTGTCAGCCCTCGCTAATATTCATAGTGGGTCTTCTGGATTAATATTCCATGCGGAGTTCTGGTGACCGTCTGTGTGGCTTTTCTGTTTCCAAACAGAACTGGGACGAGGACTCTCAAGAAGGCGACATTCCAGAAAATCGACTGGCCTGGCATCTTTCTCTCTTTGGCCGGATCATCTCTTTTGGTCATATCCCTTGAACAAGGCGGTGTTCAATTCTCCTGGCGAAGCTTGTTTATCGTTCTGATGTTAGTCGGCTCAAGCCTATGCTTCATCAGCTTTGGTGCCTGGGAATATGTCTTGACTCCTAGAGAAGCAAGAATGAAGATGATGCCCCTCTTTCCAACAAGGCTGGTCTCAAGCAGAGTTGTTGCAGCAACCCTCGGGTACGTAGAAGGCACATCGTGAACACGATATGTACTAACTTTCTGCAGGACCGTTTTCTTCACTGGATTTCCTTTCGTGGTTACAATCATGTCTCTGCCTCAACGCTTCCAGATTGTTAACGGCGACACTCCAGAAAGTGCCGGCCTCCACATGCTCCCGCTCATTGGCGCCACCGCATTAGGTGCAATGCTGACAGGAACCATCACTGGCAAATTCAATATCGCTTGGCACCTGCTGGTGTTTTCGAACATCCTCATAACCATTGGTTGTGGGCTTATGTCGACTCTGCCTGTGGGACGAGGTATTGCAAAAATCTGTTACTTGTATCAACTTGTTCTAGGCTTTGGGTTTGGCCTCACTATGGCCAGTTCGATGGTCGTCATCCGCACCGAAGTTGCTCTGAAAGACAACAGTAAGTTCCTCAGCATCAAATTGAGTTTCGAGTTTCAGATCACTGATTGGGGTAGCCGTTTCTCTAGGTGCGGTCACACAGATGCGCCAACTTGGTGGTGTCATTGGTCTTGCTGTGACTCAGGCCATTTTGAACAGCGATTTCAAATCGCAATTAGCCAAATTTCTTTCGACTGAAGAGCTAAAAGCAGTACTACTGTCAACAGAGAACATCAAGAGCCTCAGTATTGCTCACAGAGATATGACATGCCGCGCATACGGAAGTTCTGCGAATTCGCAAATGCGCGTAGTCACGGCGTTTGCAGGTGCTGCCATCTTGACGAGCATCTTCGCGTGGCAAAAAGCTCCTCGGGATCGTAAAGCTCTCGAGGCGGAGCGGGTCGCACTCCAGAAGGGCCAATCCACATCAGAAGAGGTTTACACTAGCTCTGTGGTCTTGCTAGACTCCCTGCACCTGGGTATCGCCAGTGATGCGATGAGCAACACAAGGCCTTCTCTGATCCAACGTCGAAGCTCGGCTGAGATACCAGAAAGTTCTACAAAGTCTAGTCAGTTGCTGCCGAGTGACACGATTGAGGCTTGATGGCAGTTTTCATCATGCGCGCTATCTCTTTGCTGGGTCATTATCAATCGCCCAGTTGTTTTAGCGAGCCTCAGATTCCAGCATAGCATTAAGCTATCTTTGAAGTTTTTATATACTCTCTTCCTAGAATCACCATGCGATGATATCTCAATGAACGCTCCTGTCGTGCATGTCACTCGAACGCCAGCCCGTCTCTGCAGAATTGGTTGATCGGACCCGAGAGAAGTTTCCGAGAGGACACGACGGTTACCTGGTGATTGATCACCTTGCGGTGACAGCGGCTCCAGGCAGTCATCCTTCATGGCTTCCCTCAGCTGTTACGTTGAATCCCGGCATGACAGACATCCGCAGACTGTCAGACATATCTTGTCATGTCTGACGACCGTCATAACTGACATTGACTGTCATCTTGCTGATGGACAGTTTTCTCTGTCAGATTCAGGTATCAAAAACTACTTGTATGGAGCTGATGTCTGACATTCTCGTCAACAAAGTTTGCTTAAAACTCACCTCAACCCCGACCGAAGTCGACCAGAGCTACAAGAGCTCTTGTAACTCCATCAGAACCGGACAATAGTTGATCATTGACATCTCGCCCATGCCTGGACTCGTCAACACTAAATGGTCACCATGGCCACAGCTTACACTCGCTACAGCGAAGGGAGTGCAGCCAGGCACTGAAGCATACACCAAAGCGATCCTTAACACCTACGGTGCTGAAGGCTTGAAAAGAAGTTGGGTCCAAGTCTGCCAGAGATTGCAGTCTGTCACAGATAGAATAGCCTTGCAGGGCAATACAGTTATACCGCAGCTTGGGTTGAAAGACTTCCTCACTGCTGACACAAGTACCAAAAACATACTCNNCAAGGACACCGGATGCTTTGTTGTGGGACAGGTTGTTTCGGAACAACAGGCAACTGATTGGTATAACGAACTCAAAGAATACGTCGAGGACAACAAGAGCCAGATTACAGGTATGTGACTTGTTCATATTGGCGACAATCCATCTCTGATACTGTCTCCCTTTCTNACAGGCATGCCAGCTGAGAAGCCATTCATGTTCAACATCTACCACTCACCTGTCCAGCAAGCTGCTCGCTCTCATCCAAACAGTCTTGCTGTTCAGCGTGCGGTCAACAGCCTATGGCAAGATAGAGACGACCGACAAAATACCTGCCACGAACCCCTGTCTTACGCTGATGGCTTTCGCATCAGACCCGAGAATACTGTCTTTAATGCACTACCTCCACATATTGGTCAGTTTCTCCCAGCATGACCAACCATCGATCTTAACTGAAAATCGCANGATGGCGGCAGTCTCTCTCGTTGGGCAGATCCTACTTACCGTAAAGTCTACGAGCAAATATGGACAGGCAATCCATCTTCCTACGACCCCTATGACCTGTCTACTCGCAAAGACGCAAAACCACGTCTCTTTCCTGGCACCGCTTCGCAAGTGCTTCGTGCCTTCCAAGGCTGGACTGCACTGACCTCTGCCGGAGCCGACGAAGGCTCTCTNTTACTATACCCAGATGTCAAGACTGCAATGGCATATGTGATGCTTCGACCTCTNTTTGATGCTCCTGAAAATGAGGCAGATACTATGGATGCAGAGAAATGGACGCTCAATGCTGACAGAGGCTGGTTTCCTGGTACTTGGAGACAGCTGCCGCAGATCGTCAGTCCGGCTTCTCACCCGCATTTGAGACTTGAACAATGTTTAGTCAATATACCGACAATGCAGCCAGGCGATACCGTCTGGTGGCATGCAGATGTGAGTGTTCTATTTCCCAAATCGCTGATTTTCTGTACACACAAATGGTCAAGAGAGCTGACAAACGGCGGATACAGNATGATACATGGTGTGGATGTTAATCACACCGGTACCCATGATTCAGCTGTCTTGTATATTGCGGCTGTACCTTCGACGCCAGCTAATATGCAATATATGCGTCAGCAAGTCGAGGACTTCAAGCTTGGTGTGCCACCTGAGGACTTCAAGGACAACGGTACCGACGAGACAAAGTTTGTGGGTTACAAAGGGAAAGAAGGCGTATTGAACGGAGAAGCTGGCAGAAAAGCTGCTGGGTTTGATCTGTAGTTGATGTGAGAGAGTTTTGGGCCTGCTCCTTTGATTCTGGTGTCTGCAGGTAGAAATTCTAAGGTTCTAAGCTTTATACGAGTTGGTATTATCTGATTACACAAACTCACTCCCGCATGATCGCATGATGCTCCACGGTAAGAGTTATAACTTCCGCTAAGGGTTGAGAAGCATCTGATAGTGTGTGGAGTGAAATAACAATTGAGGCATCAATCACTCTAGAGGCGCAAGATCAACAGCATGGCTTTGCACAGTCAACGGAGTTCTTCAAAAGCCGTGGTGATAGTCTCCTGTCATTGTCGAATCTTGCAAGACGTGTAAAACACATCATATATGCCTCGGTGCACCATCAAAATCTATGGTTTGGACGTGTCATTAAACAGGTGTAAGGTTGTTCTATCAAACTGGTAGGGAACTCACACCCTTCTGAAAAACATCGTGCGTTTCACCAGCTTCACTATATCTTGGTCACCATTCTGGAGTGCAGTGAATCAGACAACTACAAGATCGGAAGAAGCAGTCATGTACAAGGTGTCGTTTCTCATTGATAATAAAAGATTCGAATGATCTAAGTGTATTAAAAGCTGCACCAACGCCTTGCGAATCTCGGTAATCGAAAACAAAGGAGATGTCCCCAATAATCTGTAAAACCAGATAAGTCAAAACTCCATGATCATGTTCCAGTCAAATGTGGAGTCGAGCACAGGCGTCTGAATGCCGACTTTGGCCTGTGAGTCCACACCGTGCGCCAGCATCACTCTAACGACATCTTCATGGCCCGCCGTGACCGCCGCATGCAATGCTGTCTCTCCGCAATGATTTCTCACATTGATAGACACACAACGTCGTAGCAGAGACTCAACCACAGCCACATCTCCAATGCGTGCAGCAAGGTGTAACACCGTTTCTCCACTCGGTGTTGCATCTGTCACATCAGCACCTAACTCTAGCAAAAATTGTGCTGTGCTGGTATTTGCGGAGCTGATGGCGATCTGTAGAGCGGTCATCTGTTGATCGTTCCGTGAATTGATGTCTGTACCTGTCTCGACCAGGAGACGGATAATTGAGTGGTGACGGTTGCGGACGGCAATATGTAAAGCTGTGTTGCCGTGATCATTGACCTCGGCAGAGCATACATCGCTAGTGGCGCCTAGTGAGTAGAGATTCTGTTGTAACGTAGGATTTGCGCTGCAGAATGCTTGACTGGACATCAGCCTCGGCACTTTATTGAACGAACATCGTAAGATCTTACAGGATCGTGATGACTCGCTAGCAGGTGGAGTCAACGAAGGACCAGCCATAGGAGCTGTTATCAAAGCAGTAGTGTCTGTAATGGCAATACCACGGGGGTAGTCTGGCTTCTCGAGACTAGATGCGTTGAAAGAGATGAGATCGGGACTCGACTCGGATCTTTCGATACCCTGAAACAGTGTGTTCAAACTATCATCATCCATGTCCGGGAATGACCAAGATTCCCAGGCGGTGGCAGCTGGAATAGGAGCTTCTTGAACGACAGTCGATATGCTGGAGAGATATTCTTGAAGGCGGGATTTCGTTTGATCAATCTGAGACAGCAGGCTCTTGATATCTCGAAGAGATTCAGGCCACTCCGCAGACTTTGTATGCCTAGTTGTTGGCTCAGGACTTTTCGATGCTCGTGTTGGCGTCCGCTTAGATGTGCCTTCACGACTCTCGAGCATCTTGAGCTTCTNTTCCTGATCGATCTCAGTATCGATACGCCAATATAAGACTTAAGCTAAGGACATACGACGACTTCTCTGAGCAAGACGATTTTGGATTTTCCTCCTTTCATTGAGATCCGATATCTTCGACCAGTCCTCAGAGTCAGAGAGTTGTTCAGCGTTTGTTTGTGAAGGTGGAGACATGTTTGCTGATGGATTGATGACCGGAAGATGAGGTCCCACCTGCTCTATAAATCTCCCAGATATCGTAGCAATGCTGAGATCTTCAGTTGATCAAATGCACGGTTCTACACCAACGAGATGCATATCCTAGGCCGAAGGAAGCTGACAGCCGTGTATGGAGCCTTGATCGGCAGTCATTGTCATATCGCTATACCAGAGATGACAGATTGTGGTTCCGGTGAAGCTATGGTTTAGAGGCGCTGAAGGATTCAAGCTTCCAACAACCGCTGTTATGGTCGATGCTTAGCGTGAGCTTCGGGTTGTCAAGTTGGGAAATGGATATAGTGTCTTGCATGTTAAATCAACCAAGCATTCCTCCAGAGGATTTTAGTGCGTTGCTCAGCCCAATGATTGGTTGTATCTAGAGGTTATCTTTATCTTTTCTCCGGCTTGTTGGTAGTTGCAGGTGCTATGTTGAGATTTGCTAAGCCTCGTAACGCATAGAGAGCATATTGATCGTGGCTCAGACCTGAACGCGCTAGGGCTGTATCTGCAAGATAGCATCTGAGCCTCATGGACGGGGAGATACCCCACATAGAACATCTCGCGGAATAGTACTCGATGAGGAAGGAACGGTCTTGATGACCTCGCAGGAAGCATCACATCAAGGCAAGATCGTTGCTTCCCCAGACAGGTGTTTTGAGTTGCGCCCAGGAACCCGTGTGGGATTTTTGGTCTTTGGCCGCAGCGTGAAAGGTCCGTGCGTGTCAATCATGACTGCTTCCTGGCGGTCGGTTACAGCTGGACCTATCCTGTTGCAGAGGGAGCTCTGTGAGTTCTCAGGATTCGACCTAGAGAGGACGGACCTGAGACCCCTGAGCGTAAGCATTTGGCCAACGGCACTTGGCAACATTCTCTTCAAAGCTTCGCGGTGCTTGAGCGAAACGTGTCATGTCTCGGACTGTGGGGCAACCAACACGGCTCAGGCCTCCAGCTTGAGGCTATGGTGTGCTTGTTCCTCGCCCTGTCACTGGACGATGCCACTCGCGGTATGCTTCTGTTTTGGGATACACTCAATCTAGCATCCAAACAACAGCCTGACCATTCCTTACCAACCCTGAGATCAGTTCGGAAAGCCGTCGGAGATTTTTTATCACCACGGTGTCTATTCCGCGACCAGTGCTCTTGGCAGAACATAAGATGCTCCGATTGGCCGACGTATTGACAACTCACGCAACCTTGATGGCTCGGGTAAACAACTTCAAAATGGTGTTCATAACTTTATACACGAGATAGACTGCAAGACGATTCCTCAAACCTTGACTGCCGCTCTTGCAGCCGCCATTTCCTCCTCTGAAGGCATGTTGACGACCATGAGATACAACACATTCTGCCTGTCTGTCAGCTGAGCGAAGATCAATCCAAACAGGTAAACTAACCTTGGCCAGCAATTTCTTGTAAGTGCGAATAGGTGTGGGAATGATTCCCTTCCTCTCACGCCTTGGAGGCTGTTGTCTCTGGGCGTTCTCAGCTGCATAGCGCTCCCACTCTGAGCCTTGCTTCTCTCCACGTGCAGCCTGACCAATGACGGACGCAAGACCCCCGATTAAGCCTCGCGAATTGGGACCAGGGATAAGTTTACCTCCAGAGACGAAAGATATTAACGACCCACTGGCTGCCGCATGGTTGGGGTCTGCATATCGGGAATTGAACTCGCCCTGGGGAACCTGTGCCAGTACGCTGTCGGGGTTTTGCATCGACTAGATGGATCAGCTGAGAACGTTCAACAACAGTATCACGATACTAACATATTCTGCCGTGGCTCTCTTGTCCCAGTAATTTGCGACAAAGGTCATGCCCTTCGCCACGTTACTCTTCTTCTTCGCGGCATCGGGACCAGTCTGCGCGGCCAACTCGTCCAAGGTGGGGAAGACGAGAGGTGCCACTTCAGGGAACGCTAACTCTCCATATGTAGTTCCATCAGATGATCTGAACTTATCCTGGACACCAGAAACACCTTTGGACCCCTTGTTGAGGGATGCGACAGTTTCATTGATGTTGACTTGCTCCACTTGTTTATTGGAGTCTGGGTTCCATGTCATGACCAAACAATAAAGTCCTCGCGGCTGGAAGAACTCCTCGTTGAGTTTGCGTAACGCTGTGGTGGTTCNTGCAAACAGTCAGATCCTTATCATTCGAAGATTTGTACTGTCAATATACCTGAACCGAGCTTGCATCTCAATGGCAATGTTGGTGGCTTGCTGAATAGCGTACGAAACTGCGAAGCCAATAACGTGTGGCATGAACATGGTGCCAATGGAAGCGAAGTTGATCGCATTAAGCCAGGGGTCTGCAGCGCTCGACTTTTGAAGCGTATCGAGGAAATCGAGCCAAGTAGGCTGGTCGATACCCACATCTTGTAAGACTGGCGCGTAGGCTCGAATAAAACCTCGCGAACGGTCTTTTGGCCGACGTTGGGGGATGACAACTGGCAGCGCAAGTTGACCGGAGAATCTGAAGCTGGGTCTTTGATTGTGCTTCTCCATAAAAGTACGCTCGGGGTTCATGTCGACAGGAGCTTGACTGTATTCACCGGCAATCTCATCCTGTGCGTCGTCCAGATTCCATTCATTTTCGAGGTCATCTCTGGCTTCGTCTCCTTGTTGAGTCGTTGACATATCTTCGACTGGGTGAACGCTATCTGAGCGTGAAGTCGAGGATGCACTTGTCTCTGGGTTGTGACGCTCTGTTTTTCGCGCCTTGATACCTTCAGAAGCTAGGCCTACGGCCCCGGAAACGCTTCTGATGCCGGCACGTACAAGCCCGCCTTTGCGACGTCCATTCTCTTCGATGTCGCGACGTCCCATGTTGGTGAGTTTCTGTGGTAATAATCGAAGTAACCTCTTGTTGGTATGACAGACAAAGAACAGAAGAAGGAGCTACGACAAAATGCAAAGAGGGATATCAGGTTCACCAAGCATTTGATGAACCAACGCAAGCTTTAGATTAGCCGCCGTCGGACAGGGCAAGCGTTTGTGGCTTGAGACAGCCGCACACACCTGACCCTGACTCGGGTGGCTTATCTAACCCTATTTTGGCCAAGTCAAACGCTAAGTTATCTCCAGCTTGGTGCATTCTGCATTCCTTCAACACAATCCTTCCCGTCGATCATTCATCTTCAGGCTTGCTGCATGAGCTGACAATCAAAGGTTGTCAGCTTCTTTCTGTCAGTCTGACACTCAGAACTCTGCCTGTCGCGCACACTCGACAGTTGTAGACATGCCTATCAAGATGACAATGAATAGTCGTCGGTTATATAGCCATTGGCGAAGCATCTGGCTTCCCGGTGAGCATGCCAAGTCGATATGATTTCCTCTACCTTACTACTGCTCTCTTGCGGACTTTCTGCTCTCTATGTTCTCACGTCTACCATCCTTCGTAAGATAGCGATATCACGATTCAAATCGTGCCATGGATGCCTTGATCCGCCCGCCTTGCCTCAGCGCGAGCGCATCATTGGACTTGATCTGCTGAAAGCTGGCGCTGCAGCAGTCAAAGCGAAGAACAGTCTCGAATGCGCTGTCCGTCGCATCGAATCCACCGCCAATACCTTCTCAAACACCATTGTCGGACTAAATATCATAACCACCGTCGACCCAGCCAACATCCAGAGCATCCTTGCGCAGAAGTTCAGCGACTATGATCTAGGTGGAAGGATACATGCTTGGGGTCCGCTCGTTGGCAAAGGCGTCTTCACCTCCGACGGTTCTGAATGGGCGCATAGACGAGCCATCATTCGACCAAATTTTACCAAACAACAAGTCGCTAGTCTGGATATGTTCGAGAGACACTTCGGACATCTGTTAGCTTTGCTTCCTCGAGATGGGTCGACTGTTGACCTACAGAAGCTATTCTTCAGCATGACTCTCGATTCGGCCACAGAGTTTTTGTTTGGTCAAAGTGTCGGCGCCCAAGGTGCTGGACATGACAGCGAAGCTGATCGCTTCCAGCGAGCATTCGATTTTGCTCAACATCAAATGCCTGACCGTAATCGTTTGGGTGTCATGAACCTTTTCATTCCGAACGCTAGATTCAATGCTGCTTGCAAAGTCGTTCATGCATGGGCTGATCGATACGTCGAGCAGTGGCTTCATGAAAGACAATGCCAAAAGTCGCAGAAATATTCCGATGGAAACAGCAAATATGTCTGCCTGGAGCAAATCGCGGACCAAGTCCAAGATCCGAGACAGCTCCGTGATGAGATGTTGAATGTCTTGCTTGCTGGAAGGGACACTACTGCAGGATTGCTATCCAACGCATTCCATGTCTTGTCTCGTAATCCAGACGTTTGGAAGAGATTGAGGGCAGAAGTTGACACTCTGGAAGGAAGGCTACCTACCTTTGAAGACCTCAAGAGCCTTAAGTATCTCAAGTGTGTCCTGAACGAAGGTAATCTCCCCACATGCCTCGTCCCTCGAGACTGTCTAACTACTTCACANGTTCTCCGCCTTTATCCACCTGTGCCAACAAACGCACGTTGTGCTAAAGTTAACACGGTCTTGCCCACTGGCGGTGGTCCCTCACGCACATCCCCTGTTTTCGTGCCCAAGGGCTCGATCGTCGTCTATTCAATCTACGCTCTCCACCGTCGTCACGACATCTTTGGACCCACAGCCAAAGAGTTTATTCCTGAACGATGGAGCCCCGAGTCCTCTGATGGTCTTTTGAGGCCAGGCTGGGGTTACATCCCTTTCAGTGGTGGTCCGAGAATCTGTGTTGGTCAACAGTATGCATTAACTGAAGCCAGCTATACTATTGTCAGAATGTGCCAGAACTTTGTCGAGCTGCGGTCCAGAGATCATGGGCCCTGGCGAGAGGGTTTGGGATTGACTCTGTGCAGTGGTCAAGGGACTAAGGTCGGGTTGATTCCTGTATAGGAGATTGTCTATAGTGTTTTGAAATAGTAGTGAGAGCACAATTCAAGGCAGCACCTCAAACATCCTCATTTCTCCATTGACACATGATACTCGACTTAATAGGCTTCAGGGCTTTGCAATCATGTCGTTGTCCACAAATACTTGCGACACGTGTTGGTCCGTTTCCATCGAACGATAGTCTAGTCACTGAATTGAGTACACTCTTCAGCAACAAACACCCCCAGATTTGGCCAATCTGTATGAGGGTCTGACCAAGCTTGTAGTAAAACTGATTTGCTGAGTCAACATCGCAAGCAGGATGATGTTTGACGAAGAACAGCATCAGACGGGTGTTTGCCTCTATGTCTGAGGTTTCCACAAGTATTGCGCCGGAAAATGATCACAGTTTCGTCTGAAATCGACTCGAAGGACTTGATTATTGTCGCCGAGAGACGCACCCTGTCCGGTGGAAGCCTCGGCGCCGTGCAACCATGTCGTGCAACCATGTTCTCCGGCTACATGCCCGCCAATCAAATTGAGTGAAACATCAGAGATACTCCGCCGAGCCAGGAGAATCACTATCAAACTCCATTCGAACTTTATCAGAGGTAAATGCACAGGAAACAGATGGATATTGATAAAGTGTGAACTATACGATATACGAAACCGGAGACAAGACAGAAACGGCATGAACTTTGCCGATCAGTGCGCGAAATTGGAACAACTCCTTCGTTCACCGTTCACGAGCCTGATCAGCAGCATCTTCTACTCTTTCGCAACAGTCGTATAGACCAGTTTCTCCGCGCTGATCTCCTTGCGACGCAAAATGCCCACGCCATCAATAACAGCCTCGAGCCCGCCGTCGCTGATCCTCGCGGGATGAGACTTGATTTGGCCATCCGCAAGGAGCTTCTCCATTGAGTTGTAGAACGGGATCGCCGACTCTGACAATTCTGGATCTGCCTCGCTGGTAAAAGGCGCAGGCCAATTGCATGGCATTCCCGTGATGCGAAATGCGACAATCCAATCCGACTTGACGAGCTTGCGCGTGGCTGCAACGTGTGCAGGATAAGGATCCATGCCGATATAGCGGCCACCGGCGCGTCCAATGGCTTCATAGCAGATCTTCATGCTCGACTCCTCGGTGATGCAGTCGATGGCGTATCCCAAGGCATTCTTGGTGTACTTCTTGATATCTGCTCCGCAAGTCGGCGAGTGGTAGTCAAAGACGGCCTCGGCGCCGAAGGACTTGACAAATTCAAAGTTCTTGGGAGAGCATGTCGTGATTGGCTTAAGGCCAGCCCTATCTCGAAGTCAGTTTGATTCCAGGCAAACACAGGACAAGGCAACATACTTCTTGAGAATCTGAATCACCATCGTTCCCACCGAAGTACTGCCACCATAGACAAGAATAGGGAAAGACTTCTCAGCCGGCTTGTCAACCAATGACATCGGAATGTTCATTGACCAGAAGATGGCAAGGACTGTAGTGTTGATGGCAGTAGGCAGAGTGGTTGCAGTCTCGAAAGACATGTAATCGGGAATGCGCAGAGCCAGTTCACCAGGCAGTAGTGTGTACTCGGCGAAAGCACCACCTGAGGGTCGCTCAGGATCCATACCACAAGCGCTTCCACATACTCGCTCTCCGATGGTCCAGTGCTTGCGAACGGCAGATCCCACGGCAACAACAGTTCCGGCACAATCGAAACCAAAGATGGCCCTGGGTGTAACGAAGTCACCAGTCAGTTTGGTGTCGACAGGGTTCAATGCCACAGCGTGGACTTTGACCAAGATGGCGTTTGGGTCAAGACCAGTGACGGGCTGGTTGTGCACGATTGTGAAGTTCCTGTCTGGCCCTGCAACAATTGCTTTCTGGGTCTGGGGTATTTCGATGGTGCGTGCAATCATTTTGGATGTTGAATTTCTTGAGATAAGACGAAGGTATTGTTTAAATTGAGGAGAAGTATTGTCAATAACAAAATAAGATTGGTGTGGTACTGGGTTCGAGTTGAACATCACCAAGATTCACTGAGAAGAATTTATATGCCTGCTGAAACTATACAAACTGACAATCTGACCTAGGAAACAATGTATGCTGACACTGGTTGGTATGCAGGACATATTGACCCCACATTCTGACAAGGAAGGAGCAACTGACCGCGGCCACCAAGAACAGCCGCAAAGGTTAGCAGTGCTTGGACGAAGAATGAAGCGAGGGATGCGAGATTGACCAACACCAATCATGCTGTATAGTGTCCTCTGTCATATTTTCGGCAACAACACTGTTGGGAGGAACCAAGCCTCGAAGACGAAGGATCAAACGAGCCCTCAGCATGTCCGTGCACCTCTCGCTAAAAGTAGCGCGCAGCTTGAGCCGAAGCTTGGTGTTCCCATCCGTCTTGCCAACCCGCATCCTGAGGCTTCAGCCTCCACCCGAACTGTCAGCCCTCGTCAGACGTACTGTCATGTCGCTAAACTCCTACAATTGTGACAGAGTCATCAGTTATACCACGAACATGCAGAATTCAGTGACCATGCAATGGTATATAGATGATGGTGTGCCATCGTCAATCTCAGCTTCATCATCACAAACTAGACAACACTTCAAGAGCCATTACAACCATCTTCACCTATCTCTGCTATCTTTTAGCTCACAAAACTTCTAATTCAAAAACGAGAAATCACAAACTCTTGTCAAACATCTATACAATGTCTGGATACAAGAACGAACCCATTGCCATCATTGGCAGCTCTTGCCGCTTCGCCGGCCCCGCTACTTCTCCTTCTAAACTCTGGGAGCTACTCAAAGAGCCCAGGGATGTCTTGAGTAAAATTGATCGCTTCGATGCGGACCACTTCTACCATCCCGATGGACATCACCACGGTACCAGCAACGTCAGGCACGCATACATGCTTGAGCAAGATGCCAAAGCATTTGACGCTTCCTTCTTCAGCATCCAAGCTGGCGAAGCCGAATCTATCGATCCTCAACAGCGTCTTATGCTCGAGACAATCTATGAGGGTCTGGAATCTGCTGGACTTACCCTCGATGGTCTACAAGGCTCAGACACTGCTATGTTCTCGGCTGTCATGTGTGAGGATGCTTCTGGTATCGCGTTCCATGACAACGAGTCGATTCCCAAGTATGCTGCTACTGGAACAGCCCGCTCTATGCTGGCCAACCGCATGTCATACTTCTTCAACTGGAATGGTCCTTCCATGACCATCGATACCGCCTGCTCGTCATCTTTGGTTGCTGTCCATCAAGCCGTTCTCTCCTTGAGAGCCGGTGAGTCTCGCATCGCAGTCGCAGCTGGTACCAACATCATCCTCAGTCCTCGCAATTTCATCGCGGAGAGCAATCTCAACATGCTTTCGCCTGACGGCAGATCTCGCATGTGGGATGCTAATGCTAATGGATACGCAAGAGGAGAAGGTGTTGCTTCTGTTATTTTGAAGACTCTGAGTCAGGCTCTTGCAGATGGCGACACTATCGAGTGCATCATTCGCGAAACTGGAGTCAATCAAGATGGCCGCACACCTGGTATTACTATGCCTAGTTCCAACGCGCAATGTGATCTTATTCGCTCGACTTACCGTAAGGCTGGCCTTGATCTCACCAAGAGCTCCGATCGACCTCAGTTCTTCGAAGCTCACGGCACAGGCACCAAGGCTGGAGATCCTCAGGAGGCCAGAGCTATCTACAATGCTTTCTTCGCAGACACTGGCATCACCGACGAGATTCTCAACGTCGGATCAATCAAGACTGTGGTCGGTCACACTGAGGGTACCGCTGGAATCGCGGGCTTACTGAAGGCTTCGCTTGCGATCCAGAACCAGATCATTCCTCCCAACATGCTCTTTGAGACTTTGAACCCCGACTTGAAGACTTACGCTCAGAACCTGAAGGTACCAACCAAGGCAATGAGCTGGCCAGAGCTACCAGCTGGCACACCTCGAAGAGCTAGTGTCAACAGCTTCGGCTTCGGTGGTACCAATGCTCATGCTATCATTGAGGCGTACGAGCCAGCCGAGAGCCAGACATTTGGCGCGGTCGCAATCCCTATTACGCTTTCGGCCNNCCCCTCAGAAAAGGCACTTGCAATGCAGCTTAGCACTATGGTAGACTTCTTGCGCGACAACAACGACGTCGATCTTTCGCAGATGGCATCGACATTGGCGCAGCGTTCTACCTTGACCATCAGAACAGCCGTCTCCGCACTGACCAGCGACTCGCTTGCTGAGCAACTTGAAGCCAAGCTAGAAGCAAGAAAGACCAACAACACGCCACTCGGCAACAGAGCTGCGAGAGACTCGCAGAACATCCTCGGTATCTTCACAGGCCAAGGCGCTCAGTGGGCTGCCATGGGTCGCGACTTAATCCTGTCCTCATCCTTTGTGGAGAACATCGTCGACGAACTTGAGCAGTCTCTCGCCCAGCTGCCTGAATCAAGCCGCCCTACATGGTCGCTCAAGCGTGAGATGATGGCCCTAGGCAAGGAGTCACGTATTGGCGAGGGTCTGATGTCGCAGCCTCTCTGCACTGCGGTTCAGGTGATACTGGTGAACCTTCTCACCCGAGCTGGTATCTCCTTCAACGCAGTCGTCGGTCACTCGAGTGGTGAAATTGGTGCTGCATATGCTGCAGGTTTCATCTCTGCTCACGATGCCATCCGCATTGCTTACTACAGAGGTTTCTATGCCAAATTTGCCAGAGGCCCCAATGGTGAAAAGGGATCCATGCTTGCTGTTGGAACATCAATGGACGACGCCGAGGAGCTTTGCGCGCTACCTAGCCTAGAAGGTCGCATCCAAATCGCCGCGTCCAATTCATCCTCCAGTCTGACTCTCTCGGGAGATGAGGATGCGGTGGCGGAGGCTCTCGAGATTCTTAAGGATGAAAACAAGTTTGCCAGGCAGCTCAAGGTTGACACTGCATACCACTCCCACCACATGATTCCTTGCTCCGACAAGTATCTCGAGTCTTTGACGGATTGCAATGTCCAGATTCTGACCCCACCTGAGAATGCTCCTCGTTGGTTCTCAAGCGTCTACGGTGATGATCAGATGACTGAAGACAACGAAGACTTGACCGGACGCTATTGGGCCGAGAACATGCTGCAGCCTGTCTTGTTCTCACAGGCTTTGACTGCCGCTTTGGATGAGGCTGGCACTCCGGGCTTTGCCATGGAAGTCGGCCCTCACCCAGCACTCAAAGGTCCTGCCAGCGCTACCATTGAAGAAGTCGTCGGCAATACCATTCCTTACACTGGTACCTTGTCACGCAACGACAACGACGTTGAAGCGCTCGCTGGGACTCTTGGCTTCGTTTGGACATACCTTGGTCCCTCGACACCCAATTTCAAAGCGTACAATGCTTTGTTCGGCAACGACGGTCAGAAAATCATGAAGAACTTGCCTCAGTACACTTGGGATCACGATCGTACTTACTGGTACGAATCTCGCATCTCTAGGCTCTTCCGTGCTCAACGCCCTCAAGCCACTCATGAGATCCTGGGTATTCGCATGGATTCTGAGCTTGAGGGAGAGTACCGCTGGCATAACTTCCTCAAGCCAAGTGAAATCTCATGGCTACGTGGCCACACTGTACAAGGTCAAGTTCTCTTCCCAGCTGCTGGATTTGTTGCTCTGGCTGTCGAAGGATCTAAGACAATCACGGCCGATGAGCCAGTCTCTCTGATTGAACTACACGACTTCAGTATTCATAATGCCTTGGCAATTGCTGACGAGACTACTGGTGCTGAGATCATCTCGTCGATTAAAAGCATTGTCAGAGAGGACAACATCATTACAGCTCAATTCAGCTGTGATGCATGCACCAACAAGGATACTGGAAGCATGGCTAGCATGTCTAGTGGCAAACTGGTCATCAGAATTGGCGAGCAGTCTCAGTCAGCTCTTCCCATCAGACCAACTCCTGAACATGAGCTGCGAAAGGTCAATGTTGAAAACCAATATGCCAGCTTCCAGGATATTGGTTACAACTACAATGGCATCTTCAAGGCCATAACCTCGCTCAAGAGAACCACTAACTTGGCCATGGGCAAGATCCTTGTACCTGAAGACACTGAGGGCTCAGATGCCTCATTCACTGTTCACCCTGCTGTTCTCGATGTCGGCCTGCAAGTCACTCTGTGCGCCATCGGTGCACCTTTCGATAGCCGTCTGTGGACCCTGCATGTCCCCACTGTGATCAGAAGAATCAAGATCAACCCGATGGCATGTCCTGCTGAGGGTGGCCGGGGCTCGGAAGTTCTTGCCAACTCGGTGCTTGCAAAACAGGAACCTGGCGATCACGGCTTCACCGGAGACCTTTCAATCTATGATCCCGCCGGCAGCAACTGCTTTGTTCAGCTCGAGGGTGTCAGAGTTGAGGCCCTGGCTCGTCCTAACAAGGCCAGTGACCGTCACATGTTTGCAGAGTCTGCCTGGTCGGTTCTTGAACCTGATGCTATTATTTGCTTCAAGGGTACTTCCGAGACCGATTCTCAGAAGAGTCTGTGCATGCTGGTCGAGCGTGCTTGCTTCTTCTACCTCAAGCAACTTTGGGAGAGTATTACTCCCGAGGAACGCGAACAGTGTGACGCCGATCGTGTGGCTATCCTCAACTGGGCCGAGCACCTCGTCTCAACCACAGCCGCAGGCTCGCATCCACACCTGCAATCTGATTGGGTGAAAGACGCAGAGGCGTCACTCAAACCTCAGCTCTTGACAGCTGCCGAGACCTACGATGATATGCGCAAAGTTATGTTCGCTGGCGAAATGCTCATCCCATTCGTTCGCAACCAAGTCAACATGCTTGAGGAGTTCAAGAACCACAACCTTCTGGACTGGTTCTACAAGTCGTCCACTGAGATTGCCGACTATAACGCTTGCATGGGTGCTGTTGTCAGGCAGCTCACTCACCGTTTCNNCCCCTACATGAAGATACTGGAGATTGGTGCTGGGACCGGCAGTGCAACTCAGAGCATCATCAAGGAGATCGGTCAGAGCTATTCGTCTTACACCTACACGGATATCTCTGCTGGCTTCCTCCACGATGCCGCTGAGCTTTTCAAGGATCATGGTAACGGCTTCAGCTACAAAGTCCTCGATATTGAGCAAGACGTTGTTGAGCAAGGCTACACCGAGGGTGCATATGATTGTGTTATTGCTAGCAACGTCCTCCACGCAACAAAGTCGCTTGACCAAACCCTGAGCAACGCTCGCAAGCTGCTGAAGCCTGGCGGCTACCTCGTCATGCTCGAGATTACTCAGGTTGATTGGCTTCGTACTGGTCTCTTCTTCTCTTGCATTCCTGGCTGGTGGGCCGGTGTAGAGGACGGCCGTCCCTACACCCCGCTAGCTACTGAGGCTCAGTGGGACTCTGTCTTCCGTCGTACTGGTTTCTCAGGAATTGACACTGCCACTCCATCGGTCAAAACCATCATGGGACCTTACTCGGTGATGATCACTCAAGCTCTTGACACTCGTATGGAGATTATGAGAGCCCCCCTTACCTTGGCTCCCGAGAAACAGCTTTGCGAGAAGCTACTCATTGTTGGAGGCGAGAAGGACTCAACTCTGCGAATCGCTCAAGATGTGCAGACACTTCTCCAGCCATACTATGGCTCCGTTTCGATCATCCCCAGATTGCAAGACGTTGTTCAGCATAACTTCTCTGCAAAGGATGCCCTTCTATCCCTGACTGAGCTTGATGAACCTCTCTTCAAGTCTTTCAACGAGGAGAAGTACAAGGCTATGCAGTATGTGCTCGATGAAGCCCGCAACGTGCTCTGGACTGTGCAAGGCTCCAGAACCCAGAACCCCTATGCCAGAATGATGATGGCCGTGGCTCGATGCTTGGCTGGTGAGCGTAGAGATGCTCTGTACATGCAGACCATCGACTCGAACGTTGAGGAGCTGCCTCAGCCTCGCCTGCTCGCCGAGACAATGGTGAGAATGCATATCGCTGAGCAGTGGAGGAACACAGGCTACGAGCCGCTCTGGAGTCTCGAGCGTGAGATTCATGTCAACAATGGCGTCCTTGAGGTTGAGCGCTTTGTCCCGAGCGCGGAGCTCGACGACCGTTACAACTCTGACAAGCGTGAGATCAAGAAGCCTATGCAGATTGACTCTACAATCGTCGCAGTCAGCCAAGCCAAATCTGCCTACCAGCTCAAGGAGGTTTTCAACATGCCATTCCAAAACGAAGCTGTCAAAGCTTCCGAGATGGTGACCATCAACGTCCGCAAATCTTTCATCAGTGCCGTCAGGGTCAAGTCTGTTGGGTCCCTGTTCATTGTCAGCGGAACAAACACCAAGACTGGACAGAAGCTGTTGGCCTTCTCGCAGACTCTGCAGTCCTCAGTCTCTGTACCCAAAGACTGGATTGTTCAATGTGATGTCGCTGATGAGTTTGAGAGCAGTGTCGTCATGGCCGCTGCTACTTACAGTGCAGCTGATGCAATCATTGGTAAGACCAGCCACAGAAGTTCCTGCTTGGTTCACGAGGCCACTCCAGCCCTTGCAAGAACTTTGCTCAAGGTCGCTGCTGAGAAGAAGGTCCCAATGGCTCTCACATCATCGAAGTCATCAAATAGCATTTACCACTATGTTCACCCTTCAACTTCTCAGGCAATGATTGCTTCGCACATCCCTCAGAGTGTGTCGATCTATGCCGACCTTTCGGGCAGCTGTGTCGAACATGACGCTATTGGCGATCGTATTGCACGCGAGCTCCCTGCTGCTTGTAAGCGCAGAGATATCTCAGCTGTTTTCAACAATGATGGATTTGTTGATTCGGAGCACGATATCGCAAAGATACTCCGCAAGCACTACGTTCGCGCAATCGCTGATCTTGGATCATTCCAAACCCCTGAGACTATTTCTCTGGCAAGCCTGCCCGACTCACCTGTCCTACCTGCTAGCCTCCGCATCATTGACTGGACTGCCGAGGCTTCGGTTCCTGTCTCGACTTCTTTGGTCAACGAGCAGCTTCGTTTCCGTCCCGATGGTACCTACTGGATGGTTGGTGCAACTGGTGAACTTGGCTTGTCTACTTGTCAGTGGATGGTCAACCGTGGCGCCAGATACTTTGCACTTACCAGCAGAAGCCCCAAGGTCGAGCAGGCCTGGTTAGACAGTATGGCTGCCCAAGGCGTGACAGTCAAGATCCTTGCCATGGATGTCACTAGCAGAGACTCGGTCCGCGCTGGCTACAAGGAAATCTGCGACAGTATGCCTCGCATTGCAGGCGTTACCAATGCCGCCATGGTCCTTGACGACAATCTGCTAGCCAACATGCCCTACGAGTCCTTCGCAAAGACACTGAAGCCCAAGGTCGATGGCACAATCTTCCTTGACGAACTCTTCTCCGAAAACACCCTCGATTTCTTCATCGTATACTCTTCTCTTGCTTACATTGCTGGCAACCATGGCCAGGCCCCCTATGCAGCAGCAAACGGCTTTATGACAGCACTTGCAGCTAACCGCAGAGACAGAGGACTTGCAGGCAGCGCCATGAGCTTCGGTGCTATTTCTGGAGTCGGCTACGTCGAACGCCGCAGCGTCGACATAAACCTCAGCCAGAAGATGAGCAACTTGGGCTATGCTCCCGTATCTGAGTGGGACTACCACCAATTCTTCGCCGAGGCTGTGCTTGCCTCTCCTTCTGACTCTGGCAGAAACTTTGAGATTTCAAGTGGTTGCAAGGTCTTCGACGTAGCCAAGGAGCCTAACTTGCCTTACTGGCTCGACTTGCCCAAGTTTGCCTACTACCGCCGCGTCAAGGCCGACGCCTTTGCTGAGCAGAGCGACAAGCGTCAGGTCTCTGTGCGTGCACAGCTCAAAGAGCAGACTACCGAGGAAGGTGTGCAGAAGGTTCTCCTCGACCGCTTCATCACTGGACTGTGCACTATGCTGCACATCAGTGAAGACGAAAGCAGAGTCACTCCTGAGACTGGACTTACTGAACTCGGCATCGATTCTCTCGTTGCCGTTGAGATAAGATCCTGGTTCCAGAGCGAGTTGGACTTGGACATGCCTGTGTTGAAGATTTTGAGCGGTGCCAGTATCGAGAAGATGGTTGAGGATGCATTTGAGAGGCTTTCGCCTGAGCTGACTCCTGAAGTCAAGAGAGAAGCTAAGGTTGCCGAGGTCAAGGTGGAACAGGAGAAGGTGGCTCCTAGCGAGGAGAGCTATCAGAGCGAGACACTGGTGTCTTCAGTAGATGTGTCTGACAACTCGAGCAGTGATGGAGAGGAAGGCGCATGATTCTTAGATTGTTATTTGTTCAGGAGTTTTGGGTATAACTATAAATTGAATTTCTGATCAAAATACTTCTCTTGACTATCGGTTTCGCTGGTGATCAGATTACGGATAGAGTAAGTAGCAGGATAGCAAGAACCTGGTAGTCTTACTCAGTGAGCTTCTGAGATGAAGAACACCGTTTCTGGTACATGATTAGATGCTATCATGAGGGGGTCTGTGGTTAGCATCATGATGGCTTCGATGACCATCAAGACTGATCACAAGACGTGACGTCTATCAACGTGGAGAACGCATGCGGGGAACGCTTAGAAGCTCTTGAAAATTGGGTCGTGCACATCGCCTGCAGGCGACCACCTGCCTTCTGCGTGTGACCAAGTGCATGACAAAGGCATGATTGGTGGTCGCTCAGGCATGGGGAAGTCAAAACCCCGCTCCCGCGCTTGCTTGCAGCTCTCACTGTATGCGTGCAATCTCCGACAATTGCACCGACAGTCTGGATAGGGCAAAATCTACAATTCGGGAAGGTGCGTTTGGACATTGCTATACAAGATGCTCCGATCGCCAGCACTGCAGCTTGTGCTTGAATCATCCTGCGACATGTTGCTCAGAAACGCTGCCACACCCCTGGGTGCCCTGCTCGCCCTATGCCCCTCTTCATCATTTGCTCAAAATACTCCTTGTCAGACCACGACGGTGCAAGCAACCGTACCGAATAACGCCAATGTCGCCCTGCATTCTTACTCGTACTGCGGCGGTAACCTGGATGTCTCGGTTTACATCGCCAATGTCAACTACAACAAAGTGGTTACTCTGTACTACACAGACAGCCAGGGCGTTTCTACGCCTTTGACATCAGTCGCACTCGGCTACAATTCCAGCATCCCAGACACCAACTATGAGTTCTGGAGTGCGAACACCCCTGTCTACCTCGATGGCATTACTGAGTTGTTGAACCTTACCTATCAAGCCAAGGACATTGGGCAGACTTACGTACAGCAGCTGGAGCTTGCGGTCAAGGCTAGTGGCAATNNCCCTCCTGCTCCTGCAGCTATCCCATCGCCTTACGCAACCCCGAGCGGCTTCTCCGATGATATCACTGCCTGGTTGGCTCCCAACAATGGCTCACAAGCCGACTTTTCGAAGACGCACATGTTCCTGAATATCAATCCCGACATCGATGGTGCTGCCAAGGGCACCGTAGTTGCCGCTCGGTCCGGTCCCTCCTATGATCAAAAGCTTCCAGACTACGAATATGATTGGGTTCGTGACTCCTCATTGACCATGGAAGTCGTCCGATCTCTCTACGCGGCATCCACAGTTGACAAGTTTACCCGCAAGTACAAAGATGCGCTCTTCCATTACGCAGAAGGAAGAGCTGTCGAGCAGACTGACCCGTCGCTCACGTTTGCCGGCCTCGGAGAGCCCAAGTTTTACTTGAACAACACTGCTTTCACTGGCCCTTGGGGCCGACCTCAGAATGATGGCCCTGCAACTGCGGCCATCACCCTCATGGAGTTTGCCAATGATTACATGAAGAAAGGCGGAACCTTGTCTTCTGTCCGTGACCGTATCTGGAATTCAACAGCAAATCCTCAGAAAGCGCCCGTTTTGAAGGATCTATTGTTCGTGGCCAGCAACTGGAGCTCGCCCAGCTTTGATCTATGGGAAGAGGAGGAAAGCACCCACTTTTACACACGCCTCGTCCAGCGTCGTGCCCTGGTTATGGGTGCCAAGTTCGCAACTATGCTTGGTGATGCAGCAACCAGTAACACACTCTCCTCTGCTGCCACTCAACTCACTGCCACACTCGATCAGTTCTGGAGCCCGAACAGGAAGCTCATCCTCTACGAGTATGGACCTGTGTTACATGGCAAGAACTCATTCATTGATATCGCCGTCATTCTCGGTGTTATTCATGGCTATGCTGATGATGGTGTATACTCATACACGAACGACAGAGTGCTCGCATCAGCTCTGAAGATTTCGACTAGCTTCCTCGATGTGTACCCGATAGCGAAGACAATCAAGGACTCAAGCGGTCTTCCGCTTGCTATACCGATTNNGGGTAAGATAAACAGGGCTGGCTTCCGGACATACACTAACAAAGTCTGCAGTCGTTATCCCGAAGACGTCTACAACGGTGTAGGAACTTCGGCTAATGGAGGGTAAGTCGACTACAACTAAGGAACTTGGTTAGCACAAGCTGACATACCAAAAGCNAACCCGTGGTACCTGACCACTGCCACCATGGCTCAGTACCTCTACTCGGTCGCTTCGGAGTACCAAGCTGCAGGTAGTCTGACAGTCAACAATGCCACTGCACCTTTCTTCGCATACTACGCACCAACAGCCGGCTTCAAGTCAAAGACCTACTCTTCCAACACCAAAGAGTTTTCCTCAGTAATTGCCAGTCTGAAAGGTTGGGGTGACGCGTATATCCGTCGCATCAAGTATCATACACCGGCTAGTGGAAACTTGGCTGAGGAGTTCAATCGCAACAACGGTATCGCACAAGGAGCAGCTGACCTGACCTGGAGTTATGCTTCGCTTCTTACTGCTGCCTTTGCTCGTGCTGCCCTGTCGGGTGACGGGACTTACGTCCAAAAGGTTGCAGCTTTGGCATATGAATAGCCTACTTGTGTCGCATCGGTTGCATGGATGTGGGAGTATGGTACTTGCAGCATCATTGAGTATTGATTTCAGACACCATGGGAGGCTAGATTCATAAAACTGATAGCATCGTCCTAGACAAAGACCCTCAAGAATTCACCTAGCATCATCATTGCCATTGCTTGTCCATAGGGCATACTGGTGATTGGAATATCCTTGTAGTGCTGCAAATCACTTCCCATACCAGTACCAAAGCTTGTATTTTGAAGTTCTCCATCGTCGCTAATGCTTCCGATGACAGCCTTTACAGCTTTAAGTGCGACTGCTTCGTATTCTTTGCTGATGTAACGCTTCCGTACGGCTTTCAACATGCCGTAGGCAAACCCAGCTGTTGCGGAAGCTTCTTCGTAGCTGCCTTCGCTTGTAGGAATGTCGAGCAGTGTGCACCACATACCGTTTTCGCGCTGTAGTCTCGCAAGAGCTTTGCATTGAGCCTCAAGAGTGTCGATCAGATGCACTCTCAACGCATCATCTTTCGGCAGGTTCAACAATTCAATGAAGTCCGGAATGACTATTGTTACCCAGCTATTTCCTCTCGCCCACCTAGCCTCTGCAAAGTTGTGTCCCACGCCGCCCGGGCTAGTCTCGTCAAACTTCCAGCCATGGAAGAATAAACCGGTCTTTGTGTCGAACAAGTATTTGATGTGGAGCATGAATTGGTGTTTTGCTTCTTCAACATAGTGAGGGCGGTTCAGCAAGAGACCGATCTTTGCGAGCGGCATGACAGTCATCATGAGAGTGTCGTCCCAGAGCTCAAAGTGATTCTCGTTCGCGTATGTTATGTGCTGGAAACCGCCGTAGGGTGTGCGCGGCAAGTCGTACATTGCCCATTCTGCCCAAGAGTCTAGCCAGGCTTCGTGTGTGGTATCTCGACTCTTTTCGTATAGATAGGCTAGTGTCAGGAAGGGCGACATGGTGTTTATGTTTTTGGTTGTCCCTTCGGCGAGGCGACCTTGGAACCATTGTTGGATTGTCGACAATGCGGATGCGGAGCCTGTCAAAGTGTAGTATTGGTACAAGCCGTAGAGACCGATGCCGTGAGTCCATTCCCAGTCATTCCATCCTGCAGTCTGTCAGTATGCTGCTGATCGTTATGAAGTTGCGGATTTTCGACCTTTTGTATCAATGATACGGCCATCGTCAAGCTTGAGCAGAAAACGACCAGTTGTGTCTTTGATGTTCACAAGATTATGGATTAGAAGCTCAATATAACGATGAATATCGGTAGCTTCGTAGCCATGAAGACGCAGAGTGGTAGGCATGATGAGTCTTCCTTCTAATCTATTCTCAGGATCTCTACAGCCCAATGCGATGCACCGAAAAGACAAGACGCGGAGTTGTATGACCGGCGGCAGCTGGAAATCATTGTTTATCAAGGTGGTACCTCGCGATAGATATTCCCTCACATGCTGCCGATCGTTTAACATCTTTAGCCCGAGTTCCGAGATGGCCGACTTGCCAAGCTGAAGGATCGCAACACAACATGCGGTCAATTTAACCACACCCCACATCCTGATTATCCACCAATGACTTCTCCATCTGCGACGATCATAGCGGAATGTGCTCTCCGACCTCGTGTTTACCATGTCTGACTCGCTAACGTTACCTCTCCCCGCCCACCCGTTGAAATGGCTTCACCTGTGGCGCTCGATTAGTCTGGGGGTACCCCATGGGACACTCGCTATTCGGGGACAGACTTGTAGACGTTCCATCGCAAGCACCATGAAGAATGGTTAGTCCGGCTTGGCTATGGGATAATGACTACCGAGAGTGCAACCTCACGCGCACATAAAGGATGCTACTGCATAGGGGATGTCATTTTGATTCTGTTCAGCGACCTTTGAGTTGACATTCACTGGACTTTGGCCTTGTTCTTTTCTGTATCCGTTCATAGAAGCCATGTCCAACATCAATACTGCTACAGCTCCCATGGAGAAGGACGATCTCGTCCGTCTCGAGACAGTCCTGTCGAACGAGGAAAACCTCAAAGGCGACCACATGAACTACGAGCGTGTAGACAAGGAACTCGCCAAATACACAGCCGGCGAGCGTATCGAGATCTCCGAGGCAGAGGACAAGCGTCTCAAAAAATTGATCGACCGTCGTGTTTTGGTAGTCATGATCTTGACTTACTTCCTTCAAGCGCTCGACAAAGGAACCATGAGTTTCACCAGTATCATGGGCATCCAAGAGGATTTGCATTTAAAGGATAAGGTATGTCTTGTACTAGCTGGTTATGGTCATAGACTAACTTGCTCCAGNTTCTCCTGGTTGACAACTTGTATCTACATTGCTGTCCTACTTGTCGAATATCCTACCAACTGGATCATTCAACGTGTGCCCATCGCCAAGTACCTCTCGGCCAACATCATCCTTTGGGGTATCGTTCTTGCGCTCCATGCAACAGCNAAAAACTTCACCACTCTCTTGGTCTGCCGCACCTTCCTGGGTATCTTCNNGGAAGCAGTTTGCCAACCTGCTTTTTTGATCATGTCCTCCCTTTGGTACAAGAGAGAAGAGCAGGCTCAGACTGTGACTTACTGGTACATCATGAATGGTGCGCAGCAGATTGTTGGTGGACTGCTTGCTTACTGCTTTTCTCTGCTCGGTAACAACAGAGCTGTCAAGTCATATGAGGCCATCTTTATCACCTACGGATCTGCCTCTGTACTTTGGGGTGTGTTCGTGCTCTTCTGGCTGCCTGACTCACCGATGCGTGCCAAGTGCTTCTCTGAAGAAGACAAGGTAAGTGACATCTCCGTCTCTGTACTCGACACATGCAGAAGCTAACCCTCCACANNGAAACTCATGGTGGAAAGAGTCCGCTCTAACCAAACCGGTATTCAGAACAAGAAGTTCCGCCCCGAGCAGGTCAAGGAAGCTCTCACAGATCCTCAGCTTTACTGCTACATGTTGATCCAGATCTGCACCACACTTCCCACCAGCGGTCTCGGTGCCTTCGCCAACATCATTGTCAAAGGCTTCAAATTTACTACTCTGCAGACACAGCTCTTGGCCATGGTACTCGGCGCCTACATCGTCATTGTCCTACTCTCCTCAACCTGGCTAGTCAANAAAACAGGTCAAAACCTGCTTGTCATGGGCGCATTCGTGATCCCCTCTTTCGCCGGCACGATCGTGCTCATGACAGTTAGAAACACAGATACCGCCACCCAAGCAGGACTGCTGTTCTCATACTATATCGTACTTTCGTTCTGGGCAGCCCAGACTTTGGCCATGTCAATGCTATCTCGCAACGTCGGCGGCCAAACCAAAAAGTCCATCGTCGTGGCTGCAAACTTTGCCGCTTGGGCTGCTGGCAATGCTATTGGACCTCAGGTGTTCTTGGCGTATGATGCGCCTCGCTATTTCATTGCGTTTGCTACGCATATGGGTTGTTATGTTTTGCTTGTTGTTGTTATTGTGTTTTTGCGTTGGTGGTTGATGAGGTGTAATGCTAAGAAGGATGCTTTGGCTGCTGCTGGTGTTGGAGAAGCGAGGGATGATAGTTATACGCATGCATTCGATGATTTGACGGATAGGGAGAATCCCAATTTTCGCTATGTTTATTAGAGAGGGTAGGGAAATGGTTAATGATCATTATACATTACAAGCACTTCTAACAACAATGACAAAAAAATTTCAAAGTTGAACAAAGTCTGCATATCAATAGGAGCAGTCTCGTGTATTATTGAGCTCAAGGCCAATGACAGAGTCTTGGTCCTGCAAGCCAAGTTCTTTCAAATCAGTACGTCGAGAGTTTGCTAAACTTACCACGGGCTCTGATCTGACAACCCCACCTGAAGAAGAGGAAGGGTGCCGGAAGCAGAAGAACGCTGATGCAAGCAAAAATGGTGCTGCCCCAGTTGATGCCGATCTTCTTGTACATAGGCCATACAAACAGAGGAAAGGCCCCTGCCACTATAGATCGCGCGAAGGTATTAGCTGCGATGGCACTAGCACTGTAACGAGTAAAGGTGTCGACCAGGTACTGAAGAGATGATTGGAAGATTGTGGTAAAGCCAAGTCCCGTCAGAAAGACCGCGACAATCGATGGCCAGGGGCTAGAAACGAACTCAAGTGACGTCCCTGCAGATCATTATTAGTCGTCCACAAGGTTCAACAAGCGTGACTTATAACTTACACCNNCGAACAGAAACAGACTTGCGGTGAACGCGAATCCTCCCACCATCATTGGCGGAAGTCTCGCTTCAGGAACAGGTTTGAAATGATTCGCAACGAACTTCTTGCCATAGTAGATGTTGTTGCAGATGTTTCCAGCAGCGGCAAACAGACAACCAAGCAAGAGGGACAGAAATGGTAACTGGCTCACAACTGGACCCCAGCCACGTAATTGACCATATTCCAAGGAAAAGCTTTCCAGACTCGCATACAGGATTGNCTAATCAAAGATTCAGAGTCAGCAATGACTGCTACAATATGACTCAAAAACCCAACTGTGATGCTTACCATATACAAATGAAGTATAAATTGTCAACAACATACAGATAGGATCTAAAAGCATTTGGAAAGGACGAACCAAATAAGTCTTGAGAAGGCTCCTAAATGTCGGGCTAGTCTCTTCCCANNCTATTGTAGATATGTAAGCAGAGGAATCAGCCGTAAGAGAACGTATCGACACTATAGGGAGCGCGACCAGAGCAGACCGAGCTGGACTTTGTAGTGCACCTACCTTAGCGTGAAGTGCGAAATTACCAGTAGCTTGGCGAAGTTGACTTGCTTTGCGTGTTAAGAGCACATCGGCATGGCTCTCATCCATCCAGATGGTATCTACAACGAACTGGGCCATCATGACAATACCCGTCAAATACTCAGTCCAGCGCCACCCGCAGCCGCTAGCAATGAAAGCACCGCCTATGATGGGTCCCAGAGTTGGTGCGGCAGCAATGGTGATGCCATAGCATACCATAGGCGTTCCCCGTTGACGAGGGGTCCATATATCAACGATAGATCCTCCAGTGATAGAGATGGGAGAGCTGCCAAAGACTCCAGCGAAAAACCTCGTGATCAGGATGGTCTGGATATCTTTGGCGGTTGCGGTGCCGAAAGCGAAAGCAGCACTAACAAAGTAAGNGCTGATGGCCTGAAGGTCAGCGAATTGCATGCTCATTACATCTCCAGGTAAGAGCATCCATACAGCAAGAGCGGGCCATTTTCGACCATAGACCTCACATAGTGGCGCCCAAAGCATGGGCCCGAGGGCGAAGCCGAAAATGAGGAGGCTGGTCCCGGCGTTGGCAACCTCGTATGAAACGTCAAACTCCTGGCTAATCTCTCTCGTTCCAGCAGAGTAAATGGCAGACGCAAAAGTGATCCAGCATGTCGTTAGAGCCCAGAGTGCCGTTGTGTAAATTTTCTTTCCGATAGGCCAATTTTGGGGGTTTGATCGATCGCTCTTTCCCTCAAAATCTACTATGTCCGCAGACTGACGTGTCTCCTTGGCGCTGGCTGTCGTCCCTCCCGCGACTTCGTTTTCTGGATGCGATCTGTCGTTCATGCTGTCTGATCACGATTTGGAAAGATGGTTCAAGAACGTGTTCCATCTTAGGACTTAAAGTTGTCTCTCTGGCATCTTAAAGTATTCTCAGAGCTTTTCTGGTCTCGGCCACTCGCGCATCTGGCGCATCTCGCATAAGCTATGCGAAAGCCAGAAATCATACCACGCCGTTTCTGGCGGGGTACCGCGTTGGTTCGCACAACTGTCCGTCTCGTTCTTTGATCAAATCCGCATCTTGATCTCTTACTGCCTAGTCAACATCGCGTCTCTGCATACTTACAATCTATCCGACGAGGCAATCAGAAGATCGTGGGTGTTACGCAGTCCCGCTCGGTCTTGATCGCCTATCGTAGTCGGCCAGGGAGCCATAATCATTTAGCCGGGCGAGGGCTGATTGAACTCCAGCACAAGAAGCTCGTCCATGTCAGGATTGTTACAGTCGCACGTTCAAGTGCCTACCTGCATCCATTGTCGCCAACGTAGAGTCAAATGTGACCGTCAACATCCACAGTGCTCAAATTGTTTGCGATCTGAGGTCAGCTGCGTCTACCCGCCTGGTAGAGGCAGAGCACCTAAGCGACCAAGACGCAATTTGACGCCTCAACTAGCAGAGCGCTTGACTCGTCTTGAGAAGCTAGTCGGAGAAGTTGACATTTCTAGTGAGTATAGAGTCACTGTAATAAACGCTTGGGCACGGCTAATATTNGCAGCAATTCGGACGAGCCAAAAGACTTCTCAGTCAGATCAAGATGCGGAGCAATCACTTGATCAAGATTTCAGCCGTCTTAAAGTTGATGAATCAAGGAGTTACTATGTGAACAATGCATTATGGGTCACCTTGTCTAATGAGGTACAGTAGAGATCCGATTTCTTAGCCTGCTCTTTCATCGATCTGATTTCTTACCATCGGCTAACATATCTCATCATCATACTANNGGTTGAAGAGCTCCGCGATCTTCTCTTCGAGCCTGCTATTGAAGATGCTGGCTATGACGACCCTGCGGTCGCTTCATCTACCACTACAACTGCCATCTCACCGTCATGTTCCCAGCTGGGCCTCAATACCGCTATCTTCGGCCATCATACTCTTGCTTTGCCTCTTCACCATTACTATCCTTCGTTGTCCCAAGCCCCCACGCTTTTTGCTGCATTTAGTGAGAACGTTGCGCCGCTAGTACGCATTTTTCATATGCCTACGTTGACGAAGACCTACTGGGACACAGTCACATCGATTGACTCTGTTGACAAGCATACAGAAGCTCTCCTATTCGCTATCCATTATTCAGCCGTCATTAGTCTCAGCTCGGAGCAATGTTCCAAGATCATGGACGACACACGTGAAGCCATCTCAGCAAAGTACCGATTTGCGGTCGAACAGGCTTTCGCTCAAGGCAATCTGCTCGGTACTCAGAGCATGACTTTGTTACAAGCTGCGGTACTGTTCTTGTCTGCCTTGCCAAACGAAGAAGACTCACGAGCTGCGTGGGCACTCACATCTCTTGTCTTCCACATCGCAAGGACTATGGGTCTTCATCGCGACGGCACCGTATTTGGGCTCAAACCTTTTGAGACAGAACTCCGCAGACGTCTGTGGTGGCAAATTTGCATTATCGATAGTCGCTCATCAGAATATCATTGCAATGAGCCTATCGCCCTGGGACTTGTCACAGACACCAAGCCTCCGCTGCACATCAATGACGATGATCTGTCATCTGAATTGCTGCAGCCTCCAGCCGAGAGATGGGACTCTGCCACTGACATGACGCTCAGTCTAGTTCGATGTGAGACCATACAGACAGGTTGGAAGCTGAGTCGTATAAAGCACAAGCAGAACAAAGAACTCGAGGATCTCGGCACTTTGGGATCACACGAGAGCCCAGATTTCTCCGACGAACGATTGTCTCTGATTCAAGGTCTTGAATCGAGATTACGCGACAAATATCTGCCTATCTGTGATAGCTCTGTACCGATCCAACTTCTCGCATCAAGCGTGGCACGTATCATACTTGGTCGCTTCAAGCTGATAGCTCAGTATTCGGGAGCTTCGCGGGAGAAGGAAAGCTATGGTAAGACTCTAACGGCACAGCTNCGTCCGAAAGACAACATGCGTGACGAGCTGTTCGAAACATCCATTGGCATACTAGAAGCGTCCGGCATACTTTTGACATCCAAAGAGCTCATGCACTTCACTTGGTACTCGAAAACCCATATTCAGTGGAATGCCATGACACTTGTTCTTTCTGAGCTATGTTCTCGAGGTCAGTCTTCTCAATGTGATCGCGCCTGGGACTGTGTGCAAACCGTGTACGAGGCTTGGAGATTCCACGGTAACGAGTTAGAGGAAACTCGCCTCGCTCTGTGGCGACCTATCAGACGGCTTATGGCCAAAGTGCGCTACGTTAGAGAAATACAGCAAACGGATCCTGGACAGCCATCGAAATCCATTCGAAGTACTCGAGCTGGCAATTCCATACCTTGTTTCTTATCACCGGGAGAAATGTCTCAGCCTGCGATGGCAACCTTTTCCAGCGATTGGTCAGAGCCCTTACAGCAAGCAGAAGATTCTGTGCTAATGCCCCAGACCTGTTTGACCGGACCATATTCGGTCCAAAATAGTTACCGCAACCAGCCAGATGCTCTACAGGGAGTACTTAGTACAGACACAAGAGACCCATTCATGGATTGGATTCCGCAGTGGCCCTTTGCGGATATTGATCCAGACATTGAGTCATCGCTCACAGACTATGATTTCGTATTATAAAGACAGATGCTAGGGATGCCGCTTGTTTAGGGGTCTATGACATGCTAAGATACTCAGACTATCTCCAAAGGCAATCCTCAGACAATTCAGTGATGGGCTCACTTGAAGTATCTTGGTATCTCTCTTTCGACAAAATTCTCGAAGAATACCGCCTTCCGGCCTGTCAATAGCTCAACGTTGAGGCGCTGTTGTTCATAATCCTCGGAAGTATACAGTGGCCTCGTCTCCATCATTGATTTGGCTAGCGATTTGGCTATCATATCGGGAACATGACGCTTGGCCATATTCTCAAGATATTGCTCGACCGTGATATGATTGACCTCGACTTTGCACTTACCAGCCGCCATCAGCTCCAGATCGATGATTTCCCATTGCTCAGTTTGAGACAGTAACGCTGGTCCGCTAAGATAAACGATATTCTTAGAAGGAGACCCCTGATGATCGCTTTTGTACAGACGAGGGTTGACTAGCACTGCAGCGGCCGCACGTCCGATATCTGCTGGATCGATAGGATCATGAGGCATATCCGGGGCAAGCAAGTCAACTGAGTTCGGCTCCGAAGACTGATCGAGGTAAAGTCGCAGCGGGTTACTTGCAAAGAACCCAGCACGTATCGCTGTATGTGGCATGTTGAGTTCTTCAAGCGCAATCTCGATCTGCGCATCCTGCCATGGTATGAAGTAATCACGACTTATGGACCGAATGTCGCCCTCGATAAAACCCGCAGTCCGGACCTGGCTCGTGGATAGAAATACGATATACTGGATACCAACATCTCGAAGGGCGGTTATAGCTCCACGCAGCATGTCTCCCGAATGAACGGCATAGATGAAAGCAGCCTGGGCTCCGGTTTCTTTCACAGCACGCTTTACGGCTTCCGTATCGGTCAAATCGGCCTTGACACGCTGCAAATCTGCGGCGCGCTCTTGTTCGGGCGAGATCCACTCGTTGTGCTTGGATGTGTCGCGTAATGCGATAGAGACGCGAGCACCAAGGGCGTGAGCCTCGAGTGCTACAGCAGAGCAGACCTCACCAGTGGCGCCGAAGACGAGGACATTGGAAAAATGAGGCGAGGGCATGTTCGAGAGATGGAAGTTGCAGTGGTGGCAGCAGATACGGCCGAGATGTTAACAAACAAAAGTGGTCGGAAAAGAGGAAGTCGATGTATGTTGATTTTCACAAGGTTCTTCGGCGCATTCATGTTTATATACAAAACCGAGGCTTCCAAAAGAAATCTTTCTCAAGGTAATCTTCATTATGAAAAGCAGCATTGTCCTCAACACAAGCTGCGTGTTGTCTCTCGGGCAAGCAGTCCGAAGCGTCGTCCGAAGACTCGGGCTTTCGCATAGTCGCATAACAGAATCCACGCGACCGTTTGGACGGAGCAGAGCCGGGTGTGATTCTAGTTGTTCACACCTGCAATCGAACACCGATCATCATCTGGCGCGATTGGCAGTCTTCACAGCCAGGTCAAGTCGGAATCAAATTGTCCTAAGTGTCTCCACAAAAGATTTTCTCAAGACGCACAAATTTATGGATGATTCTCTTAGCCACTTCCCCAGCTGTAACCATCCAGATCCTTCAAAGCACCCACCACAGATGCTTTCTCCGAATACGAGATGTAACCATAAATCACCACCCTAATCATGATAGTGATTTGATCGGCATAGCTCTTACTTGATCATTGACAACCATCCCAACCAGACTTCATGCAGAACAAAGAGCAATATCTTGGCGTGGGGGGTACAGATGTCCCCCTCGGTATAGTGATACACCGAACCATGCAAATGAAAGGCTTCGCATCATGGATAGATCTGCACCTCCACACACGGGCTAAAGATGTTCTGCGGAGAAATTGCTCGGGTCACTGTATGGCGGAAGGCAGAAAGACGGGGTAAGCATGAAGGTGTGAAGTCGATCTCTGAAAGGCGATATTGATAAAGGGCAATGTAGCTGAGCTTGAAGCCAAGGATAGTCTTCGAGTGAGAGACTTCATATCACGCAGGAATGGCTCTCATCTTGAGATTGCAGATTTTCCTGCTCTCCTGTCTTGTGTTTCTTGTTGTTCCCACCCATACCTTTCTGAATGCAACTGAGGATGCAAAGGCTTTGGTCATCGCTAACGATCGCCTCTATGCGTCCGTCAACAAATCCACGGGCATCATGGATGTGCTCAGTCTTGATGGCCAAAACCTCCTCGGCACAAAAGAGTATAACGAAGTCACTCCTGGAGGAAATGCAGCTGGTCAGAATGGCATTGGACCATATCTGGATTGTTATTGTGTGCCTGCTGGCTCATATACACCTGGCAAATATGCGACGTTCAAGTTGTTTTCGGGCAATGATTCTACTGGTGTGCCGTATGGTGGCATCGTCATGTCGGAGGTGTATCCTTTTACTGGACAGGTGCTGGAGCAGTATTGGTTCCTTCGGGAAACTGAGACGGGCTTACATACNTTTTCCCGTCTTGCTTATCATAATGAGACGAAGCCATTTTTGCGGTTAGTAAATATGCGGTCTTTTTGCTGTACTGGGTTACTGATGTCGTGANNAAGGAACTTGCAAGAATTCAGGACGTTGTTCAGACCAACGACTCCATTGTGGACTCATCTGTCTACCAATGAGAAGATCAATGCTCCCTTACCTTCCTCAGACACTTTGAAGTACTCCAGAACGGTTCAGGATGCAACATGGTATATTGGCAATTATACCGATGCACCATACGTCGAGCAGTTTGCCGACTACTTTACCAAGTACACCTTTTCAGACGAATGGAGAGACCACAAAGTGCATGGAATCTATGGCGATGGTTCCAACAGCAAGGACGGCTCAACTTTTGGTGCTTGGTTGGTGATGAATACTATTGACACTTATTTCGGAGGTCCAACACATTCTGACCTCACTGTAGATGGGATCGTGTACAACTATATTTGTGAGTAGAGATGTATCTCGCCCTTTCACATCAACTTACCTTGTGTACANGCTTCCAATCACCACGGAGACAACGTTCCAAACATCACCACCGGCTTCGACAGAACATTTGGACCTCAGTACTTCCACTTCAACAAAGGCTCAAACACGACCAGTATGGCGGAGCTGCGCGCAGAAGCAGAGCTGTTCGCCTCTCAAACCTGGAACACNTGTTTTTATGACTCCATCGCTCATCTCGTACCAAACTATATCCCCTCGACACAAAGATCGGTTTGGAGAGGCCGCATAGACCTGCCGAAAGGCGCCAAACGTCCCATTGCTGTGCTTGCTCAAAATGGCGTCGATTTCCAAGATAATGTGCTAGACACCAAAGCATATCAATACTGGGGCGACATCGACGAGAAGGGTAATGTCGAGATTCCGATGGTCAAGCCAGGAACCTATCGTCTTACAGTGTATGCCGACGGAGTATTCGGACAGTATATCCAGGATGATATTGTTGTCGCGGTCGGCCAGGTCACTACAACCAAAGCGAAATGGCGTGAGGAGTCTGCCGGCAAGGAACTGTGGCGCATCGGCACTCCTGATCGCAGTAGTGCAGAGTACAGACACGGCGATCAGCCTGATCCCAGCAAGCCTCTGCATCCACCTGAGTACAGAATCTATTGGGCAAATTGGGATTTCCCAACTGATTTCNNCCCTGATGGAGTCACCTTCGAGGTCGGCAAGAGTGATGAGAGCAAAGACTTCAACTACGGTATGTTGGTCTATTCCTGCTGTATTTTTCTGGTTTCTGACGCTACGTTAGTTCACTGGAGTGTCTTCGGTGGATACGCAAACTCGATCAGGCCAGAGCCATACTACGAGAACGTCAACAACTGGACTGTATTGTTTGATGTGAAGAAGAGTGACATAAAGAAAGCAAAGGACGCAACCCTCACCGTAAGTCATTGTTTCAAATACCGAAATCTGCAAGGATCGCAGGCTAATTGCGAACAAAAGATACAATTAGCAGGTGCAAAAACAGCTGCCGGCAATACAGACAACTGGAACGCGACACAGCCATGGAACAACCTACCTCTGACAGTAGTCATGAACAGCAACGAGCTGGAACCATGGGACATTCCGTAAGTCATTGGTGCGAGATTGTACAAAGTGTTGTGCTGACAGACAGATTAGNNTTGGAATCAGAGCAGCTCATGTGCTACCAGATCTGCGGTGATTTGCTATTCTTTGGCACATAAGTATCAGTTCGACAGCAATCTCTTGAGAGAGGGTCGGAACAAGATGATATTGAGTTTACCGTTTGCTGCAACAGATTACGAAAGTGCTGTCCTTCCAAGGAGCACATATGTCCAGTACGATAGTCTGCGACTGGAGGTCAAGTGATCAGTCGTGCAGACAGACTGCATGTATGTTGCATTCGTGGATCCACTGCGGAGTTAGGGCGAGCCAGTAGTCTACGAGTAACGAACATATGCAATCGTTGCATCTCATGATATCGAGTCACCGTGAACCCCAGTCCAATACCGGCTCATTTTGGTTGATTCGGATTGCCTCCGTCAGCTTTACGGACGTACGTGGCTGTCGGTACTCATAGAAGTCAGTCGCTGAGAGTGATCGCAATCAGGACTCGTGCGATGATGGGCAGCATGGGTCGCTTGAGGAGCGACTTCGGGCAGCAGTGTGCTCGGTTTTGCCGCAGTCGTCGCAGTCATATGGTAAGGTTCAGGCCGGCGCAAGTCATGGGTCACAGCTGAGGATGGGTGCTTGATTCAGTTGCGTGACGGTCGGCCGGTATCACCTATCCAGGAATGAATCTTCTTCGCCAAGCGCCGCGGATGGGGTGGATCTTGCCGATCAAATTGACTGTCTCCCGACTTTCTGCTCCTTCCTATTTGGTCAACGGTCAAATGTGAGCATTCAACATCGCAACAGGGCCGTGTCAGCCAGATACAAGCATGGTGTCGGGTCAGAGGTATGTACGCTTGGCGTACCCCTGACGTGCGTCGAACAGAGGTCCGCACCGAGCCTTGATCTATCCGCTGAGCCTCAATATTGAAGGTATCCGGCACTGTATTACAACCGAAACCCACTCAATGTCAATAGGTGAAGATGAACGTCAACAAGTCAAGATTTATCGTCCACCCTGCAGTGCTAGAGTACGGCATCGGCTCTGGTTGCGTCGGCGTGAAGCTTAGTGCGAAGCCCCTTTGTCCTGCACCCTTTGACCACTGGCAGTTTATGCTCCTGTGCTCGACTAGAAAGTGGAGCTGCCTTCCTACTCGTAAGGCATCAGCAGGAGTTTGGCGGACTTTTGTTCGCAAACTCTGTGCTGACATTATTGTTACTAATCATGCGTCAGCATATCGGCAGCAACGCGGAGTAAGTCTCCGCGGTGGCTTGATGGCGTGTTGTGGCTGCTGATGGCTCGAAACAAGCTATTCCAAGGGTCACTTTATGACTGAGGCAGCAAACAGAAACACGTCTGCGATGGCTGGTGTAATGAAGTTTGCTCTGTCCTGTTGCATTGATACAATCCGGTCTTAGCAATAGTCTTGTTGAGATGGCTGCGTAGAGACAAGGCTATGGAATTAGATCGGGCACGAGCCTTTGCCGCAGGAAGTGTCGATCTGAAGTGCGCAGGGACGTTTGTGCATGGTATGCCTACGGCTCGTTGTATGATCAGCATACAACAGCGCAACACATGGGCATCTCGCTTGTCAAGACGGGGACAAGATGACTATCAGTCCGGTACGGCTGACAGCCGTTCCTTTCACACGTCGGACGAGGAGTATGTAAGCGATACAAGACAGCAGGAGAACACTCGCGAAGGTGTATTAACGGAGTTAGGAGATATGTAGGATGCACGCTTTGTTTCGGTTTCGCAGCGGCTTCCATCTGGGGAGCCCCACTCTAACTGCATTCAAGCTTGCGACTCGACTGCTTTCGCATGAGCCATCAACGATCCGTCTTTGTCGACACACGGTCGTGCAAGAGGAGAGAGACTGGCGCAACGGGAAGGGGCTATGTATGTATGCATCGAGTGTTGTGTGCAAGCCGTTGGGTCGAGTTATGCGGTCGAGTGGTGGCGAAATGCCAAAAGCTTCAGACGGTCTAGTCGTGGCTTTTTGGCAACAACCTTCTTTCTAAACTAAACATGGCTGCCCCGCCGACTGCGGCTCAACTTCTTGTTCTTTCCTTTGGTCTTCTTGCAATTGCTGTCGCTGTCGTGCCCTGAACAGAAGTCCGCGCATCGCTTTGTATGTGGTCGACTCTTGCGATTGACTGACGCCTGTGTCCGCAATGGCATCTGCTTGCGGGAGGCCCAGTATCCTTCTCCAGCCTGCCCAGGATGACGATGTCCTGAGGGAACGCGAAACATACAAGTTAGTTGTCGCTGTCGTGTCTCTTTGCTTGTCTTGCGACTAACGCCAAGGCCGCTGCTAGATACTACCAACCCTTGCAAGACCTCCTCCAGGGCAGCCAACCAACCTCCGCTTCTACTGCTCCTCCGTCGCAACCAGACCGCGCCTTGACAGCCTTTGCCCAACTCGCTGCCTTTCGCCTTGGGGCCCGTAGAACCTTTGTGTCCTTGATCGATCGCAAATACCAGTTACGAAACCTCCGCTGCCGCCAATTGACCCTCACGCTGACCCTGATCAAGNNATACGTTCTCGCCGAGGCTACCAAGACCCTCTCCCTCGAGAAGAATACTGTCGACGATGACAAGGATAACCTTTGGGTTGGTGCGACTGCCTTTGAGAGACGAGCAACCCCATGCGAGTACGCTGCGGGCTTGCTCGTTGCACCAGATCTGCTCGTCGCAGAGGACAAGGGAGATGTCATCGTCTTTCCAGATCTCTCCGAGCACATTCTGTTCAAGGACCACGCTTTGGTCACAGAAATTCCTCACGGTAAGAAGTACTCGTATCTGATTCCTTCAAGAGCGTTCGCGACAGTACGCGACTATTCACTGCTTTGCATGGTGTCAATGTTGCGTTTTCCGTATTTTCTGTATTCTTGCCTGGCTGGAAATTGTTTGAAACGGTTACGCAATCTGGATTCTCTGACTGACATGTTCAANGGTCGGTTTTACGCTGGAGTGCCTATCATCTCACCAAATGGCCACAACATTGGAGTCTTTTGTGTTCTGGACGACAAACCCAGAGAAGATGGTCTGAGCACGACTGAGGTTGAATTCATGAAAGACATGGCTGTGACCATCATGAACCATCTTGCGGTAGGTTGCTGCAGTCTGTGTCATTGTACGTCATTTCCTAATCGCTGAAATAGNATGGTGAGAGCAACAGCCGAGCTCAATCGTTCTCAAAACATGGTACACGGGTTAGGACAATTTGTCGATGGCAAAGCCAGTATAAAAGATTGGTGGATAGGCCTCCATCAAGCTGAACCTGACCGTCCTCGATCTAGAGCTGGATTGGAACGTAATGGCCGTGCCGAAACCAGGTCTCTAAATTCTTCTTCCAGACATCTACGGGTATCTCCCACGCGAACGCGCTCGCCTGATGTGAGCCCAGCGCCCACCTTTACACCGGGGCAGCAACATGATGCACTTGGCGCCCCAATGTTCTCCCCGTCCCCCGTACCATCGCTGGGAACACAACAACCCTCGGAAGAAGCGTCAGTCGCCAACAGATTGCAAGAAGATTCCATCTCTCCTGATATCAAATCGACTTTCCAGCGAGCTGCCGAGATCATCAGAGAATCTGTCGATGTCGATGGCGCCATTTTTCTGGACGCCTCAATTGGCTCATTTGCTGGACTAGTTGATGGGACCCAAACACAACAAGGCTCAATGACCCAGTCTTCCGCTGATATGTCTTCATACTCGGCTAGGACCAGCGAGAGCACTTATCTCAATGACGAGAAACAGTGTATTGTTCTAGGCAGCTCACTGGCTACAACCGCTAAACGCAGGTCCTCCCATATGGCACCGGTCTTGCCGCTATCTGTCAGTGAGAGATTCCTTCANAAACTGCTTTCCAAATATCCCAGAGGAAAGATATGGAGCTATGACGATGAGGACACCTCTGAAAGCCTCGTCGACTCTCCGAGGACTGCCGATTTTGTGAATCGCAGAGGTGAGCGCTGGAGGGAGAGAAGAATTCTCCGAACGCTCTTTCCTGGCGCGCGCAGTCTGGCTCTTGTTGGTATGTGGGATCCACATCGCAGCAGATGGTTTGCAGGAAGCATACTCTGGACCTGCAATCCGACACGTATCTTGTCGACTGACAGCGAACTTAATTACATGACCGCGTTTGGGCAATCAGTCATGTCGGAGATTGCCAGAATTGATGTTAAGATGGCAGACAGGGCTAAAGCGACGTTCATCAGCTCAATATCACATGAGTTAAGGTAAGTATGGCTCGCATGTGCATCAGTTCGAGGTACTGACCTACGCAGAACTCCTTTACATGGAATAATGGGCAGTTCCGAATGTCTTCAGGGTACGCCTTTAGACACTTTCCAGTCCAGCTTGATCAACACCATCGAGACTTGCGGCAAAACATTGCTCGATACCTTCGATAACCTGCTGTCCTACGCAAAGATCAACAATCTCAGTAACACGAACTATCGCAGACCGTCTGTTTCTTCGACACGAAACGGAGCTGATACGGCCCTAAGCCCTGTGGATCTCAGTATCTTGGTAGAAGAAGTCGTTGATACGGCTTTTGCAGGACACGAATTTGTCCGTGTCACGCCATTGAAGACCGGGATGACCACCCATGGAGTCGTGCCTGCGCACTTGACTACAGCGCACCCCGCGAAGGGTCTCGAAGCCATCACTGTTCGCCTCGAATACGACACAACTTCGGATTGGGTATTCGAGGCCCAGGCTGGTGGTTGGATCCGCATCATCCTGAATCTTGTCGGAAACAGCCTCAAGTATACGGAAAGAGGCAATGTGACGGTGCGACTGCATTCCAATTCGTTGCCAAGTCCTTTGTCTAAAGAAGACGTCGAAGTCGTTCTGACGGTGACCGATACTGGAAAAGGCATGTCAGAAGACTTCCTCTCACAAAGTGTCTTCTCTCCCTTCGTGCAAGAGGATCCCCTATCGCCTGGTACCGGACTAGGCCTCAGTATCGTCAAGCAAATTGTTACCGGAATGGGCGGCAAAATAAGTGTGGAAAGCAAACAGGGAGAAGGAACCAAGTTCTCTGTTGCGGTGCGCATGACACGCGTCGACTCTCCTGCAGAATCAGACAGATCTTCTGCAATATCTGATGTTGCTGGTATGCTACGAGGCAAGCGTCTGAACATGATTGTTCCAGACGACGAGCATGACGAGATACAATTTGCAGACCTCTGCAGTAAATGGTTCGGCGTGCCTATTCGATGCACTTCTGAACCAGAGGAGGCTGATATATATGTCGTCTTGAGGAAGCACACAAACGCACTGGTCAAGCAACTTGCGTTCAAACCTGCAAGCGCTAACCCTATTGGTTCAAAGCCTGTGGTTGTGTTGTGTAAGGATCTTGCTTCTGCAAATGCCCTTCAATCATCCAAGTCTATGGCTGCCACAAGCTCTCATATGGAGTACATGGCACAGCCTCTGGCTCCAAACAAGATTGCTAAGACACTGATTCAATGCTTGGAGCGTCCAAGATGCTCTACACCGAATTCTCCAGCGACGCCCTCGCTACCACTTTCTCGGGCCACAAGCATCTCATCTCAGCGCCCACGAGATCGCCGAGCCGGCTCGAATATCTCACAAAACAGCACAAATTCCAATCCTGAGGTGGTACTTTACACCCCAATGGAGGAAAAGACACAGGAAATGCTTATGGCCAAGGTCCGACAAAGTGTCGAAGCCAATCGCCAAGCTGATGCAATTGAAGCTCAAAAGCAGGCACTGATGCCCAGTGTTGCTGCTCCTGTCGCGGGTGTGTCGGTCTTGCTCGTTGATGATAACAACATCAATCTAAATCTGTTGGCCACCTTCATGAGGNNGAAACAACGACATGCGTACGACACTGCCACCAATGGTCTTGAGGCTCTACAAGCATACCAAGCGCATATTGATCCCACACGCCTTCCCGAAGGTAGCGAGGATTCACATCTCTTGCAAAAACAGCCTCAATTGACAGCACAGTCATTCGATTTCGTCCTCATGGACGTCAATATGCCTGAGATGGACGTGAGTATCAGTATCTGCATGTAAAGCATACTTTCGAAATTGAGCTAATCATTGTCACTANNGGGTCTCGAATCAACTCGGCGCATACGAGCTTTCGAGCGGTCGAAAGGATTACGTCCTGCGGTCATTGTGGCACTCACTGGCATGGCCTCCGCAAGCGTACAACAGGAAGCATTCGCTAGTGGTGTTGATCTCTTCTTGACCAAACCTGTGCGACTAAAAGAGCTCACAAAAATCTTTGAAGAACATCCGAAATAGACTGTCCATTGAAGACAGTAAACCACAGCATCATACATCCTACAAAAACAGCATGTACATAGATATTACGATACAAAAACCACCCAAGCAGTAAACTGTGGTGGGTTTCAAATCCAGTCTCTCCGACACACATGTCTCGTGTGACCAATTGACAACGCTGACGCTGCAACCCTGTCTCGTAACCTATACCCGAATGACTTTCTCTAACGAAGCCATGTATCGAGCAAAACACTGCTGATCATACAGCATTGATGTTCCTGGTCTTTGCCATGTATGAAGGCTTGAGAGTGGTCAAAACACACCGTTGACGAAGTGATCGTTGAAGTGAGGCCGAACATGCTCTGCAGCACCACAAACCCGCATACTCGCTCAGTATAAAGCCCCTACAATTCAAATCCGACACAAACATCCAGGCGCCAGCAGCAAAGGATGAAGGATTGTCTGCAGTTGTTGGCGTCAACCCACAACAATATATCCGTTTGCTCTCTGAATCAATGAAGCTTGTGAGACAATCACACAGCAAGCACCCACAAATCAACCATATAACCAGACTGCCCAGAACATCTTCCAACCAGAAGAATCCACTCAACCCCGGTCAGAACCCCACAACACCTACATCCTACCAGAAAATCATCATGTCTCTCAACATCGACCACGAAGAACTTTTCGCCTTGAGCGAAGACGTCTGCTCCGCCCTCGACGACGTCCTCGACACCACTGCTCCAGGTGTAGCTCGTCTGGCACTGACCTCAATCTCCATGTTGCGCTTCGTCGAAACTGCCATCGTGGACATGGCCGCCAAAGAACTCTCAGCCATGGAAGAATTGCGCCGCGTCCAACGCTCTGAGCTTCAAGCCGCCAAAGCTAGAGAAGAGCGTGTCAACAAGACCATTGATGCTGCGGTCCAAGTGCTTGTTGTGGATGTTGCAAAGGCGGTGTGCAAGTTCAAGCATGGTGTTGGAGAGGTAGTCAGGAGATTGGAGGAGAGAGAGAAAACAGGCGAGGAGTTGGATGAGAAATTGAGGGTTGCGAGGGAGACTCAGGAGGAGACGCGTGCTCTGCTGGAAGAGGATGTTGGTTTGTCGGGTGGTTTTGTTGCTGCTGGAGAGTTCGTTGATTTGCTACTGCTGAGAAGATTTTGGTTATGGAGCTGACTTTGTGGTAGATCTGATTCCAACTGAGCGACTACTTCCTGGACACAAGTACCAGTCTTTCTGATCTACGGACTTGAGCAAAGCAGCAACAACAAAACAACACGATGAGGTTACGCGTTATGGAGTGATGCAAGGATTGCAACACGATATGAATGGGCGCATTCGTGGATGCAAGAGCTCATCAAAGTGCAGCCATGGACACACAAGATTTTTCCAGCCAAGATCGGGTGTCCACTGAAGGTGTTTCAATGGCCATACCTTTTGTTTCCAAGAACAACCATGCATTTCGACGTATCACTGTTATGTATATCTTGATCGTGGCAATCGTCAGTTATGTTGATGTTGACTTATCTCGTCTCGTATTATATCGTGAAAATCCTCAGCGTTGTCTCTGGCTGATGCGGTCATGGGAGAACAGTAATAATCTCTACTTAATTTAGAAACGTGATTGTCCTGCTTGGTGGCCGTGTCATTGCTGGTAGAGGGCTACGGCTAGCACGTGGAGCAATGAAGTTGTATCAAGTCGACTTATACTTTTGGGTTAGATCGTGCAGTCCCGCAAACCTGGACTTCAACTAGCACGGCCAAAGGAGAATGGTGACAAACCTCTACATGATTAGAGACGTGATGACTTTGCTCGGTGGTTATGTTACCGCTGGTAGAAGACCAAAAGTAGCAGTCAACTTATCCTTTCGTGCAATCCCACAACTCTGGCTCTGTATGACACGGCGAACGGAGAGTAGTAGCATATGTCTACACGGTCATCGACGTGATCGCTTCGCTTGGCGACCGTGTCGCTGCTAACAGACGACTAACATGGAAGAGCAACGGCGTTGTATTGGGGCACCTTAGCGGCTCTCTTGGTGACTGAGCGACGAACAGATGATGGGGGAAACAGTCGAGATGTTGGAATTAGGTACCTCTTTTCTAGTCGAGATGAGTGATATTTCGAAGCTGGTGTTGTCAGATGTGGTGGTTAGATTTGGTGTCGCTTGCACCTTCCATGTTGGCTTCGAGCTTCCCTGACTGAGCACTCCGCGATCGTCTTCCCTTTACTGTATCACCACACTTTGCTCTGAGCATCCATATAACAATCCTTACGGCTGGGATTCCAATCTTTTATCGTTACAGCTCCTAGATCAATGGAAAGTTCGATGAGAAATCAACAAGAACCTTGGATCATGCCATAAACATCGATAATTACTAATTGCTTTGTCTTGGCAAGGAGATCCTTCGACGCTATTTTCTCCTCGGACATGGACGCGTACAAGGGGCTAGCGCCTGTCAAAGCCAGCCATGGATGCTCTGTACGAGGCTTCTATTCTGTACGACATGCTGTATAGATTATGCATAGTCTCTTGATATGTATTCTTTTCACAGCCGCCATCAGTGCGGTGACGGTGGTCCCGTCTACTGACCGCGAAACGCATGTTCGCCTTCAGACTGTAAGATCTTGAGCTGTCAATTATCATTAGCGATGTACTGACTTGTTCAGTGGNCCGCAATTTCGCCCTCCGCTTCTGAATGTCACAGTGTCTGATCCGGACAGACTATGTCCTGGCTATGTGTTTGTCGCGCCTTATTCCCAGTTGGAAGCCAAGCAGATCACAGACCTTGCCGAGGCGTACATTACTGGACCTATGATTTATGACCAGACTGGAGTAAGAAGCGAACATGGATCTGCTGAAAAATGCTGACAATGTTTTAGNCAACTAATATGGATTGGATCCACCATGTTTCCTGGACGGGATGCCTACGACTTCAGGACTGTGGAGTATCGAGACGAGATCATGCTTTCCTTCATCATCTCAACGAATGAATTCTATCCGGAGCATCCGGAAGGAATGGCCGTCCTAATCAACAGTCAATATGAGCTTGTCAACATGACTTTGCCATTGTTCAACACACCGGAGTTCAATATCCATGAGTACAAAATCATTGATAATGGTTCATCTGTTCTGACCCTCTACACCAAACCAACACTGATCAACGAGACATGGATCATGGATGATGGAATTGCCGAGATAGATCTGAGTACTGGTGCCACTCTCTTTCATTGGAGCTCGCTGGAACATGTTCCCCTGAATGCATCGAACTTCCATCTGCCAAAGCCGGAAACTACAACAGAGAAACGAGGTTGGGACTGGTTGTAAGTAAGAGTCGTTCTTTGAGAGCTAGCAATCTGCTGACAGACCATCTTACAGNNTCATGCGAACTCGATAGACAAGAATGCAGACGGGGACTACCTACTTTCGTCACGACATGCCAGTAGTATATACAAGATCTCTGGTGCGGATGGCTTTATCATGTGGACGCTCAGCGGGAGAAGCCCTGATATCGACCACTCGAGCGGGTTCAACTTTTCGTGGCAACACGATGCCAGATTTAGACACGAGGACCAGGCAACAACCATCATCTCGTTCTTTGACAATGCTGGAGTTGGCATCAACGAGGAAAGCAAGACAACAGGAAACTGGAGTCGCGCAGTCGTTGTCGAACTCGATACTTCAGTCAAACCAATGACTACTCGTGTGCTTCACAGCTACGACAGACCAGACCATGAAATTTCAATTGCCCGAGGAAACATGCAGACACTTCCAAACGACAATGTGTTCATCGGATGGGCTAGCCGTGGTCTTATTAGTGAGCTCACACAAAATGGCTCTCCAGTCATGCAAGCTGAATTCCAGGACGGCAAAATGAGCACCTACCGCTCATACAAGTTCAACTTTACTGGACGACCACACTTGCCTCCTGTGACAAAGTCCATCGTATCAGGCTCCTCACCCAAGTCTGCAAACACTTTCCACTATTTTAGCTGGAATGGAGCTACAGATGTCTACTCTTGGAATCTCTACGGAGCTTCATCAAACTCTTCTAGTAGCTTTTCGCTGCTCGCGAATGTGGAAAAGACAGATTTTGAGACAATGTACATGACAAAAGGATATACTGCATTCGTGTATGTCGAGGCAGTTGGCGGTGACGGTCAAGTCATGGGCCGTTCTATTCCCACCACATCAGAAATCCCTTGGAGCTGGATGGGAACNTTTTGCACGGCGAATGGTGTCTGTGAGACCGAAGAGGAAGTAATCTCTGATACAGACCCTGCGAAAAACATTGTCAACGCTACTGAACCAGAGGACCATGGAACATATCAACCGGACACAAAAATCGAGTACCAACCAGGCACAACATCACTACACAAAACTTTCGAGGACAAATCACTAATCCTTGGTGTTGGCTTGTTAGCCACATCCGTACTTGTATATTTGTTCATACGNCTTTTGCAAAGACGTAGTACCGCACGATACGCGCGTGTAGAATAGAAGCACCTCTATATATATCCATCGTTAGCATTGTTTTGTCTCCTCTTAATAACGCGCATTTAGAAACCTCCTAAGATGAAGATAAGCTGTTCGTACAAAGTCTTTAGTTCACTATAGTTGCTTTTGCACTACCTCGCATCTTCGTTTCCTTAAAAATCTAACCTTGTCCACTTGCTAATCCGAGTTCTCCTTTATATCTAAACCCATCCTCAATAAAATTCTCCGTCTAAGAACTTCCTAGGATAATCAAAAGCTGTTTATACAAAGCTTTTAGTTCACTATAGTTGTTTTTGCGCTACCTCGCATCTTCGTTTCTTTAGAGGATCCGACCTTCCTTACTTGCCAATCTAAGTTCTCCTTTACATCTAACCCTATACTCGAAATAAACCTTATCTAGGAACTTCCTAGAACCATCATAAGCTGTTCGTACAAAGTCTTTGGTTCACTTTCGTTACTTTTGCTCTACCTCCCATCCTCGTTTCCTCGGGGAATTCGACCTTCTCTACTTGCTAGTCCGAGTTCTCCTTCACATCTAACCCCGTTCTCGACATGAGTTCCGTCCACTATTTCCTTATTAAGAAGACTCTACAGCCCACGTTCGAGAACCGGGTCGATTTTAAGGTCGCTCTCCTGACGTGCTCGGTCTGACGTTAATGCTTAGCTTATATACGGAAACTGCACAAAGTCCTACGATTGCGCGCTGGAGAAGCAACGCCTCGGGCTTAAGACAAGTGTACTGCGTTTTCCCTTTGGTTTTCTGGATTATTGTTTTCGACATGATGGTTTGGCATAGGATGGGACCGCTAACTATAAGAATAGCCTTTTCGATCAACACTTTACTAGAGGAGTCTAGCCTGCACTGGCGTGCGACTGTCGTCTGGACTAGGAGCGGATAAAGGCACATTCTCTGCAGTTGAGCGTGACTGCGTGCAACCGAAGACATAGGAATGAGAGTACAAGGAGAGGGTACCTGACATAGAGCTCTACCAAGATGTATCCCAACTCCGCCATTGAGTTAGCTATAACAATGCAGAATAGTTTCTCAAAGACAAAGACCTTCCGTAGAGGCTACAAAGTTCCTGTCTTCTGTGAGTTGATTTGATCGACTCCTGAAAAGTGTCATCGTGTTGGTATAACACTATGCTCTCCGTCATTCTCTTCACATCCGGAATCTTCTCTCAATGGCCACAACACGTCTTAGGTTTAGTCACATTTACCAATTTCAGGCATAGATAACCCCCCTTCCCTTTCCTTCTCATCTTCCACTTCACACATCAGACATCAAACAACCCTCCTTGTGTCCACTCAAGAAAAACCATGTCCACAATCCGCGCCATCCCCCGCGAGCCTCCAGACCCTCCCACCACCAACCCCCTACAACACCCTCTCAACTCNCCTGCCACACGCTCCCAAACCAGTACTCCCACCACAGTGGCCACACTAACACCCAATGGTCGCCATCGAGCCGCTGCTCCCACCCCTGCTGCCCGCACCGCTATACCTCTGCACCCGTACGCCCATCGCCGCCCTCCCAGCCCACATACACCTACCTCTTTAAACAGCTTTGACGGTGTGGTTGAGATGGCAGGACCACAGAGTTGGCCAGAGGTCAAGAGGAGTTGGTGGAAGAGGTTGTGGAGTTGGGTTAGGGGATGGGGGTTTCGTTGAAGAAATGAAGATTGCAGGGCAAGGTAAGAGGACCTGAAGCGGTGCTGGTTGGTGTCTGTTTGGCTGACCTTTGATGAACGAGCCAGGTTTCTATTGGTCGAGAGGAGGTTTGTTTTGTCTCTGCACGATGAATGTTAGCGGTGGTGCTTGTCATGATTCACAATGCTATACGGATCAAGGCAGTCGCTGATGGAGCAACGGGATGAGCATGGCGAAGTAAGAACAACTGGTGCCATGTGTGCCTTCCGCAGCAGAATGACACGACCACAATCATTACTTGTCGTAAGTCACAATGAGTTTTTGGTCTTAAGGCACTGACTGACGAAGCAACAGATGAAGCAAAAAGAAAAACAACAACATCGAACACATTCACTCATTCAGATCAACTGCAGAAGAACAAAAACACAATGCTCAACATCTTTTGATTCTTTCTTTTGCTTCAAGAGGGTATCTTCAATCGTGGAGGAGAGGAGGTTGGATATCTGAGAATGGAGCAACAAAGAAAATAAACCCCCAAAAATCCTACTTCTCCATGCAATGGCTTGCAATAAAACGCTCAAGTGTGTCCTCTTTCCTTCTCATGACCTAACTTGCTGCACGAATTGAATGAAAAACTTTTTGAACTCAAGCTTGTCTTTGGCTTCCAGATGCTTGATGTATTCGTCAACGAGGGGGCCTTGCAGACCCAAACCGGACATCTCAGAGTCTCGCAAGTGAGTCTCGTAGGCTGCTCCACACTTGCGCAAAATGGTCCATTGCAGTGTGGCCGCTTCTGTGAGATAACTGCGTGCTTGAGCGTCTTTTGGTTGGAAGGATGGCTGCGTAATCAGAGCCCAGGTGAGAGGCGAAAAGCGTGACATGATAAAAGTGTCGAAGCCAGGGACGGTTGGTGCAGCAACCTGAGCGGCGCCAGGCGGGATGGGGATGGCGAGATCCGGACCACCCCATACCTGCGTCATCTTGGTCAAAACGGCAAGAGACAGACGAGCGGTTGGGTAGTCAGAGGTATCGCGACAGAAATGTTCCAGTGTTGTGAGGATGGTTTCGAAGGTTTGCTGGTTAGCACTGCTCACAAGAACAGGCGCTAGGTCGTTGTTCAAGATCACAAGAATGAATTGCAGATACTGCATCTTCAATTCACCAAGCTGGATGGCATCATCAGTGCCAGTCGGAGGCTCTGAGAGACCAGCAAGAATTCTCTGTAAGAGAGGGGTAAGCAGTTGATCAAGGATCTCGATGATCTCTGTTTTGAAACCAAAGACTACTTGATCCAGAAGTCTCAGGAACGTAGCCATCTCATCCTTAGTGGAAGACTGCGAGAGCAAACCATCGATCCATCTAGGCAACTTCTGTAAGATACCAGAGCCAAGAACACCCAACATGCGCGAAAAGGCGAAGCGTGCACCAGTGCGGATCAGCATGGAGTTCTTGAGAGACTCAAGTGCAGTCAGAACGGCTTCACCAGCTGGCGAAAACTCGTTGGCAAGCTCAGAAGGTGGAGGCGCACCTGAGGTGTTGCCAGGCATCCAGTCACAGAAACCCTTTGCTAATGTTCCCACTGCTTGGATGATGTGGTGAACCTGAATGGTTGCTCGCTCGTCACCGTTCTTGGCCGCGGGGATGTGACGTTCCAGGTCTGCGATCAAGGGGCTGACGAGAGTTCGGGCATACAGCATGCGGTTCTCCAGTGGCACTGAAGTCGTCGAGGCGATAGCTCCAACAGCTTCGAAGAGGTAGAGTTGACTGGTGAAAACGGCATCCGCAGACTGGTCGTTCTCCTCGGACGACATGTCATCATCGTCGCTCTCCTTGGGTACCTCAGCATTGATGGTGAGTAGATCAGCGACAGTCTCGATGACGGTTTGAGCAACATTGCCGAGTTGACTGCGAAGTTGCTTGACGAATCGGAAGAAGAGATACCACGAACGAGTCTTTATCTTGATGTGGTCGCTGTGAACAAAACGAACAAAGTTCTCAAGAACACGGGGAATGCTTTCGACAGAGTGCTCGAAGAATGTGCAATATCTCACACAGATCTCCATGTACTGGAGCTGAACTGCAGGATGAGGGTACGAAGCAATGTCAGACTCGACTAGCTTAGCCATCATTTCAATAAGGTGTTGAGATGCAGTGCTAGAGGGCGAGCTCTTTTGATAGAGACCGCCATNTTTGACGGCCAGTTCGCCGAAAAGGTACATCTCGTACAGAGCCAAATCCAAATCCCTCCAGTTGGGCTTATTGTCTGAGGAAATCCTGTTGAAGGTCGTAGCAACGACTCTGCTCAGTGTTTCCATGTACATGTTCTCGTCGACTGCAGCCACAGCTTGTTGGAGGACGTGTAACCTCCTGCGCAGCTCTTGAAACTCGGCCTCATCCGTCTGATCGCTCTCAGCACCCCAGTCTGCCGTCTCGTCATACTTCATCTTCAGGATAATTGTGTCGAGGATGGGTTGCAACATGGCGCGGTATTGGTCGGGAAGGGATCCACGCTTGGACGAGACACGAAAGAGCGTGAGCAGATCGGTAAGGGAAGGAATGACGGCGGAGCAGATTTCGTCGTACTCATCGGAGAAGAAACGCAGAAGATACGGAACAAATAGCTGAAGCAACTCGTCGGCTTGGGCAGCAGTGTTCGCATCCAGGCCTTCTGAATCGAGAACCTTGACGACATCGAAAACGACATTGTTGACAAGCTTGGCCACAGTTTCGCCGAGGTCGTTGTCGTAGTTGGACGTGCCTCGAGACTGGTTCAGAGCGGAGCTAGCGACGAGCTGACCAGCGACGTTGGCCAGATTCAGATACGAGATCAGTTGGATCTTGTCCTGGCTAGGCATCTTCTTGGCCACGATTTCGGTGAAGGTGTCAATGGCAGCATCGCGGATCTTCGCTTGTGGGCTCTCTGCTGATGAAATGTCTGACTGTCCTGCAATCTCGAGAAGGAAGTTTAGCATGTTCTCGTTGACAACGAGCGAGATATCGATCCAGCTGACCCAGCGTGCAACGCAGCGAAGACACAACTCAACAATACTGAGATCGATCTGTCTCCACCGCGCAAGAACCTGTTGCCAGAACACTGAGATGTTTTGTGCATCGCGCGAGCGAACGTAGTCTTTGAGATCAGCATTGCGCTTGAGCTCTTCGGGGGTGCGAGGAATCAGGACATCGGCGATTTCGTCGTGGATCGAGTTGATGAGGCGGAGGTATAGGATGGTTCCTTGTGGATTGTCAGAACCAATTGTGTTTGCGTCGCCAGCCAGGGCTCTGAAGTCTTGGAAGAAAGTCGGCCAGGCAGTGGCATAGAGAGAGGTGAAGAGGTAGGTAAGGGTTTGGGTGAGCTTGTTCTGGATGCTGGGCGAGTCGATGCGGTTTGCTTGGTTGGCAAAAGTTTGATGGATGTACGTCATGAGCTGGTCCTTGATATAGGACAGGCTCTGCTCATCCAGACGACCTGTCTGAACAGCATGGCTGACTAGCTCGAGGCAGACGTGGCGCACAACTTCATCCGGTGGAGGATCGCGGGTGAAGAGGGCTAGACAGACCTGCCAGCCCGAAGCATCGTCGCGCAGCTGCTGGAGAAAGTCGTAGGCCTGAGCTTTGAGGTTTTGGTCGGCCCGTGGGTCAAAGGCAATCTGGATGGCGCTCTCGACCTGTCAAGCATGAGGACTGCTTAGTAGGTCGCTCCTAAAAATTGGGCAGGCACGTGGGCTGACACTTACCTGAGCATCCATGCTCGCCACCAGTTGAGAGAAAGGTTTTTACGGGAACAGACAGCTGTGGTGTACTGAAACACACAGTTTGTGGTGTAGATCGAGTGGTCGGGGTGGGTGCTCGTGGTGGGGTTTGTTGATTCGTCTTGTCAAATGTGTCGGTGTTTCGCTGTTCTGATGTTGCGGCCTGGGCACAAAGTCCAAAGGCGGTGAGTGCTCAACTCTCCGCAACTGCTGCCCCTCAGCTTCCTGCCTAATTAGTTATCACTTTTGCTAAATCACTACACCATGAGTTCATTTCTGAATACTATTCAAACACTCAGCGGACTGTACTTCCGCGTTTCCTGAAGAAAGAGAACTTGTAGACATAGGCTCGAGATGAGACGAAGCCTTGAGAATGATTTCATCTCGCTAGCCATGTTCACGATCGAAGAGGGAAATGTGCAAAAGAGTGCAACATGAAGCAAACAACCAGACATTTAACAATCGTCACTCTTGGCTAGAGTAGATTCAGGTTAACTTGCAACACCTGACTAGTGACACAGGATTCATGAAGCACAGAAGGCTGTATAGAAGGACGCATTGCATGCAGAGAAGGAGCGGGGAGGGGCATGTGTAACTTGTGCTGCTGGTTAGCTGCAGAACTAGACAAGGAAAGATGCAGCACCGAGGCACACAAAGAAAATGGGCGAGGCTGAAAGAAGCAGAGAGCCCCAGAGATGGAGGGTTTGTTCCTGTGGAGCCGCCAACGGGACGCCCGCGCCTCCCGCTTGGTAGCGCGTCTCTACCGATACGGCATTCGGCTTTCACTCTCTCATTGCATTGAGCCCGTCACTCGACTGCCCCTTGTACCTGCTCAGAGTGATGGTCTGACAGGAGCACACAACAGCTAGATTGGCACCATGGCTGCATTCCTCCCGGAAAGGGAGCGCGACCTCCTCCGGCGCATCGATGCCTGCGTCGACCGCATGCGCGCGTTCACGCCGGACGAACCCTACGTCCTGAGTATCCCTCAGGACGAGCCCAAATATCACCACTATTCCCATCACTCGTCCCAGATGTGGCGTACCAATACTCCCTTCCGCACCGACGACGACCCGAATCAACAATACCAGACCTTCTACTATCACGAGCCACTGTCAGATGTCTTTCAGTTACATCGCAACTCTCACTACCAAAAGGACAATGCCAACGTCACTTCGCAACCACGCGAGAAAGAGAGCAGTTCCCAAAGCACTCCTAGCATGATGCCCAAGAAGAAGATTAGTCTGGCTGCTTATGCCAACAAGAAGACGCTGCCCGATTCCAAGGACGACGACAAGCCCAACAAGCCCCACCACAACAAGATGCCTTCTGATCCAACACCTTCACAACCGCCCAAGTCGCGCGACTCTACCAATCTACCGCGCATGCTGTCCCCGCTACAGCTTCATCACCGCGACCGCTCACAACAATCACAGCAACAACCGAGACCTTCACCAAAACAGAAGCAGCCAAAACAATCTCTCCTACCACCACGCCTAATATCACCCACTCTCCCACCAAGCATAATTGCTTCCTTGGATGCAAAGCCATACCAGTCCTCGCGACACAAGCATGCCTCAAAACGGCTACCCTCTCCACTGCCGCCCGTCGCCGAAAAGTCGCGCAACCAACCCCCAAACATTCCTGAACCCAAAACACGCGACTCACCGCAAGAAGAAGAGAATAAGACTTCCACGCCTCCGTCACTTATTGTCAAACTCAGGATTCCCAAGAGTATGCGCAAGAATCTCTGTCGTTATCTGCAGATGAAACCACAACCACAAACACAAGTCATTCGCGTAATACCTCCGGAGAAACACCCAGCCCCGGCTGAACCCACACCACAACCATCTAAAAGGCCACGTCCGGCAGATGAAGACAATTTGCTTCCAGACTCGAAACGCAAGAAGGCTACCAAGCCCGAACCATCCAGCGCACAACAAGAGCCCAGTACACCTTTACCTGCGACACCCGCCGCGCAGAAGGCCACACCCACTGCGCGCAGTACTACTAAAGATCTGCGTACATCGGCTGCTATGAGGCGCGTCGAATCGTCCGATAGCATGATAAATGGCACGCCACAGTCTTCGCGTCAAGTCAATGGTGTCACTAAACCATCTCCCTCCTCAACTAACGCGAAGACGGCTGAATCAATCGCGTGGGATACCGAAACAGCACGAGTAGGAAAGCTGGGTCGTGACTTGAAGCATGCCGTCTCGGCATTGGACGATCCAAAGTCTAAAATCAGTCAGAATGAACCAAGACCTCGCGAAACAGCAGCTGCCATGGCTCTGGAATCCCTCTTATTGTTCATGCTTTCCTTCTACTGCTCGGACCGTGCACTTGCTTCTCGCAACCCGCCTGCTCCTCTGGAANNGGGAAGTCGTACCTGGCAAACCATACCAGCCTTTCTCAACTTTGTTCGCACACGTTGTCAGTCCTTCACGCCTCTTGATGGTGTAGCCTGTCATCTCGGTGGTGTTTGCAATGCCATCGTCATGTTGCGGCTGACAACCATCCGCGAACGACCACAAGATATGACGCCTGAAGAAGCGCGCACGTTGCACAATGCTGCGTCAGCGTCTTTGAAAGCTTCGAAAGAAGGTAACGCGAAACTACCTCTATCGGCCATCATGTCCACATTCCCAAAGACGTGGAAGAAGGCTATGAACGGCAATGCTCATGCGACAGGAGCAGAGGACGATGTCAGGGTTGGCCGTTATGCTGGCGATATCACTCTGCCACTTGGTATAGACACCGAGCCTCTCAATGCAGTTCGAATTGGATATGCACTGCTGAGAGAATGGTGTTCTAGCAAAGGATTGAAATATGAGATGAAGCTCGGGCTCTAGGCGAAGACACTGCTTCATCACATCACACTATTAGCAACCGGGATAACACGAACGAGGCAAGCATAGCATGGAGTTTGGTGAGCAAGGCGTCATGGGCCAGGACATATCTTAACATGGTCGCTTCCTGGGAGCAAGGGCATCACTTTGGCGCAGCAGGGGTTGATGGATTCACTCTTCTGCCTCTTTTCTTTTGTTATATGTCCTTTCTGCTGTTGATGTACTCTGATACCCCTTTCTACGATACGTAGACAAGATTATGCTATGCACTTTGATTTGAGTCTACATGACTTGGTACGATCTTTGATCTGAATTGACTTGTTTTGTTTGTTGAGAAATGAGCTTCCTCATTGTTCATGATTCTTACTTAGCATTGGTTAATATCAGTCGTACTTCTTTCACCAACGACCTGGGTGCATCCAGGCCATGAGCTTTGATCAACAAGATCTCTAAATCCTTCGGAGAAGCGGGCCGAAGCGCTGCACGCTGAGGCACGTACGAATGACGCTTGCCGAGATCCACAATCTCATGCTTTCCTGAGCCTTCACTTCTTCCGTTCCAAGCATCTCACAACAACTTGCCATCTCTCGAACATGGCGCAAAGAGAGATACCTGGTTTCTACTACGGTAAATCTTGATCAAGCCATGTGTGTGATATGAATAGCGCAATTCTAACGACTCGATGCACAGATGCTGAGAAGGGCAAGTACTTTCGGGTGCAGGCAAATCATGTTGCACCACAAGGTGCCAAGTACTCGCATGAGAATGTGCGCAAGGAGAAAGAGCAGTCTAGAGTAAGTGTCTCTTGTCTTCGATTATGAAAGGTTTTGTGCACTCCGATCAATGTTCGGGAATATCTTCTGGGCGCCATGAGACTACTCTTGATTTCGACACTGAGCCTCAACGGCTTCGGACATCCATGCATCTATGAATCAAATCGACCAAAACTGGACTTTTGAAAACAAACGTTTTCTCGATGGCAGCGTACAAGACTGCACCTTCACATTCCACCTTGATGTCCCGCCTTGATGTCTGCCCTCGCTACTTTCCTCTTAGTCATATCATCATGCATTTTGATTAAGAGAAACATCAGCATCAGTTACCAGACTCTAATATGCTCTGCAGAAACGCAAGAGAGCCACAGCTCACCGACAGAAGCGCGAGATGCAAACCGTGCGTCGTTCGAAAATACTGGACTCGGCATCAGCAGCTGGCATAGGTCTATGGCGCGAACAAGGACGTTCCCACTTTGCAAACTACGAAGCACGTATCGCCGCCCTCGCCACTCAGTTCCAAGGTTACGAGACTCTGAGTCTGAAAAGCTGCGAAAGTTGTGGCAAACGCGATAACATCCACGACTTCTGCATCGATGACGAGTTAGACGCAATCCTTATGGCACTAGGCTCGAGAAACTTTGGCAGAGTGCAGTTTATAGGTGGAACGCAGAACGCTTATGATATAGCGGCATTCCGATCGGACATATCTTCAGTCGCCATTTCGCAATCGAGGACTCTGGTTGCGACTTCGTACGACAGAGCGCATCCAGGCAATGTGTTTGTGGCGGGAATGGCGGGAAGTATTGACATGGAAGGAGCACCNCCTATCCTCGATTCACCAGCACCAAGCTACTCGATGCTCGGGAGTGCAGAAACAGCACTCTGGACAGCGAGTCCATCTCCTGCAGGATCGGCTCGGGATGTGATCGCAATCGGCAGCTCGGAAGGTGTGTACATGCTCAGCTCAAGCGGAGATCCGCTCCAACACCATCCGCTCAGAGAAGACGTGCGCTCGATTGATTGGCTAGTCCCGAATGTGGCTGTCGGAGGTACAAAAAAAGGTCGAGTATACCTGTGGGACGCAAGAGCACAAGGTGCTTCGCTACGTTTCAAGCACACCAGCGGCGTGACTGGTGTTCGCAGTCTAGGCGATGGCTCACGAGTACTGGTTTCTGGCTTCAAAGGCACATCTATCTACGACACACGTATGACATCCAAGCCTAGAGGTCCAGATTCTTCTTCATCAGCTCTACTGCGTCTTGCGCCCACAAAAACAGAACAACCTAGTGTGGCAATGGATCTTCTGGCAGATGCGCAATTATTGGCAACAGCTGATGATGACAATGTAATTCAACTGCACTCGCTGTGTAGCGGCAAGTTGATGGGAAGTCTTGGTGGAGCCAATCCGCGCAATGAGAAGGGAAGGATTCACAGGCTACGTTTCATCCAAACGCCTGACGGTAGGCCAACACTCATGGCGTGTCAAGGGTCACGGCTATTCGAGTGGTCCTGGGGAGGTGCTCTGGACGATGAGGGATGATGAGACGGGATTGGAATTTTTGACATTATTACTTTTCTTTCTTTTGGTCTGGCAGAGCAAGGCGTTTACGGGCTAAGAGCAGCGTAGATATACCCCTTTTGATATTAGATATGGATGGTGTTCCATCTTATCATTCCACTCAATGACGTTTATGCATTGTTACAGTATACATTGATGTTGTGAAAGCTTGCACGAAAGCACGAGCCAGATACTTCCCAATCGGGAGCTTTGCGACAGTGAATGTTGATGAAGAGCACAAGAACATCAGTCCCACTCCAACAGCAATTCGTCACAGCAGGATCGTTTTCAATAGACCCTCCAAAGTCTCAATTCTCGAAACCTCGGGCGACCACTTCTACACAATCCGTTGCAGCAAACATCCAACATCCTTGCAACAACCACGAACCCTCCAAACCTCAAACTGTCCAATAGACCACGAATCACCGAGACCAAAACTCGTCGATAGATCCGCCAAAGATGAGCGACGCAGAAGACGATTACATGAACATGTCCTTCTCGGACCCTGCCCCCACCGCCCCCAAAACCTCCCTCCAACGCCAACAAGAACGCCGGCGTCTCGCCTCTCTAAACTCCCACCCAAAGACCAAAAAAGAGCTCGAAAAGAAGCAGAACTAGCGCGAGAAACCGCGCTTGCAACCTCCACATTATCAAACNCCAAGCTCCAAAGGCGCACAAATGATGGCNAAAATGGGATTCAAAGGCGGCGCATTGGGAAAAGCCTCCCACGCACGCACCGAACCCATAGAAATCAGCATCAAAGAAGGAAAAGGAGGAATAGGCATGGACAATGAAAAAAGCGCAAGATCAGAGAACACATGGAGGAATTGCAGGGCAAAGAAAAAAAGCAAAAGGCAGAGGAAGGAGAGTATCGCGAACGCGTTGCTAAGGAAAGAGAGNGAAAAGAGAAAGGAAGGTATGTGGTGGGGTGCGATGAAGGTGTGTGAGAAGTTTGATACTGAGGAAGAGGTGGAGAAGCAAGGAAAGGTGATACAGCAACGGAGGGATATGAAGAAGGTTAACGTGTTGTGGAGGAATTTGGCTTTGCAGAGACAACAGAGGGATAAGGATAAGGTGCTAAGGAAAGGAGCGTTGGATTCTCTCTCTTCGAGATGGAATGATGATGAAGCAGATGCCGACGATAAAGTGGCAATGGGGGTCGAAGTGGAGGACATCGAAGATGAAGAAGATACAGAGTTGGACGAGTTTAATGCCCTGGATGTGGGCGAGAGGCTTGAGAAGGTGGTGGAGTACTTGAGGAGTACTTACCACTATTGCTTCTGGTGCAAATACAGGTATGCTGATGAGACCATGGAGGGATGTCCTGGTTTGACCGAGGAGGAGCATGATTAAACGAGGAATACGACAAGACATCGAAGCATCGAGAAGCAACAATACGAGGAAGGCAGAGCGGTGTTTTCTATACACATGTGATGCTACTATACAATATATGATACCCAACTCTAGGAGCCTAACTCCATGCTTTAAGCAAATGCAACACTAATATCTTACACTACATTTGAGCAGTCCTTGTCTCCAGTCTCAATGTCCGGCAACTGCATTGCCATAGCAGCCTGCCGGATACTGGCCTCCGCCACATCAGCATTTTNGTGCACCCTCACCAACACCAATCTAATAAACTCGGAAAGCAGATTCAAGGCTTCCTGCTTGCGAGCCTCGACACTCAAACGCGTGATATCGATTCCATTCTCCGCAGCAGCTTCTGCTCGCTTCTTGGCCAGTGATGCCATGACTTTGGATGTGTTCTTGAGACGGATGGTAGACGCGGGGATCTGTTGACGTCCTCTGCGGGCGCGAATGGTGACAGGCTCGGACTCCGACATGTTGGCTACAGCGATGAGAACGATACGAGCCAACTCCGGGTCGGGGTATTCTTTGTACATGCGAGCTATGCCATGGAGAGCCACCAAACACCCAGCGAAATCTCTGTTCAGACAGAAGCTGGAAATGATCTTGGTGTGGACGGTAGGGGTGAATTCTTTCATGATCCAAGATTGGTGCTTGAGGCTTTTGCCGTTGAACCAGGATGTCATGAGGCCGAATAGTTGGCGAGGGGTTGGGTAACCCTTGGTGGCCTTCTTTTCCTTGTTCATTCTTGGGTTGAGATGCTCGAGTTGAGCAGTCCAGAGAATATTGTAGGTTTCAATGTCAGGAGAGACATGCTTGGCCTCTGTGAGGAATTTCTGCCACAACTTCTTCTCGTCGTGGAAGGTGTTGAATATCATGTTAAGGTAGTGGTTGAAGAAGGCGGTATCCATCTTGAATTCTGCAGGACGTCTCATGCGGTCGAGATGGTGGATGAGCGCCCATTTCTCCTTGATGGAATAGTGGAGAGCCAGTACGTTGTAAGTTTCAATGGTTCCGATGGGCACAGGACGTGTAAGATGAGCAGGCAGCTCAACGCCGTCTTCGGTATCCCGAATAGAAGGAACTTCTTCCACTGTTTCGCCTCTCTTCTCACAACGACGTTTGTATGTGAACTCCAATCTTCGCTGAATCATTTTCCAGGCCATCTGTTCACCGCGGTCTTCGAGTTCTGGATCGCCTGAGCGGAAGAAACCACCGATGAGTCCGTTGATATGCTTGGCATCCGGTTCGATGCCTCGTTCGTACATCAACTCGACGACCTTGGTTGCAGCTTCGAGTTGACGCATTCCGAGCAGCTTCTTGAGCCAGCTGCCGTAGAAGAATTTGTTCTGCCATGGTACAGGCAAAGCACTCAGAGCCTTCAAAGACATGGCGTTGACTTCGGCAGGGTTCATCATGCCCTCGGTCAAGCGCTCCATACGCTCATAAACTATCTCGTAGGCTTCATTCTGCCCTGAGGCGCCGAGGAAGCCTTCCGAGACTTCTTTGTTGGGACCGCGCAACATCATATCACGGAAGACAGCCAGAGCGTAATCTTNTTTGCCGTATTGTAGGAAGGTNNGGAGTGAAACAACATCGTAGTCCTCCATATTCATGTCTTCGCCGAGCCTCTGACTCAGAAGGATGTAACAGCCGAAAGCCAATTCGTCTTTGCCCGCGCGAAGATCGGCAGTAAGGATGGGTACGATGATGCGAGGATCATGCTTGGGATAGCGCTCGAACAGCTGCATCATGATAGCTTGGGCCTTTTCCAGGCGGTTGTTCTTGGAGAAGAGTCGCACACCGAGGGCGAGGAGATTCTCGGAGGGGTTCGAGGTGGCGTCGAAAGCGTGTTGCCATGAGCCCATGGCTTCTTCGAACTTCCCAAGGGAGAGCAATGTTTCAATGAGAAGCAGGGACTGATCGGGCATGATGTCGATATCGGCTGAAGCCATGTCGCGCAGAAGTTGCTCCATGTGATGCAAGCGTTCAGGATTGGTAGGTGATTCGACAGATTGAACGTCCCAGAGCAGTTGCCAGGCCTTCTTGGGCATCATGCTCGAAAGAGCAGGAATGCTGTATCTTGCACGGCCATACCATCTCCACAAATCTTTTCTTCGGGTGACAAGATTGGGGTGGAGAGCAGCTTCGCGAAGAGAGGTGTTGAACTTCTTGAGCAGAGGCACGGTCAAGGGCGGCATGTCCAAGCTGACATTGAGCCCGTCTGTGCGATCTGCCTCGTACTGCTTACGTTCCTTGAGCGCCTTCTCCACCTTTGCACGATCCTCGGGCTCCAGAGCAGCCAGCATATCCTCGTCCGATTCTTCATTCTGATACTCAGCGAGCTCTTTCTCCAGCGCAGCAATCTTCTGTCTCAGCTCTGCTGCTTCCAGCTCTTCCGGATTGCCGGCTACGCGACGAGTGGCACCTGTGTCGGCATCTTGCTCGAACCAGCGGATGGCTTCTTCCTCTTCGTCTTGTGGCGGACCTCGAGGTCGAGCCGGATTTGTGGATTGTTGAGCGGCGAGTCGTTTGTTGCGCGCAATAACACGTCTAGTGGTTGTGGTCGAGGCGAGGCGACATGCTTGCTGGAACAGTCGCGGTTGTAGGGTGCTCCTCCTCAGACTGAAGACGTGCATCAAGTTCGCTGAGCATAAAAATGTTGGTGCAAGCAAAAGTCTTTTTCTTGGTCGAACGATTGTCAGGAATCATCAACTTTTTGCTTCTGACAACTCCGTCATTTCTTGTTGCCAACAATTGTTGATGGTTGTTGCCAACACGACCCTGCAGCACTCGGTCTAGCCTATGCCGAATCTTGTTTACACCTTGGGAAAGGACCTAAGATTCACCTCAGGACATTATGGATTTCCAAACTTGCTATATCTATGATCCATCTGCTCGCACTAAGGACAGGCCGGTGAANAAACGTCGGGTCGAACCTCTACAGGGCCTGCAAACTTCATGGCCTCTTCGCCGCTCGCTATATCAACGACTGTGGGCCAAACAGCAGGCTCGATTGAAGGTGGCCAGCTTCCTTCTCCTTCAAAACAACAATCTAACAAATCAACCANNGGACTTGCTTCTTGAAATCAACGAATCTACCATCAACCAAATCTCTACTTTTGTTACGTCTACCGATCCTCAACCCACCCCTGGCAGAGTTTCTTCGGCAGTCATTCTCACTGGTCCAAGTATTGCATCGCATGCCTTACTGTTTTCTCAATTGTCCACCAGCATTGGTCAAGCTGATGGTAGCATCTTTGTACCCTTGACATCTACCCTAGCACCAAACCTCAAGACCTTACTCAAAAACCTTATCTCCAAGGGAACTTCTGCCGATACTCAGACTGACGATGAAGATGAGGCTGATACTGTCAAGCCAACCCGCAAACGCACACGTCTACTGAACTATGATCTTCAATTGTTGTACGACTACACTCAGGAGAAAGGCTTGTCTCGAGTGGTCATTGCCTTCCAGGACTGTGAAGCCTTCGATGGTGCTCTCCTGTCAGATGCAATCGAATTGTTGACGTGAGTCCCGTCTCAAACATCACCTATGGTTTTAGCTGACCCCCAGAGAGTNCGATGGCAAGATAGAATTCCTTTTGTTTTCTTCTTCGGTGTCGCTACATCCATCGAAAACTTTTCTGTCAAATTGTCTAAAAAGGCTACTCGTTGCATCAAAGGTCAACGCTTCGATGTTGTCAAGGCTGAAAGTGCTCTTGAAAGTATCACTGATGCACTGTACTCGTCCTCCGACATGAATACACCTAGTCTGCGGATAGGTCCGGGGATCTGTTCTGCCACACTACGACGTCAGCGGGAGCATATTCAAAGTCTCGACGCTTTCGTGGATAGTGTTCAGGTTCGCTTCTCAATTCATGAATGGCGGAACATGTGCTGACTTGCTGTANNGTATGCATACCTATCACACTTCTATGCCAATGCTCTCAGTATTTTCTTGGACGAGACTGTCACACTGGCCGATATTTCAGTTGAACACATGGAGGCGCTACGGAACCTGCCCTCGTTCCAACAGTAAGTCAGCAGACCTCCGTAGTCTGGATCTCTCTAACGGTTGTAGNNACATGTGGAAACATTGCTCGAAGACGGCGAAGCTTCAATACCCAGGCGATTGCTAGACGACGACAAATATCTCCTTGAGTATATCAAAGAACAGATCATGGCTGGACACCAAGCTCTGGAGACTATTTTGAGCACGGTCAACATGATCATGATACTACAAAAACGCATACCTGCACTACAGCAACAGCTCAAATCGACTGTGTTGGTTGATGCTCTCGCTGGCGAACTCAGAGACTCGAACTTTGAGAGAAACATGTTCATGTACCTGAAGAAAGCAGATTCGGAAGCTCTACTACTGACACTACAGGACATATCATCAGCCACCTCAGGGGACCTGCACAAAACGTGTGAAAAGTTGCTGAAAGAGCTCCAAAAGCTACAGGCCCAGCANAAAGATGGCGGTGTTCTGCGCAGCGAACAGGACCTGCACAACTCTACTTTGAGAACAACAGTCGTTGCGAANAAAGTCGAGCTGAGCAAGCAAAAATCTACGCTCACCAAGAGTGATGCTGCCTACTCTGGCATTCTTCGTCGCTTCGTCGAAGCTCTGGAGACACAGTTTGCTGCAGCACTCATCGATCCGAAAGACTTGGTCTTCAACGAGATCTTCATGTACGATCTCAAGTCGCCTCATCGCGATGTGTTTATGCCCAAGCCGCGAGCTGCAATCGAGCGTGCACTGGCTTCTCCTCATGATTATCTGGATTGCGAGTGCTGTGCGCCTGATGTGGGCACGGGTGAAGAGAACACATTAGCTTCTACTCAGCCATCAACCGCCATCCTATACCAGCTCTATCTTGAAGGCGGAGCATTGATGAATGTTGCCGATCTACGGACTGCGTTCGTCACGATACTGGGCGATGACCAGGATGAGGTTTTGACGAAGTAAGTGTCTTTGAAAGTGTGTTGAATCGAGGCAGTCATGCTGATCAGATATCTTAGTGCCCTGTTCCAGCGTTCTCTGGCTGAACTGCGATACCTTGGATTAATGAGAGGAACAAGGAAGAAAGCAGACCACGTTATGAAGATCTCGTGGAAGGGGGTCTAAGGTCATTACTGGCATATGAATCATTGATCTATAGAGTACAAAAAGACACAAGGTCTTCCAAAATGTGTTCGTTTTCAAGTGTCCGTCTCCAATATCTAACTTTGATCAAGCATGAGGTCCTGTCCTCATCTTCTCCATGACCTCCGGCTTGGGTCTGACATCGCAGATCTCACCGCAGTTGCCGCACTTCCTCGCCTCCTCATCCTCCCCAAACTTGTTGACGGCGTCTTTGATCTGACTTCCCAGATCCGTGCATACAAACGCAGCCTCATGCACCACACCCCCACAACCNNCCTGACAATACCACCTCAACCTATCCACTTCTCCCTCTGGTCTCGGCTGCTCAATAACCACACCCACCGTATCGGCAAACCTCACAGGATTATGCGGTGTATTTCCCGGCAACANAAAGATCTCTCCCTCATCGATATAAATGTCTCTGTGTTCGCCAGAAGGTTCGACGGTTTTGAGCAACATGCGCCCACGGTATTGGTAGAAGAATTCAGGGGTGCTGTTGATGTGGTAGTCTGTTCGTGCGTTGGGGCCGCCGACGATCATGACGGTCAGAGGGTCTGAGTAGACGCAGTAGTTGTTGATTGGAGGTTTGAGGAGGTGAGAGTTTTGTTCTANGCCTGTTTTGAGGGAGAGTGGTTAGTTGAGAGGTGAGAAGATGGAAGGGGAGTAAGCAACACACCATTTAGGGATGTTCAAGGGGTTTCCGAGCTTTGTAGTTGTGGGTGTTGAGGTGGACATGCTTGCCAGTCGTGTTAGGGAAGTGACTCGTGGTGTGAGTGGTGTTCGAAGTGCTGCGGCTCTTTGGAATGTGTGTCTGCTTAGTGTCCTGAATGTCTGCATGCTTTTGTTGTGCCAGAACAGAAAACAGAAATGACAATGTCCAAGATGACAAATGGATTTTGTTTCTGTCCTCCAGCAAGAGCGTCATAGAGATGGAGGGGTCCGATTATGGAGAAGGTACATATGCCAAGACTCTGTGGTGATTAGATATAGGGCGGGTGCTATGTCCGACCGGTGAAGCGTCCCATCGGCTGAGGCATCGTAAGACGGTTTGGAATATCGATTCTATCAAACCACACTCATTCAACTTCTCTCTTTCTCACTCGCAAAAGACACTATGGATCACTCACACATGGACCACGGCAACATGGGTCACGGCGGAATGGACCACGGAGGCATGGACCACGGCGACATGTGCAACATGAACGTAAGCTCCATCTCACGCCCAAGACATTAAACCACAGACCTCAGAAACACTAATCGCAAATCACACAGATGCTATTTACCTGGGACACCAACAACCTCTGCATCGTCTTCAAATCCTGGCGCATCACCTCCACAATGTCACTGATCTGGTCGCTGTTGGGCGTCATGCTACTAACCGCCGGCTACGAACTCGTGCGCGAAATGTCTCGCCGCTATGAAGCCAAGGTGCAAAGAGAGATTGATGATCTGCCGAGTACGTTTGCCCTTTCCTTTCCTCAACTTCCAAAATCACCCTTGTTGTAATTCTGTGTGTTGTGTTTGGCTTTCTTGCCTTCGCTGCTACTTTTCAAATCCCCGAATATTGCGTTTGTATTTGCGAGATTACAGACATTTTGAATGCTAAATGGCATGGGGTTATCAAGACGATCGAGAAGGAAGCTCATTGCTCGCATCAGGNNACGCAGCGCTGCCGACGCGTATGCAAAGTCGAAGACTATCAAGGCTGCTCTATACGCAGTTCAGGTGTTTTATTCCTTTTTCATCATGTGAGTAGTTTCCCTGTCTCTTTCTGTTTATCAGTTGTGATGGTATACTTATGACGCTCGGGATGATTACAGGTTGCTTTTCATGACTTATAATGGTTGGATCATGTTGTCTGTTGCTGTGGGTGCTTTTGTGGGTTATCTGGTNTTTGGCAACTCTACTGTGACCAAGAGCGCTGCTTGTCATTAAAGAGCAGAGAGCATAAAGACAGCACTATTCCGGTCTTTTGTTCAAATCACATTTGTTGTTGGTTTCGGGTGGGGCATGATATTGCATTAATGTACAGAAACGCTTGAACTATGAAATAATATCCTACTTTTCTTCAACTTTTTCTACACTGAGGATAAAACAGCAGTATTAGGCAAAACGCCTGTTCAGCTTGGGGTTATATAACTCATTCCTCCATTTCTTCGTCCTCGTCTTCTTCTTCTTCTTCACCCTCGGCGGCCTCCACGCTAAAGGTAGGTGCTTGATCAACACCAACATATGAATCACTCATCAAGAACAAGGTCAAGTCGTGTTTGCCGGGTGTGGGCACAGTAAAGTCAAGACGAACCTTGAGCTCACGGCCAATAGTAACCTTCTTGATGCTGAGCAAGTTCTTAGTGCTCTCCTCACCAACAACAAGCCACCAGTTTTCAGTCTTCTGAGCAGGGTAGAATGGTGCGTGAACAGTAAGGTTGGGTTCCTGATCCTCATCAACATCGCGCTCAATGCTGACATTGATGAAGCTGGGTTCGCCAGCAACAACATTCTCGGCATCTTCGAGCTCGAAGTTGAGCTCGACGTTGGGGTATCGCTCGTTGGTGAAGCGAGCGGCATCGCCCAGTTGCTGGTTACTGAGACCCATACTCTTGACCAGCTTCTCGTAGTTGGGGTTCTCGGATGGGTCCATGGCATCCATGAACTCGAAGATATCGTTGATGCCGTTGCTGTTGACAGCTTCGATAACTTCGGGCTCGAAGTGTGGGATTTGCTTCAGTGGTGAGTCGCGATCCCACATGGATTGTACGACCATTTGGCTCATCTCCATGGCGCTCATGGCGTTGAGGTGGGCTTCTGAGGACAGAACGTCTACGCAAGCACTGAGCAAGACGAGGACCTTCTTGAGAATCAGCTCTTGATCCTTGGCAAGATCCACGGGTAGTTGCATGCGTGAAAAGTGTGCTTGCAACAGGATGAACGCCTTGAAGTGAGGTGACTCGAAGTTGACCTCGGCAAGCTTGACAGGCACGCGATCGTAGATACGCGACAAAATACGCTCTTCGTGGCGACGAGTCTGAATATCCTCGAACTCTGTGGCTGCGGTAACAATCTCGAGGATACCCTTCAGCTTGGTGGTCTTCTTCAGGGACAGCAAGAAGGTCTGCATGGTGATGAAAGAGATGTTGTAGTAACCGGCAATCATGGCAGCGTTAAGTGGTGTGATTGAACCATCGTCCTCTTCATCGACCTCAATGATATTCGCATCAGTCAAATCCTTGAGAGTGGACTCGATGAGCTCTGAGAGATGGTAGTTGAAAGCGTCCTGAGTTGTATCGGTGAGACCGTAGAAGCTAGGGTTGGCCATCAGACGACGGTAGAAGTAGGTGTAGGTGAACCAGTTAATTGCATCCTGGGTATCTTCGATCGTCTTGGTGCTGATCTCAGTAACAAACACATCGTGCAAGAAGGCTTGCAACTGACTCTCGACTGGCAGTGCTTCAGTCAAGAACTTCTTGTAGTAGTCTCTCTTGACAGCGGGACACATCAGGACACCACGTGCTTTCTTGTCTTCCATGGGTCTGCCAGCCTTGCCGAGCATTTGCAAAATCTCACTGATCGGGTAGTCAATGTAACGGTGCTCACGACCCTCAAAGAACTGGGTGCCCATGACAATGACCATGTGAGCAGGTGTTTGCACCTCCCAGGCACAATCTCTTGACACAAGCATCACCTGAATAGCGCCAGCTTTAAAGAAGTGCTCAACAGCACGCTTGTCGAAAGGACTGAGAGCCTCGTGGAAGTACCCAATACCATGCGACAAAGACTCAGCCAAGGCGCGTTCGTTAATCTTCTCCAAGACAGAAGAGATGTCCTCGAGGTTAGCGTTAAGGAAGCGATTCTCTTGGTCATCGGCAACACAAGTTGCTAATAGGTCGATGGCGGTTGCGCGTACCTGTTTGCGGTTCGGCACAAATACCATAGCAGGCTGACCGGCGGCAAGCTGGGTGATAGACTGGTAGACAGGCTTGACCATGGCCAGCATGAGAGAGGGGAAGTGGGGAATGGTGAAAGGTTGGATGTGAAGCTCAAGAGGGATTTGGCGGTATTGAGGGCTGAAGTTGAAGATGGTGTGCTTACTAGCTCCGAACCACTCACCAACATCACGAGCGTTGGAAAGAGAGGCACTCAATCCGATGATGCGAAGGCCGTTCTCGAGCTGCTTGCTGATTGCATGGCTTCGAGAAACGACAGTCTCATACACGTAACCGTTGTGTCCTCCGATCATGTGTAGGTCGTCTGCCATGACGAGTGTCACAGCTTGCACATTCTTTCTGCGCTGCCACATACGAGACATCATGTCCCATTGTTGAGGAGTGGCAAGGATGAGATCACCTTCTCCAAGCAGCTTGAGGTCAGCCGTGGTCTCACCAATCAGCTTAACAATTTGCTTGCCACCAGCAATGCCAGTCAAGCGAGACTGCCAGTCTTTGTAACGAGCATCAATCGCTTCTTGGAAAGGTGCAATATAAACAGCCTTGCCGTCGCCCTGACTCCAGTGACGGAGGAGAGCAAATTCGGCACAGACGGTCTTTCCGCTACCGGTAGAGGAGCCAACAAACACGTTGTCGTCAGACGAGTACAAGGCATTGAAGGTTTGGGTCTGAATCTTGTTGAAGCGTTCCCAATCGGGGTAGAGGTTGATGAATTCGTCACGTTTGAGTGCAGCAATAGGGAGAGGCTGCAAGTCCAAGAGAGGAGTGTGAGCAGGGAACTTCTCAGGGAGAATAAGCTTCTGGAAGGATACAGCGAGACGAGCCTCAGAGTGCATCCATCGGTCCGATAGAATAGTGATGAAGTAGTTCGGTGGCATGGGCTCGGTGATGGGTACAGTGAACTCGACCAGATGCTCATTCATTTCGGCCTCGGCGTATTCCTTGCGAAGGACAAATTGGTCGTGGAACAGGATCTCTTCACCATCGCAGTCCTCTACTAAAATCCAGAAGCTCTCAGACTTGCCGTGAAGAGCCTCATCCCACTCAAATTTGGGTGAGATGGTGAGCTCTACACGAAGCATGGTACGTGTCATAGGTTGTACCTGAGCTTGGATTTCCAGTCGAGGGAACTTCTGCACCAAAGCACAAACTTGTCTGCCAGCTCTAGGCAGGCCGAGAAGCTCTCCCATGCGAGGNNGAGGATCAAGGTCGAAGTAACTCGACCATGGCACGTCGATGCGCTCAGCCTTGCGAACGATGTCCGCAGGGCACTCTGGGAACTGTCTGAGGGGTGACATAGTTGGCCACATACGCTTCTCAGCCATCTTGCAGAGATTGAGAGCATCCTTGACCACCGAAGCCAGACCTTTCTTGAGCGCGATCTCGAAGACGGCTCTCAGGATACGACCAGCGGATTGCGTGACATAGACCAAATCAGCCATAAGGGCAAGACCATCAAGCTTAAGGCGTGACACATATGCTTGGAGCAAGACGTTGATCTTGCAGTGAGGCTCATCAATTGTTTCCTTGACGGGAATTGGGACTCTGCCAAGCAGCTTTGCAAGCTCAAGCTTCTCGTCTTGACGAACGGGAATGTACTTGAACTCCTCACTGAGTGCGAAGACACGGAACAGCTCGATGGGCGTGATCGATGGCTGAATCTGCTGGTTGTAAGTCAACATGGACTTGTGAGTGATGTAGTAATGTGATGCAATGCGACCAAGCTCTGTAGAAACGATACGTCCTGCGCGTTTGTCATATTTGACGAGGTTCGCCTGTTCAAGAAGCAAAGCCGCAGAGTGGATCAAGTCGACTCGCTTTTGTTCGAGAGTTTCGTCATCCTCATAATCGGCACCGACTTGATATAATGCTGGTGACCGCAGCATGCGCACGAACAGATATGTGTAACCCAGCCACTCAACACCCTCATCACGAGTGCGGACATTTCCCAGAACAACTTCGGCATTAAGATTGTCGGCCAACTTGCTAACAAGCTGACTCTCGATGGGAAGTTGCTGGTTGAGTAGTGACAGATAATACTGAATTTCCTGCTGCGTAGTGATGATGATACCTTCACCAAACGTATCATATTGCGGACGACCAGCGCGACCAAGCATCTGAAGGACGTCTTGAGGAGACAGCTCAACCCAGCTACCCTTCTCAGGAGAGTAAATCTGAGTACCCTTGATGATGACTGTATGAGCAGGAAGGTTAACACCCCATGCCAGAGTAGCTGTGCACACAAGGACCTGGACGTCGCCAGAAGCGAACAGTTCCTCAACCGAGGTACGATCGGCTCTGCTCATACCAGCATGATGAATACCGAATCCATATGGAAGAAGATCCTTGAGGTCTGCATTCGTCACACTCTCAGCTTCCTCAGTCAAGATTTCTCGACTGGCTGCATCATGCTTCAAAATCTGGCCAATTGTCTCAAGCTCGAGAGCCTTATCACGGATGTACTTCGCGGTCTTGGCAGTCTCTTTACGCGAGTGCACGAAAACCAGCATCTGGTTACGTTGCTGACCAACTTGCTCGAGAACCTTGTTGTAGCAAATATCGTTCATGGTCTTGAGTTGCTTGATTGCCTTCTTTTCGGTAACACCAATGAACTCTTGCTTTAGTGGACAAGGTCTGTAGGTGCCATCGAAGTGGAACAGACCCTTGTTCATATCAACTCGCAAGAAAGTAGCGACATCGCGGTAGTTGGGAAGTGTGGCACTGAGACCAACAATACGAACAGGCTCACCGGTCTGCTCGATCTTGCGGATCTGCCTACTCACAATACTCTCAAGGACCGGACCACGGTCGTCATGAAGCAAGTGAATCTCATCAATACAGATCAAACGCACGAGGTTGGTGTAGCTGGTATCAGTGGCCTTGCGGGTGATGACATCCCACTTTTCTGGCGTTGTCACAATAACCTGAGTTTCAGCAATCTGTTGTTTGGTGAGTTGGCGATCACCAGTCAGCTCTGAAACTTTGATGCCGTAAGGTGCTAGGCGTGCGCCAAAGTTTCCGACCTGTTCCTGAACCAGAGCTTTCAGAGGAGCAATAAAGATGATCTTGAAAGCGTCCAAATCAATTTCACCAGTCTCAGGGTTGCGATGTTTGCCAATTTCGCGCAACATGGCGAGCATAGCCACGTTCGTTTTACCAGATCCAGTAGGTGCACAAATCAGCATGTTACCATCGTCCTTGAATGCTGTAGGGAAACATCGTGTTTGAATACGGTTGAGTTCCTTGGAACTTCCGAAACCAATACGAGCCCACTCGGGCAATTCTGTCGTCGGAAGATTGGGTGTTTGAAAGTCTTCGCGCTTGGGCTTGGGGGCCGGTACGTGGATCTCATCATAACCTTTGAAAGTGCGCTTGGTTGATCCTTGCGGTAGCTTCACACTGGGGTTGGTCATGAGGTGGTTCCCTTGATCAAAGATGAGGTTTTCCAGATTGATATTCCGGCTGGGTTGCAAACCACCAACAAGTCCTTCCTTCTTCTCTTCAGGAGCGGCAGATTTTCCAGTCGCGGTATCCAGATCCATGAGGTCGAATTGCATCTTCCCTTGGGCTTGTCCATCGGTGCCTTGTTGGCGTGTCTTTAGCTCCTTGAGAATGCTTCCGTGTCCAGCCTGAACCATTTCGCGTTCAACAGCCACGCGGGTGGGCTCGTCTTCACCAGCTCTTCTCCATCTCGTCACCCAAACGACCTTGTCTCTGTTCTTGACAAGCTTCGAGACCAGCTCGGGGTGCTCGTAATCGAAGAGCTCCATCAGATCGTTCTCAACATCGCGTAACTGCTTTTCCTCGCCATCCTCATTTAAGCCAGACATCATATCTAGAGCTTGTGATGTCTTGTCTTGTTGGATATGTGCATCCTCGTAGAGCTGACCGATCTGTCGTTGTAGCCAGAAAGCATCGATTTCGTGCGCGGGTATAATATCCTCTTGGTCAGCCTTTGCTGAACGGCTGGCGGTCGGGGCAGAGAAAACAAGATCCTCCTCGTCACCTTCTGCAGCCATATCTTCCACGTCTTCGGCGCCTGTTGCAACGACGTTCTCCGGATCCTCGATAGCATCCTCGTCATCTGAATCTCCTTCTCCGTCGCGAACCTCGTAATTTTGTCCTTCCTCCTCATCCTCGTCGCCAAAGTCAACGGCGACACCTTGACGGTCGTCGATATCATCACCTTCGCCAGCATCATCTGCATCACCCATGTTCTCGTCTTCATCCTGTGCGTCATAATCGGTGATCTTCTTGCCTAGGTTGACAAGTTCGTTGAATTCCTTCGATGAAAGGTTGACGCCAATGATATCGTCGATCTCTCTCTTCTTGTCGAATTCTTTTAGAGCTTGATCCTTCAAATATTCCAGGATGCTGTCGGTGGCACTGGCAGTGATGTGGAGACCGTAGTCACCTCCCATCTTTTGCGCCACCAGAGTGTTGATTAATGTGTAAGTCGCCTGGGTGGCCGGTGTGCGAGGACGGTATCGTAGACCTTCGATGTTGAGATCTGCTTGTGATAGGATGCCGGAGGCGCGAGCACTTTGGGCGGGCTCTGCTCTCTTTCGCTTCCTTTGGGCATCCTGGGCAGCTGGTTGAGCAGGAGCGGCTTCGCGGGCATTGCGCGATCCCATATCATTCAGGTTGATGCGACCAGCGAGCGACTCGGGGTCACCAGTACTGTCATCACCTCGGCGCGTGATGAATCGACGGTCCGCCTGGAGGACCAGGTTGGACATGGCCGAGTACTTGTACTGGTTGAGGCGCTTTGCATCTTCATTTTCGGCCATTGTGAGTGTTATGTGATGGTGGTGTGGAGGGGCGGGCGACAGACGTAGATGTTGGCTCTCTACGCGTGTGCTGCCTTGATGGATTGCTTTCTTCGACGCAGAGCTTCACCAGACGCCAGCGGCGAACATTCAATCCCGACCTTTTCCGCTGGGAAGGACGAAGCGTCGCGTTGCCTACAAGACTAATCGGTTGGCATCAGTAGCCTTCACATCAACATCAATCTGCTGCGCTGCTTCCATCATCATTCACACCGCCCTTGGCGCTCCCAAGCTTTTCTGATCGACCGGAAGCACAGACATGATTTTTCCAAGTTCATTTATCAGACAGATGTGCTTTGTTAACTAGCGTGAGGCAAGCGGCCCAGATGCCGATGATAATGATTGCATAGATGTCACTGTCCTAATATGAAGGTGCGGCATATAGCAAGATGCTGGAGTGCCGAGCTACGAGTTTGGTAGGATGAAGGCAAAGCCCTTGAATGCACAGCTCTTGTGCTATGGACGAAAGTACGAATTGGTTTTAACTTCTCAGTTCCAGGCTCACGCCGCGGTGATGGAAATCACATGGGTTCCATATGAGGTGGGCGTTGATCGCGGTTGACGTTCGCGGGGTCCATAGCGTCATTGTGGCTGGGTGATGGAATTCCCGCTGCGCTGCCTGGAGCTTCCATCAAGCGTTTCCTACAAGACCTCGACCCTCCCCGTTCTTCCCTTTGTTCTGACATTAAACTTTGGCCGGCAAGTACAAGGTACCTGTCGCACCTATAACAAAAATGGTTTCGCTGTGGGGTTCGAAGAACAACGATGAGGAGCAGCTTGACGATGGCTCGACCACACCCAGAGGTTCGACCGAAGACAGCAGACGTCCTCCGTCTCGACGTTCCTACGAGCGAAGAGAGCGTGAAGCAGACGAGAGAACCAGACTCTTGCCTCCTCAACCTCGCCCTCCTCACTCAGATGGCTACCTAGACCCCGACGACCCAGCTGTAAGTCGGCGCCATCATGACCTTGTATAGCTGTACTGACCATCGCAGGTCTCTCCCTACAATCTGTGGACTGTCCGCTTCCTGAGATACATCACCGTCCTCTTNTTCCTCATCAACTTCATCTGGTGGGTCTTGCTGTTCGTGAGCATCTTCGTCTCTCCTCCTGGACTGCACACCAGAGGTTCTGGTTTCTTCGACTTCTCCTACATCACTCTCACTGCTGGTAACCTTCTGGTCGCTATCTTGTTCTTTGCCGCTCCCTCCAAGGGCATGCGCATCACTATGGGAATCATTACCGCCATCTTGGCTATCGACATGATCATGATCCTTGCCATTCCTCGCCTAAGAGTAGAAGAGGGCTGGCCAGGCATCGCCTCGATTGCCTGGGCCACTCTCATTGGTCTGTGGTGTGTCATCACCGACCGAGTTGTGGCTTGGGGCAAGAAGGAAGAGGAGGAGCGTCTTACTGGTCGTGCTGAGACACGCAGGACACTGCGCGAGTGGTTGGCCGTATCTCTTGCAACCTTGATCCTCATTGTCTACGCTATCATTGCCGTCCTCATGACCGCAACCCTCATCTTGCGCGCTCGTGACGCTACTCTCCCCATGGACGGCGAGCGCTACTATGTCGACGGCGACAAGTACCAAGTCCACCTTGCCTGCATGGGTAACGTCACATACAACTCCGATGGCGTTGCTAACCCAACTCTTCTGCTTGAAGCTGGCGAGGGACCTTCAGAGTACGACTTTGAGCACTGGGCTTACGCTGCTTGGAAGAATGGTACTATTGACCGCTACTGCTACTGGGACCGTCCTGGCTACGCCTGGTCTGACAGCGCTCCTAGCCCTCACAGTGCTGGTATGTCTGCCGATGCACTGTCCGAGGCTTTGGCTGTTGCTGGTGAGGAGGGACCCTTCATCCTGGTTTCTGCTGGTTATGGATCCATTGTCTCGCGCATCTTCTCTGCTCGTCATGTCCGCAACATTGCCGGTATCATGATGATTGACCCTCTCCATGAGGACCTTCTCCACCGCATTGGAGGTGCATACAGGGGCTTTGTTCTCTGGGGCTGGGGCATCCTCTCACCTCTTGGTCTCCAGCGCAACTTTGGCGCCATCTTCAACGGTCGTACTCGCGAGGATCGTGTCTACGGTCGTTCGGCTTATCAGGGTGGCAAGTTCATCAAGGCTCAGCTTCAGGAGAATCTTGTCGCCGAGTCCTTGACAAAGAACGAGGTATCTAGCGCTCGTACCATCCAGACCCCTGATGTTCCTCTCGTCATTATCAGTAGTGGCATCAGCAATCGCCGTGATAGCGAGTGGGAGCGCAAGCAACGTGACCTGACCAAGCTCACTGAGAACTTGATCAGCTGGGATGTTGTCAACAAGGCACCCCACGAGGTTTGGAGAACTCTTGACGGAAGAAATGTCATGGACAAGAGATTGAACGACATTGTCAAGCAAGGCTACAGAGCCTACTCGATCAATGAGGAGGAGAACTAAGACAATGGATAGCTATTTTCACGACCCTTTCAAGCTTTTTCTTGTCATGAAATGAATCGGAATCACGGCACAAGCGTGGTGGCGAGCAATGATCATAATGTCTTTATTTTGTCTTTCACTTTTGCACTCATACATCCCAGTACATAAGTCTTGTTGCATTTGATGTTTAACGTTCTTCGTGTCTCAGCTTTCTCAGATACCGCTTTAACAAATTCTCTTGATGATCATCAGGTCATAAGCTACTACACCAGCAGATGCTCAAGTGACCAAAACCAAGCCAGCTTTAAGCGTCATCGTTGTGCAACAAAGGCGCATCCTCACCATCCCTATACTCGCGGGAGGTAAAGAAGCGAGTCAATCTCCTCTGACCCCTCCAGTGTCTCTGCTTGGCCCAACTCGACAGCTGCAAGCCCCAATGCCACACCATACCAGCAATGAAACCCACAGCATCGTTCTTGAATGCCAGACACCCAGCCACAGTAACCAACATGACAGCCCACCGATTCTTCTTCTCCTGCTCATTAAGTTCACGTCTCTTATCCGCATTCGCATCCTCATTTTCCTGTTCTGTTTCCTCCCAAGCATCCTGAACATCATCTAACGATTGACCCACTTTCGCTAATTCCACGCCAGCAGCTAGTACCATAATCCCCAATAGGCTTTTGGGAAAGCGTTGTAGGAGAGGGATGATGGATTCGCCGGCTGTGAGTCCGAGGATCAGTTTTACGAGGCCGAGGAGGATTATGCTGGCGCCGCTGCGGGCGCCGAAACGGTATTGGGCTGCGAGGCCGCCGGAGCCGTGGCATACGGGCATGGCGCCGAACCAGCAGCCGATTAGATTTGCGATGCCTACTGAGAGGCCGATTTGGGTGTTTGACGGGGTTGGAGGGTAAGAGAGGAATAGCGATGCTGAGAGGGATGTTACAGCTAGGATACTGTTCAGGGTTGTGAGAGGAAGCTGAGGAAGACCGGCTTCGAAGGCGCCTTTGTAGAAGTCCTTGGAGGAGGGGATGTAGGCTTTTGGGTGCCAGGTTTGGAAGCCTGAATGTGTTGATGAGTGGGAGGTCCTGAGTTGGATGCCAGCGAACACAAGTCCGAGTATGAAGACAAGTAGAGCGTATGGGACTCGTGGCACCAAGGAAGATACAAGGAGAAAGACGAATGCAGCCATGGCCCATAACCAGTTGTCTGACCAGTTTGGACTGACCCAACCGAGCGGCTTGAGAAGACTAGTCCCCGCTGAAATGACCAGGGCGAAACCAGCGCCCATTTGGATACCTCTGACAACAGGGATAGGTACCACACGGCCAAACCACTTGAGGAGTCCAGTCAGACTGAGGAATGTCACAACTCCTCCCACAAAAAGGCCAGCAGAGATATTCTCAGTCTTGGTGTACGACTGACTGATAGCGATTGCAGCTATAGCTTTCATAGGTTGAACAGGTAATGGTATACCAAACGCCACTCCTGTCGCTATGTTTGCGAGTCCAGAAAAGACCAAGGTAGCAGGTAATGATATGCTCTTGGTCAGGGTGAGAGCGATGAGTAGAGGTAGTAAAGTCCCTAGATCGCCGAGAGCTCCAGAGAGTTCATTCAGCGGCTGTGTCTGTAGTGTACGTAGGTTATGCTTATTCACACTCCTCATGTGCGAATACAGAGACGCCATCATGATGGATGATATTAGTGTTGAATGATAGGCGATGCAACGCAGGAAAATGTACAGGGGAAACGCTCAAGAAATGCAGAGAATGTTCAACAAGTGAGGTCGCAAGAATCGATTGCAAGCACAAAGGCCCGTGACCCAGCCACTTAGGTCTCGTACCGATTAAAAATATATTGGTTGGTCACCAACAAGGGACGACGACAGGGCCTCGGAGTTGTCACTAGGTCGTAGCGGTGACGCTTGCGGGCCTGAGCTTGCTGTGGGTGACCCTGCTCTTACTGACATCAATCTCGGTCGCGTCTTCCGTGTTGCTTCGAACGCGTCTCCCAGGAACTTATTGACCATCAATATATGCATTCAAAGAAGGCCAACGTAAATATGTCACTACCGCCATCCTCACAGGTCGCTGTGCCTATACCGAGCTCACAAATGATTGGAACACCTGAGCCAGCAAAAAAGCTGAAGAAATATCGACCAGTAAAGCCATTACCATTTGAGCTTCGAGATATCATCAATGTCTATATTGAGGAAAAGCTTTGTACAGTCTTTACTCGGATCTCCATGTATAGAGCTTCGCTGATTTGANNTCTAGTCTCACAAGCTCTTCCCCTGCTCTTAAACACACTCATCGCAGGCAATGATGGTACTGTCGAAGGACAAACCTTGCCAACTTATGTTCCAGCACCTCAGGTGCTAGCAGTTGTTGCCACACTAGCTGTACATCCTGCCTGGACAAATCGAGCCACGGAACCAGAGAGTGTCAAGACAGCTAATGATGCGCTATTTTACCTCAAACATGTCAATTCTATTGTCGGCGCTGCGAACGCCAACTTCACCTCAGCTTTCAAGTTTCTGGACAAGTTTGACTCTCGGGACAGGCGACGACGCACTGGAGATGTCGCTGTCGGCACAGAAGACGAAAACAAGTTCTCGATCAACATAGCCAACAAGGGTGCAATCTGGAACCTTGCCGAGGACTTTTGGGCAGTAGTTGGTTGGGCCTTCAACTGTTCATGTCAGCACCCAAAGCGATGGGAAAGGTGGAGACCTTGGCTCGAGTTTATGCTTGATGCGCTTGAAGATGATTTACGCGAACGAATCTCTGCTGCCGGACCTCTCAAGGATGCTGCCAAAGAAGCAGCAGCCAATACCTTATTATCAGAGAGTCTGATTGCGCAGTACTGTCTTACTGCAGGTGACGGTAGAGCCGGCAAACGAAGAGTCATGAGGGCGGTTCTCGCCAATGGTTGCAAGAAAGACTTGGACGAGTTTCGTGAGATCTGGAAGAACGAAACCAAGCCTCCAAAAGAGAAGAAACTGGAAGAACTAATGCCTAGGAAAGGGATTGATTTCGAAAAGGAAGAGTACGGTGATTACATGGACATGTATGAGTCTGAAGAAGAGGAAGAAGAAGATTTGCCCTCGACGCCTAGAGCATCAAATTCGGCACGTCAGTCACGCAAGAGAGGACGACCATCTTCTGCTACACCAGATCCAGATGCAGACAATGAGTATAGTGTGTCTTCAGACTATGGTGGATACGAGGCCGTACGACTGCGTCAGCGCTTGATCGCTTTGGTAAGCATAGCCTTCTCTTTCTGGCATCCGATATACCATCTAATGCTCTGTAGNCTCACTCAAATCTCGTCCCACTACGAACATGCCTTCATGGAAGCGGAAGACTGCTTTGACCTGGTAACAGAGTTTCTTCGCCCTCTACCATTGGATATCTTCATGCTGTTCGTCTCACCACCAACCCCATGGCTAGAGCCCCACTCCCACGCCTCGCTCTGCCAAAACCTGCTTCGCCCGATCATTTCCTCCGAAGCACCTATCTATCATGCCGACACCATGACACAGATCGAGTTCGAAAAACACTTCTTGCCTTATTCTGCAAATTACACCAATTATGTCGAGAACGCACGGGTCAGTCTGCTGGTAGAAGCCTTGTTGAGATTGCTGTTTAGACACTCTGCACTGGTTGTTAACAATAGCCTGAAGAAGAAGCTGGATGAAGGAATCAAGGCTAGAGAAGCGAAGGCAAAGTTCGGCGCAAGGAAGCTGGTGGGCATTAAGGAAGCCGAAGAAGAAAAGGCTGTCAAGATGCTGGCCAACAGTACGATGAGGATGAAAATGACGGTACAGGTTGCTAACACTCATCAGCAGTAGGCTGTTGACCGGAGCAAATGTTGGTGTTATTTCTGGGTCTGTGGGTAGATGCATTCTCAATACCAAGGCAAATATTCACCCAGTTCACTTCATGTCTCATTCCTACAATAACACCGTAAGCAAGAAGGTTCAAAGCTAGATCGTTTCGTAGCATGCATGTCGACACCAAACTGCTCCGTAAGATATCAGGTACACGTGATAATCGGAAGTCGTGCGATGTGCTGTACCCAGATAACAAGAGGAACGAGAATGATATCTTTGTGTTGAGGCCCGTGACCATGTCACTCTCATAGTTGCTGGATACACGGCCAGGTACTCTACAAGACAGTACAAAACTACTTCCTAGCAAACTCCATAAGAGTAATTTGTTTACACTCGATGGATGATCCTTGTCAGACAAGGTGATAGGATGAACAGGGTCATACCGCCCACAACTTGACTTGTCCATAGCGGGCAGTCGTTCCCAGGCGTCCTTGAGTGTCAGGCGACCGAGCAGAATATATGCCTCGTTAATGTCATTTCTTTGGTCTGATTTGTCTCAATCAACTTGTTCGTCGAGAGTCAAGAAGGAAAGAGAGAGTCAAGACTCGAGACAGGGTGATGACGAAACAGCAAAGGCGGTGAAGCGTGGGGCCTCACTGAGACTTGGATGTGACGGTGATTTGTCTCGCAACTCGCAAGTCGTAACACACAACACCAAGTCAAAGTCCTTCTGCCATCGATCCTCGGCGTCTTCTCTTTCACTTTCAGCTCGGCTTCTGCGATCTCGAACCAACTCCACACTCGCTTTCAGGACATCACCTACCTCGAACGGCCTCGTCGGTCTAGCCACCCCCAATCACACACTCAAGATGTTGAAGATTTGGTCTATGGTATGCATGATACGAGGATACTGCCGACAAGTCACGGCTGACCGGTCATGACAGAAACAACAGCAACAAAGGACCAGGCCGCTGCGTCCGGTGGCGCAAAGAAGAAGAAGGTCACTGCAGCACAACTGCGTGTGCAGAAGGGCAAGTAGATACGGACTACATGGTATTACATGTGCTGACGGACGGTATAACAGATCTCTCGGAACTGTCGCTCGGCAGCACCATGACGACGACCTTCCCTGACCCCGACGATATCCTGCACTTCAGCCTGACCATCGCACCCGACGAGGGCATGTACAAGAACGGCAGCTTCAACTTCACATTCAACATCAGCCAGAACTTCCCACACGAGCCGCCAAAGGTCAAGTGCACGCANAAGATCTACCACCCCAACATCGACCTCGAAGGAAACGTGTGCTTGAACATCTTGCGCGAGGACTGGAAGCCGGTGCTCAACCTGAACGCTGTGATTGTTGGTCTGCAGTTCTTGTTCCTCGAGCCCAATGCCAGCGATCCGTTGAACAAGGAGGCAGCCGAGGATCTGGCACGCGACCGTGATGGATTCAAGCGCAACGTGCGCTCCAGCATGGCAGGTGGCAGCGTCAAGGGCATCTCGTACGACCGCGTCATGAAGTAGCGTACTGAACGACGGAGACGAGGACGAGGACGAAGGGTTGATGTGGCATACGACAGGCGTTTTCCTTCTTGTGATATCGATACAAGCGAATTTCCTCTTTGGTCATGTTGGCTTCATTTTCTATACACGCGGCACCATGGCAGGCATGTCTATGGCGACGGCGCAAGTCACGGACAGTGGCTTATGTTTATTTCGTGCATGCCAAAGATAATATATACACTTTTATTCCGTTTATTGCACTGTGCATGTGATCGAGTGTGGTCTGTTGTCCAAGGGTCGAGAGGCAGAGTCGAATGGGGAGGGGTCTGTGCTCTGGTCGGAGCAACTTTCCAGTTGATTTCGCTGCTTCGACTCGCAGAGCACCAGTAGCAGCACCACCCTCGTTTCCCTTCGACACACACAAAACACAATGCACACGACATTAAGGATATCGCACTCGCTGCAACAAAACGGCAAGCAGTGCCTGCGCTCGCTCCAGCAGCAGCAATGCCGCCACGTCTCGTCCTTCCGCCGCACNAAAAAGATGCTGCTCGTCCAGCCAGACCCTTCATTCACCAACAAGACCGGAGAACAAGACCACATCATCTACAATCCACCCTCGTCTGCGCCAAATGTCTACCACACACCTTTGAAGTTCCTGCCCAAGGACGACCCGCGACGCCGTCTGCACACTCTCCTCCGACCCACCTCCGCCTCCACTGCAGAACCCACATCTTTGCCGCCCCCAGTGCGACCAATCTATGAGAAAAAGTACCATCTCAAGGAAGCCGATATCGAAGAGATCAGACGACTCCGAGCAGAAGACCCGCGCAAGTGGACACGAGTGCGATTGGCCGAAAAGTTCGAGTGCAGCCAGTTTTTCGTCAGCTTGTGCTGCTCGGCACCACAGATCAAGGATGAGAGGCAAGCCGAGGTCGAAAAGATCAAGGAGAAGTGGGGACGCACCAAGAGAGAGGCGCGCGAGGATAGGCAGACCAGGAAGCAGAGCTGGGGCAAGGCCGTCTGAACTTCTCTCATGTGGTTATCTGAGTGGAGAAAGGAAAAAAGTTGCAAAGCATTTGCATTTTCATGGGTGTTCTAAGGGGAACGGGCTTGAGTTGTTATCTATCAGGGCCTTGTTGAGGGCTCTTGACTTGTATATGTCCTTTTGTTTGCACATGTCACGCGAGAGTGGTCGTGTGTTGTTGTAAGATATAGGCGGAAACAGGGCTATGCGTCTGTTGAACATAACAGAACCAAATCATATTGTACATGAAACCACATACTCTATACAAGTTGCATTCTACCACATGTGAGCACACGAGGAAAGCATGAAAATAAATAAATAAATGGAAAACAAATCCGAGGGAAACAGCTGACGGACGGCCTTGGCAAAGCCGGATTAATCCGTCGTCACCTCATGCAGTTGCATACCGAATGAGCCTTGAATTGCAAGTGCAACCTCTCCACTCCGCAAATCACACCCCAACCCACACTTCACAATGCCTGTCAAGCCCATCACTGGTGTACGTCTCGTCCAATTGAATCCCGGCCTCTTTGCGCAATCCCTAGCATCGAGCGCGCCCGCACGACAATCGAACCACGACCGCAATCTGGAATCAAGCTTACTGACGTGATGACTGTGTAGATGCTCCGCAGAGGTCTCGTCCTCGACCTTTCCGTCGCCTTTGGTAAGTGTGGATCTGCGGAAATGGAGAAGGTGTGAACAAGTGGACTGACTAGGACAACAGGTCTCGGTACCTCGGCCGGTTACCTCTGGTGGTACGGTACGTAAAACCATTCTCTTTGCCCTCGACGACGTCTTGCCTTGTACATCTCGCCTGGTCCTTCAATTACTGGATATATCGTTGCACTCACTGGACCCCATACAATCTACGAACGACTCACTTCGCACTCCGAGTCACAAACCACACATCCCCGACACGAACACGATCGACTACCAACCCACTCCAACCTATCCCTACACAACCACAGCGCCTTCAGCACCTCTCAGCAAAAGAAAGAGAAAGAATACCCAAACTGACGGACCATCTCTCTCAGGCTTCCACGTCCCCGCCGTCCGCCGTCGCGATCTGTTCTACGCCAAGCTCGAAGACGAGCGTGCCGCCGCCCTTGGCCAGCTCTAAGCTCTTTTGCATTCAAAGCAAACATGACAATATCTTGATACCACTGGCAGAAGGGAGGAAATGTACATGCTAGAACGAGAGAGCGCTTGAACCAAAGCAAATGGCAAAGACCTTGAGATTCCGCAATTTCCACGTTCAGAGATCAAGTTTGAGATGTGATACTTTTTTCTTTTCGTTATGTTTGTGCATCTCTTGTCTGCCTGTACTTTTTCTTCTACGACAGTATTGACCTACAGGGTGCTATTGATCGTGAAACCGACGATTTGGACCACCTCTTTCTCCTTGCCATGTGATTTCCAAAACATAGAAGGTAAGAAATCCCGGTCCTGGATATTGCTTGACATCACAGTGTAATAGGTAGGTCTAGGTGTGAACATATGAAATCCGGTATGCTTTCATTCCCAGCAGCATTGATATTAAGGGGTTTGCTCCTTTTGTATATACTACTCTAACATCTAACCTCAACACCCTTCCTCGACACAGTCAGATACTTGACACCCTTGTACGGCCTCACGCCCTCACCCAACCCTTTACTCCTCTTGGTATCGATAACCAAGCTGTCTACCTTCAACCCACTAGCCAACCATCCCTTGACGCCAAAACTCAGACTGGCAGATCCAGGCATGAGCACCGCGTTCTGNNTCTCGATTTCTTCTTGTCTTTTGCTGCAGAGTTTGCGTCGTTGGTTTTGGATGTGGTGGTTTGGTATTCGTCGTCNGTCGTCAGTGTAGTCGTGGGTATTGGTTTTCAAGCCGTTGGAGAGAGTGCGGTCTTCTTCATCGGAGGAGGCGCCGACGACTGAACAACGTAACACGCAACCTGCACTGCTGATGCCTGCAGCTTCTTTTGCGGAAATCTTCCATTCGATGGATGCGTCGCCGGGGCTCCAATGTGCTTCGCCCTTTGTGGCGCGCAAGTCGCTGATGTTGCGCACAGCGGCGGTGATAGGGATACTAACGGTCAAATCTTCGAGGAGCGGTGCTTTTGCTTCGCCAGAGTTGCCGCGCAGAGTTGATGGGCGTGGAGTACCTAGGTTATTCGATAGACTTGTTGCTGCAGCGGAACCTGCTCCTGAGCTTGAGGATACACCTGAAGAGCCACTGCCTGTGTAAAAGCGATGGCTGACTGTGAGACGGACTTCAAAGTCTGAGCCTGTGGCACCTAGTCCTGTGCGTATCTCTATCGAAGCAGGCAGATTCAAATCTTGGGCTTTGGCAGATAGAGGCGAGGCTGAGGGATCTAGTAAATCAACGTCGTAGCCAGCAAGTACGAAGCGGCCATCTGGAGGCACGAAACTGAGTTCTGCGTGGTCTCGCCAGCGGGCGAGCCGTACGCATGGGTGGAAGACTGGACGTTCCATGGTGCGCTTGACCTTGTCAGCACCCGGTCCGCTGCCAGCGCGTAAGCTCAGCAGTAAGTCGGGTACGCCAGAGACTTTGCTGGTAAAGGCAATACTGCCGTTGGCAAAGGCGGCCAAAGGACGGCCTGAAGGAGCATAGGTGACGGACAGGGTCTCGACAATGTCGACATACATCTCATTGCTTGTATGGCGGACATTAGAGCGACGCCAGGGAATCTGAGAGCCAGCTGTTGATAGCGTAGGAGCCAGGCTTCCACTGCCACCACTTCCCATACCAGAGAATGGTGTCGGACCAGCGTTCAAGGCGGGAGAAGTACTGCGAGTCTTGTGTTAGCTGCAGCCGTGACAGTGCTACCATTCCTCGACATACCCAGGTAGCCCTACACCACCCAGCAACTTGCCCATCCAAGAGGGTGTATCCACAACGTCTCTGAGAGCATTGGCTTCGGTACCACCGATCAAACCTCCGTCGCACATCTCACTCAGAACCTGGGCTATGACATCGTAGTTGGCTTCCAGTTTACTAGCCAACAAAGGCGCACCCAGAAACTCTTCAAGTGCATCAGCGACGCGATGCAAGAACTCAAGGACGACGAGAGGTTCGGTATCGGTCGAGCAGGGACTCATGAACAACAGGCCATCCTGTAGCATGGAGAACAGTAGCGTCGGCGGATTGGTTCCTGTAAGATAGATACATGACGGTCTCGGTTCCGAGTGGGCAAGATAAAGCGGTAGTAGAGTAGTAGCGGGTGGTGGACGTGCAGTGAAAGTATGGGTTACGATGGCATTGCTGTAGATAGAGTCAGCAGGAAGATGGCGACGGTGAGGGTGGAGGGGTTTACTGTACTTGCGCTCATTGAATATATACACTGCCTCGATCAGACCCATGGCGACGGTTGTTGACTTGTATAGGCTTGTGTTTGCATGTTCGCATGTGAAAGATGTTTGGCGTCAGACGTCACCAATTCTCAAAGCTCCAAGCAGACCAGACCATTACGAATTCCACAGAGCCGAGGCATCGATACACAGATCAAGACATATCCAGAACAGATCAGATCAGGCAGGAGTCAGTGGTAAAAGTATATTGACAGAAACGAAGAATGATTTGATACGCTGCTGCTAAAGAGCGCGTTGGTTCTACTAAAGCCTCGAGGGATATCTTTATGCTGATGCGCTTCCTTTCCTCTTTCCTCTTTCCTCGTTCAACTCCATAGACGCCTGTAGAATTTCATCCCTGCTTGAACGCCATCCCAAGCACAATCAATCTCTCCTCCTTCTGCTGCCACTCGTATCTTGCCGCCTTCTTGCGTCAGGGCTTGCGCTTCGTTCCCTCTTGACTCTTCCTGCATGCGTCTTCATGGCTTCTTCGCTTTTCACGACATGATGTCCTGTGAAGTGCCTTGGGTGTGCTGGTTCCTCGAAAGCTCCCTAGTACCTTCGTGGAGGCACTTGTTCCTGCGTGTATGGATTGCGTGTGTGCTGATTCCAATGGCCATCCTATTGGCGTCTTGGGTCGTGCGACATGGGCATTCCAGGTGGAGGGCCACCAGCGCCAGGACCAGGGCTAGGACCACCCATAGGTGGGAACGGCATACCAGCTGGTGGAGGGAAAGGCATACCGCCGGGAGGAGGGAAAGGCATGCCAGCAGGTGGTGAGCCAGCTGCGCCCGGTGTCGGAGGGAAGGGCATGCCATTAGGAGGGAAAGGAGGCATCCCATTGGGAGGGAATGGGAATGGCGTCATACCGCGACCTGCGGCAGGTGGAGGGAATGGCATACCGCCAGGTGGTGGGGGCATGCCAGGAGGGAAACCAAAGGGCATGGCTGCTACACCAGCATGGGTTCCACCGGGTAACATAGGGTTCGCGCTTGCTTGTCCTTCGGCGGCGTATGAGGAAGTGATGCTATCGATGACTGATTGAGCCTTTTCATGACCGATTTCTGTCCCGTCGTGTTAGTCGCATCTCTTCTTGGAAGGTCCTATTTGCGGCGCATACGTTGGTAGTAGTCGACTACGTTTCTTAAATGGTTACGACCGCTGTTGTGGGCCTTTCTCACGCTCATACTGTCGTGAGTGAGGTAGACATCGCAATAATCGCCTGTGTTCGCATGAGTATTCGATCTGTCCTTGTCCAGCGATGGCCTGGAAACCTACAGAAGAGTAGTTGAGGGTCAGTAAGAGAACGGATGTTGGAGAGAAGGTAGACTTATATTTCGGCATCTTGACGATTTGATCACAATATCAGATGCGACGAGATGGATGATGGCGCAAAGCTGTCTGTCTTGCCGACAAGGCAGCTCGAACCCCAGACGCCTATATCATGTCTTGGCACCATCTATCTTATCTGATCTATTCATCTTCAATCATCACTCACAACGCGCCGCCACAGTTTCACTCGCAGACAGACTACAAATGATCGAACTATACAGGGTTCTGTATTGTTGACTCCATTCAACATGTCGAACATGCAAGTACCAGCAAACAGCGTTTGGAGCTCCATGAACTACACGCCTCCTCGTGGCTCTTGTAATTTCAAGAACGGCATGATATCCAACAAATGTCCTTGTCTTCGTTTCATGCTGCATCCAGTCAAGGTAGGTCGTTTTTGTTTACTCTTCACTACCAAGGTCTCGCCTAGTTCCCCCTGTCTTGTTCATACCAACACACGTGAAATAACANNGGCTGCAACTTCATTTGAGTGTGACGGCTGCGGCCACCATGCTTCCTACCACAACCTGGACAACCCATCTGAGGACGCCATCCTTGCCAAATGGTCTGCTCAGGAGAAGGCAACGATCATCCAGCAACAGCCGTCCACCTCATCACGAAACAAGCGCAAGCGGATTACGTCTCAACCTTACGACGATAGTCAGTCGACAATCACTATCACCGATGACTCCACAGAAGCCATCGAAGGCGCTCTTGACGCATCAAGCAGAAATAACAACAACACGGTCCACACATTCTCATCGATCTTCAGCAACAGGAATGGTAACCAGAGATGACAAGGCTTTCTCCGATGCTCACCCCTGATTTCTCGATGGCTTTTCGCTGTCAACCAAACATGTGCGCCAAGGCCACTTTCAGCTGGGCTGTTCAGCAAGCCACAAACACATGCACTACTCATGGACGGAAACATTTCTACGTTTGTGCTCTTTCCATCTCTTTCTAGAAAATGTTCTTGCTGCCCAAGCAGCCAAGCCAGCTGCTTTCATCGACGCCCAGCTCCTCTTGCTCGGCGATCACCTTCTCATACTTACAAGCTGATATCGCCGTTTCCGTGTCATTGCTTTGGCTTAGGCTTTTGCTGAGTACGAAGCGTTGACACAACCCAGCTCGCAAGAATCTTCCACGACGAGCTGTCGTGTCGGTTGTCCTAGAACGACAAATGGAGTGTTTGATTCTGCATCGAGGCATCGATGCCTTTATCCAAATGCCATAAGCGAAAGCGAGACTTGGAAGATTCAAAGATCAAGAGAATAAGGCTTCGGGAAGTGGAGATAAGCTGGACAGGAGAACCAACGGCATTGTGACTCGTCATGGCAAGAGAGTTTCCGAGATGGGTTCAAAAGGATAACAATGACATCTCCCAAAAATCATACGCCAATGCAAAGATGAAGTGAAACAGCCGAACCATTACATACTTGTGGCCAGAACCGAATTTTTTTGGCTTTCCCCTGGTCGCGTGCGAAAACGCTCGACCCTTGTCTCAATTTATCCCTAGACCTGTGTTCTTGCCATTGGCGAATGACGATATACACAAGTCTTGTTGGTACATCTTTGAGAACATCGACTGCTGTCACAACCATGACATCAGCCGCCAAGTCTGACAGGAAATTTGAGATGCTGCAATTGTTTAGACGTGCATATCCTATGAATAGCTGTAGCTGAGAGTCAAGACTCACAAAGCCTAAAGGAGATGGCCATGTCTTCGAGTTTGTTGTATGATCTACAATCGTGAAATCTCCACCCTTGCAGTGCGAACGCCTTCTTTTCATGGATCTGCGCACACACGCATAGCTAACCCTTTCACGGTGGATCACGCATGCAGCTAGGAGAACACCCAGCGGCTGCAGCGCTATGGAGGACGCAGGGAATAAGAACATGTGGCTTAGTCTTGCAACAATACAACAATATTGCTTTCGGTAATCTCCATACCCTTCTTCCGCAGACAACTTGGGTGATGATCACCATATTCTACATCAAGGACTTCTGTTTTTTGTGTTGCGGGAGTGCCGACGGGAGAGCAGTTGAAAGCGTGCATCTCTGGAGGGTAGGGCTTTTGGCAACGTGCAGCAAAAAAACGTGAGGGGAAATCAAGCGATCGGCAAGGATGTCCCGAACCAATCGTCGTTCTCGAACACCAGAACCTGTTTTGCTGGTAGGGCTGTATGCTGTGTTGAATGCTTTTCGAGTCGGCGGGACGATTTTCTGAAGGATTTAAGCTTTCCAGGAATCAGCAGAGGAGGGGAAGTACGGGTTCTGTATGATTTGTGGACCGAGACTATAGAAAATAGGTATCTCGAGTAGCAGCGGCATGGGATGACAGCACATGACAGCCCTGATGAACAAATCAGAGGCTGCCGGACTTTTCCAAGTAACTCCGGTGGGGGCGTCAGAAGCTTCTTGCGTGGTCCTCCACGTGAGGGATGCACCATGAACCATGAAGATCCGGTTGTAAGGTTCCGAGACGAACCTCACTTCATGATGAGTGTCTGGTTGGTTAGGTCTCCTCGCTTGGAGACTTGGACGATGGCTGTGAAACTGAGGGACGGCGTCTCGATACAATCGGTAGATTACAAGGATCGTAAGCGTACTGTTATGCGAAGGTTGGGACTTGGGTATCCTGATCAATCTCAATCACAGTGTCCAGGGATACTGACATGAGCATGGCAAAGCGCCATTGGTCCTTGCTTTTTTGTTTGCAGTACTGTACGAGGTACGGCGGAATACGAAAGCTATTGCTTGTCTCTCCACGTGACTCACTTTATGGTATACTTCTTGTACTGTACCATGCTCTTCTTAGGAACTGTTTACGGTGATGTTGCTCCAGGAGAGTTGTCGTGTCGCTTGAACCTGCAGAAAGACCCAGTCGAGGGTCTGCACCTGAATCAACGATGGGTTGCTAGTTTGGATGGTCGAAGTATGTGCTTAAGGGGAGACTTTTCGCCGAAGGATCAAAGCTGTTGGCTACATTGCGTTCCTAAACTCTAAGTTGAATTAGACACATCTCTATGCAGCACATCCTATGTTTGCTGCCCAAGCATTACTAGGTTGTAATTGGGTCAGGCTTGTGACGATCTGGCGAGTACTGCATTGCAATGCGTTCTAATAGAGATGTGGTGAGCGTTGTGAAGCGTGGTGTCTTACCAGTTCGTTGCAAAGAGTTTGAGTGTGCGTAAGCGTACTCGATGCGTGGTAACCAATAGGACCCGACTCGGATGATGACCCTGTCAGTCTCTCAAAGCAACAATAGTGATGATGAGTCAGGTTAGTCGAAGCGGCAACGAGTGTGAAATGTACAGTTGACCTGGTTGAAGCCTGGTTGTGGGGCAATAGAAGCCAAAAACCTCTTTGGTCCTAGCGACGATGATGTTTGCTTGCGTCACGGTTGTCATGAAAGTGCTCAAGACTGACCGAGACTAGGGATCATGATCATCAAGAAAGCTTCGCGGCGGACTGTCTCTCCAAGAGCAGTGCCGTGGATCGGGGCCGTTAGACTCTGTCCCTTGTGACAGAATGACTGGAAACAATCCAAACTGTGCAGCAGCATACATCATCACGTTCGTTCTCAGAAAAGAAGCACAGGTCGAAGAAAAAGTCAACTCAAAATCGCAACGGCAGTCACTCGAGAGTCATGACTTCCAATTAGGCTGTACATCAACCGACGTGTGGTCGGAGTAGCGATAAGGGAAACTTCGACAATCCGATTTTCACAGTATAGGCAGTCACCATGTGGAAAGATCTTCATGTGAGTACAACCAACAAGATGTGTTGATGTTTCGGACCACGAGGCAAGGTGTGACCATGATATTGCCATGCATCAAATCGTGCAAATTATTTCCTAAGCTGGATGTTGCAAAGCTGACAGCGGCCTGCGAGATGAGTTTACTGATCCTTCATGACTTCGTCTCTTGGGAATACCCCAGGTTCCACAGTGTACCCACGTCACTTCTTGTTTCATCTCGCGTTCTATCTGCTGCAGTTCCCAGTCGTTCTTCCATCTGCCGGGACTACTGATCAAACCATTCTTCGAAATGAGAAAATGGTGTCGATAGCACGGATAGGGAAATAACCGTCCGAGAAGATAGTCATGCATGTGGTGGCAGGTCGGCGTCGCCGAGAGGCTGAAAGCTAAACCGGCGGATCTGTCCGAGTGTACCGCACGTGTGAAGTCGAATGAACAACCTGACGCAAAGGCGGTAAGAGACGGTTTTTGGGTTTTCCGTTGGGCTTTCCGATGCTTGCAGCCGTTGGTGTTGGTTCTGTCGGCGAAGAGAGTTTGGCAAGTCTGCCCGCTCTTGACTCGACGTTCCTCAGACCCAAGGACTTGGTCTACCACCGATTCGAAGGATAATCCCGTTGCTTGGTCGCTTGGTGCTGGTGGGTCGAGTGACCAATGCTATCATCGACTGGTCCGAATTGTTTCCTCCATCGTGCTCCATGTCGGGTCCTCAGCAAGCCATTTCCCCTGAACGCTGTCCTGGGATCGTAGAGCCAGCTCAACCCGAGCTGGTGTCACCGATGCAAGTTCCTGCAAGGAGAACCATGTCAGTTGACCGTATTTTCGCCGGGGACCCAGCCATATGGTTCGGATAACGCGCTCCTTGAGCTTCTTGTACAAGCAGGTAATCTCCCAAGAAAAACAACCAAGAAAGCTGAAACTTACTGCTCGCATCGTACTGTTTATCTGTTGCAGTGCTGGCGTATGAATGGATTGAGGCCGATTTGTTCCTAGGATGGCGTTTCTCGAGTTGACCCAGCGTAAAGCTGCACTTGCTTTGAGATATATTTGTTGGATTTTGAAGCGTCGGATGCTCGCATCAAGCATAATTCTNNAATCTTAATGTCAGGATCAGATCAAGAATGTCCGAGGAAGCTGGAGAATATACCGTTGAAGCTGCGCCTTCTCTTGTTCACAATCACCATCTGGTTCGGGCCCTTGGCAATCGAATGGTTGAGCGAGCAGGGCTTGGGCGTCTACAGCACATTGGCGAAGCACGCAGTAGCCCTCCTCGTAATAGTCTTCAGCTGAAGGATTTGCTCTAATGTTTGCAATGTAATGTTGCAGGTGTCTGAAATCAGAAAGAATTTCGGCGATACGCATGGCGCGTGCCTCATTCACTGAGGCGATGCATGTCAGAGAGGGAGGTTCCGGGTTGGTAGTAAAGGATGGTACAAGGGACATCTTACATCCGTCGGTCATTGAGCAAAGAAGGAGTTACTTCAGCTGTGATAAGAAGATGGGTCTGGATGGGCAGTGATCGACAGATATATAAACGACCCTTAAAGCTCCAGGTGGTTGTTTTGTGGGTAGGTACTTGCGGATCCCAAAAAGTATCTTTCATTGTCACACATATAACGAAGTCGGTAATATGCGAGCAGATCGGGTGGAGAAAAGGGAACAGGAAGGTCAAGGCAGGGTGTGCAGAAGCGAAGGAGAGGCCGTGGATGGATTGGGAGAGACGTTAATAAGTACACCAACAAGGGAAATGGTCGTCTTTGCAGCTATGNNGGCAGGCATGATTGGAAGAGGGTTCAGATCTAAAATGGCAGTTTTACGCCAGAGGGTGGTTGGNCCAAGACGTCACAAGCTGCCAGGCATGGAAGCAAATCGGTCGACAGCTCAGACGGAACAGCCAAGAAGACGCACACAAATGCACAANGAAAGTCTAGCGCAGGTGCAGGGCGATGTCAGGTGTCGGCGATTCCTAGAGCTGTTTGGGCTCAGAAGAGGCGTTCAGAGGGCGTTTCAGTGGTAAAGGNNTGGGGGAAGAGCGCCACAGTCAGAGCTACCATCGAGCAGCCGGCGCGGCCGGCACTTGGAACAGAGACAGGGCNNCACAGACGGGGAACGTTTAGTGGAACAAAGAAGGNNAAATGATGCATTGATACGGAAGGGTGATAACACAGCTTGATTCATAAGATGACGCTACCGGCTGCGCTCCGCACGCTGGGCTGGGTGCAACATGGACGCTGCTGGCTGTGCGGTGTGCAAGCGAGTCGGCGAGAGCGATGGCATGGCATATGATGGATTAGATGACGTCGTGAAGGTAGGTCGTTAATTTCAGTCCTTCTCAGCAATCGACTGCAGACGCTCATCGATTTGTTCTTCGGTCAGAGTGCTGAAGTCGGTTGTGGTGCCCTCCTTGCCATCGGCACGGGGACCACCGACGATGCCAATTTCGATCTCACCCTTCTTGAAGTCAACACTCAACACTGTGCTGAGAGTGGTAATGGCGAGCTCGACGACCTCCTCCCAGTTGCCCTCAGCACAGTTCTTGTTTCGCAGCTTCTTCTCGAGGTGGTTCATGGCTTCTTGTGCCTTGGGACCTGATGCGGTGGCCTTGTAACCAACAAAGTAACCTGCGGGATCGCACTTGTAGAGCTGGGGACCGAATTCAGAGTCGACTGAGATGAGCGTTGTGGCAACGCCTAGGGGTCTCATGTATGCNNCTGCGTCGTGTTAGCACGGCGTCGCGAATGCAGTCAAGCTTGAACATCTCACTCTTTGTGTGTAGACCTGAGAGATGTTTGCGAGGCGCTTGGCCAAAACATCACAGGGCATTTCGTAACCGTTCTTGTATCTGAACTCGGCAGCTTCACCACGCGCTCTCATGACCGAAGCTCTTGCATCTGCGATGGAACCAGTCATGACACAACCGACCGAAGGCGAAAGTCTGTGGATGTAGGAGACGGACGAGGGGTCGATGAGCTTGTCGGGGACCTTCTTTTGCGAGATGACTACTGCGCAGTCCTTGCCGCGGACGCCGACTGAGGTGATGTTTGCTGCGGTGATGGCCTTGAATGCATATTCTGTTCAGTGTAAGCCGAGGCATGCGCTGTCTGGACGTGCTAGGCTCAGATACGCACCGACTTGGTAGAGGCGACCCTGATCGGAGAAGATGGTAATGTGTCTGTCGTAGCCTGCGCTGCCTGTTGCGGGAGTTAGCTACGCCGAGCTGTAGGACCAAGGCAAAACGCACTCATGATGGGCAACTAGTCTGTGTATTGAGGTTGTAACTGTGTGAGAAGTCCGGCGGAAGCAAGCCAACAAGACAGAAACAACAAGGTGATGGACGGCGATAGAATTGTGGTGATAGTGAAGCTCTCTGTATGAAGACAGCGCGTTTGCCCTCTCGTCATGGAGCTTCCAGCGAAACGCCGACCCTTGGCACTCCCGCGCCTTCCCCGGACGAAGATGGACTTCCGCATAATTTTTGTTCCTTCTTTTCTTGGTCTTGCATGTGATTGATCTTTTGCAGCAGCAACCATGACCGAACAACGCGTGCCTGCCTGGAAAAGACTGGGCTTGAGTCTGACAAATGCCAAAGACACCGCCCCGCTACCTGCTTCTCCTGCTACTTCGACCAAACGTTCTCGAGATGATGCCGATACTCCCAAGGGTTCCAAGAAGCAGAGACTCGACCAATCTCAGAATGGACCCAATGTATCTAGCCCTGCACAAAAGCAGTTGCAGTCTTCGTCAGTAGCTCCGATATCCAGTCCGATGCCCTCCAGATTGTATGCCTTTCTTCTATTTCTGTTTCTCTCAAAACTTCCCCATTCGACGAACCGCAGTCTAGTGATGAATTGTGTCTTTGTCGAGTACGCTTATCTGTCTGATTCACCGACACTAACTTGACCCATAGACGGGCTTCACCAGAGAAGTCGATCCTAGCCACACCCAACAGCAAGCAAGGCCATCGCAAGTCCGTCGTCTTCTCGAACGACACCAAGAAGCAAGACGGAGACAGTGCTCAGACTTACTTCCAGGCCTGGGCTAACGACGAACTCGATTATTACGCTCAGAAAGCCGCCGCTTACGACGCTGCCGAAGCAGCAAAGGCCGCCGAGAAAAGCAAGATTGAGGAATCTACAAACTCTGCATCAACTCAACCTGAAGTTACTCAAGAAACCGACCTGACATCCAAGACCGCGGACAAGGAGAGCAAGAGTGCGGCTAAGGAGGAGAAGAAGAAGGCAAAGAAGGAGAAGAAAGAGAAGAAGGAAGGTCAAGCAACCAAGGCAGACGAAGAGACAATGAACAAGGACGACGCACCACAAACAACCTCTGAACCCAAAACACCTGCCGTCAAGAAGGTCAAAGTACGCACACCAAAGGACAACACCAACAAGCCAGTACCTGATTACGTCCGTTACCTTGAGCAATACCACGACGACCGATCCTCATGGAAGTTTAACAAATCCAAACAGAACGACTTGCTCAAAAACATTTGGAACACCTACCGCGTCCCTCCAACCTGCAACGAAGCATTGGTCGAGTACCTTGACGGACTACAAGGAGCAGCCGCACGCCAGCGTCTACGTCAGGCAGCTCAGTCCGCAAACATTGACATCGTCTCCTTCATCCGCTCCGAAATTCCAGAAGTCAAGGACGAACCCATGGAGACCGCAGAGGCCAGAAAGGCTGCTTACGACACTGCTCTTGAGAGACAGAAGGAGATTTTGCGCAAGAACGGCATCGATCCAGATCCGGAAAAGACCAAACTCCTCCAAGAACAGAAGGACTACGATGAACGTGTACAACTGGTCTGGAACACCATGAACAAGGGTGAACCTCAGCCAGTCGCAAGAGCAGCACCTGCCGTCAAGGAGGAGCCCAAGGTCGACACTGCACGCTCCATGCGCAAGAAGAGAAAATCGAGAACCGATGTCTCTAGTAGCGAAAGCAGTGATAGCAGCAGCAGCGATGACAGCGACAGCAGCGATAGCGACAGTGACAGCGACGACAGCAGCAGCGACAGCGATAGCGAGGACGAAAAGCCTGCAGCAAAGAAGGCCAAGATCGCAAAACTCGAGGCTCAGCTCGCAGACGCAAAGATTGCAAAACTCAAGGCCAAACTCGCAAAGGCCAAGGCCACGAAGGCGAAGAGCACAAAGGGCAAGAAGGCTAAGGCCGAGTCCAGTTCCTCCGAGAGCGACTCTTCGGACAGCGATTCGGATTCATCATCAAGTTCTGACGACAGTTCCGAGTCAGATTCCTCGTCTGACGACTCGGACAGCGATTGAAAGTCTTTTTCTATCGACTAAACGTTCTGGTCTCCATGTCATACAGCTAATTCCCTGAGGACCCTCACCATCACGACACGCTAGATCATTCAAGCTGTGGTACTTTCATTGTTAGACGCTCGTCGTGAAGTCGCTTGCTGCTCTAGGGCGCACACTTGTCTAGGAGGGTTCGTTTTCGCTCAACAGATACTGCTGAACGTTCAGGATCGAAGGTGTACCGCTATTCTTTCACTAAGGCCAAAACATCTTGCAGACTCCTACATTCTTGCGCAAAGAGATGAGAACATAGACATCGGGTTATACAATCTCGCATATGCATAACCTCAGCGGTGGTCGACCGGACAAGAGAGTCAGGAAAGAATAGAAAAAGCATTCTTCCGCACCGTTGATCTTCCATTGTTTCTCTTTAAAGTGACAAGTAATACGCATGTATATCTGCAAGGGTAGTCTACACTTCGTGAGAACATGATTTTCTGCATTCGAAAACAGATGCTAAAAAGCCTTCATGGCTCTCCATACCATAAACGCCAGTTGTCTTTAGAGGATCTAAAGGAAATGGAGGAGATGAGCTACTACAAGAATTCGCTCAGCCCTCCTTGGAAGCTCCTCCATTAGCCTCACCCTCATCCCTCGTCCTCTTAACCCTTTCTCTCTCTTTCCCCTTCTCCTTTCCATTCATATCTCTCTCAGGGTGATGTGTTCCCTCCTTAGCATTCGTCTGTCTTCTTCTCCCACCCCTTCTCACCGGCGCATACACATCGTTAAAGTTCATAACCACACCCAGGAACCTCATATCCACATCCGGCTGATACGCCAAATCGCCAAGCAGGATATTGACTCTGGCTCTAAAGTCTGTAGCCAGAGAGTGCAAGCGTTGACGCAATGAAGACAGAATCGCTGCCTCATCTGCTGCCGCATTGCCTGATGAAGTAATGGGAAGCAGTGGTGGGATGGGAGATTCATTGTCGCGGTCATTGGTGCGGCGGGAGTTGCGTTTGTGGGTATTGCTCATATGCGAAGACCCGAATTCGTTTTCGTCTTNTTCGGTTACGCCCCAGGTGCCTGCTGCAGTGCGTGTTTCGATTTTTGCTGCAAGGTCTTGACGGCGTGTAAATTCGGCTACAGAGTATGAGTATAGGCTGTCGACTGCGTCTTTGTATGCCAGCATCAGTTTGAGGAGTTCGTGGAGTTGTGCTGTAAAGTCTGGTGCTGTGGACGAGGAGGCTTGTGATCCGGATGGAGCTAGAAGACCTTTGCGAGTGATGCTGCGCAAGTAGGCTCCATGGGCTGAGATGAGATCGTCGAGAGTGGCGTCTGGTGTACGCATTGCTTTTTGCAGTCCTTCCCAGCCTGCTTCAATGACTTCAAAGAGAATGTAATGTTGAAGTTGTGAGACGAAGTGGATCATCTCTGCGATGCCACCCCTGGCATTCTTCCAGTCAGCTTCTACTTTGTCGCCGACAGCACCGAGTACACCTCGAGCACCGGTCATGGTTCGTCGCCATATACTTCCCAAGGCAAACTCGACGCGCTTGACACGCCACAAGAAGTTGAAGACCTTGAGATATTGCTTGGACGCCCATGGTGTGACAATGACATCCAGAGGAGAATCAACTCTGTACTCAAGCGTAAACACATCCCAGCCGATTTCGCCATGGGACAGCTCGAGCATACGAGCGTCGAGACGGCGAAGCACATCTGGAGAGTCGTATTGGGCGTTGCTGTTTCGAATGGCATGCTCGAGCTGAGCGGTCAAGGTGTGTCTGTACTGACTGTTGGCTGGTCTGTCTAGGTTCGACGCCAGAGATTCCATGAGCAAAGCAACAAAGTCACCCTGTCCCAGCAGGAGGTACTTCTTGAGTGCTGCTAGATGCTCAAACAACTTGAACTTGTCTTCCATTAGATAGATAAGACGAGCCATGGTGCCTTTGTATGCGGAGTCAATTGACGATTCGAGCGTGGCTGTATCGCCATAGCGAAGCTCTCGCATTGAGCTCTTGCTGTGATTTTCGACCCAAGCGGAGTCACCACAACCGTAGCGAATGAAATTGAGTGACTTGCCAATCAGATAGACTTTCTTTGCGAAGTCCTGTGTGATGATAGTAGGTATCATACTGTCCTTGAGACGATACTTGTCTTCCCAGACACTTGTCGCACCGCCACGACGAGGGTCAGAGTCTAAGTCAGCATCTCGGTTTTGGTAAACGAAGAACTCTAGGAAAGGATCTTCAAGCTCGCCATCATAGATCCAGTGTTGTAGCATAGTATAGAATGGCCGGGTCACATGGATCAAGAGTCGTTCCGCAAAAGTGTACACAAAGGGGTCGCCGTGTGATGAGGCGTAGGAGTGTATGAGCGATATCAGCTCGCCTCCTTTCTTCTCTGCCAAATTGTCAGTTCAATATCGCTTTGATTACGTTGAAACTCTTACCTTNNTTGCTTCTTCGACCATCATGCTCATGAGCCGCAAGCCCATTGTCGCCTCGCGAGTCCACACAACACATCTCTTCAACGTCACACCAGCCTTTCCTAGACCCAGATTTCCTGGCGATTCTTGTAATTGAGTCAAGGCTCTTCTGATTTGGGCTTCGAGCGTAGCCACCAATCCAAGGTATGCTCTCAATTCAACCCCGATGGCAGAGCGCAAACTTTGGCCCACCAGACCACCTTCAGAAGACTCGACAAATGCTGATAGACTCCGATACAACAGCGAAGGCTCGGCAAGTGTGTGAAGCAAACTTATTATCGGCACGGGTAATGTTGAAGGAAGCCTGAGCGAAGAGTCGGAGAACGCAAGATTGGTGGAGGAAAGACCTTGCAGTGTGAATGGCAAGTCTCGAAGCAATTGAGCCTCTGTCGGCGCATCTTGCGAGTTTGCCGAGTTTGTTGGCTCTGGCGAGGGTTCTATTGAGCGTGTCGATGCACGTAGGGGCATTCTTTCTCGGGTCTGTGACAGTCGCACAGGCTCTGGGTCTTCGGGATCGGGTACTCTGGGTAGACCATTGCGAGAAAAGGCATCGTTGAAAGCAGGGGCGTCACTGCTCTGTTGTCGCAAGGGGGGTTGCGGGCGGGGTGTAGGCGAAGGAACAGCATCCGGTGCTGGACCAGCTTCAGAATCCGAGAGTCGATATAGGAAGTATAAGATAGCCCATTTCCGGTCGAGCACAGGCTGGCTCAGCAGTCTCGAATAGAGGTTGGAGAAGTGGAGGGCTTTGTCCGGGCGACTGTTCTCATGCACCAGCTTTTGTCTGATCAAGTCTGCGGCGTGGTGTACATCGTCTGCGGCTGCCGAGGATGGCTGGTCATNCTGCGCATGGTAGTCAAGTCAGTACGATGTCCCTAGTCGGTCTGCGACGAAAGGAGCGTGCCTGCCTAGTGTTTGTCTGGCTGCTTGCAGTGCCTCGTCGAAGCGCTGGTCTTCAACTGCCTCATCATCATCTTGGTTCCATGGGATCAATCGAAAGAGCAACTGTTGCAGCGCGTTATCCACGCGCTGCGCCCGATTTTCCATCGCTCATTGATGGGAAAGCTCGTTTCTTGTAAATTGTGCTGTGCTCTAGACGCGCCATCCAGGAAGGACGTGTTGTTTGTGCCAAGCCCAAGCTCGAGAGTCTATACCGATGACCTCCTCTTGTCAACTTTCGAGGCTAACAATTCGTCAATATACAATAGCATTGATCACACAAAAGCTCTAATCGCTTCTCCATAAACCCATCGAGCTTTCTGTCAAGAAACTCTACATGTGACTGACCAAAACACCGAGTTGGGAATCAAAAAATTGCAATGAAGTACTATTCGTGTATAATTAAAGAACCAATGATTGTTACAAACTTGAAAAGCAAAGCCAACCTATACTACGCCTAAGCCTCCCACAGTTTGCCAAGCCCTTTGTGCAGCGCGAAAGACTCCTTCAATGAAAGATGTACAAGTTGAATGGAAGGGAGTTGTAAGCTGGTGAGAGAGAATGTAGTGCGCCAACTCCGAAAGAGCCTTACGCCTGTGCCCTGCATTTGCCTGAGCTATCGCACGCTGCTGTTGGCTCTGTAGCTTGCCTTGCAGTCATGCCTTTTAAACGCCCCTGTAATACTTAATTCTGGCTGTAGAATGAGGAATAGGACTACCGTCTCTGCATGTTGGCCTGCGAGGGTACTCCCTGCTGCATATGTTGAGACATCTGCATACCATAGGGGTTGGCGAATTGATGCGGTTCGCCAGCAATGTTCTGCATTGCCATGCCACTGATTCCCTGTGCTTGCGAAACAGGACAATCTTTGTGGGCGAGCAGCAGAGTCTTGAGTCCTACTATCTCCTCACGCAGCTGAGTGACAGTGGCGGCCAGCGCATCATTTTCGGTTGAGAAGATCTCAACCTTCTGCTGGAGGTTAGCCAGCCATTGCTTCTTGCGCTGACGACACTTGAGGGCGGCAATTCNTTTTCTACGTTAGCATGATTCAAATCACAGATCTTGTTAGGGCACGTACCTGTTCCTTTCGAGGAAGTTCTTACGCTTCTCTTCGTCAGTCATCTTCTTGTTGTCGGGTCCTCTCTCCATGTCCAAGTCATCATTGTCAGAGTCGTCTTCGTCCATGGATGGCATGCTGGTCTTCTGGCGCTTGTTGGATCCCTTGGGTTGATCCTCGGCCTTGCGTCTGCCATTGTTCGAGTTCTTAGTGTTGTTGTTCTTCTTTCCCTTGCCTCTGGTAGGCTTGACGTCTCCACCATCACTATCAGAGAAGTTGCCGTGCTCATTTTGTGTTGATCCCGAAAGGTTGCTGGCGATAGAGTTCTTGTTGGCGCGAGCTGACATGTTGGCTGACCCGTCGTGTCCCTGTTGGCCAAGACCCCCAGGAAGGTGTGGCGGGTTGCCCATGTAGTTCATCTGAGGCTGTGACTGAGGTGGTGGGTATTGCTGAGGTTGGTTGCGGTTGTTGCCTCTGGCTTGGGCAAGCATGAAGAGACCGTTAGCTGCATCGTTGGCATCGTGCTGCTCGAAGGTATCGTTCTGCTGCTGCTGGCCGAAGCCCTTGCTGTCAAGGTTGGGCTGGATGTTGGGATCGGCAGCGGCGGAAGTGGGTGGCTGAGGCATGTTGAAGTTTCCGTTCACGTTTGTTTGAGAAGCGCGTGCGTGCATAGCAGTTCGGTGGAAGTCAAGAGTACCAGGAGTGGCGCCTCCACTCTGAATGGCGTTGAAGATTGCTTGCGAGTTGGGACTGGGCTGAGGGAACATAGACCCACCGCCACCAGGTGTCAAGCCAGTCCTGAGAGATGATTCGTTAGGGGTAGGGAAACTGCCGCCAAAGTGATGGTCGTTGCTGAAGTAGTCGTTGGACGNACCAGCGGGGCCGGTTAGCATTGCAGGGCTGAGAGGTCCTGAACGAAGAGAGCCAGGCCAATTGGGAGTGGTTCCAGGAAGCAGAGGAGCGGGCGACGTGAGACTGTTGACTCCAGGAAGTTGAGGCTTGCCAGGTGTCTCGGTAGAGCCTCCAAAGGCACTTTCGAAGGGGTTAGGTTCCTTGGTTAGGTGGGCGGCACTGTGAGCTCCGCTGAAGTAGTCGTTGTCTCCGTTAGAGGCCTTATTCGGAACGGGTGGAGGTGCAAGCGGCGCATTGGTCGAGGACGCGTTAGATTCTTNTGCGCCGTCACCAGATGCTTTAGTGTCTTCCGGCTGTTTAATAGCAGGTATGTTCTGCTGAGTGTCNNTGAGACGAATGTCAGCAACTAATCCAAAGTCGCGATCCGGTTGCCAACAGCACATACCTTGACGCGAAGGAGAGGTTGCTCTATCTTGGCTTGAGGTATCTGTGATTGACGGTCGCGTCAGTACGTGGTAGATGAGATGGAATTCATCGTCATCAAATCCTCCCATGCGTCATCAGAGGCAAGGCGACGTCAGGCGGGGATGATGCTCAGAGCCGCGACACATGACATGATAACAACAATAAAGCGGAAGCTGCTTACCTTCTTGCTTCAACACATCTTTGGTCTTCGGAGTCACTTGGAGAAGACATGTTTGTTGTTGTGATGGAGAATGAAATGGGAAGTAGCGGCCGTGAGAGGCGATGACGTCGCTTTCTGGTCCGGTAGGTTGGCTGGGCTTTCTAGGAGGTGTTTCTCCCGACTCTCAACTCTCAAACTGACAAGCCAGAAACTCCGACTTCAGTCAGAAAAACAATTTCGAAAACCGACGTTCCTGTCAACTGATATTGTCAGTCCGACACCTCAACATATATTCTTGGACGAAGCGTGCGCGCGTGCGGCTCCGGCTGTCAGTCGGTTTTCCGTCCCCACTCGCGCCATCGCGTCGCACTCCGCTCCTGTCGCATTCAGTGGCGAAAAGACTTACCGGCAGCGAGATGATTTGTTCTACGGTCGACGGCGACGCGTAAAGATTCGATGTCTTTTGTCGAGTCTCTGCCTGAGGCTCTCTGACTTGAGGCTCTGCTGAGTAGCTGCGTCTTCCTCCTCTGAAAATCTGGTGACGCAATTGTCCTTCAAGTCGCGCGAAAAACAGGTGTGCTTCTTCTCAGCGAAAGTTTCTCAACTGTTCAGACGCGCGTGTGTACAAAAGTGCCACCGTGGTGAAGCTGTATGGATTAATTGATCGCTGCGGCGTATGTTCGTACAGGCGCGTTGCGTTCTTTGCTGTACCGCACGGTGCTGGTCGTCTTGCTCGATGATGTCTTTGGTGACGTCGGTTGGCGCAAAAGCACAAGGCGCGAGGGAGACTGACGTTTTGAGGTCCCAGGAATGGTGGGCCGCTTCTTTGTACACGTGACTTGACAGAGTAAAGTTGTGCTATCGAACGGGACGTATGCTTGATAATCATTCCGCCGTGGAGCCGAGGCGGGATACTCGATATTGACTGGACTATTCTATCATCATCAGGACAAAAGCCCAAACATACGGCCATCTAGCACTCAGAATCTGATATCGATTATCACAATAGAAGCGAGCAAGACGACTACGAGTCGAACATGAAGTGGAACAAAGGCAAGCCACGAGATGTGTGCTGCAACGTTCTCTATCAAGTCCGTACCGCTTGCTATCGATCCTGGAACACCACCGATCGGTAGATCGAACGGGCGTACAGCACAGTACATGAACCCGGTATCCGGTGCCAATATTTAGACCGGAGGTCACTCCTCGAGTTGAAGATAGATAAGTGTAGGCAGATAGCCGTTTCTGAAACCAATTACGTGCTATATGCAAGTGTGCAAAGGAAAAACAGTAGGCATTGTGACTTGCTGAAGAGCCTGGTAAGCATGCTTCTAAAGGATGTTTCTTCTCTTCTCGGCTTGTCTATGTTGAAGTGATCGAACCTGTCGGTACTTGCAATACATGCTCCAACAGATGTGGGTGCTGACGGTCTGAGATGAATGGGAAACACAACTCAAGAGGTGGAAAGCAGTGATGGTGTAGTATAGTAGAAAGCACGGTGGAATTCACGTATCGAATAGAAGGGCATGGTCAATTAGAAAAGGAAAGAAGGAAAGAGTAGTTAAATGATAAGGTAGAGATTAAAGAAAACAAAAGAGGCATTGATCCAATATCTGGTGAGACTTGAATTGTCCAGACGGTTCGTGCATGCTATTCCTCGTGAACCGAAGCTCCTCCAAAACCGATCAAGTATCAGACTCCATTTCCGTGAGCTCAGAATCGCTGTCAGACTTGGGTTGTGAAGCTTTGGCGGCTTTGGTTGCTTTGGTGACTTTCCTTCCTTTTGTGGTGGTGGTATTAGTAGTGGTAGCAGTAGCGGGCTTGGGTTCAGAATCGCTTTCTTCTTCATCCAGGGGCTCGAGGACCGGGCCGTTGGCGGTGTACTTGATTTGCTGACCCACGATGATCCTTGATGAGCGGATACGTAGAGATGTGGTTTTGGTGTTGTATTCGATGAGACGAGGGTTGCCCGGCTGAAAGATGGCAAAGCGAACGGTGAGCATGAGGGCGTCCTTGTCAAACATCGGCTTGTGCTTGAGAGGATCGTAGACCACCCAGACTGGAATGACTCAGTATAAGAATGAGACACAATCGGTCATCTCGAGTATCGACTTACGTTGGTTACGTGCGCCCTTGTGAAGACACAAATTGTTGTATCTGCCCTTTCGAGGCTTGCGAGATGGTGGCGAGTAGGATTTGAGCAGAGCTGTGGCATAGTTGACATCGTAGGGAGCTTCCACGAATTTGCGGATTAGCTTCGTCTCGAATCCAAGCTCACGCAGAGTTTTGGTGAGAGCTTTGGCAGAAAGACGATGAGCAATGGAAGCCATGATTATGGGCAAAAGTGAGAAGTCGGTGGGCAGATACTACGGGTGTAGATAGAAGAAACAAGAGAGCCCGGCTGATTTGAATGATAATGAAGATACACTGCTGCGAAGTGGTGCTTGTGCTGGAAGGAAGTCTGGACGTGGAAGATAGATAATTTACGAGAGACAGCTGCACGAATGAGACAAGTGAAGCTTGATATTGACCAAGCACAATAGACCCATACAATAACGCGAGACCACCGACAATGGTACTGTCGTCGGTTTCTCTATTGACGAGATCCTATTGTGGCTATTGTCTCGGCGACCTACTCTTGAGTGCTCGAATAGAACTCGAGTGAAAAAGATGCAGAAGGTGCGATCGGGTTTTGCATTACGATGAATCTTAGTTAATGGTTTGGGTGCGGAAGGACTCACAGATTGAGTTCTTTGGTATGATCAGACCTTCTCGCTAACCCAAATTGCAGCACGGCAGCCGCCTCTGATAACGTTGGTCAAGAGCTCGTATGGACGAGCCTCTTTTGCATCGTGCTCGACGGCGTGATCGAGATGCTCGAGCTCCTCGTCTCTAATTCTTCGGAGATTGCTAAGCAAGTCTGTCATCTCTTCGCCAGGCTCCTCTCCCCGCTCTTCCATATCCTTCATCCATGCCAGAAGCTCTCGCACTTGAGCGTTGTAATGTTCACCAATCTCAGTCTCAACAGCCTCTGTGCAGGCCATTGCGGCTTCCTGACCTAGTATGGCGGTGGACCAACCCAAGGCAGTGGCGGCAACACCCCATACTGGAGTCATGGCAGTCGGACGAATGCGGTGCTTGGCTATGATCTTGTTGAAGTACTTGAAGTGGCCTGCCTCTTGATCATACATGTGCTTCATGAGGGGGCGAAGATGGGGATGGGCTCTGACAGTCGGTGGAGTCTGTGCCTGGTATATGAGAACAGCAGCAAGCTCGCCGGTCTGGTTTACTCGAAGCTGGGAACAGTAAGACTGGTTGAACAAATTATTGAGCGCATAGGACTAGCGTACAGCAGCATCCAGGAAGCGTTCTTGTTCAGCAGTCAAGGGACGCTTCCTCTTCCCTGAAGTCCCGGTCTCGATGGTCTTGGGCTTTGGTTCGGTACTCGGTGGGGCTGACGAGGTGGTGATAGATGCTGCATGCTGCAGAGAGCCGATATGCAGTGCTCGAGGCGACAAGGACATGGCCCTGCTGCATCGGCTCAGCTGACGGACCGACATTTCGAGTGTGATTATTTCCAAGAAGGATTGAACCTGTCTTTCTCTGTCCGGAGTTTTCAAGCAGGTGAGTGCGACAAATCAAGGCTGTTCGGTGTATGGACTGGTTTCGCAGAAAGTGAACGAGGTTTAGTAGACTATCTATGTCATCGATTCGAGGCACTTTTGGTCGTGCTTGGCGAGCTCCAGGTGAGCTGGAAGTCACAACTTCACTTTATTCACTCTTTCTCACTCTCATCCTATTGTCGCGCTAATTTTATTGTCCCCAGCCACGCCGAATACACATCTTGCGAGATCTCCACGGCTGGTCCCTTCCTTCATCCTTCTCCAACTTTTCGAAACTCCCTCGATTCTCGAACTTCGCTCGACCAATACCTCTATCCCCTGAACCACCAACGAACCGCTCAACCACCGATAATGTCTGACAACGAGCTTGATGCTGAGCTTCTCGCCCTTGCTGGCGACGACAGCTCCGACGACGAGAGACCAGACAACAGACAGACACAACCCTCGTCCCCCTTCGAACATGCCGCCTTGTCTTCAGAGCCCGATCGCTCTCCTCCTCGTCGCTCTCTTGCCCAAAAGTCAAAATCGCGCTCATCTGCTGCTGCTAGAAGAAGGAGAAAGGATGATTCCGAGGAAGAAGGTGAAGCGTAAGTCCACCTGCTTCTACACATCTATTCTCAACTTCTCTTCAACCTGCCTGCCTCGCCATACTCTCCGACTTCGCATACTGATCGCCATCTCAGCTCAGCCGCTTCATCTCCTCGCTCGCTAGGCTCTGCTGCCATGGACGAATCCGACTCGGAAGACGGCATCGACTTCGACCAGGATGCTCCTCTGTACCCCATCGAGGGCAAGTTCCGCTCCGAGGCTGATCGCGCCGAAGTCATGGCCATGACCGAAATTCGTCGAGAAGAAATCCTTGCCGAACGTGCCGCAGAAGTCGAGAGAAGAGTCCAGGATTTACAACTCAAGAAGATCCTCCAACAACGCAAGAGAGAGCAAGCCGGTGCCGACAAGAGAAAGCGCAAGGCTGCCGCTGCTGACTTGGACGATGATGACCAGCGCAAGAGCAGCAGACCAAAGGTCAAGGCTAGCGGACCTCTGGAAGCCTACAAGAGAGAGCGAGAGATGAAGGGTCAACAAAGAAACCGTGAGGACGATCGCAGAAGAGACCGCTCCCCTTCACGAGACGATGCGGACTCGGACAGAGACGCCGAAGGTGACAGCGAGGTCGAGTGGGATGAGAAGCCTCGAGCTGCTGCTGCACGCGAAGAAGCTCCTGCAACATTGCGCGACTTCGAGCGTGCTCGCGTTGGCCGCACCAACTTTGCCAGAGTTTGCTTTTACCCAACTTTCGAGACCAGCATTAGAAACTGCTATACTCGTGTAAGCATTGGCGTTAATCGCGACACCGGAGCACCCCAGTACCGCATGGCCCAGATCAAAGGTGTGTCATGACAACTGTGCTGCGCATTCAAACCTTGCTGACTCTCTCANGGCTTTACCTCAGGCAAGCCTTACCAGATGGAAGGACTGAACGGCAAACCTTTCGTCACCGATCAATACGCAGTTGTCGCCCATGGCAAGGCTGAAAAGGAATGGCCTTTCATCGCCTGTTCCGATTCCAGCTTCACCGAGCCCGAGTTCGAACGTTTCAAGGCCGCTCTGGCTACCGATTCCTTGCGCCTTCCTTCTAAGAAAGCGCTGGTCACCAAGCTCAACGAGATTCACGCCCTCCTCGAATACCAATGGACCGACGAAGACATCCAAAGAAAGATTAACCGCACAAACGCCCTGCAAGCCAAGTTCGCAAACTACGGCCGCGAGAAGATCGAGAAACGTCGTGAGGAAGCAGCGTCTCGTGGCGATGAGGCCACAGTCGCCAAATGCGATGCAGAACTCGCAGCTCTGGGATCCGGCAATGGTGCAGCCAAAGCAGCACAAGCAGCCGCCAACGCAGCAAAGCAAAACGGCAAACTCGCTCAACAGGAACGTCTGGCTGCTCTCAACCGTGCCAATCGCAAAGCTAATAGTGAAGACGTGCGTAAAGCACAATTGGCCGAGAAGCGTATTTTGCAAAAAGCCAGAGAAGAGGCTGCTGCAAAGGCACGCAGGGAAGCTGAGGCTGCAAAGGAGAAGCTACTCGCGGTACCTGATGATCTATTCGGCGACGCCAGCGACATCAGCAGAACAGGCACACCTGCAAATGGCACTGGCACCAGCACGCCCATCAACGACAAGCTGAAGAAGACGACATTGGGAGGTTTCAAGAAGAAGCCCAAGGACGAAGATATCATCGCCGACATGGACCTGGGCATTGATATCGACATCTGAAGAAGAAACGCATCACAAAAAAACATCTTGCAATTGAGAGGATGTCCGCGATACAGCAGCACAGGCGTTTATTGGGGAGACTGGTTTGATCAGCATATTTCTCTCGAAAAGACGAACTTTCTTGTTCTTATAGATCTCTTTTGAAACGTACGAAGGCTACGAATAAAAAATCACCATTCTACATATGATTTCTTTTCCAAATGTGCTTCTTGTTTCCGTATGCTACCTAGCTTCTGGTTCGGGTGATTGACCTCTTGGACTTGCTCGATTCTGGATCCTGTTGTTTTTCTGGTCTTGTCTTGTACTCGTTCAAAGAATCTCAGCACCTGTACGGTATATCTTTCATCCGTTTTCCTGTGTCGTCTAGTAGTCTTTTGCTCGTTGTAATGGTTCCAAGTGCTTGGACGTGGCTTGAGTCGTATGGTCCAGCGTGTGCTTATTCATGAACGACAAGAAATCCACAGTGTTGTCTCTCAGAGCAAATCGGAAGTCACAACAGACACCTCGTTGATAGAGAAGACTCTACTCCCATCAACGTTAATCCTTTAGCAATGGAAAGTCGCATTGGGTGTCGTTGTTGAAGATGGCAAGTATGCAATAATGGAAGCAGGGTCATACCCCATACCATCTGACTTGGTCGTGCGCGACACTCATCATCTCACACTTTGGCAAATTTACTCAACTTCACATCACAACTTTTGACAAGCAAGCGTTGGGAAAAAGGAGATTAGGAGAAGAGAAAGAAACTACCTGCACTAGGTAACCATTTGCTGTAAAGGAAAGTCCGTGTGTGTCCCTACGCCCTATCCATCCTCTCGAAGAAAAGAGAAATCCTTGCCCTTAGAGAGTGACCATCAAATCCCACCCAGCAATTTCATAGCAACGAACCCGAGAAACAAAGGGAAAAAGAAAAAAAAAAAAGCCAAGAAAGTTGATCGTGTAGAGCAAATCGCTGCTTAGTCTAAAGAAGCCGCTGCTTTTACTTCATCGATGCAACAGTCTCTTGGTCGCTGGCGTCAAGAATATCGTAATCATCATCAGTGAGGAAACCGTCATCCTCAGTTTCGTCCTCATCTTCGTTAGCGCTGAGCACTTCGAGGTCATCACTAATGTCTTCGAATCCCTCGTCGTCGCTAGCAACACTGTCGGCAACCTCAGATGCTTGAGAGGCCTGCTCAGTCTGCTCGTGCACCTTCTTGCTCATACCGGAGCCGTTGAAGGACTGGTAGGTCGAGCTCGTAGGGCTCTCCTTGTCCAATGTCGGGAACACCATGTGGCTACCCTTCAACTCATCTTCTTCATGCTCTGACTCGGGCACCTCAACTTCTGCCCCAGCAGGAGTCTTGGGAAGCTCGGCCGTAACAGGGTCAATGGGCTTTTGGGACTCCTTCGAGACTGTGCTTGATGCAACAGCAGCAGCAGGCATTGCGTTGGTCTGATCCAGGTGTGTCTTCAAGGCGTTCATGCGCTCCTTGTATAGAGCATAATAGCTCTGTGCCTGGGGCGAAGCCTGAACGCTGACAGGAGAGCGGGGCATGGGCACGGCTTCAATGGTACTTGATGGAGCTTGCTTGACATCGATGTCGCACCAAAGCTTGTGACCAAAAGGCATGCCATCGGCAGACTTGAGGCGCCAGTAGCTGATGCACTTTCCTTCACGGGCAGGTGCCTTCATCGTCACGGTGAAGGGCAACTGCTCGCCGGGCAGGACCTCACGACCGATAACGTTGCTTTCACTGGCTTCGGCAACATCGGAAGCGGCTGCGATATGCGTATTATCTATGTTGAGCATGTTGTCGCCACCAACAAAGCGGACACTACATCCAGCAGGCCAAGAGAGAGGTCCGGGGTTACGAAGGGTCCAAGATTGGACGAAACGAGCATTAGGAGCAATGACGGTACCGTCGGGAACACGATCGGCGACGAAGACAGCCTCAGGCAGGCGCAAAGGAGCCTTGGGCAAGGAAGTGGCCACCACTGGCTCAGAGACTGGCGACATCTTCTGCTCAATCTTCTTTTCATCGAGCACCTTCTCCTCAGCTTGGGGCGATGGCTTGATATCAGCGACAGTCTTGACTGGAGCAGTAGCATTAGCTGACTGCCTGCGGCTGAGTGCGACAGGAGTGTTCGAGTTACGAACGGGGTCACGGTCACCAAGCTTGCGGACTCCATGCTTGGTCTCACTCTCTGTCGAGATAGTCAAGTTGTTGACAGGAGTCTTAAACTTGACCAGAGGATGAGTCTTATTGTGGAAAGAAGTAGGCAGAGCTTCGCAGTTCTGGCAGAAGTCGGTGTCGTGGCAGACGACACACTTGTATCGCACACCTTGGATGTAAGACTGATGCGACTTGCCCTTGCAAAGAGGGCCATCGCAATAGATGCCGTGGTGGGAGACAGACGAGGCAGGACGGCCCTTGAACTGCTCATAGATGGCGGCGAAGCGGTGACGAGGATGAGTGTGACGAGCATTCTTGTGGCATTCGCTGCAGTAATCAAAGTCAGGGCAGTCGAAGCACTTGTGGCGCACACCATGGATCATCTTGTCACAACCATCACAGATGGCAGTGTGTCTGAAGTTGCGGCCAGCGGGCAGAAGGGCCTCCTGGGCAAGTGAGAGAGCAGCACCATCGACTGCAGGCTTGAAGTGATGACCGGGGTGATGACCATGTGTGTTAGTGGTGTGGCAGTTCAAGCAGAGGTCGTAGTCATCACACTGAACACACGTGACGAATTCGTGATCGGGAAGCGTCACAACACAGGCGTTGCAGGTGCGGGATGACTCAGACAGGGCATTGACGTCTTCGGTGAAGGCTCCAGGAATCTCCTTGATAGTCTCGGACTTAGGCGGAGAGGCAGGTGCGGATGCAGTGGTAGTCTTGGTCTTAGGAGCAAAGCGTTCCGTGGTACTGCTGACAAGCTTGCCATCTTGAATAGAACGCTTGACCAGCCAATGGCCATCTCCAAGACAGGAAACACCCTGATTGACGCAAGTTTCGCAAAGGTCATAGTCACCGCCGTCACAGGCGCTGCAGTGATAATGGACGTTGGGCATGATCTNTTCGCAAGCATTGCAGAAGATAGTCCATGGTCCTCTAGCGACCTCGACTGGTGCGGCGACACGAAGCGGCAGGACATGTTTGGGGCCCTGAGCAACTGGATTGGCCGTAAAGTCTGGTTTGTCAATAAGTGCAGGGTAGACGTTCATGATATCAGACTTACCGAAGGGACGAGGGACAGGAGCCTCGATGTCGGTCTTCTTCATGGAGCTAAGTGCTTCACGGAACTCGAAGATGCCGGGACCGATAGAGTGTTGGTCGAGTGTAGTAGCACTTCTTGAAGGAGCAACAGAGGAAGAGGGAGCAATGGATGGCTCTGAAGCAGGAGCATCTGCCTTGGAGTGCTCCGAGGGAGCGGAGGCTCTTAGCTTGAGCTTGAGCTTAGCCTTGGCGGCACGGATGAGAGTCTTGAAGACGGCAGGATTGGAGTCGTCGAGGACGACATAGCCGCCTGCCGAGTCAGAGTAGCGCTCGAAGACGACATGTTGGTCAGGGGCGATGCAGAGAAGGTGGCGGAGCTATGGGAGAGTCAGCCAAGATGGACGATTTTCATGTGACGATAAGCTTGATAGTACCTTGATAGGCAGAGTGTTTGCACTCAGATCCTTGAGCGGCAACTTGAGTCTCTTGGTGCAGTCGTCGAATGAGATCTTGATGGTAATGAGAGTGTCCTCGTTGACCGGACCTGTGGACGAAGGCATGTCGAGCGGCGTGTGGATGGCAGCCTAGTGACGTACAACAGCCTCGGCTGGAGGCGGTGGCTCGAGGATGAGTGTGTGGTGGGAGCGATAAGATGTCGAGCTGTAGAAGGGGCGCACGCAGGAACACAGCAAGGCTGTGATAGACAACAGATGAGGGTACGAGGCAGGAGGAAAGAAAGGTCAGCGACGAGGTGCCGTGTAGATGTGGAGGTGAGCGAGTTGTCGTGGGTTGGTTAGTAGACTGACTGTCGGAGCTAACGGCGTTTCCCCGCGCCGTCTTGCGCTTCCGCCTGGCTCCAATCACTGCCTTGCATTCAGGTGCGCCCATCACTGGTGACGTTTCACATGCAATCAATTAACGCGTTGCTTCAATGCTATTAAACTGTTTGTCCCATTCTTCTGATGCGGGCTCGCTACATCTACTATGACTACCTATGGTGACAAAAAAAGGGTATTGGATTGAGAACGAACCGTACGACTATACAGGTTGCAATATTTCTTGATGATGCGGATAAAAAGCTCATTGAGCTTGTGGAGTAGAACATGGGGCCGGTATTTGGATAATAATAAGCCCCCTCTGGACTTGGTGTCATCATGCCACCCATGCCATGGACGGCATAGCTCTGTGGCTGTAGATAACTATCCTGAGATGTGTATTGGGGCATCTGCGTATAGTAGACCATGCCATTACTCTCATGCGCCATGGTTCCCTGTTGAGGATCGCTTGCCATGGACGTTTCAGGAGGTGCGTAGCTTGCTTGCGCTGTGGGTGGGGCATAGGGTGGCATGGCACCGTATTGCGTGGGTTGGCCTGGATAGTAGTATCCAGTGGGAGCGAATGATGAATAGTAGTTGGGTACAGGGGGCTGGAACGGCTGTGCATGAATAGCCCTCTCTGGAATGTTGGAAAGTGGTGTGCCGCCAGGGTACATGTATGCTGATGGGCCGGGCGGGGGAGGTGCCATATCAGAAGAAGCCGACAATGTGCTGATGCTACCTTCTGCAATGTGCTGAGGCAGCTGATTATGGAACGGTTGTTGCTCCTGCTGCTGGGGAGCATGAAGAGCAAGCCCTGCAGGTGACTCAATGCCAGTCATGGAAATGGTTTTCTGTGGGCGAGGTTGATGTACAGTGTCTGGCTCGGCCCAGTGTTCGACGGCCGGCGTCTGGGGTCGAGGATAAGAATGAGGGTACGAACGACTGTAGGCAGACCCGGCAGGCGACGGATTCGACGATCGATGAGACCCAGCTTGAGGCAAGCGTACGAATGGTCGACCAGGCCCGGTAGGTGCTCTAGTAGTGTAAGAGCCGGTAGGAGAAAACGCCGTGTCTCTAGGCACTTCGCGAGCTAATGAGGACCTGCGACTCATGGACATGGCTTGTGAGTACACGCTACCACCATAGAGACTAGGACGTCTGCTTGACGGAGCTCCGTATGCACCAAAACTACCTCTCGCCTTGCCAAACCCTTGTTGGTTAGGCCTCAATGCTCTCGGAATAAAGATGAAAGAACGCTCAGCGGCTGGGAAAACATAGCGCACAGGGTGATCAGGTAAAGATACGCGGACAGGCTTGTCACGACGAAGGGGAGGTCTGTGGTCGGGCAGTCGAGTGTGTGACTTGACTGGCACAGCAGCAAAAGGGATAGCAGCGGTCATGCCAGGTAACCAGACACGGATCTGCACACTGCCAATTTGAGTGGTCTTGGAAAAGTTCAGCGGTTTTTGTTGAACCGCAGGCACGCCTCGAGAGGCGCTTTCTTGGTGGTTGGTGAGGCCTTGTGATGGTCGTTGGCGGGTAGGTGGACCACCCCGTTCATTGATCGTATCGTGAAGATCATGCGTCCATGGCGCATCAGCTGTCCGCTCAGCTGGTTGCACGTAACTGTGATGGGTATTAACACTGTCTATCGACTACGGCAGTTTCACGCAATCATACTTGCTGGGAGCCTGGGGAATGCCTCTCCCTCTTCCTCTGCCACGGCCGTAAGCACCGAAGCCTCGCTGGTCCGATGTACGAGCGTCATGCATGAAGAAGTTGCCTCTGTTGGGAATGAAGGTCGGGTCTGTGTCTCGCTTCTTCCTATAGTCGTCGTGTTCTCGCCTTCGGCGATCTGCTACCGTCTCCCCTCTTCTTGCTGGACCACCTTCGGATGAGACAATGGGTGCGCCGGCAGCGTTGGCCGAAACGTCGGTCGCAACAGATTCTCCAGTGACAGATTCCTGTTTGACATGCTCCTCGCCATTGGTATCCAAAACTGCCTTGTCTGTTCTTGTGCCTTTGGATTTCTTCGAACGTGTACGGCCAGTCTTGCCATCGGATTGAGTCACGGTCGAACTGTGTGGCGCCGGAGCCGTACTCTCATTTTCGCTAGACTCGCTGGCATCGGCGTCCGCATCTAATGCATCGATCGCATTGTCCAGGTCACTGGCTACTGAGGCTTCGCTCTCTGAATCGTCGACACCAGTAACAGATTCTTCATCTTCGTCACCATCGGCTCTCCGGCGTCTATACGCGAGTGTCTTAAGCGATGTACGGGGTGCCATTGATTCCGATTACAGGTCGTTGGCAAGTATCCAACAGGCACTGGCCGAGGGACGTGTATGCGGAACGCGTGTGCTGGCGAAGACGTCCTGTGCAGGATCGAAGGGGCGGAACACTCCGATGATTTTAGATGAACGACAGTTGTTAGACGGCGGACATCCAAGCAGTCGCAGTATTAATAGCTAAGGTCAAAAGAGGGTCAGAGATAGACTGGCTCCTCTGTAGACATACTCGGATGTGTATGTCATTGCTGTCAATTGTACGGGGCAAATGGCCAAAGCTCCTTCCCCGAACACCCATCTTCGACGGCCCGCGGCCAAGCATTTGCATACAGGACGGGCAATCACCTCGACGATCCACTGGAGAGCCTCTCTTCTATATCGAAATTAGGTAGCCTTTGCATTTCAAACAGCTAGTTGAGACCTGTCTATGCGCTTTCATTGCCGAGTTTAGTCAACTCTCCGAGCACAAAGTCTTCCGCATTCACAAGCTCTGTGCTGCCGTACACAATACGTTTCTTGCTCACCGAGCCTGCGGCTCCCTGTCCACTTGTCCTGTTGGCCCAGTCTTGCAAGTTGCCGTACTCATCCATACTGCCACCGCCGACCGTGAAGACAATGGCCTCACTGTAACCCTGTCTTCGCTGACCGAAGCTTGCTTCAATACCTCGCGTCACACTGCTGCCACCAGGGTTTCTAGCCTGAGCTGCTGACGGCGGCATTGTGCCTCTAGCATTTGCGCTGCGAGGATCGAAGTAAAGATACCCTTCTGTCTTCTGGAGTGCGCTCGTACTAGCGTTGGATGGATCCATCAATGATTCCGTGATCTTGGTCAGGGTCAGGTCTTTGTTGGCAGGTAGGAAGTTCTTGACGCCCGAGATCAAGTTTTCAAAATTCGAGCCAATACCAGCCTCCTTAAACTTGTCCGTCAAACCTTTAGAGAGTGAGCTGAATCCACGGAAGAGGTCGTTCGAAGTTGATGATTGAGCAGGCTGGGTAGGCGCGGATGAGATCATGGTCATGCGTGTAATTTCTCGTANCACTAAACAATGTTAGAGACTAGCGTTCGAGAAGAAATCCAAAACTGTTACTTACCGTCTCACATAGGTCAAAGGCGTGGTATCAACCCCAGTATTGCGCAAAGCCTCTTCAAACTTGTCCATGTCTGCCCGAGATACGTCCTGCTCGGTGCTCAAGAACCAGATGATGAAGATTCGGAGTTTATCCAAAGGTTCTTTGCCTTTGTCAGAGTCCGTAATCAACTCTAGCATCTGTGCCTTGGTCTGCTTCTTGATGTCTTCCTCTAGCTGGAAGAAGTTATCTAATTGTCTTTCTTTGATGCCCTTCAAAAGTGCCGTAGCGATGTTCATGTGCATGTCAAGAATATTCTTGCGTTCGCGCAGTTCAGGCAACAAAGTGATAGCTGCCTTCAGATGCTGAGCCGAAGTTGAAGTGTCGTTTTGCAGGTCCTCAATCGAAGAAGCACCAGTTTTCTTGGTGATCTCGTTAGCGTCTTCCTTGTAGCGAGTCAATTCGGTGTCGATGTCTTCGGCGACTTGCGGGAACGGAACTCCCGCATTCCTGGTCCAGAAGAAGTCGTTCGTGTTCAGATCGTATGATCGTTTCGTCGCAGGCTTGGTCGCATCCGCATCATCTCCTGGTAGCTCAACTGTTATGCGGTTGAGATGCATCTTGAGCACGTCGTGCACCAAAGATTGGTATGTCCAGGAGTGTGATAGCATGGGAACGAGGTCAAGGTTTCTGTCGACGATGATCAGGATAGGCCGTGAAGCTGGTATGGCAGCTGCGGTGTTGTTGCGAGCATTAGCGCCGGAGAAGAGATTGTCTTTTGCATTCAGAATGTGATCGCGCAGTTTACGGTCAAGCTTGGCTGCAATCATCTCGGCTGCGCCGCCTTTTGGACATCTAATGATGGGAATAGAGCCNNTAGGTTGGTCAGCATGAGGGTCGCAAGAGCATTTGCTCAACTCACCCATAGTCACGGCTACACTGAACAAACCACTAACGATACGATCGACTTTTGTATCAATCTCCTCGTCGCTAGTTTGCGCACTGTTCATGGTGTAATAGACATCCTTGCCCATGCCCAGACTGAACAAGTTGGGTTCGCTAACAACGAAGTTCAGGTATTGGTCGTAGACTTGCTCGATGCTTTCCGATGTTCCTCCTGACGCGATTTGTGCCGCAAAGTCCTCCAAAACAGGTCTTGATATTGACGAGAGNNGGAAGTTGACGTAGGCAGAGGAATAGAGGCCGTTCGCGAGATCGGAAGCGATTATGTTCAGGTTCTCAGGGGTAGGTTCGACGAGGTAAAGGGCGGGAACGTCGGGAATGGGATGACGCTTTGAGGTAATGGGNNTCTGACACGTTGCTGTCAGCAGCAGCTCTGTAGCAAGACTCAGCATGCGCAGAGGCCTGAGAAGTAGGCAGCTGAATTCATCGACGTACAGATGTATAGTGACTCCCCAGGAGCGCAAGTCCGAGACGCGAAGGACGCTGCTGATCATATCTCTTCCCAGGTTGTCAAAGACAAGTACCTTCCAGATGGGTTCGCCGTCGGCATTGAGGATAGGCGTGGCTTTGGTGACGAGACCGTTGGCAAGGGTAGCATCATGCTGTGTATCTGCGCTTTCGGGAGAGGCGTGGTTGAGGTTCAGGACTTTCTCAATGGACGNCTGGAGAGGTGAGCACATGGACCCGTGTCGAGCACGAGAGTTTCACCTACCGATTTGGCGGTCGCGAAGGGAGTTGTGCTGGGATGCCATGTTGATCGGGTCGCCAGGTCTTTCTGCCAGACCAGAGGGGTCTAATGCATACAAAGCTCGTCAGACGTATGTTGCGTGAGCGGCGGGAGTGGTGAGACAAGTAGAGAAAGAGGTATGTCCCGATCACTAGACAGACAAGAAGCTTCAATAAGTTAACACGTTCATAGCATCGTCTCCCCACATGAATGAAGATGGTTCCAGATCCACAAGCCAGAGCGTCATGAGAGCCAGGCGGTGACAGCCGCTCTCTGCCAAGCCCACTCTGCGACTTTCCAACAAGATTGCCCTTCTCCCTTCCCCGTCTGCCATCTTCTCCTCCACACCTCACAACACCGCTTCATCACCCATCCTTCTGTGTAATTGATCTTCCCTTGGCTCCATTGCCATCACTAATGCAAGGCGCTTGAACGCCCGTCTGTAAAGTTTGTCATTTGTGGTCTAATAAGTGACGGACGATCAAGTCGGAGGGATCTGAGCAGAATAAGCGCTCGCTCTCCTTACGAGTGCGCAAGGTCTTTTGCGACGGTGACTGCGCCCGCTAGCCTACTACTTGCTTACGGTGAAAGACAAGCCCGTTCTGGCTCTGGTCAGTGGTGCTTATCATCAATAATTTTCCTGAACTGCGCAAGCCGCCAGGGACTCTGCTTTGCGGCCTTCTGTTGCCACATCGAGCCTTGGTCGCGTTCTTGTGCTGCAGCGCGGAGCGACGTTGATTTGCACATCCAGCTAAGGGCTGCCTGTCCACATACTAGCATACCAGCAGCGCTCTTGTCCGAGGCATTTGCGCGTGCGCTGTTCGCATCAGCTCGGAGAAGCATCGACATCCATACACTTTCTCGCTTCTTTACACAAGCTTCTACACAGTCGCCAGCGCTTCTACATCGCCCCGACAAGACATTCCCACTTGATTTGAGCCGCCGTCTCACGTAATCTCAAGCCATAAGGCAGATTGTCGTCGTTTGTGATTGGTTCTGTCGGCCTCGCACATACCGCTTAAAGAACAGTGCTCGACTTGACGTTGAGAACGGTATCGTTGTTGAGAACACACCTGCTGCTTCGCAACCATGGACGGCCACCACCACATGCCGCCGCATGGCCATGGGTCTTCATCGTATCAGAATGGCTATAACCAAGTCAATGAATTTGGCAACATTCTTTCAAATGGCGGAGATAATGATAACTTCCCCAACTGGGACTACGATGCTACCTCTCATATGACAAACCCAAATGCTCAANNTCAGAGCCATACTTGTCTTGGCAATCGAATACCGGCATCAATAACTACAATCCTCATGCCTTTACCAAGAGCCCATCAAACCTTCAGACGACTCCCTTTGCTGGCTACAGCAATCCACATCAATACTCATACTCTACATATGATCCCNTCGTTGGTGCCTGGTGCCACAAATGGATCTGCTCATGAAATTGGTCCGTCTCCATATGACCAACCGCAACAGATACATGGCACCATTGCTCCGCAAGCTCTGGAGCACGAGCGTGCTCATCCTGTTCGGCCAAATCAGGCTTTGGATTCGTCATACTCTCGCCCGCCCACTACGGATCCTCCCAGCTATACCAGAGTTATCCCTCCAGCACCTACCGCGGACCAGGCAGCACTGCATAACGCCATTCCAGCCGGTACTCGTACTGGAAATTTTTGGGTGAAGGATATCGGTCGACTGAGCGAAGCAACCAATTCTGCCCAGGTGAATTCGTTTACTCTCGTCGGCAACACCGAGTTTGAGCTCCCCATCAACAGAGGTTAGTGTACCTAGATCTGGCTACTTCTTTACGATCATACTAACAACACATANGCCACCGTTGCACCTGTGGCACGCAGAAAGTCCAGAGCTGAGCTTCGTCGTCTTGCTGGTAACGATTCTAAGCTTCAAGGTTAGTCATCTGAATGATGCAACCACTACAACAGCTAACAATGCCTAGAAAAACTGAGAAAGAAGGAAAGAAAGCCTCCTGCATTGCCTGCAGGTTCGGTGTCGGTCGGCCGATCGCAACCTGTGAAGCAGGAGCACTCAGATTCTGAGTCGGAGTCATCAGATTATGATTCAGATGAAGATTCTGATGAGGAGCCCGAGGTCTCTCCTCTACCTGCACAGAGACCCGATGATCCTCGCGAAGGCGTCAGATATGACACTATCAAGGCTCTTTGGGAGAGTCGTCATACTGGTGTTGTTGCTGACAGGATTAGAACTGGCATGGTAGAATTCAATGAAGTTTTGCAAACCGTGAAGAATCGATGGAAGGCTGATTCCGTTGCTCTGACCGATGCAATTGATCGCAAGAGGAACAGTGAACTGCCTCTTCTGAGGAGCAGGGTCAATGATCAACTTGAAATGTTGAACGTCGTATTGCAAACCGCAATCGATCATGGAAACAGGGATATCATGGCACAGTAAGCACCTCTGCATGCAAAACAGTCTGGTTGCCTGCTAACGAGAATTTTAGANCTTGGCCAGCATGCTCAGATCATGGCCTCTTTCGCACAGTTCTTGATCGATCGAATCAAGAAAAACGACTACGACGGATCTCTTACGCGCCTAATTCTCGAGGTACGCATATGTTGCCATCTTTTGGTGTATCCTGCTAATATCCCTCAGGTACTCGTGCGCTGCGACACGTTCCCCGCAAGAACTTACGACGTGACCAAGTTGGGCAAGTGTATCAGTAATCTAAGCAAGAACGGCAACAAGGAAACCCATGATATCTGTGAGCGTATAAAGGGCAACGTCACAGGCGGCGCCGAGGGTCAAGCGAGCACCGAACAGCAGTCAAGCGTTAAATCACCTCCAAGCAACCGACCTACCCCCGAGCCTATTGCTGGTGTCAAGCGTGCTGCTCCCGGCAGTGCATCTTCTGACCAGGCTTCGAAGAGAGTACTTGTAACACCCACGACCGGCAATGCAGCTGCTAAGACATCCATGCTCAAGCGTGCGCTTCCCGTTGGCAGCAACCCGAAGCCTACCGCTGCTGTTGCTGCTGCTGCCGCAAAGCCTGTCATCAGTGCTACTGTCAAAGCGAAACCTGTTGTCACCAAGTCAGTCACCTCTGCCTCTACGGGCGCAGGTGTCAAGAAGGCAATAACCAAGACTGCGACACCGTCTGTGGTGGCCGCTGCTATGTACGTCTAAGCACCGTCGACTCAACATCCAAGCTGACTTATTTTCAATAGCAAATCGATCGAGAAGAAGGCAGCTCCTGCAGCTCCAGCCAAACCTGCTTTCTCCTTTGCGGAAACAATGGCAAATTTGAACAAAAGCAAGGAAAAGGAACCCAGTCCCCTTAANGACTGAGGGAGAAACAGGCGCCCGAGACGCAAGAGGAGAAGGCAAAACGCCTGCGTAAAGAGGGAAAGACGCAAACTTCGCGTTACTTTCAAGCCTGACAGTCAGCTTGTCGAAACCCGAATCTTCCATCACGACGCCGAGGAGGAACTTGGCCATGATGCGAGCATGATTCGCGATGTCAGCGATGTTGGTGGTGAAGGCCGCATGTTCAAGCAGCACAAGGACATGATGGATATCGATGAGGATGACGATACTGCTACGGGCGAGGAAAATCTTGGAGAATATGTCACCCCAACTTGTAAGTTGACTAAAGTGAACGTGACCAATTTGATCAAGCAACTAACTCTCTCAGTGACCGATTTCAGTTCGGTTGATGTCGAGGAGCGGAAGAGAAACTACAGTCGCTACGCTGGCGGCGAGCTCCAGCCAGAGTCTGCAGAGCGTGTTAAGCGCGAGCAGTACGAGGCTAGTACCTTGATGGTCTTCTACACAGACCCGAGTGATATTCCACCTAGCCCGCGCGAGCCAGCAGAGCCTTACAATGGCGAAGAGGTCAACACAAAGGCGTTCGGCGCTGTGGGCACTCAAGAGCCGCTTGCTGTATGTATTCCTATTCACTCTTCATACACGNNACCGTCACTAACACTGTCCAGACGAGGATTGCAAAGCTTGCTGGACCCGTTCAACCTGCACAGACTCAACAATCAAGCGCTGCCCCTGATATCTCTGCGATCTTGGCTCTGATCAACCCACAAGGTCAAGCTCCTTCCCAGCCCACCCAGCCCGCCCAGCCTGTTTCAGCTCCTACGTCGATGTCAGCACCAAGCCAAAACCAAGACCAAATGGCCGAAATTCAACGTATTCTGGCATCCATACCACAAGCGCCATCTCAGNCAGCAACAATCTCAGCCTATGCATGTTCAGCAACCAGTTCAGCAGCCCGCGCAGCCTAACATGGCTCCGGATCTCGCTGGCATCTTTGCCAATTTGAACCCTCAAGCCCAGGCACCAAATATGTTCAACCCTGCACAGCAGCAGCCTGTTATGGATCCATCTCCCGCTGCGTTTGCAGCCCTGTTCTCACAGCTCAACCCAGGCCAGAATGGTGGACCAGGTGCTAACTTCAACCAATTCCCATTCCCTGGATTCCCTATGCCCAACATGGGCCAATTTCCGGGACAGCAGCAGAATCAGCAACCTCCATTCGAGAACGAAGAGCGTCGTCGCTGGCGCGAAGGCGGTGGCGATAACAACAACAACGATCACATGCGCCGTGGTAAGCCTGGNAAGAAAGTAAGCACCTTCACCGACAAGCGCTTCACGGTGCCATGCAAGTACTTCAAAAAGGGACAGTGCCAGAAAGGAGACACTTGCACATATCGACATGAATATTGATGACGAACGGTGCAGCATACACTTTTTCGATCAAAGGACTTCCTTTGTTATTCCGCATTGCATGAGCATGGTTTTTGCTTGCATGGATTGGCGTCATTCATCTGTGGTTTCAACTATTCAAGAGGCGTTATCAGACCTGCATCTACACACTGGAGTCTGGGAGGGTAGACATCGTCATTTCAATTGAGAGAACCTGTAGTAATAGCTATCTAGTCGCTAATCATGCATGCATTGCAGAAACGAGCACCAAAGACAAGTGGTGTTGTTTCATCATCTGACTGACCGTTCCAAATATGCACTTGTGACGCTGAAGATAAGGACTGCAACGAGTCAATCACCCAATCACCGTTCATGGAGCCCTAGTACACAAATCTTGCTTGCTGTCCAACGCTACGTGCGTTAGGGAGTGCTGCCGTCGTTGGCGAAGCATCCGCCTTTTATGACGTAGCCCAAAACACCAACGAGCAGGCAACCACGCGCGTGTCTGGTGTAGATAGCGATTTTGAATGCCCCTGAGGACGTTCACAGGGTTGTCAAATAGGCACATGAATCAAAGCTCATCTACAAGATACGCATGGTGACGACGCGCGATGTCGGGTTGTGGCAGAAGGGAGGCAAGGACCGTGCCGGAATGGACACCCCACATCCTCAGGTCTCCTTCCTGTTCTGTCTGTGGGCTGGCAAGCTTGACTATTGAATACTTGGACAGCTTCTACACCGTGTACTCTATCGAATAATTCCAGGCTCTCTGTTCTGCCATTGAACCATAGTGTTGGGTGGAGGAAGGCGTGCTTTCCCAGAGAAGACACGACAAGCTTCCCAAGCAACAGGCAGCCGCAGGGGCAATCAATGACTCTGAAAGCTTGTCTCGTGCAAATCAAGCACTGCCCAATCGCCGTTACCTGTTTGGATCGGCAACCGCGTGAACATGCAGCTCCCAAACAAGTGGAGCATCGTGGAAACAGGATGGTGGCTTCCTTGGTCATCTGCTCGGTGAACGCAAACATGATCGATTGCATTTAAGTCTGCCATCAACCTGCACCATCACTTCAACATCAACCTTTCTCATCCTATCCATCGAATTCATACCAAAGTAACTACAAATCATCATGGCATCCAACATCAAGCACAATCTCTCCCGTGTCAAGCTCATTCACAACCCTAACTACCAGCGCTCTGGTATCAAATCCTACGTCTACCTGCTCAGAAAGTACAACTTCATTCCCACTCTTGATGGACCTTACTTCGTCGGCAATGTTGTCGAGCAACTCGGCAAGCCCATTCTGGCCAGCAAGTTCGCTACTCACATTGGCGGCAAGGCTCGTGTCAAACAGCACATTCTGATGAAGAAGAACGCCAGCACTGGTCATCAAGGCCAAGTCTCGGCCGAAGACCAGCAGAACGACTCTGAGTACCTCTGTCAAGTCTCTATCGGTACCCCTGCTCAGACACTGACCCTTGACTTTGACACTGGCTCATCTGACCTCTGGTAAGTTTTACCATAATCGTTCCACAGTTATCATGAGGTACTAACCGATCAGNNGGTCTGGTCTACCAATCTCGATCAGAGCATCCAATCTCAAGGCACTCAGGCTGGACACACCATCTTTGACCCATCCAAGAGCAGCACCTGGCAGGACTCTCAGGGCAGCACTTGGCAAATCTCGTACGGAGACCAGTCTTCGGCAAGCGGTACTGTCGGTACTGATGTTGTCACCGTCGGCGGTCTCGCAATTCAGAACCAGGCTGTCGAGGTCGCTAACCAGATCTCTGCTCAATTCGTTCAAAGCGCTGGTGATGGTCTTCTGGGCCTGGCTTGGGGCTCCATCAACACAGTCCAGCCTACGCCTGTCAATACTCCCGTCGAGAACATGATAAGCCAGCAAGATATGTGCGTATTTTGTTGCTACTACGGTATGAACTCTGCTGACACTCTTTGCAGTCCCCAGGACGCTGAGTTGTTCACTGCCTACCTCTCTGGCAACAAGAGCGGTCAAGACAGCTTCTACACATTCGGTTACATCGACACTTCTGTCACTAGCGGCCAGACCATCAACTGGACTCCCGTCGACAACTCTCAAGGCTTCTGGCAGATCTCGTCCACTTCCGCTCACGTCAATGGCAAGCAGATCCACCGCAACAACAACAGTGCCATCATGGACACTGGCACTACTTTGTGCCTGGTCGACGACTCTTTCGCCAAGGCCGTGTACGCTGCCATTCCTGGATCCAAGTACGACTCAAGCCAACAAGGCTATGTCTTCCCGACCAACACTGCTGCTTCCGCTCTTCCTGTTGTCACTGTTGCCATCGGTGATCACCAATTCACCATCAACAAGGATGCTCTCGGCTTTGCTGATGCTGGAAACGGCATGACCTATGGCGGTATTCAAAGCCGTGGCAACATGACTTTCGATATCTTTGGTGATGTGGCGCTCCGTGGCATCTACGCGATCTTTGATCAAGGCAACCAGAGATTCGGAGCTGTTCAGCGTTCCGAGACCTCGTCTGCCTCCAACTCCTGAAGCTTTGCTGCGGCAACTCCCTTTCTAAACGTTGGGAAGGAGCGACTATTAGCTAGTGATGACCTATAACGATTGTACCTGAAATCAAGAACCTGAGTTTACCTTCAAGTCCACGTCTAAGAAGATCATCTTGTTTGATACGTTGCACCTTCCTGTTATGGTTGGCTTTGTGTGTGCTTCATACAAAGACTGTGTAACCTTGACAGGCCAGAAGCTGAGCATGAGGAACTGAAGAAAACCTGTACAAATTTATCGTGGCGTGAAGGAACAAAGACATGTATGAAGGTTGAAGTGAAGGCACGCGCAAGACTTCACTTTGCTGTCGTGCCTTCCGTCTACAACCAGGCAGGCACGATTCAGCTCATTCACTTACCAACTTTTCCAATACCACTGATCTACGCTCACATACACGAACGCCACCAAGCAAGCTTTCGCAAGATTTCAATATCACCAGGAATCTTACAATGTCTTGGTTAGAGCCCCTCAAGCTGGCCATCAAGCTCTACAACGATGGCGACAACGAGGCTTGTGTTGCACAGGTCAACAGCATAATGACAGACACGCTGCCTCTCTACCCACGCATACGCTGTCACATTCTTCTAGGTCATGCACTCGACAACTGGTACGAAGCTGAGGTATGTAGGACTTATTCACTTACGACTGTAGATAATCTGACTGATTACCATCCAGGCAGAGCGCTTTCATGCCGAGAACAACTTCGGCCACTGGCGCCTCTACCGACGTTCTAGAGACACCGCTGAGACTGAAAGAAAGTCTAGGGAGCTTCGTCGACTTCTCGATGACCTTGGTGAAGAGTTGAGATCTTGGAGACCGGATGACTGGTATGAGCATCAATGCTTTTGGACCGAAGCCGACGCACAAGCCCGGGACGCTGCTATCACCAAAGCTATTGAGGAGTGGAATGCTAAACGTGCCGAAGGTGAAGAAGAGGAAGGAGCTGAAGAGGCTGAGGACGAGGCAATGGAAGTTGGTGAACAATGTGAGGGTGAACACGAGGAAGCCGCCGAAAAGAAGGCAGCTGACGAGGAGAGAACTGGCGAGGAGAATAGAGCTGCTGGCGATGCGGCTGAGGCTGAACATCCTCGCAATTCTGATCAGAACCCGTTTTCTGGCTCTACTGGCGATGATCTCGCAGGCCGTGTAGGTGCTATCGAGGAGCACATCGCCGGCATCAACGACACTCTTCAAAAGCTCGACCAAACTCTGGATAACATGGGCGGAACCATCGACAGAGGCTTTTCAGATATCTGTGAGGAATTAAGGGGTTTTCGTGACGAAATCTCGCGAATGTCCNNTGAGAACAGCGTCTCCTCCTGCAGCCAACCTGACGCTTCTCCTTCGTCAAACGTCCAAGTCACCACTCGAACAAACTTCGACAAGCAAGCACCTTTCAACCCAGTCCCTTCTGGTCACCCGGCATACCTCTTTATCGCTGTGTCAGGTACAGGTTCTTCACGCCAATTTGGCTACCCAACTATTGGCTGTGAGGGTGGCAGCTTCGTCACCGTCACAGGCTCGGAGCTGGCCAGATTCGACGACGAAGGTAGAGTGTTCAATATAACACCTCGAGATTCTTTCATCGGTAACTTCTTGGACAATGTCGATGAGTGAAGGAAATGGGTTTGGTACAGCATACACAGCATTGTGTTAGCATAGCATCGGCGTTAGGTACATCATGAGCACTTCTTGTGCAGAAATCATCGTCTGCTCTATGCATCATCAACTATTTGACGTGAGCTGTAAGTTGGATAATGGTGAGAGCGCCACGAGACAATTTTGTCGAAGGTTTCTAGAATCAGTCGCCAGAGCCATGAAAGAGTGCTTTTTTTTTTTGAAATGACAAGGTCTTGAACGTTCGAAGTCTGCGGTCAAGAAGAAAGAGGCTGCCCGTACCGAAGAACAAGTCTAAATACCTTCGTACCACTTATCACGTGCATGGTATAAAGATTTGGGTAGCGTACCGGTGATTATAGAAGGTATTTATCGAATTGTTGAGAAGGCTCGCTTTGTGGTGATCGTATATATAGGCGTAGACAGTATTGGAAAGTTCGATAAGTCAAGGTGCTGAATTGCATTTGCCATGAAAACAGACGCAAGGCACAAGGACAAAGTGTAGTCTGGACGTCCACTCCATCCTTCTTACATGTCTTTGTTCTTTGCATGACGATACATTCCATTCGTACAGCTTGTCCTCGGTCTTCCATACTCGGCTTTTCACCTGTCCAGATTACAGAATTCTTACATTCGTTGTAGAGCACAAGATACCACTCTTGTTGCCCAACCTCGTGTGACATAAGATTGTAATAGAATAACTGTAGGAATGCACAACACTGTCGAAAACATAGCATATTCCATTGAGAGTCCAGATTTCTTCGGCTCTCTCTGGATGTAGCTTGACTTCGGAGTATACTGTGCATTTCGGCAGCTTACATTTGTTCTGTGATGCAACAAGGAGAGAGAGCTATCGAATGAAAAACACATATGTCGGCAAGGTGATCGCAAAAGCTCACAGATGGAGATACTAGATCATTTTTCAGACAGAGCAATAACCAACGAGAGCCGATGACACATTTGGCTCTCTCTCTAAACGTGCTTGCTTTCTGCAAATCATTGTGTATTTTAACATGCAAAAGCACTGATGTCAGTTTGGGCATACCTACCGTCAGATCACTGGACATGATCTATGGCGAGAGGGTCAAGTATGCACATCAAGCTGCACAGAGAAAGTCGTCACACGAATTGAGGTATTCATGTGAAGAGTGGTGGGTTGTGATAGGAAATCTCCATAGTGGCAACCCTGACTTGGCCATAGTCTTATTACCACTCCTACTTACCATACCGTTGCGTATATCCTCAGCAACTCCCTTATCTCAAGACCCCTCTCTGTCTCCCAGCCACTGACAAAACTCTCATCCAGCCACCTACCGAACAAATCCAACGCGAGCAACGCCCGTCAATGAAGTTCCATGGAATGATGGAACCGTTGAACCCAAGAAGCCGCTGAGAACAACGTCCAAAACGAAGAACACTCGACCCTGCTGACCCCAGCCACCCGCCATATCCGATCACGAAAGAGGAAAATGGGCTCGAAAGGGTCTCAATGGTCTAGAATCCAAATTCACGAATACGAGAGGTGATTAGTAGTCAGATTTCGTGACATGGTCAGACAATGAGGTAAACAAGATGTTGAAGATAGGAAGAAATTAGATAGATCTCTGGTATATAACTCTTTGATGAAACGACAGTCTATAGGGTTATTGCAAAACACAACGCCGCCGCTTGTATGGTAGGCCAGTCAAAATAACAAGAAAAGAAAATAGTGTGTAGATGACAAGGAGAGCATCGCGTGCCGTCGTAATCGAAGGAAAAGAAAGAATATGAGAAAGTGAAGGAAACCCTCTACCATGTGAAGAGCATGAGGTTGGGGTTAAGAACAATTGGTAGTGCGAAATGGCTGACCACGACAGTGGCGAGCGGCCAGATGGCGAAGAACTGTGTGATCTGCCAGTTCCAGGGCAATGCGACGGCGCAGACAACCATACCAGCAGCCATGAGAATGCAGAAGATGAAGGTGTACTTGAAGTTCTTGATGACCTTTCCGACTTCTTCGAAGAAGGTGGTGTTCTCGGCTTCCTTGCTAGTGGCACCCCAGTTCATCTCGATACCGAACATGTGCGACAAGAGAGCTTGCGACAAATGCAGGGAGAGACCACCAAGGAAAACGGTCATCATAGGGACCCACATGAAGTTGGTAATGAGAGCGCGTATCAGACTCTGCTCGTCGGTACGGTAGCGGAGAACAGCAAGGGCGACGTTACCAAGACCGGTAAAAACGACGATGATAGCAAGATAAACCTGGAATGAATCGAGGTAGTACTTGTCTTGGTATGAGTTGTACCAGCCGAGGAGGAAATAGTTGAGAATAGTCAAAAGCCAGGCGCTACCAATGGCGTAGTAAGTACCGATGTAAGCCATAATGGTGAACTTAGAAGGAAGGGGCATAGCAGAGCAGATGAAGTTGCGGAAGAGCTTAGTGAAAGGACCACGAGTAGGCCAGTAGCGGATAGGATGGAACAGGAGCTCGTTGCAACCGTAGGCGTATTTCTCCCAACGAGCAAGTTCGTCGTAGACAGTAAGCGAGACACCTTCCTTGAAACCATCGCCAGTGTAACCACCAAGACGGACCACGTAACCATCGTTTTGAAGACGAAGGGCCATGTCGAAATCTTCAGAGACAGTCTCCTCGGACCAGTACTTCTCGCGGTTGTCATCAGCGCAGTCGTAGGCGATGTTTTGGACCGAGGACCATCTGAGGATAGCGTTGTGACCGACGAAAGGAGCAACGTCTCCACTGGCAACAGCGTACTTGATTTGAGTGTAGATGAGGTTGGTGAAGAAAGTGATGCCCTTCTCGAAGAAGCTATCGGTAACGTTCATGACACCTGAAGCGTACTGGAGAATGGCGACCTGAGGAGATTGGTGCATTTCACTGGCGGCGTCGAGCAAGCAGTCGGTAGGGACACGAGTATCGGAATCAATCAGAAGGATATAATCACCAAGACGGACGTTACCATCTGCCCAAGTGCGGCCTTCGTCTTCCTCAACAACCTCGTTGAGTGCCTTGACATAGATTTCGGCCTCGTCCTCATTGGTCCAGTTGGCGTGCTTGGGGGTTGCGTTCATCTTCTCTTCGATACGGTTGCTGACCCAGAGTGCGTAGTTCATGTTTGAAGCCTTCTTGAACTTTCCGCGACGAACAAAGGGATCACCGTGCTCACCCTTGGGGTCGTGGCGAGGACGAGCGACCCATCCGATGTTGTGCTCATCGTAGAAGTCCTGGCGGGCGCGTGCCTCCTCCTCAGAGATCAATTGCATACCGTCGTCGTTGACGAAAATGTTGGCGGTTCCGCCTTGCATCTCGTAAGTTGAGATAGCAGCCTTGATCGAGTGTACAGTGGGCTCAATAACACCAATAAGACCTTCCTTGTAAACTGGACACTGGATGGTAATGTGAGGGAGGGTGACAAGGTCGGCGTTGAGGCGTTTGGGGGCGACACCCGAGTAGAATTTGGTGTTGGACGTCAGTTGAGAGATGGGACCGAACAGTTGAGCGATGTTTCCGACAAGAGCCTGGAAGAAGAAGAGCGAGACCCAGAACTGAGGTAGGTAACAGAGAACAAAGGCTATACGGAGATAGCCACCATCGTAGCCAATCTCGATAGCAACTTTACGCCAACCCAAGGCCAGGACGACGATAATTAGACAGAGAGTCAATGCGTTACAGATCGCCTGGGTGAGAACGATGCGACGAGGTTTCTCGTATGCACCTGCCTCTTCGCTGTCGGCACCAATCTCGTCGATGTTGATCTCGGCGGTCTTCTCCTTCTCTGATACATCCTCTTCTTCTTCTCCCTCTTGGCCCCAGACCATCTTCATGAGTGCTTGCTCAATGTCTGCGGCACGCTTGATGAGATGTCTCGGGTCATCGTCCCAGACAACGAGGATTCCGCGGTCGGCGATGAAGGCAGCGAACTGATGCTTGGCGCATCGTGGCAAGTAGGACATGTCGGGAAGAACCTGGAGACGGAGGCCACTCTTGAGGGGNNGAATGAATGCACGGTCGTTGCCGTGGAGGAACAGCTTGATAACGCGGGTGTTGACGGTCATGGCACNTCTGCACACACAGTTAGGGGAGTCCACAGAATTGAGAGGATGCATTTTACTCACTCTAACGTTAAGAGTCTCAACAGCCTTGAAGAAGCCGAAAGGCTCGCTCTCGAGATCTGAAGGGCAGCATGCGTACTTGCCTCTTGACTTCTTGAGCAGAATACCCTCGTCGTGACCACCAGCAGTCCAGAGCAATTCCATCTGGTTTTGGTACAGGTTGTTGACCATCATGTCGCACTTGATGTCGAGAATCTCCTCCTTTGCATGGTTGCGGAAATCGCCCTCGGGGAACATAGATGCTGGCCTTGATCCGAGAGGTGTCGCTGCGCCAGACACTGCCCCTGAAGGAGCCAGATGGTGAGGTGTTGATGTGCCATGGGCCGGAGCCTTCTCGTTGAGTTCGGTGCTCTTCTCATCGCTCTTCTTGTCGGTCTTGCGACCAGGAGCAAGATATGATTTCAAACCCATTATGTCAGAATTGATATGGTGTTTGAAGGTATAAATAATGCTGGCTATAGCCAAGCTTCTCGATTAAATGCCAGTAGATTGGATTCCGAGTCGAATGTTTCGATAAACTTCTCGTCCTTGGTATCAAGATGTTGTGAGGCTTGGACTGATGTAATGTCACAAGCTTGTAACGAGAGGATGAGGATCAGCAAAGACCTCTGTATGTCGTGATGAGATGGAGTGATTGTGTTTTAGTTGGAAGGAAAAAGAAGAGCGGAAGAAAGGCGTGGTCGAGGAAGGCAGCACCACGACTAAGAAGTAGTCCGAGACAGCAGCGCCAACAGATTGGATTTGATAGTGTAGACAGCCAGCAGCTGCTGAGGCCAAGCCAGACATGGCCGAGCCAGAACCTCCCAAAACGGGTTTGATCCAGCACGGTCGACCATAGCGTGGAAAACTTTGTCCTATTTTGGCGGCCGAGGCGACGCTAACGGCCATGCACATCGGTTGCCTGTCTTAACCTTATCACCTGTGGTGCGTACCTGACATCGGCAATGGTCCGGTGAGAAATGGGCGAGAGTCTCTGCCGCTCAACTGCTTTCTTGACACTCTAGCAGCGTCCTCTGTGCCGCAACGGCCGAGGCTCTCCACGTCGAGCTGATTACAAGCCATGCGTTGATCATTGATTCAAATCTTGCTGATCTCTGAGATTTCAGTGCGGAGGTATAACGACATCGACCGTGTGTGGCTGACTATTTCGAATTGACGGAAAGACCGAAGCAAAGGCACACTCGTGCGGGTTCGTGGTCTCACCACACAGCTGCTCTCCGACATGCGATGGAATGTGGAAATTCGTCATTTTGCAGGGGTTCTCAGATGAATGTCTGCATGGCAGAAGCCTTTAGCGAACCATTTGCTCAACGGAAATCGCAGCCAGCTAAACCAGCGTGCGGATGGCGCCTCACGCGATGGCACATGCAGCCCGAAACTTGATTGCAAGCGCGCATCGCGAAGCTTTGTTGTTCCCGTCGCTAAACACAAACGCTTTTCCTTCTGCGTTCTTCGCCACGTCGAAGAACATTAGAATGCTAGACCGCGTGCGAGCCCTCAGGTGTCGATTGTCATGACGAGACTGGTCTCGTCAATGTCTCAGACGTGTTTTCCTTCAGCTGCTAGGTGTTCTCCGGTGCAGCCGTGCCCTTGGCGTTCGCTCATAACGGCCCGGCCGATCGTCTATACAGAGGGCTGGGTCCGTTGAAAATCCCGTAAAGCAGATTTATCAAAGATCTTGCTTGACGGGTGAGGTTACTCGACGATATCTGTTGATTCCGTTCTGCCTACCGGATTCAATCGCGATGAGAGGTCCGCGTTATGGGTACTGCGATACTTATGCAGGTCCAAGGAACCTGCTTTTAGTTTCGACGGCTGGCACCCAAAAATACACTAAACGCAGCCAAGGTTCAATGGCTATTTTGAGTTGCATCCCATAGTCTGTCTGCATGATGCCGTGGCGGGCTTCCTCACCATTATCATTCCTCCTCACGATTTTGAGCCTGTCCGCCGTTCGGCTTCGACGTTTTGATAAGAACACGATCAGTATCCAACTGTTGTATGCGAACGCATTCATGGATATCTCGTTCCATGCTGTATAGAGAGGCTGGGAATCCGCATCTTTCACCTCGAACGACCCCAGAATACCCACCACCACAAGTTTTGTAATTGTAGCCACGCGATGATCGCGCGGGTTCTGTGCTTTGCGCGCTCTTTCGGCTCGTGCCTCTCGTTGATCTTCTTGCATCAATGAACCATCGCGTATCACGATTATTCCCACACAATTGGGTTTATTGAAACACATTGATAGCAACAAGAGACATATGGAGATACATACTCGATAAACCAGAAAAAAAGTGCATGATAGCGTGAGAGACTCCACTCCACTTGAGCTAGCTATTGATGCACACGGTCCCCCTTTTCGTGTGCATGGATGCTCGTGCATCGCGATGAGGAAGAAAAAGTAGGACAGCTGAAAAAGCACAGGAGTAGCTGAGCAATAATTACGGCCGTCTCCAGTTGGAAATCTTGCAATATTGCTTTGCGTTCAGCCCGCTTTCGGTTGAGTCATGGTCCATGAGATTTCGGTTGTCAAGGGACAGGTTGAGACGAGTCTTAACCTCAGCCATTTTCTTGCCTCGCTCACATCCGCTCCCGTCGCCCGTGTTGAAGGTAAAAGCTATTTACGCTTTGCGGCTTTCCCGTGCTGCAGTTTATTGAGCTGAGGGCTGCTGTCTAGTTCAGTGTTGTCAAACTCTCTGTGCGCCGCGAGCTGAACAGCTTGTATCATGGCTGTGGAGATTGCTGGTCGAACATGGCGTGGCTGAGGCAGACATGAAGGCTTGACAGATGGTCTTTCGATCAGGGGCAGAGTTATAATTGTCATGAAGCGTCGCTGCTCTCGAAAAAATGTCGAACAGCACAAACTGGCATACAAGTCATGAGTGGGGAAGTGCCAGATCTTCTCAACGGCCCATCTACGTATCATCCTACAAAATTTTGCTTTCGGGCTGTCTCAAAGAATTCAACCGTCTGAAAATGCCTTTTGGAGTGTAGCAACCGGCATCTTGGTTGTTGTTCGAGATACTCAACGCTCGAAGCCGCCCGAACCTTGCTTTGATGCTCCTTCGATGTCTCCTCTTCTCAACGCTCATTCGGCCAATCTGTTTACAAGCACGTCAGAGATAGGCACAAAGCAAGACATGTGACAATTCTGGTGACGATCATACCTGTAGCTCACAAGAGTATCGACCTTGTGGTTGTTCGTAGAGAAGCTGCGTAGTTGCACCTTCTCGGCATCTTGGATGTCTTTTGCATCGCTATCACCCCACTCGAGAGGAACCTCTGAGTCTTGATCGGCATAGACCAATACGTTGAAGGTGCAGTTGCCGTCGAGCATGGGCAAAAAAGTAACGGATGCTGTGATTTGACGGAAGATGGATTGGATTTCCTGTTGCACGTCTTGTTCGGATTTCTCAGGTGCTTGCTCGGTTGTGCTGAATTCACGGTCAGCAACTATCTGGATTCACATGCCACATTTGATATACCTGGCAGCGTTCTCGTCGACGGTCTTGCTTGAGCTCTTCTTCTTGGAGTCTTTGCCGAATATTTGCANCCTAATCATGATCAATCGCTGATCAGTATATCACGAGGACAGGGTGTTACCAACGTCAAACTGCCACCTTTCGACAGGTTCACCAGTCTCTTTACTGGTAATGACAATGATGAGTTTTGAGATTTTCGACTTGAGCATCCACTTGTTCAACTGTGACATGATCTTCTTGATGTATGCTTTGACTTGATCGTCTTGGGAAANCTGTGACAGACATTAGCATCGCGAGCTTCTGGGATTGTACAGACTTTTGACCTTACCCAGCATGTTGAGACCATACTTCTTGACNNCCTAGAAAGCTTGTAAGAAACACAAGTTATACCTGCAGGATGTGGATATTGATGCGTACGCTGTAAAGTCTTCAGGTGGATAGACACCACGCTGGAANNCCTACGAAATTTAGTAAAGGATTCTGAGTCGACTCGTACGATCAGCTTACAAGATTGTATTGATGCAATATTCAAACTGTGATTAAGTCAGCTTCACGAATTTTGTCGGTTGAAGTAGGTGTGATACAAATTCTGTGACTGTTTTGGAAGAGCCTGGACAGTGTTAGTTTCTGATGGATATGATTGCAACTCATGAGGACATACCTTTCAGAGCGAGCTTGTGTGTGTTCTTTTCCTTGTCCTTGGGCTCTTTCTTTGCTGGCGGCATGATGGATGTGTGATGTTTCAACCTAGTGGTAGTTTGAGATATTGACAGCCAGAGAAATATTAGTTTGTTTATGCAGTTGCAGACTGGTCAATAGTGTCCAAAGAGCAGAAAGCAAGGTGTAGAGGAGGTATCCGCCGGAGAATTGAAAGTGACAGAAGTTTGATGGACTAGTAAGTGTCGCAAGTAGTGTGATAGAGCGATATGGCTGCCGAGTCGTGGAATTGATGGTGACAGCGAGGGAGAGCTCGGGCAGCTTCGGGCCGAGCAACGACGAAGTCCAAAGCAGCGCAGCAAGACTGGAAATAATTACAAGACATCCAAAAGACACGACTACTCGACTTCCCCCGGGCAGGCAGACCGCAGGACCAGATGCAAGCATGCTTCTTTCGCGCCCTTCATAGACGCCTCGGAGCGTGTAACGTCAACGCGCCCAAGATCAACCATGCCTACTCGTATACCCGCCTCTTCCACGCAGCACCCTGCAGACTAGCCCAGGCCGCTAAGGTGCAATCCGACCTCGAGAAACGTATCGCTGCCATACCCATCGAGCGCTTTCGCAACTTCTGCATTGTCGCTCACGTCGACCATGGNAAAAGTACCTTGAGCGACCGCCTGCTGGAGATCACCGGTGTCATTGANAAAGGTGGAAATGCCCAGAGCCTGGACAGGCTCGATGTCGAACGAGAAAGAGGTATCACTGTCAAGGCTCAGACATGTACCATGCTATACAACCACAAGGGTCTCGACTATATGTTGCACCTGGTCGACACTCCTGGTCACGTCGACTTCAGAGCAGAGGTCTCGAGAAGTTATGCCAGTTGTGGTGGAGGTGCGTTGTCTAGTAGCCCCAATCTCAACAACAACCATGCGCTGACCATGTCCATACANGCTTTGCTAGTCGTTGATGCAAGTCAGGGTGTGCAGGCACAGACCGTCGCCAACTTCTACCTTGCTTTCTCCCAGGGTCTCACCCTCGTCCCCGTCATCAACAAGATCGATCTGCCCACAGCCGACGCCCCACGAGCACTTGAACAGATCAAGGATACTTTCGAGTTGGATCCCAAGAAGGCAGTTCTAGTTTCAGCAAAGTCTGGTATCAATGTCGAGGCACTGCTCCCTAGCGTCGTCGAGAACATCCCCGCTCCTGTAGGAGATGAAAACAAGCCGTTGCGTCTTCTCCTAGTAGATTCGTGGTACGACAATTACAAGGGTGTCATCTTGCTGGTTCGCATTTTCCAAGGACAAGTCAAGCCAGGCGACCATGTCACTTCGTTCGCTACTGGCATTAAATACTATGTTGGCGAGGTCGGAATCATGTACCCTCTTCAGACACCCATGACGGTTTTGCGCGCTGGTCAGGTCGGCTACATCTACTTCAACCCTGGAATGAAGCGTTCACAAGATGCCAAAGTTGGCGACACCTACACCACTGTCGGCTCGGAGAAGCTTGTTGAGATGCTACCTGGCTTTGAGGAGCCTAAACCCATGGTTTTCGTTGCTGCATTCCCTGTCGACCAAAGCAACTACGAGCATCTGGAGGACAGCATTAATCAGATCGTGCTTAACGATCGTAGTGTCTACGTCCAAAAAGAGTCATCGGAAGCTCTGGGTGCAGGTTGGCGTCTCGGGTTCTTGGGCACGTTACATTGCTCAGTCTTTGAGGATCGTCTTCGACAAGAGCACGGAGCGAGTATCATCATCACTCCTCCGTCCGTACCATTCAAGATCATAGACCANAAGGGCAAAGAGACAATTGTCTCGAACCCGAACGATTTCCCAGAAACCGATACACTGCATCAAAAGGTACATGAGCTTCAGGAACCGTTCGTCCTTGCCACCATCACCATGCCTGAAGAGTATCTCGGCAAAGTCATCGAGCTGTGCGAAGGCAACCGAGGTGTACAGAGCGAGCTCACATTCTTCACATCAACCCAAGTAATTCTGAAGTACGAATTGCCGCTAGCGCAACTCGTAGATGACTTCTTTGGAAAGCTAAAGGGCTTGACTAAAGGTTATGCGTCCCTAGATTACGAAGATGCTGGTTGGCGCAAGTCTAGCATTATCAAGCTGCAATTGCACGTCAACAAAATCCCCGTTGATGCAGTCGCTCGTGTTTGTCATCACAGTCAAGCTGAGCGCATCGGCAAGCAATGGGTCACAAAGTTCAAGGAGCATGTTGATCGACAAATGTTTGAGATTGTCATTCAGGCTGTTGCTGGCAGAAGAATTGTTGCTCGTGAAACCATCAAGCCTTTCCGAAAGGATGTTCTGGCAAAGCTTCACGCAGCCGATACCAGTAGAAGAAGGAAGCTGCTCGAAAGGCAGAAAGAAGGAAGGAAGAAGCTCAGAGCTGTTGGCAACGTTGTGATTGACCAGAAAGCATTCCAGGGCTTCTTGGCGAAGTGAACTGCTTTTGGAAAGCATGACTGCATCGCTTTAACCTCAACACATAGATACCCGCTTACTTACAATGCAAACTATGTCCTCAACTTCATCATGCTCCGAGGCGTGAATGTGGCCATCTCAGCATCATGTGTAGATGGAATGTAACAATTCATTCTGTTGTAGAGGCAGCAACCAGAGCGCAACGGTTTCGTAAGTTCTCCGAACATACACTAATTGAACCCTTTAGATTATACCACTTACAATCCTGTGGCATGCCTCGAGCTCGTCATCCTGCACCTTTGCGACCAAACCAAGACAGGTACGCTTATGGCAGTCTCCACAATGGTGCCAAAGACACTCTGGTCGATCGATTCCTGAGATGGACATTCAGTCCTCCTAATCACATTGGAACAGCACGTCAACTACGGGCCGGACAATGGCTTCCAATGCAACCTGACTATTTCCAAGGAGAGCACCCACTTGGCGAGGGTGGCATGGGCATAGTCCATCTGTGGTGCTGCGTCGACGAAAATCATCGCATCCGAGACCGAGTTATCGTGAAACAGGTACACCCTGGAGTCACGACTTGGGAGCGCAAAGATGCCTGGCGCAATGGAGAGATAGGAGGTGAGCCTAGAGAAAGCATGTTGGGCAACGAGGTCTACGCAAATTTGGAGTCCTCAGCTCCAGGCGATGGAAAATTCGTCACACAGTGCCTTGGTTATGGTGGAATGCAGAGTCCTAACCCACAAGAAACCCGAGCGACGGGCAATATCGTGTACAGAAACATAGCGGGTTATAAGCTCTACATTGAGTACTGCCCATTTGGCGATTTGCGAGATGCTATCATACGACAGAAGGAGGCTGAGGAACCCTTTCATGAAGGATTCATCTGGATGATGTTCGAAGCCCTTGCAGAGTGCGCTGTGGCAACGGACCAATCCAAAATTGTACACTCAGACATTACTACAAGTAACAGTAAGTCCTGCCTTATGTATTTCCAAACACATCAGAAGACTGATCAACGGGCANNAGTCCTGCTGGCCAAAAGTGACCCTGAGCGGTTCAAGATCTGGCCGATCCCCAAGGTAAGCGTACAACAAAGATCACAAATATTAGGTCGAGCGTCTAATTAACAAGCAAATAGNTTAGCTGATTTTGGAGCATCGCGATATATCGATGAAGCCGCCAGAAGACGGCTTACAGGAACCGGTGAAGCAATGCACCCATACTTCACACCACCGGTAATCTCAGAAGCTGACCCACACCTCAGTCGCTATACATATGGTCTGACAACTGCTACANNGGAATTGACCAGAGACGCCACCAATTCCAACTGGGCCGTTCCTGGCCTATATGTCACCAATAAGACAAATGTGTGGAGCGTTGGTCTGATCATCTGCTGCCTGATGCGTATGGAACCAGAACTACCGTAGGTCTTCGTCCTCTGTCCACAACTGCTTTTATCACACTTTATACTGATCAAGTCAGANGAAACTGTACGTACTCAACATCCACCGCCACGACCGGTACATCGACAACTCCGATTCGAAATCCTAAACCAGAGGGAAATCCGAAAACTTCAACACAGCTCAGTCGACTACAGTGTAGAGCTGAGAAAGCTCGTACGATCATGTTTGAAGTACGATCCGACTGAGAGACCAAGTCCTTCACAGCTGTTGAAAGCAGTCAGACGAACGATGTATGATCACCTTGGTGGATTCGATTCGTACGGGAGGGTTACTAAAATCCCCTGGAACAAGAAAGAGAGACTGCGAGGAAACCTCAAAGATATTTGGGCGGTCGGCACAGGAACTGTCATTCACCTGAGACCATAACTGGCTCCCAGGATCAGTTATTATGTAAAAGATCCAGTGTCTTCCAAGAATCATGTACATACGGTTGTATCGTAAAAACACACGTTTATGCATGATGCTGCACTTCTACTGCCGCTAAAAACATTCACACGATGAGAGCAAAAAAACCAAGTAGCCATTCAACTACTTGGGAAAACCCCACCTGCCTGCAAAGTATTCTACCTTTACAAGAGAGGAAGAACGTAAATTGTTCCGCTACATCCGAGGGTCGAACCAAGGACTTCTAGGAGTTTTATTATTTGGCTTTTACAAGTGGTCTTACTGATTGTGCCAACTCTACCAAGTACTGAGAGGTTATCAGTTTGACTGGAATATAAGGGGTGGCTTGTGAGGGTGATGACAGTGGAAGGCAAGTGAGTGACTGATTGAGAGATGGGTGAATTGGGAGTCGGCGAAAAGTGAGTGGTGACTTCCTGATTTGTGCATCGAGACCAAGAGTATGCCATTGGATCTGTTTTCGATGTGTAAGTGATTGTTTGTTTTTCACAAAGAGCTTGCTGGATTGCTATATCACAAAGAAGTTGACAGCACTTTATTACTCCGGCTCGTTTTCTTTGTCTTCGAATCTGAACAAGCTGGTGTCCGCATGCGGTATGCGAGTCGCATTCTGAGAAGTAAATCCAGATTGCATTCGCGCGCAGTGCTTCTGTCTACCTACATCATCACATACACTCTAATGAGGTTGATTCCACAATTCCACTTCAACCCGTTCTCGGGGCTAGCGCAAGCTATACAAGACGAATTGACCTTGAGATTCTTGACGAAGTGGAGGTTCAGATTACCACAATACAGAGGGAACGCACGAAGGCTGCAACAGGGCGAGTGGGTGCCGATTCAGACCTCCCGTGGCGACAGAGGGCAGGAAGAGCCTTTGGGTGATGGAGGCCTAGGTATTGTACACCTCTGGTGTTGTATCGATGCTGAAAATCGCGTCATCGACCGTGTCATTGTCAAGAACGTATTTCCTGGGACTGAGGCTTGGGCGATTCCAAGCTTGTGGCGAGACGGACGTATTGGAGGCGAGCCCCGAGAAGTAATGATCAGTAACGAGGTGTACGATGAACTGGAAGCCGCCAATGCTGGAGACGGACAGTTCGTTACTAGGTGCCTTGGATATGGAAACATTCACGATCCCTTCAGATATGATGCTCAAGGCAGAATCATGTCCTACCTAGACCCACTGTTGGGAGATGCAGAAATCCTAGGGGGTCCACCGAGACGACGCAACCCACTGGCCGGAAAGCCCATCACCTACCGCATAGGGAGTTACAAGCTGTATTTCGAGTATTGTCCGCATGGCGACTTGCATACACAGATTACGGCTCAAAACAAAGAGGAAAGACGTTACCGAGTGTCAAAAGTAAGAAGTCCTGGCGGCCACGCACACGCACGTCGCAAGGTGCAGATTATCCGAGACGTACCATTCCACGAGGGTTTCATTTGGAGGATGTTCGAAGCATTAGCAAAGTGTGCTGTAGCCATGGAAAGGGCAAACGTTCTGCATGGGGACCTGTGTCCCACTAACAGTAAGTCNTCCTTGCGTATCCACAAAGGCATCGAGTCTCATACTAACCAGTCTGCTGTANNGTTTTCTTGGGCGAGAGCGACCCTAATAGATTCAAGATATGGCCAATTCCCAAGGTAACACCAGGATCAGTAGTTTCGATGTGGAACGTTGTACTCACATGCATTATAGTTGTCTGATTTTGGCTCTTCGCAGCACATCGACCTGATGACAAGAAATCGATTTGGCGATTTCGAGAACGGCATGCAAGTGTCCTTTACACCACCGGTAATAAGTATCCCAAGTTCCGTGTTGCCCAGCTAACAGCTGTCCAGGAGCTCGCCAGGCCGGGCGGAGTGTACGAAGTTCCGGGCATGAAAATTACGCACAAGACCAACGTCTGGCAAATAGGCATGGTTATTGCTTGCATGATGCGTCTTGATGTTTACCTACCGTAAGTTTTCTAGTAGTTTTACGTTCTTATCAATACGAGAGACTGCAGTTGACTGATATTCCGCTGTTCAGAGAGACCGATTGGCGTACAATGGATTCCCATGTACCAGCAGACACCGAACTTCACTTCGACGATCCCGATCGGCGAGAACTCAAGGATAACTTGTTCCAGCACCCTAACTGCCACTACAGTGCGGAATTGATAGGACTTGTAAAGGATTGTATGAGATTCTACCAGATCCGAAGGCCAACGCCTCAACGGTTGTTGGCAAGAGTCCAACAACTGATGCAAGGCCGATGTGGCGGTATGGAGACCTATACTGGAAATGCTAATGGAAAGATCCCATGGAACAAGAAGGAGAAGCTTCGAGATTTGCAGCCGGATCAGTGGCAGGAGATTGACCCAGTGTTCGTTATTTGATGAGATGAGGCTCGGAATTCCATGGACTGTTGGTTGGCTCAATGTACCATTACTGTACGCAACGCGTCGCAGAACAGATTGTCAGACATGTTGACAACCCAGATATAAGTTAATTAATTGATCAAAACTTGGAAGTGGATGTCAGGTCGAAGAATAATTTGTATCGTGTCGCGAAACGTCATTGACACTGCCGGTGCTTCCGATGCGGCTCTGCGTGGTCGGGCTTCACGATCGCCAACCACCTGATTCATCAACGATGCGACCACTCAAACTCTGCCAGACTACCGTATCAGAACGGAATGGGCATACAGACCAAGGACGGTCATGATACGGTCCGCTGGAACGCATATTTCGTCTTTGTCGTGTTATTGTCCATCGCACACGCCTGTCTGATATCCCACATCCGACCACTCTGGGATGCGCTTACACAACCACTCTGGCTACTGAGGAGCCAACACTCAACAACTGGTCTTACAGACGCTGCGATTGTACTGGCTATTGGATTCTATTTCTACGGGACAGACGGACTGAAACCTCCACAATGGATTCTGGAAACACGGTTCATGGAACTACAAGTGTTCGCCTTCCTCGTACTGCTGATGACCTTTGCTGGCCTGATCGCCTGGAGAGGAGAAGTAGAGCCGCGTCAAGCAATTGTAGAGCAAGAAAATGAATCCTCGGTAGAGCAGTTGATACCTCCTCTACTACTGCCTGGACGCACTACTCATTCGCGGATGTTTCCTCAGAAGCATTCTTTTGCGTACTCTTACTTCTCTGTTGGAGTACCTGTCAGTTTCAAGGGATGTGCTGGATCAATGCTGTCTACCAATTTGGAAATGCTGCCACCGAGCCAGAGACGGAAAGGATGGTTCAATGTCGATGCTTCGGACTACCTGTATCGAGGTGGAGAAGAGCGTGGACTTGAAGCGCGGCTGAGATGCTATCTTCGCGGAGAGGGTGTGCCAGATGAAGCTTGGTGTTTTGCCTACCTCGTGACGGCACCGAGGTTCTTGGGTTACTCATTCAACCCAGTATCATTCTGGTACATCTATGATAGCTCAAAGCATCTCGTGATGATGGTACTGGAAGTCAACAACACTTTTGGAGAACGTCGACTGTATCTTCTCAAAGCCGAGGAGAAGGCTACTGATGACTCGGTGCCAGATGGCTTCGAAGCACCTGCCAAAGCTACAAAGTTCACCAACTCTTGGGTCAAAGATTTCCATGTTTCGCCGTTCAATTCACGCAAAGGCACATATTCTCTCACAGCTACGAATCCAGTTGCTGCTCTAAAGTCTGGATCCAGGGTCCTGGACAACATCGTCGTACTTAGCTCTTCCAAGGCTGAGGCTAAAATTGTTGCACGTGTGTACTCGGATGACAACCACATGAATCCAACCACTATGAGCACCTCTCAGACCATCAAGACGCTTGCATCTTGGTTCTGGGTAGGTTTCCTCACATTTCCTCGAATCCTCGCGCAAGCATACAAATTATACTTCAAGCGCAAACTCCACGTCTGGTTCCGACCTGAAGTCCTGGCTTCGAGTATTGGTCGCACGCATACATCGTCCGAAGCAATTCTAGAAGCCTTCTTTCTGTCCTACCTCGGCTTCCTTGTCGATTCTGCGTCCGAGCCTCTACAACTCAAATATACACCAGCAGGTGGCTTAGGAACTTGCATCACCTTGACCTCCAAGAACGTTACAGAGGACCAGGTTCCTAAGCAATTGGGCTTGAAAGTCCTTACTCCAGCTTTCTACACTAGATTTGTGCATTACGCCCACACCTCTAGCGCCTTCCTTCGTGAGAGTCTGAGCAACAGTCGCGATAATCGCACTTGCGTTTTCGAAAATGCTGAGAATTTGCATCTTATTCTGAAGACGCTTGATTCCACCACTCCTGGGCTTGCCGTCGATGGTCTCGCAACAGTGGATCAGTACCGTTGGCGCTTACTCCAAAATCTCCGCTCTGCGCCTCCGCCTACCGCAAACCCTGACTCTAGTACTAGAATTGGTGATAGGGCAAGTGAACAGGATGATCACACCCTGCCATTCTCGAATCTGGATTGCTTTGTTCAGACTCGTTTTGCCAATGATGAAAAGTATGCTATGGTCGCGGCTCAGCGATTGAGTAAAAACATACCTACACTGTTCAAGCAGTGGTCTTCAAAACAACTCGGACACATCTATAGAGATGTTGTGACGAAAGTCTTCGTTGCTGACACGTATCTCTTTGGGTTTGAGGGCTTAATTGGCGTGCTGGACTTTGCCATCAGGGTGCTGTTGGTAATTGTGTGGTTCAAGGTTTCTGCTAGCGACGAAGTTGTGCATCGAGGTATTGGATGGCAGCTTTGTAAGTGGGTTGCGGTCAATGGGTTGCACTTGTGGGATGCAGTAAAGAGTATATAGACACAGAAGATACAAGGCAAGAGCAGATAAATTTATACACGCGTCTCATGTCTGATCATCTTATCGCTGCAAAAGTGTAATAGAATCCTTCGTTCTGTTTCTGTCGTCCTGTATGTCCTGACCTATATAATCCTGTCTGTATCATAAAACTGTACCAAGGGGTATCATGCCTAGACGTAAAGTAAAGAAGAGAAAGAAAAAAAGAAACCACAAAACGCCTTCCGTATGAACCCGTCAACTCCAATCATGAAAATCAAATCACACGATGCGAAGACCCAATCTCTAGCATCTGATACCCAACCCAACCGATTCCGCCTTGTTCAACTTTGCAATGGCGGCATCGACCTTCCCACACCATGCCCCAGCTTCGATTCTGTCTTCCCTCTTCTTCCTCAGGGCAGGTGCCACCAATCCCAGAATCTTGCCTTCACCGCCTCTCTCCTCCCAGATCTTTTGCAATTGCTCAACTCTGTTTTCAAAAGCAGGTTCTTGCATAGCCCAGCTCATGGCATCGCCCATTTTGACCGCTTCTCGAAGACGGAAACCATTGTTGAGCATGGACGCAAAGGGGTTACCGCCACAGAGGAAGGAAAGCAAGGTGATACCCGCGGAGTAAACGTCAGAGGCGTAGGTTGGAGTAGATGCTTCAGGGTCGCGGGAGAGTTGCTCAGGAGCCATGAAGGAATAGGTGCCGCCTCCTGAATGCGACGATGGTGTTGTGTCAGCCACGAAACTTGTGCTAAAGTCTGCGTAGCGGGCTGTTGGTGTTGAAGGGCAAGCAGTTGAGGAGAGGAGGATGTTTGCAGGTTTGATGTCGGCGTGGATGGTATTTGTTGTGTTGTGAAGGAAGTAGAGACCGTGGGTTAATTGTTGAAGTATATGGAGGAAAAGATCCAGAGTTGCAGAAAGGGAAAGGTTTGATGATGACTCAAGAAGAGATTCCAAGCTCCCAGCATCCGCGCGCTGGAAGAGAAGAGAGGGTGATGAGGTACCCGTGCATACACCGACGAAAGGGACCACATAATCAGAACTTGAATCATAGTTCTGGATATACGTGAGAATCTGTGCCTCGGCTTGGAAGACGGCGGCTGCGTCTGAGCGTGTCGCTGTCTTGATTGCATACTGCTGAGACGATGCAAATGTGCTTTTATGTGGTGTTGAAGGTGGTGTCATAGGGCGTCCAGGTTGACTTGAATTAAGAGGAACAGCTGGAATACTGTACACCTTACTCCACACACCTTCACCTAGCAACTGTGCTTGTGACAAGTCGGGAGTGAAGTCAAGTTCCGAGACACGAGATTGACAAGCATCCAGTGAGCGCCGAGAAGGAAACTGCTCATTGGCCTTGGCCCGCGCAGGTGTGGAAGGAGGAGTAAGCATTTCTTGATCTTCTACTTCTTTCCTTGACGAATCGGTCGTGATCTTGTAGCTGCCAGCATTTGCCGGTGTTCGTATTTGAAGTCCTTGCATTTCGCGTAACAGTTCGTTAGGCGTTGTCCTAGCCCTATTGTATACCGGTCTGGATGTATATCTCTCGTTCTGGCCAATTTGCGTGGAATGTGAGGTGAAATTTGTATGGGGAACAAATGGACCTCTTGCATGTGCAGTGCTCGTAAAGATTTTTGCAGTCATCTCTCAAGTATATATAAATGAGAATGAGCAATGAGAAGACTGAATACCTATGACGGCATGGGATGGTCCGGAACAGAAGGGTGTGTGGGCTGGCTGACTCAGGCGAGGGTCTCCGGGGGGTCTCTTTGAAGCGCGTCAGAGGGTGCTGAAACATAAAATCCTTCGAATAGATCTCGACGCCAGTATCAACCAAGACAAGCGTTTCCAGCGGCTCGAAGTGTAAAGGAGTGTGTGACTGGAAAACACGAGAAAGAAGAAAAACAAATTCTCTGCTTGACAGGAAAAACAGGAACAGAAATGAGAGAAAGACAAACACTACCGTAGCATTGGAAATCAATGGTAGCACTGAATAATGGGATCCACGGCTCCGCTAAGGGTTTTATCGGAGAGTGGGGAGTGTCTACATTGCTTGCCAGCAAACGCGCCGATAAGGGAGAAGAGGGTCGTTTCTCTGGCCGGCATACTAAAGCGCCACATTTGGCAAGATACAAACCTTAGTTCGCTTGGCATCCTACGGGTTTATCGATTGTCAAGCAGAGGTGTGTGGAATCCTTTGGCTGCTGGAGCTTCCAGAAGCAGTTGTCATGCTCAGTCAAGGAGAGAAGAGAGAAATGAGGAAAGAAACGTCACAACATGCAGTTGGTGTCGCGAACCAACCAAGNNACGCAATGGAACGTGGTGTGGGGAGCAACTTCATTGGTCGTGTTTGGAACGTNNCAAACAGGTCCTCAATGCTCATCCTCGGCGGTTTNNTGGCTGAGGTTTCCCGGAAATTGGAAAGAGATGGNNGCGCACAGATCCAGATGCGGCTGGATTGACAGCGATTGAGCAATGGTTCCATTGGTTTGACAGCTGATCTGTAGACTTGTTTCTCCACGCNCCTGCCTCGTGACACGCGCGCGAGTTGTCGGCGCCATGCGATTTTGCTTTCTTCAGCAAAAGCTACCACTACTTCTCGCACTCNGCTCATGCTGTAACCATGCAGTGCCACGCTTATCTGACTTTTGCTAGACTTGCAGAAGGGAAGCAACGATGTCATGCAGAGATCCAAATGATAAGAGAGAGCCATTTTGAACAGAGCCATTTTCAGAAGGCCCAAATCCCCGCGGCGGCATCCCGAAAAGATCGTCCAAGACAGCTATCGGCTAAGCGAGCAATAATGGCAGGAAATGACAGAGGCACAAAATCTTGAACGCCGCAATCGGTTGGAAGACGGTGATTGATTTGGGGGCTTGAGATAGGAGAAGAACCCGATGCTCGGGATTGTCTTTATCTTGCTCTCTAGCGCTGTGCCAATGCCATCAATTGCCGGGCCGCTCGCTGTGCTTGAGTCAAGGATTTGCTTATATCCTGCTGGACCATCAGCCAGGTTCTGGAGAGTTTCTCAATGCGAGATCCACCACAGCTGCATCCTGCGCATTGACTTCGGCCTGTTTATGTAAACAGAATCAAAGCTCGCTAGGTTGTTGACACAGAGCTGAACTCTCTGCGACGAGGAAGCTGCACTGAGTCGCAAGTTGCACAGAAAAGATCGGAGCACAGAAGAGGTACAAGAATGAAATCGATTTGTTTGGAGTGCTCCAAGAAAAGGTCGGCTACGCTATGCTGTCCATAACTCCTGTTGTCCTTCCTTTTCGTGATACACAAATGCTTTCCCTCCGGCTTGCCTGCTTTTCATAACGTCTGATGGTCGTGATGTCGTGTAAATACTCTAAGAGAAGAACTTGCTGTAAGCAGCCTTCTCCTTCTTTGCTCTGTCTGCAGCGGCCTTCTTGACGGCGGCGAGCTCGTTCTTGACTGCTGCGTCCTCAGGCACGAACTTGAGTGCTTCTTCCAAGTCGGCAACGGCGTCCTCCTCGTTCTTCAGGCCCTTTCTTGCCAAAGCGCGGCGGTAAAGGGCCTTGCCCTTNNCCGGTGCCTTGATCTGAGGGACTGCGATGGCGTTGGTGGCAGACTTCTCAGCATCAGCGAAATCGTTGAGCTTCAATTGCAAGAGAGCGCTGTTGGAGTGGAGAGCGATTCTGAGCGAGGCCAGAGCAGGGCCAAGCTCTGGCGGGTCGTTCTCGAGGGGCTCGGGATATTCGTGCAGGTATCTCAGACCCTTCTGATACTTGGCGAGACCAAGAGCGATGTCCCCCTTCTTGAAAGCGTCGGTTCCTCTGGTCTTCAGGTCGTTGACAATCTTGACAATCTCGAGTCCAGGGATGTCCTCACCCTGGTCCTCGGGGAAGTCTTCGTATGGGTCTCCTGTGCTGTCGGGGACCTTCTCGGCAGCCTTCTCATATTCCTCACCAGTGAGCTCACCACAGTCGACGATGGTGCACTCTTTGTTGGGCTTGTCGTTGGAGCTAGTGGGTGTGTTTTCAATGGTGCGAATGATGCTCTTGCCGCCGAGGACTTCACCGAAGACAACGTGCTTTCCGTCAAGGTGAGGAGTGGGAACGGTGGTAACGAAGAACTGGGAGCCGTTGGTGCCTTGGAGAATGGTCAGCAGGGGTGTCTATGTAGTGCGGCGACAATTGGACATACCAGGGCCAGCATTGGCCATACTCAACAAGAAAGGCTTCTCGTGCTTGAGCTCAAAGTTCTCGTCCTCAAACTTCTCTCCATAGATACTCTCACCACCAGTTCCGTTGCCAGCAGTGAAATCACCACCCTGGATCATGAAAGACTTGATGACGCGATGGAAGGAGGAGCCCTTGTAGTGGAGAGGCTTGCCATTCTTCCCTTGACCCTTCTCACCAGTGCACAATGCGCGGAAGTTCTCGGCGGTCTTGGGGACGACATCGTTGTACTAAAAGTCAAGTCAATTACATGCGACTTGATTCAGTAGCGGTAGAGAAAATCATACCAGCTCAAAAGTGACACGGCCAGCACTGGCCTTGCCGATGTTGATGTCGAAGAAGACACGGCTACGCTTGGTCTCTGCCATTTTCGATCGAGTATGTATGCAAGGCAAAAGTTGTGGTTGTATTCAGGAAGAAGGATTTATTATGCGACAAGCAGAAAGACAAGAAGCAGAGTAGAGCAATTGTTCGAAGTGAAAGATGTTATGTTGATAGCTTCTAGGACCTTCTATGCGCTAACCACTGTACCCCACATTGATCGATCAACTTCAAGATTGCCTCTTTGGGATGTCTATATCGGACCCTTGACCGCACACTGCACTCTGTACTGAAGATAAGGATGTGAAAAGAAGCAAACGCCATTTTATCTGGTCGTGTGTCTATGCAAAATATTTGAGGTAGAGTCTATCCTGTGTATGGGGGTGGTATCATGGTTGTGAAAATAAAGAATCGCCCACGAGTCAAGGCTTCAAGAAAAGGCGTGCAGGGTAAGTGCTGTGCCAGTTGACTATTCTAAGAGCGAAGCTGGAAGCTCAAACGATGTCTGCAACTTTCCCTTGTGAGTGAGAGGATCGCCGGGAAGGTCGAAGCTAGTCGGGTTGTCCATCTTAGGGGGATCCGTATCTATCTGGATAGTGACCTGTTACCAAAATCATGTTAGCATCGAGTACGTTGGCAGAAGTCAAGATATTTACCGCGCCATCTTCGCACGTATAATCTACACCTACCGGTCCATCGTTGACTAGAGCTACGTCCATCATGGCTTGGAATACACCATCCTTTACTCTGTCTGCTTGATACAGAGACTGTACTTTCTTGAAGAACTGATCGTAAAGCTCCTTCGCTTTTTCACCGTTGGCAGACTTGTGGAAGTCGGGTTTGTTGCCTTTCTTGACGGAGGCAAGAAGTGTAAATTGTGATANCTGCATGCAGGTCAGAGAAGATGATTGCTGACAAGACAGATTATACCTACCACAGAGAACTTCCCCTTCGATATCCTTGACGCCCCACTTCCATTTGCCGCCTTCATCATTGTCCCACAGCTTTGCTTTTAGGATCTTGTTGGCCATGGACTCAACCTCCTTTTGAGTATCATCTTTGCCAATGGCAGCTAGTACAAGCAAGCCTTTGCCGATAGTTGAGATAAGCTGGCCATCTACTGTGACTGAGGCTGACTTCACCCGTTGAATTACAGCTGAAGGGAATCAATATGATGGTTGAAGGAAACAAAGGAGCTGACATTCGTACTTCTCATGGTGGTGGTTTGATATGAACAAGGGAAACTGAGTCAAGAAAGCGCAGTGATACAACACGGACTGATCTACCTTGTGCTTCTCTTTGGGTGAATCAGAATTACTGGGTGGATTTGGAGTGTTTCGATAAAGTCAAACGGTAGATTGGAAACGCACGTAAAGTCGACCTGGGTGATTGCTTGGCAGACGAGCGAACGACGGCAACCAACGCTGCTCAGTTGCGACAGTCACAGTCGCACAAAGCACCATCCACATCTCGACTCGTCTCCGTTTGTGTCAACTTGTCCATCGCCCCGAGTTGATGGAGAGCTGCCGCATCGCTTCCCTGGTTTCGACATTCCCCCTCCGAAGCGACGCCGAATTGCTTCGCCATTCTCTCAGTCCACCCTCACACCAAGCCCACCCACGAGGGCTACATAACCAGCAATGGCGCAACGAAAGCTACAGCAAGAGATTGACAAGGTGCGCGACGCAATGCGCAAACGAATGACACAGCTGTTGACTTGCGACAGNACGTTCAAACGAGTGGCCGAAGGTGTGCAGGCATTTGAGGGCATCTACGACAAGCTACAACAATCGACGAATCCCTCGCAGAAGGAGAAGCTCGAGGACAACCTGAAAAAGGAAATCAAGAAGCTACAAAGGTCGCGAGACCAGATCAAAGCATGGGCCGCCCAAAATGATATCAAGGACAAGAAACCATTGCTGGATCAGCGCAAGCTGATCGAGACGGTATTGAGAGCTATCCTGAAATACTCATGGTTGCCGCTAACGCATGCCAAANNGCAAATGGAAAAGTTCAAGGCCGTCGANAAGGAAATGAAGACAAAAGCCTTCTCCAAAGAAGGACTATCAGCCGCCGCAAAGCTCGATCCGAAAGAGAAAGAGAAATTGGAGATATGCGACTTCTTGGGGAACATGGTCGAAGAGCTGGAAAGACAGATTGAGGTCACAGAAGCCGAGGCAGAAACGCTACAGGCGAATATGAANAAGGGCAAGAAGGACACAGCCAAGGCCGACCGGATAGCAGAGCTGGAACGAATGGCCGAGCGACATAAATGGCACCAAGGGAAGCTCGAGCTATTACTACGATCACTGGAGAACGGTGGCGTGGATACCGACCAAGTCAAGGACATTGAAGAAGGAATCAGATACTATGTCGAGAACAACCAGGAGGTCGACTTTATGGAAGACGACACCATCTACGACGACTTGAATCTCGATGCCGACGAGCAGATGTTTGGCCTGCAGAACGACGATGATCGTGTGTCATCACAGGACAACCAATCACAACACGACGATACCCCCGACCAGCCAGAGCCGGCCACGAAGGTTGCACAGTCGACACCGGCGAAGCTCACCAAACAGTCCTCGGTCGATATCCCCAGCGCCCAACCGAGGCGGCCGTCCATACAGCTCAAGTCGCCTTTACCTGCCTTGGCCACGTTGCATGCCTCAACACCGAGTAGCGTAAATGGCAGCGCGCCGCCGGGCATGAAGCCCGCTCCCCTGCCGAACATTCCCACTGGCCAGACTCTCAAATACGCCTCGGCTGCAGCTGCGGCTGCGGCGAGCGACAAGAGTGGTGTTGGTATTGCTCCTCTTCCGCCCCCGCCAGGTGCTACCACCGCGACTGCCCGACCCAGCTCAACTGCCTCTCCCGCCCCAACACCCTCACAGCCAGTCACCCACCAGCCCTCGCCGGCACAACCGCCGCCGCCTCAACCTGCGAAGCCACAGGAACCTCCGGCGAAGACGCCCTCGCCTGCTCAAGAGCCTGCTCCCCCTGCCCCGGAGCCCAAGGCCAAGAAGAGCTCGAAGCAAGCACAACAACCATCGCAAGATTCTGGTGTTGCTCTTACGAATGGCGAGTCTTCCAGACAACAGAAACTGCCCCAGCCCCAGCAGCAACAGCAACAGCAAGAAGAGGAGGAAGAGCAGGAAGACGTGTCCTACTACCACCTGCCAGCAAGCTTAAGCGATCTGCTCGAGTCTTTCACTACCACAAAGCAGCGGGCTCTTTCGGCAAATCCTACAGTCCCCGAGGATCACCTGCTCTCTTTGTCACGGAGTACTATGCCTACACCGATGGATGCCGAGAAGCCTTATCACTACAAGCCAGCATCGCCCTACGCTTACACACCGGCTCACTACCCTCAAGAGCCTCTCCCTGTGTTTGACGACCCGCGACTGTACAGCAGAATCGAAACGGACACATTGTTCTACGCCTTCTACTACCGCCAAGGCACTTACCAGCAGTTCCTGGCAGCAAAGGCATTGAAGAGCCAAAGTTGGCGCTTCCACAAGCAGTACCAAACTTGGTTCCAACGACACGAAGAGCCCAAGAACATCACCGAGGAGTACGAACAAGGAACATATCGCTTCTTCGACTACGAGAGCACATGGTACGTTAACATCTGCATATCGATATCATTACTCTTCTGACATTTTAAAATAGGNATGAACCGTAGAAAGGGCGACTTCAAGTTTGCCTACAAGTTCCTCGAAGATGAGCTCTAGAGTATATCGGTCAACCGACTGACTTTTGAGTGTCATGTTTTCTAGCTTTACACGCCGTTCGTACATTCCTCTGGGCTTGTTCTAGAGTCATCATTGTTGTTGTTTCCCTTCTTTTCTCGTCTTCTCCGCTTGACCTACCTGTTACAAGAAAGACCATAGCAAGATTATCGATGTTTGGGGTTTGGGGCAAAAGGCAGGCCTTTATCATTGAGAGCGCTTACCTATGGACAAAACAGAGATTTGGTTCTTGCTTCTCGTCTTTTTCCTCTCGCTCACAACCTTTCTCGTGATATGAGTCCATTTATTCGTGTCTTCGTCTCTCGGTAAGGTGAACATCTGAAGGTGAGTCGCGCGTGGCACGTCTCCAGAAGCTGCACTGAGCGAAAGGTGTCGGTCGCGCTTTCGGCTTTCCTCTACAGGTTCCAGCATACAATGCCAGCAACTCATTGAGAAAAACTTGTTTCTATGGCAAGCTTTACGGCAAAACCATATGGAGATGTTACGCGAACAAACCCAAGATTGGCACAACCCAGAATCGTGTCTGCAGTGTGCACAGAAGAAACTCACCCAGTCTTCCCTAACACGGTGAAGCTACCAACGCGCCTCTCTGAAAATCGACGAGTGTCAAAACGAGAGATATATTATTAGCACGTGTGCGCAATCCTCTCTATGCGGTCTGAAGCTCAGCCATCTGAAGGCGGGTGCTGGGTTGAACCATACCCCTCGTGGGATGTTGAAATAATCTCTATGACCCCCAGTGCATTTAGTCCCCTCTCCCGATGCAAAGCTCATAGCAAGCCTTTTATAAAAAACCAGGACAAGCTAGAGCAAAGCACGAAGGACAACAAGAGTGTGTGTCTTATTAGGCGCCCCGAAGACAAGGCTAGACACCGGTATAAGGGGAAGTCGTCGAGTGAGTGAAAGAGAGTATGAAGAGAGAAGAGAAATCCAAAAGGAGCGCGAGTTTTTATAGTAGCTCTTGCTTACTAACTCTTGCTTACTAACCTGAGCTTGGTGCTGTCGGCGAAGATAGGAGCTCAACTCTATGGCAGGTAATACAGCTGTAATACAGGTATGCATGCTGTGTTCGTACCTTCTATATAGAAATCTCAAGCTACTCCCGCTCTTGTAGATGAAGCAGAGAGCCACGTACAAGCGACATGACTATTGAGAAAGAGTAAGTTGCGAGAAGAGGTCTGCAACAATGCTGTTTGATATCCAGATGTTAGAGAAAGTAATCAGTTTGGTATGACGAGCCTACTATACTCGTGCTACTGGTCTGTAGCATACAAAAGTTGGAACCTAACATCAGAATAAGACCGAGAGGCTCTTGTCTGATTTTTGAAACAATGCGATGGATATTGTTGCTACTGCACCTCGTCGACAGTTTTCCAGCGCTGTCGAGGGGGTCACCCGATCGGTAGATCCGTGCGCCGATAGAAGATGGATAAGATAAGATGACTCTCGAAAAAAGTCCAAAGCCTCTCCACCTTTCGGCCATCTTTTTCGCGACAAGAAGATCACATTGCAACGACAAAATGGCAGCCGAAGTACAATCTCTGCAGCCGCTCAAGCTGGCTGCTGGCCCCGAGGCCATTACAGCTGATCAGCGCTACTGGAAAGGATTCAGATCACAACAACTGGTTCCCTCGCCGCATTCAAATCCCATCACGCACATCTCGTTTCCTCCATTGCCTACGAATCCGCTTGTCACACCGCCTTCTGACACCTTCGCCGTCACATCTGGAAGCAGAGTCCAGATTTTCTCGTCAAAAACACGCAAACTTCTGAAGACCATCACACGTTTCGGATACGATGATATTGCGCACTCGGGAGAGATCCGTCGCGATGGACGTGTGCTTGTCGCAGGTGGAGACAGTGGTGCTATCCAGGCATTCGATACTGGTTCAAGAGCTATTCTGAAGACATGGAAGGAACACAAGCAGCCCGTCTGGGTCACAAGATGGAACCCGAATGATCTCACCTCTATCATGAGTTGTAGTGACGACAAGACGGTCAGACTATGGGACTTGCCCAGCGAGTCCAGCATCACTACTTTCGCAGGCCACCAGGATTATGTCCGCAGCGGTGCCTTCATGCCTGGTCAGAGCAGCAACCTCCTTGTATCCGGTAGTTACGATCAGACTGTTCGTCTGTGGGATTCAAGAGCACCCAAGCGCGCTGTCATGACCTTCAAGCACGCTGCCGCCATCGAGAGCGTTCTGCCCATGCCCTCAGGAACACAAGTGCTTGCATCTGCCGACAACCAGATCAGCGTTCTGGACCTGGTCGCTGGAAAGCCTCTGCATCTGATCAAGAACCACCAGAAGACGGTCACATCGCTCTGCTTGGCAAACAACGGAACGAGACTTGTCAGTGGTGGTCTGGACGGACACGTCAAAGTTTTCGAGACTTCAGCATGGAATGTCGTGGCTGGCTTCAAGTACCCTAGCCCTGTTCTTTCGCTGAGTGTTGTCGGAGCTGGTGCCACCAGAGAAGACAGACATCTCGCAGTCGGTATGCAGTCTGGTCTGTTATCGGTCCGTACCCGTCTATCAGGAGAACAGAAGGCAGCAGCAAGAGAAAAGGAGAAGGAGATGCAGGCTCTGGTTGCTGGTACCATTGAGGAGTACGACAGAAAGAAGGCCAAGAAGCTACGACAAGGCGACAAGAAGGCTCTGCGTGGCCGTGACTTTACTGGAGAGGGTGCCGATATCGTCATTGATGGCAATGCGCGTGGAAACATCAGAAACCAGTCAAAGTGGGAGTCTGCTCTACGAAACGGCAAGTACGCTCTGGCCGTCGACATGGTTCTCGGAGCTACCGTAAGTCTTATCAACACGAGTGCTATACATGCTACACGAACTAACCAACTGCAGAAATTCTACAACCCCAACATGCTCACCCTCCTTACCGCTCTGCGCCACAGATCTGCCATGCGCACCGCTTTCAAGGGCCGTGATGAAACATCTCTCCAGCCCATCCTCCGCTGGGTCATCAAGTACATTGGTCACCCTCGCTACATCAAGCTCACCAGCGATGTCGCTATGCTGCTCCTGGATCTTTACTCAGAGCAGACCATGGACTCGCCAGAGATTGACGACCTCCTAAGCCAGCTTCACCGCAAGGTCAGACACTGCTCAGAGTTGGCACAAGCAGCATACTCGACTCAGGGTATGCTTGACTTGCTCGTCTCTGGCGCATGAGGAAGAGTCGAAGGGAATGGGACCTGAGATCAACAGTCGGCACAGAGCAACCTCTGGGTATGCCTTCACGAGTCAAAATACGCCTCGACATGCTCCGAGAGGAAGGGCATGTCGATGTTGGCGGACATGACTATGCGCATAGTACAAGCAAGCAGTGATGCTCTGGCTATGAAAAGCGTTAAGCGCCGAGTAAGTTGCATAAAATACATGGCGTCTGGCGTGGCACTGTGGTGTAGATAGGGCATAGGGAAGGAGCTTCGGAGTTCTCATCAGAAGGATGCACAAAATAATGATACCCAGATTTATTCACAGCGGTGCCTCAACACAATTATTTGTGCATATAAATGACGATGATGCTCGTGCCCCGCAGAGGCAGCTTTCGAGCATGTTCCAGCCAGCCTCTCCCAAGAAACAATCATCTGCCGCATTCACCACGTGTTTACACAGCCTATACGTTCTGCGAAGAAACATACCTGTCAAGAGCTCAGTCGCATAGAACAACAGGACACAAATCTACCAAAATGGCCGCCCTCATCAACACAGACGACGAGATGGCNCCCTCGTTGCAGAACATCCTCGACCAAAAGTCGCTGCGCTGGATCTTTGTCGGCGGTAAGGGTGGTGTCGGAAAGACAACAACCTCTTGTTCCCTGGCCATCCAGCTCGCAAAGCACCGCAAGAACGTCCTCCTTATCTCGACCGACCCTGCACACAACTTGTCCGATGCCTTCAACCAAAAGTTCGGAAAGGACGCCCGTCTGGTCAATGGCTTCGACAACCTGAGCGCCATGGAGATTGACCCCAACGGATCCATCACCGATATGCTCAATGCTGGTGGTGAGGAGGCTCAGGACGCCATGTCTGGTCTGGGTGGTATGGGCAACATGATGCAGGACCTTGCTTTCAGCGTGAGTGGCCGTGTCTGATCAGGAGAAGAAGCGTTGCTAACCATGCCGAACAAACAGATTCCTGGTGTCGATGAGGCCATGTCTTTCGCCGAAGTCCTTAAGCAAGTCAAGTCACTCAGCTACGAAGTCATCATCTTTGACACTGCACCCACCGGACACACCCTCCGCTTCCTCCAATTCCCCACCGTCATGGAGAAGGCCCTCGGCAAGATCTCTCAACTCTCTGGCCAGTTCGGTCCCATGCTGAACGGCATCCTCGGCGCCCGCGGTGGTCTCCCCAACGGCCAAAACCTCGACGACATCATTAAGAAGATGGAGGACCTGCGCGCTACTATCGGCGAAGTCAACACTCAGTTCAAGAATGCCGACCTCACCACCTTTGTCTGTGTGTGCATTCCTGAGTTCTTGTCATTGTACGAGACGGAGAGAATGATTCAGGAGTTGAACAGCTATGAGATTGACACACATGCTATTGTTGTCAACCAGCTGTTGTTCCCCAAGGAGGATAACCCTTGCGAACAGTGCAATGCCAGAAGAAAGATGCANAAGAAGTACCTCGAGCAAATCGAGGATCTGTACGATGAATTCAACGTCGTCAAGATGCCTCTGCTCGTCGAGGAGGTTAGAGGAAAGGAGAAGCTTGAGAAGTAAGTGCTGCTCCTATTACGACTATACGAGGAAATGATATGCTGACACACTTCGTAGNNGTTTAGTGAGATGCTCGTTACCCCTTTCCAACCCCCCTCAATAGACGCTCAGGGCTACTAGCTGCTAGCTCTGAAGACGACAGACTATTTGTACTTTTTGGAAGATATGATACCAATGAATTGACCGAGCGTTTATTTCCCCTGTCTTTTAATTTTTGCAGCCTCGCACACCTTCAACATGTGATCAAGGATAGTAGGTAGTCTGGAGCAGGTGCGAGCGACAGAAAGCGTCCTCTCATCGTTAGAGCGCAGGTACGTGAATGCCTCCAAGAAAGACGAGGATATGGTTACTGACTGTCTTTGGCCGACTCGCAAGCTCCTGAATTCTGCTATCTCACATGGGGATATTTTCTCTTTATAACTGGTTTTTTATCTTCATCTGATTTATTGAAAGGACTGAATTACTGCAAGCACGAATTTCTCCACCTGCATAAGATGCACTCAGTTTTCGGCAGGTGCCTGTCATTGCCTCAATCCACCACAGCACACTCCATCGCATCTGTTCTCGTCACCAAGAAGGGTCTTCTGTAACGACCATCGCCTATCCTCCTAGCATTCGAGGCTATGACCCATAGGCCTCAGTTGAGTTTCATCACGTCTGCACGCGTGAAGCCGTTACATTCGGTCAAAGTGGTCCAGTGGAAAACGAGCTTCACAATGTCTTTGTCGGTTGGCGTGGTCGCCATACTGTCGACAAGGATTTCGAGAGCCACGTCGACGTGAAAACCCAAATCCCAGTCTTCGTAAACGGATGAGTCAGTGACCTCTGGAACTGGAGCAGGAGTTAGATCCAAGTTCATAAGCAACCCATCGGTAAGGGTATCGTACTCCTTGTGTATGGCTTCGATAACTGATTCGTCGAGAAGCGTACATCCAGGCTGATAAGCGATACTGTGCCAGAAGTAATAATTGAGGTCTTCTAGGAATGCTCCGATTTGCTCGATACAGAGACACAGATTGTCCCGTGTAAGCGCAGTCTGCGCAAAGAGATGCCTCCAAGAACGGCCACTAGAAGCCACTGGTACGCTCAAACCGTGGATCAAATGAAGATCCAGCTCTTCGTATGCTCTGCCCAAGCGCTGGACGCTTTTGACATCGACGATTTTCCTCAGCGCATAGCTGGGTGTCCCATGAGGGAAAAAGCCCATGGATTTCTCAATGTCCTCTGTCAGTTTCAAGAAGCTTGCTGTGTAGTATCCGCAGAGCTTCAAGCTGTGGCCAGTGATGGCAGGAGTGTGAGTCGTTTCTGTGGTATCGCTACCAACGTCGCTCCAGTCCTCGGTCGGTGTCATGATACCAATGGTTGATTGATTCGATGAGCAGTCGTCCGCTTCAGAGAGCTCTTCNNAGAGAGCTCTTCCGACAGCCTTTCCGCAACCTTGTCCTGAGGTTCTGTACCAGCTGATTGGGGGCTGGGCGGCGTCTCNGTTCGAGGCCTTCTTCGATTTCAGGATTTCTCTGACAGCTTCGAAGGAACGGTTGCACTCTCGGGACCACTCATCCATATGTCTTACAGCAAGTTGTGCTGCTTCCAGACGGCGTCTTTCGTTGCAGTGAGGATCAAACCATCTGCCATCGCGCCCCCTTTCCAGTTTCGGCAGAGCAGGGACCACAATGGAGTCTGGAGACTCGTGTGCAGCAGGCTTGTCGGTTGAACGCTGCGCAAAGCTCAAGACATGATTCAGCAGGTCAAGACGGGTTTCCTGAGTCGCAAGTTGAGTTGACGACATCCTGAGATTCTCGATAGAGCTTTTTGAAGCGAGGATATCCCATTCTGTACATTTCTCGATGGTCTTTGGCAGCTTGATGGCAATCTCCTGGCACTGACATTGGATACTTTTGATGAGGTCTGTCGCTCCTGAACTCCAGACCGGCTTCGTGCGATTGAGAAGCGTGCTTAGCAAGTTGTAAGATCTGGTCATCGACGAGAAGTTCCTGATTAGAAGATCCAGTGGACCACTCAAGCACCCAGCTGTGGTTGTCTTAAGCGCCATCAGCCTTTCCGAGACGATCGCACAAGCTGAAGCAGTGCCGACCACACCATCAACGAACTCATGATCGAGCTCGCTACATTCGCGATATCGCGGATCTTCGGCCATTGCGGTAGTTGACAAGGAGCAACAAGAAGATCCTGTGTGATGTTGGAAAAGAGATTGAGAATACCGGAGCTACGTCTATCTATATCAACTGGCGTCTGCTCACTTGCATCGCGCCAGTGCTTTCAGACTTTGGACTGTTCTGTGATTGGTAGATATGGTTTGCTTGAAACCTCATCGATGCACCAAAGGATTGGACGTACACGCCGGACTGAAACGTTTGAGGTACATTACAAACCCAAAATGGTCGCCTGAGCGAGTCGCACACTGCCACTTTGAATCACACAGAAATTGAAACAAAACAACCCAGCCAGCACTGAGAACTCAAATACGATCGATTCGGGAACAGGCCTCCTTGTCAAGATCGTGCCTATCGAGTTGTCCGAATTCCTTGACATTGGTCCAATGGAAAACCAACTTGGCAACATCTGCCCCCGAGGATCTCGTATTGATGGTCTCTAGAACGTCCTCCAGAGCTCTGTCTTGACCCACAGCCATGTTGCAACCAGTATCACTTCAGTTTTCCGTTGGGGTCATAACACCCATTGTGACCGTGGATTGACTTGGGGACCAAGCGTCTGCATCGGGGAGCTCTTCGTATGGCCTGTCTTCCAATTGTTGACTTGATGAGCGGAGCTTGAGGATATCCTGTCTCATGGCACGTCTAGCAAGAACGCCTTCGATGATTCCATGGAGGAAATTGTCGAATCTCTTGAGTTCGCTGTACACACAGGTCAGTCCCTGGAATGTGCAGACATGCCTGTCTACATACTGGCAGTGGATCTTGTACTGGTAAATTACTGATGGTGCAGTGATACTGTAATCAAAGAACGCCATGACAACAATCAAGAGTTCAACAGTCATCTGCTGTTCTTGAAGGGTAATCGCCAAAGCGTGTAGCTTGTCGTTGATATGGTCGGGAGTGACGATATCCCAGATCTGGCTTGCTTGAATGATGTCTCGGAATTGATTCGAAACCTGTTGGCAGACCTCTTGAACGCATTTGACTGTCACTGTCGCGTTTTCATGCCACTTTGAAGTGCCCAAGGCGCATTGGAGATCCCTCAGTGTATAATGCATGACCAGGAACTCGGCTTGAAGCAGACCAAATGCCGGCTGCATACAAGCAGTTTGCCTCTGCATGCTAGTTTCTAGCAGTTCGTCCGAGATGCGAGAGCAGGCCTGAGCAGATCCAGTCACGCTGTTGCGTAGTCTCTCGTAGCACATCGGGATTGTCTGTGTGTACTTTTTGATGAGCTGGGATGGCATCCTGGGAACCGATGTAAACAAAGTGAAAAGAATGCCTCAGAAGATTGAGGTGGATGTCATGTTTAAAGTAGGAACAAACGTGTTGGGTCAGGTTTGTTCACTGCTGATCGCCCTCGAACTCTATCGGCAATCACGAGGACTGCTTCCTTCCTCAGGTGAGGAAGTCTGTGCATTGTCCCGCATAGTAACACTCGATCTGTAACACTGCACGTTGGTTCTCAGGACAAGGATACTCAACAGAACTCAGGAACCATATCGACTCCCCATGGATGGTGCACTTTCTTGGAACAGCATTGTACAGCTATACAGCTCAAAACATGTGTGTTCTCAAACGAGTCTTCACAATCCCACTGATCAACCTACCAGCCACATATCATCGATCATCCAATTCGACGCATGAGCAACTGGCTATTACGGACACACACATCAAATAGATGTCAAATCCTTTCTCTGGAAGCATGCGAAGACCTCAGCATTGGTCCAATGGAAGGCCAGCATTGCAAGGTCCCTTTCCTGGAGCTCATGACCTCCTCNTGGCCGATCGCTGTCCAGTCTGCTCTCATCCCCGAACTTATCTAACATTTCCTCAAGAGCACGAACTCCACTGTCTTTCCTTTGTCGACGCTTGGCCAGCTTTGTAGAATGACTTCCCGGAATTGGTAAGAACGAATAATCCATAGGGCCGCTTCCAGTATCGTTACGGTGGAAGACATAACTCCAATCTTCAGTCGGAGTCGTATTGCCCATGGTATGATCTGGGTAGGACCAGTTCTCAGTATCAGGTATCCTCTCCGAGATTTCCTCGATGTTGATGTCCTTGTAGTCTGGATCCAGCGAAGCAACCCTCAGCAACTTTGCCTGCATTTCCTGTCTCATACGGATCGCACATTGAAGCTGTTGACATCCATACTGGATTTTTTCTCGTTCNNACTGCAAAAGCTGTCAGCCGTTGCTAGTACTGAGGAATCTGGAGACTCACAGTTCTTCTAAACTCTTTCGGAGGCCGTACAGGGGNNGGAATGTCGGCGGCTCGCATGGCGAAAGCACATACATAACCATGCCCAAGAGGTTGAGAGTCAGCTCTTGTTTCTGCAAAANGATCTCAAATGCCTGCAGTTGATAGTGGAAATGATCTGGAGCCACAACATCCCAGGTATCGCACTGCCGAATGACATCTTGAAGAGCTTTGGCTACGTCTTGAGCGACTTGCTGCGCGTGCTTGACGGTCTTTGTGGCATTTGCGGTCCAAAGCCTCTGACCGGTAGGATGAGCCCAGGTATGCTTGATTTCTTGAAACGCTGATCGCATGCCGTAGAATTCATCTCCCAGATAGTCGAGCCCAAACTGTATACATGCCGTCGACTTCTTGATATCGTGCGAGTGCTTGATTTGGTGCCCAATCTCGACACATGCGGCAGCAGATCCGGTCAAGCTTGCATATAGACGTGACTCTGGTATTCTTATCAGATCGTGCCTGTGTTGCAGAGCCGGCATACTCGAGAGCGACATATCTCGGTCGTCCGATGCGTGGAGATTCGAAAAGGTTCTGCAAAACAGACAGGACCTGGACTTCTTGCGGCTTTTATACTCTCGGCTCAGGTTACTGTAAGGATTATCACACAAAGTCCCGATAAGCTTGAGAAAGAAAGCCCGAAAACTGGGAAGAGCGTTTGATGCTCGTCAGACGATCACACCAGGGAGTATGAGCAAGTTTCTCGCACGATTCGGAACCAAGAGATGGCTGGTTTCAACCATGAGATTCATTTATCTAGATAACGGTAACAATACACGTACACAGAAAGACAGGCATCACAAAGCTCGTGCGACTTTGCGGAGAGCGCTCATACGGATCGCTCGATATCGCAGAATCTCTCGTACTTCGTCCACAGGAACACCAGCCTGGCGATGTCTGCCGTTGTGATATCGGCTTCCATGCTGCTCACGATCGCCTCGAATGCTTCGTCCTTGGACTCGTCCTTCTTGTCTTCTTTGACAATCTTGTTGGAGCGTTCTTCTTCTGGGTGCAGGGTCTCCATGAGATCCTCCATGAACTTCTTGCATTGGTCATATGAAGACGCAGACCTCTCTGTGCTCAGGACAGAAGTTGCGAATCTCTCCACAGGAGACTCATTCAAGAACATGTCAAGTGATTGAGCGAATGTATTGGCGAGATCTCTCATGCCTTCCACCTCCTGTCGTGAGAAGGTTAAGGGAGTATCGTTGGGAGACTCTGTAGTGTCGCTCGTGATGCTGTCAATGTCGCTCCAGTCTTCTGTAGTCGGAGTCATGATACCGGTAGAGGATTGCGTTGAGGACCAGCTGTCAGCGTCAGGAGAGTTTTCGGTCGTGTCCTTGACAGTGTTCAGCCTCATCTGCCAATCTTTACTTCGCTCAACCAGATTGCGTCGGCTTCGCAGTAGGACTTGTACATCCGAATTACGAGGACTGTAGCCAACATCCCAGCTACGAGGTTGGTCAAATCCACAGTGATCCCCAAAGTTTCTGCATCTGTAGTGAGCATAAGCAGATACTCATACTTGTTTGTCGACTTACAGTGGGCGTTTGGACATTTTGAGCACTCTCCACATGATGGTAATATCTAAGGCATGTTTCATCAAGTTGTCCGTGAATACCTTCAGCTGGTCGTGAGTAGCTTTAGATACATGGCCCCATTCCGGAAGCGGTGCCAGTGTGTCCTGGATTCAGGTGACTGTGTTCTGGCATTGCCGTTCGATAGACTGGAGAGATCTCATACAAACTGGCCGGGACAGCTTGTCCCAAGAGCAGAACACGCCACGTAGACCATCGACGACCGTAGCCATCATTGCCACTTGCTTCTCAATGACAATCAGTTCAGGAGCGAGACAGGCATTGGTGGGTTTTCGTTGGCATGCAAACTTCTCTGCCATGGAGTGCCAGATGATGGAGCATCGTTCCTGCACATCATACACGGTCGAATCTTGTACTGTGGACGAAAGGATGCGTTTCATTCTCAGTTGATTGAACACATCGCAGGTGGCCGCGTCTGACATGACTACGGCTTGAGGATGAGAGTTGATGGAGGTCTGGCAAGAAAAAGGGACTGGTCAACTGAGAAACTGAGAAGTGGATTCCAATCGGGGACAATAACCCAAATGAGCGGGTAGGTGGAAAGCAAGAGTCAACAATCGGGAGAAGCAGAGACTAAAGACGTGGAGGTACCGCTCTCATGCTGGGATATATATATTCCCTGCAAGCTTTCAAAGCCCTGTTAAGTAATACTCGCAATCCCTAATAAGCTTTGGAAGAAGCTTTGAACGATAAGTAAAAGAGGGTATGGACAGACGATTTCGCGGAAGAAGGAGTAAACCCTGGTCATGTATTGGAACACCTCATGTTCTATGGTCGAGTCTCCGCGAGCAGGATATCGGCGTTATTTGAGTAAAGACGCGTGGCAAAAAGTCAAGTGTTTAGCACAGCAAATTTGCGAATGGATCTGAGTTTGGTAACTTGCTCTGCGACTTGGGAGTGGGAGAGCCACCGCTGACAGACTCCTGCGATATGCTCTCATCCACAGATGTTTACGCCGCTTCTTTGGCCCGTAATAACTTCCATTTGTCCAGTAGCGAATCCGTTTCGCAACAACTTCATCCATGACCTGCAAACCAATCTGCCGACGTCTTTAAGGTTCTCTCTTCGGAGCAAGCACTGAATTATCAATAGCATATGTTGTTCATATGAAGATGTGAAAGCTCATTCACGTCATGTTCAAAGCTGTTGAAATGTAGAAAAGGTTAGCAACCTGCACAGGATCGACTTTGAGTGATTTTTACTCACCTCCACACGCTTGAAGTCTTTGAACTCATCGAACGTCGTCCAGCAGAAGACTAGTCTTGCAATGTCTCGATCTGTGATCTCTGGACTCATGGTTTCGATGANCGATTCCAATGCCTGTTGAGCCTTGTGATCTTCCTCGCTGTCGGACGTCTCGTCATCCTTAGAATGAATCTCATTGACAGTGTCTGTGTAGGCAGTACGCTCCTTCATAAGAAGTTTACATGCATCACGCAAGAGCACACGTCCAGGGGAGTCTTTCGAGTGCAAAGACATGATCTCGGGCTGCGTAACGTGAAGCGAGTCGAGAAAGCCTACAACCAGCCCTTCGCAGTATCCGATATTGCGATCAGCGTTGACCGATATTTCCAATGGCAAAGATCCCGGGCTGCTGACTTCAGTCCAGTCTTCTGGGGGCGTCATGTTGCCTGCNNGACAGGTCCACCAGATGAAGAGTTGTCCAGAATAGAACGATTTGCTTGCTGCTTGGGCTTCTTGGAGGCGGCCTCCTCGCTACGTCTGTTTTCCTTGTTTTGTATGATTGCTGCTCGAGTCATCCTCAAGTGGATACGAACGTCGGTATGGACATCGGTACTGCTCGAATATTAGATTTCTGCTCTGCAAATGTATGAGGGGACCAGACCTTGCATCGAAAGTGAGCTTTGAGAGAGAGTTGGCTAGGTGAAGCTCCACGTAAAGATCGTATAAATCGAGGTGCAAGTTGTAGAGTTGCCGATCCGCTTCTTGAGGAATCGTGACCCAGTCGTGTGTGTAAGGCTCAATGAGACGTTCTATACCTCTGACGAATCCCAGAGCTCGAGTCGAACTGCTCTCCAGAAAGTTGTCGAAGTTTGCACTGAAGTTCGTGTTCTCGTGCCCGAGAATGCTTTCAATCTCATCTTTGCAGAACTCTAGCTGGCGGATTGCTTTGCTGATGTGACTGGTTAAGTTCGGATTCTTAGCATCAAATTTCTTCGTTCTCTGCAGCAAGTTCATGCAGATGCTCTTGTAAGAAAACAAGGTTTCTGGAACGTCGACATGTGCAGACTCTGCTCGCTCACAGGCTATCTCCTGCGTCATGGTGGACAAGAAGGATAAGATGTTGCAGAACATGGTATGGAAGAGCTCAAGGATCAATGCATCGATTGCTTCTTATCTCGGGATGCTGATTTGCGTTCTCAATCGAATGCTGAATGACAAAACAGTCCAAGAAAGTGTGTCGTGCGTTTCAGTCGGAAGAGTGGATATGAGCAAGTACTCTGCGGAAAGGAGATCAGCCGACCACCATCGCTCCTGCCAGTTATGGAACACATAGTTTCACTGATTTCTCGTCAGGCAAAGTCACGTAATACCCACTCATCCCATAAAGTCTTTGATGAAATGTCCTAGCTACAAGGTCAAACAACAATGCCAGATTTCCCTGCTTCTACTCACTTCATCCGAACGAACGCTTCTTAGTCGCACATCATGTCGAAGGATGTTGAAGCTCCCCGTTTAGCGTCCATTATGTCGTCCTCCGCGACATCTTACCGAACTGTTTGCAGAAATCTTACAGGCAGAACGAGAGAAAAGCTTGATACAAAAAATCCTTACTTACTTCCTTTTCTAAGTAAGATCATTTACGGCCTGTAGTACTGCGAAATGCAGGTTAGCTACCTTGAGACATATGCAGGCTCAAGAAGTTTGAGTGCGAACGCCAAATGTGTACTCGAAGCAGGATCGAAACGATTTTTGGACAACATTAGATGTATGGAATTTCTCATTGGACCTTTCGAAAACGGTTGGATGACACTCCCTCTTGATGTTGAAAGTCGATTCAACATTATCTGCTCCGAGATGTCATTACTTGGAGTGGAACTATACATTGTCAGAGAGATCGTCACGCTTGCATACGGACCAAGGTATGTTCCATGCCAGCTGTTCCTAAAGGATATCTTGACGTCTGACTCTTTCAAAGGCTCCTGTCGAGAAGTCAAGAAGGCATCCAATCCCAGCTGATCAGAAGAAGAGCCTCTATCATCGATATCGACAACAAGACCTCTGCTCATAATGAACGCACCAAAAAGCCGACCTCAGGAACCGAGACGCCAGGTCTGGACGAGTCCTCAGGGGATGGGTCAAGCACAGGCATCATGACACCTTCCCATTCAGATGACTGGAGTGATATCGGCAGCCAGGCACAATCAACTACAAGTCATCAACTAGACAAATTCCACGCAGCTGATTACAATCTTGGATGTTGTAAGGTCCAGGTGGGCAATGTAAGAGATATGCATGCAAAAGGCAAAGCGAGGACACTGAACCAGGATCAGGCTGCTGAACGTCACTCATGCTCCGTTATCGCCGCTATGAGTCCAGAGATTACGAAGGAAGACATTGCAGCACTCGTCTTCCATTGGACCACACTTGACAAGTTCAACGGATGTCATCGAGAGTAGGTGAATGTGACCATTTTTATCGTTATACTTCTATACTGATGAACCAGAAGGCAGCAATCAACAGCAAGTCATGAAGGCGGTCCAAGAACTGAAGTGAAGACACACGATAGCGATATTCGAGTGGCCAATGTTTGGCTGGAACCTTTATGGACACTAGTGGCAATCATGATTATCATATCGGGGCTTGCAGGATACGGACTTTGAATTCGAGGATATTCCTCTTTTGAACACTCACAACACAGCTTGCACAAATATTACACGTTAGCTATTTAACTTGGTCCGTTCTTGCACGTATCTTTTGTAAGACCCTCAAGTCAGAAGAAGTGAATATCATAGGCATGACTACCAGCTAAAGAAAAAGTTACGAAGGAATAGCTTATCAATATCAACCCATTACTCATAACCAGTTTTACAACGGAATCTGATTCTTCAAGCAGTTCCATCACCCATGGCACGCTTTGCAGCCTCATAAGATGGCGGCGGCATTACCGCCGTCAGAACATCATACTTGTGCTGCAACACCTCGACATATTGCTCAGCATTTCTCAACTTTGCTTTCAGGTCAGTAACAACCTGCTGCTCTAGGTTTACTCTGCTGGCAACGCGTTTGCCATCGACGACTTGAGTACCCAGTTTTTGAACCATCATGCCGTGTCTGGAGTTACGGGATGTAGCTGAGCGGGTGATTCTTGCTCTGGAGCGACTGGCTTGACCTTCGGGGCGGAGGACGATCCGCTCGATCTGGTTGTTGCTAAACCATTCATCGATCTTAGCAGAGTAGGGGTTACTGATCCGCTGTGCTGCCTGAGCGATCAGGCGGCGGTTTTGGAGATCCATTTGATGGAGGAGCTTGTCTCTCAGCATACGAAGGTGCAGGTCTCTGGCGCGAATGTCTCGACCTGCTTGCACCAACCGATGGGCCTTTTGATTATGTTTCAGGGACAGATCGATCGAGATGCCATGTTGAGAAATGAGTCTAGTCTTGAGATACTCGATCTTTTCGTCCTTGTCATTGATCTCTTGGAGCTTGTTCTCTAATCTAGGGAATGTAAGTTGCTGGCTTGTGATACAATGCTCGAATGCAAGTGGCATGAACATACTTAGTGACAGCTTCATTCACATACTCTTCGTGGCTCGCATATATAGGAGGGGTACTTCCAGTATTGGTAGCGCTGGTGGCAGGACCAGTGGCAGGACCAGTGGCAGGACCAGTGGCAGAAGGACCATTAGCATTTGCGACATCCACGGTATGGGCAGTAGTGTTATTAGCAGGAACGACGGAATTATATGAGGGCGGTGCAATAGCGGTGGAAACGACAGTCGTAGTAGGGTTGCTAGTGTGTACAGCCGCCGCAGTGTTCGAGCGAGTAGAGACCATGATTCCTTGAATAGTAGAATAATAAGTCTATTTTAAATATGTTTTAGTGTCCTACTAAGGCTATATTTAAGACGATGTAGAGAGTAATTAAGAGAATAAAAGTTAAGAGGACTTAAAGTCTGTTATATAATATTAGAAGAGGGGTAATTACTAAGCTTAGACTATTATAACTTGAATTTAAACTTTAATATTATTTTATTAAGATAGCTTTAATATTAGCTAATACTATTATTCTATATATCTATATATCTATATAGTAATAGATATATACTTATATAAAAAATAAAGATAGACTAGCTAGAATATTACTAGTAATAGTATAATATATCTTAGAAAGAAATATCTTTTAAAGAAATAATAATAAAAAAATTAGAAAATCTAGAATTAGAAGCTTAAAGCTAACTATATATACTAAGAATAAGAACTTACTACCTTAATAGTTCTTTAGTATATAATCTCTAATTATCTTATATCTATATATCTATACTAAAACAATACTATGTAATATAAATATATCTAGTACTAGTAGTATATAGACCTTAAAGAGATTTTAGAGAGCTTAGTAGATAGTAGTCATAGAGAGAGGCTATAATAGTAGAGATTATTTACTTATCTAAATAGTTGCTTGCTTGGAATACTATTCAATAAAATAATGTCTTATGGCTTAACAGTGGGGTGGTAGAAGCAAGCGCGGCGGTGGATCTGGTGGGCGTCGATGACGCTGCTTCTTCCGCGAATTTGCAGCTTCAATTGCCTCCAACACGTCGACAACGCCCGACAGTCACCTTCACTCGACGAACACCACAACACACTCCCTCTCTCCTCTCCTTGTCTCATTCATCGCGCCTCTTTGTTTGATACCCGTGGAACGCTTGAGTTTGATCCGCTTCACAAGCACCTCTCACTTTCACTCTCGCACGCACCACCCGCCTGCTTTCACCGCGCTCTCGCCCACCTACCTCGCACCATCCACCCAACATGGCCGACTTGCAAGAACTCTTCAGTCGCCTGAAGAGCCCTGCTTCTTCAACAAACGACCAGCAAACCCAGCAACAGCAGTCTCACCCTTCCATCTGGGCCCAACCTCAACCCCACTCGTACCAACAGCCCTCTGTCTCATCGCCTCTCTTCTCGCCGCCCATCCACACTCCCAATCCGCAGCATCCTTCGGCAATCATGAGCCCCAGTCTCACGCCTGCTCCGGGTGACTCAAAATCCAACGATCTCTTGAACTTGCTCAAGTTCAACTCCAACCAGCTTGCCTCTGGCATGAGTCCTTTGGCTTCTCTGCAGAACATTGCTGCTCAGAACCCATCTCCTCAGCTCCACNNCCCTGCCCAGCAACAGTCTCGATCTGTCTCAGCTTCAGATCTGGTCGCCTCTTTCCATCAGAAGCCATCGAGCGCCTCTTCTCTGCGTATCTCAATGGCCTCGCCTCAGCCTGAGCAAAAGTCACAGCAGCCTCTGGGTGATGCTCAGAACTTCCTCCTTGGTCTTCTGAACCGCCCCAAGAACGGTCCCGCCGCCGACATCTCGTCCCCGGCCATGCAACCTGCTCAAGCTACTGAGCCTATCATCAACGAGCCTGCTCCTTCCGCCGCAGCCGTTGATCCCCAGGACCCTTCTGTACGTCTGTTTGGCAGCGCCGGATCCCGCGAGACTACTCCATTCGAAGGTCCTTCTCAGACAAAGAAGCCGGTCTTCACCTACGTCAACCCCTTCGAGCAGATGACTGCTTCGTCGCCCAAGCCCGGCCTCAAGACCGAAGGCCCCAAGCACCAACGCGATGTCTCTCAACCCGAAGACACTGACAACGGTCCTCCCAACGCAAAGAACCGCAAGATCACATCTTCGGTTCCCTCACCATCTCCTTCTCCTCGCCCAGCCCAGCCATCGACCGATGCTCATCAAAGCGTGGCCGAGGCTCTCAGCGGCATTGGCGAGAAGGTCGACAAGCAAGTTGANAAAGCACTTGCCCAAGCCGACGGTGCCACATCTGCCTCGAAAGAGAAGACAAAGGCTACCGAGGAGGTCGCGGATAGTTGGGAGAGCGCTGACGCTGACGAGTCTGGTAAGGACAGCAAGGATTATGCTGTGCGCGTTTACAACTTCCCCATGAGACCTTTCGTCTCTATCACCATCAACAAGGACAACCATGCCACTGCTATGCGTTCCGACTCGCTCATGGACATTGCTCGTCTAAAGAAAGACTTTGAGCAGATCGACCGCGCGCTCGTCACTGCTTCTCCCAACCACATTGTCTATGCCATGTCTAAGAGCGGCGGTTTCCGTGTAATCCGCCAGGATTCTGGCAAGGACAAGCAGGTCTTCCGCTCCACTGCCGAGCGTGTCTTCAACGTTCAGATCTGCACTGCCAGCGGCACCCACAAGGACATCGAGACAGTCCTCGCGACCGGAGTTAACGGCTCTGTCTTCTGGACCAGCATCAACAAGGTTGAGGGCGATTCCTTTGACGACCTGGACCTTGAGTCGCAAGGTTTCGTGCTACCTCCCGTCCCTGTTCAAGATGACAACACCTCTGGCAGCCCTGTTAAGACCAGAGCCAAGATGAGCTCGCGCAACGCAGACTTCTTTGCCATCTCGAGAGGCAAGTCCATCTACATTATCTCGCCTTTCGTTGCTCGCCAGAACCAATACACCGATAAGAAATCTCGTGTTGTCGACAACGACAAGTACCTGCAAGAGCGCTGCTTGAAGATTTCGACAGGCAAGGCTGGTAAGGACTTTGCCTTCAGCGGCGATGACAGCCTGCTTGCATCGCTCGACAAGAGCGGACGCATCAAGTTCTGGGACATCCGTGACATGGCACAACAAGCCCGTGAGACGGCTTCCTCTGGCAAGCGCCCTGCTTTGGAGCGTAAGGATCCCCTGCTCACCTTGACCACAACTCTCCCTGCCGAAAAGGCTACCCCTTCGTCCATCATGTTCGTTGACAAGGAGAGACCATGCGTTAAGGGCGTTGCTCTCCGCTACCTGCTTGTTGGTCTGAAACAAAACCACATCCTCCAGCTCTGGGACCTTGGCCTCAACAAGCCTGTTCAAGAGCTCCACTTNCCCCACGACAAGGACTCTGATGCTATTTGCAGCATCTCCTACCACCCCAAGACAGGAATCATCGCTCTCGGACACCCCACCCGCAACTCGATCTACTTCATCCATCTGTCGGCTCCTCGCTACAACATCCCTAGCATGGATCAAGCGAGATACACAACTATGCTTGCTGAGCAGGACCCCAACCTGCCTCGTCCTGAGTCTACTGCTATCATGAGCGGTATTCGCGAGCTGTCTTTCGCTTCCAAGGGTCAGCTGCGCAGTGTGGACATGCTCCACACCCCTGTCACTACCGAGGCTTCCAACGACGTTCTCTTCGAGCTGTATGCCATGCACTCTAAGGGTGTCACTTGCATGAACATCAAGCATGAAGACCTGGGCTGGAGCCGCGACAACAAGGTTCTCCAGCCTGTCGATGCCGAGACCTCGGGTTTCATCTCAGTCGCCAGCATCTCTCCTAACGCAGCCACTGCTGAGGCACCTCCTAAACCCGCCAAGGCTGCTGCCCCTCCTGTCTCTGAGAAGTCTGAGCCTGCTAAGCCTGCTCCCGCTGCTACAAAGCCTGCTACCAAGCAGGAGCCTGTGGTTAATGGCGCTTCCAAGGCTGAGAAGTCGAAGAAGGCTGTTCCGGAACAGAACACTACTGAGGCTGCAACTAACCCTGCCATCCTTACTCCTGCCTCATACGCTCTGGCCGCTCGACCCAAGGCTTCTACTACCGAGGCTGCTCCTTCAACCAAGGAGCCTACTCCTGCTGTCACACCATCAGCTGCACCTATTGAGAAGCCCGCAAAGAACGCCGAGGTTGCAACTCTTGTTGACACCGACACCATCAACCAGGCTGTCAGCGACGTTCTGTCCAGAGAGATCGACTCACTGTACCGTAGACTCGATGACGACAAGCGTGTCCAAGATGCTGCTGCCGCTGCTAAGCAAGATGCCGTCCTACGCCTTGTGTCTAGCACTTTGACCGACAACGTTGAGAAGACTCTCAACAAGATCATCGCCACCAACATTACCAGCAGCGTTGTTCCTGCTATCGTTGAGACCAGCTCCGCCTTGTTGAATGAGAAACTTACCGCTGCTGTCTCTCAACATGTCGCAAAGGTTGTGCCCGGCGAGCTCAAAGCTTCTTTGGCTCCCGCCATCGCAGCTGCACTGCAAGAGAAGGAACTTCAGCGCGTTATCTCCGATCAGACCGCCTCCAAGCTCGCCCCTCAGATCGAGCAGTCGTTCGCCACCGTTCTGCGCAACTCAATTGTTCCTAACTTCACAAACCTCGCACAGACCTCGACAAAGAAGGCAGTTGCCGATGTTGAGCGCCGCTTCACTGAGCAGCTCCGTGATGCTGAGGTGCAGCGCCAGAAGGACAATGCTAAGATCGAGCAACTCTCGGACTTGGTTCTCGGACTGTCAAAGACAATTCACGAGATGGCTGCTGGACAATCCGCTTTCCAAGAGCAGATTCTCAAGCTTCAGCGCCAGATTGCCGGTGACAACTCAACACGCTCTGCTGTATCTACTGAGGCCGATGTTGTGGCTTCCATCGAAGATCCCGAGTTGGACGGCATAACAGCCCTGATGACCCAGGGCAGATACGAGGAGGGAACCATTCAGTGGCTTCAGTCTGAACGCCAGGGCGAGCTCTTTGACAAGCTTTTCGTCCGCATCAACCCTCAATACCTGCAGAGACTTAGCCCACTGGTGTCGCTCTCTGTTTCGGCCGCGCTTACTTCGTCGTTCGAGCAGCACGTCGACGAGCGACTCTCTTGGCTCAGCACTGTCTTGTCAACCATCAACCTCAACGACGCCGAAATTAGAGAGGTTGCTCCTAAGATTATGGATGTTCTCCAGCAGCGCATGCAGGGAGCATACATGTCGATTGCCGAGAACAACGCGCAGGACCCTGCCTTGCGCATCGTCTCTGGCCTCTCTCGCCAAATCAACGACATCAAGAAATTCGCTGAGCACGGTCTTTAATAGTCTTTTGGACTTGTGATAATAGCAGAGCGAAGAGTTGGAGCTGAAAGATGCCCGAGCCTTTGCTTCAGCATGACGCTCAACGCTTCGTGTCTGATGACTTTACGGATGATGATACCTCGGCGAGGCGGAAGCTCATTGTGCATAGCGACTTCGCGGAACACAAGAACTGCGCATGAGACATGATGGTCTGATGACGGCAGTAGAAGAGATGACAACGAGCATGTCTCGTTCGCGCCGAGAGGAGGAAAGGAGAAAATAGATGAAGTTTCTCTGATAATCAAAAGTAATGGAATGTAATTTAGAATGACCTTGTTCTCTCAATATTGTAATAGTGATGGTTGTTATCCTCGTCTCCAACTGATGGATCATGCTGAGGCTCCGTGAGAAAGTGTGGGAAAGCACATGTCAAAACACTCCATCTTTGCATAAACCAAACATTAAACAAACCCGTAACCACAACGCAAAGATGCTGTCGCTACCTCTGCTAGCGCCTCAAAATGTAAGACCAGTGGTATGCAACTAGGCGAAGACGTAAAGACTTACAGACTCAATANNGGAATACTCCTTCTTCCTCTCACCCCACCTACGCCCACAATCGTCCCACAACNNACCTCGAATGCCGCAGACAACAATGTCGCACAGCAATCCCGTCGCCAGACCTCACAGCAAACCTCTGCGCCAACACGACAANTCGCTAGCCCAGCTGCTCGCCGACGAACAAGCCATCTCGCACCGCAAACACAACATCCGACGCTTTGGCGCAGGCTGGATAAAGCCGCCGGGCGTAGCCAAAACACTACAAGCAGAGACTGAAGAAAAAGCCGAGAGGGAAGAGCAAGAAGCTTTGCAGAGAAGAGAACAAATGATGATGGACATGCAAGCACAACAAGAAGCCGAAGAGGCAAGAAACAGAGCAGCAGCAGCAGAAGAGCAGGCAGAAGGAGAAGAAGAGCAAGAAAGAGATCTAGACGAAGAGATCCCCGATGCCGATGGCGAAGAAGAGGAAGAAGACGACGATGAGGATATCACAGACTCGGATGAAGAAGAGGAGGACGACGAAGAACAAGAGGAGATGCAGAGTGAATTGCAGTCGGAAATGTTGTCACAGATGCACAGCGAGATCCCTGTCGCAGAAGACATTACTTTCAATGAGGAAAGCATGTTTGCGGATACGAGTATGGCTGCTTTGGACGAGGAGTCGAGAGAGCAGGAAAGGTATCGCCATCTGCAGGAGGCTGAGTTGACGGGTGTGGCTCAAGATGAGCTTGATTTGGGCATTGAAAGGGATTTGGATGACAGTGTGCCAGAGGCGGGCAGCTATCAACACACGGACAGCGAGCTTGAAGATTCAGACTCAGACGATGAGGACGATGAAGAGGATGAGGAAGAGGAAGAGCAGAGTCAATTGGAACCACAGGAAGACGAGCACAGCGAGATCGCGGGAGCAGTCATGCAACGCAGCCGTAGTAGTCTGTTGAGCAGAGACGTGAGTTCGCTACTCGACAGCTCCTTCGTCACCAGCAGTCCTGCACCCATCGGCCGCCTGAGATCTGCCGGTCACAGACCCTACCAGAGATGATGACTTTACTCTTCATGAACCTTTCTTGCATTTGTCTCTTTTACTCGTTACAGCGAAGATACCCCCATTATCATCATATTACAATTCTTTCCATCCTTCGTAACCTCTCTTTACATCCCGTCATCCTCGTTTTCTGTACAGAAGCGTGCGTGAAAAGTTACCAGAAACGCCTTCGCTAAGAACAAAAGACCAAAATCGTGTCTTCAAAAAGCTGTGTTCGTGTTTCGTCTTTTGGCATGCCTTAGAACAGCCAGACGTACCAGAACAAGACAATGACAAAGGCAAAGAAGCCGAGCCACACCTTCCAGCCCACACCGGTGCTCTGCGCCATACGCAGCATACGGTTCATTGTTCCCTTGAGCTTGTTACTCGTATTCGAGAACTGGTCATTCATCTTTTCCGCCAGGGCAGTCGAGTCGCGGATTTCGTCGCCGATGCGCAAGGTAAGNNCTGCAAAACACACGAATCAGCACTTCACTCGTCCTCCTTGTTTCTCAAGTACACCACTCACATCTTTCAGCATGCCAACCTTCTTGCTCATCTCAGACACCTGCTCATCATTCTGCGATTCCAACTCGGAGAGCACGGCATCGCTGAAAGCACCTCGTTTATCCGGAGTCGCTGTGCGGAAATTGGCTCCAGAGTTGCCTCTTTCTGTGTTGCTGCTGCTGCCGGGATATGCGGCGAATGTGTTGTTTGCAGAGGATGAAGGAATGCTGTAGCCGTTGCTTGCCGCGTATGGGTTTGGCGATGTGGAGGTTGGACGTGAGCGTTGGTCGTAGCCTGAGAAGAGGGAGGAGCGGTTGTTGTCGCGTTGGTGGAATCTGTGGGCGCGTGGTTTGTTAGTCTTGGGTTGTTTGCATGGGCGGTGTGCTAAAGAGGGTCATACCTGGATGCCATTGTGGATGGAGGTATGAGGGTTGCGCAAGGTATGTGGCTATCGTGCCATGAGATTGGGTATACGTGTTATGCTGTCGACAGAGTCCGGACAGAGACGTTGCTTCTTGCGCTTTCGTGCGTGTGACTCTCAGTTCTGTGGTAGGTAATTGCGACTTAGTCTGGTAAGTGACGTTGTGTAGAATCGCTGCTGCCTCTAGCTGGGAAATCAATGTCAAAGATTCTTATTGGTTATTGCCAGGCTATGCTTCCAAAGCTGCTGTAGCTCAGTGGTAGAGCGTGGGATTGCAGTTTCTGCAACTATCCTAAGGTCCGTTGTTCGACCCAGCGTAGCAGCTTTGCTTTTGCCCCTTGCCTGTGCAGCAGGACACTGTTGTTGAGGCGTGGCTGAATGGGCTGAAGCCTCAGGCTTCTTTTGCTTGAGAAGCCTCACAGCGTGACTCGACCTAAGAATCAATTGATGCACTGCACAAAGACATGTCCATGACTGCTTCATACGGCCGTCAAAAAGAAGAAGACGTGCCGTTGACGTCTTTGTTGTCAGAAAGCGGCAAAGAAAAAGCTGCTACGCTGGGTCGAACAACGGACCTTAGGATAGTTGCAGAAACTGCAATCCCACGCTCTACCACTGAGCTACAGCAGCAATGAAATTTTGCTTAATTTTTCTGTCAACATCATCTTCACGCTCAGGGCCTGTACAGCACACGCAGTCAACGCGTCCAACACGCATTGGACAGAGATGGCATAGTATCGAAGCTTTTACAGCTATTTCAGTGAACTTAAGTCGAGAACTCGACCCTTTGAGCAACAATAGCGCCAGTTTTTTACCCACCAGAACCCACCTTGGTATCTCAGCAATTTAGTCTCCTTATCCCTCCCAGTACGCCATATAAATCAATGTGTCAAACAAAGAGAACTACCAAGCATAGCCGTCCTCGTCAGCTTCTGCACCTTCCGTCCACTCCTCGTCACCACTAGCCTCAGAGTCCAGGAAATGTGACTCGTTGAACTGCTCCTCACGTGGCCTTTGGTTGTCGATCCGGACGTCAACGACAGTGCAGAGTCCTTGGATGAAACGTTCGGGGGTGTGACGCCAATCTTCACCCTCTTTAGTGTTTTCGTCAGAAGCGACCGATATGGCATCAGAGCCTCTGCGACCACGCTTGCGACGACCACAAGCCTTGTTCACGACTGGTGGGGTGGGGAGTGGTGGCGGAGAGGCTGGTTTGATGACACGCCTAGCGCGGCGTTTGGCCAGAGGCTCATCGTCTGAAATTTGCGAAGCCTGAGAGGTCAATGAAGGCTTACGCACGACAATTTCCACATGACTCAGCGAACGACGTAACTTTGCTTCTTTCCACTCTCTGAAGGTTCGGAAGGAAGCAAGCTTCAGATCAGGGTCTTGAGGATAGCGTTGATATACTCGGCGTAGACGTTCAATCCATTGGTCTCTGAAAGCTGCTCTATCTCGCCATGAGATGTTGATATGAGCTTGCAGCACTAGCCTTCGAAGGTCTGGTAGAGATTCGGCAGATTCGACTAGAGAACGGAAGAGGTTCTGTGCAGCATTGGCGCNCCCTAAAACTATTTCAGCATTGTTGAATGTACAATCGGATGTTCTGACTCACCACTTCTGCAAATGAACGAGCTCCAAGGTTTGGAGAGTGGAGGGCCAGGTTGGGATCTCATCCTCGAGTAACAGATTTTCGTATTTTGGTTCTCCGAAATGGCGGAAATGATTTTCTCTGTGATCGTACAGATCCATCTTCAATGACTTAAGCTGTGGACAAGACGTGCGCAGGCCTGTGAAGAATGCGAGGTCGAGGAAAGGGTTGTGATCGAGGACCAGCTCCTTGATGCTGTCGACTATCTGTCAGCGATGTCTTTGGAAGTACGTACGCAGGAAGATAACGTACGAATGACCATGGCTATTCAAGTATGTGCTCAGCATGTCTGAATCGAGAGGCATGCAGTTGATGAATTTGACAGTCCTAAGATTGCGTGGTAGTTGAAGCAAAATGTGTTCCGACATACGATCACAGCTTTCGAAAGACAAAGTCTCCAGGTTGGGTAGACCACTAAACACCTTGCCGAAAGCGAGGTCTGCAGCAGTCTCCTCCTCAACATCGAGCGTTGCTGTCTTTGGTGGAAGATGCGCGATGGTCAGATAACGTAGACTCTGGAAAGAAGGTCTCTGATGGACCTGGGTCATGAACTCGGTAAATCTGTTCGTGTGTCAGCATCGAATCTCGACTCATGTACACCCTCTTGTCAACCTACTCCTGAAATTCTGCTTGGCCATCTTTTGCTCTATGANATGTATGTTCCACCTCCAAGACTCGAGGTGGTTGTTGTTTCCATCGAGCGCTTCGAAAAGGTCCAGAGGATACTTCCATCGGGGGAATCGACCTTCGAATTCGTACGGTGGTTCGTCCAACTGATGCGTGATAATCAACGAAGAAAGTCGTGGTAGTTTCGATACAGTCTCAGCAAAAGAAGATGATGTAGAGGTTCTAGCAAAGGATTCCAGGTTGCGGGCAGACACTTCTAGGCTCGTGACTTTCATATTATACGAGTACAAGTGCTGATCGTTAGGTTGCTTGATTATGGTAGAAAAGTCCTCAAGCCATCGTGCTGCCAGAAGGTTTGGGGCTCTGTAGAAAGCTGTCAAGGCTGGCTCTGAAAAGGCTCGACAGACCTTGCGAGCCGTCCTCATGATCCATGTGTTCGGGTGGTGGACTCTTCGGCTCGCAACACCACCTGTTTCGTGCTCGAGTTCGGCAGCGAAAGCATAACTGAATATCTGCAACAAAATTTCGTAGGGGAGAGTATGCCACTTAGGTATCATTCCATCACTTGAAATCAGAGGCACAAGAGGTGCAGCCTGCTTTGTCGGCTTCGAGGTATGTTTAGTCTTCCGCTTGGGTGGCGACTTTTTTTGACCAGGCTTCTTCGTGGCAGACCTGGTCTCTCTCGGAGAAGATTTGCTCGTTCGCCTTTTGGTTATCTTCGGTCGCTTTTGCTGCGATTCTAGAAACTCGACACGCTCGCTAGGAGAATCCTGAGCATCGGCAATGTCGAAGTCGTCATCCGTATCCGGGTCCATGTACAAACTTCTCTTTCGAGTTATGGCCTGACGAACCGAGCGACGCTTTGATGCCTCAGACTCCATGTCGAGCAAGTTGCTCTATGTCAACATCTGACGACCAGAGATGAATATGACTGTATGTTTGTTCAGTGATTTTTCTGAGAGTTCGTGGTCCACAAGGCTGCTTCTTTCGAGACCCTGTCCATGAATCGGGTGGTCCAAGCGCCCGCCACCGTCATCGTTCTCTCCCAGGGTTCAATGCTTACTCATGCCACAACCAACTCGAATGACCGCAGCCATAGATAGAATTGCTTCACTTGACCATTTCTTGGAGGCATGGTGCGATGGTTCGATCATTTCTCGGACATCGCATCTGCGCATGACAAAGTATCATCAAATAAGCCCTGTCATTGTTATGTTCACAAGTAGAAACATTCACATTCCTCGAATCTGAGAAGTCAATGATTCAAAGCATGTCATAACTATACCACGCTCTTTTATTTCACTCCAGCACCCGCAGTGCAGTGGAGCGAAGGCTGGTTTTGAGGAAATGTCAGATGTGACTGTTGCAGAAAGAACGAAAGCAATTTATTCGAGTATTTTTGTCTCGAAGAACAACAAGATAATTGAAGACCCAACCTACCAGGCTCCCCCCTCCAAACGCCATATACAGTAGAGGAAACAGCTCAACGGCATAAAAACATGAATAGCATAAAGAGGGAACTAACACTAGGCTCTGCCGGTAGTGATACCAGTACTAGGTTGCTCGTTGTTCCAACTCAGGTAGGTATGGTCACCGAGTTTCCTAGTTCAAAGGTCAGAATACAGATGTGCGATGTGCCGTTAGGGGATAACATACCTGGGCCTGATCAAGTGGGTTGCAGTGAACAAGGCACCAAGGACAATGCAGACACCAGCGACTACGATGTATGCAATGCCGAGGAAAGGGTTACGACCACCCATAATAGTGCGAGTACTCAAGAGGATGGATTTTGTGCCATCGTAGACGTTAACGGGGAAGTCTAGGAACCAGTCAGCAAGCGGCAAGAGATGTTAAGCAGGTGTTACTCACANGTCATAAATATCCATCTCATACTGCCCACTATGCATGGTGGCAGTGTCGTTACGCAGAGCCAGTTTGCTGAAGGAAGGTAGACCGGCGGTACGCATCCATACATGGAATTCTTCCCAAACGTGGATGTTTGGAATGGGGATATCATCACTGTACTCGGGGTACATGACGCGCCAGTTTGGTGGAGGGCTCACCTGGTCGACAGTGTAGGGAGTTTTCTTGTATAGCTCACCATCACTTGCCCATGCAATACCCTTGTTGACCATAGTGTAGTTCACAGGCGCGGCATCGTTGACCTCGTTCAGCAGGCGCGGAGTAATAAAGCTGTCGTTGAACAACGAGTTTGCGATCAGGCCGCAAGGGTAGTATGCCTTACCGTCGGCATCGAGACGCAGAGGGTCACAATCGCTGTTGGAGATGGTGCTATTATCGACAAATTGTCCTTCGAGCTGGTCCGAGTCGAACGATTTGACATAGCGACGGTGGTTTTGGTAGAAGTTTGTGAGTTGGTAGTAGAGAAGGACGGGCGGGGCCAGGTCGTCCGGGATCCAAAAGCGCAGCGTGCAAACGGGCGTGTCGATGCTGACGGCACCGTTGTGGTATTGAATGGTCTGGTTGCGGGTGCGCCATTGGGGAGCTTGCGAGGGGGTGGTGGCATTCTTGAAGCGGCTCGAGACATAGTTTGAGGGAATGGTTGCGAAGGTGTCGGAGGGGGCATCGCGTGTGCAGTGCTGGTATTCGATCGACATCTCCTGAACCTGCGAGCTCGCCCATAATAGCAGTCCTCCCAGAGGGGCGAAGATGATTCCGACAGCGAAGAATAGCGGTAGCACCGTCTTGGGGGTGAGNNGGATGGGCTGCCACGCCTTCAAGCGCTGCTGTCGGAAGGCCGTGTNCTATGTTGTCATGGTCAATGTGTGTTCGCTGCGCTGTCGAGTCGGCCGGGTGGACCTACTGGGCGGTCTCCTGCTCTTTTCCTTCTTGCCATCCTGTGCTGCTTGGCCCTCCTGCGAGTGTATCGAGTCCTGATCCATTTGTGTATGCGCGCGATGATGCGAGGAGCAGCAACAATAATTCACTTTAGTCTCTCCAATTCACTTCCAAGGGTCGCGTCGCAAGGCTGCATCCGTGCTCACCTCCTCGTCCGAGTCGGCTTCTTTTGAGCCGCTAATTCCGGCTCCGCCCCCTGCTTATTTTTTGGTTTCTGTTTGACTTCAGCACCTCGTCACACCCTCTTCACATGCAAACGTCAATCTTCTTGTTGTACGACTGTCCATTGCGTGTTCAATTGCGAGCTGTATTGCTTCTGATGCTATCTAAAGCCCTTCACCCGGGAGGTATCCAATACCTTTAACGCCGTATACTGCAGAGTAGAGTAATCCTGAGCGAGTAGAAAAAATCAAAACGCCTGCCCTAACCATTGTCCCATGCCCTTCCATCCGTATCCGCTTGTGTGTCATCAGGGTGCATAGTCGTTCGTGAATCCGATTGTATCAAAGGAAAAACAATAAAGAGAGTTAGAGAGAAACATAAGAAACGAGAAGGGAAGAGAGAGAAAAGCCATAAATCAGAAAGGGTGGTTGAGTAAGAAGAGAAAGTAGACTGGAATAATCAGTCTGCCAAGTTTGAGAACGGAAGTTCTCAGAGGTGTTTCTGCATGTGTTTCTCATCAAGCCAACCGACCTTGTCAAAAGCTTTGTGCAGCCTGCTGGTCTTGTTGACATCGATGCCGGTTATGCCGTACTCATCCGCTCCTTTGCAAGCAAGTTGAGCCGCGTTGATGTTGAAAGATTGACCCTTTCTTGCATACGCAAGACGATGAGCAAAGAAGCGACGCTTGATGTAGATGTAATCTGAGGGTGTCAAAACAAGTTTCGAGACGATTGGAATCTCCTTGGCATGAAGGAGGTGGCAATCCTCATGATCGGTCACATCTTGTGGCGTTGCCTTCCACTCAATGGTCGGGAAGTTTACTTGGTCGCTGTCCAATGTCGACGTAGGTGGGCAGTAGTCAGGATAGATCAAGAAGTTGCGTGCGACTTTGTCTGCTGGTGCCTTTGATTTATTTGCGTCATTCGTGCGGCGCCTGAACTTCTTGTCAGGCACATCCAGGGGTACCTCACGAGGTGAGACCGAAGGCTTCAAAGGTGCTTTGCTAGCAGATGTCTTCCTCGTGCGCTTGGGCGGAGGCATCTCGACACCACTGTCGACTTTGCGCTTGTCATGGTGGTTTCTGACAAACATGGCGGCGTCGGAAGGTGAGATTCGCTCCAGATCCGCGAGGACACCTGGAGGTGTTGCTATTGGGAAAGTAGGCTCAGGTAGAGTGGCTCTTGCAGCCTTGAAGATTTCGGCCCTTTCGACCCATTCGTTGCGGATCGGTGTGACATACGTGTCGGGATCAGCGATTTGCCTGGCCCAGAAATCATTCCTTCCGTATCTCGGAGTGCCTGGAGAGATTGGTCTTCGCATATGGATGTCGAATGCGGTCTGTCTCTGCTTTGGCTTCCTACCAGGTGGATATGATCGTCTGGTAGAAGCACCATGTTTAGCGCTGTTCAGACTGTGTGAACCGTTTTGCACAGGACCATATGGAGAGCGAGGTCGCTGGCTGGGTTCAACCTGAACAGAGGGCTCGATTGGGATAGGTCGAGGAATGCCGCTAAGATGTGGCTGCGGTCCAGTAATCCCATCAAAATTGTGTTGCTCTGAGGGAGCGAATCGCTGCTGGTCTTGCTTGGATAAGGCAACAGGTTGGAGTGCGCGGGTAGCGCTTCCAAAAAGAAATTGCGGTCTTGCAATTTCATCAGTAGTTGTTGGTTGATCGGGGAACAGTGGAGCATCATGGCTTCTGTTGAACTTGTTTGGTGACGTCAAAAGGGTATCAGTAGGACTTCTGTAATGTGCGACGGGCAACTGTGGAGATGAAGATGGAGATGGCATTTGCTGTACAAGACTGCTAATGGGTGGCAATGTGATCTTCTCCCTGCGCAGTGACGAAGCGACATGTTGATCATCGAAGATTGGTGATGAGTGTGGAGGAAATGTGTGGTTGATCTCGTCTGCTGGAGATGGATAGACGCTGGTGGCGGGTGCCTTGCCCTTGGTCATGTTTGAAGCCATCGCGTCCGCTTGGTCAGTGGTAGATTGTTGCATTTCCCTCAAGTAGGAATACTGTGAGTTGAGCGCAGCAGAACCCATTGGCTCAAAATCGGAACCAATGCTCTGATGGTTGTGTAGATGAGTTTCCACTTTATAGGTAGAGAGTTGATCTGTGTAGAAGAGAGACGGAGACAAGAGGAGAAAGAATAGTGGCGAAGGGTAGATATGTATGTCCTCGGAGCAAGATGAGTCTAAATCCGACGCAATTGAGTGCAGTTTAAGCTTTGCACTTAAAAGTCGCTGCCTGCTGAGTCAATGGCTCGAGAACTGGTTGTCCAGTCTTATCAAGAGGGTTTGAGGTGGAAAAGCACGCGATGATGACCAATGGAGAGATGTGAGAGAAAATGCGCCCGTGGTCGATACGAATGGGTTGCAAGGAGCAAGTCTTGTGAAGATATGGGGAAGAGGGAGCATCCGTATGATATGTCCGGGTAAGACATGCTCATGCAAGAGCGAACAGGCAGCAGTACCTACCTAGGGTCTGCTGACGAATAGATGCGGCAAAGGAATAACGCGGAACATCGAAGCTGCTCGAATGAGAGAAGGCAAATGGCCGCCCAGCAGAGAGCAATTGGCCAGCGAATAAGCGGCTGCGCTAGTTTACGAGTGCGATGCACCGAATCAATCGCCGCTCACCTGGCTGTGGACTGTCACGTTGCTCCTCTGGCAGTCCGGTCCGCTGCTACTTTTGCGGCGCAAAACGTTGGTTGTGTTGTCGTGATTCCAAGTTTGAGTCATCCTCTTGGGTTTCGGCTCGACTCCGCCTCCGGACCCTGCACCAAGCCTTTTCCGTCTGCGGCTCTGCGAGTCTCAATCACCGACGATGATGCTGCCATTGCTGTCGAACTCTCTCTCCCTATCGCTGCGTTGGCTCAACACGAAACCCCCTCTCTTGCCGCTTGTTTTTAATCTCACATCCACGGCTTGGATTCTACACTGTCTGAAACCATTGAGGTATGACAATCGCGTCGACTGTATCAGCCCATTGATCCCGCCCATTGGGCAACAATCCGCTTAGAAAAGCATCGGGCTACCGCGCTCGGTCAGAGACGAACTACACGCGATTGAGCGCACCGCCTCGGCGCCTCCTCTTCCTTCTCTGCTCGATCGAGATTGGTTGAGAGGGGCAGACGTAGGCAAGCGCCTGGTAGTATTTGTCCGCTTATCAGGCGGAGAGGCCATCAGATCAAGCATCAATCACGCATTCGCCCGAGCGGGATTCTGCCTGCGTTCGGCGAGACCAACATACCCCCCTCTTGTAGACCCCGCCAAGCAAGTGACTTCAATGCCCGGATACGGATGATATTCCTACTCTAGCTAGGGCCGTCAGCAATTCAATGCCTTGTTTGAGGCTGTCGAGCGTGGGTGTGCATGAAGTGAACGATGTCTTCATCGTCAATTGACCCTCCACTATTAAGTGTCAAGTGGCCGACTGACCCATTAGCTCATGCAATATGGAGTCATTGTTGCGAGCGATTCTGACATGTGAAAGTCAAGGCCTTCTCGAATTGACTTTGGTATCTTTGGTATCTGGTGCATCAACGGCGCGATTGTGGCGCACACCCCACGCCTGAGAAAGGTACCCCTCATCTTGTGGCCACCCGCTTCCGCCTCTACTCTTGTTGAACGACGGTCACACGGCAGTCTACAGGCTACTGTTCTGTCGGCCGATGACCTTCTCGCTGATACGTCCGTATGCAAAGGCTCTCCTGTCTTAACTATAGCACCAAATCAAGTTGCATCCACCAAGACGAGTAGTAGCAAGGTATAATAGACGACCTGTATCCACAGTCTGTGTTTGAGGACCCTAGCCGGGGCGGTTGACGATAGCCTAGACCACTGTGCCGGTGAACACCACTTCTGAAACAATCTCGTGCCGATGAGTGCTCTCGTTCACGGGATCGCAGAGTACATCCAAACCGACCGATGCGTGACTTTGGCTATATTGCACTGCTTCGAGCGCAATTACGGTCTAGTCGTGATCATCTGCACGGTTCTTTGCAGCAGACAGCAGGGCCCTATGCAGGTCTTCGGCTCATGACTTCAACAGATGCGAGTAATCATCGGATAGCCGTGATTCTGGTCATGAAGGCTATGGGCAGCGACAGCGAACACTGTCAGGGTTTGAGAGAGATAGCAAATAGCGAGCTGCCTTCCAACAATTGGCCTTCGCCGATGCGTGCTCGCAGAATAATTGGGAGATTGTTACAGTTTCCCAATTGACATGTCGTTCTGTTGCTGCAGATCATGCAGATCCGGTGGGTGCCCTGCGCCGGGCGGGCCGCATACTTTTATCGTGGACCTCGTGTGCATGTACAGCAAGCGAACCACTGTAAACATGTGGTTACTCGCCTGTCATCTGAACATACTCGGTTACGAGCTAACTTTGTATCGCTTTACCCAGCCCAAAGCATTTGTGTCGGCCGAAGTAGCTTGATCCATCTACACAGTATTGCATGGTGACCGGTTGCTAACCTGCTTCTTGCCAGATGATCTTCTACAATCATATGGTCGCAAAAGCAATATATACAAGGAATACCAGCTATCTCCAACGATGCCGACCATCCACATGACGAAAACATGTGAGAGATCATTCTGCATAATGTGTCTCTGCAATTGACATGAAGCTTTCGCGAGATCTCATCGGATGGCACAAATATATGACAGGCGAGCTTTATTTTGGCCAAGTGATCATGATACGCATACAACCCTGTCCTCGTCACACCATGCTTTGATAACCACCTTGACATCTTTGGCCACAGAGCCAAAGACATGAAATACATGTCAGAATGTTCTGATTCACTCCTTGAGATGTAAGAACCATCAGAAATTCATGTGTGGGACTTGATCAAATCATCTTGAGAAAAAGTCGATTTAACCATCACTTTGTCAAACACCCACCAGGACGACAAGCATTCCACCTCTACAATCTCTACCCAACAACCACAACCACAAATTCACGGTTGCAATTTCCACATGGACACTCATAATGACAAAAACACAACCCTCCCACAATCTCGCGCCTTCACAACGTCACTCATCCAATTTCTAAACACATCATCAACAGCAACAGCAACCGCAACCACACTACCAGCCAATCCACTAAAACAAGCATCTCCAGCAGACCGCTCGGTTCTTTTGACCCTTCATGTACTATTTCCAAACGAATTGCTCTCAGCCCTGGATCTCCTGGATCGAGAACTGGTCGTACGGTTGCTTCCACTATCAGCTCCAAACGTGACGCCACCGATACCAGAACAAACTGGACAGCAAGTCGAGGCCACAAATAGAGAGTCAGGCGACTCTGCGCATCCAGACGATAGCAACGACATAATGAAAGTGGATAAGGATTATAGGAATGCAGTCTATTACGTCCGTTCAGCACAACAGACAACATCGAATTCTCGCTTTAGGGATCCAGTGGCATCGAGCACGCACTACGAGGTTAGGACGTCGAGTTGGAGTTGCTCGTGTCCTGCATTTGCCTTTTCTGCCTTCCCGGCGAATGCATTCACTGCTAAGGAAGAAGAGATCGATGAAACTGCGACAGGGGAAGGTGAGGAGCAGCAATGGATGGTCGGTGGCTTGTCTCTGGGCAAGGATGTGCCAATGTGTAAACATCTGCTCGCCTGTGTGCTGGCAGAGAGAGGGGGGCTCTTTGAGGGGTATGTCAAGACGAGGAAGGTCAGCGTGGAAGAGCTTGCAGGGTGGGCTGCAGGATGGGGCGGCTGAATTGATGAGTGTCGAGCAGACGAATAAACATATATCATGGAATGCTTAGTCATTGGCGTATTTGCTTTTCATATCATGTTATCTGGAAGCCTTGCGACAAGAAGACGCCCGAGTTGATTTCCTCAACCGGCGTCAGATGCATCCTCTGATAGTATTCCATCCCTCTTCCATATATTACAAACGCCCAATGCATGCACGACGTTGCCGCTGGCTCTTTCGTATCAACCGAGCTACAGCGACACCTCCCTGGACCTTGATGTTTCTCCGTGAACTGTGCGCGTCTTCAGTTCCTTCAGCCCTTCTTCTTGTCGTCCTTGGGGCTCTTGGACTTGTCGTCCTTTCCTTGCTGTTCAGCTGGAGCATCGCCATTCAACATGAGGTTCTCAGTCTTCTTGATGGTTTCTTTTGTCTTATCCTCCTCCTTCTTTTGCTCCTTGTCTTCAGCTTGCTGCTTGTTCTGCACCTTGTTTTCGATGAGGTCGTGGAAGGCGGTGATGGCGCGGATCAAACTGCCGAGATAGATGGACATGAGCTGGTCATTGGTCTTGATGCTCATGGCGCGGGCAAGTTCGGAATCGCCAGATGCTTGTGGACCAGCGAGGCCGATAGCGCTAGCGGTCTTGGGAGTGGAGAGGTTGGGAAGGAGGTTGAAGACGTCCTGGAGGTTGCCGAGAATTGCATGGTTGACAGGGAGCTCTTCATCAACGACCTTGTCAAGATATTTGCCAATATCTTGCAGACGGTGATGCAGGCCTTGCAGCGACTGCAGCTGCGACGTCACGCGAGTCGAAAGAGTACCAACTGCAACATCGCGGATATCACGGAGCAGGTGCTCAACTCCAATCTCTTCTGCTTCTTCGGCTTCGATGGTTGAGGGTGTGTGGACGAATGTCTTTGCGGTTGTAGTTCCATNCCTGCGATGTGTGTAAGTCTTGAGGCAAAGAGTGATGGACGTTGAATGCAAACGTACGTCTTTGATCTCGTCAACAGCAAAGTAAGCATCTGTTGGTACACCGACGTCTTTGGGTTGAACGTCGATGATAACAAGAAGAGGGTTGGGTGTGTAGCGCTTGAACAGTTCGTTGATCTCCAGATCTGAGGCGCGCAGCTTGGGGCCAGTGTGGTACCATCCGATCAACTTCTCACGGGCGTTGACCTTCTTGAACATGTCGTTCATCGACTCGATGTAGTTGTGGTCAAGGAACCACACGGATGGGTCCTTTTCATCCTCCTCGAACGGTANCTGAGAGGCGACTGTCAGCATGTCTTGCGCACAGTGTAGCAGTGGCAACCTACCAGCAAAACTGTTTGACACTCTCACGTTCTTGCCATCGTTCTGACCCAGCAGCACACCAACGACTCGCTTGCGTGTGCCCTTTGCTGAACGAGCGTAGTGATCTGTCGCTGAGAGCAGCACTAATGGCGCTACTGACACGTTCCTGTTGACGAGCGAGAGTGTTTCTGCGGTGGTTGACGGCATGGCGGGTTGTATGTGCGATGTCGTCGATGAAATGTTCGAGACGGATTACAGGCGAGAGAGGATGGAATGGGTATGCGAAAGTGAATGTGCAATTGCGATGACGATGGCCATCTCAATCGGAGCAAGGCGAAGCTCCCATCTCCGAAGCCTTGGCGTTTGTTTGGGTGCTGCTCGCTGAAGCTCCCGCCTTCTTCACCTTTCTTCCGAGAACAACTTTGTGAAAATAGCTTCATTCTCCGAAACACAAGAAGTCATAGCTAATGCTTCTGCCTTTTGCTCCCCTGACTATTCATGCTAATGGGTATCTGATATAGACAACAGCCTCAAAGACGCCTCCTTTTCCCCCAAATCATAACCTACTGACCATCTCAAATCTGCATCGATGTCTCTTCGTCCCACCATTGTCTGAAGATCTGTAGCCGCTGTGTCCTTTCTCTAGCCAGTTCGCGTCCAGAGTGAGTCTGTGTCTTGTCAGCCGTACGTCGCAACATTTCTCGAGGGGAGGCACCAACCTTCATCATGTTTTCTAGCCTCTCGAGCTTTTCGACAAAGTGCTCTATGCTTCCATCCAATCCCCTGTCTGATTGCTTGACTGCGCCGAAAGCGAAGCATCTACCAATACCGACTGCACCTATCGCATCCAGTCTGTCGGCATCCTGTACGATGGCCAGCTCCGGATGTTGGTCTAGCACCGCCTTCATCATGCGCGGGTTCTTGACCTCGTTGGAGAAGGACACGTTCTTAGCAATAAGTTGGACTTTCATTGCAAGATCTGGGCTGGCTCCGTGTTCCAGGAGGTGCTCTGCAATCTGATTCTCTGGATTTTCTCCTGGTTTGTGGTATTTGTGATCACCAACATCATGCAGCATGGCCGCAAGAAGAACAGCTTGTGGATCGTACGAAACTCCCTGGAATGACTGGGTCTCCTGTTCCAGGATGCGTCTCGATAGGGCAAAGACTCGTGTGACGTGCTTGAAGTCGTGCGAGGCGTCGTAGCGGGACATGTACTCCTGAACAAATTGCTTGGTAGGCCAGAAGAGGTTCTGCTCCAGTGGAAATATTCCTTCCAAGTCTGCAAATGCTGGTGGCTCCAGAGGAATCTGCTCTTCGACATTGATTGGTGTAGGCTCAGGGTTGTTGGGACCTCGAACAATGCCTGGTATCGGTGGCCTTGTTACCTTACCGGGCAGATTGTAGCGCATACGGTATTGATCGAGCCAGTCTCTGTCAAGGTTTGGAGGAGACTTGCCGCGGTATTGTGGCATCTCGGCATACATTGCCAGTGCTCTGGCTTTGAGTGTGTTGCCGTGCACAGCCTCGCCCCTTGCAATCTCGGCCATGTGCCATTCATGCAAAGCGTCCTCCAGCTCGGGCATTTTAGAAGCAGTGAGTGTGACCTTGGCCCGGTACGCACCATGGTTGTGCTTGTGATCCTTGATGACCGTTACCCATTCGTCAGAAAAGCGTCGCTTGGAGATGAGAATCTTCATTGGGCACCCAGTCTTTCGGCTCATGCGGTTGCGCACTCTGGTTCCTGGATTCTNTTTGAAATGATCGCGAAAATATCCGCCCATCTCACAGGTCAACAAGACCTTGTTTGTTTCGCCGTTCTGGGAGCGCAAGTCAGTCAACTGTAAGAGCACACTTTGTAACATTCAAAATAGTACCGCAGCAAACTAAAGCAGGGCAGGTGGTGTCAGAACATCAGGTTGAGGACGGAAGACAAAAATCACAGCAAAAACAAAAATGCTCACCTTGTCCTTGTATGAATGGCCAATGACCAGGACATAACCGTGGTCTTTGGCGAAGTTTTTTACAGCNNCTGTCAAATCGTTAGAATCGTCTGTCGTGGAAATACAGTGAGATTGTTCTCTGACATCTATGCCTTCCTGCTTAGTAGCATGCACCTCAGGTGGAGGAGGAGGCAATTCGGTACGGCTCAAGTCGGCCTCCCATCGCGCACGTAGTTCGGCAACGCCATCAGGTGTGTTGCNTACAATGAATGAATACAGCAGTCTTTGATTTGTTGTGAGATTTGCTTACCTGTATACTTTCTGCCATTCTGCTTCGGTCCAAGTGGTAGTAGAACGTTCATTGGACGCAGTCGGAGAAGGTTGGTGCACAGGGCTTTGAATGATTTGGTTGTTGGAGTTGGCAGNGCCTTGTCACAGTTCACGTTGGCTGGGATGCGTAACAAACGCGTGGAGTGTATAGACTTACGTTAGGAACGGTCTTTGAGCAGTCGCCGCGGAAGAGTTTGGCTGGTGAGCGGGACCAGGATGAGCGAGATTTGGAAACGACGACAGGACAAATTGCATGAAATTGGGAGTCGAGCTGGCCGGGTTATCCGAAGGATTCTGAGCCGGAGACTCGTCGCCAAAAGACGAGTACATGTTTTGATAGTCCATGAACGACAGGCGCTCGAGCAGCTAACGCGTCGATGTGGGTGTAGGCAGGGAGGAGTTTGCTTGTAGAACAGCTTTGAGGGCTCGATGATCCAAAGCCAAGCCTCCGTCAAGCTGGGGTAGAATATGCCGAGGCTCCTCCACAAGAGGCCATGATCGCGTCGGCCGTTTGCATATTCGTACTCCCTGCTGTTCTCCTAATCCAGATCGCAAGTTCTTCGAGGCCATGGAGCTGTATAGGCAAGTGTCGCATACGACACAAGAAGCCCTTGCGCTTCCTCCAAAGTATCTGCGCATGTATGGCGACTTTGTAACCAAGAATGCTAGTGCCGTTGGCCAGATTGAGGGTGCTTTGCGATCCTTGACCTACATTCTACCAGGTACTGATTCTTGCTGAGCTGGAAAGACAAAGACCTAACAAATATANCCAGGCCGCTTCCGCGACACTGAAATCGCATCCGAGTCATGTAAGAAGAGTCAGCTGCTTCGCATACCACTAGAGCTGAACCAGATGCACNNAGTACATTCAAGCGTGCAACTACTCTCTATATACCATGACTCCCTCCTCGCGCGTGCAGTCCAACGTCTACCGGCATTGCAACGTCCTCATCCATCGCCACATACTCGTTATACTCGGTTCTGGGCGCAAAAATCTCCAGCCTATAAACGACTTGCCATGCTTTTACAAGTAGTACAATACACCGAGCTACTGTGCGAGATGGCTGCAAAGAGAAGGGGCGAGAAGGCAAGATGGAAAGTAGTCGTTCTTCTCGAAAGCGTCAAGGCTATGTGCAGGCTGCTTCTTATGCGCCTGACCAACTCTCGGCCATTGTTGAATCCACCATTGCCCGAACGTGAGGCGGACCCGAGCACCTTGGAGGAAAAAGATGCAAGCGGATTAGAGTCACCACCATCCGAAAAGTCCGAAGAGACACAATGGACAATGCCTAGAACTGGACTCTCGCTGCCCACACTGCCGTCCTCCTCCGACATCTCAGGTTATCTGTTATCCAAAGCTCTGACAGCGGACGACATCAAGCCGCCAAAGGCTTTGTTACATCGGGTCAACGGCATGGGCGAACTCGCGGAGGTTCTCTATATCCTTCGACCAGTTATCTACGCTGCAGCAATGCATTACTGGGCCACTAAGAACAAGAAAAGCTGGCAACCCTGGGTGTTGGGTGTCACTATAGAATATGGTGCACGCCAGTTGGCAAAGAAAGATCTCCAAGAACGAAGAGCCGGGGGTCTCCGAGCGTTGACAGCACTCGAGAAGGAAGAGCTGAAGAGAAGAGGCTGGAGCCTCGGATGGTGGCTCATGAGAGGTGCATTCTATGAAACCTTTACCAAGTACGTTCAGAGTATCTTGCTGCATGTAATTCGGACTTTGCTAACATACACGAAACAGNNAGCATGGATTCATTCAGTGACCAACAAGCTCCGAAACAAACCACTACTCGACATGGCTGGTGGAATCATCGAGGATTATGAATTCCTTTGGGATCAGTACTATTTCCCTACAGCAACATTGTAGTTCACGAGAGACAGACGGAATGACGCAGATCTTGTGGTTTTATGAGGCTTTGGCGTTTGTTCGGAGGTTATCTGAAGACTATTTGGGGTTTATCATGGCGTTGCGATGCATGATGGAAGTTTAACAAATGATACCTCTATACGGATCACTACCTGGCAGACAGGGTCGTGTGATTTTTCCCTTCCATCATTCTGCACCATATAGTGATGCTCACACGTGCCTTTGTCTTCACTGATGCGTCTATCGAGTCATTCTTTCACTTTGGCAGTGTCTTTGTGTTGGAGATAAGACACGGAGCTTGACGCTTGTGACCGGCCGTTCGTTTCGTCTGTGCTCCACCCCGCATCCGATTCATTGGTCATCGCAGCCTGCGCCTGACTATCCCTCCTCCTTCCCTTCTTCATCCACCGACCAACACCTTTGCATCCTAGCTATCACCACGTACCTTCAACAACCTCCGTCAGCTACATCTTCACCACAAACACTCCACCTCAAACCGCCAAAATGAGATCCAAGTTCAAGGACGAGCACCCGTAAGTTGTTGCCTGACATCAAGGCGGTCAAGGAACGTCACTACTAACACGCCTTCACAGCTTCGAGAAGCGCAAGGTCCGTTATTCTGCTATCACCACGATCTCAAAATCATCGCGATACTGACTTATACAGGCTGAGGCTGAGCGCATCCGTCAAAAATACACCGACCGTATCCCTGTAAGCCTTTCTCCCGCATTCGTCGCGACGCCGAGGACTCAACACTGACGTCGTGCCAACACANNGGTCATCTGCGAGAAGGTCGAGAAGTCGGACATCGCCACCATCGACAAGAAGAAGTACCTGGTCCCCAGCGACCTCACCGTCGGACAGTTTGTCTACGTGATCCGCAAGCGCATTAAGCTTTCGCCTGAGAAGGCCATCTTCATCTTCGTCGACGAGGTCCTGCCCCCAACTGCCGCCCTCATGAGCAGCATCTACGAAGAGCACAAGGACGAGGACGGCTTCCTCTACATCACGTACGTGACTCATTCTGAAGTTTATAAGATAACGAGCTTACACTTTGCATAGNNTTACTCAGGCGAGAACACCTTCGGCGAGGCCGCTTGAATCACACTCGACTATCTTCATACCATAATGTCACGACGATATCCTTACATGGATCACCAGGAGTTTCGGAGTCTTTGGGAATCACGACGGAGAAGGATGATTTGAGGGAGGATTGCGAACACAGCAACGGAACAGGAAGGACAAAGCATTAGCTCGTCACTCCGGCAGAGCTCTTCAAGACTACACCCGCTCAGCGCCCCGTCTCCCGTTTAGCTGTTTACACGCACATGCTTTGAATGAAACCCCTTACATATTGCTCTCTCTGTCCCTTCTTTGAATGTGCCATCACTTGTGATAGAATCATGCCGTGCAACGAATTTAGAATTTCTTGTTTTGTTTTGATGCGACCACAGCATGTCTGAGATAGGCAGACCATCAACATGCGACCTGGCCGATGTCCATCAGGGGTGATGGTGAGGCGGTGCCTTATCTGGGCGATATGCAGCTTATCTCCGTCTTCGTGACTTAGCGCGTCATCAGACAGCTTGAACGGGCCGATCCTGAAGCCAAACTGTCCACGGCTTGCAGAACTTCCGAGTCCAATTCGACGAGTCCAACAACAGCGTCCTTGAGCTTTACAACATCACACTCGACGCTTGAGATTTGAATACCGACTCCCTGGCAAGGCTCACAAAGATCTTGAGCAAAGCAACTCGCCATGGCTGTTCCACGCTACGCCTACATCATCTCCAAGTCAGTAGTGTGCCGCCGTAGATGCACGACGCAAAACGGGTGACTGATGGGATCCGACAGGAACCTCGACCCAGTCTTTGCCTTGTTCATTGGAGCATCTGCAGCAGTTGTTCGCATCAACCGCGACGAGAAAGAGAAGGGCAAAACAACACAAGACACGATCGAGTCACTGAAGAGAAGAATTGGGAAAGCCACTGGCCTAAGTTCATGAAGCTACGGACAACCGACAAGATGCATTGATGGCGTCCATGTCATTGGTTGAGTTCTGGTGCTCTGTCTGCCACCTGAGAGGAGTCGATGCGAAGCAGGTGACAACATTGGCAGGTGAAAGTCCTGAACAGAAAAGAAGTGCTAGCGTCGCACACTAGCCACCACCTCAGAAGCAAGAGAAGAGGATGCGGTGATGCTTTCACATGGATACTCAGCCTTCAGTAGTCCTCCACACCTGCGACAAAGGCCAGTGAAGGAAATGGGCGTCCGAGCCTTTGTGACTACGCAGAAGATAGTAGATATGGAAGGCACGCAACTGAGACAATACAGAACGAAGAATTATAAGTTTCAATTGCAGTGTATATAGTTTGTGATTAGTCCCATTCTTTTCACTTTGTCGAGAAATACCAAAGTGATATTCAACCTCATATATAAAGTGAATTTATCGCGTGCGCGTCATCTCTCCACAACGCGTCTTCTCGCAATTTACAACCAACACCTTCACTTAGTCTTCGTTCAAGGAAGCGAGTCGACGTATATCTTCCCATGCCACGGCGATGAGGAGCAAGTCTCACATCCGCAGCTATTTCTACGATGGCGCAGCATCGTCGTGTGGTGATCGATTTAGCCAACAGCCCCTCACCAGAGCCTCAGATGATCCGCCATGTACGAAATGTGCCGGATTCGAGATTCATCACGCCAGACAGTAATGACAGCGACGACGAGGTCGAATTCCGGTGGGAGATGCGAAAACAGCGGAACGACCAAGCTTCAACGAATGCCTTGAGGCCCAATGCTAGTAACCATCCTTCGACTTTTCGGCCTGTCCAGAAATCACACCCTGTGTTACCGAATGATACCAAGAAAGTTGCCTCACAACTACCTCCTACACAACCAAATACTCGAGTATCGAAGCAGCCAGCACCTGCACGATTGGAAACAGTTCGGCCACCTGCATCAGTCCCTAGCGCGCATCGGCCACCGCTGCCATTCGTGCCTACGCAAGCGAGTTACGACAGTCCTGTCTCGATCACAAACCCGTTGACGAAGAATTTCCTTGCTGCGCTTTCGAAATCTGGCAGATCCACGCCTCCAACCCTTCCACCTGGTGCAAAACCACTGGTGCCTTCTTCAAGACCACACCCCTCAACTTCAAGGCCTTTGCCAACACCACCTAATCGCGTTCCTCAACTACATGTCCCAACGCCGGCCAGTGCAGGAACTCCAATGGGGTCCGCAGTCTCGCAGCCTTTGCAGCCTGCGCAGCCCACACAGCCTATGAGGCAGTCACAACCCTTATCCACATCGGACTCAGGTAATGCAATTGGACGACTCGCACCACCATTGTCGAATACACCTTCTGGAGCCTTTTCGCGAGATACCTTGAACAACAGCGCAAAAAGCCGGGATCACCGTCATGAGTCAAGAAACGTGCCATCGCCCATCGTAGCTTCCTCTGGAAATCCTGTCATAGAGCCAAGGAGGGCACCTTCATCTGTGGCAGCAGCGAGTTCCTCCGCGCACGCACCTTCGAAGTTGCAACCACGCAAAGAGCCAATGGCTGTGCATGCTTCACAGAATTCTCCGAACAAACACGTGCCACCATCTGCAAAGCAACATCCACCTACGCTGCATAAGCCTATGGAGGCCCATATCGTTGAAATAGATTCTTCAAGTGAAGATGAATTCGTAGATGCTGTTGACCGTTCACAATCTCTCAGCAATGCTCCTCCGAGTTACAATTCACCACGTCCTGAAAAGAGGAAAGTTGTGGAGGAGGTGTCAGATGAAGAACCAGTGAAACGTCTTCGACGCACTCATTCGTCTGCGATTCAACTAGAGGATCCATTTCAAGATGACGTTGTGGATTCAGTAGAGGTCAACGCACCGCCAGCGTTCACTTTCCCAGCAGACATATCGAAAATCCCACCGTTCAGCAACAATTTCGGACAGCCTTTCACGCCAAAGGAAGACGCCTTAATTGTACACCTGAAAGAAGTAATCAACATTCATTGGAAAGAGTTCGAACCCTTCTTCCCTGGAAGAAAATGGCCTTCTATGCAAACGAGGTATTCGAAAGTTCTGTCTAAGCGCAAAACAAGGCCGATTGCCGCAAACTTTCCTGCACAGTTAGCCCTCAGAAAAGACTTGCTCCGTACAACCCGAGAACTCCGACGTACAACGCATGCTCAAGCAAGTCCAGTCGACAACTCTGTATCGAGCCAGGAGGATGCTGCAGAAGCTGATAAACCGGCTCGCTGCAAGCGATCGCTGAACTCTCTAGTTCGACATCGAGAACTTGGTTCTACTCTTGGTCGTGAATGGCCAAGGAAATTCCAAGCAGGTGTCAGAGATTTCGTGTACAGCAGTATGGGTGCTCAAGCTTATATGGACAATGCCTCAGGCGATGTCTCAACCATCGCATGGTCGCCAGATGGCAAGTTCTTTGCTGCAGGTGCCGTGGCCGTAACGGACATTCAATCTATTGATTACAATAAGCCTCGTAACCTCGTTGTAGGAAGTGTTGCGACTCAAAAGGTCAAAGAGCTGCCGCACCATACTATACAGCACTCGCTATCCGATGGACGCCGAAGAGAACTTTTCTCTACAGTACAGATGGTGGCCTTCAGTCCAGACAGTAGATACATGTACTCTGCTGGCATTGACCAACATCTACACAAGTACAGGGTCGATGGATCTCCATCAGAAACCACGCTTGTTCATAGAGTTGAGCATCCGGCATCTGTAGACTTCCTCTCGGTAAGCAATAGTGGTTTAGTTGCTACTGGCTGTGCTTCTCCTGGTCCTCGTTCTATTAATGTCCTCGAATACGACAGCGACACATTAGTGGACTCTGTTTGCTTCTCGGGAACAACACAAACCAAGAAGACTCCATCTGCACTTAAATGGGGTTTAGCGCATAACCACCAGCACTACCTACTCGCAGGCTTCTCAAGGGAAGCCGATGTCTACTACATCGAAGACGATCACAGGGACAAAGAGGGGGAGGTCGCGCTGTGGGACATTAATACCAAGCAGAGAATCGAGACGGATGCACCGAACAGAAACGTGTTCGATCTTGCCTGGAATCCAAATCCAGGGGGCAACTCATCCATTTTTGCAGTCGCAAGCAGACCTGTCAGCCATGTTGGTCATGGCATACACTCAGTCGTGCGCCTCTACTCACCGCAACAAACTCGTGCACACCACACAATGGAGCTTGACTGCCCAGCATGGGATATTAACGACGTTGTCTACTCGCCTCACGACAACAACCTCATTGCAGTGGGTAGCACTGAAGGCAGAGTCTACATATGGGATGTCCGTTTTGCAAAGCATGGCCAATCGCCTCTCAACACGCTCAAGCATGGAGAATCGTTAGCGGTTATGCCCCACGAAAAGAAGAGGTGGGAAGTCGACACAGGCATTCGTTTCCTCTCCTGGGGCTCTGAACGAGACCGGTTGTACACTGGCTCATCTGACGGAGTGGTGGCTTGCTGGGACCCGTATCGCAGCGACTCGGAGAAGCGTGTGCGTGACGTGGTGCATCTCAACTCGGCTGTCATGTCAGGCGCCTTCAGTCCAGACTACTCTCAGCTGCTAGTTGGAGAAGATGCGGCTAGGTTAAATCTGCTTTCTGTTGGCAACGATGGAGCCAAGTTCGACAGAAGGACTACAGCAAAGTTCAGCGTTGAAGAGGCGCCCTTGGAAGAAGAACCCGCGCCGATACTTTGGGATTGTCAAAATATGTTGGACAGTCAGGCGCTCGAGGTCAAATCAGCGGGTACTATGCCATTCAGACAAGTAGTTCAGGGTCCCAACTACCCAGGTCCTTATCGCCCAGACGACGATGAGGCAGTCGAACTCAGGAACGATGCGCAGAAGTTCCAGGAGAAACTACTCAGGTCGCATAGGCGACGCAACAAGCAAACGCGCAAATTAGACATCCAGGCAGATCCATGTGGCCTTGACTGTGGGTTCATTCCTCTTCCAGATGATTACGAGCCACCAGAAAAATGGCTATCACAGCGTATTCCNGGATCGAATCTGGGATTGGAAAGGGAGCGAGCTAACATCGATTGCTTCCGCTGTGGAAAATTGGCGACGGTCAGTCCAAATGCCGTGGCAATTGAGTGCGGGCAGTGTGGCATGGCATGGAAGATAGGAGCATTGGGCTACGAGGTAATCGATCACTTCAAAGCAGGCGCAATCAGAAGGAAGGTCGAAGAAGAAGGTACAGACAGTCTCATCGACCTCTGTGACTCTGGGGATGAGTGGGAACGATTCATCCGCGAACCCTCGCCGGAGTCTAGCGATAGCGACCTCGATGGCGGCTACTAAGGCAAGCGACGGCGAAGTACATAAAATAGCCAATAATGATAAACACGAAGTTCTCAATGTCAAATTGCGACCCTGTCAAACATGTGAAGGTGCCAAGAATGCGGAGTAGTCTGCAGCGGCAACAACTTTTGGACATTGAAGATTCGGCGACGGATGACCTTGACAGTGCAGCCTTCATCATGGTATGTGATTCCTTCTGTTCTGACCGCATGAGGACATGCGCAGAGCGGTATTCATCACGAGAATTCAGGCTAACATGCCCCGCANNGAAAATCAAGGCCCTCACTCGCACTGCGTCGCAGCAGCAGACGCCAGGCACCTCGGTACAGCGCCAGACTCGCAACCTGGACCCAGCATTACATCCCTTCGAGCGAGCACGCGAGTATACCAGAGCTCTGAATGCGACAAAGATGGATCGCATGTTCGCACAGCCCTTCCTGGCCCAGCTTGGTCGTGGTCACGTCGACGGAGTATATACCATGGCAAAGGACCCGAACTCACTCGAGAGGTTTGCTTCGGGCAGTGGTGACGGTGTGGTCAAGGTCTGGGACTTGACGACGAGAGAAGAGATCTGGCAGGCACAGGCACACGAGAACATTGTCAAGGGCATGTGCTGGACACACGACAAGAAGTTGTTGTCTTGTGGCAGCGATAGGAGCATCAAGATGTACGATCCCTACAACCAAGCCGCCAATGCTGCACCGCTGTCGACATACCTGGGCCCGGCCGCCTTCACCTCCATCACCAAGCACCGCACCGAACCCGCCGTTGCCGCCTCTTCATCCGTAATCAGCATCTACGATTTGAACCGACCGAACTCTGCACCGCTGCAGACGCTTCAATGGCCCAACAGCATCGACACTATCACCGCTCTCAAGTTCAACCAGACCGAAACCTCCATCCTCGCTTCTACAGCCACCGACCGCTCCCTCATCTTCTACGACATGCGCACCTCATCTCCCCTCCACAAATCCGTCCTCACACTCGCCTCCAACGCTATTTCCTGGAATCCCATGGAAGCCTTTAACCTGGCAGTCGCGAACGAAGACCACAACGTCTACATCTTCGACATGCGCAACCTGAAGCGCGCCCTCAACGTCCTCAAAGACCATGTCGCCGCAGTCATGGACGTCGAATTCTCACCCACAGGCGAGGAACTAGTCTCCGCATCCTACGACCGCAGTGTGCGACTCTGGAAACGCAACGAAGGCCACAGCAGAGACGTCTACCACACAAAACGCATGCAGCGCGTCTTCTCCGCTGCCTGGACGCCAGACAACAATTACATTCTATCCGGCAGTGACGATGGCAACATTCGCTTGTGGCGAGCACGCGCTTCCGAACGTCAAGGAGTCAAGAGTGCCAGACAGCGCCAACAGCTCGAATACGACAGAGCGCTGGTGGAGAGATACAAGCACATGCCCGAAATCAGGAGGATCCACCGTCACAGACACTTGCCCAAGCAAGTCAAGAAGGCTTCCGAGATCAAGGGCGAAGAACTCAAAGCCATCAAACGCAGAGAAGAGAATGAGAGAAAACACAGCAGAAAGGGCGAAACAAAGAGAAGGAGCGAGAGAGAAAAAATGGTCTTGCAGACGGAGCAATAAACTCTTCTCTTTTTTACATCGTGTCTCTTTCTGTCTTATCTAGCATCTTTGTGTTTGGGGAAGAGGAAAAGGGTTATGGCGCACCTGGCGTTCACACAAGGGTTTCATTCCATGGCTGGGAGTAAATTAGAAAAGCGAGTCTTCTGCATGATACCAATTATCAAAAATCCACACAATGCACATTTCATTCCAAAAACACGTTCCTGCCCGAATTTTGGCATACGAGCTGCAAGATTTTATCAAACAAGGCAGTAACGATCTGCTGGTATTTCTTTCCTCTGCTCAGCATCCCGAGCTATCATCATACGTAGACCACAGCAAGCAGGAAGCACTGAACAGCCGCACAGAAAGGAACAGGCAAGATCAAGAACAGAGAGATACCATAAAAACTACGAACTGAAACACACGCCGCGATTCCAGAGACACGCAGCAGTGGAGTGAGAAAGAACAACAGAGTCCATGAGAGCTGAAGACATCCAGTACAAGCTCCGGCAACAACTCTTTCTGAACAAAGAGGCGAGGACGTTAAACAGTGTATGGATTTACGAAATGCACAAACTCTAGAGTCTTCTACTGAGAATGAAGAAGAGAGAAAGTGATTCGGAATGGTCGGGTGCAATACCTGTTGCTTCACAATGCTGAATATCAAACTTACTTTTGATCATGAGTCTTTCTACTCGTACAACGTCTTACACAATGCAGTCTTGGTGCTGTCAATGCACCATACCATCCTGAACATCACCTCTTTCAAAAGACCTAAAGAATAGGAGCGTTGGTCAGTAGAGCAATCACAAGTAGAAGAAGAAAAAAACCCCATGACATTCAAAATAACAAAAAAGGACGGGAGAGCGCGTATGAGTAGTAGCAACAGCAACAAGAAAAAACAATGAACCACAGGGTCATTCCAAAAAGGGTCCCTTGCTCTCCACACCAGTATCGTAACAAACCGTCTTGTTCACTTCTGAGAAACCACTCGGCTCTAGAACCGTCGTAGTCCTGGTCAGAGGAGCTAGTTTACAGCGGTAGATGGCAAGAAGTAAGCCTGACGGTTTCGAGGCTGGGGACCCTGGTATCATCGATTTCCTTTCTCAAGACTCCTTCATCTTTATCTCTCCCTTTTGGCTACTCTTTCTCTGCTCGGATTGTCCATTCATTACGGCTGGCCTCAGAACTGCACGAAGAGCAACCATCACCATGACATGACATAAAAGGCGAGGATCCGGTGGAGCGTAGAGAAGAGTGAATGCAAAGATAACCGCGCTGTATGTAATGTGTTGCTAGTGGACAGAATGGCCTTTTCTCGTCAATGTTCCACTATCTGCGACCGAACCTGCTGTACGAAATCAAGTCAGTATTGAGGATGTAATGACACGGAGAGGGTTGTAGGGGGATGCGTACTTCTGCTTCTTCTCTGCTGGCTTGAGAATCTGGAACGAGCACAGCAAGCTCTCGTCAACACTCATCATGGCACCAGCGTTGTCAAACTCTCCACAGTAGTTAGGGGCACTGAACAGGGTGACGAGCTGGCGTTTTGAGAAGAACTCGTAACCATCTTCGACGACTTGGTGAGCACGGCAAATGAGGTCCATGTCATGCTTTTGCAAGAAACGCGATACGACATCGGGTCCGAAGGTGAAAGACACACCACGGTCGTTTTCGCTCCATCCGGTGATATCCTTGTCGGGGTCGGACCACAGAAGATCGCAGAGGAGACCGCAGTCGGGAATCTGAAGGACACCAGTCAGTAAGAGATTGACAGTAAGTAACAAGGTTTGTAGACATACATCAGTGGGGCGCATGACACGTCTGATCTGCTCCATTGAGTTAAGATCGGGACTCAAACCACCGTGCATGGTGAAGATCTTCTCGTCAATGATGGCGGCAATGGGCAGACAGTTGAAGCAGTCGGTGAAGGTCTTCCACAGCTTGATGTTGTATCTTCTCTTGCACTCATCGTAGAAACCGTAGATGCGGTTGATTGAGGCACACTCGTGGTTGCCGCGCAGGATGAAGAAGTTTTCGGGGTACTTGATCTTGTAGGCAAGAAGCAGACAGATAGTCTCGAGCGACTGCTTGCCACGGTCGACGTAGTCACCAAGGAAGAGGTAGTTGGCCTCAGGCGGGAAACCACCGTATTCGAAAAGACGCAGGAGATCGTAGTATTGACCGTGGATATCACCGCAGATNNCTGGAGAGGTCAGAAGAGAAAGGCAGGATACGAGAAACAGGGGATTTACCTTGATGGGAGCCTCAAGCTCGAGGAGGATGGGCTGGGAAATGAAAATCTCGCGAGCTCTGGTGCAGAGGTAGCGAATCTCGGTCTCGAGAAGCTGGACCTGCTTGCCGGGTCTGCTACCGCGGACCTCGAGCAGTCTGTCGATGATAGAGTCGAGATCGACGTCTTGTTGGTCCGCCATTACGAAAGCTCTACAGAAAGAAGGAGGGAAAACTAAAAGTCTCTCGCCGAGCGCCGGGGCTCTTGTTCGCGCTCAATCGATGTTCCGATGCTTTGCTGGTAGATGAGGCTACACGTGTGGCACAGATGTAGTTCAGGCGACCTCGAGTGCAACGAAGGTGGTGAATGGAGCCTTGGTGTTGACCGGTGCGGAGACGAGGTGTTATTTAGGTCGTGTCGGATGACGAAACACGTGGAGCAAAGGGCGACAAAGGGACAATGCCGGAGAGGAGTCGAGAAAGGCGGTGGAAGATGTTTGGCAATGGACCAGATACGAGGTGGAAACACGCCGGTTTATAGCGCTATGGCCAGAAGAGAAGCGCGACAGGAATTATCGGGCGTCGAAAATTGCAAGCGAGATTTCCTGAATGGAGGCGTGTTCAGCGCAGCTGTTTGTAGGCAGCGTGGTCAGCGAGGTGTTGGATGCTGTGAGGACGAGGACGAGGATGAGACGGGGGAGGAAGGAGCGCTCGCACAGGCAGACTGCGACATGGACATGGTCACGGCCGGCGGGCGGCGCGGGATGCAAAACAAGGCGCTGGCAGGCGAAAGGAACAGTGAACGTACCTTTGTGTGGTTGTTGTAGGTCGTGACAGTGACAGCACTTGAGTGATTGTGTGTTTGATGCGTAGACAGGCAAGAGAAGTCCCAGCGTTCTGCGGCAGGGAGAAGTTGAACCCAAGCCCAAGCCCGCCCGCCAGCCTGAGCGAGGCCGTGCTCTGCTCCAGTCTTGCAACTGCCAAAAAACAATTTGGTCCATCTCCGCCCAGTGCCCACTTTACGTTGCGCGTCTTTTGTCTTGGTCACAGCCAACTATTGATTCTTCTACAGCCTGACGCAGTCTGTGCGACCTAGTTCACTTACAATATCTTGTATTCAACACTGCTCGTCCTATGCCACATCGACAGCCATAGACCGATCACGTGGCCATCACCCATCACTATCAAAACATCCATTTGTAACAATAAAAATAGTCATTCCCTGAGGTATCTACCTGTTCCTTTACGCCATCGCTATGCCTGTGTCCGTGCCCATCATGTCATCCAGCTGGGCCACGTCCAGAATCCATCATTCGCTATACAACAACAAAACGCCTTCAAAAACATGTCACGTCTCTTTAGTCATCGTGACATTCCTTCATCCCAACCTCCTACCTCCGACCGTCACCTCTCTTTGACTGTCCGCTCGCTGTCCTCCCATTGACGGCCTAGCGTTGTATTCTCTTTCTGATCCTTTACTCATATCTTCGCTCAACGCTGTCAACCAGCCATTGCCGAGGTCACTCTTTAACGTCTCAATCTTCTGTCGATAGGCATCACTGTTGACGCCGATATCTTCATCTTCTTCAGCCGATATTGTGAATCCTTCTATCGACATGCTCGATGCTCCAGTATCCAATGGTGGCAATCGAGGCGGTGACGAGGTCGCTCGCACAAACCGTTGTTCTTCTGACAACACCGGTGCTTTGACTACTGCACGTGGTGAAGGTGGTGCATCGGTCTGAACAGATTGCTCAGAGCCCATCTCGTGTGATAGCTCGACAATTCTCCTTCGAGTTCCTTTCTTCCTTCTTTGTGATGCAGTTGAGTAGTCACCGATTGACCTTGTTGATCCTTGAGCGTAGTCTGCCGCTGCATGTCGTGATCGTTCACCAACATCAGGCATATTCAATGCATCGTCTGATCGCTCGTCTTCAGGCACTGGAGGTGGTACGGGTGCCGGTGGTGGCTCAGGCGCGCGATCAACCAGCTGCCTTCGCTCGCTGTACGACGGGCCGGTTGAGTCGATCTTGACATCCTCAGTATAACCTGGCGTTGCCCGGAATAGATTGAAAATTGTGATTCTGTAGTTCGAATGTGTGCGAACAAAGGGATTCTTTGCAACATAGATGTCTTGCATCTCAGGCATCCTTGTAAGTCTTGCAAGCTCCGTAGGGTCTGTCAACTTGTTGTCACGCAGGTCGACACGTTCGAGGGAAAACAGGCGCTCAATTCCAGCAAGCGATGTGAGTCGATTAGATCTTAGGTTTAAGGTAGTGATGGCGGGAAGCGGATTACGGAGAAGAGAGTGCAGGCTGTCGATCATGCAGTTGGAAAGATTGAGGGCTCTCAAGTTGGTCAACGAGGCAAGACTTTCGGGTATTTCGGTAAGGAGGTTTGAGGAGAGGTCGAGTGAATGCAATGTTTGTGCTAGTGGGGCAAGACTATGAGTTGTGATGAATGTCAAACCATTGTCAGCAAGACTCAGGTGACGCAGGAAGCGCCACTTTGACGCAGGGACAATGCCCAATGCTAGGAGGTTAGATGTACTGTTCCGTGGCGTGCTTGAATGCACACTTGAGCCTGAGCTACCGGATTCGCGTCTGAACTTGGGTGTACCGCTTCGTGGCTGGTGCCCATGGCCATAAGAGGAGTTGTGTCGTGAGCTGGCAGGTCTCGATGGTGAGATACTTCTCTGCCTTAGACGAGGAGNTCTTTTGCCGTCGGAGGATGCAGTTCGTGTCATGTTCACAGCAGAAGGCTGAGGACTGCCAATGGATGATCGTCTCCCATCTGCCATTGGCGAATTGGGCACCGAGGCGGATGCTAGCTCAGCAGCATGTCTGACGCTGTTGTTCGCTGACGGCCATACCACAGCTGGAGATGAGGGTATGGGTGCTTTTGACGACCTGCGACGACGTTTGTCCATATCGTCCAAGACAATGTTGATGGTCAAGTCAGCCAGATCCTCGATGCTCGCACGCTTGACAGTGAGACTGCGTAGCTGCTCGGCCATACGGTCCCATCCAAAGAGTTGGCGAAAGTCCAGGTCACAGATCTCCAGAGCGCTCACGTTCTTGAAGGCGAACAACGGAACCGCGGTGTCAAAAGGAAACTCTTCATAACCAGCGATCAATTTGGAGCGATGGTCCGGGGAGAGTCGCAGGCAGGGTATTTTGGTGAATGCTGAATACAGGTATTTCAGATCTTCCAGCTCAGCTGCCTTTTGTTTTTCCTCCTTGTTCGACTGTCCGCTGAGATTGAAGTGTGACCACATGCTCGACATGGTTGACATGACGCTTCGTACACTAGAAGAAGATCGAACCGAGTCGGCATCTGAGGCGCGACCGCGTGACTTTGGAGCCGAGAGGAACGAGACATAGTTTCCAGGGGCGACGTCGTTATGAATGTTCTCAAGACGGATTGTCATGGGCCCAACATTGATTCCCAGTTCCTCGAAGCGTGACAAAAGGTAGAAGAGGTGGTGCGGAGTCAGGGTCAACTTGACGGGTTTGACTGTCTGGGAGGTGAAGCTGAGATAAGGGAGCGATAGAGCGGCAGCGAAGGTGCTCGCCGAAGAGGTGGACGACGATGGAGAAGGAGCGGTAAGGGGGCTTATGGCGGCGGTCGTGACAGGAGAGGTGACATTTTGGGATCCGCGCCTCTGCAATTGCAGCGCGTTGGCCAGAGCCTTTTCGTGCGTCCGCACAAAGTAGGCGAGTTGCTGAAGAGGTACACATGAGCCGGCGACCAGCGGTCTCTGAGGCGCGGGCAGGAACTTACCTTNTATGAATTGGTGGCCATCCTCAGTGTCCATGTTTTGGGACGCCCGGGCTCTCTATGCATGGGAGCAGGAGCAACGGCAAGGGCGCAAGCAAGGAAGGAGGGAACAAGGGAAGAAAAGGATACACTGATACGAATAATTGTGCTATCTCCCCAAGAGCCCACTCCGCAGTCGCAGTCGCAGAAGAAGTTAAGGCCAAAGAGGCAGAAGTGAAAGTCGAGCCCGCACCAAGAGGCTCTGTAGCACTGTATGTATGACGGTTGAACCGTTGGAGACTTCGAAACAGTCAAAGTGATGGTGCTGCAAGGCCGCAGACAATCAAATTTGATAAACCCTCCCCTCGTACTACTCTTGACCGAGACCTTTGAATGACTAGGCTCCTACGGCGGCGACGTGACCGGTTGCCATCCAAGACTCGTCATCCACTAACACGTTGCGATTATCACATGTTCGTACGCTTTACACCCACCTTCTTTCCATGTCTTGTTGGTCCATATCTTTCAAAAACACCTACTACACGATTCGAGTCTACCCAGGTCGCGGTACGCTTTCCGAGAGGCTGGAAGCCCAAGACAAACAGGGTCCCCTGCGAACGCACAGACAGGTGCAAGAAGCAATCTCCCTCTGCTCTTGGCTTCTATCTTCTTGATGCAGAAGATCATGATCGTAATCACCATCCATGTTCCGACATCTGTAACGGAGCTACACTCCCTTCTCTGACTTCCACGACAATTTCTCTGTAGACACATTCCAGCATATCATAACTGTACGGCATAGCCACTCTCTCGTTCGCATCTGAACAACCATCCAATCAGGATTTTCCGCATGCACATCATGAGAGCTCGTGCTTCCAGCCTCTGTCACCCACGTGAAGGCTGCATTAACCACCAAGTCCATCACTCTCTGCACCATCATGCAGCATTCGATTCTTGGCAACAAGATACGTAGATTCGTATAGCTTCTTCTATCTATGGTTAACTCTCGGCCGGCCCGCTGTGGACAGGACAGTCAAATCTGCACCGCCGATTCCTCGTCTCTGCAGTTGAAACAGAACAGCACTTCAGCACCTGCTTTGCACGGATTAAAGCATAGCCGGGAGCCTTGAGCTTCAGGCGACTGCTTCCCGGCACTCGGCTGGGCTGTGGATTTACAGTGCTGGATGGGTTCTTCTCGACCATGTACATTTAAGATTGTTCGAAAGCCAATTGTATCTGCTCGGAAGGTCCGTACCGTGAATTCCGCATAGCATGTCACTTTTCTTTGTATACCAAGCAGTCGTTGGCCTAATTCGTTTGAGCTACAGGTTACCCCGAGAACCAGACGGTGGTATATCTAGTCAATCATGTATCTCTTTAGAGAAGGGTTTGTCTTGTGTTTTAGGCCGGACCGAGACAATCGTGTCAATGGAGCACAGCAACAACAGCGAGACTGCGAACGATCTGAGAAGAGTAAAACAAATGAAAATGTAATCTTTGTACAAGTACGCTGGAATAATATAAGAAAAAGAGGTACAAGGGATCTTTTCTTCGTCGTTGCTTCTAGAAAGCGGGCCCCAAAAACATTGAACGTGTAACCTTCTCTTCGTCCAGTCAGTGGTAAGACTACGACGGCGTTGGCGACACGCCTGATTGGCTCCCTCATCAACACAGTAAAACACCTTTCGATTAAAAAGGCATTTACTCCTTGGCCTTGGNGGGAGACTGGACCATGAAGCCACCCTTGTAGTCCTCGGCAGAGATACCAGTGATGGGCTCAACGTTGTTCTNCCTGTAGTCGTAATTGTCAGACGCCTGTACAGCTTTGTTAGAGTTGGCAGAAGCACGAACCTTGAGGTATGCGTCGGAGGCCTCCTGGTACTCCTTGTTCATGGTGTGGGGTGTGCCTCTGGCACCGGCGCGGATACCGAAGAAGAGGACGGCAGTGACGGCAAGACCGCCCATGGTGTACCAGAAGACCTGCTTGCCCTCACCGGGAGGAGTTTGAGCGCGAGGGCCGTGGGGACCGAAAGCGATCCAGTATGCTGNCGCGAGAATGACGTGTCAGAGCGGTGTTCAGAACCCAATTGCACGAACCAAGATCAAACAATCCATTTGGCGAGCTTCGCAGGTGTGGCCGACGTGGCCGAGCTCGCCAATTGACTGTGTACGGGCTTCTCGACAAAAAGTTGACGTACCGGCCTTCTTCTCTTGCAGGGTCATCTCGGTCCAGTCAACCTTCATGCGGTCTCTAAGGGCCATCCAGAGGTCGGCCTGCTCCTGAGGGGGCATGGCCTCCCATCTCTTCTCAATGTTTGCGAGGGTAGGGTTGGAGATGGCGTGGGCACGACGGGTCTGGGTTGCGCGGACCGACGAGCGCAGGGCGGCGGCGGCGGTGCCGGTGGTGCGGAGCATAGAGGTGCGCATTGTGTCTAGTATATTACCGGGGAGCAGGCGTAAGAGAGGAGAGTTGTCTATACAGGGCGGGGCGCGTCTGAGTGATGATGCTGCTGCAGTTGGCCAGAGTCGGTTGTCACAAAAGCTCTCGGAGTAAACCGCTGACCACGCCAAGACTGTCATCACCTGAGATTCACCTTTCTTTTGATCCTTCAATTAATCTTCGTTCTATCACTGCAAGGCACAATTGAACCATAAACATTGCAGCGGGTAATATGAGCAATGTTCGTATGCGTTATTAGTACAACCTGAAATTCCTTTCCCTTTGCTCAATCTCTCCCCAATTCAGACCAGAACAGAAGACTATTAACTGTTCTGACTGCTCTTCCATTGAGCATCATAGCCCAGTCATTCAGTAGAGCCTCCGAACACTCTCATCTCGTGGTCTTCTTTCCAAGCACCTTGACCACGGGTACCACTCACAGCATTTCCCTCAGAACGTTTCGCGAGTCTGGTGACCAGTTCCATAGCATACTGTCCAGACGCAGCTTGATGGCCGTGAGCGAACATTGCCGATAGCGTTTCTATAACCTTGTCAGTCTGTGACCTTGCGGAATCTAAAATACTGAATGCTCACTGAGATCGATCTCTGGTTCCTCAGCTTGATCTGAGTGAGCGGGAGTCTTTCCTGTGTGAATGTAAGTCTGTGACCTGGTAGTGCTGTTAATGGTGAGAGCCTACCGAAACCTTGTTNNCCTGGGTTTGAGTTGAACGGGAAGAATAAGTTGCTGTACGATTCTCAGTCGTTGACCCGATAGCATTGTGTGCAGTGAGTTTACCAGTATCCTCTGAGCTCTCCTCAGATTCTTCCTCGGATTGTTTATGATGTTCTGAATCATCCTCCCTTTCCTTGGCTCCCTCGTCCTTCTCCCCATTCTTGTCTTCTTTNNCCTTGATAACAACCTCGGTCTCCTGGGCATCAAAGGCACTCACCCTAATCACATCCGCAACAGCAAGCTGCTGACCAATCTGAGCATGGTACGCAGCATACCTCTCCACCAAACCATTTCTCAAGCTTTCCGGACCCTTCCAGATGTAATCATCATAGTGAGCGTCACACCACTGCAGCAAGATCCTCGTAGCAAACGCGAGCGCCTTGTTGCGATCGAAGAAAGCGGCTTGTGGCATTGGACGCGCAGAGCTCTCGTTGCTTACGCGCAGCATCACTACGTAAATCGTTGCAGGCCCGTTGTAAGCGACTTTGATGTTTTCTGTGTCTGAGGTTGATGAGGTGGTTGGGTTGGGGTCGACGTGGATTGGTGGTGTGCCGTCGTCGATGTTGTCAGAATGGCTCATCTTACGCTTTTGAGCGGTGGGTTCGTCGTGCTGAGGGAAAGACATGTTGTTGTCTGGGATGAATGGGTCTTCGATTCGATCTTCCGCACTTGACATGCTGTGGGATGGTGGGCGAGACGCTAGGCGATAACTTTGAACGTAGTAATAGAAGCGTGAATTGAACAGAAGCAAAGTGAGCGATGCCAGTTATTGCTGAACCAGATAATGGATGGCAGTTGGAGTGAAGGTTGAAGATAAGTGAAGCAAACAAAGTAGTATTTGTTTATTTCATAAATCGTGTTGTCTGTATGCGAGACAAAGACGAAGAAAAGAACTGCTTCCTGCCAAACAGACATATGCCTAGGCTCCTTCCATCTTGCGAATTTGCCATCTAAGCTCTACCATGTGATCAAAACAGCTGGCTATGTTTGCCTACCTTCCCATGGTCTCAATAACTCCTTTCTGCTTCTCGAGCAGATCCACAACACCGTTCCATGCATGACCCATATCTCTCCTAATTGCATGTGATTTGAACGCCGCGATGCTCAGTGTGCCCTCCATGGTTTCCAGCCCCAAAACAGATGTCCAAACAAATAAATCAAGCCGCAATCTTCTCTTCCAAACCTCTCCTCAACCCCTCAAAGACTTGCTCAAAGCCACCAACGACATCACGGCATTCGCTGGCACAATATCTCTCCGCAAGACGATGGTCCCAATCCTCCTTTTCAATGAGCCATTGTGCCTGATCTGCTAGATCGCTCTCCCGACGCATCTCAGAAACCATAAGCTGAGTATTCCTCAAATGACGTGCCGCGCTAGCGGTAGTCTGGCGACCCATTTGCAACGAATCGGACAGAGCAGCGAGTGTTTGTATCAGGTCGGTGGTTTCGCGATCGAGACGTGAGAGGTTTTGCAAGGCACGTGGATCTGGAGCTGGCAGGTTTTGTATGACTTGACCGATGGCAGGCACCACTTCGTCGTCGACGATTTGAAAGTCGAGGGGGACACCGAAGCCAAAAGGAGCAAACAGAGACGCAGAGAGGGAAGCGAAGTGCTTTGTTTGTTGTATGATGTGTGACGAAAGACTGTTAGTGGACGTGGTCAGGCGCTGGGTGTGAACTTCGAGTGATTGCTGAGGTGGTAGATTTTGCAAGGCAACAAGGGTACGGGAGATGGTGTCAGGGTTCTGATGCGAGACAGGATTGGCGAGGCGTGAGATTTGAGCCAAGGCATCCTCCAGCTCGTGCGAGAAGATGTTTGAAGATTCGGAATCGACATCACGAGCGGCTGGCTGAGAAGAGTTCCGATGTGGTAGTGATGTGTTTGTCTTCTGTTCCACATGAACTCCGCTGTCTCTCGGGTCTTCATCATGTCGCGTTCCCTCGCCCAGTACATGTTCTATCCCAGCTTCTTGCACGGATTCTGGCTCAGCCTCACCGTCGTAGTCCCAGTCTTCATCATCCGAGTCGGCAAAATCGAGTTCGTCTGCGAGATTTCCCATGCCAGATGCTCCAGCCGAGGCGTCCAGGTGTGAAGCGAAGTCTTGGCTGCCATTGGAGAAGCGCGATGCTGTCGACAGGCGATGGTTTGACGAGGAATTGCTGTTGTGTGAGAAGGAGCGCCGTAGCGGTGTGAGAGGCGGCGAGGCCATTATGGGTGTGCGAGGAGACCAGTTGTAGAGATGTGGATCGGCGACGGCTTCCTGCCTGCTGTTTGGTGGTACGAGTGTGTAGGTTGTTGGCTTATTGGCTCGCAGCTATATGCTTCATGTTTTCCTGGCCGCGATTGTTGACACAAACTCGATGCCTTGTCGTCCAGCAGATGTAAGATGAGTCTTCGTACGGGTTGCAATCAGGAAGGAGGCTGATTGACTCGTCCCTGTCAACAGTGTTGGCAGCCACGACAGGCCAGGGTGTTGTCAAAGCTTCGGTCATCTTGATTGTTCACTCACGCCCCTGAATCTAACTGTGCTACATCACCATCACGCCGACACTTCGTAGCTCTCTTCTTTTCGCTTCACTGAACTCTGAACGTGTATTAAGTATGATGCTCCTCTATTCTGGAGTTATATATAGTCGCTCTTTGGCGCCTGTCCTCTCCTCACTTCAACCCCCACACAATACTACTTCATCCTTGCGTCCATACTCCTTACTCGGACCAACATTGACAAAAAGAGACCAAGAGCGAGCGTAAGAAGACATAAAAAGACGCAACAAAACAAGCAAAGAAAACTGCCAACCCTTCCTCCCGACGGCATTCCTGTCAAGTCTGTAAATCATAAGGCCGTCCCGCGTGAGACAGTGGTATATTCCGACAACGCCTTCAGCATTCCCTTCCTTGCAAGTTTCCATCCCATACTTACATCCTGTCTTTCCACAAAACAAAGGAGATTTTAGGAGCAATGTCGCTTCAGCATCGTGTGCATCATGGCTCTGTATCGACTTCAGCCCCGGGACCAGGGCTCTTCCACCTCTTTCTCCAGAAGCGAAGTCCTCTCAGCCTGCTTCGGCTACGGCTTTCACGAATTCCGGGAGGTCTTTGTGACATGCCACGATTGTCGTCGCCCTCATCGCCGTCTGCCGTGATACGTGATACTGAACTCACTTTGCTCGTACGCACTTCTGGGATGCTCCTGATATCTGGTGCTGAATGCGAAATGCGTTCTCTGCCATGTAGATCCGGACTTGAGTTGGGGTGTAGGAATGGGTTTTCCGTTGATAGCACAGGAGGTGGCTGGATTCCTTTGGGAGTCTCGCTATCCGTTTCTTCTACTGAAGACGGTCGCGTGGAGCCTGGTGAGTGCGCACAAGTCGCAGTCGTCGCAGTTGCATTACTAGTAGCATGGCTGCGAGACGAAGGTACAGAAGACGAGACGCCGGGTTGAGCAGGTGGTGGGAAGGGTCTTATAGTTTGCCTGTGGGAAGACGGTGGCAGCTTCGTTGGCGAGTCTGGTTCCTGTCTGCTCTGCGCCGTTTGGCTGCGGACAAGAATTGTCGTCAAGGAAGCATCGTCATGGTTCTGGTTCTGGTTCTCGATACGGGAGAAGCTGCTAAGTTGGCCCAATTGCAGTTGCTCCAGCTGTTCAAGTGCGGCATCCTTGGAAGAACGACGTGAGTTGGTATGCTGATGGAATGGAACGGAGTATGGCGCATGGAAACTCGAAGTGCTCGTCTTCTTTTTGTTGCTTTTGAGAGGTGATGCGGATGTTGGACGAACTCTGGCAGGCGAAGTGGNGGATGCCGGTTCTGTATTTGCCCGAGCATTGTCAGGCTTGATCGCTTGCACTTCATTGTGTGTTTGTGACGTACGAGACGGACCAAAGAGAGAATCTCGTTCAGGTGGAATGTCGTCTTCCCTGCTGTCTTCAGATTCCTCCTCAGGCACCGAGAGTGGGGTTCGAAGCGGCGACGGCTGAGCCACTGGACTCGACAGAAGGTTTCCTCTTCTCAGTTTCTCGACGTGAATCTTCTCTTCCCAAACCGTTCTGTTGGACTCGATCTCAACAGTGGAGAAACCCATGGCTGGGAAAATTGCTGTAATACCCTCAAAGAGAGGTCCAGCGAAAATACTCATGAATCCAATTTGGGACTCTGCTAACTTGACCAAGTCCTCCCGATCTGGAGGGCCGCCGAATAAGCAGGTTGGCAGGTTAAGCTCCTTCTCCATAGCGCCTTGGTTGGAGAACTCATCTGTGAGGATCACAGCCCATCGTGCTGCAACATCGTACTTGCGTGCNNCTGTTCAGAATTAGCGAGAATTCTGGATGGTATCGCCATCAAAACGTACCACATTGCTTATATCAGCGCACTTCATCAACAACCCGCAGACGAGATCTCTAGTCTCTTCAAGAGCTTTGGGTGTCCAACCCTCTATACTGTCATCGTTTGAGGAAAGCTTTTCTTGCAAATTGCCCATGTCAATCATGTATTTGAAGTGGAGGCCCATGTCTGTAGCCAAAATTGAGTTGATCATAAGTTTGCGCATCGGAATATCAGCGAAAGCTTGTGGCCAGTATCTGCGAAGAATCTGCGAATAGGCCGCGCAATGGAATGCCTCCAAGACCGAGCGATCGTTATAAAGTTGAGCGAGCGGCGCATTCAGAGCGACCANAAAGGCGTTGTTCACACCGGGGTGACCAACATCGTGGCCGATGGCGGAAATGAGCAAAGTCAACGCATCAAATGGCTGTAGCAATGATGCTACTGGCGCAAGGTCTGTCCTGGGTGCCTGATCTTGTTGTGAGCCAGGGTAAGGGGGCAGAATCCCTATCTGTAGGAGGAAGTAGAAGACGGCTTGTAGAACATCAACAATGTGACGGAAGTTGTGATATAGGACAAAGTCATTGTAAGCGTGCCTGCAAGCGAACAGGAAGATGGTCAGATCATCTGCNNAATCAAAGTCAGTGGTGGAGCACAAAAGGTATATAGTGCTTGCAAGCATACCCATAGAGATGCGCCATTTTTCCAGTTCCGGCATCTGCAAGGCATGCTGGAGCATAGTCAAAGCAGCGTAGAGAAGCTCGTCTGAGTCGAAGTCATGAGCGGAAAACGCCCAAGTGCCTACGGCCTGCTCCACAAGAGCTTTTCTTTCGTCACTAAGCTTAAGTTCGCTGAGTAAGAATGTGTTAGCCTATGGATCGAGTATGTGCAACGTTTACTATGCGAACCTTGGATCGATACACTCGCCGACTGAGTCAGGGTTGCATATGCCGTTCATCAGGCCGGAAACCATAACCTCTCGGAGGTAGGCGTACGGCCGCTCTTCATCAATCCCCACCCATGAGAGCTTCCTGTTTCTTTTTTCGAGCACGAAACTCGCTGCTTCACGTGTAACCTCCTTGTAAGTACGGTATGCGTGAACAGCCAGGCCTTGGACTCTATCGAGTCCAATTGGACTAGGTAGCACATCGATGGCACCAGCATCCAAAAAGCGAGACATACGTGTGGGTTCAGCCAGTAGCTGGTTGACGTCAGATATTGCCAAACAGACGGACGATGACAAAGAACTTACGTCGGTCTTGCCAGCAAGAACAGCGATCGGGATGACCAGCCTTGAACGAACGCGCTGTTGGATCTCCGAAGATAGATATGCCAGCAAGTGTACGCCATATACATCACTCGGCTCGTTTCGCTCCACCTTGGGACGCTTCCCCACTAATGGTGAAGGGGGGTTGGAGTCCCATGAAGTCCTACGGACGGCGGGCTCGTCGTCGTGGGGCATATCGAGAAGCACGACAATCGGATTAGGGTTGCGCGAATCATCGAGCTGTGCAATGGTCGTCAGGCAGGACACGCCATCGGCGCAGACATGAGCTATGCGACGCAATTAGAACGGAAGAGGAGATATAGCGACACACAAACTCGACGTACCTTGCCCAAAGGCAGCCATGATGGTACGGATATTGTGCTCGGTCTCATTGGAGTTGTTCTCCTGTTTCAATCCATCGAGATTCTTGTCCAGAAAGCCTGTTATAGGCGTCTTGCGATCGACATAGACGACAGCAAATGCATTGCCCGTCATGGTTACTCGGTTCAGTTCGGCCTCGAGGCCTCTATCGCATTGCGCAGTCGATCAAAGTCGCGAGGGTCGAGCAGATCAGTACATTCGGCAGAAGTCAAAGCAGTGTCTCAGCGTGGAGGGAGCGAGTCAGACAGGCAGTCGCTGGCTAGGATTGTCGCGTCGCGGCGGATTGATGGACGGAGAATTGGCGACTTGTCGGAGGATGCGGTGGTCGGTCGGGGTGTGTATGCGACGCAATTCGGGCAGGAATGTGGGATGCGGCAGGGCGTGGTTTGGGGGACTCGAGTCGGTGGATTGGTTATTGTTGGTAGTAAAGATACAGAAGACAAGGAAAAGAAGAGCGCACGATCATATGGTGGGCATGTCACGCGAGGAAAGGCATGCGAGAAAAGGAGAGGCAGCGAGTATGGGAATGGGAATCCAAGGTAAGGTAGCAACGAGTCAACGTCGAGTTAACGGTGTCAAGCTGGAAGCGTACAGAGGTGTGCCCAGGTTGCTTCTTCCCCACTCGACGGAGGCAGGCTACAGCAGGGCAAGCCTCGAGTCCGCCTGAGTAATCTCGCATACGCCATGACGCCCGTTGCATCCCATTGTGAACGTTGACGGTTGTCTTTCCCGCTGCCTGTGTCCGTGTATGAGTCTCTCGCTCAGCCTCCCATTTGTATCCTGGCCCAGCTCTATCTGCTGTACCTTCAAACGAGGTGTCCTCTTCGCATCAGCCATCTCACCTCGACGTGCATGCTTTGGGCTTCCCGCAGCGCGGCAGCCGCAAGCGCACGCCAGCGACTGTCATGCCAAGCCCTTCGATTGTTCCATGCTTCTTCCATATGACTATCCATACCCAACGCGGTGCCTGGACAAAACAATGACGGTGGAACTAGACGATCAAATTCCAATAGCATCTCCTCGTCTCTTACTGCTTCTGTCTCCAATATTCCAGCGACCCAATCCATCCAGTATCGTACACGCCGTTAGCTGCTGTAGAATGGCCAAAACTGCCGATGCGAATTGCAACGCTCTTTTTTTCTATTCCGCTTAGGCCGCCTTGCAATCGTGCCGCCGCCGGCCACTCTGTCGCTTGGTCAGAGTCAACGGGCCTGTATATGTCGGCAGAGCTTAATCTGCTCGAAGCCCGAAGGAGTATTTTGTAGACAACCAAAAGCTCGCGCCAGCACGCCGTGCACATCCTCAGCCAGCGCCATGACCGAACGCCTTGCCCGTACCCATGCCTGTAAGGCTTAGTATCGACCGTATCCGCAATTCTGGAAGGCAGCTGTGCCTTCGGCCGTTACGTACTTCGTACACTGTTAGGTCGCATCTCCGACAAGCATCCGGTTGATGGGTTACTTCTGACACGACTCAGGCCATATTCTGAATGTCCGCACCTAGTCATCGAGAACTCGACACCTGTCGAGACATCGGCGTTGACGTCTGTTGACAGGGCACTAACATGCTACCGAGGGAGGATATGCTTTAAGGTCACATATGTCCAACGATCCAGCAATCCATCGTCCTGCGCAGCCAGCAGAACCAGCAAAACCAGCAATTTACTTGTGGGATCCGCGGGCCTCACATAAGATTTGCTGGCAAGCCTGTCTAGCTTGTTGACAGTCACGACAGATGATCGGTGTTGGGTGTGGCAGCTGACTGACGCGTGTTTGTCTTGTCTTCTCTGCTTTCCACTACATCCCGCTCCTCGAGTTGCGAAGTTGCGACAAATACGACTCGACAGTAAGCACCATTTGACAGCATCACTCTAGTTACCACGAGAGATCACGTTCTCGAGCATTCCCACTTGCAGGTGCCACAGAACCCTGAACCGTCGTTTTGATATCAACTTTCGCAAGCGTTCGATCAGAGGTCCCAACTTGTCCAAGTTGAAGAGCTAGACCATGAACAAAACTTGATTAACCAGGACGAACGACATCTTGGAGGAGAGTAAACCCTTGAAATTAGATGTGAGAGGACCCAGGGGCATCGTCTCCTGTAGATGCAATCTCCGGTTCGTCTGTGTTTAGCCAAGCACGTTTTGTATGTCAAAGATCTGACTACTGATGACCTTGTTCAATTTGCAGATTTATTGCATGAGTAAGGCACTGTGTATCAGGTTTGCCTTTCCTTCGCTATCCGAGGTATATCGATCGTCCCGTCAGGTGCTGAAGAGGTGTTCTGATGGATGACTGGCTTCAATACGTGCTTGAGCCTACCGTTTCGACACGAGGTTTTCTTCCACTCTACCCATGTGCAAAAGCATGTGAAGCGTGTGGCTAAAAATACACGACACTATCAGAGAATAGGATAGTGTCTGATGAGAGGCGATTGCGTGCTAGCTCTCTTTGGCCAAATCTTTGTTTATAACGACACTATGCCTTTTTATAGCGTGTACTTTGCTCTCTGCTGTAGTTGGAGAATAGTGGAATTTACAGGCTTTAGTAGGTACCTGGGGAGGACGAATGGCGGCCGAACAGTGTTTGGAGCTATAACCGGGAGGAATCCTTTGACACTGAAAGTACCTATGTCATAGAGTGCCATCAAGGTGGTGTCTCTCAGCAAACATTACTATGTCCGATCTATGTCTCGGGATTTTCTTTAGAGCTAGGCTCAGGTTAGACTTCCCACACATGACATTCGTGAAGAGTACACGATGGATCGTTCAGGTGATTAGTCGTTCATGGACTGCCATGTAAGAGTGATGGCCTGGATGGTCACGTTGCCCCTCATCCCCTCGGTTCTTGGCAGATTGACGGCCCTCCAACACCCCGCGCCGGATGCGTCAACAGAGCCAACAAGGTAGCACTGTAGACCGCCTTCTCAACACTCTCCCACAACCCGCCTCTTTGTTCGCCTTGTATACCTCTCACATCGTCTCGGACAGTCTGCGCGACTGTCCTGTTTCTTCCCTCTGCCCAAGACACCATCTCTTTGTCCGTCAGACAGGCTTCGGACTTGGCCGATAACAACGTCACGTAGCCACCACGGTCCTGCAGGCGGCAGCACGACCTGACCTTCACTCCAGCTGCAGCACTGTCGCAGTCTTGCTCGACCTCGTGCAGTCTTTGACCTGCCGGGTGTCCTACAACTACTCATCCGAGTCTGGACGGCATCCGCTATAGCTGAACCATCGTCTCCGCTTCGTTTCGTCCGTCTCGCTCTCCTTAACGCCGTCCTGCCCACTTGCCGACCTTGGTCTGCGAGTGGCTACCAACATCCTTCGCAAAGCTCCACATATGCCATCATCCAACGACGAGGTGTTTCACGCAGAAGACACGCCGGATGAAGCAAAGGGAAACAAGGCCAGTCGAAAGAAACAGAAGAAGAAGGCAGCCAAGCAGAGACTCGAAGCCGAAGATGACTCTGCTAAGGACTCATCATCTGAAGGCCCTCACCTCTCGCCCGATCTGTAAGTAGTTTTGAGCCGTCCGCCTTACAGACTTAGCTGATCAAGGTCTCTCAGGGTACCGACCCTCGCGCCAATCGCGCCCTCACCTCCCCCTTCTCGTTCTCCAAGTCCTCCTCTAGACACTCAGCTTCCTGCTACAACACCAGACTATTCCCCACCTGAAAAGACTGCTTCACCCTTGTCAAAAGTACCTGCTCTGCAATCTCCCAGGCAACAGCTGCATCCATTTGCGCCAACCTCAGAGCCGTCTCCTCCGCAAGATGGCGTAATGCTGGGACATGATAGCTCAAAGATTCCTTCACGCCTGTCTGGTGCTGGATCTCCACTCCATGCTGCTTCCCTATCTTCGTCTCCCCAAGGTGGCATACGGTTACCTCAAGGTTTCGTGTCGAGAGGCTTCTCTGAGGCTACAAACGTTCCTTACACTTCTACACCGGCGAACCAACCCATGAACTTCGCAAACACCAATCAGATACTGCCATATGAGCCTTTGCCTCCGCACATGCCTCAACGTCACTTCTCAAGGCTGGCCGAGTTCGACTTTAGCAGACCCGTACATACAGACAAGTTCTTGCAAGCTGGAGCGAGAGGTTATTACTGCGGCTTCGACACATGGCAAACACCCAAAGGCGTCTCCTCTACAGGTACAAGCTCGGTCGTGGTTGTCGGCTTCGAAGGTGGTCTAGAGGTTCACAAAGTCAACCGACAGAAGACCGAGGTGCTAGGCCGTCTAGAGGGTTTACATGGCGGTATCATCGACGCGAAGATTTTGCCGTGGACAGCTCGTGACGATCCATTGGAACACTTACGTCCTCTGGTCGCCTGTGTCATCCACGGCCCGGTGCTCGATCGTGACCCTGAACAGCCGTCTTCCCCTCCTGGCATCAAAGAGTATCATACCTTTGTCGAAGTCTATTCAATGCGAACCTGTCAACGTGTGAGCAGGCTTTTCCAAACCAGACCCGAGAAGATTCACCAATCAGTCGTAACNAAAGGGTTCATACCTCCTCCACCCATCGGCAACCTCAGTGTCGCTGCCGAAGGACGCTTCGTTCTTGTCACCTCAGGTGTGAGCGGTGAGGTCTATGTGTTTGCCGTCCGAAGCAAGCAACCAGCTGCCGAACACCAGCCATTCTGCTGTCTCGGAAAATACTGGTCAAGCCTGCAGACAAGAATCTCGTCATCGGAAGAGAGAACCACGATGACAAACAATGATCTTGGAACTGCAAGACTCAAGAACTCGAAGAGAGCAGTGTATGCCTTGAGTGACCGCTGGCTAGCCATTAAACCTCCACTTATCTCGTCTTCGCAGACGACTTTGAAAGGTAGTACGGGTTCCATCGACCATATTGACCCCGTTGGTATCGCGAGTCATGCTTCGCCAGCCCCCCCTCTACTGAACTGTGAGGTTGATGCGCCGTTTAATGAGAGCCTTATCAGTCGTGTCGCCAAAACTACTACGCGAGAAATATACAAAGGTGCTCAGCAAGGTTTTCAAGCATTGAAGACGTACATCAACCGCCCGGCCAACTCGAATGGTGATGCTGCCTATTACGGGTCGCCCCAATCGCCCCAGACTGAGCACAATGCATTTCCGCCTACTCATGCTCATAGCAACGAACCACAAACATCTCCGATAGAGCCAGCACTGGTGTCCATTATCGATCTTGAGAAATTGTTGGAACGTGGAGAGCGGGAGGGCAAGGGGATTCAGTCTTCTTCGCACACCTTTCATCTGAACGATGGATGTTCCTTCCTCTCATTTTCTCCCAGCGGGTTGTCTCTACTTGCCACTAACCACGTTGGCGACGAGTCAAGGGTCTGGGACTTGACCCGCATCAATGATTGTAGAGCAGCTGTCGCGGATCCGTCTTCCGTCGGTACTGTTCGATTGGTCTCCAGATTCCACAGGCTGTCGCCGTCAGTGGTGACTGATGCTTTCTGGACGGTACGTGGAGACCGCATCGCCATCGTTACTGACAAAGGTACTGTGCATCTGTATGGCCTGCAATCCTTGGAGTTCAAGCCTACGGTCATCTTGCCATCAAACTTGCCGTCTCCAGGCTCATCCCCGCGTGAAGAACTCCAAGCACCAGCTGGAGGTTTCATGAGCAACATGCGTGCTGGATGGCAGAGCATCCACGGCCTGGCTACTAGGCCACGAAATGGCTCGAACGGCATTGTGAGTACCCTTGGCAACGCTTCAATGGCTGCAAGGTATGCAGGAGGAAGGGCTGTACGCCAAGGACTGTCCAAGGGATTTGGCATGGCTGCTGAAGGGGCTCATCATATCCGACACGCCGAGGACAACAAGATCCGTTTGCATCCAGCTCAGCACTTTGTTTCGCCAAGATGTGTACAGTGGCAGCATGGCAAAGATCGAGACATGATTGCGACTCTATGTAACGGTGTTCTTACCTTGTTGGCTGTCAAAAACGTCAGCCATACACAACACAAGAAGACCGTCATCAGCCCGGCTGTAGATAAAACGCCACTCTGGACACAGCCTCTTCCAACCATTTCCAGCGATTTATTACCACCTTCAGTACTTGGGTTGCTTGAGCCTAATGGACCCCACGGCGGGTGTGCTCGCGAAGGTTCGCATGGGTTCTGTGTCTGGGATGTATCTCCAGCTCAAAGACTCGCCGAAAGACGAGCTTCTAATGTCAGTCTGGGTAAGAGGAAAGTGAGAATACCTATCCAAGACAAGGACACAAACCCGTCTTACATGCCTTACCATCGCCTACCGACTGTCAATCTCTTCACCGTCTCTGACTCTGGAAGTCAAACAGACGAGACAGACGATTCTTGGGTGTTTGGACTGCCTTTGGCGCCCAATAGGAGAGTCAGCAGCCCACAGAACGATACAGCAGAGACCTATGACGAAGGCATTACCGAAGAAGACATGGAAGGATTTGTCGGTCAAATGGATGAAACTCTTCGTGGACAAGGATTTGCGAAGAGTGACCACGAGCTCGATGCACAGGAAGAGAAGCTGGTTGACATGTGATAGCATGGCAACTGACACTCATTCGATACAGTGATTTATGATGGTCAAGGCGTTTTTGGGAGGATGGGCTGGATTGTGATTGTTAGACGATTAGATACCATTTTACTACTAGCACAAATGAAACATCCCTTGCAAGATAAGAATCATCTACGACCCGCAAAGTGAAAGTGGGAGCAGATGGCCTACTGTCATCTGGACAGGGTGCCCTTCGGAGTGTTGAAGCCGAACGACGATGCAATCAAGACAAGTCCTACTTTGAAGCTTTACGACTTTCCATTCACCTTTGCGCCAACCACCATCATGTCTTCGGTACGCCCAATGACGCCAGCAGACCTGCTGAAATTCAATCCCTGCAATCTAGACCACCTGACGGAAACATACAACATCGGCTTCTACCTCGACTATTTTTCCAAATGGCCCGAACTGTGCATGGTGATTGAAGGCCGCCACGGCGAGATTGAAGGTTACAGTGAGTCGCATGCCTCTTTCTCAACTTTACAACACACACACCATAAAGACTAACGAACAAACAAAACAGTCCTCGGTAAACTCGAATCATCGCCCTATCCCGCTCCCCATGTCCCCTACGACCCCTCGCACCCAGCCTACAAAAAGCAATACCCGAATTATCTAGGCTGGCACGCGCACATCACCTGCCTGACCGTGTCTCCCTCTTCACGACGCCTGGGCCACGCAACCGCTCTCTCCAACTCTCTGGAAGTAATCGGCGATCGTGAGAACGCATGGTTCGTGGACCTNTTTGTGCGTGTTGAAAATACAGCTGCTATTGAGTTGTATAAAAAGATGGGATACAGTGTGTACAGGAGGATTGTGGATTACTATAATGATGGCAGTGATGCTTATGATATGAGGAAGCCGTTGAGTAGGGATACGAAGAGGGATACTGTGAGGGAAGGAGGTGAAGAGATTAGGGTTGATCCTGGAGAGGTGTGGTGATTGATGGGCAAAGAGCATGGAAAGAGATTTGGGCGAGATGTTTTGTCGTAAAACTGCAATTAGGATGATGCAGGACTGTGGACGCGAAGTATACGAAGCATGTGCTTGAGCTGGCACTCGGCTCATGCTGTTCGTGGCCAATATCAAAAGAGGACGTCACTCGAAGGCATGGCTTGGATGGTCAAGATCAAGAGATGGCCCAGGCACAGGAGTGGGCTGGCCTGGACAATGACCTGCGATAGGAATTTCAGTCGTACCTGGACGATGTCGAAGTTGGATACTGCTACATACCACGAGAGGTTCACACATTGATGCGAGCACCATCTCTGCGACAAGTCAAACACGCCTTTCTCAAAAGGGCTTTTCGTCTTCTAGGAGAACAGTTGTGTACAACTCGGCAAAAACACTTTGTTGGAAAGTCATAACACATAGCATTAAGTTTTGGGTATCGTAACCTCTACATCGACATCATAGCAAGCCATAAACACACCTTCTTGCAGAAGCCACTCAGCGAATCTGGAACGAAGCATCGGTCCCGGCGGTAGTGACACTTCCTGCATCGCTCAAACCGTTCGTCTCCCTTGCGAGACCTGAACGAACAGCAAAGCCACTGCCAGGTCTCTCTACGTCTCCATCGACGATCATGTCGATTCTAGCCCTCTCCCTTTCCTCCTTTTCTTTCATGGCTTTCGGATCAAACTCTTTGCCTCCAATGATCTGGCTCACAGGTGGCGCGGGTCTGAAACGTCGTTTACTCTGGCTGCCTTCTTCGTCAACAAGAACTACCATCCACACACCTACGGCACCACCGTGGCCGAGCAGAGGCGTGCAGTGTATCCATCGGCTGCGACCCTCGTCTTCCCCGTCTTCTTCTATGCGTGTCAACCAACGGATCTTTGCCGTCACACCGCGACCTTCAGTAAATGCTTGGGCGAGTTCTGAGCGTACACGAGGTGAAGCACCGATACGAGATAGGAAAGGGCTTTGCAAGATTCCTGGTACGCGAAGCGATGGTGAGGTGAAGAGGATGCGCAAAGACGGTGCTGGTCGGACAAGCAGATAGTGCTCATATACACCTGCTAGCTTGCCGTTTTCAGGCATACGCTGCACTCCATTGAGACCAGAAGTTGGATTGTTGGGTAGCTGAGCCAATTGATTCATTTCCTCGTCTGACTGGTCAGTTATCAAGAGGCGGGGTCTGGGTTGTACGCCGTTGTCTCGCTCGTCATCAATTTGCTCGCGATGCATGCGACCTCCGCATTGCCTTACAGTCTCCAACTCGGTGGTACTGAACATCTCGCTCAGGCTCTGGAACTCGTCGTTCAGTTGCTGTTGACCGTCTTCGTCCTCATCACGGTTCATCATCTTTTNGAGTGCGTTCATACCAGTCATTTCCTTTAGCAGTCCAGATACGTCGACTTGAGCTCCGATGAAGTATCTCAACGTACCCTTAGAATCGTAAAGTGGTGCTGTCATGAGGAGGTTGATGAACGGGCTGCCGTCGCGTCGATAGTTGACAAAGATCTCGCTATGTTCCCTGGGTACTTTGCACGCTTCGGCCAAACGACGTACTGAGTGTGGATTCGTCCTCGGTCCTTGAAGAAAGCGACAATTGCGACCAATCGAGTAGCCCATACCATATTGTGTCGTGCGAGCGAATTCTTCCGAAGCGAATACAATGGGGTTGTCCTTCCTGGAAGGGTCTGTCAAGCAGAATACTTCGGCTAGTCCTTCTGACGCTTCTCTCAAGTGTGGTGCCAAGGTTCCGGTGATTCTCCTTTGAATACTTGTACTCACGATGGAGATCCATGTCCACGTGATGTATGCTGGCAAGTCTTCTCGTACTAGCAAATCGAATGCCTGATCGGCTTTTTTCTGCAGCTCTAGATTCTGGGTAGTCTGAGGTGGCGCAGAAGTGAAATCGAGACCGGAAACGGGATGCAATGCGCTCGACACAGCATTCGCATATTTGATGGCACGCAGAGCTTTCAGGGCATCCATGTAAAAGACAAGAATTGGTATGCTTAGAGGACGATGGCTGTTGAGGAAGCCAGTGAACTTTAGCAGGGTCTTGCGATCAGCGAAGATTGCTTCAAGATGGTCTCGTGAAAGGAGTTGTTCGGCATGTTCGTCTAATTGATATGTCTCACTGACTTCTTCTGGTGGTGCGGCCACGAGATCGAAGTTGGCTGGATCATCTTCTAACAAAGGTTGCAGGCGGTCTACCTCATCATCGACAGGACCCGGAGCCTGAAGAGGAGGTAGGGTCAGCACCGAATGCGCAACCGAGGGAGCTTTTGAGGGTGCTCTCGAATGCGAGGCCGATTCTAGCGATATTCTCTTTTNGTTTTTCTGGAAGTATTCAGTGTCCATAGATATACGGTCGGGGGTGTTTGGCTGAGATGTTCCAATGTAGGATCCTGAATCTCTGGGTTTGTGGTGGTGCTTGGACGCGGGACGGGAAGTCGAGACAGTCGGTGGTTGCGCAGATGACAGTAAGGAATTCGCCCGTGGAACATCAACCATCTTCGCTCGTGAAGTGCTTATGTGTCTGGAGATGTCTGGCGGGGCCAAGTTGTCGTCACTGTCGTCTGAGTAGTCTTGGTCGAAGGTGGGCGAACTCGGGAGGCGGCCATTGGGAGCGGATACTCGTATGGGAATGGGAAGACGTGCCGTGGCCTCTCTGCTGGGTGACGCGGGATGCACATAGTGAGTTTGGAAGTCCTCGACTAGAGGCTCGCGGCCAGCCTGCTCTGCATCTGATGACACTGCCTTCTCCACCATGTCCGTCGACTTCGGACTTGAGACTCTAATCCTGGTCTCCACCGACGACGGCCTTGAACTCTCGTTTGTGCTGTGAGAGTCTGCCGAGCGTCTGTCGTTCANTGACACGGTGCTGGTGCAAATATTAGATCTTTGTCAAGGCAAGAGCTACCAAATACGCACCTTCCTCAAGGAAGCAAATATCGAAGGACTCATCTCAGCCGGTTCCTGCTTCGGTCTTCTTCACAGCAAAGAGTCTCACGGGCACGAGATCGATGTCCCAGGCAAACGCGACCAGCCATCCTTCTCACTATGTATGCAGGGCGAGTATGACCACGATTCCATTCCTGTTCCTGGCGCAAACCATCAAGGGTCGTCATCGTCATACTCGACCTCACTTCCCCGGGTGCCGAGACCATCATGCGGTGCCATCTCAGTATTGATGTTCGGCTCGATCTGCGTTAAGCAAACCTTCTTTTGTAGATCGGTACCAGACTGCCGAAACTGTACAAAAGCCTTACAAATATTGGAGCCAAGAGTGGCAGTCTGTTTTGAAGTCAGACATCGCAGCTCGCTTTGGTCGCGTACACATTTGGTAAGGAAGGAAGCCTGCTGTATGCAAGAGAGTCGCCATCGTTGGACGTCACAACGAAGCCTCCACAAGCAACAGTCGGGTCTCCCATCTCGCGGATCTCTCGTGCATGATGCATGCATTGCGGCCATGGCGCACCACGCTAAACTATGCTTTTCCGATTGCTTGGAACACTTTTTGCTTCATGTCTTGAAGAGGTTGGTGCTCAGCTCGGATCACGATTCAGGAAGGTCAAAAGCATCTGAAAAGCTGATTTTGCGCTGCTCGGGAACTTTGTCGGCGACAACTCTGGAGGATTCAACTCGGTCACCTCAGCACAAGGTTCTGACTGCCAGCAGCTATATAGGTGATGCTGTAGTACCAATCACATTGTCGTCGTTTTTGGACGAGCTGCCACATATTCAACAGCCAGCACTTTTTGATTCTTGTCTGCACTTTCCAACCTATCCTTTATTCCTCATGCGAGAAGAGGTCTCGTTTCATCCTCTTCTTCTTCCTCATCCTCTACAGGCAACGCCTTGCCCCTATATAGAATGTAATGCTGTACGANAAAGACCGTGTCAAAGCAAAGACTGAATACAGCAAGGAATAACTTTGCTGGATTGCCAGTAATTCCACTCCAGTCTGCCTCCAGTGCGCTGTCGATAATCAACTGGAGAAGAGACATAATGCCGCCGAAAAAGTCAAGCCAGATCATGTCGATAGCCCAACCTGCTGTCGACTTGATCTTATAGTTGTACCTGTAGGATAAGGTTAGATCTGAAGAGCCTTCGCGGTCATGTGCTACATACCATGCTTGCGGAGCGTACTTGCTAAGGGTGACAATGAGTTTGACATAAGAGAAGGCATATATNNCTGAGCAACTTAGCAGGTGCCTCTAGAAAGTGCTCGGAAATGTGCGCACGATATCAATTTCTGCCCATGAGTCGGGAGTGTCTCTTCTGCCTTTGAATGAGAATACAAGTATGGTAGTAATAGCCACTCCCACAATGCTACCATAAAAGATACCAAGAGCTATGGAACTGGCTCGTTGTCCTTTGATCACTTCGAAGTTCCACAACCTTGGGTAGAACTGACTATAGAAAACAAAGCAGACGATAGTGCCATGCAAAGCGAAGATCAGGTCATTGTATCGTACTGTGGGCTCAGGAGCGAAAGGATGTCGAAGGGCATACTGCTGGCGGATTCTGGGCGCGAGAATAAATGCTGTAGTTGAGATGAAATAGCTTGTGAAGCCAAGAATGTTCAAGAGAGGAAAGTCAACCGTTATACCACGTGTGGAGCGGAGTTTCCAGCAGCGAAGCGGTTGTGGGTAAAAAGATAGCGACCATGAGGTGAAGTATGACCATCCAAGCAGCCATGAGATTGCTCGGGCCACTTCCTCTCCAGTGACTGCCAACATGGTGTGAAATTGTGCGCAATATGATAACGTCGTAGATGAGCAGAAAGAAAGCTCAATAACCAAACGATGGTCTCGGTGCGGACCGCATGTGTTCCGAACGAAGGTCCGATGAGTTCGAGAAGGGAAGATGAAAAGAGTGAACGAGAGGGTGGAGCAAGGAAGGAACTACGAAAGATGCATGTGCGTGAATTGCGCCATCTTGATATGGAAGGAGCGTGTTTGGACTCGTGCAGGAATCTGATTAGATGGCTAAGAAGCGCGGCAATAGCGGATTTAAAGCATTCCCCCAACCTTGTTGCTTGAACCTCATGCTTGGCACGAACCACGGACGCGACGTACACGGTCAACGACAAGCATCAGAAAGCATCAAAGAAGTCGCTGTCGCTGTGTCTTGTTCAAGCGGACGCGTTTGTGGGTATCCCGAGATTCATGCGACAACAAACATAGCCTTCGCAGTGCCGCAACTGCCGTGTCGAATAAGAATGGCTGCCCCCGAATCGTCACCTCGCCGGCCCACGCGCACCCCTGCAAGACCTCGCGCGGCCTCATCGCAGAACATGGACTCTGAACCTCCCACGAAAAGAAGAAGATATGTCCCTGGTGGTCCCGGAGGTGGTGGACGCTGGGTCGACGAGGAAGGCAACGAGACAACAGGCCCCTCTACTTCTGTGCGCCGACACCGATCCGTCCTGACCGGAGATGACAACGATGGAGACATGTCGAGTCCAAGAACTGTTCGCCGCCCACCTCCATCTACACGTCCGCGCAGAGACCGAGATCGCAACCGTGATCGCCGACCAACTGCGACCCCCGACCCCGTTACAGTAGCGCTGCTGCTGCAGCCGCTGCAAGTCAAGCCAGTGACGGATACAAACCACGAGAAGAAAGGAGCTGGGAAGAATTTCATCCGAACCTCGATGTCGATCAAGGTCTTACTCTGTTCTCAGCCGACTATGTAGACGGCCGCAATGTTGACACACTCATGGTCGAGAACGATGCGCCCCCTCCGATACCCTCATTTGTGCCAATAGAAACTCCAATCAAGCGCAAGCCTGGCCGACCCCCAAAACGACCCGAAAGCATGCTATCTGGCCTTGGCTCTCCACCAGCTCCTCGCATCTTGCCGCTACCTACACACAACCCCAAGGAACGCCTCAACCTACCCAAGCCAGCATATCGCACCGTCGACACGTTCGCCCAGTACGAGCAACACGGCTCAAACCAAAGAAACTATGTCGACAAGTCCATGGCTCATGTTGGCTACCAAGAAGGCGACCGCTTTGATATACCCAAACACATCCTGATTCGTCACGTCGAAGGTCCCTACGATGACGATAGCATCTCAGGCCTTGTTGTCAAGTCTGACAAAATCGAAGAAGCCCGGCCGCCCGTTGTCTTCAACGTCGAATACGACATGGATGAACAAGATGAACGATGGCTCGAGATGCACAATACCCATCGCAAGGAGGAACAGGCTGAGCCCATCAAGCCAGCCTTGTTTGAAATCACCATGACCCAAATTGAGCGTGAATACTACGCCCTCGAGAAGAAGATCCCGAAGCCAAATCCGAGACACGCCCAAATCACAAGGCCCCGCTCGAGTTCCGCCGCAGCTGTCAATGGAGAGCCTAGCGGACCTGCCGATGAACCCGACACCAAATGTGCTGTATGCGACGATGGCGATTGCGAAAACGCCAATGCCATCATCTTTTGCGATGGCTGTGATCTGGCCGTTCATCAGGAGTGTTACGGAGTACCATTCATCCCTGAAGGCCAGTGGTTCTGTCGGAAATGCAAGGAGATCGGCCGTGGTACCCCGACTTGTGTCTTCTGCCCGAATGTGGACGGTGCCTTCAAGCAAACGAATACCATGCGCTGGTCCCATCTGCTTTGCGCCCTTTGGATTCCCGAAATCACCATTGCCAACATGACCTTCATGGAACCTATAACTGACGTCGAAAAAGTGCCTCAAAGTCGCTGGAGACTCAAATGTTATCTTTGCCAACAGAATATGGGTGCTTGTATCCAATGTGGTAACAAGGCCTGTTATTCAGCGTTTCATGTCACATGCGCAAGAAGAGCCAAACTATTCCTGAGAATGAAATCTACGCATTCTGGAGGCATCGATGCTTCTGTTCTCAAGGCCTTCTGTGACAAACATGTCCCTCAAGATTGGCGTAACGAACATGACGTTGATACTGCTGTCGCAGAAGCCAAGCGCTATTACAGACACACAATGAAGAACAGGAAATGGGCAGACAGCTCCAGCACTGGAAATGTTTTNACCCCTGCTGCCCAACAAGACTCGACCGCAGATAACGTAGACGAGCTAGGTCACGCTGACGATACTATCGTTGTTGCTGCAAACAAGCGCAAGAAAACCCAACCTCAAAAAGCTGGTTGGCGTCTGCCATCGGGCGCACCCGTCGTTCCTGCTGTTGTGTTCAACACAGTCGACAATTCACTTGGACGATTCTCGCTCAGGAAGCGAAAAGAGTTTGTTACTGAGGCTTGCAAATACTGGACGCTCAAGAGAGAAGCTCGCAAAGGTGCCGCTCTGCTGAAACGCCTCCAACTATCTCTCGAGTCTTTCTCTCCTATGGAAATCACTCGTCGCAACTTTTCGGGCATGGGTGCTGCTGGCAGACCACGCTTGCTTCGAAGAATCGAGTTTGGCGATATCCTTAGTGAGGACGTGGACAAGTTGGAACATATCATTTCCAGTGTCCGCCAACGCGAGGAGTTGAGCCTTGTTGATACTACCGAAGTCCTCAGGAGTCTCATCGATAACGTTTACTTCCCTATCATCNNCCCCCTGCTTCGCCCGATTCTACAACGAGCACANAAAGTAAGTGAAAAGCATCTCTTGTTACTGTGAATAAGGACTAATCCAGACAGACTTGATGAGAAAAGCGGCTTTTTCAGAGATGGATTCGAAGAGCTTGAGCGAAAGCTGTCCGAACGACAATACATCTCGGTTGCGGAGTTCTCTAATGACATTTTGACAGTGTTGTCAAGTGACAATACAAGATCTGAGAAGAACATCACGGAGGTTCACGACGCAACAGATACGCAGCAGCAACTTGACGATCCCATCGACACTGTGGAGCACAGGGCTTTGACACCAGAACAAAAGGAGCTTAAGAAGATCCGAAAGCGTATAATCAAACCTGTCAGAGAACTTCTGGAGAAAGCGTCGGCACGAGAGGCAGAGTTGAAATGTATACCACTGGAGGAAAATCCCAAGTGGGCCGAATTCGATGCACTTCTCGAAGACTCGGTACAGACCAACGGCGCGCTGCCTACTACAGAGAATGGTGACAACATATCACCTGACACAAGTGTCTCTGTGATTGCAGGCGCATCTCCAGGCCAAACCGATAATCGAGCCGACGAGGATGTTGATATGGTGGACGATGATGATGATGACGCCGAAGGTGAACCAGACGAGGAGGTCAATGGTGCTGCTCACACGATGGTCGATGCCGGAGCCGTACCTACAAAGGGAGCCATGTTCAAGCCTATACAGCCTCTGTCGCCTCCAAACTCTACCTTGAGCGTTGCTAACAACAACAACGTCAACGGAACCATCGAACATCGTCATCAAGAGCTTGCACCGCCCTCTACGGTAGCAAATGACCCATGGGCTCAGGGTGGTGTACCTTGGTATCTTGAACTCTTCGACATAGATGGCACTACAGTACACGAGGAACGATGGTCGGGCCGTGACGCCATGTCGGAAGAACTCACCGATCTGGACGAAGAGGAAGTGGCTGTTCTTTGCGACAAGCCTAGCGCTTCCGTCGAGGCAGACGACAATGCCAAAAGTCGAACCAGAAGCTCGGCACGAATCAAGCGCGCTGAAGAAAACAGCACCACTTCAAACGAAGAAGAGAATGCTCCTGCAGAAGTACAACAGACTGAAGAGCAAAGAGCAGAGAGGGAGAGAAAGGACAAGGCCAATGCGAGACGCAGAGCCCAAAGAAGGCGCAAGTGGTGAGATTGATCACTCGATTGATTAACCTTTCAAGATGGTGTTTTATGGTGTTTACTTATTTTCTGATTGGGAGAGGGGTTCTTTCAAGCCACGGCTGGGAACAAGGTGTTTGGGAAAATACTCTTCTTCTTCATGAGAGATGAAATTCATTTGCTATTTTCGAGAGAAGGGGGAGGAACGATGGGAATGTCACGGATCCACTATCATAATTTTTACGAGGCAGCAAAGACAAGCTCTTGCACTGCCGCTTATGGTATGCAAAAGATTGACAATGCAAACCAACTCGACTCTGATGCTTTGCTTCGCGTGACCGTACTTTGGCACTTGCTCACTTCAATCTCTTCGCCTTCCATGTCCGAAGATGCAAGATCGTCCTCCTCTTTTCCCTTTTGTCAACTCTTATCTTCTCATCACCAGGCGGTATGGACCAAAAGAGCGAGTGCTCAGATGCCCCACAACACCTTGAAGAACGATCAAGCGGTGAAAGCTACAGATCCTCTCAGCAAAAAGACAATAGCCACAGCTGTCATAGCAAAACAAAGCCAACACCTTCAGGGTCCAAGATAACATGCCTTTGCCTATATTGTACAGCGCACTCGCTTCATCTCTCCTTCGAGTATGATCTTCTCCATGCTGATCATGCACGAAAATCCTCCGAAGATCTCTTGGAATGCTTGGGAAGATCGACACTTCTTAAAAGCGCCGCTGTCGATCTCTATGACGCACGGTCACCCTGCCATTGTACTTTGTTGATCGGAAGTAAGCCACTGACATCTGAGTTGACATGGAAAGTTGAGTAACCTCGTTCATCGCGAGTCAGGAAGGATAAAAGACATTGATCGATACAACCACATGAGGAGATGCGAGAAATGGAAGCATAGAGTAAATAAGACAATAGCGGTATCGTGATTTTGCTGCTGTGAGCTTCCGTCCGTGTGAATTCGTTAATAGGTATCCCTTTTTTGTCCCCCCAAACCTTTCCTTCTAGCCAGAACGAATATGCAGAAATGTCACAATGAAAACTTGCAAAAAAATATCAGTTCAACATGCTCATGGCGTCGAAAATATCGACTGTGCTCTCCACTCCTCTCTCTACAACGAACTCTTGGCTGTATGGTCTGAACGCCATGACACCGTCTTCGGGAACATCTTCAGGTACAGATACTCCGAATGAGCGCGTGGGGGTTCTGTCGCCTGCGACACCCCACCAAGCAGGCATCTGTACAGCCTGCTGTTGGATCTGATGTTGCAAAGCCAGGCCTGCATGAGAGCTGAGCAACTTTGCAGTCGCAGCTGCTGCAGAAGAAGCAGTCAAGGTCGAAAGATTGGGCGCAGGGCTGTTGGCACCAGAGCAGCTGCAGCTGGAGCCACTGGACTTGCGCTGAGTGTCACTGCAGACGCTTTCGTGGTCCATGTTGTAGACTCCCGCACTGCTGTGGCGATCGTACCAGCTTTGAGAGTCCAAGTCGTCACTAGTTACGCTGTGAGGACTGCTATCCCACATGTTGCTTGACGCTGAAGCTGGCGACATGGTTGAAGATGTAAAGCTTGAGGGTGTCGAGGGCCCTTCCGGTGATGCGAGAGTGTCCAGCATAAAGGTATCAAGGGTGGGTGTGCGAGCTTCAGGCAGATTGTAGAATTGCGTAGTCGTTGTAGACTGCGGCTGGTGGGGATTGAGATAGCCAAGAGATTCTTCTTCGCTTATAGCGAATGAGTAACCGGAGAAGCGTTTGCTCCCGGGCGACTCGGCAGCAATAGAGGAGCCAGTCTGATCGGTAGAATTGCTCTGAGTATTGTTTGACACGAAAGAAGATCTGACCGAGGCGCGTCGTGTTGGGAAGGAAAAGTTGGACGTTAAACTTCTGTGCAGACTTCTGATTGAACCAGTACGGTTCACTGCACCTGATGTATTGATTCGTAGCGGTTGAGGTCGAAGAGAAGAGTGCGAATCACATCGTTTTGGCATCATCTTGTGAGAAAAGTAGTCGTTGTCCTCACAGTCAGGATGAATCGTAAACGCAGGCTCATCGCTGTTTTCTCCTTCAGTCTTGATTGGTGCCGCCTGCAAAGACAAGGAAGCGGGAGCGTCCAACTCGTCAGTCCATGGTGGCATGCCTGTTGTCAACAAGCAAAGGTGATATGGCACAGCATCTGCCTCTACCACCTCCTTGGGAGCCCGTATCGCGTTGGTGAGCATTTGCAAGATGGTGTAGATGGCAAGCCATCGAACCTTTCGCGCGTCACCGATTGATAACTTCTCTTCTGGCCTGAAGGTCAGCTCACTCTCGAAGTATATGTAATTCCGAACGAGCGCTGAGCTAGCTGGTATTTTGTTTGTCGCCGTAGAAAGAGCAGCTCGTGCTGTCACACTTTGATCCACCTTGCTGGGCTTTGAAGTCAATCTCAATGATCGAAGACCCTTCTGCGATGACGTTCTGTATTCGAGGCTGTGGTAGTCAGGTAGCAGAGGGCAAGAATGAGGCAATGGCTCGTATTTGTGACGGGTATTGAAGGCATTGACGTTCTGCACCACACAAATGCCGCCAGTAAGTAATTTGGTTGGAGAAGACTCGCCGTCTACCAAATAATTGTATAGCATCTGGAACTCTTGGTGCATACTCCGCAAGAGGCCCTTGTCCATGATGTGACCGGTTTCTGGCGGCCAGTATCCAAACTTGTTGACATAAAATGAGTGCAAAANAGAGCGGAAGCGATCCAGGTGATTTCGGGCAGGGGCCGGTAGTCCTAAATGTGTAGGGGCAAGCTCATCTTCCAAGAAGTTTCGTAGAGCTTTGCTTACTCGGCCCAAGTGCAAATCCATCTCCAGGTAAGATCGTGTGATCAGAGCTTTAGTTACTTTACTCACGTCGTTGAATTCCACACTCAGATCAAGTTGCTCGTTCATGCCAACACAATGAGCGAAAGCATCAATCCAGAGATCCTTTAGCCTGAACTTCTCAGCAAAATTGAGGAAAGCCAGTGCATAGTCCGGCCGGTTGATGAATTTCGAATAGCCTTGTTCACGAGCGTATGACAAGAAGTCCTGGAGGTTACTGGTTTTATCAGAACAGAATAGGTCCATGCGTTCGAAAAGGTCGATAAAAGTTCTTCCCAATTTCGATCCGACCAGCGGTTTATTCGTAATGTATGCAAAGAAATTTCGTGTTGTGATATGCCAGCGGTAAGCCTCTTCTCGGAGTGCGTCGTCGGGAGCTGGAATGTGCAATTCGTACTCTGCATGCGTTGACGATGTGCTTGATGTTGTGCCATCAAGACTCTCATTACACGAAGTCGAGTCCGATGCCATATATCTGTTGAGGAACGATGCACCTGCTGTCGCCTCGACTAAAGCACATGACGTTTTAAAAGAGGCACCTCTCTTTGATTTTCCTTGGCCGTAAAGATGAACAAGGCAGTCGCCATCCTGTTGCCAAAGCTCTTGGTNCCTGCAAAAATGGTCAGCAAGCATTGCCTCGATATGCACACATAGACTTACCCGTCGAAGACCATCCCAGTCGGCGGACTTGTGGGATTGGGCATCCCATCTCTGCACAGTTGACAGTTTGGAAGGGTTCCTCATGACTGCTTGCTCGGGCTTCTTTCGTTTCTTGACGGGTGAATCTGAGCCGTGAGCGCGTATTGTCAAGATCCTCGAGAAGTTGGGCACATTCGATTTCTGAGAGGCTGGAATTGGTGGACCAGGCAAGAGGACCTTTTGTGTATCTCTTATGTCCATAGTGATAGTGGATGGCAAACCATGACGATGCATGTCGATCGCATGTACTGTTCGGAGCCAAAACGCAATAGGTCAAGATGTACCTTTTGTACTGCTTGGGGTGAGATCTGTGAGTCGTAGAACGGTTTTCCAGTGGAGCCCCGGGCATGACCTAAGGTTATACCTCGAGTCGTACCAGGGGGAAGGCCTCCAGCAATCGGAGGCATGCTGGCTGGATCTATCTGGCACACTAAACGCTTGGTTTGCTGGTGTCAACTTTTGCAAATGATCGACCGGAAATGGGGAAGCGGTGCATGCAGAGATGAGGCGGCACGGGAAGCACATGGCTGCACAGCGCTGCCCGGACTTCGCCAGACCCGACCTAAAAGCTGAAAGCTCAGCTCGAAGCCCAGACAGCGCCCGCCCAGACTCCAGCTGACACCTGAACTGATGGATATTGATATAAGCGAAGGCAGCCCTGACCATTTTCTGGTTTTTCCAGCTATAACTCAGCTTCAGCTCAGGCTTCTGAAGTCTTTGTTTCACGAAGAAATTGTGGTGTAGTTCTGGCAGTTCCGTCTGCTGTGACAACAGCTCTGAATTCATGACGCCGCCTCCGGACTTCACCCTTGTCGACCCTCGCTTTCTCCGAGGTCGACCACCCTCTGCGTAACCCTCACCTTTCAAGCTTTACTCCACCACACTTCTCAAGCTGTGCAAGGTGCTTCAGATCTGCGATTCGATTATCGTGCTCTTGCAGTCTTACGTGTTGATTTTTCCTCATTGGAAGCGTGCCATAAATCTCACTTGCCGGCTCAGCCCAGCTCGCGCGACGGGCCGAGAAAACGTTGCGACTTGCGATTTGAGCCGCCCCACCTGATCTCGCAGACATGAAAGAGCAGGAGGAGTTGCCATCCTCTCTTTTCCTTTTCGGATCTTCCGCGCCGACCATAGCTCCCCCTACTTGGGACCCTGCCTCAACGATCAACGATATCTGCTTTGTACTGTATCTTGCAGATAGGAGAATCGATCCACCTGCTGAGATCTCAATAGTCGTGACCCGATGATCGCATGATGTGCATCCCTGGCTCTATGACTCCACTCCAGTGATGACGCGGATCCACAGACCATGCATTGTCCTACCTTGTCGATGTTGGTTGCGCATAGCATACAATTGATGCGCATGCATTGTCGAGTTTCATAGGGCAAAGCATGCCCAGCTGTATCACGGAACATCTTTATCTCAATGTCTGCCTTGAGCAACGAAAACTTGCATACATGCCTTCACGAAAGAGAACAACGATGATGGGCTCAACAGCTAAGTGTCTCCGAACTTCGCCTTCTGCTCTTCTTGCTTCCTACGCTCTTCGTCGGCTTTGTTCTTGGCTGCCCTCAACTTTTGGTCTTGGGCCTCCTTTTCTTGCAGTTTCTGCTGCAGGCTTGTCCTAGCCTGTTTGACTGCCTCAATCAGGTTGTTGAGATCCTCTTTCTTCCAGTTCGGCTGCACTATCAAGCTCTTCAAATTCGTAGTATTCTCTTCCAAAGTTGCAACTTCCGGGATGGTGGCGTCTTGTCCATCAACATCTTTCTGTGCCTCGAAGATGGCATCGTGAGCTTCTTTCATGAGAAGCTTGTTGGCAGTTTCTATGATGTCTTTGAGAGGGTTGAGGCTCTGNNCATAGCGTCATATTAGCATGATGATCAGGACAATCTATGCTGTACTAACCTGTTCCAGCAGATCTATCTCGGACTCTACAGATGTTAATTCCAGAGAATCCCCTCGATCAAGTACTTGTCTGAGTGCAGCCACTCGCTGTTGGATAAAGGTCGCGTCGCTTTGCACAAGGCGCTCTTGATACTCTGACATCCTCGCTTCCGTTTGTGTGAGCAGTTCATTTGCCTTTCGTCTCGCCTCGGCTAAGTCTGCCTGTTTCGCTGCTCTTTCGCTCGCTTTTCTNNGGTTCCAGAAGTCTTTGACTTCTGCGGGGTAGGATGTGTGCTGGACCTCCATCTCCCAGTCCGGCAAATGCTGCTCAGCTCGATCAAGCCAGAAAAGTATCCTCTCATCTCGGTTGATGACACCAGCGAAGTGCACTAAGAAATCTCCTCGTCGGACTTGATAGGGAGCTAAGGTCTCGTTGTGTTCGCCCTGGTAGGCATTGAACCATCTTTGAGGAGCGTCAACTGTGTGCGCTGCGAACTTTTTAACTTTCAAAAGTGTGTTCATAGCACTTTGGTCCCGGAATGTCAAGTCCTGGTCTGGGTTGTAGAATCTGGAAGAGATGATAGCTGAGAAAAGCTCAACAGCCCACTGGTTGACGCGCACTGGAAACACGCCATTGTTTAAACCGTTCCAGTCGTTGGTCACCAAGAGATGCACGTCGTCGAATTGGGGCGATGGTGGCAAGAATATTTCCAGAGGCACATATGGATTCAGCATGATGGTATCTGCATCGACCCAGAGAAGCCATTCGAGTCGTTCTTCCTGCGGTTTTGCCAACTCTCGCAGCAGAAGGGACAATATGTACGCAGGCTTCGACCAGACATCATCCATGATAGACTGACGAAGCACGTATAGAGGATAGCCATGAAGTCGGTCGTGAAGCGCATGCGTTTTGACGGTCCGTTCGTATATGGACGATCCTCCGAAAACAATGGTACATTTTCCTATTCTGGTCTTGCGACCCCACTGGTTTGATTCCGGTTCGAAGAATTCTTCAGATTTGAGCGGCGACGAGGTTGGTCTGGCTGTTTGAGTTGTAGTCGCATTGTGTCCAGTAGTCGCATTTGCCTCTAGCTCCACGTCAAGTTCCAATTCTGAACCCCATGTCTTCCAGTATGAAACTTTGTCCGAGATAGCGTGGTGTAGGTCTTTGAGTGCTCCCTTAATTGATGGCTTTCGGACCGGTTGACCTGCAACACCATCTCCACCATGATAAGACTTGATGCGATCTTTGGATCTGTCGCTCGCTATAGAAGCATCTGGAGAGTGGGTCGCCCCTGGATATATTTCTGGCCCGTCTAAGATATCACCAGAGAAACCGTACTCGCCTCTATACTCTGTGATGTCGTATGAGTCCGTCGAGCCGAAGGTGGAAGTCACGAGATAACCCAGGAACATCGTGGCAAGTGCTATGAGTAAGAGCTTGAAACGCCCATGTCCAAAGGCGACAGCACCTGCTACCGAATTGCCTATCCAAGAGGGTGGTTCCTGCATTTTCACGAGAGAAGACTTCTGGTAATTTTCAGGCAGCGAGAACCGCGATACGATCGTTCTTACATTTTACTGTTCTCCAAGCCATCCCTGTCCAGAGAGAATTTGTTTCCGGAAGCAAGGTCCGCTCAAAATGGAATGCGGTACCACATTCCAATGTTCGATATCTCACAAAAATTTTGTGCAGACTTCTGGAACGGCTGCAATCTGGATCGTCGAAGGCTCTATCCGAAAATGAATATTAATTCTCATCGAACTCATGACATGCAGGGATCGTTTCTTGTGTGTGTGCACCCAAGAGATGAAGAAGTCTGCAAACCACACTGTCATGCAAGTCCCCGTCGCTTGTCGGAGGGCTTGCAGCGGCAGTGGCCATGCTGTTGTGTAACAGACAAGTACAGAAATCAACAGACTACCGTGCACACACCCTGAGCCGCAGAGCAAGATTTTTGATGAGTGCACTTTTTCGATCGGTCTTGCACGGCAAGTGCAGGCTTCTGGCAGTGTGTTCGTGATGTAGAGTCACCTCGGGATTTCTTTGACAGGTCAGTAGTACGGCTCCTTGAGCTTCGGCCACTTTCATACAAGCCACGATGCCGGCATTATTGTTTGGTCGACCACTTGAATCCTCATATGCGTCACATTTTGTGAAGACTGTGGATCTCCTAGAGGACAGTGCGCTGTCGGCTGCTTGCCTGCTCTATCATGGCGTGATTGGACGGTACCTGCTTGACGAGAAGGTCGAACTACGGCAGTGTACCAGATTTGACATGTTTGAGCCCCCGGCTATCCGCNNAATGACAGCTATCAAACGTCGCTGTACTGCAAATCTGCACTGCAGANNTCCCGATCTTCATGTGGAGAGCATCTTCAATGACTTGCATTGTGGGTCTAGACACCTGTCATGGGCAAGGTTTCATCACTGTGATTAGATAGTGGAACAGCTATGGTTAATCGTATGTAGACTGATTCTGGTCTACGACTGTGGCCACTCTACCTGGAATGTCTCTAACTCAGACAGCAGTGCGATTGGTCTTGAAGGANNCTCAAAACGATACTGTCAACCCTATTGGCTTAGTCGNTCCTTCAAGGATGACGGGAAGCAGGTGTTGTTCGGGAGCTTCCCGTCGCTAATATCCTCCATACACTCAAACGCCATGNNGAGGAGTTCTTGCAGAAACGACGGGCCGTGTGTATCAGGGCAGAATCTTGATACCAATGCTCATTAACAGATGGTCGGCCGTCTGGTTGGCCATGTTTTACATACACCTACCTTGAGTCAGTGATAGTCATCGTCAGGGCTGCACCTCTGCTTCCTCGTTAATTCCACCATCAGTGCAGCGTCCTGTTCGATCGCAGTAATAGTACATCAAGCCGTTCTATCTTTCTGTTCAGATTCTTCATGTAAGCGTATCCTCAGCAGAACAATTCTTCGTGCTAACAGTGATAGATACCTAATTAGACCTTCACTTCGCAGTATCTTCATCTAGACTAGTGTCTTTACTCAATCTTTCACCATCGACTTTGAGTATTCTGTCGAGCTTCCGGAACGTTCTTCGCTGAGCATTTATCTCCACCAATTCGACATCAATTGCTGTTCTTCTGCAGCGCTGCAAGTGGCTGCAAGTAGCTGCACGAATCCGCGACGACATCTGTGGCTGCGATACCGTCTGGGAAAAGAAAGACTTTGCTACAACGCATATCAACATACCGCTTCAATGGACATGATGGCGGTGAGAAATGGTGGTGAGCAGAGCGCGAATAAGTACTACTATGGAAGTCAGTCTCTTCTTTTGTCTGCGTCCAACAGCTCTCGATCGTTGACAAACTACGCAGACTTCTTTCAGAGATATTTCCCCATCTACCAAGCACCACCTCATCAGGTACTGCAGCCCAGCCTCACTGTTTATCCACACACAAACGTGAGTCTTGACAATCGACGCAGAATTGGATGAGTATCGCTGATTGAGGTGCAGTACCCACACATCAACTATTGTGGCTATCGGCAAGCGGCTGCCCTCTCTACCAACATGTCAAATCTCTTTGACCAAGATGCAAAGAGNTACTTCTTCGACATGGAGTGTCCTGAGCTCACTGGCAGCGAGTCCTCTGAAAGCCCCACTGATTCGTGCTTCACCAATGGAGGGGCCTTCACTCCACCGTCGCCGTGTCAGGATGCAAAGGATCTGACTCTAACTGAAAGTAGTATGCCTGCATACTCACCTTTCTCCGGCCTGTCGCCATTGTCTGGCTTCGGCGACAGTTGTTTCAACATGGACCCGTCCTCATCCTGGTCCGAACAGCCTGCAACAGTCTCCTGCAACACGACACCTCAGTACAATTCTTCTATGTGGCCATGCTCTCAGTATGCTTCAGCTCAGCCACACTTGAATCCCACTGGCCGTATTCCGGTCATGCCTACCCAGCCTCAAGGCGACGGGTTGTTTGCGTCTTCGATGTTCCAAGAGATGCTCCCCATGACTGTGCCACATCCTTCGTCGAACATTGCGCCATCGCTGGAGCAAAACATGCCAACCAGCTTCGTGGGCTATGGAGCAGAAGGACTTGTCGCTCCTGGACATCTCTCCAACACCACGCTGGACAAATTCGCCTTCGTGGACACAAAGCCTGTGCTCTTCTCTACGCAACCTGAGGCTGAGGACATTCTTGCATTCGAGCCTCTCCCTAGTACAAACGAACTTGGAGTGCCGTCTCAGACAGTAGAGCAACCAGTCAGATATGTTCCCGAGATAACTCGCAACGACAGAGATGAGTATCTTCAAGAAGCTCGTCGACGTGGTCTGTCCTACAAGGAGATCAAACGTCGTGGTGGCTTCACCGAAGCAGAGTCCACTCTGCGTGGTCGCATTCGTATCCTATCCAAGCCCAAGGAGATGCGTGTCAGGAAGCCACAGTGGAATCGCTCAGATGTATGTCAATATGCTCGCTCTGTACTGCACCCCTGCCTGACACAAAAATCACAGATCATGCTCCTCATTGAAGCAGTCGAATATTTTTCTGAAGCATCGCAGGAGTCGTCGTCTCGCAAGAGCAATGCGCGCCAGAGGGGCACCGCGAACAAGTTGCCATGGAAGAAGGTCGCCGAATGGATGCTCTCCCGCGGTGCATCTTATCCCTTCGCTGGTGCAACCTGTGCCAAGAAGTGGGAGCAGATCCGTGAGATGTCCTTCTAGATCATCCTCAAGGCCGACACGAAAAATAACCAGAGGTCAGGATCGTTGGCTCAGCACCTCAGCTGAAGGGTTGTGTTTCCTCGCTCTTTTCCTGACATGTAATGAGTAGAGTCATGTTTCTTCCTTTGCTCTTGGACTGAAGCAAATTGGTTTGGTCGGCAGGCTTCTCAGCCACACACTCGTTACTTTTGTTTCGTAAAACAGATAGCGGCTCGCAGCCAGAATGAATACACGTACCTTTTGATGCTCGGTCTGGCTATCACAGCTTCTTTCCACGACAACTACGGTGCATCTGTCGCTGCCGCCTTCTTCATTTACCTTTTCTGCTTCTTCACTCCCATTGGCTTCCTTAGTGCTAAATTCCTCTACTGTACCGAACTTAGCCCTACGCGTCTTCGCGTGGCCATGGCATCAATCTCTACGGCTAATCATTAGCTCTTGAATTTCGTAGTGGCCATGATCACGCCCGTAGCCATGTTCGATTGTTGTCGTGATGACTTCGGTGGTGCTGTCCTTTGAGGTTTTGCGTCCTGCGGTCTCGGACCGAGATTCTCGCGTCAGGCAGTGACGACACGGGATTCCTGTACCAGCGATGAATCCATCCTTCCTACTTCGCAGCACAGATTGTTTAGCTTATCATGCAGTTGGGCTTGGAGGAAGCATTGCCATCTTTGGTGAAGGCCAAATTCGCTACTGCGAAAGCCAGTCAAGCGTTGATCTTTTCATCCACCGAGCTTTCTGTCTTGCGTACCAAGTCCGGTGCACCTGTAAGTCATGGTAAATGTCCAAATTATCGAAGCTCTGTATATTCTGATCAGTATACCAGNTTCCAACTTCGTTACTGTCCGGCATTAGCAAAAAAGCCCAAAGACAACGATGGCAACAACAAAGCGAAAGGCCCAAAGCCAGATCCCTTTGATAACCCCTCTTCGGACCTGCTCATTGCGAATATACCCACGATCAAACCTAGCCATTTGCTTGTCTTGAACAAGTATCCTGTCATTCCTGAGCATTTCATCGTTGCAACAAAGCTCAATAAACAACAAACACACATGCTTGAGCAAGATGATCTAGCTGCCACACATGCTTGCCTAAAGGCATGGGAAGAGAATAAGCAGAATGGGAAGCTGTTTGCTTTCTTCAATTCTGGCGAGCACAGTGGAGCCAGTCAGCCACATAGGCACCTGCAGTTTCTGAGCGTTGATGAGATGAAGCGAGATCAACGAGACGCCTCGAGCTGGGATCCGCTGATCGAACGCATGCTGCAAGCTCCTGCTGAAGAGGTCAAAGGTACGTCTTGATACTCAATCCCATCTTTAAAGGAACGAGTGCTCATATGGCTCCATGTAGAATTGAGGACTAATCCTGATCTGCCCTTCACTCATTATGCAACTCAGCTCCCCCATGAGCCTAGTCCAGACACTCTCTACTCAACATATAACAAATTATACGAAGCAGCTGCTGCCGCAGTCAGATCGTACATCTCGTCTAACCAGAACTCGGGCCTCGAGTTGCACCCATCCGAGGGAGGATCGTCACCCATCAGCTACAACCTCGCCATGACAACTTCGGCCATGGCTATAGTTCCGCGCAGAAATGAGGGCGCTTCAATAAAAAACAGATATGGTGTCGAAGTCGGTAGCGTGGCTCTGAACGGCACACTGTTGGCCGGAACTTTGATGGTCAAGCTAGAGGACGAATGGAACGCTTTGCGAGACGACGAGCAACAACTCGATGAAATCTTGACAGCAATCGGTATACCCAGGTAGGCGATCGCTAAGGCTCGCTATGCCTCATCCAGCAGAGCATTCATACATCAAGTACGGGCGCCGGAGTGCGACAATAGACAATGGAGCATCATTGTTGGTCTGGCATCTGAGCTGGAAACAATAGGAATAATGAGAAGAGTCAATAGATATGAGACAGTCTCATTGTAGTACTAGAGACATTATTGACGCTCTGCAGACACAGTCGCTGACAGAGATGTCTCAACTTCGATCTCAGGTATACATAACTACCGGCTCTTTCAACCATCCACTATGTCGTCTTTACGAAACCGCTTGGCTCCACCTAGAATGCGTGAGAGAAATCAAACTAATGAGTGTATCCCTCACACCAGCATTAACTCGGATCAATACATTGTTCATCTTCTTCGGGAAGAAGAGATGATTGAGGCTATCCAAATCGTCAATCCCGAGGACGGTGAAGAATTGAGTAAGAATCTGGATGAGTGTCTGCAAAGCCCATGGCACTACCTCGACAAATCAAACACCATACCTGATGAGGAAAGACTGGAGTCTTTTCGCAAGATCAGAAAAGAGACAGAAGAAGCCAGAAGACTTGAAGACGCCGGCGAACTCTCTGAAAAGGCCGTCTACGAACATGAAGGTTGTAAGAAAGCATCACCACGCCGCCGCCTCAGAAAAAATTCTTGCGTCGAAGACAAGACCAACGAGAACAACACCATCATCGCTCCAGTCAAGAAGAGACGAATCAAACGACCTCCAAGTCACAATGGCGAATTCACTTGGTCTCGAAAAGTCTACCATATCAAACAACAATACAAGTACGATGANAAAGACAAGGAAATTGCTGCAGGCAAGAGTTTCCACGACTTTGCCAGATTCGGTATATTTCAGACTCCCGAGCATCAATTCACCTACTACAACAGGACGAGAAAACAGGACTCCTTGCGTCGTCTTCCTGACAATCTTGCTTACCGACCTTTGGATGCTGCGAGGATCTTTGCTGACAATTCGGATAACTATCTCTGGAAGATGGCTGCGAAGAGGATTCGGATCATTGTTACACAACATTGACATAACATGAGAGTTGGCTACGTCTAATCTTCCATGGGACTATTGCAAGACTTTGGAGAAAACTTTTCCGCCCAAGCTGAATCAGTGAAGTTCCAGGGGGGGAGGATCGATTGAACATGAGCACACGATAGATGCTTGGAGCTCTGCTCTTTTCTTGCACAAGACGGCCACAAGTTCACGAAAGGCCAAATCATCGGTACGTTTCAAGACTTTGGAGCATTTCAAAATACATGGAATCTGGTTATGTACCTGACACCATCTTCAATCGCACTTTCCTCTACTGTTTTAGTTCGCGACTCCTTGACTTGGAACCCAGCGAAATATGTGCCCACAATGATTATTTCTTGTTCTGCCAGTTCTGAGGATGGTCTTTGTTTTCATTCCCACTATCATTGCTTCCTCTTGTGACAATCTCTCCTTCTTTGTGTTCTGGTGACCCTTCAAAGCGGCACGTGTTCCTGTGGTACGTGTTGGCCAATAGAACCGAGCAAGTCGAGCTTAGATCAAGATCTCAAGACCGAGTGATTTTGCCATCTCTTTTGTTTGGCTGCCTCCCACTACATAAACCGATGTGTTCATTCAACAGAGCTTACGCCTCTTTTGAGCCAGCTCTTTCTTATCTTCTCATGAGTACAATTCTATACCCAAAGCAAGTAGCGAGAAGGAGCCAGCAAATACTTTCAGCTTTGTCAACACATAACTCCGAGAGAAATGGATGTAAAAATTGCCCTGCCTACAAACACCATCCACATCCATCTACATCTCAATATCCTGCCATGCAAATGCGTTCTCGAATCCTCACACTACGTCACCATGTTCGTCTTCACCGTCATAGGTCTTCTCTTGACGATACGACTGTGCAAGAAGTGTGAGCACTTGAAGGAACCAGCGTCTGCTTCTTCTCCAGCTCCTGTCACCGATTCTTGGAGCATTGCGAACAGTGGCACAAGTAGCAAATTTGACAGTGGAGAGACCGAGGACCGTGTGGCTGATCCTGAAGCCAAATCTACGGGGAGAAGATGGGTTGCTTGTGAGTTCTGCTCTAAAGAATGACTGTACGAGTTAAAGCTAACACGAGTTTGTGCTTCGAAGACCCGACATGGTGGTGATTTTGTATTTTTGTTCAGACCAGACGCTTGGAGGAAATCAGGAAGAACGCAATCGACGATGGTATGCTGAAAGAAAATGGTATCATTGATGAAAGACATTATGGGCTTCAATACTGTAAGGACAAGCAACTTTTATCACACCTCGCACCCCTTCCCATAGAGAACCCAACAATCTAGGTTCTGTCGTAGCGTATTCAAAAGAGCTTGCGGAGGAAGCTAGTTTTCCTAGGGGCCTCTTCGACGCCGGTCTCGCTGGAGGTCTCGGAAATGGTCTTTTCGGCATCTGGCAGAGATTGTTCCTTGCCAAGACGAGGGTTGCGCAAACATAGCGAGAAAGCAATCAATGGAATGCAAAGGCAGATACCAGTGATGCACAGCATACGTTGGATGTGTCTGTAACTCACGATAACGGCGTCGCGCTCAGGGGTGCCAACAGGGTAGTCATAGATAAAGAACAGAGGGTTGCTGTAAGCGTAAACGGCAACGGTAGCGTTGTTGGTCACAGCGGCCAGGTTACGCTCGAGCTCTCCAGGAAGGATCTGGGTCCACAGGGCTCCGGAAATGGTTGAGCCAATAGCAGATCCGATGTTGTAGAGTGCGAGGTACAAGCCGGTGACCAGAGCAAGATGTTCGTGCTGAGTGGCCGCCTGAATAAGGGTCTGGACCGGGTAAGGGAAGAGACCGCCAGCAAAACCCAGAACGACCTCGCCTGCGATGATACCGGCGTAAGAGCTTTGGGTCAAACCACCTCTGAAACGGAGTAGAATGCCGAACGCAACCATGAACATCAAAGTTCCAAAGACGATGAAAGGCTTCAAATGTCTGATCTGCTTGACAAAGCGAACAAGGAGACCAAGAGACACACCAGTCAGGACCGATACGAAGCTGTAGAGCGAAGTGATGCGAGTAGCAGACTTGATGCTTTGGTCGAAAGCGACAACAACGACTGTGTAAAGGTAGCCACCTTGCATGTACCAGATGGTGTTGAGCATACATGCGACACCGAGGGCAGCCCAAACACTGCGATCCTTCAGGAGATGGAATGGTACAAGGGGATGGGGAGCGCGGCGCTCATACAAGATGAAGACGGGGATGAGGCAGATACCGATGACCAGGGGAGCAATGACGTGAGCTGTGCCCCAAGTTTCCTTTACACCACCAGCGATGGTGAAAGGTACAAGGATGAGTGCGAACATGGCGATCATGAGGATGATACCAGGGACATCCAACTGCCAGAAGAGAGCAACGAGAGTATTGCTCATACCGTTGCGCTGGAAAGCGGTCTGGTAGTTGGCCAGAGCACCAGCCTTCTTTGCACGACTGGATGCAATGAAAAGAGCGACGATGAGAGGCATGGCGCAGACGGGGTAGATGATGGCCCACATGCCGATTCCCCAACGCCAAGTTGTGGCTTTCAATACAGCGGATGCGACATCTCCTGAGATCTATTCATGTGAACGATGGTCAGTGTGTTTTCGGTGCTATCAAGAACTTTNCAGACGTACCCAAGTGTTGATCAGGAAGGGCAGGGCGGGAATATAACTCCAGGCCAGTCTTCCTTTTAGCGAAGAGATGTCTCCAACGATAATTTCGACCAACAGTGTGACAATTGTGTAACCAATCTGGTAAAAGATGGCTCCAGCTGCGAAAGCACTGACGTTGTGGGCGGCAGCCTCGATTATCGTGCCCAAGAGGTAGAAGAAGATGGAGAGGTAGACAAGCTCAACACGACCAAAGACATCGGCAATCTTTGCAGCGGTGGGCTGAGCGGCAGCAGCGATGACGGTGCGTACAATGTTGACAGTCGAGAGCAATGAGTGCTCACCGATCGAGGAAAGGGCAGTACTCTGACTATGTTATTTGTCTGACGCATCGCGACGAAGGTCCAAGTAAATTACCTGATAAGTGTATCTGACGGTTCCATCGAGCCCATAGGCGTAGGCGATCAAGAAGACACCAATTCCAAGGAACCAGCGATCGAACGAAGTGAGGTGAGCATTGATTGCTTCGATACGCGCGACACCTGGGCTCTTCTTTCCCAAGAGCACGACCTGCTCGCTGAGCGTATCTTCCGAGGTTTGAGCCCTGACTTCGGCGTCGGCCTCAGCCTTCGTGGCCGAAGGTGTATAGAATTCAGTCGATGACATTCTGACAGGCCCGTCAAAGGTCAATGTTCGATATTCTCGGGCGGGGTAAGAAAAGTGATCGACCGAGAAAGTGAGCATTGACAGAGGGACACGCCATTTTATGTAGATATCGCCAAGGTATTGGGAAGGCGCCGTCTGCATAGGAGCAGAGCGCGTTCCGGGAAAAGAATGGATCCAACCAGGCAAGATTGGGTGATGGATTAGATTATCCCTCGTAGTCTAGAGTCAAATTTTATCAGATCGTGCAGGGTCTAGCGATACACCGCCAACTATTGGGTCGCTCGTTGGAAGGCCGTTGCCCAGTTGAGCTGTCCAGCTGCATGGAGTCCGTGTTTCTCTACCGTACCTTCCTTCGAGGGTACCTTGCAACCCATCTAGTGAGTCCTGAATCGTCAATGGTCCGACATCCAAACACTTGGAACCAATGTCATCAGAACTCGGTCGCGGCTTGCGGTTGCATCGTAGAACGAGTTATCATTCAGGCGGCCCTCTCTCGGATCCATGTTCGACAGAACAAGAACTACCGTGATGGTACGATAAAATTTTCATCTTATCAGATGCTGCAACGGTAACTTTGGCGCTTTGGGCGGCGCGTGGCTTTCGAGGCGCTGCGACGGCTTGTTGAGTGTCGGCTTGAGAGAAGGATCAGGTGTCTAGGGACTTGGATATCTCTTGGCTTGCAGATATATTGGGACATCTTCGTGTTACACCCCAAGATCTTATCAGATTTGCAAGCGAGCAGCCCGAACGCCCAGCACGAGAAAAACATTGCCTCCCAAACAGCACTTCAGTCTAGTCCCATAACTTCTCCTTCATCCCGAAGTCTGCAGATTTCGGGATCTGAGATGGACGGCGAAGACCCCTGAGCGTGTTCAGTCCTGTTCAGAACAAACCTTCCCATGTGCAACAGTATGTAATGCATGTGGCGATAAAGATGCACAATACTATTGAAAGATAGGATAGTGTCCACTGAGAAGCGATCTCTCACCAGCTCTCTTTGGCCATTCTTTGTTTCCGAGTGCAATTGTGCATTTTTATAGTGTGTACTCTACTCTGCTATGGTCGGAGTACAGTCGAAGTCATATCATCTGTCACACGGGAAGGAACGAGCTTCCAAGCGCGCGAAGTGTCATGTTAAATACACCCCGGAGCACGCACAAATCTACGACACTTCACACTTGTTCGTTGACACTGGACATTATTTTGTATAGAAGTGAAATTTGACACATATTGGTGCCATAAGAATCATGCATATGTCATAGGTATAGAGAAATTCAAGCAAAAGTGACCTGCACCAATTTAAACCTTCTCGGTGTGAACGTGATCGGAAGTTTTGGCAACAGGCACCTCCTCGGCAGTCATCATAGGCTTGTACTTGGCGTACCTGACAGTACCCAATACTGAAGGGCTGTCCTTGAAAATGGTGTCGAGCTCCTCCAGCGAACGGCCCTTGGTTTCGGGGTCTGAACGAACATTGTTAGTAAGAGTACAGAAGAAATCATAGCGAATGTATGCAACTTACANGAGGAAGTAGACTGAGATAGGAATGCATGAACCAATGCAAGCGTACACAATAAAGTACTTGTAGCCAATGTTGTTGATGGCTACAGGGGTGATCATGGCCACTGCGAAGTTCCACAGCCAGTGGTTGGCGGTAGAGATAGATGCCATGGCCACACGCAATCTTATGGGAGCGACTTCGGTACAATAAAGGAAGTTGGCACCGAGGAATCCAATAGGGGTGAAGAAGCAGAAAAGGTAGATGAAGAAGGCGGCAGCCACAGATGCACCATAATTGCCGTGGAACGAAGTTGTGATAGCCAGACCGACCATGCACATGGCCATACCAGCTCCGGAAACAATGAAACATAGGCGGCGACCGAAACGATCGATGCAGAAGAAGGCAACGAAACAGGAGAGGAACTTCCAGGTCAAAGTACCAGCAGAGAGAAGCTTGGAGTTGTAGGCATCCATACCGAGACTCTGCTGGAAGATAACGGATGCATAGACGGAGATGAGGTTGGTTCCGGACATCTGCTGGAAGAACTGGAGCAGAATACAAAGGCCGAAACGGTAAGCAAGCTTGTCCTCGCCCATGCTGAACAAGTCCTTGATAGAAGCGGCTTTGACTGAAGAGTCTTCGAGTGAAAGCTCGATGCCAACACACTCTGCTTCGATTTCAGGAGAGTCCATGGGGAGACCCTTGAGAGCGGCCAGGTTCTCGCGGGCTTCTTGGCCACGGTTTTGAGCGAGGAGCCAACGGGGTGACTCAGGGAAGAACCAGATGGAGAACAGAACGATGAGCGAGAAGAGCAGGGCGATGGCAATCGGAGGACGCCAGGTGACAGATCCAGTCTTGAGAGTGAAAAAGCCAAAGTCGATCCATGATTCGAGCGTGTAACCAAGCGAGATAAACATGCCGTCAAGGACAACGTGCTTACCACGGTTCTTGGCGGATGAACATTCTGATTGCCAGACAGGGACTGTAGCAGAGAGCTGACCAACACCGAGACCAATGATGACACGGCCGACAATGAGTTGAGCGANGTCCAAGGCAGAGCACTCAATGGCCTCGCCAATGAGTGTGCAAAGGGCACCGATGAAGATGACCCATCGTCTTCCGAGAAGCGTACCAGTGTAACTACAGCTCAAAGCACCGACCAACGCACCGAGTGTGAATGTTGCGACAACGAGGCCCTGAAGGGTAGCGTGATGGGCCTTGACTGCACCCTTGTAGTCGACAGTGTCGATTTGGGGGAATTGATGTCTCCAGTTCTCTTCAGAGAGCAGCGGGCCAAGACCAGACTGGTTGTAACCGAACAGGATGAAAGACGGAGCGACCACCAGTGCAATCTGAGCGACGGACAGGGCTTTGCCCGTCATTCCAAGGAAACCGACCATTTCGTAGGAAATTTGTGGACGGTAGGCGACGACTTGTGCACGCTTATGCTTCCGAAAAAGCCAAGAAGAGATAAGAATGGGCGTCGAACTTTCCACAGAAGGCCAAGAACGATCAAGCCTTTAGTGATGATATGGCACAGGACAGGTGCTGTAGTCGGACAGTAGTTCAAACTGGAGAGGGCAGATCGCTTGTCTTTATACTCTCTGCCAATTTCAATTCTGAGTTGGCACGTTTCTCCTGTGCACATCCACTCCACATACTCCATATTTGCAGTGGGTCCATTCGAGCATGGGGATGCGATAGCATGGTCAGCGAATGTTTCGACCGGGTACCGTACCGTACGGCACCTGAGCCAAGCCGGTGTCGCCCCCAATCTTGGTTCTTCTCGAACAGCCGATGTGGTGGTCAACGTCGACAAGATTGGTCAACTCCGAGGTCAACAAGCATGTCTTCCGGCCCTTTCACGGTCGTTCTCGTGGTTCCCCGTTGTTACTGAGCCAAATAGACCTGGGTCAGTAGCCGCTGCAACAAATCTGCAAAGTTCAAGGCCTGGGGCAAGCTGGGGAGGTCTGGAGTTCCAGCGATATCCCCATGGAGCACGATCTAGAGGTGATGTTTGGGTTCCGAGCACGAAAAATATACGGAGCTTGGGACGAGAAGACGCTGAGCATGGACGTTAGATATGTGGAGCAAATATTGTGAGCTGCGAAACAAGAACATGAAGTGATGTTTGCGTCAAACTTGTCGGGACTCGGGAAAAGGTTCTGAAAAATGCGGTCCGGACTCGTGCAAAAAACAACAACATCTCGGTTGAGGTTGCATCAAAATTTTCTCATAGGTAAGGTAATTTGCTCCACCGTGGAAAGCGTGCGCTCCGTGCCCCAACGCATGCCTGATTCAGCCTGTGCTTCTTGCATAAATCAAGTCCAACGAGCTGGCTGACCGTGCATAGGGCATTGATATGCCGTGAATGCAGGACGTGTTCTTGTGGCTAGAGTATGCCTTCATCCTGATCTTCCCAAAAGCACATGGCGACATGGCGATCTCAGCCTTTGCTTGTAGCGAAACCGAGAGTAAAAGTCCGATGCCATACCAGCTTATCGGTCCACCTTCTACTCGAGTACGGTCCGCTGCTGATGCTCAGACGGCGTTCTGCATGGCCGAAATCGCCTGCGGCTCTTCCTCATCTGGCAATGGTTGAGAGCAGCATCAGCAGATGACAGCAGAACAGCCTAAAAGTTCAGGAGTCCCAAGAATAGCGGTGACGCACTTACCTTCATTATTTTTGTCGTAGGAACGCCTTGGCCATATGCTTCGTGCCTGTCTCATCCTTCTTGGTGAAATTCTTCGGCTAGTGTCCTGATCGGCTTGTTGATCGTAGGAATTTTCTTCACTGAGCTGCTCTGCTAGAGTCAGCAAGAAGTAAGAGTAGGACGCCTCGTGTTTCCTCAATCTCAACCAAGTCATTGGCATTAGCTGAACAAAATCAAAAGTCAAATGACCGCTCAAACGGGCCGTCCGCTGAGCTCGGCATGTTGGGTATCGGCAGCAGATAAGGATTCGCAGCAGCGAAGGGCCCGACCGAGTGTACACAGGTATGTTTTATGTGATTCGAATGCCAACATGCACACAACCCGAGATCGCTCTGTTATCTGGAACAGATGAAGACCCTTAGCCGAGCAACACCAGCAATCAAGGAAATCTTGCAGAATCGCAATTGTCTGTCGTCGAGGGGCCGAATTTCGGTCTTCGGCATTGGCATCTGATACTGTACCTTGCTCTTTGCCGAATTGACCGTATCCGTGTTTGATTGTCGATGGTCCACTACCCTCCCACTGCACCCAAGACCCGTTCACTTGCCTGACCATCGCGTCGAGATCAAAAGAGACCACCGCCGATGTGAGTGTTCCTGCTCTATGATCGAGCGAAATTTGTATATACCTGCGACAGAGCCGGTCACGATCATTTGTGTTGCCATCCGATAAGCTAGATGTTTCCAACGATGACATCGTCTAGGCTCGTTGATGTCAACGGATCTTATCAGGGCCCAGATTGGAAATGTGGCTGCAATTGGCTATGAGTGAAAGTCTGCTATGGTTGAATACTTTACCCCAAACAACCAGAGTGGCAAGCTCAACATGTAGGAGTATGTGGATCAGTGAGGTAAGCCAGTTGTACAGAAGTGGGTTGATGCTGGCGAGGATTTTGTATTAGAAGAAAAGAAGATGGTGATTCATCGCATGGAACTGGTATAGCCAAAAGAGGAAGAATCCTCTACGTACCTCTCGCGAACAGAACAAGATCAAGCATGATTTCAATTGCGCGCACTCACCAGACCTTACGCCAACTGAGAACGCATGGTCAGCGCCGAGGGAACGGAATTGACAGGTAGCGCATTGGGATGACGCCGAGACGCGCATGCTGGCGCAAGAAGGTCGGGATGCTTTGAAGAAACCAACGATAAACAAGTGGATAGACAGCATGCCACAACGTCTGCAGGATGTAATAGGTAGGAACAGTTGAATTACAAGCCATTGATTGTAGAATTGAGTGTGGTGTTGAGTGGTGTTGAGCATTGTGAGTGTCCGGAAAACTGGCAGGAAAGCGTTCATCAGGGTCACACCCACGACATTGTTTTTGACGACACCATCCGTCACATTGATCATCCTACTTCATTTCGTGTGAATTAGCCTGCATATAACTTCTTTTGTAGTCCGGTCCAACAACAGAACTTCGGGCTTTTGCAATGTTCTTTGGACTAATCGTGCGTATAACTTTCCAGCAAGTACGCTGAATCCGCAGAGCTTGCCCGCCCTTGAAGACTGGTCATGTTCTCGATATGCTTGCTCGAATTATTGGCCCCTTGTAGCCACGACCTTCCAACATGCCCTAGTTGCGAACAACCAGATTCCGGAAATCAAGACGAGCCTTCTGAGATTGCGGACAAGGCAGTGATGTGGGCCTGAGATCGCTACTTGTCTTGGCCATGCACGTCGCTATGACCTCGCTTCTTTCTCGTATGCTTCTCCCTTGGTATGTCTGCGCAACTGTATCACAATCACAACCAAGATATTTGCCGGTTGTATGATGTTTTTGCTAAGGATCGCCAAGGCGAATGCAACATAACTGGATACCATCCATGGACTTGTCCCGAATCCTGCCTGTGTTCATCAAGGTGCAGAGCATGCAATACTGTAGCCTCCGAGTAAGATCCTTCGAAGGCATATCCAGAATGAGTAGCGCAACAAGAAGGGACAATCCTACTCAACAAAGGTTGAGATGAACACATAAGTACCTTGCGCTCCTCAGAATGTCAAGTCAGTTCACCGCCTATCTTTTCACCGCAGCTACAACCACACGCCAAGATTTCAGGAATTCCATCATGAAGCTCACTGCGGCCATCACCACTCCCTCTATCTTTCTAGGTGTCACTATCGACGGTGCCTTGGCCGTCAACTGCTATGAGGTCGGTCCTGAGTGGGAGAACGTAAATGATGCCTGGTGCCACTTGGGAAGAGCATGTAAAGCGATGAAACAGTAAGTACATAACGAGAGAGCAAGACAACCAAGCAAAATGATAAGGTCGAAAACACTGACATGATAGACAAAAATTAACAAGTCGCAACGTGTGAGCTCCGTCCACGTTTCGATCAGACAATTTGCCATCGGCGATGGTCGTGCGAGCTCCATCGTAAGATCTTCGACCAGCGAGTGCAAGTGGCAAGTATCTTCTGGATGACAATCATGTTCCTACGAGATCCTACCCTAGACCCCAGCCTGCTGATCGCGCCTGACTGTTGGGTCAGGGTTTCTGAGCACTGCCAGCGATCAGGACCAATCCATCAGGGACCATACGCCAAGGGGGCCCAAGGAAACATGAGCCATTCACCAGCTCCCCGTGTGCGAAAGCATGTAACGCGTGTGGTTATTGAAATGCACAATTCTATCTAGAGATAAGGATATGGCCAAAGAGAGCTGATGAGAGATTGCTTCTCAGCGGACACTATCTTATTTTCTAATAGTATTGTGCATTTTTATAGCGTGTACTTTACTCTCTACTATGATCGGAGTACAGTGGTGTCCAGTGTGGAGCTGGCTCATGTTTGCCTAGAGCCACTTGCGAGAACAGCCGCGCTTTCGTTACTCTTTATGGTAATCCGGTACTTACTGTGGCATCGTGGGCGATCAAGTCAAGAGCAGTTCAAGCTCTGAGGACCAACATTAAGAATCCTTGGCGGAAGGATTCCCATACCATTCCCAATTTGGTACACTTCGCGCTCCTTGTGAGATGATTCGCCAGGATGTATCGCAAAGTATGGCAGAAACATAGCCTGACGCGCGAAATGTCCTCGATAAGGAAACAGATGTGTTGTTGAAAGAGGCTGATGTCCGGGATGCTGAAACTCCTGACGACGCAATGAGGGCAAGGCTGGCTTGACAATGATATAAGAAGGGCAGAATGCTCCCTCGATATCTCTGGCATCACAACCAACGAACAATCTCCTCAAGCGTCTCCTCATACCCTACTCTATCACGATGTATACTTTCGGAAGTTTCCTCGTCAGTCTGCTTCCGACAGTTGCATTCGCACTACCTGCTCCTCAGACCAATCTAAATGCCTCTCTCGCCAACCCAAGCTACGGTCCAATCCCTGGAGAGTCGAGAACGTATGCCGACTACAGCAAGACCGCAGCTCCATTCCCAGGAAACATCACAGGTGCCATATTGCCAACCGAAAGCGGACCTGCAGGACCAGACGATCTTCTTTTCCAGAACCTGCTTAGTGCAGAATGGGCAATTTTCAACTTCTATCAACAGGGTGTTGAGGCTTTCAATAGTTCCTCTTTCACCGAGCTTGGTCTGCCCAACACGACATATAACCGTGTGATGCAGATTCGAGATAACGAAGCTGGGCATTTGCGTATCTTCCAAGACAGCATTAGTGCTACCAGTGTCAAGCCAGGCGCTTGCACCTACGACTATGGCTTCAATGGCAATGCGAGTGTGTGGCTAGCTCTACAAGTCAGCCTCGAAGTCATCAGCATGGCTTTCCTGACCGGCCTCGTTCGTGAAGCCACAACCACAGACACAATGAGTGCTCTCGTTGCTATCGGCGAGGTAGAGTCACGACACAATACCTGGGCTCTCATTGACGTCTGGAACACCAGTCCTTTCTCCGGTCCTTCTGATACCGTCTTCCCCTTCGCGAACGAAATCCTCGACCTCACACGCCAATATATCGTACCTGGCAGCTGCCCTACCGCCAACCCTACATATCCCTTGCCTAGGCAAAACTTGCCTGCGACCACTGCTATCGTTGANGAAAGCAAAGGGCTCGTCGAGTTCGAGTTTACAGACCCTCACAACCAGCCTGATTGGTACTCTGAGCAGAGAGACAGACAATACTATGCCGTCTACTTCCACGGCGTCCACAACATAACGATGCCATTCGACACCAAGACCAACACGTCTGCCTACCCAGCTGACTTTGATGCTGGGGAAGGACTTCTCATTGCGGTGATTGCGAATGAAGTTGGNTGTCTGACTTTAGATAGTGTTGTTGCTGGTCCGGCGTTGATTATCGAGCAGCCTGCTTTCTAGGTGTATGACTAGCAACGGAAGGAGCGATGGATAGGCTCGACAAACGTGATGGTCTGGTATTACGGTAGACCTTGAATCTGGTGGATGGGTCCAGTACCACCTCCTCATGTGCTAAAGACAGTCACAACTTACACTGACCTCTTCTCCAGCCCGAGCTACAAGGGTTGTCATAAGCTATCGAGATGCACAGTTCTGACTCGATTACAAGTCTGGCCATTGAGATTACCTTCATTAAGGTTCTCTCAGTGGAAACCATAGTCTTTGCGAAAGTATTGTGCATTTCGACAGCTACAATGTGAGTGTCTTTAGCACATGGGGAGGCATGAAGATCTCATTTAAATATGAATTGCATTCTTCAGGCGATGTTCTCAGATACTTTACCTTTACCAGACATATATTGATGCAGTATGACCAAACCGAGCTGATCGAACATCCTCCATCAACTCATCAATACAAGCTTGCAGACACCCTCATGAGAGAAAAAGACAGATGACTGCACCAAAAGACGAAGATGTATGCAGCCTACAAAAGAAAGAGATGAAGAAGCAAAACGTACAGCAGCAGGGATTCCCACGTGGTCACCCACCGTAGTACTAATCTGCCGTTCAACTGCTTATGTATGGCAGAGCGGACGGGATGCCCAGTTTTCAGCTGACTGTGGCCGTACGTGCTGGAAATTGTGTTTGTTTTGTATATAAGTCTTACAACACTGAGAAACGTAGATGAATTAGCATCCAGCGAACTCAATCCATCGCTGCCTGAGAGCTGTGTCAAGAAAGTTGACACTCTTGTACTCTACTCTATCTTAATCTGCTTTGACTCAATCAACACTCAAGCCCGTCACGAATACGAACAGGTTTGTGGACGGCCCGCCAGAGAGAGAGGTTAAGTAGCAATGCTTCTTGTTTGTGTACTTGACCTGACTACACTTCTTCTCTAGCCAAAGTCAATACGCTTCTTCTTCACACGTCCTTGGTCGGGGAAACAGTTGTGCAATCCGTAGCTAATTTGAGGGCTGCCGGTAAATCCAGGCTGCACCCTGTTCGAAATGCGTGCTTGAGGTCTCTTGTTCAAACTGATAATCATTAGAGGATAGCGGAGAATTACCGAAGAACACTACTGATATACAGACGAGGCCTATAGTTTCAGTGCTGGAATTTTGGGTCATGGGCATAGCAAAGAAGCAAAAAAAGAAAAAATTCAGTTGATAGCGCCACCGGGGAGTGTAAAACTAAAGGAACATGGTAAAAGACGAATAACTCCTAAAGGAAAAAGGAAGCTCGGCAATGACCCCTTTCCTTGTGCGAAAGTTCCTGGAATAAAAAAGGACAAAACTTCGATGAGCCTCTCACACCTTGGAATGTTGTCCGCTTTCGTCATCTCACTCGCAACCCATCATGCTCTTTCTCCTTCAAAGTACCCCGTGCAATCCAATTAGGTAGACCTGTAGCGGACGGTAGATGCGGACTGAAGTGTTGTGTAACCGGAAATAACGATTAATCTCAGCAGCCAAAGCAACAAGTCAAGGATGGAAAGCGACCAGGATTTGTTCTGTGTGTTCCGAGAATCTGGGACACAAAGACAAGCGCAGCCAAGAAAGAACAAGCTGTCGTCGTGTGATGGCGAAAGCGGATCGGGTATCTAGTTTCGAGGCGAGGAGTTTAACAGCAGCCACCAGCGCTGCCGCTCTGGACGGTGCTACCTTGACCGACTTGGACGGTAGGCTTGTTGTTGACAGTGGTGTTACCCATGCGCTCCTTGATCTGGCGGGCCATGGTCAAGAAGGCCTGCTCGACGTTGGATGCGTTCTTGGCCGAAGTCTCGAGGAAAGGAATGCCGAGGCTGTCAGCGAACTCCTATTTGAAATCATTAGTATGCGTAAAAGTTTCTTGACGTGCCCAGAGATGCGCACCTTTGCAACATTGTACTCGACAACCTTCTTGTCGGTCATATCGCTCTTGTTGCCGACGAGAAGCTTGTTGACGCCCTCGGTAGCGTAGCGGTCAATCTCCTGTAGCCACTGCTTGACGTTGTTGAACGAGTCCATGTCGGTGACATCGTAAACAACGCAGATACCGTGGGCGCCGCGGTAGTAGGATGATGTGATGGTACGGAAGCGCTCTTGGCCTGCGGTGTCCCACTGAATGGAAGATGTATCAGCAACAGCTCTCTTCAAAAAGCCAAGTGTAGGCTGGACTCACGATCTGAAGCTTCACTGTCTTGCCATCGAGCTCGATGGTTCTGATTTTCTGTGAGGGCGCGTTAGTCTGGAGCTGGTCGAGACAAATGGCGCAGCAGCAGGCATCCGACGTACGAAGTCAACACCGATGGTGGAGATGTAGCTCTCAGTGTAAGTGTCATCGGCGAATCGGAGCAACAAACAAGACTTTCCGACACCGGAGTCACCGATCAGAAGGAGCTTGAAGAGATAGTCGTATCTGTAGAGGTTTGGTATGAGCGACACGTCTTAAGGGGTTCGTTATCGGGACGGCGGCGACCACGACGACACTGCTGCAAGGTGTTGTGACATTGGGGCAGATTGTACTCTGCAGCAAAAGGTCAGTATGTCGATTGCAGATGGGTAGAGGCAGTAGAGGCGAGAGGCGACGACATACTACTCGGGGTTCATGGTGGGCGAGTCTTCTTGGACGTAAGGTGTGGCTTGTTATGACGTGCGGAGGATGCGGAATATGTTAAGAGCAGCGGCGGAGCGTTAGATGCTCGGATGGATGTGAGTGGAGTTGAAGCAAGAAGAGCTCCGAGAATTAGGACAAAGTAGAAGTTCTAAAGTCGACGGACGACGACGTGTGTGTTGGCTGTGTGAGAGTGAACAAGGGCCCGTCTCATCCCCACGCGCTTGGCGGAGAGAATACGCAGGTCATTTAACGGCCACATGTGGCGCCTCCCCGAGACACTCCCTTTGACCTTTGGTCATTTCACGCCAAACTCTCATCACCAGCCTCCTTCACATGCAACTCTGAACTTTTTTTGAGACTTGATTAAATCACTGCGACCTGCTGCTGCCTGGTCGCTTCTCCTCCGATCGCACGCTATGCATTCCCAACCCGAGATCCATCTATACTACTCACATGACTGACTGTTTTCCACTCTTCGCAATTTATCGCCATGCTGGAGGGGGTGGTCCTCCATAGTTGCCTTGTCCTCCATAGCTCCCCTGCGATGCTTGGTGCTGACTCAACTGTTCGTGCGCTCCACCATATTGATTGTACTGGTGCTGCGTAAGCTGCTCCTGAGGTGGCCCACCATAAGATTGTTGCCCGTATTGAGGTCCACCATGAGGTCCACTATGATGTGTTGCTCCTGGCGGTGGCCCACCATGCGCTGCTTGTCCGCCGGACTGCGGCCCATAGCTGCTGCCCTGACCAGGTTGGTAGGCGGTATACTGCGAGTTGTGTTGAGGTTGGCCGTGGTTTGGTGCACCGCCGTACTGATTGTGCTGGTGCTGGCTGTATTGATCGTATTGATAACCGGAAGAAGCATGTGAAGGTTGACCGCCATACTGGCTTGATGATGGCCCGCTGTTGTGCGACGACTGATATTGCCCATGTTGTTGTCCGGGAGTGCTATGGGTGGGAGTGCCGTATGTGCCAGTGGTCTGTCCGCTCGGGCCGCCGTATGAGCCTGCAGACTGACCGTATGGAGCTGGAGAAGAGTGATGAGAAGCTGAAGGATTGTATGACGAAGGGGGAGCCTGTCCAGAATATGTGCCTCCTTGGGTCGATCCTCCAGACGAGTAACCGTAGCCTTGCTGATGGTTTTGCTGTGAATGGTTAGCGGAGCTAAGACATGCATCTAGAGAATTGAACGGACCGAGGAACCGTGGCCACCTAGCAATCCACCAAGAGCACCCATGGCACCGCCGTGGCTGCTTCCTCCAGCATTACCATGGTTGCCGCTCGACTGCTGACCACCAAGAAGGCCTCCGAGACCACCCATAGCACTATTGTGACCACTGCCGCTGTTTGACTGTTGTCCGTGTGGCTTGTTTCCACCTCCCAGGAAGTTTCCAGCAAGTTTGCCGACCAATCCTGCAGCGCCACTGTTGTTGTGACTTTGATTCTGGCCTTGAGCTGAGTTTGAGTGTGAATTGCCGCCGAGGAATTGTGCAGCCAGGCCACCGAGACCAGAGGAGTGCTGCTGTTGCTGGGGCTTGTTCGAGTTTAGTAGCATGTTCATGGCCATGCCCTACACTCCAGTCAGCTCTATGTAGTGTGCAAGACATCTGGTAGAACATACTCCAAGTCCACGCTCGCCTTCTTGTCCGTCTATGCCACGTGTCGTTTGTCCCTGAGCATCATGAGGGGCTGGGAAGGGGTTCTGGTGCTGTGCTGGGGTATTTCCTGGGGAGGGCACAGTGGGTGCTGCTTCGGTAGGCACTTCCCATGTTGACACTCCGGTGCTGATCTGGACGAAGTAGTACTTTCGAGAGCTGAGTTTGCGTTAGTTGCTTGTCGTCTGCTGGAGGTGCGTGTCGCGCTCACTTTCCGTCCCATTGGGCAATCCATCCTATGGGAAGGTTAGGCGGTGCCTTGTCTGGGCCGGCCTCGGGTTCTGAGTCGGGCATGTTGAGTTGTTCGTGTCACAGGCTCGAAAGAAGCGGATGTCCGAATTCAGATTCGTGCTGAGAAAGTTGTGTGTGGGAGAATGCGACAGTTGCAGTTACAAAGAACAAAATCACTCGAGACGATCACGCACTAGGCGGGCTGTGCTGTGACGTCGAGCCTCACGTTGACCCCGTACTTGGGCGAGATGATACCAAGCGCATGGGGTTTATCCAACGGAACCACTATCCAGTCTGCCAACAGCGCTCAGGTGATTCGCTTTGGCTAGCATTCTATGTTCTGATCACAAGGCCAAGGGGTTCTTAGATCTGACCGCACTCTTTCTACATCTCTGTCCGGTATCCGACGGCCATATCGGGTCAGACACAAAAGACACCTTGTGCTGGCATGTGCTGTATGAAAGGGCTCTTGATTTGTCTCGTAACGATTTTCGTTATCTCGTACCCAACTCCATCCTTCAGAAACAGCGTTCATGCTTCCTGAAATTGCCCAATCAAACCCTGGCCATCAGTCGGACTGCTTGTCCATATTGAGGAGGCAGAACCCCTGATCTCTATAATGTGCCGCATCAGGCGTTGGTCAGCTTATTTCTCTTGTCTGATAACATGTTTCAGAAGATCAAGGTGATTTGGAAAGGAGAGAACATGTCAGAAAAAAAAGTAAACGGTAAAGTCGCTGTATTAAAGACACAAGCATTTCAACATGAGTGTGGTCCTTTTTCTACCGGACCTGAAAGGATCCCCAAACCACAATGGTCTTCATAAACGCAATGATACGAAAAGTCGGCCGCTAGCCAAAAGCGTCTTTGTGCGCTTAGTACTCAGCCTCAACACCCTCCTCACCCTCGACAGAGTCGGCAGCAACCTCCTCGTAATCGCGCTCAAGGGCAGCAAGGTCCTCGCGGGCCTCGGAGAACTCGCCTTCCTCCATACCCTCGCCGACGTACCAGTGGACGAAGGCACGCTTCGAGTACATGAGGTCGAACTTGTGCGAGAGAGCCGACCAGGCCTCGGCGATGGCGGTAGTGTTGGAAAGCATGCAGCTAGATAGATGATCAGTTTAAAGTGATGAGAAATGGATCGCTGATTGAACTTACACAGCGCGGTTGACCTTGGCGAGGTCGCCGTTGGGCACGTTCTGAGGGGGCTGGTAGCAGATACCGATCTTGAAACCAGTTGGGCACCAGTCGACGAACTGGATAGTGCGCTTGGTCTTGAGGGTGGCGACAGCGCTGTGGACGTCCTTGGGGACGACATCACCACGGTAGAGCAGGCAGGTGGCCATGTACTTGCCGTTGCGGGGGTCACACTTGACCATCTGGTTGTTGGGCTCGAAGCATGACATGGTGATCTCCTGGACAGAGTTGGCCTCGTGGGCGGACTTGGCGGCCGAGACAACAGGAGAGTAGGCAACCAGAGGGAAGTGGATACGGGGGTAGGGGACCAAGTTGGTCTGGAACTCGTTCAAGTCAACGTTGAGGGAACCGTCGAAGCGGAGCGAGGCGGTAATGGAAGAGACGACNNTGGCAGTTTAGTTAGTAGGATTCCTGATAACCGTGACAGTCTGGAAGTGCATACCCTGGGCGATCAGTCTGTTCAGGTTCTCGTAGTTGGGTCTCTCAATGCCAAGGTTGCGACGGCAGATGTCGTAGATGGCCTCGTTGTCGACCATGAAGGAGCAGTCGGAGTGCTCAAGAGTGGTGTGGGTGGTGAGGATAGAGTTGTAGGGCTCGACGACCGAGGTGGCGACCTGAGGAGCAGGGTAGACACAGAACTCGAGCTTGCTCTTCTTGCCGTAGTCGACGGAGAGACGCTCCATGAGGAGAGCACCGAAACCAGAACCGGTACCACCACCGAACGAGTGGAAGACGAGGAAGCCCTGGAGACCAGAGCAGTTGTCTGCAACTCTTCGGACCTTGTCAAGAACCTGGTCGATCAATTCCTTGCCAACGGTGTAGTGACCACGGGCGTAGTTGTTTGAGGCATCCTCCTTGCCGGTGATCATCTGCTCGGGGTGGAACAAGCTGCGGTAGGCGCCAGTGCGGACCTCGTCGACGACATTGGGCTCGAGATCGCAGTAGATGGTGCGGGGAACGTATTTGCCGTTGCCNNTTGAATCGATTGTTAGCTCGCGTGTCGGGCTGGATGGAGATGTTCGAGCAGGCGTACCAGTCTCGGAGAAGAAGGTGGAGAAGCCCTGGTCGTCGTTGCCGGCCTTGCGCTCCTCAGTGAGGTAACCGTCAGGCTGTATTGTTGTTAGCAAGAGCGCGCGCAGTGATGGAGCTTGGAGATGAAAGCGTACCTGGATACCGTGCTCGAGACAGTAGANGCTAGGCAGACAAAATGTCAGTTGGAGCCCCTTTGCGGACGGCGCAGGCGCTGATGGCCATCCGTCGAATCAATGGCAGTGTAAGCTCACCTCCCAGCACGAGTTGGCAATCTGGCAACCAGCCTGGCCGACTGGAATCATTCAAGTCAGCATCGAGAGCAAGAAGGCGGATGAAACAGGCCAAGGGGCGGTCTGGCGCGAGTGAGCTCAAGAGCTCCAGGGAGTATCAACATACCGTTCAAGCTGATGACTTCACGCATTGTGGATGACCTGGAACCGGACAAGAGAGGTGACAAGAAAGGAATCGGAAAACAGGGCGGAGATGGATGGTCGGCGTGGTCGTCGAGAAACGGCTGCTGGTCGAAAGGGAAGGAGCGGTGCGAAGTGAAGAAGCTGGACCGTGTGTTTGTTTACGGCTTGGCGCCGCACCTTCCTCGCCCGACCACCATCTAGGGTCCCCTATTGCAACCCCGGCCAATAACTTTTGCATCAATGCAAGAAGTCATATTTTGTTAGAGGCCGTCTTTCTGAGATACGCTGCCGGCTTGTGTATCTGGGCTCATACGCTGATCAAAACATCTAATCAATTTGTTCACCTGCTGGCTCTGACCCATCGATGATGCTCCTCCTGCCTATATTGTTCTACGTATGCTTCCTGGCCGTGCCTGCCATAGCCAACGTGGAAAAAACCATCTTCACTGCACCTGACAGTATAAATTTTGGAGATGCTCGACCAAACTTGATGGACTTACATCTTGATATTCTTTCATCAAAGAAACTCTCTGTCCGAACTGTTCTTCCTGTAATATTTCCTACCGAGACGCAACCTCGTGGGTTATCTTCCTGGTACATACTCGACAGTCTACGTCCAGGCCAGCGCTACGAGATCCGGATCTGTTGGGCGGCGACGGTATCGTCAAACACTCTGGCACACTAGCGATACAGCTTTGTTAATACATTCCACAGCAANCCCACTGATTTCTTCTTGGATACATTCGAAGTTCCAATTGTCTTCGATACTCCAGCTCTACTGCAGGACCTCAGTGTTTACGCGGAAGAGCGTCAGAACATTCTGGTTGAAGACAGTCCTGAAACCCTTGCCGAACTGACGACTTCTTCTAATCGATCTGTTCTGTTCCTTCGCATTCAGTCAGCAGCCAATTTCTATACTACCGACAAGGCTTTGATGCAGAATCCTCCCCCTGTCTACGTCGACATAAGTATGCTCCTAGCTTCAAATTATATCTCCATGCTCTCACTAACATCGATCTANGTTCTTGATCCATATCTTCTGAACGTCTTCCCTCAGTCTTTGCTTCCTACGGCTGCATACATTCTTGTACTGGCAGTTGCTAGCTGGTTCTTGTCCGGGTTTGCTTGGTCGAGGTTTCAGGCCTTTGTTCACGAAAAGCAACACTCAGATTGATAAACCAGGAGTCAAGCTCATCAACTCTGACCACAATCCTTCGATCTTGTCGACAATGCAGTCAGTGACCCAACAGGCTCCACGCTCTTTCCGTGGACTGCCCACCGAGCTCATCCTCGAGATTCTCAGCTATCTTGCACCAGATGCCCTCATCTCATTCGGGTTCGCCAACTATCATCTGCTTCTCAGACACTCTCTGGCCTCACTGCTATCACAGACCACTATGACCCGTCTCATCCGTCAAGCAGCAGTATTCTCCAGAAACCCTTCAGCTGGCCCAACGCTTATTCCTCCTGAAGTCTATCTGCAGATACTTCGAAATTCTGAGCCTAGTGATGCCATGAACTATGCCATGGCGAACTATCTGGCATTGGCTCGGCAAGGCATTGCACCTCCATTGTCACAGGACACGCTGCGTCGCTTGAATCGCGCGGTTAGACGTGGACTAGGACCAGGACCCAATACTTAAGCGAATGAAGACACGCACATGCTCGATGCTTCAGTTTTGAGCTAGCCAGCATAGTGCTCGCTTATCACACTTCCAATTGAGCCTCCTGGTTATGAGAGTGGTCTTGGTTGGTAGCAGAAAACACACATGTGTCAAATCGTCTCTTCTCACACTCGCTACGACATGGTATACAGCAGAAAATCATATCCGAATGCGGGTATCTGTTAATTGGACTCCGATCGGTAGTACTAGGTTATTCCTCAAATGAATTGTTCTATCGTGTCCCATCGCTCTCCAGAATTGATCCCCGATGTTATATTATCTGCCAATCTCGCAAGCTATTTCTACAAGCAGAGGCTCAATCATGTTTCAGGAGCACCCGTGTGTCAGCAACCATGCAATTTTCTCGAAACTCAGCGGCGCACTGTCTCTACCCCTGATGTTCACTCCGGATGCAGACGATCCGGGCGACCATCGCGCTCCAGAAAAAGGGTCCGATGCGACGTCATAATCGTTTTTTGGATTAGATGGAGTGATCATGACCAAGCTCGAAGGTTTTCTCGGTCAACATCGTCTTCTTAAGCATCTCATACTCTCTATTCCATATTCAAATCTCTACTAATCTACCACTGTTACTTACTGCGACAATCCATTCCTGATTGACCGAAAGGAGCAATTACACAACACTTCAGAACCACCACATCGCCAACATGACCAGCAAGCTCATTCCCCCGAATCCCGACAAGGTCATGGTCATTCGCAATGTCACACCAGACGTTGTCACGCTCTCGCTACCTTTTGCGCGTTTCGGTCGTATCAACATTGGCGGCCGCGGAACTCTCGGTATGTGCTTCCTCGAATCCGTGACGAGCCGCTATAGCTGACACTTGCCAGTCCGTCTGCAGAATGGCAGCGTAGCCGTCTTCTCTCCCGTAGCTCTTACCGATGATGTCCGCAGTCAGATTAACAAGATGGGCGCTGTGAAATACATTGCCGCCAACGACGCCGAGCACCACATCTTCATGGACGACTGGCACAAGGCCTTCCCAGACGCCAAATTGATCGGTCCGGATGCATTGAAAGAGAAGCGCGAAAGTCAGAAGAAGCCATTGCCTTGGACACACCTGTTCCGCCCAAAGGACAACACCAGCTGGAACATTGACGAGACTTTCGACCGCGAGTTCGACGCCGAGTATGTTCATGCCCACGCCAACAAGGAGCTCGTATTCAACCACAAGCCTTCAAAAACCTTGATCCAAGCCGACTTGCTGTTCAACTTGCCAGCCACAGAGCAGTACTCGCGTACTGATGTCAGTCCTACCGCTGGTATCTTCACAAAGTTGATGTGCAAGATCAACAACACTGCTGGTTCAGCAATCTGGCAGAAGAGGTTTGTCTGGTATGCATTGAGCGCATCAGACAGACCTGCCTTCAACCAAAGCATGGCACGAATCGACAAATGGGACTTTGAGCGTATTATCCCTTGCCATGGTGATGTGATTGAGAAGGAAGGCAAGGGCATTTTCAGAAAGGTGTTCGAATGGCACTTAGAGGCTGCTAAGAAGTCGAGCTAGAGAGTCTACGAAGCACCCCTCGAACCGAGCCTGACCGACACGAGGTTTCTTGGACACAATATTGGTACTTCTTGTAACAAATCTTTGGCAGAGAAGAGAACTTAATTTAATGACAATGCTAAGCCAATACACACAACTCCAAAGGAAATACTCCTTGCCCGATGATACGTAAAACAAAAGCAACTTTTTTGTCCTCGCTGAATGCATATTATGTGAAAAGCAGGTTCGCTAAGAAGAAAACAACACCGAAATTCATGAGTCTCGTCAACGTCTCAAAAAAACATCAACAAGAGAAAGAAGAAAAGGTCGAAGAGCAACCAGGCCCTTCGAAATCTCAAAGTCTGAACCAGTTCTTCTCGACAGCGTGCATGAGCTCATCTTCGCTGACACAGATCCACGAGCTCTCGGTCTTACCGTAGACACCCGTGGATCCATAGGGTCCCTTAGCAGAAGGTTCCCAAGCCATAGGCCAAGCACCACCGCTCGAGATCTCGGCGTAGGAGAAATCGCCATGGACGACTCGCTCAGCAGGGTCGAAGATGCAATCGGCAAAGAAGAGCTCAATGTCAAGCTCCTTGCGCTTACGCTTCTGGTTCTGCATCAGTGTGCGTGCTGAAGCGAGGACATCGCGCAAACGGTGGGATTTCAGGGCTTGCTGGGCACGGAGGGAGTCCTTCGATGTGTTGGCAGAGCCATCGCGGTCGCAGAGTTCGAGAGCGCGGACTTGGCATTCGCCTTCCCATACCACTTCCTCATGGGAGAAGAGGCATGCACACATGCTGGGGATGGAAATGGAGAGGTCCTTGAGACGGGGGCAAGAGGCCAGAGATTCGCAGACATGTGTGTCTGGAGAGAGGTAGCCGGGGTGTGGGTGGAAGAATCCATCGTCCGAGCGAGGGGAGTGCTCAAGGACGCGGAGAGTGTTTGCCGAGGAGTTGACGATCGCCATAACTCCAGCAATGGTGACGGTGGAGAGATTGGTAAGGTGGAACTCCTCGAGGTGGTTCGCACTGCGTGCAATATTGAACATGTCCTCGTCTTCAATGGGCATCAAAAGCGTGTTGCCAAAGATCTTCAAACGCTTCAACTGGGAGAAGTTGACTCGAGGGTCTGCGAGAGGGTGTGTGTTCTCGACTTCTGACCATTCCTTCTCCTGGGCATTGCCCAAACATGTGGCACGCAGCTCCAGAGATCTGAGAGGAACGTCATCCTCAGAAGAGATGCCCAGCAGATGGATCCAGTCTTGTGCAGTTCCGTGTCGCAGCAGTGTCCATGGCACACTGATGGAAGTGAGATGACGGCAGCTTCTCAAAACATCGAAAATCATGCGGTCTGTCTCAACGGTGTGGAAACCATCAAAGAACATGCGGCGGACCTCGCCCGCCACATCTGGGTACTGAGAAAAGAACTTAACAGCGCTCTTGAGAAAGCCAAAGGGATCACGATACACTGCGCTGCCTCTGGGCTTACTCATGAATTCGTAGGCTCCATAGGATGAACGTCGAGTTGGGATCTCGGCCCATCTCTCCGAACCTTGCCATCTTCTGATTGATACAGTTCTGATAGTACTCCTGATGGCCCAGTCATGCCATCTGGTGCAAACACCACGAAGAGTGGATGCTCCGTCCCACCGTTGTGCTTCAGGCTGGACGGGTCCTCTGATGTATCTGGTCAATGGCGTTCGTGAGATAGGTAGAGGAGCTTGTGTAAGACCAAAGGTGTATTTGACGCCGTTGTCGGCATTCATCTGAGCAGCATAATCGAGGATGGACGAGAGTATCTCGTCTGGGAAGTCGTTGATGTGCATGTTGATCATGTAGCAGTGCAGTAATGGAAGTATCGAAGCAAGTCTAGTACTTCTTTGCAAAAAAAGTGAAAGCGAGATTGTGGTGAGGGACTCGAAAGAAAAAGTGGAAGGAACAGAGACTTTACCAGGACTATATCTCCTCAAACAGGTGCATTGTCCTTACGTTACAAGAAACTCATGGGCCCTTCAAACTCCGTTGTGCGAACGCCCTAGAGCAAGTGTTCACGTGGATGTATCGAACCACAGCAGAGGTAATGAGCAAAACGTGCGAAAGGATCGCAAAAGGCTTGCAGGCCATTAGTCACAGTATGGATGATGAACACATTCTTCGATTTCATGGGGTAATACCAAGTTAGTATGGGGTAATGGATATTCCACCGCCAGGTGTACAAGCCCGCGTCGGCAACCAAGGAGATCTCGTGACAACTTGGAAAGCTACTTTTCAATCACCCTCCCAAACGGTTTGTTATTGTGTAAAAGTACCCAGCACGGTGGTTTGATCACGAAGCGCTAGAAGGAGGGGTTGTTTTGCGAAGCTGAGACGCGAGGACCACCGAGGAGATGAAGAGGTGAAGTCCAAAGCATGCGCTTGGCAAGGTGGTACCGCCAATGCGAATTGTGTGATACAAAGGCAGATTGACGTGTTTTGACGAGATCGCAACACGACCAAGGCTACAAAATTCGTTGTCTATCTGGTCACTGATGTTGCAGGCAAACAGGCCAGAGGCAAGACGCCAGATGGTGCAAGCAATGGTTGTAACGGACAATTGGCACGTGTGATGGTGCTGACGCGGAAGTCGGCTCTTCGGTCAGGAAAGGAGATTCACTTTTCGGATTTCGGCATTGTCGCCTGCCAGAAAATTGGGTAGAGTCTAGTACGGCTTGTACGGGGTATCAGATGGATAGAGAAGGTGTTACAGACGGTGTGTTTTGTGGCGTCATGATTTCTATACGAGCGGAGAGGTATGCGCCCAGGGCTTAACGTTCCCCAAATTTGCAAAGCCGAAGCTAGGCGGGGGATGTTTGAGAGTCTGGAGAAGAAGCTGGGGAACGGGGTGACAAACAGTTTGCTGCCACACCAGTCTAGACACTGAAAACACGGTCACCACCAATCCGCATGCGGAAAAAGGCACTGCGGTCCGCTAGCCTGGCACGTAGACCACCGCTAGTAGAAGGAGCCGTGCTTGTGGGTTGACCGGGGTCACGCATCTCCTTGAGCTGTGTTTTGATCACATCAAAGAGATTGAGATGGGCAATCATAATCTCACCGCTGTTGAAGGCGTCAAAGATGTAGGAATCTGTGCGGGGTGCCGTCGAAGACAACAAAGCCTGCCTCTCGTCGGACTCTACATCTGGCTGAACAGATGACTCGGTATTTGCTGACGAGTCGTGAGTCGGGTTCAGCGAGTGTAACTCTTGATCAACTGGCTGGTGGTCGGATCTGAGCTGACCTCGCTCCTCGAAGTCGTGATTTTGAACAGCTGTTGTCGGAGTTGTGGTAGCAGACGTCTGTTGTTTGACTCGCTGACGAGTGGTGGCTGCAGCCAGGTGGACAAGCTGCATGAGCAATATCAGAGTATCCAGCAAGACCAGATGTAACTTTGACGTGGGACCTTTCTGGCCAACAAAATCCATAGCCAGACCACCATGTAGATAACCTCTGGTAGCCTCGCCAGCTTCGGGGCGGGCGAGGACGATGTGCAAGAGGATGATCAGCAGGTTGGAGCCGAAGATGGCAGCGAGGTAAGGCCTGGGATGCGGAGGTTCTGGAAGAAAGGCAGGTTTTGGTGTTAAGAAGATGAATTGTATGGCGGCTCGGACTAGGAAGCGTGTGAAGGAGCNAGCTGCGAGCCTGTTAGTATGATACAAGTGTAGAATAACAGTTGTGGTGACATACTCCATATAGTAGACAGCAGACAGCTCGGCATAGATCAGGAGGTCGATGTTGCGCAGCAGGTCCTGCAAGAAAGCATCTCGCTTCTTGTTGAAGGTGGCCTTGTTGCGCTGAACGCGCTCTCTCCTGGTCGCATCGTCGAGCGGTAGCGACGAGGCAGGCTCATGGTTCATTTCCGGGCAGTCATGTGTTGCTGTATCGTATCGCTCGCATTACTTGGACATGGTGTACCACATACATGTGCTTGCAACGACGAAGACGCATGTGCTTGGACTTCCTCGTATGACGCCGGCTGTCGCCAAGTCCCCCAACCCCCCCCCCCCTTCCCTTTTGGGCGTTGAGTGTGTCTCGCGTTGCGACGCGTGCGCCTGAAGTCGATGGTCTAGCATTTCATCCTAGAAACCCATTCAACACACCCAACCATGGCCAATTTCTTTGATCTCAAGGCTCGCAAAGCTGCTGCTGCTGCTTCTGCCACAGGAGAGGGCTCCTCCAGATCTGCTGGTCCCAAAGTCGACAATCGCTTGCAACCATGGGTCGAGAAATAGTCCGTCACCAACCCTCACTCCATTCTCAGCAGCTAACTCGCTATCAGCCGCCCCAAATCGCTCGACGATGTCTCGTCGCAAGAACATACCGTTGATGTGCTTCGCCGCACCCTCCAGTCTGCCAATCTCCCACACATGCTCTTCTACGGTCCTCCCGGTACCGGCAAGACCTCGACCGTCCTCGCGCTTGCCAAACAGCTTTATGGCCCCGAACTCATCAGAACCCGTGTCCTTGAGCTCAACGCTTCAGACGAACGTGGTATCAGCATTGTCCGTGAGAAGGTCAAGGACTTTGCCCGCATGCAACTCTCAAATCCTCCTTCTGGTCCCGCCGGCGAAGAGTACCGCAANAAATATCCTTGCCCGCCCTACAAGATCATCATTCTCGACGAGGCCGATTCCATGACACAGGATGCTCAATCCGCTCTGCGTCGCACAATGGAAACCTACAGCAAGATTACCCGCTTCTGCCTCATCTGCAACTATGTCACACGCATCATCGACCCTCTAGCCAGTAGATGCAGCAAGTTCAGATTCAAGAGCTTGGATGGTGGAAATGCTCGTAAGAGATTGGAAAACATTGCCGCCATGGAGAAGGTCAAGCTCGATGATGGCGTAGTCGATACACTGATCCGCTGCGCTGAGGGCGATCTGCGAAAAGCCATCACCTTCCTGCAGTCAGCTGCTCGTCTGGCTGGTGCAGAGCAATCAAGACCCGACGACGACGCCATGGATGTTGATGACCAAGCCACGGCTCGTTCAGTTTCCGTGCGGAGTGTCGAAGAGATTGCTGGTGTCGTTCCTGATCGTACTGTCTCTCGCCTCGTTCAAGCCTTGCAGCCCAACACGCGAGCTTCGGTTTATGATGCTGTTTCCCGTGTAGTTCAGGATTTGATCGCTGAAGGATGGAGCGCTACGCAGCTTGTGTCACAACTGTATGAACAGATCCTCATGGACGACTCGATCGACAACCCGAAGAAGAATCGCATTGTCATGTCCTTCTCACAGACCGACAAGAGGCTGATTGACGGAAGTGACGAGCACCTCACAATTCTTGATCTGAGTCTGCAGATTGCCGCTGCTCTAGCTGGAAGCTGAATTGCTCAACGATTCTCCTGATGATGCTTTTCTACTGCCGCCGACTACGATCGTCTCGGCAGCGATCACTAAACAAAGCCTGCAACGCGATTCTTTGCTACTCAATGACAATAGCACCAGCCGATGCTCTCGCTGGGCCAAGGGTATAGCCATAGCTCCAACCAAATCGTCTGCGATACACAGCACTACACATGTAACATTATATGCTTAATGACCAATTCAAACCATATGCCTTATGAGTGTTGTCCAGCTTTATGACGTGAACACTCTTCGGCGATGCCTGTTCAAGATTGCATACAGCTTGTGTCACGTCCATGACAAAGAAGTGTTGGTCGTAGTATAAGGGTTGGAAATAGGGGGTATAATCATTTGAGTCTAAACTAGCAACAACGCAGAAGGGGAATCACAGACTAGGAGAGGATGCACTTGACGGGCAAGCCACAAGGACCAGACTTGTCGTGCTCCTCCTTATGTTGAGGCTCGGTCGAGGTCTGCTGCTTTGGTGCTTGTGTTGTGCTTGTCTGGCTGGGCTCGGTGACGGGAGCACCACCACCGACAACCTCCTGCTTGTTGTTGGTCTCCGCACCCGCGGCGCCATCATGCAGTCATGCGAAGTTGGCCTTGGTGAGAGCGGTCCAGAAGGCCTTGCCCTGCTCGAAGGCGAGCGAAAGCTCCTTGGCGGAAGGCTGTCTGCTGCCGTCGGGGCCGGCGAAGGTACCAGCACCCCAGGGAGAGCCACCACGGACCTCAGTGAGGTCAGCAAGAGTGCCGAAGACAGTCTTGTAGCCGAGGGGAACGAAGATCATGCCGTGGTGAACGAAGGTCGACATGGCGCTGATGATGGTGGACTCCTGACCACCACCGGGGGTGGCGGTGGAAACGAAGGCACCAGCGTACTTGCCCCAGAAGGCACCGGTCTGCCATTGGCCACNCCTAGAAGATGGTTAGTATATGTTCAAAGCTTCTCACACGATGTAGCTTACAGTCTTGTCCCAGAAGGCCTTGAACTGAGCGGGCCAGTTGCCGTATCTGGTGGGAATACCGAAGAGGAAGCCGTCGTACTTCTCAAGGGTCTCGGGGTTCTTGAGCTCAGGGTATGAGGACTTTCCGGGAGCACCCATCTTCTCAAGGACGTCGGAGGTGAGAGTCTCGGGGATCTGGTAGATGTCGACCTCACCACCAGCCTCTCTGATACCTCTGGCCTCTTCCTCGACCAACTGCAGGATGTGGCCGTACATCGAGTACTACATACAATGTCAGTGTCAGTCCACCGAGCTCATTGTGAAAGGCCCAAGCTCGAGCTTCAAAAAGATAAAAAGACCATGATGGGCGAGCGTAGTAGGACTTACGAAAACGATAGCGACGCGGGGAGCCATTTTGATGTGTGTATAGCAAAAGCTACGAGGGATTGATCACAGAATAGGTGGATGTGGAGAGAAGGGACAAGGAAAACGTCAGTTGGCAGGGATGGGTCCGCGAATATATACAATGTTTACCCCAGTTAACTCACATTTAACTGCGGGTCTTCGTAGCGCGCTGACAAAGTCTAGATTGGAAATTTAGTGCTCATTAATGCAGGTTAAGACAGCCAGATCGAGAAGCTCTGACCAACTTAAGTGGCATTTTTCCCAAGTGCCGGCTGCGATCGAGTCAGTTGGCAGCTCAACCCGAGATCTTAACTCGCATTTCGCATCTTCCGCGATATAAGCAATATTTCCGGACCGCGGAAAGATATCACACCATCAACGTGTTGTTGTTGAAGTGTTAAGCTCAACCCTCGTGTTCTCAGTCGAGTGGCACGCTTTGAGCACTTTGCAATGTCGCGAGAAGGACATTACCAATGCACAAGCTTATTACAAACCCGATACTTGATTAGATGAACGAACTGGCGTGCGATCGAATACCTGCCTAGCAATGTATCAGTTGATCGGGTCATACTTCGTGTAACTTAGCTTCGACATGGTTGTGTGTGATAAAACGGTTGTTGCTCAAATGGTATCCGCTAACACTAACTTCTTAGATGAAACTTGGGTCACCCTGGATAACACAACTCGTCTCCATTGAACTTCGATATGGTCGTCAGGTGTGGTCAACGCATGCTATTGGAGGTCCCCGAAGCTTGATTAACAAGCCTAGCACCATGATATCTGCGTTGGAGTCAAGTTCAAGCGATGATATAGATTTGGTCAACGCTAGGTGTCTGATAACTGCCGAACCATGCTCAGCTCAGGGGACTTTCGTAGCCTTAACGAGCGCCAGAACAAGAACCCTTTACTTTTATATTGTACGAAGTTCTGAGGGCTCCAGATGCTACGAACCGTGTCATTGAACCCAACAAGTTTCCCATATTCATAGCAACTGTCCTTTCAGTGCATCAAGTCAAGTCATCCACTCCGGAAGTTACCGCGCGAGAGGACGCGCTGTAACGCGGACTAGATGTTCGAATACCTCGACGAGACATCGCCTTACCAAATCACTACTGTCAGCCATCAAAATTCGGTCAAATTCAGCTCACGGTAATTGACGAGGTTACGTGTGAGTTATCTCTATCTCTGGAACGCTCGCGCCGTATGTCACCTTCATGCTCAATTTCCTTTCACTTGTTGCTTGATATAGCAATCATGCAAGTGATTCTACCACGATTATTTGCTAATAGTCACCAGGCAAACTCTCATTGTGTAATGTCGTGAATACAAGCCAGTCTCAACCCTTAACATGGACATCTCCGACCATCTAATGGATGGCAATGTCATCGACACCACTGAGATGGATCCATTCGTGCTAGATATAAGATCACCTGTTGCGCAAACAAAACATCAGAACCTTTTAAATGGACAGCGAGATGCCGTATCCAGATCACCTTCATTTCGACAAGAAGTTATCTCCTTACCCCAGAAGGGTATGGCGCACTTACCATACTCGACTTCTCAGACTGGCCTTGTTTATGATGTGCGCATGCGCTTTCATGTTGAGGTACGCCCCGAAGTCAACCAAGGAGTACACCCAGAAGATCCTAGGCGAATCTACGCGATCTACAAGGAGCTAGTAGATGCGGGCTTGGTTGACGACCCCAACACGGTCAGCTTAGCACCATCTGTTCTCGCAAGAATTCCTACCAGATTTGTTACNAAAGAGGAAGTCTGCGCGGTCCACTCAGAGCGGCATTACGAGTGGGTCATTGGTCTGGAAAACTGGGACAACGACATTCTCCACGACGCCGGCCAACAAATGGACAGCATATACCTATCAAAGAATTCGCCAATGTGCGCGAGACTCTCAGCTGGTGGTGCGATTGAAGCATGCCGTGGAATTCTTAACGGTCACGTAAAAAATGCTGTGGCTGTCATTCGTCCACCCGGACATCATGCTGAGCATGATGAACCAATGGGTTTCTGCCTCTTCAATAACGTACCCATCGCGATCAAGGCCTGCCAGAAAGAGTTCGGTGACAAATGTCGCAAAGTTCTAATCCTCGACTGGGACGTACACCATGGCAATGGTGTGCAGCAAGCTTTCTACAACGACCCTAATGTGCTCTACATTTCTTTGCATGTCCACCAAGGAGGGAAATTCTACCCTGCTGGGCCCGCAGGAGATCACCTACACTGCGGTGAAGGGGCCGGTCTTGGAAAGAACATCAACATTCCATGGAGAACGGCCGGCATGACGGATGCCGACTATCTTCTTGCTTTCCAAAAGATTGTCATGCCAATTGCGCAAGATTTCGACCCTGACCTTGTGGTAGTTTCTGCCGGCTTCGATGCCGCAGAGGGAGATATGCTGGGAAAGTGCCATGTTTCACCTGCTGGCTATGCCCACATGACACGCATGCTCATGTCATTAGCCGATGGAAAAATCGCCGTGTGTCTCGAAGGAGGGTACAACTTGAGGTCCATTGCGATATCAGCTCTTGCAGTCACGCGTACCTTGATGGGTGAGCCACCTGGCAGGCCCGTCACTACAGTGGCTACACCATCTGCCGTGGATACAGTCGAAGAAGTTCTCCGCCAGCAAGCATATTACTGGCCGTGTCTGTTTCCCAGAAACCCTTCTCACCGACTCAAGAAGCTGGGAAGTGAGAGAATGCACGACATTATTAGGGATTATCAGGCTGCATGGCTTTGGGAAAACCTTGAAATGTCGAACCTTTTCATCGCGCACTCTAAAGCATCAAGGAGCTTTAAGAACCAAGTGTTGGCGACGTGAGTAGTATGGCTGTTACACTAGACTGTGGCTAACATTCCATCCTAGNNACCAAACCACTCCGAAGCTCGCCCACTTCTTGTCATCTTCCACGATCCTCCAGAGCTCACCGGCGAGACCGATCCGAGAACTCGAGAACTTCAACTACATAACACCTGGCTGGTACGCTCTTTTCATCAAGTCAAGCTCGACATACACTGACCTGATGTGAAGACTGATTCTGTAAAGCAATACACACAATGGGCGGTTGACAAAGGATTTGCTGTCATCGACATCAATATCCCCAAGCATGTCACCGAGCCGGAAGACAGCCACGAGTACGCCGCAGAAGCAGATCCACAGCAGAGAACCGATGAAACAGAACTACTTGCAAAGTATTTGTGGGACAACTACATTGAGTAAGAATTTGGGCATCTCAATCTTATTATCTTGAAAATTGGTGGCTAACTGTCTACTAGACTGAGTGACTCTAATCACATCTTCTTCATGGGCGTCGGTCAAGCCTATTCTAGCCTGATCGGCTTCCTCAANAAGAACGACAGATGTCGAGAAAAGCTGAGAAAGATTATTGGCTTTATATCAGATTCATGCCCCTTGCCATCTTACAAAGCAACAACAGACGATTACTTGGACCGATGGTACAAGGACACGTCGAAAATCTACGTCGCTCCAAACCACTTTTTGTGGGAAAAGCACAAGATGAAGCCTCCATCTAGGAAGTGGGGCTCATTGCAGAAGAGCGAGTACAACGACATGCAAGAGATGCTTGCGTATCATCACAAGGAAGCCACGGGTATCTTGAATGAGGAGGTTGATGGCTGGCAGCCATCGGACGTATCAGTAGTCGTGGCCAGCGAAGGAGAGACATAGCGTAGCTGCAGGCCTTCTCTACATATCTAGAACTGTATCAAAGCCAGATTGCTGTATGTTAAGGACCACCGAAGTTTCCAGAAACCAATCGCGCCTGCAACAAGCACGATGTAGTATGCAACAGTCCAGGTAATAGATAGTTGCTGACCGTGTGTGCCAGTCTGAAAGGCATCAGTCACACTGCTGTCGTGATGTGTTTGATTTAGCATTTCCTCTCCAACTTCTTCTCCGACACGACCCCAGAATCGAGGCAAGCCCATCCAATTGCAAAAACTGTGGGCAAGGATGCATGCCACAAGGGAGCTCGTTCGCAAGTAGATAAAAGCGGCAATGAAGCCAAACAGCGAAGTGTAGAGGAATTGGAAAATGGAACGAATCAAGCCGGGCAGTATAACAGATGGCGTCAGAGCAGTAGCCAGGTAGCTAGCTCCAGGACGCCGAGAAGCATTGATGTGTTCATGCAAGTGATGCACATGAGCCACACCGAAGATTAATGGCGAGGTGAACGTTATACGCAGGGCGGATGCCTGTCATAGGTGATCAGAAAGTAAACGAATACCACGACAGTTGGGAGAATGGCTACGTACCTGAGCCAGTAGAAACAAGGAGATTGCAAGACTTCTGAACACCAGTTCTTCGCTTACAGGGCCAACGACAAGATTACGCCAACCTATGAGGTCGTCATAGACCGTTTCCTTGATTGCAGAAGCTCCCCAAGTTCTCCATTCTCCTTCGATGATGGCTCTCTCAAATAGAGGACCCGCAAAGAGGATGGCTACAAGCAGAAGAGACTTGGCAGTATCGAGGATGTTCACGGGATACACGCCGAGTAGATGAAGTACCTNCCCAAGCGTAACATGACCTTTGAGAAAGAGCACACAGACAGTGATGACTACGCTGGCCGCACAACTCCAGATCACAGCGCGGATACGCGCCTCGATGACGGAAGGGGTGTTACGATTGGCGATGGAGTTGCTCCGCAGAGTGGGCGACAGGTAGAAGGGAGCAATGTAGATGACTGTAANAAGGACGGTTAGGCCGCCCGCCACGTGAGGGCTGATTGCTGGCGCTGACGCTGTCGCAAAAGATAGAGGTCAGTTCGTACGTTTCTATCTGACAACGCCGCTTGTCGATTAGCATGACACGCCGGATAGAGAGTCATGTTGCTTCTATATTTTTCTTTCTTTTTTTCGTTTCGGCTGCATCGACATGTACTTACTTGAGGGTGACATCCTAGGCAGAGGCTGTAGAATGCTTGACGTAAACGCCGCGAACGCTGGAATCTCCTACTTGCGTGAAATGTTTTGATGTAGGAGATTACGCAACGGTAAGAACAAACGGCAAGCTCAGGAATGGTGTGCGGCAGGCGTTGTCGGTGAACAACAATAGCAAAGGGGAAGCTGGAGATGACGAAACGGCCAGCAGTTGAAACGCTGCTTATCCACAATCGACAGCGTAATCGGTCAGTCTTGGACGTTCGAGGTTTGTCTCGAGGAAGATTGACAACCAGACGTCCACCAGGTTCGATGTTTGAGAAGAGTATAGGATGATGTATGCGTTCGTCTCGGATGCTGGATAAGAAGTGCGCCTATGCTTCTTGAACCAAGCCCGCGGTTGCCAGTGCGCTGCTTGTTCGCGTGTGCAAGTCCCGCTGAGCAGGATCGCACGTTGCGCTGGCTGGTCTCTCGCAATTTCCTAAGCATGCATTTTTGGATGATCTGTGAGCCAAATGCTCGCACGAGCAAGCTTTTGGCGACACCCGCTTGGGGCTTCGCGTATCGAAATGTTGTGCAGAACCATCTCTTTACGCGGTGCCTATCACCGTCAGACACGACTCGACGGCGTTTCAGGGACGGAGCACGTCGCTCCCGCTAGCTAGGCCCCTTGGTGCCGGCAACTTGGACGCCTCATTGAACCGGCCATCCTGACAGCTTCTTGTCCGTGTGGAACTCATCTCCCACAACCGGTTCAGGGCGTAATGGCTCCTGTATGGCCAGTAGACCTTTTGTCTCCTATGGCACGGACGTGTCTACTGCTTTCATATGCAAGACCGTCTGCCACTTCTGACGGCTGAGGTTTGGCTCTTCCTCAGTCTCTCGTTTATCCCACCAGTTGCGCTCATCCCAGCAGCCCTACAATAATATATCCCGACCCGCCTCTCCCCGCAGCTATCGTGACTCGCCATCTTCTCTGCGTTGTCCAGAATCATCTCTTAACCGCCCGTCGCGCTTCTCAACACGCCTGCCAGCTTTTTTTTTTCTCACCCAACTCGACGCGTTCGAGTCTCTGGATCTATTTCCGTCCGCTCTTTTGAAATGTCGATCTACTAGTGTCTATTCCGCTCATTGTGCCGCCTATAACGATACCCCGTCACTCTTTTGTCCCAACAATATCTTTCATTTCCACAATCATTTCTAACTCCACATGTCTTCTGGCCGCTTGTTCTCTCCGCGGCAGTCCATTGAATTGGACAAAAATGGCAGATTTAACCTGAGACCGGCCTCCACCAAAAGCCGCAGCGCGCTGCATGAACGAACTCCTTCGGATCTCAACCGGGATAATGGCGACAACCCTACAATCCGACTGGTCGGCTCCAACAACAGCCTCAAAAATGTTTACAACAAGAATCCGTTTCCGAACAAGCCCGCTCAGGTACTACAACCCACCAAGGCCACAAAGCATGGCTATACTATTCAGAACGACCAAGGAATCTCGAGTCTTAACGCCAAGGTACAAGATAAGCTAGATATTTCTGCTGGCCAAACAGGAAGGCTCTCGGCGCAATCTTCCAACAACAGACACTCTAAACGCTCCTCGAATTTCTCTCAATCAACGAGAACGTCTGCTGCAGACACGTATTATAATGACGATCAATTCTCCCCAACGAGCGGTCGATTCTCAATGGACGGAACTCTGCGAAATACGCCAACCCCTATCGCATCCGAAGAACGCGAGAAGGAAAGACTTAGAGAGGAGGCCCTGCCAGCTGTTGTAGAAACGAGTTTCGAAGCGTCTACCATACGTCCTGTGACAGCGTCATCATCGTCAGGTCCAGGCTCACGCGGCTCTGACGCCCCTAAGAACGAGGCGTCGAATCCTCAGGCTGGAAGATCTGTATCTCTGGCTACGACCAGCGCATCGGGATCATCAGGTCCAAATATCGAAGTCTACGATGTGAGCTCACCATCTCAGTATTCGAGCACGCCGCCGGAACACTCACGATCCAACTCGTACAACGTCATCCGTTATGCCAAATCTACTGAGAGCATGACATCAGTCCAATACGCCCAAGTCCGGCCACCTACGGCTCAATCGCAGTCTGCAAGCAGTGCCTGGTCATCTAGTGAGGCCGAAAATTTGCCACCACTTTCTGTCGCCAANAAGCGAACACATATGCATTCGGCATCGGCTGGTGCTGGTGTAGTGCGCATGTCGAACCTCTCCACTATTGCATCCGAGTCCGAGCCTTCCAGCCAGTCAATAACACGTGAACTAAGCAGTTCAACGGCTGACATCTTCACATCACCACCTGCGGTCCACCCCTCATCGCAGTCGGGCAATTGGTATGTTAGACGGCAAACCATCGGCTCCAGCTCATATTCGTCTATCATGACCGACAGCAACTATCAAACCTTGTCGACCGAGAGCTCTCGATGGGAATTGAACCGAGAGAATTCTGCAATACCAGAGCCTTTGTTTTCAAGCAGCCCTCGCGGAACACAACCGCTGAGTAGCCCAGTCATTACTCACCCGAGCTCATCAGGCATTCACGAACTTCCTGGCGAGTTCAAATCGGAGCAAGATGACACTATCGCCGAACTCCAAGCTCATCCGTTGCGTACACAAAGATCGGGTCTTGGGTCTCGCGGCAGATCAGCCTCTGACCCTCGCCCTGCATCCGCGCGCTCAACTCATACCCTGGCAACATCTTACAACCCCGATCGTGGATCTCAAGGTTCTTCCATATTCCCACAATGGGCTAAGTCTTTCTACCGTGGAAAGCTGCACTTCCCTCCTGGGAACGAGAGCTCTGTCAGTCTTGCTCTTTCAGATGGACAATTGCCTCCTCACAGCCAAGCCCCTCCAGCTATGCGCATGCTGCCGTGGGCTCAACACCGTCGCTGGGAGAGCGCCGGAAACAGCTTGATGAGCATGCAACAGTCGTCACAAGGAGGCACACCTCGTAGCACTTCTNNCCCAAATCTTCTCACTTTCTTCCAAGCATCTTCCGCCCCTACGGACGTCGACCGAATATGAACCGGAGTCAGTCTACCAACACTATGTCGTCTGTCACGCGGAGTAGTAGTCTGGCGGAATTGTATGTCGATGAGAGCCAGCTTGACTTCAGCGACCACGATAGCGCTAGCTCAACTACAAGTTCGACCNGACAGTATGGCGATTACAGCGATTCCTCGAGGCAGACACAGCTCTGCACCCACCTTCCAACCACCTCGTCGACAGCAAACGGTCAATTCTGGACGCGCAATACCCCGCGACCCGACATACAGCTCCTCAAACTACCCTCAATCTCTTGCCGCCAGCCACATGTACAACACGCCTCCTCATCTCGCACCTTCGCGTCGTCTCTCCCACCGTCTCTCCACCTGGCGCGCTCCCAGCTTTGATGAAGCACTCAACAGCCTGGTCTTCTCTCGCGGCAATCGCCAAATCCTCTTCTTCTGCCTTGGTTTCTTGTGTCCACTGTTCTGGATGGTCGCAGCATTCCTTCCGTTGCCACATAGACCTATGGAGACCACCATGACCAACCTCGAATCCTTGCAGGATATGCCTGAACTTGAAGGCGAGAAGAACCATTACCCTCTCGGTCTGCAAGTCGAGATGAGAAACTGGGACTTGGAGCGCAGATACCTCAAGGCTCGTTGGTGGAGAAACCTCAACCGCATCATGAGTTTCGTGGGAGTTGCACTCATTGGTGCCATCATCGCTCTCGCCATCGTCGCCTCCAAGTAGACGACTTGGCACAAACTCTGGTTATGATTTATGTTTTTATTTTTCTCTTTTCTCTTTTGTCTTTTCTTGCATATACCCCGGCGGTTCTCGCACCTACATATTTTTCATCGGTAGATCTTATAAGATCGATTCCTTAGCAGCATAGCTGAAGCAGCTGTACCGCTGCTTAAGGATGTACAAATCAAGTGCATTCCTACACATATCCAACCAACTTCCCATCCATCCTCTTTCAGAAAGACTGGATAATGTATATAGAAAACCTACATTACATAGATGAGCATCCTTTGCGATGAACAAAATCAAATCAAACTTACCACTCAAAAGAAGAAGAATCAAAAGACACGAGCCACAAGTGCAACAAGTGCCAGATGGCGATCAAATCGAACCAGAAACCCGGACTGCGAGGCCGTGGTCCAAGCGATATTAAACATGAAACCTAGGTGGGTGGGTGGGTACAATAGGTCCAAGCACATAAAACACCCTTCTGGAAGAGGTGGATGGTGCATGGAAGCCACTCTTGTTTCAAAACTTTCCAGAAGGCGTTCAAGAGGTATGTCGTTTCAAGTGACACTTCTTTACATGTTTCGAGGCTTCTCATCCCAGATGTCGTTTTAGTCACTGGGGGTCCTCGTATGACATTGGCTCGTTGCAAACTTTGCCGACAAATGCGTGTAAACCAACAGAAGAAGAGATGGAGATATGAGAAGAGAAGAAGAAGAAAGATGGTATCATAAAACTAATAAGCAAGAAACCCTCAAAAGTGCCAGACTCTATTGCAAGAAACGCCAATCGCTATGCTGAAAGAATTTCTATCTATTGACCCGTCCATCCTATCAAGCCAGTATGCACAACGACAGCACGGCAGCAACCGCAATAGCCACCGAAGAAACACTGCCGAGTACAGGGGCAGTGTTCAGGTAATACACTGCACCAAGGTAACTGCAAGTGACCTGTCCATCGTCACTTCTCTGGCCGTAATCGACTTCAAGCCCTCTACCCGGGTCAGGGCAACCAAACCCTAGAGCAGCTGGACAACTGCGCACCAGACTGTAGCACAAGTCTTCACAAGGAAGGACTTCCTTGTACGGACCAGGTTGAATCATATCGACGATAATGGTCGGGTTACGGGAGCTGTTGGAGGCCTGCACAGATGCGTAGGTTTGACGGAAGGCATCGCTGTCGCTGGGGGCAGAGGTCATGGGAATGTATTGTTGGTTCAGCTGACCTTGTATTTGTTGGAACATGTCTGAATTGGGCATGCTGCCGATCGAAGAGGAAGACGAGTTGATGGGGGACTGACCCATGTTGCGGGGCTGCAGCCAAGGCAGAGGAGAAGAAAAGTCCTCGCAGCGTGGCATGGTGACGGCACAGAGCCATTGCTTGTATGCATCGGCACAGTCGTCGCAATTCTTGGCAGGCGAGTATTGTGCTGACAAGGTTGTGTTGCAGGGAATCTGCTGTAGGGACTTGTTAAAGTTCTCGTACAGACCGGCGGCATATGAATCATAAACAGCGCTGAGAGAGGGCTGGTCAGGATACTTGTCGGGATTGCTGGGCACGGCGTAGGCAACATCGTGGCAGAAAGTCAAGTTGAAGACGAGAGCACAGTTGTTGTCGGCCTTGGTCTTGAAGTTGACGGGTTGCCAGACTTGGCCACCACCACCGACAACGCCACTGCCTGTCTTTGTTGAATTGCCTTCCATGGCTAGAACTCCGAAGTACGAGGTACTGCCGTTCAGATTCTGGATGTAGAACTGCTCTTTGGGTTTGTGACCCAAGCCACGGGTAATCATTCCCGACTGTACAGAGCTTGAAGCATTGTTAATGCTAGCATGGGTCATGCCACAGTAGCTATTCCTCATACCGTCAAGGCTTCGGTCGAGGGTAGGTTGGACGAAGACGGTGAAAGGCGAGGTGAGGTTCATCCATTGTTGGTAGACAAGATCGTCCGGGTTGGCTTCAGTCAAGTTGTTTGTGACAAGCAGAGCGGCGTGGGTGTCGGTATCTACTAGATAGAGGAAGGGTGAGTCGGGATGGGCGCCATGATAGTAGTTGTCAATAGAGGCGGCGATTTCGTAGTTCCAGATGCCGGAGAAATTTGCAGGCAATGCAGGAGCGTGGACTGACATGTAAATATCGGTTGTAGCGTTCATGGAGTAATTGGCAAAGCCCTCATTGAGGGTGATGGCGACTTGTCTATCCGCAGGAGCATTTGGGCCGGGCTCTTTGTTCGAGGTGGAATTGGAAACGAAAAGGGTGAGCTGAGGCGGTAGAATGGTCTGGTTTGTCGAGCCGTTCCACTGGGGTTGCAGACAGGTGGTCACGGAGATGTAAACCAGCCTGGTTGTTGGATTTTGGCGCTTGTAGATGGTGCCAGAGTCGCCCGTATCACCATCGTCGATGGCACTAGGAAGGCCAGGAGTCGAGTTTGCCTTGGGAGCCCAGAGCGACGAGTTGCTAAAGTGCCAGATGGTTGTGTTGCCGGCCTCAATGTTAAGCAGCCCCGGCACATTGCTTCCACCCAGCGTCACCACGTCTCCCACGGCTCTTTTCGTGTATTGTACATGTTCATATACATCTTCTGCATCGTCCAGCTCGTCTGTCGGGTCGAGAGCGTAATCATCCAGAACGAGTGGGGAGGTAGTGATCGGAGTTTCTATCTCAGAGGCATAGGCGAAGTGCGGGTTCCAGAGGAAGAGATAGATGGACAGGACAAGGAGCGATGCCGCCAGCGACACGGTGAAGCGACATTGTAGCGGACTCAGCTTGGGAAAGTGCATTGCATCGTAGCCTGCCTGGACAGACGCTTTCAACAATTCGTCCCCTCTTGCCCTTTCCACTGCCAAACACTCTTTGGACCCTTGCCAAGACTCGAACGTCGTAAGCATGTGAAAGTGCTTTGGCATAAGCTTCATCATTCCTCTAAGTACCTATCAACGAGTACACACTACCCATTAATCCTTTCTTGTTCTGTATCAACGTGACAGTCGTTGCTGTAATCTTACATCCAGTCCCTGTATATCGTCCCCTCCACAAGTTACTCCCGCCATGACCTCCCCGCTAAATGCTGAATGCCATGACCTTTGCACTTGACATATGCGCCGAACGCCTGAGAATGAATCGTCTCTTGTACAAAGTCCTCTTTACATCATACCCATCATTGGTGAACTGGCGTATGCCATGGGCTTGATGTCAGGGTGCTTGACTGCATCAAACTGCTTGAACTGCAGCTTGTAGTCATCCTCGATGTTGATGAAGGCTCCTCTGTTGCCTGTTGAGTCGCAGTAATTGGGTGCAGAGAAGATGGTGATGCACTTGCTGTCGTGTTCTTCCTCGTAACCGTCCATTCTGACCTCGTGACTGCGGATGATGGCCTCGAGTCCGTTCTTCTCGCAGAATCTCTTGGTAACATCGGGTCCGAACTGCAATCCCACTCCACGCTTGCTGGGTCCTCTTCCAGGTGCCGTCTGAGGATCTGTCCAGAGCATCTCCATCATCAATCCACTTTGTCCGGGTTGCTTCTGGTTGTGTCTGTTAAGCTTTCTCACATCGTCGAGTGTGATGTTGTCATCCGAAAAGAGGCCTCCGTGAAGAACAAAGTACTTGTCGCCGATCAGCGTGGCCAAAGGCAATGCGCTGAATGATTCCGAGAAGAGCTTGAAAGTGCGGTCGTTGTACTTGGCCTTGCATTCACCCTCGAAGCCATACATTCTGTTCATGTCGTCCGTCTCGTGGTTGCCACGGTTTAAGAACATGGACTTGGGGTACAACCACTTGTAAGCGTATAGTAGAAGGGCGATTTCGCAAGACCAGCTGCCTCTGTCGACAAAGTCTCCGTTGAACAGGTACGCGTGGTCGGCTGAGGGACGACCGTTCATTCTGAAGATCTCCATCAGGTCAAAGTATTGTCCTATCAGAGTTGTTAGCAACTGGCAAAGTAAACCAGATGAGCCTGAGGACGAACCGTGTGTGTCACCGCAAACAGTAATCTTCTTGCCCTGGTCGACGTGTGTCTCAACCATGGTAGGCTCGTTGTAGCAGATGTCCTTGACAGCCAGAACAATCTGGTAGACGTATTTCAGAGGCAGTTTCTTGCCGTTCTTGAAACGCTCAATCAAGTCTTCAACAAATTCCAGCGTCATTTCGTCTCCAAGCTTGACACCATCATAGTCAGATGGAATAGCCATGTTGGCCAAGTCGAGACCCTCGGCGGCTGAGGGAGCGTCAGGGGCCTCGATAGCCTTGAGGAAGGCATCACGCTTGATGACCTTCTGGCAAGCATCGTGTTGAGCGCGAGCAACCTTGTCCGAGGGCTGCTTCTTGACAACAATCTTCCAGTCGTGAATGGCGTCGGAATGTCTCAGGATGGCGGTGTTGGCGACGGCGCGACGGTAGTAGGCCTGATCGAGCGTCAGTAAGGGAGCACGTGGACAGGTCGAAAATGATAATTCGCACCTTGACAAAGTCAGGGTTCAGCTCGATAGCCTTAGTAGCGTCTGCAACAGCATATCCGTAGGCTTCGAGTCGAATGTGAGCCTGGGTTGATCAAGTTAGCGGGGCAGGACTAGAAGACAGAAAGTTGAATTGATGCGAACCTGGGCTCTGTTGGTGTAGAACGAAGGTTCCTTGTCGTACTTGTCAATAGCCTGGGAATAGAGGTCGATTGCTTTGGGCCAGTCCTTGTTCTTGAAAGCATCGTTGCCCTGGTTCTTGAGGGCAGTTGCCTCCTCCATGGTTATGGTGGGGGTATGTTATATAGAGTTGTGGTAAGAGATGGCGCGGGCGAAGCTGGGTTCCGATATATAGAGCGGATATGAAGCTGAGCAAGCAAGACCAGATGGATTAAAGATGCGAGGATCCAGAATGCGATGTGTAGAGAGTGGAAGATGGTGGAAATTCACTAACACAGCACAGACATTTCGATATGCCACTTTCTGCTGTTGCTTCTCGCCGCCGCCGCCGCCGCCGCCGCCGCCTCGGTCGAGAAAGCTTGGTCTTGCCATGTGGGGTGGAAGGTGGTAGTTTTAGCCGACTGGTCGTGAGCAACTCTTAGCGTGCTTTGGCTCTGGATCCGTCTGGCTTTGAGCATCATCATCTGTTCGACAAAGCAAACCACTCTCACTCTCAGCCTCTCACGCATCTGTCACGCTTCCATCTCTATCGTCTTCCGTCACATTCATCACAATGTCCAACTTTGTGCCGCCCTCACAACACCGCTCGCTGCGCGCCTGTATGGTCTGCAGCATTGTCCTTCCAGGTTCGCGCTTCCGCCGCGAGGGATGTCCCAACTGTGAAGAGTTCCTCGAGCTGTCCGGCCACGACGATGCCATCCAGGAATGTACCAGCCAGGTCTTTGAAGGTCTCATCACTCTTGCCGACCCTACTTCCAGCTGGGTAGCCAGGTGGCAGCGACTCGACAGCTATGTCCCTGGTATTTATGCCGTCAAGGTCACCGGCATTGTAAGCCCACTTCTTGCCCACGCACCGCTTCACTTGTACTGATTGTGTCGCACANNGCTGCCTGAAGAAATCATCTCTACCGTCGAAGCCGCCGGTGTCAAGTACATCCCGTGAGTACACTCTTCATCACGCCTCCACTACCGGACCCTGAGACTAACGCCTGACAGTCGCGACGGCACTAGCATCGACGACATGTAATCCGGAATTTATCATACACGAATTGTCTACGAAAAGAGCGACGGCGTTTTGAGGCTGGGAAAATGGTTAGGTACAGCGGGCACTGCCACAAGGATGTTGCATTTTGATACCCCAACACTCAGTGGAAATAAAGAGAGACTTCATTCATCATCAAATGGAAAACTTGGAATTCTCAACTAGGACACGACCCGCGCATCGCTCCACGCACGCCAACTAGCATGTTGACACTGATTACGACACAATCTCATAGCCACCCTGGACAGGTCCAACGATATCCTTTTGGTCGCATCTTCGATCGCGCAAACTCGCATTCGTCGATCGGTCCATCGTCGAACCCTTGGTAGCCATCTTCACTGTTCTCCTCTGTCAAGANCCTAGTCCGTGTCAGCACGAATGCACATAAAGCGACTATGCGGCATACCTCGAGCTCCTCTTTCAAGGATTCTCTCAAGATTGTCATGTCCATTCAAAGCTTCAATCTTGCCAGTGTTCGTGCTTCTCGATTTGCCGGATCGAGAGCGTGAATGGCCTTGTTGCAAGCTTCGATATAGTCATGCAATGCGGCGATGTCTTGTTCGCGAGAGCCTGTGAAGATGTATTCTTTGACCTTGGCTTTCTCCACCAATCGCTCTGGCTCATCATTGAACTCCTGATTGTGGCCTTCAGATGAAGAAGGTGATTGGTCACAGGTAGCCAGGTCCTTGATACGCACGAATTTCCAGCCTCCTAGCTCAATGTACTGGGGAGGGAGTGGCTTTCCCACGGCATCCGTGTGTTCACGTAACGTCTGTCTCTGCCAGAGTACATAACCATGCGGCGCTGGTGGAGGAGATTGCGTCGTGTTCATCACCACCANACTGTACCTGATCCGGAATGACGGTTTCGTTGCCGCTGATGCCAGAATATGAGAGAAAGATATCGTGGACAAGGGAAGCATTTAACTCATATCGAACAGTCGAGATTGGTGGACTTTACCCAGAGGAGAACACTGCATCACTTGAGGCCACATCTGAGGCCGCACCGAAGGACAAGAATCATGAAACAGAGCGTGTCAGATGGCTTGCACTTGGGCATACGTTTGAACACACCAGGGGCTGTGCTGTGTAGATGGTATTGTTCCATCGCCAAGTAACATTAAAGGCACAAGACTGGTCTATCTGTACCACCGAACATGCGGAACGCATCTAACCTTGATAGACCCTGCTACACAATTTGGCATGGACCAATGGTTTGAGTCTGAAGATTGCAAGTAGGTGTGGTTACTTGTAGACGGCAAACAATCAAGAAATTGAGAGGCGTGTTGCAATAGGTGTACGCCTCGAGCCTCATGATGTGCACAGGAAGAACGTGTTCTATTAATAAATGTAAAGGCTTCAATGTAGATTTTAGAGACAAGGCAATATGGTGTTTTTGGAGGCAGAGAACAAGACGTGTAGTAGACGCTACTGACTCCTGTTTGCTATTTTCGAAACAGGTCAGTAGACATGAAGAGTACAGATTGTGTCCAGGTGAGCTTGGTAACCGTCCGACACTCGGCTTGAAGGCACAACTTTGATACATGTCGGTCGTAGAAGAAAGTGGTGGTCAAACAAACGCCAAGAAGGAAAGACAAAGTCGGAAGCGGTGCGGCAAAAGCCGAGGATTGGATGCGGGAGTGAGAGATGGCGGACCAACGTCGCAAGCACCAGCTCCTGCAGACATCGCGCAATTGACGAACTCACTCGCTCGACCGCCGCTCATCATGAACTCCTTCCGTGTCGCCCGCGCCGCCCTGCGCGTCCGCCCTACCGCTTTCGCCGCTCCTCTTGCCCGTAGAGGCTACGCCGATGTCGCCTCGGACAAGATCCAGCTGTCTCTGTCTCTTCCTCACCAAGTACGCTCGCTCCGCTCTGCCCCGTCTACATACCTCGCCCAATCGACTGCTCGCTAGAAAGAGAATGGAAGATAACGGACCTGTGCTAACGTGTATACTCTTTANCAGGCTATCTACAAGTCGCAGGATGTGTACGAATCCCCACAAATTTCCCTGATATCGCCATCAGGCACGGACGAGCACAACTAACCTTCGGATCCCACAGTNGTCCAGGTCAACATTCCCGCCGAGACTGGTGACATGGGTGTCCTCGCCAGCCACGTTCCCTCCATTGAGCAGCTGAGACCCGGTCTCGTTGAGGTTATCGAGGAGTCCGCCGGCAGCAAGCAGTTCTTCCGTACGTTTACACCCTACACCTTGGATAAACCACAAGCACAGAACAGTTGCGAGAAGTTGGACACAGTATGGAAGTAAGAAAGTGGCTGATATCTGGAATCATANGTCTCTGGTGGTTTCGCTACCGTCCAGCCCGGCTCCAAGCTCAGCATCAACGCTGTTGAGGGGTTCCCTCTTGAGGACTTCAGCGCTGAGGTATGTATTTGCCAGAGAAACACAGCAGTTTGGGGGCTGACAAGAAACACANNGGCCGTCAGAAACCAGATCGCCGAGGCTCAGAAGATCGCAAGCGGCAGTGGTAGCGAGCAGGACATCGCCGAGGCCAAGATCGAGCTTGAGGTGAGAATTTTACAAACTCATATCATTGTAGTCAAAACTTACTGACCGAATGCAGGTTTTGGAGAGCCTCCAGGGTTTCCTGAAATAAGTGCACTAGCGGTTGTACTTAGGTCGCATCTCTAAAATGTATAGTAAATTCGTCTGCTTTGCCCGAGGCTTTGTTCAATTTGGGTTCATTGCGCCTTCCATATTTGATGATTTGTGAGCTTCGAGTGCCTGCTAGTCTTGTCACGGCCGACCATGTAGACCCGAACTTCGCTCCTGTTTCTGCTTTCCAACAACCATCCCTTCATCCATCACTTAATCCACAGTACAGCCTGACAGTTTCCTTATCGTATCTCTAGCACCTATTCTGCATCAATGGTCAATGCAAAGGCTTGGATGGCAGCCCTCATCTTCAAGCTCAAGCTCAAATCCGTGGCTCTCGCCGCCAAAATCAGACGGACCCCAAAGTCAACCCCAGCTCAAACTCCCGCTCCAGCTTCCCAGCACTAAGGCCACATCCACGGACCAGCGACGTCCAAATGCTCCGGACGTCGGATCTGCCCTTCGTCAGCCTGGTCGCGTTGCTGATCGAATTCGAGCAATCAACAGCCTTCAGCAGCTGCCGTCAAACGTCCCTAAGAAACCCATCCAGCCTGTTGCTCCTCTGAATCCACCAATCGCCTTGCATCCGGAAGACGATCTCAGACATGCTTCACCATTTCCTCGAAGAGATTCTGCCCAAAGTCCCATCCGACCTGAGACCCCCCTTTCACAGTCAAGACCTCATAGAAGCCCTCTGGTTCACTGCCCAATGCCAAAGCGCTACCAACCTCAACTATCAGCAAATATTGAGAAGAAAGCGATGCCAGTCGACACTCAACCAATGTGCTATCGACATGGTCGCAAGCTCAAGCTCAGAAAAAGCGTGCCGGCCGACATGGACAGAGCTTTCAGTGGTGCGTACATTCCTATTGGCCATCACATCAGACAACAAGTCGACCCTCTGAGTCCTTGGGCCGTTGGGACACGTCTTGCTAAGACCAGTGGAACTACAGTCTCTCCCGATATTTGTCCTGACTGCCTTGCCGAACAACACATCATAGAGCGTGAAACCGAGATGCATAAACAGAATTCCCGGACTCGGGCAGATCAGCCTCTCAGATCCGCAAGCAGCTCTATATTCACTGAGCGAGGGACGCCCCCGGAGCCCGACCAGCCGTCCAACGTCCTTGTGGGTACAACCATCGACAGCCAAACTGTTAAGGTACCTGGAGCCACTGTGTGTGAAATGCCTCCCGACAAGTTTGGCGGCATCGTGGCAACTGATCTCGGTGACATGATTGACGCCATCATCGTCGAACACAGCGGCAGTTTAGGCAAAGTCATCTCCAACATCCGTAATGGTATGCCAGATAGTGATTGGACTCAAAAGCTCTCGCGCGACCTTACTAAGGTTTCGGAAGCGGTAGCATCTCTGCCAGAGGATAACATCAAACACGCTCCTGCTTTCTCCCGAAACATCAACGGCCGACGCTCAATTATACTAGATGCTTCGCCTGACTCTCTCCGACAACGAGCAAAGACCATGCCTGAACTGCTTGACTTGGTTGATGCTGCAACGCAAGAGTTCAGCATGACAGCCTCAAACAGTCGAGAACAGAAATTCAACCTTGATCGCCCATTCATGCCAGGCGAGTTTCCTAAGAGTCCGTCCACTCTTTCATCTGCCATCGTCAACCCTGCTGTTGCTTTACCAGCTATGCCACCTCTCTCTTCTGCGCAATCGAACTTGTCTGTACCGTTGTCTACGTCACCCCAAGCAGCTAGATCGACAATCACATCTGAGCAATTAGTAGTGAATAATCAGTCCCCTCGGGCAGCGCCTATCAAAGCTTCAGCCACGATAACCGATCCTCGACCATTTGAGGCAGATGAAGATGAGGCGACCCTTGTGGAGACTGAAGTCTCGCTACCCAGCATGAATCTACCTTCGAAAGCCAATGAAGGCCAGAGCAACCCAGACGCAGCATCCACTACTCAGCAGCGGAGTCGAATTCCGAAGGCTACTACGATACCCTTGGTCAGGCCTCTGTATGCATTGTCCGACGCACTACGCTTCAATCAGGCTAGACCGAAGCCTAGCACGATAGCCAAGCAGCATCAACAGCAGCGGATATTTCAGCAGGGATGGTTGCGGGAGGCGGCTGTTGCTGAAAGAGCTGGAAGGCGGAGTCGAAGTAGGAGCAGAGGTGCAACTCATGTATGAGGATCACTAGTGATAGAACCAAATCTTCCTATGAACCAAGTAACTCATACCAGTGCACCAATTGTCCATATCTGCACTTTCAACGTTTGCATGACTCTCACGTTCACATGATCTACAACACCACTCTAAGCAGCATATGGAATTGTATGGAAGTTTGTGTAGATGCATCAAAGTCTACAATATCTTTATGTTGATTGTTGCTCTTCATATCGATCATATCTTTCTTACTTTTTATCCCTGAAAATCGTCATCCAATAATTATCCTCGATCCCACATATGTTCTTCAGTCACTGACTCTGCGCGAGTCGAAAGCGACACCCTTCTTCTCCACATCATCCCAGACAACCTGGTCTTCAGACATGCCCTCAGCACTTTCAGGAATGATAGTACCGTCAAGAGCCATCATATCCCTATCAGCCATCTCCTCAAACCTCAATCCCATCTCCTTGATAATCTTCTGATTCTTCGTAGGCCAAACACTGCAAACAGCCCAATAAACCACAAAACTAGTCGTGAAACTCAACAACCAGCCGATATGACCCATATTCAGAGCTGTAGTGCTGACATCTGCACCCAAACTGCCTACAAAGCCAGGGAAAGGTAAAGCAATACCGCAGAGATATGCGATTACGGCTTGAGGGTTCCAGCCGTGGAAATAGTAGTAGTGGGNGTTTTGTTTGCTGCCGTTGTAGCAGTGGGCGATGAAGAGGTTGCCCCGGGTTAGGCAGAAGTATTCGCAGACCATGATTGCGACGACAGAGGCCATGAAGAGACCGTAGCCAGCGAGGAAAGTNNGGGTGAAGACGGAGGCGGAGGCGAGGATTTTCCATGGGANCTAATGGGTGGTTTGTTAGTGAAAGGGTTCAGTGTACAATGGCAGAGGGATTGATCTCTTACCAATAGCGAAGCCCAAGCAAGTGACCAAGAACTGTCCACGAGGGATCGTAATGTAGCGAGGGAACAACATGCTAGAGTCCGATCCGAAAGGAATCATGTTGGCAGCAACGTTGGTTCCCAAAAGAGAGACGGCCCAGCATCCAGCAGTGAGGAAGACAGCAAAGCGAACGTCACTTCTCCAGTATCTGTTCATGATGGCGTCGAGAAGATCCCACTGGTTCCAGAGCGAAAGACCCCATGCATTGTTAATGGCAGCGGTAGACAAGATACCCAAACTGGCAGACAGAGTGACAGCAATAGGGTTGGTGATCATCTGCGACCACATGGCGCCAGATCTTGTCTTGGACCATCTTGCAATATCAGGCTGGTTGGTGATCAAAGTGGCGGTGTTTCCGAGACCAGCATTGACAGCGTTCATGAAGAACCATCCCCACTTTCCAGATGCGCTTACTCCAGCGGCTGCAGAGAGCTTGTCGGCTCCAAGTTCACCGTGCGTATTTGCCATACAGAAGATGAAGAGGCCCCACACAGCGGGAATCATGAGGCAGGTCTTGACATTGAAGAAAGTGCGCAGCTGGTAAGGACGCATTATAGCCAGAGGGAAGTGGGCCAGCCAGAAAAGGAAGAAGGCGAGCATGCCTGCAGAGGTGATTCCTTGAGACTTGGGGATGTGGTTAGGAATTTCGGTGTAGTAGTGCCCAAAGACGGCTCGCAACATATTTGCAACAAGCGAGGCACCTGAGAAGGCTTGCACACCGAACCAGACGCTATCACATCTTGGTTAGACATCCGAACTCTTGGAATGCCCACACGAAGAAACTTACACCGCGAGAATTGCTCTAGCACCCACGAAGTAGTAAGATCCCCACATGCCGAAGACGCTGCGTGCGACGATAGGATAACCAATGTGGTAGACCGAGGCACAGCGCGAGTTGAACAGCATGGCAATAGAACTGATGAACTGCGAGATGAAGATGGCAAGAATGGCCTGCCAGTAGTTGAGGCCGATACCAATCAAACTCGAACCGAGAGTCCAGTTACCAAACGACAGAGCAAAGTAGAAGACGACGTAGTTGTACCCTACACCTTGATTAGACATCCATATTCAGGAATGTCCAAAGGAGTACTTACAGCGCCACGTGCGCCTCTCGGGTGGTGTTGGATCAAGATCCTCGTTGGACCATGTCGGTCCTGATTCTTCATGCGAATGGCGGTCCAGTACGGTGTCTGGCACTAGAACCCATTGCTTGAAGTTGTCCCAGCTCTTGAAAGCATTGACAGCGTTCTTTTTCTTCTCCATGGCCGTAGCCTTTGCGGACTGGAAAGTCATGGTTGGGCGATTGCTGAAAAGAAGGTCCTGGGAGCGGGCGAGGATACAGGCGCGAGCCGTCCTTTATCTGCTGACCGTGCCTTATCTGATAGCGACAGAGATAGCGGCGACGAGACAGGAGGAGGGGAGAGAAGAAAGAGAAAAATCGAACCGCCAAAGAAACCAAACGACAGGGCTTTGGGCGGGTTTAGGGCGGGGTTTAGTCACAATTTAATAGTGATAAGGTACTGCTACAAAGTACGTGTACGTTTTACTTTTACCGCCGTCGATGGTTCGGTGCCATCCATGGTTGATGCTTTTTCGCCCCCATGTGCACGCAGCGTGAGGAGAAAACATGGCTACTCGGCCGACCTCCTTCTCAAAGCAGTTGGCGTTGAAACTGTCGCGTGCCCTCCTACTTTGGAAGGAGGAAGGATTGGCAGAAGGATGCAACATCGAAGGCAATTGAACGGGAGGCCAGCAAGTTGCCCTCTCTGTCTGCTTCAACACGTGCAGCACTCTCGAGGTCTGGACTGCCCGATTTCGCATCCAAAGGATTTGGGCACAGGCCGGCTCTTTCACCGGCCCAATTTTTTTTAATGTGCTATGACCTGCGGGGTGGATATCTGGGGGATCTGGTGTGGAAGGCTTCACACCTCCAAACGTCTTTCATTCCTTCACGGGCGTACAGCAAGAAAGACTTGAATCACAATGCGAGAGTACTCGAGTATGTCACGACGAGAAGTCTCTATCGAATGCTACAGTAGATCGTCTCGCTTCTGCTCAGATTCCATTAATACCTGATAAAACCGTGCCTGTCGTTGTTAGCTCTATCTCCAAGGCTCTCGGCAGCTTGGCCTAAATCTGAGCGCCACTATCGGTCAGGGTCACTCCGAGCACTTGGGCGTCGGTAACTGAGTGCTCCGCGATACCGAGGTAGGTAAGAGATGCGCAGAACAGCTTTTGGATATTACAAGAGCTCTAGAGTATCACGCACCCCAGATCTCAGTACACAATCATGTCCAAGAAGACCATTTTGATTACCGGCACAAACCCTGGCGGTATCGGCAACCAGCTCGCGCGCGAGTTTCACGCCAAAGGCCTTCGCGTATTTGCAACCGCCAGAAACACCGACAGCATCACCGACCTTGCCGATCTAGGCATCGAAACGCTGTCGCTCGAAGTCACCGACCCAGCAAGCATCAAAGCATTGAAAGAGGAGATCGCATCGCGCACAAATGGAAAGCTCGACTATCTTGTCAACAATGCTGGTCGCAACTACACTGTGCCTGCCACTGACATTGACTTTGAACAAGTCCAATTGACGTACGATGTCAATGTCTTTGGTGTTATGCGCATGTGTCAGGCATTCACACCGCTGCTAGTCGAAGCCAAGGGTACCATCGTCCAGATCGGTAGTCTGGCTGGTGTTATGCCGTACGTATTTGGCAGCGTGTACAACTCGACAAAGGCTGCTCTGCACTCCTACAGCAACACACTCAGAGTCGAGCTGGAACCTTTCGATGTCAAGGTCGTTACCGTCGTGACTGGTGGTGTCAAGAGCAGGATCGCCAGAAACGACTGGCAGTTGCCTCGAGACTCGATCTACCTCCCCATCGAGCCTGAATACTTGAGACGTACAAAGCACTCACAAGAAGTTGGTATGCCAACTGAGAAGTATGCAAAGTCTGTCGTCAGCCAGGTGCTCGGCGGCCGCCACAAGAGGCAGTTCTGGGAGGGTTCGTTCTCCTACATCGTCTGGTTCTTGAGCACCTTCATGCCAGCCAGAATCTTCGTAAGTTACATATGAGTGAAATCAGAACTCTTACTAATCCTTCTTGAAAGNGACTACCTCTTCTGGCGCAACTTTGGTATGTGGAAGCTCAGAGAGGCTCACACCAAGAAGCTCGCATAAGATATACCAGGAGAATGTGCCTAACGATGGAGAGCTGGACTTCCTGTCAGAACAGACAGAAGTCAACGATGTTTCAGTGTATACCTCAAGAATATGATCAAACTCATTACAATCGTTAAATGCTTCCTATAATCCCCGATGCCATATGTATGCAGTCCGTTCTACGTGAACCCGGCAGCAGTGGTCTTCTGACGATATTCTTCAAAGGTCGTCGCATGTCCGCCGCGGCTGTTCGCTCTTGCTCTGCGCTCAAAGTCACTTTCCATGGGCTCTTCACCGCGTTTGCGGTCTTCCCATTCTTCTTCCTCTCTAGCAATGAGAGAATGGAATCTCGTTTTGCCATCTCGAGTGAAGTAAAGTGCTGGCGAGTTCCTCTTTGCTACGTCCTCAGTTACGGCAATATGCTTAATATCTGAGCCAGGCGCTTCGAACATGCTGTCTCCGAGAAGCCTCTCCATTACAGTTCGGAGACCTCTAGCACCAGTGCCCATGCTGAAAGCAGTCTCTGCGATCGCGTGAAGGGCGGCGGTTGTGATTCTCAGCTCTATTGATGAAAGTCGGAAGAGCTGTTCGTATTGCTTCAATAACGAGTTTCGCGGCTCTGTCAAAACCTTGACCAAAGCATCCACGTCCAGCGCGGATAGTGCACAAGAGATCGGTATGCGGCCGACTAGCTCAGGTATCATGCCATACTTTTGCAGATCCTGCGGCCCAACGAGGTCCAAGACGTTGTATGTGGCCTTCTTGCTTTTCTGGGTAGGGTTGTATAAGTCCTCCTCGGAAGCTGGTGGCATGTAATAAGGGAGATGTTTACGAATCATTTCGTCGTCATCCGTGATGGTTGTTTCTTGGGCGCCACCATCTTGAGCTGTGCTTGAACGCACATTGGCACCAAACCCGATGCCTCCTTTTGCTACACGATCAAGAATCGTTTTGTGCAAACCACTGAATGCACCTGTGCATATGAATAGAATATTGCTTGTGTTCACATTAAAGACCTCGCTCTTGCCCGGTGCCTGGCCCATGCCTCCAGCAGCGCCACCACTACTCAGCGGGCTGTTTGTAGGTGAACTGTTCGGATAGTGGTTGTTGTTGCGATTTGTGTTGTTCCCTCTTTCTTGCTTGGCTTGTATTTGCAGAGTGGTGCCCTCGATAATCTTGAGCAGTGCCTGTTGCACGCCTTCTCCACCAACGTCTTTGCCATGCGACACCTTGGCTGTGGCAATTTTGTCGATCTCGTCGAGACAGATGATTCCGTGTTCGGCCTTTTCAACGTCGTAATTTGCGGCGGCTAAGAGGCGCTGTACACATACATCTGCGTCCTCGCCGATGTAGCCAGCTTGTGTAAACGGAGTACAATCGGACATGCTAAATGGTACGTCGAGCACGCGAGCCAGTGTTTTTGCCATGAGTGTTTTACCAACTCCTGATGGGCCAAGCAGCATGATGTTGGACTTCTCGATGGTCAGGGGAGATGAATCGTCGAGGGAAGGTGATGGAGGTGGAGAGGGTGGGACCCAAGCGTGTATCGTGGCGTGATGGCCGGGGAACTCATCTGTCTGCATGATTAACAGATGTTAAATGTGGCGTGGCGGGTGGTATCAACCTTCTACGGGATGTCTCGATCGCCTGGCCTGACGTTCGAGTATCTCTTGTGCTTCTTCATGCTGACGCTGAATCTCTTGTATTCTCTGATAGTGATTGTAGATGGTGGAGCTGAGGACCTTCTTCGCTCTCTCCTGGCCGACGACAAATTGGTCTAGATGCTTCTTGAGGGCGCGTGGAGTGATCTTTGGGGCACCGATGTTAGAGGCTTTCCGTAGGGGACCTTCGGTATCGCCTGGCTCGTAATAACCAGTGAAGCCTTGGCCAGAGAAACTGGAGCGGAAGTCGGAGGGGCTCGAATAGCTGGCCGCGGTTGAATGCAAGGTCCTTGTGCAGTGGTATGCTAGCCGTGCCTGGTAAGGACTAGAGCGGCTCGAAACAGCGAGCATAGTGGGAAGACAGAACCAACGAGATATGAGATGGGCAGGCCTACCTGAAGACTCGGCAAAGCACGACTACAGAGACCGACGATGTCTGATCGACCCGAAGTGGTGATGACTCGGGCATGCATCCAGCCCCGCATGGAGATAACGGATATGTAGGTGTAGCTAGGGCCAAGAGTTTTGATAGGTCGGTCGGATGGCTATCCGACGAACGCCCTGGTTACGTAGCCAGGTGGTTCCGGTTGGTGTCTCTCTCCACGACATGTCGAGCAAACGTTTGTCTGAGCAGCTCAAAATTCGGCGGAATGGCCGCTGGGACAGTCGATCATGTTGAAGCGCCAAACAAAGGTGATGGTGCGCAGTCTGGACCCCAGCGTGTTCGGATTGGATGCGAAAAGCCAAATGTTGAGCGGTGGATGCCAAAAGTCGGGCCGAAAGAGGCTAGTTCATGCGGGATAGCATCATAATCCTGGAGGGGACGTGGGAGCTGGAGAACTGCTGAGCTGGGGTGGAGAGCAGGATGAGCATCGCTGTGCTGCTGCATCAAAACCCTGGCAGCTTGCTCTCTGCTTCTGTTCCTTCCTGTATACATTTTTGGTTTTTCAATTCTTCGTCTGTCGCCAGGTAACCAATCATGGATCCTATCAACCAGACTTCCGACAACTCGATCGAAGGCAACCCAGCCAACAATGACATTCCCAGTGACGGCACTGGTATGTTGCACATCTTCTCTTAGCCACGCCAGCTACTGACCGCAAGCTTTACAGGCGTCATCAAGCTCGATCCCTATCTTGAGCCCTTCGCGGACGCGCTGAAAAGCAGATACTCCAAGGCACAGCAGTGGATGAAGACAATCGATCAGACTGAAGGTGGTCTCGACAAGTTCAGTCGAGTAGGCATATCTCTTGCTCCCTTTGCGACCATAGCAGCTGACGACTTGACCAGNGGCTACGAGACTCTAGGCTTCAACGTCAAGCCCAATGGCGACATAGTCTACCGCGAATGGGCTCAGAGTGCTTTGAGAGCCTACCTCATTGGCGANTTTCAGTAAGACCACAACATGCCAATGCTTGCTTCTCTAGCTAACAAGACGGTAGACAACTGGAACCGCGACTCGCACGAAATGAANAAGAACGAGTACGGCGTCTTCGAGATCACCCTGCCTGCCCAGAACGGCAAGCCTGCAATTCCTCACGACTCCAAGATCAAGGTCTCGTTCGTCGTACCCAACGATCACGCCAGACAAGAGCGCATTCCTGCTTGGATCACCAGAGTCACCCAAGATCTCAACGTCTCTCCCGTCTACGATGCCCGCTTCTGGAACCCTCCCAAGAACGAACGCTACACCTTCAAGCACCCCAAGCCTCCGAAGCCCAAGAGTGCCCGTATCTACGAAGCCCACGTGGGTATCTCATCGCCAGACCCAAAGGTTGCCACCTACAAAGAGTTCACACAAAACACATTACCCAGAATCCATCACCTGGGCTACAATGTCATCCAGCTCATGGCTATCATGGAACACGCATACTACGCCAGTTTCGGCTACCAAATCAACAGCTTCTTCGCTGCAAGCAGTCGCTACGGTCTCCCAGACGAGTTGAAGGAGCTCATTGACACCGCCCACAGCATGGGTATCACTGTCTTGTTGGATGTTGTTCACAGTCACGCTTCGAAGAATGTGCTTGATGGTTTGAACATGTTCGACGGAAGTGATCACCTTTACTTCCACGAGGGCGCAAAAGGCAGACATGAGCTTTGGGACAGCAGACTGTTCAATTATGGCCACCACGAGGTCCTGCGATTCCTGCTGAGTAACCTCCGCTTCTGGATGGAGGAATACAACTTTGACGGTTTCCGTTTCGACGGTGTGACCAGTATGCTCTACCACCACCATGGTATTGGAACCGGTTTCTCCGGTGGCTACCACGAGTACTTTGGCCCTGGAGTCGACGAGGACGGTGTCGTCTACCTCATGCTTGCCAACGAGATGCTGCATCAGCTCTACCCCGACTGTATCACCATTGCTGAAGATGTCTCAGGCATGCCTGCTCTCTGCTTGGCCCTTTCTCTTGGTGGTATCGGCTTCGACTACAGACTTGCCATGGCCATTCCTGACTTGTACATCAAGTGGCTGNNGAAGGAGAAGCAGGACATTGACTGGGACATGGGCAACCTCGCTTTCACCCTCACAAACAGAAGACATGGCGAGAAGACCATCGCATACGCAGAATCACACGACCAGGCTCTGGTCGGTGACAAGACCCTCCTGTTCTGGCTCTGCGACGCCGAAATGTACACCAACATGTCTACTCTCAGCGAGTTCACACCCGTCATCGAGCGCGGTATGGCTCTGCACAAGATGATCCGTCTCATTACTCACGGTCTGGGAGGTGAGGGATACCTCAACTTCGAAGGCAACGAGTTTGGACACCCTGAATGGCTCGACTTCCCCCGTGAGGGCAACGGCAACAGCTTCCACTACGCACGTCGTCAATTCAACCTCGTTGACGACAAGCTGCTTCGCTACCACTTCTTGAACGACTTCGACGGCAAGATGCAATGGACCGAGGAGAAGTACGGTTGGCTCCACTCGCCGCAAGCCTACATTTCTCTCAAGAACGAGAATGACAAGGTCATTGTCTTTGAACGAGCCGGCCTTCTCTGGATCTTCAACTTCCACCCTACAGAAAGCTTCACCGATTACCGCGTTGGTGTCGAGCAGGGAGGAACCTACCGTATCGTCCTGAACTCTGACAGCCCATCGTTCGGCGGCTTGGGACGTGTTGATGAGAGCACCCGCTTCTTCACCACCGACTTTTCTTGGAACGACAGAAAGAACTTCCTCCAGGTCTACATCCCCACCAGAACAGCCATTGTAAGTTATATACCTTCATCTCAACCCGAAAGACTGTTTGCTGACAACGTTTTGCAGGTTCTTGCACTCGAATCCACTTTGTAATTGGAAGCGTCTGCGTCTGATCTTGTTTGCTTTTCTATGATATCTACCTCACGGGCATGATGAGACGAGGAAACGACTCGACTTTATAGATTAAATCTTATTGACCCCCAGAAAAGAAAATCGCACAAAATGTACATTATCAATAACATGTTCTTGTCTAATACTGCCAATCGTGGTCATCCTTCTCCGTTAGACATCTCTCGTCCAGACCGCGGCAGACGGCAAGAGATGCAGATTGTTGAGTAGTGACGCTCGAGCCAACCTCATCAAAAAGCCGCTTTAGCTCATCTGGGAGAGCGCCAGACTGAAGTCAACTTCTGTCCATTCTTGCACACGCAAGAGTATTCTGGAGGCACTGTGTTCGATCCACAGAAGCGGCATTCTTCTTTTGATATTTCTTTTGGTTGCATGCTGAATATCCAAGAGCTGTTCAATGATGGCTACATTTTCTTTTGTTGTCGTTAGTGGCGAGGGACCGTGCTGAGAGGCTTCAATGACTTGAATGCTGGTGGTGTGACCCTGTTTCTGTCGCGAAAGTTTTATTACAATGGCGATTTGCCTCTGTATGGCGAGAAAGTCGGCAGTGAGGGTATCTTGAGTAGTTATTTGTTCGCTTGTATAAAGCGTCAGGTAATCATGGGGCTTTTTGGGATGTTGTGTCTCAAATTGGTAAGATTATGAGATGCAAAATTGAGATGGTACAATTATGCCTGGAAAACTGAGAACGAGACATCACATTAATAGAAGACAAGACAGCTAGAGGAATCATAATACACGGGAAGAGAAGCATTATGACAAAAAAAAAAAAGTCAGGATGAAAAAAAAGGGTTGGATTATGAGACAACCATCAAGGTCGTGACAGGTATATATGTAGAACAGGGGGGAGACGACAGGATACAAAAACAGCGACACTTGGACTTACCTCGCTTAATCAAGTTCAATGCAGATGGGGATGTGTCTAGAAGGGAGGGAAAACTGACCAACATCACGACGCACACGAGTCTTGTCTCTTGACAACGAAAAGCAGGCGTTCTTGGTAGTCAAGACGCGAGGGCCCTGATATTCAGCTTCAGCGGTCCAACGGTGGTGCATGGCTTTGAGTTCGTTACCGACATCAATCCATTGTGCCGCATACGCAGAATCAGTTCTGAATAAGACAGGCAAAGTGTCAGTAAGCCATTTTGAGAATTGGTGGTACCAAATGTCGATGAAGCTGGGGGCAAGGAAGTCGCTCAGACCTCCTCTACCTTGTTGTAGACGAGCGAGAGCTGAACGGCGACGCTCAGAGCGGATGAAAGCTGCAGATCGAACGTACGAGAGGGCCTTGCCGTGGTCATTCTTCGTCAATGATGGAGGATCAAAATCAGCAAGACCATTCGGCATAGGGGAGCGCTCATAGCCAAATCCGTGTGGCCAATCGTCCACATCCCATTGAAGGATTGATGAGATGCTCGAACATTGATCGAAGTGAAGACGGCCAGAGGCAAAGAGATCGCGTTTTGCACTCAAGTTTTCGATTCTGCGAGTGTGTACAGTCCTTACACGCAACAAATATTGGCAACCAGGAGGGAAGTGAGAGGACCAGGTCATGATAGCGCAGAATTTGGCCTCAGAATTTGTAGTATTGCCTGCATGTGTTTGAAGCAACAGATACTCATCAACAAGCTTGGGAGAAATGAAGGGAAACTCGGCAATCCACTTACCTAGGTAATCATCAAGGCGTTCGTTCTCAGTCTCGAGGAGTTCAATTTCATCTTTGAGCGCTTCGATGACAGCTTCGTCAGAGTCGCAGAACTGGTAGATGTTGGCAAGCATCATAAGTTTATACTCAACACCCACAAGACTGACTGCTTCAATGACTGGCTTGAAGAAATCAGGATTGAGAGTGTCAACAAGGATTTCGGGGTTGTTCTCAGCCCATTTGTTGAACTCTGCGAACCAGATGTCCTTATCGAGAAGAGATCTTCGAGGAATGGAAGACATTGTCTTTGTGATTGCTCTGATAAGGTCAGTAGCGTCTCTGTATTGTTAGTATCCGATGCTGTCCTGTTGTCCCAAGAACACTCTAGGTAGGTGCTCGCTTTATACACAAATCCAGGAGAAAACAATGCAATTGTGTCTTTGTCTGCTTGCTTTCATGTGAATTAGCAACAAAGACAATTGTATTCAGTCCTTCCCAACACAAAGAACGGGTATAATGCTCTTTGTTGAAAAGAACAGAGACAATCGGTCAAAGAGCAGACCGTGAGATTGTTGAGATTCCAGTATGGTCAGAGTTCTCGTGTTTGGAAGGTGGTATGCCTGCCGACATGGAGTCTATAGGTAGCACATTTTGCTGGACGAGACAGTATCTTGATAGCTTCCAGCAGCGTCGCTTGCCGTGACACGAACTTCATATCTTGAAACATGTGTTGCTCAAGGTAGGTTGTTCGCTGATGTATATCGATAGATCGCAAGCGTATGGGTAGAAAGGCACCATGCTGGCGTAGTGTTCTGTGTTTGGAAGAGGAATTTGGGCTGGACGCGACGAACGAAGCACGAATACGCGAGGAGAGTTCGAAGATTGTAGTGTTTAAGGATTTTGATGTTGACTGTCATTGGATGTTTGGAGACAGCAGGCTCGAGGCGTGTGAAGTTGTCAAGCCGTGGACAAGCGGAAGGTGCGAGTGAATGTGCCCATCTCAGGCAGGCGCATTGGAAAGTTGATAGACAGAAACACCGGTCTCGCAGCAGCACAGGAAGGAACAAATCGGGTGGGCTTCCCAAATAGGTATAGTCAGCCTCGATCTGGAGATGTGGGAGGACAGAAGTGCTGGCCACTCTCGAAGCAGAAATGAGCTGGCTGCGTGAACGAGGCAGTCACGGCCACAACTGCAAACGCACTAGATAGACAGAACCATAATGAAGCTGCATGAGTGAATGTAGAAGCTGCTGCATGCTTTGCCTAGTAGGAACAGGCGGGCGGTGAGGATTTAATGTTTATTAGCAGCGCACAGCTTCTGGCCAAGTTGCAAAGTCACGGAATCTCGAGCTCGGTCCTTTCCCGTCCGGCAAGAACTTGAGGTGGCTCTTCGAACTTCAACCTCCCAGCAGACCGACCTCCATCTCCATCACCTCTCCACTCCCATCAATTCCTTCCCGAGACCCGTCAAAATGCTCAGCAGGTACGCTCCAAGCTGTCGCCACCAACTTTTGCTACGACAACCCGGCTGACTCGACTGCGCTCCCCAGCGGCATTGCCAGGTCATTGAGGGCTTCTGCCCGTCGCCCTGCTACTCTGCAGCGCGCCTTCCAGCCCATCAAGCCTTCGTTCGCTCCCGCCTTGAGCCAGCGCTTCGCCAGCACTCAGTCCAACACCGATGGCAGAATTCACCAGGTCATTGGTGCCGTCGTCGACGGTATGAGAAAACCTTTTCCCCACGACGCCGAGCACAAGCGCCACTGCCGCCGCGCCCATTGTCGCCGACCGCACGTCGTAGTCGCCTCATGAACACCCATACTGATGCATACTTACNNAGTCAAGTTCGACGGTGAGCAGCTGCCTGCCATTCTCAACGCCGTCACCACCGAGAACGGTGGCCAGAAGCTCGTCCTCGAGGTCGCCGTAAGCTTCGCCGCACTGTCCCCCTAAAACATACATCATCTAACAAGCTCCAGNCAACATTTGGGTGAGAACGTCGTCCGCTGCATTGCCATGGACGGTACCGAGGGTCTCGTCCGTGGCCGCAAGGTCGTCGACACTGGTGCCCCCATCAAGATTCCCGTCGGTCCCGGCTGTCTCGGTCGCATCATGAACGTCACTGGTGACCCCATTGACGAGCGTGGTCCCATCAAGGCCAACAAGCTCGCCCCCATCCACGCCGAGGCCCCCGAGTTCGTTGACCAGTCCACCTCTGCCGAGATTCTTGTCACTGGTATCAAGGTCGTCGACCTTCTCGCCCCCTACGCCCGTGGTGGTAAGATTGGTCTTTTCGGTGGTGCCGGTGTCGGCAAGACTGTCTTCATTCAGGAGCTCATTGTGCGTTTTCCTGTCTCTCTTTATTTGCTCTTCAGTTGCTGACAATTGCCACAGAACAACATCGCCAAGGCTCACGGTGGTTACTCCGTCTTCACTGGTGTCGGTGAGCGTACTCGTGAGGGTAACGACTTGTACCACGAAATGCAGGAGACTGGTGTCATTCAGCTCGACGGCGAGTCCAAGGTCGCTCTCGTCTTCGGTCAGATGAACGAGCCCCCAGGTGCCCGTGCCCGTGTCGCCCTTACTGGTCTTACCATCGCCGAGTACTTCCGTGACGAGGAGGGTCAGGATGGTGAGTTTGCCTGGATTATCTGCTTTAATTCGAGCGTGGCTAACTTGCTCTCCNNAGTGCTTCTCTTCATTGACAACATTTTCCGTTTCACCCAGGCCGGTTCCGAGGTGTCTGCCCTTCTTGGTCGTATTCCCTCTGCCGTCGGTTACCAGCCCACCCTCGCCGTCGACATGGGTGGTATGCAAGAGCGTATTACCACCACCCAGAAGGGTTCCATTACCTCGGTCCAGGCTGTCTACGTCCCCGCTGATGACTTGACTGACCCTGCCCCCGCCACCACCTTCGCCCATTTGGACGCCACCACTGTCTTGTCCCGTGGTATCTCTGAGTTGGGTATCTACCCCGCTGTTGACCCTCTGGATTCCAAGTCTCGTATGCTCGACCCCCGTATCGTCGGTCAGGATCACTACGACACCGCCTCCAAGGTCCAGCAGATGCTCCAGGAGTACAAGTCGCTCCAGGACATCATCGCCATTCTTGGTATGGACGAGTTGTCTGAGGCTGACAAGCTTACCGTCGAGCGTGCCCGTAAGCTCCAGCGTTTCCTGTCGCAACCCTTCACCGTTGCCCAGGTCTTCACTGGTATCGAGGGTACCCTCGTCGACCTTAAGGACACCATCAAGTCCTTCAAGGCCATCATGAACGGCGAGGCCGATGACCTCCCCGAAGGTGCTTTCTACATGGTCGGTAACCTCGACAGTGCCCGTGCAAAGGGTGAGAAAATTCTCGCTGAATTGGAGGGCAAATAGACGTCTCGTAATGGAGAATAGGATGAGAGCTTCCTGGGCAATCAGCCATAGCCATACCCGCGACGAATATCAAAAGACATTTGTAAAAGGGAGGGTCGTCTTTTGGCGGGATTGAGGCGAATGGAGATGACCAAGAGCTTGTGTACTTTAAGAACTGAGAACTGCGATTTCCTCTGTGTCCACACATACTCTCAACCCAGCATTAGCGAAGTCAAATTGTTTTTCATGTTTCTACGACATTGTACAGTGATGCTCGAAAGCGACGTAGATCATTGCTGCTGTATTTAGCAAGGGCTTATCAGCTACAACAGATCTTCGAGTAAGTTGGAGGCTCTGTTACCATAGTGACCTATTACAGATCTGGGCTGCGCCGTGCACACATATGGTTCTGGAATCATGTTCGAATTGTTGGTCTGCATAATTGGGGTATCGTGTACATGGAAAGGAGGAAGGGAAGTGCAATGCTGAGACACATTCGTCCCGCAAGGTAATCGTTGATTATGTACTTGCAATGTACCTTGGTCGAAAGAAACTGTGCTTGTGACTGTGGGCTGAATCTTTTGGGTATGTGCTGGGGATGCTCAAATGGATATGGTGCTGGTGGATGATGCAAGTATGAAACTGGGGATGGTAAAAAACAGAAACGAAGAAAAACTTGTTGGAACAAAAGGAAAAAGATGAAAGAATCAAGGAAAGGGGTGCTCTTGATGGGTTCGTGTGGTCGTAGAGAGCAGCCTTCCTTCCTCACTGCTGCTCCTGCTTAACCTCAACCTTGACGTTGACTTTTCAGCCTCAGAAACTTCTTCGTCTTGCTGAGTCTCCTCCTCCTTGATTTTCTCGCTGTGCGATTCGACGTCAGAATCGATGACCACTGGCTTGGGCTTGGGACGAGGGTCTTTCTCAATAGCCTCCAGCTTCTTGACAATCTCGGTCATTTCGTTATCAGCGTGGGAAAGATAATCGCGAAGAGCTGCCTTGACAGCCGCAATGTCTCCATTGTCGTCTTCGCATTCGATCATGAGGCCGCCAAATTGATTGAAGACTTCATCGTAGATGTTGTTGCATTCCTTGTGCAGATCCTCAGAGAATGCTTTTGCGTGGTGTGCGATTGCGTTGGAAGCGTCATTCGCCATTACCATGAATGGAGATTTATGGTCTTCCTGGCTGACAAAGTCCTCGAGCATAGTCATCACCTTGTTCAGGGAGCCCTTGCCTGATATTAGTTAGCATCGTTGCCACAATAAATGTAAGACAAAACCACTTGCCATGGATCTCGGCGGCTTGTGTGTAGGTGGATTTCATCGCTTGAGCGAAGTAACCAGTGTCATTATCCTTCTCTGTGAGTTGCTTGACGTTTCTNNGTAATTTGTGAGAGGTATCCTCCGAGAATAAGTACTTTGGAACATACCTGAGTTCCTTGTCCATGTTAGTGCAACATTTCGTGACTGCACTCGCAACGCCATGCTTTTGGGCATCCATGAAATCCTTGAACTGGCCCACAGGGATATTGTAGAGTGCCATTATCTCTGTNNAAAATCAGTGTTAGTAGGATACAGATAGCTGAAGATGATCGCCTGTACCTGTCAGATCGCGGAGGAGAGTATCCAGGTTCTCCTTGAACTTCGCCTCTACAGCCATGATGTGATCATTTTGTTGCGAGAACAACTCATCCCATCCAGGCCTCATGTGACGTACAGCTGGCCGTCTCAGTTTGGAGTTCCATTCGACAAACCCAACTGATCCAGAGTTGAAGGTGCCGTCTCGTCTTACGAAAGCCTTGATGGTGGCGTAATACCAGTCACGAACTGTGCTATGCAGAAAATCATGGCCTTTCTGAGTGATCTCAGNGAGGGCATCTTGAACTGTAAAAACCAGAGATTTTTCAGCGTCCTTCTTGATAGCAGCGAGATAGAGTTCTATAGCCTGATCGATGCCCTATGCAAATATCAGTAAATGAGTCAATTCGATCACTTTTTTAATACTCGCCTTTGTGCTCTTCTCTTTGATGCTCGACAGCTTATCTCCATCGTCTACGCTGGTTCTGGCGGCCCAAATTGTAAGNNGGGATTTCATGAAAGCGACGATAGTGTGCCGAATGTGGGCTATGAAGGTTGACCACATGTCTTGCGCAGGAATGGAAAGCGCATACCTGCGGAGGTCGAGTATGCCGGTCACCTCGGGGGTCAACTGCCCCACAGCATCACTGCCTGGGTCTTTGAAGCCCTTGAGCCACATGTAGTGCTGGTTTGACACAAAGAAGACGCGGCCAGTCTTACCATCCTGAAGATATTCTGACTTTTCATGGTAAAGCCTTTGTGCAATATCGTCATTTCTGGTACGAATCATGAACTGCAGACGATCATTCAGGCGTTTCTCGTATCTTCGTCGGCAGATCTCGACCTCCCTGTTGCGCGTCTCGATCGTGGATGGCTTTCTAGCTGATCTCAACAACACCTTGGCCCTGGCGAAATTCTCCTTTGCAATTTTGTAGGCCTTGTCGATCCGTTCCAGTTCATTTGCTGCATCCTGGTACTCTTGCATGAAAGTGTTGCTACTCATGCGGTCGTCGATCCTTGTGCAGATTATGGCGAGACGACCTGCGAATCGCTCGCCAAATTCGAAAAGAATGGAGTCGAGACTTGTGTCGGATACACATCGTGCAATAGGAGCCACGATCCATAGATGATCGCTGGAGCGGATGTAGTTTTTACTCGCATTGACACGCACGCGACTGATGTCAGATATGCNCTACAGTTGTTAGTAACCTGTAGTAGTTGCAAACAAACACCACTACGTACCTGGACAATCTGCGAGAATCAGGTGCTTCAACACTCGAGCGTGGGAACCAATGCTACANNAATATCAGTACTGGTTGATCAAGGAAAGGAGCATCTCAACAACTTACCTGACCTTGAACACAATTGGCCAGAGGCATGGTTCTTTACTTGATGAGCTGCTGGACGACAGGAACGGACTCAGAGTTTTGTTGAGCTGGAAGGCTCCATCGTCCTCCATCATTACCGACTGCAGAGAGGAGGCATGTGCAGCAACGAGTTCATCGCACCAAGCTTCGAGTTGTGCAATGATCACAGTTCCGGTATCGTTCTCATGAGCGTCGCGCATGTATGACTCTAGCTCTGTACGGTTGTTGAATGGAGCTTTGCCACGAAAAAGGTCCAGAAATGTGCTTTCCGCAGTCTGGGCTTTGGCTCGGTACTCCTTAACTTCTTCAAACGTCCAGTCTGGGTCCTTCTTGAAATGGAAGTATAAATACTCCGTGAAATGATCTTGCAGAAGCTTGCATCTCTGTGTGGAATTGAGGAACTCGACTTTCGCAGCAAAATTCTTCGTTTGTTCAGGGAATGGACTCATGAACTCGGTTATGACACATGTACAAGCTCTGCCATAGTTACNCCTTGGGAGCTGTATTAGTATATAGATTTCGATGGGGAAGAGGGGCCTTGGTACCTCTTTGGCAATGTGCGGTATATCCAGGACTGAGTTGATCAAAGAGCTTTTGCCTGANNAGCATGATCAGTACAACCACAACACCCGAACATGAAATGACATACCTGAGCCAGCATCTCCCATAAGAGCAACAACTGTTTTCTTCGGCTCCGGGAATGTTTGACAGGCAACTGCTTCTGCGTGTAACTTAGCCATGTCACCGCCCCTTGCTGCGAGTTTNNTGGAGAGATGTTCAGCGAGGTCGACAGCGAACTCTGTGATGCGGGCTTGGTGTTGCTTGACGTCTTCATGGTACACTGCGCATGAAGGAAACTCTTCCCGGTCTTCTGACCAAAGAACAGTGCCCTGCTTGGGCTCCTCATCAACCATCTCTGTGTCTTCGTCGTCATCGCTGTTCAATTTGACGTAAACGAGTTCGTCCTCATCAGACATCTCATCGTCGTAGGTCTTGATAGAGGCCTGGGGCTCATCCTGATCGTCGGAGATGTCGAGTATCTCAGGGCGTTTGCGGTAGTTGGGTCCTATGTGTTGTTTTTTGTTTCCTTGGGTCTCACCTTCTTCGCACTCTTCTGGGAGCTCTCGCTTTCGCTTAGCCGCCATGTCCGGCAAGGCGTCTCGAACTTCGGGAGATGTCAATCTTGATGCCATAGTCAAAGATGAGAATTCATGCGACTGATGAGTGGCTGGAAGAAGTGCGAAAGGGTGAGAGTGTGGCTTTTGTGTAGGAAGTGTGGTAATGGTAAGTGAGAATTTCACTAAAATGAGGTTCGTGGAGTGAAGGAGAAATAACGAGGTGGCCAAAACTTTTGGTAGCAGGAAGAGATTGAATGAATGAGCTCGATAGTGAAGCGTAAGTAAGACAAATTCAGGAGATGCTCTCGACTATTGGAGATGTCCACCTAGCTTGATGATGTATAAGAAGAGGTCAGGAAGGGCAAGTAGCTTTTATGGAGAGTTCTAAAGCGGAGTTCTGCAGGCGGTGTGTTGAGTGATAGAAGAGGCACTGTTGAGACTGCACCGAAGCGACTGAAGCAATCGAGTGAAGTGATGATTGGCTGTGACTGAAGCCATGTCTCTCACGGAGCGCAGAATTTTAGACATACGACGGAGCGTGATGCACAGTGAACAGTTGTGGACATTACGGAAGACTCTGGGATCCCAGACTTCACCTGCGTGAGACTTAAAATATTTGTGATGCTAGTCAAGAGTAGAGGTTGAGTGCCTCAGGCGCGGAGGAGCCGCAGGAGGGAAGTGACGAAGCCAAGACTCGCGGCTCTCGCGATGACCTCCTAACAGGAAACCAAACACTTTATTATTCCCGACTCAACCCAACCTAAGGGACGATCTAAATAGATCTGAGGGCTTCCTAGCCAAGCGACCCGGAATTGGCAGCAATCATGTTTTGCCTACGGACATGGCTTCCAGTCCTCTTCTTCATGTCAGTCCTGTCGAGAGCCGTAGCGGAGATCATGTTGCTGACCAAAACAACAGTNTCGAATGTACCGCCGCTTTACCTGCTTCTCTTCATCTCGGCCATGTACTATCTGAATCGACCATGCGTCTACTGCTCGCTGCTTCTGACCGTTCTCGTCATTTCTGTCTACGACTTCCATAACAATTGGTTCGAGCCGCAACCCGACTCGTCAACCTCGGCGCATACCGGAAACTCCACAACGACCACTCTTGGAGACAACATCGCAGTAGCCTCGTCGGTCGTCCAATCGGCAGCAGCATCCATCGCGCAGTCTGTCGTCGACGGTTTCTCAAAGAAGACAGGACTCGATGTACAGCCGCAGATCAGCGTGGCGGAATGGTTGAAAGACATGTTTGGAAAGAAAGAGTGGCGCATACCATGCATCGACGTTGCCGTAAGGCTCTAGAAGATTGAAGCACAACCATCAAATGAATACCCTGGAGGCATAATGACATGAGAGAAGCATTTTGGGCGTTGGGTCACACGACAGCACAAGACTTTGGGACTAGGGAATATTGCATATTTGAGTTCAACACGGCTGTCGCCTTGTACAGTAATGAAGGAGGATTTGATCAGACCAACAAGTCGCAGCCAAAACTTTCGGCTTTGGTCTGCGTATATGGCAGTCGCAAAGGGAGGGCAAGCTTCTGTCGTAACCATTCGTAAGGAGGACTCGTATCCATAAGATAACGCTCTTTTGCCAGCAAACGAACCATGGCCAAACTACCTAATTTCGAAGCGTCCATCTGTGAATAGCACTTGTCTTGAGCTTAATAAAGCAATCGGCGAAAAGAGCCGACTCTCGTCTGCACTCGCCGAAGCGGCTGAGGAGCAATCCCCGCGCAGAACTCACCAGCTCTTGCACTGTTCATTGTGAGAGACGAACCATTACTCGAGTGTTTTCTTAGTTGTCAGTGCGATGCAAAAGTCGTCGCTGGTCCGGCGAGGGATCCACAATGTGCTGCAGGGCAAGCGCGGGGAGGGCAGTCTCAAACGAGCTCCCGAGCGCGCTCCTTCCTCGTTTGTACTCGTGCAATACCATACGCCACTCACGCCCTATCAGACGCCCTGGAAGCGACCCCAAATTAAACTGCTTTGTGCCCTTGCAGCCGTCTTTCATTCCTCCCTCACTCGGTACAAAACCTCTCTCTAGACATTGTTCAAGCTCTGCTTCAAGCACCTTGTTGAAAATCATGGCCGACAGAGACGTTCTTCCCGACGTGTATGTCCTCCGACCTATGCTTCATGCTACTGACCGATTGACTAACATTGGTGCTTTACAGNNGGTCAAGCCATCCAACTATGCCATCTCCCTGTTCGATCTCGAGCTCGGCGGTAGCTGGACCTACCAGGGCAAGGTCGACATTGACGTCGAGGTCAAGCAGGAGACCAAGGAAATCACTTTGAACACCCACCAGCTCAAGGTCCAGAGCGCTCAGGTTTCGACCGAACAAGGAAAGACTGAGGGTGCCATCAAGGCTTCTAACATCACCTACGATGAGAAGAACCAGAGAGCTACCTTCCACTTCGACCAGCCCGTGCCTCAATCGCACAAGGCCGTCATCTCGGTCAAGTTCAGCGGTATCATGAACAACGATGTCGGTGTCGCCATTGAACCCAACAAGAGCCAATGCTAACATACCTGTCGTCTTAGNATGGCTGGATTCTATCGTTCCAAGTACAAGCCCACCATTCCTGCCGCCGCATCTGTCCCTAGAGACTCTGAATACCACTACATGCTGTCCACCCAATTCGAGTCTTGCGACGCTCGCAGAGCTTTCCCCTGTTTCGATGAGCCAAACCTCAAGGCTACTTTCGACTTCGAGATTGAGATCCCTGAGGACCAGACTGCTCTATCCAACATGCCTGAGAAGGAAGTCAAGAAGGGCAACAAGTCCGGCACAAAGGTTGTTTCCTTCGACCGCACTCCTATCATGAGCACCTACCTTCTGGCTTGGGCTTTCGGTGACTTTGAATACATCGAGGACTTCACCAGACGCAAGTACAATGGCAAGAATCTCCCCGTCAGAGTCTACACCACTAGAGGCCTCAAGGAACAGGGCAAGCTGGCTTTGGAGAGTGCTCACCAGGTTGTCGACTACTTCTCCGAGATCTTCCGTATCGAGTACCCTCTTCCCAAGGTCGACCTTTTGGCTGTTCACGAATTCGTATGTTGCCTGATTCTTCTGATACGTAGCGCAAATTATGCTGACCAGATTCTGCTANNGTCACACGGTGCCATGGAGAACTGGGGGTTGATCACATACAGGTTAGTTGATATGAATAAACTTGCATACGTACATCTGACGAATGTCNNTAGAACTACCGCCGTTCTTTTCGATGAGTATGCCTCTGACCAGAAGTACAAGAACCGCATTGTCTACGTTGTTGCTCACGAACTTGCCCATCAATGGTTCGGAAACCTCGTCACCATGGACTGGTGGTCAGAACTCTGGTTGAACGAGGGTTTCGCTACCTGGGTTGGCTGGTTAGCTGTGGACCACCTTCACCCGGATTGGTCAGTCTGGTCTCAATTCGTCACTGAGTCTATGCAAACTGCATTCAACCTGGACTCTCTGAGAACTTCTCACCCCATTGAGGTCCCTGTCAGGAATGCACTGGAAGTCGATCAAATCTTCGACTCTATCAGTTATCTCAAGGGAAGTTCGGTCATTCGCATGTTGGCTTCCCACTTGGGTGTCGAAACATTCTTGCACGGTGTTGGAGACTACCTTCAGGCCCACAAGTACCAGAACGCTACCACTAGCGATCTATGGTCTGCTCTCAGCAAGGCTAGTGGAAAGGACGTCAACACTTTCATGGACCCCTGGATTCGTAAGATTGGTTTCCCTGTTGTCACTGTAGCAGAAGAGCCTGGTCAAATCAGTATCAAGCAGTCTCGCTTCCTTAGTGGCGGAGACGTCAAGCCCGAAGAAGACGAGACCACCTGGTGGATCCCTCTTGGTCTCAAGTCTGGCTCCAACACAGCCGAAGTCAAGAGCGGCTCTCTCACTTCTAAGGAGGACACTATCCGTGACGTCGATGACAGCTTCTACAAGCTCAACTCCGAACAGACTGGCTTCTACCGCACAAACCTGCCTCCTAAGAGACTTACACAACTTTCGACTCAGCTTGATAAGCTTTCTCCTCAAGACAAGATTGGCCTGATCGGTGATGCTGCAGCTCTTGCCATCTCAGGCGATGCAACCACTGCCGGCGTCCTTTCTTTCCTCGAGGGCTTCACGAAGGAGACCAACTACCTTGTCTGGTCCGAGGTTCTTTCAAGTCTCGGAAACATTAGATCTGTCTTCGCCGACGACGAGCAGGTCTCTGAGGGTCTTCGCCAGTACACTCTGCGTTTGGTCAGCGAAGCTACTGACAAGATCGGCTGGGACTTCGCTCCCCACGACGATTACCTGACTGGTCAGCTTCGTGCTCTTCTGCTCGCTTCTGCTGGTTTGGCAGGACACGAGGCTACTGTTGCAGAGGCCAAGAAGCGTTTCGCCGCTTTCACTGAGGGTGGTGATAAGAAGGCTATTCATCCCAGTTTGCGCACAGCTACCTTCAAGATTGCCGTCAAGGAAGGTGGTAAGCCTGCATACGATGCCGTCATGAAGGAATACCTTAACACAACCTCTGTCGATGGCAAGGAGATTGCTCTTCAAGCACTCGGCAGAGTCCAATCGACTGAGCTGGCTAGAGAGTACCTCAAATGGTCTTTCAGCGGCGCTGTTGCCACTCAAGATCTGCACACCCCTTCCAGAGCATTGGCTCTCAACTCAAAGACCAAGCTCGAAGTCTGGCACTTTGTGAAGGAGAACTGGAGCATGCTGAGAGAGCGCCTTGGCAACAACATGGTCGTCCTGGAGAGATACCTCCGCATGAGCCTTAACAGATTCTCGAGCTTCGAGGTTGAGAAGGATATCGCCGACTTCTTCAAGAACAAGGACAATGCTGGCTACGATCGTGGTCTTGCTGTTGTCAGCGACACGATCAAGGGCAGAGCCAGATACGCACAGCACGATCTTGAGATTGTTAGAGAGTGGCTGTCGGCTCACGGTTACATGAAGTAGAGTGGCTTAGTACACACCACGAAAATGACACTATACGATACAAATGATGTGCGTAGCTCAATCAATGCAAGTCAAATTCACAACAGTTCCCTGCTCCCCGTTTGTAAAGTATGTTAACGCGTATAGCCATGCAAATGCACAATAGTAATAGGAAACAAGATAGTATCCACTGAGAGGCAACAAATTGTCAACTCTCTATGGACATGCCTCTACTTCTCAAAGCGATTATGACTTTTATAGTTCCATATCTTGCTATTAGTCATAATCGGAGGACGGTGGAAGTTAGAAACTTTAGTACACAGGGGGAGACCACGCTTTTGAGAACAAAAGAATAATCAAATTTATGGAAACTACAACAATTTTTATGGTACAAGATGCGGTACAAGAGAGGAAAAGAGTAGAAATGCTAGATGCTGAATGGCAAATGCTGATCTGTGCAGACTTTGCCTGTCCGGTCCAAACGACATTTTGTCTTCTCTTGGAAGCCTCAGAGCCAGGAGGTGTACGGTAAAGTGGTGTCGTCCATCACAGATGGACCTATGGTGAACAAAATAGGAAGAGAGCCTTGGAAGCGTTGCGCACCAGACGCTTTATGATCACTGTCTTTTAAACTCTTTCCGAGTCGGCAGCGTGACCACTTGGGCCAGAAGAAGTGTCTGGATGGATTGATCAGCATTTGAATAATTAGATACAAGATAGAACTCACANGTCACAAGTGACAAAGCAACGATCGACCTCTGTCAAGCCCTCGCAGGTGTACTGGATAGTCTCTGCAATGTCGTGGGTGCTGTGCAACTTAGCCTGGTCGCTGAGGAGGATATCGATCTCGACCCAGATACCGTCGCCGGCGTGGTAACTGGTGATGCTCTTGAAGCCATCGACAACAGGCGAGAAACGGTAGCAAAGATACAGCAATTTCTTCTGCAGCTGCTCGTCGGCTGCTTGGCCGGAAAGTCTGGTAACGTTTTCGAAGCAGGTACCTGCCCAATCGTAGATAATGAAAAGTGATAGGACACCGGCACCTGCGGGGTCCAGCCACCACAGGTTTGCCTTGTAGCCGATGAAAGGGAACAGGAGGGAGAGAGTGTTGAAGACGACGTCAGTCTTGCAGTCTTGAGCCAGAGCTTGCACTTGGGTGGTCTTGATACGGACACATCCCAGACCGATGATACCCTTGACAATGATGGTGGCCAGCATGGCGCCGATAGCGATAGCAGGCAACTCCTTGGCCTTGTGGGGCGCATCAGGCATGAGCTTTTGTACCGACTCTTGCAGAATCTGGAGGAAGGAGATGACCATGATGATAGAGAAAACGAGAATACCGAGGGGTTCAAGACGACGACGGCCGACAGGGAAACGCTTTCGAAGTGCTTTGAGGCGCCATTGTACGAGTTTGTTGGTGCTCCAGACAATAAGAGTACATAACAAGTCTAGAGCCGAGTCGACGAGTGAGGCGATCAGAGAGAGGGAGGACGAGTAGAAAGCAGCGGCAAGCTTAGCGATCAGGAGCAGGATGTTGGCAATGACATTTATGTTGATAGCCCACTTGGCCTTCTTCTCTGCCTTTTGTCTGTGCTCCTTGACATCGTCGGGGAGGAACTCCCAGATGGCGCCATCGGCATCTTGCAGACCTCCATGGCGTTCGTTCTGGCCATCACCGTCTGCGTCTGGGTTCATACTGTCTAGAACGTCATCAGCCAATGCCTTGACCAGAGCATCGACTTCAGCCCAGTCATCAAGACGATTGTTCTGGTCTTGGTAGAACTNTTTGACTTTCTTGTCCTTGATCTCCTTGAGCTCATCTTCGGATTTTCTGAACCTCTCAATGTCTACACTCTCGACACCGTCCAAGATCTTTTTCTTGAGGTCCTCTCTTCTTTGGTCATGCAGAGCGGTACGGGCAGCATCTCTGAATCTGAACATGTTCGGTTTCTTTCTGCCATTCAGACCACTTTCGACATCTGGCTGGTCTGGACGGCCATTGCCATTGCTCTTGCTTCTCTTGACGCCGAACGAGGCAACATTTCTAGTGCCGACCATATTCTGCTACAGAGACCCAGTGATTTGTTCCTGGCTATATGTAGGACGAAGAGCGAGTGTCGGGTTGTTTATTTGGCGATCTCGAGAATGACGTCGGGCCAAGGCGATCGATGGTGAGATGGAATCTGGGGATGCGATGATCTGGGGGTGCCGAGTTTCTCGTCGTACGGACTTGTTCGCCTTTGTATTGCCAGGGTCGGAGAGGCTTGTGAACAGACTTGGGAGGCTTGCACTGTGTATATAAACAGACTTGTTCCTGAGAGTTGGTCAAGGAGCGTGCGAGCTCCACCGACGAGTCCAAAACCGGTTCCATCACATCACATCCCACATGTCCCGGTTTGGCAACATGACGTCTCCTGCTATTTGAATCGGCGACGGGCGGACCACCGCTGCCCTGCTGGATCATGACGACGACGATGATGTTCCGCGCTTTGAAGCCAACGCCATTAGATATAGCCTCCGAGGAGCCTGTATATGCACGTATGTGTTGCAGGAACTTCAGAATCAAAAACCATGACCAGCGTGTATTCGGCAAACAGCCCTGTGAGCTTTGACGAGCTGCTCGCTCACCTCAAAACTCTACCCGTACCACTGCTTCCGCCAGCAAAAGCTCTCGATCCAACTTTGACCGACAAGATCGCATCTTTGTATGTGCACCCAGCGCTCGAGGCTCTGTTACATCTTCTCAACCATGATCTGCCTTCAGCCCACTTCCTGGTGCGACACATGCAGTCCGATCCCGCATTTGAAGCCATGTACCTACACGGTATCCTCCATCGTATAGAAGGAGACTTCAACAACACCAGAGCCTGGTACTACGATGTCTCTAGTTCCGAGCCTTTCGAACTGGTATGGGGAAAAGCCACAGACGACGAAAAGGCCGAGGTCGAAAAGAAAAAGGATCAAGGTGAAACCAAGATGCCTCCTCAAAAATCTGCTCGAGACTTTGTAGACAGCCTAGAAAAGCTGTCAAAAGGTCAAGGAGACAAGGAAGCGCTTGCGAAAGAGAGCAGGAGGGAATTCGACGCTGTTCTCGATTGGTGCATCAAGAAGTTTGGAACTGGAAAGCACACTGATGCTTCGAAAGCTTGGGTGCAACCGAGTCAGGAGATCAGTCAGAAGGGTCAAGACATGGTCACTGGCAATGATGGCTTCAGGAAATTTTAGACGTGTTTGAGCTAGTCCATTCAATCCACAGTAGTACGACGTAGCCTAATCAGAATGACCCATTACACTACAAAACATCTCAACTCAAGCCCCCAAGAGACTACGGGAACAATGGTCCTTCTGGAAAGAGCGATTGTGTTGGTATGCCATATCCTCAAGTCGTATCTGGAGCGAACACAGCAAAGGTTGGATGACTAGTATATCAAGACATCTGCTGATGGTAAACGTAAGTTCACCAAATGAGAAATATCGATGCGCAAAAGGCATGTTTCGGATTTCGTTTTCATTTGGCGTCTAGAAGAGAGAGCTCATGATCCCTTCTTCCTCTTTAGAGTGCGGCAAACTTCCCGCACTCATACTGCCAGAGACTCCTTCCCCCAATGTATAAACACCAAACAGACAAGAAAGCAGGAAGAAGACAGAAAGCATGCTCCCTCCAGCCCGGTACATTTGCAACGTTAACATGACAAAAGGAATTAGATCGCAACCAACAAAAACGCGAAGGAGTAAGAAGAATAAGCGTTCAACTGGAGAAGAGTGATATAGAGCCTCGTAACAGGTGATTTGCATGGTGTATGGCGAAATCGTTTACGCCTTCATAACGCCTGTAAGGAAAAGGTCACACGACATCGCGCAAAGGCAAAGACGAAAGTGTGAGCAGCATTTCCAGGATATTTTCTTTGTTTTTTTTTCATATCGCGTGCTCTCTGAAATTGTTCATGGGTCGGGTATCGAGGGTTTCGTGCGTTTAGCAGCACTGGCCGGACTTTGCGTTGCCGTCGGCAGGCTTGGTCAAGGGCACGCTGACAGGTGCACCACTGCCGGGGCCGCTCTCCTTGCCTTCGCCTTGATCGAGAGCCTTGCTGGAAACGATGCGGTAGATTTCTGNTAGCATGGGTAAGATGAAGTCGCGGCAACAAAGCATAGACTACGTACCTGTAAGGATGTTTTGGAAAGCAAGCTCGACGTTGCTGGCGTCCAGAGCAGAGGTTTCGATGAAGGAGAGGTTGTTTTCNNACCTGAGTTAAGAAGCAGTTAGTCGGATGTAGGTAGACGAGGCGAGGCGCAAGAAAGACTTACTGGCAAACTGTTTGGCCTCCTCGGTAGGTACAGCGCGCAGGTGTCTCAAATCGGACTTGTTTCCAACGAGCATGATGACAATGTTACTGTCGGCATGGTCTCTCAACTCTTTGAGCCATCTGGTGACGTTTTCGTATGTCTGGTGCTTGCTGATGTCGTAGACGAGCAGGGCACCAACGGCGCCGCGATAGTAAGCTGAGGTGATGGCACGGTAACGCTCCTGGCCGGCGGTATCCCAGATCTGAGCCTTGATGGTCTTGTTGTCGACTTGGATGCTGCGCGTAGCGAACTCGACACCGATGGTCGACTTTGAGTCGAGGTTGAACTCGTTGCGGGTGAAACGGCTCAAGAGGTTTGATTTACCGACACCAGAATCTCCGATCAGGACGACCTTGAAGAGGAACTGGAGATGGAGTCAGTGCTGGGATCTTGAGAGTGCGACGGAGGGATGAGCTTACATCGTACTCGTCGTTGGCCATGGTGGTGGTAATGTGTGAAGTCGGGGATGGATTAAAGGAGGGGCGGATCTCAGCAGGCGTGGCAGCAGAGAAGGCGAGGATGAGGTCGTGATTGTTGTTTGCAATGAAGCGCACAGCGAGGTGTCGGCGAACAGCAACAATTAGGGGTTAAGCACAAGAGGAGAGTTGATGCGGTAGAGAGAGCAAGATCAGCTGTTGTTTGAAACTCCAGGCAGCCCAAGCCCGGTCCAGAGAGACACGCCAACGCCAACGCCAATCGCCAGCGCCCACTGCTCCTGCTCCTTCACTTCTTCCCCACCTCCAGCCAATCCGCACCGCCCATCTCAAAGTCTTGGCACCACCACACGTGCACATCATCTATCACTGGAAGGCGCGACCATCCAAAACATCAACTTTTCTCGAAGTTTCTGTCACTTCCCCAGTCGAGCATCAAAAAGCGCCTTCTTTGTCGACGCGCTGTCATGACCTCTCGACTCATTCTTCATCATGGCCGCTCCTAAGTCTCGACCAATCTTCGACGAGGTCGATGATAGTGATTCAGTCAACACTGATAGCACTGTCGAAAGTGAACTCGAGACAGAGTACAGTGTCGAAAAGGTCAGTCGTCTGCCGTCAGATCCCCTCTGCTTCTACTAACTTGCATCAAGATTCTTGCAGAGCGAAAGACAGAAGAAGGCCAGCCAATATACTTGGTCGAATGGGAGGGCTACCCGCTCCACAGATCTACATGGGAGCCACGCGAGAGTTTTGTCGGCACTGAATGCCTCGTCAATTGGGAACTTCACAAACGAGACGCCGCCCAGGGTCGTGCTGAACTGTTCAAAGTTTCCAAATTCGATGCCGCGGTAAGACTTGATGAAGAACAACGCGAGCGCCGCCATGCCAAACGTCAGGAGAAGCGCCGCCAGAGAGAAGCTCGAGGTCCCACGCCTCGTCGTCGTCTCCTCTCCAAAAAGGAACTAGTGAAGAAGGGAACTGCGAGGAAGGCACCAGCCCGTGGTGCTACCAGCTCCCCGTCCTCTGCTACTGAGTCACCTAGAAAACGAGCCACCCCGCTCTTTGAGCCCAACACTCCCAGCGGATCTGCCAGCCGGAAACGTAAGAGACCTCTGTCCGACCCGCGCTCGCCCTCTCCAGCGCTGTCGGTCAACGATGTGTCTAACTCACAGTATTCTATGTTCAACGAGCGTACATCTGAGTCCACAAGTCCTCGCAAGTCTCCGACGTCACATTCAACAACTGTGCCGAAACGGGCTCGTATAAACAATCAGCCTGGTGAAAAGAAGCCACGAAACAGCACTCGGGTACGTCAAACAAAGGTATAGAAATCGTGCGCCAGACTTCCACGCTCTCTATTTCAACAATTGATCGAGGAGGTGGCCTTCTGCAGAAGGAGATTTTGCGCAGGGTCAAGCTCAACTAAGGGCCTGCGAAAATAATGTTGTTCTCAACAAACAACTGCCTTGGCTTGTGGCATGCTCTGAACCCTGGTGGTCAGCCACCTACCTGCAAGAGCTACATTACGTGATTGAAAGTTTTGGGTTCCATACTAATCAAGGTTTTACTTCTAGGCAAATCAACATCTGTAGTTACATCTAGGCCAAAATCATTGAACACTTCAAGTGTCTCAGAGAAACCTCAACCACGGAAAGCTGCTAGCAAAATTGCAGCATCGAAAAATGGCCCCGAGCGCCCACGTAAAGATGCCACCGATGGTTCCTCAACGTCACAGGCTTTCAAACTAGTGAAATCATCTACAGTGCCAAACCTGTCGGCAGTGCCGGGCAACATCGCACAACGTCGTGCTTCAGACGCTACCTCTGCCACTATATCGGCCGAATCAAGGAAATCTCCTACAAGCAAGGACACCGTGTCAACAACCACTAGTAAGACCCAAAGGGAAGTGCCTAAAGACCCGCCAGGCCCTTCCGTTGCCAACAATACCTCAAAGCCCGTACATAGACATTCTGGGCCATCTCGAAGAGCAGTACCACCGATCAAATTGTTCCATGAACCCAAGGTCAAGCCTAGACAACGGCCACGCGTCAACGAATACACCCCTAAAGATTCGACGGATCCTCAATTCGTCAATCTATCTCAGCAAGGACGAATGCAACACTACAGCCATAACGAACCAGCACCTGATCCAAATGCTCTGAACTTCATCGATTCGAGCACTGGAAAAGTCCTAAACTCTATCAACGGTACTTCAAATGCACCGAATGCATTGCGACTAGACACCAATGTGACCAGACGCGAGGATTTAGAAAGTCCAGCAGTCACAAAGTCAGCGCCTGCCTCAGAGCGACGTTCTGCCTCGGCCTCTGAGTACCAACGTGAACCTCTTCATGGACGTATTGCAGCACCCCAATCCGCGCAAGAACCCGAACAAAGACCCCCATATCCATCAGCTCGGTCAAATGTACCTCGCTACTCTAGAAAACACATAACATGTCGATTCTGGTACAGAGGCACTTGCAGCAGATCTGAAGAAGAGTGCTACTGCGCGCATACTTGGACCGGACAGTTGGAGCCCGAAAAGGCTGCTACCTGTATGTATTGGAAAAGCGGCCAATGCAGATTCTCTGACAAGGATTGTGAATACTTTCATTCATATGACATCCAGAGCAGCGTCGACGGACCCAAACGAGAGGGTCCTGAAGACGTTAATGGCTTCCAAACAAGGCGTCGTTCAGAAAGCCCTGATCGTTATGGATTGCGTCAGGACGAAGCTGAGGGACGCAGAGACAGAACGGATCTGCCAAACTTCAGACTCCGTCCTGATGAACGAACTCCAATTCAGTCGCCATCCCTCACATCTACTGCATCGTTCGAGCCTCGAAATGGTGCAGCAAAAGATGTTCACATGAATGATGCTGATCTGCCAGGTCCCATCGAGACACCACCTCTCACTATAGCCCACCCACCGACTACACTAGGCGCGCTAAATGAGAAAGATACTGCAGATCCTATTAGCGTAAGCTTTAGCATCCGACCTGCTAGCTCACCTACCTACACCATGAATGTCGAGCTGTTCTTCGATACTAGAGCAAGCCGAATCAAGTTTCTTGACAGCGTCGGCGAGAACCACTCACTCGAAGGCTCTGAAATCTGTCGCTCGCGTGACTTCGAAGCCTATTGGTATGCGAAAGACAAGGCATGGGCTTCAGGCGGTGTCATATGTGCGCCAGGAGATACTGTGGCTACTTATCTTGAGGATTTTCTGGTTCTACACTCCTCCTGCATTACCATACGGACAGATGATTTCGTCTTTGTCATCTATCCTACTCAGAACCCAGACTGGAAGTTCATGCCTTATCGGGGTCCGGAAAAGCCAGGCCTGCGGTGGTATCTCCAAGCAGCAATTCCTGGCACGTCCGAACCAATCATCACCAGACCGACCAAAGCCTCTTTCCTCTCGATGTGTGCAGAACACTTGAATCTCAACCCTGAGATTCTGTTCGCCGGAAACAAAGGCAAGCATATTGANAAGGTCGTGTATCTTGCTTTTCCCAAGGGAACACCAGAGACCAAGCTTATCGAAGTTTTCCTGAACGAAGTAGGCGCAAGGATCCTTCATTCAGATGATTGTGACCTGTGGAATCAATTCTGTAGCAAGGGGTCAACCGGCAATAGAGTGGCCCTATTTCACCCATCGATGAACTCCTTCTGGAAGCTGCCAGACTTTTGGAATGTCCTGGCGACCGGAGTTAACATCTTCCAGGTGGGTGTTTCGAAGTCCATCAAAGGTCGTCCCGACTCGCCAGTGAAATACAACTGCACGCGTCTGTTTCCAAGTGGCACGCTCACGTTCATTACCGACGACATCTTCAAGTATCACCCAGCTCAGGCGCTTCAGGTGTTAGAGATTCACGAGGGCTACAAGAAAAAGCCCGAAGGTGGTCGAAATGATCGCATCTACTGTCGACCTGGCATCTTGGCATGGCTCGCGGAGTTAATTGACGAAGACAGAGAGAAGGGCATTCTCACTGAAGACTCTCCCAGGATCAAATGTTGGCAGCTAGTCTGTGATTTGCTGGGTACACCCGTGGCCGACAACAGCCGCAACCCGTTCCGCTTAGATGTGAAACCTCCGTCTATGCTGTACTCGCCACCGAAGAGTGAGATGCCCGAATACGCCTCTTTGTGGGACAGCAATGAAGAAGAAGCCACAGAGTCCCTGGTGAATTGGTTTGCCGGCCATGGCATCCACGAATGCGAGAACTACCGCCGCTTCAATGTTCTCTACGAGCAACATGGCACACTGGCGGCTCAAACGCCTGGGCTCATGCAACCGGAGAACCCCAAAGATCCAAAGGAGTGGATGAAGAAATACACGCACATCAGAGTCACCACCCCGGCTCGATACATTGTGCAAGTCGAGAACTATGAGAAGATGAAGACGAGACCTCGTTGATGAGAGCCCGGATGTCAAGAGTGGGCTCCTGTTGATTGAAGATGGGAAGTGGATTATGGTAGAATCATGGGATTGATGTAATGCTTGCTAGGTAAAAAGAGAGCATTGGTTGGCAAGCGTAAGATTCCATGAAATATTTACCGTACACGGTTATCACGAATGGTTTAAACATCCCTGACTGATCTTTCTAATGATGACATAAGTGTCGGTCGAAAGGTGCGACTCGGTCGCTTGCAATTGCGTGAAATATGTCTCTGGCGAAAGAATCATTGCGGCGTGCGATGGCGCAGCGGACAGTTCTTTCGCTCGTGGCTTCTCTCCTTCTTGAAGTCGATCCGCGGATGTGCGTAGATCTGCGGAGCACATTCCAGACCTAAGGCGCAATTCTGTAGGCCGATTACTGTGCGATATCGCTACGCGTCTCAATGAAGTTTGAGCGTAGTGCAGTTGCGCCAGTAGGTGTTTCCACTAAGTGGCTAGGGGCCCTGCTCGAAAGGCCTTGTCGGTTGCTCTGGATGAGCGCTGACCTTGTTGCGAGCCATTGTCTCGGGACAGCCGTGAAGACGAACCATGTAGTCGATTGTACAGAGACCCTTAAGCCCTTTTGTGTCCGTCGTAAACCTCGACATTGAAAGCCTTCTTGACAGCCCATGAGTGGGCAGANNAGGACTGTGAACGTATCAGCATGAGCCTTTAATATCAACCAGCTTCAACGGCGAAACAAACTCACATTAGTGGCCCACCCCTCCAGAAGGGCAACACGTTATCCAAGCCTCTTCTGCGAGAAGCAATTCTCTCCATAATCTCACCGCGTTGGAACAACCTCACCTCCTCTCCCTTGACCTTGCCGTCCTTCTCGGCAGCAAGCATCCACAAACCCACAGCGTCAGCCTGAGCGACAACGCCATCGTTCTTTGCCAATGTTACTAGCTCTCCACATCCATATCTTTTACTCTCGTCCAAGTCTTTNNTGCATGCAGAAGGGCCGCCGAGCAGTTTGCGACTTGTGCGAACGGTGGGGACATAGATGGTTAAAGACCAGAAGCCAGTGTTGCGGAATACGAGATGACGGACTGTGGCCAGGAAGACGGCAACGGGGAAGTTGAGGCCTAAGGAGAGGTCGCCGCGAAGAGAGTCCATAAAGGTTATTGTCGAGGTGTTTGGGCGGGGTGAGCGGGCTGCGAAGAAGGAGAGGAGACGGTGGAAGGCGCCTTGTGCTGACATGGTTGCGACTACTACTTTTCGATATTCTAGTTTCTGTAATTGAAATGGAAGGTGTGATTGACCTGAGTTGTGCTGGTCGTTTATGGTTCAGAACATGTGTGAAGCTCCACGACTGTTTACTTGACATCATCTGGAGAAAAGTCATGACGACATGCTGCTTTTTGAGTTGTTCTACAGATATTCCAAACCATCCGCCCGCAGATGCTCTGTACAAGAGTGATATTACAATATTTATTCGTCTTGCGACTTTCTATACCCACTCCTTGGGCTCCTTGAGCACGCTGAGCATGCGGTCTTCCCGTGAGCCCTTCTCGGGAGCGTGCATGTATTGCCAGCGAGCGGTCAAGGGCAGACTCATGAGGATACTCTCGACTCTAGAGCCAGGTGTGTTCAAGCCGAAGCTGGTGCCGCGGTCGTGCACCAGGTTGAACTCGACGTAGCGACCTCTGCGCAGTTGTTGCCAGGCCTTCTCCTTCTCGGTGAATGGCATGTCCTTTCTCTTCTCGATGATAGGGATATATGAGGGCAAGAAGGCATTGAGACATGACTGAGAGAAGGAGAAGAGAGCCTCTTGGTCCTTCTCGGTCTCGTCGAGGTCATCGAAGAAGATGCCTCCGACACCACGTGTCTCTCCACGGTGCGAAACATAAAAGTACTTGTCGCACCACTCCTTGAAACGTTGATAGTAGGTCTTGTCATGGGCATCACAAGCATCTTTGATTGTGCGGTGGAAGTGAATGACATCTTCGTCGAACAAGTACGAAGGGGTAAGATCAGTGCCGCCGCCGAACCACCAAGCATTGGGGGTGCCATCGGCGTTTGCAGTCTCAAAGTAGCGATAGTTCAGGTGCACAGTAGGAGCCATGGGGTTGCTAGGGTGCAGCACCATGCTCAAACCGGCAGCAAAGAATTCCAAACTCTCGACATCCGGATCCAAAGCCTTGTGGTTGACCCTCATCTTGCTGATAGCGGCGCGCGGTAGGGTGCCGTATACGATGCTGGTGTTGACGCCACCTTNTTCGAAGACATTGCCGTCTTGGAGGACGCAGGTGATGCCGCCGCCGCCATTGGGGCGGTCCCACTTGTCGACCTTGAAGCGGGTGCCGTCGACCTTCTCAAGCTCGCGGACGATCTCCTCCTGCTTTGCTTTTATGAATTGTTCCATTCTCAGACGCATGGGGGACGTCTGGGTGACGCCGGATTCGCGCTTACTGAGACTATCGCGCTCTGCAATGGATGGCGGCTCGGTGTGCTCTACATCTCCAGTGGCNNCTGTTTGGTCGTGTGTCAGTGTCTGAACATTCCATGTACGTCATGATCGAGTTGAGTGTACCATTGAGTAGATCAATGCACCGACAAAGACGACACCCACAGCGAGGCGCGTCTTGGGTGCGACGACTCTGGAAGGCTGAGGAGAGCCTGGAGGAAGCGGCGGCTTGGTGCCATGGTCGCCAATTGAGCGAACTTGTTGCTTGATGAATCTGGCAGCACGAGCTTGCCAGTAAGGTGCCCTGCTAGCTTGTGCGGTGCGGCGGAATGCCGTGGATGCGAATGTGCTCATATTGAAGATACCCGAGAGAGGTCAAAGGAGTTGCACAGACGTAGAGCAAAGGAAGTCTTTCGTATTTAAACACCGAGGCTCGAATGGCTTCTATGCCATCATGAAGCTCGCTCCTTGGCATCATCCCATCACGGCATCACGCCATGAATCAAGCCACCCAAACGACCACTTCCTTATCAATCCGACGGAAGCCACTAGATATCAAATTTCTCTCGTTGCGAAGGTATCCGTATCATATATTGTTTCTCGAGGAAGGGCCGATCAAGGGTCAAGACAACACCGTCGTACTCTCCTGCTCTACCCCTTCCTAAGATATTTGAGCTCCTGATAGATTTCCAGCAATGAACGTCTTGACAACATAACGTTAACCATATGTTGTGGTTGCATTTGTTGCGACCACAATGTCGATATCTCTGTTCTCCACTGCGAGACCCATATATGCTAACCTAGAAAAGGGATCGCTGTGACGAGAAAGATATAGAACCAGGGTCACCCTCAAAACAAGCCGCCCTTGAGAATATGGTGGCCGTATGCTAACGTATAGCTATGTATACATAGTACTTCTAGCAGCAAAACTACTGTCAATGAGGGACAAGACAAATTCAAGCTTCCAAAGAGATTCTTGTATTTTCAAAGTGTAGACTCTTACTTTACGTCGTGGCAGAGGGTGGGTGTCATAGACTTAGCACACAAGAAACTCTGCACTCAGCAGTCATTAGAACTTTCGCCACCTCTCACCTGAAAGGTTTTGACGGAGTAGTGAACATGCCTATTTACGACTAATCTGTTGGATGCAAACTCATTGAAGAACTTTCTCTAAGTACAGATATAAGAAATACACTCAAAGTACACCGCGACTGTTGACTATCTAGGAAACAGAAACATCAAAACCTCGGAAGAGCAGCTACCCAACTTCCTACGCGATCCGATTCTCGAGCAGAAGTGTTCTGTTTATCCTCCAACCTGTAATCGCCAGCAGGGATATTACCGAAATCGTCATCTGCATCAAAGCCCAGGCTTTGCATCCAGAAATCTCGTGACATGAGTTCCGCTTCAAGTCTACGGATGATGGTAGAAAAGCGTTTTTCCTTTTCTCCATTGGCCAAGAGGATGATATTTTCTTCCGACTGAGACAAATAGAACTTGAGTAGTGAATCAGAAACTTTCAAAATCCGAATTTCGTTCTCGGGGAGGATTGGACGCCCCATCCAGAAATCTGGCAATGGATCCTCAGGCGTACCGAACCAGGACGGCCGCTCATGTCGAGAGCAAGCCCGTTCTCTCTCCTGTTTCTCGCGTTGCTTTTCTCCGCGGATACGCTTTGCCATCGGGTGTTCTGGTGGGAGAGTAAAGTGCAGATCAAGATTGCTGAACCGTCTTTTTCGGCTGGCGCCAGCCATAGTACCATCAGAGCTTTCAGTCAGGCTTATCTTGATGTTCTTAACGCGGCGGCGACGAAGCTCATCATTTCGCATCTTGGGTCCGATATTGGCTTCAATCATGCGACACCTTTCACAATCAATGAAGCGACATCCAAGCCCATAAGCTAACAAGTCTGCATCTGTTTCGTCTGGATCTGGTCCATCGCAATGGCCCAATCGCTCAAAACGGCGTGTGCGTTTGTCGTCACGGGCTTCTTCAGCTCGTCTCGCCTTGTCCATCATTTTTCATATCGGCAAAGCATGCAGGTCTTGACGCCAGCACAGTCGTCCTCAAGACAATACTTCCCATCGTCCTCCAGATTGTCGTCCTCATCGGTTTCGTGACTTGAATCTGAGCTGTCATCAGCCGCAAGTCGTTGGCGGCAAACGGAGCATTCGATATGATCACAATGCCCGCTTTTGCAACGCCCGTCGAGAAATCGAGATAGCCTGTCTTCCATACCCTGGACAGTCTGACGGCAACTTGAACAGGTGAAGATGTCGTTGCACTTAATGGACGTGTCACCACCACAGTCGGTCTTCAATCCATGGGACAGAGCTTCCAGAGATTCGGAAATGGTTGCAGCGCTGCACAAAGAGCAGGTTGAAGCCAGGCAATTTCCCGCTCTAAGTTTTTGTTTGATGTCAGTCCATTCGGCAGAGTCTGGTTTCTCGATCTGTAGCTTTCGTAAAAGCCTACCGAGGTGCTCATTGTGCACAAGGGTCTTGATATCAGTAACCATATTCCTGAGCTCAGAGGGATCGCCTGTAATCGATGGATCAAGGTATCCACTGGACCCATTAGACTCTCCGGGTGTACTCAGTGATACCATCGCATTGTGTATACGATTCTCGCACTGCAAGCACTTGAACAAGTCACCACAAGACCCGTCGGTACAGTTCTCTCGTTTCCGTTGATTGTATGCGTCTTCCAACTCTTGTATTTGACCACGACAATGGGAACAGCTGCTGAGATCGTTGCAGCTTCTGTCGGTGCACTTCGAACCCGGACCGCAAAGACGATCGAGGGATAAGCGGACGGAATAAGCTGGGAAGCGTGCAGCAGAACCTTAGAGTCTAGCTGGTAGCAGCGAAAGAGAGAGTCGGAAGATCCAAGGAGACATAAACGAATTCTCAGTCGCGCGGACACGACGCGCTGAGATTGCCCAGGTAACCGACCAATATCGGTAGCGGGGACAAAACTCGCTCTGCATGGTTGCCGACGGGAGGCCGGCTCGGTCAGCTTGGCTTAGGACGCGAGAAGCCCCATCAGAGTTCAGTGACATCTTGACCTCGAAACCCTCGAGACCATGTCTATCAAGATGACTTGAGATAGTTTGTATAGCCTCGAGGTCGTGTGTTGCAGTCGAGCGCAATACGCAAGTTTGATCATGATTGAAACCTGGAATGAACTTGAGTGACCTCAACGGCAAGAGTCTTGTTGCAGTCGAACCAATGCTTGCTGCTCGGGATTGCCAGGCGATCTATGGCTCCGTATCGCATCCGAGCACTTGCTAGAGGACGTGATTTCATCGAGATAGCATTGCGACATTGACCGAGAATATCTTATGTTGGTTTAGAGAGTCGAGAATATCAGCGAAGTCCTAGGTACCACTCTGTATTGAATAGTATGACCGTATGACAGTCGAGATGCGTCTTGTTTCTGTAAAGACCAAGACGAGTCTCCTTGGTATCTTAGTAGCATTATTGGTGTGATCATGTGTGGGCAATGTGAGAACAATGTTGGAACAGGGTTAAAACAGGGTTAAAACAGGGTTCAAACAATGTTCAGCATATGCTGAGACCATGCTGGCACCATGGTTATACCATGGTTCTACCACGGTTCTACCATGGTATTATCAAGATATCATCAAGATAATGTTCTAAAATCATTCCAATAAAACCAAACTTCCTACCTAGAAGATGTCTTTCTATTCGTTCAAAAATAACTATCAAGCTGCGAGATCGCCAACATCTTCAGAACGAGTTACAAACGGGTTGTAAAGACGTTCTCAGTCACGCAGTGAGGTCGTGAGAAGCTTGGCGGTAATGTCCTCTGCTTTGTGTGATCTGATTGGTTGAAAATGATTGAAGAGACAAAGAACGTACAAGTTCTCGTCCACTACGTTGGTTGAATGGAGCTTTGTGGAAAACCTATTTGATTATTTTTATTGAAGAGATATATAGAGACATTGGAAGTCCAGAAGGCTCTTGGAGAGTTATAGGTGCCTTAGCTGGCTATCTGGACTCTTGCGCACTGGTGGATAAGATAGCTCTATGCGTTCGATAACTGCTCCCCCATATCATCGGACCTTGACCGCCCGCACCCGACGCAAAGCACAGAAAAAAATCTCAGGGCGTGGAAGATAACAAAAGGCGTAAGGCGTGAGTGTATAAGGCGTGCATCTCTAGATAAGAGTCTGTATGAGAACACAGACCCTGGACTATTTCTCGGATACCGGCCTCAGTACCAAGTACCATTGACTCATTACCAATTGATTCACGACGCTCCTGTATCGGCGGCGAAGGCGTTGTCTATACAAATACCTTCTAGAACCCCACAGTCTTCTCTGAACATCCCTTTTTATCATCAAGAAGCACCATTTCTCAATTGAGACTCCATTATACACAGATATCCCACATATCCAAGGAAATTACCATCAAAACTTATTACTGTCAATTGTTCAGAACACAACATCTATCAAAGGCTTCCAATCCACACATCGCCAACATGAGCGCACAAGACATCACACCTCCGGCCTCTGGCACTGCCACACCTACCGCCAAGTCATTGACCAAGGCCGGCATTGCACACAATCTCGAGTCCAACGCACAAACTGCACAGCTCGATGCCTCAAAGTTGAAGATCTCCCTGAGCAGTGCGCCGAGAGACCCTCCTGTCCCTGGCAGTGAGGAGCTCAAGAGAATGCGCACCTGTACCGACCACATGATCACCGCACGCTGGACTCTAGAAGATGGCTGGNNGGAGGCCCCCGAGCTCAAGGCCTATGGACCATTGAGCATTATGCCTACTGCTTCCGTTCTACACTACGCCACTGAATGTTTCGAGGGTCTGAAGCTTTACCATGGAGAGGATGGCAAGTTGCGTTTGTTCCGTGTGCGCCGCAACTGCGAACGTCTACGCAGAAGTGCTGCTCGTATCTCTCTTCCCGACTTCCCTGCCGAGCAATTGGAGATCCTCATCAAGAAGCTTTGCGCCACTGACGGTCCCAAGTGGTTGCCCAACAAGGGCGGTTTCCTCTACTTGCGTCCTACTTTCATCGGTACAGATCCTGGTCTCGGTGTTCAGGTCCCTAAGGAGGCTCTTCTCTACGTTATCATCGCTGTATTCCCTGACTGGTCAGACCCTCGCAACTTGCCTGCCGCTTCCGCTGTCAACCCCAACCTCAGCGAGGCTGTCACAAAGGCTCAAGGTCTCAAGCTTCTTGCAAGCAAGGAAGACTCCATCCGCGCATGGCCTGGCGGCTTCGGTTACGCAAAGCTCGGTGCCAACTACGGTCCTTCGCTCGTTGGACAAGGCGAGGCTCGCGCTCGCGGCTACGATCAGATTCTGTGGTTGTTCGGTAACAACGCCAGCGTCACTGAGGCCGGTGCCAGTAACTTCTTCGTTGTTTGGAAGACCAAGGAAGGCCAGCAGCAGCTGATCACCGCACCTCTCGAGGACAACCTGATCCTCGAGGGTGTCACCTGCGCCAGTGTGCTCCAGATCGCACAGGAGCGTCTTTCCGCCGAGAACGCCTCCAAGTACAACGCCGAAAGCCTCGAGGTCATCGAGTGCAAGTTCACCATGCAGGAGATCTTGGACGCCTACGAGGATGGCCGGCTCGTCGAAGCCTTCGCCGCCGGCACCGCCTTCTTCGTTGCCCCCGTCGGTCTCATCGGCTGGAAGGAGCACGAACTCGAAATCCCCTTGGTCGAAGGCAAGACCGGCGTTTACGCCAGACTCGTCCGCAGCTGGCTCTCAGACATCATGTACGGCAAGGAGCAGCACGAATGGGGCGTCATCGTCGACGAGGCTTAGTCAGCCCACAACGACATTGACGAAACTTCACTTCTCGGATCTAAAATGCTCGAGTTTGCGCTGGGCGTGCCTATTGTTATTGCCATTGAGCTTAAGTTTGGCGTTTATCAGTCTTTTGTGGCGTTGTTGCGTTTGCGCCATGTTGAGCCAGTGCAGGCTGGTGCTATGACCTACCCTCTGATTCTTGTGTGTTCAGTTCTCATTGGCAATTTGCTGATCGACCATCCTCCTCGAATGATCTTTGCTATTCAGGGTCTTGTCATCATTCTCAAAAGCCTCTGGAGATGAGTGGACGCAGGTTGAATTGATAAGATTGATGTGGGACGAGAAGGCGTTTTACAGATGCTGGCTTCTAAGGAGGAGAATAATGGCCTGGCTGTGCCAATGTATTATTGATAAAGGCTCAGTTAGCTATGGATGGGCCGTCACCCTTATTTCCACTAGGCATAATTTTCCATAGGTTGGGCCCAGGCCTCCTCAATCATACTCTCTTCGAGCATTTCATCTTCAATACGTCCCAATTCCATCTTCTCCAGCTCTCGGGCGAAGAAGTCCTGCTCTTCCGTAACTAGCTTTTTGTCCACACCCATCTTATCAGGGTAGTTGCGCACATTCCACCAGTGCGTAAGACTACGGAGCGATTGTTCGAGAGGTAGGGCTTCCTCTACAGTTCCGTCCACGTCTCCGGGACCAGCGCCACCCATACCACCGCCACCTCCAGATAGCCAATCGTCGCGCAGCTCTGAAGGTACGCTGAGCCAGACGGCTGTGATGATCTTCATATTGCTCTGACGCCATTTTCGACCGCAGTATGGCACTTGGGTCTTGAAGAGCTTAAGTGTGTAATATCTCATCATGTCCACAGGCACCCGTAACGACTTCTTCAGCACATTGGATGACTTATAGGACACCAAGAGTAAAGAGCGATGTGCCTTGCGGCGAGTGATCTTCTGTAGTACGCGCAAGTAGTTGATGTAGGTGAAGGTGTTTCGGTAGGAATAGTTTTGGATGGGCGTTGGTGGAGGTGCTTGAGTCGGGTAGCCCAGTTCATCGACTTCGGGTGGGTGAGTGGTGTAGTCTGNGGGTACTGAGCTAGCCGAAACCTCTGAGATTGCTTCGGACTCTCTGCGGAATTTGATAGGTGGAGGCAGTGCCTCGTCTTCGGATTCTACTGCTTCATCGATCGTCACGAAATCAGGTAGGACCGGGTTTCTCGAGTTTGCGCGACAGAAATTGAAGANAGCTTTTTCAAGTTAGTTACATGCATACACAAACATCCACAGATTAACTCACTCAAGTTCTGGTCTATCCAGCATGAAGTGACAGGCGCGACCGATATCTTGCCACTGCCATATCCGTAGCACTGCGATGATGTAACCCGAGTCCAGGAGCAATTGGTTCAAGTACTCAAATCGAAGAANCGTCTGGAAAGGAGTTAGCATGATCTATCACTACAGGAAGTGACTGCACTCACGAGACAACTTGAACCATTTGAGCAATAGTAACAAGATGGATGACACAGCCTTGCCGGTGATCTCCGTAGAACGCGAAGCATCAACTTGTTCCGCAGATATCGATATGCCATCGGGAACGTGACCGTTTTCAAAAGCCTGGGCTTGTGGATTGGCAGTAGTATCTGCATAGACTCTCGCCATGCCTTTGAGCAGCACAAAGACAACAGATTGCATCTGTGGTAAGACATCGCGGTAAAATTGGGCAACCGCCTCCAAAATCCTGTCATTCTCTGACAGAGGCTCTGCATCCTTTTGCTTTTGTGGTGCCTTTGCCATGTCTGCATGCTCAGATGAAGAAACTCCATTCTCTTGAGCCCCGTAGAGATCAAGTTTCTCTACGTCAGAATCGTCGTTGGCATCTGACCAACCTCTCTCAAATCTCATGTAGTCAATTCTGGTGTCCCAAAGCTGTTTCATTGCTCTGGTGGCCCTCATACGTTTGGAGAACAAATCAGCAGCCTCGAGAATAGAAGCTGGAACATCACTTCCTCTCCATTTTCGGCCTGCTAAAGCATCCTGCAATTCAGTGGAGCCCTTGCCGCCCAGATCATTGCTTGCCTCGTCCAAGGGTGGGTAGAGGAAAGGGAACATTTGATTGGTCTGATAGTTTTGCTTCTTTCCACCTTTACCTCCTGGACCAGCTGGAGAGGGCGGAGGTGACGGAGCCGGAGTGGCGATGTGCACTGCTTGATGCAAAATTGAGGCGCCGTGAACACCTGTGCCAGTCGATGCAGTATTGTCGTTGCTGTCAATCTTAGTTTGTCTGTGACGAAGCGGAGGCAAGATGGTGTTATTCTCAGGCTCGAACGCAAACAACGGTGGTGGTGGTTGATAGGCAGGATATTTCGACGTGATCTCCTGTCTGAAGAGGTGGTAGTCAAGTGGAGAGGCTGTGATGAGAGGGTGACCACGCTCGTCTTTCTCGCCGACATTCTCCTGGAACGAAGCCTTGACCTTGTCGGCTTTTTCGACACCACCGAAAGATATAAGAATGGTCTTCCACAGCAACAAGAAAANCCTAAGAGCAAGTTAGCGTCCGGATAGCATAAGGATATGATTGAGGTCTACCTTGGTCTGAGGGACAGGGGCAAAGTCATCCCATCTCATTTGGGTAGCTATGTTTGCACAAGTGACCAACAAGTCTGGCTTTATTAAAGNCTTTTTATAGGGTCAGCTTGGATGCGACAGAGTCAGGCTGTATGACTTACCAAGCTCTCTGTGCAACACGTGTGCATCTGGCGTGCCCTCAGATATGCGACTCAACTCGACGAACAAGTAAATTAGAGTCAGAGTGCACCATACATCGATACTCTCGTCACCCTCAGCATACTTTGAATTGGATGTATCTTCGTTCTGAGCGGAAGCAGTAAGATCTCTCTCGCAAACGGATTTCATGAGAGAATAGACAAGTGGTACAGCACCTTGCTGAGCCAGCATACAAAGAGTGTTGATCATTATTTGGATCTGAAATGTTGCGCCGGCATAATTTGGCAAGCCGGCCGTGACCTGGGGTTGGTTGGAGCCGAGAACAGCAAAGAAAGGGTTAAGAGTCTCTCTACCAGCAGTCTCTTCCCAAGTACCCAGAGAGATGTATGTCAAGACTTGGAGAGCTTGGTTCTGTTGGTGGGGAGAACCCAGTTGCAGGTCGTGAAGCAGGTTGGCAACGAAGTTCATGCCCAATTGCGGCGAGGCAGTCCAGTCCGGAACAGGGTCTTGGGCAGTGTGTGCCTTCCAGGCATGGTCAAAAGCAGCATTGATTTGTCGTAACTTGGACCTCTCTTTCTCGCTGTACGTGAACCATTCTTCGATCTCGACGGGGAAGGATTGCGAGTCGCGATACTCGAAATCGTAGACGGTGGATAGGGGAACAGGCTGTTGAGGATGGTTTTGTAGGGCGGGGAAGCCAGCACGAAGACTCTTGAGCTGAGCAAGTGTCAGAGAATCAGGAGGATCCTGGCTGGGGTCGACGTCGGGCACGGCGGGTGGAGGTTGCTTGGACGGCGGCGCTGACGAGTCGCGTTTCAACAATGGTCGCCTAGACGTGTCGTTGGAGGTTGGCTGTCCTGCCGGTGGAATAATGGGAGCGTTGTCGAGGTCCAGTTTCTCAGCGGTGTCCTTTGCCGGTGTGACGATGCTGTCGCTCTCCTCCTCAGGAGCCTTGACCTGTGGATTTTCGACTTCGTCCATGGTGCTTGCTGATCGGATTATGGGCTGCGTTCTTTATCGTGTCGGTCATGAAGTCGTAGCCATGTTCTCGGGCAGTCTCTGACAGTCGGGCCACTTGATTGCTGGCGACCGGGCGTGTTTGTTGTCTTGGTTGTTCATCTTTCACATGCATCACCTTGAACTGTGGCTGCAACTGTGGCTGTGGCTGTGCGCGTGCTTTCAGCCTCGATCGCTCTTGCCCAGAAGTTGAAACACGCTGCCCTCTTCATCTTCCTTCGCTCCACACCCTAGAAAGCACCACTGTCTGACGCGATGGCCATGTCACCAATTTCCTTTGATATATCTCATCTGCCGCGGCATGCCGTCCAGCCGTTCATCACATCCCTGACGTTCGCCTTGACCTGCAGACGTCGGCTACAGCCTCGATCCCATCGTCCCGCTGAACCACCTCCCTCGTCTAATGAACTTGAAACAGAGACCCGCCGAATGCGCAAACTCCTCTGCATTAGACCCATGTCCCCAAACCCGTCTACCTCTAATCGTGCCTGTTCATGTCATCCATGCGAAATATAAAATATCCTGCCAGGTCTGTTGTTTGATGCCTTTTTCTCATCTCAATCCATCTTCTTCCATCTTCAAGTCATTCTTTGAACCCATTCAAGACAGCCGGTCCTGTCAATCCATTCTCTCAAGATGCTTTTCTCCATCTCCACCCTCGCCGCCATCTCGGCTTTTGCTTCTGCTGCTCTTAGTGCTGCTTTGCCTGTCTCGGCCAACCCCAACACCATCGCTAAGCGTGCTCTGTCCGGTCAGGCTACCTTCTACGGTGGCAACACCTCTGGCGGACAGTGCTCTTTCACCCAATACACTCTTCCATCTGGAGTCTACGGAACTGCTCTCTCCGACTCCAACTGGAACACTGCCGCTAACTGCGGTGCTTGCGTCTCGGTCAAGGGCCCGAACGGCAAGAGCATCACCGCAATGATCACTGACCAGTGCCCTGGATGTGGCACCAACCATCTCGACCTCTACGAGGATGCCTTCCCCAACTTGGCTCCCAAGTCTGCCGGTGTCATTGACGTGACCTGGGACTATGTTGCCTGCCCCATCACCTCTCCTCTCTCCATCCACATGAAGACCGGTTCTTCTCAGTACTGGTTCTCTGCTCAGGTCGTCAATGCCAAGCGCCGCACCACCAAGCTCGAGGTCAGCACCGACTCTGGTAAGACCTGGAAGGCTGCTGCCAGAACTACCTACAACTTCTTCGAGATCTCCAGTGGTTCTGGTGCTACTTCAGCCTGGATCAGAGTTACTAGCGAGACTGGCTCGACTGTCACTGTCAAGAACGTCTCCCAGACTGGTGATGTCAGAGCTACTGCTACTGCCAACTACGCCTAGATGTATTCTAGATTAGCTAAATCTCATTTGATTGTCGGGTAGATGACTGGCCTGGTGTTAGCATAGTAGCAATCTACACAGTTTAGTCATGAATCTAAGCACGATCCTGGTCACCAACGCTGGTCTAGTGAACAAATGATCTGTCTCGTTTCTTTTTGTCGGGCCTACCAACAAAAAGAGTGTGTATAGTATACAAGAGCCCTTTAGTATTATTCATTGAGTTGTTTCCAGACGATCAACGCACATCATTCAAGGCTCTATGAATTGTATAAAATCCAGTTCAAGCACATACGGCCACAGTCAGCTGAAAACTGGGCATCCCGTCCGCTCTGCCATACATAAGCAGTTGAACGGCAGATTAGTACTACGGTGGGTGACCACGTGGGAATCCCTGCTGCTGTATGTTTTGCATTGTTTTGTCAGATCGAATCATGGCTATCGTTTTGCTCGAATCATGGATATTATTTTTTTTGGTGGTCCTTCGAACACGAAGGATTCACCAAGACTTTAGTCATCAGGCGCTAATGCGCAGTTCGTCTCACCACGACTGTGCTCGTGTGCGACCTTCCATCTCCATCTACAAACACAACAAGGGGACACTTTCTATGCGTATGAGCGAAAGTGTATCATGGGTTCCAAAACACCGAATGAGCACCACGGAGGTTCTGATGGTGGGTTCATATGTAATATCCACGACCGTGCACTTCTCTAACACTGNACATCAGGATCCTCAACCCGTGGTGCAATTGCAAATGTCAATCCTCCCAAGACCGCAGCAGCCACTGGTCTGGTTTCCGGCGTGCTTGAAGAACAGGATGACGACGGTGACGGAGATGGAAGTGATCACATTGGATGCGACTTGAAAGCCAGCAACAGTAAGCCAAGCCCGTTCTCTATAATGGAAGTGGCTCTNGACTCGAGAAGACAGGACCAAGAAAAGAGAAAGAACAACAAGAAGAAGAAACAGGTGTCTGGCACAAAGCAGACAGCCCCTCCAAAGGTCGCGCTTGCCAATATCTTCCATGGCAACAAGTACCCTGAGGGCGAGATCGTCGAGTATACGGTCAAAGATGACAACCTGCACCGAACCACTTCTGAAGAACTTCGTCATCAAGATGCCATCAAGAACATGGACGATAGCTTCTTGACTGACTATCGCAAAGCTGCCGAAGTCCATCGTCAGGTTCGCCAATATGTACAGACGATCGCCAAACCCGGCGTCACGATGAGCAGGCTTGCCGACGAGGTCGAAGAGGGCGTTCGAGCATTGACAGGTCATCAAGGCCTCCAAACCGGAGACGCACTCAAGGCTGGCATGGGTTTCCCGACTGGATTGTGCTTGAACAATGTTGGTGCCCATTGGACTCCCAATCCAGGTGGCAAAGAGGTCGTGCTTCAATATGACGATGTTTTGAAGGTCGATTTTGGAGTCCATATCAATGGCAGGATCGTGGATAGCGCATTTACCGTCGCTGCTAACCCTGTCTACGACAACTTGCTGACCGCAGTCAAAGAAGCCACCAACACTGGACTCAAGGTATGCTTGGTAGAACAACAAGGATGTCACGCAAGCTAAATCATCACANNGGAAGCTGGCATCGACGCCAGAATTGACCAAATCAGCGGGGACATCCAAGAAGTAATGGAAAGCTACGAGGTTGAATTCAATGGCAAGACCATCCCTATCAAAGCAGTCCAAAACATCACTGGCCACAACATCTTGCGCTACAAGATTCATGGCGACAAGCAAGTTCCNTTTGTCAAGACCAAGACAAACCAACGCATGGAAGAAGGCGACATCTTTGCGATCGAGACTTTCGGTACCACTGGCAATGGCTGGCTTGAAGATGATGTTGGTATCTACGGATATGGTCGCAATAAGCATGTCCGTCCTAGTGGCCTGCAATTCGCATCTGCAAAGTCGCTTCTCAAGACCATCGACGAGAACTTCGGGACATTGGTCTTCTCCAGACGCTACCTCGAGCATTTGGGAGTCAAGAACTACCATCTAGGCATGAAATCACTGATTGCTAGTGGCGTTGTTGAGGACTATGCGCCTCTGGTCGATATACCAGGATCTTATATCGCCCAACTCGAGCATGTGAGTAGAACGGTGCGATGATTGATTGATAATATGCTAACGTGAATATAGACTGTCCTGCTCAGACCCAACTGCAAAGAAGTGGTCTCTCGTGGTGATGACTACTAGACAAACTATTTCCTTGTGTGGATTCGATGTTTCTGAATTGCTTTATCTGTTCTCGATCCGCTCAATCTTTCAACAATGACGGATGGAGGTGTCTCGAGGCATCTCAACATGCTCTGCTTGTTCCATAACATAAATAAAGTCCGACCAATTACACTCATTTACATTGCGAACTGCCATGTCTCTATTCTATTCTTTGTTAGTCTCACATGCAACGCGGAGTTCTTGATATTCCGGAGCAGTCATAGACACAAACAGCAGATGCCCAAAAACAAGAACGTGTGTCACCCGTTTGACTCTGCGGAGATGAGAGACTCAGGTTGAACATAGAAATTGGCAATTGCAAGTCCTATCGTAGTGCTCAAAAGTTCAGTCGCACATGTACCCGCCGCAGAAAGCTGGGAAGTTATTTTGACAACATGGCTTTGCTGGTTGCTTAGGGACCTAGCTCATTTAAGAATCGAAGACAGAAATACTGGTCCCATGCGAACCATAGCGAGCATGTGGCAAGATGAGTGGAGCTGCCGTATCAAGACAAGGCGGTTGATACACTCTTTAGAAGCCATCTTGGAGGCCGTCCAATGTGTACATATGAGATTAAACTGAGTGGCTACTGTTTTGGTATTCTTGTCGCTACGATCCTGGTCGCAAAGAAGGATACAAGGATTTGGCCACATTTTATGCTCTCTACGGGAGGGTGTTGATCAAAGCACCCTAGCCTCAGATCGAATATGATCAAGTCTCTGCACTTCCATCATGGACGCGATATCGCAGTTGACCGCACACTCGCACCAGCCACTCGACCAAGGCTAACAACTTTCCTGGCTGCATTTGACACTTCCATCATCCCCACAACTCTACCAACTATTGCATCTGACCTGGACCCCGAGGTCCGACTCGTGGAGATAATTGCATTGTCGCGGCGTGTTCCTCTTCGTTCGATGTCTTTGACGTCGAAGAAACAGCTTGCAGAGGAAGTCGCGATGCAAGGCCTGAAACGGGAAGTGGTCATGTAAGATGGTCGTGGCTTCCTCACACCGTCATCTTGATTCTTCTCTCAATCCCAGACTTGCCGGACGCTGACGTTCAGCCTCTTAGTTCCCATAAAACCTTTCCACCTTTGATAAGCCTTGCGCTCTTTGTCACTGACTCTCTTTGCCGCATCGCCCTTGACTGCAGGCCACTCGGCCAGCCATTTTGGACAGGAGTTTGGTATCGTGCGAGGCATAGCGTGCCATGCCCACCTGGTTTCGCCATCCATATGCACACAATCACCGCTTCTGACTCTGATAGCTACAGTCCTCTTCTTAGGGTCTTCTCCTTCTTGTAATTCTGCCTCGCCTCTTGCGATCACGAAGATGCCATCGCAGCCAAAGGAGAAGGAAGCAAGTCCACGTTCGCAAAGCTCGCTGACATCGCGGTGGACTGGCATATAATCCTNTTGTCCATACAACAAGCAAACTCCAGATTCTGGTCTGATGTGTGGGAAGAGACCGCTGACCAGTGTGCTTAGATCTGAGGGGAAAGTTGTAGGTCCATTCCTAGGGTAGCTGCGGGTTGGCCAGTGATATTGTTCACCCAACGTCAACCAGCGAAGTTTCCTTGATAGCATTTGTGCCATGTTGAGTGACTTTTGAGATTCCGGATCCTTTGGTGTTGCGTGTATAGATTGAGGGTCGTATGAGAACAAAGATGGTGTCTCTTCCGCCTTTTCGTCTTCTGGTGTGGGATATTCGATATCGAAATCTGTTTGAAGATTGATCTTGTGTTTGGGGTTGGCCATGTATTTGTGCATGATTTGCGAAATCCAGAGAACCTGTGTTTCAGGAGGTAGAATACCTGGTGCAATCTGCAAGCCTGGACTCAATGTTCAATATCACTTATCCATCACGATCAGTACAAGAGACACAAAACTTACCTGGAANNAGTCTGCATGCTCATAAACAGTCACATCCTCAATCTCCGTCTCGAGCGGTGTCTCATCTCCTTCAGTCCCCAGCGCAGCATTTCTAAAAGCAATACAAGCTTTTTCGATCGCAGATTTCGAGATCGTGCTGACCGGTCTGAGAACTTTTGCTTGTTCTTCGCTCAAGCCTTTATCCCAATTGACTACACTCTCATCGTTTTCCAGATCCGAGATTTTGACTTTGTTGTAGTGCCAATATTGCTCCTGGATAAATTGAGGTGGAATGGCATGTGTGTCATGGTGATGATCCTTTATTTCCAGATTGTCAGTATTCTTGATGATTTAAAGGCATTGTTTAGGCAATTGCCACCTTTACGGCCACGTTCATCACCCGTGGACTTCCACCCTTACCTTGTCGTCTGAAAAGTCCATGTTGAACACTAAATCGAGAAATGGCTGTACGTTGTATGATGGCTATGTGTCTACCCCTGAGCATACTAAAAACGAGTTGATGAACTTTTTTTGTGCGGATGGCTACGAAGCAACTCGCGTGAGCAAAAGTCGCACACATTTGGCAAGAACTTGACTCAAGTATGTTTGTTTCATGAGTCAAGTCAATGCCAAGACCTTCTAGAAACACGGTAGAAGGTCGTCAGGAGAACAGCGGTAAGAGCGGATTAACCACCCGGCAACCGGCAACAATCATCATCGCTCGGCTTCGAGCGACTGCGAACACCGAACCGGATCAGCAAAGCAAATTTAAAGAAAAGAGAAAACTCTGAAAGGAATGTGATTCCGAAAAGAACATGTGGGTCGATTTCCGGCGAATGGTTGGTTGTCTGGGAAGTGGTCGCACAAGAACACGTACACGTCATTTTCAATATCGATGATGCCAGGTTTTCAAGAATGGCGGAAATATTGGCATGGGTAAGGTACACACAAGCAACATCAAAGGCGTCAGGTCATCTGATACACGACTTGAATACACTGATCATAGGCATCACAAGGCAACAAGTGGCAATAGTAAAAGTCTTCTGAAGAGTGTGGTGTTGATACATTATGAGAAAATTGCTAGATAGAATTTTTTAAACAAGAATTGAAGAGTTGGAAAAAGGTATGCCCTCTCAAGGGATGCTTTTGCAAGAGATGGCCCAGGAATAAAAAAGTAGCCATCTCGAAATGCAAAGTTGGGTATCGAAAAATGATGATGATTCAAAGACTCCCAAAAGATCCCGTTCGGTTGTGTGGATGGAGAAACAAGAGACAAAATGCTCAATGGTTGAAGACCCTCTGCACGAGGACGTTCATCCGGATGATAGAACTCCTCGCTGGTTGTTTGATGCTGATGATGGAGATGATGAAATGATGGAAAGCAAAAACTTTTTTTGGGGGTCGTTAAGGTGTCGTAAGAGGCGTGGCGCGATTGAAGCAGAGTATGAGATGATTCATCTACTCGCGGCCAGAGTCTCTGCTCCAGGTTCTGCTCAGGCTTCTGAAAGCACCACCGATGCGGCGGGCCTTGTCGGACACAGATGAGCCATTTGATGAGACGGAAGCAGCGCTGTTCTGACGGCTGGCGGAAGGCTTCATCTCGTCGACGAAGTTGCCTGAGCCTCCTCTGCCAGTGTGGTAAACAGGAGCCTTGGCACGAGCATCCATGAGCTTCTGGTCACGAGCGAGCTCTTCATCGAAGGAGAAGATGGCTCTTTGGCTTTCCTGGCGAGTGAAGGTGTTTCCCATGCCACCTCTGCCAGCAATGTACTTCTGGGTTGATGGAGGAGGAGACATGGCAGCACGGGATGCAGGACCAGTAGCTTCGTGACCGACAGTAAGATCCTCGACCTTGTAACGAGCGTAGTTTCCAGCGCCTCCTCGTCCAGAGCCAAGGTATGCTGTGCTTCTGCCTCTAGGAGCTGAGGGGTGCGGCTCGTGAATGAGGTAGCTCAATGAGACCATATTTGTGAATGTGTGGTTGTGGTTTTGAATGTGTGTTGGTGTAGAGTTCAAGAGTAGTCAAAGACCCAAGTCGTTTGTGGAAAGTGTGATGGAAATTGGATTGGAATTGTGGTATGAATCAACAGCTACGAGGACCAAGCAGCGGGGGTCTATATATGAAAAAGCAGAAGCAGGATCGAGTGTTGACACATCACGATCGAAAGCAACCAAAAATTGCACCACCTTACGCGTGGGCAAAAGTTTTTAATGCTATTCCCCTAGATGCTTAGTGCCAAACGGCAAAGTGATCATGCGGCCTTGGCCCATGGTGCAAGCTGATGAATCCGTTACCCGAATGACTTGGACCGAAAAGTTTTTTCCACATCATTTTGCGCAGCACGCTCACATCAGCTGTTTGGCAACCAACCGTAGGTTCTAGCTCTTTCGGAGCTGCCCGATATTTTGAAATTACAGCCTCGTTTTTTGCAAATTCTGCAGAGGACTCCTGTCTCCCTCGTCAACCCCCCTCATCGACCTTGCAACTCAATCTGGAATGAATTGACTGACCAGCGCAGCCAAGACCGGTACCTGTATTTCCATTACCCCCAGGAAATGGATGGCGCTACGCTATTACCCCATGAATTGCTCATCGCCTAAGTAAGTTTCAGTAAGGCGTCCGCGGGTATTAGCAAATCACACAGCGCCTCCTGTGACAGCACGACCCACGGGTTCGAAACCCAAACACGGAGATGAAGGATGATGAGAACATCCGTTGCAGTGATGATGCAAATCTTGCTGCTATGAGAGATATTGCTCTGCTAAGGTGGTTTCTTGGTATGCCGTAAGACCGAGGGGCAAGATGAGCAACTTGGTGCCCCTGGAGATCTCAATGCTAGGTTCGAGAGATCTGTTGCATCTTAATGATGCTTTGTGACCAAGGCTAGGAGAGCAGTCACGCAAACCACGGAGCGGAGCTCTTCCGTACCGAACTAAGAATGTCTCGTTGTCAACAATGGAAGCTTCACTCGAACACCTGCTGTTTGCGGCTCTCATACACCGACTTTAGGTGCGTGTGACCTTCTTGTCCCTTGACGACAGCTACACACCGCTCGTACATTTCGCTGTCGCCGAAGGAGACCAAAATCACCCTGGAGACCGTAGTACATGTACACGTGGTTTTGGAAGGAGATGAGCTTCGTTGCTCTAGATCATTCGTGTCTCCTTCATTCGATTCGTGCTTGGTCAGACCATATGGATCGTCTTCATGCTAGACAGTGTCCAAGCCAATTAGAGGTCTTGCTCCTTACGAATGCAACACTCGTCTGTTTCTTATTCGTCCTCTCTCCTGTCTTGGCTCGTCAATGGTCTCTAGAAAGTCACTGAAACTATTTGGTAAATGTATTGGCAAGGAAGCCGAGGAGTGTATTGTTTGGTAGCCCCGGACTACGGCTATCGGGAATGGTGGTGTACCTTTTTACCTTGGTCGGTCTCCCCACAAAAACGTTTACCCCTCACTTTCTCCTTGGTACATTGCCTGGTCTGTGTCTTGGACCTTTGCCTAGCCGCTCGGCGGGCGAGCTCAGCCCAATTTCGTAGACCTTCTGCTCAGGAGGCCAGCCCTAGAGCATCACTATGAAGAGGTGGCGGAATGTAGCTCCTTCTTGGCCTAACCTTTCTCCGCATTCAGAAACAGGGCGTTGCTTTCCAGAAGAAAGGAACGGTCTCCAAACGAGGTGCCGTGATGCGGGGAGATGCTCAGGAAAGCCTGTCTGAACGGGGAAGTTTCAAGCGTTTCGGTCAGGTGCTCGAGCGGATTACTCGACGGTGACTCGTTGACCTGATGATCCAGACCAGGCGTTTGAGAAAATAGGAGCGAGCGATGAGGTGTCACAACCAGTGTGCGGGGGAGGAGACATGTTGCAGAGACGAGTCGTCGTTCTTGTCGAGAAGGTGGCATAGCTTTGTCGTCAAGCATTGCGAGAATCGCGTAATGCATCACGCAAATTTGGTATGGATGATCTCAGGGTTCTCATGCCAGTCGTCGATGTTAACCCACANTCTGCGTAGTCACGTCAGTCTTGAGGCGAATTGTGCAAAGAAGGTGATACTGACCCTTCTGAAGGTGCTGAGACCGGCCAAAATACTGCCTCCAATCCACGTGCTGTACTTGCGCTCGGGTGGTGCAAAGATCTTGATGCGCATGTCTTTGACTGCCAGACGTTGCACCTCGTGCAACAGACGATCACCAAAGCCCTTGGTCAAAGTCGAGCCTCCGGACAAGACAATATTTGCGAAGAGAGACTTCCTCAGGTCCATGTCCGTACGGCTGATGGCGTCGACGACGATCTGATGAATGCCAGGATATTCGAGACCAATGATTTCCGGATCGAAGAGAATTTCGGGCGCTCTGAACCTTTCAGGGCCAANTCTGCAGTACATGGTAAGCTTGTGAAGATATGTACAGAGAACATGTGGTTGTACCTTGAGCTTCTGACCGTCTGGCAGGGTGTACTCAACCGTCTTGCCGTCCTGTCTAGCATTGCCTGTAGCCCAGTCCTTCTCTTCCTTTTTGGGATCAAGAGCCAGGTAACTTGTCTTTTCTTTGATCATGCGCACTACCTCTTTCTCAGCACTGGTATGGAAAATGTAGCCAGACTTGCGAAGCAGCGTCTGCATGTGCTCGGTGACGTCTCGACCCGCTACATCGATTCGACGGATGCTGTTGTTGATTGCGAAGCCTTCGTAAACGGGTACAGCATGCGAAACACCATCGCCCGCGTCCAAAACGATACCGGTGGTCCTGCCTGAGGCGTAGAGAGACAAGACAGCTTGGATGGAGGTGAACAGAGCAGGAACGTTGAAAGTCTCGAACAGGATTTGGGCGGCAGTGTCGCGGTTGGAACGCGGATTGAGCGGCGGTTCGGTCAAGAGTACGGGGTGCTCTTCACTCAGGGTCTTGAGCTCTTCGGTGTAGACGTGTTGCCAGATCTTCTCCATGTCGTCCCAATCAGTGACGATTCCGTGTTCCAATGGGTAGCGAATCTTCAGCAGGCCACGCAGCTCCTGGGCCTTCTGTCCAATGAAGACATCTCCTTCGAGGGCACCAGCGAGAACACGCAGGTGCTTGGGGCGGCCGACGTAGGATGGGAAATAACATTTGGGCGCGTCTTCGCCAGCGAAACCGGCTCTGATGGTGCCACTGCCATTATCCAGGACAATTGGCGCGTTGTGTAGAGTGTCTGCCATGGGTCCCTGTTGTGTGATCCTTCTCTTTCTGGACAGACTATTGTTGCGAGCCCATGATTGGGAGGGAGATTGTAGTCCAAAGCTGCGTGGTGCTAGCATGCTCGCTGAAACACCCAGGAGATGCTTGGCGCTACGTCGCCCAATCTGGTAACGGCTCTCTCGCACTTGCCTACCTCGGATCTAACAACCGACCTCGCGCGCCCTCTGACTCTGTCCCTGCTTGATCTAGATTCTCTACCTTGTCTACATAAGCACATCCCTGTCATTCTTCATAATTTTGTTGGACACTCCCAGAATGGCCATGCAGTTCAACGCACAGCCTGCCGTCCAGGACCCACGCTTTGCTCCCAACACTGATATTAATGGCACCTCTCCGCAAGCCACAGACAATGACCCGTCTGCTCTTTCTGCTACGAGGAAACACGTCGATATTGACAGGCAGTGCGCTGTTCCTCAATACAACGGCGTTCCGTGCCCTGCTCCGCTTGCCTGTCCTTCACACACTGTAGGGGAAAAGCACACTGTCCCTGGCAGAAGTGCTCCGCTAGAACAACTCATGGCTCTTCAACAGCAACAGTCGGCTCAAACGGCTCAAACGATTCAGCAGTAACCCACCATGGCAGTATGTAGAAGCTATGCTTCCAGTTTGTGTAGTGCTAATTGTCACAGTTCAGCCATGAGGTGCAAATGGTGACAGGATAGAGGATGTAATGAAGAATAATTAGGTGATTTCGAATTTGTGGTATCAAAGAGAAATACACATTAGTGCGCTATCGTCCATCGCCAGCGCGTACCATGTCCAAAACATTAACGCCTTTCCACCGCTTCTTGTCTCATAGAAGTCGTGATAATATAGTACAGGAATACGAAGAAGAATATCGACTGACCGCTGGTCGTCGTAGTCAAGAAGCTGTTGTACAATGAACCAGTCTCAGACCGTGCATGATGGTCTATCAAGCTTGGTCTGCTGCGTTCAGAGGAGTAGGTGGTTCATTTCGAGAAAAGAACTTTCTGCGAGAGGTCGCTTAGACCTGGCTCATGGCAGGTCCCTTTCTGATGCCACCGGCACCACCGCGCATGTTGACGCCAGAGTTGCGACCCTGGAGACCAGAAAGGACAGCGGAGACAATGAAGGCAGCGAAGCCGAACCAGAGGAAGGCAGTAGTGGCCTGAGCCTCGTGGCAGCGCTTGGAGGTGTTAGGAGAGCCGTTGGTGATGAAGTTGCTGTGAGTGTAGGANNCTATTACCCTGTTAGTCGCGTTCTCATGACATACAAAGCTAGTAAAACTTACAGAGTTGCCACAGCTGTGGACGTGAAGGTAGGCCGACATGGCGACAGCACCACAGAAGTAGAAGATAGCGTTCAAGGTGTCAAGACCAACAACAATGAGAGGGTGGATCATGAACGACTCCTTGATGCTTGCAGGAATGAGGTAGAATAGCGACAGCATACTGAAGACGGCGACAAACATGTCGTAGTTGACAATTGCGGGGTTGCCAGAGTACGCTGTGGCGATCATGTTACCGACGAGCGACATGATGAGGAGAGCCCAAATGAACTACATCGCGTATTAGACTACAGTGTTCTCTGACGACTTCTGAAGTTAGAAGCTTACCTGCATGGCACGCATGGCCAGGTTGATAATCTTGGCGACCATTGTGAATAGGGCTGAGATAAACTTGTCGTTTAGGTAGTGGAGTCGGTGGCTGGGATAGGTGGCCTGGGGTGGCTGGGATAGGTGGCCTGGGGTCGCTGGGTGATGGACTGGAGATGAGATGATCAAGAATGTCTGTGGCTGGATGGCAGGAGGTCGAGGTAAATATCCTCTCTGGGCTTGCCAGCAGAGCCGCCCTCATACATCACCGGTCACCACGTCATATGACGCACGAAGTGAAATGGTTCGATGCCATATCATTCCGTTCCGCGCGACTAGTCATCTTTGTCCACCAACCCTCAACGATGTTTAACCACCATTCTGCATATGACGACATCAAGCTTCCAGAAAGAGGACGAATATAGTGGCGATCCCCCGCGAGCTCCCGGAGCTGCTAATCGTGTTTTCACTCTGTGTGTCGAGTTTCTCAGGTTTACGAATATGGTATTCCATCAAGATGGATCTACACAACTCATCTACCCATCTCTTCTGTGATATTGCGCTTCGCTTCGATTATTAAGATCTGGACTATATCGCAGAAGAGCTTTGAAGTCTTGAACTCGGAACAAGCTCCAACGGTTAGACCCTGGGACGAGGATGACGCCGAAGAAAAATGCTTTCGGGTCTGCGGCAGCAGTCCAATGACGTCTGAATCAGAATGCTCCAAAAGAAAAATTCATGTGATTGATATCAAAAAAATCGTCCCGTTTGTGACGATTGTACGATGCAATTTTCGAAGAAAAACTTGGTTGAAATTATGTATGATCCCTATATATGCCTATTACCAATCCAATGACTGGATTTGAGCATCGAGAACGCGTAGGTGACCAAAAGAGTTGGTAGCAATGCGGTAAGGCTGAGAGGCTGATACGATCCAGGCCTTTGGCATATGTAGCACAGCTTCTCACATCTCGAATGCATCGAAGACCTGATAGAATACTAGTATCCGCAGATGCCACTGCAATCCAAAAGCTCCACAGGATAGTAGATCTTGGGAAGACCTTGCGACATAGGCACCGTAAGGGTGCCATCTGATCCTGCATTCAATCCTTCGCAGGACAAGACGTCCACAACCTTAGTGCCAGCATCATATCCAGTATTGTTGATGTTGAGGGTATAATTGGCACTGCTGGCTCCGTTATTGGTCAGAATTGTGATGCTCTGGTAACCATCCTCTCCTTTGCGCATGGCAACATTGGCGCTGTCGCTGTAGATAACCCAGTTCTGGTAGGTGAGCCAGTCTCCATCGACGTAGAGCGCATGGTTGCGAATCTGATTCACGCTTGCCGTGTGAGTATAGAGAGGCGCACCAGTGTTGTATTGACTCAGCCAAACAGCTTCACGATTGTAGGGATCCTGAGCGCCGCTGTAATGCTGTTCCTGGCCTTCGTACATGATGGGAATTCCGTCGCTCATGATTGTGTAGGTAATGATGTTCTTAGCCAGTGACATGTCGTTGGTCAGAGATGCAAAGCGAGGCTGGTCGTGGTTTTCCGAGAATGATCCAAGGACGCTAGTGTCTTTGCATTGGCTCTTCATGCCATTGAGCTGACTGACGAACTTGGACATGCTTCCAGCAGTTGAGGAGAATGCATCCGTGGCTGCGTAGTNACCTGAGCACGATGTAAGCAAGGAGAAGTTATACGCAAACTTTCGCACGTACATGGCGTAGTTGAGAACACTATCCATGTAGTTCTGGTAAGGGCAGAGGCCGTATGGGTCGCCGTTGGTCACTTCGCCGGTCATGAAAACGCCAGCGGCCTCATCGAATCCCGACCAAAATGAAGTATCAACATGCTTGACTGTATCGATACGGAGACCATCAACNNTGGTAGAGCGTAAGCCAGTATTCAAGTTCGATGTCCACGCTGACTTACTGGAGTAGTTGGCGACCAGCTGCTGAATCCATGTCTGGTATTCTGTTGCGACTGCAGTATCTTCTGTTCGAAGATCGACAAGCTCTACGTTCGAGTCGCCCAACCAGCAGTCCTGAATGCTGGTGTTGTTGCTGTAGTCGATGTTACAAAAGTTGTGGTAGTACTCAACATTCTCGAAAGGCTTGAACATGCTGTAGTCGACTGAAGTCGCGTTCCCGTTCCAGCCGTTGTGGTTGACTACAATGTCAACCATGAGATACTAGAACTACGGTCAGCGAAAATTCAGGCGTTTGGGTATGCATTCTTGACGGACCATGCCTCTGTTGTGTAAAGCCGTGGCTAAAGCCTTAAGATCGTCTGCAGTGCCGAAAGCACTGTTGAGCTTGTACAGATCTTGCTGCCAGTAGCCATGCCATGGTTCACCATAGGGCGTCCAGGTCTGGATTTGATATGTGATAGGGGAGATCCAGATCTGCTCTTTGGTTTAGCGTTTGCCATTCAGCGATCCAATCCTACATCTCGGTGAACTTACAGCAGTGAATCCCATGTTCTGAATGTAGTCCAGTTGCTTGATGATTCCTTGGTAAGTGCCGCCGCAGTATTTACCGACCGGGTTACAGGGGGCTGTAGTGCTTCCATCGGGACGTGCGAACCNTGATGAAAGATGTTAATCAATCATGGCAACGTCTGAAGTGAGCAAAGAGACTTGCCGATCGGTCAATACTTGGTAGATAGACTTGGAACGCCAGTCGGCGGCAGATGCTGCCAGAACAGAAGCGCCGAAGCTGACGAGGGTGAGAAAGAAAGCGAGCTTCATGGCTGCGTTAATGAGTGTGTTGGACGAATTTGCTTTGCTTCGATGTTGCAATGTAGACCGTATGTCTATGCGACTGTTATGATGGTGAAGGTTTGCTTTGCGCGGTTGATGTGATGCGCCAGTGAGTGTGACAGATCGTTATGATGAGTTTCTTGTCGATGCTACGTGCAAGCAGTGCCAAAAAAAGTGTGTCGATTAAAACAAGTACTGTGTTGAGAAGTTAATGGTCGCCGTCTAGGCTGACAAGAAAAGGAGTGTGCTTGAAGAAAGGTTGTGATGGCAGGACGATCAGTCGCGTGCGGTGCCACGTTGACGCTGGAAAGCAGTGCAAGAAAACAAAAAGAAGCAGGAACAGACACTCGATATCAGGGCAAGTGCGACTGGTAGAAAGAAGGTGTTACACGCGTCTCGAGATTCGAACAACGACCAAACACAAACCGTTGAAAGAACGATGCCGTTGACAAGTTCTAATGATTCACTATGAGAATAAGTGGTCCCTTTGCCGAACAAAGAAGGGTCACTACAGCTAGATCCCTATAGAGGCACACCTAGAGCCCAGTGGACTCGAGCATGCGCAACAGTCTTTAAACAGGTCGACCTGTTGTCGTAGACATCTACAGGGCAGTCGCCATGCACCTGACGCACCACGACCGAAGACATGCCGTGATCGGAAAGATCAGATGCCATGATCATCGTACTTTTATCGTCACCAGCACACCTACAGAGCCAGTCTGCTGGCTTCCGGATTGTGATTGTGTCAACATCCAAAACGAAGAGTTGTGGTCCGAAGACGACGAGAACCACTCGAATGGGGGACACTAGTCGGGCCGCTCCAGGGCTCGGACAATGTGCCGGATCAGCCCTATCGGATGCTAGGAGCTCGAGTAGAGACCCTTCACACATGATTGCTCGGACGATTTCGAAGACCGCCTCGTCGTAAATCTAAAAGTATTATGGCTACATGATATACAGATTGACTGAGACTTTCGAGTTTAGTGCTTCACATATTGAGTTATCTTTGTTATAGCATGGCGCCCTAGTCGATGTATCGTTCCTTCACGCAGTTACTGTCTAACTAAATGTTAGAACCAAACAGCCTTATTTTATGATAGACACGAGAGAACAGAATATGGTTTGCTCCAATAGGCATCAAGGTATCATGATTGTATGCTGTTTTTGTCTTAGACCAACATACGTTATATTGATGGCATATCTAAGGATGCTCTCGAAGACCAGGGTCATACCAGCAGCCACAACGACTCAGCTATATTCTGTTTCGCGAGTATGCTACACTCTGAGCAAAGCTTGCGCCGTTTCACCTTCCTGTTCCCATCTCGTATCTTTCGACTGTTTGGACGTTTGCAAAATCGTCTGCATCCTGTCCCTCTATTCGTTTTCCTCATGAATGTTTGGTTGTTGCTCAAAGCATGCTTCCGCTAAAGCCCTCGACTCTGATCGTCTCTTGACTTATGAGCCGCGGTAGGTTGTGTAGCTCCAAGGCCCCAGGAGCAGGGGAACGTGATAGTGTTTCTCATCCTTGCTCGTGCAGAACTTCAGCTCAACCTCTGGCCAAAAGGTCTTTCCTTTGCCGTAGAACTCCTCGGTTGCGAAGACCAAGCTCCAATTCATCTGCTCATCGCCCTTGAGGTCGGACTTCAATGTGTTGACTAGGTGATCGAGCTCGGAGGTAGTGACGGTACCGCCTTCTTGAGTGGATTGCCAGGCGGTCACTCGACCGTCGGAGTTGGTGGATGCGGTGAAAACGGTAGTGGTGGAGAGGTTGGAGCGCTTGGGCGAGAGGAGCGACAGAGTTACACGCATGTCGGGCGCCGGACGACCCGAGACGGTCTCAAGGACGTGGCATGTGATAAATGGGCGTGATGAAGCTGCCATTGTGACTTGTGTTGTGGTGTTGATGGGTCCGGCGCAGTGTGGTGCAATCGAGCAAAGACTCAAGGAGCTTGTTTTGCTTTGCTTTGTGGAGTTTGCTGCTGATGAGAACTATGGGAGCAAATGGACCTACAAGTGACGAGAAAGTGTTCTATCGTGGATGTTTATCTGTTCATGATTCACCCTATACGAGTACGTGTTGCGTGCTTTCGCGGAGTTGGCCGCCCTCGTGTCGGTCGCATCCGCCCTCATAGCGCGAAACTAGATGTGACAGTCACTTGATGTAATAGCCGACCATACTCGTAGTCTGCATCTTGCTGAGTATTGCACGAGGCATGAAATTTGCGCCTTTACATGAAAGAACCTCTTCAGACCCCCCTTGGGCAAGTACGAGATCCCTTTCTGGATAGGTATTATACCGTGTGGATATAATAAGGAATGTCATGGAAGCACAGACGGGATCTTGTGCCCACTCATCTTGAGCCTCTTTGCGGCTCTGCTTCTCTTCACCTCATACCACAACGACAATTGAGAAGAATCAAAGATGAAGGTATGAATTATAGTCGTTTCATGTCTCGTAGCTAATTGTACATGCGGAACAGTCGACGGAGTTGCTCTACGTCCCTGCTTTGAATTTTTCTGATGCCTCAGATGATATCATGATCCTCAATCATAGCCTGTCCCTCTCAAAGGGTGCGAGCCATAACTGTTTGTTTTCGTGCCATGCTTCGAGCAACAATGCACTTAGTTGCGGATGTTGGAGCGAACCTCGTCGTTACCACCGTTGTCCTAAGTTGCATGTCAGTAAGCATGTTCTCCTTAAAATCATTCTTCTTGATTCTCCGTGGACGTTACCTGACGGTGAATTTCGGCCTTGTGTTCAGGACCGCCTGTGCCTTCATATGCACTGGCCTTGTGGAGCTTGCCAGTAGAAGGGTCGATGTCACCACCCTCGCTCAAAGGAATCTTTTGGTTGTTGGAGGCACCAGTGCTTCCAACAGTGACATCGGCACCGGGGAACTTGTTGCGAACGCTCTCGTCAACACCAGACTCGAGGGCTGTTAAGGTAAATGTTAGCATGTTTTCTCGGACCATTAGAAGTCTTGAAGGTATAGCGGACCAGACGTCCAACTATAGGCTTCAATCTTGGCTCGTTCGAGACTTACTGCTGTCGCTAGCACCGTGACCGTGGTTGGAAGAGATATCAGCATTGTGGCCATGCTTAGCAGTGTGGCTGTTCAAGTCCTGCTCAGCCTGAGTAGCGAGCTTGATGGGATCTTGGTTTGCGTATTCGGCCGACATGTTGCTGGTTTGTGTGTTTGGATTGAGTTTGTGGTTGTTTGATAGGTACGTTGAAGAAGATTGAGTGTGATGAAGAAAGAAAAACTGTTCTCACACGACCTGAAGAAGTATTTCTACTGCTGCAATCGATCGAGCCGATTGAATGACGATATGGAGGGGGTGGATATACATGACGTCTGTTGTGCCAAGAGGTTCTTCGAAGGACCCTCACATGAAGTCACTCACGACTTGCACCCTGGAAAACACTGCCAAAGTGGAGCTGACATCGACAGAATATTTTGATGAGGTTCTTCAATACCGTCACTCGTCCATAGCGTCGAGTCTTCGAGAATCTGATCCCGACAAGACGAGACGGTCAGCGAATGCAGTTCAAGGTACCCACCCACGATCTTGCATCATAAGGACAGGCTCAATAAGATGCGAGAAATCCTTCTCAGGCGTGGTACGAGCATCAGGAACCGATCGCTGGAGAGACATTAAAAACGCTGGCTTCATTCTCGGTCTTATTCTGCAGGCGACCCATCAAGGTATAGGCTGATGTAACAACCCATTTTGGGCTGAAATTTCATGACCATACCACCACTTTTCTTGGACCTCGTCACCAGTTATCTCCACGCTGCCATAAACATAGCAGCGAAAGACCAAGCTGTAAAAATGCACAAATCCTTGGAGCCCGGATGTGCATCCACAGAGAGCCATACATAAGCCCTCAGAGAAGAGCATTCGGACCTCCACCCCTACGCTGCCAGACACTGTCTATGCCCATGTCGAACTNTGCTAATACACAGGTTGTCAGAAACAGACCGACAGAAAGAGTCACGAGAACTTACCCGTTGTCAGCCCAGATGACCTTGGGCTCTGGAGCGCCGCCTGGTGAATTAATGAATTTGATATTCTTCGNTCTGCAGACAAGTCAGCACAACTGCCGGATACATATACGGGACACTAAACTCACAATACCCAATGTCAAGTGAATTGATGGTCCTTCAGCGACAGCGTAGGTGTCCAGAGACTCATTCTTGGCTAGGTGCTCGATATTTTCTACGACTACAGGAGCTTGCCTGAGTGCTGGACGAGCAGCTTTGTGGGCTCCGGTATCAGCAACGTCTCCAACAGCGAAAATGTTCGGGAATTTGTTGTCGCTGATCTGTAGCGTTTTCTGGACGCGCACGAAGCCAGCATCATCGATCGACTCTGGTGACAGGGCTCGGATGAGCTCTGATTGAGGCGTTTGACCCGTCGCGATGANCCTGAAAATCTGATCAGATCCAAGAACAAAGTTGTGATGGAGTTTTGAACATACAGCAAAGTCGGTAGAGATGGCCGAACCGTCTTGCAGTTCGACATCGAATGTCGACCCATCAATTGGGTATCCTTTGGCAGGCAGTCTGACTCTAGAACCGAGCTTAAGTTTGACACCCAACTCTTCGCATCTCTCCTTGATGATGTGGTCAAGCTGGGGATGAAACTTGTTCATGAGTTGCGTTCTGGAGTGTACAAGTGTGACGGACTTCTCGGGATACACCTCTTTGATATCGGTCGCCATCTGTACCCCCACTGCGCCTCCGCCAATGATGGTGATCTTAGAGCTTGCTTCGACTTTCCTCGCATGTTCTCGTAGGTAAGTGACTCCATCAGCCTTGTCAGACGACGGTAATGTCGAAGGTGGAGTCAATTTCGTTCCAGTAGCGATTACNNCTGCATGAATTCATCAGCAGAAGCCGCTCGAAGATTCAGTATCAATGACCAGACATACCAGATAAGCATAAGGAATTCTGTCAAGCCCCTGACCATTTACCTCAACCTTACGATCCAACCAAATTTCCTCTTTGTCGATCTTCTTTACACCAGCTCGAACCACAACACCGCTTCCAGCAGGACAATTGGCAAACGTGCCTGGTGTGAAAGGAATGAACGCTTTATGCGTATCCACTTTGTTCGTCATCGCGAATCGTGGAAATGCAAACAAATGCTGGAAATGCGAGTTCTTCTCGATCAACAGGACTTGGAAACGCCCCGAGAACTTCATGGCCAGTTGTTGTGCTGTATTTACACCTGAGGAACGGACATCAGTACCTGAACAGACCAAACATGCACTGAGGAGTTTGTCAGAGAGCATACCAACATAGCTACCACCAATTACTGCAATGTTTGGTAAGACCGACATGAGTTCTCTTGCACTGTAAAGGTTAGAAATTTGGATATCAAAGAGAGGCTGTCAGTAACGCAAAGACTTTTGATGATCGAGCAGACCGTCAGGTCTTTATACTCGTCCTCTCTCATTCCCTAAGAGCTCAACTGACTTCCATGTTGCTCGCCGGCAGCCCACATCGGATCTGATAAGGGCATTGTTAACGGCACCCCAGCGATTTGAGCTTTCCGATTGGTTCATTTTCTCCGAGGGCTCGGCCGAGACCCTTATGGGAAGGTGGGGATGAACATTCCCGCTGCCGTGAACGTCCGCCGGCCATGGACGGCAACTGCGACAGGCAAAATGGAGTAGTTGGTCAGGCGTACGACTTCCATTCATGTACGAGCGTCCCTTACCATCTAGGGCTCGCTGCCTTACCAATCTTCTTGATGACTGCCTCACCTTGCTTCCGATGGCCCTTGGTGCTCTTTTTTCCCGTGCCACGAGCTCCTCTTCGTCATGCACCGCTTGATGTTTGTCAGTCTTGAGAAACACCTTCTTGCACTTACTGCAAAAGACTTGTGCGAGTGGATCTTTGTCCTCATCGTACGATAGACCATCAGGAAGGAGACTGTCCATGGCATCCCAGTCCGGCTCACCTTCTGGCACGTTGTAAGTCCGCATCAAGGGCATACTACCCATGAGCTGCTCATTACTCATATCCTTTGTCAAAATGACATCGCTTCAATTAAGCAGGACCGCAACGGGCCCCACCAAGAAATTTTGTCTACGCAAAGCGCAGAACAAGCTTGAATGCACCACAGGTGCCAAAACGATGAAAGAAAACTGCTGTGCGCAGTTTGATGATGATGTTGTTGTTGCGCCTGCGTCCTTGCCGGACTCGTACGGTGGAGCATGTCGTTCTGCATGGTCCAGAGCTCGAACCAATCTTTGCGAAACTCCATGAACTGTTTGGAAGGTTGTTGCAAAGGTCAGACTCATCGCACCCATAGACTCGAACCCAGGGGTCTTCTCCTCCTCGCCGTAGTCGGAGCTGGTGATCTTCTGGAAGCACAAAACGCCCTTGTAGGCATGGTTGTTGATCATGGCAGCGGACCACTTGCCCTCGCAGTCGAGATTTGTCTTCTTGGGGACCTTCCAGGAGCCACAGTCAGAATCATCTTCACACTCGAGATCCTGGACAAGAGAAGATATTCAGTCACCGTCCTTGTCATCACAATCCTCGGTCTTCTTCAAGGATCTGAGAACCTTAGAACCGTCCAAAGGTTCAATCAGGTCACATTCCGGCACGTTGCATTGCTGAAACAGATGTATGCGAAGGTCCATGGGACGTTCAGCGCCCATCTCTTGCATCAAAAGATGACGTGTCTTCGATTAGTCAGAGCCGCCATGGGTTCCACCACCAAATATCTTCGATCAAGCAGAACCACCATTGGGCGCACCACAGATCATCTTCAATCAAGTAGAGCCACCAAGGGTCCCACCAAAAAACTTTGTCGAGCTTGAAGGTACCGTTGCTGCCAGATGGTTTGAACATTGCTTTGCGCAGTTTGTTGACGATGACCTTGACGTTGTTACAGCTGAAAGAAAGAATTCCAGAACACCAGCTCAGTTTGCTCCTCAGGTGAGCATGAGAAGCGCCAAAGTCTTGTTTGAGGCATACAATGCAAGTGCCAGGGAAGTGTGTCGCTGTTCACTTGCGTCCTCTTCGAAGTCGTAGTTGTCGGTCCATGGATTGCCAGTCGGTAGCTCTGGCGTCGACTCGTCACTCAGGACTTGGACCAGGATAGGATGCCCAGCACCCAGTGCTGCAATTCCAAGAGGATATGTTTGTTCAACAAGGCAGAACCACTACGGGCCCCACCAATAAGTTTCGATTGAGCAGAACCACCACGTGTCCCACCACCGAAAGCTGTCCACGCAAAGCGCAGAATGAGCTTCAAAAGCGCCCAGCGCTGTTGCCAAAAAGGCCAATAGTTTCAATATGGCAGAACCACTACGGGCCCCACCACTGGATGTTCATTAAGGCAGAATCGCCTCACCAGAAAGGTCTTCAATCAAGCAGGAGAGCAACGGGCCCCACCACAGAAAGCTGTCAACGCAAAGCGTAGAACGAGCTTGAAAAGTGCCTAGCACTGTCGCCCAAAAAGGCTATCTTCTTTAACAAGGCAGAACCACTACGGGCCCCACCAAAGGGTGTGTGTCTTCAATAGGCAGAACCACTGCGGGTCCCACCACTCACCTGTTTTTCAACAAGGCAGAACCGCTACGGGCCCCACCAATAAACTGTCCACGCAAAAGCGCAGAACGAACTTGACAACACCAGAGGGTGCGCAAAGGCCGCCAGACTGTTGTGCGCAGTCTGACGGCCACGACGGTGTTGCTGATGTTGTTGTTGCTGTTGCTGAGGGCGATGTTGTTGATGAGTGAGAGAGTGAGAGAAATTCCGGCGCGTCAGTGTGCTTGTATGCGCATACAAGTGCCAAGGCGTAGCTCGAGGTGTTTCACTGCCAAGGCATCAAACGAGGTCACAAGAGGACGAGATCTCACCCTCTCCGTATGCTAGGCTCACTGCAGAAGCAGCTGTCAAAATGCATGGTTCTTTTCGTGTCAGAGTCGTGTCAATTGAGAGCCGATGGCTTGAAGACTATCTCTGGACATCACTCTGGATCGAATACGATTGTGTATTTCTACAGCACACCCACTACTTCAAGTGATTGCTCGGAAGCCCAAGGAAAGGACTGCCGGCATCTATGATGTTTTATGCTGTTGACTAGCCTCTTTCTCACGGGGTCTCTTGATATCATTGTTTCTTGTCGAAATACACAATTACTTTCCTGATCAGGAGCATGACCACAGAGATATCTTGAGATCAACGGCTCTCCGTGGATACGACTACTTCCTTGAAACTGCCATGCATTTCTACAGCATCTGTATCATCCTGCATTAGGCCAGGAGCATGCATATCAAACTCAATGTGCTGTCTTCCATACAACCTTCCTTATCTTACATAGCTATAGAACTACAACATGATTTCGATTTTTGCATATCGTTTCTTGGGAGATGGTGCTTTGTTTGCTCTCCGTAGTCAACCATCCGAGTCAGTATAGTTATCAAAATGCACAGTGCTTTTCGAAACAAGACACTGTCCAGAGAGAGCTCACGAGTTTACGGCATCTCTGTGAACATGACTTTTCTCCCCAAACTATTATGTATTTCTGCGATCTCAGTCTCCGCATTCGGCATACTAGAAGGCGTGCGAGGACGGCGAGAAAGCACTTTCGTTGCCTTGCTTCCTGCGTGATCCAAGCACGCATGCAGAACACTCCATAGAAATGCACAGTACGTCTTCGAAGACAGAGGCGACTCCTTGGAGAGCCAGCACTATGTCGACTCTCTTTAGCTACACCTCTAATCAGGAAACATTTGTGTCTTTCCATGGTCTTCGAAAATTCTGTTGTCGGAAAGGAGATGAATTGTGATATTGAGATGTCGAGGAGGAAACACAGCACTGTCAAGCAAGAAGCGATTAATGTATTGAAGTCAAAAAGCAAGCGAACTTCTTCGCCTTTCATTTCTTTTATACCGTACTCGAGCTCCTCCCCGCGGAAGGACAACTCCTGCATAGCAAGTCATCAAAAACAGGGATAGAACCATTCAGAAAAGCAATCCCAACGCAGCAACATGTATCAACGCCCCAGCCACTCCGCTTACTTAGAAATGCCCATGAACCAAAAAAGAGATGATGAAGTGACCAACTCTACTTCTTGCGCGATGCTCTGCCGCTCTTTGTCACAACAGCAGCGGCACCGCCCTTGGTGGTTCCGTTGGAGCCGGTTGATGCTACACTGCCTGCACGAGATGATGTGCTTGATGCTGCCTTACTGCCGCCCTTTACTGTGTCAAGCTGCTTGTTCTGTGGACTTGTCAGTTTCTAAATCTCTCATTCTCGATCTCCAATGCGTACCTTGACGTTGCCCTTTGCCTTCTTGGTAGTGGGCTTGACTTCCTCCTCCTCGCTCGATTCTTCGTCAGCAACTCTCTTACCCTTTGAGCCATTGAGCTTCTCGCCGTTCGCCTCGGCCATCTCCTTAGCAACAGTAGTGATAAGAGTGTTGCAGCGACGTCCGATCTCTTGTGGTGTTCTGCTGAGGAAGAACCAATCGAATCTGAAGAGTGGTGATTCGCGAATCTCGTCACGAATCTTCTCGTACAGGTTCTCGCTCTCAAGGCCGAAGCGGTCAAGCATGACCAAAAGGAAGCGATCCTCTTCCTCGGTGTAGACCTTCTTGTTGGTAGTGCTGACAGTGTAGTTGATCTTCAGCTGCTGCAGTGGTACACGGTACATGCCCATCTTCTGGCGGAGGAGCTTGCCATGCTGAACAACCTTTGCGCGACGCTCTTCACCCTCGTTGATGGAGTCGATGTGCTTCTCCCAGTTGGCAATCTCCTTGTAGCGCTTCCAGAAGATCTTGGCGTAAGCCTTGATCTCGTCAGGCTCCTTGCTGTCGACCTCCAGGGCAATATCCTCGTAATTTGTGCGTCCATACTTGGCACTTCCGTTGATAAATTGCTGGAAGTCACGCTTGTTCCAGTCACCGAAACCTTCCGCAGCAAGCTTGTCCTTCTCACGCTGTTCCTCCTCAGTCAGAGGCTCAGCGTCATCAATAGCCTGCTGTTCCAGAGCCTGGTCTTGTTCGCGCTGCTCCTTGTCCTCATCATCACCTTCAGCAAGTGGCGCCTTGATGTTGTTCTCCTTGCGGAACCAGGCGGTCTCCTTGTCTTGCAAATCGGCAAGATGAGGGTTGAAGAACTGGTAATCGTGCATAGCCTGTTGCTTGGGCGCACGCGGAACCTTGGGCTTGGGGTCGGCTGTCCTGCCGCCCGTCATAAGAGCGTTACGATAGTACTTATCCATCGAGTAGGATGCCGGGTCTTTGCGCTCACGCTTTGAGGGGTTGATCCAGTTGATGCCAATCTCTACCTTCTTCTTGTTCTCGAAGTTTTCGCCGTTCCACTCGTAGGCAGATTCTGAAGTGAATTTCTGAAGGTCGTCCAGGCCGAGCTTCTCGTACTTCGAGTTCAGCTCAGCGGTACGCTCCTCACCCTTCTTCAGGATTGCGTCGATGTCGTCTTCAGACATTTCACCGTTCTTTGCGAATGCGCTTCCAGAATTTGCTTCGAACACCTTCTCAGCACCATGCTGGATCATGTTCAAGAGCTCGTCCTTGGAAGCGGCCTTCTTAGCTTCTTGTTGAGCACGGCCTTGCTGGATGACGAGCTGATCCAAGCGGAGCTTCTGAGCGGCTCTCTCAAGCACCTTCTCCTCGATAGCATTCTCTGTGACGAAACGGAAGACGACAACTTGCTTGGTCTGACCAATACGATGAGCACGGTCCATGGCCTGCAAATCAGCCTGAGGGTTCCAATCACTATCGAAGAGAACGACGATGTCTGCAGTTGTCAAATTGATACCGAGACCACCAGCGCGGGTGGTCAGGAGGAAAAGGAACTTCTCAGAACCAGGCTTGTTGTACTCGTCGATGGCCGCAATACGGTCTTCGTGAGCTGTTGAACCATCAATACGGCAGTACTGGTAACCACGGAAGACCGAGTAATCCTCGAGAATGTCCAACAGTCTGCTCATCTGCGAGAAAATGAGAACGCGACTTCCTTGTGCCTTCATACGCTTGAGCAGCTTGTCGAGCATGATCATCTTAGCCGAGTTGTAGACCAAATGCTCGTCGGTGGTGTACGGCGGACCAGGTTCGGCTCCATCGAACAGGTAAGGGTGGTTGCAGCACTTGCGCAGTTGCATGACAATGTTGAGCAGACGAGTCTTTGACTCCTTCTTTCCACCAGCACCATTGACGGCATCGATGTCCTTCTCCAAAATGCGCTTGTACCAGTTGACCTGCATTTCGGACATGCCAATGTACAAGTTGACCTCCTTCTTGGGTAATAGACTCTTCTCGACGTCACTCTTGACTCTGCGCAGCAAGAAGGGGCGCAGAACTCTGTGCAGTTGCTGAACGACGGTTTCCTGATCGGAGTCTTGTCCAGAGAACCATTGGTCGAAGGCTTCCGAATCACCAAAGACGTCGGGAAGAAGGAAGTTAAGCAAGGCCCACAGCTCGTGCAAGTTGTTTTGCAGAGGTGTTCCGGTGATGAGAAGGCGGTTGCGTGAGTTGAACATACGGATGATCTGAGCAAGAGATGACTCCTCGTTCTTGATACGGTGGGCCTCGTCAATGATGATGTACTCCCATGCAAACTTCTTCAGGTGTGTCTTCTCGCGAAGAATCATCTCGTAACTCGTGATAAGAACATCGAATTTCTCTTCGTTCAGGCGATCGTTGATGATGTTTGCGCGCTCTTCCTTGGTTCCTTGGAGGACCAGAACATCGATATCGGGAATCCATTTAGCGAACTCGCGCTTCCAGTTGTCGAGGGTTGACTTTGGTACGGCGACCAAGTGAGGGCCAGTGATATTACACACAAAGCGTAGATAACCGATGAAGGAAATCGTCTGCAGGGTCTTGCCCAGACCCATCTCGTCGGCCAGAATACCAGAAATACCGTTCTCGTGCAGCGAGACAAGCCAGTTCAGACCAGCGACTTGGTAGTCGCGCATTAGGCCNNGATGCACGTAAGAGGGTGATTCGCGGAAGATTGTGCGGGACTCATCGCTTTCGTGCTTGCCAGCGCGGAGCAATTCAGCATCTTCCTCCTTTTCTGTGCGTCTCCTTCTTTCGCCGCCTGCACCTCCCTTGCGCGATTGGGCTTTGCCAGCTCTTGCCTTCTCTTCTTCGTCTTGGCGGTCGATCTCGGCCATAATCTCCTTGATGCGAGGGTTGGGGTTCGTGTCGATGAAGTGGCGGAAGAGGTCGGTCAGGCCTAGGAGGTAGCGGAATCTGCGGATAGAGTCGTCTTCCTGTATGGAGCTGTCAGACCAGAGGTTGGGAAGGCAAGGTAGCGCTGAGCTTCAGATACCTTNTGATTCGCCCAGCTTGTCGTGCTTCTTGCCCAGGACGCTCTTTCTCAGCTCATGACCCTCCCATCTCTTCTTTCTACCATCCAGGTCACCTGCAATGCTGCTCTCTGTGGTGGTCATGCCAGTATCTGAGTCCTAGGGAATGTTAGTATATGCGCGTTCATCTAGAACGAAGCGCGTTTGTAGCTCACAGTGTAGTCAGGCGTGTCGATCACATCCTAAAATTGGAGCATTAGCACATTTCGTGGTTGGACGTTGGCGCGTCGGCCTTTTTCAAGTGGTAGGCTTTCACATGGTTGAGCAGGAAGAGCAATGAACCAGAGCTTGTGGACAAAAGCAAGATGGAAAGGGTGATAGGTGGTGGTACATACACGCATGGTGTGGTCGCCATCTCCGTTGCCGTTCATGATGGGGGTGTGTGGTCGCCTTGCGGCGGAAGGTGGATTAAAAAGGTTGGTCCAGGAGAAATAGAGGATATGCGCGGGGTTCTGTTTCTGCAACGGACAGAGTTGATGGTGGTTCGATGATCAGCGGCGCGAGTGCCGGAATTACGATGGCGGTAGACGATTGAGGAGAGTGGATGGTGGATAAAAAGGCAATGCAAGATGCGAAGGGAAGAAGAGCAGCCAAGAAGCAGGAAGCATCCACTTCGATTGCCCAAATCCGCTTCTCAGACGCGCAGAGTCGCGACTTCTCCGTAAAATGCTTGAGCACTGACCACCGCCTGCTTCTCTTGTCTCCATCCACTCTTCCATACCTTTTATCCATGTCCTGAATACATTGTCAGCGATCCTCTGTTGTTTGCTCTTAGACAAGAAATTCATAATACTGGTGGAGCTGGCTAGGAGATGAGATAGAAACAGAGATGAGTTGGTTCGTTCAACACGTGAATACTAGAAATACATAATACCCTTCAATACCTTATCCTTCCTTCCTTCCCAACTCTTCTTTTAGCGAGCTGATGAGTTTCCTATCAATGTTCTCATTGCTATCTTGCTCGATGCCAACCATTTGTTCGCTGGAATAATACCCAAAACGCCACGCTAAAACCTGTTGCAATGCCAGAATATGTTGATACAATTTGTCCACCTGCTTCTCCTTCGTGCTTTGGAAACATTGGCCAGAGACTTCTTGTCCTGGAGTTTGTTGAAGAGAGCTCAAGCCTGCCCGCCGGCGAACATGAGCTCACGATCTTGACGCATGCCTTCGAGCACAGCGACCAATCCGCCCTGTCGTAGTCGCTCGAGCACTACCTTCATGCCCTCTTTTGCTTTGGGCTGTGATTTTTCAGCGCGGCGTAGCCCAATGACTTCGATAGATCGCTGCATGGGACTAGCTGCCAACGACTTGAAGAAGCCAAGCTTGGCTGGTGCCTCTTCTTCGGAGGCTTCAGCTTCAGCCTGCCTTTGTGCCTTTCTACGACGAATGTTCTCGCCAATCCGTGATTGCAATATGACTGTGGTCGTGACATCCGTCTTCTGAGATGTTTGTTGGCTGTAGAGGTCGGCGGCGGTAGAGGGTTTCGGCTGGGAGTCGAAGGCTTGTCGACGGAAGACTTGCTTTTCAATGACGCTCAGAACACCGGTCCATTCGAGATTGCGACTTTCAGCCTCCATGCGGCCTTCCTTGACATCGACAACGGTTGTTTCGAGGATATAAGCCTGGCTGTCGCCGTTCTCGGCTCCACCCATGATGCTCCGCGGCAGGAGCTTGAGGACGGCTGGAGGGAGTTTGCTCTTCTTCAAGTGTAGACGAACGGTCGTCAGACGTTGGGATTCGGGATCATATTCGCGCGAGATAACATCGGTCGAGAGCACGTGGGTGCTGTATGGATTTGGGTAGCGCANAAAGTAGGCCAGCGAGACGGCAGGAAAAGAGTAGTCGTAGCTATACGAGGTGGAGTAGAATTTGACCATCTTGCTGCATGCTGTGGATGGAAAGTCGAAGTTTGTGAACGAAAGCGGCGGAGAAACAGAGACAATGTCGAAGAAAAAAGAAGCAATTGAAGTGGAATGCTACGTGCAGTCGAGAAGGCTCCCCCTCAAGTTGGCGTGGTCAGCAGCGCGGCAGGATGACGATGGGCGATTTTTGTAGCCAGTCGGCGCGGTCCATCGATTGCCCCGACCCTGTCCGTCCGCTGACAGTCGACTGACGCAGCAGATCCTTACCGCCTTGGGTTAATTCACATGCTGTGTTTCTTTGTCCCCGCTTGCTGTTTCATCAATCACTGTCTGCCGTGACCTGATCTAACCTCATGTTTTCTGTACCTAGTCCATCATGTACTCGTAAGAGTCTGTCATACAAGCAACCGTGGACTTGCACGATGATCGTGATGTTAGTAAGAGAGCCCATAAAACAAGGGTTTGCAAAAGACGTTGCTCTGTTTCTTTACAGATGGAGAGAGTTCTACTGTATTGTATAGTCTTCTATCGACTGTGAAAATGTAAATTACAATCAAGGAGAAGACGACTGCCTCTCTGTGTACCGGAAAGGTCATTACAGTCTAGCTATGGGAAAGCACAATAGCGCCGATAGCTTCTAAAAGAAGTTGTATCCAATGAGATGACATCCCATAACCGCATTCTTCTGAAAACCAGCTGTTACTCTGTAGTATACTACATGCCAATGTGAGAAACCTGACAGCCTTGAGCCTATAGGTAGGTAGGCATGTAATTGTGGTATTCAGCAGGAGGGAGGATTGGCAGGGACAAAGTGCACAGACCAGCGGGGTATAACCGTTATTGACAAGAAAGTCGAGCGAGTCACACGAACTCTCGCCCTCGAAAGCATTCAAAATGGCATCGTCCGATGGAGCGCCGCACACGGCCGACGCAGTAGGAGCCCCTCCTGCCGTCGAGCAGGTCAAACAAGCAGCAAAGGAACAGCAGATTGACCCCTACAATGTCAGCGGAGGTGTCGACGAGAATGGAAACGTTACTGCCATCGACTACGAGGCCTTGCGCGAGAGATTCAACACACCCGCCCTGACCCAAGAGCACCTGGATCGCTTCGAGCGCGTCACTGGCAAGCCGCCGCACCGTCTGATGCGCCGCAAGCTCTTCTTCAGCCACCGCGACTTTGACAAGATCCTCGACTACTATGAGAAATACGGCTTCTTCCTGCTCTATACCGGCCGTGGTCCCAGCTCTGGCTCCATGCACTTGGGTCACGCCGTCCCCTTCNNCCTCTTCACCAAGGAATTGCAGGAAATCTTCGACGTGCCTCTTGTCGTCATGTTGACTGACGACGAGAAGTTCCTCTACACTCGCAACAAGAACCAGGGCAAGATGACAAAGGGTGCTGCCCTCGGCGACTTCATCGAGTACGCAAAGCAAAACTGCAAGGACATCATTGCTCTTGGCTTCGACCTCAAGAAGACCTTCATCTACACCGATTACGAGTACATGGGTGGTCACTTCTACCAGAACATCACCGAGTTCGAGGCTCTCCTCACAAACAACCAGATCAGAGGTGCCATGGGCTTCGATGGCAGCACAAATATTGGTCTTAACGCATACGCCGCTAAGCAGTGCGTTGCTGCCTTTGCTTCCTCATACCCTACCTTGTTCGGTGCTGGCGACTTCCGCGCTCCCAACTACGAAGAGGCCCGTCCTCGCAAGCACATCGCTGCCATCCCTACTTTGATTCCATGCGCCATTGACCAGGAGCCCTACTTCCGTCTTTTGCGCGAGAACTGCGATCGTATGGAGTTCCCTGCTCCCAAGACCGCTCTCATTCTCTCAAAGTTCTTGACTGCTTTGCAAGGTCCTGGCGGCAAGATGTCTGCCAGTGACCCTAACTCAGCCATCTTCATGTCTGACACATCCAAGCAGATTGAGAAGAAGGTCAACCGCTTCGCCTTCTCAGGTGGCGGTGCCACAAAGGAGGATCACGAGAAGTACGGTGGTAACCCCGATGTCGATGTTGCATACGCGTACCTTTCTTACTTCCTCGAGAGTGACGATGAACTCAAAGAGATTGAGCAGAGCTACCGTAAGGGTACTCTTTCCACTGGCGAGCTCAAGAAGCGCTGTATCCAGGAACTACAAAAGTTCGTCGAGGCTTTCCAGGAGCGTCGCGCAAAGGTTACCGACGAGATCATGCGCGAATTCATGACTCCCAGAAAGCTCGAGTTCAAGGGCAACCCCAACGCCACTGCCTCAATCGAGGAGGCCGTCACCGAGAAGAAGCCAGAGGAGAAGCAAGAGAACACTTCCGGCAAGCTTACAAAGGGCGAACGCAAGGCCCTCAAGATTGCCGAAAAGAAGGCCGAGAAGTTGGCGCTGAGAGAAAAGGGTCAAGAAGGAGAGCAGCCCAAGGCAGAAGAGGCATAGACGATCAAAGCAAAAGTAAACATTTTCACGATTCTCACAATTTCCATATCCAGACGGTATCCGTTCACCATTGCAATTTCACTAAGCGTTTCATAAGCATTTCACGTTCGGAATAAGGGCACATGATCAAGCAAGAAAAATTGGGATTCTGTCCCATTAGATTGATTTCGATATACAAACTACTTCAAGCATAGCGAAGCATAAGTCCTGCAGCAATAACCGGAAGTAAGTATTTGCGTGTCTTGCTCAAGACGTTGTCAGCAGCNNCATGGGATCTAGAGAAATCCAAAGTCAGTTAGATAGAAGTTCTGCGCTGAACACGCCTCTCGCGTCTGGAAAGAATAGGACCACTAACCATACCTGGGAAAACATCAGAATCTCTGGCTCTGTTGAAGAAGAACTCGGGAGTCGCCCAACGCTCGTACGTCTTTGTCTCGACCACAGGGTCAGCCATAAATCCAACCACTCTGGTCTTCCACATGAACGACGGCATAAAGTTTTCGTGACTGCAGGATACACAGAGGAAAACAGCGTGCTCTTTGTCAGTAATCACATAGCGCAGATGGTCTTCACCACCAGGTTGAAGTTTCTTCCAAGTCAAGACTTTGAGGTTGTGGTCGACGATTTTGCATCTAGATGTACAACCTCGGTACTTGCATGCTGGATAAAATCCTTGAGAAAGATAGTTGATGGCCCACTTCAAGCGGAAAAAGCGTTCACCTTTTTNCTGATATCTCTCCAGCATTAGGTCCAACGTTTTGGCAATATCGACGTCGAAAAACGGTCCGGAAATGGGACCGGGTCCATCTGGTCTTGTTAGCTCGCTTGTGAGGTCAATCTGCTGGGCGAGAGGGATATCAAAGGTTTGTGGAGGGGTGTTATAGAGTGGCACCGAAGGGTCAGGTTGATCCATTGATTCACCAGTGGAGTTGGGAGAAGGTGAGTTTTCGCCCATTTCAGTGTCAGTATCTCCACCGGCGAGTTCGGCCTGAAAGAGTGCATAGGCATTGTCATAGTCGGGCATCTCGATATCCAAAGGGTGAGACATTGTTGATTCGTCCGCTTTGCAATATCTTCGTTAAGTTTGTTGTTTGTATTTGACACAGAAGATGAACTTTCAGGTTGGATCAGGACGTCTTCTGCGATCCAATTGATGATTGTAAGAAGACCGACCATAACAGCAACTAAGTATTCTATGTTTGTGAAAGATGCTCCTCATGAGACGTTGACTCCTTGCGACAATGTGTTGTTCACCAAGACAATCAAGAATCAAAGAGAACAAAGAAAATACGTTCGTCTTCTGAGAGTTGTCAGAGGAGAATAATGGTTTCAAGGTTCCATTCTTTGAGCACTCCATACACCAACACTTCTCTTGTTTCCAATGTCTTTGTGTCTTCGACAAGGTCATTGTCTAAAACGATCCCTTGAGATACTCAAGTGTCTCTATAAAGCTAACCCTGTAGGCCACCACTGGATCAAATAATCACAGCACTTCCATCTGGACCAAAACACAAACACACTCACAACAACACACAAAATGTGCAATCACACTAACTCCTCCACTCCAAGCTCCTCCAACATGCCTGTTCTCTCTTATGGCTCTAGAGGTGTTTGCAGAGACTGTTACAGAACTCCTCAATGGAACCCTCTTTATGGTGCTTGGTACTGCACTACCTGCCGTAAGTTCATCACTCCTTCGTTTCCAGAGAGGTAAGCGGTTACAAAAATGACTTGTTCGGATAATGATATGGTGTAGGTACGATTTCAGGTTTGCTTTTCATAGTTTGTGTTCAGTATGCTGTTGACTCAATCAATTTATTTTTTCTTCTTGGACTTTTGCTCCTCGTGCCTCTTTTGTGCTAATGAGTGATATTGTAAACACTCAGTTGTCCGTCGCTCCTTCCAATTACTGTCATCACTAAACTCACATGATCAGACATAGTTGGTTCTTTCGGTATCAGAAGGAACGATTAAGTCATCTTGGCATAGACTTTATCCAGAAAACTCGCGTCAGTCCCTTGTATTTAATTCTCGAAGAGACAAAGGATCAGTTGGATGATTATCAGAAACTACTGCCATATAAGAAAACTACAAACGAATGGTCTATACCGCGCCCTTGGGGTATCAAAGCCAGCCTCGTGGCGAAAGAAACTTGCGTATCAGCGAAACGTAGAGAAACAGAACAAGTAAACCTCCATGCAAACAAACAAAGAGAGACGCCACCAGTCTCCACCGAAACCGCCACCAACTCCAAGGTCATTTTTTGAGCCTAAGCGTAGAACCAATATTCGGCAGCATAAGGAACCTCGATCACTCCGGCACTGCTGCAAGTGGCTGGTGGACTGCCACCTGCAGTTTCGACTCTGTAAACTGCCTGAATGTTCTTGCTCACTCCTCTTCCGTCGTCTTCCAAGAACAGCCAGTCCACGCTTGCCTCAATACAACCTTTGGGCGCCGGCACACTAGCCACCTTCTTCGCACTTAGGAAACCATGACTTTCGAGGTTGAATGTGGGTACACCTGCAGCGCTGAAGAAATGATGTCCCAGGGTTGGTAGATTGAACCAAGTATGTGTACTATAGGCCACAGCGGCGAATGATGGGATCAGAGAGGATCTCGCAAGCGGCTTGAGCAAGCTCGCATCGTAGAGATCGGCGACTGCGCCAATGGCTGTGGGAACGGCACCGGCAGCACTGCAGCTGTAGTTCTGAGTGCCGACACCGAGAGTGATGTATTTGAGAGACAGAGCACCAGGTGCTGGGAGCCCATTGAGAGGTACAGTGTTCAGGTTGGAACTTGTGCTTGGAGTAGGCAAGGCTAGTGTTATCGTGGCGANAAAGAAGGCGAAGAGCAGCCGAGCGATGTTTGAAGACATTATGAGTATGTGCAAAGACCGATTGATAGGCTGTAAACGAGTTGAAGGACAAGACGAAAAAGGTGCGGTAGTATCGATGCAAGTGCAGAAAAAGCCAAAGCCAATCAATGCTGTGCTGCCACTTCTTTGATAGAAACAGTCGAGAGAATGCTCCTTGTGTTTTGCTGATAATAAACTAGAACCGAGATGGGAGCACAGGACAATGTTATATATCCCAACTCTTGCCGCTCACATGTTCAAAAGAGGACGCGTTGGTACGTACGAGATATGAGAAGAAGACGGTAGCTGCTAAACTTACCACATCTATCTGCAGAAACATGCAATGTCATGCAAGTCAAAGACGGGAAGGACGGGAAAAGATGCGAGGCGCCGACGTGCATTGCACTACGCGTCAAGCGTTTGTGCAAAGAAGATCTGGCGACACCATATCGCTAGCGCAGAGAATTGATATTAGGGCATCGGAGAATTTGTTGGTCGTAGCTACTTTGTTGGTTGTCACTCCTTCGATGTTGGTGTATCATTGCCGAAGATATCATAAGCGCTGATGAGATATATACTTTGGCGCGGCTCATTAGATCTTGCAGACGGGCTAGATGCTCGTGTGCCATGAATTGGTAGATTAAGTGCATATGTTAGCAGCATTTGGCGGCGCTTATGATCAGTCGTGGCTTTTCGTTCTTCCTTCTACTTAGCAAAGCGGACGCACCGTTTCGAGTCTTGTAGATGGGCGACACTCTCACTGTACTTTCACCATTCTATTTCAGCTTCAGGCTGTTCCTGCACCAATCCAGCAGAGATTAAGTCAGGATTGCTCTCACAAGATGAAGTCGTGATGAGGATTGAGGTTGACGAACAAGCGGGGTTCCGCATCCTTCGCCGAGCGGCACATGCACACATCTGGCGACCTGCAAAAACATGGTCTTAACTTCAAATATGCAAGTAAAGAATGCCGACTAATCACGCTTATGCGGATGAGAAGTGCTTCCTACTAAGAATAGCTTGAGTGAATGTCCTAAGAAATTGGTTGATTATGTCCGTTAATTAGTGATAATTTTTAAATTTAGACCACAAATGGTGTGAGATGCATGCTGTACGTATCCGATATTCATCTTCGACTAAAGACCCTCCATTGCGGGGTTGTTGCAGGTCAGAACGGAGGAGGCGGTCTGTTCAGGACGTGACCAAGAGCAGTTTGAGACCTTCTGCAATTCGCGACCACGACCTTCACATCTTGCGACTGGAGCAGATGCTGCTTGAACTTCAACTTGCTCATGGCTTGAGCGGCGCCGGAGCGTATCAGATGTACTCGTTCGACTAAGAGCAATTCTAGAGCTCTGAGCAATTGTCTATGGTTCGGCGGCGATGAGGAACCCTTAGCCGAATTTAAAGAGCTTGTGAGCAAGACCATGTCTTCCCTGATCAGAGTCTTGACTCAATCTTCACAGTTCTTCAACACCAGCAAGATTCCAGACGTCTGGGTGAGGGTCGGACTTTGCGAATATCTTTGCTGTGTCCAGCTCGTCAGAGTGCAGATGTGCACCAGCTTCCCTCAAGGCCTCGACGTGTTGAGCTAATCCTGCGTGCGCAGCAACGAACAGAGGCGTGCGCCCATTACGGTTGCGCAAATGAACGCTAGCTCCAAGATTGAGCATCTCTTTCAGTACATCAACGTTTGGCCCGGTAGCTGCAAGATGNNCTGTAATCATGATCAGTCAAACGTTCAGCAATGTACAATCTCCGCTTAAAAGATCCTTCGAAGAAGAGCCATGACTTACAACGGGAGTATTTCCTGAATAGTCCACATCGTTCAGAAGCCAGCGATTCTCACCTCTGACAACGTCTCTCACGCTCAGAGCATCTCCATCTTGAATAGCATATCCAAGTGCAGTCAGACTCGAAATCTCGGGAGTCAGAGTGCCGCTAGTAGGGTGTTGAAAGTGAGTTCGTCCTCTTTCTGTCAGTTCACCTCTGAGCGAGTTGTGCATCTGCTTGGCCACGTCCTCGGGNNGGGTTGATCCAGGGATTGAAAGTAGGTACGAAAGTTTTGTCAGAGCGGCTTCTGTGGTCATGTCCTGACCGAACACCACACCTGCACGTCCAAGATAGGTTGCTGGAGCATACAGTGGGCTGACACTACCGCTGAGACACTGTGTAACATTGACAATGACAATGCCACGCTTGACGGCGTCTGCCAAAACTCTAGTCATAGGTGAATCCGGTCCTCCAGGCGTGTTGCCAGCACCGAACGTTTCGAGCACTAAACCCTTAAGTCCTTCTGTACGCAGGAACAGATCCACCATCTCTGGCTTGATACCAGGGAAGACGCGCAGACAGGCTACGTGGGCGGTATCCAGATTCGAGTGCACACAGAAGGGGTTCACAATTCTCGGCCTGTAGACAAGATCCCAGCTGACGTTGGTTCTCAAACTGCTGATAGTGGCAAGAGGTGGCATGTTCGGGCTGGCGAATCCATTAAAATCGTCGGCTGACACTTTAGTCGCACGGTTGCCTCTGAAGAGCTTGAAGTTGAAGAACAAGCAAACCTCAGGAATCATGAAATGACCTGCAACAACAAGAGCACCTAGCAGGTTGTCCTGGGCATCGTTCTGCAACTGCATCATTGGCGCTTGTGAGCCGGTAAGAATGACGGGCTTTCCGAGATTTTGAAGCATGAAGCTGAGAGCACTGCTGGTGTAGGCCAATGAGTCGGTTCCGTGCAAGACTACAAAGCCATCATAGAGCTGGTAGTTTCGCTCAATAGTTCTGGCAATCTGGTCCCAGCCTTCGGCATCGATGCTGCTGCTGTCGAGTAGTTGGTCGAATTCCAGAACACTGTATCGGACCTGCCGACCATAAGTGCTTGTTGGAGTGCGCAAACTTTGTACAGCTTTGCGAGTGCCTTTTCCATCTGTCACGATCTCGAGTGGCTCAGGATACGAGCCATCGTTGAATGAAGGTCGAGGAGCGAGGCCATTCTTCAAGAATCCTTTTCNCCTACAACAAAAAGGTTACTTGCATATCAATGCATCAGGACCAATATCACATACCGGAACAAGACCATTCTCAGATGGTTGCATGCATATCGTGCCTCCTGTAATCACGATCAGGACTCTTGCCTCGGGCACTTCCATTTTAGCCAGTCGTGCACGTAAGAGATAGTAAGGAAATAGAGCACACCACTAAACTAGAAAAAGACGGGGCAGAAAGAGAGTGAGTGATAAGAAGGTATTTCAAGATGACGACCGAGCTCACGCAAAAAATGCCAAAGCCGAAACGTGGAGCAAAATCTGGAGAAGACGCGTTTTTCTCTCGTAAATGTCAAGTAACAACGATGCCGCTAGTGATCTATTTGGGTTAGACCGATGCTCCGAGATCCGATTGTCGGCCTCTGGTCACGACGACTGCCTTTGACTTGCTCCTCTGTCTTCGTGTTTGTTACATTGTTCTGTCTCTCAAAGCGCATGTCGAACGCCATGACTAAACCTCGAATCTTGAGACAAAGATATAATGTCGGCTTATCACGGGAGTCGCGCCATCTAATCTCCCTGCTCTTTGATCCTTTGTACAAAATGTGATGCGACATTTTCATTGTCCTTGAAAGGCCGAACGCCAGGCACATTATATATTCTCAGCACTCTGCGCAGACCATACTTCGATCAATTTTCGTTCTCTTGTACAATTTGCCTTTCTTGTCTTATCTTTGTGAGTCTGCTGGCAGATCTCTTCGCTCCGAAAAATCAACAAAATATAGTAAGCACCCTTACCATACAAGATCCTTAACCTCTAGCACATACATCCACGGCAAACACGAACCCATCTAGCTCTTTCATCATATTACAACAGGCACAATGGGCAGAAATAAGGGTAACAAGAATCCCTGTTGCAATTTTTGTAAGATTACAGGTCACAGGCAACAGGATTGCCGCAAGGATCCAAAGAACAATAACAACAACAATGATCAGAACAACCAGAACAACAACAAGCAGAACAACCACTGTAAATATTGTGGTCATAATGGACACTACGAAGCGTACTGCGAAAAGAAGAAGCAAGATGCGGCCAACACTAGCTCCCATAGTGGCTTCCTCATGACTGCTCCCTGGCAAATTTCCCCACCGCAACCCGAATCCTTGTGGTGCAAGTGGTGCAACACAAGTCTGCATTCCACCCCTAGCTGTCAAGACACAAATTCGCAAGTCGAATTCATGGTCACAGCGGCGACCAAGGCGATCAAATGCAACAGATGCGGATATATAGGTCATACCAGCGACAACTGCCGCAATCCTTATCCAGACGTGAAGTGTATCTTCTGTCAACAACCAGGTCACGCCTTCCAGGACTGCGTCCGACGCAATGAGCCTCGGATTCACGAGATACTTGCCTCACTTCCTTCAAACCAGTTAAATTCGACTGTCAAGAAAGATGAACCAAGTCATGCTATGAGCAACACAATCTCGACATTCAAAAGGGAGAAGAGAGGCACTCGACCAGAGTCAAAAAGCCTGCAATGATTTCATTGCTAACCTTGTGAATGCTACCAGTCAGAAGGGAAACACAGGACGTCATCCCTGTCCGGGATAACGAACTCGGTCACTTCATGGATGTAGTCTCGAACTGGCAACCAGGAAACACTTTCAGCCTGTGGGGAAAAGATCTTACTGAAACTATCAAAGCCATGAGACTGTATTATGTGGCTGAAGGTGTGTCTTTCTTCCGCATCGCTTATGCTATCCATAGGCTCGAAGCCGGTTTCACCATCAGCTGCGCTCATCCGGGGTGCAAAGGCAGTTCCGTTATCATAACACCAGAGTTCCAACCAGTCAACATTTCCACTCGCACTGGATACCCTCGTGACCAGGCCGAACACGCCGTGTTCCTGGCAACCAATTGTTCGCATTCGTTCTTTGATTTCGAATGGAGACGATCCCGCATCGAGGAGGGAGACCTGACGTCGCTTTATCTGCTCCAGGCAGCCCACTCGAATCCCGTACTCAATCAATACACTGAATTGAAGGCCGGTATCACTACACGAGACCTCGATCTCGAGTATGATGCTATGCTAGAAACGGAGAAAAGACGTCAAGCTCTGGATGCTGAACAACAGGAGATATTCGAAACTTCCAAAAGACTTGAAATTGAGGCAGCGGTACTCAAAAAGCGTGCGGAATCACTTGGCTCACCTATGGATTATAAAATGAACACTCCCGTCACCAGCACTCACAACAACAACGCCCCCCTCCTTCCTCAACAGGTTTCGGTAGTAGTGGCGGACCCTCTGATACCACTACTCCTCCGGCTGCTAGTAACTCTCGTCCTATTGCCAACCATAGAAAGCGTAATTACTACGGCGATAGTATCATGGAAGACGCCGACGGTATCAGAATCCCCACTGGAGACCAAAACGTAGCTCAAACTTCTCCTGAACGTTCGGAACCTGCATCCGGCGCACCTGCTTCTGATGAGGCAAGCCCTAGAGCTACCAAGAAGGCCAGAGGCCATGAAAGGAGCCTGAGCGGCCAGGGTGTTAAACGTGATGAACGTAGCGAACACACCGAACGCGCTGAGCGAGGCGGCAAAGGCGGCAAAGGCGGTAGAGGTGGTAAAGGTGGACGTGGTAGTGGTCGTGGTAGTGGTCGTGGTAGTGGTCGTGGCGGTGGTCGCGGAGGTTCTTCACCGAAAGGCGGCCGTCCATCAGGGGTGCTCCATCTGGTGGCCCTTCGTCTGGTGGTTCTGCACCTGGTGGAACCGATGACGACGATTACGTCCAATAGATACTTCAGTGAGCATAAATCGAAACGAGTATTGTTGTGTTCCATGTCTACTCCCTCCCCGTGTACTAAGTATGTAACGCGTGTAGCTATAGAAATGCATAATAGTATTAGGAGACAAGATAGTATTCACTGAGAGACAACAAGTTGTGTAGTCTCTGTGGACACGCCTTGGCTTCCCTAAACCGATTGTGCCTTTTATAGTCTACATTTTGCTCTTAGTTATAGTCGGAGTACAGTGGAAGTCACAGACTTTTGTAGACGAGAGGCTCCGCAAAATGTGTTCACCCAAAGACGTGTGTTATGTTTGAACAACCGAATGAGAAGGATGTTCTCACGACGTAAAAATAGTAATCAGAGTATGATCTATGTACTGTAATCCATAACAATATCATACCCTTAAACAGAAGCTACAGGCTTTCTGTCATGATACTCATACTCCTCTTCGTGTCTGAACTCTTGACTGATAACAATGCCTTCCTCTCTAACCAGATCCTTCATGCTGTCGCTCTCTTCGGCAACATTGGTGGTGATGGTCCTAGTCTGGTTCTTGTTCTTGCTCTGGGTGTGCATGTTGTAAGATTCGCAGTTGCGGTATTCGCCAGTTCTCTTGCCAGCTCGCGAGGACCCGGCGGCAATCCACTTGAAGCGAACGAACAAGGGCTTCAAGCTGGGAACACTGCCAATGGTGATGGCGATGAGATCTTCGATGATAGACCAGATCATAAGATCGGAGAAACCCCAGACGTAGTCAACGGGTGCGAGGAAGCGATTGAAGTAGAAGGCGCGGACTACGGTGGCGGCACTGGCACTATGGAGGCTTGATTAGTCGATATTCACAGACGCGACCCTGCGAAGTGGCACTTACAGGAAGCCAAGACTCAGAATGGCGGCTAGACTGAACTTGAGCTTCTTATCCATTTGTAGGTTCCAGAGGATAACATAGGGAAGGATGGAGCATGAGAAATCAGTGANTGCCTAGACAAAAAGACAATGTCAGCATGATATATTGAAGTCAGATGCAAGAAGATACTCACAGCTCGAAACAGTTGTATAGACTGCAACATATTTGATCACGTAAGGCGCAGCACATTTGCCAATACCTGTCCATGAGGCCGAGAGAGGGACACAGATAGCCAAGCAAGCGACCAGTGTGACGAAGCCGCAGCAGAAGGACAGAAAGATAATAAAGTAAAGGAATTGACGGATGCTCTTGTTGGTGGCGATGCGAAGGAGAGCAAAGCAGATACTGCTCTTGACGAAGATGAGAGAGGTGAGATAGAATGACTGAAACATCACGATTGAATGCCTGGCATCGACAAGTTGTTCGGGAGTCAAGTAGGTGTCCCTCACGCCGATGCCTGTGTTGCATCCGTACATGACAACGACGCAAGTACAAAAGAACAGTANCCTATCTTTTGTGAGCTTCTGCGAAGTTGTATGATATCCAACAGACAATGCACATACCTGACCGATCACCATAGACCAATCATCGAGGCCAAAGCCTCTGATGGACATACGAACAACGCATCTGACCGCAATGACAATAGTCGTAACGACTAAGCTCACCAGAGCAATAACGAAAGTAGACAGTTGCTTTCCCTCCATGACTGTTCGTATGTTGGAATTGATCGTCCGGTCCGCACACAGATTATGGAAGAACGACCAGGATGACTCGATAGGACTGCAGCCATATATGCTGAAATCTTCCCAGTCAGTCTCTTCTGCATAGCCATGTAAAAGATCGAGACTTCAAAGGTGTATGACTCGGCGTGACAGATACTTGTTTCATGATCAGGTACACTCAGAAGCAGGGCTGTTAAAGTCCAACGGTTTTCGTCAAAATTGCTGCGCTTGAAGCTTAAACTCAAGCCATCATATTCGCCATGCCGTCGACATCAGCAAAAACACCGAAAGCTTCCATCAAACCTACAATGGAAGGATTGGAAACAACCAAAAGGCATGAGGCGTAACCCATCAGATCTGGAACCTGCGATCCTTCCTTGGCCACGCCTTCCTACCTGAGTTTCGAATGCTCACTCGCTCCTTCGAAAATACCATTTCTTTCTTACGTGTGGAAATGTCATGAAAGCGTAGCTGCCGTAGCAAAACCGAGAGGCCCTAAGCCGTTGACACACTAGCCATCAGCAGAGAAAGGCGCGGACCTCTCAAATACTTGTTGTGACGCTTGGCATCGTCCCAATTCGAACACTCTTGTATCCGTATGACATTCCGTCGCACAGTTTCGAGAAAAACTCAGATGTCAGTCTGCTCGAATCAGCACGGCAGGAACATAGTGGAAGGCTCGTGAGTCGTGGGCGCAACCTTAAAATGCCCGTCAGATCTGCAGCAGCTTCCTCCATGTGATGAAGTCTGCAACGTCTGGCCATCCTCTTGCTGCAACGTAGTGTGACACATGCTTTGACAATGTGCAGTATGTTTCTGACTCCGAATTAGAATCAACGAGGACTCTCTGATGATATTGCTCGTGTGTCAGTAGTCTCTTGCAGCTTTGTAGCTACGTGCATTGCGAATTTTCGCATAGGAACGAGATAAAGCAATGGCCTTCACGTAGCAAGAAACTATTTCGTTCCGCGGACATGAGCACGTGGCTGGACTACATCTTGCCAAGTACCGGACTAGATCGTGGAGAACCTCGAGAAAAGAACGAGATTCGAAGAACGGACCAAGCACCGATGGAGCTCGCGCCCTGAGGCGTATGCTTCCACTCGTTGAGCGGTAACTATCGGCTGTTTTGCAATTGCTGGGAATAGGAAAGATGCTTGCTGTTGTAGCAACTTCATCCCGTCAAACACCTTGGTTTGTTGCGAGTCAGAATCTACCACTTCGTCAATTGACATTTAAATCGGTACGCTGGAGTCATACTCCGCACTGGTGGGAAGGTGTCTGCACCATTTCATGGTTCGCTTGATACTCAAACAAGCATGAGCGACACAAAGGCTTGGAGGATTGCACAGCAGTGGCAAATGGAACTTGTAAGGGGAGAGTCGGGAAGTGGAGAGCCATATGGAAGGGAAGAACGTTCTTTTGAATTGGCCGAGAAAAGGACAGTGGTGGTATTAAAAACCAAAAGCAAAAGTACAGTGGAATCATTACATCTCGTCCTCTCCTTGTTGTTAGCCAGCAGCGGTACTGCCGCCCGCTTGACTGTCTGTATCGTAAAGTCGTTTTGCGCATGTCTCTGTGTCTGTGTTCCTCCGCATTACTGTATTTTAGAAGATCTCACTATCATCATCAAAAGAATCTGTCCTCCGAATCAGCTCCTTCCACGCCTCATCCTTTCTCAGGCGTCTAGGCCGTTGATCATCTCCCCAGACGCCACGTCGCGTCTAGTCTATATGATCAACGTAGCCAGAGACTCCATCCGCCCAGTAATGTGATATTTTCTTTTCAAGTATGTGAAGATGAATGAGAAAGTCAGAAACAACAAAAATCACGAACCATAACTCTTGCTTGAAGGGACTGGCTTCCTTCTTACAGTACCAGAGACCTGCTCTTGCTGGATTTGTTCGTTGGCACCACTGGGAGCACGCGAGCCTATCGGTCTGGGTCCGGTGATTTTACGCGCTGGGCTGGGCTGGTTGGCTACCCTAGGACTAGCTGTCGGCTCAGGTGAACGNNCTGGTTGCATCGAGGTCAGCGAAGCACAGCAATGTTCTGCGTATGGATGGATACTTACATGTCCACGGTCTGTTTCCAACGAGTATCTCACTTCTTCGATAGGCTCAAGCAGATGGCCTGAGCCAAGTGGGGTCGAGTAATACATCTGGCGGGGTTTCTGCGATGCTTGCTGTCGCTGATCCTTTGGTGGCTCAACTTCGACTTTGGGTGCTGCTTTCTGTGTGTTCTCGGGTACCAGTGGACCGCTGTCCTTTCCAGCAGGGATTCCACTGAGTTTGTTGGTTCGTGCCAGGGAAAGTGAGGGGTTGGAACCCCATTGCAGAGGATCGAAATCGCTGTCCACGGTGCGTTGTGAAAGGTCACTGCTCGTGCCTGTCTCGAAATGATCAGGTCCACTGAATGTGCGAGCTTCGTTCTCAAGGTTCGTCTGGTGGCGGTGCGTCGGGCCTGGTCGAGGCTGAGGGTGTTGCAGAAGTAAAGAATCACGATGAGCTGAATATTTAGGGTCATCGAAGTTGTCCAATTCATCATCACCCGGAAGGATAATGGGAATGTTATCGAGCTGAGATCCTGTCTCGGAAGGGATAAGCGGTGATGGTGTTCGTGTCATATCACTGAGCCCACTGCGGATGCTTCTGGTATCAGGCACATGCTCCCTAGCTGCTTGATCTTTGACCAGCGACTGAGTAGATCGAAGACGATCCTCAGACTTCAGTGCATATCCATTGCCGTAATAACCAGCACCATTGGAACCCAGGCTCTCGCCGCTGCTAGAGGCATTGGTGTATTGACTTCGACGTTTGTCATTAGCATCAGAATTCTCTGGATACGACGAAGTCGTCGTTTTAGACCAACGAGAAATCTTTGGGATGCCAAAGACAGATTGCTTGCGCTGCTTCTCAGGAGTACCGGTACCAGTGTGAACATCGAAAGGGCTATGTCGTTGCACAGGGGTCGTGGAAGAATCGAATGATCCTGATCTACGGTTGAACGACTCTTGTGTTGGAGTCAAGAGCCTCTCGTTGTTCTCGAATTGATTGTCGAGAACGTGAGCCTCATGCTGCTCCAAGAAAGATCCACCGTCATTGCTCTCTTCTTCCATAACTGTACTGACGCGATTTATCGAGTCTCTACGGCCATTGTATCCAGAGTGGAAATATCTCTCCTGCGGAGAAGCTGTCTTCTCTTTGGGGGAAGGAATTGATGCATTGCCGGAATGGTTAGAGAGACGCCCAGAATGATTTGGGGTCGACGAAGTGCCGGCTTGTCCTTCAGGTTCGTATCCGGAGTCACGTCCATAATATGCCCGATCCTCGTACGAGTCGAAGCTGCTACCACGAAGCGACATCGGCGGTCGATCGCCTTGGGTCATCTTCAGATCCTCTACGTCTCCAAGGATCTGATTTAACATATCTTCGATCTTGGACAAATCGTTTGAGCCTCTCTTACTCAGTCCTTTCAGTGCGCGTTTGAAGACGTTCTTACGTTTTGTCGGAAGGTCCTCTTCGTTGTAAGTGCCATGGACTGTTCGAGGCTGGGCAGGTGGTTGAGGTCGAGGACCACCAAGCACCTTCTTGACTGTATACTCGGCATCACGATCCGTGTTCTCCATGATTTTGCGATCCTGCTCCGCAATAAACCTTTTCATTTCCTCGAATTCATGGCGCATCTCCGCAGCACTGCGCACTAGAGTGACAAGGATTTCTGTGTCCCTTGCATTGCGATGCGCGTCTCGGACAGTAAGGTGGTCCATCAACGCAACCACATCCTTGGATTGGATCGTGTCAATGCCTCGGCCGGTAGCACTATCGTAGAGCGGAGAAGACATGCCATGAGAGTTGCCACTCAGGTAGCGATTGTGCTTGCTGACGAATGCTTCGTTCTCCGCTGTGTCCAGGTCATGTCCTTCCAACTGGGTCTTGGTATGTGTCTTATAGCCCCTTGGGGTAGAGGCCCCGTTAGAACGAGCGTAAGCTGCGGATGCGTAACCCTCGTCTCCGAAATGAGCAGGAGGAGACGCTGTCTCTGCACGTCCCACATGGACAGCCTGGGCTTGCCGCACATCTGGAGTCGTCTCGCGGGAGGCATAGTCCTCGACCACTGCTTGGTTCGTTGAGAGATGTTTGTCTGAGCTGTGTTGACTCAAGATTTTGTCTGCTGCAAAAGCACCCGCAGCGATGCCAGCCCNCACTAAGGCTTTCTCGCTCATAGAGGAACTGTGCTCCGAGATACTGTCATGTCTTACAGCTGCTCTCTCAGGACTTTGTGAGAACGAGGGCAGAAAATCGAAGCGTCCATCACCTCGACCTGGCCCTTGGATCTCTGGAGGATTTGTGCTCAAGTCAGAATCGGAGTCAATTCCATGTCCGATCTCGGGCATAGGATCATTAACGTCAGGAATGCCATGAGCGCTCAGTCGGAGAGGGGAAGACACAGCATGCGCGCGTTCCTCGTAGGAGTTCCCGCTTTGGCGCGGAGAACTGGTAGGCTGAGCAGAAGAGCCGCGGCTGGATAGAGCCAAAGCATTCTCACGTAATGCGCTCCATCGACTTTGAGTCGGGTATTGTGTTGCTGAGTCTGTACTCTGGTGATCGCCTGACTGACGGTGAAGCTCTTCGCGCACGCTGTTATCCATTCGTTCGCGATAATCAACGTCTTCTGTATTGCTCGGGCTTGCTTGTGACGATTGAAGACTAGTACTGACTGTAGAAGGGTCAATCAAAGAGGCAACTGCAGATTCGACACCAAATGGCCGGTGTGTATACTGGGGAGTCGCAGCAACCCCCTTGACGTCACGCTCCGGGCTCCCATCGCTTGACAGGTGGCTATCTTCGGTGTACTGCGTCAAGCGACGTTCATCAAGGGATTCAGGAATTGTGCTCGAATCAGCGAGAGATTTGCGATATTCTTCATTTTTCTCATGCTCCTTCTGAAACCACTCTTCCAGCTCGCTTCGCTCTTCGGTCTCATCATGGAGTTGTGCAGGTGACTGAGGGGTTCTAGTGATGTCAAAGCTCTTCTTCTGAGAGCTCGGAGAGTGCGGCGCTGAAACAGGGGACATGGCGTTGCGTTGTCGTTCCTCAAATCCTGCAGAGAGCTCGGAGACTCTGCTGCGAGGTCGTAGTCCATGAGGAACCAAAGGATCATTCAGACTATCTCTGAAAGTAGACACGCTTTGTGTAGGGCTTAAGTCGTGCTTACCGTGCTCGTGTTGAATAGATTCATCACCGCCCAAGCCAGCTGCAGCTAATGCTGCCATCTTGGCCTTGGTCGAGATGGACTGAGCACTGGTTGCATGTTCTTCCGTCAATGAGTGACTGCTGTGAGCAGACTCGAGGAGTCCGGGAGAGCGAGCTCCTTTTCCTTTGGGGGTCGTGGACGCTGGTGACAAGGAGCCGCGAAGCGAGCCTCGTCGAACCTCACGGACTGGAGTCTGGCGTTCTGTAGCGGAGGCAGATGGAGGACGCTCGGTCGATGCAGTGAGGATGGACTGACGGGTAACTTCAGAGTCGTTCATGGCCGATGCACCAGTCCAGGGCATAGGAGGGATTTCCTCCTTGCGATAGGTTTTCTCAGTTTCAGCAAGACTTGTGGAGTCACTGCGACTTCCTCGGGCTTTGCGCTTCTTACGACGTTCACGACTGACGGTGTCTTGAGAGTCATGATGACGAAGGGCTGCGGCAGTGAGGATACCGCCGGCAATACCAGCAGCAGCAGCTTCCTTGATGCGATAGGACTCCTTGTCCTTACTTGACCTGCTATGTAGAGACTCTTCTCGTGTTGAAGTACGTGAAGAACGACGTTCACGACGAGGGCGATCGGATTCTGTGCGACTAGACCGACGAGTCTTTTCGCGGCGCTCCGAGTCCCCTCGAGAAAGAACCTCGCCTGGATCATCATCATATCGATTGAGGACGACCTTGGGTTTACTTGATGATCCAGATCTGGAATTGCGCTGATCTAGTTCATCATCGGTATATGAACCGTGTGATGAGCGACGTTGCTCATTCTTCAAATGAGTAATCTCGGGCAATATCAGACGACGAACAGTGTCCTCGACCATCTGTAGAAGCTTCGGATTGTTCAGTGATACCTTCGAAGTGGTACCAGAAGCGTACGAAAGGTTGCTGGGAGAGAGATTCGAAGACAATATCGACGACTCGGCAGCGCTAGCGAGGTCCTCTTCGCGTGTGGAACGAGATGAGCGTCGACGGCGCTCTTNTGTTGGTTTGGTATCAGGTTCATACTCAACAGGTGCTCCGCGTTGACGCTGCATCAACTTCTCTATGACTTTCTGCTTGATGCGCTCATGACTGGCGCTGCGTGCTCGGTCCTGTTCTGGCAGATCCAGGAGACTCTGGTTACGGCTCGCATCCTCAGATACATCTTGGCTCGCAGCTGAAATTTGCGAAGGCTCAAGTAAGCTATCAGGAGGCATTGATGAGACGTCCGAGGTAACAGGAAGGTAGTGTAGGTCGCGAGATTCGCGGTCCTGTTTTAGACTTGATATATCGCTGTTGTTGAGAATTTCGACTTCGACCGGAGGCGCAGCTGAAAGGTTACTCCCTGAAGAGTGACTGACCTCGGTAGCTTCGACTGGTGCAGCTTTGTCTGGGGATTTGGAGCCTAGAGAGATGCGACGTGTATATGAAGGCTNTTTGTCACGGCCGATGCCTGTAATCTGGACGGAATCCGACGTCTTTGATTTGCGATGAGCCGAAGGAGTTACTTTGACGCGAACACTGGGCCGGTTCTTTGATTTGTCGCCTTTGGTGGCTTCGAAGTATTCGATCAACAGAGAGGTCTGTGACTTATTGCGACCGTGGCGGAGGCGTGGGCCTTCTTTGGAGGTAAGTTTATGTGTCGAGATAGTGATGGGACTGCCGTCTTCGGGGATTGAGTATGAAGTCTGATCGGTACGGCGCGAGATGTTGGTGGCTACATCGGTGTCATCGACGTCGGTAGGTTCAGTAGGTGCGGGCAGTGGTGGTCGTTGATGAGCTTCGACACCCATGGCAGCGGCGATTGCTCAGCGAAATCTACGTGGTTGAGGATGCGACTGTCATTGCAGCCCGACGAGTGATGAGTGGTGACAATGGCCTGAGACGCTGCCAATCCGAATGCGCGAATTCGCTGTTTCCTAACTCCAGCCGCACGCTGCTTTAGATGAAGGCCTGTCGGTGTCCGAGGGGGCGCTCGAGATGGGACAAACAGTCAAGGATGTCGAGGTCGAGAGGTTCGCCGAGAGCAGAGGCGATTGATTGCTAGCCAGCGCCAATCAGCAAACGACGCGACAAACCATGGCCATGGCTCTCTGTGATAAAGTCGATACCTTTTTGTGGAGAAAAAGTTGGATGTTGATATGGGCCGTTAGATAGTCGGATGCTTCCCGACGCGCCGTCCAGAGCTTGTTTTAGGAAGCTGCAAATGCTCGTTTTGTGAGAATCGTTGTTTTCTGCCTCCGAGGTCTGCACTGTGTTGAACCGACGCAGCAGGGAAGGAAGCAGAACCCAAGAGCACTGCCTGCAGCTGCGGCAGGATCTGTCGACTCACAAGCAAGACGCTGCCCACAAGCGACCTTCGAACAGAAATGAGTGGTTCGTTCGGTAGCTTTGCACGCCATGCGCTTCCCGCACTTCCGCTGCCGGGTCAACGCTCAAGCATGTGTCGCTGTTTCGCTCTCGACCCTTGACTCTTGACTCTTTCCATACCCTGTCAATCCTCCATTTGTGCTCCGCTGCGCCTCGCAACAAACCACCATGTCTTTGTTTGATTCCCCAGCACTCGTGCGCGCCATTACATCGCGCACGATGTGCGATGCACATGTAACCCAACCTAATCTTTCCTGTTCGTCACCGCACTTGATCGGCGCATATGCCTAGCCCTGGTTGGCTGGGTGCCCGCTCCCAACCTCTTCCGCTGGTGCCAACTCACCATCACTGTGTCATTGGACATGTAACTATTATTCTGTGGCTGGCCGTGTGTGTGTGTGGATATGTGCCACTCGCTCGACTTCCTGCTCTACATGTCCTTTTGTTGGTCTTTCCACCAATCTTGTTCCCAGCCTCCGAGCTACTACCTACTTGCAACCTGGATTCTCACTTCGCAAGCTTCCTTTGCCAAGTACACTGCGATACTCAAACACGCAGGTCTCAAGATGAAGTAAAGCAATTCGCTACACCACGTAATCTAATCGTTCACACTTCCACCAGGTCTACATCGGCATTCAGGGCCGAAATGGCCTCTTTGATGCATGCCAATCTGTGTCTGAATGCTACGTCTCGAGGTGGTTCAGTATAGTCTCTCTTGACGAACTCCCGCTCTATATCTCTCGGGGCTTCAAGTCTATCAGAAAGCACACACTGACTGATGGCACTGTTAGCCAATGCTCTCTGCCAACGGTGAAATTCACGAGACTGGAGTAGGCATTGGGTGTAACATAGAATCCCTTTAGCCGAGATCGTCTGCTGACATCCAGATGACTCTGATCAATTCTTCTAGTGGCAACAAGAATAACAGTGAACTGCTTGTGTTGTGGATAGCGGTCTCTCAAAAGGGCTGTCTGAACACGACCCCAACCCCACACTTCCTCCACTCTCCGCAGAACTGCTCGACGTCTTGCTTTCGGCCGTGCTCGTCCGCAGGCAACTCGAGTGCACAAGATGAACTCATTGAAGACAGTCATGAACCGACGAACACCAACATCTATTTCTATCGGATCGTAGACCTTTACGACACTATTATGCCCACTTTCCGATTGTTGTTACTTGGAAATCCGCAATTGGTCGAAGTTACCCCTCAGTATGGCTTCAACTGCCGAGGGCATTGATGTTTTGGTCATCAATTTGTAGACCTGAGTTGTCATGACCTGATGGCCAAAGGACAACAAGTAAGAATATAAGAACAGGGCTAAGCACATGAAAAGCTTTGTAAAGTAAGTGACCGACAATGATCCATTTCCTTGTTCTGTGTATTGCACTGCTGTGCACTCCGGCAGCGGCTTTCCCTAAACAGGATGTAAAAACTTCATGCAGCACCAGCAGTATTAGCAAACTCACAATCAGTACGAGCGCAAAAACTTCATTGCCCTGGATCACTTCTGTATGAGAGCTCACCAACGTCGCCCACTGAATATACTAACAATAACACAAGGCTCGATCAGCTTCGACTTGTGCCTCGACAAGCTTCACACCCCACTACAGTGCATTCAGCTATACTCAAGTCAGCAGCAATCGCTATGCCACTCCCATTGCCGCGCCGGTCACATTTGCCAGTGCATTTGCACCTGCTTACTCCAAGGCCAAGTCGCTACTGCCTGCCAATGTCACCTACACGACTTACTCGCTGAACCCCAAGGCTACCACTAGCAAAGATGGCATGTATGGTCAGAGTGCATATGCTGCTCTATGGGCAGATTACTCATACAACAATACCGTCCCATTCACTACAACAGTGTCGCCTACACCTGTACCCACGAGCGAACTTGTTTACCCTCCAGCTCTGTATTCTGCATGTCCCGACGCAGATGCTTGTCTCGACTGCTACAAGTTTGACAAGAACTTCATCTGGGGTGTTGCAGGAAGTGCGTGGCAGATTGAGGGTGCACTCCAGCAGGAAGGCAGAGGACCTGGCAACCTCGACGGTCTCGGGAACCAAGGCCCTGGTGGTATGCCCAGCGGTAACGACTCTGTGGAAGCAGACATGAACTACTACCTCTACAAGCAAGACATTGCAAGACTTGCTGCCATCGGAGTTCCGTACTATTCTTTCTCGATTTCTTGGTCGCGAATCGTGCCTTTCGGTGTGGCAGGCAGCCCAGTCAATACGCAAGGATTGGATCATTATGATGATCTTATCAAGACTTGTCTCCAGTATGGCATCAAACCTATCGTCACGCTGGTTCATGTGGACGCGCCAACGTCAATCAGTCTGGACAAGAACTTCACCGCCGACTACTTGTACTATGCCAAGCAGGTCATGGCTCGCTATGGTGAGCATGTTCCTTACTGGGTTACTTTCAACGAGCGTAAGTTAGCACACTCTCCCTCTTCTCTGCGTTGATGTCTCGCTTTGGTTACTGATGAATCGAGGTTAGCGAACATTGGAATGCCATATTCTTTCCAAACGTACAATGGACTGACAAATATTCTCATGGCACATTCTGCCGTATACAAGTGGTACAAACAGATCCTTGGTGGGACTGGACAAATCACCATCAAGTTTGCCAATAATCTTGCTGTTCCGCGCGACCTGAACAAGAGCTCTGATCTGAGGGCAGCATCGCGCTACCAAAATTTCATTCTCGGCATCATGGCTAATCCCTTGTTCCTTGGAAAGCAATACCCATCAGAGGTTTTGGCCACGCCCAATCTGAATTTGACAGCTTTGACAGCGCAGCAAATCTCATACATCAATGGCACGATTGACTTTTGGGCATTTGACCCTTATGTCTCGCAGTTTGCCTCTGAGCCAGCCAATGGGTTTGAGAGCTGTATCAACAACAGCAGTGACCCGCTCTGGCCTCGATGCGCTGATCTCACAGAGATCCAGCAGAATGGGTGGCAGGTGGGCCAGAAGTCAAACGACTACGCATACATTGCACCTCAATATGTGCGTCAGCAGCTGGGCTACGTGTGGAACACTTTCCGCCCTTCTGGTATCCTGATCTCAGAGTTCGGATTCAATCCGTTCATGGAGTCGAAGAAGACGCTCGTTGAGCAGCTCTACGACCTTGAGAGATCATTATACTACGAGGGCTTCTTGAAGGAGACGCTAAAGGCGGTGCATCTGGATGGAGTCAATGTCATCGGAGCATTGGCATGGAGTTTTGTTGATAACAATGAATTCGGATCCTATGCGAACCAGTATGGCCTTCAGACTGTCAACAGGACGAGTGGAAAGTTCGAAAGACACTACAAGAGAAGTTTCTTCGATTTTGTCGACTTCTTCCATAAGTATGTCGCAGCTTAGAGCCGTCAGAAATCACAATTTCTTCTCAGAACAGACCAGTATCCATTGAAAGACAACTATGCATTTGCTACAGTGCTTTGTAATAAAGAGGGGTGTTGGACGGAAGTCGGCTTGCATTTGAGCGATCCATACCAAATTAGGAAGTGTTAGAGGCCCTCGGCTGTTCGGCATGGACAGTTCTTGGGGAGATTTTGAGTGAGGTCCGCCCAATTTTCGACGTGCCGAAACGGCCTGACTATGGACGACAGCTCAAGAAGACATGTAGCTATGGCTCGCTCAGCCTCCACTCCTGGTATCCTACCATCCACCAGACTTTCACGCGCCTCGTCGTGTGGAACCGCCATCGAGGTCGCCAAACTGCCGCCACAACGGTGCTCGGAGGAAGGCGAGCATAACGCCGATACACCATGGCCTCACACGACCAACACTCAGACGGGGAGAACAAGTCGACCAGCTCTGACACACATTCAATACACTCGATTCCAGTGCCGGACCAACCGGAAGTCGACTCGATCTCTGCNCCCTTGCCCGCAACCGACGGCATACACCCAATACCAAGCCCGGATCATGAAGATGCATCGTCACTCGAGAAACAGGCTACGGCCTCAATAGGCAGCCAAGATATAGACCCCGTGTTCGTACCCAAGAGCCAACGGAGAGGATTACTAGCCCGTGTGGCCGTCGTCGCAGAAGTCGAGGACCCCAAACACTACGCCCGTCGGACAAAATGGCTTCTCACCTTCGTTGTCGCTGTTGCAGGTGCTGCCGCGCCCATGGGCAGTGGCATCATCCTCCCCGGCCTATCACAGATTGACCGCGAATTCAATTCCTCATCTACCGTCACCAACCTGTCAGTTGCCTTGTACATGTTGAGTATGTCCATTTTCCCACTCTGGTGGTCAAGTTTTTCGGAGACCCTTGGACGTAGGACTATCTATCTGGTTTCTTTCTTCTTGTTCTTGATATTCAATATCTTGAGTGCTGTCAGTGTCAACATTGCCATGTTCATTGTCATGCGTATTCTTTCTGGAGGCGCCGCTGCTTCGGTGCAAGCTGTCGGTGCTGGAACAATCGCCGATGTCTGGGACGTACACGAGCGAGGAAATGCCATGTCCATGTTTTACCTCGGCCCTTTGTGTGGGCCTTTACTCGCGCCAATCATTGGAGGAGTCCTGACACAAGGACTCGGATGGCGTAGCTGCATGTGGTTCACTACAATCTACGGTGCACTTCTCTGGTTCTTCCTCCTCTTCTTCCTACCAGAGACGCTGAAGTCAACAGTGTCCCCTGAAGTTATTGCCGCTACCTCTGAGAAGGACACTAACACAAGACCAACACTCTCACGTACCAGCACTCGTCAAAGTGTGGCATTGAAGTCTAAACGTTATGTAAGCGTTCTGCGTCGCTGGTTCGTCGATCCCTTGACCATTGTCCTCAATCTGCGCATCCCTGCCGTGGCCTTGGTCGTCTACTACGCCAGTATCACGTTCGGCTCCCTCTACGTCCTCAACATCTCTGTTCAGCAAACTTTTGACTCCGAACCTTACAAATTCTCCACCATCATCGTGGGTCTTTTGTACATTCCAAGCTCACTAGGCTACTTCCTCGCTTCCATTTTCGGAGGCAGGTGGGTCGACAAAATCATGGCTCGAGAAGCCAAAAAAGCAAACCGCTACGACGAACACGGCCATCTTATCTACCGTCCTGAAGATCGCTTGCGAGAAAATGCCTGGTTGGGCGCTATAATGTTTCCTCTTGCCCTAATCTGGTACGGCTGGACCGCTAGATTCGGAGTCTTCTGGCTTGCACCCATGATCGCAAACTTCTTCTTCGGCGTGGGCAGTATGCTAATCTTTGCCGTTGTCACCACCATGCTCACCGAATTCATGCCTAAGAAAGCCAGTCATGGTATTGCGTTGAACAACTTTGTGCGCAATATTTTTTCTTGCGTGGGGTCTTTGGTTGCTAGTCCGTTGATTGATTGGTGTGGGGATGGATGGTTGTTTACGGTTATTGGGATTTGGTGTTTGGTATCGGGTGTTTTGGTCATTTGGAGTATGAAGAGGTTTGGAGAGGGGTGGAGGGTTAGAGCTGCTGAGTTGATGGTTTGATACCACATTCTTGAGGTGGAATTGCTTTTTATATGTCTGCGTTTTTTGAGCGATGCTTTTGCTGGAGTTTGGGAAAAGAGGGCCTTTTTACTTGCTGTGCAAGGTGGTGTCTATATATATAGAGCCATATCAACTACTGCTTCTGCAGTTTCTGATGTCTGTCTATGTAATCACTGCTTCACAACGACTTGTACATATCAACATGTCCCGGCAAGTACGGCCACTCCTCAGAGCATAAAATAAGCTATGCAAATACACAGTCTTTTCCGAGAACACGACAGTGTCTAGGAGAGCCATGATGCCACCCGCTCTCTCTGAACAATGCTGTGTACCTCTAACCTATTGTGCATTCTTACAGCCATTAAAAACGTATATGCACTAAGGAAGTCACAGCGAAGTAGGAGAAGTAAAATCTGATCGAAGGAATTTGAAATATGCTCTCCAACCACAAAAGAACGTGGCAGCCATATACACATACTACTCTAACCCGAAACGCAAAACACCTGTGAACGGTCCATCTATTCGTCAAACGAAATCTTCTTACCAGCAGCCTCGACAATAGCAGCAGAAGCTCTTGGTGCATTCGCCAACGCATTACCCGGTCTGATCTTTCTGGCATCAAACTTCTTTCTGCGTGCCTCTTGTCTGGCGTCTGCGTCTCCCTTGGGTCTGGATCTCTTTTGAGGTCTCTCTTCTGCTCCTCCGTCGACTTCAGTAATGGGTGCTGCGTCTGAGGGGTGTGACTCTGTAGCCGGTCTCTCCTTGCCGAAACGCTTCTTGTAGCGTGTGCTGGCGTCTTCTGCGAATTCGCAACGCAGAGGGCGGCCGTGCAGGCGGTTGATGAACCATTTGCGCTTGTTCTGCTTCTTTGGCTTTTTTTGTCTTTTTGGTGTTCTTCTTTTTCTCTGTGGCGTCTTCGTCTTCGCTGTCGGAGTCTGATTCTGAGGCTGAGGCTTTCTTGTCTTCTGATTCTTCCTCTTCGTCTTCTTCCTCGTCGTCGCNNTGGCTTCGTCGAATTTCCAGATGAAGCCTCGGACAGCTGATTCTGCGGCTTCGAGCTCGGAAAACCGGATCCAGGCGTATCCCTTGCACTTTCCGCTGTCTTGGAAGGTTGCCATGAAGACATCTTCCAACTCGCCGGCTTGGGAGAAGTGGGTCTCGAGATCTTCTCTGGTGACGTCGAAGTTGAGGTTTCCGACAAAGACACGCTTGCTAGGGGGCAGGATGGGCTTCCCATTGGGACCAATCTTGTTGGGAGCTGCACCACTTGCTGCAGCGGCCTCACTTGAATCTGCGTTGCCGGCGAGGGCGTTTACGGTAGCTGTTGCTTGGGCGGGACGGCCTTCGAAACTCTNTGCGTTCTTGATGAGGACTTTGCGACCGCTGACGAGGGTCTCGGACATGGCGATGGCTTTGTTGAGGGACTCTTCGGTTGCAAAGTCGACGTAGGCGAATCCCTTGTTGGAGGGCTTGGTACGGCCAGGTTGAGGAGGACCTTGAGGAACAGGCATGTTCAGACGCGTAATCTCAGCCTCAGGGATCTGAGCCTGGCGAGTAAGGAAAACACGCAACATATCCTTGTCGACAGCAAAAGCCAGGTTTCCAATCCAGATACCGTAATCACTGCGTTTCTTCTCTCCATCTGCGGCGGCAGTTGCAGCGGCGGCGGCGGCAGCAACACCTTCAGGATCTTCCTTTGCTCTTTTTGCGGCCTTTTTGGCCTCGCGCATGGCCTTCTTGGACGGCGGCTCTGGGGCGTTGACATCGACTTCGATTTCATCTTCGGGCAGGACGCGCTTGCGCTTCTTTGTCTTTTCGACCTTGGTGACCTTGGGCTCTTCGGCATCCGAAGAAGCGTTTGAGCTTGCGCTCGGGCTGGGATCGCGTGTCTTGCCCATTGTTGTTGTGTTTTGTGTTGTGAGAGTTGAACAGAGTAAGACTTCAACTTGGTTGTGTTTTCGAGCCTCTTTTTTTTTTCTTGCTAAGGGATTATTTTAGCTCTCAATCTGGGGTCGGAAGTGTGGGGTAGCGCCAAGGAAGCCATCGCTGGTCGGAGGTCGGAGAGATGCCGCGTGGGTCGTCATGCAGCGCGCCTGCTCCAACAAGAGAAGAGCGAGAGCTTGAAACGAAACAGAATCAGCCAAACGAAACGCTCCTTCCCTCGTTGCCTGCCAGCAAAGGTCACACAACGCCGCAAACATGTCAGATCAATCCTACGACAATATCCCCAGCGCTGCCTCGGTCACCTCGGACGAGCTCGACTCTTTACCCTCCACCTCGGCCAGCACAACCTCCATATCGCCCTCGGAAGAAGAATGGCAGTCTGATGCCGAAAGAGAATGGAAGGAGTCATTACAGCAGCTGGAGTTGCTTCTCACAATGGTCCTTGTGCCTTACTTGGGCAAATACTTTGGCCGTAAAGCTGCTTATTGGGGTGAGTCGAAAGAGTCTCGAGAGCATGCAAGAGGACGACGATTGTTGACATGAAATGAATANGGTTGGACCAAGTACATGGAATGGAAATACCCCGTGCACATCGAAGTCACAAACCTGGGACTATTCAAGGGCATCGGTGCCGTCGAAGCCGCTGCCTCTCTGTGAGGAACACCTGAGAGATAGACGATACAAATGACACCAACCGACGCCCAAGACGTCCTCAATCTCAGCCCATATTGCGGCTCATGAGAGCCTCCTGCTTGGGCTCGGACAATTCGCCCACGCCCATCGGTACTCAACGCGAACAGGCGAAGCAGCATCCTGGCCATCGACATCCAGAGTCTAGAGACAGCCGAGGCCGATGTCTGAGGGTACTGCACACAGAGGTCCATCCGCTGGTGGTAGAAGGAGCGGAGATGGAAGGATTTTCGGCAGAAAGAGCCATACACAGCCATGATGAAAATATGCTGATAGCATAGGCATATGAAAAAGGTACCAAGATACTAAAATAAGAGAACCTCGTCATACAGAATGATGAATATCGATCAACCATAAACATATACCGCTTGTAACATCACCTACTGAGCCCATCATGATACATTGATCAACCGTCAAACTCTGAACTGAAGGTCTGAGCTATGACTTCTGTCTATGTTAGAAGGACATTACTTGCCACTGGCTTCTAATAGGAGTGGTTATGTCAAGACAGGTTCAATCATCTCATGTGTGAGGCAGTCATAGACATAGAAGTATGGAAGTGTTGAGAATCAATCTGCATTCAGCAAAGATCCTAAAGAACGAATTGTACTATCGTCCTTGTATCCACCATCTGTAATCGAGAAAAACAAAAACAAAAGATCAATAAACGCCAGATTACTTTTCCTCCCAAGCATCTTTCATCTCCACATCTTCATCTTTCCTTTCCCCTTCGTCATCATCGTGTAAACCACTCAAGAACAAAAACGCTATCAAAAATAAAACAAATTGTTTATCGAGCTCACCCTCGTCGTGCTAAGCAGCCAACAACACAGTTCTAGAAACAGACAGAGAAGTACAATCTCTATCGTTGCTTCCACAAGACGTGCGTGTCGACATAGGTTGCACGAATGTGCCAGCCATAGCCTTCCATGCTGCGCAAACCTGGGCCACCAAGATGGCAGCCGCAACTCTTGTACCCTCAAGGCCAAGACTTGCAGAGGTTGCAGGAGCGAGGAATTGTCCAGGCGATCGCTTGCGACGGTGACGAAGAGGCTGTTCAGTCATGGCTGCTGCTTGAAGTGCTGCAGTTTGACTGTTGGCGAGAACGTCTGCACCGCTGGCGCTGCTAGCAACAGCACTCAGTTGGTTATGTGTCATTCTTGCGCCAGACTTGAGGGGTAGTCGTCGAGTGTGCTCGCGCTGAGTGCGCGAGTTGTCTTCAACTCCCTCGAGTCGGACCTCGGTCTGAGCAGCCGAGGTCACCTTCTCGGTGTTCTCGTCGTGTGCGGTCGTGTGGATGGGTGCCCATGGCGTTCTGGCTGCGGCAGAGAGTCCGTCATATAGGTCTGGCCTGGCAGCCTGAGGTCGTGGTCGTGGACTAGCAGGTGCACCGCGAAGTACACTCGTGGATGATGATGCACTTGTCGAGTCGGCTGACAAGCTAGATGGTCGGGCCGCTGATGGTGTTTCTTCAGTAGCAGCAACACCCTCTTGGTGTACGCTAGCAGCAGCGGCGGGCTGTTTGTTCATTGCACTATTGAGCTCGTGACTGCTTGTCTTAGCAAACGCGGAAGGTAGCTGGTCAGATGCATTGGGCGAGCTTGATGCAAGTCCTGCGGGTAATCTAGCAGGAACGAGTGTCCTAGACATCCTCTGTAGTCCGTCTTCGGCAGGTGCAANCTGCTTGAATGTTAGCAGAATCCTCAAGAAAAAGTTGTGTTTAAAGTTGTGTTTACCTGTGCTGCGAGTGCCGCTTGGGTTCCCGATATATCGGTCTCCCGATGTTGTTGTGGGAGACATTGCATTGTTTTCGGTCAGTACGAGGCCGCGTCCTGCGGCAGCCCGAGAGTTGCTTGTTTGTTGTGAAATCACTTGACTGATTCCGCTAATTGACCTGCTAGCAGCAATGTCGCCGCTAATGCCTTGATGTTGTGATGCTCCAGCGCGACAGGCATTCTCGGTTAGTGCATAAGCCTGTGGAACGAATTGCTGTGGCATATCGTTGCTGTCAGCAAACATGGTCGATTCTTGAGTTGCCGAGTCGCTAAGAGAGAGCGAGGACTGAGTTCCGGTAAGAGTTGCCAGTGGTGAGTGCAGAGTACGCGATTGAGTTGGCGACATATTGTCGCCTGGAGACGACAGACCCATAAAGGCAGTTTGCTCCTTGCCGTCGAGGCCGTCTGCGGTGGAGAAGGCTGTGCGAGAGAAGTCCGAGAACGTACGCCACGTTCGGGTAGGTGTTTGTGTCGCAGTTGGTACTTCTGAGGCCCTTACTTGATGGGTTGGCTCGTGTATGAGTTCCAATTGTGGTGTCGGTTGCGGTGAAAGGAGGCCAGTCGAAGCAGGGAATAGTGCTTGTTGGTAGGACGAGGAGGATGGTGATGCTTGGCCGAGTAGAGGAGTGTCAATGAGAGTCCAGTCAGCAGTGTCGCTCCAAGGCCAGGTAGTTTGTTGAGGAGCTTGAGCAATTGTAGCAGTGTCGAAGATGAAGTCGTCAGCGACAGGAAGCTCGCTGAACATGTTCTGATTCAAGAACATGAAGGGGTCTTCGTCGACGATAGAAGGTTCTGTGGGCTGGAAGATGGCCTTCTCAATCTGCTCAACACATGCCAAGTTGATGTTCGATGCCGTTGCTCTAGGCTTGGTGACCTTGGATGAGCGAAGCTTCTCCATCTCAGGTTGGTTATGAGAGCACTTTCGCTTACGCTTGCTGCACGATTCGCAAGCTTTGACTATACGACGCTTGCGGTACTCGAGCTTTTCGGCCTCGGTCATTTTCCTGCGTACGCGAGTCTTGGGTTGAGAGGTCGATGACAAGCTGAAGACACCGGTCATCTCTTCAAGTCCAGGCTTAGCCTTCTGGGTGGCGCTGGATTGAGAAGACGAGTTTTGACGGCTCATTGGGGGAGCGTGGGAGGATGACATTGATGCAGGAGTAGCCAGGTTGAAGAGATCAGGGCTGCTGAGAGTAGAGGCAGTAGAATCCATGGAGGGCCACCAAGGAGATTCGGTGGGGATATCGCAGGACAGGTCGGTATCCAGAGGAATGATGGGAGTTGTCAGTTGAGCTTGTTCCTCGTTGAGCTCCTGCTTGAGAAATTCAATGACTGCGTTTCTCATGCGGTCCGAATGAGTCTTGACGTGAGGGAAGGCGGTTTTCAGAGCGAAGAAGAGTTCATCGGAACCCTTGGGAGGGCAGAACTCGAGAGCGGTAGGATCGGCTTGCTCACTCGAGCGGTAGATGAAGTAGCCGACCATGGGTATTTGAGAAGACATGTCCATTGTTAAGAATGAGAATGGATCTTGAACGAAGTTTGAGATTGAAGAAATTTTGATTTCTCTGAGGAGTAGAGATAAAATGAATAGAGAGATACTCGCAGTCTGCGGATGATACAGTGGCTATCAAGGCAGCGGTTTTGCGGTAGGTCGCTTCTATTGACAAGACCACACCGTGAGGTTGCGGGTGGTGGGCGAAGACTGTCGAAAAGAATGATAGGAAACAAAAGACCAAGAAACTCGAGTCTGGACACAAGCTGGGTAAATACCGTCAGACTGAAGTGCTCCCGGTCGAGTCACCGAAGAGGAGCTAAGCCTTCATCTCCTTCCTTCGAGCACAGAATTGGCCAATCAAAAGCAAGCCATCGCGGTGTCCCCAAACAGGAATAGTTTCTTCGAGGATGTGGGGGTCGGCGCAGCGAGACCCCTGTATATCACCCCTGATAATAGCAAACTGAGCTGCTATGACAGCCCGAGTCACTGGGGGTGTCTTTACGCACCCAAGATGTACTCGTATAAACGTGTGGGGTACCGCTGGTCTGACTCACAATTGGAAATGATCCAATCGAAGTCATTGTTGTTTACTGCGTGTCCGGAGCTGCCGACGTGTGTCCTGGATGACTGCGCCTTGTAGAATCAGACGATGCCAGAAGGATTCGCAGATGACCCTTTGTGTCTGCGTTTTGCAAGCTTGTGGGCGTAAGCAATGCTGAGCATGCACCAATCGGCCGGGATGCGACAATCCGAGCATCGGCGGAGCATGTTGCGCATACCGAGGACACAAACTTCGAGGACACCGTTGCTCGTAGACCGAAGGACAAGGATAGCACCTTCATCGAGGTACGCGTTCAAGGTGGTAAAGACGTCTCACGGCCAAGGACTGTAACCGCCGACGCTGATGGCAGCGCTTGCGCAGCGGGGCACTGCTCCAATCGCATCGCGCAGCGACCTGCAAGCGTACTCGCAAGGCTGAGAGGTAGGAAGTATTTAATAAAGACGGCCGCCATTCTGCGGCCTCGGTGTAAGTTTCTCTTTATGTTGATGCCCTTCTTGCTGAAGTTGTGTCTGCTGTAATTGTCCTGGTATTGCATTCGTCCTGTGCATTAAGAGCTGGATTGAGAAGGTACACTTTGAGGAAAACAATAATAGTCGTTCTTGCCTTGGTTGGTCAGGCTGTTTCATCATGTCGAACAATCAAGCTCAGTACTTTCCCTCGTAAGCCATCATATTACAACAGACAGGATGACTATCGCTAACGACCAGACCTTAGCTCCTCCGCAAGGTAGACTCGTCCACCAGCTGCCAACAATATCAACTGACTTGACAATCTCCAGAGCAGCAGAGCTATTTCTCTCCTCCTACCCTCAAATACACCTCCAATCAACACACAACATTATCCACCCCCGCCAACCGCCGACCCACACAACAGTTTAGGAAACTCCTACTCGCCAGCTCCCCAGCCTCAGCCTCAGCCGTCACCACAACAGCACTTTGCTCCTCCACCAGACACCAATCGCTTCTCATACAGTGCTGCTCCACAGCCTATTCAGACACAATTCGTGTCTCCTCCAGCATCACCACCTCCACCTGCTGGCAACATAGGTGCACAAGAGTACGAGCCAAGCCCTGTTTCACCCCAGCAACAATCCCTACCTTACTACCCTGGTCCTCCTCAGGACACCCAGCCCAAGATGGATAAAGCAAAGAGCCTGCTAGACCGGCGCTGAACACTTCGCTGACGACGAACCTTCCCGGCGGTGCTCCCCCACAGGCACACTTCGTCGGCGCAGGCGCCACCGTCGACGATGTCGGCACCTTCAATGGAGGAAGCTACAGAATCAGCCACAGAGACACGAATACCATTCTCACACTCCAGCTTGCTATGGGCTGTCCTCTGACCGTCAAACCAGGAGCTATGATTGCCATGTCACCGACTATTACCTTGCAAGGTACCGTTAAGTTCTCCTTCAAGAAGTTGGTTGCCGGTGGTCACATGGCTCAATCTACCTATACTGGCCCTGGCGAACTTCTCCTCGCCCCCGCTTCTCTCGGTGATATCACCAATATCAGACTTACTGGAGAAGAGACCTGGAACGTAGGAAAAGATGCTTTCTTGGCCTGTACTCAAGGTAAGCTATACTTGTCTTTCTGGACACCAGGAATTGTATTAAAGTCATCTCTAGGTGTCGTAAAGGATTACAAGGCTCAGGGACTCAGCAAAGCCATGTTTTCGGGCGAAGGCTTCTTCGTCTACAAAGTGTCTGGCATCGGTATCCTTTGGATCAGCAGCTTGGGTGCCATCATCCGGAAAGATGTGAGTTCACGATCCTGTGAAATAGGTCCCAATTCTGACACAAAGTAGCTCCAACCAGGCGAAAAGTACATCATCGACAACGGCCACCTGGTTGCATGGAATGCCAAGTACGTCCTGGAGCGTATTGCCAGTGGTGGGATCATTAGCAATCTGAGCGCCAACGAGGGCTTGGTGTGCAAGTTTACCGGTCCANNGGGTATGTGTCTACTTTTGTCTTATTTCGATCCATCGCTGACACTGTCCAGTACTGTCTTTATGCAAACTCGCAACCCAGTGGAGTTTGCGACCTGGCTGGCGACCGAGGGCAGGGTCAAAGGATAGAGTCCTCGTAATTGGGCTTTCTTCGGGAAGTGCTCAGTGTACACGTCACTGGCGACAGTCAAGGCAGGCCTCGTAGGGAAATTTTTCATCTTATGAGGTCCTTGAGCTGAGGTTAGGTCGGAACAAGCTTCTTTGCTTTCGGGGTCACCCTGGCTTTGAGTTATTGAGTCGCCCACCACCTTGCTTCCATTCTTATCTAGAACTAATACCTCTTCAACTGTTCCAACGTGTCTGCTTCATCTGATTGGTGGGATTCCATCTATTCTGGAGCTGTATTGGGCGAAACATCCAAAATGTTATATCTAACCATGATCTGGTCTCCATCCTCACACATTTACAGCCCCAATCTTTGGAAGCAAAAGGTCGTCAGAGTTAGAGCTTCAAACCATAGGAATTTCGACGAAAATGTATCGACGACGTACACAAAGGTATTCGAGATATACTCCGTATATATCACCTAGCACCTCAATCATGAATCAGGTGAATAGACGGAGAACTATATCAAGACCCGGGTCACGACCACAGCCATCAATCTGAAACCGTTTCGACTTCAAACGGCTTTTTACTGCCGAATAAAACTAGACAGGGATAAGACGTATATAAAGAAGTCGATACATGCAATACCTTGTGGACATTGACTTGTTGGCATTCACAACATATCACGTATGTGCATTTGGAAATGGACGTGGAGACAAAGCAACGACTTCAATTTCATGGATACGAATAGATAAACAGAAGAAGCACGGATGATGTGTATTAGTTATCCACTCTACTTGATAAACTTGACAATCTGCTCTGCAATAACTTCATGCATTCTAAAGGTCGGATGCAAGTAGTTCAACCACAGATACTTGTCCACCGAAATTCCACAAGCAGGGTCAAAAGAAGTGGGTGTCGATGTTCCGTTCTCGTACGTCGTACAATAAGCTGTCGTATTCTCGTACGGACAGGTTTGCGGGTAAGCGCAGGGATGATCGATGACGCGAGAAAAGACCTTGTTGATGTCAAAGACGAAAGAGGTGGCGTCTGTATACTTCCAGGTCAGGGACTCTGAGAGAGAAACCAGGCGGTTGTTCCAGTCTGCTATGTCTGCTGCTTCAATGGCTTGAGCGGAGGGGCCGGCTGCTTGGGTCAAAGGCGAGCGGTCCACAGGAGGTACATTAAGAAAGAGGAAGTTGCGGGCGCCACTAGTGTAGAGTTTGTCCACAAGAACTGAGAGCTCACTGAATATTGTAGGTAGCAGGCTTGCGTTTTGCGAGGCGTAGCTGTTGCCTATATCGTTGATGCCGATGAATATCGCGAAGAGAGTGTCGTCAGAGCTCCATGGGACGGGACAGAAGTGGGAGGCATATATAGGCAGGTACTCGGATTCGACTTGTTGTTTTACAGACAAGACAGTGGGGAGATAGGGTGCCACAAGGGTGGAATCGACAGTTGCACCGCCATATGCCAGATTAACAGTTTCAACGAATGACTTGTTGTATATTGTCGTCAAATAGTCAATCCAATTGGGCCCGTTGGAAGACGTGTGTCNCTCTACGACTTGGTTCAGTATATTTGGTATAATGTCCTTTCGAGGATGCGCTTACGGATATGTCGGATTGCCGAGGGGATTACCAGGCCCTGGTTGCGCAAGAGAGACGTTAAAACCAGTTGTCGTGTACGAATCACCACTTGAAGAATTGTTAGTCGGCTATCAGGACGGGTACTGAATATATCTCACAANGGAGAAAATGTGCTTGATTCGTGCCCAACCAGGGTATTGTGTCTTTTCGGGGTGGTTGTTCGGTAGAGTATTGGCTACATTCGATAGACCTAGTGCTGCGACGATGACAGAGAGAGCTGATTTCCAGACCATGGTTGCTATTCGGTGCGTGGTCAAAAGAGGTCAAAGGTCAAAACGTCAGAGCGAGAAAGGCAGCGTGGATTATGTACTCTTTGCTAGTCGCCGCGGTTGGTTGTGTTGGCCTAAGACGCATGTGCAGACAAGATTCCTTGCGTTTTAACCGCATCAAGTGCGGAGGACCAAGAGGATCAAGGGAAGCAGGAGCTGTCTTCTCCGTGCTGTATGCGGTCTAAGTCATGCCGAACGGAAAAACTATTTCATCTTCTGCCGCCTGTTTCGCACCTGGTTCGAGCCGACTGCGGTGAAGCTCGACTTGATGATGCACCCCGCACCGCCGATCAATGCAATCGAACTCGTGCTGCGATATCCTGATGCCGTGCGACGGACACTCCTCGTCTTATCCAAAAGGCCGTGTGATGCCCATAATCCCATATCCAGGCTGATGCTGCTTCGTGATGTCGTAAATGCATGTTTCTCATATATTGGCTATGCGGCACATCTTGTCCAAAGGTCTGCGGCCTGCGCACACGTGGAGGGGTCCGAATTCAGTCGACCAAAAATCCCATCTCTTCGTCGACAACGCCAGCAAGACCTTTTGTTTGTCGGTGTGTACCTGAGTTGATGGGTGGCCACGCTTTCTGTCGGAGTCGTAACTTCTCGGCGTCTAGAAGCGCTTGCGGTAGGTCACTGCGTGATAGTCAGCACCCAGGATAGATATATCTGTACACGCGATAGACTCACTCCAGCTTGCCGTGTACAACGTACTCCTGCTCAGCAAGGGCGTCTGCGAGCTCGACCTGGTGGTTGTCCAACAGCTCCGAGTTGGGTACAACGACGAGCGGCACGTCGACACGCAGAGCATGAAGAATGGTTCCCGAGCCGGCATGGCTGACGACAAGGCCTTCTTTGCCGTTGTCATCTCCACCTGTCTTTGCCAGCTTCATGTATTGTCCAAGACCACTCGTGTCCAGTCCGAATCCAGATACATTGATAGCAGTCCCTTGTTTGTTCAGGTCCATGTCCTGTACCAATGATTGAAACAAGCTGTCTCCATCGGCGCCATACTGTACGATCAAGTCTGTATAGTGGTTCTGCTCAAGCGAATGGCAGAAGGACGACGAGATAGTGGCGCGAATGAGGGCCGAGAAGGAAGCAGTCGCGCCAATCGTCACGAAGCAAACCTTGCGAGGTCGACTCGAGGCTGGGTCTGACATGGTTGGGGATGTTGGTGGTAGATGAAGCATCTAGACGAGACCAGCAGCGCGAAAGTCGCCAACGGCAATATCGCCTAAAGTCCGCAACAAGAGAGCTTGCCGATTCACGTGTTTTGGCTTCGTCGGCACAGGTTGCCCACGGATTTGTCAAGCAACTATTGGCGGTCTGGGCGGCGCACTTGTTTCGCTATCGACTGGTGAACTTGGATCTTGTTGCCAAAAGCTATACAACGAGAAACCTCGACCTCCCCAATATGTCCAGGTCCCACGTGGAGGTACTATCACGCGAGTGCCGATCAATCATGTCTGGGGCGGTTTATTCTGGCCGTACAAAACAAGCGACACCTCGATCGCCTCGGACCCTTGCGGCACCGCGTGCCAGCCCTAACAATCCCTCGAACGCTCCTTCCTGCTTGACATGTCGCTCGCGTGCCTGCGTACCTGCCTATCGCTTGCATTGTACAAATTGTAGTCCTATGCTACTATCACGCCAGCCATCACAGGCTCGCCAAGTGCTTGCTTATTCTCACATCTCGACTAACTCGCTTATTCTCTTGTCTCATCCCTGACCTACAGTAGTCATCCGTCTACATTTTCTGTTCATTGGCTCAACATGGACCGGTCCTTCTGGAAGCTGTAGCAGCAGCAGCAGACCCTCGTATAATCACGGACTCCATGTTGTACAGGATTCAAATGATGATAAAGTATGACTTTTGACAAAACTCGATCACTGGCTTCAACGGCTCCTCTATACGAGATAGCATCGCAGGATACTGAGCTTGTAGCAGATTGGCATTGCCAACCGCAGCCACTCCACGAACTCTGCCTCTCTATTTTGCTGTGTGCAATCTTGCCTCCATCCTTAATGAGCGGTTACTAAGGGAACTTGTTGCAACGGCTGATTTTCACCAACGGCCAAACGTAACCGTCGCATGGCAGCAGAGCAGGCGAGTGCCGTAAGGACTACCGCTGTACCCAGACCGCCTCTGACGGTCAGCTTACTTTGCCTGCAAACGGTGCGTTGACTGTACTCAGGACCGTTTTCAAAGAATTCCATGTCAACGGCTATAACAACGGTGTCAAGGTCTGCTCCACAGCACCGAACCTTCGGGACTTGCATTGACCTTTGCGGCTGCTCTTGCCACAATACAGGTCAGCCTTGTGAAAAACACGTCTGATCGATCCTACAGCATATACTCCAACAATTGATGTCAACGGCCCGTTTTGGGTCTTCAGCTTTCCAGAAGACCAATTGATAGGCGGAGACCGTGTAAACCTGCACTCCTCGGCGACCTGCCGATGGCCTGGCTTGAGCGTTCTCGCACTCCTGTACCAGAACAGCATGGCTGGCCCTGCACGGTCGTGGTTCTCTTCCCTTTACGGTAGACATATGGTGAAGCCGGTTAGGCTTGTAGGTCAAAGAGTTCTGGAGCCTCAATTGTTTCGAGAAACAGCACGCGATGCAATAGTGCATCGGTTGCAACTGGAGCAGAAGCCTATCTCTCAAATTCTGTCGTGCTGCATGTCCACTGCAGATATAAAGCCCATCGAACCACCGCCCTTCAACCAAATCATCAACTCGATCAATCTACTCTTCTACAGCCTAATCGACTAATCAGCTCGGCCTTCTTTCGTTCTTATACATTCTTATACATCCTCTCGCTTCGACCACCACTTCAACCAACTACTATCTTACTTCAGCAACCATGCACTTCACTACCTTCCTCCCCGTCATGGCCTTCGGTGCCGCCCTTGTCCAGGCTGTCCCTGCTGACGACCTCGTCGCCAGAGGTGCTGTCTGCGTTGACAGCGATATGGCTCGTGTTCGCGCTGCTGAGAGCGCCCCTTACACTTTCTGTAACAACTGGATCAACGCTGCCACTCACTCTTCCTCGCCCATCAACGGCTTGACCATGAAGCGTGTCTCGGCTGCTTGCCAGTGTATCGTTTCCGAGGCCAAGAAGGCTGCTGCTTCCTCCTCCAAGGCATCGGCCCTGTCGGTTGCCTCCAAGTCCCGCGCTTCGGCCTCCTCTGTCCTCTCTGCCTCCAGAGCCTCAGTCTCCAAGTCCAAGGCTTCGGTTGCCTCTGTCTCCAAGGCTTCGCGTGTCTCGGTTGCCTCTGTCTCCAAGGCTTCTGCTATCTCTCGCGTCTCTGCCGCTCAGGCTTCAGCCGCCGCTTCCAAGGCCTCCGTCGCCTCTGTCTCCAAGGCTTCCGTTTCCAAGGCCCGCGCCTCTGTTGCTTCCGTCTCTAAGGCCTCTGCCGCCTCTCGCGTCTCGGCTGTTCAGGCTTCCATCTCCTCTTCCAAGGCTTCTGTCGCCTCGATCTCTCGCGCCAAGGTCTCTGCCTCTCAAGCATCTGTCATCTCCGTCTCCAAGGCTTCGCGCTCTTCGGCCATGCTTGCTTCTCAGTCTAGCGCTCACATGGTTGCCGCCTCCCAGGCTTCCGTCTCCGCTGCCTCTGTTGCCTCTGCCAAGTCTGTTGCTGCATCCGTCTCCAGAGCCGATGCTTCTTCCGCCAGACTTGCTTCCGTCTCTGCCTCCAAGGCCTCGGCTGCTTCTGTTGCCTCTGCCATCTCCTCCAAGTCTTCTGCTTCCGCTGCCTCCGCCGCCTCTGCTTCCAAGGCTTCCAGCATTTCTGCTCACTCCTCTGCCTCCGCTGCTTCCTACGCTTCATCCGTCTCTGCCGCTTCAGTCTCCCGCGCTTCAGTCTCCGCTGCTCGTGCTTCGGATGCCTCTGTTGCCAGCTCCATCTCATCTGCCTCCAAGGTTTCTGCATCTTCGGCCATGTCTGTCTCTCGCGCTTCTGCCGCTTCGGTCTCCCGCGCCTCTGTCTCCGCCTCGCGCGCCTCGGTCGAGTCTGCCTCTCGCGCATCGGCCTCTGCCGCTGCCACCATGGTTGTTCCCTTCAACGGCACCACCAACGCCAACCGTTTCCGTCACTAGAGCGTTTGCTTTGGCTTTTACCTTTCCTTTGTTACTTGCATATGCCACATGTGGTCTGGCATCTTCTTACCATTCTCCTGTCATTTTCCAAAACCAAACACCGAATCTGCTGGTACAGTCTGCGCTTTATTAATGTATAGCCTTTTTGGGAGCCGACATTATTACATAAAAAGTAGATTAGTCCTCTCTCTTTCCTAATACATCTTCATACATTACAACTGAATCTTCTGCTCCTCATCTCTCCCTCTGTGCATTGTTCTGAAGGTACATTTTAAGATTTTCTTCGACACTCGAGGCGCACTTGGATCAATACATGAGATCAAACCTCTCTGAGCTTGTTGAATTCCTGTTGTTCTTCTACTCGCCTATCATAACCCCCGCTCGATTCAGCGTATGAAAGCAACGACTTTTGTAAAATGGAATTAAACAACACAAATTTCAACGTTTTCATATCAGGACCATTTGTCATGCTTCTTGAATAACCATGCATTGAAATCATCAAAAAGTATGCCTACAGAAAAACATTTTGGCCTTCTCATACATCAGAAACGGTAACTTTCCGTAATCTCTGTACGACGAATACAACGATGACTGCAACAAGTAAAGCAGCATTGAAGCCTGCGAGCATGTAGAATGGTGCACCCGTGCTTGTCTTGTCGAATAGCACACCGCCTAGTTTTGTGAGAAGCAGAATGCCTATACCACCGGCTAGGGAATAAACGCCTGCGATTGTGCCTTTGAGTTGGTTTCTGTCGATCTCGGTGGTTGGTTGTGGTGCAGAAGTTTCGTTGACGGTGGGTAGCAAAGGAGCGGTTTCTGTGTGCTCTTCTGCTGGTGTGGTGGCTGAGGTGGAGGACTCTTGTCCTTCAGGCAAGGTATCTGGTTCTGGGGATGGAGATGCAGAGTTTGAGGGTGTGGAGGCTTGTATGCCCTTTGCTAGGATACCCAATGAGCATACGATAGCTGATATCTGACTAAAGCCAAGTAGAATCACGGCTAGGATTGCACCCTTGCCATCGGCGCTTCCATGGAAGGGGTCAGGGTTATCGAGTAGACCGAATGAAATGCATCCAATGATGCCGGCGATGGCGCCCAGGCCTAGAGGGAAGTATGATAGCTGCTGGCCTTTGTTGCTCATATAGCCGTTGAACCAGCCGAATAAAGGTGCTGCCAGCAACGCAGTCAACTGCGAGAATCCGGTGAGCATTGATGCAAGCGTGTACGCGCGCTTGCAGCTGGATTTGATGTCTTCGCTTGGATCATTTGAGCAAAGACCTTCGCGAATGAAGTAGGCATTGACGAAAAGTGGGATGAATAGCGATATCCCGACTGAAGAAGCTCTGGCGACGAAGCCACCTAGATAGCCCAATGCGATCCGAGAGTCGGTGAAGCCAAGCACGACGGCGGCACGGACAAGTTGATAGTATGATGGCAGAGGGTACACATTTTCTACTTCGTTGGTGTCGTGTTCTTCGGTACTCCTTCCGGAATAGAAGAGTCTGTAGAAGCCTTTGTCCTCTTCACCTGGCAGTCCACGGAGAGTCAGGGCGACCAGCACGGCAACGACGATCGACACACTTCCGACAACGTAGAAGCTGTCTTTGACGGCCTCTGTCTGAGCGACGCCCCTTCCAGAGAACTTGACAGGAAGTGGTAGGAAGATACCAACGGCTACCAAGGCGCCGATTCCGGTAAACATGCCCACATAACCAGCAAGCTGGCTGAGATCCGACTTCTTTGGCGTGGTCGGGTCTGCAGCAAAGCGGCGTTTCTGCGATCGACGTCTGAGATNTGGCGGTCTCTGCACGTAGCGTGCAGGTGTAATAGTAACCTCGCTACTGATGCTGAAAGCACCCGAGTGTCGGGCATTGGGATCTGCCGGCGTAGCGAGGCCTTCTCCATAGGATTGGTTGACTTCCGAAGAGGTATCCTGTTTTCGTTCGGCGGTCATTGTAGGTAGAATAGCGGTGACCATAGTCGAGCAAGCGGCGCCTCCAATGCTGAATGCCATCCTACCAAGCAATAACTGTGGGTAAACATTGTGGCTCTGCACCAGTAGCATGAGACTGGCGCCAATGATCAAATATCCGATCACAGCCACATTTCTTACTCCTATCTTATCGCTTAACAATCCCCAGAGCGGACATGCAACCAAAGCGACAAGCTCGTCCGCAAAGCCTAGTGTTCCAACTACATCGCCCACGCCATGCTTGCGACCGATGACGTCCGTGACAACAAAAGAGATGGATGCATTCAGAAAGACCAGAAACGAGATGGAGAATAATGCGACTCCAAGTAGATAGCTCGCAGCTTGAAACTTCGTTGCGGTAATCTTGTGAACAATCATGATATATAGATCTACAGCAGGTGTCGTTGCTTAGGAAGAGCCATGTTGACGTTGATGATGACGACTCGGCTGATGATGCTGACACTTGGTCCGTGTTCTGTCAAGATCATGATCTTTGGGTTTGCAACGCCCGGCACGTTTGGAACACCTCCCGACTTCAGTTGATACCAAAAATGTGCTATCAAAATGCACAATAGTTTACAAATCAGGAACGTGGCCACAGAGATAAATCAAATCTATAGTAACATCGGGCACATTTGAAACACCCCCGACTCCAGTTGATATCGAAAACATGCTATCAAAATGCACAATAGTTTACAGATCAGAAGCATGGCCACAGAAACGACCTAGGGCTACAGGGTTTCTGTGGACATCACTCAATCTGCAAACTATCGTGCATTTTTATAGTTACATAATCACAGACATCAGCACACGGAGAAGCAGTTATTCTTCAAAAGTTTGAGCAACATCAGAATTTCATTTCAGCTAACCCGTTCCTTCCCCCCTTTACCTCCTCCCCATGCCCCTCCGTTCACTTCGACTTGCGACCCTTGAGGCCGAACAGGGATTTCTAACCCCTGCCCGCCTTGGGCTTCGCAGAGGCCGTTGGGGTGGGCGGACCCGGGGCAGAAAGGCGGGCCCAGAGCTCTGCCCGACTGGCACTCCAGGTGCCGTGCGTCGAGAGAGACGCATGATTGTTGTCAGGAGTGCGAATCTCCTGCTGCTCCTGTGCCTGAGGGCTTGCTTGGATTGATGATTGGCTATACACAGAGACGCTCCTGGGAGTGATTGGGCGCTCTTCTTGCACGCGGGCCTGAGGTTGGTTGCCTGNCAAAGGGAGGAAAATCAGATAAATCCGTCGATCTCGAATCAAAGCTACTCATTACTTACCGACGTTCTGCGGCTGCTCGCGTCTAACCATTGGCCACATTCTTTCGTAGCACTTGCAGAGACATGCTTTGTCTTTGGTGGCGGTCGCGCAGGTTTCTTTACATTCGCATGTCGAATTGCAAACACAAAACACGCCGACGTCTTGCTTGCCTTCGAGCGCTTCAAGCGTCTCGTCAATCATCTTGCAGATGTGATCGACGCTTGTGTCTTCTTCGGCTTCATGGTCTTCGGCTGGGTAGTCATCTGCTGGGCGCTGCTGACGATCTCGAGATCGTTGATGGCAAGGTCTGGAGGATTGTTGAAGGACGGCGGGACTTGATTTTCCACGCGCAGCCTTTCGCTGGTGATAAGATGGTTTGTGGCAGTTGGAGCCCTCTGAGCTGGTCATGTTGAATTTGGTGTCTGAGGGTACTGAATGGAAGGAGATCGGGACGTGTGTATAATCAAAATGGTTGTGCGTGCTTCACGGAGCAGACGCGTCGGTTAACGTCCAAGAAACGCGTCATAGAAGTGATCTGAAAGTGAATTGTCGGCAGAGTATACCAATCCAGATGGCAGTGTCTTCACCGTGGTCGCTCGAGTCATGTAAGCAACCACGGCAAGGCTCGTGGAGGTATCTCTTTGGCAGCACGGTCCACCAGGCCACTACCTACGATGACAACCGAGAGTTTTCCATCCCAGGTTGTCTCAATGAAAGGCATCGAACAACGGCGCAACGTGGTAGAGTCACACTATGTCCATCGATGAGCCTGTGGTAGTCGATGAGCTAACCAGAGTGCTAGGCGCAGTCGACTCATAGCGAATGTAAATCCAGAAACGGCCTTATGGTCGGGCGATATCGTTCATCTTCCGGAAGATACCTAAGAACCCACCACCTATAATCCTTTCTCCGACTTTGGGCCTGCAAACAAATGTCCAATTGGGATCCTCAGGTTTGACTTCTTTCAAGACCTGTGCTGGATCTCTGGTGACAGACTCATCTGGCGATTCGGATCCAGAAGTTTGTGCGGATTCAGAACCGATCTCTGTTGGTTGGTTCTTTGCTGAAGCACGCGGCTTCACAGCGCGCAGGTCCCAAGGTTTGCCGCCGCTACTTCCATTGTTTCCGAGCTCCAGGGTCTGGTCGAGGAACAATGGGATGTTTTGTCGTTTGATTCTCTGAATGCAGTCCAGGATCTGGGTGATGGAGGGGTTGAAAATGATGAGTGTTCCGTCTTTCTTGAGTGCTGAGGCAACAGCTGAAAGATGATCGTGAGTAGCGGGCAGATCCAAGAAGGCGTGCGTCAAGAAAGGTTCTGCTGAATCACGACGGACGTGTTCGGATTTGATCCACTCGCTCGCGTCTCCAACATGGAAGTCAACGTTGTTGGCATAAACACCATGGCGGAAACCAGCAACAATCTTGGCCGCATGCTTGGAATACTTGGATGAGATATCAATGGTGTGAATGACAGCCTTACGAGAAGCCCTCCAAGCGTCTAAAGCATTATCACCCTCGGAATGATGTTCACCGTTGACGCTCTCGGAATGGTGTTCACCGCTGACGCTCTGAGTGACTGATTGGTTCTCTATTCCCTCAGACACGGGAGCTGGTTTAGGAACTTGAGGATTGGCACCATGAATGGCTCGGCTCAGATGTAGAGTCAGAGCTCCGTGGCCAGTTCCAGCCTCAAGTACTTCGATCTTGTCGGCATCGTCTGCAGCAGATGGATGTAAATCAAAGAGACTCACAATGAGGTTCGCATCAGCTGGATAGATCTGAATAAGACAAGTCAGGCAAGCACGGATGGGTATACCTATTTGACGAAAACTTACAGGAGTAACCAGTCTTCTGGTTAAGTTGACATATTCAGCAAGAGTGATAGTGTGGACTCGGTATTCGTGACCAGCGGAGGAAGTGACCAGGTCTCTCGGACTCTTGCCAATAATGTCGGCGTGTGAGATGTCGCCTTTGTGTGTACTGATCTTATTGGCAGGGTTGAGGGGCTTTGACACAATGATATTGTCTTGGTTCAGTTTCTGGCGGAGTATGACAATATCCCGCTCAACGAAGGTAGACAGAGTTCTGTATTGGCCACAGATACGGCGTAGAGGGGCTGAAGCCAGACGCATGGTAGATTGGTATGTTTTCTAGCAAGAGCAGGCAAAGGCAGGCACGAGGCTTCAAAGCAGAAACAGATTTAGCCATACGGATACGAGACTTTTTGGCTTATCGATTGCAATAGAGTTTGCCGATCAGCCGCTTTCACTCAGTGTGGGGAAATCGGAGCAGCAGCAGGGTTGGCAGCTGTCAGTTGGTGCCAAAGTTGCTTCTTCTGTCAAAACGCATTGCACAGTACTGCTTGTGCTGTCGCAATGCCTGAAGGCCTTCAAACATGACCCGTCGCATTGTATGTCACGTTCCGAGCCGCCAAACATGTGCAAACCACGACTGACAGGCTCCCGCAGGTTCGCACCATCAGCCAGCTCGGCGCCCTGCTGGTCACGGCTCTACTCTTTGTCTTCTTTGTCGACACGCGCTATCGCCTGCTCCCGCATGCCATTCATACCCAGAACTTCCTGCATCATCCCGGCCTCATCGTCACTGATGTTACCCTGACCACCTGCTCCTCTGTCAATCCCTTGTCTTCGTGTCAACTCGACTCTTCAAAATGGCATCGCATCGANAAGGATCTATACCTGCACACCGGCTGGGTCTCGTCTGCATACCTCCATGTACAGCGTAAAAAGGAGGAAGAGCTTACCGCCGATGACAAGGTTGTCGTTGATCTTCGTGTTGGCCGTCTGGACCCAGGTGTTGGCGAAAAGGGCCAGCAGCAAGAGCAGTGGGAGTCCCGTCCTGGCAATATCTGGCTCTTAAGGAGCAACAAGAAGAAGGATACAGACAGTGATAGAACAGTCACTGCTGTTGACGTTTTGTTTGGCGCCGACGCCGTCGACCCACGCCCCGGTTGGTCTGTCACACAGACTCCCTTGCTCCTTGATGCCGCTTCCCGTCTTCAAGCCGCTCGCATAACCATCCGCCACGGTCCTGCGCGAGCTGACAAGAAAGAAGTCGTTCCAAGAATCCGGAAGGATGGAAAGTTCAAAATCATACAGCTCAGTGACCTCCACCTAAGTACTGGCACTGGCTCCTGCAGAGACGCCATAGATGCAAATGGCGATGTCAAGGGCAACTGTGAAGCAGACCCTCGCACACTTGACTTTGTTGGTCGGATTCTCGATGAAGAGGCTCCAGATCTGGTTGTACTAGGTGGTGACCAGGTCAATGGCGATACAGCACCAGATGCCCAAAGCGCCATCTTTAAATTCGCCGATCTCCTCATCTCACGATCTATACCCTACGCTGCCATCTTTGGCAATCACGACGACGAAGGACCAAAGGCCACTCGTCTATCCCGTGAGGCGCAAATGTCTCTGCTCTCCACCATGCCTTTCTCACTCTCTCGGCCTGGGCCCGACAACATCGATGGTGTTGGCAACTACTACGTTGAGGTTCTGGCTCAATCTCCTTCTCAGAATTCGGCCATCACCCTGTATTTCCTCGACTCCCACAGCTACAGTCCTGATGAAAAGACTTATCGAGGCTACGATTGGGTCAAGCCTAACCAGATCCAATGGTTCACTGAGACTGCTCAGAGCCTCAAGGCACAACATGCTAAGTATACTCACATCCATCTCGACATGGCCTTTATCCACATTCCACTGCCGGAGTTTGCAATGCAGGGCAACCTTGTCGCTGGTGGTGAATTCCGAGAACCAAGCACTGCCCCGGGTTTCAATTCTGGCTTCTATAAAGCGCTCAAGGAGCAAGGCATCGTTTCAGTAGGATGTGGCCATGACCATGTCAATGATTACTGTGCCTTGACTCCTCAATCTCAGGATGCTGCCAAGAGTGAAAACATCGGTCCTTGGATGTGTTACGCAGGTGGCAGTGGATTTGGCGGTTATGCTGGCTATGGTGGCTTCCATCGTCGGGTCCGAGTCTGGGAGCTCGATATGAATGCCGGCAGGATAGTGACCTGGAAGAGGGTCGAATGCTGCGGCGATGACCTGAAAAAACGCGTTGGCGAATTGCTCATCGTTGATGGAGGACGCGTTGTTGTCCCACCAGAGTCGAGTTGATTGGGCCAGCCTCGAATCTGACTCCAGCCACTCAGACATCGCCCAATTCATGCTCGAGAATCCTTTACGAGCAGCAAACCCCTCTGTATATCTTCCAACGAAGGACAACGTTCATCCTTGATTAACGCATATCGCCAAATTTCTGGTCACACCTTTTTACGACAGTAGCTGCCGAGACTGGAGTACGGGGATGAATTGCTGCAACCCCATCAAATGAGGGTTTATGACCAACTTTTGTGATATTATGTGTAATGTCCTGATTGCGGGAAGTGCTGGGGAAGCACTAGTTTCTTTTATCCGGACAACGTTGTGGATGGCATGAACAGCAGCATGTGCCGAGTTGAATACACGAACGATTGGAACCTCAGCTTCGAAATGTATATTCATGCATCATGATCCATTGGTTCACAGGTCGTAGTTGCTCTACAATGGTGAAGATGCTTTTGGAGCACGCGATAGACACCACGTGTGAGCAGTTCTGGAAGCTCGGCTGAAGCGTCAAAACGTGGGAGCCCCACAAGAAACACCCACATGAAAAACAACCTCCGGAGAAGGGCCACGGAAAAAGTCGTGGATATTCGGGATAAATACGTGGATATATGTTAGCCTCGGGGTATCTCGAAAACATCTCGTCGGAAACGGGCCTTCTTCGTAAGGGCAAGCAGTTGACCAAGGGCATAAATGGTCGTGTGCCCCCAGACCTGAACATTGGGCCCCCGAGACTTCATTCAACTTTTGCAGAATGGAAGTCTGCAAAATCATCAACAACCACCAATCGAACGGACACTTGCCTCTACCGGACAATTGTGGACCCTACAGCACAAGACAGAAGGCCTGTTAAGGAGGAGCGGAGTCGAAGGCGGAATCCACAAAGTCACGACAGGGCGGTCCTCAGTCAGCCCATCTTCGATGTCCGGATCGGTCAAGGGGCACCATTCTGCTGAACCACAGCTTCGCGAGTTGGACTTGTTGAGCGACCAACAGCAGCGATGGGGACCGCTCTGCTGACGCCTTCTGACGGCTTAGGGCCTGATGCCCTCACATTGGACCTCCTTATTTTCGGATTGCTTCACCAACGGGTCAACAATAATGCTCTCGGGCCGATTTACTCCTTGGCGGAGCGAGATTTGACAAACGAAATCCTTGGCTTACTCGGATGTTACGGCCGGTCGGCATACCGACCTCGAATTCGTAACGCGTTTATTATTCCCATCACAAACGTGTCGTTCGGAGGCGCATCAGAAAAAGGGTTTTTGTTCTGCTTCTTTGCAGATTCGATGCGTCACGAATGCTTGGGGTCCAACGGCCGGAAAGAGCAGCCTGTTGTCTGTGATTGGTGTGATGGGCTTTGCACTTTCGGTGCACGGTTGCGCTCTTCAAACACACGCCATCGCCGGTCCGGCAGTGTGAACCTTGCATGTCAACGTGCAGTGCGCGCATGCATTGTGCACGCTATGAGCGGAGTCTGATCATGCGCAGAGTCTCGTGCTCGCCAACACTTTAACGCGATATGATGCCCAAGTATACATCGCTTCGAGTCGGTTGTAAGTCGCATTAATACTAGCAGTGCCTGAAGTGGTAAGTAGTTTCGCAGTCTCGCGATCAGATTTCATGGGTTTCTTTCCTCTATGCGATGCTAAGATTCGACGGCGTCGACGCTACTCGCGGCAAATAACGGCTCCCGCTTGGAGCACTTTTTGCGTCAACTCAACGCCGCAACTAGGTAATGCTCGTCGTTAGATATTGTTGACTCTTTTCTTGTTCAAACGATTCGTTTTCTCTTCTAATTTTTCTCTGCCTATTCTCATTCAGCCTCCCGCCTAAGTATTTCCACAACCCCGTCAGATAAACGGGCCTTCTTTTACCCTTGTCACATCTTTTATCTGGTCAGGTATTGATGCCATTGATGATGCCTGACTCGACCGGACCCGCCACATCTACCGTCAAACGCGCATGCGACTGTTGCCATAAGAGAAAGGTCAAATGTATTGGTGACGGTACCCGACCTTGCAAGAACTGCACTGCAGCTGGCCTGACATGCACGTACAACGCCATTCCCCAGAAGAAGGGTCCCAAAGGAAGCAGAGCAAAGGTCATTTCTGAGCTCCGCGAAACACAAAGACAGTCGCAACTGGCAGCTCGCGCAAGGCATGGACTGGGATTCGAGGCTTCACAATATGCCAACGCCTTCTCAAGGACGCCGGACCTACTGTCCATGGAGCTCATCACATCATGCGTTGATTACTTCTTCGCAAACATGTATCCAACACAGCCAATCCTGCACCGCCAGAAGGTTGGTGAGACAATCGGAAAGATGGAGAACTCAGTAGAGGCGTACTGCTTGGTCGTGTCGCTCTGCTCATACATGCTCATCCAACCAAATACCAAGCTTCCAGCTGGTGTCGTTCCAGACGCCGAAGCACCCAATGCTCACATGAATCTCGGTATGACATTACTGGATGAAGCTATTCGCGTTCGCAAGGGTTACGACTACATTGAGAGCCCGAGCATCTGGTCGGTTATCACGTCGTTCTTCTTCTTCGGCGCACATTTCTGCCTCGACAAGCACAACACTGCATGGTTCCACCTGCGTGAAGCCACGACTTTGGCGCAGATTATGGGCATGCAAGACGAGAACCACTACAGTCAAGGCGACCTCATTGAGACATCGCGACGTCGACGACTGTACTGGCTTCTGTTCATTACCGAGAGGTGAGTCGAGTCAACCTATGAAAGAAACCAAGGCATAACTAACATCATCTTTGTNAGAGCATATGCCATCCAGCGTCACCGCCCCTTGACTTTGCACGCCACTATCAACCTCCCTACCCTCAACGACGATCCCGCAGAAACAGTCGAGCTTAGTGGATTCATCCATCTCGTCACACTCTTCAAGCCCTTCGATGATACCTTTGTCGGACTTNNTTGGAACAAGGCTCGTGTTGGCTGCTCGACTGAGTGGCTGGCGAGACTGCAAAATCAGCTTGCGGAAGCACTCCCGGCTTATTTGCACAGCACCGAAAGCCAGGCTGTCGATTTGAGAACATCACAACAATGGCTCCGAACAATGGTTTGGCAGCTCTCCATCAGCCATGGCTACCTGTCTTCGGCTGCTGCAGACAACACTATGAGTTTCAAGTACCCCATCGAAATCTCCAGAGATCTTATTGCGGCCACAAGTGGCTTCTCCCAAGCTGCTATGGAGGTCCACGGCATTGGGCTTGTTGAGAAGCTCTTCGACGTCGCATGTACCTTGACCGATGTCATGTCGTGCGTACCATTTGAGCAACACACTTTCGAGTATGGTCCTCGGGACTACCTAAACCAATTCCTCTCGCTCATCTCCACCCTCCGTGGCGGCCAACAACGCTACCTCTCGCTACTTCTCTCCAAGATCAACGACACTCTCCCTCAGATGCCCACTCCAGGCTTCAGCATGGTCTCTATGCCTGGCGGCCGTGGCAGAATTGACGAGATTTACGATAGCAGCAACCCTGCGAGCGGCGACTCGACTCCATTCGGTGGCAGCCCACCCCCTCAACCCGTCGGTCCTCAACTCTTCCAATCCGCTTATCCAGACGACTTCAAGCTTCCTGGACCCACGAGCAACGGCTTCCCTATGATGACTTCGGCGCCTTCGTATAATGGTATTCAGACACCAGCGCAACTGCAAGCTGCGTATCAAAATTCACGCAATGCCTATTCCGGCTTAGGAGGTCAGTCTGGCTTTGATCACTGATCGCAACCCTTGAGCTTCGAGCGTGATCTCGAAGAGCATAGGCACCAACACCGATCATTGAATGCGCTATCTGAGATGGCGGTGTGCGTCGTCATTTCCTCTGCGTCCAGCAAGACAGTCAAAACAATTTGCGACAGTCTGGAGAAGTGGTTCGATTAGGGCAGCGACTTGCAAAATGTCTTGACTCAGTACCACGCACGACAAAACCGGAGATTGTGTCTCAGGCACAACCGAGCTTGACTCGTCGATCCTGAGCCCCAGTGCCACAGAGTCCAAGGGTACTCTTTTCACGCTGTTGAACCAGCACAACCACATGTTTTTGTTTGTTTCTTGAAGCGATTTGCATTGCGAATAGACATTGGGAATTATAGACGGGGGGATCCACACGGGCGTTTCGGAGACTTACAAAGAAGAAAAAGAAACAAAAGATGGTTTTTTGCTGCGAATGATACCCAACCAAATGGCCAATTATAGAATTATAGATATAGACTTTGATCTCTGCTCATGAACAGAATATTCCTTCTCTCTCTCCTCTTCCTCCAAATCATACTTCTTCCTGTACAGGATAATATTCATGTACAGAATCAAAGTTTCGACTTGGACTCTTCAGGTCCTGACCTTTGCAAGATCCAATCAGAGACATGGTTGGCGAACATGAGCTTGTCATCACCAGGTTCGGCATGCACNNTGTGAAAGGTCGATTAGCATTACTTCAACAGAACAAAAGAAGAGAACTTACTGTTATGATACCAACCGTCGTAGCTCTTAAGCTCTTTATCACTCAACTCACTGCAGCGCTCAACATAGGCCTTAGTAGCTTCATAAGCATTCACATGATCGCCAGTTCCGTGCAGCGCCAACAATCTAGTCTTTCCGCCTTCACCAGCACTTTCCTTTGGCAAGACTTTAAAGCTCTCGAGCTGTATTCCTCTATCCAGCATTCCTGCTAGCCCTTCTAGGGTCCCAGTGTCGTGACACAACTCATCCTGCTCCCAGAGTTTGTTCTGCTCGGGGTCTCTGCTCAACCATTGGGGATCTAACTTGTTCACCAGTTGGAATTTGGGCAAGAGGCGGCCTGCGAGGCGGCCAGCCATTACTGTGACTTTGAAGGGACGGGTGTCGGAGTGCAGGCCGATGAGGGGTGCGCTGGCGATGAAGCCGCGGATCTGGGAGAGGATGTCGGAGGGTCCGCTGGCTGCGTAGTGGAGGATTTCGGCACCGCCCATGCTGTGGCCCATCAGGAAGAGAGGGACTGGGGTGGGTAGCAAGGTCCGTAGCATGCTGGTTATGTCGGCGAGGACGCGGGTGGTGGGGCCTGTGAGGCCGCGCTCATGTTTATTGTGGACGGAGCGGCCCCATCCTCTGTGAGTAGATGTGTCAGTAAGGAGTTGAAGAAGAGATTTGAAAACATACCGTTGGTCAAAGGCAAAGACATCAACTCCNNCCTGATTGGCGAGGTGGTCGAACAAGACGGGGTAGTTGTTGCAGTGGTCACTGAAGCCATGCACAAACAGCATGCGTGCCTTGGCTGCATCCCCCGACACCTTCCATGTTTTGGTGTACAACTCGACGCCGTCATCCGTCCTGTGTGTCCCCTCGAATGTCGTGTATGCCATCTGCGCCCTTGTGTAATAATATCGGTGTATAGAGATAAAAGGTTTGGATCCTCCTCTTCCTGGGAGCCTCAAAGGCCCTTGCATCTTTTGTTCGTGCTGTGAGCTGCCTGCTCATTTGCTGACGTAGCTTGCTCGGAGCTCCTCGGCTCTTTCTTGCTGCAACTTGCTCTTTGTCTATTGTCACATGCTTGATCTTTTCGATTCTTGTCTTATATCTGTCTATCTGCTGTCCTATCAAGAAATAGATACCATCCATCTCTTACTGGCAGATTGTCGCAATCTCACTGTTCGAAAGTGTGCTGTGTTAAAGTTTCTAGGTTGTCAGCACTCCCACCCTGTCTTTGTGGTCTTCCATGTTCCATACATCCTGAATAGCGAATAGCGTATATGATCAAGTAAAGAAGGGGAAGACGTTTCAGCTGATGCATCTGATACTCGGAGGGTCTTCTCTTTGAGAGCCAAAGGGTGTGGCGAGACATCTAGGTTGAAATATCACATACTTTCATGCTTTTCTAAAAATCCATGCAGCCAACCATCGAAAGCTCATGTCCTGGACGACAGAAATTCTCAAGATTGTAGCTGTAGCTTCCAGGGTTGAACAATGACCAAGAGTGATCAAACAGTCAAACAGATCCGAAAAACCTCATATAGACAGCAACTCTGACGTTGAAGTAGAAGTGGTTTGAGGACGAGTCGACAACCACGTACAACAGGGCTCAGGGCTTCGGAAGCAGTATCCGAAAGAACCATCCTGCCCACCCTGCCGTAAGGAACCTCGGTACCCCACACAGCCAACGTCTCGAAAAGATGCCTAGGTAAGGATGATTGGAGATCCATAATCACAACTCATTCTCCTGGATTCACATTCCACCTTGATAGACTGAGCATATCTCCAAAGACAACACGAAAAGATCAACAATGTCTCAAGCCGAGCAAGAGGTCACACTGGAGACCCGCGGGCACACCGCCATCATCACTCTCAACATTCCAAAGAAGCTGAATGCACTCAATGGAGACCACTACTTCCGTCTTGCCAAACTGATGCAAGAGGTCGCCGCCATGGACAATGTTTACATCACAATCCTAACAGGAAAAGGGCGTTTCTTCTCCGCGTACGTTGCTTCTTTCTACCAAACAACAACGTCATCTTACTAACAATATCCAAATGACAGAGGTGCAGATGTCTCAATCTCAAAAGCACCACCAAAAGATGTAGATATTCAACGTCACTACCTGCAAGGTTTCGTGGCTCAAAACCTGCACATCACACACGCCTTCTACACACACCCAAAGATCCTGATTGTTGCTTTAAACGGCCCTGCTGTAGGCCTCTCCGCAGCACTCACCGGATTTGCAGACTTTGTTTATGCTGCTCCGCACACTTTCATCTTGACTCCATTCAGCAGTTTGGGTTTGGTGGCAGAGGGCGGTTCAAGCAGAGCTTTCGTGTCGAGACTGGGCATTTCAAAGGCAAATGAGGCACTGATTATGAGTAAGAAGTTGACTTGTGAGGAGCTTGTCAATGTCGGATATATCAATGGAGTCATGGATGTCAAGCCTGGCGAGGATGCCAAGTTTATGGACTTGGTTCTGAAGGAGGTTGATGATAGACTCGGCAAGCACCTGATCCCGGATAGTCTTATGGGTATCAAGAAGTTGATTAGAAGACCTGAGAGGGAGCTTTTGGATGCTCAGGGTGTTGCTGAGGTCTTTGGTGGATTGGAACGATTCGTCAGTGGTGTACCGCAGGAGCAGTTCAGGAAAATTGCTTCTGGCGAGAAGAAGCACAAGCTGTAGAGTCGCTTGGGTGCATACACATTTCTCGCAGAAGGACCACAATTGACAAAGCATGAAAAGAAAGAGATATCAATCGAGATGATTTAGCAGGACAATCCAAGATTAGTGCTTATGGCGAGAGACTCAGGGGTATCGAAGAAAGAGAAAACGCAACGTGCCCTCAAAACTCACTTCCTCCTCTTACCATTCCAGTCAATGAAAAGGCCAACGTCCTTCAAGACGGCTGAGGGAACGCCCATCTTCTGCGCCCACATTGGTAGATTGCCTTTCGCATCAGAAGCAGTCGCCATTTGCCATTTCACGTTGATGTCCTCAACCATGGTACATCGCTCAATACTGACATACTGACCAAGGGTAACAGGCTTCCTCTTCTCGGCAGTGTCACCTGCAATCTTGTTCTTGTGCGTGGAGTACATTGCCTTATCAAGCTTGGTAATGTCGACGGGTATTTGCACAACCAAGAAAGAGGGATCTTTGGGACCAGCCGAGCGGGCCGTAACAACAAGCACAGGGAAAGTGCGGTTGTCCAGAGGAGGTGGGATATGATGACACATCTCAAAGANCTGACCATGGCTCGAGTCAGTTGTGTATCAGGTATACGAAGATGACTAAAACTTACTGTTCAAACCGACCTTCTCCCAATTACCAACCTTAGCCTGCTTCTCGGCCAACTTGGGATCCCAGGATAGGACCTTGTGTGCATCAAACACATCTGGAGTATACTGTGATTCATGCAGACTGTGGTCGTCAAGCAGACCGGCTTCAAACTCATCCCAATTGGCAGTACCTGGTTCCTTCTTGTTCTCGTGAAGACTTGTACGTGCAAACCATGCTTCATCATGTGCATTAGGACCCAATTGGTGAGCAGAAATCTCATGAGCCAGAAGTTGGATGGTAGCCTTTGCGGGCGGAGACTTTTNTGAGCGATCCTTGATGGCGAAGTTTTGTGGTAGGTAATCGGTCATGAAAGTAGAGGCTTCAGTCAAGACATTGGTGATGAAGGTTTCTAGGTCTGGCAATGCTGGAGCGCCGGCTTGCAATGCTGCCAGATCCGGGTGGGCAGGTAGCTGTGATGGGCCGAGGGCGCGAAGACGCACCAGCTGACCGTAGGATTGACTACCAGTACTCATACTTGATGGTATATAGTGCGATACTCAGTGGATAGGAATAGGTCGATGTGAATGATTGTGTTGTGTTCTCAAACGGTTATGGCTGAAGTTCAGGTGAAAGACGCGTCGCGAGACGATCGCCAGAGCACAGAAACGTCATATTGTCATCGTGACCATCGCGCATCGTGCCTTCATCTCCAGCTTACGCATCGCTATATACACTTCTCATGGTAGAATCTCCATGACACATCACAAGGCACGAGAATCATCATTCGGAAGAGTGACATTATCATCAGGGCATGTTTGAGCCCTTGAACCCTGACACAAATCATCTCTTGGCCCAAGTGGGGTCGGCTGAGTCCGCGGCAGTCGCTTCTCCCGATCGAGCTATACCGCACGATACCTCGCTACATTTTTCTCTGATTATTATGCCTAACTTGCCGCCGTTGCGCCTATCTCCTTGATGACAGCAAACCTATACGGCTGTGGCGAGATGCCGGTGCCCTGTGCCGGTCTGTCGGGTAGGTAAATATCGACATCTTCCCTCGTGAGTATCTGTAAGTTGCCCTCTTTGTTACACCGACAATGTTGCTCGCCTTGGAGAATCTCTTCAGGTACTTGCGCCTCAAGGCGCTCGTCAGCTTTGCTCGCCTTCATGTGTGGTGGGGCGGTATGCCCAAAGCCTCGCCAGACTCTGTTTTGCAGATTCCCTCGAGGACTGGTCGCAGCATCAAGGGCCATTTCTACAAATCGACTTCTTTTACTCCTGGCATTCCATCACCCCTCTTGATCAACTTCCACGGCAGCGGTTTCGTTTTCTCTCTTCACGGCTCGGATGACTTGTTCTGCCGCAAAGTCTCTACTTCAACCCCTTACTCGGTTCTGGACATTCAATACAGCCTAGCCCCTGAGTACCCTTGGCCAGCCTGTCACAACGATACCGAAGATGTTGTGAATTGGATCCTTGGTCAACCTGACACCTACTCGACTTCTCAAATTGCCATTTCTGGTTTCAGCGCGGGTGCAAACATGGCTTGTGTCGCGGCTGCATTGGCCTACCCCAAGGATACATTCAACACTCTGCTAGCCTTTTACCCACCTACCGATCTCTCTATCGAGCCACAGCAAAAGTCAGCTCCAGAAGCAGATGGCAAAGACGACGATTCGACTGCAAAGATGGCAGACTTGTTCAATGCTTGTTACCTGCGCTTGGACCCCGATTACGCCGACCCTCGCGTCTCACCTGCTCTTGGACCTGTGGAGAACTATCCCGAGAACTCCTTGTTTATCACTTGCGGACGCGACAGTCTTTGTCTGGAAACTGAAGATCTGGCTAAGCGCGTCCAGGAAAGACACGGAGACAGTGTAGTGCGAAGACGCATGGAAAAATGCGGACATGCATGGGACAAGCATGTTGCTCCCGGTTCACACCAGGAACGCAAGCGTGACGAGGCGTACGCATTGGCAATTGACATGCTGATGAAGACAAAGCAATGATCAGAGAACGATAGTAGCCGTGGGAAGGACTGGAAGATACGATAGAGGTAATTAGAGGTTTGTATTCATCTTGCGCAATTTGCAGTCTTGCTTTGCTTTTGCTTTCCACTGCTTCATAATCGAGTAAACATGAAAAGAAAGAACTAATTACAACGCAAAGTCAAGACTGATTGGACTGTACAGTGTGTCCAGAAAACCAAGAAAAGACAGTTGAAGAAGACAAATGAAAGGGGTATCTTTTCGAATCGCGCCGGCCACATGCAACATGCATCCATCATTAACTCGTGAAGAAACGAACACCAAAAAACAAAATCCACCAGAAAATCAAAACAACGGCATGGCTGTAGACAACGCATGCAAAGAGAAATGTGTAGTGCAGAAGGCGCCGACGTTATGCAACGTGCGTAAGGAAACTGAAAAGAAAGACAGATGAAACCCTGACTGACTGTGTCAGGTACTGTGAGTGACTGCGTGGTAGTTGAGCTGTTGACTTGCGACGTCAACATATTCAAGGAATGACCGTATCGGCGCCGGACTGGATCTTCATGGCGCCAATCTGGCTCTCCCATCTGTCGATCTTGTCGACGAATTCCTGGTTCAAAGACATGGCTGTGCATGCGTCCAGCAGAGCCATGGCGTCGTGGTAGCGTGCACGATCACCAGGTCTGGAGATGTCCTTGTTGCGATTGTAGAAGTGGAACAGAGCGCGACGTTTGCCGTAAGCATCCAAGGACCAGTAGCCCGGCATAACAACGTCAGCCTTGGAGTTGACGAGCTCAAGAGGAGCCACACGCTGCTTGCGGTAGAAGGTGAGTGCCGAGCGAAGGCTCTGGAAGGCTTCCTTGATGTCATCGCGAATCTCCTTCTCCTTGCGGGTGTAGTAGTCGTTGCCCTGAACAGCTGGTGTACTTCTAGTACGACGATGCTGCTGGGTGTTGGGGTTGAGGGCGGTCGAGGCATTGGACGACATGAGATCGTTGAGGGCCGAGCACTGCGAGTTGAGGTCGTTCATACGACGGACAAAGCGATCCATCTTCAGGTCGATTTCACGCAAGTCGTAGCGCAAGCTCTTAGCTGCGCGATCCGCATGGTAGGCATACCACTGAGAGATGTCCTCCTCCGAAACAGTGGTCTGCTCGACTGAGCTGGGTTCAGTTGAAGTGCCGGCAGCCATTCTGGGGGTGGCGAAGTTGAACGAGAGGTCCTCGAAGGAGGGGGGTGCGGGTGTTAGAAGGTCNNTGACCGAGTTCTTGTTCACAGGGACCAGGGACATGTTGTGTTTGTCAGAAGTGCTGGCAGTCATGTCGGAAGTGGTAACGACAGCGTTGGCATCGTCAGTGGAAGAGATGGAAAGGTCCATGATGGCGTCGACAGGAGCGCTAATGGTGGTTGAGGTCGCACTGCTGTGGTCCTTGATGATGATTTTGGGGACCTTAGGCTGTTCGTATTGGTATTTGACCTCGCTGGGCTTGGGTGGCTGGTGGGACCAGTCGGACACTTCGACAGTGGGTGTATCAGGAGGCGTAGGGGCATGAANCTCCGGGCTGGACTCGACAGCGCTGTCGTTGGGAGTTGCAGGCTGAACGATGGGTGTAGTGGGAACCTTCAAAGCAGGTTCGCTGGCAGGACGAGGCAAACGCGAGTATGAATGGCTGCGGAGGGTGGATGAGATTTCACTTAGGAAATTTGCATTGTTCTTGATGGCTTTGCCGTGGTTGTCCAGGATGCCAGCCAGGCGCTTGACGAAGCTGAATAGTTGTTTTGATTAGTTGTGTACGGGGCCGCTTGTGTTCATCAAAACGTACCCAGCGTGGAAATCATCGCGAGGGCCCGGAGTGCTGCTGGCGCGGCGATGCTGTTGTTGCTCTTTGGGTGCGCCGAGTCCATCGTCACGACCGGTCGACCGTGAGCGCGACATAGTAATTTCAGGGCGTTCACGGTTTCAAGTCGACGATTGAATCCGGGGTTTGATCTGGCCGTGCCTTCCGAACCTGCGGAGGATGAACGTTATGTGTCAGGGAAACGACTATCCGCAACGGCGCAAGCTGGCAGTGCGGCAGCAGCGGTGTGGGTGAAGCAACAACAAGGGAGAGAAAACAAAGGCGATGTCGACCTTGTCGATGTGTGTGAGGCTGGAAACCCGCGCTTGCAGCACGCCGTCAATCACGTTCTGCCTTATAGATTGCTCGATTAATTATTGGTTGTCCTTTTACCGATGCCATGGTCCTCGTCACTACGCGCCATGACCAAGTGCTGCCCAAGCCTCGACCTCCTGTCGCTCCCGCTCGGCCACTCCCGAGCCATTGTTTGGTATTTGGTGCTGTAAGTCACGGTCCAGTCAAAGGTAGAGAAGAGGTATCATTTCCATCATGCGCCGTCCTTTTCTATGTTACAATTCAAAGCATGGCTGGCCCTTTGCAAAATTCCCATAAACATCCCCAAACATTGTACACCCAAATCCGACTGCCCCTGCAGCCCGATGCAGCTATTAAACAAATCGCTCTCCGCTCGCAGCTACCATCGCATAAACTTTTACATCATGGCATTCAAATCGTCTAGAGCATCTTGTTGAAAGCAGGAATAAGAGTCTGAGCCAGCCAGAAACTGAAAACGAGCTTGGGACCAGTCATCAGGAGCTTGGGAGTAAGACCCTTGAAGAAGGCAGTCATGCCCTCGTGCTTGGCCATGTTGGAGATGATACGGAAACCAGACTCCTTGGCCTCAAAGTTGCGGTTCTGGATACGGGTCTTGACAACATCGAGAGGGGCCGAGACGATGAGCGAAGCAGAGGCACCAGCAATGGATGCGACGAAGTTCTGGAACCAGGTGGCGCTGTTGTAGTCGGAGAGCTTGAAGAAGTATTCCTTGGCAGCGGCACTACCACCGAAGAGCTGTGTCATGTGTTAGTAACATGCTTCTGCCAAAGACAAGTCGAGTATACGCACAGCGAAAGAACCGGGAGCGTTACGGGCGGCAGTCCAGCCCCAACCTCTGTAGAGACCGAAGCCCTCATCGGCAATGATCTTGAAGAGACCGCGACCACGGAAAGCCTCGGGGTTTGTTTGACGCTTGATCTTAAGAACGTCCAGGGGGAGAATGACAATTTCACCAATACCGATCAAACNTAGAGGTTGTTAGCCATGCGCCTTGGTAGATCCAAGAGGGCTGGTCGAGTCTTACCTGCCAGCAGTGGCGTGCATGATAGCCTTGCCGTTACCNNCCTTGCCGAAAGTAGAGTCGAAGAAGTCGCCGTGGTTCTTGGCCAGGTAGTCGCGCATGAAGGGCTGACCACCGTACTTGTAGACACGCTGCATGACCTTGTAGGCAGCGGCATAGCCGAGACCGGGGAAGAGAGAGAAGAAACGAGTGCCGACGGGAGCGGTGGCCTTGTCCTTGAAGATGACCGAGTTGAACTGGGTCATGCCGACAATCTTGCCCTGGTTGCTCATGAGACGTTTAGCGATGGTGTCGACAGGGTGGAAGACGGCGAGCTCGGCGATACCAGCGGAACCTGCNNTTCACGTTAATTGTATGTTCATGCTTGTTCCAGGAAGAATCTGCGCACCAGCACCGAGGACTCTAGCAGCGGTCGACTCCTTCTTGTACTCCTTGGACGAGCCGGACAGAACCTCGCCCGTCCTGGAAGCGGCATCCTTGGGTGAGGGAAGGTTGACCATTGTGACGTGACTGAGTGAATCTACTCGAGAAAAAGAATGGACGGAGGATGTACGGGGTCGAACAAGGAGATGGTACAAGTGCGAGCGAAAGGACGACTAGAAAGAGGGAAAAGGCACGCACGCGATATGGATTATGCTGAGTTGCTCATGCACCAACGCCGACCTCGTCGCGACTTTTTTTTTGGGCCGTGCGCCAGCTTTCTCCGGTCCACCTCCGCGTCAACGCTGCTTCTTGATTATCCATATCAATGACTCGACGCCCGCTTTGAATCGGCTCGTTGCATCCTCCCTTATCTTTGTTGAAGAGTAGTTGCTCAAGTAACAAGCGTTCTGTCTCTCACTTGTAGAACTGTGTCACTTGTCGGAAGATCAACAGTCCAAAGCCTACAACTGCGGTGGCTCGATGGCTCTGTTAGCCATCCTCGAATGCTGACCCAACGTCTAGTCGTGTTTGCGCCCTCAACTGGCTAGACGAGAAGATTGGCGGGAGTCATTCCGTGTTGGAAAGAATATAATCATAAAAGATATCGATGCAAGCACATACGGCCACAGTCAGCTGAAAACTGGGCATCNNCCGTCCGCTCTGCCATACATAAGCAGTTGAACGGCAGATTAGTACTACGGTGGGTGACCACGTGGGAATCCCTGCTGCTGTATGTTTTGCATTTTCTTTTGCTTCGTATCACGAACATCGTCTAGCTATAGCAACAATGATTGCAAACATTTTTTATTTTTGAGTTCGTTGTAGCCGTCATGTCCAATGGGGTCCAATCCATCCCCAGAGGACTGATTGCAGTATTTCCATCTGTAAAAATGCACAGAAATATTATCGATGGACGCATATCCACTGAGATCTCATTCCTGATATCCTCTCTGTGGAACAGTTACGATATATTTGTCTATCAAAATGCACAGTGTCAATGTTGTTGAAGCTTCTACCATTGAGAGCCCCGGTTTTCAAGCATCTCCGAAGGACTGACCACGATATTTCCAGCTATCAAAATGCAAAGTAGTGTCCTGATTTAGACACTGTCCACAGAGAGACTCAAAATAAGGGGCTCTCAGTGGTCGAACTTCTAGAAACAATAACATTGTGCATTTTTACAGTCAGTAAATTCAGTGAGTGAGTGCAGCGAGGAGATGCTTATTGTATTAAAGAATGACTAATTGTAGCAACAAAGAGTGTCAGTTATGGCCCATTTCTTCGTCCAACTTCGTGCGGGCCTAGTTCACAAGGTCTTGAAGATTTCTTCCACGCATAGCGTGACGATCCAAATTAGGAGCACCTCCAGCTTTCGCTAGCAGGTTAACTACCCTCACAAGTGCTGCGCTGAACCGATCAATGATGCGTCTTTCGATGGCACCATCAAGCCATGAGATCATCACGGCCAACCTAGCTTCTCGTCTACCACTGACGTCCGAAGCTTGTTTGAAAGCAAGACTAACTACATCCATGTTGATAGCAGCATCCCAGGGCATGCTGGCATGACAGAACCATACTTTGTCCAGAGGAGGCTGTCTAGGTTCGAAGCGGCCCAGGTTGGATATCATCAGAGAATTGCGAAACGGGTTATCTGAGGTCCCTCTCTTGGTAAGGCGGTCTTTCCAAAGATCGGGTATCAGTCGGTCAGGCAACAGACGAAACTCTCCCACTCTGCTTCTGGCATCGCTTCTTGCCTCTCGTGAGTGTATGTAGTTGTTCATGGCTTTGGTGAAGCTGGCGATGGTTTCTGATTTCAACTTGGATATCGGGATAGACCTCTCGACCAGACCGGTGTAGTTGCCGCCGATGCGTGGATGCTTGCGGTCTGAGCGCAGCGACATTGGCGTCTCTGTGCCGATAGTGTCAAAAGCGTTCTTATCGCCATCGGACACAGCTGCTGCCAGTGCCACGACAGCAGCAGTGTGCAGTACCGAGTGTACGGTGCCGATCTGATGGCCCAGAGCTTCTAACCTCTCAACAATCCTGTTCTGATCTTTACTAAAATCGACAGAGATATGACTGACACCCGGCCTTCTTGGTTGGTCCTTCAACAGGTTTGTTGGAGGCCATTTGCTGGTTGCGCCGAATCGCTGTGTCGCTTTCGAAGAGTGATTGAGGATCCAGCGAGCGCCTTTTCGTACAGTATTGATGACGGAAGGTTGTATCCTCATCGTTTTGTGGGCCTTTGGTGGCATTGGCTGCTGCCGTGGCTGCGACGATGTTGTAGGAACGCTAGACGGTTGACGTATGACTTCTTCGAAAAGCTTGAGAGCACCCATGCCATCGGTAACAACGTGGTGGATGGTCAATGCAACATAACCGTCGAGGAGTTGGTGCTTCATTCTGTACAAGCCAACACGCCATAGAGGCCCACTGGCTATATTGAACGCTTGAGCTTCAGCGGCCTCAACCTCTGCGATCTCTCCAACGGAGCTTACTGTAATGGCTAGGGCTGCACCTTCGAGGATTTCGTGCGTTTCGAAAGGCGGATCGTCATTGTTGGGTCGCCATTTGGGACGGCGTATATCAGTGTTATCGATGCTCGCAACCAATATTGGATGAAGTCTCATGAGCTGATTGATATTGCGACCGATTTGTCGCACGACGTAGAACCAATCGGCAGGAGTTACGGTCATGAGACCGATGATTGTGATGTAGGGCACTGAGCCGGCGCGTGTCTGAGCAAGCTGGAAGCGCTCCAACAGGTCCAAGGACCGACCTTCTGCTGCCGCCATTGATTATTGATGTGTGTAGAGATGACAAATGTTGTTGCACGATCGGTTGCGTACACGTTTGTTTTGTTTTAACAGCGTCGAACTTCGACCATAGGAAGGAGCTTCCCAAGCCAGACTTTCCCATGTCAGCTTCGCTGCCTGGTTGGTAGCTGAAGACATACACAGTTCTTTTGAGAAAGTAGTGATGTCCATGGAGAGTCATTATTTTGAGGTATCTCCTTGGATACACTTCGATATAGAAAGACATTGTGCGTTTTTATAGCTTATCCTCACTATGTGTCGTGGTTCGGAGATTGATCATACCAATGGCAATATTTGTTCGTATGCGAAGAAGAGAATTGCTTGATTCTGGCCTTCCTGATGTCCCCAGTAAATCTTAATAGAGCAATTGGTAGTTGAAAATATTCACAATACATTTAAAGAAAAGGATTATGTCCTCGGGGATTCGTTGTTTGAGGTATCTCCTTGGACACATGTCAATCCAGGAAGGGATTGTGCATTTACACAGTTTATCTTTACTGTGTGCTACTGTTCGGGGATCGAACAGACCATGGATCGTGATAGTCGTTAGCATACATACAGAAAAGCAGTTGCTCAATTCTGCCCTGCGAGGACTTCTCAGAAGATGGCACTAGAGCAACCGAGTTTGCGAATCATTCTCGGTCAAAAACCTGTGCTTGTTCTGGAATAGAGATTGGCACTGCAATTCAGATCCGAAGTTGTCTGTAACAAGTGACAAGGATTCCCTCTTTGCACGTCTGATAACCTTTTGTGCATTCTCATCTCTGATGTGTGGTATTTTGTCGGTGTAAATGATAATCTGACATGCGCAGCCGCAATTAGTATCTAGTACGCAGGTAGAAAAGAGAGCAGGATAGTGGTTCGCCCTCTATAGACGTCTCGCTACTCTGTTTCTCTCGACTTATTTGCTCGTGCCTCGCTTGCTCGCTTTTTCAGGACCTCGTTGGCTCGTCGTCTCCTCCTAAGCTCAAGGATTACGGGACAGGTTTGTGGTCGGAGAGGTCATGTAAAGCTGGATTATTGCATTCGTGTATGGAATCTGACCAACCAGCAAGACTGAGATACATGGTTGAACGCTTTCAATTGTGATGGCGAGGCTTGTGGTGGACTAGGATTGCGGTAAGCTGCTCAAAGCATCAAGGAAGGTTGTAGTGCTGGCTGGTATGGCAGAATCTCATGACTCCATGTGTTCGCACAGATCAACGACAATTTCTGAGAGTTCCCTAAAGGACACTTCAGTTGCTTTTGACAATCCTCGAGACCACTTCATCAAGCTTCTCCTGCTGCAGTCCAAGAAGATCGTTGGCGTATCCATCACGAGCCTCCCAGTCCGCTTCCAGTGTGCCCAGAACCCAGACCAGATCTTCTACAGCCGATTTATCCCCACCATCTGCCTTTGCCTTGCGTTCTTTGACGTACTCTGACGAGTCGTATCTTTTGACATTCCAGGACTGACCCGTCTCCTTCTCGAACGCTTTCAGAAGCTGGGTCTGGTTTATGCGGAAGCTCTGAATGTAGACGAAACGATTCTTGGTCTCCTCTGGTTTTTGTAGGATGGCAGCAGTAGCCTTGCCGATTTGGGCGAATGTGCTGGTGCTCCAGTAGACCTCACCATCGTCAAGGATCTCAAAACTTTTGGCCTGAAGATTGATGTGGAAGAAACCGAGATCCCAGTCGAAGAAATGGCCACACACAAGACTAGTCCAGCTGAAACCAGGATTCTCTTGAGCCAGCTTCTCGAGATGTTCACGCACTTGAGACTTGGCGACATAGATGGGTGCGAGCTCCATAGCTCTCTTGCTCTGCGAGTCGCAACTTCCGAAGTCAGAAGGAATGAATCGCTTAATACCAGCCTTGATTGCTGCATCTGCGAGACGCTTCTGCAAGTCAACTTGTGCACCGTACACGGTACTGACTATGGCATCTTGATCCTTGAGAGCCGGTACCAGTTCGTCGATTGGAAAATCATCCGATAACAGCTTGACTTGAACACCCTCTGGATAGTTGGACTTCGACTTTGAGGACTTTCGCTTGAAGACCGTAACCTTGAAAGCTCCTGCCTCGACCAGACCATTGAGGACTCCTGGCCCAAGGTTACCATCGGCACCGACTAGAACAACATTCTTGATTGACATGATTGTTTTGTGTGAACGATTAGATGGCTACCTGCTGTACAGAGTGTAGCACTGTAGGTGGCCTTCCTGATGACGTGCCTGAAATCCCGAAGTTCAGCCTGATATGGACAGCTCCTCAAAAGGAAAGTCAAATCCGAGGGCTATCTCAAGCATTCAACAGCATTCTAGGGCTGCTTCGTAAGTTCGTACAATCGCATCGGACTTCATGACTCTTGACGTTGTGGAGTGAGGGCTGAGTGAGCTGCCGACAGCCAAGAAGATCTGGTCGGATAGCCGGATACATCGTAGCCGAAGTAAGGCATGATCATATCGTTTCAGATGCAGTCCAAGCACCGTCACCTAGCTTCTGTCAATGCTGTAGTTCCCGTCCATGACAGGCATCAGGGTATCTCATGGTTCAGGCATCCAATGCATTCAGTGGATTAGGCATCCTAGCTGTCTAACAGAAAATATGGAAATATGAAGATGAGGTGAAAAGTTCGTGACATTCGTTATTCGTTCGTGGTTCTCGTGAAAGGGTTTCCTCCTGGTGTGCCTAAGACCGATGCATATCCGACATTTCTGTCAAACCCAGCTGTCTTTGACTTCAATGCATTCTCTCGAGGGTATACTCTCTTTGAGCTCATTTCCTCCGTTGCCCAACTTTGTCAATGTTATGCAAATCGCGTCGATGACATTCTGATATGGCATCCTGTCGGCCTTGGGCGAAATGGCGACTGTTTGTTGTGACGAGCCTTACGGAATGCATGGCCTCGGTAGTTGAACCTATCGGTCGAGGCTGATGAAACTCGGTGCTGATAAACCTCGAGTCGTTTCTGTCGTAGAGGCAAGGTTCGTAATTGTTGTCGCGCAAGGCGTATGTAGGGTATAGCGAAAACTTGGCAACTAGCCATAACAGACCCAAAAGAACGGTCTTATCTTCGTATAGCTCACTGCACAACGCAACAAGCCAGACTGCTGCCCACCTCTGCACGATCGGCTCTTCTCTGTCCTGTAGTCTTCTTCCACCACAAGACAGAGAAGCACGCGACGTGCACTTCATCACTCAGCAGCAGCAGTCTCAGCTCATCCCAATTCTGCGCCGTGACACGCACGTCCTGACGCTTCTCGTCTGTATGGCGTCTATAGTGGGCCGACAGCTTGAAATAGAAGTCTCGCTTTGCTTCTACGCGACGATGAGGGAATCCGTTCTGTGCCGAGATGGCCTTGGCGATGTCATCTTGTAGTTCTTGATGGCTATATGAGCTTGAGGCTGGAAGGTCGAATGTATTGTGGAATGCTATAACTGGAGGGACAATGTCGTAGCCATCAAGGTCGACTTGCTTGATTGAGAGAGGTACTGCAGAGCTGGTGTCCAGACGAGCCACAGGTTCCATCCGGATTGGATCATAAGCAGGGTGTGGGCTCCCCGGTGGAGAGGGCGAGGAAGATATCCTGCGATTCTTGATGGTGGGTCTCTTTACGATCGACATATTCTGAGATATTCCGAAGCCGAGCAGAAGAGATGGTATCACACGAGTTCGAATGTCAGAGGGGGCTTGGGCTTCTTATGACACAAGGGGCTCACAGGAGCAAGGGGATGGATGCCTACAAGAGAATACGCCCTGCTCATCTTACCTTGGCGACGGGATTACATATATCATCAACACCGTCGTAGAAAAGAACGCCCGAACGCTCGGAAATTGGCAGGGCTTTGCGGTGTTTGCAGCTGGGCGTCAGATTTCTTGGTGTGGCTGTGTGTACAGCCCAAGGCGAAGTCGACGAAAAAGCCGACCGTACCGACTCCACAAAGAAAAGAATCAGTGAGACCACCCTTCGGCCTTATGTTGGATCGTTGGCTTCGCTTTGACTCCCTGTTCGCTCATTCGTCAATATGCATCAACGATTTCTATTTCGAAACATGAAGATCTGCTTATCCCCCTCTCCCTTCCCATCTGATACATAACGTCAAAGCCCCTATGACATCTTAGGGGTTCGGAATCCCTCGTAACGGGGAGCTCGCGTGAGCTCTTGGCTCGACAATCTCGGAAGCCGTATTCAATATCTTCAGAGAACTAACCGATATATAAGTCGCGTATATCGCTACTTGAAAGTCGTCGGATATGTATTTGTGTCCGCTGGATCCGGCAGCAACTTGTGTTTCCCCGTTTCTAGCGCTGTCGCGAAATATGTCAAGAGTCAGTCGCGAAATCGTGGTACCCAAGGCCAACACCGTCATCAAACGTCAGGTGCCCACTTGCGCCGAGCTTATTCACAATATGGTTGTTCGGACCAAGATGGTGACAAAAAATCAAGCAGGATGTACGGTCTATCAGTATTCGATCTATTTTTACAAACCAGATGTTCGTATTCTTCTATGCCCACATAGCCTTGAACTTCAGGTTGAACTCCGAATGCAATCTTTGGAATGCCTTGAGCACCTTGAGCAATCCCTTCTCACCGCCCTGGCCTTCCCATGCGGCACTGTCAATGTTGAGTTCGTCCAGTTTGGCAGCAGCCTCGTTGTAGTCTTTCTCGATGACCTCCTCCTCGTCAGCCATATCCTCCCAGCTGTCGGCGTTCTTTGCTTTCTTCTTGGTGATTGTAGCCATGGCGGCTTTGGGTGCTTCGCTAGGAGCAGGAACAGCTTCTCCGTCCTCCTTAACAGCGACTGTCTCGTCTTCGGCCTCTTCGAGGGTGTCAAGCTCTCCCATGGTGTCAAGGAAATCCATATCGCTTCCGACCTTGAGCTTCATGAAATTGAGCAGACTGGTAATGATAGTAGCAAGAACCAGGGAGAAGTCGTTAAGCATGAACCACACGTCACCACGTCTGATGCCGTTTGCCTTCTCCAGAGTCTTGACGTCGCCGTGCTTGAAGAAGTCAACCAGGTAAGCGTTGAGGGGTTGGTCCAGGTCTTGAGAGAGCATAGCTACATGAGGAATAGCTGACTCCTCAAGAAAGACGCCAGATCTGACCGAACGACACAGCTCACTGATAGATTTGAAGTGATCGGTATGTCCAGACAGAGCGACAAATGGCGAACGAATCTTGGTGGATGGTAGAGAGACTTCTCCCAAGCTAGGAGCTGACTCAGCTGATGAACAGCCGACCTGTCTAGCTGTCAGCGGCAGAACATCATCCGCCTTCTGCACATGTTGATCGACAAATGTCCGGACGTAAGTGCTGAAGATATCGAGCGTTTGCTTTCCGTGCTCGTTCAAAACCTGCGCTGCTTCTTCCGGCAATTCAGGCAGGAACACCATCGATGAAGATGGCTTGACTACCTTCTCACGATACTCCGCATCAGATTTGCGGCAGTAGACACGTCCAAACAGATGGGACATCACCAGCATCAAAGTGTTAACCACCGACTCTGCGTTGTTGTCAATGTCCGCGCAAAGCTTATGGAAGTAGCCCTCCTTGAGTAGTGCGTGGAATGCGAAACTGGAGTTCTCTGTGAAGTACAAGTGAGAGACGAGGCCAGCGAAGTTCAGAGTTGTGCCCTTAGCATCAAGCAACTGCTGTCTGCGAAGGTACTCAATGGAGAAACGAAGATGGTGCAATGTCTGATCCTTGAAAGAGGGACCTCCCATGTACAGGCGAGGTTGAGAGAGCAGGGAGTTGATGCACGAAGCTGCGTATTTCGAGTTGTTCGATCCATGAAGTAGGGTGAACAGGCGGAGAACCAGTGTAGTTGTGACTGGGAAATGGCCGTTCAGATCAGGCAACCTTGAAGACATCAATCTCAGAACCTTCTCGTGCTGCATGTTCTGGAAGACAACGTTTCCTAGCAGATCGAAGCCACGACGACCAGCACGACCAGCACACTGACGGTACTCGAGAGCAGTCAAGAACACTGATTCACCGGTGAAAACAACAGTCTTGCAAGGCATGTTGATACCCAGAGCAAGCGTACCAGTTGCGACAACGACTCTGAGGAAGCCCTTGCGGAATAAAATCTCAACAACCTGACGGTATTTGCGGTTCATACCCGAGTGATGGACAGCAATACCTCTAGTCAGAGCAACAATGAGCCACTGCGGCACGCGTCTCCACTCGAGTTCCCTCATGTAGTCCTCAAGCTCAGAGATCTGAATAGCCTTGAAGTTGCAGAAATGGTATCCATCTTGAGGAGCCGCAGGGTTGAAACCTTCGAAACCATTGGCGTCGGTATCAGCAGCATCACGCTGCATGTCCGCCTTGGTCATGCCCTCTTCAGCAGGCTTTCTACTCTTTGAGACTTTGCTAGCCTTGGCACCCTTGCGCTCTTGCTCTTTCTTCCACGCTTCCCATTGAACAATCTTGGCCTTCCACTTCGGATCAGTAGCTTTCCATTGATCCTCAGCTTCCTTCAAGTCGTCATGGATCTTAGCACAGATGTCTTCACATCTTGTACGGTCGTAGTTGAAGAGAATGGCTGGCATTGCGTCCTGTTCGTGCAGTCGACAAAGCAAGGGGAGGAAGTTGTCCTCTTCGACCTCCTGGGCCTCTCTTTGACCAGCGCGCTTTGCGGTAGGTGCGTATAACTCTTCTTNTTGGGGTCGCTTGCCAGAGAGAGTTGTGAAGACAGCGTTGAAAGGCGATGCGGTATCTTCCATCCATGCAGCCAAGACCTTCTTCAGACCTGCTTCCCACTTCAAAACATCCTGCTTGCGAATGACGTTAGGCAAGGCATTGGCAGGGTCAAGCTCTGCTGACAAACTGTACTTGTCGTTCGAGTGCTCCTTCATGGCTTTCCACAGTGTGTAGCAGTCACGAGGCTCGAAGGAGAGGTCGTCTGGCATACCTGCCGAGCGGTTGACAAGGCAAGCAACAGGGTGAAGGTATTCAAAGCCAGTGCTTCCATCCAGGCCGAGAGTTGGTAGACCTTTCTTCTGGCCTAAACCGTCGAACAAGAACTTCTTGGGAGGGTCGTAGTAGAACTTTCTCAAATCAGAGTATCTGTAAGGATGTCTGACCATTTCGAAGTCGATGCCCATAGCTTTTTCGGTTGTTGACAACCAGTCACTGAAAACATCAGGGTTGCCGACTGTGGCCGAAAGTGCAATGATGGGGCAAGGAGCGAGCAACAAGAGCTGCTCCCAGACAACACCATCCTGAGCTTGTCCGATACAGTGGACTTCATCGAAGATGATACGCTTGACTCTAGTAGCCCATGAGTTGGCATGGGAGGGAGCCAGAAGCATGATCTGGAGCACATGAGGTACGGTAACCAGGACCTGGCAGCCGGTGGCATTGTTGATGCGATGGTCTCTAGTGTGAATAGCCCATACACTCTTTCCAGGGTACTTGAACTTCTTCGAGTATCTTCCCTGAATTTCAGCGGCGATTTGGTTGACCAACGCCTTGGTAGGTGCAACATAGACAAGAACACCCTCATCGTCGGCTTCGATGACCTTTCTCATTGCGTAGAACGAGATGAAGGTTTTACCAGCAGAAGTGGGAGCAACCACGAAGAGACTCTTGTTGTCGTCAATACCGTCAAGAACCTTTCTTTGCCAGCCATCGGGCTCAAAGTCTACTCTTGAGTCAGGAGCAGCGTCCATACTTCGGTCGAGGAAAGGTCCACAGTGGAGAAGCTGGAACGCCTTGCTAGGCAGCTTGTTCTTGACAAGCTCTGCGCTTTGCAAAGGGAGTGCGAAGCGGAACGGCAGCGATTTGTCTTGCGTCGGCTTAGGAATGTCGACGGGAGGGAGACCAAAGGTGTCTACAGTGAGTTTGACCTTCTCGCAAATTGTCTTGGTCAGGTTGTCGCACTGAATGAGATTTCTAGCAGTGTGCCAGATGAAAGCAACAATGCCGTTGGGATCCTGATCGTTGGTCTTGCCCGATTGAATGGCAATCTCTACTAATGTGCTTAGAGAGAATAGCTGTACCTCAGCACCAAGAACTTCTCTCTTGTCTTTGGGCAAGCTGGTGAAGTAATCCTTGGTCTTGATGTAACGAGACGGCAGGTCAGTCTCGGCAGACAGACTCTTCAGAATAATGTGCCATGCTTGCATGACTTTGGAGTCTGAAGCTTCTGCCTTCTTGGCTTGGAAAGCTGCAGCTGCCTCTTGAGCAGCCTGCTTGCCACTGACCTTGACGTTCTTCTTGCCGCCCTTAGGATTGCCACCCTTCTTCGAAGTGTCGGCATTCTTGGTAGGCTCAGCATTTGGTTTCTTGTTCTCAGACTTCTGTGAGACTTTCGAAGCGGCGGCTGATTTGACGAGAAGTGTCTCGGGCTCAAGTGCTCTACCCACGGAGTTGGTCAAACTTGCAGCATATTTCTGCATCTCATCCATGTACTTCTGGTTTCTGCGGCGAGCGCGTAGCTCGTCTCGTGGAGAAAGGACTGGTGTGTTCTTCGATTGAATGGGTCGCTTGGCGTTGTGCCAGTGGGATACTTCTTGAAAGATGCGAGCCGAAGGTCTGCTGATCTCCTCAGATGCATGATCGTCGATGCCCAAACGAATTGAGGCCAAATGCTGGTCGAACACAGGATTTGAGAATGGTAGAACGCTCATATTTCCGGTAGGGGTCGTGGATGGAGCATCCAGAGTCGAGGCTTCCAATTTTCTGGCGTCACTCTCGGCATTCTTTGTTGTGTCATTGCAGATCGACTTGAAGCACTCGGTGAGTTTCTGGAGTTTGCTCTGCACAGTTTCTGGCACCGACGACAAATCGAGACCATTAGAAATGATGTTGAACAAACGACCATCGAAGAGATCTGCTACATCACACTCGTTGTTCTCCGATTCTTGGTGGTATTGGGCCCAATTTGAACTTCTCAACATCTCAGCAGCTTGGTCGCAGAAGCTGGAGAGGTGCTCCTTGTAGTCGCTCACTGCCGAAGTATGTTGCAGACTACGAGCTGAGAGTGGCAAAGCATGAAGAAGCGCAGTATGTGCAAGGACGTCATGTGTGAATTGCTGCACATTCGATGAGCCTGATGAGTTCTTGATCAGATGAGATAGAGCCAAGATTGTCAAACGTTCTCTCTCAGTAAGATCGGAAGTGCTTATTCCGATGTCCTTGAGTTCTGCGGACGAGATGGGCTGTGAGACACCATTGAGTTGCTTGGGGCTTGCGTCTAGTGTTGGATCCAGTCTGTGCGAGAGGTTCTTGGTTTCTAACACCATGGCCATGATCTTTGTGTCGACAAACTCCGAGCCGTTGATCAAAGCTACATTGTAGCCGGAAAGGATGAAGTGTACAATAATCGATCTCAGCTGGGTTCTTGGGTCAGGAACATCTCTATCTTGTGTAGTGTAGCTGCGAGCTCCATCGTGACACATCAAGAAATAGACTGCAGAGTTACGCAAATAGTCATCAAATGCTTGGTCGTATAGATCTGAAAAGCAGTGGATCTGAACATCTTCTGATTGTAGGTTCGACTGAAGGTGGCGAATTATGGCGGCTCGTGTAAGGAGGTACTTGGATCGATTGATGGACTTTACGCTCTGGGGAATGCAAAGCTGGCGATGCGCCTCGAAGAAAGCGACATGGAATCTGCAGTTACGGCGTTGAAGTTGTGCAAGGTATTCTTCTACAAGGTAGACAGCATGCAACATTTGGAAACCATCCTCAAAATCGAGTAGTGAATTTTCGAAACATTGCAAAAGAAGAGAATCACCCTCAATTGCGAACAGCTCCTGACCGGCAAAATCCCCTACGAGGTCTACTCGCCGTGAAGACAGGCGGTGGTAGCTCTGCAAGATCTTCTGATCTTCTTCAGATCTGGAAATGTCTTCGACGTTGACATACTCGATGTCTTGTTGAACGCCATCGGTTGCCATGTTGTTAGAGCTGTGCGTGCGGCTTCGGTCAAGGGCGTGCGCGCAGCTGTAGAGGGCTAGGAATGGTTGGTGTAGGAGGTGTTGATGAAGGAAAGCGTTGAGCGCGAGTGGGAGACTGGGCCACTTTTATAAATCCTGGTGAATCAGTGACGCTGCAGAGCCTGCGTTGTTACACGAGTGGGAGCTGCAAGCACGCTGAGCAGGTACCGCCGGTCTTCTTTGCCACGGCCACGGTGCCTGCGCCTTCCTCCACAAAAACGGTCTAAGCTTTTGTTTTAAGCATAGTCTGCGCACTTTGACCCGGTCGTTAAACAGAGGAGCTTCTCGCACACAAAACATTCAATCATCAAAGTAGCCTACATCACCATTATAACAACTTGGCTTTAAGGGGTTTCAGAAAGACTTGTCTCAACTGGGTTGACTGATTTGGAGACGCGTTCATAATTATGCATAAAGACTAGCGTGAATATATGTAAACTTATGCTCTTACCAAAAGATGTCTCCCTCATCAACATGCATACGACAAAGTGTACGGTATGCACGCTCACAGTACCTAGTGACCTTGATTGGTGTCTCTGCATGTGTTTTCAAACGCCAAATCTGTACCTTCGACATCTGATGACCGGCTTTGTTGTCTTAGCTTTCCACTGTCAAACTCTCAATCAAGGTTCTGTCATGTGCATTCTTATTAGTTGACCAAGTCTTGAGCCAAGGTGTAAGAAGACGAATGAGAAGATGTACTCGACGGACGGAGCGATTAACCCCACACGATTCTCGTGAACCTCATACTGGTCCAGAGTTTATGTATGTGGTGCAAGCTTTGAACACTGTTGTGTTTGGCTGCTCTTCGATTGAGAGTTTCCTGCTGAGTTGTTGAATTGAAAGCCATATTAGTTTTGCAGCTCATACGACCAGCTGACAGTGAGGGGTCAAGACAGAGCTCTATGTATTAAATGGCACTCATTCGCTCTACTCAGAGGTCTTCTGCTTCCACNNCCCGTACCAACCTTTATTCAGACGCATACCCGTTTTCAGACCCGACAGCATGCCGCAAGGTCATTTCGCCCAGATTCTCGACTCCGGTAGCGAGCACAAGACCAAGCAAGACCTTCACATTCAACAGGCTGTGTATTCATGTGGCAAAAGAGCTGTCGTCGTTCCTATGAGATTCAGACTGGTAGAACACGATCCACTCTTCACAAAGATCGCTGGCGACCTAGCAGTATTCCAGGACGTGATCTGCCTGACATCGAACTATCGTGTCCTGGTTGACAAGGTTCTCAAGAATCTCCATTGCCGCCTCACCAGAAAATGCCCCAAACGTCCTCATTGGTACTTCCCATGGCGTAAGCGCCAGGACCTTGACATCGGCTTCAGGCTCTTCATCACCTACCAGCTGGGACAGACGACCAGGACATTCTACGGCAACGAGTCAACATCGCCCAAGACATACAACGTCAATGAGATCAATGAGGCCAACTGGCCGGATCTCATCACCCTGTTCAATTCTGTTCAACCAGGAGAGGCCATGTTCGGTGTCGACTGGTGGATCAAAGGCGAGCGTATGGACGACAGCGTAGACACTTGGAAAGACGCTAGCTCCTAATGAGTGAGGTGTTTGCTGATACGTCAATGGTCGTCGAAATTTCCGGGTTTCCGTTCATCGTGTTCCTTTGTTTCCCTCGGAGAAGTGTCGTATCAGCCTTGGTAAGATAGTTCTGAGTGCAGGCTAGGCGGTGCGCAAATGCAGTAATTGTTAATGACCTCTTCGCAATCCCAATCGAGTGACTCGGACATCGGTATTTTGCCGTCCTTTGGTCAGATCCGGCCGTTGTGCCTGAAAGGAACTCCATCGCCGTTCGGCCAAGCGTTGCTTCCCCGGTCTTGCGGCTACGTATTGAATGGGGAAAGATGTCGCACGACACTCCCTGTTCGCCTCAAGTCCGCAGTGTATACGTCAGTAGCAATTCCTGTTTCGTTTTCGAAGCAGGGAACGTGGTTGGAAATATATCCATTAAGTGGTCGTCACTGAAACGAGTTGATTGGACTTTCATTTGTTCTTAGCGAGAAAGACGAAAGGGGGGAAGCAGAGAGGCGGAGCTGAAGAAATTCTTGCGCATGTTGAGGCAGGGTGGTGCCCCAAGGTGGATCCCCACTTGCGCAGGTCATCAGCCGCAAGATCTGCCCTGGACGAGCGATACTTCGGCAGTTTGTATAACGAATGATTATGTGTTTTAGTCCAGTCTGTCAGCTGCCATCTTCAAGACTCACGCTGTCATAGTCACACAGTGTACAATCATGAGGAGCGCTGTAAATCTGACTCAGAAAGAAGCACAAACCTCTGAGAGAAATGTTGTTGTTCGCAGGAGTGGAGATGACAGAAACTGGGAAGTGCAAAGTTGCGCTTGCTCGCGCATGGACCTGAGGATGATGACCTTTTTTTAAACGGCGGTCTTCGCGCCTTCTGCTCTTCTGCAAGCACCTTTTCCACGGGAAACAAACCCTTCTTCACATACGACAAACCACACTACATTCCTACTCATCCAGACGTCCAACGAATATAGTCAGCGAGGACATGAAAGATCCATCTTTACGGGCCCAGGATTATTCACAGCATTCTCAGACAGGATGCTCGCCAGCAGCCAGAGCAAGGCAGCCACCCTGAAGACCGCCCCGAGCACATCAGGACATATTCGAAAGTCGAGTGTAGGAAGTACCGTGGCAAACTGGTCGCGCACTACACGCTATAGCCTACGTATCCCACTCATCGGCCGCCAGATACATGTATCGTCGCGTCGAGCCCATCGACAAATAGAGTCGGCTTTCTACCTACCCTCCATGTTGTATCGCAGCTTCCATGAGTTTGAACGGGAGGTCTGCAGCGCGATATTTGGAGCCTTGTATGAACAGGGAGAAAGAACGAGTTTCGCCATGTCCATCGAGATGGAACTTCTCTACCACGTCCAGGAGGGTCAGTCTGGATTTCTGTCGCCCAAACGCGAGAGATTCATTCTCGATGAGGACAACTGGGAAGAAGGGTTGGAACTCGTCCTATCGGGTGAGGCCAAGAAGGTGGAGCTGCGAGCGAACTGGCATGGATCGAAGGGGTCAGGGCAGCAAACCAAGGCCACGTCGACCACACAAACGCCCTCAAATTTTCCAGTACACAAGAAGGTGCAGCACGTATCGGTGACCCTACGCAGCCCTACCAGAACCAGCAGCAGCAGCAGCAACAGTCCTAGACGTTCAGAGACCATGTCGACCAGAAGGAGCTCGCGGAGCGAACGCGACAACAGCCCAGTCAGCAGAACGGACAGCGGATTGGGCCAGATGGTAGAAGCGTCGAAGTGATGTCTAGTCGAGAGTCGGTTGTGGAGGTCGGCGGTATATTGGAGGACCGGAGAAATTCAAGCATGCAATCCTGATTGATCGTATATCTGCGACCCAAGCTTCCTATACCAACGCCACGCTCAAACGCAAGGGACTCAAAAGCAAAGCGTTTCTTAGTCTGAATAATCATCCTCTTCTTTTGCCCTTCTTGATTCCTCTGCTTGGCGATCTTGGATTTGACGAGCTTTCTCCTCCTGCTTCTTCCAATGGCTGCCTTCTTCGTAGTCTTTGCTGATGCCGAAAGCGCGTCTGAGTTTCTCGCTCTCCTCAATCTTTGCTTTGGCTAGCTCGTGGACTTGGTGTGACTTGAGGCCTCTTGCGTTGGTGGCGATGTTTTTGGTGGATTGTTCGGCTTGGAGTTTCTTGCGTAGGGCGGTGCATCGGTCCTCGATTTCGTCTTCGTCAANCTCTGGTCATGTGTTAGCTGTGCGAGATTCGTATTGTGATTGGGTAGGGTATACGCACTCCTCCTCCTCGAGCTTGTCACGCAACTCAAAGACCTTGACTTCGATTTCGCGCTTGCGATCGTGTTCGAGAATGTCCTTGTCGGGTTGACGCTGGCGGTGCCTGAGAAGATCGTGGTCCTTGGTGTAAGGCGCAGCGGCGTCGCGCGGCTTGAGATGGGAAAGGTTGCGCTGAACGTAGCCCGAGGTTCCACTACCGCGAGGTGTAGAGAGTCCGACGTTGGAAGACATGGTGAATATGATGATTGGGGTGTTGAATCTGTTGATGATGGTAACAGAGAGAAGATGAGAAGAGTGAAGTCATTCAAGGCGGGGATCGAAAAGTCGAGCCAAGACTTCTGTATACGACATGATGCATTTTCATGTGATTCTTGCCTTTGTTTTCTACCCATCGATAGAGCACTAACTAGCTGCCTGCGCTTTCTCTTACGCCTCTTTTTCTCTGCATTTCTTCAACATGGCCACAGAAGAGCATGCCGAGGCACATCAGCCCTTGACCGAGCTTCCCTTTGCGCCACTTACAAAATCGCACATTATCCATTGCTCTTACCACAACTGGTATCCCAAGTACGATTTCCCTTCACATGTCGTCTAGAAGACTACCCTGACTAATCCACTGCTAGANTATCGTGCTATATCCCCTAAAGCTCGCCTCATCCCTCTTACTCGCCCATTCCTAGACTATCTACGCGCAGACGGCATTGTAATTCCTCCGGACGAAGACGACCCTCGCCGCGACTGGTCAGACAGTGATTCTGGTATTTTCTCGGCTTCCGATACTGCTGGAGAAGAGGATGATGAAGAAGAGGAGGATCCTTCTGCCGAATGGCGCAACATTCACCGAGCCATCAAGAACACCATCGCAGAGCTTGGTGGTAAGGTTGTCCCCAAGCTGAACTGGTCCGCTCCCAAGGACGCCACCTGGATCGCTGCTACCAACAGTATGGAGTGCAGACTCCCAAGCGATATCTACTTGCTCCTCAAGAGCTCCGACTTTGTCACACACGATCTCGAGCACGCCTTCGACGACTGCATTGAGGACGAATCACCTTCCGATGATATCCCCAAGACGACCAATGACATTCCATATCACTTGGTTCTGCGCAAATTCTTCCAGATGAACCCTTCTGTCGAATTCAGGTGTTTCGTTAGGAACCGCAAGCTTATCGCTCTGTGCCAACGAGACCTAAACCATTTCGACTTCCTCTTCCGCATGCAGGACAAGTTACGCCATGTGATTCACAACTTCTTTGGTGATAAACTTAAGCACACTTTCCCAGATGCCGACTTTGTCTTCGACGTCTACGTGCCCCCTCCACATGATCGCGTTTGGTTGATCGATGTCAATCCTTGGGCAATCAGGACAGACCCTTTGTTGTTCAGCTGGCTGGAGCTTTTGACACTGCCAGAGCCACCCGAGGAGAAGGTTATTCGCATTCCCATCAGGCCTGCTGGTGCTCCCGCAGAATCTCAGGAGCAGTCTGATACCCAAGCGATCGATGCAAAAGAGGGCGAAGTTACAGAGGGAAGGACAGACATGGAGGACGATGATGAAGAAGCTGATGAGGAGATTTGGGTGCCCGAGTTCCGCTTGATCAGAAAGGATGACCCTGAGGCCTACAGCTTCAACACGCCACAATACAGCGCACACAAACTACCACGAGACGTTGTTGATGCAAGTCAGGGCGGTCCCGGCGCATTAAGAGAGTTTGCAGATAACTGGAAAGAGATGCTAGCGAAACAACAGCAGGAAGATGCAGAGTATGAGTCCAGTGAGGGAGAATGAATACTTGGGAGAGTCATCTAGAAGGAACAACCACGTCCGTTCAACATTATATATCGATACCCGAACATTGCTCGCATACAGAAGCCAAAACACACTCCGGACTTTCCATGTTTCGGGACCCACATGGCGGCATAGCCAAGCTTTAAACATGCTCATATTTGAGCAAGATTCGTGCTTGGCAGGCGAAACACCCGCCTCTTCAACCATTCATGTCCTCATCGGTAAGCTCTTGACACGATTGTCTTCGGACTCCGCTCGTGGCTCGAATCTAGAAGCACATGGCTTGCACGTTTCTCTTCTAAAGAACACACCTTCTGCTCGCATACTTGGAAAGCATCGTATCCATTTTTCGACACGCTTGCTGATGCACGTTACCACACGTGCTTGCATATAACCGGTCGCTCTTTCTGTCAATCTGGTCGTCTCTGATCATCAACATCCAAGACTCGCTCGTCCTAGACACCAGTCTAGCTTTCTTCAAACGCAATGCTTGAGACACGGCATATCCAGGAGCTGGATGCTAACTCTACCATCAAACACTATTGGGGATATGCAGATCGGATCCTTCCATGCACAAAAGATGCTGGTACTTGTGCGTATCTGGACTCTGTCTACCACTCGCATCAAATATCTATGCTTTACACCTTCATTCTCTGGGCAGTTCTAGGCGGCGTTCTGGTATTCATGCTCTCGTTACGCTATGGCAAGAGCGTAAGCCGCTCATCTGATATCAAGACGCCACTTCGGCGTGGACTAGATTCTCTTGGGTCTCTGGGGAGGCGATGGATGCTTTCTGAGGCCCCGGGAAGAGGAATGCTCGGACGAGTCACTCTGCTACAAGTCACGGTGCTCGCGTCGCTCCTTGGCTACCTGTTGATATTCTCGTACGTCGACCGCAACCATCACAATCGAAGTTTGAGCTGACTCCAAAACAGTCTCGTTGGTGTGACCTACAAAACCTGGATCACGCCTACCAAAGGTCATCCTAGCTTGAAAACCATTAGGACCGGCTTCGGAGGCTGGGGTGATCGTGTTGGCGCATTGGCTTATGCCTTGACGCCACTCACGATTGCTCTTTGCTCTCGTGAAAGCATTTTGTCTCTCATTACTGGCATTCCATACCAACACTTCAACTTCTTGCATCGCTGGACCGGTCGAGTCATCTTCATTCAATCGTTCCTGCATACTCTGGTCTGGACACTTGTCGAAGGAAGGTTTTACCAGCCACAGCCGGAAACTTACACCGCATTCATCAAACAAAAGTACATCGTCTGGGGCATTGTTGCCCAGATCATGATTACATTTTTGTACGTTTTCAGTACTAGCTGGGCCATCAGGTTGACTGGCTATGAGTTTTTCAAGAAGACCCATGCTCTGATTGGCATTCTATATCTTGGAGCGTGTTGGGCGCATTGGGACAAATTGGCATGCTGGATGATCGCTTCCCTCATCATCGTTCTTGCCGATTTTGGCATCAGATTTCTGCGTACTGCTTTGCTTCACGTCGGATACCGTAAGGGCAAGCCCGGTCTTGGTTTTCACAGCGCCATCGCCACTGTTCAGCATTATGGCGACGATGAAGACTCGGTCGTACGTATCGACTTTGATTTTAGACACTCTGCCTGGAAGCCTGGTCAACACTTTTATCTTTGCTTCCCTGCCCTCAACATCTGGCAGAGCCATCCTTTTACGCCCTCATCCCTTCCTGATGGTCGTAGCGATATTCAGCACCACACATACCTAATCCGCGAACGCTCTGGTATCACCGCTAAGCTTGCTGAAATTGCCAAAGCCACTGGTGGAGACTCTTGCACAACTCCCGTCATACTCACTGGACCCTATGGAGGCACATCGACGAATGAAGCTGCATCCTCCAATCTTTTGGCCGTGGCGGGCGGTACTGGTGTTACTTCAGTGCTCCCAACTCTCCAAGACACCTTCACGGTCGCACAAACAGGCACTCGTGCTGTCGATCTCGTCTGGGTTGTCCGCAAGATTCAAGATCTCTCCTGGATCGCGCCAGAGTTGGCGGAGCTCAAGTCATGGATGTCCTCTGGTAAAGCAAGCGGCTTACGTCTTCGCATCTTTGTCACCCGCGAAACAGCGCCACCAGAATCATTGAGTTCTTCCACATCTTCTCTGTCAGAGAAGGGCAAGGGTTGCTGCAGCAAGCGCAATAAGAGCGAGAAAAATGGTGTGATCGTCTCCTCTTCAAACGACTTGACGACACTCCAAGACAACTTTTCCATCACCTATCTTGGCGGCGCTCATCCCTCGATCAAAGAGGTTGTCGGCGACTTTGCTGAAAGAGCGGCTATCTGCGGCGGCAGAAGTCAAGTCATTGGTGCTGGACCTATGGAGATTGGTACTGCTTTGCGCTCTGCTGTCGCAAAGGAGAACCATGCCGGCAGGGTGTGGCGAGGCGATGAGAGTGGCATTATGGCTCTTGAATGGGACTGTCGGTCATGATGCTGGAAATCAAGACTTTACGAATTGCATATCATGTACGTATTTGCATGTAGACGTATGAATCAAAAATCGAGTGCTACTTTCCTCACAATACAATACCGATTTGTGCATGGGTATGCTCAGCATCAGGGTTGTATCTCCGACATCTGATCTGAACTCGTGAGGTAGCATCACACCCCAATGCTAAGTGTTTAATGCTATCACTAGCTACTGCGGGCATACACCGTAGTCAATTGAGCTATTGTGGGCACTGAGTGGGGAAGATATCTGCAGGGCGATGATATATAGTCCTTTGTACTCCGGACGAGGCTTCGTTCGCGAAATATTTGGTATAGCACGCATAACTCAACAGTACTTTCAGAAACAAACCACAACAAGGAACCAGGAAGTAGTGCTTCCGCTTACTACGCTGAACAAAGCAGAATATATTTTACCATATGAATCATATCCGAAGCGAATCAAGAGACCCCGACATGTTCTTTTCGGTCTATTCAACCTTATGAAGGACCTGTCTAGTGCTATGAAGATAGGTTTTTCGAATCTTGTTCGCAGACTCTCTTGTCAAGGTTTTCACTTCTTCTGCAATCATGTTCGAATGAACCAACTCATCCAGTCTATTGGCCCATGCTGCCCATCGACTTTCATCGATGAGATCTGTCCCGTCTTGAGCTAACCATGTAGGCCCGGTTCCTGCATACCAAGGTGCTACCACAGTCCTCTTAACGAGCTTCTCTCCAGCGATCAAAACCCACCTGCAAGCAGAGCTAAGGTGGAGTAGGGCTTCCGCTCCATCAACAGCACTTGGATCATACTCCAGCGCCTGGGTAAGAGTCTGGAAAGCATAGTGAAACAGATAATCAAAGGAATGTCCAGAACGATCGCTGTCGCAAATCAGGTATGCCGCGAAGGTGTTCAAGTTAAGCCATCGTTGTTCTGCCAGATGCTCTGCCAGTCCGTCGCTGATGTAAGCCATTGGTCCTTTTGTAACTGTCAATAAGCAGGAAGAAGCACGAAAACATTCGGCAGGATTGCCATACCATACATGGAATCACAGAGATAGACGTCAAAAGGGGGAGGTCAGCCCAGATCTTCTGACCGTTGATTGTGAACACCTCGCCAGGCCGAGCAGCAAATTGGCCGTCGTTACTTTGCTGGTACACAAAGTCCTGGCTCCCGTTGCAAGCGTCGGGTAGTCTGGAAAGCTCGATGATAAGTTCCGCAAGTTTGCTAAGACACTATTTTTCAGGGACGATGTGTGCAGCACCGGTGATAAAGCTGCAGTATCCTAGTACATTATCGTAGGCGGGAAGGAGATCCTTTTCGAGAAGACGAAAGATGCGACTCGTGCTGCCGCTACTCCAGCCTGAATCTTGCCCTCAAGAAGATCTTTCAAAGCGTCGAGAAGAGGAATATAATCCCCGCCTGATTGGTTCTGGTAGGTATACCCTGCCTGGAAGTATTCATCCATGAGCGATGTTGGCTTTGCGAATGTTTTTCCGAGTGTGTACTTCAGAGACGAGGAAAAGACGAGCCTTTGGGTCATCCCCCGCATGCTGCTCCTCGAGGAAGCCCTAGTAGAACATGTAGCTAGCACTGCTCACCTACGCAGTCTATGGATGGAGGACGCACGCAGACTAGCGAGTAACGTCACAGGCCTCGCGTAGCGTATAGAGGGCATAAGTCTCTACCGGAAGTTCGTCTAGGAACTTCTAAAAGACCCTCGCCGCTGCTGATCCTCGATCTTCGGTCTCCACTAGCAATTGTAAAGCATCGAGTACGCAAACAGCAGATCCAGCAAACATCAAACAGGTCGGTTAGCTCAGTTGGTTAGAGCGTGGTGCTAATATCTGATGATACACGGCACGCCAAGGTCGCGGGTTCGACCCCCGTACTGACCATCACATCTCCTTTTGCCTTGATTGATATCACCTCGAGAGATGCTCTATCTTTCTTTTTTTTTTTGGCGGTCAGTCAACCACCAAACAGAGTCTTGTAGGAATGGAAAGAACGACCTGCGCGCCGTGCATCATCAGACATTAGCACCACGCTCTAACCAACTGAGCTAACCGACCTGTTTGATGTTTGCTGAGGCTAGGTCGGCCTGCTAAAGCAGGCCAATAGAAGCTCTCTGAGAGCGCATCTCTCCCCCCTTGTGCTATATAAGTCACAAGGGTGCACAGTCGTCTCTACATTCGTGGTGTGCTTGGTACAGGTTATTGAGTTCCCTTTTTGCTCGGTCGAGCTCGATAAAAGAACTTCGATACAAACGAAACATCATTGTGATAGATGCCTGGACAAGATGAGAAGATCAGTACTCTCACCAGTAGAAGCCGTACAAAAACACAATTGCACATGATAACTGTCACTCGAAGAAGTCAAAAGGTGATTCAGTTCTGGCAGTGATGAAAAGAGACAAATAACAAAGCATTTGGTACACACAAGCTAAACAGTGGGTAAACTAAACAATGAAGTCTATATTTTGGGTCTTTGTGTCTATGTACGACCACAACATGATGATCTAATTTTTCTTGACCTCTTCAGAAGTCTCTGCTGCTACTGCTGGTTCAGGAACCACAGGCTGGGTTTCCGAGACTGGAGGTTCCTCAACCAATGGACCCCAACCAAACACCACTGCCACACTGCGAATGCTGCTTCTAACGCCTACTAGACCGACAATCACGCCGACTAGTTCCACAACTAAGAGGACCACGACACCAAGCAACATACGAGGCATGAAGATGCGGTAAAGCATCAAGTGACGACGAAGCCAAGCAGCCTCGACAACGGTTGCAAGCGCGATGGCTGCGTAGAACACTACATGAGTGGCAAGTGCCTTGGCGACTTGGTTCAACAGGCCAGGAGTGCNGGGAGGTACCTTCCAGAATGCAATGGTAGGAACGGCAAGTGCACAGAGGATGTAAGGTGCAAATGTGCTGATAATGACCAGCATAGGCGACCATGGGTATTTGATGGTCTTCAATGGGATAAATGCAGATTCCCATTGGATTGACGAAAGTGTGGCCTGGTGACCTGTCTTGAAGAAGTAGAAGCCAGCCATCAGAGCCAACGTTACGGGTCCTAAAGGCGAGTTGCGCAAGTCATTGGCGTCGATGATTTCAAGAAGGTTGAGGATGCTAAGCAAGCATAGTGAAAGCGTGCCTTGACCCATAGGCTTCTGAAGAAGGAGAAGGACAAGTGCCCAGATAGTTGGTAAGAGGAAGTATCGAGTTCCGTGAGTGTTGGCATAACCAAGAATGATAAGCTTCTTGCGCTGTTGAGGCTTGACAGGTGTAAACATGGCCGATGTAGGATCCTCGGGATCCATGACTTCTGTTTCAGGTGCAGGTGTTTCAGTCTCGACTCCCAAGAAAGGAGCAGAATAGAGATATGCGCTGTAGCCAGCTGCCCAAGCAATGGCTAAAATAGCTTGTGCAATGAATACGCGGACATTCTTCAGATTTTCGCTGGAGATTTGAGGAATCCATTCGTTATCGTCAGCTGCATCGAGGATCCAGTAGGCCGCAGAGAGGACGAGACCAAAACGGAATGCAATACCCAACCATAGTGTAGCTGTGCCTTGATAGTTCTTGGTACGAGCAAAGAAGTCGCGAATTGCGCTTGGCAAGATAACAGCAATGATGAATGGAATAGTAAGTTGCCACCAAGCCGAGGTGGAAGAAGTGGCCGAAGCGTAGTAGGTTGATCTGCAGAATGGCATCTGCTCTTCACGACACAGACGAGAAAGAGATGCGAGGCGGGTCAGCACGATGAAAGAGACCGAATGCCATGAACCAAGCAGACGCTCCTGAGGGTTCTGCAGGCGTAGCGAAGATGCAAGCATCAATGCACCAATTGAGCAAAGCATGTACAGCAAAATTTCATCTTCCCAAATTGTGAAAGAGTTCGAAGCGAAACCAATGCAAAGAAGGACTGGAGGGATTGTGCATATCCAGCCCCAGAAAGAAGTAGGCACGGGAGCGCGAAGCTTTGATGGTATGGATGCGAAGCATGAGAGAGTGCCCAAAATACCAGTCAAGCCAGAGAAGAAGACAACCGAGTTGATCCAAGAAACAGGCATCATACCTCCCAAGAGAAGGCCAGCACCAGCTCCGACTGCCATACCAAGCACTCCACGGGTACAGAGCCCAGAAGCGATTTCACCACGGTCTCCATCAAGGCCGTTCGCGAAGAAAACGATGGTCANAAGTGCGCCGGCAAGCAAGACAATGCCCATTGCCATGCTGGTAAGATCGAAGCGGGCCCAGAGACTCTTGCATACACGCAGGTTTTCCTCTTGATAAGCTCGGAATTGCAAATAAGCAGCCTGCCAGAGCTCGAGAGAAGGCTTTTTCGTTTGTTCGAGCTCATTCCAGACCTTCGAAGCTGCCTCCCAAATAGTCTGAGGAGGAAGTGTGCTAGCTGAATCAAGCTTGCGAACAGCCGAGTACTCCTTCTGATACCTATGGATCTGGCCGGCAGTCAAGTGACTGACTTGTGCGAGGTTCTGATAGTCGTTGGATTTTCTGCCGATGAAAGCCTCCTCGATGGGCTGACCGAGGTTGTTGAACGGAATAGGCATGCCGAGAAGCAAGGACAAAGTAGGAACGAGATCGATCTGTGCGACAGGTCTTTCTTTGGCAGTGTATGGAGGCTTTACAGCGGATTCATCACGACGACCGAACAGGCCCTGCTTGGAGTACATCCACAGAGCGGCCTCGACCTCGTCATCCGACTCACCGCCGTGGTCACCCTTAGCATCCATGCCATGATCACCCATGACAACCAGCAAGGTTTTGTCGTCAAGTGCAGCAATCATTCTTTCAAAGACACTGTTCATCTCTTGAAGCTTCGAGGCCATTGCAGGGTGATCAGGTCCGTAGCGGTGGCCGGCATGGTCGACCCCTAAATAGTGACCAAAGATGACATCCCATGAGGAGGTGTTGGATGGGTGCAACAGAGGGAAGATGTGGTCGTTGACACCATTGTCGACCGTGTGCAAGTCCCAAACGTTGAAGGAGTCATATGCGCGGGTGAGCTCAGGATCAAAGTAGCCAGGGAACAGCGAGTGCCATGTGTCATCTCCAAGATGGACTATTCTCTTGCCAGCAGCCTTGAGCTGTGCGACCAAGTTATCCTCGTCAATGGCAGTTCCGGCGAAATTGGAGCCTGCGTCGATAAAGGTGGGGAGAGTACCGGTTGTCAGCCCCTTGAGGCGTTGCAGGGTTGTGGTTGGAGGATCGGCGATGAAGGGCAGGAGGAAAGCGTTCTCGGGCTCAGCTACAGCAGTGTCCCAGAAGATAGGCAGAGCATTGTGAAAGTGCTGCGAGGCGTGTTGCGGGTGCTTGGGCGACCAAGGCACAGTGAAGTCGTAGCGGAGAGCATCGACAATGATGACGACGGCCTTGTCGAAGGATTTAGGATGCCAACAGCCATTATCTGGCGAGCCGGGAGTGTAGGATGAGCCAAGTGGGACTGGAGGTACGGCGCATTCGGATTTGTGGTCCAGGACGAGGCGTGTCAGGAGGAAGCCGCTGAGGAAGAGGAAAATGCCCAAAACGTGGAATATTCTGCGTCACCGTAAGCAAACGAGGCGGAGGCAGTCGCTCGAGATACTCGGTACTCACAAAACCAAGGTAAAGAAACCAACAAGAAAGCCATGGCGGCGCTTGAATGTCTGTCGACGCTCGTTCTGCACATCCTTGGACGTCTCAGTCTTTGGAATCTGAGCTTGCTGGTTTCCTGCTCCCGTCAATTGAGCGGCAACCCTGGGCCCATTGCTTGCTGACATTTGGATCGAAGCTACCGCCTAGGCATTGATGGGTGTAGAAGGGAATAGGAGGTGAAAAACAATTGCTTGTTAGCAATAATTGAGGGGTTGATCACTGACCATGTGGAGGGAAGCTTGACCTCGAAAAAGCCTATCCGCCAATTCCGATGCTTCATTTTACTCCTCGACTCTTCGAACGCACGTTTCATGATCGAGATTCGACTCATTGTCTGGTGTCAGAGCCATCACATCGCATTTCACCATGCACCAAGCACGAGTATTTGATTGGGCGGGTGAAGCCCCTGCTTTTCATTGTATGCGTCTGCTACCTGACCATCGGTCAAGCGCGCGCCGTGAATAAATGACATGTGTAGGTAATGATACAAACACCACACTTTATAATCGTGCAGCCTAGTCATGAGACAAGGAAAAACAAAACCACTAGACAAACAAGGTCGACTCCATATAACGTGACTCTGTCAGGACGCCATTGCCTCGAAAAGATTCAGCCCCGCTATGCTGAACTCGGAAAAGATAAAAACGGGAAGGGTACGTGAAGGAGTGTATGAAGCAATAATGAGGCAGCTGCTCAATGTCGAGGCCGCTGTCGAAGATGAAGAAAAACATTAACAATATCCGGTGTATCGGCTTCGTAACGCCACTCGAGGGGTGTCGACCCTATCGGAGGATGCTGGCAACAAAAGAAGGGAATATATACCATGAGCGGCAGCCATGGGATGAACAAGCACCCGCACACACATCCAGCTCAAAGGTCGTGTGTAAAAGATTGAGAAAACGAAAAGGCCGAAGCGTGTCCAAGAAGAAAGAAGATGACGGATGGCGCGGCTTCGGGTGGTCATTACTTTTATTTGTCGTTGAGGGTTGAATAGATGTCGCGCACCGTCGACTATTGGTAGCGAGCCTCGACATCCTTCTCCTTCAAGCCGCCTATCCTCTCGAGATCAAGAGACTGGAAACGATCCGACTCGCTTTTCTGGTAAGGAGGGAGGTTTTCCGATACGGGCTCAAGACCAATGCTGTGGTCACCGACACGTACGACGACGACTCTACCAGATTGGCGCTTGCCCAGGTTGTCGACCTCTTCAGGGAAGTGGATGCGAATCTCAGGCACCGAGTTGGCCGATGGGGGTGCCTCGGAATTGTCGATGAGGCTTTGCTTCTCCTGGTAGACAATGATAGACTCGTGAGGGCGAACAGTGACACGGTGGTGCTGGGATGTTGACTTCTCCTCGTCATCAATGGAAAGAGAGCCGGCGCGTATTGAGCGTTTTCTCCAGCGCATGAAGTAGAGGGCGGTGACGCAAAGAAGAGCGATGATAAGAAGGACGACCAGGGCGATAAGAAGAGCAGCCATTGTGGGTGAGTATGATTCGTCGTAGCTATCACGAGCGACAAGCTTCATAAATTTAGCCATGGTTGTTGTCGAGAAAAACGAGAGTGGGGGTGGAGCGAATGTGTGTAGTCGAGATGAAAAAATCCAAGGCAGGGAGGTCCTAAGGATTTGGTATTGTATAACGTCGAGGTACGAGGGTCGTTTGCCTCTTAATTGGTGCCGTTATGATGATGTGCTTAAAGTTTTCTAGATGCTGGGGCGGGACAAGGTCAGCATGCCGGTCGTGTGCGGTCTTGTGCAGTGTGTTGAATGTCTGGGGCTGGTCGATCGGTAGTGCATTCTGCAAAGCGCGACACCTTGACAGGCCATCGCGTCGAGATCCGTGGACAGTGTAGGGATGGTTGGGTGGTTGGAGTTCAACGGAGAGGAACGCGGGGATGGCCGCTACGGAGTGCATACCTCTACTACGCAATCGATTTCTCGACTTGTTTTGTCTGTGAACGAGTGGACTGCAGAACGACGGCTAAAAGAGTGAAGCCGGGGACGCGAAACAAAGCTGTAGGGGCAAAGAAGTCGAAACGAACGATCGAAAAGCTCTCAAACAAGTGAGAGGGCGCGCGCTCCATCTTTTGTTGATGTCTCTCCGCGACGATTAAGATTGCCTCCAGCAATTAGCGCCGTTGGAAGACTCAAACGCCCAATCAACTGTCAAGCAGCCTTGCTCCACTTTTCAAGCAGCACTCGTCATGGTAATTACAGCAAACTAAGGTGCCTTGGCCTTCTTCTTCCGACGATGAAACTGCTGCTCTGATTATCATGGGGACCAGACTCCAATAGATACAACTGCCTATCCAAAACAGAGCCTCCATCTGGCAACCCGCTCCGACCTGAGGGGCTAACAATCTTGACAGGAGTCCNAAGGGCTCTGTTACTCAAAGNTCCGCAAGTCTGGGTGGGTGGGAGGAGCCAAACCGGATTTAGATTGCTCATGATCACCAAGATCAACAGGAACCAACTCTCCCAAGCCTCTAGCCGACGCTGGTGTCTGATGTGCACTTCTGGCGTCAATTCTCGAGTGGAGTGCATAATTACCACATAATAAGGAGTCCATCTCGGCACACACACGCAGGATTCCTCGATGAAAGCCACGACAGGGGCAGAGAAATGTGTCGTGCCTGTCTGACCTGCCAGTCCGTTCCTGTGCGCCGACACGAACTCACCCTCACAGGCCTTTGTACNTTGGCCTCACGAGTCTCCATGCCCTGCCCTGCCTGATCTTGAAAGATAGACATCTAACATGGCTTTTCCACCATCTGGTCTTAGCCCTCGGTTGCCTTTTAAGCTCCGACCGTTCAATCCGCAACACTGAGGGTCTTGCACAGCCATAATACTTTCCCGTCCAATTTCGCACACATTGCCCCGACAACTTCGTCTGTTTGAACAAAAAGCTCGAACGGTGACTTGGACGGTGATAATTAAAGCGAGAACAATCCATGAGAAGAAGGGGTCGTCAATTGTCTCTACGAACGGTCTGAAAATAGGAGATGTTGTTTACATGGCACAGGAGTCTCGAGAACATGTGCTCAAAACAAGCAAAGCATTTGCTGTGCTGTGCTGTGCTGCTGGGTCAGCCTGTGCCATGCACCCCTGGCCGCACCATGCTGCAGCTTCATGTGTGGTGCATGCATTAAGGCTTCCTCTCTGATTCACGCTATCGATTTTGGTCATTGCCATTCGCAAGGAGCTTCCACATGGTAATGCGATCACCTCGACAGAGCCAGGGGGAACCATGAGGCACTTGACGGACTCGTGCTGATTGATATTCTTGGTAAGTTCCTGGCCTCTGATGGGCGAGTAGCTCGAGCAAGACGTGTCACGCTCGAGATCTCTCTTTGTGTTGATGGATAGTGCAATGAGTGGTAAAAGTCACGTATCACGATTCTGTCCCATTGTAGACTGGTGCAGTGGCTCGTTTTGATACGTGTTCATCAAGAATGGTATATTTGTCAGCACTCGTGCTCATGCCTAGCCAGTCGTACTGAGATTCCAGGTACGTCAGAGTTGCACAAATGAAATGGTTGGTTGATCAGTGAGCTCGATGTGAGATAACACTCCTGCAAGTTCACTTGTCGACGCATCACGGTCGATGTTCAATCAGTACTATATATTTGCTGCGGTAAAATCTTGCTTGGTTTTACGAAAGGGTTGACATCAGATCATGTAGAGATGATCTCCCCAGATAGAGAAGACGAAGACAAACCCGGATACGGGATGTTGCGGCGGAGACGCAGATAGGCTCGCTGCCTGCAGGAAACCACATCTGTAACGGTGGCTTTCAGCTTCTAGCTAAATTTCACAGAGGCACAGTTGCAGAAGGCACGTTTGCTCTTCTTGTAATCGGACGTGCAAAGAGCATGGAGATTGGACTATGGAGATTGGACGATAGGAACCCGCAGAACTCACGCAGGGCAGTCTTTGTCTGAAGCGCTACATGACGAAAGGACGGTTGGGAGCTGTGCTAATTGCTGGGCAAGGTAAGACCAAGTTTACCTAGAATTGATACCCAGATACAACGGCGATGAGTAGACAATATGGTTACAGAGAGCAGAGAGAGAAGCGAGCTCTGTTGAGCGAGGCATGGTGATAGTCGTGTGTGTGCAGTCCCTTGATCCTTTGGTCAAAATGGATTGGGTGGAAAGTTAAACGGGCCATCCCGCTGCCTCCCGCAAACAGGGCGCTGTATATATGTCCCGAAGCCTGGATCCAACCAGTAATCGGGGTTGCTTTGCTGCTGGAATAGCAGCTGTCTCGATAAAAGAAGAGTTCTTGTGCGACCCAAGCACGCTCTTTCCTCTCTCACGATCATCGGCAGAGCCCGTATACGAACAACAGGCAGCCATCCCTCGCTCCTTTCGGAAGCCTCGAAAACTCTCATTCCTTCCTCAATCAAGCTCATCCCTTGCCTTTAGCAACAACCAGTGAACTTGGCCCACGACGCGGACTGTGTGCTTAGCAGATGCCCGTCCAGAGTGCTTCCCTCGCCGACCAAGTGCCGCGCAGCTGCTTTTGAAATTGCACATACTTGGTTCCTCGCGCGCCTTGCAGACGCTCGCTGTTACATAACCACGACCGACTTCCAGACGCCATCTCGGCCACATCACCACCATCGAGCCCACGAGACTGTCCATCCAAGTGTATATGGTGTCGTGTCGTAATCTACAGTGCCATACGTCGTTGTTCTGAGTAGGCTTCCTCGGCGCCTGGCCACGTGTGTCGTGTATTGCAATCTGCTGACGCCTGTGACCAGTCATACATACTCGTTATCGCTGCCTCTCTATATCTGTACACTGGTCTATAATGTCTTCATCCTTCTCGTCGCAACCCCGTCCCGTCGCCATGTCTGGCTTTTCGCAACCCTTCAGGCCTCCCACCAGCGAAGGCCGCAACGGCGCTACCACCTCAGCCTCGTCCAACAACCTGACCAAATGGCAAGGTACATCAAATATCTGGAGCACCAGCTTCAGCTCGTCAGCTTCCACTGCTCTTCCGACCACCGGTCCCAGAAATAGCCTTAGTTTTGGCACTCACAATGGAAAGCTCAGCGGAAAGGACACAATCGAGGGTAGAAGCGGCTCGAGCCAGCTTATCGAATCCTCCATCAGTGACGAGTACGGCACATTTCGTTCTGGCTCTTTCGGAAAGCGCGAAGATGCGATCCGTCTTGGAGGACCACCATCCAAGCCCAGCGACGTCGCATTCTCTCAGCATCGCAGCAACAGCAACTCAGGTCTGCCTCAAGCCTACGCCGGAGCTGCTCGTGGCTCCATGTCCTTCTCTGCTTCTTCTAGACCAGCCACCAGTGGCATCGGCTCAACGACATCTATGGCGCCAAAAACACAGTTGAGTGGCACTTTTGACTCGCCTTTGTCTTATACGGCCGACGCTCCTGCGGTCTACACCAAGTTTGACCGGACAGCTAAGCCCGCTACCTCCCGGCCAACCGATTCGGCCTACGGCGAGTGGATAGATGGCGGCAGTATAACCCAGTCTCCTGTTGATGAAAGAAGACGTCCTTCTGCCACAGGCTCTTTCCACGGACTTCCCAGCGCTCCTCCATCGCGCAACCACAGTTTACCACCTTCGCGACACAGTGATATTCAGCCTGCCTGGCCCATTACTACCAAATCCGACCAGTTCTCTTCCTCTCAACCGCCCACGAACTCTCTCCGCGTCAACAGTTTCTCTTCAACTTCCAGGCCCAGCGGTAGCTTTGGCGCCGCTGATGCTCAAGCGGCCCCCCTGGCTCATTTTCCGCAGTTGAGTTTACAAGAAGACCCTCACAGTTTCGCCGTCTCAAGACCCTCCTTCTCTATGCCTACCGTTGCCAAACAGCCTGGGCACCTAGGGACTGACACTCGCAATTCTTCGGCCGATCAGTACGACGATGTCGAGCAGATAACTCGTGTGCCTCCTACCTTCGCCTCTGATGCCTACCCTACCGCGGTCCAGACACCAGTCGATTATCCTGCCTACCGCATGTCACAATACTCCGAACGCTCTCTCATCTACAATCCCAGGAACGCAAACTCAAGCACTCCACCTTTCGTCAACCAGAGGTTCCAACAGCAACCACCTCAAGAGTTAGATCCTCGGTACCTGCTGAATCTGCCATACTCTTCTGTGCCTGGTGGCTACTACTCTTACCATCTTCCCAATGGTTCTGCCATCCACAACATTCCTGCGATATACCCTCCTATGCATGCGCAGATGTCATTCAGCGGTGTGCCGACCATGCCTTCTCCTAGAGGTCCACGCGAACTTGAATCTGGCCATAGTCTGCGCAGTGCTCTTCTAGAAGACTTCAAGCAGAACCACAAGACCAGACGTTACGAGCTCAAGGTAAGACTCCAGGAGAACGACGCTCGCATCAGCTTTGTACTGACAGCTTTTAGGATATATTCGATCATGTAGTAGAATTCAGTGGTGACCAGCATGGATCACGCTTCATTCAACAGAAGCTGGAGACGGCCAACAGCGACGAGAAAGAACGTCTCTTCCGAGAGATACAGCCCAACGCCATCCAACTCATGACCGATGTATTCGGAAACTACGTCATCCAAAAGTTCTTCGAACATGGCGACCAAAACCAGAAGAAGATATTGGCCAACAAGATGAAGGGGCGTGTTCTGGAATTGTCGCTGCAAATGTACGGATGTCGTGTTGTGCAAAAGGTTAGTTCCTTGAGTTGTTCTGTATGTTCCGTCCCCACTGACCAATTTGGCTAGGCTCTTGAGCATGTCCTCAACGACCAACAAGCATCACTTGTTCGCGAGCTCGAAAAGGACGTCTTAAGATGCGTCAAGGACCAGAATGGAAACCACGTCATTCAGAAGGCCATTGAGCGCTGCAGCGAGAACGATATATCTTTTGTCTTCCAGGCTTTCACTGGTCAGATCCAACATCTCAGTGTTCATACTTATGGATGCCGAGTCATCCAGAGATGCCTCGAGAACTGCGAGGAAATGACACGGAAAGCTATTCTCGCGGAACTACACGATTGCATGTCCACCTTGATCGGAGATTCATTCGGCAACTACGTGGCACAACATGTTGTCGAGTACGGTTTCTTGCCTGACCGGCAAAGAGTTCTTGAGCTTGTACTCAAGGGTCTAGAAGGCTACAGCAAGCACAAGTTCGCAAGCAATGTTGTAGAGAAGTGTCTTACACATTCCAAGGAGGCATGGAAGCACGATGTCATCGGTGTCATTGTGCGCAACAACAACCGCGAAGGAGAAAGTATGCTGCTCGGTCTGATCAGAGACAACTATGGAAATTACGTGATTCAAAAGCTCTTGGAACTTCTAAGCCAGCAAGACTTTGATCACTTCATCGAAATTCTCCAGCCAGAACTCGCAAAAGCCAAACGAACAGGATGTGGCAAACAAGTCACCGCGATTGAAAAGCGCATGCAGAGACCGTATGACCAGAGTCTCCTCCCCCACCAGGCTGTATTTGGTAGCAGAACCATCTCACAGAACACGACGCCTCCACCACCACCTCTGACTGCTGATCAGCGTAGCCTTCAGACCAGTTCTGTCGGTAGCGTTAATGGGGACGCTCTTGAAGGTGCCACTAGCAGCCGCAAAGGCTCTGTCGAACATGTGGTTCCTACCGTTTTCGAAGCCTAGCACTCCACGTGTCCTTTGGATCGATATTCTTACCCTTCTATATCATTACCTTTCGGTTTCTTCTTTTCACTTCGTGTCGGTACTTTTATCCTTATTCACCTCTACGCATGGATTCGGGCGTATTATGACGATAACAAAAAAAGCAGCAGCAACACGACGGCGTTGATGTGGGAGTTGCCAACAGTCAGAGACTCTCTACGCGAACAAAAGTGTTGGATGCGCGTGCCGACCTTGATGAATACAAAAAGATTTTGGCTTTGGTTCTGGACTTCTTTCTCTTCGATTTCTTCCTTCCTTCTTTCATTTTATCCTTTCTTTTTCCTGCTCTCCCCTTTTTCTTTCTTTTGCTATCTGGGAGAGAGGGTACGACTAATAATGATGGGGGTGTGAAGATCTTTTTGTTCCACTGTATGCCAACAAAAGAAAGATGAACAGTGTGAGATATACGACAAGACTCATCGGGAACGGGGTTTGGATTGGGAAACAGAAACAAAACTGTTGTGTCAAAAGCAAAAAAGAAACAGTATGATTAGCGCAGATACCCTTTTCTTGTTTCCGGTTGTCAATAATGAAATGTTGATTTTTTGTTCTCTCTCTACCTATCTGACGTTTTCTGTGTTCTGCCATTGCAAGCTTCCATCTGCTCTGTCTGTTCGTTGTTGCTGAAAGATACGTGTGTCTGATAGTGACACTCCCATGGTTATGTAGGCAACCAACTAGTTTTGAGGAAGGCAGGACGCCTTTGACATTTCACATGATGCAGCACTCTTTCTGGGAAGCAGTAACATATGGCAAGAACCGAGTACACGTAGAGTGGCTCCTTCCAGACTTGAAGACATATTATTGCGAGACAGCAGGAAGGGACGATTTATAGCTTGGACTACTAGAATCGATTGTTTGAAAAGTAATGCTAATTAACCAATGCTTTTGGATACTATGATAATGCTCTTTTCTTTTGTACAATGCTGTTTGTTGGCTTGATGTAATCCACCACTGGCAACGAATCGTGGGAATGCTTTGAGTCAAGGAGCTTTGCCACGTCTGCGTTTTGCTCTAGACCTTGCTCTGGAGAGTTCTTCGTACTAACGGAACTGAGGCATACCAGGAACGAGGAAGCCGAAGCCAGGCACTGGTGGGGGAGGTGCAATGGTGACGGGCTCGGGACGAGGGGCATGGTGAGATTCATGTTGCTGGTTGAAGCGACCGCCTCCACGTCCGCCACGACGGCCTCCGCGGTGGCTGCCACCATCAGGACCAACACGACGGCTCATAGCTTTGGAAGAGACACCGGCTCCTATCTCAATATCGGGCTCTTCCACAACGAGACCACTTTCAATGGGGCGGCCACCAGTACCACCGTACTCGGCAGTCAGCATCCACTTGTGGTCGGCTTCGGTCAAGGTGTCGATGGGGATGACGCTGATACCGTTGCTGTAGTCGCAGCACTCGCGAGGACCAAAGCCGACGCCCCATTTGGTTTGGCGAGCCTTGGCCAGGATGTCAGGATCTCTGGTGGTCTCCATGGCGGTCTTTGCGTTAACGGCATCCTGGCGGTTGCACATCTTCACAAAAGCATGGCGCTTGTCCTCGTTTGCAATACATGTTTGGACGGGGCCAAAACGACCAAAGATGGCGCGTAGTTCAGCTTCATTGCCATTGGCGCCACCGACAAAGAGTGTTCTGCTGAGAACCTTGATGTGGCCAGGAGGAATGGTGTTGTCCATATCTGTCCATTTAGGGTTGATGTTACGAGGAACAAGAGGCTCATCTCCTTGAGGTGTGCGAGCGGAAGGTGGAGTACGCTGGCGATAGTCGTTGCGACCGCCACGTCCACGGCCTCTACNCCCACGTCGATCGGAGTTAGAAGCAGCTTGATCTTGGGCAGATTGCGCAAGAGAAGCATCATAAGTACCATAGACAGGGCTTGCGCGACGACCAGTATTGTTGTTGTTGCTGTTGCGGGCGGGTCCTGGTGAGCGGCTTCGATTGCGATCGCGAGGAGGGAGAGATCTTTCTCTGTAATGACCAGCAGGGTACCGCTCTTGAGCAGGCGGTCCCTGCTGTGGGGGTGGGTACAGTGCACTGAGGACAGCTCCCCATTGCTCTTGTGGGATTCCTTCTTGAGACAAACCTTGAATCAACTGNNGAAGCACGTTAGGCAATATCTGTGGATTATTCAGGATGTGTGCAGGCAGGAATGAACCAGGGGCCGAGGGAGCGGGAGGCTGGGGTGCTGCTTGTTGGTAAGGAGCAGGGGCGTGATATTGCGGCGGGTATGCTGGAGGCATGCTTGCTACTGGTGTAGGTGGTGGATATGTCTGGCCATACGACTGCTGAGGAGGTGGGGCAGAGTAGCCGTAGGATGCGGGCGGTGCTTGTGGAGGTTGCCCCTGGTAGCCTCGAGTGGCACCAGCCATGATGGCAGCGAGATCTGCAGGCGCAGTCGGTGCAGAAGCTTGGACGGGTACGACAGGAGGAGCAGCAGGTGGGGAGCTGAAGCNAGCTGGAGCTGGCATGGGTTGGAGGCGTGAGAGAGCAGCAAGAATACTCGAAGCATCGGGTTGCGCCTGGGCAACAGGAGCTGCTTGAGGTGCGCTCAATGGTGGTGGAGCCTGTCGGAGACCCAGAGAAACGAGCATGCTGAGCGGAGGGCTGCCAGGAGGAGTAGTCGNAGGCAACAACTGTTGAGAAATGGGTTAGTAATTTGGGCAGAATCCACACATGCAGTACTTACTTTGAGCCACCGGTTCAGCCAGCTTCTTCTTGATCTCTGTTAGAGTAGAGGCAGGGAACGTGTTGCCGCGCTCCCAAATCTGCACCAGACTCTCTACTTTTGCCTTGTGGTCAGGGGGTGCATTCTGGATGGTATCATCGATCAGGGATGGCAGAAGTTCAGTAACTCTATGCACTCCTGATGCATAGGTGCCTTCAGGTGCAGCACTTCCAGACAACTCCTGCGATGATTGACGAGCCTTTTCAATCCATTGACGGGTCACCGAGTCTACAACATAAAGAACTCCAAGCTTGTGGGTTCCTGGGGTTCTCTTGAGATGCCTATAGAGCTTTTGCGTAATTGCAGATTCGGACTGNNTAAATCGTGAGTGGGTGTTTCAAAGGAGCTGCATATTCGAGAGCGTTACCTGGACATTGTCTCCGCAGAGTTTTGTGATGGCAGTGATCTTTCCTTTGGTTGCACCTGGAGGCTTGAGAGCCTGCAAAGACTGCAGCAATGCGTCTAATTGCTCCATGTTTGCCATGTCTACTGTGCTAATACAGTACCTGTTCTCCAATAAAAAGGAAATAGGGTCCAAGATGCGCTACGCGTGAACAGGAGCGAGGACTACTGAAAGCTACCAGAGACTGATGACAGACGACTGATGACTGCGGGGCCAGAGAATAGAAAAGCAAACGCAGCAGTCGTGGTAGAGTGAACAGGCGTGAGCGCTACTATCAGAGTCTTTTCTTTTGGCCTATGTCTTCCAAGTGAGAGTGAAAATCACGCTGATGAGCGATGGCTATTCAACTGAAAGACAGAAGTTTTTGACGTTGACGTGTCTACAGCTATCGGGTCAGCTCTCTTACGCAGACAGAGCGACCGGTCACAAGAGCACAGGAAGAGCCGGAGCGACAGCAATAAGAGAAAAGGGAGATGGTGTAAACGCGTCGGGTGTTGATGGTTACTGTGGTGAAGGTGTTTGACTGACGGATGGCACCTCTTCAGTGAAAGCAGAAGGACGGCGAAAGGAAAAGATTCGGCAGCGTCGCACTTACCACGGGCCGAGTGGAGAGTGACGCTCCCGATTCGAAACGTGGTCTGTGCACAGTCGGACTCGGATCGACGCGATTCGAAAAAATCGTGGTTCGCAGAAACGACGGATAATAAATGCACTGGACAGATGGAACAGGCAGACCGAAGCCGAGGTCAAAACACTTGGTCACATTTGGTAGCTGTATCGAGCTGCCGGACGAGTGACAACAGGCATGTATGTAGAGGAGTACAAGACGCCAGAATATCGTCAGAGGGGCAGGAAATAGATGATAGCGACCGGCTCGACCAACCGAGGGCCTCGTCTTATGGTGTGCCCCGAGAAATGCCCCATCCTTGGGCCGGAGGTCATGTCTGGGTGGCTGCAATTACAGCAGGACGGGCAGGCCGCACGTTGGGCTTGGCGAGCGCCGTGCAGCTCGGGAGCTCGTCTTCGATCCTTCTTTTCTCTCTGTCTCTCTATCATCTCTTCCTTATCAATCAACATCCGTCATAATGGCCTCCATGAGAGTCGGTTCCTCCGCCCTGCGCGCCTCGATGGCCGCTCCCTCCACCTTGAGACAGGCTGCCCTCAATGCCACCCGCGCCTACTCTTCCAAGAGCACTGTATGCCGAGTCCACCATAGCTACATAGCCGCTGCATTCGGTCCACCATACTGATCTGTCTACCCANNGTCGCTCAAGGAGACCTTCGCTGCCAAGATCCCTGGCGAGATTGAGAAGATCAAGAAGCTCCGCAAGTACGTCTCACAGCTTATGCCAATATCAACAACTGTACAACAGCAGCTAACACACTTTGTCTAGNNGGAGCACGGTAACACCGTTGTTGGTGAGGTCACCCTCGACCAGGTCTACGGTGGTGCCCGTGGCATCAAGTCCCTCGTCTGGGAGGTATGACAACCCCTCGATACACCCAAGAAAAATTGTTCTGGTTGCTAACAATATATACAGGGTTCCGTCCTCGACTCTGAGGAGGGTATCCGTTTCCGTGGCAAGACCGTAAGGTTCCCAGTTGGTCTATCGATGAATTGAAGCTTAAGACAATTACAGATCCCCGAGTGCCAGGAGCTTCTTCCCAAGGCTCCCGGTGGTCAGGAGCCCCTCCCTGAGGGTCTCTTCTGGCTCCTCCTCACCGGCGAGGTTCCCTCTGAGCAGCAGGTTCGCGACCTCTCCGCCGAGTGGGCTGCCCGCTCCGACCTCCCCAAGTTCGTTGAGGAGCTCATCGACCGCTGCCCCAACACCCTCCACCCCATGGCTCAGTTCTCTCTGGCCGTCACTGCTCTTGAGCACGAGTCTGCCTTCGCTAAGGCCTACGCCAAGGGCATGAAGAAGGCCGAGTACTGGGAGCACACTTTCGAGGACTCCATGGACCTCATTGCCAAGCTCCCCAACATCGCCTCGCGCATCTACCGCAACGTCTTCAAGGACGGCAAGGTCCCTGCTACCCAGAAGGACAAGGATTACTCATGGAACTTGGCCAACCAGCTCGGTTTCGCCGAGAACCAGGACTTCGTTGAGCTGATGAGACTTTACCTCACCATCCACACTGACCACGAGGGTGGTAACGTTTCCGCCCACACCACCCACTTGGTCGGTTCCGCCCTCTCCTCTCCTTTCCTCTCGCTCGCCGCTGGTCTCAACGGTCTTGCTGGTCCCCTCCACGGTCTCGCCAATCAGGAGGTTCTCAAGTGGCTCACCGAGATGAAGGCTGAGGTTGGCAACGACCTTAGCGACGAGTCCATCAAGAACTACCTCTGGTCCACTCTTAAGCAGGGCCGTGTTGTTCCCGGTTACGGCCACGCCGTCCTGAGAAAGACTGACCCCCGTTACGTCTCTCAGCGCGAGTTCGCCCAACGCAAGCTCCCCGAGGACCCCATGTTCAAGCTTGTCTCGCAGGTCTACAAGATCGCCCCTGGCGTTCTTACCGAGCACGGCAAGACCAAGAACCCCTACCCCAACGTTGACGCCGTAAGTACAAGCCGGACCACAAAGTCGCAAGCACATTTAACTGACATGAAACTTCACAGNCACTCCGGTGTCCTCCTCCAATACTACGGTCTCACCGAGCAGAACTTCTACACTGTCCTCTTCGGTGTTTCACGTGCTCTTGGTGTCCTTCCCCAGCTCATCATCGACCGTGCCGTCGGTGCCCCCATCGAGCGCCCCAAGTCCTTCTCAACCGAGNNGGCCTGGGCCAAGCTTGTCGGTGCCAAGCTTTAAATTTATAACCGATCGAAACATCGGAGCTAGACTTATGTCTATCATGTATTCTACTATGACTTTTGCGATGGAGCAATTAGGGTTGATATCATATAAAACGCCTTGATTATTTCTGTATGGGTTTGACGTTGAGCAATGTGTTGGTGACATGAGCGCATAGCAGGATTCTGTGTGACATGATTGATTGAAGGTGATGGTGTGCTCAACAAGTAGCACGGACATTTCGGAGTCCCGAATTCGGACAATTAAATGGATATCAGGTCGGCTTCTACTATTTTGAGCGGCATGAAGAGTATCCGGAACTCGATGGCAAGGTTTGTGAAACACATGTAAGCCATGAGAAGATTATGAGTATGCACGATATCGGTTGGTCGCATGGTTGAAGGTGAGGCTCTGTGATACAGGGTTTAGGTGTTGCTCAACGTATCGAGAAGGGGAGCTTCAAATGCACGAGCCAGTTGGGGATGGTCAGCAAGGACAGCTTGCTCTGCGAAGACAACAACGACGCAAGCAACACAGTAAAGCTGCAAGTGCTGAGGTCAACGAGTATGACGGTGAGCTCGAGCTGCATGAGCTGCATGCTATCAAGAGTGGAATTGGCGGCACGGCAGCGGTGAGGAGATGCCGACCTGAATATCGGGCGGGTAGAAATATGGCCTTCGATAGCCGGCGGTAATGAAAATGGTCTGATGTATTCTCCGAAACCCAAGATAAAGTGAGAGACGTGTCGTGATACAGCTTCTGCTGCCTTTTGAATCTTCTCTCTCTACGTCTCACTCGGTAACAAACAGGATCAGCTCTTCAGGTGAGTGCTTGAACCAATGATTGGGGTTGTTGTGGGCAGATTGCTGCACGCGCCAGACCCTCAATCAACTGCTGCAGCTCTCCCCAGACTAAATAACTTCTGAACAGCTTTCCCTCTTCCTCTTTCTTCGTCCGATCACGCCCGTCGCTACGAAGATTACCTTCTCGTCCTTTAGCCGTCGACTCTCATAAAACTGTAGCGAAGAAGCACACTCCTGCCTCGGTCCGGCCTTGTCTACCGCTGCCATCTTTAGAAGCATGAGCACCACTACTCCCGCTGCCGCCCAAGTTGGCGTTGCCGCTCCTCCCAAGCTCGAGAAGAAGCCTGTCAAGTTCAGCAACCTGCTGTGTATGTTGATCTGCCTGTCTGTCAGATCTGACCGCAATGTGCTAACGCGTCTCTACNNAGTGGGTGCTGGCCTGAACCTGTTCGAGGTGACGACCTTGGGTCAGCCCCTGGAAGTCGTAAAGACGACCATGGCCGCTAACCGTGCCGACGGCATGGCAGGAGCCATCAGCCGCATCTGGGGCCGTGGTGGTGTCTTTGGNCTGTAAGTCCGCATACAGCCGGTTCTAGGTGACGACAGCTGACATGATCTCCGCGCAGTCTACCAAGGTCTCATCCCCTGGGCTTGGATCGAAGCATCCACCAAGGGCGCTGTCCTCCTCTTCGTCGCATCCGAGGCCGAGTTCTACGCCCGTAACGCCGGCGCCAACAACTTCGTTTCTGGTATTACTGGCGGTATGGTTGGTGGTCTCGCCCAGGCCTACGCTACCATGGGTTTCTGCACTTGCATGAAGACGGTTGAGATCACCAAGCACAAGGTGGCGGCGGCTGGCATCAAGCCCCCGGGCACGATGGAGACATTCATGAACATCTACCGTCAGGAGGGTATCCGCGGTATCAACAAGGGCGTCAACGCCGTCGCCGTCCGCCAAGTCACCAACTGGGGTTCCCGCTTTGGTCTGTCCCGTGTCGCCGAGACCGGTATCCGCAGGGCTACTGGCAAGGAGCACGGTGAGAAGCTCGGTGTCCCCGAGAAGATCCTCGCTTCCGCTCTTGGTGGCGGTCTTTCTGCTTGGAACCAGCCTATCGAGGTCGTCCGTGTCGAGATGCAGAGCAAGAAGGAAGACCCCAACCGTCCCAAGAACATGACTGTCGGCAAGGCCTTCAAGTACATCTACTCGCAGAACGGCATGAAGGGTCTCTACCGTGGTGTCACTCCCCGTATCGGTCTGGGTGTCTGGCAGACCGTCTGCATGGTCGCCCTGGGAGACGTAGCCAAAGAGTACGTTGAGGCATTAACTGGCGAAAAAGTCACATCCAAACATTAGATTGTGTTGCGACAGCTCCAGAGTATGCTTTGGAATGCGCGGTCTGAAGAAGGGGGAATCTTGCTGCAAGTTGAGGTTCTCACAGACAAATGCTCAATGGCATCTGCCGATGACGTCTGTTGAAACACACAGTATGTCCGGCTTAATTCAAAACATTCACAATCATGTCTGTTCGTTGATGTTGCTGTTGCGATGTGTTGCGATGCCCCCTCCCCGTGTGCCAAAGGATGTAACTTCCACTGTACTCCGACTGCAGCTAAGAGGAACAAAGTACACTATAAAAAGGCACAATTGTGTTCGAAGTAGAGGCGTGTCCACAGAGAGCCGACAAATTGTTGCTTCTCAGTGGAACTGTTGTATTTCCTATTGCTATTGTGCATTTCTATAACTACACGCGTTACATACTTCCGACGTGGGAAGGTCCAACATGCACAAGTCGAACTACGAAATTTCTAGTTTCACGTTTGCTGGGACGACCCTGTCATAAGAACTGTCGTTTCTGTTTCTATGATCTCTCTTCACCGGTCGCTTTTCGCATTAATACGAGTCCTTTTGCAAAGGTTCGTGTCTTTACCTGGCTCTTTTAGGACTCTCATGGCATTCTTATGATAATGAATGACCCTCAATCCTTCCATTCTAGGCAACCACATACGACCACAATCAGCCAGAGATCAGGCACCCATCCACTACCATATACAAGGAGAAATACGATACAACACGAGATCCTTCAACTTCACCGCCAAGATATCGATGTATGCATGATGGGACTCTGTGAGAAAATTGGCAGACCAAGCCGAACATGCCGCATGCTGCGGTTGAGGAACGAACGTCCTGCCAAGCATATAAAAATAGGCCTGATCGACGACCTTAGACCATTCACAAAGAAACCATCACATAACATTCATATTCTCAATCACCTCTAGATCGAACCTCCGCTTGTGGTAGTAGCTATCCTCGATACTGCTCAGTCATAGAAGGCACGGTCAGGGAGAGAGCGAGTCTTGGCTTCCTCCGTCAAGGTCTGGATCTCAAGGCCCACTACTCGTATCGAGATGGCCTTGTTGGATGTGCCCTGACTCCTGTATGTCGTTAATGATCCACTTTTACTCTACTGAAAGAATGACCTATCAACGTCATTCAAGCACCAACTATAAAGGCAGACTCTGCTGCTGGTAGGTACATTTCATCTCCCTCAACTCACCAAGAAAATCATCATGAAGCTTTTCACCGCTCTGTCGGCCCTTGCGGCCATTATGCCTGCTGTCATGGCCGCCGATGCTTATATCCCTTACGCTCGCTTCAGCAAACAGGGCGAACTTTTTCCTATCAACGCTGTCAACGGTTCATTCTACATCGGCAAGGACCCAACCATCATCCCGCCTGCTTGGGGCAATCCCGACAACTACAACCAGACCATCATAACTGGTCCTACTGGCAACAGAATGTGGATGGGTTCGTAAGCTTCTAGATCGGACCAGCATTTCTTCGTTTGGTCGTTAGTATCTGCTGAATATAGCAACGCTACGCTTTTTATCTATCTGACCGAACGGACATCACTTGACCAAACCGAATCGATGCTGCTGTCTCGTTCATTCTCGATGTCTTTGAACACATGCTAACCACCCCCACANGGTGTTCTCGCAGCGGGCGGTCAAGCCGTCTACGTCCAATACGATGGCCTACATTACAACCCCGTCTCGCCCAACGGAACAGCAGGCGGCATCTACCCTTACTTCAACAACTACGAGCTCTACTTCAGCATCGGCAAGACGGATGACGGCGAACTCAAGCTCCTCAATGCCATCGGCAGAAATTACTATCCTCCTGGAGAGAAGAGCTACGACTTCTCGGCCGGCTTCGAATATGCCGGAGCTTCGGTGGCTTCCGTTAACGCTGGCATTCCAGACCCTCATGTCACTCCTTTCGAGATGATCTTGAAGCGTACTGATGCTCCTGCTCCTCAGCGGTATCAACACTACCAGGACCAGTTTAACAATTTGTAAATCTCTGACGCTGAGAGCAAAGTGAGTGGCTGGAGACGGTCTGCAATATCTCTGTCAGTCTTTCGTACGGGGAAAACTCTAGTCATTCGGATGGAAAATGTATTTCGAGACCTTGGATAGAAAGAATCGCGAAATTTACCCTCGGCTTATTCGAAATCACATATTTTCGGCCCTTCATGAACAGTTGAGTCATCTTTGACCGGCTACATATTTGGTGTGAAAAGCGTATTCAGCACGTACGGCCACAGTCAGCTGAAAACTGGGCATCCCGTCCGCTCTGCCATACATAAGCAGTTGAACGGCAGATTAGTACTACGGTGGGTGACCACGTGGGAATCCCTGCTGCTGTACGTTTTGTTTTTGTACACCATCCATCTTTCACTTGTGACCTTACCGATCGAACGTGTTCATGATATTGCATCTGCTCTTTTGTGTTCGCTGAAGCTGGAATGTCTTTTGGTCTGGCAGTCATGGCCAACAAGAAGAATGAATGCCATACACGTTTTGCAATCTCATTGGGCAGTCGCGAGACATATATACATTTCTGCATTTCGACGGGTCAATCTTTGAGGTTTGGTGGAAGCTGGAGCACAGAAAAGGACGCAGCCACCAAGGGAAGGTTGCGGACCTGTCAATGACATTGGACCTTTGACCTTCCATACCACGTGATTGTCTTTCGAACCACGTGATTATCTGTGCTTGAAAGACAATGGCAACTTGTATAATTCCCACTCAGTGCTGATTGCCCTTGATACAGTCCTATCGGACACGTTCATTGAGAGCTCGCAAAGAGACCATGCTACAGAACTGTGGAGAGCCTTCTCGACCCGAGAGCTGCTCGGGTCGAGAAGGCAAAATCTCTTGGCCATTCGCAAGAACGCGCGTGTGATGGCAGGAGACGTCGACCAGGAAGAGTTTAACTACGGCATTGACAGGCAGAGCTGAGAGAACTTGGAAGGAGACGAAGTTGTGATGGAGGCCATGACGAACACCAGGCTTCGGGCCGAAGATGGCCAAAGGTTGTTGCCATGGTGTTCTAAAAACAGCACGGTCCCTAACCGTATCTCACCGTATTGCGCAGTTACAGATGCGGCACATCACCTTGATAAACAAAAGTTCATATCGATTGGCGAATCGCATGGCGCAGCAAAGTGAGAGTCATACAAGAGAGAGCGCATCTCGAGCAAAAGATACATTTTCTGCCAAGGAGTATCCGATCTTACCGTCGGAAAGGATTGCTGAGTGATGCTGCGGTAAGAGGGACGCGTTCCAGGGTTGATGCATGTTATGGCAGTGCAAGGGAAGAGGGGAGGGGATGACTTCAGCTGCGTTTGCTTGCTGTAGCAACGGGCCTTGATCTAGTGCCGCTTTTCGCCAATCTCCTTTCAAAACCTAGAATATTTCCTATAAGTCTTTTTGTTCGACTCGTACCTTGTCTGTTATACACGACTCTGTGAGGTTCTTCCGGAGTGTCGCTGTCGCAAAGCGCAAACGCCTCGAGTAAACAAACTCCACATCAACCAGCCACGATTCATACAACTCTCGGGTTTCTGACAGGCGGATCTTTGAAGCACGCCTGAAACAGCACAAACAGCAAGAGGAAGGGGAGAAGAAAGTGTTTGCGCATATTGACCAAAGTCGCGCATACGGGATATTGCAGAGAGTGTCGCAGACATGTCGTACAACCGTCTTGGCCGTAAGTGCAATACCCAACCTCCCGAGAGGAAGATGCGGAGGGAAACAGAAAGAGCAGAGGTGGAAGAGTGAAGCCTGGGAGGGCCAGCATTCCTCAGACGCCTTTTGTGGACGCTCCGTGTTGGGCACGCGTTTCAAAGACCAAGAGCGAGTTTCGCTGACCAGGCCATCTTGTCGCAGCATACGGCCGCCATTCGCCTGACGAAGACGAACATTACGGCGCCCAGTCGCAAAACCCATTCATGGATCCTCGCGCCGGCAGATCACCGTCCCCCGGACATCCGCTAGAGTCGTATGCCTTGCACGACAATCCCTATACCCACGACGAACCGCTACACATGCCCATGGGTCCTGGTCCTCGTCCAGGCGCTTCGCCCATGCCTGGAACGCCCTCAGACAGACTCCATCCTCAGCCTACAGTGAGATTACCCTACATCTCATATGAGTACGACCTGCTGACCACTATCGCANNGTTCTCGGTAGAGCACGTTCCAGGAACTTACGGCCACAGCGACAGCTATGACTCGCAGCATCGTTACCAAACAAGTCCTGTCTACAATTCAGGCGATTATGCCCTCTCCCCTGAAGATCACCACGACGCATACCACAATGAGCCTTACCAACCTGCTATAACTCCTATGGAAGAGGTGTACGGTCCTCCCTCTGGCGATCAACATCCTCACTACTGGCAGGATGAGGTCGACACACACCCTATCTTGCAGCAAGATTCTGCCTACGGGCCTGATCCTCATCAAGTGCCCACTCCAATGGCAGAGGAAGAAATGGAAATGAACGCAGATCAACCACAACCAGGAGGTGGGATTCGTAGATGGAAGACGGTCAAGGAAGTCCAGCTCTTCAACGGCAACCTGGTTCTCGATTGTCCTATCCCTCCGAGACTTTTGAATCAGATCCAGCACGCTCAGCCTCCTGAGCGTGACGAGTTCNNTACCCACATGCGCTATTCGGCTGCCACTTGCGATCCTTCCGAATTCTATTCGGAGCGCTTTACCTTACGCCAGAAACTNTTTGCCAAACCCAGACACACCGAGCTGTTCATCGTCATCACCATGTACAATGAGGAAGATGAGCTCTTTGCTCGCACAATGATTGGTGTCATCAAGAACATTGAATACATGAATTCGCGAAACAGCAGCAAAACTTGGGGCAAGGAAGCTTGGAAGAAGATTGTCGTTTGCGTTGTCAGCGATGGTCGTGCGAAGATCAACCCTCGTACCAGAGCCGTTCTTGCAGGTCTGGGTGTTTACCAAGACGGTATCGCCAAGCAGCAGGTTAACGGCAAGGATGTCACTGCTCACATCTACGAGTACACCACACAGATGACACTCGAGCTCAAGAAAGGTGTGGTCTCTGTTAAGAAAGGAAACACGCCTGTTCAGATGCTGTTCTGTCTCAAGGAGAAGAACCAGAAGAAGATCAACTCTCACAGATGGTTCTTCCAGGCCTTTGGTGAGGTTCTTGACCCCAACATCTGTGTTCTGATCGACGCTGGTACCAAGCCAGGAAAGGACTCCATCTACAAGCTGTGGAAGGCTTTCGACCTCGAGCCCATGTGCGCCGGTGCTTGTGGTGAGATCAAGGCTATGCTGGACCATGGTAAAACTCTCATCAACCCGCTGGTCGCTGCGCAGAACTTTGAGTACAAGATGAGCAACATCCTTGACAAGCCTCTTGAGTCTGCCTTCGGTTTCATCAGTGTCCTTCCTGGTGCCTTCTCTGCTTACCGCTTCATGGCTCTTCAGAACGACAAGACTGGCCAGGGTCCTCTCGAGAAGTACTTTGCTGGTGAGAAGATGCACGGTGCTAATGCCGGTATCTTCACTGCCAACATGTACCTCGCCGAAGACCGTATTCTTTGTTTCGAACTGGTGTCAAAACGCAACTGCTCTTGGATCCTGCAATACGTCAAGTCCGCTACTGGCGAGACTGACGTTCCTACCGAGATGGCCGATTTCATTCTACAGAGAAGACGTTGGCTGAACGGCAGTTTCTTCGCCGCTGTCTATGCCCTCGCTCATTTCCATCAAATCTTCCGCAGCAACCACTCTGTTGGTCGCAACTTCATGTTTATGGTCGAGTTCTTCTACCAGGGCGTCAGCATGCTCTTCGCTTGGTTCGCTATCGTAAGTCCCTTGAAGTCAATCATAAGGTCGTCCACTAACATGTGATCTGCANNGGGCAACTTCTTCCTCGTCTTCCGCATTCTCACAGGTTCACTCTCCGATTCAAGTCTCAACTTCCCGCCCGGAAAAGTGTTAGGTGTACTCTTCGAATGGATCTACCTTGCTGTCTTGATCACTTGTTTCGTCCTTGCGCTCGGCAATCGCCCGCAAGGCTCAAATAAGTTCTACATGACCCAGGTCTACTTCTGGGCGATCCTCATGGCGTAAGTCTTCCATGTTGCCTCAAGACGCTTCGACTAACACTCGCCTTAGNNATATCTCATGTTTGCAACCGTCTTCATCACTGTCAAGTCTGTACAGGCACAACTCAAGGAGCACGATCACTTCACGTTTAGCATGCTGTTCACCAACTCGTTGTTCTTGACGCTCATCGTATCGATGGCCAGTACATACGTCCTGTACTTTGTCGCCTCCTTCATGTTCTTGGATCCTTGGCACATGTTCACGTCCTTCTTACAATACCTTCTCCTCACGCCAACTTACATCAACATTCTCAACGTCTACGCCTTCTGCAACACTCACGACATCACTTGGGGTACCAAAGGAGATGACAAACCAGAAAAGCTGCCCTCTGCTGTCACCAAGCCTGGTGGCAAAGTCGACGTTACCATTCCCAGCGATGACCACGATCTCAACAGTCAATACGAAGAAGAACTTCGCGTGTTCTCCACGAAGTGGACGCCTCCTGTCAAGGTTGCTTCGGCGGCTGAGAAGCATGAAGACTATTACAAAGGATTCAGAAGTGCCGTCGTTCTCGCTTGGATGTTCTGCAACTTGGCTCTCGCTGCAGTCGTCCTCAACACAGGAGGCCTGAACCGTGTCTCAGTCGGTGTTCAAGATGACAACCAGCGCAGCACAATCTACATGAGTGTCGTGCTCTGGAGTGTTGCGGTTCTCAGTGCTTTCAGATTCATTGGTGCTTGTTGGTTCTTGGTGGTTAGACTTATCAGGGGTGTTTAGATGCTATTCATGACCTCTCTCACGGACTAATGATTTGGGCTTGGTATCATGGTTATGCTTGATGATGTACTGTAGCGAGGCGTTCTTTCGGTGTACTTGAATCTCATTGACTTCTGAGCCTGTCCTTTCCTTGTACCAATTTTGTTCGTATCATGTACATGTAGTGCTCGACACTCTTGGAGCCTCCAACATCTGTAGAGCAGTAAGAGACAATGCTGAAGGTGCTCGGGCTTTGCGAGTGTGAACAAACGCATGTTTGTATTGACGTAGCTAGCAAGCAAGAAGAAGAGCTCCTTCTACATCAAGCAGGAACGAGAAAGTCTTTCCAACTTATTACCTTTTTTTCTGTACTCTCCTTCATCAGCTTCAGCTTCAGCTTCAGCTTCGAGCCTTCCATTTCTGCTTACTACACGGACTGACGCCTTCCATATCTGACCGTGTGGTTCCGTCTCACTGTCGTTCGAGTGAAAAGCCTTCCTTCCCTCCTCGTCCTTCCACTTTCCACTATTTAAACACTCTCCTCTTCCAACACAACCTTCCCACTTTCCAACCACAACAACAAAGCACTTCAACCTCTCGACGTGCGCCTTTTCTTCTCCATCTTCTTGTTCCACAACCAATCAACAACACTCATCACTCATCTCAATCAGCATCCACCATGACTAACTGGGACAACGCTGCTCGTAAGTAAACAAACACCTCGCGCTTTGTTTTATGCGCACTTCGCAGTGTGCCTCCTGGCTTACCTCCATCACCTCCATCCGCCTCACCTTGCTTTCACATCACACTCCTCTTCTTCAACACCTTGCATCTCACTCACCTTCTCTGCCGACTTACATCTCATCCACACTCCATCACTCCTCTCTTGCACCTCCACTCCATCGTCAACTTCCTTAACTCACCATCACGTCCTACTTCCATCGACTCCACCTCTTCGACTCCATCTTCGCACTCATCCACATCAATTTATCCAACGCACACCACTAACACCATGTCAGCTTCCGGTTGGGATGAACCTGCCGCCGTCGACACCGCAGGATGGGTCGATAGCACCGCTGCTGCTGCTACCGACGCTGAATACTCGGGCATTGATCCTGAGATGATCTCGAAGCACGATGGAGGTGATGATACCTGCCGCAAGTAAGTAATTTGCGCCAGTCCACCTTCCAGACTCTGCTGACGACTTTTCAGCTGCGGCCAATCCGGACACTTCTCTCGCGAGTGTCCCGTACCTCGTCAAATGACTGGCGAGTGCTTCAACTGTGGTGAAGTCGGACACAACAAGGCCGAGTGTCCCAACCCCAAGGTCGAACGTGCCTTTACTGGCACCTGCCGTACCTGCGGTCTCGAAGGTCACCGCTCCTCAGAGTGTGCTGAGGCTACTTGCAAGCGCTGCTCTGGCACTGGTCACACCGCTGCCGCCTGTACCGAGAAGTACAAGGTCTACCCCGATGGCCTTCCTGCCGCCGAAAACGCCGACAAGGCATGGGACAACCTCATGGCTGCCGATACCGATGGTGATGTCGACGACTTCGTCCAGGCCTTCTGGGTCTACTGCAAGCTCGCCCCTGAGCTTACTCTGGTCCAGCTCGAGGAGTGCTTCCGTGAGACTGGCTTCAAGTTCTACCTCATCGCTAAGGAGCAGACCGTCCCGTCCCTGGTTCACACCAACGTTGACCTGCAGGGCAATGACGGCAAGAAGTATCGGGTTTCTTTCCAGAAGACATTCAAGCCTCGCCGTGCCATCCTGGCTGAAGGTTGGCCCAAGACTCCTGAGGAAAACCTCCAGCGCCTTCAGGATGCTGGCTTCTCGCTTGATAACCTCAAGCCTTACTGCACCAACTGTGAGAAGTCAGGCCACTCCACCAAGGCCTGCCCCGAGGAGAAGCAGGTCGTTGAGAAGCCCAAGGTTACTTGCTCGAACTGCAACGAGGATGGTCATTACATTCGTGACTGCCCCAACCCCCGTGCCGTCCGTGGTGGCGGTGACGTTGAGTGCAAGTTCTGTGGTGAATCCGGTCACTTCGTGAAGGATTGCCCTACTAAGGTAAGCCATGGTTCATGTCATTGTCTGATCACTGCTGACCAGTCATAGCCTGCCGAGAAGTGCAGAAACTGTCAACAGGAGGGCCACAGAGCCTCCGACTGCACCAACGAACGTGTCATGGTCTGCCGCAACTGCAACACCCCTGGTCACGCTGCTCGTGACTGCCCTGAGGAGACCAACATGGTATGCTTTTTCTCACCGCAGATCTCGAGACCAATACTGACAACTAACAGGACAACGTCACCTGCCGCAACTGCGACAACAAGGGTCACTTCTCCAAGGAGTGCCCTGAACCCAAGAACTGGAGCAAGGTTCAGTGCCGCTTGTGCAGCGAGTTCGGCCACGGCGCCGGTCGTTGCCCTACCCCCGATGGTGGTGCTGGTGCTGATGCTTCGACTGCTGGCGAGGACTACACTACTGGTGCTGGTCCTGCTGTCGCCGCCGAAGGCGACTGGATGAACGATGCTCCTGCCGCTGGCGCTGCTGCCGGTGCTGATGAGTGGAACTCCGCTCCTGCTGAGGTTAGTGCTTGGTAAATGACCAAAAGTACTCAGGCAAATTGATATTGCCTGACCTCTTCCGACATCGACCGTTGGTTCAATGAGGAGGGCTCCTTATGTACACTACCGTTTAGAGAAGAACGCTCCAGATGGTTAATAGCCTCCGTTATCAAACCAATGCTCATCAGTGTTTATATTTGCAGCCTTTCGTGATTGCCACAGCTCCTAAATTGATATCAGCTAACGAGCTCAATAGTACGCACCAAGCTCAATCTTCTAGAACATGTTAACGATACGATTGCTCAAGCACTCCGCCTCGAACACTGATCGTCTCTGCTGATCAAGAACGCCTCGCACGTGTCTGCCCCAGATCGACAACGACAACAAGCAAGACGGGGATATTGCTTTTGAGTATTCCTTCCACCATTCGCCAGGACCGGATGTCGTTGTAAGAGCTGCCGGCATGCTCGATTCGTGTTATACCACTTCCGTGAGTCTCCCAAAAACCCAGTGTTTCAAGAGTTTCCGCTAATCATATGATTGGGTGAGCTCGATTGAAAGTATCCTCGTAGTATGGACGCTCAAAAACCGCAAAATTTGACTTCTCAGAGTCCGGTTGACTCCATTCGGAAATCCGCACATGGTCTTGTTCTCAGAGGTAGGTGGTTTGGATATCTCGACTGCTCGCGGTGCAGGTACTCACGAACTCCAAAATTCAAACGACGTTCAAAAGCTCTTTGCAGACATGCGACGCTTTCTCATGTCGCTACGCAGTTCTTTGCGATGCCGGTAAAGGCTCCGCTACGAAAACAAACCCATGACGAGAAGACGTTCGTCCTGCGCCGGCAAAATGCACCGGCAGAAGAGTGAGTCAGAGTAATGCGGAGCGCCCACACTCTACCAACGCCACTTATTCAGACCGAGTATCTGACCGTGTGTGACCGCGGTATGGCCGGCCATCGGCAGCGGCCGCTCACAATGTAACCCTCGCCTGACTGGCGGAAGTTGCAGAAAACGCGGAGCGGTGGAGGCATCACGAAGAAGGACCGGGGTGATTGTCGAATGCCCCTTGGGGACGACCCACTCGGGGATACCCTCCTGCGATTGTGGAGTTGGCCATCAGAACATGAGACAGGAATCGCGAGGCATGGTTGCATCGAAGGCCACCCACGTCAGCGTGGTCGTGAAATTAGAGTCACCGTCCCTTACGCTAGTTTCAATCTTCAACGCCTCCAACGACGATATCGATGAGCAATAACAAGAACTCCTAAGACGAAGACAAGCACTGAGAATCAGCCCGCTGCGAAGACTGCGGAGAAGGATGCAGGCTCAGCGTAGGTGCATGGTCTTGCAGCTTGACAACCCTTTCTCCGCAGCACAAAAGTAGACGTCCCAGAGCAGAACTTAGAAAGGGAACCTCTAACGCTCAGGGCAAAGAAGTGTGCGTGGAGAGAACAAGCCACCCCGTTCATCGGGATGATCTTTCGGCGCCGGACCTACCACATTGGGCAATCCCGCGGGTCCTTAGTGCTTGCCACAACCTGGAGATGTTGGAGTGGTCGGGGAGACACTTTTATGGCCGGCAGCGTACGTCACTTAGTCCCTGCAAGGACCATTTTGTAACCCACTCATGGACGTTTGTATGGAGGCACGGATAACATTATGCAGTAGAGTTCGTATCTCGTGGGAAAGAGCGGAGAAAAATGGAGCAGCCAAGTCGGATTGTGCTCAAACCTTCGATGTTACAGTGGGAGTACCGATGTATTGATCGGAAGACATATATTTCGACTGACCGCACTCTTGTCTTGTAGATCTCACTGTTTGGTTTCTCTTTTTCCTCCTCCTCTCGAACATCCAGCATGTTCGGCGGCAAGAAGTACTATGGCCTTACGGGCACTAATCTGAATATCGCAGTCGGTATCATTGCCGGTCTCGATTTCCTACTATTTGGTTATGACCAAGGCAAGCATTATTCTTACATACAATTGACTCGATCAATCATGCTGACCGACTATCANGGTGTTATGGGTGGTCTGCTCACTCTCAAGTCTTTCAACCGCACCTTCCCCGAAATCAATGTCGACTACCCTCCGCGTGGCCAGTCTAGCGCATACACCTCGACCATCCAAGGCATTTCAGTAGCCTCCTACAACCTGGGATGCTTTGTTGGTGCACTGGCTACGATCTGGATTGGCGACTGGCTTGGACGTCGCAAGACAATCTTCCTGGGATCCGCCATCATGGTCATTGGTGCCACGCTACAAACATCTGCTTTTGCTCTTGCACACTTGATCGTTGGAAGAGTTATCACAGGAATTGGTAATGGCATGAATACATCTACTGTGCCGGCATGGCAGAGCGAATGTTCGAAATCGCATCGTCGTGGTCAAATGGTGATGATCGAGGGCGCCCTTATCACTGGAGGTAAGAAGCACATATATCCTGGAACCAAACATCTTTACTGATATACTACTNNAGGTGTCATGATGTCCTACTGGATTGATTTCGGCTTTTCCTACCTCGAGCCGTCAACAGTGTCCTGGCGCTTCCCTATCGCTCTCCAAATCTTGTTCGCCCTTATTATCCTCATGTTTATCTTGGGTTTACCTGAATCACCACGTTGGCTCATCATGAAAGGACACGAGTCCGAGGCCATGGAAGTGCTCTGCGCCCTGAATGACAAGTCCGAAGAAGATCCCTACATTGTTTCCGAGTTTGCCGCCATTAAGGACTCCGCTTTGGTCATGCAACAAGGCGGTTTCAGGGATCTTTTCACTATGGACGAGGACCGAAACTTCCACCGTGTCGTTCTGGCTTACGTCAATCAGATGTTCCAACAGATCTCTGGTATCAACCTTATCACCTACTACGCCGCCAACATCTACAGAAACAGCATTGGACTTTCTGACTTCCTCGCACGTATCTTGGCAGCTGCCAACGGAACCGAGTACTTCGCTGCTTCCTGGATCGCTGTCTTCACAATCGAGAAATTTGGACGTCGCCAACTCATGATCTTCGGTGCTGCAGGCCAGGCCGCATCCATGGCCATCCTCGCCGGCACCACTTCGCACACATCATCCGCTACTGGTATCACTGCTGCTGTCTTCCTATTCGTCTTTAACACCTTCTTTGCCATCGGTTGGCTGGGCATGACTTGGCTGTATCCTGGTAAGCCACTCTGCACTCCTATCGCTAATACAACACTGACACGCCCAACAGCGGAAATTGTCCCTCTTCGCATTAGAGCCCCTGCTAATGCTTTATCAACCNNCTCGGCTAACTGGATTTTCAANCTTGTAAGTTTCACTCTGATCGTGCTGATATGCATTTGAGCTAATTTGCTTTCCAGCATGGTCGTCATGATTACCCCTGTCGCATTCGATACCATTGGATACCAGACTTACATCATTTTTGCTGTCATCAATGCATTCATCGTCCCTTGCGTCTATTTCTTCTATCCCGGTAAGCATTTGTCTTGACCCGATAGCCTCTGATCATGTACTTATCAGTCACCTCTAGAAACCCGACTTCGCTCCCTCGAAGAGATGGACGAAATCTTCCGCAACTCAACCTCCGTCTTCAATGTTGTCAAGGTTGCCCGCGATACACCCAACCGCTACGGCAAGTCAGGTGAACTTCTCATCAACTACCTCGATACCGAAGCCGCAGCTGGCGCCGACAGACGTCGCAGCTCGCTGGTCGAGCCCAAGTACGGCAAGACCGGTGGCAAGGCCGATGGTGAGCAGGTCGAGAGATTGGAGACTGGTTACGGATCCAGCTCGGCAGGTTCGCAGAACGAGAAGGTATAGACGGACTGGACTCAGGGTTGTCCAAAAGTCCTTTTACGACTGTTTTGTTTCGATCTATCATGGGAAGGTCCTTGATGGACTTCTCTTATTTTCGTGTTTCTAGATACCACTTTTTATTCTCTTGTCGGCTCACGAGCTAGACTTCCCAATAAAGGGACAATCGCACTTTTCTTTTCTAGATCATCGTTGCACTTGCCTGCATTTGTGCTGAATTCGAGAACAGAACAATACATTATCACGAGACTTGATCAGATACCGATGGAGAAGGATGCACGTCAGAACTTGTTCCTGACAACAGGCTGTACTACAACTTGATATCGTCGTATATAATCTCAATAGTTGTTCTTGCAGTGAACTCTGAATGAATACCACCTATAGTACTTTTAGACACGCTACAGCTTATAGTAACTGTTCGAGAGGCACTTACTGGGCATCTCCGGAAGTCAAACCTGCCTGACCACGGTTGCACTGTGTGGTTGTCGAGCTGTACGATGGAGAGCAATCAGTCGATCCGTAGGCAGTAAAGCTGTTGCAGTTGTCTCCATTCGTGATGCCGTAGAGGTGCTTAATGCCGCGACGGCTGCCAGAGCATACGTTGTCCAGGCATCCATTGACGCTGCCGACGTTCAATGGCGTCTCTGTGCTTCCGTCTTCGCATACAGCTGCAAAAGCTGCGTTGCAAGGTAAAGCGAGCACCGAGGTTGTAGAAATGGCCAGGGCGCCAAGAACGATGGTTATGAAGCTGCAATGCATGTTTGAGAGCCGAGTCGGTTAATGGATGAACTGTTTCAGGAAATTGGATTGAGGAGATGAGCATGGTAGTGGGTGAGAAGCCATAATTTTATATCTGGACATTCATAGAAGACAGTCTCATCATCAAAACCAGTTCATGCCTATTTTGTGGCTGATCATCTGGACGCGTTGTCAAACTGCTCGATGAGGAAGGACAATGGCTGGTATAGTAGCCGGAAATAAGTTGGCTTCAATAGCACTTGCGAGACGAAGGATTGTGCATGTGGCTTGACAGCAAAATGGCATTCTTTGGCTTTTGGATACCGTATGATCCTGTAGATCTTGTCAGATCAACCCCACAACATTTCCGGGGAGCTGTTCTTCTCTCGATAGACAGATCACGAGTAAACAGAATCGCAACACCTAGCAGTGGATGCAAGGTGCGGAGAACAACTTCTGGACTCCACAAAACCAAATTCCAAAGTATAATCTCACCTTCGAGATGTCACATGCTGCGGTGATATAAATCTGGTTCCCTTTGCTCTTTGCAATCAAGCAGACCAGACTCTGTGGCCGCATGGAACATGATGATATCTGTTTAAGAGACGCTGTTTCACGGGCTCCATCTCTATCGTCGCAACATTTGTGCATTGCTATGGTCCATCCAACGCTGATCACGAAAGGGAGAGCATGACCACAGAAAAAAAGTAGACAAGCACTTCAGACAAGCGACTAGGATGAGATGATCTTGAAACGCATCACAGTGTTGAAACTCGGATGGAAGTTTGAGGAAGAAGGTGGAGGAAACAGCTGAGATTTGCCAAGGCCGGCGTGTGTGAATGATGAATGCCGGAAACCATCTTTGCGTCACCGAACTGCTGCTTTTTGTCAACCTCGCTTTTGCCTGTCGCTGTTGTTTTTCTTCAGCCTGTAATAATCCTAGCAAGCGCATAGCCACATACACACTCACACTATGGCCTCGACAATTCCCGCCGCCCAGGCCGCCTCGCAGCCCAGCTTCGTCAAGCTCGAACCGTCGTCATCAGTCTGGGATCGCATCACAAGTTGGGCCTCGGAGCACAAGGCTGCTGTTTACACCATTGCTGGTGTTACCCTCGTTGCTACCGGTGCTGGAATCTACTACTACACATCCGAGTCTGCTCCCACGCCGCAAGATCTTGAGGCTGCCGCNCGAGAAGAAGAAGGCCCGCAAGGAGAACAAGAAGGCCAAGAAGAATGCACAGAGAGAGCAAAAGTCTCCCTCGCCCGAGACCAAGCCCCAGGGTGTGTACCGCTGAATCCAACCTTCTCATTCACTTGTCGCTGACCCTCCCGACCAGAGAAGCCACAAGCGGCAACAGTACAGAGCGAAGATGAGTTGCCCGAAGTGACAGAATCCACCGTCGCAAGTCTCTCAGACGAAACCAAGAAGGACTACGCTGCCAAGCTCAAGGCTGCTGGAAACAAGGCCTATGGATCCAAGGACTACAACCGCGCGATCGAGCTCTACGGTCAAGCCCTGCTGTGCAAGGCTGACCCCGTCTTCTACNNCTCGAACCGTGCTGCATGCTGGAATGCCATGTCCAACTGGGAGCGCGTCATTGAGGACACAACAGCCGCTGTCAACCTCGACCCCGAATACGTCAAGGCCCTTAACCGCCGCGCACACGCCTACGAGCAAACGGACAAGTACAGCGAGGCTCTCCTGGATTACACTGCCAGCTGCATCATCGACGCTTTCCGTAACACACAAGCCGCTGAGGCAGTCGAGCGTTTGCTCAAGAAGGTGGCCGAGCAGAAGGCCAAGGCCATCTTGGAGAAGAAGCAGCGCCGTCTGCCTAGCGCTACCTTTATCACCAACTACCTGCAAAGCTTCCGTGACAGACAACTCTCGGACACCGTCTCCGAGAGCGCCGACCTGGCCGAGAACAGCGGAAAGTGGTGGTTGCGCAAGGGCCTGTTGGCTATGGACAAGAAGACGGGCGAGGGCTACAACGAGGCTGCTGAGGCTTTCGAGAAGGCCATCGAGGCCGGCGACCTTGGCGAGAACGAGGCTCTCGCATACAACATGCGCGGTACCTTCAAGTACCTGCGCGGCGAGGCCGACGCCATTGATGACTTGAACAAGAGTATCGAGCTGGACGCTACATTGACCCAGAGCTACGTCAAGCGCGCTAGCATGCACCTTGAAGCCGGCCGCCGCGACGAGGCCGCAAAGGACTTTGAAGACGCAATCGCTCAGAACGACAAGGACCCCGACGTTTTCTACCACCGCGCACAGCTCAACTTCATCCTCGGCGACTTCCCAGAGGCAGCTAAGGACTACCAGAAGTCAATTGATCTTGACCCTGGATTTATCTTCTCTCACATTCAGCTTGGTGTTACACAATACAAGATGGGCAGCGTTGCATCATCGATGGCCACTTTCCGCCGCTGCATGAAGAACTTTGAGAAGGTGCCCGACGTCTACAACTACTACGGTGAGCTGTTGCTCGACCAGCAAAAGTTCCAGGAGGCCATTGAGAAGTTCGAGACTGCTGTTCAGATGGAGCAGAAGGAGCGCGTCACTGGCATGAACGTTCTTCCCCTGATCAACAAGGCTTTGGCTCTTTTCCAATGGAAGCAAGACTTCTCGGCTGCTCAGGAGCTGTGCGAGAAGGCTTTGATCAGTAAGTTTTACCATTTTCCATTCAGCTTATGACATGAGGTGCTAATACATTTTCACNNAGTTGACCCCGAGTGTGATATTGCCGTTGCCACCATGGCACAGCTCCTCCTCCAGCAAGGCAAGGTTCCTGAAGCTCTCGAGTACTTCGAGAAGGCCGCCGAGCTCTCGCGCACCGAGGCTGAGATTGTCAACGCTCTTTCATACGCCGAGGCCACCCGCACACAGCTCGAAGTCCAGGAGAAGTACCCCCAGCTTGCCAGCAGATTGCAGGGTATGCCTGCTTCAGCCGCCATGCGATAAACGATTACTGGAGAACAAGGGAGCAAAGAAGATCGTCTCGAAGAAGGTTGATCGAGGATGAACACGCACATGAACGACGAAGGAAATTCGAACACTCTCCAGAAATTGGTGCTGAGAGTTTTCGAGCTGTAATTTGTTCAGCAAAGGAGGGAGCGATACGCAAAAGGTGTTACTATTAGTTTGGTGTTACACTTTTCCGGATACTCTTCTCTTCCTCACCATTATGTACATTATATTTCATTACCTCTGTCCTAATGTTGCCACCCTCAGTTCATGATGTTTGTTGTTCTGCCAGCTAAGACGCATGGTTCTTCCTACGTTTGTTGGCCGATATTCAGATATCTTGAAGAAAAAAAAGAAAAAAGGAATAAATGCCCGCTGTAGTACCCACCCTGTCTCAAACGTTCATCTGGCTGCTCTGCATGCAAGATCATGTGCGTTCTCGTCGTTGGACACAGCAGTACTTGCTGTACACTTGCGACTATCTCGCTATTATGTTGTGGCTGGGTTAAAGACTCTGAACGGCGGTGGTTGGCCTCTAATCGTGTTTGAGCTTTTTGTACGAGAGTCGGTAGATATATCACCACATATCTCGACAAGTCTACAGACGTGGAAACACCTTCCACGATCCTCGGCGAAAAACACAAGATAAAGCAGAACCAAATCAGCCATAGTATATGCGTCTCTATCGGAAAAGTATGGAATGTCGCAATATCTCATGTACTTTGTACTCGTAGGAACCGGCTGTTCTCTGTTCACGCAGCCGGGGCTGTGGTGCGCCAGCCAGCGCGAAAGCAAAACATGCGGCCAATTCTTGACGTCTTGGTGCCCAGAGGCCCCAGACCGTTTGGTTTCATGCTTGACGTATTGTTATTTCCGCACCAGTGCTAGAGTTCATGTTTAAAGGTGAGTTGCTCGATTATCGACGTAGTTGGTGACTGTCGACGTAATCTCTCGGACGAGAAAACAACCGAATAAGCGCCTCATTGTGTTGGATGGGCTTAGATTGCGGTGATTGCGAGACCGGCAAAGTCGGCGAGCGCGAGCGCGCCCAGGGCCGTCCGTACAAGGGAACCAAGAAGCGCGGGGGCATTCTTTCTCAACGCCCACAACCTCTCTCAAAACCCTTGCCAGTTCCGTGACCTGAAACTCCAGTGTCCCTCGACTCCTCTCTCATCATCCACTCGAGTTGCTCGATTTTCTTCCGCCTTCTGCCGGGTCATGGCCTTCGATTCTTGTTGATACCCCAGCTCCCTCTTTCCTAAAACCTCTGGACATCCCACAAATTCGCCCCGCCTTAACTTCCACACTACAAACCATAATGTCTCTTTGAAAATTAGCCTGAACCGCCGTCTCGCACCAAAATTTCATTTACGACCATCTTCATCCCAGACGTCCTGGATAACCACCGCTTGACATCAGTTCGACATGTTGGATGAAATCCCGATTGAAGATCAGTATGTCTTCACTTCATTGCGCTATGATGGCTCGATGAAGCGCAATGCTCAGAACCCTGTGTGTTGTCCGGACTCCAAGGCTGCATATCTCATCAAATATCACTATGAGCGCCTCGTTACTGCAGCCGATCATTTGGGCTGGTATGACACCAATAAGAGGCTGAAAGGCCCCGTCGATCTGTTCAATCGCATCCAGACCGCTGTGACCGAACACAAGAAGAAGACCGGCAACAAATGTCCATTCAAGGTACGTGTTTCATTTGCTTCCTTCTTCCTGCTATTTTCCAATCATTCCCGCATCATGTGTCATGGTTCTCTTTTTGCAAACAAAGACGCGCATGCGCCACAGGCACGCGACAGTCTCAAAGAGATCGTCACAATAAACAAAAATTTCGCAATTGTACAATGAAGCACCAAGGCTGACAATGTCTCACAGGTTCGAGTATGCTTGCGTCACAGCGGGAAAATGGAAATTGGAGTTGAACCAATCATGGCCAAGAAGCAACCACTTCTCTTCCCGACCACCTTGGATCTAGGCAAGTCAAATCAGGAGGCGGCCTCTCCAACACCTATCTTCAAGGCCGTGCTGGATGTTCTACCAACTCGGACTACGACTTTCACCCGTGACAAAACTCATTACCGGACAATGTACAATTATGCCAGGCAATGCGCTTCGATCCAATCATATCAGGACGCCAAGGAGGTCATCTTGTTCAACCGCGACAACCAAGTCATGGACGGCTCTATCACGACCCCTTACTTTTACCGCGACGGCAAATGGGTGACTCCGCATACAGAATGTGGAGGCCAGCAAGGAACCACTCGTCGCTGGGCCATTGATCAAGGCATCTGTCATGCTGGTATTATCGACATTGCTTCTGTCAAACATGGCGAAATCATCTGGCTTAGCAACGGTGTCAAGGGATTCTTCACTGCTCGATTTGTCGCCTGCAACGATCGCCTTGCTCGCACTCCCAGCTACGAATCTCGAATTTCTCAAGTGTCCCGCAGCGATAGCGGGATCGAGGAGAAGCACACTATCTCTGCTCATCACCAGGACGAAGTCGCCGAAGACGACATTGAACCAAGCCGTCAAAAATACGCCCCTGAACCCGGTGCCGACGACTTTAGAAACTCTGCTTTCAATCTCGACGTCTTTGAGCGTGCGTTGAAGCTGTAAAGTTTTCCTTTTACCCTTCTTACTTTTGATTCTTTTACTTGATATCCCCATGGCTGAAGAGGCCTGTTTACTCATTACACCTTTTTACATTTTGGGTTTGCTGAAGGTTCGGATGGCTTGGCTTGTGTTGGAAGGACGGCATCCTCTGAACTCGCAGACCGGTGTTTTTATTCGATATGGAGGCCAAAGCATACGGCAGGCGCGAAAAGTCCACACTTTTACTACTAGAGCTGCTACGAGGAAATGGAATCGTAGCTAGGAGAAACAGAACGAGTTTCCTCCTTTTTGTTTTCTTTTGTCCTTGTTGCCAAAGAAGCGTTTTATAGATATACCCTTTTTTCTCTTTTACTCTGCTACAACTTTGATTGTTTCTTCTTCTTGATTTGAAAGCCTTGTTGACTATCCGCTTCGCTCCGGGTGAACCGTTTTTCTCTGACGTTGTTGAGAGGTGATGGCATAACGCGCGTGCTCTGGCACGTCTTTGCATCGCGATGAGTGCCGCTTGCCGCATTAACCGTTTAATGCCGGCTGATGTGCAGGAGTGATGTGCTGCAGAGTGCAGGCTGCAGGTCGCAACATCACATGCACCACACCCACCATACTGCAATGCAAGGCCATTCTAGCGTCTGAACGTGAATAGGGTCTAACTCCGACTTCGCAGAACCACAAGACCAGCTTGTCTGTAGACTGAAAGGATTTGAGAATGATTCAAACGGAGAATGTAGAGGATGTGGAAATATTGTGACATATATTTGGTGAAGAAGAAGAACAAAGGTAATGTACAATAAAATTCGTCATGCTATATTTACAGATATCCGATCATCGATTTTACACGATCCTTCCAGCAACACTGTCATCCCTCGGCATATCCTTAGGGACATCTTCAAGGTTGTCAGGTTTTCTGAAGAAAGCCTCTAGTAACACAGCAACACTGGATCCAACATTCAGACTGTCGACACCGACATCAAGCGTAGGGAGAGCAGGTTTGGCACCTCTAACGCCTACATTGGCATCAGCCTTTGTAGCAAGATTGGCACGAAGACCTTCTCCTTCAGCACCGATCATCAGAATACTCGGACTCCTTGATAGCGGCGAGATCATGTTTGAAGTGACCAGATTGCCCTTTGCAGATTTTGCAGAGGCGGCGTTAGGGGCTACGGCTGCGTGGACAGCCCAACCGTATTTCTTGCAGGTGGTAATGAAGTTTGCGGGTGTGGAGATGGAGAGGAGGGTTAATGCTTCTGCGGCTCCCGAAGCTGCTTTTTGGACGACAGGGAGGTTTACAGGGGCGCAGGTGTTTGTGCAGATGGCGACTGCATCGACTCCATAGAAGTGTGCTGTGCGCAAGATGTTGCCGAGATTTCCTGGATCCAGGATGCCGTCGAGGAGGAGNNGGACGAGAGGTCTGCGCCATGTGTGGGCGTAGTGGAAGGGGATGTCTGAAGGGGTGCCGTTTACTTTTGCTTCTTCGGCGCTTTGGTCGGCTAGTTCGATGGGGATGGCCACGTCTGCTACACCAAGCTTGCCTAGTGATTTTGTGGGTAGGGTCGGTAGGGGTGAGGCTTCGAGAATCAGTCCGTTGTGAGGACGGCCCTGGGCCATCTTGTCCATCTTGGGAAGGAATGAGTCGTCGACCTCTGTGAATTTTACACGAGCCTTTCTGCAAAGGTCTTTGATCTGAGGGGAGGCTTTGGCAAGCGCACGATTGTGGATGTAGACGTTATACATCTGGCGGCGTTTGGCAGTGAGAGCTGCCATGACAACGTTGAAGCCGTATATAAACTCTGAAGCAGCTGTCGTATAGGGGATCGAAACATAGGCGTCTCTGTCGTCGCGGGATGATTGTAGTGACGAGCGGCTGTCTCTGTCTCTTCTATCCCTAGGCTCTTGGATCTCCTTGTACTTGTTCTTTCTGTCGTTGTTCTTTTCTCTGTTGTTGTTGACGAGTGAAAACAGTTGGTCGTCGTCGAGTCGACTTTCTTCTTCCAGCTTTCTTCTTTCTTTTGCTTCCTCGAACGAGTCCTTCTGCGTTTCTTCATCTCTTTCCTTGGTTTGCCTTGCCGATCTCGAAATGTCAAGAGCAGCTACGAGATCTACAAAACGCAATTCTTGACCGCTGATAACGGCAGCTGCATTCTTGTTGACAAGCTCTTGGAGAACAACACTACGCATGTCCTTATTTAGCACGGACATGGCTTGGAGCTCTTGGGCTTGATTGACACCTTGTGTAGAAGCAAAAGCTGCTTTGCTAGCACTCAAGGGATCACGTTCCACCAACCAAGGTCTACCAGGAATATAGATGTTGTTTGACCTTGCATTCTTTATAGCATCGCAAACATGTTGTATTACACGCAGCCACTCGTTCCTTTGGCGAGACAGAATGGGCTCAATACCAGCAAGGTCTTGCTTGAAAGTCTGCTTGAGCTGTCGTTTCACTTTGAGCACAACGCTAGGCTCGGTCTTATCGAATTGGGGCAAGGTAGAAGGGCGGGTTGGGATAGCTCTGACATATTTGTCCTCGGCTAGCTGGACGGCATCCATCAGACGGTCCCAGTTTTCTCGAGTGAAGTGGTGCTTTTCGGTGAAGGGAAGGTTCAGAATATCATATCTTGGATTCTCATCGAACGCATTGCCTTCGGGGCGCTGATTGGTTCTGCGAATGGTGAAGGCTGCATTCCTGTCCCGGTTATGATCTGGGCTTCTCGATGGGCGCCTGTCCTGGTGATTCTCATGGTGGGCGGATCCATTGCGGCCCTCCCATGGCAACTTGGGTCCACGTTGGTCCTTTTCTCTGTTCAGATCATCGAGACCTTTGCGGCGATCTCTCCGGATGGACTGATCGAGGGTGCGGTTGATGGCCGAGAGGGTGGATTTACGACGGCATTGCAGATAGAGTCTGGGAGTACGCGCTTGTGCAGAGGCGGCGGCGAGCATTCCAGTCGAGAAGAATTGGTGGCGGTATTGAGTGTTGCAAGAAATAATTAAGGTGGAGAAAATAAAATGCCCCAGAAAGCATCATGGTCCAGGGTCCAAGCTCGGTGGCAGTCGCGTCCGTCTCGGTGTCTGTCGCGTCTTCCACTCTCGGTCGCTCTTGCCCAAACTTGTTGCGAATTTCTTCTTTGTGATTAATTTGTCCCAGGTCTGGTCACCAGCGCGTCTGCTCTTTCCTCACAAGCAGCGCAAATCCCGCACATATTCAGCCCTCTTTCCCGCACTCTCTGACTCAACACGCGCCCTGTTCCATCTGTGACGTGCATGCGAATGTTCATATACCCTAATCAACCATGTCCGACTCCGAAGACGAACTGAACGTCGACCTCTCCCAATGGAAGCCTCGCACCATCAACACGGCCCCTCAGCCATCTGCTTCCGCTCCGCCTCCTAGGACCTTTGCCTCGATTAACACTCCGGCCACTGTCACTGATACTGCCAACCATTTCGAAGACGACGATTTTGATATCGACGCCATCGTTGAAGGAATCGCCGACGACCATGAGGATGCCCTCCAACCAGGAGTCTCCACTCCACCACCTATCACATCCAGAAGGCCTAGACAGACTGTCCAAGTTGTAATCACACAAGACCCCAGCTTCAATCGGGACGACTACATTGACTGTACATATGGCGCCAACATCGTCCGCCGTGTTTTGAAAGAGATTGCAAAGAATGAAGATGTATACTACAACGTCGAATTCGTCCATAGACATACGGAGCAGGTAAGCACTTTCACTGCTGCCCCATTGACACTACCCATCGCTGCCTACGGAGCTGCCTTCCCCTTCACACCACTACACCTCTGCTACAAGCCTCACATACCACTCATACAATCACCTCTCTTCCCCTGTTCACTCTCATCGACCTATATATCGGTTACGGAGCTTGCCCTTTGCCTCAACACTTCCATCTCTAGCCTTTTCATAACCTCTTCATCTACTACCACAACCAACTCTCACAACCCTTCAACATCGTCAACATGCCTCCCCGTCGTCTCAAGCTAATCCTTCCTGCTCGAAAGGTCTCCTTCGACGATCTATTACAATATGAGAACGGCCAGGAAGCTCTACAAGAATACACAGAAAACGTCCAAGATGCCGACGATTATGCTGAGGAAGAGAGTGAAGCCGAACAGGTTCAGTGTCCCAAACCAAGCAAATCTGGTTACGTCGATACTGTTGAGTACCTTGACGAGNNGGAAGAATATCCTTCCCGCTCGAGAAAATCGCGGAAAGCAAGAAAATACGACAGCGACTCTGAAAACGATGGCCCAGCTCCTCGTCGCTCAGGAAGGGCTGTTCCATCGAACACTAACTCTAGAAGAACTTCAAGACGGCTCAAATCCATATCTCAAGCAGACTCGGAAGACGAAGATGATGATGGTGGCTTCATTCTTCAATCCGATGTTCTTCCCAGCAGAAAACGCAAGCGTTCTTTGAGGTCGCAAAGCAACCCGATCAACTACGCTGATGGAGATGAGGACGAATTGCAGTACAGCAACTCGAGAAGCCGCACTTCGCGACCTACAGGTCAGGGCGTCCGTCAGTCTGGTCGTTCAACCCGTCACCAGGGCGACATGCAGGATCCAGGTGTTAACGACATCTATCGCTCCGAGTCGGAACCACGACCTGTCGCTCCTCCGAAGCCTGTTGGAGCCCGCGAGTCTTTCAAAGACTTGCCACGATCTGATCCATTCCGCGCCCGTCACATTCAACATTGCGACTCGTGTCAGAACGGTACTAACTTTGCCCCTCTGATCTATTGTCAAGGCTGTGTTTACGCGTACCACAAGAGCTGCATCGGTCATCGCGGATCGAGAGAACACCTGGTCACCAAAGTCGGTAAGAACGACTTCGTCCTACAGTGTCGTCGCTGCATCGCGTTTCCTATGAAGAAGGACCCTACGGCACCCGATCATGGAAGATGTTCTGACTGTAAGCAACACGGCTCTTCATGTGTTCCTTTCAGAGAGCGCAAGACTCCTCAACAAGAGCAGAAGGATCGTGAAGAAAACAACGGTGAAGACCCTATCTATCCAGTACCCCCAAAGCTCATCAACAACCCTGACAATGTCATGTTCCGCTGCACCACTTGCTCCAGAGGCTTCCACTTTGAGCATTTACCGCCGAAGTCAGACAGTCTCATGGACCTTGATAGCGATGACGTGGCAACTCAGAGGCTCCAAGACTACAGCCAAGATTGGAGATGCAAAGAATGTCTCGATTGTCCAGGCAAAGTTGGATCCCTTGTCGCATGGAAGCCGATCGATGAGGACAACTATGATCCAAGCTACGGCTACGACAGAATTCCTGAGGACGAAAAGGCCTACCTTGTTCGATGGGACGGAAAGTCATACTTCCAAGCTGCCTGGATGCCTGGTCCCTGGGTCTGGGGAGCTACAGCTGGCGCCATGCGAAAGGCATTTGCAAAGCGGGATGAAGCACGTCAGCCCAAGATGCGAACAGAGGATGCAATTCTTGAAGACTATCTTCGCATTGACATTGTCCTCGACGTCAAGTTCACCAGTATTGTCAACATCTCAACAGAAGAGATTGACAAGGCACGTATCCGTGAGGTCGATACAGCTCTAGTCAAGTACAAGGGCCTTGGCTATGAAGATGTCGTCTGGGAGAAGCCTCCTACGCCTGACGATGCCGATCGTTGGACTGACTTCGTTGTTGCCTACAACGACTGGGTGCTCGGTAGATTCGTGAAACAACCCAAGCCACAGCAACTAAAGACTCGACTCGAGAAGGCAAGATCTTTCGACTTTGCTACCAAGCTCGAAAAGAAGAAACAACCTAGCAACATCACCGGAGGAGAGCTTATGAAGTACCAGATGGAGGGTCTCAACTGGCTCTACTACAAGTGGTACACGCACAAGAACGCCATCTTGGCCGATGAGATGGGTCTTGGAAAAACCATTCAGATCATCTCGTTCCTCGCTACCTTGGTCCAAGATTGGAATTGTTTCCCTTTCTTGGTGGTTGTACCCAACTCGACTTGTGCCAACTGGCGTCGTGAGGTCAAGCAATGGGCCCCATCTCTGAGAGTCGTGGCATACTTCGGCAGTAAGGAGGCTCGCGATCTGACCTACCGCTATGAACTCTTCGCTCGGGATAGTAAGGAGCTAAGATGTCACATCGTGGTCACGTCTTACGATTGCGCTGCGGATGATAGCGCTCGCAAGTTTTTCAAGTCCATCCCTTGGCAGGCACTTATCGTGGACGAAGGACAACGTTTGAAGAGTGACAAGTCGCAACTCTACTCTGCATGGGCATCTTTACGTGCTCCTTTCAAGGTCCTTCTGACCGGTACACCTCTGCAAAACAATGCACGTGAGCTGTTCAACCTGTTACAATTCCTGGACGACACGTTCGATGCCAGTCAATTGGAAGAGAGGTTTCAAGAACTTGACCAGGCCAAGATTCAGGAGTTACACGGCATCATTCGCCCCTTCTTCTTGCGCCGCACCAAGGCTCAAGTCCTTACCTTCCTGCCTCCCATGGCTCAGGTCATTGTGCCTGTTTCGATGTCAACAGTCCAAAAGAAGTTGTACAAGACGATCCTTGCCAAGAACCCCGATCTTATGCGCGCCATTTTCCAGGGAGCAAAGGAGCTCCGACCTACAGAGCGCGCTAGTTTAAACAACATTCTCATGCAGCTGCGCAAATGTCTTTGCCACCCCTTCGTCTACAGCACTGAGATTGAGGAGAGAAATGTGTCACAAGCTGTCAGCCATCGCAACCTTGTCGATGCTAGTGGAAAGCTACAGCTGCTCGAGATTCTTCTACCCAAGCTTCAGGAGCGCGGTCACCGTGTGCTGATCTTCTCTCAGTTCCTTGACATGCTCACCATGGTGGAAGACTTCCTTGATGGTATGCAGATGAGATGTCAGCGTCTTGATGGCACCATCAGCAGTTTGGAGAAGCAGAAGCGTATTGATGAGTTCAATGCACCTGATTCTCCATTGTTCGCTTTCCTTCTCTCAACTCGTGCTGGAGGTGTGGGTATCAATCTGGCCACTGCAGACACTGTCATCATTCTGGATCCTGACTTTAATCCTCACCAAGATATTCAGGCCCTCAGTCGAGCCCATCGTATTGGTCAAAAGAAGAAGGTTCTTTGTTTCCAGATTGTCACTCGTGCCAGTGCGGAAGAGAAGATAATGTCTTATGGTCGACGCAAGATGGCGCTAGATCACGTCTTGATCGAGCAGATGGACGCGGAAGATGCTACAGACCGTGATCTCGAAGGCATTCTTCGTCACGGCACCAAGGAGTTATTCGACGACGACGGAGACAAAGATATCAAGTACGACCCGGCCTCAATCGACAGATTGCTCGAAGTTAGTCACATCGAGCACACGAAGGCTGGTGAAGACAAATCAGCGGAATCCACTTTCTCGTTCGCAAGAGTTTGGGCCAACAACGAGCTTGAAGAGACCGCCATTGAAGGTCCAGAAGCAGCAGAAGTGGCCCCCGATCGTGATGTGTGGGACAAGATCCTTAAAGAGCGCGAGAGAATTGCAGCAGTCGAAGCTGCCGCTGCGGAGCAGGCGTTTGGACGAGGTCGTCGAGCCAAAGCAGTAACGTATTTCCTCTCTAATTTGACCAAACGTTTGCTGACTTTCACANNGACCATTGACTATGGCGATCCCACCAACCAAGATGGTCCCGATAACACCGAAGGACCGAAAGGCGCAGATGAAGGCTCTCCTATCCGTATCTCCAAGCGAGCACAATTGGACGAAGATTACGATACGGACTTCCAAGCCGACAGTGATGAAGAGAGCGTTGCAGCGGAAGAGATCGAGGATGTCGTTGATCCGGGAGAGCTACAGATCCCTGATCAAACAAAGACAGCGTCAAAGCTAGTCAGACCACCTGGTAAGGAACTCTCCTTGAAGAAAACTCCCACCAAACCACGCAAGAGTCCAAAGAAGACCAAAATTGCGGTATCAACNACCAAAGAAGAAAGCGGCCTCAACGCCCAGAAAAAGAAGCGCGCCCTTGCCCCACCTAGCTATGTCCGCAAGAGAGCCCAGACGCCCTTCACTCCTACAGTGTCCAATGGCAGAAAGGCTAGAGAAGCACAGATGAACATGCAGCAATACGGCGCCGCAGCAGCAACTTCAGGTTTCATTGACCTCACTGCGGACAGTGACGATGATGTTCCTAGTGCTGGCTCTCAGCCTCTGCCACCTCCACCTCAAGAGACTGAAGATGAAATAGTGATCTGAACTTAGGCTAACCCGTGTACTATTATCCAGCCCCACCTACCTTCCGTCGCGTAGATGTGCCAACATATCGGAACTACGATCCCGAGTTCACGATTCCAGCATCCAACGGCAACCCTCCTCGCAAACCCCAAATGGCTTCCTGCGTAGCATGCCAACACCTTCACCCTCTAGGAAGCTGCCCATTGAAGCGTGCCGGCGTCGAATATTGTGGTCTTTGCGGCCTTGCCCACTACGGCTTCTCTCGCATCTGTCCACATATCAACTCAGAAACCCAAGTCAGAGAAATGATCCGAGCCGTGAAGTTATCATCGGAGCCAGGACATCTCAAGTCAGAGACTTTGAAGTATTTGACTGGATTGAAAGGCACTTTGGTTCAAAAGAAGAAGAAAGAAGCTGAGAAGAAGGCCGCCGCTGCTAATGGTAGCGCGAATCCGAGCGCTGGTTCATCTGCAGTGCCAGGACAGCAGCCATTTCACATGACCTAAAAAGACGAGACATAAGCAAAAGGAAAACAAATGAATTCTGCACATACCCCTTTAGTACAAATGATGATTATACCTTGTTTCTTCCTTTTCCTTCTGTTGATACTGATTTGACAGTGGTACGCGCCTTCTCCTCTCACAACCCCGACTATTGTTAAACACTCTCACAGGAAAGAAGTCCACAACGATCGTGTAAATCTCTTTGATATCACGAGAACGATCTTCTTTGTTTTCGGACGTTGCATCCCCAGACTCAACTAACATTTGCGCAGCCGCTCTTCGTCTATCTTGTTGTCTGGACATTCATCCTGTACGCAAAAGCTGTTCCAATTCATAATACTTTCATGACTTGCTACAAAGACTCTTTGTTACAGACTTTAGAAAGAAACACCTTCCTCTTCTGCTTCTTCGATGACCACCCTTCGCTACAATTGGTAACATGGTCTATGTTTCGGTTCACAAAGCCTAACACTTTCTACATCCATAGCAATTACCTTCTTGTAGGTAATCGATCGCCATACTGCCCTAAATCCAGGACAACGGCTCAACGTGGTAGTGCTCTGCACTATGCACCGCGGTTCAAGTCAACTGCTCGCCATCTTTTTGCTTGTTTGCACATCTGTTCTCACTGTGTATTAAAGTCTGTAACTTTTACCGTGCTCCGGTTATAACCACAGAACAACGTAGATTACAAAAAGACGCAGTTATTCTTGAGAAGTAACAGGCGTGTGCAACATGTAAAGGGAGGTTCTCCTTTGTCTATGTCATCTCTACGGATCGCAGACTGGTCCAGAAGAGCAAGAAAGCAGGATGACTCCTTAGTGGTTCATTTGATATACATATACATTTCCTCTATTGATGCTTTGGATCATCACTCCTCCAGCTAACTTTTGAGGCTCAACAAGAAACCTCTACCAACCCAGAACTCCATGCTTGTGAGTGACAGGCGCAACGCTAGAACATCCCAATTCCCATTTCCCATGCACAAAACTCCGAATCCATGCAAACTCAAGTATGTAGTAATAATGAACAAGAAGCAAAAGTATGAAAGTGACAACAGCCACTAAGCAAGTTCATCCTCTGATCCATCGTCAGGCTCAGCCATCGCCTTTTTCTTCAGCATCTCTTTTCTTCCTACTGTCTCTCTCATAGGAGTGCTGTATCTCGTCATCGGCGTCCTAGGCGCGGCGGCTGTTTTGGGCGTGATGGTGGATATGCTTTTCTAAGGGATGCAGATGGGGTCGATGTACTTGCGTTCTTTCTGAGAGCCGCGGATGGAGTCGATGTCCTNCTTACGGAGAGATCGAGTCGGATCAGGCAATTTCATTCTTGCGACTTCGCCAGGTCCAGGCGGCAGCAGAGAATTCTTGGTCGCTTGATGGGTAGAGCTCCTTGTGCTGCGTCTTTGGCCTTCAACAGAGGATGTCTGAGACGAAGTTGGCGATGGTAAAGGCGGGGGCGAGGAGAGTGGCGAGGAAGATGGCGAACGCAATTGTGCCTGTGGCGCAGAGACCAAGGGGCTTGGGGGAGGCGGCAGATTGGAGAGGAAATATGGGCCGTTGGCCGTGGTTGTCGTGTCTGGTGCATCGGCGTAGCGTTTCGCTGTCGTTGGGGTATCCATTGACGAGTCACTAACATCGCCATCATTCTCTGTATCAACCAGCATAGGCTCGGTACGACGTGTAAGAGGTGTGTGTATACGATGAGGTGTGCTTGCTCGAGATGGTGGGTCGGCGCTGTAAGGGGGGAGGTGGATGGGNNCTGGCAGTGGCGAGCTTCCTTCTAGGACAGGCTCTGTACGAGGTCTGACAGACGGAGGAGGCATCGTTGTAACGGGTCCGCCAGCGTTACTCATCCTTGCGGTACTATGGTTCGAATATCGATTTGCTTGTAGCGATGACATGGCACGAAGCTGCGATGTAGCCAGACTAGCAGCAGAAAGACCCTTAGCTTTCAGATACTGCTCAGCGCGTGCAAACAAGTTGACAGTACTGTTTGGCGTATTTGCCAAATTGCCACGCAGATGAGGTGCTGAATGAGTAAATCTCGTAGTAGTGTTTCTCAGTCCTTCACGAGGCGGATCTATCTTCTTCGGTCGTTTCTGCTCTGTTTGTGACTTGGACATTCTCAGCACGCCAAATCCACTGGTGGGTCCATAGAAATTCAAATTGTGCTCCTCCGCGGTATACGGCGCTGGACTGTCGGTGCACAGAATGCCGAAGTTTCCAGCCGGGATTGAAGTGTCAAAAGTGCGATAGCCTACTATCGCACGTAAAGGGTCTTTTCCTTTGCGTTTTTCTTCTTTTCCTAGACTTATCCGGTGGTGGTGCAGAAGAGTNNCACGCGAATCTGTATCATCTTCATCCCCTATTGTAATCGGGATTTCACCGCTGTCTCCGTGGCGGGCAATCTGCTTGTCCATAGCACGACGCAGGAGCGGAGTACTGAAAGGCGACATTCCGGCTGGATTGGCCGTATGCGAAGGGCCTGGAGTCGATAGTTCGTCATCATCACCGTCCATGATCTCGATGATCTCACGTTTGATCATGACAGGCCTGGGCAAATCCTTCAAAGCGCGAGTATAACGGCCTGAGAGACCACCGGTGGTTCTGCCAGGCAAGCGTGCGGTGATCTCTTGCCAGGTCAAGCCATTGATCTCCTTCAAGCGCTTGATCAAATCGTCTTCTTCTTTGGAGTAGCGGTTCCTTGACGAAGGTGCGTCTGAGAAGTCAGCGTTGTCAGTCAAAGCGGGATCAAGATCGAATGAGGTTTCGGTATGCTTGAGAAGCCTACGACGCTTCTTGGGTCGCGAAGCGGTTGGTGCCCATAATGACTGGCCGCCAGAAGGAGAATCCCAGACTGAGGGGAGCTCGGTGGGGGCTGGAGTAATTGCGGCGCGTTGACGGTCAAAGAAGGAGGGCGGATCGAAAGCATCTTGAGGCAAAGGCGGGGCAGACCAGATAGTCTGAGGCTCATTGGGGAAGTAAGGCTGTTTGTTGATGGAGGTGGCATGCATGAGGAATTGAGCAATCTGATTGGCAATATTCTGACCCAGCTGTTGGATGGCTTCGGGGTCGATTCTTCCATGGGCATCCTGATGTGGGACGAGCTGGTTCAACGAGTCGACGATGGAGATGTGAGGCAGAGAGTGGCTGACTTCGGTAGATGGAATGACGGATGTACTGTGGTATTGCTGTTCTGAGCTAACCCTAGCATCAGGCTGAGCAAGTCGAGGATCGAGAGCGAAATGGTCTGGTTCGTGGGCCAGATCGTCGGACTCATCGCCTGACTGCTCGTCGCCAGCCTCAACTGCCGCGTCCTCGTAGTCGCCATCCTCGTCATCACTGACGTCCCCCTCTTCTGGTCCGTATTCGTCCTCCTCTTGACTCTCCTCTTGTCGTCGAGGCTCGTGTTGGAGTTCATCCTCATCGTCGTCAGGGACTTGATGGAGCTCGTCCTCCTCTTCTTCGGGCTCTTGGTGTAAACCGTCGTCGTCATCATCATTGTTGTCTTGGCCATCCTCGACCTCCAACTCATCGGCAAAGGCTCGTACAAAGCGGGATGAAGCACTTTTGCCAGTATCTCGCTCGTGTTGCATGTATGTCAGGTGGCCGTTGTCGACGACGACCTCGCCAGTTTCCATGTCGATTTCATCGCCCACTCCGGTAAAGTCCCTGGCATATTTCTCAAAAATGCGCTCAAAGGTGCCTTTGAGTTTCAGGTCAATGCGCTGTCGGCCGCGTTGGTATTCGTCTGTGTCGTAGCTGTTGGCGTCGTCTCTGGACGAGCTGCGGGCTCGAAGATATTCATCGAACGCCATGGCGCAGGAGATGTTGAAGTGGTGGTCGTTGGCACCTCACATGTCCAGACTTTGTGTCGACAGATCAAAGAAATCAAGGTGGACGCGCTCGAGTCGTGAATTGTCACCGCGGGGCTGACGCAACTTCCCGTTCCGGCAACTTGGCCGACTCGATCGCGCCTTCCATGCTGCTTCCATCAAATCACACGACCTGCATACGAATGCCATCTCTGTCTGAGTGCCAGTGACCAACACATGGCCGTGCCCGTTGTTGCCTCATGAGTGTACGATCTACTCTTCCTTCCCGTGCATAAACTGCTTCTCTTTGATACTTCTGCCCGAACACTCTATATACCTTGACCATGTATTGTCAAAAATGCAGGACTCCTTTGAAACTCGATTCCTCTCTGGACCATCTCAATCCGTCCTCGTTTAAGATCTTGGTTGGTGTGTATAACAATTGTTAACCTGTAACGACTGAAGCTGACCTGCAAGACTCAACCCCATCTCTACCATCTCACACTCCCCATCCACCCAAAACACTTGCTGCTCGTGAGCGGAGAGATATATATGACAAGGCTGCACAAAATGCAGGACCCGCTCAGCAGAAACGCTCCATACCGGCACCTCAGAAGACAGCCACTAATTTCAATCCTGCTATGTCTTATGTTATGTTGAGCGAATCTCAGCTTGGCCCATTGTCACCAGAAGAGCCAAGTTTTTCGAAGAAAGCCNNCCGAAAAGATTCAAAGTCAACAGATCAACATGACTCAACCAGTCTCTCTGCCGACATGGAAAAAAGCTTACGATTATGGGAGATTTTGTCCTCTCGCTCAGATATTGACCATCCAATATGTTCGGAATGTACCGATCTTCTGCTTATAGGCCTTCAACAAAGGCAAACCACCGCCAACCGTGAACGCCAGGCGTATGCCGAGTTTCTCAANAAGGCAAAGGCCGATGTCCCATCGGAAGAGGAGCAACGTCAAGCTCGCGAAGCTCTGGCTGCCGCCAAACACCAAGAACAGAAAGCACTTGAGGAATTGGAAGCTCTCGAAGCTGAGAAGGCTGCCATGGAGGAAGAGATCGCTGCTCTCAACCGAGAAGAAGCCGAACTCGAAGAAGAGGAAGCTGCTTTCTGGCGAGAGCGTAACGAGTTTGACGACACAGTCACCAAATTCAGGGAGCAGAATGACAGCCTCCTCAACCAGCTACAGTTTGACACCAAGTTACTGGAGACTCTGCAGCGGACAAATGTCTACAATGACTCATTCTGCATTGATCACGACGGCCCTTTCGGTACTATCAATGGCTTGAGGTTGGGCAAACTTGCAGATCATTCTGTCGAGTGGCCAGAGATCAATGCTGCCTGGGGACTTTGCGTCTTACTACTGACTGTGGTTGCTGAGAAGCTGGGCTACACCTTTCATGGGTACAGACCTCTTCCGATAGGCTCCACGTCCAAAATTGAGAAGCTTGAGTACCCAGCGAATGACCAATCGCGAACAGGAAAGCCCAAAATCACTACATTGGATCTATTCTGCAACAGTGACCTTCCTCTGGGGCTGGGATTTCTGCATCGTGGATTCGACAATGCGATGGTCGCATTCTTAGAATGCCTTCGACAGTTGGGTGAGCATGTTGAGCAGTCTCCTTCTTATGTTGGTGCATCTGCTCTGAGTCGCAAGCTCCCCTACAAAATCAGCAAGGACAAGATCGGTGATAACAGTATCAAGCTTGGAACCTTCAACCAAGAGGAAGCTTGGACGAGGGCATGTAAATACACCTTGACGTGCTGCAAATTTCTGCTCGCGCACGCAAGCCATGTTGATGATTTGAAGCAAGATGGTCAGGCCGCTCGGTAGAGACAAACTAGCTTGTATACTAGCTACTTCTGTCTACGAGTTTACTGTAAGATCAAAGTTGTTACAGGCTTGGCACACATTATGTGGTGAATTGGATGCATGAAGCAAGGGATCAGAGGTGCCCCTCGATCAAAAGTTCTTGAGATGCACTTCTGCCACGTCCGCCTGTTCGTTCACTGGAGCAAACATGGCAGTGTTGATCTCAGCAGGCCCTAAGACACAGCTTATAGCTGGATTGTTACTTACAACAATTCCACTGTGGCTTTTGGCCTGGCACTTTCGGGTGCGCAACCCTCTCTTTGTCAGTCATCACATACCAGTACATAATGCCTGGACCATCGACCGCGAAACTTTCATCCACGAATGGATGGAGAATCAGATCGGCAATTCACCCAATCGTTCAGCTATCTCTCTACTATGCCGTAGGCCAGACATCAAATGGCAACCGAACGTCGTGATGGACTTAGATGATGCCAACGGCGGCATTGGCAATGTTCGAGGCAACATCTTCGACTTTCTCGGCTTGGCCATCCTGACTGGGTCCTCAATCATGCTGCCTAGTTTTCAATCTCGGTCAACGAAAGATTTGAGCGCTCTTTGGAATGGCAAGATACCTTTTGGCACTTTCTTCGATACCGATCACTTCGTATCCACCTTTGCCGCAGCTTGCCCGAAGATGGACATCTATATGCCATCGAAGGACCATTCTTTGGTTCCTCCCCTCCAGAACCGTTATGGTATGCCCAGTATGCGACTGGACATACATCCCGAGTCTCTTGACACACCCACACCAAACACTCCTAAAGCAGCTGTGGAGAACTTCAACCACTGGCTATCCGTACAGCCAGATTACGATGCACAAAAGACATCTCTAGTCAACGTGGGCCGCAGCCTCTGGGAAGGACTTGATACTCGTGCCGTACCTGCAGCCGTACGTAGAGACTTCGGCGGCTCTCTTCGCCTGATCCCCGAAGTACGCAGATTGGCTGCTATAGTAACATACAACCTCGCCCTCAAGTACCACCTTCATAGCATCGACCCTCGCCTTCCGTACTATCCGTCAGTTTTTCTAGGCGCTCACTTACGCACCGAAAACGATGCAAAGGCCGCTGGCTGGCTCAATGACGGAAATGCCGCTGCACATGCAAACTATACTGGTCAAACAGATGCCTACCTCTCTCAGGCCGTTGAACAAAATCTCTCAGTCATCTACGTCGCCAGCGGCAACGCTACTGAGATATCCCGGTTTGCAGAAAAGGCATGGCACCTCCACTCCTTCAACGTTACTTCAAAGTCATCCCTACTCTCAGGCTCTGACCTCGAGGCTCTTGAAAGTCTCAGTTGGGACCAACAAGGGCTTGTTGACTACGAAGTGCTGAGAAGAAGTTCGAGCCTGGCAGGCTTCGCGAGGAGTAGCTTTGCTTTCAACATCGCGATCACGAGAAACGAGTTTGTCGATATCAATCAGGAAACGTTGTGGTTGAGGCCGGAGCATCTGAGGAAAGAGGACGTAGCGTTTGAGGATGGGTTGAGTAAGATTTGGGGACGGTTTCCGTGGCAGGAGGAGAGAATGTTGAGAGGTGCTTGGCCTTGAGTTTTGTGCTGTTTGGCTTTTGTGAGTCTGTTAGAGACCAGTAAGAGATGTAGTGATGCCATCCAAATATGCTCAGGAGCTTTCAACTTTTTTACAGTGAAGAAAAATATCGTACAAGTGTGTTTGTCAGGAAAGCTTTCTATGCTCTTCCTTGTCTCATCTCCTTCTTGCCCTGCTTACCCTTGGCCATAGGCATCTTGGCTTCTGCCATCATGGGAGCCTCGACTCTAGCCAAGTCGATATTCCTGGCCTCCTCAATCTCCTTAATACCATCAATCAAACCAGCCGGACTGTCCTTCTTTGTCTGCTCGGCCAATTGCCTAGCCTCTCTCCTAGCTTCCAACTCCTTCTTTCTCTCTTCAGTCAACAGCCACTCATCAGGGAACTGGTATCGCTTCTTGGGCTTGGCGTGTCTAAAGTCCACAGGCACATCCTTGAGCCACTGGCTCTCTGGCGACTTTGCCTTTGCGATCAATTCCTTGATGGTGTCGCCCAGGTAGCGCTTGTTCTGTGCTTGGGTCTCGTGGTCTTCGCAGCTCATCTTTACGAGTTTGGAGTTGGGGTTGTAGCGGACGCCGGCTAGCTTGATCAGGTTTTGGGTGTGGGCGGGTGAGAGGGAGAGGTCTTGGGGGTCGAATTCGACGACGACTTTTCGTTGGGCGGGGTGTTGTTCACCCATGTAGGTTGTGTAGCGGAAGCGGAGGGGTGTGGCTGCTGTAGGTGGTGTGTAGGGTTTTGTGAGATNCTGTAACGCTCCTGTCAGTATACAGTTTGAACGAGAGATGGATCCAAACGTACTCGCCAGCAAAGGCATCTCCCAACCAGCCAAACGCGCATACTCTCTAATCTCCCTCGTCTGCTCCAGCTCGGCATGTCCCAAACTCGAAATGTCGTCTCCCTGGAAATCATCCTCATCAGGACCAATATCTTCCTTCTCACCCATCTGGAAGAAACCCTGGTTTCTGGGCGCTCTTTCCACGGGTCCAGCAGGGAACATCATTTCCAAATGCTCCAGCTCAGCTGCAGTCTGCTCTTCCAATTCGCGGTGGGTACGGCTGTCGTTTGCGAATTCGTCGCGCAGGGCGGCCTCTACTTNTTCCATTTTCTCGCGGTCTTCAGGGGTCAGGGTGTTGTATGTGGCTTTGTCATCGCGGTCGAGGCGGTTGTAGAAGGCTTGGTTGAAGTAACCTGCAGAAGAGGCCTCTTTCTTGTCGGCATCGGCGAGGATGCGGCGAGTGCTGCTGAATGGTCGTGTGATGGGGTGGATGTGCGTGTATTGGTGGCTGCGCAATTGGCGCGCTGCTGTGCGGCATGCGCTCTTTGCTGCTGAGGCCATGGCGAGGGTCGGAGTGGCTATACAATTGCTGCTCTGCTCTCGCTGGTGCTTTGGTATGCACGCCGAAAGTTGAAAGACGCACGGTAAAACTTCGGGATATCTCGACTTTGCGGGCGGCTCCTCCGAACATCGCCGCTTGATCATTCAGGTCTCTGCTTCGTGGATGCTATGTCGAGTGTCGAAAATCAGGATAAAAGTTAATGCGTGCGAAGAACAGGGTATCCTTGAGCCTGATCGGCTTGTCTGGTGAATTGTCCCGTTTCGTCTGTACACAGGAGGATGCCATCTGTACTCCTGGAATATACGACAACATTGAGAAGCAGTGCACATTGTTTCATTGGCTAGGTATCTCTGGATGTATCACCGAGATACTGCTCGTATATCGCTCTATTTCAACCTCGGACTAGTCAAACTCTTTGACATGTAAGAAGGACAACTATACAGGAAGTCACGCGGGAACACTGCTTTGTGAATACGCATTGATGCCGGACTTGAACTTGAGCTGTGTTATTCATTTCACTCAGATATCAGGACACAAGGAAGGACCAAACTCAAAATGGAGAACTTAGGTACGGAGCTTCGACTGGAAGAACTGACAGTTGGACTAGCAGCCTTTGAACCAGAATGAAGCGACAACCTAGGCCTCTGTCGCTTTACTGGCACACACGCTGATAACGTAGGCAAGAATATCGTGCAGTTGCGACTACTACTACTGGCAAGAGACACGCAAACAAACCATCGTGTCGAGGAAGGCGCACTCACGATGACCTTTGCCAAAGTCAGGAAGTGAACTCTCACACAGCCAGCAACGTGATGTTATCTTCGCGCAAGTTAGCATTGTTTCCATCGAACCGGTGGATTGGCGCAGTGGTTTTAGCTCAGTTCTCCCATGTAGGTAGCATGTGTCCACCGGTTCGACTCTCCTCAGTGCCATACAATTGGCACTTATCAAGCCATGAGGGGTCCCAGTAATCCTCGCACGACAAAAATCAAGATGAAAGCTTGCTTTCTCTTCCCTCCTAGCAACACGGCAGCTAGGAAGGTTTCTCTTTGTCGATTTGTGCTGTTAAAGATATCTGATGTCTCTTTTGATCTGGAATATTGGCCTGCGACGTGAGACCGCGCAATTCCGGAGACACATGCACATGCGTGCATGTGTTTGTTTGTTTTATCTCCAGTCTTTCTGAACTCGGGTCAAAGAACAAAGATGGAACTAAGACTTCTCACCAGCTATCGTTTGAAGAGCACAAAGCATTGTGACCTCAACACATGTTCATTGCATATATGCCTAGTCCACAGGCCGGAATCTTTACAGTTTCACACACAAGCACTTATTCATTCTTTGTTATTGAACAATACAGCAATACATTATTCGAATATATAGAGACCATCTCTCTATGTCACCACATTGAAAATTTGGCAATCTACTCTTTCTGACCCCTTCGAACCAAGTTGCTACCTCTTAAACAAGCCTCATTCGAAGCCAACTCTCACCGATTCGTCTTTCAATCCCAATGCATCCCACTCTAAGAATCTTGAAGGACTTGGATAAGAATCCCAGGCAATGCAAATGTCTAATCGAGGGCAAATTCTGCACGGAAATTATCAGCGAGGAGGCTTCCGAAGCTGCCCGTATGATCCTGGATTTACGCGTCTTCACCAACCTCGACCTAGGACATTACTACGAGGACGACCTTCGTGAGCTGGCCAGACTAAGCTTTTGTGAGGACTGCGCAGAGAACCATCGCGATCAGTACGAGGAGTACTACAAAAAGCTATCAAAGTGGATGGGAAAGGAACTGGATGACCTACGGGTGCCTGAGAAAATTACAATCTCGAAACCTAAAATCCACATACCATCCGGTGAAGTTGATCCCGACGGCTACACAGTTAAACTAGCGGATAAGGCCAAAGACAACCAAGGAGTGGAATGGACTGAAAGGGTCAAGAACCTCGAGGCCGAGAAGGAGGAACTCAACAAGCAAATCTCGGATCTCACAAAACAACTTCAAGAACAGTACGAGATAGCACAACACTATCTCGAGAAAGGTAATTATCTGTACGAAGCACATGAAAAACTCAAGCATAAATACGCGATGGAGATATCTCAACGTGATGCAAGGGAAATCGTGCTCCTGATGAGAATCGACAGATTGGAACAGCACGACCCCCAGGGTCAACAAGACACACAGGTCCCAAGGATGGGAAACGTTGATGAATTTCTGCAAGTAACTGATACACTCAAGGCGTTGCATGACAAGCTCTCATGGCTGCTTGGAAGTCGCCCAGAGGAAGATGAGGAGGAGGTGGAGCTGTAGTGTCTTCAGCTTACAAGAGTCACAAAATTGATGTACAATTGACCAGTAGCGCAATTACTGGAAGCTTTGCTGGAGTAACAATCTCAAGCTACCAAAGTGTGTGCACGTGTAGATTTTCGTTTTAGAACATTTTGCAGTTGGATAATTTAGCGTTGTTGTACTTTCTCTTTCATTCTGCATAACTTCATTGCTGTCGTATCCTGAACTGCTTGTAATTTGCTTGCTTCAGGAACCATACTGAACCTACTCGAACTAAGGGGAAACATTGTAGTCGTACACATGAACGTCTCGTAGGTTAGGCGTGAGCAAAGTCATCTGTAGATTTCTGTTTTGTCAGATTTTGCGATTCATGCATGTCTGATATGTTTTCGACTTCAAAAAGTAGCAGGTGCAGGTGCGTTTAGTACAGTATCGCAACTTCTCCATTGAGAAGCCAGACATTTGCGAGACATCGTCTCAGAAGGACAAGATTTTCCGAGCCCAGCACACTATCTATAGTAAAGGTGTCGAGTTCGCGCGCTGAGATCAGTGCTGTCTCTCACCTCAGCTACCACACAAACTCGAGACTTGGAGCTCGCTGAACAATAGGACGTCGCATAATCTCGGTATTTATAAGGCGTGAATGAAAGCCAGTCCGTTTTCTCAGGTCAGAATCAATAAGCTCACCATTTACCGGCAACAAGATACAAAGAATCGTCCACCTCCATCCGCTTCAATCCATTGCATACAACTCCTCGTTCGCAAAAAGCCACACTCTCACAATGTCGCCATCGCTCAGAAGCCTTATCGATTCGGGCAGAATCAGTAACAGATGTCTTCGCCGAAACGACCACTGCCACCAAGAGATCAGTGACCGCAATCTCGAGCTAGCCAGAAGGATTTTGGAGTCAGTTGAATTCCAGGCTATTGATAGTAACCAAGACTACCAATATGAAGTCGATTTGTGGATGCTCGCTGGATACAGTTTTTGTGACTCTTGCCAAAGAGTCTACCCAGAGCAGGTCGAAAGCTACCACCGAATGCTCATCAGGTGCCTTGCCGAAGAGTTTAGAGCTCCAATGGACTCTGTCTATGATTCTGGAAGTACTTCTGGGTCTAATCGCACGAAGACAGAGCCACAAAGACTTAAAGAACGACGTAGCTGTCACCCCAATGAACTCGAAAGCCTTGCAAAGCAGATAAAACAGCTGGAGCACCAAACCGACGGTTTCAAGAGGAGAATCTCCGATCTCAAGCAGGAACTCGAAGATGAACGCAAGCAACACCAACAGCTCAAGTTCCAACACATACAGATGGTTGGATATGCAGAGGCCAAATATGCCGAGATGATTCAATTTGGAGAAGCAAAGCATGCCGAGATGATGCAGTTTGGAGAAGCAAGGTTTGCAGAGCTCATGCAGAAGATTGCTGGACTGGAGACCCAAAACCTGTTGTTGCAACAGCAGATGCAGAATCAACACACGATCGACCAGCAAGATATGGCAAAGATGATTGGCACAATCAAGGAGCTCAATGCCGAGCTTGTACAATGTTATGGCCAGCAGTACCACATCTGGCTGACTCCAACTTCTCAACATGTGGTTGGTCACTGCGCTTGAGCCAGTGTAGACCGGTCTGGTATTCCTTTGTTCTATCTTCAGATGTGCTGAAGATCTTGCAGCAGTTTGCGGCTCGTTCTGCTGCGTCTAATTCGAGCTGGTCTTGAACTTCCAAGCCCTTGATCCAGGACCATGACATAGTCTTCGACAGAATATGCATCGAATATGCTTATCATCTGCTACAGGGGGATTGTCATGGGCTGGCTGTGGTGTTTCGGGGTTGTAACACGGGTTCATATCGCTCGTTCTTATCTTATAAGTTTCAATGAAAAATTGTGTGTTTTGGTTGATGCTCATCTTACAAAATGATGCTTTCTCTTAACTGTTCTCCAACATACGGAGTACAATATGAAGCATAACTTCGCGAGCCAAATTGCGTCTCAGAAATTCGTTGTCCCTACGTCCTGAGCACGGAAAACCAGAGAATTAGAAACGAGTCTCATTGTCCAACCAAGAGGAGAATCTTTTGAGAATAACTAGAAGTTACAGTTTCAAATACATCATTTTGTATTCACGGCTGTGTTTCTACACTTCTCAGCTTTAAAAATTGAGACATGATTTCTGAAATTGTGTCTCGCTTGCTCGAAAACATGCTCACTCTGACTCACCACGCCTCGTCGAGTCCAGATATATGGCTGTTCGCTGTTTGAACAAGATTTCCTCTCCAGTATTTCACGTTCACAGTATTCCAATATTCACAACCATTTAATCGACAACCATTCACTTCTCAACTTCTCAAATGTCGACAATGAATGCAAGCACTACTCAAAACTCGGACCCCGATTGCTTCTACTACATGCATTATCCGAAGCCTGTCTGGACAATGGACCCCCTGTCGAAGTTCCTCCTTATCGCATACCAACGTTCGCAGAGATTTCTGGCATTTGCATGATATATCGCTGTATCGGGAGGAAGGGATATGGTATACTCGGCGATCCTTGCAAAGCGACGCTTTCACACGACATACGGTCTGCGACAAGTGCATTGTCGAAAAAGTTTACAGAGAATGGTAGCGCCTGGGTGGGAGGTGACCTTATCAAGCTGGCCAGGTTGTGTTTGTGTCGAGACTGTGGCCAAACTCAACTGTCAGATGTGGTCATCGCATGGATACATGAACTCGAAACTCTGGATGAGTCAGAAGTTAGCAGAGCTGATTCTGTCGTTGATGATCAGGAAAAGAGGTCGATGGTCGCAGATCTGGCACCTGTCAAGACACTGGTCGCAGCTTCTGTTGCTACACGCGATCTTTTGAGCAAGGTCTATGGGTTTTGGTCTTGGCGTGAAGATGCAAGGCTCGAGGAAGGAACACAATCTGGATGACATGACACGGCGATTCAGAAGGGATCTTGAGTGCAGGAACAGGGTCGGAATGAACGAATGAGGAAGGAGCATGGTCCAAATCAGACCAGAGTTGTGACAAACGAAAGTGAAGCAAAACACTCGTTCAGGCTGTTATCAACTGTCACTAATGGAAACTGTGATTAGCCGTCACTCGTGGAAATCTTCTCTCACAGCGCTCAGCCTGGACTCGAACTCAAGACTGCTATAAAGAGGATGGATTTATTGGCGAACCGCATCACCACTATACCACCTAACCAGGAGCGACCTGTTGTAGTATGGGTTTGGCTCCGAGCCAGTGGTGATGTTCAGGAAAGGCTCTTTTTGGCCGGTACATATGTTCTTACGTAGGTAGTTGTTATTGAAACGATCTTGTCTCTCGTTCCCGAGCTCATAGCACACATTCGTGCCTGCAGGTGTGAGTGGTCACTCGCACCTTCTTTTCGAGTCTAAATCGGCAGCCAGGCAGATCGGTATCTTCTGCGCATGTCCACACTAATGCATGAATTAGGCATTGTGCTTGTTGGTCTGATTCACATTCCAGGTTAAGCTGCTCGGAGTGTAAGACAGTGCTTGATGTCTCAGACATAGTCTCGAAGACGTGTGCTCCATGCCCAACATCTGTAGCATTGTTCGACACAGGCTCAGCGTCAACTCCAAGATCAAAACATTTTGTCTCGATAATCAACCATGCGGACCTGCTCAACGACTTTCATGCCCAGGTCGAGTTCAGGATTACTCCTCAAGGCATTGACCATCTCGAGTGTCTCATCAAGCCCGATGTCTGGGAAGATTGATGGGCTCAGGCTTCTACCGCAACACTCGAAGTCTCACATGAACCAACGCGGTATTGAGTCTCAACACGTTACGTTTGCTGAAGCAAGGATGATATATAATCACTTTCCCAGCTGCAGTCAGGGAGTTTTTCTGCACACTTTTGCACAAACACTATCTCTCACATCATCAAGTCACCCATCACCTTGATCACATCATGCCTTACACATTGGTATTTTTTCAGAAACTCTTCACATCAGGACCCTGGAACTCTTGCATCGGAAAGACTGGTTGCTCTCGCAAATGCAACAACCACATAACACCAGAAAATCTCAAGGTCGCAGAGGCCATTTAGGATGCCATTCTGTCGGGAGCGAACGCAAGCTATGTCGAGCGAAAGATAGGAGATCTTGCTCAACTATGTCTCTGCCAAAGGAACCACCAAGGGCAGAAAGACGATGTAGTCAAGGCATGGAAAAGAGACATCAGGAGATCAGGAAAGGCAACCCCCTCTACGCAGACGCACGCAAACGATACCACGGTATCAGCACAAGCTGAGCGACTCATCACCGGACTGAGGCATGAACGAGATGTCTACTACCAACAACTGATGGACAAGATACGACTGTGTCAGTCGCTCGCGTCGCTTGTGGATGGTACGCGAGAGGAGCTCACTGCCCTACTGGCAGAGTATGGTGAAACGCAAACCAAGCTTCGCAGAGCAAAGTCTAAGACTTCTACACTCGAACTTCAGGTCGACGTCTTGAAGCAAGGCATGGCAGACTTGGAAGAAAGCAACACTTATCTTCGATCGGAGTTCGTTGCAGCAGAGAGTCTAGCAGCCTCCTTGCACCGCGATGCTGATACACAACAAAGAACGCAAACTCAACTTTCTGGTGAACTGCAGCAATCCCACGAAGCAAACAAGAAGCTACAAGACGATATCTCAGCCCTCAAAAGAAGTCTCAGAGACTCCAACAGCAGTGTCAAGAGCTCTGAGTTGCGAGTCGCCGACCTCGAAAAGAAACTCAAGACATCAGAATCTCGCGCCAACACTGCATGCGAGCAAAGATCTTCATTGCTGGCCGCCAACACGAAACTCACATCTGAGCTCGACGAAGCCAAGGACACCATTCAGCAACTGGAGAGATGTGTTGCAGTTGTGGTAGTTGACAACATGGAGAAGGATGAGGCTTCTTTACCGCAACAGAAAGCCTCTGATGACAAGACAGGAGAGAAAATCTTGCAAGCTCGGGCTCAAGGATGTGCAAACGGAGACGAAGAGAGAGACAATACCGAGGTTCGTAAGCAGGGAGAGGACGAGCGATCTGTCTCAGTTCAACAGTGTGAGCTCATGTAATAGTCTCATGCACGAGATAGCGATCCTGGAATGGATGAGAAATCGAATGTTATTTGGAGGTCAACCTTGCTTCATTCTTGTCATTCGTTCGTAAACAGTTGTGTACAGACACTAAATTCCATAGAGTAGCATCTATCAAGAACTCCGATAGTAATATGGATCCACGTAACCTTGGTAACATTGGCACCCTTGTCCTCGTTCAGTGTACGAGGCCACTTTCTGCCATCTTTTGAACATACTTGGCATACTTGCTAGCACTCTTTCTTCTGAGCTCTTTGCCCCATCTCACCATGACGAGGAAGGTCAGGCATTGCGCAAGACCTGCAAACGCTGCTGTGATGAAAGCATTTTGCAGACCCATACCGTCAATCCAAGGAGTGATGCCGTATCCAATGGCGAAGCTCATTGTGTTGCGAACCAAGATGACAGTGACAATTGCCTCGCCACCAAGATCTTTGTATGAGTCGATGGCGTATGAGATACTCAGCTGGATGCCAATGGTGTTGGTTAAAGCAATGACGCCCATTGCAAAGACACAGCCAAACCACATTACATGTTGTGCCGCACCAACTCCCCACAGTATCAGTCCACCAGGGATCAAGAGCAACGAAGGCAGAAATAGCCAGAGTCTGTGTTCGCTCTCGAGTACACCTCCATTACGGCGTGCCATCGCAAGAACAAATTTGTCGCCAAGAACTCCTGTATAGAAGGATCCAATGGCCACACCAATAAGAGGCGAGATGTACGATAGACCGACCATGGAAGCTGGAAAGTTGTATGGAGCGTTTCCAAGGATGGAAGAAGCGGTTCCGTTGAGTACATTGAACCAGATCAGATTGCTACCATAAGAGAACCCAGCATATAGTATGACAGGAAAAGTGAGGAAGATAAGCGGTCGAGTGGTCATGCCGGCGATGTGGTTGTCCTTTTGCAAGTCAGACGTTTGCCATAGCTTGAGTTTGTCAAAGTACGTCTTCCGCTTAAACTTGTCAGGTGCAGCAGGTGATCCGGTCTCCGAAGCCAAATCGCCGTCATCCGGACGTATGTCCTTCTCATTCATCTTGACTGCGGCAGAGGTCTGTTCGGGTTGAACGGCGATATCAGGAGCTATTCCAGTAATCGAATGCCTGGAGTAGTTCGTTTCTTCCATGAAGAAGAAAAGAAAGACGAATCCGATGCCACAAAAGATGGCGCACCAATACAGAACCCACTTCCAACCCTGGCCATCCGCGATGAAGCCAGCAAGTACCGGAGCAAGAAAGTTGGAACCTGCTAGCAGAAGAGCATAGAGTCCCAGATAGGTTCCGCGTTCATGCTGAAACCAAACGTCTGTAACGGAAATCTCACAGAGACTCTCAATGGGTGCTCCGAAAAAGCCCTGAAGGATTTTGTTGGCGATCCATTGACCATTGCTTTTAGTGTACGGTGCCCAAAGTTGGATAGCCATAGTCGCAAGGATGCTGAATAGATACACTGGTCGCTTGCCGTACTGCAAAGCAAGTGGTTGCCATACTAAACAACCCCAGCCAAAGAAGAGAAACATGTCTTTTCAACACCAGTCAGTCGGTGCATCAAAACTGCATCGAGCTTCCATGACTTACANTCCGGTACCATTGTTGAGCTCGTTGAGCGTCAGACTGGTCTCTTCGGCGATGGGTTCCAGGATCGAGTATATAGCCGCACTTGCGATACCCACCATCAGCGTATAGACGCCCATGCAGACCATAGAAAGTGTTTTCCTTCGAGGTGACCAATTCAATGGATCATCGGGATCTTGCGAGGGGGTCGGAACAAGTACGATATCTCTTTGTCCGCCGTTGGCATGCTGCGCGTGCATGGTACCATCGAGATCGACCAGGTGGACAGTACCCGGTATCGAAGACTCCTCAGCGATAACCTCAGATGCCATGATGATAGCAGTCTAGGGGGTGTGGAGGTCAATCGAGGAAACCTAAATGCTAACAGGATGGAGAGTGTAGCAACCCAAGGTCTGTTGATTGCTGTTGAGGAATGTGGAGGACTGAGAGCAGTGCCAGGTTATGCTATAAATCTAAGGCGAAAAGATACAGAAAACCGGGCAACTTGTCTCTACCAATGCGGTGATCCGAGATAGGCACTGCAGAGCCAAACGTTGGCCGACAGCTTGATATCATTGAGAACCAACCAGAATGGATTGTTGATGCTTGCTACAGGATCTACGTCTGATAAGCTTGTGAACCAAAGATAACCGCTTCAAGTTGCCAAACGTGGGGATGATAGCTCTTGATTGACGTGCAGTTGGTAACGTTCGTGGCTTTAGAGTAAAGACTCGCGATTGCTTCTAGGGAGGGACGATGTACTAAGAAAACGAACAATATTGCCGCTATTAGTTGTGATGTCCCTTGTGTCATTTGACAGCTATGCGACTGCCATGATGGATGGCGCAGAGCAAGTAACCACGAGGCATCTGTCGTCTTTCTGACTGTTGACCGACTCGAAGTTTGCATACTATCTTGCTTCTTGACAAAATCGTCGGATAGCATCGTGTCCCTCGACGATCTGAGGCATTTTCAACCTTTGATTGTTCTCGCCCGCAGCTTTTTGCTTCACATCCTTTTGCGACGAAGATTGAGAGAGTTCGTTCGAGCAGGTGACCTGGTCTTGGCATATAAGGTCACATGATCGCGTCTGCGTCTCGTCGCGTTGACGTCGACGCGACTTCCTCAGGCAGACGTGCCACCAAAAAAAGTTACCTACTTCTAAGTGCCGTTGGCATCATCGTCGGCTGTTCCATTCACCTTACTTGATTGACATTCAGGTGAACGAACTGGTATTGTCACTTCTGAATCCTACGCTATCGAGCATGTCCTAAAAATAATACGGTAAAATACTGGTGCCGAAAATTATCTACTGCCTCATCGCACGCGTTTCCAAAAATGGACCAACGCTTGCACCAGCAGGCATATGGAGTTGCTTTCGAACTACTGGAACATCTAGCCACCAGACCGACAGCTTTTCTTGTCGCTGTGCTATGGCACGACATTCCTATGCCACTGACAGATGCATCTCGCGAATCCTTCATGTTCGTGAAATGCACCAGCAAGACAAGTGTGGGAAAGATCAGAGATTCCTACCTTGCTAGAGAAGAGGCGCCATCTGACATCTCATTGCATCTGGGTTCCACTATTCCACCACACACTACCAAGGTCTCAGAGTTAGATGAATTTGGTGACAAGGTGGTTGTCTTCTACGCGCGTAGCGTCGAACCACTCGACACGACGAACGCCACAGTTCCTGCAATCACTTCAGCGTCTCCCAACCCCCAGTCCGCATCTGTATTGATCGGAAATGGACATGTTGGTGCTCCATCTACAAGTGTAACAGCACCTGCGAGACAACCGAGTATATCATCAGGACTGAGTGCTGACCACTCTGGACAATCTACTGCTTCATCAGCACCTTCGTTATCCGGTATGTCTGGATACACAACAAACCCTCAGTCCCCGATTGCGAAACCTGTCCCGGCTCCTTCAACACCAGCCGGAAGTATCCCTCGAGGCAGCTTGGCTTTCTCCAGCGTACAGCACCATAGCCCCATTCATCATACGCCTTCTTGGTATGCTCAAGCTCCAGGCTCTCCTTTCGTGAAGAACGAAGCACTTCCGCCCCTATACCCTAGACACGATCCCTACACGCCAACTTCTTATGCACAAGCCGCGCGACATCTACAGGCTTCCTCCCGACCACACGGTCCGCCCTCCGGAACACCACGTAACCCAGTCCAATACGCACAGCTAAACAGTAATGGCCACGGCTCATCTACTGTTCAGCCTAACAATACACATCTAGTGAGTTTCCCTTTCATTTGCAACTTAGCGCTGTGTGAGCCTTTGTTGCGTTCATACGCGCAATTTCACAAAGATGTCGTCTCTAAATGTCTCACTTATGTTGCTTGTGGTCTTATACCTTAGAAAGGCACAAAACAGCTGCTTCGCGCCTCATACTCAGACACCATTACAACATAGAACCCTCCTCGCTATCTAGCTTCGGACTCTCTTCAAAATCAGCGTACTTACTCAGGTTTTAGGAGATCAAACCCGAGGTTCCTTTGCCAGCACCCTTGCCCTTACAACCTATCGAAGATTACGAGATGGGCAATACGAGTAGTGTGCTCTCAGGCGAGGACGCTTATGACGACGCTCCCCAGTACACCCAATCAAGCGTTCATCTACAAGCTTTGTCCAAATAAGAATCACCCGAGAAATTGGAAGCCGGTGTGAAGCACGGCGTACAGATGCTTAATCGACTTGTCTAAGAGCTTAAGCCCGGTAAGGAGATTAAAGACATTAAGCAGTGGTTGCAACAGATCGAGATGGTCAGATAAGAAGCTACAGGCGCTCGTACTGTCGTCGGTGTTGTTAGCAATACTGGAGCTGGAAAGTCCTCGGTCATCAATACCATCCTGGACGAGGAGCGTCTAGTTCCCACGAACTGTATGCGAGCTTGCACTGTAGTAGTGACAGAGATGTCTTAGAACTCCAGCGAGGACGAAAGCAACAAATACCGTGCTAAGATCGAATTTATTAAGCCTGCTAAATGGGAGAAGGAGCTTCGAGTTCTTTATAAGGAAATCATTAATGGTAGCGGCAACACCTTAAGAGAGGTTAGCAATCCAGACTCACAGGCCGGCATTGCTTTTGCCAAAATTCGTGCCGTGTACTGGCGCCTCACGAGAGAAGATTTGACTGCAAGCTCGATTGAGAAACTCATGGCCGATCACTCTATTCGAGGTCTCCTTAGTACTACCAAGTACATTAAGGATCGTTACTGCGACACATTCTACAAGAGTCTTCAGCACTATGTTGATTCTAAGGAGAAACCAGAGTTAACTAAGGACTCGGATGACGAAGATGAGGACAGTACTAAGGGCACCGGCGACAAAGACAAGAAGAGAAAGAAGACAAGAAAGCGGGAACAAGAATTCTGGCCTCTCATCAAGGTGGTTCGCCTATATGTCAAGGCTAATGCTCTCTCTACTAGTGCCGTTTTGGTCGACCTTCCAGGTGTCGCAGACTCAAATGCAGCTCGCGCTACTGTGGCTAAAGGGTACATGAAGCAGTGTACGGGTTTGTGGATCGTGTCGCCAATCAACCGTGCTGTCGACGATAAGGCAGCTAAGAACCTCCTCGGTTCCACCTTCAGACGACAGCTGAAGTATGACGGAACCTATAGCGCAGTGACCTTTATTTGCTCGAAAACCGGTGAGTGGTACATCTTTCCGCGACACATGTACAACTAACCTTTCGATAGACGACATCTCGAATACCGAGGCCGCCGACAGCTTGGGTCTTAGGGATGAGATTAAAGAGCTTGAGGACCAGCTCACATCGGTCGAACGCAGACGTAGAGCGGCAGAGAAAGAGACCAGCAAGCTCAGGGACCAGAAGTCTTCGCTCAGGGAAACCATGGATAACTACGATGACGAAATCGAGAAATGGGAAGCTTTGTAAGAAAAGCTGAACGACGGCAAGACCGTCTACGCTCCCGCCGCCAAGATAAGGAAACGTAAACGCTCTTTATCAGGATCTGACAGTAAGGACGACGACAAGAGTAGCGACACCTCCGACAACGAGTCACAGTCACCAGACCGTGGTTCACCACTAACGAGGCTTCAGCAGGAGCCTTGAAGCACAAGGATGATGATACAGACGACGAGGATATGGATGCCGCTCCGGTCAAGAAAAAGGTCAAGGAAGACATTGATTCTGAGGATGACACATACATGGACGATACGCATGCTTGAAAGGGAGGAAATTGACAATCGCTAGCGAATTTTTGGCTGCCAGAGGGCGTACAAAAGGGAACCTTTGCTAGCAGATTAGATATAATCACGACGGTATGCATACAAATGACTATTGCTTACGCACACTGTACTTGCCCCTCTGCCTAATTTCTCTTCATGGCGTGAAGTCGCACGTTGTCATCTCTCTCACACGTACTCGAACTTATCACACAGCTTGCATTCAGCTTGTTGCTTACAGATTTTGTCAAATTAGCTTCTTGAGCACTGTGAACAAGACAAGAAAATGGAGAGTTGGGAGTAAAGGTTTAGTCGCCGATAAGATGCTATCCTCAAGCTGACGATCTTCTCGTTGGCCCCCAGTTGTCTACCTATTCTCTGCTCTCTCTCACGGTCTGGAAATCTTTGAGCTCCCTCCCACAGCAAAATATCGCAATGTTTCAAACTAACTATGAAAATGCAGAGTTATTTTGTGTTCCGAGTGCAGTCCACCGAGAGCCGCCAAATCAACGACTCTCAGTGGACATGGCTTGACTCGGCGAAGTTTTGTGAATTCTTGTAGATACATCAACTTGGCACATACAGAGTGGAGACAACAAGTACTCGAGGCTAGTTGTATGATGGGAAGTCATATCCACGCTGGTTCAACTAGTTTTTGTTCTTATAAAAATGCACAAATCTATCGTGCCTGGCAGCATTGCCCCTAGGAGTCCGGACACTAGGGCAGGACGCGGAACAAAGGCAGTCGACTACATGAGTAATAGTGTGTCGCCATACATAACCTTCCAAAGACAAGGCTAGACATATACCGACAAGAAAAGAGAAAGAGTTGTCAAGCAAGAGGGATCAGCAAAAGGCTATGAGCGAGGAGCAAAACCTGAGTTGCCGCTCTTGGAGAGGAAAGTGAAGCGTGGTAGCCATCCACGACAGTCGCGGCTCCGCCCCTTACCATAAGCCGAGTCTTCATCCACCGAACCACACCAACGGATGCTGTTCTTAACCGAGCTGGGTGGGGGCAGCGTTGATGGCGTCCCTTCTTTTGAGTATATATGGGTAGGTAGCAAAGCTTCGCCAACGACCGCGACAGTTGAGCGATGCACCACAACCACGCTTTGTTTCTTGTATGGTGTTCATCGTGTGTGTTTTTGCTTGTTTCCTTGGTCCAGAAGTTCTTGGGGAAATTCGAGCGAGATGCGATTGTGGTTTCTTTCGTGTGCTGCATGGCTTTGTCCGAAAAACTCCGATATAGGTGTCCGCATCGTGCGATAAATGGTGATACTTGTTGGTCTGCAGCACGATGTTTGCAAACCTTCCCACAAATCTGGGAGGCGAATGCTTCCATTTCTCAGTGCCATGGGTGTTTGTATAAGCTCGTATTCAGATTCGAGTGGGTGAACAAGCTCTTCTTCTGTCTGTACCTTCGACTGATTTCTTTTCTCCATCATGCTGCGGCCGGTTTTGTTTCGGCAACAGTGTTTAGGAGGCGTGCAAAGGCAAGCGACGTCCTCATCGCTTGACACACAAGTCGCTTCTGATTACCCATTTTTCACCTTTCGTCACTTCACGCCCTTCGTGGACCATGCACTCTTTGCCGTGTCGATGCAACAATGCGAGGCCGACTTCTGGGCTTGCCTCAACTGGTGGAGGAGGAGCTGCCTTTCTGGTCGGCGGATCAGGATAAAAGACAGTCTCACCTCCCCACAAGTTGTCAGATATAGCAACAGTGTCCATGTAGTCTTNTGCAGGAACACTAGTGCCGTCTTCCTTGGGGAACATCAAATTGTTGGAGTCGTCATAGTGCTGGTCGAAGAATTGTCCTTCTGAGTATCGATAGATTCTGATGTTCGGATTGAGGCCTAGAATTTCGCCGCCGAACAGATCTTGACGTTGCTTGACATCGAGTGATTCTCCGTCCACTTCACCTGCCGTAATCAATTCTTGGAGTGCAGTCTGTTCCCACAAGTGGCGTGCAAAGTCGGGATCGTCAATTTGATATCGATCATTGACGCGTACAGCATCGCCGCGTTTTGGGCGTCCGGGAGTGGTGACCAGTGGCAAAGATTTTAGAAATGAGACGTATTTGGCACTCAAGGATGAAGTGAAGAGGCGTGGTATCGTCAAGATCTGAGCGGGTAACAAAGTTGAGCACGCAAGATCTGAAGCTGGGGATGCAGGTGTAAGGGCTGGCCAATCCGGACGGGCGATAGTTTGCTTCGCTACAGGTGCGACAGAAGGTTTTGTAGCCTTTGCTTTTGATTTGGGAGGCATTGGAGATGGGATTGGTTATGTTTGTAATAGGCGTACAAATCAGTTCTGGTGGATCAAGATTGAGATGCAGAGCGGAATAGCCTCGGCTCAATGTTGCTATCAGGATGACCCTGTCTAAGCAACCATGTCATCGCAAAATGGTTGCAAACAAACTGATAAAGCATGAATGCCTAGAAAGTACTCCATGTTCCAACCTCTAGCCAGTTAGACAATACACAACATATAAATCTCAAGTGGAAGCAACCAAGCGCGTTGCAAACCGACTACATTATTTTGTCTAGACCAAAGACCCGAAAACCTACCAGACAACAGTGATCCTGACTTGAGTGGTTGTGGATATCAACTTAACGTAAACACAATCAAATTTGATTTCTCCAATCCAGATCTAACAACAGGTTTATATAACATCTATGCTATTTCAGGCATGAGGATGTAATCAACAAAGCGAAGAGTCGATTACCTTGAGTAAGGTGAAAAGGCAGTAGATGTTGAAGAGCCAATCGGAAGCATATCACGATGGGCCGATCTATGCTTGGCGATGAGTTCATTCTTGTCAATTTGAGTCAACGATGAACAAGCATGTATCAATACAGAGCACGTAAGGTGGACATATGATAGCGTGATAGAAAGAGAACCGTTCATTAAAGACATATCTCATTTGTCACGAATGATGGGTCGATGTGAGGTGAAGATGCAACAAGCAAATAGACATGTCACGGTTTGAGAAGGTAAAAGCGGGAGTAAAGTTAGATCCCGCAGCGGGCCATGATTCTTCACCGCCTGGCAATTGAGGTTCTTGGCCCGCGGGTTTAGAGAGGGCAGATGGCTTGACAGCGTGTTCTAGACAGGTCAGAGTTTGGATCGCGAAAGAAAAGTCGATCTTCTACACGGTTTACTCGGTCGGAAATACTTGCGCACAAGAGACGCATGCGCCAGCGTCAACCATAGTGAATGCGCGGAATCACAAAGCCCTAGAGACATGTTATCACGCCGCCGACGGTCATGGAAGTGGAAGCAACGAGTCTCGGGCATGCTGCCTTTGCGCCTCATGACTACGAAACTCCCCAAGCACCCTCGCCCTCTCCCCTGAACTCGCCATGGCCCGAACTAGATACCGACATGGACAAGCTGGAGGAAGGAACGACCCAACTCGAACACCAACGAAGCTTTGCGCTGCAAACTCCCAACGACGACAGCCAAGCAGCCAGGGAAGTTGCGCAACAAAGTTCCCGACCCGACACAGATCATGCAGTACCACCTGCCTCAGACGCTCAAACCGGGGATCCAAAGTCGCAATCAGATACCCTTTCGCAATCGATACCCGAACCGGTCCAGAGTCGCGCCAAGCCTCCGTCGAGGCCTATGTCCCTAGCACAATCGCTATTCCCCGAAGACTTCGAAGACGAACCAGAACACCAAGAAGAGGCTTCAGCTACGGCTGGCCAACCCGAACAAGCTGAGCCAGGAGCAGTCTCGCAGACACAGACGCAAACCGAGCAGCAAACACACTCTCCGACACAAGAGACACAACCGAACCTGCCCGATCAAACTGTGCTTGACGATCCGGATCTATCACAGTCGTTTCCCCTACACGAGCCTACCGATCACTTGGACCAGTCTGTGGATCCCCTAGATCAGTCGCAACCTCTGCAACCGCAAACGCCAATCAAAGACTATTCCGAGCTTGAAAATGCAGTCGCTGACTTGAACCTACCGACGAACTCTCTTTTCCCTGCCGATCTTGCTCTTGCCTCATACGAAGCCGAAGAGGCTGCTCCTGTACAAGACGTTCAGAACGATCCCATGCAAGCTTTCGCGAAGCTGCAGTTCCCCGATGGCGACTTCTATGTTAACACCTATGCTGTCGAATTGGGCCGTGATCTAAATGCCGCCAAGTTTGAGCGAAAGGCAGGTCGAAGACACAAGATGAAGTTGAACCGGGATGTCCAAATGGAACAAGATGCGGAAATGAATATGGACGACGAGGGTCGCAATATCGCACGCAGCAACGTGAGCGAAAGTGGTGGTATTGTTGGTGTCAACATCGACTACGACAGCGAAGAGAACGAAGAGTCCAAGAGGCGCAAGCGCAAACAGTTTCGCTCGACCAACTCATCCCACTCTGTCGACCCCACGTCCCTCCTTACTAATCCATACGACCTCTCTCTCGACTGGCAACCTCAACAGGATAAGCCCTTCGAATATGAGTGTCCCTTCATCCCCATCCATCCTCAGGCCGGCCAGTCGTTCAAGAACATCTCGCGCAAACACGTTCGTATCGAATACAATCTGCAGAAGGCTCACTGGGAAATGCTTGTCAATGGTAGGAATGGTGTGTTTCACGATGACACCCATGTCGACAAAGGTTCTGTGGTCAAGCTACACCACGGAAGTGAAATTCTCATCCAAGGTATAACCATTATTTTCAAGCTGCCAGATAACGCTCGCAACGAGGACGAAGAGGAAGAGCCCGCCCACATTCTTTCGGACACGGATAGTTCCCTTTCCGACTTGGACAGTGTCGCTAGTGCTACCTTCGGCCACGATTACGAAGAGGAAGACGTATCATCTGAAGACGAGCCTCTGCGCCTCAAACGCCCTGTGCAGAAGAAGGAGCGACCACGTAGAATTGTCAAGCTCAAATTCACGCTCAAGAAGAACTTCCCTGCTGTTGCTGGACTGCCTNNGTCGAGAAGGGAAGACAAGAAAGAGAAGGAACTGGAGAAAGAGAAGAAGAAAGAGAAGGAGAAGACCAAGGACAAAGAGAAAGAGAAGGAACCTGAAAAGGAGAAGGAAAAGGCGCCTGAGAAGGCCAAAGTCAAGGAGAAGGAGAAGGAGAAGGACAAGGAGAGGGAGAAGGAAAGAAGGCCATCCAAGTCTGGCAAACAGTCCATCAAGACCGACAAGCCCCCGAGAGCGGAAAAGGCAGAAAAGATGCCTCGTACACCCAAGGCGGACAAGGTCGAGAAGCCAGTACAAAAGGTGCCCCTACCTCAAAAGACCGAAACGAGCGACAAGATCGAAAAGCCAAAGGATGTTCAACCTGCCGAGAAGACGATCGTCACCCCCAAGCAGCCCGAGGCCGTTGCACCCGTCTTCGAAGAGAGAAGAGAATCCGCTGTGATCACGACCGANGATGCCCCTCCATCACAGCCTTTCGATATCAAGCCGTCAATTGAGCCTGACTCTTACGAAGCTCTTCAAGCTTTGCAAGTGACGCCGTCTCAAACTCCTCCCGCCATTCCTACTGATCTACCTCCTGGTTCAATTCTCGCCGGCCTGGCACCCGAGGAGATTCCTCAAAAGCGAAAAGGTCCAGGAAGACCTCCCAAGAACGGTGTCATGTCCAAACGTGATGAGGCAATCATCAAGCGCAAGACCAAGGAGTTGCANAAGCTAGGCAAGGTCGTTCCACCGCTCGCCGAACTCTTGGCTCTTGCCAGAGCTGAAGGCGGAAGTACTACCAAGAAAGACTCTAAACCAGAAGACGGACGTGAAGGAGAGCATCTCAGCCAATCTGTCGAGATCGACCCTGCACTTATGGCAATTCAAGAGCACAACAACGCCACACCCTCAGTCGAAGTCAAAACCGAGGGAGGTGTCCTAGTTGCTCAGCCTACACCTGACAAGGATGCGAACAAGCCGAAAAGGATCGTCAAGTCTCCGTCTCCACAAAAGCCCGAATCAGAATACACCGAGGAAGAGCTCAAGAAACCGACTCAGACCTATGTTGTTCTTATTCACGAGGCACTATCCAAGGCTCCGACTGGTGTAATGGATCTGCAACAAATCTACGATGCCATGCAGAAGATGTATCCATGGTTCAAGTATAGAAGTACGACTCATGGCTGGCAAAGTAGTGTCAGACACAATCTCATCAGTAGTGAGGCTTTCGAAGAGGCTGGCAAGATTGGCAAAGGCAGACTTTGGAAGATTAATCCCAATGTTTCTATCGACAAGGAGAAGAAACGCAAGGCTCCAACGCCGCCTCCGGACAACAGACAAGCTCAGCAACAGCAATACCCGTACTACCCGAACAATCAATACCCGTACGGTCATCCTGCAGCTCCTGCGTACGGTGCTTATGCCAGACCAAGCCCTTACGGTACACCTTACGGTCCGCCAACCGTACAGAACGTGGCACGACCGCCTGTCCCAACTCCGCAGCAAAAGCCTGGTACCTACTATTCTCCATATGCCTCAACTACACCAGGTACTGCCGCCGCTGGTTCGCCTTATGGCCCACCGAGTAGAGCCCCGTATGCTCCTTACCCTCAACCACCTCGCCCACCCGGTAATGCTTATGGCCAACCGCCACAGCCACCGGCACAACCTGGTCAACCACAAGCTCCAGCGCAGCAAGGCCAACCACAGCAGCCTCAATCCGGTCAAGCTCCTCACCCACCTACAGGCCAACAGTATCAGCCGGGAGTCGGTCAAGCCCCAGGGCCGCCTAACGGTCAACCACAATACGCTAATCAAGGTCAACCGCAGCCTCCTCGACCTGTGATGGCTCCAGCACCTGGTCAGGCCCCTCCTCCGGCACATAATCAGAGCGGGATCACTTCTGAGAAAATGATCGATAATATTATGGACTATCACAAGAAGTATCTGAGTAACTTCCAAGGCCCTGAGCAGGACAAACATAGAGCGATCTTCCGCAAAGCCACCAACAGACACATTCGCCGTGATCAAGAACACGGTCCCTTCGAGTCCGAGGAAGAAGAAAAGCTTTACAAAGCTATTCAAAATATCATCACCTCTACACAGGCAGAGACAGCATCTGCCGCCCCTGCACAGCCTCAGGCGAACGGTCCGGGACCTGGTCAAGGAGGACCGCCTCAAGCTCAGACGCAACCAGGCGCCACACAAACTGCGCCGGGCCCAGCCTCACAACCACAAGGTGCTCCCGGTCAGCCACCTCAACAAGGTATGCCAGGCTCGCAGCCGATGATGGGTCAACGACCCAACACGGGACCCCATCCTGTCCAACAAGGATCCAGCTCAGAACAGGCATTGGCCGAAGCGCTCAAAACAGCTATGCCCGGTGCGCAACCTTTCAGGCAAGGTCCACCAATTGGTCCTTATCATCAAGGACCACCGGCACACCAAGGTATTGCACCGAGACCTGGTCCGTTCGTGCAGCCACAACCTCCGCAGCAACAAGAATGCAGCCTCCGGCAGGACAGCAACAGACACCTCACGCTCGACCCAATCTTGCGCCCACGCCTTCCGTGCCTCAAGTGCAAGCACCCAGGCCGACATTCACTCAGCCGTCTCAACCTCCGTCAACTGCAACAACGCCGGCAGTTCAGACCCAGGCTTCGACTCCCGTCGTCCCGAAACCCGTTGCTCCTGCTCCTGCTCCGGTCCAGCCGACGCAACCGTCTTCTGCACCAGCCCCAAATCAGCCGACTCAACAAGCTCCTGCGCCTCCTGCGGCGGCCCAAACAGCTCCAGTTCCTCAACCTGCACCTGCGGTCCAGCCAGCTCCAGCATCTACATCCTCACAGATGCCGATACCTGCTTCGCCGGCACAGCAACAGACACCTGCGCCCGTATCTTCGACCACTACACCAGCTCCAGTGGTCCCTCAGGCGCAAGCCACGCCATCACAGCCTCCATCGATCGTCCCTGCTGCTACCCCAACGCCAGCTCCCGTAGCACCGACGCCTCCAGCAGATCCCAATGCTCATGGAGGACTGAAGCGACCAATTGAGATCGATGACGACGGCGACCACGAAGCCAAGAAACAGAAAACGGACGAGCAGCAAGCATAGTGGCGTTTAATGCTCTGGCACTGATGTAGGACACGAAGTTTACGAGGCGTTGTTACTTTTCTCGCATCCTCTTTGCTGTTTTTATTTTTCTATTTGCTTTGACGTTATTGCTTTTCTTCGGCGTTATACATCATGAGGCACACACCTGCATGCCTCATGGAGGGAGGGAGGTTTCTTTTCACTTTTAAGCGACGGAGTGGATGAGTTCCAGGCGTCTTGTCGATGCATGAAGAAAAGAATGGGATAGGCAAAGGCGTTTCATCATATACAACGGAGCTACTATCATTGGAACACTCTTGAGAATCACAAATACCCCCATTTTTCCACTCGCGCCTCTTTTTTCATGTTTCACGTTCCATGTCCATCATTTGAAATTCATTTCCAGCGATCATGCCTTCCCTTTCGGGTGATGTCCGACTTTTCTCCTGAGTCGCTCCTGCCTCGCAGGAGACACATATGCAAGGTGATACCGGATGTTATGAAAGGGAAACGTATTCCGCCAGTGATATAGGAGTCTATGGTACTCCTGAATAATTGCCTGGATCTGGACTCTCAGAATAGCACAACATCGAAGCCTCTTCGCTCAAGGAACACATCCCAGCGCTCGCCATTGCCTTGATCCCAATAGGCTCTCAGGGCTGTTGAAGCGGCGTCTGCATTGCCCCACCCGTAGTTCCGGATGCGATTCATACAAGCTTCGATGTAATCTCTCAACTCTGGATCTTCAGCCTCGCATCCTGCTGTGAACAGCGGCCAAAGGATCAGAACATTAGCAGGTGATTCTGGTCTTAATCTACCCAGTAGATCTAGCATAGAAGCCAGCGCTACCGCAGGTTTGGGATCGAGTTCTGGAAGCTCTTGTACACGACGGTACAGATGTAAAAGTGCGGCGTGTACGAACATTTGGTGTACGTAGACGGCCTCATCCACAAGCACAGGATCCTGCGTATGGGAGAGCGATGGCGATGAAGCGCGTGTAAACAGGAGAGAAAGCTGTTGCTCGGTAAGTAAGATGTTGTCTGCTAAAAGCATATCCAGGTCATCAGCCATTTCAGCATAGCCCGAGCCGAGCGAAGACCCTAGGACCTTACGGCGGCGTTGCAGACGTGCCATACGACCTATTCGCGCAAGTACTGGCATCAGCTCCAGTGAGAAGCCGACGAACTCGTCGATGTACTGTGGTGAGGAAGTGCCGCTTGGAGCTCCTATCGACCAGAATTGGCCGTCTGATGAGGTGGTCTTGTCGAGACTCATGATGCTGGCAAAGATATCTACGACAGCAAACCAGCGGATGAGGAACAACTTCTTGCCATCCAGGTCCGTGACTGCTTCGTGTCTAGATTTTCCAAGCGCAAGGGACAGCAAGTGTTCTGCACCATTGAGATGCGTACGCATGGCCATAGTGTTTCCAGCCATGACTTCGTTCGTACAGAGAAAGAGAACAGTGCATATGGTAGAAAAGGTGGGAGCTTCTGTTGGATCGTTCATTGCTTTCCGTAGACCGGTGATAGCCTTGCGTAAGAAGAAGGATGCTCTGTTCTGTAGCTCGATCGAATCGTTTCCACGGAGGCGCCGTACTTGATCGCAAGATAGCGCTAAAGCTGCCGAGAGTAAATGTGGTGTCTGAGCCGCGACCGTCAGGACCTCTTGATGTATCGAAGGTGCCATTAGTGGAAAGAGCGTAAGCGATGTATGCGTGATATAATGGTGAAGGAAAAAGTAAGCATTAGGAGACTCAGATGGACACAAGAGTGGATATTGGCTCAAAGAAGGTGGTAANNAGCTTGCATGTGTTAGCAAAACCGAACAAATCTAGCATTAAATCGACTGACTCGGTGGAGAGTAGTGCTGGTAAGGCACAAGAGAAACATCACGCTCGATTGTTTCGTCAGCTGGCTCAAAATCAAGGTCAGATGGGACATCAAGCAGATTTGCATCTGCGAGTGTACTGTCCTCAGGCAGGAGAAAAGAGTCTTGATAGTCATCGAGGTCAATGGAGTCATCGAAAGGTTGTAATGCTACGATAATGTCAGGATGTTGGACGAATCAAATGAATGATGAAGACTCACAATTCGATGCTTCTATGTTAGAATTTTGTGAGATACACGGGAGTTGTAGTGATTGCGAATCAGCAGTCGAAGTTGCGTTATTAGCGGTTTCCCCNNCCTCGAGTTGAGCGGCGGAGACAGGCTGCGTCGCATCAGGATTGGAAGTTGCAACACTTGCATTCAAATTCGTGACCCAAGGCTCTTTTGTCCTTGGCTTCTTAAAAGGTCGACCCTGCGTCCATGACAACTTCAACTCGTAAGAACATCGCTCGGGATGTCTCTTGCACCTTCCACAACTAGGCTTGCCCTCATCGCATTTCACGCGTTTCCGTTTGCACTCCGAGCATCCCGTCCGCGACTTTGATCCACCGCCGGTCGCTTTGGGGTCAGACATGTTGATTGCGAATCCATCTGTATGGTCATGATAGGGTTGAGAAAGCTGGATGACACACCGGCGGCATGACTGGTGGTGGTTGTTAATCGGCTAGAGTTGCACTGTCGGCGGACCCCGCCCACCCGAGGTCGGCGGTCGTTGACGGCTTTGGTATATCGAGTTATTCTCTGCGATGACAGCGACGACATAGTGTTTCAATGCTTCCGTCTTCTCATGTTCGGATGTTCATAGCGACAAATAACTAGAGTGTAAGCTACAGTATTCGAAAGTTATACTCAATAGACAAATGAGTCTGTTTGAGAAGCAAGATGTTCAAGATTACCCGAGCATGAAGCCTTATCAAACACTCTCATCGCGGATTGGATCAACGTAACACAGCTTACTCTACATAGACATCTCCTCACGAGTTTACTTTTTCTTCTGCTCGTAGCATATGTGCAGATGACCCCAACATCTCGAAGAGGCAGTTCAATACGTTCGTCGTCATAGTGTATGCAGCTATGTAAAGCGCAACAGAAACCCAAGAATTTGTTCAAACTACTCTCTACTACCTTCCATCAGAGTTCGAAGACGACCACTGCAATGTTTTTCCTGTCTCTTTTTACACACGTCTTCTGCTTCCTCATCTTCCTCATCACGAAGAAAGTAGTTGCGATGGAGTCTAGCACACCCAGTGTCATGCTAGACATGAGAGGTTCGTTGTCATCGCGTCTGAGGTATTCAGATCCTAACATGTAGGACAGACATCAGTATGAAATCGACCTTGGGCCCTTGAGATTTTCATGAGAATAAGGAGAGAAAGCAGTGTTTCCATCAGATGAATGTACTCGAAGTATACATCCGATCTACTCCTGCCGTGGTTGCATGCTTCCAATATCACGAGCGACCTGGGACGCACACGGCATGCGAAACATGTAGAGTCGTGTTGCTGGTGGTCATACACCATTCGAGGTAGCCCGGTATCAGTCGGTGGCTAGAAGGGCATATTCAGAAGATCCGATAGTTCGACCAGGCTCATGGTGTTCAAAGCAGAGAGTGGGTACGACTGTGGGATACGGCATGTATGGGCACAAATCTAGAGGAGGCATCAGGGACAAGAGTGTAGAGGAAGGTTGTTAAATCGAATTGTAGTCGCAAAATTGCTATGTCGACAGAAGCAGACCCCATCTCAGAGTGAAAGTCGTAGCCGTGGCACCTTAACGCCAGCCCCAGAATAAAACAGAACAAAACCAGGGTATGCCTCGAAGTTAGTATGGTCTTTGCAGTCGAACATGTAGCGAGAAGAAGAAAAAGGAACAGACGAGATTACATGGCCATCTCAGCTTGCAATCTCCGGAGCTCGGCCTCCTCGTCATCTTCNNCCTCTTCTTGAGCGGGTGCCTTGCCTCTTGNCTGCGAATAGTCAGTAAGTGGAAGCAATAATGGTACATATCTGTAAGACTCACGTTCGGTATTGTTGACACTAGGCATGCGGTGGACCTGGTCGTGCACAGGCATGGTACCAGTCTTGAGCATAGTGTTGTCCAGCTCCTCTTGTTGCAGGTCAGCAAGCTCTGATTCGAGCTCATCGTCGTCGACAGCATTTGCGGTAGAGCCTTGGGTAAGAGCGCTGGCAATCTCCTTGCTGATGGCGTGTTGTTCTTCGAGATCTTCCATGGTAGCATCGACCTTGTCGATTGTCAAGCCACCGTGAATGGTCTTCATGGCCTTGGAGGCATTGCCCAGAGCGTCCAGAGTTTCCTTGTTGATGTTGGCTGTCTCAATGCTGGCGATTTGACCCTCGAGGTTCATGATCTGGGCAGATGTTTGTTCCAGGGTGGTCTCGAGTTGCTTCTTCTTTCGCAGGGCGTTCTTGGCGGCTGNTAAGAAGGGTTAGAGGGCGGCGCGAGTGGCTATAGGCGAGGTCTGCGTACCAGTCTTGTTTGTGTTGATAAACTTCCTAGCCTTCTGATCCTCNNCCTCGTCCATCTGGTTTTGCAAATGCTTCTCACGCTTGTTCAGCATCTCGAGGGTGCTCCTCAACTGCAGGATGGCCTTCTTGGGGGCATCTTTCTTAGCGGCCGAGTTGCCGCCAAACCAACCTCCCAACCCCCAGCCGGACATGTTGTAAGATGTTAGATGTGGTGGCGCTTGTGTATGTAGAGGCGGAGGTCCTGTTGGCTACAGACGCGGGCTATAGCGAAAGGCGATGGTCGGGCACGAAGGTGGGGGACGTGTATGCTCGTGTGATGGCGGGGTAGTAGTGGAGCGCGGTGAAGGTCGGCGGAAGCGAAGGTCGTACAAAGAGCAGGTCTAGGTGAGTCGGAGTATACAGCAGCAGCTGGCGGTGATAGGTGTGTGATCTGTGGTCGAGATTGTGTTGTGGAGAAGTGTTTGTCCTGCTGGCTGCCTCCCACTGTCTGCTGAAGCATGACGCACCCAGATGCCAAGCCCTGGAGATTTGACACGCCGTCCAATTGAACGCCACCAATCTGCACCAATCAACGAAGGCACCACCTTCCTTAGGCTTCACCATCGTTGCCTTTTGTCGATATACGGCATTGGTCTGACACAACTCTTGACGCCAGCCACGACCCGAAAACATGAGTAGCTCGTCACCATTACCAAGTCGGCTATGTGCCATCAGCCAGCTTCACTCGCTTTTTACAGGTGACAAAGTTCGCTTTCTAGGATGGTAGGTATCCAATCGTCGTTTGTATTCTGCCACCTCTCTGAGTACAAANAGTGTGAACCAATACCATGAACCAACTGCTTCGTTATTTGTCTTCCATGACTTTCCTTCTAAAGGTCACCACACTGCCCAAGTCGACATCAGTCAGCTACTCGACACCATCGATCGCCAGAACCTCCAGATCGGTGCCTGGCTCAATATCATAGGATACATCACGCCTCCTTCGTCCAGGTCTGGGTCCAAAGTGCAAGCCATCACCGTATGGTCTGCGGGTGCTATCAATGTGCAACAATATGAGTCCGCTTTGGTCCTCAGACAGACGACATAGCCTGCCATATGGTCTCCTCCTATATTTGGTCCTGGCTCAACAGTTCTCCACCACTATCGACATACTGTTGCGCTGTTCCGTGAGCAAAAGACGAGCCTTCGTCTGTCTTTTGGTGCCGAATTGGACATCTCATGGAGCCGATCAGTTTGAACGCTGATAGATCGTCAGATTGGCGAGGTGGTCTGGATCTACAGGACCCTGTACCAGGTTTGACTGACGATACTCTAGGTCCGTGGCGCTGAAACTGTTCAGCAAGGTGTTGAACCGTGGACCCACATTGTCACTGTTGATGGCTTCACTCTCTTGGACGTAGGTCTCCATTGCTGCCATGTCTCGCCCACCGAAACCTTTGGGGCTGTTACCGATGAAAACTTGTGGATGCAAGGACAACACTTCCGGCCAGACGTTGCAGTTGAGGTGTGGCGCGAACACGAAGACGTTCTTGTTGTGTCTAATCATATTGGATGCAGCTGGGTCGGTTATGATGATGTTGATAGATCGCTCGCTCGAGTGTGGCATGTCTTGCANAAGGTGCATTGTCTGAGAGTCAAAGACAGGGTCTTGGAAATATCTCTTGACCGGCTCGTAACGGGCGCCATTCGATGCGCATTCCGCCCTCCATTTCTTGTCGACTTTCTCGTACATGTATACGAAAACCGCATACTGGACGACAAAGCAATTCGTGCGGTGGAAAGATTGTCGAGGGGCCCAATTTCCCAAGCCCAAACAAATCATAGTCTGGATGTTGAGCGTCTGGTTCACGACTGCGTGTATCTGGGCTCGAAACTCCTGCCACTCAGGCTCTTCTCTGATCTCCTTGAGGGTATCCTTGATATCCAGGGATATTCTGAGTAGTGCTTGAGGGTTGTTCAGGTTTCTTGCTTGGTCTCCTCTCGGCCTTCTGGCATGCACTCCATTGAGACGATAAGTTCGCTCGCCGTTCGGCCTGTGGGCATGCACTCTGTCGGGACATCCAGCCTGCTCGCCATTCTGTCCATGGGCCTTTCCTCCAGTTTGACGGTTCTCGTGAAGGGCTGGTGTTTGTGTGTACTTGCTGCGCAGATCATTGAACACCTTGGTGTTGACCTTGTGGCCGAGTGCAGCTTCAAGTTTCGCCTGACTGGGCTCTACTGCAGAAGCCACGATCCTGCCCATGTTGTCGTACGATATGCTGTTCGAGTTCTTGGTTAGACGAATGTTGGTGAATTTCACTCCTATACCGTGGGTCCGGACCGACTGTTTGGGTGTCGAATCGCCAACCGCTTCGACGGGACGAAACCTGAAAACCGCACAACGAACGACAAACCTAAATGACTCGGTCTACACCCGTTTGCAAGCGTGGCCATATCTCGAACTCCGAGTCTGCTTGTGATAGTTTGAGGTCACATCACGAGATATGTATGAGAGCGTTCGTCTACCTGGAGAGCCCGGTTTGCTCGAGCCCTCGCTTACCATAGAAACACACAACGAGATTGCATACGCAAAGAGCGCTTCGAGTCCAATACATATTCTAGTTGTATATTGCTGCACCTGATACACCGCCGGAATATCCTAACAGGAACTCATGTCTTCTGCTGCAAAGGGGAACAAACACACAAATCAGATCAAAACGAGCAAACACTCATCTAGAGCTAGGGTTCCATCTACCCTGCACCTTATCCGTCTTGTTTCTGTATGGAAAGTTCCGCAGATCCAACGAGCCTCTTCTTGTGCTTGCGTATATGCTGCCTTCCAAACCCACTCCAGAACGTGCTGGCTGAAGTGCTGGTACAACGGAATGCGCTGATCCAGAAGACTCTCCTTGAGAGGACTCAAGGGTCGACTCGGAAGTGCTATTCGTGGTATTGGCATTTGGGTTGACACACGAACGCCCAGTAATGCTTGAGAGTGTAGTGTCGTCTGACGCTGACGACATGGCATCAGAAGAAGCTGTGAGATGCCCGATCAACGGCTCAGTGCTGACTGACTTCACTGCTGCAAAATTGAAGGCGGACTCGTTTGAAGACACGGGTTCAGGGTGGGGCTCCTTTGGATGGTGAACAAACAAAATTTTGAAAGCAGACACCAGTTCGCCGTAATGATCGTTGAGGACTTCTTGCTCGTAGTAATTGTGGAAGGCGTCTGTGTGACCGACGAACTCCTGCATATCCAGCCCGAACGTATGATCGGCTGTTATGTATGCCTTGCGGATGTACCTCCGTGCAAGCTCTCGCCCCATAGGATGGGAGTACTCGTTTTCTATTCGGTTGCCAATATACAGGACTGGACGCTTGAGGAGCACCGTTGACCCAAAAACGTTATGCTGGATGAAAGGTCCGAAGACGAAGCACGACCCGGTCATGTAATCAAGAGCCTCTGGGTGTTCAACGACCTTTCCTCCGGCCAAAGTAGAAAGAACATATTCTTCTGACGCCTTGAAACCTGGATCCTGGAAGACCATTGGGATTTTGTTTCCTTGCTTCTCCTCGAGCATCTCGCGGAGTACAAGGAAAAACGCCAGTTGATGCATGAAAGCATTCTTCCATTTGAGACCCACTCCGTGAAATTGGCCCAAAGCTAGACATACGGCTTGATCAACGAAACCAGCCCTCCTCACGATCTCCTCAAGGCGGTTTCTGAAGTTTGGACGGTCGGTCGGACGTGGCTCCCTTTGCTTCATGCGTGTCTTAATTTTCAAGACGTTGTTCCACATCTGAACACACACCTTCGGTCTTCCGGTCTCGTCAAGATTCTCCTTCTGAAACTCTGGATTCTCACTCAAAAAACCCGTATGCATTTCAATCCAGGTGTCTGGTGGAATTCCAGCCCAAGAGCGGTTTTGCACATATGGAAAGGGATTGGCGGGATTCGACGGAAGAGTTATGTTTTCCGATTCCTCATCTTGGTCTGTTCTGCGTTGCAATGTTCTGTGTGGACCTGGTACATTGGTCCGCTGAGTATTCGGGTTCGAGGCCAATGTCCTGTGTGGACCTGGCACATTTGTCCGTTGAGTATTTGGGTTCGAGGAAGACATACTGCTTATGATGCTCGAAGAATCATGGAGATCGACCTTTGGGCTGTTCGAGAAAAGCATGATCATGGTTTGTTATAGGTACCTTTTCTGTGTTCATCTCGAATGGCCGCATCCGGCGATTCGAGACCAAATCATCTGTAAGCGGTCGATCAAAGAGATGCCTCAAGATCATGCATCGAAAGCTCTTTGACCATTATGATCAGCGTGCCTATGAATTCTGTTCAAATTCATCTACGATCTCAACAGTGCATCGTGAGAATGAATTTTCCATGGCTAAAGTAACAAAAATGCGATAAAAGGCCATTGGTATCCATATCTCTGTCATTACCATGCTGTTTTCGGTGATGTTCTGTCCAATTATCTTCTTTGTTCGCCGCCATCGACCCCCTTTAGTCAACTGCGCCCAGCTGCTTGGAAGCAGATACAATCTCAAATATGAATCAGGCGAGTCAAGTCTTGTGGAGAAGTCGAGAAAACCAGGCGTTATAGGATCTCGATCATTTCGGAAGGATGCATATGGTGAGGCATGGATCGTACCTCCCGCAACATACACGAGACATACATCACTATTATCAAAGTATGAAACGATCGAAATCTCATATATGACTGAGCTCTACCTATGTGATGGATGACATAAATCACGACAAACTCACTAATACGCAACAAGACTACGAATTTGAACTCCCATCTTCAGGCTTTTAGCCCCTGGTATTGTCCCTGGCGAGTTTCGTCTTGACAGTTCTAGCGAGATCGATTTTCAAGCCTTGCGAGTTCAGCCTCATCGCGTTCGAGCTGCTCACGTCTAACGCGCCTGGACTGTTCGTAAGCAGCAGCTTCAGCTTGCCCCTCGGAATGGGGTCGCTCCTCTCCCTCGCCCACCGATCGAGCGACTGATACATCGGTAGCTTCGCACAAGGGTTCTTCCACAGGCTCTGTTGAGGACTCTTCTGAAGGCATCACTTTGACAGATCCAGCTCGAGAGGGCTCGCGAGCAGGCTCCAAGTCAGCGTCGAACAAGCCAGTCGCTGCTAAGTCGGCTTCAACTTTGTCTTGAATCATTGCCTGTTTGGCGCGTTTGACCTCTTCTGAGCGCGCAACTTCAGCTGCATGATCAGGACCCGCTTGCGCAAGACGCAAGGCTAGAGGCTCAGCAGGTCAAATTTCGCGTTCAGGGTCATGACATGAGGCTCAGAAGCCTCTCTAGCAGATGCTGCTTCGAGTTTCTGCACGTAGAATGAAGATCTGGAAAAGCTTTCCTCAGCATAATTGACAATTCCCCATTTTTCGTTGGGTGGGCATAGTCTCCCCAATAAACAATCCCTTCGCGAGTTTCAAGAAAACGTGTGGCCACGTTGTACATGTCGACTGACTTCTGGTCGACGGTCGTGTCTCGAGTCCAGTATACCTTCTTGAGGTAACTGTCGGTGATCAGCCAACCGATGGAACCCAGGCTTCCATGGAAAGTGTTCGTGTACAACAGTTCCGGCTCATGACCCTCTCCAAGGATTGTGTCGAACAGATGATCAAACGGAAAATGGGGTGCATAGACGAAAGATTGTCCGTTCATATAGTTGTTTGCTTCAGGATGCTCGACGATGGTTTGACCGCCAATTTCCTCGAGGATGTATCGGTCTTCGAGCTGGAAAGCTGGATCTTGAAAGATTGTCGGCAGTGATCCTGGAGTCATGTCTTGCTTCTCTTCGATCATCTTGCAGAGAGCAAAGAACAGGCCACACTGCTGAACATAGTGGTGTTTATAGTTCCCAGGACTTTGGTATTGAATCGAGCCCAACCCGAGACATACGGCATTCTTGATATATCCAGCCCTTTCGACGACAGTCCTAAGGTCCGCCCTGACTCTTTCAATGTCTCCTAGGGGGCCTGCTGTATCGAGATATGCTTGATCGTTCATGAGAAGTCGTGTTACAGCCATTATCTTATTCCATATTACTGGGAATTGGCCATTTGCTGGTTGACCGTCTGCAAGGTAAGTCTCAGGCAGGAACCCAGGATGATACTCTAACCACTCTTGGATATTTTCGTTCCACTCCTGAAAGTTGATGCCTACCGGTCCATTTTGTCCAGACCTGCGATGAGGTGGTAATGGATATGGGTTTCGTGGTTTATTCGGTGGAATGCTAGCCATTCCAGAAATCAGCTATTCTCGTTGAGGCGAAGAGGAGCGGTAGTATAGTTGTCAACTGTTGGTCGTGACCGGAGGCAAGAGTTTCAAAAATATCGCCATCTTCTAGTATCCAGAACAAATATCAAGCGTTTCCGCATGCGGACAATACTGCCACAACATTTCCGACACCGAGGAATGTGTCGAGGCCATGAGATTGATCGTAGCTTTGTTCCTTTGTAAATTCATGACGAGGAAAAGCATATGCATGCAGTTCGAGACAAAGAGGTGTTGCATGATCATGAAGTTAAGGAAGCTTTGGGTCATTGAGATGGGACAGCTCGAGGAATGTGCGAATCCAGAAGCGGTCCTTCCTTTGACCCTGCAGTCAGCTGCTGATTGTACCCTTCTTTCCAGAGCTTCGATTGTCGTTGCTTTACGCAGACGATAATTCTACTCGACACAAAGAAGTTATCTAGATGCTCGAAGGAAGCGATACAAATCGTAAATGTTCATGAATTGCGACAGATGATGCTGCCTACATAACCTTTTCGAACTACTCCCATAGTACCTTGATATAGTGATACCACTTAGTATAAGGCTTCTTCTCCTTGTATGTAGTCATCACCTCATCAAGTCCACTGACTAGATCTACAGTCAGCGGTGGACGAGCCCAAGCCTCATGCCGAGCCCAGAACACCTTGTGAACAAGATAAATAATGATAGGAATAGGAATGCCAACATATGCCGTGAAGAAACTAGCGATTGACCAGTTCTGTGGCCAGAAGACGGTGAAGCCGTTTATCAAAGTCAAGATGGTGAAGAAGATCATGGCAAACCATGCACCCCAGGGCTGCATGATTGTGTTTCGGTACGGGAGATCAGAGTCTGGGATGTCTTGAGCGGTGATTGCTTTGCGGAAGCGGATGTAGGTGATGCAGCAGCAGATCCAGGAGATGAAGGCTGAGGTGTTGGTGAGATTGACGAGCCAGTTGAAGACAACACTAGCAGAGTTTGCGACATTGAGATAGGCCAACAATGAAAAGAGAGATGATACTCCCATTGCACGGATTGGGACACCGTTTTTACTGCAGTGCTTGAACCAAGCTGGCGCATTACCAGCAAGAGCAAGAGAGTACAGGCTGCGTCCAGAAAGGTAGAGGAAGGAGTTTCCAGATGACCAGGCACTCAGGATGATGCCTCCGTTGATGATCGAATCCAGGACAGGGATACCAGCGTTCTTGATGCCAACCACAAAAGCTGAAGATCCAGCACCAACCCCGCCATTGGTCAATGCCTGATCATCTGAACGACAGATGACACCAATAGCAAGGACTGAGAATATGTAGAAGAAAATCAGTCGGTAGAAGTATCTTCTGGCTGCAATCGGAAGGTTGCGACGCGGGTCCTCGATCTCACCACCAGTTGCAACCAACAATTCTGGTGCAAATGCAAAGGNGAATGCACTAAGCACCCAGGTCGACAACAGTGCTATGAACCGTCCAGTGTTTCCTTCGGCAAGGTAAACGTTTGCTGCTCCTGGATTTGTCCAGTAGCGAAATCCGAGTCTGTCACCTCTCGGGCCACCACCCAAGCAAATAATGAGCGATACAAGCAACAAGCCGACCATCATGACGACCTTCGTCCNCTGTGAACATTCGAGTTAAGCGGTGCATGAATCAACTACAACTAAAGGCGACTTACCAGCGAACCAGAACTCCACCTCGCCGTAGTATTTGACTGGTAAGAGATTCAGTGCGACAATAAGAACCAACATGATCGAAATCCAGACGGCGATGTTGATGGTGGACCCCCAGTACTCGATGACTAGCCCAGCTGCTGTAATCTCGTACGGCACCAGAATACCGAGAGAGTANNCCTTTGTTTGTGTCAGCAAGTCGGTCATGTAATGTTGAGATCAACTGACTTACCAGTATAGCCAACCCAGAGCAAAGCCGAAACTGGACGACACGAATCGATCTGCAAACATGGTCATGCTACTACCACGAGTAGGCAGATAGGCCGACATTTCAGTGATGGNCTGAGAGTGTTAGAATGTACTTCTTGATCGAAGCACTAGACAAGATGGCTTACCAGTAACAATCATCCAGATCAATGCAGCCATGAAGATAAATGATCCCAAGATGAATGCTGGACCACCTCTGGCAAGTGTTTGACCACTGCCCACAAACAAGCCAGTACCGATGGTGCCTCCTAGAGCAATCATCTGAGCATGTCGAGACTTGAGACCGCGTTGTGTTGTCCCGTAGGACTCGTCGAAGACATCTCCTACTACAGGTCCTGAAGTCGTTTGGTAGATTGGACTGCCCTTCTCTTGATCAATCTCGTAAGGTGCGTTCACACGGGTCTCCTCGCGTGATAGCTTGTCGGATGACATGGCTGGTCTGGTTGGTGCCGCTTGATCTAGGAGATCGATTGAGTGTCAACACAAGGCAAGGGTAGAAGCCGAACAGCAACACAACTGAACCAATCGAATGGTTGCAAGAAGAGTAAACGATGGAAGAAGCTCGACAGAGCGTGTACGAGAGGAAACGTTTGGAGCGGCGACCTATTATACTTGACCATTCTCATAGACGACCAATACTGAGGTTGCTCAAGGAGGTACGCAGGCCAAGAGGTAAGCCCAGAATCGTAGACTGGGCAAGCAAGACCGCAGCAAAGGTTGTTTTCGGACCGTCTCCCTTACTTGCAGCGGCCACCATTGGCCTAGTCATGTCTACAACAAGGATCTCGGAATAGTTCAGGGATTGTTCCGCTTTTTAAAGATAAGTTGCCTGGTGATAAGAGACTTTGTGAAGAGGTTATTACAGTACTGGGCTTTACCGAATGATCTTTCTCTCATCCGTCTCGTCGTTTTGAAGTTTTTGTCGCGAGCCTCAGGTGAAAGCCGTACGTGGCTGTAATAGGCTGCATGGCTTGCTTAGTATCATCGAATAGCCATCGCGTCTGGCGAGCGTCGCAATGGTCATCTTGTATATTGACCCACTAATGCCAACATATCGCCAAGCATTGGAAACCGCCCTTCTCTGCGAACATGAAGAAGAGCAACGTCCAAGTCTCAGCGGTGCATCTTGGTTTCTCGCACAGACCTCTCTTGGTATGATAACAGCCATGCGCCGTGTGTGAGTATATGGCTCTGTACACGCATAGCCTCTTCGCTTTCTCACGGCTCAATACTCAGCTCTTGCTGGACACGCTTGGAGAAGCCCTGACGAGAGACTCTGAAGCAGCACCAGAAGACATCTATGTTATGGAAGGACGAACGAAGCTTGATGGCTGACAGGTACAGAGTAGGAAAGGATAGGGAAATGAGGGGGAGAGGCTTGGTCCGTTACTCGGCGAGGTTGCAGGGTGCGGGCATGTTTTCACTCTCGAGCATCTTTTTGACCCAAGCGCTGCTAGGGAAGAAACGCACAATGAGCAGATGGCGTAGATGAGCGAGTCCGAGGTTGCTTCGAAGGAGTCCGAAAATTGGTCATGGAAGCCAGACCCCGCCTCTGTACCCCGCCATGTCTAGCTGCATGAGGAACATCCGCAAGTGCGCACGGCTGGAGTATTGAGGTTGAACATCTGCCCAGACATCTATATAGAGGCTGTAGAAGATCCATTGACCGTCCACAAACCGAGCAATACCAATTACAAACATGTCTTCGGCAACGTCTTTCCGCCAATTGATCGGGGTGCAGCCATCAACAGCCAGCGTCGCCGATAGCACTCTCATCATCATCGACGCTCAGAACGAATATGCCGAGGGCAAGCTGAAGTGCTCAAACACGGCTTCCTCCAGGAAGGTTATTTCATCGCTGCTGCAAAAGTATCGCGAGGGCAACGGGAAGGTCGTACACGTCGTCCACGACACTCCGGATGGCGCACCTGTCTTCACGCCCGGCACCAAGCTGGCTGAAGAATTCGAAGAGCTTGCGCCAAAGGATGGAGAGAAAGTGATCCACAAGAACTACCCTAGTTCTTTTGCAGGCACCGACCTTCACAAGCACCTAGGTGGAGGCAAGATTGTGCTCACCGGATACATGGTATGTTTGGCTACAGTCCTTCTCTTTCTAAGCAGGTTGCTGACAAGTGCANNGGCGCACGTTTGTGTATCGACGACGGCCAGACAGGGAGCGGAGCTGGGCTACGATGTGGTTTGCGTTGAGGATGCGATTGGTGACAGATCGATTCCAGGCGTCGAAGCAGAGGAGCTGACCAAAACTGCGCTGAACGAGATTGCCGATGCGTTTGGCACCGTCATCCAGAGCAGCGAGATCAAGTAGAATGGTCAATGTGAATGTTCCTCAATCTTCGTCTGAATGCTTCAGGGTATAGATGGTCAAGGCGAGACTGTGGCCGTCGGCGAAATCGGCTTCTGGCATCTTGTTTTCTTGGTGCGTGTCGAGGATGGCCTTTGCGGCAGCCATTGCACTGTCGCATTGTTTCAGTACGGGAGTGTCGCTCTTCGAATCGGCGGCCAGTCGGTTTCGAAAGCGCTCAGCCTCGTCGATAACCCAATGCATAGACGAGCTAACGTAGAGTTGTGACTTTTCAGCAACTAGCATAAAAGGCAGCTCGAGAAGCCACTCAAGGCAAGGTATGAAGATGAGCGTCGACTCATCCGCTAGCTCTTCGGCCTGAGGAGGCTCTAGAACGGCGACACCAAGGGATTCGAGGAAGTCTTTGTCGAGCGAAGTGAAGCGTGGCTCCTGGGCATAGAGCTTGAGCTCGTCGGCGTCTTTGAGATTCGGTCGCACNNTGTAGGCATGAGTATTAGCCGATCGTCAGGAGTGGACGTACTTCTCATTCGTACCCATGTCTACCAAATCCATAAACATGACCAGCTGCCAAACACTTCTGAGACGGTTTGCCCATGACAGACTCGGACTGCCCAGAGCGACACAGACGGCCTTGTTCAAAGACCATCCCCCCTCTGCCATCTGCCTTGTCAACAGCTGTTGGAGCCATCGGCGCGCTTCGCTCTCTACCCACTGCCGTTTGCACCGAGTGTGTTCATCCAGTAGCTTCTGCACTGTGAGCGATCTGTCGACTGCTGGAAGCGAGCTGCCTACTACGGGCTTGCTACCGTATCTTGTAGGCGCTGTGTGCTCGACTCTGGACCAGCCATCTTCCGTCTCTGATATGACCCGCTTCGGGTGGTATGGTTTACCCGGCCTACGCGACGAGTGTGGCATGCTTGATCTTGTCAATCGACTTGGTTTCTTTTCCAGTCTTTCGACAAGACAAGCATGTGAAAAGCCAAGAATACCACCGCCGCTTGGGCCACTTCGAGAACCATCACCACAACCACTTCTCTATCCTTTAATCATCAGCATACATCTTTGTCAACTCTACCCAGGCAAAGAATAGAGCTTTGAGATTTCCGCAGATTCTCTGGTGGCACGGGGATCCTTGAGTAAGCTGCAGCTGCACCCATGCTGCTCGACTCCTAATGCATCACCTTGCATGTTTGATTACTACCAATCATCGATACCACGAACTCCCACATTATGCACAAGGTAAACAAGATAAAGGATGCCGCTATCTCCACGAAAATAACTGTTTCCATTTCTCTCCTTTGCCAATCCTTCACCAAAAATGTCATTCCTTTCCCTGTTCACGTTCTTTCTATTGTTCTTCCTACGAGCTACTGCGCAGAGCCTCAATGTCTCGACCATAGCAGTCCAAAACGGCACCTCCACGCTCGAATGCTGGAGCCTCGAATCTCCTACTTCCGGCAGAGGTGCCCAAAACTATCCGCTCGGTGACTTCAGCAATGCCTTTATCGGTGCTATCCCTCCACACACCTATATCGGTCAGGCATGGGCTCCTTCAGTCCAGTAAATCCTCCCGCATCATCTATTTCTGAGCTCGAACTATTCGCTGATGACATAGCATGANAGATACTCAATGGTATTGCAAGGTCTTGTCCACCTGTCTTTGCCGACCAGCAAAGATGAGATTTACCTCCAACCCGGACCCTTGAGTATCCTCCTTGTAATCGATCAACGCAACGTTTCGATCTCTGGCCACATCACCGACTTCCCAGGCTCTGAGACGACATTGATTGCACAGTTTCCCGTTGCTGGTAATCAGGTGCCTGCTCATACCGTATTGCACAGTGGCCCCTGTGGTCTCGACGATGTGAAAGGATTGATCGGTTGAATGGAAGCAAAGGAAGAGAACTGCAAATAGAGCTTCACGTACAGTTACGTTGTTGGCTGGAATCTCAGGTATCCAAAAGGTCAGATGATCATGTAGAGGATGTTCAAGAATGCTGTTCGTACGACCCTGTTCGTAGATATCATATTACTTCTCGAAACAAATGGCTATATATTTCGGTCAACTGCATGGCGGTAATTACGCTTGTATCAATGTTGAATGCATCCAAATCTTCCCCGTGTGTTAAAGACTATCACAGTGTAGCGTTGAAATGCACAATGTTTTTCTGACGGAAGTGTTGCCGACGGAGATACCATACTCGATATGTCAAAACATTTCTACAGCCCCACCTTAGACATACAGAGTGATTATACGTTTCGACAGTCATGGAATCATTTTATGTTCTCGTGGGAGAGACTCCTGGTCGTGAGATTTACAACATATGGCACATAAAGGAGAATATAGCTCGCTACATCGTGGTGGGCTACAAGTAATCATACAAGATAGTCTGATTGTCATTACTAGTCGTACACTGAATAGAAAAATAATCATCCTCCAAAACCAATGCCTTGACGCCATGCTTGCTTGCTCATGTTACCATTATTAATACCTCTGAAAGCAAACGACTATCCTGCCATGGCCTGCTTGGGTGTGTGCTGACGATCAGCATTCGGTCCCCATCCACCGTCCATCTCGTCTGTAGCCTTCTGCATGCGATCAATGCCTTTGCCTTTGATCTTGTTGTTGGTCGTGTCCTCTTGCGGCGACTCGACTGCGGTGTCACTACCGAGACTGTGTTTCTCCACTGAAGCTCTTGTGCCTTCGCATTCTCCACTAGCATCAATGGCTCCTGTGTCAGCGGGTCCTGCCTCATTGCCTCCATTTTGCTGGCGGTTGCCGTGCATGGACTGGCGATGCATCTCCTTGCGGCCCATGTTCTGGCCGTTTGGAGCGATGGCATCAGAGTGTTCGTAGTTGTCAGGTTGATCCATCGCGCTTGCTCGTGGTTGCTCGGCAAGGCGCATCTCTTTCCTGCGCTGGCTGAACACCTTCTCGATGTCCTTTCCTTCTTTTTTGGCCTCGAGCGCTCGTCTGGTTGCGCTGACATTCTCGAGTGCTCCATTGTCTTCCCATTTCTTTTCTTCTCTGGATACGCTGAGTCTGCCACGAAGCTTACCACCGTTTTGGCGCTCGTGCTTCTTCTTGACATCCCAGGCTTCTTTCATGACTTTCCATCCTTCGATCACCATCTTCTCGGTATCAGACATGTTGTGACTCTTGTTCTTCTGATCAAATTCGCGAAGAGCCTGCATGTCCTTCTGTCCTTGGATGATGTGAGCTCTGCGGATGAAAGAGGTAGTGCCAGGACCACCGATGCGTTTGGTAATTTCCTTTCGTACACCTTGTCCGAGGAAGAAGGGAGGAGTAATGATGGCAGAGAGATCCTTGAGCACAAATCCACCGATACCTCGAGCACAGCCGACACCAAGACCAGCGAACTTTGCTCGCTTGGTCTTTCCGTCTGCCATCCATGCATCGGTTGTGTCACTAGGCCTGTCCATCCATCGTATATGCCATAGAGCAACTCTTGTCCTGCTGCTTTTGATCCAGAGTGCATTCCAGTGATGCGAATAGGCTTGCGTACAGAGGCATCTCCGTATAGTCTCGGTGCATTATGGAATCCCTGGCCAATAGCTAGACCTAGGTCCAATGGCATACTTGCAAGCGCACCTCCAGATTCCAGGAATGCGTCACCAAATTCTTCTGCCAGCTCTTGGGCAAGCGGCTCTTCTTCCGCAGACATAACAGACCCGAGAGTGTTGTTCGTGGAGGTGTGCCTGGGACCAGAAGGTCTCTGTGGATCCTGTTGACCCTCGGGGCCGCTCTTGCCTTTGGCAGCTTCCTTGAGTAATCTTTTCTGCTCCTTTCTCTCTGCCCTTTCCTTCTTCTTTTTCTCACGTTCGTCTCGCTTCTTGAGGTTCTTGGCAACACTGGTAGGCACCATACCAACTCCTCTTGCGATTCCGGCACCAGTCTTTATCAATGCACCGCCTGCTCCAGATATCGGCTCTCCAGGACCGTCAAAGTCGTTCCACTCGTAATGCCGTAGTAGACGAAGCTCTTTCCAGGAGAGCTTTTTCTGTTCAACCAGGATGTCTGCTGCCAAGGCACTTAACCTAAGACTTGATGACTTCATCTTCCAGACAGCCACTCTATCTTCCAGTATAGAACATCTCATGCTACGCCTTCCTGCAAAGGGTAAACTGCGGTGGAAGCTCTTGACTGCGTTTTCTGCACCATCGCCCTCGGCAGCGATGCTTTCGGCAATTTGCTCTGCGTTCTGTCGAGCTTCGTCCGTGAGACATTGCTTGATGCCTTCGGCGAGTTTGTCCGCGTCCAGTTTCTTGTAGGGAATGGCTTCGTGAGCACCGGCCTTGGCTTTTGATACCATGGCACCCCAGAACGGTTGATCTCCGAAGAAGGGCACAATCATGGTAGGCTAAAAGTTCAAATTAGCAAGCGCACATAATCCACGGAGGATGTCGTGTTGATGAGTGGACGCTTCGCGGGGATTTTGGAAGGACCCGTCCACTCAATCGAAACGACTTCCGAGGCATTGAAAGTAACGTACCTTTCCAGCCTTCAGGCCAGCAGCCGCTGTGCCAGCGCCACCGTGGTGAACAACCGCTCTCACACGAGGGAATAGCCAATCATGAGGCGTGTTCTCCAGCATGAAGATATTGTCCGGAGTGTTGTCACCACCGAGACCACCCCAACCCTTGGACACCAAAGCTCTGACCCCTGCCTTTTGACAGCATCAAAGATCATCTGCGTGAATTTGTCGGGGTCATCGACAACGATAGACCCAAATCCAATGTAGATGGGGGGTCCCCAGCGTCCAAGAAATCTGTGAGATCATTGGGTGGATCATAGTCGCTTGCAAGGTCGAGGAAGACGTAGCCAGCGATATCAATCTCCGGACCCCAATCCTTTGGCTTGGGCACGAGTCCCGGACTCCAGAGGTATGTGTAAGGAACCTTCATCCGGTAAAGTGCACCAGGTGCCCACAAACTGCTGACAGGTTCTAGACCCAGAGTTTTGACACGGAACCGGTTGACGAGGTCACCTAGACCTTGCCAAGTCATCCTAAAGTGAAAGTACAATTAGCATGAATTCACAAAGTTCGATGAGCAGAAACACCACGACTTCTCTCCTCTCCGTGTACAAAAGTATGTAACGCTTTGGCTATAGAAATGCACAATACTACTAGAAAACATGATAGTGTCCATTGAAAGGCGATTTTTCATCAGCTTTCTTCGGCCATATCTCTGTTCCTGATTATAATCGTGCATTTTTATAGTATTTGACTCACATTTCGACTAAAGGATAACTCATGAAGTTAACCTGACCTATATTGGTATTCCCCTTTTGTGGGTTGATGTTGGCAAGTGGGTGGGGAAAGATTCCGTCGGAGAGTAAGGAAAAGTAAACATTATATGCAGAGGAATACCCAGACGCTCTGCGATATGAACGTGGGCGAATGAGGGTGGGTTGGCGATAATAGCATCGGCGACGAAAGGTGCTTTTGTGCCCATCATCTTCATATTAGCCTTGTCGCCCTCGTCATCTGTGGCATTGACGCAGGCTCGCCAAAGCCCTTCGAAGATCTCGGCCATGCCTTTCCTGCGACGAGCAATCTCGCCTTGCCTGACAGTCTCGAGACTGGGAATAAGACCGGGGTTCTTCACCATGAAGGCCATCAGTTCAGAGGGGTCGCCTCCGATACTGAAGAACTCGAGCCCGACATCTTTCTCAATGAATTCCTTGAAAGCTGGGTGTGTCGCAACTCGTACTCGATGCCCGTAGCGTTTGAGGATGCGGGCAATCTGGAGGAACGGCTGGATGTCGCCGCGAGAACCGATGACCATGATAACGATATTCAAGCGTGGCCTCTTAATAGTTTCGTGGAATGAGGATGCAATGGAAGCGGCATCGTCAGAAAAATCCTCTTCAAACTCGTCGTCGGCTTTGATGTGGTGACCTTCAGAGCCTGAATCGGAATCGTGCTCATCTCTCGATGCATGTTTATGTGGGATATTAAGGTGGTTATGGACCGTCTGTGCAAACGTCTTCGCCATATACCCATTGCCAGCAGCCTCGCTGACAGAGATGTTCAGTCTACCGTCACGTTTCGAGGCGGCTTTACCTTCCGCCTGGTTCTTATCCCTTGCCGACGTTGAGCCTAGTAAAAGACTGTCCTCTCTGCATTTTTTGTTTGCCTGTGTGTTGGTTGCCTGTGTGTTGGTTGCCTGTGTGTTGGTTGCCTGTGTGTTGGTTGCCTGTGTGTTGGTTGCCTGTGTGTTGGTTGCCTGTGTGTTGGTTGCCTTCTGAATCGTCCTCCGAAGACGACGACCAGTCGGATGTATCGCTTTGTGAATTCCGATGGGTGTGAGAGTGTGAGATACTTCGCTGGAGAGCATTCATAATGGTCGCACTGCGAGGCATAGCCTTCGGTCTCTCGGTCTGCCATGATCTTTCTAGACTAGGACGGTTGCCTGGTAATGATTGTGTGTTGGTCGGTCCGGAGCCCTGGGTCGGAGTATCTGCGTGGTCCACTCTTTCTATGTCACGGTCGAGGCCATTGCTTTGCTGCGGTTGTTCAGTAAAGTAGCTTTCCTTCTCGCTGCTTTGGAGAGGGGCAGTGGCGGGAGTTTGGTATACTGAATGTGACTGCTGGTCTCCGTCGATGCCGTGGTCCGGAAATTGCGTCTCGGGCGGTACGACAGAGGGAATGAGAGCTTCGCCATTATTGTCGGTAAGGACACTAGGGCTCGTCTCTCCCTGGCCACGCAACTTGTCTGAATCCAATCCTGCCATTGAGCAGTTCTGTTAAATCGCTGTCGACCAAGCGAAGCTTCGTGAATGCGAGAGGTTTGAAACACTCGACAAGATGTGCATCAATTCCAAACGACAAGAAGAAACAAGGATGATGAGCGATTAGGTAGGTCCCTGGTTCCAACATCCGCAATTCCGGTTTCCATGAGCGTGCAGCTTTCTTCGATGATGAGATGTAAAGTCAGTCCAAATGCGTAAATACAATGACGTCTAGTACCGGATTCGCGCAACGCGTGGGTATCAAACCCGCCCCCACAGCGGCTCTTGCGGCCATCTGAAATGGCCAAAACTCTATGTGGCAATCCATCTAGATCTCCAAAGAAGCTCCATCTTTCAACAACTGATCATCATTGTGATTCTCGCAGCAGTTCATGCGAGAGGAACACGTTCATAGACACAGCAAGGGCTCACAAAGGAATTCGAGGCCGCGAAGGGTGCTGTGCGTCGCGTTACCAACGCTAGCAGCTTATAGGACCGATCTACAGGCGCTGATTCGTCTGATACACAATTAAAGTGGCCGAGTCGGAAAAAGAGCGTCAGGGACTCAGAACACAGAAGTTATAGCCGCACCTTGGCTATTTCCTATTCGAGAAGACTGACACAATGTAGCTGTCGAAATGCACAATATTTTCGCAACAGCTGTTGTTCCTAGGCAAAGAGTTCCATTGGATGCTATCTCGGCGATCAGACTCGTTTCTGAAACGCGAACGTGCATTTCGGTAGCTTACGATACTCATGTATCTCCGGATGGGAAAGGAATTGATTGTGATAGGGGAGGATCGGTGAGGCTCGATTATTGGTCAATTGTTTTTCAGCTGCGCGGATCGCCGCAGACTTTCTCAAGATCAAAGCGCTTTCCTGTCCGTGATTCCTTGCATTGACATCATTTTCGAATCCAAGGGTCATGTGGCCTAAAAGCACCATTGCATTCTTTTCGCAAGTCTAGTAAACGATGTACCCGGGCAAACGGAGATCGGTAAATATGGAAGAAGCTATAGGCGCCGACTGGCGTAGGTCGCAAGGATACCTGCCCTACCGCGACGTCGAACAACACTCAGGAGATCACCGACAGAGCGTCTCCGACCAGCAGCAGAGTCTTTTGGAGGGTCCACGCGCTTCCGGTACAAACAGTGCGCGTTCAACCAAAGAAAGACCTTGCGATGCCTGTCGCAGACGCAAGACGAGATGCGTCAAGGAGAAAGGCGAGACTAAGTGTGTCTTGTGCAAATTTCACAGCCAGGACTGCACCTACTTGCACGAGCCAGTCGCCAGGACCAGAAAGCGAAAACTTCAACCCAGTGAGGAGACAGACAGAGGACACGACAACCTACATGTTCTTCGAACAAATGTGGGAATTAGCGTAGAAGAATACGACGAGCTTCCTGAGGAAAGTTTGCTGAAGAAGACGCTTGGTCTTCAAAACAAGCATCATGCTCACTTCGTCGGCCTGACTGAACCTTTCTCCTTTCCTCGATTCTCACTTACATTGGGCAAGTCGCANAAATCTACCCAAGGCGGCATTGTCACAATCCGCAAAGTCGATGATTTCAACGCTTTCACGATTCACGAAGACCAAGGCACTACCGGCTATGATACCGAACAGAGTCGAGTGGACGCGATTCAGCAGTTGGTTGAACCTTATGGACAGGCTCTTATCGATCTGTACTTCCGCATCATCCACCCATCATTCCCTATCCTCCACAAAGGTGTTTTTCTCGAGAAGCATGCACGTTCTTATCGCGAGTTCTCTCCTGCCCTTCTCGCAGCCATCTACCTTCTTACCACCAATTACTGGAGATGTTCGCCAGCTTTAGCGACCAAACCCAAACCAGATGCTAGCCGGCTATACGAGTTGGCAATAGAATCTTACGACCTTACGATATATCGCCCAAAGCTTTCGTCAGTTCAGGCCGGTCTCCTGATTGCACAATACGAATGTTATGATTCAGACGTGATGAGCAATGGGTTCAGAGGCAAGCTCACTGCACAACTGGTTTCAATGTCTCATACTATGGGCCTCCATCTAGACCCCTCGAAATGGGATTTGCCAGCTTGGGAAATCAGCTTGCGCTGTCGTCTTGCTTGGGCTGTCTATGCGCAGGACAAATGGGTGGCTGTCATCGAAGGTCGACCGCCTCTCATCTCGGACCGTGACTGGATCGTACCACGCTTACAGCACAAGGATTTTCCAGAACATGAAGAGCACAACGAGGAAGGTAGCTCGGAAGTCGAGAAGAGCCGAATCATCTTCATTCAGATGATCGAGCTTACTCGAATACTCTCTGATATTCTTGAGGCGGTCTTCAGCTTGAGGTCGCACCATGTCATACAGACATCAGCTGATTCAGTCGGCACTCTGCTAAGCAGAGTGCAACCTTTGCAGCGCCGACTTAGTGCTTGGTCTGATTCGGCAATGGAAGTGCTATGCCTGGAAAAAGCTTCTACCATGCGATTGACTTGTATAGGTAAGTTTCATCCTCTTTCATTCAGCTGAGTTTCCGTTCTAACTATCTTCNNAGGGTACTTGAGGCTTGCTCACCTTGCTGTCGAGGTCAGCCTGCATCGACGTATCATATGCCAAGCCATGTCTTGTACGTCAGATCCGAACACAGCTGCGGCCTGCCGTATCGCTGCCAAGAAAAGTTGGCTATCTGCGCTCGAATTCGTGGACAGTCTGAAAGCACGCCATCTCAAGTCTTTCTGGTACTTCAGTTCGACTGCATGCTTGACATTGCTGATCTCCTTCGGCAATGTTCTTGTCGGCTCGGCCTTCGATTCATCCGAGGAACAGTTCTATCTGGCCAAGCTCAAAGAATTCCGCTGGACTCTGAAGATCAACGGCGAGATGGGCGCAAAATTTATGAACGTGGCCATCAAATCAATGATCCTCGATCCTAGAGAGATCCGCAAGCCCGAGCCTCACGTTACGAGCTCTGTCACTACATCTGGGGTAAGGCCCGAGCCAGGATTCGGCATTCCATCACAAAACGCATTTGGAAGCATGGCTGTTCAATCGAGCCAAACCCCTATTGGATCTTCTGGTGTTGGATCTGGCTGGGTTGCACCTACCACCTACGCTGACCCTTCAGTATTTGCTGGATTCAATCCCGGCATGCCTGTGCAAGTGCCATACATTCCAGGTTATACTTGGGCACCGCCTACTTTCGAGAACGGCCAGCCGGGGAACAACTATCTCGATCACATGCCTGGCTGACGGATAGAACTGCCTTCGGCTATTCATGTGAACATGTACGATGAACCTCCTACGAAGAACAATGATTTATGCAGTGTAAAGGCTCTATACTTCGCAGATGTATCCAGCCTTTGCGAAAACAAATATCCTCTCGTCCTTGTCAGGATGTCTTGGAAACAGCATGGATTATGAGACATGATATGCATTTCACGAAGAAAGAGGTAGTTGGATTGATACGTGGCAAGGATCGCCCGCAACTCACTACTACACGCACCATGAACCACGAGAACTACGAAACAAGCTTTTAAAGAACGATCATGATTCTCAAGACTTTTTGCGAATGGAAATAATTTTTGCCCCATCATTGGTTCTTCGAGTCACCAAGCCGAAACGTCAGTTCCGCCGACGGCGTCGGCTCGCGTCGTTTCGGGTCACCGACCAACCACCGCCATTTCGAGCCCCGTCCACACTTTGCGGAACAAATATGCCACGGCGGTCATGCTGTTGCAGTTCTTCGATTAAAGTCTGACGGCTAGAACTCTGCCAGTTGCATGAAGTCAAGCGCCAGGAAAGTGCATGCGCAGGCAAAATTATCAAGACACGAATGATTCGAACAGATACCGAGGTCTGGAAAACCTCTGTGGTCACGGACAACCTGTTGACTCGGCTCAAACTGACACATACAACTTAGAGTTTCTCTGAGGAGTACTCTCCGTAGGTGGTGGAACACAATGCTCTTCCGCTCTCGAGCCGTATTGAGCACTCCAGGTACGTCACATATCGCCTGTGCGCATGAAGCCTAGATGCATTTCTACTCCTCGGTCTGTTGTTTGAGGAACCAACATCCGGCACTTGGATGGTCTTGACAACTGCTATCCGACTCGTGATAGTTTGCAGTTGTTTCAACTCAGGTGTTGCTTTATGCACGCCATTGATGCTCATGAGATGCCCTTTCTCAAGCCCCATTCGTGACTGCCCCTCTTGAATTCCATTCCTGTTGTCGACCTGAGCTTTCAGTGAGTGTGCTGAGACGGTGGTCATTCTCAGAGGAGAACTCTGGTATAGCGCTACTTGGGTGTGGCGCACTGGTATGGCGAGAAGACTGAACGATATGCGACGGGCGGAAGAGAAGAAACTTCTTTCACTTGTTGGCTTGATTAGTGAGATAACGGCGAGCGCAGGAAGTGGTGGCTGTCAGGGCGTGACGGTACGCTTGACTTAAGGTATACGGAGGTATCCTGTTGTCCGGTCAGCTTGAGTCAATCTTGATTCAGACCGCAATGCTTTGACGACAGGCTAGCCTTTCCGACTCGTCTGGCAAATGGGTGACACTGCTGGCCCAGGCAATGATTCAGGAACAGTGTGTGTTTGCAGGATTTGTGGCTTGATGGTGCATAGTCAGCGCTCTCAGAGAGTGCACATGGACATTTGACTGGGCAATTGTCTTCGTCTGATTGCAGCCAAGCGTAGTATTGCTGACACGAAGATAGTTGCGGGCTCGTTGGTGTGGTCGTAGTATACAGCTGGGACGGAGCTAGCAGATCGCTCATGTTCGCCAGCGTGCCCTTGCAAGTTTGCATTGGGTTTCCTCTCTAAACGTTTGTAAGCGCTAGATCTCAGCTAACCAGTGGCAGTGCTGGGGACTTGCAACAATGCTGCATCAGGTAACTCCTGGTAACAAGAGCACGTATCGACCTGAAGTAGGCGCTTGACGACCTATGACAGGTTCCCTCGAGCCCGCTACAGTATGTGCAGATGAAAGGAACTTCATATCGATGTCTCCTTCCATTGTCGAACAGAATCGCTGTTCCTCCAGCTTCGAATTTGTTGCACGAGCAGGTCGTCCAGTGACAATGCAATAGTGGGAGCAACGATCTGGTCGTACTCTCTGCCGATCCATGCGTAAGAAGCGCGACAAGTGTGGTGTCTCAAAAGGTAAGAGGAAGAGCGGATAATGATTCGGGCAATGCAACAAGTCCCACATAACACTCACGAAATCGACATTTGGTTGTCTGGACTTGGGGTGCGCAGGTGAGTAAAGGAACAAAGCAAGTAAGAGTTGCGAAGATTCTGCGACTTTCCACGGCAGGCGCGCCAATGCAATTATGAGGCTCAAAATAGGGCCAAAACTTTCAAGTCAGACAGCACTGACGACTAACAACCGGCAGACATTAGCGAAGAGCTACTGTCGGATGCGTCGGGTGATGAATTGATCTCCCATCGAACTGTTGTTGCCGTTCACGCAATGTTGTTCATGGTTTGCATCGAGACTCACAAGCCACTCTCGTTCATCTGTCCTTACCCTCGAATTCAGGCAACTCAAGGAACACGTTGACACTATTTGGCTGTTCCGTAGTGACTGAACATAATCAGGACGTGGTCATCATAGATCCTTGGTAGAGAATAGGTACGGACTACCATAGACTCACAGTCAAGGCAGCATTGCATCTTACAATGGGGTCTTAGTAAACACTACGCAAGATAGTGTTCTTGTTAAGGAGTTAGTCAAACACGATGTATCAAACTTGGCGTAACCGTTCTGTTCGTACTTGGCGATACTCTTTAGCTTTCGATGCATTACAATGACCAATCTCATTACGTGGAGCTAATATGGAAACAGTCAACATCGTGCTTCAGACACAGTATCCGAAATCGAGTTGCAAAACAGATTGTGTACGACGTAGAGAATTGGTCAGTCAACAGTTCCTGCCTGAATCTACGTACAGCGTGTGCCACAGTCAGGGACAACTGTCTAACCCTTGCAAGTCATAAGAATCACTGTGAGTTCATCAGTGGCTGTCATGATGAGGAAGGGTTGCACCAAGTCTATTGGGTTACTATACGATCGTTGTTGTGATGCGACAGTATGCTATGTTCATGCGTATTAGGTAAGGTATTCTCTTTGGACTGTTCCAGATCTCGCGTACCTCGATGAACATGTTCAGCCAAACTGTGCCACACGCATGCATGTCGGGTGAATCTACATCGGCACGAACGAGGTGGCACTGGTCACGCGCGAAAATTGTTGGCAATAGACACAACGTACATCGAATCTGACTAATGTTACAACCTCCCCACGTGCTGAGGGCTGTCACAGTAGTGGTATCATAAGCTATCGAAATGCAAAATCGCTGTCCAAGTAGTGTGGCCATAGAGAAGGCTTCGATGTCATTCACTCCCCCTGCTTTTCTCTATGGATTCTAGCGTATTGTCAAAGCCACATTTTGGTAGTTGCGGGATACGGGAACGGACCGTTTCCAGCACTCCAGACATGTTGACCGTATTTCGGTAAGATGAACAGGCCCAAAAGATACTGTACAAGAAGACTTTGTGACATGTCGCTGGTCAGACCACCTTAGCGCCAACCACGATTGCGCGTCGAGACTCCAAACATACAGCCTCTGTCATCACAAATGGCGGTCGGTCATGGCAACAAGGTTGATGATTTTTCTGCCCACGCATCCTAACCTTACTGTCAACCACGTGCACCGAGCACCGAGGCTGTGGTCGAGGATAGATAGAGTTTGAGTTTTGTATCGGTAGCGTAAGCTTGTGAGATTGCAGACGGCTTCTTCACCGCCATTGTTGCACAAAACATGGCATTTCATCAATTCACGATTGATCAAACGTGTTCCCTAGCCATCGCAGATGCAACTATGCCGTGGACGGCCTGAATTGCATAGGGAGCGGGATCGCCAGAACAAGCAAGCGAGAACCGAAAGGCAGCCGGGTGTTGCCAACAAGTTGCACCTTCCTGTTGTATACGCTTCACAGTCTCACCACACCAAATTACCAAATGCTATTCTTTATGCATTCCAGTTCCTTCCAGAGTCTACGGCATTGCTCATTATTGACATGCAGCGAGACTTTCTCCAGCCTGGAGGTCTTGGCAGCATTGAATGCGGTGATGACGAGGTGTTTAACATCGTCCGCAACATTGTTCCTGTAGTCGAGCGAGCCTTGGAATCGTGCCGGAAGCTAGGACTCTATATTATGCACACTCGAAAGGAACACCTACAGGATCTGTCAGATCTACCCACATCCAAGCGGCCGAGACAGACAAACGCTCCGCAGGGTCACCATACATTCGGTATTGGAGAACCAGGACCCATGGGCTGACTGCTTGTCAGGGGAAGTATGACCACAACATCATAGACGAGCTCAAGCCTCTGCCAGGAGAGGTTGTTATCGACAAGCCTGGTACACGATCATTCTGGAGAACAGGCTTTTACCGTGCTCTGTTGAATCGAGGCATCACACATCTGCTGCTTGCTGGTGTGACCACTGAGTGAGATATCTCGTTGTAAGTAGCGGATTTAACGTGAACATAGCCATCGTATGAATGTTGTGTGATACGGCCAAAGAGGCTGCCAATCCTGGCTTCGAATGTTGCTACATCGTTGCACACTGCAAGAGTAAGCTGTTTCCATTGGTCTCGTATTTTGAGAGTGTTGGACTCACTAATACACTTTCCTCAGCTGCACCACAGGCTTCCAATACACTTGGTGGCCAGCGCCAACAACATCATATGTGCGTTTTGATGGTCTTTTAAGTTATGATGGTGCATCTCCGGATCTTATACAATTGTGCGAAGCATCACGGGTGTGGCATGTCGACTTGGGTGGCCCGAGAAAGTGGTGGCTTTGTGTCTGGCACACCGAGAATGTCGAAGGTCAACCCTTGCTGCTCTGATTCTTCTCGTCATGGTACTCAGGCTGTTCAGCATCTCCGAGCAGCTGGCGGTCGAGCACAAGAAATCAACTGGAATGTCTTTGAGCAGGCCAAAGAAGTTATCCGGAACCTATCTGTACTAGCTGCTGCAGAGACTGTCAGTACAAAAACAGCTTTGGAGCTTCAGGCCAAACAGACGGAGCTCTGGACAAGCTACAGAGCTTCTAGAACCTGTCAATGTTTTGCTCTTCCCCATAACAGAATGTTTATGTCACTCGGCCTTAGAGTAGAACGTGCGAAGCACAACAGCCCACTCTTCAGCAGCATGAATCTATGCACCATAATGCTTACTAACCGCATCAAAAGGCGACAGCTCGTGCTTCACAATGATCGGCGCATCTGGGAGAGACGGAAGAATACGTGATATAGCATGGGAGTTGGACAAACGATGTTGCACTGAGTCGTGGAGACGGACTTAAGTCCGCAGCAATCTCCTACGTTCATGCACTGCTACGGTTTCCTAGCCATACTTATTACTGTACTTGGGGAACAGTTGCGCATTTCATAGGTCATATATCACTAGTCGTCCCCATCAAAGAGGCAGCGGTTTATGAAATTCCGGATTTATGGCACACATGAAGATTGGGATGTGAAAGATGAGTGATGAAAAATGGTATTAACTATTCGTTTTTTGACTCCAACATTCATAGACGTAGCCCTGCTAGTCTGGTAAGCAGCTCAAAAGCTTGCTGGGTATTATCTAAGACATGATATCATAACTTTTTTAGGCCTTGTTGAACAGAACGGCTCTGTATCTGACGTTGCCCTCGTCAAGGTCCTTCATGGCCTTCTCAATGCCCTCCTCAGACATGTCGTAGTGCATGGTGATGGGCTTGATCTGGTGGTGGGCGGCGAACTCCAACATTCTCTTGTGGATGAAGCGGGGAGCGACAACGGAACCCTGGATGGTAAGACCCTGGGCAAGAAGACCCATGTAGGGNNGAATGGCGAAGTCACCCTCAGCGACGGAAAGAGGGAAGATGGTACCGCCAGGGGCCATGACAGGGAGGTAGAGGTTCCAGTCGGGCTGGGCGGAGGTGGTGACGAGGAGTTGGTTGATGGGCTTGACGTCCTTGAGCTCCTTGACGCCCTTGGTGGCGTAGAACTCGCTGGCACCGAGCTTCTTGGCCTCCTCCTTCTTGGAGTCGCTGCCAGAGAAGACGACGACTTCGCAACCCATCTTAGCAGCGAACTGGATGGCCAAGTGACCGAGACCGCCAACACCGACGATACCGACGCGGTCGGTGGGCTGGGTGTTGTACATGTGAAGGGCGTTGAAGACGGTGGCACCACCGCACTGGAGAGGGGCAGCGGCCTCATCGGGAAGGCTGTCGGGGATCTTGAAGAGGAAAGCCTCGCGCCAGACACCGTGGGTAGCGAAAGAACCCTGATCAGCATCGGCGTAACCGTACATCTTTCTCTCGGGGCAGTAGGTCTCAGTGCCCTTCAAGCACTGCTCGCAGTGGGAGCAAGAGTCGTGCTCGTAACCCCAACCAACACGGTCACCCTTCTTCAGGAGAGTGCAAGCAGGACCAGTCTCCTCGACGATACCGACACCCTCGTGGCCGAGAGCCATATCAGCCTTGCGGTAGTGCAAGTCAGTACCGCAGAGACCTGAGGCGGTGACTCTCATGTAGACCTGGTCACCGGTGAGCTCAGGCTTGGTGTTGGTGGCCTTCTTGATGGCACCGGACTCGGAGCCCTTGTAAACAGTGTAGGAGTAAGTCATTTTGGTGATATGAGGTGATTGAGATTGGAGAGGTAGGAATGAACAAATGCCAGGAGGTGGAGAATTGGCCTTTATTAGAGAGGCCTTTGCCCTCCAAAGCTCACTCAATTATCTCCGCCACTCCCTGCTTACAAAGATAGCTCAACACTGTTGAGTCAACAGTTCGCTTGTGCTTCTTACCAATCTGCCATGACGTTTCATGAGATCTTTGTGCATGGTTCCACTTGTGATCAATGGTCAAGGGGTTTGGTGGCATTTGGAACAGCCGGCTGGTCCGGCGAGGAGGCCCGAAGGAAAAATCTCGCAAAAAATCCGAGCTTACGTCACATTTCTTATCTTATCGCCAACACGTGGAACAAAAGAAGCGAGGTATCACGCATGGACCCGCGCATTGATTGCTTCCATTCGTTCGAGAGAACTTCGAGACCTTTTCATTTCCATGTCATATCCCGAGAGTGGTTGTGTTCAGATCCAAGTCATCTATGCTCACAAACTTGAGGATTCTTGAAGCCTCTCCAAATTCAGCAGTCTGCTTGTGCGTCAACGAGCTTTAAGGTGTCTGACCTGGAGAGCAACGTAACCGCGTAAGATGACGTCGGCGCGCGATGTACGTGAAGATGAACTCGATCTTCAATCAATCATGGCCTCGATCGTTCTTTACAACGAAATTCGACTCAGGCGTTGCGAATCATAACAGGCATTAGTTTGCGATACTACTCGGCCATCAATTGGAGGCCAAAGCAAAGTGTATTGCTGGCTTGACCGATGGCTGACTGCAATTTTCACATTATCGCAACCAAAAGAATTGTCTTTGTCTTGAACCCGCAAAGTGCCCTGGTATACACAGCCAGGCCTGCTTCTCTTTGTCTGCTGGTCGAAATGAGTAATAGGCCGGAAATGGGTAGGTATGGCATTTTCATTGTCATGGTCGTTTCTTTACTGTTTCGACAGAGTATACATGTCTGTTATAGCTCTGCGCAATCATCTAAGCCCACAGGTATCTTCAAGGCATATGCGTGATGGGTAACCTTCTCTTGGCCGCCTTGTTCGCGTTCGCTGCAGTCGGCGTCGTTGCAGATACATGTAACCCGTTGAACACGAGATGTCCTCCCAACGTAGGACTGGCAAACAGTACTTATACAATCGACTTCACACAGCAGACTACGATTCCACCTGATTGGACTCTCTCCAACTATGCCAGTCTCAATTTCAGCTCTAAAGGAGCTGCATTCACCGTAGCCAAGCGCTTCGACTCTCCTCAATTGTGGACCAACTGGTACATCCATTATGGTAAAGAGATTTCTTGAATAGAATAGCGCTTAGACTAAATTGACTCTNNAGGTAAGGTCGAGGTCGTAGCTCAAGTTGCTCCTGGCACAGGCATTGTCTCCTCTGCTGTTCTCATGTCCGACGATCTAGATGAGATCGACTTTGAGTTCAGCGGAAACAACTTCGGAGATACTGTCTCGAAGGGACAGAACAACTACTATGGAAAGGTGTGACTAGCAAAAGACAAACAAGAGTGATCTTTTTACTGACTGCTGTTGACANNGGGTATAACCGGAGACTATGATCGAGGAAGCTTCTTTAATGTCGCATCACCTCAGTCGCAGTTCCATACTTATACCTTTGATTGGACTTCCACAGCCTTGACTTGGTCTATTGATGGCACCGTTGTCAGAACTCTGTACGCTGCCAATGCTGACAGTGGCTCCCATCAATACCCTCAGACACCAGCAAAATTACAGTTGGGAATTTGGGCAGGAGGCGATTATGGAAACGCGTGGGGTACAGTGGACTGGGCAGGAGGATATACAGACTACACCAAAGCTCCTTTCACCATGTATGTGAAAAGCGTCAATATAACAAACTACAACCCTGCCTACACCTACAACTACACCGACAATTCTGGAAGCTCTGGAAGCATAAAATACCTCTCAGCGCCCGCGGTCTCGTCAACCAGCACAACAAATAAACCTGCTTCGAGCGCTGTCACTCAAACGAAAAGCACAGGTTCTACTTCTGTACCAGTCAAAGTCTCTACGACATGTGCTGGCAATCCGCCACCAGCACCGACTCAGAACGGGATCGTCTCTGGCTGTACTCAGTGGTCTACCGCTAAGTCGGGAGACACATGTCTTGGGATTGCTGCAAAGTTCAATATCACCAACGAGCAATTCATGGCATGGAACCCAGCAGTTGACCCTCCACTGTGCTACAACATGTGGCTGAATTACGGCTATTGTGTATCTACAGATTGCGCGCTTATGAGCACATCGTCGACGGTCGTTTCCACAACTGTCTCGCCTAGCTCATCCCGTTCCACAACTGTGACCACAAGCGCTACTTCAATCTCTACCGTTGTTGTGTCATCCTCGTCACTGCCAACGACTACTATCAGCCCAACCTCGAGCACTAGCGCTTCTAGAACCTCCAGTGTCTCCAGTAGTTCCAGCACCTCAACCACTTCCAGCACTGCTTTGCAAGGATCGTCTTTGCCAGCGACATCAGGATCAAGCACCTCGATCGCAACATCGCTTTCCTCGTCTTCTTCTGTATCATCAAGTGTTGTCAGCTCGCAAAGCACAACCGCTGCCTCATCTCCCGTAACTTCGTCGTCGCTGACCCCGAGCACACTGTGTCCTGGGTCAGACGGACAAAGTTTGGTGAATCGGGGCAGAAATGCCTATACCATTAAGTGTGCTTCTGACTCTAGCAAAGCGTCTTACACAAGCGCTTACCCTCTCCACTCTTATCTCGATTGCTTGAATTTGTGTGATGAAGCAGCAGATACTGGTTGTACCGCGTTCACATACGTGGGCAACTCAAATGGCAATGGGTCTGGCATCTGTTATCTGAAGAGCGCCTCCGGAACTTTCACGGCCGCTCCAAACAACTACATCTCCGGCGTTTTGTCTGTAAACAACTCATCTGGGAGCAGTGCAACTCAGACAGGATCCAGCGCTTCTTCAGGATCCTCGACTTCTTCATCTGCAGCAGTGACCAGTTCTTCAAGCGTCCTTCCTCTCGCCAGTCTTTCGGCTGAGCTTTGTCCTGATGCTGCAACACAGAGTTTCGTCACGTCTCAAAGCGGGTCGCTTTACTTCATGCGCTGCAGCTCTGACACGAACATAGGATCATACAGCAACAGCAAGGCTTCTGCTTCCTGGAAAGATTGCATGAGCAGCTGTGATAGCGATTCGAGATGCGTCGCCTTCACGTACGTTGGCGGCAATGGCGGCAAAGGAACAGGAGTATGCTGGTTCAAGGACGCTCAAGGTAGTGCGGTCATTGCTGGGCCAAACTACGTCGCAGGCTTTTGACCGTCAAAGCTCAGTCATCAGGTGCATCTGTGAGTAGTATTAAAACAGGTAATCTGGCTGTTTCTTCCAGTTCTCCAACAACAAGCTCCTTGACTTCCAGTACATCGACTGCTTCAACATCTTGGGCCACAAATTCGGCGGGTAACAACTACACCATATACCGCGGCAGTGACACGAACTACGGCGCATATACCAATGTCCCGGCAACGAACTCTTTCATGGACTGTACGACTGCTTGCGACAAGGATTCGAAGTGCACAGCATGGACGTATGTTGGAGGTAGCCGTGGCATAGGAAGTGGGTCCTGTTGGCTGAAGAGCCAACTTGGTCAGCCTGTCCCAAGCAACAGCGACAACGTAATCTCAGGCTCACGCTTGACTCAGGGTGTCAGAATGCGCCGAGCTGTATCTTCCTGGTGGAACAGTATCACATCGATCAAGTCCACAGCCACTAAGACTGAACGTCTTGCGACCACCATACCTAAACCGCCGCCGCAACCTGCTTGGGCTCGCTATTACACACATGGCGGCTGATGGATGTGGAATGGTCATGATGATTGGGAGTGGGCCTGGAACTAACGAAAACCGGCCTCGGGAATGTGTTGTGCTTGCAAATTTTGTTATGTTTATTGTTTATCTTTTCCTTGACATACCACTCTGTCGTTTCTATTCTGTCATCTCTCATTGTTGAAGATTCCGCAGTGGCACTCAACGTCACATGCAGTGGCAGATTGCCAGTTAGTGATGATGCATTGTTTCAGAGTCAAATGACGGTCCTTTGTCTTGGTTCGTGTNNTTCTTTCACATGCTTCATTGATCCTTGAACACACTCTTTGTTTCATTGTGTGCTTCACCCTGACAACACCCACATNCACAATCCATTTGANAAGAAGGTGCCGCAAGCACTTCGCGCCTTGCCTCCTTTCTCAGAACTTTTCACTCAAAACAGAAACTCCGCCGCAACTATTCCACTACAAATTAAACCCCCACTAACAGCCTCCTCGAACTTGAACATGAGTAACAAAGTTGCTGCTTCCTTTGGCATCATAATGGCAATCTTCATTGTCCTCGCTATAGCTTTCTGGGGCTTCTCTGCTGTCAAGCACGCACGTCACAACACTGCTTCCCACAATCAACAGCACCACGCTCAGGTAGACGCTTGGATCGCCCGTATGCGCAGAAAGACTTGGAGACACACCCGCGTTGATCGTGATGTGGAGATGCAAGTTCCTCCTGAGCTTCCTCGTCGCCCTGATAGTGCTTATGTTCGTTCTGGTCCTTCGAGGGTATCCAAGATGGGCAGACTCAACTTTGCTGACAGAAACCAAAGAGTGCAGTTTTGTGATGTTCCACTGACGTCTGTTCATCAGAGTCAGCGTGGCGTTACTCCTGCTGGATTCTTCTAAAGAGTAGGTGCGACGTGACAAATAATCTGAGACTTCCTCTGGTAGCAGGTCTACCAAAATAATGATCATAATACTCTTTTTTTCTCACTTCTATTCTGTTTATCATTGACTTTCTTTGTGACTGAACCTAACTTGATATGCCATTCATCTGTGATAATCTTTCTAGATATGGTGTGTAACATACATGCATCATGACAACATGATACTGTTGGATATCATAGTCTTTACTAGCATGGCCACTCTCGTAAAATCGTTGATCAACCAGACAGAGTTTCTGACTTCTCAGTCTTCCCCTCGAAGGCTACCTCTTGATTGACCTGGCGCTTGGCAAGAGCTTGCGTTCTGGATTGGCTGTTCGGGTCGAGATAAGGTACCTCACCGATTCCGACAGCACGATTACCAAATCGTTCGCCTAGTCCTTCGTAGTCAAAGGTGGCGCTGTGGAAAGCACTGCGATTATCCCAGATGGCTGGTTTTACTCGTCAGTATATGATTCAAAAACAATACCAAGCAACACAGTATTTACCAATATCGTTCTCGTTTCTCCACTTGAAACGAACCTGAAGATCGTGGTTCTCTGTAATGGTAGCCCGGAACTTCTTCAGCAGTTCCTCCGACTCATCGGCGTTCAATTCGTTGATGAACTTTGGGAAAGGGCCGAGAGCGAAGATACTCTTCCATCCAGTGACAGGGTTTGTTCTGACGACCGGGTGTACGGCTGTGAGCTCTTTACCCACATTCAATGGACTACCACGCTCCTTCTCGTAGATCTTGACCTTATCTGGGTTGGCAGCTGCAGCCTTGAGGAAGCCATCGCCAGAGAATGTGGCAGTCAGACCTTCGAAGAACTTCTGATACGCTGGTGAGAACCGGTCGTAAATCTCGTACCCAGATGCCCAGAGTGTGTCGCCTCCAGACTTGGGGAGCTGAGTCAAACGTAACGAAGTGTAGTCGGCAGGCGTAGGCTCGAATTGGATGTCCGAATGCCATTGGGCAGCGTCGTAGCGACGTTTGTTACGTGCGTCATTTTCCTTGAAGAGAGCTTTTCTCTGCAAAGAGCTAATAGTGCTGATCTCTGCATCATCAACGCCAAACTCGCTGCTGTTGTTGAGCACGGGATGAATGTGCAGAGTCGATGTCGATGGTTTCCCAGACAACTGCCCCAGCTTGTGGTTCAATTGCTTCTGGAGAGCATTGGTAAGGTTGTCTTGTTTGCGGAAGAAGACGACACCTCGTTCCGAGACTGAGATACGAGTCAGACGCAAGTCATGAAGGACATCAAGATGTAAGCTTAACATACTAGTGATGGCAAGGTCTCGGATAAGCTCGTCTGCATTGGATGCATTCAGAAGATCATCAACAATGTTGACGTTCAGAAACTCTCGACCGATGACAGGAGTTGTTTCCTCATAGGCGAACTGCTCGAGAGCACCAGACTGCTTGAGGGGTTTAGGAAATGAAGTCTGATCTGCAGAACCCATTGTTGATTTGACTTCCTATGCAAAATTTTAGGGATGAGAAAAGAGCATCTCTTCCCGGGCAGAGCAGTGGAACTGATATACTCTTGATGCATCCATGGCGTTGGTCAGACACCACATGTCGTGCCCTATAGACGAGATCGCGCAATATTGGTAACAAGCACGCAACACTTTGAGAGGATGCACTCGAACACATCGCCATACGCTGATAGGGCGAACATGTTTTGAGCTCCGTAAGTTCGGCTAGATTCTTGTGACAGATGACATTGAGGATCGATGACTGAAAGGAATGGCTTGAAGAAACTCGCGAAATTTCTCCAGAACTGAAACAGCACAGATATCTGGGCGTCAGTTAGCTGACTACAAAGCGCCTAGACAGCTTGATGAGATGTGTACGAGTAGTACCTTCCCCTCACGAGAAACCGATTCGAGGTTAATCTTCAACACGCCAAGACAACACATTTAGAGCACGCCATCTTACGACAGAGCAATTACTATCGAGTAGCACCTAGGCACGCTGGATCTTGGTATTGCACGACACCTCATTGAACATTGCGCGATTAGCGGCAAGCAGCTCATAGCACCGACCTCCAAAGTTACGGCCTGGCTAAATTCTCCCGGGGCCAGGGTGTCTCCTTAAGCTACATCGCCACTTCGATCATCTCGCTATATACCAAACAAACACACATCGATCATTGCATCAGCTTGTTTCTGGAACAGCTCGTACCAAGACTGCTTATATCACACAGAAAGACGCGTGAAAGAAGACCAACGCGTCTTCATCGACTTGTTGTTGCCTAACGTTAGTCGGACGCATTCTGCTCCATCTATCATCCAACATCCATCTGTTGAATCGAAACTTATCGACATAGACCAGTTTATTTAGCACAATGGCTCCACCATCTTCGGTACGTACGGTATAGTTGTCTGTTTGATTCCTTCTGACAATGAGTCAGACACCCTCGCCACGTCGGTTCCTTATGAACAAACGGCCTCAGAACCATGCCACTCCGACTCCATCCAAATTATCAAAACAAGTGCTACAAGATGTGCCTGATTCTGATACTCCACGTCCGGCATCTGGTCCAACACCCTCACAGTTTGCGAAAGCGCCTCGGTTTGCCATGTCCACTGCAAGGCGGGCTTCTTTTCCTCCACGTTCTCCATCACCTGCAAAGCCTCAGTTTTCTGCCTTAGACACCAGTTCCACCTTTGGAAAACAACGTGACAAGGTCAAAGAACCTATTTCCATATCAGACGATGATGAAGAAATGCTCGACAACGACAATCATGATCTCAACTTCACCCCCTTGACACAGCCTGTTTCTCAAGATTCGATACCAGAACCTGANAAAGGGTCGTATCTTGCATCTCACCTACCGTCATCCCCAAAACGACGAAAGGTCGATATTGGTGATCCATCGTCAACCCCACAGTCGACTCCGGGACGTTTCATCTTGCCGTCTGTAGGCACAAGCCGGACGACGTTTACCCAGACAGATGGCAACGTACCCAGCAGTAGTAGACCGGCATTCCTGATGGCATTACTTCCAGCACCAGAGGCTGTTACGCCACTGCCTGATGCTTTCTCACCTCGAAGAAGAGGACAGAAGTTCATGCCTGGTGGCCTAGCATCGGAGCTACAATCATGGGTTATCGAAGCAGCACAAACTGCAACTCAAGGTAGACCTCGTAGTGCTTCATCAGTCGAAGATTCGGTCTATTTGATCGATATCAACGAAGTCAAGGGAGATGGACCGATATTTGCACAGGGTACAAGGCCCGGTAAGGATATCACCAAGGTGTTACTCATCGATGGCCAAGCGAACCACAAAGCAGTCAAGGTGAAAATGGGAGACAGGGTGAGCATCCGGTCGCCGACTTGGGATGTTGAGGTGTCAGGTGAAGCATGGACAGTAGGCGTTGACTGGAGAACCATGAAGCTCTAAGAAGCTCACATGTGGGCTGTTTTATGTCATAAGCAAGAAGCAGAGCCATGTTGTGGTATGAGCGGCGGCAGCGAGTCACGGCGGGAGCGCACGAACAGAGCCTCGTGCTCAGTCAGGCCGGACAGCCATAGCAAGAAGTATGCTCACAAAAGAGGCACGATCACAGATATGGCTTAGTAGTCCAGCGAACCACAGAAGGGCAAAAGTACGGGTGATGACATGGAAGGGCATGAGTGGAAGCCGAAGGGTCAACGCGACACGGAGCAACAAAAGGCGTGTTTACCAGCCACCTCAAAGTCCGACCAGCCACTTTTTTTAAGTTGACGGGCAGCGACAGCTTAACAGGGTTTGGCTTGCTTGTTTGAGCTGCAGCAGTTGTCATCTTCACTCTCCTTCTCTCAAAAACGTCTGCAGGCTCTCTGGCTCAGGTACACCGCTCGTTTTGTACTGTTCATTGGGAGACGCCAACGCCAAAGCAAAACGGTTATTTTGACACAACAATAGCAACGGCTACGTCACAATAATCTCAGCACACTACGGAGACAAGATACAGCAGGAAAATTGAGCAGAGCAGGGATTGAGACAACTCTGCTGCATTGCCGCCTGCCAACACATACACCATAACTCTGGTCTAATTATCGTCCTGGATCTCCCGCCGTCACTTCTCCATCACGGCAACGGCACGCAGCCGTCCACGACAGCTTCCAAGCAACTGTACCCCGGCTTTCATCGCAAACTGCCAAACACAGCCCCTCGACCTCACCCGGCCAGGCGCCGGCTTTTCACTCGTTTGCCTGTTGCCTGATCGTTGGCACTGGTCGTCTCAGGCCATTTTTTCTTCGCAAGACATTGCTTCAGCACATCCGGAATCATGGCGACAGCATTGATGAACGGGATGCATACAGCAGGCATCTACTCGGATATGACGGTCGATGGTCCCGAGATTGGCACCTTGGTGGCTATTGTCGATCGTGCAAAGAACCTGCCCAATGTTAAGCGCATGGGCAAGCAAAATCCATACTGCGCCGCCAGGCTAGGCAAGGAAGCNAAAAAGACAGAGACGGACAAACGAGGAGGCCAGACACCCAGATGGTAAGCATGCGAAGCACAAGATGGTGCATTGTACAGTATTCTGACCAAAGACAACAGGGACCAAGAGCTTCGCTTTATCGTTCACGATTCCCCTGACTACCACAATCTCAAAGTGTCCATTTTCAACGATGACAAGAAGACGGATTTGATTGGAGAGGCATACATCAGTCTGCAAGATGTCTGCATACCTGGTGGAGGAAAGCGTGATGGGTGGCACGCTCTGAACTTCAAGGGCAAATACGCAGGCGAGATTAACCTGGAGTTGACATACTATGATTCGCGACCACAACCCGAAAGCAAGAGGCGGGTGAGCGGCATGAGTGCTGCTGACAACGCACAACGCAAAGCCGCGATCAAGCGTCGTCCACTGCCTGCTGAACTGAATGGTCCCCCACCACCAGGCTCAACCGTGCCAGACCATGCAAGAGGCCCAAGACAATTGCCAGGTCGACCAACAGAAGATTGGACCCCTCATGGCCTTCGCCCGCGTCCTCAACATCACGCTCAATCTGCCCCTGCCGTTCCGGAAGTACACCACTATGACCCCGATGAACTTGACTTGGATTACCACCCTGGCTTCCACCAACCCGTCATGCCCGAACTGCCCCAGCTTTCCCCCACTCGCAGACATCGTGGATCTGTGCCTTCTCAGCCCAGTATCCCTCACGACTATCCAAGCCACGAACAGTACGGCCATGGCCGTTCTCACAGTATTCCGACTCTCCCTCACTCTTCCTCATCCCCTAGCGTCGTGCAGTCAGATCAGGGATGGCAAGAGCCTCTACCACGCTGCCTACAACCTACAGTAGAGGACATTGACGAGTATGGCTACGAAAGAGAACTGCCTCCTGTGCCTCCATCACATACTCGAAGTCCCTCGCACGCCAGAAGTCCATCACACACAAGAAACGCTCGTTCGACATCACGGGGACCACCACCGAGAAGCATGTCTGTAGACGACTATGCGCCTCCTCCAGCACCAAGCTCATACTACGGTTCGTCACCCAATTTCAGAGCTTCTTATTCTGGGTTCCCTCCACCAGCTCCCTCTTCGGTCGCGGCCTCATCGCATTATCGCAGTCACTCGCGCGTGGCTAGTCGCCAGAGCGTACCTGACGCATATGCCATGACTCCACCACGAGCACACCCCTTGGCCAACCAGATTCGCCGATCCATGAGCCCCGCACCTTCAGCATACACCGAAGACTACGGACAGCACAGACGATACAGCAACGAGCCTAGCCCATTCATGGCACGTCCTCCTTCCCGTAATAACGTTTCTCCCCTGCCTTCGCGCAATGTCTCTCCCTTGCCACCACGCAACAACATTGATGCCATCCGTCATCCTGTCCGTAGTTTCGCCAATGGCAGCGCTTCTCCCTCGCCCACTCGCAAAGAGATTCCACGACCTTCAACGTCCAACGGCAACTTCTTTTCTCCCGATGACTTCGACTCTCTTAACCCCAATGCTTCCTCGAACTCGCCCTTCGCCTCTGGTTCAAACCCGCACTCTCCTTATCATATTCAGAACTCGCCTGGTGGCGACGATGAGGAAGGCGCACGTCCTCTGCCGGATCCCAATGCCAAAATTGTCGGCTTTGACGGCAGAGTGATCGATCCTAGCGACCATTTGCCTGTACACAGCTGGGCACCTGAGCCGGAGAAGAAGACTCCAACCAAGATTTATGGCTCCCATGGACAGGTACATCCAAATGGCTTAGCAGGACCCCGTGGGGCAGTCGGGAGTAGACCACCTTCTCGTGTGAATTACGGCCGAGATACTGTCGTCAATGTTCGCACGAGGGGTTCACCACCGAAGCGCCCCATGTCCTCCGCCNNCTCGCACCATAGCCATATGACGGGCTCACCTGGTCCCCTCTCTGAAATTGATATCCCTAACCCCTATGCTGGACATGCAGGTTACAGTTCTAATTTTACGGACGGGCGCCCTGGTGTCTACGAGGGCCATCACTCTGCGTATTCAACCCCTCCCCACGCAGGCCAAGAAGCTCATTACGGCGACATGTTTGGCAAATACACAGCTCCTAGTGGTGGAGACCAGTATGGTTATGAGAACCAGATGGCTCAACAACAGGGACCGGTGTACGAGCAACATGGCTACGGAGCTTCGGCATTGAGCAAGGAAATGGCCAAGATTGACATTGGAGGTTCAAGAAGGCCACTCAGCAGAGGCACTGTGAGAAGAGGTGCTTGGCCTTGATTTTTCTGTTCGCATATTCGCGTTGGGCTTTTTCTGTATAGCCTTTCGTGTAGCATTTTCTCTTCGTTCTGCTCGTTATGCAGATGCATATTTGGGCGTTTATTCGATTCTCACGTGGCGCATGGGGATCCGTCATATTTGATGACGAAAGGGTCTGTCTTGGAAGGAACTGGTTTGTGGAAGCACACGTAATAAGGGATGTGATATAGAAGAATACAAAGAGTGAATACAAGCAGAGTTTGTACTGGGATTAACTAGTGGGATCACTGGGATTACAACAAGAAGAAATGTTTCAGATATAAGCTTGCACGAGTGCCGAACAGAGGTTCGTGTTTGTCTCAGAGATGTGTCGATCTTTGGAGAGACAGAAATAGACAGGCAGTTGGGTACGAAGTGAGCGAGGCTAGGGCTCGAGTAAGCAACAAGGCGGTGAGGGGGTCGAGGGTTGCGAACGGATAGCACGAGGAAGGCAACCGAGGGTGAGAGGGGCACAGTAATAAGGCTGGCGCTTACGGCAAAACAAGTGGGGGTCGCAGCAGCCAATCAGAGAGAGGTGAGGGCAGCCGGGCAAGCTTCAGGGACCATTTGCCAATTCCGTGCAGTCAAGATATAACTCTCGTCCATCATCTATACGAGAGAGCGTTGGACTTTCTGTAAAAGCTTTGGTTCCAAGGTTGTTGAGCGTGCAGAAATTCTTCAACCATCGCTCCAGGCAGAATTGAGAAAGCACGAGCGAGACGCGCCTGCCTGCTGCCTCCCCCACGCCATTGACATCAACAAAACGACCAACACCAGCGCCGCATCTCACGCCGAAACCTCGACACCAACCTGAGCAGTTCTTTTCGCCGCAAACATGACCGAAGTAGGCGGACGCAGAAGTTTCAAGGTCTTCGGCCAGNNGGAGTTCATTGTCGATGCGCGGTACAATGTCACAAAGGAGCTGGGTCAGGGCGCCTACGGTATCGTGTGGTATGTTTTCCTCAGCAACAAGGTGCCAGAAGCCCAACTGACCAAGCCGACTCCAGCNGCGGCACAAGCAGGCCACGATCCGAAAGAACAGGTAGCCATCAAGAAGATCACCAATGTCTTCAGCAAGCAGATCCTGGCCAAGCGCGCCCTTCGTGAGATCAAGCTACTGCAACACTTCAGAGGCCACCGCAATGTCAGTCTTCCCACTCGAAATTACGCTTTCCTGTCCAGCATGAGCTGACCCATACCANNGATCACATGTCTCTTTGACATGGACATTCCCGGCGGCCCCGGCAGCTACAACGAGGTCTACTTGTACGAAGAACTGATGGAGTGTGATTTGGCTGCCATCATCCGCAGTGGCCAGCCCTTGACCGACGCCCACTTCCAGTCCTTCATCTACCAGATTCTCTGTGGTCTCAAGTATATCCACTCGGCAAACGTCTTGCACCGCGACCTCAAGCCCGGTAACCTGCTCGTCAATGCCGACTGCGAGTTGAAGATTTGCGACTTCGGTCTCGCCCGTGGCTTCAGCAACGAGCCCGACAATGTTGCTGCTGGCTTCCAGACCGAGTATGTTGCTACAAGATGGTACAGAGCTCCTGAGATTATGCTCAGTTTCGCAGAGTATACAAAAGCCAGTATGTCGTGCCCCGTGTACAACCATTCTCTTTGTCATGCTGACCACCCCTTCCANGTCGACGTCTGGTCTGTTGGATGTATCCTTGCCGAACTTCTCGGAGGTAAGCCCTTCCTGAAGGGCAAGGACTACGTCGACCAGCTCAACCAGATTCTTCACGTCCTCGGCACTCCCGACGAGAGTACTCTCCAGCTCATTGGCTCGCCTCGCGCCCGCGAGTATGTCCGCGGGTTGCCTTACATGCCTCGTATCCCCTACCAGCAATTCTTCCCCCGTGCCAATCCCGACGCCCTGGACCTGTTGGAAAAGATGCTTGCTTTCGTCCCTGCCAAGCGCATCACCACCGAAGAAGCTCTCGAGCACCCATACCTCGCCATCTGGCACGATCCCAGCGATGAGCCCGCTTGTCCTACAAAATTCGACTTCCGCTTCGAGGTTGTCAAGGAGATTCCTGAGCTTAGAACAATCATCTTCGACGAAGTCAGACGCTTCAGAGGTGAAGTGCGCGCTCCTCTCCAACAGCAGCAACAACAGCAACAGCAGCAACACTATGGCGACTATCAACAACAGGCTGGCCAAGTGCCCATGCCCGATCAGTGGAACCCTCGCCAAGCCGAGGACCCGCGTCCGCAGGCTTTGGGTGAGAGCACAACTGAAGGTCTCGAGAGGGAATTGGAGTACGGTCTGGATGCTCAATACGGCCAGCAGCAGATGCGATAAGCGCATGCAGACATTCTCCCTGACAGACCCATTTTTCATCTATCAATTTTCCTTGCGCGCTGGCAGCGCAGTCTTCTCTAATATCATCACAGCCTTGTCATCTCTAAGCACATCATGTTTCTTCCACCTCTTTTTAACATCTAGCGCGAGGACACGAGCCAAAGTAGACGCAGCTACGGGGATGCACATCTGCTTTTTTCTGATCTAGTTGCCTGAAGAACGTCAAGGCTTAATGAAGACCATTTCACATTCATCCTTCATGATACTAATTCTATCTCGTCTGTAATCATGATCCGTTGACCGTGCTAAAAGTCTAGGGAGAACATTGGTGTAGAGATATGTGAAGCTGACTCGTTAGGCGCACGTATAAGTGTGAATTAGAGAAACACAATGACCAATGTTATGTCCGGTCCTCGAACTCCCAGCCCCTTCTACAAACCAACGCCATCATCAAAAGCTCGAACTGGAACTCAGATCGCTGTCAGAGGCTCTGCCCAACCAACCAACCTCTCGGACAGCATCTCCAACTCTCAGGACGTCCTTCTTACTCAAGACGACCCTCGCACACCAAGAACACCAACTCCTATCCACACCTTCTTGCTCCCTCTCTAGATACTTGCCTCCTTCCCTCTCGTCTTCGAACTCTTGCACCACATCCCCAACCAACAACCTCCTCTTCACCTTCTTCTTGACCACACCACCTATACCCTCTATCTCTTGCAAAAAGTAGCCACCGGTTCGCGTGTCTGCAGCATCGCATTCTATCTCTTTGAAGATTGTGCGAGCGGAGAGGCAGTGGGATTCACGACCGCATTGGACGCCTTCGATGCCGGTGCCTAAACCAGTGCCGATGCCGTGCAGATGGGTGCTGTAGCGGGATCGCCAAGTCCACGCGCGCATGTAGGAGGTATCGAGGGTGCGGAGGGTGGTGGAGCAGGGAGTGCAGATCCAGACTTGGGAGGTACAGGAGCAAGGACTACGGTATAGTGGTAGGTGTGTTGGGAAGTCGTCGGAGCTATCGTTATGGTGTTCAATATCGGTTTCTGGGTTTGTTGTTCTTGTGTGCAGGTATAGTGGTGCTCTGATGCATGTGCGGCATAACCTTCGATGTCGAGATTTGAGTGCTGTGCTTGAAGGTGCTTTCATGGTGCAGTTCTGGCGTATAGTCAGTACGTGTGCCTTCATATTCAAGCNCTCTTCTCTTCACACGCATACCCGGCAAACCACAGTCCCACACCGTCGACACTCTCCAACCATATCTCTAGCACACGTGCCCACTCTCTCACCAGTCAACCTAGGAATCCTGATTCCATCTGGTCCATGTGTTGTCCAAAGACTATCTTGTTCTTCCCTCAACCCACTCTCTGGCGTCCATACCGGGTTCGGTGTATCGGATACACATCGCAAAGTCTGTGGGATCAATTGTCTGCGGTGTTGGAGTAGATTAGCACGAAATTGGCGACATGTGCGGGATAGGTCGTGTAAAGAGTTGAGATCTAGGTGTTTTGCTATCTCAGAGATGATACTAAGGCTCATCAGCAAGTTACTCTGCTTGCAAGATAGATCGTACAGAAGACTAACGGATAGTTACCCAATACAGCAGACAATGCATTCAGATTTGGATGTTCTTGATCTTCCTCTTCTTCGTCATGAGTTTGTTCCTCCGAGGTGTGATGTAGTGACCTTGCAGTATGAGCATTGATCAAGTCACGCATATCAAATGGCGCGGTATGTCCATGCTGATGCTGTTGATGCTCGACCTCATCCGGGTCGTCCAAGTCGACAAAGACAACCATCAATCATGTGTCGTCGAGCGTCTCATAGAAGACGCTCTCTTCAGACTTTCTCTTCCGGTGATAATGATGATGTATAGGACTCTCACCCTTTGTTAAGGGTGTGTGTTGTTGTGATGATCAATGGAAGGTTGCACCTGTGTTTGCCCCTCTTGTCATCCCTTCGGGAAGGTGGGGTAGACATCGCCGACACGCGGCCTCGGATCTGATAACAACTGCCCGGATCTATGCGGAGCTTCGTTTGATCAAGCATTATTATGCATTACGGTTATGCTTAAATATTGTCCGCCGTGTGCTAGACTGTTCTTCTGGTAGTGATTACCTTGGTTTCGTCAATACCGAGTTTTGTTTTATGATCTAGAACAGGGCACATTCACAATACATAAATTGACCTCGCGATCTTGATGAAAAAGGTTGTCATACAGGTAGAAGATGGCTCCAAGTTAATCATAAAGTCGTGATTGCAAGGTATAAGACCTTGAGGTCATAAGCTAAGGTCGGGATGATCCTTCAGACAAGTCCGGCTGATGAGAAACGTCAAAGTATAAAATCATCTCTGTTCGTCTGACCAACTAGAGAAGTGCTGTAAATTTATGTTGCCGGTCGAATGACTTCGAGAAGCATTGTTCCTCGTCACCAAGTATGGAGGCTGTGAATGTGCGGCTTCTGGGGAAGATGGGTATCCTGCGGACGACGTCTGTAGCTGGTCTTGGTCCAGAGGCATCATCGTTGGTTGTCTTACACCTTCGGGGGCTGAACTATAGCCTTGCAATGACTGATCCAGCACCCCGTATGACCACAGAGCGTTATGATTATGCTCGGTAGCCATCGAAGGTGAAGCATGAAAGTATGTGTGTGCATCGATCTCAGAAGGCATAGGACCACTATAGCGAGGCTCTACATGCTGGCTAGAGAACGGAGGAAACAGTTGAGTCTGGGGGATGTTCGATATCGAATTGATGTCGTCTAGTGAGACAGCGTGGTGCAGCATAGGTTGATGTTCTTGAGTTGTGTGACTGTTCTCAGCCCAGGGGTCCAGTTCTGTCGCAGAGCCAATAGCAGCTACGTAGTCGTGAAAGGTATAGTGGCTAGGGCACTCCAAGGCTGGGTTTGAGAAACCAGATAGAAAGCTCGGCGTCGAATCATTGTGCGTGCTCTGCATGATGGCTGGGGAGCTAGTCCCTGACCTGGCCATCGGTCGATGTGAGTGTCCTCCACCGTGTCTGTTGATGAAATCATTCCGACCGGGTACCTGAAGATATTGAGATGGTGGAGAGAGGCTTGTGGGGCTGAAGGTATCTTCTGGACTTGAAGCAAAGTCTACGTGCGCAGCAGTTGGACTGTTTGACACATTGCCATCATCAGACGGGGTGACTGGCGTAGCCGAAGCTGAGCGAGAAAGCTCGGGACGAGACGGACAGCGGAAGAGATATATCTCTGGAAGCTCGAAGGCAAAGCAAGACCTGCGACTACCAATAAGTACAGCTCAAAACGAAACTCTTTGACGACCAACATACTCGTGACGTTTGTGCCGCTCAAGCAGAGCAGGGTTGAGGAAAGTGCATTTACATCCAGGAGCAACACAGGCATAGGCACCCCTCTTGTGGCTGCGTTGATGACGCCTNNGATCAAATCATTAGTTTTGTTCAGGAGTTGCGAAAGCAGATGTGGATTACCTTAAGTGTTCTCGACGAGTGTAAATCTAGTACAGGTAAGCGGCGATCCTCAATTGAAGAAAAGCGTTGCTAGAGCGACCTTTCCACAGAAAACACATCCATGTTGCGGCTTGCCTTTCGTTCCCCTTTTCAATCTTCCCGTTGACGTTAGATCAGGTGATGTGGCTGTCCGTCTGTGACGAGAACGACCTCTATGCTCAAGATTAGCTTCGAAGGACATCGCTGGGGAGGGTCGCTGTCTGGCGTTGATTGTTGACTCGATCTTAGAATGCCCGAAAGCGATGGATTGAAAGAGTAAGAACGACGTGGGTCTGTTGGCACTGCACTCCTGCAAAATCAGGAGAAACAGTGATCCTCATGAATAACAGGCCAATTTATGAAGTGCCCACGATGCGTAACTCATCGTGTCTAGAAAGCGACTAGGCGCTGCTTTTGGCAATAGAGCAATAGAGAACAACACGCGTTACCGACAGAGCAGAAGATCGGCAGAGCAGTTGCAGCCTTTTCCTCGCTCTCGAAGCTCCAGCGTCAATCATGATATATCTTCGGAGTCTCGGCGACTCTCCGTCAGAGCTATGACTTCGATTCGTGCCTTCTCGGACAGAGCACATCCCTGCATGCCTGAGAATCAGCAGACGATGTCGACCAGATGCAGGCATCTCATTCGATGAGGAGCCAAGTAGGAGAGATGGTCATGGGAAGCAATCCGGGACGAAACATAGTCGCGATTGCCGCCGACCCAGACCTTCAATACCGTTACAATCTGTGTCCAGGTACTCTGCAAGTACTTGTGTCGCCCTGTAGAGGCGAGCTCCGCAAGTAGAATCGAGATGGTGACCATTGTCCGTTTTGAGAAATTTGTCACCGCTCTTATAGCTGGGGAATCCAGCTATCGTTTCTCACCAACTCATTCTCCTGTTGTCGTCGAGCAGCCTGCCTCTGCAAGGCACTCGCAGGACCAGGACAATTATTTCGCTTCAAAGCATGAGGTGACCAGGACAGGTCAGCCTCCCAGTGGTGGAATTGAGTCTGCGCTTTCGGTAAGCGCGCCGTCAAGGAGTTGCTGTGCAGGAATAGGGCGATCCCAACGACCAAATCCCGAACGCGGAAAGTGCAGCTGGCGGAGAGTGCAGCATCTCTTCGGTTGACGATCCGCCATGCTTGACTGCGGGAGCCATGCATGTCAACCTGGCTGCCACTCATTTGCCGCACCCGAGACAATCTGCAGACTCGGCAACCAGGCATGCATGTTAGCTCAGAGTTTGATATATATGAACCCACAAGATTGGAATCTGCGCATGCGAGTTGTTTGGGGACCATTTCTCTCTTTTGGCGACGAGGAAGCACGCTGCACGCTGGCTGCTAGCGTTTGCCAATAGATGCCGGTCTAGAGCCCCAAGCACGGCACCCATGGCACCAGGATAGCGAGTGCCGAATGGCGAGTAGCGAATAGCGAACGATGAACGACGAAGAGAGAATAGCGAATTTGGGTGGCAACATTCAGTTGCATGGCTTTGCATTATGAAGCTACGAAAGGAAGAAGGCGAAAGCTCTTCGAGTGTCGGAAAGGTAAAAGGTATAAACGAAACCAAACCAACCTTTCCATGCTCCATGACCATAACCCCAAATTGAACCGATGTATATCAATCTTGATCCATTTTTTCTTGTACCGTCATGAATTCCTGTTCGTCATTATGGAACGCCCGCTCGTGATTGAACCAACAAAAATGGACCAGGCGATGCAGAAGATGTCATTGCATGCCCATGGAACGCTCTCTTTCCCAAACGCGAAGCTTTGAGCTCGTGATGCAGTTGTCCTGATGTCGGACAGTAAAGAAGGGTAAAAAAGCAGGCAGAATCATTCTGTGTTTGCATTGGTTTACTTCTTCTTGGGACCGAACATGGGGGCGCCGATGTTGGAGCCGGTAAGGCGGACGTTGGCAGCCTTCTGGATCTTCTGGACGAAGTCCATGCCTGGCCAGTCGGCACCGGGACGCTCGAGAGCAGCAACGTAGGCGACATCGACTGAAGCCTTCGAGGCAAGGTCCTTCTGGGTCATGGTGGCACCCTTGGGGTTCTTGAGCTGCTGGCGGGCCTGCTGGAGGGCCTTGGCGACCTCATCGGGCACCTTCTTGGTTGCGACGATATCCTCGCTGCGGTCGACCTTTGTCAAGTGCTGGCCTTCGATACCCTTGCNTGGCTGCCTGTGTCATGTGTTAGCTAGCTCCAGAGATGAAAGGACGTGTAAAGAGTCTCGACGTACGTTGGCGGTAGCGAACTTCTTCTCAGTAGCAACGATACCACCGCTGCGCTGAGCGGCGTTCAGAGCGCTCTTTCCCTTGATGACGGTCTCGCGAGGGCCGGCAGCGCCTCCACGGGCCTTGCTGCCGATCTTGGTGACTTGGTCCCAGTCAGACATGGTGAATGTAGTGTGTGTTGTGTGTAGTTAAAAGGGTGGTATGAAGAGGTGTGTGGTGGTGAGAGTGCGTGGTCGATTGATGGAAGTGGATTGGATTGTATGAGGCAAAGAAGAGATGTCTGAGCAGCTGTGCGATGTTAACTCTCTGATGTTTCTCGGCGGCGATATGACATCGATCTGGTCCCTCAAAAACGCACGGGCCACCTTTCTTTCCATAGCCTTCGATTTGTGACCATTTTCGGCCTTCCTAACACTGACACCGACATGGAAGCTCACGACACCTTTCACGATATGATGTGTGTCATTGTGTGAATCAAATCTGCAAGTCTATTACACGATGTTCCCTCCCCGTATTCAAAAGTATGTAATGCGTATAGCTGTAGATATGCATGATACTACTAGGAGACTGGATAGTCCCCACTGAGAAGCAACAAAATATGGACTCTCTATGGACAGCATTTGTCTCCGAATGAGATTGTGCCTTTCTACAACGTGTACCTTACTCTGTGTTGTGGTCGGAGTATGATTGGGAGTTACATACTGTTGCACACGGGGAGGTCGCTTGCACTTCAGTAACGAAAATAGAGAAACATCATTGAAAGACTTTCTAGGAGTTAAATTTAGTCAGCATTCAGGCAACAAAACGCCGTTCGTTCCTTGCAGCAATGCCACCCAAAATGCCAGAGGCAAGACCTGATGTTTTGATCGTAGCCTCAACAGTGTGATTCAGACCTCCGAGAACAGTACCCGTTGCGTTTTGTAGCACATGGCCTGTTTCCTCCACAATGCCGTCAACAGTGCGAATGAGACCTTCTAGAGGATCAATAACAAGACCCTCGATAAGACAATCTGCCCATTTGAGTGCGGCTCCAACAGGAAGACCAATCGAAGCTGGACGATCAGATGCCAGAATGTCGAACCCTTTGGTCCCTGATGGGTTGTAGTTCGGGTATCCAACGGCAGGATAACCATTGACCATACCAATAAGTCCATCGTCTACAGAACCCGAGTATCCAGTGAGACCGTGCATACTCGATGAGCTATCATAGGATCCGGTGCCGTTGGTCGAATAAGAGGCTGAGCTGGAGTACGACGATGACGACGCCGAATATGAAGCCGTGGCAGAACTATACGCCTGGACCTGTCCAATTTGCACAGCACGCTTAGCGTTGGCTGTGGCAGCCGTGGTACATTGAGTCTGATCAAGAGGCAAGTATGGAACACTGCCTTGTTCATTAGACTTTTTGATCAAGTCTGCGGCCTTCTCAGCCACAGCGTAAATGACAGACTCAAGATGAGCAGCAGGAAGGATCGGGAAAATGCTGGCATCAACCACACGGATGTTTTGAGTTCCATACACAAGCAAGTTAGGGTCAACGACACCACCATCGTCTCTGGGCATCATGGCGGCAGTGCATGATGGGTGGAACTCAGTGCCCAGCGCGCGATTCAAGAACTCCTGTAACTGCGCTTCAGTGGCTGCGTGAGGCGGGTCTTTCTGCACTGGCTGAAGAATCTGCAGTTCTGGTTGTTGGAACAACTCATCATTGAAACGCAATGAATCCATCATGACAGCCATATCGATGGGGTTGCTGCCATAGCGGAAATCGAGTGTGGGGTAGGCAAAGGGGTCTGTTCCATTGATATGAACATTTCCACGCGTAAGAGGACGCTGGTTGGAAATCTGAGTGTTACCAGCGTTGTCCTGCAAGAACTCAATGATAGCACGTCGACTATTGTTGAGCGCAGGGATGAGAAGAGCGCGTTGACGAGCGTAGCCACGAATAACACTATCATCTAGCCCTTCAGCTAGATGATCTTCATCGGAGAACGCTGAGGCGTTCTGAGCAATCTCCTGTGCGCGGTTCGAGATCTGAGGGAGCGAAAAGAAGCCATTGCCGTCTGGAGGTCCAAATGTGTAAGGTCCGGTGCGGTTGCGGTAGTACACTGACCTTGCCCAATCATTGATCGTCTTGTTTTGCATGATGTTCGGGTAGACATAGCTCTGGTTATTGAAACCTTGAGTCATATGCATAAGCATGTGGTCCTGCAGGTTGTTTCCTACTCCAGGCAGATTGATGCGACTTTGTACTCCTGCTTTCGCGAGGACATTCTTGTCGCCAATACCAGACAATTCCAAGAGCTGAGGAGTACGGAGAGCGCCAGCAGCAAGGATAACTTCGCGAGCGGCTACAGCGGTCCATACCCTTCCATCGGGTCCAGCTGAGACCTCGACTCCCACGGCTCGGGCAGCATTGTTCTCAGAAGCAGCGCAGCCACCATCAAACAGAATTCGGCGGACGTGTTGACCAGTGGAGATATAGAAGTTCTCACGACCGGCAACAGGATCCCATCGAGCTCTACGTGCATCTGCACGAGACTGATTGAGCTGAGAAATACCTTGAGGTAGGTACATAGTCCCCTTTTCGGCGGGTGCAGCAGGATCAGGTTGTGTCGGTACTCCCATGCGGTTCAAGGCGGCAAAGAACTGTTGACTAGCCGGATACTGGAAGGCCGGGAACGAAACATTTTGAGGACCCACCTCACCATGCTGGGAAGCATCATAGCCCTGACTATAGGTTGTTGCGACCTCGCTCGAAGGCTGTTGATTGAAGGTTTCACTCTATTGGTTGTCAGAAGCTGAGTTTGACATTGGCGAGGTTGCACTTACTCTTTGGAAGAACTCCAGAAGCGAATCATAGTCCCATCCGTCGTTCCCAAGCTGACTCCAAGTATCGTAGTCTTCTCGATCACCACGGTTCCAAAGCATAGCATTGATAAGGGTGCCACCACCTAAGCCTTTGCCTTGAGGTATCGTTCTGCTGCCGCCATCAAGGTAGGTTTGTGCAACAGTTTGGTCACANNCCTACCATTTTGTCAGTGATGTGTCTAGCCGATTCCGTATGCAGCATGCCTCGTACCAATTGAATCCACCACATTTGCCGTTGACTGATCCGGCCGCGCCTTGGTAGTATGGGATCATAATGCTCTCAGGATAGTTGTCGGCTTCTCCAGACTCCAGTAGTAGGACCTGGACATTGGCATTCTCGCTCAAACGGTTTGCGACGGTGAGACCTGCTGGACCACCACCGACCACGACGTAGTCGAAAACATTGTTGTCCGGTAATGGGGCATTGAGTCCTCCAGCGACAGCTTGGCTTGCGAATAGCCCAGCGATCGCCGTCAGGTGGTATCTGAGCATTTTGAGCACAGACTACTGGCAATTCTTGATGATGTCGGCAGTACGGAATAGAACGAGCGATAGGACGATAGATATTAAGGAAAGATGTCTTTAAAGAGAGTGGGATTGTAGCAGAACAATCAGATCAAGGATAGGACGAGAGGCACAAAAGCTCCTGATTCTTAGAAGGTGATGTGTACTTGCCTTTTAAATCTTGAGGCTCTTTGCAGGATTTCTCAGAATACGATTGCTGATCGCCAAACACGAGCAGTGACACCATATGGAAGTCTGCCAGTGCCCGTAACAAGACGGCTGAGGACGCTTTGGACGCGGTTGCGTATGCATCTGCACGACCCAAGTTTCCACTAATGGGTCAAGATCAACAGGAACACAGTACCCATTGCGATGTTCTCAAGGCCAGCAAGATGCGACTCATTTGTTTGCTCTGTACAGGCTTCCAAAACTTGCGAAGTCGAAATCCGTAAACGAGGTCATGCGGGATCGTCACTGGGGAAAGCACGCGTCCCTTGTTTCAGCATCAAGTTGAGACAGCGAACTGCTCGGTCAGCCACAGGTCATCCTTGAGATCTGTCAACCTTGACGGCTCGGTGTCGATGCCTATTTTCTTCAAATTAAATGAGTCTGTTTTCGAGCGAAAATCATCAGAGACCTTGTCGTGAGCCTGCCGCGATGACGCGACTCAGGCGATGCAGCGTCATTGACGGCCAGAGATTCGAGCTCAGAATTGAGGATTCGCTCAAGGCAAGCCCTGTCATGGAGACTGGTCTTTCTATGCGACAGAGAGAAAGACAGCCTGTCTTGACAAGGCTCCCATTGCGCAAACTGCTACCTGTTTTCCAGAATTGTGTCAAGTTTCAATGACGCGTAAGGCTGTGCAATTCTGAATCGTGTCGAAATGGTTGTTCGGTTGTGTGCGTCAAGTGTCAGGCCGCAGTTGAGAGAAACATGCCAGTCAAGGATGCAGCTGCATCTGCGTCCCTCTCAAGCCGACGCAACTCTCTCGGATGAAAGAGCGTTTGGGGTGTGCTCTCCATGATCGAGCAGCATGGAAGATAAAAGTGACTCCAGCGTACAATCAGTGGTGGGTTGAGACGCTCGTCGTGATGGTCTGTTTAGCAAATTTGCATTCTGTTCTTGCGACCTCGCCGTGTGCTCAAGACAGTCACAACCTTGCAACTAGCTCCTCCATTCCGAGCTATGAGGGTTGTTATAAGCTATCGAAATGCACAGTCTTGACTCGAATATAAGTCTAGCCATTGAGATAACCTTCATTAAGGTCTCTCTGTGGAGACCATAATTTTTCGTGAAAACATTGTGCAGTCCTACAGCTACACTGTGACTGTCTTTAGCACATAGGGAGGTAGAGAGAATGCATCGGACTTTGCAGTGGGATGAAGGAAGGTTGGTTCGATAACAACATGAACATCGTAGGACATCACAGTTCTGTTTCACCAAGTGCGAGCGCAGATCATGGCATGATTTCCAACCACCTCAACGTCTTTGCTTTACCGTCGCTGGTCCCAATGCTGCCGTTCGTACCTGGATTATCAAGTGCAACATCAATGCCATCTTGGAGTCGTTGTCGACCCTGGTTCCGCGGTCCGAAACGGTCTTGCATGTGAACTGGTTGCCAAAACCAGCCACCTACGCTTGCACGGTGAACCGGTCTCTCTTTACCACGCGCATCTATGTCCCTCAAGTTCTAGTGAACGTGTGCTTTGCAACAATACACTCCAATTTGACCGTTGCTTTCTATGGTTCTCACAGAGGCCGTGGCTCTTAACATGTCAAAAACGAAGTGGCATGGACGTAGTCCGCAACTAGCCTCGGTAGCTCGGCTTCCCCAAGGCTCCTTCCTCCCTTTGCGGCCGTACCAGCGATAATTGATCTCAACACCAAGGCGCGAAAGGTGAATCGACACTCAAGAGTCTTGGTAAAGCCTTACGAAGAGTGTATACATAAGCCGAGTGCGGGGACTGTTCGGGGTGAAGCTAGACATACCTTTTATCCTTCGCTCTTCCTGTCTTGCTTCAACAACAAAACCTCTTGACAATTCTGCAATCATGGCATCAACATACAACTACGAGTACTTCAACGTCACGTTTCCTGGAGAGTATGTCGCACAGGTTGAGATCAACAGGCCGGAGAAGATGAATGCCTTCAACGAAACGTACGTAAGAAGCTATTTCTGACCATTCATCTCCATGCACGAGTCATTTATCATATCAGCCCTCAACACTCAGCTGCATATATTTACGGCCGACAATAATCTAGAGACTGACAGGGACTAGNNCATGTGGAAGGGCGTCGGGCAGATCTTCGAACGTCTATCTCACGATCCGGATGTACGCTGCGTGGTCTTGACTAGTGCAGGGGACAGAGCTTTCTCAGCAGGTCTCGATGTTCAATCAGCATCAGAGACAGGAGTCTTGTCTGGAAACGACGGACGCGATGCTGCAAGAGTGGCACACCGACTTCGTCTCCATATCGATGAGTTCCAAGCAAGCATCACTCAGATCGAGAAATGCGAGAAGCGTGAGTCATCCTGCTCTGTCTAGAGTGCTCAAACTCGACTCTAACTGTGGTTCAACNNAGCGGTGATAGCTGTAATGCATGGAGTCTCCTTCGGCCTGGCATTGGACATGACCCTTTGCGCCGATATCCGCATCTGCGCTTCCAACACTCGGTTCGCAGTCAAGGAAGTGGATATTGGATTGGCAGCAGATATCGGCACTCTTACCCGTCTGCCCAAAGCCAACATCCCCATGACGTTCATCAAGGATGTTGCTCTGACAGCTAGAGTGTTCACTGCACAGGAGGCTCTAACAGTCGGCATCGTTTCTGCTGTGTATGACACCAAGGCCGAGGCTTTGGCCAAAGCAGTGGAGAAAGCAAAGCTGATCGCCAGCAAAAGCCCGGTAGCTGTCATGGGCACGAAAGAGGTCTTGAACTTCTCCAGAGATCACTCGGTACAAGACGGTGAGTTTTCTCATGATATATCGTTCCTTCACGTACTGACAACTCGTGTTTCANNAGGTTTGAGATATGTGTCGGTCTGGAATGCAGCATATTGTAACACCGCAGACGTGACCGACTCGTTAACAGCAGGCATAAAAAAGACGAAGCCTGTCTATGCGAAGCTCTAAGTAATGAACACGACAAAGAAGGACGTAATGCAAGGAGTGAACAGGAATCACTGTTCAGATGAGTGGATGATATTGTTATGACGACTTGAAGTATATGTATAATAGTCTGTTTTCCAAGCTCTTGCAGCACAGGGTATCAAAGTAGCGGGACGAAGCACAAATGAACAGTGGTCTACGATAGTCGTCTTAGAGCAGCTGAGCTATTCTCGAGACCATCCTCGAAGCCAATGGCTCTAGCAAGGCTCACAGCTTCCTTGTAATGCTTCTTGGCTTCTGCAATATTCTTGTTCATCTCAGCAAACTCTCCTANGAATATGGTCAGCGATTGTACATGCAAGGGCTAAGTAGATAACGAACCGAGGTTGTGTAGTGCAACAGCACAGCCTACATCACACTCTTCGTCACGAGCTGGCGGCTGAATATCAGCAGCAAGGTCGAGAGCTTTCTGAGCCCATTGTTTGGCATTCTCAACTAAAACAGCCCTTGAAGGAGACTTTGTCTCTGAGTTTTGAGGAGGATTTTGCTGGGCAATCGAGATGGCAAGATTGTTCATCAGNNGGATGACGGAATGGCAGTCTCTCTCAGATTTGAAATTCAGAGCTTGGAGGAAGAGAGGAGTGGCCAGGTAGTGCTTGTTTTGTTCTTCGTAAGTGTGAGCAAGGGCCTCCATGGAAGCACCCATCTCATCATCGGACAACCAGTCGCCCTCTTTCTCCAAGACGCCGGGCTCTTGTCTGCGTTGCTTTTCCCGTAATGAAGTTTCCAGAGCCCAAACAAGTTTCTCCTCTGCGGACTTGGCATCCTGCACGTATTTGTTCGAGTACAGGTCGGCGAGCTTGACGGACATGGCAACGAGGTGCTTCATGATGCGTGTGCGCTTCTCCTTGTGATCTTCAAGCCGACCAAACTTCTGCTCCCAGGCGAGACAATCGTTTCTGAGAATCTCAAGAACTTGAATGGCCTTTGGGTAGTTCTCAATCTTCTCCATCAAAGCCGAGACTTGGATCTTGACGCCAATGATCTCTTTGGAAANAGGATCCATGCCGAGCTCATTGGCAATCTCGAGGGCTTGCTTGTAGTATTTGAGAGCGTTCTTGGGGTCGAGGTCCTGGTTCGTGTACCAGATGGCTCGTCGCAGCTTTTGGGCTACGGGCTCGGGATAGTTGTGGAACGAGGCGATGATGTAGGTTTTGTAGAGGTAGTTGGCGTAGGCGATGCCGGCAGAACTAGCGAGAATTGCAGCAGCAGCCAAGGAGACCAGGTATGGATGGGCAGCCCAGAGTTCTTTAGCACCGCGGGTGAAGGAGGCTTTGGCGCGAGACTGTTGCCATCCGTGCGATGTCCTGGTATGAGAAGCGATCTGAGGTCGAGTTTTGGCGTGGGCAAAGGACGAGAGGCAGCGTCTACTACCTGTCCGTAAGGCCAAGGAGCCTCGCAAGGCATTCGCTGCTGGTCGTGAAAACATGGCGACAATGTGCGTGTGACAATTCAGAAGCTTCCTCAATCTCGAAAGCCGCCTCGGTTTGGACAAAAGCGAAAGTGTTTCGGCTTCGGCAAGACGTCATCAACGCGCTCGTGCGCGTCTTCCATTTCCATCAACTCGCCCCTCGTCTTCAACCAACCTACCAAGCAACAATCTCAGCAACATCATGTGTGGCAGATACGCACTGTCGCTGCGCCCGTCAGCAGTCCGTCGCAGACTGCAAGACGAAAACATGCCCGCCGACGAAGCTCCTGACGACGACGACAATGACACCCGTCAAACCTACAACTTTGCTCCTGGCAATCACGGCTTGGTCTATCGCGCAAATGTCCCCGACTCGGGAGCTGGTACCCAATCACAAGACAAAGACAAGACCGCCGTCGTCGATGACGCTGCTACCACCGAAACTCGCTACAAGCTGCAATCCATGAAATGGGGTCTTATACCTTTCTGGACAAAGAGACAGCCCGATTATGCCAACATGATGCGTACTATCAACTGCAGAGACGACTCTCTTGCCACACCGGGTGGTCTTTGGAACACCATGAAGCAGCGCAAGAGATGTATCGTCGTGTGTGAAGGCTTCTACGAATGGCTCAAGAAGAACAACGGAAAGGATCGAGTGCCTCACTTTGTAAAGAGAAAGGATGGCCAGCTTATGTGTTTCGCTGGTTTGTTCGATTGTGTTCAGTACGAAGGCCAGCCCGACAAGCTCTACACCTACACCATCATCACGACCGATTCGAACAAACAGCTCAAGTTTTTGCATGATCGCATGCCTGTCATACTCGATGCCGGCTCGGATGCCCTCAAGACCTGGCTTGATCCTGCAAGGTCAGAATGGTCGACAGAGTTGCAATCGCTCCTCAAACCCTACCATGGTGAGCTTGAGTGCTACCAAGTTGACAAAGCTGTCGGCAAAGTGGGCAACAACTCTCCATCCTTCATCGTTCCCATTGACAGCAAGGAGAACAAGAACAACATTGCCAACTTCTTTGGCAACCAGAAGAAGCAGGCCAAGAGTGCCAACGAGGAGAGCATAGTAAAGAAGGAGGAAGAAGACCTTCGATCTGCCGATGCTCAGATAAAGCAAGAGCCTGACGAAGAACGCACTACTGTCATTGACCCCCAGAACACAGAAGACAATGCTCCTCGACCTGAGCCCAGCCACTCTTTGGAAGATAAATTGTCGACTGGAGTCAAACGCGAACATTCGCCTGATGGCTCCGATGATCAAAAACCATCACCAAAAGTCCAGAAATCAGGGGATGGTTCGAGTGCCACCAGTCGCTCTGCGTCTAGCCGTACTATGAGAAGCTCCGTTACCAACAATACTCAAGCTAAGTCACCTCCCAAAGCCAAGGATGGCTCTCAAAAGATCACGAACTTCTTTGCCAAGTGAAACAATGTTGCATGGCTCATCGACATCAACATACTACCGAACAATCACTTGTTCCGATACCTTCTTCAGCTAAATTTAACAACACAAGCAGTTGTTTTGAAGTGGTATATGCCCTCTACCTATTGCGTCGCATACATAGGGGCTAGACCATGACGTGTGAAGAAGGGCACATGCATCAACGATTGCGACGACAGAACAGACATGCCTCGACGGAGAAAGCGGAAGAGGCGCAGGGCCGAGTGGTTCGCGACATGCTGCCCTAAATTATCCACGCGCTGAAAAACGCTGACCGTCAACGTCAAGCATGTCGTTGGCCAGGTACTTGACCACCCAAGCCCTATCCGTCCTAACTAGGGGCTGTTGTACGAATTTGTAGATGCGTTCGGCGAAGAGGATAGATTAAAACTACTCAAAGTACACGTGGTTGCCACAACCCCTTCTGTGGGCAGAGTGGGCCAGACACTAATAGAGCGATCGCACTTGACCGAATTTGTTCCATGCACGAATTGATGAAGGACGTGTGTGCCTGCCGAGTCATTCTGAACAGCGATCCTGCAGCTCTAGGTTTGTGTCTGAGTGTCTCCTTGCCTTGGTCGTCCCCTACAGAGTTCGTGTGTTCGCTCAATACTTCCTATTTGATCAGGTGGGACCCAAAATCAAGCGATCCCAGAGGGACTCTTGGAAGCGCACTTGGCGACAGGCATGTAGAAGATTCTGTGATGTCTATCGGACCGCAAGCGACTCGGTGACCGACAGCTTTCAAGTTTCTCGAATGCTTCTCCCGCTCTTCTCCAGAAAAGTGCTTCTGCTTGCTTCAATTGGCCATGAAACAAGCGACGAACACGCGACCGGCTCAGGCGCGACCGTTTCATGCATCACGATGGGGAGCGCTGATGAGCCTCCACCACGACAATTTGATTGGCGCGCAGGTTACAAGTCCGTTGCGGTGTGGCTGCTGCAGTGTGTGTTTCGGCAAGCCCGAGCGCTTTGCGTTTCCAAATCTCTTCTGTCTGCATCGGACTGTACATGCTGCATGCAATTCATCCTGTAGTAATTTCATATTCCTTACATGAAGAACAGCTACCCTTGACAGAGCTGGTTCTAGACAGTCGCTTCAAACAGAGGCTTGATGAGACATGTAGGCTCCTCGCTATGTAGTAGGCCTAGCAGAGCGAAACCAGAAATCATGAACGCACTCAGACCGTAGTCTTGACAAAGCGGCAGTTGTGCCAATTGTCCCGTAACAATCCGGATCCCATTCGGAACAGCGGCACTTCGTTAGAGATGCCCAATAGCACTGCAGCATCGCAGGTTCTCCCGACAGGGCTGCAGATCCCAAGAGATCTATTGCTTTACAAGCGCTTGTATCGACAAAGGACTGTTCGATAGAAGCGCGTTATGGAATGAACAATTACACAACATCGATGACATGGTAGATGGGTGTAGAGTATCCTAGTGTTCACCTGCTCGGTCTTGTCCGAGCATGATTTGATATCACCCCCTGTGTCTTTCGCAACTGGGCGCATGCCTCGTCGGTCCGTGCACCAAGGTCGCGTTCGTTTAATCCATCCACCAAAGATGTCCCTGCGCCTGCCTTACACATGTTCCACTTTGTTCTAAGGTTTATGCCATCTTCAACTCCAGATTCATGAATACCAACTGTCTACCAGCCTCATCGCTTCTGCATGCAGTCATCATCTGTCACTTGCGCCTTGTCATCTACTCTGTCGGGCTCTTCGCCGTGCCCAGACCTTCTTCAAATCAAATCGCGGCGTACACAGATATTTGACCAGGATGGACTGATTTGAGGTTCCGTTCCCTTGGGTCGCTTGTTCGGAGGTGCTGTGTTTTATCATCTGCCCTACTAGTCGTTGAACCACTCTTTTTTCCAAGATCACCTTCTGCCTGTCCTTCCTACTCGTACTCAGAACTCTGCTTCTATACTTCTTTTCCCCACCACAGCACAGACGAGCAAACGAACCTTCTTTTGTCACACCATCCGTGTCCATGTCAACGTCTTTGTGACAGTCTTTACCTTCTCATCATCTCTGAAGCTCTACACCCTCTTCAGTCATGTCCTTCCTGTCGGCCCTGCTCTCGGGGAGCCAGAACCAGATATCGACTCGTCAAGCGTTGTTGGTTGTTGGCCTGCAAAACGATTTCACATCTCCCGCCGGCAAACTACCTGTCAACTCTGCTACTGGATATCTGGAGAGGATCAAACAGCTCGTCCCTGCCTTTCGAGAGTATGGTGAGATCTTTTGGATCACAACCGAGTATCGCGGCAAGCGCACTGTCAACCATCCGTCAGGCTCTGGCTGTATGGTGATTGCAGATGATGGGCTTGTGCTACCAGTGGTCAGCAGCGACGATGAGATGAACGACTACCCGTCCCGCCCGTCGATAAGATCGAAACGTCGGATCAATCGACTTGTTCAGCGAACCATGGATAGAGCAGCAGAACTCGAGGCAAACTCTGCATCCCCATCTTCATCCTCGGGTGTCGACCAAGACCTCTTCCTCTCCCAGGACAACCCAGAAGACAACTGCTGCTTGCCAGGAAGCTGGGGCGCTGAACTCTCCTCAGAGGTCAAGGACTTGGTGTCTCCCAGAGACGTCCGAGTCGTCAAATCGTACTACTCGGCGTTCACGTCTTCATCTCTACTACTCATGTTACGCGCAAAGCTCATCACAGAAGTCTACGTCGTTGGTTGCACTACGAACCTTTCCGTCTATGCTACAGCATTGGACGCGGCCCAGCATGGTCTGTCGATCAACCTCGTCGAAGACTGTCTCAACTACAGACTCAAAGACAGACACGATCGAGCTGTGCAGAAACTGGTAGAGATCATGGGAGCATCCGTCACAACCTCGGCCTCAGTCTTGTCGAGACTGCGAGGCGAGACGCACACTGATGAGTCTGGTAACGAAACTGGCACGGGGCAGTCCGATGTTGACATGGAAGATCAGTCAGGAACCGTACGTGAACCCTCCCTTCCCAGCGGCCTCGAACGCTACCTCGAAAGTCTTAGGTTGAGCGATGACCAACCCCATGTAACAGACGACGCAAAGCACACTTCCTCTAAGCATGCAGAACCTCCAAGCTCTCAACTTCCAGACCCGACAAATTTTCGACGTCAGCCAAACACAAGGCTTGCTGGAGGTCGACGACACCATGATGACACGCAGAACAGAAGAATCGAGCCAAAGCCGCGCATAATACGAGACGATAACGCTAATGCAACACCGTCTGAAATATCTCGAGGCGGTCCTGAAGCCCCGATGTTAAGTGAATCATTTCGTCCGTCCCGGAATCAAACAACGTGGAGGCTCACGTGGTGCATGACTCCCAGTCAAGGACCCACTTGGACGACCTGGTCACAGCAGAAGTTACTGCTGGTCACCAGCACAACCACACAAGCAGAGCAACTACAATGGACACGCACGTTGACGAACAGACTGTACCTGCACCACCAAGACGGGTGTCACGGAAGCTGCAGATGAGACAGAAAAGCTCGACTCTGCTCAGCTCTGACGACAAGATCGGAAGCGGCGACTCGAAGATACTGTACAATCTGCTGGAGCCTGAAGCTGCTGAGGTAGCGTTTCAAGATTTGTTCTCTGAAGTCCACTGGCAGCGCATGTACCATGCCGCCGGCGAAGTCCCACGATTAGTATGCTGCCAAGGCGACATCGATGACGCGGATGGTGCTATGCCTGTATATCGACACCCTTCAGACCAGTCGCTTCCTCTGCTTCGTTGGACTCCAGTCGTCACCAAGATCAAAGAGATGGCTGAAGAAAGAGTTGGACACAAGTTGAATCATGCTTTGATACAGCTGTATCGCAGCGGGCAGGATCATATCTCCGAACACTCGGACAAGACACTAGACATCGTGCATGGTAGCAAGATCGTCAATGTCTCGCTCGGTGCCCAGCGTACCATGAGGCTTCGTACTAAACGTCCCACAACCTTGCAGGATTCAGCAACAAGCCACAACACACAGAGATCCCGCGACACAACGCCCACAGCCGATGCGCAGCCAAACCCCGAAGATGGTCGATCTCGCGTGACACAGCGAATTCCCATGCCACACAACAGTATGTTCGTCATGGGTCTGGACACGAACGCGTCTTGGCTTCATGGTATCATGCCTGACAAGCGTCCAGCTGCAGAACACATCCCTGCCGAGTCCGCCTATGGCAACATGCGCATCTCCATAACTTTCCGCCTCATTGGCACCTTTCTGTCAGCCGACTCAAAGCTCATCTGGGGGCAAGGCGCTGTTGCGAAGCAAAAGTCGGATGCTAGACCAACCGTCAATGGCGACCCTGAAGAGAGCCAAAGACTCATCGATGCGTTCGGGGTTGAGAACCAAGTCACTGCACCTGAGTGGAACAGCATCTACGGGACAGGCTTCGATACCTTACACCTCAAGTCTGAGCTGCCCGAACACGAAAGGCCTATGCTGTTCCTATCTGGCGACGGGGACATGGATACTGATGTTACCGCATACATATCTCAACTTGGCGTCAACGTTGAGACTGTCAACCCACCAGTCGAACGATTGACCAGCGAAATTGTTGACGCAAATGGCGAGCCTTTGGTTCTGACAGCAGCGCATCGACGTGTCATCTGCTTTAGGCAAGTAGGAGGCATGCACACTGAAGTACAAGGCAGAAACGCTATCATGGAGTACTTGAAGGAGACCTGTGCACCACACGTTCAATGATAGGAGGTGGACAGAGATCATAAGATGTATAAATGCTCATGTAGCCTACTCAATGACAGGAACTTTTACACAGCAGCCGTGACTTTGATAGTGATTTACCATGCTGGTGATGGAGCATCAAGACTGTTTGCCGAGTGTACTACCTGTAACCATACGCGCTGCAGATTCTGGCCCACGATATAGAGCTTCTCAGTTGTAGACCAAAACAGGCCACCCCTGAACATAGTTGATGTAGTTCCAACCGAGCAACTTGAGCTCATCAAGGTACATGGGGTTTTGGATGGTGTTCACATAGTGGTAGTACAGAACATCTCGTCCGTGATAATTTGAGAGGACACCCTGGCCGCCAGGTCCATNACTTTTGATTGGTTAGCATGTGCTAAATATACGATGGGGTTTCTGGCTTACGACGTAGTCATGGCTGCCGTAGACGATATAGCCACCGCCGTTCTTCAGGTCAACGCCGTTGCGGTCGACAAAGGGTCCCGTGGCTGATCTGGAGCGGCCGACGCGAATAGAGTATCTATCGTGAATCAGAACAAAATACCACTGGTAAACACAGGTGATTACGCACTCTTGGCCAGGTGCAGGCAGAGCGGATACGTTGTAGCCGCAGCACGAGCCGTGACTGTACCAAAGATAGTACCAACCATCGTGACGACTCAAGTAGGCACCTTCCTCTGCCTGTGGGCTTACAGGATCCAAGCTCAGCTGAATAGGAGCAGGAGACCAGACAACGCTAAGCAAGTCCTGAGTTAGCTGAAACTGCCAGATGTCGCTCCAAAAGCTACCGTAGGTAAGATAAGGAATCTTGGTCTTTGGATCGATGAACAAGTTGCCATCAATTGCATTCGTGATGTTCAATGGCGAAGGAGCAGTAGTGTTCGATATCAGGACCGCGCCATGATCGGTCCAGCTGCCAGGTTTCAGTGTCTTCGAGGTAGCGAGTCCAATGCTAGAGAATTGACTGCCGAATTGCGAGACGGCATAGTAGCAGTAGTNAGTGTCGCCGACCTTGTGCACATCAGGGGCCCAAGGATCGGTGCTTCCGGTGTTGTTGATAATGCTAGATCCCTCGAGAACAGAGCCAATTGGCTCCCAGTAGCCATCCAATGAATTGGGCTGTGAAGCTCGGCTGATGACTACCAATCCATGCGTTGAGAACGAGTAGTAATGGCCGTCGGGACCCATCACAATNNCTATTGAACGGTCAGTCTGACGTCGAAAAGAACATCGAACTGTGTGGCATACCGATGGATCGTGTAGATGAACGCCACCCCAACCTTCATAACTCTGGTTGGCGCCAGGATTAGAGACACCGCTGATGTTATGAGGTAAAGGCCAGGAAGCGCTGGAGAAAGGATCAGGCTTGTTGTTGGAGGGCAAGGCAACTGTCTGGGTTGCTAGCGAGGCTACAGCCAGGATGCCGATCTTGGTGATTAGAGAATGCATCTGCAAGATCCGTCGCTTTGTTAGTATTGCTGATCTGCTGTGCTGAAACACTAGGCGCCTGCTCTCTTTATATATCGTCTACTGCCTTGCTCTACACCAGGCAAATATGAGAATCATGCAAGCATCATCTCCCGCCGGAGGTCGCAGTCATGCTGTATGGATGCATGATCGCTCTCGAATTAGCCTTCGATGCCCTCGAAGACTCGAAGACAAGCGTAGTCTCTCCATGCAGTGCTTGGATGAATGATTTCTCCGCATGTATGCCCTCTCGTCTGTGGGGCCCCAGGGCGGGGTAAATGCATGCAGAATACCTCGATTTCTCCGTGTTTGCCAGGGAATCGGCATGAGGAAGACGTCGATCCTGGCCAGGTTGTAGCGATGTTAGACCTTGCAAAGCTAAAAGGCAAACTTGAACGGCAAACTCGATGGATAGCGCCAGGGGCCGTGCAGGTGTGAAGCAAGTTGCTGCTGTTTTATGAAGCCGAAGAAGGTGCATCTCGGTTGAATCGATGGTGACTTCCTCTATCAGAGTCGGGTAAATTTGATCTTCTACCGGTATAGGAATTGGTCGCGACCTGACAGTCTGGCATCCATTGTACTAATCTCACAACACCTACCAGGGCATAGGAAGGTCTTCAGTCCTTTTACATGTTGTAAACGCTTTCTGTTAGCACGTATGCTTATCTTCCTCAGTAGCAGTCTAGACAACATGCGAGGTAAACAAGAGCCCAAAACTGTCAAGAACAAGGTCGCGCCGAGTGAGATAGCATAAGTAGGTGGCCGCTTTGAACAGTTCTGCTCTTTCTATCAAGCTCTTGGGTCGATGGGCTACAACTCGCAAGCGCGTAGTGGTATCGCCAACCGAACTGGTACACCATCGACTCTCTGGTCGACCACACGAACGTGTGTTCAGACAACGAAACTTTTTGGGTAATTCTCACAGGACGCGAAGAGGAAGGCGATGGCTTCAACGCAAAAGAAGTCGCGCGTGACGGCATCAAGCACGGACAGCGATTTTACCAGCCATGCTGTTTCTCCAATCCATCAACCACCATTCCTCCACTTGCAGCCTGAGGATAGCGTTGACGAAAGGACCCTTGGCCCTCATTGGCACCGTTTAGGCATCTCTAGGAGATGTCCTGCTTCATATGAGCGACAAACGTCGCCTGTCCGATACGGATCTCTCCTCGAGCCTAGGAGTACCGTGGTTTACACCACGCGTTCAGTATATGAGCTCTTTTCAGGGTGAAGTCGACGAAAAGATACTATCGCATGAGCTTTCCCTTTTGGAAGTCTCGCCAATCCCGTCGCGATAGAGGATCCCCCTCTGAGCCTCTGACGAATGTAAAGACCACGCAGCAGATCGGCCGGAGCTCCACGCTTTCCGCATGAACCTTCCGAATGCAGTCGCGTGTTCTTCACATCCTTGGTCCGTGGCCGTTGTCACCAAGAGCCTATGGATCTAGGCTGTTTTTCTCGCCCTCTAGATTGGCTACTTGACGAATGTCTTCGCAACTAGAGTTCACACAAAAGGTGGGGAAAGCGAATTACGCCTAAGAATTGGTCATGAGATTGAACATCCCTTCCTTATCACTTTTTGGTTTTGAAGTCGCATACGGCTCTTGGATAGACGGCATGTACTGCAGTAACGCCTATCTTTGCAATATGGCTGCAATATAACACTCAGAGATTTCGCACCCTGCTTGTCGGGTGACATCCAACAATCTCCCTGCTTCCTGAGTGAACTTTCGAAACATCATCTTCCATTGGCACAGCATACAAACATCAATTGATGAGTCTCTCATCCCTGCACGGCGACGCAGTCATGGACTCGACGAAGAAGCCCATTGATGTCGGTAGACAAAGCTACGAAGATGCCCGGGACATGGTTGCTCTAGGCCATACAGAGGAACTCACAAGGAAGTTCTCGTCATGGAGCATGCTTGCCCTTGCTTTCTCCATCCTGGGCACTTATGGCACGTTTGCCCAAGACCTGGCATCTGGATTGAACAACGGCGGCGCCATCACAATCTTGTGGGGTCTTGTGCTCGTCTTTGTGTGTAATCTCTGCGTTGCACTCAGCTTAGGTGAGCTGTGTAGCGCTATGCCTACTGCTCTTGGTCAGGCTTACTGGATGCACTCGCTATGGCACACACCGACGGGGAGGTTCGCATCATACATGTGTGCCTGGATCAACACATTTGGCTGGTGGACACTCAATGCTTCGCTCGTGGCCTTCGCAACCAACTTCTTGCTTGGCATCAAGCTCATGTACGATCCGGAGTGGGCAGGTGCCGGAACAGGATGGGTCGAGTTTCTGGTATATTTGGGCATCACGATCGTCTTCACAGGCTTCAACTTGGTGGCCTGTAGGAATGACAGGATCTTGCCTTGGTTCAACAACATCGTCGGCATCCAGTTCGCTGCTCTTTTCTTCATCCTGAGTCTTGCCTTGCTCATCTCGGTTGGCACCAAAGAAGGGCTTAAGTTTCAACCAGCGTCTTTCGCATTTGGTGCTTGGATTAATGAGACGGGATGGCCATCGGGAGTGGTCTGGTTCACTGGTCTCGTTCAAGCGGCCTATGGATTGACAGCTTTCGACTCAGTACGTGCACTAACCTTCAAAATTTAGACACATGCTGACATATAGGCGTTTAAGGTCGTCCACATGATTGAAGAACTCCCGAACCCTCGTGTCAACGCTCCTCGTGCTATCTGGCTGTCTGTCGTTCTGGGTGCCATCACAGGTTTCCTCTTCATGGTCGTGTGTCTCTTTTGTATTCAAGACCTCGACAAAGTTATCAATTCGCCGACTGGCTTGCCGTTCATGCAGCTTGTCCAAGACTGCGTTGGTCTCGAAGGCGCTGTCGTGTTGATGGTGCTCTTTACGATGAACAGCTTGGGTCAGGGCATCTCTATCACCACAACCGGTAGCCGATTGACCTGGGGCTTTGCTCGTGACAACGGTTTGCCCTTCTCGAAGTACATCAAAAGAGTCAACAAGAAGTGGAAGGTCCCACCACAAGCCTTGCTGGTCCAAGGAATCCTCATCGGTCTGGTTGGCCTCCTTTATCTGTTTGCAAACACAGTGCTTGAAGCTATCTTGAGCGTGGCCACCATCGCTTTAACAATCTCTTACGCCATGCCCATCTTGACACTGCTGCTTGTGGGCCGCAACAAATTACCTGCTGGCGGGCAATTTGCGCTCGGCAGATATGGACCTGTAATCAACTGGATCAGCGTGGTCTACTGTGTCGTCACAACAGTCATTTTCTTCTTCCCAAGCGGACCCAACCCCTCAGGAGCAGACATGAACTACGCAATTGCAGTGTTTGGCGTCATGCTCGTCGTCTCCATTGTCTTCTGGGTCGTCCAGGGCCGCAAGACCTATTTGAGGGTAGAGCCGTCTGAACAAGTCGTGCTAGAAGCGGTGCATTTAGAGGACAATTATGTAGAAGTCCCAGGGTCGTCACGGGTTGACGCAAAGGGTCGATGTCTCGATTTGCATGATGGTCATGCTTTCTGTATCATGATGTATAAAAGATTCTGTTATTTGTTCTCATTCACTTGTGCCAATTCTCCTACTAGAAGAAGAAACCAGGGTATGTTGGATCGCTCGGGTCGATGAAGAAGCTATGGCGGCCTGTGAGGTAAGCGTTCCCTCTGACTTCGGGTGTACAAGTTGGATAGTCGGATTCTTCCTCCTGGTACTGAGAGATGACTCTAGCTTCAAAAGTCGTGTTGATGATGGAATGATGGATCAGTCTCTTGTCGCCACTCAGCTTCCCNNCTTGTGCCAGCAAGACGGCTATTCGAGCAGCAGTCCCGCTGCCACAAGGAGATCTGTCGATAGCACCTTCTGCATAAACAGTGATACTCTTTTGTTCAATGGCTTCGTCACTGTCGTTGAGTGTCTCGAAGAAAACGATGGTGTAGAGAGATGTATTTTTATGGTCTCCGCGTGTCCCAACCTGTGCCTTGACCTGACGAGCAAGTTCGATGAAGCGTTGAGCATTGGCCGGCTTGATCTCTACACCGATATCACTGGCATCAACAGATGCACAAGTAGCTCCGCCCCAAGAAAGGTCGACCTCGATTTGCAAAGTCTTTGCACCAGATATCGATACGCTCACAGGTACGTCTTTGGCATACTGGTAGCTGGGGACGTTGATGAAGTTCACGTGAACCACTTTGCCGGCTCTGAAATTGACCTCTGCTACCACGCGCCCGGAAGGCACGTCGATGACGACTTTGACTGGGCCTTCTTGTACAGATTTCACGAGCCCTTTGGCTACGGCATAACGACCTAGGGCGATCGTTCCATGGCCACAAGCTGTCGAGAACCCATCTCTATGCCAGAACAAGACACCAAGATGGGCACCAGAGTCGTTGGGAGGAACAATGAAGCCTCCATACATATCAGCATGGCCTCTCGGCTCATGGCAGAGGGATTGACGCAAAAGATTTAGTGGGTGGTCTGGCTGGTTCATGATGTTGAGCCGGCGTTCCCATACTGTGTCTCCTGTAGTGGTGCAATGTGGTGGAAGGTCCGGTACGATGCGGAAGGGCTCGCCGGCTGTATGCCAGTCTTCCGTATGCACCCAAAAAGCTTCTTGCTGAGACATAGTCGTTGCTGCCTGAGATTGTTACGAGTCAAGGTTGTTATGTTGTAGGCCTTTGGAAAGTGCACATGTCGACGAACGCGTGTGGTGCTCGAAGACAGCACCCCACTCATGCAACCATTCAAGGATTTGAGCAGGTGGAACGAATTATAGGCATCCCTCAACTCACTGTACTGCTTGACTCCTCCCACGGTTGACACCGCCCGAGAGTAGCAAAGACATTGTTCTGGACATCCAACATCAGGATTAGACCCGCCAGATCGTGACATTGACAAAAGAGCAGATGATAAAAAAGCAGACAGGGTGCTACCAACTGCCAACAGCTGAAATCTTGGCATTGAATAGGGAGCAGCTCAGGGAGATCCGGGGCATCGTTTCTCGGGAAGGCGCTACCTGTCGTTTAGCCAAACAAAAGTAAAGGAGAGCTTCCTGCTTTCTCTCACGCCCAACAAAAGACCCATACTTGAGACGAACCCAGGGCTCGCGAGCAGACGACAAGGATACAAAAGATGGAATCGCGAACAAGTTTCTTGGTGCGACTGCTCCTACTGGCATTGCTGCCCCTCAGCTTCGCCCTCAAATTCGACATTCAGGCGCATCCCGGAGCAGAGTCAGCCAGCAAGGAACGCTGCATTCGCAACTTTGTCGCAAAGGACCAGCTTGTCGTCGTGACGGCAACCATCAGCGGACACAGAGGAGATGGTCAAGTGCTCAACCTGCACGTGAGTGCCTTCGATTGGAGTACGACAAGGAGAGTCGAAAGGAGATGCTGACGATACATCTTTTATGCANNGATCAAGGATGCTGTCGGCAACGATTACCACAGACCTCGCGACGTCGCTGGCGAGGGTCGCTACGCTTTCACCTCTCACGCCGATTCCGCCTTTGACGTCTGCTTCGAGAACATCTTGACTTCAAGTGCGTTCGCTTGATCTTATTCATACCCATTACCAGATTAGACTAACCATGGCCATGAAACAGACGCCGGAGGCCCGAACCCTAGCCGTCACGTTGAACTCGATATCGATATTGGTGCCGACGCAAAGGACTGGTCTGCCATCCAAGCTGGCGAGAAGCTTCAGCCTGTCGAGGCCGAGCTGCGCAGAATTGAAGAATTGGTTGCAGAGGTTGTCTCCGAGTTGGACTACCTCCGCATCCGTGAGCAAAAGTTGAGAGACACCAACGAGAGCACCAACGAGCGTGTTAAGTGGTTCGCTTTTGGCACCATGGGTATGCTGGTCGGCTTGGGCGCATGGCAGATCGTCTACCTGCGTGCTTACTTCAGGTTCGTGACTGGACTACGTTTCAAATCCATCGCAAGCTTACACAACTTCACAGATCCAAGCACCTCATCTAGACGAGATGGATGGTATAATGCATTTCATGTCATTTTAGGGCAGAGAGCTGCAGCTGTGTCATGTGCAGCAATGGTTCATAGGTACTGTATCAGCAATCACAGCCTCTCTCCCCCCTTCCTGTGTCTTCCCGCCCTCGTTCCCTGATCTGGCCAGTTATAAACAACAGCAAATTCAGCCTCGTTCCTGACCCAAATCGACCCTTGATATCGTATGAAAACTCGGCTCACGATGTCATGTATGGCTCCACATCCTCCTTCGAACAGAGCTTGCCGTCAGCGTGTTCGTGCTAATCACACTTGGAGCCCTTTCTGGGATCGGGGAAGTTATCCTTGGCCAGTTTGATGAGAGAGTGAGCATAATCAACAGAGAAGTCGCTACCTTTGCCGATTAGTGTCTTCATCGAGTCTGACAAGAAGACACCCTTGGCTGCAGGTTCGCCACAGAGTGCGCGGAATGCAGCCGTCTCAGTCAAAAACTTGCGCATGTGGTTGGGCGTCTGAGTAAAGGTGTATATGTATTCGAGGCGGAAGGTAGGTGCCGTCATGTTGTTTTCGTGGTAGTACAAGCGGACCAGATCAANTGGCTGTTCAATGTGAGCTGGCGCATACTCGTCTCTCTGAATCATGTACTTACTGTCGTTGCNAAGGGGTTCGACGTCCCATTNTTGACCAATCACATACAGACAGAGATAGTGCTGGACTGAATGGAAGTCGTGTGGACCCTGGAGTTTGCCGCCGTACAACCAGCGGACGAAGAGTGCAAATGCGAACTCATCAAGGTCATCAAAAGTCAGCTGATCATCGGTAGGAGATGGCGTGGTCGACAACAACTTCTTGAAGAAAGGGACCTTGCTGGTGAGCAGGTGATTGGGCACCTTGAAGACTTTGTGGGTAACGCCAGCACGAAGCACGGTGATTGGAATGTCTGCAGGTGTGGGTGTCTTGCTACCTGGATTATCGGCATGGATGCTGGCGACAAGTGNACCTGGGCGAACAAGTCAGCCAACAATCTGTCAACCCACCACATGGAGCACTCACTGGACAGCGCCATCAGGAATCACTGGACTGGCCAAACCAGATCTGAGGTCTCCGGTGCTCGAAGCCTTGGTGGCCGGAATGGTGATGCTCGTGGGACGTTCATCTGCCGCACTGCCTGCACCCACTTCTGCTGTACGGTCTGGTGCTGGGCTGACGCCGCGTTTGACAACAGTACCGAGGTCCTGGCGGTCATCGATGCGTTCAACAGAGCGCTGCACGCTTTGGGACGAGCTTGTGCGAGATGTTCCAGGACGGCCTGTGGCCATGGGAATTGCGAGAGTCGGATCGCTGGACATTGTGATATTGTTGACGAGGAAATGTGTAGTGGCAGTAGGGCGTTGTATTGATGAATGCAGGTGTCGGAGATATTGATCATGTAACGATGGTAGTAGAGCTGGGAGATGGATGGTTGAGGGTGAAAGTCGGATTGGTAGGAAGATTTAAGATACAAGCGTTTGATGGGTGCAACTAAGGAAGTTGCGATTGTGTTGTGCCTATCTACCTTTTTATGCTCAGCATCTGTCTTTCTGGTGTGCTCTGCTCTTTCCTGATCTCATCTACAAGCCTCAAAGCACCAGTGACAAACACAGGAAATGAGGCAACCATTGCTTGCCAATCATCCCACATCTGATCCAGAATTGAACGAAACGCCAGACTCAGGATGGAACAAACACAATCTTGAGTGCCGCTCGGAACATAGTAGAATGAACATGACTGACATGCAAACCCAACCATGTCTAGGTAGTTTCAATCTGCAACTCAATAGATTTTCAGACACAGCTGTATATATCTGTGTGCTTGATCTGTCTTGTTAGCAGAACCTCAAAACTAGCGTTCGAGCAGCATCTCGCGACGAAGGCTTCTCAGCGATGTGATGATTGATTAGCAACAACTAGGTCAAGTAGAATTGTCAATGCGAGCAATCGTGGTTTGGATCAAATCCGTAGCTGTTTCTCATGCTAAAGCCCGCTGTGCCATGCACTCGTCTCACAACAATGTAATGCGACAAATGAGCCATCAAAGAACGTAGTAGTCCTTCAAACAGACAAATATTCGAAGAGAGCAGATACAATAGCGATTCTTATCAAATTGTGCTTTGTTATTCAAAACGTTAAGTCTGTGGAAATGCAGAGGCTCGATGATGATTCCAGGATGACGTCGGCCTTTCGCGCTGGAGATCTCGACTCTCGAACTGAGCACTCCAGATCTCTTCGTCCTCTTCGACTTCGACCTTGTACACCTTGTTCACCAAACATACACACAATGTCTTCAGCAAGACTCGTCCTCAGATCCGTTCGCGCCGCCCCTCGCGTTGTGCGTCCTTTCAGCTCGGCTGCTGGTCGCTTCAGTGCCGCTCGCCCCAATGATACCGTCGAAGAATACCGCAAGCATCAGATGGAGAGGCCTGTCAACCCCCACTTGACCAATACTACCTCAACTATTGCCAATGAGATGCCCAGCGTCGGCAAGGATAACGCNCCTCCTGAGTTGATCACCAAAGCCGACCCCGACTTTGCTGCCAAGGACTCTATTCCTGAGAACACCGAGAGAATGACTGGCGGCACTCAGTCGGGCAAGCCTGAGTCCGGCGTCAATGCCGATCTTGAAGTAGGTGAACTCGAGGGAGGTTCCTTCCGTGTCGAGCCCTTGAGGAGGACAGGCGAGGACACCAACACCACTAGGGCTAGACTNCTTATGTTCGTCGCCAATCACTTTCACGCCCTTTTGACAAAATCGAGCCACTGCTAACCATTGTACCCTACAGACCAAAGCAGGAAAAGAGGCACACTAGAGAGTGACCTCCTCATGTCCACCTTCGCCGATCGCTACCTCGAAACCATGACACCCAAGCAACTTCAACAATACGACCTTTTCCTCGACGAGAATGACTGGGATATCTACTACTGGGCCACACAGGAGCCTACACCTACTTCCATGGAATACGCCGAAGGAGGTAGTGCCGAGCAGGCTACTCCTGCAGCTCAGGGCAAGCCCGCCAAAGATGAACATGTTCGCCCTCCTGGCACTGGCGAGTGGGCTCAAACCGTCGGTCTCTTCAAGCCCGCCTATCGCCCTGTTCCCCAGCGTTGGAAGAACTCCGAAATCTTGGCCATGTTGAGACAGCATGTCAAGGACCGTAGTGCTGGAGGTGTTCTCGAAGGCGACAAGTCTGGCGAGGCGGAACCGGACAGCAAGAGTGGTCAAGGTATGGCATTCATGCCCGAGCTCAAGAACCTCGACAAATAAGCTTTGTCAATCTCTACGTAAATACCCCTGTATATACATAACCTGCAGCTCCGTCGTATATCACTTTCCATCAGCGAAAACACCACCTACTTCTATCGATTTTCTGGATGCGGCCACCGCATGATCAGACTAATTATAGATCTTCGTCAAGACAAAGAATCCAGATGGTAGGCCCATTCCACGGCGGGTGGCTAGCATTCCTTGGACGGCGAGGTGCTTCAGTCCGATTCCTATTCCTGGTAAAGCACATACTGCAAGCGTGCTTACCGATTACGGACGAATAGGAAAGAACTCTTATCGCTGATCAATGTTGTTTGTGATCACTTATGTATATCCTGAGTAAGGACATTTGAGGATACCTTGTGGCAAGAATTACTCTACTCTCATGTGGCTGGAAGATGAGGAATGTGAACTAAGGACAAAGGAACCCAGCTACTGGGACATGGACCAAATAGGAAGTGTAAAGGTCCCATTCCATACAGAGTCCCAGCCACTCGACTGGTCTGCTCGATACCGCATATAACACCTTGCATGATCTGGCTTGCGTATTGCACTCCAACCAAACCAAAGTTACACTCCCTCGCAGAAACATTACATACTGGTCACTGAAAATGGCATCGATCACACAGCAATACACTTACCCAATTCGACCACTGCCTATACGGCCCAATCGTGCACAACCACCAAACAAGGAGCTTCAGTGGACTTCAGCATATGATAACGTGTTCCACCAATACGCCAATATTGAAGGACTGGAGGTCGGGACATGCAACCCTGCAGCACTCGCATACCCAACTGCGGCATCCAACGAGCCATCACCCGTGGTTCCCAATATCTACCCAGGGCCGTCCCAGCACAACAGATTGTGGAGTGCGAATTCATTCGATGCAAAGGACATTCACCAACCTTCGCCGACTTTCAGCCCGTGGTTGGGCGATGAGAGCGAGAGCAATCTACATTATCCCATGCGATCCCAGCCGGTAGCGAGGATTCCAAGCTACCACAACGACTTATCAATGTCAGGCTTGCGAATATCTTACGATCCTACACTTGCGCCGTCACGAGTCGAAGAGACGGCGAGCGAGATGTACTTAGGCAGATCGAGGAGAGAGTCACGCACACCATCGACACCACATCGTCAGCAGCGAACATCATCACCGGACACACCGTCACCTCGGCGGCGCCAACGGCGGACACCTTCATTAAAAGGTCACAGTCGTAAGTCATCAGGACAGGTGCAGAGTCCACGAGCAACATCGAGCAGTTTCGTGAACTACACAGCATCAGACAGCGAGAAGTTGTTGACCGGAGTAGCACCTTCGGGCAGTAGCAAGACCAAGGCACGACGTGAAAGGGAGGCGGTGGAGAAACGGCGAAGGTTTAGCCAGGCTGCGCTCAAGGCGGTAGCCAAAGCAGGGGGTGACTTGGGTGAGCTGCGAGATGCAGGGCTGATGATGGGGTAGGGGAGCAAGTGGCGAAGGTAATGTGTAATAGACGAGGGCCAATAATGCAGTTGTTTAATGAAAGAAGATGTCAATTCGAGTGCAATTTCGTCTTCCCAAGCAACGAGCCGACGGGTGTTCCTGGTTCGCGTATACAAACGAACGTGCGGAGGAGCCGAGTCACGAAGACGGCGGGAATACGTGTGAATGGTCCCTGCATTCTGTGATTTCAGCCGTGCAGCTTAGAGTTTGAGCTAATTACTCCACGTTGCATGATGGCATCTCATTTAGAAGGCTGGGAACGTCTGGATGCGCGGATATCATGGCCTTGAGCCTGTTGTGACCTTGATCTCCAACTTTACTGCTTCTGTTTCGACTACTCTTGCGCGACGAGGTAGACGCAACAGAACAAGGGACAGTGTCATCGGCCGCGTGAATGGAGAGCTACTTTGAAGACGATAGTCCGCTTGCTGCCCTGCTTGAAGGTCGGTCACGCCAGACGCGCCTTCTTCCTCTTTGACCAACTCACTAATGCGATGCTGCAGGCCATGGCACCGCCGACGACTCGTTCAACTACCTCAACCACGAGCCCGCGCATACTCCTCCCTTCACTCCCACTGTCGCTCCCCAGAAGCCCTCGCTCAAGCGCTTCGCCCAGCCCCTAAACCTCCGCCTTCCTACTCAGGGCACCATCTCCAAGCTTCACCATGCTTGGTCGGTATGCCTACTCTCTCCCTCCGTTCCTTGTCCGAAACCGCTCTCTGACATAGCATAGCGTGCCGTCAACTCTCGCATCGGCCGAGCTGAGAATAACCGCTTCCTCGAACACTTCCGCTATCTCATCGTCGCCTCACAACTCCTCAACGAATATCCAGATCTAGGCTCGTTGCACACCACCCAGATCAATGGTGCTCCTTTCGACAACACAGACCTGACTCCGAATGCCTCGTTGAATGTCTCTGGTGTTGCCGCTACCGCCGGCGTTGCCTTTGTCCTCGTACTTCTACTCAACTGGCTTCGTGGCTCCAAATTAAGCAAGAGTCGTATATTTCTGGCACTGCTGTGCGCTGCTGTAGCTGGCGTCCTGTTCTACGCATACATTCGGAGACAATGGCTTCAGTACCTTAGACACCAGGCCGTGGACACTGTCTCTTCCCTGACAACAAATGCTCGTGGCTTTGACATTACTACATCCGCTGCCTTGTCTTTGATTCAGGAAGTTGAGCTTGTCTCCAAGGGCTACAGACTGTACGTGGACATCTGGCGAACATCATGACATCTGCTAACAAATTGCAGGAGCACTCCACTCCCTCCAATCTCCCGTTTCGACGATGTCAAGGTCAACCGAAAATGCGCCAAGCTGCGTGCTGCCCTCAACAAAGCCTACACCGAAGCATTGCCTGCTTTCAGGGATGCTACTATCTCACTCAAGGTCTTGCTTAACCAAGACGACATGGAGAAATACCTGGATGTTTACGATATACCACACCACGCTGTTCAAGAGGCTGTAAGCCCTGCAGTTGTTTCTCTAGAAGACGATGATCCAGAATCTCTCAGAAGTCTCCGTGTCGTCAGCTATCAGTACAGCACCTTGAGAAGAGTCGTGTGCTGCTCGCTCATGTCGCTCGAGGCCGATGGAGGCAATCCTGATTTCGCACGCTGGTCGGCCGCAACCAAGATTATGAACTCCCTAAGCACTACTACTGCTACCTGGGCACAAAAGTTGAGCGACCTCCTGCGTGAAGTTGAGGAATTTACAATTCCAAGAGAGGCAAGACTTTCCACCAGACCTGCTGGCGAGCGTTTACGCACACAGGTTCGCAAGATTACCGACCTCTCTCAAGGTATCAGATCATTACAAGCGAAAATGGCTCTGATGAGAGAAGAATCTACCAAGGCTATCGAAGATTCAGATGACTTGACTGATCTTGGTCCAAACTTGATGTCACAGTACGAATCAATTGGAGCTGATCTCAAGATGTTGATGCAAGCCTGGGAGAACGGCAAGGCTTCTCTTGCAAGCAACCTCGATAAGCAAGAACGTCGTATCTCGCAAGCATCAAGTGGTCTTCGCTCACCAGCTCCAAGTCTCGGTGGACTGACCGCTGTTGAGGAAGGTGGGCCTGCCGATGCCTTGCGTGCATTGAACGGCGAATCAAAATCGAACAGATCCAGTCTCGCAGGATCTGGCTCCGACGAAGAAGTCTTCGAAGGTGTTTCTCTTCACATACCCCGCCAACGCAGTTCTTTGACCAGAGAAGAACGCATCGCTAAAATGCATGAGGAGCGAGCGCGTCTTTCCGAGATGCGCGACAAGCGCGAATCGAGCACCAGCATGATCCGTGAGCTGCAATCTGTCATGAATTTGCGACCAAAGCGCAACACCATGGGTGCACGCATCACCTCGATATGAAAGCCTACGGCTGTCCATTGGACACTCACACTCACTTGAAACCTACGAACAAACATCTTTATGATCATACGACAATTTCCTTACCAACAAAGCATTTCTCTTCCATCAAGGCTCGGTAAAGAAAATTAAACCGACTGGCATACTTCAAGCTCACACATCTTTTTTTCTTCCCTATGCATCCAATCAGCGCGAATTACAAAAGATACCCATACCCTTGTCACATTCTTGTCGATATTCCTTTTATCCATATGGAAAGCATTTCTATTCTAGGCGGCGTTGTGTATATTACGCGTCGAACATATTTTGATATAAGCGCATCTCAGCGTCACATGTAGCTATCTCAATGGACCAAAAGATGTTCATCTCAGAGATCTTGTTTCCCCTTTTGATGATTCTATTATGTTCCATGACCTAGAGCAGTATGCTGGCCTTGGCCACTCACTCGTCCAATAGAGCATGCTCGGCGAATCCTTGGGTTCTGACCTGGATCTTCATGCTTTCGAGTACGCTTTCCTTGACATTCTCATCTCTGATGTCCCAGCCGGTGAACAGGCCATGTGTAGCTGTGAAGTCATATGGCTTGACTGCTTTCCACATGTTGTAAATCGTGTCTGGCGGCAGAGGAATCATATTTGGAATACTNNCCTGTTCAACAACAATCAGACAACTAATCAGAGGAGTCGAGAGTGCAAGATACCAAACTTACCACATGAAGGAGAAAGAGGTGGTGCCTTTTGGTCTGTCTTTACGGTAGAAACCGGACTGTATATAATCCATGGTGGTTAGCTCTCTCTCGTCTAAATCTGATGTTGGATACGAGAAATGAAAAGGCATGCTTACAGGTACATTGACAAATGTATCAGCAATAAACAAATGGCTATCCCAATGCAGCACCATACTTCCCTCAAAGTGTCCTCCCACTTGTATGGCAGTAACACCTTCCACAATCTCTTCATACTGCTTTTGCAGCAAGACTCTCTTTGTCGATGGAAGAGGAGAACGGCAAAGCCATTGTTGGTCCAAAGAGTGTACGTAGACGGGACAATTAAAGGTAGCTGCCCAGGAGATGTGAGTAGTATAGAAATGAGGGTGAGAGATTACTATTGCTGTTAAGCCGCCTTTGGAGTTGATNNCTGCTTGAGTTAGCAATGTATGTTGATGATAGTCAATGATGAGCGGACTTACAAAGTCGATTAGTGGTTGGTCGAGGTAGGCTATACAGTCCCAGAGGATGTTGCCGTGAGATGTTTGCAGCAGGAGTGCTCGCTGGCCGATGCCGAGNNCTGTTGGAGCAAACAGAATTAGTCAAGAAATGAGTTGGTCAAGGCGACTCTTGAGAAGGGAACAAAGAAAGAACAGGGCGCATAATTGCCCCTTCCTCGTATCTCTGGCTATTATCCGTGATAGCCCAAAAACGAGGAAAGTCATGATAGCAATGCAAGTTTCGGTTCGTACTTTCCCTCTTCGACTTTACCATGTTGTCTCTTCCTCCTCTTGATGAAATTGATTGAATAGAATGCATCAACTTACCTTAGGTTCCGCCCAGATAGACCAGATACGCTCATCCTGCTCATCTTGCTTCCACTTGGTCTCGTGCTTTCCCGCTTCGGCTTTCAGACTCGTCCACGCTTGTCCACTGGCAGGTATGTATTGTCTAGGATCCTGTATTGAGGACAATCTCGAATTAGCTCGTTCTGATCAAGGTCAATTTTGAGGTTCATCATGTACGTCACAGATCCTGCAGTAGCCGGATGGTGGATCTGTTGCGGGTGTATCGAACTGTGTGCCGCAGGTTGGACAGAGAAGTAAGTCTTCACCTTCAATCATTGTCGTTATGGTATGGAACCCAAAACACTGATATGTGGTTTTTCAGTACAAAGTGGTAGAAGCGTTGCAGTGATGACATGACCAGGTCGTCCCCACTTCAGGGTCAACCCCACCTGCCCCGAAAGTGGGGTTGGTATACAAAGATCATTCCATCATTCATATAACTCTGATTGAGGTTTGAGCTGATTTCATTGCTTAATTTGTTTGCTAGTGTACAGTCTCATTCCGCTTCCGTCAAAACGCTCAACCAAAACCCAGAGGATACGTAGCAACATGTACAGGCCATTAGAAGAAGAAAAGTAAAAAAAAGGAAGAAAAAAGAAACATAAATCCGAAAACCAAGGAGTGCAGATTGGTATCGCAAGAAAGAGCAAATAGAAGAGAGAAAGTAAGAAAGAATCGGTGACATGCACGCAGTGTGCTCGGGTGGAAAGGTGAAAACCGTACGTGGTCGGTCATATCGGGGTATTATTGTTTCGTTGATGGCATTAGAAAGTGAAAGTCCTGCGTATCAGACACCTGCCATCATTTGACAGAGTCAATATTATAGTCAGGGAAGAAAAAAGGTATGTCGAGATGGCCAGGAAGATTAGTAACGAGGCATGCTTGTGGGTGCCCTTTCAATGTTGCCAGTGAGATGAGCAACACGAGCTTTGATGCGAGCGACTCGATCCTCGATAGTCTCCTCACCGCTGGTGTCGCCTTCATCTTCGGTACCAGTAGTGATGTGAGATGGGCGCCGAGAAATTTGGTCCTCGCTGACTCTAGCTGCACGCTCCGCAGCATTCTTTCGGATTTGTGCCCACCTATCGAGATTGTTCGCAACCGGCTGAGCAGTCTCATATACCGGTTCGTTCTCGAACTGGTTGTCGACGTTTTGTTCCATCGGAGTCTCCATAGGAGTCTCAGGGAACCCACCAGGTGCATTCAGATGCCCTGCCTCTAAATCTGCTTTGTGAGCCGCCTCTGCTTGCGCTTGCAAATGTGAATCAATAGACTCGCGAGGCGTCCAAGCAGGAGCATCTAAGAGCGGTCCCTGATCGAAACGCTGTTGCTCTTCATCGGAATTGCTCATGTGCTCGGAGTGCATGGGAGAGATCCTTCGGTCATCGACCCCGAGATGTTGCTGAGAATAGCTCGTCTCCAATGGGCTGACTGCTGGGGGACTTGGTTCGGAGGTAGGTGTGACTATGTTGTTTGCTGGAGCACGGCGTGGGAACAGTGGCTCTGTAGTTTGCATTACAGGCTCGGCTGGTGGGGTTGGAGTGGCAGATTTCTTGCGCAGTAGAGACAATTTCCTTCCGAGATTCGTTTCAGAAGGAGGTGCCAGGCTAGTCATCGAAGCTGATGGCTGCTGAGCATTCAACCCGCGTCTACCATCATCGCTCTTGTGACCTTTGCTGAACATTCGCTTAAAACCAGTGGGGCGTTTGTTCTGTTCGTGAGCCAGCTTGTCCGGGCTAAAGGTAGCCGCCTTCGCTTCCCAGGCTTCTCTTGCAGCCTTGACTGACGAATTTTCCGAGTTGGCAGGTCTCTTTCCTTCCATAGAGGTCCTGAATGCTGGATGGTTGTGGACGTTGTTAGTACGCTCCGGTACTGGCTTTCTTCCTACCTGAGTAACCTTGGGTACGGATGACACGGCTGGCACNNCTCTGTGGCGTTGTGTACAATCGGTTTCTCGGAGATGATAGAAGCACTGAGTGAGAGTGGCTCAGTATTGCCAGCTGGCGACTGTGTCGCAGGCAAGTCCCTCTATGCTTGCGTTTGGTTGCTCTGGAGTCACGGACACTTCGTGGTCTGAGATATAGATTGATTGTTTTTTGGCGTCAGGAGAAGGCAACGGCTTGTTGGGTCCTTGTGTTTCGGCGAGCATGGCAGCATTATCAGGAACATGGATATCCACAGGTGTTCCCTTGCCAGCGAAATTATCACCCAGATATTGCTTACGCACCGCTTCTTTGTCAAACGTGTGGGCCCACTTCATAGCTGGTGCTGCTTCACTTGTTAGGCCTAGTGTCAAAACGCTGTTGGTCTTCATCGAGGAAGCATCATCGTGTCGTCCGCGTCGCTGTCCATTTGATGTTACTTCTGCTTTGACATTCTGTCGAGCAAGATCAGCTGCCGCAGCCCTGATTCTTGCTTGCTGGACAGGAGAGATGCTGGTTGTATTTGGTGTTGTTAATTCAGCTTGCTGCTGTGATTGAGGGCTGTCGTGTCTGTTCGGTGGTAGGGTCGCCGACTTCCTACGGCTTTGTTTTCCTCTACGGCTNNGGAAACCAAAGCGCGACTTCTNTTCAGCAATATAAGCGCCCTCACCCGGTTCGGGAGCAGCGCTCTTGATCTGTTCCTCCAGCAAGATCCAGCGGCCGTGAAGTATTCCAGTCTCAATGAGGGCACATCTACCGAAGACAGCCTTCCTCGCCGCTGGTTCTTCGCTAGCAAGACTTGTCATCCAGACCCACCAGAAGCAGTCATCAAGGTCGAATTTTGTGATACTAGCTAGTTCGCCTGGGTTTACATCCTCTTCTTGGTAGCCATTGGATGACCTTGGAGGTCCGCTGTTGATTGGAGGGAGCATCTTATCCGGTGGCATCAACATCCTTATAGGGGCTGATTTCACGTTATTGCTCTCGTCGACGAATCCAGAATTCAGGAAGTCGGCCCAAGAAGGTGTCGTCGGACGGTTGCCATCATTGGCACGAGACTGTGGAGATGACCTGAGCCCTGACAATCTCGGCTCCGGGCTTGACGAAGACGTGGCACTTGTCAAATCGTTGGAGTCATCGCCAAGTGACGAAAAGCCAAAGTCTTGGAAGTGTGACCAGGATTCATCAGGTCTAGTGTTCAGAGACTCTAATCCAAGACTCATGTTACTCTGTGATCGCACAGGAACAGATTGGTTTGCAGAAGTGATGCAGTGGAGAACACGTCGGCATTCTTCGGTCAATGCTTGAGCAGGATCAGAGTATTCCGAGAAGATTTGCAGATCCTCATCGCGATACTCAAAGTTGTTGGCTCTGCGGAGTAAAGCAANAGGACCAGGAGAAACGACGTCCACAAGCATGACGACTCTGGGCGTTTGTTTTTGCATAAGCATGGGCGCTTCCGGAGGATATTCAGTTTGAGCCAATAGTGCCTGCATCGATCGTGGTAGACCGTTGATTCCTGTGAAGCCATCCAGAGCTTCGGGGTTCAGAGATCTGAGATAGCCAAAGAAGAGATGACTAGAAGCATCCGCAGNATCTTTCGGTAGTCAGTATCAAACAGCGTGCAAATAGGGTGGAATCACTCACGTCACCCATGATCTGTAGCCACCTTCAAAGCCCTTTCCGTCGTCTGAATGTTCGAATGCCCACCAACCAGCCATTCGCGATAGTTTTCTGCCTCCGAATCCATTGGTCTTGCCATGGGCGGCGATGGCAGTCAACAGGTCGAAAAAGTTGTAGATGATGTTCTTTCTGGCGTTCGAATCGACACTCATAGGGACGAAGGTGTGGAAGGCATTTCTTGCCATGTTCGAATCNNTGACTGCAATCAGCTGCTTGTGCTGCACCACACGGTAATAAGAGTACGAACCACGTTCGCCTAAAGAGAAGCCATGATAAACTGGCCAGGTTACTACGCCACCGGGCATTCGACTCCAGCACCATTTGAGAATACTGCACAAGATNNCTGTAATCGTGTCAGCCAGAGTCAAGGCTACAAGACCAAACAGACTTACGGCTGGGTCGGTTAGAATAAGCTCCCGGCGAAGGCTCGAACCAGTGTAGTTTTTACTTCCTTCACGATTGCCTTTGTAGAAACTGTTGATGAATGTTTTCGCTGGTACGGTATCGGTGTCTGGTCTGAATGGCAAGAGTAAGAAAGGCGTGTCCAAGGCCTCGGCNNTGAAAGGCCCTATCAGCAATTGTCGTGCGCGACGCTTTTAAAGCTGCATACCTCTTGACTTGAGAATAAGCGTGCAAACTTGGATCAGCTCATCGACATCCTCCGGATCGATTTGTTTGCTGATCCATGTAGAAACAAATCTAGGCTTTGCTAAAGGCATGTGCCCTTGGCTTGAGTCCACTTGTTGTACTTTGTGCTTTGCGCTCGCCTTCGCATCCTTGCTCTTGAAGACCTTCGAAAGGAACACCATGGCGACGGGAGGCGGGTTCGCCGGTTATCAAGGAAACGGTGTGGATGTGCGCAAGACAGGTAAAAGCATGAGTCGGCGTGTCAGGTAGCTGGCGGAGCAATTGAGAGCGATGATCAATATGTTCTGGAAGTGAAGAGTCGCTAATCAGCTTTTGCGCAGAGGAAAAGAAAGAGAGAGGGGAGAAGGAAGGTGAAAGATAGGGAAATGAGTGGGGAGAGGCAGGAAGGTGTGCTGGCGATAGTTTCGAATCATGGCAATACCTCTGAACAAATGAGTCCATTTAATGATGATCTGAAACCTTACACTATGCCGGAAAGCTGATCCTGGTTTCCGTAAGCCACCCGAGGTGGAAGTGTATGAATTGCTAAACTCGATTCGAGGAAGTCGAGGAAGAATGTACAAGGAGTAGCTGCTGGCCTAATGTATGTATGGCCAGAAATCAGTCCGCAACGCAACCAAGCTGCATGTTGCATTGCGGCGAACCGCCTCTTTGGTCAGAAGCTAAACTGATAGCATCGTGCATCAAACGACCGACTGTTGTCCCTGATGTCCCTGTTTTGACCTCCAACTACGTCGCTGGCGGCAAAGTCTGGCTTGTACCCGCAACCTGCCAGCACATCATTGGCGATCAAGACTGCTTGCCTGTCTCTGCGGCTCTCGTTGTGGTGGTTGCAGACCCCTGGTCCCTGAAGCATCCCCAAACGCGAGTCGCGCACCGCCAGACGATACCTTCTGAGACACTTTTGTATAGTAATTTAACTCTGGCGGCCAAGGGCGCGCTAATCAAGGGCAGTTATCCTTCTCTAACGCCAACGGCCCATACCCGCAACTTAGTTCTGAGCAAAGACCAAGCATGTGAAATGTCGATGCGACCCTGCTCGCCCTGATAGATTGCGGCGTGCTATCCTTATATTGCGGCAGAGAACTCACTATCGCGGCAGTTGATCGCACAATATGTGTGCAAGACTTACATACTTGCGGTCAGCAACCTATAAGTCGATGCATGGAGCATACCGTTTCGTCCATCAAGCCATGAGTGTGATAGAGCATGATTCTTCTAAACTTCCATGATGTCATTCATGATGTCAAGCTGTAACTGCTGGGATGGAATGGAACTGTTAATCTTGAGGAGCACTACTTCTTCATCCACCTCATGCGCACCTTTACTCGACTGACAAGATATTCATTGCGTCCACAATACATCAGAAACTCATCTATACGACAGTTCTCGATATCTACTATCAAAATGGTACGTACCGCGGACATCTTTGGTCAATAGACCTTCACATATTGCCTATATGCTGTATATGCGATATCATGGAGACTTGTACAGCGCCTGTTGCGAATTGAAGAAAGAGAAACATCTTGTCCAACATTGTAACAGCTGCTGAACATGCTACGGATGCGCTTCACCCCCGCCATCTCTCACTGTTCCGACTTTCGATGTACTGGTGCCGAGGCTGTTGGACCCATTATGCTGTAGTATTAGATTTCAGAGGACCATGCTGACTGTGTTCTAGGTCAAAGACAACGACACAGTCATCAAGTGAGTACACCGCCTTTTGACCATCAGCATAAACTAGCCTTGTGGGAGGAAATACCTAACACGCATTCAGAGAGTTCAATGAGCTCGTCAACATGTCACCGGACCAGTTGAAAGAATGGCTCGGTGGCGAGGACTCTGCTGGCGCAGGCTGGTCCAAGGACGATGGTTCTGGTGAGACCATTGGTCACGAGAGGTGAGTACACCTGGACGATAAGTCAGTTCAGCACAATATGTTCCGATGATGTCTGACATCCTTANNTAGTGGCCGTAAAATCATCGAAATCTTGGAAAAGAACCCAAAGAAAGACCCCAGCAAGTACGACGAGGACGATATTAGCCACATGCGTAAGGTGGTAGCTTACAATAAGCGACACCTGGCACAGGAGGGAAAAGCAAAGCAAGATCCAGAGAGCAAGAGTGCTAAGTCATTGAAGAACTGGGGTCACGACCCTCAGCAGTCCTAGACTCCCACAAGCGGAGATATAACGAATGAATGAGGATTTATTGATTTCAAACTTTAATGTCTGTCCTGTGTTTAGTAGCTGACAACTCATCATTCATAGCCAATGTCCGGAAGAAGAGTATAGAGTTTCGGAGTTGCATTCAAGGAGATGTCGAACGTATCATCGGAGAGGTCTGCCAGGTGTATCCAGAGCTGGTGCACTCTGGAGAAGCCTCTGCCACAACCAAGGGGGCATCGATTCATACCAATGTCGTAGAAATACTGTGCATGAGATTCTTGGTCGAGGTGGTCGTAGAACTCGTCCATTGTAGTTTGAGGCGTGAAAAGGATCTGACAAAAGGGACCGGGCATTTGAGGATCGATCTTTTACCATCCTTGTTGCTCGACAAGTCATGTACTGGGTATCTGCCCACATGCAGCTTGTACTTAGCCGCGAATTCCTGGGACAACAGACGAGGTCCTGATAACCGACACTCCATTCCATCGACTTCAAGATCGTTGACGATGTTGGTCTCTGCAAGAGGCTTCCACGGCTGAGAGCCATCGTCCACATCGACCTCTCGAAAAACGGTGGTTCTATGCGTATACGGCATGGGAAGCACTACAGTGTAGTGGAGCTTTGCAATACTCACAGCCTTCCGCTGCATTACACGGGTCCATAATTTCCAGACAGACTCGGGTGCTCAATGTGAAGATGGTGCTTCGTTGGCCTCTGCATCGCCACGGATAGCCTTCTTTGCCAGGTCATCAACAAAAGGTTCATCTTTGATGACTGCCTCTGTCAGGTAGGAGTAGCGTAGGGGGTCCGGTATCGTAGGCTCGAGCACGACACAACCTGGCCCCTAAGACGAACAGGTAAGGTGGTGATGGAACGAATAGTAGTTCGAGAACGAATTGACCTTGGATTGAGCTGCCCAGCGAAACAAGAGCCGAAGTGGACTTGTGGACGAGGTAAGAATGCTCGAGGAGGTCTTTGTCCTTTCACATCTTGTCGTAGCTGGATGTTCAGGGGCTGCCACAGCATACTGTCCTGATCGACGGCACGAAAGTGGTCCGAGTCTAAGTGTGTAGAATAAAAACACTTTTGAGACGACAAACAGTGTGCAGGCCTCAACAGGCTCGCATACAAACCTATGCCCAGTCCTCCTTTGCACATTGCTGCGGTACATGCTCCAGCCTCTGTGCGGCAAAGCGTGGTCAATTCTGACAGCATAGTAGCCCCCAAGGCGAGTACAGAGCCGAGTTGCCGCAGACTGAAAAGTAGAGCGAATCGAGTGATGATGGCCGAAATACCATCCTTGTGTGCTCAAGACTGTCACAACTTTGCGATTGACGCCTTTCTCATCACGAGAGTTATAATCTGCTATCGAAATGCAAAGTTGCATTCATTTGTGACTCTGGCCATTGAGATAGCCTTCGGTAAGGCTCTCTCTGTAGGAGCTGCATTCTTTGCGAGAGTATTGTGTATTTCTACAGCTACGCTGTGACAGTCCCTCAGCCCACAGGGTGGGGAGAGCGGTAGATGGCGGGTTTCGGTGCCACGAGTTTCATGGAAGCATAGCCTCCTAGTGGCCTGAGCTTCTTGTTTCGGAACCTCTCTGTAGGTTTGTTCCAATAATAGAAGGCATCCCGCGTCTGACGGTTTTTGCATTTGATCTGATATCACGCGTAGTCGTACTCTGCCAGAATTACAGTACAAAGAGAAGCAAAGACGATTGCTTCTGCATACAAGCAGGCGGTACCGAGACACTCACAGCAGCCTGGAGATCAGAGCAAGGGCAGCCAAGGCTTCTTACAGCGCGTCAGACCGACCTACCCGTCGCATGAAAGTGGAAACTGCGTTCTACCTTTCTCATTTTTGTTCTCGCAATCCACGCTCTCTACGCGTGCAAACCTATCAGTCCTGAACAATGGGTCGAAGAAAGATCGAGATTCGTCCTATAAAGGACGACAGGAACCGCTCAGTGTAACCGCCTTCTACGGACCGCCGTCTCTGTCATATGTGCTAACGGTTTTTGTGGCAGCACCTTTTGAAGCGTAAAGGCGGCTTGTTCAAGAAGGCCTACGAATTGAGCGTACTCTGCTCCGTCGATGTCGCTGTCATTATCTTTGGCAATAACAAGAAGCTTTACGAGTTCTCGTCCGGCGATATTCATGAGACTGTCGCACGTTTCCAATATGTATGTCATGACCGCCAGCTCGCGATAACTGTCGCGACACATTGCTGACGCTATACANNGTATGGCGGCGCACACGAGCACAAGGGCCCAGCTGATTTCGCAGGCAAAGGTGGTGGTGATGATGATGAGGANGGGGACGAGGAGCCTGTCGAACAACACGAGTCACACTCACCACCAGAACCTGCAATGATCCAACACCCTCTTCAACACCAACCGGGCCTCCAGCACATGAGAAACTCTGCGCCTTCTGCATCGCCGCCCATTCCGAACGGCGCAATGCCCACTTTCCCTCAGCGCATGGCCACTCCTCAACCACCGAACGGCTCACGTCCTTCGTCGCGCGTCTCACACTTCCGCCGTACTAGCTCGAATCTGGTGCCTCAGCACATGGGTACTCCGTCGCAAGCTCCTGCTCCTCAGCCTTCCTACGCATACTCTCCGAACCCTCCGTATCATCCTCCTCCCCCGAACCCTGTCATGCAACGACCTACCCCACAAGGCTTCGCTGTTCAACCNTCCCCAGTATTACGCCGCTTACCCCCACCTACTCAGCAACAAATGCAAGCCGCTGCTCAGCAGGCATATTTGCAAGAACAAAGAAGGCAATCTTCCGTCCCTCCACACTTTATGAGCCAGGTTCATCCAGGCGCCCAGCAGCATATTCCTACACCACAGCAGCATTATCAACAAAACCAGTCACACAGCGCACAGCCTTCTCCTCAACCCGACCAGAACACTTTCCAGAGTCCCCCACTGCCCCAGCCGAGACCCTTACCGGCTCATGCAAGATCGCATAGCATATTCACGCCAATTGACGATAGCCGCTCACTTCTCGCTCAGCATTGGGGTGGAAGCAGTTCCAGCTATCGAGAACCAGTTATCAAAACCGAAGCTCCCCGCTCGCATTCAGTCGATGTGTCTTCTGCGCCCCGTCAGAGGACTGATGATGCAGCTTCAAATACCACCGAGTCGACAGCAGTGGTTGCACCACCACCAGCAGTATCTAATCCTACTATGAAAGCGCCTCCGCCAGGACCTCCCCAACATACGGGCTCTCTATCTTCAATACCTGGACCCGTGCGCCCCGGNGGTGCGGCTGCGGAAGCGAAACGACCACGGTTGAAGGTACAGATTCCTAGTGAGCAATCAGATGGAGGCAGTGCGACAGCAGATTCATCGCCCAAGGATGGTAGCACAGCGACAGCCACCCCGATGCGTGTCGGTCAAGGGGTAGTTCTTCCACCTCCGTCACCCTCGACGAACGCAGTCCTCTCTGCTGGTGCATCTGGACCGCCCAATCCGTTCGCGCGACCGGCACCGCCTATCAGTACGAACCCACATGCGAACCGTGAGCGAGATCACATTGAAACGCCGCTATCTGCATTGCCCAGCCGGGTCATGGATGGAAACCATCTNTTGCCCAGTCCGTCGTCATTTTGGCCTGATGCTTGGTTTGGGAGAGACAATAATATGATGCCGAGTCCGCTCAATTTCCAAACGCCAGTGGTGTTGAGTGGGCCAGGATTCAAGGAGGAAGACGAGAAGAAACGAAAGGCAGAGGAAGAAGCAGGAGGAGGTGGAAAGAGAGCGAAAGAATAGACGGGCGGGGTGGTAATGATTGCACTCTTTCCAGAGGCACAAGGCGTTAATGGTTACAGCGAAATGTTGCGAGGACTCTTGAGCATGAGCAAAAGAAGTTGCAGGAAGCAAATGTCGAATCTTTCTGACGGACTAAGTTAATATCAAACAGTGACAGCATCTACAACCCAGCATCTAGATAATACTTGTAGGAGACAAAATTAATACGCATGTTAAAGCCGTCAGGAATAGTGAAAGATGAGAAATTTGGATAGACATACGCAATACGGCAGTAATACGGACTACAGTGCAAGCGGTATGGTCGAGTCATGGGCAGCTGGTGGGGACCGTGGGGCTGGTAATAAGAAAGCGGACTTGAGCTGACCTAGTCCCTTGGCCGCGCGCTCAGCCATGCATGGCAGATGATGGATACTTGATGCCTGTACCGGCCACCTTCCCTACCTCTTCCTCTTCACTCAATTGACATCGACACACACAAACATGGCATACAACCGAGGGTACTCGGGCAACCCTGACGCCCTTCCAGCGTATGTTTGCGCGCATCCACAAGCTGAGCGCATCGGGCACGGCTGATTGCTCTCTCCTAGACACGCCGAACCTGAGCAGGCAGCGGCCATGCTGTCGCAGAACAACCCCAGAGACAGTCCTCGACAGCCAGCTACCACAACAAACCACAGCCACCGCCGCCACAACAGTCGCAGTCGTACTCGCGTCCATCCAGTCACCAATCCCCCGCCATGGGCTCCNGCTCCCCAGCGTTATGACAACTACCCTCCGCCTCAGCAGCCGCAACAGCAACAACATCGGTACAGCAGTGGCTACGGCCCCTCATCAGGTCCAGCCGCTGGTGGTGCCCCTCCTCCGCCACGAAACGCATTCGCATCTCCCCCACCTCCGGCCAACTACGGTCAAGGACCGCGACCATCAGGCTATCACAACCGCCCTCCAATTCCTCAAGCTCAACGTCCTCCTACCGTAGCCCCGCCTCAGAACCCTGACCCTAACAGCCGTGAGGCATTATGGCCGCTGTTCATGGCCGTAGACAAAGAGCGCAACGGCCAATTAAGCGAGTCTTCGTTGCGCAGCGCTCTTGTTAACGGCGACTACACGGCATTCGATGCACACACTGTGCGCATGATGATCCGCATGTTTGACACAGATCGCAGCGGTACCATCAACTTTGACGAGTTCTGCGGCTTGTGGGGGTTCCTGGCCGCCTGGCGCAACCTCTTCGACCGCTTTGATGTGGATCGCTCGGGTAATATCAGCTTCCAAGAGTTTGCCGATGCTCTTGTAGCATTTGGTTATCGCCTCAGTCCTCAGTTCATTCAGCTGCTGTTCAACACATTTGCGAGGACGACACGCGGCAGAGGCGACGATTCGTACCATGGAGGACGCGAGAAGACGCTCAGCTTCGATCTATTCGTCCAGGCGTGTATCAGTCTGAAGCGCATGACAGATGTCTTCAAGAAATATGATGATGACCGTGACGGTTACATCACTCTCTCTTTGTAAGTTCTCTTCACGTTCTCGAGTCCGAGTATACGCTAACAAGCATACAGTGAAGAGTTCCTCACAGGTGCGCAAAGCCTTTTCCTCTTCAACTCCATATCCCCTGTTACCGATAATGGACTATACTGAAACCTTTCGAAGAAATTCTACGACAGCGATGATGCCTTAATGCTTCTTTATCGAACTGCATGCCGAGAAATGATCCCACAGGAGGACAAGGCTTATGTCGACATGATGAAGCGCGGGAAGGCGGGTTTGTTTTTCTCGTCAGGTAGTATTTATGATACCCCTATATTTTGCCAATCGAGAGTTTTGAAAAGAAGAAGAAAGTTAAGAGGTGAATTGTGTCAAAGTGGACCCTGCTTTCATGTGATTGAGGATTGCGGCCAAACAAGTCAAACAAGACGGGGGAGGCTCGCGGCGAAAAAGTCGCCGCATGTTTTAGGAAATTCTCAAAAGTTGATCGCATATTTACTTTTCGCAACCATCGCATCATAATGGCAGCAACCATGGATACAAGCTTAGCATCAATACTCTCGGGTCTTACGAGTTCTCTGGAATCCGCTATCCCAGCGCTGCCCACCAGCGACTCGATTCTGCCTCCGGCAAATGGCATCACACTTTTGGACGCGAAGAACGAGCTCTTCCTCTCCTATCTGCAAACTCTGGCTCTTCGGAATCTGGCCGTCATTCGCAGCGCAAAGGATGGAAAGACCACTGCTGGCGACTTCGACGATCAACTCGTGAGGGACCTTGTCAAGCACCGCGTGTACCTGGAGAAGGGCGTGCGGCCCTTGGAAGACAGACTCAAGTACCAAATCGACAAGGTCGTCCGCGCAGCTGAAGACGAAGCTCGCGGTGCCGTCCAAAAGGCTGCCGTTGCCAAACAATCCACCGCCGCCCCTGCAGCCTCAGACGACGAAGAAAACTCAGACGAAGACGATGGCTCCGACTCAGAAGCAGACTCAGACGACGGCCTCGCCTTCCGTCCCAACCCCGGCGCCCTTACTCGTCCCTCAGAAGCAACCGAACCCACATCATCAAAGACCGAAGCCGCAAGCGACGGCATCTACAGACCTCCCCGCATAAACGCAACAACCATGCCCACACCCTTATCTCCACGCCGCGAAAAGGGCGATCGCAAACCCATGCGCAGCAACACAATCGACGAATACGTTGCCGACGAGCTCAGCGGCGCACCAACCGCCCAACCCTCCATCGGTAGCACCATCACCGCTGGTGGCCGCCGCGACAAGTCTGCCCGCGAACGCAGAGAAGAAGCCGAACGCACTGCCTACGAAGAATCAAACCTGGTGCGTCTGCCCAAGGAAAGCAANAAGGAAAGAGCAAAGAAGGGTGGAAACAAGCGTGGTGGATTTGGTGGTGAAGAGTGGGATCTGCTGGGCCAGGGTATTGGGCGCATTGACAGGTTGACAAAGAAGGGAGAAAGAACTGGTGCTGGTGGTGTGGGCGGTGCTCTGGAGAGGAGCAGGAAGAGAAAGGTTGACGATGATGGTGGTAGAGGCGGTGCTGATATCGGCAGAGACTTTGAGCGTAGGAAGAAGAGGGCTATGCGCAGGAACTAAGGGCCTTGGTTTCATCTGCTTGTCTCTATCAAACCTCGACCATACCCTCAGCAAAACTCGTTCCTTTTGGACCTCTACTGGTTCTGGAAATATTACCAAAAATCCAGTGGCTAGGGCAAATACTCTTGCAGAATGTCTATCATCATGCTTGTCAGAAGGCGATCACCAATATTATGAATGTACCTGTATTCAGTTATGGTTTTGTGTTCTTCCAATGTCGTTCATCGACATCAGGGCAGGGTCATCCTCACGCTGCTTGATAGCTGAACCATCAAAGCATCTCTACCAAGATAACAAGCAAGGCTCTGGCTGACAATTGCGTCCGTGTTCTGGTCGTTGGACTAGGCGAATAATATCTGTAACCACTGGTTTGAATACTGAGAGTAAACCTGATATGACTAGTTCTACACCACTGCTTATGTCCTTTCTGTGATACTCTCTGTTCCTCCCATTCCTTGACCATCATTCCCGCGCTGTCTCTGTAGGTCCACAGTGATCGAGTTTTTGCTGCATCATTTCACTCTCCTCACTCAAACACGCCATCTAGCCCTGCTGAGCATTGAGATCAGCAACAGCCATGCTCATGGCAGACACATCAAAGTCGTAGTTGTTGGTATCGTGAAAATCGGCGAGTGATACGACCATCCCAGCTCTACCCAGTCCGTTCAGCCAGTCTGATCGACGCAGTGGTGACATGTCAGGATCATCTGGGTTCTGACCCTGGAGGTTCATGGCATTAGAGGTCAGTTCATCTGGCACCGGCTTGGTGTGATGCAGCAGGTGATACTTGTTCTCGATGGCCAGGTTGTGGTTTCCCGGTATCCAGGGCATGTCATAGGCGCCTTTGGAGGTAGTCGAGTGGGCTGTAGTGTATGCCCATCCATGGTCCAGACCTGGAACGTCATGCTGGCCATTGACATCTATCGATTCCGATTCACTGTAGGGATCAAAACCACGGTGAGTAGTGTCTCTGGATGCAATTGCGGCCAGACGTTTAGTGGGACGCGAACTGCTAGGAGGTGATGCCGCATTGCGTTTTGCACTCGAACGTGCCTTTTGAATAGGAGTGGGCTCAAGTTCCATGTTATCTTCTTCAGCTCCTTCATCACCCTGCCATGCACCATCTTCATTCAAACCGTGATCTTCTTCGTCGTTATCATCCTCGTCGGTAGCATAAAACTCGTCTTGCTGCGAGCTTTCCTTGTTTCTTGTGGCTCTGGTGGCTATCGTTGATCTCTTGGACTGGCTGACGCCTGTGAATCCCAAGTCGTATTCGGGCTGTTCTGAAGCAGAGTGCTCTGGTGAAGACGTAGGCGATTCAGCATAGCTGACTCGCTGCTTGGTACGTCCGCTACGACGAACAGCAGCTGCTGAGGTATGCTGAACAGGTGACTCCTTCGTACTGTTGTGTCTGGTTGATTGGCGTTTAGGCACCAAATTTTGGTTGTTGGCCATGGGTGATTTATCCTTGTTGGGTTGAGCATCATGAGAAGGTACTTCAGGAGTGCTTTGCGTTGGAACCTCCACGGCGTCCATCTGTTTGGCCTTTGGAGGTCTTCCACGCCTCTTCTTAGGTGGAGATGGGTTGGACACGACCTCTGATCTCCGGTCTGCTAGGGATATAGGCGTTGCCAAAGAGGGNNGAGGGGTAGAGTAGGTCAGAGCTGGAGGGTTAAAGGGCTTGGGAGTATGCTTGAAGGGAGTAACCAGAAGATTGGTTGGAGTTCGACAGGGGGTTGCAGAAGTATCTCCCGTCTCCCAGATACTCGAGTCTGCGCGCTTCATCAATCTTCGTCCCTCGAACATATGATTGGTCTTCGGAGGACCTTGCGGTGAAGCAGCAAGAGCAGATTGCGGTTTGTGCGTGTTGACGTACTGCTGTACTCTGCGCATTTTCTCTGTATGTTCAGCCTGTCGCTTCTCCTTAGCCTTTTGGATGCCGTCCAAGATGAGCTGACGTCTGTCTCTGGTCTCTTTGTAGATCTGACGCAGCTCCTCATATTCATCGTGCTTAGATCGGACTCTGTCAACTTCCTTTCCCTGTAAAGAGCCAAAAGCGTTCTTGTAGTCGGAAGCAGCCTGGAGCTCACGATGAAGAGTCTGAAGGCGATACTTGAGGTCCGCAAGATCATCGTGACATGCTTCCAGTAGAGTCGACCCGTTCTCAACCCAATGAGCAGTCTCTTTGTCCTCTTTGCAGTAACTACCGCCACAGGAAGTCAAGGAGCGATCATTCAGGACATGATAATGGTCGCAAAACGGCACTTGTGTAGCCAGAGTGTCGATAGTGCATTTGCCAAGCGACCGACTCTTGTGGCCGCAAGGGTGCGAAGTGTATCGATGGTAACACATGCTGTTCAACTAGGCGTTATAGGTGAAGATGCTGTAAAGACTTGTCATTGGTGAATGTTGCAAAGAGCGAATGCGCGTTGTTCAGAGAGAGTGTGAGTTGGCCAAGGAAAAGTGCGAGCTAAGTGAACGGAAGGCGCGAGACAACTGAAGCAACAGAGCGAAGTGAATGATGAAAAAGTAATTTGTTGATGTAAAAGAAAGTGCGGGTTGAACGGAGGGAAGGTGCATGTCAATCAAAGAGAATTGCAGCCTCCCATTGTGCTAAGAAAAGTCACAGTGTAACTGTCAAAATGCACAATACATTCGCGAAAACTACAGTCTCCACTGAGAGACCGTAATGAAGGTTATCGCAGTGGCCAGACTTGTATTCGAGTCAAGACTGTGCATTTCGATAGCTTATAACAACTCTTATAGCTCGGCATGGAGAAGGAATCAGTTAAAGATCGTGACTGTCTCTAGCACATGGGGATGCAGATGTAAACATTGCTGGGACTGTTTTCGTGGCTCGAATGTGACCTGTGTTGTTCGTTCCCGAACCAAGCTCAACAATTGATGCCATGTCTTTGTGTATTGTGTCGATGGAGCAGATCTTCCAACCTCTGATCATCTGGATGATCTGTTCTTTGAAACACACCCTGCGTGAGTTATACTGGGCTTACTGCAATGTTGAGCATTCGAGAGTATATCAATAGCTTATACAACTCGAGTGAAGAATTTCAAGATTGAGATGTATGTCCTGACTGAGAAGACCTGAACGCTAAAGTCAATAGGATATGCGGACAAACTTCTGAAGAGAAGACTCAAAGCTATGAGCCATGGAGTGAACAATCGTTATGTTTGCCTGTGCTTTGTAGGCAATCCTGAAGTCGACTCGATACCAGTCCAGCCAGCTAGAAACTGTGGTCGTAGGCATGTGGACGACTTGACCTCTACTACAAGTATTATTGTCCTGGTGGCCATTCTGGGGTATATCCATGTCGGCAGTAGAATTCATTCTGTAAGGGCTGCACCATGGTAGATGCGGAGGCCATAAGGACCGGCAGGTTCTTCGATCGTGGAGCGATGTCATGGGTGTCATTGTTCTGGAAGAATGAACCCCACGTTCCAGCAAAAGACAAAACCCTTGCCAAGGCGTGGAGAAATCTATCGCCAAGAGGTTTGACAGATGGAACTGAAACTGAGCTCAACTTTGAGAAACCAGTGAGATCTCAAACGCTGCCAATTTCTATGAGCTCAGAGCCCGTATATCATAGTCGCGAGTTTAGCCGCGTTCTATCCGAAGAAAAACTGAACCGCTAAGGGCGAGACGGAGAGATGAAATTGCTCGGAGGGCTTCGGCCGAGAATCCGAGATAGACGGAGACGGACACGGCTTTTAGAATTGTTTGGCTGACCGAGATGCCGTTAGAGGCGATCCAACTGCAGAACAAAAGCAAAGACTCATGCCGCTCTGTGTCCCCGTCTCCTTTTCGCTACCTAGGTCAAATATTCGCCTTCTCACCTAAGACCTTGTATCGGTGGCACCATGAGCGACACAGGGCGACAGACAGAGGTTGCACGAGACGAAGCTGCTGCTGAGGCTGGTCCTGGAGCTGCGACCACGAACGCCGTACCCACCAACCAACTTACAGAAGATATCGAAAACAACAGCACGTCTTCAGTATCCACCAAACACGACGATGTGCCGCCACAGGAAAGACCACAGCTGGAGCGCAAGGACTCAACACCCTTGGAAGAGCGATCAAAGGGCAAGATTGCATTGATCATGACGGCCCTGGGCATGGCTGTTTTCCTAGCTGCCATGGACGTCACCATCGTCACAACCGCTCTTCCCACTATCTCGGAATATTTCCACTCGGCCTCTGGCTATACTTGGATTGGTTCAGCATATCTGCTAGGAAATGCCTCGAGTGTACCCTTGTGGGGCAAGATCTCCGACATCTTTGGTCGAAAGCCTATTCTGATGACTGCAAACCTGCTCTTCCTCATCGGCTCCCTTATTGCTGCTCTTGCAAACAGCATTGGAATGCTCATCGCTGCCCGTGCCATTCAAGGTGTAGGTGGTGGCGGTCTGGTCACCCTAGTCAACATCTGCATTAGCGACTTGTTCAGTTTGAGAAGAAGAGGCGCCTACTTTGGTATCATTGGAGGTGTGTGGGCATTAGCTTCAGCCATTGGACCTGTCATTGGTGGTGTTTTCACAGAAAAGGTTTCCTGGAGATGGTGTTTCTACATCAACCTGCCCCTTGATGGAGCCGCTCTCATCATCATTTTCTTCTTCCTCGACTTGAAGACTCCCAGAACTCCTCTCTGGGAGGGATTGAAGGCAATTGACTGGATTGGAGCTTTGCTTGTCATTGGCGGCGTGCTCATGTTTCTNTTTGGTCTCGAATATGGAGGTGTGACCTACCCTTGGGACTCTGCAACTGTCCTCTGCCTCATTATCATCGGTGTCTTCACCATGGGCCTGTTTTTCATCAACGAGTGGAAGTTCGCCAGATCGCCCGTCATGCCTCTCCGCATTTTCCAGAACTCGAGCAACATTGCCGTCCTCGGTGTATGCGCCATCCACGGCATGGTCTTCATTTCAGCATCATACTACTTGCCTTTGTACTTCCAGGCTGCTCGTGGCGCTACACCCCTTCTGTCAGGTGTCTACATTCTTCCACAAGCTTTGTCTTTGTCCTTCGCTTCGATGGCTACCGGTATCTTCATCCGCAAGACTGGTCAATACCTGCCCGCTATCTGGTTTGGAATGGTTTTCCTTGTCTTGGGCTTCGGATTGTTTATTGATTTCAGAGCCAACAGCAGTTGGGCGAAGTTGATCATCTTCCAGATTATCGCAGGAATTGGCATAGGTAAATACATCTTCCTTGCTGCCCCTTGATTCCATGAGCTAACATAACTCTATCANGGACCCAACTTCCAAGCGCCCTTGATTGCACTTCAAACAAATGTTCAGCCTAGAGACATCGCCACTGCGACAGCAACCTTCGGTTTCGTCCGCCAGATCTTCACGTCCATCTCCGTCGTCATCGGTCAAACCGTGTACCAGAATCAGATGAACACCAAGACAGCAACCTTGGTGGCAGCCCTTGGCCCACAAGTCGCAGACCAGTTAACAGGGGGAGGTGCTGGTGCCAACACCCAACTCATCGACAGCCTTCCCCGTGGACAGAAGCAGGTCGCTCAGACTGCGTTTGCAGACAGCCTGCATCCCATGTGGATCATGTACACGTGTTTCGCAGCGCTCGGTCTAGTTGTCAGTTTGTTCATCAAGAAGAAGGAGCTCAGCAAGAAGCATACCGAGACCAAGGTTGGACTTGACGCGCAGCGGGCAAATGCTGAGGCGCAGGCGCAAGAGGATGCAGAGAAGAAGACTGCGAAGGAGGCTGCACGAGAGAGAAAGCTGCATGATCCCGAAAAGGGCGAAGCATGAGAATCTGGCCGATGGCCTTGACTTGTTTGTTTCTTTCTTTTTAACCCCCCTGCATTCTGACGGCGCATACTTGATATCAATGGCATGGCGAGCAAAACAGCATGTCTCTTTTCCGATCCAAAATAGATCTGGCATTCTCTGTACTCTTTTATATCCTTTAATCAATTATCTTCACACTCCCCATTAACGACACGCTTAGCAAGATATATGATCAGTGTCTGAGTCTTAGAAGAGTTGGAAAAGGCTTCGTTCGCTATTGTCTCTACCCAAGCTTCTTTACTCTCTCCTCCAACTCTTTGACCCAAGTCTCGACTGCGGCGCTGTTTTCGAGCATACCGCTCTCGGCCCTAGCAACGGCTTCCTCCACCTTCTTAAGGCCGTCTCGCCATTCGCGAATCTCCTTGTCCGCTTCGTCTTGTCTCTGTTCCACCTCGTCCAAGGTTTGGCTTGCTGTTACGGCATTGGCGTGTAGGGTTCGCAAAGACCGTAGACGGGTCAACAGAGAAGGTAGTGTGGGACTTAGGGAGGTAAGGGTGGGTAGAAGCGCATAAAGTGCGCGCAGTTTTGCCATGTCTTCTGGAGATTGTGAGTTTTGGTTGGTGTCTGTGGCGGTGTTCGTAGGGGCAGCTTGTTGCTGTTGCTGAAGCTTTTGGGCCAAAGTATCGATATGAGATTGGGAGGATGAGGAGGTGAGGAGGGATAATTGTCGGTCTAGCAATGATAGTGTGGGTATGATGGGTGTGAAAGTTGAGTTTGCTGTAGAAGCTTCAGGAGCATCGAGGGATGTGATGCCGAGCCGGCGTTCAAGGAGTGCGAGACGAGCATCGAAATCGGCGACCTTGTTCAGCGCCTGTGTGTCGGTCGTCTCTCTGGTGACCTTTTCAGGACGGGTTGACTCTGGCACTGTCAAAGCATCTGCCTTTGCTGGTGTCGAGGTTGCCAATTGCTTGCTCAAACGAGCTTGTGCAGATTGCGATTGGCGCATACCGTCCAGTGCTGTACTCAATTGAGCCAGTTGTGCAGCAACATCCTCGTCCTCAGGATGTGTCTGTGTCCCATTTGCCTCGCTCTTCCTCTTGTCCAGCTCGTTTTGCACCTCTTGCATCTCCCTATTTAACCTTGCCAGCTTCCTTTGCAAACTCTCGTTTTCGTCTTCGCTGTCATAGTCCTCGCCATCCTGGCCCTGTTCCCTATTGCTCACGACATATGCCCTTCTCTTGCTGTTTACACGGTCCGAGAAGTCCGTTTCCCGTGCATCGACTCGTGAAGACTGGAATTGAGATCGCGCTTCGTCAGGTTGGAGTTTGGTTCGGCTGATGTTGGGGTTTGCTTCTGTGTCGGACGTCTCTGACCATGCTGTTGATGTCGGTAATGTGGATGCGTCGTCGGTCAAGTCTGGTGTCTCGTATGTGTCTGGAGACTCATCNNCTTGAGTTTGGCGTTAGCTGTGTGTCTCCTGGCCAGGTCTCGATGTTTTGTTGTTTACCAGGTCGGGCAGGGCAGCATACTTGCGCACTTGCGCCATCTTGTAGTTTGAGTTATCGAGCCGTTCTAGATTTCGACAATTGTCCAGCTGATGTCGTTCAGAATGTGATTATGCTAGCAAACAGATTGAGCGTCGATCAAATCCCAGGGTCACTTGAAGAGGGCGGAGTTGAGTTGGGACATTCAGTGGTCAAAACATCGCGTTTCATCACCGCCATTTGTACAGCATAGTCACGTGAGACATGGTCGAGGTAGAGCCTCCTCAGGCCTTTGCGATACGCATGATGCAGAGGTGGATTGAATCCTGTCAAGTCACTCTGCCCTTTCGTTGACCCATTAGGGAGTATCGATCTTTAATTAGGAAGTTGCACAAATCTGGGGTTGACTTCTTCATGGGACTACCTATATTTGTTCCTATATTTGTTCCTAGATCTATTCTTTGATAACCCTCGGTATTCTCGAGACTGACATAGCCACATGCATGTCTGAGACAAGATTCGCAATACACAGTAGTGTACCCAGCAGCAAATGCCATGTCCAAGGAGCACCAATCTCCATAGTAGCTCGCTCAACCATGTGTTGACAGCTCTTTCCCTTTCTTTTCCCAAATTCTTTATCTTTTCGTCAAGATATGTACTGTAGTGTTTCGAATTCGTGTATGAGAGACAAAAGGTCTCTATGCAGCCTCAGCATAAAAAAATCTTCGGGTTTGTTCAGAGATGGGCAACGGTCAAGAGAAGGATGTATCCGAGATCGACTTGGAATTTTTCTTATCCTCTTCGAGAATGGGTTGAAAAGAGATCGATTGATGTTTTGGGCCTGTTACGCCTTTTCTGGTATCATGTGTCAGCAAAATAATTCGACGGACGAAAGAAGTTTCTGTCATGATAGATGGAAAGAGCTCGAGTTGCCAAGCGGTGAGACGTTGAAGTTCACCAGCGAGAGCCAGCTCGCAGACTCAGCAACAAAGATTTCTCAAGTCGTGCATGAGCATGTATCATATACATATGTATAGGTAGATCGAATATTCGACATCGAGTCGCGGATTCTTGTCAATTTTGAACATGCGAAGCGATAAGCCGATGACAATTTCATGTGGGCGCACATGATGGGCGGACAGAGTTGGTGATGCAGCAAGTCTCGAGATGGCCTGCGCGCAGAGCCAGGCTGATCGTCACGACGGCGACCATATGATGATGTTGAATTGTCATGCAGAATTTTGCCGAGCGCGCACGTTGCACTGGCCAGCGAATCTGCCTGACAAGATTGGCGGCCAAGGCGAATATTCGATGCGTGGTGCAAGAGATATACGAGGTGAAGTTGAAGAGCTGAGGTGAGGTCGAAGCAAAGCCGACGCGGAAAAAGCGCTGCCGAGGGCACACGGGAGCCATCACCATCTGGAGACATACCGCATCGCCATCTCGATACTGCCCCTGCGCCCATCGATTTCAAGATCCATCACTACTTACAAAACATTTTCTCGCTTTCTTTTGGTTTCATAAGATCGAGTATGCTCTAAACTCTAATCGAAAAGCGATGCGCTATCAGATCGCCCGCCCTTCATTTGCCTCCATTTCCTGATATTGCCAACATGGATCCACCAAGCACTACCCATACTACTCTGGACGAGTCGGAAAATCTTCCAGATACGATGAAAAGATGGTATCCGCCATCTTAGGCAAAGAGATGGCTTCAGACGCCTCAGCTGCTGTACAAGATCAAGTCCGACCAAGGCCATCAGCCCAATATACCACTCTCGCAAGTCCCGAAGATTCAGCCTCTACCTTGTCTTCTGTCGAAAGCGAGGTCCTGAGTTCCGTTCCCGACATGCAAGGGGCAAGTCTGACCAAAGTCGACGTTAATGGTATTCTTCGCTATGGCTCTTTTGACGCCGATGAAACTGGTCTATCATCAGTTGCTTCCGTGCCTTCTATTAACAAACGATCTTTTCAAGAGATACATAGCTATCCCGAAAGCCAGGTATCTGATGACGATAGACTTACGAAGAGACAGGCTCTATCTGCTGAAAGTGCTCGTCCTTCAGATAATCTCACGTCTAGCAGTCGCTCATCACTATTGTCAAACATCCAAGTCGAAACTCGGCCGAATCCAGACATTTCTGCTTCGCTGAGAGACGATCGCATACAATCCGCGCCAAAAGCTCCCACACCAAAGACGAAGAAATTCTCCAAGATTTCAAGATTAACGACTCATGCTCGCCCAAGATCGTCTATTCCGATACACATGTCTTGGGAAGAATACGGCAGACAATGTATTTCGGCAGCTCATTCGTCCCGCCTGAACCCATATGCCCTGCATCCAGGAGAATACAGGCTCTTGCGAGACCACATCACACAAGCTCAAGTCACGACGTATTTGAATATCCGCAATGGTATTCTGCGTCTTTGGGTTCGAAATCCCTTAGTCAGCGTCTCTAAAGAGGAAGCAGCTGGTTGTGCAAAGGATATACGCTTCTTTGACCTGGCCCATACGTCGTACTGGTGGTTGGTCAGAAATGGCTACATCAACTTTGGCTGTGTTGAGGTACCTCATGCAGGCATCTTGAGCGCCAAGCGAAAATCGATACCGAGACAGAGGACAGTCGTCATTGTAGGCGCCGGTATGGCAGGCCTTGGTTGCGCGAGACAACTCGAAGGGCTATTTGCCCAGCTCGGTGATCATTGGACCGATGTTGGAGAATTGCCTCCGAAAGTCGTAGTTTTGGAAGGAAGAAACAGAGTCGGTGGGCGTGTCTACTCACATCCGCTTCGAGGACAAGTGCCAGACAGCTTACCAAACGGCCTGCGAAATACCGCTGAGATGGGCGCGCAGATCATCACAGGCTTCAATCATGGAAACCCTTTGAACGCAATCGTCCGCGGTCAACTCGCCCTTCGATATCACCTTATGTGGGATGAGATCACCATGTACGACTCTGATGGACTCGCAGTCAACCATGAACGCGATATGATGGTCAATAAGATACACAACGATCTCTTAGAACGAGCTAGTGACTTTCGCGTGAAGCCAACGCCTGTGGAGACACTAGAGGGACTCCCAGACTACATCGATGTCTGCCAAGATCCTGTGGAAATCAAGACGGATAGGACCAACGCTCCTACATTGAACAAAGAAAGACAACAAGCCGTGCCTCCTGGCTTCGCGAAGCTCCAAGGAAGGACTCAGGTCGTCGCTGGCAACAGCTCGAGTCGGACAGCGGCACAAGCTGTCCGGTCTGCCGGTTGGCAATTGCGACCTGGCATAACAAAGAGACATTCTCTCGCCCTCGACGCCATAGCCACCGAGTCCGATAAGCCAACATTAGGCGCAACCATGGATGAAGCTGTTCGTCAGTATCAAGAGCTTGTCGAATTGACACCACAAGATATGCGTCTACTCAATTGGCACTATGCTGATCTCGAGTACGCCAATGCTGCTACAGTTTCCACTCTCAGCTTGGGTGGCCATGATCAGGACAGCGGCAATGAGTTCGAAGGCAGACATTCTGAAGTGGTAGGCGGATACATTCAGGTGCCTCGTGGTCTCATGATGCTCCCGTATCCACTCGACGTTCGCTTCGGATCAGTGGTAGAAAAGATTACCTACAACACCAACGGTGACGACGCGGACAGCTCAGCAACAGTGTCGTGCTCTAATGGAGAAACCTTCGAAGCTGATCAAGTTATTTTGACTTCTCCACTTGGTGTGCTCAAAGCAGAGACCATAACCTTCGAGCCAGCTCTGCCAGAATGGAAGAAAGGCGCTATTGAAAGAATGGGCTTCGGGCTTCTCAACAAGGTAACATTATCATTTCACTCTTCGCAGATCAAGCTGACTGTCTTANNGGTGGTAATGGTTTTCCCACACGCATTCTGGGACAGCCAATACGATATGTTTGGTTTCCTCAATGATGCCGAAAACAAGGACAGTCTCAATCCCGATGATTATGCTGCACGCCGTGGCCGTTTCTACATGATGTGGAACTGCGAGAAGAACAGTGGTAGACCAGTACTCAGCGCCCTTATGTCTGGCCGAGCAGCTCACGAGGTGGAAACCACAGACAACAATGCGCTACTTGAAGAAGCTCTGGAGAAGCTCAGGCGCACATTTGGAGCTGAAAATGTTCCAACTCCTGTGGAAGTCATCGTCACACGGTGGAAGAAGGATCCCTTCGCGAGAGGCACATATTCATTCGTTGGATCTGCTACCAGTCCATTGGACTACGACATTATGGCAGCGCCTGTGGGAAATCTTCACTTCGCTGGAGAAGCTACTTGCGGTACTCACCCTGCTACCGTTCACGGCGCGTATCTATCAGGACTCAGAGCAGCTGCGGACGTTATTGATACGATGGCTGGCCAAATGGGAGTCCCAGAGCCTCTAGTGTTGCCTCGACAGAGCCTTGCAGTTGCTGGCCTCGAAGATGCATCTGAATTCGCGAGTACAGAGTCACCAATGAGAGACGCCTTCGGAGGCACGCCCACTGAGGCTCCAAGACGTGTAGGCAGACCTCCGGGCAGACCACCAGGACGACCTCCAGGTAGACCTCCAGGCAGGCCCAAGAAGGTAGTCGAACCTGCACAACAATTACCAGCAGTGACACCGAATCCACCAGTGCAGCCAAATCCCTACAGATCTTCGATCAACAGCAAGTCTGTTGCAGATGAAGCATATGAGGCTGCCATCATCGATGCTATCCTTTCTGAACTCGGCCCCCGTCCTATCAAGCCTGCCAGACCTGGCGCAAGCGTCAATCCGTACCTGTTGTTCACGAACGACTCTTGGGCACGATGTAAGGAGGAATTGAGCCTAGCGAAACAGAAAGCAAGTGGCGACAACACAGCTAAGGCTTTGCGAGAAGAGATCCGCACCGAGGTAGGTCGACAATGGCGGATGTCAAGTGACGAAGTCAAGCGACCATACATCGAGCAAACGCAAGCCGCACAGCAAGCAGTAAAAGAGACTCGTGCACAATACGAGAAAGCGGCAGCCCAGTGGGACCAAGACGCCCGAAGAATCAGACTCAAATATCAGGAAGAGCACCCGCCTGCTAACGGGAACGAGTGGTCAGGCAGCACCAGTATCGAGGTGGCACCCTTGGCACCTCCTAGACGCAAGCAAACCATCAACTACACCGAATTCGACGGCGAGTAAGGTGCATACAGATTGACGCTTTTTGGCGTGGTTGCTTGTGCTTGAGTGGTGGAAAGTCTTTAGTCAGCCTGTATGAATAGTAATGTACAACAACCAACGTTCTAGGCGGAGGGTTCGGAGATGGCGATGATTTGCAGAGGGCACGCCGGTTGGCGGCTATTCTTGCGTGAGGATCGCTCTTGGCTGCACGCGTGATGGCCGCGTGGGTGCGCCAAAGTCAAAATTGGGTGTTCGCGGGTATGGAAGCCTACGCTAGACATTTCTACGAGCCGATCATCTTGACATCGCAGATAGACTCAGCACCAACGACCTCGCTCGTTCTCAATGGAAATATCATTCCAACCCGCGATTCTAGGATTTGACTCCCGCACAGTTTCGAGCAGTGTTTCGACACGAATATCGCAGAGACGTGGGCGTCTGAGCTTTGGCGCATAGATGCATCTCGCCCTATGGCGGCTTTGGAAGGTTTGATCGAGTGACATAGCGGGTGTGCTTACCGATTGAACCGCCGTCGGGTCTATCAGCAAGCCCGGGGCACGGCCAGGACTCGGTGATGTCAAGCAATAAAATCCTCCACAGAGTGGTTGGTAGGACCCGCTGATAAGGCTCGTGTAACAGCGCAAAGTTGAGAAATTCCGAATGCAACCCCAAGACCAACATCAATAGGAGCAGTAGATGCGAAAGAGGTGAGGTTCGGAAGGTGTCAAGGAGGTATTTCAAGCCACTGAATCGATTGTCGGAAAGGTCGAATCCTTTTCCCCGCCATCAAATCCCCAGAAACCGCTCGGGTAGTCAAGTAGGCGAGACCAGCACTTAGCCGTTGCATTGCCTTCAACTCACGCTCTGCGCAACTCTCGAGTCTTCCTCCCGGCGTCAGTAGTTGTCTTTCTCGCTCCTGCCCCTGTTCTCTTGTCTCCGTCGCAGCACGACTTCCGCGTACACACTGTCGCCGTCGATACCTGCTCATTCTCCTAGACGGTCATCGAGAGACATCGGTCAATTGCTTGCCCGAGGACCCGGGATTGCAGTCGCGCCTGCCCCGACTTTGATGTACACCTTCCTGGTGGAACTGTAGAATGTCTTTCTTCGGCAAGCTCAAAGGAAACGCAGTGAGTGTCGTGTGCCATTTCCAAAGGGTTGCGTCACGTTTGACTGACGATCACGACCATCTTAGACACCAGCGNAGTCCGACCGCAGGCACTTTGCCTCCAAAGAAAGATGCCACCATCCTGCAACCGACCCCACTAGAGAAGCATCTTGCTGATCTGGCTGGCCCTGTACGGCCGGATGGCAGCGACAAGTTCTTTGGTTTCGAAAACGTACGTACNACCCGTCCACTCCCGGCACAGCAGCAGCAGACTAACCGCGACTCTGCAAACAGTACGGGAGCACATGGTATGCGACTGCCTCAAACATCTCAAAGTCTTCGTGACTGACTCCTGCGCAACAGTTATGCAAACTCGATTATCCAATGTCTATACTACTCAACAAACTTCCGCGAAAATGTCCTCAACTTTCCTCCGCTGCCTCCAGCGCCCGAACAATCCGATTCAGATGCAGACCGGAGCATGAGTCTCCAGAATGGCCTGCCGGCTCCTGGAAACCACCTCTTGACTGCTGCCACGAACAACCTTACTTCTAGCTCGCCCGCAAGGCGGCCAATCATTCTACCCAATTCGCCTGAAGCCCAGACGACTAAACCCGATGACAAGGACTCTCCGGACTATAAGAAAAAGGTGGCCATGAGGTCGGGTCCCATTCTAGAGATGCAGATGAGCAACTCTAACGCATACGGAATGTCTGAATCGCTCTTCACCTCGCTAAAGGACATATTCGAGTCTATCATTGGCCATCAGTCGCGTACAGGAATTATCAGTCCCCTCAAGTTCCTCGAGATCTTGAGAAAGGAGAATGAAATGTTCCGTTCTGCTATGCACCAGGACGCCCACGAGTTTCTGAATTTGCTGCTAAATCAGGTCGTCGACAATGTAGAGATGTACTCGAAGATGCTGCCGGCAATCAACGGCACACTCAACGGCAACGGCAGTGCAGAACCGAGCATGGCAGGTGCCATGTCTGCTATGGCGAAAGCGCACAACACAGCTGGTATCAGTAGCGCTGGGTGGGTGCATGATCTNTTCGAGGGTCTTCTCACTTCAGAAACACGCTGCCTCAGTTGTGAAAACACATCACAACGAGACGAGGCGTTTATGGATTTATCCGTCGATCTGGAGGCGCACTCATCCGTAACGTCATGCCTGCGAAAGTTTTCCGAAGAGGAGATGTTGTGCGAACGAAACAAATTCCATTGCGATAACTGCGGCGGTTTGCAGGAAGCTGAAAAGAGAATGAAGATCAAACGACTACCACGCATTCTGGCACTCCATCTTAAACGTTTCAAATACACCGAGGACCTCCAGAGACTCCAAAAGCTTTTTCATCGAGTTGTATACCCTTATCACTTGCGATTATTTAATACCACGGACGATGCAGAAGACCCGGACCGATTGTACGAACTCTACGCTGTTGTTGTCCACATTGGAGGTGGTCCATATCATGGACATTATGTTTCCATAATCAAGACCCAAGATCGTGGGTGGCTTATGTTTGACGATGAATTGGTCGAGCCTGTCGACAAGAGCTTTGTAAGGAATTTCTTTGGTGGTGAGCCAAAACCGGGAGTGCAAGATGCCAGGCAACTGGCTTGTGCTTATGTGTTGTTCTACCAAGAGACGACCTTGGAAGCTGTGCAAAGAGAACAAGAGGCTGAGGCCCGACAGGCTGCCGCTGCTGCTAGCATGCCAAACAGAGATTCGCTATCGAGGGAAGCACAGAACGGCTTGAACATCAACGGCCTTCGCAACACACATACAGTGCAGTCACCGATTGAAGAAGAGCCCAATGCCTTCGCGAATCTCGCTCATGCTTCCACTGCTCCAGCTCTGTCGCAGCAACGTTCAGCTTTCAGCGGCCTGTCGACATCACCTTTCCTTGGCTCCGGATTCGGGTCTCTCGACAAGAAAGCAGCGAAGCAGGCAGAAAAGGAACGTAAAGCACAAGAAAAAGAAGCTCGCAAGCTCGCAGATGCGAAACGAAAGGAAGCGGCTGAGGCGACGAGAAACGCTTGGAAGAGACAGAACGAGGACTACCTTGCTGCCATCGAGCTCAGCAAACAAACAGCTGCCGAAGAGGCTAATCGCTCAGGAAATCCGGCTCCCGAGATGGCTGCACCATCTGCGACAGCAGCAGCAGACGGCAAAGACCGACCGGGTCTTAGCAGATTCAGACACAGCTCGATGAGTCTACGACAGAAACCGAAATTCTGGACATCGGGCAAAGAGAAGGAACCGGGAAGCCCTTTGCCAACACAGGCCGAGGAGGCCACACCTACAAGCGCAGAGAAGGACGTTAAGAAGAATCGATTCAGTTTGAGCCGAAAGAAGTCGACGGCGCTTTAAATATCAGTGTACATATCACATACTAGGCCTGTTCGCGCAGGTTGCTGTAATGCACGGGGCAATCTTGGATATATATAAAAGAAGAGCTTGGTGGCGTTCTCGTGGCAGTTCAATCATGGTGGCAGGTGATGTACAGGTTGCTTTGGCAGCTTGCTCTATGTTGATGGTTTTGTTCGAATATCATGTATTTTCTTGAGAACAGATTTGTTCAGACTTAATCTCTCAGTCTACAGAACGCGCTTCTCCATGTTCCCTCTGAATCGGGCATATCCTTGATGAAGCAAAGTTGAGCAGCCACGTAAGCCGATTTGGACCAACTGGTGCAGCGTCCTGGTGTCATGGCATGCAGGGTAGCGACATTGTCTGCACAGCTGCTTCGGTCGCGTTCTTGTTCGTGGACGGGTCGAGAAAAATCTGAGGTTCGAGGCTATGGTATATGATTTATTGGTCGTTCTAGTGGCAGTTTCTTGTACATATGCTCATCCCAATATGAGTTCGTAGACGATGATCAGCGTGTTGATGACGATCAGCGGTANCTGTAAGCTTTGGTGTCAGCTTGAGGGTGCTCGGAATGCGATTGGAGATGTAAACGTACTCCTCATGAGGGTGCGGACGGATGCGATCAGGTTGATGACTTTTGACTTGACGCTGGTGTTGTCTGCAGGACCGCCGAACGCGGGCTCTTGTTGTACTGATCCCCAGCCGACNNTGCAGATGTTCTGTTAGTCGCATGTATCGTCGGAAGGGCGTATGTGGAAGGTATGCGTACTTCTTGCGAGGAAGCGATCCTCGGACAGGATAGCTATTGCGTTGACCAGCAAGATGGAGANCTGAGTGGGTGCATGTGTTAGCTCTTGATGGTTGCCAATCGAGTCGCAGGAATTTTTACCATAGAAAAGGCCTCCAAGGCCAAAGAAGAACATGATGGTCTGTGGCTGTGGATGTCGAAGGATGGTTGCACTTGAAGCAACAACATGCAACCTCTCCTTGTCCCCACACGTCGCAGCCGCGTCTTCTCTCGACCAAAGCTGTCCTCAGAAACATGCGCCAAGAACTACACCATGCCTCGCCAACTCATCGGTATGTCTCGATTTTATCTTCACCATCGTTAGTCAGCTTGGTAGACACTAATCTTTGTCTCTACAGATGTCGTTCTGGTTGGGCTGTTGCCCTTGACCATACTCGTGCATCTATATCTAGCCCCTTACACTAAGGTCGAGGAATCGTTCAATATCCAAGCTATCCACGATACTTTGATCCATGGCATTCCAACACGCAATGTTGCCGCCTTCTTCAGGTCGCATTATGATCACTTTACTTTTCCCGGACCTGTGCCTCGCACTTTCGTTGGTGCTGTCGTCATGTCTGGCTTGACCAGACCTTTGCAGATAATCTCGAACATGTTATCGTCCGAAGGTCTGGAAAAGTTTACTTTCCAAATTNNGCTGGTAAGATTGTTGATCCGTCGTTCTTCTGTATAAGTTCTCTCTGACGGGTAGAAAGCCAGAGGAGTGCTTGGACTGCTGAATGCAGCAGCTCTCATTCAATTCAAGCGTGCAATCGACACAGCGTACGGCAAAGTGGCAGGAAGATGGTACATCGTTCTTCAAGCCTCTCAGTTCCATGTCATGTTCTATGCGTCTCGCACCCTGCCCAACATGTTTGCTTTCAGCATCAGTAAGTCTCAGCCCAACCATCAAGCACCTTCTCACGCTGACCATGTTAGCNNAACCTTGGCGTTGTCCAGTCTCATCTCTGCTCAGGCAATTCCAGCACGCACACANAAAAGTGTCAAACGCAGGCGTTTGGCTCTCTACCTTCTCACTGCTTCAGGTATCATTTTCAGATCAGAGATAGCTATTCTACTGGCTATGCAGACTCTATACTTGCTGCTCCAAGGTCGTACTTCTTTGGTCAACGAGGTAATCCCCGCTGGCTTCTTTGGCGTGATAATCGGCCTTGGTGTCACTGTCTCAGTGGACTCTTACTTCTGGCAACGCTTCCCATTGTGGCCGGAGTGGATAGGCTTCGTCTACAACACTATCCAAGGAAAATCTTCTGACTGGGGTGTGAGTCCATGGCATTATTACTTTGTCAATGCTATTCCTCGTCTCTTGCTGAATCCGGTTACTTGGTCTCTTTGTATTCCGCTCGCTCTGGTCAATCGCGCAACCCGCAAGTCCAGCTTGGATACAATGATACCTCTGCTCGCTTTTGTGGCCATCTACAGCGTCTTGCCTCATAAGGAGTGGCGCTTCATCATCTACATCATTCCTGGGTTCACTGGTGTAGCAGCTGCAGGCGCATCCTGGATTTGGACTCGCCGATCCAAGACCCTTTTGTATCGTCTTTTGAGTTTAGGTCTTGTTGGGTCAACCCTACTGTCTTTCACAGGTAGCTTGAGTTTGCTCTACATTTCAAGCTTGAACTACCCTGGCGGCGAAGCTCTCACACGTCTTCACGAAATCGTCCCAAGTGGTAGACAGGGTCAGACATGGGTTTACATGGACAACTTGGCCTGTCAGACTGGCGTCACACGTTTCTTGGAGAAAGATGCAGGATCGACATTTATGTACGACAAGACAGAGAACCAGACAACACTATTGGACCCTAGCTTCTGGCAGAGATTCGACTATGTGCTTGCTGAAGATCCCAAGCGCATCATCGGCAGCTGGGAGGTCATTGACACTGTATACGGATACTCTGGAATTGGTTTCGGTCATTTGGCTGCAGACCAGGACAGTGCGCCTCCTCTTTCGGCACGCGGTGTTGTCACTCAGCCTCTGAACATGCTGCTTCAGACGTATAACGAGGTTGCACGAACGGCAAGCCAGAAGCTTACTGGCGGACGATGGCCTATCGTAAAGATGGAACCAAAGATCTACATCCTAAAATCACAATAGGAACATTCTGTGCTAGCTAGCATACACATTTCAAAAGTACTGAACCATTCTAAGCTGTCTTCAATCATACATAATTTGACACTTCAATCAAGTTCCCATCTGGATCTCTCGTATACACGCTCTTCAGCTTTCCTACTGCACCAATCCTGTCTACCACTTTGCCTTCTTCCAAGATCTCGAGCCCTTCCTTTTGTAGCTCGGCAAGCACATCTGTGATGGGCGTTGTGGTTATGAAGCACAAATCCGCGGTACCGGGTTTTGCGAGTGTGGCCTTGGGTTCGAACTCCGCACCTGCTTGGTGGAGATTCAATTTCTGTGATCCGAAGGAGAGGGCGTGTCTATATGAAGATGTGAGGTTAGTGAAACTGACAGCAAGATGGTGGGTGGATTTCTTGTTTAGTAAGAGGAAGCCACAAGTATGGTTCATGTCCAGAAAGAAGAAAGAAGAATGCTATACGTACCTCTCTACTCCCGGTGCATCTTTAGATGAACGAAATATCTCGTGCTTCATGCCCAGCAGGTTGTAGAACTTGACTGTAGCATTGATGTTGCGACAGGTCAGGACGACATGATCTAGGGCCTTGACCGCAAAAGGCATCTTGACTGCCCGCGAGAAATTGGTTATGGAGGCGGGAAGAGGCAAGTACGATAGATACTCATTGCTCGGCAGGTCATACGTATTGATATGCTGCTCGCCATACGCGGCTGCGGGGGCTGTCGAACCTTGTTTGGCAGGGATCTGCGATATTCGAGTACACAGGCAGAAGGTGAGATAGAGACATCTAACAATGTGGATTCTTCGTGTATCGCAGGGTATTGGTATGAAAGAAACAAAAGAGAAAGAAGATCGCAACATGATATACTACTGCCACGAAGGTCTCCTAGCTGGTGTCCCGAGCTGCGATTCATCACTCCTCAACAGCTCAGTCGAATGCACAACTTCAGTCGTCTTAACGATGTTCGGTAGGTGTGCTTCAGAGTCATGTACCAATCCCCAAGGTATAGTTGTCTTCAAACTCTTGAGCACCTGTGACCCATCCTCGAGGCGGTTCAATCGCTGGCGATCTGAGAAGTTCGTCCTGACCTGGCAGATCAATCCGAATCTAGCCAACAATGTCTCGTAAGGTGTTCGCAGACGGATTGCTATACTGGCTATGAGGCAGAAGTTTTGTTCGATTTGCCACCAGGTCGTTGGTGCTACCATGCTTCTGAGTGGATCTTGGGTTGCACGATAGTCGTGTAGGTACACCATGTTGGCCACAGAAGACATGGTTATGAACAGGCCTAACCCGACCAGTGTACCCAAGGCGATCAATTCGTGTAAAGGACGATTTGTGCTCCTGGCGAAGGTGAGGGGTGTGAGAGACAGAAGCAAACTCGTTATGGCTCCGAAACCTANGACTACATCAGTCAAGCTTGCTGGGATAGAAAAAAAGGTAGATACCATACCTAATGTAACATAGGCAGCAAGCTGTGTCCTTTCGGCGGGCCAACACTGCGTTGCCACATCATCGTTCCATAGCGCAGAGGTCGGTTGGCACTGCACGACTTGAATGACGTTGGTAGAGATCGTACAGGTGGTCTGTACAAATATAATCCAGCAGAATACCCATTGCCACTCTCGATCTTGTCTTGTCCTCAGAGCAAACCAGGCAATGGAGCATTTCGTCAGGCAGACCGACCATACGCAAAGAGATTGTGCGAGAAACCCGAAATACCGAGCTTTGACTACTCTGGTCGGGTCCACGAACACTGTATGTCTACCCATGCCGTAGTGACAACTCATGGCGATGAGAACGAGGTCCGATATTGCTAGNNCATCTACGTGAGTCAGAATAGAATGTCATTGGAGCGAGAAGCAATCTACGACACTGACCAGAGCTGCAGCCACCATGCCATCAGTCCAGACGAAAGGCGAAGAGCGTCGAGCTCGTATACGGATACCATACAGCACCAGAGACAACGCCAAAGTCATTGCTGCTGGGACCAATACTGCGGCTTGTGTGTTGTTGTCGGGCTCAGAAAATTGCTGCTGCGTTTGATCGGCAGACATGTTGTGCTATTTTCTGAGGTCGTGCTCGTTTTTAATATCTGTTCCAGAGCTCAACAGTGAGCACTGAGCGAGCAGTTCGGAGGGACCAAGTGGATAAGAGGAAAGATGGGATACTAAGAACCACATGGCGAGGACACTATGTGCAATTAATCGAGAGCGACACAATATGGAATCTCCGTCTACCGGTGGAAAAGAGCTTCGTGCATTATCTCGAACACACATCTGAAGCTCGATTTGTTTTGGTGTCATGCAGCATATCTCCTGAAGGGTAACCAAACTCAAGAACGTGGAGATTGTTTCTGACTTCGGTTTCCTGCAGGCGAGTCTTTTGGGAACATGCGCGTGTGATGAACCACATGGGCATGCAGTCGCGATTGACGCAAGAACCAATCAACTAACCAAACCCAGCATTTGAGAACGAACCTAGGCACGAGTTGAGTGCACCTTCTACAAGAATCTTGCTTCCGTTCCTGGAAAGGCAGATATGTTGAACTGGAAGACGCAAGCTCGCACCTCTTCGGCTGCCTGGAGCGAGGTGCATTGCACTACTGCACGCATGCAAGGATTGTGGGCAACAACAGCCCGCCCTGACTCTGACAGCCATCTTCATTTTCCTTCGCCAGCTTGTTATCGAGGCATCGATCTCATCTGAGACACTTTCGAGGGTGTTCGAGTGAACATATGTGGCATAACTGGCTGCCGTCATGCTGTTAAGCATCGAGTATAGTCGAGGATCTGGTGTTCAAAGCCATCGAAGAATGTATTTCTCTTGCAAATAGGGCAAGCATCGGCAAGAGGTCGGACCAACAACAGGCGGCTCAGGCGATCCCCACACGACCGAAACATGAAACAGACACCATGTCACTTCTACTGATACATCCAGGCCAACTCGTCAGCTCATCGTCTTCAAGCCGGATCAAGAAGTACCGAACAGCCGCTAAAGGTCTGGTAACACCAACCAAGAGCAAGTCCAGGATGCCTCTGATATGCAATCTTGACCAGGTCACAAAGGCAGGGCAGAGATGCATACTCGGCTGGTAAAATGATCGCCAGGTACCATGCCATCACATCTTAACGTCAGAGATAGAGATCTCTATTTTTGTGTTCTTACCACAGAACAACCTCTGTCTTCGGCGGTGCACACGCCTAAGGTTATCGAATCGCTCTGTTGAAGATCAACCCTTTCATTCCACTCCGGAGCCGACCACGATCACTGCAGTAAGATGGGTTCCACTTTGCTCTTGTCCAAACCAGCATTTGGCCCGTGAGTCGCAGATTCATGGGCCGCTCTTTCCAGAAGCAAGAGACGGGCCTTTCTCGTTACGAGAAAACACCTTGCGATGCATGCTCTTCCGCTGCAGCAGGGAAGGGCCTCTTCGCAAGTGGGCCACCAGCCCTCAATGATCGCCCTCTGCGCCAAATAGAGAACAGAAGAAGATGACCAGCTCCCATATAAGGTAGGTCCCTCGACTACTCATTTGATCTTCTAGGAACCTCGTCGTCTACCACATTCGCTACCACAAGTGATCATTCGTCGCATTCGTTTGCTCGAAGTCTGATCTATCGCACTCGCTTTTCATCCACCAATAATATAACACGGACACACAGTCACCATGTACTTCAAAGCTTCTATTGCTGCTCTCGCTTCCATCAGTGCTCTGGCAGCTGCCCAAGCTCCCAGCATCGACCAATGGACACAATCTGAGATCAACAACGGTACCGCTTGGAAAGAGGTCACCCAAATCGCTAGAGACAACCAATTGTACAACTTGGGCACACGCGAAAACTCTCCCTGTCAATGGGGCACCATGAATGTCAGGAAAGAGTTCCGCGATATGTCCAAGGAGGACCGCAAGTCTTTCACCGATGCCGCTACATGTCTCATGAACACACCCCCTCAACGCATGCGTCCCGACCAAGCTGCAGACTACCCTGGAATCCTATCTCGTCATGACGAATACGTAGCCACCCATATTAACCTAACTTTCCACATCCATGCGACGGCCGATTTCCTGGGTTGGCATAGACACTTCATCAAGCACTACGAGCAAGACTTGCAGAACCTCTGCGGTTATACCGGTACCCTTCCCTACTGGAACTGGGCTTTAGACGCCTCAGCTCCCCAGGACTCACCTCTTTTCACTGGTGACGACTACAGCATGGGTGCCAATGGCAAGTCCATTCCCAACCGCAGCGACACATATCTCTACACCCAAGGCATCAATATGCCTCCTGGTACCGGCGGTGGCTGCATCGAAAGCGGCCCTTTCTCCAACATCACTATTAATCTCGGACCCTTGGACTTGCCCAACACCAAGAATGTCGACAGCAACTATCAATACAACCCTCGCTGTCTGAACCGTGACTTCAACTCCTTCTTCACCGAGCGTTACAACACTTTCACCAACGTCACCGAGCTCATCCTCGAAAGCATCTACCTCGAAGACTTCCAAGACAGAATGCAAGGCTATGCCTCTGGAGACCCCTTTGGCGTTCACGGAGGCGGCCACTGGGGAATGGGAGGTGCAGCTTCTGACTTCCACTCTTCGCCTTCTGATCCCCTTTTCTTCCTTCACCACGGTATGATTGACAATGTCTGGACTACCTGGCAAAACCTGGACATCTACCGTCGTCAGTTCATCATCATGGGCACTTCTACTCTCGGCAACAGCCCGCCTAGTGCTAAGATGACCTTGGACGATGTCATTCCTTTTGGCTTCGTTGCTGACGACCGCATTTTCCGCGAATTGATGGATACCTTCGCCGAGGGCTACTGCTACCGCTATGAGTAGAGTTCTGCCTCTCTTTCTCTCGAGCGAAAAACCAAAAGGCGTGATTTCGCTTCTGTAAATACTTTATTTCCTTTGCATAGTCATCATAGGACTTTCTTGTATTATCTATGTTTCGTAATGAAATTATTCACTTCACTTCCTTCAAAGAGAGGTGATCTTGTATCTCTATCACTTTCTATGCTCCTCCGTAAACTTTTCTGATCCATTCGACCCAGACGCCAATATCGCCTACGAGTTCCAAGGCCTTTGCCGTCTTACGCGCAGCCTTTTNTTGTTCCTCTTGACTACCCTTGGCCACGTTCTGTGACAAGACAACCACTTGACCATCAGCAGAGACGCTGGCACTAAGACTCGCCAAACCGCCTTCCACTCCTTGGGCTGGGAAGACGAATTCGAGGGTTGGTGAGGGTTGCGTGGACAACGAGACATCGACTGCAACAGCATTTCCTGTGCTGATGTTTGTTCCGCTAAGAAGATCTGCCAGTGAGAATGACGATTCGTCCTTGGAAGGTACAGCACTTTCCGTCTTAGCAAAGGTGCCCTTGAGCAGGCTTCCCAGATAAGCCCATTGTCGCAGTACAGGTAACAGAGCAACCACTTGGCGAGGATGCGCGAATGGAATAGACGTTAGCACATAGCCAAAGTCTTGCTTAGGCACATAAAGCGCATTCTTGTGCTGCACAGTCACGCCATCAGGAGTGAGCACGGTCTTTGTGGTTGAAGCAGCGGGTCCAGAAGATTGGTGGGGTTTGTTAAGCAGCGGTACGTCAGAAGGCTTCTGGAGGAGCGATCCTTCGTAGGTGCGCTGAACATCCGGAATGTCGGACATGACGCTGGCAGCGCCGACAGACTGTAGTATGGCCGCCGCGGCTGTCCAGGGCATGGTGAGTGGTGGGTTGAGCCGCGCTACGAAGCGTACCGCGGGCAGTTTTTGAACACCGGTGCTGGGATTGCTGTCGATAGCCATAGCGTCACTGCTGTTCTGATCGTTGTCGGATAGGTAAGTAGGAGCTGGATCTTGCCAATCGATGCTTTGAGTACCAGAGAGCAAATCGGTAGGGTCCGTCGTTTCTTCGGCGGATTTAAGGATGCGGTCCGCGATCCAGGCAGAAGAGACGCGAATAGACGAGTATGGATCAGGGGAGCCCGCCTCGGCTGTGATGTCCAGCGCAAAAACGGTCTCGTCGGCGTCTTTTAATGGCGTCTCAGAAGGCTGGGAATCGACATCCATCGCGGATGCGTCTCTCACCTTCTCGGCGGAACCAGCTGGGTATATGTTGCTCTTTTCCATCCAGTAGTCCAAACTCAAGCCAATTTTCCTGCGCGCATGCATTTGAGGACGACCGCTTCTTTTACACAAGACATGTCGCTCTGCTCTCAACTCTGAATTCCCGCGTTTCGCCTGCACGATCGTACGGGCTGCCTGTTTCTCATATTCGTAAAGCTTCTTCAGGCTCTCATAGACACCGGTAATTGCTTCGAAGCAGTTGAGCTGATTGTACACACTAAGTTTGTCCAATCTGGCCAGAATTTCGAGGTTCGCGGCGAAGCGGTCGAGTTTGGTGTTGATGGCAGAGGTACCAGGCGCGGGTGTCAAGTCTTGGAGAAGAACGCTTGCGGCGGCAGGCTGGTGGGCTGTTACAGCTTGGTCTTGGCTGGAGAAGGAAAGATCGATGTGGGTCGGGAGGTTGTCCTTGAACTGGAAATCAATCAGGACATTGTTCTTGCCTGCTACGGCGACAGGCCTGTTGCCCTCGAACTTCCGCGCCTCCCTCTTGGCCTCGACCTCGACGTCTAGTCCAGCCCATCGTCCAACTCTTCTCACGCCTTCTTCGCTGACTCTGCCAAAGCGGCGGTGATGCTGAGGACCCAGGAGTTTTGTGAGAATAGTGTCTAGCTTGAGCCTGCGTTCTTCGTCCTGATTGGGCTTGTGAGAGGATATGCCCAAATCGGACAGGCTCAGGTTCATGGGCTGTGAAGTGGCAGCGGCATCGAGCAGAGCAGATGGGGTGGTCATGTCGAGGCCAGCGAGGGCAGCGGGTGAGGCAAAGGCGAGCAGGTTGTTGGAAGGCGAGGCGGCCAGCAGGGAGTTAGACATGGCTGAGAGGTTGCTCGCCTGGCTCAAGCTACTCGTCATGGCAATGCCGCCAATTGCGGGCTTGGAAGCTGGAGCATGCTGTGGTTGCGCCGTGGTGACAGAGGCGGCTTTTGCGGCCGTTGGAGGTACGCTGCGAGGAGTGTGCGCGTGGGCAGGGTTGCTGTTGGTGTTGGTGTTGGTGAGTGGAGTATGCGAATGTTTGGCGAGCACGCTCGCGTTTGTCGTATTCGGCGTCGTCATGGCGCTTTGGTTTCCAGTGATCAAAACGTCGTTGTGATGGTCGAGACGTGCGTCGCCCTTGACAAGCACCATGGCTTACTTGTCGACCGACTCTCTACTGCCTATACCAGCTTGCCAGCTACCGACGACGCAACGTTAGCTGGCTCTCCGACATGCATCATCGGACATGGTCTCCGTCACATGCAACCAACCACTTTATTACCAAGTTACGCTTATGCCCGACCTAGTCCGAGGCTTCCGTTATCACCCGCTTTGCGCCATCCCCATCTCTACTCCGCCGTCCGGACTCTAGGGCACACTATCTCTACCACTGTCTCACTTGGCAAATAACCTTGATGTTCCAAAAACATATGCAATTCGCTAGAATCAACAAAAACTGAAAAGGTACTCTAGGCCTGATGTCTCCCTTGAACGAAGAGCACATCTACCTCCCATTCTCCTCTACCCTGTGAAATTATCGCCATCCAATTCTCTTCTGCATCACCTGAACAGTCTCCTGCGACTGTCTGGGAGAAATGTACTTCCTTGTGATATGTCTTCTTTCCGTTTCCCTTTTGCTTGACGTGGTCGCGTGAAATGTCCCATCTAGGGCTTGGAAATGGGCACAACCATCTCGAGGTCAACGTTCTCGGCGTTGACGGCCGTCTTATGCACGTTGGCACCCTCGACCTTGCCGCAGAGCGTCTCGACGATGATGCCGGTGATCTGGTAAGGGTCGGCACTTGAGGCCGGTCTGCGGTCCTCGAAGTATCCCTTGCCCTGCTCGGCAACGGCGCGGTTGACACGGACACTTGATCCGCGGTCGGCGACACCCCAGGTGAACTTGTCCATCGATGCTGTCTCGTGCTTGCCAGTCATACGGAGGGCGTTGTCCTCACCGTACACATCCATGTGCTCCTTGTGACGCTTGGCCAGCTTCTCCATGGCCTCCTCAATCACCTTCATACCGCCATCCTGACGCATGGCCTCTGTTGAGACGTTGGTGTGGAGACCAGCACCGTTCCAGTCACCAGGGATGGGCTTGGAGGCAAGAGTGACCTTGACACCGAAGTCCTCGGCAACACGGTGAAGGATGAAACGGGACATCCAAAGCTCATCACCAACTACATCACAATGTCAGTTTCGCGTGCAAATACTTCTTGACAACAGACACGACTTACGGTTAATGCCCTTGCAAGGACCGACTTGGTACTCCCACTGGGCGGGCATGACCTCGGCGTTGGTACCAGAGATGTTGATGCCGGCGTAGAAGCAAGCCATGTAGTGAGCCTCGACGAGATCACGGCAGAAGACTCTGCCAGTACCGACACCACAGTAGTAAGGACCCTGAGGAGCGGGGAATCCGTTCTTGGGCCAGCCGAATGGCCAGCCGTCAACATCGAGGAGGGTGTACTCCTGCTCGAGGCCGAACCAGAAACCTTCCTTGGCGTGAGCCTCCATCAGGAGAGCAGCGTCATGGCGGAAGTTGAAGGCATTGGGCTTGCCATCAGACATCCAAGTCTCGCACATGACGAGGACGTTGGGCTTGCCGCGGAAGGGGTCGTCGAAGACGGCAACGGGGCGGAGGTAGACATCCGAGTTGTTGCCAGGGGCCTGGCCTGTTGACGAACCATCGAAGTTCCACTCTGGTAGCTCATCGAGCCCGACACGGCCCTTAGCGACTTGCTCGTCGGAGCGGTCAACGGTCTGCGATCCTTGTCAGTACAAATTTTGCATGAGGGACATAGTGAGATGCGCGGTTTTTTGGATGGTTGCCATCTTGGCGGGGTGGTGATCCGCAAGAGCGCGCGACTTTCTGCTGCGTGTGTGACTGACCTTGCACTTGGATCTCATGCCATTGGAGCCATCGATCCAGATGTACTCAGCAATGACACGCTTGGGCGACTGCTCAAGGCTCAGGTACTTNNTTGAGCTGTGGTAGTGGTCAGCGACGCTCTCGAAGAGCACATTGCTGTGCTTCTTCTGAGATATCCTCACAGTCTGGGTGTTGGAGAGATATGCTGAATCCGGCTGCGCGCAGTCGTCAGTAACTGTTGAGTGCGTGCACAAGATCTTGTTTGGCAGTGACTCACCATGATGACGGTTGTGGATGTGTGTGTTGACTTGGAGAGTCGATTAAGATAGAGACAAGAAGAATGGATGCACGCTGCTGGTGGCAGACGGCTAGCGAATGGATCGAGGAGCGGGGTGGGATGAAGGTGGAGAGTAAAAGTGAAGGTCGGAGCAAGGACAAAGGCTGGGGAAGTTATTTGAACCAAAAGAACCAAGAGCGAGCAGCTTTTGGTGTTGACCACGCGAGCTCGGCCTGCGATAAGAGTCCCTGCCTAACAGGTACTTCATTCAGCCGCCCGCTCGCACCTGCCGCCCCGACGACGCCATCGTTGCTTCCTCGCCGAACCGCTAACAATGCCATCCATATCAGTCTTTATCGTCCCCCTCATGCCCCTCACCTCCCACACGATTCCTTTTTCCTATCACTGCACAATCCTGCTTCTGCTGTGTTGCTGCAGTTCTGCCACATCTCCCGTGCCCATGTATCACATCGCCGGCCGTTTCGAACTTCTTGACTGTTTTGATCTCCTAAAAAGCCCGTCCACTACGTATGTTCTTCAACGACCTACTATTCCTCGGCTTTTCGCTTACGACCGGCCCAAAAAGCTGAGACCCTTACTTCTTATCGCTGATTCAAATGCTGTGTCTATTTTCGTCATGTTGTTGCTTCTATTTTTTGTTTGATGAACCCATCCTGTTGCTGCATTGTCATCTGTGGTCGTACCCTTCTCACTCTCTGCTCTCTCTTCCTCCTCCCCAGCCTGATTTGCCTCGCAACCTGGTGCTCCGTATCGCAGAAGGATTGCGTGGACAAATGCTGGAGATAGTGGCTTGCACCATGTCCCCGATCCCCAGACTTGATTCATCCAATAAACTTCTTCCGCCTTTTTGTAGCGGAAACCCGGCGCAGAGGTTCGTGCCTTGTTGAACCCAAGGAATTCTGGAAGCCCAGATCTCAACTTTGTCTCCAGGGTCTCGTTGAACAAAACGCCGGCCTGGATCTGTATCGAAGCACATTTCTGTCGTGCTCGAACAAAGAGAAGCGTGCGATTCCTTCTGTAGGCTCAAAGGAACGCAACGCCTCTATTGCGCCCTACTCTTGACTTTGGTTGTTGGACCACTTCGCCGCATAACCTATGTGGGCTTGAAGCCGGGCCTAATCAATTGTGCTTATCGCAGCCAATGGGCTCACGCACGATTTGATTACAATGACACTGATCCCCGTGTAACAGTGCGCCCGCCGTTGCCCGAGCACGGAGTGTTTGTCAAGTTTGCCGCCAAGTTTGCCGTCAGTCCTTCTTCCCAACGCCGCTTTCGGGGCGACATTGACAGCCTACCTGAAACTACGACTCGTTCGCCGGCTCTTGTTGTTCTCTTGAAACAGCTCTTCAACGTTGGTATACGCATGGGCTGTAATGGAGCAAAATGTTACCCAATTCTTGGCCTCTGTGTGCTCCTTCTGGACTGCAAGCTTCTTACAGTGAGTCATGGCACATAAAAGCAAACATAATTCACGCAAACCGTACAAGAGCCGCGGCCGCGACGTTCTTCTCAAGTAAAAGCGTCATTTTGTAGAGAGCGCCGAGGGTGTATTCTCGGAGTTGCGGTGGACTTGTCACGCTAACACCACGACCCTGAAGTCGTCAAAGTCGCACTTCTCAATAACTGGGTATCCTCGTGTCAACTTCAGCACACTCCGACGTTACAAGAATTAGGTATCCTGAAGATTTGCTTTGTTGCTGGTTCAACGACACCAATATTCGGCTTTCCTTCCGTCCGCAATCTTGATTTTTCTAGAGTTCAGGAAGAAAGCGGACGTACACTTTGCTGGGCTGACGTCCTATTACGAGAGAATTATCAGAACGACGACATAGCACACCCTGTTCGAAGGCTCTGCTCCCAACCTCACACCTCGACTATACCGGTCATGTCCCATTGGACAAAAAATGTTTTCTAGCTTGGACTACGCAAAGAAGCAAAGCGTTCCCGGCCACAATATTACGAGATGGAATCGTCCCCGGAATCCCCAGCTCGATCTGTTCATCGATCTCGCCGCAAAGGGCATCTGCCGGCACATCTGCCTCGACACTCTCAGTATTCATCTCGAGTACCTTGGCTCGTATCGCCTTCCCTGATCTCTTGTCACAGATGCCACGACGTGAGACGAAAGAGCCAGCAAATGATACATTCTCGCCAGAAACCAGTGGCTTCAACATGAGTCCTGCAATGCATAAAATCTCATATTCGAGGCCGACTTCATGACTAGGATTCACAGGTAGGGTTGGCAACAAACAGTTCTCATGACAGCTTTATATGCTTCGATGACTGCTCAGTAGTTCTTGGACAAGACAGGAATCAGCTTCATGCTGTGATCTCATAACCATCATATATGGTCTTAACCACTGGGTGTCCTGATCAGATGCAAATCTCCGACGTCCATCATAGTAAGTGTTTGTGGTATAGGTAGAGAAATTCTTTTCCATGTTCACTTTCCGTCCATCCACAACTCCCGTCATCAAAATAGAGAAACATATACACGCTTGTGCTCTCGCGCAAGATTCACTATGCCCAATGCTCACAGCCCATGTTTACGTGTGGACAACACGTTTTCACTTTCAGCACACAAAACGCGCTTGTCATGGTGAACAGCGCAATTGCGCATGTGAAAGTAAACAATGATATCTTGAAAGCAGAACAAACAGCTACAACACGCTCAGCACGCGCTGGGGTACGCTCTCCAATTGCGCATCTGATCAACTTGATCTGTTTCAGTGCAAGCAAAGCCTTTGGAGTCGCGCACGGCGGCGCAATGTGCTATGTGCAAACCCCGTACTACCACTTATGTGGCCACTATGGTCGCCCTACGCTCGCGCCTCATGGTCGATGTGCACGCGCAGAGCGCTCTCCAGGAGCATGTTGGGAGCCACAGGACATTGGTATCAGCAGTTTGGAAGCAATGTGTAGCAATTGCGAGCGCTGGCTCAGGGTTGCAAGCACCGACCAATCCAACACTTCCAACGTCGGCCCTATCGACTGCCACAAGTTCAACCAGCTCGTAAAGCTTCACAAGCAAACGTGCGATCGCCGGTACTGTCCTCTGCTGCCCGCCTTGTCATCGTCCGGCCGGCTAATAAGGATACAGATANNCCGCGCAAGCGCAGCAAGCAACTCTTCTTCGATCACTCCAACCACATCTCTACCGACTGCAGACGATCTGGCTCTGCGCAGACCCAGCACAGACAGCGAGATATCTATCGCTTCTACCGCAGCCAGTGGAATGTCGACGGGAGGACGTCCACCAATCTTTACCATCAACTCTTTTCCATCAGCCAACCGCACTTCCATAAGTATTGAAGGGTGCAGTCAGGAAACCGTTCGTCAAGACGATTTCAAAAGGCTTGATCATTCTACTTCTCCTGATCAACACGGCTCTCAATGAACCACCACAATGATACCCATAACTCAATTGGTTTAATGAATATGAAAACTGTGCATTATCAAAGGAAAAGAACAAATTGGACAATACGCAATGAATCAAATGCATACTCAAAAGAGCACTATTGTACTACTCCCAGTCAGGAGCACTCCTTTTATGACCCTATCAAAATGCAAGAATGTTTCTGAGAACAACGATCTTCCACTGAGAGCCCCTTAATTCTTGTCCGGCAATAGGGCTCTCTTTGGACCTCTCTAGAATTACGAAACTTTTATGCATTTTTATGGCTATAAAATCGGTTAGCATTGAGATTGGGAGTAAGTAAGAAAGGAACTTCGTACCCCTTGATTTTGGCATTGACTTTCCTTTATGGGCCTTCAACGGACAACTGCAGAATCGCATAAACTATTGTGCATTTCTATGGCTTCAAACTCGGTCAGCATTGGTCACGGGAGTCAATCAATCAACAGGGCTATATACCTCTTCTTGCATTCTCCACTCTCTTCTGTGCATCTTGCTCGATGGGGCAGGAGCCTCGTTCTCGACGCGATCGTGCTTTCTCTCTACACATCCCGCGTTAGTCTATATTTTGGATCCTGAATCTATTGACTTACTTCTCGACAACGCGATTGCGGCTTGCGCTGTGTCNNGGGATGGTACAAATGATGGGAGGTTGGGCGAGGCAAAACGGGGGCGGTAGGGCGANNCCGCCATATTGGGCGACGTCGAGAACCGGGTACCGTCCAGTACGCGAGGCAGGCGAATTTTCCAAAGAGGACCGGGTCGATGTCGTGACCATTGAAGATACATTGCTGCTGACACTGCTGTTGTTCTCGAAACTGCTGTTGCTGCTGCTGTGACTGCTCATTTCGTTGCTGCCAACGNTCGCTTGCCGGGTCCATGCCGACGCGAACCTTCGGTCCCTTNGCCTTTCTTGATCTTCTTTCCAGTCTTCGAGCCTTTCTCCCATGGCTTGAGAGAATCACTCTTGCTTGACTTGATGACCTTCATCTGGTCGATTGTGTTCTGTCTGGGTGCTGGACGAGAGCTGATGGGTGGGAATGACTCGCCATATGGCGCATAACAAGGTGCGAACGAAGGGTCATCGACTGGGGCTGGCAGAGTCCACAAGCCGAAAGGTGAGACTTCGCTCTGGTAGGTGAGTCTTTTGACTCGCACGTTGAAGATGTTCTGGTGGTCATTCATGCTTGCTGATGGAGTGTTGTGTCGATTGTTCCGAATGTGAGAGGTTTGACGCAGATACAACCGAAGGTCAACGAGTCGGTCACTGAAAGCGATTGAGAGGTCGACGCAGCGACGAGAAGAGGGTCGACAAAGGTTGTCTCTAGGGAAGATGAGCTATGTCTTCATGTTCTCGTCGAACGAGACATACAGGACTCTGATACATACATATAGAAGAGATGATTTACTTAGAAGTATGAGGCTCGACCACCGAGTGCGAGTGAGAGGTCGAACAGACGACGAGAGGGTGGCCGATACGGGGCCGACAACCGGGCACAAGTAGAAGGTCGACGTAGAGACGAGTGAAGGGCTCAAGCGGAGTAACCTCTGACCATGAGATATGTCTTCGAGGTTTCGTCGAGTGGTCGAGTGAGACATGCAGGTCTCCGAGACCGCCGAGACAACACGACGTAGATACAACAAACGACTATACATGTCGTTCGTCGAGAGCTTGAGACGTTCCCTTCCTCTCTAGAAACCTTCGAGAAGTGCTCGTTGGAGCTATGGTCCCCTCAGGTAAGTATTTCGTTTACCCGTTCATGGCTTCCCAGCCTTCGAGGCCTCGTTCCCATCGATCGTCCTCCCACATGTCCATCTGGCCTGCAGAGTTGAGTCTATACACCATCTTCGGCCCTTGTTGGCTCCATTGCACATCTTCGCCGTCCACAAAGCGTGCAAAGACTGCATTCAGGTCTTTAAGGGTCTTCTTTTCATCCGCAGTCAACCCTTGTCCCAGACCGCCTCCCCAGAACCAGATTGCACGATCGGTACTGTGAGTGACTTGCCACTCTGGAGGCGCAATATAGTCAGCACACTTCGCACGCCATTCGATACGATAGCGAAGAAGGTCTTTGCCAATCGTAAATCCTCCTTNTGCGAGATGACTTGCGAAGCCACGCTCGAGATCGTGCACTTGCACATCGGCATACAGACGACCGAACAAGTCAGGCCAGTCCTCGGCGAATGCTGGAAGCCTCTTTCCTGGTGCACAAAGTTCCATAAGCTNTTTGACCTTGGACTCTGGATAATCTGCGACCAGACGATCATAGACAGCATCGTAACTCCAGTCAGGGGTACGCCAGGCCTTTTGCTCTGTTAGCTTCTAGAGAAAGTCAGAGGTGGTGAGACTTACTCCATATAGGTAGTGCTCATCGCGCACTTCTCCGTTCATTATCTTAATTCCTCTATCTTTCAACTGCCTCGCGAAAGACCCATCGTTTATGCTGTCGATCAAGTTGTCACTGATGAAGGAGCCATCTAGCACTGGTCTGAATTCGTGAAGCTTCATGCTGCTCTGAACAGCAACCAACTGACGAGCTGGAACCTTGCGCAATCGTGACAGTTTCTCTGCTGGGCTCAGCGAGAGGGGTATGTCGAGCCAATTGAGGAGCTCATCAAATTGTTTCTGACGGCTTTCAGTTGAGCGGGGCTTGAGACCTGGTCCATTCGAGAACATGCAGANCTGCCAACTTGTCAGCATGATATCTGCACAATCAAGACGATCTTGGTTACCTCTTTTGATGATAGAAGATCTTTGCGGGAGATGCAAATCATAAGCAAGCTGTTGAAAAGTCGAGTATGAGCCAGCTGAATAGCCCGCGACGGTGATATTGTCCTTGTTGCCGCCAAAAGCGAGGATGCGATCGTGAGTCCACTCCAAGGCAGTACGCTGGTCCCAGAATCCAAAGTTCGAATACGCTTCACCGTTTGCTCTTGCCTCATATTCTAGCTCTTTCCCTGCGAGAAAGCCGAAGGCATTCACTCTGTAACCCGGCATGACTACAATGGCTTTGAACGCTGTCTCACTCAGTAGCTCAGCTAATGCCTCTGGAGCCATGTTTGGATNCCTGCAGTTATGAATGATTAATCAGTCGCTCACATCGAGGTAGAGACCACCGAGAAATCTTACACCAAATTGTAGCCATCCGCCGAATATGTAGAAGAACACTGGCCAGCCTTCTGCTGGTCTGTCTCCAGAAGGTATCCATATGTTGAGTTGATGGCAGTCTTCGTTCCAAATGGTAGGGTTAGGTAAACCAATGAAACCGGGTTGAGGGCATACCCCGACCTGACCAGCAAACTTGGCAGGCTTATCCTTAGTGCCGTAGCGGTGCGAGAGAGGCAGAGGTCGAGGTGCTCGGAATCTTTCGACAGGATGAGCATATGGGATACCTCCAAAATAGTGGCATAGAACGCGTGAAGTTGACTTGTTCGTCACATCTAGTCCTTCGATACAGCCTAATTCACCTAGGTCCAAATGGTACGGAGAAGTGCTGAATCTATTCATGTTGTGAGAATGTTGATGAGACAATGCTCAGTCGCAATCGTATGGTGGAGTTCGTCTGAGTGATGTGTCGGTAGTGATTTGTCACGAAGAGTACGGGAGTGCAGTTAATATAAGTCTTCTTCGGCCAACACTGTATGGGGTCTTGCCCGGTAGGCCGTTGAGGGAGCTGGGAAGAAGGGCAACTCGAACCGACCAGCGACGTCTCTCTTCAAATCCTACCATTGCGCTCTTCAAATATTACAACCTAGCCTGCCAAATGGCAATAGGCCGTGAAAGCTAATGGAGTATAGCGGTGCGATCTACAGCTCCTATGCAACATTCAAGCCCATCACTCTCGCTGAGCTACGCTCGACGACACGCCCGTGGAAATGACAGGTTTACTTCATTCATCGATCCTCCTAAATCTTCACCGTAACAAGGTCCATGACTACCTCCAATCAGCGAGATGCTATTCATCTCTAAAACTCACGTGAACGTGCAGGCAGTGAGCTCTTCGCAGGACGTGGTTTCCGAATTCAGTCGCAATCAGAGATCTGTTTCGAAGCCTCATGATATGTGATAAATCACACAGCGACGCTGAAACAGAGCTAGTCCATGTGAACGATATTCAGATCACGCTGCCTAGGGTTGCTGTCTGTCGAAATCTAGCATGTGCCTTCAGCATATGGTTGGTGATCGGAGCAAGCTTGTAAGCGGTTTCGCTGGCATGCCTGCCAACATGATTAGATCAGGATCATTCGGTTCTGAGCTGGCTGACAGCAACAGCACATGCGTTGGAAGACCGCATGACAGGTCCAGAATCCAGACTACAAAACACCGTCTCCCATCCTCGGTCGCTCTTCTTGTTACATACCACATCTAATCAAGACAATTCTATGAACCTGTCTTCCATTCAGCCTTGTGAGTACAATACACTCTTGTAACAATATCCGACACTACTTCGACACACCAGCGCAAGACAAAGATGCCTTTGTCTCCAGCCGCGCAGGATCTGCAGTTCGTCAAACTGCTCGCTCCATCAACCTTCAGACATTTGTTGCCACAGAGTCCGACCGATTCTGAGCTTCCAAAGGGTAAGAGAGTCAACTCTTCTCGGATTGTGGACAGTGGGCACGAGGGGAGCGACGATCCCAGTCAAGATTCTGCTCAAGACGCATCCAGCCCTCTCGCTGCTGAGATCAGAGCTGCACAAGGTCACGAGGGAGTCAATGTTGCCAGCTCCTCTTCGCCATTCTCGGTGGGAGTTGACTCTTTGGACCACCAATACATGAGTGACAGCGACCTCATCGAGGAGACTTTCCGTCAAGCTCAAGGATATTCCAAGCTACCAGCTGCCACNAAAAGAGCCTGGGAAACTGAGCGAGCAAACACTCTCTTTCAAGAAGGCAAATCAAAGCACTTTGAATGTTCAGAGCATCTTCTGAGCGGCAAATCATGTTCGACTCTCCAGGAGTACCTCCCATCAAGAACAGCAGCGCGTCCGGTTATCTCTTGTTTCTTTGGCCACAACAAGCGTGAGTGGAACCAAATTATCAAGAGCGTCCGAGTCTTTCTATGCAGAAAATGCTACCAGCGCCACGAACACAAGCTTCACCCGCGCTTGGCTTCGATACAGCTACCTCTTTGCAGAGAGTTGGCCGACAGACTCGAAAGATGGCGTCCTGGCTGTCTTTTCAAAGTCAAGCTGACCAAAGCTATGGAAGAGAAGGTGGCGAGGTTTGAGAAGAAAATGAAGACCGAAGGATCAATCAGACAAGATGCGGCAGCAGAGATTGATGCAGAAGACTTGGAAGACCAGACCTCGGATGTTATGAGGGCCACGAACACGCCTGTGCTCTTCGCCATCGAACTCGAAAACCGCTTTGGTGGTAACAACAAGACGGCAGAAGAAGTTCGCGCTCTTTTCGATTGGCTGCAAACCAAATTGATGGGTGGCACCATTGAGAATCTCCCGGCCTTCGAGGCTTTACTTCATGTTCGCACACAGGACATAGAGCAAATGCAGGTCCAACAGAAACGCCGACCCGCACTCAAGAAAGCCTTACTCATGAAGATGCCAGCTGAACTTGCTTCTGCTTCACGTCGAACCACGGAGCCAGAGGGTACACCCACATATGTGCCTTCCAAACGCACCTCATCAGAAACACTGAATACTGCTGATGGACCCGATGATGCTCGTCCCAAGATTGTCCTCAAGTTGGGCAAAGGCAAGAAGCGAAAGCATAATAACAAAATCGAAGAAGAAGCTGCTTCTGCCAAGAAGGCAAAACTCACAGAGTCAGGCGATGGAATCAAGGATGCTGAACCGCACTTGCCTGTTGAAGTTGTCGCAGATGAGCATACAATCGAGGTCGACAGAAACGATCCAGCCTCGGCACCTGAGGCACAAGAAGTGGAAGCCACAGACGGCAGCACGCACTTGACATCCTTGACTTTCAGCGACATCAAGTCCGTCGCCACTGCACCATCCTCTTGATCAGTGCATTGAGACTGTATCTTGCCTCTGTTTCTCGAATTGATGTCACGCCCTTGATGGAGATGTTGACAGAGAATGATCTGACCGATTGCTATGGCCGCTGTGTTCTCTCGAGATTTTCGACATGTCTGAACGAAGACAGTCTTGTTATTTTGTTCACTTGCCTTTCTACTGTCTTGTTCTAGGGATATTATGTTATATAGGTCATGAATGCTGATGGCTGGTTTACGAATTATGACATCTTGTTATCAAGTCTTCCACTTCTTGCGTCCTATTGCAAACATCAATATCATACTACTTATTGGACGTCCTGCTAAAGATTCATAGTGAAGACGAGTATCCATGAACGCGAGCTTTCTTCTCCGCTTTCGCATTATGTGAGGCTGTTGGCTGACCTTGCCGTCATCTCTGCTTCCCTCAACCTATGATCTTACTTTGGCTGTGGGATCCATCGTGTCTCTGGCATTCATGCCACTCGTCATCCTAGTACAGTCAAGCTCTGGCTGTAGTGGACATTGTTCACGTTGCCAGCGAGCATGGTTACCTACTTCGATGCCCAGTGCAACTTTTACGTGTCCGAGCTTGGGAGATCAGCTGTGCTCTTCGTGTATGTTCCAACATCCTCTTTCTCCAGCCATGACTATAGTATGCATATACTCGACTGCAGCTTGTGCCTCCTTCTTGGTCGAGCCCATTGGCATCTTCTGCTTCATCGGTGAACCCATGGAAGCATTGTTTCCAGGCAATCAACTGGCCCATGCACAAATCGGGCTGGCGATGTTGTCAGCTTTTCTGCTGCACCGGTCTCCCCTAGAGTTCTCTTCAGACATGATCTTGCTTGGTGCTCGGTGCATTGCGGGAAGCAGAAGGGATGTACGATTCGGAGATAGATGATGAAGGCGTGTTGTTGAGGTCGAGCTTTTGTCGAATGCACAGATGGAGGCACGGTTGCCAGACTGTATAGCGAGGAGGAATACCGTGAGACAAGCAGTGATAGTCCCTTCTTCAGCTGATCGTATACTCGATGGTCTTGGTTGGCAGGATCCTTGCTGTAGCTATCTAGTACATTGCGGGACAACGTCAACACCAAGCATCCATACCGTCGACAAAGATAGGCTCATCCACATCGTTGGTCCGTAGCGTGACAATTGTCGGTCGGTCGAGCATGTACCTAAGAGTTTCGCAGATCTGATGCCGTCGTCTTTGTTAGTCGCCATCTCGGCTGGATAGTTTGCGACGGGTAGAGTAGTGTTGCAGCCAGCCTCTCAGGGTGCTAAGAAGCTCTGAGTATATGATCTCCCACCATTAGTTGCATCCTGATTGAAGCTCTTGTTTGAACCTTTTGTGTGGGACGAGATGACCGTTCTTGTCCGGTAGGATTTTGAGAGGGTAACGAGGACTCCAACGAACCAGCCTTGGATGTCTCAGTAGTCATGTTAGCCTATTGATGACCAATCGACTAGATGTGATGTACAGCAAGACATGCTGTTTGTTGTCGGAAACTCTACACAGTGGCGCATCATAGTGATTACTTCAACAGAGGAAGAAGGCGCGACTCGTTCTTCTATGTTTTTCACTTGCCGTACTAGGTCAAAGGTGTCCAAAATGTGACGAAGTCTCCCAATTCGAGGACATGGTCCTTCGAAAACTCAATACTAGCAACGGCTGTTCATCGGCATCCCCGGCACATTAAAGTTGTTCGTGAGGGTCTGCGTGACTCGACAGGAAGGGCACAAAGACATATCTTCTCGTGTCGAAAGACAGAGAGCGGGACGAGCCATGGACATAAACCGCGGCACCCGTACCTCGTAACTATAAACTTCACGTCAAGCCCAATTTGGATTAAACGTTCCGACGTACGTTCGAGGACCACGGTGAGATAGGGCACGGATAAGGACAAGAAAGCATGTCACTAGAATCCTACAATGCCCAGAAACCGGCTCTGGTGCAGGAAAGCGGCATATCCTCCAATTGTGCCCCTCTTTGGGTCGGGTATGCAGGAGAATACTCTCACCGCTTATAGATCTACCCCTCTCTCTTCGGGACGTTGCTTTTCGAAGGATCGCACGATATGCGACTGTTGGTGGGCACACGCAAAGAAAGGGTTCGTTGACATTGTGCCCTGGGGCTTCAGCTGGCAGTGAGCAAGCCACAATCTCTTATAGGCAAATCTGTTCTAGAAAGTCACTAATACTTCTACTCCCCTGAAACCACGTTGAAGCTTCTAACGTCGCATATTGACTTTCGTGTCGCGATAGCGAACTTGTCTCGTTTTCCTCGTCGGCTCCAAGGGCTTGTTTCTACGAGTACTTTGGTCCCATGTCGAAAGAGAAGATGGGGGACGTTTGGAATGGGTCATGAGATTAAGCAATCAGGGAAAATGATGTTTGACTGTCTAGCTATAGAATTGAATGGAAATCGCTGCTGTAGAATAATAACGAAGTGGTATCGAACATGAAGAAGTAGGCAGCGGAAATAAATCTATGAATGCACCAAGTTGCGCCAGGAACTCCATCCGCTCGCTGTCACAAAAGAAATCCAGATAGTACATGATCATGGTAATCAAACGGCAGTTGTGAGAAGAAACGGATTACCTTGCTCATCCAACCATGAGCCCTTCTCTTCCTCTGTGGCTTCAAGGATGCCCTCAGCTCTTCGCAGAGTTTGGACATCTAGGCTGGTGACCCAGTGCTTGCCAGACAGAGGCTCGCGCACTTGGTTGTCGATGCCGAGCATCAAGTCGTCCTTCCAGAGTCTTCGTGGTCCATCAAACACACATAGAACTCGTTTCTTCATCTTCATTTTCTCTGGAGGTGCATTCCAGGAAGGAGGGTAGTCCTTGCGACGTTTGTTGTTCTTTATACCAGAGTGGATGGAGACTCCGCCTTTAGAATAGGTCATCCCCTGACGAGTCGCATCCCTATTGTTGCTGTTGGCAAAGACAGGAGAGCCTGTTTCGTCTTTGATGGAATTTCCCTCGTCATCATCATCCTCCTCGTCGTCGTCAAAGACGGGTAGTCCGGTGAGATTCGAAGCATTGCTCAAAGAGTGTCTCTCCAGAGTATCTCTGACTGCTTTGTCGTCGATCATCGAGCTGAGAATTCTCTCGTTGATGGCTTCGCAAGGATCACCTTGCTGAATGACCCTGAGGACACAGTCGTCGAGATGCTCATAGAAATCTTGGACGTTGGCAAATGCTACACCACAAGTTGAGCACATGCCAGTGATTCCGATCTTGTTGTGGACATTCTTGGAACTTGAGCTTCCTCCACTTCTTCTGCGAGCATTGGGTGCAGTCTGTTCGACGCCGTGTACCGAGGTCAGATGCCTCTTGAAGACGTCGGCACGATTGAAACTCTTTTCTGAGGAACTGCCGCTTCCCGGGCAGAAGCCACAGACCATGGTTCCCTTGTAGTGGGTCAGAGTGTGCCTGTTCTTGTCATACTTTCGGGCAAAGCCCTTGACGTGATATTCACATGAAGTGATTGGACATTTCTCAGGCCTCTCATTCTTGTGGGTGAGCAGATGTGCTTTGAGATCCTTGATGTGTCTGCCACAGGACGCGATTGGGCAAACACCCTTGTTCTCTTCAGAGTCCAAAGAGGATTGGCTGTGTCGGGAGTGATGTGAGTGAGCTGAAGATATGGACTGGCGTCTGGATGATGATGTGGGGTAGGGGTTCCATGACTGTGAGGGGATGTAAGGAGATGTCGGTCTGTTGGAACGCATTGAGCTGGTTCTCAGAACACCTGAACTCTTGTTCGAGTGGACTGACGATGGGGTGGGAGACGGGGGATGAGGGAACAGACGCTTAGAGTCAGAATGCATCTGCGTTGTTGCTGGTGGCGTTGGCGAAAGAGGTTGGATCAAAGTAGGGTCTGTGAAGTTGAGGTCAGGATATTGACGGTGACGCGATGAGAGTATGCAAGGCTTACCAACGCATCCTGCCTTCTCGGGTAGTGAGAGGGCAGCATAGTTGAATGTGTCGTTGACGAGTATTTGATGATCGTATTGACCTTGATGAAAGACGCCAGACCCGACTCCATGTACTGGGGTCCAGCTTGAGGAAGACTCGAGACCCATGAGGGGCGAACCTCTAGACGAGGAAAGCATCGAAGCAGCCGACTCGGATTTGACCGAACGAATGGGTTGAAGATCGAAGTAGTTAGCAGAGGTGTTTGTGGGGGAATAAAGAGGTGTCGAAAGCTGGACACTGTGCTTGGCGTATTTTGAAGAGCTTTGGGATTCCAGAATGTAGTTGGAAGGTGCTTCAGTAATCGTACTCTGCTCGATGTTGTATGAGTTGAAGCTGCTGTCAGGTTGCTGCAACGGGTACTGGACGGCTTGGTAGGTTGATGCATGCGTTGGGAGCCCAGAGAAAGTGTACAGAGAATACTGCTCTTCTTGTGTAGTTGCCATGTTGATAGGGAAAGGACTGAAAGCAAGCATGTCGTTGGGTGCTTGTACAGAGAATTGTGTGTACCGACAACTCGGTGTCAGAGGCGAAGTACCACAAGAGAACAAGAGGATCCTGGAGAAGGGGTAAGCATTGGTTAAGTGTGTGCTTTAATCATCCTTTGGGACTCACTGCGCGAGAAGAAAAAGAAATGGAATCGAATTCCCCAATCAAGCAACCGCTTTGACTGGTTTGCTCGCGATGATAGGACGCAGATATGCGAGGTTTGGACGAATGCAGCGATTGTCCGGAAGATCCTCAAGAGACAGATGGGTACCTTACCGATTGAGGAAAGGCGGGACGCGGTGGGTAGGAGCGGTTGTCTGAAGCTCAAGCTCGTCCCTGTTCGAGGCCAGTCTTGACTGTACAGACACAGCTGAGCTCGTATACTGGAGAGGAATGTCAAAAAGACTGGACTGTGGTCTTCTCGCTTCGAGGGCGAACATGAGTCTTTATCTAGTTCGCATGGGGCTCATCAGATGGCATGTGGAAGTCTTTGCGCCTCTGGAAACGGAACCGCAGCACACGAACCACATGCTGTTTTTGACTCAGTTGGTGGACCCTGGTCATGGTCCATGGCAAAGGAATGGGCGCTGTCGCTTCTGCCCTACGGTTTGAAGAGGCTTACAACCTACACTATGGCGTCGCTGAGAAAAGTCTATTGGATCGTGTACTTTATGGCTGCAGATCACTGAGATCAGTCCGTCTGGCAGCGAACAGAGTGACGATAGACAAGCGTCAGATGTGCTGTTTTGGGTTCGATTGCTCCCGCTCATTGATTGTTCGGCTCCAGCCCAACCAAAGTACCGGGAGATGAAGTCGATGTCAGCAGTCGAGATGGCACGACGGCAGCACACGAAAGGATGCATGACAAGAATGCTTTCACTCGACATGCAACAGTAATTTCCCTCTGGTGCAAGCTTGTCGCGCCAGCAGTCTGCATGGTCTCCCCGACCGTTTGGTGTCGGATATGTCCTAGTGCCGTGGCATCAATTGGCAGGNGGAGTCACCGAAACGAGCTATACCACATTGGAGGGGGCTCCTGCGAGGAGCACACACTGCACACCAAACGANTACCGAATGGCGCAACGACTAAAAATTGGCGTGCCGGAGCGCGCGAGGGCGAGGCACGTTGTTCGGGGAAGAACTCCCAAGAAAAGAACCGTGCGCGGGAGCTGATCTGGCCCTTTTGGGAAAATGATGGCCAAGTAGAAGCAACCCGTTCTTGGACAGGCCATGTGAATCTCGTTGCTAGAGACTTCGACCCCAGAATTGATTTAGGTTCAGCAATCGCACGCGAGATGGAAGTTGAAGTGGCTTTTCAGAATGCCTTGAGCCCGGTGCCAATGACTAGCTATGAGAAAGCTAGTTGACTTGTCAGAGCACGGTTGGCATGCCCGGCAGAGATAGCATCCATGAGAGAATCTTCAAGGGCGCATGGACTTTCGCAGACTCGCTTGCATCTTACACTCGTCTCATATTGGGCAAAGCAGCTATTTTGTTTTGTAATGGCTCGGCCAGACCATGGACGCGAATGCGACGAAAGGACCCGATGGAGTCTGCGACGTCTTCGTGATCGCTTCCAATACAGTCCCAGAAATGCAGGCGTATGGCTTGCTTTGGCGGGTTGCATAGGGCTCATGCATGTGGGGTAGCAAGTGCATCCTCTCCACGGTCCTGTTATAAGGTTGGCTTTGCAATAATATCAGCGGAAGGATTCAGACTCAAGAGATAGTCCGGCCAAGTACTTGGAAGGAAGTATTCTTTGGTCTTGAAGAGCCCGAATCAGGATTGCACGAAATGACGCTGCGCCAGTTCGGCCAATGCTCTTGTACAAGAAACTTGGCAAAAATAGAACCGGGAGTCGGGGGAGTATTGATGTTCCTGCATCCAGAGGGGGTGGGTGCAGCGTGTCGCAACGGAGGTCAAGATAACCCCCTTGGGAGCACATGTTCAAGACTGCGGTAGCGGCTCAATCAGCTCAGGGATTGCAACTTTGACAGACACCAGCGACACCGCTTGTGGTTCGCACACGTGGTTGGGAAACGGGATGTGCCTGAATTCAGGCTGGCATGACAGGCTGCATTGGGAGCTCGGAGGATTTGTCAATAGTTGATACACAGTACAAGAGTAACGGAACATGCAATATAGGTACATGTACATCTAGAAGCCAATTCAGGCCAAGCTTGGAACGATATGCTCGGTTTGAGCCAGGTTGAGAGTGGATCACAGTTCTTTGGGCTCTGATCGCCTGGCTTGACGAACGCATCAAGTCTGGCCGATCGTGGCTTGTCCTGTGTCCAATCACGGCAGGAACTTTGGCCGAGATCTCCTCTGTAATCTGCAGAAGGCTCTTCGGATTGTGGTGGAGGACATCCAGATGCGATAAGTAGGTAATGTGTGAAGCAGCGCAATGAACATTGCGACGCTTCGATACAGGATGATTCTCCGATAGGTCTGGTTCGAGGTTATCACCTGAAGTCACTGCGCTTGCTGCGCTTCTTTTGTCTAGTCAGAATCGAGCCGCGGCAAGCGCCTTTGCATCATCCAACCAGTAATTTCTACAAGGCCTTGTCAATGATAGGGAGAATCAGTGCTAGCTATAAGCGACCAAGCCATAACCTGGGCTGTGTCTTCTGTCATGAGCAGGAGGAAACAAGTGTGTTCAGCAGAGTACCTACCCAGAAGACTTTGCCAGCACAGTGAATGATAAGAAGATAAACACCAAAATTGTATGTTAGTAGGTATCTATAGATCAAGGGATGATCATGGTGCAGCTTTCACATAGACCCCGCAAAAGCCGGCGCGACGACGACGCACGCCGTACGCGAAGCGCGATGCTCTTGCACCAAATCTGTCCGTATCAACATCGAAGTGCTCATCTCAGTACTATCCTCTTCCATCCGTGTACATCGTCGCACCTTTTTCATTCCCTTGACTCGCGAGAAGCTCACTTCGACTTGCGCCACAACACGCCGCGCCGTCCTCTCGAAGCTCGCTTCGCCGCTTCTTCTTCTTGTTCTCGCACCTTCTTGACGAGACTCAGAACACCGCTTCTACCGCTACACAACAAATCTATTTGTCCATCATGTGAGTAAGGAGACTGATGTTCGACCACTGTCCGCTGTGTGGCATTTCGATGTCGCAATGCAGAGGCTGACGCATGCGCTATAGGGAGACCTTTGACAACATCTACCTCGATCTCTCCAAGCAGACTGGCAAGTGTCGCTTTGCCGAGTCTGGTCTAGGATGGAAGCCATCAGGCCCTGGCGACACCTTCACCCTCGACAAGGCCGAGATTATCTCATCACAGTGGAGCAGAGCCGCGAGGGGTTTCGAGGTCAAGATCTATTCAAGAAACTCCGGTGTCATTCAGTTGGATGGCTTTATGCTCGATGTATGCCGTCTTTGGATCTCTGCCTTCCTCGCATTTTCGTAATGCTGACTTTCCACANNGGACTACGACCGTCTGTCCAGATGCTTCAAGCTGTGGTACAGCATCAACCTTGAACAGAAAGAGCATGCCCTGCGTGGTTGGAACTGGGGAAAGGCCGACTTTGGCAAGGCCGAACTTGCCTTCAACGTGCGCAATCAACCCGCTTTCGAGATCCCCTACACCGAAATCTCAAACACCAACCTCGCCGGCAAAAACGAGGTCGCAGTCGAATTCTCACTTCCCGGCGATGGCGACGAGACGGGCACTAATGGCGCACTTGGGGGTGCCAGAGGCAGAGGCAANAAGGCTGGCGGCTCTGTCGATCAGATGGTCGAGATGCGCTTCTACATCCCAGGAACAGCCACACGCAAGGAAAAGAAGGAAGAGGGCGATGAAGATGGCAGTGAAGCTGATGGCGAGGACGATCAGCAGAACGCCGCCAACCTCTTCTACGAAATGCTCATGGACAAAGCAGAAATCGGCGAAGTTGCTGGCGCTACCTTCGCTACCTTCCTCGATATTCTGCATCTCACCCCTCGTGGACGTTTCGACATCGATCTTTACGAGAGCTCGCTCCGACTCCGTGGCAAGACTTACGACTACAAGATCCAGTACGACTCCATCAAGAAATTCTTCCTTCTACCGAAACCCGACGATGTTCACCAGCTCATCTGTATCGGCCTCGATCCTCCGCTACGCCAGGGTCAGACCCGCTACCCATTCTTGGTCATGCAGTTCAAGCGCGAGGAGGACATCGTCCTTGACTTGAACATGACCGAAGAAGATCTTGAGAACAAGTACAAGAACAAACTTCAACCCCGATACGAGGCACCCATCGCCACTGTCATCTCAAAAATCTTCCTGGGCCTGACGGGCAAGAAGATTCTGCAACCCAGTCGCGATTACAACTCACACCACCAGCAATCGGGTGTCAAGTGCTCGGTCAAGGCCAACGAGGGTCACCTCTTCTGTCTGGAACGCGCTTTCCTCTTCGTGCCTAAGCCTGCTACTTACATCGCTTTTGACAACGTCTCCGCCATTACCATGTCCAGAGTGGGTGGCGCTGTGAGCGCTTCCCGTACCTTTGACATCACCGTATCCCTCAAGGGTGGCGGCGAGCACCAATTCTCCAACATCAATCGTGAAGAGCAGAAGTCATTGGAGAACTTCTTCCAACTGAAGGGCATCAAGACCAAGAATGAGATGGAGGAGGAAGGTGCTCTGATGGCAGCCGTGTTGCAAGATGGTGACCTCGACTCTTCTGATGACGAAGTCGTTGCAGCTCGTGGTTCAGCCGATGAAGACGACGAATCTGTCGATGAAGACTTCCACACCGAGTCCGAGTCCGATGTTGCTGAAGAGTACGACAGTGCCCATGATAGCAGTGGCGATAGCGACGAGGAGATGGCTGACGCTGGAGGAAGTGATGCGGAGAGCAAAATGGAGCCTCCCAAGAAAAAGGCGAAGACAGCAAAGTGATTGTTGCATTCTCGCACGACACTCTTTCTGATCATCTCTTTCCTGAAGCTCGGCATGGCGTAGGCGTTTTGGAGACGAGGGCGTGTGAGGCATCCACGGGAGGCGACAGAAGTCGCTATTACATAACGAAAGCAAAAGTACCTTTTGGTACAAGTGTGTCAGAACAAATGAATCTCAAACGAAATCTGTCCACATGTGTGCGAAAATGAATGTGAGGTGGTGAATATCGATCGTGGTGGGCGACAATTATTGACGTTTTCTGCACACAGAACGTGGTATACGCCATACAATACACCGATTAGTACAACACTCAACCAGATATATCCAACATGCCCCATGCATTCGTGAGAAGCTTCAAACGCTTGCATTTACCTGATTATACCAGCTCTAACAACACTGGGAAGTCAAGATAGCTCGTGGAATCGCGCTGACAGGACGACCCTGGCCTCTCCAGATTCAGCCCCATCCATCCCACTTACTCACTCGCCCAACCTTCTACCCCCGAACGTGTGCATCGATCACAAGAACAATGACTGACAAAGTCAGTAGCACACGATGCGGTCAAGAACTGGTTGGTGAGTGGATTGATACTCTCACAGACACGGAGATGCACACGCGGCTAATGTGGTCCTGCTAGTTTGACATGTCGCAATCGCAAGGTACGCTCCCCTTGCTTGGGACGACTTGGAATATCGTTGACAATTTCATAGCTTAAATGCGATGAGCAGAAGCCAAGTGAGTGTTGCATATTGAAAGTCTTCTTGATTGAGCACATCTGCACACCTATTTGCCCACATCCTCCCAGCCCTACACCGCCATTAACATAGAAGGCTCTGCAAAACATCGATGTTCGAGTCCGAGAAGTCAATTTCGACTGACAAAAGCTCATTATAGTTTGTGGACAATGCACAAAGGCTAGCCGCCAATGTGTGCCTAGTCCAGGTGTTGTCTTTAGACATCAACAGAATGCATCAATGAACGGATCAGGCACGAATGATGTTAACGGCGGTCTCAAGAGTTTCTATGGATACAAGGAAACATTCGGAAAAGACAGTGTCTGGGTGGCTATTCCACGGAATCGTGAGTGATCTGAGACATGGAACTTGGGATCAACTGACATCAAGTANGTCACATTTGTGCATACCACTGATCCATACAACGAACCGGACACAACACTGTATCATACTATTTCCGGGACTTCAGAACCAGAATCGCGGATGGACCACACTTGGAGCACCACAGCCGAATATTCTTATCCATTCGTGTCGAGCTCGACACATGGGCTAGAAGCATTGTCTGCGGCAGCATCAGGCGATCATTACTTACAAAGCACTACTCGACAGACAGATACATCTGATTCTTTCTCACCACCTATAGATCCGAGGCTTGATACCGAGCTTTCGGAAACCTGCATAAACTTGTTCGAGTCCCAACCAGACACCGTTCGGAGCGACTTCGACCCAAAAAGCGACGAAGATGTACCATTCCTACTACGTCACTTCTCGGAAGGACCAGGTGAATGGATGGATCTCTTTGATCTAGGATCGTTCTTTGCAGTTGACGTACCCTTGAAGGCAGCTTCTAGTCCTTTACTGTTGTTCGCATCCATTGCATTGTCGGCCAAGGCTCTAGGAAGAACCAGAATCACATCACAGCATCCTAAAGTCTCAGGCTCCAAACGTACTCCAGCAGAATGGTCCCACAAGGCTCGATACTATTACGACCAAGCAATCACACTGCTCAGACAAGCATTGGAGAATGAGACTAGACAGACATCTGCTAGCCAACAATCACCAAACCCAGCCATAGTTTCGACAGACGCCATAACGGAACTGAGCGCTAGTCATCACTCGGAGTCCTTACCAGTCCTGCCTAGGACGGACTCTGACGAGTTGATCGCCACAACAGCCATATTGTGTGTATTCGAGTTTCTCGATGCATCAGGCACAGAGTGGTCGAGGCATTTGGATGGTGCTAAAAGTCTATTCGATATTGCCAAAGACGGTACAATGCCCTTGTCAAGCGCTGCCTCGGGCGATAGACCAATGCTTGGTCTAAGGCCACTCACTTCCACAAAAGGGCGTCGAGCTGTATTCTGGAACATTTGTCGACAAGAGATGTTGAATGCCTGTGGGTTGACTCCATCACTGATCGAACTTCAACATGCTAATCAATACCTAGTCATAAACAACACCAACACTAGATTAGATACAAACGACCTCTCAATGTGGCGATATGCTGGGCTGCATATTTCACAATCAGGATACATCCTGCCATCAAACGACCATGCAGTACATGAGCCGATGGCCGATGACATGATCTCAAACGCATTAATTTGGATCATAATGAAGCTGGTCAATTTCATCTCCGCTGGCGACGAGTTTCCACACGAGATGGGGCTAGGTGTTCGACAATTGGCTTTGTTAGAATACTGGCAGGGCTTGGAGCAGCAACTCGATGTGTGGTTCGAGGTATGATTCAAGCTGACCGAATTTAGTCGAAAAGTACTGATTTGTGTTTCATATAGNGGGCTGCCACACAGCTTCAGGCCGAGCGCTACGGAATGGCCTGACAAGAGTAACGTAAGTTTCCAAAAGATTGTACACTTTACACAATCTGATTGACTCCACAGNCAGGGCAATGTGAGGAGTGCCACCAAAATTCCATTGAAATGGTTCGCTCGGCCCATGTGTGCCTCCACAATGCAATCATTCCACTTTGCAAAGATACAACTACTTCTCAACAAACCCCATGAGTCCACAGGCACAAAACATATCAAACAATCAGGTACAAGCAGCAAAGGTAATACGTGGTCTCTAGCTCAGCGGCACGCATCCTACGCATCAATCTTGCGACAGAGCAGAAAACACGCCGAGGAGATTGTCAGCATTGGTCTTGGTCTGAAGAACGACAGCGCAAGGATCCACAGTGTTCAGCCTCTATATACGGCTGGCCAAGTATTGGGCATGCGAGAGTCTACAATCAAAACGACTGCTGCTGGTGAAGGAAACTCGCCGGACGAGGTTGATGCTATGCGTGGTTGCGTGTTGAACTTGCTGCAGAGCATCCAGCGGGAAACAGGATGGGCAACAGAGTATCGTATGCAGCAGCTGCTGGAGGAGTGGGGTCTTCCAAACGGACAGGACTAGGATAAGGATAAACACGATACAGATATTACCCGCGCAGAAAGGTGTCGTGATCAGGATGCAGTGTCACTCCAACCTCGAAGATACTGCAAAGCTCGTACACGTACTTCGTAGGATTGCAGATCCCGTGCAAGTCGCGGCAAGGGTGTGTATATATTCGGACCGTTAAACAGTGCTCTGCTAGGTATCCGAAACTCAAACGCGCCGCATGTCTCGATTCTCAAAATGATATCTCACATCCATAAGACACCTGCGGCCTAGGTATTGTTCCAGAGCATGAGGGCAGGGAGTTAAAGGATAAGGGCTGGAAAAGATGGCGGGCTCTAAGGAAGTTTGGTACTGTACGTGGTTGCGGAGAAGACCGATGTACCGAATCTGGAAAGATGACACGCAGAAATCGGCACAACAACAGCTCCTCCTCAGGCGAACACAAAGGCTCCCATGGAGATAATGAGTTTGTGCAAGCAATTGAGATTTGTATGCTTGATGCAGCAGATGGGCGCGCACGAAAAACGACGTTTCAGACAACAATCATGACTGCGACTGCTGCAGCGGTTCTCTCGACGAACGACTAAACGACTGTGGGAGGCGCAAAGCTCGGACGCTTGGCGTGCATGACGAATTCGCGAGGGGAAGTTGAACGAGCGGCAAGTTGGCACACAGAGCAGACTCGACTGTTCGTCACGTCGAGTCTCGAGTCCTGAAGCTGGAGCGTGAAAGGCATTGAGAACAAGGGAAAGCGAGGATGTTTGGCAGCAATTTGGAAGGTCGCTCGAGGAATTGAACAGATAGAATATTGGCAAATTTGGGTTTTGATAGGTCTGAGGACGCCCAAGACTTGATCTCCAGGCTGCACCGCGCACGCACACCGAGTACTCCGCCGGGCCTGCACTCCATCGTCGCTGCTGCTGCTGCTGCCCCGTAGTTACAGGTCGCCGGCTGCCGTCCGCTCTTGCTTGACACACGACCTGCACCTTCTTGTCTGCGATCCCCTCGTCGTCTGCCGACCGATCGACTCTGTCCCTGCACCCACCTGACACTGACATTGACGGCCGCATTAGAGCGATCGTCCTTTGCGACACACAGACACTTGGTGCTCGCCCGCTGCCCGCCGCTTGCACGACTGACACCGCGTCCCCCGACCAGTACACGACCACCCGGGCACACAATGCTCTGCGCGTGCCGAACTGGCCTCTGTTACTACTAGCGACTCCGGAACTTGCTTGCTTACTTGCTGAGATCACCACCCACTTGCCTACAGTCGTTTCATCGCCCTTCACGCCCCTCCCCACCCACCCCGCGAAGTCGCTTCGCACCACCGACCACGGCGGACAAGTCATGGATCAAGATCCTAACCCGCACGTCGTCCAGGACACGGATATGTCCATGTGGGATGACCCTTCCTTCTCCAACCTCTACGACAACCTAGGCACCGCCGCCGAGTCGCCCTTCGATGGCGCTCGCCTGTTCGACATGTCGGCCGCGACTGTGCAAGCCGACAGCCCCAGCTACCACATCAAGACCGACGACGGTCAACACGCGCATTCTCACCAGCAATACAACTCGCGATCGCTCGTCTCGTCGCGCTCAGCCGAGAGCTCATCGCAAGACTCGTCTTCCGAGACCAGTGGCAGAAAGCGCAAGAACACTTCGGCCACTTCCGAGTCTCCACCTGGAAACTTTGAGGCTATCAAGCTTGAACAACAGCAGCCCATGATGCATTCGCACGCCGGAAGCACTACTAACATGGCCTCACTGCACTCTCTCCATAACCTTTCATTAGAACAGGACTTTGCCAACCACTTTGGCAGCGCTGCAAGTAGTCCTGGTGGCCAGCCTATGGATTTGGTTGACCGTACATACTCCCATCACATGCATATCAAGCCTGAACCACCGGTATGTCGTCGAATATGTTCTACTTGGTGCAATGTATACTGACTGACGAGCAGNGCTGGCACCCTCGAACCGTCGAACTTCTTCTTCGGTTCGAGCACCGCATCGCCCGCTTCGGTCAAGGCATCTCAGACACAAGAAGCCTCACCCGGCGCCATGTTCAACAATCCGACACCCTCCTCCGACGGAAACGATATGTTCAACGCAAATCAGATGTGGAACAATACGACACAAAACCAGAATCCTGCGTGGAACAACGACTACGCCCATGCCTTTGCGTCGCCTGGCGCTCTTGCTATGACACCTTCACCTGTGATGAATGCTCCCAAACCAGAACTACCAAAGGCATCCACAACCCAGGGGGACCGCATTCCTCTGCACGTTGCGCCCATCCCAGCAAAGTCTCGAGTCGAGACACAAATCAATATCCGCTTGACCATGGACTACCTGCCGCCGCGCGTCAAAATGCTGCATCTGCCAACCCACACTATTGCGAAGGCCAAGCTGCTAGCCAAAGAAGTTCATCTCGCTGAAGACACACTCGAGCTACATACCATGCTCGTATGCACCAGTGCGATGAACCAACCCCACNNTCTGCGTGAGAAAGCCATGAAGCAAGCAGCCCAACAGGACAATGCTCAGATACAGGCACGAGGCCAAAATGCGGGCAAGAAAGCAGGTGAAGAGGAAGTGGACGAGAACGACAAACCAGCCAACGGCGGAGAAGTGCGCATTTGCAGTAACTGCATCAACCGTGAGCGCAAGAGAGCCGCACGCAAGAAGCTAAAGAAGGAGGAAGAGCAAGCACACTGGGAGAAGTACGAGACGGAGCGGGTGATTGTCTTCAACACGAATGAGTACAAGCCATGGCAAGACTGGCAGCAGTCGCCAGCGCCCAAGGACAACAGCGTCACAGCCTCTGACTATTTCCGCCCACCGGAGACGGCGATGCAGGTTGTGGCTCCCATGCGCATTGCTTGTTATTGCCGCCATCAGAACGAGAAGGATGGCTTCCAGGTCATTTTCACCATCAAGGACTACCAAGGCAACGTCGTGGCACAAGATATATCTGACTCGATCCTTATAACAGATGATCACAAGACGCATCCTATGTCAAGTGTGCCTGGCCAAGTATGGTACGACGGCCAATTCCCAGCTCAGGCTCCCTTCACCTCGCACTCGATGGTCGACCTGCACTCTCACATGCCCGCAATGTCTGTCTCCAAATCCACAGGAAATCTGCAGAGCCTCGGTTACGGAGCACAACAGTTCCACCAACCTAACAATATGCACATGCAAAACTTCCCACAATCACAAGCCACCACCCCTGGAACAATGACACCACGCAACCTGTCACGTCCTGGCTCGCCCAACAGCGCAGGTCAAGCAGGGCCCAGCAAGAAACGCAAATCGTCATCAGCCCATCGAAGAGTCCCAAGTACGCTTACCATGACCAAGATGGAGTCGAACCAGCAGATAGCCCAACCTACTGCTCAAACGCCATTCTCCCCTACCAACGCTGGCTTCATCGGCAGCAATAATGACCCGACTTACATCACCATGCCACATTCTGCATCACGAAGCCATTTCCACACAGGACCATCGACACCTATCGAGACCACTACATTCCCATTCGCCGCTCTCAATCGAACGAACAGCATGGATGGCGCTGCATACCAAGCCTTCTACTCTGCTCCAAGCTCTGCTCACCAGAGTCGTGCACCGAGTCCAGTATTGGTTGGACCAAACCTGGCTGCTTTCCAGAGGCAGCAAGCGCATGGTGGAGCCAATGCTATGCCAAATCGTCAAAACCCATTCGCCATGTCCAACTCATCTATGGCTAGTGGGATGACCGAGCCAGATCGGCCTGGGCCCATCATCAACAAGGTGACACCATCCGAAGGTCCACCATCTGGTGGTATAGAGGTCTCGGTATATGGCAGTGGATTCACGCCTGGAATGGAGGTAATGTTTGGTGACCAGGTCGCCACAGCCACCACCTTCTGGGGCGAGAAGGCTCTATGCTGTGTTCTACCCCCAGGACAGAATGGAATCGTGCCAGTTGCGATCGCACCATCACCCATGCGACAGTACTCAGCGGCTCCTCCAGGGCAAACACAAGTCTTCAACTATGTAGGAAAGACTTCCGAGATGCAAATGATGGAGATGGCTCTTCGTTTCTACAGTCANAAAGAGACAGGCCGCGCTGATCAATGGCAAGCACTAGCACAAGGTGCTGCCAATGCCTGGATTTCACAGGGTTCCGCTGCATCTGGCCTACAAACGGCCCAAGGAGCACCTTTCGAGGGCTCAATTGCAGACATGCGATATGCGTAGATGACTTCTCTGGAGAACTCAAGATTCACTATGACCAGATCATTATGGCTCGATCTCTGCGTCAGAAGACTGTTACACTCATGGTGGCACTTTGTAGCCGACATGTCACTCCGGAACATCATTCGAGTTTGAAACCCAGGATGCAATGATGTGGATATGTACATATGGCATCCACTCCATATGCATCGCGGTCGAGACCTCTTGTTGCTTGAGCACAGCGTCTTCATGCGCGTCATTGCTTTGACATTATTTTCAGCGGAGTTATGGTTAATTGGTAACGAACAAAAACCTATCCATATCATGAATAAACTGGCACGAACGAGGGGGAGTTGGGGAACGGATTTTTCCCGACCGGAGGCTTTCTTCTTATCTTTTCTTATCTCAAAGGGTGGCTACTCCTTCGTTTCTATTCTTTCCTTGGGTTTCTTTATAAGGGTAAAGCCAGGTACCCTCACTACATACTTTTTGTTCATGTCACTTACATAACATTCCCTTACAATTTTGTTCCCCTTTGTATAAGATTTTTTGGGTCTATTAGCCAAAACACTTTGTATGTTCAAAACGTCGCCAACGCGCGCGTGTCTGCATGAGAAAGGCTGTGCGTGCTGAAATGAACAACATAATTATTGGGTTCGCTACTCATCCTTGCAAACATGGCACCAGCTCTTTTGCAGTCGAGACAAAGTTGCACTTTCTATATGATATGCCAAAGTTTCTCGAGCGTATTGTGTTTGCCTGCAAGCTATATCCAATCTGAAATGATGACACAGCCGATGTGGCATCAAGCGTCTGTTGAACCCTGTGACCGATGAACAAGTACATAGTGATTTTTGTTGTCGAATGAACTTGGAGGGGACCATGGTTTCGAGTTTAACTTCGGACAGAGAGAATGATGTTTATGCTGGAGATGAGACAAGAGCCATTGCTCCGTCTGTTCTAAGGTTACACGTATTGTTGATTGACCGGTAATTCAAAGAAGTTTTGATGAACAAGTTCTCATGCTGATGATGCTGACGCCATGTCACATAAAAGTTTGACGGCGGCAGTGACTGCTGAAGGAAGACACGAAGCTGATATGCTAGGTACAAGCACATCTCATATACCTAGTAAGACGAAGGGACGAGAAGCGGCGTTGCAAAGATGTTTGGGTACCATGGCATGTTCTGTTCATGTCCTTTACTTATGACGCAGCATAACTCGGCGACTTGATGTCATCAACATTTCGTCAGAGGCATTGCCGTACAGGTGGGTACAAGTAGTTGACTGATGGACTGCCGCTCAAACCCTGCTCATGACCAGTGTTGTGGTCAACGTCAGTTTCGTGCAAGACTTCCAAAAGCTTACCAACGACAATGCAAGCGAGTCACTCCTTTAGTAGCAACAAGTCCACTTACACTCGTTTAACGACTCATGATGATACTGATCTTAACTCCCTGAGCACAGCCATTCGTTACGAACTCTCGCGAGAAAAATCGATCCTGCGAAGCATGGCCAATCGGGTTCACTGAGACAAAACCATTACACAAGTGTACAAGCGAGCAGTGCAGTACAGTACGAGATGCAAGTCTTTTGATGTCGACTTCAGCGTATATAAGGAATCGCAATGACTCAACCATGGTGATGATGAAACAAGCTCAAGCTCACATGTATGAGTTGCAGATGGGTTGTAGAGGTGGAGCGTCCTCGTGAAAGACGGTGTGCTTCAGCGGGATGCTGATATTTTCTTGCTGTATGTGCCAGGAGTCGAAACCTGATGAACTCAAGGTGGGTCATAGGCGTGAACGTTTAGTTGCAAGCAGTCGAGGTAAGAACGTTTTCACTTTCCTCACGAATGTGGTGACTTGCATCACAATCTTTCGCTGGACCAAAGAAGCGAGAATATTGACCACTTGCAGATCAAGCGGTTACGAAGGAATCATGGAGTGGGTCCGAAGTCGCTTCACAGGAGAACCGAGAATCATTGCTTTCCTAAGCGATGGAATCCAGGCGCCCATGTGATGTTGAGTAGGAAGGGTCCGCAGTTGCTTTAGCTTGGTGACCGGTTATTGCAAAGGTTAGAATGGAAACCTCTCGTTGGCTGAAGATTTTTCGTTTTAGTTAAGGTTGCAGGTGACAGTCTGCACTGACCGGAGACAAAAACCTGGTCGAGGGTCTCCTTGATTGGCAACCGTGAGGTAAAAGAGGGCTAGATCACCTATTCCCGTGTTATAGCCTTGCCCCCCCATTGTTGCATTCAAGGCGTTCCTTGATGCGTACAAGAGCGTGTGGGCGAGTGTCAGAAGATAAGAGTCAGCAGGGTATTTAACGCTTCAATGTTGACCTAATTCGTTCTCCTGCATGAATGTTATTGAGAAAGAGGGTCCTTCGCTACTGGTGCAGTATGTAGTGCATGGTCGTGCTCATCTTTATTTTCTGTGTCGATCACAGTTTTTGCGACTTGCATGTGTAGCTTGATGCCTATATTAGCTTCTTTGCTCCGACAACAAAAGTGATAACAAAGGCTGACTGGCGAAGTCTATCCATGCAGCCTTACTTGGAATCCCCATCAGGAGAAGACTGTGAAAGTCATAGTCGCATGAGAACAAATCGATACAAACTTACCAACAGTCTCCGCTCTTCAAGTGGAGTTGCGGGCGAGTTTGGCACTGAACGAAATTTGATGACCCTAAGTAATGCAAGAGTCTCGACAGCCTTCTGCCTCGATAGCATGCAGAAATATAGATCTGTTGTGTTTGGTGCAGTAAGAGAAGAGATCAGGCTTTGACAAACACGCCGGTACTGTGCTGTACGCATATACGAAATGCATGAGGGCGTCAGTCCGTCGGACAAGCGTGCAATCTTGTCTCCACCATCTGAGTGGTCGCCATTTGTGAAAAAAAGCCCCTTTCTCACGTGGAGAGAGGCTCTTTCGGAAGCGCATTGAGATAGGGACTTTCGTTTGGCGGGTGGTCGGTCTCAGACCTGACCCAGCCACTCGTTTTGGAGCGTGTCAGCCTCTCTTGGATCCTATGTCGATTGGACCGATCGCAATTTGACGCTTGTGAATGTTGTGCGGGCCTGCATTGCGGACGCAGAGTACGACACCCTCATTCTCGTTATCGAAGGTAAGCCTGCAAGACACTTTTCCGACATGCAACCCACATACCGTACGACAACGCGCGTTCAGTCAGATCTGCTGAGATGGCGTGTTAAAACACAGACATCTATGAGCAGGCGCTCTCTCAGAAGGCGTCGCAGCAGGAAGTGGATACTCATCCATCGGTCTGATGTGTTGGCAGACCCTGTACCGTTACGCAGAGCAGCTTTTACCTGACTGCCGCTGAAGCCGAGCGGTGTCTGCATTTGCAGCTACGCTCAAAAGAGGTCTTAGTGCATACAATCCCTCCACCTATTTCGAAACCTTGTAAGCGATACAACCAGACGGACCTTTCGCGTCTTTCATTATTGACCTAGCGATCTCTCTGTCTCTGCTCGACACGCTCTTTGGCTTACACTGACGCGTTTCTCTCCCTGCATGCACCTCGTCTGGCTGATCAGAATGATCAAGGGAGCAACAGTGCCAGGTGGGTGGTGTCGAAAGCGCCCATCAAGGACGCAACCGGGAAGAGCTGCTTCCGATTATATTGCATCGCTTGGCTCTGAGGGAGCTAGGGTTTGCGGCCTGATATTATATCGAGGGGATATCGCTCCACGTATGACCGACCTCCTTATCGTTATGAAAAGCGATAATCTCAATAGGTAAGGGTATAGACAAACAGGCATGAGCCTGAAACCACATTCCATTTGAGGTGGATGACCTCAGCGAGAAAACTGACACACCGTTGGCTCCCGGATTCCTGCGTGGTGGTAGTGCAGACGTTACTGCAGGGTGAGGCGCCGGCCGATCAGAGGGTTGCGAACATGGCAAAGCAAACATGGGAAGCCTCCCCAAGGGCCCACAGCGGGACGGTGCGCAGTGGGGAGCAGCCAACAGACAATGAGGCGCGAGAACCGCCCGTTAGTCTACCACACGATCTTCAAATCCCGGCTAGACAAAGATATGGGTTGACACACCCACACAACAGCAACAAACAGAGGATCCAGCGACAGAACTCACCTGGATACCATCACCACAAAGATCGTCCATGATCGTTGATACCAAAAGAACTGCAATTGCAGGAGCTGGGAATGTGTGATGTATGCCATGCCGGATGGGAGCAAAAAGGAAAGCCTAGCCAGACTCTTGTCGAGACCAAAGGCAGTTAGAGTTCCCAGGTTTAGGGCACAGGAGCACTTCGCTTGCGTGCGGCCGCTGCGGCGTGCGGCAAGAACGCCCGGGCCTCCGCTGATCTGACTCGTCCGTTCCCTTGTACCTGCCTTTTCCTCCGCGACTCCCACCTTCTTTACTCTTCAGATCCGAATTCCTGGGTTGAAGCCTTTTTTCTATTTGGAGGAAAAACCATCCTTCTTCGTTCTTGTACTCACCGTTCTTTGGCGTCGAGCCAGTCGTTCGAAGAAATCCATAGGCTTCCACCGCCCGACACGCTCGTTTCTTCGTCACAAGGCAGCGTCTGTTTCGGACACGATTGATCGCGTTCGCATCACACATCCCTTTCCATATACAACTAGCAAGGGTGAGTCCTTATGTTTTTCCATTCCTTGCTTCCTTCTTTTCATGGGAAGGTCATGGCCACGCCGATGCGATGGTAGCTCGTTCCCAGTCAGACGTCTGGACGCTCTCGCTCAAACCTTCTTTTCTTCTCCCAACCACCGTCACGGACCCGGTCCCCAATCTTGATACATCGTTGCTGACCGCTCTGAATACTCAGGCGACAGAGATTCTGTCCATACATTGTTACGCATCAGATTCACTTATATCTGATTTGTTGTTATCGCCGTCATGGAGCCCAGAGTCATCTCAGTCCCCAACGAGACTGTAGCTTCCTTCTCGCGTACCACGTGCGATGGAAGACATCTGCTCTACAAGCTCAAAGTTCTCCAACAGCCCGAGCGTGCTCGCGCGTGTGGTTCTGGTGCCAAGTGTGCGTGGCTACGACATCCAACTCTGATCATCATACTGACGTGACATTANGCTTCTGCCGACCGTCGTCCTGTTGACCCTCCACCAATCGTCGAGCTCCGCATCTATGATGGCGAGGAGGTCAAGGAAAATGACATTACCTTTGCCATGAACGCCAACTACTTCCTCTTCGCGACTCTGGAACAAGCACGTCCTATCGCACAGGGCCGTGTCCCTAACAACGATCCAGCCCGATTGACCGTTTTGACTGGTACTCCGGTCGCTGGTATGGTTTACCTGGATCGTCCCGACCAAGCTGGATATTTCATCTTCCCCGACCTCTCCGTTCGCCACGAGGGAAAGTACAGACTTGGTTTCAGCTTGTACGAGGAGCTCAAGGACCCCAAGGACGCAGACCAGTTGGACGAGGTAGCTGCAGCTGCAGCTGCTCAGGGAGAGGCACAAATCACCCATCGCCTTGAAGTCAAGTCACAGCCATTCACTGTTTACAGTGCTAAGAAATTCCCTGGCCTTGCTTCCAGCACCCAGCTCAGCCGCACAGTGGCTGATCAAGGATGTCGTGTGCGCATCAGACGTGAAGTCCGCATGCGCAGACGCGAAAAGGGCAAGGACTACGACGGCTACTCGGATCGTGGTAGACACTCGGCTACTCCTGATGCCTACCAGTCCCATATGACCGGAGCTCATCCTGGCGCTGAGGCTGTAGATCGCGAAAGATCGGCCAGCATTGCCAGCCATGTATCTCTTGCTGCTGCTCCCTCATCCCGTCGTCCATCCGGCCATGATCTGTGTCAAACTTACCCTCAGCCTTCGTACCCTCCACAGGTCACTGCCCAACACCCCGCGGTACAGCCGGCTCCTCCTGCACAGCCCCAGTACTCGCAGGCACCTACTCATCAGTATGCCGCACCATATGCGCAGCCACAAGCTCAGATGCAGCCTCCACCTATGCAGCCTCCTCAACCTCAGATGCACTATGGACAGTACCAATATCCTCAGGCTGCAGCACCTGCTCCCACTCACCAGCAACCTGCCTACTACGGATATGGTCACCCAGCTCAACAGCATGCTCAATATGAGGAGCCTGCTGTTGCAAGAACCATGAGTGTCGACTACTCGCACGGAGCACCTGCTCCTGTCCATGCAGACCCTCGCCGTCACTCGATGATCCAGCCATCTTCCTATCCTCACAGCAGCCAGCCTCAGACATACTCTTCTCAGTACCAACAGCCAGCCTACACTCCTCAGCAGACGCCTAAGATGAGGCAGATGAGCCAGGCATCAGCAGCTAGTGCATCGGCAATTGCACCCCATGTATTGCCACCAATCAACACATCTCTTGTGCCTCAGGCGAAGCTCGAGATCTCGCCGCCATCCAGCGCAGTATCTCAGAGCCACTACTATGACATGGCTAGAGCTTCGGAAAATGGTCAGGTCAATGGCAAGCGCTCATACGATCGTGTGTTCGATACACGTCACCTGAACGCACCGCTGAGACAGGGAGCTAGACCATCGCTGTCGGGTTACGGACATCTGGTGGCCGATGACGGCAACGACAGTGAGCTTGCAGAGCTGGAAAGCTTGAAGATGAGCTACAGACGCGCGGACGGACGCGAAATTGCTCGCCCTCTACCCCCAAGCCACGACTAAACGGCGAACAGACCAAGATGGGCACAGATAAGGTGTCGATAAGCATGTTTCATTTGTACAAGGGGTGATCTCGTTTGTGCGACTAAGCGAAGAAGCGGGACGTGTAATAGTGGAAGGAATAGAAGTGGCGCAAACAATCAGAGATTATGGAATTATCCAACGAGAGCAACGATAGACATGACACGCAATGAACAGATGGACAGAAATTACAAGTCGAAATAGCAAGTTTTGATGGTAAACTGAATCATGAGGTACAATATCGAGTGACAATGATTCATGTATTTAGACGAAGCGGATGAATGGGATCGTGGTTGGGCGCGTGCGTCGCTCCGCAGAAAAACGGTGGTTCGTTCTGTTGTGTTTGGCGGCAGTGTCACGACAACCAGACGTCAATCCACATTTCCATTCACCACAATTTTCTCTGCCAAAGTGAGCTCACGACAGCTTGAGAGACACGGTTTGGATCGATAGTCGACTAGGCGAGATCTTGAGGATCTGGACAAATGCACAGCTGCAGCTAAAACTCAGGGTAAGTGCGGAAAGCATCAATCCAAAGGGTCCAGGGTGTAAACAAAGCCAACGAGGTTGATTGCAACGCTCGTTCCACGCATCAAAAAGGCGCAGAAATCAATGGGCTGACGTGGCTGTGGTAGGAACGAAGCAAACAACATGTCCGAAGAGACAGGAATGTACGGCGAGTTTGGCCAGGGCAGCGGGAGCAAGCGCAAGCGTACGATGGAATGGGCCATGGAGGTGCCTGAGGCAGATGTGCGTCTACTCATCGAGTCACAGTCGAGTCCACACGAGAGACAGCATGAAGATGTTCACGACCACGACGACCATGGCAGCCACACACCCAAGCGGAGCCGTCCATCGCCATCGCCCAAGCAGCAGCCTCGCAGCATACGCCGCAAAGACGCCCGCTACGGCCTGTCATCGCTAAACAAGCGCCAGGCAGAGCCTGTCGACGTCCACATCTCGGACAATACACGCCCATCCCGCTTCCAAGAAGGCAGCATGTCGGACAAGCCCAGCGCCCAGCCGCCCAGTGTCTTTACTCGCGACTACTCAAACCATGGCCAGCCCGCTTTGGCCAACGTCGACGATCTGATGACCCAATACCACCAAGAGAACTCGACCCCGGCAGTTTATAACACCCTCAGACCTGCCGTCAACCATCCTCTCCAGGATGAGTCGGTCGACCTCCGTCCAACTCCACCTTTCAGTGCCCCTACCTTCGACTCGATTCCTCCCTCGACGACAGCATCTGTCAAGCCCGCTGGCGGTCTCTTCCGCTTCGGCAAGATGTTCGCATCAACCTTCAACCCTGCAAACGTATGGGAATCTTTCTCACGCACCTGGAAAGAGTCCAAGGAAGATCTTACTGTTAGAAACATCGAAGAGAACCGCAAGCGCGCTCAGGACGACAAGGCCATGTATGAACAGGCATATCAGGAACTTAAGAAGTCCGGCCAGTTCAACTTTACCGTTGTACCCAACAAGGCTCTGACATCGCCTCGTCTCGGTGGAAACAGCCAATTCGGCTCGCCTGTACGCCAGCCTTTGACTTCTCCCCGTCATGCTGCCGCCTATGCCCACCTACGCCCAGATGCCGATTTCCCTTACCCGCGTGACAACTCGCTTGACTCAACCGTCGACCCTGCTGCACCACCGCAGCTGGCTGCTCTGTTCAAACGAGATAGCGACCCGACTACAGAGCCAAAGTCCCCTCAACATCTGTCTCCCGAGAAGCCTTTGAACAAACGCAAGTCATTCTTCACCTTGCGCAGTGCTTCTCTTCGTGCACCTTCCTTGAGCTCTCTGAGGCGCGGTCGCTCCCGTGTCAATCTGAGTGAGACTGTTGTACGCTCTTCGGAAGACAACTACAAGAGAACTCCGTCTATGTCACCCGAGAAGCCTGTCCCTCACAACCACCTCACTCTCCAATCATTGCCTCGCAGTCAGTCTAAGAAGGAGCTGAATCGGGCAGTGAAGTTGAACAAGCGCGTCAGTGATCTCGAGGTCAAACTTGCCGACGCTCGTCGTGAGTTGAACAACGCCATCACCAACGCCTCTCCCCTTCCGCCCCTTCCTTCCAGATTCGAGAAGTTCACTCCTACTTCAAAATCCAAATTCACTAGGGCTAGATTTGGTTTGAGCGGTAGCAAGTTACCTTCTCTTCCTTCAGAGAGCTTGATCCAAGCAGAGTCTCTCGCTCAGGCCCAGAACACTCCCTCGCTCGTCAGACCGAAGCCTACTCACTCTCAATCCTTTGACTTGACTCACCTCCGGAGCCCCGCTCAACAAAGAGAGTCCGTCATTGTGCTCGACACTCCTCGCTCAGAGATTCAGTCCTTCTTGCCTGTCGATTACTACAATCAAGCACCCATGGATCCAGCTGCTCTTGCCTCTTCCGAGGTCGCAGACCAAAGTGAAGCTGAGAACCGTACCAGTTTGGATGACAAACTCAAAGCTATCGATGCTAGCATCAAATCAAGAACCAAAAGACTCCTACCAAAAAGCGCAAGAGTGCTTCCAAGGATGACGGTCTTTACAAGCCTCCAGCAGACGAAGAGGAAGATGAACTAGAGTTCGTCAAGGAAAAACCAAAGAAGAAGCGTAGGTCCACCGGCAAAAGGCAGCCAATGTCGAGCCCGCAAATGAACAACTTGGACCCAAGACCGGCCATGGTAAGATGAACAAGACCAACACCAAGAAGCAGGACAGCAGTAAGCAACACGCTACCGACCAGCCAACCGACCTCCCTCCTAGTCGCGCAAGTCTGGATACTCTCGACCCTATCAACGAGGAAGACAACATCATTGTTGCTCCAAGAGTCGACTCGACCAACTCCCTTGTTCCCTCGCAGCACGATTCCGCCATTTCCACCGCCGATGCTGATTCCATTCACGGTCGCACCGATGCTCTCAAGTCCATTCTTGTCAACAAGTACGAAACTGCCCGTCCCACTTCTAGAGGCTCGAACAAACGCCCCTCTTCCTCGCAACGCCGCTCTTCGCCTCCGCCCGATGCTATCTACACGAAGCCTACTCTCGTCACTGTCCAAAAGGAGCACATCGTTACTGCTACTCCCGGCGTCGGCTCGATTCCTGCGCTGCCTACTGCGCTCGACAAGGCGACAGCGGAGAAGGCTGCTGATGCTGGCGCCGGCAACAACCAGTGGGACTGGCCTGATGATGTCTTCTGATTGAACAGTTGAGCATCGAACTCCATACGATCTTACGAACGTCAGACATTGTACATACAGGACAACGACATTCAGTCCATCGACAGTACATATGAGACAGCATCGACTTTTCACGACCATCTGGAAGGGCCTGACTACTTCCCAGAAATACCTCTTGAGTTTAATCCTGCTTTTGTCTTTTTGCACCTTCATGATTGCTTTTTTCTTCTTACTCCACTTCTTGTACTTTTTGTCACTTTTTCTGCTTTACGGCCTCACGCAACGACAGTCACGATTGATTTCAGATTTAATGATGCACAAGCAAAAGCATAACTACCCACAAGTTGAGGGAGGAAGCCACGGTGGACAGGCGGGTCTTTGTTACTTCTCTGGAAACAGCAAGGCATCGCTCCTTCCATTTCTTGTTTAATACTTCTCCGAGGAAGGAAAGTGGCATTTGGGTCGTTCCTCCTTGTTTTTTTTTTTATTACGATTACCCCCCAAAAATGCAGAACCAATGCTTTCCTCCAGATTTTGCCAATGCTGTCCATAATCTGTATCGTGAAACATGAAGAGCCAAGAAGACCATCTATGTCATTCAGATATCTTCTTTGGTCCTAGTTGTCAGGATAGAACGCACAGTTCCCTGCCATTTGCCTTGAATATGCTGATTACTGCCAGTAGAATAGTCTATCGTTTGCGTCTATTGTAGATTCTTAGTTCCCTCTATCATCTTTCACTTATACTCTTTTGCCTTGAGCGAGCAGATCCGAGACTTTTGGTGGTAGAACTAGGCTGCTTCGATCGTTTCGTTTGAAGAACTCAATCATTAGGTGTGCTGTTTTCTCTGGCACGTCTTCTTGGATGAAGTGGCCAGCTTCTGGTATGACTGTGAGTTGAAACTTGCCNNTGAGATTAAGTCAGTATGTGTGTTGATTTGGTCAGATCGAGAGGGAATTGTTACCTTGCATCTGACCCACCATGAGTTCTTTGTCTAGTCTGTCTGTGCCGGCGAGCACCAAAGACTTTGCAGCTCTGCCTCTGAGGAACAGCCCACTCATCCCTGTAAACCAGTCTTCCCACCAGCGCTGCGTGCGTGCAAGGTCTGTCCTCCACACCCAGCGATCGTCTTTAGGGACCAAAAGACTAGGCACACTAGCCTTTGCAGACTCCAAATCTCTGATTGTGCGGCTGCGGATGTGCCAATTGATTGCTTGGTCCACAGACGCAAAGGACGAAGGTCTAGAGGCTAGATAGGTTTTCATGTGCATCAAAGCTTCAATAGCAGATCCCTCAACCACATCCAGCACCGCAAAGCCGACTAGTTGGGCGCCCAGAGTGCCATTTGCTGCGATGCGGGTTACGACTGCGCCGCCTAGAGAGTGACCCACCAACACTGATGGCGGTAAAGTTTTCCAGCCTTGCCTTTGCTTGACGCCTTCGATCATGGCAAGTGTATCAACTACCAGTGTCTCAATACTGAAATCGAGAATTTCTTCGTTGTTGGAAGGAGCAAAGACGCCGGATCCGTGCTCTCTGGCTTCGAGACTGCAGATACCTGCTCCGGGCATCTCTTTCCTCACCGCAGCAGCAAAACACGCGAAACTCATTCCAGTGGCGCCAGCGCCATGGTGACAGATAAACAGAGGTCCTTTAGCTGGATCCTTGGGTGGAGTCAAATAAACGTGATATTTCGCATGTTGAGAGTCCGTCTTTGAGTCCAGAAACAGCTCTTGCTCGAAGTATTTAGGCCATGGGTTTGGTGTTGGTGTTGGTATGGTGGACTCGGATGGGCGCAAAGTATCGACACTGTCGTTTGTGGATGCTGAACTGTCCGAGGATGAAGAGTTGCCTTCATCTGCTGTTGTCAAAGGCATTGCTGGCGGTTTGAGATTTGGTGCGTTGTGCTGGTTTTTGATGTTGGGTAGTGCACGTAGTAGGTCTGACATTTTATGTACCTATCAAGGATTTTGAAAGAGTGTTCGAACCCAAGTGAAAGTGAGATGTTTCGAAATGTGTTGTTGTTCGAAGGTGAGACGTCATTGGAGGACGAGCTTCTTGGTCACGGTCGCCCATTCTTGGCTTACACAATGCAGGCAACTGCCAGTCACGATATCTGTTAAAAACCCATCGTCTGTATAAGAAACTCTGGCCACTGGACAACAACACGGACTCGAGGTCTAACTCAGCAGATATGGCACACACGATGTCGCTGTAGTATCGAGCGCTGCACGATAATTTCAGGATTTCAAACTGAGGGGATGCGAAGAAATGGAGACATAAATTGGCCCAACAAAAGGGTATATATACAATGATGCAAACAAGAAGATGAGCAAGAGCGAAAGAGGGTACAACAAGAAGCAAAACGCAGAACATCTACCTCTTGCTCTTGCGCATCCTCTTCTCTCGCTCGTACTGCTTGGCCTCGTGACCCTCCTCTCCTTGAATCTCTGCCACGAGCCTCTTGTACTTCTTTTCGTACTCTGCATCTCTTTCCTTCTTTTCGCGCAGCTGTTCGCGCGCGATGAAGTTTGCATCCTTGCGCAGCTCACGCACGGCCCCCTTGCGCTCGCGCTTGTACTCCTTCTTGAGCTTTGCGGCATCGGCGCGTTCGCGATCGGGGTCGTAATGTTTGTCTGGGTTGAAGTTTTCTTCGAATTTGGGAATTGAGGTGCGGATGGGGAGAGGACGGTGGTGGTGGAGTTCGAGAGGGCGACGGCGGAGGCGAGCTTGCGATAGCATGATGGAGAGGTGTTGTGATGATTTCTTTTGTCCCTTAAGGGCTTGAAGAGCTGAAAGACCGGCCGGGGAGAAGATTTGGCCAAATGCTGATTTGGCACTCCAAAGTTCAGCCATGGCAAGAAGATTGTTGACGTGCGGTTGCAAATCTTTCTCACTGGGTTGAGGACGCAATTGCAAGGCCTTGACAGTGTAGCGTACAGCCTCGGGGATGTAACGCTTGGACAGTGTTTGGTACTTGAGGCACAAGGCAACAATGAACGCACCAGTGGCCAAGTTGGAGGGCGCTGGAGCGGTCATCTCCAACCAGCGTCCCATCAGGGTAATCGCTGGCGTGACTACCTGGTGGAAGTGGTCTGAGGTCGGGTAGATGGAGCTGACAGCAGTCAAGATGACCAAATCGCCAGCATTGAAGACACCGCTCTCCTGCATCGCAGACATGTGTGTACGGAAAGCCTTGCCGATAGTGCCAGGGTATGTCCTTGACAAGGAGTGCAAGTGGCGGATGAGGGTTTCGATGACAGCAAAGGATTGCTTCTCCTTAGCCATGTATGAGATGTGGTCAACGAGAGCAACTGAGAAGTCTGCAAGCTTCTGCTTGTTGTCGGCTGTGAGCGAAGGGTGGTAAAGAGCACGGATGCGTTGAACGGCGACTGGGATGTCCTTGACAGCCAACTTTTCGAAAATAGCCAGTAGTTCTTCGTGAGAACGAGGGCACTCGTAAGTGTAAGCAAGTCCGGAAGGAGCAGTTGGTGCAGCTGCCTTCTTTTCGCTCTTTTCGTCTTTGTCGCCCAAGATGCCGCGAACAAACTCGTCTTCCTCATCTTCCTCGTCAGCAGCGGCAGCTCCTTCCTCAGCATCCGAGTCGTCCTCGTCTTCGCTGTCTTCATCACTGACGTCTATGTCGGAACCGCTGGCGATCAGATCGTCTTCCATCAAAAACTCATCCTCGTCGTCGTGCACCACTGCATCTTTCTTGTCGTCGTATTGCTGAGTCGGTAGACCGAATTGGGCAGCATCGTCTCCCATGTCTTCCTCATCTTCAGCGGTGACCTCAACGCCGACCTTCTTGTTCTTCGACTTCTTGTCCTCGACTTCAGGCTCTTCCTCAGATTCCTCGCCTTGCATACGACGAAGACGCGATGATTCCAGCTCCTTCAAGCGGTAGGCTTCTTCAATAGCCTGCTCCTCTTCTGTCTTTGTGCGAGTGGTGGGAGCGGCTCTCTTGTCCATGGCCATTTGTCTGAGTCTGACATCGTACTCTCTTTCGGTCTCTTCGCGAGATTTGCTCTGAAGCATGGCTAAACGCTCAGGGTTCATGCCAGCTTCCATGGTTGGTTTCTCAGCCTTGGGTGGAGGCTTGACCCCTCTGAGCAAGTTCAGCATCTCCTGGAGTCCCTGGTCCAGCTCTTCACGCAAATCGTCGTCGTCTTCCTTGTTCTTTTGTCTTTCGTATTTGTGCATCTTGGACTTCGCGATGACTTCTTTCATAACCTCTGCTTTCGACTTTTTGCGTGCTGGTTTGTCAGGGTCCTGCCCTTCAGCGTCCGACATGGCCTCCTCATCGTCGTCTTCCTCTGAGCCTGCAGAGGATCGTCGGCGCTTCAAGCCACGGTCTGATTCATCGTCAGAACCCTCGAGGCCCTCCATGTCGAAGTCGTCTCTGTCAAGATCAAGGGCCTTTCCACCGTGGGTAAGAGCGGTCTCTTCGAAGTCGTCGTCGGCCTCCAAATCGAACAGAGAAGCGCCACCCTTCTTGCGCATCTTCTCTTGAGCGAAACGTTGCAAGGCGCGCTCTTCGGGGGTCATGGTCGGGTCGTTCTCGCCAATACGTCTGTCGATGATTCCACCAGTCTTGTTGCGGCGCTGGATCTCGGGTAGCAGGGTAGCACGACGCTATACAGAGTCAGTTCAGGTCTTGAAGCGTAGGGCGACAGAGCTTACAGATTCCTCGCCCATGCTTTTGGTAACACCGGGTCTAAGAACACCATCTTTCTTGGGATGAGCAGTGAATGACTGGAACTTTGCGGGGCGGTTGTTGGCCTTGATCTCGAAAGGATTGAAGCTGTCGCGAATTTGCTGGAGAGCAGCATTGCGCTGGACTCTGCTGTCGTTGTTGCCTTTTCTGTCCTGCTGCTTTTGCTTCTTTGATTTTTGGGGACCAGTGACGCCCTGGTCTCGCAGCGACGCCTTGAGACGCTTTAATTGTGAGGGCGGCATGGTGTTGTGCTGTGATCAAGTAGCTCAGTCCAACTTTTTTTGCCTTGAAATCGCGAATGGAAAGTCTGGGAGGCAGGATTTCGCTGACCGCCTTCGGCTCAGCCTCCCGAAACTCCGCTCCATACAGACGTCCGTGCGTTGCCCTTCCATGTGCCTTCTACATCTTTTGCATCTTGAACCATCATGTCTTGGGACATTCAAGATCGCCATCTATGGATCGGCTTTGGTATGTCGAGTCCAACAGATTGTTGCTTACGATGGTCGAAACTGATAATATTTAGGCGTCTTTCTGTTTGTCGCTGTCAAAGGGATTGAAAGATGCCTTCGAACTACCGCCCAACTAAGCGAGATCTATGATCCCGACCATGCAAAGGCTGCCAATGGCACTCAGGCAGAAGATTGTGAGAATATGGTTTTTACCTCGTGTCCTCCTGATTCTGACTTTGATTCTAGCGATAAGTCTTGAAGCCTTGTCGACTTTGGTCACGTCGTCGAATCAGGACATCTCCAATTCGTAAGTTGCACATCTCCGTGAATGAGTGATCTATAGTGGTTATGCTGGGACATTAAACACTCTTCCGGCGACCTATGAGATGTGTAGTGTCTACTATATCGGTCTAGTCAAATTCTATAGGCTCTATGAGTCCCAAACTTCGAGAACGTAAAGCATTATCCATGCAGTACAACATCACATTCTCACGACCCATACACGAACCCACAAGAACGTGGACAAAACTTAGTAAAACAATCCACTAATCAAAGTCGTTTCTAGTGCGACATCTTTGATCCTCTCCCGCTTCGCTCAAGACGACTCGGCAACCTCATCCTTGACCACCGATCTCTTCTCCTCCTCGACAGACACACGTCTGCGCGCAAAACGTACCCTAGACCTCTTTGACAGCTTGGCCATCGACCTCTACCCTCTGAACGACTCTCTCGTTTCTACGCTCCACGAGAAATCCAACCCTACAGTGCAAGTAATGTGTCGAGCGTACTTGAAAGCAGCCAGAAAGTACCGCCAAGGCAGACTAGCAAGTCTAGTAGAAATTGCAGATGCTGTCGAAGAGTCAACAAGGATCACTCATGGTAATCTGAGGCAAGCGCACAGATATCCAGAAACACATTTTGTGTTTCCGCAGCAGGGTGAGAGTGCTGAAGTGAGGTTTCAACCTGTGTCACAGAGGGTAGAATCGTTGGTGGATATGTTGGCAGAGCAGGCTGTAATGACGCGTCCGATGGTGAGGTTTGCTGCTCCTGGTGATCAAAGCAGTGGTGTTCCTTCCTCAACGACGTCTGAGTTGCCGGCCTTGGATGAGATGGATGTTGTGGATGATGAGGCTCCGCATGCTGCTGCCAGAGCAAGGTTTCAAGCTTCTACCAATCACGAGGCTGAGGTCAGAAGGCACAGGAGAGAAGCCATGGTCTTGCATGAAGGCGGTGGCAATATTGGAAGTGAGGACATCATTCATCCTCGCACAGATAGTCGATCCTGAACATTTGGTCACTGATGAAGTGAGAATAGCAATTTCATAAGCCACAGTGGTCGAAGCCATAGGTTCCTTTCACTCATCTCGTTTAAGTGTCATATCGAAGTGAATGTTCTTTCAACCTCAGAGTTCGGTGCTGTGGCCCAACTCGATGAAACCTCTCCCAATCTAGCATAAATAGAATCCAGAGGTAGTGAGTTCGAGTCTCTGCCTTGGTTGGTCGCCGTGATGATTTGGTTTAAGAGATGTTTCCCCAACGTTCACTCTTGGTTTTTTTGCTCTTGTGTATTGTGGCAAAGATTAGCATTGGATGACAATTTTGTGTTCGGTTGCATTTCGCTTTAGAAGTGTTCTTGTATTATCTCAGTGTCTACCCGTGAATGCGGTTAGGGGTGCCGTATATCCATCCCATTATCAAATGACCCCCGGGCTATGCCTATACTCCAAACTATGAAGCATACCCAACCTGCCTTATATATACGCCTAAGACCTTACTCATGTGTACAGAAGTTGTAAGTCTCATTATGCCTCTACTCAAACGTCATCGACATCTCCTTCTCCTTCCCAAAATCATCGTCATCATCTGCCCACGCATTTCGCTCGTAAGACATGGGCGTGTTGTTGGATACTGATCGGTTCGAAACAGGCATTGTGTTGGATGACTGTAATGCAGGTCTGATAGGAATCTGCGACGATGTTGGTGATGCAACAGGCGATCCGTGCATTGAGGTTTGACGATCGCCGAACGTTGGTCGTGGCCGCTCAGGACTCTCAAAAGTCATTGATATTTGGGAGTCATTCTGAGCATTGTACTCAAATTCGTCGTAGTCATAGTGCTGGTTTCTGTTGAGTCCATTAGTTTGGTTGATACTGCTCGACGAATCTCGAGCCCCGTCAGAGAAGCCACTGAAGCTCTTGGTCTGCCTAAGACCTGGAGGTGGACTCTTCAAGCTATCGCCGTTAGTTGGATGGATCGTGGTGTCGATCCTCATCGGAGGAAGTGTGCCCTTGATCTCTTTGATCTCGACACCTTGAGCTGCGAGTGCAGCAACCTCGTGCTGAAGAGCATCAATGTCGAAAAGTGTTCCCTGGTTAGAACCATCAGCAGATTCATCAGCCGGTCCTGCTTTGATTTTCTCGTCATATGTCTCCCACTCCTTCTTCTCGGCATTCTTCTTGTTTCGACTGAAAAGTGCCTTGAAGCCCTTCTTCTCGGGCTTTTTCTCAAGAGCTTTCCTGGCCTCTTCGATTTCGTTGATCAGTTCTCGTTGTCTTTTCTCATGGTTGTCCGGATCCGGATCTTCGATTTCAGAGAACTCTTCGCTGTCGACCGCCCAACCTACTTCTTTCAGAAGCTTTGGCATGGCTTTACGGTACGCCATGTGACCTGCGACAATTTCCGTAACATTATAGTTCTCGACTCCAGGTATATCAACTGAAGCAAGTCCAGCGACTCGCATGATACCTCCTGCTGTGGCACGGAACAAGTAGCCCAAGATCCAATCATTTGTAGCGTAACCGTTGACAAATCTGCCAGCAACGACCGACTTTGCTTTGATGTATTCATCTTTCTTGAACACCACTGGACTGCCGAAGACATAGACGTTCTGCACGATACCATATGCGCCACGGTTGGCAAGCTCCTTGAGACAAGCATATATGACACGTGAACCTAGAGAGAAACCGACAAGTGTGACTGGTCGCACACCAAGATTGCGATCAATCAGGGAATCGGCAAGAATGAGACCAGCCATATCAGCACGAGCCATCGATACACTCCACGGGTTGTCGATCAGGTATGACAACTTCGTGAGCACAAGTGGTAGTGACATGGCAGACATGAGAGCAGTAAGCAGTGTGCTGCCAAGAATTTGTTGAAGTCCTTGGGTGAGAGNCCTACGATTATTAGCATGAAGTTCAAACACGGAAAAATGCTTATTTACCTCAGTTGCAAGAATATTAATGGTCTGACCCATACTTTGCAGCATTTCTGGCTCCCAGTGTACACTGTAAATATCGCCCATGATAGGATTGACTGTACTAANAGGCAGACGAACATCATCGACCTTGCCAGTCATCCAGCCCGCCACAGTGACGATGAGATTCACGCGCTTGTTATTGTGTAATGGCCGATACTCGAAAGTTTTGACTGGACCTGTTCGTCGGTTGCTTGCACGAACTGCAATAGTGCCTCCAGTTGTAACTCCGATGGATGTGATCAAAGCCGCACCACCAACGCCTCCAAGGAAGGTACTTGTTCCAGCAACGCCAATGGTCGTGAAGCCAGCAGCAAGACCAGCACCAATAACAGGAGCGAGGAGACCAGCACTCAAACCAATGACAAGCCCACCTCCCACCGTAGCCAGGCCCATCATGACAAGTCTCCTATTCCGTGCCATCTTTTGACGTTTATCGGTGTGTTCGTCCTCGTTCCAATTCTCTTTGTCAGCTTCTTGCTGCATCTCCAGAGCATCTGTAATGCGCTTCTCGAATCGGCAAATCTCAAGCCAGTCCACCGAGAGAGCACTCCCAACCAATTCTAGGAGAGCCCTTGAACGACCATCGTAAATACTGTCGGCTACAAGAACCAGGAACAGGTCACAAAGAACAGTCCATCGAATGTCGATATCGATGTTCTTTGTATCGGGCAATTGTGATGGATCTTTGACAGAATAATCTGGCGGCACCTCTTGCTCGTATGGCGGAGGTATTGAAGGAGTAGGAGGGCCGCTAAGCGGAGGAGATTTTAATGATTGAGAGTCGGAGAGATTTGATGGAGCGGGAGCGTCTTCCTGGGTCTTTGAAGGATTTTTGACTCTAGCGTTTTGCATCAGGGGAGCCGTAAGATCTGCTGGTTCGACACCGTGTTCAGCCAACTGCTCAATCATGATCTGTTCAGCAGCATCTAGATCCATGTGACTGTACAGTCGAACCATGATCTTCTGAGCCCACATCTGCATGGATTCTATGGCAATGTCGAGTTGTTTCTTGGTGGACCGAGTCTTGTCGAGTCCTTCGAGGAATTTGGTCATCTGGAACATGGAGACACGTACAAGACCAACATATGCGATGCGTTGTCCTTCAGTCAAAAGGTCTTTTGTAGCTTGCATCTGTGAGAGGACGTCGCGGCTGTCGTCTTCGTCCAAGGTATTGCCACCAGCATCAGGCTTGAAGAGGTACGCAGTATCTTCGTCCATACTGGTGGCAGATTGAACATCATCGTCGAGCTGAACTCTTGTATAACCCTTGGCTGCAGCATTGCCGTATGCATAGTCCTCGTCCTCAAGTTCTGCGACCTCGCGCGCAACAACCTTGCCCCAATCATCGTATATGGTGTGGGTAGCAAAGGCTGGCATCTCCTGCCATTCTAGCTCACTCTCTTCGGGTTGTTTTTCTTTAGCAGGAGCAGCGGTCACAGCTTGGTGTGACCATTCAGATGCGCCGGCGAGGGGTTGTGTGAGTGAGTCGGAATTGGCGACGATAACGGCTTGCTGGGCTTGATCATGAATGACGGGTTCGGTCGTAGAGGTAGCAGGCTCAACCGTTGTTGTATGAACATTAGGGTCTTCAATAGAGGATGCGGCTTGAGCAAGATCATGTTGATCAACGGTGCTTGGTTTCGTTATTGTCGCATCGGTCGAAGGAGGAGGCTCTGAGGCCTCGGAGGTACCATTTGAAGAGTCTTGTTTGGTCGCATTGAGGCCCTCGGAGGTCAAGGAAGAAGCTTCCTGGTCTGTGTCTTCCTCTTGATCGTAGGTCCTTGTCCTGGTAGGTCGAATAGGGAGGCCGAATTCATCGACCTGAGGNNGGGATGCAGGAGGTCCATTGGTGGACTGCTGCTGAGTCTGGTCGTCGGGCATGTTCTTGGGCAATGTTCGCCGAGGGTGGCGATGGCTGGGCCACGTCTATAATTCCATGGCACGCGCCTGGTGTGGTCGGGTCGAGAGTGTACAAGAAAATGAATTGAATCATCAAAGGGTCGGCTTCCGGAATGGCAGGTGCTACAGGCTGCGGGCAGGAAGCCACGTCCGTGTCCCCCCGCATCAAGCCTCAACTCTAAATATTTTGCTGTCGCTCTTGCCTGTTTCGGGTTTTTCATTGTATACCATTTTACCATCTCTGTCGCGACCGCCCACTATTCTCCTCGCATACCAAATCCTCCAACTTTGGATCGCTCTCGCCCACCGGACAATATTGCACAAACCCCGCCACCATGCGCGGCAAACGTTCAAAGCAGTATCGTAAGCTCATGCACCAGTATGAGCTTTCCTTCAACTTCCGTGTTCCTTACCAGGTCCTGGTCGATGCCGACATGATCAAGGACACTTTTCGCTTCAAGATGAACCTACCTCTCTATCTTGAACGCACTCTCCACGGCCAGGTCAAGNNCCCAGTAAGTCCTTTACAACCCTGTTCATTGTCGCATGGCCGAAACTAACGTCTAAAAGTGATCACACAGTGCTCAATACGCCACTTGTATACCGCTGATGCACCTGACGCTGCTTCCAAGAATGCATGGATCGACACCGCAAAGTCATTCGAACGCCGTCGCTGCAACCACCACACTCTCGAGGAACCTCTGTCCACATTGGAATGTTTGAAATCCGTCGTCGACCCCAAGGACAGCAGCACAAACAAGAACCGCTACGTCGTCGCCAGTCAAGACCANAAAGTCAGATCCGCAATGCGCAAGATCACTGGTGTGCCGCTCATCTACGTCAACCGAAGTGTCATGATCATGGAGCCTATGGCAACACAGACCGAGGAGTTCAGAGAGGCTGAAGAGATGGGCAAGGTCAGAGCAGGCTTGAAGGGCAGAAGAGGTGCCGCGCCCGAGCAAGCTTTGAAGCGCAAGAGAGAAGATGAGGATGAGGACGACGACGCCGAAGCAAATGGCGATGCTGCCACACAAGACACAGAAGCTGCGCCAAAGAAGCGAGCAAAGAAGGGCCCCAAGGGTCCCAACCCCCTCAGTGTCAAAAAANNGTCGAAGAAGCAGACGGCAAAGCAGGAGGCAGAGAGGCAAGCAATCAGGAAAGCCACAAAATCAGATCCGCAAGCCGCTGAGAAGGCGCTCGACGCAAATGTCGCTATCGATTCTACGGCAAACGATGGTTCAGAAGCGGCAGGCAAGAAGAGAAGGCGAAGAAAGCACAAGACTGCTGGTGACTCGGCCGCTGATCAGGCTGATGCCGATGGTGCTCCTCCTGCTGCTGCCATGGAGGTCGATGCATGAGTTTGACTTTACGTACTTCTAGAGATACACCAATCATACCTTTTCCATTGCGAAAGGAGGTTTTTGCTTCATTACGCACCCTATATCTCATCTGCTTTGCACGATTGGTTCCTCAGGCTCATCGTTTAAGAACGAGTTTGATTGTTCTAAATATCGATCGGGCTGGACTAAATACATTGGCAGATCGCTCGCTAGTATAGAAACAAAAACGCCTTATGCTCCCAGGAAGCTGGAAAGAGCGAGCATTACACTGATACAAAGCAGTGTGGATATCTCCCATAAACGCCATATCACAAACAAAGTATATTCATATTCCCCTCTTCTCTTCACCACAAAACGAACGTAAGNNGGAAGGCCACGAGTACTGGCAGCGTAAGCGATATTGAAGAGGATGCAATCGCCGTCGGTAAGGCGCCGCTGCTGAGATTCCCGGTCGCATAGATCAATTGGAAACTCAAGTCCGAAGAGTTGAAGCAGTTGGATGCGTTTACTTCTGGTACGTCGGCTGGATCTGCGAGCGTCACATCTGCGCANNCTATGGTAGGGTTGTCAGCCTCGTTCTGAGACGCAAAGATGACACCACTTACGTTGTAGATGGCTGCGCCATGCTGAGCGGTCTCGATTACCTGTATCGTAATGTTGTCGCCGATGTTGAATGTGACATCCGGCACTAGAGGTACTTGAGGGAGGCAGAAAGAGCCTGGGTACTCTTGGTTCGATGGGCCGGTAATTTGAAAAGGTCCAGCGACAGGATGAGACATGTTCGGCGGTGCAACTTCTCCAGGTCCGTTGATGCCAATGTTGATATAGAACATCGCGGTCTTGTGGCNCTGCGCTGCATGTCAACGACATTGAATCTTCTCCGGGATTCGAATTGAGCCATGGTATTTCGCACCTGTGAACCACCCTGGCTGAAGAGCAAGCGCTCCACCGGAAACAGGCCATAAGCTTCTGTTCGTGCTCATCGGCATGCCACCACAAGGATACATCCACTGTTGCCTGATGTTCGGAATCTTTGTCAGCAAGGACGCAGACAAGGTCGACGCAAATCACTCACCNNCGTAAGGGAAGGTCTTCTGGCCGTCGACTACGTTTTCGCCTGTCGCAGACATGTCGTGTTCAGGCTTGGTTCCATTTGTAATGAGATTGTTACCGCGCCATCCAGGATATGTGATCACTAANNTGTAGGCTCAGCACGTATCTCTTATCACGAAGAACGAAAGACACCAACCTATGTGCGAATGCACGAGGGTAAGAGCTGCAAGAATCAGGTATATGACAAGCATGTCGACTGAGGATGCAGGATGGACACTATAGCAGCAGAATTCACCTACAAAGGAAAGAAGTAGGTAGCGAGAGGCCTCTGTAAGAGGAGTCGCCCACCCATGACTTATCTGATTTGTTCTTGCTCTAGGCGCTGTGTGACGGCAATGTGGTTACAGCAATAGATGAACGTGAGCGATCGATGCCAGCCATTCATGTTGATGCGTTGGTAGTGATGCAGGACCGACCTTTCCTGTTTAGGTTAGTGCAATGCATGTAAGCGCTGGGTCTTACTCCAGCAACTCTTGTAACCTCACATCTCACTCCGAGGACCAATCTCTGGCTGGTCTCTTCAGAGGTTCAAATAGGCGTAACATAGCCTTCCTTGCAAGACCATGACTGCTTTGCTGACATACGGTCATGCAACGCGTTCACAGTACACCATGGCAGATCAAGAGGCCGAATATCGCTCTAGTCTACATATTGTGCAGAGTTCACCAACTGACCCACAAAAGTATGATCAAATCCATATCCCTGGGTTGTAGTCGCCAATTAGTTCTTGAATAACCGAGTCGCACGCATATTGTTCTCTTCTTATCAACCGGAGTATGCGGCACTGCAAGCGCTGATGCACACAGACGTCGCTATCTCTGTCCTCCCAACTGCCGTCAAGCTCTTCCAACTAGGATCGTCTCATATCGAGAGTCTTGAGATCTTCGAGTTGACATTTCAATGGCCGAGAATCGCACCTTGAGCATGTGCGCCGTACAGTAGGACGCGAATATAAGCAACTCCACGTCCCTGTGAGAGCTTGTCTTTCTTGGCCGAAAACAGTGCCTATTTATTGTCGCGCCTCTTTGCGTAGCTCGAGCGTCTGAGTGTGCTTAAATTTGTCTTCCTTATATCAGAGCAGGTCACCGACGATATCATAAGTCGTGAGGATCTTTTCCTAAGGACACCTGAGTACGTCGGAGCGAAAGAAGCTCCCGCCTTGAGGGTGTCTGATGAATCACGGGTTNNTCTGACTCGTTCGGTGCCAACACTCCTTNNTGCAAAAGAGATTCAGGGAATGTCATCCTTGTGGTCAAAGACTACGACCACAACACTTCCCAATCGCCCAACCAATCATGGCGCAGAGGAAAGCTCTTCGGACTCAAGCTCAATACCGCCATATCCTCCATCAAGGACCGGTACTGGATCTTTGTCGGAAAGAAATTTGTCTTCAGCAGACAGTACAGGAGCAACATCGCCTCAACTCACTGGACACAAGCATATAATTCCAGCATACGAAAAATCATACGAACCAGTTCGTCAGCCGATTGTTGCTCTGCCCGGGACCATGTCGAGTCGTGCCGCTCCTGACCAAAGACACATGGTCACTAGTAAGGTGTCTGATGAGCGACAACATAAGAAAGCACCGAAGGAGTTGAACGAGTCGACGCCGCTCAGCCATCGCTTCACCTCAGCAGTCAGAGGTCTTTTTCGAAAGGATTCTGTGAGCGATGTGCAGCTCGAGCATATTGGTGAAAGGCACTGGTCAGAGGACTAAGTGCAAGATCCAGACAAGCTCGGAATACCAATGGAACTCGATTATCAGAAAGCCTCGATAGACAATACTTGTCATGTCCAAACGCCCTGCGGCACTACGCTTTTGGCGGCATCTTGTTTCTTTCGTTCATGGACCAAAGCTTTTAAGAAGCTAGAGTTGATGTCAACACTGCTACCACAGCCAATCGTGAACATGGAACCGGATACTAGCCTCTGGGATGGACAGACCAGGAAAGTACCGCCGGCAAGGCTTCCGACCTTGGTTTTGGCTTCGAAGATGTGCTCGGCTTCATGTAAGGGCTTGCCTGGGCGATTACATGTATATATATTTTTATATGATAGTAGGGTTGAGTCAAGCTATTTGAACTCACGTTTATCTGCTCCGGAACGTCATCTTCGTGCGTGGTACAGATGTGGCTGTGTTTATAGCAAGGTTAGCAATAACTGACCGACTTTTCTCGAGTGGTGTAGTCAAATAATACAACTGAAGCAGCTTGTATTGTGATGCATACAAAGGAGCCTCAACAGCAGATGACCAAAGTGGGTGGAAATGATACAACAACAAAATGGTGAACATGTGATTTGATGAACAAGGAGCAATGTACCGTTAGCGTCGGGCTGCAACACAGATAGGTGTGCCTCGATGGGCATTACTGATTGCCACACGAGTATTTTGAACAAGGAGCGCAAAGCGTAGGGCCGAGACAAGAGCAAAACATCGATAAAGCAAGCAAAGGAGACTGGCAGTGCACAAAAACGGGTAGTTGGTAAGTGTCGCATGGGCAAGAAGGAGGAGTGAGCGAGGTGTGGGCAAGGCAGCCCCACTCGGGATCGGCAGAGAAGTGGTGTTGGCAGCGACGAGATTCAGCGGACGGTCGCAGCACACGTCGCTGACGACGTGCCAACTTGATCTTCTCCCACTCACAAAGCCTCTGCTGCTCCTGTCTCCAATCGCTAACCTGCAGCTGCCTGTTAGCGTCCCGAGAGTCCAGCGCTGTCTCTGGTCTGTCTTGCCTTGAATCCCCCGAGAGCCCCACGCCTTTTCCTCGTCCGCTCCTGCCCAAGCCGGCGACAGCTTTTCCTCCAACACCTGACATTTCCACCACAACCACTACCTACTCAGTCTTCTGTTGCTGCTATTGCTTGCGCCCTTGCGCTCCGGACGTGACTCTCCATATTCCAGGCTTCTTTTCCCTGCCCTTGGACCTCTTGGACCAGGACTGCTCTCCCAGAGCGTACCACCCCGTTAGGCTTCAGCCCAAGGCTTCCAAGTTTCGATACCAGCCACAAGGAGACCCGGATTGTACTTTGAATTGTTTTCTTGCTTTTCTGCTCCACAGCCATGGGTACAAACATTTTGCGAAACTGGTTCGTGCCCAAGGATGGCATTAACCGCCAGGTCATCTCTGCAGACATACAGAAATATCTAGGCAACGATGCAACCGTTCGTCCAGGCAAAGATAAAGAGGTAGGAAACAAAATGGCATACCAGCGCACATGGCTTAAGCAACAGGCTTGTGGACGTGACTGACATGGTCANCAGATCGAGGGTTACTGGATCAAAGCATACAGAAACCTTACTACGGTACGTATCTACAGCACCACCTTCATCGCGCATCTTGCTGATATCCATCCCAGNGAGATGATCAACGATCTCCGAATGGCCTCGACCAAGTGGGAGCAAGAACAACGCTCCGGTCGTCGTGGTAAGTCTTCACTTGGTGGCCATCTTGACGCTTCTTCTAACCTGTACCTAGGCGCCTACGAAGACTCGCACACATATAGACAGGGTACAGATCACGGAGCTAACGGTAATGGTTCCTATCGCGCCAGTACAAATTCGCCCCAGCTTGGTGAAGGCTACCTTCCCCCAAACGGCCATGTTCCTCATGTTTCCCAAAGGATGCCTGTCCCGGAGATGGCTGCCTATGATGACCCCAGACGGATGTACGGTGCTCCTCCCCATTCTGCGACCCCTGTCACTTCTGCTTTCGGGGATCCATCCATGTATGCTTCGCACCCGCCCAGGCCGTCAGCCAATGGATATGGTCCCCCAGGAGATTTTTTCAATGGCCATCCTGGATATGCTCATGATGCTCCTCCACCCCATGTCAGAGGCCCTCCCCAGTATCCTCCTTCGTATCCCACAGGGCATAGAGATCCCAGAGATGATCCCAGATATGCCCCGGAGTACCAGGATCAGATGAGATACGCCAATTACCCTCCGGCCTCTGTCGCACCAAATGGAGCCCCAAGTCCTCAGACCACAAGGTCGGATCATTATCTAACCACGACTACTGCGCGTGGACTAACCCCACCTAGTAACTACCCTCCACCGCGCATGCCACAGTACGACTCATATGGACGCCGTAAGTTTACTACGAGATATTCACAACATTCATGGTAGACAGCTGACGTTTTTGTGTGTGCCTACAGCCTATCCTGCATCAACGCCTATGCCTGATCAACCATATGCTCGTCCATCTCCTTCAGTGGATCCCTCCTATGGTCGTGAACGTCCGTCTGCTCCTCCTGGTTCGGATCGTGGCGCACCTCGCCGTAGAATCAATTAGGATCGTATTTGGTAATGTTCCCGGCGTCCAATTGTGCGGATTTTCGCAAATCAAATTGAGGATTGCGACTGCCAATCAATGACCTGGTTGCTTCTGGAGTTTTTTGACTGGTCCGGTCTACTGCCCAGCAATCATGTCTGTTGCCTTTTGTTCCGCCTCTGGTAGCCCCGTGTCTTTGCCCTATCCATTCATGTCTGGCTCTGAGAATAGGGGTGTTGACGCTGCCATCGCACGTGCTCTTGCGTCTTTTGTTGCGTTGATTTTATACCTCGTGGACCAACAGACCCTCTATTCAGAACCATTCGGAGAGTGTATGGCGGAACCCCAATCTCAGTGCTATGAGAACCACCAGACGCAGTCCAGCGCAAGGATGAGACCCGTCGGAGTTTTTCTTTTCTGCATGACAAGTCTGGTATGGCTTGTTCCCGGCGTTTTGCTTTACGAGGTAATCTATGCTTGGGTTTGGACAAAAGCCTCGGGTTTCCCAGGCACGATTTCTTTGAGATATATTATGATGATCTTTTTTAAGCCTGCGTATTGCCATGTCGGATATCATTATCATCTAGGCGCAACCTAGGTTTCCTCCAGGATGGATTTCACAAGTGCCGAAACATTCGCTTTCCGTGTTTCATACGGACTCGTCCACGAGCGTTCTGACCATACTTTTCTGTCATTTTATGAAAGTTTGCAATGTTGGCCATCTTCATGCCTCGGGTACAGTGCCTCCTATGGATCAGTTGTATGCATTTCACTTGATTCTGCTCCCCTGTCCAATATCTCATGTGCATCTCAGCATCTTGTTCTGGGCCAGCAGTTGCTCCTAAAGTTGAGCTTTTGCCTTGACAACTCTGAAGCCCCATCTTGGCGCGTGGACTCTGATCTCTTTGTTTCCACTTTTGGTTTGTATGGCAAGCACCACCTCATCTTTTGTAAGCTTTACCAGATGACCCTGATCTTTGTGTCGGAAACCGCTATCGGTGGGCCACAATTGGACAAGGTCGCCCTCCTTAAGTTTGACGGGATCAGTGTCGTCTACGCCGGTTTGTTGATCGTGATATGATGCAGATACAACATGCTGCATTGCCGCCCCGCCATCCAACGGTACCGCCTTCGATGATTTCTCCGCTTCCTTGACTCTCTGCTTGAAGCGGCCTAGCCATGCCCAAGCCTTTGGGTGTTGGTCTTTGGCAAATGACTGCTTGGGCAGCATGTCGCCGATCCAGATGAAGGGCCAAGCAGNCTGCAGTGCATTGGTTAGTTTCATCACTGCGTTTGCATTTTTGTCGATCTTACCGTGAATGTCGGCCAGACTGACTTTGTCTGTTCCTCCGATCCACTGTCTGCCATCCGCAAGCAAAGCCTCGAGTATGTCGAATGTATGCCTGATGTGTGCCAGTGCTTCAGGATACCCTTTCTTGCGAGCCTCCTGTGACCAGCTAGTGCCCGTAAATTCAGATCGATCCTTGACGAACTTTTCATCTTTCATAGTCGGCAAATCCGGTGGAAGCGACTGAGCTGCCTTGGAGAAAACACCAGCATCGACTGTGAACTTCTCTAGCAAGGCCTCCAGTCCTTTGTTCTCGGGCGTCGACAAAGCTGGGTATGATGACGATGCTGGGAAGCTTTGCTCTAGTCTTGCTAGGATCAAGCGGGTGTCATAGTACACATCTCGGCCAATAGAAAGCAGAGGGATGCGACGGTAATTGATGCCCAACTCAGCCAGATCCGGGCGTGGAAGGGTCAGAGGCTGTATACATTCTGCATAAGGAATGCCTCGTAGCTTCAGATACCAGACAATTCTCTTTGCGAAAGGAGAAAAGTTGTAGTGGAAGAGGATGATGTCATTCGGGACCTGATGAGACGACATTGTTGTTGTGGTTTGGTGGTTGTTCACTATACCAGAGAAGATTCGCGTGAGTGATACAAAGAAAGTCGAACACGGTTCGATGGTGAGCAAGTGGTTTGACAAGAGCTTAGGGGAGAGGACCTCTGACTACTCCAGAAGTCGATGGAGAGATGCTGGAGAGATAATAGAGTGCGAGGCTTCAAGCCTCGGCCAAGTCGAACCTCGGCACTTTTGTCTTCTTATACGTCTCGTCACTTATCTACTACGTTGACAAAGTCATTGTCTCTCTTATTCGATGCCAGGAGTACTACTAAGGAGGTCTTGCACTTCAAAAAGATCGCCATTGCGATACAATTGATGCAATGCTCGAATAATAGCTTGTTGTGGGACAGACCCTGGTAGCTACGATGGTGCGGGGTAAAGGGGTTCTAGATGCAGATCGTCGGCACACCTTTCCGAGCATCCTGATAATCAGCCTGCTTTCCGCACCTCTCACAGGCTGGAAGTTGGCGAAAAGACCACGGCGAAAGATGAGGACAGGTAGGAGCGAGGTCTTGTTCGAGCTGCATTGTCTCATACATATTCTGAAGGAGCAAAGCCGGTTACAAAGACTGCTATTTGTGGTAAGCTCTAATTGGTGGCCCATTGTCTGACGGGCGCAAATAAGGTACGAAAGTCGTCGTAACCTCCAACGACGAGACGTCAGCTCTTTCTTTGTTGTTGCCTATTCAGTTCCTTTGCCTCTCTTTCCCTTCCATCAACTCTACCATCACACCAGTTTCCAGAATATCGCAAAACCATCTCCATTGCGAAACCATTCCCATCGCAACACCCATACCAAATCTACTACCTTGACAACCACCACAATGCTTGGCCGCACAGTCGGCGCGCTCGCCGCCATCTCGCTGGGCGCAAACGCCATTCTTCTTCCGCCTGGTATCAGCAAAATCTCTGACTCGCGTGCTGGTGCTGTGGGACTCGCTCTCGACCCCAAATCTCAGGCCGTCAAGGTCCACTGTTCTGGATGCGCGTTCCCCTCGCCTCAGCAGGAATCGGTTCAGGAGAAGGGAGATGATGACATTGTCTGGATTCAAGGCGGCTCAAAGGACGTTTTGTTCAACTTCACCATTGATGGCAACGACAAGGACCTCCTCTTGAACGGCGTCAAGGTCTATCCTGTTGATGGCACATTCACATTCAAAGAACCTACTGTTGGCCAGATCCACTCATCAGCTTCCCTGGCTGACATCAAGAACAACCCCGAGCAAATCACCCCGCTCCGTGTCTCATCGGCTGGCATGCGCGTTCACGAGGAGACCATCTCTGCTGTCAACGATGTGCTTGTTAGCATCGACTACCAGGTCGGCGAGCTAGAGTCGCAGCCCATGGCCCTTGACGCTGTTGACCTCAAGCTTCTCAAGGGCGCCGACGGTTCGCTGATGATCATCTCGGTCGATGCCGCTCCTTCGAAGCATGTATTCGATGTCACTCCTCTATCTGGTAGGCCATCCAAGGAGTGTGGTATGCTTCCTGCTGCTCTCTGCAAATGGAAGTCTGCTGTCGAAGACAAGATTTCCGACTTCAAGCCCAGCATGCCCCACGCCTTTGGTGGCTGTGGCGGTCGTAANGCCCCTCACAAGCTGCCAGGCCACATCAAACCTCACTTCGAGATGCATCCTGATGTCGATGCCCGTCCTGATCGTCACCATCCTCATGGTCCTGGTGCTCATCCTCGTCCCCACCACGGCCCTCACGGCCCTCACCATCGCCCTCATCACCACAGACACCACCACTTCCTCCCTGCCTTTGTTCACGCATTTGTTGCAGTCTTGATTCCTGTCATGGCTGGTGTGACTATGGGCATGGTTGTCAGCCTGATTGGCATGCTCGTTGGTCGTTTGATCTCATTTTTGTGGATCAAGTTTGGCCGCGGAGGTCAGCGTGGCTATGCTAGTGTCGCTCAATCCGACCAAGACACCGAGAGCGCCGAGAAGGGCGTCGTCGTTGTCGAGAACGATGTTGATGAGGAGCCTCTCCCAAAGTATGAGGATGCTCCAGCCTACGACGAGAAGGCTCACGAGTAGACGTGCTAGCCGAACGTGGTTGCCCACTTTTCGGGTGCACAACTATGTTATTTCCTTTGTACTCAAGCATTCAACCTATATGTTGATCGGCTGGCCCTCCTTCGCTACATCTCTATCAAGTTTTGTGCCGTTACATAGCTTTTTCTTGCTCCTAGAATTCGCTCCTAGAATTCAAGAACGTATGTTAAGAACTTAAAACGATTAAAACCGCTGATAGAAACTTGATTGTGTTTACCTTGTGAATTGTTGTCGGAGAACAGTCAATCTAACCTTAGCTCGGCTGACACTCTGCATGCTGGTTTCTTTTCTCCGTGGTGGATACTATCACTATCCTGGAGTGCACGTTCGTCCTTATTAGGGCTTTTGGCAAAACCTCCTGCATGTACATGCAGACATGGCGTCTGTTGAGCCGCGCCCCAAGTCAAGCAATCAAAGACAGCAATACCCAATTACGGTATGCTCTTTTTGTCATTGTATGGTCTTTCTACAACGCACGAATACACAATAGGCACCACATGCCTTAGGGCTAAGCTATTTTATTTGCATTACCTCGAATCCCTTTCTTTTGTCGGTCTCGGAAAGCTGATCCTACAATCCAATTTCGCTACGAGAGCGAAGAATACCATGATGTGTGCTACTTTTGCTATCTAGGTCCGCGAGTAAGGGTAGTTGAGTTGACCCTTTAACTTGTTCAAGAGATGGGAGGTCAATAGTCTGCAGGCTGGACTTGTTGATCGATCGGTCCTTTTTTTCCAGAAAGAAACATACACGGCGCTTGCAGGTCCGCTTGAAGCGCACTTCACACATCTATGCGTCTGCAGGTTTTGGAATTACAAGGAGTAGCAGATCATACCAAGGTCAAGTAGGTAGTCTGCAAGCCACGCACTGTCCATGGGATGCTTCGATGCCTCGATGCCCGTGTATTCGATAGTGAACGGCTGAAGATTGCTTCGCTTACTTGATTGCTGGCTGCAGACGCTGCAGCTGAGAGACATGCATTGGAAAGCCTGGTTATACATGCTTGAGATGCATCATGCACGCAGATCATGGCCTTTGCCTGTTGGAACAGGAACTTCCTGGAAGGTCGAGGATGACTTGTCGAGTTGGGCGATGGCTCTCAGGAGATCGGAAGCAACAAATGTACAAACGCAATAGCAGAGCATGACAATCGCAATTCTGTGTCAGGACAAGAGGACACGCATAGGGTTCAACTGCTCATTTGGCCTTGAGTTTGTTCTGTCAACGCATATGTTGCTCAAATCTCTCCGAAAGCTTCTCGAGCGGTCTGGAAATAGACGCGTCTCTATCGAACCATGGCGGTTGGTCTATTGTACCGGTCCAATATGCCGTAGTAGTGTGGACAGAACAATGCCTCAACGATTACGGTTGCAGTACCGGCTGGAACTTCCTTCCCTCCAACAGGAACAGCAGAAACTGGTAGACCGTCCTTGCTATTGAGAACAGGAGTTTGTGTCCCGAAAGCCTCCATGAAAAGTAGATTGATCCGACTTCCAGCACCTACCCTGAACGCAGTCGTGGTTGCTTGAGTCGAGGCTGACTCCACTGGTTGAAAGACCCTTCTGCATGACTTGTACCTACAAGATTGTTGATCTGGCGTGTTGCCCTAAATGGGTAAGGATAAGATCCCGCAGCGTGGTTTGAGTTGTTCAGGGGCTGGGCCGTCGATCTACTGCATGTGAATGCTTTCGCAGGATGAGCGGTGGGAGAGAACTCTGCCTTCTGACCCGAACTTTTGGAGCAGATTAGAGTCCACACTGCAGCGTCGAAGGCTTGCTTACAAGGCCAGCTGCAAATAGACGGCAGATCCAGCTAGTTCCAATTGCGTCCCTTTCGCTCCATCAGCTGCTGTCCCTGGGATTACAACTGCCGGAAGAGATCGAGACTAGATGGTTTAGACTGCCGCCAACAAGATGCGGAGCCACGATCTCAAGTGGGGACAATGGATGAAGATCTGTATAAACATCCTTTCGACTATCGAAGGTCTTCGCGGCAGTGGATGACATTGACGCCTCCGCCTAGTCCGCAATTCGGGATGTGGCCGGGCCATCCACTGTCTTTGCTAATTGGGTTGTGGGCCGTTTTGTGGGCACTCGATGTGATGGACGTCCTACTGTTTGGAGAGGCGAGCCTCAGATCTCTTTTGAGGATATGGTCGAGTCAGCGCCATGGCTGAGCACGGGTGGGGGAAGCGTAAAGTCACGCTCCATGCTCAAAGCGCCAGAACGATTGTCCTGCGCAAAGAACCACGGTCCGATAGAGCATCTGACCTCGGTCGTCAATTAGGCAGACAACCCCTGGTCTCGCTTCTGACACATTGAGAGTGTCAATATGTCGTCTTTTATTCTGCGACGCTGCAGTACTATTGCAGTCAATGCTCGGAGCACTTATGGCGCGAAGACGGCTGTCACGGATGAGTTAAATCAATTATTCAATATGGCAGGTTGCGGGACGGTTCGTCGCCGGCGAGGCCGTGACGGCTGCCGAAGCGTTCGTACGTAAAGAGCCGAGATCTCGAGAATTTGGAAGGTGAATACTGGTGGAGGATCTCGCTCAGCCGGTTGTTATCAAGATGCCAAGGTTCTGCTCATAGGTCTTGGCTACCAGGCTGTCAGATTGAAGAAGTGGACCTCAGGAATCGTCTTGACCGTCAATCTGTAACTGCGAACTTTCTTGTTGACAGTCGTGGTGATGTGGTCCAGAACACACCATGGCGCATCGACGACGAATCGCGGACACTCTGGTTCTCTCAGTCCCTTGTGTGCCTGTTCCCAGATTCACTTTGATTGCAACTATTGCGTGAGGCATTTGTGATCTGCAGATTAATATACCTGTACCACAATCGGTGATGACGGAGCCCGAATCCCTTGAGGGCGGTGACGCGATGCTCCTGACAAACTGCAACTAGGGCCGTGGGTAGTGATGTGGCTTGTATTCGTTTTTATCCTTGCAGTGCCGTCTGCAGGCACGGTAAGCATCAGAGACGTGTCAAGGTCCCGCGGACAGGACAAGCTGGAAGGTTTCATCTCATTGGAAGTCAGGATGAGCAACGTGACAGGCTACAGCAAGGCTGAGCCAGCCGTCCGTGTTTTGAGAAGACGGTGTGTGCTCTGAGAGCGGTGACGTGCACACCAAAGCATGATTCGTCCTCAGTCGAGAAGGNNGGGGAATGGCGTTGGTGTGGTAACACAATCACGCGCGAAGGATCAAAAGGCTGTCGACGAAGGTGACAAGTGCCACACTTGTCTCGAAACTCCNTTTCTAGTTTCNAAAAGAAGGCAGCTGTCCAATCTGTCAGTGGCGCGAATCCATGGCCATGACAATGCTTGAGCACGGCTGACGGCACTTTATGCGACTAGAAAGAACACCGAGAATTGNCTAGTTAGCCCTTGCCCTCGCCCTATTGATACTGCGTCGACGCCCATGAGAGGCAACGGGCAGTTGGCTTCTCGAGTCATGATGAAATGTCAAGAATCAGGGCAGCCCATGTCTCAAACGTCNGTCAAACCCAGTGCAGGGGACTGGACAGATTAGTGGCCGCCCATAACCGGCAACCGAGCCGGGCAGGAGGCTGCGCCGCGTCTTCTTGCCCGCGGACTGGGGAGAGTCAGATCCTGGTACAAACGTAACGCAGCCTCTGCCAAGAGATCTCACTTTGCACGTTTGGGCCACGATCTCCCTGTCTATGAACCGCACACTTTCTTGGCGATGAGTCCGCTTTGAGCCGCTCCCGCTAGTGCATTAGGCTTCTCGGCTCTTACTGTATCTACACGTTCGTAGATCGCGCGAAATTACGCTTGCAACTTGTGGCAGTCACCAGCTGAGTCGGTTTGATTATCGTTGATTGTGGGCGCAAAACGGTGTGCACGATTCAATAGGTTCCTTGTACTGAGAAAATTAATGTTTCAGTCAAAGTAAACCCGGTCGATGAAGGCGTTTATGTGAAGCATAAAAGAGTATGCCTAAACGCTGTCTCTCGCTGAGACTCGACTCGAGTCAAGACACAGGCTGATCGCTGCGAGCTTGCGTTCCCACGGAGGGATCTCCAGATGGCACAAGACATGTAAACCAAGCTTGCACTTGCCATTGTTGCATCTCTACGATCTTCGTCGGATATCTTCTTCTCAATTCATACTCCTAAATGATTTGGCTCTTGCTTGCTAAATTGATCCGCTAGCGGCCAGAATGCGGCTTCATTGGATAAGGTTCCATGACAGGTTGGGACTCGATACGTCCGTAAGAGTGGGCTCAGAGGAAGAACTTTCAAACGCCCTCGTGTCGCGCTGTCAAAAGGATGGTTGATGGGACCGAGGCCTAAGGGATTGTTCGCTAGCAACGCCCACTCCTAAGACCTTCTTCGTTTTAAACTTCCGTAACCGTGTCACGATTGTTACATGTCCCCACTTTGTGGTGTCGTTCCCAGATTGCTAGCAGTTTCTGACCACCACCTGAACAGACGCAAAGCTTGGGAGGCTACTGTCGCGGCTGTCTGACCAAGTTTAGGTTTACGCAATCTACTCTTTAAATGACTTCTACATTTTCGCGTCTGTTGACAAATCTTTGCGTGCATCAAGCAGTTGATGCTATATCCCAAAGTAGAGGTGCTTCTCTAGGCCGCATGGTCTCGGGTTTTGAGTATTATTATATCTGACGTATATATGGATGAATGCCAAAAGAGCAAGACATTTTGGGTATCTGTGGTTATCCCCATGCGTGTCCCAGACCAATTTTACATGCCCGGCTATCCTAGCCTTGATCGAGAAGCATGCCGTAATATGCAGTCCCTTCGTATCAAAAATGTTTCTCGCCGAAAGGACAAAAATAAAAAACTCCGTGCAATGTGTAAACCAGATTCGCTGAAACAGATGGTTGTGAATTAGCTGCTGAGACGTTCATTGCATGTCATCGTCACGGCTTCCAGCACGGCTTTTGTCGCGCTTTTCTCTGAGCTCGGGACAGCGGCGCCTGTGGTTGATGAACCAATTGCTGACCTGAATGAGATGTTAGCATTGAAAGATATATAGCTTATGGTATTCGAGTCTTACCTGAGTCAAATTGATGCCGGCAACAGCGGCGAAATGCCNTTNTTGTTCCTCACTGGGATAAGGATTGTGCATGTTTTCATCAAACCATCGCTTCATGATCTCTGTCGATTGCTTGGGAAGATTGCTTCTCTTCCTTGACTTTCCGTTCTGGTACTCGTAGTGTGAAGGGACAAAGAAGGCGTGTGAGTAGGGGTATGGAGCATTGCCATAAGCCTGAGGGACATCGAGTCTGGCTACTGGCGGGTATTCTTCGCGATGCATGTTGTTCGGTGCGACAGGCATATAGGATTGGCGCGGAGGCTCGACGGCATATCTCTCACGTACAGATTGAGGTTGATATTCGCCGTAACCAGAGTGTCTGCGCATGTCCTCGTCCTGCGAAACAGAAGAGGCGTTGCTGTACATACTCGAACGGTTACGGGCTGTCAACATAGGATCTGATGTAGCATAGCCATCAGAGCGAGGAAGGGCAGGACTAGGGTAAGTCCTGGGCAAATCTGCTCTTTGGCCACGAAGGTCCGGCGAGGCGTGATGGCTGTGAATCACAGGACTACGGCTGGAGGGAGTGGGCAGGTCAAACTGCGAGCGGGGCCTTGTCTCCTCGTGACGAGCCGGCATATACGGTAGACTTGTGGGAGCAGAGTCAGAGAATGTTCGTTCCGGAGTGCGAGCGTCCCAGCCAGAATCAGTCCGCGTTCTCTTGTTAGGATAGAGAGATGCTGGCTTGTATGTAGGTTGGTGGTCATATATCGGTTCTCTGGGCAGGGGTTGCAACGAAAGACCTTGAGAAGGAGGAGTTGCGGGCGGGCTCATTCCCGATTCTCCAAGGACCTGAGTACTCATGAGTTCGTGTCTTGGTTTGGCATGTTAGTTGGTGCTTACCGATCTCAACGAAGGCAATGAAGGCTTGCTGCTCTCACCGCTGTTGTATGGCGGTGAGTGTGACGAGGGACGAGTTGAGTGTGATGCGGACGAGTAAGAGGCATGGTGCACAGGAGCGTCTCTACGAGCTGAACCGTGATACATGCCAAAGCTGTGTCGGGGGCGATCGATAAGTGCGATGCCGTCCATGGTGCCGATGTTGTTGGAGATGGGGTGGTGGAGAGATTGGATGGTTGGATGAAGAATGACCAAGACAAGTCGTCAAGCAAAGGTGGTCCAGAACGTGAAAAGGAGCGAGTCCGAAGAGAACTGGACGTTTAAAGGATGATGGAAAGCAGAGGTCCTAGACTACCAGTCGGATGGGATCACGAGGCGGAAGGGCTGCAGGTCGAGTCTAGGGTACAAAAGCACATGTATCGGGCGGTGGTGCTGGACGGGCGGTGCAGCTCTCATGTATAATTTTGGACATGAAGCACGCTCCATCGTTTTGAACGGGCCTCCCTGGGAGCCGTCAGTGGGTGTGCTAGCGTCCTGCGCCAGCAGACACCAAGTGCAAATCATTGTCGGTGCATTGATCGGGATGGCTTGACTTAGCTCGCCGGCCAACCTGTCACAACCGTCCCTGGCGTCTTGGGACGAGGCACCAAAAGAAGACAATGCAGATGCCGACGCCATAGCGGTGGGTAACGGAAGCTCGCGCACGAGCCGTCGTCCGGGCGGAGGTTTAAAACGCCATGCACCGTGATGTATGTCTCGAGCGTGTTCCGGAGTCGACTGTTGGCTGCTCTGATTAGTTATTCATCCTACCCATGCAAGCCAGGCCGACACTTGGAGTTTGGCGCTTCTGCATGCCTGCTGAACCTACCTGATCGGAGCCTGGCGACGCAGGGTTTCTCTTTCCTTCTTCTTACCTGTCCTCGTATTTCGATCGATGTCTAAAACCCCTGACTTTGTCGTGACGCTTGTCAATCTCGTCTTGACTGCCCGTAATGGGAGCGTCGCAATCTGCGCTGCCGCTTGGCGTGCCGCTACATTCATCGACGCTCTCATTGCCATGTGGTGGTACCAAACGAAAAAGAGGGCTGTAGTGGTCGCTAGTGACCGGCACTCGCAGCTGGCTCCGTATACGCACGAGACGCTTCTCCAGCGAGCGACAATACTCGGTCAACGACTTTAGTCATACACAAGTCATGTCTCCCCACAGACAAGGCGCACGGCACGTTTGGTATATCAGCACGTTCTAACTTAGATCCGTGACAGCCTGTCAGGTACATCTCCCAGCTCGAGTCCGAAAAGCCTACTCTGCGTACCTTTGGTCGGTGGAGATGTAACTTCGAATCGCACGTTATTATCATCTACAGTACCAAGTCTCCCGTGCTTCACACTGGCTGCGGCGTGTGGTGATGTAACCTTCTCTCCACCAGACAAATGACAACTTTGCCGGAGTGGACTTCCAGAAAACCCACCCATGACAATCATCCTTGAAATTTGCGAGCTAGGGCAAAGGGAGGTGCAAGTCGACCCTGGGATCTGCGCGTCCAGTATTGGAACGTACGCAACGATAGTGCAGCCGCAGACAACCGATCTGCTGGGATCAGTGTCTTTGGCGGCCTCAGTCAGCTAGACGCTCTGTTGTGGATTTGTGCCGTTCTGCTGCCTGTACGCATTCGGAACATGAAGTCTTTTGACTAAGCTGTCTGACAAGGATTTCCGAGTCAGCTATCGTAGGAGCCGGTATCTCTGCGAGCCAAATGTGAACCCAAAACGGCGAAGACGCCACCATGGAAGAATGATTTGTGTTTTTGGCGTCTCACATCTGGGTAGAGTTGACAGTAGCGGCCGCACCACTGACGTGCAGACCAGGGCTCATTCTCTGGAGGCAGCTGCACGACTCATGATGATTTTGCCGTGCATTGACGTCTCTTGGCACCTGTGACCGTTTGGTTCAGTAATCTCCTGTCTTTGATCTGGAGTACCGAGTCCGCACCAGGTCGCAAATGGTCATGATAGACAAGTACAGTGAAAGCTTGCACCACTATTGTAGATGGAGTGACATCTTGCATAGTGGATTGTAGTCGTACCCCTCCTCGGAGCATAGGAGAACAAGAACGCGTCCTTTGCGGTTATTCTGGCGGTGGCTCAAGTAATCTCTCTCCTGGACAAGCCTCACCTGGTTCGGATCTCGTGGCCGCTCTAGCGGCGCTGCATACAGGGAAGAACAGGCCCACACGTCAATAGTCGATGCTGATCACATTTCCCGTCACGAGTGCTTTAGGTCTTTGAAGGGTCTTGAGGACTTGAGTCGTTCACTGCTTTGTGCACGTACAAGCGAGCTGTCGCGAGCGTCTTCGGATGTCCAGCTGAACAAGATGCTGCCTCGGCCTGAATCAGACGCTGCGCCTGCTGCATGGGATGCAGCTGCTCCCTCGCTTCTGTCGTGCCTTTGGAATCTGTTGACTGCTCTTGTTCCATTGCGACTGTGGTGTCACACATCTCACATGAGTTGAGAAGAAAACGTTGCTTCATGCACGCTTCATTGCGGGACCCAGAAGCCGGTCCAGTGGATTGATTGGATCTCCCGAACGGCATGTCATTTATTCATCCTTGAACGAGGTGCGGGTGTCCCCGCTTTGATAGCTGCCAAACCCGATCTTTATGTCTTCGCCGCTACCAGGGTCAGCGAGCTGCATATGCACGTTGCTGAGGCCTTCTGATTCTGCGAGCACAGAATCAAAAACCGGGATGGGCTTTAAAAATCTTACCGAGTGTTCGGGCCTCTGCAAAACCGACTATCGTGCCTTGCCCTTGCTCTTGGAAACCCACAACACCTTGACGCCGGGGGTAGGCGTGCATTACACGGCGTCTTGGGACATTCCACAGGCATGGGACATTCTCTGCAAATTTGTGCAGTGTTCTGCTGTTGTCTTGCTCGCTGTACACCCACACCCCTGATCACGGGGGTCAACACAAGGGCCCTTTCTAGCTCGCGCGACTCGCTTCGACAGATCGACGACTGACAAGGACCGTGTTTGGACATGAATATCACACTCGAGGATACCTCTGGGATCGTGCGTACAACGTCTCTGATTTGACAAGCAGGAGTTCTGCTGTAACCGCTCATGCGGCTGCTAGGCCACCAGCCCCGATCTATATCACAGACATGTGGGTTCGATCCATCACTTCGTGATGCTGCTCTTGCATCTAGCGGCACAGACGTTGTGGAACACGGTTCGTCAGTTGTGGATAGCCCGATCCCGAACCAAGATCGAAGCCCCCCTTGCTACGCGCGGCATGCTGCTACTGTACAGCAGATTAGGTACCTGCCACAAATCTACCATGTGCCTGTTCTTATGGAGGTTACACTTGTTCTCCCTAAACAAGGACGCAATACGGTTATTGCAACTGTCACAACCATATGCCCGCAGCTGGTTGGGGTCGACGGTTCGCATTATCAAGCAGAATGGGGCAGCCACCATTCACTGTGGCGCCATTGCAACGCACTGCGATCTTGGATCCTCTTTCGTCGGGTCTCGCAAATGTAGATCTGACAGGCGGAAACACGCAAAGTACCCCTGCTTGTTGCTCGCTAATGGCCCAAACAAATCATTCCAATTTCAAGGCGACGGCAGACTGGTTTGTTGGCACTCTCCGTGGTCTTGGTCTACGCGTCGAGCGGTCCCAACGTCGTGCAACCTCGTCATGTTCCCAGCAATATGGTTCTCTTCAATGACAGGGCCCGGCCCGCCTTGTCAGTGTTACGCTAGCTGGTTCGTTGATGAGTTGATACATGAATCCTATCACGCTCTGTGGTAGCTGCGTGCTCCTTGTCTCTCATAGTAAGAGGATCTCACAAGGTGATTGACCAAGACTTAAACTCGCTCTTGTTCTGGATCTATACTCCAAACAGCAACCTGCACGATGGATTGATATTCGATCCTGGTACCCAACTCCCGTATTACCGGGACATCATGAGCTCATACTCGAGGCTTTTCTTCTATGAGAAGTCTCTGCGGCGTGGTGTCGGTAAGACGCATGTGCATCTGCCTTGTATCGTTTTCTCGCCTACGAAGAAGCAGTCACATTGCAAAGTCCTTGCATTGCGTTGCCGCCCTGCATTAACCTCATTGGGCGCCAGCGTGATCCAATGATCACGTTCGCAGTCTTTCTGTTCACGCGGAACCAAAAATCGCCAACGTCTTTGAACATGCTCTTTGAACATGCTCTTTAAGCGCTCTGGTTGTGTATCGTTCACCACCTCAAGTTCTCCAGGTCCGAGGTGAGTCTCTATGGCAGTGCAAGATTTGCCTCAATCTCTAGACATAAAAACAATCAACTTCTCCTACACGCCCTTACAAGAAAACTTGAGGCCACCCCTTGTCGCATTCCCTTGGTTTGCATATCGGTTATCAAGGCTCAAATATACATACAAAGGGCTGTTGCCAGATGTACGGTACGGCACTCGAGGGCTGTTCACATCCGCCCCCATCGCACCTGCATGATGGAAGAGTTTCTCTGACACAAAACGGACGCATTGAAAATCATAGCGATAATGCCACAAACCATCTGGCGATTCGGTCGTAAGCGGGCGAGCCAAAATACGCCATGGACCGAGCCGCTCGGTTATTCTAATGGGTATCCCAGTGGTATGGTAAGTCGTCTGTAACTGAAACCAGAGATGGGGATGGGAAAGCGAGGGGCTGCAACAACAAATGTTGCTCATAAACCTCCTTGCTCCGGGTCGCTTTCCATGTGGTAAGTTGACGGGTGCTATAATCTAGAACCCACCATACCGGTAACGAGATCCATGCACGTAAATTGCTTGAGATGCGATGACGAAAATATAGTTGTTCAGGGCTGTTCTGGATAATTGTGATTTTTATTGAATTCGTATCCATGAGTCTAAGGTCGTATGCGTTATGCAGTCTATATTTGATGAACGTGAATGCCTTCCGAATGATCCCAAAACGCCTTCGCTATGTAATGTGTAATGTCTAATGCATCTTTTGAATCCTCAGCGGGTGATAACATATGGGGAGGCGGCGGTCGATCCGCCAATGAATATACCGCAGCTGCTCAGACAGTTCAGATCTGAGAATGTCTCGTGCAAGGCACATCCATCTATGCAATCAATACGAAGGCGACGATCAATGCTGTGACCAACGAGAAAGTCGAAACTCCGCTGCGTGTAGAGCCAGAACTGGCTGGAGCCGAGGCAGCAGTGCTCACGTTGGTCCTGCCGACAGGATTGGTGACACCATTCAGCCTGTCTGCAGTTTCAATGGCCGGGCCTACATTGAAGAAGTCTACCAAGAGATATGTTGGAGCTCGGCCATAAGTAGTGGTGCACTCTGTTGCGGAGGTTCCCAAAGCACCAACGCCACCTGATGCCGAGTTCGTGGTGCTGATGTTGCCGAGATCAGGAGACTCGATGGTGGTTCCAAACAGATCTGTAGTCTCGTAGAGGAAGTGGTTCATGAAGGGCATCATGTTTTGCTGCAGAGCAGAGCTTGTGGTAACTGTAGAGGGTCGGTTTGCTGCGCAGGAAAAGTTGGATGGGGATGTGTTATCGTAGTTGTTCTCGAAGATGTAGGTAAACTCATTCATGAGATATGGCGCAGCGCTGTTGTCATCGATGCTAGCAACGAAGTTGAGCAAACGCTTTCCATCATTGATGAGGGTCTGTAAAGTGGGCCATTCGGTTGGAGGTGTGGTTGATGTGGGAGTGTAGGCGTAAGATGTGATTCCAGCAGTAGTATACGCTTGTGCAAGATCCGAGGCAGACGTATCGTCAGAGTTAACGAGAAGAACGGTTACGACCTCGTTTGGGTTCCCATCCATCCACGTCTTGATCTCTGAGAGCCAGTCACTGAGCAGTCCAGCATCGAGGAGAGTACAGCTTGTATGGCACATATGTAATGAACCATTGTTGTTGTGGACTTGGCCAGTTAACAACCTGACACCAGCGCTGAGCTGAACAGTAGAGTTGTAGAACTGGTTCCCACTTGCCGAGTTACCAGTAGATGTATCGCGTAGGAAAGGCGAGTTGTGAGCACCAAGGTAGGTTACATTGTTGTATGCTTTGCTGCACAAGTCTGGAGAGTTGTTACAAGCCGTTGCTCTCTTGGTCACTGCTGAAAATGCGACCTGAGCAAGAGAGGGTAGCAGAAAGAGGCTCGTTAGGATATTTGTGCTAGACATCATGGTTGCTAGACAGAATGCGTCAGTCAAGGAACAAAGCCTAAGTTCTGAAGAACGATACCTTATGGATGTGACGCAGGTTTCGAGATGCGGGTTTCAGATTTTGTTTTGTTTTTGGGAGATTCGAATATTTGGTTTATGTCTGAAGTCGGGAGGCAAAATGGAAAGAAGACTCAAAATAGAAGGGACGACCCGGAGGCAAATGCTTCTAGGACACAACAAAACAAGATCGAGTGCAATGAACAAACAATGAATGGGAACTTGAGAAGTAAATACAGAAGAGTCAAGTATAAAAATAAGACCTGTGTCGTGGTAAGACGGCTGCGCCTCACGAAAAGCTGTCGTAATCACTGGGCAGGCCCTTCAGGCATTACGCATGCTCGAAACACTCCTCGGCCGATGCTTCCTACACATGCCATGATTTGCTTGCCACAAAACCAAGACGGGATGTGAATTGCGGAGTTTGCAAGGGTTTCTCCAACCACTGCTAGATTGTCTTTGTTGCAAAAGATGGGTGGAAGTTGAAAAGACGTGGGGCGGATGTTGGACCGCCAACCACCTGACGACAATTACCAGCTGATGATCTCCTTGTACATCATCAACAAGAGACAGCAGTGCACAAGTCACAGTCAGATTCACAGCTTCCAATCAAATTCTCCAGATTGCAATTGCACGCAATATGGAGTCCAAATCATCAGTCATCCTCAGGGCGCCTGGCGTGTCGCAAAATGTCCAGGGGACGCAGCCCCAAGGGTATTCACCGCCCAGCCTTCCTTTTCTGCAGGGCACATGGCACGTCACCCACAGCACTCTACCCATGTGGAGGTCCAAACGAAATGTCAAAATCACGTACGAGGCACTTGCGCCATCAACACCTGACGCCGCTCCAGGCCAGACGGACCGTCTGGACGACGTTGTGTCATACCAAGCGCTCGATTCTGATAAAGTGCACACAGTTCACGGCGTGGACAAGGCTAGTGGAGGCATTGGAACGACTGACGTGTGGGATTGGCGCGGTAAAGGATGGCTCATGATCGCCAGCTCTCATTGGGAGGTTCTGGGATGGGCAGACAAGGGAGCTGGTCAAGACAGCTGGGTCGTCACATACTTTGCCAAGACACTGTTTACACCAGCTGGAATCGACTTTTACAGCAGAGGCAAGGAAGGGCTGAGTGAACAGACAGTGCAGGATATCAAGGCTGCGCTTGCACGTGTTGAAAACGAAGACGTTCGTCGCTTGTCGAGCGAGGTGTTTGAGGTCAAGATGGACCAATCGGCGCAAGGAGAGACTTAGGACAGCAGCACTTGCACAGGCATACAGCACTAGATTGCGAGAAGGGATGCGGCATAATGGACGGTAATGGAAGAAGGCATAGAGGTGGAAAGAAGCTGCTTGGTTGTGGGTATTTTGGACTTGGCGTGAAGGAGCTCTATTGCGGTAATGTACAGTAGGCAATCGTCTAGTTGCTGGAGAACCAAGTCTTGTGGCCCTGTTGTTTCGTGTTAGAGATGTGGTGTAGGAGGCGTGGGTTGCGTAGAGGGTTGGACGCACGAGGACCATTCTGCCCATCATGTACATGGTGGCAGCCGAGGTCGAGGCCAGCAGAGCGTAGTAGGGGTAGAGCATCATCTTAGCGCGAGGGCCCTTCTGCCACTGACGGAGACCGTCGTGGGTCTGGTGCATGCGCTGCCAGTGGGGGACGTTGTTGCGGCGGTAAAGACCGGGAGAGTTGAGGCTGCTCGAGCTGGTCAGCAATCTTGCGCCATCAGGACGGGCGCCGCGACACGCTGTCTAGTTGCGCAGAGGGACAATTGACGAACCCAGCCATTTCGAAGGTTGATTGAGTGGAGATTGAGTCGTGCGGGACAGCAAGACGATAGCAGGAGCGTGCTGGGCTTCGACGTCTGCGTTGCGTGATGAGCATGAACAAGGTCGTCGGCACTTTCCGTGTGTCGTGCCTGTTCCCGCATGCGACTTCCCCGAACAATTAATTGTTGTCAAGTCTCCGCCGAGCTCTCAATAATGCAACAGCAGCTGCTTTGATTCGGCAGGCGTCTCCATGTCTTCTGACAGAGGCTCGCGTGTGTTTGCTCTTTCCATTCGTTCATGCCACCCGGCGCGCCTGCGCTCCACAGAGGGTTGGCCCGACCTTCAGCTCTAGCCTCGCACCTGTCGAGACTCTCATGCCGCCGCCGCCTATTTCAGACCAACGCACCTGCTTCTCGTTCGACCAAATCGCTTGCCGCTGGCCCTATCGCCAATATCGACCATGTTCGTCAAGAGTTAGAGAATGCCCATAAGGGCAGCCGAAATCTGCCCTCAAGAAGTGCCTTCCTACCTGGACCCTCACACACTGAGCGGAAGAACTTTCTTGCCCGCTTGACCTCATGGATGCCCTTATTCCATCGGTTGCAGACTAGCCCAGATGCCTTTTCCACCTTGCGTTACGAGGCCGATGTGTGCAATCGACTACCCCCGCCTTCTTCTGGAGAGACTCGCTTGGTCGATCAACCCCAATATCTGCAAAACGTCAATCTCTGGCTTGAATTGCTTCGCTTTCGCCTACGCTTGGACGGTCAGCAGGGCGCTGTAGACGTTGTCCAAGCAATTGTCCAGCGTCAAGTCATCTTGCCTACACGTGGTCCTCTGGCCGACCAACTCTGGTCAACTCTCCTCTGGTCCGCCGTCCAGTACCCGAAGATGCTTAATCATCTCTATCCCTACCTCGTCGAAAGCCTTCCTCGCTCAGCCCTACTCGATATCGGTCTATACACTCGTCTTGTGGGCCCTCTGTTGCGTCATAATCCCATGTTTGCTGCAACCTGGCACAAGCGCCTGCAAGCCGATGGTTTAATCCCACTCGCATTTGTCTCTGTTTTGGCCCAGTTTATCACAGACGTCTGCAGCAGTAACCACAAGTCGAGGGCTGTTGAAGCGTTCAAGAAAATTTATACTTCAGCTAAAGTTGAACATGCATACGATGAGTGCATGCTACCCCTCTGTCGCTTGTTTGATTTCTCTGATGCCTTGGACATGCACGCCTTTTTCATACGGCACGACGATCATCCTTCGCCTTCCATGCAATCCATGCCTGTGATAGCGCACTTGACCGAGCATAGTTGGCTTGCTAAGTCGAATATGAAACAGTCTGTCAGATCTCGCTTCACCACTCAGATCTTGGAGGCCCAGTACGGCTTCAATCATCTGAAGCCTGCTGAGCTCGACGTGCCACGCGCTGAAGCTACCATGCTTTCCCTCACTCGTGAGAGTATGAGCAATATAGTTGGTGATGTTCATAACATCAGGGAGAAAGAACTGAACGATGCTTTCTGCGCTCGTCTCTTTGCCACAACAGCATTCTCCATTGATCTGATAATTACCGGTCTGCGCATGCTTGGACTAAAAGCAGTGGGTAATCTGGCTCTCAGAGAGATAGCTGCACGCGCTCCTAGTCCGGCCGAATATATGATCACCATCGACGCTGTCAAAAGTGCAGGCATATCTGTGGTCGATTCGGTCTTCAGTCGTGCACTGCGATCCTTTGCCAGTCGATCGGACAAATACCAGAGCTTCGAGTTTCTGATCACAAGCGACCAGCATCCCACAGCATACGAAGATCGTATCCTGCAGAAGCAACTCTTCGCTTCCTTCTTAGCCTCCGGCGATCACAGTCAGGCAAATGCTGTTCTAGACATACTTACGATACATCAACCTCAGCCTGAACATTACCACGCAAACTTGATTCTTCAGACGTACGCCAGTAGCGGACAGCGAGCATCGACGATGCAGATCTTGCATGAGATGCGTCTGCATCGGATTCCAGTGTCAGATGCATCTTTGCGAATCCTCCAGTGGACGTCACTAAGGCCTCGGCTTCGGTCCAAGAGACCCATCTCGCAACGTCATGACGAGTTCAAAGACGACTTAGACTTCACAACCAACGTGTTTTTGGAGACTATGCGCACCGGCCAACCCTTCGACCCCACACGATGGCATGAGATACTGAGGCGATACGGAATGGAGAACAGATTGGAGCCTCTCGAGAGATTGTCTATGTGGTTGGCTCTATGGTATTCTGGTCGTATCGATACTGTTGACCAGGCTTTGGGTGAAAGTCTGCCCCAAGGTCAAGGCCCTGCTAAGGCACATGCAACGACACCGAGCAAAGATAACCAGCATCCTCTGGCCGCCATATTCACACCACATCTTCTGCGCGCTATTGTCGCTTGGGGATTCAAGAGCGAGGCGTCATCAACAGAGTCCGCTACATCTATCAAGCTTGGCTCTTCGGCAGACTCAGACAACGGTAGCCAAAATTTGGAGTCGGAACTGAGTCAATTACCAAAAGACTGGACCAGAGGTCTGGCACTTGTTCACAATCTTGACCGTCTTGGGGTCAATATTCGAGGCAAGGATTTGCGCAGAGAAGTCAAGCTTCGACTTTGGATTCTCTACGGACCAGGAAAATCAACAGTGGCAGCTAATAGGCGAGCGCAGAAGATGAATAAGTTCTCTCTGGTCCACCGAGTCAACCAAATACATCAAATCATGGGGTTCAATTGGCTTAGGCTGCCTCCGGCAATTCGAGGGCGTTCTGAGGTCAACCACTGGACAATGTACCGCGCACTGTTCGGCCAACCTAGGCGAGTAAGGCGCAGATCGAAATCAGATCGTGGTTGAAACTGGCAGACACCATTTGTCAATCAAATCACTCTTTCATCGATTCGATCATATGGTCTTTGCGCAGGTTGTTCGTGTCCTCAATCCAAGTCGTTATGCTTGCAGGCACTTGTTTCACCACATTGTCTGAACTAGCGACTGGTTCGCCCATGATTTGATGGACAGGAACAACACCCGTCCATACTCGGGACGTAGTGGTGTCATCTTTCAGGTCTTTTTTGTCATCGTGAGGACCTCCGTTCCGAACTTTGACACTTGCAGTGTCGATTTGCACCCTAAGGATGCCAGTCGCGGTAAGCTCGGACTTCGTGGGCGGTGTACGAGAATTCGACCAGCGATCCGTAACGAGATGGTTCGTGATAAGTTCCATGGCGTGCATCATTTCGGTCGTATCCGTGACTTTGGTTGTATACCCGAGTATCACTGCTAAGCGGTAATTGCAAGAATGGTTGAAAGGTGTCAGGGCGAGTACATAGCCATCCAATATGGTAGCTGCGATGCACACCGGGATCCTGGGCTCTTGTTGCCCAGCCCCAAGGCGAAACAGACGAGCCGCAGATGATCCATGAAGATAAATGACATCCTCGTCGTCTATAGAGGTCTTCGAGCTCATCGCTCCGAGCACGGGCAGAATAGTCGGAAACTGAGGCTCTGCGCTCTCGCTATGAGGCGCGTTGAAGGAGACATGCAGAATGGGCGCAGCCTCCACGATGTTTCTTACGGTATCTTTGTCGTATGTCANCTGTACATAAGAAGGATTAGACATTGTACATATCGACTCGTCTCGAAAGCTTCCATCATCCTTACCTCGGTTGGCATATCTTTNTGCCTTGCTTTTCTCATCTTGTGGATAGGTGTTGGTAAGGGTCATGGTACTCGTCAATTGCTTGAAACTGTGTGCTGAAGAATGTTTCTTGACAAGAATGCCGTGGAGTGTAAGATAAGGTATTAGTTGCGAGGTGAGTCAGTTTGTTGACCCCACTTTCACCAGATGGCAGGTGTTGACCACTGTCGCTTGAACCTGCCTGATTCGGCCTCGTATAACTCACTCGAGGTTGGCAGCTACTGTACGTGACGATTCCATGCATGCGAACCAATGGGCTCACAAAGCACGTAAACCTGACGGTCTGGTCCTCCTCCAAGAATGTCTCAAAGCTGATCAATAACACCTCGAGAGAGCTTCCATCCTGGATCTTCACTCCACTCAAGTTGCATTAAGTGATGTTGTAGATTAGAAGAGTCTCTTACTTGGGATTTACTTGAAGTCTGTTTAGCAGATGTTTGCAATCTCAACATGAAGTTGTTGTCCTCGGAGCATGCTTCTGTCGTGACTAGAATGTTGAAGGAATCTTGCTCGAGATTTGAGCAGGTGCAAGGTATGGATGGCCACTTCCTTATCATCGCTCTGTCGCATTCACTTTCTTTTGATGCTTACTTCCTCTTCTTAGTTCATTTTCTTCCAGCGTCTTCACTGCGACAGTTCTTTCATCGACTCGACCACTTCCCATCACAGCTTCACTTTCATTATCCCTCGACTCCTCGACTGTGCGCTTTCTGTCAATCTTGTGAACATGCCTCCTTCCAGCACCTCACGCAAACGCACCCATTACAGGTCAGATTAGTCATATTACCATCCACACGCACCTGATCTGACCTGTACCTTAGCTACCTTCAATCACCAATGATCACTGTCTGCGTCGGCCCAGAGAAGAAGGAATTCGGCGTTCACAAGGCATTGATATGCAAAAGATCGACTTTCTTCGACAAAGCACTCAATGGACGTTCTGCTGAGGCGAATACACGCATCGTCCGCCTGGAGCAAGTACCAGTCCCTCTCTTCTCGATCTTCGTCTCCTGGCTGTACTATGGAGAATTACCTATGATGCTTCTCCTGACAGCGACAGAGACATCTGGGATGACTTTGATCAACTCCTGTGTCAGGGATGGTGACAAAAATACAGAACACGAAGGACAGCAAGAGCAAGACCAAATCTCGGTAGACACTGCTACCGTTACTGCTGTTCCCTTGACGGCAAAAAGGATGTGCCCGGTCGGCTTGTCAACCACACACAAGCACAGGGAGGCTATCCTGCAGTCGGCCGAGAAGATGCCCCAGGTAACGAGCCTAAGCAGCAGGGTCTCAAGCACAAGAACATCAAGCAAAAGTCCTCTAAGCACAAGATTCCCAAGCGAATCCACAGCCTCTATGAGAAGTCCAAGCACCCTCTGTCAGCCGATAATACAAAGACATGGCCCGTAGACATCATAGCTAAGCTGTACATGCTTGGAGACTTCTTGGATGCGAAGCGTTTCAAGATAGATGTTCTGGACGCCGTATTGTACGGCGGCGATTCCCTTGATGATGATGAGCCACCATACTGGAATCTGCCATCCATACCATCAAGACCCCTCATCCGACTTGTCTACAAAAACACCCCTTCACAATCTCCGCTCCGAGATCTTATCACCAACCAGATGGTATATGGATACGTGTGGATAGAACGCAGCCATCTTTATGAAGATCTTCCTTCGGAATTTCTTGCAGCAGTTATGGTTGGCTTGGGCCATCAACTGTCAGATGTTCTGGACCCTTCTGGCCATCGAAGGGAATTGTTCGACGAGGAATTGTTCGACGAACAATGATGTGGGTGGCATTTCTGACGCAGTTCACATTCGCTCACTGGGTATTACCATCAGTACCACCAGATACGAATCGAAGAAGAGCATGAGGAAGGTCGCGAGGAGAGTGGATGGTGTAAAATCAGACAGTCTTATCATCGACAATGAGTCGAGTGGGATATCAGATTGATCGACATGCTTAATACTTAGCCAAGATGCTTTTGCTGGTTTCGGAACAAAATGCTGGGCGGTCACTTTGATCAAGAAGCTTGTTGCTTGACAAGCACGGAATCACAAGAGAGAAGCACAAAAGACAAGGCAGAGTCGTGGACGTAAACACATGTCATTCTTCGATGATGAAGTAGTGAGATAAAGAAAAGCCTCTTGCAATCATGTATGCCAATGACGCTCGAAACCCATTTTCATAATATTTGCCCCTCCTCTTTGCAGGTTCAGAGCTTGGTCAGACGCATATCTGAAGTGATTTATGCGTTACCGTCGACCTTGGCGATGTAGGCCAGGAGGTCGAGGACACGGCGGGAGTAACCCCACTCGTTGTCGTCTGGGAAGAAACGTCAGTGAGAAGTACTTGAATGTCAAAGGAAGAGATGACTTACNNACCAGGAAACAAGCTTGACGAAGTTGTCGTTGAGCGAGATACCGGCCTTGGCGTCGAAGATGGAGGACTCGTTGGCACCGCACATGTCGGAGGAGACGATCTCGTCCTCGGTGTAGCCGAGAATGCCCTTGAGCTCGTTCTCGGAGGCGTCCTTGATGGCCTTCTTGATGGTCTCGTAGGAGGCAGGCTTCTCGAGGCGGGCAGTAAGGTCGACAACGGAGACGTTGGCAGTGGGGACACGCATGGACATACCAGTCAGCTTGCCGTTGAGCTGAGGAATGACCTTGCCGACAGCCTTGGCGGCACCAGTGCTGCTGGGGATGATGTTCTGGGCAGCAGCACGGCCACCGCGCCAGTCCTTGCCGGAGGGACCGTCGACGGTCTTCTGGGTGGCGGTGTAGGAGTGGATGGTGGTCATGAGACCCTCAACGATACCGAACTTGTCGTTGATGACCTTGGCAAGGGGAGCAAGGCAGTTAGTGGTGCAAGAGGCGTTGGACAGGACCTGGATGTCGGACTTGTAGCTCTCGTTGTTGACACCCATGACGAACATGGGGGCGTCAGCGGAGGGAGCAGAGATGACGACCTTCTTGGCGCCACCCTTCAAGTGGGCGGAGGCCTTCTCGGTGGTGGTGAAGACACCGGTGGACTCGACGACGTAGTAGGCGCCGGTCTCAGCCCAGGGGATGTTGGCGGGGTCTCTCTCGGTGTAGAAGGTAACCTTCTTGCCGTTGACGATCAGGTCCTTGCCGGAGACCTCAATGGTACCCTTGAACTGGCCGTGGACGGAGTCGTACTTGAGCATGTAGGNCCTGAGGAAGCTTGATTAGCTACTGTTTCTGTGCAAAGCTGACTCAGGCAGTCTTACAGCGTACTCGGGCTCAATGAAGGGGTCGTTGACAGCAACGACGTGGACGTTGTCGTGCTCGANCGCTGTTGTGGCGGTCAGTGTTCAAAGCTCCAAAGCTCTCAATGGGATTGATTCGACTTACGCATTGCGGAAGACAATGCGACCAATGCGACCGAAGCCGTTGATACCGACCTGTAGATGGGGTCAGTGACAGCTCCCAGATGGAGGGCAGCAGAGCTGCTGGAGCTTCTTACGTTGACAGGCATGTTTATGTCTGCGGGGTAGTTGTTAGAGCTGTGAAGATGGAGGAGGGGGAGTTGAGATGGTGATGGGGACTTACTGTGAATGGGTGTTATGGAGTGGTTACAAAGTCGGACGAGGGGGGAGGAGTGAGGGTTATAAAGGATGACTTAAAAAACTGTTGGGTGAATAATGAATGAAAGCTCGCCGCTCAAGCCAGCCCCGCTCGCCGAAACAAGTCTTGGCGTTTTGCAGCTTCCATCACTTGCAAATAACCATCACTTGCAAATAACGAGCCATTTGATGGCTCAGATAGCCTCTCTTTCGCTTCGATTCGGGAGTCTCGTCATTCTACGCGTCTATACCATGATGTCTCTTCAACTTGGCCCATGTCCCGAACCGCCCCGCAAACAACCCCTCCTTCTTCTTGCTGGTTCTCGTTCCTTCCCGTTTCTCTCCGTGTTTCTCCGCACCGTCACTACTTGAAGCTCCTTAGGTCCTGAAATGCTGCTTTGACCCTCTACCTACAGCCGCAGTTGCTGTCTGTCCTTGGCCATCTATACCGCTGTATATCCTCGTTCCGAGGTGGCCTCCTTCTCGTTATTACGGCCTCTTCGGGCTTCACAACGCTAGAGTGTTTTCGAATCGGCCCGGTTCTTCGGACCGCACACTCAGCTTGATCGGATGACAATCCCACCCACACGTGCTGGACCTATACAACATCACCTTCGTGGTTGCGTGAGCTTCATATTCACACATAGATCCGCCGGTGGTACCTCGTCGTCTCGTATGTATATCCAAACCTCTTGATCTGTTGAGACTCCTGCATCACACCATCCGAACAAGCACCGCGGCCTGTCTTCGTCATCAGCTGCACCACACTGGGCGAACAGAATGAAGGTACGAACGGGATTGACAGCATATCATCCAACTAGTCTCGCGCCAGATGCCAAAATGTAGTCTACGTTGGCTCGCTGAGCGGTCACTTTGTCATGTCTATTCCCGTAGGATGTTGCCTGATCCTCCCGGCACGGCTTCAAGTCGGTTGATGTGATCCGATCTCTCATTCAAAAGGCTCAGCCTGCTTGCCTACAGCTTCTGCTTGAATGAAAACAGACTGACGAGCGGACTTTTGGTGAGAGGTAGCCATGTCTGAAGAGCGCGGGTGCTTCATAACTCTTGATGCATGCTGGTCGGGTCTATCGCTTGAGAATGTTGTGCAGTGTACATAACAGGTGCACTATGTTCTGATCAGCACACAGAAGGACAAAATAAGAGGTAAGCTTGCTTTAGGTTGCTAAGATGGCCGGGTCGTCCGATGGCGGAAGCTGATACCATTCCCCGCACCTTCACGCTCGCCAATCTCGCTATAGGTTCTGTGACGACAAAGATGAGCGCGTACAGAATTAACAACCATCTTCAATTGCGGGCGGCAGGGGCAGCCTCTCTCTCTGTTAGTTTCTCATAAGACGATTGCGGTCTCCTTTGTTCTTGCTATCAAATTGTGTTCAAAATTCCTTGCATCACGCACGCGGATCTTCTCCAGACTGGGCAAGCTCCCGCAGTACGGACACTTTCCTCCACATCCTGCCTTCGCAACTGCCCTTTTCAACAAGCGTTATCTTGGATTGAAGGCTACTACTACGTAGTGATACGACATGGCAGGGATTTAAAGAGGCTCGAGAAGCCTTTACTCTTTCCACCAAAATCAATCCTATCGATATTGGTGACCAATGGCTCCAGCACTTCTTTCAACATTAGTCCTGACTGGACTTCCTCTTGCATTGGGCCAATTCGTCAAGGCACCAACCAATTGGACCTCCGCAACTGGTTTTGCAGATATCCCCGTCCGCTATAAGGAGGTTCCCAATGGCATCTGCGAGCTCAACAACACCGTGAAGAGCTACTCAGGCTATCTCGATGTTGACACTAACGAACACTATTTCTTTTGGTTCTTCGAAGCTCGTAACCAAGACCCCAAGAATGCTCCTCTCACAGTCTGGATCAACGGAGGTCCAGGATCTAGCAGCATGATTGGCCTGTTCCAGGAGCTTGGTCCTTGCAGAGTCGAATCAGATGGCACGGTCGTCAACAACCCTCACTCGTGGAGTGAATCAAGCAACATGATTTTCATCGATCAGCCTGCTCAGGTCGGCTTCTCATACTCGATTCCTATTCCTGGATACACCGATCCTAACTCGGGTTCAATTGTTACTCTGCCCAATGCTACCTGTCCTGAGTATGCAGATAGCTGCGGCACGTACTCGTACCCAAACGAGACTCTCACAGCAAATTCAACTGCTGGGGTGGCGCCAAACTTCTGGAAAGGTCTACAAGGTTTCATGGGTGCTTTCCCACAATATTCTCGCCATGAGTTTAACTTTGCTACAGAGGTGAGTTGTCTTCGAGAAAGTTGTTGTGATTACTGGCTGATTGGCTTCCAGTCATATGGTGGTCATTACGGGCCGGTTATCAACCAATATATCGAAGAACAAAATGAACTTATTGCAAAGGGCCAGCTTCCTAAGGCTCATCACATCAACCTCAAAACACTTCTGATCGGTAACGGCTGGTACGATCCTCTGATTCAATATCAAGCTTATTACAATTTCACCGTGTTCCCTGGAAACACATACGATTACAAACCATTTAACGAGAGTGTTTCAGCCATGATGTACAACGCACTCTATGGTCCGGGCAACTGTGTCGACATGACTAAAGATTGCTACGCCTCCGGCATCAATGAAGTATGCAGCTTTGCAGACAACTTCTGTGCTGGCAACGTCGAGAATGTTCTTGATGTTTACGCTCTGCGCGACGAATACGATATTCGCGAACTATCGCCTGATCCTTTCCCGCCTACATTCTACGTTGACTACCTCAACTCTCCTATGGTTCAGGAGGCCATTGGCGCTTATGTGAACTTTAGTGAGAGCAGCAGTGCTGTCTCGTCAGCTTTTGGGAGCACAGGCGACGATGACCGTGAAGACGGCACCATCGAGGCACTGAAGTCGCTGGTTTGCGGTGACATCACCGTTGTGCTCTATGCTGGTGATGCCGACTACAACTGTAAGCATCGGTCCACATGACATAGGAATTCAACTGACGTATCTCAGGCNAACTGGCTTGGTGGAGAGGTCATTGCCCAGGAGGTCAACGCTCCCGGTTTTTCAACTGCAGGTTACACCAACGTCACGAGCTCGGACGGCGTCGTCCATGCACAGGTCAAGCAATCTGGCAAATTCTCTTTCGTCCGCATATTCGAATCTGGCCACGAAGTGCCCTTCTACCAGCCACTTATGAGTTTGGAAATGTTCGATCGCGCGATTAACGGCAAGGACATCGCCACTGGTAGACGCACAGTAAAGGGTGGCTACAAGACATCCGGCCCTGCCAAGAGCACATACCGTGAAGGCAACTCGACCGTGCAGTTCGAAGTCGTCAACGCGACCGCCACGTACAACACTACTTTGAACGCACCCAACCCACCGTCCGCCAAGAAGAGCTTCAAAGCTGCGAGCAAGAGACGTCTGTTCAAGCCTGCTAAGAGAGTCGTCGATCTGACTGCCTAAGAGATCTGACATCTGCCCGACGAGAAAAAGAAGAAATGGTCAGGATCTGAGAGACGCTCTTTACGAATCATAATCTCGAAGTCGCATGTGGCGAAATAACAGCCCTTGCCACTTCCCTCACAGTCAATAAAGTATTAAAGAACAAGATCAATCCTATCGAGTATGCCTCCGAATTGTTCCACAGAACTGTTCTTTGATCGAAATCTCTCTTCAAGTTTGGAGAATCGGACGAATAAGTCACAACGTTTACTGATCATGAGAAAGTGCTAATACACGAGGACCGAAAATCTACGGACGGAGAAAGTAGAAACATACATCATTTGTGCACCTCGCCCCATCCATACTGCTTGTTACCAGCATTGCCACCTTCCCAATAACATTTTGAGTCTTCAAATTCACCATCCATCTTGTAGAACATCCACTCACGAGCAACATGCTCGGCCTTCTTCTTGTTTCTAATCTTCATATTGAATCTGAAGGGCAGAGGCTTTGCGATAAGCAAACTGGAGTATTCGAGGGTGGGGTCAGGCTTGGAATCCTTCTCGTCGGCGGCGGAGTTGAACATGTTGTTCACGGCAGGCATGTCGGATGTACCTGCCATCGCAGTTCGAGCTTTGGGTGACGAAGGCGGGGTATCAGGCCCAGTGTGTTGTTCAAAGAAAGCTGGGAACTGGCCAGGAAGGGACGAGCCAGGAAGGCGCAACTTATACGTGACAGTCTTGGCTCGACTCAGGCCGCCGCCGGACGACGCTAGGTTTTTTGGCCTTTTGACAGTCTTTTTGCGGGATAGTCTGCATGTGTCTGTTGGCAACATCTTTTCTGAGAAGTGCTCATCGAGTTCTTCTTCGATCTCGGTTTCGGAGGGAGGTGTTTGCATGCCTGTTGGTGTCATTGCTGGCAGCTCTTCTTCCTTGTGGACTGGCAGTGACGATGGGACAGGCTCCTTGGGCAACTTTGCGGCTTCCTCGGTTTGAACGTCACTGGCGCTCAAAGAGAACATCCACGCAAGACTGCCAATACCAACGAAGAGATCTGCCTCAGCGACACCCATGCCTGCGCAGATACGGCGACCATAACCGAACTGACTGTATTGAGTGATGGTAGGGTATTTAGTCAAGGGTTCTTGGTAGGTAGGGTATTGTGTTTCGAGCCATCTCATTGGGTTGAACTCATCAGGACTAGGAAAGACCTCTGGGTCCCGACTGATGGACCATTCAAGAGGATGCATAACGGAGCCGGCAGGGATGAAATAGCCCTCGTAGATGTCGTCTTTGACAGACTCGTGTGGGATGCCGGTAGGCACAGGAGGGCGCCANNCTAAGAGTTGAATTAGCCTCTTGTTTGCATGCAAGGTTCTCGGTATCAATGGTCAACTTACTCGCATAGTCTCCCTGATGAAGGCACGCAGCACGGGCATGTTGGGCATGTCGCTGAGTGTTGGCAATCTGTCACCACAGACCTTGTCGATCTCTTCGTGAAGAATGGATTGGTACTGAGGATAATGGCACATGGCAAGACAGAAGCTCTGCATGGGAGCAGCAATCGTGAGTGCACCAGCAATGCCATGCATACCTACAGCGTAAGCACCTTCGAGGTCAGACGCAAATCCAGTAGCATCCTTGTTCTCCAGGAAGTAACGTGTCCAAGACTCTGGAGCAGTCTTGCTTTTGAGCTTCTCTCTGACCTCGTTCTGCAAGATAGTGAAGAAGCGACTTTCGGTCCTGTATCTGCGAAACTCCCAAGCTTTTGCCGGTACAATAGCTTCGGGGAGTTTCTTGAGGAAGCCGAGTTTGTTTGTAAGTGCACCATTTGGTGAGACACCTATGAGCAGTTCTCTTGCTCGCTGTTTTAGCTCGTCGGAGGGAGCCGCAGTTCCCCATCCCAGCCTACAAGTCACTCTTGAGATGAATGACTCTAAAGCATGGTTGTAACGAGAAGGATCTGTCATGAGCTCGAATAGAAGACGAATCGACTCCAACTCAGGGTAGTTGTAAAACGAGTTGGCGGACGATTTGTCCATGATCTGCTTTGCGAACTTTCTCTGTCTTGTCCATAGCTCNNTTGTAGGCATTAGCAGATTGCAATGACTTCTCATCAGATAGCACATACCGTTTCGAGACATCAAAGGAAGGTAATGGCCGCTGTCACGATTGTCGGCCTGAAGCGATGGAATGAATGGACGCTCAGAATTGTTGGCTGCACGCTTGCCAAGTAGGTCTTGTGCCACACGATCACGCGTGATCCAAACATGATTCTGACCAGCGAGGTTGGTCTGGTAGATGGGACCATATTGTTGTCCCCATTCGTGAAACTTAAGAAAACTGTTCTTGTCTGGCACGTCTGGTACGCTGCCGATAATCGGAAAGCCTGAGGGTATTAGAGAAAGCGATTCATCGGGTCGCGGACACTTATCACTGACCTTNNTAGGGCCTGGCAGTCTCTGTACTCCTGCCGGCAGCTGATCCTTTTCGAATTGTTGATATAGTTGATGAAAGATACCACGGCTATCACAACAACCACCGCGATTATTGAAATAAGTGCCATACTGGTTGTTTATGATTCGAAAGGCTGTTGAAAAGTTAAGGGTGTAAAGAAACTAGGCGTCTAAGAAGTGGAGATAGTATCCTCCAGTATAGAGCAAGAAAACAGAGGAAACGAAGAGCACAAGACAAAGGTATCAACAAGGAAAAGCTGGTCAGAAGAGGAGGCACATATAGTACCGAGATTATATACCTGACAACTCATGGAGACCGGTTGCAAATGGCTGTCGCTCGCACATGCTAATGGACGGAATGTATCAGATCCGAGACCCGCACGAGGTACTTCTGACAGAGACAAGACCATTAGTAGGCTTGGAAGGAGTCGACATCAAGCTGCCTTCTGTCGATACTATTTCTGTTTGCTCCACAATAGTTTGATAGACGGATCGACCATCCAGTGGTTCGTGCCATGACGGCCCAGCCTTGGGCTCGGACACGCCGTGTTTTGTCTACCTCCGTCAATTCCAGAGAGGCATATGCCATGAAGCTGCCTGACTTGGCAGAACCGATCTGGTCGCATGCCATGAATGGCTTTGCACGCGACGGATCCAGTAGTACAGCTTGGCCAAGCGAGGTGGGCATATGTTCAATGGAGCAGGGTGAGATTATGACGATCAGTCCCAACTATGGGAAACCGCAAGAATGAAACCGCATGTGGTTGATGTTTTGAATCTTGTCTCCTTGAGGATACATCTTTGTTTGAGCCTAAGCATGTGAAACTGGAGTCTTTCCGCTCACGTTACGACTTGCCCTGATCGCCGCTAACTTGGACCTCTTGAATCTGCATGCGGCATGTTATCCGAGCCAAGTGGTCTAATTCGGTTCTTTCGCTCGAAAGAGATAACACCTTCGACAAACAAGTCTTTTGCTCTGCAGACGTGAGAGGTCGTGGGTGCACATCAGATTGCACTGACCACTCAAAGGCTTATCTTGAGACTGGCCAATCGGAGCTTTAGCTGGGATCCTCTTCCAATTACCCGCCTTTGCATTTCTAACCTCACCTCGCAACTTCCGATGAGGAGACCCGAATGTTCCTCACCAAAAGCATCGCTGGCCGCCTTTCCAAGAGCTGCAACGTTATGTCAGTTGGCATATAATATTGTTGACAGCAGAATCGATCAGCACTCGGTGCTTTAGCGACCGAATAGAACGTGTCCTCTTGCTAGGATTCAACCCTTCTACAACAATCCAGGTGTACAAGCTGAAAAATCCTCATATTTTCATCTTGGCACGCTGAGCGCATCTGCATGTGCCGAGTCGAATATTCAATGCCAATGTGCATGTCTTGGACATCCAAAACGTTGCTCTTCAAGGCCCATGGTAAGTGGGGATTTTCTGAGCTTGGCTGAACTCAAGAGTCTCTTCGGGCATTATTGTACCCAGCACTCAGGAATTTCCTGTGCATTCGGACGTTTTTCTATAGCCTTCCGGGCCCTACAATCAAGCAGCCTGTCGTGCAGCCGCTGATCGACCTCATTAGACGTGTATAAACATTCGCTTAAGCTCCGAGATAGTGACCTTCTTTTTCTCCAGAGTTTTCTCCGGAGCCAGCCTCATCAAGCCATGGTCACAATAGTGGCGGCGTCGATCGAGCTATAGTTCTTGTGTGGCTGCGTGAATCAAATATGCTCACATGCCAGAACGTCATCGTTGGTTGCCTACGAGTGGCGTAACTCCCAGGCGGATGGCTCAATATGCCCAGCACTCGTTCAAGTAATCATTCTCCCCATGGGCTTCCGCGATTGTCCTGGCATCCTATAAAGTTAGGGCTGAGTTGGCAATTTGGCAGTGCATACATCAATTCACACCTCCGCCAGCTTGGCTGCATTCGTTTGAATGCCTGTCCCAATCGCCGACCTCAGATCTGTTCAATAGACATCCGATGTCCGCCGCTCTTGGATGCGGTGTGAACGTTCGCGGCATGTGGCTTCGGCTGATGGTTTAGGCCTCAAGTCGATATCGCACAGAGTTTCTCTCTGCTATCCGAGACGATGAGGCTCTGGAGAGTCAGGACTCATCGATGTTGCACACGTCTCTGGAGCTATCACCTGGCTCTAGTCCAATGTTCAGTCACATGCTAGTCGCTTCCTGGTAGGCAGCACGTAGGATAAGGGAAGCGGTCGAAATATCTCAGTGATTGGTCATCTTGCTTCTGGCACATGCAGACGTCTGTATATCTGTGCAATGACTGCCCAAGACCATGGTGGCATGACAGTATGGTATGGCAATCAACGCTTTCGCAATTTGATGATCATCGACAACTTATGTCATTAATCTAAGCTATCTAATATGTGCCGCAGGAATTGATCGTCGCGGAAGATAAGCTTAGGGGTCAGCCTCCATGTTCATGACAAGATTTGTGCTGCCACGTTCATCAGATTGACTATCATTCTGTGTGTTGGCATCGCCGTTATCATTGCCAGTTGAGGCGTGGGGTTTGACATGATCGGCAGACGTCAACGTTTACCTGCATCCTTCTGCACAGCGTAGATTGCGTGCAGGCTCTATCGACGCAGATTCAGCATGCTTGTGACAGGCCACTTTTGCAATACGCTGGAGTATCTGATTGCGGGGCTCATTCCCTCGCGTGATTCTCATTCCTTTCATGCTACTTGCATCTTCGTATTGTTAGAATAAGCATGGATCCGCATATTAAACCGGCACTCAGATGCAAGTTTGTACTATATCCATTCCATTGATCAATGCTGCAGACAAGCCCTTTCAAAAGTGCCGGGGTTTTGTTTTTGAGCGTTGCAAAAACAAAACTTCTTCAACACCCACCACAGACAAAGGCTTCACACGGAGCTCTCGCTCCGTGTCTTTCTCATGAACCTGACCCGATTTGAACGGATGACCTTGTGGATGTTCCGGATGACACTGGAATCACACGCGCTACCGCTGCGCCACAGGTCCATTGATGAAAGAGAAGATTGAGATTGAGCGACATTGAAGTCTCGGTCCATGCGAGGGGTGGAGTTCGATGTCCGTGCGTAGATGTATGTAGTCCGTGCGAGCGCGAAGCTTCTCATCATTCAAACGCGTCCATTCTCTGTTCCTCCAGCTTTTGTCCAATCCCCTCCTTGTCGTCGACCCAATGCTCTGCGCAGTATCCACTCTTTGCTCGTGATCTCTTGTTCGTCGAGCTCATCTGGGTTCTGTCGCCTCCTCTCGTCGATTAAGGTGCTTCCGTTCAACGCTTTCAGTATCACATCATCTGCTGGTCTGGCGAAATACACCAAGCTCATCCGTGTATGGTCAGCTTGCTGACCTGGAGGGTTGATGACGCGATGGATGTTTGACCGCAAGATGCCGGCACTGAATTTGACCATAGCATCGCCCAAGTTGATGACGGCATGCCCCCTTAGTGGTTTGACGTAACACCACTCATCTGAATTTGGCGGCAAGACCTGCAGTCCTCCTAGTCGATTGAACAGGATTGTGACGCTTCCAAAATCAGTATGCTGGCCTAGTGATATTTTCCGGTCGTCCATCGGCTGAGGTGGTGCATGTACCCAGCGAACTTGATCGCCAGAGGCTGATGCCAGTCTGTGCAAAGACGACAGTTTGTCGTGTGGAAGACCTAGTTGATGGTTCAACAGATCCAACAGTAAGTTCACAAGAGCGTGAGATTGTTGCATGAAAGACCTGAGCAAGTCTCGATGTGGATTCAGAAGCTCAGGTGCCGGCAGGGGCTCGGAGAGTCCTAGGATGTCGTCCTTCGAAANCCTGGAAAAGGTATCAGCGACTGTTGCTCTGAAGGTCAAGGTGTTTCTTGCATTATAGAACTCATTTCTATCTTTCGTCCCTTCAGCATCGATGACACCTTGGCCATATCCCTTATAGCCAAAGTAGCTTCCTTGGTCCTTCAGATCGTACTTGACCTTTTCTTCGACAGGCAGGTCAAATACACTTTTGCCGACTCTGAACAGATTCTCGGCATCTTGGAGCAATTGTTCGCCGTCGATGTTAACATTGAGGTCTCCAAAGTTGTCATCTTTGGCTTGAGCACTATACTCATCATGTCCGTTGGCCGAATCGGCTCTGACACTCTCTTGCCAGACGTTCTCGGTGGAGCCTCCCACTGCAGGAGACGTTGGGCGGTTTTCATCATTGTCCGAGACACTACGAAGGTCGAGATAGAAGAAGCCAAGCTCGCAGCAAGCTTTCCATAGCTGTTTAGTTTCCTCTTGGTCGCCTTCAGTGAGTTTGCGCAGACTTATTCGGAGAAGTGGCGCTGTGGGCACATCGTCAGGGAATGGCGGCAAGTTCATGAAGTTCAAGTCCTCTTCGGACTGCTCTGCTTTGTCGTGCATGAGACCGTGACGAACAGGTTGTTCCTTCGTTCGGGTTTATTGATCTGTCACGATACTGTGGATGAGAACAGTCGTATTGTCGTCTTGGAAATTGTGAGGAGATAACACTTTCGAGATCGAGCACATCACGAGTACCTCCGAGGTTCCCCTCATCTGACGACAACGGAAAATCGGCACATATGAAGATACTTGTTATGATAGATCGACGGTCGAGATTCGCAACCTATATCAACCATATGAGATTTAGATTAGAATCATTCCATTGTTTCTTTTGTGACGAGAAAAGGCGACCTTTCGCCTGCTGTAGAATCACCAAAGAAACCGTTACAGTCAACCCAGAGCTCGAAGTCTTGTGTCCTCGTAAATATGTATTTGCATCAATCACTGAATTATTGATTCTGCGGTGCTGTTTGCGATGGAACATAACTACCATCAGCAACCTGTAGTCCCTGACCCATCATGTCGAATGCCATGGGCACCATAAGGTCCGCACCATTGTTAGGTCCAAACAAATCCGTCATACCGATAGTGCTGTAGTCAAACGAAGGCATCTCAAGAGAGTTATACAACCACGAGCCTGCAGAGTCATAGGGTGTCTGATCAAACATCTCGTTGTTGAGCCATGTGAATGACTCCATCAAGTTGGTGCCCAGATCACTTGTCGGCTCTGTGGACTTGAGAGCATCCTTTGCAATCTTCATCACATCTAGACTGATGGCTCGACCTGTTGTGGAGCCAATGTGATCGATCTGGTCTAGGCATTTCAGCCCCTTCTCCACCGCTTGAAATACTTCTTTTGCATGTGCTGATGTTGTTTCTGTATCGAGGACATCGAAGAGCAGGACGAGACATGCAGAGACGATGAAGTAGACCATGTTTCCATCTCTTCTCATCGCGAGACAGCGGTTAAAGAACCCGTCGTAGACAAGTGAAATCAGATCCTTGGCAGATGCTACGGTGAGGTCGATGTCTCGTTGGATGTCGATGCGGTCGCCTATACTATCTTGGGCCTGCTGCTTTGAATCGAAGAATGTGACGTAGACCAAAGCCGGCCGCATCATCAAGATGCATGCGACATGGTAAGTGGCGCCCAGGCAAATCCGTTGCACCTCTTGCCATGTTTCACCAACCAGTGTCTTGTCATCAAAGAAATGCAGGTATGAGGGCAGAGTATCCAGGAGATCACGCAGCGCTCGCGAACATTCATTGTTGATTCGATTGACTTCTGTCAGATCGGCAACTCGTGATGGCTTGGTGGGAGAGTAATGACACGCCATAATCCGTTCGCTGATCTTGCCAAGTGCAGCCATTGCTCTAATGTATGCATATTCGATGTTCTGACCTCCACTCTCTGCACGCTGACAGTCGGTAGGATGAGGAGCGTCGATGGAACTGTCAACGAAGCATGAAGGCCTCCCAGTGAACATCGACATCATTCGCTCCATGTAGAATATAGTCCAAAAGGTTAGGCGGAGACTGTTCAAGAACGAATCGTTCCCTGCCACTACCTGAGAACGATGCAGGCCCAGTGCCATTGCAGACCGCGAAGCATGTCCAAGGTAAAGATACACCATGTTTGGTCTTCCGATTTGCATCCCGTACAATGNCCTATCACCAATGAGATAATATCAGGTGCGTTTTCATAGGGACAATCTTACTCTTAGTAACAGCAGGTGAGTCCCAAGAAGAGACGTCTCTTCGAAAGAGTCTGTAGGTACGCCTGCATGTTCGTAAAAATGTTGAGCCCAAGCATCCGATGAAGAAGGCGCATGGTCAGTCAATCTCGCACCGATAGCTAGAACCATGTACAAAATCGCCTTTTCTTTAGCAAGCTTCTTGCTTTGACTCGGCACAAAGCTAGGTCCAGTCCAGAGAGCCTCCCATGTCCGCCGGACATCACGCTCAGACAGTATCGGTCCCTGGGGATGCATGAGAGTGAAATAAGCTGAGATGAAAGCCTCACCTAGCTCTTTTGGCAGAAAACTGCCGTCTGGAATTGAATTCTNTTCTGAGGAAGCCTCGTCCCCGTGAGTGAATATTTGACGTTCGATACCCCATTTTCGAAGACCCTCTGGCACCTGACGCGATACGTTGAGTGGCGCGTTACTTTGACGGCGGATGCGTTGATACAGTCGTTGCACAAATGAGAAGTGACTTGAAGGACCGTAAAACTGGTACGCATCCGTGTTGCTGTCAAACGCACCGATACCAGCTCGCAATTCTTGCTGTTTCTTATCGGTGACTGGGTCTTCATAAGTGCGCTCACTCGATCGCGGTGCTTGTTCAGTTTTCGACAGCTGTCGCCTTCGTGAAGGCTTCGGCGCAATTGATCTGATGCTTGCGGATGAACGCGAGCTAACACCACCGGGATAAAGACAATCAATGTGGCTATCCAGGCATCTTCGGCATGGTAAATTGCCATCGCATTTGACCTTTCGAGCTCGGCAGATGTTGCAAGCTCGTGTGGCTCTCTTCCTTGGAGTAGATCCAGTAGTCGAATTCGGCGTGGTCTGACATTCCATGATGACAAGTTGTCAAAGTCTTCGACGAGACTTCCTGATGTATTTGGACTATGGCATCGTACTTGAATTAATCTGAATAATGATGGGGAGCATTTCTGATGCGAATCGCGAAAAGTCTCGAACTTAGCTGACTAAGCTATCCACTTCAGTCAGAGTACTACGTTCTAGTCAGCCACTTCTCTCGGATATCTTGATCCTAATCTAAGTTTTCAATGGTTGATAGAGGTTGTGAATCTCGAGCGCTGACGATGGGACGACCAAGCAGATTTATTTGCCAGCTACGTCCTCCAGCAACAATCAGAACACTTCGAGCATCTAGGCTTCGTGATTATATTAGGATACCTCAACTCAGGAGAGCGCTTCTGCACGCCTCCAACGCCGATTATTCCCATAAAGGAGTCAGGACACTAACCAAGGGCCAAGCAAATATACTGCGATGCTATTGCTCATGTTAGAAGACACAAAAGAAGGGTCAATCATACGTTAGGGTTGATGACAGGGTCGTACCACCAACGATAAAATTATGCAACAAGCGAGCATCATCGCTCGTCCACGCCTTCAAATTGAGAGACAACATCAAGGGGTCTGCGATCGATGACAATAGATAGAAAGGATCGAAAGGCTAGTGGAGTGTGAGGCATTGGAAATGACAGGAGTTGGCTTATGAATTTGTTGACGGGAAACAATAGACGTCGAGATTATAGACGAGCTGGATATAAGAGATTTGCTGATGCGAAGGGATCACTACAAGGAAAATTTACGACAATGAAGAATTGGCAATGCAGTCATGTCCATCAGTGCCACATTGACTCTGTAATTTAAGTCGGCAGCGACTGATGGAGCGACTGGGCATGAGCAATACGCTCTCACGTTTACACAACACAAGGTCACAGGACAGCATATCACGATAGGCAGGCGCGAAGGGTTGAGCCTTTCCTCGCCTTTGTCCATGCCTAGAGATGGCCTCTTCTCAAATGAGACGAGTTGATCTCGCGAATTTGCACAAGGGCAAATGGTTTGTTCGGTGGAGAAATTGCATTCAACTAATACGCTGAAGAGCACTCCCACCCAGCTACCACGCTGACAAAAAAAAATCCATGATGCCGGATGCCACCTTTCATAACTTTTCTTTTGTCGGGTCTTCCTTCATCAGTCACGATAAGCGACGAGCTTATGCGACGAGCTGGACAACACCACCGGCCTCCTTGATCTTGCGCTCGGCCTCAGCAGAGACGTAACGGGCACGGACGATGATGGGGATCTTGGGGAGACGGCCCTTGCCGAGGACCTTGGAGTAGCCGANGGGCAGGAGGTCGAGGACGGGGGCGGAGTCGGAGTCACCCTTGCCGGAGAGGTACTTCTCGCGCTGCTCGGCGGGAACGAGGGACCAGAGCTTCTCGAGGTTGATGACGGGAGCCCAGAACTGGTTCTGGAGCTTGTGGAAGTAGCGCATACCGACCTTACCGCTGCGGTGGTTGTAAGCATTTGGATGCGAAAGGATTGAGCGNNAGCAGAGTAAAACTTACAAGTAACCGGGATGGTACTTGTCCATGTTGGTTCTGTGGTGGTGCTGACCACCGGCAAGACCACGACCACCGGGGTGCTTGCGGTGCTTACCGACACGACCGTGACCGGCAGAGACGTGACCGCGGTGCTTGCGGGTGTTGGAAAGGCGGGTAGGCATCTTGACTTGTTGTTGCCGTGGAGTCGCGGATGAGGAAAGAAGAAGAAACCAAAGCGATCGCAAAGTTGCCAAAGTCGAATTTCGTCTGTGGTCCGAGCAGCGCAAATTCCTTGGCGTTGAATGCGCTCGCTTAAACTCCTCGAGCCTCCTTGCACGTGATCAAAGTCTCGAGAGCTGTTGCTGGACTTGGCGATGACATCAATGTGCTTCTCAATCACATGCGTGATGCAGAGCATCCTCGTACTTTCTTCCACTTCTTGAGGTAGCACAATCGACGACCATGGCAGCTATTAATACGCTGTTTCTCACTTTCAACTGTGGACGCGAACTGGTCAACAGTGACTTCTTCGCCGCCAGTATCAACCAAGGCCTCTCCCACACTCAGCTCCCTCCAGATGTCATAGCCCTTTCGCTGCAGGAGATTGCTCCTCTGGGCCAATCTTTCCTCGGAGGCTCCTTTATCTCACCCTATTTTGAACGCTTCTCTGAGACGATTCAGAAACTCAATCAACTCTGGAAACACGACGAACAATACGAGACGATACTATGCAGCAACGTCGGAATGACTGCGCTAATGCTGTTCGCACGACCCGAAGTCGCCCGCAACATCCGAGGTATACAGACGGCTGGTACAGGAGTAGGAGCATGGGAGATGGGTAACAAAGGAGCTGTTGGTGCGCGTCTGGCTTATGCAATTGATGATGGCAGTGAGATGGACCTCACCTTTGTCGCAGCTCATCTGGCTCCTCATGAAGAGGCCTGGCAGCGTAGGAACCTGGATTGGCGCTCCATCAACGAGAATTTGGTCTTCACCAAAGTCACGGGCGCTGAAAAGACACGAACTCGTGCGACCAACAACGAAAGCATTCAAGACGAAACCGAACCCTTGCTCTCTTCGGCTACCGACGACCAGCACACTTCGCAAGAACAGGACAACGCTTTGATAACCCCAAGCTCTTATGTTCTCTTTGGCGGTGACCTCAATTATCGCACCTCGGACATTTCACCACATCCCGACAACCACCACGCCTTCCCACGCCGCAATGACTCGCCCGAAGATGCCACCCACTACTCACATCTCATGCCCAACGATCAACTGTCCCGTGAGAAAGCCGCTGGAAACACGCTGCACTATCTAAGCGAAGAGAGAATCAATTTCGCACCAACATACAAGTTTTCGAAGAAATCGCAGAAGCAAGCCGCAGAGGCTGCCGAAGACGTTCAAAAGCAGATGCAATCGGGTGCAAATGCAGTCTCAATGCCCGACGAGGTGGACTGGTACTGGGCAGAGCACCGTCACCCCAGTTGGTGCGATCGTGTATTGTATCTTGCACTACCTGGCCACGAACCAATTGTCCACACCTACAATTCGCTCTCGCTACAACCGTCGTCAGATCACAAGCCCGTCATCTTGTATGCCTCAATACCCACTCATCCATTGAAGTCATTGAACCATGGTATCAAGGCACCGTACACCATCAAGGAGGGGTGGAAGCANAGGCGTGAGGCAGCCCGACGTATGGAGCTGGTTGTCGGAGCTGTGACATATCTTACCCTAACCTGGGAAGGAGAGGCGTTGTTGCTAGGTGCAGTATTGGCCATAGTGGGCGCATGGGCGGCCTTGAGTTCGTTGTTGTAAGAAAAGCACGACGGGATTGAAGATAATATGTGGTATGAGTGATGATAAAGATGGATACCCCTGAGATGATCATCTCATAGATTTATGACAGAAATCACCAGCCTCAATCTCCCTCCCAACGATCGTGACAGTTTGAAGGCATGTGGGTATCATTCTAGACCAGTGGTATCTCTATGTCTATATTCATATTTCGATTTACGTCGAACTCAGTTCTTCCCGAAACCACGCTCCTCCAACATCTTGACAAAACCATTCGAGAACCTCTCGACCTGCTCATATGCAATATCGAATCCTCTGGAGCCACCATAGTAGGGGTCATCCACTTCTTCCTGGCCCTTACCACCCCAAACACCGAACAGCATAACCTTACCAGCCTCTTCTTCTGTCACCTCTCCCTNTTTGATCATTCTCTTTCTTGCGTTCAGCAAATAGTCCTCATTGTTGGTGTCCATGGCAAAGATGTAGTCAAAGTCTTTGAAGTCAGAATTGCGGAATTTGCGGGCTTGGTGTGTGTAGAAGGACGAGGTGATCTTGTGGGCGTTCAAGACAGAGATGGTTCGTGGATCGGGTTCGTCGCCCACGTGGTATGCACCGGTACCGCAAGAGTCGATGGAGGAGATCATGGGGTGTGCATTGGGTCGTGTGTGGTTTGTGATGTGACGGAACACGCCCTCGGCCATTGGCGAGCGNNACCTTGGACATTTTGTTAGCATGATGGTAGAAACGAAGCGGGGGGACGTACAGATGTTGCCCAGGCAGACGAAGAGGACCGACACGGGCTTTTGCGCTTCTGAGATTGTCATGTTTGTGTAGTATCAGATTAATGTGTGAGTGAGCAAAAGATGATGGAGATGCGTTCATTGATCGGCATGTGAAAGTATACTCGGCCCGATCGGGAAAGTGACGACAGCAGGGTCCATCCTTCTGTGTCCTTATTCCCGAACAACCCCTCCTCTTGCTATTTAATCTGTTCATGTGCACCTGTCGAGAATCATGAAGGAATACCACTCAGCATGCAGACCCAAAAACCCATCTCAGACAGAGGTCTCGCTCGGACCTCTACGCCGTCTCCTCTCACCAAGCCTAGCTTTTCACCAGATCTCCTGTTATGGATCAGTTACCTCGCTATTGGCCTGGTAAACTTTGCTATGGTGGGAGACAAGAAATATTTCCAGCTACCTCAAGTTATCCGTGATTTCGTGTGCGGACCCTGGATCATGCTGGTGAATATTCTTCCCTTTAGTCTGGTCGTGTATCGAGCCTTCCAGCAACCCAAGCCACCCTCGATTTCTGCACGTAAACCTGTATCCACACTTGAACTTTCTGTCTGGATGAGCTTTCTTGTCTCCGGTCTGATGGTCTCTGCTGTCTGGGCCAACGGCGCATTTTTCACACTTCCTCAAGCCTTGAGCAGCTCTTTGCCTGGACCTTTGACCGCACTAGCTATAATGTTCTTTCACATCATTCCGGTCTGTCTGGTCGCTCACTGGGAGGCTCACAAAGACAAGAATCTTCTGCCTAGGAGTGAACCTCTATCTTTGCGAGAACGCCTCGTCTTCCTGAGCTTCATGGTTTCTTGTCTGATCGGCTTGGCTGCGTGGGCCAACGGTACGTTGTTCCAGCTCCCTGAGGCCGTGAGCGAGTTTCTGCCTGATCCACTCTTCATCTTGATCACACTATATCTACACATGATAACCATCGCAATATTCTTTGCACCCCAACGCCTCACGCAACCGAGTTGATTCTAATCTGCTTTGGTCTCTCGTCCTCAGGCTCCGATATGAGGGATTTGGGAGATTGAGATGCGACAGAAGTTTTGAGAGTTCGCGATATGACTGTTGGCCACGTGCGAGCTGGTATGAGTGAGTCAAATCACAACATATTTAGAAGCGTCCAATACCTATCAAACACACTTTCTCCATCTTCACATTTTCTGAGAGACAGAAGATATGTCCGCGCAACTACAAAGAGCAAGGCGGTCCACACGTCACAGCTACAGACGCAGTATAGCCTTAGAACGAGAACTCGAGGACCACCTGCAGAGATATTCCGCATCGCATGGAGTCTCAATACCCACATTCGACTTCCTCAACAGTCTGCCACCAGAAGTATCACTCGACTCGCGCTCAAGATTTTTAAGGGCGCTTCTACCCAAGACCGAGTTGCAACTCGACCACTTTCTGGACTCGGATTCGGCATTCGATGATATGGACGTGACATTTCCAAACTTTGATCTTTTTGATACGAATGTGCACGCTCGTCTTGATGCTCGTCTATTTGAGCAACACCCCAAAACGACATGGAAGCAGTTTTGCGACTCGACTGTCCACTCTGTGTTTATGAAACACATTGACACTGTGACCTTTTCCATGAGGATGAAGAAGCCTTCGAGAATGTACGTCACTACAAAATTCGATGGTGACGGTCCTCTCCTTGATATGGGATTTGAAGGCTTCAGACTCGGGGACGCCTATGATCGTCTGGATGACGAATACATCGAGATAGAATTCGACGAGCTGGTAATCCGGTGGAAAGAAGCATGGAAGCCTGCTGCTATGACTCCCGAGGTCATCGAAACTATGGCAGCGGACCTGAGGAAGATGTACAAAGAAATGCGTTGGTAGAATATTGCTTCTCAAGCAATGAACATGAAGATAAGCATCGGAAAACACTTGTTACACTGTTCTGATATCTCTTCTTCTGTATAATATTCTTGTCTATTAGTGTATAAGATTCTGGTCCCTATAATTTACATCTTAGTTTCCGAGATTTCTGTCCTATCTGTGTACTTTGAGTCTGTTCAGACCAAATCCTTGCTGCTGCGCCCTGATCTCTCGCAACTCTCTCTTGGCAGCTCCATCAGCCATAACGTCCTTGTTCTCGACAGCATCCTCGATGGCTTGCGCACCCTCTGTCCTGGTCCATCTAAGCAACAAGACCATCACACCACTGGCCACGATACTAGCGCAAACCATGCCTACCATGACCAAATTGCTCTTTCTGTACTTGTGAGGACCTCTTGCGTCTTCAGGCCAACCAGAGTATAATGCATAGGTAGTCAGGATGGAGCCGAGGTTACCAAGACCAGACACGAGAGCCGAAGCTGCAGCGATACCGACCTCGCCGTGACGCGGCTGGAAAACGGAAGTGCTCATAGCCATAATAGTAGGAACAGTAGGACCGAGACCAAAGCCGATGATTAGGAGACCGCCGTATCTCGACCAGCTGTCGTTGCCGCCAGCGAAAGTGGTGGTGAGAAGACCAGCTAGGATGACGAGACAGGACAGACTGAAGATGAGGTGGCGGTGAGTGTGGAAGCGATCGCTGAGAGGCGTGATGAGAAGGATGGCGATCAGATCCATAATCCAGATGGGTGCGAAGAGCAGCGACAGGTTGATACTGCTGAGACTAGGGTTGATGGCATGGATGATGACGGTACCGTAACTTTGAACACCAATACNCTGATAGGCTGGTTAGCACAAGCCATGATGACTTAAGAGAAGCAAAGACGTACCAACGCCTACGACACCAAAGTACATGATTACCAATGGCCAGAGACGCCAGTCGATGAGCACACGACCCAGGTCTTTCCAACCCCATGCAGGGCGATGATACACTCTCGTCAGCTCTTCGTAATGGATACGGGCGTCTTCTCCTGTAAGTACGGGTGGGCTTCTTGGCAAAAGTCGTCTCCAGCCAACAGGTTGCTCAATCTTCTCACCAGGCGGGTGAGGACGATCGGGCAACCACCATAGTAGCACAATGCCAAGGATGACTGCCAATAAACCATAGATGAGGAACATCCACTGGAAGCCGACAAGACCACCAAGACCATCCATCTTCTGGAACCCAGCACTAACAAGACCAACGACTGCGGCGGAGAGTTGTGCTGCAGTATAGTAGTGTCCAATGCGTCTCGCGCAGCGTGAAGGCGGGTAGTAAAGACTGAGGTAGTAGGTCATGCCAGGCCACATGCCAGCAATAACAATGCCCAACAACAGTCGGAGCAGGTACAGACTCCAAGCTGCCTTCATAGCTGTCATGCATGTGCCAATGATACCAACACTTAGCACGATTCTGCTCATCCATACGTGCGGGCTCAACTTCGACATGATAAGGTTTGAAGGACAATCGAAAACGACATAGCACACGTAGAAGAGCGCTAGACCGGTGGAGACTTGCTTGGGTGTCAGGTGGAGCACATCTGAAAGGTTATGACCTTGTGCTGAGTTCATCGTTTGTGCCAGACCAACATTAGAGCGGATGGCTGAGCAGAGGAAATATAGTATCCAGAATGCTGTATTATTGTCAGTCATTGCCGCTTATCCAGTGAGAATGACAGCCATACGCGGGATGATTCTGCGATCGATCTTCCTATTGCATTATTAGATATTGTCGGTCGAACTTGTAATTGAGATAACATACTTGTAGACACGCTCAATACGAGCCAGATCAGCACCCTCAGATCCCAGCTCCTGATCGTCGATGATTGGTGCCTCCTTAGAGCCATAACCGGCCAGTTCCATGGCAGCAGCTTGCTCTCGCGAACCAGCCATGATAGTGAGTCGACTATGATGTTATCTTTCTCGAAAGAAAAAAGCCGAAGTATGATGGAGCCAATATCCTAATGGGGAAGAACCAGATTGATAAGATCAAAATTCTCTCAGCTTCTCAGTACAGCATGTCCGCACTTTGAGGGTTGACCAGATATTTAGACAATGGGCCGAGAAATGAGTCACGGTGAGCAGGAGAAGCTTCTTATATAAAAGTTTGTCCGAAGCGAGTCCGATGTATGGTTGAGGATCAAGTCCTATGGTCGTTTACTGATGGTAGAAGCCACATTTTGGAGCTTTGAGCGAGAGCGGAGATTTTTGTCTTCAGCCGGTGCCGTAGCGTCGTTCTTGACTTGCCGTAGGCGCCGCCTTTAGAGCTGTGCTTGTCCGATGACTTCTGGTAGATTTCCAGATTTGTTCACACCCTGTCGGCCATGGAAAACGGTGTTCGCATTCGTACTGGAATCTTCCATCTCTATTATCCGGCCATACAACCATACGTTGTGTAGATATGGTATTGGGATATTACTGCTGCTTCTCGGACGAGCGAGCGCCGAACCGGCACATCATAAACGTCATGCCATGTGGTCAGAGCTTCCAAATGTTCAAGTCGACTCTTTGGTCTAGCCATCGTCGAAACATCAAACAAAGCTCGAAGACAAGATGATTTTCACACAATGCAGACGGACGCTACTGCCCTCATCATTCTCGGCATGTCGCCGGTCTGTTTCTACTCTNCCTAACAATCCCCACATTGTATGTTGAAGAATCGAGGCCAGTAAAGTCACTCATCTGACACGACATGGCAGNTATGTACACCCGCAGTCGCCTACTGTCAACGTCCTTTCCTTGCTGCCCACGTCGCCTCCGACGGGATCACTCGCTATCGGTGTCACATCGCAAATCCCGCCAACCCCGGACTCGTTGCGTGAAAACCAATCATTTATGAAGGTCCTACAATCAGTGATACGAGAGCATGCAACCAAGGACCCCGAAGTCATCGCACAAGCCCAAGCATATGCCAGCTCAGCAGGATCCTCACTAGGCTCTGGAGGTGTCTTCTTCCCTCAGATGCGAACCAAGCGCAGCAAGAGAAGTACAGGATATGGTGGTGGAGGCGGCACTGGCGGAGACGGAGCTGGAGGAGCCTCAGCTCAGGGCGGCGCCGGGGGTGCAGGAAGAGGAGGATACATCCACGTCAGTGATCAGAGAAACCCACCGGATTACGGTCGTGTCGCCTGGCCCGAAGACATTTTTGGCAGTCTCGAAGTTGACGCAGTCGGTAACTTTGTGGGCGAGAACGGCAGCTATCAAGAGAGCGGAACGTACAGATGCGTGACGCGGGAGGGAATGTGAGTACATTACGGAAGTGCCGAGCGAGATGGATTTGCTGACAAGAGTATGCATAGTCTTGGACTCAGCCCGTACCTTCGCGAGAAACTCGTCGCGCGACTCAAGCAACTCGAGGCGGAGAAGAGCAAGTGAAGCGAAGCAGGTACTTGTAACATGTTTTGGACAGGGTGTTGATGGATGCGGTTGATTGAAGCATGACAGGCAGATGGACTATATTGCAGGAACGGGAGCATGCACTTGCGGCTTGATTAGTTGCCGAGAGAATGCTACGCATCATGAGTGCATTGCATATGCCATGTCGGTTGGGCATGGCAGAGGCATGACACTGGAGCTTGTTTCAATCAAGTTCCGACAAATCAATGTAAGACTGTAGAAAGATTGTGTCTCGAGGAATTAGTCGAAAATTCTGGAACTCGAAGGGTTGCTCCATGCGTGATGAGGGGCGCGGGGCAGCTTGGCTGAGTATGAGCAGCCTTGTCTGCCGATAGAAAGAGCAGTTGAGGAGCTGGAAGCAGATGCAGACCTACCTAGGTAATCGACAAGGGTCATCTGCAACAAGCCGAAAAAGGAGCCTCTCAGTTGAGCCAAAGAACAGAAGCAATTTAGAGGCATGGTGCAAGCAGGTGGGCAGTCGTGTGTCTCGTGATGACATATGCTCCCCAGTTTCCCGCACGGGCCTTCCTTATACCGGGAGCAGCGAGCGAGGGACACGAGGGGACCGCACTTGATCACCATGCGCCCATACCGAATCACAACTCACCAAGCACCATCTCCTCTTGCAAACATCCCAGAGAATCGCCGTCCAACATCCACCGCCCCAGCTGGTAATCCGAACAGCTGAGGTGGCCAGTTTGCTAGCCGACAAGTGCGACGTCGGCGCCCATCCGCACCAGCATCCATCCGTCGACATCACCGCACATCCCGACAACTAACAAGTGCGCCCTCAACCACTTCGGCTGATTTGAAGCTCCTCGTTCGACTCGTCGCTCCCTCTTCTCCTCCAACGTCCTTGGCCTCGCAGCCAACGCGTCGCTTCGTCCACAATGGCTCAGGCCTTCGACGATGATGATCTCTCGCTTTCCATGACCCGTCGCCCGACCAATGGCTCGCAGAATGACGACTCAAATCCTCCTACTGCCATGTCGGCCATTTCCAAGTCACAACCTGCTCCTCCTGCTACCAACAAGAGACGTCTGGGTCAATACGACATTGTCAGAACGTTAGGCGAAGGCTCCTTTGGCAAGGTCAAACTGGCCGTTCATAAGGTCAGCGGCCAGAAAGTCGCCCTCAAGATCATCTCTCGTCANAAGCTCGTCACTCGCGACATGGCTGGCCGCATAGAACGCGAGATTCAATACCTGCAATTGCTGCGCCATCCTCACATCATCAAGCTCTACACCGTCATCACCACCCCAAAAGAAATCATCATGGTCCTCGAGTACGCCGGCGGTGAGCTCTTCCAGTACATTCTAGACCACGGACGCATGGCCGAAGACAAGGCTCGCAAGTTCTTCCAGCAAATAGTATGCGCTGTCGAGTACTGCCATCGTCACAAGATTGTTCACCGTGATCTGAAACCTGAGAACCTACTCCTCGACGACGCTCTCAATGTCAAAATCGCCGACTTTGGTCTGAGCAACATCATGACTGATGGAAATTTCCTAAAAACTAGTTGTGGCAGTCCGAACTATGCAGCTCCCGAGGTCGTCGGCGGCAAGCTATATGCCGGTCCTGAGGTTGATGTCTGGAGTTGCGGTGTTATCCTCTACGTCTTGCTTTGTGCTCGCCTTCCTTTTGACGATGAATACATCCCGACGCTTTTTAAGAAGATTCAGTCTGGCACGTATCATACGCCAAGCTACATATCATCCGGCGCCGCTCGCCTGATCAAACGAATGCTGCAGGTCAGCCCCGTCAATCGTATCACCATTGACGAGATCAAGCTCGATCCATGGTTCCTCAAAGACCTGCCCGACTATCTCACACCACCCGTCGAGGAGTTTATGGATCAGGGCATCGATCCCAACAAATCCATCGACCCGGCTAAGTTGGCCCCCACGAAACCTGCTGTGGTGCAACAGAAGTTGCATGAGAGTGTAGTCGGCAAATTAGGCAAGACTATGGGTTACGCAAAGGACGATGTGACCGAGGCCCTCGCTAAGGATGAGCCCAGCGCCATCAAGGACGCTTATCTCATTGTGCGTGAAAACACAATCATGAAAGCCAACCCTTCGCTTGCACACAACCCCGATCTGCAACCGTGGCTTGCTCAGTCTCCGCCCACCTTCCAGACGACTGTTACTTCCCCACCAAATGCCCGCCAACCGGGGCCATCGACATCCAACCCAGCCTCGAATGTTGACCACCCCCGTCATGGATCCACCAGCTCTACTCACGAAGCTCGCACTCCAGCGACGACAATCGGTATCCTGCCATCGTCACTCCCCTCTTTCCATCAAGCGTACATGCACGGTACTACCCCCAGAGCTGCCATACCTGAAGGTGAACTCGATCCGTATGCCCCTAACAGCGTGCCCGGAGGTGAAGGCAAAGAACTGACGACCGAACAACGCGCTGCTGTCCTCAAAAGATTACGGCCTCATGTCAAGGGTAATCAGATTGGAGGTCGAGACAAGCCCGAGATGATGACGCCTCTGCCCAGCAAAGACAAGAAGGTCAAACCCACCAAATGGCAATTTGGTATCCGCAGTCGCAATAGCCCTTCAGAAGCCATGTTGGCCATCTACAAGGCCTTGAAGGCAATGAATGCTGTTTGGGAAGCGCCCGTCATGCGTCGTCCTGGTCATGGTGAAGGTAGCCCGCCACGTAACCGCCGGCGACATGCCAGAGACGGAAGCCAGAGTCCTGAGTACTCCGACTCAGATCCAGAGGCTGGGACTGACCCTGAATATTCTACCCAGGAAGAACGCGCTAGACGTCGCTCTCGTAGTGGGCACGCCTCAGATATGTCAGATGACGATTTCGGCGAAGAACTATCTCGCAGCCAGCGTCGCAAGTCACATATACGTGAAGCTCTTGGACCCGAGAACGATTGGGGCTACAAAATCCCCGAGGACCCATGGATCATTAACGCAAGATTCCGTAAGGACGGCATGTTCCCTCCTGGTGTAGCACATCCATCATCGACGCACTCTAGTCGCGTGGACTTGCATGAAGGCATTCGTCGCCGTAGCTCAACGATGGGCAGCAGCACCAGTCTGGCAGCCTCACCCGCAGGCTTCAACTCACCCGTTCAACCAAGTAGTGTCCATGGCAGCGCTCACGCATCTACCGACAACGTCGCTGCCACAGGCCCTGGCAGCTTTGGCCAAGATAGCCTGCGCCGCCGTCACTTCACGCCCAACGAGAGTGCCTGGGTGTACGTGACAATCCAACTGTACTGCATCGAACAAGATAGCTTCATGGTCGACTTCAAGTGCGCCGGGTACGAACGTCTCGTGCGTCGTTTGAGACGCGAGATCAAGACGCACGCAGATGGCGAGGCGTCGGACGTCTGGCGCGATGAGGACCAGGACGACGAAGACATGGACGAAGGATACATGGGCTGTGGACGCATACCCGAAGAAAAGGATATCTCAAGTCCCTTCCCCTTCATGGATGTGGCTAGCAGCCTCATCGTACAGTTGGCCCAAGGCGCCTGATCTTATTGTCTTGTCTTCGACGACCAGGACTTGTTTTCTCGTACCTTTCTTCCTCTTCTGTCGTCATCTCAGAGGCTCTGTTGGTCGCACTCTAGCCAGCACTGGGGTTCCTTACATCTGCTTTTTGTTTCTCTCCATCTGGGCGTTCTTTCTTTCTGTGTCCCCACACTGGGACCGAAGCATTTAGGGCATGTTCGCATTGTTTTATCGCCATATCTTTGTCGCTAACAAAACTCTGTGGAGAGGCAAGAAGGTCTATTTTTTCGAGCATCATCACCAAACTCAGATGTTCTCACAAGCAAGTCATCCTTGCAAAACTAGATAGAAGTATTTTTGATATGAGAAAGACAGTATCTTAAGTCAATGAGCTTCTGTTTTTTTGTACTTTGGTTTGTGGTGATTGATCTAAGATACAGTCGATTTGTGTTTGTAAAGCTTTGATATAATTATTCGCGACCACGCAGCTACACCGACATTATTACATCCCTGCTTCCTGCTTTTGTTCCCTTTATACTCAATGCTTTTCCTTCTTCAATGCAGTTATTCCTGCTTCTCCTCGGCAGTGGCATCAGGCTCCTTTCCCTTGTTGAACAATGCTCTAAAGTCATTGTTGCTCTTTGGCTTGGTGTCCATCTCGCCAGTACCGCCCATGACCTTGTCTTCTCCTTCGGGCGACTTTGCAGAACTAGCAGCAAATCCGCCACCACGCTTGAAGCCGAGTCCGCCACGTCTGCCTTGACCGCTTCTCTGTGCAGGTCTCGAGATACCGGCTTGGGCAGGCTTGAAGGAAGTGGCGGACTTGGAAGTTTGATCGGATACAGGTTTGGCCTTGGATTTGTAGATAAGCTCCTCGACGGTGCCAATGCGCACTTCTGGACCCAGAGGGCTGCAGTCGACTCCCAGGCTGACTTTGCCGGCATCCTGAAGGTTCACGAATTCGACCATAGCACCTCCCTTGTCGCGACGGACAGTAATCTTGCGTAGTGGACCAAAATTTTCAAGGAAAGATTGTATGCGGGCATCGTTGACTGTATCGGGTAGGTTGAGCAGAGCCAGCTTGCGCTCACGTGCTGTCACAGCAGTCTCATCGTTGAGCTCCTGAGGTGCGGCGGATCCTCTGCGTCCATTGGCTGCTTCGCCAGTGCCGTTCTGACTGCCCTCTGGCGCAGGAGATCCGCTCACGTTGTGTTGAATGACTGTGGTTGCAACGTCTTTCTTTGCTGAACTCTTGTCCGTTGCTAGAGTGACACGGATAAGGCGAGACTTCAAAGGCTTGTTGTTCAGCGCCATTGCCGCTTCAGCCTCTTCGGGCTTGGAGAAAACAATGAAGGCTGTGCCAAAGAATCTGCCTTGCAGGTTCTTGATCATGCGCACGCTCACAACAGTGCCGTGCTCTTTGAAAAGATCGCGGATATCCGACTCGCTAGCGGTGAAGTCAATGTTGGCGACATGCAACTCCCGTCCCTCGGTCACAGCACCCGAGCGGACCTTTTTGGCATCAGGGTCAGAGATCTTAGCAACAAGACGGTGCTGGCCGTCAACGGCTTTGTCGTCCATGACTGTAGCAGCACGGGCTTCTTCTGGCGTGAGGAACTGCACATAGCAGAAGCGGCGTCGTTGGCTGTACTTGAGTGACGGCAAGCGAACACTGACGATGGTGCCAAAGTCCTGGAACAGTTCACGGATCTTGACTTCATCCCAGTCGGCAGGATAATTCGTCACGTAAAGGGTTGAAAGTGTTCCAGACTGTATGCGGATGGTGTTGCCATCGAAAGACTTTCCGTCTCTAGTCTTCGCTGAGAGTGTATCATCTTTAGTTTCGAACTCGATAGTGGCGTGTGCAGTTGAGGCATTGTCGTCTGTCACTATTCCGACGGAGAGAATCGTTCCACAGTCGCTGAAGAATTGTCGTACGCGCTTCTCTGTGACATTGCTTGGCAGGTCCTTGACGGTGATTGTGTTGTGCTCTCTGTCGCGTTTGATCTGAGCTGAGGCCGAAGCTGACACTTCGTTGTACGGAGGATTAGTTGTGTCTTGTTCTCCAGTCTTATTTCTTTTGACAGTATNCTTCAGCTTCTTGCTCGACTTCGTTTTCGCGTTTCCTCTTAGACGTGGTCGACGCCTCTTCCGAGATAGTCTCGAGGCCGTTCGCTTGAGATTGTGGTTCGGGAGCAGCGGCAGCGGCAGTTGCAGCAGCATCAGCTGCTTCCCTAGCCCGTCTCTGGGACAAAAGAACTGTGCAGTACGAGCGTCTGCCTGAGCTTCCTGCAATGCTTCAGGAGTCTCATGCTGTGAAAAGTGGCTTGCCCAGACTTCAAGAATCTTTTCTGGCCAGTCGAGATTTCTTTGCTGCAGAGCTTCGCGCAGAACAGAAGTAGCACTGTGAGGTGCTGTTTCAGGCGTCTCGATGCGAATTGAGTCAGTCATACGCTCGTGAGCCCACATCAAGACCTCGATCTGATACCAGAAGAGCCAGAAATCAGCACTGGCAGCGTGAGTAGTCCTCAAACGCTCAAACACTGATCTTGCATCCTGATAACGTCGAGCCTCTAAGAGGAACTTGACGCGGATCTTCTCTAGACGGAAAAGAGGATCGCCTTTGTAATCACTGCCGTAGATCTTCTTGCCAGCAACACTGGCATCCTCAAGAGTTCCTGTGATACCCATATCGGCCATGTCAATCTCGTCATCCGTGTTATCTGGCGCGAAAGCTCTGCGGCGAAGGTAACCACACCATGAAGAATACACCTTGAGGACTTCTTCCATGCCGCCAATATCGAGAAGACCACTGTTGGTAGCCTTGTGCTTGACTTGCTCAACTTCATCATAAGCAAGCTTGTCGACTTCAGCCCGCAGGACACGTCTTGACCACAAGTCGCCAGACCATGGACAATGTCTAGTGGCTCTTTCCAAGATCGTCAAGATGATGGGACTATGTGAGTTGGTTTTCAACACGAAATCGGCAAGATCAAGCCACCACTCGATAACAGTAGGGAAGCGCANAAGAGCTCTCTCGTATAAAGAGCACCGCAGCTCAAAATCGAATGGTGAGCGACGTTTGTTCTTTCGATCCCAGACGAGGTATTCGGCGAAAGCATTGTACAGGGCAATCTTGTCGCCAGATTCGGCTGCTCGCTGCAAGTTTTGCTCGTGGGATTCTCGAAGTGCGAATTGTTGTTTAGCAGGGGCGGCCATTTCGTTGGTAGCGGCCATAATTTCCTCCCAGTTGTTCGCATTGAATTTTGAGACGATAGGCCAGAATCTAGAGGAAGTCTCGGACCAGTTTGCATGCGGAGTCCGTAGGCGGCGCATGAAGATGTTGTTAATATGCTCGATCGCCTGAGACGATGGATTTTCCGGAAACTCCTGTAGCACAAGGTCGATGTAGCGATCCCATATACGATGGCTTTCATCTACACGCCAAGCTGTGGCCTCGACAGCTCTTTCCCAAACGTTCAAGCAGATGTCGCGACTGAAGACTTCCTTGCAGATTTCCTTGTCTATATCGGTCCATATATTGGGATCTCCTTCGGTGAAACCATTTGCGATAGAATAGGTCTGCATAACCCACTCGCCATAGATGGACCAGAGGGTGACACTGGTGGGTTCTTCTTGGACAGCTTTTTGACACAAGTCCATAACAGCAACACGTTNCTCACTTTGACGGGCCAGGATGGCCTCGTCATTGATCCAGTCTTTCCAGATGTCTTCTCCAACAGCGAACCGAGAGTCCATAGCCTCGCGTGCTTGTCGCATATCAGAAAGCAGGGTGTAATCTCTCGGGTCGTTGATGACCACATTCGAAGTGCCGTAGACATGGGCAACAAAGCCTTTGTGGAGAAGGTTGATGAGTTGTACGTGAGAATCGTAAGCATAAGAGTTTTCGGCCAGATACTTGACCAGTTCAGTGATGGTCTGAATTTCCTGTTCAGTCAGTGAGGCAGCCGTGATTGCACGCGGCTCAGGCGTTTGCGCCGGGGCTTCGGCCATGGCAACCTGGGTGGAAGAAAGAGCAGAGCGGGCAAGTGGAGGAGCAAAGCTGGCGCGGCGGTTNNGCTACGAATGTGTCAGTGTGGGTAAGTCAAGCAAGGCGCAGATGACTGACATGGATGGTAATTGTGAATCAACCAGGGAGTGCTGTCTTTGTAGTTGGTGATGTTGCATTGAAGCAAGATCTAAACTCAATGTCAGAAATTTGTTCGTTTGTAGGCAACTGCGTCATGTGACGGGGACAATCGCACCTGCCAGAGTCTCCATCTGGGGCGTCGAAGAATGCCGACCGGAGACGTATTGAAGTTGTGGTCGATAGCCCTGCGGCGTTGCGTGTGCACTTCTCAAATCCGGAGCGTCGTGACTTCTAAAGTTTCTCATGTCCTGGCCGCCGTTGTATGCGGAGGCATATGCGTTCCTCTGATGTTGATTGGCAGAATCTTGTCCTGGCACAGGTGCTGACCGCGGTGGCTCAGGTGGCGGCGAGGTCATGGAGATTTCATTGCTGAGACCCGATGCAGTACGTCTACCACCAGCAGGACGTGGCTGCACCCTCGGCCTGACAGGCGCTGCGGGATTTGACTGTGCTGAAGCCTGCTGTTTAACCGGCGACTCTGATGGCGACAGCAAGGCATTGATATCCATGGCGGACAATATTCCGGATCCCGAGAATATGGATCAAGAAACAAAAGCAACAAAAATGATGTCCCGTACTAGCTAAAAGAGGAGGAGCACCACTTATATTGGGTCACGAAAGATGACAAGACCCGGAGCAGTAATCCTCTTGGATGGAAGTGGCTCCGCCGACGGCACCTGTCAAGGAATCAAGGGACCACTCCAACAGCGCAAACAGCAATTTGCGGACAGCGGATTCAAGTTCCGACGAGAAGGATCAGAGTGGGAGGGGCCGCGGACTCTCTTGCTTCTAGAAGAGTGAGGGGAGTAGCGAGAGATAGGAAACTGGAGAGAGTGAGGCAGGAGGTGGAGGTTGTTCTCACTGGCACTTTGGACACAGGAGTTTGCGATCCTGGAAGTGTAACGGTGTTGCAAGCCGCCGTCCAATCAGCACCAGAGTCAGGTGCGGAGTGTGGAGTGGATGGAAGATTTTGAAGAGCCGCCTGTAGGCAGATCGACAAAGGGGCAGCAATGAGAGTGTCGGAAAGGGTGAAGGCTTCGTTTCGTAGAGAGACAAGAGCAGGATTAGAAGAGTCAAAGCATCAGGATTCAGGCACACAGTCATCGGACGTGCCTTGATTATCAATTCAAAAATGTTTAGAGCATGACTCGTACAGAGATGGCAGCATCAAAATGTCACGATGAAAGACTGGTATAGCTACAAGGTCGTGCAATCTGGAATTGATAGAACACAATCTGATCAAGAGATCTATTATAATAGTATATTGAGCTTTCAATACAAACTTGGAAAAGACTGGGTGTTATGAGATGAGACACAAACAGATTGAAGAGTAACGAGTCAGGATAGGCGCGCAAGGACAGGGTCGCCATGTAAATTGCTTGGCCTGTGAATAATGCGCTAGCGTCGCGGGCGGCCAACGAAGTTGTAGAGAATCGTCAAGCCCGTCGACGACAAGGGCAGACGCACAAATCACACACAATGAGCGCCCGCACGCCTTCACGGCGACTGCTGCAGAATGGTGAGCTGCTGTACGTCTCTTGTAAATGACTGTTTTTCTGACGAGCGCACCANGGCGGCCTACAATGTCTCCATGCGCCTTCTTCGACAACACAACCGACCCTCGGACGCCGCTCTATCTGGGGTTTCTTTGGCAAGAGAAAGGACAACAGCAACCTGAGTTCCAGGCCCGGCCAAGCGACAAATCCCGTACTGGACCAGTTCCTCAAGAAGAAGCCGACCAAGCAAGGTGCTGAAAGCCTGCAGCGCGGTGACCTCGCTGAAACATCCATCTTCGAAGGCGAACGCCAGGTGCAGGAACGTGAGGGAGAGAAGGAAACAGAGACCGAAGTCGGTGGTCGCAACTTGAACACAATGGCCACCGTCCTCGATCCTCACCCTGTTGCACGCGAGCGATGGCAGCGCAAGATGGTCATGCGCGACATTCGCAAGGGCGGCCGCTTGAACAAAGAAATGTTCATCAAGCGCACCGAGAGAGAAAGCGTCGGCAAGAGCGAGAACATCAAGACAAGTATCAAGAAGCTGGGTCCTATTGCACGCCAAATCGCCGGCAAGACCGTCGACGACGCCATTGTCCAACTGCGCTTCAGCAAGAAGAAGGCCGCTGTTCCCGTCCTCAGTTACCTAGAGTACGCCCGTGATGAGGCCATCGTCGCCCGTGGTATGGGTCTTGGCCAGCCTACCGTTGCCGACTCGGATAAGCCTGTCGACATTCGCCTCAAGGACGGCAAGAGACACACCGTCGAAGATCCTACCAAGATGTACATTGACCAAGCATGGGTTGGCAGAGGACCTTACGGAAAGTTGCCAGAGTACCGTGCGAAGGGCAAGATCAACATTCTTCGCACTCCCTGGACACACATCGGTATGGTCTTGAAGGAGGAGGCTACCAGAGTCAGACAATACAACGAGCGCGAGGAGAAGAGAAAGAAGCAGCGTGAAGCCAAGGTCTGGACTCCCCTGCCTGACCGCCCCATCCAGGGACAGAGGCAGTGGTACTCGTGGTAGAGATGCCGAACACGCCGTATATACCCTTGTACAATATTTCTCCTTCTTAAGCTGTACTTGCATTCTGGGCTATCTTTGATTATGGGATTATTGGGACACAAAAAATCACATGACAACTTTTCAAAGCATCTGTGTCTTTTAATAAGGGGACTGCTAAATCGTACGTTAAAACAGCCATATTACAGATCCTCGAACCTGGACGTGTTGTACAGATGCTTGTCTGTACGTTCCAAGACTTCGAGAGCAGCGCCCACAGCGATCGGTCCATCGGTCGTGGGAATGCAAAGCATACCAAAGCAAGGCTTGTACTTGGCCACTCCGCCCTGATCAATACGTCTAAACTTCATGAGTGTGTCCCAAGGCTCGTGTGCATGTTTCTCGGCCGTGTCGGGGTTGACGTTGGGCACCTGGCAGCGAGCACAGTGGCACAAAACATCAACATTAACCTTCCAGATTGCTTCGCGCTGGTGATCAGTAGTACGAATGCACACCTTCTTCCAGCTGTCCTCATCCCAAGCCTTGTGTCCCTTGACGATGACATTGGGTCTGAAGCGTTCAATGGTGAGCTGATCATGGCCAGCAGCTTCAAGTCTGGAGTTGAGGTCGGTGAGAGAGGCCTCGGAAGCGATTTGAATGCTCATGACGTCGGCAAAGTGATGTTCTTGTTCCTTGCCATAGAGATCGGGACTGCCATTACCGCGAGCGATTCTAGGAGTAGGACCCTTATAAATCAGAGCAACGGGCTTCTTGAAGTACTCGCTGAAGATAGAATTGATCTCGTCGCTGTACTCCCAGCCATCCGTGTCCTCGCCCCAGATCTCGACCTTTGTGAGCTTGGTGTTCTCCTCCAGCCATTCGGGAGTGGGGTAGCAAGGTATCTTGATATGCTTGTCGGTGTCGTGGATGCTGACATGCAAGTCTGTCCACTTGCCTTTGCCGTCACCACTGAGTCCAGTATCAATCAAAGTCATGGAGGGGTCCGAACGGATTGTCAAGAATTGGCGGGTCTTTGCATCAACGAACATCCACTGGCGGTCCAGATCCAACCCAGTCTTATGAAGTCTGATATCTTGGACTTCGATACCACGGCATGACTTGATGGGGTAGATGCGCAGAGAAACAACCTCAGTTGAAACAGGCTTCTTGCTGGCTGTCAAAGCTCGAGCGGCATCCTCGTCGTAGATATAGTTGGCGTAGAACCAGAGGGACACGACACCCACGACAACGAGAGTGATCAGTCCAATGCCCATAGTGTGGATATCGATGCCGGGGATGAGCTCGATGCTCCCCGTGCCATCCTTGTTGAATTGACCCATATCAACAGTCAAGAAGACTGCGCTGCTTGTCAACACGAGTGATGTGTCTTTGACCTCAGATTTGCCTTGAATCTTGTACTGCAAGGCCAAAGGTGTTTGAGGCAATGCTATATCAGCACAAAGAACGATTCAGCATCTGAGAGGTTTCGCAGACTCATGGAGTTGCCGCTAACTCCAAACTCTAATCTGTGCTCGGCGTCATGCACGGTGGTCTGTGCGCACATCATTTTGTTGACCTTTTGGCAGCTTCGATACACTCTCACATCTTCTGCAATCCAATTTATATTTTTATCTTCTCAAATCAGTAAGTCCTGTCTTTGTTCTGTTGATCTTGGACTTCATCGTCCCTCATCTCGATTTGCAATGGTGTGAGAGAGTTTGCTTGTACGGATACCGAACGTTTACATCGTTGCTGCATCTATACTTCCTATATGCTCCTCGTGGATATCCTTGACGAGAGATTTTGTGGTTAAGAAAGTGATTGATGTCACGAATATTGGCCAAACCGTTGATGCTCTCCTCACCTTGACCATCATTTGCCATCCACTTCATGAACACATACGCATTCAAAATTGATCCCAATGTTTAACATTTGACTAACATCTGATAGTACCAATCATGCCTGACAAGGACGCCGGAACTCCTCGTGTCTTCCTCATCCGCCATGGCGAGACAGAGTGGTCCATGTCCGGAAAGCACACAGGCAAGACCGACATTCCCCTGACCGCCCACGGCGAGTCTCAAGTCCGCAGCACCGGCGCCATTGCCGTCGGCAACAACAAACTCATCGACCCCTCCAAAATCGGCATGTGCTGGGTATCTCCTCGCACGCGTGCTCAGCACACTTTTTCTCTGCTCTTTGGTGAGAAGCAAGAAGCAACCCTCAGAGAACAGGGTAAAGTCCAGACCACCGAGCAACTTGGCGAATGGGACTATGGCGCCTACGAAGGCCTCAAGCCCGTTGAGATTCGCGAGTTGCGCAAGTCCAAGGGCTTGGACACTGAGCGCAAATGGGACATTTGGCGTGATGGATGTGAGGACGGCGAGTCGCCTGATCAGGTGACTGCACGTATCGACGAATTGATCATTAAGATCAGAGAACTGCAAGGTCCTAACATGAATGGCGAGCAACCTTGTGATGTTGTTCTGGTCGCTCACGGTCACCTCACAAGATGTTTCGCTAAGAGATGGTTGGGTTACCCCCTGGATATGAATCTCAACTTGATGATGGAGCCTGGCGGTGTTGGTGTGCTGAGCTACTCTCACCACAAAGTCGATGAGCCGGCACTTCTCCTCGGTATTGGTTTCCCTGCCCAGTCATAATAGGCTTGGCCTGAATGATCAAAGCATAGAGATTAATCCGCTAGGAATACTGTATAAACTTAGACTCACGGTAGATCTAAATGGCATATATCACGTCGATCTTCGATGGAACGATCCAACTATGATGGGAAAGGCCATCATCCTGCGCCTGGAAGTTATGAGAATTCGACACTATTGTGATTCATGAAAGCTCAAAATCATCTTGATGGAGAGATGGAAAGTTGGAAGTGTGAATTATCAGTGGGTAGAGAAACATTCAGATCCTTATATACTAGAAACATATATTAACTCTGTTGATGAAAAGCAGAGCTGTTCTGTTTGGTATATATAACATCTCCCATCGTAGATCCCCCCTTCCTCCATATAGTCTCCTACCGCGCATTCGCGACATCCAACAGCATAATCCTTACATAAGTATATCAGGAAACATTCTCATCGACCAATCAACCTGAACCTGCAACACTTCCCTCACAGAACAACAAGCATTCCTGTCCTCCTCTCTGGTCATCCCAGTCGGAGTCTTCCTCTTAAACTCTCTTATCCACTCGTCCCACAGTCCCCAGCTCAGTGCTGCCGCTCCAACCGCGCCTTGGATCCCGTACCTCTTGAAGGCATCGCGCACAGTTGGGTTCTCAGCAACGATCTTATTGGTGCCACGCAATGCCGATTTCTTGCTTTCTCCTTGGGTGCTGTTGAGCAGCTGGTTCAAACTGCAATGGAAGAAATCAACCCAGCGGCTGGGAAGCAAGTAGAATGTGTCTGGCGAGAAGCGGCTTGACAAGACGTGCAGACATGGATGCGGGATCGAGAGAACAGAAAGAGGCATAGGTTTACCGTCGACGGTATCACTAGGGTTAGTGATGACGGGTAGGCAGACGGTGTCTGGTGCGAGGAGCTGAGTGAGGACATCTTGGGTGGTGGGAGGCAGATATATATGGTTGCACCATGGATGTTCAGGGTGCAACTCGATGAGCCGACGTGGAGGAGCGTCTGCCTCGTCGTCTTCTCCTGGCTCGGATCCGGTGACGTCTGCTTCAGACGAGGAGATCACAGCCGGAGATGAATGATGAGCGTCGGAAGGCGAATCGACAGGTGCTGCGGCTGAAGAACTGTGACTCGGACCTGCCTCGACAGCCAAAGGGGCAGGCGCGATCGCTCTCAGAACGGCAGGTGGTCTGGACTGTCGTACATTGACAGTCGTCGCAGGGCCGGTTTGGGGAGCTGGCAGAAACTTCCCAGGACCAGCCGATTGACCTTCCTTCTCCGTACCCTCAACACCGGCAAGCCACATCTCCGATATATCGTATCCCATATAACTGAGATCCTCGTCAGCAATCCCAACATCGTTTGTGGGCATGCCAAATTGAGATGAGCCAGGATATATATGCTCGAGCGGTTGCTGACCCTGCAGCGACTCAGCAGCAGTTCCTGGCAATACTGAGAGCACGGAGTGATCAAAGGACGACCAGTCAAAGTCGAACGAGCCTTGATCTACCCAACTCGCCTCAAGTCCAAGATCAGAGATCTCGAATGAAGGCACAGTCGCATGGGATTGTGTCTCTCTCAATGCAGGAGCCGGTCTGACAAAGTCATTCTCCGAGTCAGACTCACGACGGCGTTTCTTCCCTGCGCTGTTGGAAGAGGGTGGCAGCAAAGAAGAGGTTCCAGAGTGCAGAGGAACAGTCGGTGAATCTTTCGGTAACTCGGTCATGACTGGGAACCAACGGCTCAGTATCACATCAGTTCCAGGATTTATATACAGACTCCNCCAAGGAATCAACGAGATCCTCTGGAGAGCCAGGGGTATGAAATACTCTGGCATCAGGTACGGAAAGTAAGGTCCTGTGATGCCAGTGCCGATTATATCGAAGGAATCAGACTCCCTTTCCTGCCAAGCAACAGCATGAGGCACAATAGCCATGTAGCCAGGAGAGTTGGGGAAGATGACAATATAGAAAGCTGGTGGTGATGCATTGCCAGCTTGAGCCATCGTTCTGGTTCCATAGCGAGTTGCAATCTCGACTTTGTCCTCGAGCAGAACCACAAAGTCGAACCATATAAGGCGTTCAGGCTCTGAATGGTCCTGCGGTATACGAACTGCACCATCGTGTGGAAAGCCAGGATGGGCTGGGAGATATATCACATCCAGATCGAACGACTGCAGCAGTCGAAGTTTGATGATGTTGGCTGTGACGAGTTCAGGCGATGAGTCCTTGTACTGGTCCAGACAGAGGTACCGTAAACCTCGGTTGACTCTGCGAGTTTGCTCCATGGCTGAATAATAGTTGAGAAGTAGTTATTCAAGTCAGTAGATGGATCTGAGAACTTGAACAACTCCCAAAGGAAACTGACACTTGGATTTGGAAGATGGAAGAGAGTCCCAAGGCCATTGAAGGATATTTATCGATGTTTCCATCCTGCATGCGATTGCACAAGACACAACGCATTCTGAACGTGGTCAGTTCAAACGCATAACAACTTTTGCTCTCCACTAAGCAGTAAGTAATGTCTCTGCGCTTTCTGTCTATCGTCAGTGCAAACGCATCACCACCACCGAATTCAGTCTTTTCTTTTCGCACGCGATTGCACGCGCAAGAGCACCTTCAGAACGTGGACGGGGAGTACGCATGACAACCTTTTCTCTTCCGTCAATGTTGATGTTCTGACTGCCAATCGTTAATAAAAACGTATCAACACCATTCAATGATGCTCTGCAATCTTTTGCTCGTACACATATCCAACAAGACAAATCGTGTTTTTGTGCGTGCTGGAGGAAATGGATTGGCTGCATATTAGCCACATTGCTAGATGGGTACTGTTCTAGGATAAGCAATGGCACATGAAACACCTGCTTGCACTGTACTCATGTGCACGCTGTTACACGTGCCTTCAGGATATAGAGAAAAGAGATTCTGACCAAACTGCTGTCAAAGAGTGTCTGATCACCTGAAAAGATCGATCAGGCGAGAGAAAAGTTGTTAAATCCTGGCTGACAGACTTAGAGGTCAAAGATTCCAGTATGCTACTGCCACAAAAACGGCCAGACTCTGTAATACTCGTTATAGCAAGAAACACGCCTCAAGAAATGTGACGTACTGCTTCTGAATAACGCTTTCTTTGAAACATGGAACTAAGATTAGTTCGATGCTACACTTCCACTCACAAGTCCTTGATTTAGAATCCCATGGCTGTGCTACCACGAATCATCAAAGACAACAAGCAAACTCAGAAACAGGTATGGAAGCTGGTAGAGAGTAAAATCGTGTAATCAGTTTTCCATTTATCATCATTTACGAAGCGCTCCGTAGCATGCATGTTCTGTCATTAGCTATTGGTACAGTGAAAAGCCTTTCGGGTGGAAGGTGAAGGTTCTAGGGACTTGGCCGTCCCCAGTAGCAGGCGCGAGCCTTTCAAGGCAGTTGCCAGAAGCTTAAGTGCAGGTGTAACCACCATCGACACGCAGGTCGGCTCCAGTGACATAGTTAGAGGCGTCACTGCAGAGGAAAACAACAGGACCCATCAGATCAACCTATTGAGCGAGTCTTAGCATGATATCGTGTTGTACATTTTAGAGCAAGGACTTACGGGNGCGGCCCATCTTGCCTTGAGGAATCAGACTCGTCCACTTGTTACCGAGGTCGGGGTTTTCGTTCAAGATTTTCTCGGTCAAAGCAGTGANGCTGTGTCTTGTGTTAGTCTCGATGACGGATATGTACACTTTGATACGCACCATGTAACCAGGCTCAATGACGTTGACTCTGATGTTAGCGTGGGCCCACTCAACTGCCAGCGAGCGGCCAAGGTGACGAACAGCGGCCTTGGAGGCGTTGTAGGGAGCCTGAGGCTGTGGGACGTTGACAATTGCACCACTCATGCTTCCAATGAAGACAATGCTACCAGGAGCCTTGCGCTCCATAAGATGACGGGCAACTCCAGTAGCGAAGAGGTAGGTGCCATCAACATTGACGCCCCAGAGCTTTCTCACACGGTCGATGGGGTACTTAATAGCATCGAAGTTCTCAGTGAAGCCTGCTGAAGTCACAAGGTTGTCGATCTTGCCGTGCTGGTTGACTACATCGGAGAGGACGCTCTCAACAGAGTGCTCATCGCTCACNNTGCAGAAGATCAGTCATCGTTCCTATACTCTCAGTCTTAGAGACTCACCATCGCAGTAATGGCCAGTGACTTTTGGTACTCTGTCAGCACCAGGGTTCTCGTCCTTGAAGACCTTGACCAATTCTTTTGCTTGCTTCTCGGCTTCCTNCCTCTGTGGTTATGGTGTCAGTCGTGGGTATGTCCAGTGTTTGAATTGCTGAGACGCACTGTTGAGATCGACGAGGGCGACATCCGCTCCGGAAACGACCAACGCCTGAGCCATGACCAGACCGAGACCTCTTGCACCACCAGTGACGACAGCGGTCTTGCCTTCAAGAGAGAAAGAGGCGAGAGTTCTTTGGAAGTGGAAGCCTCCGCGGCCTTGGACAGGTTCTTGTTTGGGAACAGCCTTCTCATCGAAGGGAATTTCGATCGAGTCATCGGTTCTGGAGAAGGAACCAACGTGCTCTCCCTTCTCTTCCGGAATGGGCTTCTNCTGCTCGCGCATGAAGGGTGTGACAGACATATTTCTAGCCGACATGGCAAGAGGGCGAGTAGGGGCCACCATCCGGGTGGCCTGGCGAAGGACGCTTCTGCTGAACATTATGAAAGCAGTTGGAGACTGTCTCTACTGTCAGCTATGCCGTCAAGGGTCGGTCCGTAGTACAATGATGGTGAACAAAGAAAAAGTGCTGAGCACAAAGCCTCTGACAAGCTCAACAGTAGTGACGCATGGATGCGAAGACAGAGCAAGACTGATCAGTCGACTTTCGAACGAGAGCGTCTCAGCAGTATGGCCAAAGCCATCGAGAGCTCAGTCGTTGCTTAGATTCAACAAGACAGCTTCAACGTGTCCATGTCGGGCTGTTGAAGACATTTGCCAGCAATGGGAAAAGGTTCTGAAGCACTCACCAGATAGAAGAAAAAGCCAGAGGTGAATACTGAGACGTATAAGACTCGAAACACTCGAACTTGACAGCTTGTCAGAAGTTTGGGAAGGTTTGAGTCGAAACCAAGGGGACTTGTTTTGGACTCGACAGCTATAATGTGACGTAAGTCGATCCGTCCTCCAAGGGTCTCCATGTCGATCACCCACTCCCCAGGGGGCCCGGCCCCCGGGGAAGGAGCGACTACCACTTTTGGTGGACTTGGCAAACTTCATCACCCAAAGTGGATGCACGGCTCGCTCTGGTAAGGACACGAAATCATCGAACAAAACAATTCTGGTGTTATGCCAATTGTTCCTCGATACATGATGAAAACCATAGCCAATCGCGCCATTGTAACCACCGTCAAGATCAGCGGTCGAGAAATGTTCGTTCTTCTTGATTTCGTATTTCGGTCAAGTTGCATAATCATGGCGTTTTGAGCTGCATCGTGCCTGCATCCATGTCAGCCATCCTGCAACGATAGCCGACGAATGTGACACGTTCTTGAAATTTCCATCCTTTTATTTCTACACTGTTTTTCCTGGCGATTGAATAATATACAAGAACGATAGTATTCCTCTTTTCGAGAAACTGAGATGCTTGGGCAGTCAGTCCGCAGTGACAATCAGCGGCCGACGTTACGCTTACGCTTCTAGGCACGCATGGTTTGTCTACCAGTTCTCTTTCTCTGCTCCTTTTCTCTTTCTCTCTCGAGGAAGCGCTTCTGTTCATCTGCACTCATGCCCTTGAGCTTGCGGTCGCGCTGCTCCTTCTTGGCCTTGTCGCTGAGCAACTTTCTGTCTTCGGCACCCTCTGCCTCGATGATCTTGCGCACCTTCTTGGCCTCCTCCTCGCGAGTCTGGCGGATACGGCGCATGACCTCAGGACGGAAGTGAGCGCTGGAGACGAGTTGATCGGGCATGCGAAGGAAGTAGGAGAAGAGAGGGATTGTGTTGGTACCAGAGTTGAGCTTCAGAGTGAGCGTAAGACGCTTCTTGGGGACCAGATCGTCAAGACTGTAAGCTAGATTAGTATCGACCAAAGATGGTAAAGCAGGATCTACTCACGTCTTTGGGGCGTCAACGGGCATGTCAGTGACTATCAAAGATTCCAGATCGTCGCCGCATTCCTTGATGACGTCTGCCAGCTCCTGGGTCAAAAGCGACTCGGTGACCTCGGCGCTCTCGCTCATGACACTGACCCAAGGAGGAAGCTTGGCGTGGTCCTTGGTGGTAGTGAGAGAGACGTCGTAACGCTCCTCGCGGACCTTTCTCATTGAGTCCTTGTTGACAATAGCAAAAATGAAACCGTCGTAGGTAGTGTCCTTGTAACGCTTCTCTTCCTCACCACGAGCGCGGGGGATGAATTGAGCCTCCTTGCCATCAAAAGTGTAAGCAGTGATCTCAGCCTTCTCGCCGCCAGTAGCCATGCTTTCGAAGAAGAAACCAAGACCGAGCTCGCTGATCAAGGCGAAGGGGTTGTAGCGCTTGAGCAGGCTGAGCTTCACGTCGACACAAGCGACATTCTGGCGACCAGTAGCGTAACTGAGGAAGACATCCTTGGACTTCTCGCGCAGGACCTCGGGGTTGATCTTGTCACCAGCAGACATGGCGACATCGGGAGAGACGTTCGCAAGATCGAGCTTCTTGCCAAAGCCAACATGAGCGAACTCGTTCTCAAGAACATTGACGTGACTGCGGATCCAAGCATTTGCGCGACGGCGGTTGGCGCGAACGCCCCAGAAGTGGATGAAGATAGTGAGCAAGAGGAAGGGGACGACGAAGGCTTCGGTCTTGAAGTCGCTCCAGGTCACGCGCTCATGGACGTTGTACCACTTGGTGAAAGGACGATCCGAGATATCGATCTTTGCGCCGAAGGTCTGGTATGCAGGACGGGTAGAGATAGTGCTCGACAGAGAAGCTGGCGTAGGAGAAGGTGCATCCGCGAAATCGGCAAAGTNCTAGCAGTGCTTCAGTCAGTACTCGATGGTGAGTATCGTTGAACCTGGACGAAACGCACCCGAGTCGGCCGATGGCACAGCGCTGGCCGGGGATGGGTTTGCGCCTCCGAAGAGACCCTTGACAAAGTCTGCCATCCTGTCAATCGCCTGGTGATTTTAGCAATACTGTTGGATGCTCGAGCTCAAGTCGATCCCCAGATGCAGCTTGAGGACACAGCACTCGCTGCATTCAAGCCGAAGTAATGCCGTGCTGTGCTCTTCGAGCTCACTGTTCTTCCTGCCCCGCATCGACAACGAGTTGATTACAAGTATCGACGGAGTACTCTCTCTACGAACTGACGCACTTCCCAGCCACATCTGAATTGTAGCTGTGCATGTTGATTACATGAAATCCTTGTACTCACGGGGGTTGACCACAAGATTGTGACAGTATCTTGGCGTTATCATATCTCATAACTCTTTCATAAACTCGTTCAGTCCTTCGTCACGAGGGCGATGGTGGATAAAGTGGGTACATCGTTTGACATTCTGCTTAGATTGATTAGATGATCTCCAACTAGCATCTTCCACCCCTCTTTCCTTCCCTTTGTAGTCTGCCACCTTTCTTCTAATCTTTCTTTTCTGTTTATTGGACAGTATCGTACTCATCATGTCCAGCTGGCAAGACATCTGCCACTTTAAGCGCGGGCTTCAAGCTGGAAACATCCCATTCGACTGGCGTCTGAAATCACTTCCTGATGATTACAAGTCATCCATCCCGATTGTTGAAAGCTGTGGCATCTTGACAGCTGAGGAACTGGAAATCACCAATACCGATGCCTCGATCTTAGTCCCAAAGTTACAGACTGGAGAGTTGACGGCTGTCAAGGTTGTCACTGCTTTTTGCAAACGAGCTGCAGTGTTGCAACAACTGACAAAATGTTGTACTGAGCTCATGTTTAGCGATGCTTTGGAGACTGCCGAAAGACTGGACGAAGAGCTCGCCAAAACTGGGAGGCCATCTGGTCCTCTCCATGGTCTACCTATCTCTTTGAAAGATTGCTGTGAGGTGGAAGGCTACGATGCTTGTGTTGGCTGGGCAGGTTTATGCTTCAATCCTACTGAGCAGCACAGTGTGTCTACCATTGCACAGGCTGTACGTCTCGGAGCTGTCTTGTATGTTAAGACCAACATCCCACAAAGTATGATGATGTCGGACAGCTACAATCACGTGTTTGGACAAAGCGTCAACTCTTTGAACCGTGGACTTGTCTCAGGTGGCTCTTCAGGTGGTGAGGGAGCACTAGTGGGTGGACGAGGCTCGGTCGTTGGTATTGGCACTGATATTGGTGGTTCGATTCGCATCCCAGCCGCTCTGCAAGGTATATATGGCCTTTGCCCTTCTGCCTTCAGAATATCATGGCGTAGAGCAGCCAATCACCAGGAGTACTTGATTCCTTCTGTTGCTGGACCTTTGACTTGGTCTCTGGACTCGCTCAAGACATACATGGAAGCCTACTGTTCGAGCAGCCCCTGGCAAATCGACCCCAGTATCCCACCTATTCCATGGCGAACCGAACTCACCAGGCTACCTTCTGACCACAAACTCAAACTCGGGTTCATTCACAATGACGGTTACGTGCTGCCTCAGCCACCCATCCAGCGAGCAATGAATCATGTCCGTGAACTTTTCACTGCAGCCGGTCACGAGTGTATCGACTGGGACGCCTCCTCGCAATCAACATCCTACTATGAACTTTGGGAACCAGCTATCCTTGCGGACGGAGGCGAAGGCTGCGAAGTCGCCAGCAATCTTTCAGATCCTCCTCAACCACTCATCGAGGGCATGCTTGTTGGTAAACCCGAGCACAAACTTGATATACCACAGCGTCAAGGGTTGGCTCGCAAGATTCTAGAGTATAAGCAGATGTATGCTCANAAGATGCTCGACTCAGGCGTCGACGCCATCGTTGCGCCTGTGCTGCCATGGGTTGGCTACAAACCTAAGCAATGGGTCATCAGCAGTCAATATGTCGGCTACAGTGCACATTGGAATCTACTTGACTATTCTGCACTAACTGTGCCGACCGGTGTAGTTGCAGACAAGGAGTTGGACAGTGTCAAAGCCTGTGCTGGTTGGAAAGAGTATACGCCAAAGAACAAGAGCGATGAGTTTAATCATGCTCAATTTGATCTTGACCTGGTGGAAGGCATGCCCGTAGGCGTGCAACTTGTTACCGGACACTACGGCGAAGAGAAAGCGATCATGGTTGCGGGGATCCTAGAACAATTGCGCAAGAGTTCGCAACACTAATGCGCACTTTCTGTAGACCTTTGTTATCGTAGCCTCTCTACGAGACTCCAGAAGCCAACAGTCTGTTTCGGCAATTCTTGGACTTCCTTTTTGTCGGCAATCAGGTTTCACCTTGAGGCTGTCGAGTCAAAGAGATGGTTGGTTAAGTCGCACATATATCCGACAATTTGCCAGGGGGAAATTGCGTTCATGCAAGCAGCGCAGGCGTGATAGCCTCTCGACTTATGCAGAAACAAGGACAAGGCTTCTCGACATGCAGCAGATTATGGTTACACGGAGGAATCGTTGAGTAGAGCTGGACCATAAGACGGCATGGGGGGAAGACAAAAACAGGTGGTTGGGAAAGCATGAATGGCGGAACGTAACAATTATGGATTTGTCGATATATGTCTGTGCCGTGATGCGGGATCGCGGAGCCCGCAAGGCTACTTGAAGATTCGAAAATGCGGCAACGCCGTACATTACGTGGAGGATACACAGAGTGCTACAATGAACGTTGTCTGCAAGGAAAAGCAGAGGTAAGGAGTGTGTTGCAAGGGTGGTGAAGAAGAAAGAGCTTTGTCTCATATCCGCTGGATGAAAGCGCTAAAGTGCAAAGCTCATGATTGGGTGGAGAAGCGGGACGGCGGGACGTGAAGCTTGAAATGCCAGCTACCAGCCACCACTCAAGACACACCAAGCGATAGGAAGGAAGACGTTTCGAATGGGCCGTCTTTGACGTAAATGTGTGATGGTTGCTTGGGGGTTGTTCCCGGGAGCAACGAGAAACGGTTTGAAACCGTAGATTCGTGAAGATGTCGAGAGGAGGACAAGAGAGGCATCTGCAAAAGTGTGAGACTCCACGGGAGATGTGACGCGCTAGACGACGGGGGTTGCTTGGGGGCTAATGTGCTAATCATGTCGATTTCGAAACTGGGCAGTTCGTGGTATCAAAAGCTGTTTGGTGGCTTGGCGAAAGTGTGTAAGGAGTAGACTGACTACTGTACAGCGCCAGCGCCAGCCTTGTGAAGTCTTCGACCGACCGGCCGACGACATCTGCCTGTCTCTCTCGTCGCCGAAGACGCATCTTCCCACTTCGTGCCTGAGTGTTCTCTCGCTTAAGTTGCTCTTCGCTCGACAACGACCTTCACTACTACATCACTCTCTCGTAATAAACACAACCCACGACGACGAGGCGCCCAACGCCTACATTCACCAGACATGTCGCAATATGGCAAATTCTACGTACGTCCGCCCAATTCACTCTTTGCTCTCGGGTCTAACGCATTGCCTTCAGGACTTTTGTCGCGATACAGGCAGCTTGCGATCAACATTGCCAGTGTGTAATGTACGACCCCTTCGACTTCCCACTAGTCCCAATCCCAATTGACCCTTTGCGATANNGCTCTTCGACGAGTCGGCATCACGAGGAGGCAGTGGCTTTGGCGGATGCGATCTCCGTGGTATCTCGCTAGGAGGAGGAAGATATCTTGCCAACCTTGGTTCCATATTGATCGACGGTCTGGCCATCCTCATCGCCCTGTTCCTGATATGGAGATCGAATAGAAAGCGTGCTGCCGTCGGAAGAAGGTATACACACTCTTGCCATGCCGCTGTCAACACAACCTAACCTCTCTGTNNCAGGGAAATGCAATTGTTCCTCGTCGGATACATTATCATCTCAATCTGCGCAATCTTCACCATTGGCTGGTTTCCTCTTGATGGCGCTGTGCGAAGGGTGAGTTGCTTCCACATGACGTCTGCTTGCAAATTTGAAACTGACCATACTAGNGCCTTCTCTGCCGTACACATTGCCGCCATTATTGCAACTACATGGATCCTCCTCATGAACGGAGCCGTTGGCTATCAGTTCCTGGACGACGGAACTTTCGTTTCGCTGGCTTTGATCTTTGGTTCTGCGGCTATTCTCTTTATCGGTACTGGCTACATTGCGCTCGACACTGGTTTCAGCTGGACTGGATACTGGGACGACACTCTCGTTGCTCCGAACCGTGCATACGCCCTTTATACTTTGTATCAGCTCGTTCCGCTAGTCTTCCTTTTCATCTTCTTCGTTCTGGAAGCATTCATCGTCGTCCGAGTCCTCGGCGAGGTTAGACCCATGTGTAAGTCTTGATGTACATGATGTGTGTGATAACATGACTGACGAGACTCTCTAGTCTACCTCATCGCAGCAGTACTTCTCTTCGCCATCGGACAGATCTTCCAATATGTTATCAGCGTACACCTTTGCACTGCGACCAATGGAGCCATCAATGGAGGTCTCTTTGAGTCGCTATTTACACTCTTGGCCATTATCATGATCTGGGTATTCTGGTCCAGCATCACCGAAGACGACTGGCCCCTTCCCTCGACTGAGACCAGCACATACACCTGAAAACAAAACTCAAAAACAACAAAGCACACTTATTGATAATTATACCCGCGAAGACGACTACCATTCTTGATCTTTCACATATTTTCTTTACTATCATATCATGAAGCAGCACGGCGTTGGATTGATTGATGGCGACTAACCTTCCTTACCCTAATGACTTTTTCCTTTTCTTTGTTAATGTGTTTTTATCGAATGCCTTGTTTTTCTCAATACCCAGGCAGAAGAAGGAGGATGCGAAGATAGCAGCTTTTGAATGTCTCACTTGCATTGAGAACTTTTAGTGTTTCAAGTTTTTCCCATCCACGTACTGTAAGATTAATGACTGCCCGCCTGATATTGATGAATGGGCTTGTAGCATAAAGATTTTGTGAAAGGAGATTATGCATGCGATGACGCGCACCCTGTGAATCTGGAGAAAGGTCCATCAGCGTAAACATAGGCTATTGTCAAATACCATGAACTGATCGCATCAACCACGCCAGACCGGCTTAACCTGTTGAGCCTGCAGTCTTCATCGCAACATATTCGCCTCCCATCCACACGTTCAACACACGCTTACAATAGCCAAAGCGCATGCGACAAGCATCATAATCCACCATGGCGCATCACGACATCGACTACGACATGGACATGTCTGACGACGAAAACGAAAACCTCAACACCCGCAACTCTCGCTCCACCAACCCGTCACGCCTCCAAGATCCAGGCAAAGCCAAAGCGACCTCGAAAGACAGCGGCTCAGGCAACCGCGCACGCTGGGAAGCCGGCGCACAAAAGAACTGGGACTTGCATGAAGGCGACGATGGAAACCTCACCAGTGTGCTGGGTGGTATGGAAGAGGCCACAAAACGTCTACGACTACAGAAGGATACTACACCACTGCAACGAGGCATCATACGGCATTGTTTGCTTGTACTGGACTTGAGCAATGCGATGACAGAAAAGGATCTACGGCCAACGAGGTTCTTACTTACACTCACCTACACCATGGCATTCGTCCGGGAGTTCTTTGAGCAAAATCCCATCTCGCAGCTTGGCATATTGGGAATGAGAGATGGCTTAGCAGTCAGGATCTCAGAGTTGTCAGGGAATCCCAACGACCACATTACTGCCTTGAAAGAGTTGAGAAACACAGAGCCCAAGGGAGCTGCTAGTTTACAGAATGCGCTCGATATGGCAAGAGCAGCACTATATCATACACCATCACACGGCACCAGGGAGGTTGTGATCATCCTCGGCGCCCTGAGCTCCTCGGACCCGGGCGACATTCACCAGACCATAAATGCTTGTGTGAGAGACAAGCTACGGGTCACCGTTATTGGACTCGCAGCTCAGATGCACATCTGCGCCGATCTATGCGCTCGCACGAATGCAGGAGATACTGGAAGCTACAATGTTGCGCTGGATGAACCGCATTATCGTGAGTTACTTATGGCTATCACCTCACCACCCGTCATGCGCCAAACCTCCTCTACTTCTGCTGCCGTTTCGCGATCTGCTCTACTGCAAATGGGCTTTCCATCTCGCTACACCGAGCCCAAAGCCACACTATGTGCTTGCCATGGTGTATTGACCCAAGGAGGATACAACTGCAGTCGCTGCAAAGCAAAAGTCTGCTCACTACCACAAACATGTCCAGCTTGCGATCTAACGCTCATCCTCTCCACGCATTTGGCAAGGAGTTACCATCATCTCTTCCCTCTCCTGCTCTGGAACGAAGTCTCTTGGTCAAGGGCTGTGCAGAAAAAGAGCACGAGGTGTTACGGTTGCTTATCAACATTCCCACAGCCACCAAAGTCGACCGCAGGTGATGGAGAAAACGGGACAGACGGAGCAGTGCAGAAAAGAGCAGAAGGCGCCAGTGAGAGTTCACGGTACGAGTGTCCTTCTTGCGAGAGACACTTNTGCGTAGACTGTGATGTTTTCTGTCATGAGGTGGTGCACAACTGTCCGGGCTGCACTAGTGGAGCTCCTTCAAACCAGATCAACGGAGATAGAGACGGGGATGTCGTGATGAACGGACATGGCAATGGCAATGGAGTTGCTGTGAGTGCTTGAGAAGCAGAACAAGCACAAGAGGCTGGAAGAACAGAAAGAGCAATTGCGGAACAAAGAAGCAAAAAGCTACTTACATACCTTCTTCGAATAGGTTTCAAATCATGACCACAAAATTTGGGCTTGACCAAGAAGCACCATAGATGAAATTCTGCTCCGCACCACGCTCTTCCCTGCACAATGATTGACGACCTGTGTTTTCAACTTGGGACTGGAACAAGCCGCGATACGACAGCTCCTTCAATAAATGAACTGTGTTCCATGGATAACTGACTAGTACGCACTGATCAGCAAGTTTGTCTATGGTCGTAAACAGTCAATTTGAGCCGAAGACATTTTGATCTTGCTTATCAAGAAGTGAGTGGTCACGAATCAATGCAATGTCCCTTCCGACCTTATACTACAGCAGAGTGCACCTTCCTTTATTTCGTGTGCGAACACGTAAAACAGTGATCACAGACCAATCACTTCACATCCAGCTCAGACTACCCTATATAAGACAGCACCAGAGACAGCTTGATACCTACCATCCATTGACCCACAACAACCTCATCATGACGACTTTGGCAAAATCCCACCCACAGCCTTCCCTCTGTATCCCGTCACCACAAGCTTTGATCTACGAAGAGAAGAAGAGATGAAGAGATTGAACAACCAGGTCACTGATCCTTCTTTTCTCCCTACTATCCCCCGATATTGAATCAAATCAGCACACAGGAAAACAGAGAGTCGCGTGTCAGGGAGAACCGGCATCCTAGAAGGAGTTGGGGGCCTGGTTGCTCCTTCTGAGTGCGGTACCTACGCTGTTCTGGAATAGAACAGCGCAGCAAAGATGCCTGATCCCACGTGCGAGGGTCTGAGACGCGGTTGCCCATAGTCGGATGTGTTTAAGATGATGGATGGCGTGAAGTAGAGGAGGCTTATACAATGGAGGCATAGCATGTAGGCATATTTGGGAAGGAGCGATCAATGGAGTAAACAGAAGCTACTTCGGCATCTGGCACACCGACCGTCAAGGGCTCGTGAGCGTGAATTAGTGGAGTTGCCTCGATTTAGGAACTTGCTTTATGATACAATGTGTAAGCATGCAGAGAGTTAGTGACCAGCGTATGTTCCGCAGTTACTTTCTAACTAAGATGACTCGTCCCTTCAAGACGCATGGTCATTGGCACACAAAGCTTTCCACAAGCGAAACACCAGAAACAAACACTAACAATATGTGGTCTATTCAGAAGCTCATAGAGGTCTACATGACTCCATTGCAGCAGATCCTGATATAAGGGAGATTTGTGGAGTATGTCATCGTTCAGCCTGACACAGAGGACCAGGAAGAAGTTTAGAGCGATGGCAACTGGTCTGGAGGAATATGAATAAGCAGGCTTAAAGTTCGCAACATCCAAGATGTGCAGCTCTGGGTGGTCAACATGTCAATATCCCTCACCGAGCATCACTTCTCTCCATCCACCTGTATACATTCTAGCTTCTGTACTGGAGATATGGCGATGTAGGGGCTTCAGAAGGATACAGGAGAACAAGCAGGTCACAGACCTAGTTTCCCCTCTTCCGAAGCCCCTGAGCCCTCACTGTTCTTATCAAGAAAAACAACCTGCTGGTCATCGATGGCTCCTCTCTTTCTCTGATCAACAAGATCAACATGTTCAACCTCCTTGACAGGTTTGGGCCATCAATGCACACAGTGGTAGAGATCGATATCTCGTCTACTCGCTCGTGTGATAATCTCTACTATATGGTCCAGCATCTTCGCCGATATGATTTTGTGATGAAGTCAACCAAGAACTCAACATACCGCAACTTTCTCATTACTGGTTGGCACAGACCCTGTTTTCACGCACTTGTGCATCTGTCCCATTGGTACAGCCGGGTTTTCCAAGAGTTTTCCAAACCAGCAAGCACTTTCTCNTTCGGTGAGATTACTCGAGGTCTCGGTTGCAACTGCAAAGTTGCATATGTCATTGATCAAATCTTGGATATCGGGGTTCAGAGATTGACAGACTCGACCATTGTCATTGATCTCATGCTGCCGATCTTTCAATACCTCCATGGCCACAAGCTCGCCAACCACAAATGTCATGAACCTGGCCTTGACTGGACTTCCTACCAGTGGAAGCATGTCGCCGCTCCAGTCTGCACAACTTTCGAGCAGCGTGCTGCACGCAACTGCTTCTGTCCTCAGCCCGCAGTCAGAATGTTCCTGGGGTTCATGTCGCCTGGTTTCCATAACGCCCGTCATGAAATGGAGGCGTTCTCAGTTGACAACGAAGAGTCAGTTTCATAGTCCAAGACGATTGACGTGAGCGAGATGCATGTTGGCAACGTAATGTATATGACGAGCAGGGGATATGATGAGGTTGCTCATTAGGAGTCAAGGCCCAATTGAGACATGCTATTCAGCTACACAAGACAAAAAGATAAGAGGTTTATCAAACCTATACCATCCTGGTATGATACACTGTGTGTTGTGTTCCAGCATAGACTTGGTTTGGGATCGCTAGATAAGCATTTGCATAGTAAGTGCTTGACCGTACCTAGGATTCATCGAGAGTTGATAACTTAACAGTGACTAGTATGTGATATTCCTTGACCATATGACCTTATGCTTAGCCCATGTTGCACCGGGTCTAGCCATGGAAAGACAGCGATACACATATAGCTGAGCGATCAAGAACTGGTGATGGACAGCAATTGTTTCTGCATCCCACGTATCTAGGATGTATGCAGCAGGCTTAATCATGTCCGTAACTTCCTGTGGAATGGGTTGGTACAATTTGGCCAAAGGTACACGTCGTATACCGACCATCGACGACTGCGGTCGGCAGACGGGACAGGGAAGAACCTATGCTTGGCATCCTCTAGGACAAAGACATGTAGGCTGAAGTGTATGCTGGGAGATTCTGTACATAGAACATTCCAGGCAAGAGGATTGGATGTTGCACCATCGAGAATACTTGTCGCAACAGCGACCTCGACCGGATGGTCTGGTACAGCCGCCTCCGAAAGAAAAAGGCACCGCAAGCGAATGCCAGCCGTTGTATCAGACCGATCGCCAGGGAATGTGTTGATGTTAGAAGAGTCCCATTGAAGAAGCCACCAACATGGACCCAGCTCGGTGACCTTGTTCGACAAAGGAAGTGGGTCCTGTTCTGGACGAAAAGTTTCCTCCTTCAACGACATAAGCTGATGACCTTGTGTCTCTTCTACACCGTGAGAGCTGTATCTTTCAACAAGGATGACAAACGAGTAATCGGTACACTATGCCAAGTCTAGACGCCGATCAGGATATTCTGGTGAGACATCTGGGCGAAGTGCCGTCGCAAGAGCAGTGGGTTCTGGTGACCTGGTTGTGTGAACAGGAGCAAAAAGATACCCCTCGCTGTGCTGCATGTACCGATCGAGGGAGAATTCTTTTCATATACATACAAGCATGGAGAATCTCTCAAAATCCCCGCTAGTAGCCTATACGCTAGTCGTGGGTTGGTAGGTGAAGAACCCGTCCAGGTATACAGTATCTGTTGCAGGGACCCAGGGAGTGAACGAAATGTGTATGGAAGTGTAGAAAAGCCCGGCTGTCTCTGCAATGCCACCCAGATAACAGACCCAATTGCTATGAGTCCCCGCCCCGAGAAGCTTGTTTGGATTCATGTAGCCGCCAATCAGGAGCTCTGCCCGTTCAAGTAAGACATCCAGGGATGCTTCCTCAAAACTGAGGAAAGTAATAGTAAGAGAACGGTAGTCACCGTTAGGTGTGCCTCGAACAGAGCCGAAGCCAGGTCTTCGCCAAGCATATCGAGTCCACATGTAAGGTCAGTTCGTTTGAAATGTTCAGTGATCATGTCATCATGGTAGCATCATGCAAGATACTTGACTACTCCCGTGTCTCCAAGGATGTTTCTCCAATGCTCTTCCAGTGTGACACTCATTCGCCATTCAGGCGGTGCATTCCAATACAAGTGTTTTTTAAGAATCGTCCCATCGATACCAATCTCCCTTTCGATAGGGCTAGTATAGTGCATCGCAAAGCCCTGGTCTTCAGGGTCGAAGTATGAGCTTTTTCCCACCCTGGCACGAAAGCTTTGAAGCATAGGCATGCGAGCGATAGCTTTGGCAATGACAAGGAATAGATCCTCCAGCTCCTCAGAAGGCCAGGTAGGTGAATTGAGTTCAGACATTTGAGAGGGACGTTCTGATTGGTGTTTCTCGTCAGGTGTATTTGTCGGACCAGCGCGACACGAGCAAGAAGACGAAGGAGGATCAGCCCATCGCCCACCCTCTGCGGCACAAACACTAAATTCGAGATCGAAATGTGTCAAGTTTGGCCCAAAAGGCTCGTCTTCCTCATCAGCCTCTTCATCGTCTTGGATAGGCCAGAATAGTTGGGTGGAGATGGGTAGATTGCTTAGGACCACTCGTTGTAAAGATTGACTGAGCCGGCGTAGAGAAACGCATAGATGATCAATGGACGTATAGGGCAGGAGTATGCTTGGTACTTCTGTGATTAGTTTACGCCCAGGCAATGGAGAACTGAAGGCAAGTTCAACTGTCGTGAGTTCAGGACATGATGTCTTCAGACCTAGGAGCTGATTTGCAAAGTCNNTGGAAGCGCGAGACGCGGTAATGTCAGTGGGGTTTCGATGAATGCGAGATAGTGTCGGCGCGACCACTTTCAAAACGATTGGTTTGGTTAACTCACCGTATCGATTCTGCCGTCGTTGAATCAGGAGCGCTGGTCTCCCATCGCCATCTGCGATTTGCCAATCCACGTGTCGTAGATTTGGAAGCCTCGACGCAACACCAACCAGAGTCTCTGTAGGCAGATTCATCTGACCCCTAGATACGAACTTCTCGACACAAGAGACTCGCGGTAGGGACTCCAGAGCAAGGATCCGAGGCTCTGTACGGCAAGCGAACAATCCATTGCTGTCTCTCGTCGGTACGAAAAGATATAAATCAAGCAAGTTTCCTAATGACCACGGCTGCAAGGCGCTGAAAAGTGACTGCAGGCTTTTCGAAAACACTGTGTCGTTGGCAGCGACCTCGTCTCTTCTCTCTTCTATGGTAGACTCACTCCTAGGCTTGGTCGGTCGAACAGGCGAGTATACACGCAGGAACAGTTGTTGTAACGCTGCTCGGCGGTGTTCGCCATTCATCTCGTCGCTGAAGACACTGGCGAAAGTGTCTATATCTTCGTTGTTGATTCTGATGCAGCTGAACTGTTTAGACTCGATGAGCTGTTGCCATTTCTCGGAGACCGCAGCATAAGGTGACAGATGAGGTTTGTAGGCGGAAGATTGTGCCGTCGCTGCGAGGTCGACGATGTCGCATAAAAGCTTCGGAGGCAAGTTGTCCATTGTGATCTTGATTGTATTGGCTATGATTTCGGCAGGATTGTGTGTAAGTTGGTGGTCGTGGAAGAGATTCGCTGATACGAGAACCTCGGCCGATCCTTCGCGCTAGAACTCGATAAGGAAGGAACGACCCTCGACAAGAAAATGCTCGTACTGTATTCTGGATATATATCGTCTACAAAAATGTCCCTAGATCCATGAAACGCCATGATGTCCCATTTTGTACAATCAACCAGCCGTTAACTCTCTAAATCTTACTAGCAGCAGCCAACTCCTTGCCAACCCACTTCTCGAGTCCTCCTCTGGCGATGATGTCCTGCACGTTCGGTGGCAGCTCACCAACCTTCTGGCTCCAGCTCTTGCCATTAGGTCCTTCTTGCACAATGACTTGACTGCGTCTGACGTCCCAAGTGAAAGTCCATCCTGTCCTCCTTGTCAATTTCTTCTCTTGGCTGGGGACTGATGTAGGTGCTGGCGGCGGTGTGTCAAGAGATTGACTGTTCTGGCTAGGCTCGGTGATAGGCTTGGTTCCATCCTGAGCAGCGGCGGGAGTATCGAAGGTCTCGCGCAGACGTTGGATCAGACGAGGAACTTCGACGCCCATCAAAGCGTTGTTGATTGAGTTTCTGCTGAAAATGTTGCCGAAGCTTCCTGCGACAACCATGGGAATCTTCTTAGCGAGGATTGCGGTGGCAGCTTGTTCTCTGGAACTGCCACAGCCGAAGTTGAAGCCGGCGACGAGGATGTCACCTGCCTTTGCGATCGAGGCAAATTCGGTGTCGTAGTTCTCCATAACGACGGTGGCCATGCGGTCGGGTGATGAGGAGAAGGCATCGTCGTAAGTGTACTTGCCAGGGTAGATGCCATCGGTGTTGATGTTGTCACCGTTGCACCAGACAATTTCACCAGTGACCTTCTCAGGGAAGCCAGGAAGAATGTCAGTAAGCTTCTCATCCGAAGGAGCAGCCTCATCAGTGGCTCCAAGAGCCTTTTCGCCAGACTCGACAGCCTCTTCTGCCTGGCGGACGAGCATGTCAAGTGCATCTTCGATACTGATCATACGCTGTTCCTCAGGAATACCGTCACCTTCTCCGCGGATGACACCGTCCCAACCTTCAGGCTTCCGGTAAGTGCCAGGACCAGCAATCTTGCCCTGGAGGGCAGAGGCAGCAACAACCTCAGGACTTGCGAGGTAAGCCTTTGCGTCAGTGCTACCCATGCGACCCTTGAAGTTGCGGTTGGAGGCACTGATACCAACCTCACCAGGCTCGAGAAGACCAGTACCAAGACCGATGCAGGGACCGCAACCAGAAGGAAGAGCTTGAGCACCAGCATCGAGTAGGGTTTGCCAGTCACCCTGCTCCTCGGCGGCGCGTTGTTCGGGAAGAGAAGCGGCAGCAATGTAGAAATTGACATGAGATGGGATCTTGGGAATGACACCGTTGTTGGCCTCGGCAGCATCCTTGAAGACCTTTGCGGCAGCGGCGATATCAGAACGACGACTGTTGGTGCAAGAAACAAGGTATGCCTTGTTGACCTTAATGTCCTGTGCATTGAGCTCGTTCAGAGGAGTAGCGACCTTGACACTGTTGGGGCCTGAAACGTAGGGACAGAGCGACTCGAGGTCGAGGAAAAGCTCCTTGGCGTACTTTGCGTTCTTGTCGGCAGTCAGGGGCTTCTCGAACAATGCATCAAGTCTTTGGTGGTTGAAGCGAGTAGAAGTCTTGGATGAAGTGAGAGCAGCGTCCTCGTAGAGAGCGGCCTCGGTGGCCTTTGCACGCAACCAACCTTGGAGAACACCGTCAATAGGGAAGAGACCAGAAAGAGCACCCCACTCGGTGGTCATGTTTGCAATGGCGAGACGGTCATCAATCGGGAGAGAGTGCATGGTCTCAGGAGAGCCGGTGAATTCAATGGCGTGGTTGAGAACTTCATCGTTGTTGAAAAGACCAGCCAGAGCAACAATGACATCCTTACCAGTGACGCCTGCAGGAAGAACACCCTTGAGAGTGACCTTTGCAACAGGGGGNNGAATCTGCCACCAAGTACGACCAGTAGCCCAGATAGAGGCGGCATCAGTGCGGACGACAGGAGTTCCAAGACAGCCAATGCCTCCGTACATGTTTGTGTGAGAGTCAGAAGCGACACAGAGGGTGCCAGGCCAGGCGTAACCCTCTTCAACCATAATCTGATGACCAATACCACGGCCAGCCGGGTAGAAGTCAACACCCTGCTCTTNTGCAAAGTTCTCAATCTGGCGGTACTTCTGCAAGTTCTTCTCGGTCTTGTTTTGGACATCGTGATCAAGAGTCATGACAATCTGCTTGGGGTCGTGGATCTTTGTGGCGCCAATGGACATGAACTTTGTTGCAACGGGCCATGAGTTGTCGTGGGTCATGCATTGCTGGGGAGAGAGGGTGACATAGTCGCCTGACTGGACGAACTTGTCTTCGGCAAGACCAAGACTGTGACGCTGGACGATCTTCTCGGTCAAGGTCTGAGGAACAGCGACGGGTTGCTGAGCATTCAGGTAGTCGGAGATACCGGGCTGTTCGAGAAGCGAAGGAAAGACATCGGGGGACGAAGCATTTCGTAGCGGTGTCGAGGTTGTGTAGAGACGAGGACGGAGAATCTGTTGAGAAGCAGCAACGGTGGCTCTTATGGCAGGGCGACGAGTGCTAAGTCTGGCTGTGGCCTGGTATGGCGTTAGTCATTGGTATAGGCACAAGCTTCATCCAGCTCACCAAGCGCAGCCTTGAGCCAGACGCCGCATTCAAGCGGAGGATGGGCATTTTGGAGGGAGAACGAATAAAACTCAAGGGGTATCTCTGAAACAACAACTCATTCAACACAATCCACTCCGCAAACAGATGGGTTGACAGGTGAAGAGGCGGCAACGAGGGGAACAATTTTTGGGGTATGCAAGCCAATCACCAGTCAGTCATTGGTACAGATTCTCTGGGGGCCGCCGACATCGCCCTACACAAAAACACAAAAGTTATGCTGCCTCGGAGTTAAAGACGGCAACAAGAACTCTCGAAGCTCGCCCCGCAAAAACGCGAGGCCATGACGATCAGGGACGCAGCGAAACGTGTTGCTTCAACCGACTTTCTGCTGTCCCTCGAACAAAGTCGACAACATGGCTCCGTGGCTACTATCGGCGGCTGTGACTCTGTTGCAGCTGTTGCCTGAGACAGCAGTCGCTCAGGAGGTTGCTTCACCCTTCACAAAGGCTTCCAATGATTCGCTTCTTTGGGGTCCTTACCGTCCAAACTTGTACTTTGGTGTGAGGCCGAGACTGCCAAAGAGTGTACTTACCGGCTTGTTGTGGGCTAAGGTCGAGGATTTTGCTTCTGTCCAGAACAGTATGTATTTTTACACTTGACAAAAAAGCCAATTGGCTAATCTCGAATCAACAGACTTCCGATACACATGCGAGCAACACGAGGGCATGGCCGGCTACGGCTGGGATGCATACGACCCGAGAACTGGTGGTTCGCAAACCATTCACGATGCTGGAAACCAGATTGATGTCACCACCGACTTTGTCAAGTTCCCCGACCATGGCTCTAACGGAGGTTCCTGGGGTGCAAGAATCAGAGGTGTTCCAAGAGAAGATGCTTCAGACGACCTGAAGACAACCATGGTCTTCAACGTTGCTGTCGAAGGTTTGGGAAGCTTGGTCGTTGACAACGCAGAAGACGACGAAAACGAAAATGGCTTCGACGGAGACGTTGTGATAACTGGAGAGACTCCTGAGTTGGGTACCTTCACTGTCACGATCGTTGATCGCAAAGGAGAGAAACCCAACCATGTCCACCCTTCGTTCCAGGAGAAGCCTATCGACAAGACTCTGGTCCACAGTGTGCAGATTCCTGAGGCTGCTTTGTGGCAGGCTAAGCGTATGTTGTACTCATCGTGCTATCCTGTCTCGACACTAACGTTTGAGCAGCCNGTTCTGTTCTCCTCGATGAAGACCAGCCTCGACAAGTATATCGAGACATACACAGCTGAAGCCATGCCTCCCCCGATGCAAGCTTTCACCATTCCCAATGCACCCGGTGCTGGCAACATGCATTTCGTGCAGAAGGTCTTCGAAGGCGCATTCGAATTCGATGTCATATTCTCCTCTGGTTCCGCTCCCCAGCCTATCAAGTCAACAGACCTGTCTGAGAAGATCGAGACAACCATCAAATCCTTCTCCGAGCGCTTCATCCAATCTTTCAAGCCACACCAACCTTTCACCGACAAGAAATACACTGGTCTGGCCAAGTCGCTCTTCTCAAACCTGATCGGAGGTATCGGTTACTTCCACGGAGACTCAGTTGTTGACCGCTCGTATGCACCCGAGTACGAGGAGGAGAATGAAGGTTTCTGGCAAGAGACTGCAGAAGCAAGAGCAAGGAACCAACAGAAATTGGAGGGTCCCTACGAGCTCTTCACTGGTACTCCTTCCAGACCCTTCTTCCCTCGTGGTTTCTTGTGGGATGAGGGTTTCCACTTGCTTCCCGTCATTGACTGGGATGTGGATCTCACTCTGCAGATCATCAAGAGTTGGTTCAATCTGATGGATGACGATGGCTGGATTGGCCGTGAACAGATTCTTGGACCTGAGGCTCGCAGCAAGGTGCCCCAGGAGTTCCAGACTCAATATCCTCACTACGCCAATCCTCCTACTCTCTTCTTCGTCATTCACTCTTTCCTTGACAAGATTGCTGCTGCAAAGTCTGGCCAGCAGATTCTCGGCTCGGAGAATGCTAACGGCGTTCTCGCTAACCCTGACGCTGCTCTGCAATACCTTCGTGATCTTTACCCCCTTCTCAAGAAGCATTACGAGTGGTTCCGCAAGACTCAAGCTGGTGATCTCAAGTCATACGACCGTCCTGCTTTCTCGAAGAAGGAGGGCTACCGTTGGAGAGGAAGCACGAAGACTCACCTTCTGACTTCCGGACTCGACGACTACCCTCGTCCTCAACCTCCTCACCCTGGCGAGCTGCACGTCGATTTGATGTCATGGATGGGTATGATGACCCGCGCCATGAAACGCATTGCGACAACTCTTGCCGAGGCCGACGACGCATCAACCTACGCGAAGATCGAGAATGCCATCATCCGCAACCTTGACGACCTGCACTGGTCTACCGAAGAGCAAGCATACTGCGATGCTACAGTCGATGAGTACGAAGAGCACGCTCTTGTCTGTCACAAGGGCTACATTTCCCTCTCACCATTCTTCGCCGGTCTACTGGCGCCAGACCACCCTCACCTAGGCGAAGTCCTCGACCTCATCAGCTCACCCGAGCATCTCTGGTCACCTCACGGCATTCGCTCCTTGTCACAGCAAGACGCTCTTTACGGTACAGAAGAGAACTACTGGCGCTCGCCCGTTTGGATGCCCATCAACTACCTCGTTGTCAAGGAGCTCCTCAGCACAGCTTCTGCTGCCGGGCCTCACCAGAAGCGTGCCGCCAAGATGTACACCGAGTTGCGCAAGAACCTTGTGGACACAGTGTTCAAGTCATGGGAGAAGACTGGATTTGCTTGGGAGCAATACAACCCAGAGACTGGAGAGGGACAACGCACCCAGCACTTTACTGGTTGGACAAGTCTCGTCGTTAAGATCATGGCTATGCCTGAGGTACCAAGTGTCAAGGGAGGAAGTGGACATGATGAGCTGTAGAGTTTCTTCTTACGATTAGAAAAGCATCAGGGTGTAGATAGGAACAAAAGTAGAATTGTTTGCTATTCTCTGCCGCGGCTGAATGTCTTTGTGAAATTTTATTCTGATTGCAGACATGATGGCAAAATCAAGGTTGAATGTTTAGGGGAGAGATAGTCGCCATGCAGACGCCAAGCACGAGTGCTCAAAGCTGATGCTTCATGGAAACCTTGAGCTTGACCTTCAACTCTTTATCAACACAATCTCACATACCGACATACACATCAAACTACACAGCTTGCATCTGAATTTTCACTCTTTCGCGCACGATAAAAGTCTCATATCACAATCTCGGATTCGGGCCGCTGCTCTCGAATCTCCATCCAAACCTCCGCAGCATCAACCGATCTTCCACCTCTACCTCTCGCACAAGAACTTTGAGAGTCGATCGCACGACGCACACTCGCAAATCTGACTACGAACCACAAAAATGGATCTTCTTCAAACGGTACGCAAAGAAGGCTCACGAGGCGGACGCAATGAGTTCTCCTGGCAAGATGTCCAGAACGACCCACACCGACAAAACTATCTTGGTCATTCACTCATGGCACCAGTCGGGCGATGGCANAAAGGCAAAGATCTAAGTTGGTACGCGAAAGGCGAGAACGGCTCGGAAGAAGATGCAGAGACACAGCTGAGAGAAGAGATGAGGAAAATCAAACAACAAGAGGAGGATGAGATGCTGAGGGCTATGGGTCTGCCCGTGCCGGATAGAGATAATGCGAATCTCGAGCCTGTGGCTCTGAGGCCTGGTATCGGAGTACAAGCGGGTCCCGCTGCANNGAGCCGGACAAGCGCGAGAGAAGCAGGAGTAGGAGCAGAGAGAGAAGACACAGAAGGCGCGACGGCCACGGCAGCAGGAGTCGCGAGAGAAGACACAAGAGACGGTCACGTTCAAGAGATGGCGATGAGCACCGGCGACACAGGCACCGACGAGACGACCGCGATCGCAGACATGATGAGGAGGAACGCAGACACCATCACAGTCGTCGCGAGCGCTCGAGGTCGAGGTCTGGAGAGCGCAGGAGACACAGAAGTCGCTCACCAAGGGACAGAAGGGAGAGGGATGGAGAGAGACGCAGACGTTATGATTGAATGACTAGACGAATGACCATGAAGCATGGATATGGACAAGGCTGAGGAAAGGGAACCACTGAATTAGGGGAAATGAGGCCCTGCAGCTGAAGCTTCTTGATGACGGTGATCAAAAGCTTGGTTTGCTGACAGTCGAGGCCAAGTTTGGCGGGGAAGTGCATCATGCATGGTCGTTCAGGAACACGCAATGCCATCAGCGCCATTGATGCAATTGAAGACGTGCACTTTCTCCTATTAGCCATCCATATACTATAACTATCACGTCCCTAATCCCTGCGTTCTTCCAAACTCTCCTCATTGAACCCTGATCTTCACAACCTCTTCCAACATGACGGACAAGCTCAACGACGCCCACTTCGACGCTACGGCAGCAGCTCTCGACCAGATCACTGACCAAGCTGCCGGCCCTGAAGATCCCAAGAACACCCTACACACACCCTCCAACCACGAAAAGTCGCACAAATGGCTCAAGCGCATCTTCCCCTACGACAGCCTCGAGTCAATGGAGTCGGCCTGGCACATGGGCAACTACGTCATGGACCGCGAGACTGGCCAAAAGACCTTTGAGCCCATGAGCATCTATGTGCGTGTGGGGATGCATGCTCTGTACTATGGGTCCGAGCAAGAAAAAGCCCTGCACTGGAAACGCACTGTCAAGCTGTTGGAAGACCAGAGCAAGAAGATGGGAAAGCAATATGACGACCCTGCTAGTGTTGACCACATTGTGCCTTTCATTCAGAGCTTCGATTTGCAGGAGAGTATGTCAGAGATGAAGGAGCCAAACCCAGCTAAGTACAAGAACTTCAACGAGTTCTTCTCGAGAGAGATCCGCGAGGACGCTAGACCAATTGACGAGCCAGGAAACGTGAGTTCTTGATCTCGTCATCCCATGCTAGAATCGACCGCTGACTGAACATCAAACAGNGATCTCGTAGTTTCNTCCCCAGCAGACTGCCGTCTGACAGCTTTCCCTACCGTTGACCTCGCAACCAAGTACTGGATCAAAGGCTTCGGCTTCACCATCGAGAAACTCCTCAACTCTTCTCAGCTCGCATCCTCCTTCGACAATGGCGCCATCGTGATAGCTCGTCTTGCCCCTCAAGATTACCACCGTTGGCACTCACCCGTCTCTGGCACCATCGAGAGCATCACCGAGATTCCCGGTGCCTACTACACCGTGAATCCACAAGCAATCAACGAAGCAGGCACGCTGGACGTGTTCTGCGAGAACAGACGCAGTGTCATGATTGTGCGACGCTCTGGCAGCAACTCAAGAGTCGCCATCATCGCCGTGGGTGCCATGTTGGTCGGAAGCATCAAGTACAACCCTGGCATCGATGTCGGCAGAGAAATCAGAAGAGGCGAGTGCTTGGGCGCTTTCCAATACGGAGGCAGTACAGTGATCAACCTGTACCAACAAGGTGATGTTACCTTGGACGAGGATTTGGTTCTGNNCAATTCCACAAAGGAGGTTTGTGAGACTCTGGTCAAGGTTGGTTGGAGAGTTGGTGCAGGCCCTGGTACTTCTGCTTAGAAGGCTGTGATGCGGCCGAATGCATCAGCAAAGAGTAGAGGTATTGGTGCGCTGCCTGGTCATTCTGGACATGCGCATAAGCAAGGGTATACCATCAGAGACACCCCTACGCCCTCATCATCCGTCAAGCCTACCAAGAAGCGCTTCTGGAGAAGAGGATTGCGATGCAACATGTCATGAAGCGAAGATATAGTTCAAACGAAAGTCACGATTTCCCACGAATTAGTTTGGCAAGAAAGGAACTTGAGTATGAAGTCCTAACCTGATAAGAAGGCCCTCTCTTTCCCTTGTCGGTCTCTTAGAGCATTGAGAATCTACTCTATACATAACCAATCCCTTGCATCGCCACGGTATGCAANAACTGAGCGACCGTTCCCTGATCCAAGTACTTTGACATCTTTCAGAACGGCCGTATTTCCAACTTCTGCGTCAGGATCATGCTGGTTCGGCCAGTCTCGCCAAATCTCAATCCCATCCCAGATGCCCTGATTTCTCGCCATGACAGTAACACGCTGAGCTTGCTCTAAATCCGCGACTTCAAAAAGCACAATCTTGGCTCCAACCTTATCAGCGATTTGCAATAGGCGAGGGTAGAAAATGTCTCCTTGATCCACTCCGAAGTACAAGGGATCGTCTTGGGGAGGAGGTACCAAGGCCAGACGCGGTTCGTAGCGTTTTACCGATCTTGTTGTTGTGGTGTTGAAGGCTTGGGGCGATATGTATGGTGGGTTTGAGATTAGGATGTCCCAGCGATTATGGCGAGGAACTGATGAGGTGGTTTCGTGGTGGTGGAGTGCAGAGTCTAGTGATGGTGGGTGGTTGGTTTTGTCATTGGAGTTGGTTGCGAGGATATCTGCCTGAAGGAAATGCAGTGATGGGTTTCGACTGAGGTATCCAGTGGCAGTCAAATTGTGGAGATTCTTGTTTGCGAGTTTCAAAGCCTGAGGGGATATGTCTACACCCACAACCTCCAAAGTTTGAGGATGTTGATTGTGCTTGCGTCTTTGTTCGAGTTCGTAATGGGCTAGTAATGGTATGCAACCAGTTCCTGTACAAAGATCCAAGATTCTGAGATGCTTCTGCAGACGTTGAGGGTTCTCGCCTTGAAGCAATCGTTCAATCAAGAAGGTCACTGAAGCAGCAGTCTCTTGCCTNNACCCTCTTCTGCGTAAACGATAAAGACATGGAAAGAAAGACACCTACGAGCAAAAGCCTTACCTTGGTATCAGAACACCTTGCTCACAAGCAATCTCGAGATCGCCAAAATATTCAGTGCCCATGATGTATTGCAATGGCTTGCCACGAGCTCTTTCGACACACAACTTTCTGAGCTGATTTTGTACACTGCAGCACTTCATGGTCTGCGGGTTTTGCTGTTGCTCCATAACATATTCCCTCAGCCATCGCAATTCGTTGTTCGCAGACGCGAGATCGCGCGTGCCTTGTAACACGAGCGGCAACAACGAATCTAGTTTGCGTGCTTGACGCAGAACACGAGGTGATAGCCGTGGCATTCGTGAAAGCAATGGATGAGTTACGTGGGAACAAGCTTGTATATGCAAGAACTGGTGAATCGATGTTGATCTGCTGTCGCAGAAAAGAACGGATCCGAAGTGTTTCGCTCCCGAGCCCGAGTTGCCGTGGTCTCAGGGCCAAGCATTTTGTACAAGCAATGCCGAGTTTCGTATGACAACCAAGATTCCGTTCGATCCTTCGTTTCCAAGCCACGATTGTGGCGATGTTGCCTGTCAGATTGGTAACTTGGAGCGACAGTTATTGAACGACTCGGTGGTTCTTTTGTGAGAATGGTCGTCGTTGCTACATGGATGTGTTCTCCGATCAAGGCGCTAGACGGAGAAGTCTCGGGTTCCACGATAAATCTGCTGTCTGATGCATCGGAAGCTGCACCAAGCTCACACCCTTACGATATCGAGGTGCCATTGTTGTTGTACCGCTCATGCTTGAGCGACCTGTGTTTCGCATCAAATCGAGCTCTATCGTGCATACGTAGTTGGCTGGCCTGGTTATTTGGTAGTGCACGGCAGGAACGGGCCGGACGAGGTAATTCATTTGTTACGGACGAACCCTCTCGACATCAAGAGGATGATGTTGTTGTTGATGTTCCTGCATGCGGGATGACAGTGCTCCGTTGACGTTTTCTCGAATCATTCTCGAAGCTGACAATGACATGGCCTTGCAGCACCATCTTCTTTTCTGCATTCCGCACGACTAAGCTGCGTAACACTGTCACCGATACGGCGATCCTCAGGCAATTCTGAAGCAGTGATGCTTGTTGAGCCAACAATCGATGCAATGTTGACAGCTTGGAGGGTCTCCACATATCGGCACGCCTTTCCGACGTCACCGCTATGCTTTCGCTTTCTATGCGAGCCAGTCTGAACGCTTTCTTTGCTGGATCTTAATCAAAGCCCCTGCGCCGTCGCGATGGCAAAATCGCGCTTTACTTCTGTCTGAGTGCTCGCGGAATCTCAGGCCGAGAGCTGACCACTGTCCGCATCGCTGTGCACTGTTCGAGCATACGCGTGTAGAACAGAACAGCCACCTTAACGTAGACATGATAGGGCTCGAGGCATCGGATACTCGATGCCGTGTCCGCAGAGGTTTGATATATAAACATAATGCTGGCCCCCCTCTCAGCAGTACATAAACTTTCCTCCCGACCGACCCTTCTACCACATTACAAACACTCTATCCTACAACTACCACTACACTAACATCGAGTCAGTCGACCGTACTCATACCATACACACGACACTCTCCTTATACCATCATGACTTCTTACGACAACCTTCCTCTTCGTGTCATCCCTCACATCGTGGATGAGATTGCAAAGACTGCCCCTAACACAAAATGGGTGGAAGTACCGCGAAACAACGATAACCTTCAAGATGGTTACAAAACTCTGACATTTGGTCAACTATCACAAGCTGTTAGCAGGATGGCTCGCTGGATGGAGAAGACCATTGGAACTAGCACCTCAAGAGAAACCATCACGTACATGGACCCCAAGAACGATATTAGATACATCTTCACCATCATTGCATCTATGAAAACTGGATACAAAGTTCTCCTGGCTTCCNNAACACGCAACAGCGAAGAAGGTCAACGTGCTATCCTTCAAAGAACACAAAGCAAGAAATTTCTGCATGGACAAGGCATGAGAGAGGACATTCTTGCATTACAGGACGAGAAGACGCCAATCGACGCATTCGAGGTTCCTCCCATGGACTACTTCTTCGACGGAGACAATGTCGAACACTACGAGGGTACCGTAAGCAGTGACCCGAACGACATTGTTGCTATCATTCATACTTCAGGCTCGACCGGCATTCCTAAGCCAATCTACCTACGCAATGGCTATATCGCTTGTCTCGACCGCACTTGCAAACTTTCCATCCCCAATGGCCGCCTATCAAGAGCACAAAGGTTCGCTGGAACCGACAGAAGTTTCACCAGTCTACCATGGTTCCACGCAATGGGCTTCTTCATGGCATTGAGATCTATCTATAGACAAGGTCCCCTCGTGCTGCCTCCTGTAGGAAAGTCGCCCAACGCAGACCTTACCCTTCAGATTCTCCAGGTCGCCAAACCAGAGACCGGTTTCTTCCCTCCTGCCATTCTTGAGGATATCGTAGATGCCCCGGGTGGTATGGATGCACTTTCCAAGCTCGACTTTATCTTNTTCGCCGGTGCCCCGTTGGCTCAAGAAGTTGGTGATCGAATCGCTGAGGTCACCCAGATCCAAACCATTATCGGTTCTACGGAAGGCACCATCTGGGACAGTTACATCACCGAAGACCGTAAGGACTGGGGATGGTTCGAGTGGTGCGAGCATACTGGAGCTGTCATGGAGCCTTCTGGCGATCTCTATGAGATGGTCATCAAACGTATGCCCGGTAACCCAGTTCAAGGTGCTTTCTGGAGTTTCCCCGAGCTCGATGAGTATCGCACTAAGGATCTTTACGAAGAACATCCAACCAAGAAGGGTCTCTGGAAGTACAAGGGTCGCAACGACGATGTTATTGTCCTCAGCAACGGCGAGAAGTTCAACCCCGTCATGTTTGAGAAGGACATTGAGGGGCATCCAGCAGTTAAGGGTGCTTTGGTAGTTGGACAGGGTCGCTTCCAGGCCGGTCTAATCCTCGAAACCAACACCAAGACCGATCCCGAGGCATTCCTGGAGCAGATCTGGCCTGCAGTTGAGAGGGCTAACGAGAAGATGGCAGCTCATGGCAGAGTCTGGAAATCGAAGATTGCCATCGCCAACCCTCAGAAGCCGTTCCAGAGAGCCCCCAAGGGTAGCACCATGCGTCGCAAGACCAACGAGCTTTACAAGTCTGAGATCGAAGCTCTGTATTCCAATGAAGGCTCGGCCGAATCGCTTGGTCAGCTCGACGTCAACGCCGATGAGGGCACTGTTCGCGACTTCATCAAGCAAGCTATTCGTCTTGCTCTTCCCAAGGTTCCTGAGCAGTTCGACGATGAAGGCTATGAAGCCGACATCTTCTCCTTTGGTATCGACTCTTTGCAAGTGCTTGCTCTAGCGAACACTATCGGCCATGCATTGCCTAAGAAGGAAGGCTCGCGTGACGCTGCTTTCAAGCCTCGTATGGTCTATAGCAACCCTACCATTGAAGCTCTGACCAAGGCGGTCAGCAACATCCTTCATGGTCAGNNGGATGCAAATGGTACCTCAACCAAGTCGCGAGAGCAGAACATGGACGAGGTCATCAAGAAGTACACACAAAACCTACCTTCACCTGTAGGGTACAACCCTCGCTCGCAAAACCATGTGGTTGTTCTCACCGGCAGTACAGGCTCTCTCGGCAATTATTTGCTCGAGGGTCTGATGGCTAATCCTGCAGTCGAGAAAGTATACTGTCTCAACCGCTCTGAAGCCCAGAGCCGCCAAAAGCGCAGTTTCGAAGAACGAGGTGCAAACCCAGACTTCTCCAAGGTCGTCTTCTTGCAAGCCTCATTCGGCAAGCAGAACTTCGGGCTCGATGATAAAGTCTACGTTGAGCTGCAACGTGATGTCGACATTTTCATCCACAACGCATGGGCAGTAGACTTCAATATGGGTCTCGAGTCGTTTGAAGAAACCCATATCATGGGTACCCGTCGCGTGATCGATTTCAGCGCTTCGGCTCAACATCATCCTCACATTGTCTTCATCTCGTCCATCGCCAGTACTGGTAACTGGCTCGGTAGCAGACACACAGGCTTTGTCCCCGAAGTGTTCATGCAAGACAACAGTCTGCCATTCGCTCAAGGCTATGGCGAAAGCAAGCATGTAGCCAGCTCTATGTTGGCTATTGCAGCCGAGCGTTGCAATATTCCCTCCACCATCGTGCGTGTAGGTCAATTGGCTGGTCCCGCCGCAGAGAAGGGCCTCTGGAACCGTCAAGAGTGGCTTCCATCTATCGTCGCCTCATCAAAGGCCATTGGCAAGATCCCTCGCACACTTGGCAATGAAGACATCGTAGATTGGGTGCCTACAGACGCAGCAGCAAAGGTCCTTATCGACCTCACACACACCAGACTACGCACACAAGAAGCAGAGAAGCTGGATACATTCCATCTGGTCAACCCCTCCACCGTGCAATGGAAACAACTCGTTCCTGCTGTTGTGGAATACTACGCTTCTCAAGGCACATCAATTGCCATTGTTGAGTTTTCTGACTGGCTGGACGAGATGAAGAAGCTTGAGGTTACAGAGGAGAATATGAGGAACATCCCTGGGTTGAAGTTGTTGGACTTCTACGAAGGTCTTGCTATGGAGGAGGGCAGTTTGCCTAGGTTGGCGACCGACAGGACTGCTNNGGAAGCCAGTGTCACGTTGAGGGAGTTGGGACCTGTGAATGCCGGATTAATGGTTAACTGGTGCAAGCAGTGGCAGTTCTAGATAAATTCTTACGATGGGCCTGGTGTAATGGTTTGCGTTGTTAGGTTTTAATGTTAGCGAGCTATGTATTTGCATTTGGTTTGCTTTCTACCACTTTCGATCGACATCATGTAACAGGGATTTTTATGCTTCTTGATCAGCTGGAGTCGTGAACATACAGCTAATTTCACCCAAGTCTAATGCGTAGAACGATTGCATCAGGAGGCTGAAGGCGAGATAGAGCAGTCTTTAAAAGGGCGTCTGATTCGTTGCAAAGTATATACATTACGGCATGCCTCTATCGTGTAGGGTGACCAGGAGTACCGGTAACGCCATGGTTACTGGCGGTAGTTTCGTGGTGCTCTTNTCCATGAGCCTCCTTATCAGCCAAGCTCTGCAGGTAGTCTGTCATCTGGTTGCTAGTTGCGATGAGCAGGTTGAACAGGGCTTCCTGGATAGAGTGAAGACCGGGGCCGCCGGCAAGCAGGATTTTGTGGGATGAACCGTCGACGAGAACGGCTTCGTAAGTCTGTCTGCCCTCGTTCTTCTTGGCGCGCAGGACAATGCGGAAGGTGTCGGGGAAGAGCACAGCGGCGTTGGNCTGTATGGAGATCAGCACATGGTGGTGGTAGACAGGACAGGTGTACGTACAGAGGATCTGGTCACGGTAGAAGGTTTCGTCGGCCATTGTTGCGGATGAGTAGGCTGTTGATGTGGTGTTAATGCTTGTCTGGCTCAAGAGTTGCTCGCCGAGGAAGCTTACCTACTGTATGTAGAGATGGATATATAGGATAGGGCTAGAAATAGATTGGGGTCTGGAGGAGAAGGAGGAGAGATGGTGGGGTTGAACCTGGAGGACAATCTATCTCATTTCCACATGACGTGACTGCCCTTCCTTCCTTCCTTATTCCTTCCTGGTCCATGCCGTTGAGTTACGTGGTCCAGTGCCAGCACCGTCGACGTCATTGGAGGATCGCGATAACCGCGATAACGCGGGGTTAACCAACGGCCAATGTATTTCCGTGAGGTTGCAGCTCAAGCTCTTCTCTGACAAGAACGCAGCATCAACTATAGCACTCAAGTTAGAGATGGAAAAAACCAATATCATTGTCGATCAATACTCCAACGCCTATCACGGAGCGGTATCGAAAAGCCAGAGAACGACAAACCAGGCAACATGAACATCTCATCCCGCGAAGCCTCCCTCGCCGTCCGCACGTCTCCTTCTCTCGCTGTCATATCGCTCTTCTTTGTCGCATGTGCCTGGCTTCGGGATTGTCATTTTTGAGCCCTTGCCATCTCCTGTGTCTTCTCCCTCAAGCTAATCAGAGCCAACATGAGGCTGTGAGCTGCAGGTCCATTCATGTGTCCTTGGAAGTCGGCTCCACTTCTCTTCTCCTTCCAGAGCACTTTGGCGACGACAGATGGATCTCCAGTTTTTGCTCCAATATTCTCGGCTTGAATGGAGAAGCTCTTGCCCTGTGGGATGGCGGCTGGCATGTCCTCTTGATGTTGTCAGCATCTGTGTAACCGCACACGGCTTGACTTTGCTTACTGAGTATCTTCTTTTGCATCTGCTTGCAAGACTTCTTCTCGTCTCGAAGAAAGGTAGAAACTTTCATGCCGGTCGAATGAGCGCTACTTCTCGACATGGTGGACGGCATGTTGAAGAAATATCGTTGAAGTAGTGGGTAGAGTGAGGACCAGGGCGGGGCTCGAAATATATCTGGCACAAGATGGTAAGCACAGTGTTTCCTTGTTCGAGTTTGAGCGCCCATGCTCCAAATCAAGGTCTTGTGACGAGGCTGTACAACCAATCTACAGGCTGCCCTTTGTTACAATTTGCGGGAACCTGCATTTCTTCATCTCCACCCTGGTCTGGTAGGTAGTTCAGTTTCCATCCCACCGCACAACAAAGTCACAATCATGAATCAAGAAAGAAAGAGATGGTACTGAGGTGTGTGACTTGAACTTGATGGTTCGTTTTGACAGGTGGTTGACCTATTTGGTCATGCCTCTCCAGCTCTTCAACAGCCTGCGTGCTGCTCAACTTTGCGGCACTCGTTCGGCCATCAATCTTGTTCCAATCAGGGCAAACAAGCTTTGAACTCGCAAACAGTTCTTACTCAGCAGCATGGCTTCTTCTCTTGCGACCTCCAGCGGCCTGACGCGACTTCATTCCACCTAATTGAGCCAATGTGGAATCCCACTGCTCTCTGGCCAGCTCCTCCCTGTCCAAAGCCTCCTGTTCGGCGCGCATTGCATCATCATGCTGCTTTGTGGCCAAGTTCTCGCTGTCCACTAGGCCTTCATCGTTCTCCTGCTCGGCATTCTTTTCTTCTGCAGGGCGCTCTTGCTTCTTGCGCTGCTCTTCTTCACGCTTCGCCTTGGTGTTGGGGTCCTCACAGACCATAATCATGATGCGCAGATTTGACAGTGCTTCAACGGGAGTGCGACAGAATTTTGTGTGCAGAAGGGGTTCATCTTCGCCGGGGATGGTGAGGGTGGCGGTGTAGAGATTCAGCTTGTCGAAGGGCGTCTGCACGTGGACTTGGAACTTGTCGCCATACTCTGGAAGCTTTCTCGCTGCGATCTCTGAGATAGGAGAATTGTTAGAAGTGTGGACGGCATTGATGGCTAGGGAAAATTCACCATGTAGACCGCGACATAGAATCCAGCCGCCAGCGCTTTCAGCCATGTCGTCTTTCTTGATATAGGCTCTGCCCCTGAGGAACGCATAGACATGACCGAGACGTCTTTTGATGACCTCCTTGTCAGGTCCGGTCATGGTTGCTGTCGGCAGGATAGATCGTCAAGGATGGTATTTGTTGTTGTTCGCTGTGGTTGCAAGGGGTCTGTATGAAAGGGCTGTGGTACTGGCTACGGCGCTAACCATATTCTGTTTGTCGACTGGAGCATCTTCACTCGACCGCTTGGACCAACACGGCCAATTGATCGTGCTGTGATGGACCCTGCCATCACCTCTCCTTTGACGATGGTACAAATTCCAATGACACTGTGTAACTTATCAGATGCATGTCACTACGCCCTTGTGGAGAGAAGATCTCGTGGAATATCATCTCGTTTTCATTCGCTCATCATGCCAGCTCTGCTCTGTCGAGGCACTCTCACATCATGACAGAATACATCAATCCCCCCTCACTGAATTGCCTTGCCAGATCACTTTCTGTGCTCCATCAGCACTCGACATTGCCTCCTCTCACCCATGGAATCTCTCAGCCCTCCACTCTCCACGTCTCTGCAACCAATAGTACAATCCAGCCAATGCTTCTTCGTTGGTGTTCTTGCATCCACCCCTGAGAATGCATCTGCCGTCGACGATCAACTTGGCTTGGTACTGCTGGTTGCCGCGCATACGGCAAGTGTAACAGACTGCCACTATGATGTTGCAGGTTTTGCCAGGTAGGATGATGGAGCAGTAATCTGGATTGTGTTAGTAGGTGGCAGAAGGTAAGAGAAAGAGGACCCAGGGGAAGATACTCAGGATGTTTTGGCGCGAGATGTCGCTGTCGAGTTCTGCGCTGACGGTTGGTGGGTGGTAGTTCATGGTGATTTGGAATAACGGAAATGGATGTGGTGGTCTCTTCTGGTTGGTGGGAGTAAGCAAGGCTGCCAATTATTTTTGCGATGCTTTGTGAGTCGTAGTGAAAGGATCGCAAACGATGTTTTGTAGGAATTCTTCACGCATATGACCATATGTGGCCAACGAGAAGCATGATTTTTCGAGTCTTCGGTTTGCTGTTTGCTACTGACAAAACTGGGTTGCTCAGCCCTGATTGCTATAGCTTGTAGCAATAAATTCTTGCTGCTGAACAATACCATCAAACTTGTGCTATTCGTGGTCCAAGACTGTCTCTTGCAGCTAATCAACATCCATCATCGAAGAGGTTTTTCCATGGTAATCTCAGAGATAAGTACTGTGTTCGGTCACTGATCGGGCTGTTGATTGGATATGTTCACCAACCCTCCACCTGCTTCCGACTTGAGCCCTTTCATGGTAGTTGCCAATACGCTGGCTGCTGTAGGCTTCCAGGCTCGTACTCATATAATCCGTGATGTGTTTTTGATGTAGAGCATGGTGGAAGAACCTTGATGAACACATGAATGCTTGGCGGTGACGTGCATCAAACGTGCACCTCCTTCACATGCGACACATCCCCTGCTCTCTTACTTCCATCACAAACAAGAAGTAACGTTCAATCTATTTCTGGAATCTGTACAGACCTCTGCTCTTGACGCCGTGTCCTTTCTACTGGTTTCGTAAGTAGCACGACGTGACAATCGCCGGACATATCATTCGTCCAATCTCCGGAACTCTATATACACTTTATCAGTCGTCCTCTGGACTTATAACTCCCGTTGTCAAGTCGAGCCAACTTATCTCAACTGTACCAATACCAAAAAACTTGCAAATATGGCAGCAATCTCTTCCTTCTTCAGACAGTCAGCCTGGATCCCCACACCTGAGCTGACTGAGAAGAATCTGCCCAACCAAGCTGGACGCGTGTTCATCGTCACCGGCGGCTATGCAGGAATCGGTTACGAGCTCAGCAAGATCTTGTATCAGCATGATGGCACTGTATACGTTGCTGGACGTTCTGAAGAGAAGGGAAATAAAGCTATCTCAGAGATTCGCGATGCTGTGCCTAATTCGAAAGGCAAGATTGTGTTCATGCATGTTGACCTGGCCGACTTGACTACCATCAAGCCTGGTGTTGAGAAGTTTTTGGCTCAAGAGTCTCGTCTGGATGTGTTGACCAACAACGCTGGCGTATGTGCAATTACGATCCAATGTCATACTCAAGATTGCTGACAGTTAAAANNGGTCATGACGCCACCCAAGGGCTCCAAAACTGCCCAGGGCTATGAGCTCCAGATGGGCACAAACGTGCTTGGCTCCTTCTTGCTCACCAAGCTTCTACTTCCCATAATTGAGAAGACGGCCGCCTCTTCTCCTGCAGGGTCGGTCCGAGTAACCTTCGCCGGATCTCTTGCTGTCGACCTCATGTCGCCAACTGGCGGTGTAGCTTGGACAGATGGTGAGCCTACCGTCCATGGGTTGCAACAAACCAATTACGGTCAGTCGAAGGCTGGAAACGCGCTCCTGGCCAGCGCTTTGCGTCGTCGATTCGAAAAGTCTGGTGTCATCTCCAACGCATGGAACCCGGGAAACCTCAAATCAGAGCTCCAGAGACACACACCGAGCGTACAAGCCGCCTTGATCAATATGATCACCTATCCAGTTCAGCTCGGCGCCTATACCGAGCTTTTCGCTGGCTGGGGTGAGNNGGAAGCTGGACGTTCTGAGAACGCTGGCAAGTTCGTCATTCCATGGGGTCGATTTGGTCCCGTGCGTTCAGATGTCGCTGAGGCGATGCAGAACGGCGGTGATGAGAAGCTTTGGGAGTGGTGTGAGAAAGCTTCCGCACAGTATGCCTGATCTCAACAATGATTCACTCTGAAGTCATGATTATTGAGGCTCACGGCAGTGCTCAGATCGATGGGGGCATCCATTGGGAGCAATTTGATCACAACTTTCTTCTGGCCAACTGAGACTTCACAATGCATTGTGTTTTCGGCAGCTTGTCTCTTTCTAGTGTTATGGGGTCATGCCCCGCTCACTCTTTCCTCGTGCGTTGCGTCTTGAACTGTCTCTCCATAGTTCTGTTCTAATTCAGAATAAAATCTCGAGCTGATCGCTCCTTGCAAAGAAACATCATAACTCAGCCAAGACGAGAGGTGCAGGCTCCCGATGTCGACTTCCTTGATTTCGTCCAGACCCGACACAAGAGTATTTCTGACACTGCTGTCACTGCTAGAAAGAGCTTACTGTGAGAGTATGAAGGTATCCACGTCGCTGCCAAACGACGATCGATGCTTGGCCGCGAAGCCAGCTCTCTTTGTTCCATTTTGTTCAAGCTCCAGATACATCTGCTCAGCCCGCCATTGTGGGAGGGAAAACTACTCACTTTTATTAGTGCTCGGACGCAATGCAACGTTTTTGTTCAACATGGAGACAATCCCAACGAGCAATACCGCTCACTTGCTCTGTTAGCGACTCCAGTCGATGATCGCTCTTACAAGTGGCTCCAAGCAAACATGAGCCAGTCCCACGCAGGATCTTCTTTGCTGCCTCCCCGATTGCGGTCGTTTGTAACGCGTGTAGCTATAGAAATGCACAATTATATTCAGAAATATGATATGGCCAGTGAGAGCTGATGAGAAATCGCTTCTCAGTGGACACTATCCTATTTTCTATTAGTATCGTGCATTTTTACAGCCGCACGCGTTACAGACAATCGCACAAGAGGAGGTGGTGAGTGGCTCATGTTTCCTTGGACCCCCTTGTTGTTGAGGCCTCCCTTCTTAGTACTTGGATGCATCGCAGCGTTTCTTTTCAATCTGAGGACGACTTCAACAAGCTATGCTATTCACTACGACTCCAGTCACTACGACTTCGTCTAAAGCCTATGCAAAGTCGTTGGTGTCGCCCTGCTTCCTAGTAAAACTTTCACTTTACATCCAACCTACTTTTGAAAACAGGGCTTGATGATACCACGCATGACTCAACCGTACGTTCCAACACCACAGAAGTGCCGGAGACCCAAAACAATCAGAGATGCAGTCAAGAGTCGCAAGATCGTCGAAAGTTCCGAGAACGACTGTCGAAGAGTTCGTTACTTCCAACGAAGGCTCCGAAGCTACCGACATATCAACACCTTCTGCTGAAGACCAGAGAGCACAAGAAAACACCAACACTGAACGTAGACTTCGCTCTACTCCAAGACAAAAATGATCTTACTAAAATACTATCAGAGTCCGACACAGGCAACAACTCTTTGGAGTCCAAACACGACGATGTCAAGAAATTCTCTACCACATATGAAGATGTTTCTGCTTCCACTACGATCTCAGACTCAAAGTCACAGGTTGCGCACGACACAACACTTCAGGAGTCCAGTCATAAGAACCCCTTTCGTGGACCCATCGATCCTGAGTATGCGAGGATTCTGGGCTCAACTACTCTTGTCAACACTCATACCCGGGATGGATCCTCAAAAGCAGCCTCATCACAGTCTCCAAAAATAAAGAAAGAGAGCAAAGAATCTTCTCTCGTTTCAAAGACTGACGGAAACAATATGCTAGATGATTCGCAAAGTAATCTCTTTCGCGAGCGCACAAGGGAGGTCAAGTCTGATGATGAATACCGCGAGATATTCCGTCGGCACAACTTCAGCTTTGAGCACCCCAAACAAAGTCCTTCCCAACCCAATCGATCTCTTCGACCTACTCAACCTCCTCGATCTCCTCAAAGTCCTCGAACACTTTGTCATGTGTGTCAAGTGCTCAAACCGTACAACCAATTCGAAGGTTTTGAGAGGCACCCGACATGTCATGCATGTCTTGCCACAGAGCAAGTAATTGATGGCTTGCAAAGAGTCAACGATTCAAGATCCTTGGAGCAGCGATCCGAAAAACGTAAGTTGGTTGAACACAGAAGTATTGCACACGCAAGAGACCCGAAGCCAAAAAGATCTACAATACCAGCTGGGTACGTGAACTCGAAAAACATACTCAGAAGTCTACGCAATCCAACGAGTACCTCGAAGCCCCTCCCAAAATGGAAGATAGTGCAAGAACAAGACTCGAGCAGGCTTCTCGAGGAAACATTACAGATAGTCCAAGAGACAATGCGGGGGAAAAGAAACACCTTCTCGCCAAGTCATTCGAACGACAACTCTGCGAAGACGCCACCACGCCTAGTCAAACTTGGGATCAAGACGTTACCAGGTGTACCCCCAATATGGATTGAAGTCTCCCGCAGCGCGCCCTTGGGCGAGATGTTCATTGCTGCATTGCAATCCGACAAAGCCCTGAGAAGCTACATTTTCATGCTTCCAGACAAGTTTGTTCGTTGGGACGATACACCAGATAAGGTATGCTGATTACCGCATAACGCTTGTAGCTATCGCTGACCTTTTCTCATAGCTCGGTTTGGAAGAAAATGACTATTTCGAGATGCATGAGCTTCCTCAAGCTTGGCTTCCGAATGTTCGGAACAAAACTACTAACGCTGCAGAGATGCCTAAGGAGATCGGAAAAGTCTTATATGAAGGAGGGTCTTCAAAGCTTCAACAGGCACTCCATCTAGGACAAATGCTTGACCATGGACGAGAAGAAGACGATGAAGAGGTGCTCGAGACCACAGAGATGGCTTATGATGCAGACATACCCAAGCCAGTCGAGGCCGTCCACACTACCTCTGAGCTCATCAAGACTCCATCACCAAACATTTCCTTAGCTGCCGAATCTAGCACTCCTAAAGCAGTGTCCGCCAACACCGAGGTTGAACTTCCGGTCATCCCAGCTGGAGATGACCATGGCAATCTAAGCCGTCCTTCAACGTCCAGACAGAGTCACTCTCCTCTGCTCGAAACCGGGACGAATGATCAACATCCAGAACCTGAAAAGTTGCCATCTCGATCGCCATCCATAGTTTTCCTCTACTCCTCAGCAGAATCTAAAATCCCTGAGCCCAAGACAAGCGCGAAAAGAGAACTTGCAGATCGCGAATCACACGGACAAGAATCGAAACGTCTGAAGCAAGAAGAAGCGCAGCAAGAGGTAATCGAACTCAAACAAGCAGAGGAAGGAACGAAGGGTTCTTTTCAAGTCAGACCCCCAATGTGGCAGCAAAGGTTTCATGAATTGAGATTCGTGATCTTGAGGAAACTACTTTGGATAGCGAGTTGCGGGTAACACGCCTCCAGAAGATCAAATGTGATCAATGGGGGACCACACATTGCCACTTCACTGATTAGTAATTCTTTCTTTCCCTAAATTTACCTTCTCTTCTTCTTCTTCTTCTAAACCTGACCTCCGAAACAGAGCCTTTGCCAGCAGGTACCACAACCACCAGTCCGAGACAAACTCAACAGGTTGTTATTGTGCTGACGTCAGCCGACTGCCAGTAGCCCAAACAAGAGATACGTCCGCTTATAATAGTCGCCAGAACTCTTCCTCAGACGCTCCAGTGAAGTATCTTCTATTTCAGCCTTATGTCTGAGATTCTTGATTGCATCGTCAAAGCCAGGTGTTTTTGTGCTAGGTTTNNCCGAGACAGAGAGGATTTTGTCCAGGTACAGAAGATCGAAGAGTGCTTGAATGAGTTTCGGGGCTTGTTCGTTTGATGAGTTGGAGGGCGTAATGGTTCTGGTTTCGTCTTCTTCTTTGGTGGGATCTTCCTCGGAGTTCTCTGCTAGAGGAATCTCGTCGTCCCCATTGGATGAGTCTGTTGTTGCAGTCGAGCCATTGGTTTTGGTTTTGACCAGCAGAGCATCGTTCAGTGATTCAACGATAGTCTTTTGAAGTCTGCTCTTGAGTATTGATACAGCGGGAGGCGTCCACAGGTCACTACCGACATCCTTCATCGTCTTACACGTCTCATGCAGATATCTGAAACATGATGGTGATGGTTGAACAGGAAGCGGTGGAGAACCTTCCCACAATGCTGTGTGTGGAGGAAGCATAAAAAGCTTAGCCTTGGCTCTGTTCTGCCCTGGTGACTTTTCTAGAACCTGCTCGGCTAGCATCTTGTGGAGCTTTTGAAGTAGTGATGGTGGTGGTTTGCTGGCTGATGATTGTGTCTCGCCAAGGGATGCCTGATGAGCCAATTCTCTCATGAGTCGCAAAGTTCGGACCGTGCGGCCCTCTTTCTCAACATACGACTGAATGTTCTCGTATGCATCCTTGAGCGACTTGGCTTTTTCCGATGCGAGCAGTTTCTGCAATTCATCGGGATCTTCCCTAGCCAACAGATCTTGAGGGGAGTCAATCTCGAAGTCATCTTCAATGTCAAGGTCGAGATCGTCGTTCCATCTATCATCACGCATCGCCTTGATCGTGGCAGACCAAGTGACCAAGTCCGAAGACCATATGTTGAAAGACTGAACCAGACTTTGCAGAGAAGCATCTTTTCCTTGCGAGGCATTGTTAATCAAATTCCTGAATGCTATCGAGCCTTTTCCAGGATCGATCTCCAGGTTTGCAGGATCCCATAAATCGGCAGCAGGTCCAGGATTGATCACGGATTGGATATATTCGCCCCTCAAGTAGGGGCCGACGACATCCTCAACACCAGCAGATTCAACAACCAAGGCTCGCAGACGGCGATTGAACGCAGCACGCAGCTCTTCGAAGAAGTCTGACGGATCAAGACCTGGTAGTTTTCGGTCGGCAGATAGAGAACGCGTTATGAATTCTTTGCGGAGCGTGACAATGACCGAGATGTCATGAGTATCGTCGAGTAATTGATTGAGTCCTTGCGTAAGCGATGATCTTGCCTTGGCAACCCACTTCTTCAGTACAGTGGCGGCAGCAGATGCTTGTAGCTGATCATGTCTAAGCCAAGGAGTGAAATTGCGCACATCATCAGAGATCCAAGATTCGTAAATGTCGAGGTTGAGTTCTTGCATATCTTGAATGGCTGAATCTTGTAGTAGCGGTTCATCCTGTAATCTTCCAAGAAGAGCGGAGAGCTGTTTTGGGAAGATGGCTTGCACTTCTTTAATAGTGGTGATGAGCGATCCCAAAGCGTTGTGGAGGCCTGTTTGTGTAGGATTTTCGATCATTTCACCAAGACTTGAGGCTCGCACGTGCAAGAAGTGGTTCAAAACATCTGTTGGGGTGGAAGTAGTTGCAAGAGAGTAAGCAGCCAATGTGTCAACCAAGGCAGACTTCTCCAAGGTGGCAGAGGCCAGCCGCTTGTCGATATGACTTAGCAATTTGCGGCGAAGCGAAGTTAGTTTTGACTTCAGACTGTCAAGCAACGCTGGTGGATCCGGAGATTTCGCAGCACTGCTAAACAACAATCTGGCAATGACAAGAAGCTTTGCAGCACGCAACGCAAGATTGCCTTTCTTAATGAGCTGTAAAGCCTGAGCCATACAACGTTGGAGAAGAGCAATATTCGACGCAAGAGCATTGCGAGCATAATTGCGATGCCTCTGAGCATTGGCAGTCCTTTGTTGATTGGCGGCGATTCTCTCGATAGCACGAGCATTGCACTTCTGACCAATGTCTCCGAGACGTGTGTCGACTGAGTGCATTTGTTGGTCCATGTCGACTATCCGTTCGGCCGTGCTCAGCAAGTCGCGATAACTGTTGCCGACCAGTGAGCGCAACTTGTCCTTGTTCTCGTTGATATTGGAGCGAAGTTGTTGCTCAAGCCGGCGCACAACCGGAACCGGGAACTGGAACGCATCCTCCCACGACTTAAACTCCCTTGGATTGGGAGCCTGATTTGTGGTCATCTCCAGCGAATGGTGTATACAATGGATGTTATGCCAAGGAAGGAAGTGGTTGTTGTCCGTAAGGAGCGTTCGGGATGCCGAGGTTCCTCCGGTCTCTCTTCATCGTGTATTCCTCCAAGAGCACACTCGCATATGAACTGTTGGATCGTGAGAGCCATCGGTCCATATAATAAATAGCACTCGACCAACACGATCATTGCGACACCAATATGGCCGAACCATCGCATGACGCGAATGGTCCTTACGTGACAATCGAACCCCACGACTACGAGGACTTGAGAAGCATGAAAGCACAGCTGGATAAAGCCCGTCAAGAGGTGGATAAAAGATACGAAGACTTGTCAAAATGTCGTTTAGACAACATGACATATGCAAAGGCACAACTCGACCAAGCGAGACAGGCAGAACGATTTCGCTACGAGAATTTTGAGCGAATACACAACAAACTTGTCGACTCCATTTCACGACTTGTTGCTGCTGGAGGCAGTACTGCTACTCGTGGCACCGATGAGCTTGGGGAGGACAATGATGCATCGTCCCTTGGTCCGCTCCCAAGAGTGAGACCAAGGAGGGTACGGGCTCCCACTAGAGCCCATGTTGGTTCGTCACGCCGTGTTACCAGGCAAACTCGGACTCGTGAAACTGCGACAGCGCCTGTGACACAGGCGCGAGATCCTGTTATCCTGCTACTTGCTTCTCGTGCAGCTGACAATGCTGAGCTTAAGGCACTCATGAGGATAGTAGCTACTGGTAATGCGAGTCAGCAGCAGTTTCGTATCTTTCAGAGACACATAGATGAGTTAGTGGCACAAGTCAACGCTAACCAGGCCCAGTCAGTCACTCGAGCATAGCCAGAATATGTAGTAACCAGTTAGAATGATGACCACAGAGACCGTGTAGGCAAATTCGCTTCCAGCTAGATCGATCACGATATACATATACACATTACTCGGCGCTCCATCAATCCAAGCAACTATACTTATATGATCCTGTTCTGTAACTAATGCTCATCATGCTTTTACAATGACTGCATGCTCGAAGTAGAGGACAGGTCCAGACAGAACCACATGAGTGATCCCAGCAACTTCTTCGAAAGCGAGATTGATATATCACGAGTACTCTTAGAAGACTGTCGGTGAAGAGCATATATGCTTGCACGAGCATGAAAGTTTCCCGACCAGGCTCTATACAGTGCAATAGCTGCTTACAAGCGTTCTTCTCTTTCAAGCGTCTGGATATGCCAGGGAACGTAACCGATTCAGCGGAGAGGTCTTGGCAGGGCAAAATTTTCGGGTTGGCTTCAACACAGGCTTCAATGGAACAGGCTTCACAAATATCCCAACAGCAATCGGATTTCTTCTTCAAGTCCCAGCAGCAAAAGCAGCCAGGAAGCTCAATGAAAAAGGAGGATTCGCGTCAGCTCGAGGCAGTGCAATACGAGCGACACTGTGCTAAGAGACATGAGCAAGCCCAGAGGTCTTTCAGCAGGTTCCAAAAATAAGAATAATCATTTTGACGGTCCGTAGACCGGTCACAGCGATTAAACTATGAAGAACAGATACTACACTTGATCTAAGCCAGAAGGCAAGAGACTTAAGGAGAGTAAGAGGAGGGCGAGGTAGAGTGGCCTTATATAGTCTTCGTTAGGGGTCTGAGCGGCCTCTTGGATCATGTAAGCAAATTTGCCCAGACTGAAGCCTTCAGAATCCAATAGAAGACCGCGGAAGACCCACTCGATCCACTCAGGGCGAGCTGAATGGTATTGAGACTGTGTCGTGATAGAATATACGCAATTGAGTGGAGAGGGAAGCTTGGTTGGGATGACAAGGGTGAAGCCTGTGGAACGAAGCCTGAGATTTTGACGGCAACACACCTCATTTTCTACCTTTCAGTGACGATATCCCTTCTATTTGGACATGCTCGTAATGCGATTTGTATGCCTTGAGTTTTCTTTGGCTTACTTGCGACGAGTAAGCGTGTGAGCCCAATGAGCAAATTTGGGATCCCGGATGTGGTAGGGGGTATGACCCTGGTTTCAGTTCTGCGAACGACGGCGAGTACAGTAAGGTCCACTGAGATGAAGTAACTACTGTCCATATTGCAAGTCTGGTAGTATGTCATCAGAATCAATGATTTATCTGTTCTTGAACTCCTTCGGTCTGCGATTACTTCTGCAATTTGAAAATTGGTAGATCAAGCCAACTTCGTCTTGATATTACTCCTTGACCACACCAATGCAACTCGACAAATAATCATCCACACGTCTTAGTATCAGAAAGGCATCGTATTGCAGAATTACAAGGAGTAGAAACGATGGAAATAATACTTATCCAAACCTAGTTGTACCCACGATACAAGGAATCCATTCAAGTGCCTTGTGAGCATTGAAATGGGGAGTACGGACACCCTATGGTTTCGAATACTCCCCCTGTGGGAGAAGCGCAGTCCCAACACAGACATGGCAGATAGGACGTCCATGATATATAAGTAACACGCGGCAAGATGCTACTAGGCAACGATATGTCTCAGCCTGCTAATTGACGGTTCGGCTTATGTGACTTACCTGTTTCATTATCATCGAAAAATATCGCTAGACGCGCGCGTCCAGCTTGCAGATGCGACGTCGGCAAAACCCAGGGTTTCCGTACTGATGCACATGACGTCTCTCGAGTTCAAGAAATAGTGGAAACACTTATCACTCAAACCCAACAATAATTTTCGACAAACACACAAAATCACTACAAAAATGCTTGATCCATTACAAGTCCTGCCAGCCGAGGTTATCCTGCGCTGCATTGAATTCACACCTCTCTCTGGCATTGCAGCGCTGAACTCGACTTCAAAAGCCTGGCATGGCTTCTTGGACACCACACATCAAGATGCGATATATTCATCGCAAGCCCATCAACTATACAGCAAACAACCTAGGAGTGATCGCGAAGTCACACAACTCGGTCGTGATGTCAAAGCATTTGGGGAGCCCCGAACAGACAGGAGTTTTGTGCAATACTTACGTGGCGTGGAAAACTGGAAGGACTTTTGCAAGCGGTTGACGCTACTGGAGGAGAACTGGAGCAGTAAGAGGCCGGTGGTGAGAGAAAGTGTGGTGCAGGTTGGCTATGATCCAGTATGGCGCTTCAAGCCTGACTTCAAGCGGAGATTTATCGTTTCGACCTCGCAATCTGGGGGTGTTTGTGTCACCGACATGGACGATGGACGTATGCTGTGGAGGCTGAGAAGAGAAGATGTGCGCATGTGTGCGCATCTTGAATACGATCAAGAAAGTGGAACAGCATGTTGGGATCGGTTTGGCAATGCAATCGAGGTATGGAAGGCTGATGAGGTGGAAAGAGGCACCTTTCATCGTGTGGGCCTGCTCGAACATGATTGCGAGACCAGAGGATTCCAGCTCTCACGCTTTAATGACAAGGAAACACTGTGTGTTGTTTCATCCGAGGGCAAAGGCTTCGTCTGGGACCTCTCTGTGCATCCACCACAACGACAAAAGGTACTGGACATTGAGAACGAGGCTGTGGGTCATTTGGACCAGGGCGAAAATACTGTCTGCTACAGTATGGGTCAACGAGGTTACCATGTGTGCTCCAAAACCACTGGCGAGATGTTAGGCAAATTCGACCCCAAAGACTGCCAAAACATCTACCACATCGCTCACCCACCCGCTCAGCCAAATCTCACCATGGGCGCAACAAATCACGGTCCCACAGCGTCCGTCAATCCACCCGAGAACCCACGCAGAGATCGCCTTGCACCACTTAAACTCTACGATGGTCCTCATCCAGTGCCGCGAAGCCCACTAGCAATCGAAACCGACGAATGGGGCTCCGGTATCATCTCAGGAAACTATATGTGCGGTGTTTCTCGCGGCGGCCGCGTTTTCATCTGCACAGACTTCCTTGGTGCTCTAGCCGATCCAGCACGCTTCAAGGAAACAACAGCAGTTCTACATACTGAGGGTGACGGCTCAACTTTCGAACTTGGTGGCTGGCTCAGCATAAAGAACGGTCGCTGTCTNTTTGAAATCATCGACAGCATATACGTCTTCACATTACCCGATTTCGGACAGCTTCCTGTGACAGGAGAAGCTCAACGGCCTATCTGGGCTACACCAATCAGCTCGGCACCGCAACTTGCTGTACCTGTGAGTTTTATGGGTATTTATGATGATTGTATCATGCACACCTACACAACACTCGGGTTCCGCAGTCCTCGCCAGCGACGATATTCCAACGACGATCGTGTGGAGCGCACTCGTGCCTTTCCCACAAAAGCGATTAGGATACTGAGTCTAGCGCCAGATTTGTCTAATCCAGGAAAGGAGCTTTCATACACCGCAGGCTCGGAGAGATACGACAACACTCCCCACGATGGAAATGGCAGCAACAGAACAATGCCAGCACCTCCCACACGCGGTGCAGCAATGCAAGCCGGCCTTTTGCAACTAATGGCCTTGCTCACCAACACCAACGACGAGACCTCTGAAGACGAGGACGAAGACGAAGGATTTGAACTTGGCGACGACGAAAGACCGCCTCCGGGACTTAGTGAAGAAGAACAAATAGAATGGGAACAATCTCAAGCCATCGAGGCGAGACAAGATGAGGAGGACCGGCAGTTGATTGCTGACATGATGAGGTCTGCTGATGAGGACGATGAGATAGAGTTGGAGATGTTGAGGTCTGATGATGAGGATGAGGTTGCTATTGTGGGTGGGAGAGTGCCTTATGCGCCGAGTCTAGATGATGAAGATGATGATGAGTGGGAGGATGAAGAGGACGAAGCATGACTTGTGGAGCAATCTGATCGTTGAGAGCAAGATAGAAAGTAGCACAATATGCGGCTGGACTGCATGATCTAGGAACAATCAATTGCCTGTCATCAATTGAACACGGAGCTAACATAACATTGTCGTTCAAGGGGGAAACAACTACTCGTTGAAAATTTTGTCGTTACTCATCCTGAGATATTTCCTGGCTACTCGGCCTTGTAGTATTGACGCCAATTGTGTTCTTCCTTGAAGCCCAGAACCTCTCTGATTTTCCGATTGCTCAATGGCGCCTCGAATTCGCCCATCTTACGAGTGATGGGTGTGTTCGGGCACACCTTCTTCAAGTACTCCTCAGTCGGCATCGTGGTGGTTATGGTATCGTTAGTGGCGTTGAAGATCTCAAAGCCCAAGCCATCCTTCTTGATACACAGATCGCAAATCTGACCCAAGTCACGGGCATCAATGTAAGACCATGCGTTGCGCTTTCTGGTCTCTGGTTTGCCGACGATGTTAGGGAAGTCTTTCTCGTACTCGTAGGGCTCGATCACGTTGCCAATGCGAAGGACGTAGATGTCGCGGTTGTTGAAGCGGCGGGAGAATGTTCTTGCCGTCTTCTCACCGCAGATCTTGGAAAGGGCGTACGTGTCCATAGGATCAACATCGTAATCTTCCTCTAGAGGGAAGGAGTGGTAGTCGGTATCGCCTTGAGAAAAGCAGACTCCGTATGTGGTTTCTGAGCTCGCGATGATGATCTTGGGAACACCGAGTTTGCAGGCAGCTTCAATGACATTGTAGGTTGCTGTTACATTGCCTCTGAAACACTCATTGTCTGGGACCAGCATGTTGCGTGCATAAGCTGCAAAGTGGATGACCACATCTGGGGGCTGAGGCACTTGAGGTTCGTCGTAACCAGCAAAGTCGTAATGTGTGGTGAGGGCATTGTAGACTTGACCACTGTCGGTGAGGTCGGTCTTGAGTGTGAAGACGTTGTGTTCGGTGCTGGGGAAATCGACCAAGTCCAAGTTGAGGACTTTATGACCTTTCTTGATGAGCTCTGGTATGGCGTGTCTGCCAGCCTTGCCAGAACCACCAGTGAACACAATTCGTTTTCCTGAGGACATGATGATGGGGATTGATGTGAGAGGCAGAGTGGGGAAGGAAAAGGGAGTCGGAGACGAATTGGCTGCTGTGCCTGCTATATGCTGCACCTACTCTACAATAGCCTGAATTGACAGTCCTTCGCGGGTGGAACAATGCAAAGGTGAAGATGGAGGGGTACACGTCATTGTGCGGAAGGAAGACCGTGCAGTGGCCAGCATCGAAGCTTCTTTTTCTGGAGGTGGCATTCATGGTGGGGAACAAGGAAGATCATCAGTGCTCCCGCTTTCCGACTTTCCATCACCATTCCTACACAACAACCCTATTGCATTCAACCCATGTTGGAGGCTCTTGAAGATACATGACAGTCTGGCCAATGCGCCCGTCGCTAGCAAATCGTCTCGTGCGCACTCCCACTCGCAATGCCGCCGCTGCCGCCGTCGCCGTGACAGCTGCTCCTCCAGCAGCAGCCGCGCTCTGTCACGGCAAGCTTGATACTCATCCTATCGCCAATACCTCTACTCCGTCCAAGTCCAGTCTAAGCAATGTCTGGTTCAGCAGTTCTGCGCCATATTCGCTGCCTGACAGCGCTCCTGGGGACGACCATAAGCCACCGGATGAACGCACCTTGAAGCTAGGCAAGAGTATGTTCATTCTCGAATACCAGTCCCTACCACAAACACGAGCTAACGGAATGTTGCGACAGCTNGTCCGCATACTCCACGAACACCTTCCTACCCTGCTTGCATCGCCGCTGCCACAAGAGATACTCTCGCCGCAGATCTCACTTCACCTATTCCCCTCGACACACCCACATCTTCCGACCGTTTCTGGAAGAATCGCCTACCTCGCTGCTTTGTGGACGGCACCTGTAGCTTGGGGACGAGTACCTGTAGTGGGCAACGTCAAGCTCACAGTCATCTCGGAACGTATGGTCCGGCACGGCGGCAACAACGCGAGCTCGGCATTCCGTGATGAGAAGCTCATAGTCAAGTGGAAGACATGTGGAAAGGCTAGGAAGAAGAACTCTGCTGGCATCTACCGTGGTATTGGAGCCAATGAGCAAGTGGAAAGAATTACCGACGTTCTCGGCGGCAAGGCAAGAGACGACGAGGAGTTTTGCGGTCTCTTCATCTTTGAGTTTGATGAAGAAGGTCGAATCGTCAAACACACGATTGAACATGCCGATGAAGGATCTGGCTCAGAACGTACCAACAGAGTGGTCAGCGTGACGGACTGGCTACTCGGCAAGGTCAACGGACACAGAGAAGAACATGTCCCCAGCCTTGCCTGGTGTAAAAACAGCCAGATTAGAAGGGCCTTCCAAGGGCGCCGCAAGCGAGAGTGACGTTGTAAGCATTTTTGGACATACGGATATCTGGGCGAACAGGCAACGGCGTTCTGGTGGCTGGGGCAGGCAGGATTTCTCAACTCATGCATCAACCGTTTTTTGTGTATACTCATGTCTACTTCAACGAGCGATGTACAATTACCATGTCAAGCAGATTGTGTAATTCTAGAATGATTCGAATAGAGTGGTGATGATAGATTGAAATTACGATGGACTGGTGGTCGTGGGAGAGTTTAACGAGGGTCCCCCAGTGATGGCATCGGTCGCTGGCCCTAGCTCGCGCCATGCAGCTGGAACATGGAACATGGGCATGCCGTCTACTCCGCCGTATCCGTCGTCGTCTTTGGTTCAGCAATTCACCTCTTGTGCACTTTCTTGTTCTACCCTATCCCGTAGTTCTATACCACTGGTCGCGCGTACACTAGACGCTCTAATACTGCCTCCGGCCGCAGTTCGCATCTCGACGAGTCCACGTCATACCCCTTAGCATAACCGCATGAGGCTACAGACACCAACTACGGCATAATGGCTGACCACTTTAGTGAGTCTGAATGTGCCTCTTGCCCGTCAAGTCATCTGGACTGACGCGTAGCTAGATCAAAACAACCTCAATCTATCGGCCGACGAGAAACGCTATTATGGCCAGCTGTTCCAGCAAGCTGATACCGAACGATTGGGAGTCGTGACGGGCGAGATTGCTGTGCGCTTCTTCGAGAAGACAAAGGTTGCTCCCAATGTCCTGGGCGAAGTACGTCGATACCATAAACCAGTGCGACTCGAACATCTCTGACCCGCCATGGCANNGATCTGGCAGATTGCCGACCACGAGAACCGTGGTCTTCTCACCAAGCCTGGCTTCAGCGTAGCTCTTCGTCTCATCGGCCACTACCAGGCCGGCCGCGAGCCCACTGCTGAATTGGCCTTCCGACGTATGTCTTGAAACATCCGAGACTCGTCTTCATACCACTGACACTCGCTTCANGCTGGTCCGTTGCCCAAGTTCGAGGGCATGCCCCCACCTCCTCCTGCCCCCATCGCAGCCCCCCCTCCAGCCGCTCCTATCCAAGCACAAGGTACCGGTATCAGGATACCTCCGCTCAACCCCGAGAAGTTGACACAATATGCCAATCTGTACGATCAGTCGGCTGGCGGTGGTTACCTGTCAGGTAAGACTCGTAATAATGCGCCGTGAATCACATCTTCTGACATCCGNTCAGGCGAACAAGCAAAGGCCATCTTTGAAAGAGCAGGTCTCCCCAATGAGACACTGGGACGCATCTGGCAATTAGCCGACCGCGAAGGAAAGGGTTCGCTCGACAAGACCGAGTTCTGCATCGCCATGCATTTAATCACCTGCTACAAGAGTCGCGCATTGGCTGGTTTCCCGAATGTCCTACCTCCAGCTCTCTTTGAAGCCGCCGCTCGTCGTCCCAATCCTACTGGCCGTTCGTCGGTACCTCCTGCAGGTCCATCTGCCATTCCACGTCAGTTTACTGGTCCTCAGGCTCGCGCTCAGAGCCCTCTTACAAGAGCGGCGTTTGGACCCCCACCTGCTATGGCCGCGCAAACTACAGGTCCCACATGGTTGATCGCTCCTCCTGAGAAGGCCAAGTACGACCAGTTCTTTTCGAGTATTGACACATCCAACAATGGCTATCTCAGCGGAGAACAGGCTGTCAAGTTNTTCAGCGACTCTGGTTTGCCTGAGGATACCCTTGCCTCTATTTGGGACCTTGCCGACATCAACTCCGAGGGACAGTTGAACCGTGACGAATTTGCAGTCGCCATGTATCTCATTCGTCAACAACGCAGCGGTGCTCCTCTGCCTGCATTCCTCCCTCCAGCGCTTGTTCCTCCCAGCATGCGTAACCAGCCCCGTCCAGCTCCTCAGACAACTGCTCCGGCCTTCGACAACGCGAACAACTCATCTCAACTTCCCAAGTCGGCCACTGAGGATCTGTTTGGATTGGACGAGCCCATGCCTCAAATGCCTTCTCAACAGCCTATGGCTCCTGTTTCGGCGCAAAACACTGGCAGCGCATTTGGTGCCGATCCATTTGCAGGTGGCAGCAAGNNCCTTCTTCCCCCTCCACCAAACTCTCCTCCAAGAAACTTCACTCCTCAGCAAACTGGTGGCCCTTCATCTGTATTCAAACCTTTCATTCCAACTTCGGCATTCGGCGCTACTTTGGCAGCACAGAACACTGGAGGCAGCAATGCTCCTAGCAGCGCTCCAAACCAGACTGCTAGAAGCGTTCAGCCTCCTTCAGCCATGGATGATCTTCTTGGTGATGCTAACGACGAAGAGACCAAGAACATTACAGAGGACACAACTGAGCTTGCGAACATGTCCAACCAGCTCGGCAATCTCAGAACTCAGATGCAGGATGTTCAGACCAAGAAGACCACAAACGAGCGTGATCTTGCAGCTTCGACTGCGCAGAAGCGCGAGCTTGAGCAGCGTCTGGCTCAGTTCCGTACTCAGTATGAACAGGAAGTGCGAACTGTCAAGTCATTGGAAGAACAACTCACCAACTCGCGAAACGAGACTAAGAAACTCCAACAGGAGTTTGCTATGATCGAGGGTACTTACCAAGATCTGCAGAACCAACATCAACAAGTTTCTCAGGCTCTTTCAGCAGACCAGCAGGAGAATGCCACTCTCAAACAGCGCATCTCGCAGATGAATGCCGAGATTGCCCAGCTTAAGCCCCAGCTTGACAAGATGAGATCTGATGCTCGCCAGCAGAAGGGTATGGTTGCAATCAACAAGAAACAGCTTGCAACCAATGAGGGCGAGCATGAAAAGATCCAGACTGAAATGGGCGATTTGAAGAAGGCCGCCGAGGAGCATGAGCAGCAGATGCGTGAGCAAGCAGCGCAGGAGGAGCGTGCCAGACAAGCAGCACAAGAAGAGCGCTCTAGAGCTGTTGTCTCACCTCAGCCTCCTTCTACTGTTGTTAGCCCTGCACCGTCAAACACTAACCCATTCTTCAGAAAGGCCACCGCTCCTAGAGAAGAGGGTACTCTTTCACCTGGAGGTTTCTTATCGGGTGCTCCTAGCCCTAGTGCTTTTGATGCGCTGTTCGGTCCTTCTGCTGCTCAGCAACAGGCTGGAACACACACGCCGCCCGTCACATCTTTTAAGTCTGAACCCTCTGGTAACTCGGTTTCATCTGACGGTCGCATGACTCCTGCATCCCCGACATTGTCTGCTACCACTCATGATGANGCCCCTCCGCCTCCCCCGGAATCCAGACAATTCACGCCAAACATTCTGCCCATGCGTCAGCCTTTGACTAGAGACCAGTCTGTTGCTTCATCAAACCGCGCAGCCCCACCTGGTAGTAGAATGGGTGAGCAAGACGCTGCTAGTGTCGCCTCCCCTTGGGATGCTGCACCTACCAACTCTTTCAACGCGAACCCATGGGGCGGTGAGGATGTCGCTACCCCTCCTGCTCAGACATCTGGACCTGCCATCCAGTCTCAAAGCCACGACGGACCTCATGAAAATGCATCCAGAGACTTGCCTGAGCAATTAGAGGAAGAGATTCCTGGCGCCTTCCCTGAGACACCTATGGAGACTCAAACCACCGGGCAGTCCGCACACGCCCCTGCACACGACTTTGACTCTGCATTTGCTGGATTTGGAGAAGACCAACAGCAGAATGGCGATCACACCGCTGCGCATGATCCTTTCGCACCTGCACCGGTATCTAGAGAAGTCAACCATGCACCTTCGAGCTACGGAAACTCCGAGTTCCCTCCTATCCAAAGTCTGGAGCGCGAGGACTCGAGCAGCGATGATGACAGCGAAAGCGAGCGAGGCTTTGGCGATGATTTCGGATCATCTGAGCCTCAAGCAAGCACTACTACAGCTGAGGTGCCTTCTGCTGAGCACCACGAAGTTGCCCCAGCTGATTCACGTCGTCCAAGTGCTGTTGGAGCACAATCGGCAGCTAACGTGTCCGAGCTTCCACCTATTACAGCTCAAACATCGCCACCTTCATATGAGGCAGCTCAGGAAGGGCAACACCGCAGTGGCTCGAACAACTTCCCTCCCGAGTTCACCGGCTTGTTGCCTGCCCGCGAGGATCCAACACAGTCTTCTGTGCCGCATTCGATTCCTCAAGAGCAGCAGCCTCAGACTCCAATGACTAGCACGGCTGGATCCGATCACTTCCACGATGCTCACTCTCGGCCCATGAGCAATGTTACCGATATGGGCGCTACTCCTTTTGCCAATGTGGGCGACATTACTCAACATGCTGCTCCCAGTGCTCCTCAAGAGACCACCAAGGATGCATTCGACGACGATTTTGATAACTTTGATGATCTTGCTGAGGCCAAGGAAGCTAGTGGTGAAGGATTCGACTTTGGCTTCCCTCACCACCAGAACACCGATGAGTTTGATGCAAACTTCGACTCGCCAGCACAGTCAACCATCCACACCGTGTCATCCCCTCAAGAGACACCAGTGACAAGGACTGCACCAAACGGTTTCTCTGATTTCGAGTCGAACACTGGTGCAGCGCATCAGCCGACCCCAATCAGCATTCCCTTCGGATCGACACATGCACCTCAAGCACAGCAGCCTCATGACTGGGATGCCATCTTCTCGGGTCTTGACACGCCAGCACCTCAAGTAGAGCCAACTCCTAACTTTACTTCCACTAGCAGACCAAGTGACGGTGCGGCAACGCCTAAGGCGTCAGCTGCACAGACAGCAATGCCTCCATTGGGTCGCGCAATCAGCACAGGAACGGAGCACGACGACCCAATCCTGAAAAGACTCACAGGTATGGGTTACCAACGCGAGAAGGCTCTCGATGCGCTGGAAAAGTATGACTATGATATCGATAGGGTATGTTGTTCGAATGATAGGTATATGTGGTATAAAAGACAAAGGCTAACATGAAACTATAGGCTGTCGATCACTTGTCAAGGTAGAAAGTTGACAAACTTAACTGGAATCTAGCGAGGTGGATGGCGGGAGGGTTATGAGTAGCATGTACAGTAGAATAGGCCAACCTCGATTAATGGAAAAGGACGATGTATTCTGCCAAATTGTTCCCCTGTGTCAAGTGCCTCTAGTCGGGCCAACGGGGATTGTCTAACGCAGGGTCTTGGACCAGGCGTGGTCAGAAAGGGTAACGTTGGCGGGCGGTCGCCGTGTCGGACAGCAACGCCCTCCGAGCCCCCACCAAAACAAAGTGGCTTGTGCCTGGCTTGTGACGGCGTGCACGCAGTCGTACTTGCCTACACAGTTGAACCTTCTCTCCTTGACTCCAACCACCGTCGTAGTCGTCGCCGCCCCCAATGTCGACACCGCGTCTCACATTCCTTTACCCATTTCTGTTCGCCCCAGTGGGCAAAACACCCTTCGCACGTGAGGTGTCCAGGACTGGCCGGCAGGTCTTCCGCACCGCCTCCAAGAGGAGTCAGACGGCCACGAAACCCATCCGCTATGGCAAAGCAAACGAGCCGCCGCCTTATCTAGCTGGAGCCAAAGGCATTGCAGCTGTTCTTCCCGGTCAGGTCGCTCCTACCGATGCCAAAGCCTTGCCGCAACCGACCAAGAAAGACATCGATACTGCAACATCCAAGGATATTGAGTATGGTCTATCGCCGGGCGAGAAGCCTCTGCGTGCATCACGCTTGCCGGAATCGCCAGTCTTGGATGCTTCCGAGTCACAACCGCCGGGTCCTNNCCCTCGCCTACACCTCGATTGCCTCACACCAATCCGTTGGAGACGGTCTTGAATATGCCTTCTAGCGACTCTGCACGCCCTGCCTCTTCTACATCCTCTTCCTCATCAAAAGACCAACAAGAACCCCTTNACCGACCTTCAAAAGATCCGCAAGCAGATCGAGGAAGAAGCCGCGAAACGGCCACGCCCACCTCATATTGACGCACCTGACTATGTCCATCACTTCGACACCTACGGCCTGGTGAAACGTCTCGAAGAGGGTGGCTGGAGCAATGCCCAAGCAATAACAATCATGAAAGCCACCCGCACAACCCTATCCGAGAACATCGAGTTAGCAAGGAACGCACTCGTCAGCAAGAGCAATGTCGAAAACGAGGCCTATCTGTTCCGCGCCGCATGCAGCGAACTACACACAGAAATCATGACAAAACGACGCGCAGAAGCCGAAAGAGCAAGAACAGAACGCACACGCTTGGAGCACGAAGTCGACATCCTCGGTCAACGCATGTCCCAAGATTCAGGAAACATGAAAGACGAACTCAAAGGCATGTTCGACGACCGCAAAATGAGCGTTCAAAACGAACAACGCGACATCGAACGCAAAATCCAAGAACTAAACTATCGCATCACCGTCTTGCTGAATTCAGACTCAAGATCTGATGTCGAAAACGTGCGTTGGATAATCACCAAACGCGCCGGAGTGGCATTGCTAGCTTGCGTCCTCATGATCCTCGGATCCATAAAATTCGCTTCTACGGCAGCGACTTGGCAAGAAGAGGAGAGAAAACGCGCGAATGCTATCAATGCTTCTTCTGCCAATAACAATCCTTTTGGCGGTATGATGGGAGGTAATTCACCAACCAACAGCAGCAGTGGGGCTGGTAATAACGACTTTTTGAGTACGGGGACGATGAATGATAGAGCTAGGGAAGAGTTGGGTCAGGGCGAGATTCTTGTAAGGCAGGGTGATAATCCTGCATTTGTTTCTTTGGGATAGACGTGGGCAGGGAGCATTTTTCTGTTTGTTTCTCGCTCTTTTCTTTTTCTTTCTTTCTTTTCTTTTCTTTTTGTCTTCACATCTTCCCACATCTGCAGGCCTAGAGGTCCTGCATGTAGCTTCTCTTTCCTTTGTCCACATCTCGAGAGCTTGCTTTCAGACACACATTTTTTTTTCTTTTGTCAAACTTGGGATCCTCAGAGGATGATACGGATTACATTGGCTGGGGGTAGAGGTGTTCACTATTTTATGGGAGGAAGGAACGAAGAGGCAGAAGAGGCGGTTTTCCAAGATACCCAATCCCCTCGAATCAGACTTTCTTCTTTTGATTTACGCTGGAATGACGCAGTTGATATAAGTGTTCTTGATTTCTCATGGCGCCTGTGTATAGCGCTTCTCGAAGTTGGAATGGCTATGATGGTATGAGAACATTTCTCCTCAGTACGAGATTGGGAAAAGAAAAGAAAGGATGGATGGACTTAAAAACGCCTTTGACCCAATTTGATATCATGACCCCCCTTTGATTCTCCATGCCATATTTTGCTCTGCTTTGCGGTAGAAAATCTCATCCCTCTTATCTTCTCTGGTTCTTGGCACGTGCCTGCAACTTACGAGCAATCTCATCCCCAGCAGCACCCAAGCGACGAACACCAGGTTGAGCTCTGGAAAGATCGCTCTTGGGCACAATAGTGTAAGTACCAAGACCGCCATCAACACGAGCACGGTTAGTAGTGGTAGGATAAGCCAAAGCGGCTTTTCTGGCTGCAGCAGCACGAGCAGCTTTGTCCACGGTTTGCGTGCTACGCACGGGCTGTTGACTGGGATCGTAGGTTGCCTCTACGAACTCGCGCTTGCGGAAGTCGTCGGTGCGCTTGAGAATGGGACGTGTCCATTCGCCGACCAGCTTCTCGGCTTGACGTCTGATGCCTGGTTCGGCTTTGGTGCTGCGAGTGTAGAAGTGGGTGACTTTGCCGATGCCAGAGGCGACGAGAGCGTCTTTTGAAATGGGCAGCTTGGCCAGACAGGCAAAGAGCTCGCGTTGAATGTTGTAGGCGGGCAGGGAGCCATCGTTCAGCGGCTCGAGGAAGAAGCGGACAGATTCGAGAAGGTTGATATCCGGATCTACGAGGGCATTCTGCAGTGTGTTGCGGTTCAGCAGGGCGACAACCTCTGGGAGGAGTTTAAGCTTGTGCATAGCAGGCTTTCCTTCGTCGCGCGCTTGTGTGTCGGCTTGAGCGGCCTCGGCCATACGACGACGCATCTCTTCCAGCTCAGTATCGGCCATTTGCTCTAAGTCGATGCCAGCCTTGCGTCTGTTGTTTGTCTTGGGCTTCTTGAGGGCCTCATCGAGCTTGCGGGAGAACTCCTTTCTGCGNNTCCTAAACATGTATTAGCATAGGAACCGTCTCTTGACTTTCAACAAATACTCACTCTCTTCGGGTGTCAGATTTGAGTCGTCCTCGGGACTAGGTGTTCTCTTCTTGCGCTTCTCGCCAGGTCCCTTTGTCTTTCTCCTGCGTCCCTCGCCCTCTTCATCGCCATCAAAGTCTTGACCATCTTCGCCTGTACGCTTGCTGCGCTTTGGCTTCTCACGACGGCCTTCTCTGCGCTTCTTCTTGCCCTCTCCATCAGCATCATCACGCTTGCGCTTGTGCTTTCCGAGTAGCGCTACACCACTTGCATCAACGACTCTGGGACGCTCCTCAATAGCAATAGCATTTGGGTCGAAATCTTGGAATTGGGCTTCGTCGACATCACTCAAGGCATCCGAGTCGGCGTCGTTGTCATCGTTGTCGGCAGCTCCAGGCATGGACAGTTGTGGGTTCTCGTCGTCTTCAGCGAGCTCGGTGTCTAGCTGAGGGTCGGCGATTGGGGGTGTGCGGGCGGCATCTTCTTCCTCGATCTCGGGACGGAGGGGGTCCTGGGGGTCGTCGTTGCCAGCAGGCTCGTGGCCAACATCGTTGATGGGAGGAGAGTCTGCGCCTGGAAGATCTTCCATGTTGGCGGTATTTGATTAGACAGTTGCGTAATCCGAGTACGATGTGAAATCGATGTCTGAGTCGATGCAGGTGGTTAAGTGAGGATAGAGGTTGTTGTGGTGTTTATGGTTGTTGGTTTGTTCTGAGCTGGCTGGATCCAGGTCGCGCCTTCCTTCGTTCGGCATTCAGGTTGACGTCGTGCCTTCTCCGGATTTTACCGCAGAGACTCTCTCATTAGAACTTTGGCAACCATCAATTCTAGGCACAACCAGCACGTCAAATCACTTTACATATTCACAATGTTCGGTGAGTAATTAAGCCATTGTGAATCTATGTTCGCTATACTGACAGTGTCATAGCACCGCAACCCCCTAGCAAGGCCGAGATGGAGGTACGCATACTGCATCATCACCACGCGCGCATAATTCGATCAAGCGCATACTAATACAAGACTATCAGGCCCAGGAGCAGTCCGCATCTGTTACCGTCAAGCAGGCTATTGCCACCTGTGTCCTTCTCTACCTCTGTACGGATCCTCTTCCCACTCTTACTCGCCAACACAATCTAACATCGTCCTAGCGCCCTTCGCCGTCGAGTACATCCAGAAGCTTGTTTAAACCCGCAACCGCAACCATCGCCTACTAGTCACGATACACTTGTAACAACATACTGTACAAAATGATACCGACAAAGTCTTTGTTCCATTCGTCGCAAAAGATGGCCTCTGCCAAATGCTGGCCTTGATCACCTAAACTATCATCCTCTGCCTACAGCATATCCTCCCGTAGTTATGTCTGTGTGCATGCGCAATCGTCATCCAAGACCGAGAGATGCCTGGAGAAGACATATGTAACAAAACGTGGTATCATGTCCTTGAACTTTTCTCGCGCTCACTTGCTGGGCTTGCTAGCAGCCTCCCATTCTTCATACTCCTTCTTGATCTGATCCAGCTCTTTGCGCAAGTGCTGGATCTGTGTGTCGTAGTCTTGAAGGATCTGTCAGAAATGTTAGCTAACCATCCGCCGATACTTGTTTGAACTGTCAAGCATCTCACCTTCTTGGTCTTTTCAATCACCTGCTCATCCAGTCCGCCATTCTCTCCAGTTGCCTGGCGGCCGAGCTTCTCGCTCTCTTCCTGCAACCATCTCGTTCTCTCCCGTATGGCCACCATGCGTGCCCAGATCTCCTCTTCTCTGCCCGAGAAGGCTGGGTCAAAGACTGCTTTCTCAAGAGTTGTCAATTTCTTTTCAGCTCTTCCTCAGCTCCATCCAACACGAATCCTCTGTTGGCGAGCACCTGCGCGCGAACTGCCAATGCAAGACATCTTTGACTCAGACCAATGTGCTTCCTCTTTGCTTCCGCTGCTCTGACACTCAATACCAATTCGTGCTTTTGCATCATGGCTCCCAGACTGTTGTTCATCTCGTGCAGGCGCATCTGTAGTTGCTTGACTGCTTCAACTTGTGTCTTCAGGCGCGTACCCAGAGCCTCAAATCCTTTTGCGATGACGGGTACGGATCCTGGTGTAGGCTTGTTGCGCAAAGCTTTTTCCCATTCGCGTTCGTCGGCGTTCGGTGGCATGCTAATGAAGGGGGTCTGTTCCGGAGGTACTTGGACGTAGAAGTAGTGTTGCATGAGGCATTCTGCAGTTTCGGGATTCCACTTTTGAGAGATGGCCTCGATCTGCTGGGGAATGGTCTTGTCGCGTGGGGGAGCCATAGACTGCTGATTGAAGCCGATGGTAGTAGGCTTGTTCACGAGAGCCGAAGGTAAGGCGGACATAGAAGCACTGAGCAGGGAAGCGCTCAGAGAGTTTGCATTGTTGGTTCCAAACATGCCAGGCTGCTGTTGCTGGTTTGGTTCATTGGTTGGTTGCGAGAACAGACTGTTCGTCTGCTGGGCAGGTTTTCCGAAGAGACTCGCATTTTGCTGGGTTTGAGCGTTGTTGTTAGTAGAGCCGAACATGCCTCCAGACTGCTGTTGCTGTTGTTGTTGAGGCTGCTGAGCAGATGCGCCGAAAAGAGAGGGAGTCGCAACAGTTCCGAATGGAGCACTCGGCTGGGGTTGGGACTGGTTCTGTTGGTTCTGCTGTGTTGCGCCGCCGAAGAGTGAGGGAGTGGTATTTGATTGCGCGGGCTGGGCCTGGCCAAATAGCGAGGTCGACTGGGCAGGTTGCGAGGGTTGAGTATTGTTGTTGTTGTTTGCATTGCCGAACAGCGAAGTACCAGAGGACTGCTGCTGGGCGTTATTGCCCAGATTGCCGAATAATGACATGGTTGTTTGTTTCGGGAAGGCGCGTAGCGAATGCAAGGGAGAAGGAGCTTGGAGCTTGGAGCAAAGAAGGACGCGCTTTCTGTTTGCTGGAGCAGGAAAGCGTCGGCGTCGCGGGTTGCTGTGCTTGTCCAGCCAATCGGCCGCTCCCGAGCGCTGACCGTCGACTTCCAGCTTCACACGGGTGCGTCTATACAGCGACAAGAGACAGCCTCACGTCAATTGCACTCCATCCACCATGTCGGCACGCCAGCCAAGGTCCGCATCTCGCTCTTCGCTCTCTGCTATGTGCTGACCACCGCGCAGATTCAACCAGCACACGCTGATCGACACCACACCTCTACCCGACGACATCCCCAAGGTCCAAGAAGTTGGTGCCAGTTCCGCTCCTCTGCTCTCGGCCTCATTCTTCATCGGCGCAAGATGCAAGACATACAATGACGACTACATGATGTGCAAGGCCGAGGCCAACGGAAAGGGAGAGCTTGACTGCTTGAAGGAGGGTCGCAAGGTCACCAGATGCGCCTCCAGCGTGTACGTCAATCGCACTCCATTGTGACCCATCTTCTGACCCAGAACAGCNTTGAGCGACATTGACAAGCACTGTCTCGAGGAGTTCAGAAAACACTGGTCATGCTTGGACAACAACAACCAGCAGCTGTGGCAGTGCAGAAGATACGAGAGACCTCTCAACAAGTGTGTCTTTGACAACCTGGTGCGTCACTCTTATGCCTCAAGACCACCTTCTGCTGTTACTAACCTTGCTCGCGATACANNGAAGTTGGAGAAGACCATTCCCGGAACCCCAGCAAACGAGCTTCCAGTCCACGAGCGCAAGAGACAAACATACGCTCACCACAAGACTCTGACTTGAACTCCTTTTACATCTGTACGATACCACAATTTCAAATCCACTTTCGAACGCCAATAAATCATGCCTACCTGAGGCTGGCACTCACACAAAGCCCGACTTGTTCATATCAAAATACAAAGATAAATGCTTCGAATACACGTTGTTGAAACATCTTCGTATTGCAGATGCACCTAGGGCCTTCGTTCTGACTTTCGCAATTACCAAGGCATACGAAAATCATCGTACTGACTGCGTGTATCGTGATGTGATTGATGCCCAAGGCACCCTGGTGTTTGGGATGGAATAAGCGCAGTATTAAGACACCAGCAGACCTAATTAAGGTGAAAAGGAGCCGAAAGGTTGTTAATCGTGTATCAATCGTCGCCCTAGCCAGTTATATCAGCCACTTTCCTAGAGTACTTCTAGAACACATGAGCAATCAGCAAAAGGCGGTCTGGAATACTCTGAGCACAATCGCTGATGCTGCATTGCGTGTCTGCAAGATCTCCAAACCGCATGGAGCATATTTCCCTTGTCGTATACACAGTGCAGGTAGGGATCATGTCACAGATGTAGGTTCAGTTAGATGAAAAGACCCTGTCCTCAATCCCAAATCTTAACCAATGATGTATTTTACCGTATACTCGAAACAATTTCCACCGTTCTTCAGCCCTGTCGTACCGATTCTTACTTTGCATCAATTAGCACCTCGATTCTCACACCCAAACTCTTTGATTACCCTCGATCCTTGGTAGATTTGCCGAGGTCGCTGGGATTTTCTTGTTCAGAATCTCGCTTGCACCTGATCAGTGGTTGGGTCGCAGAGGCGAGTCAAGATCTTTACGCACGAAGGATCCAGAGATTCGTCTCGTTTGTCCAAAACAGCAATCAACCCGAATTTCACCTGCGCCCCTACGGACGTATTTGATTATCAGATCTGGAACATGACTCTGCACATGACTGAGATATGGAGTGGAAGCATCCGTTTTGGTCACATCCATGACAAGAGTCAACGAGCGAAGGAGCCGGATCGATTTTGTCTGCTCGGCAGCATGGCTATTCCGCGTTATGCAATCCTTCAAGCCACATGCCGGGCAAAGATGGGACTCAACTTTCAAGGGAGTTGGTGCTTCCCACTTGACGGGTTCAACCCTCTTGCACCTGCCGGCTAGCGAAAATCCAAAAAAGTAGGTCGGTGTCGCTCGGCGGCGTCAAAGAGGCTTGCGCAAAAATCTGCCAGATCCCCACCCACGTACAAGGGAACACGCTTTTCCCAGGGAAACCTTCCCCATTCGTTCGTAGACTGGCGGTTGACGTGTTCAGCCGAGAGCTCAAGCACCACCCGAGAGACGAGTGTTCGTTCGCAAATCACCAAGGAGCCCAAGCACCCAGTCATTTGAAACGGTCGACGGCTCTTAAACGTCTTTAGGTTAAAAGAACCTGGCAGCACATCCTTTCCGGCGTCGGCAGCGGCAGCCATTGAACCCATAATGTGGCTTCTGACTTTAGGGCCCTAATACGACTGATAGTCGTGGTGCTGGGTAGGGTAGGGACTCGGGAGGCTGAATTCAAACGGTTTGTTCTAGCGAACTCTGGCTGGGCGGATCTACAGACACACCACTTGATCCCATGTCTTATATGAATATAGGTGCCTGCCCCGGCTATGTTTTTCTTGAGTCCCTACTTTCCGGTTTTTTGTGTTATCTGACACTGGTCCCTTGACACCCTTGATCTTGACTTCCAAGTCACTATCTTTGGGCCCTTGCAAGGGCACTCCCCTCTGTACGATATGGGAGCTTACATTAACGGGTTCTACGCCTTCTCTCCCGTTTCCACAAACGACCGTGCTGGTATTCTATATGTCGCGACGATCTTGAGTTTGATATTTTCGGTCCTTACACTTCTTGTGCGGTGGCACATCCAACGAAGGACTTTTGGACTCGACTTTTGGGTTATTGTCGCTGCTACGGTATGAATGTTCATTCCCATGTGTTCGGGAATTCCTGCAAGGCTTCATGTACTGATCGGCGCTGTTAGATCNGTTGCACTAGGTCAATATGCAGCTATTTTTGTAGGGCTGGACAATTATGCTCTNGGGAAGGCAGTCTCTCTCATGACNAAAAGCGATCAACTCAATGCAGGCAGNAGTAAGTTGTTCATGATTGATCTTCTTACTCATGTAGCTTGTCAACTGACTGCTGTATAGGCTGCAATCGCTAGTATCGACCTTTTCCTGATCTCAAACGCCCTCTCAAAATGTTCAGTCATCTTCTTTATGAAGCGCCTCTTCTCCATAGACAACAGGACTGCAAAGATTCTCTGTAACAGTCTGCTGGGCTTGGTCGCGGTCTGGGCGTTGGCCTCGATACTAGGATTGAGCATTTCTTGTAGTGCAGCTACAAAGTTTGCGCTTGAAAACAGATGCAATGGACAGGTCAGTAGCAACTCTTGCACCTGCTACTATCGATCAAGAACTAACAGTGTCATACAGATCACTCGATGGGCCGTCGTAATAACCTTCGACTCGCTCTTCGAAATAGCGATCTTCCTTCTCTCCATCATCCTCGTCGTCCCCCTTCAGATGACCACTGAAATCAAACTCTCGGTCGTCTTTGCATTCAGTTTCCGTCTCCTGTACGTATTCCCTCTTCTTCCATCTTCCAAAGTTCTTTCTTGTACAAATAGCTTACACGTCAATTTCAGTGTCGCCATCTTCGCAATAATCCACGTCTACTACGTCTCCCAATGGTCCTCAGCCACAGACCCAGGCATCGCAACCGTCTACTCCCTCCTCTGGCAACAAATCGAACTCGGCTACGCCCTAATGGCCGCCACGATCCCTACATTGCGCTCCTTTATCCGCGGCTACGANAAAGCAATGGGCTGGGAATCCTCCTACTACGTCCGCAACACAGCTTCCAGAACCGCAACATCCACATTCCAACTTTCCACCATCAACAAAAGCAGACATGAAGAAGAAAGAGGAGATAACGCAGTGTTTGGATTACAAAGGATGGAGACCTGTGATCGCGAGCCTTTGAGGCCTGATCGGCCGAACTACAAAGCAAAGATCTATGGTCCTGGTTTGGATAATGTGAGTGAGAATGTGCCTAGGAGGACGAAGAGCAGTTCTAGTGGTGGCAGCCAGGAACCGATTATCCGCAAAGATGTCGAGATTCAGGTTAGCTCTGAGGCCGCGCATTGAAGCGGTTGTTATGTTTCTTCTAATGATACCAACTTTTTTTCTTTTCTCGTTTGTTCACCATACCTCGGTTCTCACCTTTTCTCCTCGGTTTTGTTTTTGTTCTATTCTCAAGGTGATGGACTGCTGTTATCTGCCCTTGATTCATGTCACTCCCGATACACGCTATCCGAGTCATTCGTCCGATCTCGGCTGGATAACCGGCTTCGAGATCTCTCCAGATCTTTGCAGGCTAAAATAATGTAGGAACTGGTTCTTTGGACGTTGTTCTAGCGAAGTGACCCTGACTCAATACAGGGGCAAAGGCTCCATCCGAGAAGCACATACTCCCGTTGCTCGAACGATGGATCTAGGGTCAAACCAGGGCAACCCGTGTGAAAGATTGCTGACCCGCTGAGCGCATCGTGCAGGTGAAAGTCAGTCGTGATGGGGAAAAATGCATTTCTATAGTAATCAGCCGCTATGGTACCAACAGAAACCCAAGAGGCGCCATGTATATGCTTTCTAGTATCCACCCAAACTCCTTCCCATTTCCTGATATGCAGCTGAAACAATTACCCCTGCGTGGCAGCTTCATTAGCATACTGCCCACACTTGCCCATCATCTTGCCAAAGTACTCGGTCACAAAGCTCTCCGTATAAAACTCGTGCTGTTGACTATGCTCGGAAACCAGATTATGCGCCAACTCGTGACACAACGTGACAAACCAATACACCGCCGCTGCTTGCTTACCCACTCCTCCAGCAGTGCCATAGTTCTGCCAATGCAGCTGCAGGAAGTAGCGTAGGTTGCAGAAGATAGAGCCTTGACGATTGAAAGCGATGCTGCTACCAGATTCGTTGTAGTAGATATGCAAGGATTGTGGTCGAAGAAGGAAGACATTGCCGACATCGAGCAACAGAGCGGCGAATGCATTCAGCTGTGCTGCATGAGCTTGCAAGAAAGTGGCCCTCAATGACGCAGGAATTGCGTTAGCAAGGAAGATCTTGACACCTGCAGAAGTGTTGCCGATGAACGTGAGGTCTTGACCAGGTGTAGAATCACAGTAGGACGGTGTCTCTTTGACTGTGTTTTCTGTAGGTGGAGAGAACAGTGCAGATGAATCGTGCGCACGTGAAGAGTTCACTGCAGAGATCAGATTTTGAGTAATCTGATGAGGTGGAGTGATCTTTTCAGGTTGCTGGCTAACCGTAGACTTCTTCACGACTTGACCAGGTGTCTCCGAATATGGTGGCGGGGCATCGGAAGGCCCTGCTTCTGCGTGAGGCGTGTTTTGCAACTGCTTCTGACCTTGCTGCTGCTGAACTTCTCGCTCGTTTGGACCCGTTTCGAATCCAAGCTGTCTCTGAAGGTTGGAGAAGAACCCAGTGCCCTNTTTGGGACGCTGCGCGACGTTGTTCTCAGGNNGGGAAGCTTCGAAGGCACCAGGGACTGGTTTGGGTTTCTCAGGAGTGGCTTGAGGTATATCAATGGCTCTTGACTGTTGTTGTGCGTTCCATTCAGCCTCACGCTCTGCAATTCTCTTCTGCTCCTCTTCAATTTGCTGTTGTCGTTTGTTCTCGGCCAAACGGTTCTCAGCGGCCTTTTGGCGTAGGATACGGTCTACATTATAGCCCTTCGTCTTCAAACGACGCAGGTCACTGTCCAAGATCATCTCCAAAGCGAGGAAGTCTTGTTGTTTTGGTCTTTTGAGCANAAGAGACATGATCGCACGAGCGACTTCGTAGAAGTCAGGACGAGCAGTCACATACAGTGTAGCATCCTTCTTTGTGTCTCTGTGTAAGGCAGCTGTTCTCTTCTCTTTGTATGTCGCGTTGTAGCCGCGCAACGTCTTGGTCAGAGTCAATGAGCTGACAACCTTGACTGCCAACACTCCTTCAAGCCACTTGGAGTCGTGTCGAATCACCTCTGCAGTGTGATCGTGCAAGAACAAACGACAACGCTCAACAATGAGATTCTGAAGTTTAGCTGCACTAGATTGATCAGGAAGAAGTCCACCCATGCGTTGATCGTCTTCGATCAGAGTACTAATCCAGGTAGCTCCTAGACCAGCATACAAGTTCTCGAGTATTTCCTCTTGAGGTCCAGCAAGCAATCTCTCTTTGAAAAGGCGGTAGCTGTAAAAATCATCGACAAGGATTATACTCGAGGGCACAGCAAGATGCCACTCCTTGATAGCTGCTTCGTTGTCCTCAAGGTAATCTTGCTCATCCTCTGTGACTTTGCTAGCCGCAGGCGCAATCTCNNCCTTGACAGCAAGCAAACAGGGAGCGCGTTTTAGTGCAGCCCAAAGCATTTTGTCGTTCTTCAGACCACTTGCGTTGTCTGCTATACGACGCAAAAGGCTCAGATACTTCTCTTGACCAAGAGTACTCAACAGGCGTGAGGGTTCACGAACGAGCATACCCGCAAGCTCGGGAGCGCTGGGTTCATGCTTTGACCCGATTTTTAGTAGAAAAGAATTGGCCTCAGAACCGAAGTCGATAAAGTCGAAGATCTCGCCATAGGTCGCGCTGTCTCCCAGGAAACAAGCTTTAGGAGCAGTGTAACGAACGTTTTCGTTCTTCTCGTAGCTTGAGCCAGAACTGACGATCGGGACGATGCGTGATTCTCCCAGCTTTTCAGCAAGGTTGCCAGCAGTACGAATCTCGTTGAGCCGACCTGCAAAGTAGCCGAAGACGTTCTTAGCATCCGCACGATTTTTGGGTGGACTCTTGATAAGCTTCTCAGCACAAACGTCGATGGGAGGGTCTTGGGCTACGCCGAGCAAGGCAGCATGCTTCTGCAGATCGTCTCGAATGATCGGAAATCCAAGGATAGCAGATTTGCCATTCGCGAAACACTTGGATGGTGGTGCCAGCTTCTTCAAATCTCCATCTCGAAGCGGCAGAAAAGGCATTGTGACTCGATCAATTGGGAAATTGCGATATCCGTTGGCGTAATGGTTGGTGATGAAGTATTGAAGGGTTTTCTCATACAATCTGGAGTCGTCTGCAGCGGCTGCAGTTGTCATGATTGGTATCAGGTCTTGAACAGCAGGGTACGCTTTGAGACCTAGGATGCTTAGGAACTTGGCCTCCGGACTGTCTTTTGTTAACTCTCGAGGCCATTGTAGAACTGGCACGCCGAGCTCTCTTAAGACAGGCAGTGGCGCATAGAGGTCTGACACCTTGTAGAGCTTGCTGTCGGTGACTTTCGAATCACTTTGAATCTCCGCAGGACAGATTGGCGTCTTACGCAGCTTTTCGTAGTCTTCGCTTGGGATGTCATTCTGGACACTGACGAGGTATTTGATCAAATCAACATGACTCCACTTGCCTTCAGCAGCACCAGAAGACTTGGCCATGAGTCTGTCAAAGACCACAGACAACTCAACAGTTTTACGGACGCCAAGGGGCACGAGGAATTTCTCCTTCACACCTTGAAGGCCATGAACGGTGGGCAGATCATCGAAGAGTCTCACAGAGGCAAAGTATGACTGAGATGGTTTGCGCATTCCAAGCTTGGTGGGTATGACTGTTCTTGGCTCAAGAAGCTGCACAACAGTACCCTTAGAGGATTGACTGAGGCCATCCCAGGACTTAGAGATCACAGCAAGCACCTGTCCAGAAAATTGCGGCGATTTGGTAATGCTTTGTTCAGCAGAGAGGCCAGCACCATCCTTCTCGATGATGTAACGTAGCCAAGGCACGATCTGTGATTCAGTCCAGCCGAATGCTTCAAGCTGATTCTTGGGGATGTTCTTGACGAAGCGGAAAGGAATGGTTGTAGGTGGTGCGGGAAGGTCAGCAGGGATCTTGTTGGGATTGGGAAATGAGTCGATGCTGCCCAAAAGTAAGACCGGACCGGGATACGTGCTAGCGTGTTCCTCGGCGATTGTAGCAACGGTGCCATCGAAGAGTGAGTGAAGAGCGGAAACATCTAGCTCGTTTCTACTCAACTTGCCAGCTGCCCATTTGATCAGCTCGGACAATTGTTTCTCTTCCAAAGCTCGGGCTTCTAGCTCTTTCTTGATATCATGAGTAGTGATATCAGATAACAGCCCGTACTCTTTGAGACTACGCATGAAGACTGAGGCTTTCTCCATAATCTCGTTCGGTACCACAGGAATGCCGTCTACAAAGCTAAGATCTTCGGTTGCAACACGAACTTCGAAGCTAGGAAGCACACCACGAGTGGACANAAGGTTGATGGAACCTTTCTGATTGCATGTCCAGAATGCTTCCTCGATGATAGCACCAACCTGTGCAGATGGTGTAGACTCTGAGAAAGTGTATTGCTTGAAAGTGTGGATAGCAGAAGCCATGACAGCTTCAATATCCTCTTTCTGAATCTTCTTGTTGCCTGAAGTCTTCATCTGATGCTCTAGCTTGTTCTTGAGCTCAGCCATATCGCCTGTATAGGCAACACGGCATGCTATACCGGCGACTCGTAGCATTTCTGTGTTCCAGGTGCGGACCCAGCGAGCGTTCAGATCGATGCTCTCTCGTTCGACCGTAGGAATGACAGAAGGTGCGGAAATGTGCGCGAGAAGACCAGTGGTCTGAGCAGTAGGAAACCCGATGAAAACACGTCCATTCTTACTAGGAAGTACGGAAGCAAAGATTTCAGAAGCCTTGCCAGAAGATGAGCCTGAAAGAGTTGCCATAGAAACGGAGCTCTCCTCGTACGAAGATGTCAAAATGGCAATTCTTGTATGCTTCGGTGGAGGCTTCTTGGTAGCACGTTCGAGTTCAGCAGCTAGAGTCTTGTTGACGTAAGTTTGCACATTGACAGTGCTGATTCGCANAAAGACGGAAGCTGTACTTGTGCCTGCAAGATCTTCAGATATGGCTCTTTGAACGGCTTCTTCTTCCTTTGCAGCACGTTTGGCGGCTGCACTAGGGCCGGTGGCAGCTGCTGTAAAGCGGCTGAAAAAGCCCCGTAGAGACTGGGTCGGCGTTTCTGAGGAGGTTGCCTGCAGTTGTTGCTGAGCACCAGCTACACGAGTCCAACCGATGACATTACACCATTTTGCGTCAATCTGAGCATTTTGATACTCCACACCAACAATCTTCATGAGTCCTTCCTTTGTCTTGGGATTAAGATCGTGTGGGATACTAACATCAGCAGATGGGGCCATCTTCTTGTTGAGCGTGATCATGTTCCACTGGTCAACCCACAGCTCAATGGATTGAAGGCCAACAAAGGTCAGACTGGTGGCAAGGAACTGGCAGATGGATATTAGGTTGGGCACAGGAGAGGTTGTGTTGCGGTAATCGAGGACAAAAGCAGTTTCGCCTGTGGCCTGTTCCTTTGGTAGTTTGCCCCTTCTGGTGAACAAGCTGTTGCCTTTCCAGTAGAATGCCATAGTCTGATCGCCTGAGCTGACGAAGGGATTCTCGCAGTCGGCAAAGACACTGTAGAAGCCAACACCGAAGGCACCAATCTTTGTCTCATCTGGGTTTCCCTCTGCGATTCTCTTTAACCGTTGCCAATCCGTCTCAGCAAATGACTGGCCATTGTTTGATACCAGCAGCCGCTGGAGGGTGTGGTTGGTCAAAACGTGCTTGAGTTGGGCGGAAGGGTCGCTAGCGGGCGGTACAGGGACATTCGGTGAGGGTAGGGTTTCGAACTTGATTGTGACCTTTGTGGCTCGAGCATCCGCAGCATTCTGAATGAGCTCACGCAGAGTCGTCCATTCTCCAGAGTATCTAGCCAAGACCTTGTCGATCAAGGCTCGAGTATTGACCGTAACCGCCTCTTCATCCAGACCAGAGCCCATGGTCTGTTCGCGCAGGCGCGCATAGTCGATGGATCCTGCCATCCTCGCGTATCTAGTGACGGTTTATTGCATGAACAGAAAGACCAGTGTCCAGCAGTGGCGAAGCTTCGGACTAAGAAGTAAATGTGAGCGGTGAAGGTAGTCGAAAGATCTGAGGTTAGGATATGAGGATATGTGTATTGGTAGGTGCTTCAGGAGAGTTGGAAAAGACCGCAAAACTCGACAATCGAGTAAACCTAGGAGTGCCACATGGTTCCTTCTCGAAGAAAGACAAAGGCGTATGTGCCTTGGTGCCTTCCCCGACGACAACCCCGGAATTAGCTGAAACAAGACCCCTAATCCCCGTATGACGCGCCAAGGTTATGCCGAAGTTTCTCCATCCGCAGAGTCTTCCAGTCGGCGTCTCTCAGTCCTCTTCTTTCTTTCTTCAACTCATTACCGGTTCTTATTGTAGGAGTATCCTTCGCCGACTTTGTCAGTTCCAAAGGGTTCTCCTCTACACATGTACCGCAGACAGATGCCAAAGCGCCACAGCTGGAGCAAACAAGGGTTGAAGTCATTTGACCTGATGATGTATTGTTCCTTACCGGTGTCGCTACATACCAATAATTTGAGCTCGCCTATTTAACAGGCTTGCCATGCATGTGATACCCAAGCCCAGCTCTGTGCGTTACGGCCAGACGCGACCTTCTGCATAGGTCTCTGCTTCTGTCGCATCTACCGCGGCTCGGTATGTATGCCAGGGTGCTCCTCTCGGCACTATCAAAGGACGTCTCGAATGACTTGTCGCATGGTTATGCGCCTCAATGAAGTGCTCATAAGCCAGGTCAGGCTATCACGAATGGTTGCTCGTGTTTTTGATGAAGTTGACTTGGTCCCTTTCCTTTTAACCTTTTCGCATTGTCTTTGATATAGGTGGATTCTGTCAACCAAGCTGTCCGTGATAATATCAGAGACCTTTGGTCCGCCTTCCAGCATTGGCTGTTCACCACTACTCCTGTCACTTCGCGATTGTGTTCGAGCATGTCAAATTGAGACCTATGTCACTTCGGTAAGGGATTTGGACAACATCGTCCAGACGGCGGTTATCTATTCGCTTTGTTCTGCCTCGGTCAGCTACTCGCGAATCGTGAAACGCCTGAGGCTCAATTCTATTCGGGTCCTATGTATTAGCGGTTCTCACTCGTCGCCAGTCCACGTACCGAAAGCCACACTCTGCAATGTTACCTCATCTCACCGCACATTCATATCAATCCACGTGAAGTGCTCGCTTTCGAAAGATGATGGAGCAATGCGCACCATGACGTGGAGACCCCACATTCCGATTTGTCTTCCACCGCTCCTCGTCGATCATAGAACGATCTCTCTCGAGCTGATCTCGTGCCTGTATCACCGGTTCATATGGTGTTATTTCCTTACGTGCGAGCAGCTCCGTCAGCTGCACGAGCCTTGTGGACAACCTTTGCTGTCGAGCCCAAGACGGCACAGATGCTGTCACTCGAGTGAGTCTCGCGTTGACTACCTGAGCGGCAGTGCATTGCCGACGTTTGAGAGCCTGCCGTTCCAGAACAAGGCGGGCACTCTCCAGAGTCCTATTCGAAGCGATTCTGACATGGCAACACAATCCGTCTGACGCTATACACATGGCGCTCTCCCAAGCACGAATGAGCAGCGAGATTATGCTATTCTGGTACCACATGTTGCAAGCCCAACATCCAAGCCACTGGACGTGTTGCTGATCTTCCGCTCGGCACCCTGCGCATGCCACCTGCGCGCTCCGCATAACCTTAGCGATCAGCCATAACGTTCGCCCTCTAACACGAAATTGAGATCAACAAGATCTCGGCTCTTTCTCTAGAGATGATCGCACATCTGGTCAACTACTCTTTTGGCCGTTTGGACATTCCTCTGGTACAGAGAGCAACAACTGCCCAGCGTCTTGGCTTTGTCAGCCATCTTAGCATTCAACCAGTCAGCGCGTTGTAGTTACAGCACATAACTACAATCTTGTTTTCCAAACGTCGCTGCAGCTCGAGGAAAGAAACACAGGGTTAACGGGTGTGCCTGCGGCCGTGGTCACAACCACCGAATACTTCCGACGTCATACAACAGAAGAAAGTTACCTGTCAGGAATGGACAGAAGGATCTTTTGCTCACGTTGCATCGCCCCTTACTCGTTGGAGACGAGGTATACAGATGCAAAGACGCCAAGATGACGATGGCGGCTGTGAAGGAAGTATGTTGTTGGTCAAGTGATTGCACATCACTACGGCCGTGTGTTGTTATTGCCAGCCTAGGTTGGCGGCCATGCGTGATGTGAGCAATTAGATCGATATGGTAAGTCTATGGTAAGAGGACTCCAGAGCCAGTCAAACGATATAAAGGCCACCACTCCTCGACGGTGCCAGGCTGAGCATATCCCCAACTACCCTTACCTATACACAGTATACTTATCCCTACACTTTTCATCTTATTGCTCTTCTGTTATATATCTCCAGCATCTATCCTCCCACTATATATTCTGCCCTAGATGTTGAGCACAACCTTTACCCTGCTGGCAACAGCACTACTATGCTCTGCAGCTCCGGTCGACAAGCGTTCAACTAGTGGCGCTGTTATCACGACCGATTTTCCTGATCCAGCACTTGTCAGCGTCAACAACAAGTGGTTCGCGTTTGGTACCCAATCGCTGTATGACTACAAGAACATCCACATCCAGGTTGCTTCTTCATCCGACTTCAACTCTTGGTCCCTTCACGAGGGTCAAGATGCCTTACCAAACTTGCCTGGTTGGGTTGACCAGAGTAACCCTCTGGTTTGGGCTCCTGATGTAATGCACTTGGTGAGCTGGTCATATCCGTTTGATCGTGAACCTACCCGACTAACACATCAACAGGACGATGGCACCTTTGTGATGTACTTCAGTGCCACCACCAACACTGGTGGCAATGGCAACTACCACTGCATCGGTACAGCTACTAGCTCCAATGTAGAAGGCCCTTACAACCCATCGCCAGATCCATGGTATTGTCCTGTTGACCAGGGCGGCGCCATTGATGCAGCTGGCTTCAGAGATGCAGACGGAACTTGGTACATCACCTACAAGATAGACGGAAACGCCAAAGGAAACGGAGGTATATGCAACAATGGCAACGCTCCTATCGTCAACACACCCTTGATTATCCAAAAGGTCGGAGCAGACGGCATCAGCAAACAAGGAAGCCCTTCAACCATCATGAACCTACAATCTTCAGATGGCCCAGACATTGAAGCTCCCGCCATGATCAGAAGGGGAAGCACATACATTCTTATGTTCAGTTCTCATTGCTACAGCACAAACAGCTACGATACACTATACGCAACTAGCAACTCACCCACCGGAGGATTTGTCCGAGGAGGAAGTCTTTTGGGAGGCGGAAGAGGTGGACTCGATGCCTCTTTGGACGCGACTCATGTTGCTTTCCACGGACTGCAGGGTGATGGACGCAGATTCATGTACACTGGCACTCTCAACATTAACGGCAACACTGTTACCCTCTAAGTGGTAACGGACGACTTGACGACCTACGACTTTTACGACTTGATTTATGATTGATGGACGGTTCATGTGTTAGATTTACTGCCACGGCATTGTTTGGATTTTTGTAAACTACAATGTATAGCATTTGTTTTTCTCCCAGTGAATGGCACTTCGAGATCATCTACAGCACTGTTCCGTTCGCATGATACTAAAATGATGATTGATGTTGATAAAGAATTGGGAACAACAGAGTAAGATCAGGGTGCCCCACAGCATATTCGCATATTCTCACATCCTTGTCACATCCCCAACATCCGTCACTCACACCACATCAACAACAACCCCAAACCATGTCAGACAATCAACTCCTAGACCTTGCTACTCCTCCAGCATGTATCGCAGGTCGGTGATTGCACAGTACTAACAACGCAAACCAGCAAAAACTGAACAGTCACNNAGATTTCTGCCTGATACCGCTGGGCACACCGACCGCTTCCGTGTCCAAAGAAGTGTCGCAGGTGCAGCGTCTGCTCAAGAAGAGTGGGCTTGTGTACCACATGCACTCTGCTGGAACAACAGTAGGCAAGTCACAATGCTTTTACTCTCAAGATATGCACAAAGTGTCAAATCTAACACTACATCACATAGAGGGTCCTTGGGATGACGTTATGCGTGTGATCGGTCAAGCCCATTCTCTACTACACGAAAACGGTGTTGTGAGAATCCAAAGCGATATCAGAGTTGGATCGAGAACAGACAAGAAGCAAACAGCCGAGGACAAGGTTGCTGCCGTCAAGGCCATCCTGGACAAGGATGAGCAGGCCTGAAACCATTCGTGATACAAAACACTTCGGCAGATCGGACCATTTCGAAACGCAGTACTTGAATGTCGAAGGAAAAAAATGTTGTAGGACTCGCTATCAAAAATCTCTAAACGAAAGCTTTTAATACACACTGGCTGTGGATCGTGTGAACCAACCGACATCGCAAAACAAAATGCCGTGAAACCATGAAACCAATACCCTCAATACTCCACGCTTCGTCATAATAAAAATACAAGTAGTCTCTGATGAAAATGTTCAGAGTATAAAACGTCAAATGATCATGCAGCATAAGCTGGGGGTGGGTGTTCCGGCTCTTCGGATTGGTGCCAGAAGCCACCACCAGAGGCTTTCTCTTCTTGGACGCGTCGAGTCACTTCGGCAGCCATTTTCATCATCCAAGCTTGCTCTAGGATGCCACCAGTAGAGCCCTCGGAGTTGAAACGCAGGCGCGACGCGGACGAGGAACGGTTTGTTGCCTCCACCTTCTTGTCTTTAGATCCAGGTTGAGTCTGGACAGCAGATAAGGCGGGACGTTGGGGCTTAGGTGTTGGTGTTGTTGGGGTCTGGTTTCCGGACGTCGGCCTCGACTGCTCCTGTGAGGCAGAAAATCTGACATGCGACACAGGCGTCTTCTGTACGGCCTCTGGCTCAACTTTTGGAATACGACGAGGACTTTGAGGAGGTTCCGTGAGTGTGATACTAGGGGCGTGGGTCTCTTCGCTGACATTGGTCGTGACACTATCAGCGTCGTTGGTGTTATCCTCGGGAGCGGTCTTGCGCAAGTTGACAACCCTGTTCTTTCTCTTTTTGGCAGCATGAGCCCTTGATCTGCTAGTACCCATAGAGTAGACGGTTGACGATGTGGATTGACTGGCGAGAGAAGGCCTACTAGAGTGTGTCGGAGCATCTGATACATCAGACGACGCTGATGACCATGATTTTGGTGTTCCGATCGACGAATGGATGCGAGACAAAGGATTCGGCCGGGCTAGTGGCGTTGCAACTGTAGACGAGTCTTGAGATTCCTTGGAGCTGGCCCAAGCACGGAAAACGGTATCGCGAATGGCAGGAGTAAAGAGGGAGAGGGTTTGCTGTGACTCGCTCAGTGCGGCAAGACGGAGGAGATTCTTTTGGGAGAAGGAAGCGTATGTCTCGGAAGACGAGTCCAGGGAGAAGGGAGAGGGATCGAAGCCGTCTGCCCAAGAGTCTACAGGGTCCTGTGGAGGGCTTGCCAGAGGATCGATGGGACGTTCTGAAGCTTGCACAGGCTCCTTGGCTTCATCGTCTTGGGCTTGTCGGTATTCAGGCACGAAGGCTCGCAGAGAAAGACGGTGGATGATGGCGGGTAGGTCGTCCATGAACAAGACACGCAGTTGAGCTTCGATCTCTTNTTGTAGGTAGTTGCGGACGAAGGGAATAGAATCGAAGGTGGATGAGACCTTGAGAGATTCGAGAGGGTCGTTACGGAAGACGAGGGTAATGCCCTTTTGACGAGAAAAGACCAGAATTACAAAGCCTGACAGTCGGATATCGGAGAGGGTAATCTGGATGGGGATGGTGAGGCCAGAGGCAGCGGCCAAGGGCTGAGGAGAAGCGAAGGCGGGCTTGGTGGACAGCGAGGTATTTAGAGGATTCGCCTGGACACGGGTCTTGAGAGTGAGGTAGGCATCGCCAGCGTATGACATTTTGAAGATGCCGCGGAAACGGTCTTCAGCCAGGTCGCCAATCTCGAGGATTTCGAGCTCGGGCGGGACAGAGCCCAGGTTCAGCTCATTGACGATGATGTCGTCAACGATGATGGGCGGCTTTGGAGATTTGTTCAGGGCGGTGGTGAGCATGTCACGGGCGCGCGACGTGTCGCCGATGAGCGGAGACCAGTTGAAGTTGAAGGCCATATTGGTTGTTGCTTGTTGGTCGCAGGACTAGAAGGTCGTGGTCGCGTGCCGGCGCATCGAAGGACAGGGATGCAAAATGCTACAGTGAAGATGCTGATGCGTCGTGTGGGCGGGCAGTAAGAGGATATTGTATGTCGCAAAGAGCAGAGGACATAGAGGTGGAATTCGACAACAATGCAGCTTGTTTACTGGCGGTTTGAATGTCAAGTGACGATATGAAAAGGATGACCAACGGGCGCAGGTTTCAAGATTTCCAGTTTGCCGAGAACTCTCCTCGCTTGAGCCATGAACCATTCCGAGTCCAGCCGTTATTCTATTCTATCCTCTTCCGACTGACACTCTATCTGCAGTCATACAATAAATCCTTGTGACATGTGAAAGGCGCGCCACGAATCCCACGACGTGATCTGTCTCATGGTTCAGGCCCACTAGATAGTGCGTAATTTGTCTTGTGCTACCTAAGGACGCTTTCGCTCTTCGGATGGTTGGCGTCAGAGGTTGGCACGGGGAAGCAACGCTCCGTGTGTGCGGAGAAGGATGCCAGTCGAGGCCACCAAGCTGGAGCTCACCCGTGCACATCTCACACATCTGATTGCGACACTCCAAACCTGTTGACATCTATCAATTACTCGACGTCACACACGCACACACAGACTAAACATGCTGGACGAACGCGAGCTGGCCATCAACCCCGTCGTGCAGGAGAGCATGATGCACAATGCCAGAGTAATCCACCTCCCGTCCAACAACCTCTGACCTCCTCCAGCTAATCCGTACCAGTCAGTCTCCAACATCCGCTCCCTGACTGCCTCGCTCTTTGGTGTTGCTGCTGGCACTCTTGGTCTCGAATCGTTCCCCGGCTTTCTTTTCTACGCTCTGGGCTCTCTCGTCGTCTCCCTGCTCATCTTCTCCCTTCGCACCAACGTCCAGCCCAAATCCTACTTCCACTCGCCCATCGCCGACTTGTGGATCGGCGATCTTTTCGGAGGACTCATGAGCTTTGTCCTTACCTGGACTCTCTTCTACGGCCTCGTTCGCGCATGATCTACTACCATTTCATCACCCATCCTTCAGCCATTCCCAGTCCACGACCACTCACAACAGCCCATGTCCCGCGGGAGACACCTCTCTGCCAGATTGGCACATCCATGTCCTCAACCAGTCAAGGAGCAAGTTTCCAAACAAAGCATCCTCTGTCTCTGTTTGATGCCCTCGTTTCAGTGAGGACCAAATCTTGGGTCAGGCCATACAGCAGGTCTTGTGACAGGTTCAAGTCAAGCCAATGCAATTGTACGAGGCTCCAGCAGATCGCATTGGACGCTGGAACTCTTGAAACTCACGGCTGCTGGCAGCAAGATAGTTGTTGAAGGATCCGTGTTGCTAGAAGAAGTCGCGAGCAAGAGCGTACTCAATCTGCAAGTCGATTGCGACGAAGAGAAGAACGTGTAGAGACTAGACACAACGACCACGTCTATATTTGTCGTATATGTAAATAGAGCAAATCGTAGATACGACCTTAGCTATCCTGTCATATGAATTGGATGCAGACTGATTTTGGGCCAAATCAACTGCTTTTCTGGCTACTTCCTTCACATGTGTAAAAACATTCACAATTTTGCAACCATCCGCTTCTCCATTAGCTATAAGGGTCATCATAAGCTGTGAAAATGCACAATTGTGATGCGAATACAACTCCGGCCATCCCTATTCGGGTTCTCTCTGTGAAGACCATATTCTCCAGAAAAGTATTGTGCATCTCTACAGCTAGACTGTGACTGTCTTCAGCACATGGGGAGGTTGTAAATGCGATAGTGTTTGTGAGATGCAAGATTGAATGATGACAGGAGCATCATATTTTGCCAAGTCAATTTAAGGTCGCGTTGTTGCAACGCGTCTCATGCACGCGTTAGCTCCACGCTTCTTTGCAGCCAACATTCGCTCCGTCTTCTTTACCATCCTCTCTCAAACAATCACATAATTCCTTCACTCCAATCCACTTGAGCAGATCATTTGTCTGTCACTCGTTTCCACAACTCACACCAGACTTCTTCCAATCTATCACACATCACCAGTAAGAAAGGCTCCAGTCGCGCATCATGACGACCACAAACTGACGTCCGCGCAGTGCTTGAGGCACGTCTCGAACAGGCCAACCTTCTCAAGAAGGTCGTCGAAGCCATCAAGGACCTTGTCCAGGACTGCAACTTCGAATGCAACGACTCCGGTGTCGGCCTCCAGGCCATGGACAACTCACACGTCGCCCTCGTCTCCATGTTGCTCAAGGCCGACTCCTTCTCCCCCTTCAGATGTGATCGCAACATCGCCCTCGGTATCAACCTTGTTTCTCTGCANAAGGTCCTTCGCGCCGCCCAGGACAAGGACATCNNCCTGACCCTCAAGGCCGAGGACTCGCCTGATGTTGTCAACCTTGTCTTCGAGAGCTCCGAGAGCGACAGAATCAGCGAGTACGACATCAAGTTGATGGACATTGACCAGGAGCACCTTGGTATTCCTGACACCGATTACGCCGCTTCCATCACTCTTCCCTCGGCCGAGCTCCAGCGCATCTGCAGAGATCTGTCTGCCCTCTCAGAGTCTGGTAAGTTTTTGGAGTTGTCACACTTGGATTGGACATAACTGACATGGTGCGAACANGTCAACATCGAGTGCACAAAAGAAGGTGTCAAGTTTGGCTGCACCGGCGACATTGGCTCTGGATCCGTCACCCTCCGCCAGCACTCCAACGTCGAGAAGGAGGACCTGAACGTTGACATTCAGCTGTCAGAGCCCGTCTCACTCACCTTCTCGCTCAAGTACCTGGTCAACTTCTGCAAGGCTAGCGGTCTTTCAAGCAGAGTCAAGTTGTGCCTCTCCACTGATGTTCCGCTCATGGTCGAGTACTCGCTTGCCAACAACAGCTACCTCAGATTCTACCTCGCCCCCAAGGTAAGCCAAGCTGCCGAGTCTTGTAGGAACCACAAGCTAACATATGACAGATTGGTGACGAGGAGTAAACGCGGACCGCAAGGAATTACAGGGCATGATCATGGCATGAAAAGGTGTTTATGGCGTTTCAGCGACTTGCTTAAGGAGGAGGACCGCGCTGCCAAAGAGCATGTACCGATACTCGAGGATGATGAACGTTACTATATCAAATCGAATAAGATGATAATACACAAGTCGCACTGTCCACATGATTTGAGCGAAATGATTTTGATGACCCTGGCCGAGCTACGTCAGCCGGCGTTATCGCCTATCTCCTGACGCGCTTCACGTATCTTTTGAGCGATGCCAACATGGAAGACAGATAGACAAGAGACAGCTCGATTGTCTGACTACAAGAAGACATGGCCGAAGTACCAGAGACACACGTTCTGGCAGTCGCCAGCCATGTAAGAACTCGAGACAGGCACAATGCCATACATGACGACTGACAACAAGACAAANNGGTAGCATATGGGTAAGAAACCCCTCGACAGCGACACAAGCGACCAGACGTCTTATATGCCAATAGCTATGTAGGAAACACCATGGCCACTTTTGTCATGCAAGCCCTCGGCTGTGAGGTGTCAGCCATCAATACAGTCCAGTTCAGTACGCTTCCGCCAACTCTCATCATACTATGGCAGAGCCAGCACCTCTGACCCACGACCAGGNNCAACCACACTGGATACAAGCAATTCAAAGGACGCAAGACCCCTGCTGAAGAAGTCGCCGAGCTGTACGAGGGTCTGAAGCAGTCGCGCCTCAATGACTTTGATGTGCTCTTGTCTGGCTACTGTCCTAGTGCCGGCGTTGTGCAACAGGTTGGCAAGATAGCGCGCGAGACCAGATTTGCGTCGACGACGAAGCCTGGTGCCTTCTTTTGGGGTATGTGCAAGAGCGATGCAACGAAGAAGGACAAAAGCTGAAACACACANGTGCTCGACCCTGTCATGGGCGACGAGGGCAAGATCTATGTCAGCGAGGAAGTGGTGCCTGCATACAAGAGTTTGCTGAGAGATGCTGATCTCATCTTGCCCAACCAGTTCGAAGCAGAGTATGTTCCTACTGCAAACAATCTTGGATTCCAGTAGATCACTAACGTACTTCTAGANTTGCTCTCGGGCGTCACAATCACAGACTTCAAGTCTCTTGCTGAGGCCATCCGCGTACTCCACCGCTCGCACCGCGTACCGCACATTATAATCACATCCGTCCGACTGCCTCACGACAATGAACAAGGAGAGGAGCCCGAGCTCTCAATCGTAGGATCCACTGCCGATTCGAATTTCAACCCTCGTTTGTTCCGCCTCAAAGTGCCCGCTTTCCCCGTCTTCTTCTCTGGCACAGGTGACATGTTTGCAGCCCTGATGGTCGCAAGGTTACGGGAAGCATGTCTTGCTGCAGACCTTTTGACCACAGCACATTGGCAGTCCCCAGACGAAGTTCCAGCGACCGAGCTTCCTTTGGCNAAAGCTGCTGAGAAGGTGCTTGCAAGCATGCACTTGGTGCTCAAGAAGACCATGGACTCACGGCAGGAAGAATTNGAAAAGATGGAAAGTGCTCAAGAATTTAATACTGGCATTGGCGAAGAAGCCGATAAGGATAACGAACGCGACAAGTATCTGCGCTTGACAAAGGCAGCCGAGGTCAGAGTTGTCAGGAACTGGAAAGACTTGGTCTATCCTCCAGACATCGAAGCTTTCAAGGCGCATGCTGTCAATGTCGAGCTAGATGCCAACCTGTCAATCGAGCCGGACGAGCTTGGAGTTGTCAATATGGGCACTGGCCATGAGNNGGTTGGACAAGGTGCTGTGCACCAAACTTGAGTATGAAGATTTGACTTGTGCTTTTTTTTCTGCATCATGACCATCTCGCATCACATACCCCCAATCGTTTTAAATATCATTTCCCTAGCATTCCTGCTTTTTCCCCGTACGCCGTTCACCATGATTCGACATTAGATCGACAATCAAACTAGTTGCCGTTAATTGGTGCGCCTCCGTTGGCTGGGGGATTGACAGGAGGGATAATGTTGGCAAAGCCACCAGTTGAGCCGAAGCCTCCAGCACCGCGTACACTCTCGGGAAGCTGGTCAACTACGAGAACCTCAGGGGTGTAGANTCTGGCTATCATTAGCAGTTTCCTTAAATACCAGAATATATGACTTACTCTCTCGATGATCAGCTGTGCAATTCTGTCTCCTTCATTGATGGCAAAGTCGGTCTCGCCAAGGTTGAAGAGCAAGACCTTGAGTGGACCACGGTAATCAGCATCAATGACACCAGCACCGACATCGATTGAGTGCTTTGCAGCAAGTCCAGAGCGAGGGGCTACTCTGCCGTCTGTGTGTAATGTTAGGAAAGCTCAAAGATAAGCGGCAGATGGTCGAAACATACAGGTGTCGGCAGGTACAGCGATCGAGATGTCGGTGTCGGCAAGCACCTTTCCTCTGGCAGGTACGGTGGTGCTCTTTGATGCATAGAGATCATAGCCGGCAGCAAATGCACTGCCACGGGTAGGAGCGCGTGCTGTTGCTGAGAGGAGCTTGATCTGGAGTGCTGGTGGAGGGGGTTCGAGGTTCATTGGAGGGAGATGAGTAGCGGAGGCAGACATGTCTGTGTTTTGGTGCTTGTGAGAAGGAGAGTCTGGAGTGGGAGTAGCTGCTGGGTCGTTCAATATTGCTGTCGACAAGTTAGCACTAGAGCGTCAATCAAGCGTCAGAGCTATACACTTACAGGCGACTGAGAGATTTGCGGGCTCAATGTTCTTAACTCTCTTAGGATCAGGAGAGGCCGGCAGAGAGGGAGGATTGTGTTCGACAGCAGGTGTCTGAATTGGCTCCATTGAAATATATGATGCAAAAAGTTGCTGATTACAGCAGATGGTCAGGCCGATGTCTATGTGTTGATGTCTATGGCAGTGCGGAGGATGTTTACCCAGAGATAATTTGGAAGCTACCTTGCTTGGAGACGCGTTTGGTCGCGTGCTTGGCGCGCCGGTCGCTCCTTCCTAGCTTGGGGTCCTCTTGAGTGGTTTCACAAAGTGTCTACCACTTGCACGTGAGCGTTCACAATTTTTATACCTCTTCCCTTTCATGATCCCATCGACCAAGCTGCTGGACTTCTGGACGCCTTGACACTATCGGGCCTTAACACCATCCATCGGTTTCATCTCCTTCTGGAAAACTGTCAAGTCACAGAGGTAGGTAATCGAGGCCTCCTTTCATTTACAACACGACTCAGTAGTCGGTTCCAAGTCTGAACCTTTCACAAGCTATGTAAGTAATTCAGACTTGGGTACGACTAGACACTCCTTCATTGATGTCGAAAAACCCTTGAAGTTAATACCTGAACTCTATTATTTCCGATCCCAAAGATAGGTGGCTAGGTTTTCGGAGATGCAAAATGTAGGTGCCCTGAAGTGTCGTCGTCGCCAGCTCGAAAGACTGTTTATGACTGCTGTGGCTGAACCAAGTCGATCATTCGTAAGCTCTTCCTGTTCCCCGACCTGTGTCTCTCTCTCCACTCCCAAAAGTTTCCACATTGCTTGGCCAACTTGGGGTCTCCAACGGTCAAGAAGAACTGTCATGCCGAAACCGCGTCACCACCAAGAAGGATGCTGGCGTACGCCTGGAACAGCGACATTTTCAGACAATTGTATCCGTCTTACCGTGTGAAGGTTATCACGGTCTCATAGGGCTGAACAATGGATGGGCATCAAGTTCCCCCGCCATCTCCCATCAGGGACCTGTCATCCCGAGTTCCGATCGTCAGGTGGACACTGCTCACCTTGTTTCTGTTTAGAAAACATTCTTGTCTGTTGTTTTGGGCTCACACTAGCTCACTAGATTCTGCAATCTCTGCCCGACGCTCGTGTTTCGTCGAGGCTGCCAGGCGGTGCGGTGGCTGTGAGCTGCCTGAAGTCTTGTTATCATTCTGGGCTGACGACTACGCCTGACGCTCGTCATGCATTGGCGTGTATCTCGGGTTTAGGATCGACACACCGTTTGAGTGTTTGACCGAACGCTAGTTTCTGCTAAGGTGCTTGACTCTCCGCACTGCCGTGTACATCGATACATATATATCTCTGTTGTTGTCAGCACCACTTTTCCGCAACCATCCTATTCCCACGAGCAAACATACAAATTCTGTCCTACCCTGCAACCTTCTGTGAATCGACTACTACCTCTCCTCACCATCTCAATCTATCGCCAATATCACATCAGAAATGTCTTCAACATCCTCGCTACATTCAATCTTGTCCGACGATGAGCTCCCGGCATACGAAGAAATCGCACTGCCTCCCAATGTCACTATCGAAGAGCGAGAGATCTCTTCCGACGACGAAGATGACGACTACTACGAATGCAATTACGAACAACCAGAGCACAAGACCACCATCAAGCAAAGCACAAAAACATTTGCTGTCAGCCTAAAGTCAATACTCTCGAGCTCGGTCACGGTTGCTCCTTCGGCCGAGTTTCAGAAATCCACCGTCACATTTGACCAAACTGCCACACCGACTCGTCCCAAGTCAGACCGCAAGCCATCGTTTAAACGTGAGTACAGACCACTCACTATGAAACAATCTGAGCATTTACTAATTTTGNNCTTAACTATCAGTCGCTCCTATTCAAACATCAACTTTGCAATCGCGCAGAATGGCTATGCGCTCAACGTTGCAACTGGACAACACCGTCTAAGGGCGCTATCTCGGCTTGAACGATTTTTCTTNTGGTCATTAATCACGAACGACACGAATCTGGCTTTTGGCATATGCAGGAGATGAGTCCATCGGAGTTTTGTTTTCTCTCGGCTTCGTCTTGATTTTCAGATACCNCAAGCATGGCAGGAACCAGCGCTGTTTTCCTATTTATTGTTGTTGGTTGCGACCTCCGTTTTGTTGGTGTACAGGTCTTTCAGATGGTCAACATCTTCAGAGGTGTACAGGATCTAATGAGAGCAAGAGCTGGTGGGAGTTATCTTGAGCGTCTCTGTATAGCTTTAGTTCAACTGTCTATATGTATATTAGGTCCTAGTGGCCAGTCCGGTCGACATCAGTCTTTTCTATTCGCGGTATCCTCAACTTGTGAATCATATTAGTTGCATAGTGGCATCGCTCACCGACGCCTGCTCTCAAACCCTTNTTCCAGAATATCCACCAGCTCGTCCAATCNTGTAAATGGAGCCAGGTTAGTGAATCGGAATCGGAAATTTTGCTTCCTAGACACATACCGGCTGATGACCAAGTCAGTTCTAGGATCCTTCTCAAGGTCTTCTTTGCCTTCACTCCTGAGCAACACAGTAGCTGCTCCAGCGTCGTGACCAGCAACAATGTCGTCAATCGAATCGCCAACCATGATCAAAGGCAGGGGCCGCTTCGCTGTGGGCCGACCATCATCTGACACGTCCGACTCCGTTATGATACCCCATTGCTTCGCAATATGCAAGATGCCTGCGGGTGATGGCTTGGGAGGGCGGAAGTCCCTTGTGACGATCGGCGCAAATGCATTGATATGTCCTGGCAGGTGGTTGCTCAAGAGGTGTTCGACTGGGGTGTTGAAGTTTCTCGTGCATATCCCCTTCTTAATATCGTTGGTGTCCAAATGCTCCATCAACGTAACCAATCCGGCTTGTGGAATTTGTTTGGCCATGGCTTGACGCTCAACATCCTCAATGATCTTGTGAGCTTCCTTCTGTTTGTCCCCCGACAGACTGTATACGTGGTCCAGAATATCCTCTCCTTTGGTGATCCCAAGCTTGCTCCTCATCTCGGTGAACATGTAGTTTTGCGGTTCGCAGAGTGTTCCGTCCACATCGAAGACAATGCCCTTCAGCACCATATCGCCGTCGATGGCGTCATGACNCTTGCCTTTGCTCAGAGGTGCAAAGCGTCTTGTAGGATGTGAACTTGCCATTGTTAGTGTTCTGATACTGCTGCGCGACAGTGTCTTGGTGCAGCCGGTCCTTGAGCGAAGAAAGATATTCATGAGATGTAAGTGTCGTAAGTTGGAGGATGAAGTTCGGCTAAGCTTTGATAATGGAAGTGAAGCGTCAGATGCTCCACCGTTCCTGCCATGGATGGAGGATCGGCGATGATAGCCGACCAACTTCTTGCGAACATCCTCATATTTTTTTGGGAATGCTGAAGATGAGTGGACTTCGTTCACTCGACACACTTGTTCAGTCAAACTAGACAAGGTGTTGTTCGAATAACTTCTTACTGTACAGAGAATACTAGGCTTGGAGAAAGCGGGCCAAAGCGGATTTCGGACGTTTCCCCCGACAACATCACCTTGTTTGGAGACACCACACAGCAGACAACGTTTCATCCGGATACAGTATGACCATCGTATACTACTCAGACTCGGCACCTGGACATATCGGTTTGGCAAGTCAAGCGGAAAATCAGGTTTCCGCTAGACTTGAGTATCTCGCCGAAGGCAACGCAAACATTGTTTACTCCTTCAAACAAGTTGCCAACAACGATATCCCGCATGGCTTCCGCCATAAGCTTTTGCGATTGAGGAAAGACAAGTCCTTTATTCAACCCACAAAGTCCCAATTTGCGACTTTCCAACAAGAGTTTGTTCCACTGTTTCGACCTGAGAACCTTGTAGAGCAAACATTGGTTACGTTGAATGAAACAGTCATCAGAGATCTCAACCGGGAGCTTGGAGAGCATGAGAGTACAAAATCTCGAAAGAATTTGCGACACGGTGATCGATTAGCGACGGATGAGTATGGCTTACTAATGACTGACATGACTGCTCGTCATGGCGAATTCCTGTTTGAAATCAAGCCCAAGTGGTTACTACAATCACCTGATGCCCCTGATGGCTCGATAAGATGCAGAACTTGTGCTTTGAGGCTACAAAGGACTCATGCAGCGGCTCAAGGCGCCGTGATACCGAAAGCAGGCGGATTCTGTCCTCTTAGTTTGATTGACGACGACATCCAAGAAAGACAACGGGCTTTCAAGAGCATTATCGAAGCACAGGCTGATGACTTACCCAACGATTCTGGTAAGTTTCTTTCGACGAATGGTACAGGATGGTTGTCATTGGTGCCTTCTCTCCTGTACATCGTCAGATTCTTCAACGCGCATCGATTGACGAAGTCGTANGTGGAAACAGTCGTCAAGTTCCTGTCTGAGAAGGGGTACCGTGTTCTGGAGACTCTTCGCAAGAACCAGGCACGATTCGATAAGCACGGTCTACTGAGCTCAAGCGTGTGAGTCAATCTATCGCACAATAGCTGACAATCCTAACAATAAGCAGCNAACGGAGCATCAGACGATTACTCAAAAGCTATGACCCTACGCGACTGTGTGTTATTCGTCAAAGGCTCGCTAGATGCATTCGAGAACACGGCAGATATTCGCATAGCAGACCTGGACTTCAAGCATGCTCATCCAGACAAGGCTGAGAAGTGGATGAGCACCGAGAGAATACTCATAGACCAAGGCTGGTACACAAGCACTGAGATCGACGAAGGACCTGACTCAACGTGTCTGCTTACTCGAAGGTCGACTTGAACCATATCCAATGGACCATGGCATTTTTGTCTGTGATACGACAACAACTATTTTTGAGGCGAGGCGGTTCATGAAATGCTTGATTGCATGTTGCCATCGTGAATCCAATTGCAAGTGCAAGACTGCGCCATCCGCCCTCTTGCTACTAAGTGAGTTGCTCAACAGCTTGGTTCAAACCAAGGACTCTGACGATTGTAGAGTCAGAGCCGCACAAGACAATCGCACTGCCAGCCTCTTCACAATCGAACATCAGCACCAGCATCTATAGCAAGCCCGAAGACTCAAAGACTGCTTCAACTGGGCCGGTCATCGCCGACAACCCCGACGATCCCAAGATCTCCACTCTATGCATCAAGAACGGGGACATCATCGTAGTTGATGACCCCTCGCTTGCCTTGATCAACAAGCCCGAACATGTCCAACATCTTCTTTGAGTTCGGTCCCAAAATGCCTGCCAGAATCGAACTCGACATCTCAACCCACCAAGCAACTGACGACCTCTACTGGTCAATCCAGTATCTCCGCTGCCACAGTTTCCTACTACAGTCGGTGAAGAGGGCACAGCACGCAGAGTGCCTTCAGATGTTGAATCTGAGTAGTAGGGGATACCAAGCGATTCATCGGAGTGGTCGGACATTGGTTCTTCGGCTGATTCTGCCATGACTTAGGAGTCTGGTTGCTAACAATGTAGACTGTAAAGCTGTCAGGTAGCTCTCCGGATGTTATATGTACCTCGAGACAAAGGAATGATGCTCCGATGACGATACGAGCAGCACGCAGCGTCGCGACTGGATTGTCGACAACACAAAGAGGCTGACGCTCATCATGGCCGGATCCGGCTTTCAGAGGGATGTTGGTCGATCGGAAAATGATAAGATACACTGTCTCGTGTTTGTTGTGAGGATTGTCTCAAACATACCTTGCGATGGAGATTCAAGGCAACATGGCGTATAGAATCATTGGCCTCTCGTTTCGCCTACTCGCCTTTTACTTCACCTTCTTGATCATCAAATCAATCTACCAAGCTATTTCGCCAATCTCGGCGCACAACAAAGGCGAAATCATTAACTATGGAGCCGAACATATCCAGCAGCGGTTCAGAGACTTACAAAACATCTCACCAGGTTTCAACTATTTCGTGCAGACAATGTATCAAGTGATCGCACAAGTGCTGCTCACCATGACGATACGGTATAACATTACTGTCGCCATACTCACAGGCATATCCATGGCTTTTGGTCTCTTCTCGGCTCTTCTCGTCCTTGCGGATTTTTTCTTGGAATTAGGCATGGGAGTGGTAGAAAAGCTTGCCGAATTGTCATCGGACGGTGAAGAAAAGAGACCTGAGAATATTGCCGAATGGTCATCGGACCATAAAGGAAAGAGGCGTAGAAAGATTGCCGGAGGATCGTCGAACCGTGGGGACAAGAGACTTGAAAAGCCTGCATTTCCCAAGATGCCCGTGTCTTCTGTCTCCTCCAGGTGGTGAGATCAGACGGGAAACAGACATTGGGGATGAGTCGAACTCTGTCAGACCGTCCCGAGAACTTTTGTCTTCAATCGGCAGCATCTAATGAGCAAGCGATGGAAGTTACACGTCAACTTTCGTATCGTAGGCTGGCACAAACCATCCTTTCCCGCCTTAATCAGCCTGTCCTTCTACAGGCTTTCGTTCTAAATTCGCAGTCCCATATGTATTCGAGAGAATCCTGGAGATTGGCACTACAGCACATCGCTCAAATCAACGCCTTGTGCCAAATGATCTCTTTGTTCCCGTCTTCCAGTTCCTCCACAGCCACCCAACCTCCTTGAACGAATGGCACGAACACGACTTCGACTGGGCATCATACAAGTTCAAATATGTCGCAACGCCAAAATGCCACACATTCGAAGAGCGCGCCGCTCGCGACTCCTTCTGCCCCGTGTTGCAGCAAAGATGTCTTTGAAGTTCATGTCGCCTAGCTTTCAAAGTGCTTGTACCCCAGTGGAAGCCTTACTGTCTGACAAGGAGAACTAGCACAGGGCAAAGGAAATGACCAGAAGGACATGCCATAGCAGAAGGCAGGAGAGGCAAGACGACCAGGAAGAAGACATTGCATTGTTGCTGGAGAGCTCGTATATATATGTATAATGCAATCGCAGTAAACATCGGCATGACCCCATCGCCTCAAAGCCTCGTGTTAGCTCTATACATTATATTGTTATGAAGCCATGCCGATAGCTATCTGCTGACAGTTCCTAGCTCTAGCCATGCCTCTGCTTCTCAATTGCCGATTGTTAGTACATGATGTTGTCTCGAACTATAGCATGCCTGCCCGATGCCTCTCGCCATATGTTCACACTCTCCGCTGAGATCCGCCAGCGGTAACTTGCTAGCTAGAGCACTTAGAACTGATGGTTAATGTTGATGGTATCCTCATCCCCTTGGTCCATGTGAGACCCGACGAGTCTAGCGGTTTTAGTCGACTCATGTGCCATTGGTGAGTATAGCAAGCTAAGAAGATCGACGTCGTTTATAGACCAATAGTTACCATTCGTGTCGGGTGTAGTGGGAATAGATGCGTGGTTGCGATCTAAGGGAACGAGCATGTATAGGGTAAAGTGCAGCTTTGATAATACGTGAAGAGAGTATGCCATGACAGAGGATTCGAACTTGCTCCACCAACACTGCTTACGACAATTGCGACCTCAGCATGGTATTCATCCTGCACAGTATCCGAAAGGCTTTAGCATCGCAAGCGTATGTCAGCCATGAGCATAAAGTGCTCATACAAGAAGGGTGCCTGGCCAGAGTACGCATACAGCAGATGCCACCAGGATGGGCCTGTCTCGTGGGTGCAAGAGACAAAGGAAGACTGTCTCCGTCTGCTCGGAAACTCTCCTCCCAGAGTAACATGAGCCGATCACCGACTACATTGTCTTCTTGTTCGGCGCGCTCCTTCCCCTGACCGTTGCTATAACGCTCGACGACGATGACAAGATAGTGATCCGTGTATTCGGTATACATTGACATGTTGGTGTTCGCATAGTCAGGGGCAATATCCGGGTGGAGGGGCATGGAAGCAGATTCGACTCCGGGGATAGTCAAGCAGAGAGCGGCTTGGTGCACCTATGCAAGAATGAAAGTAGGCGTCCGGATCGTCCATCACACGATATGGTACGGGAACGACAGGGACGACTGCGGACAGAGGTCCCTCATGCACTTGAAAATCGCTAAGCCCTGCTCATCCACTCGTTCTTGGGGGAACAACGGCTTTGGCTTCTTTGTGCGACTTGGTTGTCACTATGTTGTTATCGCTCAGCAGATTGGGCATTTATCATTTTCTTTGAAGCTCATGTGGTTGAATACACTGTTGATTTCCCAATACTTGCCTAAGGATTGCAGGTGTAACATATTTCTTTCTCCGCGACCACTCCTCTTATCTCGTGTTTCGACAAAGGTACACAATTGCTGCCAGGCCGGCCCAATTGATGGCGAAGCACCGTCCGCAGCTTGCAGAAAAGGATTTGATTGTCATGTCATGTGGTGACTTGCTGATGCCCTGCCCCAAGTAGTCTTGGCATACACGCCTTCTACATTGATATAAGAGATGCGATTTGGTCAAACCCCTCAGGCCCAAGAAAATCTTTTGGTCTATTCAAAGTTTACCTAATATTACCATCTCTTTTCTGAATCATCATTGTGGCCTCACCACCATCTGCACAAGACAGCGAGACACACCAGATCTCGACGAGTTACACCTACACGCCTATCATGACTACTTTTGCTCAACATCCAAAGGAAGCGACGCCGAACGTGCCTCATTATGCCATGCAGGATCTACATACCCAGCAGTACATGCCGATGAATTGCAGCCAGCACATGACCAAGCACCCAGCACCGCCAGTACGGCCATACCCAAACCAAGATCAACAGTATCACCAATCAGGATATATTGAGCGGCCAGTTCAAGTGTCAACGCAGAACACACATNNCCCTCAATATCTAGCAGTGACTCCGCATGGACCATCAACGACCAGATACGATCATGGCCAACAGCTCCGACCTGCGCTGGACCAGAGGCATAGTGAATCAAGTTTCCGCTCTGCGCGCTCCCACAAGTCGACGCACTCAACAAATTCGCATCACTCATACCGTTCGACAAAATCGGCCCATTCACATCGATCGCATCATTCTCATCATGGCGCGAATGATGAGGCCAAGAATCGCAAGAAGAGAGATATCGACGCCAGGCCAACCATGGGAGACAGTGTGATGCTTGTGGTTAACCACTTCCGAGATCTCCTGTCTGGTGATAGACGTTGATCGTCTTTGGTATGAACGAGGGAGTCGGAGGTATGAATTATGACACCAAGGCGTTCGGAGAGTGCTAGATTCCAGTTATCGTACCCACATTATTTATCTCCTGTTCCAAGACTCCTATTGTCGATTTCTCTGTCCTTGACTGCATGCGATTGTGAAAAATTGTTTTGAGGGTCCATTTCGAGTAGTCTGCTGGGTAGAAAGACAAGCACGCTCGACGTGTCGATGTTCGTGTTGGGAAAGAGTGTTGGAGAGCGGGCTTGGCATTGCAGTTTCCCCTCCCTGCGAAAAATGGCCAGCCAAAGTCGCAAGATCTGGCATTTGTTCCCAGCGTCGTCAAGCGGGACAAAGCTTGCCGCGTTTCTTGGTTGCAATCGAATCACAGAAACGCGAATCACTGGACCGGCCGCCTATTTAGCTAGCCAGTCCCCCCAACTTCTTCCCCCTCTACATCGCGACGCTTTCTCCTTTACAAGCACATCAACATTGTCAGTAAGACATCGTCTATTCTACCAACAAATCTTCTCTTAACCAACCAATACATCATGTCTGGACGTAAGTAAATCATTTCCTCTGTTCATTCCACCTCACTGCCGTCGCTGTCGTCGCCGCCGCCGCTTCTGACTGCGGCAACGCGTCGTCGCGTCGGCCTTCATCGGCGCCACTTCACATTATCACCACAACATGTCTCCAACCCTTTACTAACATGCTATCACAGGTGGAAAGGGTGGCAAGGGTCTTGGAAAGGGTGGTGCCAAGCGTCACCGCAAGATCTTGCGCGACAACATCCAGGGTATCACCAAGCCCGCTATCCGCCGTCTCGCTCGTCGTGGTGGTGTCAAGCGTATCTCTGCCAGTAAGCTTCACTCACTTGTATCACCTTCGAAACAAGTTGCTAACCCTTCCTTCNNAGTGATCTACGAAGAGACCCGTGGTGTCCTCAAGACCTTCCTCGAGGGTGTTATCCGTGACGCTGTTACCTACACCGAGCACGCAAAGCGCAAGACCGTCACCTCCCTTGACGTTGTCTACGCCCTCAAGCGCCAGGGCAGAACCCTCTACGGTTTCGGTGGTTAAACGCTGCCATGCAACCTGGACCTGGTCACCGCCTTTGGTTCTTTACTCTTCACGAACTACTTTGATTGCTACTACTTTGCTTTTTCATTCGACCGGCGCGGGGATATGTGAGCATGCCTCTGATGCAGCCACTGGGACACGGTTCAAGGAGTTATTATGGTACATGGGTCACGAGCAAGAGAGAATGCTCTTCTTCAGATGAAGGAATGTCTATCAAATCACATGAATCAAGCATGAATGGCATCTGGCCTTCATGAGTTATCAACTTTCAAGAACACTGTGCCAACTTGCGTGCCATCTCATGCTGCTTTTGAACATTTTGTGTATAATTTTGTACAATCCGCCGACAGCCGTGAAGCAGTCTGGTCTACTCGTTGAGCATTCGTGCTAAGCAGAAGCAATATCGCTTCATCTCGATTCTCCAGTCAAATCCTGAACGCCTTTTACCATGCAATCCCAGTGGATATCCTTCTTTCTTCCCAATCGTACACGGTGGATGCAGAACACGAATGCGATGCTCATGCAACAATACCCTACTGCTTAATCTCTTGTCCTGGCCTGAACTTCGGTTCCATAAGGCCGANTCTGTGGTGCAACTCTTGTTAGCAGACACTCTTTCTGAATCGTTTCCCTCGTGCTTGCTCTTCCGAGTCCGTCCTGAGCCTTTCGTAGTCGTCTCTTTCTCTTCCTCATTCTTGTTCTCTGCCGGCGAAAAGACTCACCATGCTAAGCAGCCTCCAAGCAGGCTCGCTCGGTTGAGCACCAACACCCAACCAGTACTTTGCGCGGTGAACATCGAGCTTGATATCCTTGAACTTTTTCGCCGTCTCGTTGCCGTCGGTGGGCGTTTTGGGAATGGGGTCGTATGTGCCGAGGACTTCGAGAGGTTTGCTGCCGCGTGCGGTTCTGTGTATCGAGACTTGCTGTTAGAATCTGTGGTCTGTTTCTTTTTCTTGTGTCTCTTCTCTCTCCAAGGCTGTGTGGATACGGCAGATCGAATGGGATGGATGAAGCAGTTCGAGAAGTGTGGATATTGGGCTTGCGCGCGGAGGGTTATAGGCGTACCGGGCGTGGGCGACGACAATGTTGTAGAAAGGCGCATGGCGCTTGCCGAAGCGCGCAAGACGGATCTTGAGAACCATGGCGAATGGTCTTGTGTGTGGTGCTGTTCTGAGAGTAGATGGTCGATAGGCTCTACTCTGCGGGAACTACCTAGTCCCGCCGCTGCAAAAGATGATGACTTTCGCAACGAGGGAACAATGCCAAGAACAGCCACTCCCGGTGGTTGCGGCAAACCACCCTTTCAACAGCTTCACTTCACATTCCTTTCACTAAGAGTGTCACTCTCTTTTCGATCACATGATTGATTTTTGAGTCAGCTGATTCTTTGATAGAATTGTCGGATGTCTGTACTACATCACGTGACCCTTCGATATACAAGTACATCCTGAGCTGACTTGCTGGCTCCAGGTGGGTATAATGCTTCGAACTACCCAAACTCCGTATTGCTATGCACTCCAATGACCTCTCTCTGTTTGTCTTCTGCATGAAGGCTCAGCCCACAGCTCTCTTGACTACTAGGCAGCAAAGATTAGCATCATATTCAATGTAAGCGTACCAGTGTTATCTAGAAGGGATACGACTTACGGTTTCTGAAATCGGCCGCCATTCCTTCGTACTTCATGTTCAGTTCATCAAATCTTCCCCTGGTCGAAAGTTCAAGCTGAGCCTGCCGCTGTGATAACCCTCTCAGGTCCGAGGGCACGCCGTAAGCCGACCGCCATTGATTCTCCATTATGCGGCAGACTTCATCTGTAGTAACGGAATTCAATCGAACCTCATGCCTTGTAAGGACATCGATGTGGTTCTCAACGGTCCTGCTAACATACTCGACTTGTGGCCTAAGAACTTCTAGAACTCCCTGCGAGGTCGAGGTCACTTGCTTGACCTCGTTGATCGAGGTTTCTAACTCGCGCTTAGTGCTCATGGTTAGATCCTCGATCCGTGGAGTATTTGCACTTAGGTCGTGTACACTCGATGCAAGGCTATCAATCCTTGATTTCAGATCCTTCCATGCAGTGAAGTTTTTACGCTCGTCTTCAGTCAGGCCTTGTTTTGTAGCGATCTTGCCTCCGCTGTTGTTTTGCATCTTGTTCAGTTCGACTTGAAGATGGTCAAGTCCTGATCGTAGCTTATCGATGTCCTCAGCAAAGGTGACGTTCTTCACCTCAGCTTCTTCGTCTAATCCTCGCACTTTTTTCTCGACTTCTTTGAGTCTGGATTCGGCTTCTTTGAGTCTGGATTCGGCTTCTTTGAGTCTGGATTCGGCTTCTTTGAGTCTGGATTCGACTTCTACAGTGTTAGGAGTTGGAATCGATTTGGGAGTTGTAGGAGGACAAAGGACTGGCGGATTGGACAGGAGGGCTGAACGCTCTTTCAGCTCTTTCACATCTTTGCATGTGGTAGCCAGAATTTCTGAGTTGTGTTTGAGTTTAGAGTCGATCTCGACATTGAGGTTCTGCTGCATTTCTTCAACTCTTGATTTGCAGAGATCGATATCCTGAGCCTGTTCTTGGTGCGTTTTGTTGCTCTTGACGATGTGACTATCAAGCGAGGATCGTATATTGTCGATGGCGTGGCTAGTTTCCTTGTGTCTTGTCTTGTTCTTGTCCATCTCAACTTCCAAAGTCGAGAAACGATCTCTGTAACTTAACCTATCTTTAGACGTCTGATCAGAGAGTGATATGTGGTTTTCCGTTGCCAAGTTGACAGCATGTGTCGTTGTGCGACTTAGATCTTCGAGTCTTAAGACCCGGTCCTCGGATTTTTTGGCGGCACTGACTTCGCGATTCAAACGGTCCTCTAGTTTGCCCAATCTTCTTTTCATCTCATGGTTTTCTGAACGAAGTTGCTCTAGCTCGTGCCTTTCTGTGCGAGATTGATCTTTTATTGAATCGAGCTCCGAGCGAGAAACGCAGTCTTGATGAGAGGTCGGGCTCGTTTGCTCAGGAAAGTATCCTGTTAATGCTTTTAGCAACACCCTAGTAGCCTTCACTGTCTCGGCTTGTGCTGTCTCGAAGTCTTTCTGTGCCTGGCTCAAACGGGTGGTCTTCTGAGTCCCAAAGCTGGGAAAATCTCTGTATTTCGGAAACATGTCCTCATAATCGGCTTCNNCAACATTCTTGAGATGTTGAGTGCTTTGGTTGTGTTTGGAGATTGCCACTACGAAACTTTCAAGTGCTTTGGGAATCCCTTCCAAGTCATGGCGAAGGGTAAAGTTTTCGTTCTGGGCTGGTGACCATGATGGAGGGGTACCGTGTCCCATTTGTGGTGAATTGGTTTGCGACGTTGATGAGCGTCTAGAGTTTGGATTAGATTTGTGGTTGAGATCGGTATGATACCCGGCGAAGCGAGCAATTTTCCTGGACATGGGATTTGGATCGGGAGAATGCCCAGGATAGGGTCGCTTCAGATTTTCTCCAACCATGTTGAGATCTTCAAGCTTTTCAAAGTCAGCCACTTGGTTAGGGCTAGGGATGGCTTTCGAAGGTGTTGTGACGACGAGTTAAGCACTCGTGCGAAAAAGGATGACGTGTGTGCGTGAGTTAAGTAAGGGTAGTATGAGAAGAGAGGAGTTGTATGAGAAGGAATTGTATGAGAAGGGAGGGATTGTATAAGGAGGAAGGTATTTAGATGGTGGTGGTGAATATGAGGGTGCAGTGATTGGAAGTGAATGTCTAGCACAGCATGTGACTGTGAATTGTTTTGGCGTTGGTGCAGAAGTGACCAGGATATTGAATGGATATTCAACCACACCTGAGAAGGAACTTACTCTGTGCTAACGCCCTTGCTGTTTGTCAAGTGACCAACATGAATAATTGCAGCTTGAGCATCGAACGGTAGGCGGGACCAAAGCGGAACTGTTCGTTCAACACCGAGAATCTGTACGAGGCCGGCGTTGCACGACAGTGTGAGGGTCGATGTTGGATAATCTGTTTGAAGGACTTGATCACAGATGTGAGTAAATCTTCGATTCGCTCACGGGCCGTAGATAGGTTGGAGATAAGATAATGATCTCGCAAAGATGGGTGTGAGGTTGAAGCTGAAGGTGGAAGAGGCTCGAGGTCAGAGAAATATTGTCCGGGAAGAGGATTTTGTGAGGCGCGACGGTGATTTTTATATTGGTGTTTGCAAAAGTGAAGGCGCAAATGCTGAACTGGTCGTTTCTGCAGTGCAGAAGTTATCAAGGTAGTGGCGCGTAGATGCATGCGAAACACGTCGGCTTGAGCCGCAACTGAGATGCGAAGTGGTGCGGAGCGTTGCAGCAAGAGCTGTTGTCGCATCTCTTCTCTCTCAATCACAAACCCGTCTCCAACCATCCACTCACTTACAACTTCGTCTGTTCGCCTATAGCTCCGTATCGATCTCAATTGCAGCTCTCAATTTTCCTCGCGACACACACCGACAGACACGGTTGCAATGGCGGCGCAAATCTCGACCATCGCCGAATCGAAAGAGGTGCGCGGCCTCAACCTCATCGCCGCTCATTCCCATGTTCGCGGTCTGGGTGTACAGCCAGACACTCTGGCACCAAAGCCTGCCGCTGAAGGCTTGGTCGGTCAACAGAAGGCTCGCAAGGCAGCTGCTGTCATTCTCCAGATGGCTCGCGAGGGCAAGATTGCAGGCAGAGCTGTCCTCATTGCTGGCCCGCCATCCACCGGCAAAACAGCCATCGCCATCGGCATGAGCAAGGGACTGGGCGAGGACGTTCCATTCACCATGCTGGCTAGTAGCGAGATCTTTTCGCTGGAGATGAGCAAGACCGAGGCCTTGGAGCAGGCTTTCCGCAAGAGCATAGGAGTTCGTATCAAGGAAGAGTCGGAAGTCATTGAGGGAGAGGTTGTCGAGATTCAGATCGACCGCAGTGTCACGGGCGGCAACAAGCAGGGAAAGCTCACCATCAAGACAACCGACATGGAGACTCTGTACGACATGGGCACCAAGATGATTGACAGCATGACCAAGGAGAAGGTCCAGGCTGGAGACATCATCTCTATTGACAAGGCTTCTGGTCGCATCACTAAGCTTGGACGCTCCTACACACGCTCGCGCGACTACGACGCCATGGGTCCTGATACCAAGTTTGTGCAATGTCCTGACGGCGAGCTTCAGGTGCGCCGCGAAGTCGTGCACACCGTATCCCTCCACGAGATCGATGTTATCAATTCGCGAACTCAAGGCTTCTTGGCTCTGTTCAGTGGTGACACTGGTGAGATTAGATCTGAGGTTCGCGAGCAAATCAACACCAAGGTTGCCGAATGGAGAGAAGAGGGCAAGGCTGAGATTGTCCCTGGTGTCTTGTTCATCGACGAAGTGCACATGCTGGATGCTGAGTGTTTCTCTTTCATAAACCGCGCTCTTGAAGACGAACTGGCACCTATCGTCATCATGGCTAGCAATCGCGGTCAAACACGCATCCGTGGTACCAGCCACGTAAGTCCTCACGGTCTGCCCTTGGACTTCCTGGACCGCCTTGTTATCATCAGCACCCAAGCATACTCGCCCGACGAGATCAGAGAAATCCTGAGCATTCGCGCACAAGAAGAAGAGGTGGATGTGTCAGCCGACGCTCTTGCTCTTCTTACCAAGATCGGTCAAGAAACTGGTCTGAGATATGCCAGCAACCTCATCACCACCTCACATCTACTGGCACAAAAGCGCAAGGCAAGAGAGATTGAAGTCGTCGATGTCCAGAGGAGTTTCGAACTGTTCTATGACCCCAACCGCAGCATGAAGTTTGTTTCCGAGTTTGAGAAGAGATTCATTGGCGATGAAGGTGGTGTCGAGCTGGGCGGCATGAACGGTAACCCCGACGCTATGGAGATTACTGCCTAGATTTGTGTGCAGGATACGGATCAGACGACTGCATGTAAGGGGCGTTAAAGGAGTCACAAAAGAATCGGAATACCAAGGCTAGCAAGGGGTGCATCGAACATTTGTTATATAGATGTGAAGAAGTGTCGGCTTCGACGTATCTGACTTTGAATTTGAACGTGCAGATGTCATGAGGTCGTGTCTATTAAATGCTTTATGTGCTGGTGCAGAGTCTTGTCTACTCAGACACGAAGAAAGGAATCGCAATCATTCGTCATATGTACACGCCTGGGATGGCCCGGGCAGCTCGAATGACTGCAATACTGTACAGGCTGAAGAAAGCAGAGCTGCACACCTAATTTGATTTGCCTGTTGTGGGACGCCGTCCTTGAACGCCAAAATACCATGCCAAAACTCCAAAGAAAGAGAGAGAACAAGAAAGGTAAAACGCTGGATGTGAGAGAGAAAGGAGGTTGAGTAGAAGACATGCATCAAAGGCTCAGCCTGTCAGCGCTGAGGCGATCAGCACTCGTGTCACGGCGTACCATGCTGAGCTTGTAGAATCTTTCTTCGCCTGCAGCAGTCCTGCCGCCAATGTACCACTTTTCAGCTCCAAGAACGTCTCTATACCCCATACCACCTTCAGAGCTGCTGTCAGACCCCCTGCGGTTGCGTCGAGCTTCTGGGGCTGTGGGATAGCTGGGCGGTGGACGATTTGGAGGGCCATATACTGGCATGCCAGCCGAGTTCACACCCAAGCCGGGCGAAGGAGGAGATCTCGGGCCATGGGTGAGCGGCGAAACATTGTGCTGAAGAGGAGATAAAGCTGGGTGCAGTGGTGTTGGTTGCACGGGAGTAGTGGTGGGTTGGTTCGAAGTAGCCGACTTGGAATTGATAGCACGAGGAGCCGAAGCGGCATTAGGAGAAGATTGAGAAGGATTTGTTGTCGAAGTCGAAGACCAGACGGTTTGAGAGTGTGAAGTACTGACTGCTGCAGCGGCTGAGGAAGTAGTCGAGATGGACGGATTTGACTTGGGTAAGGCGGCAGAGTGGGCACGAAAAGTGGCCCAGAAGTTGGAGAAGAAGGGACGATTACTGCTCATGGCTGGCATGTTCGGACCCTCAGGTCATGTCTGCTCTTTGGCTTGCTTTCCGCGAGGGCTAGTGGAGATGTACGAGATTGTGATTGTTCCCGACCTACGGCTGTAAAATCTGGGGTGTGCACGATGGACGGGCGATGTAGACAGGCACGACTGCGCGCCCGTTGTGTCCTGCGTCGACGACAACGTCTCTTCTGCAGCAAGACGTAGTAGAAAACAAGTGTGATGTTCTTCGGGCGCAAGGTTGGTCATGTATGTATGAGCGAAGGATTACCACTCAAGTGCGGGCAGAAACGGGTTGGCAACGCATCGAGATGGTCTGCGTTGATGAGGAGGGGCACCCCGGATTTTCTCGGGTTCCGTTCGCGTCGACTATGACAGCTTCTCGCCCGCTATGAACAATATGGTAATATTATTATGTCTGGCGGAGGCCTGTAGAACGAATCGTTGTGGGCAATTCCTTGCGACCGGCTTGTCGTGAGGGGCTGTTGATGGCAGTTCCAGGACAAGGCAAGCAGAAGGGCCATTCAAAGTCCATCTCTCCACACCAAGGTGTTTTCCTTTTTCGAAGCCTCTTTTGCTCGCTTGACCGACTTGCGAGCCGACCCGCAAAAGTGTCAAATGAACGACTCGTTGTCCACTCGTCGTCCTTGTGAATCTTCCTGCTTCTTCACATGTGCATCCTGGACATCGAAATCTAGGCCACCAAAGGGGGGCGCAAAGGAGAAGTGCCTCTCCTTAAAAGTCCTTACCTGTAGACAAGCTTTCTTTGAGCCTGCTTCACGTCTCGCGGATCGACACGTCGATTGCTAATTGTGGTGCCCCTTCAACTGCTGTGCAGCTGTTTCACGCGTCCTTTGCTTTCACCAGCGCCAATCCTTGAAACCATGTCATAAAATACGGGCTCAGTGACTGCGAGACCTTCAGGAGTCATGCGCACCGGTGCGCTCCACCGTCATGCTCGTCGTCACTGTGCGCCAGAAGCCTGTTTTGATAGTTCTTGTCTTCTTGGTTCGCGTACGTCTCACATTCCTTGGGGGCGCGGCGCGTAGTTCCTTCCCTTACTATATAATTCTTTGAACAACCTCTTTCATCTGTTTTCCAGTTTTCCGCTCGCTGTGCAAACAAACCTTCACCTCAATATATCCGTCCTCGGTCGCGCCTCTAACATTTCCATCTACAACATATCAATATGAACTTCATTCTTCCTATTCGCATCGCGCAAGTCATCCTCGCACTCCTCGTCCTTGGAACGGCTGCCTATGGTGAGCGCGCATCCTGTCTGACTAGCCATTGNTATCGTTCTGCTGACACCAGCGCAGTCACCAGCGCCTTTCACAATGGCTCGCCATCTTCGATCAACTTCCTTGTGTTTAGTTCTGTTTGGACGCTTCTCGCCTTGATCTACCTCACCCTTACATCATGGAAGCTCGAACGCTTTGCTCACCCATGGATCATCTGCGGTGTTGAGAGCTTGACAATGCTGTTCTGGTTCGCTGGATTCATCGCTGCGGCAGTCTACCTTAGCGACCTCATCACCTGTGCTGGAAGAGCTTGCAGTTCTGCTAAGGCCGCAACTGTCTTTGCTGCATTCGAGTGTAAGTCTGACCCCTTTCCAACTTTCAAACGCGCTTTGTTGACACTGTTATGCNNAGGGGTCTTGTTCGCCGTTACAACAGCCTTGGCCGTCATGGCCGTACTCGGAAGAGGTCGTGCCACCAAGGCGGGACCCAACACGATGGGCGCCTGAAAAGCTTCGCATCTGAGCACAATCGTACGACAATGATGCGTGTCACGATTGACGGAGGGTCTGTTTTGAGACGGCGGCGTTATTCTACGGCTGGGAAAAGATGAGATACCCTGGGAGCTCTGGTAACACTTCGGAAGTAATAATATGGTCAGATCGGCAAGGAATGGGCTCTTTCACATGCAAGCGTTTCGACCGAGCCACACGCTTGTGGCGGTGCTCTTTCAGGGTCGCGCTCGATGACGCGATTAATCAGCATCGAAGCCGCGCGAAACACTCGAAGGCGATGTCTTTGTCACAAGTCAGTTGATACCAAACTACAAAGCAATATTCCTCACGCAGTCTGGCATTCGTTTCTTGTGCTCATCGTGAATCATGACTGCAGCAGTTGAGCGCGAGCTTTCGCCCGTGGTGCCATCGGAAGAACAAGACAGTCTCACCCTAAACGTGCAATACCATGGCCAACCCGTAACCCTCAGCCTCTCCAAAGACGCCACCATTGACGACCTCTCCACTCTTGTCGCCGAAGACCTTCAAATTCCTCCTTCGAATCAAAAGTTCCTCATCTCGCCCAAACCAGGTCTCCTCCGCCCGCCCTTCAAAGACCCGACCCTACGCCTCGATTCCCTACCACAGAAAGCAAAGATCACACTCCTAGGCAGCACCACCCAAGAAGTCGCAGATGTGGAATCCGCAATCGCATCTCTAAAGCAAAAACAACAAGCCCGCCGAGCCGCCCTCAACGCCGGTCGCAAAGTCCAAGCCACCCGCCATCGCGACTGGAAGACCGTGACCGAAGAAGCAACATACACATTCGCCACTCTGCGTCCGCTACCACATCTCCACCAACCGGAAAAGTCGCTGCGGTTCTTGGAGCGTCTGCGCGATGATCCTGGCATCAAGGCTGCGATGCGCAAACACAAGTTCAGTGTTGGTTTGCTGACTGAGATGGATCCTGCCGAACACACCACGCATGAATCACGGACTTTGGGCTTGAACAGAAACCGAGGAGAAGTTATTGAGTTGCGACTGAGGACGGATGCGTACGATGGATACAGAGACTACAAGGTCATAAGAAAGACATTGTGTCATGAACTTGCACACAACGTGGTCGGCCCACACAATGCAGAGTTTCATGCTCTCTGGAACCAGATCGAAAAGGAGGTCGAGAAGAACGATTGGTCAAGAGGTGGCCATTCACTTGGGCAAGAGGAGTTCTACAACCCTGGCGATGACTACGTCGACGACGATGATCATTGTGATGCTGGTGGTTGGGAGGGAGGTTCCTACATTCTTGGTGGAAGTACTTCGACCAGTCAGGGCTCTGCTGAACCTCTCACTCGACGCGAAGCCATGGCCAGAGCTGCCGAGGAGAGGGCGAAGAAACAGAAGAATGTGCAGAAGGCGGCTGAGCACGATTCCAATCCACCATCGAGCTGATTCAAGCAATATTTGACGACACTTTCCTTTGGTTTCAATCACAGCGCAGCGCAGCATAGCATAGCATGACAACGACAAGCATTACTAATGTCATTGAATGAATAACTTTTGACTACTTCTTTTACTGCTTTCACTGCTCCTAGCTTACCGTAGAGCTTGCAGGTGCCCATGCCTGTCTGTGTCATGTCTTATCGCCCACTCCAAACTTACAAGGAATGTTGCCTCCCGCTCTAATACAACAGATTTGTGCTTTGCATTGAGCATCATCTGTTGTCGAGCAGCTGAGATGGCAAGGCATGCAGACCTCACCTGGAAGACTTTGAAGTCGACTCGACGATAGCAGCCAGCAGCTTCTTATCATGGCTGAAAAGCACCAAATTCTGTCAGCAGTCAGCTCTAATTTCAATGGATGCCCACCTGATCCCGAGAGTCGTGGCAGCGATTCTGGCCAGTTGCCGCATGTCCTTGTTAAGAAGGTCAGGCGGATTAGGATGGCGCTCAGCATGTTGTTCACGGGAAAATCGAATTGGCGATTTAAGACTCAAGAGCCAAGGTCGAGCGACGTGGCGATGGAGAGCGCCGCGAGCTGACAGAAGTTATGAAGTGTCGCACGTTACAATGTTGAATTGCTCAATTAGTTGAAGCAATTTGATGGAACCGCACCACGGGATGTGTAACTGTATTGGAAAAAGGCGGATTGCGAACTAGGAAATCCACCGGAAAAGATGCTCGAGAATCGCAAAGCTGTATAACGCGCGAGTGTCTCTGGGTCGTGTCGCCAAAATAGTTGCAGAAGCACGTCTCAAGATTTCTGATTCTTTTTTTGCCGTACGACGAGCTGGAAGCCGAAAAGACCCGAGAGATTAATCTGCTGATGCGCCCCGAACGAACCGTGAATAGCGTGGAAGAGCGGCAAAGATGACGAGAAAGGTGAAGAGTACATGATGATGGTTGGGCAAGATAAACCGATGGGCCGTCATGTCAAAGTGTGCTTTTGAATTCCCCCCTGGTCATTAGTAGCGCTTCAGCGACGTTCGTACCTGTCAGCACCGCGCTCCTCGCCGTAAGCACGACGGCCACCAGAAGCGGCAGCATCGGCAGCGGGAGCGGCGGGGTCAGCATAGCTAGAAGGAGCATCAGCGCGGGCACTGCCACGGTCGTAGCCATATCCGCCGCGTCTGTCATCGTCACCTCCAGAAGCACCACCGCGTCCAGCGTAGCGGTCTTCGCGGCCACCGTATCCACGAGAGCCACCGCCATAGTCATCACGGTCGCGACGGCTGTAGCCACGGTCCTCGTAGCGATCATAGTCACGGCCACCACCGTAGCGGTCATCGCCGTAGCGATCGCCACCACCGTAGCGTCCACCAGATCTGCCACCGTAGTCATCACGTCTGCCGAAGCCGCGGCGGTCGTTGTAGCGGTCACCACCGAAGCGACCAGGGGGACGGCGATCGTCNNAGCTAAAGATGAGTTAGTTGGAAAGCATGTGTTGGTCAGGGCAGGTGTGCGTACTTCTCTTAGGAGGGCCAAAGTACTTGCCGGGGGTAGGAGTTCTGGGTCTGGAGCGACGGGCCTTCTCAATGCTCAGAGTGCGGCCCTCGTAGACCTCGCCCTGAAGGCCGGACTTGGCAGCGTCGGCCTGCTCGCCAGTGGCCATGTTGACGAAACCGAAACCACGCGACTCACGGGTGTGAGGGTCACGCATGATGCTGCAAGTGTCGACATCACCGTACTTCTCGAAGAGACGGCGAACCTCCTCCTCGGTCAGACGAGGGTGAATTCCGGTAACGAAAAGGTTGGAGCCAGGGTTGGCAGCCTCTTCCTCATCTTCACGGATCTGTTGGGCGGAGCTGGAATGGTTGTCAATGACATGTTGTAAATGAATGTCGGAGGTGTTCGGTGACGTNNACCGGTCATCGCGGGCAGCAGCGGNGGAAGCACTACGGAGTCTGCTGTCGCCATCACGGTCGGGGCGAGGAGAGCGCGAGCGCTCACGAGGGTACTGAGGCTCGTCNNTGGATTGATTTAGTTGACTGATGCAATGCCATGGTGCGAATCAGAAGTGTTTACCGTCGTAGTCGCGGTTCTCGTATTCCATTTTGCGGTGATTAGAGGAAAGTTGCAGAAAGGGAAATGGAATAGTTAAGTTCAATGGAAGAAAACAAGGAAGGGATGATGCGATGGAAGTCGCAAGGCGTGTGAGGAAAGGGATGGAGGATTGGTTGCGCCTGCCTCGTCTAGCTCACTCTGCTGTTTGCGCCTTCCTCGTCTCGGCGCGTAACTTCGCTCGGCCAAGACTTTCAAGCAAGCACGTGATCGTCGAGCTGGAGGAAGATGGATTCCCGCCGGAGGAGCCTTGTTCAGTGGCTGTTTGACGTGTTTGCGCAGAAGACAAACTCGACTGGTCGCGGGACCAAACTACTGTGAGTCCACCCCTCCATCTCGAGTCTCCCTTCACTTCTTGCACCGCTTCACTCTTTTGCAACGCCAACATGACGACGACGCTCGCCATGACTCCCTCCATGACCAAGGCGAGGCTGACCCTCACCAACAGTCTTCAAAATTTGCCCCATCCTTGAGAAGAGTCAACATGGCCTCGAATGGCCCCTACTATCAACCTGTCCCGGCGCATGATCAACCAGTGTCGGACGAGATGCGCCTTGCTCAAGGCATACTGGATTATACCGCCTCGGTCCCTCAAGCGTCCATGTACCCGGAGCCTAACTCGGAATACCATCATGCTCAACAGCTAGCCTCGGACCAGGACGTCGAAGATCACGCTCAACTACAAGGACTCGTCGAGGCCGCTACCAGCGCTGCTGCCCAAGAACAGATTCGCCAGCGCAACCAACAGCTTCAGTTCGCTCAGTCAGACCAAGACCTAGCTTCTCTGCTGCGTGATCCCTCTGCTAGATCATCGACTTCGAAGCGAAAGCGCTCTAGCTCCCTCGACAATGACGATCCGGCTTCTGCAAGCGAATCCTCTAAGCGCCCGAGACATTCTGAAGATAACCGCCATCACTCTCCACACCTCGATGCTCGAGCTGCTGGCGTCCACTCTGCGGCTGCTCTGTTTCGACCTGCCTCCGATTCTTCCAAGAAGTACACTCGTCCTCCCATGTCAAAACTGTTCACATCACTCGAACTTTCTCCGGAGAACTTTCTGTACCTGCAGGCCGCTGCGAAACAGTACATGCTCAACACAGACTATCCCGATCGACAGGCTTGTGTAGGCAACAGAGGAAGAGGTGACAACGAGATGGTTAAGGCTAGGATGTATCAGTGCGTGCGCGAATTCCTCGAGGCTGAGGGCTGGGGAGAAAAGTACTTCGGAGAGAATGCACCCCCACCAAACGAAGGAGAAGCCGATGCTCCACCTCAGCCGCGACGCTACGTCTGGCCGCGTGATAGAGACCGAATCATTGCTCTTTGCACTCCACTCCTGCGTCGCATGGTTACCAACGAGCGCCAGAGACAGTACGCTATCGAGACACGCAAAGGCGGCAAGCAGGACAAGAACTCGCAGGACCCTACTGATCCTCAGATACAACGCTCAGCCCAAGATCAGGACGGAGCCTCCAACCCCGCTCATGATGGTCATGCAGAACCATACGACTCGCGCCTTGACACTACTCCAGCGTACCATCTCTATCTCGTCGCCCCTGAGTCCGGTCAACTCGTGCGAGACCGCATATCATTCGCGATGGAAGAGGAGTTCAGCTGGCAGTGGCTACTTGACACACTGGTAAGCAACTGGTGTAATGCCCTGCAGATCGTGCAGCCACCACCGGATATCGCAGCCAGCATTCTCGAGCGCTTTACCATCAAAGTCCTCACTTCATCTGGCCTGACCATTGTTTCTACAGAGGGCGAATGGCAGCTGGCCGTACAAGACATCCACCAGACCATCTGGCTGGACAATGTGGTCAAAGTTGTGGCCGAGGGTCCACCTACACCCTGAAGATGAAGATTGAGAGGTGTTTCTGCCGAACAAAAGTAGCATTAAGAAACGCGCACCGCTAATTATCGCAAACGAAAGAGAGAGTAGATACCTTGCTAGCAGAATTGTTAATCTTGACTCGCTCTATGCTATCATGAACCACTACCAGCGCTTAACGTTCTTTAATGTCGAAAAGTGCAGACTTGTGAAGATTGTCACTATCGTTCAGCAAGCCTTCCAGGTCTTTTATAGAAACTCAATCGTTTGATGATCAAGGAACATCGTCCTGACGCTTTCTCATCTTGGGACAAGAATATGCATGAAGAAAGCTCTTGCGCCAGATGGACGACAGGAAGGATGTAGCAATGAGCGAGAGGCTCCCACTTTACTGACTGAGACTTCATGGTTCTGGAGAGCAGGTTCTTGTCAAGAGTGTCAAGTTCGAAGCCACGACTGCTCTTATAGAGCTCCGACAGCCAGTTGATGATATTACTGTCGACCTCGTCTTCAATCGAACGGTCGCCGCTAATCAAGTCCTCGAGATCGTCAATGTCCTTGGTATGGCGCAGTACAAGATTCTATCTGCCAGTGCTTTTGGTGTCCTAGTTCTCTGAAGCATCTTAAGAATAATCGAACTTAAATGTATATAGTATATTTCACTTTTGTAACCTCTCCGTGTGTTAAAGTATATAACTCCCACCATACTCCGACTATGTCTAAGAGCAAATTGTAGACTATAAAAGGCACAATTGTTTTCAAAAACAAGGCGTATCCACAGAGAGTCGACAACTCATCGCCTCTCAGTGGAACAGTCTTATTTCCTATCGCTATCGTGCATTTCTACAGCCACACGCATTACATCCTTTAGCACACGGGGAGGATATTCAGACCGGAGGCTACTGCATTGAAGTTTCTTTGATTGGGGTATTTCTCGCCTAAAGCCATATTACAACAAGTATCTATTGGTATCCAAAAGTTTTATTAGTCCATTTGTCGGACCTTGAGAAGAATAAAAAGAAGTGAAGAAGAGCAAGAGCAAGAGCAAGGAAACGTTCATGTCGTAAAGTTCGTGGCGTCAGTCATCATCAGCATGGTTTCTTTTCCTAGCAAACTCCAGGCAAAGCAGACAGAAGGAGAGCAATGAAACAACGCTGTTCTCCTGTTCCGAACCGATGACACGAAAATGAGATTCGTAAAAGATTCGCTTTTTTCTTCTCATCAATCATATCGTAGTGTTTTTCCTCAGTCGAGGAAGTTCGTTAAAAATGAAATGCGTAATTACAGCTCGGCGCGCAATGGCTTAGAGCATTTGGCCGGCAATGTCGCGAATTGCCCAACGCCAGGAGTCATTCGATTGACGACAGCCACCGTCTGTGGGGAACCAGGATTCGCATCTGCGGCGCCAGACGTGCTCCTCGTCACGTTGACGACGAATGAACTCAGGGCCCAAGTCGAACTCTTCACCAACTAGCCACTCGTCACCGCCAGTAGTCTGTGCGCCGTCGGGAGCAGAAGTTGGACCGTCCTTGAGATCTTCTATGGCAGCGAATGGATCCTCTTCGTCCTCGGTGACACTAGGGCTATTGTTCCTGGAATCTCCGGCACGCAGCTTGAGCCAACACATGCGACGGGGGTCAAAGACCATGCCACCAACAACCTTAATGTTTTGGTTGGAATAATCGGACGCGAGAGGGGTGATGAGAGCAGGTCTAGGAGGCGAGGGCGGCAGAGGACGTGCAGTCATGTAAGAAGTCTGCTGTGCATCGTGGGAGGTCGGAGTGGGGGTTGGTAGGAGCGGACCGAGCTCGAAAGGAGCCAGACTGTTCTCATTACCCTCCCAACGGAGAGTCTGAGGGTTGAAGGTCATGCCCTTCTCAACGATTGGCTTACCGACATTGGCGGTGCTAGGGGCGATGAGTTGAGGACGCTTAGCCTTGATCCTGGAAGCACTGGGACTGGTATGAGGACTGCGGGCAGCAATCTGGGCTTTCCAATTAGTGCTGACAGGCATAAGCGGACCCTCGCTCTTGGGACGGCCGGTTCCTGCAGCCCTGAGGCGCGATTCGCGTGCAATACGGCTCGCTGCAGTATCGCGAAGATAACGCGGGGTGTTGGACTGGTCCTGGAAACCCTTCATGGGCAGAGGGCTGCGCGGTGTTACCGGAGCGGGAGTCTGCATGCGCTCGGGCAAGGGGATCTTCGTCGATCCGGCAACATCAATCCTGCTCGGAATGTTGCGAACAGACTTGGGTGCACCCCTGGCAGAGGGCTGTTTGAGATACTTGGACTCCTTGGTCGACGAGGTGGGTAGGTCGTCAAAGAGGTCAAGCTCGGTTCCATCTCCAAAGTTGCGCCTACGAGAAGGCTTCGTCAAGGTACGTTTGGAGGCAGCTTCTCTTGCAAGCGCAGCAGGAGCAAGATCCGCACGACGACCGGTACGCGAGGGCGTATCAGGTACGTAGCCCGAAGAAAGGCGTGAATAAGATCGAGGTGGAGGCGATTGACTGCGTTGAGGTTCAGCCTCGCGACGGAGGTGGTATGCAGAGGTGCGCGAAGGAGGCTTGGCATTAGTGTGGTGCGACTGGGCCGAGGATCCGGCCGGTAAGAATGGTACAGGCTTGACGCTTTGCTGAGGGCCGCGCAGGACGGGCATAGAACGCTTGTTGCGCAAGAAGTTAGAGCCCGAGGTAGAGGGTTGAGGACGTTGGCGTGTGACAAGAGTTGCTCCAGGCTCAAAGACGGGTTCCAAGCGAGAAGCTGGCTTGGACGAAGGGACAGGCCGAGGGATGCGTGTGGCAGAAGGCTTCTCGGAGAAGGTGAGGGTTGTGGTGGGGGCACGAGTCGACGATGAAGAAGACTTGGTCTGTCTTTGCTGGATGTTGCGATGAAGAGTGAGTTTGCTGGGGTCGAAAACATTACCCGAACCAATGTCGAGGCCACTCTCGAAGTCATCTTCGTCCTGGGGTCGCGAGGTAGAGGGGGTCTCGACCTGTTGTTGACGCTTCTTGAGCATCTTGCCCAAGTCCAGAGGTCCTTCGGGAAGCTCAAGACCACCAAAGTCATCCTCGCTCTCGGTCATGACGCTGCCGAGACTAGGGCTCATTGCAGAACCCAACTGCGAACCGGAAAAGCTTCTGTTGCGCTGGTCGCGACGAGTGCCGGCGAAGCGTATGCCTAGACTGCCCTCGGTGAAGTCATCAAAGTCGTCGTGTTCTTCGTCGTGCTCCTGGTGGGAAGGCTTGGGCAGTTTAAGCGAGAGTGGAGCGTCGTTGGCGATTTCCAGATCATCTGCCCAGTCGTCGTCTTGACGGGGAGGTAGTGTTCGGCGGGAAGGCGCGTTTCCTAAACGCTGGATCTTACCGCTCATCAGAGCCGAAGGGGGGACATTGTTGGGGATAGGGATGCCGGCGTGGAGACGGGCGGACTGGATTGCGTTGTTGGCCGAAGAGTCGTCGTTGGGCGCCAGCATGACATGCCAGTCATCGTCAGCAGCGGCGGATTCGGAGCGCAGCGAGAGGCGCGAGGAAAAATGGGTTTGGACGGTCGAGACGGAGTTTGTAAAGAGATCGCCCTGGAAGTCGACATCGTCGTCCCAGCTCTCAATGTCGGCCGCGGCCATGGCAGGCGGTCAATCGGCAAGCGAGCGACGGCGGCGAGGGTGGAGAGTCGAGGTGATCGGGATGGGAGAGCGAGAGACGATCGAGGCGCTGGGAGCGACAGTAATGAAGTGCTGGCAGGAACGGGGTTGCATTGAAGACGCAGCGAGCGTGCAGAATGCGAAGAGACAGACGACGCGGGATGGCTGGAAAGCTGTGCAACGCCTGTCGAGATATGCAAGCCAGGGCAGGAGCGCCCGAGCTGCCCTCACCCGAAAAGCACAACCACCCAAGCACCCAAGCACCACCTTTTTTTGCTCTTTCCTCACTGCTTGCCAAGAAGGGTCTACCTTCCCGCCAGCTCCGCCAGACTAGCGATTCACGCGCACGTCACAATCTCAGTAAACAATCAAATCAATTACACGCGACTTGACACCGGCATCAGGCCTCCTCTACCGCACCAGAAGCTGCCTCACGTCTCTGCGGCTGTTGCCTGAAACGTCTCGCACGCGTTTGCTTGCCGAAACGCCCGCCAGCAAACGGTTAAAAGCGAGAAGCTCGACGTTGTTGTCGTTGTTTGCATCCCGCCGCCTCTAAACAAACGTCCCCGCCCGGCATCCGTTGCCTACTACACTTCCCTACATCAGCCCTTAACCCAAACTAGCCACCATCAAATTTTACTCTGCCGTCATGTCATCATTACCAGACCCTAGAGTCCTACGCCTACCGCGGACTGACGTCGGCAATGACTTCGTCCTCGTAAATGTCCAACAAATTGGGTCTGATCCTCTCGACCTGAAACTCGTCGCTACTGATGGCGAGTCTCCCTTCGTGACCTCCGTACGTCAGAACCAGATTCACAAATTGCAGGCTTCTAGCTCGCAGATCGAGCTAGATCATTGGCACTCTATTCTGTCTGCTATCTTGCTTCAATCTATTCCAAATGATCCTACTCTGGCTGGAGTAGAAGCCGTGGCCAATGTCTCTTCATCTCAAATCACTATAACCATCCGCAACAAGATTAGTGGCATTACTGTATGTGCCCGCTACAACCACTTGGACTCTTTTATATACTGATATCCGTAGCAACGACTTGGCGTAATAATCCTTGACAAGGATGAGGACGAAGATATTCAACTCTTTGACTGGACCGGCTTTGCTGTATCCCGAGCTGATGGACTGGCCAACCAACTAGCAACTTTCCAATCTACCGTGGCGGAGCACCAGAAGACGATAGATGACTTGACCGCACAACTGGATGACTTGGTCCAAGCNAAAAAGTCTCACCAAGATGAGATGCTCAGGAAATTCGCAGCCCTATTGAACACCAAGAAACTTAAGATCCGAGATCAGCAGCGCCTTTTGGCTCATTCCAAGGTCGATCCCACAACTGCAGATCACGTCCAGCAAGCCAGATCTGGAACCACTGGACGCAAACCTGATTTGTCTCGTTCGAGCAAGCGTAAAGCCGATAGCAGCATTCAAGAACCTNNGGAAACAGATGACGATAACTCTGAGGGGACGGATCTGGGGAACCGCATGAACGAAGAAAATGACATGCGTCAGGATCTTGGTGAACCCCTGAAATCTGACAAATCCGACCTTGATACAGAAGATGACGATAGCGACGGTGGCTTTGCTCCAGCTCCCATGCCGTCACAGTCGTCACTTTCCCAAGCACGCTCTCAAAACTCTGTTGGAGCCAAAGAAAAGATGAAACCAAACGGAGCCAAGGCTGCACCTCAGAAGTCCCCTGAGATAGAGCTTCCGCCTAGAAGGCAATTGCCTTTCTCCAAGAGAGACGACTTGAAGTCTGCTTCCCAAGTTCCTCCGAAGTCGTCTTTGGAAACTCTTCCTCAATCTTCTGCTACCCTACCCTCTTCCAAACCACCACCAGCAATGGATGATGATGATGAGACAGATGACGAACTGTAAAGCATCAAAGCATCATCAACACAACTTCACCCCTGCTATGCTACCGACTACCCAGATTAACTCATCGCGGACTCACGGCAACTTAATATGTCAGCCAGTGTGGAAACCTGGTCAAGGATAGATTGCTTTGGCTTCGAGTTCTATTTACAAATTGCTAAGTATTAGCGATATTACCGTCCATCCGGTCCTCCGTACCGCTCCCTGAATGGTAAGGTATTCGAGAGAGTTGCCGGGCTGCTTCCTTCAAGTGTCTGGAAAGCCACTGTCCTCGGTGTCATAGGGTTCAGCGCACTCGATGTTCCCGGCGCCATTGAGTAATGCCACTCTGCCTGTGATCGCATCTTCTCCCATTCTTGCTCATCCAGTCGGGCTGTCTCCAGTGAGTATTCTGGTATTTCTGTCTCTTCAATGTCGGCTGCTCGAGCAAGCTTCTCTGCTTTGGTAGGCACGCAGGAGTGGAGTGAGACAACTAGCGTCACGGCAAACAGTATTCTAGCGGCTACGATCAGTCCTTGCACCTCTCAATATACATGGACAATACTCACAANGAGGCACAGCGTTACAGCAAAGCTGGCTTTGGCTTGCTTACAATATCCAATGTTCTTCTTGTCCGATGCGACATTGCAACTCTTGGTAATGTACCATGGCGCGCCTTNTTGCGGATGGTCCTTGTCGGTCATGTCGGGTGCCGCTTGGCCATAAGCACTATACGCATACAGGACGACCAGTAAGATGTGGACCAGGGCAGAGAAGATTGGGATGAGAGCACGCATAAAGAACAGCACAGGCTTGACGAGCATTATGAACATCGAGAGCACTGAGATCACGACGTTGTAGTCGGTAATACTGGTCCGCAGTTAGAGCATGGTAATGTGGAGAACAAAATCGACTGCACATACAANTTGACTCCAGACGATAGGAGGGCTGATCGGTCTATGATTTGCGTATGAGTAAAGAATCTCAGTCGGCGAACTGTTGAAGCCATTCTTATATCCATCTGCCCAGAGCCGAGTTCGGTAGGTGTTTGGTTGTGCAATGGCGAAAAGAGCAAGAGCGGCCACAGTAAAGGNGAACTCTGCAGCGAAAAGATAGAGCATGGTCTTTCGAGACCTATACTTTCGCGCGATAAGCAACATTATGGTAGAAGTGTGGTTCTGTAAGATGAAGGAGCTTGATGGTTCGGCAGACTTGACAACCGCCCGACGAGTATCAGACCTCGCACTGTGTCGTGGTCAAGCGCCGAAAGAGAGGGAGGGGAGTCAGGAAGAGACGCTGACCTCCCGGGATGCGGAAGCAGACAGCTTTGTACCAGTTACTGCGGTACAACCTACACACATGATCTACGTTCGTCTCACATTGTTAGCACCATAAGCAGCGAACGAGGTAAGCTGTGTAGCCGCCCGTCAATGCGAGCGTGGCACGTCTTGCGCTTGTTGGTCGTGCATGCCGTCCAATCAACAGGCTTGCGCAGGCGCTTGGCTGAGTCTCCTTGCATATCGATCTCACGTCCTTCTCACCACCCTTATCTTGTTGTGTTCTCATTGAATCATTCGATGAGTTCTTCCGAAGAGATCTGGTCATGTTTGACTTGTTTATCTGACGACTTGAACACTGTGATAAATGTTGTGTTTGACAAGGAAGCACAAGCACGAAGTCTGTCACGCACTCAATTGAATTGATGATCCATTGGCTCAGGACCGAGAGACACAAGCCTTGAGTGATGAAGCTTATGTGTGAATACACAGCGATCAAAGCATGGCTCAATATATATGCTACATTATGAGAAAGACGACTGTTGTGCATGGAAAAGGCAAGTGCGACTATTAGAGCAGGGTGGCACCCTCAACAGCGCCTACCAGAGGTCAACCGTCAACGTCAACACTCGGATGATCGTTCGTCTCCCACCAACCATTCTACAAACATCATCGAAACACAAAAATCATGCCTAAGCCTGCAAACATAACACTCAAGATGCTCTACGGTACAGCCTGGAAGAAGGAACGAACAGCCAGTCTAGTCCAACAAGCTCTCCAAGCAGGCTTCCTCGCCATCGACACAGCTGCCCAACCAAAGCACTACCAAGAACATCTTGTCGGCAGCGCTGTTCGGTCATTCCTATCAACAAGCAAATTCACTCGTCAAGATTTATATCTGCAAACCAAGTTCACTTCGATCAACGGCCAAGATCGGAACAATCTACCCTACGAACTATCAACCAGCATCACAGAGCAAGTTGAAGCTTCTGTCGCCTCTTCACTGCATAATCTACGACACAATAAAAACTCAGAGGAAAGCTACATTGATTGCTTGGTCCTGCACAGCCCACTGCCATCAATAAAGCAAACGATGGAAGCATGGGACGCAATGTCCTCCTTCGTACCCTCAAAAGTACACTCTCTGGGAATCTCAAACACTTCACTCCCAATTCTCCAGCACATCTGGAGCAACAGCACTGTCAAACCAACAGTAGTTCAGAACAGATTCTATGCCGCAACCGGCTGGGATATCGCGCTCAGAGAGTTTTGCACAGACAATGGCATCGAGTATCAGAGTTTCTGGACGCTGACGGGGAATCCTGATCTACTTGATTGTCAGCTTGTTCAGATGGCGGCTGAGCAAGTGGGTGTAAGTGCAGAAGTGGCGCTTTACTCTCTTGTTCAGGGACTTGGTATTGCGCCTATCAATGGTACGACATCTCATATCGAGAGCGATGTGGCTGAGCTGTCAAAGTTGGAGCAGTGGAAAGCTCAAGGTCGTAACATTGAGACTTGGGGCAAATATGTCAAGGCCATGGATGGGTTGCTCAAACAATGGACTTACAGTCTGGAGCATCGAGCGAGATGATAAGCTATGTCATTTCTAGAATATGCTAACCTCCAAAGTTGCATCCCTATATCCTCCCCGAGTGCTATAGACAGTCACAATTTGCAACCGACTCCTTCCCCGTCCCGAGCTAAGGGTTATTATAAGCCATCGAAATGCACAATCACGATTCGAATGGCAATCGGTCCATTGAGATAATCTTCACTAGAGTTCTCTCTGTGGAAACAGTATTATACACGAAAAGTATTGTGCATTTCTAGAGCTACACTCTGACTGTGTTGAGCACATGGAGATGATGCAGAAGATGAGAAAAATAGCCCGAGATTCACCCTGCCAAAAGAAAGAAAACAAATGTAATTAGAACTTCACCACTAAATATGTGTCATATGCATACCCTATGCAAAAATTTCCTTATCCCATTTCTTCGTTGTTCATTTCATGTACGTCGTTTTTCTTAGTCCGAGCCGTCGACTCCTCAAACACTCGCTGTGCGTCTCTTGACGCAGACTGGCTTCTGTGCGTAGCAGAAAAGTAGTCTGAAGCTTGTTCTCTGACGCTCACATTCTCGTAGCAAGCCAGGTGTATCCCACATCTCTGTCGTGTGGCCAGGGTCCGGGTAGCAGGAAGAGTACCACCAGCGTCCTATTTTAGCCACCGTCTTCGTAATATCTTCATCGTTGCGTCTTTCATGTCGTTCGTCTTCTTCATTGTTTTTGTTGCCGCTGCTTTGCATCCATTCGGTGAAACGCAGGTATTCAGGCTCTGATCGTTCTGAAGCTCTTTNTTGTTGGCTGCCGCAGCTCGAGCTACCGCTGTCGTGGCTCCTTCGTATGCGTCCAGCTACAGGGATGCCGACGACACATTTGCGCAAGTTTTCGAATTCGCGCTTGCCGAGAAGTGTAAGGAAGGCGTCACCGTGGTTCCAAAGACTGATTTGGCTGTCTTGTTCGTGGATACGTATCTTTAGATCGCGAATGGTTTTTCGTGCGATGTGACCCATATTGACAAGGTCCAGATCTAAGACTGACATCTCGAGGTATCCAGATGGACGCATTGTGCGTTTGATCTCGTTGAAGCATACCTGGTAAGCATCATCTGCGGCGGCGATAGGGAAGCGGAAGACCACCGCCGAAAAGTAATTGTTAGGGAATGGGAATGGTGTAGAAATAGATGGATGTGTGACATGATGGTGGTTGGATAGCGTTTCCCAAGATGGTGAATTTGGCTCGGGCCCAAGATTGTAGAATTGGCATTTTGGGTAGGTCAAAGCGCAGTTGTAGGACCACTCCTTCCCAAGACCGTCGACGATGAGAATTCGAGTATGATCGCCGGTCATCGCTTCTTCGTGAGCGGGGCTGAACAGAAGTCGCCCGAAAGAAAGCCATTTACTCGTCATGAGTGCTGCAAATCTCAACTCCGCAGAGACAGAGTTGTCCATTGGTCTTTCCTCTTTGCTAGAGATTGGTTTCCGCACGCTTCGTCGATCAGGAAGGGCAGGCGCGATCTGGGGACTCTCCAATTTGCGAGGGGACATGGGAACCTCGGATTTAGCATCTTCTTCATCGATGAGGTAGTCAGATATCGAGAAAGTGGTGCTTGGACGGCTTGTATCCAAATTTGATACCCTTCTGCTAGCCTCAGGATCCGAGATACTCCTCGGTGTCTCTTCCTTGCGACTTGTAGCTTTGTGGTCGACCATGTCGCCATACTGAAATGGTGCACCGAGAGAGGACGTAGTTGATGCCCTCACTTTAGGGGGCAAAACCTCATCCAACAAGTTGTCGTATTCGTTCCAGACTTCGTCCTCCCCGACGAATGATGTTCTTGTAATGCATGGGCTCCCGAATCCAGAGCTGCTGGTGTAAGATAGCTCTGAATCCTTTCTTGGAGGAAACGCAATGAATTCTCGTGATTCGTCGGCAATCGAAGAAGCAGCTTGGTCCTTTTCCGGATCATGACTCGAAGAGTCTTCAACAATAGGCGCATTCTGATGAGGAAGTGGGGATTGTGAACCCTGATCGACTCGCACAACTTTTGGGATCCTGCCAACAGATCGAAGTCTAACCTTCGAGTTGTCTTGAGATAATGTGCCAGCTGTGTTGGATATTTCCACAAGCTGAGGAGCTTTCACTTGAGTCATCGTTTTAGCTTGAAGGAGAACAGGAGATCCTAATGATGTTCTCTTCGAGGATGAGTGATCCATCGGGCTAGGCAAAAGATCTTCGTGTCTTCGATCATAGGATACAAGTAAGTTGGCAGTTTTAGGATCGACTCCAGAGCTTTTGGAACTTTGAGAGGAACGATTGTCGCCATCGAGAAGCTTCTCTATATCTGTAATGTCGAGATCGGTGGTCTGATCAATGGAGCCGAAGTGCAGCGGAGTATGTGTTTGTCGACGGTCAATCTCGTTCGGGCTTTGACTTGTGATCTTGGACTTGAATCTCTGCATCAGTGTCGGGCTTTTGCTCGATGTGGGCGAGCTCAGCCAATGACCCTCTTTACCCTCCGCACAGAGCTCAGAAAGCGAAGGCTTTCTAGCGCCGACTGTTGGTGTACCTCGTTTCGAGACTGAGGAATCTATGTGGTGCTTGATCTCATCCGCGTGATCAGACTTAGTACTGTTGTCTAAATTTCGTTCATCTGAGCTTGATCCCGGTCTCCCATTTCCCCGAAGGATTATGGGCTCTCGTCTATCTTGCAGAAACTGATCCAAGTTATCTTCACTCTCGTCTGTCATACTCTTCTTTCTGCTCAAGAACGAGAATCCTGAGTGACTGGTCGAGCTGTCCTTGCTAGAAGAACGAGTAGTCCGACCAAATATGCTGCTCCCTCTTCCTCTGAAGCCGAACTTGCCATAACCCTCATGACCAGTACCCGCTGCAGGTCCTTTCTTAGGCTTCTCAGGCGTGATTGGAGGAGTGGATGATTTCGTGTGGAAATTGGACAGTATACCCGCCCTAGGAGACCTCAGAGTATTTGGACTCGGCCCAACCATTGGTGAGTCTTTGCGACTTAGAGGAGTTCCCATTTCAGAGCGATCAACAGGCGTCTTAGGTGTCGCTGTATATGTTTGGGATTTGTTACTTTGACGAGAAGAAGTTCGATGAGTGAATCCGAATGTTCGTCGTGGACTCAGTGGTGGTGATTCTCGTCCCGTTTCGCTTGATCCTCGAGAGGACACTCTTGTGACATGTGAGAGATTGCTTTGCACCACAGGTATGTCCAAGGGAGGACCTAGACCATCAATACCGTCCCTGCTTGGTCGTCTAGGAGGTATCAATCTAATCGTCGAGTGGGTCTGTGGTAGGTCGACGTTGAGATGTGCGAACTCTGGCGCAACACCGTCAACAAGTGCTCCATAAGATTTGCTGCGGCTTGTGGGCTTTGTCAAAGCGAGGCTTCCCTTGCTATGAATAGGTGTGGCCTTGGCGGAAAAAGGATTCGAGAATGACGGTCTTTGTCCGATCGCCCCTTGCGCTTGTTTGAGTTGGTCTCTTGAGTCAGATACACTAGGCTTCCTTGTTTCTTGACATGATGAGGAGCTGATACTGGTAGTGGAAGACTTTTCCTTCTTGGCGAGCGTCTTCGCAGCAGCACGAGCTAGATCTAAGCTATCTCTGTGACGTGCAGACCCTAAAGTAGATGCAGCCAACGAAGAGTGTGAGGAGGCCGAAGTTGGTGTCGATTGGTGGCTGAATGGCGAGTCTGTGTTTCTGCTCGAAGCATCTGAGAAGGGAGCTTGCATATCGACCACAGGGCGTGAGGTTTTGGTGTCGGTCCTTGGATTGGATATTCTGATTTCTGAGTTTGGTATCCGGCTAGCAGTCTTCAGAGATATATGTCCAGAAGTAGGAGGAAGAGTCATGCCAAAGATGGCTCCTGGGAAGGGATCATCGTCATGCTGCACTGTGTGCACTGTCTTGATCAAGTTCCGATGTTCTTGCATGCTCTCGGGGTCAGTTTTCACGCGTAGGGCATATCGATCGATTGTAGAGGGCTTTCTACGTAATGCCGAACGGGGACTATCCGGTCCTGATATAGTCGAGCCTGATACTAAAGATGGTGTCTTTGTGCTCAGAGCAGGAGGACGTACGGATCGGCGGCCCAGAGACTGTGCTTCGTTCGAGCTACTCTGGACGGATGGGGTGGCCGATGGAGGTTGTGCCTGTACAACGCTTGGCAGAACGTTTCTGGACGGTAGGCGAGAGTTTGTGATTGTACGACTCGAGGATATCTCGCCTTTAGGAACGTGGCGAAGGCTCCGATTTGTGGCATGAGGCCGTGTTGGTTGGGTTACAGTAGAAGCAGACTCTCTGGGAAATTGAGTCGTTACTGGTAAACGAGTTGTTGATCTTCTAAGACTTCTTGTTTGACGTTGGTCTTCCGAGCCCGAGAGAGGGTCCGAAAGTAGTGGATGAGTCGCCATGCTGTCTTGTGCCTCGAGAGGCCCTGTTTATAGAAGTATCGAAATCACCTATACCAGAGTTGGGGCCAAGTCTGCGAATGGGACGGATTTCTTGATATTCTTCATAGTAAGTGCCAGAATTCTTGTTGACAGATGTTGGTGATCATGTATCAAAGATCGATGGCTATGAAAACACATTCGAAGATGAATTTTGAGTTTTGACTCCACAAAGAACGAAAATAGAAGAAGCACGACGACCGTAACCTGTATTCGGGTTTCCTTATGCAAGCACGTTTCGTGAACCCCAAGAGGAAGATTGTTTGCCGAGCACCGCCACTGCACCGGCAAGACCGAGGAATCCAGAAGAGAAACGAACTGAAAACGTGACGCGGTCTTGGTCGGTGTTAGCAGTGGCAAGGTCAGCTTTGATCAGATTTGCAACGTGTACGAGGCGGACTGGACAAGTTCGATTAGGGAAAAGGGCTTCTGAGCAGGCGAGATGCTCAAAGCTAAAGTGGGGATGGCGCAGGCCGGCAGTGGCTTCGCTCGCGTGTCTCAACCGCGGACTCGCAACGGTGTGCTAGCCGCAGATCCGCCCGACGTTTCTTCGATTTTCCCTTGGGCTGGGAAATGTTGATGGCATTCCAAGAGTATGTCATCTGGAAGCGGCGAGCAGCTGTCTATATCATTGTTTCTACAATCACAAATAACAAGCGATAAGCCGCCCGTCTTCTGCCGCAATGTGAAATGCCGCACGCCGCAAGCGCTCGTTGCCGCGTAACTGTATGCAACCTCAATATAGCAATGACTCTTACTCGCCAGTCTCTCTGTGCCCCAATCTCCAACTGAACGATCCAGATTACAACACACAAGCTTCTATTCGGTGAGTCTTCGATCGCAAGAATCACATCACCACTCCTTGACCGCGTCCGGAGTGGCCGCGCGAAACAACACTGTTTGGCCAGCTCAGAGCCGTGGCTGTGTGCATATTTTCATGCAGGCCTGTATGCACACGTCGCGCCAGTGGTCCCGATCATGTTTCTTGCTGGTTCAAGAACTTGCGGTTTGAAAACACGGAAGACACCTGGCTTGCACGAGTGGAAATCATGTTGTGATGTTGTCGACGGCTGGAGATGTCGAAAGATGCCCGGGTGTTCACAGCCGGAAGCTTCCCACGCGAAGACTCTGCAGCGACGAACACCAATTACAACTTTGCTTCGAAGCCATATCTCATGCGAATTCAAGCACCAGCTCCATTGGAGGATTGGCACACATTTCCCGCATGACACTTCAATCATGTGATCTGTAGTGGTGTAAGGCGACTCGCCAGCAGGCCTTGAAGACACTCAACTTGCTGGGTTAGCCATCACTCTACTCAACGGAAGAGATTCTCCATATGACATACTGCATCTTGCAGTGTTCAAGCATATTTCTGCATGTACTTGTAGATACAGTATCGTTCATCCTCCCCGTGTTCGAAAGTATGTAACTTCCATCCTACTCCGACTATGATAGAGAGTACGGTACACGCTATAGAAAGGCACAGTCTCATTCGGAGACAAATGCTGTCCACAGAGAGTCAATGTTCTGTCGCTTCTCAGAGGAAATTGTCCAGATCCCTGGTAGTGTTGTGCATTTCTACAGCTATACGCGTTACATACTTTTGAACACGGGGAGGATCGATACATCGCTAAGACTCTAGTCAAGCCCCTCAAACCATTATGACATGAAACGTCATGCTGCAAATGTATTGTGAAAGTCGTTATGAAGATCAAATGATCTACGCTGCAAACAAAACCTCATTGTAGTTAAGAAAATTCAACACGAGCGCCTTGATTGGCGCTTCGCTGAGCAGCCCGTTCTGCTCTTCGTCTTTTCCTGTTGGTGTCGAAGGCACTGAGATCCGTTCCAGTACCTGTATCATAGGTCGCAGGGCTGCCAATACCGCTGGTGATGCCACTGGGGGCCATGTTGACGGGACTCATGCCTGTACTGTGAACAGGCACAGGAGGAGGACCCTGCATGGGCGGAAGGTTCAGCTCATCCGGATGTGATGAAGCTGGTGGTCTGGCTGCATTGTTCGGAGATGGTACAGCGCCTTGAGCACGTCTGTACCTGATACTCTCATCTTCCACACCAGAGCTCAAACTCTCGGCTCGCCTCCTTCTCTGGCGTCTCTCCCGTCTTCGCGCCTCTCGCTCCGCTGCAGCTTCATCCTCATTTAATCGACGAAGTGTAACATGGCGCCCATCATTGTGCATCTTTACTTTGACGCTGACTGGCGGAGAAGCAACGCTTGCTGGACTGCTGGTCGCTTTGATTTGCGATGTGTGACTGTGATGGTGTTCGGGTCTTTCACGGGAGTCGAGTCTCGTAGGCGAATGTACCATATTGGCGGCTGCAAGACTTGCTGCTGTCGTCTCCACTGGGAGGTGTGCCCTGGATGTGTTGTTTGACATTGCGAGACGAGAAGCATCCGGAACAACAGCTCCTTCAGGCATTGACACAGGACCAGGTTGAGTCGGATATGCAGGACCCATCACGGGCGGTGATAGAGGTGCAGATCCGTCGTTGTTCGGCAACCGATTCGTGCTGTACTGATTACTTGATGGCAAAGTCGCTGCAGAAGCGGGCAAAGGAGGCATATTGCCGGTAGGTAAGTGTTGTCTTGAGAGTTCTGGGTTGCTTCCTGCAAACCCGAGGTCATGCGTAGCTTCGGTGTTAGCAATGCTTGCTCTCCTGTGCCCGCGTCGATCCGAGTAGCGTCGACTGTTGGCACGGTTAATCCGCTCAGCATTCTGTCGTTCTTGCTGGCGCATGTCCACAACCCTGACGTTATCTTTCTTGATTTGATTCTGCTTACGCTTCTCTCTGATATATCCAAGCAAACCTAATGAACCGATACCAGCAATGATGCCAGGCTCGGGAGACTTGAGTGGCTGAGATGGTCGATCATCCTCGAACGAGCTCCGGCTATCATATGAGGAGAAGGAGTCATGACTTGTGCGTGACCGAAGAGGCTGTTCAAATGGGGCGTCTGCCGGTATTGTGCTAGCTCGATTTGACCTAACGACTCGCTGAGGCTCAGGCGACAACGGTGCCTCACCGTCTTGAACTCTTATCACGTCGGCTCGATGCACAGCCTGGCCTCCACCGACTGTGGGCGCGTATGAGGAACCAGCGTAGCTCTCTTCGTCTTGCGGCGATCTGCGCGAGAAGGCCCTCTTTAATCCTTGATATGCACCAAGTCCAGCGCCAGCACCTAGCAGTCTGTTTCTCCAAGTGTTGTCCTTGCGACGGCTTTCAATCACTTTTTCCTCTTCGACATAGGAATCTGAAGGGTACGATCTATGCGAGGGGACTTTGGCTCGATCGGATCTTTGGGCCTTTCTGCTTTGCGAACGTCGACGAAGTGCTGCCAAACCAGCCAGACCTGCACCGAAGAAGGCCGTATTTCTCAGACCATGATGACTAGCGTCGCTACCGGTACTGACAGTGCGCCGAGTGCGTCCAGTTCGGCGATCTTCGGTAATTTCTGTCCTTGTTGGACCTGAAAGGTAACTCGAGTAGTCGTCATAGTCGGCAACGGGTTGGTAAATGTAACAGAGGATGAAGTACAAGACGATGAGGGCGAATACAGCCACAGCGTAGAGGATGAACAAATACTTGGGGGATCCATACAGGGTCATACCGAGAGGAATCTGTGCAAGACCGAGTAAGGCGATTGCTCTGCCGAGCCATTGGTGGAGNNCTACGGGTCTTATCAGTATCGCCTGCAGAGTTGGGGTTAGACTACTTACCATCAGTCTGAGAGGGATCTTCCATCGCGACTTGCCCTTCTCGATTCGATGAATCAGAGCACCTCCAAAGAATTGGACGAGAACAAGAGTGTACAGGGCGACACCGATGCCGTGGTGAGGNNGATTAGACAAGCTTCGCTCAGGTCCCACAGCAAACCAACCGAGAATCAAAACAACAGTAATCAAGGCAACAGTCAGAATCTGGAGATAGATATGGAGTCTGAGAGCAAGGCGAGGGTTCCTATAGTAGAAGCGAGCGACGAAGATGGCTGAGGGGACTATTAGGAGGAAGATGAGGGCAGCAAGAACTCCGTGGCCGATGATGAGGCGGTGGTACTGAGGTAGAGCGGAGAAACGACTAGACATNNGCCTGCAAGTAACAAAGAGTCAGGTATGTACCGAGGCTAGCCAAGTGTGGGCAATCTCACTGTTCAACTGCATTGTCGCAAAATTGAGTCCCTGGAGGTTGGGCAAGAGGAAGGTGTTCTTGGAAGCGATCCATGTCCCATCTCCAACAAACATGGTGCTAGAGTCGTAGACACTGCTACCTGGCGCGCTGGTGCCATCGGTCGACATGTCGCCGACGCTGTGCGAGCGCACTATGGTGCTTTGAAGGTGCTGTATGCTTGATCAATGCTGGATGATGGTCGATGCTGATGGAAGAAATGTTGGGCTTCTGCTTGACAGTTGGGCGTGTGTTACGTCTCGTTCAAAGAGTTCGTCAAATCATAAAGTCGTGATAGTCGTTTTTAGCCACAATCGATTATGAAATCGATAAGCACGTTGCGACACTTTGGAAACAGTTTGTGGTATGGATGAGTTGTAGACAGTGATTCAAGGTTCAGAGGTTGTATGCGTGAGCGTAATTACAAAGCGAAGAAGATGAACAGAAGCAGCAGGAGCAAGAGCAGAACAGGGAAGTTGGGCAGCTTCTGCATGGTGCCGCAGCTACTTGCAGGTTTAAAGATGACATGGTTAGTGATTGGCAGGAGCGTTGACCGAGCAACTCGCTTGTCTCATCCCCGCGCTGCTCGCTGTTCGGCCCGCTGCGCCCGGTGCACAATTCGGTCATGGCCATGCACATTTTTGAGCAGTCCAGCCTTCGCTCCAACCACCTCCAACGCATATCCTGTCTAGCCGTCACAGACCGCAACACTCGAACCTGATAAATCACCGATTAGAAGAACTAGCTCCAAGATCATCCACGAATTACGCTCGCAATGGTCAAGTCCAAGCAGTTTCTCAAAACCCCGAAACTCCCTAAACAACAGAAAAAACAAAAGGTGCCTTTTTCAAATTCTTCCGTAGCCATATTTAACAGTGTATTGACTGTCCTANNGATCCTGGTGACTGCAGACGACTTTCAGGAGGCCGCCGACGCCGAAGAAGAAACAGGAGGCAAATGGAGAGCTGGTGACCCTGCTAAATCAAGCCGTGCCTTTGTCAGAGCTATTGAGATCTACAATAATGGCTTGCAGAGACACCCAAAAGACGCTGATTTGGCCTACAACAAGTATGAACTCCATCTTTAACAAAGCCCAGGCACAAGATATTTGCTAATCTAAATCATTACAGANGCTCGCCTCGAGTTTGAACTATCACAGCAGCCAACTCTGGTAGCCAAGCTCCCAATTCCATTACTCGACTTCTTGCAGCAGGCCTTGACCTCTCATCGTTATGCCCTACAGCTCAATGCAGAGTCAGCCGATGTTCTCTTCAACACTGCTCAAGTCATGATCACTATTGCAGAGTATGTAACAGAAGCAGGCATATTCAGCGCACAGGCCGACTCAGCAGCCCTTCTCCGCGAGGCACTTGAGCTGCTGTCGGCATGTTTCACTCGCCAGGAGATGCTCGTCGAAGAGCAGAACGCAAACTCTATGGAGGCAGAAGGTGGTGTGCCAGTCGAACAACAAGCCCCACCAGCTGAGCTTGAAGCTTCATCTTCTCGAGCAGCGGAGGATGCAGATTCTGAGGGAGAGGAGGAAGGTGAATATGTTTCTGTACAAGCATACATCACACCTTCTGATCTGTTGGACACGGCACGTTCTAGTCTGACTGCCTTGACTCTGCTTATCACTCTCGACGACCCTTCCAACGTGTCTNNCCCCCTAGCCAAGATGGGCATCACCTTGGTGGAAGACAAAATCCCTCAATACCTCTCCCAAATCGAGGCCGAAGAACGCACTCAGGAAGAACCCGAGATCGCTCTCGAACGCGCAGAGTTCCACGCAGCCCTCACAGTAGCAGACCTCAAACTCGGCTCTGCAACCGCAAACGACAGTCTCAGCCGCCTGCAACAAGCCTTCGAACCCCTAGACATAACCACAAACGTAGCAGTCATGTGCACCTACGCCGACAGCCTCGTCGAACTGACCACTACCGCTCAAAACTTCAGCCCTTCAAGCGCAGCAACAACTTGCTGGTCCACATTGTCCAAAGCACAAGACCTCTACGCCGCTGCAGTCAAAATCAACGATGCAGAAGCTAAAGCACGCAAAGCTCGTGTCTACGAATCACGCGGCGATGTCGAGTTATTGCGCTTCAACCTCGCCACTACACCTGCCGCTGGTCTCTCAACTGCCATCCAAAAGAGCGCTCCTACTTTGATCAAGAATGCCCAAACGTATTATCGTGGTGCTATGAACCTTTTCCGTGCTGAGGGCGATGCTGAAGCAGCTGCCAAGGTGGAAGTCAGAGGATTGATCGCTGCCATGCTCGAGGGCAAGCTCAATGGCAACATCGAGCAGCAGATCATCGCTGCATTGGGTCAAAAAGGAGAAGCCGGAAGAGCTGTGGCAATGGATATGTTAAGAGAAAGCCTGTTGCCTGAGGATTGGGATCAAGGAGTAATGTAAGATGACATTCCCTCCAAAACATGTCCATAGATTTGGTTGCACAAAAAGTTGTTGGTATACTATTGGATGATAGCAGAGAATTCGCACTTCTTGCAGGTATAGATCAAAGTGAATAGCAAAAAAACCAGAGCTGAGCTCACATGGGAAAACCCTTCTCAGTCTCCTTGATCAAAGTCACCCAATGACGGACATCAGGCCTGCATTCACCAATTCAAGACTACACGGCGGAGACATGTGAAAGTGTTTTATCACGAATGGATAAAAGGCAGGAATGTAAGCCGTTACACAACTCAGCCGATCACAGCAACAAAATGAACTCTGCTTGAATATATGCACACTGGACAAAGGAAGGGGTCAATTGTTCGATCCAGGGGGGTCGTTGATGTGATGGATTAGTCTTTTGTTTCGTTTCTGTAGAGTATGTTATGATGTCTATAATGTCTCATCTACACAACTAGCTAGTCTTGGCCTTTCGACTCCCATTGACAAAAGCATTAGCTTCATCCTCGCTCGCTGTGGTATCGCCGTCGCCAAAATCTCGCCAGTCTCTTTGGCTTTCACCATACGGAGCGACATCTTCACCCTCATCCTCCTTCTCGCTTTCGGTCTCCGGCTCAGCGAAGAATACGCTTGCTTGACGTGTCAGCTCTTGAATAACGCTGCCTCTTCTGGCATAGTCTGGTGTGTCCTCGCGCTGCAGCCGACTTATATCCGGGCGCACGGCGTCGCTCCGTGGACGAGGCGGCATGTTGCCAAACCAGCCACTGAAGCGTCTAGCAAACGATGAAGGTGGCGCTCTACGCTCCTCGAAACGTGATCCCATTGGAGACTGGCTTTTGGAGTTATTGGTACTTCGTGGTCTATCCGCATCTGCAGACAGGAGTGGACTTGACTTGTAATCATCACTATCTGAACCTGCTTGGTCAAGCATTGACGCGAGATCGTCATTGCTCAGCATTTGACTCTTCTCAATCGAAGGGGTAGGCAGAGCATGAGGATTGGGCCTCAATGCCTGTCGTGCGTCCTCCACAATCTTCTCAATCTTCATGCGGTTGGCGATAAATTTGACTTTTGGGAAGGTGGCCTGCTGTCCGTTTTGAATCATTCCCGCGAGACGCTCTTTCGATGGATCAGCTAAAATGTGCCAGAAATCGGAGGGCTTGGATCTTGGCCAGATAGTTATAGTTCCAGAAAAGCGCTGGAGCCACACTTCACTCCAGTCTTGACCCATCGGTCGAGGAAGCAGTTCCAGATGTCTGAGAACCTTGAGCCACTTCGTCAAGTCCAGTTTAAGATACTGCTCGAGAGCAGAGCCAAGGAAGCCTCCTCTCCAGCCTCGACCACGTCGATGCGTCACTGGTCTGCCAGGACTACCGCGCGAGGAAAAGAAGAAGAGGTTGATATGAGGATTGACCTGTGAGACGATGCTGAAGTTGACATTGAAATGCAAATTAAGGGCTTTCAGTGGGATGTCAGTACGCAGCGATCCATCCTTCCACTTGTGACCGAAAGCATAGGGTTCCAAAGTACCATCTCGCTTCTTCCTCATGAGCACCACTGGGTTGAGAACTCCGGGAACGGCAGCTGATGCAAGAACAGCAGACCAGACGACACAATCAGGAGCTGTCAGGTAGTTTGCAAGGATGGTTGGTGAATGTGGGTCTGAAGGTACACAAGACACGTTTAGTATGCGACCCGTCCTTTCAAAGGCCTCGAGGAAAGTTAGAGAGCCATGGCAGAACCAAGCAGACCGTCTGGCCCAGTCGACAGCATCGAAGCGAGCACCAGTATTCCACCAGCGTCGAGACCATACTGAGAAAGGCTCTCTGCAAGCGGTGATTCTGGCAGCTAAAGCAGGGACTAGCGTCTTCTTGAGCTCTTCATTTGTCCGAGTACAGAGCAAAGCAGCTACAATAGCACCTCCTGAAGTGCCAGTAATGATTGATGGTAGAAGATCGGCGTCCAAGAGTGCCTTTGCTATTCCGAAGTGATAATATGCGAAGGTGGCACCACCAGATAGACAGAGAGCAGTGCGGCCGAAATTAGTGCTAAGGTGCTTAACCATAGCACGTTTATCTTCTAGTCCAAGTTGATCCGAGTCTAACAAGAGCTTAATACAATCTGATGTCTCGTCGATGAAGTCTTGGACGAGATTCTTGGTCCCAAAGTAAGTTTCTGAGTAGAGGCGAGGATTCTCAAAGCCAGCAAAGTTGTTCTTGACACAAGCTTCAACAAGACCTCTCAGCTCGTCAACAGCACGCGTGCCAGGAGACATTGGAGACATGGAGGGTTCATCGGTAGCTTCTGCCTGGACCTTTGCTTTCAAGGATTGCAGACGTTGCTTGACACGACGAATGGTCTTGCTGTCGTAGTAGGCATACTCATCCGCAGTCTTCCACTTGTCACTGCCCAGATGGCCATCGAGCTCCTTGGCAGCCTTGATCCAGTCCTCATAGTTGGACTTGTGGCGTAAACTAGCACGTAGTTGCTCACGCTTTCCTCGCCAAGTCACGAACTGTTCGTACAGGTAGATGTACAGGCGGGTGAAGGTGTATGAGATGCCCAAAGCCGTTATCCAGCCCAGGACGACAAAGAGCAGTGGCCACTTGAGCAGGTTGTATGTCCATCCTTCTCTTGTCTCGTCCTTGCCTCGACGCGGAGGACGCTTCTTCTTTTNCTCTTTCTGCTGTTTCTGGCCTTTCACCTTCTGTCTCACAGGAGCCCAGTCATTGAGAGCGGTGAAGAACTGAGGAGGTTGATTCGAGGGATTTAGAAGGTCGTCCTCGGAGGGAGAAGTAAAGTCGGGAGCGGCAAGGGCTTTAGCGAACTCCTGCACATCGTCCTCTCCTATAAAATCGTCATCGAAGTCGGGCATGGTCGAGGGATCCCATGCTGAGGGGTCCCAGGGATCTGGGCCATCAGTCTGTTTGGACGTGTCGGCCATGTCATGGAGGGAATTGCGGCTCTTTCTGTCACGAGACAATGCACCTTCGGCTCAGCTGCATGTCTGGAGGGAAGGCACGACTGGCAACTGGGGGAAGCATTTCCGTGTTGGATTGGGGAAAGTGCTACGTCACTCTATTGAGTTTCGGGCCGAGCCTCTCGACAGCGACATTTGAATTGTTGTTATGTTTCTACCGAACGTTCGAAATAGCTAGCTAATGGATGTGCACGCGCCAAGGCCCATCGGCTCGACCATTCGGTATGGAAAAGCCAGCCAACAGTTCTAATTGCTCGTTTCTGTAATAAAAATCTGACCGTCCAATAGTGTGCGTTTACTCTGTTTGCTTAGTCGAAAAGTTCATGGACCAGAGGTTGAGCGGGAGGTAGGCGCTGCTAGAGTTTTTGAAGCCACGAAGAGGAAGCTAGCCGTGCTGGTCGTTGTTGTCGCGTTTGGAACGAAGTTCAGGACGAAGATCGCAGCAGCGCTCATCTGGATGGCCGTCCTTGTTGCAGTGGTTGCAGTGGAAGATACGGCGCTCGTTGCGAGCGTAGAAGAGGCTGTCGCTAGCAAGCTTGGTTGAGCTGCAGTCGTCGATAAATTGAGCGATGATCTTGTCAAGCGAAGGGAAGTTGTCCTCCTTGCGAATTGTGGTCTTCCAAAGGTAGACCAAGGCTTCGTAGCCAGCATGTTCGACGAGGTGGATGAAGAGGGGAGACTTCGGCTTATGATTCGAAGGTGTGGCCAGCCTCTTTGACCTTGCTCAGAAGACGTTTAAAAGACCGGCATTCGTTAGAGCCGTTGTAGTGTTAGATTTAATGTAGTAGGGGAAAAGAGATGGGAAGGAAAAAATGATCTTGTTAAGACTAACAGTGTCGTACGCGCTGGCAAGGTGGTTCTATGCATCTTGTACGTTTTTAAAGCCGACAATGTCGAGTGAAATGTTAGAGCTAACAATGCGAAGAAGAATGCCCTTTGCCTAACTGTTGCCCTTGTTCCACTTACGAAGTTCCTTCTTGTAGTCGGTAGTAATGTTTGTAGTGAGCTTGCCTTTAGAATCTTCAATGAGATTAGGTTCAGAAATGGGAAAGGTGCCGCTAATGACATCGGAATAGTTTCTCTCGAGGAGACAGCCCTTTGCGACAGCCTTCCATTGCTTGAGGATGGAGGCGCCCTAGAGCCTGTGAATGGCGAGAGGAGAAGACTCGGAATCCATAATGAGGATGATGATAGGAGACTGATGAAAAACTTACCTTGTGCGAGGACTTACAGAAAACAGAAGACTTAAGAAGACAGGCACCCCCTGCTTCCAAAACTGGTGGAAAATTGGCGACAGGCACTTCCTGCGCCCAAAAACTGATGGACTGTTGTTGAACAAAGACAGCGACAGGCACACCCTGCGCGAAATTGATGAAAGAGCTGGTGTGTGTGAGACCAGAGTTGAGAAGAGGAGCTGGTGGATGAGATCAGAAGTTGGTGATGAGACCAGAAAGAAGATGGACGGATCGCGCGCGCGCAGAAGAACTCGCTCCAGATAACCAGTTGCTTAGCTACAATACCATATTGGAACCAACTAGTGTGGTAACATCGGTTGAATTGTTGTTATGTTTCTACCGAACGTTCGGAACAGCTAGCTACTGAGTGCGCACGACTCGATCCAACATCTTATCTTATCAGGGCGCGTGCTTTGGCTGCACATCAATGTCCAAGGATCGTCTTTGCCTCCCAGCAGACAACAATGCTGCGGGACAGCGGTCTGTCAAAACACAATGCCATGGTCAATCGCAAGCCCGTCGTCGCCAATGACGACGTCAAGCGGCCCGCCAAACGTGTGAAGCAGGAACCTGCTCCTGACACCGACTCGCCTGATGATTCCGAACTCGCTCCACCCGATGTCGAACAGCACAAAGCAACCGATCTTGAGACCGCTCTTCCTCCTATCGACACCGACAAAGACGCCATAAAAGCCTACGAAGCCACGCGTGCCGCTGAATACGCCGAGTCCAAAGCTGATCAGCCCAAATGGATTCCTGGTCAGCGCTCCATCTACGTTGACGCCTTCAACCTAGCTCTTGATACTGTGCTCGAGGACGAGAGTCATCTATTTGATGATGCCGANAAGAAGGTCTTTGATACTTGGCGTGCCCTGAACTACGAGGCTCAATACCTTTACGTCCGTCTATTCCTACGCAAGACCTCTGCCTGGCATCGTGTCAGTCGTCTGGGATATCACAGCGATATCTCCGACCTCCCAAGAGCTGTCGACACATTGCAGATCCCATGCGATATTCCACCGCCTACCGCAGAATCTCTCCCTGTTCCTCGCGACTTCGATCAGCCAGACGATGCTCGACTAGGACATTCCTTCACGTTCGCCGACAGGTCAGAAGAACACATTACTACATTAGAGGAAGCTTCATCACTCCTTCTGTTGGATGAGTTGAAGTTGCTGGCTAAAGATGCCAAAGTTCAGGGCAAGACNAAAAGAGAATTGCTCAAAGCTTTAAGGAGGGCAAGTGGAAAACAAGCAGGCCTAGGCTGGGCTTCGCTCAAGCGATCAGACACTGAAGAATCAGCTTTATCTGTAGCCGATGACGATGATGATAGCCGNGGGAGCACTCCTCTGCAGAACCGAGATTCTCACTTTCTCGAGAAGATCATGGCAGAGACAGGTCCTTGTATCCGTCTTTCGGATCCTGCACGAAGACTGTTCGAACGTGTTCATCTCGTTTTCTATCGCTCCACTATGTGGACGGAGAAGTCTTTGACAACCATCATACTTGCAAAGATCTCACGACTAAACTTTCCCGAGTATCTTGTGTGCCGCTCGTCCAACATCTTTGCATCTAGACCCATGTTGCTCGAATTCGAAGCCTCGTTGAGAATACAGTTCTATCTCGACAGCGTCCTTGAATTCAGCGGTACACCAACTAAGGAGGGCCTGGACACTATCCTCGACCTCTGTGACCAGATCCTCCCGCGATGGAGAGAATTGCTGCAAGAGGAACAACANAAAGAAGACAGCATCTACATGACTGGTGAAGGTGCTTATTTACGACGACTCTCTCCCGCATGGGTTTATACCCGTATCATACACAAAGGTGCGTATGTCATGGGCAAATTCAAGGACCACAAGCGTGAGTACGAGACCCTGGAAGAGCTACTCGGACAGAAACTATTCCATACTTCGAGACGGGGCGACTGGTATCAGCGAAAAGCTCTGCTGGAAGAACATTACATGCATGCTTTGATGCCCATTCAGGGTCGTGGCGAAGAAGCTCAAAAGAAACACTGGAAACGGGTTTCTCTTCAGACCTGTGAGCAAGGTCTTCAAGACCGTCTCGTGCATCTGATGTATCATCATGATCTTCAGAAACGAGTCATGAAGCTAGAGAAAGCACTTCGTGTGCCAATGCGAGAGCAACATGACTTTAGCCACGTTCGGCTGGCGAAACCTGTTGAACGTGTTTTCTACGGCACCAGGATCCAGCGACCTGAACAACCCAACGAGACGAGAAGGGGAGGTAAGACCATCTGGATTGATCCTGGAGAGAATGAGAATGAAGGCGAATGCTCGGTGGAAGCAATGTGTCTTTCGCAATACCGCTCGCTTGGCTACAGAGGATACCATGCAGAGGGCGGCATCGTACGGACATTGTTCGCTTACCTTTTCTTTGATGTACTCTTCGTGTACATTCCGGATGTGTTTCAGACGCCTTATCAGACATGTCCATTGGACTTGCACACTGATGCATTCTACCCTTCACGCATATCCGAGATCAATCAGCGCCTGAACGAGATCAACAACGGAGAGGCACGGAATTTGATCCAGCGAGTGTGGGACGACCACCACGAGAAGGAAACATGTGTTGTGGGACTGAGTTGGTCTTATGAGCTGGAAGACCTCCTTTGCATCGCCAATTGTTTCCCTCCTGCAGCTCTAAGTACTGTGTGCAAAGTCATGGCACAAGAGTATGGACANAGAGGAGGAGGCGTGCCCGACCTCTTTCTGTGGAAGGAGAACCCCGACACAGGTGGAGGAGAGGTCATGTTCGCCGAAGTCAAAAGTGAAAATGATCGTTTGAGCGATACGCAACGCTTGTGGATAGATGTGCTCACAGGCGCGGGTGTCACGGTCGAGTTGTGCAACGCCGTAGCTAAGGAAGTAAAAGTGGTTGGTTAGCTGAGACCTCATGACTTGAATGAAATGTACGAACCCCTTCCAGAGCGTTTCGCACGACACAGCTTTCCTTTCTTATGCTTCGATCAATAAACTCAACCAAGTTTGTGGAGTCTCCACTGCCAACATCCTTCGGTGAAAGCGGCACACCGACACGATCTTCCGTAGACTCGCTCGAGATTTTCTGCGATATGAGTAAGCCCCTGCATTTCTCTACAACAATGTTCCACGAGAAGGACTCGAGCAAGAGATCCAGCAATTTGGTTACAGGGTCATATGGACGACCATCGCATGGTCGTCGCGAGTCGCGGGCGATCTGGATCTCGCGCGTGTCGTGTGAGATCGTCACTCCTGTTGCGTGTGGCTGCCGTGAGGCGCAGCACTGCCAGTTTGAGGGCAGACTTTCCACATCGCTAAGCGCTTGCAAGTCCACCCGCTGAACCCGCAACTCATTTTCGCAAGAAAAGACGGAAGTCAAATCTCCAAGACTTCAGCTCCTCGATGTTTTTTGCATACATTTTGACAAGATGCTAACCGTGCAGCATGGACCACACACCCGTGTTTCTTTTAACACCCTTGTGTGCTACTGCAGGTCCTCCCGTCAAATGTTATTGCATATATGAAGGCATTGACGGTTCTCTCGCATGCTTTCCTGTTCTCGATGCTCCAACCTCGTCAATAGCCCTACCCATATTAACCCGTGTGGAGCTGAAGGTTGTCAACTTGACGGAGATCGAAAAGCTTCTGATGTCATCTCTTGCGACTTGCGCGAGAGGGGAGCACCTGAGACAAACTGAAGTTCAGCGTTGCAACGGTCTCGCCCACCTGTCGGGGTCTTTACCGAAACTCTACAAGATGAGATCCCAAGCTTTGAATTGGACGACCATTGCTGCAAAAACTCCTTCGAAAGGACCAACGAGAGCGGCTTGATGGTTCGTACCTTGCCATGTCACTCAAAGGAACTTTCTCGAGCTCTCTCCAGCTTCATGCATCATAGCTCCAGTCCGAGACCCTGATCGGGACGTGATGCTGCCGTACTTGCAGGGATGTGTATGCGCATCAGACGTCACCCGTCGTGGACGCGCGCCAATCATTCTAACATTCACGCTTACACTTGCTGTCCTTACGTCTGAGACTGTTGACAGGTCGCGGTTGCGGTACTGCTGCCGTCTGAGTGTTTCTCCGTATCGGCGCCTCGTGTCACACAAAAGCCTGTATCGAGCCGATGAGGACGGCATTCTTGACCGTCCCGAGCTCCCTCGACTCTCGAGGTCCCCGATCCTCGTCCAAAGTCACTAATGGACCGCCCCGTCTTCTCCGCATCGTCGATACAGCTAATATGCAGCCACGGTTCTCCAGCCGTCACATCCCATATTTTCGTGGCTGTGACGTTGAAACGCAGCTCCAGAGCAGGCCCAACCGACATCTCACCAGCCGCAAAACCTGTAATGCCACCATGAGGCGCTACCTACCTGGCATTTCCATACGTCACAAGCGTCCTGGACAGTACCTTGCCAGCCAACGAGAGTGCTAGCCTGCTCCGTGCTCGAGGTAGGTAGCTTATATGTTTTCAAGCTCCCTTCCCTCGTCTCAATTCCTCTATCAATTTTCTCCCCCAATCCCCCCAAATAACTTAATCACATTGTTGTATGACCAACAATACATCTTCCTCCTCCTACGCCTACTACTCCTTTCCTCCAACACCAAACAGAGCTTCTCCCCCAGCGAGCTCTAAATCTAATTCCCCCACCCCCAACACAAAAAGAACTTTCAACATGGCACCTTCTCCGGCAGCAGGCAAGGCCACTGGTGGCGCTCCCAAGACTCCTACCAAGCTGGGAAGAAAGCCCCAAAGTCAAACCAGCCAGCCCCCAAAACTCGGACAGCAGGCCGCTTCAGGCGCAAGAAAAGCATCCGCCCCCGAGGGTGCTAAGCAGCCGGAAGCTCCTCAAGTTCCCGAAGCCCGAAGCTGGTGATGTGCAGCAAAAAGCCGGCGAGGCCGCGCAAGGTGCACAGGACAAGGCCGGCAAGACCGCTGAAGACGCTAAGAGCAAGGCCGAGGGCGCTGCTGAAGAGCCCAGCAAGGTCGAGATGAAGGACGACACCGAAGCCGCATCCACCCAGGCTGGTGATGATGAGGACGAGGATGATGACGACGAGCCTCTGAGCAAGGTCTCCCAGGCTGGAGACAACGCCAAGGGCCAGCTCGAGGAGCAAGCTCCTCAACCAATTGACGACTCTAACGACAACGACACTGCTGCTGGTGCACAAGACACCGCTGATGATGACGACACCGAAGACACTGCCGACGACGACAAGACCGTCAAGGCTGGTGACGAAGCAGATGATAATGACGACGCAACTGATGACGTTCAAGACACCACCGGCAAGGTGGCTGACGATGCACAAAAGACTGGCAAGCAGTCCGGTGGCAACCTTCTCAAGGGTGCTAAGGGTCTGGCTGGCAAGGCCTCTGGTCTCGCTGGCAAGGCTGCTCAGGACCCCAAGAAGGCTGCTCAGGATGCTCCCAAGGACGCCCAAGACACCGCAGGAGATGTCAAGGATACTGCTGAAGACACTGCTGAGGATGCCGCTGAGAGCGCCCAAGACACCGCTGACGACGCCAAGAAGGTTGCAGGTGATGCTACCGACGAGGCTGGCGATGCCGCCGAAGATGTCAAGGACACCGCCGAAGATACCGCGGAAGATGCCAAGGACACCGCTGAGGACGCTGCTGGTGATGCCACCGACAAGGCTGGTGATGTCGCCGACCAGGCCAAGGACACTGCAGAAGATGCCACTGAGAATGTTCAAGACACCGCTGAGGATGCTCAGGACACCGCAGAGGACGCCACCGAACAAGTCAAGGACACTGCCGAGGATACCACTGAGCAGGCCGAAGACGCCGCAGGTGATGCAACCGACAAGGCCGGCGAGACTGCTGAAGACGCCAAAGACACCGCTGAAGATACCGCGGATGACGCCAAAGACACCGCCGAGGACGCTGCCGATGGTGACGTTCCTGAGATCAACGACATCAACGATCTCCCTGTCGACCTCTCCGTGCTCAAGGGTCTTGAGGTCGCTGAGGACGGTATGGTCTCTGACCAAGATGGCAACCCCATTGGCAAGCTTGCTGAGGGTGATGCTGAGGATCTTGCTGGCTACCCAATTGGCGATGACGGCGAAATTCTCGATGATGATGGCGATCTCGTCGGACGTGTCGAGCTTCTTCCCGAGCAGGTCAAGAAGCAGATGGCCGACCTCAAGAGCAAGGGTGAACTCCCCAAGGGTGCTGAAAACTTCGTCGGCGACCTTCCCGATACCGATGATGTTGAGAAGCCCAACCTCAGCATCTTCAAGGGTCTCACCTGCGACCCCACTGGTAACATCTTCAACGACGAGGGTGACACTATCGGTCAGGTCACCGACGGCGACCCGCAAGAGCTCATGAATGCCACTCTGAACGAGTACGGCGAGTTCATCGATGATGACGGCAATGTCATTGGCCATGCCGACGTCCACCCCGATGCACCAGAGGACATCTACGACCAAATCCAGCAGGCTGCTGACGATGCTCAAGATGCCGCCGAAGATACTGGCGATGCGGCTGACAAAGTCGACCAGGCTGCTGACAAGGCCGATGACGCTGCCGACAAGGTCGACGACGCTGCCGATGATGTCAAGGATGCAGCTCAGGACATCGAGGACGAGCTCCCTGGCATTGAGGCCCTGCAAGGCAGAGAACTCAACGAAGCCGGTGAAGTTGTTGACGACCAAGGCGAGGTTCTTGGCCAGATCGACGACGATTCCCTCAAGGAGAAGCTCGAGTCTGGCGAACTCAAGGCCGAAGACCTCAAGATCAACGAGGATGGCGAAGTCGTCGACGCTGACGACAACGTCCTCGGCAAGGTTGGTCTCGCAGAAGGCGCCGCCGAAAAGCTTGGTGGTCGTCTTCCTTCCCTCGACCTCCGCATTCTTGATGGCAGAAAGGTCAACAAGAAGGGCAAGATCCTTGACGATGAAGGTGACGAGATCGGCGAGCTCTCTGAGGGCGATCCCAAGGAGTGCGCCGGCAAGAAGGTTAACGACAAGGGTGAGGTTCTTGACCAGAATGGCAAGGTCATTGGTAAGGTCTCCGTCGTTCCTGGCGAGGCTGCTGAGAACGCTACCAAGGAACTTCAGACCGAGCTTGGTGAGAACGTTCCTGATGAGGAGCAGGGTGAGGATGAGGAGCAAGCTGATGAGGAAGAAGAGCCTCAAGGTCCTCAGTTCAAGATCCCTGACCTCGACGTCCTCGAAGGCCTCAAGGTCAACAAGAAGGGCAAGATCCTCAACGAAGATGGTGAGGAGATTGGCGAACTTACCTCTGGCGAACTCAGCGAATGCGCTGGCAAGAAGGTCAACGACAAGGGTGAGGTCCTCGACGAAGAGGGCAACACCATTGGCCGCGTCAAGGCTCTGCCTCAAGAGGTTCCCCAGGAGGAGCTCGAACAAGCCGAGGAGGCTGCCGACAAGGCTGAAGATGCTCAAGACGCTGCAGAAGATGCCGCCGAAGATGCAGAGAACGCTGAGGAGGGCGCCGAGGGTGCTGAGGAGGGTGCCGAGGGTGCTGAGGAAGGCGCCGAGGACGCTGCCGAAGACGCCGAGTCCAACCTACCTCCTCTGTCTGTCCTTGAGGGTCTGACGGTCAACAAGTCTGGCAACATTGTCGACTCCAACGGTACTGTCGTCGGTGAGCTTACCGAAGGTGACGCCAAGAAGCTCTCGAAGTCCGGTGTCAAGTGCGATGACCAAGGTCAGTTCTGGGATGACAAGGGGCATGTCATTGGCCGTGCCAAGACTGTCCCTCTCGAGGAAGACGAGGAGTCTCCTTTCGCTGGTCTCGATGGCCTGATTGTCGTCAAGGACGGTTGGGTCGAGGATGAGAACGGCAACCGCGTTGGTCAGCTCGTCGAGGGCGATGCCAAGAAGCTTGTCGGTCGTGCTGTCGATGAGGACGGTGATATTCTCGACAAGAAGGGTTCAGTCGTTGGTCACGCCGAACGCTACGAGGACCCCGATCAGGAGCCCGAGCCTGAAGAGGAACCCGTCGACCTTTCTTCACTCAATGGCAAGACCTTGAACAAGGCTGGCTTCGTCATTGGCGATGAAGGTGTACCTGTCGCTCGCCTGGTCGAGGGCAAGGCCAAGGAACTCGCTGGCAAGAAGCTCGATGACCAAGGTCAGATCTGGAACGACTCAGGCAAGGTCATTGGCCGCGTCGAGATGATCCCCGAGGATGAGCGCGAGTCCAAGCCTGATGGTCCTTTCGCTGGTCTCCAAGGTCTTCGCGTTGTTGCTGACGGCAAGGTCGCCGACGAGGACGAGAACATCGTTGGTGAGATTACTGAGGGCAACGCTAAGCGCCTGATCGGTCTTGCTGTCGACGAGGATGGCGATGTCATGGACAGATATGGCAACGTCAAGGGCCATGCCGAACCTCTTGCAGAGGAGGAGGAGGAAGGTCCCGTCGACAACTCCCTGCTCAGTGGCAAGAAGCTGAACAAGCAAGGATTCGTTGTTGACGAGAAGGGTATTCCTGTTGGTAAGCTCCTCGAAGGCAACGTTAAGGAGCTTGCTGGCCGTCTTTGCGACGAGAACGGTGACATCCACAACGACACTGGAAAGGTTGTCGGACACTGCGAAGTTCTTCCTGAGAACGAGCGTGTCTCCAGAGCCGAGGGTCCCTTCGCTGGCCATGAGGGTCTTCGTGTCAACAAGGAGGGTTTCGTTGTTGATTCCGAGGACAACGTTGTCGGAAAGGTCACCGAAGGTGATGTGAAGAAGCTTGTCGGCCTCCAGGTTGACGAGGATGGTGACATCAACGACAAGTACGGCAACGCAAAGGGCCACGCTGAGCCTTACGAAGAAGAGGAAGCTGCCCCTGTCGACAACTCGATCCTCGATGGCAAGAAGCTGAACAAGCAAGGATTCGTCGTCAACGAAGATGGCATTCCCCTTGGTAAGCTTGTCGAAGGTAATGTCAAGGAGCTTGCCGGTCGCCGCTGCGACGAAGAAGGCAAGATCCATGGCGATACCGGCAAGGTCGTTGGTCGTTGTGAGATTCTCCCTGAGAACGAACGTGTTGCTAGACCTGAGGGTCCCTTCGCCGGACTCGAAGGCCTCCACGTCAACAAGGAGGGTTACGTTGAGGATGCCGAGGGTAACCGTGTCGGTATCATCACCGAAGGCAACGTCAAGCGTCTCGTAGGCCTTTCTGTCGATGAGGATGGTGACATCAGCGACAAATACGGAAACACCAAGGGCCACGCTGAGCCTTGGGAGGAAGAGGAACAGACCGCCGAAGACCTCTCCGCCCTTGCTGGCTGCACTGTCAACAAGGCTGGTAACGTCGTCGACTCTTCCGGTACTATCATTGGACGTGTCTCCGAAGGCGACCCATCTACCATGGTCGGCAAGAAGGTCGATGGTCAGGGCCAGATCTGGGACAACGCCGGAAATGTCATTGGCAAGGCCGAGCTCGCCAAGGGCGCCGACACCAAGGCTGAAGGACCTTTCGCTGGGTTCGACAGCATCACTGTCAACAAGGAGGGATACGTTGTTACTCCTGATGGTGGCATCGTTGGCCGCGTTACCGAAGGCGACGTCAAGAAGCTTGTCGCTCACAAGGTCGACGAAGATGGTGAAATCCAAGACAAGAACGGTAACCTCATCGGTAAGGCCGAGAGATGGGAGCCTGAAGAGAAGGAGAGAAAGATCAACCCCATGTCCGGTCGCCGTGTCAACAAGGAGGGTGAAGTCCGTGACGAGAACGGCGATGTCATGGGCAGACTTACCGCTGGTGACCTCGGACACTGCGTCGGTCTTGAGGTTGATGACAATGGATACGTCGTTGACAATGATGGCAACAAGGTCGGTGAGGTCACTCTCATCGGAAACATCATTGAAGACGAGGAGATTCCTGAGGAGGAGCTCACCGAGGAAGAGAAGGAAGAGCGCCGCAAGAGAGAGGAGGAACGCCAGATCGCTGAGAAGATGGGCACCATCTGCACTCAGACACTCGAGAGAGTCCAGCCCATCTGCAAGCAGATCACCGATGTAAGTGCTTACCTATTCCACTGCCTCACTGGAACCATTACTGACCTACCGTTTCTCTACAGCACATCGAAGCCGCCGACCGTACCCCACGTGAAGAGTTGGACGAGGAAGATTTGGTCAACAAGGTTAAGCCTCTTATCGAAGAGGGTGGTCGTATCCTGCAAGAATGCAACGGCTCTCTGCGTGGCCTCGACCCCGACGGTCACATCGCCGCTCAAGCCAAGGGCCGTGCCGGCACCAAGGAGGCCACTCCCGAGGAGTACCGCCTGGCCGATACTCTCAAGGAGTTGACCGAGACCGTCGTCACCACCATTGACAACGCAAAGAAGCGCATCAGCGACATGCCTCACGCCAAGAAGAAGCTGAACCCTCTCTGGGGTCTCATGACCCAACCTCTCTTCCAGATTCTTGCTGCCGTCGGTCTCTTGCTGACTGGTGTCCTGGGTCTGGTTGGCCAGCTACTCAACGGCCTTGGATTGGGTGGACTCGTCAATGGTCTGCTCGGTGGACTCGGTATCGACAAGTTGCTCGGTGGTCTTGGTCTCGGCAGCGTTGCTGATTCCCTCGGCCTGGGCAAGAAGGACAAGAAGAAGAGCGGCGGTGGTGGTGCCAGCAGTCTGCCCATTGTCGGCGGTCTGTTCGGCAAGAAGTAAGAGAAGAAAAACACCACAAAAATTTATATCCTAATTTTGAGCCTGACCGGAGGACGAAAAAAAAAGACATACGAAAGAGGAGGAAACTACACCAACCATTTCTGGAGGAAGGAGCAAGGGATCGGGGGGTCTTCTTGCATTCTGACTGACTGATTATCTTTGGAGGAAACTTCCTTTTCTGGGTTTTGATTCTGGATTTTTTCGAGCCCACGGCGCTGGTCTCCTTTCGCTTTCTTTCTGACGAATTTCCTTTGTTTCAATCTGTTCAACACGTGTGTTTGTATTTATACCACTTACTATGTTTGTTGTCAATTTTACACCCTAGCTAGGTAATTTCTGCTCGTTCTACAGTGTAACAATCTCATATGTTTATTGAATTATCATTAAAAACCTGTCCCTTTACTGTGTTGCTGCCTCTCCGTGTCCTGGAGACTTTTACAGAGTAGCCGAACGATTGCATAATACCTTCGCAGAGGATGCGCTTCTCTCATCAAAGCCAACCCTCCCTGCTCAAACATTTCTTAGCCTACTTCGAAAGACTATTTCGGTCAGAGATAGAGTGTAAAAAAAAGGAGATTGGTCTCTCCTGGACTGTCCCAGTGTACACAGCTGTAGAAATGCACAATACCTTTGAGAAGAATATGCTTTCCAAGGAGAGAACTGTATTAAGACCATCTCTGAGGCCAGAGTCATGTTTAGAAAGCAACTGTGCATCTTCATAGTGACACCACTCCTCTACCTTAGGAAGGAGATGAGAAGTTTACGACCTTTTGATACCAATGGATATTTGTTGTGATGCAGTTTTAGCGAAGCAATGGCACGAGTGATCAAACTCAGTTCATTCTCTTCTTCTCCTTCTCGACCATGGTGACTTCGTCACCGTCCTCGTCCCTCGCCCTCGTTCTGCTCGGTGGTAGTGGTGGTTGTCTGCTGTGAAGGCGAAACACTACGACGTTGAGTGGTCATGGTGTCAGGCCGCGGGACTGACGCAGAGCGCGAGGCAACAGTAAGTGGCAGATATCACAGTTCTCGGAATGGCAAGCATAGCAGCAATATGGAAATGGCAATTGCTCGTGGTGTGGTTACCCTTTCATCTGCAAGATGTCATGCGATACGTATACCACTTGATCCATGGTGGAGGGGCGTGTCTTCCGATGCACGCTGGATCTTGATGCTAATCGCTGGGTGTTGGAGGAAGCTTTCTGATACAACCTTGACTTTGGGGCCTGTCTCGGACCCGACAGGCGACAAGCTTCCTTTGAGATTACAATGCTTCGGTGTTGCCAGGCTGGAATGCAGATGATATAATATTGTTCTGGCACTTCTTGGTACTGATCTGTTTCTTGATCCTGTCGTTGGCATTGATTTTGCTCAATAGGACGAGAACCGCTCATGGTTTGATCGAACCTTAGCACGTTGTGTTGCTTTGTCGACACCATAAGGGTCAGTGGTATTGGCACACAAGTGTGTACGCCGATACTGTCAACCTCATACTATCAATGACCAAGGTCTCAGAACTCGGTGATTAGAGACGAGAAAAAGGTGATCAACGGAAAAGTGAAGTCTTGCCATTGTATATTGTGGCTGCTTTGTCTGTTCGTGTGATGAAACACAGGATATCCTACTGGCCTAGATCAGTCTCGCTTGTTAGTTGTATATCTCCAACTGAATCTCGGTATACAAGTTTCAGATAGAGGTAGGGAGATCAGACAGCAATATACAAACCAACTCTCCACAGTCTAGATTTTTGGACCGACCCTCAAGTAGCATATCAGTGCCAATCCATTTGGTGATCAGTTTCCATGGTTCGTGATGAGAAGAGAATCATTTGATGATCAGTTGTAACCAGAGCGACCCTGTTCTGTTATGCTTCCCTCTTGCTGCTCGTCACGCGCATCCACCTTCCCTCTGTTTTGTCGTTCAACACAGCCGACCAAGATCCTTCTCAGCAATGACTCGACCGAGTGAAGGCATCGTTGTCTCTCATGAACTCCACACCACCATCTCAGAAATGTCACCCCAAGCAGATCCATATTTCTATAAATACTTGCTTGGGGGGGATGATGTGGGATTTTGCTCTTTCGGAGTTGAGCGAAAAGCAGCAAAACGGTTGCAAGCGAGCGAGAGCACTTTTTAGCCGGGCAGGCCCATCCATGCAGGGCAGCAAGATGCCAAGCAAAGCAAAGATCCTGCCCAACTTGACAAGATGCAAGCAGTGACATCGTCATTTTTTGTTTTCTTTGCCCCATGAAGAAAAAAAGGCTGGCTCAAAACAGAAAGTCCGTAACAAGGCCGACACAGCCGAAACAGAAATCAGCGGCCTGATGCCTTGATGATCGCGTGTTGTTCTAATGATGATAACCAAAAGACACGTAGGATCGCATCAGGTCCGCGATTGTGATGAACAGAAAAAGGCTTGTTTGTTGAGGAGATCTGCCGTGGTGAGGTACAAACGCCGGGTACATGCAATGCACGACAATGCACAAGCACACATGCAAAGCCGTTTCGTGACATACTTTTTGCTTCCTTCGAGGCCTTTGAACTTCGCGTCGTGCCTGCAGGATCCAGGTCAAGGTTTTTCCATCGTGCTTTGTTGAATCTGCAATGCGCCAAAATGCCGTGAAAAAAGTGAAGAATTAAAATACTCAGATGGCATCCGATGACGGTCGGTTCCAGAAGATGTACGCGAGCATGTCAGATCGCGGGATTGTCAATCACAATCATTGACAGTCAGATCTTTGTGGAGTACATACGTGTTGCTTTTCTTTTCTTCACTTCCATGGTAGAGACAGGACCCACTATGTATGAGATAGAAGTGTACGCGTCAAGGCTTGGAAAACGAGACTTTAGCGACAAGGATGTTTGACAAAGAGGCTCAGCTTTGCTCGTGCTTCCCAAAACAGCAAAGGTAGGATAATCACATTTGGAGGGAAATCATTCAGCAAGAGATGATGGGTAAACGGTCGTTACTGGGGCTCTAATAGCTCATGAAAATTACAACTTTTATATAATCCTTTCAAATATGGACAAGAAGTTCTCAACAAATGAGAGAGGTAGAAAGAGGGTAAAGAGCTTTTTAGAAGCCGAGAATGTACTTGATCCAGCCGGCGGCATCGTCAGAGTAAAGGTCGAAGTAGTTGAGGTGCTGGTTGACATCGAAGGGACCGGGGCCGCCAGAAGCGCAGACAGGGTCGCGGTGGTCGCAGTAAGATCTCATGATGTTGCCGAACTTGTTCATGCGGTTGAGAGAGTCGGTGGTACGGGGGTCGGTGGAGCTCACATCGGAACCGTTGAGGACATTGTAGGGCTGGTTGGCGACGTGTCTGGTGTCACCGAAGATGGTGATAGCCTTGAGCTGGTTGCCAGGGCTGGTAGAGGGGTCAAGACCGGGGTTGGGGCCACCGCATCTGTCGGAACCACCGAGGATATCTCCGGCAACGTTGGCACCCTGAGAGTAACCAGACAAGACAAGCTTGGAGGCAGGGCACTTCTTAGCGTAGGCAGTCATCTGGTCAATGCCATTGCTGTCGCCCTCCTTGACAGCGGTGCAGTAGTCACTGCCATCAGCGTTGTAGAAGAGAATGTCCTCGTAGTCACAAGAGTCAAGGCCGTAGCAAATGGCACCAGCAAGCTTGCCCTGACGACCAGGGTAGGGCTCGTTCCAGCCCTTGGAAAGNNGGAAGATGTGGACGTCTCTACATGAAGGGTCGGTGTTGGTGACTCTGGGAGCCGGGGCAGCTGCAGTAGGCTGAGCAGGCGATGAAGCAGCAGTAGAAGCCGGTGCAGCAGTAGGAGCACCTGCCTGCCAACTGAAGGTGGCGCCGTTGTAAGTGGCCGTTATCCACTGGGCGTTGTTGTCCGATGCAGCAGAGTTGGTAGGCATAACAGCAGGGGGTGTAGACTGTGCGGGAACGTTCCAGTTGTTCTCCCAAGACACGGTCTTACCATCGATCACGGCTGTCACCCAATCGGCACGCTTCTCAAGAGGAGCGGGAGCACCAGGAGCAGCGTAGACGGTGGTGGCAGCCAGAAGGGCTGAGAGCAAAGTTGCTGATTTGGGAGCCATTCTGAATAGAGTTGTGTGTATATCTGTGTGGCTGGTCCCGTTTTCAAGTCGTTTTCAAGTAGATAGATCCAGGAAGATAGAGATATTGAAACTGTTGCGGGTTGTTGAAAGTGTAATGGGAGGTGGGCGAAGGTGGTAGATATATAGGCTTACCGTGAGGCACGCCCCAGCCTCCGAGCGCGCTCATCCTCGAACACGGACCTCTTACGACACCTACATCATGAATACTTAGATATGCTGCCAAGGGTTATACGAGATGGATCCAGGGTAATTTCCAGCCATGTCGGTCGGCGCGAGATGATCATGTGGTGCTGTTACGCGGGACGTGTTTCGAGGCCAAGGCCATCCTCCCGCTAACGTCTTGCTAAATTAAGGCCGGTCATCGTCATTTCCTTCGCGAGAAAGAAGCTTAACTCAACCTTCACGACTCGCACACGCTATCCGGCCACCGCTGCCGACTTGGTGCGCCACCACATTAATCCTTCTCCAAGTCACTGCTCTTGGATACGAACAACTCCATCCACCGCCAGCACGATCGCATCACATCACGTCCAAATATAGAGCGCGCATGCCACCGCCTGTTACTCTGCAGGCTTCTGCTGTGCAGCATGCGGCTGTGATCGGATGAGGATGCTCCCTGCAAACACAACGATGGATCGAACCCAGCCCGAGTCAAGATTCACCGTCTTCGGATCTGGATCTAACTGTCAACGCCTGCTTAAGTTCGACATGCCGTGATCATAGAACTCTGATTTGCATCATAGACGAATGAGACAATCGCCACGGACAAGAATAGACGGGTCTCGTCCGAATGCGAAAAGTATGTTGTGCTGGCTAAAGAGTTTTTGCACTGCATGCATCAGGTACCGTAGTTGCCCAGCCACTCGCATGGAGGAAGCAACTCGAGTCAGTCACGTTCAAGTCACGCCGCTTTGATGGAACACACGTTCATGGCGACACGAGCCAAGGGAAATGACAACAATTTAACAAAAACACCTGCTGCAGATCAATGTAACCCCATAAACGTGAGGGTCCTGCAATAACAGTTGATGGAAAATCCTCCCTGTGCCAAGAGCGATCAGTTATACAAATGCACAATATTTTGCGAAAGGAAACTATGACCATGGAGAGAGCGTCACCTCAGGGTGTTTTCAAGGGCCGGTATTGTGGTTCGATCAACATTGTGTATCTCTATAGCTATACTGTGACAGTCTTGATAACACGGGATGCAGCTATACTATCGACGGGTGGAGGAGTCGGTCCTGCAATATGAAAACAATAACGTTCTCCCTGTTTGCCAAGACAAGTAAAGCTATCAACTATACAGATGCACGGTATTTTGTGAAAGGGAACGATGTCCGTTGAGAAAGTGTCATCTCAGAGTGCCTCCAAGGAGCATGTTTTTGTGTTGGACCGATATTCTACGTCTCAAAACCACAGGGTATCTTCTCGGCCGTTGAATAGCACGCACATCCATGCGTCTGCATATGCAAACAGCAAATCGCAGGTGTAACCAAGCTCGAAACAAACAGTCTGCAAGCCACGCACCTTCCAAAAGATGCAAATACACCCTGTACACTGCGACAGCCTTCAGTACAGCAAGAGACGGCACCACGATCAGGGGGACAGCCCTGCAATAACGATAAAGTAATAACCCTCCTTTTGTGTGCCAAAGTAAGTAACACATAGGCAGCTATACGAATGCACATTACTTTGCGAAAGGAAATGATGGCCCTTCAACAGAGCTGTCTGAAGAGTGCAGTAAATAGCATGTCTCAATTGACGATACCAGAAACCAGCCACAATTTATACGGTAACAATCTCAAAATCTCGTGTTAAACGTGTTAAAGTACAGCTACATTTGTTTTTGTTTCATTTCTTTATGCTAGACTTTCGTACATTCGTACAACGACACCGAGAAATATATCTCGCGTTTACAAACCAAGCTTCTCAAGGTACTTGGTAGCGAGCTCGACAGCCTGGTCAGCATTCTCGGGCTGGGTACCCTGTCCGAGCGAAGTAGCACCCTTGCCACCGGCCTTTCCACCGAGCACGCCGGCAATCTCGTTGGCCCAGGCAGGTGCATCGGCACCCTTCTCCTTTGCCTCTGCAGAGACGTGGCAGCCGTGGACGACCTTGCCGTCCTTCTCGTCGGCAGCAATCAGGTAGATGGTCTTGTCCTTTTGCTTGGAGCTGATGGTCTTGATGGCTTCGCTGATGGCCTTGGAGTTGGCAGAGATGGGCACGCGGACGACCAGACGCTTCGACTCGGGGTTGTCGGTGAAGTGCTTGGCGATGGTGTCGGTCACGGTCTTGTTCTCGGCCTTGAGGAATGCCTTTTGCTGGTCGAGGTTTGCCTGTAGAGCAAGAGGTCAGCAATCAGGCATACATCATCACAAAAATAGTGAACTTACCTTGGCAACCTTGGCGAAGCGCTCCTTGAGTTGAGTCTTGGTGACGGCAGAGATGGTCAGCTGGTTGAGCTGAACTTGCAACTGCTTGGCCTTCTGCTCCTTTTGAGGGCTGTACTCCATCTTCTCGAGCAAAGCGAGATCATCCGAGAACTCCTGGGCGACTCTTTGCACCTCGTGGGCAGCCTGACCGGTAACAGCGATAATACGGCGAATACCCTTTGCAATACCACCCTCTTCGAGCACGATCAACTCCTTGATCTCACCAGTCTTGTCAACGTGGGTACCACCACAGAACTCGACACTGACGTTCTCCCACTCGGGGTTGTGAACATCCTCGAGAAGTTGCTCGACTGGCACACCAACACTGACGACACGGACAGGGTCAGGGTAAGTCTCACCGAACACGGCGCGGACACCCTTGATGTTTCTGGCAGTGGCGAGAGGCACTTCCAATGAGTAAACAGGGCTGTTCTGGCGAATGTATGATGTGCTCTTAGTCTCGACCTCCTGGAGCTCCTTGTCTGACAACGCAGCCTTGTGGCTGAAATCGAAACGAAGCTTCTCGGGAGCGACGAGCGAACCCTTCTGGTTGATGTCGTCGCCGAGAACTGCACGAAGAGCAAAGTTGAGAATGTGAGTACCAGTGTGGTTGTTGCGGATGGGGTGTCTGCGGAGTTCGTCGTACTCGCAAATAACCGAATCTCCAGTCTTGAAAGTACCGTAAGTCATGTAACCAGTGTGGAGGACATAGCCAGCGTAGCTCTGAACGTTTTGGACGTCCAACTCGGCTTCACCATCAATCAAAATCTTGCCAGTATCGTTCTCCTGACCACCCTGCTCCGCGTAGAAGTTGGTCTTGTCAAGAATGACACCAAATTGCTCACCCTCAGGGATCTCGGAGGTGCTCGACAAGAACTGCTTGTTGTGGTAGATAGCCTTGACAGTAGCGTTGATGTTGCCACGGCCAAACTTAGGTTCATCATCGGTCTTGCTGACCTCAGTCATGGTGTCGAGCTTGCCCAAGTCATGCACGTCAAGCTTGACCAAGTCGGCACCAGCCTTCTTCTCACCCTTACTAGCCTCCTTGGCCTTGGCCTGAGCAGCATTGACCTCCTCCTCGTTGATGGAGAGGCCGCGCTCCTCTGCCATGAGTTGAGTAAGATCGACAGGGAAACCGTAGGTATCGTACAGACGCCAGACATCGGAACCAGAAAGCGACTTGGTGTTGTTGTCCTTGCACTGCTGAGCATACTTCTCGAACATGGCCTCACCACGGTCGAGGGTCTTGGCGAACGAAAGCTCCTCCTCGTTGAGGATCTCCTTGACGTCTTGCTCCTTCTTCTTGATCTCAGGGAACATGTCACCCATTTGAGCGACCAGAGTGGGAACAATCTTTGAGAAGAAGTCACCAATGTCTGTGTTCAGGTACTTGCGAGCATAACGAGCACCTCTGCGCAACACTCTGCGAACGACGTAACCACGACCCATGTTGTTAGGGATACCACCATCAGTGATGGCGAAGGTGAGAAGTCTCACATGGTCAGCGACAACACGGTAGGCGGTATCAACACCATCGGCATCCTCGCTGCCAAACTTGCCCTCGTACTTGCGGACGCCAGTAATCTCTTGAATGCGATCGAACAGAGGAGTGAAAACATCGGTGTCGTAGTTGGAGGACTTGTCTTGCAAGATACTCACCAAACGCTCGAAGCCCATACCAGTGTCGACGTGCTTGTTGGGCAGAGGTCGCAGTGACTTGTCAGATTCGCGGTTGTATTGGATGAAAACGTTGTTCCAGATTTCCAGAACATTGGGGTCGTCCATGTTGACGAGGTGTGCAGCGTTACGGCCGCCAATTCTGTCGTAGTGAATTTCACTGCAAGGACCGCAAGGACCCTGGTCACCCATCTCCCAGAAGTTATCCTTCATGTTTCCAGGAAGGATGTGGTCCTCGGGGACACCGACTGACTTCCAGAGCTCCTTGGCTTCAAGATCGGGCTCCAGACCACCAGCCTTGTCTCCCTCGAAGTAAGTCACGTACATTCTAGCGGGGTCAAGACCGAACTCCTTGGTAAGGAGCTCCCATGACCAGGCAATTGCTTCCTTCTTGAAATAGTCGCCGAAACTCCAGTTACCCAACATCTCAAAGAATGTCTGTATTGGCGTGTTAGTTTATCAGACGATCTGATGATTTGGTTGAAATAGCTCACGTGGTGGTAGCTGTCCTTGCCGACATCGTCCAAGTCCTAAATCGAGTCAGACAAGCAAACAAAACCAAGGGAAGAGCTTTACATTGTGCTTTCCACCAGCACGGATACACTACATGTCGAGTTAGCATGTGGTTGATAGGTTTAGCAAAAGTCTTGGCTCGCCTTNTTGAGAATTTGTGGCACGCTTGAGCGAGGCGAAATCGGACGAGGGGTCTACGGTTCCAAGGAAGATGGACTTGTACTGGTTCATGCCAGCATTGGCGAAAAGAAGAGTCGGGTCCGAGTGAGGGACAACCGACGAGGAAGGGACNNTATGCGGCCATCAGATATGGGTTGCGGCGAAACAGAGACCCCCGAAGCTGGCCCTCGTTGCTCACATACCAAAGGTGTGGCCCCTCTTCTTGACGAAATAGTCAATAAAAGTGCTTCTGACCTTGACAGCATTCCATTGCTGTTCGGTGGGTTGGGAAGCCATGTTGAAAGCGCGTGTTGTGGTGAATGAAAGGTATGGGAGCTGCGAGAATGTTCTCGTCGACAGCTGAGGTGGAATTTGAACGTGAGTCAACCCACGTCGGCAACAGTTGAACAAGCTTGTGATCATCCACGCTTTCTAGACAACAAGTTGCGCGCGCACTCTTAGACAACTGAAATCGACTTGTCTTCACTTGGTCGACAATAGTAGCGCCAAAAAAACCTTCTGGCGCGGTCGGCGGTGATGCGGGATGAACTCGACCAGCGCGGAGGTCATGGACCGACACCGAGACACAGCTACTCCTCAAGCTTCACCTGCTGCCATCAGGGGGCTCAAGCGCACAGCAGACGACTCGTTCGATGATGACAATCGTTTCGCGAAGCGCTTCAACTTACTCAATCTAGGTAGCCTTCACTCTGTCCTCACTGCTGACCTCACACCCACTGACTTGGCCTCCTTCTGCGCAGCCAACAACAATGACAAACTTTACATTCCCGTCTCGGCCAGGCCGCAGCTCCAGACCACCCTGACTCGACCACCTCCTACCGAAGAGCACATGCAACTAGATGACACAAAAGACCGCGTCTACATTCACAACCTCGACGATGAACTAGCCGACATCGAGTCCGACGAGGAAAAACTCATCTTCCTCCCAGACATTGAAAAGAAGCTCAATGCCATACCCAGGCATATTTTACTCGGAGAAAAGAAAGATTCACATCAAGAGCTCGTCCTCTACAATCTACCTCCGTCGTTATCCGTGCCCATCGAGCGAGATAATGTACGGAAGGCCATACTCGAGGCTCGTGAGCGTGCCAAGGAGAAGGCAGCAATCGCGCCTTCGTTATCCTCCAGTCCTGCCGACGGCACACCGCCAGAAGACCAAATAGAGACTGCTCACGGCTACGACTCTCCAGACTACGGCCTGGACGAAGACACAAACGACATGGAAGAGGACGACGACGCCATGGATCTATCATGAGACTTCCCCATGTGCTCAAGACGGTCACAATATAGCTGGAGTAATACATAATACTTTCGTGATGAATGTGGTTTCCACTGGGAGGCAACAAGTTGTCGACCCTCTGTGGACACGCCTCTAGTTTCTAAGACAACCGTGCGAGAGGATGCAAGCTGATCTCCCCGGGAGAAACTTCGAGAAAGGCATCCATCAAGAAGCACAATACAATTGCGAAAGAAGAAAGGTCGACTGAGAAGAGAAATCGGGGGCTTCACCAGGCATCTTCAGATGAGGATATCATACTAGTAAAAAGTTGGTATTACATTTTTGGGGTCTCTGCCAGTCCAGCCAGCCTTGCTACCTAAGTTTGTCTATATACGTTTGCGGCCATATTCTCCTCCAGGCCTCCACCTTCTGAATCGAAAAGAAAAAAATACATTATCCTCAGTAAAAAATCTGGTATCCTTTGGTATCCTTCGTAAAATCTTTAGATGCGTGCTCGGCCCCAGTGTCGAGGGAGCCAGCGCCTGCTAGGGCTGGGTGCTTCAATCCGTGTCGATTGTGATGCCGCCGCCGACTCGCCTTTCAGCATCAAGCTTTCGGGAAGAGCGGTGCGTCTCGCCTTTTGGAAGTTGACGGTACTTGTGATGGTTGTCCACATGGTCGTGTAGACAGCCTGGTTGACTTGCTGAGTGGTCCATTGTGTGATTGTGGTATCCACAGGAGCTGTGATGGCGCGCTCGATGCTCGTTGTGAGGGTCGTCCACACTGTTGTCGTTGCATCGGCCGATACTGCCTGCACAATGGTCGTGAGAACCTTGGTCTCGGCAAACGATTGTGCTGTGGGGGTCGTCTCGGCATTTGCGGCTGGTGTTGTCTCGATGTTCTCGGTGGGCGATGGCGGCTCTGTTGGGCTTGGTTCTGAGAGCGGCGGCACCGATACCACTTGGCGAAGTGTCGTCGTCACTGTAGTCCACTCAGTAGAGCTTGCATCTGCAGCCACAGCCAGGACCAAAGTCGTCACAACATTTGTCATCGATGGCAATGCTTGCGAGGAGCTTGTCTCAGTAGCCGTCTCTGCAGTCGATGCAGGTGCGGGTGATGTGTCAACACTCGACGTCTTTGCAGCAGTCGACGAGGCTTGCGCAGCTGATGAACTCTTAGCAGCCGACGAGGGCTTGTTGCTTGACGAGGCTTGTGTGGTGGACGAGGGGCTATCACTTGACGAGCTTGCAGAACTCGATGAACTTGAGCCTGCAGAACTTGATGAACTTGAGCTTGTCGATGGCGTATCGACAGTGGACGAGGTTTCGGCGGTCGACGACGAGGGTTCGGACGAAGAGGTTTGCGTTGACGATGTCTCTGTAGTCGTTGAAGCGACAGTAGAAGACACGGTCGAGGTAGTCTCAGCAGGCACCGTCTCCGTCGATGTGGTGCTAGCACTACTAACGAATGTCTCAGTTTGTGTTGGGTTATTATTATTATTGCAGAATGCGGGCAGTGCAACCTTTCCAGAAGATTTTGCAGTCTGCTCGAAGACTCGCAGAGAGTTGATGGACCAGTAGGCATTCCCGAATGCCTGAGGGTTGTTGGCGACGTAGTCGGTGCAGGAGCCGCTCAGAGCTGAACATGTAGAGTCACTGCTCCAAACGCTGCCAGCCCAGTCGCCACAAAATGTCACATCGAAGACAATCTGTTGGTCCGAGAAAAATTCGGGGATGTCACAGCAGCCCGTGAATTGCGAAAGCGGTTTACCCCAGGTGTAGTCCGGGGAGGGGTTGGCACTGAGGACGTTGGCAGGGATAGAACCACGCTGGAAGAACCAAATGCTAATTGCTTCATCGGTCCATTCCATGGCGTAGACACCACCTCCCACGTTGTTGAAGCCATCACCGTAAGTGTTGTAGTTGCTGGTGGTGATCTGACAGCCCTCGTTTGCGGTCTGGTCCGGTGCGTTGACATAGCAGTCGTCGGACCAGAGGCTACCTGTGAAATTGCCGTTGTCGTAGATGGAACAACCGTCTGCCGTGTGCAATGTCATGGCATTGTGGTTTTGTGTGTTCACACCCTCAATGATATCAATCTCACCACCATTGGGCCAGCTAGGTCCAACCATCCAGAAGGCGGGCCATGCACCACAGGCGTTGCCGGGCATATGCTCCAGGTCGAGGATAACAAGAGTGCCGGAATTGTAGGCAGCCTTGCTAGTCAAGCGGATACTGGGACGACCATTGGGCTGGATGTTGGTATGATCGACTCCGATGTAGACCTTGTCGTTGGCATTGCTGATCAGACCAGTGTTCCATGCTGAACCTTGGTCAATATACTGGACAAAGCCGTGAGTGGGGTCTGCATATGTGAAGAAGTCGAACATGTCGAAAAATGCTGCAGAGTTGTAGTCATCTTGAAGAACATAGCCAGCTATGCTCAAGTTGACGAACGAAAAGAGAGAAAACAAAAGGGAATGAGTGGCATGTTTGTGAATGAGTGCATGGTGCAATAGTAAAAGAATGATTGCGCACGAAGAAAAAAAGGCTACGACATGGCGATGCGCGAGTGCATATATAGCGCTGAACACCTACGAGAAGATGCCGTCTCATCGGTTGCATAGTAAGATAGGCTGGCCCCTTTGGGAGTGGTTGTAAGAATGTTTATTGCAACCGTTTGAACGGCTTCAACGCAGACCGGGCGTGGCCCTGATAACTGCCATGGCGGTGACCTACCTGGCGGCCTGGTCAAGAAGCACACAGCGTAATACTCCAACGGTTTCAGCTTGTATATTCGTCGCCCTTTGCGCTCGTGAACATGCTGTAGATGTATTTGCAATGCACGTTGGGGTATTGTGGTGTTGCCAGGAGCATCTTTGGTTAATCTCGGGTTCTACAGACCAGATGTATACCGCAGAGCTGATACTGTGACCTCCAGAAGTCCAGATCTGGATGTCATCGTCGCGTGCTCGTAGTCGACTTCACAAGAAAAAGTGCCAGGGTGGTGTGGATTGTCGTTGGCAATCCGAACACCCCCACCCTTGGCAGGCACAATTTCCGTATGCGGGCAATCGAGCAAAGCTCATGTCTCAACCAGGGGTCGAATCCACCTCCTGCCTCGTATACCATGTCTGCACGGCATTACTATTTTCAAGATCTCGCGATGGCGACAAGAGTCACTGATCGTCTTGTCATTGAGTATTGCCTCGGTGATCTCGCATGGATAGCACGTCATGGGACATCTTTCTATCTTCCTCTATCTGACTCTATCGCATTTTAGCGAAGAGCAGCGTGGCTTTGACTCGTCGCAATCGATTCGTAAAGGCTATCAGAGGCCATGGATAGTCGGCACTGTACGCTCACATGCTTGTGGATCGTCAACCGGTAAGGGGTTGCCCTCCCGACATGGGTGCTCCGAGAGCAAAAAAAGCCGTTTGGTGATTGCTTGCCGCGAGTCTCGAAACGGTCTCATGAGAATGGTCTCCATGTCAGCCGGCCAGTTGCTGCGCTAACGGTAGAAAAAGAAGCGAACGACGACAGGTTTCCCAGAGGACTGCTCACTCTGCACTGCCTGAATGTCTTGGATTTGAGCCTCTGAAGGGTCTGGGGGTCCAGGTTGACTGTGCGACTATCTGTAGGGTTCTGATAGTTCTGATATATGGATATGTACAACGCATGGTTCGTCAGAGTGGCGCATGCTCCGTCGTCATTGACACATGATTCTGCTCACTTTGTCACGTCTCCCTGGCCGACCAGGTTCTTGTCGTCTTGTCCTTGAGCTGCGGCCTTCTTGGCTTCTTCTTGGGCGAAGAGGTCTTGCCAGTAAGATTCTTTGTAACCATCCATCAGTCGCGTGAACTGAGGCCCACTCTTGACCCAACCCTTGACGCCTCCTTCGAGTACCATTGATTGCATCTGCTCGTCTCCAGCTGCGTCGATGAATTCCTTGAANNCCTGTCTAGGTCAGCACAAGATGGTCGTGTCGAACCATGTAAAGGTTCCTTACCATGCAGCACAACGAGGCGCTCGTCCATTTGAGGAGCNCACCTATTGCAAATTCAGTCAAGAATCCTCAGCTTTTTGGAAGCCTGACTTACATGTGAATACAACCCATTCGATATCAGCTTTGTATGCCAACTCGTATCTGCGAAACGGTGTTAATAAAGTTACAGACAATTGATGTGTTCGTCGATCTTACAGCATGCCTCTATTCCACCAGAAGCCCTGGGCAGGAATATTCAAGCTGCCACGAAGGCACCCTCCCTCGAAATCCATCCTTCTCAAATCAATAACGAGCAGACTTGCCACACCTCGTAATGACAACATCTGCATCACGCGGTTTCGAGGCATAATGGCCGCTTCTGTTTTGGGCTCCGGAAACTCTGCATGCCATGGCTTCTCGGTAGACATTCTGATCTGATGCTATATGTTTGTCGTTTTGATAAAGTATTGTGTGATGCAGAGTGTTGGTTGAGATCGTAGTCAAAAGATGGCACATCATGGAGCAAGCACGAAGCCGAAGTCCGAAACGACTGGCCGAGCTTCAAGCTCAACACTTCAGCTTCGATTTAGAAGCTACATCAATATCGTTTTCTTTCCATGATCATTCACAAACACAATTGCACTCAAGGTATCTGAAGAGAGATGTTCATAAAATGAGCCTTCATGGGCATGATTAAAAGCGCTTAACTGGGTATTCTGACTTTTCGTAACAAGAAACAAACAGACATGACGCATCTATTGCAATGACTCGACAACCAGAGCACTGGCACCACCACCGCCGTTGCAAATACCGACAGCACCGACCTTGCCCTTCTTCTCTCTAAGGACACCAAGAAGAGTAACAACAATTCTGGCACCACTTGCACCAAGAGGGTGACCAAGGGCAACGGCACCACCGTGAAGGTTGACCTTGTCTTCGCTAACACCGAGAAGCTTCATGTTGGCAAGAGCGACGACACTGAAAGCCTCGTTGACCTCGAAAGCGTCAACATCCTCCTGCTTGATACCGGCGTGCTTGAAAGCCTTGGGCATGGCAAGGGCAGGGGCAGTGGTGAACTTGGCGGGCTCGTGAGCGGCCTCACCCCAACCCAGGATCTTAGCAATNNACAGACCAAGCTCCTTGAGCTTGGCCTNCGAAACGAGAACGACGGCAGCGGCACCGTCGGAAAGAGGAGAGGCGTTGGCAGCAGTAACGGTGCCATCCTTGGGCTTGAAAGAAGGTCTGAGGGTCTTTGTCTTTGATTCGTTGAAGTTCTTGGGCTCATCGTCCTTGTCAATGGTGATGTTGGGCTTGCCTCTGCCACCGCTGACCTCGATGGGGCAGATCTCCTCACCGAACCAGCCGCTCTCCTGAGCGTATTGGGCCTTCTTGTAGGATCTGATGCAGTAGTCGTCCTGGGCCTCTCTGTTGAAACCGTGCTCATCGGCGCAAGCCTCGGCGGCCATACCCATGTGCTGGTCCTCGTAAGCGTCGGTAAGACCGTCCTTCAGGACAGCGTCGACGAGAGACTGGTTGCCGAACTTGGCGCCGGTGCGCATGTTGGGGAGGTAGTGAGGGGCGTTGGACATGGATTCGGTACCACCAGCAACGACGATATCGGCACCACCAGTCATGATGGTTTGAGCGCCGAGAATGATGGCCTTGGTAGCGGAAGCGCAGACCTTGTTGACGGTGGTGCAGACGACCGAGTTGGGGATACCGGCGCCGAGAGCACACTGGCGGGCAGGGTTCTGACCGAGACCAGCAGAGAGGACGTTACCGAAGATGACCTCCTCGACGGCTTCGGGCTGGACGCCAGCTCTCTGGATGGCATGCTTGATGGCGTGGGCACCGAGCTGGGTGGCGCTAAGGCTGGAGAGAGAGCTGTACAAAGAAAGGGTCGGTCAGAATTGTTGAGCATTGAAGCATGGCGGGGCTCTCTACTCACCNNCCAAGAACTGGCCAACAGGAGTTCTGGTGGCCGAGACAATGTAGACGGGGGTGGAAGGAGCCATGTTGAAGAATGGGTTGAGAGAAGGACGTGAAGAGAAGAGAGAAAGAAGAAGCAGGGGAAGCAAGTAGAGAAAGGTAGCAGGAGCGATCAAGGAGAGTTCAGGAAATCATGCCATGTTTAATTTCGAGGACAATATGGGGGTCCAGCACGCTGTTGCCAACACGTTTCGCCGCACAAGTCACCCCGATTGCAGCATTTTATGATTATCGAGATAAGATAGTTGTTGGCAACAAAAAGCGGTGAAGCATGGCGGAGGGAAGCTTGACTCGCGCCTGCCTTGAGTGACGATCTTCTTGGAGACGAAGTCTCGCGGCGACTGTCGCATTCGAGCTTCAACTTTTGTCGCGTCCACTGTCGCCCATCCACACCACATCTGCCGCTATGGACGACCTTTACGATGAGTGCGCTTACTGTCCGTCCATTCCGATATGTCTAAAACTAACTCTTCGCGACAGGTTCGGTAACTTCATCGGCGAGCCCGAAGACTCGGACATCGAACAGGAACAGGATGTCGATGCCAACGACTATCTCTACGACCAGGACGAGCCGGATGAGGTTGCTGCTGCTCACGACCAGCAGTTAATGGAGGTTGACGGTATGCGCTGTGATTACCAGAGGGTGATAAGGAAAACTGACGTTGGCGCAGATGAAGGACCCTCGAATGCCGTCGTTCTTCACGAAGATAAGCAATACTACCCTACTGCACAACAGGTCTACGGTCAAGATGTCGAAACTATGGTTCAAGAGGAGGATACACAGGCCCTGTCACAGCCCATCATTGCTCCTGTCGTCCAGAAGAAGTTTACTGTCGAAGAGGCCGACCTGCCTCCTGTCTTCTTCAGCCGCGATTTCATGACCGACTTGATGAACTTCCCCGATCAAATCCGCAATGTCGCCCTGGCCGGCCACCTTCACCACGGTAAAACTGCTTTTATGGACATGCTCGTTATGCAAACACACAACATTCAAGAGAAGCTTGATCAAAGGAAAGGTCGCGACCGAGACGAGCAACTGAGATATACCGACACTCATATCCTGGAGCGCGAAAGAGGTGTGTCGATTAAAACTGGCCCTATGAGCCTGGTTCTGCCTGCCACAAAAGGAAAGTCGCACTTGATCAATATGCTGGATACTCCTGGTCACGTCAACTTTGCTGATGAGGTTGCTGCTTCGCTGCGTCTGGTTGACGGTGTTGTCTTGATTGTCGATGTTGTTGAAGGCGTACAAGTACAAACTGAGATGGTCATCAAGCACGCTGTCTTGAACCACCTCCCACTGGTCCTGGTCATCAACAAGATGGATCGCCTGATTCTGGAGCTCAAGCTACCTCCTGCTGATGCCTACTTCAAGCTGAAGCACGTTGTTGAGGAGGTCAACACTGTCATCGAAAACACCATTCCCGGTCAAGGCGAGAAGTACCGTGTCAGTCCCGANAAGGGCAACGTTGCTTTCGCTTGTAGTATGATGGGCTGGTGCTTCACTCTTCCATCTTTCGCCCACATGTACGCCGAGACGTATGCTGGTAGCGGTCTTGACGTGCCCGAGTTCAGCAAGAGACTATGGGGCGACATCTACTTCAACCCTGGAAGCCGCAAATTTACCCGTCGTGGAACTGAGCCAGCCAGCAAACGTTCTTTCGTCAATTTCGTCCTCGAACCCATCTACAAACTCTACTCACACACCATAAGCGAAAGTCCCGAAGACCTCAANAAGACATTGGAAAGTCTGGGCATTCATCTCAAGCCCACACAACTTCGCGCAAACGCCAAGGACCTTCTGAAGATGGCCTGCGAGCAATTCTTTGGCCCTGCAACTGGTTTCGTGGATATGGTGGTTGACCACGTTCCATCGCCTGTGGAGGGAGCCAAGCAGAAGCTTGAGAACTATTACACTGGCCCTACCAATACCAAAACAGCCGAAAGCATGCTCTCTTGTGATCAGGACGGTCCTCTCATCGTTCATGTCACCAAGCTGTTCAACACTACTGATGCAACTGGATTCAACTCATTTGGTCGCGTCATGAGTGGTACAGCACGTCCTGGCCAGAAGGTGCGTGTACTGGGTGAGGGATACACGATCGAAGACGAGGAAGATATGGTAGAAGCTACTATTTCTGATGTCTGGATCGGCGAATCACGATACAACATTCCTACTAGCGGCGTGCCTGCTGGTAACTTCGTTCTTCTTGGAGGAGTTGATAACTCCATCGTGAAGACTGCTACTATCGTCGCGCCCAAACTCCCAGAAGATGAAGACGCCTACATTTTCCGTCCTGTGCAACACTTCTTCGAATCTGTCTTCAAGGTGGCTGTTGAGCCCATCAACCCATCTGAGCTTCCGAAGATGCTTGACGGTCTCCGCAAAGTCAACAAGTCATATCCTCTCATCACTACCAAGGTAGAGGAGTCGGGAGAGCACGTTGTTTTGGGAACTGGTGAACTCTATATGGACTGTGTCTTGCACGACTTGCGCCGGTTATACGCCTCAATGGAGATCAAGGTCTCTGATCCTGTGACTCGTTTCTGCGAGACGGTGGTAGAGACATCAGCCATCAAGTGTTACGCACTAACACCGAACAAGAAGAACAAACTCACAATGGTTGCCGAGCCTCTTGATGAAGGCATTGCTGAGGACATTGAGAGTGGCAAGGTCAACATCAGAGATCCAGTGCGCAAGGTTGGCAAGTTCTTCGAAGAGAACTACGGTTATGATCTGCTAGCCTCGCGCAACATTTGGGCCTTTGGTCCTGACGACATGGGCCCCAATATTCTACAAAATGACACATTACCATCAGACGTGGATCAGAAGCTTCTCAAGGGTGTACGAGACACAATCCGTCAAGGTTTCTCGTGGGGTACTCGCGAGGGACCGCTCTGTGAAGAGCCGATCCGCAACACCAAATTCAAGATCACAGACGTCAGTCTCGCACCTGAGGCAATTCATCGTGGCGGTGGTCAAATCATCCCCACAGCCCGCCGTGCATGCTACAGCAGTTTCCTGATGGCCAGCCCGCGACTGATGGAACCTGTCTACAGCTGTTCCATGATCGGTAATGCAGACAGTGTGAGCAGTCTATACACCGTCCTCGCTAGACGCAGAGGTCACGTCCTCTCTGACGGCCCTATTGCCGGCACACCGCTTTACAAAGTGTCCGGTCTCATTCCTGTAATAGACTCGTTCGGCTTTGAAACCGACCTCCGTATCCACACTCAAGGACAAGCCACATTATCACTTGTCTTTGACCGCTGGAGCATTGTGCCTGGTGACCCGCTGGACAAGAGCATCAAGCTGAGACCGCTGGAACCTGCTTCTGCGCAAGCGACTGCTCGTGACTTTGTGCTCAAGACACGTAGGAGGAAGGGTCTGGCCGAGGACGTTACGATTAGCAAGTTCCTTGAGCCCGAGCTGTTCAGGAGTTTAAAGGAGAGTGGTATCTTGGACCAACCGGCGTAGAAAGATAGAATCACGAAAGAAAGCCTTTTGTAGCGAATAGAAAATGATCATCTTTTGCACTTGCATGTCAGACACATATTCATCTTAGTCCTTTCTCCTCTTCACCTAGTTCTCCCTTTGGCGTCCTGACAACCGCACCTTTGAAGCCTTCCCCTAGATCCATCTCTTCACCTCTCGTCTGCTCCATTGGATCTTTGCATAAAATTTCCAGCAGCGCATCTACAGTGTCTCTCACCTTCTCCGCATACTCCTTGCCACTCAAGTCTTCCTTTCCAATCCACGCTCTGAAAGCAAAACAAGCAGCTTTGTACACATGATGATAGAGTAACTTGTACTCTTCATCTCTAGCCTCTTCTTCTTTGTCCACAGGCTCTGGTGCAGCAGAAGTAGAAGCAGAAGCCCTTTTTTTCCTTTTGGAAGCTGTAAAGCCCCAGACGCGTAGACCCGCCAACACCACTTTAGACACTGTATCTTTGTTTTNTTGCGTCAGGAGTTCTTGCTCCGTGCATGCTTGGGGACTAGACACTGGCGCGGGCGTCTGCCTCGAAAGCCCAGAAGCTACTCTCCTGGTCTCTGGGATCGTGGGATCGCGGCGCAGACTCGCTATGCTCGGGCTTCGGCTTTTGGGGCGTGTGAGTAGAGGTACAGAACTCCTACTTGCTTCTGATTTTAACCGCGGTAGGGAAGGTAGTAGGGAGGCGGTGGTTTGGGCTGCGGCGGCTGCTGCTATTGAGGCGCCTGAGTTTCGTTTTTGAGNGTTTGTGGCGGCGGAGAAGGTGCTTTCGAGAGCGGTCTTGCGTCTTTGGCGCAGCGTGGGGGCGTCCCAAGGTCGAGGGATAAACCGACCGTCTATGGTACTTGGATCTGAAGACCCCAATACGGGAGAAGTGGGTGGAGTGATATCCGTATCGTTGAAAAGCAGTAACTCAGAAGATAGAGGAAGAGCATAAACTCCCAATTCTGGATCTGCAGAGGAGGCTTCGTTATTCTCTGGCGAAAGGACTTCTTGTGGCACATTCTTCCTAGCAGCATAGAAGAGTATTTCCGTTATCCTTGGTTGAGGTATCTTGGTTGCATCGGCAAATTTCACTGCAGCAAGGATACCCAAAGTGGATTCTAGAGTAGCGCTCTGCCACCATTCTTGTCCTTGCTCTTCTGCATCGTTACTACTGAGAAGTAGATCACTGAACCATGTCTCGGTCACCGGGTTTGCAGTCCAGACGTCTAATCGGTTTCCGCAAATCAAATGTAAAGGTATTCGCGAGGTATCGACATGAGAGAGGAATTGTAAGGTGCAGTCGTTCGGTAGTGTGTGTGTTGAGGAAGGCGCGCTGATTTGTATGTCNNTGCACTGAATGAGTATGCATTTGCTTGACAATACTTCTCGAAGCTTACCTCGTATCTCATTGTCATCATCAAGTCGTAAGCTCCCATTCCAGGTGGACATTGTTGGTATTATCGTGTATTGTGATCTTGATCATCAATGTTTTTCGGGGTGACGTGATTGAGACGCGTCGCTTCCAATCTTGTCCCAAACAGGCAACTGCAAAGAGAACATGAAGGCTCAATACAAGTTCTCGAATTATAATGTCTGACATGCGATATAGTGAGCTGATATGGTTGTAGTAGCAAAAGAAAGTAGAATAAATCATTGGGTATGTACGCCGCTCGCTCCGTATTTACAGAATTTCTCATCAACGCAAAAAACGCCAACCATGCAAAATGCTTCCCTTGTTTTTCATCTTCGTCATCGCCGGACAGGAATGACCCAACGTTCATCTTGATCGTCTTCCAACTCATCAGAATCCCATCCGTCTTCCTCATCGCGCACAGCCAGCTCGACAAATCGTCTGAATGCAGCTGCAGCTGCTGCGTCGATCTGTTGCTGGTTTGCAGGGACTTGCTGTTGTTGGGGTGCAGGACCTGCTCTTCTTCCGTCCAAAGCAGCCACTCTTCCACCTCGTGCGCGTCTGCCACCTCTGCGTGCTGGCTGTTGTGCGGCCTCTGCTGCTGCAGGTTGAGCATTGTTGTCTTGGGCGGGCTGAGCGATGGCTGCAGCGTCATCCTGAGCATCGAGCTGTTCTGCAAGCGCTCTTGCTGCAGCCTCGTCTTCCCTCTCGTTGCAGAGCCTCTGNNCTTCTTCTCTGTCTGCAGCCTGGGCCACTGCAAGAGCCTCTTGCTCCCAACGCCTCGCACCGACAAAAGCAGCCTCCTGACCTTCGTCACCCTCCTCCAGCTCCCATAGCTTTTGATAACATTCTGTGCCAGGCTTGTTGAAATGTTGATAAGGATTGTCGGGGCATAGCCATGCACCACACAAGTAGCAGAAGTGGGTGGCACATTGAATACAGCGCATGTGATTGCAACCCATAGTTTTCTGCGTAGGACTGCTACAAGTGGGACATGGTGAGGTGTGCGTGCGGATGTAGTCGTAGCTAGCCTTCTCCTCCTCTGACAGTTCTGATGGGTTGCGAGGCCAGCAACGAGCGAAATCGCCATGCCAACCTGCATAACAGGTTTTGCNAAAGGCGAAACTGCATTTGCTGCAGATAGATAGTCGATCAGAGGGAGAGTGACCCTTCTTCGTCTCCGTCCCAGTGTCGTCTTCATCTTCGCTCGATGACTCCGGGTACGTTGAGAGATCTTGAGGGATAGGCGGGTACTTTTCACTACGAGCAGGACCTTGACACCAGGTACGTGGGCAGTAGACGGTTGTCTTGTCGGCTTCCTGCTTCTTCTTGCGCTTCATGTCGACATAACGACGTATCATGGACTCTTCAAGACCCATCTCAAGCAGCTCTTTCGGATGTAATGTCTTTTCCTTTCTCCTCTTCTTTTTCTGACCGGGCGGCGCGTCCTTGCCACAGGTAGGATCTAGACATTGCACTCTTCCAACGTCGCCCTCGGTGATGCAGTTGTTATAAAAGTCTTGCAAACAAGTCTGGCAGAAGACGTGACCACAGCGACGCATGCGATAGCAAGAAGAACCTTNTTTGGGCTCGAGACAAATGCCGCAGTCGAAGGTGCCAGCATCGAAGGTAGCCTTCTTGGTGCTAGTGTCGTATTCGAGCAAAGCAGGCTTCAAGGACGGTGGCAGGTCGAGACCAGTAGCCTCTAGATCAAAAGCCTGCTCGGCTTGTTGTTGTAGGAAGTCAATGTAGGAGAAGAGAATCTGGCAGCGACCATATTCACCCCACAGCTTCTCGCATTCACGCTCCAACTCTTTCAGTTTGTCGTCGGGGAGCCATTGTGGTGTGGTAGATAGGACGATGGTTGGCGGCTTCTCGGCAGGGTACCCTTCGGGGAGGGAGAGCTTCAGTTGGAGAGGCGGTAGATGTTCGAGACGATAGGTTTCATCGAAATGGGGTACGAAAGACGAGTTCTTGAAGTGGCCATTCTCCGAGTCTGGTGGAGATGGCGGTGGCGCTGAGGGAAAGCGCAAAGCGAGAGGACTCGAGGGGTTGACGGGGAGATGTAAGGAAGCGGCAAGGGNGTCCTTTGGGTCAACGAGAAGCTCGGGGTAAATGGCCGAGATGGTCGACAACTCTTCCTCCCTCTCGTCTTCAGTGTCCATGGTGCCCGAATCAGAGTGACTCGTGAGTGGCTGGGTGCTATGAGCGATTCATAAGTGCAAGCAAGCCTTCGGTCAAAGGACAATATAGAGGCGCAAGTGATGGTAGGTGATGGAAACGGAAAGATTCTGTGTTGCAGAAGAAGAAGAATAAGTGTTGGGTGGCGCGGTGACTGAGTGCTGGCGGCTTTGACGGTGTCTTGGTTTCGCCTCGGTGACGGCCGGCAGAATCTCACCGCCTGGCCTGACACGGGCCGAAGCGTCTTATCGCCGGCCTCTTGAAAGTTGCTCGTGCTGCCGGAGCCGTATGTTTCGTCAGAGCTCCCCAGAACTTGGTCGTGCATCTGGCTGGAGCTTGTGTCTTGTGTTTCCTACTCTTCACAGCAAACACTCTCTGAGGGATCAGCATGGAGGACCCTCCGTTGGCTTCGCTTTCTTTGACCCATGTTCATTATGTGAGATGGCGCATGCTTCTGCCCGACCATACAAAGCAGCTAACCCGCCGTCTCAGNAATCCCAATGATCCAATCGCCCATGCATGTGCCTTTCTGGCCCTTGTACCCCAGGCTCTGTGTATCACATATGCCACTCTGATATGGAGCACCCGCGAGGCAGAAGTCGCTCTTATGTTTGCTGGTCAATTGGCTTGTGAAGCTCTCAATTGGGTCCTTAAGCGCACCATCCGTGAAGAGAGACCACATCGTACGCATTCCCACCCTCTATCCTCCCTGAAAGTACACTGACTTTCTCTCTTCTCCAGGNNCCTGACTGGCAAGGGCTACGGTATGCCCTCCTCACACGCTCAATTCGTCTCGTACTTTGCAGTCTCCTTAACCCTCTTCCTCCTCTTACGACACAACCCTCATGCCCCCAACACTTCGACCACCCACATCCCAACTTCCACTTTCGAGAGACTTGCCTTGTCTGTCCTTGTGATCGCCGGCGCTGCTGCTGTCGCTCAGAGCAGAATATACCTCAACTACCACACCGAGAGACAAATTTTGGTCGGCTGCATCGTAGGCGTGCTNTTTGCCGTCTTCTGGTATCTGTTTACAACATACTTGCGCCGCTCTGGCTGGTTGGACTGGGTGCTGGACACCTCGATTGCCAAGTTCTTTCGCATCCGAGATCTTGTCGTCAATGAGGATTTAGTTGACGCTGGTTGGGAGAGGTGGCAGCAACGTAGGAGCAAGAGAAGCGAGCAAAAGTCCAGATAGATGTCCATACCAACCGTCACATATACCCTCCCCATATGTAAAAGTCTGTACCTTGTGTAGCTGTGGAAAGACACAATCATCTTCAGAAGCAGAGGCGTAGCCAATGAGAGCCGGTAGGATCTCAACTATCAGTGGGCGCTGTCCAGTTTGCTAATGGTATTATGCATTTCTAGCACACGGCGAGGGCAGCGAAGAATTTTCTCATCCTTCAAGAGCGACTACGCCTTACTGCTGTCCAGACGCTGAGGTTTTGGAGGAGGATTGGCGCATCCCACCAATCAGGGGAATATAATTGACGTCTCTTCCGCGCCCATGGGGCCCGACATCGCGTTTTAGTCGGCCGTTCAGATGTATGCAAGAGCCAACAACTCCACAGTGCCCGCATTTTGCTCGAAAGATGTCCATCACGTGTAGCTCTTTCGGGGAAACCAATGCAACCTACGGACACACACGGCCGGAGTAATCGACATCCTTCGGGTATAAAGAAGACTCACACGGTCTGTCCAGCTTGCAACTGTTCCTCGTCTTATTGTTGTGTCCTTCGTCCCTCGTTGCTTCCGTCTCTGCCCTCCCTCATAGCCGTAAACTTTCCTTATCGTTATCGGACCCTTTCCTCACCACTTACTCGAACGCCGCCGTGCATCGGAACCAATCACGGCCTTGATTCTCAACTTTTTCACTCTTCCTCTCCCCAAAATGTCCAGCTTCAGCGTCCCAACTCTCGCATCACAATACAAGATGGCATCTGATCACTCTTCGCCATACGACACCTTCAGACATCCTCTGGAGCTGCGCTATGCAAGTGCGTAAAATCTTTACCCCGCCAAGACCGATTGAATCATCAATGATGCCCTTCCACACGGCCAATTGAACGCGCCAGCAAGCAGAAGCATGGTATACTGATTCAATGGCCGCACTACAGGCAAGGAGATGAAGCATCTCTTCTCTCCCCGCATGCGTGTCAGCACCTGGAGACAGCTGTGGATCTGGCTCGCCGAGTCTCAGAAGGAGCTCGGTCTTGCCATTTCTGATGAAGCCATCAACCAGATGAAGGTCAACCAGATTGTCCAGGATGATGAGTTCAAGATTGCCGCAAAGGAAGAGGAGAGAAGAAGGTTAGTGCTTGCATCTTTGGTGATTTTCAAAATCTGGCATTCGTGACGTATTTTGTGCTACATGCGTGGATTCCACGTGTTTTCAGCAATTGTGTTTGCTATTGGCAATTTTGCGACACATACTCTGTTTCTCAAGTTCTGACTTTCTCTATCNAGACACGATGTTATGGCTTGGGTCCACACATACGGTCTCTGCGCTCCCGCCGCTGCCGGCATCATCCACTGGGGTGCTACCTCATGTTACGTTACTGACAACGCTGACCTCGTCCTGATGCGTGACGGTCTTGACATCCTCCTCAAGAAGATGGCCACTGCCATTGACAAGCTTTCTGCTTTCGCCATGCAATGGAAGGATCAGCCCTGTCTTGGTTTCACTCACCTTCAGCCCGCTCAATTGACCACCGTTGGAAAGAGAGCATGTGTCTGGCTTCAGGATTTGTTGATGGATCTGAGAGCTATGCAGAGAGTTCGTGACGAGCTCTGCTTCCGTGGTGTCAAGGGTACCACCGGTACTCAGGCATCTTTCCTCCAAATCTTCGATGGTGACCACGCCAAGGTCGAGAAGCTTGACGAGCTCGTTACCGAGAAGGCTGGTTTCGCTGGCTGCTACCCCATTGCCACTCAGACCTACTCCCGTAAGGTTGACCTCGAAGTCGGTAGCGCCGTCTGCAACTTCGGTGCCACTTGCCAGCGTATCTCTACCGACATCAGACATCTTGCTTCCTGGAAGGAGATCGAGGAGCCTTTCGAGAAGGACCAAATTGGTTCTTCTGCCATGGCTTACAAGCGTAACCCCATGAGATCCGAGCGTTTGACCTCTCTTGGTCGTCGTCTTGCGAACCTCCACGCTGACTTCATCTCCACTTACGCTGGACAATGGATGGAACGTACCCTCGACGACTCTGCTATTCGTCGTATTGATATCCCCGAGATGTACTTGTGCGCTGATGCCCTGCTCATTCTCATGAACAACATCTTCAGCGGTCTCGTCGTCTACCCCAAGCGTATCGAGCACCGTATCCTCGAGGAGCTCCCCTTCATGGCCACGTAAGTTTCATTTTCCAGTACAACTCGGCTTTTTGCTAACTCATGGTAGNNTGAGAACATCATCATGGCTCTCGTCAAGAAGGGCATCTCGCGCCAGGATGCCCACGAGGAGATTCGCGTTCTCTCTCACCAAGCCTCTGCTTCCGTCAAGCTGGAGGGTAAGCACAACGACCTTATCGAGCGTATTCGCGTGACACCATTCTTCGAGCCCATCCTCGGAGAGCTCGACGCTCTGCTCGANCCCTCCACCTTCACCGGCCGTGCTCCTCAGCAGGTCGAGAAGTTCTGCGGTCCTGAGGGTGATGTCGAGAAGGCCCTCGCCAAGTTCCGCGCTGAGGGTATCGAGGAGAAGGTCGGTGACATTATCCTTTAGATGTGTCTCTTTTATGATAAGGATTGTTTTACATGCTATGAGACGTTGAGATGATTCGGGAGGTTTACACACAAAAAGTCACGGTAGATATTATAGTAAAAAGTCACCCAAGTACCTAATTATGAGCACTTTGCAAACTGCTTTTGAACACTGTCATGATTTTGACCGACCTCTGTCACATGACAATACGGACTCCCATATACTCGAGTCTGGAACCCATTGCACTCCGAGTATAGCTGAGCAAAATGTAGACTATGAAAAGCATGATTGTGTCCAGATCAGAGGCGTATCCACAGAGAGTCGACAACATGTTGCTTCTCAGTGGATAGTATCTTTTCTTATTAATATTGTGCATTTCGATAGCTATGCGTTACAACCATTGCACACGGTGAGCTGATTATTCCTTTTTCTCTTCTGAAGAAATAATTCGACTTCGCGCTAAGGCGCGTGACGAAAGCTTGGCGCGCATCGAAGTCTCCAACTTGCAGCCACATCAATCCATCCTCAACCTCATTATCATCGCACACTTCTTGCTAGTCTTCTGATACGGCACCAAAAACTTGTACACCGCTCCTGAGTGATCTTCGGCATCTGCAAGCCAGAGTCGTAGGGTGTTACAAGCCGCTGGGCTGTCTTGCTTGTTGATTCTCGCTCTCTACCGTCTGCACTGGCGACCCGCTTACCGATTATACTTCAGCTCACGCTAGAAGGGTCAAGCAGGTAGCTGGGTGGTTACGGAGAGGACTGATACTACAAGATCAGGACCGTGCAAGCCACTCCACATATCGAGCCAGGGCTGCTCGAGACATCTTATCAAAGCCTGGGTGGGAGGGATCTCGCTTTGTCGAGGGCGCATTGGTATTGAATCCCTGCACAAGTTGACTGATTGTTGTAGGACGAGTTCAAGAATGCCCAAGGGGAAACGATCCGCTCGAGCCTCGTGGCTTTTCCGCAACAAACCAGCTGTAGCCTCAGCCAACGATACCTTTGGTCGCTTCAATATCTCAATCAACCACGATGAGTCCAAATCGGAAGGCTCTATTGTCATCCAACATGCTGTGCACCTCGAGGGCTTCTCCTCCGAACAGACTCTTGACCTCGTCGTGCGACCCGAAAGCATAGTCGCATGTGAACTGTACCTTGACAATCAGAACCATAGACTGCCTCCTGAAGTGCTCAACTTGATGCCTACGAACCGTAACAACATATTGAGTCTGTCGTTGACGATGCATACCCCTGGTACTGTCATATGCCCCACAGCGTCTCTTCCCTTGTCATTCGTATCGACCAGTTTTGGACAGCAATTCGCTGCGTTTTCTCACCTGTGTCGGACAACACAGCTTCGAATATATCTGGGCAGAGATCAACTTCAATCGGAACACCGCGCGCGCCTCGAGCGCTTCGCTTCTGCTATCACCCAGCGCAGACTCCGAGCCAATCCGATCGACCTTCGAAGCCTCGGTGGTGGTGGTGGAAAGCAAGAGACAATATGGGACTATATACATCTACCGCCAGCGGAGGAACAACAGGCAGACCTCGGTGCCTCAAGGAAACGATGCCGTGTTGGTAAGTCACTACAGTTTCGTTTCCCTCCCCATGCTAGATTATGTAACACATGTAGCTATAACAATGCACAGAAGTTTTCAGATCAGAAGGAGCAACCAAGGAGAGCCAGTTTTTCGTTATTCCTCTGTGGACACTAGCCTGTTTTTCAAGAATGTTGTGCATCTGTATAGCTACACGAGTTGCATACTTCTACTAGCATACGTGGAAGTCAGACTCTCATAGACAAACTCTGACGTACTACCTANGACTCGAACAGCCAACAACAATCAGGGGAGCCGTCTACAAAGATACAAAAATTCTTCTGGGATATGGTGCCACCAGGTTCACCCACTGAAGTAAACACACCAAGTTCACGACATGTCACTCCTACTCTCACCACCGCCAACACCCCTGTTGCTAAATTAATGCATCCCTTCATCTCTCCAACAACCGATAGAGGATCTGGAGATGATCTCCCTGCCTACCCAACAGGGCTCGAAACTACATGCACACCATCACCCGCACTTGCNAAAACAAGTTCTCCTGCTTGGGGATCCAGTATAGAGATGAAGCCCACATTTCTCCCTCATCCCACAAGCAATTCTGCTCTTCCACCCGAGCTTACACAAGCCTTAAGCGGCATGCTCCAACACCTCCTCCCCACCATCATCGAAGGAGCCTTTTCAACCATCCTAGCACCATTACTAGATACCCATCTCTCCACCCTCGTAACCCAAAAACTGGAAGTCCTGGTTCAAGAAAAATTACCCCACCTCACTCATCAAGCCCTTCAACAAAACATGGACAAATTCCTCGATGACCTTCAAGACCAACATCGTAGAGCCGAAGTGGAAATTGAAGAGACTGTTGCTGAAGCAAAGACTGAACTCAATGATACGCGTGACAGAGGGATTGATGATATAGAGACCTGGGCGCAAGAACGGTTTGAAGAGTTTGAGGATGAGGTTGTGGGGATTACTAATTCTGCGGTTGAGACTTTGCAGGATGAGACGGAGGATCTNGAAAAAAAGTTGGATTGTCGGGTGGAGAGTCAGTGTAGGAAGTTGAGGAGGGTACAGCAGAGTGTGAGAAGGAGGTCTATATAGCTTTTAGATAATTATCACGTCTCCGAATCTCACTGTTGTCAACGATGGAACTGACGCATTACAGATGACTTTGGACTTGTGGTATCGACATGAAGAGACAGACATAAGACCACCAGGCCAGGCGAGTCGAGAGATCGTGGTGTTCAAAGGAGTAGTATGCGACAAGAGTTTGCTGTGAAGATAGCTCGGTAGCGTTTGGATGCTGGCAATGATGTGGTGATGGCAGCGCAAAGGTTAGTTTTGGCAATAGATCGTGCCTTCCCATCGAGTGACCGGAATTGATCAGATATCGGTTCTTGGCGGTGGTTGATGACTCTTCTCACTTCAGGCAGCAGCGGTCTTCGTACAACTCACGACCTTATACCTATAAAACTCCGCTCACTGCTACTCTCATCAGTTGTACACTCAACTCAGACACCAGCAATGACTCGACAGATCTATTGTAATATCTGCGGCGGCCCCTTTGTGGTCGGCGACGGCATCTGGCTGGGGGAAGCCATCTTGTTGAGCACAGGACATCGGACACAGAACGGCTTCGAGATAGACGAATACTACCCCCGTCATCATCTAGAAACAGGTTTCTGGCTAGGCGAGCATCTGCCTGAACAGGCCAACAGAGTTCTCCTTCGCTTGGACTCGAAGTACGGTCCCGACACTCGCACTTTCTACTTGCTGGAACGGAAGGAAACAGTTAGACCAAACGTTCTCAACAAGTCACCCAGCAGACCTGGAGGCGGCTCACTATATCTTTCTGTTCACAAAGCTTGCTTGCAGCTTGCTGATCACTTCATATACACCGCCTCAATTCCGGAAACAGCTGTGGCGGACACAACCTCTCGCAGAATCACTTCGGAGTCACAGCTCTGGGAGGTTTTGTGCCGACGTTTGGACCAGGCCGAGACTGATATTACAATATCCCAGGAGCCCCATCACTTNTTCGTGCCACACACTATCCTAACTCCGATGCCATGGGAGCTCGAGCCTGATCCAGACGATGATTCAGAAGAACATGTTTGGGCTCACACTCTACTGATGGCGAACCCTCTTGACATATCGAATGTCACACAATATGTACTGAAAAATCTCAAAGCAATCCCTGATACCGAACCGCCATCGCACGAAAAACAGGACGAATCTTTTGAGCTACTTGTCAAACCAAGAACTTTCCCTTGGTTATGGGACCTTGACACTGGCTATATACGCGACAAACAACTATCAGGTCATTGGGACTGGGAGTATCTGATTCGCCTCCTTTCGGAACCCGACATACACATGCCCGGTAACGACTCGTTGCACATTCCAGCCTCTCTTCGCAACCGCCGGAGGATCTGGCGGATCCTTGAAGTAGCCAGAGTTGCTGACGCTCCAGTCAAGCGCTTACCAGGCAGAGGTGGACACAGAAGTGGGCGCAGAGGTAGGTACTGAGGCGGGCACAGAGTACCTGTATCACCTGGGACGTTGAGAGTCAGTCCCTCCAGCTCTCCCCCCTTCCTCATGAAAATTACCCATCTCACATCGCAGATCGGAAAGAGCCCTCTGAACCTCCGATTCGCCCGCCGCATCTCCAAGAGCCGTCAGAACCCTCCAGAACAGTGACATGCAACGGCATGCAGCTGCAATTTGCCCCTCGTCCTCCATCTCTTTTAATATCCGGCGATGTCCCATAATAAGCTTACTGATTTGCGCTTGTTCCCAAATCCGATTTCGCGACCTCAGAAAAATAGTCACCGATTGTCCCGAAACATCGTGAAGAGAGGTAAGGTGGACGATGATTGAGGATTCACCTGGACCTTGCTTTCTTCTTAACATAACCGCTCGAACAGTTATGGACCAGCAGTTTCTAGACGATGGTCAGATAAAGAGCTCTTAACAACTTAGACACCACACGATACTCGACGAGGTCGAGGGGCAGTTGGCAAAGATGATAACAAATGGGAAGTAATGCTTTGTTAATGCGTGAGGATTGCATATTTATGCAACTGGTGATCGTCATTCTTGGCAGATATTGATGCTATTTCTGTTTGCAGATCAAACACACAACGTCTATCCTCAACCACGCTGGGCAGTGTGGTGACGACTTTGTCTACGTGGATATACTCGTTGCTCGCAGATCCGTATTTTCTTCTTTGTCGACCATTTGTACTGTGTCTGGATTACCTCCTCTTCGACGAGTCGCTTTTTGACACCGGTCTGACAAGTTCTGAGGACTACACATAAAGCACCAGCAGCGTGACCAGAGCCACCTGAACTCAGTGCTGGCCTCAGGTATATTAGGTATCTGCACGTATCGACGCTTTTGTACGTGTTGCAAGCGGAGCACGATTGCATGTAGCGTTCTTAAACTTCCAGGCCTTTCTCAATCCTTGTTCCAAGTTCAGCAGATCACACTCGCAGCCGATATTTGCCAGGGATAGCAGCTGACTAGAGTGGAGCGGTGGTATGTGATAAACACAACACCCTTGACCAATCACCAAGCATGTCTGCTTGCTGTTTCAGCACAACTCGTATCGATGGTCACTGACATCGGGAACCGTGACATTGGTCTAAACATCGCATTGTGGAGCAGGAACGATCGAGGCATATATATGCATTGGCTCCTGCTCTTTCAGATTCTCACCTTCCTGATAAACAATTATTCTCACTTTTCCTCTCAGAAAACCTCACACAAACGTCAGAATGAAGGCCTCTACCATCTTCACCACCCTCGCCGCAGTCCTCCCTGCTTTTGCAGTACCAACAGCCCGCTCCACTGGTGACTCCTTTGGCGGTCTAGCCATCCATTCCGGCTCTCCCATCCACCTCTCCGCCATCAACGCAAACGGCAACTCCTTCTGGCTCAACAAGGAAACCACTTCCTACTGCCCCAACACAACCGTCACATCCTGCCCCGAAGGCAAATACACCTACTTCACCAACGGCAACAACACACTCTCCCTCAGCGTCGAGGTTCCCGGCGGCCAACGCGTCTACGTCGCTGCGGATGGCAGTCTCGGCTACACCATTCCTCATGGCAGCGTTAGCGGCAGCCAGAATGTCAGCTATACTGGATTCAACTTGAGGGATAGTGGTATTCATTTGCAGTACAAGGGTGCTGATTGGCTTGCTGTGCCGGTTGGTGGTGCGTACAAGGTTTATGCTGCTGCGGCTCAGAATGCTCCTCAAAATGGTACTAGCTTTGCTTTTAGAGTGCAGACTGTCAATGCCACTTTTGGTGCTTGGGAGTATTGAGGGAAGGACTTCAATCGTCTTGTGAGGGAAGAATGCTTCCCCCTTAGATGGAAGCATGTCATGTAGCAAAGCCTTTTGAATCAAAGTAAATTCGTCTCAACATCAATTGCAATCATGGTGAACATTCTGCCGATGGCGGGTCTTGAACCAAGGATCTGACCAAACTGGTTCAAGCCGTGCCTTCGGTTGCTCGAAAGGTTCAAAACTTTCAACATCACCATACTCTCTCGCTCTCTGGTATTCTTACATGCGATTGATCCTTTCAGAGAAGATACCCGATGTAATTCAAGCATAAAATCAAACGGAGATCAGCAATATTATCCTTCCTCGAGCAAGTTATTTCATCATCTCAAATTCTGACCCTTCCTGCAAAGCCCGCTTCACCACCAAAAAAAAAGTCCTCACAGTCCACCACCTCTTCGCCAGTCTCTCCCAATTCAAAACAATGGTCAACAAGACACAAAAAAGAAAGTCAACTGGATGTATAGGAATAGCCGAAGGCGGGGCTCGAACCCGCGACCTTGAGGTTGTACTTTATNCTCATGATAAGAGCCACACGCTCTACCGATTGAGCTACCCCGGCAGGTCTGATGATCAAGTTGTGTGACACAACTGGCTCGTTGACTTATGGTGTGCTTACGACCCCGTTGGTATATATACCTCGCATCATAATGCCGCTGTCGAACCACAACAAGACGAAGGATACCTTGTCATAAATGATCATCTCACATTTTGCCATTTGTGAGCGAAACTACTGGCAAGCACTAGAGAGTGTGTCGTAACCAATATTGGGTCGGATCTGAGCAGTTTCTCATATCATGCTCATAGATCAGTGGTGCTCGGTCTAGAACTATAGCATTCAAGTTATGAACCACGTCTAATCAAGTGAATAACATCGACACAAAGCGGTGGCAGCACATATGCATCTACAGATATGTAGTTGCTACATATACAATCAAGCGTATGATAACGTATGTGTTAGAGGTGGGGATAGTTCTCACATGGTCAGGTTAGCCATCGGCATTGCTGTACTATCCTTGACCGGGGTCACACCACTAGCAATACTACTTTCGAAAAAAAAAAAAAGGTCACGACTCAAAGACTGCAGATGAAGAATTGATTGAGAGCATCTCGCGACACAACTGAACCAAGCAGACAGTAAACATCAATATCTTACTCCTTGCTAAGACAGTGGTAGAGCGATGCTTGAAGGGTCTGCTTGTGGTTTCTGAACAATGGCCTTCAGCTGAAGCGACTTTCAGGCTTCACAAAAATCTGCGACTTCTTCGTGACCAGCCCTCGGCCATTTGCAAAGAGCACACAAGACGTAGTCGAATGCCACCATGATGCACGCGTCCGATTCATCGAACGCCTTGGCAGCCAAAAAGTTGCTTTCCAGGCTTCAAAAAGTCAAAAATCATCAATTTTCGACCCTCGAGCCATCACCTTCCCCCCATTTTCTCACTCACTTTCTAAACACTTTGAGCGATGCAAAAGAAAAGTGTACAGATCATAGAAAGGGCAAAAGAACGACGCCTGCAGGACTCGAACCTGCGCTCCCGAAGGAAATAGATTTCTAGTCTATCGCTATAACCACTCAGCCAAAGCGCCAGTGTGAAGAGGAGCTGATCCGAAGGACCGAGCTCGATTGATGGAGTAGAAGCCGAGCGGTGTGTTTATATACCTCAAATTTTTCGAGGAGCATCCATACTCAGTCATCTGTTAAATCGTGGATGAAGTTTGGTGGGGTTTAACGAATTGGAGAAGCTTTGTGCGTCGAGGCAGCGCAAGCGAGAGTTGTGCATAGCTGCTTCTCGTTCCGCAGCTCTCTGACAAACTTGTCTCCAGATCCGAGGCCGGATTGAACGAGGGGTTGTTGCCCCGCATGCCCCACATCGAGTTGCTCTCTGCCTCTCCGGGGTAAAGATGGACAGACAGCTCTGCATCCTGCAGCACGGCAAGTAGAGAAGAGGTTGGATCCGTAGGCCAAGAACTGCGGGTCTGGTGGATTGGACAATGGTGTGGGGCTTCGAGCCCTCTTCCTAAGAAGTGTTGATATGAAAGCTGTTGAGATCTCCAGCTGAAGCATACACATCTTTCTTGATTCCTGCAAACTCGAGGTATATTCGTTAAAATCGTGTGTTTGAACAATGGCCATAGACGAGATGAAGCCAGCATTCGACAAGGTGAGAGTGTGGCGGACATACCAACGTATCGATGAATGTACTCATAGTCATGGTAGATCATTGTCGTCGGAGCAGGACCGTCAGGACTTCTCCTGTCACTGCTACTCATCAGAGCTGGCATAAAGGTGCACCTTCTGGATGCTGCTCCTACACTAGATGATCAGCCTCGTGCAGCACACTATGGACCTCCTGCTATTCCAGACCTTCGACGAGCAGGTATCCTTGACAAGATCAAATCTCAAGGCTTGACTCTCAACACAATGTGCTGGCGAAAGCTCGATCAGACATACATCGCGGGCATGGACACCAGTGAGACTTTATCGAACGATCCTGAGTATGGCGATGTGAGGACTGTTAGTCTCGCTTTGCAAACACTGGACGCCCTGATGTTGGAAGANTTTCGAAAAGAGGGCGGCCAAGTCAGCTGGGAGCACAGCGTATTGGAGGTCCAGCAAGATGAATCGAAAGCTTGGGTGAAGGTGCAAACGCCAACGGAGAAGGAGAAAATCATCGAAGCCGACTATGTCGTGGGCTGTGATGGCGCAAACAGCATCGTCAGAAAGAGCCTGTTCGGCGAGGACTTTCCTGGGTTTACCTGGAATCAGAAGCAAATTGTTGCGACAAACGTGAGTAATGTGTTATGAATGATATTGGGAGGACCTTGCTGATCAAGTTTGTCTAGNACGTACTATGACTTCCGCAAGTTTGGTTATCATGATGCGAACTTCATCATAGATCGCGATCACCTATACATGGCAGCGATCATTGACGACAAGGGGTTGTGGCGTGTGACATACGGCGAAGAGCCTGGCCTCACACGAGAGCAACTGCTAGAGCGTCAGCCCAAGAAGTTTGAGACCATCTTACCTGGAAACCCAAAGCCTGGCGATTATGAGATGGTCAACTTTTCGCCGTATCGAATGCATCAGAGAGTGGCCGAAAAGTTCAGAGTCGGCAGAGTCATGTTGGCAGCAGATGCGGCGCACCTTTGCAATCCNATTGTAAGTTGGACTGATCTCAGAAGAGTGCGATGATAGCTGACAGTATTCTGTAGTGGTGGCCTCGGCATTACTGGCGGCTTTGTTGATGTTGGCTGTTTGTTCGACTGTTTGTATGGCATCTGGACGCATCAGGCGGACGACTCAATCCTGGATCTGTATTCGAAAGTGCGACGACAGAAGTACAAGGAGATCATTGATCCAATCTCGACAGAAAACTTCAAACGTGTTTTTGACCAAGATGCGGAAGTTGCGGGCGAGAAAGACCACTTCCTAGTCTTGTGTAAAAAAGCGGCCGAAGACAAGGACTTTGCTCGGCAGATGCATTTGGTAAGTACAACCACCACCTTTGATGCTTCGCAAGCAATACTGACGCACCTANNGGCATCTTTTGGAATCCGCCATGATTTCACACAGTACTATCGCAAGAACAAGAGCAGGGGACTTGTGGTTGATGATGCGAAGTCAGATTTCAGCGTGGAGCATATCGAGGAGGTTGCGCCAACAGGAGCAGACTGAGGCGCCTGCAATCGTTCCCTTTACGAGCCTAGTTTTTGAATATCATGTTACAATTTGATATCAGCTTCTTTGCCTCAAAATATGTAACACCATAGCTGTAGAAATGCACAGTAATCTCGTGTGAAGGGATGTCATCCGCTGAATGTCACTTTCTTCCTCGTCCCTCTCCATACAACACTAGAGTACATCTGGTTTGACTGTGCATTTGTACAACTTACATGTCACGCTCCTTCATTGCAAGAGGAAGCCTGTAATTTGCTGGCATTAGTATACAATCTCCCATGTGCTAAAACTGTGGTAGTGTAGCTGCAGAAATGCAGGAAGGCATTTGCAAAGATGTATTGCCACAGAGAGAACCCTTACGAGGGTTATCTCCCTGGCCAGACTCATGTTCAGAAGATGACTGTGCATTTCGATGGCTTATAATGCACTTATGCCTCAGGATGGGAAAGGGGCCAATCCCAAGATTGTGGCGGTACCTAGCACATGGAGAGGAAGAACGAGATAGTAGTCAGTAGAAAAGAACGAGTGTATTAAATCTCCGGTGGCCAAAGGCTGGTCCACGTAATACCTGACATGATCATAATTTTGCAAACCAAACAAAGGGAAAATCTGAGATAAGTCTTAATGATCAGCAGTCGTCCTGACCTGGTACGAGTGAGATACTACGATTCCGCTCATGACTCTCTCATCTACTACATGATCCTCGACGGTTGATGGCCGGTAGGCGAGAATCTCGTCCATGAGACTATCCGTGTCTGACTCCACATTGTTGGCTGTAACTTGTGCCTTATTTTTGTGTCTGTTCAGTTCGATGTCGCCGCGAANAGGATCGAGGTTGGAGCCTTTACGACTATGATCGGTCGGTCTCTCGTCGGTCCTGAAGTACTGGCCGGTATGCTTTGAGTCCTGTGTGCTTCCGAACATCCCACGAAAGTAAGTTTCGAAAAGTGGTTTCAAAGTAGGCACACACGTGCATAACATGGCGGTACAGGTCTCGATGGCACTCCATACGACGAAATCCAGGATCGTATAGGTGAGGTCGCCGTCACCAGCTTCAAGGTAGGCGACGATACTTCGGAGACGGATGATGCTGACGATGCACCCGGCACTTCCCATCGCAAATACCAAAGACAAGGTAATTTTCTTTCTACGAGTGAGTGCCAGGTTCCAGACGATTGGGATTGGAAGGGCAAGAATCAGCAGATCGCTGACGGAGTTGCACACAGCATTGGCTATATCTAGGTGGATATTAGCAAGATTGTTCGAGACCAACATCAATATTACTAACAGAANAGCTGGACGATTGATGCATTTCCCTTCAGCAAAGATGTCCCTAGGCTTGTGTTAGGAAAAATTCTTCCTAGATAGTAGTGACCCATGATCTCACCATTGAAAGTGAACCGGCGTACAGTCGAAAATCTCCGTAAGGATACCGGCCACAGAGTATCCAACGGCAAACAAGAAGACAGCCCACCAACGCCAGAGGAAGTTCTGGATGGGAAAAAGGCGGCGGTATAACAACATGATGGCGACTTTGATGGAAAGCATGGAGGAGCTGTAGAAGACCGAGGCTATGAGGTACAGCCTGAGGAAGTGTGGGGAGAACAGAGCCACTGGAACGTCCCATAGATGTCGTCCCATACCTAGATGAACCAGGGCCTGGTAGAGAGCTATGGCTGTTATACATACAAGTAGTGACACGATCATCGCCCCTGCACCCAGTGTCAGCTCAAGCAAAATCATGTATACAACCTCCCTGGTGCTAATATCTGTAGCCTTAGTCGCAAATCCGACTAAAAGAGCAAAGTGTATGCTATAAAAAGGCACAATTGTTTTCAAGAGTAGAGGTATGTCCACAGAGAGCCAACAAGCTGTCAATTCTCAGTGGACACTATCCTGTTTCCTAGTACTATCGTGCGTTTTTATAGCTACACCTTTACATACATTTGCACACGGGAAGGATCAGATTCTTACGTACAGTCGTCATAGCCGACGGATTTGACGATGAAGATTCGAGTGTACAGTCGGAGAAGGACAACAACAATCATAATGACCAGAACAACTATATTGGTCGCTGTTTGCCGATGACCGATACTGGGAGGATTGACGAAGTTTGGTGTTATGCCGTTCGGAGGTTTGGCCGAAGGGACCTGCCAGTAGTCCACGTTAGGGTCCATATTGTGCCTCCGTCCAGATGGGCCTGGTCCTGATGGATAGTGTGTGGTCGAAGAGCGCGAGAAACAGTTCACTCAACCTTGAGAGGGTCGAGGAGTCGGACGCAAACCATGAGGGGCATGCTCGGGTTTTGAACCCGATGAAAGAGGGTATTTTGACTCGGTCATCATAAGCTAGGAACCGCCTTCGGGCCTGTACTTTTCTTACTTTTGGCTGATCTCTGGGGCAAGCCCAGGGACAAGAGCTTATAGTCGGCTCTCGATATTGAAGGTGGTACTGCGGTCTTGGATCGGCTATAAGCGCAAGGTGTTTGTCTCACTGCTCGAGTCATGCTGTGACCTAAGCGCCACGGATACTAGAAGCAGGCTTCCAAGCGAGTTGAAACATCGAGCTGTCGTTCAACGGCTATACAGACCACATTGTTCAAGAAACATAATTTCTAGAATCCTACCGCCGCGAACATGTGTTTGTGTTGAATTTGGTTTCCAGTGTCCAGGTATTTGGACGCGGGTAGATTGATATGTAGATTAGGCAACCGACATCGCATGAAGAAATATCCACAAGGATTCGATGCACGACCCATTGTGGAATGAGAACACACGGACGAACTCTGGAGAAAGTGTTTCTTTGTCGCTACGGCCCGTGACACCCTGAGTCTCTAACATGATCAACAGCGTGTTATTGTACTGTGCTCCAAAGTGTGCAGTCGAAAAGTTGGCCAGTGGACAGACGTGGCAAGATGAACGGCGTCAATTCAGTCGAACCCAGACATTGACCTCTATCGACTTGATCACTGATTTGATACTCGGTGACAAATTGATTAGCTGGTAGTGTGTTATTTCAAAAGAAAAAAAAGGTTATACCTGACAAGCAAAGTTGTGGCTACCGAGTCTGGTAGGAATGTCCCACTTTCGACGCGTCGTGTTGAGATTGGCCGCACACTCAGCGAATCTGTCAAAATTCAACAACCATGTGCTTCATCAACATCAAGTCGACAGGCTGAAATCTTATCGAAGCTACCAATCCAGTATTCAGGCAGGTCCGGTCATCTCAATTGATCCTGGGCAAGCTCGCACTGGTCGTTTTCAGACTGAATCAAACCAAAAGCGTAGACGGGAGCTAGATTGCGAAATAGATGAAGGTGAAGTCAGTCGGTTCTGACTTGACAAAGCGGCATGTTCGGCTTTTGCAACCTTCTTTGGTTGTTCTACGCCACGAATACTGTAAGTGGCGGTATGAAGCTTATTTGACAGGTGCTTGCGTCGCGAGTCAAGTTTCAAGGCGTTCAAATCGGAGTTTGCTGATCTGGACGGAGAATCTGTGCTCATCCGCGCTGGACCGCCTGCAAACGAGGTACCACATGTTTAGACGATACATGCCCATGGCTTCAAAATCGGCTAGGCTTTCTGTCTTCTGAGCAGCTTGGTCGATGTATTCACATCCTCTCTGTGTGCTTAAAACAGTCAATATTTAAAACTAACCTCCTCTCCATCCCGAGCTACAAGGATTATTATAAGCTATCGAAATGCACAGTCTTGACTCGATTATAAGTCTGGCCATTGAGATAACCCTCATTAAGGTCCTCTCAGTAGAAACCATAGTTTTCGTGAAAACATTGTGCATTTCGACAGCTACATGTGACTGTCTTTAGCACATCGGGAGGATGTTCATGAAAATCTTTATTCTGGTTAACAACAAGACCGTATTACTTCTGAGTATCTACCCAAGCCTAGCACTACATCACCATGCGAGGATCCAAACTCGAAATCTTAGCAGATTTTGCAGCACCGTCAAAGACGAATTCGGAGATCAACTTGCCAGTTCCCGGGCCATTTTGAATGCCNNTGCATGATTGTCAGTCAAGCCTAAGCAAAGGTTGAGAAAGTGTCAACATACCCCAGCAAGTGTGTCCGGCGGCTATCAGCAGACCCTTTACTCCAGTGTGTCCAATCAAGGGTCCGTTTCCTCCTCGAACGTTCGGGAGGTAACATGCTTGTCGTGCGGTAACCTCTCCGTCTCGCAGCTCGTCACTGATACTGCTAACATAGTCGACAATGTCCTGACATCTCTGCTCGTCTACCTCGACAAGATCAGATGATTTGGGCAGCGGAACCATGTGGTCTCCTTCACCACAGGCATAAACCTCGTTCTTCGGTCTCGTATAAATTTCCGGCGAAACATGCTGTTCGCCCCATGATTTCTTGGCTTTATCGGTTGCACCTCCGAAACCAGCTGGTAGTCTGATCTCGGTGAACAAGGCGTACGCGCTGATTTCACGAGTTGGACGAACGGTGACAGAGTGGGCTCGAGTAGCCGAGATAGGGGCGTCAGGGTAGACCTCTCTTGTCCATGGGCCGGCAGAGATGATCACGTCCGTTGCTGAAATAGTGACCTCCTTGTTGTTGTCGTTCTTGTCCTCATATGTAACGCTCTCCACGCTTTTACCGTCCTTGCTGTGGTTGATGCTCTTAACGGCAGCACCAACGCGGACATCAGCACCCTTTTCAGCGGCCAAGTCGGCCATGGAAGTGGTGAATTGGTAAGGATGAACTTGAGCAGTGGTTGAGGGATCTCCCATCTCGTCGTACATTCTCAAGCAGTCAGGGTGAATCCAGTCGAGGTCTTTTGGTATGCCTCTGGCTGCCAATTTGGCCGATACCTTTGGAGGGTTCTTCTCCAAACTGACACTGTGCTTTTCTCGATCGCCAGCGTTCTTTCCGTTCATCTCGTTGTCTTTGCCCTTCACAGTATCTGTCGGCTTTTGCAGTTGACGGCCTTTGCAATCTACCGAACCACAGTGAACTTGTCTGTAACCCCAACGCTCATCACCGTCATATTTGTCGGCGAGCTGCTTATGCAACTTGTATGAGAGAGGTACGATAGACGAAGGGTAGGCCCATAATGCCAGGAGTCCTCCTGCTTTGCCACTTGCGCCTCCGGCAATTTTTGTCGCCTCCAGGAGGATGACTTTGTGCTTTTCCGGATTGTATGAAGGATGATGCGTCAAGAAATAGGCAGAGGTGGCACCAATAATACCACCGCCAATGATTACGATGTTCTTCTGTTCGTCTGCTGCTGCCATGATGGACTGTCGATGGAAGTGTGCGATCTTGTGTGAAAAGTGACCTGCTTTATTGGGAAGGCCAGATGACAGGGCTATTCTAAGGGCAGCCAGAGTGGCGATAATGAATCTTCACTGACTTTCACAATCCCAACAGAGAAGGTAGACGAAGACTTACGAATCACGTTGCTGTCGCGTCAAAAATGTGACGTCAAGCGAGTCAGGAGATGATCAGGGTCACACCCCGCAACCAGCCGTCTTCGTCTACAGGACGATTGCACTTCTGATCACAAGTTGCCATTCCATATTTTCGATACGACTCACAAGTATAGATTGAAGTGTAGTTGCAAAGATTAATCTCATCTATAAACAATTTTGTCTAGGCGTCGTGTGCTGTCTTCCTTAGCCAGGCCTTAGTCTTGCCCCAAGCCCCTGTTGCTATCCTGGCCTTTTGATAATCCTCCTCTTGAACATTGTGCTTTCCAACGATGTTGAGGAAGACCTGGTCAAGAGTGGCCTGCGAAACAGCGTAGAATTCCATACCCAACTCATCCTTGCTCGTCTCTAGTTTCTCAAACAGTGAACTGATGCCATTGCGATCCGTTGGTGTAACAGACGCTTTGGCACCTTTCTTGTCGTCCATAGAACTGCTTGTGTCGTCTGTGATCGATGCTACTCGGTTTGGCACCTCGAAGCGGATCTGACCATGGAAGGATCGATCTTCGATGGTTGCCAGAGGGAAGTTGATTCTGATCCAATTCTTGATTTCGGCGAGTTTGGCATCAGAGGTGTGTGGAGCGTCTTTGTGGACAAGGTGTACGTAGTAGGCATCGCCGTGTTTGCGGCGTAGGGAGTCGCTGGTACCTATAGCGAGCATACGTCTGGCCATGATACCAACGCGGTCACCTAGGGCATCGGCTTCTTCTAGACTGTGGGTGGTCAAGACCAAACTACGGCCAGAGCTTACTGCGGACAGAGTGCGCCACATGATTCTCTTTGCGCCAGCGTCCATACCAGAGCTTCCTTCGTCGACAAGGAGTACCGAGGGATTACCGATTAGGGCAATACCAAGGGAGAGTTTACGCTTGTTGCCACCGGACAGTTTGGATGCCATACGGTTTCTGAAGGCACTGAGGCCCACGGCGTTCATTACCTGTGGTTCGTTAGCACGTTTCTTGAGCAATTGACGGCATACCGCAGTAGCTGTAGGGTCCCGACATACCTGCTCCACATTGTGCTCAACATCAGTGACACCACGAGCTCTGGCATAGAAATGCAGGTGTTCCAATGATGTCATCGAGTCCATCGCGTCGAATTGAGGGCATACGCCTTGGTGCAGACGGGCGGCAGCACGTTGCTTGACGATAGACTCATTTTCGAGGAAGACATCTCCACCACTAGGAGCAACATCACCTCGAATAAGGCCAATACTGGTCGACTTTCCAGCTCCATTAGGACCAAGTAGTGCAAATATCTCACCTCGTGGCACACCGAAGGCCACTCGGTCAACTGCAAGGTTGTCTCCATAAGATTTGCTGATGTTGCATACACGCAACTCATCCTTGCAATCATTGACGCGAACGGCCTCACGATAGACATCCTCGTCGGCGTATTCACTCTCTTCTGCATCTTGAGATCGAGCCTGTAAGGTACAGTTAGTATCCATACTTCTCTGAAAATTAGGTTGACATTTGACACGTACCTTCCTGCTGAGGAAAGCAGGTCTATAACCGCTATCATAGTAGACCAAGAACCCAAGAAGGAGAAGAGACTGGACCAAAAGATAGAGAATGGGACCTCCGTAGACCGTGATATCGCCTGCATAGGATGCGCGCTCGTCTCCATGGCAAAGGAGCGAAAACTCGTTGAATGTGAGCAAGAGCGCACGCAATAGATTGCCCGAAGGCGTAACAAGAGCGATTGTGAAATGAGCGATAGTGACGAAACTATCGATCTTTTCGGTTGGGGCGTAAGTGATAATTGCCATGTAAGCGAGGAAGTAGATCAAGAAGAAACAACACTGCATGCCCGCAGCAAAGGCAAATGATGCCAGCTGACTGGTGACGAAGAGAGATATGACATAGCTGCATAGTAGAGCTGCCAGTCCATATAGGAAGAAGACAACAAACAGTGTGCCTGGAGCATATAGAGCACTAACACAAGTATGTTAGCATGAGTCCTTTCAACGCGCCACAATGCAGATCGTGTTGCAAGATTGATCAGGCAAACACCAATGGCCGGACAACATTCTGCATTGTGACAGTTGTTTTACCGTCGTACGTACCTAGAGACACCAACAAAGATGACGATCGTGACAATGCTGACAAGTATCACAAACATAAAGTCGAAAATGGTGTATGCGAGCCAGAGCGGGAAGGCTCTGATACCGTTTGAGTAGTGCAGTGCACGTACTTTGGCAACACGCTCACTGGTTGGATAGAGGGCAAAGAAGCCAGGATAAGCACTCATGGCCAAGCCAAAGTAAAGGATAAACTGAAGCGTTTTACCAGCTGATGGAGCCCATGGCCTCTGGAAGGCTTGGTAGGTTGTGACGATAGGAGATCCGAGCAAGCTGCTATCCAGAATGTTTTGAGTCAAGATTGCGAAGTCGAGTTCGTAGTTACCTCTCCATGCAAACAAGGGAGTGCCACCTTGAGCATCGAAGTAACCTCCAGGGAAGACGCGGCTGTAGTTGGATCGTACATAATCGTTGAATGCATCTACGCTTGTGACAGGTGCAATAGCGTTGTCGAGCCCAGGATACAAGGTGCGGAGAAGTGCTGTAGGAACCTGGGAGGCTGGCCCAGCCGGAAAGTCAAGAGCGTCGTCAAGTGATGCGAAGGAGACTATCTCTTCGTTCGAGCTTGCTGCTTCGGGCGAACAGCTTAGTGGACTGAAGCCCTTTAGGAAGAGAGTCACAAGCCCACCAGCGATGATCGGGATCAGAACAGCTGCCATGTAAGGCAAGTAGTTACGACGCAAGATGGTGACACGCTTGCGGAAGAGTACCCATGTCTGTGCACCGAGCGAGATTCTCCTGCCCTTGGCCAGTTCGAGGCCTTTTTCCGATTGCAGAGAAGACACATTAGTCAATGGTGTGGCGTCGTCATGGAGCGTGTGGTCATTATTGAACTCTGCAGATAGCTTGAGGAATACATCCTCAATACTAGGTCCACTGACACGGTAGTCCGTGACGCCAAGTTGTTCAAGACGGGTGACAAAGGTGGCGGCAGCGCTTGAATCAGGCAAGTTGTACACGACGTGATCAGCGTGGTTACGACGAGGTATTGAGGACCAATCCTGCGGCTCTTTGAATCGATGCTCGCTGTAAATCTTGACGCGGTATCCACCACCAAGTTCGTGCTTCAAGGCGACAGCTGTGCCAGTTGCAGCCAGCGTGCCTTTCGATAGAATAGTGATGTGGTCCGAGAGCAAGTCTCCTTCGTCAAGGAAGTGGGTAGTAAAGAGCATGGCTCCTAGAGTGAAGGTACAATTAGCAGGGGATCATAAATTGCTTGTAAGAACACCATGGCCTTGCTAAACGAAGACACTCGACTCTGCAAGACGCCGTCGTGGAAGGGTTTCATCCTCCCCGTATGCTAAGACATGTAACGCGTATAGCTATAGAAATGCACGATGGTAACAGGGAATAAGATAGTATCCACTGAGAAGCAACAAGCTGTCGACTCTCAGTGGATAGGCCTCTAGTTCCGAGAGTCATCGTGTCTGTTTGTAGTATACGTTTTGCTCTTAGCTGTAGTCGGAGTACGGCGAAAGTACAGACTTTGGTATACGGGGGATGGAAACGCATGTCTCAAAGACTTGACGTGCAGGCTAGAGCGGAATGCCAGCACTAGTCATGGTATTCATACGTTTAGTTCAAAACTTACTGTGACCACGTTCAGACAGGAGGATATCCCAGACCTTTCTTCGTGAAAGAGGATCGATGCCTGAACTCACTTCATCAACCAAGCAAAGGTTACTGCCTCCTGTAAGCATCATCGCAAGTTGCAGTTTCCTCTTTGTCCGCCTGACAGAGTCTCAGAGCGAGCAGAAATTTTATGAGCGAGATCGCATTTGGAGAGCAGGTCCTGGTGGTCTGAGCTCTTTCCCTTTGCCCTTCTGCCTTGAGCTGATTGAAGTAGTAGACATGCTCTTCGCAGGTGAGTTTGTCCCAGAGAACATTTTTCTGTGGGCAGATACCGACACCTCCAGATCCGTTGATGTCGATGGTTCCGCTTGTGGGTGATTGAAGACCGGCAATAAGGTCCATCATTGTACTCTTTCCGGCACCGTTGGCGCCCAACAGAACATGAATCTCGCCAGCGCGAATGGTGAAGCTGACATCGTTGACGGCATGCACAGTCTCTCTTTTGTTCTTGCTGAATCTTGACCAGACGTTCCTGTAGAACCAACCAGGACTATACTGTTTTGTGAGGTTAGTGATGCGAGCAGTCTCATGTTCTGCGCTGTGGTGCATGTTTCTGGCCTTCGACGCGGTGCCGTATAACGACCTCTCTATGAACGCGCCGACCAGGGGGTAGACCAAGATTTGTATGGCGCTTAGCACAAAGAAGACAGTGCCTGAAACTTTCCAGGGCGCTCCAGGAGGTGCTTCCGAGAGAACAGCGGCCAAGTTGTCTTTTGCCAATATGCCATGTAAATTATAAACAACGTAAAGTTCATTGGTGGGAACAACAAGGCCAAGATGACAATTGCACCTGTTGTCTCGGGCGTCTGGACCTGCACAATAATAGCGAGCACTATGCTCACTATAGTGACAGTTATGCCCGAGAGTTGAGCCTTTCGGAACAAACTGGCGAAAGCAATGGACCATGAGCTCAGAGCAAGCCCTGCGATGATAAAGTATCCTATCAGAATCCCAGTCTCGGAGGAGGGATAGTTGAGCCTGGTAACAATTGCGCCCGATATGACCCAGCCTGGCAGGTAGAGAATGTCAAAAGCGAGATGACTGGAGAGTAGGCGAGCGGCTTGTGGCTGCCATCTACGCTGATTCGGCATCATTGCTTCGATGAGCTGGGACATGCCGATTTCTCGTTCCGTCGCCATTTGACCTAATGATTGTCAATACGTGTGAATTCATAGAGGGAGCTCTCCATCTACAATGAGTGAAATCCATGTAGCTATGTAAATGCACAATAGCATTGAGAAACCAGGAGTGTCCACTGAGAGACGAACTTTTATTGGCTCTCTTCGGCTACAACTCTGGTTTCGAATATTACTGTGCCTTTCTATAGTGTACAAACTCGACACCATTGCGAGAGGAGAGTAAAGGTTACTGACCTGTTAGCTGGTAGCATATACCAACAAAACCAATAAAGTAGGCCAGACCAAGGATGCTGATCAGAGTACCCATGTATAGCCGTGTGATGTTTCTCTCCCGCTCTTCAGGGGTCGCATCAGTATAAGGGTACTGCTGAGGTATAGGGATTGAAGATCCCTCTGAAGAAGCGATAAGGGCGTCCACGGCATGCTGGAGAGGGAGAGCATAAATCTGTGCATCATTATCGTTGCTATTCACGAAAATCCTTTCACCAAGAGATCCATCGGCCCGGATTGTGTAGTTCCAGACGCCACCATTACTAGGAGAATTGTGGAATTCTAATGCGGCAAAACAACCAGAGACTCCGCGTACAGAGCTTTTGCACGTTTGCAGAAGCTCAACTTGGCTAGACAGAGTGACGGGAGTTTTGCCACTTGCTCTGACGGTGTTTGATAGCTGATCGATGATATTTGTGACTTCGGAAGCTTGACCATTTGCGACAAAAGCTACTGTGCTGCGTCCAGTTGTTCCTGCATGGAGTGCTTCCTCAAATGTCCAGAGTGTAGTTGGAGAGCCCACGCCAAAGTCTGAGGGCGGTACGAAGAAGTTTTTACAGTAAGAAATGATAAAGAAGAAGATGATCGGTGCCAGGAATGCTCGGACAGTAGTCGTGAACCAGTGCCGTCCTAGAACTATCAAAAGATTTTTCTTCGTTAAGGTCCATGTTTGAGCGAAGAAACCCATGATGAATCGTTTCTCCTTGAAGGAGGACTTCCAGATGATGTATCTAGTGGCAAGCGAAGGCCTGTTCGTGATTGATATGTATTAAGTAGACATGCGTCGTGAAAGCAATATTAAGAGATCAAAATTATAACAATGTTTGAAATACAAGAACGAAATTCCATGGGAAACATACGAATAACATAGCCCTCGGGGAGGCGATCTCCAAGGTGTCGAACGATGTTTGAATGTCAGTTTCGGGCAATCGCTAAACTGCATCAAGTATAGCCTCCTCGGCATTTGACCGCCGAGCGGCTTGTCGCGTGTGTCGTTTCTCCTCACGTCCATTTCATCTCGCTTAGACAGACATCGTCGTCAATAGATCTTTGAAGACAAACAGCATGTCGGGAAGAGTCAGGCTTTGTATTAAGAGTACGAATGTACCACTTCTGCGGCTGAAAACAGCCTCGTCAGATCCAAATCCTTCGTGAGCCATCAAAAATCAAAGAATTCGCCAAGTCGTCATATCCTCGGCGTACGTCGAGCGGCTCAAGTGGAACGTTGTGCAGGAACAATGACAGGCGCCACAAGAGTCAAAAACCGACGCGACGAACATGTCTACTAGGACAAGAAGATCCATCAAAGTGTAGGGAACGTCATCTTTAGTATCCATACTGGCGTCGCCTTACAACTGGGCGATTAGACAAAGTGGGCTTTGACCTTTCGGAAATAAAACGAGAAGTCACTGCTACCAACTTCCAACGCTCCAACCTAAAATGCACGATCAACAGTTGCTTCGACTTCGATATGAGCCTTTTCGTTATTCTGGTCGTCATCTATACACAACTCGACTATCCAGTAATCAAGGGGAACTTGCCCTTCCCATCGGTCGACTCATATGCCCACGTCTTGTTGACGAACTCATCCCTAGGAGTAATCGTGACATTAAATGGCTCAGCAGGAGACGGTAGAGAAGCAGCAATGGCACCCTTCCAAAACTTGGGCATATTCCATTTCCCACCAACCGGGGTGATATCGTAGCGTAGAATCATCATAGCTGACATCCCTAAAATCTCGCCGCTCGCGAAATGTCTTCCGGGGCAAAGGGCGGGAGATGCGCCAAATGACATGAAACTGGTAGGTCTCTGTTTCAAGATGTCCTTCTTGAAGCGTGTAGGGTCGAAGTTTTGGGAATCGTCGCCCCAGATGTCGGGTTCGTAGTTCATGTTCATTCCAGGCATCATGAGGACGCGGCCCTTCTTCAGCAGATATTTGTCGCTTAGCACTATATCATCCGTGATGAAGCGCGTAGGCGCACCGTTCGAGTGTGTACGGAGAACTTCCTGGAAGGTGGCCAAAAGGTTTGGGCAGTTGTCTCTCATAGCAGCAAGGTCGATGATCATCTCTCCAGCCTCGTTTTTCTTGAGCGCGTGCTCTCGTACCTCGTCGCGGAGTTGGGCTAACAAAGCAGGGCGTGAGAATACATCGTAGAGCATCCAGAAAGACGCAGGTGTCGTATTTGAAACCACTCCGAGTACAGTTGCGGTCTCCAGACGAGAGATATCCTCGGTGCTGGCGCCGCCCTCGTGCTGAACATTCCAACGTGCTTGGGCCAGTTCCGAAGCTACTTTATGACCGCTCTCATTGTAATACTTCACGAACGCGGCCACAACCTTCTCTCGTCCGAGATATGCCTTGCGTGCGATGATTGAAGGAAGTACGTTGACGATCAAGAGGCGTAGATGCATCTCAAAATCCCAGAAAGCTTCCTCGATCTTAGGGTCTCTGATTGGGTTCTTCTCACCCCATACAGCGTCGGTACTTGCGATGGTAATGGCATGTTTTGCCCATGCATAGAGGTCGAAGCTCTTGCCGCTCAGATTATCAAGCTCGTTTACCGATTTGACAAGGTTGTTGACCATATTCCGATTCGCGATGTCGAGACCTGGACCTAAAAGAGCCGGGTGCATAGCCTTAACAATCTATGATTTTAACTTGTTAGTGTCAATGTTCAGAGCGAAAGAGAGAATATGGCAAACCTTTCTGTTCAGATCACCACCTCCATTTTCCTTGCCCGTGAGCAACTTCAGACCTCTAGGTGAGACATTCACCATACGTTCAGCTGCGGAATCAAGAAAAGGGTCAAATGTGATGACTTTTGCATTCCTCTGAACTTGAGCAACTGCACTAGACTTGTTGACCAAGTAAACCTTGGAGACGAGGAAATCAATTGTCACAATGGCCTCATCAGACCCCTCGCTAGGTTGTCGTCAGTGAAATTCTCCACGGAGCTATAAGAGGTTCCTGCCAACATACCAAGCCTTTCCAAAGTATCGAAGGCCATCACGAGCAAATCCAATGATGTGTCCAATAACCGGAATCTTTCCAAGAAGATAAGGTGGCTCTTGAATGCCTTTCTTAGACCGCCGCTGCCCTACGACGAGGTAGCTAATGAAGGCAATGGCCAAGCCAATGATGAGATGCTTCAATTCCATCCTGGCAGCTCGTGATAGAAGCACCACTGATGAAGCAGTGCAAGAGATTGCAACTCGAGAATGAATCCGGAAGGGAACGGCATTTTACTCCTGGACAATATACTTTTCCTACTTGTGTCGTCAGTGTGTTTTGGAATGAGTTTGGGATATTACCGGTCAACGGAATCCACGGCTTCCGCGGGCGCTCACGCCGATTTGACCAGGCGTTGCATATCAGTGTTCTCAACAACCAACCACATTGCACGTCGTCTTCTTCAGCTGCAGATGATTCGGCTGATGAACGTCTGTGACGTTAAAATTCTGACCAATCTCTCCTTACACCTCTCGCCATGAAGCAAAAGTCGTACGACTTAGGGACATGTGCTGCAGGTAGCTGCCTGTTCCGAACAATACACAGTATCAACCACAGAATCATGAGCAGTCAACAACATTGTAATGTCGTACGATGGACATGATGGACGGAATCCTGCATGATATGTCGTTATCTATGCATTCTCAAGGGCTTAAATAGAGAGGTATTCTGCCGCGAGAAGTAACACCATTAGCATCCCATTCCCTTTCATTCATCTCTACACTTAAGACCAACGATGACAATCACAGCCGTACCCACCAGCGAGCAGGAGCTCACGAAGTTGATGCACGGCAAATCGGCTACTGAACGCAATGCTTTCCTTTCTATGCTACGCAAAGACGGCCAATCTCATCGCCTTGTCACAGACGAATATGTCAAGCGCTGGACCGAGGACAGTGACGAAGCACGAAAGTCCAGACAGGACTCATACATGTCCCTGGTGAACAAGTATGTTTCCAGAACCGCGGCTCAAATTGCACCATTTCTAACATGACACAGTTATTACGACTTGGCGACTGATCTGTATTGCGAAGGATGGGGTGAATCGTTCCATCTTTGTCGGTTTGCTCTTAGAGAGTCGTTGATTCAGGCACTGGCTCGTCATGAGCATTACCTTGCACATATGATTGGCATCAAAGACAACTATACTGTGCTCGATGTCGGTTGTGGAATCGGTGGACCAGCAAGAGAAATTGCTACCTTCGCTGGCTGCAAAGTAGTCGGAGTAAACAACAATGGCTATCAGATTGAAAGAGCGACTGCACTTACAGCTAAGAGAGGACTCTCTGAGCAGGTGTCNTTTGTCCAGAACAACTTTATGGTAAGTTTTTTTCATAGCACTTTCAGAAGTGTATGCTTACATCAAAACTAGCACTTGAGCTTCCCAGACAACACTTTTGACGCTGTGTATGCCATCGAGGCTACTTGTCATGCCCCGGACCTCCAAGGTGTCTATTCGCAGATGTATCGTGTCGCCAAACCAGGAGCAGTTGTCGGCATCTACGAATGGGTAATGACAGACCGCTACAATGAAAGCGATCCAGCTCACCGTGCAATCCGCCATGGCATCGAGCGCGGGAATGGAATCTCCAACATGGTAACCAGGAAGGAAGCACAGCAGGCCTTTTCCAAAGCAGGCTTCAGCCTGATACATGACGAAGACCTAGCTGAACGCAAAGATGCAAGACCCTGGTTCGCTCCATTGAGCGGCGACATCAATTATGCCACCGGACTTTGGGACGTACTGGGTGCTTTGCGCATGACGAAGGCTGGTAGATTTGTGATGGAGTCGCTTCTTTCCACACTCGAAAAGGTCAGGATGGCACCTTCTGGCACAGCTGAAACGGCTNNTAAGGAATTGTCAGCTGGCGCTGATGCTCTGGTCGCTGGTGGAAAGGAAGGCCTCTTCACTCCAATGTATCTCATGGTTGGAAGGNNGAAGCCAATGTAGGCAGCGAAGCTATAGCTGGATAGTGGTTGAATCAATGATTCTAGCCATACATGATCTGAAATACCAATCGGGACAACAATGCCACCTCTTAAATTGTCAGGCGTTCTGTTGAATATCTCAATCTTCAATCTTGGCTCTCCTGACTGATGTTCAATCCCTCAGTTGAACCAATAACAGGGTACAGTACCGCTGCCGCACTACTGCGTAAGGAGAATCTACGTTGAGGCGACAGCCCGGTGGGGGCAAGCATTCAATCGTGTTCGTGGCGTTCTATAACCCAATGCGAGGCACACAACAAACCATGTTGACCTGAAGTACCTCAGTATCGTAGCCCTCGATCTTCCTTCTGCTCTCAAAGACCACTGCAATCGTATCGCCCTATAGTGATCGCGACACAGAACTATTGGCACACTCGGCCGTAAGCACTTGAAAAGTACCGGGACGTTCTCGGTGCCTATTGCTAGCTAAACAAACACGTTAAACTATATAAGGATCTCATTAACCGATTGACTTTACATAGATTGAGGAGTCTAGATCTAGCTTAGAATATTGGTACTATGGTATGTTCGTTTGCCTATCTACGAGGCGTAAGCGTTATCAGCCTCGTTTGCTATTAGACCACAATCGGAATGTAAGACCATGTAGATGAAAAGAAAAATTAAGCAGGACCGTAGAATGAGAAAAAGAGTGGAAATTATTGTCGTCTCTATGTATGATTCTATGCTGGCTGGGGTCGTCTCTGTACATCTCGTTATGCTTGCTATTTTATTATGCCAATTCATGCCCTTGGTCATTATGTGGCCCATTGTAATCTGTGGTCAACTCTACCACTGCCTTCTTCCTCTTCGACTTTGCCTTCAAAGCCTGACGAAGGAGGCAATGCGGCCATACCCCTTGGCACTTGTGAGTCTAGAATATCTCCCGCCTTCGCAACAAGCGGTCTTAGATACCGTGACTCCTTGCCTCGCATCATGGACAATTTATTAAGCATTAGATGCAAGTACTGTCTGCCTTGCGCAAAAGTGTCGGATGTATCGCCAGAAGACACGTGCAAGACATCAGCAAGACAGCCAGCGATATCCGATAGCTTCTGCTCCATGCCGATGCCATGCGAGTCCAGAACAAGAGGATTTGCTCGCTCGGTGACGTTAATTGTACGACGGGCGAGTTCGATGGGGTAGTCGAGGCGTCCAGTGCCTGTTTGTCCTTTGTCGCAGACCAAGCCGTTGCTTACGCCCATCTGCCAGGCTAATACGTGTAGCCACTCCCTCGATACGCTGATGTCTATCCTGGCAGTCTCTGTGATGTCGGAAAGTGAAAGCGCGACCGTGTCAAGCGAACGTTGTGTTTCTGCTAGCCAAGGTTCTGAGCACAGGGCTTTCCGGCGGGCGCTGCCTTTCCAGATGCTGACAAAATTGTCGTCGATGGCGGAAAAGAGGTGGGCAAGGTTTACGAAACCGTGGAGGAGACGAGGATCTTCGGATTCAAAGGCTAGAGGGAGCTCGATGGTGGGGTGTAATCGGCAGTTCTTACGGCGTTGTATTGAGTATGCTCTGCGACAGTTCGTGTTAGTGGATGAAAAAGACGAGCGTTGTCAAGAAATGAAGCACCTTTCAGTTATGAAGAGTAACCAATAGAGCCTTCTCCTCCATTGTGCTTCCAAGGGGTCGAGTTTGAGCATCGAGTTCTCGTCGTCCATATTCAGATTCTCAATGAAGGAGATCGACTCTTGCAGGTAGTGCCATGCCTTCTCACTGCTCTCTTTGTTGCCGTAATAGGCAAAGATGAAGAAACTCGTCATGACCGTGACGGTGGTCGCGTTGCCAACGTAGTCAAATGTGCGACGTACTGCGAGGCACTCCTCGATAAACATATCAGCTGCTGATGTGGGTCTACCAGGTAGAGGTTCCATGTCAGGAACTGGTATTGCCGCGTCGAGCTGTACAATGGTCGCAGCGCAGATGGCGCATAGAAAGCCGTATGTCTCTGGTGGCATGTAATTGGTAGGGCTGTACAGGTATGGATCCAGATAGACTTGCTCATCGACCACAGGCATGATGAAATAGAGATGCTCGAAGAATAGCTGTACGTATGGTAAGAAGCGCTGATTTGGTATCCGTGGTACAGCGGGCTGTGGTTCTAAGGAAGGCGTATAGTAATTTTGAGGCCGGCGCGGTTGTGCTGACCAGAGATGGCTCATACTTTGATTGATGGGCATCACTCGAGGGTCCACGGGAGATGGAATAGCGTAGTTTTGTGGTTCTGGAGGTCCATAATAACCGTAGCCTGTGGTGATAGGATCTGCAGGGGTACCGGTAGGAAGCACGCTGTCGATAGCGCTGTGATTTGGTAATGCAGCTGGCGATGAAGATGAGCTTCCGTACCATTGGTTCATGCCATCCTGCAGTGCGACCGGACTACTCAGAGAGTTTTCGGGTGCGAGCGCTACAGATTGCTGATCGATCTTCCTCAATGCATGCAACACTCTAGCGCTTCTCAGGCCTTTCGGACCCTTCTTCTTGGGCGCTTGAAGGTAAGCACAACGGATAGTGGCCTTTCGACAAGGGCCGCAGGGACTCTCTCCATCACAACGTACTTTACGCTTCCTGCAGCAATCGCATGCTCGCTTGAGTGATTTTTGAGCACTTCCAGAGGCAGATTCTCCCGAGTCATTTTCAGCTGTTGTGGCCATGCACATGATTGACTTGGGTAGATGGCGTGGTAAAACGCAGATCCGTGAGCCGAAAGAGTCAGCGAGCAAAGAATGCTATCTTGCTGGCGACTTTGATCTAACAGGTCTCCAAAAACAGAGTGTAAGCATTAGGGATCGGCAATAAACAACAAGTCCCAAGCGCGGCAGCACCGGGATGTTTTTGTAGGAATGGTACAAGACAAGAGATGCGAGATCTCAGACAAGGGCTTTGGAAGATGACATGCAGTTGAAATGCGGGGAAAGTGTTTGCAAAATGGCTAGCCAAGCCGCCGAGGGCAGGCCGAATCTACCTGCAAGCCTGCCGCTGATCGGTAACCCCAGTCTCTCGAACCGGGCCCCAACCAGGCAGCCCCAACCCGGAGAAGGGTTGCCGGCACGACTTCCGTGTGCCGTGATCGAGTCCGTGCCGTAGTGAACACCAGGGAGTCTATTCTCCAGGTACAGTCTCGTTGAGTCAAGTACATGAGACTGTGTTTCGATGTGTAACGGGCGTCTTCTCTCATCGGTCCGGAAGCTTGAGAGTAGCGGTTGAGCAGTCGTCATATAAGAGTCTTTGTTTTTTCTTCCGCAACTGGGTCCAACCTCAGCATGTGATCGTGTGCACGTCGAGGACTGTGCTTCGCAGCGAGAGCGGACGAGAGCGGACACTCAACGCTCTGCAATAAAAGCCACAAGTGTCGCCTATAGTGCCTGCATATGGCAAAAGCCCATGGGGTCATCTGCAATTCGAAGTACAGAGAGAAGTCTTTGTATAAGTCACTCAAGTATGATGGTTTTGCTGCAGGTTGGGGTCCTCATGCTTGTCAATGTCGACGGCGGCGCTGCTAGCAACGAAGTCTTCAAGCTCCTCGCTAACAGTCTTGAGCTTCTCCTTGACAGTAGTAGTACCTTCAAGACCGACAATGTGCCGAGCAGGTGGGTTGTCATGACCTCCAATTGCGGCAACAGCATGAACCGTCTCGGCGACCAAAGACTCCTTCATGCCTTTGGTCAAAGGAGCGTAGATGGTGTTGATAGTATCAGACTGAAGCTGGTCGCCAGTCGTAGGCTCATCTGAACCTTCAAGGCGATCGAGCATTCCTGCTAGAATATCGCGGAATAGAGGAGCAGGGTTGTGGTCGGCAGCATAGGCAGGCATAGGCGGGGCAGCAGTTATACGGTTGGTCAAGACAGCGATCTCCATGTTGGGTTGTATAATAGTCATTTTGATGTTGAAGGGGGCGACCTCGTAGGCAAGACTGTCACAATAGCCTTCGATGGCCCATTGACTGGCGCAGTAAACGGACATGCCTGGAGTACCCATGTGGCCAGAGAGATTGGACAGCATGACAATATGGCCGTTCCTTTNTGTGCGGAAGGTAGGCAGGATAGACTTGATCACATTGACAGGGCCAAAGAAGTTTGTCTCGAACTGATCGCGGATGAGCGAGTGGGTGCGAGTCGTCTGTGAAAGTTCCTCGACGGTGCCAACTAGAGTCTCGGAAGTGCAGCAGAACAGAATGTCGATGCGACCAAAGCTGTGGACAGCCTCTGCGATAGCGCTCTGGCACTGACCCATGATGCGTACATCAACACCGACGACCCTCAACCTCCCGGACCATGTCTCCTGCTCTTTGACCTCGTCGAGGAATTCACGGAAGTGTGTTGACTGTTCGGCGTTCTTCTCGAACTCTAGCGGAGGCACACCGGCGACAACGTAGTCTCCATGGTCGAGGAGATGTCGCGCCAACGAGATGCCGACAGGGGAATTGGCGCTGGTCAGGAACCACACACGCGGCGAGTTGTGAGTCGGAAACTTTGGCTGTCGAGGCGGTTTGGGATCCACCGCTGCACTTGTGCTCATCGCTCCATCGACCGTGGTATTGGTATCGAGAATTGAGAATCGAGCACGAGGACAGTTGAAGCTTGGAAATGTCAGCCAGGGTGCCCACATCTCGACCATGGTCTTGGCAGCTTCGATCCAGTACTTCTTTCCCATTCTCCTTCTCTCTTAGCCCATGAACAAGTATATATTGCTGCCTTCAATGTATGGACATTCCAGCTTCAGTATCCCTTGTCAATCATCCTAGTACCGTGAACGGTGAGCAATACTTCATCTCAGCTAGCTTAAGTTAAAGACCAGACCTGGCTTTACTCTACACATAGTTGAGTATAAAAACGCCAACTAGGTTTCTCTTCCTGTATCACAGACAGCTCAACCACATTAACTGAGAGCAGTTCTTTCGCGAACTACCTACACTAGGACTCGGTTGTCTTCTCTCGTCAGCGTCCGCTAGCCGTCACATCTCGAGGATCCGTCGTCAATCAGGTCGCGAGCGCTGTCGTCTATACAAAGCAATCGCCTTCCAGCGTTTGAGTAGATACATGCGTGTTCTGCTTTCCTTCCGTAACAGAGGTCTCAGAGAGAAGCATATGCACGAAGTTCTGGTTTGATCTTACTTAGCCACGACTATCTCAGCCCTACAAAGCAAGATCTGCCCTCTGTATAATGATGAGTTCATCGATGTTTACTCTGCTATGCTTCCGTGATTATAGAGCAAAGAGGAGAAGCGCAGGTAAGTACTTTGCACGTAAGCCTGAGCATAAAGGGCTGAGCTCAAGAGCCATGATCGTTTCCTTAGAGAGAAGTCGATAAGAGTGAATTTTGATACACTGCCGTAAAGGAACACACGAGTGTGGGATGTCGTACTATTGATCGTTCTTGCCTAAGTACAGTGTTTGCTCTTGCCCTTCCATGGCGGCAGCTTTCAAATCCATGAGTGAGCATCTCCTACTTAAGTAGTCAATTCTTTACCAGCCATCAAAACACAGAGTACTCTCAGAAGTCTCGAATTGTCCACAGAGAGTGAAAAACTTGTGGTAAATTACTCTTTAGGCACACAAGTACCGTCTTTTCTCAAACATCCATCAGGACACTCTCCACCTCTAAACTGCCATCCAAACCACTTATCCATTTCCTCTGCAAGCACGCCTTTAACAACTTGCGTCTTGCTCTCCAACCTCCAAGCCCTGTCAATAACTTCCTGACTGCCAATATCAATCTGTGGCCACCCTAGCTCAATCAATCGTTGAATGCTAGTTCCATACACCACCTCTTTCAATCCAGCCCAGGCAATCGCTCCAGCGCACATGGGACACGGNNCTGTCTCGAAATCAGTTTCATATCCAAGAAATAAAGTATCTCTTTTCTTCTTTCTTACCTCAGCAGTAGTATACAGCGAAAAGCTCTTCCAAGCCTCCCGCGCCTCTTTTGCAGAAAACTTAAACCTTCCCTCTGGATCAGTAAGTATACTGCTACAATTCTCAAACGCCGCCATTTCTCCATGTAAAATAGGGTTGCCTGATTGATGGTTGTCGTTAACTCCAGTACATATCAAATCTCCAAGCTCTGAAGGATCAGAGAACGAGTTTGTATGATTGACTACAGCAGTTCCGTATGGTGCAAAGGGACAAGCAGAGATGGCAAGGTTTGCTGAACTCGCTATTTGCATCCAGTGGGCTCGTGTGGATGGGGGCAAGGCATTTGAGCTTGTGTTTGCTGTTTCTGATTCTTGTAGAGGGAGTTGGTTGAAGAGTAGGGAGTGGTGAGCTGCATGTTGTCGTGCACTCACTGCTTCGATCGAAGCTAGACCGAACAGGGTTATTTGATAAGGATGCATTTGGTACTGCTGTTGTGGTCAGAAGAAGTATCCGCGACGAAACTACCTACATGCAGAGCTTCAGGTAGTACATGCCGACGTCATACATACGAATGTGTTTCAAGATTGTTTTGAGAGCTCAGCTCACTGTGTTTGACAAAAGATGGAGGAATGTCGTCGAGAGCGCGGTGGCTCGTTTTATCTCTCGCTGTCTAATGCAAGGACATGGAGGTTTCTTCGGGAGATCACGGATAGAAAGAGAAGTTGGACGAGCAGAATGAACAAAAAAGAAATAAGGGCAAGACATGAGCTACTTCTAAACTACAATCTGCATGCAAATGCCCTGCCAGTTCTGCTTTCTTGACACATATCATGCCCAAAACCCTTTGCTGGTTGCTGTTTTCGTTTCACTGTGCTACAAACGTGACCATCCGAAGATGGAAGCACAAGTGCCGATACACGTCGACCCAAGCGCGCCGAAGAAGTTGAAGAGTGCGCTGTTGAACAAAATCAGCGTCTGTTTCGAGAGAATTGTCCTTCCGTCTTTTACACACCTTAGAAGCACTTGCGGTGGACGATCGAGGGACCGCTCTCGTCGTACTCTTGCTTTGAGATCCACATCTGCTGGAAGGTGGAGAGGGAGGCGAGAATGGAACCACCGATCCAGACGGAGTACTTGCGCTCTGGGGGAGCGATGATCTTGACCTTCATGGATGAGGGAGCAAGGGCGGTGATTTCCTTCTGCATACGGTCGGAGATACCGGGGTACATGGTGGTACCACCAGANNCTAGGAATTTGTTAGCTTTTGCTGCTGATTTTGGCGTTGTTCCAAAACTCACCATGACAATGTTGCCGTAAAGGTCCTTTCTGACATCGACATCGCACTTCATGATGGAGTTGAAGGTGGTGACGTGGATACCGCCGGATTCGAGACCAAGAACGGAGGGCTGGAAGAGAGCTTCGGGGGCACGGAAACGCTCGTTACCGATGGTGATGACCTGACCGTCGGGAAGCTCGTAGGACTTCTCGAGGGAAGAGCTCTGGCTGGCGGTCTGGATCTCCTGCTCGAAGTCGAGAGCGACGTAGCAGAGCTTCTCCTTGATGTCACGAACGATTTCACGCTCGGCGGTGGTAGAGAAAGTGTAACCACGCTCGGCAAGAATCTTCATGAGGTAGTCGGTCAAGTCACGACCAGCCATGTCGACACGCGAGATGGCGTGGGGAAGGGCGAAACCTTCGTAGATGGGGACAACGTGAGTGACACCGTCACCAGAGTCGAGGACGATACCGGTGGTACGACCGGAAGCGTACAGCGACAGAACGGCCTGGATGGAGACGTAGAAGGCGGNGGCGTTGAAGGTCTCGAAGACGATCTGGGTCATCTTCTCACGGTTGGACTTGGGGTTGATGGGGGCCTCAGTGAGCAGGACGGGGTGCTCCTCGGGAGCAACACGGAGCTCGTTGTAGAAGGTGTGGTGCCAAATCTTCTCCATGTCGTCCCAGTTGGTAACGACACCGTGCTCGATGGGGTATCTCAGGGTGAGGATACCACGCTTGGACTGTGCCTCATCACCGACGTATGAATCCTTCTGGCCCATACCAATCATGANTACTGCGTTATTGTCAATTCGAGTTCGGAAAACAGCTTCAAAAAGGGCTGCGTACCCATGGTGGCGAGGTCTTCCGACAATTGAGGCTGCAGCGCGTTAGATGGTGTATGAGAGACGCATTTTGGAAGCTCTGAGGTGGACTTACGGAANAACGGCTCTGGGTGCGTCGTCACCGGCGAAACCGGCCTTGCACATACCCGAACTGTAGCGAGTGTGTTAGCTGTGGCGGTCCTGGAGCTTTGAGTATGCGCGCCATTGAGCTGAAAGCAGCTGTGAGATCGCGTCGACAGCAGGCCAATGGCGCATGACGTGATCTCACAGGCAGCGACGGCGGAAGACGCGGACGGCGATGATTCTTACCCATTGTCGATGACGAGAGCTGCGACCTCCTCTGTAGACGCGAAAAGTGGTCAGCGGATGCTCATTGGAGGCGAGATGGGGACGGTGGCGATGGTGACAAGGAGGTGTTGGGCGGGTGAGGGGTGCGCAAGCAGCACAGTTCAGCACAAGGGAGAGACTCACCTTCCATTGCGGCGGTGTTGTTAGTGGATGTGAGTTAGAAAGTGTTGCAAAGAGTAAGGTGCAGCAAGGACTTGAGCTGCTTGAGATGGGACACGCGCGGTGGGGTTAATGGAGGTGATGAAGGGGGAAAGTTGGAACACTTGTCGTCCAGTCGGGCGGTGTGTGAGGTCGTCCAATTCCTTGGCCTGTGCAGGATGCTAGCCAACTCGTCCCGATTGGTCCGCTGGGCTGGCAAGTCTAAGCCTCCGGTTATCAACTGCCAAAGCCCCGTTGCGTGCGCTGCACGATCTGCCTTTGTTCACTTGATAAGACGTCAAAGTAGAATAATAATATGCGTGTAGCTCTGCTCACTCTCACTGCTGCCCTATATACCTTTTACCAAATGCAGCTGCCTTACTGCGCTGTGCAGGACGCGTAACACGCCCACGACTAAGCTCACCAGCATCCGACCTGACTACATCATGCCAAGTGCGTTGCTGCATGGCGGCTAGACGTTGCGCCCTCTCCCGAGTTCTTTGCCCTTCAATCCTCATCGTCTTTCGTGTCTTCACGCGTCCACCACCCAGATATCCCAGCCTCGATGTTCGAACGGCTGTCCCAGCAGCAGTCATCTTGCCAGCGCTTTGGAGCCATCTCGGCGCTTCAAAGTGGGGTTCTGGTTCTGCCACTTTCACAAATTCCTAGGGCCCCTTCCAATACGACGTGCTCCGTATTTCATTTACGCTCAGGAGTCAGAACCAGACTTGCCTCTGCAACATAGGAAATGCTCGAGTCCCAATTATCGTCACACTTGAGCTCTATCAGACGCCTCCTTGTCATCGACTTCGCCCTCAGTCTGGTAAGGGGAAAAAAGAAAGCAATTCGCGTTCCCCACGAGAGCTTCCCGGAGCCTCAGGCCGGTCCCGGCAAAGTTCACGCGCCGATGATTGCCAGGCTGGAGTCGCGAAACTGCCAACGGCTTCCATCAATCATACCAGCCTGCAGAAATGCACAATACTTTCGCAAAGAATGTCGTCTCCACAAGAAGCTCTTTCAGAGGCTATCTCCGTGGCCAAGGTCACATTTGGATCGGGACTGTGCATTTTAATAGCGTATAATGGCCTTATTACTCGCGACGAAGAAGGGACGATCGGGAGGTTGTAACAGTCTTCGGCATCTGGTAATGTTGCTCATATATGGTTGCGAAGTCAGGTGAGCATTTGAAAGGTAGGGCGCGTATGAGACGTATGTAGGCGAGCCATGGCTAAGGGGTCATGTTATGTACCCGGCTTTCTCAGAATGGTCAACGTCGAGAGGGTTAGTGTTCGCTCAAGTATTTCATGTACAGCTCGATCATTGCCAATTGCCCTGTATACCCCAGACTAGATGAGCAGTTGGACTATTGACCTAAAGGTGAATTGCACTGCTGCCAGTCCTCGTAAATCCGAGCCCGAGACATTGCATGATTCGGTCCAACCCTATGGAGGGAGTCCGATACCCTGGTGTCTATGATATAGTTGAGGTCAAGATCCTTGCGGTTCCTGTTTAAAATGTCTTGTTCTGAAGTTATTCGGTCCTAGTAGATGCTCACTTCAGTTCTGCCATTTTGCACCAGATCTCATATCACTCTGATCGATGGGGGTGGTTGAAAGTCGTTGGTCAAATCCACTTCGACATCTCAATAAACCAAGCAAGCTAAGTACGTTGGGTGCATACTGCTGTACGACACCACGACTCGACAACAACATGATTCTCAGCATGATGCTTGTATACTTGTCGGTATAAACCTTGAACTCACAGCCTCCAATTGCAGCATGAGTGCTTATAGCAGGTATGACAATGCATTATGTCAAAGCGACATGGGCGACCCTGGCGAGAACCAGAGTTGAAGAAAAAGGGATCAAAAAGAAAAAATCTAGATGAATCGAAGCGTCTCGAAGCACCCACCACCTTCGTGGAGCGCCTCGGCCCTCGAAAGCAAAACTGCTGCTGCGTCACCACAAAAATAATTCCTGCCCGCACAGCACAAACACTCATACACATCACCACCACCTTTTGCAGTTGCGATACCATTCTGTTCATCTTCTTCCGAGTATAAACCACTGAAGCTGAACTCCACATCGATTGAAACGCATTTGCGAAAAGACACTACACAACCAAACCAACCACTCACAATGAACGACCCAGGCCTCAACACCCTCCTAAAATGGTCCATCGAGAACTCCGCCGTCTCAGACAACGCCGAGCCCAACCAACCACGCACACAACTCACTCCCGAACTGCTCGCCCAATTAATGGGTGGGCCCTCCGATGCCGACCGCATGATTCAAGCCATGCAAGCCATCCACGACCCCGAAGTCGACCACGAGAACAAAGGAATCGCTTGGGACAATTTCGAGCAACTGGTTGAGAACCTGGATAACGCGAACAACATGGAGCAATTAGGGTTGTGGATGCCTTTGGTGCAGAAGCTGGAGAGTGAGGATAAGCAGGATAGAGAGATGGCTTGTTGGTGTTTGGGCACTGCGGTACAGAACAACATCAAGTCTCAGGAGCGTGTAAGTTTCTATGCCTTCTTTCTGACAGTGTGAAACAAGAAGCTGACATTCGATGAACAGGCGCTAGCTGTTGGTGCTATCGAAAAGGTCGCAAAGCTCTGCTCAGACGCAGATGCAGGTGTGCGCAAGAAGGCCATCCGTGTCATCAGCTCCGAAGTCAGAAACTACCAACCCGCTCTGGATGAGGCAGTCAAGTACTTACCTGCGGAGCTTGTTGGTGATGGCAAGTTCGATGCCGATGATATGGCAAACGTCGATGTGCTTGTCAATGGTCTGAGAGAGAGGAGTGCTAAGATGGCTTAATGCAAAAGAGATGGGACATAGATGTAATTGCATGATACTGAGGCGTTTTCTGGATTGGGCCGGACTGGTACACAAGTCTGGATGAACCTTATGGGTATACGAGTAGAAGTAGCCAAGAGGCGGCTGCCTTAGAATGAACGATCCCCCTTTTCGCGTATCGCCATCCCTCTGTCTTTGTGACTCGTGATCATTTACTCCTCTCAGCGCAGGCTTGAGAGCTCGTATTCAAGACTCGACCTAGGCGAACCCGCTTTGAGGGCGTCTCTTGCTCGTGTGACTTTGCTCTTCTGGAGTGCAGACGGTGCTCCAGAGATCCAGCCTGCTCATATCGCGCAACATGGCGAGTCCAAGATGCTCGACCTGCCCTAGGCATCCATGTTGAGATGCTGAAAAGGCGCCACGACTGAGCCTTACTGGTATATCATTCCCAACGTCCTCTCTTCCTTCACAGACACTCCAGACAAGCTCCGATCAACTCATCAAAAGCCTCTCTTCCCTGATCAGCCTTCTCCAAGCCCAAGCCCACCACAAGCATCCTCTGCTCTTCAGGATTTCTCATCAACAGCGCCGTAGCAAGCGTTGTCGCCAACGTCTGTCCCAGTACCTCAAACTCTCCTCTTGTGCCTCCTAACACGGTGGTCGCCGTCAAATGCGCAAACGGCAACAGACTCGCATCAACATCGGTCTCGGAGGATGGATTCAGGAAACCGTTGTCTAGAGGGCGACCTCCAGCAAGAGGAACATGGAGCCAGTGGTTCAAACGGCCGGATTGAGAAACTGTGAGGACGAGCTTGTCGGCGAAGTTTAGGGCGGTTATTTGGGTGGGAATGCCAGCGATGGTGTTGCTGTGTGACTTGCTGGGTGCGGGAAAGCTCGAGAAGGTGAGGTCTGGTGGCTGTGACATTGTAGCGGTGGATTGTGATTGCGTCTGCATAGCGATTGGAATCAAGACGAGATGATGGAGCTGTTCGTCTATCAAGCAGCGAAACGCAAGCACAAGTTCGCATTCACAAGCAACGCTAGCCCCCACATCTCCAACGGGCCGACCCGCGGGCATGCATGAGCTTAAATCGGGAAAAGTTCCAATCGCCAGCAAAGTCCGACATTTTATGAACAAGTCCATCTTTTCTCTCTCTTCACACACCTCCCGGCAGGTTCAGTCGGAATCATGCCACCCAAGTTTGTGCCCCGCGATCGCAANAAGGGCAGAATCGCCAAAGCCAAAGCCAGAAACTCGCACTCCCACGACGAACCCCAAGATGCAAACGCCGCCGAAATCGTACCTCCTACACCTTCAGAAAAGNNGGAAGCCCGTCGCACTGCGCTGCAAGCCGAGATTCGCGCTCAAAACAGCACTTCGGTCATTTCTGGCAAGAANAAGAAGAGATTGGACAAATACATCGATAACAAGCTCAAGAAGGAGGAGAACCTGGCCTTGATCAAGAAACTCGCCGCGCAAAAGGTCGACACGAGTTTATTGCTGAGCTCTAAGAAGTTGGGAAGAGGTGGAGAGTCTGCCAGGGAGAGACTGGAGAGGGCGCTGAGGGAGAAAGAGCAAGGCATCAACCTTGAAGCGAATGATGCTATTCTGTTTGAGCANAGAAAGAGACCAGCTCTTGAGCTGGAGAGCGAGTCAGAAGATGAGCAGACTTCGACACCACAAGCAAGCACTTCGAAATCTGCTTCTGCTAAAACCTCAGCATCCGTACCCACCACAGCTCCTGCGCCGGCGCCAGGCAAAGGCGGTCTCTTTGCTGCTGGCCAGGGCTTATTTGGCAGTGGGCTGAAGAGGCCACTTGAGATGGACGAGGAAGGAAAGCCAGTCATCAAGAGCAGGAAACGTACAAAGATTATTAACAAGTCTGCCCCTGTAGTCGCTCAGGAGCCCGAATGGGAAGGCTTCTCCGGCGACGAGGATGGTGAGGAAGACGATGATGAAAGCCAGAGTTCAGAAGAGGACATCGAAGATGGCGAGGGAGAGTCAGAAGAGGAGGATGAAGAGGAGGGCGATGACGACGAAGAAGACTCAGAAGAAGATTCGGAAGAAGAGTCAGACTCAGATGANGGATATGGACGATGCAGAGACCGTCAAGGAGGCGCAAAAGCCCGTTCATCTGCCTTCAAGATGTGGGCTACCGAACAACGAAACCAGGCCATAGGCTTCGTACCTTCAACAAACCTCGAAACCGTAAACGCGACGACCGTCAAACAACCAACAAATTTCGTTCCTCGCGCTCCTTCACCAGAAACCCTCCCTCCCGAACTCGCAGTATCCGCCACCACAGAATCAGACAACCGTCCTGCCGTCAGTCTGGTCATCCCTCGCACTCCCGAGATTCAAGAGGCGAGGTTGAAGTTGCCAGTTGTGCAAGAAGAACAGAAGATCATGGAAGCTGTCCACAACAACAACGTTCTTGTCGTCTGGGGTGCCACTGGTTCCGGTAAAACGACACAGGTCCCTCAGATGATGTTCGAGAGCGGCTACGGCAGCAAGATTGGACAAACAGACGGAGAAGGCAAGGCCAAGGGCATGATTGGTGTCACTCAACCTCGTCGTGTCGCTGCTGTCAGTGTGTCCGAGCGTGTCGGCACTGAGTTGTGTGACATGAAGGACCGTGTTGGTTACCAGATCCGTTTCGATACCACCGTCTCCAAGGACACTGCTATCAAATTCATGACCGATGGTATTCTGCTTAGAGAAATCGCCAACGACTTCATCTTGTCCAGATATTCTGCCATTGTCATCGATGAAGCCCATGAACGCTCCGTCAACACCGACATCCTGATCGGTATGATGAGTAGAATCGTGGATCTTCGTGCTCAAATGGCAAAGGAGGAGCCCGACAAGTACTACCCTCTCAAGCTCGTCATCATGAGTGCCACTCTCCGCATCACAGATTTCACCGAAAACACTCGCCTCTTCAGAAACGGTCCGCCGCCGATTGTCAAGGCAGAGGGCAGGCAGTTCCCTGTCACTGATCACTTTGCTCGCAGGACAACACACGACTATGTCGACGATATGTTCCACAAGGTCAGCCGAGGTCACAANAAGCTGCCACCTGGTGGTATGCTTTATTTCCTTACTGGTCAGCAAGAGATTATTCAACTCGCCAAAAAGTTGCGCCAGGCTTTCCCTGCCGATACTGGCAGCCAGGTGAAGCAACCCAGAGTTCATGTTTCTGCTGCAGATGCTCCACTAGAAATTGACGATATGGACGCCGAGGCTCAACCTGCACCAAGAAGAGACGACGACGACGATGACGATGATGACTCGGACGTTGAAATCAAGGGATTGGATGATGAGGAAGATGACAAGGAATTCGTGATCGAAGGGGAAGAGCAACCCGTGGAAGCGCTCAGGGTGCACGTGCTACCGCTGTACTCGCAGCTTCCCACTAAGCAACAACTCAAGGTCTTCGAGGAACCGCCGGCAGGTTCAAGACTGATTGTTCTTGCCACTAACGTTGCCGAAACATCTCTCACCATCCCTGGCATCCGCTACGTATTTGATTGCGGTCGCTCTAAGGAGAAGAAATATGAAGCTTCGACTGGTGTTCAAACGTTCGAGATCGACTTCATCAGCAAGGCCAGTGCTGCACAAAGAGCCGGTCGTGCTGGTCGTACAGGACCAGGTCACTGTTACCGTCTCTACTCATCCGCCGTCTACGAGCGCGACTTCGAAGAGTACGCCATCCCTGAGATTCTGAGATCACCCATCGAAGGCGTTGTTCTGTCTCTCAAGAACATGGACATCCAAACTGTAGTCAACTTCCCCTTCCCTACACCGCCAGACCGTAAGGCATTGGCCAAGGCTGAAAAACTTCTCACCTACCTTGGTGCTATTGATGCGCATGGCAAAATCACAGAGACCGGAAAGGAGTTGGCAGCATATCCATTGTCACCTAGATTCGCAAGAATGTTGTTGTTGGGCAGACGCTACAATCTCTCGGCTCACACAGTAGCCCTCGTGGCTTCACTCGCTGTTCCTGAGCTCTTCATCCCTCAGACTCAATACAACCTTGAGAACGCTCCTGATGAAGAGGAGTCAGAAGACGAGAATGACACAGCCAGAGAACGCTATGCTAAACGCCAGATCCGCACAGAAGCAGACAACATTGCTGCCTCAGCGGCAGAACTCAAGAGGAAGGCATACGGAAAGGCCCATGCCACACTTTCACGCTGGGATGATCGCAGTGATGCATTGAAGCTCTTGACGGCAATGGCCGCATACTCCGCTTCCTCATCTCCCGCATCCTTCTGTTCCGACTACTTCCTGCGCGAGAAAGCCATGAAGGAAGCAGGACAACTAAAACAGCAATTAACAGCCATCGTACGCAGTCACTCACGCACCGGCACCGACGACCCAACACTCTCCCAAAAGACCCTCCCACCACCCACAGACAAGCAACGCGCCATCCTCAAACAATTCGTCGCAGCAGGCTTTATCGACCAAGTCGCTGTCCGCGCCGACATCATCGGTGTAGCACTATCCCGCAGCCCACGCCGCGCAATCGAAGTCCCCTACCGCACACTCTTCACCTCCAGCAGTGGCGACATCGTAGGCCAAGACCCCGAAGCCCGCGCCGCAGCAAAACTCTCTTACGTACATCCGTCTTCTGTGCTTGCAAGACTTACAGTCGCTGAGATGCCTGATTATATCATTTACTCGCATTTGTCGCGTCAAGCACCTTCGCCTCCTTTCGATACAATCCCTAAAACTAGACTGCACCCTTTGACAACAGTGACTGCAAAACAATTGGCAAATCTTGCAGAAGGAACACCGTTATTGGAAGTCGGCAAGCCGGTTGGTAAGATTGAGCAATTGCCTAGAGGTGCTGATGGTAGAGAACGCAGAGAAGTCTGGGTTGGGTTGAGTTTGAGGGGAGANAAAGAAGGTACTCCTTGGCCTGTTGGTGCTAGAAAGGTGGTACAGAAACGCATTGGCGGTGCTTGGGAGATTGAAAAGGTTGTTGGTTAATGTTATATGCACAAGATAGAATGTATAGAAGGCAGACTTGCCGTACATAATATTGAATGTTCTGGCCCTAACTTCATTGAGCTTGGTATAAAAACATGTCTTTGTATCTGACCGCTCTGTCTTCTTTGAATATGGACCAACGCTTGCACCAACAAGCATCTGTGGCAGCTGCGTTGCTTAACCAAATCCTTCCGTTGAATCTTTTTGGCACAAGTCATTCAAGTACGATATTCCGGTCGACGCACGTTTGCATATTGCAAGGGATCCCCGTGTCTACAATAGGGCAAAGACGTAAGACTTTGTGGGAAAGCACGAGGGCAAACATTAGTCTATCGCTGGAACACGGTGGTAGCCTTGAAAATCAACATGTCTGCTACAGACATCCGGGCACGACATTCTGGTCGATGCACAGTTATGTTTTGCATCAGCTCCCGAGACCAATATTGTGGCAATGTACGAGGGTAAACACTAGATTGGTTGTTGCATACGGCGATGACCGTGAAAATGGTACTTCTGCTAGTGGCATCCGGTCGATGCCTAGTTGTATATTGCATGAAGATGCGGTGGCCACAGCCAAGCGAAGGTGCAGAAGTTTGCGGTCATGCACGAGGGCGAAGGTTGGATTGGTTGTTGCTAAGGGCGATAGCCATGAGAATGTCACATCTACGGTCTGCTCTGCAGTAGCCTCTCAGTTGTGATATTGCAGCATTACAATGCATAGTACTTTTAGCAAACAAAGTGATGTCCACAGAGAAATGTTGTCTTGTATAGCTTTCTTTAGACACAAGCTTAATATCGGAATCAACTGTGCATTTCGATAGCTTATTGTTCACTATATGTTCTCACGAGGGATCATATGTAATAATTCCATGACGTATACTATCCTCTACAGGATTCCTGTGTGATATAAAGAAAACTGTTTTATTATCTATTACTATAGTCTATTTAGATCCTCACTTCATCCTACGCTTCCCAAATTCTCTCGATCCATCTCTTGACAGCTCCCTTCCAAAGCGCAGGCCCAGGAATAGTATAACTCTTCAACACAGGCCAATAGATACTGATAGCAATGCTTTTACTATTAGTACTGTAAAGCTTGGTAGCCTTGACACCTGCAGGCTTAGCAGTGCCCTTTCCAGAGATCTGGAAGTTGATACAGTTAGGGTAGTTTTGAGCACCATTGGCTTTATCTGCACTGTGTAGAGCAATGATCTCATGGCGGAGGACGTAAGAGCCTTGAGCCAAGGTGGGTGGGATGGTAACAGTCCAAGAGTTGTTGTTTGCAATGAGAGTGTCGGAAGCCCAAGTACTGGTTCCAAGTCAATATTGTTGATTGTTGTATAGAAAAGAGCGATATAAAACTTACCCAGGTGCAGGATTGCCATTAATCAGACCCGCTTGATCAATCTTGAACCAGTCAAGAGTAGTAGGGTTGACAATACTGCAATCTCCAGGACACTTGGCAAGATAAGTGATAACCGGTCCTTTATGACTAGAAGGCCAATCACTCCAAAGCAGTCTTACTTTATCTCCAGCCTTGACAGGGATACGTGTGTTTGTGGACTTGGCGCTCTTATGGCAAGCAATGTCTGCAGTATTGTATTCGGAAGGAGAGATGAATCCGAGGTCTTGGTTTAGTGATGACCAGCCGGCGGTTTTGGCATGAGGAACGTTCGGGTTGACACGCCACCAGGGTTGGGCTCCAGGATACCATTTGTGGCCGGTGACGATGCCTTGGACAAAACCGTGGGCAGTGACGGTAGTGGTGAAAGTGATGAAGGTCAAAAGACCGGACAGAATGGCCAAAGTCGAATGCATGGTGCTTTTGTCCTTGTCCAGAAATTCGGGTTGACTTATTAACAGTAGGTAGTCTTCGACTCCAGAGTCGAGATACAAGAAGAGAGTGACTAGCAACCAAAGGGACTGCAACAGGAAAGAAAGAGTGAGCAACGTAAAGGACAGAAGGAGGCTTGAAGGAAAAAAAAGTATGAAGGGCTGTCCACCTACATATACCTTGCCATCTCCCGCAGCCAAGTTCACTTACCGTAAGGTACAACGAGTAAAACGTACGCCCATACCGCGACCTCTAACGTTCATCGAAAGCGACCAGGGTCAATACCCTCTACTCAGAACTTTTAGATTAAGAAACAGACAAAGGAGAAGTCGCAGCGCCGTTAGGGGAGGTTGCCAATGCCATGCAGAGACCTAGACCTCGCGTGCCTGCCACGATATTTTAATAGTGCGCTCTTGAAATCGAATCACTGTTTCAAGTGGAATAGGCATGCATCTTGGAGATCTGTTCCAGGACCACAACGTTAGGTAAACGGCGGTTTTTAACTGTTGGTTGCTGCTGTTTCCTTGCCCGTCGCGAGGCGTTGGACAGTTGGAAGAGAGAAGCGACCATGGCACAGCAAGAGCAGCCGAGCTCGTCTAAAACTGCCTCAACAACTGTACACCTCATACTACACCAACATCAGAAAAGCATCACAAGTCAGAAGTATGCACATACACTTGATTTATGTCTGTATATATATGTGTGTGTATTGAAGGAAAGAATCACTTTGAGTAAACCTTAGTAAAGGGGATGAAAACAAGAGTCCTTCGACCCGAACGCAAACCAGAACACACACCTTTTGCAAAAATAGCAAACTCGATCCATTTTCTTTATAGAGTCTAAACCAGCAGACATCAATCGATCGTATTCTGCCACCTATCCGATGTGAGGGAAGTAGAGCGAAAAGTTTGGCGTAACCAACACGGACTCTGGCAAGTATGCAAGGCTAAGGAAGCTCTCCACCACTAAGTAGACTCTAGCGAAGACGTAGAGTGGCGTGAAGGGAGATAATAACCAACCCAAAATCTCAAGCGCCCATACTACTACAGACAAAGGAAGCACCTCCATGAGGTATGCGTCATAGAGATTTAGAGGCATACATATCAGGATAATGACACCAAGACCTGCAGTTGCAATTCCCGAGATCTTCCAGAGCAAACCGTAGATCGGAGCATGGAAAGGAGCATTCCAGGCCAGCAAGTGTAGTCCACCGTAAAACAAGGACGCTGCAGACACGGCTAGCATCTCTGACTCCCGTCTGAACTTTTCCCATGCTTGCATATCCGAAGAGGAGGTTCTGAAGAACCGCCTGAAGAACCGCGAATGTGACTTCAAGGGCTCTTGCATCGGTGGATTCAGTCTGAGAATCCAATCGTGGATTCGATCGATAAAGGGCCGATCAGGTCTGCCGTATCGTTGCCCCTCGGGAACAAATTCAGAACCGCGACCTGCTGTATCGAGCCATGCAAGGTATGATCGCTCTAGACGATGGTCTGATGATTTCTTGTCTGTCTCTTTTGGGGTCGACTCTGTATTGTTTTGCCCAGATCTCATGTGTTCAACTCTGAGCCGATTTAACTTTTGCGAGACAAATGGTATGTCAATCCTATATGCTCAGTACCGACTGTAATCCTGAGGGTCGATTTCTGGGAACTTTTATACATTGCGACTTTGCTGAAAAAAGGTCAGTGTTCACTTTTCATAAGCTATAATGTATGTCATCAACTTACATATGTGAGTGCGAGTCGTGGACATCAAATAATTGCCTGAGTTGTTCGACTTGTAGACCTGCATACCTAACCAGCCTCCTTTCGTCAGTGTCAACGTNNCGAATCCTAAGCCTGTCCGGTGAAGATGCTCTTCCTCGTTACAAACGAAAGAGTGAGTTCCGTCGAGAGTCGCACGAAAACTGGTGTGGAAGTCGCATTGATATTCTCTTTCCCAGCGATAAAAATCAGAATCCTCTTCTAGACTTAGAGATTGAACGCTATGTGCCATGCGAGACTCTGAAGGATCTTTCCGACGTGTATACCTGTATCCTGTTTCAACAACCTCGGCGAGAGGATGGGGCAGTCTCGGCACCGTCCTTGAGGTGAATGAGCAGAGCAATGCGACCAATCCCTCATGTTCTGGCTCGTCTTTGAAATCTATGACTGTGGGCTCTGTAATGTCCATAGGCTTATTCCACCAGATCGCATAGATGATGAATGTACAAATACAGTGTCCAAAAACGTTGAGCTCAAGGAGACTGATTGAGGTGTTCGTAGTCAGTCGCACAATACATTGAAGACAAAACCAGAACGCTTGTAGGCATGTCAAGGTCTTAACAAGAGTGCTTGCTTTGCTTTTGTCGAGTATTCCAGCTTCAGTAAGATCGGGAAGAACTTCAGGGCAATGTTTCAATAGCCATTGTATGCCGGTTTTGGTCAGCGTCACTCTCCCCTGGCTAGTGATGGGATATTGTCCGTCCAACCAATGGGATTGTATCACGTACCCGCCCATAGCTGCGTAGAATCCATGGGTCAAGGTTATGTTCGGATGAGACTCAGAGGAAAATCCTTGCTCAGGATCTAGGCAAGGNNTCTCTGCTACAATATGATAAGCAGTAAATCTTTAGGATTGAGCACCGACCCATACCTCCGGGTGCAAGAAGTGATGATGGGGAGATGACCGTACTGGTTTAGAAGCTTCGATGAAATCATTTGTGAGCTCCCGAGCTATACAGCGCTGTTTCCAGGCGTTCCATGCAACCGTCTCCGGAGCAAGTAGACCCAAGAGCAACCAACCGGGTTTACGCAAGAAGCTCTGTTTTGTTCCTCCATTGTGCTCTGGGATGTTGAGGTGTACGGCAGTCCACACACACAAGATCAAGGTTGTCAAACACGTGGAAAGGATACTAAACGTGCCGCGTCCTCGAGGTTCCGGGTACCAGGTCGCAGAAGTGTTAACAGCATGGATTGAACATGATCGGAATATCAACGTGAAGAAAGGAGGCCAAGGAAAGTCGAATCGCAATAGATTGGCACCGTATATCTTAAGATTAATATCTTCGAAGGAGATTGCGTGAATCGCTGTATGTGGATGCTGAGCCTCCACCACGAGGGCTTAGCTGTGAGGCTTAGCGCGCATTCCAGCATGAAGCTTCGGGTTTGGGAGTGTACAACAAGCTAACCAGGGACCGGGAACATGAATTCATGTACGGCTGAATTCGCGTCCGTTAGATAGTGCGTGACTTGCAGATTGCTTGTCTCAAACTTGGTATACTCACGATTGGCTCCAATTCTTGAATATACTGAGGCATGGATGTGCGCGCTATCCAATAGCTCTTTCCCCATCCCAAGGTATGAGGGCTATTATAAGCCATTGACATGCCGTACCTGCAATTCGAAGTTGAGTCTGGCCATTGAGATCGTATTTAATGGGGTTCTCTGTGTGGAGACCACATTCTTTGCGACAGTATGTATTGTGCATTTTCGTAGCTATACTGCGACTGCTATGAGTGGGGCGGATGTACCCTGTACGTAACAGTACGTAGAAGCTATAATTGGATCCGAGGGTTGTACAGTGCAGCAAGAAAATTGGCCAGGCGTAACGCAAGCCATGATCGATTGGTTGTCGAGAGAGATAGTGTGTATGAGGCGTCTGCAAGTCCGACGCGTTGTCATCATTCACGTGTTGTCGCTTCCATACTGTAAATCTTTTGAAAACACAAGCAAGGCGGCTGAGTCAGCGATAGAAAGATGCAAGACTCGTGACAGCAGAGCAATGTCATTGCACCGTCGACGTTCGTCAACGCACGAAGCAATCAATAGCGTACAGTCGTGACTCGGATACTTCTAATGATTACTTGAACACCCGGCTAAAAGGTATAGATGCCAGCGTCCATATGATCATAGCACCAAGACAAGACCCAACACCGATGAGCACAAAGTAGTAGTTGTGGCTCGTGATATAGCCGATGCTGTCAGCATCAATCCAGAAAACGACGGAAGAGATTACTGCTACACCGATCTGCATCCAGACGATAATGGTAGCGAACAGTGTCGAAGTGTAGAATGGTATCTGATGTTCCAGTGTTTCCACTGAACGTTGAGAGGGTCTCAAAACCTCGAGCGCAGCGAACATTGCTGAAAAGGTCTGTGGATCGTCCAAGGTGTTTCGATGTGGTAACATGGAACCGAGCTCGTAGGATTCTTCCTCGTCCTCGCTGTCGAGAGAGGCGCGATCAGAATTCTTCTTGTGCTTGCGCCCTCTGTAGTTCTCAAGGATCGCACCCAGCGGTTGGATGAGCAAAACAAGAGGTACAATCTGACCAAACGTCCACTCATCCTCCTNTTTGTTCCACCAAGCGTTTTGCTGACGTGGAATGACAATCTGGATGGTACCGTAGACCAGACCAACATACGACAACCACAGAGATGCAGCAAATGACGCAGCAAACTCGAAGATCGCCAAGGAGATTATGTAGACTGTCATTGCTGCATGATACTTCCATGACAGAGTGTATCGCTTTGCGCGCCGTCTTGGAGCTTTAAGCGCTTCGGCATGTAATCTCCGCTCTAGCAAGTATTCGGTAGGTCCTCTGATTCGACGGTGAAATATGTTTCGAGAGCTTTTGAACAACGCACCAATCTTCCAGATATACGATGTGATGAGAATCAGGTAGGCTAAAGGCGCATCTGGATTAACACCTTCACCCCAAGTTTTGAAGAAGAAGCATTTAGCTGGGATCGCCCAGCTGGTTCGTACATCATGTGTCTCTTGATCCGGACCCCACCAGAGTGCCCAAAGATTGGATGCGGTAGGTACCAGAGCCACAAGTAGTAGGACTAGTAGCACTAGCATACCGACGATACGCCAACCCAGCACCGCAGGCCGCTTGCGAAAATAGTCTCCTAGCATTGTGAGAGCCGAAAGGTGGACCGAGCTTGACATCCAAGCCAGCATGATGACTGTTTGGAAGTGATACACGGAGATACGGCCATGTAAGCCTATGAAACCCGCAATACAGATGGCGATACCAGTGACGATCTGTTGGTCGCTGAAGAGGAGAACACATTGTTGCAATGCCTTATGCCATGAAGGACTCGTGCGTCGCTGTGATGGAAGTCGATGGACATAAAAGTCCACAGGTCGCAAGAGACTTGCATCGATTGAGCCCAGTAAATATGAGACCAGCACAATTGCGAACGTGATATAGGCGCTGAGTAAAAACGCCAGTATCGCACCTACGCCAGAGATCTCGCTATCGGCTTCTGGGATTGCTCCTTCCTCCATCCAGTATGCACATGTTTCCGTCGTGATGGTCGCATTAGTGACATTGCCCGACATTGTGTTGCCAAAGAAGCGCTTCTGAGGGCGACATATCCAACTCACCACGCACGATGAGGGGTTAGAGTTGTTGTATAGCTTGCTCGTAAGACATGGTTGAAGGTTCTTCTTCGGTGAAGCAACGGCGAGCTAAAAATATCTGGAAATCGAACTCTGTTATGCTCCAGGCAGACAGCGACCTCTTTCCACATCGGGCCTATTACAAAATAGGGTAGGACATGGCTTTGTTTTGCAGGGCCTACGAGGAAGTTTGTCACATAACATCCACGAATCGCAACAACTGACCGAGAATGCCACCTTATGACAATTCTGAGTAGTCTCCAGAGGTAAAGTAGAATAACAGCTGCGTCTCCTGCAGCATCATAAATCATCTCATACTCTACTATGCAGCCAAAGAAGAGATTCCCCAAAAATGCTTGTTCCAAACCATCATCGTCCCTTGTCCTTTCCTTCATGCAAAAATAATTCGTTATCATCGCTATTTGCTGCCTCTCCTGACCTTCTCTAACAACTCCTCCATCTTGAAAGGCTTCGCAATAACATCATTCATACCAGCATCCGTCATTTCGCTTTGTTGTTCTTGCCTCACATTAGCTGTCACACCAATAATGTTGACAGCCGGCAAATTATTGTCCCCTTCGAACTTNNCCCTGATCTCCCGTGAAGCAGTTTTACCATCCATGACGGGCATCTCCTGGTCCATGAGTACGCAATCGAACGGAGGCTTGTGTTCGGATGAACGGGCTGTGATCATGTCTAGGGCCTCCTTGCCATTATCTGCAGTCGTGACATTGAAGCCCTTAGATTCAATCTTCTTCTTCAGAAGTTTCTGGTTGATGAGGTTATNCCTAAACAATTGTGTCAGTAATCGATATGTCACCGTGGCGACAGCACTTACCTCGACGAAGAGTATGGTAGGCTTTGAGTTGCTTTGCGGGTTCGAGATCTGTGTCGCAGATTTGCCAGGTTTTTCCTCAGTTTGCTTTGCCATTTCTTTCTCGCTTTCTCGGTCTCCCTGGCCGTCTTTCTTGTCACTGTTTTCAGGATGAGCAAATTTCACTTGCTCAAACGTCGGGTCTGGTCGTTGTGAACCTCGTCCTGCGTTCGCTGGTCTCTTCTNTTGCCGTTGAGATTCGTCATCTATGGCTCTGGAATGTGATGTTTCGTCTTGGTCGCATGCTGACTCGCAGTTTTTGTGCTTTTCGCCCAACTGATCTGCCATGTCGGCTGTGTGTTGCCATCGATCCTTTGGCGGGTTCTCGCTGTTTGTACCAGTATTCTCCTTGGATATGTTCTTCAAGTCGTCCGGCACCTTGTTTTCATCGACTTCTGTCGAATCCACATGTCCGGATTTTTTGAGTCTTTCGGATAGCTCATTCGGTTCCAGCTTGTCGGCATCTTCTGGTTCGCCACCTCGTCTGACCCGGAAGAAGAAGCCAAAGGTCGACCCTTCACCGTCAACCGAGCTAACTCCAATTTCTCCACCGTGCAGCTGGCACATTTTCCGGGCAATGTTGAGGCCAAGTCCAGAACCACCATACATCTGCCCCGTCTTCGGTGTAGCTTGTTGGAATCGTTCAAACAGCTTGGCTTGGTTCTCTTTGCTGATGCCGATACCAGTGTCTTTGACCGCAACCATGATATACAGAGGCTCTCCATCGCCCCACTCAGGGTTGCCTGTTGCGTCAGTCTTAAGGCCAACTTCGTCTGTCTTGAAGAAAACGACGTTGGGTGGATATGATGCTGGTCTCTCTAACGAAGCGGCGACTTCGATGTCGATCTTCTNTTGGCGCTCAGACTTGGTCGTGAATTTGATGGCATTGGTCATAAGGTTGACAATCACTTGACTGATTCTTACAAGATCCGCCATGACCCAGTCCACGCTGCATTTGTCATATTCAGGTTTGATGGTGTAGCTAAAGTCGACGTTTCGCTTGCGTAGTTCTGGTTGGAAGATTTTGAGTGTGTCTGCCATTTGGACCTTCGGCTTTGTAGCCCNTGTATGAGAAATTAGTAGTTGCTTTCGATCTCGAGTCAACCAAGCCTACCGAGGAGCAAGCGAAAGCATCGAGGCATCGAGTTTCGAAAAGCTGAGCACGTCGTCTACAAGGGTTTTCTACGAGGGGAGTTAGCCGATGACGTTGAGCGTTTGATGCACGAGACTGACTTGATGGTCTACGCAAAGTTGGATGGTGTGGACAGCATCTACAATCTCGTCTACTGCGATATTGTCAGATACTGCTTGGCCGTCCTGCACAGCATCCAGTATATTCTCGGCACAGTGTAAGACAGCAGACAGCGGGTTTCTGATCTCGTGGGAGATCATATCGATGAAACGTTCTTGCTGCTGTTTCCTTTCGCGAGCTTCCTTTGCAACTCTGGTCTGGGCGAGCTCGGCATTCTTCATGTCGGATACATCAATAAGAGCACAAATGTATCCACCGAATTGTCGCAGATCAAACTGCTGAAGATTGTTCTTTCCGAGTGGTCGCATTAGGAACAGCCTCCATTGGTTCTCGCCAAAAGCCCTAAATTCAGTTTCCAGGTCCGTCTGTGAATCGAAAGCCTTGTGGTACTCAGCCATGACTCTCTCGTAGTCGTCTGGATGAATAGTCTCAGGCCACATTCTAAAAGACTGATCTGGACCACGATGTGCGGTAAGGTCATGAAATTGGTGGTTGACAAATAGCGGATCTGCCTTGTGATTGAGAATAGCAAGACCAGTTGGTAGCATCTCTGCAAACTTCTGAAAGAATGGTTGACGGTCCAAAGCGGTCTCCTCATGGTTGACATAGTTGTTCATATCTTGGTCAGATGATCCTTTCTGGCCTTGGTCCTTCTCGGAGGTCTCCCCTCTGGCGGCTTCACTATTCGTGTGCGTTTTGCTGAATATTTGTACCAGGACGCCTGCGATCTTCGCATTATCGTGTATCGGACTGCAGACGACAGGTGATTTCTCAGTGTTTTTGGCATGGTTTTCGGACAGTTCGGATGCGGAGATAGGTCGAGATATGCGGCCTTGGAAATAGTCGCGAAGGGTATCTAACGTGTGTTTACTGAAGGCGTCGTTCGGCGGTCTGCCTTGTTTCAAAGCGCTGTGTGATGTTGCTTCCCAGGCTTCATTGTATATCATGGCGAGGTCGTCGCCCCAGAAGATGGCGGCTGGGTGTGAGAGGGTGAAGATGAATGGCGCAAGCGACTGCAGAGTCTCTGGCCATTCCTTTGCTGAGCCAAGGTCACTGTCGTCCCTGCAAGAGTCAGTTATGGAAAGAGCAAGGCGCTTGACGTCGTCGTTGAGTTGTTGCATACCACACTTCGTCCATGAGCAGGAGCGAGTCGAGCGCCTTAGCAGCATCCTTCTTCTTCTCTGTCGTCGCATCCTCGGATTGTTTCTGTTTCATACTTGCGGCGACAAGGTGTGTTAGCGGTATACGAGACAGAATTGGCCAAAGAACAATGTCTTCAGACCCGGCACGCGAAGAAGCTTCAACTTGCGTCCGTCGATCGATCAACTGCCATGACATCGGTGACTTATGACGTCGCTTAGTTCGGAGCAACCTCCGGACGCGCCAATTCGCCAGTTCGCGTCAGAGAATATACCAAGGCGACCTCCGGCAACCACGACTTGGACTGTACCATCTGATGACCAACAAAGAAGATTCTAGCACATACCTTGCTAGTTCTCTGTTGAGGCCATTGCTGTACGGGCAGATAGCCCATGGCGAAAGATAATTACTTTCGGACAGAAGGACAGGGTGACTCTTTTCGACATGGGTGCAGAAGAAGCATCGGGTCAATTCCCAGTTGCATCAACCACATGGCCTCCGCTTTGGCTTCTACCCTGCATGTGACAACGTCTCGTCACGAGATATATGCGCTGCACAGCGCCTACCGCAACAGGCACATGCAAAAGCTTGCCGCATTCCGCCTCGGTCGACAACATTGCAAACCCCGCCCCCACATCTCCCTGAGTCGACGACGCCTTGCCTATCTTCACCCTCCCTTCTCATGTCCACCGGTCAAGTGCCACGAATCGTGTACATGTAACAGATCAATGTACAGTATCACACCAGCTTCCGGCCGCTACAATGTAACACTCAGGTACACCCCGACATTCGTAACACACCGCTCAGCATGCAGCCCTCAGCGACACTCTGGAGGCTGGCAACGTTTTCACTGGCTTTGTGATTCTACAGTATTCGGTCTAACAAATGGCTTTGCTGCCCTGACCCGAGATTGAGGTGTTGACTAAGTATAGCAAGCAGCACTTAGTCGCTTGTGCATACATGCTTATAGGCGGACGCACTGTTTCATCGTCTTACTAAGTCCGCCTCTAGCTTAAGGCTAACTTCATATACTGAGAAAGCCACGATGCAGGATAGGACATCCAACATCTCGGGTTACTATTCAAACAGTCAGCGAGCACGATCGACCACGGAAAACATCGCATGTGACTATTCACAGCCTACCACGTCTTGTTGGCTTCACCCGACGTGCATAAGACTGCCAACGGTCCGACTCGCGAATCATGGTGGCATAATCGAACAGTTAGTGAGGTATGACATTTGGGACACCCAGAAAACAGGAACAACACCATCAACCCCCATTGGCGTTTCAGAAAATTTCGGAGAATAAGCATACTGCAACTTTACTGGATGTCCTCGAGCCGAACATCAGAAGAGTCACTTCAACTGGTATATCTCCGAAATCAACAAAGCCAAGCTCCCTGCATTCCAGCATCATAGTCCAATCTCCAACGGTCATGCGCTCCTCCAGAGACGATCTTGGTGACGAAACAGCTTGGTGTCTGAAGATGAGGTGTGGACGGTCAAGAAACACATACCGTTGACGGTAAGGATTGTCATATCAAAGGCCGCGCATTCGCAGATCCGATCAGGCTCGAAAGGCGCACCTTGTGTTGCATCCTGAGGCGCAGGCACGATGACGCTGTCAGTGATGGATTGACCTTCGGGCAGAATGAGATAAATATTCTGCTACTGGCCGCTTCTTTGAACGGCACTTGAGGCTCTGTGGTTCAGAAATCCGGAATCTCTTTCAAAATGCATTTACGAACATTCTTCTCGTTTTCAGTGATCTGTACTATTGCCCAAGGCCTCTCGCCAGCAGATTGGCGAGCTCAGTCTATTTATCAAGTTATGACTGATAGGTTCGCTCGCACTGATGGTTCCACCACGGCATCTTGTGATCTTGGTGATTACTGTGGAGGCACATGGGAAGGACTCATCAATCATTTAGATTACATACAAGACATGGGCTTCACAGCTGTTGGTACAAGATCATTTGAGCCCCACAAGTACTGACCTACGAACAGNGTGTGGATCTCGCCAGTGGTGAAGAACCTGGACGCTTCGACCGCAGACGGGTCAAGCTACCATGGATACTGGGCGCAAGATATATACGCAGTCAACACCAACTTCGGTTCGGCTGCAAACTTGGTTAAATTATCGAGTGCTTTACATGATAGAGGAATGGTATGTGAGGCAGACAGACCCCAAGATCCTGGCTAATCGATTGCCAGNTACTTGATGGTTGATGTTGTCACAAACCACATGGGCTATGCAGGTTGTGGTGACTGCGTAGACTACTCAGTCTTCGATCCCTTTAACAAAGAGTCTTACTATCACCCTTTCTGCTTGATCGACTACAACAATCAGACCAGCATGGAGCTTGTAGGTAGAACCATGGACTAGCCAGAAAGTCTGCTAACCAAGAAACAAATAGTGCTGGAGGGCGACAACACCGTCTCATTACCAGACCTCCGTGTAGAGGATTCGAACGTGCAAGACATGTTTGCAACATGGATCAAGCAATTGGTCAAGAACTACACAAGTAAACGATCATCTCCCCTGCCCCGTCAAGAAAAACAAAACTGACACAATACAGTTGATGGCCTGCGTATCGACAGCGCAGCCGAAGTCAGCAAAGACTCTCTAGCAAATTTCGAATCGGCAGCAGACATGTACGCCGTCGGCGAAGTATTCAACAACAACGCCGACTACGTCTGCGCATACCAAGACTCCATTTCCGGCGTCATGAACTACCCCTTGTACTACAACATAACCTCCGCCTTCGCGTCCACCTCCGGCGACATCAAAGCTCTAGAACAAGGCGTCAACACCATGAAGTCCACCTGCAAAGACGTCACCCTCCTAGGCTCATTTCTCGAAAACCACGATAATCCACGGTTTCCGTCTTTGACTTCTGACATATCGTTGGCCAAAAACGCAATCGGGTTCGCAATGTTGGCGGATGGTATTCCCATCGTTTATCAAGGCCAAGAACAGCATTTTGATGGTGGAGATACGCCAAACCAGAGAGAACAGCTTTGGAAATCTGGATATGATAGCACTGCAACACTCTACAAACACATCACCAAATTAAATGCTATACGCAAAGTGGCCATCAAGAATGATGATGGCTATTTGACGTATAATGCGTATCTGGTGTGGACGGATGATCACACTATTGTGATGAGAAAGGGGAATAATGATACACAGGTTATTGGCGTGTTTAACAATCTTGGAGCAGAGGGGGATAAGGATTTCACGCTGTTGGCCACGAGTTCGGGATTTGATGCTGGCATGGATGTTACGGATGTGTTGGCTTGTGATAAGTTTACGACGGATGATAAAGGTGATCTGGATGTCAAGATTGAGGGAGGTGTGCCTTTGGTTTTGTATTCGACCAAGCAGCTTGATGGAAGCGGTATATGTTGATGTTTACTCAAGTACTTCGACAGGGAGATGGGAGAGAGTTGCTGGTAGATACTCTCGGGTTCTTCTTTGGCGTATTCACTTCCACATGTGTTCTCTTGACTCCGTGCAACGTTGAAAGTGAACGAGAAAGGCACGAACGATTTCAAGTATTACAAGGTTATGTGTAAAATGGTTCATCATGGGTATCATATTCTATAGTACATCATCAATAGTATCAGAGCCTAGACTCAAGTAGCCGGAGTAGCAGGACTGGCAGGCGTACTCGGATTCGTAGCCAGCCNCTTACTTCTCCTCTTCTTAATCTTATCCCTGACCTTTTTCTTCGTCTTTTCCTCTTCATCCTTTTTGGCTGCTGCTGACGCAAACGGTGTAGCTTGAGCAGCCAATCTTGCCTCTTCCAACTTCTTTGCCAACTCGGCTTCTTTGATTTTTGCAGCTTCGGCGGCTTCGGCTTTTGCGCGGACGTGGTGTTTTGTGGCTGAGAAGGTGAAATTGCCGGGCTCGCCGCGCAAAGGATTCTCGTCCATGTATTCGTCTCCGTAGTGTAGCATCATTTGTAATGAATCTTGGAGGGCTCTCTGTGCGCGAGGGTCTGTATCTTNTGTCGCTTTCAATTCGGTTGAGGTGGTGGATTGTGCAGTAGGATCTAGACTGGCGGTGGATGGTAGTTCTGCTGGCGTAGGTGCTGTGCTTGCCTCTCGACTCGTGGAAGAGAGGGCTTGTGATGCGACTAGTGATTTGGCAGTAGCGGGTGGGTAGTAGGTATAACCTGTTGCAGGAGTGTAAAGTGGTAGTGGAGCAGCAGTTTGAGTAAACTTTGTAAGCGAGGTCATGGCCGACAAGAGATGGTTGCCGACAATGTCGTAGACAGAAGGCGCTTGGTACATGTTCTCGCCGACCAGGTAGTATGTGGCCAGGACAGTGATCTCATCGGGTTGTGGAGGTCTCTTGCGGCGGTCTTGCTTGCGGATGACCCAGATGCCCGTATCTGGGCCTAGCGATGGATCGGTACCGGTATTTGGTTGTGGTTCGCCAACGATCATGTACTCGACGCCGTTCATCTGCTTCAAGCGTGTTTCGAAGGCCTGTCTGTTGCGGCACATGTCCCAGATGGGAGGGTGAATCTCGGCTTGCTTCCATAGGAGGCCATTCTTGGTGGTAGGGTCGAAGAAAGGCGTTTCACGGAGGATTGGATGGANCTTGAGAAGCTGTCAGTCTTTGGCAGACATGTGAAAGATTGTATGCATACTGCTGTTCTCATGGATTCCCTCCCAGTAGGCGATCACATCAGGCCGGCGGAATTGCACCTCGTCCAGCGGCGTGCCGTTCCATGTGTTCGCCATCGTCAGATGCGCACGTCGCACCTCTCTCACTTTGATGTGCGTATGTGAGGAGAGGAAGCTCTGGCTCGGTTTGTGCAAAACATTAGAGCGTCATGTCGCCAAGCTGTCGCGAGAAGACCGAGGAGACGTGACTCGTAGGGCTGAAATAAACTCCACCGGGAAAGCCTTGCCCGATCCGGCTTTAGTTTCTCCAGCTTTTCTTTCCAGAGCACATTGATTCATCATGTCTGTTGCCATCTCCTTGAACAATATCAACTTGCACGACTTCATCTGGCTCGTATGTTCTTGACAGTCTGTATAGAAAGGCTGACCCTCTTTCCCGACATTCCTTTCTCTTGATTCCTGGACCCGTCGAGGACTTGTTCTAATGCACCGNCCCCATCTACTTTTCCTGGATGCCTATGACTCCTTTAGCAACAATATCATCAATTTGCTTCAACAAGACCTCAATGCTACCGTCGAAGTAATCAAAATTGACGATAAGAGATTTGCTACTGGTGACGATGCATGCTTTCATGCTTTCCTTGGCCGTTTCGATGCTGTAGTCGCTGGTCCTGGTCCGGGTGATCCGAGAAATCCACACGACTTGGGTCTCATCGGTAAACTATGGCATTTACCAGAGGATGCTTGTGTACCTGTACTGGGAATATGTCTTGGATTCCAAAGTCTCGCCCTGGCCTTTGGAGGTACAGCTGGAAGGCTTCATCAGCCCCGACATGGTTTAGTCACCGAAGTTACTCACCAGGGACACTCTCTGTTCAAAGATATTGATGTTCTCATGGCCACTCAGTATCACTCGCTTCACGCAAAGCTTGATCACACTGTAGACCAAGCATCTCCAGAGTTATGGAATACCACTCCAAGCTGCCCGGAAATCGTACCGCTTGCTTGGGACTTGTCCGACGATCAGAATGGCCCGATACTCATGGGCATCAGACACTTGACTAAACCTTTCTATGGAGTGCAATATCACCCGGAGTCCATCTGTACGAGCTCTGCCGGTGCGCGAATCATCCACAATTGGTGGTCCGAAGCATTGGCCTGGACTATCGACCGGGCAGCCAGAACTCAGAAGAGCGAAACTTTGCGTCCAGTGATCGATGTCGATTCACACGACACGAACAGCGAAAGCGGCGATGATTCGGCAAGCACATCGTCATCTTTGTTCGATGCTGTCAACCCCACACTCAGAGATACTACGGCCACGACTCCAGCTGTGACCAGGGACTCATCAAGAATGGGACGATCGACCCCATCAGCTTCAGTCAGCTGGAAGTGTGTTGACACATCCTCCAACGATATCGAAGTGGCTTTGCTGCTCCAAACTTTGCAAGACATCGATCAGCAAGCCATCATGCTAGAGTCCGGCAGCAAGAACGGGCAACCTGTAAGGCCCGAGACTGGTCGCTTTAGCATAATCGGCTGTGTCAAGGATGCTCAGTCGATTCGATACTCCACTGGAAACCACGTAATTACTAGCGACCTCTCAGACACAGAAGCTTCATACACAGGATCCATGGCAGACGTCTGGTCAAGTATTGAGTCCTTCATGGCTGCGAACAAGGCGACTGATGGAAGTGCTGACGTTCCTTTCTGGGGAGGCCTTGTTGGGTTTGTGTCCTATGAAGCTGGTCTGGAGACAATCGATGTTGCTCAACCGACAAACGAAGATCGTCCGGATGTTTGGTTCGTCTTCGTATCACGCAGCATCGTTGTCGATCACGTTGAGAAGAAGATTTACATTCAAAGCTTGGGCAAGAACGATGATCATTGGCTTAGAAAAGCTGAAAGAGCCTTGCAGGAGCTCATTGAAAAGTCTGATTCTCCCTCAAAAACAAAAAACGAGTCAGATTTGTCGATACCATCTATCGCCGCTCCAGCGGAGGCAGAGTATGTGCGGAAGGTTGAGACTTGCCAGGATCACATTCGTGCTGGAGATTCCTACGAACTCTGCTTGACCGACCAGAGCATTGTCTCGTACGGTGAAAACCCCCAACCGAAGTCCTTCGAGCTCTACAAACGACTGCGCGCCTTCAATCCGGCACCCTTTGGCGCTTATCTGCGACTAAAAGAAGAGAACGAACACGAGAACAACGGTATCACCATCTTATCCTCCAGCCCAGAACGGTTTTTGTCATGGTCGCGAGCTGGAAAGTGTCAGTTCAGACCTATCAAAGGCACCGTGGAAAAGAAAAATGGCCTTATAAGGAAAGAAGCCGAAGCATTGTTGAACGTAGACAAGGAAAGAGCTGAGAATTTGATGATTGTCGACTTGATAAGACACGACTTGCATGGCGTCGTAGGCTCAGGAAACGTCAAAGTCGAGAAATTGATGGCCGTGGAAGAGTATCAGACTGTCTTCCAGCTCGTATCAGTCATTGAAGGACAACTGCAAGAAGGATCAAGACATACAGGCATCGATGTGCTAGCAGCTTCTCTTCCTCCAGGATCAATGACTGGCGCACCCAAGAAACGATCGTGTGAGTTGTTGACAGGAATAGAAGGAGAACCTAGAGGTATCTACAGCGGTGTACTTGGATACTTCGATGTAGGTGGTGGTGGAGANTTTTCGGTCGTCATTCGAACTGCTTTCCGATGGGACGATGAAGATGTATGGCGTATTGGCGCTGGTGGAGCAGTCACTGTGCTGTCCTCGCCTACGGCAGAGTTTGAGGAGATGGATCTGAAGAGGCAAAGTTGCTTGCCGCTTTTCGGACATCGTCGGGACCCTGTGAGATAATTGATCGTTAGCATTGGATCTTGATCACTCAGCGTTGTAAAGCAATGGCTTGACTCGCTCTCACTGGAAACAACTCTGATCAGGAAACATTCGTGCATTTTTGCAGCTCGCTCAGCACTGTGAGTCAAGGGCGGAGATGCTACTCTGCAAATGTTGAGTCAACTGCCCTCTTACCTTCATCTCTGCATCTTCTCTAGCAGTGAGATACACCAGTAAGCACCAGGCCACATCAGTGCTAGGGCTCTGCTCGATTACTGGTCCTCGTCTCTGCTTCAGTAGAGCGGTAGCCTCGGAAGACGAGGTAGTCAATCGATCAACCTTGCGTTCTTGTCGCTGAACCCGTTCCTTTTCCTGGGCGACGATCTCGGCCCAACGAATGACCCTGCCTTGGGCTCGGTCAAGCAAAGCATCCTGCCATGCGACAGCAACGTAATCGGCCCCTTTTGNCTTCTTGAGAGCATCGAATCGGTCACGACCCTCCTTAGCGACGTGCTTCCAATCCTCCAACTCGGTGTTTGCCTTTTNCAGTCTGACTTTGTGATACTCTTCAAGCTCTGCGACGGCGTAGATGTACTGGTAGACCTTCTCAAGTTGCTCGAAGTTGTCTTCAGGGATGAGGTCTATCAGGGTCTGCTTGATGTTGGGGACACCAGGCACTTGATTACGCCATAACATGAGTTCCGATTTCCAAGTCAGAAAAGGCTTGTCGGCATGCACAAGTTCGTGAGTAGCGTAGATGGATACTCTAGGGGGCTTGTCAGGATGAGGGATATCGAGCCCGGTTCCTGTGTTGAACTTGTGGGTGACGCTTCTCTTCCAGGCCTCAGCGAAGGCATCAGTCTGACTGGATGCAGACATGATGATGAATCTGGTAGTGGAGAGCAGAAGGAGAGGTGAGAGTCAACAGAACTAGGTCTTAAACAGCGAAGATCTCAGCTCGTCAGTGTCTTTTGTTGTTGCCTCAATGCAGAATAGACAAATGATGTCGTTGTCGATTCAATGGAGGATACCCAAACGATCTTGACATCCTGCAACGATGCAAACATGAGTTCCGCTGGCTTCCATTGCTATCAAAATGCACAATACTATCCAGGAGTAGTCGCTGTCCATGGAGAGATCTGTTGATCAAGATGTCTCTGTGACCTTACATCCGATCTGAACAACACTGTGTATTTTAGCAACTACATCATGACAGTCTCTGCCACATGAGAGTATTTGTCTTTGTCATGAAGGAAGGAACCACCCACAAACAGCTACACGACAGCAAAGCCTTTCATCGAGAAACTCGTGGATTTCATCAATGACAGATTAGACAACAAATTCTCATTCTGGAGGCATTTTACTGGACTCTCCACGTCCTAGCAAGATATCCTGCATTGTTACAAGCCATATTGGAGGCTGAGTGACCGTAGGCTTATGATCAAGCAATGCTTTGACATGTTCAGGCAAAGCCCAGGGGTTCCCGGGATATCGTCGAGACTAGGGTATCCGAGGGAAAGAATTTCTAATCGACAGACTTCTGTCGCAAGTTTCACCAAGTTGTTCGACGCAGCTCTCACAAGAGGTGCAGCAGTTGAACTGTGTCACACAGAAGATAGTCGGAGTTCTGCTGTTGGCCCAAAGTTTTATCAAGCCACGCTCATCTTGTTGACGGTTCTCGCGATTTCCTTGTTCGAAGATTGGCATCAACTGTTCCTTCCAATTGCTGCACCATGACAGCGCACCAAGACTTGGCAGTGGCTCTCAAAACACTCTTTTCAACGATGACTCCTTCCCTCCATGAATTTTCCTTTCAATCTTCTCGCTTTTCTTCGTCCGATCTTGACTTCACATCGACTACCAGCCTCCAGGAAGTTTACAGCAACTAACTCGACACTGTCACTCCTCATGGGCAACCGATGTCGATTTCATTATGCACAGCTCGACTCCAGATATCGATATGATGTTTCCTCTCGTCCAGCGAATCATGCCCACCATAGTTCACAAGCAGAACCGAAACAGCACAATTTCTTCCCGAACGGCATCGTCATTTTCACTCCAATTGCTCAATCACGAATCTGCTCTGCGAAACAGCAAGTTACCATTACACATCTGCTAAAGAGAATGCCAGTCGAAGCTCAATGATGCTAGCAATACATGTCTACGGGTTGCCCACCGTGCGCGCCGCGGTTTACATGTTTCGCCAACACTAAGTCATTCGCCATTCCACAATCAGGGATCGTAACCTAAAATCGAAGGCTTCGTGCCCACCCTGTTCATCATCGCATTTTCTACATGGACAAGTCGCCTCCACGTCTGATGGCAATACATGATCTCTCACGCGGCTTCCCCGTGTTTGCTCGCCAGCGATCCTACCTCACCGGTATACCGAGTTGCTACAGCAAGCTACTCGACGTACATGCAAGGCTTCAGAGCCAGGTCTGTGGTGAACCAAACAAACAAGCTGCCTCTCATATATTGTAACGGATCCCGTGAGCCGTCCGACAAATTCATCATCTTCTGCTTCCTGCTCACCAAAGCATCGTCTCCAGGCCGTTCTCCTCCGCTTTCTGATGGCCATGCCCTGTACCAACTCAGTTCAGGATGGTCTACAAGGGGTCTACTTGGATAAGCGCTCGACATGGGATTTCGGTTGCTAAACCATTGGATTGGAGGCTCAGGGTGACCCATCATTCTCCAACTTCTCGCAAGGAAGGGCTCATGTCCTCCGAACTCTTCTTTCCGGAGTTCGATTGACTCTCTAAAAGCCTGCATGCGAGGATCACCGAGGATCGTGGTGTTTAGCGGATGCCGGTCTGTCTGGCGTGCAATCTGGATGTGGGCGACTCGACCAGCGATGTAATAACCGACATAAGTACGCCAGCACAGGTTCCAGGTCCAGCGAATGTAGGNTTGGCGATTCCAAAGTTCACGTACCCTAGGCACAGAGAGGGTGAAGGCCAGCCCGGTGACAATGCCGGTTGCAAATCCGAGAGTATGGGTTCGGGATTGAGTAGCGATCATTCGACCTTTGTATTCAAGCAAGACGTTGCATTCTGTATCTGACAGTTCACGTCCAGCTGCCTTGCTCGCGTCTGAGTCCAGACGCTTCAGGGTGTCGAGCTCGCGTTCGGTGTAATCGCGCTTTCTGTAAAAGGCATTGACAGGTCTGCGGACTGTCCGTTGATTTATCAAGACTTCGAGATTCGGTATGTTTGTAGGAAGCATGTTGTTGCAAGTTTTGGCAATGGCGATGGTGGGACGTATGTGTAGGAAGAAGTCGATGTCTTGTGTCTTCCGCTCAATTTTCTGAGATGTTACATTGTGCGGCGCGTACTNTGCATGCATGCTGTGCCGCAAAAATATAGATGAAGCTGCCAGTTTCGTCATCATCACCCCTTTGTGTAACGATACAGGCTTCATGACCTTTAGCATCAAGACCTTGAAATGGAGGCCAAATGTTGCCCACAACACTTCAAGCAAACTCTTCATGTCAAGATATATTTGACTCTCGAACGCCTGCAACCAAACCAGTTGTTTTGATCTGTGTATCATTGGTGATGATTACAATTCACGATTGTGCATCGTCACATTCCTACTCAAAGATCCTCAAATTTCATGTTCTAAGGAAAGAACGAGAGCGATCACATCGAAGACCCAGTAGATTGTTCATGCCTCAAGGTTTGCAAGAGATAATTTTGACAACGCATTCACATCTTAAGCATTGGACAAACCTATCACTTCCAGTAACTTCATGGCCTTCTTGCATCATCAATTGAATGGCTTTGAGCTTGAATATACCGTTGATCAAAAGACGATTGTGAGATTCAGAGGTTCGAATTCTGCAAAATCAAAAGAGCTGGACAAAGAACCAAGCTAAGCCATATCTCAGCATTGAAATGATATCTCTGAGGTGAGAGAAGTGAAGAAGATTCACGGCAAGCACGGTGTACGCAGATCAAGTACGTGACTTCCTGTCTTGGAGTCATCACAAACGCCCAAAAGTGAGCCATGAAAGTGAATCCAAAATCAACATACTCAAGGCAAGCAAAGCTTCAGCACGCCTCACTTTTCCCACTATAAAACAGCATCCTTGGACCTTTCTAACCATCTCATCCACCTGGACCACTACCAACAATAGTGGCGCCGAGAGTCGGGGATATTATGAAGCGCTTAGGCTTGAAAGGCGCTATCGTCCGATACGGCGAGCGATGGAAACGAGCTTCCGTCAATAGGCAGCCACCACCAACACACCACGATCCGTAGGTTACATCGAAAGAGACCACTAGGTCATCGACACTTCCGCTCCTAGGTACACTTAGCCCCTAATCCCGGGCACCGAACCCGGGCTCCGCACATTTATATTCTGTTGCATATTTCGGAGGCTGATGAAATTTTTTCTCCTTTTCTTTCCTTTTTTTTTTGTCGCACACCAAGAATTGATTGAGGATTACAGAACGAATCTTGAGAGAGATGAAATGATAGACTCATACACCTCAGGGGTCAGCTTAGGGATAAGCTCAGGGGTGCCGTTCTGACGAAATCCAGATAGAAATCTTGTGATGCAGAGAGGTGGCTGTGACAGCAAGAAACCTCAAGGAACGAGTCAGAGATGCATAGGGAGGCATTGTATGTATAATCGAGGCGGAGAGAATGTAACCAGACTCTGATGACATTGCAAGTCAATGCGTGAATTGTCAAGACTTCGAAGTTGCAAGTTCGACAGACCCGGTCGAGACTTCCTCGAGACTTCCTCGAGACTTCCTTATCTGCCACATCGAATTCAACAAAATCGTCAAAGTCGGAGAACGATACAAGAGCGACGAAATAGATGCGTGTGCGCAACTTCCTAACAGACAGGTCAGCTGAGATCAGAAGGCATGATCATGGAATGGCAAACTTTTGGTCAAGGACATTTATTGTTTCTTCCGGACGTCCATGTTTCCTGACGACATTACAGGTAGTCGGGGCATATAGTATCAACCTATAAGAGAGCCGGACGCTAGATCTGTGATGGATTTGGGCATACAGAAACATACGAGATGCTCCGTCTAGTATGCTCTCTTCTGCTTGAACGTGACAAGAAACTCGTTATATTAGTCAAAGCGACCCAGTAATTGCAAGTGACACATGGAAAAGGCCTTAGCTAGTATTCAAATGTACACAGACAGAAGACCAAGACGTTGTTCCGGCCGATGCGTAGCTTTGATATTGCTTAGACCTTCCAGTGTTCGTCGCGGTCGAGGGCAGAGCCTAAGGAGACACACAAATGATAGGACGATGGACTAGCGAGCTGGTAAGATAGGATATTCTTGTTGCGGTGCCATACTGCATCATAGTGAACATCATTTGTCGAGTGGGTACAGAAAAACAATTCATACCTTTGTTGGGTAGCAAGCAAAACAGCAAGCAGGCTCACACGAGTTTAGCATCCACAGACATATAGACTTAAAGAGCTTGTTCTCCATGGCAGTAGACGATAGATAAGATCGTTGATATTAGAAACATGACCGAGGCGCAACAAGTCCCTGAGTGGTGCACAACTCTTGAATTTGCGGCCGTCCGCCACGTTTCCATACCACAAGTGGCTCTGCCTTGACCCTGGCCCGCCTGCATGCCAAAAGTATGGTCTTACAAGAACAAGCGTTGTACACATTTGGAACTGACTGGACAGAGCCACGCAAGGGTTACTAGACAGCCCGAGAGGACAGCGCTGTGGTTGGAGGGAATGTATGTTGGCGGATGTATGATGGGCGATGCGGGCAAGGCCAACACAAACAACCAGGTCGCACTTTGTCGTTCTTGAACATCACTGTCGCTGCCACTGCCAAAGCGAAAAAGATACCGCAGGCGGGGGTGATGCACCGCAGAGGTGGAGAACCATACGGCTAGGAGGACCTCATCCCCCAGCCAATCTACAGTTAGACCACAAGCTACAAGAATACCGACCAAGAATGATTGGAGTTCGTTCGGCCATTGAGGATTCGTCAACGTTCCAACAAGAACAGCTCAGTCGTTGTACAAACCCCTGAAGCCGATCGTGAAGATCTCCAATCCCGGTTATGATAAGCTTTGAGCATATTCAAATCAAGTCTCGTTGCAAGGTGCCGCAAAAGTAGGGCTTCAGGCCCTGTGATAATGCTTGCTGGATACTCCCGGTCGTACCAATACCTAGCAATACTATTCTGCTCTGCATCGGATCAGGTCATGTAAAACAAGCAATGATAGACTGTTGTGCCCAGGGTTTGAAATCGTGTCACTCACATGCCTCCCCGTGAAGTGGTTGGCGCAGTGCCATCGCACCAGAGCAGAAGAAACAAGCTGGCGGTAGGATTGACAGGAGAGTGGTGGTTTTTGGCTTGTGAGTGACGCTTGGTCCTGCTGCCTCACATGGTGGACATAAAGTACGCTCACCACACAGACTTCTTGTCGTCATCAAACCCAACCACATCTCTTGTAAGTCCATCTACTATCCATGTTGTCTCTTGAAACGCTTCACGGCGCGAACGATCTGTGATTGCGCAAGGAGTTTAGCAGCGCGAATGACAGCCTGACTGACCAGGTACAAGCAGACAAAATCACAATGTCCACCAACAAGAAGACAGACACCGCCGCCGCCGCCGCTCCCACCACCACCAAGGGCTCTGCTCCTATGAGCATNCCCTGCTGGCTCTTTGCCAGCATCTGGCTGGCCACCAAGGCCAAGATCACCAAAGACCCCAGCGCGGGCAACATCATCAAGAGGGCCAATGGCCAGAAGCTCGTCGCTGCGCCTTCGGGCTTTAAGCACATCTTGGAAGATGAGATGCTGCAGCATCTCATGCTGCTCAACGCCTAAGACAGCAAAGGTGTGTTCATCACTAGCCCGGAGGGACCGAACAAGACTGATGTATAGCAAGAAGTAAACATTCAAGGCATGGCCCACCCAAGAAAGCTGTCGAGATCGACAGCGTGTTCTGGCGACCTGGAGGGAGGGCGAGGAGGTAAAGCATACAGTACAGCATCTCCAAGCATAATACCAGAGACTAACACATCCAGAAGTTTCCCATGATGAGAATCGATGACTTTGTTGCGACCACTCGATTTGTGCCATGTGCATGTGCTTTGACCCTGTATATGTGTGATCGTCGACCGACCGACCGAACGCTTGACACCGGGTACCGATGCGGAGCTTAATAGAACAATCTTTCGTGAAGGCGTGGTAAGCACAGAAACATCATGGTTTGACATGTTGACTCGAACAGTGCTGTTACGATATGTTTCGTCATGAACCCGGCTCGTTGTCTGGGAGCGATCGACGTGCGCACAAACACCCAAGGCCAAGCTGTACTCTGCTCTAGTTGACGATTGTCAGGATTCCATTCACAGCAATGAGATGTGAATTTGAAGTGGAAGACTTGTCTGTCGACATGAGTCGCCGAGGTCCATCGACCGAACGTGCTAGGCATGTCCAAGGACATATCGAAGAAGCGCACGCTCGTACTCCAAAGCAGGTCCAAGGAGCGAATATTCCCATCACAAGTCACAACATATTAACAGGATATGAGCTGTCCACTGAGAGCTCTTGCATGATCCACGTCTCTCTGGATACAACGCCCTCTTCATTCGACTCTTTGCATTTTGATAGACGAATCTTACCGTCGTTTGGTCCCGGAGAAACAACAAAAATGGTATGTCTCAATGCATCAAGCTCTCTTTCTCGTGGATTCGGAAAACGAAACAACATACCTTAAGTTCATTGATATTCGAAGCTAATGCCGAATATAGCCTTCCAAGATTAAATACTTTTAGATTGACTGGATACGGCCATCACACAGAAACATAAGTCGATCACTCTGGAACGGAATCTGCGATGATGTTTGTCAACCGCAAGAGGTAGTTTTCTGGCCTGTTTTCGCAAAGGGGTATATTAAAAAAGGTCGCCAGTATTACCAACGCCGTAGATGCATTCTTTTCGCTCGATCGTCAAAGGCATCAACTCATCAGAAGCGTGCTGTCGGAGACGTTTACCAAAAGCGCCAGATGATGAAGAACAGAATGATTGCACCGAGAGCGGCAAAGGGACCATACTGTTGCTCAATTAGTGGTGGCCAAGATACTCGATAATGCCGAAGCAGACTTACCTGCTTCAGGAGCAACTCCCAGTTGATTCTCACAGCGGCCCGCTTGTACTTCTTACTGGACTCCCTCAGGTCGGAACTCATCTGGCCCATCCTGTCCAAGCTGTCACCACGATAGAGCAAATCCTCCAGGTTCTTGGACATGATCTGGGTCGTCTCTTTCAGCTGAGCCTGCACCTTATCGAGGTTGTTTGTAGCTCTCGGATTCTCATAGGACTTTTTTGTGCGTTGCATGAAGGTATCGAAGTCGTTGAAGGCGTACGGGCGCAGTGCTGAAGAACGATATTCGGTATCTCTGTGGGTGCTCAGGAATTCAGCCGAGACATCGTCGAGGTACATGGCGGCAAGTTCTTTGGGGAAAGAGCGCTCGGTGATGGCAAAGAAGATGAGGTCTTCGTGACGATAATAGCTGTGGCATCCAAGTCAGATATCGAGGATCAACACATGATCATGGAGAGCGTACTGGAGCTTGTATTCGCCTGACTCGATGGCTGCTCGTGGCTCGGAAGTGTTGTTCATCTTGCGGACGAGGGTTCGTTGTTGGTTCTTGAGATTTGAGATGGTGTCATCGTGNNCTAGATGCTATGAGTGACCTTTCGTCGTTACAGCTCTGGTTTTACGCACTGGAGAGTTCTCGATTGATGCTGCGAGCATCAATCCGTCCAGGCGGACGATCTGTGTTGAGTAGATGGGCATTCCGGAGCTTCTTCTTTTGAGTCAGCTTGTCTGATACGATGGTAACGATCTATCGCCACAGTCTGATATCGAGGTCCTCAGGTTTGCACTCTGGATGCGCAGGGTTGCAAAACCAAATAGTTGCGGCTGACTGACAACTGTTGACTGGCAACTTGCATGAGGCAGTCACGCCCCGATGGCGTCATACCAACTTTCTAGGGATAAGGAAGGCGCACTCACGTTCTGGGTTAAATTTACTGAAATCACAGTGCCTATATCACAAGATTGCTCGGGATATACAAGATCCTATTGTTATGGTTGGAATTGTTATGAGCTAGCTAAGGACAAAGATGCAGCTTGCCAATTCAAACATGCTTCTGGCTAGGGGTCAACAAAGTCCGACTTCCGAAGGCGGTGAGCATCTGCCAGGAAGTAGGTAGATCAATCTCCAAGCAAAATATGGCTCTCCTACTCTTGATCACAATGCATTCTGCCTAACATTCTGGTCAGTGAACGTCAAGCATCATTGATTCTGAGATGGTACCTGTTACTAGGTTACACTGGCAAGCTCAGAGGAAGACACGATGTGATATGACAAGCCGCATAGCATCTCAACAGCTCTGTCTTGAAGACTATCCATCCAGTCTACCCTGATAAACACGATATTTCCAGATGACGACTTTCTATGGCTCTTGAGCTGCATGGGTTTCTGGACAGTCGACATACCGAATCCACAATATCATCTCTTTTCCACTGCTTATAAAATTCCGTTCCATTACGGACTCCATACGCATATTCACTTTTCCAGAATATACGCTTATCTATATCAGGCAAGTATTGATGAGATGATAGAGATCGCAAGCCCCTGGCCTCAGTCTTGGACACATCACAAAGCAGACACATCGAAAGGTTGGTCACTGCCACTGTCATGAATGCGCACGGACCGTTGCCTTCCATCTAAAACATAAAACATCACGAATGCTCCAACACTCTTTCCTCCATCCAACGACCAATACTTTACAACAACGATATCAGATCGTCATTCACTCGGACTTTTCTCGTTGTCATCTACACAGCGCATGCGAACCAACTTTTTCGCGTCAAACAATACTAACAACTACTTTGATCGATCGCTATATACTCTCCAAAGTCCAAAAGGAGCGCATTCACCCCAACAACTCGTTTCCATCCCATCTCCCATACAAGAGGAAACTCACTCTCATGTCAGACCGTCTCATCACTCAAGCCACTTCAAGGCTCACGAAGGTCAATGTTGTGGTAAGCGGACATCTATATAGTCTTGGACTATTGAAAGGCTTACCTATTTCATAGACTCTGCTCACTAGGGAAGAAGCTTGGTCCACTCTCGACTTGGACACCAGACGCGAGCTGTATAGCATGCTACCGGTTACCAACGACTCTGACTTTGATCCTGACGTGCATCCGCTCAAGACAAGCTTCGCAAAATACATCAGGCACTTCATCTATGAGTGGGAGCAGGATCTCGCTGCCGGTCGCAATACTGCAAAGTGGCAGAAACAGGCCAAGCAGGCCACCGGAGAACGCATCTCAGGAGCATACGATGACTGGAAGGAGAAGGAGCGTGAGGAGCACTGGGGTCAGAAGTACGACCCAGAGCACTTCAAAAGAACTGAGCCACGAGATGATATTCTCGAGTAATGATGCAACGACACTAATGATTACGAAGCGGGAGGGAATTGCTTTGCATGCTTAGAACTTATAAATTGAAACTCGCTCTCTCGCAGCCATCATACTTGCCAAACACCCTAGTAGAAACGAAACAAGTGATTCTAGATAGTTCTCTGAACATCGAGATGGTTGAGTGTTCACTTTCTAGAGCTGAATTTTGCCAATGCTGCAAGCCAGCTTTGATATCGCAAGATAATATGCAAACTGCATTGTTTGTGCATATTTGTGCAGCTATGTTCGTTGGCAACATGATTTGTTAGCAACGTGCGACCCACTCGAAGTAGCAACCAAGATCAAGCCTGACTTGATCGGATATCTGCTGGACGATCAAAATAATTATTCTCAATTTGATTTTTCAAAAGAACAGACTGCTTGCTATCAGGAACTCATCCAACATCTCATCAGCTTGGATGTAAAAGTGGTCTCGAAGCAATAATCTGATCACATAAAAACTCTTCATAATGGCACCAACAACATTGCAACACCGCCGCACGCATAACCTGCTGTTGATCTCCAAGTTGTTATCACAGCGCGAGAACGTGTCACCTTTCACCCTGATCGTGGACAGTTTGGAACAATCTGGAAAGCCTGTACTCAGAGAATATATTCGACGGGCTACAGTAAGATTCCTCCAAGCACTATAATTCGACTTCGAGCTGATGGACATGACANNGGTAGCAAAGACCGAAGTCATCTTTGTGTCGTTCGAGACTCTGAAGAAACCGAAAGATGTTGGTGTNTTTGTCAAGGCGTGGGAAAGTGGCGTGCAGCAGGCTCAAAAAGAAGTTGGTGCATTGATTGCAAAGGCTACTCAGACACAACAACGTGAGTATCAAGAAAACTCCCTTGAAAGAACAGATGCTGATGTTCTTCAAACAGGCAAGCTATTGATCATCGACAACCTAAACACATTGGCCTCGGACCCATCAACAGCGGCAAACCTTCCGGCACTTCTATCCTCCTTTCTCTCACCCACAGTATCACTGGTTGCGGTTTACCATGCTGATATCCCTATTCCACCGAGCATATCCTCAGCTTCACCTTACACGCCTCAACCACTAACAGTACTCAAGTACCTGGCTACTACTATACTAACCACACACGCACTCAACCACGTCCTTGCTGCAAAAGCAGCTCGCGAACGTAGCGTCGCTGAACCTGTCTTTGGTCTGGCTGAGGAGACCGAAGGCGTACTCCTTGGTCTCGGTGGTAACTCGACCTCAGGTCTGGTGCTCGAGATGGAGTACCGGCGCAAGTCTGGACGTGGTGTGCGAGAGTGGTATTTCCTACCTCATCCTGCATTGCAGAAGCAAGAAGCCGTTGGATTGAAGAACAGATTCAGTGAGACTGTCCTGTTATTGGAAGATCATGTGCTGTATCGCAGACCTGCTGAGGAGAAAGAGCAGGCTGGAGATGATATGGATGTTACGTTTGAGCTGGGTCTCACGGATAGGCAGAGGCAGGCTAGAGANGGGGTTGTGTTGCCATACTTCGATGCACAGAAGGGTGGTGGCGAAGGTGGCAGGATTCTGTATGATATGGGTGAGGAAGATGACTTCGATGAGGAAGAAGATGAGATCTAGTATATTCCTCGCGAATGGAAATCTTGACGGATGAACTTGACCTTTGCAGTTTCGAAGTCCGAAAGTGACCCTGTCCTCTGCTCTAGACTTTCGAAAGCTCTTGTGACATCAAGCACGAATTTAGCCAGCAACCTTCCATGTCAAGCATTTTGCGCAACAATCACTAAATCAACATCTCGGCTGTCGCAAATCATCTCTTTGACCATCAAACACCTCCGCCAACAAAGTCTTTCTCACAACAACCTCTACCCACTCCACAAGCACGATGGCGCCTCGCGACCAAAGTCCACGCTCAAGCGAACACCGCCGCCCATACTCAGACCGTCGCGACCACAATCCAAGAGACACACGCGACTCACGACCACGCCGCGACCGCAGCAACTCACGCGATCGCGCTCCTCACTCCCTCTCGCGGCGGCGGCCGTGGCGGCAACACCTCCTACAGACATTCAGACCGCGACAACAGACCGGCCCGCTCACGTTCACCCGACCGCTCTTCACACACGAACCACAACAGCTCTGCCCGCCAACGATCTCCTCCTCGTGCACCTCGTGGTGCGCCCAACGGTCGCGATCACCGCAAGCCGAACGGCAAGGCTGAAGAGGCACCTGCACCGATAGACCCCGATGAGGATGAGGAGACAGCGATGAAGAGGTTGATGGGCTTCAACGGCTTCAAAAGTACCAAAAACACAAAAGTGCCGGGCAACGACAAGTTGTATGGAGTGAGGAAGGATCAGAAGACCGAGTACAGACAGTACATGAATCGTGTTGGTGGATTCAACAGACCGCTTAGTCCCACGAGGATGTGAGCATCTGCTTGAAACACGGGCACAAAGAGGATTTGCTATTTCAGCGACGGCGTTACTAGGAAAGCATTTTTGGATTTGCATCGAGGAATATTGAGGTCAGGCTGATCAAGATTTGATGGGCTTTGACGATCAAGGAAGAAACAAGGATATCATTACCACACAACCAACTTTCGTTTGGACACAAAGCAACTGATATATGAACGCTCGCGTCCTGGTCGCAAACTAGGTCCTTCTTTCGCAGTATGTGCAATCCCGCCCAAGATATAAACAAGGACTATACTGGACCAACACCGTAAAGAAGAGAAGAAGGCACCGCCTCAAATAAACCACAAAAGAAACCTGGCCTAATGCGAGCCCTCAGTGATGGACGCCAGCAGCATGAGCAATGCTTCTCTTCAGTCGCAATGTAGGATCTTGCAATGCTGGTCGGACGAACGAGTAGACGCCAAAGCTGAGAGAGAATCCCATGACCATAACTATCGCTAGTCAGCTATGATCGTTTCCATGAAAGCAGAGGCAAAACATACATAGGGGATATGTCTCTATGGGTAGAGATTTGATCCAATATCTCACTCGTTGAGTGGCTGTGTGAGCGGCGTGTTCTTCCCTGGCTGCTGCTTGGAGAAGTCTGGGTGTGGAGTGGATGGAGCGTGTCGCTGTCGCTCTTGCTGCTCGTGTAGCTTGGAAGAATGTGCGTTGTGCGAGCATTGTGGTTGGTGTGGTTGGCCAAAGTGGATACAGACGAGATGGTCTCTAGATCAAGAGCCAAAGATGATATTCTGTGATTGATTGTGATGCGATGGTGGTTTGAGTTCTTATGATATGGTATGGTCCAAAGACAAACGGACCTATATACTTCTTCCATAGACCACATATTGCTCATCCTCTAAACCAACATTCCCTATTCTAGTATACAATATAGGGTTTCCATGCACACGAGGCTACAAATGTCTGGTCATCACGCCGTCGCAGGATTTACCCTTACCGTATCATGCCGATACTTTTATGTCTATACCGCCTAGCAAATCCGTACATATTACGAACGTGATGAACATCGTTCGCATGACCCAATAAACCTGCCATGGAAGTTTTCGGAAAAGAGAGCCGCGCGGTAGAATTGTCGTCGCTTGTTTGGCTGATGATGTGAGCTGAGGTGAGTGGTGTTGCAACAGCAGGAGATGTCACACCACAGGCTTCTTCCGTCGTGCGCCGGCAGCTGCGCTCGGGAGGGACTTTTTGGCTTGCCCATGTATCCTGGAACAACCTCTTCACAATGCACCATTTCTTTGTGTTGATGCTGTTTCTCTGAAGACACTTCGCATCTACAGCCTAGAAGAGTTGTGATTGAGAATATGGAGGTATGTTCATGAAAAATTTGACACGAGAATCTAGGCAAAAACAGCAACATCGCATACTCTTTCCGAAGCGCAGGTCATAAACAGATCGTTCTAAAGTCTACATACATAACTAGGCTTCTTATCATTCGACACCATTGATGCAAATCAACCTCCTCAACAGCCGAGAACAAGAATTCATACAAAACACAAATCGACCTCTTACATCGCCTTCGTCTTGATCAGATGCTGGTATCGTGTCGTGGTCCACTTTCGAATCTTCTTTCCAAACATAATGAAGAAGAGTGCGAACATGGTAACAGCAAAACTCAAGCAGCCGATGAACACGAAAGTGTTCTGAAGCCCCATGCCCTGGATCCATGACTGAATGCCGAAGGATACGCCGAAGCCAATGATGTTTCTGATCAGGATGATGGTAGTCACGACTTGTGTATCGATCTCTTTGTATGAGTCGAGGATGTAACTCATGGTTACCGTGCCGCCAACACTCAGGCCGAATCCAACGAGTCCCATGCCCATGACAGGTGCAATCCAGTGCAGGCCGTGAGCAGCAGTGGCGCCATATATGATCAGGCCTCCTGGCATGATGAAGGCGCTAGGAATGAATGCCCAAAGACGATACTCTGGTTCTCTCCAGCCTCGATTACGGTTGCTGAGGTACACTGTAAGACGATCATTCAAAGGACCAGAGAAGTAGGCGCCAATGAGAGATCCAATCAGCGGTGCGAACCAGACCAGTCCTATGGCACTGTTGGAGAAGAGATATGGGGGTGGCGCGAAGATCAGCGCAACGGTTGTTCCCATAACCGCAAGCCAGCTGACGCAAGTACCATAGTTGATGCCACNACTGCCAGAGGTTAGTAACATCCTTGTGCATACCGACGAGGGACTTACCCAGACGACTGCTGGAAGAGTGAGACACTTGAGTGGCATCCACCACTCAGTGAGAACGGCAGACCATGTAGTCGGGTATGTTTTCCACAAACTGTATTGGATCTTGAATCCTTCCGCATCAAAGACCTCGCCAACGATGGCCTCTGAGTGTTGGTGTGCGCTCTGACTGTCTGGCTCTTTGACCATGGACTGTTTCGTCAACTTTTTGTCGAGCTCGGGCATGTCGGTAGTGCTGACCAAAGCTTCGTCATGCGAGTCGAGAGGTCGGATGAAGTGTGTCTCTTCAAGCGTGAAGAAGAACAGTACAAGCAAGATGGCAAGGACGATCACGCCCCAATAATACATCCATCGAACACTTTGTCCGGTAACCATGTAGCCACCACAGACTGGACCAACAAAGCTTCCGAAGGCAAGGCCGAACACATAGGCTCCGAGCTTGCCGCCGCGTTCGTGAGCGAAGTAGATGTCTGAGATGGAGATGGCCGGCAATGCTTCGAATGGTGCGGACCCTAGACCTCNTGTTGAAATCGAGCATACAATCAGCATGTTTCTTGTGAGGTAGATGGTATACTACTGCAGCCGCAACAGATACCAATCTGTTTGTATCGTCGTCACTCACCGAAGAATTTCAACGGCCCAGTACTCGCCGTACTGCTTCGAAACAGACATCCAGATCTCGGACACAAGGACCAAGACAAGCGTCCAGAGATATACTGATCGTCGACCGAATTNCTGTATGGGAGTCAGAGTTCGGCTCTTGTTCAGATATGGCCTGATCTTACTGTTGCTCAATGGTACGANAAAGACGTTGCCCACACCAAGCAGCAACAACATCACAGCTCCAGCGTAGTTCAGCTCGTTGATACCAGTACGATACATCCGTAAAAGGTTGAGGTAGACCACAGAGTCGCCATTGGTGATGGCTCCGAGAGCCGCGCTGTAGANACCTAATCGGGTGTTAGACCAATGCATCGCCAGCCTGCTCTGTCGGATCCATGCCACATACACGAGAAGAAACAGGTGATACGCCTTGCGCCACTTCGACCAGCGAAGAGGATCTCGGGGATCGTTTGATGGTGTAGGCATCAAGATAATATCCTTCGAGGAGAAACCACTCTGATGTGCACCTTGCACCAGGTAAACGGTGCCAGGGACGACATCATAGTCTGGGATATCTTGTCGAACCGACTCCATGGTAGCAAAAGAGGCTGGCCTCTAGGAGTGTAGAATAATACAAAAGTATGAGTCTGGAGTTTTGACGAATTGTGACGACGATCCAGAGGCCTTTATGTACATCCCAGGTCGTGACTTCGTCAACTGATATGTGTATCAAGCCCAGAGTTAACGGCACTTATCTTCGAGGATGATAGTTTCTGGACGGAGGTCCTTCGTTGCAGCTGATCGACTTGCATCCTGTTTAGGTGTGGCAGCATCGCGAAGATGGACATGGTGGCTTGTCAAACTCGAGGTCGAGCCTGATATGCCTAATCGAGCAACACCGCACTGTGGATCCAACTACGGAGGCCCTCTCGTAAGGACTATACACGATATGCAAGTGGGAAAGCGCGTTTGTCACAAGCCACTACTGCCGACTGACACTCCTCCTTAGCTACTGCCGCTTTTTAGCGTGCCCACAATCTCACCTCCCCCGCATTTGACCACTCCGCGTGGCACAACCTTCCCTGATGAACCTTCCTCTCCAAAGGCTGATCAACGCGACGTCGGAGGTTCTGTTATCAAATAACGCCGCCATTTAGCTCTATCCAAGGAGCCGCCTCTTGGTCCTAGAACATGACAACCCCTCACCTCGAAAGATACGTGAACGTCCGGGGGCCACAATGATCAATTGCCGATGCGGAGCAGAACCGCTGTCAACAGATAATGCTGACAGTTATGTTTGATCCGCTCCTGGTCTCAGTATAAGGCTAGCCTTTGCCTTTTCAACCTTCTGCAAACACATCTCTTCCTTACTCTTTTCCCATACCTCCAGTCATACAACAAGATGGCGGGTGACAAGACATACATCGATATTTCGCGTGCCAAGTGTGAGCAGAGAGATCGACTCATCAGAAATGAGTGGAAGATTTCGAAGAAGCTAGCACTTGGAAACAGTGTCCTCGAGGTGCCAAAGACCTGTGGCATTCTCACAGACCGAGAGATCTCAATTACTCAGGAAAACGACGCTGTTGACATTGTCGAAAAGATACGCAAGCAAGAGTACACAGCAGAGGAAGTTACTGTGGCTTTCTGCAAGCGTGCTGCTATCGCACAACAATTGGTAGTTGTTTATTAACTTTAGTAAATTCCATAGCTAACCGTCTCTTAGACCAACTGTCTCACAGAAATCTTCTTCGAAGAAGCGATCGAAAGAGCTCGCCAGCTCGACCAAGAACGCGCTGCGGACCCGTCGGCACCATGGAAGCCTCTACACGGACTTCCCATCTCACTCNNCAAAGACTCCTTCAATATTCCGGGTTTCGACTCGACAATCGGCATGACATATTTCGCAAACAAGCCAGCCACAGAGTATTCCGCTCTACCCAAGCTGCTACTCGATCTGGGTGCTGTGCTGTACTGCAAGACCAACGTCCCGCAGACTATGATGACAGCGGACTCCGACAACAATGTTTTTGGCCGGACGCTCAATCCTTCTAATCTGAAGTTGACTGCAGGCGGCTCTTCAGGCGGTGAGGGTGCCCTTGTCGCGATGCGCGGTAGTGTGCTAGGAATTGGCACGGATATTGCAGGCAGTATTCGCATACCAAGCATCTGCAATGGCATCTATGGTGCCCGTCCGAGTTCCGGTATCGTGCCTTTCGACGGCCAGCAGTCACCAGAAGACCCGGGTATGGTTGGCATTGAGGTTGTGGCAGGTCCCATGGCAACATCGTCAAGAGCTTGTTCGTTCTTTATGAAGACCATCATGAGCGCTCAAGCATGGCGCTACGACGCTTCATGTCTGCATCTCGGCTGGCAAGGTCAACAAAGCAGTCGTAAGCCACGCATTGGACTTGTCCTTGACGATGGTGTTTACACACCCTTCCCTCCTGTACGCCGTGCCATCAGAGAGGCAGCACAGAAGCTTCGAGGTGCAGGTGTTGACGTTGTAGAGCTGAGACTGCCCCATGTCACCGATGCCGTTGGTATCACATATGGAATGTTCGCGCTAGATGGCTGCCAGGTAAGCAATATGCTTTGTACTTCGAATACTTGTCTAATGTGTTGTTCTCCGCAGTTTGTTCAAGATCTCATCAAGGAAGGAAAGGAGCCTCAAGTTGAGTCTGTGAAGAGAGTCAACCTCGCCGCTATTCCCAAGAGCAGTATGCAAGGTTACATGGACTTGACCGCAGGGAGACGTAAGCTACAGGCTGTCTACCACAAGTTCTGGCTCGACAATCAGCTAGATGCTATCATGCTGCCCGGAGCACCCCAGACAGCCACGAGATTCGACGAGTGGGGTCCAATCAACTACACCATGCTCTGGAACTTCCTAGACTATCCTGCGACTATCGTACCTACAGGCCGGGTTCATGAATCTGATGTCGCTGATGGTGAAGATTCGGCCTTGTATGGGGAACAAGATCTGAAAAACTACAAGCTNTTGTAAGCGCCCTGTGTACTTCGTCTGAGATTTGTCACTAACAGTCCTTTCCTAGACGATTCGCCCGAGACATATAAAGATGCACCGCTATCTGTGCAAATTGTAGGCATGAGGCAGGAGGACGAAGCATTGGCAGAGGTCGTTGGTCTTGTTGACAATATTTTGAACCATTCATAGGCATCTAGAGGCGAGTCCGAACAGACATTGATTGTGTAGTTTTACAGCTACCAAGACGTCAGACCCTTACACAAAAAAAGACATGTTCTCGTTTACATGAAGTTCGTCAGCTCGTAAGCGTCTATCAAGATCTTGCTGTCATTCATAGCCAGGACACCTATGCCGAAGACGCTGTTCATCCAGTCATATGGTCCCGAAGCCTCGAACTGCAAGCGGGTGAACCATTCGACTTCGTCTTGGGTCATGCGAGTACGAGTTTTGGGGTCAATGTCCACGCCAGGACCGGGTTTGAAGATGCCTTTCGAGCGGACGTAAATGTAGTGTCCGTCGTCGGTCTTGAGAGTGTATCTTGCATCCAGACGCGTAAGCTACATCACTATGTCAGCTAGATATAATCATTTGCGACTCGCATGACTGACGCCTGTTCCTCCAATAGCAAGACCCCAATCTGCTCCACTCATGTGCTCTATGATTGCCGAGATCTGAGGCCCCTTCACAGTGCCGCCAACAATGGGCATAATGACTCTAGCATTGCTTGTGCCTGATTGAGCTCCAACAAAGTGACTGTCCTTTGCCATTTCGCACTCGAGGCGGTATATGAACTTCATGGACGGTGTTCGCATCGAGATCGAGCCGTCCGAGTAAGCATCGCCAGGAGAGGCTGCTGGTACTTTTGATGTGGCCATATTGGAGAAAACGGGGAGGGTTGTGTTCAAAACCTGAAAGGGGAATATGTTCGATTTATATACTTGTCCAGGCTCCAGAGCACGGGACTACCGCTTATACTTACCAGATGCGTAACCGAGGTGGTCGGGTAGGGGTTCGATCGGTCAGGGTCTTTCCCACAGCAACTCAATTTACCTTTGGGCAAGAGCGCTTGTCAAGCCTCTCTTTCCCGCATCACACGCCATTTCTCATGTCCGCAATGATCAAGCCAGAAACATGACAATTTTGTGATTGTTTGATCGATGGGTGGCTCCTAACTAAACCTTATCATGTGTTCGCCCCGCACTTGTCTTGTTTGACCGATAACAACGATACGGCCGACACCATTGCTATCTGATGGTTTTTCCTTTCGACATACCTCATCATCTAGAATGTTTACCAATTTCTCGAACACAAGTCAAGGTCTGGTAGAATCAAAACCCCGGCCAAAAACGAGTGGGCTGAACATCAGCTGCTTGCCATGTGAGTCATAAAAAGCCGCTGTATGCCATTATGGTATTGACTAGGGCGCTTTCAAGGTNCGACGGAAGAAGAAAAAATGCGACTTGACGAAGCCAATCTGCGAAAGATGTCGAAACAGCTATGGCCAGGATCAGTGTGTGTGGTCGGATGGGCAGAAACGACAACGAGTTCGGAGTCGAGAGACAAGATCAAGTCACGAGCCCGAGACCCAGCCTTCACCAAGTTCACCAGGCAGCTCTACAAGTGACTCTTCGAGCTTGTCGATATTGGGAACGACACCGAAGTCAACCAACATCTCCAATACAAACTATCCCATGGATCTTGGTTTTGAAAACTTCTGTTCTTGGAGTATACCAGACGTCGTAACTAGGATATCTCCGTACGGACAGTGGGCATCTTTTGAATTGGTACACCACTGACACCAAGCAGCNGATTTATCACCTCAAGCATTCTTAAGCATATCTGCAGCCTTCCAGAATCAGATTCTCTGTCTTGAAAGCGATTACAAGAATTCAATCGTTGTGAACAGTCTTCCTCTAGCTCTCGAGCATCCAACTCTCCTACACGCTTGGGTTGCGTGCAGCATCATAGCGCTATCGCGTTCAATGCCCTACTGGCACGAGAAGGCCATCAGGCACTATGATAGTGCCGTCAGTGGGTTGAGCCAAGCCTTGCAAGATAGGTCACAGACGAGCGACAAATGGAAACGGGAAACGGTTTTGCTGTTGCATTTGTTTGAGGTGAGTTTCTCGTAGATCCCGCAAAACAGTCCTTGATTGTTGTTATAGGGCTTTCAGTCGAAGGACGAAGAGTCTGCACTCGGCAAGGCTCATCTACGTGGAGCTCACGAGCTTTTCATCCCTGCCGTCAGAGACAGATCTCCTATTAGCTACCACGAAGCATTGGTCCTGGAAGCTTACATCATGCACACTGCCAACAACCATCTCTTCCAACCAGATTCACCACTACCCATTACACATATCACTGACGCTCTGGAAACCTTCACATCGGCTTTAGAACAGCTAAATATGGAATGCACCTGGCGTAGCAGTCCTTGGATCGGTTTCAGCGGCCCTGAACTAGCAGATATTGCCTACAGAGTTTCCTGGCTCACACATAAGCTACACTTGGACGACAAAGACCACCGAGAAGTGGAGCATCTCATCGCGCGTCTTTCGTCGTGGACTGCTCCAGCATGCCAGGAAGAATCTAACCTGACAGAGCTCGACTTACCGCCGAAGCGTCTTGCTTTACTTGCTCGAGCTTATTGGTGCGCATGCTCCTATCTTGCCACGCATCTTGCACAAGAGCGAAGCTTGAATCTACCCTTTGATGCCAACACTTTTGTTGAAGAGACTTTGCAGCTTCTGGACCAGCTCATTGAATATGAACATACGATCAACAATCATCTATGGCCATTAGTCGTGGTTGGTACAGCAGCAGCCGATTCATTAACTCAACAACATATTAGTTCGCTTCTGCCGCAGTTTCACCTAGGCTTGGGTCCAGCCTCTCTGAGAAGAGCCGAGAGATTTTTGGCAGTCGCTTGGAAGACCGACTCGCAAGGCACAATGTATGGCAGAAAGATCTTCAAGGACAGAGAAGCTTTGTACCAGATGTTCTTCTGATGATGCGCTCAGTTACATCGAGACGGGTAAGCATGCAAAACAAAAATACACGACGACCAAAGAGTATATCGATAAACAGCAAAACTCTAGAGCTGGACTCTTGCGCGGACGACCACAGTTATTGACTGATCTATTCTTGTGATTATAAACAGTCTCTAATTATCTTGAAAAAGCTGCGAGCTGGAAGCTGGGCCTGAGGCTAAGGCTTCACACGTGGACTATTGAGTCAACCTCATTCTGAGTCACCCAAAGAGTTTATTCCGGATTTCGCAACCATGAAAGTTGTCTTGCAGAATTCCAATAGGCAGCTCGGAATCTTTTGCAAAGTCTTTCTCCCGACTTCGAAAAAGCATAGAGGTCCTCCAGAGTATCGCAAAGTGTCCCAAGCAGGACTACCAAATTTACGACAACCGAATATGCGTTCTATGCGACAAACTGGAAGAGTCAATCTTGGAGATCTTTCACTGGAGCTGGTACGGAAGATTTCGACATGTCTTCCAGCGCACAATGTCGCAGCGCTCAGTCTGACATGTAAAGATCTGTACAACGACGAGATGCTACGCCAGTTATGGACTCAAGGATTCTCGCATGCCGGGAAGGAAAAAGATTATCTCAACTTCTTCGGTTTGAAACTTTGGTATCCGCATTTCAGGAGTCACGAGGTTGGATGCCTTCTGAAGCTGCTAGAAAGAGATCTACCTCATATGTCAGCATGTGGGCATTGCGAAAGGTTACATGCTAGACGCAAAGTCCCGCTACTGATGAGCAGGTACGACTGTGAATGTTGGTCGCCATGTTCAAAAGCTCCGGACATGGGACTGTGGCTCCACTGGGATGATTGGGATTTCAACCTTTCATATGAGCATGTAGAGGATTTCATGCGATACGACTCACTGGGCCCAGGTTTTGGTATCTCTACAGAGAAGGCCAATCTGGGCCTAGACTGGCATGCTCATGAGTTTTCTACCAAACACCACGCCAAGTGGATGAGGAAACTTAGTCTGCAGGCCACCATCCACGATTACCTCATCATACGAACAACTCAACACATCATGGTCAGTGACCGTTATCTGCAATCCCTTACAAACGATGGCGAAGATTGCACACACATTGTTGCAACTCTGGCAAGCTGTTCGCTCAAGATCTGCCAGTGCTGTAATGCAACCGAAAAGATGTTTATCAAGCATGAGATCATACGACAGCTAAGCAAGCTCTTGCAAAACGGCTCTGAATCACACTCACCTTCTGCTCTCGAGGTAGACCTCCACCGTTGTTCTACCTGCCTTACCGAGTTCTCCATCTCACTGCTGAAGCATGAGGAGCAAGGACTTTACGAGCTTGTGTTGAACGCTTGGACAAATCTAGGTTCATGCTCGTCTGCTTATAGTCCGGCATGGGTGCTGGCTACTCCGTTGGCTGGATACATGTATTCACCGAATAGACTCAAGGAATTGAGGTTTCTTGCAGCAATACATGTCAAGTATCCAAGCGAGCACTGTAAGTTAGTGGGCACCATGACTGGCATTGACGACCTTTCCTTGAGAGACTTTCTGGAAACTCATACGGCAGACTCTGAGCCGGGAACAGCGTCTCCGTGCAGCTGCCCGAAGTGATAGCACGAGGGATCAGTACGACATACCGACGATACAACAAGACATTCTAGCAAAGCAGCAAGACATCCTAGCGAACCAGCAATACATGCTAGAAAGGCAGCAAGACTTCCTAGCAGAGCAGCAAGATGCTCTAGCAAAGCAGCAAGACGCCCTAGAGAAGCAGCAAGACGTTCTAGCCATGCAGCAGAAGTTTCTAGCAGAACAGCAAGATACCTCAGGACAATAGCCATGCAATCTAGGATAAGAAGTGCATGACTTCATCTACAGTTTTCATCTTCGCTAATCGAGATGCTGCAGCTTGGCAGGAAGAAGGGTTGGCCTTCTAGTCAGCGCTTGTCCAGACGTGATAAGAGAGTAGCGAGGAGCCAAGCACAGAGACCACGCATAAGTGGAGTCAGGTTCCAGACCAGGGATTCCTGAGATAAGTCCTCCCCGTGTACTAAAGTATGTAAAGCATAGCTATAGAAATGCACAATAGTAATAAGAAACAAGATAGTGTCCACTGGAAAGCAACAATCTGTCGACTCTCTGTGGACACGCCTTTACATCCCTTAAAACATTTGTGCCTTTTCATAGTCTACTTTTCTAACTCGCATTTACACGGTTTTGTAAATCTATCTCCCTTTACACTTGCTTTGCCTAGTATAGAAGATGTATACACTAACCAAGATCTAGTTTGGATCTTGACCTTCTGATGGATTTAAATCCGGATGGTCTATTTAGAGATAAATGACGCGCTAAGCTTCGGGATGCAGGTGGTTTAGCTGGATTATACAGAACCTACTTTGAGAAGGCTGTAGAACAGCATATCAACCGAGCTCCTAAAGAATTGACCAGGTTGTTGGATCAGTCCATAGGGGTCGACATCATGGTCTCAGGACAACTGCTCATACGAACGAGGCCGTGAGCAAACACAGCATACGGAGTACGGCGACTGGTCTAAGACCATCGAGGCTGCATTACAAGCATGGAGATTCCTATACCCGGAATTACAAGTTCGCCTTCTCGTGGCACACAAGCGCGGTTCATAAGCAATGAACTATCCCTCGAGTCGCTCAGGGGAGCACTAGATGAGAGGGCGTATCGCTGGAAGAGAGAGGTGTATCTGGACAAGGCAAATTGCTCGATCGTTATCGGTAATCTGTTCATCAATTCAGTGGTGGAGAATCTACCTAAGTCACAATAAAGTCATTACAATCAGCACATGACTTCTGACAGCTACTTTGTAAACGCCTGACACCAGTATGCTACCTCCCTATTTCCTTCTTCCCAAAATCCAAAACCGGCGCTCATATACCACAAGAATAACTACAAACCAAACATCTAGCCTTGCGAATCTTGTGAAGGACCATCCACACCAATGTCTCCATTCTGGAACTTGTTCAAGTTTTTGAGCATGAAGCTACGCTTGAAGTAAGTGTTGGGATGTGTGATGGTGTCAAGATCATTGGCGGACCAGAGCGAGTTATCCTTGACTCTTTTGATCTCGTTCTTGTGCTGGTGTTCGAAGACTCGGTTGCAAGCGATGTGGTAGCGGGTCTTTGTAACATCTTCTTTGACGTTCTTGAGGACCTCGCGGTCTGACACTCCTGTGGCTTGGAGCAGACCCATAAGGTTGTCTGGACTGAACCAGCGGTATGGGCAGCCGTGGCTTTGACCGCTGCTTGGGACATCAATGATGAGTTTCTGACAAGAGTAGGGAGTGTATCCTCTGCCACGTCTGTTGGAGTCACCTCCGACATCGCCGTATGCGTGGCGGATGTTGTAAAGATATTCTTTCTTGAACTTGTCGTCGGTCATGAGTTTGAAGCTTTTCCTCCAGAAGACGATACACTCATTCATGTCGAGACCGATACCTTTGAGGAAGAGAGTGTATTGTAAGCGGGCGAAATGTTTCAAGTGGCTGTTCTTGCGCAGCTCGCGGTGGAGACTCTGCATGCAGAGAGGGAAGTGAGGAGCCAGGACGTCGATCATGTTGGCTGTAATGACGGTTGTGTCGGAGATGGAAGAAGCGTCGGCGTTGTATTGTGAGTCAGGCGAGGCGAAGGATTTGGACAGATGTGTAAGGATAGGAGAGAGACGGTTATCCTCGTCCATGCGTGGTAGGGCACGAGCAGCCAATTCGAGGCCAGCCTCTAGCTGTCTGCTGAACTCTCCTACAACCATACTCGTCTGCTCGCGCATGTGGACGAAAGCCTTGCCCATCTTGAGGAGAACCTTGCGCTGCTCGACGAGCTCGGGCACGTTCTCCCAGTCGACCTTGAACCATGATTCCTCCTCGTTCTTGTAGACACCAGTGGCACTCTTGAGTTCGTCAAGCAAGCGAGCCTTCTCGTCGTCGGATACAGTCTCCCAGCTCATGTTAAGACTCTGGATGAATTCTTTGCGTTCTCGGGCATCGTTCTGGTTGAGTCTGAGGCGGAAGAGTTGAGTCTCGAGTCTGGCAAAACGCTTGCGGAGTTCTTCTGTTGCTGAGAAAGCAAGGCGGAGAGTCCAGTGTGAATAGTGGTCGCGCTTGCGTTGGAGTTCATGCTCGGTAGATCTTGAAGAGTTCTGGTCTAGCCGTAGGTGTTTGTCTAGGATAGGCTTCATATACGTCGATGTTTCCTCGGCGCTGCGGTTGCGGAACTGGCATGATTCGAGTTCGGCAAGGANCTGTGAAAGCTGTCAGTGTATGGAAAGTCGAAAGCAACGAAGCGGATTACCCTTCAGTCTGGCGATGCCCCATTCTTCAAACTGCTCGAGGGCAATGTCGCCAGTCGGAGGGAGATTGTAGAAGTTCATGGCGTGCTCGTAGCTTTGTTCCTGCCATTGTGATTTTGCGAATTGCCTCTTGCGAGGATCGAGCACTGCTCTTCGCTTGTTGTCAAGCCGTGCAACAGGTCTGGCTGCCAACATCTTGAATGTGTCTAGTATGCGTTTTTGTGGTTACCAAAAGTGGTCTATCGCTCTATGAGACGCGACTGCTTCGGGTGTACCGCGACGCGTTGTGCCAAGAACTCAATCATTCAATCAAGTTCGGGAAGTCGCGTCATGCCTTGCTTGCATTAATCTGCACAATTTGATGCTGGACTTCTATACATTTTATCCTCTATCATATTCTATCCCAGCAAATCACCAAGCTTGTTAACATATGCTGATGGAACCACAGGAGCATCTTCGGCCAAGAACTCTTCCTNTTTGCTGACACCAGTCAAGACGGCTAGTGTACCTCCAAGCTTGCCCTCGATGCCGAATTGGATGTCTGTGTTGAGACGATCTCCAATCATGCAGACACGACTGCGGTCGAACTGGAACTTGCCCTCTACTGCATCCATCATGGCTTGACTAGGCTTGCCCAAAGCCAAAGGCTCCTTGCCCCACGCCTTGACGAGAGGTGCACCGACCGAGCCAGCACCAGGGAAGAGTGTGTGAGAGTTGGGCAGAGTCGAGTCGGTGTTGGTTGCCAGGAAGACAGCTCCTCTGCGGAGGTAGTGGTATGCCATGCTCAACTTCAAGTAATTGACATTGAAGTCAAGACCAGCCAGCACAACACCGACATCAGGGTCAAGGGCGCTGCCGTTGGCAATGTTGGTGAAGTCTTCTGGCTTCATCTCGCGGCGAAGGTTGGGATCAGTACCTCCGCAGTATGGCACGTTCTCAGATGCCAGCTCGGCTTCGATGCCCGACTCTCCAAGCACAAAGACCTTGTTCTTGGGTGCCTCGAGCTTGAGGATGCGAGCAATGTAGATGGCTGCACTGTAGGCAGAACCAAAGACCTCCTCNNCTGTTTCATGTCGTCAGCCCTGATCGGCTGCTGATGTGGCTTATCGACGTACCACTTTGCAAGGGATGCCCATGCTATCAAACTTCTTCTTGTAGTCCTGACGCGACTTCGTGCTGTTGTTGGTCACGAAGACCAGTTGCTTTCCTTTGCTTCTGAGCATCTCGATAGTCTCCTTGGTGCCTTCGAAGAGATGATCGCCCGACCAGAGGACGCNCTATCCTTCTCGTATCATCAGTCTCAGTTGTTCATATAATTGTATGCGTTCGCAAGCTGCCATGTCGGATATATATGTGGTCGATTTTCGGGTTGATTGCGTACCATCACAGTCAAAGAGGAAGANCCTGTGACTAGTCAGTGTATTGTTCGTCTGTGGGCGAGTGTCTAGACGTACATCGAACTTGTTGAGGAACTCGTCAATGCCGGCCTTGTCGCCTGTCAAAAATTTGGGAGCCATGATGGTTGTGTATGCGACAAGATCAGGTCAACTGAATTGTTGAAAGCGCATGCCCTCCAGCATCGTCATGGCCGGCTTCCAACTCCGAACACGGCCCGCATTTCGGCTTCTCTTCCAACTTGTGCCTTCCATCTCAACTCGTGTTTCCACCTTTTCCGACAATGTTCAAACAATGCTTTTTGTCTTGAGCATCTAGCTTGAGAGCTCTGTCCCCTTCCCCCCCTCTGAGGGAAACTACCTGACTGTCTTCCATACTCTGAATCAAGTTCATGGCATGCTGGACATCACTAGGTAAAGAAGAATGCATCTTGTCTTACCTTCGAGTCACAAGAGTAGGTGCAATCGTGAAACCCATTCATGTTCTAGCCACAGCCTCAAGCCTGTTCCAACAAGTTGTCCCGAACCAAGCATTTGCTGTCGTCTCCTCACTCTTAGTTTGACCATCGGTACTACTTGATGGATTCAAAACTGGAATCAACACGTTCTACGCCGATTGCGCTGGCATTCCAGCTTGCTATAAACTACTCAAAAGTGTCACTTGAGAAAGAGGCTTCAACAGCTTGTCACTTTGGTCACTACTACAAATTAGTCATTTTCCCTACACACCTCTACTGGAACCATCTCTTCTTCACTGGTCACGATCTCTGCCAAACGAAAGCTCAGAATGGTCGTCATCAAGGCTTTTGCACACAGAGACACCAAGGAACTGGCTCAGTACCTCAACGACCAGAGACCTCACCCACCACGAACCTTCGTACCCGAACTCATCGAAGGAGGTCAAGTCAAACCGTGCACCGGCTGGATGAACCTCCTAAAGCCACCTCAGAACGGCTGGTGGGCAGACAGACAAGCCTGCCAATGCCCACCCTGCTACTTCTACACCTTGACTGATCAAATCAACAGTGGCGCCTTGCCCTTTCCCGTCGCTGTTCCCCTGGCCCAACTCATCAATGTGGGCTTGATCAGACTCAACTTCCGCCATCCCCAACACGCAAACGTGTTTACTGCCGAGGACAGAGACTACGCCCTGTCCCTGCACCGTGATATTTGCTATGGCATCAATTCGGGCCAACTTCCCCTCCAGCTTCTGGAAATTCTTCTTGTCGCATCTCGCAAGGCTGTGCTTAAGCCTCTGAACCAAGAAGATCCAGAGTACAACCACAAAGAGTTCGAGTTACATCTCAAACGCGCCATTCAGAGATGCAAGGAAGATCAAAGCAACGGCGAAGGTTGTTTGGATGATGAAGAGCAAACCAAAGAAGGTGCTCATTCAGATGAAGAACACGATCCTGGCGTTTGGTCGTCAGATGCAGCTGACCACACGAGCGTTGCAGAAGATGATTCGGACAAAGAAACGCAGGCTTCTTACTTCTGCCTCACCNNTTCCAAGAATCAACCGCTGACTTGACTGCAGCGCTTTCTTGTGGACTGCTCCTGCTGCCACCCCATCCCATTCATAAGGCAGTGGGTATGCNNACTTTCTTTGAAAGATGGCAACAATCTTGGATGTACAAATTGGAGACCTGCTTTCACAGGATGCAAACATGAAGCAGACCAACCAAATCTCAGAGGAACGAACAAAGTTTGAGAAGTTCGAAAAATCCATAGTTTGAAATATAAGAGCAAGAAAGCATAATTGGAGAAAACGATAACAATGAAATCCCGATTCCAACCATACAAACTTCTTCTGAGCCCAGAAAGCACTGTATGAATAGACATCGCTATCAAAATGTATGATGAAATGTGGGAATCAAGCTGTGCCTTAGAAGGAGCCCAAGCTGGATATGCTCTCTCTGGACATGATGCTGTTTGCGAACTACTTTCTATATCGAGACGATATCTTTCCATAGCAGTCAGCTCTCAGGAGATCAACCTTCGGGAACGTACAGTAGTGAATTCAACAAAGCATTTCCAGTCTCTTCCACAAAGTACTACACATCCATACGCATCTATAAAAATACATGATGTTTTCGACAAACGTTGTCATGTCCAATGAAAGCATGTTTGCAACCCTACCTTCTCTGGACAGGCCTTTGTTCTCGTATTGCTTTCTGCATTTTTATAGTACTTCTTGGTCGTCGTAGTCTTTCGTGAGATACAATGACATGATAGGATGTATTGCAAGTTGAGATGTTTCACATGGAGCTCTCACAAAAGCAGTTGAGTATATAGGTATCTATCAGAAGTCAGGATTCTATCAGAAATGTAGATCTGGCCAGTGAGAGCACATCGTGACTGGTGCTTTCTCTAGACATGTCTCTGTTTCTGTATTTCTTTCTGCATTTCTATAATACCTCTTTGTCGTCGGCGTCTTTCGGAGATGCCATCCCTTGATATAACGTATTGAGACTTCGGGTCTCCAACAGGGCTCTCACAAAAGCAGTTCAGTATATAGGTATCTATCAAAAGTCAGAATCTTTTCAGAAACAGAGATGTGGCCAGAGAGAGCATACTGTGAGTGGTGCTTTCTCTGGACAAGTCTCTGTTTCCATATTACGTTGTGCATTTTTATAGTATCTTTCCATAGTAGTCGTTTCTCTTGGGATATCTAATCGGAAGCGTGCCGAGCAGAAAGCCCAGAAGGGTAAGGCCTTCATAGGACCGCTCCTGCTACTACTGCCACCAGCCGGGTCACCTGGCTCGCGACTGTCCCAAAATCAAGAAAAAGGGCCGCGCCTGGGTCCCTCGCGCCGAGTGGAAGGCGTAGAAACGCGCCACTGCTGACAAGGAGAAGAAGAAGCTTGAGGAGAACACCAGGTCACCTGCTGAGCTGGAGAGAGGTAGATCTCAAGCCTGAAACTTCCCACTAACCTATACTAATCCCTCCATCAGAGGGAAATCTTGCTCGTTTCGAGAGCATGAGTCTTTCGATGCCGACTCAAACTCGTTCTGGACGCCCTCGCAGCAACTCTGAGCCGCTCGAGAAGCCTAGTGACAAGATGAACACTCAGGAGTAGAAACTTTGCGGGTTTCAAAATCCAGGGGAGTTTACTGGGTACCTTGAAAAATGATCCTAGACAACGTTTCTGTGGTCTTGTCTATATGTAGATAGGATTTGTGATGCTGTGCAGTAGGTCTAGACGTTATACTACAACTACCACTGCTCGAGGCATCCAGGGGTAAGAAAACAATCCAGTTGATGACGATGCCTGTACCCGATTGTCTCTGCTACCCTTACCGGTCTATTAGCATGGGTTGACTCTGTGAACATGTGTCTGAATCATCGCAAACGACATTCACCACGATGACCTAGGCAACGACGACATCATCAAGCGGGTCCGTAACGCAGTGAACGTGTCTTACCTTGAATTCACCTGCAAACACCCTTCATTGTGAGACCGGGGTTCTTTAGCAAGCAACCAACCTTTGACCATCCCGACGCGACAACCTACTATGGAAGAAGACCCCTCGCCTACCACCAATCTGTCCTCAAGGAAGAGATGCTGGCCCGGAGACTCAGACAAGCAGGAGATCTCCGTAGAGTCTCCCCAGTCTCGCGAGCAACTCCTTAAGGAGTTTGCTAATGTAAGTGGAAGACGCGGATACTGCTCTACACTGAGCTCGATACTGACCGGTGTTTCGTAGCGCCCCCTGCCCTCCTACCCCGTTGCCAGGCAGGTTGCTCGTCCTGGCCTCGAGGACTTCTACAGGCCTTGTTACCTCNNCCCCCTGGCCCAACTCAAGAAGATCTTNTTGAAAGATCTCAAATGTGAGACCCACCATCGCGGTAGTTTTCTGCTGCTGCGCGTGTTCTGCCAGCCGTTTCGCAGGTTGGCAGTCATGGCTGCAGTAGAAGACGAGGCAGGTGACGTAGATAGGCTGGCCCTCCGTCACACCAAGGAGGCCCTTCGCGCCTTCGAGGTTGTGCCAGAAGGTACTGTGGTTACCGTCAAGGAGCCATTCTACCATCTGGAGGAGGACGGCCGCTACGTTCTTCGGGTCGACCACCCGTCCGACATGGTGGTCCTGGACCAGCACCACAAGCTGTGTCCCGGGCAGTGGCAGAATCTTGAAGAGATTCAGATGACNGCCCTGGGTTGGAAGCTCGAAGGCAACAAGGCCTTCGTCAGGGAGGAGTACCTGGAAGCATACCGGTGGTAAGTACTTGTATCCACTCCGAACCTCTCAATGCACTTTTGCATGCCTATGGAAATGCACGATTGTTTGAGGAAACAAGGCGAGTCCAGAGAGAGTGACTTCGTCGTGCACTCTCTCTGGATAACTTCATTGATCTCAACCATATCGTGTCTTTTTATAGCTGCTCTTCATACACCCACGTCCGAGGAGAGATGGCTGATATGAGTTCTCAGCTATACCCGTGGCCTTTCTTGTCTGGAGCCAGATGCAGACGAGGGTATGCGTGACCTGATGCGCGACCTTTATCACCGCCGCTCATCAACCAATCTCCTTCTGCACCGCTATGATGCTGCAATTCTGGATGCTTTCTTGTCGACTTCGAACGGTCGGGATGACACATCGAAAGCCAAGGATGCTGAGGCCTGGTTTCGTCGTGGTCGTGCTAACTATCAGCTTGGCAACTATGCAGATGCTCTCAACGCTTTTGGTCGCATGCTCATGCTTGCTCCATCAAGTTTGAGAGGTCATGAAGAGCTCAAGAAGACAAAGACGCGTCTCCTGGAGCAGCATCAAGGAACATATGACTTCGCAGAGATCATCGAAGAAGTCACGAAGAATGGCTTCTTTGCCGACCGCGCCAGCTTCATCTCAAAGACAGAAGTGCGTCAGACTCAAGATCGCGGCCGAGGACTTTTTGCCACTCAGGACATCCAAATGGGCGATCTGATCATGTGCGAGAAGGCTTTCGTGGCTGCACACCCTGACGATCGCATATCAACCTCGACTCTACCAGTGTGGCTTGACAGCGTTCANAAAGTGATCGACAACCCATCGCAGAGCAAAAGCCTACTTGGTCTCTATGCGGGAGATCCACGCACCTCAGCCATCCCTGCTCCAATCATCGATGGCAATCCAGTGGTCGACACTTTCAAAGTCTCCAAGATACTCGACCTGAATGGCTTCNNCAGCTTCCCCGTGGGTCGCGAGTCACAAGCATACGGCACCTCCGCGATGATGACCAAGACGAGCCCTAAATCAACCGGCTTGTGGATTCACGTTGCCAACTCCAATCACGCCTGCTTGTCGAATGCTGTGAGGAGTTTCATCGGCGACCTGATTGTTCTCAGAGCTGCCAAAGACATCAAGAAGGGCGATGAGATTACCATCACCTATTCAAACCCTGCACCCCTCTTGGAAGACCGTCAGAAGGCTCATTTCAAGTCTTGGGGCTTCCGTTGCAGCTGTCTTCTCTGCACATCGGAAGCGAGCCTTGGAATCAAGATGCAGACTCTTGCTGAACATGTCGAGACTTCTATGGCATTCATGGGAGACAGAAATTTGGACGACATCCTTTCCACCAACTCAGAATTGGTTGCAATGGCTGAGATTCTGGCAGAGGACCTCGAAGAAGTCTATGCTGATAACCTGATGCAACGTCTTCCGTGCTTGGGCATGGTCGACGTCTGGCAATGGCTAAGTCAGATTTACTGGCAGGCTCGCAACAGAACCCAGCTTCAGCGTACTGCCACCAAGACCCTTGAGAGCTACGGCTACTGGATCACTGTACAAGTATCCAGCCTAAGCATAGATTCTACGCATGGAATCCCAGCAGTCGGGGTTGTAAACGCCTTGATGTATCTGTCTTACGCAGCCGAAGGAGAGCAGAAGATTGAGCTCAGTCAGGAGTTCAAGGCTTGGGCCAGAAAGATCTACGTGATCGTGAACGGTAGCATGATGGGTTTCGACTTGAAATACTGAGAAGCTGCGTGGGCAGTGGTGGCATAGATCGAGGTCAAGACTGTGTCTTGTCTAGACAGATTATCTTGCCCAATACAATGCAACTGGAACAACACACTCGATTATGCATTGGTGCAGACTTGTCCTTGTGCATTGTGATGGCTGTCGATAACGGATGATGTCAAGCGTGAGATAGGAAAATTTGACGGATGGAAGCTCTTTGGTATGTATTCATAGCAACTCGGAGGGCAGTGAGGACGAGGCTGTTCCTGCCGATACCGACTATTGTCCATGAGTTATGGCAACTTCGGTGAACAAACCATGAACGACGGTGTGGGTGCGAGACATCCGCGTTGGTTTTCAGCCAAATGAGGGGGAAGTTGACGTTGCGGAACACGTCGGATATTTTCACGCGAGCCATGATGTCGACTGGATAGAGTCCAGATTGTGACTGAAACAGGTTTGGTATCAGTAGACAGCAGGTGATTCGTGAGCTGGACGGATAGGCGTGTCAGATGCTCTGTGGCGGTATCACGCTTAGGGGAGCTTCGAATGCGGTCGCGGCTAGATAGATGAAGAAGGAAGCCGCCGCCGATTCGAAACAGGAGACAGAAGGGAGCGGGGTTGGCGTGTTGGACGCATCTAGTGATTGGATATTGAAACCCTTCATCCGTGAAGATATACAACCCCCACGCGTGTGCATCTGCGTGCTGCAAGTAACAGCAATCAAGCTTGCACCCAAGGTACTGGGTGCTTGGAAGCGGCATTTCGCTGGAGAGCCGCCAACGTTGGACTTGCGTGTGCAATTCAAATTACAAGGCTACAAGAGTGTTGATACGTGTAGTTGCTGACATCGTGTGTTGCGTTCTACTGAGCAAACACCACAACAATCTGCTGCGACACGCACAAAAGGAGGTCTATTGTTTAGCGGTGAAGAGTCTCACCGCGACGAACTGTACGAGGGATCTTTAGGCACCGTTTACATAGGATGCATGGCGTTGGTGCACCTGCAGCAAGAGACGCCTCACGCAGAGCAAAATGCCGCAGAGCTCATGCTCGTAACTCCTCGTTGTTCGTTACATCCTGCGAGGTCACTGCCGGCATCGTCACGTAAATGTTTGAAGATCGGAGTCGAGCAAGCTAAGCGAGAGAACACATCAGAAACGCGATGACAGGCGCACGAGAGTCGAGCCGGAATATTGTCACGAGCTTTGAGTTTGACAAAAAGACTGTCAAAATCGCGAATAGCCGGGGGTTGAGCAGGAAAATCCAGCCCGCTTTTCCTGTAGCGTCGGGAATGAAAAGGCATTCGATTCACTACGTCAACGTGAGGCATTTGTGGTCTGTCGCAACGACCACAATCACAATAATAATTTCAGATCAACATGACAACCGCCGCGGTTGCAGAGGGCGTCTACATTCTTGGAAGAGCACCACGTGCAGGATTCGCAGCTTGCGCATGAGCGAGCAGCAGAACGGCGGCTGTAAGGACCACCCACTGTAAAGCGGTGTGCAGCAGAAAGTAGACCGTGTCGAAAATGGAAGAGGGGGTGGAAGGAGCACGAGCGATTAGGCCCGGCCGCTCGATTGTTGTTGGTTGGGCGCATCGCGGACGGACTGTGGGTGGGCCTCGGAGCCCACACAAAGTGAGCTGGGGGCCTTCTAGTTTCTAAGTGCAAGCAGCAATTTGCGCCTGCTCTCTTCCTGCACTTCATCAACTCGCCCTCTCGTCGTCTCGCCCCTCTCTGGGTCGCGTGCGGTGCGTTTGTGAGTCGCAGCTGACCTAAAGACTCTCTTCTGCTCCTTCCTGTTTCTTCCTACTCGTGTTCCCGACAATCCGAGCGATCTGCAAGTGAGCGTCATCCTTGGATCCTTGGCCACTCCCAAGCAAGCAGTATGGGCTATGCTATGCCTGCGCATTGCCGAACGCTGTCAAGACTAACACTCTGCCAGGTGCTTGTCTTATTATCGCATCGGCCTCGTCGTTGTATTCTTGTATCCAGATACCATGTTCGTTCTGGAATTATAACAACAGCCTTCGGGTACTTCAGCGCATCGTCCTACCAAAGGAGTCTCTGTCCTGCGGTTTGCGCCACACTCTATACATAACTCGAGTCCACGCTCATACAGCCTTCTGTGCCGTTGACTGAGCCACTATACGACTACAACCGCTTACATCACTCATGCCTACCTCAAATAGGCCACTTACCCTGGATATGGCACATATGGCTACCTTGCAAAGAAGTACATCAGCCATGGGACGCATCGATACAGAACTCCTCGCCGAAGGAGACGAACCACCGGAAAGAAAGGACCAATCGCTCGTAGATTCCCCTCGCCTTGACGCCGCCTTTATCAAATCACTCCCCCCGGCTTTTACCCGCAGAGAATCTCTTCTTACCCGCCAACTACACTCGCCGGAGCCAGAACATCCTCATGAGGACGAACACCAACGTGCTAGGGCTATCGTGCGTGGTATGTCAGCATGGAGTAACCATAGCGTCGCCTCCACGGCTGAGCTTACCAGCGACAACGACTTGACCAGCCCAGGAACTCGTGAAAGCACTCCAAGTCCTCCATTGCCTCCTACCTTGATTAGAGATTCTATCCCAGCACTGGACAAGTCTCCCTACAAGGAGCCCGTCATACTCGAGGAGACCAAATCTCAGCCCGAGAAGTCCGTCGAGGCCGAACTCGGTCGTCCCAGATGCATCACTTTTGCTTGTGGAGGCAAGAAGCCCGCCTCGAATCATGTTCCCTCGGAAAGCGANGCAAGAAAAGAAACAAGCACCAACCCCTGCACCTGCGGAACCTCCAAAGCGCAAAACTTGCATTACCTTTGCTTGTCCTTCTAAGCCTGCCGTTGAAACATCCCCTATCAAGGAAAAGACCAAGGCAATCACTCTGGCCCCAACGCAAGCNNACCTAAACCAAGAATTGTCAGCCCTGGACCTAAAACTTCAAGAACTCAAGCATCTCCCAAACATTTCCCTCGGAATCATCGTGGATCCGATTCGACAGTCAAGAATGATTCGCCCAAAAGTCTTCGCAAAACTCCTTCGATGACTGTCCGAAGACGCAAATACAGCATGGAGAATGATGATGTGCCTGGCGAGGAGAGACGTTTCCACGAATTCGGCCCCTCGGAGGAAGAAAATGAACAGTGGCTAGAAGAATCCGGCTGCTACCGCCAGCGTCTGACTGTCAACGACACCTTGTACAAGGAAAACATTATCAGACAAATTGGTGAGGAAGTCGAAGAAGAGGCCATCGAAGATGACGAAGACGATGAAGATGAAGAACTTGATGAAGACGAGGACGACGAAGATGATGAAGATCTTGAAGACCTCGATATCCAGGAAGCCGTCTCAGATGATGAAGTCTCCGATGCTGGTTTCCAAACAGACGACGAAGACGGCTTTGCAGTATCTGACAGCGAGGGTGATGATAGCGACAACGAATGGTGGGCCCCTGGAGGTCGCTCAACCGCTGCCACCTCCATAGAACACCTGGAGACTGTTCGTCCTACACGCAGAAGAACCAACTCGGATTCGTCTTTGGGATCAGCACATGGCGAAAACAAAACTGCATCAGCACCCTACGGCATGGTCAAGCGCAGAAGCCGTGCCGTAAAGATTAACCGTCCTCAGACTCCCGATCTTCCTGACAGCACTGACTTCGTCTGCGGTACCCTCGATGAGGACCGTCCTCTTGAGCAAGCATACATCATGAGTCTCGAGAGAAGAAAGGCTGCTAAGCACAAGGCTAAGCCTCAAGATATCGATCCTACTTTCCCTACCTCTGACCCGGATATGGACGAGGAAGATGACGATGAGGACGACGAAGATGTTGAGGAGAGTGATCAGCCCCTTTTCATGCACGGCAAGATTGAGATAAACGAAGACATGGCTCACCGTGGCCGCCGCAAGTCTAAGACTGCTTCCAAGAAGAAGTCCATCTCACCCCCTCATCAACGACTTCGTTCACCTCCTCCTCCTACCAAGCATCGCTCCCACCGCTCTCCTCCACCGTCAGCCAAGCGTTTGCGATCGCCTGCTCCGATCAAGCGCACCAATCACAAATCACCACCACCTCGCAAGCTCTTTGGGCAGTCACCCAGGCGCTTGAGGTCACCTCCGCCTCCACCTCGTCGTCCTACATCTCCTCCCCCATCTCTGCGCAGTTCTGTCGAAGGTGTCTCAGCTATCAGCTTCACACCAAGAGCCACTCTTGCCCGTCGCCCTCAACCTACTCACACCGCCTCATTACCTCGAGTCGAGAGCCAGGTCAAGATTGGCAAGAACGCTATGACTGCTTCTCTTGACGAACACGACGATCCTCTGTCTGGTATGCGTACCGCTCGCGGCGCCATCGACATTGTCAAGGGTCTTGAGAAGAAACGCCAGCGACGCAAGGAGAAGCTTTACCAAAAGCACTGCCAGAAAGGGAANAAGGATCACGACCGCAAACCAAAACCAGGCAAGGGCGCGGAAAGAATGAGAGAGGTTGGACTTGAGCTGGCTGCTTACAAAGGCAAGAAACAGCATGTCCTCTCCTACTAAAAAGATGTCGTCTTGATCAGGGGCTTGCGACGCCGTCCACGCAGTTGGCACATTACAGTCTCATTCACTGAGTCTGCTGGTCGTCGCATGTCCCCGTTGATCGACGAACAGAGCATTTTGCTGACGCGGGTCTTTTCCAGCTGCGCACGTTTCGCCCACTGGAAACTCGTAGTCATGTTATTTACTTCAGTCAACGCGCTGCTAAGGTCACAGAATACACCCCGGCAGGCCGATACGCGTACCTCAATACACAAGCTAATGATCCTTTTCTCTGTATATACATACCCCCTTTTTTCTTCCCTCAATTCCTTTAGGGTTGGGGAGTCTCTTTTTCTTTCTTCTAAACAGCGATTTTTCGGAGGCCCAAGATACCATTTTTGCTTGCATGGACAGGCATCAGAATTGGCGTTTGTCTTTTCAATGAGGACTGGGAAGGGAAGCAGATTCATCCATGATTAGGATGAAGTGTCTTTTTTCGTTTTGGACCTAGCCAGGATTGCAGATAGAAGAATCACAGTCGCTATTGGCTATTCAGATGATTTTCCCTAGATCGATAAAGTCGCATGTCGAGATGTTCATTGTGATGATAGTCAAGTGTTCCTTGTGATGGCTGTCGAATGGTGAATGTTGATGGTTGATGGTTGATGGGGTTCTTGGCACGAGTGGGTGGCAGCTTCTCAGATGACGGCGGCGACGGCTCCAACGTGGACATTAGTTTGTGATACTCCTAATAGCTGTCAACACTGCCAATTCCCATCCACCTCAACCCCGGACTATCGCAACGTCCTCTTCTACACATCAACTCATAATCACAAGCAATCCGACAAGATGTGGCTTATTGACTGGTGTAAGTGACGGCTGTCGCGACGGCGTTTGGCCGCCAGAGGGAGACAAGCGCTGACCAGCACCTATCTAGTCTGGGACGTTCTCGCCAACCTTGGCTTGATGAACAAGCACGCTGTATGCGATATGCATCACCTGAAACACCTTGGACAACTGTACTGACACGGATCTCCTTAGAAACTGCTGTTCCTCGGTCTCGACAATGCCGGAAAGACCACGGTGCGTCCGACATGCTTTCACTTAACCCTGCCTGGACTGGACAGCTAACATGAGTATACGAACAGCTTCTTCACATGCTCAAGGTATGCATGCTCCCTGCCTTTGCGCCGCACGTGCTCAACAATTGCTGACGCCTTCTAGAACGACAGAGTGTATGCCTACCCTACTCACGAGACCCCGAAACATTCGAGCTTACTCTCAACAGCGCCGTCTTGAACCCTACCCTCCACCCTAGTACGCTTCGAATATACAGAACACGCTGCGACATACATGACTNNGACATGGCACATAGCCTCTGAGGAGTTGAGCATCGGCAACGTCCGCTTCACCACTTTCGANCTTGGGCGGTATGATCAATCGCATATAAAGAGCCATGGGGACACACAGCTGAGATTGGTAACAGGTCACCAGCAGGCAAGACGTTTGTGGAAGGATGTGAGTTGCTACGAGGACACCTTTGTTGGCACAAAAGACTGACGCAGCCATGCANNGTACTTCCCCGAGGTTTCCGGTACGAGAGAGCAGCTCTGGTCTATATGCGATGCCGGTAGCTGATAGTATCTAGGAATTGTCTTCCTTGTCGACGCCAAGGACCCTGAGCGTTTCATTGAGAGCAAGGCTGAGCTCGATGCTCGTACGTTACACAGATGCGGAACACGAGACATCATTGCTGACAAGAAATATTACNNAGTCCTGTCCATGGAGGACCTCTCCAAGACTCCCTTCCTGATTCTTGGCAACAAGATTGACCGTAAGCTTTACCGCCACCCTTCTTTTACGCAACACGCGACTAATGCAAAACAGACNCCCAGCGCCGTCAGCGAGGACCAGCTCGTGAGTTTTGCTTGACCGCTAATCTACAGGATATTTGTGACTAACAGAGACAACAGNCGACACGAGCTTGGTCTCTACCAGACCACCGGCAAGGGCAAGATCCCTCTTGAGGGCATCCGTCCCATCGAAGTCTTCATGTGCAGTGTTGTCATGAGACAGGGCTACGGTGAAGGTATCCGCTGGTTGTCGCAATACGTCTAAGCAGCGACGTCCATGCCTTTCCGGTACTACCCACCCAGCGTTCTGGCATAACAGAGCCAACCAGCATTATGCCCGACACTCGAAAATCTCGACAATTACGAGCATTGTCTCAATAGTCGGCACGATCAGATCGGAACAAAAGGATTAGGACTCGAAAAGGTTCTCCGTCCACGTCCAAAAACATACAACTGGTGGTGTTTCTTTTCTGATCTCGGTTTCGTGGAGGCGTTGAGAGTGGTCTTTTACAAGTCTGCTTTTTTCTTTTACAAACACTACTTACTTACTTATTCCGACCATGAATCAATGTAGCGTATCTTCTCCCAAGCTACTATCTCGCCCGCCTGTGTCTTGTGAGCTATCGTCGTTGTGTTGAAGCTATTGATTCTTTCCATCTTCTGAGTTCAACCCTGCTGACCAGACTTCTTCAGGAAGATACACATCAACGCGTCTGTGGGCCCTCGCCGTCCTCCTCCACGCCACTGCTCATGCCAGACTCGTTCGGTCAGTTGCTTGTTCATTTCAGGCGCTCCCGACTGACCTCTTTCGATCCACAGGGATGAAGAAGCTTTCACTCGGCCGTGTCTGGTGTTAATTTTGTTTCGGAAGAGCCTCTTTACTCCGTCTTTCTGATCCTCAGGCTCTAGGTAGAAGGGACGCACATGAGAGAATTCTCCATTGATTTCATTTCGTCGTATTCTCGGGCTGAAATCCCACGTTGTGATCATATGGCGACCCATGAGTATATGGTAAGTGATCTTCGTGCGTAATGCCGGCATTGCATTCAAAGGCTTCTCGACCGCATTGGTCAGGCGCATTCTCCAGATCGTCTTGAATGGCTGTATGGTCAGGAACCACTGCTCGTCGCAAGGAACTGCTGTCCAGAAGAAGCCTGAACTGCGATGTAACAGGAGGGACATGACCTCGTCACTGATTTGTTCCGATACTTGGGAGAGAGGGTGCTCTAGAGTCGCTTCGTCCTGGGTATCGAATACGTAGTCGTAAACCATCAAGCGTAGTTCGATGGGCAGACGGAGGAAGTGGCAAGCTTGATCGGACATGATGGATGAGTCGAGGTGGAGGGGTGGTTGATGAGTTGGTGGTTTGGTGTCCCTTTTGATAACAGAGTCGATGCTTGACTGGCGGCTGAGGTCGAGTGTTAGCAGGAAAGTGGTCACGCAAACTGGTGAACAGGCGTGGACCTACAACAGCTTAGATGGACACTCACGTTATGCCATCTGCTATAGCACAGGACATGAAGTAGAGTCGTGATGAAGATGGAGATTGGAGGATGCAGAGAGAGAGAGAGAAGGAGTCGCAGATACTTCTGTTCGCGCGGCGGAGGAAGCCGCTACTTCTATCTTTGTTCTCGTTGTCGAACGGCTGTAATAGTCTATCAAAAGTGGAAGTCGCTACCTTCATGCCTTCTCCAGGAAGCCACGGATTGCCTTTGCGGTCTCGCCAGGCATGCTCAGGAAAGGACTGTGGCTAGCCTTTAGACTCGTGGTTTCCACATTTACACCTTCGGCCTTGACAGCATTGATCATCTGCTCCTGACCATTTTTGGTCAACGCCCTGTCATCTTCGCAGATAATATATGCAGTTGGGATCTCACGCCAAGCGACCTTGGAAGGAAAACTCATTACATGAGCGAGCGGCATTCCGCACAGATTGTCGATTGCACGCTGACTCATTTGTTCTGGCACATCATGATAGAAGTAGTGCATTGGATCCAACGCCAAGAGCATCTTGGGATTCTGCGAGAAGGACATGTGTCAGTTCAGATTGCGATAGTGGTAGGCAAGATTGTGATCACATACCTGTTCATCGTCGACGCGAGCAATATTCGGCCAGTCCTCGTTGTGTCCAAAGTCGGAACGACGTCCACCTTCTTTGAGCATGAAAGCAGACATGTAGATCATTTTCACGACCCTACCGGATGTCTCGCTTGTCTTCTTGCCCAAGCCACATGCTGCTTCGGAGCCCGCCATGCCGCCAAACGAATGCATGACTACTGCTACATCTCTGCCAGCCTCGGTGTGCGAAGTGATAGCATTACGGATGATCGAGATGTCTTCCTTCCAAGAATCCTCGGGCAAGTCTTTCTCATCGCTGGTAGAGGACGATTCGATGCAATCTACAGTGTAGCCATTGGCATTGAGTTTTAGTGCCAGGTGTGCGTAGTGTGCTGGTACATGCCAGGCTCCAGGTATAATGACGATGACTGGTTTCTCGTTCGAAGTCATGATTGTGATTGTGTTACAACGAGAGGTGATTGGAATGTTTGTGGTTTTATAAAGGCGCTGAAGTTGACTGCTGACAACCGACTTCCTCTTTTGGCTTTACTCCGCTCATCATACTCATCATATAAATGATCATGATCCTTCGTGTCGGGCCATCATCTCGCCGAAACAAGTCCGCCAGCACTTTCTCTTCCTTTGCTCGTGAACAATGACAACCAAATTCACGACCGCGAATTCGTGTGTATAAGGCTGCCAAATGCTGGGACCGGTGAATTGAGAGTCTGGAAGGAACACCCACCAGCGCAACGGCGGCTGTTGCGTTGGCCTTGTCATGAGCCAGCTGTAGACCCTCGCAATCTAAACAGACGAACGACGTCGAAGGGTCCGGCACTCAACCCTGGCTTCCAACTTCCCTTGTGCAGGCTCCTGGTCATCGACTACTTATCAGTGAGCTCCTCGCTCAACACATATCAGGTTGTTCAGTCAAGGTCCTGATAACCAAAGTCCCAACAGCTTTGCCCTGATTATAATCTTTCACGTTATCAGCACGTCATGTTTACACAATATGCCTAAACGAAGGCTGTAGAATATGGTGAGAACGAGATCTGTCCGCACAACCGGTTTGCGATATGTGGATGCCTGTGCTATAGGGCCGATGCGACCACGGTATCGCCGGAACATGATGAACGATGACAGCTCTGCGGCTTCGACTTCGTCCGAGCTCTTTGCGGAAAACTGGCTATGAGGTGAGATTGATATGATCCTGTAGGCAGTCTGCCAGGTACTGTTTCAGTCTATAAGTATATATATAAGTTAGTTGTTCAGCTCTCTTATCACTTCAATAGTTTCTTTATATTCTACATTTACCTGGAGCCATCCCATCATACCCAAGCTCACAGAGTACGGCTGTCTTTGTCCAAGAAAAGCATATATCGATATACTATTGCCATGGACTCAGTCAATCTGGTCAAGAGAGACTCGCCTGTACAGGCCGAAGAGTTTGGTACATCCCGCCCAGAAATACTCGCAGATAATAAGAAGCGCTGATAAGTTTCGAATNNAGAGAAGCTACGTCCATTGAGCGACCAACTGGCACACGAGATGGAAAAGCTAGATCAAATGTTCTGGATCGACCAACAGAAACTCAAAGATATCAGCAGACAGTTCGAAGTAGAGCTTGACAGAGGTCTGAAGGAGAACAACCAGAACATCGTATGTTGTTCAGCCTCTGATACGTTCTGACCGAGTACTGACAAATATATCATANNGCCGATGAACATAACCTGGGTCCTGGGTCAACCACATGGTGACGAGAAGGGTAGTTTCCTCACGGTAGACCTCGGAGGAACAAACCTTCGTGTCTGCTGGATCACATTGCCAGGAGCACGCGGCCAACCCAGCATAGTCCAAGAAAAGTACCAGCTCTCCAAGGAAGTCAAGACAGGCACTGCAGATCAGCTTTGGGATGAAGTGGCCGATCGAATGCAAACCTTCATCCGAGATCAGAAACTGGACGAGACTGCCACTCAGCCTTTGCCGCTTGGTTTCACATTCTCATATCCAGCTATGCAAGACTTCATCGATCACGGCGTGCTGCAGACATGGACCAAAGGCTGGGATGTAAAAGGTGTGGAAGGCGAGGATGTAACGGTACAACTCCGCAAGGCGATGGAAAAGAGACAGCTACGTGTCAAGCTTGTCGCACTCATCAACGACACGACAGGTGCCATGATAGCATCCGCGTATCACGACCCTGAGACCATCGTTGGTGCCATCTTTGGAACAGGTTGTAATGCCGCGTACATGGAAGACAGCGGCTCAATACCCAAGATCAAGGGACGACTACCACCTGCATGCCCTGTGGCCATCAACTGCGAGTATGGTGCTTTCGACAATAGCCATACTGTGCTTCCAATGACAAGATACGACCACCTCATCGACGAGGAATCACCTCGATCAGGCGAGCAAGCCTTCGAGAAAATGAGTGCAGGCCTCTACCTCGGCGAAATCTTCCGCCTGGTACTCGTAGACCTTGCAAAGCGACAGCTTGTTTTCAAGGACCAGGATATCTCAAGATTAGACAAGTCATATATCCTCGACACTGGATTCCTGTCAGCAATCGAAGACGACCAATCTCCTAGCTTTGAGAACACGGCTACTTCATTTNNGGAAGCCCATACAGGCATTCGACTAGATGATCAAGAACGTCAGGTTTGCCGTCGCTTAGCAGAACTGATCGCTATCCGGGGCGCCCGTCTCTGTGCGTGTGGTATTGCAGCAATCTGCAGCAAGAAGAACATCAAGCATGGTCATGTAGCCGCTGACGGATCGGTTGCAAACAAACACCCCAAGTTCAAGCGACGATGGGCCGACGCGTTGGCTGAGATTTTGGACTGGCCAGAGGAGAGAACCGAGGATCCAATCGTGTTGACTCCTGCGGAAGATGGTTCGGGTATCGGAGCTGCGGTCATTGTTGCCATGACTTTGGAAAGAGCGAGGAAGGGTGACGATGCTGGAGTCAAGGAAGCTGCTGACATGTGATGTCACGTTTGCTGTAGAGATAGACAATAGTATTCTTGCTGACACCTCCCGGTGAACTGCTCTTCATCGTGAATAATCGTTCTGCGTAATATAGCTACACGTTCGACTTAGTACATGGAAAGGATCGCGATGGGAGGTGCAAAAATTGATCATGGGGGGTTCAATATTTATTCGTTGGAAGCAAATATGAGAAGGGCATTGATGAAGAAGAACCTTGATATACACGCCAATCGCAAATTACTATGAAGAGTCTTATTAACAAAGGAGAGGCATCAAACTGAGCGTTCCGCGAGATCAGAAGTCACCGCCACCGTCATCACCGCCGCCAAAGTCGTCATTGCCATAGTCATCACCACCGCCTCCATTCTCGTAACCTTGATCGTAGGCGTTGTCTTCCATGTGGTCGATGCCGTCCATCAGCAAAGCACCACCGAGCAGACCGGCACCGGCACCCAAGGCCATGCCACCCATGCCCATACCGCCACCAGTCTTACGTTGCGGCTGTCCGTACATTTGCTGGGGTGGGTAGCCTCCATAGCCTTGCTGAGGGTATCCGCCGTATTGCTGTTGAGGATAGCCACCACCCATCATGCCACCTGAAGGATAGCCTTGCTGGGGACGTGAGCTCGAGCCTGAGGCCTTGCCAAGCAGCTTGCCAAAGAGACCGCCTTTCTTACCACGGTCCTGATCGCGGGGTGGCAGGTCGTTTGAATATTGGGGCTGGGACTGGTACTGAGGAGTTTGAGATTGGTACTGAGGACCTTGGGACTGGTACTGAGGAGCACCAGAGCCGTAGTAGGAGTCGGATGCGCCTGTGCGGGCTGTGGACTGGCCCGACTGGCGGGCGCGAGCTTCTTCCTCAGCCTGGAGCTTGCGAGCGAGGGCCTCATCGTCGTTGACATTGTGTGATGAGCCGGCCGAGTGAATCGAAGAGCCGCCGTAAGGGTTGTTTGAACCGTAGCCACCCTTCTCGGGGCCAGTGTACTGGGACTGGTGGTTGTCGTAGCCTGGAGGAGCGCCTGAAGGAGGGCCGCCTGACGAAGCATACGCAGGTTCAGTGGGCTTCTCCCATTGAGATTGCTTGGTGTGTAGGTTCACGTAGAACCACTCCTTGTACTGGTCATTCCACTGAGCCTTCCAGCCTTCAGGGACGCGAGGTGGAGGTGGACCCTAAGAGATTGTCAGCTATTGCCTTGGTGCCTAGCAGATCCAAGAGCGCATACCGGAGGTGGAGCATAGTCGGCCATTGTGTTTGCTTGCTTGTTTCTGCTGAGTTGTGTCGATGCGTCTGTGAGTTTTCCTCAGGTGACCGTAGGAGAGATAGAGAGATGAAGCGAGAGGTGTATAGGAGGTCAGAGAAACGTGGTCAATACATAAGAAACAAGAAGGTGAAGGAGCGAGTGACGGATTAGACTTTCAAGACGTCATTCAAGGTTCGTGGTGGCTGTGGCATAGTGGCGCAGGTGAGCACTTCTTTGTCTTTCTTCAACTTTGCCATCTTCGACACACAGTTTCTGTAGCTTTCTTGTCGCCCACAATCTTCTACCACCGTCTGTTCACATGGCTGTGTTCGCCATCCACCTTGATGCACACGATTCAATTTATCTGCTTCGTTCCATGAGTCTGCAGCCAAGTGCCCCGCAGCCTGGCGCCGAGGCCCAGAACGCTGCCGAGCTAACGCACGGACCCCCAGTCCGCACCTCGTTTTGATTTTGCACCTCGACATCTACAGCCACAACAAGCCCCTTTAGCTCAGTTGGTAGAGCGCGGCACTAGTATCCTCTAGATCATGCCGAGGTCGCCGGTTCGACTCCGTCAGGGGGCAGCAAGCTATTCCTTTTGTTCGTGGTTGTTCTGTCATGGTATAGCAATTTTTTGGTGTAGGTGAAGCCTGCATAAGAGCGTCACACAACTTTGTGCGTTCAGGGTAGCTGCTGGAGCTCGCTCCTTCCATCCAAGAACTCCATCCGAAACAGCACATCCAAATCAGGATATTGAGAAACGGACTTCAGTGTCCGCTTGACTGCACAATTATTTTCGGGCTACAGATGCATCCAATGAGAGCCTATGGAAACATCGTGTTTTATTGAGCTAGCATTGATCTGGACGATAATGTGTATCTCTCTGATGGCCCGGACATGCCAGACTTCCAAGGAGATATCTGAGCGTCTTCTACAGCCTACCTGAGTCGACCGAACACGATTATTCCTTTCAACCCTTGGGACATTGGCTCTTTTAGGGACGATTATCTGGATTCAATTTTATCATATTGTCAAGTCATCTAACGTATTCCTTATTAGTTATCAGATCTTTGCCCACGCATCTAGAATAAACGCCATATAGTATGCATCTCATGTACTGCCTCTCTTCTCCTGCTTCCGCGCCTTCTTCTCTTCCTTCTCGCGAAGTATGGCTTCTCTCCATCCACGTCCCCAGATCGTGACTGTCCAAGTCAAGACTGCTGAAGTACACAAGAATCCCGCACTGATCGTGCTGAACCATCCAACTCCGATCGCCTCAACCGCTGGTAGACAAGCTGCCGTTCCGGTAGCAGCAAACACATAGCGTAGCATATAGTTGCCAGCAACCACTTCCGAAGATCGCTTCTGCATCACATCCAGGCAGTAAGTATTGAGCGAGGGGAAACAGAAGAGTTGTGCCACGCCCTGGATGAACATGACAATGACTGGGAGAGGTATGCCACCCTTGTCCTTCTCGATTGACCATCCGTAGATCAGCATACATCCAGGGATGATAACGCCCATAAAAACAAGACAAGATCGCAATCGGTCTTCGGGTACGCGTTCACCGTTGCGCTTCTCAATCCATTTTCGTACGGTTCGATCTGCCCAGCGGCCTCCGAAGAAAGTTCCTAATGGCAGGGTCAGCCTCTGTAGTATATGTGACATCAAGGGTGATCTCATACCTGCTAGGTAACCACATCCAGGAGCAATATAGAAGAGTCCAGACTGAATTGGCGATGTGAGATGGAAGCGAGGATTGATAACATATCGAATCGGAGTTAGAAGACTGTACATGTTGAACACAAGACTGCTTGACGCCAGTCCAACGAACAGCAGATTAGGGTATCTGTATAGTCTGATGACGCGCAGAGGGTTGGTCCATGACCAGAGCTTCTTGGCCTTCTCACTCTTCTTAAGACCTTCAAGCTCGACGGATTTCTTGTAGTGGATTGTTTCAGGGAGGAAGAAGCAGCATAGTACCGTGGCGAAGACGGCTAGGCCAGTTTGTAGCCAGAATATATCTCTCCAGGTTTTGTAAGTTACAATTATACCGCCTAGCAGCGGACCCATAGCTACACAAAGTCAGATTGCACACCTCTGAACGAGCTGACGAGACTTACCTGGTCCAATGAGAGTTCCAGAGAAGAACCAACTCAATGCAGTTGCACGCTCTGTTGGACGATAGATATCGCCAATACAAGAACTGCCAATGATAAGGAAAGAAGTGCCTTGGAAGGCAGTCAAGATGCGAAAGATGAAGAACGAAGCCAAGTTGGGAGCCAATGCAGTACCAATAGAAAAACCAGCAAAGAAGATGGCGCTTAACAATTGTGTCCATCTTCTTCCGTATACCTGACCTATAGGACCCCAAAACATTGGAGACAACCCCATAAACAGCATATACAATGCATTGCTGGCATTGATAAGAGTACCAGTAGTGTTATATGTTGCCGCCACTTCAGGCACAGCAGCAAGTACTGTAGTCGATGCCATAGGAGCCAGGAAGGAACAGAAAGACAAGACTGATACTATACATATCTTCTTGGTATGCGTGAACTTGTCGTAGATTTCGTCTCCAGATTCACGGTAAGGTATGTGGGGTATGTCGTGTGCGGAGGCGTGGCTTTGGATATGTACAAGATCTAGGTTGGCGTTCTTCTGGTTGCCTTTCTCTAAATCCACTCCTTGAGCATCCTCGTAAGGTTCTGGGACCTGTTCAATGGCTGGTTGGACTACAGGCTCTTCTGCTCGAGTCTCTGTTCTGATCGTGTGCTTGTTCTCCGGCATTGTATCGTTCAGATATGAGTTGCCGAATGCGGAGGTACCATTAGACGCTGGGTAGATGTTCAGTCACAACAGAACAGAATGCTTTGCAGAGATAATTTTATTGCGGAAGAAGGAATGGTATATACAATAGAATGAGTCAAAGACATCATGGAGATCCGAAGGATACTCAGCCCGAAGAATTGGAGCAGAATCTGAGATAGTATGCCGATGAACCGGCGAAGCTGAAGACTTGCCGTGTGGTTTTTTTTTTTGGCCACCAATCAAACGAACCGCTTTTCCGCTCACGATCGGATTTCTGGCCGATGCTCGGACAATCTTTGTCCGCATCTATGCCATAAACAATCTTCGGAACCCTATTCGATTAGCAAGACAGTGATGTCTCATAACGATACAGCAGTCAATGACCGAGCTGAGCTCTGGCATATGGATAGTCATGTTCTGATGGTTGTGCTCCAACACCAGAGCACTGATCCTGTCGTCGCCGCGCTGCTGTACTGTGAAGGCTCGATAGCGAAATCGGCTTGCGGGGGCAACTGTCGAAGCGATCGTTCATACCGTTCTTGCCTCTTGACAAGAACATTCAACCACCGCAGCACTGCCAGACATGCCTTTCATAATGCAACAGAGCTTTTGCTCTCTCAGACATTGTTCGTACCGATGCGACACCGTTCTTGAACAGTCAAAATGGTTGCTGTGTGCGAGAGGGTATTGAGAACATAGTAGGAAGATGCATGTCTTGTTCCATGTTTTGGTCTCAACAGCATGTTTTTGGTAAGTATCTTGAGAGCACGATAAAGGAAGCTCTGGTCAAATCACGCAGTGTACAATGGCGTGTTGGTGCAGACCGAAAAGACGCAAACAACAAAAGACAACACCCAACATGGACCTTCAAACATATTTCGGAACTCATCCTCTACATCTTGGTCAAAATGCTTCTCTCCCTACTGATAGAAACCCCACCATCTGGAGCGATGCCTTACCTTGCAGATCTACCGACAGAGCTTGAGATTCAAATCCTTGAGTACCTGGCTGACGACAAGAGGGCACTGAACTCTGTGATACGCGTCAATCGAGCTTGGAACATGCACGCTATCAATCTTCTGTGGCGACACGCTTCTGCACAAGATCTCGCAAAGATCGAACCATTCCCTCGACGTCAATACTACGCCGATATGGTTATTGAGCTAGATGTGAAAACACGACAATGCTATCAACGGTTCAGATTCTTGTTGTTTACCACTCTTACCGAAGTCATTCTCGATCCACCGCTCTTCGACTCAATGCCGCTGATGCGATCAATACGACTTCGCCCATGTCTGCAACCTACCTTAAGAAAACTCCACCTCGAACCTGGATTTGTGTTGACGGAAGATGCATTGGACATGATCTCTCTGTGTTGCCCTCTATTGGAAGACCTCAAGCTCTCTTCTCGGCTCGTGTTTGGTGACTCTGACGAGTATCTGACCCACTCGACATTCAACTTGCCGAAGTTATCCAGGCTTGTGCTTGCATGGGAATACAAGTATTCGAGCCCGGCCTTGGAGCGTCTAGGCCATCAACTGCCGTCGCTGGAGCATCTTGAGGTCCGGTGGCACGATCTGGACGTCTGGGAGCAAGAACCATCCATGGCTGTATTCCCTCGACTGAAGTTCCTTGAACTTGATTGCCCACCATACTCACCTCGACTCAATTTGTAAGCAACTCGAACTCCTGCCTCTATCTGCAATACTGACAAAGCACAGTGACGAGAATTGCGAGAAGACCGTAGCCGAAGAATACTTGAGCACGCTTCTGAGACTTGCACCTACGCTCGAAACCTTTTGTCTTGGATGGATGTCTCGAATCAATGGCATGAACTGGGCGCGGAAGGAGATGAGCATAGTGGAGCTTCGAGAACTGTGTTGAGGTGTGGGAAGCAAACGCAGCTGTGTTGAGCTCAAGCGTGACCAGAACGAAACTGTACCGACATACCACGAGACATGTTCCCGATGTAGTAGATGAACTTACGACAAGACCTGGCACGATCTGTGGCGTCGAGAAGTCACAAGTCGACATTGGAGCTCACTGGACACAACAGACACCGTTGTTGGGAAATAACCTGACAAACATGATCAGATAATATTGAAGAAATGTAAACACAGAAATCGGGAAGTATGAACCAAGAATGGAAGTGATAGGAGGACATGTTGACAAGCACGTGCGTGCTCCAGGGTGACAGGGGCAGCCTCGGCATCAGGCTATCAAGGTTGTTGGCCGAGGGCGGCGGCGATTTGATACATTCATCTCGGGTACATCATCATGCCATCCATTTCACGCCCATGTCCACTTTCGAGACGCTATAGATGTCCATCGGCATATCCTGTCATATAGCACATCGATATTCGACAACGAACCGAGCATTGAACGTCTAGCCTGGCCAACGTGCAGCTTTCACCATCATGGCCGACTCGGTTGGTTAGCATCACATGCTTTAACCCTTACATCCTATTGTCAGCACCACTGACGCCTCTACCACAGACCGAGTATTCGGACATGCGCTCAACACAGTCAACAAGATCCGCACAGGGTCGCAGAAGCCGCCCGTGAGCGAGCGCCTCCGCCTCTACGGCCTCTACAAACAAGCAATGGAAGGCGATGTCGCATACGTGCAAGAACGCCCCATCAACGACGACAAGAAAGAGCAGGACAAATGGGATGCCTGGGCCAGCAACTCTGGCCTGACGCGCACACAGGCAAAGCGCCAGTACATCGAGACCTTGATACATACCATGCACGAATACGCCAGCGCGACGCCCGAGGCCAGAGAATTGGTTGCCGAGCTTGAGTTTGTCTGGGACCAGGTGCGGAATAATTCGAACCCAAGTGGGAGCTCAGAAGCTTCGAGTCCGTTGCGTGTGTTACATGAGCAGCGGTCTGGCTATCCCGGTATGGTGTCTAGCTCTGCGGCCGCCTTTGCAGATGATGATGTCGCATCACGTCCGCTACGAATATTGAGCCCTGTCAGTCAAGCCGACGAAGACGAGTTGAACGAAGAGCATGAGGAAGAGTTTGTCGATGCACCCATAAGTCAGTACGATGATACCGAGAACCCAGCCCTAGATGAGGAAGAAGAAGACCAAGACGATCAACAAGCTTCTCCCTCACGACAGCCTCGCACAACAATATCAAGCCCACGCGACATACGCTGGCGGAAACGAATAGAGTCTGCCTTGGTTAAGATGACGACCGAAGTCGCTGCACTACGCGAGCAACTCGAGACGCGCAGCTTTATTGCACAACGGAGGAAGCATTCTCTACTAGCTTGGATATTACGGGCTTCTTGGTTTCTGGTCAAGCTAGTTGCTGTTGATATTTTCATACTGTGGCTTGTGATCCTCTATCTGCGTCGCAAGAAGGACAGGAGACTTGAAGGCGCCGTTAGAGTCTTACTTGGTGATGCTGTCGCACAGATGCANAAGGTCAGCAGTAAAGTCAAGGTGCCCACGTTGACGGGGAAGAAGAGTTAGCCATGATACCTCTCGACCACGATATCGTGTCCATTGTTCATATTTTGATTGCACATATACGACAAATGAGAAATGATTGTGATGAGTCGTTATAGATTTGCATTACATGTCGTGATAGATAAAAGGTTGCATCTAAGCCTCCTTGAAGGGACATCCCTTTGCCGAACTCTCAGTTCTAGTCTTTGACTCTACGATCTCTGCTGTCAACTTCATAAGGCGGTCTGCCAATACCATATCTTGGCCCATCTCAGAGGGNNGGGTCTCGTAGACCTTCTGGGGAGCAATGTAGTTACCACCAGTCTCGGCCATGGTCGCTGCGTACATGGCAGAGACACAGCCCTCGAACTGAGTCTTGCGGAAGGGCTTGAGTCCTACCGACATGCCGTAGCCAAGCAGAGGGAATGCCTCGTGGATGTGGACGTTTGTTTGTGCGGTGTCAACGATACCAGGGTGGATGGCGTTGACGATGATGTTGGGGTGCTCGGTCTTGAGGTGCTCATTGAGCCACTTGGCGTACAAGAGGTTGGCCAGCTTGCTACGACCATACTGCGGCTGAGGGCCGTAGTCCTTGTTCAGTTCTGCGACTGATGCAAACTCGGTCTCCTTGGGAGCTTGAGCATGCAGGTTGGAAGAGACGCTGACGATGCGAACAGTGTTGCCCTTGCTGGCGGTCTCCTTGATGGTTGGCAGCAAGTGGCTGGTCAAAACGACGTGACCGAAATGGTTGGTAGCCATGTGAAGATCAATACCGTCCTGGTTCAACTGTCTGGTCATAATTCCGCGACCGGCGTTGTTGATGAGGATGTCGATTCTGTCGGTTTGCGAGGCAATCTCTTGGGCAACCTTGCCAGTTTGTACCCAGTCGGCAAGATTGCATTGCTTCCAGATGAACTTCTTGCGTGTCTCAGGTCCGAATTCTTCCTCGATTGCGTTCATTGCTTCATCAGCGACCTCCTGTCTCATGGATGTGACGAAAAGCTTGGAAATGTTCTTCGAGAGAAGAGTGTGGGTGCAGCCAAATCCAATGCCTTCACTGCCACCAGTGACAACAGCAACNNCTGTTTCCAACATGTTAGTCTAATTCCATGTCGAGGCTTAAAGGAATTCATTTACCTTGCCGCTGAGGTCCGGCACCTCATCCAGACTGAAGCTGTTCTCTGGGGAAGCGAGAGCATGGGCAGGACCGCCCAGGTTCTCCGAGATGGTGTTTCTGATAGTTTCCATTGTGATGCTTGGGATTTCACTCATTGATAATGTTTGTGGTGTACCGCAAAAGCAGAAGAGGCCATGGTGATCCTTTATAAACAATACCCCTCAACGAAGCTCCTGATCGTGATGTCAACTCGTCACATAGTAGGGTGGATCCCCAAGGAGAGGCTCAGGATCACCGATGCTGCTTGCTGGGCCAGTTGTGGATGCTGATGCGGTCATCATGACTTTCTGAAGCTCAATTGGGCATATCTGATTTTGAGTTGATCTTATCACTCGGCAATGGCCCGACCCGTTTTTCTGGGGTGCATCTCTACACCGATACAACGACATTCCTTCCGTCCTCAACATATCCAGAATCTGGAATTAGGATCGTTGATCGGCTTGACCAGTGGGCTGAATGCATGCATACTCAACAGAGTAGTAAATATGCATGTTGCTTACTCAGCTAGCCAGAATTGGCTTCTGCAAACTGCTTCGCCGTTAGGGCTTCTCTCATGCAAAGTCGACATGAATACTTTTGAGAAGTACAGAGCGTGGCGGTGACATGAAGGTCCGGATCGGGCCAGATTGGTTCTGATGAAACGAAGGGCTAGAGGAGAGCATGTGTGTATGTCGATCTTATAGGCTGGTACATTGTGGTATAACCACACTCTTTGAGCAACCGCAGATGTGTTTGTACAAGGGTCTATGGTTGAGATGGTAGGCAGAACTTGCTTCCAGATGGCGACCAAACGTAAGGCAGGACTAAGTGTCGTTATGTCGCGAGAGAACCATACGAGTTCTCCTCGTCTCCCACACCAAAAACTTTGATGATGTGCTCTTCGACCATTTCACATGTTCCCTTTTTCCACTCCCGAGGTGCATCTGCTTTCCAATGTACAAAAACGCCCCCAAGAGTGCAAGCAACATGTCTGATTTCTTCCCAGAGTTCCCGCTCAACATCCATACCAAAAGTCTGGATTGTCTTTTCTTTGTCGCCCCATAGCCGACGGTGTTCGCCAGTCTGGTGGTTGATAGCTGGACCATCCGGATTGAATAGAGTGTTAGGGTCCATCTTTGGGAAGTTTGCATGGATGGTGAAGGGCATCGGCTTGACCAGGGCAACAAAGTCATCAACAGGATTTGACTGCAGCATTGCTACTCCGCGCAGCTCTCCATTCTCGTCATAGCCAAGGATTCTGACTGGTTCAGACACCTGGTAGAAAGGCGCGTCAACTGCAGCTGCGCCCGCTAAGAACGTTTCCTTGTCCCCTTCACCCGGGCCTCCTTGNNGAGTGAGTAAGGGGTAATAGTGCGAGGGTCCATAGTAGTTGTAGTATGCAGAGATCAGCAGTGCTGCCGAGTGAGTCCGTTTGGACACGATGACTTGACCCGATTCTGTTGAAGCCCTGACTGTAGTCAGTGGTACGGGCTTTCCTTGAATCTTGTAAAATTTCTCGGAAGCTGACGAAATCCAGAAGTCCGGCCATGTCACTAGACCATTCGATGTGAAAGGCTCTGTTTTGAAGACATGATCCACATTGTGGACGGGGAAGTTGTCTGCATCAAGCAGGAGCACTTCTTCGAAACTTGAGAACAATACAGAGAAGATCTTGTATTGGTACTTCTCGAGCTTGATCAGGCCAGATGGGAAGAAGTCATCCAGAACGACACAGCGAGCGTTGAGCGAGGGAAGCAGTTCTTGACACAGATAGTTATCGCCGCGTTCCTCATCAGCTCGCAAGAAGAGTTCGACAGGCAGAATACTGCCAGAGCGCCTCAGCATGCGGAGGGACACGATGAAAATTGGCAAGTGTGCTCCTCCTGCGGTGGAGACTATACCACGAGTTCCAGTATTGTAAGGCAAGGTTAAGTTGGAAACCCCGTCTACAAAATTCCGATGTGCCAATCGCATTTCCTCAACCTGAACAGAGGTGATTGGCACATAGTCCGGTCGCTTCAAGGGTTTGTTTTTGTTGTCATGAAAACCGATGGCGGAGATACTGTTGGTCTTAGTCAAGGATGCAACCGGGGGTTTGGTCTCCTTCAGGATGCGGACTAGTCTGCGACTGAAGTGAACGTAAGCATCCTCATCCTCGGGCTCAGAGGATTGCCAGCCAAGGATGCTTGCAGCATNTCCTGCGACACTCGTCAGCTTTGCACACTCAACACTCAACAACAATACGAGCGCATACGATTCTATCGTTGCCGGAGCCGCTGAAAAGTCACCGCCAAGGAGGAACTTCCAAACAAGAATTATGAGACAGGCAATCACAAATGCCCTTCGGAGACGCGCAGGGAAGCGGATCATGGTCCCTCTCCGCCTCGAAAGCTTGACCTTTCAGTGAGGGGGGTCACGGCAATATCCAGAAACACGAAACCAAGGCTTGTGGGGATGTGTGCGTGTCTAAGTGAGCATGTCTGACAAGGTGTTGCACGGTTGACGATCTGCCCAGCCAGACTGTCTAGGTTCCATCCCCGAGCGCTGCGGTTTGGTTGAACCTTGACGCGCCAGCGTCAACGCGGGGGTTTGTCGCCGTGTGTGTCTTGATGGGGCTCGGTACGTTGCTCCGAGTGCCGAGCTTTGACACGGCAAGCTGGAGCGTTCTCGAGCCTTCCTTCATCAACCTATCACTTGACCCCCATCTATCGTACACTCCGCGTCGCTAAAGCTAAAGACATCTCCAACGTCTTTGATCCTTGTAGGCGTGCGTTTTGATTCGACAGATTCGTGCTGCTCACACCTCTTTCAACAGTCTGTCTCAAATCGCAAAAGTTGAGGTTGTGAAGAGAATATCACCGATGCGGAGCTGGTTCCTATTCAGTGTTGAGACAGAATTCTTTTCATCGAGGTAGATAGACCTCCATCGAAACTTTGAGAATTGGCGAGCTCTGTTTAGCATTGGCCGCGCTTGGTTCATTACAACTTTGGACCTTCGATTCGCCAGAAGTGCCAGAAGTGCCAGGGCATCGTGATCTTGGAGATCGAAGAGTCGTGCCGAATAGCTCGTGCTTGTCCTTTAGCTGCGCCAGAACGTTGGCAAGATACTCAGACCTTTGTCTTCGGGTGGCTCGGCTTGCAGTCCTAGCTCTCTGTGCCTCCAATCCAAGCATGCAGTGAACATGCGTTTGTCGAGGGACTTTCGTCAAGCCTTGCCCTAGGCCACCGATCGTCTCCGAGACTCACATCTCATTGCTTTGCTGTCATTTTGAATTGGTAGTTGAGATCGAGAAATCAGAGGGAATAGCATCCCAAGTATTTATTTTGCCCTAGCTGTCACCATCTTGTCGCTTCCATCTAGGGCGGAGATCGTCGTTCTCGCGCAAACTTGCTCCTCGTGATGGACAGCTTGGCACCAGATACACAGAGCAAGAGAGCTTAAGCTCCAATATGTAACTCACCGTCCCTGCCTTGCTCAGCCTCTAGTGTGTTTCGCCAAGTTCGAGAACACTACAAGTTACCTTGCTCTCCCCTCCTTTGGTACCTCTCGGTTTTGTCACGGCTTACTGTACATATTCAAATTCCTCCAGATTTATTGCTACCAATTTCTTAGGAGTTCTCATTGATAATCAAGTCGTCCTCTCTCGGGATTGACCCAGCACGCAGTCTTGTTGAGCCTTTGACCCTTCCCACTGGGACCAAGAGCTTTGAAGCTCCACTATAAGCTTTTAATGGCCCAATACATAAATCAACCCCATCACACCAGCTTCTCTGGGGCTCCTTCAAGCACCATGGAGATGCCGTATCAGCCTATGTATCAGACGATCGACAACAACCCAAACGTACAACCACTCTTTGTGGAGCCACAGCCTCCACCGCAGTTTTACGGATTTCCTCCACCGACAGGAGGCTCCCTGGACTCAGGCTATGCTGGCGAAGACATCAACCCATTCGAGGACAATGTCGCATGTTCGGAACTCAAGATGGTCTACGGCCACCATATCAACCCCTCACTCCCGAACTTCGATGCCTACGGTTACATGGCCAACGATCAACAATCAAATGGTCCCGGCCAACAGTTTATGCCAGTCAACTACTCGGCACCCTTCGTTCATGACTTCAATTCTATGAAGCAAGACGTCAAAATCTCGCAGAGTCCAACAACACCAACACTGATCATGGATGATGCTGTTAGTGTCAAAAGCGAGGATGTTTTCTCAGACGCTGCCTCACCGATGACCATGACCCAGTCAATCAGCCAGCTGCCAGGGCAAGGCACCAGACGCCCTAGCACGATCAGACGAACGGCAACAGAACCGTCGATAGCAGTCCGGTCCGGCAGCATACAGCGCACGGCGACCAAAGAAGGTCGCGGTCGAAACCGAAAGCGCATTCCTCATACGGCAGTGGAGCGTCGATACCGGGAGAATCTCAACTCACAACTGGAGAAATTGCGACATGCGGTGCCGCATGTACAGGCAGCTCAGCGCCGCCGAGCGAGCGATATCAACGATCCCATGAAGCCAAGCAAGTGTGAGGTGCTTGTAGGCGCACTGGAATACATCAAGAAATTGGAGACCGAGAACAAAGAACTCAAGAAGAGGCTAGGAGAATGAGGCAGCAGGTGTACAAAATGACGAAAACAACGACAAAGGTGATTCTTGATGACGGACCTGATGAGAATAATAGAGAAAATGTATACCCACCTGCCGCCCAATGGCGTGTCGGCTCTCAAAACTTGGATAATGTGCTTGGCTTTAGGCTGTCACTCAATAGACAAACATTAATGATCAACCCTCTTGTAAACCTGCAAGCGAATTTATTCAATGGTGAGGGTCAAACAGGTTGGAATGATGGGAGATTCGACAAGACCCCTGAAACGACCAGCTTGGCACGTGCGCGTCATAAGTATTGCTTGAACCCTTGGATGAATGAGGCTCAGTTTCTGGCATAGCACTAGTTGCAGTGCAATCTACGAGTGTCGCTCAGCATGATGATTTGTGAACGGTAGAATTGATACACCTTCCATACGATATATTCATCATTGGAACAACATGGCAGACTCGGCCCCACCCGAGTTGGCAGCAGCCCTGCTGAAATGGGTACGACAGTGTGAAGCGAGGTCTTGTTACAGGCAGCTGACATGACCANNGGTGCAAGCATTCCAGACGTCCAAGAAGGTAGAGGGCTGGGAGGATATACAAGACGGCCAAGTGCTATGGGACATCCTTCGAGACATCGATCCGGGCTACTTTCAAGACGACCTCCCGGAACCACCAGCCAAAACACAAGACCACTGGATCCCGCGATGGCAGAACCTCAAACATGTCAATCGCCTCGTCACATCGTATCTGCGAGACTCGAGCGGATCCATCGAGAACCCGGCAGGCAGCCGTGACCCGGATCTCAAGGCCATTGCTACGGATGCCAGTCAGAGGGATACCGTCATGGTATGTTTTCGCTGTACCCTTCTCTTCAAAGAGCCAGTCGACTAATCTTCATATCTACAGCTACTCAAAACGATGCTCCGTGCCGCCATGTACTCGCCCGAGTCGAACCAAAGGATGGGTCGCATAGTTGTCGGCCTTGGTCCCGAAGTCGCCGTCACAATCGCTGCAGCCATGAAGCAAATGGAAGAAACCGACATGTCTCATACAGACGTCGCCGACCGATCCGACCTTGAAGTCACTTCCGAGACCTCCACCCCTGCCGAGCCCATGTCAGAGAAACTTCCTATCAACGAGCGCTTGTCGTTTGGTACTTCCGGCGAACGTGATCCCGAATTGGAACAAGAGGAGAAGCTCATACAGGCATTCAAGGTCATCAAGGATCTGGAGAACAACAATGCAAAAGCTGCGACTGAATTGGAAGAGTTGAGACAAGACAAAGAGGAATTGCAGCAAGCATTCGATGCCTTCAAGTACGAGGCGGAGAATCAGGGTCGCAAGGCTGCTGAGAACGACACCATGAAGGATATGCAGCTCAAGGCAGAAAGAGATCGTGATTACATTGCTGAGCTAGAGGCAGAGCTTGAGACTCTGAGGGACAAGTCAAATGCTCAGGAACGTCAGATCGAGCGATACAAAACAGACACGGATGCAAAGCAGAAACTGAGAGACGATATGCAACTCCTCCGAGCCGAAAGAGACGATCTGCTCCAGAAAACTCGCATGAATGAGAACCTCAAGAAAAAAATCCAAGCACTACAAGACCAGGAAAAGACCAATTCCACTCTGAGAGAGGATCTCCGCTCGGCCAACGACAGGTTACAGGACTTGGACCGTCTGAAGGATCAGTGTGCCGCCCTTCAAAAAGCTAACGCCGAGAACCTGAAACTCATCGCCAACGGTGAACAGGAGATATTCGACCAGAAGACGACTCGCAAACGTATCGAGCACGAATACAAGGTTCTTACACAAAAGTGGGAAGCAGCCAAGGAACGACAGGTCAAAGATCACGAAAACATCACGGAACTCGAGAACAAGTTGCAAACGCTCGAGCTTGGAGGATCGAGTACTAACGGCGCCAGTGGCGGACTCGGCGAAGAACTCGAGGCTTCTGAGAAGGCACGGGCTGAAAGAGCAATGGCCAGAAGTCAGGTCGATACCATTCCCTCTGCCGACGCTACAATCCTGCAACAGAAGCTAGATGCCATCACTGCACGGAACAACAAGCTGGAGACCGAGTACTTAGACATCTTGCAAGACAAACTCGGTCTGGAAACCGCTTTGCAAGATCTCCGCGAGCCAACTCGAGAGCCGGAAGAAAATGTACCATTCTTGGAACAACGCAAGAAGCTGCAGGCAGCACAAGCTGAGATCCAAGAGATGCGCAACCAGCAATTCGGCACGAATACCGAGATGGCCAATATCAAGGATAAGCTCATGGCCGTGCAAAAACAACTTACCGACAAGGACGTGCAGCTGGATGGCAACGCAGAGTATCAAACCTTGACAGACCGATACTCGGAGTTGCACAAGCATAGCGAAGGCGTCGAAGCGGAATTGGCTGAGCAGCGTGCACTGCTACGACATGCTCTGCTCAATGCTGCACAGCTTCTGAAAGAGTCGGCCGAGAGTCGAAACGAGAACGAATACAAGCTCTTGTCACAGCAGTTGCAAGCAGTCAGAGATGCGCCAGATGATGACGAGCTCTTGGAGTCTACCGCAGCTCAACTTGCGGATCGTATGGAACAAGCACGTTCTGACACTATTGCTGCAAACAAGGTATGTCGTCTATCTAATTCGCCAACCAAGAGTGTGACTAACATTGTTTTCTCTAGNCTCGCTGAAGACCGAGCGGCAGAAATCGCGACACTCAAGAAGCAAGTCGCTTCGGGCGCGACAACGACAGCCACGGGCAACGTGCCATCGGCCGAATTTGCAGCTCTGCAGCGCGAGAACAAGCTCATGACTTCCGCATGGTTCGACCTCAGTAGCAGGCTGCAGAGTAACACAGTCATGCTGGGCAGGCGCAAGGAGAGTCCGAAGAGCTTCCTGGGCAAGCAACGGCAACTGGTAACACCTGGTTTGGTACCTGGACAGGTGAGATAACGAACGAGACATGTCTGCAAAGCTTCGAAAACTGACTTGGGTTAGCATCGGCGTTGAGAGTTGAGAAGATAGAGAAGCATTTTTAGAATAGAGCGATATCCACGAGGCAAGCATTTGAGCGAACAAGCAACATTAAGATGTGAGTATAGATAGATGGCAGCAGCGGCGACGAGGTGCGATCTTCCAGTTCTCACCGTCTAGGTTGAGAGTTGTAGCTTATATATTTGTTAGTAATTCATGGCCAATCATCGGATCCTGAATCTGGCCAACCAGATTCAACCCTTACAAGCTAAGGTGATGTGGTGTAGTGGTAGCATGTGTCGTTGTGGAGGTTAAAGTCCAGCAACGCCGACCCGACGGCGGTTCGATTCCGCCCATTGCCAGGATCTTTCTTTTTGCCTTTTGTCCCTATACTATCTATCCAAAAGGCATTCAGTATGTGTGCAGTGCGTCTTTCCTTTTGGACCTCGCAACGCTTATCTCCCCCCCAGTGAGTGGTAGATGGCGGATCTGTTTAGAGAAAGTTCAGGACTGCGCAAAGCTGTGAGAGACTAAGTGAGAATCATAATTACAAGAAGTAATTTCTATGCATTTTCATCAAGTGTACCGAGATACAAGTGGCTGTTCCTATCTGACACCCATACTCTGTTTCGCGCCGAAGCGATCTTCTGAATTCCACGTCTCTTCGGCTCTTGTGCCTGGAGGCAGCCACGAGCCAGGCGAAGCATTACTCGATGACCTGGCGCGCATGCTGTGTTCAGCTCCATTCGGCAAGCCATAGCCTCCATGGGAAGGAAGCGCATAATTAGCGGGTGACTGCGAGTAAGGAGTTGCATCTGACTTCTTGTTGTCGCCACCGACTAGAGGGAGTAGTGTGTCTTTGCCTTCTTGCAACGCGCGAGCGCGCTTGTCTGCTTTTGCAGCATCGCTGGTGCGATCGTAGAGGTAAAGGCCAAGAATAGTAAGACCGATACCGAAGCCTTGAATCTTGGTCATTGGGTTGCCGAACCAGATGATTGCAAAGACAATGACGAAGACTCGCTTAAACAAGCTGGCTACACTGTATGTGACTGGAGAGACAAGACCCAGCAAGACAAACGCAACAAGATTCTGGCCAAAGTGGAAAGAGCCGTTGAAGATGAATTCAAGGCCGAGACGAGCGTGGTCGAGGGAGCCAGGGCGTTCAGACAACTCGATAGAGGCATCGGCCAGGAAGTCGGCGATCATGGAGAAACCCTCTGACCACAGCCAGATGGGCAAAGTAAAGATGAACGCGAGGCCAGAAGAATAGCACAGCAGGTTGAGCTTGTCGGGCTTCTTGTTGCGTACGTTGATTCCATCGGCCTCGGCTTTGGCAGCCTCGTTGAACAGCTTCTTGGATACGATGTTCTGAGTAACGAACAAAAGTGCACTGCCGAATGCATAAACGAGGCCCAGGAAGTTTGCTTTGAAGCTAGCGGAGCAGGCCATGACGACACCTAGCGTGAGGGGCACAAGCGACATGTAGGTGGCATAAGAATATCGAACGTCGAAGACGAAGCGGTAGGCGAGGACTGTGAGTAGAGGTGACAAGCCCTTGATAGTGTGAACCAGCGAGACTGGGATGCGACTCATAGCGTCGGAGCTGAGGATATGACCGCCAATTTGAAAAGCAGTCAAGGGAAGGGTAGTCATGATGAGTTCGCGTGAAGGCTTGCGAATACCATTGCGTAGTACGGGCATTGAGTTCCGGAGGGGAGCATGAATGCGGGCAGCCCAGGATAGCAATAGACACCACGAGCATACGAACATGAATTGAATCAGGGTCAAGGTCACAGGCTTGGGCAAGGCGGTCAGGATGGCCTTGGACGAGGTATTGGACATGATGGAGGTTGTGTACCAAATGGCACAGAGGANACTTTGGCCAAAGAGTAAGCACGCATATGCGGTTGTATTCGAGCTGTAACGTACAATGAGGCGCGCTGACACGGGGGCCTTGAGAGCATCTGCTATCTCGTGGGCATTCTGGCTGACGCTGGCCCTCCTCCCTCGCACCGTCCGGATCGCCTCGCTCAAGCTCTTTTGTCTTCCGTGCCTGCCTACTGCTCCGCTGCTGTTCGGTGTCCATCCGTTCATACCGTGCGAGCCTCTCCGTGCCTGCCAACGTTCATGGCTGTGCAGGTGGGGTGGCAGTCCAAGTGGTTGCGGCATGGGCGACGCCGGGTTTGGGTCAATGGGCTCCTGTGTCGTCTGTAGCGTGTCGTCCGACAGATCTGGGAACTTGAAGGTTGCTGGCGACGGCGACGTCGAGGCCCGCCGCTCGAACTGCGACGTCGACATGGCTGTGGAAGCTCTGCGGATGCGGGTTTCTTCGGGAAAAGTCGACTACAATCAATCAATCCATCGAGAAGAGGTTCAGCTGAATAAAGTGCTCTCTCAACCCTTCGACACGAGTTTCATCAGGGCGATTATTACCAGCTTGGGATGGACACACTGGCAAGGTGTTTGATCGTTGCCGTCATTCGGCAAGTCCCGCACCTCCTTCTCTGAAGCTTCCCCCTTCTTGCTCCTCGTGTACAACCGTCCAAATCAAACACTCCCTTTCCACCAACCGGTCATGTAACAGATATGAAGCTTGCTACCCTCTTTTTAAACGTTCTTCGAGGTGCTCAAGAACCTATTGTTGCATCCGGACATCCAAGTGCATGTGCTCTCGAATTCTCTAGGTCGTGGGAGGTCATAGGTCCCTTCCAGGTGGGCACGCGAGGCATGGTGCATCCATCACCACTGGATGCATCAGAGACTGATAATGAAACTTAGAAGCAACATGGGGCGCTGATCCACTCGAGTATTTTGGTGGCTTCCGTTCTCTAAAGTATGATGAGGATGCGAAATTTCCGAGCTCTCTGGCTCCTAATGCAACTGTCTCCTGGTCCACCATTGCAGCCCAACAGTTATCTTGCGATCCTCAATCCGCTCAGGTTGCTCTGTCTGTAGCATTTCCTGATATCGATCTGGCTTTTCTTCAACAGATCTACGGTTGGGCGGCTTTACAATACCAAGGCTGGGCTCGAGGCCATCTTCATGTCAATGGCGAAGAGCCTCAGACTTTAACCCTNGCAACAGACAACCTCCTTGAGTTCTATCTCGATGGACATCATCATTTTGGTGGGGATTACTACGCTTTCCGACGAGCTCCAATTGTCTTGCATCTTGAGCCTGGCAATCATGTCATCGAAATTCGACTTGTGCGCGACGTAAGAGCAATGGGAGGCATAGGCACTCCAAGTATCGATGTGCAACTCGAAGCCCGAGCCTCGACCAAAGACCTTCACATCTCTGCAGATAATGCTCTCATGCCTGACATGGTTGATGGTCGTTTGGCAAGCATGCTGGGTTCTATCCCGGTTCGCAACGACCATGTACACGATATCGAAATCTTCGCAGTTTCCGCCAACGACAGTTCGTACTTTGTGTGGTTGTTGCAACCTGATGATTTTCGGGTTGTTGCTGGACAGACTAGACCTGTTTCTGTGGCTATATCATGCCAGACAAAGTGCAGTCCGTATCTTGGCATCGATGTAGAGTATGGTGTCGTCGGTCAAGACCGCTCTCAGGCCTCTGTGCTGCTGCACCTGGATCATCACTTCATCCAGCGAAAGTTGCATGAGCCATTGAAGGTGACTTTTTATCATCCAGGTGGAATGGTATCTTATGCTATTCTGAGGCCTCCACCATCAAATCACTCCTGTCCTCTGGGCTCGAAGGGGCTGTTGCCAGTGTTTTTGCAATTACATGGCGCTGGTGTAGAGGCTGATAACGATATCGTAAGGCATGCTCTGGATCCGCTGACTGACCTCTGTGCATGGGCTGTATTCCCTACAGGGTCAACTCCCTGGAGTGGCGACGATTGGCATGTTTGGGGTTTCGCAGATGTAGAAGCTGCCATTGAAGCCATACCTGGATGGATAGAAAGTATTGGATGGAATGGCCCAGGTGTAAACACAAAGCGTTGGCTTGTTGCTGGCCACTCCAACGGAGGTGAGTTGTTATCGTTGTCGGCGGCCGCACAAACACTAAGATAGCCTNNAGGGCAAGGAACCTGGTATGCTTTGACGCATCGCCCCGACAACGTTTTCGCAGCCGCTCCTATATCTGGTTACTCATCCATCCAAAGTGAGTGATGTTCGAACGCCATCGAACCTTGAGCTAACATCCCAGACTACGTGCCCTTCGACTTGTGGCAGCCTATTCCCCCTTCAGTTCGTGCTCTTTTGGATGCGTCTTTGAGCAGCTATCGCCATGAGCTGTTGCTAGACAACGCGAAGGGCATCAGTATCTTACAACAACATGGAAGCATCGACGACAACGTTCCGGCTTTCCATTCGCGACTGATGAACCAGCTTATAAAACAGCAAGGGGCGAACTCGTCGTACATTGAGCTTCAAGGAAAGAACCATTGGTTCGATGGCATCATGACAACTGAACATCTGAGCAAGTTCTTTGAGCGAAATCTCAACAACTTCGCACGACCTTTGCGTGCCCCTGAGGCTTTCACCCTGGCTGTCGCAAACCCGGCAGACTCGGGTCCAAAGTTTGGAGTTGAGATCCTTTATCTGCGTCGTCCGGGCCAGCTTGGAAAGGTCCATGTCTCCTTTCATTCATCACAATGCGTTCTTCGAAGCTCCAATGTTCTGAGCTTGCGTTTGCCAGACATATATCCACGAACGCATGGCATTGTTGTTGATGGTCAAAGGATAGATTTGCCCCTCCAGGCCAAAAGCAATGACTTGTGGCTGGATCCAGATGGTACTTGGAAGGTATATGTGCCGCGGACGAGTTGTTTGTTGTGTCAATGCTGACCAGTANNCAAGGTTCTCTCTGGGCATCGATCTCCGGCATTGCGAGACCGGAACCAGCTAGGTGGGATGGATGCTATATTCCGTACCCAGAACACTTTGCAAATCATCAGCCACTCACAACAGGCACGCCATACTGCTGTTCAGATATCTCGCAACTTCCATCAATATCTCGGTGCCGACACAGAAATCTTGGAATCTGGAACGGGACCTCCAAGGCAGTATAGCAACATTGTTCGTGTTGTCTTGTCGAGCAATCCGCCTGCGGATCACCTCAAAGACTTCGCCTTCCAAGCGGACTCTTCCAATGGCATAAGCATACGCACAACAGCCGGCCAGATGAAGTACGTCAGCTCAGCAGGACTCGGTGCCATATTCTTGAGGCCGCTACCAGCAGGAGCGGTGGAGCTGGTGGTATGGGGTTATGATGCAGACGGGTTGGACGTAGCATCACGCCTTGTGCCCATGCTCCCAGGAGTTGGACAGCCAGACTTTGTTGTAGCAGATAGACGGATGCTTCAGGAAGGTGCAGGTGGTGTCCTGGCAATGGGATCCTTTGATCATCTATGGAACGTAACAGAGAACTCGTACTTTACTTGAGATAGTAGAGGCTCGAAACAAGGTACTGTCGCTGACACTGTCGGCTTTAACACCAATATCTCCATGGACCAAACTCCGCTGTTTGACCTCGTCACTTCCAGTAGTGCTGTAGGAAACTGAAGTGTGGTATTCTGTGCGGGTGGACCGTGCGCACGGACCTCCAGTGGTCACCCTTAGGGAAGGCGTCTTCAACCTCTGCCACCCACCTTCCACCCACCACTCCTTACTAAGTTCTTTTTGAATGCGGACATTGCGCACTCTCTTGGTCCTACCTTCGTCGTTCCTTCATCCTAGTTGTCATTGGTCGAGCGTCTAATTGCAAAGGGCTAGCCGACATCCTTCTTGTCTGCGTCCAGTCTTTGGTTTGCTCCTACCACCAGCATCTTCTCTTCCAGTAAGCTTCAGACCACCTCCTCATCCAACGATCTTTGGATCCTCCTCCTCCTCTACCACCTTCCATCCTCTCTTGTCTTCCGATACTTGCCGGAACCATCATGGCTTCTCTGAGCCTTGACGGATCACCTACTCCTCGCAAGAAGACGCCCCTTAACTTCTTCCTCCACAACGACGATCAATTCGAAGACGAAAACACTCATATCTCTGGTGGTGCTGTAGGTCTTGACACTGTAATCATGTTTCATTCCTTCGACTTAACTTCCGCTATGCAGCCAACTAAGCGCGAACCCAACACGGCTGTCTCGAACGCTGTCCCTCTGGCTACCTCTCGCTTCAACAACCAGCTGCCTCCCCCTCCTCCTACCACTCGCAACTCCTCCTACAANGGCGAGCTCGCTCCAACACGTTCACCACTTTCTGCAAGACTATACTGACTTGTGTCATCCCAGCTGGGTCAAGTTGCTGCCCCCACCATGTCGATGCCTTCCAACGGTTTCGGCCTCGGTATCTCGCAGGCCCCTCCTGCTCGTAACGTGCACCTCGACGAGCTCTTGGCCAAGCTGTCTGAGCAGCAAGTCCTTCTCAACAAGCAGAGCACTGCCCTTCACGCCCAGCGTGGTGGTGAGACGTCTCCAGACTCTTCTGGCTCTGGTGCCCTTACCAACCCTTACGCCGCTACTCCTCGCACTGACCAGCAGTTCAACGACATTACTCAAGCTGACATGGCTGAGATGTTGCGTCTCAAGAAGGAGCTTGAGACTGCTCAGACTCAGATTGCTCGCATGGATCAGGAGTTGTCTCAGTCTCGTATCACCAAGCACACTCTTGAGCAGGCCATGGGCTCCCAGTTCGACTCGGACTTTGATCACACCCGTGACCTTCGTCCTCAGGGTGTCGCTGCTCGTGTCGACAACTGGGTCCAGTCGACTGAGCCAGGTGTTCCTCCTATCACCTCTAACGTCAACATCAGCGCTACTCACCTGGCTCCTCCTGCTGCTCGCGGTATCTGGGGCTCGGGACCCTCCTTCGGCCCTGGTGGTGCTGGAGGTCCTAGTGCCCCTGGCGGTCCTGGTGTGATTGGTCAAGCACTCAACAACACTAACAACTGGTCTCTTACCGACCCTCGTCTCATGGCTGGCGCTCGTCTGGAGGCTAACAATGCCAACATGTTCTCCATCGGCCCCAACACTCGTGGTTGCCCGCCCGCTCTGCGCATTGACACAACTGCAATGGGTCCTTATCTTAGCGAGCCTTCTTCCGCTGATATGTCCATGCGCGGAGCTCACAGTCGTCCAGCTTCGGCTTTCGGCAACCATCTTCACCCTTGGAACCAGTTCAGCCCTAACCTCAACGCGTCTGATCAGTCCGGCATCACTCCACCCTTGACACCACTTTCTCTTCAGTCAATGCAGAACATGCACAACATGACCGGAATGCCTCACCCCATGTCTGACCAAGCCTTGATGAACAACATGTCCTTCGGTCCCAGATCCAACGGCACCAGATTGTCTCCCACCGCCGCCGAGTTCCAGGCTGGTGGCTACGGCACTNNCACTGGATGGNNGCCATTGGCCACCAGGTAAGTTTTTCCATCAGCTCACATCAAGCGCACACCCATGTCGTCTGTCTGCGCATCCACTAATTGTTCTCAGTCTCTATCTGAGCCCGGCAGCTACCTCACTAACGCTGAGCCCATGAACTACCGCCGTCTTCTGGATCGCAACATGAGCTGCAACTGGAAGTACATTGTCGACAAGATCGTCCACAGCAATGATCAGCAGGCATCCATCTTCCTCCAGCAGAAGCTCAAGGTTGGCACTCAGGAGCAGAAGTATGAGATTGTCCAGGCCATCATCGAACAGGCCTACCCTCTCATGATCAACCGCTTCGGCAACTTCCTGGTCCAGCGCTGCTTTGAGCATGGCACTCCCGAGCAGATCATCGCCATTGCCCGTGCTATCCGCAACAACACTCTCAACCTGAGCATGGATCCCTTTGGTTGCCATGTTGTTCAGAAGGCTTTCGACAGTGTTCCTGAGGAGTACAAGGCTATCATGGTCCACGAGCTTCTGCGCCGCATCCCCGAGACGGTTATTCACCGTTACGCCTGTCACGTCTGGCAGAAGCTGTTCGAGCTCCGTTGGAGCGACACTCCTCCTCAGATCATGAAGTATGTCAACGAGGCTCTCCGCGGCATGTGGCACGAGGTTGCCCTTGGTGAGACTGGCAGTCTTGTCGTCCAGAACATTTTCGAGAACTGTCTTGAGGATGACAAGCGCCCCTGCATCAACGAGGTCCTTACCAGCATCGACGTTATCGCCCATGGCCAGTTCGGCAACTGGTGCATCCAGCACATCTGCGAGCACGGCGCTATCCCTGACCGCAACCACGCTATTGACCATGTCCTTCGCTTCGCTACCGAGTACAGCATGGACCAGTTTGCCAGCAAGGTTGTCGAGAAGTGCCTCAAGATTGGCGGCACCGAGTTCCTTGACCGTTACCTCGACCGCGTTTGCGAGGCTCGCGCTGATCGCCCTCGTATGCCTCTCATTGATGTCGCTGGTGACCAGTTCGGAAACTACTTGATCCAGTACATCCTCAGCCATGCTGATGCTCAGCGTCGCGAGGTCGTCGCCACCCACATCCGCAAGCACATGGTCTCCCTTCGCGGCTCCAAGTACGGTTCCCGCGTGGCCATGCTCTGCAGCAACCCTGCTGTCGCCACCCGCCCTGGCCCTCCTACTGGTATCTCTATGGGTCGTAACGCTGGCGGCTTCGGCGAGCGCCCCTACAACGGCCCTCGCGGCTTCNNCCCCTACGGTGGAGCCTACCGCTGAGCGTCGAGGCGTCAAGATATTTCGACGCTCGCCCATCTTGTGGTTTCTCGACCTTTATCTTCACAACATACTCCATGTCTCACTACCTAGGCTCTCGTGTGTACATCTTGTGGTTGCACGAGCATCGCTGGCATGACCAACGAGCTGGCTGCATAATTATGGAATATTATTGCACGTCTGACGATGGATGCGGATGACGCATCATTGTCTAGCTCCAGTATGTTAGCATCTTTTCATTTACTCAGTCGTTCTCAGAGGCATCTGTCATGTCGAAGTTCATCGCCGTCTATCAAAGAAAAAGGAGGAAGCTCGCTTTCGGCGCAAGCCTTTTGGATGGATCGGAAGCACCTTGCATTTCTCGATAAACATCAACATGTCAACAGAGCCACGAAAAGGAAGAAAAATTGGTGTTAAAAAAGGCAGGAGGGAGATTTTTCGATTTGAGACACTCGTTTTATTTTCTTTTTTTCCTATGTTTTTTATGCAAGCTGGGGATGTAATGGGCGGAAGATTGAGCATTCATGGTTTTCAGAGCAAAGAGGACGTAATGTGATGAAGCACAGCTCGAGTTAAAGTAGCATCGATATACAAAAGAAGAGACTTGACTGATACGAATTGTTGGTGCTGCTCAAGTGTGATGTGATGGTGGATTAACGAGGCAAGATGATTGTTATGATGAGCGGATGGGTGATGTCAGTGTGGCTGGGACTTTGAATTCAGGGAGCGTCACCCGCTTCGAGGTCACAACAGACGCATGTTTAAGCGTGGCAGCCAATCAAGAATCAAGGAAGACACAGATGATGGCTTCGCTCACTCCTGGAGTCCAACCTGGCAACCGACGACTTCCCTACGCTCCTGTGCACTCGCCTTCGGCTCCGGTAATCATGACAGCGGCTAACGGCCACTTTGCCAGTGTCGGCGACGACAGCGACAAGCAGCTGCAGTCGTTCGAGCACGGCATCCAAGTCATTGACGAGAACAAGACATTCAACGCAAACCTACCAGCATACCTCGACGTCGAACATGTCCTGCGCCAGGGCTTCAACTACCACCTCATCTCCGTCTTTGGCAGCCAGAGCACCGGAAAGAGCACCCTGCTCAACCACCTCTTCGGCACCCACTTTGGCGTCATGTCCGAGTCGGAGCGCCGTCAGACCACCAAAGGAATATGGATGAGCAAGAACAAGCACGACCAGGCCGAGGGAGGTGCCGTCAAGATGGCAGACAACATCCTGGTCATGGACGTTGAGGGTACTGACGGCCGTGAACGAGGAGAGGACCAGGACTTTGAGCGCAAGAGTGCTTTGTTCGCCCTGGCCACCAGTGAGGTTCTGATTGTCAACATTTGGGAACACCAAGTCGGTCTGTACCAAGGCGCCAACATGGGTCTGCTCAAGACCGTCTTCGAGGTCAACCTGCAGCTGTTCCTCAAGGACAACAAGTACGATCATGTCTTTTCCCCTATTCGACTCGCAATCCTCTCTGACTTTCTTCTCTCANNCAGCTCAACACCTCGCTCGCTCCTCTTCTTTGTCATTCGCGACCACATTGGCACTACTCCCCTGTCCAACCTGCGTCAGACTCTTCTTGCCGACCTCACCCGCATCTGGTCAACCCTCTCTAAACCCCCCGGCCTCGAGAACTCCAAGATTGAAGATTACTTTGACTTTGCCTTCACCGCTCTGCCCCACAAGATCCTGCAGCCTGAACAGTTCGTCGAGTCCGTCGCCAAGCTAGGCTCGCGCTTCCGCGAAGGTCAGAAGAGTTCTAGGACGAACCCCTTTTCCGACGAGCAAGCCGAACCTATCTTGCTGCCCGAGTACCACCGCAGGATTCCCGCCGATGGCTTCTCCATGTACGCTGGAAACATCTGGGAACAAATTGACAGCAACAAAGATCTCGATCTACCAACCCAGCAAGAGCTCTTGGCCCAATTCCGATGCGACGAGATTGCTCGCGAGGTACTCGTTGCCTTCGACGAAGTCATCACACCTCTCGAGTCCAAGCAAGCAGATGCTGCAAAGTCTGGCTCACCAAGTGTACTCTCAGGCCTCGGCAAAGCTATGAACGGAGCTCGTGCAAAGGTCCTCAAAGACTTCACCAGCGAAGCAAGCAGATACCACCAGGGCGTCTATAAGCGCAAGAGTGCCGAGCTCGAGAGCAACGTCGACGCAAGATTGAAGACTCTTTTCCAGGGCCAGCTTTCAGCCGCTCACAAGACTGGCGTTCAACAATTCACCGAAACTGTTTCTACTGCAGTCAAGTCTGGTCAGAAGAAGGGTAGCAACTACGATTTCCAAAAGATTGTCAACGCCGAGAAGCAAAACGCTCTTGAGAAGTACGAGCAGGAAGCTTCGGATCTCGTAATTCAAGGTGCCTCCTGGAGCAACTACCAACAAGAACTCGACCTGTACCGCAAAGATCTCGATGAAGCCAGCGCAAGACTTCGCAAGGATGAGATGCGTCGTCTTGCCTCTCGTGTGGAGCGCTGGGTTCGTTCTCACCTTGGTGAGTCTATTGGCGTGCAATTCAACAAGCTCGGTTCCGGCCGTGGTGGCTCTGGCGCACCCGAGACTGGCGAGAGGGGCTCGATTGAGAAAGACCTGTGGGACCGCATCTGGCTTGTCTTTACCGAGACCGTCAAACACGCAGAAACACGCTTCACTGAGCGCGCAAAGGGCTTCGATGCTAGTCCCGAAGAAGTCGAAATTGGGCTCTGGCGTCTGCGCCGTAAGTCGTGGGGTGTACTGAGAGCCAAGATTGACGAGGAGGTCATGGAAGGAAACCTGCTCCTCAAGCTCAGAGAAAACTTCGAGGACAAGTTCCGCTACGACGAGGAAGGCGTGCCTCGTATTTGGCGTCCTTCTGATGATATCGAGGGTATCTACACACGCGCAAGGGAAAGCACGCTCGAGCTCATTCCTCTGCTTTCCAAATTTAAGCTTCACGAGACAAAGTCCTTGCCGCCGCTCGAAGAGTGGATTGGCCAGACACCTACTGGTCTCTCTGCTGCTGACGAAGAGGATCTGCATCCTATTGGTGGCGTCGACGAGGAAGACGGCAAGACTCTCGATGAGGAAATGACCGTCCTTAGCGACGCAAAGAAGCAGGACCTTAGTGTGCGATTCAAGAAGACTGCAGACGGCGTATACGTAGAGGCCAAGCGCAGCGCCATTGGTGGCGTCACTCAAGTACCTCTCTACTTCTACGGTCTCTTGCTCGCATTGGGCTGGAACGAGATTGTCGCTGGTAAGTTTATTCTCTTTCTTCAATGTTGCCTTGTTCCCACTAACACTGTTGACNNAGTCCTCCGTAACCCTCTCTACTTTGTCTTCCTCATCCTCCTCGGTATTGGCGGCTACGTGACCTACACACTAAACCTCTGGGGCCCCATCATTCGTATGACCAATGCCGCCAGCGCTCAAGGACTTGAAGTGTTCAAGGAGCGCCTGCGTGAGTTCCTCGAGACGTCCGATACAGGCCGTCAAGCCATGGCTATGTCAGGTAGCAAACCGTCTGAGCGTGAACAATACAGGTAAGAGACCTCATTTCTTTCTCTGTATTCTTTGAAATGCTGACGAGTGAAAAACAGAATGGACACGCTGAGCAGCGAAGGCAAGAAGACTGCAACTACGGCTGCCGATGACGACGAAGACATTTGATGATGATGGTGACTATTGGTCCTCAAACCTTTTGTGTTATTTGTCCATTATTGATATTGTTTTGGAAAACCTCATAGCCCAGCATTGTATAACTACTTAAAGCGAAAAGGAAAAGGACGAAAGTCTATGTGTAATATATCCGTTTAATCCCGCCATGAACAATTCTATCGATATCATCAGCTCCTACATATCATTTCCGATATTGAGTCTTGCTCGTTCTATCCTCCCCGTGTGCTAAAGGATATAACTTCCCACCTTACTCCGAAGATAGCTAAGAGCAGAGTGTAGACTAGAAAAAGGCACAGTTGTTTTCGGAAACCAGGCGCATCCACAGAGAGTCGACGACTCATTGCTTCTCAGTGAATACTATCTTGTTTCCCATTTCTATCATGCATTTCTACAGCCATATGAGTTACAAACTTTTGCACATAGGGAGGACATATATCACGGTTTCTCATTTTGCAACGGTTCTCGTTTGTGTAAGTCACCATTAGTCCGCCATAGTGTTGTAGCTGACTATGTTGTTTCATAGTGTTTTCTTGATCTTTCCTAGGGGATTCAAGATGGTGCACCCATCGAAACAATGTGCCATCCCAAAAAGATTAATGACCTATATTCCAGCTATCTGTCTACACCTCCTTGTCCTCTCTGACCGCTTCGTGATGCGCAAACTCGATCGAAGCGACCTTTTCAGTGCGCGAGTGAACGATATCGCTCATCTCATTATCATCGTCAAGAAGATGTCCGACTTCTTCCAGAGTAAGTCCACGGGTCTCTGGGAAGTACATATAGATAACGATACACTCAATGACCAGAATGACAATGTAGACAAAGTAGAACTTCCAAGCGATGCTCTCGAGGCCGACGGGATTGACATATTGGTTCAGGANCCTAGCAATGTCATCAGAATCGAGTTTAGATGTACGTCAGTACATAAGGCTTACCGATGCAAGAGATTGAAAGGCCATAAGCAACGCCATTCCTTTGGCCCTGATGGAGTACGGCAGGATCTCAGCAGAGTATGCAACCGTCAAACCCGGCCACGCAAAACCTGCCATGCCGTAGAAGAGGAAGATCATGGCCAACACTGCTTTTCCAGCTCCCTTATTGCCGGTTTGACTGTACACAGCCGAACACGCCGTCCAAACACTAAAAGTCACCAACATACCTCCCGCAGCAATCAAAAACAGTTTTCTCCGACCGAGTTTGTCAACAAGCAGCACCGAAAACAGTACCGCAACCAAGAAATTGTAGATCTGGAGACCTCCGTTGAAAAGAGCTTGGTCGTAGGAATCTGTCATGCCGACGCTCTCGAGTATATCGTGGAGGTAATAAGATACCAGTCCGTTTCCAGAGCATTGGGAGAAGAAGGAGACGAGTACGATGAGGGTGATGCGTCTTCTGTTGCCTTTGTTGGAAACCATGCCTTTCCAACCTTGCGAGGAGAATTCTTNTTCTACACGCAAGGTCTCGCGGATTTCGAGATATTCGCTTTGGACTAGTGGATCTTGTTCGTTGCCGTTTGCATGGTACTGTTTGGAGTTTGTCCTGTTAGTCGGGTGTAACTGAAGATGAAGAAGCGATGTGGAATACTAACTTTNTGCGAGGACTTTGAGAGCTTGTTCATGGCGGTCTTTAGAAACAAGCCACCTGGGACTTTCGGGAAGAAGCCAAATGCCTGAGAGAACAGCATGTCAGCGGGCCTTCAGAGTAGCATAGGAAGACGCTGTCCACATACCGATCAACTGAATTAACGGCATGACAGCCTGGACAGCTGTTGGAATTCTCCAAGCAGCACTTGAGGTATAAGATGTTGTTCCAAAGACAGTCCAAGCGGCGACAATTGCACCGACACACCAAAGCGTGTTGTACATTGTTGTAACCTTGCCTCGATGAGCTGGGTGGGCAAGTTCCAGGATGAGCAGCGGTGCTGAGCCTTGTGCAATGTTCGATCTGAGAACAGTCAGTGGTCGTAGTAAAATAAGCGACAACAGTGGTTACCAACCNNCCATGCCAACCAAGAATCTACCACCGATATACATGCCTGTGTCTACTGTTGGGACTACTTGAAGTACAACGCCGACCAGCAGAACAACCATGCCAACGGTAATGCCAGCCCTGCGACCAAGAAGATCCGCAAGATATGAAGAGAAGAAGATGGCAGAGAAAGATCCAACCTGCAATATAGCGCTGAACAGTCCCAAAGTGCTACCACTAGGATGGTCAAAGTAATTCTGCCAGGGCTCCATTGTTTGTAATCCGTTCAGCAGACTGCCATCGTATCCGTTTGTTGTAGCACTGAGAAAAGGAATGATGGTCATGGCATAGAGCTTGAGCAGTCCTGCATCTTTGTACCATGCAACAGGAGGAGTTATGTCGAAGGCTGGTTGGTCGGCATTGTCGTCGACTTCTACTTCATGCTTCATTGCAGTTGTCTTCAAGTCCTTCGATGCCATGATGGATTAGTGATATTCGTGGTGATCTGGAATGTCTATACCAAATGACTCGGCGATCACCTTCTTATATGATTTCCCATCTTGGCTGCCATAACAACGTGGCTTGAGAAAATCGAACTTCTACCTTCTGACCTACCTGATCAAGCCGAGGGCACTACATGATTGAGGCACAGATCTGCATATGCATACCAGTAGTCTAGCGAAATCCTTGGCGAGGTGCCGATTATGGGGACCCCATGGGCAAAAAAACAGGGGGAGCCAAGGGTTGGAACTCACCCCGATGTCACCATGTCGAGTAACTCCAAGTGTAGCCAAGAATCCACACTGAAGGAGCGGTCGGCAAAGCAGGAGGCGTGAAGAGAGCTACGTGCGCCGACAACCGGCCTTGTCGCCGACACGAGGGCAAGAGGGGCACGAACCCCGCCGGATCCTCCACCATGCTTGATCTTCAGCCATGAATACAACCTGTTCTTGGTGTGAATCTTCCTGACACTGCTGTGAGAGGACGTAGAGGATGTTACGGGAAAAAAGGGTTTCACAGCTCTGTTCCAACCAAGTTCTTGATGATGACAGTGTGACCCTGCTCGTATCTTTTGGATCACATCTTTCTAGATTGCAGCTTTTCTCAAACCAAGCTGAGTTGCTGAGAAACATTTATGGTGCATAGAGTCATTAGCTGACCCATTATTGCGAACGTCAGACGCGTAGTGATAGAGAACAACACGCATCAACAACTTCTCAAGGGAAAGGCTTCACAATGTGCTGGAACTGCATATCTTCGTGGTGACATCTTTGGACAAATCTACACATTACTATTGTTCTTGCGTGTATGAATCTATAAGAGCTAGTACTTGATCATAATCCGCTTCAACGAGTCCATTAGTTTGTGTAAAAGTGTTGTCGATAAGATACTCTTGTTCATGAACAGCTGGTAGCCCAGCGCGTGGAAACGTTCATCTCGTCAGATCACGATTGCGATACGTCCTTCTCGGAGGCAGTGGCTCGGTGAGAGAGAAAAGTAGACTCAAGTGGCTGGGCAGGAGCACTAGCTTGCGATGTCTTCGAGTCGGTGATTTTGTGGGATAGCTCCAACTCATGACGGGCCTCGATTAACTTCTTTGGTAGGTCGGGAAGGCTTGGTGCACTGCTCATGAGACTGCTGTCGATGGTTGCAGCAGGAGCTGTAAGAGTCGAGACTCTAGGATCGGCCGGGATTCGTGTATCGTAGCCAGAGGGACCAGTATCGGTACTGACAGCCTTTCCACGACGAGCCTTTTCTAGGCCTTCACGATTGGCATGCTCCAGGCCGGTGCGAAAGTAGTCGATCTCAGGATTTTGATCGAGAACACGCAGACGCTTGTCGACCATAGTTGGAGTCAAAGGAGATTTGGAAAGCTCGGGGAAGGCACTTCGGAGCCTTTTGACGATGGCATTGAGGGAATAGTTGCATGTATCAAGAACACACATGGCATGGTCGTGAACACCATTCCACTCTTGGGGTAGAGGCGGAGTGGGTGGGAAGCGGAATATTGTGGTCTCTGGAGCCGGCGAGAAATCGACAGAGGGCGATGGTGCTTCATGAGTTATGAGTGAGTGTTTCGACACCGATGATTGGGCGTGCGAAGGGCCATCCAATGGAGCGTTGAGATTGTTGGCAGTGGATTGTCTGGTCAATGGGGGAGGTGGACAGTCTGGTACTGGTGTGGGAGGTCTGGTGGCAAGCTTCGAGGACGAAGGAGGAGTTTCCTTTGTGATGGTGTACTTCGGCTGTCCAGGAGGCTTGACGGGTGTTGAGGGATCGTGACTGCATCAATATCAGAATAAGTTCCATTGCACCAAAGACAATATCGGACATACTAGGAAGCTCCATCTGCACGATTNGCGATGTGGTGAGAAGACACCCANTCTGGACAAGGTCAGTAAGATCAAGCGGGCTGATCTGCATCAAGAACTGACAGGCGCCGAATGGCGGGTCTGAATGTTGGTTGGAATTGGATGGTGAGATAGCGCAGTCATGGTCACCAAGTCGAGGACGATGGCTGTTTGCAGAGGCATGAAGGAAACAAGATGGACATGTCAGAGCGAAGAGTCAGGTGGAAGTCGTGACAAGAAAGTGCAAGATGGAAAGAGCGAGGCTGGATTTACTCTATACGCGTGCCTGCCCAAAATTTCGCAAGCAGGAGAATAAAAATTGTCCAATTGTGCCGACTTTTGTGATTTCAAATTACAAAGACAAACCCAGTAAAGATGGTGTCTCGTTTTATTGTACAAAATTGTCCGCGTGAAAAGCCATACTCACCCTCGCCGTCGCTGGAAAGTGATAATTTCTCGTTGATCGTTAGGAGCCGTATGTCTACTTCTGGAGACCAATCTTCTGGAGAAGGCTGCCCGAGGCAGGGATGTTGCCGTTGCCGCCCTTCTCAAAGACACCGAGGATGCTCTTCCAAACAGCTCCGGGCTCTTGGCTGGCGTCAATGCCTCTCCAGATGTTGGTCTTCTGGTAGTAGGAGATGACGGGCGAGGTCTGGTCGTGGTAGGTAGCCAGACGCTTCTTGAGGGTGGCCTCGTTGTCGTCGGCACGCTGGACGAGGGGCTCGCCAGTAATGTCATCGGTCATGGTCTTCTGGGGAGGGTTGAAGATCTTGTGGTAAGAACGGCCGGAAGCGGGGTGGACGAGACGGCCAGTGATACGAGAGACGAGCAGCTCGTCGTCGATGCGGAGCTCAACGGCGTGCTTGAGCGACTGCTGGCGGGCCTTGAGCATGTCGTCGAGGCGCTCGGCCTGGGCGACGGTGCGAGGGAAGCCGTCAAGGATGAAGCCGGACTTGCACTCGGAGTTGCTCTCGAGCTCGCTCTTGATCATGCCAATCATGATCTCGTCGCTGACGAGACCGCCCTGGTCCATGATCTTCTTGGCCTGTCTACCCAACTCGGTCTTCTTTGCGACCTGAGCACGGAGCATGTCACCGGTAGCCTGAGTGCGTGTTAGTCGTCGGATTGGCTCGTATTGGCGTGGTTGCGCAGACGTACCAANGTGGCAGACATTGTACTTCTCCTTGATCTTGGGGGCCTGGGTACCCTTGCNCTAGGCATAGGTCAGTCGCGGAAGAAAACAGACAAAAGGCTTTTGATCGCGCATACCGGCACCGGGGGGACCCATGAGGATGATTCTCATGTTCTCATCGGTGGACGAGGACGAGGCAGAGCTCTGAGCCTTGCCATGAAGACGGGCCTCGAGCTCGGCAACGCGAGCCTCGAGCTTGTCGACGGTGCCTCTAAGCTGGTCCACCAGTTGCTCTCCGAGAGGTGCCATTGTGATAGTTGTGTGAGGTGAATCGAGTGGATCAAGTCAAGTGCAAGCGCAACACCAGGCTCGGAGAATAGGTCCAAATGCCCTGCGGCTACCGAGCACTTCGCGCCTCGGATGTGCGTCTTCTTGGCAAAATTATCCATTCATCCACAGTTCCACAATCCCGACCTGCTTCATTCGCCAACATAAATCCTGTCACTCAATTGCAGATTCATTAGGTTGCGCCAACGTAGGTTCATCATGTCTGTGGCTTACGAGAAGATCACATTGTACCTGCAACTGTGTAGGGAGTCCCACTACGGATTTTGAGAAACGGTCACGAGCTGCTTCACCAGCTTCCGAATATGCACAAAATTGTGAGCAAGCTGGGAAACCGTGTCATACATTGTTGAAAAGACAAAACTATCGAGTGCCATATCTCAAAAGTCACTCTCCGTTCTGAAACATGTCCCCTGTCGCTTCCTTTACTCCCAAGTGTCGAGCGGCATGTACTTCATGTCATCAAAGTCTTGCTGTACGTACGCGCACATGTCATCGACCTTCACGATGAACAGATCCAAGGNCTGTGACAATTCCGTTAGTACATAAAAGTCAGGTCGCTGTACTCAGACAAGAAAAAACTTACCCGCATCACAAGGTGCGTAGTTGGGCGAGAGTTTGTCGTCCTTCTTCTTTGCCTCTCTTTTGGCCTCTATGCACGAGTGAACATCACCTTCAAGCCAGTAAGCCAAAGCACGCTGGGTCTCTTTGTTCTTGCACGCCTCTCCGTAGGTGGCGGTCAGGATAGGGTAGCCAGGAGTCGACTCGAGGCATTCTCTNNCTGTGGGTTGTCAGTCCAATCAGCAACTCATCAGCTTCATCCTGATACAAGCACTTACCATACACTTGACCGTGCCATGAGGTTTGTAGATCTTGTGGTTGGCATGCTTCTCCAGCCTCTGCTCCAAGCTCATGGTCTTGAAGGCAGCTTCCTCGGCTTCGTACTCCTCCTGAGTATTGTGATTGTCGGGTGTATCCACAGGGGCAGCCTGAACGACAACTGCCATAGCAGCGACAAAGCCAACAAATCTGAGGAATTGAACCATGGTTGATGTGCGAGGATAGAGAGAACCAGCAGTACATGGCTTCGAGCGGTGTTTATATATTCGAAGATGGCAAGACTCGAAGCACAGAAGTGTTTAAAACTGTGAGCATGTTATGCGGTATCTCCACTACGCCTGACCAAACCTTACGAGCTGTTTCTTCGTTGCCCCTCATATGAGTGAGTTGTTTCCACTCTTGTTGAGCTTGAGTGCCTTGCCAACAATATGCACCACGTTCATACCAAGGAACAGTTATTGGCTCGAGTCTGTGATGATTGTCGAATCTCATGATGGCTTGAGATGGGGGCTGTGGAGACAAGCCTATCTCTGGGCAATTATTTACTTGCATTTTCACATTATCAACTCTTCAAACTTCAAGTCTTGTGGGTTCATCCGCATCGGGTTCCTTATCAGCATTTTCAGGATGATCTTTACCCTTAGTTGCAGCCTTCGAGGCCTCGAATGACTGTTCGAAGTCGGCAATGATATCGTCAATGTGCTCGATGCCGACGGATATCCTGATCAGATCCTCAGTGACTCCACTACTGATCTTTTCCTCATCACTCAACTGCTCGTGAGTGGTACTCCAGGNGATCTGTAAGACAAAGGTTAGCAAACCAAGCGCAAGAGTATCGTATGTTCATGATCACTTACGAATTGCAAGTGTCTTTGCATCACCAACGTTTGCGAGGTTTGAAATCAGCTTGAAGCCATCGACAACCTGGTTACCGGCGTCGGCATCACCTTTCACACCAAACGAAAGCACACCTCCAAAACCTCTCGGTAGGTATTTCTTTGCCAATTCATGGCTGGCGTGGCTTGGAAGACCAGGATAGCTGACCCAAGAAACGTGTTCGTTCTTCTCTAGCCATTGAGCCAGTGCAAGCGAATTCTGTGCATGTCTCTCGCACCTCAGACTCAAAGTTTCGATACCTAGAAGCAACTGCTGGGCGGCAAAGGGGTTGAGAGCCATACCACCATCCCGAAGGATCTCAACACGAACTCGCACGATGAAAGCAAGCTTGCCAAAAGTGTCCCAGAACTTGAGGCCGTGGAACCCTTCCGAAGGCTCGCTCATCTGTGGGAATCGTTTGCGAGCCTGTGGAGTACCCCAGTCAAAGCGACCAGCATCAATCACCACGCCTCCAACAGTGGTGCCATGTCCACCGATCCATTTGGTCGCGCTGTGAACGACAATGTCGACTCCGTGGTCAATTGGTCGGCAGAAGTATCCACCTGCACCAAATGTGTTGTCGACGATAACTGGAACACCAGCCTCATGTGCGATCTTGACGATAGTCTCGAAGTCTGGCACATTATATCGCGGGTTTCCAATGCTCTCGACGTAGACAGCTTTAGTCTTGTCATCGATAGCCTTCTTGAAGTCCTCTGCCTTATCACCGTTCACAAACTTTGTCGTGATGCCTAATCGCGGCAAGAACANCCTGAGCTGGTTGTAGGTTCCACCGTACAAGTTCGAAGTCGAGACAATGTTGTCACCCGCATGGGCGAGTGCTACAATCGCCATAAATTGAGCTGATTGACCAGACGATGCTGCGACAGCTGCAACACCTCCCTCTAATGCGGCCATACGCTTCTCGAAAACATCGACGGTCGGGTTCATTATTCGGCTGTATATGTTGCCTGCCTCCTTGAGGCCGAACAGGCGAGCTCCATGGGCAGAATCGTTGAAAATGTAGGANNCTGGTGAAAGGAGTTAGGTTCATGTCTTGCGTGATGGTCTTCAAGATGACCATACTGTAGTTGCATAAATTGGTACAGCGCGTGAATTGGAAGCACTGTCAGGCTCATGACNCTGTTGGTGACGAGCAGATGGTCAGCTCTATAAGGGTATACTATACAATGGCCATGCCTCCTTACCAGCATGCAATTGCAAGGTCTCGAAATGAGGAGTCTTTCCTTCGGCCATGTTATATCTCGTTCACAGCGGCTATACGGGGTCTTCGGCGAACAGACGCGACGGGAACGATAAGGCCTTATATGTCAAGTGACTCAAAGATGGCAGGAAACTGCCCCTCATCCAGGCGCGGGGCAGATCGATGTTTAGCGATCACGCAATCCATGCTCGTATTCCCTCCATCCGCCATTGTCGAGATCGAGCGACATCGCAAGGCAGGAACGATTGTTGCTTGCTAAAAGGTTCACTGAAGATAGAATGCATTGTCGTGTATCAAGTAGCGACAAGGTCGGATGGAGTAATACGAGGAAACGCCCAAGCTCTTCCTCGCCACCGAAACAAGGAAACATGGAATCAAAAATCATCACGAATATTGCGAGAAGACATGAATTGAGTCAAAGTGTTGGATGGATTCTTGTATTGGAAAAAGGTTTGCGAAACGCCTTTGCGATGCCAGAAGAACAAATCTGTATCAACCTAAGGTCTCATCAACTCCTCCTGCCCAGATCCTCCTCATGGGACATTAAATCTAAGAAAACGATTTTGAAGTACGAAAAAGAGAAGACGTGACGACATTAAATAATGCTGTTGGCTGTAGTCAAGAGCATCTAGTCAACCTCCTCCATGGCCGACTCGCCGGCGGCCTCGGCAGCGGGGGCCTCGGTGCTGGCAGCCTCCTCGCTGGTCTCAGCCTCCTCGTCGACGTTAAGGCCGAGGGAGACGAGCTTGTGGATGCGCTCAGCGTAGGCGGCGGGCTCGTCAATGGTAAAGCCAGAGACGAGGAGAGAGGTCTCGTAGAGAAGCTGGGTGATGGACTTGACGGTGCGGTCGTTCTCGCCGTCAGTCTCAACCTTCTTCTTGAGCTCCTTGATGATGGGAGAAGCAGGCGAGATCTCGAAGGTCTTCTTGGAAGACATGTACGAGGACATGGAGGTGTCACGGAGAGCCTGGGCCTTCATGATACGCTCCATGTTGGCGGACCAACCGAACTGACCAGTACGGATGGCGCAAGGGGAGCCGACGAGCTTGTGGGAGACAACGACCTTCTCGACCTTGTCGCCGAGGACGTTCTTCAAGCTCTTGGCAAGAGACTCGTACTCCTTCTCCTCCTCCTCACGCTTCTTCTTCTCGTCCTCGGTCTCCTCGAGCTCGAAGTCCTTGGTGATGTCAACGAGCTTCTTGCCCTCGAACTCCTTGAGCTGAGTGAAGGCGTACTCATCGATGGGGTCGACAAGGAAGAGAACCTCGAAGTTCTTCTCCTTGAGGGCGTCAAGGAAGGGAGACTTCTGGACGGCCTTGAGGGACTCTCCAGTGATGTAGTACATCTGCTTCTGGTGCTCGGGCATGCGAGTGATGTAGTCCTGGAGGGAGGTGACCTCGTCGAGAGACTTGGTGGAGTTGAAGCGGAGGAGCTTGGCGAGCTGGGGACGGTTCTGAGCGTCCTCGTGGATACCAAGCTTGAGGTTCTTGCTGAAGGCAGTGTAGAACTTGTCGAACTGCTCACGGTCCTCGGCGATCTCGTTGAAGAGCTCAAGAGTCTTCTTGACGATGTTCTTCTTGATGACCTTCATGATCTTGTTCTGCTGAAGAGTCTCACGGGACAGGTTGAGGGGAAGGTCCTCAGAGTCGACAACACCCTTGACGAACGAGAGCCACTCGGGGATGAGGTCGGTAGCATCGTCAGTGATGAAGACGCGGCGGACGTAGAGCTTGATGTTGTTCTTGGTCTTCTTGGTCTCGAAGAGGTCGAAGGGAGCGCGCTTGGGAACGAAGAGGATGGCGCGGAACTCGAGCTGACCCTCAACGGAGAAGTGCTTGACACCGAGGTGGTCCTCCCAGTCGTTGCTGAGGGACTTGTAGAATGAACCGTACTCCTCCTGGGAGATGTCGGCGGGGTTGCGAGTCCAAATGGGCTTGGTCTTGTTGAGCTCCTCCTCCTCGATCTTGCTCTCCTTGACCTTCTTGGTCTTCTTCTCCTTCTTCTCATCCTCATCATCAACCTCCTCGACCTTGGGCTTCTTCTCGTCACCCTCCTCGGTCTTCTCCTCAGCCTCCTCATCGGGGACCTCCTTCTCGGTCTCCTTGAGGACGTGGAGGTAGATGGGGTATGAGATGAACTCGGAGTGCTTCTTGACGACCTCCTTGATCTTGGCCTCGTTCAGGTAGTCGAGCTGCTCATCCTTGAGGTGCAAGACCATCTTGGTACCGCGACCGAGCTGCTCACCCTCGGTGTCCTGGGTGAGGGTGAAGGTGCCACCAGCTGATGACTCCCAGAGGTACTGCTCATCATCGTTGTTCTTGGAGGTGACGGTGACCTTGTCGGCGACGAGGTAGGCAGAGTAGAAACCAACACCGAACTGACCGATCATGGAGATATCGGCACCAGCGGTCAGGGCCTCCATGAACTGCTTGGTACCAGAGCGGGCAATCGTACCGAGGTTGTTAACGAGGTCNNCTGTAAGAAAGTCAGTAACGGTTCAAACGACGTGTAGAAGAAGGAATTGATCACTTACAGCCTTGGTCATACCGATACCAGTGTCGCGGATGGTAAGAGTCTTGGCCTCCTTGTCGGGGATGATGTCGATGCGCAAGTCCTTGCCGGAGTCGAGCTTGCTGGGGTCGGAAAGAGCCTCATAGCGGATCTTGTCAAGAGCATCGGACGAGTTGGAGATGAGTTCTCTGAGGAAGATCTCCTTGTTGGAGTAGACAGTGTTGATGATCAGCGAGAGCAGCTGAGAGATCTCAGCCTGGAACTCAAAGGTCTCGGCGGCCATATTGAATGTGGTATGGGGATTGATTCAAAGACGGGGACAAACGCAGAGATCAAAGCAAAGGTGACTGCTGGTATAGAGACAGCCGGGTATCTGAAAGAGAAAAAAAGATGTGGATGTGAAGGGGGGAAGAAGAAGGAGTGTGTCTCTGGAAGTTATTTCTACGCGCCTCCGGCCAAAAATCGAGCTTGTTCCATAGGGTTCTATGGAATCGCGCTTGGACCTCATACTGTTTCCCTTTCACCTCTTTGACAGCTAGATGCCACTAGAAGTGTCTAAACGCGAACATGCATTATCTACTCAGTCGACTGTGACATGTGACAATTTGTACATAGCAAAGTGAACGATCCCACGATCTTTCACAGTAACATTGGCCTGAGTACCTAGCTGGATTGCTGGTTGGAAAACTCTCGCATCCTCCGTGAATCCAGACTTTGCGGGGATACTGGTTGGCCGCAGCGGCATTCTCGTTGCCACCCCAACCTTCTAGGTAGTGAACAACAGCTCAGTTTGCTATTACTCACGACTTGAATTGTTTCTCCCACGAGAGTATGTCACGCATATAGCTATCAAAATGCACAATAGTAATAAGAAACAAGGTAGTGTCCACTGAGAGGCAACAAGCTGTTAACTCTCTGTGGACGCGCCTCTGCTTCCCAAGAGAATTGTGTCTTTTTATATAGTCTACATTTTGCTTTTAGCTATAGTAGGAGTATGGTGGAAGTTACAGACTTTAGTATACGGGGAGGCGCAATTGAGGCAATCAGGAGTCATGCTGCAGTCACCAGCGTATCTGTACGCTTGACTATGCTGCCACAAGACACAAACACTTGAGGTCGTTATACAGACAAGATGCTCGCATTGGTTGATAACAGTCGATTGAACACTCAACAAACACGGTCCGGGCTCTCGAAACATCACATCTAACCAATGCACCTGAAAAGACGCTTGCAGTGATTCTTGAAATTGTACTCGTATTATGCAGCTCGATTGTTGTTGTAGTGATTAAAATGCAATACCATGTGCCTCTGCCAGTCGAAAAGAAAACCTCCATTAAGCATCACTTCTCAAAAGACCAGACCTGCAAAACTCAACCCGTCGCCTCTGGTCGATGCCCAAGAAAATGTATCCAATAACACCCAACCAAAAGAAGGAACCCTCGTGCTCATCCAAACTCGGTGTTTGGCCCATGCAAATGATTATGTCAACCGACAGTGTGCAACCCATATGGTATCCTGTCAGGAACTGCTCTCTCCTCATGAAGTAATCTCGACGCTTCTCTTGTCGGGCAACTCGACTGGGTCTTGCTGTCCCTGTGCGGTATGTGCAGTAGACAGCGACTCCCTGCGTGTGAATTGGGCATCCTGTCCAGTCATTCTCCTGCCGAGTGCGCGCTCGACCTTTGCACCCAAGGCAATGGTGTTGATTTCGTCGTCCTTCTTTTCGCTGAGCTGGTAGCGCTGTTTCTCAAGGCGCTCATCCGACATGCGCTGGAAGCCAGCCTTCCATGACTTGATGTCTTGGGTGCGAGGGTCGGCGGAGCCCACGGTACTCATGGACGCGCGGGGCTCGTTCACGGCGATCTTGTCTGTGTCGTAGGTAGTTGTCGACGGCGAGTTTTGGTATGCCTCTTGCTTGAAGCCAGCATCGGCTGTGTTGTTGGTGACGGTAGAAGAGGTGCTCATTGCGATTGACGGATGTAGAGATGGTGCGCCGGAATGCGTAGACAATCTGAGGGATTGGTTGTGTGTTGAGGAGAGGTCGTTCGACTATCAGAAGTTTGGATGTCAGAGATCAGCGAAGCGTTGTATTGGCGTAGACAAGCAAACACTGAAACGGGTGGTGTGAGGGGGCTCTGGAGAGAAAAATCCAAAAATTGGTAATAAAAGGCGAGTGGGCAATGGACAAAAATCACAAGGTCATTCCAAGACACGTACCATGACTAGAATCTATATGCGGAGATTCAGGAGTTGTCAATCTTGTGCTAGACTCTTTTATCGTCAGCTGCATGGTCAGTAGATCGCTCTTTTTCAATATCGGGCATTGCTGATGTCTCACCCGCTGCCTGGTCGGTGTGCTGTTAACTTGCAACTTGTATTTGCTGACAACTTAAGTATCTGTCAAGAAGAACAGACTGTGTTTCGATTAAGAAGCTACGAGACATGCATTCATATTCCTGATAAATCGTCGGATGACGGGCCCCTTTGTACCGCTCGACACGCTAGATCATGCCGCTGGCCAGGGATCTTCACAACGCAACCGCAGAACACGGTATCCTGCCATTGACTCTCACGATCGCGTGGCTAACCCATTCGCTGGCTGTAGTCTGCTAGCAATCACCCGGTCGAGCTTCAAGTTTCATGATCTTGTCACTGCAGAGCAAAGCCAATGCCCACGTTTTCATGTGCTGTTAGCGGATCTGTCCATCAAGTCGTGCAACTGTCAACGTCAACGTGGCCTCGATCAGCGCCACGTGCAGCGGTATTTCTAAGGCAAGGAAGTACACGAACCACGCATTCCGCTTGTTCGTGGCACCCAGGAAGTCGCGTTACACTAATTGGAATTATTCTTGACTCGTTCATTCGTCTGATCATATCAACTCTCCTTGCCTGACAAGGTCGCTACCACTTCCCTCCTGTCAGGAAGGCCTTGAACAGATCCAGAGGAGTCCTGCTGTTGTCCCTGGCTGACACTACTGCATACCCAGGGAGCTCGACACTCGGCGTGCTTAAGCCCAACGCTTCTGACACTGTCACCCAATTTCTTGTTACCCAGACCAACGCCGTCGCGACAATTCCACACCCTCCGACCACCTGCAGAAAGCTCCATCTCTTGATGTGAAGGCGTTGGCTCAGTGCAAGCAAACCCAAGGGGTCTTGACAATCGAGGCTGTCGAGTTCGCTACGATTGACATTGTTAGATGTCTCGTGGCCAGATTTAACCAGGGCCGAGCTGGCTTTGTGTCGTTCGTTAGTACTCGCAGTCAATTGTTTCCTATCTCGAGTTTCAGTGTCCAGTGCAATCTTCAAGTTGTATGCCCATTGCGGTAATTGCATGCTTTCTCTGTCAAGATTGTGGGCATCGACACAACGACCAAAGTCGTACTGTGAGGTCGTGTATATAGCGGGTACAAGCTTGAAGGGTGTAGGCGATGACCCCCGCTGGCTTGGAGCAGATACTTGTGGCGCCAGGAAACCTGAAGGCGAAGACAATACAGAAGAAATGGAAGATGGTGCAGCATCTTGCAGACAACCGAGTCTCTCGAGAGCCAGCTCGCGAAGCTCGCGTTTGTGTGAGTCGAACGATGTCTTCAAGTATTCCCTTCGCCATTGGATGAACTTTTTGACCGCACAGTGTCGCAACCTTTGAGCACTATCGGGATCAAATAGGCGGTCGACTAACTGAGTAAGATCGCTCGAGATCAGAGGCTGCACATACTCAGAGGACATGAGAACGCTCGCATCCATAGTTTCTGCGTCCTCGCTCAAGGCTGACGAAACTGCAAAAGGCGACGATGTCAAGACATCTTGAGCATCAGCTGCCTGGAAGGTGAACGTTCCGACCCCAGCAGCCTCAAGACTAGATCGGATAGCTGTCTTTGTATCCATGAGATTGTCACTTTGGCATGTATCGGCTCTACCAATGACAGGTACTATGTTGGTTAGGGCGGAAAGGCGCCGAAGAACATCGATTTCAGTAGGAGTGATCTGGTGAGANNTGCTGGATAGCGTCAGTATCTTCAAATCATAACCAAGTATGACAAACCTACTGGGATGAAACATGTAGAGTAACACATCGATTTGGAATCCTCCACTGCCACTCAAGACACCAAGCAAATCTGTATCGCTCAATTCTCCTGACAGAGTGTTTTTCCGCAGTGAAGCCTCTATGTGCTCCTGAATGGTATTCATGGCATCGTCCATATTTTCTTGGTCGTTTGCGCCGCTCATGACCCAACCAGGGGTATCAATAAAGGAAATATTGCGCTCGAGGATGGAATCTCCCATACTCTTGCGGCGTCTTAAACCACGTCCTTGTTCGATCTCTGACCACCAAGATGGACAAGATTTGGTTGAGGCATGAGTTTCAAGTACATCATGTGCAAGCGTAGTCGAGGTTGACAACGAGTCAACGGCCACGACAGGGTCGACATGAACGATGTCCTCACACACCTGCACAATGCTTTTGACCAGGCTTGTCTTGCCAATGCCAGAAGGTCCAGCGATCATGATTCTGAGTTGGGGTATACGCTTGCCTCTTTCTGTGAATGGTCGGCGCGTGGGCATGGATATGCTGGGCATTATCAACTGAGGTATACTGCTCGGGGGAAGAGTTTGGGAGGCGGATTCATGCAGAGTATTGTCAGCGAAGACATCATCATCCTCGCTGGAAGAGTGTAGAGCTTGACTCGCAGCGTCGTCGATGATGCTTCCTTCTTCGTCTGAAAGGCGTACACTTTTCACGCTGGGCGATCGAGGAGTGCTAGTGTCGCCAGCACGTAGAGAGGTAAATGAACGACCCAGGGATGTGAGAGATTCGCTTCGAACATGACGGCGGGTGGGAGATGGAGTCAAAGGTCTTTGCGCAGGAGACGAGATTGAAGATGTTCGCGACGAAGGTCGCTCTTCGGATGATATGATGCGTTGGGCAGCTGCAGCGATCTTGGGATGGACGGGATTCCCAACCTTGCGTTTCTTGCCAGAGACAGTGTTCAACGGAGGCGAAGACGGCTCTGAGGTCTTGGAGGCGAAGGCAGCCTCGAGGGTCTCGTCTAAGCTCTCGACGCCATAGTTGTTGTCCTGGTCCTCTTGCGCATTTTTCATGTCCCTCTCTCTTCTCANAAAGAAGGTGGCCGGTGGCTGCGAGTATCCCGGGATTGGTGCGGTACCTGCATCAGTACAGGGAAGCTTCTTTGATCGTGACCACGCTCGTTCAGAGTGGCTCATGATGGAATACGAATGGCTGTAGACTTGGTTTGGGGATGCCTTGAGGGCGGTGATGAGGTCCTAGGAGTACCAAGGAAACAAAATCTCATTATACGGTTGATCATACGACTATTTTGCTCAAAGAGACGACTTGACGCCTGGTGACAAGTCCAAGTAGATGGATGAGCCCATGACATGATAAGCTGCGGATCTGATCGGCGGGGCCCCGCATGAACCGTGCGTACCCATCCACAACGTCCCTCCCAACTTCAAGTCCTTGTGCACCATGTAATGTTGAAAGCAAATACTTGGTGATCGGTACTGACTAAAGCAGTTGTTTTAGATACAAGTCAATGGTATAGTGTGCTTGTCGTGAGGAACGTCATCGTTTATCTTGCATATCTACTGTCATCCACGAAGAGCATGCACACTAGTTACAGCCCGACTTGGCCTGCTTCTGAATTCATTCACCCTCAAGCCAAACTACGCCAGATGATCCACGTGCTCCGAAGAAAGGTCACCGTTTTCGACATCCCATCCACACCTTCCAGAGCCCAACCGTGTTAGTACAGACTGCAAAGCCCATGAAACTCCGCAACAAACAACAGAAACACAGTCGGTAGGATGGAAAGAGAAACCAATCAGAAACACGCGCCGCTATGCATTAGTGACAAATGTGTGAAGTTTTGAGCAGCGCGTCGAGGCTCTGGAGTCCATCTCCAAATCGCTTTAACGCTGAGAAAGAACTTTTTTCGAAAGGGGAGGCGTATCGCGTCATATTTTTACAGATGAGGGCTGACTCGCGTCGGTTGTTTCAGCCCGTGTCGTGGAAATCGTTTAGGCAGCCTGAGCACCGCCGCGGCCACGAGAGGCGGCACCGCCACGACCTCTCTGGGAACCGCCACCACGGCCGCCCTGGAAAGAGCCACGAGGGGCTTGGTTGGCGCCACCACGGCCGCCTCTGGCACCACCACGGTTACCGGGATAGTAAGGTCTGTTGTCCTTGGGACGGCGCTCCTCGATGGTGATGGCATGCTCACCGATCGAGATGGGGCTAGCCTTGAGGGCGGCCTTGTAGCCGTCAATGGTCTTGAAGTCGACAAAGGCGCAGTNTCTGCTCGAACGTCAGTTATCGTAAGGTTTGAATATGATCAAGAAACTTACCTTAGGTCTGTTAGCGTCAAAGTACACAATCTCACCGTACTTCTCAATGGCCTCTCTCAAAGTGGGAAGAGTAATACTCTCGTGGACGTTCTTGACGTAGGTGCGGTACTGGGGTGTGTCTTGAGCACCTGCAGCGGCCTGGCCCTTGTTCTGCTTCTTGTCGCCGACGCTGGTCCACTCTTCTTGTTGGTCAGCGCTAGGGGCGGCAGGAGAAGACTCGGGTGCGGGAGCAGGAGCAGCCTCCTGAGCAGGTGCAGCGGGTGTAGGCTTGGCGGCAGGCTCAGGTTGAGGAGCAGTCTTAGGCTGGACAGGTGCGGCAGAAGTGGATGGCTGAGGAGTGACAACGGGGGTGGCAACACGGTGGGCAGCAGCGGCGAGGTTGGCCCAGGTCTTGGGTGCGGCAGGAGCAGCGGGGGCAGCGGGCTTGACAGGAGCAGCGGCCTTTGCGGGCTGGGCGGCCTGCTTCACAGGTGAGCGGACGGCGGGAGTAGGCTCAGGGTCCTTGGGCTTCTCGGTCTCCAATGCTTGTGCAACAGGAACCTCAGAGGCAGCCTCGGTGGCAGCCTCGGGAGCGGCATCAGGAGTTTCAGTAGGTTCGGGCACATCAGCAGCAGGAGCCTCGGCCTGAGCGGGCTCAGCAGCTTCAGCCTTAGGCAAGTCGTTGACGACAGCAGTAGGAGCGGCGGTCTCCTCGGGCTTGTCAGCAATGATCTTCTCCTCGATCTCCTTGTCGACCTTGGCGGCATCCTTCTCGATGGCGACAGGGTCCTCAGAGCTGGTCAGGGTCTCGTGCTCGGGCTCCTGGACAGCAGTAGGAGCAGGCTCCTGGATAGCAGCAGACTCCTCGGTTGCCTCGGCCTCATCCTCCTCNNCCTCGATGATGTAACGGAAGATGTCGTTCAGCACAAAGTAGCCGTTGGTCTGAGCAGCGAGAACGAAAGTTTGGGTGAACTTCTTATGCGGAGCCGACTTGTTGGAAATCTCGCCGATAACCTGGATGACGATGTGCTCATCAGAGGCCTGCGAATCGACATTGGTGACGCGGACCTTGCACTCGGAAAAGTCAAGCTCCTTGATGCGTTCATTGATGGNCCTGTTTGTTGGTTCAGCACATGAGCAATCTTGTGCGCGATCAAGCAAGAGATTACGCACCCGTTGTCCCACACAGACTTCGACCTTCTCGGTTTCATTGCCGGAAACAAATTGTGAACGTTTGTTGTAGAAGAGNNCTGCAGCCAGTCAATGAATGTCCTTCTTGTCATATTGTATTGCTCTTGCACGTACGTAGACCTTCTCGGGGCTGCGGCTGAGGGTCGTGTAGTACTGCTCCACGAAGTACCAGCCGACCTCGTCCTTGGGAATGTCGGCGGCAGAGTTGTTCGATTGAGAGGGCGCAGAGGAAGGGTAGCTGGGGGCAGTGTAGCCGGACTGGTCTATCGAGCCGTAGCCATTCTGAGGGACGAAGGTGCCGTTGATAGCGGATTCAGAAGCCATTGTGAAGAAACCAAGAAGCGGACAGATGCAAGTAATTCGGCGGCGCAGAAAGTGGGAACAATGTCTGAAGATGGAACTGTATCAGCGCTGCGTCTTTTGAGTACAATGCCTCTAGATTGAAGCAGCAGCAGGGTGCGCGACAGGTGTTTCAGTGTATGGAAGAGTCTCACCTCTAAAGTGATGATAAAGCAGCCCAGTATAAAACTATCTCGTGCAGCTCGACGGATCTACAATTTTTGCGTCAAGCTGCGGTTGGAGCTTGGTAAATGATGAAGGATGGGAGGAGAGTGCTGTAAAAGGATGGCGAGGGAGCGTAACAGGATTGGAGCTTGCGGTGAGCGGAGTGAGCTTTGAGGCGTGTCTATGAGTAGCAGAAGTTGTTCAGATGGAAATCCATCGTCACTTCCAACGAAGACCTGGGCCGTGCGCCGTGCACCACCTATGCCACAAACGGCCAGTGCACGTGATATAGATCTGTATCTGCTGCAACATCTGTCAGAAGCACCAAACCATTGACTATTCGACTTTCGAAAACGTTGTCTCGCGGTGTATCGTCTAACTTTGGCAACTCGGCGTATAGACAGTGAGAGTGACGGGGCTTGACACAAGACTGAAGAAGAGTGCTGTCCAATTGAAACACCACATCGCTCCTTCCAGCATGTTGCTTACGTCCCTGCCATGGAAACCTTTCTGATTTATTTCCTGCCTCTCCGTGAGCAAACGCATGTTCGCGTGTGGCTATAAAAATGCACAATAATACCAGAAAATATGATGGTGTCCGCTGAGAGGCGGATCTTCGTTGACTCTCCTTGGTCACATCTTTGTTTCTGAACAAGATTGTGCATTTTTATAGTATGTACTCTACTCTCTGCTACAGCTGGAGTAATTAGAGGCACATCCTTTAGCACATGGGGAGGCGAGAACAACCATATGCATGTGATCAGGTTTCTAGTCCGAGCAACCTTCACCTGTGCTAGCTATGCAATTGAGAGAAGTAGCTGATGTCTAGCGCATGCCTGAACCCGTACCTCTTTCAATTTGCATAAGCAAGCTTCGAAGACTGCCACGTAGAGCCACAGATTCTGCATGTGTTCTTCCCACTATCGTCCCCCCTCATACTCAATCTTCCAATTCTCGATTTTACAAACTGATCAAATAATACACGATCCTGCTCAAAATTCTCCCCTACTCTTAAGCTTCCAACATTGCTTTCTGTTCAACAGCCCGTCAACTTCAACACTCTTCAAGTCACGACAGAATGCCCTCCGGAGACGTTCATGTCCGGTTGCTTTACTTGAATGAGGAGCCTCGGGATAGTGAGATGACCACGGACACCTCTCCCAAGACAACGCGAGCGCGCAGAACTCCAACCCTGAGCGTCCTGGAAACGATTCATGATGTCCGCGGAGCTCAAGAGGAATTCGACCTTGATCTTCACGGATTCTGCTATATCAAAGCACCATTCAGCTTGGAACATTGGGCATCGGAGCAGGAGATACAGAAGGATCTTATCCCGAAGATCGGAGAGTTGTTGCGCAACGAACTCGAAGTCTGTGATGAAGTCCACATTGTCGAAATCAAGNNGTCGGTGTGTGAGTCCTGATGATGAACCGTTCTAATCATGAAGCAACAGAACCAGCAGCAACACCCTCAAAATGGTTGCAGTGAATTGGTCCACGTCGACTACACTGCGTCAAGCGTAAAGTCACTAGTGCGTCAGAGATACGAGATAAAGGCCGACTGGCTTCTTACAGGAAGAGTCCGCCTGATCAAGTAAGTCGTGTCTCTTTTCCTATGCGTTACTGGGTCGACCTTGGTACTGATTGGCGATGCCAGCATGTTGAAGCCCGTTCAGGGTACTGTATCCAGGTCTCCCATTGCATTTACGGACGGCAGAGAGGTCGATACGCTGAGAGATATCTCCAAAGTCGATACGGGCACACCTATGCGTCACGGACATTATCGTGATGGATATCGTTGGTACTATATGACTGAGCAAGCTGAAGAAGATGTTCTCTTGTTCAAAACATATGACAACGACCCGAGCGTTCCTTCGACGGCATGTTTAAACACAACCTTTGACGTTCCATATACTCCAGCCGATACGCCATCCTCCAAGACGATCGAGATTCGAGCCTTGGTGTTCACGTATCCAGTCAGCAAGCAGATTACGCGTCATCTGGGTTCAGATGAGACTGAGTCGTTGAAGAGAAAGATCAAAATTCCTTCGGATGAAGTATCGCATAACCAAGCTCTAGTCAGAGCAGGCTTGGACCTTCGTCAATGGGAGTCTAGTAACACAGCAGAACGAGTGCGTCATCTCATCTCTGACCGCGACCATTCCCGCGCCGAGGCTCTTTCCCTGGGCATGCAGCTCAACTACTTGGAGAGCTGGATCATGAGCCTCTCATTCTCGGCATACTGAGCTTGCAGCTGTTGGCGTAACATCAGTATCTCGGCATCTGGTCCGTACATATTCATGCCCTGTACTAGGCTGTGGNNTATGCCTGCTGGTCCTGGCCGAGACGTTCACGCAATCTTGGTGTCGAGCACACAAACCCCTGCAACTGTTCGAACACTTGACCGTAAGGTNGATACAAAGCTCGAAGACATGTATAGATTCAAGGTTCGAATGAACGCTCGGGTCGAGGACAAGATGCACGAAGCATTTGGTTCTGCATTGCAGTTGGCGGTCGACCATGAGCGCAGTAAGGATGGTGTTGTTATCGAGGGCTTCCGCCAGGAAATCCAAAGATTGCAGATGGCGTTGAGAACGAGCAATTCTGAAAGTGAGGGCTCCGCAGAGCTGGCGGGAGAGTGAGATTCAATGATTGTACCTCCCCGTGTACTAGAAGATGTAACACGTGTAGCTATGAGAATGCACAATATTATGAGGAAACAGGAAGCTGTCCACTGAGAAGCGATAACATATCGGCTCTCAATGGGCATGCCTCAATTTCGAGAACATCTGTGCCTTTTTATAGAGTACATTTTGTTTGTCGCCCTAGATGGAGTTTGATGAAGTTACAGACTTTGGAATACGGGAGGTAGTATAGTGTAGTGTGATGTAGCCGGGCGAAAGCTCTATTTGCAGTCCTCGCAGTTTTTGTGTCTTCGACCGCCGTAGCGGCAGTGCTCTGAGCAGGCTCTGTTGGCTTTGAAGATGTGTCCGAAGTCTGAGTCTTGGAGGGCTTGTCAGAGTGACCAAGATCACGACCCGGCTCGATATGATTCCTCAAGCGTTGTTTGAGCACCTTCGTTTCCGGGAATCCTCCTTCTGTCTTTCTATCCCATAGCAATATCTCTTGTGCTTCTGCATTCTCATCGGATCCGGGAGGTACGTGGGTCAAATAGACAGTAAAGAGACCACCGGTGGCGGGAATGAGGGCGATCTCGCCAATAGCTGTTCCGAAGGTTGATAGCAATTCCTGGCCAAAGTATGCTGCTCGCAACATCCACTTGCATTGGGTGCAATACGATATGGCGACACGAGGTAGCTTGTGCGGCGTCGGCATGATGAATGACGTTCAGACTTTAAGCAGTGCAGCTCCCGATAGTCGAATACAGTTCAAGCAAATCGTTAATTGTAGTCCGGGAACTATAGATACGTGGTCGGGGATGTGTCGTTGTTGATCGTGGATGTTGATGGGCGGCCAGACGTCTTGGTGGCACACGAGCCCGTCTTTGCTTCTCCAGCCTCGTCAGCGAGCGACACCATCCCCGAGCATGCCACTTTCTTTCACTTTGCCGGTCTGTGTCGTCCATCTATGAACTTGTCATACCTCAGATATGAGCGCGATGGCATGTAGACATCTTCATCTCTCGGTAGGTTCAGTTCAGCGAGCAATTACGCAATGAGAAAGCGTTACCTCGTTGTTTCCTTCGTCCTCTAGCTTTTCTCTTGTCCTGGTGAGTATGGCTCTCCCAACAGTCCCAACTCCGTCCGGCCTTTTCGAACCGCGACCATCGCCGACTGCTGGTATTGGAGTCTTCGCCATTGCCGCCATACCTTCGGGCACAAGAATACTGTGCGAAGCTCCGCTCTTTGCGCTTCCTGACGACGACGATGTTATAGCGTGTTATCTCGCAATCAAAGACTTACCCCTGGATCGACAATCTGCATTCTGGTCTCTTGCCGGCTGTACGAGTCCTCCAGGAGATACCGAATGGATCGACGAGCTGCGAGAAGCCTATGATGGTACTCTCACTGTCCCCTAGCCCTCTCACAAACGCTGATAACCAATTTCAGAAGACATGGGCGATGCGTTTGACGATCTAGTCAAGAAATACGAAGATGCATTCTCGATATTCGAGACCAATCGCTTCACTTTGCGCTACCCCGATGGCTCACCTAACAAGCTGGGAGTCTTTCCAAACGTAAGCCACCCTCTTTTGTGATCTCAACCAGCCATATTGACTAGCAACAGNGCTGCGCGATTTAACCATTCATGCTCGCCCAACGTTTACCATCGCTACAATCCATACATAGACCGACTCACCATACACGCCCTTCGCGACATCCATCCGGGTGAGGAGATTTGTACCGCCTACATCGATATTTGTCATGACACGGCCGAAAGACGTCGCATTCTACGCCACTGGGGATTCACTTGTTGTTGTGAGGCATGCGAGGCACAAGATCCAGCGCGCGAGGCTCGAAGAAGTAGACTGGAAAAGCTCATGACTACCATGCAAAGGAGAGAGAACAAGAGGTCTTTCGAAAACTGGGGCGTCTGGGACTACGCAGAAGCTCTCACCACTGTGGAAGAAATCATCTCCATCATGTTGGACGATGGCCTGGAAGAGACAGACACACTTGGCGAAGCCTACGAGAACGCGGCAACGTACAATATTGCTATGGATTGCAGGGAAGATGCTATCAAGTGGGCNCGAAAAGACCTGGAGATCGAACGTAAGTGCTGCGGCGAGGACAGCGCTGAATATGCCACAGCATTGGCATTGCTGGAATCTGCCCGAGCGATGTAGTATGGTGCTCGGAAAGGCAGATCAGCCTCTATATAAATACTGCTTGGGACATTGTTTAGACTACCAGCCAGCTATAGAGATGACAATTCTTTCCTCGCCAAAAAGATTCAGAGGGTCAATGAAACAAACAATGGCTCCCAATGAACATTTTTCCAGCACAAAATGGAGTTGTTACCATGATCACTACGGCTCGGTTCATCATCCAAAATCGTGACGTCGAGCGACCCTGACCTCTAAAGCTCCGAGGCATCGTAAAGCGACTCCGCACCAGCGAATGCCCTCGGGTGTTCATGGCATGACAAGGACTGAGATACAATTCAGTAATTTGACCATCCAGACACAAACAAGACCTCCCAAACATCTGCCCAGATTGCTACCATGCCTCTCCTGAACTTCTATCTGTTGCGCTTGAAGGACGATATCCAACCCCACACCTTCCTCGCTCACCTCCAGAAAGCCGACCCTTCCACCAAAGTGATAGTCGCATCAAAGCCACGCCACTTTGTTGTCAAGACCAACATTCAAGATGCTGATGTCTTGAACAAACCGTGGGACTTGATGTTGCTTCTCCAGGGATCTAAGAATTCACTCCCGGATTCTGTCTCACAGCACATCTCCTCCAAATACACCCTTCCTGTGGGTATACCGTCGAAGCTACTGTCTGCATATCCCGAGAAGAATGCAAGACTCATCAAAGAAGCTCCATCCGCTGGCTTGACGGGCTCGCTGGACAGCCCAAAAATGCCCGACTCGAGCCAGAAGTTAGAGCTGTCGCCTGATATGTTGGAGTTCATGGAGCAACTGCTCAAAGAACATGATGGACCCGTCACCATGTTGAATCTACTGAAGTTCAAACCTGATGGTAAACAAAGCTACTACCAGTACGGACAGAACTTCATTAAAGTGGCAGGGAAACGAGGCGGAGATGCAAAGATTGTGGGAAATGTTGTTGCTGCTGCTGATGGTGAGAAGAGTGGGTGGGATGAGATTGCCATTGTGCATTATGCTAGCATCAAGCATTTCTGTGATATGCTTGCTGGCGAGGATTACCAGGCTATCAATGAGAAGTTCAGACTTCCGGTAAGTGTTTGAATGCAAGCGAGAGTTCTCGGAATGATTTGCTGACTTGCGTCTAGNGCTTTGGAAGATACACTCTTAATATGTACAACTGAGTTTGGTGTCATGAAGACAAAGGCTAAGCTGTAGAAGTTTGTGCGGTCGTTTCGTAACCTATACACCTTTGTATTCGAATTTCGAGACCGCGCTGTTCCTCTGCTCATCTACGCCGAGGCCAAAAACTCTCCGACGCTACCAATACTGGTCTCGCTTTTGATTAAATGGGCGTGAACAACATCCTGGTCGCTGTTTCTTGCATCTCTTGCCGCTTCAGCCCAGGCAGCAGTGTGTGATGTCCCCGGCCTGACCATATGACTCTCGTCCGAAAGGCGAACCAACAACTGCTCTGTCTCAGTAGAAACCGCTGTGATTTGTCGTCGTATGTATGAAGCGTGCTGCATCAAGGCCGCTTCTTCTTGAGTAGTAGATCGGAGGATACCGATGTAAGGTAGAACTCTCAAAGCGAGCGCAGCATTGTTCGATTCATCCTTGTCGTTCGCTGACTGTTGTCTGTCAAGCAGAGGTTTGTCGGGTTCTGAGTTGGTCTTGACTTGAGTGTTCAGGACTTGAACAAGGCGTTCTCGTGAAGAGATGTACTTGCTGTAAAGATCCTGAAGTGTAATCTTGATCTCGTCTAGTGATTCTGTCCCACTATCTTCTGGCACGTCCATATCTGGATGCATATGTTCTTCATCCTCTGACAACTTTGAAAGCTCGCCCTCAATCCAACTTATCAGACCATCTCGAGCCTTTCGAAGAGCATATGCGCGTTTCCAATCTTGCGTGATGGGCTGTTGAGAAGAATTGATGTGTGACCTGGTCTGGATACTGTTTTGCGCACGTAGCACAGCTTTTTGCAGCTCGAAGACATGGGATTGTGCCTCAGCCAACGACTCATCTTGGGATTGTTGCGCAAGGGGTGGTGGTATTTGAGATTGCATACTGTTCAACAGCTCGCTTGGGTCCGCATATTGCGAAGTGTGCCTGACCTTCTCCAAGTTGTCCAGTGCCTTTTCGATGACCAGAAGTTTATCCCGTCGTTGTCTTTGACGGATGAGTGCTACAGTGTCGGCCACTGGGTTCTCGTGCTTCTCATCGCTTTCCTTTTCGCTCGGGGTATGCTGCAGGAGATCCAGTTCGGCTTTCAAGGCGTCGTACTGAGATTGTGCTTTTTGGCGTGCGATAAGTGCTTGCATGAAAGCCCTCCGTACACCATTGAAGGGGCTGTTGAGTGCCGACTGTGCAGATGTCTCTGTTGTAGGTAATGTTACCTTCGAGATTTGGACGTTAGAATCGTGGACATATTGGCTTAAGAGTGAGTCTATGCCACGTCGAATCTCTGCAACCTCCTCGCGCGGCCGTATATATGGTCTCAGAGCCTCTGCAAGCTCTGGTAGGGGACATTGCTCCACCAGGTTAGACATGATTATGTGTTGTTGTCGTTGTCGTTGTTTGTTGATATGTTGGTGGAAGATTGTTTGGCTTGGCGAACCATTCCGCACGTGGAACCTGTAGATCGAAAAGTAAATCGACTTTGAACATACGCAGTAACTATTACGATTTCATTACAATTTTCCAGGGTTCTCAAAATCTACTTCCCGCGCATGTCACTGCCGCTGTCTGCAGTTGCACTACTTGGTCGCTGTGTATCAACGGAACTCGGAAGTCTCGACGTAGAATCCAGGGCGACCCGGACCGTCCGAGTCTTGCAGAAACCAAAAGCAGTCTCCTGTGCTTGAAAAGGCATGCAACATGCTACCGACGAACATCCGCGGAAGCTGTAGCCGTAACACCCTGGTATAATTATAGGCGCCTGTAGGTGCACAATGGCGTCGACCTGATGTAATGTTCAGTCCATCAGGTGATTGCAGCAGCAGTCGCAGCGGCACCACCTCCCTGCTCACCATAAGCCATAAAACACCAAGACAATTTCTCCCCCAACATGAGGCCTCCCAAGAGTCTTCTAGCCAGCCACCATGACGGATGTACCGGAACATATGAAGGATTTCGTCACGGCGATGCAGCAGGTCTACCAGTTCCCCATGACTGTGGATGACAAGTAAGACATCCATCTAGCTGAGACATGTCTTCGCACTCGACACTGTGGTTGAGGATGTTTCGAGGCCGTATGATCAATCATACAAAATCTGATTTCTTTTAATAGGCTTGACTGGAAACCACCGCCACTGAAGGATGGCCATCTTGGTCGCTACTTATGGATTGACACGTTTGGTGTCCTCAATTTCATCACACTCTTCAAGGAGACAAAACAACCACACTTCCTAGTCTTGGCTGCGATACTCGTGGAAACCGTACATGACATACTGGGTCGAACGCGGGACCTATCTGCTCGACTTCCAGGAGCTTCGGATCAATCTCCGCTTGCGGGCGGACTGCGAATAGGCAAGAATGAAGCTTCCGGAGCCGATGGGGATGGACAATACCATCGCTACCTCACTTTGTGGATGTTCGCGCTCAATCGACTTTCCATTGCGACGGGCGAGATGGATTACAACAATCAAGCTGTATCATTAGCGAAGGCGATACATCCTGCATTTGTGTACCAGCGAGAGGCGTTGCATCCGCGTGTGGTCTGGTAAGCAGATACTGTATCGTCTTGAACATGGTCAATTTTGACCATAGTTGCAGGNAAAATGTCGATGGACTTGACTCATCCCTTAGGCGGTAGTGAAGGTAACTTGGATCCGATGACTGGCCTCGTCATATACCGTATCCTTCAACAAACCTGCGGTGATCCAAGAGTATTACAGGACGAGATCAGTGACTATCAGAGAGTCGTCGACCAAAAATGGAAAGGATACACTTCCTCAGATACTCTGAATCTCGGTCAGGCACTATGGGCTGCCCACTGGTATTCTGACCAAGACGCTTGGTCAAAAGGACTTGCAGATGCTGCTTTGCGTGGCATGCGGGTAGTTTTCCACGAGACACATTACCTGGACGTGCCGGTTGCTCAACGTCTCGCCTTTAGAGAATTTTCGACCTGTCTCGGCATTGGCGTGTATCCGACCCCTGACTTGGAACCTGTCTCTGCTCAAATAATCGCCGATTGGAAGAAAGCAGGTAGAATACCTGTTCCGACCAGGAATGCTGGACTGGAATGTCTTGAGCCGATCGATCTCGTTATGTTTGCTGCTGCATCATGTCCTGGAGCTTTCAAAAGAGGTTATCTGAGTTAATTTATAGTCTAATATTACGATTACGGCTGGTATCATTCCTCAATCTCATCCATGACATATGAGCGCATGCAGTTTCTAAGCCTTGAGGCTCTCAGTTGTGTCCTTCTTCTGCCTGTCTCTGCGCAGCGTCTTGATCTGCGTGCTTTGCTGGGTCAAACACATAGATCGGGAACTCTAGGAACAAAGTTCGCTTCAAGATGACAGGCATCCTCTTGTAAAGAGCTGGTGGGAAGGGTATGAGGATACTGGTTTGGTGCAGGTAAGCAGCATACTCATTCCAGCCTTCGCCCTTCTCGTATCTCTTCTTTGCTCCGGGACGTTCTTGCAGGGTCAGACCAGACACGAACATCAACAACATTGTCAAGAAGACTGGTCCAATGACGCTGGCGAATAGAGCTGCCTTTGCCCCGCCGTGCACGTAGTTGTAAGATGCGGGAGTAACAGCGAGCATGTAGATGGNCTGCAAAAGGTTAGAGTGTGCATACCAGAAGGCATCATCTAACAGAAGCTTACAGAATTGGATGAGGATTTCAGCAAAGTAGTTGGGGTGACGAGACCAGGCGAAGAAGCCCTTGTTGCAGACAGCGCCACGTTCCTTGTGAGTTTGTTTGAATCTGTACTTCTGAATGTCGCTGACGGTCTCCATGATGATACCAATACCGAAACCAATGACGGCCAGAATGTCGGTGGCTTTGTTGAAAGCAGGTTGTCGGTATTGGTTGACAATCGGGCTGTTCAAGATAGTCACAGGCATACTGACAGTCCAGANCCTAAACACACAAGTCGTTAGTGAAGCACAGCAGGCTAACAACGATCGACTCACCCAGAGTGTTTGGAAAGTATAGAAACCCAACATTGGCAGGACCTTTCCACGTTTGTCATCAAAGCGGTCGTCCTTGCCAGTCTTGATGATACGGAAAAGCAAGAATCCTGCAAGACGTGCTCCCCAAATCATGATGAAAATGCTGTCGACAATTTGGCGGGCTTCGTGCTGGCCATACATGGAAACCGTGATGATTGCCAGTAAGACAAAATTGGTGCCACCAGCAACATCGTTCAGTTGATCAGTCTTGAATCCAACAGAGATAGCGAAGAAAATGGCTTGATATCCCAAACAGATCAAGAAACTGATGGCGAGATAGTAGTTATCGAGGACATGAACCAGTGCCATGTTTCTGCTCGGCTCTGGCTGAAGCTTCTCAGCCTTGACGTGGGATGGAGATTTCGTTTATTGTATGAAGAAATATAATGTGTTCGACGTGGAATTCGTGCTAGATGATCGGATCTGCAGGGAAATGGTATACAAGAACTATTCAAGGGTCCTTCTCTGTGCTTTTTGTTGCAGCCTGCGGATGTCGAAGGAACAAAAAGCCAAAAGTCCATGTCGTCATTAAGCCAAGTCTCAGTCAGGCATCCCTTTGCCAAGCCTCACGATACAGCGCGGAGAATGAGATCTGATGGGGTCTGACATTTGTCTCTGAGATCCAAAACCTAGAATCTGACAAGGCGCAGTGGTCTAGGTCTGCTCCTCCAAAGTCAAATAAGAAGTGCAAACTTGAGAGTGCATACCTCCTCTGGAGACCGAACTTCGCCAGTTGCAGAAAGAAGAAGGACCCTGGAAGTGCCATGTGAGAATCAGACAAAGAAAACGTGAGATCAACTGATGATTCTCCTCCATGTGCAACCCACGTGAAGATGAGCGCGACTATCAATGATCGTCTCTGCGCAACCTCAACTGATGTCGGTCTTTGTTTCCAAATCATCAAGTCGATTATGAAGGACCGAAAAGACAAGATTGCGAGATGCGACAAACGGAGTCGCAGCCGCAAGAATATTGCGCAGGATCTACTGTCCTCCCCGTGTAGTAAAGGATGTAACGCATATAGCTATAGAAATGCACAATAGTAATACGAAACAAGATAGTATCCATTGAGAAGCGTCAAATTATCGACTCTCTGTGGACGAGCCTCTACTTCTTAAGCAATTGTGCCTTTTTATAGTCTACATTTTACTCTTAGCTATAGTTGGAGTATGGTGGAAGTCATAGACTTTAGTATATAGGGAGGTATATGTCTCTGGCACGGTCATGGAGTTGGCAGTCATCGCGGACACGAAACTGTCCAAAGAACAGATCGATAGCCACATGGAGCCTGTAGCATACCGTCCCACTGGAGAGATATTGACTAATTCCAAGATTGATGAGCGATGTGACAATAATTTTGCTACTCCTGGCTCCAGGTCTATCAGGAATCTTCATGTCCATGCATTGATCGTTACAAGCACTGAAAATGGTACGCGCAACACGATGAGAACATCGCCGGTTGCGGAGGACAACGAGTCAATTGGCTAATCGCAAATCTAGTGTTCGTACTTGCAATAAAATATCTCATCCCTACTGCATACGAATCATATTGTTGGTGGAAGAAATGTCAAGGACATGAACCGAGCTTCATCATTTCAAATGGACATTCAAACGTGCAGTCGATCATCGGTGAAGCAGACATCTTGGAGTAATAACTGGCGACAACAATAGACAGCGTTGGTGGTCCCCCCTTCATCCGATCCCATGTAAGCCTTCTCCAAGCTCGAGACGGAGGGTTGAAGGTGTGACAGTCAGCGGATCTATCCACAACGACCATAACGCATCTAACGATGTGTGGAGTTGTCCACGCAACACAGAGGCACAGCAAATAAGGAGTGTGGGATGTGCGATGGTGTGTCGGACTCGGAACGCGCCTACATGATACATCTCGTATCTGCATGGGTCCATCCTGGAGAAGTTCAGACCCCCTCCGAGATTTGTGATATGCACTTTCATGAAGCCTCTACGTGGTCGGTGGAAACGGGGAGAAAGCCGCAGGATAACAGAGGCACGGCTCATGACTGATGCAGACAGTGCCAGACACACGGCTTATTCGATTATCGATCACATCTTTCGATTCTTGACATGGCCGTCTTCATCAAGGTTACCCCACTGCGTACAGAAGAAACAAAAAGTGATAAATTGTCGTTACCGTAGCGGTGGATACACTTTCCATTTAGTACAACGGGACGGCATGATTGCTCATGGGGCCTGACGCAGGTCGTGGTTCTTGTCCGGTGATTATGCTTGAATTGGTGCTTGTCGTCGATGTAGGTGGTCGAGCCTCTCATCGCAATACTGTGACACCGTCATCAGCATCATTGTATGTCACCTATAAGAAAGCCAAATTTGCAAAACAAAAAGGACGAAAAGACAAATCGTCAACATGAGCCATGCAATAGCCGCAAGTAGCTCGAACAAGGCCTGCCCATGTCAGCAATCTACGCACACTGGTTCGAACAACCAGTCTTTGAATCCTGGAACTCTTCATGAACGTCACACTCGGAGGAGTTACATCATCGTCGACCATCTCGTTCTGTGCTCAGAACCCCGAGTGTGTGGTTAGGTCCCCGAGTGGTCGTGTGTGGAGGGTGCTTTGCGCCCTTTCGGAGTCCCAAGACTTTGTGTCATGGATGGAAAAACCACCGACATGGCTAATCATTTCCGTCTCGGGGAGCGTCGCTTGCAGACCGAAGTGCTATGATTGGCCGTAACGTCCCACAACCTGACCCTTGGGTCCTCAGCTCTGGCCATCTCGAAGGCCATTTCCCTGGCCCCTCGTATTACACGCGTCATTTGGGCGCGCTCTTCAACCGAACTTAGCCGTCCAAGGGCCAAGGGGATTCGACTCTCCTCTCGAGGTGCGACCCCGTTTGGCAAGCCTTAGACGTTGATGGCGTCGTTTAGCGCACCCTCTAGCTCCGGTCAAGCAACGAGTCATGTTTTGGCAGGTCTAAATCAGCAGCCTCATAAGAGTCATGAAACCATAATATGTCGTGCTCGGTGGAACGGACGTCACGATAAGTACTTTCATTCAAGTTGTTGCAAGTTCATATTTCGTAAGATCTTGTGGTATTGTGCCACGTCTGATTTAGTAGCTTCTCTTTTGGTTACTATTGTACAAAATATACCACCAGTCTTGAGTAGAAAGCAAAAACAATGAAGCTGCGCCATGTACTCCTGTAGTAAAATCCACAAAAAGCCATCTCCAAATCCATGGGTATCATGTAGAAAGTGTAGCGATTGACGATGAAAGGTATTAGTGTTAAGCGGTTCATGGTCCAAACTCCAGGTTGGACAAGAAGGAATACAGCCATCTGAATGTCAGGTAGGCGCATGAATGACGCCAGCGTATTCTGGCATCGGAAGGGTGGACCGGGTCGTAGAGGACGCAGTGTCCAAGCCAGATAATAATACAGATGATACAATGCGAGTCATCAAAAAGGATCAAGGTGATTGATCGAGAGTGTTGAAGATGAGGTTTATGTCAGACGCAAGCAGTAGCGCTGCGTGCTTACTCGTCATCCGGAGAGGCGTGCGAGTCTTCACCCTTGTGCACCTTGCGGTGGCGTCTGAGGTTGGAGACGACTGAGAAGTGGCGGCCACATCCCTCAACGTCGCAAGCGAATGCTATAACAAGGTTAGTCAACTTGCAAGCAAGATGTGGTGGTAGATGTGAGACTTACGCTTNTTCGCCAGTGTGGCTGTACATATGGGTCTGAAGAGAGCTAGGACGAGTGAAGCGCTTATCGCAAATCTTGCACTTGTGCTTCTTCTGCGAGCTCGAAGAAACCTTTGAGCTGAACTGACCCATCATGGATTGAGGGGCAGGGGGCATAGTGACACCACCTGCGAGGCCAGTGGGACGAGGCAATGTGCGAGATGATGTGTCGACAGACTCGCTGGCTGAGCTGTAGTCACCATATGAAGCCTCGCTGACAGAGCCATAGTATGATGAAGGGTAGGTGCTGGCCGACGAGATGGAGGAGTGAGCGGAATGTGTCGAAGGGAAGCCATATGAGTCGGATGAACTTCTGCTCGAGCCCTGGTTTCCATAGATGTTTCTAGGGGTGATGTCCTGGCTCATGGCGACCATGCCTCTGCTGGCATCAAGGGCATCGCTGAAGCTGTTGCGCTGCTCAGTCTCGTTGGAAGCCGCACTCAGTCTGTTGACGTCAATTAAACTGCTCTGGCGGTGCTTCTGGGCAAGCACGGGGTTTCCGAGGAAACTGGTGGAGGCTACTGACGGGTGCGAGGAGCGACGATCCTGGTTGTAGGAAGCATATGATGTGGTGTTGGGGTACTCTCGAGCGTACTGAGGAGCAGAAGTCGGGGCGTACAGAGCGCCAGATGAGGGACCAGAGGTAACATAGGTGGAACCATAGGGACGAGGAGCACTGAGACCGTCTTGGACTGGTAAGCTGGATTGCGCGTAGAGAGCATCCAAAGAGTCAATACCTGAAGCCAGAGTAGGAGCCGGCATGGCACTTGAGTGCATGGGCATGGTCACACTAACACTGGGGGCTCTTGCCACCAAGTGATGTGCGCCGGGATCGCTGACCATCGAAGGTTGAGGCAACGAGGTAGCATACATGTGGCTCGGCGCGGGACCGGATACCCATGGGTTGGTGAAATGCGGCGCGGGGTAGCGCAAGTGGTCGTAAGACAGGCCAGAGACCTGCTGGCGGTTGTCGACAGCCATTGCCATTGTGGATAGAGAAGCAAGAAGGATTGAGAGGGGAAGGGTAAGGAAGGAACAATGATTGATGGAGTGTGGTTGTGGTAGAGGGTGAGGCTCGCAGCGCGTGTCGATGGTTTAAGGATCAACGCTGGAGATGGGTTCACAAGAACGTGGAGAGGACGATCAGTGTGCGTCCAACGAGGGGATCAGCAAGTTTATGTGTTTCGGCTTTCTTCTGAGGGCAGCAACCTCAGGTGTCGCGTTCAGGTGCGGGATTTGCTAAGCCTCTGATGGTGGTCTCCCCGAAAAGCTTAATCGCCAGGGAAAAGATGCTAGGGCCAGCAAGAAGCTCGAGGCGATTTCGGACGGAGGGTAGATGAGGTTGGGGTGCTGATAGGAGACGAGTCTGAAAGAGGCAAAAGATTTCTCGTCTTTGGGTCTTAAGACTTGTGCGGAGGCCGTAGTCGTTTCAAGTCTTGGTCAAAAGGTGGGCCTGTTCATGAAATGTAGAGGATCACCGACGACGATCAGCGGGGAGCAGAGGTAGAAATACGCACCTGCCTCAGCGAGTCACCACTGACGTCGACTTACAGGCCGATGTGGCTGTTTTAGCTCCCTGCAGGGCTCAACCTTAGCAGCCAATCGCCATCGACTGCCTGTCTCCACCATGTCCATTCCTAGCCTTGTTTAGCGCAGCGGCCTCTCTTGACTCGTTAACCTATGGCTTTTCGACTGTGCATACATATCTCCGAGTGTGAGCGGTTCATTGATTGAGATTCACCTTGTGTCAAAGTTTTACACTGCCACCTCCACATCTTTAGGTTGGCTTCCTGCTATCTCTTCTGGCCTTGCTGCTGACGCTGTTGCTGCTCCAAGCACCCTCCTCTGCTCACCATAAGAGATTGCCAACCTGTCGCTCCGTTTACCTGGAACTTGTCCTGTGCATTGTGCGGCATTATCCTAGTGTTTGTTTACCTTCTGCCTTTTGCTGGCTTCAATTCCATTCTATCTCGCCCGTTGCTTGCTTCAGCTTTGCGAACCGTCCGGCGAGTTGACTTTCGACTCGATGCTGTTTGCCTCTTCTCTCTCTGCCCCTCCGGGAGTCTTTCGTACGAGAGCAAAAAGCCGTTGTCGGATTCAGTCCCTCTCACCTTTGACTGGCTGGCAGCTGGTGACGCTTGGACATGGCGTTTGGCTGGCAGGTTTGGTGGCTTACGGAGGTGGAGATTCCGTCTGAAGCTAAGACATTAACCATAATGTAGCCCATATCCCCTTGTCTTGTTCGTTGCCAGCAACGCCATGATTTCCTTGGGTTCATGCTTCCAAGCCACTTGTAGCTGCTTAGCTGCGAGAGGCATGTTTCGAAAAACGCCGCAGCCGTAATCGGGCGTGCAAGCGTCCCAGCGCTTCATCGTCATGCCCCATTCGGATTCCCCCAATAACCACCCGTCACTGACTCTTATACACTTTATGGCGTTTTCTTTTGCCCTTCGCCTAGAGAGCGTGAGGAAGCCACAACGGTTCATGGCCCACAACGTTGACAAAATCCATGGTACTGCGATTAAAGATTAGTGGAAACATTGCTTGCCACAAAAGTCTGAACAGAGCGACGCTTGTCTGCCCAGGAAATCGTTGCGGTCAAAAGGCACACTACATGCCGATCGTTCCGCCAGCCACACTTTAAGTGCACCGCTCTTGTTCGTACCCCTCGAGCGTAGTAACCCAAGGTTGCAATATGCCGGTCGGGACTTTTGCTCCAGCTTCCATGTGACGGCTCTAAGAAGTAAAATAGACCCAAGCTGTACGAGGTCGAAGCTGCCCTTTCCCCCAACGGTCGCAGAAAACACACTCAAGAGCGTTCTTGCTTGATTGGTGGCGTTCCTAGACAAGAATGCTCAGGTGCGCGTGTGATACATGCGTACGACGGGCTGCTAGTTAGCTGCATCTGAGTTGCTTGCGCTCCTTGCGCCGAGTGTTCGCCCAAATTGGGCACCTCACAGTCCCCCTTTCTGTTCTGCTATGGTCCTTATCTGGTCTGCGATTCATTCAACATGACTCCTTTTGCACTTGCTAGTCCTGTCAAATGCGGGATCTGTCACGCGCTACATGGGCCTTTTTAGATGCGGCTGATAGTCGGGGTCATTCCTGGTAAGGCTTCGTGAGATAGAGTTGGGCCAGAAATGTGGACTTGCGTGTCGTGCGAACGGAGCACTTCCCATGTGCTCTCAACATGTCCGAGCGACGACGGTCGATTCCCCGACCCATCTCGCTGGTGTTTGTCTGGACCATTTTGGCTTGAAATGATAGATGGCATATCCCATGCGACCTTGGTGGTTATGGACCCAGTGTCTTGGCCACGGTGGGATCGCTCAAACCTTGTTTCCCGTGTCGTCCACATGCGTGTGCCCACCTCTTCAACTTCTACGTCCGTAAAGTCGTTATCTGGAATACCATACCAGTCTCTGTGTCAATTCTTTCTTGCTCATACCTCTCTTCCATTTGTGCGATCGGTACGGTCAAATTTATTGGAATTGGTTGCATGCCAAGTTCAGCTCCCCTGTCGAATGGTCCGAGCAGAGAGATAGTGTTCCAAGCATCCACACGACATGACAGGGGCATGCTCAATTCGAATGCCCACGTGCAGATGTCTGCACAGTCAAGAACTTCGTTCACTTGATTCTATTGACAAGGATTACAGTCAATGCTATTGTATGCACGGCCAATCTAATCCAACCATGCATCCTGTAATAGGGCCTTTGACTAAACGCGTGACCTACCCCTTTCAGCCATGTTCCATGCCAAAACGCCCAATCCCATTCCTCATCTCGTATTGCAGCGACGTCGTATATCCATCATTCTGGCAAGACTGTCTTGTCACCATCGGACTTCAATCGTGTCCCCAAAGATGGTCTCCCTACGCGCTGCGGGGCATTACTGTCAACAGTCACATCTAGGCTGGACGTATCCACATCTTGCTGCGTGACGTGGCTCAAGGGTGCGTTTCGAGTCAGCTTCTCAATGTTCTCACGTGTGAGCTTCGAAGGCCGAGTCTCGATTCCCTCGTCTTGAGTCGCTGTCTCTCCCAATACGCCGAGCAGCTTCTTAGGCGTGGCTGCACTTGCGAACAATTGTTGGTCACGTAGTTGCATCGCCTTCTCTTCGTTGCGTAAGCGGTCCATCGAACGACTCTCTGCCGTCTCTGCAGAACGTGCAAATACTGTATCGTTCTGGAAGTTGAGTTTGTTGAGCTTAGTCGCAAGAACGTCTGATGCTCCTTGGCCAGGTGCAGGTACAAGCAGATCAGCTGGTGTCTTCGGCTCATCCTGCTGAGTGCCTGCGAGGGGAGCTGAGGGAAGTGCAGGCGGAAGGACATCTATGGGTCCTGGAGAAACAACTGGGTTCGATGAAAGGGCCGCCTTACGTTTCTTCTCGACGGCCCATTTCAACAACATCTGCTCCAAAGTCTTACCCTTTACAGGCTTTGCCAAATAGTCGTTCATTCCAGCATTCTCACACTTTTCTCGATCACCTTGAATCGCACTCGCAGTCATTGCGACGATAGGCGTGTTTTGAATCTGTTGGTCGGCAACAAATGGCTCACAATGCCTTATGGTGTAGGTCGCCTTGTAGCCGTCCATGACAGGCATTTGTACATCCATAAGAATAACATCCGGCCTCGGGCGGTCTGAGCTTTCTGGTTTGCTGAGATAATCGAGTGCTTCTTGTCCGTTCCATACAGCATTGACCGAGAACTTGAGCTTCTTGATGGTCTTCAATGCAATTTGTTGGTTGATAGGGTTGTNCTGAGCGTAATCGGTCAGTAGTCTGTCGTATAACTCTGAATCACATCACAAACCTTCAACAACCAATACGTGTGTGTTCCGCCTTTCCTCATCCGAGAGTACGAGAGGCATATCAAGTTGGGCAGGAGAAGCTCGTCGCGAATCAATAGAAGCTTGACGAATTCCAGGTTTCAGCGGTGAACCTGGTGGCTGTGGTCCGCTATATTCTGAGATTGATAGCTCAGATTGCAATCGGTGTGGGATCGGGCCCATGTCCAGTGGTGGCGAGTCGCCTGAGAGATATGGTGCCTTGTTGAAGGGGATCCAGAACGATGCTTTCGTGCCGAGACCTAAGGAGGATTCGAGTGAAATCTCACCATGCATGAGCTCAACCANACTGTTACAATCAGTAAATGCACGACAAGGATGCCCGGAGATACCACTCACGTTCTTGCTGATGGTCAGACCAAGACCAGTACCACCGAAGCGTCTAGCGGTGCTGGAATCGGCCTGAGAGAAAGGCTGGAAGAGCCTTTTCCTGACCTCTTCTTCGATACCTATACCAGTATCTTCAACTGTAAACTGTACAGCAACAGTCTCTGCGGTCTCCTCTCTGATCTTGACCTGCATCGTAACGCTTCCTTCGGAAGTGAACTTGATTGAGTTGGTAAGGAGGTTTGTCAGGATCTGCCTCAGTCGGCCTGGGTCGCCCATAACCTTGAGGCGTTCAAGCTCTTGTGTTTCGTCGATATACATCAGGCCCTTGCGCTCAGCCGCGAACGTGAGCATTTTGTTAACATCGCGAACAACAACGTTCAGGTCGAACTGGACATCCTCAATGTCTAGTCGGCCACTTTCGACCTTGGAGAAATCCAGAATATCGTTGATCACAGTGAGTAGGCCATTAGCAGATCTTTGTAGATTTTCAGCGCATTCGCGCTGCTCCTCGGTCAAAGTGCCTTCGGTATCGTCCAGCAAGAGTTCGGACATGCCAATGACACCCGCGATTGGTGTCCGAATCTCATGCGACATATTGGCNNTGGTGCATGTTAGCAAAAACATGAATGCCAATCTCGTGATAGTTTTTATCATACCTAGGAACTGCGATTTCATCTTGCTTGCTTCCTTCGCAGCTTCACTCTGAGCGAGCAGGCGTGAGTTTTCTCGGTCACGCTCACGTAGTTGTTCTTCTCTCTTTCTCAAATCTGTCACATCCATACTGACAGCAACGACACCATCGACAAAAGCATCACCCTCAACGCCAGCATTGCGTTCGATACGCTGGAGCGGAACAAACCTTGTACGGATCCACCTGTTGGTCTCTTTGACATGCAGTTCAGTGGTTTCGTCGATTTGTTTGCCGATAAGGATGTTTTCAATGTATTCCCTGTGATGGTCACCATCCAGAATGGCATCTTTGTCAAAGAGCTCGAAAACATTCTTGCCAATGGCCTTTTCTCGAATCTCGTCGTCAGACATTTTGGAATTGTCATTCCAGACGATGGCGCCCTCGAGCATGGATAGATTGCGCTCAGGGTTCACCGACCATAGCGTAATTTTGGCCATTTCAATGACTTGTGAGAGTCGGAGCCTCGTCTGCCGTGCGTCCTCTCGAGCCAGTACCAATTCGTGAATGTCAGTGCAGGTACCGAANNCCTGACATTGTTAGCTCTAAACGAACAAGGGGTGGGAAAAGTAGAGTGCTCACCATTTGACAATTTTGCCGTTGTCATCCTTCATTGGCACAGCTCGTCCTAGCATCCAGCGCCACTCACCATCGCCAGAACGACATCTATATTCTGTTCTGTATTCCTCTCCACTCATAAGACTGTGCGTCCATCTTTTGACTGTCAGACCCATATCATCTGGATGGAAGGGGAGCTCCCATCCATTGCCCAAACTCTGCTCAGGCGTAAGACCAGTGTATTCGTACCATCTCGCCGAGAAGTAGTCGTGCTGACCGGTTGGAGTTGTCGTCCAGATCATCTGTGGAATCATATTGGTAATGTCCTCAAACTGACGTTCGTTCTGTACTTTCTGAGCAGTGATAGTATTGGCATATTCAGTAACATTGTGGAAAATGACAAGACCGCCAAGGAATTCGCCAGTTTTGTTGTCGTTGATTGTTTCGCCGTCAACATCGTAGATTATCCTCGCGCCTGTCTTGGGATGGTGCATGCCGACACGTCTGCCGGTGTATCGCTTTTGTGTCGTCATGAGATGCATGATAGGGAATTCGCTCATAGGTAGTAATTCAGAGAAATCTTCCTTCCATAGAATGTAGTTTGAGAGGAAATCGCGCTGGTCCCGGACTCCAGTGGGGCTATCATCGCTGTCTGGGTAGACCATTCTTATCGCGGCTTTGTTAGGAATTCCAAAACTCTCATCCTTCCACATTGCAAAAGCCGGGTCACTCAATGAATTCAATAGAGCATCTTTTAGACGATTGGACTTTGAAAACAGCGACGGCGCAGCAGCAGAGGCGGTTAGGGAAGGGGGTCCACTTGGCAAAGTTGAGGGAGCAAACACCGAGGGACTGCCAGAAAGACTTGTACGATGTTGGTGTTGAGTGCGACGACCACTCGAACTAGAGCTCGATCCAGAGCCCAAACCAGAGGAGAAGGTGGTGTGGGTTCTGGCAACGGTTCGATGGCTCGAGCGGGAGGAGGAAGATTGGGTCTCGGCGGCAGAGGTGAAGACCAAAGTATAGTAATCTACATCATCGGCAGACCAGACAGTAATGATGACGGTGGCCTGGATGTGGCCCGATGCATCGTGATTGACCTCCTTGGTGCGCGGAAGACCTGTGATGGGGCTGCGGTTGGTGGAGAAGACAACATCGACGGCGGCGTCATGTACAGTGGTACGGGCGAGATTGGCGCGTGTCAAAGGTACAGGACTTGATTGCACAGCTGCTGAACCGTCGTATGTCTCTGCAGTGGGTGTAATGTCACCACCGTCAGACTTGCCTTCTGACTGGGCACTGGCATCGATGGCATCTTGTTTGATAGAGTTGAGGAAGTCTTCCCATCGCATCCACACGGGATTCGCGTTCTGGAGAAGGTCCATACCGAGGCAGTCCATGGGCACACCAGCCAAGACATCGCTGGCACTTCTGACCTCCTCGTGCTCGTTCGCTCCAGTGTTGTCTGGTGTTGTTTGTTGCTGCAAGTCTATACCAAGTAGTCTACCCAAAGCCTCATTGGCAAGCACAACCGTTTTCTCGCTCGAGAGGACCAAGACGGGCATGGGTAGGTACTGCAAGGCAGTGAAGGCGGTATCGGTCATGCTGGGGCCCGAGGGGATTCTGATGGACAGCGGAGAGGAGGGCGAGTGGTCTCGGTAGCCTTCGTCGCAGGCATTGGAAAGGTCGAAATAGCCACCGGCGCTGGCAGCCGACAAGTCGTCCAATCTCATGTTGGTCCTCTGTCTGGGCGAGGGAGACGGCTGCCTCGTGTGTCGGGGTGCGTCTGAAGCCATGTCGTGGAAAGAGGTTGCGACGCTATGGCGCGCGCATTGCCTGACTGTCTCGACGAGTCGCTGGTGGTCGTCGGCGGAGGCGGTGCAGAGACCGTGAGAGGATCAGAGGGCGGTATTGTCGCTGAAAATGCGGACAGCCGTCAAGTGCGGGAGTGGCCGGCTGTAGAACTCCTGCTCAAGTGTTGAACGACAGGTCCGTACGTGCGCCGCTATCTAACAAGGTAGCTTCCAATACTCTGCCGACGTTTCAAAACCTTATACAGCCCAGGAATGCAACAGAGAATGCCCACTACTGTCTGATCTACTGTCGTGCCGACCTATGATATCCTATGGCCTGTGTAGCTTTCTGTTTAACCGAGAGAAACAGCCTTCACAAATATCGAGCGCTGGAAAGCACAGCGAAAAGGCAATCCTCCCTCGTGAGCGATACGGAGATGGATTCCTGGAGCGGTTGACGCTTTGACCGAGATCTTCTGTTCTAGAACGCGTGGAAAGACAACGAAACGAATCCTTTTCTCCTAAAATCCGCGACCAACCACGACGGTCGCATATGTGATAGCGGTTCCGCTGGATAGGCAATCGCATGGTCGTCCATCTTGTTCAGGGCTGAAAGCACAGGTCTACTAATCGCTGAGCAACCTTGACTCAAAGAGAGCACCTTCCTTTTGTTGTCTTTGTCGGGAGCGGGAGGCTGGGGCGCTCTCGCACCGACCACTTGATCGACTTTCTTCGCCAAAGCTCCTCAAGTCGATCAATTCTGTGGTGACAATCAAGTTGAATCAACCACCCAACATGCCCTTCACGATACAGCAGTGTGCAATACCTGCAGTAACCTTTCTTATCTGCCTAATAGCATATCCATCGCTATGGTTGCTTCGACGACTCGGTCCTCAACCCCTGACAAGACAGCAATCCATCATACTCCATGTATATGCTTTGGTGATCCTGTTTTGCTACTACAAGGCGTGCTTTACAGATCCTGGTAGAATTCCGAAAGATTGGATCCCAAAGTCGAGCGAAACAGCCAAAGAGAATCCCCGGGACAGAGTGCAACGCCAAAGATGGTGCCGTAAATGTCAGGCTTATAAGCCCTCACGAGCTCATCACTGCAAGACATGTGAAAGGTTTGTCGCTTCTTGAGATATAGCACATTTGGCCTCGAGTCTAACAACACAAGGTGTATCCCCAAGATGGNNATCACCACTGGTAGGTCTCATCTATGTCTCTTCCTTGGTATCGTTCTCACTCCTCAGCCCCTGGACAGCCAATTGCGTTTCCCACACTACTTTTCCGCACTTTGTTCGCTTCTTGTTCTATGCCGTCGCTGGTATGTCGCATCTTGGATGTCTTCTCTGGTCACGAATGTATCATCTTTGGACACAGAGAGATTTGCCGAGTGTATGTAGTCACATGCTGTAAATCTAGCATCGGCTCATTGTTGTTTAGTATCTTGGTCCAAGCCCCACCTTATTATTCGGTCTTTTCTTCATCACCGCCTTGAACTCTTTGGTCGTCTTTGCGCTTTTCATCCTGCTTGTTCGCACACTGTGGTGCTTGGGTGCTAACACAACCACTATCGAGGGCTGGGAGATCGAGAGACATGAGACGTTGCTTCGCCGTGCTAGGTACCTTGGCGGAGTTCTCGAAGGTCCTAACGGAACCAAAATACGCATCACCAGGCAGGAGTATCCATGGGACATCGGAATCTTCTCAAATATTGCTCAAGGTATGGGTAGCTGGAATCCTCTTGCCTGGTTCTGGCCTTTCTCATTTACTCCGACTGTTGAGAGTGGGTTAGAGTTCGAAGACAACGGTATTGAAGGTACGTGTATGCTGACACGTAACTGATACAAGGCTGACACGTCGCANGCTCCTGGTACTACATGGCCGCCACCGGACCCGGACCGAATGTTTCGTATGGCGCCTACAGAGAGAGCGTTCGATCCTTCCAACGCCTTCACTCATTCTATGGACCCGGAAGAGGTTTACAAGAGGCAACAAGCTGATCGCATGCGACCCTCTCCTATTACAGATACTTCTGAGCTTAGACGCAGGCAGCCCTTCCACGTGCGGTACGACAAGAAAAATGTTCAAAAACGGCGCGATGAAGACTATGCATATGTCACTGATTACGAATCCGATGGTGAAGAACAAGAGCAGGAGACCTATGACTGGCAACCAAAGCCAGGAGAAGGTGAAGAAGGCTGGCGAAACTCGGAGGGTGAGAGATTAGACGACTTCGGCGTTGACGAAGACGTCGAGTTCTACGATGAGGACGAAGTACCTCTTGGTGAGTTGATGAGACGGAAGAACTTGGCCAATAGTGGCTCGACATACTGAGCAACCATATGCGTTCGTCTTGTTGACGACCTGAGTGGTTGGTAGCATGAATGCCGATCGCGGAGTCGACGCCCGATGTCGCAACACATGCTCACCTCCGCAGTTACTTCTATGAGGTCGATATAGAGTATCAACCCGGACACCTCAAGTCATTTCATCTCGTAACATATCATATCTCCACAAGTCTGTTAGCATGAGCCAACCTAGTGACAAATGGTCCTCTGAGGTATGTCTATTATACATCTTCTTGTCTGAGGGCTTCATATAGTGCAGACGACAGCAGGCAGAGATGCTTAGCTATCTAAATGTGTTAACGACTATCATCCGTTTTGGTGTTCTGCTTGAAGCGCGAGGAACAAAACTGTTGCTCGAGATCCTGACACATACAGGCCTACTCAGCAGCCGCAGGCTTCGTGCCAAAACTCACTACAACCGTTCTTTCCTACCTCGCACCCAAACCAACCGACAAGATCCTCGACATTGGCTGCGGTGACGGGCCTCTGACCGCTCAAATCGCTGCATCCTTGCCTCGAGGCCAGATTCTCGGTCTTGATGCCTCGGCCTCCTTCATCCAAACAGCTCAAGACAAGAACTCAAGCCAAAATTGCAACTTCAAACTCCAAGATTGTCGCCGTGTTGCTGAATGTGCTGAAGCTGTCGATGGCAGCTGGGACAAAGTATTCAGCAATGCTGCACTCCACTGGATCCTTCGCGACCCTAGTACCAGAGATGCAGTATTCAAGGACATTCACTCTGCTCTAAAACCAGGCGGTGCGTTTGTATTCGAAATGGGAGGGAAAGGCAACGTGGAGGCCGTTCACGCAACCATACTCTCTGTTCTCGTTGCCAACGGCATATCCCTCTCCACTGCTCGAGAGGCATGTCCTTGGTTCTTCCCCAGCAATGTGTGGATGACACAACAACTCCAAAAGTCTGGCTTTGAAGTCGAAAAGTGCGAGTTGGAATACAGACCTACCAAATGTACTGCCAAATCTGCTGATGGATCTGGCGGTTTGGAAGGATGGGTCAAGTTGATGGGTGCAGAGATGTTGAATGTGGTGGAGGAAAACAAGCGAGGGGATATCGTCAGGCAAGTCTGTGATGTGTTGGAGACTGTGGTTACGCGAGAGGAAGATGGAAGTCAGTTCTTGAATTATGTTAGACTGAGGGCTGTGGCTCGCAAGATTTAGTCATGTTGGTCGCGGGGACGATCCAAGACTTTCAAGAGTATGAGGATGTCTCAATGCTTTCCAATCGCCTATCAGAGTGTTCGTTGGGCTAACTTGCGGACGCATGTGTTTATATCAAAGCTCTCCCAATCCAGACCCACAATTTCTATAACGGATTGATCTGTATCTTCTCAGCGGCAAGCACACGACACTTACAACCACAGATACATACATATTGGCACCTATTGATCCACTGCGGAAGTGGTATGTAGCCTAAAAATCACTGAGCGTGGAGCAAAGAGAGGATGACTGGGACATATCATGGTTGAGGGAGCGACCCTGACATAGTATCGGCATGCCTCCAGCTGTTGATTGCCCAGCACACTAGCTCCAAAAGGTTGTGCAATTCAACCCTTCCCCAATCCCAGAGTACAAGGGTGTTTTAAGCTACTGAGATGCACAGCTGCGTCCCGAAGATGAGTCTAGCCTTAGAGATAACTTTGTTGGGCCTCTCAATGGAAACAACCTTCCTGATGAAAGTATTGTGCATTTTTATAGCTACACCGTGACAGTCTTTGGCACATGGGGATGGTCCAAAGGCGTTTCGGAAGCCACGACCACAAGCCGACCCCCTTCCTCTTACTTGTTGACCAGACTCAGACGGCAGGGCATGCCCTCTCGTGGCTTCGCAGTACCAAGCTGGATCTGGTAAGCTTTCTCGCCAAACTGTTCCTGCACGCCGCTCAGACTACTAGGATAGCCCGAGCCATCATTCTTCAGCTTCTCTACTTCTGCGAATGCCTCGTGGAAGTCGAACTGGCGTATAGTCATGGCAAGGACCGTTTTCAGCTCTAGCATTGCCAGTTCTTGACCAATGCAGTTACGCGGGCCCTTAGCGAAAGCCATGAAAGCATCACGATTTGCTGCGCCTTTGGAACCGTCTTCATCAACCAGCCAACGTTCCGGTCGGANAGAGTAGAAGTCCTCGCCCCAGAGCTTCGGGTTCACCATATGGCCGAGGTTGTGGCTCCAGAGCAACCAGCCATCTGTAGGATAGCGTTCGCCCGTGTCCGGGTCGGTGATGAAGAAGCTAACGACACGTAAGTAATGTGGCAGACAATTTGAAACTGTCACTTACTCCGGAGCTCCAGCACGGACAGTGTTTGCAGGTGGGAATATCCTCAATGTCTCGCGCACAACTGCATCTCCAAACCTCATTCTGTTGAGTAGGTACGGATCAGCTTTGATCATGTCGCCAGTCTTGCTGACATCCATGCCGAAAATGTCTTCGCACTCTTTTCGAAGTCGAGCAATCGCCATTGGGTGTCGGCTGAGTAAATAATGGCAGTAGCATATGGTCGAGCTACTTGTGTCGTGACCAGCAAAGATGAAGATCTTAATATTTCGTAACGCAGCATCTTTGAACTTTGGATCGAGCTTCGAGGTTTCGCTGACGTTGTTCTCCTTGAGGTAGGTTTCGAGTGCCAGGTCGATCACATGTTTCTTCTTGCTCCTCGTATTGCGTGTTGCGAACCTTTCTTCGAGTAGCTTACCCACGTACGTATCCATCTGTCTCAGATTCCGCCACTGTACGAATGGGCGGAAAATGTTGAAGATCTGCAGAGGCTTTTGTGTCCAAGCTAACGACATTAGTTCTGATCGCGAGTATATCGGTGTTACTCACGNGGCGATCCACATCCATCTTACTTGACTTTCGAAGGCTGTGACAAGCGGATGTTCCACCAACTGAGAGTTGAAGTCGTCATNCCCTAGTAGTTGTGAGTTTTTCCGAAGACGAGTCCCGTACACGTAAATGGCTCACAGTACTATTTTGCCAATGATGTCTATAGTCAGGCGAGTTGCATGATGCTCCATGCGAAACAGCTCGTTATTGACCACGTGTTTATGCAGAATCTGGGTAAATTTGGCTACGCTGTCGACGATTGTAGGCATCATGGTCATGAGATGGGCGACAGAGAATCCAGGGTTGAAAGCGGATCTCCATACTTTCCATTGAGGGCCGTCGCTCGTCAGCATGTCACCGCCTCCAGTTATGACCGAGAGGGCTTCTCCCAGCGCTTTCGTTATACGTTAGCTCGTAAGGCATATTGACATACTGCTAAAAAAGATACCTGGATGTTTAGGCATGGATCTCTCGAGGAGAAACTGACTACTGTATGATGGATGGGTCGCGACACATAGTGAGACTGAGANGGGCCAGAGGTCCAAGTAGAACAGGTCGGGCAAGTTGTATCGGTCTTTGACCATCATAGGCAAACTCTGGCCTGCACATCCTCGAGGNNGGGAAGCTCGCGAGGCTTCGGCCATGGCCTTCAAATGTCCGAAAATCGGATGATGAGGAGGCCCCGGCTGTAAAGCAGAAAGTCAGTCGAGGTGGTTCAAAAATCAGCAGCCATTGTTGACTTGCGAGATTTGCAACATGTCGTCTCCAAACATAGCCTCTGTAGATAAATCGGCCAACTACTGTCAGCACGACGGCCAATATTGCTAGAACAAGCGTATTCATGCTGAACACTGTCGTGGTCTTGGAAAGACGGTGCAGAGGATTTGTCTACGCAAGGAAGTGGGAAGCTCCTCATCTATTGTCGAGCCTTCTTATATGCTCAAGCCGAAGGCATTGCATCCTTCGAGGTATGTGCAGCCCCTCATGCTCGTGACTGGCGCTTACCGCACATGATTGTACGTCATCTCACAGGGACGATAGAGCGATGAGGATAAGAAGAGTTACAAGCATGGAGGCAGAACATATACAAGATAAACTGAGACACAAAATAGCATTTGTGTGTCCACCTCGACAGAATGCGAGCAGACAACGGATATGGCGTTCGTTGGGCGGTAGTCAGGGTGTGATGGAAAGCGATGTGTCGAACAAGTGTTGGCGGACGAAACAGAGGCCCGTCCTTGGATCGATTCGTCCAAGCACGAGATGTGAACTGGTCTAGCTCTGGTTGTCTTTCAATATCACGACACGTCCACGAAAAGTAGAAGTTCAAGATGGAGACGCTGTCGGTAGCGACTCTAGTGAGAGGGCGGGACTCGGAAGCAGATCGGCTTGTGTACGTCATGCCGCCAAACCCCAGATCCACCTCAGGCAGTGGCAGCTCTCTGGACCCAGACCGAGCCAAACCCAGACATTCAACTCGCCAATCCTTGCAGCGCATTCTGAACAGACACATGGCCATGGAGTACGAACCAACCGCCGACGACGCCAATGTCGACCTCGCCGGACCTGGTCTGCACGGCAAGCTGGAGTGCCGCGTAACAGATCCTCAGAAGGAGAACGAGGGCACCCAGAACCCCTTCATCTCGTACCTCGTCACTACCGAAACCGACTTCAAGTCCTTTGTCAACTCGCACTCAGCACTGCGTCGCCGCTTCACCGACTTTGTCTTCTTGCAAAAACACCTCACGCGCGAGTACCCACAATGTGCTGTACCGCCGCTGCCCGACAAGCACAAGATGGAGTATGTCCGCGGCGACCGCTTTGGCCCTGACTTCACTTCGCGCCGCGCACACGCTCTGAACCGCTTCTTGAACCGTCTCACCCTACATCCTGTCCTCCGCCGCGCTGCCTTGCTCGCCCAGTTCCTCGAAAGCGACTCATGGAACTCGACAATGCGTTCCCGAGCCGCTCGCGGCATGAGTGCTGGCGAGGCCGCTGCACCCAGTGTGCTGGAAACATGGACAGATAGCTTCCTGAACGCCTTTGCCAAAGCACACAAGACCGACCGCCGCTTCGTCGACGTCCGTGAACGCGCCGACAAGCTCGACGACGACCTCTCAACCGTTTCCAAATCAGTCTCCCGCCTTGCACGTCGCGAATCCGATCTCGAAGGTGACTACGCCGACCTGGCAACACAGTTCCAAAAGCTTGCACAGCTCGAACCCGGCGTGCAAAACGAGCTCACCAGCTTTGGCTCCAGCATACAAACAAACTCACAGGCATGGAAAGACTTGCGCGAATACACCGATCAAGACTACTTCGGCAGTCTGCGTGACATGGAAGCCTATATCGCCTCAGTAAAGGCTCTCCTCAAGACGCGCGAGCAAAAACAACTCGACTTTGAAGGCTTGTCTGAATACCTCACCAAGGCGGCCAGCGAGCGCGACAATCTAGCTTCAGGACCCAGCATGGGTGCCTCTGGTTTCATCCGTGCCAAAATCGAAGATGTACGCGGTGTCGACCACGAAACAGCCCGCAAAGAGCGTATCCGCAAACTAGAGCTCCAGATCGAACGTCTGCAGAACGAAGTCGAGGCTGCCAAGAAGACGAGCGAGGCCTTTGATATTGAGGTCGTCAAGGAGGTGGATGATTTTGAGCGTATCAAGGCAACAGAGTTCCGCGAGACGCTTGGTGGGCTTGCCGATGCTAATTGCCAGTACTTCCGCTCGACCATCGATACATGGCAGAAGTTTATCGATCAGATGGAACGTGAGCAGAGGGAGTCAGCGACGAGTTGATGACTTGGGCAGTCTTTGGGTGTTTTTAAGCTATGGCGTAACAACAGGGAACATGAGGAATAGCCGGAATGTGTAATTACGATCTGTTTCGATCGAGCCTTCTTCGAAATTAGAGGAAATGTGAATTCTGAATCGCTCTTTCTTGTCTTGCTTCCTTTCCTTTCCTTCTGTCATGTGTTTGTGTACTAAATCATGGCTCTGAGATGGCCTCTCGCTGCTAACTTTCTCCATTCCAGAGGTATTCTCTTTCCATTCTGGCAGAGTGCGACCTCCCAAACAAGGAAGGCATCCTCCATGGGCACCCGCTCTGGGAGAAGAAGACGTTTCATCGAGCCCTTTTCCTCCTCAATATCGCCTCCACGTCCTTCTCCATTGTTGTCCCTCATTTGAGCAGACCACAATGTCCATTCAATCGTCAAAGTACGAACCTCTGCAAGCATCTGCATCATAGTTCTCATGTCTGGCAGGCTTGTACCCCGAGCCTCTGTACTTCTTTGCCTTTTTCTTAGCCTCCTTTTTGGGGGAGGCCTTGTACTTGCCGTCCCAGAACACCTTGCCGACAAAGGAAGTGATTGTGGCAATGACGAGGACGATGAAGGTGCGTTTGCCTCCCTGGTACGAACAAAAGAGTCAGAAAAAGGACAAGGAGAAAGGGGGTAGGGAGAGGGATGGGGAGGCTTACTGTCATTGTTGCGGTTTGAGAAGAAGAGAAGTGGGTAGTTGAAGTGATTCGGAAAGGAGAAAGTGTCTTGTGCTTGTTGAGCAGAGATCGTGAGATCGAGTGATGAGGCTTCGGTGAGCTTGTCTGATGCCAGATGAGACGTAGATGTGTGAGATCGTGGATTGATGTTGACTGGTAGGGCAGTAACGATCTGAGGAGTTGAAAGTCAGTCTACTCCTGTTGGAAACATATGGTCGAAGGACTTACACTGCGCACTGTTGATTGTTGATGGAAGATGTTTGATCAAGACTTGAGATCGTTGTCCTGGTTCGAGATAGTAGAATTTATCGACTACCAACCCGTGGTGGAGAGCAGGCAAAGGAAGAGAGCATACCAGAACAAACTCATCGATTTATAGAGCAAGCGGGAGGTCCGAGCGTATATGTAGTGATTGAGATGTAGTGAAGCGGATTGAGTGCGAGCAAACAGGAAAGCATTACGAGAAGATTCCGCAAGTAAGTGACGAGGGTAGTGAATATGAAAGAAAGGGACATGACGCGGAACGTCAATTTAGATGCGTATCTACTTGTTCCGTCTTTATGGACTTGCATCCTACTGGAGTCTGGATGTTCGAGTACTGTCAACACTCGCCCTTACCGACTCGGTAGCGGTGGGTATCCTCTGCAACGGTGGCATGATATCCCGCTCTCTCACCGTCACCGTTGTTGTTCTCGCTTCTCGCACCACCAAGACGGTCTCGCCAGAGTTGTGATAATCAGTCTCGCAGCTGACCAGGGGCTGTATTGTTTCTTCCTCGACAGGTCCACCATTTTGTCTGGAGCCGAGCAATCGTGATGCGCCGCTCGAATCAGAGCTGCTAGTAGAAGTGATGACCGGTTGGATGTCCACAGAAGGCAGAAGGTGCATGCCCGGTCTCAGGGGCACCAGCACGAGCGAGATCTTGGTCTCTTCTTCATCAGGCTTGTAGTTGAATCGTGAGCGTTTTGGTCCAGCCACGAGCCATGGACCGTCTGTAGGAGCATCGATGGTATATGAAAAGGCTAGAGGTGTGTCTGTTGTCAGATCCGCACTAGCCCAACGTGTCGTGTGTTTGATGGCAAGTATGGCGGAAATTGGACGACCGATGATGACTGCTTTGGTAGAGTCGTCGTTATCAAGGTGAAGAGTGATGGTATGCAAGACGTCAACTGTTGGCACTTCAACCGAGAGCGTAATCTTCCTTGATAGGGCAGCTGCCGTAGACTCATCGAGAATCAGCTTTTGATTGTNTCTGTACAAGAAGTTAGTATGAGATCTGGCTTTACAGTGGTCATAGGAAAAGAATCTTACCGAGTGCCACTCTTGCAACCATTCGTCCAGGCCCGGTCGCTTGTCAGGTGTGAGACTGGCAACAATCCTTCCCCACCCTGTTGCCTCGTACGAGGGTATCTGAAACTCATTAAGAAGCACGGCCTGTTCGAGCTGCTGAGCTGGTGCGTAAGATTTGACTCTGTTCAACAAGGTAGGCACGAGCAAGCGTCGCAAAGTCGCAANAGGACTGTTTGCAACTGCCTTCTCGAGCACATCGCCAAGCTTTTCAAAAATGGCCTCGTCTGAGCGTATGTACTCGACCGTTAGTGCCAATGCAGCTTCCTTCTTGTTCAGCTTGCTTCCTGCAGCATCCTTTCTCGTGATTTTGTAAGTCAGACTGGCCGGCTGTTTGTCAAACACAGTCATTGGCAAGGNGCAAGGTAGAGCTCGCACTCCATACGCCTGCGAGTCTTCTACCTGCACATTAGTTACCTTCAGTGGTACCGCGTTTGTCGTCCTGATGCTGAACCGTGAGAAAAGAGCCTGAGACTTGAAGATGTCGTTAACATCCACATCCAGAGGTAGCGCAGCCGGTATTGTTGAAGCACGCAGATACGAGAACGACCCATTGCCGGTACGATAGTTTGCCTCAAGCTTGACAGTAAGCTCGTCGAGGCTGCGCTCCGTGCTATAAGGCACTAGAACCTTGAGAACAACTCCTGCCTCCACAACACCAAGCTTGAGTATGCCAGCCTGTGATGTGTCTAGCTGACTATGGTCACTCTCTATAACTGCAGCATCTGCAGTGTGTAATCTCAACCCAGCAGAAGCAGATTTCAATCGCAGGTCAAGACTTTCGGTCTTGTTACGCCCTGTCAAGATTGTGAACACAACAGATCGTATTTTGTCGATGTGTATCTCGTTGGCCAACGTCGCACGAACCTCCAGAGAATCACCATGAGGATAGATCAGCAATGAAGGCCCACTCGAGCTGGATCTTCTCTCGAACAGGCTAGCATTGGTTATGCCAAGTGGTGTTGTCTGAGGTTTTGGTTNGAAGTCGTGCGTGAACTGTAGCTTCTTAGACTCCAGTACCAATTTGTCGATCAGATAATGCCCGTATGTTGTAACATTCGAGTGAACTTGAAGTTTCGCAAGGCCTCGTTTCAACTCGAGAGGACCATCACTCTGCAGAAGTATTTCCTGGCTAGCGTCACTTGCTAGTACCAATCGTAGTTTGACGCGATCGATCTTAAGGTCATCGTCCAGAAGGTGCTTAAAGCGAACGTTCAAGCCGAATCCATCCTGATCTGAGTGTAGTACAATTTCAGGGCTGACATCAATTTCAGCAAAGAAATCAGACATCGAGGCCGTGAAGTTATAGGGTAATTCCTCTGAAAAGCTCACGAGCTCTCCGAGGACACCACTAATATCAACAGTCTCCTCATCCAGCCATGCGGAGGTGCTGCGTACTCTAGGGAGTGCTCTTGTCGTACGACGTGCGACAACTTTGCCCAGCAGACTTAGCATAACTCTCATGTATTCATCCCGCCGGTGCAGATCTTTAAGGCATTTGGCGTATATCCTCAACATCTCTCCGTGGACGTAGGACCAACTCGTCTTTGAGAAAGTCGTGGATGATCGCTGGAAGTAAGTAGCTGCCTGAGCAACATCACCAAGTTGGCTGGGTTGATAGTCAGCAAAGATGAGGGTTATCGATGTTTTCAAGAGACCTACTANTTTGAGTATAGCAAGATCGCTCAGGACAGAGTCAGCGGATTTGGAGTGATTTGCTGTAGTGAAATGTGACACTGCTAGCTCGCTCAATTTCTGTGGAGGATTAGAAATGCATCAACAATAGCGTCTAAGGAAAACTGGTACCTCATAAACCGCTCTAAACTCTTCCAAAGATGTGAGCGCAGCCGAAAGCGGGGCACTAAGAAGCATGTTTGCTATCTTCTCCGTTTCTGCAGGTGATGTCGATGTCTTGGACCCCTCTTCCCCTGATTCAACTTCTTTGTTGTCAAGGTCAATGTCGGTGAGGGTTTGTGTTGAACTGATCGCCGCCCATCCTGAAAGCCAACCCTTCTGTTTCGCGAGTGCTTCGATAATCCTCCGTTGCATTAGAAGAAGTTGAGCTCGACCAGACGCAAGAACAGCGGTGCCAGTTCCATTCGTGGTTACATTGTCAGGTTGAGTATTGGGACTAGATCTGGCATATCGTTCATTTTCATATATCGTTTGTGGTGTCAACTGTGACGAGGACGACACGCTGCGTTGCAGAGAGCTCGACCGCGTAGGATGAGTGTTTGCACCCTGAGGGAAATTGAAATTACCACCGGCCTCCTTCCTGGAGTAGACGCCCGGTGTCTGGTTTTGCGGCTGTAGTAGTGATTTCTCGCCGGACGATGAAGAATCTTTTGAAGCGGTCTCATCAAGCACTTGGTCAAGTACAGCGTATGTCCAGGAAGAAGCGATGTTTTCCGCGAGAGAAGAAAGATGAGAATTGATTTCAGNACCTACACAGCTATCAACAAAAGAATCTATCTGATGCACGAGGATGTGACCGTACCCTTCGGTAAGGCCGCTGCGAAGAGCACGAGCATTGGTAGCAGCAANAAGGGCCGCTCTCTTACAAACTTCAGCAGCAAAAGTCAAATTGTCGTCTTTGGGGTTGTCCCTGGCACTGGAAGGTCTGGCCTGTTGAAGGTTACCACTCCCAGCACTCAAGCGAAGCAAAAGTGTCCTCTGCCTGGCGAAAATATATGACCGAAAGTNCAAAAGAGATATTGTGCTCGAAACAATCTCACCACGATAGTCCTTGTTAGTCAGATCCAATGGCAACTTGTATGTCTCTCGGAACTGCAAAGTTAGTTGCTCAAGCTTGGATGTGTCTGATGATGCGTTGATCATCTCCAGAAGAGAGCTTCGCTGAGCGCTCAGGTCACCGAGGAAAGTACCTTGGGTGGCACCAGGTTCATAATCACGCAGAGCAGAGTCGAGCCCTACCGAAAGCTCATCATATATTGCCAAAGCATCTTCGACCAAGCCAACACTCTCAAAACCACGAGCTAGACCTTCTTTCAAAGTGAAGAAGGTGCAAAAATTCCAACCAGGTAGAGAACGTTGAGAGTCCTTCTCACGAATACCATCCTCGTACTGTAGCACCCGTAGATCAAAGGACATCAAGATCAATGTTTTGAACTTTGCAATAAGGTCCTGCCAGGCGTTATCCTGTTCTTGCGGGCTCTCGATGTAAGGTTGAGCGACAGGCGTCTGAGGTAGTAGTTGTGGAGGCACGTCTTTCTTCTGCAGCCTTATCTGAGCAATACGCTCTGGACCAGACTTGGAGGAAGCAGTAAAATCGGCGCGTATCTTGTCCAATACAGTCCTTGAGCTCTTGCCAGGCCATTTAGTAGTGCTTGACGGCCTCTCAACCAACTCATCGGGCTCTTTCTTGGATGCAGCGGTCCAGCGAGGTTCGGAAGCGGCGATGGTGTCAGGAATGACTACGTGCAGGATGAGCCATTCAGCAGCGTCGTGGTCCTCGGAGCGATTAATGGCGGAGGAGCTTTTAGAAGAAGGATCCACGTCGTTGATCCAGTCGCGGAGCAGCTGGCGCGACGAAGCCTTGTATGTGTCCTTGTCGTCGCATCGTAGAAGGTAGACTCTGAGGTAGGGAGTTTGACGCAGGCCTGGAATCTGGTGTCTTCTCTCTTTGGTAGCCGAAGGAGCACCGGCTCTGGAGCCGTAGGAGTCGACACGCTGTAGTTTGTCACTCTCTGAAGCTTCGGTCTGAGCATCGGGAACGAATTCGACATGAAGAGCGCCTATTGAGCGCAAGGGTCTCGAGGGAGATTTCCAGTTCAGATTGCGCAAAGGCAACCTGGAAGATAGGTCACGCGAGATCAAAGGGAAGATACCAGATGGATCATGGTACTCGACTAGGCGGAATGTAAGAACAAAGAGCAGGGTGAGAGGTTATGCGACGCACCAGTGACCTTTGAACTCATGGTAGACTCCATAGTTGAATGCGACCAAGGTTAACGAGCAGTTGCGATATACCACAGAGAAAGCCAGGCTTCCAGATAACCAAGCATAACAGGCGATTAGCGCATTGTTCTGGATGCCAATTGATTAGATACAAAAGAACAGGGAGCAATTTGCGGGAAAGTGAATGTTTGGTTACTGCAACGTGCTATGGTTTAGAAAGTAGATAGGAGGTGGCAGGCTGGAGGAACGGCGACTTGTGGCCGGGCGGGCCGAGCTTTTGTCACGCCTTCGTTGATGGTCAGCAGCGGAAGCCGAAGCAGGTGCAAGTTGGGAAAGCGACGACGGCGAACTGTCGATTAGAGGTCATCCCTATACACAACAATCCACAATGCAGTCGTCGCAGATCAGAGCCGTACGTCTCGTCCATATAGGCAATTATGCGCGCATACTGATGAGTCTGTAGGCCCAGTTCGGCACCAAGTTCGAGGGCCACCACGGCATGCAGCCCTGGGTCAGTCTTCCTGACTACAAGTCCTACCAGAGCAAATACGGTNNCCCAAGTGAGCCTCGTGCCAATCCATCGCATTATCGCTTCGACATACTGATTCGCCCTCTCTTCAGCTACAAGATTGGCAAGAACTTCCACGGAATCGACCTCCACCGCGCCAGATCTTTGTACGTCACGCCTCTCCTCTCACTCCTGCTACACCAGCTCCTCCCGTATATCCTCGACACTCCATTTTGCACTCCCGAATCGAACGCTATTGGTTTCTTCTCGTACAGTCTAGCTAACGCAGCCCCTTGTAGCGGTCTCATGGGTGCCGGTTTCGGTGCCGCTGCTGGTATCTTCGCCCTCTTCTTCTTCGCCGATATCCCCCGTGTACGAAAGGACATCATGCAGAAGGTTCCCTTCATCGGCTCCCACTTCGTCAAGGAGATCGCNCCCGAGGACAACCCCTTCTAAATGCTCGACCACTACGGTGATGCTTTCTGGAGTTGGCTGCTGTGTACATTAAATTCAATGGGGTTGCAGCATAAATTGCATGTTTTCTAGACCTTCTGTCCCATTCTCCAAAAAGCTACGATCGCGAAACACACCAGCCTTCTGTCTCTTGTTATGCATTTATCATTACGCCTCTTTTGCGCCGATGCGATGCGCCTAATACATAGAATCAACATGACGTAAGTTTAGTTGGCCTCGAGTCTGGACACAACCGATGCCATCTCGTCGTCACCGTATATCCTGAAGCCCTTGTCCTTGGTGACACTGGCCAGCTGTACGTTCTTTGAGTCCAGCTTCTCCTCCATGACCTGCTTCAACGTCTTGAGCACCAGCACCTCGGCCTCTGCCAGTGTCAACGACTTGTGGAACTCGTTTTGTAGCTCGGCCTGTGCTCCCTCTGAACCTGAACCAATGGCCTTTGCGTCGTAGCGGTAGAAAGTACCCGAGGGCTCGGCGTGGTNACCTAGATTGTTAGCATGTATGAAGACTAGAAGGAGCAGTGGGGAGGCTCACAGTGATGGTCCGTTCTCGTCGAAACCGGCGATGAGCAGAGCAACACCGAAGGGTCTGCTCATAATGCTCTCCTCGCCTTCGGCACCCTCACCGAATCTCAAGGCCAAGTCGCAGATGGCCTGGGTGCAGCTCTCGACGGATAGAGGTTCGGCGTAGTTGAAGGCGTGACTTTGCGAAGTGATTCTGGCGTGCTCGATCATGCTGCGAGCATCGGCCTGCAGGCCTGACATGGCGGCACCAATGTGTCTGTCAATCTCGACAATCTTCTCGACGGAGCTGGTTTCGAGCAGTGTTGAAGTGACGCGCTTCTCGACACCAAGGATGACGCCCTCAGAGGTTGCGACNNCTGTGTGTGGGTCAGAAACCGAAGATGCGATCGTGTGTGTAGCGGTAGGACATACACCGATGGCAGTGGAGCCGAGCTTGATGGCCTCGAGCGAGTATTCTACTTGGAAGAGACGGCCTTCGGGCGAGAAGGTGCTGGAATAGCATGAGTCTACTGTATGGAAGTATGGTTGAGGAACGTAACGTACTTGATACCGCGATCTGCATTGTCATGTTAGCAGGGCGGCCGGACACAGATGGCAAAGATACTGACCATATTCGGAACGAGCAATGAACATGGTTGCGAGAGTTGGTGGGGAAGAGCGAGTGGTGGCGGTATGTGTGAGTGTTTAGTGGAATGGACAGCAGGGCAGACTATTGCGTCGACCTGTCGGAAGATAGAGTGATGAGATGAGAGGAGGCGGAAAGGTGAGAGAGTTGTGGATTGCAGAGGGCGAGCTGATTGTCTAGTGAAGCACTCAGCAGTCGGCGGTGATGCAGTTGCGCCGCTGGTGCTGGAGGAAGCTTTGACACTTTTGATTGTGTTTCCCGACCGACTTGCAGAACGCGTCCGCCGCGGCCAGACAAAGCAACGCGCTTGCAGTCCGACTCTATTGAGCTGGCAGCCATGCGAACACTGAACTATGTCAGCTGCCGACAGAAGAACGTCGGCCTCGCACCGTCAGAGGGTCCCTCGTGCTAGCGCTCAACCCGATCCCTACTCGCAAAGATCCACCCATGTCCGCGTCGAGTCGCAACAACATGAATCTCGCTCAGCTACCGTCACTCGCGTCCGGAGCGTCCACAAACCCACTACCCACTCGTCTCAGCCCTCGAGGTCGAGACAGTCCGATTCTGTCCCGACCAATGTCGAATCTACTCCTGCCTGGAAACCCCAAGCTTCCTTGATACCTCATACCTCAGCTCCATTAGCCTCTCGCGTCTCCGTTCCTCCCTTGGCCGCCCATGCACCTTCCGCCCTCCAGCCCGAACCACTGTCTTCCATGACTCTCGATGCCCAAGAGGCTGCCATCATTCAGGATCTGCTGTTCGTCTTTATGGGCTTCGAGGGCCAGTATGTTCGCTATACCGACGCCTACCAGCCCCTTGAGGAAAAGAGTCGTCTCGCTGGTCCGCAATTTAGAGTCTTGCCTGGCCTGGATCCAAGCTTAAGAGATTTGACAATATCAATGCTGAGGATGGCTACACACTATGCCGCCGTCGAAGCCTTTGTCGAAGTTCAGAGCAGAGAGGAGTTTGGCGCTGTCAACCATGCACTTTGCGCGGCCATGAGGAAGCTGCTCAAGGACTACCTGATTCTCATCGCTCAATTGGAACACCAGATGTTGACCAACCAATCCTTTACTCTCCACGTCCTGAATCTCCATACCAAACCTACTAGCCATATGATGTTCCAATTGTATAGCCTGGCACACGAAATCTTGAAGGAGAACTCTATGCTCGAGGATGATGACGATGATCTAGACGAATCTGACGACTTTGAAAATATCCTCGAGTCTTTACGAGAAGGCAGAGATGCCGGAAACGTTGGGAGAAAGGTGTGCAAGGGAGGCAGTGTGTTGCGACTCATCACCAAGCGCTTGGCCACTATGTCTGGCGATCCTGCCGCTCGAACACTACTTACCACTTTATTGCGCGAGTCTTCTAGACCTTACATGGCTATGTTGAACGAATGGCTCCACCACGGCAACGTTCGAGACCCACATTCCGAGTTCCTCATCAAGGAGCAGAAGAGTATCCGCCGCGAAGGACTGGAGCAAGATTACACCGATGAGTACTGGGAGAAGCGCTATACCCTTCGACTCGAAGATGTGCCACCACAACTTGAATCTGTCAAGGACAAGGTATTGTTGGCTGGCAAATACTTGAACGTCGTTCGAGAGTGTGGTGGTGTTGATGTGTCAAGAGATATGGACGATCAAGTCCCGCATACTTTCGATGATGTCCGNTTTTTGGACAATGCCAATTCTGCTTACGCCTTCGCCAATTCTTCGCTTCTAACCCTCTTGCTTACCACGCACGCTCTGCCTGCACGCCTCCGCAGTCTAAAACACTATTTCTTCCTGGACCGTTCTGATTTCTTCTCCTACTTCCTCGAACTTGGTCACTCAGAGCTTAAGAAGCCTGCTAAATCTGTTAACATCGGAAAACTGCAATCACTTCTTGATATTGTGTTGCGACAACCTGGAAGTGTCGCAGCCGAGGATCCGTTCAAGGAAGATGTCAAGGTTGTCATGAACGAAGTGGGCCTGACCGGATGGTTGATGCAGGTCGTCAACGTCAAGGGTTTGGATGCTGACGGTGGAAGTATCACATCCTACACACCGGCAGCCAGTGTCATTGGGGACGACAAAGACATCAGCGGTTTCGATGCGCTCACGTTCGACTATGCTGTCCCCTTCCCTCTCTCGCTGGTTGTGTCCAGGGTGACATTAACCAGATATCAGCTGCTCTTCCGTTACATTCTTTCGTTGCGCCACCTTGAGCAACTACTGGTGAGCTCATGGATCGATCACTCCAAAGTCACAAGCTGGCGCCACAAGAGCTCAGATCGACGTATTGAAGATTGGAAGCGCAGAGCGTGGTGTTTGCGAAGTCGTATGCTCTGTTTCGTACAGCAGCTGTTGTACTTTTGCACAAATGAGGTCATAGAGCCGAACTGGACTGCTTTCATGGCTCGACTGAGCGAGGCAGAAGCACTGGAAAGTGTTGTTGAGGGTGGAAAGGTCAAGCGCACCGTCGATGAACTGATGCAAGACCATGTCGACTTCCTAGCAACATGTCTCAAGGAGTGCATGCTGACGAATTCGAAGCTCCTTAGGGTAAGTTTTGCACAATCTAATCGACACCACGGCAACTAACCTCTACTTAGNATCAACTCCAAAGTCATGGCTACTTGCACCATGTTCGCCAACTACACTGCATCGCTGTCACGAAACCTTGCTGTGAGCGATCCAGATCTCGCTAAGACTGAGGCTGGCAAAACAGAACACGACCCGCACAGACTAGAGAAGCTCAACGACAACCTCAAACGCTTTGAGGACAATTTCACCAGACATCTGAAGATCTTACTGGATGCGCTCAACTACCTCGCTGCCACAGAGACAGTGGTATTCTTGGGACTTTGTGCCAGACTCAGCATGGCTAACGAAGGCATCTCGGCTCCTCCGTCCTCGGTTCCTTATGGTTGAATGAAATGAAAAAGTTAACATGTGTCATTTGGGTATCATGCGGTAAAACAAGCGCTACGAAAGCAATGAATCAAGCTAAGAAAAGACGTGCTGTGTCATCGCGTCTTGGGCAGTCTTACGCATCTAGCGTCTTCTAGGATCTCTGCTCGCATCAATGTTGGGATTCGCCGAGTATGGGATCGTCTGCGCTGCAGAGGGTGCAGGCAAAGGTGCAATCATCATGGGTGCAGTCGGTGCTGCAGTCGGTGCCGCAAGTGGTTGTTTGACGCCGTCCATAACCGCAGCAGNGGCAGCCTTCATCGGTGCAACAGGAGCTGGGCCAGCACTCTTCCTGCGTTCTGCTCCAGCAGTAGCACCAGATTTGTCGTACTTTCTAAGCGTGTCGTTCAGGAATTGCCTTGACTCCTTTGCGCGGGCATTGTATTCTCCAACTCTGCGAAGCGAGTCAAGGGCTGTGAGTACTTCGGCCGTCGTCTGTTCTGAGATCTCTGGACGTGTGTCGTTTGCCCTTATGGCCTCGGGAGCGAATGCGGCATTGAACATCCTGTTTCTAGACGGTAGAAAAGGTAGACTTAGCACTTTGCAAACAAGAATCGAGACCTCAATCGAAACATCATTGTCAAGGCATTTGTTTGCTATTGAACAGAGGACTGAAATGTGTTCTGCTCACCTCACTTGACTGTCTAGAGCGTCGGAGTTGGCAATCATTTGCTTCAAACGCGGCTCCACGCCATCAAGACGAGGCGTGCCAGGATTGAAATTTGTGATGGGCAGCATGACTGCTCTTGCCATGANTCTGTATTGTTTGCTCTGTCAGTTTCTCTGTATCGTCATCCATTATAAATGTTGTTTGGTGTGTACCGTGTCATGGTGTTTCTTTGATGACCCCGCCATGGTCTTTTTCGAAGTTAACGTTTGGCGGCTTCTTGGGCGGCTGAATTCTCAACGGCAGGCGGGATGGGAAAGTGCGGTCAGGTCATTGGCGCTGTGTGAGGTTCTGATAGATGTTGGTTTTTATACACAGTCTTTGAGAAAGTGATGGTGAGGAGGCGCAAAAGATTAGTAGTATGTTCTGATGGGACTAGAAAGTTCGGTCATGTGACCTAGATCTCAAGCGCCTGTATACCACGACACCATTAAAGATAGAGATTCGAAGAGAGATGCTTGTTCATAAGTGCTTGTTGAAGTGATTCCAATTTACTAATTGCGCCTTCCCTTTGAGTGCTGTCCCATTCCATACCATTCCGTTCCATCCTAATTCCTGTAGGTATCCTTTGAACCTGTACCAGTAAGCATCCGAACACCTGATCCTTTCCCTATCCCATATTGGTTGTGGAGTGCAGCGTCATCTACGAAGATGATCCAGCTACTGAGATGACTTGGTCATCCTCAACGATGGCTTGGTACTTCTCGCCTAAAGCCTTGACACTGTTGACGACCTTGGTGGGCGCAGTGGCTGCAAAGCCCTTGATAAGGCTCTTGTACTCATGAGTGATGATGCCGCCNNCTGATATTTGTGAGCTCATGTTATGGATAAAACATAGCATGCAAGATTCACTTACAGCTTCCTTGATAACAGCCATTGCCTGCTCGACAACAGAATCGGGAGTGTCCTTGGGGTAGCTGACGATGATCTGCTTGCTCTCGGTGGCAGCGTAGGCCAAGGCCATGAGAAACGCAATGAACAGGAGGTGAATGGTGAACTTCATGTTGATTGAATGATTTTGTTATACTTCTTAGTGTTAATTTTGGTAGTGGTGGTGGTTTGGGCTGGTGCAGATGGGCAGGGCTGTGGGGATCTTTATGTACAATGCAGTTGCCTAGGTATGCGGTCATCGGCGTCGCCAAGGCGATGTTGAGAGTTTCGGGTTCCGCCAAGACATGAGACTAAGAGAAGCCAGACGCTGCTCTTTGACGGCGTGCGACAATGAACAACGACGAACGTCTCATCTCATAATCACGGCCACCACTCGCGACGATCTTCTTCACGGCCCACCTTCACTTCCAACTTGCGGCCTCGATCATCTCGACTATCAACAGATACCAAAGACGCCCATCCGCCCTACCGACGCGCTCCTCAAAGGTCAACACTAACCTCTGTGATACACCACCTGTCCGCAAAGGAAAACGGAAGAGTACAATCAGAAAGAGCAAGAACAAAGAAAGCCATCTTACAGCTTGCTGCTGCAGATTGTGAGCGCAAGCAGAAAAAAAAAGGCATCGGGGTGAAAGTGGAGGAATCTTCACAGCGTCTTCTCAGAATATCAGGAGCCGGCTTCTCACGCATCTATTGAGAGCAGTGGGCTGCTTATTGTGGGCGGGAAGAGACAATAGCTAGTATTGATCCATCACACTCTTCTGATTTCACGCCTTTTGGTGAAGCAAGTTTCGCTTGCTGCTTGCCATCTACTCACCTCTTGTGGTTGTTCAAATCGACCGAAGGGCTTTGCATCTTCTTCTGTCTACGGACCGGATAGCGCGTTGACTGTCTCTTTCTTGAGCCATTATCGAAGGAAGCTATCCGTGACTCGTAGTCTTCTCTTTCTTTTCTTCTTTTCTGTTACTGCAAATAATACCTTGCCTTGAAGAATCATGTCTGCCGACCAAATTTCCGACGAGGTCGCTCTGGACTTCCAGGAATCTTTGCAAGATCTTCAGAACAACAACAGATATGAAATTAGCAACCTGACCATCATCGCCAAGGAGAACACCGAACATGCCCAAGCTATAGCCATGGTTTTGGAAAAGCACATCAAAACGGTAAGACTTAACAAAACGAAATCTTATAGGTTTTCTTTTCATTAAGCATAGCCTGCAACATTCGAGAACATGTGACTGACTCGACTGCAGACTGCCCCTGGACGAAAGTTGCCTGCACTCTACGTACTCGACTCAATCGTGAAGAACGTTGGCACCCCGTACACAGTTTACCTTGGCAGGAATCTGTTTTCTACATTCATGGACTCGTACACTCTTGTAGATAGTCAGACAAGAAAAAGCATGGAAGCCATGTTGAAGACCTGGAAGGAACCGGTACCTGGCTCTATGGATCCGAGACCAGTTTTTCCTGCAGAAGTTACTCGCACTATTGAGAATGCGCTCATCAAGGCAAGAACTGCTGCGGTGCAATTGCAAACCAGAAATCGCACTCCTCTCGGTATGCCAGGAAGGCCCATGTCGACGACTTACAGAAACACTCCTACCCCACCACACAACGCCAGTCAGTTCCAACCACCTCCACAAGATCCGTACCAAAACGGATACCGCAGCCAACAGGTATCTATCAACACTTTGTTATCATCATCCAACACAACTAACACGCTTAAGCCCACACCACAACAATTCGCCTCGAATCAGCTGCCTCCTGACATTGCACGATCACTGTCAGCCGTGCTCAACCCCCAAGATGATCTCAACAAGCTAAAAGCAGACATTCATGGTTTGATCGCAGGCTTCCAGAGCGAGTTTGCGCGTAACCCATACGATTCGCAGGTGCAGACTAAGCTCAAGGCTCTGCTCGACCTCCAAGCTGTCGTGCAGACCCAGCAGCTGAACTCCGATGCCATTGGCATGATCAAAAAGCAGGTGGCACAGTTGCAAGCAGTGCAATCACAGCCCAATCCTCCCCCTTCTGCCGCACCCCAACAATCGCAATGGCAAGCTCCCACTCCTGTTGCTCTCCCTTTCCAACCCCCGCCTCCTATTCCTCAGAGCTTTGCACCTACTCCTTCGGCACAGCCACCCGCCGCTCCTCCCGCATTTGCACCAGGTATCCTTGAGCAATTATTGGCGTCGACTGCGAACGGGCAGAAACCAAGCACGCCTGTGGTTCAGGCTGCTTTGAAGTCGATGCCCCCACCACCTCCCGCCACTCAATCCCCTCGTACAGCCGCCGCAACCCCAGCTGGACCCATGGGAAACTCTCTTCTCGATGCTCTCCGTGCTGCAAACATCCTACCTGCATCAGCCAACGCTACTCCTGTGCCTGCCTCTGGCCCTCCCGTCCCTCCACCTGCAGCCCCTGCCCCTGCGCTATCTATCCTCCAACAACTCCAAGGCCTTGCACCAAAGTTGAGCGGTACACCCATGCCGCCTCCAGGCACTCCCGCCAAAGTCCGAATCCCCATGAACGCTGCAGCACTCAAGAGGTATGTGTATCCACGTAAAGTCACTATAAACTATTAAACTAACCTCTCTCCCAGCTTCCGTCCAGAAATTGTGCACACACTATACGATGCACAACCCAACCAATGCACGACCTGCGGTCGTCGCTTNCTGTCAACTGATGAAGGTCGTGCTCAGAAGGCTCGCCATCTCGACTGGCACTTCCGCAGCAATCAGCGTATTGCCGATGCAGCTCTTGCTGCTGGTCTCACTCGCAGCTGGTATATCGATGAGATGGAATGGATCCGTCTACGCGAAGTCGATGCCTCCTCAGCTGCTGTCGACTCAAGTTCCGTCACCGCTACTGCTAGCAAGCCTGTCAGCGTGCGTGAGAAGTACATCCCCGCACCCACTGGAGCTGCAGCAAATGTTGCTTGTCCAATCTGTCAGGAGAAATTTGAGACCGAGTGGCACGAAGATGCGCAGGAATGGGTGTGGATGGATGCTGTCAAGGTTGGAGGCCGTGTGTTCCATGCTTCATGTCATGATGAAGTCAAGAGAGCCAGCGGAGGTGACAGAGGTAGAAGTACTACTCCAGATGGCGCTGGTGTGCTTGGAAAGCGGAAGGCCGAGGTCGATCTGGCCAGTCTCAAATCCAAGCTGAAAAGAGAAGTTGCTGCATAAACTGCTTGAAGCATATAGATCCTGTTGCTAGCGATGCGTATAAAGCACATGCATACATTTACCATTGATATCGCGTTTCCATCTTTCATTGTGTCCTGCCTTGTAGGTGAAATCGTGCCCTTGTGGATGGAAGGGTGGATATGATTTACTATGTGATTCAAGATTCCTTTGATCACCTGCATTTACTGAATTCCAGGTAAATATAGCTTTCTGTTCACATATTTGTTGTTTCTTCTTCATCTCATCCTGAGCCTAGCATATCTTCAAGGTCAAAGGCAAGGACGAACATCTCAAGACCATTTGGTTTGATAAGATTCTGTATGAACCATCTATTTTCTTGATTTGGAGGACACCATAACCCTGCTGCTAGAGTTCTGCTTGCACTTCGTTATTCCTGGCGCCATACGACTTTGTCTCTTTGGATTCAGGCCTGTTTCTCTTGCTCAGGTACTTGTCATGCTCCTTAAGATACTCCACCTCTTAAACGAAGGGCTCGATTGTCTATGGTATCAAGTGTGCATAGTCAAGAAATTTCTGTAACGAGTTAGGATAGCCAACATGAAGTTCGTGATCCTGACTTACTCAAAGTGCCTAAGCAGTTCTCCAAAAGCAAGAATTCAGGAAGTGTTTGTATCTCCATAAAATGTACGAAGTGCCAGGAGGGGCTTCCTCATAGGTGGTGGTCTGACGGCCAGGGAGACGACAGCCGAAGACACCTGACGACCCTTTCTGTGCAGTCTCGACCTTCTTGACCTTGCTTGCTTTACTGGCCTTCTTGCCTCCCTTCTGCTGGCGTTGTTTTGGCGAGTTCTCAACATTCAGTTGGCGCTGTACTCTATCGATTTCCGCCTGAGATAGGATTAGTTAGCACACATACACATCGATGGGTGTTGCCTAGAATTGCATCACTAACCTCAATCTCATCCCACGGGATATCGGACCAGTCCTCGTCGCAAAACAAGTTGAAAAGATCTTTGACCAGCTCAACTCTAGCATTTTGAACCTTCTTCTCTGCGAATAGGCCAGACTCAGCTTTAGTGGATGCTGTGATAGCGGGCACCCACTTCAACTGTAGACCGGAGCACCAGTGGATATTTCCGACCCCGATACCTCCATCTTGCTTCATCTCAGTCCCGAAGACAGTCTGAAAGGTTATACCGGGGCGCTTGAGTAAGACCATTTTGCCAGGTTCTTTCTGACTCTGGCCGAGGACGACTGCAGGAAACTCGACTTTTGGCGCTTGACAGAATCAGAAGCCCTTGTGTACTGGGCAACCATCACAAGGAGCACCCCTTGTACTCGCGTTCGTGTGTGAAGACGATCTCCGCTGTCTCATTCCTTATCTGTTTGATGTCCGCAATCTTGTCGACGTCAAGCGGCGTCTCGGTGTGGAAAAAGCCACTTGCCTTTGCTGGAGGCATGGCGTGGAAGGCTGTAAAGGTGAGACTTGTTGATGACAATGTAATGCGAGAAGATAAGATCGTTGGCAGAACTTTGGTGCTGGTGGGAATCAGGTCAGAAGACTGCGCAGGGGTGGTTGTGAAAGTCGAATTATCAGATACTGTTGAACAAGATCAAAGTGAAGCGAGGAAATATATGCTGGATCTCTGATGCTGGATTCACTGAGTCAAATTTTGGCACTAGCCCTCGCATCTCTCTCGTCATTTTCGCCTGATAGCAATCAAATCATCGAGAGAGAACTTGCAAAACAGAAACCCCTAGCTGCCGTGTGACTAGGAGGGAAGAGAAAGTAAGCTTTCATCATTATTTTGTCGTGCGAGGATTACTGGGACCCCTCATGGCTTAATAAGTGCGAATTGAATGGCACTGAGGAGAGTCGAACCGGTGGACACATGCTACCTACATGGGAGAACTGAGCTACAACCACTGCGCCAATCCACCAGTTCGACAGAAACAATGCTATTTGCTATCAACATAAGGCCGATGTTGCCCTCCAGTGAAGACTCAGTGAAGAACTCGTAAGCCATTCCTGTCTCTGTCGTGTTATTACTTCGAAGAAATCGAGTTATACATACTGAGCTGGTACTCCTATTCAGCTACATGATCTGTAATATCAAAGCCTACACTACGAGCCAACTTCAATGCGTATTCCCAGCCGAAGTTGACCTTCCATTTAGCGCCTGGCTCCAGCACATCGCCACCAACGACTGCCGTTCTCAGAAGCAATCTCAAAGAACACAGCGTGGCCAGTTGTGTGTAGATATCCATTGTCGGCGTGAGGTCGTGTGGTAACACCGCGTGGAGAATGGCGAGTAGTCTATCAAGCGGAAAGGGGCTGGGTGAAAGAAGATGCCTTGGAATCTTTCGATTCTTTGATTCGCGGCTAGCGATGGCGCCGCCTCCTTTCTGCGTCGCTTTCGTTCNCGTGGCCTTCATGAAGTAGATATTGTCTTGACGTGGGGGGTTGAANNGGGATGCAAGATACGCAGCACATAGCAGCCACTTCGAGTAGTAGGGCAGATCATGGGTGACTGTAACATTGTCAGCAAGCCTGCTCAAATTTAATGGTCAGGAATACCTCCTACCATCGGTGAGTATGTTTGTATCCTCTTGAGGCTCATCGATAACCGAATCTAATAGACAGCTTTCCGCTTGGAAGAGTTTACGTTGTGCTACCATGAGTTTACTGAAGTCTCGAGTGCCATAGGTGCCATCAACGATTGGTTGTACAAAGGGCCGCCAGAGTTTGTCGAGGATGGATCTGAAGGTGACGATATCCCGAGCTGCACCACTTGCTAACGAATCCCAGACAGCAGCACAGAATCGCGACCAAAGCCATGCATCGTCTTCGGCAGCTAATGCTTCGGAGTAGTTCGCAGATGGTGATAGAGGCTCATTGAAGATTTGTTGTGGTTGACAGCAAGCGATTTGAATGGCTTGTTCGCGAGTATAAGGCGAAAAATAAATATGTGGTGCACCTGGCAGATGGAGTAGACGTGGATGAGGGAAAGTGACGATCATCACAACACTGAGGCTGGGAATAAGTTGACCAAGACGTGCGAGAGATGGCAGTAGAGTGGGAGGAGCATCTCTTTGCTCGTCGATGCCATCTAGAACCAACACAAACTTGTCGGTGCCTTCAANAAGACGTTCTAGAGAGCTTGTCAGGGTGCTAATATTCTCACACCTTGAAGCAATGATGCCATCCAGAGATGTGTTGGTTGCTGTTTCGATTGCCTCTACACAAACCGCCAGAGTTCGTTCCAGGAAATGACGGCTTGTAATGCACTCGGAGCATGGAACGAAAGCATGTTTGAGACCAGAAAGCTCCAAGTAAGATTTCAACAGGCCTGTCTTCCCAGTAGCCTCTGAACCATGTACAACCAACGTTCCCGAACTGTTCAGTCTAGGCTACACGACATCAGTAAACACGCAGGCGTTTGTGATGGGCATACTCACAGAAAGGAGAGCGGAAAGAGTCTTGATCTGCAAATCTCTGCATGGCCATTGGTTCGTTAGGGAAANAACGATTTCATCCGGGAGCATTTCCAAGCCCATATCTGCTTCTTTCCGTGTCTCAATAGAGGTCAGGCTTCAATGTTTCTTGCCTGTTTGCGCTGCTGCTCTGGCTCAAGTGGTTCGGGAGTTGCAAACGGGCTTGCAACTTTCACCCGATCGTCAGCTGCTTTTTCTTGTAGACTTTTCACCTTGGATGCAAAGTTGACACTGCTCGGTGTGAACAGAGAGCAATCACAAAAAATGGAAGCGGGCTTGACAACAGATCAACACCGCGTTGCACAAGAAAGAAGTATGGAGATGGATTGAGTTATGCAAGGAACCGGCGTTAAGCACGGTTGATCCGAGCAGATCTGGGGAAGAGGACGCTAGCGATGAACCGTGCACCAGAAATTATTGTAGAGGAAGTCGCGACATGTGAGACTGTGCCTTCTTCGGTGACAGACGATGCAATGAGTGAAGAACAACGAGGAAGGTCCGCACCCCCGGGTGTTGGACCTGCGTTCAGCCCCGCCGATGCTGCATCCCAAGCTGACCTGGATGGTCGTGACTCTCCCTCATCCTCCTTCATCGACGACAACGACATGCCNCCCACCAAACCCGGCCTCTGGTTGCTGAAGACTAAGGCAGAGGCTCGTGCCTCGACTGCCACTGTCCAGGCATGGACGATAGAGTTGCCATCCAGAGCTGCTAACACCGTCCTGNNGGGTATGTTCTGCTTTGTTTGCGCGCTGTGCTTCATCTCGCTGACTTTCCTGCCCAGTCTCATCAAGGACAACGTCCCTGATCTCGATGCTATCGACCTACAGCACATCCGTCGCTTCGCAAAGGCCCGCTTCCTGCCCACTCACCTCATCCCCGAGACGACCGCCGTCAGCCGCAGCAGAAGTGGCAGCGAGCATCACGCCGATGGCTCCTCTCGTGGCTCATCTCGCTCACGCTCATCGCGCAACAAACGTCGGGGTAGTGTCCCGGCCACACTGCACCTGATCGTTAGTCCCGTCAGCTGCATTGGCGAAGACGCCCTTACCGAACTCCTCCTTGCCAGCCCTCCCTTCGTCGACGACGGCTTTCCTCTTCTTCTCAGAGAGGTCACCCTTCCTCTTCTGCCCCCCACCAGTGCTGAGCAAGCCGAGCAGTGGTCTCAACAGTACTGGCCAACCATCTACCGCAAGACCAACCCCTTCGGCCCTCATCCTAGCATCATCGGCCGTGCCGAGGAGGAGGTTCTGTCTAACAACAACGTACCTCGCCTCATGGAGATGGCCAANAAGGTCGCTGGAGAGACAAAAGCAAAGTGCTGCGGCGCTGGCGTGGGATGCGTCATCATCGAAAGACCTACCGGAAAGCCCATCGAAGTCATTGCCGTCGCTGGAGATGGCCGCTATCAAGACCTTGACGAAGTTGCTGGTCAACAGAACCCTATGGCTCACGCCGTTATGCGAGCTATAGGCATGGTCGCACGCAAACGTGTCCGCAGCGCTACTCGCGATCCTTCGAAGCTCAACCAGGACATGGCTGCCCTGGATATCAACAAGCCTTCTCACAAGCCCGCTCCTGGTGCTCCCAAGTTCGTTGACAAGACTCTGCTTGACTACCCCTTGACGCCCATGGAACGCAAGGCCTTTAACAAGGACAACCTAATCCCCGACGGCTACCTCTGCGTTGATCTTGAGATCTACCTCACTCACGAACCTTGCGTCATGTGCACTATGGCCATCTTGCACTCACGCTTCGCTCGCTGCGTCTTCGGCATCCGTATGCCTAAGACTGGCGCTCTGACAGCTGATGGAGGCGGTCTCGGCTATGGACTGTTCTGGCGTCCCGAGCTCAACTGGAAGTTCTTGTGCTGGGAGTGGAAGGAGAAAGACCCATATGATGGCGACAACCACTTGCACCTCTTCCTCGACAAGAAGACTCAGGTCTGATTGCGTCCTTCCTTGATGACTCTTTGAAATCCTCGCTATATTCCTCGACCTGGGCTCTTTTCTCTTCTTCTTTCGGTTTCTTTCCTTGTCTTTGTTACCGACATGGTTAGGTAGTGTGTCGGCCCCGCTTGAAAAACTGGGGGAGGCTTTGTTTTCTGGTGAAGACTGCCTGTGAATGAATGGCAGCAGCATTATGCACATAACAGCGAGCATGGTATACAGGCGTCAATATGGGTTAGCTGGTGGCAGTCTGGTGAGCTTTTTTATACCCCTTTTCTGCGAATGGACAAAACGAGATGGACGGAATTGCTACATCTCTGGGCGTATCCCGTTGTCAATATATCATAAATGAAGTTTCTCTTATTAAAGTCGGATGTAATCGCTGCGCACATGTGATGGCAATTGTTGTCAAGATGATCGCGACTTCGAAGGAAAAGTGACTTTCGATTATGCATGATGATATGGTTCGTAAACTTCGTTTGATCTCAGAAATGGGACAGCTCAAGAGCTGCAACTGCACTGCATCGCACGCTTGATGTGAGGCACATCACCACAGAATCTATCTTCCTCTTCCTTGTTCCAGCCCCATGACTCTTCGAAAGGATTGAGGGCCATCTTCATGACACCCTGAAGGATTTCACGCTCGCCCTTCTTCTCTACTCTGTCGATCAGCTCGTCCAAGATCCATGATCTGGGAATGAACTGTGAATACAAGTGTTAGTCTTGATCTGCCATAAGCGATGTCCGGGCGTTTCTTACCTTGGGGTTGACCTTCTTCATGGCCTCCTGGCGCTCGGCGTCCTTGCCTTCGCTCCAGTCCTCAATGACACGGTTGCGCCATTGCTCGAGCCACTTTGCAATTCTGGTTCTGGCATCGTCCTCGCTGGTACCTACAGTATCGCCGAGACCTTCATGATGGAAGAAGCGGCCTGCGACTTCCTTTCTTTGCTCTTCCGACTCGATCTCTGACAAGTCCATGTTGCTGAGTTTACGGAAAGTGTGGTTGAAATCGAGCTCCAACGCCTCGAGCGTGTCCAGCAGCTCGGAGAAGAGAACTTCGAAGTCGGAGTCCTTGCATTGCTTGAGACCCAGACGTGCAGACATGAGACGCTTGTATTCTGCCATGAACACTGCGCGGAATTCTTCGCCGGTCTTTTCGATCAACGTCTCGGCGCGCTTGATCAGCTCGTCGGCCCAAGTCTTGCTAACACCTTCTGTGACGAACTCGTTGTCATCACAGCGGGCTCCAGCGCCAATCAACTCGCCGAATGCCTCACCTAGACGCACAAGGTTCCACCAGATGATGCTCGGTTGATTGCGGTAGCTGTAGCGGAGCATATGATCGTCGTGGTTAGGTGTGTAGCTGGGGTCGAAGTTGTCAAGGAAGGCGAAAGGGCCAAAGTCGATAGACAAGCCGAAGATGGATGTGTTATCTGTGTTCAATACACCATTTGTGAAAGCGTAGGCTTGCCAATATGCGACTGTCTTCGCGTTTCGGCGGGCAATCTCGCGGTAAAGACGTGTGAAACGGTTCTCTTCGTGTTCGTTCTCGCCCTGTACGATAGTCGCCGCGAATCCGCGTTCTGGATCAGTGGCCGTCTCGGTGACCTCGCCTACTTTCAGAGCACCTGGAAGGTTCTTCCAACCACCAAAGACATCTTCGGCGACATATGTGGCCAACTTCCGAATAAGGGCTCGATCACCACGAGAGCGTAGAAGATCGAAAGTACCAAAACGCAACCAACTTTGAGCAAAGCGAGTGACGATGGCACCAGGCTCGATACGCTCTCTCAGAGCCTTGTCCTCAGGAGTAAAAGTCAAAGCCAGTGCACGAGTAGAAGGGATTCCTAGAGCATGCAAGCTCTCACTGACAACGAACTCTCTGATACTGCTTCGCAGAACAGCTTTGCCATCGGCGAATCGACTGTAAGGCGTTTTGCCTGCACCTTTGAGTTGAACCTCGTAGCGGACGTCTGAGTTTGGGTTTGTGGTCTCGAACAAGGATATAGCGCGGCCATCACCCAGCTGACCTGCCCATTGACCAAACTGGTAGCCTCCATAACATTGTGCCCAAGGATATATCTGTTCTCTTCTTTGTTGTTCTTCGGGCAGCATGTTCGACTCTGAAGCCTTGGCCTCGTCCCATGTTAGGATCTTGCTGCCAGAGACTGTGTCTTTGAAGTCCTGTGAGTCTGTCGAAGATGGGTCGATGGCGAGCGTTTGGAGTGCGGCGGGCGAGACAGCAAGGACTTCGTACTTGGTAGGTGGGTCGGGGCGAACGTATGTGTAGAGAGCGCCTTTGACCAAGCGAGGACCGAGTTCTCTTCGCTCGGCAGCATGGGAACTGGATGGAGTGGGGAAGTTTTGGTCTGGTGGAAGATTCGTGGTGAAGTTGTTGGACTTTGGTAGATCTACAATAGAATGTGTCTTCTCGTTGGTCTTGGTCGCGTCGTACAGGGCATTGTTTTGCCCGCCGGTAGTAATGTGGGCTGCCATGAGTGCGATGCGGGTATGGGCTAGCGTTGGACGCAGGCTTCGTGCTCTTGAGAGCATATACAAGATCGTTCGGTAGGAATGGGTTATATTGGTGGGATGAATGTGAGAAGATAGATATGTCAAAATAACTTGTATAAATTCGCCTCGACATGACAATGCATTGACGATGGTTGACGTCGCTGTGATGGGCGGAGCACATGGCGAATTGTGGGGTCACCGCCTTTGATCTTGAGCCTCCTTCCTGCATCTCACTATTTGGCTATTGTCCAACTCTTGACAATAGAGTACCCTCACATGAGGACGTGTTTACATTCTCGGTCCATTCTGCCTCGTCCGGCTGAAGATGGTAGCTTCGATCAGCTCCTTCCCCTTCTGCCTAGGTATCTTAGTTGTAGTGACTTTCGTCTGTCTCGACAGTGCTGGGTTGCCTGGGCACTACAAGAAACCTGACCAACACCTTCTTCGCTCTCACTCGGACTCAACGGCAATGTCAAGATTATTTACTTCCCTCTTCTCCATTCTCCCACTCTGCTCGCTGCTCCCCTACTTGAACTTGTCGTCCCTGGAATAGAGAGTGACAAAGTTGCACCTGCCTCAACCGCCGCCAGTCACTGCTGCCTTCCCCACGCTTTGAACGTGTGCGACTTTTCAAAACAGCCGCGAACAACAAGACCTCACACTCCCTTGCATGCGCGCGCTGAGGCGCATCATGTGCACTGCCTAAGGCCAAATTTTCATGATCTCTTCAACTTCATCACAAGCACGCGATACAATGCAAGTGAAGACCCCGGTCCAAATCCTTACTTCTTGCAAACCCGTCGGATTTCCACCTTCGCCTCGCAGCAGACATGAACCCCGTAGACGACTACAGGAAATATTGTGGATCAAAACTTGTATACGACGCATCCGGCCAAAGACGACCTGTCTTCCTACAACGCAATCTTCGAAAAGTCCTCGATCATCATGAACATAATTTGAACCTTCTCAAGCATCCGTCAACAAACTCTACCTCGGATTCGACAACGGCAGATATGCTTCCAAATACTGAGAACTCACGCTTTCTCCCTAGCTTGAACATGTTGTTCAATGCCATCAAACCTGCCCAGCAAACACTCAATATTCAGCCAAAGCATCTTCTCAAGATACGAAAACCAGATGGGGATCCAAAAGGAATACTGGGGGTTGCCAAGCCTGAACCATCTGTGAACCCAACGTGGCTTCCTGCCCCTAACCAGATCCAGATTAAATGCAATGTGCATTGCAGCGTCGTTGTTCATGATGAGAGTGACAAACCCACCAGAGTTCTATACACAGAGTCGCGTGTGGCTAAATTGACCGAAACAAATGATGACAAAGGCGATCCGGCTTTCGCCATTGACATGAAGCCATTCGTTATCACAGAAAATCAGCTGCTCACCACCCAGTTAGCAAACCACAATACAAACGGTGGCAGGAGATGGAAAACAGACCGCCGCGCTCAAGTTGCACTGATGGTGGGCATCAACTGCTTCAATTCTGAGGATGCCTCTGAGCTGCTTTCCGTGATCGATCCGGATACCAGCTCAAGACCGACTCTGTCACCAAAACAAGCTGAGCTGAGAGTATTCTGGAGAGACTTATCTGATTCTACCCTTCGCAATCAGACGCTCCTTCGACGATATGAGCATGAGCCTGAGGACCAATTCAAGCGTTCGCCTTCCAAAACTGTGGATTATTCATTACGCGCAGGTATTTCATGGACTGGGGCTACCAATTCACGCGGTTCCCCATTATCTATGTGTAACCACATCATGCGACTGGTCCAACGCCGTATCCAGCCCAAAGCACCAGAAACAGTGCACCGCCCACAGATCTGCCACATCACATACCTCTTCGACGGAGGCCCAATAGGGTCGAGAACTATCATCCGTACCGACCTCGGCTGCGTCTTCTGCCCGGGCCGTCTGCCACATCCAACCTTCGACAGACTTCATTTCCATTATCTGAGCTTTCATGACCACTTCACGTTCAAGGTGCACAAGCCTGCAGCAACAGACTCCGGTTCAGTCACTCGCACAGTGCGAATTGAGCTTGCAGCTCCGAAGTACGAGCGTGCCAGCGACAATGTGTGTGATGAGCGTGAGATCACTTGGATCAAGCCAGACATTCCATTCGATCTGCAGCAATACCTCTCGGAAGGTGGGTACAATAATTGGGCTAGTGGAAAACAGCTGGCTCTCAAGGCCTTTCCTAAGACTGCAAAACCAGGCTGTATGTCAAAAGGAATTGCGCGACCAAAGGCCTCGTTCGTCAACGGACACTCGAGGTTGACGCCGTCCAATTGCCAGCTAAAGGTCAGGCCACCTGAAGAGGTTCCTGAGGTGCCGTCAAGGAAGCGAAAGAGGTTCGAGGTTCCTGAGATCCCAGGAGTCACTATATTCCGCGCAGAGTCCAAGCGGGAGGTGGAGCCTGGNGAAGTGCTTAGTGAAAGCGACGCTGAGCCTGACGACTCATGGCTGCGGACTAAGCATAGGATAGAAGGGTTTCCTCAGCTTACTGGTGCAGCCAGAGAGTTTGCAATACTGTTCGACGAACACTTGCAAGATGAACCAAGAAATCTGGCGAACGTACACGTCTGTGAGGCAGTCGTTCGATTCGTACGGAGATTTGCAGCACGATTGAGGCAGCCACATCTATTGCAGGAACTCAAGTCCAAGCTTGATGAGCTTATGGACATGGACTTGATCTCAAACGAGTATGTCGAGTATTGCCTCGCTTTGGTTGCTGAGAAAGGAGAGACTACTTCGAATGGCACAGGGCAAGGACATATCAAGAGCGGCCCGGTGGTCAAAGAAGAAACTGCACATGGAGCCAACCAAGCCCCATCATCAACTGCCCCGCAAAGTCACAACAGACTAGATGTTATCATGATTGACGACAGTGACACGGAGCCTGGCGCCGAGGTCTCTCTAGCAGTAGTCCATCAGACGAATAGCAACGACGTGCACATGCAAGATGCGACTCACCACGCACCGAATGCTTGTGTGTGCGGCAAAGTGCCTTCTGGCTCACGTAAAGTCATCACTTGCCGAAATATTGTAAGTTCATTGGGCCCTGTTTACAAGTATGTTGTCCGCTAACCATCAATCTAGCATTGCCCACACAATGAGTTCCATATGGCTTGTGTTGGCCTCAACGAACGACTACCAGATTGGCGATGCGAGGACTGCAGACCAGCAACGGACTAATTAAATCACATCGCTCAACATAACACCCAGCTTTTTCTTCTCACATGTTAGGGAGGCTTTGGTAAGTCACTTAACATTCTGGCATTCGTGGCGTACATCAGGGGGTTGGACATATTTGCTTAGGCGCAGGAAACATCTTTAGCGAAAGGGAAATATTGCATTCTGTAATTCTTTATCGGCGAACGGCGTCTCGATCTTGGAAGACACCGAATCTCCTTGCTGTTGTGTTCTTCGGTTGCTGATCCAGCATCTAGCTGGAAAGCTCACCAAACTTGAGCTCTATTGACTCCTACAAAAGTTTTCGAGGGCATTGTGAGTCCATTGGGTCAATTTACTAATCTATTTACTTTACTCAAGATCCGGTTGTTCTCAAGTTTGTGGCATTTTCTGGTTTCTGAGCTTGCCACCACTACATCCGTCATTGTGCGCTCAACCTCAGCATGAATTTTTGTTGACAGCTCTGGAACAAAGCGACCCTGCCCCAGAGTATGGTTCAGAAAGCATGAGCGCTCGGACCACCTCGAAACGTCATTCTCAGAACACCCCGCGATAGAAGCGCACTGAAGCAGTCGCAAGAAGTGAGGAAAGTGCTCTACAGTGCGCCGACAAACAAGGTAACTGCCTCTTCGAAGTAGTCGGAAGCTGCAAGTAACTTTCCGAAGTAGCTAGATACAACAATTGAGTCGAAAGTGATGCGGCGTGGCGAGATAGATGGGTCCCAGAAGACAGAGGCAAGTGATGGAAACATGTGGAAGAAGATGGAAACCACCCGCAAATTCTGGTCGTGTCCGAAGCAACGCAACAACCGCCCGCTGCGCACATTTATAAAACTTACTTCTCTTGCTCACACCTCCCATCACCACTTTCTTCTTTCACACTCAATCAAAAGCTCTTTTCTTTACGACTGACGACATCTTTTACATCGTCAACAAAAAGCCTTCTGTTTGATACCCCTCTTCTTTTCTTCAGTTCACAACACATCCATCATGGCTCCCGCTATCGGTATTGATTTGGGTACCACCTACTCATGTGTCGGGTATGTACAAGATCGTGCCCCTTTCTTCAAGACTTCTTACTGACTTTCCTCTAGTATCTACCGTGATGACCGCATTGAGATTATCGCCAACGACCAGGGTAACCGCACCACTCCCTCGTTCGTTGCCTTCACCGACACCGAGCGTCTGATCGGTGACTCGGCCAAGAACCAGGTCGCTATGAACCCTCACAACACCGTCTTCGACGCCAAGCGTCTCATTGGCCGCAAGTTCGCCGATGCTGAGGTTCAGGCCGACATGAAGCACTTCNNCCCCTTCAAGGTCATCGAGAAGGCTGGCAAGCCCGTCGTTCAGGTCGAGTTCAAGGGTGAGGAGAAGACCTTCACCCCTGAGGAGATCTCCTCCATGGTCCTCACCAAGATGCGTGAGACCGCCGAGTCCTACCTTGGTGGCACCGTCAACAACGCTGTCGTCACTGTCCCTGCCTACTTCAACGACTCTCAGCGCCAGGCTACCAAGGATGCTGGTCTGATTGCTGGCCTCAACGTCCTCCGTATCATCAACGAGCCCACCGCCGCTGCCATTGCCTACGGTCTTGACAAGAAGGTTGAGGGTGAGCGCAACGTCCTCATCTTCGATCTTGGTGGTGGTACTTTCGATGTTTCTCTCCTTACCATTGAGGAGGGTATCTTCGAGGTCAAGTCTACTGCCGGTGACACTCACTTGGGTGGTGAGGACTTCGACAACCGCCTTGTTAACCACTTCGTCAACGAGTTCAAGAGAAAGCACAAGAAAGACTTGACCACCAACCCCCGTGCTCTCCGTCGTCTGAGAACCGCTTGCGAGCGTGCCAAGCGTACCCTCTCTTCGTCTGCTCAGACCTCTCTCGAAATCGACTCTCTCTTCGAGGGTATCGACTTCTACACCTCGCTCACTCGTGCCAGATTCGAGGAGCTCTGCCAGGACCTCTTCCGTGGCACTATGGAGCCCGTCGAGCGCACTCTCCGTGACGCTAAGATTGACAAGTCCTCCGTCAACGAGATCGTTCTCGTCGGTGGTTCCACCCGTATCCCCAAGATCCAGAAGATGGTCTCCGACTTCTTCGGTGGCAAGGAGCCCAACAAGTCCATCAACCCCGATGAGGCCGTTGCCTACGGTGCTGCCGTCCAGGCCGCCATTCTCTCTGGTGACACTTCCTCCAAGTCTACCAACGAGATCCTTCTTCTCGACGTCGCCCCGTTGTCTCTCGGTATCGAGACCGCTGGTGGTGTCATGACTGCTCTCATCAAGCGCAACACCACTATCCCTACCAAGAAGTCCGAGACCTTCTCCACCTTCTCCGACAACCAGCCCGGTGTCTTGATCCAGGTCTTCGAGGGTGAGCGTGCCCGCACCAAGGACAACAACCTTCTCGGCAAGTTCGAGCTTACCGGCATTCCCCCTGCTCCTCGTGGTGTCCCCCAGATTGAGGTCACCTTCGACGTTGATGCCAACGGTATCATGAACGTCTCTGCCCTCGAGAAGGGTACCGGCAAGACCAACAAGATTGTCATCACCAACGACAAGGGCCGTCTTTCCAAGGAGGAGATCGAGCGCATGCTCTCCGAGGCTGAGAAGTACAAGGAGGAGGATGAGGCTGAGGCTGCCCGTATTGGCGCCAAGAACGGCCTCGAGTCTTACGCCTACTCTCTCAAGAACACCATCTCCGACCCCAAGGTTGAGGAGAAGCTCCCTGCCGATGACAAGGAGAAGCTCCAGGCCAAGATCAATGAGACCGTTGAGTGGATCGACTCCAACACCACCGCCACCAAGGAGGAGTACGAGTCGCAGCAGAAGGAGCTAGAGGCCGTTGCCAATCCAGTGATGTAAGTTCAGTCTTTTCTACAGTCAATGAACAACTACTAATATTGTACAGGNACCGCTTTCTACCAGCAGGCTGGCGGTGCNCCCTGAGGGTGGTATGCCCGGTGGTATGCCCGGCGGTGCTGGCGCTCCCCCGGCGCCTCCGACGACGGTCCTCAGGTCGAGGAGGTCGACTAAGCGTAACGCTTAAGCACAACCTTTCGTCTTCAGCATCATACAGCCGGCGTTGGTAGAGGATAACAATGGGTTTCTTCAAGTTGTCTTTTCTCTTTGATATCACGAAGCATGAGTTTGCAGCGGAGAAACTGCATCCATGCCATGTTACTTTAATGTCACTCCATAGGAGTGTAACGAAGATTTCTTTTACTTTCAAATATGCTGCTTTCTCATCGTTCTGTGTGACTGTGATTGTGATTGTTCGGCTTGATATGTCTTTGTACCATCTTGTTCTCTTGAAGTTTTTGAGCCTCTCGCACTCTCAATGGATCAAAGTCGTCGAACATGGCTGCTGAAATGCACAATGTTTTGTCAGCATGAGCACCGCCCAGTGAGATAGCACTTGCCGGTTACTCTCAGTGGTCAACCTCTGAACAGACAAAACATTGTGCATTTCAGCAGCTATTTTGGTCTGAATGTGTCCACTGAGAGTATTTGCTTGCTCGAGACTCTATTTGGAGTGGCTCGGGTGTGCAGAAACTGTTTATCTCGATAGATCATGGTCTGTGAAGAGGTCCATTGAGAGTCGACATTGTGCAAGTAAGTCTTGCTCGTTTTTGTGTTAAAGCACTTGAGCCTGTTCTTGTTGTGTTTCAATCTATCCTTTGTCTTCATCAAAACTCTCCTTGGATCTTGACATCCTGATTGTCACGTTGCTTGTCAATTCGTAAGTTGGACATGTCTGACGGTTGGGAATCTCATTTGTTTAATTCTCGTGTACTGGCTTCACTCAAAAGCCATCATTTCTAACATTCTCTTTGCTCTTTCTTTGGTTTTTGCTGCTGACTCTTCTCTGTCCATCTGCTGTCTAGACGCTCCTCGTATAGATTCATTCGCGTCCCCTCTTGCTCTTGTTATGAAACACATCTGGGTTGTCTACATTGTCGTCCCTTCAACGGTAGGGGTTTTGACATCCATGCAATATTTGCTTGTCACAGCGGCTGTCCGAGATGCTGGGGCCAGGTCGAACGATTGCCCGACTTGACCTGCGGAAGCTGATTTGGACGAAAGACACATCCCGTCCCAGAATCTTCGGCATCTCGGAGAAGGTTTCCCATGCATTGCTCTGTCTGCCCAGTGTCACGTCTCAATCATCGGTTGGGGTTTGGACCTTGTGGTTTACCATGCTACATTCACACTATCGCAGCTTCACCTGTCATGTCCTGTCGTACGCCAGCTACGCTGACAACGAGTTGTGCGGCAAGCTGTTGCATGTCTCACTCAACCCGAATTTGGAAGCTCAACTTTCATAAAAGTTGTAACTAGAGTTATTGCGATGGCATATACTTGGAGTCACTGCTTGAAAAGGCAAGAACATGAAAGCTTGGCGTCGCTCAAGAACACTGACTTCGGCCACCTGAAACATCCCAGCCTTTCACGGTGGGTCGAAGAAATCAATGTGTTTACAACGCGATTTTCGCGGGTGTCTACAGGCAATAAGGCGCAAGGGTATGTCAAAGCTGGTATGTCAAAGCTCTGCCAGCATAGCGGTCGCTGGTCACCAGACTTCTTCTCGTTCACGCATGCAGCTTTGATTGCTATGGCCGAGAATGTTTTCGACCAACGCCCACAACATGTAGCTGGACTGGCTTCCATCTCTGATGACCAGATAGTAAGACATCCTCTGTCGCCTGCCTTGGAAGTTGTTCGTCACCCATTGTGGACCCATTGATTACAGCTTGCTGCGAAAACCTTGCCAGTCTCATCAGGTGTTCGCCCTTCAGGCCCTGCGACCCGCCAAGGTATGTGTTCTCTATGTCGAACAATATCTCCACCTCACATTGAGACTCGCCCGTACTCCCCATCTGTACAAGAGGTTCGGGTTTCTGAAGTCTTGGGAGGTTGTTGACCAAACTTGAAGATGCTGCTATCTATTTGACACCTGTCGGAGGCTTGGCAGTGTTTCGATATCAGAGCGCCTACAGCTATTGCATACGAGATTTCTTGGCCTGAGGCTTGTTCACACCACCGATAGTAAACATGGTCAATCCTATGTTTCAACATTGATCTTCTTCTTACGGCCAAGGCGTGTGGGACAAGCTATGCCATTTGCGCAGCCAGCGCCGCCCGGGCAGGCTGTCTTGGACTACTATTTCTGTCTGCTTGCGTCTCCATCGAGCCCTACACACCACACATTCTCACGGAAGATGTCTATCTATGGCTAGGGTTGCATGCCAGTTTGTCCTTTGCTGGGCTCACGTCTTGTTTGATCAGCCTGGGCAGGTTCGCCAAAAGGGTTGGCAAACTGCAAGTTGACATGCCATATCGGCATTTGAGCAAGGAGGTTTGTATTCCAAAGCTCAGAACGGCTATATAAGTACGAGGAAACTACCTCAATCCATCTCTTTCTTTCTCATCCAACACTCAGTTCATTCGTTAGATCGTTTCACTTCTCTCTTTGTCTGCAGCCGGCTCTGCCAAGTAACCAACTTTACACACATCCTCACGAAACAACCTCAACACACTCGGACACGATGCATTTCACCGCTGTTGCTCTTGCTGCCCTCGCAGGATTTGCCCCTCTCATTGAGGCTCATTACACCTTCACTCAGCTGATGGTCAACGGTTCCNNCCCTGTCGGTAAAGACTGGCAGTACATCCGTCAGCACACCAGAGGCTACCAGCCTACCAAGGGCTCAGAGATTCTCCAGACCGACTTCCGCTGCAACACGGGTGCTGGATCGGGCGCCAACACTGAGGTCTACTCCGTCAAGCCCGGTGACAAGATCGGCATGAAGCAGGGCTTTGGTGCAAACGGAATTGAGGTGGGTATCTATGCTCTTTATCTGACAAGAAGTTTACTAACGTTCTTTTGCTTCTCANNGCACCCTGGTCCCGCTCAAGTCTATCTGAGCAAGGCACCTGGTTCAGTCAAGAGCTACGATGGTAGTGGTGACTGGTTCAAGGTCCAACAAGACATCCTCTGCAAGTCAGGCAGCCCCGAGTCCCTCAAGACCGACGCATGGTGCATCTGGAAGAAGAACAACATCGAGTTCACTGTCCCTGACAACATTGTAAGTCTTTGATCAAATAACAAGCGTCATGCCATCCAATGCTAATGTATCATGCCTTGACAGCCCGATGGCGAATACCTCGTCCGCAGCGAGCACATTGGTATTCACGGTGCCCATGACGGTCAAGCTGAATTCTACTACTCCTGCGCTCAAATCAAGGTCCAAGGTGGCAAAGGCTCCTCTACCCCCGCGGGTGTCAAAATCCCCGGTGTCTACCAAGTCAATGACAAGGCTATCAACTTCAGCGTCTGGGGCTCTGCTACTTCTTACCCTGATCTGCCCGGTCCTGCTGTTGCTGCTGGCGGTCGCACTACTGGCTCTATCGATGGCAAGAGCAGCGGTACTTCTATGGCTAAGCGTGCTCTCCAAGGTGGCTCTCTCGCTTCCAGAGCTGCTGCTGAGGTCAACAATGCTTAGAGTACGCTGTCTGCATTGTATCCGATGGCATAACACTTTTGTCCGTGAGACGTAGTGGTATGAGCATCGCAAATGTGTTGAGGAGATGTGTGTGTGTCATTGGTTGCACCCAAGGCCTAGGTGATCCGGACACTTATGGCTGAAAGGTCGCTGCGACATTCTTTTCTGTATATCTTATCCTTGTTGGAGGAGTCGCACTTTTCTTGTTGTATATTGCAGGTCGATAGTCAAATGATAAAACAGTTGTGGTTCATCTACTTTTAGTTCGCACCTGGTGCCTGGCTACGCTTGAACAGCGAGCTGCAAAACAAAAAATCAACATCAATGAATGTTGCCACCAAAAGACAATTTGTGCTATGAAGGCAAGAGCGATCGATGATAGTGATCACAAAAGCAAAACAAAACGTACAGCAGCAGGGATTCCCACGTGGTCACCCACCGTAGTACTAATCTGCCGTTCAACTGCTTATGTATGGCAGAGCGGACGGGATGCCCAGTTTTCAGCTGACTGTGGCCGTACGTGCTGGTAAGTTCAAACTGTTGTTTTATATACGTATTGACGCAGAATATTCGCACCGAGCACTGAAAAATGTCAACGCGGTCGGATGTCCTTGACTCCTTGTCTTCACGACTTTAATGTTCAATCCAGCTCTGACTTGCCGACCATCTGTCAGCAGCATATCACTGGACATAGGCGAGTTGAAGACATAACAGCAAGCTGCAAAAGACTGCAATCTGTTCTCATCGAATGGCAGTCTCTGATTCAGTCGAGGAATCAACCAGATTGAGAATATCACGATGTTTACTCTCATGGTCCTCATACACTGGCAGGCTGCGGGTCACCTGGCTTGGCCCTATAGCTGATCCGTCCTGCAGGCAAGAAGAACAACGCGACCAAAGCTCCTCCACGCACTTCTGGATAATGATGCGTTCCAGGACCCGGCGATGTCCAACCCGCACCTTGCCAGCCTTGCATACCCTTCAACTCAGCAGTCTTGTCGACTTGCACAACACAGTTGATTTCTCCATAAGGATGAGAGTGATATTGACCCGAGTNACTAATGTCCGCAATCGCATTAGCAACATAGTTCTTTAGCAGTTGGTGGTAAGCAAATAGTCAACACACCTCTTCTTCACTTTCCATGTACACAGTTGTGATGGAGAAGAATCTGTTTTCAGCACTTGGGAGGAGGACTTTGGAGCGGCGGTACTTTGCTCCATCGAGCTCGAAGTTGGCGACCCAGCCTTCCTTCAGGCCTTGACGGGTCAAATTACACAGGTCTTCGTATACTGGGTTACCAGGGCCATAGTTTGCATTGAGATATGCTTCGAGCTCGTGACCTGGTGNTACTGATAAATGCAGTCACATCAGCGTGGAACGATGCACTAGATTGGTGCGAGGGGAGACATACAGATCTTCGACTTTGGAGAAGAAGTCGCGACAACGCGATACCAGTTTCTGAGCTGTTGGATAAGCGTTCAGATCAACCTCAGCGGGAGGCACATCGTTCTTCGATGGATTGGTGCCAGTGCTCGGAGGCATCGGAGAGCTCATTGCTGCTGCTGATATTGTTGCTTGTATGGCAAGGTAGGTAAGTTGGTGCAAGTGGAGATTTCCTGCTATCAAGCAGTTACAGTACAACGAGAACCTTCAAAATCTTGAAACTGTCCAAACGAGCAATTATGAGGATGATGTACTTGAGTTTTGGTATAGTAATCAGAAAACACAAAAGTAAGCCACCACAAAGCAAGACCCCGCTCTGGATAACCGGCATCACTGCCTGGCAGTCCACAACAAAGAACGCTTGAACAACAATGTATAGATTTGTGGGGTAGTGAAACGGATGACGAGATACTCAACTTAAATCTAGCCAATTCATGATCAAAGATATGGTTGTGGTTCAATGCCGAGCAGATGCTGACTGCATGCGAGGAGCTAAATAGCAGACCCTCTTGCTACATAGTTCATACTGCAAAGCTATCTCGTCTTTGTCTCTCTGATTCTTTCTCTGCTAGCTGCGACGTAGTGATGACAACCAGATTAGGCACAATGATCACCATGAAAGAAGCTCATATCGATACCAATACTAATGTCACACTTCATGATGTACCCATACCAGAACTGACTGATCCACACCACATCCTTATTAAAGTCGTCGTCGCAGGATGTAATCCAAAGGATTGGAAGATGCCTGCTGGACTGCTCGTCACAATCGGTTTATGTCCCAACAGCGGCGATGATGTAGCAGGTTAATACTTTCCGGTTGACCGATCTCAAGATACTATACTGACTACTCCGTCAACANNAGGTATCGTCGCTGCGGTTGGCTCTGCCGTCCGCGAGTTCCGACCTGGTGATCGTGTCGCCGCATTACACCAACTTGGTGCCCCGCATGGAGCCTACGCTGAAATGGCTCTTGTCTGGGATCATACGACATTTCATATCGGCGACCGTCCGTTCGAAGAAGCCGCTGCAATGCCGATGGCATATTACATGGCATCTATTGGCCTTTTCGGGATGTTAAGATTGCCGATGATGTGGCAGCGTCCTCACGGTGAGGAGAAACCGATGCCGCTGGTCATATACGGCGCTTCGGGAGCTGTGGGTTCTGCTGCGGTGCAGCTCGCCGTAAATACTCGCTTCCATCCTCTTGTTTGCGTTGCTGGAGGGTCCGGAGCATCTGTGGTGGAGCCGCTCATCGACAGCAGCAAGGGTGATGTGGTCCTGGACTACCGAGAGGGATCCGAAAAACTCGTTGAGAACATGAAAGCTGCGATCGACGAGCATGAACTAAATCACGCGTTCGACTGCGTGAGCGAGAAGGGCTCTTCAGCAAACATTTGCCGGGTGCTTCAGCAAGGAGGACAGATAAGTCTAGTTTTGCCATCAGGAGTCAAAGATGTCCCTCCCGGCTTTGGGATTAGCACGACCATGGCTGGTAATCTTTGGGCCGGTTTCAAGAACAAGAGTGACACGCATGGGGCGATGGGTTTGGCAGGAGGAACAGAGTTTGGATATTGTTACTCCAGGCTGCTTGGCTATTGGTTTAGTGAGGGGAAGTTACGCGTCCATAAACCTGAAGTGGTCGAAGGTGGCCTGCTCGGTGTAGAGAAGGCGCTGAAGGATCTCAGGGAAGGAAGGAATCATGGAGTGAAGTACGTGGTGCGCGTCAGAGATACGCCCGGGCTCAGCGGGCTGGAGTGAGTACACCTCAACTTGTCACATCTCGGTCAAGAAACTCCCGAGTCAACCAACTCGAGATTCCAAATTAACGTAGCTGAATGCCTTGCTCTTTATGTTGGTGCATTACTTGTCGATTTGGATGACCGTGAAAGAATGACAAGATTCAGGTCCCAGATCTGAGTGACAACCGACTGTCGGTCAAGCGTTTCGAGATTGTGTTTCTGTGTTGGCCGAATGATGCACACAACCCGCCAACTACCAGAGCTATACCGTCCATATATATCATAGCAGTAGTATATACTCAATGAAGACCTACAGATAGATCAGAAGGTAGGTATGAAGCATCGTGACTGCTTTGAAGAGGGTGTGATGTTGTCGACAGGGTCGTACGCACGGCAAGCACAAAAATTATGCAAGTTGTGCTCCAGAGGCGCGTCATTCGAGGGAGGAACAGCTATTGTCATCTCCCTGCTCATTCAGTTACTTTCCACCAACAATCCAATTGCGTCTTTTTACCTCTATTTCATCATTGACATCACTCGAAATCCATTGGTACATTGAAGAAAAACGCGTCAAAGGAAAAACGAAGAAGCGACAACACGATGGCCGAATACTCCAAGATGAAGAACGCCGAGCTCGAGGCGCTGCTCAAGGAGCGCAACCTCCCTCACACTGGCAAGAAGGCAGACCTCATCAAGCGACTCCAAGACCACGATGCGCAAACTGCCGATGGCTCTGCACCCAAGAACGACGACGAGATCGACTGGGACGACGAACCTGCCGCAGCAGCAGCCTCCAAAGCAAGCACAGATGCCGCCGCCGTCGCAATCGCAGCCGGTGGTCAAGGACAACCTCCCAACCCACAAGCCGTTCCCAACCAGCAAGCCGACATCGATCCTTCGCAGACAGACGACCTCACAGTGATCAAGCCTGCCGATGACGCGTCAACAGCCCAACCCGCAGACACCGCAGATGCCAGCGCACCTTCAGAAGCTCAACCAGAAGAACCCGCTAAGCCTGCCGTCGACTTCACCTCTGGACTCGCCAAGACGACTCTGGACCAAGAGATTGAGAAGCGCAAGGCGCGCGCAAAGAAGTTCGGCTTGAATGAGGATGAGGACGAGGCATTGAAGGCCTTGGAGCGCGCAAAGCGCTTCGGCAACACCGAGATGCCCGGCAAGCTCAACGAAGCACTTCCTGAGCGTCGCGAGCGCAAGAGAGGTGCTCCTACCGACGGAGAGCAGCAAGGTGCCAGCAAGAAGCGCGAGAACAACGACAACAACAGCAACAACAGACGCGGTGGTCGCAGAGACGGTAGAAAGGGAGGTGCACAAACTCAAGCAAAGGCACCCGCTCCAGCCGCAGCTGCACCTGCAAAGAAGGAGAAGCCGCAAATGAGCGAGGCAGACCGGGCAAAGGCTGAGGCTCGCAAGGCAAGATTCGCAACATCATCATCGTCATAGTTTGAATTGCCTGGCATTGGACTTGAGGTCTCAGTCTCTATGAGGAGTTCTAGTACGAGAGGTATGCTATCCAACACAATCGCAATCAACCATCATGATTTGGAAGGAGTGATTGGGCGAAACTTGGAGCGGCCAGGTCGATGGTGTTTGAAAGCGATTGGGTACTCCCCTCAGACTCTCGAAAAGCGTATCCATACAACATAGGATAACACGTAAATGAAAGCACGAAACATCTGGAATACATCTTAATTGAAGTCTGTCTGAAATCTGGTGGTATAGTATAGAAGTTGTCAATATGGTATCGAAGAGCTTGTGACAAGTTCCTCTGGCACTCTCTGTGCTGAACATTGGATCATTTCATCCATTGGTATCTCGAGATACGTCTACAGCTTGGCCCTGGCACTGCTCTGTGCCTCGGCCTCAGTGTACATCTCATCGAGGACAGCGCGATACTTCTTCGCGGTCTGAGGTCTCTTGAGCTTGAGTCTGTTACTTGTGTTAGCTTTTTGCGTCATCGTGTACCATATATAGAGCAAAACTTACGTAGGTGTGAGAAGTTCATTGTCGACAGTGAAAGGCTCCACCATCAGTCGCACGTTGCGCACCTTCTCGTAGCTGTTGAACTTGTTCTTCTTGCCAATCTTGTCAAGCTCCTTGAGAACGGCATGGCGGACCTTCACGTCCTGAGCTGCCGCCTCGAGGGCTTTGATGTCTGTTGCACCTAGTTGCTTACCGAGCACCTTGCTTGCGAAAGCGGCAAACGTGTCGGGTTGAATACCGAAGATGGCAACCAAGAATGCTCTATCGCTGTCTCCATGCACGTATGCTTGCGAGAACCAGGTTGTGTTGCCGAGGTAAACGTTCTCGATGCGCTCTGGTGAGATGTACTCACCCTGGGCCAGCTTGAGAACGTTCTTTCTGCGGTCGATGATCTTGAAACGGCCGAGCTCGTCCACTAAGCAGATGTCACCGGTACGGAACCAGCCATCTGGGAGAAGTGCTTNTTCCGTCTCCTCTGGATTCTTGAGGTACTCTCTGAACACAGTTGGTCCGCGAACCAGGAGCTCACCACGAGGGTACGGCTTGTCCGAAGCAGAATACTCCATGTCTGGCACATCCATAAGACACAGTTCTGTGGTAGGCATAACTGCACCACAATTTCCGGCTGTCATATCACCCTCAACCTGGGCGCAAGCAATAGCGTATGTCTCGGTAAGACCATAACCTTGCAGGAAACTGTTTCCGAACACTACGCGCATAAACTGCTGCAGAGACGGGTCGATAGGAGCCGAACCAGACACCATAGCTCTGACACGATCCAGACCGAGCTGAGCAGTAACTTTTCTGCCCCAGATACGGTCATAGAAAGCATGCTTGTTTGTAGCCTGCTTAGGATCGGGGTTGTTCAGTGTTGCTAACTTGGTGGACACAACGTGCCTCGAAAGAGCTCCCCTAACGCCAGATGATTCCAAAGTGGCTGTCTTGATGGCGCCACCGAAACGATTGTATAGGCGAGGTACACTGATCAAGCTGGTAGGACGAAGAAGCTTGAAGTCGTCAACAAGTTCTAGAATGTTGCCGTGGAAGTACCCAATAGCACTGCCAGCCCAAAGAGCAGAACCTTCGGTGACGCGCTCGTAGATGTGAGCCAGAGGTAAGTAGGAGCACATGACATCGTTGTCACGCATGTCGACCAGAGTCATGGAAGCTGAAGCTGCTGCGACAGCATTTGCTTGAGTCAAAACCACACCCTTGGGCGGGCCAGTTGTACCGGAAGTGTAGTTGATGGTGACAATGTCTTCCGGCTGGGGAACATTGTAGGGGCGGGGACTGGCCTCGCCCATGGCCTCGACATCGCGAATGTAGATGACTTGGATACCAGCTTCAGAGGCCAGAGCATTGAGAATGTCGGCTTTGGAAGTTCCAGGTAGTTCGGAGCCCGAAGTCAGAGGGTCGAGCGAGACGATAATCTTGAGAGTGGGGCAGCGAGGGGCGAGTTTGAGCAGGGTTGGGATATGGTTCAAGGAGGTCGCGACAGCAGCCAACTGTGAGTGGTTGATGATGTATTCGGTTGTGTCAGGCCCCAGAGTGTCGTAGAGAGAGACAGTGTACAGAGATTGAGACATGCAGCCCAGGTCNNTTGTAGAATCAGCATGTATTCGAAAAGGTGCAGGTGGATTGCACTCACCAACAATCTGCCACTCGGGACGGTTTTGGCACCAAAGACCGACACCATGCTGTCTACCGGTGACTCCGTATTGGTTGTGGAGGTGCACCATACCGATACCAAAGTTCTTCCTTCTCTCTTGAATTTGACCGTATGTTTCCCAGACATAGGGTCCGAAAGTCTTTGTGGTGGGGTCGTAGGGACGGTGTCCAAGACATCTCGCATTGGGTATGCGGTTGGNCTAGAGCCTCGAGTTAGAAGCTGATTGAACGAGTAGGGTACGCGTTGGTGCGAACGACTCACCAGTCTTCTCAAAGAAGTCATGGGCAGACGTGATCTGNNGTCGCTCTTGTAAGCACTTATTGTCCAGGAAGCTCCACACGATACATACTTGAGGATCCAAGCTGTTAAGTAGACCATCCTTGAATCTCCAATGTCTGTAAATCTTGCTTCGTCCAGACTCTTCGCTTCCTTCTACAGGAACACTGTAAGGTGCTCCGGGTGGAGGAGGGGCCCTAATTTCATTTGCTCGTGCGAGAGCTGGAGTCATCACCATTTTGCTATCTGAAGCCTTCGGTGCTAGATGGACGCTTCAAAGAGTATAATCGCAGTACTGCAAGGAAGAAGGTGTCTAGAAGACAAAGTCAGCTGTTGGTCAACAAAACCGATTCGAGGCAGGGCGGCGCGAGGCCGCTTCGGCGACCCCGATAACAAGTCGACTAAGCACATACAAGACAAAAACCACCCAAAGTGTCAATGACTGACAGGCGCGAAGTGAGACGGTAATGTCCAAGAGAGGGAGATCGAGCAGATTATCTGTTGCTTACTTGCAGCAGTACGAGTACGATCTGGGACATCAAGACCCGAGGCATCCAATGCGATAAATTGTCCTTTCCCATTCACAAGGAACCGAGGCATCCCGCTTCTTGGCTGCGTCACACGCGTCGGCGTCTACACCATTGACACATGAGATGGAAGCATCCTCATCTTCTAGTCACCTCTGCTACATCCAATTCTGTATACTGATCTGACTCGTGACTGATTCAAGGAAAATGACGTCTCAAAATCTTATCTGTTCCGCCCCTACAGCTGTACATGCAGCAGTCCAGCTGGTCAGGTCTGCGGAACCCTGTCGGCTCGATTTAGCTTTCTCCATGCCTGCAGCCGAGGGCGGGGATGTCCACCAACTTCCCCTTTCGGACCCTCGCCGAGAGCCTCAGGCTATCGGGATAGTCATGGTCCGTCTTCAGCATTAGCTATGGTGTCGAGTTGTACCACGGTGGTTCAGATATGGAGCGTTACAATATTCTCATTCTATGTACAGTAGCCAGAAATGCCAAAGGGTATCCTCGCCATGCTATACCTCTAAACCAATTGCATAAAACCTCTAAATCCCATCATAAATATCTAGAAACCATCTCCTTCCTTCCATTCTCGACCCGCCTCGAGAGCTCGGTTTCGAGGATCCCGTCCTCTCTCCCAGGCCTCAGCTCTCAATCCTCCGAGCTCCCAGCGCAGTCTTTCAATCTCGTCATGAATCCATTCTTTGCGTCCAGGCTCCGGAATAACCAGATTGTCCGTCTCTTCTGGTGTCCGGCCTTCAGACTTGGCTTCTGTGATCAAGGCCTCGTTCTTGCGGATCTCGTGCGCCTCGTTTTCGTGATCCCTAAGGATATAGCGTAGATCAAAGAATTCGTCATACTTGTCTGGACCGCCAAAACAATAGCCATAACCATCACAGTAACAGATGTTCATCGCTGGACAGTCCACTGCAACACCACCGAAGATGAAGATCCATATCTGCTCGAACACTCTGCCTGATAGGCTGTCAGAGAGTGGTGTCTTCAAAAGCCAGTCTCTGTAGTAAATATATTTGGACAGAGGAACAGCCTGTATACGTTCCCTGCTGATCGCAAATTGTGCACAACAGGGCTGCGATAATGTGGGTGGGATGGGATCTAGAGGGAAGATCTCGCTCCAAGCTTCTGCGATAATCATTTCTTCCTGCCTTTGGGCATTGGCGACCAGCGCTCCAGGATGAATGCCACTGATTTCCGCAGGACATCCAGGGGACCAATGACAGCGGAGATTGACATAGCCATGTCGGATGACATGATTGGGATTGAGATTTCTGACCATTTGCGCAGAGTCAAGATCCATGATATCGTTGTTGTGCCAGGCGTAGCGATGTGCATGCATGAAGATGCTGACATCGGAGAGATCGTTGTAATTGTCAATGATGTACGAGAGGTACACCATAGCCTCATGCCCCTTGTTCTTTGGAGGATGTAGTTCTGCAGTCTTGTCGTCTACAACATAGATGGCAGTCCGCAAGGTTCCGTTAGGAGCTAGCATGTCCTCCAATTCCGTATCCACCCAAAGTGTGTTCTCCTCCTTCTTGCGCCCAATCACCAAGGTTTTCGTGTACTCGGCATTGGGGTCTTTTGGAGTGCCTGGAACGAAAGCTGGATTCGGATTCGCGAACGTATGCATGTTTTTGGACTCGTGGAGATCCGGCAGAACGTCGTTCTCAGGCTCTATCTCTTCATCTTCGCTCAGTCCCATCACCTTCGGTACATGTCGCAAGGATGTAGTGAGGTGTGTCGTATGGAAGACTATGAAGAAAAGAACACTAAGACGACAGCAAGGGATGAGGGGCGACAGTCGTCGCTGGGTCGTCATGGTACAGGCGTAAGGCTGACGAGCCGGCGGTTCGAGTATGCGACAGTCGTAGGTTGGCGATACAGATTGCGTGGCAGGCCGAGAGAGCGGTATATTCAGATCATGACTGTGGAGATCGCAAAGCAAAGAATGACAAGAAAGGAAGGGGTATGTACAGTATGTGCAAAAGATGGAAAGGAGCGACAGCAGTAACAAGTTACGAGGCGGTTTTACGACAATCGATCCTCCTCTGACGAAGCCTGCGCCCGCTGAGCCCTGAGGGGGTATCATGATGTGCGCGACTCGTCGACGATCCTCCTTGTTTCGAATCGACCAGAATCGATATGGTCAAACTGCGTCCAGTACCCACATAATCATTCTTCCTGGCCGCGTGTTCAGCAACCACGACCAGTTTCGACTGACCTCCTGCGTTTCGTCCATGATTTTTTCTCACATTGGACCCTGAACGACGTTGACGTTCATGCAGCCAACCACTGCCGATTTTGTGGGGCATGCATGCATCCTCTTTGTGTCTTCTTGCTTTGGATTGTTTCAACTCCAAAACGGAACACTCACTCGCAAAAGGTAGCATATGGCAATGGTAAATTGTGTTCATGTGAGAATGTGCTCAGTTAAACCAAGTGGATAAGCAACGCCTCGCTCCGATCTATATGCAGCACACCGGTACATGAATGGAGGTATCTTTCAAGTAAAAACATTCAGACGGTCAGGTAAAAGCATCCAACCAAATACGAAAAGGGCAGTAAATCAAACAGCCGCCGTCAACGTCCATTCGCCATCATGAAATAGGAACAGAAGGCTGAAAGCCAAGTCAAAAAAGATAAGTGTCCCACTACTCCTTTTGCTCGTTATTCAATACCATCTCTACAACAATCTGCGTCTTCTCGAGCGCAGGGTGTTGCATGACAATCTTGATAGTGCGGCTAGCAGCACCGTAGCCAACGACACCATTGACGATGCCAGTGTTGGTACTGCCACCACTTAGGGTGCCGCCGCCACCGTCGTCAAGACACTTGATGTCCTTCCCAGCAATGATTTGCTTGAGGCGGCCGTTTTGTGCGTTTCGCACTTCGACAAACTCATTGTCAAAGAGAACGAGATAAGGCCCGTACAAGGCAGCACTCTTTGCGTTGGCGACGAAGTTCATGACGACCGAGCGACTGATCTCGCCATGCTTGTTAACATAGACGGCACAGAGGTTGTAACAGAGTAAGAACTCTTGTTCGGTGAGTCTGAGCATGCCCAAAGTGTCTTGTTTCTCGACATGGCGTAAGATATTACCAACTTCTGGTGCCTTCCAGTCTGGCACACTCCATGGCTGCTTTTTGTCTAGAGTGAGTACCTCGAAGCCCTTGTCCGAGCTGATGGCAAGACTGCTGTGGAAGAGATTCATGCCGTGGCATTCGGTACCAATATAGAAATCGTCATAATCGCGGAAGAATTCAGTGTTGCCCCGTTTGAAGATGCCGCGTTTCTTCTCGGTTGATTTCTGATAGATGGGCTCCAAGACCTTGAACGTCGAAGAGATACCGTCTCTCTTCTTGTAGAAGACTAAAGTCCGATCCTTCATGCGTCCCACAGCGAAGAAGCCCACATCTCTACTGCCAGAGAGTCTTTGTGGGGCCTTACGCGAAGATGAAGTTTCGGCTGCACTGGACGTGAGAGGCTGGCAAACAGCATCGAGATGGTGTGCATAAAGCACTTTATCAGCAAGAACCAAAAACAGATTGAATTCTTCAAGCACCGCAACCTGAGTAACTTTGGTGCCTGCGATTGCCTGTAGCACGAGTCAGTATACATACTAGAGGGCATGAGTTTTTTGTTTTGTGATACTTACGCGAAACCAGCCTCTGGGGTTGTCCATCTCACAGCAATAGACACCAAAATCTGTACCGACTGCTACCATGTGTTTTGTGTCAGGGTAGGACGTTGTGAAACTGGTAGCGCAATTAACTCTAGCTCTGCAGATTGGCGCTGGGCGACCGCTAGCTTTGAATCTGTTTTCGACTTCTTTGACAGCGCGATCCAATGGCGTGCCCTTGATGATGACTGGCTTGCCACCCATACTGACGCCGTATTGGTCTTTTGTATTCGCGTTCGAGTCGTAGTAAAACGCAGAATCAGCAATCACCCTCAGACGGAAAGGCTCGGCGTTCTGAGCGAATAGAGCAGCAGCATGTTTTGTTTTGGCCTCGATGATCTTATTGTACCATTCGGTTCGACTGCCCGCACTATTGGCGTACAGCGTATATGGCTCTTTACTGCCCAAGTGCTTGATTCGGAATGGATACATAATCTNTTCCGAATCTTTGTTGTTATCAAGCACTGTGGTGCTGGAAAGCTNTGACGGCGCGGAGGCGACGCTGTTGAGACTTGTCATCGACGAGCCTGTGTTCACAGAAGCCAGAGTGGGGTGAGCTGATTGGGCTGTCGTGATGCGGGTCATCTTATTCAAGTCTGGGCTGGATGGCAATGGCCTTGATGGCAGAGGAGTAACGGATGTGATGCCTTTGACATACGAAGACCGAACAACTGCATCTTCGTTGATGTTCTCCAAAACGAGTAGATCCATTGGAATTGGCAATCTCGAAACGTCGTACTTCTCTATCTTGTTGGGTGCACCTTNTTGCAGTACTGAGATCGCCTTGGCGAGAATGAGATAATGATCAAACAGCAGGGCATGGCATTCGAGCCAGGTGAAACGATTAGTGCCCATTCTCTGCAAGTCTCCTTGGTGGATCAACTCTCGTCCGATCGATGTCAGGTTGAGCTCAACCTCGGATGCCATTCCAGGCCTAAGCACGAGTTTTTGACTGAGATCGGAAAGATCGACCTTTCTTTGCTGATCAGCGACACGTGAATCACACTCCAAAGTGACAGCTCGGATTTCTTCGATCGCAGTCGCCAGGTTTGTCTTCTCTTCACAATCGTGTTGCATATTCTTATGAACAACTTGTAAGAGTAAACTGTAACGCTGCAACCGTGTAATAGGTGCCTTGAGGTAGTTGTCCCAGCCAAGCTTGTTTGAGAGCTTGTTCATTCTCGCCCCTTCGACAAAGTTGCGGAAACTAATGTTCCTCTCGAGCTCTTGCCGCATCAAAGAGTTGGCGCTAGGAAAGCCTGTGGCATATTCGATGTACGCAGTCTTGGCCTTACGGATCCATTGCCTGAAGATGTCGCTGAATCCCTGGACCCACGGTCCTTGTTCTTGTTGTCGATATTTGAGTTGTGGTAGTAGATGTTCAACGTTTGCTTNTTTGACCAAGTCCAGCTTACCGAACACATCTCGCAAGAATCTTTCCTGACGATTGGGGCTGATGATAGACGGATTGGCAATGGCCAGTGGATCGCGATATAACTGAATCATCACATCGAGGTTCTCCATAAAACCCTCTTCGGTCTGCACAATCTCATGAAGATTGTTCTGCAACTCAATCTCTTNTTTATCATGACCCTCAACGTCCTCCTNTTTGAGCTTGTAGAAGGTCGCCCAATCTTCGGAAGCTCGAGTCGGAATGGTCTGGAGATTGACCTTCTTCAGCGTACGCTGACAGTGATGAGAGTAACAACGGCCTGGGAATATGTGGTTATGAACAGTATGCGAGTAACATCCGTTGAGTGTCAACTGGAAGATGACGCCGCTCATATGACCTGGGCTGAGCTTGACCCATTCTTCGACTGAAACAAGCGTTTTAGAAGCATACATGTTCTCGACAACACGATTGCTCAAAACTTCAGCATCAGCGATGTTCATGGTAGGAACTTTGTTACTGAAAAGCGCGACGAGAGCCTCCTTGACCATCGATTCTTTCAACTCGGTCATCTTTTCAGGATCTGCAACAATGAACAACCACTGGAGGATCGAGCTCAATGCCCAAGGCTCTTCACACTTCTTGAAGTCGGTCCCGCCAAGCTTCGAAGGATTGAAACGCTTTGTAGGCAGGCTAGGCAGATCAAGAGCAACAGTGCTTGCGGCAGGTGTGTTGTCGAATGTGTTATAAATAGAAGCTCGGTAGCCCTGTTTGAGTCTACGCTCCTCCGCGTCTGTCTTAGATCTCGCAGGTTGGAGTATTTGTGGTGTCTGGCTGTGATTCAGAAGAGATGCAGATCGTGGGAAGGTGCCAGCGCCACTGTCCATCGTAGATGGTGTATAGCCATCGGGAGTCATGCGATATGGGGCCTGAGAAAGAGAGTTTGAGCGCTGGTGCAGCAAACTTGTATTAAGACGAGGGACAGCGTTATCGGAAACGATCGGTGGAGGAGGTAAAGGCCTATCATGGTTGTGGGTTGAATGTCCGGGATGGAAGAACATATCTGGAGGTTCGCCAGGTTGAATGACATTGTCTGTGAGGCTGTACTCATCGCCCTCATCGAAGCTCTGTCTACGATTGAGTGCATCAGGGTTCGTCAGTCCTCCAGTATCACCAGCATCAACTCGAGCAACTGGAGGTCCACGGGCGTGGAGGCTCATAGCATGATCGTAAATGCTATCCGGGTTGCTTGAGCCAATAGACCGTCTCAGAGAGTTCGAAGCCGACAAAGAACTGAGTCCATTAGTGTCTGGGCCTGCAGCCAAAGTACTTGGATCGCCTCCATAGGACATGTGGGCATCGTAACCTCCGCTGAGCGTGCTCATATCCATAGGCACCTCAACATCATCAGCTGCGCTTGAAAGGTTCGCCAGAGAGGAGCCGTAGTATCCAAAGAGAGCACTGCCTCGATTCGCATCTGCTTCCTGTGCATCCGCCATGCGCATTGCCTCTAGCCCAGCCAACGCTTCGACATCGCTTTCATCGCTGTACTCGTTGATTATGCTTGCAATCGCCATGCTATCCCGGGAAGGTTGTGCGGTGGACATTGTACTGCTCCTTGGAGAGAAGAGAGGCTGTGGAAAATCCGCTGCGGACTGCATTTGTGGACTTTGACGCCGTGCACTTGAAGCAGCACCTGCATTGAGCACGGCACTTTCGACCTGGTTGAAGAGATCTTCCTGAGCTTCCTGCTCAGTTGCGTAGGAATCACGAAATCCGGATTGATGGAAATAATCACGTTCAACATCCGGTTCTGGTGGACCTGGAAGAGGACGGCCTTGTGGATGGCGTAATGTGTTGTTTCTTTGTGGAGCATGGGTATGGGCATGAGCTGGTGGCGGAGGTGGTGGGCCATTAGGAGAAGGTAGTAGATTGCTTGGAGAGAACTGAGGGGACACGGCAGAATTATACGAGCCATAACCAGGATGCACAGGCGGAGTAGGTAGGTTCAGCTCATCCGGCGTCAGAGTTGTTGGAGCATACGGAATGTTTCCATATGGCGCAGGTTGTGAACCATTCGAGGGCGACCAGACATGAGAGGGTGGCGGTGGGGGAGGAGGGTAATATGAAGAATTGTTTTGCGAGAAGTCGGGATAGGTATAAGGCTGACCGGGCTCGGGCATAGGAATAGGTTGAGAGAAGCGATGCTGAGTTTGATGGTAACCAGCCGATTGCGGAGGAGACACGGCAGATGGAGCGTATGAATAGGGAGCGCGCGGCGATTGCGGTGGAGGTTGTGACGGGTAAGCTGCAGGATTGTAGCCAACATTGGCGTAGGCCTGAGGGTTGTATTCGGCATGGGTGGATTGCGGCTGAGCTGGGTCGGGCTGGGTGTAGTAATGGTGCGCCGGGTGGGCATAGTCGGTGTAATCAACCTGCTGAACAGGACCGCCAGGAGCCGGGTAGGAGCCGTAGCCGGTCAATTCGGGCGTGGACCACGAAGATTGGAGAGCCTGTTGGTGGGTGTCGGGTGTACCGTTGGTCGGGGCATAGCGCTGCGATTGCTGCTGACTATGCGACTGACGTCGATTTGGCCGGTTATACGACATGGTGCCTCATTTGAACAGCTTCGGTACGCGTCTTCAGTCCATCGAATCTGCGACTGCAAGACCGAGTCGGAGCACGAGCTAGCTGTTGTTTGCGATCGGCACTGAGCTCTCTCCCGCTCTCACTCGGCTGTGATTTCGATCTGGACACGAATCGGTTGCCAGCGTACTGAGTCCGTTACTGGCACAGGGCTGGAGTGCCTGGGAACAAGAATGGCGAGTTTGTTTCTAGGATAAGACAGCGAGCACGAGACGAGACGAAAGACGAAACGAGCACCTGGGTTAATCAAATGCGCTGCCACATGCCCGGTGCTGAGGTCTGNTGCTTGCCAAGTCATCATCTCACGCTCTCAAATAAAACCCGCCGCTCCCCCTCCACCGATGTCACTATCTGCTTACTGTTGGTCATCTCCATGCTGAAGTCTTGCTGTTTGTTCGCCGTCTGTTATCCATATCATGTAAGCCCATCTTCTGCGTGTACGCAGCTCNNGAGCAGTCCATCTCAGCTCATCGCGCAACCGTTAGATAGATGGTCCGGCAGCAGTACCCCACATCATCTTTGACCAACTCAGATCCCGACTTCTTGTCACGCCAAAAATTCCATGCCGAGCCCGCATGGTTCGCTGTTGTCGATCTTCTTGTCATGCCATGGCGTTCCTCAACTACAGATCAGGCTGCTTCTTATACTGGCTTCAGTGAGGACTTCATGTAAGAGTATGGCAACGATATCCCAGCTCCAAGTTTCTCGCCGGTAGAGTATAAAGTCTAACCCCGCCACTGTACCCTAGTGGCTTGTGAGCTTTAAAATGTGCTCAAGCCCCAAGGATAATATACATACAATCCTCTGCAGTCGCCTGTCAGTCTCTGCTCACTTGAAGCCTATAGGGCCTCAAAACGAACCTAAGTCTCTTACATAAATGAGTCGTGCTTGATTCAGTGCCAGATGGAGTCATTGTTCGAGTGTATGCATGACTGATGAGGCTAGCTCGCTCGGCTGTGCTGTGGCTGAGAACCAGATGCGCGGTAACGCGCTCCAATCAGATGGCCTTAGCTCTCTCAAAAGGCAACACATGTGAATCATGAACACGATCTTGTGGAATCTATCTATCAATGGTTAGCGACGCAACAGTCGGCGGTGCAGCGGCGCAGGCGCTCCTGTTAGCACCTGTTCTTGGGTCGCCCGATCCTTCCGGCACAGAATGGCCTTGGCAATTGGCGCAAATGACATAAAGGAAGCTGCAGCCCGCTGTCATTCAAGACAGCTTCTCTACTATTTCCATTTACGCTATCTTCGAGGTTCGAGAAGCAGACAACATGAGTTACGGATATCCTCAACAAGGCTACGGCCAACAGTATCCTCCNCAAGGACAGCCTCCATATCAACAACATCAGCCCTATGGTGCACCGCCTGGTCCGCCTCCAGGCCATTCACCATACCCGCAGCAGCACAGTGGCTACGGTGCTCCCCCAGGTCCTCCTATGGGTCACCACCCGTCGCAGTCTTTTGGTGCCCCTCCTGGTCCCCCACCAGGACAGTATGGAGCTCCCCAGGGCCTCCGCCAGGACAGTTCGGCGCCCCGCCAGGTCCCCCCTCCTGGTCAGTACGGCCAACCTCAATATGGTGCGCCCGCACAGTACGGAAGTGGTCCTCCTGCACCGCCCTCCATGGGATATGTTCCTGGCCAAGTCGCACCAATGGACATGTCTAGACAAGCCGACGACCTGAGAAAAGCCATGAAGGGTTTCGGAACCGACGAGAAAGCTCTCATCGGAATACTCGCACCAATGGACCCTCTCCAGGCTGCCGGCGTCCGTCAAGCGTTCAACCAGCGTCATCGTCGCGATCTTCTCAAGGATATTGAATCCGAGACATCAGGATACTTCCGCGATGGTCTCATGGCCATAGTTCGTGGCCCACTCGAGCAAGACGTTCTAAACGCAAACAAAGCGATCAAAGGATTCGGCACCAAGGAATCCATCCTTAACGATGTACTCCTAGGCCGCAGCAACGCCGATATCAATGCTATCAAAGCACATTACCATCATGTTTACAAGAAATCTCTCGAGTCTGACGTCAAGGGTGACCTATCCCTTAAGACCGAGCGTCTCTTCGACATGGTATTGGCAGCACGTCGCAATGAAGAGTCATCTCCTGTGATCCCTCAGCAAATAGAAGCCGATATCACTGAACTCTATCGTGCCACTGAAGGCAGCAAGATTGGGTCAGATCAAGTTGCTGTCTGCGCCATCATCACTCAGCGTAGCGATGGTCAGCTTCGTGCCATCTCCCAAGCATATCGTCAGAAGTACCACCGCGAGCTCTCAGAGGTCTTGAANAAGAATTTCAGCGGACACATGGAAGAAGCTCTCTTGTTCATTCTACTCAATGCCGAGGATCGGGCTAAGCACGATGCTCAACTACTCGAGGCCGCTATGGCAGGTATGGGTACCAAAGATGACCTACTTGTCAACAGAATCGTGAGATTTCACTGGGACAAACACCGCATGTCACAAGCTCGAGGCGCCTATAGACACTTCTTCCAGCGCGACTTGGCTGACCGCATACGTGGCGAAACAAGAGGCGACTACGAGAAACTCATGGTAGCGATTGTGCAAAGCGCCTAGTGATCTCTTCCCCGCTAATCTTTACAGTTGTTGGTCGATTCTTGATAGTTGGTTTTATGGCGGTCATGAATTTTTACGAATAGCGGCGCGTCATGAGTGACGGAATGGCGATGTTTACCTACAACTATACCTCCTCCCGGAAACTAGTTTTATTCTTTAATTCAACAACTCTTCTACTAGGAAACTCTTTTCTCACCTACTTGACACCATGGTTATGGTTCATGCATTTCTCCAAGATCAAAGCATCATCACGAAACGTACCCATTGCATGTTGTATTACTGTTTTGACAAATGTTTCCCGCAACCGAGGCCTTCGTTGCAACATGTATAAGCCAGTGCTCTATGCAACAAAGCAAGTGAGCGATCCAACATCCAGGCAACTGTCACACCTCGGCTCAAGGATTGGTTCTGCAGCGTACAGAACGTGGCAAGGCGTGGTACTCTCTGCCAACTTTGATATGACAGCATAGACAACCTAGACTGTGGTAGACCTCGAGAATCTGAATGGTTGTATGTAGTTGCACCACACTAGATGGTGGAAAACCTGATAAGTTGTGGCGGTAAGTGCAAGAAGGCCTTCAAGAGGTGACCGATCCTTCGATAGCACCTCCTGAGGACTTTTCAATTCATTCAAAACCATCTTGGTACTTACCTCGTCGTCGATTCTAGTATGCTGGGCAGAAGCAAGAACTCTTCGTACTCCAGCTCGGCATCACGCAAGCTGGTGAAGGCCAGGAGAGTCGAAAAGGCGAAGCCCATCCCAGTCACCTACAATCACCTTGATGATAACGACTATGATCCACTTTCTCTAAAACCTAATGTGACAGATGGCTTTGAGTCTGATATTGCATGGGCCACTGCCTGGGATAAGAGAAGAAAAATCCATGTGTGTTGGTTCTCAAGAGTATTGAGGAAGTTACGACGCAGAGATCAAAGCACCGTTCTCTCTGGGAAATAGCAACTCTCATCACAAGCAAACAGCAGTCGACATCAGACGCAAGATCTCACAGAAGGAAGAAGAACATCGTCAGACAGGCCAAGGAGAGTTGACGAAATTTATGCATTATTTCTTGCATTGATATTTATGCTTCTCCTCGGTCTCAAGAAAAACTCCCGGCTCCCCACAAGAAACGACGATAACAAGAATACAACGGCATCATCATCCTCGGACAACTTTCTAGGGCTTTGCGACCAGCGCAAGGGCACCAGCGACAGCACTGGCGATCATGATGGCAGCGCGACCGTAGTTGAGCTTGCGCCATCTCAGCTGCAGCTCTCTGAACTCGGTCTCAGCAGCCTTTTGTCTGCTGTCCTTGTCGGTGCCGTTGGCAACACCAGCCTTGAGGATCTCTGCCAATCTGGCCATTCTCTTGTTCATTGGGACTTGGATCAACAATGCCCAGGCTGTGGTTGCGACGTTCAAGCCAAAAGCGGCAGCGAGCTTGGGGAACTTGGCTTCGGCAATGAGGTTACCGTCGCGGGCGCGCAGGAATGCGGTGCTTGTAAGGATGAGGTTGGAAAGCGAGCACAGAGCATTGAGGGGAGGGAAGAAGTGCTCGCTGTTGTGAAGCAGGTAGGCGGTTTGTTGAGCTGTGTAGTGGATTGGTACTCCAACGACGTGGTCGGTCACAGTGGGCATGATCAGAGGCGATTGCAGCACTGAACCACCAAAGTTGACGGCGGCGCCTAGTGTTGCAAAGATCTGGAGAGGCTCGAAGAACCAGGGGTTGCTGATGATGTTCGATGCGAGAGCGGCCATGACTGCTGTGTGTTNTCTCGTTCTGTGGTATTTGGGTATCGTTGAAATTCGAGCGAAGGANNATTGGTCTGATGAAGAAAGAGCGAGGTGATNACTACTCAGTCAAATACCTCCCTGCGTGAGAGTCTGTATCTATTTCGGACTTCTACATGGGGCCGATGTCTGCAGGAACATGTCTCTGTTGTTGCATGTGAATGCGGAGCGATCATCATCACAGATCTTCGACATGCCTCGTCTACCCTGCACCAGGTCACCTGAGATGAGCATGAACANGTNCTCAACACCAGTATCGCCCAATTTGCTAGACTTGCTTCCGTTGTCTATCGGTTCAGTCAACCCAGTAATCTGGTGATACTTGCACCTGTGCAACCATGCCGATGCGGTCATGGTTTCGGGACGGAGAAGCGTTGANNTCTGCATCAAGAAATCTCCGAANNCATTCTGTCGATCTTTGCGCAACTCTCCGACTTCAATTCTTTAAGAACCTGGACTCGCTCTCAGCAGACAGACTCAAGATGTTCGAATGATGGGCACCCCCAATAATTCGAGAGAGGCAGACAGGTTTTAATCCAACTACATGGCATATCCGCTCGACGGCTCAATAATCTTGACAAAGTTTGCGGGATCTAACAGAGAGTCGATTTAGAGTCATCCTCAACGAACAACATTGCTACCCGAATAGCCTCTGGAGCCTTGTAGCTGTATGCCAGCATTCATGGCAGTCAATCGGCTGCCTCAGGACCTACAGCATGCGATTTCAACCTTCGCAATGTTGGACCAAGGTGCAGCCGAAACTCCGACCAAGCACTGATTGCTCTCTATTCAGGCCTTCAGGAACGCTTCCTCTCTGTTCTGCCTTTTGTCATTGCAACAACCCTTGAAAGATGCCACCTCGGAACACTTGAGCCCGAGGATTGTGCGATGCCCTGATTACTCTCCCGAGTAGTCAAAAGGTCAGGGGCAAGCATCGCAAGACGAAATCATACCGGGTCCAGACCTTGCTTCGGCAGCTATGCCTACTCCGAGAGCCATCGTCTCTGTAATCAGGACAGGTAAATGCTTCAACTGTGCTGCCCTACAAGCAGTTCTGTAACCGGTATAGCTCGAACGAACGCCATCTGAGACATTCGCGAAGCCTCTTCTTCGCTTCATGTTGCTACCACAACGGCTTTTGTCAACGACATCAACACAGTTGTCCCTCAAGATGAGACAGTCGATTCATCTATATGCATTGCTGCGAGTTCACGCCTAGCTGCTGAATCTGAAAATGTGCAACGCTCTATGACAAGAGTTGGAACAGTCTCTTGAAAATGTTCAGACGGCCAATAGTCTGTATTCTCTAACGAGAGATATCCTATGCGCATATCTTTGTTCATGCATCTGGACCTCTCATCTCGCGGTTATGTAAAGTCTAGATCCTATTTATGGTCGTGGACAATCTCCTTTCGCGCAACTGAGTTCTGCTTGGAATAGAAGGTTTCTTCGATGGAGAGAAACTGCCGAGACCAAAGGCTGCTGAATGAAAACACGTACTGTTCCGCATACACTTACATCCTACAGAAAGTCAGAAGTGAAGATGTCTCACTTGACAAGTGTAAGTTTGCTGTCGTTCCTGTTCTTGGAGAACTTGTAGGGCTGTTTGTTCAGGAGCAAAAGAGAGGGCCGAAGGTGCCGGGCATTTTTGACCTAAAGCATTGACCACTTGGACATCAAGACTCCACCAACAGCCACCAGCCTCTTCAATATGGTGTCCAACCACTTTGCTTCAACAACCTTGCTGTCGGCTCATCTGAAGAACTACGTCTTCGAAGAGTTGCTGGATCGACTGTCCCGTGATATGGGTCTACACATCTCTGATAAACACGCAATCCAGCTTTACCTATACCATGTCAGCTTTCTATGGAGACAGTGCTTGTATCAGATATCCAGATATGGTTGTCGACAGCGATCGCCATCTTGTGGCGCTTCTTCGTTGATAACATCTCAACGGCGAACCACTAAACGTCCATCGTGCAATTGTCACAGACTGAGATTCTCACCTCCGCCCTGAGCATCTAAGACATTCTGCCTGCCTTCCACCATGCGCCACAATTTCCAGTCGAGAATCTGCTCTCCAGGATGCAATGACCAGAGAAAGGGTCTAGATGTAGGTCCAGGCATCCGGGAGACATGCCTCCAGTAAGTATATATACCTTTATGCGTCCTCCAGACTCGAACTTGAATCATCAGCCTATCTCTATCCACACGATCTCTATCTTGATTCACACTCTTGGTTGGACATCCGTCTCTCCAATCTCGTCCCCTCATTCTTCAGCAGTCCATCATGCGCGCCGTCACTGCTCTCGCGGCATGCATTGCCTTTGCCAATGCCCAAACCTTTGACATGGATATGATTCTGGCTGCAGAGCCTGTCCCTACCCCATCTATTCCTGTCGTCTACGTCACAGGTGACAGTCCTACCACGACAGCATCTGCAACAACAGTCTCGTACGTCGAGAGCCAGGCCGCAGCATCAGTTTCGTCCGAGATCATTGCAGCAGCAAGCAGTACCGGTCTTGACAAGCGTGCCGCTTCTACCTGCGTACCTCAACCCACTGGCATTTCCCACAACTCGAATCCGGACACTGCTTCTGCTTTCTTGGCCGATGGATACTATTCGAGTGTCGCATCTGCTGCACCTACTCCCGCTGGTTATGTTAACACTTTCACCAACCTCCAAGCCTCAAACAACGCTTACGGGTATGTTATATCCCTATATCGTGATAGTGTGATTCTTACTGACCGTTAAACAGANTACATGGGTTTTCAGCTGTTGAATACATACGATACTCAGTTGTGCTCCCAGAAGTGCGACAAAATCAGCGGATGCCTGTCGTTCAACATCTACCATGAACGTGATCCTTCTGGTACGTATGCTATCTACTCCAGGCTAGAACCATACTGACCTTTTCCATANGTCGACCCTAATGACGCTTCCTGTTCGTCGCCAAATTCTACGGTACAGATCAAGTGTGTGTTCTGGGGAGGTCCTGTGCTCAAGTCCAACGCCAACAACGCTCGACAGTGGCGCAACAAATTCCAGGTCGTCATTGCCGGATCCAACGGCTACGTGAACAAGACCATCACTCCTGCTGCTGGTTACGATGAGCCTGTAGATCTTGGTGACGCTACCATCAATGCTCCTCTGGACTGCTCTGGACACGACACTTTTATGCAGTCCAAGTTCTTCACCTCCGGTCCCTTCGATGCGAGCTTGTGTGCTTCCGCCTGCTCAGCCCAGACTGTTTACAACTTGGCCCACCCTCCTGCTGAGGGACAACCCAAGACTTGCCAGTTCTTCACCACTTACCTTCTTTACAAGAATGGTGTTGCTCTTGGACAAACTTGCTCGCTCTACACTATGGCCTGGAACACGACATATAACACAAACAAGGGATACTACTACGGCAGTGATCATTACACAGTCGGCTACAGTTATGCGTTCTCGAACGCAACTAACCAGGGTGCTCCTTATGCTGCTTGTGGCTCGTCCAGCTCAACCTCTGCCGTGTCCGCTTCTTCCACTACCCTGACTACTGCTACCGCAACTCCCACCTCTCTCCTCCCCGACACTTCCTGCAACAACGCCGGTCTCCAATTTGCTTACTACCCGGGCCTCGCCAGCACACAATGGGACTACCACTCCCCCAACTACGGTCTCGATGCCGAAAACTACAAGACCGTGACTCCAAACTACACGGGAGTGACAAACTTCATCGGCGGCTTTGCTTGGAACATATACCACCAATCCTCTACCATTTACGGCAGTTCCCGCCCCTTCGACCACGANAAAATGATCCTCAACCACAGAGGCTATTTCTTCGCTCCTACTTCTGGCGAGTACACGTTTAGTATCCCTACTGTGGACGATGCTGCATTCTTCTGGCTGGGCGATGTTGCATATTCCGGCTTCAACGAATTTAACTACCTACTTCTGGATAATCAAGCCAATGGCACTCAAAGCGCCACCGTTACGCTCTCAGCAGGAAAATACTATCCTATCCGTTTGATATATGGAAATGTTGGTGGTGGCCCTGGGAGCTTGTACTTCCAGATTACGCAAGGCAGTAAAGTGGCGGTGGATTGGTCGTCGACTGTTTCGCCTTATTTTGTGCAGTACTCTTGTGATGGGGTTGCTGCTCCTGCTTATCCTGCTTTTGGCCAGGAGAGTTGATAGGTGTGTTGGAAGATGTGGTGGCTTGCAAACTGTTCTCTTGTATATATCTACCTTTTTCGTTTCTCCTTTTCAGTCCATGTCGGATCTTTACCAGCTTGCTGCAATATAAAAGTACAAAGTCCACAACATTCGAACATACCGTACCTCTTGATAGTTTGCTGTCGCTTCTCGTGAGTGGCTTCTGACCAAGCTAAGAGCTTGCAATGGAAGTTACGCAGTCCTCAGGTTCTGTACTTTCTTGAGAAGTGCAGGCTATTCGAAACAAAGGAATCGGCAATATGACACTGAGATAACAGAAATCTAGATTTACAGAAGTGTTTTCTTGTTTTTCGTTCTTTCGTAAATATGGATTCTAAAGTGTTTCCATTCACCTCATCTCTTCATCATGTTCCCAAAAAAGAAAGTGCACCACTTTTTTCTTCACTTTTCGTAAAAACACCTTCTATATCCATTTTCCGTTTTGCGGCGGATGAGTAAAGCCGTCTAAGAAATGACCATGATGCATCGACGTCATGAAGGCAGTGGAATATGTCCCGAGAGGCTGAAAGAGAAAGAAAAACCACAAGCATCATGGAGGACCCCCAAAGAAAAAAACCCAGACAAGAAAACAGAAACAATGCAGAAATCAGGAACATGGCCAGGCAGATGAGTTCTCATGACCCGCCAGCTGGCTTGTCGCAGCCGATGCGGCCTAGCAGATCCTTGTGGTTGCCGGGTATGCTGATACCGCTGGCACGGCTCTTCTCAGAGGTTCGCTTGGCTGCTGGGCTGGGTCGGCGTGTGAATCGCAGGCTCTCAACACCAACCTCTTCCTCTTGCGGTGCCAACCGCAGCTCAGGTTCCTTTGTCGAGAAATCTCTCACAGTATCCAGGGTATCTTCCTCCTCCTCTTCCCTCTTCTTCGTCATCAGAACGAGNNTATCATCGGCTCCCTTGCCCAGGATCACACGGTATGCGACGCGGCAAATCATGCCAAACCAGATGATTGTGATGACCTGCAAGGCGAGAAGCAGGCCCAGGAAACCGTAGTGGATCTTTTCGTTGAAGCATACATCGCCGTTGCCGCTGGTATAAGCGTGCAGCACATTTGAGAGAACCTCGTTGCCGCCATCCTCGGAGGTTTTGGCACCAGTTACAGCGTTGTAGCAGCCGTAAGGCATTTCGACAGGAACATCGGCGTAGATGGACCAACAAACGGCGAGGTAGAAGACGTGTCTGGCGACGAACCACGAAAGCATGAAAACGCCAAAAGCAATGTCGCAAGCGGTCTGCATGCCCATGTACTTGAGCAATTTCGCAATNNCTGCACGATCGGTGGTCAGCACTCGACAAGACAAGTCCCGCACATGTAAACTTACAGGGAACACCAGATCGACTACATCCATCAGGCACAAGATGACGTTACCGACCTTGGTCTGGTAGTAGCCGTAGCTGCCGATCAAGAGCAGGCATGTAATAATGTGGTGGGTGAACATCTGCCAATGGTCCTTTCTGCGCTCCTCAATGTTGATAACCATAATTTGCTGCAACCAGAAACCGAATTGAGCCAGATAGTAGAGTTTAAAGAGACCGGTCATGGAGCGTGTCGGGAAGGCGGACCACATTGCGGGCAAGTTGTTGAAGTATGGAGATTCGTAGACGAGATANNCTGGTTTGTAGGTTAGCTTTTGCAGCACACGGCACGATCGGGTTGTGGGGGTACGCACTGTTCCGAGGAACCAGAATGTGGCATAATACAGGACAAGCCATGCTTGCTCGGCAAAGCGAATGGTAGCCTTCTTCTTGTGGATGCCGCATTTTCTGGCCATTGGGACGAGGGCATAGTCCATGGCGGCTGCACGGAGGCCGGTGAAGACTATGATGCAGAGCGAGACAAACTTCAAATCCTGCCATCCCGGGTTGTAGAAGCCAGTTTGGGCGTCATAGTAAGACAGGGTGAAGTATTGAATTGTCGAAGAGCGAAGGCTAGGGAAGCAGACGTGCGTCAAGACGAGGAGCATGAGTACGTTGATGGACAGGCCTAGNNGACAGGTCAGTGTTGCTCTTATCGTCTCAGAGCTGGGAACAATTGGTGTACCTAGTTGGTGTTCAACAAGCGTAGCGCACAGCGAGCTCGAGAGGCTTTCATGCTTCCTCTTTGACCTCTTCTTCGTCTGTGATGTGGGGTTGCAAGTGGGCATGTTGAGGTGTTGCGGAAACGATTGGGTATCGACGGTAGCGGGATTGGAAGCGACCGAGGCCATTGGCGAGGATGGGCAATGGGATGCAGCGATTTAGACAAGCAGCATTGACAGAGCAGGAGCGAGAGTGAGGGCGGATTTTGCAGTCGAGCGTCTTCAGCCAGTTGTCTTCCAACGGTCTAGACGAAGGTAAAGCTGGAGAAGCCGGCGTCAAGCACAAAGACAAAAAAGACCAGATACGAGAAAGGCCAATTCGGTATGAGATGGAAGCTGGCAATGAAGCCAAACAAGAAGCAGCTCCCTCGCCAAAGACAAGATAAAAATCGCGTGGCAGTGAATGGCTGAAGACACGCGTATCAAAACGCAGCGGATGAAACGATCAAAAAGTCGATTGCAACGTCCGAGGACCCCAGACCCTCCTCTTCCTTGGCGACCCCCTATCCATCCAAGCCCTTGCGCCATCCGACGCTAACCCTCTCCACCGAGTCCACAAATCCCTCCTTCTCATTGGTTCAAGGCCGAGCACAGCGGTGGACAAAGTCTGAGACAATTCCCGTGAGAGATGGCCCAAATTGACGACGAACATGATACGCTCAACTCAGTGGTACAAGATGAAACAACTGTCTTCGTTATTTCTGACTGCAAAACTAAAAGAATCCCATCCAAAACTAGTCCAACCCACTATCCAAAACTCCGCATTCATCAATTAATAAAATATCTCACTTTGTTTATTGGCCATGAGCTTGTCGAATCGACTCTAGTTGTTCTGCTGGCTGTTCAAAATTCTGAGGATGGCCAGGAACAGGTTGATGATATCAAGGTAGAGCGAGATGGAAGCTGCAATCTCCTCCTCGACATGGTAGTGTCTCATGATGAGCTGCGTGTCAACCAGGATGTAGCCACTGAAAATGAGTGCACAAACAATGCCGTAACCCAACTCGATGGTGCTGGTGTGAGGGAAGAAGGCTGCCATGAAGCCGAAGATGATTACAACCCAGAGAGCACCAGCAAGATAGGGTATCCAGCTAGTAAAGTCATACTTGGTCTGGCAGGCGAAGAGGGTGAGTGCGACAAAGATACCAAGAGTGAAGATGAGCGCCTCAAGCACGATCTTGCTATCAAAGAAGGACGTGACAACACTGATCGAGTATGCCTCCATTGCGGTGAAACCAGCAAGGAAGAGTAGATTGGTAGGGTACGACTTGCGCTTCCAGAAGGTCAAGAGCATGAATCCGATGGCACCAAAGAGCGAAGTCCACATGGCCCACTGGTTGGTCTGGATCCATGATTTGTAGCCGGGGCTGAAGAACGAGACGGAAGAGAGAGCGGCGGTCGCGAGAAGTTGGACGGTCAGGATGGAGTAGACCTTGCGCACGAATTGCATACGAATGTCGAGAGTTGCTTCCGAGACGGAGCCACCGANACTGTAGGGTGTTAGTGAACGAATCTTCTGTATGTGGCAAGCGACACGGCATACCTTGAAGTCATCGGGGACATTGTCGTCTTCGTCTCTAGGAACTCCAGGAACGGCGGAGGCTTCTGCCTGGTAAGATGGAGNGGGCTGGCTGTAGCTCTGCTCCTCGAATGAGTCGCGCGTCGGCGCTGCCTGGTACTTTGTGGTGGATGCCATCGCTGCGTAAGATGTCGCGTTGGTCGAGTAGAGGTGTATGTGCGAAACAAAAGTTTCTCAGGTTATTAACTATCAGAGAGAAAGAGGCGGCGAGCAGGCCACCAGCACTTGCACAGCCGGCCGAAGCTTCCAGCGTCATCAATCTGGGGTCACGTTCGCTTGGCTGAGCCTCGCTTTTATCTCCGTCTTTATTCCGTCCTCGCTTGCACTTCTTTACCTATCCAAGGACAAAGGCATCACGGAGACCAAATCACTTCTAGTCATGGTCCAGTCCTTCGACGGATTTTGGAACCCAATATGCTCGAAGTCGCACCTGCTGACTAAGGACTACGCCTGGTGAACGGGGTTTCATCGACATAACAGCGCGAGCAGGACTAGAGTGATAAGCTATGAGAATAAGTAGGGGATGTTGGTGAATTGAACTAGGGTTGAAGTCAAGAAGGATTGTACGAAGTCGGGATGGCTCGAGATTAAAAAGATTTGTTTGTCGGGAGAAATTCTATTATGACCTCTCACTGCTTGTTGCTGTGAGGTCCAAGAGCTTCACGTAGTGAAAGGTTCATATGTGGTTTCAAACAGCGAGACTCGACAAGGTGGAAAAGTCACCAGACGGTAAGGTTCACTTTCTACTCGACTTTCGCTTCCACATCATCTCGCATCTGCAATCGCATCCTTTCATTGAACCTCGCAGCAATGTCTACGCGCAAGGCGCCTGACGATCAACAGAGCAAGATGGACTACCATCAACGCTTGGGAGATGCTATGGTTGATGAATTCCTGGACATGGTAGACAAACTGCCCGAGTGGAAGCCATGACACATACTGATATCTCCCAGGCCACCAACCCCTCAAGAACATGGCCCTGTTTGAGCGATGGTGACCGCAAGCCGCCCTGCATGCAACCACTTGCAAACTTAAGAGCCATTCGTCTGCGCGAACTCAATTCACAGGGTGCGAATTCAGGCACGCTTCTCATAGTCCGTACGATCGGTCAACCTCGCCAACCAGGACCACTTCTTCCTGTCTTGAATGTCATCGAAGATGATGTTGGTAAACCCATGCGTATCGAGGTGTACTTTCCAACCACCAGTCCTTCAACAGCCATTCTCAATTTTGGTAACATCCTCGCGATAAAGGCACCCAACTATGAGGTGGGCAGCCACGGGGCTGTAATCAGAGTCGTGCATCCATCGGACATCTTGATCCTCCATCCGGATGATAGTCTAATCCCTGAAGCTTTCCTCGACCTCTCCGAGGTGTCTCCCAGGCCTGTTCGGAAATGCAAGAAAGAAGCCAGAGCGGCTCTCAAAGAAGGGGAATACACAAAAGCGATCGAAAGTCTTACTAATGCTTTGAACCAATCATCGCAAGCGCAAGATGCGATTCACCTTTCGAAACAACTTTATCACCGCCGATCTGTTGCTGCAATGCATGCTGGGCTACATGATTTAGCCACAGCCGACGCCTTGACCTCTATTTCAGACCATCCTGGCAAACAGTTGGAGAAGTACGATATGAAGCTATTGCGTCAAACTGCTTGCGCTGCCTATCAGAAAGAGGACTTCTCACTAGCTCATGCTCAGCTTCANACCCTCTTGACGCTTTTTCCAACAGACAGAAAAGCTCTCATCATGTTCAGGAAGACTCTAGCCAGAGTCCGTGAGGAACTGACTGGGGAAATCGATTTTGATTCGATGAAAGAGCAACCAATCCCGCTCGAGCGTGCAAGCTTCACTCAATCGACAGAAATACGAGCGTCGAGTGGGCGCGGACGCGGTTTGTTCACCAAAGTTGACATCAAGCGTGGCGCCCTTGTCCTCTGCGAGNNAAAGCCTTTCGGACCGCCTATCCGATCGAAGTACACGATGCCAATGATACCAATGCATACATTNTCGTCGAGTCATGAGAATGCAACACTCTGGCTGGACAGTGTGCACAAGGCATTTACAAACCTATCTCAAGCTCAAAGATTGCTTTCCTTGTATGGAGGCCCATCTTACACAAGTTCAAGCAAGGTTCCCGTCATAGACGGTCGAGTCGTCATTGACGTCTTCCAAGTAGCCGAGATCATCGATATGAACTGCCTTGGTCATGCCCTCACAAAATCACAGCAAGCTCCAAACACCATGAATTATCGACAGCATGATCAAGAAGCATGGAGCCTCTTCATACAAGCCTCTTTCATAAACCACTCATGCGTCAGCAATACCTACGCAAGCTTTGTAGGAGATATGATCGTCATTCGAGCCATCAACGACATCCCAGCAGGCACCGAGCTTACTTTATCTTACTATCCAGCCGATATCACTGTCACATGCCCAAATCGATCCTCGTATCTCCGCATGTACTGGAGGTTCAAATGCTGCTGTAAGCTATGCACCGCCGAAATGCAATGCAATGCAGACCGCAACAAGTCCTCCAAATCAGCCCAGAATGTAGAGCACGACAATCATCGCCATGAGACAGATAAGTTTACTAGAATTGAGGCGCAAATCAGAGGCTTAGAAAGCACCTGGCCTGATAATTTGTTCAAAGATCTGCCTCGCACGGCAATGCAGAAGCCACAATACAAACTCTTTCGCTTGTGGGTCGACCGGAAGGACAATGGCAAGATTTGCAAGCATGCAATCGCTCTGCTTCGCGAACAGGGTTTCTGGATTCAAACTTCGGAACATGACGGCAAGATCCAGCTTTACGGCCCCTGCGGTATACTTTCCAAGGCAGTGGTGAAAGCACTATATCGGCTTTCGCGTGTCTCTAATGATGAAGGAGATCTTGCCAAGGCAGAGCAGTACCTCGCATTGGCTAGAACGATGCACCTTACCATGAACGGCACAGCTAGAGAATGGGACTGGAAGCTGGTGAAATGGGGCTTTACCTAGAGGTGGGAAAAAGCTGTCGATGAACAACACAGGGTTACTCTGTTTGAGGCACTAGACATGGCTTTTGTCAAGGGGTGAGGATTCACGGGTACAGTATGTGGCACCTCGGTCGCACACAATAGATTGTTCTGTCAAGACGTATATTCGTTTCTATAATTCACCCGCCGAAATGAAAACAGAGTCAAGCAAAAGAAAAGCAATTGCGCCATCATTAGGCTATCATGGCAACAAGAAAAGAGCTCGTTCAAGTGTATTGGTCGCTATGCTGTCGTCTCGAGTCGTTATGAAGGATGGTCTGCTGCCGCCATGCATTGCATTTTGAATCGAAAGAAGAGCAAGCAAAAACATAACAAAGAGAAAGAAAGCTTCCGCAGTAGCAACTGAGCCAAAGCGAAAAGCGGCTTTGTGTATCTCATCCTTGTTCAACGGTACCTGCCTGACCGCTTCGCATCGTAGATGACCTCGCGTTCGTAGATGCGCTCGTCGTACTTGGAGCGAGGCTTTGCGGGTGGTGAACGTGGCTTGGGAGGTGGAAGTCTCTCGAGTTGTTCACGTTCCCATTCGATCTCGCGAATGCGGTCACGACGTTCACGACGAATATCTTCTGTAAGCTCCACGAGCTGAAGGACGTCCTCCTGTGTATTATTAGCGCTTGCCTAGATGTGTTTGATCTTCTCATCACAACTTACGTATTTCAGATATTCCATGACATAGAAAAAGTGCTCAGAGTCCTCGTATTGATAACCCATCTCCTCAATGGCTTCCTTGATGACCAAATCTTTGGCGACTTCAGTCCACATGTCTTTTGTGACTTTACGCTTTTCTTCTTTGCGCTCGGGTGCAGGGCCTCCGGGACCGAAATCAGTCACAAACTCTTCGTCAGCAGTATAGAACTTGCTTCTCCGGGAGCCGTTATATTGTTGCCAGGTGATGTCTTGTCGAGCACCTCCCAAACCATCCATCTGAACTCGTCTGGTTCCGGGAGGTATGTCAACGAGTCCCCAGTCTCGAGTCGCACCATTCTGTGCCTCGCCCATATGGCCACGCTCGAGTGCTTTGCGATTGTAGTATTCGGCCTCGGCCGCAATCTCGTCGTCATAGCGACGTCGAGGTGCTGAGACTGAGCGAGAGCGGGTAAGTTCAACATTTCGCTCCATCTCCGGCTCACGTGGAGGTGGTGGGCGAGACACTTCACGCTCAAAGGTAATGTTCTCGTCGTATCCCCCATTGCGATTGTTGCGTCTGCGAATTTCTATCTCGAGACTCTCATCTCTAGGTGCAGGAGGAGGACTTGGTGGGGCTGGTGGAGGACTGGGCACTGGTTCTGGTGAGCGGACTCGCTCAATACCGTGGTCGATGTGTCTGTGATGTGTGATGATTTCCTGGATGATCGGTGGACGGACGATAGGCTCTGGCGGTGGCGGTGGTGGGGGCTCAGGGGTTGGCTCTCTGACTGGTTCAGGGCTAGGCTCACGAGGAACAGACCTCTCTCGTCGTCTGATGATGATTTCTTCCCTGTCGTCTCTCATGGGAGGAGGAGAGGGCTCTTCATGCTGGCGGCGGCGGATAATGATCTCCTCACGCTCATCTCTGGGAGGAGGTGGTGGAGAAGGCTCGCGACGCCTGAACAACCACTCTTCTCTCTCACGTGCAAGCGGACCTGGACTGCGTCTGCGAGGAGGTGGGAGGCTGCGCTCACGCTCGCGTATGCTAATCTCCTCTCTTTCCACATTGCGTACGCTTCGAGCTGGAGGAGGTGGAGATCGTCTCTCTTCATGACGAAAGATGATTTCCTCATCNNAGCAACCTCTGATCTCGCGGCTTCAGATCGAGGGGGAGGTCGACGATCGCCAGCACCTCTGCGAAAGACTATGTCGGGAGGGGGGGCCTCGAGGCGGTTCCGGGTCTCTTTCTCGCTCTTGTTCTCTCCTACGAATCAAGATGTCCGTCTCCTCGATTTCTCCTCTGTCTCTTGGTCTAGGAGGTCGTGACTGTTCACGTTCGCCACGTCGAAAGATGATTTCCTCGCGCTCGATATCTCTGGGATCCCTCGGAGGCGGTGGTCGTTCTCGAAGTGGAGGCTCAGCTCTGCGATCCCGAATCACGAGTTCGTCTCTTTCGATTCTTTCGCCGCCTCTACGCGACATGGTGTCGACCTCTCTACGAGCAACATAGTCGGCATATTCGTCCACCTCGCGATTCTTAACTACGAGTGGGCCGGCATTTGTTCGTCCGTAATCGTCGTGGAGGAAATCTGGAAGCTTTGCTCCGCGGGTGCTTCGGCGGTCGCTTACAACAGTCTCTGGGCGGTCGGCATAGCGAGTGCGGTTGATGTCAACTTCGATATCGTCGTAGTTGCGCGCAGGTCGAGATCGAGCATAAGGATCGCGCTCACGGTCGTCGTAGACATCAGCGACAGGGTAACGCCGAGACATAACAGTGTTGGCTCGTCGCCGGGACGTTTGAAACGGTCAGGAAGTGAACCTGAACCTTCGAGTCAGGCCCAACGTGGGGAACTATCAAAACCCACAAGCGATGTGAAGAGACAAGATGACAACATAAAAAGCAGCTTGTACACCGAGAAGCAGAAGCAGAGTCGTCACACGAGAGCTGCTAAGCCGACGAGCGGGAAACAAACGACAAGAACCTGGAACAGTGGAACTGGAGGCTGGTGGGTGGTGGGTGGTGGGGGTCATTCGTTTGTGGCTTTGGTTGGTGCCCAAGCGTCTGCACCCTTGACGTATTGCTCTACACCTTGATTTTGGCAGCAAAGGAGTACTGAATTCGTGGACACTTCCTCAGGTATCCTAGTGACAGCGCAAGGAATCTACAGGACTTTGTGCATCCTTATAGTTACGTTTCTGACTATTTCTGACGAGGAGAGGGAAACAGTTCGATCACTCGAATCGAGGAGTTGACGTCTTGAAGACGACAGGGCTCTCAACAATTGTCATGGTGCAGATACCTGAGCATCAATACCAATGGCTCTACAAGCTAAATGCGATATCGCAGAATTAAATGGCTTTCTGTCAACACAAGGCTTGTTTCTTGGTTGAAGGGTCGAGCCTTCCCGAACAGATGTGGGGCTATCCGCAACCTTCTTGTTTCAGCACAGGTCATCTCTGCCGTTGACAACAGGCGACGACGAAGCACATCACGCTCTTATCAACATATCTCTCTTTCATCTGTAAAGGAACGTGATTCTTTTGTCTGTACAACAACCTATCTGATAGTCGTTCCAAATACGAGCTGACGACCCGGTTCATCCTGCGATACTCGTGACAGCCTGTGGCATGTGATTTAGGGTCATCCACTGCCCCGGATATCTGGAGTGTCAACTAAACAGCAACACAATCGACTCTAATATTGCCAACACATCTTTGCGTACGCTTCAGCAATCAGTCTCAGAATATGAACCGTCCATGAGTCACTTCCTGTGTCGTCTCAGTCTTACAAAGAAGGATACCTCTCCAGCTTCCATACCTAACACAGCAGTCGAGACACAGTCATGGACACTCGACGTCCCATCAGAGATACTGCTGAGCCGAAAGTGCTTTCAGTAGCTTTCAACAACGATTGTACCCGATTCGCCTGTGGTTTAGATGATGGCCTGAGAGGTGTGCATCCAGCCAGATATGAGCCTGGCCATCAAACAATGACTAACCATATCCAATANGTTTTTCGGGCCAAGGACTGCATAAGAACAATCAAGCAAGGCACGTCTATACTTTTGTATCAAGAGACCAGGTGTCTGACTACTACTNNAGCTCCTCGACCTGGACATGGCCTTGCCATAGTAGAAGTCTTGGATGATAGATACGCAGCCCTGGTGGGTGGCGGAAGGCTGCCAAACTCATCGCCTAACAAGGTATGTTGATAGACTGTGTTGTCGAGGTAGTGTTCACTGACCGCNAACAAGCTCGAGTTCTGGGACCTTGTCGAAAAGAAGAACTTGAAGGAGCTCAACTTTGGCGAACCCATCATTGCCGTCCGGGTCACCACCAAATATTGTATCGTCGTCTTAGTAGATCGCACTATATCTTTGGCGTACACCAAGGACTCTGAGACCGGCACTGTCAATTTAGGCATTGTAAAAGCACTGTACCGTACCGCAAAGAATCCTTACGGCCTCTGCTGCATCAGAGGCCACACTCTAGCACTGCCTGGAGAAACGCCTGGACAAGTTCAGGTGCTGACCTTGACTTCCAAGGACAAGAAGGTCTTCAAGGCTCACGAGCAACCATTGAGGCAGATGGCTATCAGTAGAGACGGAACCATCATCGCCACAGCCAGTTCACAGGGTACCATAATCCGCATCTTCAGCACTACGGACCCAACAAAGTCGACCGAGTTGCGTCGAGGCCTAGAGTCTGCATCGATATGGGGCCTCGCTTTCTCACCATCTGCACATTTCCTCGCCTCCACATCAGACAAAGGCACATTACATATCTGGGACCTGCGTGCCCCGAAAGCACCAGAGGAACGCAGTCGACAACCTTCCGACCAGCGAAAACGCAATTCCGTTAGTCGTGGCAATCATGACTACGACACAATATCTCATACCTCTGGCTCTTCGTCACCATTGCCTGGCGCCGTGGCCACAGCAACAGGAGGTTATATGCTACCTCCACCAGACCTGCGTCACGCACCACCCGCCTCTGCACCTTCACTCGGATCAATGCTTAGTGGTCTAGCTAAAGGCACAAGATCGTCGACATCAATCGAATTTACCATCGGCTCAGATCCACCAAACTGGCAAGGACAGCCACGTTACACTAGTACTACGTTGCCCAATGGACAAACAGCCAAACTCAAGGTCGACAACGTGGCTGTTCCTGGTAGACCGGATGGCAAACCGCCAAAAGGAGTGATTGCTTGGGATCCGGAAGGTGGAAATAGGAGGTTATGGGTTGTGGAAGGTGGAGCAGATACTAGATGGGAAGTATTCGAATTGGCGGACGATCTGGCCACGGGTGGTGTCAAGATTGGAAGTACGGGCTTCAGAAATTATCTCACTAGGCAATTTCCTGAGAGAAGCTGAGGATGATCTGGTGTTGGGCTTTATGACAGGAGATGGCTGCATGACTAGGATGACTCTCTCACAGATGTCACACACTTGTAAGCGAACAAGACTTTGATAACACGAGAAAACGAAGTGAGGCAATGCAATGTATTGGGTATCAAACATTTCGATTCTTGTATGCCATTTTTTCTCATCTTTAAATGTCAGATCTACACACCAGCATCTCTTGTAGGTCGTGGACTGTTTTGCGCACTGTTGGCGCCCCTTCCGCCTTTCATCAAGCTCGCGAAATAAGCTTCCAGATTCTCGGTCGGCAGGTCTTTGACAACGTCTTGTGTCGTGCTGCTCGAAGACGGAGGTGGAGGTGATTGAGGGCTAAACGGCGTAGAAGTGCCGCCTGGACTTGATGTTGTAGCGGGCTTGTTACGTTCNNCTAGTATCCAAATGTTAGTATGAGTGTTTCAACTTATGAGTTTGGGAGGATTGTTTACCTTCAAGCGTCTCAGCACCTCATCAGCGTCGTATTGGATACCGCCCATGTTGAACTGTACAGGGCCAACATGCTCGGCCATGGCTTTGGCGCCTGTTTCGTCGGTGCCGGTGCTAGAGGGTGTACCAGCTCCATTAGCCACACGACGGGCATCGCGAGCTTTCTTTGTTGCCTCGTCTTCTGCGCGATAACGATCTAGACTCTCTGCTTGAGCAGCCAAAAAGATCTGGTCAGGTGTACATTCAACTTCCAACTTTGGCTGTGAAGGGGCAGGTGGATGTGGGTTTTGGATTTGCTGTTCGTAAAGAGAGATTGTGGTGTTTTGGTCTGCGAGCGAGGTTTCTGCTGCTCCGCCGGCGGTTTGGGCTTCGGGTGTTGAGGGTAAAGTAGGAGAGTTTGGCGTTGATGGTAGGTCTTGGATCTCGACGCCCCAGGCGCGGCTGATGCCTTCGACGTCGAAGCCTTCGCGCAAGACGCGGATTTTGCCCCAGCTGTCCCAGCCAGACGGTACGAGGACTCTGTCGCGATCGACGACGTTGTGTTTCGGAGGGCCGTCGGGTGAGGTGTTGATGTCTAGGGCGTGGTGGACGAGGGGTTGTATTGAGCCTGGTTGAGCGGGCATGGTGTAGACGAGACCAGCACCGTGTTTGAGCAGAACCGTTCGTAGGAATTGTAGGATGTAGTCGAAGTGCGATTCGCGGTATCCACGCTCTTTCTCCAAGGATTCAATGTGCTGGGCGTTCTGGCAGACTACCAGGANGGGCAGACCCAAAGGGTCGTCGTGCTCGCCGGGTCCCAAAGGCAAAGGTGTGTGGTTGTCGGTCATGGAAGTAGCGATATCGCGGTCGCGGCGGTGCTGCCATGTAGACATGTTCTCTTGCAGGGCGGCTTGAGCGGATTCATCAAGCGACGAGGTAACGAGGTTGAGTAGGCGCACCCACTGGCGTAGAGTGTGGATGAAGTCCCATGGTCTGGCCCAATCGAGCAGGATGACGGCAGCGGTGTTAGGAATGGCATCGGGAGTAAGGAGGCGGGTGAGCAGAGGCGCATACTGCTTGTCAGGAGTGGTCAGGGTGTAGAGGGACAGTCTTGCAACCATGTCGTCGTGATCCGTGTCCAAGACATTGTGGTAGGTGTAGCCCAGTCCGAAGCGTGTGGCGAGCGGAGGTGCAGCATTCTTCTGATCGGGTTTCCTCAGGCGATTCGTCTTTTGCTGCTGTTGTTGTGCCAGAGAGTCGACAAAGTCGCGCTGCGAGTCGATGGAGCCGCCCAGGACGATCAGCTTCTTGTCGGGCAGCCTCTTGCCGCTGGCTACTTTGTCCAGCAAAGTAGACCACATGTCGAGCTCGCTGCTCCCCGGCCGTGACTTTGACTGAGAGCGCGCCATGGTGTGTGGTTGGTTGCGATGAGGGTGCAGTGTTTGGGTTGGTGTTTATTGCAGCTTGGTCAGGGTCGCCGACAGCTTCACCGCCCTTGCAGCCAAACGACTTTCACATGCCATCAAGGTCTGGGTCTGGACCTCCCGCGTCATCGTCAACTTTTTTCCCTCGCATCGCGTCCATCAATTGCACCTCGCCATGAACCAGATCAAGCAGGTCCAGCGCCTCAACGAGCGCGAACTCGAAAAGGTCGTTCCTTCCAACGCATCATGGCACACCGACTACCGCGACACGGCCTACATCTACGTCGGCGGCCTCAACCTCGACCTGTCTGAAGGAGACATCATCACAATCTTCTCTCAATATGGCGAACCCGTCTGGATCCGCCTCATGCGCGACAAGGAGACTGGCAAGAGCAGGGGTTTCTGTTGGCTAAAGTACGAGGACCAGCGGAGTTGCGATCTGGCCGTCGACAATCTCGGCGGCGCGACTGTCATGGGCAAAATGCTCGCTGTTGACCACACAAGATACAAGAAACGAGATGATGAGGATGAAGACGAGGGATACGTCGGTCAGGACAAGCAGATTGCTGGTGCGGATGCTGAAGAGTCAGAACCCGAAGAGGAACGCAGACCTTTGATCAAGGAAGAGATTGAGCTGGCAAAACTCATGCGCGACATGGAGGAAGACGACCCCATGAAAGCATACATGATCGAGCAAAAGAAGGAGGAGGTCGAGAAGGCATTGGCAAAATCGTCCTCTTCATCAACCAAAAAACACGACGACTCACGCCGCGACAAGAGACACCACCGCTCAAGACGCGACCACGACGACGATCGAGACAGAAGACACAGAAGAGCATCATCACGCGATGATATCGACGACAAGCGTGATCGAAGAGACGGCCATCGTTCGCGCAGACATCGCGATCGCTCAGATTCTCCTAGAAGAGATAGACATCATTCGACCAGAGATCACGACGACTCCCTACCCAGGCGCGAAAGAGACAGCAGACTAAGAGACTACTCGAGATCACGAACTCCTCCTGTCAAAGAACGCGACTACGGGCGTAGAGAACGCAGGCGCTCCTCTACTCCACGCCGCAGAAACGATTCACGAAGCATATCTCCTAGACCTAGGCGCTAACAAAAAAAAAAAGTTCAATGCGCATAATTTTCTGCTGCTTCTGGCAACCGATTTCGTAACTTCCTCTTCGGTGATGTGCTCATCAGCCCTCACATGATCATCATCTGTTTAGAGACATTCATGGAATTTGCTACAGTCAGATGCGTTAAGAATTGGAACGTTTTCTGTTTTGAGGAAAAGGATTCAGATACAACATTTTAAGGAGGGTATATACAAATGTCCGATAGGGAGTGACAAAAACATTAATGTATCGCAAGAAGAAGCAAAGCCATAAATCATACATCCAACCATCACTCCTTAAGCCTTGGGCTGGCAAGCAGGAGCAGGGTTGGTAGCGTTGGACGAAATGTACGACCACTCAATGGTGTACTTGTCGCTTCCACGGTACTGGCCAAAGTTGGTGGCGTAGCTCTGGGGCCAGCTGTGGTCGTAGAGAGCGCAGTACTGGCCGACGGGCTCGCCGTTCTTCATCAACATGTAAGTGTTGTAGAATTGGCAAGTCTTGATCTCGCCACCGTTGGAGGGAGGGTGGGCTCTGGCGTAGTCGGCTTGGGCAGTGCAGGCAGCGGCACACTTGGAGATGTCGAAGGGTCCTGATTGGAAGATACGGACGCCGAGGTNAACTGTGATTGTTAGCTTTTGATGCTGCAAGACAGGGGAATGATAAAGAACTTACGTGTCGTCGCCATTGCAGTCGAAGGGAGCGTTGATGGCGGCGTTACCAAGGTAGATGGGAGTAGAGCAGCCAGGAGGAGTAACGATCTTGTTAGAGACGTAACCGTTGGATCCAGCAATGACTACATGGAAATTCTTGCGCCATTGGCCGACGTTCTTTGCATTGTCGGTGGTGACGGGGCCTCCCCAGAAGACACANNCCTAAAGCGAGTACCATTAGCATGTTTGTCATGACTCAGCTTGAGACTGGGATTCAACTTACTTGATGTTGGTGGTACTGGTAGGGTTTGCACAAGAGTCATCGTTGGCTGTTTAGAGTTAGCATGATGTGGTATTATATGGTTTTGGGTAGACGAACGNGTTGACAGTCGGGTCGCGCTCGAAGTAGATGTTGAAAGCAGCACAGCCCTTGATGGCATCGCACTTAGCAGCACAGGTCTCAGTCGAGTACTCGTTCAGGACAGTGTATCCCATGTACCTGCNTCGCTAGTCAGCAGAAAGAACATAGTTGCAACTGAGAGCGACAAGGCCATACCCGTAAGCGTTGTTGGAGGCATTGAGGTTAGTGAAGGTGTTGTAGTAGCCCGAAGGGGTGTCTGCGTTCACGGCAGTAGACGAGAAGTCATTGTAGGCCAGGAAAGCTTCAGGAGTATCAGGTGTAGGGACTGGACCAGCGCCAGTAGGCTGAGGCTTGCAGGTCACAGCTGCGCGAGCCTTGAGACCGGCAGGGACGGAGCTAACTCCAGAGGCCTTGACCTCAGCAGCGACAGAAGTTGCAGCAGCGGAAGGCTCGTATGTAACAGTGCTGGCCTGAGCACTGACGTCGACAACAGGAACAGTGACGGTAGGAATGGGAGTAAGGGCATCAACGGCAGCCCAGTCGATCTCCTGAGGAAGAGGGTTGGCTACAGCCAGAGCTGCAAAGGCAGCGGCCACAGTGAAGGAACGCATCTTGTCTTGTGTTCTGGAGCGAAGGTGTAAAGAGAAATGTGCAGGAGATTTGAATGGGTGTAGATGCTTGTGGTTATGATACTCGTTCAACCTACTGAGTCTTGGACATATATATACTTGGACCTTGAAAGTTCGACCCTCCACCTTACGACATTCTGCTTGCAAACGAGCATCACCGACTCTTGGTCGGCAACACTCCAGCCGTCCAAGATCCTTTCCAGAACTCAAACGAGTCGAGGCCAAGGAAGGATCGCGAGCAAGTCTGCCCGTCAACCCTTACCGAAATAGCTGGCGAGTGGTAGTATCAAGCCAAATACAGAATGTGGAGTACTTCTTGACACGAAGGAACACAGCAACTGTGGTATACCGAGCACGGAGCCTCGCGATGAGGTCTGATCAGGGAAGGACGTCGCGACTCTGCAGGGTGCTATCACGGTGGCTGACTCTAAATCAAGCCCAGAGGTCGAGGAGCGTGCCGTTCGGAGGAGTCCTTCCTTGGCAGGATGGCCAAACTGAACTTTATATCTCATGACGGGTCCTCGAATTGTGGTACGCCTGGCGGGTTAGTGCAGAGGCGTCAGGTTTTCCCCCTGGCTGTGCCGTGTGGTTCCTGTTGTAGAGACGGGTGATCTTCCGTAAAGAACTCTCCATGTTCTTTTTGGTCATGCTCATCTCGCTTCGCAACTTCGATTGATGAAGTGGTTAGTGCCATGTCGAGAACAAGCAGGAAAAGGCCTGCACCTGCGATGACGCTCGATTCCACTTGCGAATTGACTTCCTGGGCCCCGCACTCCCTCAAAGAGTTCAGAGGGTCGCGGCCGTTTTCTGGATGGTCGTTTCGAGATCGGCACGATGCTAAAGTTGGAGAGTGGGTCTCCGTACGGAGGATCTTTTCCAGCTTCAGGGTATCGCCAAGTCTTGATGCTTCCAGTACGAACAGATCGTTTCCATGTTTGCAATGCAGCCATGAGGTTCCAGAAAGAGCTTTGTCTTAAAAATCTATCTGAAGATCAGATGCGCAATAGCATCGGGCCTTGGAAGGGATCCAAGGGAAAGCATTTGCTACAGTAGGAAAGATCAAACGCTGTATAGAACAGATCGTGCGTTCTGTATCAGATTCCTACGTTTATTTTTTTTAGCCTCGTGTCATTATCGCGCCTCTTGCCGCCATGCAGCATCGCGTGCAGCACCTGGCTATGCAATTATGACCGCGCATCTTCCCGCGGGTCTGAAGGATTCGAGCAGACGTCTTTTACGTGCGTTGCTGTGGACCTGCTAAACAGAGACACTGTTCCACTGTGAAGGCCTTCCGTGGCCCGAGACGGTTGCAGTCTCGCCCTGCGACAATCGTTTTGTTCTCTGGTTCGTGTCCGAGACATGCTCACACTGGAACCATACAAGTCAAGTTCAGGATACAAACCCGCAAAACTCTCAACTCCAGTGGCAGGCCAGCCGACGGCCCGTCTTGCGTTGTCAACTCGAGATTTTGGTTTGCGACTACAAGCGCCATAACCATCCTCCCGTGGCGACCCTGAAAACTCGTGTCTGCGATGTGATGCACTGCCTTCGCAAGTGGCCGAGGGCTCATAGTTGCTATTTTTCGCTGGTTATGATGCTAATAGTGTCATGCAAGTCGATCTTTAGTCTTTGCCTTTCGTTTGATGAATCGAGGACCATTGGTGCATCCAGTGTTCGCCCAAAAGATGATGTGGTCGGCGTGTGGATACTCTTCGAATAATGCAAAGCATTAATTCTCCGACCTGGAAATGGAAGCAACGCCGCTCTTGCTCATATTTCGTCGATCATCCCAGTTCCAGTTCGATGCTAATATTTGCGACCGAGTGGTCATGACGATTGCGTAGTCATTCGAATGAAACTGCATTCATGAAAAACACGAGCGGCACATACGTCCATAGTTCTAGGCACATGGAAGGATTCAGCATACGAAGAGAATGCAAAGGCGAGTCGCGATGCTAAGTGGCCGAGAATAGCACCAACATGGCTCCGCAAAGTCAAAGTCTGATACCCTGCTGATCATCCTTCTCCATCTCTTTACCATGTTTATCAGTGGGTAGTTGCTGATCGTAAGGCACAAGATGATCTCAGATTATCTCGGTGATCTTCTATGGAAAAGCCCTCGGCACTTTACAAAACGTACAGACTCGCCTGAAGAGCTGATCTCCACGTCGTGCCAGATCGAGTTCTCGTTGATTGGACATTCTATCTTTTAAGCTGCCGTAAGGCTATCACAAAGGATAGGATCAATCAGCCATAGACCGTATCGAGAATCACCTGATTCTATACGAGAACAAGCCACAGAAAGACTTGGGCGGTGCTGGAATCGCGGACGGCACGCATTTCTCGGCACTCTCACACGACACATGGTTGGCTACTGACTCGCTTGTAAGTTCGGGACATGCTACACGACATGCCAGAGACTGAAAACGCAGACTAAGATCAGCATGAGTGAGCATTCATATAGTGCATGTTGCGATATGGAATGTTGAATGAAAGTGGTACACGCGGAGATGTATCCTGAATTTCGTGGGGCTTCATTAGTGATAGATTAAAATGCCCATACTTTTCTCCAATGAGAAGGTGCATTGTTCCTTTCAGGACATCTTCGCCCGCGCTCAATCCTGTATAGCCGCCATTGTCATACTCATATCCTCGTGAGGTAGCAGTGAAGGCCATTACATGTTGGCCTTCTTGGGTAGTCATGCGAGAGCCTGCTCGACCTTGGCCAGGCAGTCGAAGAACTCGTTCCAGTGGTACATGATAGTGATAGCACCGCATTCCTCAGTCAGCATCTTGGCCATCTTGTCGACTTCTTCCTTCTCATCGTAAGCGCCAACGTAGCCGATGAGAGGGATCTTGGCGTTCTTCGCGGCGGTGGCTCCAGACTTGCTGTCTTCGATGGCTACGCACTGGCTGGGCTCGACGCCAATCTCCTTGCATGCATGGAGGTAGATGGCAGGGTCTGGCTTCGAGGTTGGCTTCTCGAGAGAAGTAGCAGCACTGTAGACGTGCTCTGCAGGGAAGAATTTGTCCTGGCCGACCTTGCGAATGGAAGCTTGAACTCTCGAGAGGGCCGATGACGATACAACAGCAAGACCATACTTCTTGCTCTTGAACAGCTTCTCGAGAACCTCGGTAGCACCGTCACAGGGCTCGGCCTTTTTCTCGAGTGTCTCGACAACCTTGCCGAGCTCACGGTCGACGTACTGGTTGAACTCCTGCTCTGGAATCTCGAAGCCGTACTTCTTCTGCAAAGAGACCATCATGCCTCTGAAGTTTTGGCCCACAAACTCCTTGAGGAGTTGCGGGCCGGTGTAGCGATCTGACTTTCCATGCTTTTCCAGAATCTCGTTGGCAAGTTCGGCACAAGCCTCGAAGGCAAGGTGTTCACTGAGAACGAGGGTGTTGTCGCAGTCGAACAGAATCTCTTTGATCTTTGGTTCCAGTGTTAGCCATCGAAGCCACGAGATGATGCTGGTCCACAGGATGATGTAGCCGAGGAGCTGCTCGAAGCTGAAACTTACGGGTGCCATTGCTGGTATGATAATATGGTTGTTGAGAAGAATAAGGTACGGGTCGTCAAAGAAGCGAATAATATACACGGAGCGAATGGGCCAGAAATGCGAAGCAATGCGTTGTGCAATTAACAGAACAGCGTCTTGTTGATTCACGTTGCACATTTCCCCCTCATCGCCAACTGATCAACGTCACATTCCCCTCCAACCAATCCGGCACGGTCCGCGCTGAGGTCAGGACCATCGCGATGCATACCACTTCCGAGCTCTCGTGTAAACCTTTGCAGCAAGACTAGCTACCTTCATGCTCGTTCAGACGCAAGCTCTTTGCCGCTCATGCTCACAAACTTGCATCAGCATCACCAAACCAACTCATGTTGTCTTGAGCGCTTGCGAGGCAATTACAGATTCGCTGCTGTGACTTCACGCGACGGCCAGCAAGCGCGAGTGGGGCAGATACCACTTCAATCTATCGACAATCGTGACGATCGCGCTTGCTGCCAAAACAAATCCTGTCGGAAAGGTGGTGACTTGTGTTCAGCCAACCGCTATTTCTTGGACTTGCTGCTAAATCAAACAAAATTGTGAGCACCACCTCAAGCTTCTCGAATCCTGGTCTTGTAGCTGTACGTCTTGTGCGATGTGAGAAGTCTGCACACTCTCGATCCATACCAAGGTGAGCCCGTTCAACACAAGACCTTCCCTCGACCGTAACACTGCATGCTCCGGGGATTACAGCTTAGTTGGCAATGAAGAGCGTGGCTACGTAGGACAAACACAGCAGATAATCCAAAACACACGCTGGCTAGGAGAAGATGTTGCTGGGTTACGGGCGTAGAGGCATCTGCAGATACACAGAAAGAGGAGCTCTCGTTTCTAACACCTGCTCTCCAACACTATCGTTCGGTCCATCAATATCTGTATGGCTGTTGTATCACCTCGTCAAACATACTCGTAGCCGGATAGAACAGCCGGATCGGAAAATTCAATGAGTTTGGCTGATGGTAGCACCCTGCCCGTATCTCTACAGGCCAATGGGGCTGGCAATGTGGTAGATAATATGTGTGGAGCTCGGAAACAAAAGTCGACAATACATGCCATATCATACCTGCAAGAATCCATTTTTAATGCATGGAGGGGGAAGGAAGACGCTCTCGCTAGTCTCCTTTGATGTCAAAGGAGCCTACAATAATGTTGCAACTAAACCGCTACTGCAACGACTTAGGCAGAGAAGGATTCCAGAACCTATAGTTAGATGGGTACAGGATTTCTGCACTAACAGAAAAGCATGTGTTATGGTCAATGGGTTTACGTCTAAAGTGGAGGATCTGCCACAGGCAGGATTGCCGCAAGGGTCACCCCTAGCGCCGATCCTGTTCCTCTTCTTTAACGCCAACCTTGTACAGCACAAGATCAAGGAAGGGGGCTCCATGGCCTTTGTGGATGACTATACGGCGTGGGTGGTAGGAGACTCAGCTGAGCGCAACACAAGAAGAATCCAGCAAGAGATACTACCGCAACTAGAGAAATGGGAAGAGAAAGTGGTGCTGTTTTCGAATCATCGAAAACAGCCTTTATCCATTTCACTAGGAACACATCCCTAGAACGGGATAGCGACATGCCCGTGCAATTTAAGCGAGACACAATTAGCCCTAGCCAATCGGTCAAGATCCTGGGCGTCACCATGGATCAAGAACTACGATACAAGGAACATGTTGCAGGAAAGGCCGATAAAGCCTATAAGGCAGCGTTAGCGCTAAAAAGGCTGCAAGGACTCAGACCATCAAGTATGCGACAATTGTTCTCAGCTACAGTGGCACCAGTTATGGACTATGCATCGCCTATATGGTATCTAGCAGTGTCGGACAAAACTCTTGCAACACTAGAGAAAGCCCAAAGAGTCGCGGCACAGGCCATCATAGGGGGATTTAGAACCATGGGCCTAAACACAGCAGTCATGGAGGCAAGCATTGCAACAACACGACAGAGACTGCACGAGCAGACTCTCAGATTCTGGATCGGCATCCAGAAGCTAGATGAATCTCACATCCACCACAAGCTAGCCAAGTACAAGGGCAAGAAGCGTTTCATATCTCCACTACGTAAAGCAGCTGTACTGTTTAAAAGTATCAAGGCTCGGCAGGCAGACAAGATCCCTACTGTCGGGTGTGAACCGTGGGTGCCAAAACCCCGCGTGTACATACTAGACAAGGAACAAGCCAAACAAGCCACAGTTGCAGAGTGTGCAACAGTCGATTTCTATACTGACGGGTCAGTAAGGAACGGTAGAGCAGGCATTGGCATATGGACAACAGCATGGGAAGCATCAAAGCTAGTAGGAAGAGAAGAAGACACCAATGTTCATCACACGGAATTGCTAGCAATATGGATGGCAATCAAAGGCATCCCAGACGACATGAATAGCCAAGTACGGGTACGAGTGTTCTCAGACAGTCAAGGAGCGTTGCAAAGCATACAGAGCCCGAAGATCAACGACAGTATTAACTTAGTCATGAAAATAAGGGAGAAGATCAGGAAAGGAACATTTTCCCTCCACTGGGTTCCTGGACACGAAGGAATTGCAGGCAACGAGAGAGCCAATGAGTTAGCTCAAATGGCAACGGCAGAGTTACAACCGATGCCAGCAGCTGCTGCAACAGTGCCCATATCGACGATCTACGCAAGAGCAAAGGCAAAATGCTTTAAACCTGATCAAGAGGACTTCTATGGAGCCAAAACTGGGAAGTTCCTACAGAGAATCGACAAAGCCTTGCCAGGAAAGCATACAAGAAAACTTTACAATGCACTTAACAGGACAGGTGCGGCTATCCTTGCACAGTTGAGGACGAACATATCCAGATTGAACACCTATCTGCACAAGATCAAAGTGGTAGAAACAGATAGATGCGAATGTGGAGTGTTGGAAACAGTCCAACACTTCCTGTTCTTTGCCCACTATGGAGACAGCAGAGACAAGACATGAGATCAGCACACGGCAGGAGATTCGGCAACATATCATATGCTCTAGGAGGATACTCAGATCACAAGGAACACGGAAAGATCGTAGATGGTGAGAAAGACAAGTGGAGACCAGATTGGCAGGCAGTAAAGGCCACTATTGAGTTTGCAAAGGCGACAGGCAGACTGCAATATCAGGAGTGAGAAAGACAAACTAGAAGGAAGTGCCTAGGGAATAACTAAGACATGATCATCATCTCAGCAAAACAGTTACAGAGCAGACCTGGCAGACGGCCTGGCAGGTGGGTTGGCAGGTAGTTAGGCAGGAAGCACAGAACAGTCTAGCAGGCGGTCTGGCAGACCGTCTGGCAGACCGTCTGGCGAACAACCTGTCAAATAACCGGCCAGACTATTCCTGACCTGCCAGACGGTCTGGCAGGTAAGCACTATAACAACACTGCCTCCATGCAGCGCCCGGCCGATAAGGATGTACGCGACATAGGGAAAAACCCTTATGGAGGAGGCTACCGGTCCCCAACACTGAGAGAAGGACGTGTACAACACTCATTAAAAAGGCACTTAGGAGTTATCGGCGTTGATGTTTTACACGGTCTGCTGCGACCATTACCCTCCTTTCTACTGAATCTGATGACTGCTATTGGTCAGAATATGGTGTAACTAGCGACAGCTCATACCCCTTGCGGGGTAAATAGCTTGAGAAAATCAAATCAAATCAAATCAGATAATATGTGTTGAAACGATTTGACATCTAAGACCAGCTACAGCCTACATCTCAAGCGATTTTGTTGGGTATTCAGTTAGAGCTGATGAAGTATAGAGAACATCTTTGAATCCGTTTTCATCATTTGACATCCATACTGTATGGATATGGATGGAGCAGGTAGCACGCTAGGGATCGGATAGCACACATCATGGAATCTGTCCTCGGCTCCGTCAGCTTCGCACACATTTTACTCTGCTTTTTCAAGCAGCAACGATGTGACAGGGTTCAACACTCGCATCAACATCACCGTGCTTTTCGGGAAGAGAGATTTAACATGCTCTATTATTCTGTCACAAATGTCAGGCTATAACAACTATCTAAGAAGCATATCTAGCACGTACGGCCACAGTCAGCTGAAAACTGGGCATCCCGTCCGCTCTGCCATACATAAGCAGTTGAACGGCAGATTAGTACTACGGTGGGTGACCACGTGGGAATCCCTGCTGCTGTACGTTTTGCTTTTGCAACCAGTCATCTTCCACTTTTGATCTCGAGCATTGAACATATCTTGACGGTGGATTTGAGCTTATTTTGTATATCGAGGGTGCAATGCCTTTTCGGTATTGTGGTTGCAGGTACAAACGTATGGAACTTAGGAACGGACTAGGAGAATGCCATGCAGAACTTACAGAAATTGACTTGGTGATTCCATCGGGCAATCGCGAGAACCAAGTTCATTTCTGCATTGATACAATTTAGTCGTCGAGTGTTGATAGAAGTTGGAGCGTAAGGTGAGGATTTGGCTAACCAGACTGCGGACCTACGAATTTGGCTGCGTGATTTCAGCACTCAATCACGGTAGACTGACCAGCTGGGACATTGAAGAATGCCACTTCTCGCGGTAGACTGAGGCGTGATGAGAGGGCACCACTATGTAAGTCATGTTTCTCCTTCGTATATAACAAAGCATATCCGACTGGGTATATGCGAACACTTCCATATCCTGCTACTCCAACAACAACAACCAAAAAGGTATATACACGAATCGAAGGGCTATAGCAGCGCCGTTTAGATCGACACAGCAATAAAAGACAAAAGTAATGCAATGCTGCCCAACACTCCCAAGTCACTACTGAGCGAGGATGCGGCGCCTGTCGAAGGGACAGTAGGAATACTGGCATTGACGAATTCTGCACCGCAGTTTAGATCGATCATTTCTGCTGCGGTACCATAGATTTTGGATATCGGCTGAGAATGGTTCGTCGCCGCACTTGCAAAAACGGACATGGTATCTCGTAAGCAACTCGAACAACTGGGTGATGAGGTGCTAGGCAAGGAAATGCCGAGCGGTAGATAATAGACATAACTGTCCGTAGGTGAAGAAGCATTCGTGACTGCGTCTGAGAANNGCCTGCAATCTTCAATTAGTACATGATTACGAGGACAACTAAAAACTAGCAACTTACAGTAGCTGCCTGTGTTGCTGTTCAGTAGGCATCCAGCGTGATAGAGTGATTGGTAAGCGATAAAGCCAGTATAGGCTTGCATGACTGTAGGATTTTGGTTCTGTAGGTCGGCAGCACAATTGTCTGGTGATTGGATTTGTCGAGCCAGCGATGCCATCAAAGTTTTACAGCTGTCGAAGTTGACATTGCATGATGCACCAAGTGTCTGCGCCAGTCTGACTGGCGAGCGTTGGACGGAGAAGAAAGAAGTTGATGTCTNGTGTCGGCGAACGGCATAAGTTTCATGATCTCTCCATTCGAGCGTTGACTTCAGTCAACTTACCTGTAGGAGAAGAGATAACGGAACACATTCATTAAAGGTATCGTTGGAGAGAAAGTTCTTGAAAAAAGCAGGACAAGAAGAAGTCGTAAAGTTGTTTCCCAAAGCAGTATCAAAGGGCACAGGAAGCGCGTCCGAAGAGGCGGTAGAGGTAGAAGAAGCAGAAGATGTCGATGTCGAACGTTCCGCTCGTTTGAGAAAATGCTGCATGAACGGCTCTGGTGGAGTACTTTCGTCGAAGAGCAGGACACTTTCAGTGCTCGTTAGGGCTTGTGTTACTTGCTCCTCGGTGTTGTTTGGGATCTCTGCAGCAGCCACATGTGGACTGCAGAAGCACAGAAGAACGATCAGACAAACGAGTGTGGATGCTAGCCGTGAAACGCCATGTGGTCTTCTCACGCGATGTTGTCGCGCAGTAGGTCTCGAGTACGAATATGATGCTTGTTCGACCAAGGAAGAGGCAATCGAGGGCGTTGGTGTAACAGCAACGGAGTTTGAGCCGACCGTTGATAAGTCGTTACGGCACTTGTGTAAAGCTCCCCATCTGTTCATCCCGGCAGGTGCGAGCTGATTGAACGATGCGAGAGTGATGATTGTCGTGCAATGAGTTTCTTTCCTGCCCTTTCAACGACGTCCTCTCATGATCAACAGACAGCCTTCAGAGTAGGGCTGCTTGATTTCTCTTGACAGTCTCGAAAAGAAAGATCGAGCAAAATATGACGAATTCTGTAACGATCGGTGTCGCAAGTTGGGTGGATGCTGTCCAAACCGGCTTTTGGTCACGTTTCCAGTATTAAAAGAACATGAACTGTAGATGTGACGATGAGCGATAGTAAGAACGGAGTAAAAGCGAGTGTGTGATTGACTGAGAGGACGCCATCGAGTTGTATATGATTGCGGCTTTCTACAATGAGTTTGGGTCATGGTCAATCTAAAAGCTTGACAAGACGGGTCCATGCCAATAGCCTCGACGCATAGCCATCACTAGCGCCTCGGCCATGGCGGTCGTGGCTTCTTCTCGAGCACATTTACATGGAAGCTGCGAACCCTGTCTGTCGCACTTCAACCCGCAGCTTGTTCATCAACCATTAATCGTTATGGCATGGAGGGAGAGGGGATGCGCCAACGGCGTGCTGTCGCCAACGCCAACCCTCTCGGAGGGTTGATAGGCGAATTTCTTACTTGCACTTTATATGGCGCGTTCCTGCAGTCCCCTTGTTCGTGCATTTTCCTTGATCGACGGGAATGTTGTAAACCGCTTCTAGATCACTGGCCACGTATTTCCCCATCGTTGGCACGGATGTTTGCCCAGTTCTGTCTTGCACGGAAGCAGCCGAAATACCATATCAAACCTTCCGATTCCTGCATGCCGCTGCCGGAGAGACATGCAAAAAAAAACTGCAAGACATATAATTGCACAGAGCAAAGAGAAGGCAAAGGTCACCGAATATGCGACGCGGCTCGAGCAAATCTAATCACTTTCTCCCGAACCGTCTGGGATGTCTATACTTTGTGTCTGGTGCCAACGCCCTTCAGCTCTCCTCAATCACTATCCTGGCCGTTGAGTTGAAGCTAAAGGAAGCCGAAGTATGTCTTTCCATATGTGTGTGTCTATGCAATAGTCTCGTTGGTACTCGCACGACAGGTCAATCCGGGGTGCTCATAGCCTTTTGTTGATCAATTCAATAAAAGCCACGTCTTGGAAGTCTTTCAGTACTCGCGCCCTATGAGCTGAAAGGAGTGAAAATGCCACGCACGTTCAACCATTGCGGAAAGAGATTTATCGCGGCTTAGACGGGGTAGATCATCTGTTCATATGTGGTATTGTTCTTTCAATTGCTTCATGGGTATCGAGCTATTTAAAAACAGAATGCTTCTCGCTAAAGGATATGGACGCTAATTTAGACGTAGTACTTGTATGCGCGCATCAATGCCTCGATATTAAGTTGTTGGTGGATCGGTCCTGGAGCGGACTCGTCGAACATTCCATGCTTCTATCGTGCGGCCTAAAAGGGATTCATCAAGTCGCCCTCGCCCTGAGGATGAAGGGCCAGGTCCAACTGCTGTGCCAAACGTTGCTCCTCAAGATCTGGCTGGACACCACCAAGCCAGAATTGACCACCAGACAAGGCTTCGCGCTCGACAGTGGCCTCGATGGCTTCAGTCTTTGTGTATCCGTGGAAAATCTCAAGATGGATCTCGAGATCGAAAGGCTTGAAGAAGCGATGCGGACATGTCTCGTCGATGCAGGCAATGTCTCTCCCATGCTCGTATCCGATTCCAGTAAGTCTGGCAAGTGCCGAATTGTGGTCTTCGGGCGGGAACCCGCCGAAGGAATCGTCAACTTCTTGCTTAGCCCTCTTTCCGGGACGAACGTAGCCAGGCAGGTGCAGATGTTGAGTGCGGACATGCTCTTCGAGGTTCGCCTTTGCACTAAAAGCACGACCACAAGCACCGCGTCCATCCCATGCAGGGACACGCTTCGAGCCAGTTATGTCGGTTTCTCCGCAGATGAATTGCTTTTGCTTCGCATGCACGCTTCTCTGGTGAACGACGAGGTTACCCTTCTTGGTAAAGCCGCGACCGCAGCCGGGATGATCGCAGACATAGTTCCGACGATCTTTGATATCACCGTGCTGAATCTCTAGGTGTGCCTTGAGATCACGGTTTGAGGCGCAAATATGACCACACTGCGAGCAGGTAGGAGGATGAACGGTTTTGATGTGTTGTTGCATCTCGATGTATGTAGGGAAACCGACCGCATTGACGAAAGCGTCATGGTTTAGGCTCGGATCAAGACCATCCATTTCGGGGGAGCAGATTTTACACCAGAAGCGGTTGCCGCTGTGCTCGCGATCCTTGTGAGCAATAAGGTGGGTAGACGTCTTGAAGCGAGCATCGCATGGCAGGCCAGTGAAACGGTCGATCTGGTCGCAGGCAAAGGGCTTCTCGTGCAGATGAACGAGTTGGATGTGTCTGTCGAGAGTGTCTTGCTTGCGGAAGGATTGGTTGCAGGGAGGGAAGCCGGTGCAAAGGAATTCGGGCTTTGTGTTCTCGTGCGTCTTCTTGTGTTGTTTCAAGCGCTGGGCTGTATGGAAGCCTTTGTCACAGTCTGGCCAGTCACAGACATAGTCTCGAACATCATCGTGTTTGGCTTTGATGTGGTGCTTCAGGTGGCTCTCACGGAGGAAAGTCTTGTCACAGCCCTGCTGAGGACAAGCAAAGGGACGATCGTTGGTGTGGGAGCGTTTGTGTTCTTGAAGACGGACAGGGCGCGAGTAGGACTTGGTGCAGCCTTCAAAGTCGCAGGCGTATTTGTTCTGACGAGGATTGGGTTGAGCTTTGGCTGACCTGGGTGTCGGGGGTTGGGTAGAGGTACGAGAAGTGGCGGCAGGCGAAGTGACGGAAAAGGCATCGTTGTGGTCTTGGTCATTGTCATCGTGTTCGCTGGNCTGCTCGGCGTTAGCAGTGGGTTGGTGATGACGAATGGGCCAATGTTAGGTACCATCTGAGAATTCCTGAGGATCATCGACCTTTGTCCTTTTGAGGGCTTCTTCTGTGTCATCTGGCGCAGACTTGCGCTTCACACCGGCGACAGCACACATGGCTCCTTTCTTGGGTGAGGAGCAGACATGCGTGGTGAGTTCAGAGCGTGTTTATAACCTTGATCACGCCTTGCACGCTTTGCGTTTTGTCGAAAACTTGTCAAAAGTCCGGGGTACCTAAAGCCGAGAGCATGGACTTAAGACTTGGCGCGCAGGAATCAGAAGTCGCTATAGTGATGCTGACAGATGTCAACAAAGAGGCTCGTGCGTTGTGCGAATCGCTCCATCCACCATGCGTTAACAACGATAGCAACACGACCCTGGCTCATTCCCGTCTGATTCCATAAACTTCGCCGCTCCTTCTCACCTGCGCGTCACGCTCAGATTGCTTGACCATCACAGATTCTTTCGTGTCCACGACCTTCTCAAACAAAGTTGCTTGTACCTCTACTACAGAATACATTGAAGAGTCTCTACGCTCCGTAAATCAGTCTCCCAATCATGCCGGAATCGCGTTGCATTTCCCAAAGGAGATGATTCGGATTTGAATACCGGATTAGTCTTTCGTCATTGCGGGGTTCCTTAATATCCATCATATCTACGGTAGTCAAGTTAACTTATCTCTTTCTCTCATTCTTTCCCAATCTTCTGCTGCTACCACACAATCATGTCTGTCGAAACCACTGCCACCATCGCCTCGTTCGGAGGCAAGCTCTTGAAGCTTGCCCACAAGGCCGCCTCCACAAACTGCGAAATGAAGTTCAACTTGTTCCTCCCACCTCAAGCTCTCAAGAGCTCGGCCACCAAGATTCCCGTCCTCATCTACCTGTCTGGCCTAACCTGCACTGGCGACAACTGCTCAGAGAAGGGTTTCTTCCAGCACCGCGCCAGTCAGAAGGGCATTGCCGTTGTCTACCCCGACACCAGNCCCGAGTACGTCCCTCCAGCCTTCTATCCACAATCATGTCTGACCGTTCATACAGGAGGACTCGGCATCGCTGGCGAGGACGACTCGTACGACTTCGGCTCAGGCGCCGGCTTCTACGTCAATGCTACAAAGGAGCCCTACAACAAGGGTTACAACATGTACTCGTACATCACCGAGGATCTTCCCAAAGCCCTCTTCTCCTCATTCAAGCAGTTGGACTCGGACAGAGTCAGTATCACTGGCCACAGTATGGGCGGTCATGGTGCATTGACTTTGGTAAGCCTCCTTTTGTCCGCGTCTTGACAGAAGCTAACACATGCATTCACANNGTTCCTCAAGAACCCCGGCAAGTACAAGTCTGTATCCGCATTCGCACCTATTGCCAACCCCAGTAACTGCGATTGGGGCAAGAAAGCTTTCTCTGGCTACTTCGGCGAGGACCAGACGGACAAGTGGGCTGAGCACGATGCTACCGAGCTCATCAAGAAGTGGAAGGGTCCTCTGGATATGCTCATCGATGTCGTACGTTATACTTGACTGACGAAACAATGCACATAGAACTAACATGGTTACGCANNGGGTACCGGTGACAACTTCTACAAGCAAGGCCAGCTCCTGCCCGAAAATTTGACCAAGGCCGCTCAAGAGTCAGGCAACGACAAGGGTGTCAACCTTAGAATGCAGCCCGACTACGATCACAGCTACTACTTCATGGCCACCTTTGCCGATGACCACGTCGACCATGCTGCCAAGTACCTTCTGGGCTAGTGAGTCTTCAAAGATGATCTGAGGAACAGTGGGCACACTAATTATGCTCCAAGCCGGCGACCACTCAAACAAAAGCTTTAGACGACATGTATATTTTCTCACATAACGACACACACAGATTATGACAGCGGCTTCTTGCCCTATGAGCTACCTATTCCAACGTATATATCCACAATTCACATGAGGTATAACCAACTGCTTTTTGCCGCAACCCAGATCTAAGAGTGTTACGCGATATTCCCTGATACTAATAAACCAGGATCATCATAACAAGACGATTCCGTCTCGCTATAGACAGAACGGCCCAGCATTATTGCCGATTCCCGAGGCTTCCTGACATGGCGTACCCTTCCCATCTTTTGAAGACACTTACAATTTCGTACCATTCACCCTGAAATACATAAGCATTATAAGCTTCCGAAGTGTACGATGGCTTTCTGGATGCGATCCTGGCCGTACAGAAACAAGGCCATCCCCTAGAACGCCACGTTCTTTACAGAAGAGCCGTGCTTTTCTATAACTACACTGTGATAGTCTTTAACACCCGGAGAGGGGGAGAAGGCTGCAAGCGTATAAGATCATGCTTATCATAACTATTAATGTCATCTAGATTCGTCACCCATCACCAAAAATGCAATATTGCCTGGCTACCACGCCGGACGACATTGTTCGCAACCGCCAGTTCACCATCAATTTAAATGCTCCGGCGGTCTAGCAGGACCGGCTCGATAACGCGATGTTGCATTCCTTGAGATGGCGTTGCCATTCCGCCCTTGCCTGGCATACACATGTTGCCTTGGCAAGGGGTATCAACTTTCTGTTGTTCATATTCGAGACGGCCCCCAACAATACTTTTCCTCTTGGCACTCAACCAACTTGTTCAAGGTCATCATTCACGTCTGTCACCAACGATGAGGCCGGGTACAGCCTTTTAGCCTTCGCGCTTACCACTCTGGTCAAAGGACAATCGTCAGTCGGACCAGATGGCATCACGACTGTGGCCACGGCGACGTGTACACCGCCAATGGACGGTGCAACTGCAACTTACGCCTTTGTGGACTCCACGGGTATTGCATACAGATATGTATGCGGCGCAAGCACAAATGGCGGCGCAGTCACTCAACTTCAAGCCGCGAATAGCTGGGTACAATGCTTCAACCTCTGTGACAGTTATACCGGATGTACTTCATTCACATATGTGAGTCCGCCACGTACATAGCATTGAGTGTGCCTGCACGGATTCCCTTAGAGATCGACTCGCCTTGTTGATCGACCACAACAAGAGATCATCTAGAGACCATGAGCATCTTCCCTGGAGATGAGATGATTCAAACGATAAAACTTCATCACGGACGCCTCACCTTCAAGAACCTCACGCTGACTTACGGTCTCTACAGAACCAAGGCGCGGCCTACGGCAACGGGTTAGGTAATTGCGCCATCAAAACTAACAATCCTAATAACTTCATAAACACCGCCCCAGGGGCTCTTGCGACCAATCGAATTGCCGCAATTATGTCGCGATACCTTCGTGCGTACATGAGTTCTCTGATGGCTTTGTAGGTCCGCTGACTGTTTTCAGCATACATTCCCGACTTCACTTGTCCCGCACAGAATGGTCAGATAGTGACCGATTTGAGTGGTGTGCAGTATCTGCTAGGTTGTGGAAACGATACAAGCGGTTCTTCGACGGGCAGCGGCATGCAACCTCAAGCACCAAATAACTTCAATGACTGCTTCTCATCATGCGATGCATATACAGCCACTACTTCACCAACAGCCTGTAACGCTTTCGTCTATGTTGGAGCCTCCAATGGTGCAGGAGCTGGCAATTGCTATATGAAGTTTGTAACGAGCGCTTCGTTTGTAGGATACGCCACGGGCAATGTTGGTGCAATTAGGCTTGCTGGACCAGTGACTGCAGCCGCGACACCAGCACCGTCGTTCCTCTCTTCGAGTTCTTCTTCAGTGTCCTCCTCATCGTCATCTTCGTCATCGTCGTCTTCATCATCACTGTCAAGCGCTTCGTCGTCAAGTACTTCAAGCGTCTCATCCTCACTTTCGTCGTCATCGTCATCTTCACTCTCATCGTCCTCGTCGTCGGTATCATCATCGGTATCTTCATCCTCGTCAAGCTCTCAATCAGCATCGAGTGCTTTTGCTTCGAGCGATCAGTTTGTTGGACCTGACGGTATAACTACCGTTGCTACTGCAACTTGCACAGCTATCGGCACTCAGACATATGCTTTTACTGACTCTGCGAGCGTCGTCTACCAATATATGTGTGGTGCCGGAGCAGGAGGGGTGTTTATGGAACCATCCCAACCTCTAGCGTGAATAGTTGGCAGGACTGTTTCAACTACTGCGACACCTACGTCGACTCTAATGGCCAAAGCCTTTGCTCAGGCTTTACATATGTGAGTATCTCGAGCTCTTTGATGTATAGCAACGAAACTTCTCATCTCTCCGGTCTCGCGTCCAGCCAATCATTGAGAAGCCAAAAAGCGACCGTGATATTACTTCACACAACGGGTCATTCAAGGCTCGAACGCGTGGCTGAGGCGTCTTCACTAGTTTTGGAGACCTAGCTAACTGAATATCTCGATAGAACCAAGGCGCCGAGCTTGGAAATGGACCAGGCCAATGCCTTCTGAAATCTGGCCCGGAGTCCTTCGCTAGTACAGCATCACTCATTTCCACTCGCATTGCAGGCCTCAATACGCGATATATTGTTACACCAACACCTTCGACATCATCGTCACTCTCTTCTTCTTCATCCTCGTCATCTTCTTCTTCATCATCCTCTTCATCGTCTTCTAGCAGTTCGGTGTCGAGTAGCAGCAGCTCTAGCCTCTCATCCTCGAGTAGTTCATCATCCTCGAGTAGCAGTAGCAGCTCATCTTCGTCGAGTTCTTCCTCGATTTCGAGTAGTAGCTCTTCGTCAGTCAGCAGCAGTAGCAGCTCTTCTAGATCGAGTAGCAGCAGCTCTTCGGTCAGTTCTAGTTCGTCATCATCGATCTCATCTTCTGCGAGCAGTCTCGCTGGTCAGATTACTGCTTCTGTCTCATCTTGGTCGAGTAGCAGCTCTTCATCGTCACGAAGCAGCAGTAGTAGTTCCAGTCTTTCGTCATCATCTAGCAGTTCACAATACTCATCGTCTAGCTCGAGCGCATCCTCATCGAGCAGTAGCAGTGTGTCATCATCATCGTCGTCCTCACTGAGCAGCTCAGCAGGTGGATTCACTGCGTCGGTATCCTCATCCTCGTCCAGTTCGAGCTCCAGCAGTTCTAGCAGCAGTGTCAGTTCCAGCTTGTCGTCATCGTCGAGTAGTTCGCTTTCTTCAAGTAGCTCAAGCTCGGCATCATCAAGTTCATCGTCTTCAGCATCCTCATCAACATCGTCCTCAGCTAGCAGCTTAGCGGCACAGATTACTGCATCGGTATCAAGCAGTAGTTCGTCGTCATCAAGTTCGAGTTCTAGCAGTTCGGCATCGAGTAGCAGCAGTTCCAGCCTTTCGTCGTCAAGTTCCTTAAGTCTTTCGTCATCAAGCAGCTCTAGCCTCTCATCCCGTTCGTCCAGCTCATCTTCCTCGGTATCATCATCTTTGAGTGGGTCTGCCGGCCAGGCCACTAGCTCTTCATCATCATCAAGTTCGAGTTCTAGCAGTTCTTCAGCATCATCTAGTAGCAGTTCGAGCCTTTCGTCGTCTTCTAGCAGCAGTTTTTCGTCCTCAAGTAGCAGCAGCGCTTCTTCATCAAGCAGTTCAAGCGTCTCATCCTCACTAAGCAGTACTGCTGGTCAAATCACTGCCTCACTTTCCAGTTCTTCATCAAGTTCTTCGTCCAGCAGTTCTTCTGCGTCAAGCAGCATCAGCTCTAGCGTCAGCTCGAGTTTGTCATCTTCGAGCTCTTCTTCAAGCAGTAGTGCTTCTTCTTCAAGCAGCTCAAGCGTTTCATCTTCGCTAAGTAGTACCGCCGCCCAGGTTACTGCTTCTCTGTCCAGTTCTTCATCAAGCTTGAGTTCTTCGAGTTCTTCTGCGTCAAGTAGCAGCAGTTCTAGTGCCAGTTCGAGTCTTTCATCTTCGAGTTCTTCGAGTAGCAGCAGCGCATCGTCATCAAGTAGTTCAAGCTTTTCGTCGTCGGCATCGTCTTCAGCGGGACTTGCTTCAGTATCTGCTTTGGCATCTTCAAGCAGTTCTTCCAGTTCGTCATCTAGTAGCTCTAGTTCATCATCTAGCAGCTCTAGTTCGTCATCATCGAGCAGTTCATCAGCTTCGAGTAGTAGCTCAAGTATACTTTCATCGATCAGCTCTAGCCAGGCTACACCTTCTTCGTCCGCCATCGCTTGCCCGCAAGCAAATAATGCGGTATACACAGATGGTTACAACAACCAGTACCTCATAATCTGTGATCGTGGTTATGATGGCTCGCCAGATCAATCCATTGGAGAACCTGACCTTGCGAGCTGTGTCGCATCCTGCTCAAGCAACAATCAGTGCCAGGCAGTTGAATACCAAGATGGAACTTGCAACCAGCGCTACAGCGTTGCTGGCGCTTCGACATTCAGTAACGCCGGTAACAGAATAGCTGCATTGCATCGCAGAGCATATAATACCGGTGGATCGACAGCGTACACGTACTACTTCTCCATTACTGCTACATCCTCGAGCCTGTCTTCCTCATCGTCATCAAGTAGCAGCAGCTCAGCGTCTAGTAGCAGTAGCTCTAGTTTTAGCTCGAGTCTCTCGTCGTCAAGCAGTTCAAGCAGTTCTAGTTCCTCGTCGTCGGTATCGTCATCACTGAGCAGTTCAGCCGGTCAAATCACTGCCTCGATTTCCTCGAGCAGTAGTTCCTCTTCATCTTCCTCGCTTTCGTCATCGGCCGGCGCCGCTTCCATATCGGCTTCTATATCCGCCTCCGTATCGTCCAGCAGCTCGTCTTCCTCCTCCTCATCGAGCAGTTCTAGCGTCAGCTCCAGTCTGTCTAGCTCGTCTTCTTCAAGCGCTTCGTCATCAAGTAGCTCAAGCGTTTCATCCTCATCGTCATCTTCAGCTTCCTCTACGGCAGGTGTTGCTTCTGTCTCTGCATCAAGTGGCTCATCCTCTTCGTCATCATCCTCGTCCAGCAGTTCTAGCAGCTCTGTCAGCTCCAGCTTGTCATCTTCGAGTAGTTCGTCATCCTCGAGCGCTTCGTCATCTGGCAGTTCAAGTGTTTCCTCTTCTTCAGTCTCGTCCTCAGCAAGGTTGGCTTCCGCTACCTCGTCCGCGAGCAGTTCATCTTCTTCATCATCATCGTCTTCAGCGTCTTCCTCTTCGTCATCAAGCGCTTCGTCATCAAGTAGTTCGAGCGTTTCGTCTTCACTTTCATCGTCCTCCTCGTCTTCAATTTCGTCCTCCGCAGGACTGGCTTCAGCTACATCGTCTGCGAGTAGCTCATCTTCATCATCTTCGTCGTCGTCAGTATCTTCAAGCAGCTTCAGCAGCGTCAGTTCCAGTCTTTCATCCTCAAGCAGTTCATCTGTATCGAGCAGTAGTTCTAGTTCTGCGTCGTCACTTCTGAGTTCTAGTTTGGACACACCCTTTTCTTGCAATTCTACGGTTACGGTCTCGGTTACTTGGACACCGCCGTCGAGGATGGAACTTTGATGAAGATTGGTGGTAAAGGATCAGGTTGGGATTTAGCATGCACGAAGTAGTAATAATAATAGTAGCATAGCGATTGAAATCATAATTTGAACAAGAGCGGAGGTGCTCAAACTACATCTCACTTGCATCTTCTTCAGTGCTCACTTGGAAGTGTTTGCAACCGTAACTTCACTTGGAGCGTTTGACTTCAACAGACGCTTTCCACTAGCACGCCGCCAAACACATCCACGACATAACTCTTGCCCTGCGCCCACCCTTTTTATTCTCTATTATCATCTTTCATACAGCAAACGGATCGTCTACTGTATCAGCATGGCGAAGAACAAGAACAAGCAGAAGGCCAAGGCTGATAGGGATCTCATGGCCGAGGAAGTTGTGCATTGGCTGAAAGCCCAGGACAACATGCCGCATCCCTTGAGGACTAGCCCGCGTGTTATGTGGAGTTGGATGAAGGCAATGAACACAGGCCTTCCAGAACATATTCTGAGCAAGCTGAGACCCCGGGTCATGGATCTCTGGCAGCAGTACGGCAGCGGCTTTGCATGGACCAGAGAGCAAGTGGAGGCTTCCCTGTCGGTGCACCGCGACGACTTTCGTGCACCTGTCATAACAACAGCCTGGCAAAGACAGGCATCGCTTCCTGCTCTCGCCGTCGCTTTCCCTCGTAGCGACTGGAGCCGGGCTTCTAGAAGGGCGATTGACGAGGACATGGCTGCTGAGGCAGCAGCAACTGAGCAGCAATCTCGTCCCGAGGCCATACAACCTCCACCTGTTACCGGCCAGACTGGTGCCGCTGCTGCTACAATGGGAGAGTCGGCAAAGGAGGACAAGAAGGAAGGAGCAAAGAAGGATGAAGGTCTTGCTCAGGATGCAGATGCCGCCGGCAATGTCACAGACTTGCCACCTACCATTCCGCGCCCAACCACCCAGCTCCCTCCTGGGTACGTGCTTCGCCGCGATCCCCGATTTGACATTTTCCGGGAGCGCACCTCCATCGACGACCTCCCGTCATTCCCCGACCTTCCGCCATACGCCTACCCTGGTCCCGTCCCTGCCTCGCGCCGTCCCGGAACGTCAACCCTGGCGCCGGCAAACCAACAGCCCAGTAGCCAGTTGGATAGAGCCGCAGCGTGGAGCGTGGCTGTTGCAGACATTGAGGCTCTGCAACGGAAGCTGTACGAGGAGGATCTGGCCAAAATGGAGGATTCGAACGAAGACGAGTGGACCGATGGAGAGTCTGTCGCCGCTCCTGAGGATGACATCGCCCGAGCAGAATGCCTGCAACGCGATGCAGACTTCGAGGAGTTGAATCGGCAATTCTATCGCCGCTTCTCTCAATCGCGCCGTTCAGGCCGTGGTGACGAATCGTCACGTCGTGGCCAAGATGGCCGCAGCCGTTCGCCTGGTCGCTGAGGACCTACCCTGGACATCATCGCCCAGCGTGGATTGCTATTGCCTCTGCCGGCAACGAGCCCACTGCTTATGATGACTCCGACGTGGATTGCTACTGCCTTTACTGGTGACGAGCCCACTATTTACTCTTTATTTCCCCTTTTGTAGCGTGGATTGCTATTGCTTCATCAGCAACGAGCCCACTGCTTGTGGCGTTCTCCAGCGTGGATTGCTAATGCCTTCACTGGCATCGAGCCCACTGCTCCGTCTTTCAGCGTGGATTGCTATTGCCCTATCGGTAACGAGCCCACTGCTTGTATCATCTGTCGGCTTGGATTGCTACTATCTTTATTGATAGCGAGCCCAACGCTGTTCTGGTAAGCTATCATTTCCGAATTCAACAACGCTTTGTCGAGCGCTCTATGCTGCGATTGCTAGTTAGGTATTGTTGATGCCGTTTCTCGATGTATACATACATCGCGCCTGTGATCGTTCTTGTTTCTCCTTTTTTCTTTTTTCTTTTTCTTTTCCTTGGTTAGATATACTGTGACAAACAATTTATATCTGACCCATTTTGAGATAGACTTGTGATTGTGCCATGTTCTCATCTGCTCGTGATGTTTTAATTGTTCGTGCATGGACGTACTTGTCGAAGTACGTCCTCTCCGTGTACCAAAGAGCGTCACATTGTTGCTGTAGAAATGCACGATTCTTTTCCCGTCAGGGAGAGTGACCGCGGAGACACCCTTCTGAGAAGTGGTTTCTGTGGGCGTTACCTGTTTCCAGAAAGTATCATGCATTTTGATAGTTAAGGACTTGAGTTTGTATCATCATGGGAGAAGGTTCGATGGTAGGATAATCTTTAGCACATGGGGAAGGTGAAGGAGATCTGCAGGTGTGACGCTGTCTCGTAAATCATTAGACGCTAAGTAACAATACTTGGAGTGCTCACTGATAACACCAGGCTTCCTACCGTACCACAGTCAAACAAACATATTTTGATTCTGCACGATCTGGCCAGTCTCTATGACTGGAAGACCTNTTCAATGCCCTCGAGCAAGATATCTGCGTGCTTCTTCTGGAAGATCAGCATAGGTCTCAATCTGATGGCCTGAGCACCACTGCCTCCGATGTTGATACCTGGAGTCCAAGTTAGCATATTGCTGGGAAATTGGTACATGTGAAATCGAAGATACGTACCGACACCCTTTGCCTTAGCCAGGAAGTCTTCACGACGTGGCGAGTCCCAGGCAATGAATGTGCCCTGACCCTTTCCACGAAGATTCTGGATCTCCTCAGGGTACTTCTGAGCCAAGCGTTCGAGGCCAGCGTAAAGGTAGTCTCCGGTCTCGGCAGTGTTCTGAACCAGATTAAGACGCTCGATCTCATTGATGATAGCACGGAAGAGGATAGCACGAGCCGGGTCGCCCATCCAGGTGTTGAATTGGCGGTATGGCTTGTTGGGTCTCAGTGCGTCGTTACCGAAGTAGTAACCAGCGGTCTGTGCCTTCTTGCTGAAAGTCACCATATCTGGGGGATCTTCGAGGTTCCAGTGGTCGTGAGCCCAGAACTTTCCTGTTGCACCAACACCAGTTTGAACTTCGTCAACAATCATCAGAACATTATTTCTACGAGTAATCTCGCGAAGCCCACGGAAGAAAGCTGGTGAAGCGTGGTTGTCACCACCCTCTGACTGCACAGGCTCGATGATGATGGCAGCTGGAGGCAAGTGCCATGTTTTGATCAAACGCTCTGTCTCCTCCAGACAACGAGCCTCTTCCTGGGCGTTTTCCTCGGCATACTGCTCAAGGGGATACTTGAGCATAGGGAATGGTGCCTGAGGCCAGTCGAAAGCAGGGATGTCGAGTTTGTGGATGGGTTTGCTGCGGGTAGTTGAGAGAGAGCCAAACATGCGGCCGTGGAAACCCGATTTGAATGACATGATGCTGAGTTGAGGAGCGCCAGGGGCCTGGTTGTTCATGGACGAGGTCATCTCTTCCTCGGTGAAATCGACGTCGGGACCGCCACGCTCCTGGCCTCTCTTCCACATGAAAGCAGCCTTGAAAGCGAGCTCGTTGGCATCACTGCCTGACTGGCCGGTGAAGACCTGATTGCAACCCTTGGGAGCAACGCGAAGAATACCGGTCTCGAGAATATCAGCCCAGTCGTGTTGAGGGAAGTTACCCAAGGCAGGTCTGTTGATGATTGCCGAGGCCATCTCCTTGGAAGTCGCAGCTAGCAACAGCGAAGGGTTGGAGTAGCCAACAGGGATGGAAGCAATCTGAGCATAGACATCGAGCAGGACGTTGCCGTCGAGATCAGCAATGTAGTTGGCAAAACTGTCTTGGTAGTTGCCCATCATGTTCAGACTGCGTGTGTCAAAGACCTTGTCTAATTGCTGGATAGCTGCCTTGCTCTTGGGTCCAGGAATGGCGGTTCGGACAATAGGGCCTTGAGGCTCGTCGGGGAAGAAGGGTTGATCGAAGGCATCTGGTACTGACGCGGTAGCTGCAGCAGCTGTAGCCTGCTTGCGATCCTTCAACAAGATAGATTAGCGACTGTTTTGCATCGAAACTTGGTATTTGCAAACTGAACATACTGTCTGAGTAGCAAGGGCACGGCTTGTGATTTGGAGTGTGGGACGAATGGCAACACGACGGAGCGAGGGACCTGCTAGCCGTCTTGTGCTGCGAAGGACAGAAGCCATTGTGGGTTGAGTAGTCTACCAACGAGACAGGTTTCAACTGAGTCGTCGAATTGACTGTTTATCAGGCCGTGTCAATTGTGGGGGAAGCTGCGGAGGTGAAGTGGGGTGGGTTTCGAGCGCAATGTCGACGACGATATTTACAAGACAGACAGAGAAGGTAGTAGCACAGAGAGTGATGTGGACGAAGAAAAGAAGGAACACAGGACCCTGCAATTATTGTACCACTCTCCACACCCGACCATGATAACTATCGGTCGACTCATCCTTCGCCGCTACCGCAATGATAGGCGTACGCTTATCAGATCCGACCCCTCAGACCTTGCCCGCTAAGGAAGGCTCAACCGACCATTTTTGGAGCAGGAGCACCGTAACCCTGCAACAATTGCGTTTTCGCATTACTTTTACGTACTCACAGAGTCTGGTGATCATCAAAGGAGAAAGTGCGACAATGCTTGTGAAGGAACGAGGGAAACAGACCCGGGCACACGGTCTGCCAGACTTTGCCGTCGGGAAACGATTCCGGGAAACTTAATTCGTGCTGTCAAGCCATGATTGGCAATTCTATTACATTGTATGTCTATACATGTCGAAATCTTCTATGATTTGTTCGTGATTCGTAAGTTCATGGGACTCATTTTGTCGTCTTCTTGACCCGTGGAGTTGGTGTCCACACTCGACTGGACTTATCGCCAGTTTGTTGGCTCCCAAAGAGTGTGTCAGCCCGTCCGGGCGTTCGACCTCCTATCCTCGAAGCCAGCAGACGTGCAGCTGGTGTCATATTTGCCCCAGGTGTCTGACGACCCATTGCAGGACTGCTGGTGAACCTAGGCGTTGGCGTACGCCCATCTTCCCCTTTCAAGGCACTCAATCTGCCTCCGGCTGTAGGCTTTCTTCTCTGCGCATTGGACTTTTCGACAAGTCGATGATGTATTTCCTCTCTCTTGCTTTGAGCTTGTAATTTGAAGGNGTTGCTGGCGGCCTCGGGATCAGCTGCAGGAAGCAGGGCCATGGCAGATGCACGTTCTTCAGCATCGGCTTCCGCATCCGAAACAGGCACGCCCTTCGGAGGATTGATTTCGTGAGGTAGTGGTTCAGCGTCGACAAAAGCGTAACCCTTGACCCGGGGAGTTTCGGCGCCTGAATAGCCTGCATCTGTTGAAGAAGGACGTGGTCGTCCAGCAATTGCGGCGTCGATCGCAGACATTGAAGGTGAAGGTGGTACAGACGATTCATCGGAGAGAGCTACCGGCATGCGTGTGGAGGCGTAGGAGACGGACTTGGGAGGAGCGACCGAGGCAGCTTGCGCGCGGTCAAACTGTGTTTCATGCGTGTCTTCTATTCCATCAGGCGCAAACATCAAGGTGTTCCGCGGACCTTGGCGGCTAGGAAAGGAGTCGAAAGAAGCGGAGCGATCGTCGANGTTTTGTGAGGGGCGAGCTACGAGGGCTGTTGATTGTGGCGCATTTGACAGAAGTTTTTGCTGAGCCAATTGTTGTTTTGACGGTAGCTTATTGCCGTGGTAAAGGAAAGCATACTTTTCAGCACGTTTCTGGTTCTGGCGATCGAGAAGCGAGTTGAAAGATTCGTTGTCTTCTGATGTGTATTTGGCTTGGAATGCGCCTAGTGAAAGCGAAGTGTCTACTGGCGGCTTGGAGACTTCGGCGTTACTGGATGCGACCGAAGGGGCGACTGAGGGAGTCCTCATAGGGGTAGCTCCCTGCCACCCACGCGGAGTTGCTGAAGGGGCTAGAGAAGTGCCTCTTCTTCCTCGAGGACCAGGAGTCATGGCTTGGTGTAGTTTGCGGCCAGCATCTCGGATCCAGTCGTTGTTGTTCGAGTCCAAGGCCTCCAAGTATTCCTGTTGGGCTTGACTTTCTAGCAAGCCTGGGAAATAGTCGCGGGCGATAATGTGCGAAAGGGCATCGGTGTAGACATCTTCGTCAACGACTTGCGAAGGGCGTTTGATGCGCTTTGTCGGCGGCGGAGGTGGCATGAGTTGAGTATCGGCATTGCGCTTGGCTAATGCTTGCGACGAAGGCGTCGTCATGTTGGCGGTCTCGACATCAAGAAACGGTATCAAGAGTGATCAAGGACGAAAGACGGCGAACGCGAAAGAGTTCAAGTCAGTGATGCAACCGGTTCAAATCTCTTGGCGTGAATTGTTGCATCTTCACATGCAAATCCACAAACCATCTTTCAGTCTCCATCCACAACCAACATGTCGAACGAAAAGGAGCCAGATGTCTCGAACGACGTCGAAATGGTTGATGCTGAACCGTCGTCAGCAGTCAAACGCAAGAGATCCGCAAAGGCGTCATCAAATGTCACACAATTCACCATTCGCAACCCACCATGGTCATACCTCCAGCTCTCTCTCATCACGAACTCGCCGAACTACCAACTGGATGCTTTGACTGCACACCTACGCCTTCGTGCTGCTCTGTCCCAATTTCTGGGCTTGCATGGCACTGCTATACCCATCGACATCCTTAAATTGCATGACAACGACGTGTATATCCGCGTGCCTAGCGAAGATGCCAGTGCCCTGGTCGTAGCTGTCGGTGGCTGGGTTGGCAAAGCTGGCGAAGGCTGGCGTGTCAAGCACTCTTCTTCTTGGAGCGTGGGTCTACACTCGAGCGCGGGCACTGATTTGTTCAAATGATTGATTCAACATCAAGACCTCAATCAACTTCAATTATCTCTGGCTTGGCACAAAATTCTACCCTCCCCATACTGTATGCTAAAGACAGTCACAGTCCACAGCTAAACTCTTTTCCATCCCAGCTACAAAGGTCGTCGTAAGCTATCGAAATGCACAGTTTTAATTCGAGTATAAGCCTATCCATTGAGATGACATTCATTAAGGTTTTCTCAGTGGAAACCATAGGTTTCGCGAAGATGTTGTGCATTTCGACAGCTACACTGTGACTGTCTTTAACACATGGGGAGGACGCGGCATACAAAACCAGATCTACGGAAACATGCGAGGGTGAGAAGTGGCAGCCTCAACAATGATGTCGAAAGTTTGTCTTCGCGACCTGTTACAGCCGCAGAGCTCATCTATCAACAACGAAGCCATTCGGGCATGACTTTGCGGCTTTCACCATTACACGCTGCTTCAACGCAGCCAGTGAGACTTGCGAATCGCATGTTTCTCCTGGTCAATCCCCCTCCGTAGTGTGCAAACTTGGCCGAGTTGGTCATGATCGTACGCACTGAAGGGATGGATAAGTGGTTCTCCAATCATGCACCAACAAGTGTCTGTCACTGGCTGCACACCGAACTCTTCAAGCTTGGGCATGAGTCCATCTTTACACGCTCGTGCGTAGGTGTCCCGTCCACAGGTGACAATCACAGCAACATCAGGACTTTTGCTTCTTCCCTCGCAAAGCTGACAGAGCATGGCTATCTCGTCGTATGAAAAATGCGGATTGCCGAGAGAGACAAGGTCAATCTTCGTTCCTGCCGCTTTGTCGAGCCTTAACCACACATTTGCAAGATCAGTCTTGTTGGTCTTGACGATTGGTGTGGTGGCCTTCCACTGCTCGAGAGATGGGTTGATCGCTTCAGGGGTTATGCCCGCAATGTGGAACATTGGGGCACTGGAAGTCGTTGCAAATGTTGCTCCAAACGCTTTGAGGTCGTCTCTGCTCACGGCCGCGTGTTCGAGACCAGTGACGAGGGGGATGCGGTTCGCAGCAATCTCTCCGACGAGGTAACCCAGGACGGGAAACAAGGAATCATCTCCATTGATGTCAGGCGCAATATCAATCACCACTTGTGGCTTTCGCTGGGAGGTAATGTGAACACCGGAGTTTGGAGCTCTGCCTATAAAGCGAAGGTACAATTAGCAAGATCAGACATTAGTATGAGAACACCACGACTCATCTGAACGAATGCACTCAGCTCTACGAGATGCCGTCCCGGACGGCGTTTCATGAAAACACACATTCCAGAGACCGCTCGTGCAGGCTGAGACGAACGCCAGTACCAGTTGTGGTGTTTGTACCTTCGGTTTACGTACCGGTCAACGCGACACAAATATCCAGAAAGTCGGGACATTTGATAGATCTAGAACCCAACACACTGTTGGCGAAAACCACGGCATTCGATTCTGCCCACATGATCTGCTCTCCTTCTTTCGGTGCTGTGTCCAAGAGGTAGGGAGCACATGTATAAGTTGGCTTGGCTCCCAGCGCAACATAAGCATCTGCCAACAAACCTGAGGGGTCACCCAGTGCTGCATCAATACCTTGGTCCCGCCATCTTTGCCGGTCGATAGAGATGGAGTTCAGTGTGGCTGGTATCCGTACTTTGGCACCCCAATTGCAGAGACGTTGAGCAAAGAGAAGTGTTGCGGGACCTGTATATATGCAGCCATCGATATGTGCTTGGGTTATGTCTATGAGCTCTGTAGCGGCTTGGATCTCAGCTACTCTCGAAACGACTCTAGCGGCAACTTGTACAGCTTTTCCGTACTCTCCTTCGAGCATAGCACGGTCGAGCTCTGTCAAATTGATGGCTGGCAAAGGTGTCTTTTCCTTGGTTGTGTTTCCATTCGATATGCTTGTTGGATTGACTTCGACGGTTCCATCGGTGATTTGCACAAGAGCATGGCCTGCAAGCTCTGCGAATTCATCTGCCTCGACTTGTACAATCGGAACACATTTATCGAAGAATTCGGCAGCGATTATAGTGCCCAGCGTCAAGATGAGCTCCTCACGCTCGAACATAAAGCCAGCTGGAGCATTGCCATTGAGTAGCAGCTCTAGGAGAACACCGCTCCCTGAACAAGATCCTCGACCGCTGGGGATTGCAAGAATCTTTCCAGCCAAAGAGCTTCCAGCCAGAGGATGATGTTGATCAATAACAATGCCAGTAGCTGGATCCACACCACCCCAGAAACTGAGGGGCATTTGACTGTATAGCAAAGAGCCAGACGCATGACCCTCGCTCAAACATCTGCCTTCGATAGTTCTTGGTGTTGATGTGAGCATGTTGTGCTATGCAGCGAAAGGAAAGAATAGCTTCAAGCAACAAATCAGAGTTTTATGTATATGTAGCAATTGACGAAAGTGAGCGCAACGCAACGATCAAGGATCTCCAACACACATGATTCGTTGCTTCTCTTATAGCAACTGCCTGTTATTGAATGTGGAAGGTAGTAAACGATGATAGTCAGTTTGCCGGCCAAGTTTTCCGAATCGCCGCGGAAACCCGCGGTCTTCCGATGTGAAGTCCGCCAAATGTCGAAGTCAGTGTTTCTCGAGAACACAGTCGCAGATGGTATGAGGCAAGGAATAGCAAAACAATGCTTACTCCTATGGTTTGAGACACCAAGATGCAAAACATACAGCAGCAGGGATTCCCACGTGGTCACCCACCGTAGTACTAATCTGCCGTTCAACTGCTTATGTATGGCAGAGCAGACGGGATGCCCAGTTTTCAGCTGACTGTGGCCGTATGTACTCCAAATCCTGCTTCGACAAATTATATACTTCATATAAAGGGAAAATCACAAGTGTGATGACATGGATATTTCAGCACATCATCGTGATGCATCAACATCGCCGCCTGGTCGCTCATCCTGAACATCAAAGCTTCTAAAGTACTATTCTCTATACACTCATATAGTTCTGTAGCTCGTTTGTAACCTCCCCGTATGCAAAAGTATGTAAGGCGTATGGCTATGAAAATGCACAATACTATTAGAATACCAGACGTCTCCACTGAGAAGCGACCTCTTATTAGCTCTCTTTGGCCAATCTTTGTTTTTTTGAATACCATCATGCATTTTCATAGTGTGCTCCTTACTTTCTGCTAAGGTCGGAGTCCAGTAGAAGTACATCCTTTGGCACACGAGAAGGGACTCTGTCAGAGTGGCATGTTAGTGATGCGATGGTAACTTGAAGCCATCACCATCGTGAACACTTTAGCTGCAAGTAGAGTTCAAACATGGTCATGCCACTAATCCATTTCTTGTTTGTTCGGTAAACCAACAAGACAGTACTAGTGGAAGATAACTCACGGTGCCGACCAGACAGTAGTAAATTGAAGTTGTCCAATCGTGGTCAGAATGATCTGCTCGTGAGATGGTGCAATAGCACGCGAAAGCGCTCACTGATTTGCGGTGCAGCCATATCTCTGCTTGGCCAACTTGGCCCCTCAAACACTGGACATGTTGAAGGGTTAAATGTTAGAGGAATACTAGTCTGGCTTAGGAGAATAGACTGCCACTATATTCTCCACAATGGTGCAATCCTCAACCTCTAGGGTAAATGTCGCCATCGATCGTGTCCATTGTTATATACTGCGGTAGTTCAATGGTTGTAAAGGTAGTCAATAGCTAGTGGGTCGTTCTCTGCTACCTATCAAGAAAACAATCAAGATTTGACTCTCTCGGACCAATTTCGATGTCTTTCTTTCGGCGCTCTGTCCATGAAAAGATGGATGATTCTGCAACAGCGTCGAGCAACGATGTCTTGTCTTCGCACGAGATAGTGTCAACCACAGGTGACCTCAAGTTTGTGGTTGAGCAGCGGTGCAACGGCTCGCAGCCATCTTACCAAGAAGTATCTGGTGCGCCTGTCGAGACTAAATCATCTCTTGGATATGCTGTTGGACCTGTGACGATTGTCTTGATCAACATCGGCAAGATGATAGGAACCGGCGTCTACTCAACACGTATGTCTTCCTCGCAGAATTGGGGACCATCACTGCTGACAAAAGCGCANGCGGCGACCATACTTAAAGGTACCGGCTCTGTTGGAACCAGTCTGATCTTTTGGGCCTTGGGGCTCCTTACGTCGGGTACATCACTCGCAGTATATCTCGAGTATGCGTCTTACTTCCCAAATCGATCAGGCTCAGAGGTCGTGTACTTAGAGCAAGCATTTCCGCGACCGAAGTACTTNTTTCCAATCGCCTTTGCCGTGCAGACGGTGATTCTGTCCTTCAGTACGCCATTGGTATGTAGTGCTGCTTTGAGTCAGTATAAGCTTAACTGACTGTTATGTTTAGTAATGGCTCAATATCTTTTTAAGATAGGAGACCACACACCTTCTGCCTGGGAACTAAAAGGCGTCGCCATTGCTTGCTATACTCTGGTCACGTTATGTAAGACCAAGACACAATCAAGACAGCGACATGATCTGACGGTTTTCNNAGTATTGATCTTTCACACCAAAACCTCTTACCGCATATCTAATGCTATTGGCATGATCAAAGTTCTGACATTGATCTTGTAAGTTGACAAGCCTCCCGAAGTGCCAGCCACTAACAGGAGTTTGTATAGTATTGCCATTACCGGTCTTGTTGTTCTAAGTGGTCATACCAGAGTCCAAGATCCAGGCGCGAATTTTAGAGATGCTTTCGAAGGCCATGCGACTGGGTACGGCCTCACGAACAGTGTGGTCAAGATTATCTTCTCATATGCTGGGTACGAGAATGCTTTCAACATTGTCAATGAGATTCAAGTAAGTTGCCAAATATTAAAACTCATCGGAGTTGCTTACAATGGCTATAGNAATCCTGTGAAGACGATCAAGAGAAACGCTTCATACTCTCTGATCATTGTGACTGTGCTGTATATTCTTGCAAATGTTGCTTACTTTGCGGCTGGTATGTTGGGTAACGTCTGAGAACAACGACCATATACTAACACTGAAGTCNNAGTTTCGAAGAACGATATCAGAACGTCAGGCGTGACGGTTGCAAGTCTCTTCTACACCAACATTTTTGGTCATGCTAAAGGTGTCAAAGCCTTCAACTTGCTTATCGCTCTAAGCGCGTTTGGAAATTTGATTGCCGTGCAGATTGGACAATCTCGTGTTATTCGAGAATGCGGAAGGTGAGTATCCGGATCGGCCAAATCGGTGTGCATCAAGATTAATCTCCCTGCNAGACAAGGGGTGTTGCCATTCCCAAGATTCTGGGCATCTACAAGACCATTCGGTACGCCCATCGGACCATATGTAGTCAAATGGGCCGTCACGATTCTTATGATTCTGGCACCTCCAGCTGGTGATGCCTTCAACTTCATCACAGATCTCCAGACCTATCCGGCAGCTGCATTTGCTTTTACGATGTCAGTCGGATTGTACATCGTGCGCTACCGACGCAAGAAATTGGGTGTTCCGCGAAGCGAGTTCCGTGCGTGGGACGCTGCTGTGATGTTCACAATTCTGCAGAATCTGTACTTGCTCATCATGCCTTGGTATCCGCCAACAGGAGGAGCGACAGGCGGAGATGTCAGCTTCTGGTATGCGACTTACTGCGTCACAGGGATCGGGATTCTTCTGCTCTGTGGTGTATATTACTACTTGTGGCTGTATTTGTTGCCCAAGTGGGGAAAGTACCACATCAAGCAAGAAGTTATGATGCTCGAAGACGGATCAAGCACCAATTCGCTGGTTAGAGTAGCACTGAGCGACCTGGAGCAATGGAGCCGGACCCATGATGCAGCGGGTAGATTGGTTGTCACGGGCGTTGAGGTCGAGGCGAAGAACGAAGGCCGCCCTGAACAGGTGTAGGCTGGCAGGAGTTGTTTAGCAGGACAGTCAATTGTGTATTGAATCAAGTTTGAATCGAAATATGCTCAAACGTATAAGGATTTTGCAGAACATGTGATTGACAGCGAGGGAAGAAGCACTCCACCAGGTCGAAAGTCTTGGCAGTGTATATCACGGCGGATCGAAGCCGACGCGGTGCGTGTCGAGCTGTCAGCTGTTGCTACCTTCCTATCCGTTACACACAACACAGTCGCATCAACACAAACCATGTCAGACGACGAAATTGTTGCCGGCCCTCCCGGAGCCACATCGGTGGATGCACGAGGAGCGTCCGAGTCGAAACCCAAATACCGCTCATGGCGCAAGAAGTATCGCAAGATGAAGACGCACTTTGACGATGTCATGAAGGAGAGCAACAGCTTGTTTGTCGACGAGCAGAAGCTCGATGCCTTGTCCAAGAGGCTGCAGGAGCAGAATGAGTACATCATCACCATCCACTACCATGCCATGACCAAGGGCTGACTTGTTCTATAGNNCCAACTGCTCGACCTCCTTCTCGATCTCAACACTTCCTTGTCCATCCCACACGAATTGCGATTCGATCTTTCTCTGGCCCCCAAATCCCAGCAGCCGCAGGAAGAACGCGACATGACCCTCGACACAGCAAACAACATCATAGCCAATGCTCACCGCGCCTTCCACAACCACGAGATTCCCCATCTGGACTTTGTCCGCATACGGCAGGATATAGAAGCCTTGCTGGCTCGTAAAAATGCCCAAAGTTTGGTCGACATGGAGGCCCAGATCCCCCATCCACGATACCACCATCCCATCCCACCCCTTGTCGCCGAAGCAGATCCGGCCTTTTTGTCCTCGTCGCATGAAGACGCCTATCTCACTCGACTTGACAACAAGCTAGAACCTGCTGCTCTTAGCGACCCTCGCCCGCCCTCACCGCAGCCCCTATCTAAACTCACACAGCGTGAGTTGGATCGCGAAGTTGAACTACGAAACCCTCTGTCCGTTCACAACTGGCTCAANAAACATGGCACAATCTCCGACCTTGATGCCACTTCCGAGGGCGGTGCAGCTCAAACTCCTGCGACCGCCAACAAACGCCGCAATCTCGCAAAGCAAGTTGGCGATAGAGCGCTTGAACGAGCTAGAGAAAAGGAAGGAAGCCCAGGGAGTACCGTGGACAATGAAGACGACCTTGGCGTTGATGACACACCTGGCAAGCCGAANAAAGCTAGAGATGATGATCAAACATACCGACCAAAGGGTGGCCGTAGCAAAAGCAAGCGAAAGAGAGACGAGGGCGAGAACACACCGGCCCGAGGCAAGAAGCAGAGGACGAGTGTCAACATCCCTTCCGATGCATGATCTTGCAATTGTCCAACTAGTCGTATAGCTATTGTAATGCCTTTATCTTTCCCAACTGGAAACAGGCTTCATTGTTCCAAACAAGCCCTTGAAATGATCAGATACTCTTCTATTTACTTCCATTCAGCGCTCCAGATCGTCTGATCACGTTTGAAAGGAACGACCTCGACGCTGCCATCAGCGTTCTTCAGCAGGCTCTGCACCTTGACGTTATCCTNTTTCAATACGACCTTCTCACCCTTCTTGTCTTCGGCTCCGTAGAACTTTCTGCCGTTCAACCCAAGGAAACCCTTGAGCTTCCCCTCGGTGACATCATCTGCCTTGAGGACGCCGCGCTCGATACCCTGCTCCAAGGCAGATAGCACATATCCAACTGCGTGAGGCTGCGTGAAAACACCAGCTGCAACCTTGTCTCCACGCTTGTTGATAGCTGGGTGAGGAGCACTGTCGGTGCCGAGGAAGAACTTCTGGTTGCCTGAAACAACAGTCTTGAGCAGAGCCTCGCGATCCTTGGGTGTCTTGGCCACAGGCTTGCAGAAGGAGTGCGGGTCGCCGGCCCAGTCATCGACAATCAAGAAGAGATGGTGAGCAGTAATGGTAGCTGAGACGGTGGGACCGCAAGACTTGACTGCTTCAATAGCAGCTGCGGTGGTACAGTGTTCCAAGATGATCCTCAGCTTGGGGAAGCGCTTGTGCAGGTCCTTGAGCGTGGGAAGGAAGGCCTCTTCGGCGCTCAACACGGTAATGTCGTTGTCCTTGGATCCGGGAACTTCGCCGTGCAGGTTCAGAACCATGTTCTGACGTTCCATTTCCTCGAAAACAGGATAGAAGGGCTCGTAGCTGACGACACCAGCACTGCTGTTTGTGGTCACGCCGGCTGGGTAGGACTTGATGCCTGTGATACCTGCTGAAGCAGCCTCCTTGACCACTTCGGGGGTAATGTCGGGGTGCAGATACAAGGACATGAGGAAGTTGACATTTGGCTCAATGGCTTCAAGTCTCTTCTTGTAGTCCAAGGCATGCTGAACGGTGGTAATCGGAGGTACCAAGTTGGGNNCTTTGATGATAATAGAGCTTAGAATCCTGTTTCATTTCCTACAGCTCAATGAGATGCTTACCATGACGAAGACGGTGTTGACACCTCCCTGTCTGATGGTTGGTGTGACAAGCTCCATCATGGGTCCATCACGAAGGTGAACATGGAAATCAGCAGGAGCTGGGATCTCCAGACCATCAAACTGTTGAAGAGACATGACTTGATGCAGACAAAGTGCTCTCTATACGAGTCCATGGTCAAGTCAGAACAGTGTGTCATTGATATGCCGGGATCGATTCGTAGCCGTACCGAACAACCTCGTAGTAGGACTTACCTATATTTTTCAATTTGTCTTTCGACGACCTTAATTGATGTAGGTAGATAGGTAGCTATGACAGAAGCCGTCGAGATGGACGATATCGCACGCCAAACAAGGTTAGCTTTTTCTGGCGTGCCAAGCCTCCACTTCATCGCAGACATCTCCAACCTCTCTTGTTTCCTGAAAACCCTCTTCTGCAAACCTTTCAGACCTGGCAGATTCAGGCGCGAGCTGTTTCTGAATATGGACAAACCATGGAGCTGACATTCATGGCAATGCTTGGAAGCCATCTGGTGTCACTGATTGCTGCACAAAGCCTGCTCTTTCCTCCACTGTGTAACGTTACGATCTATCAACTTGCAAGCCTCGCTAAAAAGAACTGCGAATTGCACTTCTGGTCGATTTAGTTCCGTGGCATACAAATATTATCAGAGCATAAAATCATGAGGATCCTAACAAAAGCCATATCCAAAAAATCAGCAGAAGCAGGACAGGCCAACAAGCTTGTCAATCTTATAGCAATTGTTCGAACTGGTCACAAACTTCTGTCCGCAGATCTGTCGGTTGCCTATTGCTACATGCATGAACCCGTGTGACAATCCAATCATATCGCATTTACCATCAAACAGCCATCAAGAAGGCTCCATACAGCTCAGTGGATGCAGTTTGCGAACACGTTAAACATGATGCAACCTGATTTAGACCTCTAGAGGCTGACAACACAGATCCGTTGGCAAATGAAAGAAGTTCACTCGCTTGCCGCCTGCAAGAATCGGTTCTTTGCAGTCACGTCTTGATTGTACCATCCAACCTCTTCCATATACGAGCTACAGTACCTCCTCAAATTTCCAAAGCAATAACGCCGCTCTCGAACCTTGGTATACTTGCTTCTTTGCAACAGAACCTCTGCTATCGACTATGCCAGGCCTCCACATGTCTGCCTATGCTCCGCCAGGCTCCATGGCTTGGTCAGTTCCTCAGTATCCAGCAGCCATGCCGGCACAGTCAATGCCGACTCCACCACTGAAGTTCTTCATCGAGCGCAATGACGGTTCTCTCGTTCCTCTGGTACCTGTCGACGAACTTCCCGATGATGTTCGCTTGCTTGGTGTGCCTTCGACTTTGGATGCTTCGCAAGTCAAGGGTATGCTGTTCCTCGGACGCGAACCGTCTGCCAGAATCAAGTTTTCGCATGCCAGATCTAGGAGCATCAGAGAGTCAGAGGCTTCTTCCCTGGTCGCGATGAATTGTGCACCTCATCCTGAGATGGCTGCTCACAATGGTCACGCNACCTCAAGTTAGTCACAATAACTCTAGATTTTGCTGTCCCTTCTAACGTAATTCTCACAGCACATGCATACACAGCCTCTTCCCGCACCCACCTATGTATCGGTCCCGACTGCAACTGCCAAGTCACTCAACTCGTCTAAGCCAGGACCCTACAATGTGCGCCCTGTTGCACCCTCCGGAATAGAGCCTGATCAGAGAAAGAAGATCTACTGCACTTACTGGATCCAGAACCAAGGTCAATGTGCCTTTACACAGCAAGGTTGCATATACAAACATGAGATGCCAGAGGACAAGGAAACTCTCGAATCAATCGGTTTGAAGTCGGTACCTGCCTGGTGGCGCAAAGAGCAAGCACGCAAGAAGTCGAAGGCCAAACGCACCGAACGCAACGGCTCGATCTCGGAGTGGGAAGTTGTTGAACGTCACCAGACAGAGAACTCTGTTGTTCATAGCGGCAGTTCTGTCCACGTTCGCGCTCCATCTTTACGTCCTGCTAGCACTCCAATCACCAAGCAGGTTGTGCATCAGTACCGTTCAGAACCGACTGCACAGAAGGACGCTTCCTCGTCTGACATTGCATCTGATGCCGCTACTGCTGGCAGTTCAGCTCCAGCACTATCTCCTCCTGGTGGTGTCAAGTTGGGTGCAGCCAAGACTCCTGTGCGCGGCCCACCATCTCTACCTTTCAGGAAGCAAACTGTTGATTCGCCCATTGAAGACGGAGACGAAGAGGATCTCATCGATTTTGACGTTCTTGTACCATTGTCGTCACCGGGCATCTCTTCACTCTCTCAGGCCAGTCCTGAAGCGCTTGCTGGCCCTCAATCGAAGGCCGATGTGGTTTCTAGACGCTCAAAAGTCGTTACGAAGGGCGGTGTTTCCATGTCTCCAGGCACAGGTACTCGCTCGAGTAACAAAGGCTCCAACCGACGCGGTTCTGCAGAGAACAAGATCGTGTCGCCTATGAGACAGCGCAACACCGCCAAGGGCAAGGTTGAGACGGGCATAGAGAAGGTTGAGCATGGCAGTGGCGTTTCGAGAAGAGGCAGAGTCAAGACGAAGGCGGTTGCAGAGGTCGCAGCCAAGGCTACAGGCGAGATCGACACGCAGTCAGACGGTGAGGCTTGAAAGCCGTCTCCTCAGTGCTGGGATTCTTGGTTGATTCCTTGTCGATTCGGTAAGACTTGCAGTTAGTTGGCGGCGTTCGTCCCGAGACTGTGTAGGCACATAGTCCGACAGTCGGATATCACGCTGGTTGAATGGCATCGGCCCGACTTTTGAATAAACTGTTGAAGGAACGTTCGAAGTTGGCATATTAGTCCAGCTAGTATTTCTCAGCTGAGATGAGTTTTGTATGTAGCTTGGCGATGCAACACCATCGTTATTTCTCGATACAGATCTTATTTCTTCAATTTTTCTTCTTTTTTCTCTTCGGAAGCTCATGGAAGCTTGTGCCGGACCGAGATGAGGCTAAGCAGAGAAGAACAACACTTCGAACCAAGACAGCGATGCAAGTTCACAGCTGACTGATGTCAACGCGCAATCGTTGAAATGGCTTGTATGTCGTATCGAAAGCCTTGTTGCCCTACATGACGGCCTTGTTACTCCAACCACGGCCTTGTTATTTTGCTCCGCCACGATCTCCAAGCGTCGAAGGTGCCTCAGCCAAGACACCCCAACCTTCTAGCGCCTTTCCAACTTGCTTCTGTCGTCTCCGCATGCCAGGTGCCTTCACAATGTGGCTATCGAGACGTACAAAAACTTTCGAGAAAGAGGTAACATGCAGAGAGAGCGCCGCCTCAGGCCCTGCAGCTACACTTCCACCGGAGAGCAGTTGTGCACTTCTTGCGAGTAGCTCATGGTGAGCAAGAAGTCAATCATTGGATGGTGACAGAGTCCAGCGGACAGGTATCATTGAGCATTTCGGCTACTGATTTCCAAGACTCTTACTGCAATCATCGAAGCCGGTGCTGGAAGTGTGGGTACTCAGGATTCCGTTGGCCAGCACTGACATTTTCGGCCGCATGGCGAATACTTGGGCCGACTTGGCCTGCGTTGCGTATGGGTAAAGTAGTGTGGTCGTGGGGTGATTGGCCTTCATGGAGTAGATGTGACTGGGGTTCTGGGGGCTCCACAGCAAGATCGACCATATTGTTGCGGAGTATGGGACCAAGGTTCGTCTCATGCTCGATTCTCATATTTTCCCCCCTCTTTAATATATAAAGCCTGGACGATCGCCCACTGGGAGTACAAAATCGTCTACAGTCCATTCCCTCTTCTCACCAGGATCTTTTCTCCATTCTTTACTCTCACGATATCTCTCCTTCTTGCTCTATCCTTCGTTCAAGAGAAGTCGTGAGACCGATATCACAATGGCGAGCCGCAACAACTCAGTCGTTGCACCGCTTCCGGACTCTGTGGTTAAGAAGCATGGTGTCAAGACCATCGAAAGCAACAACGCAGTAACTGGCGCTCAAAATCTTACTCTTAAGCAATCGATTCTGCCTGTCTGTCTCGTCACCATCCTGTTCTTCCTGTGGGGCTTCGCCTATGGACTTCTCGATGTCCTGAACGCTCACTTCCAAACTGCTCTCAACATCACCAAGGGCCAGAGTGGTGGTCTCCAGGCTGCTTACTTCGGTGCTTATGCTATCGGACCTCTGACTTACTCTGGTTGGATTGTGAGACGCTTCGGTTACAGATGGGCTTTCATTACTGGTCTCTGTATCTACGGTGTTGGTGCTCTTATGTTCTGGCCATCTGGTCTCAAGCGTTCTTTTGGCGGATTCTGTGGAAGCATGTTTATCGTTGGATCTGGTCTATCAACTCTCGAGACTGCTGCCAATCCATTTATTGCTACCTGCGGTCCTGCAAAGTACTCTGAATTGCGTCTGACCCTGGCACAGGCCTTCCAGGCTGTAGGAACTGTTGTCGCCCCTATCCTGGCCAGTCAAGTGATCTTCAAGAACGTCGACGACACCTCCCTTCAGTCAGTACAATGGGTCTATTTAGGAATTAGTATCTTCGTTTTCATCCTTGCCGTCGTTTTCTTCTTCGCTCCAATCCCTGAGGTTACCGATGCCGATATGGCTGCTCAGGCAGAATCCAGTGGTGCCCAAACCGCTTACGAAGACAAACCCTTGTCTAAGCAGTACACGCTCTTCTTCGGCGTGGCCGCACAGTTCTGCTACGTCGGTGCACAATGTGCATACGCAGGGTATCGACTATATTTATCGTCTAAATTGGTGAAATCATGCTAATTGAACTTTAGGTATTTCATCAACTACGTCTCTGCTGTCCGTCCTGGAACGACTCATGCTACTGGTGCCAACCTTCTTGCCGTTGCTCAAGGTTGTTTCGCCATTGGTCGTTTCGTCGCGAGTGGTTTGCTCAAAATCACTAAGCCTCGTTTTGTCATAATGGGATTCCTTTCTGGTGTGGTCCTCTTCGCATGCTTGACTATGGGACTCAAGGGCAACGCTGGTATCGCATCCATCTCGCTCGTGCTCTTCTTCGAGTCTTGTGTCTTCCCTCTCATCTTCGCGCTGTCAATCAGAGGTCTTGGTCGTCACTCAAAGCGTGGAGCCAGTTTCATCGTTGCTGCGGTCTCGGGTGGTGCTCTGTTCCCTCCTGTTCTTGGTACTGTTGCCGACCACATCGGTACTCAGAAGGCATTCTTCATTCCTTTGATTGGCTTCGTCATCGCATGGTGCTTCCCTCTCTACCTTAACTTGTTCAAGGCAAAAAGTTTGGATGGCTGGACCGAGGAGAAGGCTCCTGTTGTCGCCGAAAAAGATATTGAGAGCATACATGACGAAGACGACGAGAAGAAGGGCGCTGCTATTGAGCACCAGGAAATCAGAGCTTAGATTGGCTCTATGGTCGCATTTCTGATTTGGATGATATTGTGCGCTTCGATAGATACATCTTAGTTGTTTGTAGCACATGCAAGGATCGACGCTTATGACAATTACAAGCTTATTTTCAAGCATATATATGAAGATAATTCGACAGCATTTGTCGAAACCCGAACTGACTCAGATAGTGGTTTTCTATCTGCCTTTCAGCAGGCGGAATTGCTGAGATCCTGATTGGGCCTTTTCCATACCCCGCCCACTGGCTGGTGGTATGTTCTACAATTCTCTATGTTACAGAGATTGTCCTGTTCTTCACGTTCTTGGCTCTGTTGATAGCGGAATGGGTCATGTACCCACATGTGGCTGTTCGACGCATTATGAGCAATCCGGAAGAGATGGGAACTTATGCTATTCCTCCAATCGCCCTCATGGTCATGGCTTCTCTCACCATCACACAGGTCAGCAACGGTCCGTGGGGAGGCCACGCTTTTACCCTGGTGGGATATGTCGTGTGGTGGATAGGTCTTGCTTGGATCTTTGTGACTGGAGTCGTGGTTCTGGCTATCTTGTTCTATACTGGAAACCAATCCAACAGAACTGTGACCCTGGTTCTGTTCATGGCACCCATGGGACTCGCCACAGCTGCTACGGAGGCCGGAAACATCACCATCTTTGGGTTCGGAATGTCTGCGAGACTTGCTGTGCCTCAGATTTTTGTCGGGTACTTTGCTGCTGGTTCGGCCTTNTTTATGGCCATTCTTCTTTACACCGTGTTTTTCCACCACTTGCTGTCGGTTGGATGGGGTCCCTATGCTAAACGAGCTGGACTTTTCATCTTGGTGAGTAAGCTTCTGTCATCCCAGCGTAACATCTACTGACATTGATCATTANNGGTTGGCCCGTGTGGACAGTTGTCGACAGCATTCCAATTGCTCGGCGAATCCGCGTCTGACTTCCGGCGATTTGCAGAGTACAAACCCGCATCAGTCCATCCTCCAGTCGGCAGTACATTCTGGACAGAAGCTAGCGCGCGAGGCATCGACGACGCTGGCATTCTCTTTGCCCTGCTTATACTCGGCTTCGGTTACCTTTGGCTCTGTGTTGCTGTCATCGGAGTCGTCGATGTTGCAATTAGAAAACAAGGCACATATTCTCTGGTATGGTGGTCAACAGTCTTCCCTCTGGTGACTTTCACAACTGCTTGGCTGGAACTGGCTTTCTCTATGGATTCACCAACATTCAGAGCGTTGGTTTGTGCCCTGACGGTGATTTTGGTCGTCTCATTTTTCACTAACCTGGCCTTTACTTTACGGGGTATTTTCNNCAATGGATCGTTGATCTTTGGCAAGTCTCAATTAGAGGTTGAAGAAGGCCTGGTCAAGAAGGCCCAAGACGAGATGAAGACCCGAACAGCTGAGGTGTAATCTTATAGAGCAGAATTCGACTAAGAGTGGGCTCCTGGTCTGTTTCATAGACCTAGCCTCCCCGTGTACTAGAGTCTGTAACTTCACCGTACTCCGACTATAATTCAGAGAAACATCTAGACTATAAAAAGGCACAATTGTATTCAGAAACCGAGCGTGTCCACAGAGAGTCGACGACTTGTTGCCTCTCCGTGGATACTATCTTGTTCTCTATTACTATTCTGCATCTCTACAGGTATACGCGTTACATACTTTAGTACACGGGGAGGAGGCAAGATGAGATTGATAGCCGAAAATTGGAAGTGTGGATCTCATCTTCCACCTCCCCATGTGCTAAAGACAGTCACAGTTGTAGCTGCCAAAATGCACAATACATTCGCAAAACTATGGTTTCCATTGAGAGAACGCCAGTAAAAGCTATCTCAATGGCCAGACTTGTATTTGAATCAAGACTCTGCATTTAGACAGCTTATAACAACCCTTGTAACTCGAGATGGAGAAGGGTTCAGTTGTAGGATTGTGACTGTCTTTACTATGCAGGGCGAGGCAGCTTCCACTCACTAAGCTTGCAATTGTCAAGAACCTTGGAGTAGTCGGTGGGATCGATTGGCAACAGCCTGGACGATAGCAAAGTCCGACGGGCTGAAATCGGGAGTATACGATCGAGGTAGGGAGATCCTGCAACGGCAGGCAGAGGACAAAGGGATATCTCGGGTCCGAGCTCGGGGCCGAATTGTCCGACAATCACCTGAGTGCCATGGAGTTTCCGCAGTCAGCACTAGGCAGCGGCGCATTATTGTCAGTTATCATGTTGCAATCAGACATGATATAAAAGCAAGGGGTGGAGCTCCCTTCTGGAGGATATTCACATCAGGCTTCCAGTACATGCCACTGCTTCTACCAACGCTAACACATCCACTCAAACGGCGTCTTACGCAGTTACACAAAGGAACAAGCACGATACTCAGAAACATGAGCGAAAACACTATGCATGCTGCAGTCGTTACTGCCTGGGGCGAATCACCAAAATACACTCAAGTTCCCGTACCATCACCCGACTCAGATGAAGTCCCGGTCAAAGTGATGTGCTCTGGACTGCACATCGTAGTCCGCTCTATCGCCAGCGGTAACCACTATGCCTCTGGAGCCTTGCTTTACACTCCCGGTGTCGATGGTATAGGCCGCCGTCTCTCCGACAACAAGCTGGTCTACTTTATCAGCTTCCCTGGCGGTGCCTACCAAGAAGTGCTCAATGTTGAGCGCCGCAAGATGGTAGAACTGCCTGATGGCATCGACCCTTACCAAGTCGCTGGTTATGCGAATCCTGTATTGTCTAGCTGGATGGCATTGAGAGCGCGAACAAAAGATCTGCCTGAGAATTTCACTGTGCTTGTCATGGGCGCCACCAGCGCTAGTGGCAAGGTCGCTGTCGAAGTTGCACGCGTCTTGGGTGCTGGAAAGGTCATTGGGATGTCTCGCAATGCTGAGACACTCTCTGAAGTTGGTGTTGACGAGATGATCATTCTCGATGACAATATCTCAAACACCGATTGCAGTGCTGCTGCTGAAGTGGATATCATCCTCGATTATCTGTACGGACCTGTAGCACAGCACGTTCTTTCCACCGTCAATTTCACACGCCCAGTACAATATGTCCACATCGGAGGTCTTGCCGGCACAGAGATGATGCTGCCCGGCCACGTTCTCAGATCCAAAGACATCACCATCCGTGGAGCTGGTCCTGGCAGCTGGTCTCGCGAAGCCATGCGACCAGAGATTCCCAAGATTCTGAACGCCTTCAAGACTTTCAAGACGCAAAACGTCAAGGTTGTGCCTCTGAGTGAGATCGAAGAGCACTGGCATAACAAGAACGAGCGCATTGTCTTCAAGCCATGAAGCTATACAAGTATGGCTGATATGGCTGTAGAAATGCACGATATCATCGACAAATAGAGTCATGCCTACAGAGAGTCGACCTTTCGCCATCTCTCTCTGGCGGGGCCTGTATTTGAATTCAGTTGTGCTTTTCGATGGTTATGTTTGCGATGCATTTTAGCTCGTAGGATAGACGGAGGAGAGAGTACTATTGCTTGTTTAGCATTAATATATATTCGCAAAGAGACGTATTTAGAGTTAGCACAAATCATATGTTTCGAGCATTGTCTCTATTTACCCTTGCGTGCAACCTCGCGATATCTACCGATCCACTCAGGCTTGCCAAAGAGCACGTAAAATCTCCATGCCAGAGTAGGAAGCAAAACCGAACTGGCGGCAAGCAAAGCATTCCTGCTCCATCCGCTGTCGTCTCCGTACACGAAGGCTTTGTACAACGCTACGGCCACAACGCCAACCTCGCCAGCTGAGAGGGTGTAGTAGGTAGGTGCTCTACTTTCGATGCCGCGTCTAGTGTTTGGTACGCCCAGGATCAAAGGAGTAGCCAGGGCATAAACCAAAGCACCAGTGACTTGTGTCCATGTCACTGCGGTGGGCGTGACATCAGAGGGTGAATTCACAAGCATACCCAAGAAGCTCTGAGGGAAGAAGACCATCCAGGTTCCGCCGATGGCGTTGGCCATGGTTTCGAAGCCGAGAGCAAACCGCATGACACTACCTGTAGCGCTGGGGTCGAGTTCGATGTCTCCGGAGCCGGAGTTCGAGGTGGGGTCAATGTAACCGCCAGGTTGGATTGTGTAAGGCATGTCTTGATAGTGATCTCTGAGCTGGCCTCTCGGTGCTGCAGCTAAGGGGCCTGCTTTGAGCTTATGTGCGTACTGTACGGAGTCTCGAGTACTGTTCAGCTATGTGAGCTGAAGACCACCATCAGGTTTCTTGAAAATGCTCACCAGAAAAGTTGAAATTTATAGATGTGGAAACTGTGAGGGAGACGTATGGTATGTCGAAAAATTATGCCAGATACAGAGGTGATGTCGTCATGATTCTGTTGCTAGGTGGGGTGACCTGCTATGCACTTGGTTTCCTACCGTTATGTCCAATGCGTACTACGAAATTTCGTGGACAGGCAGTGCGTTCTTTATTCTTGATTGAGATCAGATCAGATCTTCTATGCGCGGACACTGTCGCAGTGAAGCTGCAGAAATGCACAATACTTTCGGAAAATGGGTGGTGTCCACGGAGAGAAACCCGTCTGGCGCTCATCTCAATGGCTTGCTTCCCTTTCACCTAGGAAGTAACCGCGCATCATAATAGTTTATCATATCTTATAACTTACAATAATAGAGGGATTCATACGAAATTACAACAGTCCTCAGCACAAAGGGAAGATAGGTGTAGAGACACGTGAGAGCGCAGTCAATTGTGACGTCATGACCATCTCTGCCATCGTCTCTCTAACCCACCCCATTGCTTATAAACTCTGTCATGACGAACTCGCTCTCGAAATGCGCTCCTCAGTGAACAATCTGCGTGCCTCCGACATCCCCTGGTCAGATCCCTCATTGACACCTCCACTCGTGGCATCAGCCTCTGCCGCAGGGTCGAATTGTGGCAGCTGAACAGCAGTAGGAAGAGAGGATCTGATAGCCTCGCCGTAAACATCTTCGGCCTCATATCCAGCTTGCTGCAAGACCGCAAAATACTTGTCAGAGATCTCCAGTGCCTCTGTCCGCATGTCTCGAAACCTGACAGCCGCATCGATCATGCGTCGTTTGCATTCCTTCACATCTACGCTTCTGGTCTGTTCTGTCGTCATGTCGAAGCGCATGGGGTAGGTGCGAGTCGTGACGAGATAGTGTGTATGCGCCCTAGCCATGCCACCTGGCGTCGTCAACTCCCTGTCGTATTCGAAGCGGTCAGGTACTACAAAGCCCATTAGAATTCATCGGGTCAACAACTCATTTCGAACAACCTACANAGGACCAACTGGCAGCCTGTCTGCTAAGTCAAAGAGGATGTCAATCGCGTCTTCCAATTCTTGAATATAAGACCCGAAGATATCGCTGGCTTCTTGAGCCCCTTTGGCATATCCCGGAAACTTGCTATCAACGTCGCCTCTCTTAATTGTCGGCGGTCGCCATGCTTCAGCGAGCATTTTCAAGTGATCGCATATCTCACCGCAGAGACCTCGAATGTATGGGTTGGTTGTGGTGTCGTAATCTTGAATTGCGTCTGTGAATAGATCGTCTGACATTTTTCTATGACTGGAAAGTTTGGGTTCAAGAAAAGACGTAGGGAAACAGCACGCTTGATATACAGGTGTTTTTGTTTGCTGCTCGTGAGGTTTGGAACGTGTTGGTCTGTTTGCTTACCAGCTTGATAGGGATTGACTCTTCCTTACTCTTTTGTTATAGGCTAAGCAGCAAACCTCGATGCTGATGAGCGATAAGGATGATCAGTAACATCTTCTACCATTGGACGAACACCCATTTTTTCGTCCCAAAGTACTTTTCGGCTTTTGTCAAGGCTGCACAGTACCAGGATTTTTTCTTTCCCCTACGGGACAAAAACTCTCGCCGATGATGTCGAATCTCAATGTTTTTGTGCCAAGAACATATCAGTAACATGGCCCCCACTAAAAAGTCATGCTGCCTAAGAAAACAGCCAGTACGAGTATTGGAAGGTCACATACTGACTAGACGTGCAGCAATACGATGTCAAATGGCACTCAGCCTTCGAAAATTCTCCACCAAAATGCATGCCAAGCACTAATTTCTTCCGTTTCCGTGTCCAGGAATAACAACAGTTACAACACTCTCAACCATCTGATCCTTTTGAGGAAAATCGCCTGACGATTGATCTTGCTCGGTCCAGTGATTGATTGAGATGCTGATTCTTGAAAGGTATAAGATGGTGCTCTGAACCATGCTGAGGCTCTCGATCAACACCAGCTCGAGTATCGCATTGGAGTATCCTTGACAGTCTTTACCATATATTGTTTATATTCCTTCTGCATCAATCCTTACCATGAGAAAATCATTCATTGCTGCAGCAGCTGCTGCTATGCTCACCTCTATGGCTGAGGCTCAGGCTTTCACTCTCAAGATTCGGTCTGCTTCTGATAGTCTAAACAACGTCCCCTTGGTCGCCTGGAACGGTATAATAATCGCAGAACGTGGAGGTAATAGCACCACCGCGACTTGTCCTCCCTGGGACAGCAACTGCCCTGGAAAATCCACCACCATCTTCTCAGGACCGACTGTTGACGGCGCTCCGAGTCAAATGTGGATGGGTATTCTCCAGGAGCACGGCCAGCGTGTCTACACTCACGAGCCCCCGAAGGATCTTGGATTCTCGGACTACGGCGACCTAATCAGCTATACAGCGGCAGGCAATGATGAGTCAGTCAACATCCCCAAGGTGTGTTAAGCTAAAGGTACAAACACCACGCCTAGCGCTGGCGTTTGTGTCAGCCTGCACGAGCAGTCTCTGGAATGTGTGTTTCGGTGAGACACCATCCCTGGCGACATCTCGAAGAGCTGAATGTATTCGTCCAGCCAAGTCGTGGTGTTCTTACAACTAACGTTTGATATCTTGCTGATTGTACCTTCGCCTTATAGNGTGGACTCATTCGGCGATCTCTGGAACATCGTCACAATCGACAACGATGATGGTGTGCTTGGCTCGAAGAGAGGTGACCGTGTCCTTGCCGTCGGACATAACGGTCCTTACGCCTTCGATATTTGCACCGAGTTGCGCAATCCCTGGGGTGGAGAAACTTGGATTCTCTCCACCGTGTCGAAATATTGCACACCTATCCTTGTTGTTATCGAGGAGACGGATGTAGCTGCTCCCCAGTTTTACAACTGTGATGGTTGCGAGTTGAGGGGAAATCCTGCTAAGGATGGCCCTGCTTGCCGTCCTCCGTTCTGTGGCATGTACAACTACTGGATCTAAATCGGGTCACACAGCACCAAGTCTTGACCAGGACGGCCTGTTTTCCATCCTGCCGATGGGCATTAACGATCGTATGATGTATCAATCAACAATACTCGCCTGTGCCAATCAAACCTTGTGGCTACTATTCCATCTGTCTCACACGGACAAAGTTATGAACGTATGAATTTGTATCCACAAGCTTGTTATACCAAGATGCGTGCGATGCCTTTCTAGAAGCCCTGAATACGGGTTTGGTCCTTTGCCCAACACTATCCAGTTCGCCAGAACGTGCTTGACTCGAACCGAAATACCATGGATCAAGCTATCGTCAAACAGAGAAGAGGTGGGTCAATGGTCCTTACAATAGAACTTCGCATGTGCTAATCTATCGCGTATCAATCTGAATGATTTCTGGACAGGGTGTGGTCTCATGATCTCGACGGTTCTTGTTCTCGACGGTTCTTGTTCTCGACGTTGGTATCAGAGTGGCGAGCTCACACGATCGGTACGCCGATTCAATGGATGTTCCAATTCTGTATATCGAAGAACTCAGTTACGAGTTGAGTTTCTTGGGTGTTGTTGCAAAGTCCGCGAGTTGGGGAGCCGCAAGAGGGTATACCCGCAACCGCTTTCTGATTCCAGATACTGCTCAATCTTTTGTATAATACCAAATCAGGAGCTGATGAGCGTGAGTTATGGTCTCTTCCAGAGGTGGATCAAGTGTATATTGGTGTCTCCAAGACGAAGAAGGCATGGTTATTGTGATGACCCTGTCAGTCACGAATTCTGACAGCTCGGGGAAGACATTTTGGCAGTCCGTCGTTCCGTTTCTCCGGCGGGCCGAAGAATGAGCTTGCCGAACAAAAACAAATGAGCTTGCCGTTAGAGACGCGTTGTCTACTCTGGAAAAGTCCAGATGCCATACCAATGACGCCGATTCATGGGCGGTTGCCAACGTCACAAAAATAATTCCATGCTTCATCACAGGCTGGCCGTGCCGGTTTCGTCGGGCCCGAGGGAGATGCATCATAATTCGGTCAATTGCCTTCTCTTCCATATATCCGTCTCTCGACACCCGAAGTTGTATCCAGCTTGCTCTCGACGACACATCATTACGATATCTTCTCCATCTATTCTTTCATACATATTCTAATACTCTTCGAGCGACACAATGGCCTCCCTCTCTCGTTCCGTCTCGTCATTGGCGGTTAGCTCGAGAATCAATGTCGTGCTTAGAATTGGTTCCCGAGTGCCGCGTACTGCACATGTCAACAGAGTCAGCGGCACCTACACGCCAATCGGCTGGCGATTCGGAAGTAGCGCTGCAATCTCAAGGAAGGAGCCCATTGCTGGCGATGCGGAACCNCCTACCAAGCTGGTTGGCAACTCGAAAGTGTACAAAAGCGCCGAGGATGCAGTGGCAGATATCAAGAGCGGCTCTACCATCTTGAGCTCTGGCTTCGGTCTTTGCGGTGTTGCAGGTGCGTCTTCCTCGTCACCAGGAAAGTCATGATTGCAGCTTAACAGTCTTCGACANGAAACCATCATCCAAGCAATTGCGAAAAGAGGAGCTAGCGAGGTCACCAACCTGACAGCAGTTTCCAACAACGCCGGCGTGGGAGATGGTGGTCTTGCTTCTCTGGTCAAGTCTGGCCAAGTCACAAAGCTGATCATCTCATACCTCGGTGGTAACAAGGTACTCGAGAAGAAGTATCTCTCAGGAGAGATTGGCATCGAGCTGTGCCCACAAGGTACTCTCGCAGAGAGAATCAGAGCAGGTGGTGCAGGCATTCCAGCTTTCTTCACTCCCACTGGTGTCAACACCGCCATCATGACTGGCGACATTCCCGTCAGATTTGGACCTCCAGCTGAAGGTTCCACTGAGCTTTCAGTGCTCGAGGCCGGTACCCCTCGCGAGACTCGCGAATTTGACGGCAAGACATACAACATGGAGCGTGCAATCAAGGGTGATGTCGGAGTTTTGAGAGCGTGGAAGGTTGACGAGGCTGGCAACTGTCGCTTCCGGTAAGCATAAGAACCAAAATTGTCGCATGTTTTCAATATCTGACATCTGTATCAGNNCTACACCACTCAAGCCTTCGGTGTTCTCGTCGCAAAGGCCGCCAAGATGTCCATCGTTGAAGCCGAAGAGATCGTTCCTGTAGGCTCAATCCACCCCGATGATGTCCACCTTCCCGGTATCTACGTCGACCGCATTATAAAAGCTACAGCCGAGAAGGGCATCGAGGCAAGAATGACCCGTGCTTCAGAGAGCACCTCGACCGAGTCTGTTCCTGCTAAGGAGAAGTCGCCTGCACTGGTCAGAAGAGAGAGAATCGCCAAGCGCGCCTCGAAGGAACTTCACAACGGCATGTATGTCAACTTGGGTGTTGGTATGCCAACTTTGGCTCCATCTTTCCTCAACCCTGATGTCAAGGTTTGGATTCAGTCTGAGAACGGTCTTCTTGGTCTTGGTCCTTACCCTACCGAGGACGAGGTTGATGCCGATCTCATCAACGCTGGAAAGGAGACTGTCACTATGGTCCCTGGCGGTGCCACTTTTGACTCTGCCGAGTCTTTCGCCATGATCCGTGGTGGTCACGTTGATGTCTCTATTCTGGGTGCCCTCCAGGTCAGCGCCAATGGCGATCTGGCCAACTACATGATCCCTGGCAAGGTTGTTAAGGGTATGGGAGGTGCCATGGACCTTGTGTCCAACCCAGAGCAGACCAAGATTGTTTGCTTGACTGACCACGTCGACAAGTACGGAAAGTCGAAGGTTGTGCAACAATGCTCGCTGCCCCTTACTGGAGCTCGTGTAGTCAGCACCATCATCACCGACCTCTGCGTCTTCCAAGTCGATCGCAAGAACGGTGGTCTTACTCTTACCGAGCTGGCTGAGGGCGTCACTGTCGAGGACATCAAGGCCAACACCGATGCATCATTCACTGTTGCAAAGGACATCAAGTCAATGGAGTAGGCCCTATCGTCTTGGAGGGGACTCAACATTTCTGACCTCACGGGCACCTTTCCGAGTCCGAAGTCGATCTACACTGCTGCCCAGTCTTGGCCAGTTGGTCGAACTGCAGCTTGGTGGAATGGTAGAGCTTAGCCTCAATGACTCGCTCACCCGGGCTCGCCCGCGAGGATCTTCTACGAGTAATGTTAGCATACTAAAACGCGCGACGGGGACAAAGCATTTCCATAGATGGATTATCAAGTGTATATAGCGTTGCCTTACATGGCGAATATCTACGAATAGTGGAAAAACATGGCAACAAAGTTCCTTAAACTCTCCTCGGCGTGTTTCACCAGTCTTCTTTGATCCCTATGATCAGAGAGAACCAAAGGCAAAGCGTCTGCGTATGGTTAATCTCATCAGAGCACACATACCGACCTGAAGCCAGGAGCGTTGCTTCCCCAACGTCGAAGACTGTTGTTCATGCAATGGGCTTATGGATAGGACCAGATCTCTCATAGGGAATGATAGGATTCTCCCATATGAGCTCCATCCCCTGTTCGATCTGCAGGAACGAGATATGAATGTGTTTACTTCATTCTGTCAACAATATATTATCCATACGACGTCACCTTCATGACCTAGTATAAACTTGATGAACTTTGAGCAGATCTATGAGGATGAGCCAAGACCGTGCATCCGAGTCTGTTGATAATCGAGGTCTGGATGGTTGAGCGACCATAGGCACAAGGACCATCTCGAGATCCAGAAGATGAGCAACGACTGGGGACAAGTCGAGCTTTTGGAGTAACACGCTCCTTTGATCGGTCGTGTATCATTGGATCAGCGGGCATTTGAGAGCAGAGCAACTGCCAACGAGAGCATCAAGGCTAAGCTCTGTCCACTTCGCAGCCTTGACCCTGTGTCACTGTGTTACTCCGGGGTCTACGGACCAGCACTCAATTGGAAGTCGTGAGATGCACCAGCCACCTTCAGACCGCCCGTGGCTACAAGACTCTTGCTTGTTGAGCGAAGAAGCCAAGATGACATTCAGCGTTGAGAAAGTTTTGCTCCACTCAGAAGTCTGGATGACAGTGACAGGACGTCCCTCAAGAAGTCATGGTGCACTTCTTCATAAGCTTCCATTGGTGTGACAAGCCGACAGAGGGACTATTTGGCCTTGAATCAATAGCGGGCATAGTCTCATAGTCGGATCTGCCCAGAGATCTGCACTATCCGGAGATGAATGCGGCAGCACCCCACATCGGCACACACCTCTTTACGGAGTAAGTTAGGCTCTTTAGACTTTTCTTCCCACAGCTGTCTGTTCCCCTATTGTTTTCATGTGTCTTGTTTCAGTTTGATTGTCAGTACGACTGCATCACGAACACAGAGCGTGACTTCCACTCTCCAAGGAAGTGCAAGCTGAGGAGTGGGCTGTCTGTGAGCTTCGCCCGATTGACCACATCCAGATCGCTCGTGCACGACTGCATTTGCGCTTAGAAGGCGCGTGCCACTGTAGGACGGACCCTACCTCAGGAAATGTCCAGCTTTGTTGGAAGATCGCTCGCCCTAGATCTATGGAACTTGACGTCTCTGGAACTGTACATTCAAGTCACTGACAGAGCAGCATGCGACTGGCAGCCGTCACCACAGCCGTCATAAATTCATTGACAACCATCTGAGTGATACGTCTTAATCCACAACGTGCATAATGGTCACCGTCTTGCTCAAGGTCCCGTCTTCAACACTGCTCCGCGGCGTACCGGGACTTACTCACGTGGGAGAGACCAAGCTTTTGGTGATCCACATCAAGCATCTACCTATATTCTAATCAGGATCAGCAGTCAGTACTCATACCTCTCTGACTCGACCGTGCTTGAGGCAACTGCCAACGAGCGGCTTTGGCAGCAGCGAGCCTTCACACGCCTCCCCAGATAATGACTCGTCATGAAGTCCCTTGATTACAACCAACCTCGAGCTGCGTCTCCCACGGACCAGCAACCTGGACTATCGAAATCAAGTCAGGGCAAATGCTCATGAGAGCCTGAGCAGATACCAATGATCGCCTTGTCGAGATGAATATATAATATGTGAGGACGTCGACCCTCTCCCCAACTCATCTCAGCATCAACTCCTCCACTCTCTCACCAGCTTCCCTTCTCTACAAGGCTTCCACTCTTTACGGGCCTTTTCTTCACTCTTTATCAAACAACCTCGAAACCTTTCGAAACAATCACCATGCGTTTCACTCAGGCTATCGCTACTGCCATTCTCTCGGCCACCATGGCCTCGGCCATGCCCATTGGCTCCTCTGGAAGCGTCCTCGGAAACGTTGGCAGCGGAGTCCACCCCACTGTCAACTCAGCCGGTACTTCAGTCGACGGAGTTGGTACCGTTGTTGACGGTGTTGCTGGTGTTGTTGGAGGTGTCTCAACCACCCTCGGCGGCACTGGTAGAACTGTCAACGGTCTCGGCCAGCACGTTGAGAACTCCAAGCGCCAGATTCTCAGCGGTGTCCACCCTACTGTTAACTCCGCCGGCACCTCAGTCGACGGTGTTGGCACTGTTGTCGATGGTGTAGCTGGCGTTGTTGGTGGCGTTTCTACCACCCTTGGCGGCACTGGTCACACCGTCAACGGCCTCGGCCAGCACGTTCAGAACTCCAAGCGTCAGATCCTCGGTGGTGTCCACCCCACTGTCAACTCAGCCGGTACTTCAGTCGACGGAGTTGGTACCGTCGTTGACGGTGTAGCTGGCGTTGTCGGTGGTGTTTCTACCACTCTCGGTGGTACTGGCCATGTCGTCAACGGCCTCGGCCAGCACGTTGAGAACTCCAAGCGTCAGGTCCTCTCTGGAGTCCACCCCATTGTCAACTCCGCTGGCACCTCGGTTGACGGCGTCGGCACTGTTGTTGACGGCGTTGGTGGCGTTGTTGGTGGTGTCGGCATCACTGTTGGTGCTGTTGGTTCTACTGTTAACGGCGTCGGTCAAGATGCTGCTGGCGAGAATGTCATCAAGCGTGAGAGCATCCTCGGAAACGTTGGCAGCGGAGTCCACCCCGCTGTTAACTCCGCTGGCACCTCAGTCGATGGTGTCGGCACCGTCGTTGACGGTGTGGCCGGCGTTGTCGGTGGTGTTTCTACCACTCTCGGTGGTACCGGCCATGTTGTTAACAACCTCGGCCAGCACGTCGAGAACTCCAAGCGCTCTGCCCTCCTCGACTCTGTTGTCGGTCTTCCCGTCGTTGGCGGTGTCACTGGCACTGCCGGCTCAGTCGTCGGCGGTGTCACCCAGGGTGGCGTTGCCGCAACTGTCAGCGACCTCGTTGGTGGTGTTGGTGCCGACGGCATTGTTGGCGGTGTTATCAAGCGCTCTCCCATCCTCGACAACGAGCTCGGTTCCGGACTCGGTGGTGTCAGCGGTACCGTTGACGGCCTGACCTCTGGTGGTCTCGTTGGCGGTGTCAGCAGCACCGTTGACGGTCTTACTGGTCCTCTCATCGGCAACATCAAGCGTGACCTCTTCACTGGTGTCAACTCTGTCGTCGAGGGCGTTAACAGCCTCGTCGACCCCATCACCGGCGACGTCCTCTAAATCAACACACCACATCATGAAACTCTTTTTACTTCTTCAGCCGGACCAAACAGCTACGATCATGAGGTGATTGTCCAGGAACATCTATGAAAGCACTCGTGGTGGTGCAGGTTTTTCTTATGTCCAGCTTTTATGTACCATCCCAGACATAGCCTTCATTTTAATTCATTTACTTGCATACTTCAACCTTTTCCCACTGGTGTCAAGTTTTCAGCAACCCAAAAGTGATATGGACCGAGAATGATTTGTTCGTCAGTTCTCTCTGATAATCTCATCTCTGAACTGCATTTTGAGATCGGTCCTCTATATTAGTGCCAGCTTGACTTCCCGTTGAACAAGTCAGAGCAGTGCGGTCTCTAAACATCAGAACATTTCTCCAGTATAACCAGACGCACTTATTGGAGTCGGAGTCCGAACCTCCTGTCGATCTCTCTATTCTGATCGTCGGTATGCAGACACATCACCATGATGTCATTGCACTATCCATTCGCATCAATTTCAGCACAAAAATATCGTGGTAGGACTTTGCAAGGGCACTTTCCAGTGAGAGCACATTCGTATGCAAAGAAGGCATATTTTTGGTAGGGCCTGACATTGAGTGCAGAGTCTGCAGACAAGCTCACAGTTCTTCAGTTTTGCTTTGTTGTTATACCCGTTCTACCCGCGGACCATGCATAACTTTATTCCTTTGAGCCGCGCTACGAGTACAAAACACGGCACATTCTGTAGATCATTTTGGGGACATCTGAGATCTTCTCCAGCATCTTTGCCGAAAGTGGTATCTGATGTTCAATGCGGCTCCGTCACGATCCACATACACCTATTCAAGTGAGCATCCTTCAGCTTTAGTCGCTGAATGGAGTTTGGTGCTTGGAAAGTGCAGATGCCAGTTTAGGGCATCGGATGGGATGTTGACCTCAGGCTGCTTACTGACTATTCTGGTGAAGGAGAAGATCGTCCTTGGTGAGGTTAGTTGAGAGAACATATAACCATGGCTTGCTAGCTATGTGAGGTGCGCACCTGTTCTCTACTTTTCAATCATCTCTGTTGTCACGAATTCCATACTCAGAATCAAACCAAAGCCACAAAAGAAGACGACCAGAGCTCAAAAACAACCTCGAATATTCAAAACTCCACGAACCATCAACCTACAAATAAGTCGTTCGACCATGCGTTTCACCAACTTCGCCATTGCAGCTTTCTCGCTGTCGCTGGCCACTGCTATGCCGACAAAGCGTGCGATCGTGCTTCCTGGAAATGACGGCACTGGTAATGGAGTTGTTCCGTCTGTCGGCGTAGCAGTTGATGACGGAGTGCAAGCCGTTGAGGGTGCTGTCGCTGCAATTGTCAAGGGAGGCTCAGACAACAGCAAGCGTGCCATCGTGCTCCCTGGAAATGACGGCACTGGTAATGGAGTTGTTCCGTCTGTCGGCGTAGCAGTTGATGACGGAGTGCAAGCCATCGAGGGCACTTTTGCAGGTGTTGTCAAGGGCGGCTCAGACAACAGCAAGCGCGCTATCGTACTCCCTGGAAATGACGGCACGGGTAACGGAGTTGTTCCATCTGTTGGCGCAGCAGTTGATGGCGTAGTGCAGACCGTCGAGGGCGCTTTTGCAGGTGTTGTCAGGGGCGGCGATGCGTCCGACGCAGAGTGAAGATGAAGCAGGTTCAAACGTGGTTTCGGGATTCTGGAGTTTTGGGTGGCGTCAGTGGGTATTGAGCCTTTAGCAGATTTGTAAATATTGTTCTCGTTCTGCTGGCAGAGGCTCGATTGTATGGTAAACATATATTCTTCTGGATCTAGTAACTCGTCCTGGAGGCTCCTTCCATCTGTAAAGTGACCATTCGGTCAAACTACCAAGATAGATCGTGCAACTAGCATAATCCTGAATCTGTCTTGACCTTAGTGAGCAAAGCGGAAGTCCAGCCTCTTGTTGCCCTGATCAGTCGTGTTTTGTATGTAGTCATTCCTCTGCTCCTGGCTCATAGCTTTCCACTTCTTTTCCCTCTGTTTGTTCCTAAGAATATAGTAGACTTTTGCGAGAACGTAGAGTGCGATAGCCAAGCAATTGATAGCGACAATCTGCATGTTACCACGATGGTATAAAGGCTTGTCGTCAGACCTATAGAGGTTCGAGCCAATGACACCACCGCATTGTACTGACATGTTATAGACAGCAGCAGAGATTGTACGTGTGCGAACTGAGCCGGCATTACGAGACGTCCATGCAACGAGGATAGCGTGGCAGTATGGGTAGCCGAGAAGTACAACGAGCAAGGCATATGTGCCCCAGACGTCTTTGCCCGAACCAGGCCACCAGCGAAGGGCTATCAGGCATGGCAACAACCAAAGGTTTTGTATGGCCGCGATAAACGAGCGTTCCTTGACTTTTTCACTAAGCCAAGTCAGACTTAGCAAAGTAATGATGGTGACCGCATTGGGTACGATGGTAAGAAGATTGGTGTTGAAAGTGCTGAAGCCAAGTTGTCTGAGCGTCAGAGTCAGGTAATTGGTAACCGGAGTGGGAGGGATGAAAACGACCAAGCCCAGAGCATAGANTCTGTTCAAGTATTAGTAGTGTGTAGGATCAATTGCAACATGTTATCTTACAGGCCACAGGTCATAGTCCGATAGAGACTGCCACAGACGTTTGATCGTAATTGCTTGCCTGTTGTGCATGTCACCTTTGGACGGGTCGTCTCTCAGGACGCGGTTGACCACAATCTTGACCTCGCGATCCGTGAACCAGCCCTTGGGACGGAACCATGTTTTAGTCTGGACTGCTGAAGCAGGCATGAGGAAGACAGAAGCCACTCCGATGGCAAAAGTCATAAGGCNCCTGGCACGTTGATAAGCGATCATCCTAGTTAGATCGTGTAACAACGAATTTACCTCTATGAGGAAAAGCCACCTCCAGCCAGCAAGGCCTTGTGCATTATCAAGATGGAAGATTCCAAATGCCAGGAGTGATGCAACAATGGTGGTAAGGTTGAGCGCAGTCCAGAAGAAGCTCAACCGAACAGGTAGCTCGGTGCTGGTGTAGAAGTATGACAACCACAACACGAGATCCGGGATGAAACCACCTTCAAGGACACCAATAAGTACGCGACAGAGATAGAAACTGGATCGGCCACTGAGGGCAGCTTGTGCGGCAGCGACGATAGACCAAAGCATCATCTGCATTGGAATCCATCTGTCTGGTCCTAGTTTCTTAGAGATCAGTTGTGAAGGGACCTCAGCGGCCATGAACGATAGTTTGAATAAAGTTTGACCTGTATAAGAATCGTTAGTTCTGAGCTAGAAACATCTATCATAAGACAAGGACATACCGTAGTTGTACTCATTGGTGGTAAGACCAAGGTCGTCAAGCATGTTGTCAGAGAGAGCTTGTGAGATGTTGCCTCGATCGAGTTGTAGGGCAAAGAACATGATACATGCCCAAAGGCAGACGTGCCAGTCCAAACGGCGAACAAGACTTCTCTCCTCTGCGGCTGTCCATTCAATCTCCGGATCAAAAGCTTCTCGAGACTCGTATTGTGCGCTTTCGTACAAATAGCGATAATACTCTGCGACTTTCGGGTTCTTGAAGGGATTTTTGGCATCAATAGAACTTCTGTCAGATGCCTCGTCTACTTCAACTGGACTCTTGACATCAGTCGTGACGTTGAAGCCTCCCTTGGGAGACATATTGGAAAGCTGAAGGATGAGATGCTGAATGATCAACCTAGAAGAACATCCGAGCCTATTTCAAGTACTCAAACATGTCGTCTAGAGATTTCGTGATTTCAAAACCTTTGCTCGCCATCATGCTGTGGCGCATTTGCCCTCAATAGCTCGACACTGTTGAGCCATCATGCAAGATAACATTTCCTCTGATATGGCGACACCCTAGACCAAGCAACACAACGGCAGACGAACGAGGAAGATAGGAGACGTGGAAGCAGTGGTACTGTCCAATGGTGGATGCAGCCTGAAGTGGGCGAAGAAGACGCAAAATGGCGTGCTCCACCCCAAACTTCACGTTGACCACCGACCATAACAAGAACCGAATTCTCCAACTGGACAACTCAGCCAAGGGAAGATTGACTTTACAGATAGCAATGCCAAAGACCTACAGATGAAATGATAGACTTGGCAGTCTCATTCTGCGAAAGACGTCGCGATTGCCGGCAGCTCTCGGGTTTGACGTGATCTTCCTCTGAAGCACGTAAAGTAACCAGACAGCGCCTCTATTGAAGCCACTGGAGAATCTAGTCGTAATCTGTAGGTGCTAGACTCTTCGAAAGTGCTAGAGCGATATGCACTCACTCGCCTGACTCCTCAACTTGAAGAGCCGCTTACCGGTGCATCTCTTTCTGTGTATCCTGATTGCGACATGGCGGAAACAGACGGCTCTCACAGGTTGGATCGAGACGTACAGTCAGACTTTTCGGGTTTAGAGTGTGATGGGGCAATATCTGTTGGAAGACTGTTGATACAATGTATTGGTGTATGCATAGATTCTGGCAGCCACGTGCGAGGATTGGTCGCGCGACAATCCCCCTGGCGAAAAGCGGTCAAATATCAAGAACTTTGCCTATGCTCATCAGCACATGCGCGTTCACACGGTGGCTATTTTCGCTGTTGAACGCGCAGCAATGGCAATGTGGCCGCCGTGGGGTTTCCAAGGAGAAGAAGGACCTCTTGCTTCTTTCGAAATTGCGCGGACTTTGCTCCTCGCTTGAGACCGTTGGCCGGTACGACCACTCCGCCACTACAACCCCTCAACTTAGCTAATTAGTTACTTCGTAACTTCGACATACCTCATTACTTGTTTCGACATACCTCATTGCTTGCTTCGCAATACCTTATTACTTACTTTATAAATCCAATATAGCTAATTAGCTATTTGCTATATAGTAGCGCTATATAAATTTAGAAGCATAGCGTTATCTACCTTCTAAGATGCATAGCACTTTACTTCCTACCTTGCTATCGCTAGTGCCGTCATCGTTACTATCGTCGCTATCGTCGCTGTCGTCGCTATACTATTGTCGCTAATACTATTTATAATACTATACTACGTAAAGCGCTTAACCTTTAGTAATAAAGAGGTGAATTAATGAAGGGGCAACAATTAATGGAACAAAGTAAGTAATAAGGTATGTTGAAAATACAAAGTAACTGATTAGCTGAGTTGTAGGGTTGTAGTGGCGGAGTGGTCGTACCGGTCGACGGTCCTTGAAGACTCCCCACTTTTCGGAATGTACCAAGCTCAACAGCAGGACATGAACTTAAGCACATTACACCGAAAGGCGATTGTATGAGATTTGTTCGTTATGCTGACGCGCTCACTTACTTAGACGTCCGATGGATGATTGATCTGAGCAGAGCCACGAACACCTTGCAGCACGTCGCGCTACTCGCCGCTTCCCTGGATGAAGCTCCTGGTTACAAAGCACAGATATTTGCATCAAAGGCATCTTGTAGTTGTTGATGATACTGAGATTATTCATTCATCTTTCTGCCGCCATGAGTATCCTCCGAGTCTCTTGACTCACTTGTCTAAATCTGCTCGAACGACTCTCCTCTGCCGACTTGACGTAGATTATGAGTTATCACCAACACTGCTACAGCAACTTTCAGCGCTTTGGCGACTGCATCCAGTATCGCCGCATTCATCTTCGTTCTCATAGCAAGACCCGCATCTGTCCTCTGGAAGCTCCACCTCCCTTGCCTCGCTCAACATGTGCTGGTCTTCAGTGTTGTCATGGGCGCCATCATCCTCCAAGAGATGCTGATCTTGAGCAGCATCGCTCTCGACACCTGCTTCGCCCAAGTTGCTTGTATTCCTTGGCTCTTGTTCTACGACACCATTGCTTGCGTCTTCGAAGCCTTCGACAGTTCTCGAATCCACTCGCTGGTCAAAATCCTTTGCTCCAGAGGAAGGAGGGGGAGCAGGTCCAGCATTGCCGCCGAAACTAAGACTCAGGCGTGATCTGGTGAAATCCATGCCGCCGCTGTAAATGTATCCGAATTCACCCGTCCAGGATCCTTGACCATCGTCATAGAGCAATGGTAGTCTGTTGACACCAAGGGGTAATCTTGCCGTGGTCCTGCGTCCCCTGAGCTCTGGTTCTGAAATTCTTACGAGCTCATTTGAGTCTCGATCTGACGACTGAATCGGATATTCTGGTGGAGGTCCGCCTCTGGTTTTGTGGCGCTTCGAACGTATGAACTTTGTAAAGCGCCTAGTCAACTTCCGTGGGCCTAGAGAAAGACACGAAGTTGCAGAGGGTTCTCCGTAATCTGTTGTAGTTGGCTTTGTTGTTTGTTGTTGAACAACATCTTCCGTTGTGAGGACGGCAGTTTGGAGTACCACGCCGCCGTTGTCAGACAGTTTCGATGAGGGCCCGGCGGCGATGGAGACTGAGTGTGGGAGGGTTTCTGACATGTTTTGCAGGCGATCTGAATGGTGGTTTCAAGAAGAATATCAGTAGTTCGTGCCAGTCATGCCTCCTGATAGGGCCAGTGTTGATTCTTCTCGCTTTATGGTATCAAGTTAAGAACAAGAAAGGTGTCCTCACTGCACTATATATGATCGAAGTGTGTTCAGAATCAAGAATGTACGCACGATCTAAAACCTGAAATGGTCACCTGGCTTTGTAGGGAACCCTTGCCACGTGCGATTGAGTTAGATGGAGTTACTTAGGGCAATGCACACGGACACTAGTACTCTATTGTCTCCATTCGATAGGCAAAGACCTCATTCCATCGCTGTCATCCATACTTCTACATCTAACAATCACCACCACCACCACAATCTCCCGAGTCACCACCGCCACCGCAGTCTCCTGAATCGCCACCACAGTCTGTTGAGACACCACCGCAGTCCCCTGTATTACCACCGCAGTCTCCCGAATAACCACCATATTCTCCGACTCCCCCAACAAATGGGATTGTGATGANTGTGGGGTTCGCATACCCGCCTCCAACACTACTAGTTTTGGGCCTGGGCTCAGGCTGCTTGCACTGTTCGGGGGCCTTCTGAGACTTAGCCTTCTTGCGACTATCTCCACGGAAGCAGCTCAGTCTTCCGACTGTCTTGCTTAGCAACCTGGACAGCCATTTCTTCTTCTTGGCGCCACGGAGAGGGCTTTTGGGAGGAATGGCAGGAGGTATCTTCTGCATTTGGTCTTCTTGAGTCTGTTGGTCCAAGGCACCCATAGCGGAAGTTTTCCGAAGGGGCGCGAGCTCATTCTGGCTTGTCTCAGAGAACGGCGTAGCGTTTGGCGTCGGTGACGGCGATGGAGTCAGAGAAATGTCGCCGCTCTCAGGGATTGGGCGGTCCTCGATGTGGACGGCGTGCATCTTGAGAGGAGAAAGGGTCTCGTGAGTAGACTGGCTGAAGATGTTTTGATTGAACTCGACCGGGGACGGGTGCTCGTCGACCCGCTCGAGAGAATTCATGGTGTTTGATCCTTGCGAGGCGTTCTCGAGATATTTTGGAAGACCTTGATCGAAGATGGGATGAAGAATAGAGTGCGATGATCAAGGTCCCTTTTATAACCGTGCCACGGCTGTCCATTGTTAGTTTGAGTTCATTTTCACGACCGGGTCATGGGAGCGCCCATGGAAGCGTATTTGGCCAGACTGTAGTCAGTCACCATGTGTATTGTTTGGCTTACGGCACTTTGACCATGGTCGGCTTGATCTATATATAGGATAAGATAGACTTGGTAGGTGTACGTTACGTGCTGGAGTATGAGCTGGCAGATGATGCTTTCATGGAAGACAGAATTTGAGTCAGAAAGCTGGGGTCACTGACAAGGCACCACTGTCAAGAGCATAGACCAATGAACAGATATTAGGTTTGGTGGGAATAGTATTCAGGATGCTCGAAGCGCAGACGCCAGCGTCTACTGCGATTATGTCTTGGACAAAGAAGATCAGGGTAATGGTGACGAGGGAGCAAACTCAGCATTCCACTGAGGCCACTGCTTGTCGACAGCCCAATCACCACAAGTTGGTTGGCCACTATCTCCTTCGACCAGGCGTCTCCAGACAGTGGATATGACTCTCTTGTTGTCCGGGTGAGGTCGTACAGAGACGTAGATGCCAGTGCCGTGTCTTCCTCTTGCAACCTCCATGTCGATAAAACCTTCGCAGACGTTGCGCAAGATGACGGAAGCGGGACTAGAGTCGTCCCAGACACGAGGATAGGAATCGCCGCCCGGGAAGTAGATGCGGGCTTCGAGCTTCTCGATAGGATAGCGTGGGTCTTTGCCTAGAGTGGCAGATACGAGGTGTGCTAGCTGGTCGAGTTGTGGAGATTGTTTTACAGAGGTGGGCTTGGGATAGCTGCCGGCCATGTGGATGCTACGAGCGTGTTGTACGAAATGGGGGCATTTTGTCTTGAAGACGTGGAGTCCTAGGGGAAATTGGATGAAGAGACTTGTGTTTCTGGTGTTCTTTGGTCGGAAGTGAGTGCTAAGTTCAGCATTGATTTGGTGATTGAGCAGCAAGAGTGAAGACAAGGTTGAGTGGTGGGTTGATGGTTGGGAACATGGTGATGCTGAGACGTCGATGCGGGCAGGTTGTGAGACGGATAGCAGATGTGATGCGTATGTATCAAGAATGGCGGGCTCGTGCATAGGTGGGAGACCTGGTAGAGGAGCGCGTTGGTCGCCGTAGACTCGGTCAACGACGTCGGCGCCTTTGCCCGTCAACTCGCAAGCTCCAATTGTCACGGCTGCTCCCTCGACGGCTGCATGCTCGTAAATGATGAGACGGAGCTCTAGGGGAAGTTCCAAGAAAGACATGCTACTGTACGATGCAGTTATAAACAGTATCCAAAATATGTCAAGCAAGAAAAGAAGGACCTCTCTGTTGTTGCAACGGCGGGGTTTACTGTCTATCTTATCAAGACGCTGCTGTCGCCGTTGAACCGTCGTCCCGTCCGCCACTATTTACTGTTCCCGCGACCCACAAGTAAACAAACTGCACTATGCAACACCCGCCGCTGTATATCCATCCACCCGCTGAACTTTATGCCCGCTGATGCTGAACATGCCCTCACCGCCCATCTCGTGAGCCCATCACTCCTCATCCTGGTCGTCCGCTCTGACGCATCTTGTTGTTGTGACACCCGAGGGCTGACAGGAACCACAAGACTTTCTGTCTCAAGGCTCATCCTCGGCAATTCTTCTCCAACTTATCCGGCTCACCCTGTTTACCAACCAACTCGCTTTGTTTATTTTCTGGCCATGCACTGAGTCGTTGAAAGATAGGGAGTAGCTCAATGCATTCGGTCAGCATGCAATCCCTTTCTGAGACAACCTTGTGTAGACACGGCATTGCTACATGTCTTGCATACTGAGCTCTGGAAAGCTGCGCTTGTCTGCACTGCAGAACCTCACTGGCTTGATTCGGCCAGCCCAACACTCCCTTGCTCTCTGGTTTTCCGCTGCTACAGCGAAGATAGACGGTCTGCGACTTGCGCGCTAACAATCTGATATGGAAACACATTGCATCCTTTTTCGACAACACGTCGCAAATTCACCAGTCGTAGTTCGCGATCCTTCAAGCCACAGTAAGGGCAGTGTCAGCCACCACCATTGCACCATATCGTTTCTGCCTAATGCGAAACCGAAGCCCTTCAACAGCTCTACTTCCAACTCAGGCAGTGCCAGGCAGCTGCTTTCGCTGACACTGTTCTCTTGTGAAGGATCATCTGTCGCTTAAGTACATATATATCACCCCTTGCGAGCTGAATTTACATTCCAAGATTCTACAATCAAAATCTCATCGTTTCTCTGTCTCTACTAGATTTCAAACAAACATGAGTCAAATCATCGCTTTTCTGGGTGCGACAGGTGGATGTGCTGGTGCTTGTCTGGTCGCCGCACTCAATGATGGCTACACCTGCCGCGCACTTGTTCGCACACCTTCCAAACTCATCGCAATGCTAGACGCCCAGGAAGTTCCCAAGTCCTCGCTCGCCAACCTCGAGATCATCGAAGGCAATGCCAAAGACATCAACTTAGTCAAACAACTCCTCCAAACTTCGACTGGCATTGTAGACACCATTGTTTTCGGTGTCGGTGCAGCACCGAAGCTGAGACTACACATCATGCCAGTGACACTAGACGATCCAAATCTGTGCCGAACAGCAATGGCGACCCTTCTTTCTGCACTGTATGAACTCAAAGCTCCGACCAAACCAAGACTACTCGTCATCTCCACTACAGGCATCACTCGTGGTCCTAGAGATGTACCTTTCCTCTATATTCCTCTGTATCATTGGCTGCTTCACGTCCCACATATCGACAAGCGCGTCATGGAACAACTCGTCATTGAGCAAAAAGACAAGCCTGTTGCTGAAAGAGTGATCGAAGAGTTCGCTATCGTGCGGCCGACATTGTTAATGGATGGAAATGGTGTGGGTGTTGCTAAGGTCAGATATGGTCTGGAGAGCAGCCCTGCTTTGGGTTGGACGATCGATCGCAAAGATGTCGGCAACTGGCTGTTTGAGAAGGGCATCAAGCCTGTAGAGTTGGGAGTATTCAAGGATCAAGCCATCAGTTTGACTTCCTGAGCTCTGCTCCTTGATTCCTACTACAACTTCGCCTTATGCACCTGATACAGCAGAGCTTGAATTCATAGTATAGACCACAATTGTCATGACGATCACATTTCATCACCACGTGTGGGACCTGGAGTTGGTATATGATTAAGTTGCTTGTGTAACTATGAACAGCTATAACTAGCGTGTCCTACTGATGAACAGTGAGAGAGGTAATGAGGCTCGTGATGGTTGGGTTGTTCGCATCTGACAGTGTAGGCTCATCAGTCATCTTCGTGATCGCCTTCGTCCTCTTCTTCTTCACTATCGGTCTCCCAAACTTCTACCACGTTCTGGTACCCATCCCAAATTTGGTTGGCACTATTTTCATAGCCGAGCCAAAGTCCAGATGGTAGCTGATTATGGATTTCGCTGTCGATAAAGAAACCTCTGCCAGGAGAGAGGTGATCGTCCACCTTCGATTCCAAAGTTGTGTACTGGATCAGAGGCATTAAGCCTCCAGATAAGATGAAACGTTCGGCCTGTAACTCAGCAACCCTTCTCATCCAGAAGCGGTTCGCGCGACTTCTAAGAGCCTCTAATTGAACCCGTTTCAGTAAAGGAAATCTGCCAGCGATCCTGCAGAGTATTGAAGCCCAGCCAATGTCAGAAGTTCCACTGCGGAGAGCGAGACGCTGCAACGTGTGAGCATGGTAAAGAAGGAACCCGACCAAGGCATCGCCTGTAACGTAACGAAAGTCCAGAAGACAAACACGGAGACGTTTCGAACGCAGTGCAGTGATCGATCTTGTGATATCACAGTCATCTGCGGACAGACTCAAGGTCTCTAGCTGTTTCATATTTTCGAGAACGCAATGCAAGCCGTAGAAACCATTAATGGAGGCAGCATAAGGATATATGAGACACAAATGCCTCAAACTTTCCATAGCATGGGTACCATCGACGCCAGGGAGAATGGGAAACCTTGCCTCCAGTAAGGTCAAAATCTCTAGGGCCGACATGCCCCAGACACCATCCTGTGGTCTGCATTTATCCGGCTCCCACCACCTAGTCCAGTGTGGGACTCTGAGTAATCGAGCTCTAGACTTTTGGATCGTGAGTGGATGGCGCGACGACAGAACAAGATTTCTAAGTCGTGGACATCTCTCTAGTGCGGACTTTATCTCTGCCTTGAGTGCGATATACGCACTTGGATCACTCTGATAGTAGAATAGTTCCTTGAGCCGTCTTCGATATTCTCTCACTTTTGTCCAAGCAGCTTCAAAGTTGTTGATAGCATCGTGCATAGCTCGAGTTGTCAACACAGCATAGCTCTCTTGAGCACTAAGTGTCAGAGTCTTGGGTCTACAGTCGTCCCAGCAAGGGTCCTGCAATGGACTTAACAGCGAGGCCTCCCAAACGCCGAAACACAAACCCGAGGTGTCGTAAACAATTTTGGAGAGATATTTGCTGAATCTTTCATGCTCGGCGACCTTGTGAAGGGTGTTGAGGCTCTTCGGATGCAGGAAAAGAATGAATCGATTGATGAAGTAGGGTTCGGCTGCCGTGGCAAAGACTTTGCAGATGAGTCTGAGTGGCTTGAGTTCTTTTGGCGTGAGGTAGCTGCAGATACGCTGCTTCAATTCGAGTGGAAGCGTATCCATGTTGGCGTCATTGGGTAGAGTCATCGAAGAAGGATGTAGAAGTAAATTTGAAGATGGTTCGGTCATGACGAATATGATGTTGAGCTCAAGACCATCTGGTGAACCACTTGGTCGCTCAAGAGATTGGTTGTGGAAGATAAGATGAGTGCGAGAGCCGATGGAGTGAGCGAAGGTGTTCCGATAGTTGTTGTGAAGATTGTGCGAAGTGATGGAGTCCAATGCGCTGAGCTCACTTCGAATGTCTTCAGTATTGTCGAATATGCTGTATGGACTCACGCCTCAACGCAGCGGAAAAGTTGCCTATAGAAGTCAAGACCCGTGGAATGCGCAGTGACGCGTTCTTGCTGGATGGGCTACAGGTGAGTAACTCGCGATTTATAAGATTGCACAACAAGCAGGCGTCAGATCCAGTAGCCTAGGTTCTGTGTCTACACAGCTTGAGCCGTTCATGAAAGCATGCGGAGCTGTAGTACTACAACCTCTTCTTCATGCCTTTCTGGTGAATCGATCTTTCTATTATTCTATCCATAGACCACCATCGCAGGTGTCCTGTATGCAATCCATTCATAACTCGTGTTGTAGTTTCATGTTTCTCATGCTTCATCGACCGTTGCTGTGTTCTCATCCGGCCTTTTTGACCTGATGCCTTCCTCGCAAACTTCAAACTCGACACCGTCCGTCCCATTATCATCACGCGACCAAGCCGAGAAAGCGACTTTGAGATGACGTCTCCAACCCACTATGTCCATGCCTGGACCCAGAAGATAGTCCTGGGGCTTGAGTATAGGTTGCTTGAGCAACACGATACGAGCAGACAGTTGATTTGTCCATGTCAATCCCAACGAGGGCGTCTTAAGGTCGCGCATGAACCGGTGGTCGCCCCATCCTGTAAAGAAACGCTGTTGGTGGTCTAAGGACAAAGGATCATTTGTTGAGAGGAGCAGCTGGGGCTGTTGAGACGGTGCTGGGATGGTGGAGGTATTGTTGTTGTTATTGGTACTCGACATTTGTGTAGCGACAGAGTTCTGCGATAAGGGAGTTGCTGTAGCATCAANAAGCGAGGCGGCAGGGCCGAATCGATCGAGGACTTGGTTGGCGACAACAATTGCGACGTTGTGTGAACGAGCGAGGTCGCGCAAATGAGCGCCGAGCTGGGTCAGTTGTAGACTCCGACGAGCCAGAGCATCTGAAGAGTTGGCGCCAACACGGTCAAACTCAGCGCGGAAATTGGCTGCCACCGAGTCGATAACGATGAGACCAACATTGGCTCGAGCGATTTGTACAGGCACTTGATAACGCAACACATGGTCCTGGGTCTCAAGATCTTGGAGTTGGGTGCTCTGGACGCGGGACAGAGACGGCTTCTCGGATTCGAACAGAGAGGATAGGTATGGATGCCTTGTCAAGATTTGATTCAGGCGGGTAGTCGACAGTGGTGCTTCAGTAGACAAGTAAAGTGCACTCTTCCCCAAGCCTTTTGGCGGTGGTAGTTGTACAGCGAGGAGCAAGGTCAAAAGCAATTGAGTCTTGCCCGCCGCACTCTCTCCTGTGATCTCGCAAACTTGGCCAGCAGGGAAACCTCCTCCGAGCGCTGCATCGAGGTCGTCGTCTAGAGTACTGATGTGTGACCACGCCGGGCCTTCCTTCGCTGACTTGGCAGATTCGTCTTTCTCGTGGTCATGATTGTCTTGGGGAGCGTCAAAACCGAGCTGAGCGTGAAGCTGAGTGATCAGAGATGCGGTGAGTTCGCGCACTTGGTCGATGGATACGTCGGCGCGGCGGGCGACATCGACGGCACCCAGAGTCATCAAGTCATTGCTGCTGATATTGGCCTTTTCTAGTCGTTCTAGCACTCTCTCAAATGGTTCGGTGTCGATGTTCGGAAGGACCTGTATGATGTCGCTCATGTCCACCTTCCTCCTCTTACGCCCACGTCGCGAGTCGCACTTGCTTCCAGACTGGGATACGTTCTTTTCGTGTTCGAGAAGGCGCGACCGTCACGCGTGCACGAATGGTTCGTGCTTCCATTTCCCCGGCCTCGTGTGGTCCGTGCACTCTGCGTCTTCTCCAGATTTGGGCCCTGGGCGCCGTCACCCGAGGTGTGCCTCAAGCACCATCTTGAGCCTCTAGAGCAACTATCAAACGTCAGACAGTGGACACCGAGAGCCACTGCTCGTCGAGAACCTGGAATAGCCGAGCTTGCGAGTTTGGAACCTGTTCGTTATTTGAGTGCTTCCTTCGAAGACCGCTCTCGCTAGTATCTCGTTATCTTTGCTACCTTAGTTGCTTCAAGCAATTGTCGACGTGAAGACATCATTACCCCACGCCTAGAAAGCAGCACAGCGAAAGTACATGCATGTACAAACAAGCAACTGACGGCCTTCCACTGACCCGCTGTTGTCGTATCTTCGAGGTGAGTGATAACCGAAGTAGGGCATAAAACATGGCAAGCCCATTAATTGCATCGTTTTCATTCCCCTCACCATTCCAAAGAGCCGGAGCAGCGGCTGTCAACACGTGCCCCTCCATTTATCCTCAGGGACCCTGCATGACGCTGCTACATGCAATAAACCTCGATATATTTGTATCAACTTGTCCAGCCTTCCCTCCTGTTTGATCTTTTCCCTGCTCACCCACTTCAAATGCCACCTTACTGTCTACAAGACTGCCACTATTTCTTCCGCACCGCTCTTCGTGGCCTGTCCATCTCAACCACTGTCTCACCTTTGTACACCTAAACTGACAAATCATCGCCATGACTGCCAGAAGACTTACCAATCCCTCGACCTCTCTAGACCAGGTTGTTACCTCATCTAGCCCTCCAAGATCCGTTCCCACCGAATTCAAGCGTCCGAACCCATCTACCAAGGAAACAACAAAGCCTTTGCCTGTCCCAGATCAGAAAACCGAGAAGCCCACTATGGCAACTCAAGGAGTAACATTTGCGTCTCAGGACAAGCTGCCCAAGCTGCCGATCCCAGATCTGGACAAGTCATGCAACAAGTACCTTGCATCTCTTAGACCCTTGCAGTCTGCTAGGGAACATGCAGAGACCGAAGCCGCTGTGCAGGAATTNTTGAGAGCTGAAGGTCCTGAGCTTCAGGAAAAGCTCAAGAAGTATGCCACAGGCAGATCCAGCTACATTGAACAGTTCTGTATGTTTGCAACTCAACTCACTCTNTGGCATCTCATCCTCTGACCTCTTTCAGGGTATGACTCTTACCTCAATTTTGACAACCCTGTCGTCCTGAACCTCAACCCCTTCTTCTTGCTCGAAGATGACCCTACCCCGGCCAGAAACAACCAGGTTACCCGCGCCGCGTCCCTTGTCATATCCGCACTCTCGTTTGTGAGAGCTGTGAGGAAGGAAGAGCTCGAGCCTGACACCCTTCGAGGTCAGCCTCTGGACATGTACCAATACTCACGACTCTTTGGTACTGCTCGCATTCCCACCGAACATGGCTGCCAGATCGGCCAGGATCCTTCATCAAAGCACATTGTAGTCTTGGTGCGAGGCCAGTTCTACTGGTTCGATGTCCTGGATGATAATAACGATTTGATCATGACCGAGAAAGACATCACTGTCAACCTTCAAGTCATCGTCAATGATGCGCAGAACATTCCCATCCAAGAGTTCGCACGCAATGCTGTTGGTGTTCTCAGCACTGAGAACCGCAAGATCTGGTCCAGTCTACGCGACGTTCTCTCGAGAGAGGAAGGCTCGAACAATTCCGACAGTCTCAACATTATTGACTCAGCTCTGTTCATCCTCTGCCTCGACTACACTGAGCCAAAATCTGGTGCTGATCTCTGTATGAATATGCTTTGTGGCACTTCGCGGATTGAAGACGGTCTTCAAGTTGGTACATGTACCAACCGCTGGTATGACAAGCTGCAACTTATCGTCTGCAAGAACGGTAGTGCCGGTATCAACTTCGAACACACTGGAGTAGACGGTCATACAGTTTTGCGTTTCGCATCTGACGTCTATACCGACACGATTCTGCGTTTTGCTCGTACAATCAACGGAAAAGCACCTTCGCTGTGGGCCTCGGACTCACCTGATCCTGCTAAGCGAGACCCAGACAGTTTCGGTGATGTCTCGACGACACCACACAGACTGGAATGGGACATGCTGCCTGAGATATCGACGGCTGTCCGATTTGCCGAGACTCGCCTGGCAGACCTTATCCAGCAGAACGAATTCGCAACTCTCGAATTCATGCAATACGGCAAGAATTTCATGACTAGCATGGGCTTCTCTCCCGATGCCTTCGTGCAGATGGCCTTCCAGGCAGCTTACTATGGTCTGTATGGAAGAATGGAATGTGTTTACGAACCTGCGATGACCAAGGTCTTTTACCACGGTCGCACCGAAGCCATCCGACCTGTCACTGACGAATCTACCGAGTTTGTCAAACTCTTCTGGGGTGACAATCCACCAGCTAAGAAGGTAGAGGCTTTGCGCAAGGCATGCCAAAAGCATACCGAGATCACGAAAGAGTGTGCCAAAGCTCAAGGACAAGACAGACATCTGTATGCACTGTTCTGTGTTTGGCAGCGCATGATCGATGGCGACGAAGAGATCTTGAGTCAAAATGGCGATAGTGGTGACGGTGGTGCACATGATAGTAACTCTTCTGATGTGATGAGTGACGATGGCAGTTCTCGAGACTCTATCAATCGCGTCCCAACCAACACAGGCGTCATGCCTTCACTCTTCGCCGATGGTGGATGGGACAGACTGAACACTACCATCCTCTCAACTTCGAACTGCGGTAACCCCTCGCTACGTCAGTTCGGATTCGGGCCCACCTCAGGCGATGGCTTCGGTATTGGCTACATCATCAAAGACGGCAGTGTCAGTATCTGTGCTTCGTCTAAGCACCGCCAAACCAAGCGTTACATTGATGCGATCGAGAGCTATTTCCTCGAGATGAGAAAGGTTCTGAGACAGACACAAAGAAGGGGCACCAACACCGACAAGCTCGCCAGTCGTGCAAGAGAAGCAGAGGAGCTGAAGACGAAGGCCAGACCGAAGAATGCTAGGCTGAAGTCCCGCGGCATACTCGTTGATGGCACCAGAACACCTGCTGTGGAAAGTGAGCAGGTTAGCGATGATGACGGCTTAGGTGGCNNTGTAAGTTTGATCAAGATCGCCTTCGCAACCGTAACACTGACATTTCTTACAGATGGCTTCTTCGATGCTGGAATGTTGCTGCAAGCCTTGAAGCAAGAGCAGAATGGCAATATCAAGCCGAGCCAGAAGGCAGCGGCAAGAAACAAGGTCGGCAAGAAGTTGCAGTTGATGGATTATTAGCATGTTAGATCAGATTGAACCCCAGATCTATTGTCCTTGATTAATCTTCCAAGTCGAGACGTTCTTGTGACAGAGTCCATATTTGGTGTCTTCCTGTTGTCTCGTTGCACAACTGTGCACCCTAGAGTCGCTGTAACTAAGCAACTCTGCAAACAATCTGTTGGTAGGGGTCTCCAGAACCCTAGCCAACATCTGTAGCCGATTTTGGTTGTGAGGACGAACATAGCCGGCTATCGTATTCCGAAGACATCAGATAGAGTTGCATGAACAGACAAGCCCTGAAGACGGCCAGAAAGCTGCAGACTGCAGTATATATGACTCTTGCAGCCCTCCAAAGACAGACGGCGACCAGGTTAGCAAATCGCAATGCAGATGCAAGCCCAGTCATGTCATATCAAGTGTGCTCGCTTGCATGATGCATACCTATGCATAAAAAAAGCAGCAGCCATCGCTAGCTCGAGCGCATCAACCTACCTTTCAAGCGGCTCGTCCGAAATTATTGAAAGTTTGCTTGATTAAGTCAGCTAACACAGCCCTGCCCCGTCCCCAGCAAACGCGTCAGTGGCAAGAGGAGCAATATAATTGCGATAGATGGGTTGTTTGGGAAAGGCTGTGTTCGCGCGGCAGTACGAAGGATCTCCCCCGGACTGTTTTAAATTGATTGTGCTGCTGGCTGGCCCGAGATTGATTGCCATGCCGCTGAGCCAGCCAGCCCCAGCGAAAGGATAAATTCATATCAGAATGTTCGGTCTCGCGATCCGATGACCTGGTATCGCTGATAGAGCGGAAGATACGATGGAGATCAGGCGATGGAAACATGGTGTTGGGATCGCGAAAGCTGATGACGCCGATGTGTTTTTGAGATGAGATTGCTGGAGCTTGGCTTTTGTCTTGTTGTTGGCTGCCACTTCCTAACACGCTCGACTCACCCACACGCCTTCCTTCTACAAACGAGAGTCTTCTGACACGCTAACTAGAAGCAGTTATTACACCTCTCGCAATTCTCGTTTCTAATTCATCGCTTCTCGTCCAGACTCCAAACCCCGTCTTAACCCCGCAGCTGTAGAGCCTTCAGTGGTTTGTCATACAATTTCTGTTCAGCTGCTAATATGCAAACGAGTCGCGGAGAGTGGTCGACCAGCTGTCAAACATCTCTGTAGCGTCGAGAAGAACTGTGGTACATATCAATGAAGCATTGATAGCATTCTTCACCGCACAAGATGGATGTCTCACTGCCAGCTTTCGATAATGGTTCGCTCCATGCCAACCGCCCACGAATCTTATCGCGATCTGTAGAGTATCGTAGATGCTTTCATGATCATCAAAACGATCGGGTTCATGATTCACATCTTTAAGATCAAGTAGAGGGTCGCTAATTGGACATCAAAGCAATGCAATGTAAACACTCACTCCTGAACAGCACGGCAAAGACAGCCACAAGATAAGCACGAACTACCTCTGCACCATGGAAATGCACGAATTCGCCATCCACACCTTGCCGTACCGAACATCGTCTGCGCAAGCAACACGGCAGCGCGTGCAGTCATCACGTCGCAGCGAAATTTGACTACGCAAGAACGTTTCTTGTCAGGCGTCCCGAACGCATTTCTCCTGCAGCGCGCAAAATTTAGAGTTTGGGAAACGGTCCAAGGTTCAACGGGCCGTCAGCATCCAAAACGCACCGCGTGCGCTGGTGCGCTTTTGCTGCAGGAACAACGAGATTTGGCTTGGAGGGAGGATCTGGTCTTGCATGCCACCATTGAATTCTTTTTTGGACGGGCCAGAAATCTCGTGTTATAGGTCATTGCTCGTTATAGTAGGATTGTAAAAGGAGTGTTTGTAGACAGAGGAAAATGGTTTTAAGAAGACACTAAAGCTTTGAGAAGGAGAAAGATAGATCGCTCAAGGGGGAATATCAGGAAATGAAGAAGAAGTGAATGTAGAGCACGCAGGCAAGCGCTTGATGCCAAAGAACCCAAGAAAATATGATCAAGGAGACGTTATTTCGTAAGAGATAAGCTTCAATGCAAGAGAAAAGCATAGAATTCAAGCGGACCGTTCACGCTTGTGTAGTGTTGGCCTTGGTTNTTGAATGGACATGTCGCATTCCGCCCTCAAATCTCCAAGACTAGGACTCATGACCACTCGAGGTCTTTGTTGTGCTGCAAGTCCTCGGATGCTCCGTGAGCTGGCTGGTCTGCTCAGACTCAGAGCACTACCAGAGCGAATGAGACTGGCGTTTGGGCTGGACGGTCGCGAACCTAATGCAGAGCCTTTACGGCTACGTGAGCCAAACGCGGGATCACTAGGACTGACAACCTGGCCGGCAAATGGTGAAGAGGTGATGATGGTGCCAGGAGAAGCAGCAGGGGAGGGCAAAGGACTATCGCTGCGGAACAAAGGATGAATATGCGTCTGATCCTGGTTCAGTTGTTGATGTGACGGGCGACGATTCAAGGCTGGTGCAAAAGGAGGAAATTCGGGTGATTCGGGCACTTCGTCAGCCTCTTCGTCTTCCTCGCATGCCTCAGGAAAAGGTCCATCAAGAGGGTAGGCAGGGGATACTGGTCTGCTGCCAGGGATGGTCTCGAGTCGATGTGGTTGTGCGACGTGCAGAGCTGTCCGAGCATCTGTTGCCTCAACGGCGGTAGGGGTCGGTACAACGCTCCAAGTCTCAAACCCATCCGAAGGTCTGCGCTCGGAGATCGAGTCCGATCGCACACTCTCTTTCGAATGCTTAGGTGCGTTCTTCGAGCCCTTGCCTTGTCGGAGGAAGTGTGATACAGAATTGCGAACAGAGGACTTGATGCTGGTCGATTGCTCTTCAGATGCATCGGAAAATGTTGACACTGGTCGATTGAAGTTCGCTGAGTAGGGAGATAGAGTGTTCAAAGAGAGCGCTTGAGTCTTTTGCTCTCCGAGGTCCATGCAGCTTTGAAGTGGATCTGAAGTGAAAAGAACCGAATCGGGCAATGATGACTTTGACCTCCAATAGAGCCCACCATAGACGCCAAGGGTGATGAGTGATAGAACCCACATTGCGAGAGCTGCGGCAACCATGGATGCAAGATTGGTAGAGTGACCATGTGTTTCGATAAGCGGCAGATTGTTGTACATCCAACCAAGAACGTAGATCGAGAGGATCATTGCGATTGCGAATGGCGTGAGTACTACAACTGCCAGAGTCCATCTGTGAGCCTTGAGATTGCGAGCAGTGCAGGTGTAAAACACTACGAAAACGAAAAGAACCATGATCGCCAGAATGTCAAACACAGCAGCCACAGTTGCTTGCGTATGTATGGGAGTGGGTACGAGCACGGTGGCTGCGAACAACGTGACGAAAGTGGCGAGAGCAGTCGTAGAGAAGCAGGCTGCCAGGCAGCTAAGGATGCCTGCTGGAGTCCTTTGTATCAATGCCATGATAGAGAGATTGACTTCCAATGAATGATTGTGAGGCGAATATAGGGAGCGTTATGTGCTTGCGCACGGTGTGTAATGATCGTGGTAAGTTGGAAGTTTTCTCGAAGAGTTATGCAAGACACGGAACAAATCCAGAAGTTTCAGAGATGCATGGAACTGGAATGCTTCTGATGATGCTTGATGTGATCCAGAATTGCAAACTTGATAGTTTCCCAACGTTGTCAGTATGCCTTTAGAGCTGGAGATATCGAGACGGATGAAGGAAGAAAAGAAGAGGTGAAACGGGCGATTGTAAGCTGAGCGGGAAACGAAGATGCAGGATGACACGAGGTTGACTGTGTTCGCAAGCCTTGAGCCTCAAGCATGAACGTTGTATGGTGTATGCAGCCAAGGATTCTCGGTCGTCGGGGATGTGCGCTAGAATATCATACCGAGTCCTTGCACGGTTTCATGCATGAAATCGATAGTGATCCAAGGGACTGGTGATGATCAGGACGAAAAAGAAGTACACAAGGCCTGAAAGGCAGAGGATAGAAGAAGTATATGTAAGGAGAGCCACTGCGGGCAAGAATGGAGATGCTCATCTAAATCTCTTCAAGGATTATCTCATAGAGGGCGGCAGCAAGCCATAAACACGCCCGGTCGTTGTTTGCGATCATCAACAAGGGCTTCCCGGATTGCGCGCCTGTGTAATCCGGGTTCTGGGGGCTGTCCATGCCGTGGTTAGCAATCGGCGGCGGCATCTCGCTACCAAAAGCCATAGTTGAGCATGGGGGCTGCGCTCGGCCGCGAACTTGACCTCTTCGGGCTGGCGAGCATTGAGCAATTGACCATCCAAGTCCGTTCCCCAAGATGCAGACGGCGCGAGACAAGTGCAGCTGCGAGCTACCGTGCTGTTATAATTTCTAGCCTGTTGTCGTATGCAGGAGGAGGGGGCCATTTGGACTTGACACGCGAGGCGCTGCTAGAGAAATGTCGTCGAATGTTGACGACGATGAAGCTTCTGAGCAGTCAGTCAGCCTTGACAGGTCACAGGTGGGGCCGCCTTGGAAAGTCAAAACGCAGCTTGCAGGCAATCGAAATTGCAACACAAGAATCTGAGCGATGCAGACACACGGAGAAATAGCACGTAGCGTGTACGACGGCATCTGATTATTTTCGTGACGCTCACAGCATTGTTCCTCCAGCATACTGAGCGATCGGCAACGTCAGTGGACGAGACCCTTAGATTGAGAAGCTTCTTGAAACCGCAAGGCCGCCCATTCCAGAATCGACAATTAATGAACATGACGCTCAGGGAGTGGTTGCTGAGAAGCGGCCTGAAGGTGGTACAAAGACTCGGAGAGTTTCTGCTTCCTTGTCGCACGGTGCAATGGAGGCCTCGACAAGTTGACACGACTGGCTCGGCTTGCATGTAGAGTCTGGATTTGTCTCCATGCTGCTGCCTCCCCCCTGCAGTACTGGCAGGAAGTAGGCACACGACTGGTCCCTTGACCAAGTCCAGCAGGCTTGATTCTCGAAAGACATGTTGTTATAGGAGGAGGATGATTATCCAATAAGAATAGCGAGTCCAATGAATGATTCTACCAAGACCAAGATAATTGTGCATACCTATCATAGCCGCATGTCAGCATTCAACAGAAGTAGGGCAGATTGTCCTGGTCTGTATCATGTTGCATTGCAGTGATTTGTTATAGTGCATCTTGGTTGGCGGTCGTAGAATTTAGGAGCAAATTCCCATGTCCAGTGAGAGTTTTCCATCGCAGATCTGACGAGGCTATCACTGCGTTCTCAAGACTGCATGATGGTTGGACCTTCCTGTTGGTAGTGTTGTCATGTGGTCGTGTTACACGATGCTGCAAGCTCAAGCGGTATTAGTGGCAGCAAGTGAGGGGCTGACAATGAGAAGAGACATGAGGGACTGATGGTGAGCAACGAAACTGACAAGCATCGAGTCACCAATCAGTCAAGAGAAGAAGATCATCCACGTGTGCTAAAGACTGTCAGAATCTCGCGGTTGCCCACTCTCCCACCCTAAGGCACAATGGTATTTAACAAGCTACCGAAATGCACAGTTGTTTTCCAAATATGAGTCTGGCCAGAGAAATAGCCTTCGATGGGAACCTCTCTGTGGAAACCACATTCTTTGTGATAAGTATTGTGCGTTTCTTCAGCTACACTGCGACAAATCATTAGCGCACGGGGAGGATGAAATCTGTCTGAGATGTGAGTGAGCAAGTGGTAGACAGTGCCAAGTGAATCTGTATGACGCTTCTGGTGCGGGCGCGCATCTCGAAGCTCAACCCGCATGTCCAGCTTGCCACTTTCACACGCTTCTACATCACTCACGACCATCTTGCTTGTCTAACCTCTTGATCTTGAATCCATCGACCGCATCTGAAGGCACAACAATAACCACACACAGAAACAAGAACAACAAGGCCAACACCATGAAGTTGACATTCAGTACGCTCTTTCTCAACTTTGCGTCTTGTAAAAGCGCCCCCGCTAACAGTCGCTCCAGAGGATCTCAAGCAGCAGAAGTTCGTCATCGAGGCTGAGCCCTCAGAGACTGTATGCTTCATCTGCTTCTCACAACGACATGTGCCAACTGCTAACGCTGCGTAGATCGGCGAAGTCAAGTCAAAGATCGCATCCGAGAAGGGTTGGGAGCCGTCGACACAAAAGCTCATCTACTCGGGTAAGATTCTGCAAGACGACAAGACCGTTGAGTCGTACAAGATCGAGGAGAAGGGTTTCATTGTCTGCATGACCTCCAAGGTATTTTCTTCTTACTGCCTATCGCTCACAGACAGCCGACTAACACACACCNNAAAGCCCAAGGCTGCTCCTNNTCAAAACCTTCAGCACCCGCAACTCCCGCCCCCGCCGTGCCGGCCGCAACTCCTGCTCCTCCTCAAGCACCTACATCCTCTTCCACCGCCTCTTCCGCTCCCGTGCCCGCTACTCCCTCCCCCTGCTACAAATGAGAGCAATCGCTTCAACGATCCTTCGGCGCTCACCCTTGGCGACGAGCGCGCTGCGGCTATCTCTAACATGGAAGCCATGGGTTTCCCTCGCGCCGACATCGACCGTGCCATGCGCGCTGCTTTCTTCAACCCCGACCGCGCTGTCGAGTACCTTCTGAACGGCATTCCCGAGAGCGCTCAACGTGAGCAAGAGCAGCAACAGCAGAACCAGGCTGCGCCCAGACAGACCCAAACTCCCGCGACAGCTCCTGCTGCACAATCTACTGGCGCCGAAGATGAGGGTCTTAACCTCTTTGAGGCTGCTGCTCAGGCTGCCCAGGGTGGTAACCGCGGAAGCGCTCGTGCAGCTCAACCCGCTCAAGGTGCCGAGGCTGCACCAGGTGCAGGTGGTGACCCTCTGGAGTTCCTCAGAAACAACCCTCAGTTCCAACAGCTTCGCCAGCTTGTTCAGGCCCAGCCTCAGATGCTCGAGCCAATTCTCCAGCAGGTCGCTGCTGGTAACCCTCAGATCGCACAGCTTATCGGCCAACATCCCGACGCTTTCATGTCTCTTCTTGCTGAGGACGTTGATGACGACGCTGCTCTGCCCGCTGGTGCTCAAGCTATCAGCGTTACTGAGGAGGAGAGAGAAGCCATCGAGAGAGTGAGTTGTTCTAACCTGCATCAATCTATATCTGCTAATAACTCGGTANNGCTTTGTCGTCTCGGTTTCGAGAGAGATCTTGTCATCCAAGCCTACTTCGCATGCGACAAGAACGAGGAGCTTGCAGCCAACTTCCTNTTTGACCAGCCTGAGGATCCCGAGGAGCAATAAAATCGTCGCTTGGAGGAAGTTAGAGGAGCTGGATTGCAGTCAAGGCGGTCCTATACGATAGTCATGACACTTTGGCTTTTATTTTCTAATTCGCCATGTCCAAACGGACTCGGTACATAGCGTGGAGAAATTATTTTCGTTATTCGCAAGCGCTATCCTTCTATTTTGTGTCACTTCGGACATGCTGCTCTTTGAATGCGGGAGGGCTGAACTCATGTCTGGGTGGAAGTTGTTCTATATCTTGTCGTGAGAATGGCGTCTCGAAGGGTAGAGTATGCAAAGAGCCGTTGTTGCATTTATCTCCACGAATAGTCAAAGCACGCGAAACCGTGTCTGGTCTCAAGTACGAATTTTGCCGCGTTACATATAGAGAACTGGATTCTAGACATGGGACTACTTAGACCGCATCTTCCAAAGACGTTCCATAAATCTACACTACCTCTTTAATGACTGTATTTCACAATGCGACGAGAGTATGGATTATCTCTGACCACGTCAAGGAGTTCGGGTGGAGCCGTCGGCTTCCAGATATGGCGCTAGCGAAGTAGCCGGTACGTGATTGGCTGGGCATAACTCGCTTTGGAGGCTCAAGGTGTGTGTGTGTGTGTCCAGGTGAGAGAAGACTTCGATATGTTGTTCATGATCAAGACCTTGCAAAAGTCGACTGGCTTTGTTCCTTGATCCGTCTTTTGTTCTTGTCCATCTATGTTCGTTTTGTATTCTCATTCCCCATCTATTTGTTCTTGCAGATCGTCTCTTTTGGGGGCGATCAAGTTTTGCACAAAAGCAACATCATCTCGACCAATTTGACCATTCAAAGTGAGTAAATCTCTCGATACCTTATTGTCGCTTCATCCTGCCGATTACACTGCTATACACGGAATGATTTGAGGAGTCGTCTTTGTGGTATTCCATTTGATTCACGTTGTTCATGTTCCTTGGTCTCCTGCTCGCTTCGGAGCCGGCAAGCTGTAATTTCTTCCAAGAGTACATGATTTCATCAGTCGTTCGGCTCAGACATCTTCGCTGAAGATCATGGTCCTGCACTTCATTGAATTTCTCGAAATGGCGCGCTTCTCTTAACATCAACTAACTGCTGATACGGACCTAGCAAAGGCTTCTGCGTCGCATCAACCCAGTATACACGGCTCGGAGCTTTCATATCTTTTTGTCCGTAAGTGTTTCGATCTTTCTGCCGACCATCTCAGTAATCCAATATGGTGGTAGCCTGCGGCCACAATGGAGCTCAGGCGGAAACGAGCTGCCACGCCGCAGAAGCCATCACGCCTGCAGCCAACAGAACCCTTACATATGACTACACGTGCCGCATCCAAGGCTGCTTCTTCAAACGGAGGATCTAGTCGACGGGGTTCTCTCTATTCCAACGGACAAATCAGTCCAATGGCTGCTATCGAAAATGAAGGCGAGAGATATCCAAAGCGAAGAAGAGTATCACTGGTATCCAAGTCAACGCCAACCGGAGCTGTCTATACCTCACAGTCATCATCATCCAGGCCCTCTACAAGGAGCATGTCTGGTGGCAATCTCCATTCAATTGCCGAATCGTCTCCTGTGCCTCGCAGNAAAAGGAAACGGACATCAGATGTCACAGCTGAGAACATCTCAGTGGCTCAGCCCATAAAAAGTATGGATGACTTCGAGCGGGCTCTACAATCTCCAGCCACGAAGAAGCAGCCACCCAGGAAGGTTAAGAGGTCGTCATATTCATCCCAAGATCAGGATACTGCCGATGAAGACGACGAAGACTCCGTAGACAGCGACGCAGATGCTGCAGAGGACGATGCGAAAGACACGGTAGAAAGTTTCAACGACACACAACTCTCTGCAAATGATCATGACAAAGAAGCGTCAGGCCATGGTATTAACGGTATTACGAATGGTGCAGCAGGCAACTTCGACAAAGACAACAGCATTCACGACGTTGAGGTCTCTGGAAACGGAGAGCAGGATCTTCTGGATCAACAGCCAGGTGGAATACCTGGCCCAGAAAGTTTTGCAGAGCAGCCAGGCGATACTCAGCCTGATAATTCTGCACCGCAAGGGTCTATGAATTCTCAGGATGAGGAGCTAGAAACAGGATTGGATGGAGACGATGCAGGGCGCGGCTACGATGAAGACGCAGATTTGGACAATTCGCGTGATGAACTGACCTTGCCTGAACAAATCGGCATAGCAACGCTTGACCCTACACCTGTTGTTTCTGCCGCGGCATCGCCAGCCGGCTCAAACCAAGACTCGAATGCAGATCAAGATTCGCCAACTAAACGATCGGCCTCAGTCCTTGCCGGAGGCGCAATAACGGCAAGTCAAGATGGCGACAAGCCAGTCAAACGTCTGCCAGGAAGACGCAGAGCTCCCCATGCCAANCCCAAAGTTGAAGCTGCCCTACGCAGACAATTGCATCTGCGTATGGCGTACCGGGCAGTAGCAAAGAATCTGAAGCCCATTCTTGCTGAGCTCGCGAAGCGAAGTCTCGGCAGCATCCACAAAAGTCCTGAAGCGCACACAGCCTTCTCAGAATATCCGATCATCAAGAAGGGCCTCAACGAGAAGTTTGAAGAGCGTCTTGCTTGGATTCAGAAACAGAAAGACCTCAACAANAAGAGATTGGACGACATATTGGCAGAGCAGATGGCGATGCGGAGGAGAAACTTTGAGGTAAGGACCATCCCTTTGCGCCTTTCTGTCACTGTTTCACACTAATCACCGTATAGNTACGTTGCCCAAGATATTAAAGACGATATGATTGCGCGCTTACAGCACGACTTTCTGAACACTTTGCGTCAGCAGCAGCAGGCTGAAGATGATGACTACAGCGATGATGAGGTCCGTATAACNAAAGCTTGCACCATGCCAGACTCTGCTAACTCTTCATTGCAGGGTGACGATGTCATTCCCTCACTACGACGAGTCACAGCCAAAGGTGCTCTTCGAGGTATTTTGGGTCCTGAATACCACTGGCGAAGTCGGCCTGCTTTGGAGACTGAGAGACTGTTCAACGAAATGCACGAACGACACCGGTTTGCTCACGAACATCTCCAGCACGATGAAAAATCTGCTCTTGAAGACCCTCGACCATTCACCACCTTCGACCCTGTTGTCAGAGAAGCAGCGGATGCTCAACGAAAAATGAGAGAGCTTCTTTCTGCTTTGGGAGAAGCTGCAGAAGAGGTTGCAAGACCACCTCCTGTACCGATCGTTGAGGCTCCACCAGCAATTCCAGTCATACCAAACACCGAGGCACTCGGTCTGTTGATGCTGGCCGAAGTATCGACTACTGCCAACATCGCCACACCTGCACAGTTTGAAAGCACCTCAATAGCCCAAAAGGATCCTCCTTCAGACATACCCTCACGGCAGGATAATCTGAGTGTACCAAGACCTAGCATGTCTCGTGCGGGAAGTGTTGCTACGTCAGCTCCTTCAACAAATACACCGGCGAAGACTCTGGAAGAACCTGTTCCTGAAACACGCCTGCCAACAACCACGCCTATTAGTTTTAGTCAAGCTGTGCTCGAGCCGTCGACAACTCAGACCGCTCCTCTCTTGCCACGAACCACACAGCATGAGCAGCATGAGCAAAGGCCTCAGTCAGGACTTCCCCAACTCCCACCGATAGGCCAAGTTGTGGCATCACAGACACACGCGGAGTCAATGCCGCAACCAGTGACTACGTCTTCGTCGCTACCGACACCATCAAAATCCGTTGCTACCGACTTTTGGTCAAGCCTCGCTGTGAACAGCATCAAGACTAATCCGCAAGGCAAAGCTGAATTTGCTCCCAAAGCAGGAGTCCAGCAGATTCCAACCACTGAGCAATCTAATAGCAGTGGTGTGGACAATGCGAAGACAGAAGAAAGAGAATCTCGACTGTCGTTGACTGGTTCCTCGACTACTCTGGAACCTTTACATCAGACGTTGAGGAACACGTCGGATTCTTTCGGTCCACTGCTTGACAGGCCAGGCGATCTCGATGATCCCAAGCCACGCAAGATGCCTGCACCTAAGAAGTCTCTGTACGGACCTTGGCCTCGGAGTCGGAACTACAACCCACTGGACAGAAGAGCGAGCACAACAAGCACGGCGCCATCTCAATCCAATTTACCAGGCATCCATCCGAGACCATCGAGTGGACTCGGCGGAACTGGACCTTACAGTACCTCAGAGTCCCGGCACACGAACTATGCGCCGGCACCTCCACCATCACTGCCGGGCTTTCCTAACTCTGCACCACAAACAGGGCCGTATGGTCCAGCACCTATATATGGCGCGGCACCTCCACCTCCGTACGCCTACGAACAACGAGGCCCGTACCCTCCAATTACACCATACGCACCACCAGGAGGGTTTGCAGGAGTGCCTGGAGGACCAATGCAGCAAGGTCAGGGACCACCTCCGTTCTATGGTGGACCTCACAATCTGCCCCCTCCATCTCAACAACAAGGTGGATACCCACCTATAACATCTCGTCCTCCACCAACGCCACCAGCGTATGGGCCGCAGTACGGAGGCCAGCCTATACTTCCAGCCAACCATGACCCCCGATTTGGACCTAATGGGCAGCCAGTATCGAACAATGCCGGGCCAGCTTTTGCACAATACCAGCAGCATGATGGAAGGAGAAGGCGGAACCAGAGTCTTGGGCACAGAGAGTTTCAGCATTATCACGGACCTCGATGATTGACGGAAATGATGGATAATTGATAGTGCGGCTAGCTGGCTTTTGACGATTATAGTGATCTTGACTACAAGCAAGACAAGTATCTCATTTTGTTTCGATCATGTCGTGGACTTTAGAGCTCTCCACATTGCAGGCTCGCGTGCGATTGGCTTTCAGAAGGCAGCGAGTGACTGTTTCCACAAGACTCGATCCAATGGAATAGTGTCCTCAAACATAGTAGCAGCCATCCGAGTCTCGCTGAGCCTAAGGTGTCCAATTGGAGCGAATGTCGTGAAAGGTGAGTCAAGACGACAGAGGAGACGTTGGATGGTGATTGGCCGAAGCAGACTGAGTCAATGGGCCGTCCGAAAGGGGAAGGCGCAGGCGTTCGAGCTTTCCCTGACGTCCTCGTACAAAAATGCGGGCAAAGAACATGTGAGAATTGCAAGAAAGCCACTCTCGACTTCGCCTTCCTTCTCGGATACCAACCACTCTCTTCCGCGCCACCGCACTCTCCACCTCAAGTACCAGTAACCAACACCGAACAAACTCAACAATCATGGCTGTCCGCGCCCAATTCGAAAACTCCAACGAGTGAGCAGCGAAATGAAAAGATTCGAACCGTAAGAATACTAATTGATCGCTCAGGGTTGGTGTCTTCTCTACCCTCACAAACTCTTACGCCCTCGTTGCCGTCGGCGCTTCCGAGAACTTCTACAGGTAAGAACGAGAGTCTGAGACAACGCGCAACCACTAAGACTAACATGTGCTGNNCAGTGTCTTCGAGGCCGAACTTCAGGACGTCATTCCCATCTGCCACACCACCATCGCCGGTACTCGCATCATTGGTCGTCTCACAGCCGGTAACCGCAGAGGTCTGCTCGTTCCCACCAGCACATCAGACCAAGAGCTGCAACATTTGCGCAACAGCATACCCGACGATGTAAAGATTCAACGTATCGAAGAGCGCCTCTCTGCCCTCGGCAATGTCATCTGCTGCAACGACCACGTCGCCCTCGTTCACCCTGATCTGGAGCGCGAAACCGAGGAGATTATTGCCGATGTTTTGGGCGTCGAGGTTTTCAGACAGACAATCGCCGACAACGTGCTTGTTGGTTCTTACATGAGCTTGAGCAACGCTGGTGGTATTGTCCACCCCAAGACCAGCATCCAGGATCAGGACGAGTTGAGTTCGCTGCTGCAAGTCCCTCTCGTCGCCGGTTCCGTCAACAGAGGTTCGCCCGTTGTTGGTGCTGGTATGGTCGTCAACGACTGGATGGCCGTCACTGGCCTGGATACCACTGCCACTGAGCTCAGTGTTGTCGAGTCCATCTTCAAGCTTGGCGAGGGTATGGGTCCTTCGGCCATTAACACCACCAACAAGGACACCATGGTCGAGTCCTTCTACTAGATGCATAGTTGTTTTGCCGAAACACCAAAAGAGAGCTCCCGGGTTCATTGGTCTTCAATCCGAATATACATGCGCTCCTGCATTCAGTCGATGCCCTTCGTCTTGGTTGCGCCTAATCTGCCCAAGCGCACGCAATGGACAAGACCGGCCCACACGCCACATACGGCCGTCATACCGAATGGTGCAAAATGAACATGCGGTGGTGGACGTGGTGGAAGAAAGGACATGGATGCGTTGACGTTTATTCGCAAAAACCGCACAGTTGTGTGCTAGATACCCTTTGAGAACAGACAAAAGTCGGCTTGGTCTCTCAAGATCTTGCATATTTGACCCTTCAATCTATCTAGTGGGCTTTCTGTCTTGTTGTTTAAGCAGTATTTCATATTCCATGCATGGTGTGCCTTACGACGTGAACACAAAGGTATATATATTCGCGGCCATGAGCTCTTGTTGTGCCTATCACCCTGTCCTATCCTAACAACGACTATCCATCGCAATCACGTTTGCTAGAAGTTCCATCAACCAGACAGGGAGGATATCTGCAGCCTGTGTGTAACTCCCAATCTGGTATTCGATTGATATAGCAGTGTTGTCATCGATAAGAGTTGCTGGGACTTTTGCTGGACTTGTTCACCCGGATGCGTGTAGGTAACGAAGGGCAGCATCCGCACTTGGACCAACAAAATCTCTAGAGACAGTATAATTTAAGGATGTATTCTTAAGCTTTACAGAACCAAGTGTTGATACAAGAAAGCAATTCACGTCTCCACGAAAAATCCATGCTAGGAAGTTCTTCTTGGGTGTCGACACGAATCAAGGTCGTTAATCTGTTGGAGCACCTGTCAGTATCCTGTATGGAAGGAGAGTCGAGTGAATTCAGATCAAGATAAACAAGAATAATCAGAGAGAAGATTAAGGTCCCCAGCGACTTCGTGGTGGTCAGAACACTGGTTCGGCCCTTGCCGGACTGAACACAGCGTCGACCTTGGCTTGTCCCACGCAGCCATCGGTCTAAGGATGATGTCTCATCATAGTAAGGGTAGAATGGAGGGGCTGGGTTTACTCACATGCTCTTTCGATTCGAACTCCAGTTGAGCTCTATGAAGCAGGTCGATCTTCCGAATCATCCTTCGCTCCCAGTGTTGGCCAGATGAACTTTGGAGTTTGCGAGGGTTTTGAGTGCGGTTGTGCCGGCACAGGTTCATGTGCGTCATCATATGAGATCTCTTTTCGACCTGTCTGTGAGATCGAAGTGTCCCTTGATTGCTTCTCGGCAACTGGATATGTAGAATCCTCATCACCATATGCCAGGTCGATTGAACTTGCCTTCTGCTCGTCCAACTCGCGGGCAATTCTGCGGTGAGTCAAGTACTCTGGATTTGTTTCGGACGTGTCGATAAACCTTTGCCATTTTCGCTTACCCAGGCCCTGGGAATCCGAGCTGCTTGCAGAGCGCTGCCTCACGGTGTCTTCGGCTGTGTCTGGCGGACTCGTGTCACCTACCGGTTGAGCGGGTTTGCTGGGTATATCGTGACTAGTCTCGCTTTCTGAGACCTCGCGTCTTCTCCTGCGCTCTCGTAGAAGAGTTTGGATCTCACTGTGTCTGAACATGGCAATTTGATCGTCGGTAAGTGTACGCTTGACACCATCGGCGTAGTAGCCAAGACCGTCATCGTCAAGGTTCTCGTCGACTTCTACATGAGCCTCACGGCTGTTGGAGGGTTCAGAGCTCAAACCGGAAAAATGCTTGTCGTGGAAGAGTCGCAAATCATGNNCTGCAATTGATCAGTCCGAGCCGCGACTTGAGCTGGCTTAGTGACTTCTCACCTCTGTCACGGACGGAATGCGCAGTGACTGGGCCGACATGATGGCGAGCTGATGCCGCTGCGGTAGGAGACTGATTGTGATGGATAAATGGAAAGATGGTAGAGTCACGCGCCTTTTGGCGTACGAAGATGCCAAGAGGCGTGAAGACGTGTGGAGTGCAGCCAGACACGAACCACCTTGATCTCCGTCACATCTGTACCAACTTATCCTACAATCATGAAAGCCCGCACAACCTTTGCCACTTCACTCGTCGCAGCTTGCTTGATCACCGCGACTTCTGCCAGGTTGTTCTCTCCTAACGCGCCAGACGCACAGGCAAAGATTATCCTTCCAGGAACACCCAACAACGTCATGGCAGGCAGCGGCTCAGTAACCATTTCCGACGTGCTCGGCAGAGAACGCAACATCAACATCTTTGCTGGCTTCACTCGTGATATCGAATCCGTATCGAGACGCCTCGAGGCCGGCTCGCACAACACCACTCTGCTCGCGCCGCTCAACTCGGCCATCACGAGACTACCTAGAAAGCCATGGGAGGATCCACAAGACTACGCTGCCTTGGGTCAGAATGCATACGACGGCCAGAGTGGCGAGGACAGAGCACACAGAAACCTGAGACGCTTCGTAGAAGCCCATGTGGTACCAGAGTCGCCCTGGGCTGAGGGCCAGAAGGTACAAACGCTGGGAGGAGATACCGTCTGGTGGGAAGAGAAGGACGGAAAGAAACTGGCAAGTCTCGCCTTGCCCTCCGTCAGTCGCCAACTAACACAGACATTANNGATCCAGCCTGGAGGCATCGAAGTTTCGAGCATTCCTAACAAGGTCGCCAATGGAGAAGTCTGGGTCTTGGAAGGCGCTCGTAACTATGCTTAGTTGTGTCTATAGACATGACATCTCACGTGTTATGATTGACGTTGCCGACATTTGCTTTAGATTTGTAGTATTTATCAATGTGAAACCTGCCAATTACAGGGCCTATCCTGTGTGCAGCTTTTTGACTCGCTGTGTACCTTCGTACAGCGCTCTGTCAATGGCGGCCGCTACTGTAAGCGTACCACCAATGACAGCACAAACTCCCACAAGGAAGCCAGAGAAGCTCTTGCTTCGAGATTCGCGGTTGATGACCTTCATCGGTGAAATATCNNCTAAACCAAGTTAGTCCATGGAACAGCAAAGGAGCGGTCATCTGCTTACATATGAGAAGAAGACACCAGGAATACCGCCTCTTGCATGCAGTCTCTCCTTGTGGCCTTCCTGGCGGTCGTCACCACCTGCCAGGCTTCGCTTGTGGCTCGTTACGCTGTATTGATGAGTTTCAATGCTACCAGCTTCTCCATGACCATAACTTCCCAGCTCAACGAGCTCGTGGGGCAGATCAAGGATGGAGTTCTTTCTCTCCCAACCCAAAGGCAAGTAGGCAGTTGAAACCACCTTGACGAAGTACATGAAGTTGTAAGCCTTTTCATCGGTCTTGTGCTCGGTATCGTCCAATGGGTTCACATGGTGGTTGGTCCAGGCCATGCCTTTCTTGCCAATCTTAGAAACAACATCATCAGACAGTTGAGGGCCGAAGCGAAGATGGTGGATCTTGTGCGAGAAGGTGTGTTCAACGTTGTTGCCTCCAGCCCAGTAGTTTTCAAGGTCGTGGACATGCATGTTGCCGTTGCTGAAGGATTTGCCAGGAGCAAAGTGGAAGTTGCCAACAACCTTGTTGACACGGATACCACCTTCGATACGGCAGCCCTCTCTACGCTGCTCATCGAGATGCTCCGAGTAATGCTCGCGTGTACATTGTTCGACGTTCTCTCCTCTTCCGAAGGACCAAGAGACACTTGCATAGGCGTCACGGACTTCAGCACAAGTGTTGCAGCAGCCAGCCTTCTTTGCGTTGGAAGGAGAGGGTGCACCATAGCATTCTCCACAGTAGTCGGGGTCCAAGTGAGCAGCGGGGTCGTCGCTATGNNACTTATAGGAGTCAGTATGGAAGTATCAATGAGTAAATGGCTGCTAGTCTTACAGTTCGAGGGCCTTGCTCTCAATTGCATGACCCCCTTCAGACTCGGGAGCAAGTCTGACTTTGTTGACGCCGTGCATGACACCAGTCTGGATCTCTCCCGAGACATCCATGACATCGAGGGTGAGGAGCTCGCATGGCACTCTAGGGAAGGATATGTTCATGTGAATCTCCATCTTCTCTCCTCTTCCCTTGTCGACAATAAGCTCGGGGTGTACAACGACTTTGCGGTAGTCTGCATATTCTCCCCAGACAAGCCATAGAATCAAGAGTAGAGACGAGAGAGTGACGATTCCGCCAGAGGTCGTGCGCACCCGTGCATCTTCGACCGTCTTGGTAAAGGCGTCCAGACGCGTGAACCGAGACTTGACTGGCATGGTGATATTCGATAGTCGCAGAGACTTGACTGCAGGTGGACGGAAAGGAATGTAGAGGTCGGGTCGAGTTTAGCACAGCATCCAAGCAATTCACAAGCCCGGAGGCTTTGGCGACGGTCGAGGAAAGGTCGAGTCGAGTTGCGTCAAGAAAGTCAAAGTCGAGTTGTGGTTGAAGCCACCTTTCGCTGCTGGATGAACATGCCCTGGACCCTGGGGTTTGCACGCACGTTCCCTCGGTTCGGCTTTCTCGCCTTTTGGAGATAACCGGTAAAATAGCTTCACCTGGAAGACAGAAGATCGAGTCTCAACTTGGCCATGAATACTGTTGATCGCAAGAATATGGGGTATCATTATCGTATGTAAAACCAGGGGTCAAGTTCCGGACCGCTATGCAATTTTCCTTCCGACGTTACCTACGCCCCTTCCAACAATTGACACAACCACGTCTCCAGCGTTGCTGCCATCTCTCAGTCCCCACCCGCTCATGCCAAACACTCGGAGGTCTCGTGCCAGCTGCACAACCTCCTCCGTGCCCAGCACATCTCTGCCCAGAACCAGTCTTCCCACATCTTCACTTCCCATAGCCATCAGCGTGAGCATGGTTGGCGCGGCCACAATCGATGCGCATCCTGCTTGTGAAATGCTTTCCAGCAATTGATATGCACAAGCTTTGCCAATGTCCTCTGGCGCCTCACCACCTGCTGCTGAACTAGCCACATCTGCCGAATATAAAACACCTGTATTTGATTCTGCGACCAAACTCAGACCAAATCCGACTCCAATCTTCTTCTTCGCTGCGGCGTTGTTTCTTTCCGGGGCTGGGATCAAAGGTGCTGACGAGACGTCTGAGAATATGTATGTGTCTGCGACAAACTGGTTGAGTACACCACGAGCCGTGTCGATCATTCTAGCGTTGTTTGCACCTGCCACTCCGGTTGCGTATGCCACACCGCGTATCCTCTTGACTCTGCCAGGGTTCATGATGTGTATCGTCTTGGGTAGTCTGACCTGATGGCCGAAGACCAGTTGCACTTCTCCACCACCACCTCTTCCACTTGGCCCGGGATTCGATCGTTTCAACACACGGAGCTCGATGTTGTTCTGAATACCGAAGTTCTTGTAAAGAGGAAGAATCGCCGTTCGTACTGTGTCCACACTGACGTCGCCTTTGTCTGTTGCACTTGTGATGACACCAGGGCCTGTGAAAATAACGTTGACTTGGGCTTTTGAAAAAGCGGCAAGCATGCACAAAGGTATGAGGAACCAGCTGACACCGCGAGTACAGTCTCTGGGCAGTTCATGCTTCACTACGCCACCACTTGCGCCGTAGCCTGCGGCACTGCCCACAATGAGACCTGGCTTGTATACCAAGGTAGTACCAGTCATGGAAAACTCGATCGCAGAGCCGTTTGTAATGGCATCCAGAAGTCTGAGGAACGAGACCTCGTGTGGTGCGAGACCAGGGTTTGTATGAGACGACGCGCGGATTTGCGAGATGCGGACCGGACGGCCAGTAAGAGTCGCGAGGACGAGACGAGTGGTGAGATGGCCAGCGCCATTGAATTTGAGCGGCGTAGTGGGTTGCGTAGTCGCCATCGTGTTGTGTTGTGAGAGCCGCCCGTGATCGCTCAAGAAATCTTGCTGGAAGAAATGGATTTTTTGTTCGGCGTTTTGATGCGCTAAAGCCCGTTCGCGGCGGAGCTTCTCTTCTCCACATTCTGTCAGGGAGGGTCCGTCCCTTTGCAGCATTTTTCGAGTTGCCAAATTCTCGATTTCATGACTTCCATCCAAGCATCGCTCGCGTCGACATGACAGGGCCTTGAGATCGGCTTTGCGCGACATGGGTGTTGGCCGATCAAATCAGGGTTGACCAGACCTACATGTTCATAGACACCTCTCTCCTGGAGAAAAACCTGTTTGTTTATATCAACAGCACAAATGCTTGAGATCACGAACGCGCAACATCAAGGACTACATCAAGACTTATGGAGAAAGTCAGGTAGGTGGAAATCAAAGAGGAGTGGCATTCTATAGAGATTACTGAATTCTGGAGGCAGACGTCAGAGAGCTGGACTATATGCCGTGAGATGCTCCGCTAGCTTGGGCAATTCGCAATGGCCCATGTTGAGGCCGTCATGTTCATATCGTTTTGATGATCCGTCGTAGAGTGTGTGTGTGGTTTGGTGCTTGGATCGCACGCTTACTGGCCGTAACCGTCGTTGTTCTGGTAGCCGCCCTGCTGGCCGCCGTAGCCGCCCTGGTTTCCGCCGCGCCAGTTGGAGCCGCCGCCACCGTAGCCGCCGCCCTGCTGGTTGTCGTAACCACCACGACCGCCGCCTGGAAAATGTCAGCTGAGCTCGAACTGTGTCAAGGGGAGAACATACCGTAGCCACCGCCGTAACCACGGTCGCCGCCACCGTAACGATCACCACCACCGTAGCCGCCACCGCGACCACCGCCGTAGCCACCACGGCTCTGGAAGCCACCGCCGCCGCTGCCGCGCTCAGAAGCCTTGTCCACGCGAATGGTACGGCCGTCGAANNTCTGCAGAGTTTAGTACCTCATGTCCAATGTGGGAAGTGGAAGGCCGAAGCGAATGCGCATGTTGTGTTTGCGCACAAGGGAGAATCCGTCCATGGTGTTTCTTGTGACTCACTCGATCTCGTTCATGGCCTTGATAGCGGCATCAGCCTCATCCTCGTTCGAGAAGCGCACGAAGCCGAAGCCACGGCTGCGTCCGGTGTCACGGTCCTTGACGACAANCCTGAACACATCGCATCAGTATTGGTGTCTCTAGCTGGAGTTTTGTGTGCGCATATGTCTTACAGCTTCCTCAACGACGCCGAACTCCTCGAACTTTGTGCGCAGAGCAACGTCGTCAGTGTGCCAGGCAAGGCCGCTATTGATACGAATTAGCACAAAGTCACTTGCGCATGTTCGAGAATCGTTACCCAATGAAAAGCTTCGACATGATGATTGATGTTTTTGAAAAGGTCTGGAGGATAATAGTTTAGAAGGAGTCTGCAAGATCTTGGTTGAGGATGACGAAGCGGGAGGATTATTGGCAGGCGACACGTCGGTTGATGAGAAACTCACTGGCTTGGGAACTGGGGGAATTGGAAGCGGGGGAGGGGGAGGGCACTTGGACTGAAAGTGTAGCTTCGTCAGGTGGTGGGTGAGCGTTGATGTTGTGAAGTGCAAACAACTTGCGATTGACAAACGCGCAGTGAGGAGCTCTCAGAGGTAGGTATTGCTGAGAAGAAATGCTGGCCAGCAAACTGATCTGGAGCAGAAAAGTGAGGAATGGAAGAAAAGTGAACGAGGACAGGTGTGAGCACGTGGAATGTCGTCTCTGCAGCTGGAGCCCAAGACCCAAGCTAAATACTGCCGGTAAAGGTTGATTCGTGATCCGCAACAAGATAGTGCGCGCGGGCGTGTTTCTTGGGCTTGGGATGGTGGGGTCAAGGATGGCAGCACACGTTGGAGAAAGCTCATGGCATGACACGACATGACTTTGCGGTCACAGCGGCAACTGGGTGGGAACACAATTCTGTGGTTCCCAATGCTTCGCATTCAACACCAATGGGCGGTCATGATAATATCCGACACTGCAGTGAGTGGGCCAAGTGCTCTACAGCCACAAGCGACTTGCATGAACCGCCGGTCTGTCAATATGCGGCCGTCCTTGGAGAGTGATTTGATGCACCTTTCGGTGTGCTAATCATTCGTATTAAGCATTAATTAATACGTGTCTTGATCCCTTTCATGCTGCTGCTACTACTACTTGCGTGCTCGGCAGGTAGGTCAAGAAAACAATCAAAGGTCGAGTTAATATCACATGTGCCATTCATTGCTTGGTACATGCTTCTCTAGCACTCTTTCTAACCATGTCTCTTTCTGTTCAACAACTTGACTGCATATGAAGCTGCATGTTGCTGCAAAGCAAATGGTACTTCTCAACAAATCGCAGCATCAAACAACTCGTACAGAAAGTCTACGATTCTTGTAGGGCGCAACATGCTGGCTCCTTCCTGTGCAACTTTGATGACTCAGCAACATGCATGACTGCAGTGTTGAAAGGGGGTTTGACAGATTTGGGTGGATCAAGAATGCAATTGCTTGCCGGTGACAAGGAGGCTCCTTCCTCCACGGCATTTCGTAGTTGCTCAGCGTCGGCGTCTGCAGGCAGGCGACTTCTAAGCATCATCTTGCCATGGTAATGAATCTCTACTAAACATGAATATCAACCAATGGATTGAGAGTCTCGAGCAAGCGGTCCCACCCAACCAATCTCCTCTGCCCACTGACAAACCTCATGCGCCTCTAAAGCGTGAGCGAGGCTCCAGAACAAGCTCTTTGTTGGAGCCATTGGCCAATCGGAAAAGGCGAGGCACAAAAGACAAACAGTCAGTTGTCTCCGTAGACTCGTCCAGTTCGGTTTCAAGCGACGCCACTTCAACATCAACATCTTCTCGTCCATCCTCGCAGCCATCCTCATCGTCCAGTAAAAGATATCGAAGGAGGCCACGCTATCATACAAAAGAAGACAAGTACCATTCTAAGTCAAGTTCCAAACCACAACAGAAGAGCAGGGAGAAGAAGAAAAAGAAAGAGAAAGAGAAAGACAAGAGAGCAAAGCATAGTCGTCGCAACAAGCACAAGAGCAAAGCGGTGACAGGTGTGGTTCAAACTTTCAAAGCCAAGAATGTTCCTAAAGATCGACTTACGGTATCTTGTGTTCTATGTCTATTATTGATGACAATTGCTGAAGCTCACATCCACAGNCTTGACCCAGGCACCAAGTTTGGGTTGTATACCAAAGGTCGTTCGTCGGGCCCCACCAAGGGTAAAGGCTGTGAGTCACAAGAAACCCTCATGGGTTTTCGAATGCTGAACCAAGTAGTACCAGATTTGGTCTTTTCTGAAATGAGGTTTCTACAGAAGCCTGAACCTTCGACAAAGGANGGACCCCAACACGAAGCCCAAGAAGAAATCACACAAGAAGAAATGCCGTCAATCGTCCGAAAAGAAATCTCGAGATACTTTGTTGCTGATGGAATACGGCCCGGTGATGACAATGCTGGTCAACGTCGACATACACCACCTCTTGATACATCAAGAGTTGCAAGGGATGTACAAACAGCATCTCCAGTGGTGTCAGACCTTCTCCAGAAACCCTTCCTAGGATTCGGGAGCAGAGGCTCACATCCACCGACAACAAGTTACTACAGCTGGTCTGAGTCCGGGAAAGCAAGCTCAGCACGAGTCGCGCATTTTGCTCAGGATATTGAGCCTTTGGCCGCAGGCCAGCTCCAAAGTGATCGAGTCCAGCAACAGATGGAATCAATTCCCCTTGAGCAAAACACAGCTCAACGTCTTGCTGCAGAGCGGGTGGCTCGTGTACAACACAGCAAAAGTCATGATCCAATACTCGAACCTGTTCAAGAGATTAGCCAAACCACTCGCCTACCAGTCAAGCCTCAAACCAACCAAGAAGTTGAAATCGAGACAACGCCTGTACCCATCTCTGACAAGCATGAGACCTCTGTCCCTGCTGCCACAAGACTAGTTGATCAGAGCGAAAGAGAATGGCACGGCCCAAACAGAACTTTGCCGGCTGATGCAGCAATGCCAACTATACCAAACGACAACGTGCCTTGTCGTAATCGATCAAGACAACCAGAACTCGCTGTCAATTCTACTGTCAAGCAGTATTCGGAACCGTGGGAAGAGCTGCTGCAAAACTGTGAACTCGCAACTCGGCCTTCGGTGCCCACCTACTATGATGAAGATCTGCCTCGATACAACTCACCTGTTGTCAGAGGACAGCGTTTACCGGATGTTTACAATCATGCTAACCTTCCACTCTGGCGGGCAGATGTTGACCAATTCCCAGAGTATGACTTTCCAGACAACACAGCTTTCATGAGCGAACATGTACATTGGCCGCAACCCGAGGTCATTGAATATCAGGATGACAATGTTTCATTCTTAGGAGAGACGATTGATGAGGTTTCGGAGTCTCTAGATTCACAAGACGAATATGAGCTGGCAACGGAAGATGCTGTGGAGTGGGACGCCGATGATGCTGGCCAATATGATGAGGTACAAGACTACCAGATTCGAAATGACGAGGCTGTGGACAACTTTGCTATGTTCTGGCAGCCGAACAAGTTATACTGATCCATTCGTACTCCTACAAAGATGTTGGTTAGCGGTACTATACCATGGACAGGAGTTGAAGTTCGATTGAATGGCCAGCAAAGAGTGGGGAAAGGCCAGTGCTTGGAGGCAAAACAAAATCAGACCGAGGTTGTGTAGATAGCCATTGACCGAGCAGTCAGCATCCCAACACCCGAATCAGATAATTGCATTTCAAGTCAGCTGCATGTTTGCACACAGAAGCCAGGCAGTGTGCAGACGTCAATTGACACTGACTTTAAACCCGACGCAAGCAGCCAGGCCTTCTGTTGGGCGACTGGCAGTTTCCACGCTGGCTCACCGCATCAGCCGCAGCGCTGACCCCACCACGACGGCCAAAGCCGCCGACGCTGCTGTTTTCAAATCTCGCACTGCTCAGGTCGCTCGTCACTTGTCTGCAACGACACGTTCATCACACAACATGTCTTCCCCCAAGTATTCCGTCCGCTCTGTCGGCGCTCCTCACACCCTTGAGCACCGCATCTACATCGAGAAGGATGGCCAGCCCTGCTCCCCCTTCCACGACATCCCCCTCTATGCCAACGAGCAGCAGACCATCCTGAACATGGTCGTTGAGATTCCTCGCTGGACCAACGCCAAGCAGGAGGTACACTGCAGCCTCTCCCAATCCCTCGCACAAGCATGCTGACAAGCCGCCAGNATCTCCAAGGACGAGACCCTCAACCCCATCAAGCAGGACACCAAGAAGGGCAAGCTGCGTTTCGTCCGCAACTGCTTCCCCCACAAGGGCTACCTCTGGAACTACGGTGCCTTCCCCCAGGTATGTCCGAGAATGCATGCAATCGACCCATTGGAGCTCTGCTGACGCTCTGTCCAGACCTGGGAGGACCCCAACGTCACCCACCCCGAGACCAAGGCTCAGGGTGACAACGACCCGCTCGATGTCTGCGAGATTGGTGAGCTCGTCGCCAAGCCCGGTGAGGTCAAGCAGGTCAAGGTCCTCGGTGTCATGGCTCTGCTCGACGAGGGCGAGACTGACTGGAAGATCATCGTCATTGATGTCAACGACCCTCTCGCCCCCAAGCTCAACGACATCGAGGATGTCGAGAGACACCTACCTGGTCTTCTCCGCGCCACCAACGAGTGGTTCCGCATCTACAAGATCCCCGATGGCAAGCCCGAGAACCAGTTCGCCTTCAGCGGCGAGTGCAAGAACAAGAAGTACGCCATGGACGTTGTCAGAGAGTGCGCCGAGGCCTGGGAGAAGCTCATCACTGGCAAGACCAACAAGGGTGACATCGACCTGTAAGTTTGGTGCCTGGAAGAGAGATTACTGAACAACAGCTAACAAGATGCGCAGNNCACCAACACCACTGTCTCGCACTCCAACGACCGCACCGACCCCAGCAAGCTCAACATCCCTCAGNNGGGTGACAACAAGGCTCCTGCTCCTATTGACCCCAGCATTGACAAGTGGTTCTTCATTTCCGGTGCTGCCGTTTAAATGATACAAGGGCACAAAATGGTCTAGATATACAAATCTATAAGCAACGAAAAGGAATTGCACATAATTTGTTTCTCTTGGATCTTCAGTCCAAGGTAGTCTCTTCAGATGGCGTGGTATAGACATGATTTGACATTGGCAAAGATGCAATGTCGATTGAAAGTATTGTCGAGCAACAGCATATAGCTGTGATAACCGTAACGCCGCGCTCCTCCCAATGCAAAGTGAAAGTGAAAACGAACAAGATGAAGTAGATCAACCGGCCAGCTCTTCCTTTCTGCCGAGCATACGCGAGTGTCTGTCAACCTCTGCCATAATATCCTTGATCTTCAACGTCTCCAGGTCAAGGTTCATTTCTTTGCCATNCCTCTGTAGTTTCGTGTAAGCGTCTCGCAGATCAGGAAGGGGGTGTGAGAGAGCGGTACTGAATTTGAGAGCCAGGAGAGCAGGCTTGTTGGCATCGGCTTTGGACAGTTGCTTGATATCGATCTTCATGGTGGAGCGGGCATTGGGTGGGAGAAGGGCGAGGAAGTTGCGAGCCGTCTTGCCAGACTTGGGGTTGAAAGGAGAGAAAGCGGTCGAGACAGACGTCAGGAAGCGAGTAATCATTTTGGCGATATGAGAAATGCGACAGTATGGGTGTTTGCGGGGCCTGGGCGATAATTGACCTTGTCGCAACAAAAAAGCCGGAACGGTATGAGGCAGGTCGGGATGGCGGCAAGAGCCGTGCGTGCAAGCAGAGACGGCGTGCGTGGGATCGTGGCATGTTTGGCCAGCCGCGCATATGAGTAGCTCTAGCTCGTCCTCCACTTGAGCGTCGAGCCATGACGAACCAGACCGTCCTCGACACCTTGTCGCAACTGTCCGACAACATCAAAGTCACCTTCCAGCTCATCGGCCGCCTTTCCAAACTCTCCTTCCAACCAGGATCCACGCCGCTACAAGGAGACGGTGACGTCCGTATCGAGCTTGCCCACGACATCCGTGACGCCCTCAAACAACACGACGACACACTCGACACAGTCCGTCAGGAGATAGAAGACGTCGTGGAATTTGGCACATACTCTCAGCGCCGCCGTGACAGCCTCAAAGACAGAGAAAGAGCTCGCATTGCCGCTCAACTAGCCCGTCTCGACGAGGACCTGAAGCAGTACGTTCACCTCTCGACTCCTCCTTCTATCCATATTGTACTCATTATGTTCCTAGCNGCTCGAAGCCAGTTTCGTGCCGCCCAGCTGTCGTCGAAACGTGCCTCGGAAGCTGCTAAGCAAAAGGAACGCGAGATCCTCTTCGCTTCTTTACAACAGCCCCTCGAGCCCGACTCAACCTCGTCCACTCCTGATCCTTTCGCTTCCCGCCGCCCTCAACCCAAGCAACTCACCCAGGACGAGCTACTCATCAACGCTTCAACCGACGTGACCTCCGCTCTTCGCCGCACACACAACCTGCTTACCTCTGAGCTTTCTCGTTCGCGCTTTGCACAAGAGACTCTCGACCAGTCCACAGCAGCCCTCGCTGATCTAGGTGAGCGTTACACCGATCTTGATTCTCTCCTCAACAACAGTAAAAACCTCCTCGGAACCCTTGTGAGAAGTCANAAAAGTGACACTTGGTATCTTGAAACTGCCTTTTATATCCTCGTCACCACCATTTGTTGGCTGGTTTTCAGAAGACTGATTTACGGTCCCGCTTGGTGGTTCATCTGGCTGCCTTTCAAGTTCTTGTTGCTCAAGCCAGTCTATCTTCTTTTCGCCGTTCTCGGCATCACCGGTGGGTCTTCAGCTACTGCCGCAGTCTCTTCCGTGTCGCCAAGTGTTTCCGTACCACCAACCATACGTATTCAACCTAGCGCTTCAGGTGATCGACCTACATTCCGCAGAGGTATGGATCAACGCCCAGCAAACGTCGTGCCAGTTGGAGGCGGTGGTGCAAAGGCTGGTTATGATGGCCGACCTCAAGATCCAAGTCCCGATGGCAGCATGTCGCAAAGCATTGGTCAGATGGCAGAAGCCAGTCGTGAGCAGGCAGTACCTCAGAAGGAGGAGCAACAAGAGCCAAAGCAGCCTCAGAGAAGAGGAGATGGAACAATACTCCAAGAGAGAGGCGATATTCCTCGCAATCCCAAGAAGAAAGTCTGGGAAGAAGACGTCGAAGCAGCCAAGCATCAGATGAGGAAAAGAGATGAGCTCTAGAATTCTTCATGCGAAGTACCTGGCTTGCAGAATTCATCATTCTTCTATGAACGTCAAAGTATTTTGCTTTTCTGTTCCAAGATCACTGCCCTATCATGACCTGATTATCATCCAAGTTGCACATGCCTGGGATCTCGCATGATCATGCATCGGTGGTTATAGCTGCTGAAGATCAGTAGACAAAGGCGTCCTTAGAAGCACCTAAAGGTTTCTGAACACTCTGCTGCATACCGCCACATCGCATTCTGAGCAGCACTCGCGCTTAGACATGTCACACCAAAGTGTTAGGCATTGACTTCGCCCAGACAGATCGGGAGCCATTCGTCAAGAGGTCGAGAACCTTGAATCATCTTCCCTATGGTCGGGGCAACTATTGTCTTTCTACAGTCCGATTTGACCAGGAACCGACTTTGCAGATTTTTGGGTCAACGAGAGCAGAAGTCACCGTTCGAACCAGAATTGAAGACGCGATCTCTCCCCCAACTGCTTTCTTGTTGTTGACGAAATGTGCGACGCTTTCCGACGGTTGAGTATGGAGATAGTGTCGGAATAAGATTTCCACAACATGAGTCGACTGTCGACCAGTCTCGTATCTTGCGTACTGTAGTAATCGCGCCGATTCTTGCACTCAAAAACCAGCATTCTCTATCGTGCACTCAGGTATGCTGAGTTTCAGGAGGTGTGTTTTGAATGTTGGCTGGTTGTCGCAGCGTGTCTATGGACGAACCAAGATGGTTCGGTTGGACCCTGACCGTTGAGCATGTGACAGTGACAGCATCGTCCGTCCAGTGTGTTTGCTTTTAAGTTTGCGTGCGCGGCTCTGACATGAATTTCAGAAGCAGGGCCTCGAAAAGCGACAAGCAGGGGTGACGGAGTTTGACAAAGAGACCGAACATCATTGAGGCTGTATGAAAGCGCCAAGGGCACAGCGACATTCCTCGTGTCGTCTATGGGCTGTGCCAGAGCGATGGTTTGGGGATGTGAGATGTTATTACACAACGATTTGCAGGCTCGACGAGCGGGAAGCGTGTCGGATCCAAACGGCGCAAAAAGCAGCAGCGACTCTGATTGGTCAGGGCTTTGCTTATCTCTGGACACTCGACCTGCTATCTCTGGACCTCTGGAGAGCGACTACGCTATGCCAGGACTGGCTTTAGGCCCCATCTATTTGGTAATCTGTTACATAAAATAACGTAGAGGTAGGAGAGGGTGCAGCGGTGCAATTGTCTCAACCTTTCACCCGGTCACTGGCATATCAAATGACTGTCGCCGCTTTCCATTATCTTGTTCTGCTCGCAATGCTCTGTGGCTCGCCCGATTCTGCTGCCTGATTGATTGTTCATTCTATCCATCTCCCCGGACCCCTTACCACCCATCTGTTTCCAGCCGCTTGAATCATTCAACTACATAGGCCTATCTCGCGATAAGCTGCCTACTATAATAGCCATTATCGAACTCGTGCCCCGCGGCCTCTCGCGCATTATCTATCAGTCCCCCGCTGTCAATTGATTGTCCGAGTTCGGGATCCCGGGCTGCTTCAACCAGTTTGATAGTGATACATCATGGCCGCTGCTGTAGCTATACAACCTCTGGCCCCTCGCTCTGGCCCGATGGCTTTCAACCAACAACAACCCAGGTCTAGTACGGTCGCCTTCTCTGCATGACCACGTGCCATTCACTAAACGATTCTTGTGCTATANGTAACCAGCTCGCGTGGTCGAAGAGAAAGACCCTGTATGTATATGTCTATATTGGTCCACGCCAAGCTTTTAGACTAACCATTACCCAAGGTNGACGGTTGCCGTAGACGTAAGAGCAAGTGTGTACTACAAGACTCATTACCTTGCGTGCTGTGTGAATTTCACAAGCAAGACTGCACATTCGTCGAGGCTGCTCAACCACGCAAGCGAAAGGTTGACGACTCTGCTGCGTCCAAGGATACACCAAACGCCAAACGGTATGGGTCGCGTGCTTGTATCAGATGCTGGTCTCGTGCTAAATCATGACAGNNCCCAAAGGACTCCAAAAGTCCAGGTCAATCCCCTCCTCCACAACAACAACGTCCTGTCGCCCCTGTGATTCGCCTGGAGAAGCCACAGCATGTCCCTCAACCCGTAAGGGGCGTGGTTCTGGGAGACACTCTAAGTTTACAAAGAGAACAACACTGCAGACTCATTGGACGTACCTCGGCTTTGGACATTTCTCTTCTTGGATTCTCGGATTTTGGCAGTCGTCACGAAACGAACACTGGCTTCGGCAAGATCAGAAGGGTAGCGAACAGTGATTTCTTCAGCATGCATACCGATGCCGCATTTTCAACGTACGAAGATGAGCTACAAACACTGGTTGCAGTCGAACAAACTGTGGCACCCTATGGTCCTTCGCTTATCGACCTCTACTTCCGCAACGTACATCCCAGCTTCCCTATTCTTCAAAAGCATACATTCATGGATCGACATCGATGCGGAGACCGCCAATTCCACTCTGGTTTGCTGGCTGGAATGTACCTTCTGGCCCTTCGTTGGTGGCATCGAGACCCTGTGCTTTCCCAACATCCCAAACCTTCAGTGTACCGTCTTGAGGAACTCGCAGCACGATCGCTCAGCATGGCAATGCAGCACCCCAAGTTATCTGCCCTCCAAGCTGGTCTGTTGCTGTTGCAAAGGCGACAATCGACCGACTGGGGTCTCACTGTACAGCTAGTTGCCCTGGCACAAGACCTTGGTCTGCACATTGACTGTTCAAACTGGGATATCCCGATATGGGAACGCCGGTTGCGCAAAAGATTGGCATGGGCTCTGTACATGCAGGACAAGTGGACCGCTTTGGTGCATGGGCGGCCATCTCATATTCAAGCTGCAGATTGGGCAGTATCTACTCTTACTCTGGATGACTTCAATGAGGAATTTGAGAATGCCGACCAACAGGTGGTTGCAGATGACGAGAACGAGGAAGAGGAGAAGAGCAGAGTTATCTTCATCCAGATGATCGAATTGACGAGTATCATGGCCGAGGTTATTGATGTCTTTTACACTCAGAGGGCCAACGCAGAGTTTGAGAGGGGAGGCCGCAATGCAACACGTTTGATTCTGGAGCGTGCAAAGCCAGTTCAACTCAAGCTGAAAGAGTGGTTCTCTAAGTTGCCTGCGGTTGCAAGAATGGATGCGTACACGCCAGGAAAGCTATCCTCGAATGGTAAGTGACGGAGAATTATCAAACTTGGTGACACATGCTTATACATGAAACANGGATACCTGCATCTTGCATACTTCGCAACCGAGATTTCGATTCACAGACGCATTGTGCAGTCGCTGCAGCCCTCATCGACCGATCCATACGTCTTGTACATCTGTCGATCAGCAGCAAAAACGAGATTGATCTCGGCCATGGACTTTGTCAACCGTCTCAAGCCGGAACACCTCGATTCGTTCTGGTACTTTGCATCGGCAACGAACTTCGCACTTATCAACACATTTGGCAACCTGCTCAGAGCAACGGCGCCAGGCGATGAAGAAGCAGAATTTTATTCATGTCGTCTCAAGGAATACAGATGGGCTTTGGGTGCCAGCTGCCGAAGAGCAGAATGGCTGGAAGGCGCTGTCAGAATGCTTGATGCAACAGACAACTTGGTGGATGGTCTTGGTCACCGTCAACAAAACGTCCCGCATACGATCAACGAGGAAATGGAAGGAAGTGGAGAAGGAGAGTACTGATGTGAGATCCTGGCAGGATCGAGGCTTTGATGAATTTTTGCAGCATTTTTACGATACCCATTTGATGATTGGCAGAGGCTAGAGGGAGGACACGATAGAGGAACAAGCAGGCATAGACAATCAGGACAATTACGAGAACATGTTTTTACCTCAGATCGGTTCGAGGAAGGTGCAAGTGAGCGACGACCTTGATGGATTGCCTTGAATAGAACAAAGTGGCTTGGCATCACGTTTGTCCCGCAACGCGTCATGTCGCGGTACACCGAGAAGTTGCGACCAAGAGCGATTGTCCTCGAACAAAGGTTGCGCCAGATGGAGGATAATGGTCGGTCTCAATAAGAATGCACCGCCGCTGTTGCGACAAGTTAACGGGAAACCGCATGCTACTGCAGAGGACCATGAACAGGACGACAAGCGCGCACCAGACTCGAGCGATGATGAGAGCGACAGCGACAACGACACATCAGGCCTCGGCCGTCTGCCTACAAGGAAACCCACCCGTCTGCGTGTGCCGGGGACAAATCGAAGTTCAAACAAGCCTGTTGTTCCGGCGAANAGAGAGGCTGAACCAGGAGATGAACTGGACAACATGATCTTTTCACAATCGTCCCAATCAAAACGTCCCTTGAAGACATTTGGCAAGAAGTCTTTTACAGCCAGAAATAAGGTTGCACGGCAGCAAGAGAAGACAGGTTGGACACTTCTGTCTCCCCTCCATCTTGCTACTGATCTGACCATCACTAGCCACTTCCTTCCAAGCTTCTACAGTACAGCCCAAACCTGAACCTCCTAAGAAGAAGGCCGGCTTCCGAACTCGAACAGCCCCCGAACCTTCATCATCTCAAGTAGAAGCTCCATCAGTAGCCTCCGCTCCCACCTTCCGACATCCCGCGCATGCTGCTGCAGACAGCACCGACATCTCTGGCCAATCTCAGCCGATAACCCTTGAATCATCACAACTCTCACCTCCACCCGAATCTCCCATCAGCAGTATATGCGATTTCGAACTTGAAGAGTCTGATAAGAGCCCTCGTTGTCCCCTCTGCAGCGAGAAGATCGATCAAGAATTCTGGGACAAGTTCCAAGAAGAAATATGCCATAGACGTATGAACCTACGCCTTCAAGAAAGGTTCTGTCAGGCACACAAAGCTCGTTCTGCAGACGATGTCTGGCAAGGCAGGGGATATCCCAGGATTGACTGGTCTTCTCTACAATCTCGACTTCGCGCGCATCATGCCCACATCCATGCCATTCTCGATGGAAACTACGAGAGTCCCTATTACAAGCAGCATGCGAAATTGGTCTCACAGAGCAAAGGTCGCTCTGCCGGATCAGCTGCATCGTCAGGACGTTTCACTGGTTTACGCGCCGGTTACTACGGGACAAAAGGCGAAAAGATCATGTATGTATCGGTGTACAGCAACGTCCGCTCATCCACATCTGACTTGTGCCAGNNGGCCGAGAACATTGTTCAGACATTCTCAGACAAACTTCGCTCTCTGTCCAAGACAGAGCCACTCATGGCCTCTAGTGGTGCATCTGGTGGCGTGTCAGGCTACGTACATGCCATTTTGGTACCGGAGATGGCTCTTGGATTGATAATGGATGACATGCATTGCGACAGAGAAAAAGCCAGAGTCATCCTAGCGGACAGTGCAGACATAGGTGAAATGTTCAACGCAGAAGAGGACGAAAAGGTCCAGCGTGTCGAGGTCGACCTGCTAGATGCAAGCGGCATCAATGACGACGACGATGACGACAACGAGGTCGTCTACACGCAGAAGCCTCGAAAAGGGTTCCGTTTGGTTTAGGAGCACATCTTGCTTGAGCTGGCTAGACGCTTTGAGCATCCTCTGATTGATAGCATGTGCTCTTTCTTCACTTTCATGTAGCATACTACAGCACGACATTACGACCGGCCCCTTCCTGATTGAGGCGAATATGCATAGCGGCGTTTCTTGTACATACCATATGAACATATGCTTGTTACACTTTCACTCCATATAATCTTCGGGACAGTCTTCAACTCTCTCGGCTCTCTCTAGACATCAACCATGAGTCGGACTCCATTGTGCCTTTTAATAGTTCACATATCGCTCTCCAGTGTCTTCGAGAAACGTGTGTTCGTACTCTCCCTCAGCATGACAGATCACCTATGCACAGTGGAGATGATGATAACTTTGAATAACTATAATCATTTTGGGCATGTTACACGAGCCTACTACAGCAAAGCTAAACAACATCTAGTTACCAAGCTTGAGCTTCTCAAACTGAGCAATACTCTCCTCGTAGTTCTTCTGCTCGGCCATCAAGTCCTGCAGCTTGGTCTTCTCGGCCTCAAGGACAGAGTGCGAGACCTTGTCGGCGAAACCCTCGGCATCGAGGATCTTGCGCTGCTTGGTGGCGCCGTCGGCAGCCTTGCGGAGCTTCTGCTGGGCACGGGTGATCTCGGCGTCGATGTCGACACGGCCGGCGACCTCGAGGAAGACGGCGACGGATGAAGAGACGGCGAAGACGGCACAGCCGGTGGGGGTGGCGTCGTTAGGGCCAATGATGCTGAGGTTGGTGAGGGCCTTGCCAGAGAGAGACTTGATAGAAGCCTGCTCATCAGCGGCGGTCTTGTAGGTCTTCTCGTCGTAGCATTGGACAACGGCCTTTGCGTCCTCCTTGATCAGGTACTCGGACATCAATGATCTGACACCCTTGGAAGCTCCAAGGATGACCTCGTAAGCGGCCTCGCTTTCGAAGTCCTCGAGTGAGGCATCGTACTCGGGGTATGCGGCAACGACGATACTCTTGGTCTTGTCTCCGGAGCGACGGGGCAGACGCTGCCACAGCTCTTCACTCAAGAAGGGCATGAAGGGGTGGATCATGCAGAGGGCACCCTCAAGGACGGTGTAGAGGGTATCAACGGCACTGCGCTTCTCCTCCTCGGTACCGTCGCGGATGATAGCCTTGCTGTTCTCGATGTAGACATCGCACAGGTTCTCGTACCAGTACTGGTAGGCGAGCGAGGTCGAACGCGAGAACTCGCGAGCGGCAAGAGCCTCGTTGATCTCCTTGGCAGCGGTGGTGAACTTGTGCAGAATCCAACGCTCGGGCAGTGACTCCTTGCCGGTCTTGCCACCCTTTGCTTGAGGAACAAAGCCCTCGGGCAAGTTACCAAGAACATACTTGGTGGCCTGGTAAATCTTGTTACAGAAACGACGGTAACCTGCCATGACCTTGACGTCGAAGGCAATGTCGCCACCACCAGTGGTGTATTGAATGAGAGAGAAGCGGAGAGCATCAGCACCGCACTCGGGGATACCTTGAGGGAACGAGTCCTTCTGGTACTTGGTAGCGTTCTTGACCTCCTTGGGGTCGAGGTTGCCTTGGAGCAACTTGTCATGAAGCTCCTGAAGAGTGATACCCTCCATGATGTCGACGGGATCGATGACGTTTCCAAGAGATTTGGACATCTTTCTACCTTCCGAGTCACGGATAAGAGAGTGGCAGTAGACCTCAGTGAAGGGGACCTTGCCAGTGAGCTTGAGACCGAACATGATCATTCTTGCAACCCAGAAGAACAAAATGTCCCATCCAGTCTCCAGAACAGATGTAGGGTAGAGCTTCTCGAAGTCTGGTGTCTTGTTGGGCCAGCCCAGAGTCGAGAAAGGCCAAAGACCAGATGAGAACCAGGTGTCGAGACAGTCAGGATCGCGGACGAGTTCGAACTTCTTGCCAGCGAACTTCTTCTCAGCCTTCTGTTGGGCCTCCTCTTCGGTTCTGCCAACAACCCAGAAGTCGTCCGAGGTTTCGTCGTCCTCCTGACCTTCAAGCTTGACAAAGTAAGCGGGAATTTGATGACCCCACCAAAGCTGACGTGACAAGCACCAGTCGTTGATGTTGCGCATCCAGTGATAGTAGTTGCGCTCAGCACCTTCGGGACGAATCTTGATTTCACCGTTCTTAACAACATCGATACTTGCATCAGCAAGTTCACGCATCTTCATCCACCATTGAGGCTTCATGAGAGGCTCGATGACGTCCTTTGACTTGGAGCACAGAGGGACCTTCATGGGGTTGTCCTCCTTCTTGACGAAAAGACCAAGCTTGGTGAGCTCCTCAACAACAGAGTAACGAGTATCGAAGCGCTTCTGTCCTTCAAACTGTCCAGCGTTGCTGTTCATGGTACCATCGTCATTCAAGACGGTGATGAACTCGAGCTTGTGCTTGGTACCGAGGTTGAAATCGTTAGGGTCGTGAGCAGGAGTAATCTTGACGGCACCAGTACCGAACTCGGGGTCAACGTATTCATCGGCGAAGATGGGAAGGAGACGGTCAACGAAGGGATGCTTTGCCTTCTTACCGACCAAGTGCTTGTAGCGTTCGTCTGAAGGGTGGACAGCAATACCAGTATCACCAAGCATAGTCTCAGGACGAGTAGTAGCAACCTCAATCATCTCGTCGGTGCCCTCAATAGCGTACTTGAAGTGGGTGATGACACCGAACTCGACCTTGCGTTCGTAGCCAGGAACATCCAGCAGGGTACGCCCTGTGAGCTCCTTGTTGTCGACTTCGAGGTTAGAGAGAGCAGTATTCAGCTGAGAACACCAGTTCACAAGCCTGCCGGAGCTGGCGAGAGGGGGGAGAGTCAGCTATGGGTGATAGAAAGGGGCAGAGGTTTTGGATGATGACTTTTCTTTTTTTTTCTTTTTTTTCTTTTTTTCTTTTTTTTTGGGGGGGGGGGGGGGGTTGAGCATTGCTTACCGGTAAATGTAACCCTCCTCGTGCATTCTGACGAAAGTCTCGGTGACAGCAGCCGAAAGGTTGGCATCCATGGTGAAGGCTTCACGAGTCCAGTCGAATGAACCACCCATTCTCTTGAGGACAGTGTTGATCTTCTTGTGGTACTCCTCTTTCCACTCCCAGACAGTGTCGACGAACTTCTCGCGGCCCAAGTCATGCCTTGTCTTCTGCTGCTTGCGCCAGAGCATCTTCTCGACAACGCTTTGAGTTGAGATACCGGCGTGATCGCATCCAGGCAGGAATAGTGTGGTGTATCCTCTCATTCTGTTCCAGCGAATCAAAGTATCCTGGAGAGATGTGGCAAGAGCGTGACCGCAGTGCAGAGCACCAGTAACGTTCGGTGGGGGTTCAGAGATGACAAAGTATCCACGAGGCTTCACGTTTCCATCGGGTCCAAATTCGGGCTCGTGGAAGCCTTCCTTCTCCCACCAGTCGTACCATGCTGATTCGACGACGGAGGGAATGTAGGCCTTGTGGTATTCGTCGTCCAGGGGCTTGAGGANCTGTACTTTATCAGTACTTGCTCTCACTCGGCTCAATTCAAGTGTTTTCTTACTCTTCTTCTCTCCCTTAGGAGTGTCTTCGACGTACTTGGGCAGAGCCTCCTCCTTGACCTTAGGCTTCTTCTCCTTGGCCTTTCCAGCTGGAGCAGCAGCAGTTTGCTTTGCCTGCTTCTCGGCGAACTTGCGTGCCTTCTCAGCCTTGGCTCGTTCCTTCGCAACNNTGCTTTGTGTCAGATCCCCGGTCTTCCTGATCTCTTGATTCGATTGCGTACGCTCTTTCTCGGTCTTCTGCTTCTTGGGTGCTTCGGCGTCACCGCCATCTTGACCGGGGGCATTCTGGCCTTGGGGATCCTTCTGGGCGGATGAGAGGAGGGCCTCAGTGGTCTCGGCCGAGAGTGCTGGCGGCTGGCCACTCACGGGTCCGGTCCTCTCGCCCGNCTGTTGGTGTCCGTCAGCGAGTAGACTCCAATTAATTGCCAGGAAACAAAGCTCACGAATGTTGTGCGATGCTGCATTGAGAGCCATCTTTGCGAAACCTCTTGTGCGATTTAGGAATACAGGCCGTACGACCGAAGCGCTCCTGTATAGCGCTCTCGAAAGTATCTTGATGGTCTGGGTACAAGGTGGTGCAATTGCAACAAGATGGACGGGCCAAAAATGCTTGACTCACCAAAAGTGAAGGGCATGGCGGAGTTAGCATTCTGGAGCTCGGTTCCTGACTCACCAACTATCTTATCTCATCAATCAACTTTTCGCATGACTCGCTGTTGGTGCTCTCATGACCCTGTCAACTTTTCCTACCCCTCCTCTGTGTCGACACCACTGGACTAATGACAAGTATCGACTTTTGGGCATCTCTATATTGATAATGTCGTAGGACTAGCAATAGTAGATGGTAATCTCACCGTTGTTGGTGCGCAGGATCATCATATTGTCAGAATAATGGTTTCTTACGACGAATGCGCACTGTCCTGTTGTCCGAGTGAGACACATGCCACCGTTCAATTGATCGCGTGATATCCGAAAGGGCATTAAACAGAACTTCATGGGATATCTACAGCCTTTGGCCCCTTAATCCGTGCTGTCCACTTGTACGACAGCAAGAATACGATAGAAAAAAAACCTCACCTCCTACGCCCCTCCTCCGCCAGCCCTGCCCGAGCCGGTGTATCACTCCTCTGACTCGGATATACGTCCGGCTGGTTGGCATGCTGGACTTGTTTGTATGCAGTCGATTGTGCCACGAAGAATTACCCCAGTAAACCTCCGTGTAGTTTAGAATGCAAGTTTGAAGTGCTCGGATCTGTTAGCTTCCACGCTCGACAGTCGCCATATTTCATCATGAAGAGCCTGAGTTTGCAGCAGCTGTTCTGACAGGGTTGAAGTAGGCATGAGCCATAGCCTCCTTGGCAGTCAATCGTTCCTNGAGCCGATTAGTAACTGCATTTGTTGCCTAGAGGGGTTGTGTACTTACCTGATGATCGTACTTCAAAAGGTTGTCTAGGAAGTCAATAGCATCATTGCTGACGAAGCGTTGGTTGTCTGCGTTGACGAAGCTGTGCCAATTCTTCTTGGGGAATCTGCCCAGGATGTCGTCGTACTGTGCGTCAAGCTCGATGTCGTACTTGTCGAGGTAGTCGAAGAGATCTTCAGTACCCAGAACCTTGGCGATCTTGACAAGCTGGTCGGAGTTGCTGTTGCCGTGGAAGAAGGGCTCTTTGCGGAAGATCATGGAAGCAAACATGGCGCCTAGAGACCACATATCGAGCGAGTAGTCGTACTCCTGGTAATCAACCAAAAGTTCAGGACCCTTGAAGTAACGCGAAGCGACGCGGACGTTGTACTCTGTTCCGGCGTGGTAGAATTCGGCAAGACCCCAGTCGATCAGACGCAGCTTTTTCTGTTCGTGATCGATCATAACGTTGTGAGGCTTGACGTCGCGGTGCATGATGCCCTTGCTGTGGCAGAAGTCGAGGGCNNCTAATCTGTGATCAGTAGACGAACGAGCATCAGATCAGGTTGTCATAGTCACCTTGAGCAGCTCGAAGATGTAGTATCTGACATCGTAATCGGCGAACTTTGGGTACAGGCTTCGGAAGTCGGTGTTGTTGACATATTCGAAGATGAGCGAGGGCGTCTTACTCTNGCAAGGACAATGTCAGAAGTAAGACCAGGATAACAAGGGGGACAAACTCACCTGGCTGTCACGAACAACATCGAGCAGACCCACAATGTTCGGGCCTCCGCTTAGGTTCTGGAGGATCTTGATCTCACGCTTGATCTTCTTCTTCTTGACAGGCTTGAGAACCTTGATGACGCATTTTTGGTAGTTGACGACGTTGATGCCCTCAAAGACTTCTGAGTACTTTCCGCGACNCTGACGACCAATGTTAGCTTAGAGTACTGCAGCAAGCATACGAGCAGGCGCACCAATCTTGCGAACGACTTCATAGTTCTCCAAGACACCCCAGGAGATGTTGACACTGTCGTAGTCCCAGTATGCACGAGGCATGTGCTGGTTTACGTCGGCGTAGACGCGAGCCATGCTGGGCAGCAATGGCCGTTGGCTGATGTGACAGGCGCGTGAGGTGGNAAAGAACAGTGCGCAGAGCAGCAAGAAGTGAACGAGATTGCGCAAGCAACGACGGCCTTTGGACGACGAGGGGTAAAATGTTGATGTTGTGGTGATGGTGGTGGAGCACAGCAAAGCCGCTGCTGCATCAAACCATGACATGGCGCAACTCTGCAGTCGCGGTCGCTTGCAAAAGCCCTGAGCTCCTTCCTGACTCGCGTGCCAAATTTGTTCAAGCAATTGACAATGTCTGTCAGTTGTTCACATTGAGAAGTTGTGTTATCAGAGAAGCGACTATCCAAGCTAGATATTTACTTTTTGCTTAAAGACAGCTCTCGTTGAGGCAGTTGCAAAGGACCTCATTCTTGCTGCGAATGATTGCTGTAGCGAGTCATGAAGATCGCTCCTGCTCGAATTCTCAAGGCCCCGGAACTTTGACATGTGAATTCAGAATACCTATCCACCACACGACCGCCATGGACTGATCAAACCATGACCAGCCATGTTTTACGACCTCAATGTCGACTATAATCCGTCGACCAGCGATGCTGATCTATCCAAGACTCTGGCCTTCCTCAGCGANATGTGAGCGCATCAACTTCACCAAACTCGTCTGGATCGTCGCTGATGTTCATCAGTAGGATACAATGTCATCGCTTTGAACCATACCATCTCTGGCAGGCTGCCATCAGATCTCGTCAGTATCAATTGGCATATTCTGTTGTTGACAAAGCTAAGAGCCAACAGNTCCTGTGTCATTCCTGACCCTTTACCATTCAAGACGCCAGCTTCTTTGACCATTCTGCGTCGCTGCACTCTGATCTTGTCCGAATCGGCCACCAACAACCGCCTAGGCGCACTGGCGAACAACTACGACATCCTCGCCTTGCGTCCCGTTGACGAAAAGACCTTCCAGCATGCCTGCAGCACCGCTGATTGCGATCTAATATCTCTCGACCTCACCCAACGCTTGGGTTACCACTTCAAATTCAAGACTGTCTCCGAGGCTGTCAAGCGCGGTGTCCGCTTCGAAATCGCATACAGCCAGCCCTTACTCGCCGATCCTGCTGCCAAACGAAACCTGATCAGCAATGCGACCGGCTTGATCCGCGCAACCAGAGGTGGTCGTGGTATAATAATCAGTAGCGAGGCCACCAAGGCTGTTGGCTGCCGTGCTCCTTGGGATGTTGTCAATCTTGCTGCCATCTGGGGACTGGCTCAAGATCGCGGCTACGAAGCTGTCAGCAAAGAGGCTCGGAGTGTTGTTGTCAGCGCCAAGTTGAAGAGAACCAGCTTCAGAGGCGTGGTGGATGTTGTATATGGAGGCGAAAAGCCTGCAGCCAAAGAGCAGCACGAGAAGCAGGGCCAGAAGGATAAATCCAAGGTTGCTCTTCTCAAGGACAACGGTGCGAAGAAGAGAAAGGCCGATGAGGTCGAAGACACCACAACAGATGGCTCAGAAAAGCCCATCTCAAAGCGAGAGCANAAGAGAAGGGCTCTCAAGGCTAAGCAGGAGAGCCTAGGTCAAACTACAGCTCCCGCGCCGTGAACTACAAAACAAAAAATGAATACAACCAACACAACATCCTGAACACCTTTGAACAGGCGTGATTGCAAATTCTTTGATCCAAACACTCTTTCTTTATTGTGATTCTATACAAAGACGCCGACCCAATGCATAAGTCCGCGGTGATCATGTCCCACGGCTTCCGCTATGCCCTTGGCTAGGGCTTCCTGGCCCTTCGCCTGCGTCGTCCCGGTAGCTATGCTCGTGCTCGTGACCATGCTCCTCATCGTCTCCAACACTGAATACATCTTCTTCATCGCTATCCTCTGCGAATGCATCGTACAGTTCACCTGCCCTTCGCTTGCCCTTTGCCTTTGCACTCATGCCATTTGCACCGCCCGCTCCTCTGGTCCCTTCGTCATCGATATCCTCTTCATTGAGCATCTCGAATTCGTACTCGTCACGCGCGTTGCGCTGTCTTCGGCGCTTCGTGAGGATGTACCAGATGGTAAGAGATGTGCAGAAGACTGCAATGAGCGCTAATGCTCCATAGATCCAGACCTGAGTGCGCTTAGAAGCGCCGAAAGTAGGGAATGGCGATGGAAGGAAGTTGGACTCTGGCTTTTCACTGACTTCATCTTCTTCCGCGTCGGGCTTGGATGTTGGCTCCGGCGTAGGCTGTGCGCTCGTTGCCGATGTCGGTTCTGCCGCAGGAGCCGTAGTGGTCGATACTTTGCTGTTGACGGGGCGGTCAATGTGGTCGGTAGGATTTCCCTGAGGCTCACCAGTAACAGCAGGGTGGTCGACGCTCGTGGTGGCCCCTCCGACGCTAGTAGTCTCGATATCATGGTTGTCATCATCATGCTCATCAGGCAATGGCAATAGCCCTTGTTTGTCGCCGTCGATGGATTCGCCGAAGAGTTTCAAGTGCCAATCAACGAATTTACCAGTGTGACCATTCTTAGCCGAGTCCTTGACTATCACAGTCCACTTTCCTACTCCGCTCTCGCCCCAGTGAGCAACCGACATGAATGTCCAGTCATCGTATCCAGAATTTGCTTCGTCTCTGCGACGATTAGTTGCGATGTACGAGACGATGCCCTCTGGCGAGCGTAGCTCGACACTCAGATCACCACGACGGGTATGTTCGACGTTCATGGTTACTGTGACATGCTCGATGCGTTCAAGATTGGCGTCTTTGAGCATTTGTTCAGTCACCTCAAAGCTAGAAGCTATTCCTTTCTCGCCCTCAGGGATATCGTGTCTGACATGCATCCAGGGTGAGAAGAACCATGCTTGAGGCTTGACATTGGTCCAATTCCTAGCGGCTTCCACGATTGCGTAGGCATCGATTTTGCCGTAACCAGAAGCATGGCTGAAGCGGCGTCCGAGGGGAGTGTCTTGCCAGTCGTCCTCTGGCTGATCGATTGGGATCGCAGTAAGGACGGTAAGCCATTGAATATCGCGCCAGGTGAGGTCAGGTCTGACCTCAAGCACCAGGGCATATATGCCCGCGACCAGCGGGCCAGCGGCTGATGTGCCACCATGGCTGACGTAGCACTGGTTCGCTCCGACATCAGTAGTATGAATAGCATCTCCAGAACCTGAACTGTAAGTCACTACCAATTGCGCAGAGCATTTCTCGCTATAGTATGGGTGTAAGCCTTTGCGGTCAATACCACCGACGGACACACTGTAGATGCTGTTGGTATAGCCATCGAAGTTGCAATTGTCGTCGTTGGCGGCACCATTGCCGATAGCAAAGACGAAGATACTACCACGGCCCTGGCGGCCCTGCTGTACGCCAGCAACCATAGCTCTCTTGATTATGATGCCTGGTGCTTCCATACTTTGACCATCATCTGGAGGCCCCCATGAACATGAGTAGATTTGGTTCTCCTGATAAGCGTAATTTAGAGCGAGAGCTTCGTCCAGTTCGGTGAGAGCGCCAGAGAGGATACGGACACCGGCAACCTTGGAGTCGTAGGCCACACCCACGCCGCAGACGTTGTTCCGTACAGCCGCGACTTCACCGGCGCAACGAGTGCCATGATGATCATCAGAGAGTCTTGGCTTTGGTTCGTCAACATGATCGTTGAAGTCATGAGAACCAGCAGCAAAGTAGTTGTCGCGCAAATCATCGCTGTCCATGTCCAAACCATCATCGACGATGCAGACGGTGGAATTCTTTCCAGTGATACCTTGAAGCCAAACTCCTGTGACATTGATGTCGTGTCCAAGCTGAATGGGGTTGTACAGATGCCACTGGTCCATAAATATAGGGTCCTCGATGTCCAAACTCTTTGCGATATCCAATCCTTTTTGTACCTGAGAGTCGGCGAGCTGCTTGTCGGCACGGGTGTCTAATGCAGCAGACTGCGGCGGAGGTACACGCTTGAACAGGCGCAATCGACGCTCCTGCTTTCTGTTGAGCAGAATGTCGTCCAAAACGTTATGTCGATCCCACCCAGCCTGTCTCTTTCTCCTTAGACGCTTCAAGTCCTGCTTGGCTTCATGTATGACATCGTGCGAGGCCTTGGGTGCTTTGAAGACGTAGTGGTCCTTGAGCGAGTGGATAGCACTGTCGAATTGGAAGCCAAGATGAGTTGCTAGGGTGTCCGGTGAGACATGTGGTGAAAGGTGGACGGCATAATAATCGTAGTTGTCATAGTTGGGCTTGGTCAGGGCTACACTGGACGCAGCCAGCTGCAGGAGGAAGAAGAGAGGGAAGCGCATGATCGAGTCGAGTGTTTGCAAGTCCAGTCAGAATCACTCTAGATGCATGGTGGTTGAAACATGAAAATTATGGCGAACAAAGGACGGAAAGGGGGCTCAATACAGGTCGTTGTCCATGTCAAGGCATTGTCAGCTGCGTGAGAGCCGACTTAGTACGGAGAGCTGCAGCGCTCAAAGAAGCCTCCGTGTCAGGCTTGGCAAAAGTGCGCAACGGTTTTTGGGCCCTGACTTGTAGCATCCCATCTTGCCGTCGTCCTTTTCACATCTTGATTGTGATTGATTACTGTACACCGCACTGCACACGTGCAAGCGCAACCAACTTCTGTCGACCCTTCGTGCCGCGATTCGCTGCCCTGGCCATGGTGCTTCCCAGGCCCCGTGCTCCGGAACACCAGCCACCGAACTGCAAGCGCTTCCTCTTCTGCCATGATATCGTGTCTGCACATAATCAGCTTTCATCTATTTCCCGCCCTGTCTTCTTTCCCAAGCTACCTGTATATAGCCCATCTCAAGTCACCGACCTTTCTCCTTTGCCTTTCATATCGCCGCATGAGTGACGTCTGCCCCTTGTGACTCGACCTTCAACACCTCATCAGAATTTAATATGTCGAGAGGCTGCTGATTACCTTCCTGAATAGAACGTCGCCTTTAGCGTGTTATGGACGCTAGACGAAACAGTGGCTCTTATGCCAGACCAACCGGCTATTTTACACATCATGATCCTTATCCAACTGTTCATGTACCAAAAACTCGCAGCTTGGACGCACAGCATGGTCCGAATCGGCTAGAGACACTCCCACAACTCGATACTCGAGGTGCTTCAACAAACAGGAATACTGCCTTTGATGAAACTCCTATCTCGCCTGAATATGCAAATCGCCATCGTCCAAAACATGGCACCGTCTCTGACAGATCCCCTCTTCAAAAGCTGGAGGGCAAACTCGACGACATCAGCAAAGAAGAGAAGAGAGCCCGGATTGAGAATACTGAGTACCGTGCTCGCCAAAAATCATCAGCGAATCAGTCCCGAAGGGTTCACGCCGGACACCAGCAGACTTTGTCTCACAATCCAGATGCAGGCTACCGTCGTCATGAACGGAGACATTCGTCTGCGCCATCGCCAGCAACACAGCACGACGGAAACATGCAACAAGGACGATCCTCGCTGGACTACGGAGGAACTTCCTCTCATGTCGTTGATCCAGATGTATTGAATGCTAGCCAAAAATTCAGGCGTGCCTCTGACGCTTTGAGAACACAGAATCAAGCTCAACACACAGGGGATGGCCGTAGCTATCCCGACTATTCAACACCGGCTGGAATCCAGACTCATCTCGAAAGATCAAACTCAAAGAGCTATCGCCATCGAGCGCGTGACGCTGGCTATGCTGGAGCCGCCGCCGCCGCTGCTATGCCGTCCCCCCAAACCCATGGACATGATGGCATTGTTAGCCAGCAACGTGGTCATCGCTCTTCTGGTCACCATGATGAAGCTCGCTTGGCCAGTCGTGCCAAATCTCACAATGCTAATCAACCTACCGGCAACTTTCAAGGCCTGCCTTCAGGCCAGGATAATACTTCGCATATACCCGACGCCCAAAAATCGCTGCATACTTCGCGCGTAGGAGCGGGCGGAGGCCTAAGGGCTGCTAATCAACACCAGGACCCGGATCCTGTTCCACCCAAGTCCGTCAGAACTGACCACAAGCATGGGCCTGCGTACAACATTCCTCCTCAAACCGCTGGGGGACAGGATGCTAGAGAATATGTGGGCTTCTCTAATGTCCAGCCCCTAGCTCCTCAGGAAAATCAATCTGCGAAACGTCACCATCATCACGGTATCAGCAACTTGTTCCATCGACATCAGCATGAGGGCGGGACCTATCGAAAGAGACCCGAGCTACAAGAGTGGCGTCTGGGTGGAGTAGCAAGACTATTCGCCGAAGATCACAATGTTCAAGACCCAGTAAAAGCTACTGCGAATAGTCCCTGGTGGGATGGTAGAGGATCGCGAAAGAGTGTCTCAGCACAGGACGGCTCAGGGGCTTATGACGGCACCTACGACGAACCCGCAAGAGTCTTCCAGCCNCCGCTCTTCCTAAAATGCGGCCCATTGTTGCGTTATACTGGTATGCGCCGAGAGAAAGCTTCGCAGACAAACCGTACTGGTCATGTTGANAAAGAGATCTGGAGAGGCACCGTGATGATTGTCACCCAGGATGAGCACTCTTCATATGAGAATAGCCCGACGCTTCGACTGTTTGCGCAATCGATGGAGTTGTTGCCACCACCGTCGGCAGAGCACCAACGCGATCCACCGCCTGAATACCTTGATCCGATAGCTGGTCAGATGAAAATCTCTCGAACTGGACAGCCACTTTCCGTGAGACCTGTCAGTGCTCTTGAGGATTGTGTGGATCTGTCTCGTGTGGACAACGAATCTGGTCTGTTTGAGCGAACAAGATCACTCGACCAAGAATCCCAGCAAACTCACGGTCCTGACAACACGCGCAATGGATCTCGGATCCGGGCTCGCGACGGCGAGAAGGCTGGCAAGTATCGCGAAGTCAAGGCTGTTCGTCTACACAGAGAACGCGGTGTAACATTTTGGCGATTTAATCTTGAGATTGAACTTGGTCTGAAACAAGCGCGAGTTGCGTATCGAATTAATCGAGGTCCAGCGATCGGCTTCTGGGTCCCTGGGAGAGGCCAAAGTATGAACATCATGTTCCATTCTTGTAACGGTTTCAGCTTGTCCGTAAACTCGAATGAGTTTACTGGGCCAGATCCCCTTTGGCGAGATGTTCTGAACAAACACCAATCGAGGCCTTTTCATGTCATGCTTGGTGGTGGAGATCAGATCTATAACGATGCCGCCATGCGTGATACAACTTACTTCAAAGAGTGGTTGCAGACCAAGAATCCGGAGCACAAGCACAGAGCCAATTTCACAGAAGAAATGCAAGACGAGCTAGAAACATTTTACCTCGATAGGTATAGTATGTGGTTCTCACAAGGCCTGTTTGGTATGGCCAACAGCCAGATTCCAATGGTGAATATTTGGGACGATCATGACATTATTGATGTAAGTTCTCAAATGGCTGTCGGGTGTATGTGCTGACTTGTGTCTAGNGGTTACGGATCCTATCCACATCATTTCATGAGCACCAGAGTATTCACTGGCCTGGGCGCGGTTGCCTTCAAATATTACATGCTTTTCCAGCACCAGAGTGTAGTGTCTGAGACCCAACGGGATGAGCCTTCATGGGTGTTAGGCGCATCTCCAGGACCATACATAAACGAGCTCAGTCGTAGTGTGTTCATGTTCCTTGGGCGAAAGATCGCATTCCTAGGTTTGGATTGCCGGACCGAAAGAATGAGGGACGAGATTTTGAGCCAGCAAAGCTATGACATTGTGTTCGATCGATGTCGATCGGAAATTGTCAAAGGAGAGACCAAGCATCTCATTGTCCTACTCGGCGTGCCAATCGCATATCCAAGACTCAACTTCCTGGAGAACATCTTGACGTCAAGGGTTATGGACCCGATCAAGGCAATTGGCCGGACTGGTCTCTTGGGTGGCTTTGTCAACAAGTTTGACGGCGGTGTTGAGATTCTGGATGACCTTGATGACCATTGGACTGCTAAGCATCACAAACTGGAAAGAAACTGGTTCATTCAAGAGCTTCAAGAGCTTGCCGCCGACAAGTCTGTACGAATCACCATCCTTGGAGGAGACGTACATCTGGGTGCAGTAGGACAATTTTACACAAAGAAGAAGCTGGGTGTTCCTAAAGACAGAGACCATCGTTACATGCCCAATGTTGTGTCTTCTGCGATTGTCAACACGCCTCCGCCAAATATCATGGGTGATGTGCTTAACAAGCGCAACAAAGTTCATCACCTGGATGCAGAGACAGATGAGGATATGATACCTATGTTCGAGCAGGACGTCAATGGTAAGGCTCGAAACAATCTTCATCTNTTGCCTAGGCGAAACTTCTGCAGCATCAGAGAGTATATACCAGGGTACACTCCGCCTCCTTCTCCAGGCCCGGAACAGCTGCCTGTACATCCGCAAGACTATCCATCTGATAACCGTCAATACCCACCCGGTTCAATGGCAAGATCCACTTCGGCCAATCGCGGAGGGTTTCGTCCTGGCAATCTGGTGCGAAGACTCTCTGGTGCGTCAGCAAAAGAAAGGCAGCCGGCTGTCGCAAAAGGTGAAATTCGCTCGATGGAAGCCTATGGACCAAATGAAGCAAGAGGTGGTGCTCCAACACGCAGCAACGATGATGGTGGGTCGTACTTTCCTCAAGCACACTCTAGGCCGACCAACCATTTCCACAGGAGACCTACAGATCTCTCAGAGAAAGATGCTCTCAAAGCAAGTGCNAAAGGTGGACCAGAAGGCGAGCAATTCGGACATATCAACCTTGAGAGCGGCTTGGATATCTGCCTCAACATGGAGGTTGATCANAAAGATCCTGCAGGTGTTACCAGGCCGTACAGATTGTTGGTGCCTGCGTTGTGGTATGAAGGTGATTCCGACATAAACACCGCCAGATTTAAGTCAAGAGGGGCTTCCATGATAGATCGCATAAGAGGCAAATCAGTTCACAGACCAGCCAGCTCCGAAGAGTACTCCTCTGAGAGCGATGGTAGCCGAAGTAGCTCAGACAGCCTTGACGGACCAGCTCCCAGAAGACTAGATGATAGAGCACTCAACTCGAGACTGCAGACAAGTGAGCGTCACCCGGCCGCCAATAACAGAAGCAGACAAGGCTACACTTATAGTCATGATGGACCTTCTGACACACACGGACTCAACAAGGAGATTGGACCACCTCTTTCTCGTCACCGCCACCCTGCCTTGGCCGGCACAGAGAACGATAAGGCTCACGAGGCCTCACTCCAACCTCCGATTGAACCTCATCCTTCGGAGCTCCCAACTCGTGAGAAACGCTCCTGGAACCCTTTTGGACGTCGACAGCAGCATGGACCCGATATCAACGACCAGAGATCTGACGATGACTACACAGATACAGAAGGAAGTTTTGTTGAGTCAGAATTGGATGATGATCACTATCGGCAGCAGCCACGAGGCCGCAGACCAAGCATTGCGGATCGAATCTTTGGTAGAAGTGGTACACAAGGACACGAGGATAGATTGAACGTCGAAAAGCAGCCTCTTGGACAGCAGGATGTCGCGAAAAAGCCAGGATGGAAGATTTGGAAATAAGGAGTCTTTGATGGCAGACTCAGATACTCTTTGAAAAGCGTGATTGATATCAGCATTATTCTATACCCGTTGGTAATTTGCATTGTTTTGTCTCGACTTGAATGTCCACATGCTGTGATTACAATTTACAAGGTGTCAATTTCCTGTGACCTCATTATTGCTCCTGAAGCTCTCCGTACGCTATCCCACAAGCTCGCACTTCTTGCCGAACTATGTATACAGTACTGCAGATCTGGAGCAAGAAGGTGCGGGGTCATGTGGAGATGCAAATGCATACAACTGGGAACTTATTGGATCGAATAGTGCCATATGAACGGGAGAATGCAGAGGATCAACAGGTATATAGCAGTTCAAGTAGCCGCTTGATTCTCAGACGATCTCGCATCTTCATCATCCAACCTCAACATGCGGTTCCTTTCTCGCCCAACACAGGCCGATATTATTTCTCCAAGTGTGCCTTATCAAGGCAGTCTCGATACCAAAGATGAAACGAAACATGCTGTAGAGCATCGAGAGCACATCGACGCTGTAGAAGACCCTACCGAATGGAGCAAGATCAACCTGAAAGACGATGGCGATGTAGCTCAAACACTCTTTGCTACACAGGCCCATGAGCCCATTGATCCAGCCGAGGAAGCAAGAGTGGTAAGGAAGATCGATCTCATGATCCTGCCATACCTAGCTGTCTGCTACGCCTTCTTCTACATCGACAAGACGACCCTCAGCTATGCCGCCATCTTCGGCATCCGAGAAGACTTGAACATCCATGGGGAGCAATACAGCTGGTTATCTTCGATCTTCTACTTTGGCTTCTTGGCTTGGGCGCTGCCGACCAACTTTATGTTGCAGCGGTTCCCAGTTGGAAAGTACTTGGGTTTCAACATCTTCATGTGGGGAGCATTGCTCATGTGTCAGGCGGCGGCAAAGAACTTCACAACTCTGGCTGTTCTGAGAGCTCTTTCGGGAGCTGCAGAGGCGTGTTCGGATCCAGCTTTCATGATCATCACCTCCATGTGGTATTCAAGACGTCAGCAACCTATTAGGATGGGTCTGTGGTACACAGCAAATGGTTTCGGTATTGCTCTGGGTGGTCTTCTGGGTTACGGGTAAGCATTCTCAGGTTCGTGGTATGGGGGTAAACTGACGTCTTCCAGTATTGGCCACATCAAAGCAGGCTTGCCTTCCTGGAAGTTCGAATTCCTTATCATTGGCGCCCTCTGTTGTGTGTGGGGTGTAGTGATGATGATCTTCCTTCCTGACAGTCCGGTCACCGCCAAAGGCCTCAACGAACGAGAGAAGAGGATAGCAATCGAAAGACTGAGAGACAACCAGACTGGTATAGAAAACAAGCATCTGAAGTGGTATCAGGTCCGCGAAGCATTCACAGAGTACGTCTATCGTCAGAGTCAGATGAAGCCCATGAGCAGTATGGTATCGAACTTCTTGCACCGAAGTCCAGATTATTCCTCTCCATACAAGGCAGTAGTACATCACAGGACTCTCGATACTCAGTGAGGGCTCGGTCAGCTGAAGACTATACGAGCTCTCAGTGGGTACCAATAGCTCTGTAGAAGATTGCTGCCTTGCGATAGGCTATGGAAGTAGCCAACATGGCTTCGGGGAGATAATTTGTTGTCCACTATGGAACGCCATGCTAACCACACCCTCATCGCAGTTACAAGACCTACCTCTTCTTCTTGCTTGGCGTAGTGGGGAATATTCCTAATGGAGGAATAAGCAACTTCGGTACCATTATCATCAAGGGCTTCGGTTTCAGCACCTTGGTTACGACCTTGATGCAAGTTCCTTATGGTGAGTACCTACAACTCGATCTTGGTTCTTTTCTGACCGTCTTAGGCGTTTTCATTGCTATCAGTATCCTCATTTGTGTGTTCTTGAACGACAAGTTTGCATCCAAAGGTAGTCAGACAAGGTGCTACTTCATCCTTTTGTTTCTGCTGCCAAACATTAGCGGATCCTTTGGACTTGGTAAGTCTTGAATTTGAGACCTAACACAATACGTAGGCTGACACTCAGTAGCGTTCTTGGGTGCCGACAACAAAGCTGGAAGACTGATATGTTACTACCTGACCGGGTAAGCAGATTTCGATAATACGGACAACAGCATCTGACCTCAAATGCAGTCCTTACAATGCAGCTTTCGTTATGATCCTCTCTTTGACTACCGCCAACTCTGTAAGTTCGAAGGACAAGATACGAGATGCTCGACTGGGTCATTTACTGACATCAATAGGCCGGACATTCCAAGAAGGTCGTGACCAACGCCATACTCTTCCTTGGTGTGAGTACATTCCGTTTAGAATGATTTGTTCATACTGACCATTTCACAGTATTGCACGGGCAACATCGCAGGACCGTTTTTCTATAAACAATCACAAAGCCCTCGCTATGAGCTCGGTATTTGGAGCATGATTGTCAGCCACTTAATCGAGGTCTGCGTCATCCTCCTGCTGCGTTTACTCCTAAGCAGAGAGAACCGCCGTCGAGACAAAATCCAAAGTGCTCTGCCTGGCGGATTGAAGGGCAGAGACCTGAATGCGACCGCATTCGCAGATATGACTGATCGGTAAGACTGCCATGTTACTTGCAATATACCAACTCGACAAACTGACATTGCTAGTGAAAATGAGAATTTCAGGTACATTTACTGAGCTGATGATCACGAGTGGGGGATACTGGCCCGCGTGGCCCAACGATATCGTCCGTTTATTTGGCAACCTATATCTCACGGGACCCTTGATTTCGCCCGAGTTAAATACGAGTCAAGTCTGTTCATGATTTTTGTGCCGATTTTTTGTACACACAGTATTCAGTCTGACCAGAGCGATCTTCAAAATCTTGACATGAATCGTGATACGGTTGTGTACCGTCAGATGGCCATGCGAGGAGCGTGCCAGCACAACGTGAAGTTCGAGCTGAGGTCCAAAAAGTGGAGGTCGGCCGATGAAGGAGATCACCGCGGTTGCAAGCCACAAACATCAGTGCGCATGTGATTGGCTCGGCTATCTGCAGCCTGCTGCGAATCTGGGCGACGACAACCTGACCCTTCAAGTTCCTGCCAAGAACGCGACATAATCGTGCAAACGACGAAGCGTACCAAATATCCGCAGGATTTTCAGGCCATCTCACCCGAGGCTAGACTGCTGTAGCATGTTTTCTCACGATCAGTCCGGACGTAATGGTCACATTGCTCGATAACCTGCCGCTACCATCCAAGACGCAAAGCACACGAATATTAATTATACATGATCGCAGTTTCGCAAAGATGCTATTGACAAGCACGATGCCTCGATTTTCGAGATAGCAATTGATCCGGGGTGGCTACTTTATGCGATCAAAGTGAACACTGACGTAGATTTGAAAGAAACCAGGCCATTTTCAGGGTGCTTTAGGAGCGAATTTGGTTTCAGCGCATATCATGATACAAGTTAGCAAAATCGACTGCGACCGGCGAATACGTAGACAAGAACTTCGCAGAGAGCTATAGACATACTTGAGCGTTTGCTGTCTGACAATTTCCGAAAGTGCAGTCGTGAGGTATCCAGCCGTGTGCCGGGCTCGCAAGAAGGTTATCTCTTTTGGACGAATTGTGGCCGTTGGAAGCCGAGAAAATACAATCGACTTTCTTCATCATCTTGCATACGAGGAACCGTAGACAGCTTCGTGAGAATCGCACGGAGGGTTTGGTGCAAGGTGAAAGATGATCATATGAGAACGGGATTAAGATCAGAGGTCTTTTGATGTTGTCAGATGGGACCGGCAAGGCGGAAGCGACTGTGCAATCCTTGGCATTGCAAGAGTATCAATGAGGGATCAAGAGAGGGTGTTCGAATTTAGGTACAGTAACAATAAAGACGGCGATTACCAGAGACGGGCAGGGGGCTCTGATTCGATGAGCTTCACATCATCAATGTTCACTTTCTTTCTGCCTCCCTCATCATTCCTGCCATCGACTTCTTGACCACGCTTCCCCCAATTTTTGTTGCAACCAAACTCTGCCCCGACGTTCTCGCCCTCGCTTGAATTTCCGCTTGCCGGTACATTCAAATACCCTAACTGACACGCGCGCGCAACCAGCTTCGTTCGGGCCAGTACCCGTGCTCTCCGACACGCATGTTGTCTCTCATACTCTCTTGACATCGTTCATCCCTTCTTGATCATTGCCCATCTACCCTCACCAGTGTCGTATGATACTTCCCTAACATTTGTGCTCCGCTCGTCGGGATAACTCCCAAATACATCTAACTCATCTCGTCCGTGGAGCAGTCCGCCAGCATCTCGACGTTCTGGCTGGCGTCGCTGGCTTCACGACATGGAATCCCGCGCGTCCAGCGCCATGAATGATGCAGGCTCTGGCTCTCCTGTTGAGCCATCTGGCAACAACTCCATCAAAGCCGAGACTGTAGCAGATGATACACCACATGAAATCATGNNAGGTGCTTCGCAGACTCCAGCTCCTACCAATACTGATCAGCCCACCGAATCAAATTCACGACAGTCATCATCGCGGCCAGTGGATACTGCATCGGCACAAAATTTCTCGGATGTCGCAATGGGCGACGCGATGCCTTATGGAACACGCTCNGCGCAACCGCCCTCGACCAAATTATGCAGAGGATCAAGATATGGATTTCGAAGTCCCCCCGCCACCAGCNNCAAGCCTGCATCTGGCAAAAACGCCACGGTCGGTGATTCGAAGCGGAATCCACAAGTAAATGCTGAGACTAAAAAGGCCAATGTTGATCCTTCATTTGTTCGAGTCAATGGTATGGACTCGGATGAGAGATCACCATCTGTCTCTGGAAAAGAAACGATTCCAGGAACCTCCTCTTTCTCGACCGTCCCCCCGAAAAAGCGCAAGGCAGCCGGCGCCGCCAATACTGCCATTGTTGCATCTGGATCCGGTAACACCACTGCAAATGCGGCTGCGCAACCCACTACGAAGCGACCGGCAACTTCCATTCCGTTGGCAAACATGTCTCGTGAGTCTAACATGATGACTTTCGAAAAGTCAAAGGGAGTTTTGAAGAAAGGTGGACTTGTAGCGGACGACGGAACAGTATTATACGTCGATGGTAAGAATGTCTCATTATCGACTTCTTGCTGATACGGCTGACGAATTATGTCCNNAGATCACGTATATCTCGTCTGTGAACCACCTGGCGATCCTTATTATCTCTGCAGGATCATGGAGTTCTTACACACTAATTCTGATGATCCGAAATCTCCCGTGGATTCGATCCGGGTGAATTGGTTCTATCGTCCACGCGACGTACAGCGACTCAACAACGACAGCCGTCTTGTATACGGTACCATGCACTCTGACGTTTGTCCCCTCACATCCCTACGTGGAAAATGTCAGATTCTCCATCGGTCAGAAATTGAGAATCTCGATGAGTACCGCAAAGGTCCGAATTGTTTCTGGTTCAGTCAAATCTTTGATCGCTTTATTCGCCGGTTTTATGAAGTTATCCCGACTTCACAAATTATTAATGTTCCAGACAAAGTCAAGCGAGCCCTGGATGAAAGATGGAAATTCATCGCTGTAGAAACCAACAGAGTCAAAGAGCTCACAGCGGCTGTCAAGCTTTGCAAACGGTGCACTCAATACTGCGCAAGGTACGAACATTGCACGCGACTGACAGAGCTTATCATTAACCTGACTTACAGCAATGACTCTGTTGACTGCGCGATATGCGGCAACTGCTATCACATGAATTGTGTCAGACCTCCCTTACCCAAAAAGCCCACGCGTGGTTTCGCTTGGGCATGTGGTCCTTGTGGTCGCGCCGCTGAAAGAAGACTCGAGGCACGCAACACTCCTCTTGGTGGCATCGATGAAGAAGAAGAAATCGTCGAAGAAGAGGAAGAAGATCCAGCGTTGGCAGCGAGCACTCGAGCACCGAGTCCCAGTGGCCCTGATGTACCTACTGACCATCACCCTGGTACGCAAGCTGAGATCGCCATGGCCAAAATGTGGCCTTTCAGGTACTTAGGAATTCACTGCAGAGTTGAGGATGCGCTGCAGTACGACGATCGTGCTATTTACCCGAGAGCTAGCTCGCGTTTGGGACCACGTCATCAGGCGAATGTCAACGTGTGGCATGGCAGGCCTGTCGAACTTGTAAAGCCAGCTGATATCAAAAAGCGATTCGTCAAAGGTGGAGGCCAGAAGAAGGACACAAAACTCACAAAGGAAACTCTTGCTGCGATTGAAGCGGATCGGAAAGAACGAGAGAAGCGTCCGAAATGGGTCCAAGACGAACCTCCTGGTTACGTTCACCGTGGAGAGGATTACGATAACGACGACCCGAGGAACACGGCCAGACTTATGTTCAAAATGCCAGACGAAGACGACGAACACGCTCCTGCTTCAAGCGAAGCTTTTATCGACAAATTTATGGACCGCGTCAAAGCTACTGCAAAGTCACTCAAGGTCACGACTTGGGGCTCCAATCTCCAAGACAAAGCGCTTGAGTTATTGATCCAAAACAAATACGACGCAGACAAGGCAATTGAACAACTTTCCAAGGTCGATCGCGTCAAGGATCTTAAGGAACCCATACTCACACCAGATGAATTGAAGAAATTCGAGGATGGTGTGACGAAGTACGGTTCAGAGCACCGATTGGTCCGACTTCATATGAAGACCCATCATCCTACATCTACAATTATTCGCTTTTACTACCTATGGAAGAAAACGCCACGCGGCCGACAAATATGGGACAACTATGGCGGCCGCAAAGGTCGGAAGCGCCAGAATATGGATCCTGCTGGTAAACTTCAAGCCGAGGTCGCCGATGATTTGGACGATTCTGCTTTCGACACCGACAAAGCTCGAACCCAGAAGAGAGGATTCCAATGTAAGCATTGTTCTACGCGACACTCTCGACAGTGGCGCAGAGCTCCTGGTGTTACTCCTGGCCAGACCGTACCTTCCGGCGAGGGCAAAGCGAGCAAAGACAAGAGCAATCGTCTGCTCCTGGCACTGTGTGGAAGATGTGCCGGACTTTGGAGAAGATACGCGATTGTCTGGGAAGACATTGATGAGGTTACCAAGAAGGCTGTCCAAGCTGGTGGACGCGCTTGGAAGCGCAAGCTCGACGAAGAGGTTGTACGCGAAATCTTGGCTTCCAATGAGGCTGCATCGGTAGATTCGACCATCGTCGTTCAGTCAGTCGAAGGAGCGGAGCCACCCAAGAAGAAGACCAAGGTTGCTTCTGATGGCGCCGAGAAGAAGAAGGCACCAAAGCTTCCGACGCCACCTCCTCCACCCATCGTACCCGACCAGCCTAGATGGAGAGAATTACCATGCTTTGTCTGCAACGTCCTCGATTCAGCAGGCGAACGCCCCATCGTGTGTTCGCACTGCAAGCTTAGCGTACACAAGAGGTGTTATGGTCTCTCGACTCAGATTGTGCCGACTAAATGGGTCTGCGACCAGTGTACCAACGACAGAACGCCAGCAGTGTCCACTGAGTATATGTGCACACTGTGTCCGATCGAAGAGACGACACATGAGATGCTTGAGGCGCCTAGAGTCACTCACAAGAAGAAGTCAGACCGTGAGCGCGAGAAGGAGAGATTGGAGAAAGAGCTCATGGACAATGTGCAACTGGAATACAACAAGAGGCAGGCCAGTCTCAACCGGCCCAGCAAGCCCAGAGAGCCGCTGAAGCGCACTGATGGCAATAATTGGGTCCACGTCCAATGCGCGATTTGGACGCCCGAAATCAAATTCAGCGAAGCGAGCCTCTTGGAAAGGGCTGAAGGATTCAGTGCTATCCCATTAGAACGGTACGAGGCGACATGCAAGGTTTGCAAGAAAAACAACCACGGCGCTTGTGTCTCTTGTCTGCAATGCCGTGCCAACTTCCACGTTGGCTGCGCGATCCAGGCTGGGTACACACTGGGTTTCGACGTGACGCCAGTCAAAAGCTCTCGTAAGGATCAAGTCATCACAGCAACTATTGGCGAAGAAACTGGATCTCTTACAGCCGCCATCTGGTGCAAGGAACATGCAATCAAGACCCCCGTACACCCCATCAGCGAGGTGGCTGACGACAAAAGTCAAAATGCTTTACAAGTGTTTGTTGAGAACTACAAGCAGGCGGATCCAACGCTTACTGGAACTGCCCGAAAGGCAAATCTGCTCAGTCAATCGACGAAGCTAGCCTCGCAAGCAGTTTCGGCAAATGCAGCAGCTAATCGTCGTATTTCGACAGCCAGTAACATGGCACGATCGGCGCGCGACTCACCAGCAGGAGCTTCCAGGACTGAGGAGTTGGATGGTACCAGCTCTGCTGAAGATGAGCCTACAAAGACTTGTCTTAAGTGTCAAACCGATACCAGTCCCAGATGGTGGACTGCCGAAGAGACTTTGAAGAGAGTTCAAGCTCAGACTCCCGTTACAACACGCAGTGATGACAACGTCAAGGGCTACAGATGCAACAGATGCCACTTCAAGCGGGTCAATGCTCCACAAGAAGCATCGCCGTCACCATCCGCAACTCGAAAAAGAGTCTCCCTATCACCCCCGAAACAGTTTCCTCTTCAGATAGGATGGGGCACTGGAATCGCAAACCAAACCCCTCAGCCACAGGTGCAGACTCCAGCACACGCNAGCAACGCCAGTGCAAACAGCAGGGCCAGCTGAGGCAACGGGCCAGATGCAACCACCGGCACCTCAGACCCAGACATTCCCCGGACCATACCCAGTGTCGCATCCCCAGCCAAACGGCTACACCCCAGGCAGTATGCCACCTTATGGCCNACGGCACGCCACCTACCTTTGCACAGCCAAGTAATCAACCACAGACCCAACGTCACCCCTCTTCCCATGAGCAATGGAATTCACGGAGTGCATCATCAGCATCATCCGCCAACTCTAGCGCCGATCACTAATGGGCAACAAACTCCTGGCGGTAATCTTGGACATGGTACTCCACCTCCAGGACTTGTCCGAGCAGCAACACCACGAGACGGATCAGTGGATGTGAGAACGAACGGGGCCAGTGCAAGCCCTAGTCTAAGGAACTTGTTGCATTAATATTGATAGCTATTGATGATGGGTCAGACGGGGTTTGTGGATGTGTACATCATTGATGGACGACCAAAGTAGTCGAGACCAAAAGCTGTATTAGCAAGGTCAATTGACTTATTAATTAAAGTTTGCCACCAGTTGTTCAGAGTATCAGGTGTTGTAAGAGTGACCAGAGAGGATGTGATGATGCTGAGTTCCTCGGGTAGATTGGCCGAACGGTCACGTGGGTGGGCGGAGGTTGGAGGCGCGGGTAAGGCCGAACCCATGCTTTCTGTCACTTTGAACGACAGTGCCAGTGACAGAGACATTGGCATCGCTGTCATAAGGATGGGTGCGTATTCATGGCCAGGCCTCGGCACCAGACAAGCTTGCTGATCCATTGTTATAGGCAAAGCATACCCCGAAGAGGCACGCAGCCAAGTCAAGCAGCTGCTGCAGCAAGGTGTCGCCGAGGATGAGATAGAGAAACAGACGGGCGTGTCCGACAGGACTATTCGCCGCTGGAAGGTAACCCACCGACTCTCTGCAACCATATATCATCGTCGTCTAAGACTGAAATGCTAGCTCGAACTCGAACGCTATGGACGCATTGGCAAGCCGCCGGAGAGCCGCACTGGACGGCATCGTGTCATGAACAAGGACGTCGAGCAGGCCTTGTTCGATCGCGTCGCCCAGAAGCCCGACATGTCCGTCGATGATATGCTCTGGTGGCTGTACGACACATATAAACTCGTCGTCGGAACCCGCACCATTCGCAGAGCCTTTGAGCGCCGTAACACTTCACACAAGAAGTTCCGCACCGATGCACGCAAGCACTTCACCATTGATATGGGCGTCGACATGGACTTGGACGACGATGTTGACGTACATGTCGACACTCAGCACCATGATGACCATAANCTCCATGCAGAATGTTGTCCAAGATCCCACCCCGTGCCTGCTCCTCAAGCACACATGGCCGTGTCACAACCAGACACAACCTATCAGAGCCCGTATGCTCCGCTAATGGCCATGGCTGACGCTACCGACGACAGTGGTCAACCGCCTCCGCCAGACATTGGTCCCGAGCTAGCTCGCGCTCTGGGAGGCTTGACCGAGTCTACTACCATGCACCAAGACCTGATGCCCGACCATATGGGCCCTCTGTCCGAGGACGAAGAGACTCTGCAGTTGCAGCTTCAGCAAATCATGCTGCAGAAGAAAGAAGTCGAACTCAAGATCAAGATGCGTCGTTTGCGCCAACGTCGTGAATCGCACACTCCAAATGATGATTCTTTGTTCGATCACCTTGATGTTGACACGACCTCGACCTCGCACATGCATCCTGACTCCACTGCAAACAACGATCCATTTGCTCCACAATCGATCACCACACCAACCTCCTCGACGACTCCCAAGCCTCGCGATTCTCGCAGCAAAAGCAAGGTTCAGGAGGCTCGCAAACGCACCGAAGAACGTCAAGAACGCATGTTGAAGGATCTGGAACGTCGCAGTCGCCGTCGCGAGCATCTGACCGCTGAGTGGGTACAGAGCCGGGATGTTTGGGCAAAGGGCCCAGAGAAACTCTTGGTGCAACTGATGCATAAACACTCGACGTATGCATACAACCAAAACTCTCTCGAGACGTTCGAGGCCATCTTCGCGGAGCTGTACCACCTAGTTGATCACACTGAGTGGTATGCGCCAGTGCATGATGATCTGTTACGTGAGCGTACTCGTCGCAAGATGAGCCAGCTTCGTAGTAAGATGGTGAAGAGTGGTGAGATCATCAGTCGCGGCGAGGGTTATGGTGGTTGGACCAAGCCCGATGACCACGATGCTCTGGCTGGTGCATCTGATCTTACTGGAACCGGACCTGAAGATTCTAGTCTTGATTTGTCTCAACATCACCAGATCAATGGCTTATCTATGGATCTACACACCCATGATTCTAACCACGATGCACTCATGGCACGCGACGCAATGATGCAGCACGATCACTCCATGCTCGAACACTTGCAAGGCAATACCGCCGACTTGCACCACACAGATTTCGACCATGATCAGCTAGCACGTCATCAGAACGAGCTGCTAGCACAGCGCGGCATCGCGCATCAGGAACACATGTCCAACCAGCGTGCCATTGAGGAAACCATGGCTGCTGGACTAGCCTCAGTCTGAAAAGGAACCCAGAAGTTCATCTTCATTGCTAAAACGAGCTATCATGTACGAGCTATGGCTGCAAGGAAATGGCTTTATCGTTACGAACACTTGCATGATGATCAATGACTTTCATATTGTTCGTCTGGTAGATGCTTATCATTAATTTGCTTCAATTACAACTCTTCTCTCAAATGTGGTTTTTGTGCCTTCATGTGCTCGTTCATTGCGACTTCCTAAATAATTATGCTTAATAATTGCGTCAGTCTAGCACCCTCTTTCCGCTTCTTCGGGACAGCAGCTTCCAACCTTGGAACATCTTCAATCTTTGGATGCGACAAGGGCATTCAAGCAACAATCTCGCAACTTGACCATCGCTGGACATTCTCGAACCCACCAGCATCTGCACTGATAGTACTCGACACTGGCCACGCTTCTTACGTCAAACTCGATCTAAACTCACCAGCTCGGGACAGCGAACAATAACCACCATGGCCGACGCCACACCAGCAGCACCCGTCGTCTTCAAGAAGCGCGCAGGACGAGCCAACCTCAAGAAACGCGCCGCAACCCCTCCCTCAGCCTCCGACTCCGAGTACAGCAGCTCCGAAGACGAGCACGGCGCACGCGTAAAACGACGTCGCAAAGGCGGCATCACAACCTCCACATCCGCCATCACCAAACCCACTCGCGATCTAGGCAAAAGCACACAATTTGCCGGCGACCGCAGTGCAGCAATTACAAACTTGGACGATGCGACAAAGACGAGTAATTGGTTCCATGCCGATGAAGCTGCCAGAGCTGGCCAACAACAAGAAGAGAATGTAGACAAAGATGGTACCTACAAGGGCGCNAAAGGCTATGGAAACTTTATACAGAAGAATCCTGATAAGTTAGGAAAGAGTGTTGGGCCGGTCAAGGCACCGACGAATATGCGTATGATCACACTCGTCGACTTTGCGCCTGATGTGTGCAAGGACTACAAGCAGACTGGATTCGTAAGGTACCCTCGATTCTGATATCAAGAAACACATCACTAACACAAAACACAAACANNGTGTGGTTTCGGCGACAGCTGCAAATTCCTCCACGCAAGAGAAGACTACAAACAAGGCTGGCAACTCGACAAAGAATGGGAAAAGGCAGGAAAGTCAAAACANAAAGGCACCACCGTCGCCTCTGCAAACCGTTCAGGCACAGACCAAGCCGAAGACTCTGACGACGACGAAGAAGTCAANGAGTTGGAAAAGATNCCCTTTGCGTGTATTATCTGCAAGGAACCTTATAAGAGCCCCGTGGTCACTAAATGTGGCCATTACTTCTGTGAGGCTTGTGCGTTGAAGAGGCATAAGAGTAAAGGTGGCAAGCAGTGTGCCAACTGTGGTGCTGATACAGGTGGTACATTCAATGTGGCCAAGAACTTGAGGAAGTTGTTGGACAAGAAGCGGGAGAGGATTCGCAAGAGGAAGGAAAAGGCGAGGGAGAATGGAGAGGAGGTTAGCAGTGATGAAGAAAAGTGATTGGCAAAATATCTTTGGAGCGTCTGGCTCTCATGGGAGAGTAGGAGCCATGTCTTGATGGCTCAGGCAAAATATTATTTTGGCTTAACTGAGCAATTGGCAAACAACGTGTCGCTTTTCTCATCCTGTCCTCTCGTGGTTGTGTATATGCACTACCTTTCCTTCCCTGATCACTTGTTAGACCCTTCTCGACCGTGTTTCTCTGACTCGATGATACAAAATGTCACATGGTGTAGATAAGATATGATCTTTCCTCCCCGTGTGCTATAGACAGTCACATCTTGCAACTAACCCCTTCTGCATCTCGAGCTATGATGGTTATTATAAGCTATCGAAATGCACAGTTACGATTCGAGTTCAAGCCTGACCATTGAGATGGCCTTCACTGGGGTTGTCTCTGCGGGGACCGTACTGTGTATCTCTACAGCTATACTCTGACTGTCTTTAGCACATGGGGAGGTTGGGCTGAGCTGGGGTGCTATCATAGTAATATGTTGATTTTCGTCTTGGTCTCTTCTCGAGGTCGACCTCTGGGTATATCGCTCCTGCTGCTCACTGAGAGCATATTATAGCTTAGCAACCATCATCCTCTCCGGATGTTTTCTCCTGTCTCGTCCTCCCATACGCATGTGCTACTCTCACTGCGTGCATCCACTCGACCCGTCCCCTCTTGCTCGGCCGCGCTGTCCCTCGGCTTGCTTCTTTTGTTTCCAGCTCTTCATCTCGAACCGTTGAGGCCGATGTTCTTGACTCTTTTGGCGAGCTGCTCTCCGTCACTGCCGTAGCCCGATGCCGCGCTGCTGTTGGACCACTCGTTTGGTCTCTTTGGTCGACGGTCACCNNGCTTAGCTCAACGATAGTCAGCAGGGATTTCCAGCCTATTTACAAACACGCACACCCAAACGTCAGCCAAAATCTTCCTCTTCAAAAAAGCAAATACGTATCCAAAACACTACATGTCAAGGATCGTTTGGAGTGTGGCCCAACCTGGTGTTTGCTGCAACGCTGCACCGAGGCTCGTGTCCTTCTGCGTTGCCACTTGACAGAGAAGACGGAATTCGTCCTGTGAATTATTAGCTTACTTTCATGCGAGATTCTCATCACAACATACCTCGCTCAAAACGCCCATGGTATGAACAAAACATAAGGCGTGGAAGTCTGACATCTTCTGAACTCCATCGGTGGTGTCGAGTCTAGCCGCTTTGCTCAAAAAGCTCTTGAGAGCTCTGTGCTCCTGAGATTGTCCAATCATCTCTCTGTTCTCTACAATAAATCCCTCCTCACTGGTGAACAAAGGACTTGCTTGTAAGGGGAAACCGTGAGTAAGTGTGACTAATAGATAGTCGACTGGGAAAGAAGGCTTTGCGTTTTCTTGCACGTTCGCTCCGTACTCGTTAATGCGACGATAGAAGACCTCGGGAATGTAGCGTGTACGGCCCAGCTGGTTGTCTTCGTCCTCATCGCGAACTAGCATTACTGTTGGGTCGGCGGATGGTTCGATGATATCAGCTCTTGTCATTTCCACAGCAGAATCGGATGCTTGATAGGCTTGGACAGCAATCTGATCCTCATCGTCACCAGTGATGATGCAGGTGACGAAGTTGGATCCGAAAGAGCCTGTCTCACTCCATCTCGAGGGTCGCGGGTACTTGGCTTGATATCTCGAAGCGAACATGATCTCCAGCGACGAGAAGTAGTAAGAGTCTGCATGACGTTTGCAAACAACAGTACCGTCACCTTTGCCAGAGTCAATCAGATCAGTGAAAATGACACCGACCCGCTGGAGGCCGCAGAGCGACGCTACTCGGTCGATCTCGTTTTCATTCGCCCAATCGTTCAGTGTCACACCGTCGAGCTCGTCGACCTGAGGAGGCTCGTAGATGGCCTCGATAACAGCCTTTGTGCCAAGAGGGATCTCAGAGTAGGGTTCGTAGCGACCGTACATAAAGCCAATCCTTTGCGCCGCCGAGTTTCGCCAGAAATCTAGGATTTTGTTGATGATTGCAGGGGAAGAGAACTCGACGTGGTCGACCATACGGTATGGCTGAGGTTGGAGAGTGATAGCACTAGGCTGACACTTTGTGCAAATACCAGCAGGGAAAGGTTTGTGGCCAGAAGGGCAGTTCGGGTTCACACGGTAGTAGGGTTCGGTGAGCGGAGGCATCCAGGAACTTCCAGACTCGTACTTGTTCTTGCCTTGATTCATCTTGCGAAGGTATGCGTGGTACGAGAGGTGCTTGATCTTCTTCTCAGCCAGGTAGCCAGCATCGTAGGGCTCAATAGGTTGACAGTGGTCGCACATGCCGTTGGGCCCATGTCTGCACATTCTCGTGTCGCGAGGTCTCTTGATCTTGCCATTTTCCTTGTCTAGAGCGTCATCGAGTGGCAACTGCTTGACTGTATCCCAAGGGTTATCCACGCGTGTCTGGGCGGTCAGATTAGGGATGGCGACGGTGGCGGTATCTTGAGCAGTGACTTCCTTTCCATTCAGTCTGTAGGCGTTGGATGGAGCAGGTGGCTGGCCGTTAGTTGGGGCTTGACCTTCGCTGAACTCGATGAAGATTTGAGCACCATTGCTAAAAACTGTCAGTGATGGTTCGTATTGAGGATACAACGAGACACACGCAAGGCCGAGTTTCTGCACAGTAACGCCCTTGAGACTCTCAAGAGATCTTGCTTGGCCACCACGTTGTGGACTAATAGAGACTGATGAAGGGAGGGCTTCGGGAGTGAGCTTCTCGATGATCTGAGGGAGTAGAGAGGCGAGGTCTGTTGAAGGCTCGACAGTCAAGCGAAACTGGCCAATACGACTGGAGAAGCGTAAGATCATGGTGGGTAATGTGCTTGGTAAGGTCGAGCTCGAGAGTGGAAGAGAGGAAGGAAGGCGAGGTAGAGAGGTGAAAAGAGGGCCGAGGTTCAGAGAGTTGCTTCCAGTGAAAATGGGTTGGTCAAGTCTTTCGAGTAAGTGATGGAAGGTGCTATTGTGAGGGCCGCAGCTTCCTTGACATGACGTGGTGAGAACGGGGCTACAGAGGATTAAAGTCCGAGCCACCTTGCACGTCGCAGTCTCGGAAGTGAAAGTCATTAAACCCTCTTGAAATCACATCCATCCACACATTCGCAATCATGGTTGACTGGGTTGGTCTCCTGATTCCCCTGGCATATTTGTCCATCCTCATAGGTTCTCTCGCCACATTCAGCTCTCTATACCGCCGTCGCAAGGCTCAAAAGTCCGCCAACCTTGCGCCATGGTTCCCTCCCCACCTGCAACGTAACATCTACCTGTCGCTCTTGCATCTCGACCCTCAGGACTCCTCATCAACCCCCGAAGGCTCCGAAAAGTCTTTGAGCCAAATTCCTGACAGCATCATCCGTGCTGCCCTTTTGCGACGCGCCGTCGAAGACATCCATCGCATCATTCAGATCCGCAACGCAAAGCCCGCCCTTCAGACACTACTACAAAGAGGAAGCGTCGGAGACGAGCTATGGCAGCGTTTCCAGAGAGCCGAGCAAGAAATTGAGGAAGAGGTCAAGGATGTTGTGTCTGAGGTAAACTTTCACCTGTCATAACCTATTTTCCATGTGTCCACACTAACCACCATTCAGGCCAACGCCCTTGTGCCAAACTGGGGTCAAATCATCTTCCAATCAGCCAACGAGATCGCCAACAACCAATTGGCCAAGCAACGCATGGAGGACATTCAGTCCAAGCTGCCCGAGGAAAAGGCCTGGTGGGACAAGAAGAAGCAAGGAATCCAGTCCCAATTCATGAAGGAGCTCGACGATGAAGCTGCTGGCAGCAGAAAGGGCTCAGTCACCTCGACTTCGAACAACAGCAGAAAGGGCTCGGTGGCTTCCGTCGCTGGTCAAAATGAGGATGCCGTCTTGGTCGAGACACCAGGCAGCGCGAAGAAGAAGAGCAAGAAGTAAACGACGTGTACATCTTTGTGCTGGCTCAGACCAATTTTTCCAAAGACATCCATCCTTCCCTCTCTGAGGAGTCCTGTTCAATTCATCAAACGGCATTCCTACAAAATCAGACACCGAAAAAGTCATGCATGTGCTAGGGGGGAGCTGGAGGCTTTCATACCTCCCCGTGTACAAAAGTCTGTAACTCCACCGTACTCCGACTATAGTTCAGAGCAAAATCTAGACTATAAAAAGGCACAATTGTTATCAGAAGCAGATCGTGTCCACAGAGAGTCGACAACTTGTTGCCTCTCAGTGGATACTATCTTGTTTTCTATTACTATTCTGCATTTCTACAGGTATACGCGTTACACACTCTAGTGCACGGTGAGGTAGGGTTCAAGAGAAAGAGCTGAGGAGAGAAAATAATCAAATGCATGCTACGTCTTTACGACGAAGCGGATATCAATGTATAGTCCGAAAAACGATGTAACAACCGCTCTTAGTGAGACTGGACCTAGACGCCCTGCTGTTTCCAGACCCGATCAAAAAAATCAACAAACACCACGCCATGCTTCTGCTAGAAAAGTCGTAAAGGTTCATCAGTTACCGCCCTTGGGTGACTGCTTCCGCTGCTTGATGGTCCTGGGGGTCGCATTCACGACAAGGAAATGGCTAGCCTTTGGGTCGTAGAAAGCTTGTACATCCAATGTCAAGATTGATCTGCTGCCCTTAAGCTGAATCAATCCTTGAACGACGAAGCTGCCTCTGGGTGGCTCCATCTTCTTGGGCATCTTCCCCTGAGCCAAGGTAGCCTGGAATATGTGTTGAGCTATCGGCATTTCTATGCTCGAAGGTGGTTGCGGCACCTTGGCTGCCCATGGCAATATCGATGAGGCACTGGTTTGTGACTTGTCTGCTTCTGGCGTTCCAGCACCCGTTTGTGTTTTTGCCTGTTCGGCCTGCTGAGCCTGTTGGGCCTGCAACAACTGTAGCAATTGTTGGTACTTAGCGTCTTGGCTGCCGGGCGTAGAATCGACTTCCCAGCCCAGCAACTGTTTNNCCAGACGATGGTACTGGAAACCAAGAAGGACTTTTGCGCTGTTGTACAAGCCGTTGGCGGCAGCTGTGGGCCATAGAGTACGGATTATTCGGTGTTGCTGCTGGGCATCAATGCGCTGTAGGGCGTATGCGATATAGTCAGAGCCGACTTCGATGCCGGCACGAGCATACTCCTGAGGAGGACCGTCTGGGAAGATGATGTCGAGCCAGCACTGGCCGACCTTGGTGTCGCGGCCGAGTTGTTTGACGAAAGCTGGGTGCTTTTGGGCGGTGTCGTAGACTATCTTGACCAACTCNNGGCTATACAAAGGTCAGTATGTTGCGGGTGTATACAGCGATAAGGGATGATTACATTGAATCTTCTTGTGGCGAGCCTTGTCTTTCGAAACCTTGACGAACTCTTGCCACTCTGGATCGGAGCCTTTGTAGAATGAACGAGGCAATTTCTTGGCCCAGGTCAGGGGAATGAAGAGAGAGTTCTCGTCGGCGAAGTCTGAATCAGATATTTGAACTTCCCCCTCTTCGCCCTCCTGTATCTCAATCTCGAGCTCCGGGAAGAAGTACCAGGTGTATCCGACGAGACATGATGTGTAAAGAAAGAAAGTGGCGATGCGTAGAGGGGTAAAGAGCGGTGGAGGCAAGAAGCGGACGGTATGTGATTTGACAGATTCGTTCGGCTGTATAAGACGGCGGAGGTGTGCGGTGGTGCTGAGTGGACGGCGGTAAAGAGTCGAGGGGCGTGGTAATGATCTGAACTTTGGCGCGGCGCGAAACATTTGGACAGAGTGATGAGACAGGTGATGCGAACAGAGACGACTGCCGCTACGGCGCGAGATGAAATTCAGGAACACGGCGCTTTGATGAATGACGATGACGGGTTGCGGGAGTCCTCACTCGTTGGTCGTGGGAGAAGCGGAGGGCGGAGGCGGCGTGCCAAGGCGCCGACTGACGTTCCATCATAGGAAACCTACGAGTACTGAGTGAGCTCGCCCATACCGATAGATAATCAACCCTATCACAACCAGCAAGCATGAGACTGGCTCCGTGTGTCTTGCTGTCTGCAGCAGTTGCTGCTGTCGAGGCCTCTTCTGGCTTCCTCCACATCTACAACGACCAACCAAGTGTGAGCGACAAGCAGCCCATCACGAGTCTCAAGGCCGACGCCGCCCGCCTGGTCATCGCCTCGCGACTGGGTCTCGACCGATACCACTCCCTCCAAGGACAGTCCGAATCTGCCCTGCAAGAAATCGATCGCCTTTCTGGACAGTCATCCTTCCTTTCGTCCAACGATGCCTCAGTCGCCTTCATCGTCTCGACTACCGACGACGACCTTCCTCTCTCCTTTACCGAATCTGCCAACCTAGAGACCATTCAGATCAAAGACTCTCCCGACTTCAAAGCTGCAGAGAAGCTCCTCAAGGATCTCGCCCATCAATCTGGCATCGACGAATTGCACCATGTCCAGCACTCTACCGTCTCCTCTGACGCTGGCCCTGCTTTCAGAATCGCTCAAGACTCGCGGGTAAGTACACATCTTGTCGAACCATATACCGTCCTCCTCCTAACTGTGACANNGGCACTTGGCGAAGCCTTTGGGACTCTGTCCAACCAATACGACACTGTTCTGATACTCTCTGTACCCAAAGCCTCNAAAAAGAACACATTCGGCTCTTACGATGGTCTAGCCAGCTCACACCAAAAGCGCTACGTCAAGGAGGCTCCTCTGATCACCGAGGTCACCAAGACCGCTTCTCACCTTAAGGCCACCTTGACCCCAGACGCTTCTTCCAACAAGACCTACAACCAGACCGCTCCTCTCAGAGGTATCCTGCCTGGCTGCTTCGCCTCCCTGTCCGCCTGCCAATCCATGACTCGCAACTGCACTGGCCATGGCTCTTGTGTCTTGTCGCACACCGACAAGGACGCTGGCGACTTGGGCGGCAAGTGCTACTCTTGCGCCTGCAAGGCCGAAGTCCGCACAAACTCCGACGGCACCAAGAAGACCACCCGCTGGGGCGGTCCTGCCTGCCAGAAGAAGGACATCATCATGCCTTTCTGGCTCATCAGCTCCTTCTCCGTCTTCATGGTCTTCCTCGTTACCTGGGGTGTCGGTCTGCTCTACACCATGGGTAGCCAAGAGCTCCCTAGTGTCATTGGTGCTGGTGTCTCTGGCCCTGTTAGAAAGTAGAGGTGTTCTCTGTCTCTTTGCCTCGCATCCCTCGTCATCTCATTCAATCCCTGTCGTGCAAAACTCATGTAGATATATACCAATTTGATTGTTTTGTTATGTTCAAAATATGCTTCGTTGAGATGTTGGTGTGTTGATGACAATCTGTCAATCGTTCTCGATTCCAGGTTCAAGTCGATGGGACGACCCTGCCCTCTTGATCACCAAACACATGAAGCTCGTGGCAGCAGAGATATCGTCTGAATCATGACTTATCCCAGGATGAATTGGTGCTCATATGCAACTGCAGCCTCGCCGAGAAGTTGTACAGGCCTTTGACGATGAAATAAAAAATAACACAGCAACGCAGTCACTATTGGTCTTAGACACAAACTTGTGTATTGAATACATACTCAAACGAAGATATCACAACCCGGCAATTAAAGAAATGAAGCGATAGAATACATGAATATGTATACACTACTACGTATGCTTATCATCATAATACATCTTTCCGCCATCCACCCACTCCTTTCCAATCTTCTCTGCCTCCTCAACACTCAACCCCAATTCATCTCTCTTATCATCCGTAATCCTGCCCCATTCCAGCAAAAGCCTAAACATATAAATCTCCATATCCTCTTTTCTCAGTACCTTGTTAGCCCACTCTCGTCCCGCGTCGGCGATATATTCGCCTTGCTTGTCGTGAGCAGGCAACATGATCTGTTTCCCTTGGACCTTGCCTTGAAGTCCCATAAAGTAAACTAGGGTGGCCCAGAATCCATGACCGCGGAGATCAAGAGGTACGAAGTGGAGCCATGGTGTCAGTCTATCATCCCACCACTCGCGGAACAATGCTGCTTTGAAGGGTAAACTGTGGGACTGCAAGAAAGGGATGAAGCGACCAGAGAAGGCAGCGCCATCGAGGTCGAGCAAGTAGCGATAAGACCAATGTGCTTGGAAGTCTGTTGGTGGGACCATGGGTGCGAAGTGGCGCTCTTGGTCTTCACAGTCGATGCCGCCGCAACGAATGATGTGTTCAACCAGCTTGACGTCTACAGAGACGTGCTTGGTGAGCTCGGAGGCCGGTACATCCACATAAGCAAGCTTCTTTCGTTTGCTGGCGAAAGGATACGGAAGAAGAACCGGTTGTGCCGGTAGAGTGGAAGCGATGTTGTTGGCCAGATGCATGAATCGCTGACGGCTCATGCCCTTCCAGACACCTGAAAAGGATGAGACACCCTCGGAGGTGCTACCACGCCAGAACAGTGTTCGCTGCTTGTCATCCCATGCAAGGTCAGGGCGTTCATCATTAGGATCGTATCTTGCTTTGTCCATGTAGTTCCAAGCAGATGGATACATGATGTCGTTGTAGCCATGAACCTTGGATTGCGAGAAAACAGGGTACAATTCGTGAGTTGCTTTGAAGGCTGCAGGCGAGAGGTAGAAGCCATGCAAATTTGCAATATCGGGTTGGTGGCATATGTCCGCACTCTTCGTCCAATTGGACAGATATGCACCTAGCGAGTGTGGAGCCACGCATGATGTACACAAGTGACTAGTATCCCAATGCAGCGAGCTGCGTGCGGCAGAGCTTGGTGGACATCCGGTCATCCCAAACTCGTTGAATGTCTTCTGCCACGACATCTCTCTGAAAGGCGTGATGCCACTCGATTCCTCTGGTATCGGCTTCCAAGCATCCCCGCGCTGCTCACTGAACGAGTTACGTGTGCTCTTGTCGAAGTTAGCGTGCCCCTGGCCGGCCAGCCTTCTTGCTTGTATGTCCTCATATGGCACAGCGACACGGCACTCGTCATTCAAGTTGAAGCCCAAATCCATGTCTGGAAGGAACTCGCTGAAGTGACTAATCATATCGACAATACCATCAAGCATCCATCTATGAGTGGCCATGGCGTGCGGACTAATCTCAGCTTTGCCATTACGTATGCTGATTCCAGCGACATCGTTCCATGGATTCGATGTTGTCTGCCATGTTCTCTCNNCTCGGATCTCGGACGGCTCCAGTGTCCAGAATGGCAACAGGTCTTCGTGAATCTTGTTGAACTCATCAATGATTAAGGAGTTACGCCCGATAGCGTATCTATACCATTCATGGAAATTTGGTGGCGGGTTTCTGCCGTAACGATGCTGATACGCAATAACGACATCTGTAAGGTTTGCACTCGAATATGCTCGTCCTGCATAGACTTTGTGAAGATCGCTTGCTTCGTGTATAAGTAGATCGATGGGATGGTAGGCGACATTAGTGACATGGCCGAGCCAGATTAGGAAGCGAATGCAGAAAAGCAAAATCATCAGTCCGATGAGGGAAATAGGTGTGTCAGAAAACATCGCATGCTGCTTGCGACGGTGGTCTCCGGAAATGACTTGGGTATGTATAAGCGCGATGAATGCGACTGTAAGACCGCAGAAGGACAACAGAGTCAATGTATCATTGTCAGGTGGAAACGCCGATAAGGTATGCCAGGACCAACTGATAGTTATCGAGCAAGATGCGACAAATACGAGGACAGAAATAGCCGACATCGCACCTGAATAGAAAATCTGAACGTCTTAGCACATCTATCAATCCCTGAATGGATAATTGAGACTTACAGTGATACAGGTAGACAATGCTGCAATACAACACAAGATGGCTAATTTGACCAGTTGCCAGATGAAGCCGCGAGGTATCTCGAGGACCCAAAATCTATCCTCAGGAACGGCGAGGAACCAGATGACACCCCAGACACCAATAGCCGAAGCAGAAAGAAGACAAGCCCACCCAGTGATGCTTAAAGATCTGGCAGGAGAGGCCTTGCCAGTATTAGGGTACGAGCTCAAAAGAGCATCCAGACAGAAAGAAATGCAAAAATCGAGAACCAAAGCAAGGCGTTGAATCGTGATCATTTTATCGTGAGTTGCGGGAGTGCAAATATAGGTGGAAGAAGGGCTATCGCTTTGGTGCAGAATAGTTGCGCTCGACATGGCAAGTATAGCGGTGATGATGATGTAGCGAAAGCGGTTGGTAGCCCAAGAGTGTTCGAGGAGTTCATAGATACTGAGGTCCGAGTTGTTCTCAGGTACAGAAACTTTGTGTCTTCGATATAGACAGAAGTCAAGGATGGCAAGACCCAGGGGTATGAGTTCAGTGTAAGCAGGACCGACACACTGAACATCTTTGACAAGGCGTCTTATGGTCTCAGCGCGGGCACATATCAGGACTACCAAGAGAACGAAGAGAAATCGCATCTTGCGAAGACTGGTCTGAGGAAGATGAATGTGGTTGAGGCTAGGCGATACAGGTGAAGGTGGAGATGGCGAGGCATCAGAGGCCGTTTCTTCGAGTGGTAATTCATCGTAAGAGGTAGTCAAAGATTTGGCAAAGTATCGCGACAGGAATAGCAAAGAGGCGCCAATAGATGCGAGGACGAGACCAAGAACATGTAGGGTGCGNNTCCTGGGAAGTGTAAGTTGTATGTCCAGTTTGGCTGCAGGAGACGTATTACCATATGCAAAGACTTGAGCCGAATTGAGAGCCAGCAACCAGGAAGCGACGGTCAAGGCGATCAAAGCGTATGATGCTAGCGACTCCATTGCGAAACAGGGCTTAGATTGTTCCTTGTCCTCTTATGGATGTTTGAAATATTGTAGCAGATCGGAGAAACCAGGCGCGTACATCATGAGGGTCGTAGGATGTAGTAGAAGGTTATGCGACAGGATTGCAACAGTCCACTGAGTTATATCGACATGTCCTGTGGAGTGCAAGCAACTTCTCTTCAAAAGACGAATGCACTTCTGTCGCGAGTCGTCACAGGCACGGACGCCGCGGTCGAGCCACTGCCGTCCGAAATCTGGGGTCGGCGAAGGCAAGCAACTTTTGGATGCCATCTTTTTACTTTCTAATAAATTTCACCTACCCAAAGCTATCGCCTTGTTTTGATTCGGCGGCTAGAGTCGCAGCTTCAACATGGGTAAGAAGGCCATGTACGACGAATCTGCTCTTTTCTCCTACGATTTTCTCTCTTGCTAACGCAGCACAGTGATTCGCGCATTCCGGCCCTCATCCGCAATGCTGCTCAAGAACACAAGCGCGGCTTCTTCGTAGTCGTCGGCGACCGTCAAAAGGATGTCATCGTCAACCTGCACTACATCCTCCAGACCGCCAACCTGAAGGCAAACAAATCCGTCCTCTGGGCCTACAAGAATAAGCTGCTAGGCTTCACCAGTCACCGCAAGAAGAGAGAACAAAAAATTAAGAAGGAAATCAAGCGCGGCATTCGCGATGTCGACAGCGAGGATCCCTTCGAGCTCTTCGTCTCGACCCAGAACATTCGCTATGTTTACTACAAGGAGACAGAAAAGATTCTAGGAAACACCTACGGCATGTGCATTCTGCAGGACTTCGAGGCCATCACTCCCAATCTTCTCGCCCGCACCATTGAAACCGTCGAAGGAGGAGGTCTCGTCGTTATGCTCCTCAAGGGCATGAGCAGTTTGAAGCAGCTCTACACACTCTCTATGGATATCCACTCGCGCTACCGTACAGAGGCACACGGCGATGTCGTTGCTCGCTTCAACGAGCGCTTTATCCTCTCCCTCGGCAGCTGCGACTCATGCTTGGTCATTGATGATGAGATGAACGTGTTGCCCATCTCTGGAGGAAAGACTATTCAGCAGCTGCCTCCTCCGGACCCGGAAGCTCAGGGCCAGACTCCCGCTGCTCGAGAACTCGCAACCATCAAGGAGAGTCTCGCCGACACTCAGCCCGTTGGATCCCTCGTGACTCTGGCTCGCACTGTCGACCAAGCCAAGGCCCTGCTCACGTTTGTGGATGCAATTGCTGAGAAGACCTTGCAAAGCACCGTTACCCTGACTGCTGCTCGTGGTCGTGGTAAATCGGCCGCCCTGGGTGTTGCCATTGCCGCCGCTGTTGCCCATGGCTACAGCAACATCTTCATCACCTCGCCCAGCCCCGAGAACTTGAAGACCTTGTTCGAGTTTGTCTTCAAGGGTTTCGACGCATTGGGTTACCTCGATCACGTCGACTACACCATTATTCAATCTACTAACCCCGACTTCAACAAAGCCATCGTCAGAGTCAACATTCACCGCCAACACAAGCAGACCATTCAGTACATTCAACCGCAGGATGCCTACACTCTTGGTCAAGCAGAACTCCTGGTTATCGATGAAGCCGCTGCCATTCCCCTACCTCTCGTCAGAAAACTTATGGGTCCTTACCTGGTCTTCATGGCTTCGACCATCAACGGTTACGAAGGTACTGGTCGCTCATTGTCTCTCAAGCTGATTCAGCAGCTCCGTGAGCAGTCTCGTGGAGGTTCAAAGACCAGTGACGAACAGGTTGCTGATCGTTCGACTGGAAAGTCCGCCAAGGACGAAAATCAGGTCGCTGTTGCTGGTCGTACCCTTCGCGAAATTACTCTCTCGGAGCCCATTCGTTATTCTCAAGGAGATTCTGTCGAAAAATGGATGAACCGCCTACTTTGTCTCGACGCCACACTTCCTCGCGCATCAACAGCCCGCGGTTGCCCTCACCCCGACCAATGCCAGCTTCTTTCCGTCAACAGAGATACCTTGTTCTCTTTCCATCCTGTCTCGGAGAAATTCCTTCAGCAAATGATGGCGCTTTATGTTGCGTCCCACTACAAGAACACTCCTAATGATTTGCAGCTCATGTCCGACGCTCCAGCTCACCAGTTGTTTGTTCTCGTACCTCCGGTTGAAGAGGGCAGTAACCGTCTTCCTGAGCCTCTCTGTGTTATCCAGCTAGCCTTGGAAGGTCAGATCAGCAGAGAGAGTGTGATCAACAGCTTGAGTCGTGGTCAAAGAGCAGGAGGTGATTTGATCCCCTGGTTGGTCAGTCAGCAGTTCCAGGACGAAGACTTTGCCGGACTTTCTGGAGCACGCGTCGTTCGAATTGCTACCCACCCTGACTACATGAACATGGGCTATGGTAAGAAGGCTCTCGAGCTTCTTACCGATTTCTTCGAAGGGAAGTTCACCTCCTTGTCTGAGGACGACGGACAGGCTGAGGCTGGAAGTGAGAGTATGGTACGTGTCACAGATGCCGAACTCGAAAGCGCAACCTTGTTGCAGGACAATGTCAAGGTTCGTGACATCTCGACCATGCCTCCGCTCTTCGCCCGTCTGTCGGAGCGCAGACCCACCCGCCTCGACTACATGGGTGTTTCATACGGTCTTACCTCGCCACTGCACAAGTTCTGGAAGCGTGCAAACTTCGTGCCCGTCTATCTCCGCCAAACTGCCAACGACCTCACTGGAGAACACACCTGTGTCATGCTGAGAACGCTCGACAACGCTACTTCCTCGGATCCTGCCTGGCTCGGAGCGTACTCCAAGGATTTCCACCGCAGATTCCTCAGTCTTTCGTCTTACCAGTTCCGAAAGTTCACCAGCGTCCAGGCTTTGAGTATTGATGAGTCTGCCAACGCAGGTATCAAGCTCGACAGCACTGTGTCCACAAAGCCTCTGACCAAGAGTGAGTTGGATGAACTGTTCAGTCCCTTCGATCTGAAGCGTCTGGACAGTTACGCCAACAACATGCTGGATTACCACGTCATTCTGGATCTCCTGCCTAAGATTGCGGAGCTCTTCTTCACTGGACGTATCAAGGGTGAAGAGGCTGTGAAGCTCAGTGGTGTGCAACAGGCCTTGTTGTATGCCATTGGTATGCAACGCAAGACTCTTGAAGATCTCGAGAAGGAGCTCGGATTGGGAAGCAGCCAGCTGCTTGCCATGTTCGTCAAGGTGATGCGCAAGATGTCTATGCACTTCCGTGGCCTAGTAGAGGGAGCCGTTGCTGAGACCATGCCCAAGGGCATTGGCGGTGGTGATGCTGAGGCCAACAAGATTGACGGCGAGGAGGAACAACGATTCGCACCTCTCCAGCAAACTTTGGAAGATGATCTCGCTGAGGCTGGTGATGAGTACATGGCTGCTGAGAAGGAACGTGCTCGTGCCATGATCGATGCACTTCCTCTCGACAAGTACGCACTCGCCAACGGCGAGGCTGACTGGGACGAAGCTGAGCGCCAAATTCAAAAGTCAGGAGGACGTAGCGGCAAGAGCACAACTGTCAGCGTCAAGACGAAGAATGCATCGAGCAAGCGCAAGGCAGGCGAAGCTCTTGAAGAGGTGCAGAAGGAGGCTGCCAACTTCGAAGGCAAGAAGAGCAAGAAGGGCAAAAAGTCAAGGTGAAGCGTTTGAATGATTTGCATAGAGGATGGAGTTAGGGTGTACAAAGCTATTGGGAAAGGGGAATATCCATTCTGTATCTGTCGTATTCTACGAACTTTATAAGATGCTCGAACATACCTATGATTGTGAAAGCTGTTAAGTTGTCCATCAAGTGAGGACATGTTAATGCTTTGTTTGCCCGGCCACGGACTTTTGAAAGCGCATCTCCGTTGTGCGAGCCGCATCTTTCACATCCACCCAATAATTGACTTCATTGACGTCTACTCTAGACCATTCCCTGAAACACAACTTCGATTCTACATACCACACAATCATTCGAAGCGGCTTTTCATCACTACTCAACCTCACTGTAGACGCACCTCACCACAACCCAATCTCAAGATAACAATGGCAAACGAACCTCGGTATGAACTCTCAGCACATAAATCGCCTGCAACCACAAAACTGACAAAAACAAACAGTGGAGCATGGGCGCGACCCCGTCCAGGAGCAGCACGCACACCGCAACAATCACGATCCTCGAACGCCTCACCTGCACCTGCGTCTTCCGCCGCACCTGCTGCAAAACCCACTCCTTCTCCTGCGCCTACTGGAAACGTGTGGGCAGCTAGAGCGGCGGCACAGAAGGCTGCTCCTGCTAAGGCTGTTGATGCGGGCAAGAAGAAGGAACAGAGTGCGCCTGTTGCGACGGCGGTGACTGCTGTGAGCTCTGGCGCGCAAGAGACGCATGTGCCTGTCAACAACTTCAATGATGGCGAGGTCAAGCAGTTGCTAGGCAGGGGAGAGGCAAGTTCTGTGTACAAGGTTGATGCATCAAACGCTTCAAGTGCGGATGGTAAGTGTGTCTATGGTCGCCTCTTGGACAACATCATTGACATACATCGTAGCGGGTTGCATGGCGAATGGAAAGAGCTTCAGGGTTCATTTGGACGAGCAAGTCACAGCCGCTCTTAAAAAGCTACAGGAAGAGGAGAAATAAACACCACCTGGGTATATTCGACAGCCGACACATGGTCATACTATGCAGCTAGAAGACACAACAAGCGACGCCACTACACAAACTCATGCTTTCAACCACCCTTCCACGCCCAGAATACCGCCATCACTGGCACTCGGATCCATGGACCACGTCTTGATCGGTCGCACAGACAACTGCGACCTCCATCCCGCCTCCCACATCTCTATGCCCGCCCATCCAATCATAGCCGCGTTGTCTGTGCACAACTCGACAGGTGGGAAGAACAATTCAACATGGCTGAAACCCCTGACGTCGAGGAAAGCACGCATTACATGGCGCAAGAAGCGATTCGCTGCCACACCACCCGAGACAACCACAGAGTTGACCTTGGCAGCTTCTGCAGGTGACAGAGAGGATAGGTGCAACATAACGCGAGAAGCGAGATGCTCGAAGGCCACACGCATCACTTCCTTGGCCATGTCACGGCGCTCGTCGTCAGAAAGATGGCCGGGCTGGCGTAGTTGGCTTGAGATAGTCGAGTTTTGGTGATCATACTCAAACTTCACAAAGCGTTCGATACTGCTTAGTAGACCAGAGAATGAATAGACCATCTTGCGACTGCTACTTCCGTTCTTGCTTCCAGCCAAGGGTGCACCTAGACCCCATCCCCACTTTGTGACTCTGCGCGCGAGCTCTGCGTCTCGTTTTGCAGGTGCTGTATAGTTGTAATTTGAGGCTCCAGCAGGGAAGGCGAATTGTTCGAGTGCTCGTCCATAAGGAGGCACTGCCAGGTGAGCTGGCAGAATTGCGCGCGCAGCCTTGTCCAAACAGTCGCCTAACGCAATGTCGCCGGTTGTGGCCAGGATCTTGTGATCGGTCAACCCCGTAGATTCAATCAACATAGAATGACCTCCCGATACCAAGCCACTGAGGAAAGGGAAGTTTGGTCCGGTGGTTGCTCTAGACTCGAGTGCAGATACTAGACGTGGTGTCAAGGCGTGCGCTTGCATGTGGTGGACACCTATGACAGGGACATTCCAGGCCACTGCCAATGCTTTGCCAGCGTCCAGTCCGACAGACAGGTTGGAGCGCATGCCTGGGCCTCTTGTCGCCGAGATGAAGTCCGGCTTAGTGCGAGAAGTGTTTCCATGGTGCAAGATGCGGCGAGGATTAGAGTCCGGCTGTGTGTGTGGCAGATGATTCAATGCCTCTTGTAGCAACGGAGCAAGTGAGGATTGATGCGACTCCAGAGCGACCACAGGATGGATGCCGTTATATGCGGCTGTATTGGCAGTCACTTNTTTGTGAAAGTGAAGCGTTGCCGAATCATCTTTGTGTTTTTCGACGATGGCGACTGATGTGTCGTCGCACGAAGTCTCGATGGCCAGGGTCAGTAGGGTTCGACGATTCGATGCGACTCCATAGTGCCGGAGTGGAAGGCGAGTGCGTGTAAGGACACGCAAAGGCGACAGCATCAACGTGCGTGTGTGTGTTGAGATGGTGGTCGAACATGGAGCTGAGATTCCAGAAAGTGTATCGGACTCGCACCTGCCGTTTGATGGACCCTGGTGAAACACTTCGGCAGTTTTAGCCGCAGATGTCACCCACATGGCAGGTGCAGGTGCTGCGGGATGACGCGGTTGGAGTGCCTTCCGTGAGACTTTAATTCCCTGTTCATCCCACCCACCACGCGGGGTGTCGAAAGCGCCGTTTCTTGTTGCTCACCTTTGTCATTTTGGATGGCTTGATATGCAAAGTTACTCTGCAACATCGGCCAGACTCACCCATGTCTTATGAGCTGCCGCCCAAGGAGAAGCTGCGTGAGATTGCTGCTCGTCAGGATGCGAAGGAGAAAGAGATCAGACAGGCTCGTGCTAGACGTTTGTCAACATGTAATCAGCCGCCGAACAAGCAAGAGGCTGCTGCTGAAATCATTCAAGTCGGTGACGACCAACACTCGAACCTGTCAAGATCTGTTGCTGAATCCGATCAGCGCAATTACCGCGGCTACCGCGAACGTAGGGAGATGCGTGGCCTAGGATTATCTGCCTCAACAAGATGGTTCGATGTATGTTGCTCGTTTGCTTCTTTTATTCAAAACTGACACAGTCTAGGCCGTCCAAGAAGGTACATGATTCTCTGCCCACAATNTTGTTGCTCATCACTCATACTGGAGTAGCTCGTTACCGTAACTCCACCCAGCCCATGTCTCGCGCTGAACGTGCACGACACGCTTCGACCCATGTCTCCACTCCTGGAAACTGCGAGGCTCGCGAAAAGTGGAAGCGGGCTGGCCAGATCGCTAAACATGCAGAGAACGACGACACTAGTTCTGGTGAAGACATGGAAGATATGAATCCCCAAGAACGAGACAATTACCTACAACGCAAAAGAGAGGCCAAGGCTGAGCGTGAAAAGATGGCAAGGACTATGGGCATCGAGTACTTCCTCGAGATGGTACGTACATGTGCTGCNTTGCCCCGAGCATCAGCTTATAAGCTTCTAGGTCGATCAGAAACATCGCTACGGCTCATCGCTTCGCAAATACCACAAGGTCTGGCAAGAGAGCGATACAAAGGAAAACTTCTTTTATTGGCTGGACTTTGGAGGCGGCAAAGACGTTGACCTTCCAGAACGCCCAAGGACCCGTCTGGACGAAGAGAGAGTACGATATTTGTCGCGCGAAGAACGTCAAAAATATCTTGTTCAGATCGATGACGATGGTATGCTATGCTGGGCGAAGAACGGACAACGCATATCAACATCTCCCGAGTGGAAGGATTCTATGGAGGGCATCGTTCCAATCACTGACGATCGTACGCCGACATGGCGCAACACAACCGGTCGCCAGGAACTCTCTGCATCTTCAAGTGGCTCGGAAAGTGACTCGGACATCAGTGTAGGCAGCGGCGAGGATGCATCTCGATATGTCAACCAAGAACTGCATGACGCGAAAGGTCTCAGCAAGCTCAAGCATCTCTCTGCCAACACCATCATGAATGATCTTCTACGGTAAGCAAATTTTTACAAGTCACTATTGATGTTTCCTTGGCAGCTAACAGCGAATCTAGAAAAACAACTAAAAAGAACACATGGATATTCGTCGCAGACACAAGTTTCCGTCTTTATATCGGCATCAAACAGTCGGGTGCCTTTCAACACTCCTCATTTCTCAAAGGAGCTCGGATTCTATCAGCAGGATTGATTCGCATCAAGCGAGGCCAACTGAGAAGGCTGAGTCCCTTATCTGGACACTATGCGCCGCCAGCCAGCAGTTTCAGAGCCTTCGTGCACAGTCTCAAAGAGGCCGGTGCTGACATGTCTCGAGTAAGCATCTCGAGGGCATACGCTGTGCTCGTTGGTTTGGAGGGCTACCTTGGCGCTAAGCGTAGCCTAAAGCAAGGAGAGCAGAAGATTAAAGACGCGATCAATCCCGAAGAAGCCAGACGGCGCGAGGAAGCCGAGAAAGACAAAAGTAAGAGTGCTCAGAAAGAGCGAGATGTACTCGAGGCACAAGCGAAGAAAGAAGAAGAGGCCAAAAACAGAGCAGCATCACTGAGCGGTTCAAGAGCAAGCTGCACATTGGCAACGACAATTCTTCGTGATGACGATGATGATTCAGGCGGTCTTCTTTCTAGCACTATACCCTCATGCTTTCTAACGACTAATGAGATCAATGCAAGTAATGTCTAGGATGGATAATATCAAAACTTCAAATCGTTAATTGTAGTAGCTATCATACTGCGAGGACCTGCTCAGTAGTCACCGATCCAGGCGCTTCGGATCGTGAAATGTCCAATGGCATGCTAGGCTCAGCATCGTCTGCCTGGCGTTTAGCATCGGGTGGCACACTGAGCTCGGCATCGTCTGCTTTGCGCTTCAGCGACTGTGCTTCTTCCGCAGCCTTTGCTTCTGCTTTTCTCTCTTTCTTTGCCTGGTTGCCTCTTTGCTTTCTCTCTGACCTAGTCTCCTTCTTGCCGAAGCTGATCTCGAGCTTCTCATCCACTTCACGAGCCTGGTCCTTGAATTCTTCATATCCCATGATCTCAACAATATCGCTGTAACTCTTGGCTTGGTTCATGGGGCGATATTCCTTCGCTTTGCCAGGTATCATCTGCCCGAGTAGGTACTTTGTATTGCCCCATCTGTTCTCGACGTCCATGGCGGTTTTGACGTATTCCTTGACCACCTGGTCCCAAGGTGCGATACCACCATCCTTCTCGGCGCGGAAGCATGAGGGGTTTGCCTCGGCGGCTGTCGCAATCATGGCACCATCTACGCCATATTCCTCTGCTAATTCAAGTGCTTCATCTCTGCTTGTCACATCGCCATTCATCAAACATGCGACGCCTGCTTCATGGCAAATTTCTCCAACCATGCGCAGTTGATCACGAATAGCGCTTTCGCGTGGTCGCATAGGTGTTGTACGGCAGTGCAGCGTAAGACCAGTGATTCCAGTGGCGACCAGTTTGCGCACCAATGCTGCTGTGTCCTCGGGGTTCTCCAGCATGCGGATCTTGACGCTGATGCCAATTTCAAAGGGTCCTCCTACTTCCTTGACCAGTGCCTCGAGGATTGCGACCAGCTTATCCGGTGTCTTGAGTAGCGCAGCACCCATACCTCCGAGAGTGCTGAATGGCTTCGGGCATCCTGCGTTAACGTCGATGCCAGCCACGTCTCCTGCAATCAATTTCGCAGCCGCAACAGCTCTTTCCGGGTCAGAGGTGCCAATTTGGTGAATGAGCTGACGACCTTCGCGAGAAGGGTATAGTCTGTAGATGATGCTTTCGCGCTGCGAAGGGTTCAAGTCTGGGTTCTTGGAGCCGTTGGAGGAGAGGCGGGTGAAGTCGATGGTATTCGTGACGGTATTGACGCGACGAGTTGTGCCGATGAGTGCCTTGTCGATGGTCTCAGGACCTGTGGTTCTCTGGTTAGTACGATGCTATATGTCCGACTTGAAAGAGATAGACACACCCCATACGAGATCAGCACCGTACTTCAAGGCCATCAGTCGCGAGGGACATTCGCCGCTGCGAACCATGGGCGCGAGGACCACTTTGCCGCGGTAGTCGACGCCATTCTTGGGAATAGGGATTCTCTTCGCCATGCTGCCTGTCATGATTTGTGTAAATGTTCGTAACATCCCATGACTTGGATTGTAAGAAGGCACGAAACTCGTTGATGTAAAAAAGTCCCGGGTCGGTCGAGATCCTTAACGCCGAGAAAGCTTGTTTTCGGCCGCTGGACTCCGAGGCTCGAGCGCTGCGCTGTGTGTAATAAACAATCCTTCCTTTTGATTGATTCATTACCAAATTCACGTAGCGAGAGTCTCTATGTGATTTGTCTAATCCATCTTCTGCTTTCGTTGCTCGATGCCTTCACTCATCAATAACGCCACATCTTCGGCTGTCTTGCCTCTGTTTCTCCTCTCGGTCTTCTCTTTACCTAGATCTGTGCCATGGGCAACCAAGTCATATGTTCTAGCGATGCCACTGAAAATTGACTCTTCTCCAAACCCGCCATCTTCCGTCAATGTTGCATCAATCTCCTCCATCTCCCTAACCCAGCGGTAGGCCTTGGGTGGCATGCGTGGCATCGAAGCATTGACCAGTTCGAATGTCTTGGGACTGTACAGTTGGAGGTGCTGCTGCAATTCTGGCAAGACTCCAAGTCGATGAGCTGTTGTAAAAGATTGGATGGCCAATCCAGTAAGTCCTTTGGTCAAACTTGCGAAGCTCATCTTCAGTCCTGATGCCGCGCCTATTTCGTCTGAGATGTGTCGGGCCCCGAGTGTATTGGCAAGATGTGCTCCACTTGGTTCAGCGTCTGCCAATCGATGCGGTCCAGACATGGGAATACCGGGTCGCTTCCATGCTTCGGGCTTGGACGAGTCGGTCTGATCGTCTTTCAAGCTTGGTGCACTGCCAATCACAGCTCCATCAATGAGTCGAACGTTGTGGCCAGCAGTTTTGAAGAGCTCATTTATGCTCCTAACCAGCTTTGGCGAGACCGCGTTCATATCGAGGTAGTACAATGGTTTGTCTCTTTTGGTGTTGCTGGCTTTTACTACTCGTTCTGCAGTCGCTACGGCATCTCTTGGAGGCACGATAGAGAGAATATAATCTGACATCGCTGCTAGTTCCTCATCCGTAGAGACCAGGTCTACAGATGCTGATCTGGCTCGGTCATGTGTATCTTGGCTNNGTTCATTTGCGTTAGATACTGTTCCTCTTGCAAACTAGATAGTGAGGATAGCATGCCTTCGACCAGTGACATTAGTGACCACACGATATCCACTTGCTTTGAGCAGTTTGGCGACTCCTAGCCCCATCTCACCGATCGAGATGACGCCTATCGTAGCCATCGGAGCAGTCATGTTAGAGGGGATGAATGTTCTTTCCAATGTATTATCTTCACGATCCTGCGTGTTATCTGTACTTGTATTCGTGGTGTCCGGCATCCATCGCCAAACACCGGGAGCGAGCGGGGTGCTCTTGCCGAACAGACGCAACGTCATGCCCGATTCGGATACAATAGCCGGCAGCGACTTCCCTCTCCATTCACTTGACATACATTGGTCAAGTTGTAGTAACTGCTATGTTCCATAGATCTCTGATACCTCGTGTATCTTGCTCCTCCCTTCGCCCTTACCCTCTTCTCATCCGCAGCATGGCAACAATCCGCTCTTCGCTCAGCCATGAAGAGCGTACAGCTCAAGAACCACGAGAAGCACGTCTGGAGCCTGTAACAGTATCTCGCATCGATGCCGTCAACAACACAATTCGTCTAATTCGATTGAGTGCCATGAAGCCTGATCACACACTAAAGGTACGCATAAATCTCCATATTCACTGAATCTACCAATGGCATCATGCACTAACAATACCCACCAAAGTAAAGTTCTCACCAGGTCAATGGCTAGACGTCTTCATCCCTTCTCTCCCAAAAGCAGGTGGTTTTACTATAACTTCCACACCTTTGGACCAAGGCAAACCTACCTCTCAACGACCTGCCTATTTTGAGTTGGCCATTCAAAAATCTACCAACCCTCCCGCTCAATGGCTCTGGAAACCCGAGTCTGAGATCTTGGATGAACAGATTATCGTTCGCACAGGCGGAAGCTTTGTATGGCCGCCTCCTGGTATAGACGTCAATGGTATTGAACAAGTCGTCCTAGTGGCAGGAGGCGTGGGTATCAATCCTTTGATTTCGATCTTTGCACATCTAATGAGTCTTCCCAACCGACCAAAGAAGGTGCGATTCGTGTATGGCAGCAAGGTCGAGGAAGGCCCAATCAAGGCCTCACGTATCCTCTTNTTGACAAGATTGATGGAATTGATCAANAAACAAGGAGATGGCAATGTTCAGCTAGACCTGTTCCTTACAGCGACATCACAGAAGGAAATCGAGGATGCGACAGACTTGCCCGAACACGTCAAATTAGGAAGGATCGAGAAGGACGACTTGGAAGCTGCGATCGGCGAGGACCGCAATATTAGGCAAGCGACCCTAGCTTACGTCTGCGGTCCCCCTGCCATGACAGACCAGTTCGTTGAATTCTTGAGCACAAGAGATGGTATGAATAAGCGAAGAGTCTTGTGTGAGAAGTGGTGGTAACCACTTCTGTATCTAATGCCTTAGTCGTTCTAATGCGCCCCATACCGGTGATAACAATGTAATCATCAACACCGATGGTATGACCCTGACTTCGTCTAGACCGCGTGACTGAGCAACATCAAGATCGCTTTGTCTGAGGTTCTGAGCATGCTTTTCATCTGAGATCAAAGTATAGAGTAAGGAGAAGCGCTGGAAAACTGAACATTCGCATGAATTGAACACAACTATTACAAAGTAAAGCTAAATACTCAAGCTACTAATTCAAATCTGCTTCTACATCAAGATTTCATGGTGCAGCTCCAGAAGTCGGCGCCATGGGATCAGACTGACCAATTCCATGATGATCGAAAACACTTCTTTTCTTCAACAACTTACGACCATGCATACCATTGAGGTAGTTTGTGGCGTATGTTCTACAGGTGAAAGATGAAGGGGAGCTTGTAGGCTGGGCGTAGCTCGTTATGACCTGTGTGACCGTGATGTAGTTGCCACCACCAGCGGTGATCGTGACCACTTGTCCACCTCCTCCAGTACCGCCACCCACCGAAACTGTGGCTCCTGGCGCTGTGGAGACAATAGTGCGTTCGGAAACAGACACCGATACGGAAATCGTGGTCGTGGTCACTGTTCGTGTACTTGCCGGCTGGTATACAACGCTGACTGCTGTGCTCACTCCATATGTTGAGAGGATCGTTTGTCCGTTGGAGACAATGGTCGATACGGCAGTCGAGACAGCATAAACTGTAGATCCAGGGCCGGTTCCTGGGCCAGTTCCGGGGCCAGTTCCAGGTCCCGTGCCTGGACCTGTACCTGGACCCGTCCCTGGAGCCTGTGCCGGGCCCTGTGCCTGGACCCGTGCCAGCCCCAGTTCCTGGGCCTGTACCCGGACCATTTCCAGGACCACCGCCTCCAGCAATGACAGTTGTCACACCACCAGATCCAGATCCATAATCGCCATCGCCTCCAGTACCTCCATCGCCGATTGTGTTGTTACCTGAGCCAGCAGATCTTGAGAGAAGGCGAGCAGAGTCAGCAACGGGTGAAGTGACGTTGGTAGTGCCAGATTTCAGCTCGCAGTTACCAACAGTGAGACCTGTATAGAAAGAAACACCCAGACACAAGCTGGGAGAGTTGAAGCTCTGTAGGTTGTACATGTCGCAAGCACTGATACAAGAGGCCAGGGAAGACACATTAGAGGTTGAGAGTGTTTGGTCAGTAATGACTCGTCGGCAACCAATCTCGTAAACTTGACCCATGCTATCAGTGAAGAGTGCACCATCTGAACCCGGGCAGACTGGCGTTGCTGATGCTCCGGCACTTGGTGCGGCAGAGTTGGTAACGATGATAGTCGAGGTAGGAGGCCCTCCAGATCCACCACCCATGGATGCGAAAGAGCTTTGGGAAGCCATGCTGAAACTGCTGAAATTGGATCCGAATAGTGTGCCACCCCACCCAAAGCCTTCGGGCGGACACATGCCTGGAGTTGGGCAAGCAGTGACTGTTTCGGTCATGAACACAGTCGTCGTTCCAAAAGAGCTAGGGGATTGAGCAGAGCATGCACCGCCAGTGTTAGAAGCCACGGGAGGAGACTCATATGTGCCACCTCCAGTCACTACAGTGGGGGTCAAGAAGCAAGTGAAGCACAAAGAGCCTGAGCCTGTACTCACGCTACCAGAAGCCATACTGCCGCTGGGAGGCACCCCAGTTGTGACAAACGTACTGACAACAGTGACCGTCGCACTTGCAGGATAAACTAGACGAGAGTCAGTACATGATCAAGTTCAGATGGATATAAATACTCACAAGTGGTTATCGTGATCGTCGCACTGCTGCTAGAGCCGACACTAGAGAGACTGGTTCCTGAAGACGAAGAGGAGCTTGTCAAGCTTGATGATGATGACGAGAGACCAGGATCTGTCGCGCCCACGCGTACAGCGATGATGAAGTTTGCGCCAGGCACCTGAGTACCGGTGAAGGTAGACTTCATCTGACAGGAAGAGGACGACGTGTCGTAGACTACACCTATACAGCCTGTCGTGACATCGCAGCTAGGCAAACAACCCAGAAGAGAAGCGGCGCGGTATGCACTAGAAAGATCACCTCCTTGAACATTCATGTCACAGGCGACAGTGTAATTGGCTCCGTTCGAGTCTGTGTAGGTCTGACCAGCAGCTCCCGGACACGTCGGACCAGCAGCAGGCGACGAAACAGTCGATGATACAGATGACGATACACTCGACGATTGGGTTGATGACGTGATTGGAGATGTGATCGAAGACGCAGTTGACAGTGTGGCTGACGACACGACTGATGAAGAGGAAGCAGGCGGGGAGCTAGATGCCGAGATGGAGCTGGAGGTCGGAAGTGTAGACGCAGTCGGTGACGATGTAGAAGCAGATGTTGACGTGACTGGTACGGGAGGCAAGAGCGTAGCAGCGACATTGTCAGGATCAGGAACAGTACCCGTGATCTGACTGAATAGGGTGCACTCGTCTCCTTTGTAGTTGACACCGACACAACCATCTGTATCGTCACACAGATCAAGACAGTCGGTATATGATGGCTCAGTCACACGCTTCATGATGCGTACTCTGCTGTTGTTGTCAATCGTGGTTCCCGTGTACGAATTTCCACAAGCGACGTCGAAGTTTGCGCCACGAGCATTAGAACAGGTCGTCGGTGTGTTGAAATTGCAGATGTTGTCCGCGGATGAGGGACATGGTGGAGCAACGTAGTAGACGATTTGAGGGCTTTCAGAGGAGGTTGTTAATGGCAAAGTCGAGGTGACCGACGATGTAGAAGAGGAAATTGAAGATGCTGAGGACGAGACAGCAGCACTCGATGTTATAGCAGGAACACTCGAGCTCAAAGCAAGAGAGCTCTGGATAGAGGACGAACTACTGCTTGCTAAAGCCGAGGAGGTGCTTTCGTATGCCGACAAACTAGGCAGCACAACAGAACTCGTTGCGGACGAAGTAGAGGAAGCTGCACCTGAGGAATTTGAAGTCGAATTTTGACCTTGCGAGAGAAAAGCGACAACGAAGTTGGAGGCAGCTGAAGAGGGGCTACCAAACTGGTTCTTGAAACTGCAGGTGCCTGCCGATGTACCTTCGAAGGTAAAACCAACGCAATCTGGTGTGACATCGCAGATGGTGAAGCAGGCCGCAAACCCACCACTGTGAACCATGGTTTCATTAAATGTACTGACGTCTGTATCCGAGGAGCAATACACGATATAGGGAACCACGTTTTCGTCCACGTACACAGCGTTATTAGCTTCAGGGCAAGTCGATGCCTGTGCAGTTGGTTGGAGTGTGGCAGTCTTCGGAGGACTAGAGGAAAGAGAGATTGTTGCAGTCGCTGCCGATAGCGTCGAAGAGGCACTAGAGCTGTTGGAGATGACCAGAGCGACGAAAGTATGACCATCGTATTGGAGAGTGCCTTTGCCGGTCTTCAGAGTGCAAGTGCCTGCTCCATTACCGCCAAGGTGAGTAACTCCACCACATCCAACTGTGCCATCGCACAGCTCGATGCAAGCTTCGAAGCTATCAACTGATTGACCATCACCGTTCAGGCTTTGACCAGTGAGATCGTATCCACAGCTGATGGTATACGAAATTCCGTTGTAATCTGTCCAATTCTTGCCGTCGTATGGGAAACAGATGAGTGGAGTGGCCAATGCGGTAGCTGAGGACGAGACAGTAGAAGATACAGAAGAAAGTGGCCCAGTGTACGGCACCGAGAGAGGCAAAGACGACGTGGACTGGCCCATTACAGGATTGATGATGCTGCCACTGACACTAATAGGCGAAGACGAAGTCAATGGTGCAGTGCTGGTTGGAACAGAAGATGATGCCACGTTGACAGGCAACTGGTAAACCTTGATCGAGTTGATCTCCCAGTACGCCTGTACGAAGGCCTGCGGGTTGTTGCCAACATAGTCCACACAGGAATCGTAGCCATTCATGCCAGGCGTCAATGGACACTCTGGGAAGTTCGAATAAGCGAATCCAGCCCATGCACCACAGAAATCAGTATTGATGATGATACTGTGGTTAGCGAAATGAGAGTCAATGTCGCAGGAACCTTGGAAGTTCGCCATGGGTAATCCAAACTCAGTAACGTCGGGAGAGCCCTCAGCCACACTCGAAGGAATACCGTCACGAGGAAAGAACCAAACACGAACGAAAGCTGAGGTCCATTCGGTAATGTAAACACCACCACCGTTGTCGCTAAGTCCTTGGCCGTAGTTGTTGGGAGTTGCAGTACCATTGGCCATGCTTCCACATCCAGAGTTACCATTTGCATTGCTGTCACAGTTGGCATTTGTGAAAGATCAGTCTGTCCAGAACCAGCGATGGTGCAATTAGGGCTGGTGTGCATAGATACAGTGTTCGTCTCGCTAGTGTGTACACCTTCGATGATATCTGGAATCGCTTAGTGGAATGTTAGCACTCAAATGCAGCTTTGCCCACCTATTTCGCCATTTCCTGGCCAATCTGGTCCAAGTAGCCAAAATGCTGGCCAGGTTCCACAACCATACGGCATGTGGCTCAGATCCAAGACGAAGAGACCGTGAGTATATGTGTTGTCGCTGATAATTCTGACAGCTGGCCTTCCTGGTCCACCATTCGGCCATAAGTTCGTTGTATCTACACTGATTGTAACGCTGTCGTTGTTCGTAGTCGCGTAACCATTTGTATTGGCAACGGATTCGTTCACATATCTGACGGTGTTAGTAAAACCATTGTAAGATACAAGACGGATCGAACTCACTGAACATGGCCGTAGGTCGGATCATAAGACTGTTCGACTTTAGTGCCAACTTCTACCGTTGTCGTACCTGCCTGCAACATACATTGTAGAAGTTGAATTTACTGAAGAACACACTTGGTTGGTAGTCATCAACCAATTCATATGCTCCTGAGCCCGGTAAACCACCGCCAGTGAACAAGCTTGCACCGGGGATACTCTGAGACACAGCAGGTAAACCGAGAGAAAGAAAAGGCAGAACGCCGTTGACGAGTTGCGATGCCATACTCGGCATGTTCGCCATACGTCTTCACGTAGTTCCAGACAATGGAGAAGAAAGAAAGACTTGCCTTGTTACATCAAAGAGTCTACACAGGCGCGAGACCAATATGTTGTTGTGATGGCTGGGGACATTCCTTCCATAGGGGCCGACAACTACATTCCACAGCTTACATGTAGGGCGAGGCCCAGATACTAGCAAATTACGACAGCATTCCCGAGGCCTTGGTCGCTATTCGCATTGAAGTCGTTACAAAGGTGATGCAGGAAAGATCGTAGCTAAGTCGATTAACTACGCGACGAATTCAAAGCGATGGGAGATGGAAGTTCGGTATGTTGCGCCGATCTCGGCATTCACAAAAGCACAAATTGCGCGAGAAAAAAAAGGAGAAAATAAATAATCATTCCAATTCATTTCCACTACACGTATTCCAAGCAACATGTTTTCGAGGGGAAAGCCACGCATGAACAGACTATCGAACAAGATTTCCCTCCAATGCATTTTCAATCAAGGATACTCGAATATTGCTACTGTGTCCGCGAAGCCGTTGGCATTCGAGATTGCTGGTACAAGCTGCACCTGATCAACCGAAACCAGGTTTTGAGAGCCGACCGTGTTGACCGAATACATATAGATCCCCTGACTTTGTTCAACGGTTACCATGTTTTGCTGACAGTTAGTGGTTGCCAAGCATCCAGAGTCGTAGTTGTTGAAGAATGAGTACATTCCAGCACCGTAGACGAAGATATATGTGCTGTTGAAGACTCGTAGCCCCCAAGTCTTGGGACAATTGACAGTAAAACAGTCAGAGAAAGTTGGATCGTTCCACTTGGTCATTGGCGGATATGGCGCAATAGCATTGGGATTGTTCTGCATATANNGCTTCGAGATCGTTAGCATACTTCGGCAAGCGGAAGGCATTCGGACTTACGCAGTCTCTGTCTGCAATGCACTGATGTAGATATCTTTGGCGGAAGCGACCTGATAGTTGTATAGCATACTGTGCTCGAAGGATGTGCCGACCATCCATACAGGACCCTGACTTTCGACCAAGACTCCTCGGCCGTTGTAAAGGTTGATTTGGTTATGATCNNTAGAAAGTCGGTCAGCCCTTGTCAATCTAAGCACAAAAGCTTTCATCCTACCAGCTAGATCCATCTCGTGATCACTGACCCAGCCCCAGTTGTTGGCCATGTACAAAGATGCCGATCTTGTAATATGCAGGAGCAAGAAGGCGCCATAGCACTCCGGATTGGGTGAGGTGGGGACATTAGGTGTTTTGGCACAATTGGTTGACTGCAACTCGGTACCGTTGGTACCTCCAATACGCCAATGAACATCAAACATTCCNNTATAATCATCTGTTCAGCAAAAGTCAAACATCAGATAAACATAGAACTTACCAGCAGAACCGGGGGATGATTGCGCAAGGTTCCATTCCATCATGATAGCACCAGGAGCGGCACCCAAGGTCTGGAATATAATCTCGACAAGCTCGATATCGCCGACTTGACCAGGCTCGCCAACACGGAACGCTACTTGGGGATTGTTCTGATCGCTGAACCTAGGTGCCGAACCATCTACCATGAAGTAAGGCCACAACTCGCCCTGAACCTTGATCGGGATGGGGAACTTGATAGTATCTCTGATGACATAAGCGCCGTAATCGATGTAGGCAATCTGGTCGGGCTGAATTGAATCCAGGAAGCTCTGCACACAAGCAGTGTCATCAGTAACACCGTCTCCAGCACACCCGTAAGTCTTGATCGATATGAAGTTTTCGACGGGAACACCTTCATACTGAGGTCTTGAACGTGTGAAGAATGATCCATCAGCGTTCAAGAGAGATGGGGATTTGGGAGCAGGGTCGACAACTTGTTGTACACGAGCATAGTTGGCTGCAGGTCCGTAGCAAGTAAGGTTATTCTCTTCGTAGCTTGATTCGTACGCAGTGTAGACCCTGCCTTGGACCCACGAGGCAACCCTTTGGTTGCCTTCAAGAAGAGTAGCATTGCTAGGAGATAGCTGAACAGCGACCGGGGTATCGACAAAATTCACGTTATCCAGAACGAATGTGCCGGCAGAGGTAGGCGTCGAGTTGGAAGAGAAGGTGGTGAGGACACCAATGCCGACATTGTTCATGGTGGCATCTTGCAAAGTGATGGCGCCAGTAGTGATAACATCTCCGCCCTGCGTCATGTCTATACCAATCGCGGCATTGTTGATGACAATATCCTTGTAGGCAAACAGCCAATTCCAGTTCTGGTAAATGGCGGTCTGACAATTGTTGAAGGTCAGATTTCGGCAAGTGAACTGTTGGTTGCCAGAGAAGAAGCCAATTGAACCTCCATTGAAAATGAGATCTTCCAGATACAGGGCCGATCCATTGTCCATGAAGACGCNCCTAAGCAGAATCAGTAACGCATATCGCCATCCGAAATTGTGTAGACTGACCATTTGCTGATTATCGTCACCGCCTTCAGTCATCTCGAAAACGATGTTCTGTAGCGATGTTCCTTGAGCTACCTGCCAATGCAAGCAATGAGCCGTACCTGGGAGTATTTGACGAATGTCCAGAACAAAATTGCGGACTTGACGCCACATATTATTNNCTAGACGCGACGTATCAGCATTGCGCTGGAGATGTACAGTAGGTTGACTTACCTGGTTGGCCCACCAGCTGACTCCAAAGGCCAGATATGGGTCTGAATCCAGCAAAGCGATACCATAGAAGTTCGGAAGACCCAGGATCACAGGCAGATTGTTGGCGTCTCCGATGAATTGTGTGTAGTACAGCATAACAAGGGGTCTGCTGATAGCATATGTACCAGGGGGGAAGTACACAATGGCTGGAGCGGTAGTCTGTGATTCACAAGGATAGGCACATCTGTTGCCATCATATGTTGCATTGTTGATAGCATCGGTGTCATCAGTAACGCCATCGCNCTGGATTCTGTCAGATAAATAACGATTGCAATTGAAGCACTCAAGCAGACCTTTAGCTCCATAATCCATTACATTCCTCCAAACGACGTATGAAGAGTTTGCGCCATATACAACTTTGCCTTGCCTGGTGATCTCAGAGAACCAGTAGGGAGTCCCTGAGCCGTAGCGCTTCACATGATTTGTAGTATGAAGCGGTGCCGTTTCGGGTGATTGGGCTTGAACNNCTAGACATACATGAGAACAGAATACAAAGATGATAGTATGGCAACTTACGAGCGTCAAAGAGAACGAACACAACAAGAGAGTGACACAAGCCACCAAGGGGAATAGCCGCACTCGCGCCATCATCTCTCTGTCAGCGATAGCGATGGTCTGTCTCTGAAGAGCAAAAGAACAGAAAAGAATTTAGCATACTCCAGGTAACAGTGTAAGTGGGATGAGCACGCAATGTGTGTTTACGACGCCAGTGCATGTAGAGGAATGAAGATTCCTGCCGCGCGTGGTCCATCACGCAAGGAACCAACAAGGAAGTATTCTGGCCAAGCGAATTCCTCGCAAGAACCTGACGGAGATATTAATTTCAATGGCTAATTAGTTCCTGGACGACAGGCCAAGTCTCTGTTCCTTGGTCCTTGTGTCTTTTCGTGGGCCTCTAGATGGGTCGAAACGTGAATCGCTGTAGGAACTAAGGTCCGCACGCTGCTGCTGATTCTTCTCCTGATCTTTTCTGAGTTTATTGGCATCGTAAGCAGCAATATCGTCCTGGACCAGAGTGATCTTGGTGGGTTGTCTGCGAAGCATGATGGCGATGATGATGGAAGTGGTTGTTTTGATGGGGCCCAAGCGAACGATAGAGATAGTTCGTGGCTCGAATTGACAGATCAAGATATGATCTCAATGCTGACAGAGGGTAATAAGAAATCAACAAGAAATTAAAGGTGAACTGATGATAGTTGAATAGAAGGCAATGTTGATGTTTCGGAGGCCTTCAAGACCTCCGCAATACAGCAGGTGCGCACAGACCACCATCTTCGATGGACAAGATTTGGGACAGCGGCCAACATGACCGTGAATTTCTGTACCGAGTATACGTCCATTCACAACCAACATCATGTTCAAAAGGCAGCCGCTGACAGCCGTCTCAGCGGTCAGACCGCAATGCCCTGTCAGCCTTCGTGTGCAGTCGGCACGCTACCTCAGCGACATCAGAAGAGCCGACCGCCAAAGAGGCCAGGAAAAGGCTCCAACACCATGCGTATGCTCGAACGCACCTCTCTGCTACGACAATCATGATTGACTCTGTACAGCGACAAACCCGGCTCCCGAACACACTCCCACACCGCACAACCAACCTGCCACTGGTCGCTCACGGCAACAACGCGCCGCCCAGGTCTCTGAAGAAGTCCGCATGCTGAACCGCGGCAGTACCGCTGCCACCGTCTCGGGCGGTAACAACAGTATCTACCCCACCACTCGCTCCAAGGATGTCGATGCAGATGCTGTTGGTGGAAGTGGCCCTATGGGAGAAAACGACTCCGCAGCTCGCGAGAGTGCTTTTGCCCAAAGCCCTGGTCGCCCAATGCGTGCTGGTAGAGCCGCTGGCGAGTCGAGATCCGAACACACATCTTCTGGCGCTGTGCTAGACCCCAACGAAGGCGGCGAGGCCGTGCTGGAAGATATTGAGGGAGGAAGAGGAGAGCAAGAGTTAGTTGAGGAAGAGCAGGCACAAGACGAAGACGACGAGGAGGGCGGCGGCAGTGACGAATTGGGAGCCGACCCAATGGGCCAATCCACAGCCAACGAACTCACAATCCTCGAGCAATTCGACAAGCAAGAAGTCACAGCCGTGCCCTTTGAGCCCGAAACCGTCTCGCGCGACGAATACCTCAAGCTCGGCCAAGGAGGTGCCACTATCGCTGCTGGAAACTTCGCTGGTGTCATTGAGGATCGCATCAAGATTGTCGCGGAAGCCCAACAGGACGAGTTCCGCTACGCTCCCGATATTGCTAAGCGCATGATCAAGGGTGAACTCGTGTCATTCAAGGACGAGCAAGAAAAGGCAGCGGTTCTTGCAACCGTCAAGAAGGAAGACTTCAACTTCTCCGCTCTTTCTGCCAACAGCCAGACTGTCATGTTCGACAAGTTCGTCCGTGGCGCATACTCCGACCCCAAGGCCGCACCACACAAGAACAAGGTCCTGAACGAGATCGCCCGCACCATCTCGCGCAACTCCACATACCTCAACAAAGACTCGACCAAGCTCCTCAGAAAGATTGGTAGCCTCTTGCCTTCAGAGGCCGCTGCGCGCAAGCCCGCCGCCGCCCCTAGAAAGTAAATCGCACGCTTTTGGGTCTGTATAATAGAAATGTATCTTTCTTGTAACAATTTACGAACTATCGAACCACTTCGTCTGTACATCTACCAATCCTCGTCGTCCTGTCTCATTGCCTTTGACCGTGCTCTCAGTGCTTCTGCCAATCCTCCTGCTAATCCACCTGCTCCCGGTGTTGATGTACCGCTGTCTGTGCCACTTCCGCTGCCTCCAGGGGCAGGGGTGCTGGCTTGCGCCCTGCTGGTCGCTTGGCTGGCGGAGGAGGTGGCATCTTCTTGCCAGCTACAGCGCCGTTGGCCTTGGTGGTGCTGGAGGCACCGAACGCGCCTGCACTGGTGGAGGAGGTGGAGGAGCTGGTTTAGCCACAACCTCTTCCAGATATGCCGACGGTGCCCATCCTGACGCCGAACCATCCATTCGTTTTGCGAGCCACCATCNCTAGAATCTATCAGTGTCATACTCTCTTGTCTGGACCATGTAGAACATACCGTTGTTTTCCTTTTGAGTCACCAGAATGACCTCGTCCTTGGTGAGACTTAGCTCACCACTTGTCTGTCCAGCAAAGTCGTACATTGCCCTAAACTGTGGTTCTTTTGGTGCCGCAGCAGGAGGTGGTGGCGGTGGAGGAACGCGTGCCGATCCAGCTGATGCGGTGCGCGCATGTCCGGTGCCATTGAGTGCTGCGACAGGTGCGGGAACTGGTTTTTGCTGCATGGCGGCCTGTACAGCGGCTGCGGCTGCCGCGGGAGTTGACACTGTAGCCGCAGGTAGGCCTGCTGGTGGCCCTTGGTTTCCACTCGGGAGAGGTCGAGCTTGTGGAACAGGTCGAGGTTGAGGTACGGGACGAGCAGCTAATTTCGATGGCTGGCCACCAGGACCTCCAGGTCTCAGGAGCTTACCACTAGTAATTGGCTTGCCAGGTACCGACTTGGCCTTTGGTGTTGGTTTCGATACAGAGTTAGGGGATTCACCAGGTCCAGTGTGGACAGTACCACTCTTGTACAAGTCATCGCGAGCAACGGTCTGGTCCTTGACAACCTTGACAGTTGCCAGCTTACCAGGCTTCTTGTTGTAGCTGATCGCCTCGGCGATACGGATATCGACCGTGCCACGCGAAGCCTGCTTCAGCATAGTAAAGAACTCAGTCTTGAAGATGCAGTTCACCAGTGGGTCGGGCTCCTGAGCAGATCCAGCACCAATTGCAAACCAATCATCCTTTAGGGTGGAGGCGCTGACAAACTTGATGGCACCAATAGCAATTGTGCGCTCGGCCATAATTTGCAGCTGCTTGTTGACAATGGCTTGCTTCACGAGGTACACACTCCTGTTAGTCAAGATGAGGAAACGCGGCTCTGGCTTGCTAGATCGTCCAAGTTTGGAAACGAGAACTTCGCAACGGCAAGAGAATAGCACCTGGTCAGAGCTGGGCAAACTGATCGACTTTCTGATCATCTCGCCACTTCCACCATTGTTTCCAATGCCAAGATAGTCTCCCATGAATCTTCTGTAACCAATCAATGAGTAGCGTCTGCGCTCTTTGCGGCCTCCAAGAACTTTGTGACCCTCGTCACGCAGCTGGATGAATTCCATGCCGCCGGTCTTGCGCCTCCAGAAGCGTTGAATGCGCGTTGCACACTCTATCCTGTAGCGGAGATAATTACGCCAAGCTCTCTGGATTCTAATGGCCATGTTGTGCCAATACCTATCACGCATGGTCTCAAGCGCAAAGAGAGTTTCTGGAGTCTTAATGAACGCCTTGGTGACACCCATTTGATACTCTTCGACGGGAATACTGCTGTCTTTGAGAATCTGCTTGACACCAGACTTGGCATCACCAGTCCATGTGTAGTCTCCAGCATAACTTGTTTTTGGCGAGAGAAGGTAGAAACGCTCAACAAACTTGTCGAATGTTTGTCTGTACGCGAAACCAGCACGGCGAATACGGACGTTCTCCTGAAGACCTAGATACTTGATTTGATGCATAACGTTTCCAACGTTGTACTCGGTTGGTGACTTGTTCTCGTTCGGCTTGATTGTGCGAATGTAGGAGGGCGATGCTTTCATCAGTGTAGAAACCAGATCATTAGCGGAAGCCTTGATTCGATCACCAGCAGTAGGTGGTCGGCGCTTGTTGTCTTGATCAACCTGTTCAGGGAAGAGAGTGTGGACAAATCTGTTCGAACTCTGTCCGCAGAGGTTGAGAATATCCTTCAGTAGCTGATCCTTGTTCTTGTCCGTCATGCCCTCAACAGCATAGGCGACATCACCAGCATAATGCTTGATGACAAACTGACCTTGTCTTGGCTGGAAGTTAGGGTTTGAGGACAATGCATTCAGTCTCTGCACAAAAGTGCCATCTGCAGCTGCAGGGTCAGCATGGGCTGTCGCACAAGCATCGTTCAGTGCTGCAAAGACGCCAGGAGGCCTCTTCTCCTCGATCAATTCACATACGACTTTGTTGTCGAAGTATTTGATCGGGGTCCAGGTGATTTGTTCTCTTTCATATTCTTCTTGCTCGGCCTTGAGCGTCAACTGGATAAAGATCTGTTGCAGCTTCTCATTGACGTAGTTGATGCAAAGTTGCTCGAAACTGTTGCGCTCGAAGATTTCAAATCCGTAGATATCGAGGATACCGACTGACTGAGCGATAGCTCCTTTAGCACGAAGAGACTGGTTGACTCTTTGAACAATCCAGTCAAATAGGTTGTAGTAGATGGCCTTGGCCAGGGCATCTCTAACAGAGGTCGCTTGCGCTGGGTTAAGTGGAACGTCGTAAACCGATCCTCTTCGACCACCACGGCTAGTCTCCATGACTCTGATAGTCAAGGCTTTGTTGACGTGAGCTGAGTCGACCTCCAAAAGGTAGGCGACAAAGTCAACCACAGACTGGTCCGCGATCGCGGCGTTTCCTTGGTCATCTTCGCCAAATGTACAGTTTCCGAGCCAAAGGATTGCAGCAAGCATGCGGAAGATATCATCCTGCTCGGCTTGCGACAGACCAATAACCTTCATGGCGTTCAAAGTGTCCTGGAACTCAGCATGATCATCAATTCCCTGCACATCGTAGCACTTTGACGCGCTGGTGTAGACATAAGACTGAGGCTGCTGAATGCCGAAAGTCTGTCTGTAGTTCTCCGAACATGCTTTTGTGAACTGGTAGAAGATGTGGAAGTTTCTCTCGTTCATGATTTGTCCCACAACTCTTGACTTTTCCAGTAGGTAGTTGGTAATGTTGGCACCAACGGGTTCGCCCTGCGCGTTGAATTGGATTTCGAGGTACTTTCCGAATCGCGAAGAGTTGTTGTTGCGCAGCGTTTTTGCGTTTCCGAAAGATTCGAGCAGAGGATTTGTGGCCAATACCATGTCCTTCACCTCTTGAATAGACGAGTTACTACCACCAGACACATTGGCGATGTATTGCATGATACGCTTAGCCGCCTCGGTCTTTCCGGCTCCTGACTCTCCTGAGATAATAATGCATTGGTTCTCTTTGTAGGCGTTCATGTTGTAGTAGGAGGATTCGGCGATAGCGAAGACGTGAGGAGGAACNNCTGTAGAGAGTCAGTGCTGTATGTATACTGTGGCCGCGAGACACACTTCTAATCTGTTCTTTCCCTTGTAGCTGTCAAGCACCTTGTCGGTATAGATGCCCACNNTAGAGCAGGTGAGTCAGCGCACGGGAGGTTCAGATGGTATACGACACGACTTACGGTCTCTGAACGGATTCACCGACACCAGCACATGGCCAATATACGNTCTGCGCGAAACTACAGTCAGCATCCGCGCGTTTGAACACGTGCAAGTTCGCAGCGCGCATACATAGATCTCGCCATTCTCGAATCGCTTCTTCAGATTGTCGTTGATGGCCTCGTTGGAAATCTTGCTGATAAGGGTGAGATCCGAGACTCCAACTTCCTTCTTCTTAGTCGACTCGAAGGCTGCCTTCTTGACTTGAGGCTTTCCGCCGGTGGCTCCAGGTTGCGCGGCGGTAGCATCCTTCTTTCTTCCAGCTCGTTTAGTGACGGCCTGTGGGTAGGAAGTTAGACAATTGGCGCAACATGGCTGTACTGGCAGTGGAAGCTCACCATGGTGGGCCTGATCTAATTGTGGGGGCAGTCGAGGCTAGTGTGGACGTAGCGCAGAGCTCCGAGTATGTTGGAATGCCGGAGTATCCAAGCAAAAAACAGCAGAAGATCGGACAGAAGAAGAGGTGTAAGTCTTCAAGAATCGGTTGCAATCTGGCTAAGATTGGTGACATGCGAGATCAAACTTGCCCCATACCCACCCACGAGCACCGGTGTTCCACGGACCGAACGCGCGCAGCACCAGCCACGTCATGGCACATCCGCAACGACGAGTTGATAGCGAACAGTTGTTGTTCTCATGCAGGGTCCAACTGGCAGAAGATTGCCGAGCCTACGTTTGGAACACAATCCACCGGGCGTCCCATGTCCACTTCTCAACGTACGCGCAATGTCCTGTTGCTAAGCCATCCATCCATACACCACATACTCTGCAGTCTTAGCATTTTTAGGCACCTGTATTCTGCAAGATTCGCAATCCGGGTCCTTTGGAAAATAGTCATTCGCCTCTTGATGCATTCATTGCTAGACAAAAATTCATGACAGTGATCATAGGTATCCAAAACGAGAAACCGAAACACAAAACTTCCATGCTAAAACCCAACCTCTCCCAAAACGCCTCGCTGTCCAACACCAAAAGTGGCTTCAAAGAATTGAAAGACAATGTGCAAAAGGTCCCGATCGTCATGATCTAACCTCGTCACCCCCAAGCCTGCCCACCGTCACCCAGTCAATCTTGCGCGCGTGCTCGTTGACCCAAGAACCCTGCCACTGCAGACGTTCCTCTTCGGCGCCTGTGCGACCAAGACCGCCTCCTGATATCCACTGGTCTAGTATTTGAAGCAGCAACTGCATCTTTTCTTCGACCATGTTGGCTTCAACCATCTCGGCGAACAACTTTCGCCCACGCCCTTGCTGCGAACCGTACAGCAGAGCATGAATTGAATGCACCAAAGTTTGTCGATCTCTGAGCAGCTTAGTTGGCAAGTCATGCTTCTCTTCGATTGCGCGCACGCCTTCGACTGGTACAAGTGTTGCAGAAATATGCAAACCATCAGCGGAGATGACAAATTTCGTGTGATCCGGGAAATGGAGCTGTTCTTTTGTAAGTATCTTGCCTTTGTAGCATCAATATCATGATTAAAACGTACCTGGACACAGCCGTCCGAGAATCCCCAGATACCGACATTGCCTGATCTTTGATAGAACCGAACAAATAGCAAGTCCGAGTCCATATCCATCTCGTCGTCCGCGCAGTCCGCCGTCTCAGTCGCATTGAGCGTTTGGCTCATGTATCTTCCAAACTTGACCCAAAGAACGCGCAGCATCCGTAATCTTTCCCTCGTCTTGTCATCCCTGCTCGCGAGGTCAAGCTTTTCGAGTCCAGCAGCGCCATGGTCTTCGAATATCCTGAATGGAACATGTTCCAAATGCTCGAAGCGTTTTCCTATGCGTGCGAGCCAACGTTCTCCATTCTTGACTGCCACATGAGTCACGGGTGTTCCGCTTGCTGCAGAACCATTGATGACACACCCAACTGTGCCATCGTCCAGGACGTATCCTACACCATGCTTTTTGCTGTAATCTACCCATCGACTCACGAAGGGAAGCGGTTTCGATGGTTGCTGTGGTACTCTTCGGGAAGGCATCAAATGCTTCCTTTCCAAAGCCGAGGCTAGATTGTCTCGAAATGCATTCAGGCGCTCCAATACTGCTGCCGGGTCCGATCCTGGGAAGGTCGAAGTTGACTCAATGACCTTCCTCCTTGGAACTGGAAGTTTTGCAGTCATGACTGGGGGCGGTGGGAGGGCTGGTCTTCCAAGGTTCTCCTGTTCATCAAATATCTCAACTACTTCTTGGCTCGGCTGTTTCGACCTCGATCGTGAGCTGCGAGTGGCTAACGTCTTGGACGGCGCAATCTCCAGATCGTCGCGGATAGCATCTGCCAGAGCAGGAATGTCTCGATCCGAGGGATTCTTTCGTGGTCGTCGTGCCAGGCTGGCGTCTACGCTTCGCTTCGACACCGGAATGATCTCTCCACTCTGAGGCTGTGAAGATGATGGAAGGAAGTTTGTACCGCTGAAGGCAGTTTGACTCAAAGTGTTAGTTTGGCTGAGTGTGTTCAGTCGAGAAGATTGGCGAGTGGACTCCGGAGCACTTTCTTCCTTGTCCTCTGTCACTGTACGCGTTCTTCGTATCGGCCCTGCTCGTCTGACACGAGGTGGGGGAGGCATCAGCTCGGCATCCTTCTTCTTCTTAGTCTCGTCTGCGCTGTTGTCTCTGGATGTTGGCTGAACCTCGTTATGGCATATCTCCTTGAGCTGTCTCGTGTCGGGTTCGCGCTCTTCGGCAATTTCTGGCAGTGCGTTCCTGGGCTGGAACGCGTCGATGCTGTTGCAATTCGGCGAAGTATAAACCGTGTCTGATGGAATGGGTATTACGGGCTGGCGACCTGCTGCAACCTCTCTCTCGATGTCCCTTACAATGCTGCGTATCTTCTTGCCTGCATTGAGCTGGAAGCACTTGCCTGGTGCATACTCACCAACTCCAGACTCCTTGCAGACGTACCACCAGGATTCACTGTAACCTCTTTGAAGCACCTCTGGACTCGGTGGTTGCACGTTAGGCCATGTGGGAACTTTGCTGACTTGAGCGCGGCTCATTTGTCTAGGAACAAAGGCGATCTTGAAGAATGGATGCGAAACAATCTGATCCGGAGAAGGGCGCAATTCTTCCGAGACTAATAGAGACGAGACCAAGTCTCGTAGGTCTGCTGAAATTTCGTTTGTGATGGAAGACAATTCGGGCCATGAATAGTCGCCTGCTTTGAGTTTCTTGTAAATCTCCTCCTTGGATGATGCATGGAAAGGAGCCTTTCCGACGGCAAGAGTGTATCTATTCAGGTCAGCCACCTGGATGCGAAACAGGCCGAACGAACTTACGCGATGATACCAATAGCCCACAGGTCAACCTTTTCGCTATGACCCTTGCCCTTTCCAGAATCTCCGGGGCCAGGTAGTTGGGTGTGCCGCACATGGTGGTTCGTCGTTTTGCGTCCATATCTTTCCACTGACAAGTAATGCGGCGAGGCCAAAGTCACCGACCTTGATGTTCATCTTCTCGTCGAGAAACAGGTTTCCAGTTTTGAGATCGCGGTGAACAATGTTGCGCGCATGTAGGTATTTGACAGCACCAGAGACTTGGATGATGAAGCGGCGGATCTCGGGCATAGTGATGTTTTTGCGACGCTTCAGCATGTCTGCAAGAGAGCCGCTGGAGCACAGTTCTAGGACGACGTAGGTGCTTTCGCCAAAGGAGAATGCGCGGTGGAAGCCTACAATATTAGGGTGGGAGAGCTTGGAATGAATTTGCAATTCGGTGATGAACTGGACGACGAAGACAGGTCAGAACAACACAAGTAAGTCAATGGATATCGGCGCACCTTTTGCGCTAGCTTTGCGGGCTCCATCCTGGACTTAACAATCTTCAGGGCAACGACATGACCAGTGGGTTGGTCGCGCTCGAGACGTTCGGCTTTGAAGCAAATGGCAAAGCCGCCCTTGCCCAGTTGATTGGAGGTAGCATAATTGATGCCATGCGGTTCCGATACGATAGATGGCGGAGGCTCCGCGTGGACAGACATGGTTAGTATCTGCTGCGAGTATGATGCTGGTGGATGGCTGGTCGTGACTTGGAGCAGAGAGAAGCGTCAAGCTCTCGCTTGCTGTGTTATTTTGTTTACACGCTTTCCCGCACAGCAACCGACCACGGTCCACCAACCACCAACCGGCCCAAGACGCCCGCGGCCCGCCCGACGCCGACATGCCGATCCCCGACCTCGAAACGCTGCTGCGTCATGTTCAGGCTGTTGTTGACTGTGCAACTTTTATCTCTCGGCTTCTGCTGGTTGCAGCCGCTCAATGTCGTTGACCTTCAAGCTCGCCTCTCTGGTGATTCGTACTGTTGCCAAACCTATAGGCGTATGCAACCTTCAATCTTTTCCAATTCAGTCACAAATCTGACTTCTAGGCAGNAACCGAATCAAGCAGTCCGCCCGAGAACATGAAACCTTTCGTAGATACTGTGTGGGCTTTGCTCAGGGCCTCCACCGTGTAGATATGCGCATGCGATTGGGTATCTTACACGACGCTGCTGCTCAGGAACGCATGCATGCTCGAGAAGCTGCGGAGGCTGCTGCCAANAAGAGACAATCCGAGACACCCACCGTCAAAACCGAAGCCCAACANAAGGCAGACGATGCAGCTGCAGCTGATCTGAAAGAGAAGAAGGCCGAAGCTCCATCAAAACCCAGAATCCGCCCGCTTTCCGAAAATCGAGCTATCGAGTTAGGCGCCAACTTCCTCTCAGAATCTTTCATCTTTGGTGTGGCCGTAGGCTTACTTGTCTGGGACCAATGGCGCACGAGAAGGAAGGAGAGCACTCGAAGAGAGGGCGTCGAAGACCGATTGGACGCGCTAGAAGATCACACACGTCAAATCACTGATCTCAAGTCAGAAGTTGCTCGACTCAAATCGAAATACGAACCACTGCCTATCCCCGCAGAGGACAACGACAATGGCAACAAAACAGACGACACTACTGTCGCACGCCCAGAATCCGAGCCACAGCCGGTGCAAAGAGTCGAAACATCTGANACCAAACAGAAGTCCAGAAAAGAAGGAAAATCAGAAAATACTTCGCTGGCGGAGCAAACTCAATGAGCGACTGGCCACTGACAGCTTCGCACCCTGTACATATACATCCACACCTCTCAAGATACCCCACAAAGATATACATCCCAACTCTGTATAAAAGCCCTGTTACACTAAGGTCTGTAACTTCACCGTACTCCGACTATAGTTCAAAGCAAAATCCAGACTATCAAAAGGCACAATTGTTATCAGAAACAGAGCGTGTCCACAGAGAGTCGACGACTTTTGCCTCTGAGTGGATACTAGTTTGTTTTCTATACTATTCTGCATTTCTACAGGTACACGTGTTACATACTTTAGTACATGGGGAGGATGGAGGACGTATGAGTATTCTACTTTGATTTACGAGGCCTAGGACAAGGACTATTGACAAAGCAGGACAAGTCCAGCATCGCGACATGGATGCATGTTCGACATTTGATACGCAAGATTGGTTCTGTCGAAGCAAAAAGTGTGACACGGTAAACTGAAAACCCCAACGCCAAACATCAAACAAGAGATGAATGCTCCTCTGAGCCCAACACAGCAGTCAGAAAGATTAGAAGATGGAGTTGACAATGTTACCACCAATGGTGGCACCGGCACCAAAGATGGCTGCGTTTCCGAGCTAGACGGCAATCAGTATAGGAAAACCAAGTATGTGCAAAGATGAACGTTACCTTCTTGCCAAACTTCTTACCCATTTCCTCACCCTTGCCGGGAACCTTGCNNCACTACCGTCACCCTGGCCACTGACTTCAAGAGGCATGTTGCCGTAGTTTGTAGGTGCTGATTGCGGTAGAGTGTTCTCAATGACACGAACGTACGAGCGAGGGAAGATACCTTCCTGGCCAGTGCGCGACGAACGACCCTTCCACCACTCGGCGTTCATGTACTCGGTGACGTTGATGTGGTCGTTGGGCTGGAGTTCAAGATCGCCAGGATCGGTGCCATTGTAAGCGTACAGAGCAGTGGCTTGAGCAAGCGGGGGCATAGATGGCGGAGGAGCAGCATATGCTGGTGGGGGAGCAGGAGTAGCTGCTGGTGAGGGCTGGTAGAAGTTGTTTCCTTGCTTCTTCTCGTCGTCTCTGTTGATGTTCAGGTTGGCCATGGGCGCTGTGGGGACGGCATTGTTGGTAGGAACGGCGCCAGGGACGGCACCGACGGACAAGGGCGCATGCAGAGCAGTCTGGGCGGGGATCTGTGACAACAGCGACGACAGCTGCTGCGGTGTAATGACAGATGCGTCGCACAAGTATTCGAGTTNCCTGTTCAGGCGTCAGTCGGCCGTTGGTTGGCTTTGCACATTGCGCTGTCTCCGCACCGCTTTGATCGTCCGGATGGAGCGGTTGAGCTGGGCAATCTGCATTTCTTCGAGCGGTGCCATGGTTGAGGTTTGATGGACAATCGCTTGATCAAATGAAGGAAAGGAAGAGAGGTGCTAGGAACGAGTTGTAGAGGATATCAAGTCTAGGGTCGAGTCCGGGCAGTGCACTCGCGTCGTTGCATTTGTTTCACATGGCAATGCAGCCTGGCCAAGCCTCCTGCAACGTCACGTCGTGTTCGGATATTCTTCATTCTCCGTCTATGTATCTAGTTTTTGGGCTCGCTGTCCTTACTGCGAATGCTGTGCCATCATCTTGGCTATGTGAGCATTCATACCGTGGAATGCCTTCTGTCTCTCTTGCTCCCATCCGTTGAACGAGCCCTCCGACATACCCACAGGAATCTGATCCTTGCCGGCGTCGAGTCCAGCCCATGTAGCATCCGTGAAGTCCTTCAGCGGCATTCCAATCTGGCTACCGTTCTTGATGTCCGGCTGGTGCTTCGCGTCATGTAGCTCGGTTTGTACTGCAGGAGGGAAGATCTCAATAACCTGAATGTTTCCAGGGCCATTCTTGAGCTGTTCACGAAGCACCAGAATGAAATGGTGCAGAGCAGCCTTGGAAGCACAGTAGTTGGGACATCTGATCATAGGGACNNCTGTACATGGGTCAGTATACTGCTTCGTGCGACTCTTCTTGCCCCTCTCTCGGCCGTCTTCCAATCGCAACGAACAACACGATGCAGAATGCCGTCATCAAACCGGAGTCCTCAGACGATGGAACATCATAATCACGAGAGAGCAAGTGCAAACGATTTGTGTACTTACCAAAGCTAATCCAGATGTGGTGAAGATGAAGGAGGTCTGCTTGCTCTGCTTCTGCAGATACGGGGTAAAGGCGGTGACCAAATGGATGTATGAGATGTAGTTGGTGTTCATCTCTTCTGAAACCGAGCTGAGATCGATGCTCTCAGGCTTGGAAAAGTCGAATCCTCTCTGAATGCCAGAGTTGAGGAAGATACTGTCAATGTCTGGGTGAGACTCCATGATATCCTTTACAAACTTGGGAATCTTGTCCAGCTGTGTGATATCGAACTGTACTGCCTCGGCCTTCTCTTTGCCATGTTGAGCAACAAACTCATCGAGCTTCTCTTGTCTACGGCCTGTAACAATAACCGAAGTGCCATTCTCGACCAGCTTGCTTGCAAGAGCCCAACCGATACCAGATGTGGCACCGAGGACGAGGACTTTGTTGTAGTTGAAAGGCATTGTATTTCCAGGAGAATTGTCAATTGAGAGGCGAGCCAGAAGTTGAATACTTGATCATAACCCACGGCAGTTGATTATATAGCTAGCTCCTGGGTTACATCATCCAGAGTCTAGACACGGAGTTAGGTAGTTCATGTCCGACTGACCGAGATGCCGAAGGAGAGAGTTTTCCCTCCACGTGTGATAGGGCTCACAAACAGTTCTATCTTGACCCATCTCCCGCCTATAGATATAGGATAATCATAAGCTGTCAAAATGCACAATTGCTTCCTGAACAAGAGGGTGGCCATGGAGATAGCTTGTAGAAGAGTTATCTCCGTGGACAACACTAGTCCACCAAAAGCATTGTGCATTTCTATGCTACCCTATGACAGTAGTTGGCGCATGGGAGAGGACTAATTGCTATGGAAGCTATTGTACCCTCAATGTTCCTGCCAGGAGAAATAGTAAACTTGCACTGTCAACTTCACGAGGCTCTACAGATTGCGCAAGAACCGCATCGGCGACCCCGAACTTTTTATTTCAAGTTGCGCCAAACGTTGGAACTACCGTCGCTCAGATCCGACGACATGAATTGAGGGCAGTCCAATCATTCCCTGCCACCTTTGTCTGCGTCTGTGTTCTTTCACGCGCGCACAGCTTTCGCTGTCAACTTTTCGTACTTCTTATGATGTGTTGATCATCAATTTCGTTTTTTCTGCATCGTTGATCGTTCATCGGTTCGTCATGGCTGAGAAGGAGATAAGACCTGTCTCTTCTCCGCTTTCGGCCGAGCAGCAGTCGAAGGAGGCAGCTCACCTTGATGAAGAAATTGAGGTCATCGAACAGGAGGAACACACAATACAGTCGCCAGGCGAAGCCCCATTGCAACCTGCGCTGTCGAGAGCTCGCACTATCGCTCTAGTGGCCACACTGACTGGAGCTGCATTCTTGAAGTAAGTCAACTGCCGTAGAGTAATGCTCGAGGGTTAACATTTTGATAGCACGTTAACGGTCCAGGCCGTAGTCATTGTCCTTCCGAGCATTGGTAAGTGGGTCAGCTCTCAGGAGCACGAGTCAAGAGTCTTTCCTATGTCTCGAGAGATCAAACTACAGTTGTCACACTGCAAGGTTTTATCGAGTAATCTCGTATGGTCCATTGAGATGTGCTGAGATAGACACTGATGCACATATCACTCTGATGGCGTACCATTTTTCACAAAAGACGCATGCTGATTGTACCCTTACCTGCTAGGCAAAGCACTTGATATACCTGCAGCCAGACAACAATGGATCGTTTCAGCCTATTCTCTATCCTTCGGCTGTTTCCTATTACTCTGGGGCAAGCTTGCCGATGTCTACGGCAAGAGACCCATCTTTATCCTAGGATCCCTCTGGGTTGCTATACTCACACTGGTAAATCCATTCGCAACCAACGAGATCGCCTTTGATCTTCTCCGGGGACTACAAGGTGTTGGCGGAGCTGGCAATGTTCCCTCTGCAATTGGCATACTGTCTGCTACATTCCCTCCTGGAAAAGCTCGGAACTACGCTTTCTCTTTATATTCTGCCGGTGCGCCTATGGGCTCCGTAATGGGCAACCTGCTGGGCGGTCTCGTTGCGCAATACGCAAGTTGGAGATGGATCTTCTGGATTCTTTCCATCATGGCATTCCTGGTGACAGTGGCTGGCTACTTCATCGTCCCAAAAGCGCCTCCTCGACAAGACTCTGAGCTGAAGAAATCCGTTGATTGGATCGGAGCCTTTCTAGTAACGGTTGGCGTCCTGGTCTTACTCTTTGCTCTGGCTGAAGGCAACGTCGTGGGCTGGAGCAAGGCGTATATCCCTGTTTTGATCGTATTGTCGATTCTATTTATTGTTACGTTCGTCTTCTGGCAGCTGTATCTGGAGAAACGGACCCAAAGACGACCCCTGATGAAAGTTACCCTGTTCAAGCGCCTCAAAGTTTCTGCCGCCATGTTAGCCATGGCCGTCTTCTTCTCAGCCTTCAACAACTATCTCATCTTTTCGACGTATTTCTATCAAGAGTATCTCGGACTCGATGCCATCCAGACTACCCTTCGCTTCATTCCAACTGGCGTCGTCGGCATACTCACAGTCCTTGTGACCTCTCAGCTCTTAAGCAGAGTTTCTATACATTTTATACTCATGTGGGGGATGACTTGCGTGGGATTGGCAAANCTTGTAAGTACTAAGAACACAGATTTATGCTTAATTTCTTCGCCGTATGCTGACTAGAGCAGGCTTATGGCCGTCCCAATACCGCCGACGGAGACGTATTGGGCTTATGGCTTTCCAGCCATGTGTTTAGCCGTGTTTGGTGCAGATACTTTGTTTCCCTCGCTACTTCTTCTCGTGGCTCACAACCTTCCCCCAGAGGATCAAGCCCTAGGTGGTGGGCTCGTAAACGCCCTGGGTCAGATCGGGCGAGCCATTGGTTTAGCCATCGGCACTGCTATTCAGGTCGCCGTGCAAAGCAGCCAGGAGAGAACGCGTGTCGTTGACATGGAAGCAAATGTCGGAGACCATGCCTATCTGCATGGGTTGCACGCAGCTCAATGGCTCAACGTAGGCTTTGCAGCGACCGGGTTCCTTGTTGTCGCGCTTGCATTCAGGGGCGCAGGAGTGATTGGAGCGTCCAAGTGCCGAAAGTAGCCTCGATAGTTGACTGGGACAATGTTATCACAATCACCCAAGCTATGCATGAATTATGCTCCCTTGTTGCGTTTCAGCCTCCCCGTGTGCCAAAGCATGTAAGGCGTACCTATAGAAATGCATGATAGCATTGGGAAACACAACAGTGTCCACTGAGAGGCGCCATGTTATCCGCTCTCTTTGGTCAAGCCTCTACTTTCAAGATTATCGTGCATTTTTATGGTGTACTCTTTGCTCTTTGCTCTTTGCTATAGTTGGAGCACGATGAAAGTTACAGACTTCAGCACAAAGGGAAGCGATTCCACTTCAGCTCCTGCATTGCCAGTGACAAGACCTGAACAGAGTTCAGGTAGATGCAGAAAGCTTCTGGTGTCCGTCTAATGCCTTCTCGGAACCACCAACTACTCAGCCCGAAGACGATTTGACTTTTCCCGCTCGCCTGTGCATTCCTCGCTCTTAGACAAAACGCCGAGCAAAGAGGACATCGAGAGAAGAAACGCGCGAGTGCGGGCGGCGCAAGCCATTGCATGCAAGTCAGTTGAAGTACCAGCTCCTCGGAGGCGAGAATGGCTCTCGAGACTTTTTTTTCTTTGCAGGGCTGACGATTCCTCGAGTAATTTCCATGGAGATAGATGTCAGCATGCAGACCTGGTGTGACAAAATCGTGATGCGCCATGAGTGTCTAGTGACCTGCCAACGGCGCTTAGTTCCGCACCTCCCACAGAAGAAACCAAGCTTGCCTTTCAGCGTAGAAAGAAAGAAGAGATGTGTGACAGGGATGCTGACACACGTGGCCTCGATGCCCCTCCATTCCTCCAAACCCCGCATCCTTTACCAAGAACGGCTCTAAAGTTGCGAGACCAGACAACAGCAAAGTGAGTTCTCGATGTGTGCTGAGCGGACGCTTTCTGGCGCGACATGTCAAGAGATGCGCTCGAGAAGCAGTCAGCGTTGGATCTACCGTCCCTTGCACATAGTTCCACTGCTTGAGCTGTACCAATCTCGATGCAGTGGCTCCTTCTAGGATTGGCTGAGGTGCGAACTGCAAAAGGAACAACCTCATTGCATACGTATTCCCGTCGTGGTCTGTATGTACTGCAATCCTTGCTGTTTGTTAATGCACCCGAGCAGCTTTGTTCTTCGGTTGCGTGGGAGGTTCTGAGCTGTATGTAGATAACGAGTTTTAATTGGTGCTCCTCGTATAATGCCTAAAAGCAATTGCATGTTTCGAATCCACAAAAAGCTCATCGTTCGTGACTGCCTCCTTATGCGAAACAGACTTCCCATGGGTATCATGTATCTCAAGCGCCTTTCCCTATCACATGCCCAGAAATTTACTTTCTAGCCAAGACTTCGATCCCTCCCTTCGAACCGCTCGCTCCTCGCGCACGAGTGGACGCGTAGCTGCTGCGCCGCAACCATGTATCGCAAACCCGTGGATGCAATACTCGCGAAGGAAGCTTCCGACACGACCGACGTGTCGTGGTGCTGTCACACTTGGTGGCACGACGTCTCGTTCTGATTCGAAGTGAGCGCTGTGCAGCATGCAAGATTTGTTTTTCTAGCAAGACGGTATGTTGGGTTTGTGCAACCTCTAACCAACCTCACTTGCCGGATACAAGCTGTTTCAGACTGGGATTCCTCTCTCAGTCTTCCAAAGCTCAAAGGCTAAGGTTGGGGTGCGTTTGATAACACTAAAAACATCTTGAGTGCTGGCAAGCTGAGGGTGACTTCTGAAAGCCTGGAGAACAACGTCCCGAAGACCGCGATCACTGTCAATGGTCGAACAGTAAACTTCTTCGATTGCATCGGCAAACTCTGGCGAGTCGTAGTAGCAGGCCATTGCCATCTCGAATTTGCTTTTTGCAAGAGCCTTCAGGGCAGGGATGTCGTACTTTTCCGCTAATGCGTAAACGCGTGTGTGCGTGAGGAGGTTCGATTCATCTGTCTCGTACTCGCAGTCCTCATCCTCGTCTGACTCGCATTCAGACCCTGAGTTCGAAGCGCTGCCGGGACCTGAGCCGCGAAGTCTGGTCTTGCCTTTCGGGCTCGTTGCACGCGGCGAGTGATCAACGCTCGAATCATGCCTTGAGCNGCAAAGGGGATCAACACTTTCCGTCGGCGTGACTGGCGTAGGTGGGGCGCAAGCAGCTGCCTGAGCGAAAAGAGGGTCCACAATATGAGACAGGTCAAGCTTTTGGGGCCTTTGCCGGAGGGCTTCTTGCGCACGGTGACGGAAGACAGGAGAAGCTGGCCNCTCTTCGTCTTCGGGAACAAGGTAGTCCAGGTGGTAGAAGTCTAAACGGCCGTCAGGCTGTGTAAGGAAAAGGAGAACTGACACGGCAGCAGCCTGCAGATCGTGGCGTCGAGGGAAATGAACGCCAGCAATGCTGACCAGACCGGCGTATCCGGACATTCAGGGACTTACNNAGTGGATCATGTGCTCGACCGCTTCTTCATCTTCCTCGCTCAGATCGATCAAGCCAGTCTGAGCTTCGCGAAACTGGTTGCTACAAGCTCCATCAAAGAATCCAGACCGTGAACAAAGGATGGCTCGGTGAACGGCATATTCTCGAGAGTTGCATTTGACAGTAAGATCAGAGTATTTACCACCCAGATGGAGNNCCTAGTCTTGATCAGCAACCGAGTCGAGGACAGGAACAACCGCAAGCGTGACTCACGTGGAAAGGGCAGACATCAATTCCTTCCTTGGGGATTCCATGACGAACAGCAGACGCTCTTCGGGCTGTGAGGTGGAGAGCCGAGGGTGCAGCGAGGTCTTTAAGGTTATTTGACAATGGAGAATTTTCTCAGGGGAACGAAGATCTCTCTAATCCAGAACGAGTTGGACGAAATTGGTTGATTGCAAAAACCACACAGGAATGGTGGGAAGAGGTGTTGCTTGGATAAATAGTAGAGCGATGTTGTTGGAGGGAAAGCTGTGACATAAGTAAGCCCAGACCAAGACTACTCAGTACTTGTTATTTCAACGCGTGACCCTGACAAAAACGATCGGTCGCCCTAGGCACTGACGCGTACCGAGGTGCTCCGCCGAGTCGCCGTGTCGGTGATGCTGGAAGTGTTCATTGCCGACCTACGTCAAAAGGGTTTTGTCTGTGATTGCAGCAATCTACGATCGCGAACGCCAACAACCACTCGGCCGCTGTTCCCCACAGTGACCAAAGTTCAGGGCGCTAGTACTTGTGGCAGCGCGTGGCAGTCAGATACGACGTTTTCGGCTTGGGATGAAAGTCTGTAGAAGAAGAATACTTGATTGAAAACCAAACTATCAAAATGGTCGAGGGATGTTTGCTCATTTTAATATTGCTGGCGATCAACATCGCGCAAAATCTAGATCACTGCCTCAGCCCTCAGGGGCCACCACACGGAAGTGACTTTCGGCGTGTCCTTTCATGCTTCGGTCGGCATCTCGCATGTGCGTGGACCACCGACTCAGTCTGTGTTTTTGTCTTTGGTGCATGGGCGCTGGTCTGCACTAACCCGCTCTCTGCTTGATAGGCTGGAGCAAAAGCGACTAACTTTCTGGCTTGCGCTCACTCACTCCCCATCGAACGTCTGGCACAAGCTCTAGTGGCTTGATAGAATTAGGCGAAAGTACTTGACAACATCGGCGATGACCTGAGCTGGAAGTCCAATTGCTTGTCCGGGAACACAGAAACGTTCTGCCCTCTTTCCCACTTCATTTTTGCAAGCGTATTAACATTTCCTACCGACGGTGGAGAAAACTCTAAAAGAGCAAAAGAGTTAGAATTTGTTGCCATGTGGAGAGGTCGATCTTTGGGACCATGCAAGAGTGGTCGAGGGGCCACAGCCTGGCTGCAGGGTCTCGACGAGTCGCGTGCCAGCAGCGGCAGGGCTTCTGCACGCGGACGACCCGAGGCATGGCGCCGTAGTCATGGTTCGAACCAACCGCATCCCAAGACTGAAAGCGTGGTCTATCAGCCACTCGATGACATTCTGGTGGTGGGTTTGAAACATAGCCATTCCAACATGCATTGACACGAACCTGGGTATGGAATGTCTGGGGCAGCGCATTTCAGCCTCAAGATACGCTTGTGGCACAGACTCGCAGATCCGAGCTATAGATCGTGGCCAGCCTGCGCCAGAACCAGCCAGTCTATATAAGCGTTTCTCAACTAGAGAAGCACACAGGGAGAGGCGTCGACCCTTTGTGGTTATAGGTCGAATGTTTTATCCGGAGCAGCCTCCGGTCAATGCACTTACCTACAAACAGAACAGCGTCTGCAGTACTTGAGTGGTTGTCAGTATGTTGTGTGACTTGGTTCTGCATAACTTCGCGAGCCAATTGACTAGTCACAGGCCATCACCACCAACATGCGAGGGGCATGCTCTGCAAGAGCAGCATGTGTAACTTCGATCTTCTCTCCGCCAAGTGAACCCAGTCTCCTGAACTTACATGTTCGAGACATCGCTGTGACATCTCCCAAGAGTCGATATCCTGCGGGGTGTCAAGGCCGCCAGTTGCAAATTACCTCGCAAGATCGATGAGATAGGGGCACTGTTGCGCCGTACATGCGCTTGCCCGAGCTTTGCAAGAAATGAAGGCGTTCAGATGATACACACCAGAAGCGTTCTGGACGCTGAAGCCAGAAAGTCCGAAGAATCTCTCCTCAGCAATCTCCGGAAGGGACATTACTCACGGCGAAGTTTTCAAGGAATGGTATAGTTTGTAATTACCCATCACCCAAGGCATATGACCATCAGGGTCTCAATTTGCTGAGCCACATGTGCTGGCGTATTTGTCTCGAGTAATGTCTTCCTGTTGTGTATCATGTCCTTTTCCAGGTCGGCGCACGGCAGAGACGAAAGGCCGATATATCTCACCGCCAATATCAGATTGTCAGAGTGCCAAAGAAGACTGTCAATAGAGACACAAGTGTTCCAGGGTTAGCGTGACTGAAAAGAGAATTCAGCAGACCGCCCATTGCGGATATTGTATGGCAGCAGGTCAAGCTCGGTGATCAGCCAGATGATAGGCGCCCTCATCTTGGGCCACGGCGAAACCAGTGTGTGTCTCAGTGATGTGCAATTCCAGCGTCGTACAGTCTGCATTTTTGTGAGATGAAAAAATTAGGTCGGCGACATGAGATTGATGATGGAGTTGTGCGCTGTGCTGGTGATTCTGAATGACGTCGGCAAGCAACCGCGGTGACGATCACGAACACCGTGGACTGAGGCGCAAACAACAACTTTGAAGGAGGCATTTTGACCACATACAACAATCGGCACACGTTTGCACCAACAACATCCTGACTATTGCAGATCTACAGCTGTAACACAAGTCTGGCTAGCAAAACTTGGACTGCACTTCCCTCATCATGGCCGACATGTTCAAGCTGTCGGCGTCTCTGAGAGGGCACGAAGACGACGTAAGTGAGTTTCACGGCTAGACTAAAGATCCCAAGCGCTGACTGTCAACCCCTCAGGTCCGCGCCGTCGTGTCTCCTTCGGCTCGCTGTATCTTCTCGGCCTCGCGTGACGGCACCGTCCGACAGTGGCTCCTCACCTCGCCCAACCCGCCCACCTACGACGACACGATTGCCGTTCAAGCTACCTCGTTTGTCAACTCGCTGACCTTCGCCGCTCCCTCTTCCACACACTCCGAAGGTCTCTTGATCTCTGCTGGAAAGGATACTATCATCGATGTCCGTCCTCCCTTCCAGAGTCCAGACACAGACCCTGAACGCTTGCTCATTGGCCACGCCAACAATGTCTGCTCTCTCGACGCCTCTGCCGATGGCGATACTCTGGTCAGTGGTGGATGGGATACACAAGCAAGAGTTTGGAGCATCTCCAAGGGCGAGTGCACCGCTGAGCTGAAGGGACACGATGCTGCTGTTTGGGCCGTCCTGGTCTACGACGACAAGACTGTTATCACAGGTTGCGCTGACAAGACTATTCGAATCTTCTCTCTTGGCGGCAAACTTCTTCAGACAATTCCTGGCCTGCCCGATGTTGTGCGGGCCCTCTGCAAATTGCCCGCCGGCCATCCTTCTGGTGCAGCCTTCGCTTCTGCAGGAAACGACCAAGTGATCAGACTCTGGACCATCGACGGTATTGAAGTCGCGCAACTCCACGGTCACACTTCCTTCATCTATGCCCTCGCCGTCCTCCACAATGGCGATCTAGTCAGCTCTGGTGAAGATAGGACTGTGAGAGTGTGGAAGGGTACCGAATGCATTCAGACCATCACACATCCTGCAATTTCGGTTTGGGCGGTCTCCGTATGCCCTGAGACCAATGATATCGTTACTGGCGCCAGTGACAAGATCATTCGAGTCTTCAGCAGAGACCCCAGCCGCCACGCAGATGCTGAGGCTCTACACGCATTTGACGAGAGTGTCAGCTCATCTTCAATACCTCAGCAGACAGCTTCAGAGGGGCAGCAGATCAATAAGGAACAACTTCCTGGTCCAGGTGCGTTTGCGAGAAGCCCTTGATCACCTAGAAATGTTACTGACCGCTACAAAGAATTCTTGCAGCAAAAGTCGGGTACCAAAGAAGGTCAAGTCCAGATGATCAGGGAAGAAGATGGCAGTGTGACAGCTCATACCTGGTCATCTGCGGCTCAACAATGGATTAACGTAATTATCTCTGAAGGAACCTCAATCATAATATGCTGACAGGCTTTCACANNGGTTGGCACCGTGGTCGACGCAGCTGCAAGCAGCGGTCGCAAGGTGACACACGAGGGAAAAGACTACGATTTCGTCTTCGATGTCGATATCACGGATGGCGCCCCTCCGTTGAAGCTACCATACAACATTGGTCAGAACCCATACGATGTGGCAAGCAAATTCATTGCCAACAATGAGCTGCCCATGACCTACCTTGACCAAGTCGCCAACTTCATTACCACCAATACTCAAGGAGCAACCCTAGGCTCGTCTTCGCAACAGCAGACTCAGACACCCGGAGCTGATCCTTGGGGCAGCGAGAATCGTTATCGTCCAGGCGAGGCTGGTGCTCCCGAGCCATCAGGAGACACACGCCCACGATCTCTGCCCCAAACTCAGTACCTTTCGATCACCACAGCTAACTTATCTGCGATCCGCAAGAAGGTCGGTGAACTCAATGATACCATGTCAGCCGACCTTGCGCTTTCGTCAGATGAATTGAAAGCTTTGGACAACCTGATCAAACAACTACAGACCAACCCCAAGGATCCCAAGCCTCAAGCAGATCAAATTGCTGCAGTCCTCAAAGTCGCTACACAATGGCCATCAGCAAATCGCCTACCTGGCATTGATCTTCTCAGATTGTCTGCTATCACGCCAACTTTCGTGATGCACACAAGTGGCGGAGAGGGCACTATCGTGGACACCCTCACCAAGAGTGGCGTCTTTGAAGCAAACACCGATAAGCCCAACAATACTATGCTGGCTGTTCGTGTTCTTGCAAACCTCTTCATGACTGAAGAAGGCAGACTGGTCGCTGACGGCTGCTTCGAGGATATCATCTCGTCTACTCAGTCGTTCTCCAGTACTTCTAACAAAAACCTGGCTACGGCAATGGCGACTTTGTACATCAACTATGCAGTGTTGTTGACATCTAATGCCCCTTCTTCAGAGTCCAGAACTAGGGAGCAGCGGGCAGCAGCTGTCGTCAATGCGGCTTTGAACATAGTAAAGTCGGATGGTGACAGCGAAGCAGTGTACAGAGCTCTTGTCGCAGTCGGCACATTGATGTCGCTGGGCGATGAGTTCAGAAAAGAAGTTGCCCAAGCAAAGGACATGGGTAGTATTTTGCAGAGCATTGAGAAGAGTGCGTTGGGTAAGGAGAACAGAATCAAGGCTGTCACCAACGAGATGAAGGATCAGTTGAGGTGATTATGGAACCCAAAAGCGAGACATGGATAACGAAAGCTATTGACCATAGATGATATTGCATCAAAGCATAAGCATTGCCTTAACACTTTCCTCCCCATCTTGTATCTTGTAGGGCTGGCACTTTTACTACTTGATAGCCCATTCTGTGACCCAGAAGTCAATCATGTTTCCCACGATCTCAGGGCCTAATTGCTCCTCCAGCACGCTAAAGGAGTCCAGGTGGCTTTGCAGAGAATCGTCCGACGAAGCAACATCTCTAAAGTTGTGAAAAGATGAGCTTGTGTTACGGGTGGTTGCGGCCTGGGCTACATCACTCAAAGTAGAGAAAGCATCAGTGGCAAGGTTAACAGCAAGAGAAGGTAAAGGTGGGTCAAAAGTGCAATGTGCTAACATGTCCAGAGGAAGCAATGCAGACGAAGGCTTCGGTTTTGGACGGCTGATCGACTGCGCGTGTGTCTTGATGAGCTCGACAAGATCATCCAGTTTTACCAGAGGTAGGATTGGTACCCATGTCAGCTCTGTCCTAGTCATCAACTCTTCTTGGAGACGCGCGTAGCTGCGCATTCCGTCCATTTCGTCGAGTTTGGAAGCGTTCAGAAGGTGTTTCGCGGAAGAAAAGGGTTTGGATGCAGAGAGTGACATGATGATGGCGACGTCGAGGCCGCCTGTCAGAGCCACGAAGTGTTGTATACGTGCAATCGTGGCTGGAAGGCGCTCTTCTGAAATGTTGTTCGGCGACAGCAGTAACAGTCGTAGCGTTCGTTTTGACTTGGTGTTAGGGACTGCCTTGGGGAAGTCGGGTATGGGCGAAACAATGTCATGTGTCTCCAGCAGCGATTCTTTGTGGTTTGCCAGTCAGATGACGGTGTCCGAGATACTCAAGAGGTCNNTTGAATTACCTTTAGTTGCAAGTCCAGATGGCGCAATCAGCAAAGGAACGACTGACGCGAAGGATGATCGACGACGAAGTGATGTGCAGAACATGGAGGCAAGTTGTTGAGGAGTTGTCCTATATAGGTACCAACAGAAGAATAGGTGTTTGTGATCGTTCAAAACCAAAATTCGAGAGGATCGTGCCTCAAGGACCAGGTTGATCCTCCCCACGTGCGAGGGTCTGTCACAGTCCGTCAATTGACTCTCTCTTCGTCTCGAGGTATCGTGGTATTATCAACGATCAAAATGCACAGTTGCGTCCTGAACATAAGTTTGACGGAGGAAGCAGCCTTGAAATGAGTCGTTCTGCAAGTGAGTGTTCGTACTTGCTCAACCCTCAAAGTCCGAGAATCTACGTAGGCGTGTCATTCCTGCCTCGAGAACAAGACGTCGGTTTGTTGACGCCGTCCAGCACGAAGCTTCGCCCTCTTTTCCTTTACAACCAACCCATCTGTACGGCTACACATCGATTAGCTTATTGCCATCAGCGATTGTTCTGTTGCATTGTTTCAGCCATCATCACATTGACCGCATTTCGATAATCCGGCTTCGAATCGTCCATCCTCAAGCCACTCCTCATCGAACCATTCATCTCTGAACCATCGATTATCGAGCACCTCATCCTCGAACCTCTCCCTTCCATCATCATGCATTTCTGGGTCCCGTTCACACTCTTCGCCTGTGTCAGCGGTCTTTTGATGGACAAGGTGGACCATGTACCTCTGGGATGGTCTGAGATTGGATCGCCTTCCCCATCGACACGCTTTAAGCTATCTATCGCCTTGATCCCTGCCGACGAGGAACTTCTCCATGAAACGATCAAGAACGTCTCGACACCAGGACATGCAGACTATGGAAGATACCTCGACGAATCCCAACTCAGGGCTGTGGTAAAGCCCAGTAGAGAATCGACCAATACCGTCTTGAAATTCTTGGACTCCGGTGTCTCAAAATCTGATTTTGCACAACACGGAGACTGGATCGACTTCACAGCAGACATTGAGACGGCTGATCAAATGATGGGTGCCTCTTTCACCGAGTATTGTGAAGACACTGGACGTGTCATCATCAGGACGCAACAGTACTCCCTCCCTGATGAAGTAGCCAAACATGTCGACATGATCGAGCCAACGACGCGATTTCCAAGAGACGCTCGCCCTCGGAAGCCTGGCAGTATCCACCCCGTTCAGGCCTTGCAAGAACAGATCGATCAGAATGACTGTAACCGCACAATAACGCCAGACTGTCTCAGGGCACTTTACAACCTCCCGCTAATAAGCACTTTGAGAAACACTTCTGCTTATGGTCACATTGGCGTTGCTGGGTTTCTGGCACAGTATCCTCACCAAAGAGATTTCGACATTTTTACAAAGAAGTTCGCACCTTATCTAGTTGATGTCGCGAAACCTCACTTCAACTTTGTCGATCACGAGGAAAAGGATCGTTCAACATACATGGGCAGCGAAGAAGCAAACCTCGATGTACAGTACGCTGCGGCGATAGGGTATCCCGTGCCTGTTCAGTACTACTACACCCATGGATTGGGTGTCGATGAAATGGGTCGTACACTGCGAAACTTGACTGGAGCTTCTTCTGAACTTGACATTATCCTCTTGCGGTACTTGAGAGATCTGCCCAAAAGCTCTCTCCCGCACACTCTGTCCATATCTTACGGTTGTCTTGAGGGGCCTGTTCCCGGCGCCTATGCACGCAAAATCTGCGATATGTATGGCGAGCTTGGTGCAAGAGGAGTCACAGTCGTGATTGCATCGGGTGATTATGGCGTGAGTGANTCCAGACCCATGACTGATTCGTGTCCTCTGAGAGAGTCAACCTGTTTGAATCATGCTAACACAAGAGAACAGCCTGGCCGTTACTGTAGAGGTAGACACGGGAAGAGACTGGACCCGATATTTCCAGCAACATGCCCGTATGTCACTTCTGTCGGGGGTACCCAGTTCATCAATCCTGAGGTAGCCGGCATTGCTTCTTCAGGNGGCTTTTCCGATATTTTCCCCCGTCCTGAATGGCAAGAAAAAGAAGTCAAGGCCTATCTTGATATCTTAGGTACTCGCCTGAGCGATATGTACAACTCCAGTGGCAGAGGATTTCCAGATATCTCTGCTCAGATGATGAACTACTGGGTTGTCGACAACTTACAAGCAACTCAGAGAATNTCTGGTACTTCAGCCTCTGCGCCAACGGTTGCTGGGCTTGTCGGACTGCTCAACTCTGCTCTTGTTGGCGCCGGTAAAAGTCCGTTGGGCTTCATTAACCCGTTCCTCTACTCGGTCGCGCGCAAGACTTTCCAAGAGGTTGACGGTGGCAGCAGCAAAGGCTGTCAGCGAAGGCGAGGGCCACCAACCGTGAGCCTGAATGCAACAAAAGGATGGGATCCGGTCACCGGGATTAGCACGCCCGATTTCCAGAAGCTCTTGAGCATTGCAATGCAGCAACAGGCCTGAATATCGAGACTGGAATGAAGCAGCGAAAGTGGCTCATGATTGGAAGTCTATGCTAGGAAGGGGCAGTGGTTGGCGTGGGAGTGAGTGTCCAGAGAATCGTCCTGAGTGAATCGGCATCGATGGAGGATATCGAGGATTGCTATCCATCAGTGTGTGTTTTTCACGAGTATTCGTTATGCAAACGAAAAGTTGTTTGATGTGTCATAGTATGGGTGTCATTACCATCCTCCGCTTATCGCAACCAAGCTTCCTCTTCTGTGGGGTGAGGTTTGTCTAGCCGGCAAACTAGGCCTGTTACAGAAGGCAGTTAGCCGGCGGCTAGGGATGCTATCATGCAAGGAACGCGAAATGATCTGTCCAGCAACCTGTACAACGTGATCATCATGTTTTTCTCGAGTGGTTTTTTATGGAGCTGCCGATCTCAGGCTATCCGGCTCTGCAACTCGTATTCGAAGGATTGCTCCCGCGAGTATAAAGCAATGGCCTTATCCTCTAAGCCTTGACGACACTTCTTGCAAGGTTCCTCGACTCAACAATGAAGGTTTCCGTGGTTTCTACACTACTCCTGGCCAGCAGTGCCATTGCCGGCCGCAGTCCTCAGCATGTCAACAAGAAGCTACCTGAGCGTGTACGCAGCGTGCCTGCTGGTTTGCCTGCTGTAGGTCTGGACAAGAGAGCTGCGGCAAAGAAGAAGCACCATATCATTCCTCAGAACAAGAACACAACAAGTATGTAACGACATTCCAGTCTGCTCGTGTGCTCGAGCCTATCATACCACTCTCTTCTCGCCACACACGGTATAGACCCAAAAGTACGCTGCAAAGAGATCATAATTGTGTTCAGGAACAGGGATGTGACCAACAAGAGCCGGTGATTACTCACCTTTCAGTGGACACTACCCTGTTTTCTGAATATATGTGCATTTTTACAGATACCCGTGTTAGCTGCATTGGCAGGTGGAGAGAGGCCTGGTTGTGAACTCAGGCTACACTCAACAGATCACGGACTTCGATAGCTAGAAATTCTGCTAACAGAACGCAGAGTACGCCGTTGATGGCACCAAGATCCCTGATGTTGACTTTGATATTGGTAAGTCAATCGCTCGAAGGATTGTTCTCACAAGTCTAACAGGTTTACTAGGCGAGAGTTATGCCGGCCTGATGCCCATTTCTTCCCAGCAGAATGCCAGCGAGCTTTACTTCTGGTTCTTCCCTTCAGAGGACACTCATGCAAGCGATGAGATTCTTATCTGGCTTAATGGCGGTCCTGGTTGCAGCAGTCTGGAAGGCCTGCTGCAAGAGAACGGGCCTTTCAAGTGGGATTACGGTAGCTCTCCCTCGGCGTGGTAGCGCCATGTTACTGCTCAGGGAAACATGCTGACTGTACTCTCAAACTCTNNAGGTACTTATGCTCCGGTCAAGAACAACTACAGGTGGAATAACCTTACCAACACTATCTGGGTCGAACAACCTGCCGGCACTGGATTCAGCTCAAAGGGTAGCACGCCCTCTGCGACCAACGAGGAGGAGGTCGCAGAACAATTCGCTGGCTTCTGGAAGAACTTTATCGAGACTTTTGGTCTGCAGCACAAGAAAGTCTACGTTACTGGTGAAAGTTATGCTGGCTTCTATGTTCCCTGTGAGTCCACATGTGGTAAAGCATAAAGATTTGTGCTGACTTTTGTAACAGACATTGCCAACAATTTCATTCAGAAAAACGACTCGGCTCTCTATGATGTTCATGGCGCCATGATCTTCGATCCTTCAATCTCCTACGATGTTGTATTGCAGGATATCCCAGCCGTTCCCTTCGTTGACTACTGGAGTGGTCTCTTCAACCTGAACCAAACATTCATGGATGACATCCACAACCGCTCTGAGAAGTGTGGCTACACTTCCTTCATGGAAGAAGCTCTTACCTTCCCTCCCGAAGGTCTGCTTCCTGCTCCTCCGAACGTAGACTACAGCATGCCTGGCTGTGAACTTTGGAACGATATCTTCAGCGCCGTCAGCCTTGTTAACCCTTGCTTCGACATCTACCAGGTTGCTACTACCTGCCCTCTGCTCTGGGACGTACTCGGTTTCCCTGGTAGCTTCGACTACTTGCCCGAGGGTACTCAAATCTACTTCAACCGCACAGATGTTCAGAAGGCCATCAACGCCCCTATTCAAGAATGGGAAGAGTGCAGTTCTGGAATCCTCAGAACAGATACCAGCGAATACAGTTCGTTGAGTGTTCTTCCCAAGGTCATCGAACACACCAACAATGTAATCATTGGCCAAGGCATGCTCGACTACATTATCTCGTACAACGGAACACTCATGGCAATCCAGAACATGACTTACAACGGCGCTCAAGGCTTCAGCCACGGTCCTCAGACCTGGAACGACTTTTTCGTTCCTTACCATTCCGAGCTCAGCCTGGGTGATCTCGCTGGAGCAGGTGTAATGGGCAAATACCACAACGAGCGTGGTCTTACCTTCGCTACCGTGCAGCTCAGTGGTCACATGCTTCCTCAATACCAGCCGAGCGCCTCTTATCGCCTGGTCGAGAAGCTTCTCGGAAGAGTTAAGACTCTTGGTACTGAAAGCGACTTCAGCACCCAGAAGGGCAACTTTGGCAATGGCTTCAACTTTATCACCGCCAACGTGACCAAGTAGATTGAAAAGACGAGCTAGAGCTGATCTAGACTTCGAACACGACGGTAGACAGTCTGGATCCGACGGTGAACAATCTGAACCCGACAGCAGACAGTCTGAATTCGATGGTAGACTGTTTGAAACCGATACCTCTAGCATCCGAATCTGATCAGGGCCGACGTTCTTCAACTTAGTTATCATAATATAATAACATTTCGAAGACCAAAGCATAATCCACCTTTCATACATCAAGTTTCTGGTCAATTTTCGCGCTGTTCTGTGGGCATTCAGAGCTTTCCATGGACACACTCTGATTCTAGATAACTTTGTGCATTTTTATGGTTCATGTGAACCTCTGCATCGAGTTGGGAGTGCCAAAGCAGGGTCATGTCAGGGGTACCTGTTCTCCAGCTCTCCTTTCTTACATGAACTATACGACTGTAGAACATCACAACGCTATCAATTGACGTAGTGAGATTTATTGGAGACTATTGCGAGAGCGGCTCTTGACGCTTCTGCTCTCGAATACCTTTGTGGAATATCTTTGTGCATTTTTATAGCATATATAAATTTTTGCACCGAGTTGGGAGTCCCAAAGCAAGGTTATGCCAGGAGTTGCCCCTGCTGTAGCCTTCTTCAAGCACACCTTTGATATCAGTTTGAACCCGACAGTAGGCATCTTGAACCCGACAGTAGGCATCTTGAACCCGACAGTAGGCATCTTAAATCCGACAACAGAAAGTCTAAACACGGCAGTAACGACCTGAAGCCAACGGCAGACATTTTGAACATAGTAATAGATGGTTCGAATACGACAGTGAACGGTCTGAATCCGACAGTAGACACTTTGAATACGACAGTGGACAGTTTGAACACGACAGTAGAACAAACACGGTAATTGAAAATCTAAACACGACAGTAGATATTCTGAACACGATAGTAAACTGTCTGAACACGACAGTACAAAGCTTGAACCCGACAGTATCAAGTCTGAACACGACAGTAGACAATACGAACACAGTAGAAGATTTGAACCTGACAGTTGACAATCTGAAGCCGAGGGTAGATATTTGAACATAGTAGTAGATATATTGAATCAGACAGTGGAGGGTTCGAACACGACAGTAGAGTCTGAAGCCGACAGTAGATATAGCCCCTGAACACGATAGTAGACTGTTTAAACCCGACAGGTTGAAGCCCGGAACACGACAGTATAGAGGCATGAATCCGATGGTATGAAGTTTAAACACGACTGTGGACAGCCTGAACCCGACAATAGACAGGTTGACTTGACGGCAGACAGTTTGATTTGACAACATAGCTCAAACCGACAGTGGGTAGTCTGAATCCGACACTCGATGTTACATATTATACATAGATAGGATAACATCTCGAAGCAGAAATCATTCGCGAATATCAACGCTCTCTCTGGTGGTACCGCGCTTCTATATAAGTTTCTGTATTTTTATAGATAACTTTCAGCTGGTCAATGGAGTTGAGATAGCAGGGATCGATCCATGACAGCATTTCTATGTGATTTTGACTAAGTCAATGCTCTCTCTGGTACTATCTCTATTTCGTATGAGTCTTTGCATTTTTATAGATGACTTTCAGCTGGTCAGTGAAGTTGGGATAACAGATACCTTGCCGAACGACCCCTGGCAGATCTGTGCATCTGTAACCAAGTCGTTGCTCTCTCTGGTGCTATCTCCATTCCGTATAAGTTTCTGACTTTTTATAGATAGCTTCCAGCCTATCATCGGATGTGGGGTAGTATCTGATGTGCAATTTGGCCCCTGGCACATAAAGTCAGTACCTTAGTACTCCTTAACCAAGTTGTTGCTCTCTCTGGTGCTATCTCCATTTCGTACAAGTTTCTGTACTTTCATAGATAACTTTCAGCTGGTCAATGGGTATGGAATAGCATATATCTTGCCACATTCATACATTCGCCCACACACTATCTACACCATACATCTATTTACAAGCTTCTCACTTCTCGATCTCCTCTTGCTCAGTCGTGCTTCCCACTCTCTTCAGCTCGGATCCGATGACACTGCTGTTTGCTGCCTTGCCAACATCCTTTGATGCTTTGGACTCAATCTCACGACAGCGTCTAGCCAAGTCGTGCACATGCTCATCTTCGCTACCTTGTCCAAGTTCCATAAGAGCCTGATCGAGCCCGTAGAGATAGTCCTTGTTTTNCCCACTAGGCCCTCTGCTTTTGATGATGTGATCGGCGAGCGAATCAAGGTCTTGTGGACCCATGAACTGTGGGTTATCTGGAAGTCCCACGTAGACCAAGCAGTCGATCGGTGCTGGCAGATTGTGTGAAGCCGCAAATTCCTTTGACACATGGAACGGAGTGTATTGGATACTGTATCCGTTGATCTCTCGAATATCGAGATACTCCCTCACTTCTGCTACGTGTGGCCCTGGTANTCTAGAATCAACGTAAGTTGTGGTTAGCGATTGAGCTCGCAGTATTGATCTGGTTCATGAAAATGCTGCTCTGAGTCGATATCCTTTTGATATACCACTCCTGCCTGGTGATGCACTTGATGGACTGGTTACGAGACCACCTTGTGATTGACGTACCCTATAAGCAGCACCCCATGTCTGTAAAGGAGCATCGGAATGCTGATCGGTCAAAGTATCCCAATGCGATCTGTCAATCAGCGTGACAACCCGGCCAGGAGCCTCAGGAGTTCCACGATGATCTTCACNTGTTGTCTTCCTGTTATTGGGGATACCCAGCTGAAGCAGGTTTACTCACCTTGCCTGCCAAAAGCGTCGCACGTATCCTTCAACATAGCCGGGTACTCTCAGGTCTGATACTGGTCAATAGATATGTCAAGCATGAAGAGGCTATTGAGGGGCTTACCGAANATGTGGTGNGGGTTTCCAGATCAGACTGCCATAGCCAAAAAGCCACAAATCTTCTGTCGCTTCTGAAGCCATAAATATAATCTTAAGAATGTACTATTAAAATGCAACGTAGTGTCACAGATGAAAGCCGGGCTTGGTCTGGAGACGGATCGCCATCCGAATGAGCAAACACGAGCAAACATCGGGTCCAGACAGATAGAGCTAACACTTATTAAACACATTCGAAGCATATACAAGATAGAACACAACCAAGCATGCTATTTTGCGAAAGCATAGGATAATCCTTGGTTTTGTGGTGCCATTGAGATGTTCTCACTAAAGTTCTCCAGAACGACCTCCGCCTGAACGCCTGATCTTGACCTTGACCTATGCATACCCGACCCATGCCCCAACTCCCGCTTCAACGCAGCAAATCATAGACAGTGTTTAGAACATTACTCGCGGCCGTAGGTGATCTTCAGTCTCTTGGCAGGCTTGTTGTCTTCGTCATCCTCCTTGTCGGCTGCCTTCTTCTTCTTGCTGTTGTTCTTTGAGACCGTGCTGCTAGGGGTGGCATGGTTGTTGTCTCTCGAGGCTAATTGAGGAGGTACCGATGAGGCTGGTGTGGGCGCATGGGAAGGAGTGTTGGTGGCCGAAGTGGGCATGTCAGAGTCTTGAGNCCTGCAAGTGATGTGTCAGTGGTCTAAACGCGAAGGATGAGAGGTAGATAAGGCCAAGCATACTCTGATCCAGGCCATAGAGCTCCTTGNAAAGATGCGGTCTTCGTCGCGGACTCTGACTCTGGCTTTGCGGTCGTCGACAGACTTCTTGTCTCCTCCTACGACGACACCCTTGACCCATCCATCAAAACCGCGCACGATATTGCCAGCACCGTTGGTGTCCTCGAGGTAGCTGCTCTCCATCTTGAAAATGTTGTCTTCGAGTGCCTGCAGTTGTTCATCGAGTTGTCGCTTCTTGATCAATGTGTTCTTGAGTGTGTTTCGCAGGCTTTCGTAGTAAGGACGACCAGGTTGGTCTGTGTTGGTCGCGCTCGCCGGCGCATTATCACCCATCCTGACGCGTGAAAGAAGCGATGCGCACGATGATGCAGCTGAGTGTAGAATGGATGGATGGATGGATGCTTCGCGGAACTCTACATAGTCGTTCGTGTTCGTGTTCGCGTTACGCACTCCCCACGACGCAGCTGATCATGTTCTCCGCACTCAGACCGAATGCAACACGATGGCTTCATTCGGACACACAAGACCACTAGTCTATCTATCCCCTCCGCCTGCCCTGCGCATAGCAATGATTTTGTTCTTGAGTAATTTCTCTCTCAGTTCACTTGCGGTGGGCCTCTTACCGCTATGCTTTGCGAGGGCTGCCGAGGGGTTTCTAATCTAGCATCTACCTTGATGTCCAAACTTGCAGAGCCTATCAATCGAAGCTCGGGTTTTATATATATCAACTACTACCGTGTTTTGCTTTGATCGGTATTGGCATAAGAGAAAGATGTGCTCGAACAAAGTGTCTGAGACATTAAAAATCGATACCCACCTCCTCTGCTGCACCAGCGCTGCTCTCTCCCAGTTTGTCATGGTTTCGAGATGTGTATCGTTTGCTCTCATGTGCTTCGCTTGGAGAAGTTGAACGCCTTCGAGCATCTCGCGAGCGGCTTGCAGAACGTTGTCTACTGCGGCTACGACGTGATCCACGTGTATTGGTGGATTGGCGATCCTTGAGAGCATTAGCCCGCTTTGTTTGCCTATCCTCGGAGAATGAAGGGGACCGTCTGCGGCGTGGTGGAGATACGCTGGTTTTGCCATCTCGGTCATTGCGGCTCAATCGAGTTCTAGAAGGTGTACGTGAGCGATAGCGTCTTGCTTTGGGAGATGAGCTCGAATCTCTTCTACGCTTTGGAGGTGGTGAACGTCTTCGTGAATAGGGCGATGATTCACGGTGCCGGCGCTCTCCTCGTGGGGGATCTGCGGGTCGTTTTGGATACCGATGCTCTGCAGAACGACTGCGGCTGCGCTCACTCGAGGTGTTGCGCCGTATAGTTCTTCGTGGTCGAGATGGAGATGTACGACGAGGCGATGCCGAGCCAGGGCTATCGTACGTGACAGAGGGTGAGCGTTGGCGTCTGCCGACCCTTCGCCCACTGCTCTCCCCGTTGGGCACGTAAGAGTCTTTTCCCTAGGCAAGGGCCTGTTGCGATGGAGATCACTCGAGCCGTAGGACGATCTGACTGGTGGCGACTGCGACCTAGAATAGCCCCTGGGAGTTCGACTGTCGAAATCGCGGCCTCCACCACGACCTCGTCCTCCTCTCCCGCCTCGATCTCTGCGATCGCGGTCTCGGTTGCGAATGCTCTCTAGCTCTCTCTCGCGGGTTCTCTCATCTTCCCTGCGTTGTCGAGCTGCTTCAATGGCTCTTTCCTGCTCGACCTATTGAAGTATTAGTAATACACACTACAGTGTTGGAGCATGTAGATGTACTTTTTCTTGGATGAGCTCCAACTTCTTTGCCTCCACAAGCTGCTGCGGGATTCCCGTATCGCTCTTCTGTGCGCTCAAACAAAGATTCCAGAGTTCCTGACAGAAGGGAGCCGCATCTTTCTCAAGGAAGCCAGTGAGTTGAATTTGTAGTGATTTGACGTCGGGCTAGAAATTTTAGACCATTGTTTGATGAAGTAAACATGGATCAACTCACATTTTGGAGCCCTCTAGAAGATCGAAGAGAAGATTGATAACAACATCATCTTCATAGCCCAAGATTCTTGACAGCTCGCCAGCAGCCCAGCTTCAACACAGTCAGTCTGTGGTAATGATAGCAGAGGCTTACACCTAGAGCATTTGCGATGACTTGGACATGACTTACTTCTTGATGACTGGGATATTAATCTTCGTTGTGTCGACTTTCTGATTGAACTCGGGCGGAAATTTTGTGGTACGCAATAGTTTTTGGTCCACGTTCGTGGTGATGCGATTCATGATCCTGTTACCAGCGTTGGATCTGGCTCGATTAAGGTCGGAATGGTTCGCAGAGCTGGCAATGGATTCCACGGAAAACAGCAATTGTTTTGGATGATGGTGACAGCCGCAAGCCGCGAGAGTTTGTTTGATGGGGTGCACAGACCACACATGCCTCCGCCTTACTCGTTCACGACATACCTCCGACCTCAAGTTCAACCTCCATCGTACTCCGCCTGCGAGCAAATCGTATACTATAAAAAGGCACAGATGTTCTTGAAGAGGAGGCATGTTTGTTGAGAGCCGGTAGGTTGTCGCTTCTCAGTGGACATCTTCCTGTTTCCTCATAGCGTTTCGTCTCATACATCCAGAACAGCAGACGCTTCTTCCTTTCGTCGCGCACGAGGAGTACCAACTCATCACCAAGTACGGCGGTCCCAGGTCGGCGTTGCTAATAAGTTTTTGGCAAGACATGAGAAAGACAAACCCAAAGCTGCCTCTTCTTTTGGATGGTGGCCAGGACTTCGACTATTTGGACGTTATGAGGAGATATCGACTAATGACAAAGAAAGATGACAAGCATTGCGTGTCCTACCTTGAGTCGCACACAAATTGGAAGACTCCTTCATCTGAGGATCAAAGCATTGTATGCTAGTACAAGCGACAAAAGAGTTACTAAGCGCTTTCCTGAACACGATGAATGTCTAGAGGATCCTGATGCAGTAGGCGCTGGTGTCTTCCGTTACACATACTGCCGTGGATCCAAAGAGATGATGAGAATTATCTTTGCAGCATACCAAGAGTCGGAGTTTCGCAACCTTGCAGAGCAGATTCTCATCAACCTCTTTGAGATACAAGCTCTAATTGTCAAGAAGGCAGACCTTGCGTCTTCTCGTTTCTCACTCGAACCTGATGCGACTTCTAATCTTGAAAAGCGATCCTGGCTTGGTTGTCTTGAGGATTGCAGTGATCTGACTTGTTCACTGGAGCCGGCAGAGTGATACAGTAGTATCTTCGGGTCAAAAATTTCTTTGTTGAAGGAGACAGAACAAGTGTTTTTCTGATCCGAACAAGCCTTAGACTATGATGCAAACTCCACTGTTGGCGGGTATGTGATCTCTTCGGTTGAAGAGCCAATGAAGACGTTTTCGGGTCGCCTTAAGCATACCCATAGAATACTGACATTTTTTTTTTGTTTTATTAGATTGTTATTAGAGGGCAACACCGACGGCACTTGAGCCAACTCGTTCTCGAACTCATCTTCCTATCTCTCTTCTACACGAAGCCCAGAAGGTGCCTCACTGGCGTTGCTGCGTCGACGTTCTAGGTCCAGCAGGCTCGTCATCATCGGAGTCCGGTAAGCAATGCCAGCGAGGTCTTCTAGGCTTCGAGGCGGCGGAAGAGGTCTCGTCCTTGGGAGTCTACAATTGGAAGCATTTAGCAGATGTCCAAAGCTCGAGGTTATCCGAAAGAATAAGAAAACCTTCGTCATCTTCTTCTTCTGTCGCTCCGGGCTCTTCCAACCTGCCTCCTTTCTCTTCTTGATGGTACGAGGGATGGCGGCCTCAACCGAGGGAGGGGATTTACAGGCGGAGTTGTCATCACCTTCGGGTGGTATGGGATTGTCGTATAAAGACGTTTCCGAGTTTACCCATAAAATACTAACTTTTTACTTCTTTTTTAGAATGTCATTAGGGGCAATACCGGGCAATTAAGCCAACTCATTCTCGCACTCATCTCTCTACGCGAAGCCTTGAAGGTGCCCCACTGGCGTTGCTGGGTTGTCGTCGTTCTAGGCTCAGCAAGCTCGTCATCTGAGTCCGGCAAGCGTTGCCAGTGAGGTCTTCCAGGATTTGAAGCAGCGGCAGAGGTCTCATCCTTGGAGGACTACTTCTATACGTCTTATCAACTGACTTGTGCACAGCTTATATGATCTTGGTGGCTACGTAGGATCTCTATGTACAATTGAGATCATCATGCTTGACCCCTGCTTTGCTCTTCATGTTTGGTTGTGTTGTAAGCAAGAAATTGAAGGGTACATGATGTCTACAACACCTATCAAATTCACTCAGGGAATTTCTATGGTGTTTCGGTAGCAAACAAACTAGTGACGCAGCTCTTTATACAAGGGCCAAGGTCTGGGTAAGAACAAAAGCCTCGTCGTGCTTCGCTACTTCCCTTTGCTAAGCAAGCGTTCTGTCAATGCGTAAAAGCCATTGATGTCCCCAAGGCGGAAAGAGCAGATGAGCAGTACCTGCTAACACTTTCTCGACCAATTCACACCTCCATTGCATTCTCATTCTCATTCTCTTCTTTACAACCACACTTCATCATCAATCCGGTTTCATTCATACACATATTACTCTTCTTCATTTGGCTTCTCGTTTGTTGTTGTCTGTCTGTCTGTTATCAAGACGTTATCAGCATCTTCATCGCTGCAATGGACAACCCTCCTGAGCCCATGCCCAAGGTCTCGGTTGATCCTCTTCCTCCGGCAGCGTCACCATCGCCATCCTCACCTCCATCTCCACCCCCTTCTTCGCCTCCGGAAGAGCGTAAGAGTTTTGTACCGGTATCTACTGTTTGCCCTTCTAACACTTCAAACAGATATCGTCGTTACCAGTCATGAAGGCTCCGTTGTTGCGGTTCCAGCAGCAGAACCAACACTCGAAAAGGCCGTGACACCACCAGCTGCTGACCCCAAACCCCCATCGCCACCTCCAGCACCTCCGGTCATCGTTGCCGTTCCTGAGACTGCCCCACCACCTGCTTCTCCTGTCATCTCACCAGCCCCGGTTATCATCCAACAAGTGGAGCCTGTCACTGCCCAGCCTGCTCCAGCTCCTACTCCAGCTCCAGCTCCAGCACCTGCTTCGCCTACCTCAGTCGTTGTCGAAAAGGCCAAGGAGACACCACCTGCTCCATCAACAACTGCACCTCCTGCACCTACAGTAGTTGTTGTAGAGTCACCAGCTCCTTCATCGCCTGTCGTCACATCCACTACACCAACTGCTCCTATCGTACCGTTGATCACGACAACCTCGACTGCCGAAGCTGCCATTGGGAGAAGTGACACAGCCACTCACGAGCCACAGAAGAAGTCCGACAAGGTCCCTGTTCTCATCGCAACCAGATCAGCTCCTGAACTACAACAAGATTTACACCAAGTGCAAGCCAGACCATCCGTACTGAGCTTCCGTTCGGCGCCTCCTGACACCTTTGTCAGACGCGACACGCACGTTGTGGTCATTGATCCTTCTGTGAACGAGAACCCAAAGAGACACTGGAGGGACAGGGTCAGAAAGTTTTGGGTCTCTAAACTTGGTGGTCGATTCTTTTGCGTTTGCTTTTGGGCCAACAAGGAAGCAACGTTGCAACTGCTGTGGTTTCGAGATATTGATATACAGCCTATGATAACCGTCCCTAATCCTAATTGATGCAATTTCCTAAGCCTGAAAAGAACTGACGTGACTGCTTGCATGATCTCATTATCCCGAGCATCTTCGATAGACCTCAGATTACGTGTTCGGATAGTGACACAAAGCGGCAAGTACGCTTGACCTCGAGGGCTCGGGTTCGAGAGAGTAGCTGGACCGGATGTCATCATGACTGTTTTTCCTGGCGAAAGATGTGGTCGAGAAGGCCAAGAAATTACACGGTTCTCAAAGCCATGTCAACTTGCTGACGAGCTTGCAGCAAAGCATGGTCGACACCCTCGCGATGAGCCAGCTTGACGTTGGCATGGAGGTCGAGCAAATCCTGTGCGCGGGCCAGATCAACGTCCGAGTTGTTTGTGTTCTGCGNTTTCTGCAGCTGCTGATGAGTCGATATAGCTGTAACATCGCTGGGTGGGCGAGCCAGGACAAGGTCCATGGCAGCAGCCGGATNCCTTACTCGAGGTCAGTCGTCTTTCGGTGTCGGCTGCATGCTTTTTATACAACATACCCCAACGCGAAGAGAAGTTAGGTCGGACAGGATGTCGGCAATTTTGAGCATGATTCTTGTGTTGACTGTGCTTGATTATGTATGTGGTCAAACAGTTTTTATATTGTGTGGTTTACGACAGGGTCTTGCGCAGTACTAATCGAGGGATAAACATGATAGAGAAAGTCAAGCTTTTTCGCGAAATGTTTTAAGCATGTGATCTCTTCTATTACTATAGAAATTCTAGATCCTGAATTAGATAACCTAATAGTGAACATCGCTCTTATATGCTCATTCGATTCTCCATAGCGTTATTGCGCACCCTCCACGCCGCGTTGTTCAGCTTCTTATACAACACCTCTTGGTTGGAGAACTGGAGAAGAGTATGCAACGCCAATTTGGCAGGCTTATACTCAGAGGTAGCATATCGGTCCGGTCTCTTGAGTCGGTCTCGGCGTGCCGCATATAGCAGGCAACTTCGTGGGAGCTGATCTTTCGTCGGCTCGGGAGACATGGTCTCTGGCAGGTAGAGGGACCGCGAGCTCTGTTTGATCGTTCAAGCAATCGTGGGGACCAGTAATTTGTGATGTGTGTGCATCCACAGCTCCGATCAGCCTCCTCTGCCTCTCCAGCCACCTCTTCCTCTACCTCTACGTTTGCCCCAACCACGTCCACCACCGCTTTCACCTCGTTCGAATCTTTCGCGTCGCTTCTCCTCCTCGGCAAAGAATTCCTCTTCACGCTCCTCTTGCTCTCTGCGTAGCTCCTCTTCAGGCTTAATGCGACGAGGCTCCGGCTTCTTGAGATCCTTAGCGTCAATCCACTTAGGGTGAGCTCCATGTTCGCAAGAGACGACGTTGTCCCTGTCGGGTGGACCTGATCGACCATTCGGACAGAAACCAGCGAGGTAGAATGGGCAGATGGTGGTGTGTTTGATGTGTCGCAGGCTGCAGTATGGACCAAGGGGACAGAAGCCTCGGGCGAAGTGAGGACAGGGAGCGATGCGCAACGTTGAGGTAGGAGCGATATGGAGATAGGTACCTTGTATATGATCAGCAAAGCGGCATGCNNAAAATAAGATGGGAACACACGTACACTCATCACCCTGTGGGCAGAGTCCAAAGCGACTGAATTCCTTGCACTCTCTTTCACCGCGCAAGTCGAAGGTGTGGGCGAACTCGCATTGGTCGCCTTTCTTGCAGAGTCCGCGTTGGTAATGTTTGCAGATGAGATGACCAATTCCAGATCGCTCGTTCGGAGGAGTGTAGTGACGGTCAGGACAAGCAGGGCCCAGAGGACAGTGACCGTTCTTGTAGGCAGCGCATGTCGGACGGTTGTGCTTATTAGGGAAACCGAAGGGTGGGAAAGCAGTCTTGAGATAGGGCAGGAAGGATAGTTCGGGGGCCGGGGCGCTGGCCGGGTTCAGAATGCGGTCAGCGATGGCAGCGGCCATTTTGGGCGAGAATGTCTGGAGCAGAGATGTTGATGGCTTGCTTGCACATGAAAGATGGGCAGTGACGGAAGCTTTGGCGGGTAAATTGGAAATGCGGGAGCTGCACGAACACTGGAAGGGAACGCTTCGACGAATGATCGACGTCGTCGAGGGCGGAAGCTTGGAACATCAACGCAACTGCGACCTGCAACTCGTCCGTCCATCTCCCGACGCTCGCTCAGTCTCCGTCCTCGACTTCACCTGTCTTCACATTTCCTTCACTACACCATCCCGATGCAACTGGCATAACACGACCATGGTGTCGGACACGGTCTACGAGATATGCCTGCCTGTACTGCAGGACCCCGCCCTACCTGAGGATGAGAAGGCCGACCGCGTCGAAGATGTCCTCCGCCAAGAGGCTCGTCTGACAGGCAAGGCTCTCGAGGATGCCGTCTTGGGTGTGCTATGGCGCCACCGCGACACGGTTCAAGGCTCTACCTCGCCGCCGCCCCTACGCGCCTCTGTCATCCGTCGTCCATCGCCCGCCCCGTGGCAGCCTCGTTCTGCCACAAACTCGCCCAGATCTCAGAGCGCTACCATTCGCGCCCCTCCTGGCTTTGGTTCTAATCCTCAGTTTTCACGCGCAAAGTCGTCCACTGCCTCGCCCTTTTCCTCGCCGCGTCCTTCACCGCGCCTCGCTTTTGCGACTCCTCAAATCCCCCACAGTCCTAGTCTGAGTGCCTACCAGTTCAGTGAACCTACTTCCTCAACCGAGCAATATGGTGACTATGGGAGCGACAACGTCGACTGGATAGTCAACGACGATGCCAGTAGTAATGCTTCTTTCGGCGACTCGGCCTTTGCTTCATACCCTTCAGACTGGGTCCAGCCTTCCATGGTAGAAATGTCAACCTACGACATGCTGCGTTCCGTCTTGCGTGATGAGAAGTCCGACGAAGAGCTCGAGCACGTCCTCCAGCTTAATGGCTATGACTTTAGCCAGACCATCATGGCCTTGGCCGATCCCCAAGCCTTGACCGCTACCGAGGCTCAGAATCGCACATACCTCGTTGGAAAGTCCATGAGTCCAACATCCAGACCCCTTACTCCTTCTACCCAGTCGAAAAGCGGCATCGTGTGCAAGTACTGGCTGTCTTCAGGCCACTGCGCCAGGGCTGATTGTCGGTTCAGCCACGATCTAAGTAACCATCTGTGCAAGTATGTTCACCGTGCTCTGTGTATGCTGCTTGATCAATCCNNCTTAACACATAATCCTAGGTACTGGCTAGCCGGAACTTGCCTCGCTGGCGAGTCTTGCATCTTCTCTCACGATCCCTCTGCTCTTATGACCAGGTTGACTATGGATGAGAACGCTACACCACCTTCTCAGTCCATCCAGCCGAACTTCCAGCTGCAAGACTACGATTCCTTCCCTGCTCTGCAGCCCACCAATTCCAATCCGTATGACCAATCTTATGACCCTTCAATGCTTAATTCTCTTCAATCACAGCCACCCACCGTGTCTACCCTGAACCCCTTTGCCATGTTTGTACCTTCAAGCAATGCAAGCGTTCAGTCTTCGTCGCGACCCAACAGTCGTCACCAATCTCGTACTGCAACTCCGTCAACTTTAGCCGTCAACGATGATGAGGCATTTCCTACCCTGGGTTCCGCTGCAGCCTCACGATCTTCTCGGCGCCATGGCAAGAGAGGGCACGGTAATACTGCTAACAAGGAGAGCCCCGTACCTATACCCTCATCCTTAGCTGATGTCGTTCGCATGACGCCGTCCCCATCCCCCCAAATCCAAACTCGAAGAGGGTTGAGGTCCGGCAAATCGAATACTGGGTCCCGTGAGAATAGCGCAGCTGCCATGGCAATAGCAGCGCCTGAGCACATCCCTTGGCTGGAGACTGGGGAGTCCGCAAACAAGGCGTACCTCAAGGCACGAGCTGAAGCATTCCGGCATGGTGGATTGAGGAACAAATACCTCCAGGCCGCTGCTCAAAGTTGGAACAGAAATGATGCCCGTGGTGCCAAAGCTCTCAGTCTCAGAGGTCATAACGAGAATCTGGCAATGAAGGAAGCCCACCGTGAGGCGGCTCGATGCTTGTACGAGGAACGCAACAAGGGTAATGGAATTGGCGAGCTCTTTGTTGATCTGCATGGTGAGTCTCGAGCAGCGTATTAACGTCTGAAGCTGTATGTACTGATCGCGTTGACAGGTCTGCATCCTGAAGAAGCAGTTCAGTACTTGACATCGTGCCTGCTCGACCACAGCTCGTCTAACAAACCTGTCTACGCCATCTGCGGTACCGGCCATCACTCAAAGAACGGCAAAGACAAGGTCGGTAAGGCCGTCCGTCAGTTCTTGAATGAGTGGCACTATGCGTTCCGCGAGTTCAGTGTACCCGGCGATCGCAACAATGTTGGCGGTATCCTCGGTATCGATCCCAGCAGCTACGATAGGGATTGTGCAAAGAAGATGCAAGAAGCAGGGCCTATATCCGAGGCTGACAGTGGCGTCGGATTCTTGAGTAGCAGTGCTGAAGACACGAAAGTCCGTATCCTGAGAAGGGAGGAACAATAATAGTTAGTATGAGTCCTCCGAACGAAATGAATTGATGAATTATGCTCTCTCTTGAGTTAGATCTGTCGTCCCTACTTCCTGCTGAAGATTGTCACAACTTTGTGATTGACCCCTTCTCCACCACGAGTACAAGGTTTATTATACCCCATCAAAATGCACAGTTGCAACTCAAATGTGACTATGGCCATGGAGATAGCTTTTGACAGGGGTTCTCTGTGGTGGCAATATTATTTGCGAAAGTATTGTGCTTTTCTGCAGCTACACTGTGACAGTCTCTAGTACATCGAGAGATAACATGTGGGATATCAACCTGGAGGATGCTTTAGTGACAGAGAGCCACACTCCTGAACATGCAGTTGGATGCTATCCCGGATCTGATGACAAGCATACAGATCGCCCTGGAGAGACCGATGGCTTAACACTAAACATACCAGGGATGGTCAGCAGGCGCCAAGATGTCATATCGAAGCAGGAGAAACCAGGCGCATGGAAGGTTTGAAGATCGGCAGAGGTGGCTGCGGGACTAACCGGGAGCTTCGTGTAGAGTGCAACGGGGTGTGCGGAGTGAAGGAGACGAATCTACAACGTATGTGAGTGGAGGAAATAAGGGGAAGTGCTCTCTTCCATCCAATGTCGACGACTTGATTCTCTGGAAGTGCGCATCTGTCGACATGCGACAAGAGAACGCGGCCTCATGGAGCGACATCCCGACTTCTGCGCTGCGCGCTGAACTGCTACGTCGACAAGCAGTCGATCATGACCGTCCTACCTGTGGCAGCGCTGGTACCACCAACGACTACAACATGCCTCTGCATGTCTTTGCTCTGGTTCTGATCCTTGTACTCAGTACACTAGGTCAGTCTCGCTCTTGCATCTCACACTGCTGCTCCTCGCTGACCATACACNNAGCATGCTCGTTCCCAATTCTCGTCCGACGCTCTCCACGCCTGCCCGTACCTCGTCAATTCCTATTTCTGTCTAGGCACTTTGGCACCGGCGTCTTGATCGCGACCGCTTTTGTCCATCTCCTGCCCACCGCCTTCAATTCTCTCACGGATCCGTGCCTCCCGCCGTTCTGGAATCATGGATATCCCGCCATGGCTGGCTTCATCGCTATGATTTCCGTCATGGTAGTTGTATGCGTAGAAATGTTCTTCGCTAGCAAAGGAGCTGGTCATTCTCACTCAAGCGAATATTTAACACCCGGCGAACACCACGAAGACATGGTCCCCTTGAGAAACAGTAATCGCGAGGGTGCATCACGACCGCTGCACCAACGGAGTGACAGTTATCGACCCTTCAGTCAGGGACAAATAGGAGCTGACGAGGACAGCACTGAGAGTATAGCACTGCAAAACGCTTCGCCGTGGCAAGAGAATGGAGGTTACAATGACACTGAAACTCTGGCTCAGGAGGGTCGTGCCAGTCTAGATGACACAGGCAGCAATTCAGATCTTGATCTTGATGAACTGGATCCTCACATGAATGGTCATGGCCAAAGCCACATCGAGCCGAGTCTGGAACGAACTGGCTCACCTTCCGAGCAACAGCAGCAGCANAAAATGCTGCTACAATGTTTACTGCTTGAAGCCGGCATTCTCTTCCATAGTGTCTTCATAGGCATGGCAGTGTCTGTGGCAACAGGCACATCATTCATCGTTTTGCTTGTGGCCATCTCATTCCACCAGACATTTGAAGGCTTGGCTCTAGGTTCTCGGATTGCTGCTATCACAATATTCCCAAAGCGGTCACCACGGCCCTGGCTGATGGCACTTGCATATGGAACGACTACGCCCTTAGGACAAGCTATTGGACTTCTTGTACATAATCTTTACGATCCATTCAGTCAGACGGGTCTGCTCATGGTAGGCATCATGAATGCAATCAGCAGCGGGTTACTGTTGTTTGCTGGATTGGTTGAATTGTTGGCAGAGGACTTTCTGAGCGATGAAAGTTATGTGGTCCTCAAGGGACGAAAACGACTTCAGGCTTGTGGTGCTGTGTTCGCTGGGGCTTTACTAATGGCGCTGGTCGGTGCATGGGCTTAGCATTTAGAAAGCATGGGAGAAACAATGTGTTAAACATGTCTCAGAACGGGTACGTGTACAAAGTACTCCGATTACGTATGTAAAGATACCAGGCCAGAAGAAGATTCAGTCCGTCCACGCTGTGCAGAAATATATAAATGGGATGCAATAATGGCAAGGGACAAACCTGATTGTTGACTGCAAAGGCCAAGAATTAGCTGGCTAGAACGGAGCATAATAGGCTTGGAGGATGCATGATGGCGACAAGTGAATGATCGACAACTCTGGAGATGAGGAGTCAAAGCGACAGCCGCCGCTAGCCTCCTTGTCGCATGCCGACACAATAAGTCATTGTCATTCTCATACACATACTAGGCGTGCCAACTCGTCGTCTCACAAGCAAATTCCTACGCCCGAGTCTTGTTCTGGTCGTCATTCCCGTCCGACAACAAGTCATTGCTCTGGAATAAGCGGCAGTCCTTCCCGAATTGAGCCGTTAGCACCGCACTCGACACGGTCCCTTGGACATCCCTGCCTCTTATCTCTCGTCTCTGCCGACACAGCTGCGCCACTCGTCCTCCTGCTCACCAACTACGCTCATCGCCCGGTCAGGCTTGTCAGCAGGTAGTGGTATGCCGGTTTAGCGACAAGATCCAAATGTCTGCCCCGACGTCGACTGCGCCGAGCGCCGCCTCCTCCGCCATCCCTGCCTCAGCGACCAGCACCGGCTCTTCTAGTGGCAGCGGTCCAACAAGCTCACCTCTTCTGTTCTTCGTTGCCCTGGGCTTTGGTGTTGTCTTTACCAATTTATGGTACCCACCTCTTGTCTCTTGTCTGTTTCGCCTCCCTTCTGACCTGCCTCAGGATTATAGTCGGTGTGAAGTATTGCTTCCGCTACAACCAGCGTAATCGTCAGCGTGCACTCGGTGAAGATGGTAATCCCATAGACCTTATGGCCATGCCTCGCGCCCACAGGCGCCGGAGGGAGAAGAAACTCATGACTATGGACGACGTTAACGAGCGCTTCCCTCTCACCAAGTACAAGATATGGAGAGCTTCGCGCGAGGCCCATGGACTGCCTACCGCTGGCGGTGTCAGTGCTGCCCCGAGTCGCGCTCCAAGTATTCGACAATCCAATCCACCAGACGTGCACGAGTCGCCTCAATCTCCTCGCACTACTCTCGAAATGGCTCAGCAACACCATGTCAATACCATTACCGCTGCCCCATCGACTGCCGCTGCCACTACTTACGACAAGTTTCCGTTAGAAAAGGCAGAGACTGTTGCGTCCTCTATGCATGAACACGACCACGAGTCCGACGATGAAGACGATCCAATCCGAACTGCCGCGCCGCCCGAGATGGTTGCACCACCTGGAGATACTTGCGCAATCTGTCTGGACAACCTCGAGGATGACGACGATGTCCGCGGTCTCACTTGTGGCCACGCCTTCCACGCGGCGTGTCTTGATCCTTGGCTCACTTCCCGTCGTGCATGCTGCCCTCTATGCAAGGCCGACTACTATATTCCAAAGCCTCGTGCTGCAGATGATGCCGACGAGACTGGCCGTAGAGAGCGCGGTATGCGTTTACCTTCAAGCCCTGCCGCTGCTTGGATTGGTTCTCGTAGATCAGGTAACACGGGAAGGAGGCGCATGATGCTAGGTGGTCCAAGATTCCTGGTCGCCGAAACTCACACCGATCAGCATGGCTTCCCACAAGTTGTGCAAGGNGATCCGAACCCAACCGATCGACACGAGTCTCAAGGCGGTTGGCTCAGTAGACTGCCCCGGTTCTCGAATCCTCTTCGACGTGGGAACAACACGAGGCAAAACGACACCACAACTACTACACCAGGCGATCTTGAAGCTGGAACTTCGAGATGATTTCTACGCAAAGGTGAGGTAACCTATCGGTTTTGGTGTTTTTGGCAGCGGGACATACCTGGGTCTTTCCGGTATAACAGCAACGGGTTGGGTTCAAGGATTGGTGTTTATTTCAACAGCGATACGGGCGAGCGAAGGTTAGGGGGCTTCAGGCGCTTTGGTTGGGCGTTCTCATCTTCTTGAAGTTTTATGATTGCATTGTCAAAGCTATTCGCATCTTTGATTTCAACTTTATCTTCATTTCTCAACATTCTTGTGACTCTTGTGCCCACTATGTTTCCGTTGTTGCGACAGAGCTCCTATCTACATCTCTCCGCATTGAGCGATGGCAACATCTTGGATGGGTTTGTCCGTCACGTTAGTTCTGACGTTCTCGATCTTTTTAACAACATCCATGCCGTCGACAATCTTTCCAAAGACGACATGCTTTCCGTTGAGATGAGGCAGCGGCACAGTAGTGATAAAGAACTGGCAGCCGTTTGTGTTTGGACCAGAGTTNNCTAGTAAAGGCTTACGTTAGTCTTGCACGTAGAGGTGTCATCATTGGCAACATGGAAGACTCACAGCCATGGACAGCAAGCCAGCAACATCGTGTCTCAGGTTGAAGTTCTCGTCAGCAAAGGCTTTGGTACCGTAAATTGAAGCCGAGCCAGTGCCATCGCCATTGAGGAAGTCGCCTCCTTGGATCATGAAATTCGGAANTCTTTCCATTACATTAGCCTCCTGTGTATGTCCAGATCAGAGTCTCGCAGTACTCACCACACGGTGGAATTTGCATCCTTTGTAGCCTTGAGGGTGTCCTAGATGGTTCTTCGTCTCGCCAGTGCAATATTGACGGAAGTTTTCAGCCGTCTTTGGTACAACATCCTGGAAAAGCTCCATCTTGATTCGGCCCAAGGGCTCGCCGCCCAGGATGATGTCGAAGAATACTACAGGATTGGGCGTTGATGCTGCCATCTTGTTTGAGAGGAGTAGACGTATAGTTGAGTCGAGATTTGATCTTGTGAACAGTCAAGTAGCTGGCGACCTGGGGTTGGTGATTGTTTTGAGTTATCTGATGTGAACAAATGATCGTATGTGTTTTGATGATGTGGTGTAAAAGTTTCGGGTTCTACGAATATTGAATGCCGATGCTAGAATAAATCAATTTTGGTGAGCAAGCAGAAGTCCGAAGCAATATGAGACTTGGGCAAGTAGTCTACTGAGCCATTTAATACACTATATGAGAGAGCATTCTCTGACAAAAGTGAATAGATGACGAGTTCGAGGTGAAGGACAATTAAAGACAGGGTCACACTGCTAGCATGATGGTGTTGACAAGTTGGTAGCTGCCCCGCTCTTTGACATCATAGTACCTGGTGGTGCTGGCAGGTTCTCAAGCACTCCAAAGCTCCTTCTTTCCTCAACTACAAACTCAATCTTCCAACCAAACCCACAGGCAGATACAGTCTAGCACTTTTACAGAGTATGTACACGCCCGGGACCTATAAGCGTGATGAATCCGAGCTGACCACTTATACCGCAGCACTCCAAACATGTCATACGGAAACGAGCGCTACGGAGGTGGTGATGATGGCGACTACTCTCGCCGTAACGAGGGCAACTACGGTGGCCGTGATGAATACGGCGGCGACAACAGAGGTGGCTACGGAGGAGGTGGTCGTCAGGAGTTTGGCAACTCTGGTGGTGACCAAGGATACGGCGGTCAGAGCGGTAGTTACGGTCAAGGCAACCCCGAACATGGTCGCCACCACCGCCGTGACGATGAGGCTGGCTACGAGGACCGCCGTGACGAGTTGAGAAACCACGCACAATCTGGTTACGGGTAAGTACCTGCGGCCTGCTTGAACGACTGGCCCACAACTAACTGTACAACCTAGCTCGGTCTCTGGCCCTGGTGGCTATGGCAGAGGAGAGNNGGAAGGCTACGGCGGCCCTGGCGACAGAGTTAGCTCGAACAACCCCGAAAGCAGATATGGCTCTGGTTACAACGAGGGCGATCGCTTCAACGGCGGCAACAACGACGGAGGCTATGGCGGCCGCAACGACAACGACGACAGACGTTATGGTGGCGGCAACAACAATGAAGGACGCTACGGTGGCGGCAATGGAGGCTACGGCGGCGGTAACGGTGGCCACGGACACTCTAGTGGAACCTCTTACGGCGATGTCCCCGGCGGCTCTGACGACTACTCGTCCGCAGCCCACACTGCGGCCCAGCATGCTGGCGATTCTGGAGACTCGAACCTGTTCAGCAACGCCCTTGGCATGCTTTCAGGCCACAAGGCACAACAAGAGGACCTCGATGAGGACGATGCCATGAGACAGCACCAACAGTTCTACGGCGGAGCTGGCCAACCTCACCCAGCTAGCTCTGGCAGCATGGGCTCAGCTGCTGCTATGCAGGCCCTCAAGATGTTTAACCAGGGAGGTAGCTCTTCTGGCAATGGTCCCAAGAGCCAGAACGACTTCATCGGTCTTGCCATGTCTCAAGCTGCAAAGCTCTTCGGTATGCAGATAAACCATGACTTGAAAGACGTTTTGCTAACTCATTCTCANGACCAGCAAAGCTCCCAGGGTAACGTACACCAGCAAGCCTCAAAGCAGGACGCAATCTCTTCCGCTGCCCAGATGGCCCTTAAGATGTACATGAAGAGCCAGGGCGGTGGCGGTGGCAGCAGTGCCAGCGGCATCATGGGACTTATGAGCAAGTTCATGTGAACGTGACGATGAAACACGATGGAACGAACCACGTTTGACATAGATACGATAATCGAAAGCAGTTGTCATTTTCACTTATCCGAACAGAAACCAGCGTTGACCATGTTGAGAGCACTCTCGATGTTTATATGTCGTAGAAGGGGTCAAATTAGACTACCCATGCTAAAGAAATGCTGCAAATTTTGGTTGATTTGATTCAGGGTAGTAAACATGTGGTTGAGTAAGATTCATTCTATGTTGCTATTCAGTGCCCAGTCTACAATCGTCCGCCCTCTGCTGTACGGCTTTTCAACTTCAAATACCCTTTGTTGCCATCCTCTCCGGTGACATCCTCAGCCTCAGCGCCTCGCTTGACGGAAGATGAGCCGACCGAAGTGGCTGCACGGGAACCTCTGGAGCCGCCTACAAGCACCGCCTCTTCTTGTTCGAAGTCATCTCCAGATATAACTTCCCACTCCGCACCCGACATGTCCTGTAGAAGAATCTGCTTGATCTTGTCGAGGAACCGAGCAAAGGAAGCAGCTCGCCAATTACGCATCGCATCCAGACCTTCGATCGAAGCAGGGGCTTGACGTGTGCTAGCATGCGAGAATTGGCCGAATGGCTGGTTCGTGCGCGTGAGATATTCCGCATTGGTTGTTTGTGGAGTCGAGCTTCTGTTGGTGTGTTCACGGAACAGTGTAAAGAGATTCAGTCCGATGGGACAAACAGCCTGATAGGCACTGGTGAGATTGAGACCCTGGGAAGTGCATAGCCATGCGATATTCCATGCCAGTAGTGCGATACCTTCGATGAACAGGTTGTATCTAGCAGGATCCTCCTTGGCTAGAGTAACTAGAGGACGGTCCAGGTGGAGGAGTCGTGGTTTGGGCAATGGACGTTGGTCCAAGGTACGCGACGATGACGGAGTCGATGAAGAGCCTGGGAAAGGAAGTTCAAAGCCCTGATACGAAGATTGCAAGGAGAAGATAGTCGGATGAGGATAGCTTGCATGGGGAGGAGTGATCTCGGCCGGAAGGCGGACAGAAAGATAATGACAACATGTGATCAACAGGCGGCATATGTTGGCGAGTGAGGCATTGATGAGTTGAGGTTGTGCAGAATTGAGTTGGCGTAGGTCTGTGATGGGGATACCACCAATGGCATAGTCGTACATGATGGTACCGTCTGGCATGCGCCGTCGTTTCTGCTGTAGTCCCGCCAGCCTTGCCGTTTCTTGACATAATTTGGTTCTACCCTCGAGGGTGCGTGCTTGTACCTTGTCGAGTCTTCGCTGGCTTCGGCGGATAGTTGCATGAAGGGGCTCGAGTAACTGAGGCACGCGGCTGGTCATCTCGGCTCTCTCGCGTACTATCTCAGCATGTCGCTGTTTGATATCGAGCTGGCGTGAAGCATTTTCTCTGCGAGCTTGTTCTATCTGCTGCTTGAGAAGGTCGATCTGCTCATTGATAATGGTGCAGCGCAAGCGTGTAGCCTTGCTTTCTTGCAGAACCTGGGTATGGGCATGTTNTTTAGAACTCTCAGCGAGATCAACCACCTCTGGACTGGAAGATGACAGAGACAACGAGTGATCTGAAAGTGGTGAGATAACGGAGTTGACCTGTTTGCGAAGGGTCTCGGTATTAAGCAGATCTGCTAATCTGTCCAGCCGAGCCTGATACACCAGCGCTCGAGCACATGAGACGCATGTTGGTTGTCCACGAGAAGGAAAGGCTGCAGAGCATACAGTGCATTCCATCGTTTGGCCGATGTTTGGATAACTATCGCTCCTGCATTGGTTGATCTTCTTAGGTTTTCTCGTGAGAAGGCTGTGAGACTCAGGTGGTTGTTGTATCAACACTCTGTGATTTCACACAAGCATGAAACACTCTGAAGCGTGCTCGCTTGCATGGCACCTGAAATCCAAGTCACAAGTGCAAGTAAAAATATTGGAGTCGTTCATGGATGGCAGTCACGCCTCCACGCGCACGTCAGAGATTGGGTAACGAAGCCCCCTTTGATGCTTCAGCAAAGCACTCGATCCCCTCGTGAAAGATACACAAGCCTCATAAATTGAAGTGATTCTAGACTCGAACTTATAAGAAATCGTCTAAAGTTCTGATCATCGTTTTCTCGATTGCCTTTATGGATGCAAGTCGGCCTCGGTGCTCGGTAGGGGCTTGACTACCCGGCCATCTCGAGCACGTCACGCGTCGCGTCCCCCGCGATTGCCTATCACCAAAGTTTCCAACACCTTGATATACGCTCCAGAATACGCATCTCTCTGGGTCACACATCACACCATGGAATCCAACGATACTACTCCGCACGATCAGAACAGTCCTCCATCAGACGAACACGATGAAGAAAACACCGCTGACCCACGAGATGAGATGGAATCATTCGATTGGCAAAAACTAGAGACCGAATATCTAGACGCTATGGCACAATGCAAGGCAGAAGAAGACGCTCAACTTCAGGAATTTGCTTCTCTGTCACGATTCTTTGGCGTCTGGGCAGAAACGATTTCGGGTCACGAACAGAAAAGAAGCCACCAGCGGTATGTTTAGTTACACCCAGAATATGACTTGCGTCTAATGCTTTACCTTCTAGTNCTGAAAACACAAAGTACCCTGGTCATGAAGAAGGAAGAAGAGCTCGAAGAGCGCAGAAAACACTGTAAGACCCGGGCAGGAAATCACTTTTGGAGAGCCTTCCTAACAAGTCGTAATGCAGATGTGCAAGTTGTTGAGGCATTTCGGATGGCCCTTTCCATGCTCGACCGCTGAGTTTCTTCAGCACGCCATTATCCCTTCGGGAAATGCCAATGTGCTTTTCTTGGTTCCGGGGTTTCTGCTGCGCACGATGATGAGTCCTCTGTCTCGTATCTGCGTTTTTGCGTCGTGTTGAAGGGGTTGCGACTGTCTGTCTTTGTGTTGTTGCTTTTTTTGCTTTGTTCAATCGCTTTATACCCACTCACCAGAGTATGCGAACAACCAGAAGTCATGAGTCTAATAACGAGCTCCTAAGCCTAGTTCTATACAAGTCGTACTAGGTCTTCGAAAAGCCGAAATCTATATCTTTACAAATACCACATCACCACCCCCCTTTTAGAGCAGAGGATTTTGTTTGTATTCAGGGACATCGCTGTCAGTTTGGCCCTTCTTGACTTCNNCCTGATCCTCGATCGACTTCTCGACGCCAGCATCGTTCTCGGCGAGGAACTTCTCGGCCTCGAGGGCAGCAATGCAGCCAGAGCCNNTAATGCAGTTGTTAGCTGAGGTGACGAGTTTGATTTTTGCGCGATACATACCTGCACTGGTGATGGCTTGACGGTACTTCTTGTCCTGAACATCTCCTGCAGCAAAGACACCCTCAACGTTGGTGTGGGTGGTTCCGGCCTCGGTGATCAGGTAACCGTCCTCGTCCATTTTCAATTGGCCCTTGAAGAGNNGGGAAGTAGCCGGCTCGTGGCCGACAGCGTAGAAAAGACCATTGGCCTCGATGCTCTCCTCCTTTCCAGTCTTGATGTCCTTGATGGTAAGACCGGTCATGAGACCACGGGGCTTGTCCTCACCAGTGATCTTGGTAGCGACAGTGTTGTACTTGATCTCAACCTTGGGGTTTGTGCTCAGTCTACGAGCGTTGGCCTTGCTAGCACGGAGCTGATCCTTGCGAACGAGCACAGTGACCTTGGAAGCCTTCTTGGTAAGGTAGATGGCCTCCTCCACTGCCGAGTCACCACCTCCGATAACGACCAAAGGCTTTTGTCTGAAGATAGGGAGCGAACCATCGCAAACGGCGCATGCGCTGACACCATTGCCCCAGTATTGCTCCTCTCCGGGCAGATCCAATCTTCTTGCCTTGGCACCAGTTGCAATGATGATACTGTCGGCTGTGTGTGTCTCTTCCTCGAGGTTCTCGTCGTCGCCTAGGGGGTGGAGCCAGAACTTGAAGGGTCTCTGGGAGAAGTCGACCTTTCCAACAGTCTGGGTAACGATCTGAGTACCGCAAGCCTCGGATTGTGCGCGCATGTTGTCNNCTAAGCACTGGTCAGAAGGCTGTTCACAGCGAGCAGAGATTCGACAGTTACTCACCATCAAGGTGGCACCCTGGATGTTCATGAAACCAGGGAAGTTCTCAACCTCATCAGTGGTAGTCAACTGGCCACCGGCTGCGATCCCAAGAGCAAGGAAGCCCTCGTACAAGACAGGCTGCAAGTCTGCACGAGCGGCATAGATGGCGGCAGTGTGGCCAGCGGGGCCTGAGCCAATAATGACAACCTTGGAGTGCATGTTGCGGGCTGGAGGAGGAGCGAGTGCGCTGGCTTCGCGTGCTACAAAGGGGAGAGATGCGAAAGGTAGAGCGAGAGAGGCGCGGAAAGGAGTTATGCCTACACGGCGGAGAGTCGAGGCGAACACTTTGACGGTGGTTTGTAATTGCTTTGGGGAAGAGGTTCGATTGTATATAAACGGGCAAAGTTGCTTAGCAATGCTCTAATAAGACCATCCGGGTACGGGTGGTTCCGTGGATATGATATTATGTTTCTTCGAAAGCGCTTTGGGCACTCATAATAAATGTAATCGCCGAACTCTTTTTCTTTCAGCTTCGAATCTTCGGCTTGGCTTTGTCCGCCGAAGCGTGCGTGGTTGCGATCTCGGGCATCCACGTGCCATGCCGCGACCGCACTCCTGGATCTAACGCTTGATGTCACCATGAATGTTATCTGATATGAACATCAGTTCGCTTTTCATCTATTTACAGGTCGTCTACTCCTCCATGGGGGTATCTTCTAATATTTCATCGGTGGCACCATCAGTTGCTTGTGCTTCTTCCGGAGAGCCTCTTTNTCTCAAGTTCTCGATTCCATACAGCAAATTATCAAGCTGCTTCCGCTCTGGTGCAGGAAGCACAAGATCGTTAGCAGCAGTCAACTTCGCACCGAAGCCCTGATCGAGCTCTAAGTTCATCTCCGATTCGGTGTTGCACATCCTGTAAGCTTGCAGACGTGGGGTCGATGCCTTTATTTGGTTAGAATGCAGAGCCGATAGACTACCAGAAGAGCGACGTACCTCTGTAACATCCAAAGAGACAACGACAGTGTTTCCGGTCACAACGACGTCCAAGGGCACTCCCGGTAGAGGCATACCAACCATGCGAGAGGCTGATGATATCAAAAGACATGGCAGCTTCTCACAAGCGATTAGGGTTGTAGATTCCTTGTTGTCTGTATCAGAAGGCACAGCCCAGAGTCCAGACACCGCGATTGAGCTTTCAGGTCCAAAAGAAGTGTTTGAGTGTTGAGAAGAGAAGAGAGCAGTGAGTGCAGATCTCATGTCGCGCTTTTCCTTGAGGTTGCCAGCTCGCCAATCCCACACACCCAACCAATCGTCTCCACCACCACTGATCAGAAGATCGGTACCTGGCAGCAAGCAGATCTTGCTGATAAAGTCCTTGTGCCCGAGACAGAAGCGCTCAATAATGTGTGCTTGGGGAGCACCACGAGAGATTCGGATGTGTTCGTCTCTGTCGGCTGTGATGATGTAGCCACGGCTTTTGCCATCGACCTCCTCAGTCGCAAATTGAACATCTGTCAACATTGAAACATGTCCAAGGAGGAGTTGGCACTCGAATTTGGGACCCTCTTTGGCTTTGGCTTGCAGATCCTTCTGCTTCATTTGGTTCTCCAGTGCCCTTCGGTTGCGGCCAGAATGCACAGTCAAAGTAGTAGCTGCAGGGACGTATTTCTTAGGACCGGCTTCCTCCTGAGTCTCTGCTTTGGAACTCTCTTCGACTTGGTCAACGCTGGGAGATGGGAACAGAGGCAGGGAATACACATCTCCGAACTTGTCGCCACACAAGATAGTTTTGTTGTCTGGAGTTACTAGGACCGCACAAGGACGCTTGGGCATGGTTCNTTTTTGGAAGTCAATTGCGTGTTTGAAAGACAATAGAAACAATGAATCCTACCTTTCGCTCAATTGGTTCAGCTTACCAGTCTCGGTCACCTCGAGGACTCTGACAGACTTGTCATCCGTCACAGCAACGACATGTTTGCTATCGGCAGAGAGTGCCAATTTGATGACATTTGGAGCAGTTGCTGCCTCTGGCTCAAGTTTGCGTTTCTTGCCTGGAGGACCATCTGAAGTGGCTTCAACNNCTAAGACTTAGTTCAGCTTGCGCTCAGCAGGCCAAGGCTGACTAGAGTCTCTAATCAGCCATGACATTGTGGGCAATGCCCATAACAAGGTACTCACAGAGCTGATGTCCTTTTGTTCCGGCCATTGAGAGATGATTGAGCCATCTGAAAGTTTTACAGAAATGATTTTAGCACCACAGGCAGCCAATAGAAGACCCTCAGGCGCAAAGTCCTGAGAATTGCACAGAGCCGCAATCTGGTAGGGGTGATTCATGACTTTGATGGAAGATCAGACAAATAAAGTGAAAGGAGATGTGAACAAAAGTCACCCGAGCATGCAGTGAAGCCAGCCAGAATTATGATAGCGGGCCAGAAAAAGCCATGGTCGATGCTTCCGAATCGGTCAGCTCGGGAGTTGGCGGTGCCAAGACCGACACCCACAACAGCAAATTCAGTCCGGCGCGGTCTGGCAAAAGGTCAGAAATTCGAAGAGACTTTGAACCTCTACAACAACCATCTACGGGACATTTTCCAGACTTCGCCTGAAACATCCCTAACTCATCGCAAGATAGCAGAAATGGGGGCAAGTCAGCAACCAAGGCCGCTTACTTCGACAAGCTGAAGACTCTTCTTGAGACTTACAAGTCCATCTTCATCGTCACCGTCGACAATGTCTCGTCTCAGCAGATGCACGAGATCAGACACGCTCTCCGTGGTGACTCCGTTGTCCTGATGGGCAAGAACACCATGGTCCGCCGTGCCCTCAAGGGCTTCATCAGCGAGGCCCCTGAGTACGAGCGTCTCCTTNNCCCTCACGTCAAGGGTGAGTTTGCATGCGACTGGCGCAATTGCGCATACATCTGAGATGCGCGCGACTGACACACTGCGCCCACAGGTAACGTTGGTTTCATCTTCACCAACTCCGACCTCAAGGACACCCGTGAGAAGATTCTCTCCAACCGTGTCGCCGCCCCTGCCCGTGCCGGTGCCGTTGCCCCCGCCGACGTGTTCGTCCCCGCTGGTAACACTGGTATGGAGCCCGGAAAGACCTCCTTCTTCCAGGCTCTCGGTGTCCCCACCAAGATCGCCCGTGGTACCATTGAAATTACCACTGATCTGAAGCTCGTCGAGGCCGGCTCCAAGGTCGGTGCCTCCGAGGCCACCCTGCTCAACATGCTGAACATCTCTCCCTTCACCTACGGTATGGGTATTGCTCAGATCTACGACCAGGGCCAGACCTTCGATGCCAGCGTCCTCGACATTGAGGAGAGCCAGCTCCTCAAGGCCTTCACCAGCGCCATCACCACCATTGCCACCATCTCCCTGGCTGTCAACTACCCCACCCTTCCTTCGGTCATGCACTCGCTGGTCAACTCCTACAAGAACGTCATCTCGGCTGCCATCGAGATCGACTACGAGTGGGACGCCATCCACGAGCTCAAGGACCGCATCGCCAACCCCGACGCTTACGCCGCTGCCGCCCCTGCTGCCGGCTCTGCTCCCGCTGCTGGTGACGCCCCTGCTGCCGCTAAGGAGGAGGAGAAGGAGGGTAAGAACATCCTCATTCGGCCATATCCAGATGACAANGACGCTAACATATACATCACAGAGTCCGAGGAGGACGACGACATGGGCTTCGGTCTGTTCGACTAAGCGTGTCGCTTGCCATAGATTTTCTAGAAACAGAAAATTTAATCCGTCCCCAAAACAATGTGGTATCTGCCTATTGCTAGTGAGAATTGTTCACAGTCAACATTCTATGTCGAAAGGTTAGTGCCATCTTTTCCAATTCCACATACACCTTCGCGGATGATTATACATTTTTAACCCCGAGATCTTCAATGAAGATTAAAACGCAACAACAACACTCTAATTTTTCATGACGCACACTTTTATCTCACTCTTTCTACATTCATACTTTGGTGAACAAGGCTGACTGAGATTACAGATACGAGATGTGACGTGAATAATTTTCTATCTATGCGCCAGTCTATCGTGACACAGTCTATGCCAAAACAATTCTCATCCAAANAACTTCAAAATCCCATTTTCCACTCAGACTTTCACACACTCTCTGACTTGCGATGTTATCTGTTGCCACATCTGCGTGACCATACCTTTCTCCGTTGTGAATATCCTCTCCAGTAGTCGGATTGTGTTGCCAGTATATCTTCATGTCTTCTGAGAACAATTTGAGGCTCAGGCTCTTAGCTAGCCCAAGACCTCTGTACGCGGGCTCAACATGCAAGGTCGTGAGTGAAGCGTCCAATCCGAGGAAAGCCCAAGCAATTGGCTGTGGTGTGACAGATGAAGAGTCCGTAGGATATATCGCAACACTGGGTAGCTTGACCAGAGTCCTGTCCTGTCGAGGGATCTGCGTGCGTGACTTGACCAGCGGGTAGTCCTTAGGGTCAACCTTGCCATACACAAAGCCAGGAGGCAGACTTCGAGATGTGACACNTGTATTCTTGTGAGCAGGATTTTTCCCAGGAGTCGGGTGTCAAAGCACCTACTTGTCTCTAAGGTCAAAGAGGTACTTCCTATATGGCAAGTTCGATACTGCAGCGGAGCTTGGGTCGACAAGGCCCAGCCTGTTCAAAATCGCACAAGTGGAGCTATGTACGGATCCGAACAAGACGATTTGCTCATTCTGCATGTGCTGCAGATAGTGATCTCTATCAACACTCGCACTACCATTGAATGTTGAAGAAAGTGTTGTAGATTTTCCAGAGTCGATGGTAGTACCAGCATGTTGAGGAGAAGTTCCGACCTTGCTGATGCTCTCGATCATTGATCTGACGAGGTTTTCCGCTTGTGGAAGCCATGAGTCGTCCGCTGGCGTGTTGTGTTCCCAGCTGGCCGCTACCCAGACCTCAGTCTCCGGCCTGCATGTACGGTCGACGAAGGCGACGATCCATGGGTCGTTGGCGTTCCTTTCATGAGCGGGACTGGCAAGGTTGACGGAACTGAATAACCGAGAGCCTGGTTTGAACTGCCCAAATTGTATACGTCGATAAAGGGCGATACATGTAGGCATATACGGAGCCAGCCATCGAATCAGGTCCTGTCGTGAATCACTAGACACCTCGAATATGTCGGTGCTGATCGCCATGCTTCTCAAGAGCCAGTTGTGGGTGTTGGGTATCAATCACGATATAGACAAGGAGAAGAGAAGTGGAGGAAGCAATAAATTATCGATCTCGTGCTTCGATCAATTAAAATCCAGCATGCCGCATCTTCCGCTTGCTCAGCGCCCAACGCCTCCTTTTGCATGGAACAGGAGCCCGCCGAAGCATACAGAAAAACGAAAATCGTGGACTTTGAAGACGAGAAACCTCGTGCAGTTCTATGGAATGCCGCAAACGCTACCCACAAGCATAAAGAGAAAAGAAAAATCACCAAAGAGGAATTGCCCAGGAGCTGCCTGTTTGGACAGCGCTGCCTGAGCTTTCCTTGTTTCATGTCATAATCGTCGTTTACTGAGAAGCACACTGGACTCTCTCGCCACCTGCGCCGTGCATCTCATCGTCCTCGTCATCGCCCATGGCAGCACGCTGTGCGCGCGCGCCCTCGCGGTTCGAGTCAACCTTGTCGAGCGAGAAGTCCTCAGTCATGGCATCCGGAGGAGGAACGTTCTGAGGCGAGCGAGGAGGCAGGACGCTCTCGAGAGCGGCCTTCTGCTCATCGGTCATAGGGGCTCCATCAGCGCTGGTCAAGACCTCAGGGAACTTGACGTCGAACTGGATGTAAAGGTTGCCGAAGTCGTGGTGTCTGTAAGAGGGCATACCCTGACCTCTGATGACCTTGATCTCACCNNTGTTCATGTGATTAGTGTGTTGAAGAGCAAATCGTAATAATGACAACATACCAGGAGAAATAACCTCGCCGGGCTTGATCTCAACAGTAAGCCATCTGTCGTCGAGATGCTCAATGTAGATGGCGCCACCAGCAAGAGCAGTCAAAAGATCAATCTCGGCTTGGTAGAAAAGGTCATCACCCTTGCGCTGGAAGCGAGGGTGAGGCTTCTGCTCAATCTCGAACTGAACATCACCAGGTTCGTGGCCTGGCATCTGGTCACCTTCGCCGCGGAAGTCGATCTTGGTACCGCTCTGGACACCCTTGTCGACGTGAACGTGCAGCACCTTGCGCTCAACTGAGGTCTTCTTTCCGTGGCACTGCTTGCAGCGGTCCTTCTCGCGAACAATCTCGCCTTCTCCGTTGCAGTCGGGGCAGACAGTCTGGAAGCGCTGGATCATGGGACCCATCTGGCGCATCATCATCTTCATACCCTGACCATTGCAGCCCTGGCAAGTCTTGACAGCACCCTCCTTACCGCCACGACCATCACACTTGGGGCACAAGACAGACTTTTGCAGGGCGAGCTTGGAGATCTTGCCCTTGTACATGTCCTCGAGCGAGACCTTGTGGACGTGGTGAATGGTACGGGCCTTCTTGGGGCCAGTCTCGCGACCCATGCCACCACCGAACATGCCGCCGAAGCCACCACCACCGCCGCCGAAGAACTGTGAGAAGAGATCCTCGGCGTTCATGCCACCGCCCATACCGCCTTGTTCCAGTCCGTCTTCACCATATTGATCGTAGAGTTGGCGCTTTTCTGAGTCGGCCAAAATTTCGTATGCGTGTGACAGTTCCTTAAACTTTTCGGCGGCCTCTGGCGAAGGGTTCTTGTCTGAAGAGCAATCAGCTGAGTGAATCTCAGATAGACAACAAGTCACGTACCAGGNGTGGAATTTGAGAGCGCCCTTGCGGTATGCCGACTTGAGTTGAGCCTCGGAAGCGTCAGGAGCGACGCCCAGGGTGTCGTAGAATTTCGTGTCCTTGACCATGTTGCTGGTTGGATGAGAGCGCTGGGGTAGTCTAAAGGGCGCGAGGACAGAAACGAAAGTAGGAAAAAACTAAAGGGGTATCAAATCAACAGGTAAAAAGCCAAGGACTATAGTTGAAGAGTGGTAAGCGCAGGCTCTGAGAGGAACAAGAACGCTTGAGAAGGCGATTGATTTGACTCCGATAGCCTTTCTAGAGCCTTCGATGATTTTCTCCCGAACGCCGCCAGAACGCCAAGCCGTCTCAACCCTCTCACTGTTGCTCACAGCAACTCACTCACTTATTCTCAAACAGCAAACACTCGTGTCATGCAGCAGCGAGAGCATGCAGTGAGTATTTTCAAACACGAGTTAATATCTTGTATGATCTTCTGTCTTGCTTCAGAGGCTTGGTCGCTCTATTGCATGACAGCACATGATTTCAAACCTGCAACGTCTAGTAGCAACATCTAGAGTACATCTTGATCATATCAATACTATTCAACCGAACAGTGATCTTGTCCTCACCTCAAACTTGGGAAGTTGACTGGCCTCTTGACTCAAGAGTCAGTCCATCCACTGATCGGCTTTTGGGGTGCGGCTTGTGAGCCGCGAACTAGTCAAACCAAAATTCTGTTTCATCCGGGGCTCTGCTCTTTCCACTGTTATCTAGAACAACCACTTGAATCACCCGTATACAGTATCAACATGGAGAGCGACATTGGTTTCCAGGCTGCTCTTGAAGAAGCTAGAAAGGGCGCCTCTGAGGGTGGTGTGCCCATTGGTGCTTGTCTTGTATCAGTATGTTAAACTGGAGGTGCAACCCAAGAGCCTACCATCTTAGATGGCGTTGTGGTAGTTCGAGCCCGAATCTTGGATGCTCAAGCTGTACCTGCTCTCTATGTATTCAGAGCCATGCTGATTGTACCTTCTCTGTAGGCAGATGGCAAGATNCTTGGTCGGTCCACATGATGCTGCACTAAAGCTGCTTGATTGACGTTTACTCCCTAGGGCCGTGGACACAACTTGAGAATGCANAAGGGTTCTCCTACCATTCACGTGAGTGTTTAGTGTTCACACAAGACATTACATGACGCTGAGAAGTACTAGGCAGAGATTGGTGCTCTTGAGAATGCTGGTAGGCTCCCAGCTTCTGCCTACCAAGGCGCTACTATGTACACCACCCTGTCTNNCCCCTGCGACATGTGCACCGGAGCTTGTATCCTGTACAAGGTCAAGCGTGTTGTGCTCGGCGAAAACAAGACTTTTGTTGGTGGCGAAGATTACCTCAAGCAGAGAGGCATTGAGGTTGTCAACGTCAATTCCGCCGAATGTGAAGATTTGATGAAGAAGTTTATCAAGGAGCACCCCGAGGAGTGGTGAGTGTCTCAACCAGCCTATATCCATCCCAATGCTGACACGTGACGATGCAGGAACGAGGACATTGGTGAGCAGTAGGCTTCACAGCCTTAGACGCCAAATCACCAGTCACTTGTCATCATATTCCTGTCGTGCATCTTTTGCTCGGCGGCCTCTAGGGCAGAAGTTTTGGTTGTATCTTGGACTCNCTAGAGCATCATTCGCAACGGTAAACAATTGGTTAGGCCGAATCTTCATCTACCTGAAAGTCTGTGGATTTCCTCGAAGAAGAATTTGAGGTCGTCAGGGTTGACGAATGGTGTGATACNCTGGGATGATTAGCATGTAAAATTGGAACAAAAATCATTGCACATACCATGGCCAAGGTTGGCAATCCATCCTTGCTTGCCGCCACCGAAGCCCTCGACCATCTCTTTGACAACTGCAGTGATGGCTTCCTTGCCACCATAAAGAACACCAGGGTCGGCATTTCCTTGAAGCACCTTGCCCTTCTTTTGAGCAACAGCGTAAGCCTCCTTGGGTGAATGCAGCCAGTCCAATCCGATAACGTTGTATGCGGTATCGCAAAGGTCGTCAAGAGCATACCATGCACCTTTGGCGAAAACAGTCATAGGCACAACTTCTTGGTCGAGCTCTCTAAGGCGGTTGGGCAGGTGGTCTGCAATGTAGTTCAAGTAAGGCAAAGAGAACTCCTTGAAAGAAGTAGGGGACAGTTCGCCAGCCCATGAATCGAAAACCTGGACAATCTGNNCGAGAAGGTTTAGCACAAGACCAAAGTTATATGAATGGGCGAAATGTACCTGAGCACCGGCAACGACTTGTTGGGCAAGGTATTCGACACAAAGCTCAGCGATTTNTTGCAGCAACTTCTTGCTCTCCTCGGGATACTTGAAGATCCAGGTCTTGACCTGCTTGAACATCTTGGTACCACCTCCCTCGACCATATAACTGAGCAGGGTCCAAGGAGCGCCACAGAAGCCGTACAGAGGCACACGGCCATCGAGCTTCTGTCTCGTCAAAGTAATAGCCTTGTAAACGTAGTCCAGAGACTCCTTGACATCGACATCTCTTTCCATGACTTCCTGGTACTGCTTGTCGTGCGGGGACATGAGCGGATCAGGGAAATGGGGACCCTTCTTGTCGACCATGATGACCTCCATACCCATAGCCTGAGGGATGACGAGGATGTCAGAGAAGATAATGGAGCCATCGATAAGGCCGGCGTAACGATCAATGGGTTGCAGAGTCAGGGTCGAGGCGATCTCGGGCGAGCGACAGCACTCGAAGAAGTCGTGGGAGCCTTTGGCCTCGTGGTACTCAGGCAGATAGCGACCAGCCTGGCGCATGACCCACATGGNGGGACGCTCGACCTTCTCACCACGCGCAGCGCGCAGGAGAAGGTCGTTCTTCATAGGTGGGAATTGAGGCATGTCGACGTGGTTTGTGTATGCTGATGTCAAGAACAGAGTCAAGAGTCGGTCGACCATGTGCTCAAACAGACCGGACGTGCACCCCGCGTCGACGCTTCGACCTTTCCACCGTCATCATGAACCACAGTTCCCAAAAACGCTGTACATGATTTGATCGTCCACTCTGAGAATGTTCTGCCGGGCTCGTCGGCCTCTGGCTCGCCTGGCATATTCTTTTGCGACGCGGAGGTCCAACATTTCTTATTCTGCTGTTCGTGGAGCCAAAACCAAGAGCACTATCAAATTTCAGGAACTACCACAAGGCCTTCTCACTCCCACTTCGCTACCTGCAGTCGAAGAACACCCAGACGATCAAACTCCAGCCTATCCTCGTGTCATACAACAACATCTGAACCATGTCAGCAGATTCAGCGATTGTGTTGTACTTACTCGTATAGGCAATTTCTACGAGCTCTATGGCGAGCAAGCCGAACAATATGGTCCTCTCCTCAACCTCAAGGTAGCCCAAAGGAAAACCGCTCTTGGTCCAGTAGCCATGGCGGGCTTCCAATACACTCAGCTGGATCGCTTCTTGAAGTCTCTTGTCCAGGGCTTGAACAAACATGTTGCCATTAGCGAAGAGGTTCGGAACTCTGCCGCTGACCAAGTTAAGAATGGCGGTTTGCTCTACAATCGGAAAGTATCCCGTATTGTTACTGCCGGCACTTTGATTGATGAAACCTTTGTCGACCCTTTCGAGAACAANTTTTTATTGAGCATACATGCCAATCTTGACACAACAGACATTGTCTCTGCATCGCCAGATGCATACGTGGGTCTTACATGGGTAGATCTCTCAAGTGGTGATTTCTTCACTCAACGCACCGAACTAGCCTCCCTCGGCTCCGTCATTGCTCGCATAGGAGCCCGTGAGATTGTCTTAGACTCCAGCTTTGAACGAGTTGATCGAACTCAGCTAGATCGACTCTTGGGTGACGGNGGGCATGCTGTGACATATCACAACCCAGACCCAAACTTTGTCTCCATTGATCATTGGGCTTCTATGTTAGAAAAGCCTGTTTCGAAAGAGGAATCGCGTTCTTTCTCGACGCAAGAGGTGCAGGCGGGCTCATTGCTATTAGATTATGTCAAAGGCAGGTTGCTCGAACTGAACGTGTCCTTGAGATGTCCTATTCGCCGCAATCAAGGCGATTATTTGAGCATCGACAAACAGACCTTGAAGGCTCTAGAGATCCGATCTACCCTCCGAGACGGACTCTTTCAGGGCAGTCTGCTGCATGCGGTTCGGAGGACAACGACTAAGAGCGGAGCCAGATTGTTGAGTCAGAGGCTAGGTACAAGAATTTTCGTTTCGCGTGTATTCTGCAAATACTAATCAGATTCCACCTGACANGTATCACCATCTATGTCACTTTCAGAGATCAACGGCCGTTTGGATTTGGTTACGGAGCTGCTCGAGCACGATCAATTGCGCGAAGAGACCATGTCTGCGCTACGAAGAACGACAGATGTTCTGCGGCTGCTGCAGAGGTTCTCGATCGGCAANGGGGACGCAGATGATCTTCTGGCTCTTGCCAGAACAATACAGATCATCAACCAGATTGTGAGCATGATGAACACACATCTGCCTCAACGTAAGGGTGATATCGACTCTCTTCCATCTTTGCCTTTGAGAGCATTGGTAAATCGTCTTGATTTGGATGGTCCTTCGAGACTCGCAACTCGTATTCTAGAGGCGATAGATGAAGAGGGCTTGTCTCAACAGCATTTGGCCGAAGAGGCAGAAGCGGTCGGTGTTGCCGAACTAGCAGAGCAGATTGTCGAGACAGAGGCAACTCAGTCCAAACCCACGAAGAACGGCAAATCCAATGTTAAGAAGGCAGCGGTAGTTCCAGATCTCAATGCTGGAGAATTTTGGATTATGCGTAGGAGGTAGGTTCATGTCACTCATTTCTGATGGTTATATCTCACCTCTGACAATCATNNCAGTGCCAGTACAACCTTGAGACAAGGGCATCAAAATCTCGACGACATCATGCAAGAAAAAGCACAACTCTATGAACGTTTGCGAGAAGAAATAGGTACCACTTGAGATCCAAGAAATGCCATGTACAGACTGACCCAATTAGGTAATACATTGGCACTCAAATGGACTCCACAACTGGGGCATTTCTGTCACGTCAGGGGCAAAGACGTTCGAGCAGAGATCCCAGAGGCAAGAAATATCAGCTCGACCAAGAGTACTAGAGCCTTTTATCTCCCGGATTGGTCACACTTAGGATCACGATTGGAAGACGCAAAACTTCGTATTCGTACAGAAGAGCAGAGAGTTCTCAATGATCTTCGCAAGCGGGTAAGTATTGAGAGAAACACCATGTTTTTACTTAGCTGACCAGGAGCCAGNGTGATAGAAAACCTAGTTAGGCTTCGGCGCAACGCCAATGTCCTTGACGAGCTAGATGTTGGGTGCTCGTCGGCGGTTATGGCAAGAGAGAGAAATTTAGTGAGGCCGATTCTGCACTCAGGGTAAGATTGGTTCGCTTTGTTCCACGTTAATCTGCTAACCTGCACGTAGGACNNTACACATAAAATTGTTGGCGGTCGTCATCCTACGGTAGACATAGGTCTCCAAGAGCAAGGTCGCCTNTTTACCGCCAACGACTGCACTGTTGGTGGTGAACAAAGCATCATCTTGATTACAGGGTACGCTGCCCACCTGATCTTGTTGATCATCGTATTGACCTATTGCACAGGNCCTAATATGGCAGGAAAGAGTACCTATCTAAGGCAAAACGCCCTGATTACTATTCTAGCCCAGACTGGTTGCTTTGTTCCTGCAGACTATGCAGAAATAGGGTTGGTGGACAAGATCTTCAGCAGAGTGAGCCGGCAAAAGTAGATGTGTGATATTCTAAACGATACTGACAATTTCTCANNGGTGGGCTCTGCAGACAGTTTGTACAACCATCAGTCAACTTTTATGGTGGAGATGCTCGAGGTGGCCGAGATCCTAAATCAAGCCACTCCACGATCGTTTGTGAGTAGAGATCAATTCTGACAAACGTAGCCACTGACACACAGATCANNGATCATCATGGATGAAGTCGGTCGAGGAACAACTCCCGAAGATGGTGTCGCCGTAGGCTATGCCTGTCTGCATCATCTGCATAATACAACTCAATGCCGCACATTATTTGCAACTCACTTCCATTCTCTGGTTGATATGACCAAGAACTTTGAACGCCTGGCTTGTTACTGTACAGACGTTGCAGAAGAGAAGGATGGCTCATGGGTCTATGTTCATAAGCTGCGAGAAGGCGTAAATAGGAGCTCGCATGCCCTCAAGGTTGCGAAGCTTGCTGGTAAGTCAAGAAATCTCTCGCCATGTCTTTGGTCATGCTGACAATGATANGGTCTGCCGGACTCAGCAATTGCCGTGGCTAAAAGTGTCCTGGATGGCTTTGAGCACGAGAGAAAAAGTTCGTCGTAATTATCTGATCGTTTTACTGATTCATCACTCACAGCTTGGGAAGGCGACATGTGCTGGCTGACAGGATATTGTTTTGGTTGCTAGTATGACGATTGGACTGGGGTATCTCTAATTATTTCATGCCTTGTCGCCATTGCGCAATCGATCCTCATACCGCGGCTGAGTGCGCAGTTTAGTCCTTCTTGCCGAAGAGGTGCTTGACCTTGTCACCCAAGCTTTCCTTCTCCTGCTGCTTATCCTTGTCCTTTTCCTGGGTCGGTGCACTGTGGCCTCCATACTTCTCCTTGTAGATGTTTCCTTCGCCTCCGCGCTGGATTGCGCAATTAGCCAAGGTTGATAGGAATGGTATTTCGGACAAACTTACACCAGTGTGAAAGTTGTCATAGCCTGCAGAGTGGCGCATAGCAGGCTCGGGGATCACATCCTCTGAAGCAGAGCTTTTGTCGACGGGTGCGACTTTGGGCGAATCAACGATATTGCCGGCACCTGCAGTCGCAGTTANGTCTCTTATCTGCTGTGTCTTGGTCCGGATTCACATGCCTCCACGACCGGAGGAGTACTCAGGCTTCGAAGACTCGCCAACAAAGCCTTCGCGCACGATGCTACCATCAGTGTANNGCTGTGATCGTGTGGTTAGACTCGTATTGACCTGTGCTGTCGTGATCTTTGCTTACATTGTATCGTCACGGCCGATGTTGCCAGCGCCTGTTCAGGTGTGTTAGCTATGATGATACTCGTGGACTGCGTAGACCAGCATACCTCCACGGCCTGTAGAGTGAATTCCGTCTGCCATGTTGTTCTCGATTCTTATGAAAGTGTTTTGTAAAAGTTTGTTCTGATCAGAAAGTCAAATTCAGGACTCTGATTCTGGAATGGAGTATTGGTATCAAGAGGAATGCGCGACTATTTGTTGACCTCTGACCATGTGAAAGCGATGACGTGGGGACTCAAGAGTTGCCAAGATTCATCGTAATTCACTACCGTGATGGCCTCACTTCATTCTACATTTCAAGAACGAGTGACACTTGGTCACGATATCGGACGGCTTGATTCATCACTCTTGATTTGGAAGGGAAGTGATGCGGTGGCAGTGGTGCAAGGGTTAAGGTTCAGTGCTTATTGCTGAGGGTATCGGGATGGATCTCCGTACTGATAAGGATTTGGGAATGATTAGTGACGGTATTTACGAATCAATCTCAAGAGCAAGTTTGAAAACACGGGAAAACACCTTCGTAAAGCGCACAGACGCTCACAAGTCCTAGAGACAGTGTTTACCAGAAAAAATGATCAAGACTCTGAAAATCAGCAAATAGAATGTCGAGGACATAAAGTAGCATGAACAGCCAGGGTTGCCAGTGTCACAAGGTCGCTTGGCAAGCACGAAAGTTCCAGCGTGCAACTTCTCTACAAGCAACAAGCAGCTTTTGACAGTGAAAACATCTTGAGTGGCAGTAATCATAATGGCCGAGACACAATCATACAAGGAGCTTCTCGCAAAATGGGCCGACAAGTATCGAGGAGTGCGTCGCGCAAAACCTTTATGTCCGCATGGTATAATGCTAACATTCTCTATANNGGCAACTGTCGAGGACCTTGACCCACCACCCGCTCTGTCGACATCGCCGTCCTCGCTTATCTCAAGCGCTCTCATGGCGGCTTACGAAAGAGAATACACCCATTTGACAGTTGTTGAACCCGAGACGCGGGCGCTCGTGGGCTACCTGTCTATGCCCCACCTCAAGCATCTGCTCAAGTCAGGCGCGGTCCGTGACACCGACACAGTGGAAAATGCAATGACAAAGTTCAAGAGGAAGGGCACCAAATACCATGTCATCACTATGGACACTCCTCTCGAAGAGCTTGAAGCCTTCTACGCAGGCATGACGGAAGACGGCCAGATGCCCGCACAGGAGTTCGCTGTTGTAACAGATGCGGGTCGCAAATTTGTCCTCGGTGTTGCTACTAAACAAGACCTCGAAGAATTTGTCAAGAGAAGACCCGTCTATTGATCCGACATGTCCACCTGCCTCTTTTGATACATATACCCAGTCCTTCAAATCGTCAAAAGACCAATATCCTGTCGAGGCTGGCCATATCGCACCTTGATGGTTCCGAATGTCAACACGACCCGATAGGACGCTCACAATCGAATTGTGCGGAGGGAGCTCTGCCGGCGGGGTTTCATGCTTGAGCCTCATGCCGGATCCTAGAGCTGGTGCCGGAAGATCTGGTAGCACACCGCATGCATTGATTCGTGCCGCTCGGGAAAGCCTGTTGAGCGCTGATGGCATATCATATGTGCCCGCGAGATGAACTGGCGCAAGGACGGCCACGGTTAGCAGTTTAGAGTGCGACTCGTAGTTATAATCCTCATCTGCCAATCCGCTTTTTGCAAACAGCCGCGACAACGCTGATGTCGTCAAGTTTCCCACCCTCTATCGAGAGACCTTCTTCAATTGCACGTTCCATGTACGGGCTCTCTGCAAATGGATCTTGGGCAATGGTGCGAGCTGCTTTGACAAGCTCCTGGGCAACGAATTGCATACCCCCTGCGTATGTGCTTTGGTCGTCTGAGCGCATCACTTGAGGAACACTGCCGGATTGCCATTTCTCCATACTTTGCAGGACATTGTCGACAACTTCGTGTTCCCAGAGGTTGTCCACAACGCCGTCAGACATGGCTAGAATGATGTCGTCTTCTGCGATGGTGATCTTGTCCATGACGGCATTCTTGTCGGGCACATCAGGACTATTGGTGCCAAGCTGCCGTGGACAGTCGAACCAGTGCCATTGCTCAGTAGTCTTGTAGATGACTTCGCGTTCTTCTGGTCGTATGACCAGTATCTGAGAATCACCAAGCTGGGTTACGTAGAGTATAGGATGGGGTGGGTTGTTGGTATCGGTATGCAAGAGGGCACCGCAAGCAGTAGTGGTGCCAAACCATTCGTTGGGTTTACTGGTTGCGTCTATGGTCTGTTGGTAAGCTTTGGAGAGGTATGTGACAGGATCCGGCTCCGAATCGTCTCCGTATACATCTTTCTCGGCCTCCAGGGCCCAGAAGTGGAGTATGAGGCGCGACCACAAGCTACCGTAGTGCGTTAGCGATACGGAAGGGATGAACCATAGATGTATGCACAAGTCTTACGCAGCGTGTCCTCTTTCACGACTAGCCCATGCTCCTACACCGTCGTTTGCGCCTATGAAGTTGTCGCTGACCAGGACGGCATCGTCACCGTTCGTGATCCCACGGATCATGTCACCGTTCACAGACGGGCGGCGGTCGCGGCTTCGGTCATGGGTACTCAGTGGATCTGAGAAGGAACCCGAGGGTGGTGATAAGAAGGGCGGCGGAAAAGGTCGTGATGGTCGTTTGGCGAAGAGGCCATAGCCGGCCTCGAAATAGTATGCTGACTTTGAAACAACAATCGAGGCTTCATCGGGTACAGGTGTGGTGGTGCCGCCTCTGGGTTCTTCATTCTTCTGCGGGCTGCGCGACGACGCGAGCCGATATGGAGCATGCGATCTGACGGACGATTGTATTTGTAGCCTTTTGGTCAGCATGCGCATGCCTCTCCTGACGTTCATGCTGCTGCCGAGACTGAAGCCCAAGCAATATCGAGCCCGGCCAACTCGTCGCAGGTCATGTCAGTCTGCTTCTGTTGACTACACGCTGGGCCCTATGATGCTGACGGAGAAGGCGCCCGCCTATGTCGGCTCTCAGAAGTCCGTCGTCTGCAACTTCCTATCTTAGAAAACACACAACGGTAGAGCACTCTTGAGTCGTAAAGAGAACTCATACTGATGCAAAGGCATCTTGATTGTCTATTGAGAAGAGTGAACATGGATAAAGATCCGGCCTTCTTTGGCCCACCCGAAACAGAACGCCTTTTGAAAGTGCATGCGAACCCGCCGTAACCAACCAGAAACCTCAAATGCTGTACATTACCATCAAGCCTTCTTCTCCTCAGCTTTTGTCTCTGATGTCTGATGGCTTCCGATAGATGAAGTGGGAACACCTGCTTGAGCCTGTACTTCGGCTTCGTGTTCGCGTCTAAGTGCATCTTCTTGTCGACCGTCGTCCTCCTTCTCGTCAATGTTGTCGAGATCGCTGACACGAGCAGACTTGCCGCCTTCACTTTGCTTCTCACTCTGTTCGTTCTCATCCTCGATCAACTCCTGCTGCTCACGAAGAACCTCCAGACGTTGCTTGTTAGTGGCAGCGCCCTCTGCAGTATGCACCTCCAACTCAATCTCGTGGAACAACTCCTCAGGAATGCTGGACAAGACGGCTTGCAGGGCATCGATCTGCGAATCGAACTCTACATCCTTGCCCTGAGTGTACATGAAAGCGTTCGAGAGAACAAGAAGAGTGCTTGGAACTCCGTACTTGAGACGCAACTCGAGCCACAGGTTCAGGTCGTCGCGCAATCTAGCGGGAGAGACACCGTGAGTGCGGAGGCCACGCGAGGCACATGCAGTCTGAAGCTCAGGAACAGACAAAGACTCGACACCCTCGAAAGAGATAGCTCTGTCGTCACGCTTGATCTGGCGCATACGATGTCTGACTGTGTAGCGAAGCATGGCGTCGGTGCCGAAAGTGGAAAGAGACATGTAGCGACAGATGCCAACAAGTTGCGGGCGCGAGAGGTTGTCAAGGGTCAAGTCGTCCTTGAAAATCTTGCAGACACGGATAACATCGGCCTTTGTCGGGGACTCACCAGTAGTACGGATNNCTGGACCGAGTCAGTACGTAGCCCGGTATGAAGAAGATAGGGCAGTAGATACCTTGCGGAAGAATTCGGTAAACTCTTCCTTCTGTGCGTTCGCAGCGCTTACAGGCAGACCAGTCTCCTGTAGGGTCATGCGTAGGAAGCTACTGACTTCTTTGCGGGTACCACGCAGACTGCTGGCCTTTGCTTCCTTTGACTTTTGACCCTCGTATGTGCTAGGAAGCATGTTGGGGAAAAGCTTCAGAGCGACCGGAAGGAGCAACTCTGCGAAGGGAACAATGACAAAGACGGAGAAGGGGACAAGGCGACCGAGATCTTGAACGGTACGGTGCANACTAGGCAGAATGTCAGACAAGGGGGTGGGGTGGCAGATTGCGTTCAGTGAACTTACTTGTCTGTGTTCTCTGCGGGTAAGCTCGTAACCTGCAGCCATCTTCAAGGCCAACTTAGAACTGATCTTGACTTCGGCAGCCAACAGCTTAGTGCCATCCCAGTAGTGATGAACCTCCTTCATGATCTTTTGACGGAGAGTAAGCTTCTTGTCCTCCTCCTTCTTCTTCTCAATTTTCTTCTCCTCAGCCTTGTCGGCGGCAGCTTTCTCGTTGGCAAGCTCTTTGAGAGCCTGTTCTTCCGAGGCCTTGGTGGGTGCATGTTCGGTAGGCTTGTGAATAGGAGTGTTGACATCGGGTGTGGAAGAGGACGATTGCTTGGACTTGTCTTCTTGCGATGTCAGAGGCTTCTTGGCCTGGTCGGCATTGAAGCCTGGAGGAGGGTAGTTGGTCTGGCTGTTGGATGTAGATGTCTCGCCAGACACGGAACGGTTCGGAATCAATATGGCGACAGCAGGTAATTGCCTAGGGAGGCGCATAGATCGAGACAGGGCAGTCCTTGTGCTGTTTCTAAGCAGCAAAGGAGCCATTTGCGAAGCAGTGCGGTTGAATGACATGGCGGGCGGGCGCCTTTGACGAATTTGAAACTTCTACTGGCGATAGACGATGGATGAGCAAGCGTTAGATACTTCAGAAAGATGAAATGGGCGACTCGCGAGGAACTGCTGTGGAACTTTAGTCTCGGAGTTTAACACATCAATCCCGTCTGTTCGCCCTCGACGAAATCCATGATCGGAGGTCGGAGCTCAGAGCACGGATCATGGTGATGCTAGAGGCAGTCACAATATTTTGGAACCAACCCTTTCTTTACCCCGAGGAATAAAGGTCTTAACAAACTACCTATCGAAATGCATAGTTGCGATTCGAACATGAGCCTAGCCATTGAGATAGCTTTCATTAGAGTTCTCTGTATGAGAACCGCATTCTTTGCGAAAGTATTGTGTATTTCTGTAGCTACACTGTGACTGTCTTTAGCACGGGGAGGAAGCTCACCCCGCAAGACGGAAGCCGAAGCCGGGCGTTCCCAATTGTCCGACCGAACAATTGTTGACTTGTCCTCGTCGAGTCCGCACTCCTTCCGCTTCACTCAAAGACAGTGTCACTCTCTCCTCTACTATCACGTACGGACTCACAGACGTCGCGATCCAACCGCTCTCTCGTTCTTTGCCAGACTTTGACATCGAAATCAAGGTCAAACACGTCGCCTAGCCGTCTTGTCCGGTCAAAGCCACCTCTCACTTATACACTCTCTCCTCCCAAGATGCAACTCCGCAAAGCTGCTCGCATAATCTTAGTCGGCGCTCCTGGTGTAGGCAAGGGTACCCAGTCTGAGCGTATGCTTCAGCGGTTTCCCCAACTAGCCTCGATCAGCTCCGGAGATCTCTTGAGAGACAACGTTCGCAGACGGACTCCGNNCTTGGTACCACACGCTCATGCCTTTTCCATGAGACAACTGCTGACTTCTGAGTCCATAGGCATTCAAGCCGAATCCCTTATGAAAGCAGGTTCACTTGTTCCTGACTCGACCATCTTGCGCCTGATCACAAACGAGTTGACCACTCGGGGATGGCTTACTCCCTCTACAACACAGAAACCTTTGATCATGAACTCCGTGGCATCCTCGCTTAACGCCTTCACGTCTTCTCAAGACGATTTCATTACTCCAACGACTGCACACCAGGGTCAATACGACTTCAGCGATCAGCCAAATGCCTCTTTCATCCTCGATGGCTTTCCTCGCACTGTTGACCAAGCCATTCAACTTGACAAGTTGATTCCGATCAACCTTGTTGTCCAGTTGAACACTCCCACATCCGTCATCCTTGACCGCATCTGTAATCGCTGGATCCACGCTGCGTCCGGTCGGGTATACAACACTACCTTCAACGCCCCCAAAATTGAAGGAAAAGACGATATCACTGGCGAGGCCTTGATTCAAAGAGACGACGACAAACCGGAGACATGGCTGGCTCGTCTGAAGAAGTTTGAAGAAACCAGTCAACCTCTGCTCGAACACTACGACAAGCTTGGCGTTCTCTGGAGAGTCGAGGGTAACAGCAGTGACGAAATCACTCCCAAGCTCTTCGATGAGTTCAACAAGAGATTTGGATTGTCATGACACGACACGACACACATACTCGATGAACAAACTCTAAACCTTTGCGCACGCTTAGCAAACCATGTGGCTGCGGTGTTCGACTTCACCAGCTCGGAAGCTAAGTGTATATTGGCTGCATTCATCAGCCTGCCAGAAAACCCCTGGCGTTGACGCTTCCCAAACGAATCATGTCACGACGTTACAGAGCCATGACTACTCGACTCTGAAGCTTGTCAGTTGCTTCAGGACTGGCTTATGAACATGGGAGCAAAACTGAGATAGCCGCGTTTCAAGCGACAGCCTCGATTGGGTCAATGCCACACCTGAATATCAGCAAGATGTTGGGGACGGAGATCGTTCACAGACATCTGTAATCATCTGTCTATGTAATTGACGACTTGCTCTCAGGGAAAGCATGTTACGAGAGTTCAGGCGTCCATAATGGTCAATCCTACAATGAAATTCAATCCAACTGCCATATTCAATCAAGTCGAGCAAGCAATCCAATTTCTGAACGATGGTGTCAAGAGAGTATTGTGTGAATGACCGCAAATTCTGAACGGCGCATTGTTCAATGTTGACACTGAAACGTTCCCCAGACCACTCGGGTTGATGCCGACGTCGTATCACAATGTATCAGAAAAGCTGCGATGCCGGAGGTGACGCTAGGGTCAGAGTCGAGAAAGTTCGTCGTCAGTACAAGGGCGCTGGGCGCAAGGCGCAACCGTGAGTCAAGTAGATATACGTACTTTCTCGACCTGATTTTGTTATCTAAGTCATATATCTTGTGTTGTGCACCCGAAATTCTCATATTGGCTAAACGATTACACCCCAAAATGTCTCCTCCAAGCGCTATCGATGTCGATGTTCAGGCAATTGACGATACTACCGCCATCACCATTCCGAACCCTCTTACACTCGAGAGTGTTTCGTCAAGACGTGCAGCTACCGGAAAACTGATTGCTGGAGTCGCTGCAGTGGCCAATGTTGAGCAGTTCAAGGGCGAGAAACAACACCTGCACAAGCCCAAGGCTAAGAGATGGGATCGTGAGTGCCAAACTGGCGAGTTTCCTTGACCATAGCTGATCGAAGATAGANNCCGCTTGAACATCGAATCCTCGTCGCGTAAAGGCAACTCGCTCAAGGCCGCAGCCAAGTACCTCAAGAAGCCTGGTATCATCTCGCTAGGTGGTGGTCTGCCCTCATCCGAATACTTCNNCCCCTTTGACGAACTGTCCATCAAGGTGCCTCAAATCGGCCACTGGTCTGAGCAAGAAACACGCGAACAAGGCGCCGTACTTACGGCTGGAAAGGCTGACCTTGCCAACGACAAGTCTCTGTTTGACATCACTACCGCCTTCAACTATGGCCAGGGCTCTGGATCTGCACAGTTGTTGCGCTACCTCATCGAGCACACAGAGATTGTACACAACCCTCCTTACCAAGATTGGCACTGTAACATGACCATTGGATCTACCTCAGCTCTAGACGTGGCTTTGAGAATGTTCTCAGAGCGTGGTGATGTTGTCTTGACCGAGGACTACACTTTTGCAACAGCTGTCGAGACAGCTGCGCCCATGGGTGTTCGTATGGTCGGAGTTGCTCTGGATAACGAGGGTCTCCTACCTGAATCTCTCGACGACATCCTGAGTAACTGGGACGAGGCAGCACGTGGTGCCAGAAAGCCTTTCTTGCTCTACACCGTGCCTACAGGCCAGAACCCCACTGGAGCCACACAGAGCGAACAGAGACGTAGAGAAGTGTACAAGGTGGCGCAGAAGCATGATCTTTACATCCTAGAGGACGAGCCATACTACTTCTTGCAGATGCAACCATACACAGGACCTGACTCGCCAGGAGTACCGCCACCAAAGACTCACGCAGAGTTTCTGAAGTCATTGGTGCCTTCTTTCTTGTCCATGGACACTGACGGCCGTGTCATGCGTATGGACTCGTTCTCCAAGGTCGTTGCACCTGGAGCACGAGTTGGTTGGATCACAGCATCGCAGCAGATTGTTGACAGATTCATGAAGCACATTGATGTGAGCACTCAAGCCCCTAGTGGTATCAGTCAGCTGGTCTTGTTTAAGTTGCTCGACGAGCACTGGGGCCACGCAGGTTTCTTGGACTGGCTGGTTCACATCAGAATGGAATACACGCAGAGAAGAGATGTCATGCTTGGAGCATGTGAGAAGTACCTGCCCAAGGAGGTTATGAGCTGGAAGCCGCCAATGGCCGGCATGTTCGTAAGTAATTTGATCATGATTTGATGAACGACTCGAGCTAACAAACATGGCAGNCACTGGCTTCAGATCGAGTACGAAAAGCACCCTGACCACAAGGACAAGTCGGTCGCGGAGCTCGAAGAGAAGATCTTCCAGACGATCGTGGACCACGGCGCTTTGGTTATGAAGGGGTCGTGGTTCTATGCCGATAGCCAGGCCAAGCATGACACCATGTTCTTCAGATCAACATATGCAGCTGCACCATTCGAAAAGATCGACGAGGCCATCAAGCGCCTTGGAGACGCAATTAGAGAGGAGTTCAAGCTAGACAGCCAGTAGACGCTTTTTTAATTCTGGATATACGTGGATAGTTTTGACATTTCGGATTGTGAAATGCATGGCGTTCAAGGGGGAATAGACAAAATATGCAGAAACGAAACTTTTCGAATGATCTCAGTTGATGAAGTTGACGCAGAAGAAATGCAGGATCAAACTGCCAAAGACGTAATCCGCGAAAGCTCNTGTGTTCCAAGTCAGATATATGCCAGACATGAAGCCGCTGTGTGTTGGTTGATACCTTTCGTGTGATATGGAGCCGAAGTCGGCCTTGTTTTGGGGGTTGGTCTGGATTCGCAAGCTGGCAGTAAGAACGAACTGGCCGACGGTNNGGCAGAGAAGCCGGAAAGGAAAGCATTGAAGGGCTACATAGACGGGTCAGCTGGGGATTGAGAATGCGACAAGGGGGCTTGGGCATACGTAGTTTCCACCAATAACGCAGTAGAGGAACTGTAGAACGCCAACGAAGATGAGGAAAGTCATGAAGACGTCAATCAGCTTGACGCGCTGGGGAGTGTCCTGGACATAGCGGTCCCATACGGCCAAAGCGATCTCTTGAGCATCTGTCGAGTTGCGGACGGTAGACTTGGTCGATGTGGGCTTTGCAGACGCAGCGATGGGCTTAGTTGGCTGAGAAGAAGCAGATGTTTGTCCGTGGGAGGGTTTGGCCGTCGAGGGAGGGACTATCGAGGGAGCAGGAGCAGCGGCGTTCTTCTTGGGTGCCATGATCAAGGTGTTGAGCTGGGGATTGGTTCTTTCGGATAGAATTTGGGACGACAGATATTCTAGTTGGATTGGAGACTTGTCAAGACAGGCAGAATCGAAGAAAAGACAGTTGACGAGTATCAAGGGTTGTATGCTCTTGGGTACAGCAATCGCAGGGAGTAGAGCAGCGCGAATCGAGCCAGCTTGCTGAAGCTACCTGGCCGACCGACGAGTCGTTCGCACGGACGATGCCGCGTCACTGACACCACCGCCCTCCATCTGCTCTCCCCGCCTACTCTACCAACGTCCTACCCGTTGTTATACACCCACTTCAAACACTACCTCGCACTCGACAGAATAAACACACTCTCCTCGAACAAAATGGTATCTGATCCTTGACACCATCATGTATGAACTGACAGCAGAGCTAACGCTTAGCAGAGCCTCGAGTAAGCCTATATCAGAAACTATACAGCCGTGGCCTCCTCATACACCTCGAGGAACGAATGCTTTGATTCAAAGCTACGGCTATATCTGTATCCTTTGTCTAATGCCCGTGTCCAGCACTGTCGCCTACATTCTTGCCTCCCTGACCGCCGGTGGTGGAACCATGGGTTATGTCAGAACTGGCTCTGTTCCATCCATCGCTGCAGGTGTCTCCGTCGGCGCCTTGTACGCACTGGGAGGTTACCGCATCTCTAACCGCCAACCCTACGGTATTGAGTTGGCTCTGTTGGCCAGTGTTGTTCTTGCCGGAAGCAGTGTCCCAAGAGCCATCAAGTCCGGAAAGCCCCTTCCCATTGGCCTGAGTCTTCTTGCTGCCTACGGTCTCTACAGCTTCGGCTCTGCCTGGTCTTCCAGAGTTCGTTAATGTAATCTTAATCTGACTCCCGTCTCCTTACCTCTTTCTCATCTAACACGCTGTTGTCCATCTCGGAAAGGGAGGGTGCCTGTGCCAATAATACTTTTAGCTATGGTCCGTCCCGTTGTCTGTGTATCCATACGTCTGCTTCTTGCACTGGGCCATCTTTTGAGCTTCACATCGAAACTGCCCCATGTACATAGACTAATTGCACAAGCTGAACTTGATTGATCCTGCATTTGATGTGTTAAGAGTTGTCTCTGCTACCTAGGCAAGTGGGACTACTACGTCCCTGTATCGCTTACGATCGAAAGGCTGCACGATCTCGTTCTTCTCTTGAGATCGGTTGAATTCTGTTACCGCCCACTTTCACGGAGGCACTGCATTGTTGTGAATGAAGCCAAACATGTAACAAGTTACCGGAGATGCGCGGATCATGGCAACTACGATCGACAGGGGAGGATATTATGCTCGAGGGGCGATCGGCGTTTAAAACGTGACATTGTTGTGTACAGACTGTTTATAGACCACAACTGAGGACAGCATGTATCAACGATGGCGTATCGCGATTGAAGCAGAGTTTTTGGGAGAGAGCCAATGGTTTGTTCATTTGATTCTTCTGGCAGATAAAGCAGTATTATTTGGTATCTTCAGTCAAGGAGTGCGGGGCCGAGTTTGGCGGCGACCTGAGAAAGGGAAAAAGATATTGCAGAAGAGATGAATCATCGATCCTCGACGTCGGGGTTGAAAAGAGCGATGCGCATGCGGTGAAGNNCTATAGCGATGGTCAGAGGATGATAGTGGAGATTGTTGGTGGGCAAACTTACAGCAGGAAGCTTTGGTACGACAACAGCGAGGGTTGCCATGAAGTTGATCATGAAATAGGTAATGTCGTAATGCGTGTAGTGAGTGCTGACAAGGAAAAGAATGATGGGTACACTGAGCAGGAACTTTTTGGCGGGAGTATATTGGTCGCCGCTATCGATCTGCTCCCACATGTTGAGGTTGTCGTAAGCACCGGCGTTGAACTCGAAGGGCACACCTCGCACCCAGTGGAACATGAGGAATGAGCCGGCCATGTACGAGATATTGGTGAGGGTCCATGATGTTTCTTGGGAGATGTTGGGGACGATGTCGAAGATGATTTTGAGAAGAGCGATGAGAACAAAGTGGATGGCCCAGGCACCTGTGAAAACGTGTCAGGATGCGATTCTGGCAATGCGCAGAGGAAGAGCAGAGCTGTAGTACATACCTTTGGCATTGACCCATTCCGAGTTGAGGTTGGGCAGGGCGGCCTGGTCACTGATGTGCTCCAGCGACTCAGGGGGCTCGGTGTACATCAGACTGCTAGACCGTCTCCTCCGTGCCGCCTTGGTGTCCATACTGGAGGCTGCTTTGTCTGTGTGCCTCCTCTGATTCGGCGGGCGATTTGTGTCTCCGGCAAAGCTAAGGCCGGAGGAGGAGGGTTGAAGGAGTGTAGAAGACAGCTTGGCGGTGTTTGCTGGTGCTGGTGGTGCTGAAGGGTACGGAATCGTGGCGGTGGAGGGTGCACTGCTGCACCGGGAAAGGGATACGGAGGGAGAAGGAGACAAAGGAAGCGCAGAAGGCGTGGGAGCAGCGACAAGCGTCTAAGACAATAGAGCAGAGAAGTTGACAGTCGGGCGAAATTGATACCGCAAGATGCATGGAAAGGGTCCAGAAAGCAAGCCAGCACCCAGCCAGTAACGTTAGTCGTGGCGGTGCAGCATTCGAGAAATTGGGTCACTTTGAACGCCCAGAAAATCATCACCCCACTTCGTCCGCACCACTCTGCTGGCTAGTTGCGACTACTAGGTATCTCCTTACACAAAGACAGCACTTTTGCCTCTCCATCATTGCCTTTATTCTCCTACTTCCATGCTCCTCTCTTGCCTTCCTCGCCCTGTGGCTACGTCGCCCTGTCGTGTCTTCCGTCAACCTCCGTGGCTCCTTGGCAAAGATAGGGCTGTTTGCTGTTGCTATTTTGGTTCCACTACTGCTTAAACAAACTTCTGGAAACCTTCAAGAAAGAAATAGAGGAAATATATGTCAATACAGTAATAGTACAGTGTAGCGAAATGAACGCCATTCATCTACGGCTGACACCAGGAGTCCAACTCTGTGGCTGCCAGTCGTCTCCTGGATTACCCTTTGGTGCTTGCTTCCACGGGTTTGCCTCCTTGTCTCTGGTTCTGCCTTTGAACCTGCCGTCGTCCTTGGTTCTGCCCTCGGTTGAAGCATCAACTTCACTTGCGTCACCTACCGCGCTTCTAACGCCTTCATTCTCAGTAGGCTCAGTCTGGTTCTGATGCATGTATCCTGCGGGATCCTTTACGCCTATAGCTGGTGCAGGTTGTTGCTTTGATGGTGCATCTAAGAAGGATTCTTGTGCAGCCCATCGCTCGTCTGCTGCAGCGGCCAGTTGGCGCATCTGTGCTTGCCGGGATACCTCGTACTGTTGTTCCTGAAGCGTAGGAGCTTCAAAGCGGACCTGGCGCAACCACTGATGCCATTGTGCNNTATAAGAACTCATGATCAGAACAATTATATCCGAATAGTAGAGTCAACTAGGTAGCGTACGTGAGATCTTGACATCAGCATAATGTCCCTGACTGCTGTACTGGACGATTCTTCGCATTCGACCAGCATTGATGGCGTCCTTGAACTCCCAAANAGTGTTGCCCGAAAGATCAGCGCNCTGCAATTATATGTGGTCAGCTATGTCAAGGCGGTGATTTGATAATTTCTTGAACATACCGACAAGCCACTTTCGTCGCCATGGAAGACGCAGACTCTTCCACTTGTACCAGGCTTGCTTGATGGCTCCTGGCTGTTTTGACATGATGTCTTTTGGATGATCAAGTCAAGTTGCAGAGGCAACGGGGCATGTTCAAAGCAAACGTGAGTGCAGCAGCACGATTTTGATGACGTTCTTTGATTAAACGCGGCCGAGGCGCATGCACAGACGCGACGCAATGCAATGCAATCCGCTCTCAGCGCCCAAACATTAATCAAGCATCGTGGTCCCTCCTTTAACCCCTCCATCAGCGAACCACATCCTTCTTCGTCCTCAACATGGCTTCTGTGTCGTCGCTGGACCAGGACATGCGCAACTTGCGCTTGTCCAAATACACTCCGCAAGCCGCTAATGAAATCCGCTCATGGATCGAACAAACACTCGGCGAAACACTACCACCAGGCGATCTTCTGCAGGATGTACTCAAGGACGGTGTTGTCTTGTGCAGACTCGCCAACCTAGCTCTGCCCGCCCCAGGACTCAAGTTCAAGAAGTCCGCCATGCCCTTCGTCCAGATGGAAAACATATCGCACTTCCTGCGAGCATGTGAATCNCCTCCACTGAACATGCCTGCCCACGACCGCTTCCTCACCGTCGACCTGTTCGAGTCCAAAGACCCTGCCCAAGTACTACAATGTATCAGCGCCTTCAGTCGAGTCGCCCATGCTGTCAGTCCAGCTAATTTCCCCAACACCATCGGCCCTCAAAGGAGTGCAACTCTAAGTCCTGCTACCGGTCCCACTCCCAGAAATGCCCGGCCAGTCGCTCCAAGCCCACTTTCTGCCAAACCTTCGTTCGCCGTCCCTTCCGCCAGACCTTTGAGCCCTGCTCTTAGTGGAGGCTCTTCTGGCTCACGCGCAACCGATAATGGTCTCAAATCATCTCGAGGCACAGTTAGTAGCTGGACCAAGGCAGGTGATCGAGGAAACACAGCGCCTGCCTGGAACATTGCTCAGTACGGCTACATGGGCGGTGCTAGTCAAGGCAATCAGGGTGTTATGTTTGGTGGGAGAAGACAAATCACCACTGCTGCACCTCACGTTCCCGGCCAAGGTGAATCTGCTTATGAAAGAAGACGTCGCGAAAGGGAAGCAGAAGAAGAACGCCTGAGACAGGAGGTCGAAGAAGCCGAATACAAAAGAAAAACCGAACGGGAGGCCGAGGAAGAACGTGACCGAATCGCCGAAGAACAAAAATGGGAGGAGGAAACTCGTCGCACGAGGGAACAGGAAAGACAACGAATTCTGGAGCAGAAACGACAGTGGGAGGAGCAAGAACGTAGATGGAAGATTGAGGAGGAAGCTCGTCAAAGAGAACAGGAAGCGGATACTGCTGATGTCAACTTGAAAGGGCAATATCTGAGTCAGCATCAAGCCGACCAAGGGGCTCGAAGACCCAGCGCACACGAAGATACGCCTGAAAGATTGAGAGTTCGTGAACTCGAGAAACAGCTGGAAGAGGCAAGGGAACGTGAGCGTCAGTATCAACAAGAGCGCGAGGAGCGTGTGCGTCAGAACAGCATTCACTCGAGACCTTCCACGGCGAGATCGGAACAGGAAATGGACCCGATACCAAGAGCACCCTCACCAAAGGACAGCGATGTGTCTTGGGCACCAATAGAGGATGAAGTGCTAAACAGGAAGATGCCTGCGCCTGGTATGCCCCTTGGTTCATCGAGACCTCTTCCGACTCCAGCAACAAGGCAGACGCCAGTGCTCCCTGAACGTACAGCATCTCCGGCAGGACCACGACCTCTACCAGATCCTTCGGCATGTCGTCCAGTCTCACCAGTCACAACACGTACCGATCGTTATCTTGCGGACAATCCTGCACCGGTGTCACCAAAGCCTGTTGCTCACCAGCCACGGGAGATGGGCTTTACTTCAACATACGAAGAGCAAAGTGATAGAGACCGTCGGATGGCATCACAACAAAAAACCAAGGCTGGTGGATGGGCGTCAAAATCTCTTTTGGAGCGCGAAATGGAGCGCGAAAGAGAGAGACAGCGAGAGTGGGAAGCGAACCAACAAGCGACCAAGGAAGTAGCTCAAGACGTGAACCAAGGCAGCGGTGCAGGACAGAGCTGGGATATCCATCAATACGGTTACATGGGAGGAGACAGCCAGAACCGAGGTTCGAGCTCCGGAAGTGGAATTGGATTTGGTGGACGTCGCCAAATTATCGGACCCCGCCCTCCGCCAGGTTCTTGATAGACAGGTCGAGCGAGATGACGAGATACAGAGTCTTGTGAACAAGTAATAACATGTACATAGTGTTCGAAAAGACATGGATCTCGTCTGGTGTTGAGAGCCTCAGCTTTGACTCGAACAAACAATGACATGTGAATGGTCCAAGCGTGGGCGCTGACCTATGACGTGGGGCGAAGATTGATTTCAAGTCTTTGGGCGCAGCTGCATGGCGGGCAGCAGGCGCTTGCGGGAAAAGTCTTTCTTTGAACAGTCACGCTCCACCTTGTTCCTGTTGACTCGTTCTGTAGCATCTAATGGAAGTGAAGCTACCTCGTCCATTTCTCTATATCCGCCACGTCTCGACTCCCATACAGTAACCCGCATCACTAGCCCGCGCTACAGCCATCAACCCCTCCTCTTTATACCGCCACCTTCACCCTTCTTACTACACACAAGAAATACATCATGCACGATCTGCGCAAGCAAGTACTCCTCGAGAGCGGCAAGACCCTGTCTAAAAAGGCAAAGGCCAAGCAAGCCATGGGCTCTGCTGCCAGCTCAAAGCAAAATTCGCCCAACGCCTCGAGGGCTGGCTCGAGAGTTGCCAGCCGCCAGGCTTCGGACGATGAGGCTGACTTCAGTGACTCGACAACTCAGTTCAGGTATGTTTCTACTTGACTTGTATTGCATCACTCATTCGCTGATTACCCTCGCAGTGTCAACTCCTTTGATGAACTCCGACCTGAAGACATCGACGCGCCCGAAGATGCTTGGGTTGCACAGCTGAACGAGCGCATGGAACATCTCATCGAACGCAAGAGGAGTAGTGTCCAAGGTCGCGAAGAAAGTCTCTCTGTCCTCTCACACCTCCTCATGGCTCACTACGCCCAACGCCATGTCCGTCCCAAGCTCAGCGAACTGGTCCCAGCTCTTCTCAAGTGTGCCAAAGGTGGCCAGTCCGACAATGAGACCGCCCTAGCTCTCAAAGCTCTGAGTCTCCTGATTATCACCGAGCCCTCCGACTCGATTTACGATGCCATGATCCGTCCTTTGAAAGGTATAATTTCCTCTTCTGAGTCATCCTCGGTCATGGTCGCTGCCACTCATACACTCGGCATCGCTACATTCTACGGTGGAGTTGGTCTGGACGAAACACAAGAAATCATGGATTTCTACCTCGAGATTATCGAGTCTGATGGTCACTCTGTCGAAGCGGCCGACGATGGAAACGTTGTAGCCGCTGCTCTGCAGGAGTGGGGCTTCCTTGCCACACAATTCGAAGGCATGGAAGATACGAGCGAAGAGCCAATGGAAGCCTTCGTCGAGCAACTAGAGTCTAGCGACGCAAGTGTTGTTATTGCTGCTGGCGAGAACATCGCCCTCCTTTTCGAAAAGAGTTGGTCTGAGCTGGAAGAAGACGAGGAACCTGAACACCAAGACGACGAAGACGATGAGGAAGAGGCAGACCCGACTGCCAAGGGCATGATCAAACGCTACACGGTATGGCGCCAGGAGCATCAACTCAAGCATACACTCAGCGCTCTTGCTCAAGCACATGGCAAACGCATTTCAAGAAAGGACAAGAAGGAATTGCACTCCAGCTTTGCCGATATTCTCAACACTGTCGAGCACCCGACAAGAGGCCCCCGCTACAGCAATGCTATCGACCAATATACTAACAAGGCATATGGTTCACGTATGGTGATCCATATTGGCAAAAACTCTATGAGCATCGACAAATGGTGGAAGCTTCATCGCCTACAGTCACTACGCCGTGCACTCCAGGGCGGCTTCATCGTTCATTATGAGGACAACCAGGTCGTATTTGACTCTTTGCCTGTCATGCTAGACTAAGCTTGTCATTGGCCTCTTTTGTTTTCTGACGATCGCAAGAATATCATGATTTCGCATTTCAGCACGGGAGTTTTGGATCTGCACTGGTGGATGGTTCAATCGGATGAGCGTTGGTTTTCTGTTATATACCTACCGTTATCCTAAACATGTCATTACTTGAGCCCCTTCTCAAACTACAGAATTCACTCTTGAGCAGTCTTAAGAGTCTCCGCTCTCGTTGTCCTTCTACGATTGATTGCATTTCCGAATGGTTTTTCATAACGAACGACCACGTGCAAACTCGACATTGAAAATCTCATGTGTCATGCCGTTGGCGTGTAGTATACACACGAGCTACCATGAAACTAGCACGTCTCGCTAGGTCATCTCACTGTATTTACCAATCTAATCATCGGGCTCAAAGTGTCCTTCTGGGCCTTTTTTTGTGGGATGGCTGCCAACTTTCTCACAAGCAGCACAGGAAGGACTTGCGTTGATATCCGCTATACAAGACTTGGAGGAAAGGCAGAGAGGGGAACTTTATTCCACACTTGCTATGGCACTTTTCGCGAAGATATGCTTCCAAGATGTACAGTCACCATGTTTTGAACATAAGTCTATTAATCAACTAGGGTCTAGACAGCTTTGAGAAGACTCTATAGAACCTCCATCTACAAATGTATCGTGAATTCACTTAGCTCTGCTATGACAGCTTGTGGGACTCTAAGAGGATAGTGTCATTGCGTTGTTCATCTAGTAGCGATTCTCAGCAGTTGTATGTAAATATAACATTAAGGGGTTCCAAGTAAACGTGAGCCATTTACCACCTCCCATGTGCGAAAGTATGTAACGTATACGCTATAGGAATGCATAACTCTATCTAGAAATAAGAATATGGCTAAAGAGAGCTAGTAGGAGATCGCTTCTTAGCGGACACTATCCTATTCTCTAATAGTATTGTGCATTTTTATAGCCATACGCGTTATAAGATTCGCACTCGGGGGAGGCAGCAAAGATCTAGTGTGGGGTTGGCTTATGTTTGCTCAGAGCAACTTGCATGTCTAGCCTCCACGGGCCCGTGGTTCGAAGTAGATTTACTAACCACGCCAGGATTGCTGCTTGTCTAGCACCGCAGCCATGTTCTCATGCATTCACGTAATCGTAGGAGGTCATCTTACTCAGGAAATCATGACTACAAGAATGTAAGCTCATTTGACTTGTACTCAGTTTCTTAGCTACTTCATTTTGATAGCCATGCCTGTACCCTTTCATATTAGCTACTTAAATTATCCTATTCGTATAAAAATACCACTGGTTTGCTCATTCGATATCTACTTTCTTACTTGCTTCATTTCGTATCTGCCTATCATCACCTGAATCATCAACACTATACTTATCTCAATCGGTTCTTGATGTATACATTTCATCCCGAGGCACAGAACTGTTTCACATACCCACATCTTCTCTACCATGGAAGATAAGATCCGCTTCCATGTCCCTTGACTTGTATAGACAATATAAAGCTACCGTTTCGAAGATTGGGAGACACTGGAGTCATCGCCTCAAGGCTCTCGTTACTTATAGACCTTGTCGCACATATATGATACGACAATGGTAGCCACATCCCTTGATGGATATCTACTTCCATCCGGTCGCATACCTTTGTTGTATGTAGTCGCTTCTTAACCTCTCATGTTTGCCCATGCGTCGACCATTGATTGATGTTGGCGTTTATACAAATCTGAGCGCGAGATCGAGCAAAAGCCGATGTGCGACGGCGACCTCGGTGACTGGCCTCGAACAACAACGACGTAGTCCAAGCCGGCATGCAGACGCATCCAATTCATCACATTGGCGCTATACGTTGGATGCGAGAGCACCTCGTACTCACTTCTCGATCTCTACTGATGAATTGCCTCTCATTGCTTCTCGCTCGCAAGGGCTTTGTGACAGATCTAGACTGATTGGGCTAGCTCGCTTGCATGTCAGCTGACATTGGCACCTCTGAAAATGTTATGCTACCCAAGGACGCTGATGAAGTGGTGACACCTGCGTGTGTGCCGGTCTTTTTCTTGTTGGAAGACGCAAATCGCTTCGTAGCAAACAAAAACTAGAAATGTGTTGATTAATCGATCTAGTCAACTTATGGTGCGCTCTGGTCAAGTTGACAGCTACGCATGAGAAACCATTATGCCCACCTCAAAATACCCATGACAGTTGTATTGAGTCTCTCTCTCTTAATCGTACCGATCACTAAGATACCAGACTCCCGGACGCCGCCAGAAGCTGTTGAAAACAACACTGTTCGGAGGGCATTCTTCTGTTTTAGAAGAAGCCGGTTCATCGACACTACCGCATAGAGTGTCAGGGGGTTTGGTCTCCTAGTACTCTCCAGTTGTCCCTTGACCAACTCCGTAAGCGTAGTCATTGCTAGAACCCTCAGTTGGCTCCATTGCACTGCCTAGGACGGCACCGCCGTTGTTGCTTCCCTCGAAAGGCGAGGTCTCTTGAGCACCGCCGGCGGAGTTCAGTGTGGTGCCTCCACTGGTCATTGGTCTCTGGTGTTCACCTCGAGCGACGAGAGTCTGCAAACATCAGTCAGCATACAGCGATACCTTACGAGGACGCCAGCACTCACCTCGCGGTATCTTGCAAGATAAATCTTAAGTGCTTCGGCATAGTTTTCGAAACCCAGAGAGGTCATGGCGAAGAGGATATCTTCACCGTTGACAGTCTTGCGTTTCTCTTGCTGACATTTCTCCGAGGCTACAATCGGTCAGCTTGTGGTCGAACACTTGTGAAGGGGTACTCCAGTAGCAGTAGACGTACCCTCACTAGTAATGAACGAGATGAACTCGCTGACGCATTCTTGCATGCATTCCTTGGCTTCTTTTGCGATTTTGGCATTGTCTGGAAGAGCACCTTTCATGATTCGGGCGACTGGTGCAAAATTGCGTATGTTAGCATCGGAAGCAACATCGTTCTTAGTGTTCCGGGGACGCAGTGGCTGTGATCGAGATGGTACTCGGGATGCAGAAGACATGACTGTTCGGCAATCCGCGCGCTGTCAACAGTCAAAGCTGCAGATCTGGGCTGGCAGAAGCAGCTCTGATTCGACGGTCAAGATGTCGAAACGCGCGATTGGGCTGTATATGGGGGATGTGAAGGGCAGGGCCATCGATGGCATTGGTCAATAGGCAGGTGGTGATGCAAAGGTGGTACAGACTGAGCAAGCTCCCTTGTCGGTTGCACCCTGTCCGACCACGAGATGAAAGAAGAACCGAAAGAACATACCGTTTGCTATAGGTAACCATCGATCTTGCTCCTTGACCTCGAAGTCGTAAACACCCAAACCATGATCACCGGGATCATCAGGGCCTCTGCTCATGTCTTGCTGCTCATGCTCGTCAGGTGACGGCTGGTTTGCGTCTGCTTGCAATGCTACTGGATTCGACACCTGCTGTCCCTCGACATCCGTTGTTCGTGGGCTTTGTGACATATTGTATTCGGCGACTTGCAGAAAAGGCCCCACACCTTCTCACACTGACGTTTGTTGCGCTGGCAGATTGATTCGCTGTCGCGATACGTCACGGTCTGTTGGATCTGAAGTGTCTGCAGCCCAAGACACTATGCTTCGCGTTGTGTTACGAGAGCCGGAAGCCAGGGGTTGATGCAAGGCACTGAACAACACCGGTGTAACAAATCAAAGGTTGGCTTTCAAAAGAACCTTCTGTGACCAGTGAAGTTCCAACACTGTAAAATCTGGCAGAGCATTAGTGTTACAGTCCCGTTGACAAGGCCCCCATTATGGATACTCTTAGTTCAGACCGTAGACAATTGTCAGTCGCGGAACTCGATGGGTAAACTTATCACCACAAAGCAGCGGCTGCGATTATCCCTCGGGTGTTACGTGGATGTAGATGTGAAAGGAACCGATGGATTGTGTTGGAGCCCAATGAACCGAGGAAAGCCTGTAGATGTCGGCTGGATGCACACGGGATCGCGACGTAGCGCCGTTACTTTGAAGTTGAAGTTGGACGACAGAGCGAGACGAGCAATAAGGTGAAAATACCGAAGCTGATGACGGCGCTTGATGTTTGGCGCGTAGATCCAACCCTATTTTAGATGGCGACAAGTCTCGTGTGATACGGCACAGAAGAGGAATAAACCTGGTTCGCTCGCGCGCGTTCTGCGATGGTCGTGGGGACTGGAGAAGGTGGCCTTGGCATGTTCAGCTGAGGATGACTGTATGAGCCTGAGTTTATGAGTAACAGCCCTGCAACATGCAGCAGTACTTGAATCTATGTTACGAACTGCCGCCCTCATCTTCTTTTCTGTACACATCGTGACTCTGCCGTTGAATGCCTAGCCTTGACTAAAAGTCTCAAATCACAATATCACTCTATAACGGAGTCTGACAGAAGGTACTGATTGTTGATAGATGCTCATTTAGTATGAATACCTATGCTTGGCGAGATAGTTTTCAAGCTCGCAAACATCTCAACTGCCAGTATTGTGCGAGAAATAGGTCTAGAACGCTCTGGTCAACCGACAATACAGCGTCTATTTCGCTGAAGCTGCTCTCTGCCTTATACTACCAAGCACCTGCATTGAGCTAGCAAGTAGTACTTCCATGGTACCCGACTCTGCGATTTTCGCCCTGAGATTGCTACATCTTACTGCTGGGGAGCATAGTCTGCAGGATCGAACCTCGTGCCAACTCTTGACGCATGTATTCTGACACGGCCATGCTCCAATTAAGCCGAACAATCTTGCTGTCAAGATCGTTTGCTGTTCTGGTAAGCATGACCTGGGCAAAGCGGCAAGACAAACATGATTTGCCGTGTGAGCAGCCAGAGAGATGATTTTGACAACAGCCTCACTGTGTGACAACCTGGATTTTGTTTTGGCGCTGCAAACGTGTTAGCAGACCGAACGGTAAGCATACTGTGCATACGGGTTTGCAAACCTTCCACTTTTCGAGTTCCTCTTGCTTAGTGGTGTATTGTTTCAGCAGGTCTTCAAGAACCTNTTTGAGGCCGTCCGCATTGGTCTTGAGCTGCGGCAAGACGTCTTGTACAGTTCGTTCCACAAGCACTCCATTGATCATTCGAAAACACTTGCGATCGCCTGGGAGTGGTTCGAGTGTTTCCAACACAANGTCTATTTCAGTGTCAGCTGTTGGCCATGCTGTCGACGCTACGCGATCATCCAATTTAAAGACTGTCTCTCAGATAGAAAACATCAGAATGAGACGAGATTACCAAACTTACTTGTGTTCTTCAGCTTCAGTCTCAACATCACCAATCTTTTGTGCGATGGCTTGAAGAGTTTCCTTGTAGTTCGAATATTGCGCCTGCAGCTCNNTAATCTATCGGATCAGCAAGGAAAAGATACGATCTATCGTTACTCAGCACATACCCTGCTGCTTCTTTGCAGAAACTTGTTGTGACATTTGAAACTTGTGGTATTCGGAAAGTTGGTGGTGATCGAAACACAACATGGGGCATCTGATTAGAGCGGCGTTCGGGAAAGCCAAGACACGCTAGTGTTGTTCGACTGATGCTTTGCCTTCGGTCTGCCGACAATCATCAACAGGGACTCAAGAATTGTGATCAATCATCGCGAAACAACCACATAGATCTATCTATCACAAGAGTCGAAGAAAAACACCGTCAGCGACCATGCATCCGCACTTGCACACCAAAGACAACAAGAGTATGTCGCTCGACTATGACAGTCACCCTGGTCTCGTCATTCTCTAACCACGGCTAGACTGCGAGGAGGTCATGAACGCCCTCGAAGAATGCCATGCGCGCGGGTTCCTCTGGAAGTCAATGGGCATGTGCACCAAGGCAAAGCACCAAGTCAACATGTGTCTGCGCGCCGAACGCCTCGAACGCACTCGTCAAAACCGCGAAGTGGCCAAGGAGAAGCGAGCGAAGATCGAATCTGTATGGGCTGAAATCGACGCCAACTCATAAGCCGTAATCACGTCGACTTTTTTTGTTCTATTGGGGAGTTACACAGCGAGGCGCCAGGTGTTACGGAGGAATTACAACAAACGGGCATCCCAACTCTTTAATTCAACCATCTTCAATTTGTCGCAAGCAGCGAGCAGCTACGAGACCGCTACACACCCCAGTCTGACATGTCTCGACGCATTCCACTCCCTAGACCTGACCCGAGGCCTGATCTTCCGCCCTCCGCGTCATCGTCATCTTCATCGTCATCTTCATAGTCCTCACTATCTTCATTGCTGTGTGTCGTAGGCTTCTGTTCCACTGAATGCCCTGTGGTGATCTGTTTATCGTCATCCTTGGCCTGCAAGCCCATATCCTCTCTCAACTTCTGGTATTTCTCGCCCGTCTCTTTCAGAGCTGCTTGAACTCTCACTTCTTCTTCACCGATGCTTGATTTTTCGTCTACCAGGCTTTGCATCTCGTTCGCTTTGTTGGCACGAACTAGTTGCATCTCCTCTAACCGCTTGCGAAGCCTTTCGACCACGCTATCCATTGTTGGTAGGGGTACAACCCTTGGTGGTGTTTGGGGCCGCGCCGAGTCAGCTTCCTGTTCGCGTGCAGCATAGGTACCGTGACGCGTTTGCGCAACCTCAAAAGCAGCATTTCGTTCGGCCTCGCTCTCATCATCTTCGTTGTCGTCATCTGCACTTTGACCCTCGGCGTCGGCAATCATGGAGGCCATTTCGGCTCTGCGTTTTTGGTCTTCCTCTATCTGAGCCTTGCGTCCAAATGCGATCTTGCCATCAGTTGTGAAATCATCGAATCCTTCGAGCATGTCCTCATCGTCGTGCACCAGGCGAGTCTCCGGGTACTTTTCCTTTGGTTTGAGGATCAAGCGACCCTGGTCATCCCGTGTGACTGTATCATCGTCTTCTTCGTCATCACCATCATCTTCTAGCGATACAAAGTCGTTCTCCTTGGCTAATCGTGCGCGACGTGCTTTCTNTTCCTGAATCTCGGCGGCGGTGGGTATAGCTGTGGGAGGCTGATATCTGGAAAGGTCGGAACCAAATTTTGATTTGATGTTGATGGCAGCACGAGAGGAAAAAGCAGCATCTTCGTTGTCTGTGGTTGCTGTTGATGCGATGTCCTTGGGTGTGGCTGGAGTGCTCTGTTTCAGCTCGTCTAGGTAGTCTCTGTTATAAGTTGGACGGTCCGAGGTTGAATCAAGGCTTGGGCGAAAAGCAACGTCTGAGCGCTTTTCGGCATTTCGTTGGATAGCCAGGCGGGAGAGGTTTGCGCGTTTGGGAGTGACAAGAGTAGAGTCGCCGTCGTTATCGTCGTCAGAAGCGAACGAGGGGCGCAATGTCGAAGACTTGCGATGCTTTGCGACGGGTCGCTTGACTATGGAAGAGGTGGTGGTGGTGGTGGTGGAGTCTGTGAGGAAGGGCGTCAACCAACTGCCACGACGAGCTTTGTTAGAGCTGGCAATCACATCAAGGGTGTGAAGACTGACCATNNTGTTACTTGAGACATCCGACGGGGCATCCTGTTCGTCGTGGCCAATCTTCCGTGGAACGCGACGAGCGGCGAATGACTTCTTCATGGTGCGTGTGAATATGTTAGAAAGGAGAGTGGTTGTGTTGGTGATACTTAGAGGGTTTGACAGTGACTGATTTTCGGGAATGACGCGGGGGGCTTCTCTTCTCCAGTCGCAGTCGCAATGCACAAGCCTCTCGCGCTCTCGACTTTCCTTGTCTAGAGGTCTTCTATACCTGCAACATTCCCGACTGTCAAACTCAAGCGCAATCATGCCTCAAGCACAGCCAGAGTTGAAGAAGGTAACCACTTCTGCGTTCATCGTTTTGCGCCCGAGCTAACCACTCTGCAGNTACCTCGACCGTCGCCTGTTTGTGCAGCTTAACGGCAGTCGCAAGGTCATTGGCGTCCTCCGTGGTTACGATGTGCGTTACTTGTCACTCGCATCCGTTACACCCCTGTATATTGATGATTCTCAGGTCTTCTTGAACATTGTCCTGGATGATGCCGTTGAGGAGAAGGCTGGCGGCGAGAAGGTTAGAATCGGCCAAGTTGTACGTCCACCAACATCGTCTGCGCTTCATTACACCTTACTGATCCTGCTCAGNGTCATCCGTGGCAACTCGGTTGTCATGTTGGAAGCGCTGGAACGCATGGACGAACACGACCGACGATGAGCACATCCCTCGCGCATACCCATTTGCAGCCCCCGACAGTGATTCGAACCTCTCCCACAACCCTCCGCCATCACGTCGCAGCCTTCCGTCGCTTTAGTCGACATCAAAATGATCTAAAATGACAGGATCATCAAATCGAGTCTTGTCCTGTCCGAGAAGGCACGTCACATTCGTGTCAAGGAACTATCATGGCCTTTCTCAAGAGCGTACCAACCAGCGACGCCTTGATTCACCGAATCAAAATACTCTTTCTCCAGTCATTTCCACCATACTTGTAACAAAAGATTGGTACACGTGAGATGTATGTGACAACTAGATTACTATGCGCGAAAGTGCCTTCAGTCCCTGGGAACTTTTGCGCTGCATAGCGTATGTTTCGACAACACCGGCGCTCATATTCTGAGCAATTAGCTGATCTGGGCTTTTCGTATCAATTGTTTGATCGTGCTACGCTCCACTGCTGATGTTCAGCCAGATTTTTGTCCAACAACAATGGAACTGCAGCAGTGGCATAGTTGTTCATTGTCTAAATTACAGCTTGGCTTTGCTGCTCTGCTTAACTCGTTCTCTTTGACATTGCTGAACCAGATCCCAGCCAACTGTGGCAANGGGTCCCATCTGTACTGCGTACTCCTTTGCCCGAGCACTACTTGCCTGGCGGAGGGCATATCTCGCAGCAATACCTTGCATGATAATACAGTTCCGGTAAACTCCAAATGCTTCACCCCATGTCATGTCTGGGCGCGGGTCCCATCCAGCGACTTCTCTGTACCATTCAATACACTGTTGCTTTGTCGGCAGGCCGGGCGTATTGCCAGGGAGGAACGTTTCGCTTCCTCTTCCGATTGATCGAGCAACGGGTGAATCTGCAGTAGTAAATGGAGTGAGCAGATTGCTCAGGTCGGACAGTGGGTGACCTATCGTTGACATCTCCCNAGCTGCACTCGTCAGTGGCTGACAAAAACTGAGTTTCGAATCGACTTACTCCAAGATTCCTATAACCCTTGGCTCTGTTTTGTGGAAGACCACATTGTCAATCTTGTAATCACCATGGACAAAGGTGCTGCGATCTTGAGGCTGACTGTCTTTGTTGCCAAAGAAAGTAACCATGTCATCGAAATGTGGAATCTTTCCTACAGGCTCGTTCGATTCCACGTCAACAGCTTTGGCTTGGGCATCCTGAATCGTATTGAATGTCGCAAGTTGACGATCATAAAAGCCGTTCGGCTTTCCATAGGATGCAAGGTTTACTGAAGCTGGAGCTACGCGATGGAACTTGGCTAGAGTCGTTACTGCAGACCGCCACATCTCTGTCCTATGCTCGGGACTGACATCTGGTAGAAGTGGATCTTCGATGATTCTGCCGTCCAGGAACTCCATAATGTAGAAAGCTGTGCCAACAACGGCATCGTCCTCGCACAAGCAATACGTCTTGGGAATCGGGACATCTGTTGTCTCGAGAGCATGGAGAATCCTATACTCTCGGTCGACTTTGTGTGCGGTTTTTGATAGCAACTTGCCTGGAGGCTTCTTGCGTAGGACGTATCGCTGTTTGTCCGAGGAGGTCAGGAGGTAGGTGGGATTAGATTGACCATAACCGANACTATGCATTTGGACTCAACAACATGAACAGGTATCGAATGAGACATGGCGATTTACCTGCTTGACATCAAGTGGTGTCTTGATTTCCGGAACTTGTCTCTCCAGATAGCTTTCGAGCGATTTGATGTCTATGGGCTGTCGAATCGCGCCCGCCATTGCAAGACTTGATAAGTTAGACTGAGAGACACGAGAGGCCGACACAATCAGAGAGTTGAGCAGACAAATGATAGCTAGATGAATGTTGGATATCCCCAGAAGAGCGAGGCCTCTGAGCGTGGGGTAGTATGGGATGGGACCGAGCAACCTCGGTACGTTTCGAAGTCACGATTTATGCCATCACGTTGCCGAGTCGTGTCAGAGAACATTTGAAAGTAAACATTGAGAACGAGAGGGGCACAGCAACGGTCTTCTTTGGTAAATGTAAAGGTCTGCAGGTCTTGGAGACTGCACAAGTTACGGGCTCAGGTTTGCTGGCCCCTTTTGTGAGTGATGAAATAAAATGAGATGAGATGTGATGATTGGGCAGCCGCAAGTGCCATGTGGTTGCATGGGTAATCGAGCACGATGGGGCCTGACGTGTCTTTGTTTTTGTCTTGCATCTTGTCTTGCAACTGGGTCCCTGGCGGTAAGAGAATTGTTTATATTTTCTCGTCTTGTCCCTCCCGGTCTTGGACAGCATGTCAACACCACGGCAGCGAGTGCGGCCGTCCAACTCGCCAATGCACACGACAAAAGCCCAGGCACATCGCGAAGCTTCTTTGAACGCCTTGACTGGAAACACTCCTCGATCACCTGCATCCACAACAACAATGGCCGACTCCCCCGTCGCCTTGGGCGACATGGTCAATGTGCCTGGCGACATGTACGGCACCGTCAAGTTTGTCGGGCCTGTCAGAGGCAAGCAGGGCAAATTCATTGGTGTTGAGCTGGCTAGTGAATTCGCTGCCAGAGGAAAGAATGACGGCGATGTCGATGGCATTCGCTACTTCGATACCGATATCCCTGGCGCAGGCATCTTCTTGCCTGTCCATCGTGCAGAGAAGCGCCAATCGCCTGCACGCTCTCGTCCAGCATATCCTGGCACCCCTACTACACCTGCACACTACCGCTTGGACTCGTACACTCCTCCGACAGCCGCTATGCCCAAGTTCTCTCAGTCCATGGGCCCTGGTGCCCGCCCTCCCAGTNNCCCTCTCTCGAAACTCAAATCCCGTCGTCCATCGCTGCCTCGCCCAGAATCCCCGTTCCGCAAACAACCTAACCTGGTTCCCACTCCGGCTCGCAACTTTTCCATGAGCCAGAGATCCGCCGTTCCTCCACGCTTCACTTCGAGCCCTGCACCACCGCTGTCCGCAACTCCTCGTGCAGCTAGTCGCTCAGCCGCCCCTTCGCGCCCGTATTCACGCACTGGCTCTCGTGCAGGAAACCGCACCGAATCACAGCGTCCATCGACTAGCTCTGCAGCCTCAATTGCTAGACGCTCTCCATCCCGACAGGTCCCTGTGGATCAAGATGGCGAGGTTCAGAGGTTATTGGCCCAACTGGAAGAAAAAGATAGACAACTGCAGGAACAGGCTGGATCACTTGCCGAGATGGAGGCTAGTCTGAAAGAGATTCAAGAATTAATACCTGCTGATGGTAACGACCGTGATGCCGAAGGCGGCTCTGACGTATTCGAGTTGCGTCAAGCCGTACACGACAGAGACGACAAGATCCAGTCCCTCATCGACGAATTTGACGCTCACCGTGCAGACTTTCGCAGTACGATAGATACTCTGGAGCTCGCGTCGGCCGAAACCGAACGCGTGTACGAGGCAAAGATTGCCGATTTACTTGCTGAAATACAAGAACTGCGCGAGCTCGGTCACAGTCGTGAGGATGTCGAAAATGTTGCTCGTCAGCTTAAGGGGCTGGAAGAGCTCGTTGCTGAGCTCGAAGAAGGTCTGGAAGACGCACGTCGTGGTGAGGCAGAAGCTCGAGGAGAGGTTGAGTTCTTGAGGGGTGAAGTCGAAAGAGGACGTAGTGAGCTAAGACGCGAAAGAGAGAAAGCCGCCAAAGCACTACAAGGAGCCAAAGAGGCAGAGGGTCAAACGTCTAGAGACAAGGACGTCGAGTTGAAGGATGATGAGATTAGAGGTCTCAAAGCCATCATTCACTCTCTCAGTTCTGGACCGGATGCAAGTCCCATGGCACGACAGAGCCCAGCATCTGGACGTTTTGCCGATCCAGAGGAGTTAAAGAGGACCCAAGCGACTGTGCAACAACTTGAGCGTGAGAAGTCGGAGCTTCAAGGACTGATTGATCGAAAGGCATACAGGGAGGAGGAACTGGAGCGCGCAGTTGAGCAACTGAGACGAGCAGCGGAGCAAGAGAGGGACAGCATCATGAACACTGAAGCAGCTGCAGAGGAAGTTCCGCGCCAACACCTGTCGAGATCGCCCGAGGCCACCAGATCACCTACGCGGTACAGATCGCCGCCAAAAGACGAACAGAGGACTTGGTGCGAAGTGTGCGATACACCTGGACACGACATCTTGACCTGCCCTGATATTGAAGGTGCCAATGGCAACGGAGTACACGATGGTCCTGAACGTCAGGCTGAGCATGATGAGGCTGAGCATAATGAGGCAGAAGACGATTTGTCTAACCATATGCAGCATCTGAATGTCTCTGTGCCTACCAAGGACAAGTACAACGACAAACTCGAGGCCCCTGCGCCGCTGTCGTTGAGAAAGACCTTGAGCAACAACAGTAACAACGGTACAGAGATGAGCAAGGAAACTCATGATGCACCCGCAGCAGAGACGGACAATGACAAATGGTGTGCACTTTGCGANAAAGATGGTCATCTAGCATTCGACTGTCCTGATGAGCAGTATTAGAGTGAGGTTCAGCTCGTAGCACAACCATATTCTGTATTGATTATAACATATTGGATTATGGATCTTCTCACTATATCTCGTCTTGTCTTGTATATGAATCGCATGTGTATCTACAAGGCCGCCAGAGACCTGACACGACTGCTCATGGAGTCTTTTGACACTAGACCGTGTAACTATCGGGTATCTTACGGTTGGAATGGAACTACGGCACCTCTTCATCGTCGTCTCCCCCAAAGCCGAAGGAGAAACCGCCTTCAATGCTGGCATCCTCAGACGTCTTCGTCAGCTCTGCCCACTTGCCTTTCGGACCCTTGCTCATTTTNNTTTCTAGTTTGGGCAGTGCCTCTTCCAGGGCCTCTGGTTCCTGTTCTTTGAGCTTTGTAACAAAAAGCTCATATGGATCTTNGACGTCTTTCGCAAATCCACTGACTTGATCAGGCTTGTCTCTGAGGAAGTGCAACACTGAAGCAAGTCTCTGACGTGGTACAAAGTTCTGGGTCAACGCAATCGAGTCTTCGAGGTTGACGACCAGATGGTACCAGCCAGCAGGTACGTATAGCAGTTCGCCAGCCTCGCAAATGCCTTCGATACACCCTTCCGTACGGCGAGCCTCGGCATGGAATCCAAGGAACCATTCAGCAATACTTAGTGGGGATGTCACCTCGCTTTGATCGGCCGATACGAAAACACCAGGTGGTGGTGGAAGAGATGGAGAAGAAGGAAACATGATCCAGTACTTGCGCCCAGTCAAGACCGCGTTCCAGGCGCAGGTCGCATTAGGATCTTTGTGGAAAGTCGAGCCACTGCGAGAAGGACCAATAATTAACCAGCGATGATCGGGTCTTTGGGTACCAAGGACGCTGAAGAGATCAGGACCGAAGAAGGAAGGTGCCCAGTATGCTGCTTTTCGATCATTTTCTATGCCCGGCGCATCAGGAGAGGCGCCCTCGTACAGGTGTGCAGCAGAGCTGTCAGCTACTTGGATGTTCATCTTTTCTGCAAAGGAGCGGTCAAAGAGATACAGAGGACTCTCATCGTGATTGTCCTTCATATAGTCAACATAGACATCAAAGGGCCAATCCACCGCCTCTGCTCTGAACTTGACCTTGGAATATTGCTTGAGCAGCGATTTAGCAGACCAAGACCCGAAGACTGGCCAGCGCTTAGTTGGCTCAGAGATGATGAAGGGCTTGTTGGTGAAGGATTCGGTGAACTCATCAAAGGTTAACGACGTGAGACGATGGATCTGGTTACGAGCCGGGATGTTAGACACAAAGGGTTCCAGGGGCACGTGAGCACAGAAATATGGTCGGTGAAGGGCATCAGNAAAGAGGTTGCTACAATCCACATCGGGTTCTTGAGAACGTGGTTGAGACAAGACAGTCGATCTCCATGTGCCGCGCCAGTTGAAGTTCTCGGGTTGCGACCTTAAGTTGACGTTAGATTGGCATGTAGCAGCAACTATATAAAAATGTACATACTCTAAGAAAAGAGCTTTCCAGAGCTCCTCTGATCTAGTGAAGGCATGCAGAGCACGGCAAGTGGCGCCCAATCGGAGCAGGTCCTGTGCGTCAAGATATTCCAGAAACTGAGTCAGAAGTTCATCAGGCAGCAGAGCAAAGGTTCCAATGGCAGCTTTCAGATTGGTAGTAGCGGTAAAGGCATTTCCAGAAGGACGGATTCCAAGAGGATGTCGCCAGATGGTAGCAGACTGGTCGGGATTGGTTGTTTTGTCGGCTTCCGGATCAAGCTTCTGTTTTTTAAGTGGTCTATGTTCAAAATCCTGGTCTACCAGAGCCGCTGGAGGAGTCATAATCGAAAGACGACGATGCGATATCCAATGATTGCAGAGTTCGAGATGACTGATAAATCCTTCACACGGTTGTTGAGAGATTGGTGGGCTACCAGTGGCCAGAGGCAGATAGTCACAAGAAAAATATGACTGACCCCAGTGAGCACAACGGATGATGTTGGTGGTTAGTCGCAGGCGAGAGGCGGGTGCGGGTGCACGGACGATTTGCAGCACGACGAAAAAATCTGGCGTTCATTATATTCGTGCGCGCCCCTCTTTTCCTCCAGCCATTTTCATCACTCCCAACAAACTAGATATCCTTGCACTCTCCCTCTCGAGAGTTTTGATTTCTAGTCCCCTTGAAATACTCAGCGGCGCCCTTTCGCCCTCCGATCCAGCTTCCATCCACAGTCCACCCACAAACAACCCTTAACCGCAATCATGGCTTCCGGTCTTGAAGAGGTCCCCGAGGGTACGTCCATCTTGTTCGCCGTCGCGCACACTCTCGCCTTGCAATTCCGAACCCCTGCGACGATAGAATCTGCCACCACTTGCTGTGCCTTCCCTGGATTGAGCTGCGCTGACTAGATTTCGCGTTGCAGGACAGATCGAGTCCAACTACGATGAGACCACCGACTCCTTCGATGCCATGAACCTCAAGGCTGAGCTCCTCCGTGGTGTCTACGCTTACGGTTTCGAGCGCCCCTCTGCTATCCAGCAGCGCGCCATCATGCCCGTCATCAAGGGTAAGCTTGTCCGACCATGCCGTTTGCTCCTTCTCCCAACTCACTCTTTGTTCCCCNNAGGTCACGATGTCATTGCCCAGGCCCAGTCCGGTACTGGCAAGACTGCCACTTTCTCCATCTCGGTCCTCCAGAAGCTTGACCCCAACGTCAAGGCCTGCCAGGCTCTGATCCTCGCCCCTACTCGCGAGCTCGCCCAGCAGATCCAGAAGGTTGTTGTCGCCATTGGTGACTTCATGAACGTCGAGTGCCACGCCTGTATCGGTGGTACCAGCGTTCGCGATGACATGAAGGCCCTCCAGGACGGCCCTCAGGTCGTTGTTGGTACCCCCGGCCGTGTTCACGACATGATCCAGCGTCGCGTCCTCAAGACCGACTCGATGAAGATGTTCGTCCTCGACGAGGCCGATGAGATGCTGTCTCGCGGTTTCACCGAGCAGATCTACGACATCTTCCAGCTTCTTCCCCAGTCCACCCAGGTTGTCCTCCTTTCCGCCACCATGCCCCAGGACGTCCTCGAGGTTACCACCAAGTTCATGCGCGACCCCGTCCGTATTCTCGTCAAGAAGGACGAGCTTACCCTCGAAGGTATTAAGCAGTTCTACATTGCCGTCGAGAAGGAGGAGTGGAAGCTCGACACCCTCTCCGACTTGTACGAGACCGTTACCATCACCCAGGCCGTTATCTTCTGCAACACCCGCAGAAAGGTTGACTGGCTCACCGACAAGCTGACTGCCCGTGACTTCACCGTCTCCGCCATGCACGGTGACATGGACCAGGCCCAGCGTGACGTTATCATGAAGGAGTTCCGTTCCGGTTCTTCTCGTGTCCTGATCGCCACTGACCTTTTGGCCCGTGGTATCGATGTCCAGCAGGTTTCGCTGGTCATCAACTACGACCTTCCCGCCAACCGCGAGAACTACATCCACCGTATCGGTCGTGGTGGTCGTTTCGGTCGTAAGGGTGTTGCCATCAACTTCGTCACTGCTGATGATGTGCGCATGATGAGAGAGATTGAGCAGTTCTACAGCACTCAAATCGAGGAGATGCCCATGAACGTTGCTGGTAAGTGGACTGCGACTGACCCTACTTGAAAAAATGACTGGCTAACACAACGCGCAGACCTTATCTAAACGAATTTCAAGCCAAAACAAAAAGGAACTGCAGCAGTGCATGTCTGCAGCAGGCCAATGTTTTACGAGGGATCTACGGCTGGTCTTACCTAGAATGTGATACCATGGCTGGGACGGATCCCACTTCTCATGCATTTGGGCGTTTGTCTTTATGGTTGAAGTTTTTCAAAATGCGAATACATGCCCTATTCTAGATGCTAGGTTGGGGCGAGTTTCTTGTCTCTTTTTCAAAAGAATGTTATCCTTTTCAACTGAACCCTGCCTAGCTTCTGTTTGCATCTGATTGAGCTTGCTGTCGCGCCTACCTAGATGAGGTTCGTGAAGAAGGTGCGTCCACGCTGACCACATCTGCCTCCGCTTCTCTTATTCAAGCATCGAAGAAGGAAGTGCTACGCCCCCTCTTTCCTTTTGCCTCCCAACTTATCTGGCCTGCGAGCGCCTACTCGACGATTGCCCAAATTTACAAACCTGGCAATTGCGCACACTCGCTATCCTCCGTTATCTTTCCCATCATCACACACAACATGCCGTCTGTCACTGTGGCGCCTCGCGAGCTGCTTTGGTACCATCAGATGCAGAGAGAGAACCGCCATCTTCTCGAGCAAGTCAAAAGACAACAAGCCGATCTGGACAAGATCAAGAGTCAATCATCTGCCGACCAAGAACAAAGAGAACAAATCAAGCAGCGTCTTTCTGAACTCGAGACGAAGCAAGCTACGACCACTGATCGCAGAAGGGAAGATTTTGAGCGGGAGAAGGAGATATTGAAGCGGGTCGGCAAACTTGAAGAGTCTTTTGAGACGCTTCGCAGAGCCAACGACAGTCAACCTATGGCTACAGCAGCTGTCAATCAGTGGCAAACGCTCGAACAGAGGCTTGACATGCTTGAACAACGCCATGCAAGGGTCCCAGAGCTGGACGTGCAACAACTCAACCAGAGAATCAATGCCTTGGCTAAGGTGGTGAACAACCCCGTCAAAGATCCACGCAACCTCGGTCACCAGCATGCCAACAATGAAAGCATGGATCAAGCAGCAGGAGCTGGCGACGATGCTACAAGAACGTCCGGAGGAAGACAGATCGGAGAAGAAAAGGGCAAGGAGAAGATGCAAACTGAACGAGAGCCGTCCCTCCAGAGACGCTCAAGTTTTGTTCAAACGAGAAGACGTGCTGGAGAGAAGCTTATCTCATTCAGGCCTACTCCTCCAGATCTGGCCTGGTAACAACAAATGAGGGGCGATAAGAGAATGTGCATGCATGATGATCTGGCTTGCGTGGGACTATGAAAGGGGGGAAACATGTACAACGGTGTAGCTTTTTATGTCTCGCTAAACTCGTAAGGACCGTCGCGATCCTTGACTTCGACCTCAATGCTAGCTTCTTCAATTTCCTTGCCATCCACACGCATGCCAGCTTTGATAACATCACCTGTCTTGACGGACCCCACACCCTTAGGGGTACCAGTCAAGATGATGTCGCCCTTCTCAAGAGTCATGACTCTGCTGATGTCGGCCAATTGCCTAGGGATCTGGAAGAGCATGAGGTTGGTGTTGTCATTCTGCTTCATCTCGCCATTGACACTCAAGAACAACTCGATGTTGTGAGGATCGGGGATCTTGGACTTGGCGATAGGACCGGCAATTGGGAGAAAGGTGTCGAAGCCCTTTGCGATGCTCCAAGGAAGACCCTTCTTCTTGGCTTCTTCTTGAACATTGCGACCGGTCATGTCAATGGTAAGAAGGTAACTTTCGATAGAGTCCAAAGCAGCTTGGGTGTCATTGGGGTCGAGATCTCTGACCTTGCGACCCATGACAAGGCCTAGCTCGACCTCGTAGTGAACATTGACACCTCTGGGACGCAGAACAGGTCCATCACCCTTGAGAAGAATGGATGATGGAGGCTTCAGGAAGAAAAAAGGGTTTGCTGGCTTCTTGTTACCCAACTCGGTGATGTGGTNCCTTTGGACAGTCAGCCGGGACCTAATGCTGACTCGGCGACTCTGGGTCAACAAAGCCAATGTTTGGACATTTCATACCATGTAGTTTCGGCCAATGCACATGATCTTNNTGATTCAATGTCAGCATGCTTGGATATATTGTGGCCGCGGTTATGTCAAAGATAAGGAGTATATAGAGTGTAGTTGATTGGTTCGAGAAAGACTGACCTTGCGGCATTGCGAAGCAACATTACGGAGAGCAGGAGAGGCCATGATGAGAGGGTGTGCAAAGTAGGAAGTGTGAGAACAAGAGAAGAGGAGGAACAAGACAGCTGTGGTGGTATAGGTACAAGCACTCGGTAGTTCAAAGCGCGACACCGGCGGCCTCGGGCAAGACGTGGCCGACGACCATGGGGCTGCGACCCGCTAACTCTACGAATAGCAAACCATCGACATGGACGCCAGTATGTTTCTACCACTGCTCACTGCCGTGGAAAATACTGACAGGATGATGCAGTCGAGTATGATCCGATCACGCATCTGAACGCCCTCTTTGGCCATCCGTCGACACTGGATCAAGCTGCTGCTGTGTCACAGCAGCTACACAAACAGCAGAATGATCTTCATCAACACATGCGCCGCATGGTCGCGCGACAAGCAGAGAGCGATGCCGACAGTGTGAGGCGCATAACACAAGCAAAGGAAGAGCTGGGCGATGTCTTTGGCCGCATCGACCGAGTCCGCGCAAGAGCCCTAGACACCGAGAGAGCCATCACCGACATGACGGCCGACATCAAGCGCCTCGACCAGACCAAAAGGAACCTGACACTGTCCATGACTGCTCTCAAGCGTTTGCAGATGTTGACGACGGCATACGAGCAACTGCGTCTGCTTGCTTCGACCCGTCAATACCGCGACTGTGCCCACCTGGTCTCAGCCGTCGTCCAGCTCATGGCCCACTTCAAGACGTACCGCAGCATAACTCAGATCGCCCAACTCAGCCAAAATGTTGCTGACCTGCAGCGCCAGTTGCTGGATCAGATCTGTGAAGACTTTGAACTCGCCTTTGCTAGAGAATCTGTTGCTTCTAGTCGGAACATGCTGGCCGATGCTTGTCATGTCATGGATGCTCTAGGTGACCATGCCCGTGCTCGCTTGACCACTTGGTACTGTAATACCATGTTGCGTGAGTATCGCCAAGTCTTTCGTTCTTCGGATGAGGCTGCCTCGCTCGACAACATATCGCGCCGATATTCGTGGTTCAACCGTATGCTCAAAACACATGACTCTGACCATGCTTCCTTGTTCCCCTCTTCCTGGCGTGTCGATGAGATGCTGGCAAATGCCTTCTGCGAAACTACTCGTGAGGACTACAAGCAGATCTTACAACGTTCCATGCGCCGTGCAGACGGCCAGCCACCAGATGTCACCCTACTACTCTCATGCTTGCAAGAAACATTGGACTTTGAGCATTCCCTTGAGCGTCGCTTCTCTTCTACCGAGTCGCGTTCTTCGCTAGATACACTTGACGACAAGCCTCGCGCTTTCAGCCAAGCTATTTCTGAAGCTTTCGAACCATATCTCAGTATATGGGTTGAGTCGCAAGACAAGCAGTTGGCTCTGCTAATTCCAAAATACCGCCAGCAAGCCATCCGGAATGAGGAAGACGAGTTCCATGCCCATACTGTCATGCCCTCTTCCACTGAGCTCTTCCACTCTTACCGCATCACCTTTGCACAATGTGCAAAACTATCGACCGGTTCTCGACTCCTAGACTTGTCNAAAACATTTGCCAAGTATCTCGACGTCTACTGCCAGCAAGTCTTGTTCCATGCTTTGTCTGAACGATCAGCATCCGTCGAAGATATAGTCACCGTCCTGAATACCGCAGACTATTGCTATCAAACTACCAACCAGCTAGAGGAGCGCATAAAGTCGCGTGTAGATCCTGATTTGCGAGCTCAAGTCGATCTGCAGTCCCAAGCCGACTCTTTCATGGGCATCGCGTCAGCCTCCGTCAAAGCCTTGGTGAGGAGAGTTGAACTAGACTGCGACGCACCCTGGAGAGAGATGCGCAACGTTCCCTGGAGCAAGATGGACAATGTTGGTGACCAAAGTCCATATGTTGCTCCGTTGGTGCAGCGTGTCAAGGAGAGGACATCCGAGGTACTCAATCATTTGCAAAAGCAACACTATGCTCGCGCGTTCTGTGATAATTTGGTCGATGCTCTTGCCAACTCTATCCTAACCAACTTGGTAGTCTGTCGACCCATATCGGAGACAGGTGCCGAACAGATGTTGCTCGATTCTTATGTCTTGAAGAAGGCGTTCACTGAGCTGTCTACCGTGAACGCCGAAGCAGGCACTGCGCCAAACCCAAATTTCGTCAAAAGAGTCAACCAAAGCATGGCCAAGCTGGATCCCTTGTTGAAAACTTTACAAGTGCGCGCATCGCCACCCGAAGGATTGGTACAGGCATACTTGATACACATGCAAGATCGCTCCGAGCCAAACTTCCGCAAGATACTCGAACTCAAGGGTGTCACACGTAAACAAGAACAAGCTCACTTGACAGAGTTGTTCAATGCACACAAGGCGTCGCCAGCAAATGAAACGCTGCAGCTGTCGAATCCGTTGATCGCCAACATTTCACTACAAGCGGCAGGTGCTACCGTGCCAGGTATTGCCGCTCTCAAAGACAGCGCTGCCTCGCACTCTGCACCAGCGTTGGCAGGAACGACTACCCGTTTTGACCCCTCCACGTTCGGTTCTGCCCTCATGAACGCCGCTCGTGACGGCGTTGACCGTTTCGGCTCGCCAGCCCTTGGTGGTACAGCATCGGCTACAAACGCTAGTAGAGCTATCAGCCCGCCACCAATGGGTGCTCTAGGATTGAATGCTGAGAGCGCTCATGCTAGTATCAACGAAAATCTCAAGAACATCGGCAAGTTCTTTCGTCGCGATGTTAGCAGTTTTGGAGGATTCGGCAAGAAAGAGGAAGGAAGAAGGAGCATGGAGAAGAGATAGTTGGTATCGTGTGCATGGACACACTCTCTCATTTCCGAAAAGATCGTTCTGCGTAATACATTGCTTCGTGACTATCATTTCCCATGTCTTATACCTTACAACATCAAATCGTCGAAGTTCAATCCTTGCCCACTTGAATGATGGACTCTCGTGGGATGATCAAAATCATCCAGCTCATCAGGTATATATGGCCTCCTCTCAAACACCATCAACCCACCGACCGTTTCATCGCCATTAGCCACAATCAACTCTTGTCCATCTTCGACCGATACTGCTCCGACCACCGATCCAAAGAAGTCGATGGTCTGCTTGTCATGCCAGTCCATCGCATCATACACACTGACAATGTCGTCAGACTCGGCTACGACCAACGATGCACCTCCGCGATGCGAAGTTGTAAAGTGCAGCGATCTTGCGCAGCTCATCTCGCATGCAAGCGCCGCCAATGGCATGTCCCACCTCCGAGCATCGTATACCACCACCTTGCCGTCCTCACTGCCCGTTGCGACATGCCAGCCGTCGGCAGCCCAAGCACATGCGAATCCATAGCCTGTATGCTGTCGCATGCGAAACAGCACGTTTCCTCTTTCGGCGTCAGTGATCAGTGACTCGCAAGTATCGCCAACAATCAGTCTGAGGCGGCCGTCTGGCGATGTTGCGGCGCAGTTGATTTGGTGCTCGTATCCAAACTCAGTGGACCAGGAATTAGTGCCAATATCGAGTACCCGAACTTTGCTGTCGTTAGAGCAGAATGCAGCGCCTAGAGCACCCGTGCGGCGATGACTAAGGATGTGAACGTGAGTGGTTTCCTTCTGCTCGGCAACGGTCACAAAGCCTTCGGTAGGACGATCTCCTAGCGTGGAGTTGAGGTTAAGTAGAGAATACTCACCCTCCAGTCCACCGGTGACTAACACAGCATCCGCGCAATAACCATCAAAGTCCGTGGCAGGTGAAACAGCAATGGTGGTTATATGGGTGTCTCCGGCTTGATTTGGATTCGTCGATGCACCGCTGAAATTCAGAACGACATCGGTATACGCAGGACAACTCAGTGAAGTATGCATGACCCTGCTCTTGGATGCATAGAAAACATCATTTCTACTTCGCGCCGCGAGCACATTTCGCAGTTGGCCGTGCGAATGACTGGCCTTGTGGTGGGGATAGAAATCCCTAGAGACATACATGCGCTGTTGTCGGCATACCGAGTGTTCGTCATAGGTGGCTGGTGGGGTCCAAGAATAATGAAGAGGATAGAGCATTTTTCGCGCCAGTCGAGCCTGGCTTCTGCTCGTACTGAGCGCTGCCCAATTCAAGCCCTGTAAATCGTAGTTCCTAAAGGGCACTTTGTGGAGCGGTCGCCAATGTCTTTTACGCTCATCATCCACATGCATAAGTCCGGCCTCACCCATGTGATATTGAATGTCCCAGTGATTGAGGAAGTCGGCGACATCATAATCGACCCAAGCAGAGTCGTCATGGTGGAGCTCATGGACAGGCTGGATCGAGGGGTTGGTAGGTGCTACATCCCAATGAGTGTTCGAGGTCTCCGTGGGCGAAGATGGAAAGACGTTTGATGATGTCGAGGATTGCGTGGGGTGTACATCAACAGCTAGATGTCCTGACAAGTCGTCTGGCACTGAGGTATATGACGCTCTGGGGTTGGTAGTTGTATATTGGTACCGTGTTATCGTGAATTCATTGTTGATGAAGTGTCCTGGTGGTCTGTCGTAGGCTCCAAACTGTTGGTCCGGGCGGCTCTCAGAGAAGTCGGCCTGAGTTGCGAGACCAACGCCGCCTCCGGGGATGTTCCATGAAGACTCCACCATCTCATGCGATGGCATGTACTGGCGACTATAACAGCCATGGTCCAGGAAGGAGTCGCTGCTGGACCATGTCAAGGGAACTCCGCCGTGATCAGGGTCTTCGAGGTGGCTGGGTAGGTGGGCAGCAGAGTCATCACAAGGATGTGGTGTCTGGCTCAGAGACGATATAGCAGATCCCCGCCTTGATCGAATCATTCTGCTGTCAAAACGAAGACCCTGTGCTGTAGAGCCACGCCGTAGCGAAGGCCCTGAATATGAAGACGGATGGTCGCGAGGGTCAGATTCCGCCATTGGTGCAAGAGGCCAATCGGTATTTCAGACAGGATTCACGGGCGCCAAGCTCGGCAGTGAGAAGAGTCAGTCAGTGACCTTGTTCTTGTTTCGATGTGACGGCGGGTGATGACAAGAAAGCTGCCGGTGACTGCGCTATTGGCCCTCCTACGCGTGTCGCAGGAGACCAGTCAACTACGTAGCGCAATGGTAACGATGTGATCAAATGAGGAAAGGAATATGTGGCGACAGGCCGATCTGCCACCCGCAGTCGCCGCAATCCCACAAGAGCACCCAATCTCGAAAAGAGGTAAAGACGGATTGGTTATCAAGAAATGGAAGCACTCTGGCGGAACAGAGACAGGCGCACTCCGGGCCGTTGCTAATTGTAAAGTGACAGCTCCGGAAGCGAGCGAGTCCTCGTGCAACGGCTCAAGGACGAAATGACAGGAGGTCAAGGCCTCGTTCGCGTGGTTGTCACGTCGTCTCATCGTCTGCTGCAGTGCAACATCGCCTGCGCCTTGAAGATGTATATCCCGAATCTTCCCTTTTCCGTCAAGCATTGCATGAATTTTGTCTGTCACCTGCGCCCCCTCGGCCGAAACAAGCCAATCACGAACCGACTGTGCCGTGATACCGCATATATTCATTAAATAACTCAGGGATCTGAACACCCCTTGATTGTTAACATGTTCCGGCGCCAATAGCTAATAATCATGCAATTCATGCAGTCCGGCTCGACCATCGTTCCTTTTTCCTCCTTCATGAAGAAGCGAAGGCCAAGATCAGACAGGCTTGGCCATTCTATCCATACAGATATTGACCGCTTTTTCTAGTTCAATATTCGTAGCCAGACTCATAAGGGTATGATCCCTGTGCAGACGAATTGTAGTTTGTACCACCAGTCTTCATGCGTCGCTCATGCTCAAAATCAGCCCATCTCTTCATAGTGATCTTACTGCTGTCGAATTCACCCTCGGCATCGTCGTGACCTCCCTTGGTCTGCTCACCAGCCGTCTTGCGAGTGTCACCCCAAGAGAAATCGTCGAACTTCCAATAAGCATAGGTTGGAAGAATGAAGTTCCAGACTGGTAGGGAGAGGAGGTAGATGAACATCCATGCAACATAGGAGATGCGATGGGCGGTCAAGATGATGAGCACGCCAGGNNGGAGACCAAGAATTAGTGCTAAGAGCACCAATGACATGACCGGGATCGTCGTATGTTCAATGGCAGCCTTGATGGCAACGGCAACNNTGTAATGTGATTAGCTTGGAGCTGATGACGAGGGCAGATTATATCACTCACCAACATAGAATGTGAAAGCAATGGCAGCTGGAAGCACAAGTGTACCAACTAGTTCGACAAAGACAACGAACTGCATACTGAAGCAGAAAGTTCCGCAAAGATCACGAACCAGAACCAACTCCATGAGATTGTGGACCGTACTGTTGATCCATCTTCTTCTTTGGGAGAGAAGAACCTTGAATTCATCGGGCACGGTGGTCTTGCACACAGCCTGCGGAACGAAGACCTGCTTTCGCTTGGGGAAGGTTCGCAACATCAAAGTTGAAAGATAACGATCTTCACCAAGAAGGAGCAAATTTTTCTTGTGCAAGGTGTCGACGACGTTTTCGGAATAATGCTCCACGATGTCGGGATTGGCCAAAATTGGCACCCAGTAGTTTTGGTCGCCCTTTGGTGCCTTGATTCTGTACATGCAGAAACATCCGGGAAGACAGGTGACACCACCAAAAACGGACTCGAAGGATTTGGACTGATGATGTGAGATGAAGTATCTGGAATACTTGTCAGTAAGGCTTGGAGCCCTGATTAGTGGTTCAACTTACTCGAAAACTTGAATCATTGAAACCCAACTGGCCCTCTTGTTGGCAATCTTTGTTTCACCACACAGGCCCATGATCTCGGGGTCCTTCACCATAGCGCTGATCATATGGGTCAGACTGTCAGGGAAGACTTTAGTATCAGCGTCAACCATCAGAACAATTTCATAAAAATCGGGAGAGATGCCAGTGATTTTCCAGACACCGTTGAAGAACTCGTATTCGAGCTCAGTCATACGCTCGTCAAACATGACCTNTTGCAAGAATGACATGAGGATGATTTGACTGTCACGTTTACCACGGTTACCAGGCTTTGCTTGAGTCGCTTCTTCAGGAGTGCCACACTTGACAATGATCACCATGGGCACGCGCTCCTGCTTTTCGATCGGAATGATAGAATCCTCGCCATAGTCGTAAAATCCAGAATAAATCTTGGCCATGTTGTGTCGTTTAGATCCGCTGGCCACAGCGACATAGGAATAAGGCTTGACTTCGTCAGGAAGGATGGTGTGCTCCTTCATCATGCTCAGGGCGACTTCAGGAGTTGTCATGGTCTCACCATGGCCCTTGATGATACCATCGCAAATCACAAGAATCAGCTTGTGGCTGTTAGGGTATTCAGTTGTGGCGACAGAATCAAGAGTAGTGCGCATGCCTTCAGGCCCTTCGGAGTAAGCAGTGACCAAGCAGATAGCGTGAGCAAGAGGGAATCCGAACGGCTGCCACTCAGGAGGAGGCTGAGGTACAACAGCTTCATGAATAAAGCCGTGAGGACCAGGTCCATCTGATTCCATGACGCTAGAGTATCTCTTCTCACTGCTGTTGGGGACCATCAGACTTGCGCGGCTCTCTTGTAACGTGTTCTCGCTACGATTGCCTTGACCGTAAACGCTCGCGCCGGGGATCAAGCGCGCAGTTGAGCTCTGACTTGCCATCGTGGTGTATGCTGGGCGCGAACGTGCCATCGATCTTTCAATGGCGTAGGGACTGGTAAATCTGGAAGTGGTGGGAAGGAAGCTGCCTCTCTTGTTGGCGCGCTCACTACTGTTCGCGACAGAATCAGCAATCTTAGGGGCCGGACGATAGATGTCGTCTGCCCAGTCCTCAATCTGCTGTTTTCTCTTCTTCTCATCGCCGCTGAAAGCAGTTTTGTCGGCGGCGTATTTGCGGCAAAGGAACCATTGGAAGGCGAGAGCAAGAACGAACTTGGCTACGACGATTGATAGAATGAAGACAAGTGCAACGTAAAGGACAATCTTGGAGGCGATGCAACCAACGGTTTCGGTGTCGATTGATCCAACCTTGATGATGTCCTGGAAACACTTTGCAATTTTCTTGTCCTGGCCTGAAGAGAATGCAAGACTCATATCAGTACCTCTGACGTTGGCGTTTTCTCGAATCTCGTCGAATCTTGCAGGGTACGAGACTTGAGAGGTGTTGAACCATCGGAGGAGATTGAGATCAAGGACGTCGCCACCATAGACCATGAGGTTGCGGCTTGAGTTCTTGATATCATCCCAGGTGAAGTAAACATCTCCTCCAGACTTCAGGTCGTAGAAGTTTGTGCGGGCAAGCTTTGAAGTATGGCAGGCGTAGCCAAGATAGTAGGGAATGGTCAGATTTGGTTCGCTCGATCCGTCTTGGTTGAAGGCGTTGCATGGGAAATACCATGCAAGATTGCCGTCGTTGTCAGTCTTAACGTCGGAGCCCTCGGCAGCAGTGATGAGGCCCTTGCAAGCTCCGTTGACATTTTGAAACATGAAGCTACCATCCTTGCCTCCATATGGCACAGAGAGATCCCAGAGTACGTTCTGGTTTCGCTGTATGCCTCGGGCTTGTGGATGCTTCGATTTCGTCAAGTCATACGCTTTGCCATGAAAGATCATATAGCCGGAATCGACCTTGTTGACACGGAAGCGTGATGATGAGCCAGCGGGGCACACTGTCGCGGTGAAACCAAAGGTGATAAAGCCAACGAATGCAGCAATCATGAGAATAATGCTGATCAAGCCCATCTTTTCCCTCCAGGCTTGCTGCTGAGCCTTTTCAGGCATGCCGAAGCATTTGAGAACGGGATTAGGACACCAAAAGGTGATCAGATGGCAGTAAGTGCCCCAGAGTGTGGGTGGAGTAGCACCAGCCTGTTTTTGTCTCTTTTTCCTCTCCTCGGCAGTCTCGGCAGTAGCCTTGCGCTGCAATTTACGACTCCCGCTTCTCCCTACAGGCACATCGGCGGGACGACCTTTCTGACTGAGTTGCTTCAGCTCGATATCGTCGGAACTGAGGGTAGCAGCCTCGGCCTCGGCTTCTTCCAACATCGGATCGTGACCAGTAGTCGAGGGCATGACGGCCATATTTTGGGCGTGCTTGCGGTAGTGGTATTGCGGATGGTCTCTATCAACCTTAGTGCGTTCAGGACGAATCAGACTCTTCTTGCGGCCCAGATCAGAAGCGCCCATCATGGGCTCGTAGTCTGAAGGCGATGTGATTCGAGGAACAGGGGATGCGATCCGAGAAACGTATGGCTCCGGGTCGAGCTTGGTGTGGCTGCTAGTTCTGCGGTGATGCATTGGTCGAGGCGACTCAAGATCAGAGAGTCGTCGCCGACGCGAGTCTGATTCACGGTGTGCTCTCGATCGCGAATCCCGGCGTCTAGGCGATGTAGGATTATTAGATGACATGATGTCGGTCGTCAAGGATCAGATGTGTAAGAGTGATTAATTCGTGCCACTGCTCAGTGGCAGAGCGTGTAATGCCTCGGGGTGTGTTCAGGCAGGAGAACGAGAGGAGATTTGTGGCGTGGGGATTGTTTGGACAAACAAAACTCCGCTGTCTTGGAAACGAGGGTCTACCTTCTACCGAAAAGAACGAGATGTAGGCAGAAGAGTGTGACAGAGAAACAAGGAGGACTCTCGATGGTGAGAGGCAAAAAGTCAACTCTCAGGATGCAGTACGAGCAACACTGCAAAGTTGTGGGTTGTGTTGTCATTCGGAATGAATGGCCCGGCCCCTGATCAGTGATGAGACGCTACTTTACCTTACTTTTCAGCCTGCGTGGCCCTCGGACCTGCATCTTGCAGATCTAGCCGTTTCTGCCCATCAACTCCCCAAAATAACATCTGCCTCGTGTCTACGAATGCACGCACTCATACGGCATTTGCTATCTGCCTTCTAGGATATGTCGAGGACTTTTTTCACGCCGCAGTATACATCTCTGGTCTCGCAGGAACATCATCACAGGTCATGTCAATTCGATGGATTCACGAGAAGAGGCTAATGTAACAAGCCTTGTCTCCCCCTTGTTTCCACTTGTCTCATTTTCCCAAAGCCACTCCCATCCCCGCGTGAATGGAGAGACCGAGCGCTTTGTGGAGCACGCGCACTTGTGTTATGTGCATCATCTTCAATCCGATCAGATTTTAGTCCATAGATATCCTGTTCGCCTTTCTCACTCGCATCTCGACATACCCATTATTTACATAATGGTAGTCGGAGCAGCCACCGTTGGATAACCGACAACAACAACTAGTTGCCGAAGATTTGCCTCCCTCTCTTTGTGTTCTTTAAATAGCCTTGATCAAGGGAGATATTGGGGGCTTGCTCTACATCGTCGCTGAGGCTGATGGTGTGGTTGATCATGTGGTAGGAGATCTGGTTCGATGCGACTCGCGAATCTGCACGGAGCACAAGCTGAATAGCGAAGTGTGTTGCTTGACTAGGTAAGTGTTGATGGGAGGATGACAAACCCTCGCATTCGGGAGGGCGGTGACCTGAGAGACCGAGAGGCTGATCATTAGGTATTCTCCCGTTGCGCTCACATGTCGATCGTTGTATCATAATAACATGAGGTGCTTGTGGTGCAAAGAAGCAGGATGTGCATGTGGTGGACCATGGCGCAGCCTCCATCACAGAAGGGCGATTTCTGGAGAATTATTTTTGTAGCTGCAGAGTTAAGGTTCAGGGCATCTGCATGTCGAAGGCTCTTCCATCATCTTCGAACTTTGCTTCTCTGGACCCTTGAAAGTTGTTGAAGGCTCTGCTGGCGCACGATACATAAAACCTGCGCCCTGTTACTATATCTGAACGAATACATGGGAAGCGGAAGCAGTATATTTGCATTCTCAGGATTGGCTTGATGCATTGACAGAAAGAGGTGTCTTTGTATCGACAACGGCGTCGCCGCTGCCCAATAAACTTAGCAAGGCACGCACACGCGCAGCGGAAAGGAAGGAGCGCGGGCCGGCGAGTTGCATGTGGCCTTGCGCTTGAGCGTTGCCCTCATAGCCCCTCTACTGTTTCGATTCTGCCTTCTCACATTCATCCATCCATCCATCCCATTTCATTCTATTAGCGAGAGCTGACTTGTCTTCGTTTCATTTGTATATCTATTAATCCGGTACGAAACTGTGCAATCTGCCCTTCTCCGAGATCGCTGCTGCTTACACCCACATAGACCAAAAATCTACCCTCATTACGAATATATCCGCGTCACCAGTCGATTCGATTACTTCCCACGACTGTCAATTCTTTGCGCATTTTTCATTGTTCATGTCATAGCCGCGGATTCGCTTCGAACTCAGACAACTAAAGAAAAGCATTGCGTCCCGAGGCGCATATATATACAAATCATTTCGAAAACATGGCCGAGGTACAGAGGAACCACAGACCAGCTTCGCGAGGAAATTTCGATGGCACACAAGATCAGAGACGAGCTTCATTCTCGCCCAGAAAGAGTAGCATGGCACGACCAACCATTCGTATGCAAGAAGCACCTCCGAGCCCAGATACCTCAGGATCGCCACGACCAGGCATGTCCAGATCTTCATCTGGTCAAGTGGATCATGCCTCAAGCTCTCACTCTAGATCGGCTTCCCAACAATCATCTATCAAACATCTTAATTCTATCAAGCATCTCGATTCTATAGGACAACTTTCTTTGAAAGATCTTCCGACTGCTGGTACTGGTGCTGGTGCTGAAGAAGCAGAACCGGAACCACTGCCCATGCTACAATACCACCACCAGGGCCCAGATGAGTCCCCTGTGAAGAGAAACAATCCCAATCGCATTTCTCAAGCAACGATGAACAGTGTCGGTTCTTCTTCCAGTGGTGGAGCTCTCAGACCACCGAGGGCGTCGGGACCCCGTGCTGTCTCGCAGAACTCATTGGGTGCTGAACTTCGAGCAAGCACGTATTCGCCTTTATCTGCAGACGACAGCCTGTCCGTGAGCGGTTCGCCTCGAGTCTACGCTCGCAACCAGGCTGGCAACCGACGTTCGCCTGACACCAGACCAATGTCATACATCGATTTGCTGAACGAAGTGCCCTATTCGCAGCAAGTGGCACCAGCCCCAATGAACAACACCAGTCTTCAATCTGCCATTGGAAACAACGCTTCATTGCTCGACAACAAGAAAACCCTCGACATGTATCGTGCAAACGTCAANAAGACTAACGATCCCAGCATCCAATATGAATTCGCCATCTTCATGATTAACGCAGCCAGAGATCATGCTGAGGATATGGAATCAGCTGCAGAGTTGATCAAAGAAGCCCGTGGAATCCTCCAACGACTCTCAGATCGCGCCTATCCTTTTGCGCAATACTATCTCGCCGATGGTTATTTCTCTGGGCTGTTCAACAAAGACAAGCCAGATTACGACAAGGCTCTGCCACTNTTTGTCGCGGCAAGTAAGCATGGTCATGCAGAATCAGGATATCGTGCCGCACTGTGCTACGAATTTGGATGGGGTTGCGCTAGAAACTACCCCAAGGCGGTGCAGTTCTTCCGTGCTGCTGCGTCAAAAGGTCATCCAGGAGCGGCAATCAGACTTGGCAAGGCTTGTCTCACTGGCGATATGGGACTCGTAAATAGATACCGTGAGGGTGTCAAATGGCTAAAGCGTGCTACGGACTCTGCCGACTATCAATACAACAGCGGTCCTTATGAACTTGGATTGTTACATATTACTGGCTTCGGCGAGGACATCTTCAAGGATGAAGCATACGCCGCTCAGCTCATGACCAAATCAGCAGAGTTGGGCCATCCAGAAGCAAACTACCGAATGGGACAAGCGTACGAGAATGGAACATTCGGATGTCCCAAGGATGCTGCATTAAGCGTTCACTTCTACAACGGCGCAGCATCAAAGGGCTTGCCTGAAGCTATGATGGCATTATGTGCCTGGTATATGGTTGGAGCCGAGCCGGTGCTTGAAAAGGATGAAGTTGAAGCTTACGAATGGGCGAAGCGAGCTGCTGAGTTGGGTAAGGGTCTTGATTTCGGGATACTCGGACAACAAATGCTAACATATGCAGGACTTGCAAAGGCCGAATATGCCGTGGGTTACTTCACAGAGATGGGTATCGGTTGTCGTCGTGATCCTCTGGAAGCCAACGTGTGGTATGTTAGAGCTGCCGACAAGGGTAATGAGACTGCGAAACAACGACTCGACATCATTAGAGCAGCAGCTTCTGGCGATTCAGGAATACCCATGGCCAAGGGCAAGGCGAAAACGAAAGAACTCGGCGGCAGTAAAGAAAAGGAGTGTCTTGTCATGTAAAGTTAATAAGGTGGAGCATTGAATGAGGAGTTTTGGATTTCTGGCATTCTTTTCACATCTTGGATCGGATCATATACCACGGGCATCTGATAGGGGAGTTTCATGGCATTTATGTAGCGGACATATCACCTTCGGAATGGACCCTGACATCTAAAGACCCGAGGTTTCTCGGCGGGTCCGAGCTTTGAGCTTCCGACTAAGGAAGGAGGAGCTCACCAAGTCGGTTGCGATCATAAGCTTTTATCCATGTCCTTTGCAAAACGTCGACTCTTTGCAGTTGTCACACGTCCGAACATTAGATATTTCCCTGCTGTCCATCCGAACGAGCAGTGCAACAGAAGCCTAGCAACCATGGCCAACAAAGCATCACTGAAGCCGGCTGAGGACTTCATCGAGTTCGTCAATGCCTCTCCGACNCCGTACGCCACTCCGCATGGCAATCCGTGAAGAACAGGCTGACACAGTCAAATAGCGTTCCATGCCGTGTATACTGCTACGCAACGACTGGAAGCAGCTGGCTATACCAAGATCAAGGAGCGTGACGCCTGGGCCCACTCTCTCGTCCCTGGTGGAAAGTACTACCTGACCCGCAATTCGTCTACCATCATCGCCTTCGCTATCGGCAACAAATGGAAGCCTGGCAATCCCATCGCCATGGTCGGTGCCCACACTGACTCATGCTGTCTTCGACTTAAGCCTGTGTCAAAGCGTCAGTCCGAAGGCTTCATCCAGATTGGTGTAGAGGCGTATGGAGGTGGCCACTGGGCAACTTGGTTCGACCGTGACCTGAGTTTTGCTGGTCGTGTCATGTGCAAGCGCGCCGACGGCGGAATGGAACAAAAGCTGGTCAAGGTCGACCGACCGATCTGTCGTATTCCCAACTTGGCTGTACACTTCGGCGGTTCAGTTCCTTTCGAATTCAACAAGGAAAACCAACTCTTCCCCATCGCCGGCTTGGTCGAAGCCGAGCTGAACAGGCAAGGTAAGACGTCCGAAGATGCCCAGAAAGCTCAAGACCAGGAATCAAGCAGCGCCGACTTCAACCCTTTGAAGAACGCGACTGAACGCCATCATCCTTATGTTGTCGAGATCCTTGCTCAAGAAGCTGGTGTCAAGCCAGAGGACATCCTCGACTTTGAAGTCGTCCTGTATGATACGCAGAAGTCATGCTTGGGAGGTCTCAACAACGAGCTCATCTTTTCTGCTCGCTTGGACAACCTTATGATGACATATTGCGCTGTGCAGGGCTTGATCAACTCTACATCGTCCGATGGCAAGCCACTGACTGATGAGAACACAATCCGCCTCATTGCATGCTTCGATCACGAAGAAATTGGCAGTACCTCGGCTCAAGGCGCCGACTCCAACATCCTGCCGTCAGTACTTCGTCGCCTGTCTGTACTTCCCTCTTCGCAAGAAACCGAGAGCGACAGCTCCTACGATCGAACCGATCACCCTACTCACAAGGACGCCGATCTGAGCACTGCTTTTGAGCAATCTCTGTCGAGCAGTTTCCTTATCAGCGCAGACATGGCTCACAGTGTCAACCCCAATTACAGTGCCAAGTACGAGAGCGAACACAAGCCGCAGATGAACAAGGGCACAGTGATCAAGATCAATGCCAACGTTCGTTATGCAACCAACTCTCCTGGCATCGTTCTCTTGCAAGAGCTTGCAAAGAGGGCAAAGAAGAGTAGCGGCGATGTTCGCAGCAATGGCCAAGGAGTGCCGCTGCAGATGTTTGTTGTTCGCAACGATATGCCCTGTGGAAGCACAATTGGACCCATGCTTTCAGCCAACACTGGCGTTCGAACCTTGGATCTTGANAACGCACAGCTCTCGATGCATAGTATCCGCGAGACTGGTGGAGCCTATGATGTCGAGTATTCGATCAACTTGTTTGAGAGTTTCTTTGAGCATTACGGCGAGTTGGAAAGCAAGATTTTTGTTGATTAAGCGATGATGAGTCTGATGATCGGATATTGGAAAGTGTGATGAATCGAAGAAATGCAGAGATGTTGGAAAGGTTGACTGGTTGGATTACAGATACGCGTGGATTGAATGACTCCAAACATTGTGGATACTAGTCAGTAGTAGTGTCAGATGCCTCATCATGAGACTTGAATCAAGCGATGCGGTATTCCGCCACTAAGCAATACAAGTACGAGTAGGACCAGAGTCTTCCAATCTTGACTTTATTAAAGTCAAATTTGTATTAAATCACATGTGAAGATCTGTCTTCAAGCTGTTGTAGAAACACCTATATATTGACTTGTCCAGCTGGTTGAACTTCTACTCCAGCACTAGCTATGTAGCATAATAAAGATCAAATCACTGTCAAGGTGTGGAGAGCGAGGGGAATGGGGAAAGAAGGTGCTTGGTGCGTGCGAGACCCTTGAATTCACTCTGGCAACCACGGTGCTAAGGGTTGGTGGAGCCTTCCTGCCTTTGCTTTTTCGAAAGCAGAAGTCATTGACTCTCACAAGACATTGTGGGCTTCCATAAATCGAGAGCAATACTCGACAGTTTATTGTCTATCCGTCACTTGGCTGCGCTCACTCTGCGCTAGGCCTGCGCTCAACCTGCGGTCCAACAATACAGGCACAACAAAGGCGTACGCGCAGATGCCAAGGAAACAAGTGCGAGGCTGACAAGCTGCAAGTGGAGAGCACCCTGGCCTTGACCAAAACACATACCGCCATCACTAGTCGCTTGACGCACTATCCTTACAACTCTGTCGCATTGCGTCGCCGCCACTATCGCTACACCGACCATCACTGGACCCACCTCGCCCGCCCATCTAGTGTCGCCAGTGGGCTCTTCCGCCATCTCCATCCGAGGCGCCGCCTCCACCACTACGACAATCTCTCGACATCACGACAACAATGCGCTCCGCTCGTTTAGAGGCCAAGTTTGGCAACAAGTCGGATTCCGACCATGTACACACACCCAAGCTTCCATCTCCTCCTGGCACCAAGACTCCTCCAACAGTGCCGCATACTCGTGCAAAGGCCAACAACGATAACGACAATGTCGCCAATCAAACCAATGCAACCTCGACCGTTTCGCGCAAGACGTCAGAAGCTGTCGACCCAGATGCCTTGAGCAAAGCACTACACCAGTTTGAAGAAGCCAGTCGCAACAGGGAACACACTCCNGGAGAGAGCCCCAAGCGCAAGAGGCAGCGCGTCTACACAGACCGCTTTATACCCAACAGAGCCGGACAGGACCTTCACGCCAGTTACAACCTGCTACACGACCAAGGTTCTCCTGCCACACCGCATCGAGCTATCAAGAAGCCGCCAGCCAATGAGCTTCATGTCCAAAAGACCGACGAGGCCAACCGAACATATTCATCCATCCTCCGCTCCGAGATGTTCAACGACGAGATTCCTCAGTCCATCCCACAGCATGACAAGTCGCTGACCCCTCCCACTAACTTCAACCTTACTCCTTCGACGCCGCACAAGAACCTCTTCTCGTACAAATCTACACATCCCACACCTTCGTTAACGCCGCGCTCGCATTCACGTACCGAGCGAGGGCCTAATATCAATGCTCGTTCCGACATCTACAGCTTATCCCCCGTCAAGTATTCGTCACAATCCATGCTACTCTCACCGCGCAAGACGCCCAGAGCTGTCAGTAAGGTTCCTTACAAGGTCCTCGATGCTCCTGAACTGGCCGATGATTTCTATCTCAATCTTGTCGACTGGGGCTCAAGTGGTGTTCTCGCCGTCGGTCTGGGTGACAGTGTTTACTTGTGGAATAGTGAGTCTGGAAAAGTCGAACAGCTGTGNCAATTGACAGCCGACACCGTCACCAGCGTTGGTTGGATACAAAGGGTACGTATCGCTGGGGCAATGTCGAGTGTAATTTACGTTAACATGTGTAGNGGCTCACATTTAGCGGTTGGCACCGGCAGGGGACACGTCCTCATCTTCGATACTGTCACGCAACGGAGGTTGAGAACCATGATAGGCCACTCGGCTCGTGTTTCTTCGCTTGCATGGAATGCCCATATCCTCTCTACAGGCAGTCGCGATCGTACTATTCTCCATCGCGATGTGCGCTCTCCGCAACAATACCTTACAAAGCTCGTGGGTCACAAACAAGAAGTCTGCGGTCTGCGCTGGAATAGCGATACGAATCAGCTGGCATCTGGTGGTAACGACAACAAGATCTTCATCTGGGATGGTCTAGGCGACCGCTGGTTGCACCGCTGGGGCGAACAAGAAGGGGGCCACAAGGCTGCAGTAAAGGCTATCGCATGGTCCCCACATCAACGTGGCTTGCTCGCCAGTGGAGGCGGTACAGCAGATCGCTGCATCAAGTTCTGGAACACAATCTCTACGGCTCAGCATTCTGCAAACGCCGCCCTAACGAGCGCAAATTCGACACATGCACATCTGGACCTCACATCCTCTTCATTGTCGACATTGCCGCATCACGCCTCACCCGATCCAATGACCTCGACACCTCAGAACCCTCATCTTCTGCGTACCCATGACACTGGCTCGCAGGTCTGTAACCTCCTTTTCTCGACTTTGACATCAGAGCTCGTGTCGACCCACGGTTTCTCTCAGCACGCCATCAACATTTGGAAATATCCATCCATGTCGCAAGTGGTCAGTTTGACTGGCCACACATACCGTGTACTCTATCTTAGCATGAGTCCTGATGGCAGTGTGATCGTTACTGGAGCTGGGGACGAAACGCTTCGTTTCTGGGATGCGTTCGGCGGCGTCGGCAAGGCCAACAGGAACGAGAATAGCGTCACAGGCAAGGGAAGCCTTGTCAAAGAGTGGAACGTGATTCGATGAAGTTTCGTGCTCTATCTGGCGAGGCTTGAATTTTCTTTCTTTTACTTTTTTCTTCTTTCTTTGACCGTCTATTCACATTAACGATCTGAACGAACTTGAGACGAAGGCGAAAGGGGCGGAAAACATACATGGGCAATAACAGGACGGTTCATCTTACGCAGAAGCTGGCAGGCATGGAAAGGGGTTCTGCAGAGCATCGGCGTTTTTTTTTTTTTTTTTTTATCTACGGGAAGGGCGGAGTGTTCTCTGCGAGTCTTTTTTTAGCAGCATGAGACTCTCATCACACAGTCTATCAGGAGTTTTGCGGTCATATATCCATCGACGGTCTCATCAGGTACGGCCAGGGGGGTAACTTCCAAATATCATCTTTCTCATGCTCACATGTTCTCCTGTCACTATGGTTTTGAAATTTGATTTGAGCATACCACGCCAGGCGAGCACAATGTCCAGTAACGTCAAGGATCGTGGCAAGGGCGTATGACCTGATTTCTGTTCCAATTCGAGAATCTCTTTACCCCTTTTCAATGGCCTATCAAAGGCTTTGTCTACATCTCGATACTCTTTGGCTCTCTTCAATACTTTGGTGTAGAAGAGTATCACCTTGCTTTGGATATCTTTGCTTTTGCCTTCCAGACTGTTTCGTTTGATGATGGGAGGGATGCAATCGATCATGGTAGAGTTCTTCTGAATTCTAGAAGTCACAGAGAATTTCACTGGCAACGACGATACGAGTTCCATGACTACCCATAACACATTGATTGAGCTGCATAGATCTCAAAGCATAGCAGTTATATCAAATTTACGTGCTTGCGGCATTGCGATGCCATTGAGAAGGAGGTAGGATATCAATGACAGGGTGTCCCACTCAACCACAATGGACCGCCGAGCATCGTAGTCAAATACCTTAGGCGACCGCGTTCTCACGAGACGACTCTTTGAAAGCATAGTTTGGTGACGAGTAACTCTGGAAGGAAGGGGGTTGAGTGCATTGTACAGATCTCTTTTGCTACATGATATCCTGAACATGTCTATGCTTCGCTCTCGACCTCTGTTGCTGGTGGTGCAAGCTCGGAGTGCTGTTCCTCAGTATTGCTCGTCTCACCGGTAGCCCCAGCTGCAGGCGCCTCTCCACCTTCCGTTGCATCTCTTTGCGAAGAGTCCTGGTCTGTGTTGCGCTCGTTGGCATTGACGCCAGCGGCAAAGTATGGTGCCGACTCCTCGTCATCGGCGTCTAGTTGTAGCAAGTATGTTTCCCAGAGCTCGATAAGTTCCTTTTGCGCCTCGATTGCCGACTCAAGGAAAGTCTCGACACCACTCTTAAAGTCGTCGACCTTCTCGCGCTCGAAGCGATCTAGCTCGCTGCGCATCAAACGACCCATGTCCTCAAATAACAGACGTGCTTGGTGAACACGTCGCTCGGCATCTGCAACATCTGCTTGCATCTGGGATAGACGGTCTTGCTGGGTGCGACCAGCTCGCAATAGCTTGTCGTGCGTGTTCTTTAGCTTCTGCAGAGCAGCCTCGGCTGTGTGCCAGTTGTGGTAGGCCTTCTGGCGTTGTTGGAAGGCTGTTTTGATACTGCCAATCAGGCGGATGTACTCATCAATAACAATACCAAGGGTCAAAACATCCTGCTGGGCCTGGCGATCGTTGAGGTCACGAATGCGCATCTGAATGTCCGACAAAGCGTCCAAGGGAGCAGAGAGCTCTGGTGACAGCTCGACAGATGCAAGCTGGTGTAGTGAAGCAGAGAAGTCCTGGCAGCTCTCGGCCAATGATTTGCGCTGAGCGACTACGGTATCGGTAGATTTGAGAAGAGCCTTGAGCTGAGTTTCAAGAGCATCAAGATAGATCTTACGGTCATGGAACCACTGCGACAATATCGTGTAAGTGTGGTAATTAGGGACGACGGGTTCGGGGAGGGCGGGAGATGGAGGAAGGGCATCGATATAAGAAGAATAGGCGGCACTTACGTCGTCGTGTTCGACAAACTTAGTGCTGGACCCGACCGACAGGCCAATGGCGCCCAGCATGCCGCCGCCCGACTTTGTCTCGGGCAAGCCGACGTCCTTGCGCTCCTTGTGCTTGATGTCGACGTTGAAGGCCTCGCTTTCGAGGAACAACTTAAGATCACCATCATGCTGCAGGACGGGATGAGCGGCTGACTTGTTGAGCATGCGTTCCAAAGCGGCGCGACGGCTCTCGACAAAGTTCTGGTCGAAGCGATTCATGGCCTGTTTCTCTGGCGGCGGCGGCACTACAACTCCAGGGTTGTTGTTGTGCAGTTGGTTGTATAGCCATAGGAAGTCACGGTAGCGGCGCGAGACGGTGAATTCGGGGGTTCGGTAAGCCTTGCTGGTTGTCTTTGTGCGGACCTGGTAGACGGTGTGCGAGCTGGTCAAGTCTCCGACCTTGTGCGGGTCGCCAACGCTGATGTCGAACGAAGGTTTGGCAGCTTGCTCAATGCTTACGCTGGGCTGTGTTTGGCGCTTGGGAGCATCGGCCACAGGAGCAGGCTGAACAGGGGGNNGAGGAGCACGTCCTGAGATGGTCGAGGTACCGTCATCGTCGAGGGTGGTACTCTCCATCAGAGCAGTCGGTGGGGCATTGCGGGCATTCTGCTCCTTCTGTGGCGGTGCGGGACGTTCTTCAATAGGAGCAGCTTCAGCAGGAACATCGCCCAGAGGACCAAGTGGGCCTAGCGAGTCGTCGAGCGCTTCGAGAGTGGTGGACTGTGTACCGAAGCGGCGCGAAGGACGTGTCTTGGATGGCGGGCTCTTGACTTTGGCTCGAGTGTTATCGGAGGCGGCAGGAGTGTCTGTCTCTGCCGTTGAAGGTGTCGCCTTGGTTGTCGATGTGGTCGGCTCGTCTTGAGTAGCTTGGGCGGCCAGGTTGCTGTTGGAATGCGATCGTGACGGAACGTCTGTAGTGCGTGGATCAGCAAGTTGTGGCCAAACTGACTGCAATCTCACTCCACCACCCCAGGGCGAATCTTCTTCCATGATTGTTCGGTTGTATGATGTGCGTGTCTAGGTTGTTTCGCGCATGCGATGCTGCCTCGCACCTTCCCCCCACAACGTAACACGCCAAGTCCCTCCGGGGCCGTCACCTTCCGACCACTACCGACTACCGTGAGGTACCACACTCGACAATACGAAGTATATTTACTGCACGGTTTGGCACGACTTCCACACGAGATACCAATTCCAGCTAAGCTGGCTCATCTTCATTGGTCTAGTGGTCATGATTTCCGCTTGTCAAGAGTAACATCTCGTCAAGCGCGGGAGACCAGGGTTCGATTCCCTGATGGAGAGCTTCTTTTTTGGACAACCTCCGCCTGTGGAAAGGTAGGTAACGGCATGTGGCTATAAAAATGCACAATACTGTTTGAAAACAGGACAGTGTCCACTGAGAAGCAACTTCTCATCGGCTCTCTTTGGCCATATTTTTGTTTTGGAAACAAGATTGTGCATTTTTATAGTATGTACTTTACTCTCTGCTATAGTCGGAGTAATGGAAGTTACTAGCACACGGGGAGGTTGCACTTTGACCTATCAGTTGCAGCGACTGCTTTGCTGCTGGGACGCCGGCATATGCTGGTTCGTTTTTGCCACACTTCAAAACATGTTGTCAATTGAGTACGTTGGTGCAAAGGACTGATGTGCCATCTGAATTTGTTATGTCTCTGCTACCTCGCGTTCGTTATCTCATAAAGTACACTGTTAATGAGGTATTCTTCTCTTTGTTCAGCTTCACTAGCCCATTCTCTCTCCTTTCGTCTCATTCTTGTCTAGCACATGATCTGTTCTTAGAGCTCCTTGCACTCTTGCATGGCCTTCTTGAGCGGTCCCTCCAAAATCTCCTTAGCCTTTCCTAAGTTGATGGTGAGTTGCATTCTCAGATCACTCTCTGCAGCTTCTTCGGTTTCCTTGTCGCTGTAAGAAGCTCGGAAGGCCACAACAATGTCTGTCAGAATGGCGAAGACGTGTTTCTCGAAGATACGTTGACGTCTGTCCAGGATCTCTCCGATTCTTTCACTTGCTCTCGCGTGAACGGCCATCCAGAGACTAGCGTCTCCAACAATGCCATCCAACAGCCTGGCCCGACGTTTGCTATGTGGGTTAGAACCAGTGATAGCTTGAGCTGATCGGTACACGTCCTCCATGCACTCGCCGATGACCGAATTTTCTGTGTTTGTTGTTAGGTCGAAGATCCATGTCTTCAATTTACGTCTGAGAATTCGGAAGCACTCTCTAACGGCGTTTCGCATCAGAGGCTTTTGTTGTTCGACTTTCTTGAGGAAGAAGCCCAGTGCCATCAAGACAACTTCCGGATCGGCAGTCACTTTCTCTTTGATACGAGAGATGGGCAACTCGAAGTCAAGGGCGACTGCTGATTCCATGTCCGTAAGTAAGTCCAGTACCTTGTTGCAGCTAGGTGAGAGGCTCTGAGCCATGATCTTTGTGAGTTCGCTGTTCCAAGAGATTTCGGGCTTGGTCTTGGTGCCTTTGCGGTATCCTTGTCCCTTCAGCAATGAACGAAAGTTTCGAGTGTTGTGTTCAATCGCCCAAGTCGTGCACAACTCTGTAGCATCACTATTCCAGTATCTCTCCTTCTGCTTGATCAAGATCAAAACCTCAGTCTCGATGTTTGCACGAATTTGAGTGAAAAGATCCTGGATGGCTTTCTCGCATGCCTGCATGTGTCAGTAAAGGTCGCCATGAGCCTTGGGATAGTGTGCCCAGCTTACCTCTTTGGGCTCAAGGACTATAGCCTCCANTCTCTTTCTACGCTTCATGTGAGTTTTGAAGCACCAGATCTCGATGCTCGTGAGCAAAGACGGCAGTTGCGTCTCGTAATGAAACACAGCATCGTTGAAGCGTCCTTCGCCTGTTGCAAATCTGAGGTGCTGACGCAGTTTTGGTATCTCTGTGTCTTCCAAAGCCAGTGCAGGGCGATCAGACCTCTCGAATCCAATCTGATACTGTTCGTATGACTTGTTCGACACGCAGAAGATTGCGAGCGGTCTTTGGTCGCCAGTTAAGCGGAGATAAGTTCTGCGAAGGCTCTTGACCGTTTTCTTGTTGCGAATCATGATTTTGGAAGATTCGTGTGCAGATTCTGCATCATGTAGTTGACGATGCAGATCTTCTTCCTTCTCGAAGATCTCGAACCTCTCCTGTTTGGTGGCAGTCTTCTTCTTAGCACGAATCTCGTCGAGTTCTCCTGTGATGTTCAAGATCTTCTCCTTAGTCTCCTCCATTTGCTTCTGCTGTTCTGCGGTGCCATTGCGCATCTCGCCATCGATTCGATCCGAATTGGTAATGGCTGCAACAACTCTACCGGAGCCTTTCTTGTTGTGACCTTCGCCAAAATACTTCATGACCGTGTCGTCATCCTGAGCCCGACTAATTTGAGCTACCACAAGATAGTGAGTGCACTCAGCAAGGGCTTTGCCAACTGTGCGACGTCTGGTGTTATTTGAGTCGTGTACACCGGGAAGGTTCATAAGAATAACACCATCGTTGAGCATTGGGCTATCCAGACCAAATGTGATCTTTTTGATGAGAGGCCATGGTGAAACCACGGGGTCCGCAAACTCGTCCTCATCAGCCCCGTTGAAAGTGTATTCACGCAACTTCTGAAGTAGGCCCTGAGTAGTTGTGTGCTCGACAACAGAGACCAGACCATCGTCTTGCTTTGCGTATTTTCTGATAAGCTCTCTCGACCAGATGATCATTTTCTGTATGAAGGTTTTGTCAGTCTCGCCCGAGGCCTCGCTGAGAATTCCAGCGATTGCTTCTTCCGAGGCGCATTCGGGCTTATCGCAGAACAGGGTTTGGATAGTTTTGATTGCAGTGAGCCCACTGACATTGCGATTGTCAAATTCGTCGTCAAGTGCCTCAGAACCAGCATCCGAGGAAGGCAATGAGGCATAGGCTTCTTTGAACAAGAATGTGATGAGGGCTTCAAGCTCGGCCTCGCTATAGTACTCGATCTCGGCTCTGAAAGGGGTGCTCTGCTTTGGCAAGGTTGCCCTGAACTCTTGAATAACCCATGTGCAGCTTGTACCGGCATCTCCNNCTGTCTGATATGAGCATATTCCCAAAGGCAGCGCAACGGAAGAACAAACCTTGCGAGCAAGTATACCAACACTCAGCAGTGAGTTAATCAGTGACGATTTCCCGGAAGCCATGTCGCCAACAAGAGCGATGCGGACCTCGTCGGGAAACCGTGCCTTACTGCGAGTCTTCAGTAGCGAAATAAGACCCTCCACATTGGAATCGGTGTAATTGCTTTCGTCGAGAGGTCCTCGCAAGAGCCTAAGTATCTCATCGAACTTTGCTGTGACAATCTTGAATGACGGGTGGTAGACGGGACAGTTTGGTGGCGGCTCAGCGTTCACATCGTATGCGGCAACTATGTCATCGTCCTGCTCCATCTTGAGTGTAGCGGCCATCTCTATACTGAGGTCAATCCAAAAAGCTAGTGGTAGGTAGTGAGCTTTCTCGAGATAAGGGCGTCAGTAGCAGACGATGTTAGTAGAATAAAGTCTGTGTTTCGTGTGGTATGAGAGGGTAAAGAAAGGAAGGATGATGAAGGAGAGAGGCAAAGATTGTGTGGATGATTGTTGTTATGTAGTTGGATGGGTAGTGTGTTGAGAGAGAAAAGAAGAGGTGATGTGTGCTCGGAAGAGAGGTTTATATGGCTGACCACACAGTGTGAACTGTTGAAGTGTGTCGAAATGAAAGGTAGTAGTAAGTGAAAAGAAAAAAAGTTCCTCAATGGAAGAAGTTGTTGTAAGTGAGTGAGAACAGGTGAAACCGACACGCTGACCATTTGTGCAAGAATATCCAGAAGCCCCCGTGGCCGTGCCCTTGAACGCCCGCTATGCTTTGTGATTTTCAGTCCCAAGCGCCGAAATTACAATAGTATTAACAACATCCACCCTGTTTGCCGCGTTTTTGTACGGAAGCAGCATCGTTCATGCCCAAATTGATGGTTCTCGCAGTGTTGCCACCAGCAGATGCACCAGGACCTTTGACGCCGGACCGTCTGTCATTCAAGTCGTATTTGCCGGCTTCGATGTTTTGGTATATCCTCTCAGCAACCTCACGGAAGGCTCTCTCGACATTTTCACCACTCTTGGCCGAAGTCTCGACGTATTGCATGACTTTGTTCTCTTTGCACCATGCCTCGGCCTCTTCTTGTGTGACTTGACGTTTGTTCTCGGAGGCGCTACCTTCAGAAACAGTTGTTGCAGGAGCGAGATCGCTCTTGTTGCCGACGAGGACTACGATAATGTTCTCCTCTGCTATCTGGCGGAGATCATTCAACCAGGCCGTGACGGCGTCAAAGGTTGCGCGACGAGTGATGTCAAAAACCAGTAAAGCACCGCTAGCACCTCTGAAGTAGGATCGTGTGATTGATTTGTATGTCTCCTGACCAGCAGTATCCCATAGTGATAGCTTCATGTGCTTTTGATTTTGCGAGTCGGTGTTGGATGATGATGTTTCGTTAAGAGTCGTGTCGGCGGAAGGGTTATTCACGTTGAGGGCTAACGAAGCGGGCGGACCAACAGGTACGATACGGCTGCCGAATTCGACTCCGATGGTCACATCGTGGTGAGGCGAGAAGCGTCCTTCGCACAGTCTTATCGTGANGCTGTGAACGGCGAGCCCGAGTTAGTGCTGGCTATGGGGACTGGACAATGGACGACGACGTACACTGGACTTTCCACAGCCAGAATCACCGAGCGAGACGATTTTGGCAATATAGTCCCAACTCTGCGCCATGTTTGAGATATGATATGCTATGATGAATCAAGGAAGCGCAACAATCAAACATGTCGGTGACTCGGTCGTTCCTGCGGCGGGCGACTCCGCAGATCTGGAGAAGGATTGCCCTGTGCGTCAGCCCAGTCGTCATGACCCTTCCAGGGCCGATTTGCTACCTTGACTCTCTTGCGCATTGCATTGCGTCTTCCCTGCTCAGTTGATTGTGATCTTGTCTGACTTGGTGAAATGCACTCGTCCATCAGTCTCTCTCATTCATCTCGGGTTACAGCCATCTCGAGCGCCGAGGAGTACGGCCATGGTACCTTATCCATCGATGCTTTGACCGTTGAGAAGCCGGGGCCGAATGACCATGCGCCAATGATCGTAAACATGTGCTAATGTCCAATACTCCAGTAGCCTCAACATCAACTTGTCATCCACTCTCTTCTTTCTGTCTCTGACTCTCATCCTTCTTCTCGTATCTCATAGAATCCCCCTTACACTCGCACCCGCAACCACCCTCTCTCTACACATCAACATGGCAATCAACGCCAAAATGGAACCCAAGGCAGGACAGGCAGTAACCCCCTCGTCCGCCACTTCAAACAAGCCAGTTGTCTGCGTTTTGTACGTCATGTTTCTTCTTGGAACGCAAAATCGTGTCTGACACTCCCCTTGCAGCTGTGGTGCCTCTGGCGGCAACTCNCCCGCACACCTCGCTGCCGCCCGCGAACTGGCAAAGGCTCTCCACCAGAACAACATGAAGTTGGTATACGGCGGTGGCACCGTTGGCATCATGGGTGAGGTCGCAAAGACGCTCGTCTCCTTGGCTGGTCCGGACGCCGTTCACGGCATCATCCCCGAAGCCCTGGTAAAATACGAACGCGACTACAAGGAAGGCGCTCCCCTGGAATCCGTTATTGACGAGTCTACCTTTGGCCGGACCACTGTAGTCGCAGACATGCACTCGCGTAAACAAGCCATGGCCCGCGAGGTCATCGATGGCGGCGACGGTGGCGGCTTTGTCGCTTTGAGCGGTGGTTACGGAACCATGGAAGAGCTTATGGAGGTCACAACTTGGAACCAGCTGGGCATCCACGCGCGTGGTGTTGTCATTTACAACGTCGAAGGCTATTACGATGGCCTGCTGCAATGGGTCCGCACTGCAGTCAAGAGCGGCTTCATTGCCAACAACAACTCCAACATCATGATCGAGGCCAAGACTGGCGAACAATGTGTGCAGGAGTTGAAGAACTACCAGAACACAGAGGGTAGGATGAAGTTGAACTGGGACCAGAAATGAGTCACCAGCCACTACCATTCTCGCCCACTGCCAGCCGACCAGATTAACCCTAGGAGCCACTGTCTTCGCCAGCCCGTTCAGTATAACCCTTGTTCTCGCCATCGAAAGCATGCCGCCCATATTGCCGCACCCATGAACGATGGGGACCCGACTCATGTAGCGAGCTCCAATACCGACCGAAAGGCCACGGCGTGCTAGATGATGTCCAGACCCGAGAGAGTCTGGAAATTCGTCGTCATGAATAGATATTGAGGCGGTTTAGAAGCTACATATAGAGCGCCACGAAATATACAGTATCCTGGTACATCAAGCCGAGACGCAAATTAACTTGAGTAGATAAAGAGTCTCGATTGAAGAAAACACCACGCGTGCACAGTATGATAGGATGGTACCGCCCCATGCGACCACCTGAGATGAGATCCCGTGAACCACGACAGGGTGATTACTAAACTGACTGACACCCATAGTTAACCGGTCAAGCGCAGCGCCTTTCGGCCTTCGGGGACGCGGTCTGATACAGAAACCGAAGGTGTTGCAACCTCGTTATGGGCGGGTGAGTGATGATCACTCATTCATCGCGGTCGATTACTCACGTTCCGACATATTACTCTCCCTGCAAGGCAACTCATCGCAACCATGCGACGAACGAACCTCTCGACGATCCGTTTTCGCTTTTCTCCTTGACTGGGCTCGCTAGCACATAATGAGCGGGTCTGTCGTGCATACTACAACTCACAGTCAACCGCATGTGAACAGAAGGCATTCACGGCAATCAAGCCCGCGCGTGATTTAATTCTTCGAAATGAAACATGAGGAGGCGTTGATGTTGATCTCTGCTATACCTTCTCCTCGGCGGCGGCGCGGGCGCCGTGGATGTCTGCTCCTCTCGCTCGTCTGTGCTTGCCCAATTTGAGATGCATGTTGTATTCGCTGGCTTGCATCGGACATGCACTTTGGAAGACCCGCATATGTGCGTGTCTGCATGCTCCGCCGGGAGGGCCCCTTGCTTGTCTCCGATCTTTGGAATAGCATGCGATTTGTCGAAGTCAGGGAGGGGTTCGCATGAGTGAAGGGCATGGGTGAGTCTAGATCTACTCAATGCTGCAATCGCTGCGAGCCAACCTGCATGCATGGAAGAAGAACAACAGGGTACGATTTGCGACGACTAAATCCTATAGGAATAACATTTTGCGAATTGACCTACTACTAACTTGACAAACTGAGTAGCTCTGTAGCTAACGTCGATAGATGGGCAGGTATGCATAGACGTTGAACTGCAAATAGACCATGGCATTCTGCCAACTCAACAACAATGGCATGTTAGCCGTTGACCACTACAGTATTCCCGAAGTCCTTGTAACCATTACGCGACGTTGCAACCTCAACACGGATGCTCCATCTTTCCCCACCAATCAGACGTCTAGGATGAGCTTGCTAAGACGAAGTTGCAGCTCTTAAGCACGTCTTAACCATGCCTCCGGGACCTCGAGCAGTTATTGGCACATCAACATGGATGCCGCTTTCTCCATGATCGCCTCCGAGTAAGAAGAGCACACGACCACATTGTCGTAGCCACTTGTGCTTGCTGGTGATGCAGAGCAAGGGCTGATGTAGACACCGGATAGCGGCACCTGCGACCCGCCACGAACATTGTGCAGTATATCCGCTGCTTGCGTGGCGAACTTGGCCTGACAAGGCATGTTGTTAGTCGTTTTGGTGTCGATCAACAGAGTTGGGTCGCAATTGACCACGACGATAGCTCCCGCTTTTCGTATCCACGCAACATGAAGATCTGTCAGACCGACTTTTGCAACGAATGGCACATGTCGAACGCGAGAGTGCCACTTGCTGAGAGAACGGCCTAAGCATTCGAAAGGGTCTTCTTGACCATCAGCCGAAGGAATTGCTGGTGTGAACAGAACAATGAGTTGATCTGTTGGAAGGGTGTTGAGGGTTTTTAGACTGGACGAAGAAGATTGCATGAAGCGGACGTTGGTAGGATGGATCTCGACAGTTGTGCATGTCGATATTGGTTTGATGTCAGTCATGGTTGCGACTAAATTCGGCAGATTGATGGTGACAAGTCAGGGTCATTGAGGCTTGGAGAGTGTCCAACGTTATCTCATCAAAACGAGGTAGAGTTTCGATCTTGGTTCATGAGATAGTATTGTGAAGAGCACAAAGAGATTGACAAGTGGAGGTTGACGAAGGACTTATAAGTCAGAACTCGGACAGAGCCTCGACATCGTCCAGATGCTCGCTAAGTAGCATAACGGCTTGTGATATCGCTAGCCCGACTGGAAAACTCTGCTCGGGCAATGATTCATGCGTCGAATGCATCGTCAACATCGCTCGCTTGCTGCCTTTCGTGGTTGACATCTGGAGTTTCGGCAAGTGTGGCTGAGATAAGATGATGATCAGTCGATTATGGGCTTCCCTGCAGACTAGGGAGCAAGCAGAACCAGAGAACCCGGGCCTCGCAAACAAGACTGCAGTATTACGACCATGTCTATCGATGTTAAGTTAGAGGATTACTTTACGTGGAGATATAGCTGATCCTCCAACTGCTCGGAAGAAATGGTCCGATCCTACTGGATAGAGGCATGGGGCCAAATAGTACATGTTTCGAGTGTATTTTTCAACATGTCACAAAATGAGAACGTAATCGAACGCCATGCTACCAGAGTTGATCCGATCTGCCGACGACCAGACAAGCAAGCCACGACACTAGAAGTAATCGCAATGCATGTACAATGACGAGCTGTGCCTTTGAAAGGATATTGTCAGGCTCGTAGGCATGAGCCGCGCGACATTCCACACGACACATGCACAAAGTAGGCCAAATCCGAATCAAAAGGACGATTCATCAAGCGTTGGCGGAGTCCAAGGCCGGTGAGTAGGACAACTCATGTTGCATGTACGATATCGTCGATCCTTTAACCACATACGTCGCCACGAGAAGACAAATTCATGGTGGCGGCCCTCGTTGCAGTGTCAAGCAGCCAAGTGCGGGTACATGCACAATGGGACGAAGCGTGCGTTGATGGTGCCTGATGGTATGCAGCGAATCAGCCGATCTGACTGAAAATCTGCAAGCAGCGATATTGATGACTTGCAGGGGGTCGGAGCTTTGTGGCTTGAGCCCGGCGCTGGTCGTCCGAGAGGTGGACTATTGGCTTGACTAGAATAACATATTCCTGTACTCTAGCGAGCGATATGTATAACAATGTGCCCAGACGCGGTGAGGCACAGCATGCAACCATGTTAACGAAGGTGGATGGGGATGATGATGATGCTCTAGCGCGCTGGGCGTCAGCGGCGCCTTGCGGTTGCCAACACCATCCACCTATGTCAGCAACAGCCATCAGCGAAATCTCGAGCATCCATAATTCCGACGACTTCATCAGCAGAGACGGCCGACGACCTGTCACTGTGGTAGAGTTTCGAATAAGAAAGACTCGAGACGACCTGCTCTACCAGTGCCCAGGTGTTTCATTCACCTGTCGGCACACTGCAGCCAAATCCATATCACCTGTTCTGAAATCATTCGCCAGGTCGGCGCTTAAATCGATCTTCATTCTTTGGTTCATGGCGCACCACGTTGATTAACTGAACCAACATGTCGCAGGGTAAACGACCGTTCAAGGAGGTCAGCCTCGCTGTCACGGGGGCCCAATTCTTCAAAGATCGATTCCCGCACAACAGAAGGCGTGATGACAAAGTGCCAGCATGCTCCGAGCTATCATCGGGATCATTCAAGGTCCCATGCAACGTGGTGCGTAACATGACTACGATACGACAGGACTCATCGCTCATGAATTGACCANNGACCGGTCTTTCTCATGTCTACAACCTCTACTTTGTTGCCTATGTTGACAACATTTATGTCTACGAGCCACAATTTCCATCTCAAAGGATTGAGCAGGAACCAGTCTTAATCATACACACAGATCCAAAACCAAAAACTCATGAAGAACAAAGACTTTACGGCCACTACGCAGGCTATGGCACTCGCGCCATCAACAAACTGCTGGTGCAGTCACTAGGCAATGAGGAAGTGGTTGCTCTTGTCAGAGATGATGGTGACGTTGAAGCATACTACACACGGCATATATACAGTGCCATCGAGAAGCGAGCCTACTATGATAGCACTCTTGGCATCTTGTCTGCCGATATCAAGCCGTTCTTCCAAAGGAGTGTGGGATTAAGTGCCTGGGGATTGGCTATACACAGCACGGCTCGCATGATTGCTGTGAGCGCTAACACACATGCCACCACGGTCTTCACCTTTGCCCTTACCGATGGTGACCCAGAGGACGACGATGAGATCCCTGATGAAGACGAGGTCTACTACTACGGAATGAGCGGAGTGGTCCCGCCAAATGACAGACGCCGGAACGATGTACGTGTATTGGCTCACTCNGGGGGAACACACAACCTGCCGGATATTTGCTTCTGTAATACCGGACACGATCCTGCCGGGAGATGGCTTTTGACAGCAGATCTTCACGGACAAGTCGCCGCGTGGGATGTACACAGCCTACAGTTGAATCAACTCGTCAACACCGCTCTCAGCCCCCCTATCTTTCGGGTACCCAAAAACAGGTTCGATGATCGCAATGGAGTGTGGGGTCTGTTGTTTCTCGATCCACTTTCTTTCCGAACCACAACCACGATCGAGGAAGCTTTGGGTGTTCCCACCGACCATACTGCTGTAGACTTAGAGAAAGAGAAGGACAATGCTATTTGGGATCTTGGAAAGACAGTGGACTGTATTAACCACGTCCGTCGTCCATTCAAGGATGTGGGACGTCCGGTTGAGGTGAGGAACGGCAATTTTGCTCACCCTCTAGAGCTGTCGCGGCACAGAAACCATGAATCTTCGATCAGACATTCTGCTAGGCGGACTGATGCAGAAGCTGACAGAAGCAGTGAAGAAGAGGGAGAGGAGGAGCAAGAAGAGGAAGAAGAAACGGAAGAGAGCAATGAGGAGGACAACCCGTGGGACAGCGACGACAGTTACGAGAATGGCTACGATTCTGCTGAGGATACACATGTGGCGTTTACGAGGCGAGATGGAACCATCTGCCAGATCGAAAAACCAAAGTAAGTTTGCGTTCAACCTCCGGCGATTGGCAACTCTAACCCCAAACCATAGNNACCTGAAGCTCGGTTCGGGCGTGGTGACAGCATGTGCGGCGACCTTCCGTGTCCCATACTACAGCTCTCGTTCAAGGATATTTACCTCTATCAACCAGCACCGAACAGCAAGGCCTGGGATCACTTGCCTATGCCATCTACAAGACGTCTGTTCCAGCAACAAGTGCCCGTTGCTTTCGAAACCGGATCCGGCAAGTTCGGCCGCATCAACATGTACGCGCAAATACCGAGCCTCGGAGTTGTGATCATTGCGACACANAAAGGTCGCGTTGCTGTTTTATCGCTTACGCAAAGTGTTGCTCGCATGCTTGACTATGAAAAGGTTGAAACAAAACAAGCACCGCTCGAAAAAGCGCGAATGGACAAACGCATCTATGGATATCGAGTAGATCACATTCTGCCTCTGCCCAGCCAGGAAGAAGCCGGCCATCGGCCCAAAGCTGGAATTCACGGTATCGCCGTGGGACCCGTGCAGGGAACCGAACATGTTGAAGATGGTCTCAAAAGATGGCGTCTACTGGTTCATTACCAAGACATGTCCATTTTGGCATATGAGATTGGAAAGCCAGCAAGAGGTCAATTCGACTTGGACTTGATGGCTATCTAGAGGCTTATTCTAGACCACAACTTTCCTCAAAGCTGGTAACCCCTCTCATCGAAGGACAAACGTGAAGGGGATGTCATCTCGTGATGTACTCTCCCGGCCAGAGGGTAGAGATGTCAGCACCCTAAATCATGAAAGGACTCAGCATCAGTTATCTGTATCTGTATGCTGTTTCGCATGCAGAACGACATGGATGTTGAGTTCAACTCGGATCTTTTCTGTCTAGGGCTGGTAGCGCTATCTTCCCTCATGCTGTGGGCAATCGTCTACACCAAATTGACTTTTATACATAATCTCGAACGAGGACGAGTGTGTAGATTCAAGAGAAACAGGACAGCGGGCGCTGTCGCTGGACGCCGACGAGGCATCCCTGCCAGAATGCAGAGCAGAAGACAAAAACGCTGGTCCTTGCCCAAACGCTCGTCTAGTAGTGTCGTTGATTAAAAAGCCGTATTTGAATAAGTAGGAGGGAAAAGTGGCCATAACATGCTAGATGTTGCCTCGGGAGCCATTCATATATCTCTCTTCTTGCGCAACAAGACGCGACCCCCTTTCTGAACAGCCTGGAGAGCAGCAGCTGGCGCATATACAAGGTGTGTTAGCATCTAAGCACTACCAGCGGCTTCGGCAACAATTGTGGGTGTCAAGATATCGGCGGTGGTGCCCGAGACGCTACTTGTTGTGCCGTTCTTCAGCAGATCGCCCGATACGTAGTAATAGGCACGATGGGCAATGATCCTGACATGACGGGGCAGATACAATGCAACGGCGATCGAGACCATGGCTAGNNGGAAGAGGAAGAGGATGGAGTCNNTAGAATCGCGAATCGGTCAACACTGATTGTGTGGTCGCACACAGCAGAATGCGAACTCACTGAAGATGAATTTCTCGGTCGGGGTCAACATGTATAGCGAAAACGTGACTTCATATTGATAGCGCTTGCGTTGGAACCAGCGCAACAGCGAGGAAGGGTATAGAGCGAGGGCGAAGAGAAAGATTACGGCGGCGCCAACAAAGACGGTAGGAAGACTGATAGGTGCGGACAACATGATGTCGGTTGTCGTGGGAATCAAGAGTTGGTGAATGGAAGCGGACATGCAATCGTGGTATACGCTCCTGCCTTGTTTATGTTGCGATTTGCAGGGGCTGTCTGGATAGAGCGGCGGGCTGAGGCGCAATTGGTGTTGGAGCAGAGGTACAGATGTCGCGACTGACCAACGACAAGGGCAAAGAGGGCGGAAGAAGCGAAGGACGACCAAAGGCAGGTACCGAGATGAAAGTTGCAATTGATTTGGACCCTTTGACTTCAGGAGAAGCGCCGCTCCGGCTCGACATCCGAGCCCCGGCCCCGCCAGCCCACCGCCGCTCATTCGTGCTTGCCATGACGTCTGTTGTTCTTTCCTTCCACAAATCCAAGGTTGCCATCTCCAGCAGAAGGCACTGCAATACAAGAGTCCAATGCTGCTACTACGTCGCCTGTTCGTCTCGGCGAGGCCTGTACCATTCGCCCGTCCTTCCACGCCCCATGCTCTATTCACCACCACAACCACATTCTCTCAAAAACCACTTCCACCACGACCCACCATCCTCGAGAGCGATATCACAGAGGCTTTCCTCAAAGGCACCGGTCCCGGCGGTCAAAAGATCAACAAAACTTCTTCGGCAGTACAGCTGAAACACCTTCCCACTGGCCTCGTCATAAAATGTCAGGAAACTCGTTCGAGGAGTCAGAATCGCAAGATCGCACGCCGCATACTGGCAGAGAGGATCGAGCTTATGCTGATGGGAGATCAGAGCCGCGCTGCCTTGAAAGCTGAGAGAGATAAGAAGAAAAAGGCGAGCAAGAACAAGAAAGCCAGGAGAAAGTATCGCAAGCTCGATGATGGTAAGGAGGTCGAAATTGAAGACGGCGAAACCAACGAGGATCAAGATCAGGACGGCCATGAGGCCCATGAGACACGCGACATCGAAATCCAACTAGACAGCGTGCAACCTTCCGCTCCAGCCGCCACTCAGTCGCACCAAAAGCCTTGAGGAGAACACATGCCCACTTCTTGTAACCAACTCCCGATATACTGGTAAAGAGGCCTGCTCGCTGCCAGTTTCGCCTCCTTCGAGCCATATTCACCTCTCCTCCAACCAACGAGCCAAGCGCGGCCTCATCTTAGAGCAATATCCCAGCCGCGCAACGCGCAGGGGTAATTCTTGATCCTTGTGGGTTGCAGGCAGGAAGCACTGGTCCTGGAAACCACATGGAACAAGCCTCGCGGAGACTTGAGCACCAGCTCTACCTCCAGGCCTTATGCCACATGCCATGGCGTTTCCTCATTGCCCAAATTGCTGACGTGCATTCTGTGACATGTCGCCTTGCATGCACTTCCGAAACATGGTCTCGGGTTCCATTAGAATGACGATCGACCCATACTTGGCATATTCTGTAACACTACGGGGCTGGACTTTCCATTTATAGACCACCAGGAGAGATTGAGAGACTGAGGAAGATGGAGAGTATGTTTGTTGATAAAGATAGAGCATTACTATTAGACGGTAAAGATGTCGATACATTTGACGTCCCGCCGTCTGGCTTCGGCTCGTAAAAGAACTAGAGATAGAAAAACCATTCCACCAGGTGAAATGCAAGAAAGAAGAAGGGGATATAGTGAGAGAACAGACAAAAGATCAAAATGCAGGTCGTCATGAAATCGGACCACCGCAAACGGACAGAAATGAAAACCACAAAATCGCAACCACTCCAGATACCTTTCCCTAATCACAGTACAAAAAAAGACATGTATACCTTACTTCCATCTTTTCCGCCGTCAACTCCTCTTCCAATGAAACTCCCGAGCATGTTAGAAATAAATGATCCAGCCGTCAAAGATGATGTTATAAATGGCGTGCAAATGTCGATGATATGCAATTAGAAACCTTGGAATGCCTTTGTCCACGTCGTTGTGATCCACAATCGTAATCATGAATGGAACAGATCCCACGCGCGGGAGCACAAGCGCAAGAATTCATCCCTCTTTTCCTGGTTGCTCATACCCGAGCGCCAGTCGGCACTCGCGTCAGGATGATATGTGGCTCGTTTGGCTTCCTGCTGTCCCAAAGGACTGCCATGTTCACGCTCGTATTCGTCGCGAGGGCGTCTTCTGCCAGCCATCTGTGATTGGCTGTGTTCCGACCTAAGGGCATCTACCCTTGCGGCTCCCGAGGCGTGAGGCGATTGACGCTGTTGGGGGTGAGGGTAAGATTGCGGGTGACCAGGATGTTGAGCTTGCTGACTCGAAGGCATAGGCGACGGAGGCGTGGGTGGTTGTGCGCCGCCATAATGGACGATCTTGGGCAGCAGATCTTCACGTCCACGAGACATTTCTTGTACGGCTTCTTCTGCACTTTTAAACTCTCTGCCGCGTCCCGTGAGCGGTCCCTGACTATGTTGGTGCTGCTCCCGGTGTGGCTGCTGTTGTTGCTGCTGTTGCTGTTGCTGCATCATGCCGGGACTCTGTAGCGGGGGAGGACCGATGCTAGGGGAGTGACCAGTCGCGAACATGGCGGTTGGCGGGCGAGCGGACGGAGGGGCTTGAAGACTATCATGAGCGAAGACGTCCGAGATTGGAGGAAGACGATTGGCTGTTTGTGTGGCAGGGACATGGTGAATATGGCTGGTTTGGCTAAGACCGCTGGGCTGGTGAGCGTGTGGGCGCAAGCCTGTGAATGAATGGTGCAATGGAGCGGACTGGATGACGCGCTCGTTGGAGAAGGTGGCAGCCGAGGGAGCGGTAATTGACAAGCCAGGCGGAGGACCTTTTCTACGCGATGTCGAGGGTGTCCTTTGGGGCATGCCAAATTGTGCTGATTCGGCTCCAGGGCCAGTGCCGGGAGCATCGACTGGAGGCTTCACGCCCTTCTGGCGCGCTTCGATTATCTGACGTTGCTGCTCTCTCACGTCCAGACTGCGTTGGAGCTGCGAGCGCATGGTTGGGTCTTGAGTCTGGAAGCCTGGCGACAGGCATGCAACTCCGAGATCGTGGATGGCAAGCCCTGCCGAGTCTCTGGCTGTCAAGGGTGCCGGCCGTGCAGTCTGAGGACCACGACCGGTAGCTCCGTGAACCGACAGGTCGAGTCGTCTTGGTCGAGGTTTTGCTGAGGGGTTGGGCGACGCTGGTGGCTCTTTCTTGATTTTTGTGACGGATCGCAATCCAGCAGCGCGAGCACTGTCGATAAGGATGAGTACACAGATGTCAAACTGAGAAGCAGAAGATATACCTTTTGGNNGAGAAACGTTGTCTTCAGCACTGTGTCTGGGGGCAGATCTGGGAGAGTGCTCGGCCGAAGCAGGCGCATTAGTACCTGGAGGAGTGGTTCTGGTTGCCATCGGTGGAGCAGAGGCAGCGAGATGGGCAAGGCTAGAAAGACCTTGGTCTCGGGGAACGGCGTGAGCAGCAGGAGCAGCAACAATGGTCGTCATGGCGCCGAGCAGAGGAAGCGGCGACGGCGACGATGATGTTGATAGTGTCAATTGACGGGCAGCTGCAGGGTCAGAAGAGGATCACGACCAGTGGACTCGAGGGCTGCGGGCACACACTATTGACGGAAGAGATGCGGCGATCGGCAGTCAGCGTTTCCCTTGCAAGCGCTGGTTATCGGGCAGGCGGCTAGGATACGAGTATTGGCACAATTGCTGGGAAGGACGAGTCGAGCTTTGGGGGAACAAGGAGCCCTGCGGGAATGGGGTGGGCGCAATGATGGATGATACCCAGGCAGTTGCAACAAGAGACAAAAAAGCACCGGGAAAAATCGGTCAGTCTGGGTCAATTCAAAGGGTTGACAGCCACGCGCGAGGGGCACGGCGGACGACGTCTCTAAATCTACGTTGAAGAGGGCAAGCGAGACGGCCTCTGTACGATTTAACCTGTGACAACCAGTGCTTTAACCTGTGACAAAAGCAGACTTAGCTTCCCCCCAAACCCAGCTGTTCCCCATATCCCTTACCCTAAAGGGAACCCCTGTGAACCAAAAGAGCATCATCATGGCAATGCCTCGAGGGCTTGGCACCGTTTCACTCTTGTCTTGTCCGCGGATCGTCTGCCATCGAACAGAACCACATTCATCTCTTGATGGCTTGACATTCTACGCTCTCCAAACACGTACCGCCTCACCAATCCATGACCGCCAACAGACCACCCACCCACCGTCTCACGACCGCGCAACATCTCGCAATGCGTGTCTCGACCAATGGCAATCTTGCAACATGCGCTGCTGCAGGCGCACGCCCCCTGCAAGTTGAAGTGAAACAATCCGGCTAGCGGGAGATCCCAGCGTTATGCGCCCGGAAGTCTGGATCTGAGCTAACTCTGTTCTGTTGACTCTCCTTTTTCTCCTTGGTCGTTGATGTGCTTTTGGTCCTTGTTGACTTGACCATAAAATTGATTTTACATGTGGCACGACCAGCTCTTCATCTTGACCGAAAGAGTGCTGTAGTTCGTTCGATATGCGGCTCCCACGCTATTATCTATTATCACAAGATAACAACGATGCAATTTGGGCGGCCTGCACCCTGACCTTCCGAACGTATTTGTCGAAACGGCATGATGCCATCTATGGTTTTGTCGCTCAGGCACCCATTTGCCTATTGTCCTTCGCATTCTAGTAGATACAAGGCCACACTTGTTGGGTTTTGTGTTTGCTGTCCAGGTTGGGAGAGCATCTCCTTGGTATTCGGGCCGCCAGCCCTGTCCATGAGGTGTTGGTTCAGGTTTTGTTCTCCTCGTCGGCATGACTTGTCTTGGACATGATTCGCACCCCAACCTCCCAAACGTTCTTCAAACGTTCTTCGCTGTATTGTGCATCGATGCAACCAAACCGGTTTTCATCACCTGCAGCTATCGCATCGTCTAGACACACCTCCGACGCCGCGCGTCTCACTGGCAGCCATATGCCTCCTCTGCATGTCCCAGCAAGCAGTTCATCGGCGAGCTTGTATCCATGAATTTGCATGAGTGGAGTCGTGGCTCTAGGGCTCGATTGCGTCTTCAATAAGTTACCCCTCGTGTTTGAAATCCACTCAATTTGGGCGTGTCTTTTGCCGAGGTGCGCTGTCAGGACTCAGAACTTGACCACTTTCTTGCAAATTTGTTCGCCCAAAAGCAACTGTGTCGGCGTCTCTGAGTAGCGCATCCTACTCGCTCGCGCCAAGAGCCTGTTTTAAGCAGGTGATGGGCAGGCGACTGCATCTGACTCAACAATCATCATTCACCAACAGCAACATGAGTTAATTAGTCCATATAATAATTTCCGCGCGTCTCCTCACCTTCGGGTTCACTAAGTAACGTATCGTAGATGACATCTTCTCATCCAAATTGTTCACACTGTACAGTCCCTTAGCGGCGCCTGGCGCTTGTTGCGCACACATGTTTTCTATGTACATCGCTTGCGCATCGCTTGCGGCAATCTCGACCATCCTGGTCACCTCACCCAGAATATTATACCCGGCTTGCCGACAGTCGTGCGGCTCAACTCGAATGTCGGTCTGATCGACGACAGGCCGTAGTCGTTTCAGCATCGTTTGACTGCTGGTATATTGTGGGGACATTATCGGTCCACTGATACCCTCTACAAGAAACGTACGATACGAAACACTTACTACAAAGCAGGCTCACCTACAGACATAACCGCAACGTGAAGCAAAACAACGGTCTGTCAGAAGACTCAATACTGAAGACATGCCTCAGCTTCGTAACTTCTCAGGTGTATCACAACAAGGTAGTAGTACAACGCCTAGGGCACGTATCAATCATTAGTATCGACCGATTCTCACGCAGAAACAATCTCGAAACCAATATTAAGATGCTCGAGAAGGATTGGCTTATTAGTGGTGATCGATTCGCAATGCTCACAAATTGCAATGTCAATCTTTGTGATTTTCATTTCCCGCACAGATTGCGACTCGTCGAAGAGGCACCAATATTTTCCCCAGCCGTTCGTCACAGATCAAATGTAGCTCATGAAATTACGAGCGGATGGAATGAAGCAATCAAGATGGCAACCGTCGATTTGACTTTCGGATGTCGTTGCGACAAGTCATGTGTAGCCGACGGTAGCTCCTTTCACGAAACACATAACTTCATGGCTCGAACATGGTAATCGCTTGACTCTTCTCGCTGCGAAATCATCGCGAGCTTCTGCTGCTGACTGACTTGATGGAGATGATCTGCGTCTCCGATACTGTCGCTTATGATTCGTCTTCTCCAACCTTAGTTTTGGACGGATGTTTAGTCGATGCTTCGGGCTATGTCATGTATCTGTTGTGGGAGCGAGGCATCCCTAAAGACATATGTATTGATGATGAATAAGACCTAAAGCATGACCCTCGAATCTCTTCGGCCTGTTAACGACAGTCGAGTCTTGTTCAAGGTAACGATATATGTGAGACTGATACCTGGATATGCGGAACATAAAAGGTGATGGGGAGTCAGATCGTGGTTAAATAGATACAATGGTCCGATGGTTCAAACCCCAGACGCATGACGATTTGCGGTGTCACGTCTAGGAACATGAGCGATACTTGTTATCGTTGGCCTACCAGACCTTTTAGCGGTAGGCAGACGCCAAGCCTTGAGTAGCTATATCATATAATGCACAGTTGCTCTTGGGGCCTCATGTTGCCTTTTGACCGGTGTGTTGCATCACATACCTGGACAGATTCGCATCGTCAGGAATTTCGGAATGACCGAGGAGCTTGTGATCCGCAGAGTGAATGGCTAGGTATCATTAACTGGCGATGTTGGTCCAGAGCGATCCGGCAATCTTTAGCTCCTCCTGGGGCAAGGGAAAATCCAATCATCGAGTATGCCTCTGTGCATCCTGTTCAGTCAAGCGAGCCCTCCTGAACAACGTGCCAATAGCCAACCTATGAGATCTACCATGGTTACTGTCTACGGAATACGGTGCTCCGGATAAGCGCTTCTGGACAAACCATCTGATAAGCTCGCCACCGACCAGCGAAGAGAAAAGGCCCGGGTATTTGTTCCATATACAAGCCGTTTCTTGCGCAACATCATCTGATGATTGGCTTGGGTGGGCTGGGATCCTTTACACAACTTTTCTGACGGCAGCCCCACAGAGGATAGATACGCTCGCGCGCTTGGACCCTGGACAATCTGCCCAATCTTTTCGCACACAGATACTCCGAATCAGAGGCGCGTGCCTTGAAACTTGTGCCTTCTATATGTGAGACTTTTCACAGATCATGAACCGCCTGAGCTCTGGTGTTGAGGCCAAGATAACTTCAAAAGCCTATCTGCCTTGGGCTTACACACAAGATATGCGCCACCATGAAAGAAGACTTGAGAAGAGTCTCTTGTCACCACTTCTATCTCTTGGCGAGCCTACGCATTATCTGCAGTTGCAGGCAAATTAAGCCGGCAGCCCGTAGCATGACTTGGCAACTCCTTCATCCGGAATCACTTCACTCCAGAGTGTTCATCAGAGGCTATCTCGCCTATCTCTGAAGGTCGTCAATTCTGGACGTAACTAGACCTCGCCTCTTGTTCTCAAATTAGTATGGATACCTAGAGGATTATCAGTCGAGCTACGCAAGAGAACCACCAACACAAGTGTGCTTCCAGGGCTTGAGAGCGAACAGTCGAGGCTGATCCTCCACACACGACTGCTCACCCCAGATGAACTACAATTTTCCAGGACGATTGTCTTGGTGCATGTATGTGTGGGTCACATTGGATGTTCGGCTGCTACCACGCTCCGTCGACCGTTCTGGTCCAGCAGATCTTCCGTATTAACCAGTGGACATAACCACTGTAGCGAATCACAGCCAGACCCGCTATCAATGTGCACCTTTGTCCTACTCTTGAGTACACTGAGACAGAGTACATCGGCGGTCGGGAAGTCCTCACAAGTAACCCACTGATGCGACGTGCTACAGAAATGGCACCAGCCATATACGTCAAGCTATCATCGCCAGAATTGCCTCCACACTTCTTCTGTTGCAGCTTTCGATGCTTCTTTGCACGTCGGTTGGCTTATCAGTACGGCGAGAAAGGCCAATCACAGACCAAGTCTCCTGATAAATTTATAGATTGTCAATCATTGACCTTCCAATTGAGGTCTTGCCCATCTTCAGCTATCTTCAAAGGAGCATGGCCCGTCTGTATTGTACCAGACGTATATAAATATGACCTTCGTCTAGCATACTGCACTGAATCATCATACTTCTCTAACAGTCTACTGTTCCACCAGCTGTCCCGCCAAAATGCCTGGCTTTCTCACGAAACTGGGACTTGGTTCGCCTGAGATCAGCGAAGGTATCGCTCTTGACGAGATCCAGAGCTCTGGCACATCTAGCCCCAAGGGCGAAAAGGACGAGAAGAACCTTGGTGTTTCATCGGCACACGAATTGTCAGAGGCAGAGGCTGCTAGGCGCTTGAAAGGTTAGTATCTCTTGTGTTCCTGATGATCTTGATGCTAATTATTTCCACCAGTCTTCAAGCACAATGCTGATGCACTTTGGGATCCTAACCTTGAGAGTGATGATCTTCATGCAGTTGACGAAGCTGTCGAACATCATGACAAGGATGGCGAGAATCATCTTGTGAACGAGCTTCTGGAGAACAGTCCTTACCCAGAAGTCAGAGCTGCCGTCAGAAACTACGATGTTGATCTGTAAGCTTGGTTGAGCGTCTTTTGCATGTGACTTCAGCTAACCATAGCCAAGNNCCCTTGCAACACTATTCGCATGTGGGTCATATCACTTCTGATGACTACTATCGGCTCCGGTCTGAATATGCTTTTCTCTCTACGTTCGCCTTCAATTACGATTACATCCTATGTTGCGCAACTCATCGTCTATCCCGTCGGTCTTGGCTGGGACAAGATCATGCCAAACCGACAACACACAACTTTTGGTGTCAAATGGAACCTCAACCCTGGCCCTTTCAACTTCAAGGAGCACGCTATGATCGTAATCATGGCCAACGCCTCGTTTGGAACAGGTGTGGGATATTTCACCGACATCCTTCAAGCTCAGCGCGGCTTCTACAAGTTCAATTGGGGTTGGGGATTTGGTGTGCTTGTTGCTCTGAGCACCCAATGTGTTGGCTTTGGTCTTGCTGGTCTCTTCTCTCGCTGGCTAGTCGAGCCGGCTCCTATGATTTGGCCTCAAGATCTAGTCAATTGCGCCTTCATGTATACCCTCCACGACAACTCCAAGACAGATCCTGCAAGGACAAACGGTTGGTCCATCTCTAGGTATCGCTGGTTCTTCTATGTCTTCCTGGGTTCGTTCCTGTGGTACTGGTTTCCTGGCTACATTGCTCAGTTCCTAAGCGTCTTCGCATTTCCTACCTGGATCGCGCCCAACAACATCACTGTCAACAAGGTCTTCGGAGGCTTCAGTGGCATGGCACTCCTGCCTCTCACCTTCGATTGGACTCAAGTTACTGGATATGTCTTCAGTCCTCTTATTCCTCCGTGGCATGCCATCGGTAATACGCTGATTGGTCTTGTCGTTTTCTATTGGATCACGAGTGCAGCTGTACACTTCAGTGGAACCTGGTATGCCGATTACTTGCCATTCAGTACCTCCAGCTCTTACGATAACACNGGTAAGTATTCTATAATCAGTTCTTGTTTCTATACTAACGTATTATAGGCACAAACCTACAACGTTAGTCGGATCTTAACGCCGCAGATTACTCTGGATCTTAAGAAGTACGAAGAGTACTCTCCTCTTTTCCTGTCGACTACATTTGCCCTCTGCTATGGCCTTTCGTTCGCTGCGATCTCCGCTGTCGTTGTTCATACTATCCTCTTCCACGGTAAATTCATCCTCGATAGATGGCGACGTTCGCGTGATGATATGCGTGATGTACACCAGGAGATGATGGACAAGGTAAGTTGCGCACCCCAAAACGATCCCACTTGTCTTCGAAGTCTGACTCCTCTTNNCAAGTACCCAAAAGTGCCTGCTTGGTGGTACATAACCTTACTGCTGATCTGTATTGGACTCTCCTTCGCCACTATCTATGCTTATCCCACTGAGATGAGCTGGTGGGCTTTGATCCTTGCGTTCATCATCAGTTTTGTGTAAGTTAGATCTGTGCCTTAGCCCTAGGGATCTGTGCTTATAACAACTATGCTAACGAAACATCTAACAGGNTGGTTCTTACCCATTGGGTTTATTCAAGCTATCACTAACGTTCAACTTGGGCTAAACGTCTTCACCGAGTTCTTGATCGGATACATGCAGCCAGGCAGACCCAACGCCATGATGTTGTTCAAGACTTACGGTTACATCACCATGACACAAGGTCTTGCCTTTACCCAAGATATGAAGCTCGGTAAGCATATTAACACATGCCATCTTGTGAGCATAATGCTGACGATACTTCTACANGGTCACTATCTCAAGGTTCCTCCAAGGACAATGTTCCTGGGCCAATTGGTCGCGACAATATGGTCATGTATCGTGCAGCTTGCAGTCTTCGAGTGGGCCTTCGGTGGTGGTATCAAAGACCTATGCGCTCTTCACCAGGTCAATCACTTCACTTGTCCTGGAGGAAGAGTCTTCTACAACGCCAGTGTAATCTGGGGAGTCATTGGTCCCGCACGCATGTTCAGCGGTGATGCCACCTACAAGAATCTTCAGTGGTTCTGGCTAGCTGGTGCTGCTGCTCCAGTCATCTTCTTCTTTGCGGCCAAGCAGTGGCCAAAGTCACCCATCCGCTTCCTCAGCGCTCCTCTAATCTTCGGCGGCACTGGACAAATTCCACCTGCCACACCATTGAACTACTTGTCATGGGGTGTTGTTGGCTTCATCTTCAACAAGTGGATTCGCAACAGATACAGAGGCTGGTGGATGCGCTTCAACTACATTACATCAGCTGCCCTTGATTCCGGTCTTGCTATCTCAACCATCTTGATTGTTCTGACAATCAGTTTGACCAATACCGACGCACCCAACTGGTGGGGCAATGTTGCTATATATAACACCATGGACAGTCTGGGTACAGCTGTATCAAAAGTCCTACCCGAAGGTGCTACCTTTGGTCCTTCTTCGTGGTAATGAGGACGAGACGAGTTTCAACAACCGAAGGGTCTTCAATTCCAGGAATGGCTTCTTGAGAACGAGATGTTTTGCGTCTCATGTTTATAATTTGTTGATAATGATTTGATACTCTGTTCTTGTTGGTATGATGCATTCTCTTCCTGATAATACCTCTAGCCATGAATACAGCTTGGTTCTCTATTCTCTCATGCTAAGTGTGCTCACTGCGCATGCTCCGCACGTGTGTTTGTGCGATTCTGGAAGTGCTGTGACTATACCATCTGCTTCTTCTCACCTGGCTCCAATCCTTTGGCCAGGTCCAATTTCCACGGCGGGTTTATACCATCGTTGAACATGGCATCGGTAACATCCTGACACCAATCCTGTTGTGACTTCATTCCGCGAGCCTCAAAGTATCTGAGTGCAAATACCAACGGCATGAAAGTGGCGAAGCGGCCCATTGATGCAGCGTCCGGCTCGCAAAAATATGGCATCATCTGACACATGTAGATGGCGATCTGCAGGACTCGCTTGTTCAAATCATCGAGCGAGATGGTGCATTTGCTACCAGGGTATTTCATCAAGACGTCCTGAAGCGTGCACTCGATAGTGAAGAGATAGAGCCAGTATATCGACTGAAGATAACCCGTGAGAAAATCAGGGAAGTCGATGGCTAGTGGGAACAACTTGTTATGGCATAGTCGTGTGAATCTTTTGAATCTCGATACGTCAACGTTCGTGAAGCCTGGATCCTTGAGCTCAGAGTGATAACCGGCCTCCCAGTCTTGGAGTTGCTCGATGGCAGTGACCAAGTCTGCAACCACCCCGCTCAGATAGGTAGGTTCGGCACTCGCGATCAAGTTATCGGCACGCTCGAAAAGGCCCGGTATGTGTACTAAGATATCGAATAGACGAGGCGATGAGTCCGTGTAAGGTGTGTTTTTCGTGACTGCCAACCATTTTGGTTCTGCAAAGATGATGGCCTTGCGTTTGAGAACACCTTGAAGAANTCTTGGGTCGTCAGTATTTAGTATACTTGTATCGAGAATAGTACCTACAGAAGAATGTCTGGCATGGAAATATAGCATGTTATCCAGTTCTGTCTTTAGTGGGATGGGTCCCCGCTGCACTAAGAAATTTTCTACTCCATTCACATGGCTGATCCAGCTTCCTTGCTGCGCTACAGGTCGGAATAGNNCTTATCATGTGTGTCAGTCAAAAGGCTTGGGCTGCAAATTGGAGAGACATACCTCACAAAACTCGAGTATCTTCATGGCACTCAGAACATCATTGTTACCAAGCACATTTGGCTTGTTGAGTGCAACCACCAATGCTGTCAACGCCTGTCCATACCTTCGGCGTGCATGTTCGAAGAATGCCTGGTCTTGGTACGATACACCAAGTTGCAACAAGCTGATTGTGTCGATAGCTGCAAGCAATGCAGGTGAAGACTTGGAGGTGATGGTCTTCTGTATACATGAAAAGTCGGAGATGTGAGCGCGCATTGGCTGTTCGTCCAGGGTCGTAGGTCGATACAATCTCATGCTGACATCGAACATCTGCGAACGATTGGTTGCAGCACTGAAGATAGCCTGCGGAATGACTGTATAATCGGTGACCGCAGGCTTCTGAAACAGACTCAACTCCCCGACCTTCTTGGTAGGTGGAGCACCGCTGTCGGAATCGCTACTGTTTTCGGGACTGCTGCTGTCAGAACCACTTCTCCATCCCCTTTCTACACGCTTTGTCACAGCCTGTGTCTCGTCGCGCCATTCCAGTCCGTCAGGTTTGATCCCTCGATAGCCCGGGCATGGCGTATTGTGAATCTGGCATTTCTTGCATCCTGGACGACCTTCGTCGCATTTGATTTTACGTTTCCGACAATTGGCACAGCCAGTCGACCGTGGCGCCATCACAACGAGTCCATGAGAGAAGCGCGAGAGAAAGGATTAGGGGAAGAGACTGTTTCGTGTCTCCTCTCCGACGACGTGCGAGTCGCAGCGACCCGGCACGGTGGGCGGCTAAATCGATCTATCGTATTCTTGGGCTGGCTGGGCTTTGCTATCCACGACGGACGCCAAAGCTGACCGCATACAGGCTAAGTTATTAACATAGTCAAACTTGCTCCCGTCAAACAGGTCGGTTAGCTCAGTTGGTTAGAGCGTGGTGCTAATATCTGATGATAAACGGCACGCCAAGGTCGCGGGTTCGACCCCCGTACTGACCATCACATTTTCTTTTGCCCGATTGCAGGTTGCTTGGTGTCTTTTTGTTTGTTTCCTCGGGCAGAAGACCCCTGTCCGACTAGATCCAAGAGCAGCAACGAAAAGTACAGCCTTGACGCGCCGTGCATCATCAAATATTAGCACCACGCTCAACCAACTGAGCTAACCGACCTGTTTGATGGGAGCGAGCTAGGTAGGCCTGCTAAAGCAGGCCAGTAACGCTCTCCGAGGGTCTGTCTCAAGTCTCGACCGCTTTCTTATGCTATGTGATTCACGAAGGTATGTGTATCATTGTCTTGAGACTAATGGTCTGCTTAACAAGAGTTTCTGAAATCCCTTTCTGAGGATGGAATCGTTCTTGAACAGTACCGTGCATCGTTGTAACTACTTTGCAAGAGGCAGGGAAGGAATAGCGACCTCTCATTTTGCCTACCAGAAATCATACGGCCGAGAGAGGACAGGTACTTTTGAGTCCTCACGCTCCATCCTCCGGACAAATGAACTGCTAATATGCCGTGAGTTCATTCTAGATGCTTCGTGTTCACTATGATAGTTTTCTCATTCAATGTTTCACTCGGAGCTGCAGGCGTGCGGCCGATGGGCTCTCACTGCATGCGTACTCTGATGTCTACTCTTGTAAGCCTTGTCAACACTAGATACACAGATACATAAGCTGAGAGAGCTATCATGTCTGCAACCCGTATATTGGACCAGATCAAATTGAACGCCTCAGAAGCAGGACAGACCTTGGAGCTGCTAGGCCTATGGATTATGGGAAGAACAGTGTTAGTTGGCCAAAATTTGCGTTGAAACAGATTTGAACACCATGGCACTTCGTGCAAACTGATAGCTGCAACAAGCGAATGATAATCTTGACATAGGACACATATATATACATTAAAGGTAAGGATTATAAAATCAGCAGAACCAAGTCGGATCAGCTCGAGTAGAGCGAAGGACACATCACAACGTTCTATCCACTCGATGACCTCAAGTCTCCAAGCCCCAAGCAGGGAACTTCGCACCCAATGTGCCGTCGCAAGGGAACTGCACAATATCGACCGAGGAGCTTCCCGTGCCCAACCCCTTGTTGGACGCCAATACTGCGCTTCCGTCAGGAGCATAGATGTTGAAGTCCAGCTCACCTTGGCCTCCACCGTTCGCGTATACAAGACGTACTGAGTCGATGTTAGCTGTGTTCGGGAAGCAGTGAATGGTTCGAAAACTTACTGGGAAGGTAGCTTCCTGTGGTAAGGTAGACAGCAATAGTCTGAGGCGTCTGCGAGCCAATCTGGCTACTCCAGAACTGAACAATGTCGGCATTGTCTCTGGTCCACCCGGATACAGCTTTATCGCCATACCACACCAGCTGGATATCATCCGTGTATGGAATGTTGAAGCTGTAATATCCGTCTTGACGAGCGAAAAGGTAGAAGGTGTGGTCAATGACCCAGTTTTGGGATGGAGCTTTTGGCCGTAGTAAGCTACATTGCTGCTTCCACTGTTGACTTCAGCAATGTAGTTTGTCACGCCAGTCTGCGTGGGTTTGGCAGACTTGTAGACGGTAGGATTGAACTTGGGGTAGCCGTAAGTGCTTTGGCCGCCAGCGAACGAATTCGTATAGCCGGCGTAAGCAATTCCGGTATTGCCACATGTCGTGACAGGAGTGGGATAGATGATCTGGACTGTGGCAACTGTGCCGACTGTTGGAAGGAAGGTCTTGGTTTGGACGGCGGTGAATGTGCCCGAGTCTGTAGTTGAAGTCATGTAGACGTAGCCGCCTGAAGTAGGAGCAGACGAAGCAGTAGTCTGGACCACACCGGGAGTGAGAATGATGACAGTGGCAGCCAAGCCATTGAGTTGAGTTGTTGTGGAAGTTGTTTTACCCGTCCAAGCTGAACTGATGGTTGTGAAAGAGACAGTGGCCTGAGCGGAGGATGAAGGAGTCTTAGTCGAGGTAGCAAGAGTATTGAGAGTGGGTGTTGGGATGGTCGAAGAGCTCGAGGCTGAGCTGGCAACACCGCCAATGGCAGCAGTGGCTGCTCCTGCTAGGTTTCCGAGGGCACTAGTGGTAGCGCTGACAGCAGATGTAGCTCCTGTAACGATGCTGACTTCTTTACAAACGGCGATTCCATTTGCAATGTCTGCATTTACCGATGTTCGATTGAAGTAAGCATCAATACTGCGTATCTGGAAAACAGAATCATCGTTCCCGTCTGACCAAGCATTCCAGAGCCAAAGACCAGGGCTTGCCTCACTAGCTGTGCTATCAACAAGATTGCCGTCGATGTAATAACTGGTGCTTCCAGGTAGCCAGTCAACACGATACTCGTGCCAAGCCGAAGATGCATCAGAAACCACGGAAGTGTCGTAGGTAGAGTGATAGTCCAGCCAATTGAGGTCGATCTCCATGGTATCGCTTCTGAACGAGGTAAAACCAGTGGCATTACTCAACAGAATGACAGCTCTGACACTACCGTACAAGATATCGTTGTAGGAAGTATAGAGCTGAGTGCTGGAACTCATTGCCGCTTCGACTGATGCAACTGCTGCACCGGCTCCGGAAGCAAGGGATCCAACTGCACCCACAGCACTATTTCCTGTCGTTGTCACTGACTGACTGACCGAGGAAGGCAGAATTCTGAAAGAGAGAGAATTGGAGAAGAGGGAGAAAAGACTACCAAGACCTCTCTTGACTTTGCTGCTTGTTGTAGTAGTCGAGGAGCTGGTAGATCCGACGGTATACGCAGAGGACACGATACCGGTCAGATCTTGCGTGACACCGGTTGTCCAATCTGCAACCCATCTGGTATTGAACTCTCCTACACCGTCGACGGTGTAGTAGCAGTTCGAGTACACGCCGGCTTTCGACGATTTGAGCGTGGAACTCGCTGCTGCGGGACCAGTAGACGAGACTACGGCAGACGATGTTGACGCTGATGATGAGGGAGGATAAGATGACTGAACTGGTTGGAGAGTGAACGATAGACGAGGTTGAGATCGAAGAAAGTGATGTGGTCGTGCCAGTGCTTGCGCCTGTGCCACAGAAGATACCGAGAAAGCAAGAAGCGGGAGCCATACTGTCAAGTCATATAATGAATGTGTAATAATGAAATATTGCAAAGAACGTGGAGCCCTTGGGCGGTAGAGGAAGAGAGCGTTGGTGCACAAGGTATAGTGATGCAAGAGCAGGAATGAGCCTCATGGACCTCTCAACTTACATACTTATATACTTGTTCTTCGTACAGTCCTCCCAGGACTCCTACATGGATCTCGGATTAGGGCAACTCAGACATCGCAACGGTATAACTGAAAAGCATAACCGTCAGCACAAGCGTCGGCACTTGGAGTAGACGTTGAGAGAAGAACCCGTGTGTTCATGATTCAGAGGCAAGCGAGCCGCTGTGACCTCGTGAAAACTACTCGGCATATTCACAGCTTGATAGCTATCAAGCTTATACTACTCTTCCGGGTGGTACTATCTAACTGGGCTCTTGAGCCTGCGAGTTGATGTGGATGGTGTTTGCGCAATGCGAAAGCTGTTGCGGTATGGACTGCCGAAACAACTTGCAGGGCTTAGGGCGAGCTTGCAAGACAAGGGCTGAACCGGATCAACAGACGCCTTCTGTCCTTCTACGGTCGCGCAGATCCAAGACAGAAGCCGAGAGAGCACGGCATCGCCTTGTAGTTGGTAAGCATCAATACCTGCCTATTGGGCGTTTGTGTACAGTAACAACGGCGAAGGAAGTTGGCGTTCAACAAGACGGAAAGCCCGATTCAGTTCGAGGCTCGGCTTACGGCCAGCGTTTTAAGAACCACAGCATCCATATTTGTATATCTCACGACTCGCGTGAGACCACTCTATGGGTGTAATTCTTAGGTTCGTCGTCATTTGATTCAGTATTGTCTTTAGGGCTTGTCGTCCCGTGCATAGGGCTTTGTTCCGTAACAGTTTCGGAAAGAAGCAATAGCAGTACTATTGATGAAGAGGTGAATCTATGTCTATAGGGCAGCCTTAGTTAGGCCAAATCTAGTGTCTATTCCAAAGTCCCACCCAAACGCCAAGTGGTAGTGATCCTTCGCCGAGGTCCCTACGATATCCTTGAGTGAAAAGAAATCTATAGTGTTCCAACACGGTATCAGCCCCATTAGAACTTATAGGGTGATTCGGGGTTGGCATCGAGCATCGGTTTCAGTGTTGTCTCGGCCTTCTCAAAGGTCTTTTGATATGCAGGTCTTTCTCCAATCTCTTTCAAGTACCTTAGAATGCTGGGGTAGGCGCTAAGGTCGATAGGTACGAAGGCCCTCTGAGTGGTAAGTGGGAAGACCATCTGAATATCGGCGGCGGTAAGCTCGTCGCCAACGAGGAATCTCGACTTGCTTAGGCGTTGCTCGATCAAGTCAAGATAGTGACTGATCCTTGAGTTGGCCACCTTGAGGCCAGGATGGTCCTCTGGAAGTGATGTAGCGAGCAACAGCATTTGACATGTAGGTTGGAACGAGCCGTGCGTGAAGTGCCNACCTGGAAGCAGTGTTAACACAAGTTACTCCGTTCAAGCATCGTCAGGATGCTTTTCTTACCAGAACAGCCACTCCTTCCAGTTGGGATCCCAAGGTTTGTTCAACAAACGTCCTTGACCGTGTTTTCTGCAAATCCATTCGATACATGCCTGAGACTCTGCTAGGCGAATGTGGTCGTGGTTTGGTGTGTAGGTATCAACATCCTCAATCACGGGCGCCGTTCGCAACGGACTGAGTTCCTTGTATAAATCGGGAGCTAGGAGGGTCTGCTGGTCGCGGTCGTGGCATACCAGCTTGTAGTCAATTCCGAGTTCTTCACAAAGCCAGACGACGCATTCAGATTGACTGGTACGCAGGTGGTGGACCACAAGAGTCGAAGACATTGCTAGTATGAACGTAAAGAAGCGGCGTGGTAAATCTGTGCAGAAGCTGAAAAGATAGGAAGGTCTATCTAGGTAATTCATGGCGGTACAGGGCTATATATACCTTGTACGGACTTACGGTGATAGCATTGCACTCCCAAACCCTAAGTGCGATGAAATGGTGATTGACTCGATCGTGTCAGGTGGTCGAGCAGGCCGGTGCTCCACTTGTGCAGCAGTCGCGAGTCTTTTGGCGGTGCCTCTTTCCCTCAACGGAGCGCGAAGGATCATGATCACAAGCAAATGGATCGACTGGCGAATCACAGCCATGAAACGAGGACCGCCTCAAATCCTTATCCGATGTTGAACAACAGCGACTCCTTTGGCGAACAAAACAAGGATCGAAGGTTGAAACATGAAACGAGAGCCGAAACGTCATTGACAGAGCTGCGACCCAGACGCACGTGTCAATCCCACTTGCCCGCCCCCACTACTTAGAGTACAATACTCGGGAGTGTCAACATCCGCTCTACATTGCAGACCGACTCTCTTCAAAACCGTCTCTCTTCAACACTTGTGATGGAGAATGTGGTTTGCTATTTCCATCTGGATACCGCGAAGAAAACTGTCTGCCAATGACCATTGTCAAGCATCCAATGGTAGACGCCAATCATACGGCCGTTGCGTGAGACTCCCTACTAGGAACTACCAAGTCGTAATGTCGTGAATTCCTCCCTTCCCCCTCACCCATGCAGATCAAACTCCACAATGCAAAGCAGCCATTCCCGATAGGCGAAGAGGGGTCTACGACTCTTCAAAGTCAGGGTTGGCGATCATCTNCCTAGCCTCACGCGCGCCAGCAACAGCAAGCTCATCAGCAGCGATGTTGCCCTCGTTGGTGGCATGTCCCTTGACCCATACGAACTCGACCTTGTTGATGCTGCTGATTTCTTGAGACATGTTCTTCCGCTGTTCAATCAATGCCAGAATCTTCTCAATCAGATCCTTGTTCTCGACCGGCTTCTTGGAGGCATTGAGCCAGCCATTAGCTCGCCATTTGACGAACCACTCGGTCACACACTTGATCGAGTAGTTGCTGTCAGTGTAGATGGTGACAGGGCGATTACGCGGGGCAATCTCGAGAGCACGTTGTATGGCGGTGAGTTCAGCACGTTGGTTGGTTTGACGAGTACCAGACAGAGGCTCGGACAGATNTGCTGCAAACTGTATCAGCGGTGGGTGACCGTAACGCTAAAGGTGCATATCATACCGCTTATCCTTGGGGCCAAAGTAGACTCCAACTCCTGCAACAGCTCCATGAGCTCCATTACCAAGGGAACTGCCGTCGGTGTAGATGATGATTGGCTTGTCGTCTTGAAGGTTGACGGCCTGCCACTTGGTTGTGGGCTCTTTGTACTCGACCTTGCCAGTCAAAGGGTTCAGTGTGATGCGCGGATCAAAGCCATCTTCAGCACCTGCAGGCAAGGGACCTTCTCCGGCACTGTATTCAACCAGATCCTCGTTTTCTTCTGTCTCCTTCTTCTGCTTCTTTGTTGGAGGGCTTGGTTGTGAGAGCTCCTCGGATGCTCTCTTTAACTGAGGACCGTTCTTGAAGAAGCTTTGTGCCTCTTCGCGAGTTTTGAATGATTTGTAGACGGCACCCTTGAAATCTGTTATTGTGTTTTGCGCATCTGCCCATGAGGTGTAGACGCCTGGCTTGTGGCCTTTGTGCACTCCGTAGAACTTTGTGGGTTTGCCGGAAGCCGTTGATGATGTGGAACTTGTGGTGTCGGCGCCATTTAGCCACGCTTTGGCTTCGTTGAGTATAGGGAATGACTTGACNNTGGATTGAGTCAGTCTTGTTCAAGATCATCAAACTGATGGCTACCCACAAGCGGCGCCCTTAAATCCTCTGACTTGCGCCAGACATTCATCCCAGCTGTGATAGATGCCGGGTTTCCGTCCAGCTTTGACGACGTAGAACTTGGCGGGCATGTTGCGATTAAAGATGTCGGATAAGGATGTGAAAGACAAATATCTGGTTTGAAGCGCGTGTTGCGCCCTCGGTGAGCGCAGCGTTGCGACAAAGTCGACTGCTCGTGTTCGATTAATCTTGATCGGTGTTTTCTGGTGCTAGTTATAAGTGGAGGCGGATGCGATAATGTGAATGTTTGGTTTGATGGTCTTGGTTGCAATGTTGATCGATTGCCAAACGCGGAATTGATTGATGCTGCGACGCCTCACCGCCTTTGGCGTCATATCTCTTGTAAGCAGCATGACCCTGTCCGTGACCATCTGTCGACATTGCTCAAGACCAAGCAAGGCTTTGACTGTAAAGAGTTGCTCGGTGTGTTGACGGAGGGTCCATTAACTCACTATACCCAACAAACTTGGAGTCTAACTCGTATTGACGTTGTACGCCGGTTCTGCATCCATGATAGATCTGTCGGCTGCCTTCTGGCCGGGTACCATATGGAATCTTGTGATCTAACACCAACAATACAACACGTTTATCTACTTGCATTCGAGCGAAGAGGCGATGGAAGCAAAGTGTATCTTGATCCAGTCAAAGTACTACAAATGACTCTTGATAACAAACACCATTGTCCAAAGAGATGTTATAAGGCTTCACGAAGAAGTTTGCGGGATCATTTATAAAGCCACAGAAACGATGCTACCCAGTAGTATCCAAATAATACAAGAGCTACCTAGATGCATACGGCCTACTATAGCTGCAAGTTATAGGTGTAATCATCTTCCATGTTCTGCGAAACCCAAAGGACGACAGAGCTAGGCATAGTTAGTACTAAACCTGGAAAAGCGCAACGAGTGGCATACCTGAGAGAGACCAAAACGTTGGCGATGACATTGGCGACACCGAACCAGAGAGTAGGGAAGGTGTATTGCGGAACAATGTACTTGAGGACCATGACGGTGACACCGCCAGCGAGACCACCAGCCATAGCAGCGAAGCCCATGAACAAGACAACGCGAGCCTTCCAGGCGACACCATCACCGCTGTAGCTGAAGTTATCGGCAGAAAGACGGGTCTTGTCGATCGAGTTGACGATAAGCATGCCGAGGGCACTGAAGATGACGGGAATCCAGTCGATAAAGGTCATGTGTACGTCGGAGCCATTGAGGGCAGATTTGGAATAGATGGCGGCATCAAGGAAGACGAAGAGGGCGATAGCAAACTGTAGCGGCCATGTTAGCTGTGGCTCGAACAGTCGTGTCTAGGTCAATGTACCAANGGCTCCAGCAAAGTAGACGCCGGCGGTACGGGTAGTGGCGCTGTTCATCCATTGCGGCTTGCGAAAGGGCAAGCGGAAGACACGTTCACTGGACATGGCGATAGGTAAATACAGAGAGCGACGTGAGGTGGTATAGCAGCTGTGCGAGTTGCTCCCGTCGCAAGCATCAAAGCACGCAGTACGCAGCACGACGTAGCGTCGGTCTCTCGGTCTCGGGGTCCGGTCTCGCCGCTCACCGCCCGCTCTCCAATATCTTGGCAATCTTTTGTTCTGCCAAACTTGGTCTGAAATTCTCGACTCGCAGTGCTCGGTAAACTTCATCAGCATACTCGACACATCTCACATACGCAATGGCACCTACGAAATCTACAAAGGGCGGCCCATCCAAGGGCGCCAAGTCCGCATCCAAGTCCGCCGATCGTCCCAAGCCAAAGAAGCCTACTGGTCCTAAGCCAAAGACTGTCGAGCAAAAGTCCAAATCCACTTCCCACGGCCCTGCAAAGAAGAAGAAGCGCGTCTACACAGAAAAGGAGCTCAACATCCCTACCCTCAACGGTATCCGCCCTGCTGGAATCCAGAAGCCCAACGGTGTCAAGAAGGGAAAGACCTTTGTCGATGATAAGGAGTCTTTGATGACCATCCTCGCCATGGTTCAGGCCGAGAAGGAAGGAAACATTGAGAGCAAGATGATCCGTGCTCGTCAGATGGAGGAGATCCGTGAGGCTAGAAAGGCTGAAGCTGAGAAGAGAGAGGCTGGCCGCAAGGAGAAGCTGGTAAGAACCTCAGCCACATCCAACATGTCAAACCACACTGCTCACACGAACACAGGAGGGAGTCAAGGATGAGCTCCGCAGAAAGAAGAACAAGAAGGGCGCCAAGTCATCCGATGCCGACATGGATGTCGAGCCTGCCGCTGAGAAGCCCAAGAAGAAGAGAGTCTCATTCGGTTGATCTTGATTGCTCGCTTGCCTGCCTCTTGTCTATTTTCGCGCACGATACCCACGTCTATCCATCTACCTTCATCTTCTACTCTGGAAGGTACATTTTCCTGCGCATCGGTTCAAAAACGAACGGACTCTTGAATCCGGTCTCTGATGTGGCTTTGTTCGTCATCTCCGACAACGTGCCCGTCGGGCCATCCTTTCTACCGCTCTCATACTCGCGCGCCATCTTCTGAAGAAAGTTGACTGNCCTGTCACAGTGTCAGCACGCCAGAAGTTCAAGTGACGCACACAGAAAACATACCGGCTTGGAGAACCATCTCGTTCCGCCAATCTCGAACCAACTCAAATGGCCACCAGTCGAAGTCGAGCACATGACAACATACGGATTCTGCTTGATTTCCTCATACGGAACAGCCTCATCCACAGCAANTCTGGGAATAGTCAGCCATCAATTGTATCAGTGAACAAGAACTTGGCAGCTTACCGGATCATCCTCAGCATGGATGGCAAAGGTGGGAATGCGAATGGCAGTAACTGAGTCTGCCGAAGATGCGTCGCGATAATATGCGTATTCTGTCGGGTAACCCCAAGTCGGGCACTGAATCTCCCTGTCGAACTCATGCAGATATTTGATCCTTGCAACCCTTTCAGGGTCAATATTACCGTTCTCAACCACTTGATCTGCGTGNNTCTATATCAAATCAGCTTCAGCTTACTCTTGTGACTCCTTGAAAACTCACTGTACAAAAAGCTTCTTCATGTTGTTTCCCATTGTTTTGGAATACACGTTGAGTCCAAGCCAGGTGCGCTGCAGGGCAAGACTGGCGACTTCGAGTTTCCAGGGATTAGAACAGACTACTGCTGCTTGCAACTCGCACGCATCGCCCTCTTCACCGAGATNACTACAGAGCCGAAAAGTTAGAAAAGAGATGCTGGTATCAGAATATCGACTAGATCTACGTACATTTGTGAGAATATTGGCACCCAAGGAATATCCAATGGCGAACAGAGGGCGATTCGGATACATCTTTCTGCACCACTTGACCATCTGTCGCAGATCCCAGGTGGCTCTTGCGTTGTACAAGATGCCGGTGGTGATCTTGCTCATCGCACATCCACGACTATTGATCACAATGGCCTCCCAGTCGCCTTGCTCGCTCTGATCTACCAACGGCTCCAACACATGCCTGAGATAGATCTCATGCGAACCACCACTCAATCCATGCAGAGTAATCAACATAGGCTTGGTGTCATCACTACCAATGTTTGCAAATTCATCCGCAGTGTAATAGGTCGTACGAGGAGGGAGGCTGTGATCTTCTGTTGGTGCCTGATGGTGGGTTACAAAGTCGACGGCAAATGTGCCCGCAAATCTGGGATCTTCAGACTCGAAAATCTGACGCTTGTACATGATAGGTGGTCCAGCAGCCTTTACGGCTGTCCAGGCAGTATGGAGATGACCATTGAACAGTAGAGGATTTAACTTGCATGGTGGCGTCGATGCTTTGCATACATCAGAAAGGGCTGTTTTCCCAGTTTTAGAGGCCAGAGAGATAGTATTCTTCGAGTGATGAAATGAGACACGGGCGTGGCCGAGCAACCATGAGAGATCCATGACTTTTCTATGTCCAGAAGATAGAACCCCTCGACCTCGATTCGAGAGGCTTGAAATTGGCCGAGTGAGTCTTAGGTCGAGGAGATCCTGTTATAGCTGGCGATGAGTATCGACAAGCAAGAAGCAATTCCGAGTGTAGGGGACGTTTGATATATTTATACGCAGTTTAACGATCGATAGAACGCTCACGCACCAGCGTCATACCGCACCGTGAAGTTCTGGCGGGCCCGGCTCGCCCGATCAATCTCGGCTACTTCGACTACATTGAGGAATTTTCGCGAAGCATGTGAATTCACGGCCAACTGTATAGAGCTCTTTTGACACTTTTGAGGTTCGCAGAGCAGAAAGTCAGGAAACCGTGCACAAGTTTTCTGGTTTGTGTCAACAAGACCATGCGAGATTGTTGCCTCGGCTGCCAAGACTGATTTTCTCACCACGCGTACTTTCTCCAGATAGCGCGTTGCTTAACTTAATTGATTTTCTGACAGTCTTCATGTGATCGATTGGGATCGGAGAGGCATTGTCGAGAAAGGGCGGGCATGGACAATACGAATAACAACAATAGTGGGTTCGATGCCCGGAGAGGTTATGGAGTGCCTCCGCAGCAGCAGGTCATGTACGGCTATCAGCCGCCGCCTGCAAGAACTGCATATCAACAGCATCCCGTAAATGTCATGTCTGCTTCTTCACTACCAGGACAAGGATATAGCATGCAACCACAATATCCTGTAAATGGGCAATCGGCCAGACCACAATCGCAGACTTACATGGCTTCTCCTGGGATGTCAGTTATGGGACAGGCAATGCAACAACCGCATTATTCCATGTCTCATACACAATATCAGCCGCAGGCACTTCCGTTCCAGAGCCATCCCCAAAACCCTCAGTCGTTATCTCAACTTCTGGTAACCCAACAATATCAAACCCAACGATACATGCATCCACAAGCTGTACAAGCCTATCAGATGGATGGTGCTCCAGGCTACTCTCATCCGGGAATGCGCCAACCGACAGGAAATTCAGTTCAACATGCGCCTTCGAGTCAGCAGCAACCACGTCACCAACCAAATCCTAACCATACCGCTACCACTGGAGCTCCTCCAAGATTGCCATCTATCTCAAACACTCCCTCAAGGCCACAACAGCCACAACCAAAACTCCAAGAACATCATGCTAGGACACCGTCGCAGTCACACCCTCAACCTATTACATCGCCATTGCAGTCGCACGATAGGACAATCAGTCAGCCTCAACCTAGAGCGACTCCTCGACCGCACAAGCATGCCATGTCTCCACCTCAGCCACAGTCACGACAAGAGCCGTCGTCTAACCCTCAAATCCAACCAGCATCTCAGCAACGGCCCACAGCGCAGATACGTACTCCACAAGTGGTCATCGAAACGAGACGACCTTCATCACAAAAACCACCAACACCAGTGCCATCACGGGCGTCTGCGCCTCTGCCTCGAGAGTCGGCCATAGACTTGCAACCAGTGCTCCTAGGCTTAGCTGATCAGTATATCAGCAGAGCTCACGGCATGTCTTCATACTTAGCGCGCTCTCCCCAAGACGCCGATATCGATCAATACTACAGTCTCATATCTGCTGGTCTCGGCTGCATGGAATCAGTTCTGAACAACTGGAAATTTCCGGATCCAAAGGCTGAGGCGCGGCTGCAATTACGATATGCAAATCTTCTCCTCGAAGAGACTGAAAACGATGGGGAATTGCAGGATTTGCTTACAAGGGGCATTGCCTTGTGTGAACGAAACCGCCTAGTTGATCTGAAGTACAGCATGAAGCATCTTCAAGCTCGGTCCTTGTTTCGCACACATCCTCGATCTGCTTTCAAGATGCTGGACCAGCTGATTGACTTCACCGAGACATATGCACATTATTCCTGGATGTACGTCTTTCGGTTCTTGCGAGTATCTTTCTCCCTCCAACTATCGCGTCCGGACTTATCAGCAGCTTTGCAACAGCTCCGTCGCATCTCCCAACATGCGGAGAAGCAGAGACAGTATCCCATACTCACTACGTGTTCAGCTCTTGAAGCACTGGTGCATCTGAGAAGTGGTCAAGCAGACTCAGCGGATAATTTCCAAAGATCGCTAGCGGCAGCACGTACTCATCAACTGAATCGCGAAGTCACTGATATTTCTCAAGTTGCGACCTTGCTGGACTGCCTGGATCTGTGTAGTGATCTAGTCGGCGGCAAGCCAGAACAGCTTTTCGACAAAATGAATGTCATGCAAAAAGCGCTAGACGGCGGCAAGAGAAATAACTCTCCAGATGGAAGCTTCTGTGTACCGACTGCAGATCCTGCACCTGAAGACATTGCTCTCGATACATGTGGTATCATGGAGAGAACAGAGGATGGAAAACGTGCCATCGTCTTCCAGTGGTTGCGCAGGAGTGAACTGTTTGCTCTAGGATACATCTTCAGCGGCCTGGCCAGCTCCAGTAGGAACGTTGTTGATCACAAGTCTGAAAAGTATGTGATAGAGGGCGACAAACTCACACATAGTAAGTGTCATGCTCGCTCTTAGTCATTATGTGAAGCATGCTAACCAAGTCTGTGTAGANNCGACTACAATCCCGAGAACGAACGCAAAGTCCAGTCACTCCAATGCTCCTCGGCTCACTTTGATCGACGCATGTTTTATCATAGATTGTGCTTGCAGTTGCTCGCTTCGCTCAAATGCGAGCGTGCTGACTGGCAAGGAGCCCAAGAAGTTCTATCACGGTTGAACGCAGAGCTGAGGGCTGAAGACGTCGACGAACAAGACTTTGTCCAAGTATCGACGATCTATCTGACGGGTACGGTCAAACAGGCAACAGGAGATCTTGAAGGCGCACTGGAGTGCTACAAAAACCCAGCTTTGACATTACAGGCCGGGCAGAAAACCGCGACAAATCAAGATCTTCGCATCCTGGCCACACTCAACATGATTTTAATCCTCAAACCTCGTTTGGAGTCGCAGGACCACGTCAGCCATCTCATGGACCTTGCAGAACCGCTATGCGAAAGCCACCCGAACCCCAATTACAGATCTGCAATGTATATGGTCAGAGCATCGTCGACAAGGGGCATGCCTGTTCTCAAGATGAAGCACTACCTGTCAAGCTCAGCCAACATTGCCNNAAAAAAGCAGCAGAACGTATTCTTGCTCTGTGTGGCAATCAACCTGATGACATCGAGTTTCTTCGTGAACATTATAGGTGAAAAGGCAGAGTTGTCAGCGGGCTCAGGNAAAAGGCTTGCCGATAGAGTACAGGTGCCAATGTGGCAGGCCGTTTCTAGTCAGCTGCTGGGAAACACGCTCAATTTCGGTGGCAGGCGTGCAGAGGGAAATGAAGCAAGAGTCGAAGCATATAAATGGATGCAGATGGTGCCTGAGAGGATACAAGAGAAGTTCGAGGTCACTCGCTGAAAGGACTGGCATGGCCGATAGAAGGGTGGCTTAATGATATGACGAATACAGGGTTGCTTGTGAGGAACTGCCGGGATGATCAGAGCGTGGTATGCTTGCTGGGCGAGGCAGTCGCTACATCAAGAAGGGAAGAAACATTGCTGCATGACAAGGGGATTTCGTTGCTGTATCTCGGGAACATTTCTAGCTGTTATGAAAAGCGCCGAAAGCATGTGGCTCACCATGTTGTAGTGATAAAAGACATTTGATACATGGCAATGAAAGCTCGAGAAGAATACATGGCCCACAGATGAGCACGAGAGGTAGTGGATATAAAAGCTAGATATAGGTAACTAGAACTCTTCGTCTTCACGGAAGGAAAGTGAGAAGCTGATGATGGTCGAGTAGATGAGAAGACCACCTGCTATCGACATGGCGGCAGCGGGAACGTTGATCTGGCCAGTGTGGGCGAGGACAATAGGTAGGGCTGGCGGACTGATATAAGCATCTCGGATATGTAGGTCTTGGGGCTTATAGGAGAGTGACATACCAACACCCATAACAACCAGGAAGCCGGTGACGAAGCGACCAAGCTCGACGACAGCGTTGCTGCCTCCATCCATGAAATCATCCGAGGATTGGGCGCGTGAGCAGATCCAGTTGGGGACGGGAGCGATAACGTAGGTTGCAACGACTAGCAGAGGCAGGTAGTTGTGCCATAATGCCGACGAGAGGATGACGAGCANAAAGCCAATGGCGAGCACCTTGTCGGGCGTGTTAGCTCGTGTGCATCAAGGTGGTAGTCGTCACCGAGGGGAAGGTGGGGGACGTACGAAGGAAAGAGCGATGATGGTCTTGAGGCCTGCCATGTTGAGACTACAAGGAGAGAAGTCGAGTGTGGAAGTCAAGTGTCTAATCGGCCTCAGGCGGTGTTAGGCTATCGCAGCAATCGCAGTCGTCGTCGGCGCTCGATGGCAGTCGCGGGCCGGAGGTGCTGCCACTGGTCGCGCGGTGATGAATCGCCAAGCAAAAGTCTGGGGAGCTTTGGCCCTTACAGGCGCCATCTCATTCCATCATCGGCAGCAGGTGCAGCAACAAGACAGACATATTCACTTCTTGTCTTGTTTGTATTGCATAACCATCTCTCGCTTTCTGCTTGCTCCTCCTCTACATCTGCCCTCTCCCACACTCTTCTCGTTCACATCACACCGCAGCCATGTTCCGCAATAACTACGACAACGACTCCGTCACCTTGTATGTGCCAACCTAAACCGCCATCCATCTACCACCGCTAAACTCGTGCCTCTCCAGCTCGCCGCAGGGCCGTATCTTCCAGGTCGAATATGCCCAAGAAGCCGTCAAGCAAGGTTCCGTTGTCGTTGGCATTGTCAGCAAGACCCACGCCGTCCTCGCCGCAGTCAAGGTCCGCCTCAGTTCACTCCCTTTGCGCCGCCCTCACCACTGACACTATCGCCCACAGAGAAATGCCGAAGAACTCTCATCCTACCAAAAGAAGATCATTCCCGTCGATTCACACTACGGTCTCGCCCTCGCCGGTCTCGCCTCCGACGCCCGCGTACTCAGCAACTTCATGAAACAGCAATCCCTCTCGTCGCGCCTGACCTACGGCCGCCCCATCCTGCTCTCAGAAATCACTTCTCGTGTCGCCGACCGTGCCCAGACAAACACCCAGCAATACGGTCGCCGCCCTTACGGTGTTGGCTTGCTGGTAGCTGGTGTTGATGCAAAGGGCCCCCATCTCTTCGAGTTCCAACCTTCAGGTATCACCCAGGAAATGGTTGCTTGCGGAATCGGTGCTAGATCGCAGATGGCAAGAACCTATCTCGAGCGCAACATTGATCACTTCGAGGGCAGCAGCCGCGAGGAGCTGATCAAGCATGCTCTGCGCGCTTTGAACGAGTCTCTTCCCCAGGATAAGGAGCTCACTGTTGACAACACTTCGTTGGGTATCAGCGGATTGGACGAGAACTTCACCATGTATGAGGGCCAGCAGATTGCTCAATGGCTGGACACAACGTTTGAGAACAGAAACGATGATGCTGGTGATGCCCCTGCCCCTGCTGCTGATGCACCAGCACAACAAGAGGGCGCTGGAGAGTCGATGGAGGTTGACTCATGATCTCGATGGAGTAGAAGCGAGTGGGGCATGAAACAGAAGAAGCAGAAGCAAGCCCAAGACCATTACAACTGACGTCCCGACATGATGTGTATCAAATAAACCACTTTTCACCGTTCTCGTAATTTGCTCAACAGAACTCATGACATCAACGCGCGAAGATCAAGTGATTAGTGTTTCTAATCCAAATTTCCCGTTCAACCATACACGAAATAGACAATGGAAGTCGAGGTGGGCCAAGCGGTTGAATCACATGTGTTTTGAACCATAGGTAGTCTGGCATTATCTATCTGTACAGGGAGTACACTTGGGCTCCGATTGGAATTCGTAAGAGACGAGCATGCATGGCTTACTTTTTCCCTGCCATCCAGCCAGCAAGGTCGAAGTTTTGAATTTGCTGTGCCGTGTTCTGGCCTTGTCCTCCTGCAGCACCACCCAGACCCAGAGGACCCTGCTTTTGGATTTCTGCGAACTCGGCCTTTGTCTCTTCGTCCANCTGTTGAGAAGTCAGCATAAGCCATGACATCACAGCGAGCTGAGTTGAGAAGAGGATGAGTTTGAACTTACTGTTTTCCATCAAGTAAGGCATTCCAAACACCAAGCCCATAGACAAGACACCCATCAGAATCATTGGGTTCTTGAAGAACGACAACAGATCAAAACCTTGTCTTTGTTCGTAGAAGGATCTCTTTCCTAGTGCCGAGACGGAGAGCTTGACTTGATCTGCTGATGACAGAGGAGCAGTGGATGCAGCAATCTTAGCACCCAGATGCGACCATTTGTTCGAAGGATGTGTGAGGTACACAACCACTGTTTCTGGTGTCGAGGTCACTGGAGCAGCTTCGCCATCGCCCTCTTGCTTGATTGGCAGTATAGACACGGGATCCACGACATCGACCCTCAAGCTAGGGAAGACATGGTCTCTAGAATGAACGTCCAAGAGCCATTCTCCCTCTTCTAGGTTGTTGAAGATGAAAGAGTTGTCGACGCGGAGAGGTGCGGTGGCTCNTTTGCCAGAGGGTCCGTAGAGGGTTGCGTGGGTCGATGAGGGAAGTTCGCTAAGGTCTAGGAGCGAAGATGAGGGTGAGATGCTCAGGTGGAGAGACGTTGCTGCGCATGTGCCGACGAGCGCTGATATCGTTGAGAGGAGTCTCATGATTGTGCGGGTTCTTTGTATATGTTGCGAGCGAGCAAAAGGTTGTGCTGGAGAGGTTGCGACACTGGATCACTTGGTTGATCTGAATGATGCTGTTGCGGACGGAGTTGCGGGATGGAATGAGGCCGAGCTTCTGGAGCTACCCTGAACGCACAAAAGTTGTGCAAAGCTCTTATGCAGGCTTCACCTACACCAAACAAGCGCTATATCACGACAGAACAACGACGAACAAAAGGAATGGCTTGCTGCCCCCTGACGGAGTCGAACCGGCGACCTCGGCATGATCTAGCATCTACTAGTGCCGCGCTCTACCAACTGAGCTAAAGGGGCTTGTTATGGTTGCCTGCTTGTGTTGATACATATATATAGAACTTGGAAATACGTGTATGCCAAGCTCCTCGGCCCGCATCATCCCGCAACGCCCTAGGTAAATACAAGGCGAGTGCTTCACCGCCAGATAGTTAGATATTGATACATCTGGGAGCATCGTAAGGGTTGTTTTTCAATCTGATCATTCGAAAATGGCCGTACCCGACACCGTGAACTTACGAAACCTTTCGGGGACATATAACNNCTTGTAAGTAATGTTTGTGGTCATCAACGACATGCATATCAGACAAACATCACAATGCACGTATACTAACATTGGCCAGAACAAGAGTCTGTCGGATCCAACCGATGCAGCTTTGCAGATGGTAACGGTCCATTTGTACTGTGTTGCATGCTCAGCATCTTAATGTTCTACCTAGCAAGGCATAGGCTGGATCATCCGTCAAGCCGTTAAATTCTCGAACGTCACACTCCATGTCAAGCAGGTACAGCAACGCGAAATGCTTTGTTATAGGAAACACCTAACGAAAAGACAGTTTGTCGATGAAAATGGCCTCATGCATATAGACAACGAACAAATCACGACTGGAAACATTCGCAACCTTGAGGAACGCATTATCGACTACGAGTGGCGTGAAAAAGACGACAGGATCTTTGGAAAAGTCAACGGCCGCTCACGCTATGTCAAGCTGGATGAAATCGAGACTGACTACCTCAAGCAAGGCTGGGACGAGCAGTTCTTAATGCTGGGCGAGAGAGAAGTTGTTCAAGTCTTTGTTGACAGTGTAGGCAAGAAACCAAATTGGTCAGCAGAACAGGTCTGGGGATTCGAGATAGTGGACGGCCAGAAGCGACATACGAGGCGTATCGTTGTCAANAAGGGCAAGGAGGAACATCACATCAGATTGGTTTACGACTGGGTGGTGGAAAAGGACGAGGATGCTGATTTGGCCTATTGAGCTAATACTCGATCTTCCCATATCAAGCGCGAAGCATCTCCTCTATCGTCTCCTCGACAGGCTTGGGCTTCTGTCCCTTGGTGGCCAAGAGCTTCTCCAAAGTCGGGTCGTTGATCAGGCACTCTTGATCTCTCAAAGCGTCATAGGTTGCGGCCCACCACTTAGCGGCAGGCTCTGACAACTTGATGTCTCGAACGTAATAGTTCTCGAGCTCTTCCCTCGAGACGATCTTCGTTGACACTTTCTTGGACCGGACTGCCGAGACCTTTTCGAGGACTTGGTTAATGGTTCTTGCGCCTTGAGTAGCTGAAAGGTAGAAGGTTTTGGCGGCGTATTCGGACGATGGTGCAACGATGACCAGAGCGCTAGCGAGACCAAGATCAGAGATGGCAGTCCAGCTGATCAGAGAATCACCACCGACACGAACTTCAGATCGCTGATCATCCTTGAGGTCGTAATAGCTTGCATACAGCGGCCAGCTCTCATTGTATAGACCCTCACGCAAGACAGTGTAGTCGATGTTTTGTAGCTTTGCAAGGTATGCCTCGGTGCGAATATGAGCCTGCATGACGCAAGACTTTGAAGGGTTCTGGAAAGCTAGAGAGCTGTAGTAGATGTGCTTCACGCCTGCAGCTTGGGCAGCATCAATGGCAGTGAAATGATGCTTCTCGCGGCCCTCGCCGTGAGGAGCGTCATTATAATCCATATCGATCTTGGGGGTAGAGACGAGGAAGAACTTGTCGCATCTGGTGAGAGCCTTCTCGAGAGAAGCCTTGTCGTCAAATGAGGCATGGCGAACTTGGACACCCTGCTTTTCCAGCGAAGTCCAGGTATCGCTGCCAGGTTTAGATGAGGTACAGCATACTATCTGGTCCTTTGGGAGCAGGTTATGAGCGAGGAGAGCTTTCAATGTAGCACCGCCAAGTTTACCAGAAGCTCCAATGATGGCCAACATGATTTCAGAGTGAGAGAGATGGTTAGTGGATCAGAAGACACGGCAGCGACAATGAGATGATGATTGTTCACGGAGAGAGCAGGTGGGGCTGGCCATTTGTCATCACAGGCATTAGCAGAATGACGGCACTTGATTAGCAACCAACTGAAGCAGAAGCTGAGTGAAGGCAGAGGTCAAGGTGGCATGCGTCGCATCAAAGTGAATGAAGTGCCCCGCCAACGCGCCTCGGTTTGCTTGTCGGATTCGCGTGCAACCTCGAAGCTGCTCCAAGTCACTTTGATATTTGTCGTCTGCTTTCAACATTCCATACACCAACCTTCCACTCGCAACTGTCAACCCGAAGCACGCGCATTCGAAGCTCGAGCGATCTGCGACCACAGCTGGACCATCAACAAGGCGTAGCGAGCCGTTGCGCAATCACATCATGGCGACCATGGAAGCAAAAGACATTGAAGAGCGCGGTAAACAGCTGGCCAAGGCTGCATCAGGCGGCGACCCTCCAGCGACTCTGCTGGCCCTCCTGGACGGCCTGAAGGGATGGACTGCGACGGAAAAGCTGCTGCGCCAGACAAAGATTGGTGTCCACGTCAACAAGCTGCGCCAGAACAGCGATGCACAAGTAGCCCGCACCGCCGCCACTCTGGTCAACAAGTGGAAGACAGACGTCAAGAGATCTCCTGCCACGGCCGCCTCCAGTGGCACCAACTCGCCTGCTCCTGCAAAGTCCTCGCCCGCGCCCGCTGCTGCTGCTGCAAAATCAAAGTCGGAACCTCATGGTGATCCCGAGAAGCGCAACAGTGTGTCGGACAAGATTAATTGCGAAGTCACTGGAAACCAGACTCGCGATGCCTGCATCAAGTTGATGTACGACGGCTTGGCCTTCATGTCGCCTGATGGTATCCATTGCCGCCCAATCATTGCCCCGACGACGTAACTAATCTCGTGCTCTTACNNAGCTTCGCAGGACATCCTGACCGTTGCACGTTCCGTCGAGCTTGCCGCCTACAACGCCTACCAACCTGAGGGCAGTCCCGAATACCGCCAGCGCATACGATCACTCTACCAAAACNNCCTCAAAAACAAGGGCAATCCCAAGCTCCGTAGTCAGGTGCTATCTGGTTTCATCAAGCCCGATCGCTTCGTTCGCATGACCCACGAAGAGTTGAAGAGTGACAAACAACGTGCCGAGGACGAGAGATTGCANAAGGAAAACATGGACAAGGCCATGGTCGCCCAAGCCGAGAGGAGTATCAGTGCCAGTCTGACCTGCGGCAAGTGTGGTCAGAAGAAGGTCAGTTACAGTCAGGCCCAGACCAGATCCGCCGATGAACCTATGACAACTTTCTGCGAGTGTACCGTCTGCGGTAATAGATGGAAGTTCTCTTGAGCAACCTTCTTCAATCCTGCCTCCCTATTTCTCATATCTTCTTGGCCTGGCCTACACGAACGTTCAATACCCGGCGTGTAGTCAGTTTCCCACTTTCTCATCCCAAATCTTCTCTGGGATCAATTCACCATCAGCAACCTACAAAGGGAGCACATTTGGAACATGGCGTTCACCAAGTCAAGCAGCGTGGCCCTGAACGCCTCCCTCTTTTTTTTTTTGCTAGCAGTGTTTATTGCTCCTTCAACTGAAGCCAGGTCACAAAAACACTCCGTATCGCACGACTTCCGCATCACAAGTCTCCTATGCCTTATGATCCCCATGTCGTAGTTCTAGTCAGTCCGGAATGCATACGAAATCAACATTTACCTCGAGAGATCATGTTCCCCTGCTAATTTATACAGTCCCGCGAGAAGAACCTTACATCTGTTCCGTTCAACGGTATCGTAGTCTGTTTTTGTGAAATAGTAAGGCTACTTTGAACGCGCTCCTTGCGATTACTCAGTCATTCGACAAGTAGCTGTCTCACTGCCCTCCCTAGGGCTGAGCTATATCGAACCCCAAAGATCCACATTCGAAATCAACGTCGCCATTATCTTCGAGCCTCATAACTCCCTGTGTAGGATTAGTAGAAGCACTATACTACCACTGTCGTCCCTTGCACATGTAGTCACCATATTACGAGGTGCCTGACAGGAGAGCGATATCAATGTAGTTATCACCCAATTGCCCTTCTGGCCCCTTGCAACCACTCCCGCTATCGTTGCTTGTTGAGAGGACAGATCGTTTGTAGTGAGCATATGCACAATAACCAGGAAACCCCCAGATAGGTTCTGGGTATCAGGGGATTTTCGATGCTACGATCAGCAAGCCCCCTCTCAATTATTGGTGGACACGTCCCGTGACTTGTGAGCTAGCGCTAGCTCAATCAGGAAAAACACATCGCGGTTCTCGCAAAACTCGTAGGCAAAACGCTTGAGATCGATCTAAATGACAAACCACTAGGATGATTTTCTTGGTCGCTGAGGCCACAAAGCATGGTGTCTGGTGATAGATCAGGGAGATGGATTGGGATGCCATTTGTAGTTCGACAGATCACTTTTGTCAGGGCAAGGAAGAAGCAGATATCGAACTGCGATCTTACGTAGATACATCTTCTAGAACATAGAAGTCAGATATTGTCTTCAGTCTCACTACCATAGTTGCCAACACCGTCGAACTCCCTGTGGAGGAGGACGGGACAGTAACGAGAGACTGAAGACGGCGACTGAGATTGACAGCCTTCGACAACATCAATCAGCCTTTACGTATAAGCGGACTATGAGGCTAAGAAGATGTTTATCTCATCCCGGCAATGCAGGACTACGAGGGCTGCATAATCGTCTTGACTAGACTGATATGTGTTTTGAAGCTTGCATTGCCTGTCAAAGTCGAAGATCAGTATCGAGGTAAGCAGCTGGCGTCTAAACTGATAGGCACTGGTGAAGGGAATCGATGGCTTCGTCAGCATCGGTTGACTCCTTCATGACGACGTTCGAAACCTTCTTCAGTCTTCCCTCCGTGCAGCTCTTTTCGTATCATGTAAGAGATTCCTTCCGGGACTGGCATTGTACTCTTAGTCTCTTCACATGGCGAAGGAAGGTACAAAGTGGCGAGAAGGTCAGCATCATGCACAACACAATAGGTGAACTCCATCTGAATGAGCTCAATATGGGATCCCTAGTCGGCAACAAGAGGATGAGGGATCATAATTGTAAATCGAAGAGAAGGGTTGAGGGTATATAAGCTAGATCAAAGCAATAGTTGTGGTCCGGTGTCATCTACATCGCTTGTGACGAGTGCAAACTACATCCGCTTCCTACTTGCTGCTGCGGTTACATCTACTGACGGGGGAGTAGAAATGTGGTTCTAGATCACACCCCCAAGTCAAGATAGCAAGAGGTGGTCGTGGAGGAATTCATAGGCGTTGGCATTGTTGTTGCACATAGGATCCTTTGGGCTCAATAGTTCCAGAGTTGGAGTTTTGTATGCTCCTGTTCCAATGATTCCAGATTGCCGGCGGGAAGTCTTGACTTTGGCACCATTGTGGTTCTCGCGTGTAGACGTTTGATTGTCACGTCAGCAACGAAATAGGAGGACTTCTTGTTGTCACCCCTGAGTTGATAGGCTGGAGTACAAGGAATGAGTTTGCTTGTGGCCGATCTATCGTGCATGTTGAATTCCACGAGAGTGGGTTGTCCAGATAAGTATATCGGATATTATGACTGCATGTGAAAATGAAAGCTGGATACATGTAAGGTTTGTTCCTGTGGCTCACCCTTGATCGCATGGATCAGATGAGCAGCAGTAGAAGGTCCACAATCATATGCCTGGTCTTCCGGTAGAACATGTTCTCCGTATTCTACTGATGATCCTGAAAATGCCTGAGGGCTCCAGGAAGAGGCTGGACGTCTTTTACTTATCCGAGACGATGAGGTTCGTTGAAGACCTGTGATTGCATGGGACACACAGTTGTGCCTTTAGGGAATCTTTCTAGAATGGTGCGATGTTCAGCATCGTCGCTTAATCGAGTGGTATATATGTGATAATCGAAGACAGCTCCTCTTACACGCATCGAATGAATCTTTTCCATTACATGCTCTCTGAATTTACTCTGCCTTTTCTCATTACACACTTTTAATGATCATAAGAGGGTTCTGCGGACAGTTCCATCAATATTGGCAGACGCAAAGAATTCGGAACGAGCTATCAGCATGAATCAAAATGAGACACGGTAGTGGCTCTGAAAGTCAATTGAGGTTTGCGCCAGCCGGAAAACTTTACCTCGACCAAATTTTTTCCCTTCTACTCTCGTTTCCTAAATTTCCTACCTTTCGCGCAACATAGAGCCTTGGTTCCAAAATCATGACAGGTACCCATTTTTAGCCACCTACGGCGAGCGAAACTTGAACACCTGCGCCATCTCCAAATGTCTGACGGCGCTTGTCGTTTAAGCAAGGATTCCTTCAGATGTGGGCTTCATATTGCCAAAAAGCTGCATTTCCCACAACCAGCACCAAGATCTCAAATCTTGGCGTTTCTCCTGGCGCTTTGGCGGAGTGGTTAACGCGATGCCCTGCTATCTTCTCATCGAGAGATATCGGTAGGCATTTCCTTCGGGAGCGTGTGTTCGAATCACACAGGCGTCGAGCTTTTGCCCTTTTGGACGCATCAGAGGTGTATGATATGTTTATTTTTTGTTTTTGAATGTGTGAAAAGGTAGGAGTCGATATTGGTGGTGTTGTGGTGAATTTTTGGTGCGTGGAAATGGCTTGGCGTTGAAGCTTCAGAACTTCGAGACACCTCAGCTGAGTCTCGCCGTTGTCTCCTGCATCACAAGACTCGAATGCAATCGATTGTTTTGTTACGATAAAGCGTAAACATGCCTTATCGGTCGCTAGTTGCAGTGATTGGCAGCACGGTATGGTATGGTGAACCGAGACGTCTTCAACACGATACTGCTATTTCCAAATGAGACTGGTTTTCATTCGAAACAAAATGCTTCGAACAATGTAATCAGTTTCTTATATCCAAACAGCTTCTAGCTCCAGACATATGTCTTCGTGTGTCTTACAGCTGTCTTGCCAGGACACCATGTTATCTCCAATTACCTGATGATATAAAGATCTTGATGTAAGCTTTGGCAAAGAGAACAATCTATACCTCATACGCAATGTGGATAACTGCTGGTCTGGTCCTCTTTTGCTGTTCGTAATCTCATGTTCATTTTGTTATACCGCAACTTTACCACAATGGGCACTTACATCGTCTCTGCTGAAGAAGATCATTGCCATTGTACCTAGTCCATGGAGTAAGCGATCAACACCACATCTTCCCGGGACCTGAGCAGCTTACGGTCTCTACAGACTTCAAATCACCGAGCTCTTTGCATGCACTTGACTCGAAAAACCAATATGTACTTGCACTCTCGCCAGAGTTTGTACGGCCTATGAAGGACATCAGAGCAGCCGTAGACGAAAAAGCTCAATGGCGACACAGTGAACTACTGCTGCTCAACAAGATTAAATGTTTAGACACTCTCGAGGCCCTAGATACCATGTTTGTCAACTCAATCGCTGGACTTCAACTCGTAGGTCACCACTTGATGATCCAACATACCAACATCACCAATGGTGGTGTAGTAGACCCCCAAAGCAGTAAGTGTTGATCCCTACCTTCGCCCTCTATCGCTAAAATTCCCNNAGTGCACTTCCTGGACGAAAGAAGAGATCACCCGCCTTCAGTCTTGCTAGCAGCCAATCACGCCAGAAGACTCACCAAGAAAACCTACACAAGCAGATTCAACTTGACCGAGGACCAGACCAGAGTCCTCGATATCTCCGACTGTGCAAGCCGTATGCTGGAAGCTGCTTCTGAGTTTCTGGCTCTGCAGGCGAGGTGCCGAGAGTTGATTGCTTTGGTGCAAGTGGAGAGTGATTTGCCTGTCGGGTTGCAGAGGACGCATACACTGACCGAAGGACTCATGTCCAAGGCCGCAAGGATGCTCGGAAAAGCTTATGAGCGTGTATTGTGGGCAACTGCCTTGATCGCAGGCAAGATGCTCAATTTGTCGACTTTGCTGTCAAGCTCAGGACACTTGGACAAGCGTTTGATCATGGCACCGATGGCATTGAGGATCGAAAGTGAGACGACGCAATGTCCGAGCAAGATTGGCGATGACCAGCATTGTATTGATAGAAAGGAAGACAACGGTCTACTAGAGACTTACTGATGTTGGCCATGGAGCAGTGGACAGTCATCGAAACATGATATAGCGTACACACTGAATTGATACAAAATCCAACAGAGAACACAATATCCAAAGACAAGAAGGAAGACGAAGAAATAAAAGTTGTTTGAAAGGCAGGAAACGTTCATCATTGGATCCTCTAAAAGCACAATTGTCCACACTCGGTAACCACCCATATCGTCGCTCGCAATGCCCTTTTAGCCTGTAAGAAGAATCACATGCAGAAAACGCCCCGTTTGTGGTTCCCAGCCTTCTGAAACTCCGCTTGCCCCAAAAGATAGAAATTGTCATCATACAAGAAAAGGAAAAGTAGGAGAGGCTTCATCGTTCATCTCCCCTAGATTCATTGCATATCATCCTCGGCCCGCTTGAGTTGGAAGTTGGGCTGCTCATAGAACCATTCGGTCTTCTTGTCCCACTTATATGCCTTGAAGTCTACACCGTAGGGCTTAGGCTCAAGGCAGTACAGCATGCCAATGGGTACATCCAAATCTGCGACCTCTTCTCTCTTCAAGCCACGGAAGTATGCGAGCAACACGCGAGCGACACTGCGGTGTCCAACAAGCAAGCAGTGGTCTTCCATACGCTCAAGCTCGACGATTACAGGACGTAGGCGGTTGATGATGTCGAGGTAGCCCTCACCTCCAGGACCGGGGTAGCGGTAGTGTAGCTTGTCCTTCTTGCGAAGAGCATACTCAGCAGGGTGTGCTTCTGCGATGGACGAGTAGGTGAGACCTTCCATAATACCGGCATTGAGCTCATCCAACATGCGCATCTGTTTCGAGTCGTACTCCTCATCATCGAAGAACTGTGCCGTCTGGATACTACGCTTGAGCATAGAAGTCCATACACAGAAAGACTTTTGAGGAAGCTCGTTGTTGTCGTTGGGTTGGTAGTGAGGGTTAGNGGGAGTGGTGTCACCAGGTTGGGGAGGGAAGTGAGAGTGGGTAAGCTTGTGAAGTTGCTTCATGTCCCACTCCCTACGCGCGTGCTCAATAAACTTGGTAAGAGTTTTAGCGTACTGAATACCCTCCTGACTGAGGTCCGAGTCACCACCAATTTTGCCAGAGACATTGTCCATGGACAAGCCGTGGCGTGTAATCCAGATCATACGTGGCGCGAGGTTGAAATTGAGGAGGTAGTAATTGGCCTGGGCAGAGAGGAAACCACGAATCTGATGCGAAATGACCTTGCGACCAACATCGATCATCTGAATATAGGGCATGTTGTGCTTCTCCTCGTACTCGCCGAGTGGGACATAGGCCTTTTCGTAGATGGCAACACGCTTCTTGAAGTCCTCAAGAGCAGTGACAGGATCTTGGTCCTTGTAGTCGGGACCTGAAAGCTTCAAGCGCATGTTCGATTCGAGCAAGTTCTCGTCAACGCATCGACTCTCGAGGAACAAGACGTTCAGCTCAGTACCAGCTCTTTCACGAATCTTCTTCATGATAACTTTNNTTCTGCGCTCGAGGGTACTGTTCGTGGCATCAAGAATACCAACAGAACCGTTGCCCTCGAGGATGTAGTCAAGCAGTTCGTCCAAAGTGTCCATAGCGCATTGTTCACGGATCAAGGCAGCTCTCTTATTTTGAGGATCGAAGAAGCTGGCAGATTGGTCCATAGATTCAGGATCGGGCATCTCAGGAGTTGACACCTTGGTCAGCTCGACGCCATCTGTACCATCATCGGCGGTTTCGGGGACTCCATCATCCTCAGATGCAGGTGGTAGCTGGATGGTCGGCATAGTGAGTCTGCGAAATTGGCTGTCATTGTCTTCGTGCTTGTCGCTGTGTGCTTGGATTTGTGCGGCAAGACCAGATGATCCAATGTGTGTTGCTGCGTCGACGATGCCATTGAGACTGGCCAAACTTGGGCGGTGTTCGGATGGGAGGAAAGAAGGACGGTGTGTACGGCTTTTCGTCTTCTCAAGAGTGTTTGGACCGCCAGCGGCGACACGACGTCTCTCCTACATTGAAGATGCGTGTGTCGTGTTGTAGCCAATTCATGTAGCGTGCTAGCTTCTTTGTAATGTAACTCTTTCCACGAGCAGGTAAGCCAACCATGACGATGACCAGTTTGGCACCGACATCTCTCTTGGCGATTCTGCCGTCGGGCGAGACCTTTGATTTTGTGAGACCGGGGATATCGAGGGTTGTTGGGCGGACGCGCGGGGTGCTCGAACCCGAGTTTTGCCTTACTGGCAACAATCTGGGGCTGTTCGGGGCAGTGCCATCGGGAGTATCGTTCAAAGCGCCAGTGTTGGTGGCGCCAACGGCGGATGCTGTGCGGTTTGTGGGTGCAGGGCGGAAGGGTTGGATCTCTGGAGTTTGGGAGCCATTCTTGTTGGCCGAGCTGCCCAGGCTGGTGTTGAGACTGGACTTCAAATCTTTATGTGTGTTCTCGTCAATGCTGCGGCGCTGTTGATCCTGTGCGTTGCTCATCATCACAGACTTTGCAATGTCGCTCTGCTGGCTCTGGCGACGAATGTGGAAAGGGAGAGTGGACGAGGTGGAAGAAGCTGCGAGGATTTCAGAAGGCTCACAGATTAGTGGCATTTCTGAAGGCTCGTCCTGCTGAGAAAAGAGGGTCCAGAATTCGCACGTCCTATGACGCTTCACGGGCCGAGCTGCCTCTGGCTGCCTCCTATCGCGGGCGCCCTGTCAAAAAGTACGCGACTCGTACTCGTTTACCCTGACTAACTCCGAAAACGGCCTGAGCCTCGATCCTGATAGGCGAAGCCTTGACTGTCGGGAATGTATAAAATGTAGGTAATGGTCGGTCGATGATCCTTGGTCCAAGGAAGAAGAAGAAAAGAGCTGCTTGAGATGTCGATGAGAGATGATTCAAAAGTTGATGAGATGAGCCTGGAGTTTGTGTGACCAGCCTGAATAATTATGACTGTGTTGGCGCGTGAAGCATAAATAACTTCACAAGGCCGCGCTTGCAATAAGGTTGCCTCGCAGAATCGTGTCGCAGTAATCTTCTGGTTCCTCCACGGTTCACCAAAAGAAGTCCAGTACAAAAGTACCAGTTCCTGGCGCGCCCTGGTTAATCACGAGCTCAGTCTGGTGGTGTTTGGTCGCGACTTTTAAACGTGTTGGAAATGCGCCGAAGAAGTCGCTGGAAGTCAGGAGACAGTTGATTGAGAATCAAGTTTGTTCTTCAAGGGCAGCAGCTGACCCGATGATAACATATGCGACGACACAGAAGAGGGCCGAATAGACCGTTGCCTGCGTTGCCTTCTTCCTACCTTTCCCCAAGGCTGCCGGCGTCANNGAATAATACATATCAACAAGGGGGAGCCAATCGAACTGCGGATGCATCCCACGCCGACTGACGNCTGCGTCGTGCCCACCCAAAACTTGTTGAGATGAACAACAAGAAATTGCTATCGTCCTTGTCTCGCGTCAACCCATCTGCCTGCCCAAACATCCCATCAGTTNNCCTTACTTTCCGTATCTCTACTCAATCATTCCATTCTGATATCCGCGCCATCCCTGANGTTTGTCTCCGCAAGTGTCACTATCGGCACTCNCGCCTTCGGACCCCGCCANNAAACGCCCAGTTGCGGCTGCCTTGCCTATCAAAGCTCAGCCAATATTTGCTTTATCACCTTCATGCACAAAGTAATCCGGAGCGCGCTGTGTGATTTTCCTTTCATCGTGCAAGGCGCAGTGCTTGAGCATTTCTCTCTATCTTCTATTTCTGTCAGTGCGATTGAGGAATGCCGAGAATGATGGTTATGCCATTCTCGTTTGTAACCAATCTACTCGATCGTGAAAAAAGCTATCCATTCTCAATCACCCTTCTGGTCTTCTGCCTGAATGGTAGCAAGGTACAGTACACCCCGAATGCATATCCGACACGATAAGAATACATCGATCGCAACGGACGATTGCAAGGGGGCCCGAAGGAAGTGACGGCAGCCATGAAGCTGAGGACGTACTCCGATGCTCGCAGACCATGTCGTCGATCAACAATATCAGGGTTCAATCGGATCTGGTCATGTGAACATCATTCATACATCATAAAATATGCTCCATCAAGCCAGCTGCTGTACTGAGCATCCATGATACCAACGCCAGTACATGGAAAACCGCTCTCATTATAATCGGAGAGTGAGCACCAGCAAACATATATAACTAGCAACACTCAGCGCTGTCAAGACAACCACAACATTACCACTTGTTCTGAATCTCTTCCTCCTCAACCCATCTTCACCAACTTCAGAAAAGAACTGCCTGTTTCCCTGCATTCTCCTGAAGGCGCTGACTCCCAAGACACCCGCCCCATAGATCGCAAACAAAGCCCCAATAGAATAGAACTCGGCTGTAAAGATCTTGAGAACCACAAGAGCAAAACTGAATTGACCTAATGAGGTGCGAATATATGCGCCTTCGAAAGTGCGTTGAGCAGCGCGAATCTCGACCAACTCGGTGTTTGTAAGGATCACTGAGCGGGCGCGATGAAGCCGGAGGTGATAGCGGTCTGCCGCATGTCGTGTCTGTATATGAAGCAAACCTTGTGATGAGCCTGGGCAGTTCGAGCGGTGTTGATTGCTTCCCAAGCAATTGGATGATTTACCTCGAACATGTTTGTCGAAGCCTGCACCCGTTGACGGTGTGTGGTTGGGCAGTTTGATTCGTGCCGCTGCGACCCGTGAGACGACTGATTCGCTGTTCAAACAGACTTTCTTGGTTGTGCAACGGATTCAAGCGGAAAGTGCGACTACATCAGCACGCGTGTTTGATGAATGGATGGTTGCAGATGATGAGATGGAGATCAAGGACAGGCTTGCCGCGAGCAGCACCAACTTGCCCGCCAGATTGAGATGGTCCAAGCTTCAGGTTGACCATCCTCCTACCATCCTCCTACGACGGTCTGCAACTTGCCTCGCTCTGTACAACTCTAATCAGTTGTAACAACCAAACGCGATCGTTGCTTCTCACTAGATGTTGGTGTCAGACCATCGATGATGGCGTGCTGAGCAGATAGGGTCATTCGAAACTCCACGCCTAGAGTCTGCCTCGCACCGCCCTGCCTTGCGACGCGTCGAGAAATCATTCGGCAAGAACACCTTCTGCCAGTGATTGACACAAACTACAACTTTAATCATGACGAGCACTGGTCTAGATAAGCTGCCTCCAGAGGTTCTTGCAACAATTATTGATCATATTGAAACTGAATATGGTTGGCTCCAGTATCCGACCGAGACCCTGCTCAGCCTGCGACTAACTTGTAAGGCTCTGGAACATGCTTGTCANNTAAACACTTTCTGCTTTACTTTGGTGACTGGTCTATCGATCTGGAAAGGGAGAAAGACTTGTCAATAACCAAAGCTGTACTCGCAAGTCGCGTTCACAGAGCTGCTATCGAGAAGATCACCTTTGTTTACAGAGGAGAGAAACCGAGCCTTTGGCAGGTCGCACCTCTACTCAATGAGACTCTGTGTAGTCTAATTTCGTTGAACCGAGAAGTGGTCCTTGGATTCGATCCCTTTGGATATTCCGAGCAAAGCGATGACATATCCACCGAGAATGTTCTGGAGTTTATCAGCATGATCTTAATTGTTGTTGCAACCTCCGGGCTGAAGATCAAGAATATTAGTATCCGAGCGAGGAGAGAGGATTGGGATGCATATGATCGTTTCTTCGGATATACCCTGTTCTTCGCTGATGAATACCACTCTACATTCATTGGAATTGATTATGGCGAGATTCTAGCGGAGCTTCACACAATGATCAGGATTGAACGGCAGAAGTTTATACAAGGAGCCCCACCCGAGTTGGTTGCCGAGTATCCAGGAATCGGAAACATATCGCTAGACTATGTCCGAGCATGTTTGAAGATGCAAGGTCTTAATACCTTCCACTGGCTTGAGTTCAGGGACTGGTTGAAAACAATTGAATGCAACGGCATCGAGATCAGTGGATGTACCCTCAACCCCCAAGAACTGGAACGGGTCTTAGCACGCGCCCACATACGCAATCGCCCTATACGTGCCTTGTCGATAGTCGATACGCGGTTGTTAAATGGAAGCGCTCGTAGTGATGCTGCTCTCCGTGCAACCTGCTTACACCGCCTGATTCAAGCCATTAGCCCTCATGCGCAGCAGCTCGAGCACCTCCACTTTGCCAACACATGGGGCGATAGCAAGGTGGATCCATGCCCGGCATTCGACGCCAATCAGGGCGGGCTCGAACTCAGAGGAGAGAACGAAATACGTTCGCATCTAGACCGGTTGAGCGCTCAATTGGTAGAGGTTACCGACGAGGACGAAGAGGATGCAGAGAATGAAGCGAATGAAGACGACGAAGAGAACGAAGATGACGAAGAAGATGAAGAAGACGAAGAGGATGAAGAGGACGAAGAAGAAAGTGATACAAGCTGAGTCACAAGATCAAAGCGTTCTTCTTCTTAAGCTTATGATATAATCACGATTATCATTTCTCGCAACCATAACACATGCGAGCAACATATCGAATGCCAGAACTAATGGATGTCATCGAAAATATATCGCCGCATGGTTATCTCACTTGTCGTGTAGACGTACTAGGTTCCGTACCGACCAAGGATCACTATGTGGTCGTAATCGTTTGCTAGCAGAATGTTTCAACCCGCAAACAACAAATGCTTGTCTGATAGGTGTGTATCATGACTACCATTGACACAACCACTACTGTGACAGATACCCAACAGTGCCTCATGGACACGAGCTCGTTGGTAATGATCCCACATGCAAGCCATGCCTTTGACAATGCTCGATACTTCTTCGATACTGGAGAGCAAAAATCTTGATTTGTCTGTCGGTCTGAAGCTATCCTTCCATACAAGACTGTGCAAGTTGTAGTACCCTCTCCCGTCGTGGATCCTTGTCGCAGGTTTCGGCAATCCGTAGGTCCAGATCCGATGGTGTGACCTTGCCGAAGGTCTTTCGCCAAGCCTTCAGTATTTCGCGTGCCTCTGACTGTGTCAGATTCTCACTAAGGCCATGATGGAAGCGTCTTGCAATCTCGTTGCTCTCCATGTATTCAGCGAGGTTATCTGCGCCTCGTTGACGTAGTTCTGCGGCAAGCTGCTTGTCCAGAGCAGTGATTCCGTTGTTGCTCGAGTAGAGCCAGTTCAGGTTGGCGGTGAGGTATGAGGGGCCGAATGCTTCCATGGCGGGGACAAAACGAGCAAATTGCCAGTCTATGATGCCTGTGATGATGCCTTGATCGTCTAGTAGCAGGTGGTCTCCTTTGTCATCGACATGTTTCAGAAAGAATTTTTCTGTGTTGACAGTACTTGAGCGATTGAAGTTACGAGCTTCTTTGCGTGCTAACGAGTAGAATGCAAATGCTTCGGTAGGGTGTTGGGAGTGGACCTGTCCATCGGCAACCAGATCGAGATGTTGATCAGATATAGCGGTGAAGTAGTCAGACGTACTCAAAANAGGTCCGGATAGATCGAGGTGAACAAATCGATTACTCGCCATCTTGGAGACACTGTTTTGGCCGTCTTTGATGATCAGCGACCCTGCTAACGGAACAGGATGTCTTGAGATTTCGATCAATATCTCCGCAAATTGTGCGAGGATGCTTTGTTGTTGCTGAGGTTCCGCTCCTAAGAGGTCACTGTTGAAAGGCTTGCCAGGAAGACACTCTGTGAGCAGGTAGCTCACGCCAACAGCATTGTCCTCGTCTGAGGCAAGTCCAAATCCAAAAGCTTTAGGAGCAGGCACTTTGGTAGGCTCCAAGAACTTGAGGGTCGCATATTCACTTGCAATAAAATACTCGACCATGTCGTGTGGGATGTCGCAGAAAACCGTTCTCGGGGTACGTACAAGCCACTGGTCTCCATCGTCGAAGATTAGCCAGGCGTGATAGTTAGCATTCCCCATTATCGCGTCATGATAACTGCTGGGCTTGAAGGAGCATGCAACATTTCCTTTGAGAGTTGATGCCCTCTTCTCCAACTCTGGCACGTTGATTCGATTGACAATTTGCGATATCTCGTCTTCGACCCGGCACACCCATTCTTCCTCGGTGAGNNCTGATGCATAGTTAGCATAAGACTAATCATAGAACTGCTGGGGAACATAATAGGAGATGAATACCTCAACAGCTGTCGCGCATGCGTGAAATTCCGGTCGCAGGTGTTGAACACATAGATGCTGCTTGCAAGTCTGACAAGTCATGCCTCTCACACTAGAAGCTTCGCAGTTATCTGCCGAGCAGGCAGAGAATCTAGCAACAAATTGGTTCATCGTGACTGTGGCATATTCCTGTTCGAAGAGAAGACGTTGAAGAGACCAAAAGTTGCGACAGAGGGAATGCGCCACGCAAGATACAAAGGGTGCTCCTACATTGGATGGTTAGTCTGAATGATCACCCTTTGCATAGCTAGTGTATTCAACCAATCGAAACTGTTACCAAGACGAAATTGACCAGTCTGCAGCCTGCACGCTAACCACCTCATGCGGGATCAGAGCTTAGAACGACGCTGGGCGCGTAATATTGTGCTATCCGTTCTAACACCTTCATCATCCTGCTCCTTGACGGTCAGATTCGGAAAGTCCTTTGGCATAATTCTTCTCGGGACAGATCCAGGTATGAGACTGTATTTGCCAAAATCAGTCACACCTTTGACGTCTCGAAGAAAGTCTTCATCAGTGGTCAGTAGTCCATTGACCGCAGCCGCAGGAGAGCCAAGCATGGCTAGTATGGCATCTGAGAACACAGTGGCTTTCCTCAGATCGCTGCTCCTATCCATTTCTGCAGCGACAGCGCCTTGAGTTGCAGCACTTTCGATAGCTACTGCAGGCCAGATACCAGTAACCGCCATGTCAGTCTTGCCTTCTCGGATCCAATCCATGGACAACCCTTTGACCAGAACACTCATTCCTACTTTGCCAACGGCATATGCAGTTTTGCCTCTGAAGAAGCGGCTATAAATTGGCGGACAGACGACAACAACTCGACCTTTCCAACCGCTCTTCTCGAACAGAGGAAATGAGGCTTGTATGCTGGCATATAAGCCTTCGATGTTGACTTCCTGCATGAGCTTGAATCGCTTGACCGGCGTGTTGGCCACCGAAGACCACCAGATGGCTCCAGAGTTGTAGACCAGAACATCGAGTCGACCAAGCTTGGACGACACTTTGGCAAACAGTGCATTCACTGACTCTGTTGAGCGAGTGTTTACTTCTATGGCAACTGCGGTTCCTCCCAGCAAGTGAATCTCTTTGGCGACTGTGTTGATGGTGCTTTGAGATGAGTTTGGATCCGGTGGGAACGAAGCCAGCTTCTCGGGATCTGAGGTTGTCTTCGCCGCAACGACGACNNTTTGCGCATTATCAGTAAACTCTTGCTGGCTTTAGATAGAGCCTCCGATGCTCCTCTTACCTGTATAACCTTCCCCAGCCAAACTGATTGCTATTTGGCGGCCCATGCCCCGAGAAGCCCCAACCACCATGGCCACAGGTTTTGTGCTGGTCATCATCACGAATATGTCAATGATTCAAGGAGAATGTCGCGATGATGCTCAACCTCGAGTTTCAGAGTGAAGGTCATATAGCATATGTTAGTGCTGCTAGCTTTCTGGACCGAGGCATGGTGGAACGCGGGGTGTCGTGCTTTCTCTTGAAGCTCACGTCTCTCCTCGGACCAGAGCATGTGTGTTGACTCAACATCACATGATACGACTCAACTTACGACGACATACCAACGTGACGTTGAATAGGTAATCCCTCGCCGTAATCTGGATGCTATCGATGTACCTATATTCGCCAAGCCATTATGAATGGCCTCTTGCCAAGCCCTGTTCGAGCGCTATAGGGCTGAGTGAAGGTTTCACATCAACAGCTTGACACCACAATGATACCTTCCAGATTCTCCAAACGAGATTCGAAGCAATAGTGCTTGGTCACTAGCGTGTCTGATATACGAGACCCACCGTGGAAAATTCAGGCCCCCAGATTCTCTAACACGTGTGCCTCGGCAGAGAACCTTCTCTGCATAGCGTTCTGCGGAGCTCTTATCCAGGTAGGTGGTGCGTCCACCACTTCTGTCTCAGATCCAAGGACGACACGAGAGAAAACTGCATATCATACCCATTCAGACCTCAGCCTCCACTTCCGAACACAACAAGCACCTCTCCGCTTTCTGTATTCATCATCAGCCTCTCAGATCGAGACTCACAGCTTCCGATGCTTGGACCACACGAGCGGCGATGATGCGGAATCACAGTCGCATACTCGCCTCTGTGCACAGTGCACGCTCTTCCCTGGGCTCTTGATATGATGAAGCTTTCACATCCTTGTTCTTTACCGAGCTCGAGGGCAGTTCTTTCTTGACCCAGCTTCTCTTGTAGTCTGGCACTTCTCATTCAATCATTCGCCATGCCAGGCGAGACGACATCTGAAGACCTGCAGCTTGCAGCGGCCGCTGCTGGATTTTCTCTTGGTTTCGGATACCTGACGGTGGTCCGCGCCTATAAGCAGACCATGGCTAATAGGGCTCCTGCTCGAAGCATGTACATCTACATGTTATGGGGAGAGATTCTGGCAAATTTCGTCCTTGGGATCTTGACATGGCTCTACCTCAAGGATGTTGTGAAGACTACGTAAGTAACATGTTTGCTTCCTAATGATCCACACAAGAGCTCTGCGCCTACTTTCCGGGATCTAGTCTCCGATGGCCCGATACGCAATTGAATCTCGTATACCACATGGGTGTATGAGCTGGCGAGACGGACAAGGCTCCGGCAAAAGTTCTATAATGGTTCTTCTGCAGTATCTTGACTTTTCCCACTACGGTCGACAATATGTGGCACAGCGATTGCAACGATTGTCACGAACTATCATGGAGTTGACAAGGCGTATAACCTACTGACGACACATACAGTCCAGTCCTTCTCTTCTTCATTCTGGTTTTCTACGCGCTCGAAGTGCAACTCCTGATGCAGATCATCATCAATCGAATTGCCGTCATAGCAGAACGAAAACCGATTGCAACCAAGCTCAAGATCGCAACAGCCGTCATTATCTCATGCATCAACATCGCGGTCTTTTGCATCTTCATACCGAGCCACATGATGCCTCCGGTGAACCAGACCTTTGTGAACATCAACAAGTACTGGGACCGTCTATCAAAAGTCTTGATTATGCTTGTCGAGTATGTTCTCCAGATACTGTCTGCAGCGTCGGTGGCATCTGCTGAAAATCTCCCAGTNGCCTTCTTGAATTGGTACTTTGTCTATGTCGTGCGAGCGCGACTTGTCAAATATCATGGCCTTAGAAAGTACAAGCCACTGGTCGGATATTACACTCGCTTGGGTCTTGTGTCAGTTGCCATGGACGTATGTTCTCCCAGACGTGTCGCGTAGCACATATGGTACTGACACACTCTCAGNCTTATGCTCATTGGGCTGATGTCCTTGAAAAATCATACGCTTTTCGTGCAATTCCACCCTGTTGCNATGTGAGTACAATAAACTGAAGGTTTCGCTTCTACTGATGGCTGATGTTCCTTTGTAGACATGGCAAAGCTCAATATAGAGATGTCTGTACGTTGTTGATCTACCTTCATGGATGCTGCAAGAGACTCGTACTGACAGCTTCCGATACAGATGGCAGATATGATAGTCAAAGTCGCACGATCATCCGAAAACGACGTAAAGCCGAGATCGTCTTCTCTGACACCGTTCCCTGAACAATCACGGATGCATCACATAGCCACCCTGCGCGGTGACGACGACATACACATTGGTCCTCAAAACACCGCAGTGATCGGTCATACCCAACTCGACAAGGCAGAACGAAAAGGCATCGAAGGTATCTCGCGCCAGAGAGAAGTGCAAGTTTATGTCGGAGATGCGGACAGCGATTGCCGCACCGACAGTCTTGAGAACGGTAAAGAGCTGGGCAGAAGCAGGGCAAACTCATCTGAGTCGCAGATTCCGTTGAAGGATCTGGGAAGGTCGAAAGAGGTGCGATAACAGATATACAAAACTAGCCCAGACGAATGTTTCTAGCACTTCTTCAGACACATTTCTTATATCTGTAGTCCTGGATCGCGAACAAGCAGACGACAAGCTGCGACCTTGCCTGGATGAACTCGTACAACAACAAGAGCAGTTTAGATGCTATGAGTCGAGGTGGGGTCAAGTCCGGCGTCGACATGGTTTAAAATGCGTATCAACAACCACACATCGAGGGCTTCACCTTTCGCGCTTGAAGCTTTGGCTGAAACCTTCCACTATTTTGCTATTTGAGTGGAGACTTCGAAATTCAAACGGATATAACCTGCAAAGTCAAACTCTCATAACTCCGGTATTCATAGAATTACCTCCTAACCCCGCGCTCATCAGTAAACGTCATTGCCGTTTCAGTCAGTGAAGGAAACTACAAGTAGAGCTGTCTCTCACTCTTGACATTGGGATATCTCAAGCATATCGTTCTTACATTAAACAAAGAAACACGTTGACTACTCACAATGGCTTTCTTTGATCCTGCACCTAAGCCTAAGAGCCTTCTAGGCTACCACAGAGTATTGGCACCCACTGCAGGCATCAAATGCTCACCCTTGTGCCTTGGTGCCATGAACTTTGGCAATGGATGGTAAGTCTATTCATCAATGAAACCTCAACTTCCCGAGAACGATGTGCTGACCATGTGCAGGAAAGATTTTATGGGAGAATGTGACAAGGACACCAGTTTCGCTGTCCTTGATGCTTTCTTTGACCTCGGCGGTAACTTTATCGACACTGCCAATGCATATCAATGCGAGGAGTCTGAGGAGTGGCTTGGTGAGTGGATGGAGAAGAAGGGAAACCGCGATCAGATGGTGTATGTATTTCATTTGCTCTACTGCAAAGTCGATCGGCAAACCTAACGATGTTACAGGATTGCGACCAAATATACCACGGGATACCGCTATCATGCTCGCGATGCCGAACCCTTGCAGTCCAACTTTGTCGGCAACTCTTTCAAGTCGATGCACATTTCCGTCAACCGATCTTTGAAGAAGCTTCGCACTGACTACATCGACCTGCTATATGTGCATTGGTGGGACTTCACCACTAGCGTTGAGGAAGTCATGCACGGTCTCAATGCTCTGATCACTGCTGGCAAGGTTCTTTATCTGGGAGTCTCGGACACACCCGCTTGGGTTGTAGTCAAGGCCAACGACTACGCCCGTGCTCATGGTCTGCGTCCTTTCTCAGTCTACCAAGGCAAATGGAATGCCGCCTACAGAGATATGGAAAGGGAGATCATACCCATGTGCCAGGACCAAGGCATGGCAATCGCGCCATGGGGACCACTTGGTCAGGGCAAGTTCAAGACCAAGGAAGCTCGCAGCAAAGAGCACGAAGGTTCTGCTCGTGCTTCTAAGTCCAGCGAGCAGGAGATCGCTATTTCAGATGCACTTGAGAAGGTCGCTGAGAAGTACAAGGCAACCATGCATGGAATTGCTCTTGCCTATGTCATGCACAAGACTCCAAATGTCTTCCCTATCATCGGACAGCGCAAGGTCGAACACCTGAAGGCCAATGTCGAGGCCTTGAGTATCAAACTCACGCAAGAAGATCTGAATGAAATTGAGGCTGCGGCTCCCTTCGATCCAGGATTCCCCATGACTTTCATCTTTGCCGACAAATTTGATGTTAAGAACAACACTGCGGCAGATGTCAAACTTACTGGAATCTCGGCGAGGATTGATGCTCCTCCTAAGCAGCAGCCCGTTCCGGCTCGCTCTGAGGTCTAATGGTAACGATATTCTATGTTGGGACTATAAGAGTTTTCTCTTATTGAGAGCCAGTTCTCCAAGATCTCGAAGGGTCATAGATAAAGAGTCGGATGTAGAACACCAGCTTCTCATAGTCTGAAGCTTTGTCTAGATCAGCCATGTAGTTCAAATACCCATCAATCTCATACGAACAAGCTACTTTCTCAATCGAGCAAGCGTGGCACCCATAGGTTCTCCCTCTTTCAACGCAGCCATAGTCTTCTCATCAATCTCAAACCTCTTCTCACAAATCTCCAAACACTTTTCCGCATGTTCGACAGGAACAACAACCACTCCATCCAGATCCGCAAGTATCAAGTCGCCAGGATGTATAGTTAATGGTCTTTGTTGCGTCTCTGAGGTAAACTGCACAGGAACATTGAGCCCAGAAGCTCTGGTGAAAGTATTGGATCCCAGTGCTGAAGTGGCTTTGGCGAAAACNNCTGTTTGGGTTGCGTGTTAGCTGGTTGTGAACTTGAACAAACATGTGAGAAGAGCAGATCAAATACTGACTGGAAACCCCATCTCACGATGCTCATTCAGATCTCTAAAATTGCCATCCACAACCACACCCTGCGCGCCCAAATACTTAGCTCTCGTGGACATCAACCCACCCCAACAAGCCGAGTAAAACCCTTTGGGCTGGGAGATAAACACGACCTCTCCATCTTTAATCCCATCTACAAAGTGTTGGGAAGGTTTGGGAGAGGTGGTGTCGTTGGCATCAACCATTTGCACTGTATAGGCCGGTCCGAAGAGTTTTGTGGTGCCGGCTTGTTGGTATGGTGAGAACATTTTTAGACCGTGGAGGTAGCCGCCGTAAGTGACGTTTAATTTTACAAGGGCGTCGCCGACNNCTGTGGTGTGTGAGTATAGCTTTATGGTGGAGTGATGGTGAATGAGAAAGTGGAGCTTCAGACATACATCGCAAGAGGTGAAGCGTTTGAGCGCATTGAAGATGTGGGCGGGTACTGTTGGAGGCATGATTTCGTGACGCTACTCGGTCTGAGAAAGTTGGATATGAGTGTTGCTTAAGAATGGAAGATGAGTTCTGATTTGATAATTGGTCCGAGGTTGATATCATCTCACAACTTTTGCATAAGAGAATACGCGCTCACAGTCATGTCTTCTCCGCACGAACGGACTTCTCTTCCAACGACACCTCGCGACCGGTCTTCTATCTCACTCCAACTACCGTGTGATGTTTATGAAACTAGGCCACTGGTATCTTGATCTCAGACATGCTCGATCATGCTCAATGGGAATGAAGCTCTTGATGATATAGGTGCATAACGCTGATGAGAGTGCAGTTGAGAAAGGCAGATGTGAATTTAGGGAACGAAGAGTCTTCGAGACCAAGAGAGATAACCAGACTTTGGGGTGTTTAATGACATGAAATATACTGCCACGTTGAGACACGGAGACGACTTCTCCGGCGCCCGGTTTAGAAACCAGTACGACGATGAAAAGATGGTGGGCCAAACTCCCAAAAGAGAACTTGACCGAAAAGTTCCAAAAATTATGCCGACTGTCCACCAGCAGAGAAGCCACGTACTCTCCACTGGCCTCGCATTTCGGAATACTAAGCAACGCAAGCATCGAATAGCATCCGGTCAGCATACGAGCTCTCAACCCACCTGGGCAGGATGAGAGGGACTGAAAATGACAAAACTACCATGAAGGTGCTCCCTCCCCAGTGACAGGCCATTACAGCAATCCCTGAGGAGTTCACGTTGCGTTTTGTTGTATCCCCCACTGTGCTGCCGCTTCCGATATCCAGAGGACCACCATTGGAAGCCCTTTCGTGATCAGGGACATCCGGCTAGGACAAGGTATACCTTCCGGCTCTGAGATACAGTCGCGACAGTCTGGTTGCCACAACCCAGATCTAAACCTCCTCAGGCCTTACCGGCAAAAGGCATCGGATCCGGGTCGCGACTGGTCTGAAAGTCCAAGGTTTTCATATGCGCGGACGCAAGTTAGCGACAATCGACCCAGGTCGAGCACGCCAGAAGCAGTGCCGCCTTCCGCGAATACAACACTCCTGGGAGTGAGGGTAATGAATGTATGAGGGTGCGTGGCGCCATGGCCCGCCTGTACACCGAAGCGAAGCGGCAAGCCATGGGCGAATTAGAGAAGAAAGATGGGGCACTGCGCGATGCGCAAACGATAAAGAAGATGACAAAGTGTAGCAGACGTGACCTGGGCAAGGCGCGCAAATAATGGGAAACAAGTAGAGAAGAATGCCGACCTGAGGGGAGTAACGAGAAAGAAGACCGGGCAACACCAAACGAGGTTGGGGGCGAACTGGGACAACAGCTCTAGAAGCGACAAAAAGCAGACGGCCCAGGTTGGCGGCAGAAGTGGTGGCAGGAAGACAAGGTGAGTGAGATGGAAAAGGAAAGAGCTGTTGACGCTTGAACTCTAACTTTTATAGCAGGCACCAGCGCGCAACACCGACGGTCGCCAAGACCCGTGCAGTCATGCTCGCGCTCTTGTTTCCTTTCACTTCTGTTTTCAAACGCGTGACTCGTGCTTACAGTTCTTCATGGCATTCACAATACCATACCAGACTGTTTTTCCAACCTGAAAGTTGGTTTGGCTCTCCGGCCGTCGTCCTCTTTGAGCACTAACTGACCCCTGACTTGCCAGAAATACGTCTCATCCGATATCAACATCGGACACAGATCTGCTATACACGACAACTTAAAGCTCTAGTAGCTTGACATCTCGGCGTCGATACTAACGTACGACACGACACCCCCTTTTCGCTTCAGGGCAATACCGACCGTGGGCCAGGAAGAAAAGAACATCTACCTGAACTTTCCCTGTCACGGCAAAGACCTCTTACCCACCTCACAATCATCCCCTCATAATCGTTGCTTCACTGTTGCTCGCAGATCATCTTCATAACCAGAACGTTGTTGCAATTGCACAGTTTCTACATCACCATCTCTCCAAAACATGGAGGAAAGTCTTGCAGTTCCTATCTCCGATATGTCACCTACCTAGCATATATATAGCGACTGCAATTCATTCCGCGTCAAATGTAGCTTACTCTCACATATCACCATGTACAACAAATGCACTCGGATCGAGATAGCCGTAAAGTAAACCTCAAACAAAATAATTCCAGATTCTAAGCTATAACATCTCCACCTCTCAGAGCTTGACAGGGAATCTCATCCTAATCCTCTCGCCATAAAAGTAAAAAGCCACCGGAATCGGCAAAAGCGCCAAAGCCACGAACCCAATCAAACTGTTTCCCCATCCCAAGCCCAAAGCATCATACATATCCAAACCAGCAAGAGGAAGCAGGCCACCAAGAATAGAGCGCAGAAGAGTATTAGCCGCCATTGCAGATGCAGCGTGTCTGGTAAAGGTATCGATGAGGTAGGTCTGAATGCAAATCATGCACGAGATCAAGCCGATGCCGAAGAATAGCGTTCCCAACATGGGCACAGCCCATTGAACATGCTTCTGAGCTGTCCAGCCGTAGATGAAGAGGCCGATGGGCATGAAGACGCCAAGTGCCATGAGTGGTGGGAGACGGAACTCTGGCTTGGCCTTGCCGTTGTTGGCGGCGGTCAGACGCTTGAGGATACGATCGGAGGAGGCACCCGTCAGCATTAAGCCAACGAACATGCCAATGCCGCTGGCGATGTAGCCNNTGCCGACGTTGGAGCTTGAGAAGTGGTAGTGTTCTTCAAAGACGAAGGTGAACGTTGTGAAGAGGAGGTACAGGATACCGTACACGACCTAGAAATCCTAATCAGTATTTGACTAGATGATGCCGGTACAACTGTATGTGCTTACCGCGACGTAGAAGGAGGTTAAGAAAACGATAGGCGAGAAGAAAAGCATCTTGAAAGGTCGAACCAAGGCGCGTGACATGCGTTCACGGGCTGGAAGACCATCATCCAGCTTTGAGCGAAGCTCATTGTTGTTTGTTTCTTTCTGCAGCTTCTTGGTCTTGAACTGAAGAAGAGTCGGTGCGTATGTTTCCTTGCAGACAAAGAAGTGGAGAATAGTGGCGGCTCCATAGGCGATGATGATCAACCAGAAGANCCCTGTAAGAGATATTCGGTTAGCTGAAGTGTCAACGATAAACATGGAAAAGTTGAGAACATACCATCGCCATCCTTCGGCACTGGCCAGATAAGCTCCAGCCACAGGACCTATGACGGGGCCAAGCAAAGGGCNCTGTAATCATTTAGTATCAGAGAGAGGTTGATGCTGATTCGATCACATACCCATAGCATACAGCGCCATAGCGCCACCTCTCTTCTCTTGTGGAATCATATCTGCGATACTTGCGCCACCAAGAGTCACAGGGCAAACTCCAAAGCATCCCGCGAAGAAGCGGAACACGATAAGTTGAGGCATTGAATGAGCCACCGCACAAGCCACCGTGAAGATGATGAAGCCTACATTGCAGACAATGTACACCGGACGACGACCGTAAATCTCGCTCAAGGGCGAGATAAGCAGCGGACCAACAGCGAATCCAAGCAAGAAGACAGAGACGACAAAAGCAGCCAGTGTGACAGAAGTCTCCTTGAACTCGCGTAGAACATCAGGGACACCAGGTGCGAACATAGACGACGCCAGAGGTGTCAACAGCGTAAGGAAGATGATGGCGCCACAGTTGATAATCTTGGCTTTTGAGGTCCAGTTCATGGGGTTTTGAGGATCGTCTTCGCCATCCCAGGATACAATGTTTGGGTCTGTTGTGTCGCTTGATTGTTGTATGGTAGCGACTTGCTTCTCGACATCTGTGTTGGACTGTACTACCGTGGCTCTGTCGATATCTGAGGATGATTTGGAGCTGGCGTAAACAGTGCTCTCTTNTTGTTCGGCCATGACGAGCTTGGAGAGATATAGCAATGGTCAATGAAACACTAAGGGAAGAACAGAAACATGCATGTCGGTACAGAGAGGTCGAACCTTCTCCTATATACCTACCTTCTTGAAGACTTATGCGACCACTTCTACGGAAGATGGGCTTTCCGTGCATTAATCGACTCCCTATATCTTGTTGTCAATGTGATAAATATTGGGGCAGTGAGGGGAAAGAATCGGGACCGCTTCGTTCCTTGTTGGAGTTGTGCAATTTGTGAAAGTTGTGCAGAGATTCGGAGACTTTCCCTGCCGTTATACAAAAGCCATTTTGTAGCAGACTGTCAGTTGCGGCACGGCGAAACGTTTTCGAGTGGTAAAACAAGATTGATCCCGAAAGGTTTATGAGCGAGCACAGCGCCCTAGGTAGAAGAGTCGGTCTCAGAATGGACACGGTGATCTTGATTGACTGCATTGATTGCAAATTATTTTAACGCCGCATAGAAACAGTTCATCGAGTCCTATATACAAAAATGCAAGCAGTTCTATTTTACAACACCATTGACAAACTCACAAAAGAAAACTCGTTGGGCACAGAGGTCTGCGGCCGGGTATTTCAATTACGCTAAGGTGTGCTCTTCATTGAGAACCATCACGCTCACTTCAGCTCGTCCATAGTAAAGATGGAATGAGTTTGGTTGGAGTGGTGGCCATGGTGGTGCTCGGCATTATGGCGCATCTCCTGGTACTTGAAGGCGAAGTTCAGGATCAGAGCGACGAAGAGTCCAACACAGACAACGACAGGACCGGTAAGGGCGTCAAAGTCCTTGCCGCTTCTCTGCTCGATGAGACGACTTCGCCATTGGTAAACACCCCAGCCCCAGACGCCAGTGAAGACTGCAGCGAGAGTGTAGACGAGCGCGAGTGCACGGGCAATGTTGTTGTTCTCGCCAGCAGCGTTGAAAGACCTAGACTCAAGGGAAGCGAGGAGGACAGTAATGTGCTGCCACTTGATGAAAGTACGCTGGTTGGCAAGCCAGACCTTGGCCTCAACCTTGACAGGGCCTTGGTCCTTGATCCAGTATTCAGGCTTCTGAACGCCAGGAGGCAGAGGCATGTCGCGATCGCGGCGGTTGCGTGCATACTTGGAAGTTGAGAAGGATGGGAAGAGGGTCTGCAGACCGGATTGAGTAGTAGCCTGGACTTCAGTGTTGTGAGCCTGGCGACCGTCATCGTCAGAATCCGGCTCATCGGCGACTGCTGCCATGCCGGTAGGCTGAGAGCGAGCGAGACTGCCCAGCGATTGGCCACCTGCCTTCATAGCGCTTTGGCGAGAAGTGCGACGATCAAGGTAACTACCGCTCTTGTCTGTAGGAGAGCCAACAGGTGACAGACCACCAGGCTTGTATGATGAATGGCTCTTGCTCTTCATAAGACTGCCAACGGCCAGCTCATCCTCTTGTTGCTTTTGCTTCTTGGCCTGCTCCTTCTCGAAGGCTGCCTCAGGGTCTTGACGGATGTCCTCCTCCAGCGTTGAGAGCCAGAAGGGGAAGGTGTTGACGTTGTCCTCGAAGAGGGAAGCCACGCCGTGAACGAACTTGGAGAATTTAGGGGCCTCCTTGACCAAGTGTGAGTTCATCAAGTCATCGATCCACTCATAGTTCTTGTCGTTCTTGACCTTGATCTCGAGCACTGCGTGAGGGAAGGTGGCGAGTTCACCCTTGCGGATGGACTTGAAAGGCCACTCCATCTCGGCGTCATCAATGTCTCTACGGTGCCAGTCTTCAGGGTCGCGGCAGGGACGGTCAGCATCAATGGCATCTTCCCTGATGAAGGCGAGGTTGGTGTCGATAGAGATTCTGACTCTGTCGTCGCCAGGGATCTGGAAGGCAGTACGGGTGTAGTTGGCACGAATGACGGGTTGCAGGTCGTTGTCCTTGATGAAAGATTGGATGTCGTTAATGCCTCTCTTGAAAGACGAGAGAGCTTCTTCAGAGACGTGACGAGATGAACGCTTCTCAATGGCCTTCTCCATGTGGTAGTCGCCCTTGATGAAGGGTTGGATGTACTTGTCCTTGATGGGGAACCTCTCGTCAGCGCTGGTGTTCTCGGTCTTGACGGTCTTTTTCTCGAACATGATTTCGGGCTTCTGCGACAGCTTGCCGTACCATCTCAAGCGAAGGTTGGAGGCGTCAGTCTTGTGCTCAACCTTGTTAGAGTAGAGCTTGAAGTCGGGGTTGTCGAAGTAGATGGAGGTGATGGAAGGGTCTTGCTGGGAGCCCTCGGCGATCTTCTCGGTCTGAGGGTTGTAGACGAGGACGGGGAGACGGCGGAGGATGATGGTCTTGACTTCGAGGAGGTTGTCCATGTGAACCCAGAACTTGTGGGTGAGGTAGCTCTCTTCACCAGCGATAGACTCGACGAGCGAGAGAGGGCGGTCCTGACCTTCGAGGTTCTGACGAGCGAACGAGTACATGGCCGATAGACGGTAGAGCAGGGGCGAGTAGTCCTCGTTGTTGAAGGGAACATCGGCCATTCTGGACTTGACCAGAGGACGGATGCTCGAGACGCGGCCACCTCTCTTGCGGTCATGCTTCTTTGCGATCTTGAGGAAGCCAGTGTAGTTGATGCGGCTGTACTTTTCCAGCTCGTTGATGTCCTTGGTGATGAGATCCAGCTCTTCGAGGACTTCCTTCAGGATGCGCTTCCTCTCGCCGTCCGAGGGCGAGGGCTTCTTTGCGGCGCCGGCATAGGATGTAGCGGGCGCTTCAGCATCTTGGACGGCTTTGGCGATGGGGTCCAGCTTGGACTCGCATTTGGCGGTGCGGTCGCGCAGCTTCTGGTAGGTCGACTTGTGGAAGTTGGTGACCTTTTCGAGCTGCGAGTTGACCAGCTCGGCGTAGAAGGCTTGAGCGTCTTCGTCGGTCCAGGTGTCGTCCTTTCTGCTCGAGTCGTCCTCTCTCAGCAGCTTCTTGAGCTTGGCATAGTCGACGTACGACTCCCTCCACGGCTCGTACACGGCATTGCGCAGGGTGGTGCCAAACTTCATCTTGCTCTTCTCTCAGTCAATTGCTGTAAGAGTAGACAATTCAACAATCCTGCAGAGAAAGAGATTTTTGGTCGACAGCAATCAATAGCACATGGTTGATGCTATGTCATTCTGCTGCAAGGCCAGCCAATCAGCGGCGCCGAGCTGAGCACGCCGCTTCGCTCCGGCCTTTTTCCTCCATTAATTTACATGGCAACCAATCCTACTCCTTCTGTATCATCATGTCCTCCACTGCTGAAAAGGACTCGTCCAACACTGACTTGATCCAAAATATCCATAACACGCTTGCCTGGTTGAAAAACAATCCATGTCCTTATGTCGCTGGCCCAGAATCTCTCAAGAAACGTGCATCAGTCGCCTTGATCGTGCGCATACAACCATCTTATGCCCATCAACCAGATAAGGCCGCTGCTCCCGCTGACAACATTGACTCTTTCTTTGCTCAGGACTGGGTCAAGCATGGAGAACCAGAGGTCCTATTCATAAAACGTGCTGCCCGAAAGGGTGATCGATGGACTTCTCATGTCGCCTTGCCTGGTGGTAGACGCGATCCTGAAGACGAGAACGACCAACATGCTGCCATTCGCGAAGCTGCTGAAGAGGTCGGCATCGAACTGTCAGAACGTACATGCATCGCGGTTGGAAATCTTCCTCAGAGAATTGTCACGACTAGCTGGGGCCGCGTACCGCTAATGGTCTTATGTCCATATGTTTTTCTTGTTACACGTCATGACTTGCCATCGCTACGTCTACAGCCTACTGAAGTTGCTTCGACACATTGGGTACCTATTCGCTCTCTTCTTGACCCTGGCCAACGCACTGTCCATACCGAGGATGTCAGTAATAGGTTAGCCAACCAGGAAACGGGCATCAAGAAGTGGGCTTTGGCAGGAATGCTTGGTAAAATGGAGTTCAGTGCAATCCAGTTGCTTCCTGCAGAGAGTCTTTACTGCCATGAATCACCTCCAGACGACTCTAATCAACACAAGATTGCGCCACCAAGAAACATAATCCAGAGACTGTTGAGCTTCACCTATTCACCAACCCTACCTCCTCCACCTCAACATCGTCCGCTCATCTTGTGGGGATTGACACTTGGAGTTGTGGCCGATTTCCTCGATCTGTTACCACCTCACAACGCATTGGAACTATGGACATATCCCACATTTACCATGCCTGACGTTCGATTAGTGATATGGCTCACGACTTATAGATTCAGAGAATCCAAACGACTGCAGCTCGAGTCGGATAACCATTCAGGCTCTCCCACTGCAGCTGTCGAAGAGGGGTTGGACGCTGTCTCGTTACCGGATGACAAGCGTGGTAGCGATGTAGGCATGGGAGGATTAGGTTCTGGACGCAGCCTGAAGGGACAGTCTTTCGAGAGTGCGGTGGGAACTATGCTGGAAGGCTACTACGCCTGCATGAGAAGGNNGGGAGTAACATATGCCTTGTTATGCCGACTACTTGGAGTCACTGCTATCACGGCTATGCTATGGTCAAGGAGAAGATATTTGCCATTAGTGCTCGCTAGACTCAACAGATATAGATAGATCGAAAATAATACATAACTACCTACTATCAACCGATACAATATGGCAGATGTATCAAGACCAGAGAATGATTCGAAATGGAAAGCTTCCACGACGATGCTGACCATCTAATGGCTTCGGACCCGATTTCCATGTGGGGCTCTCGGTGCATCTGCGCCCGAGAGGACCCTTCTCAAAGGATGAAGTCGTCGGCTATTGACCCTCATCGGTCGGCAACCCAGAGATACAAGGATGGGGAATGGCCACCTCATGTCGTCGCTTTCGTCCTGCGCGAGTACCACCTTCCATATCCTAGACCTTTGAAAACACACCGAAGATGGGCAAGGTCTACACTTACGACGAAGGTAGGCAAACCCGTCCCTTGCTCCTCTCGACACCAAAAGGCTGATCGCCCCCACCCCANGTCTCCCAGCACAACACCCCAGACAGCTGCTGGGTAATCCTCTACGGAAATGTCTACGATGTAACGAAATTCGTCCCCGAACATCCCGGCGGTGCAAAAATCATCCTTCAACTCGCTGGCCAAGATGCAACCGAAGAATACGATCCCATCCATCCTCCAGGCATCCTGGAAGAAACGCTAGCGCCGGAATGCAAGTTGGGCACTTTTGACGCTAGCACTTTGCCCAAGGTTGAAAAGTCGCTGGTGGGCGAGGATAAAGTTGATGAGGAGGCTATCATGCCCTTGGACCATTGTCTAAACATGGACGACATCGAAGCCGTCGCGACAAAGAAGATGAGCAAAAAGGCATGGGCATACTATTTCTCCGCCGCCGACGACTTAAAATCAAAGGTCTTGAACAATACAGTATACAGCAGTATCCTGTTGCGTCCGCGCGTATTCGTGGATATCACAAAATGCGATACTAGCACCACTATCCTCGGCAACAAAGTCAACATCCCTTTGTTTGTTTCCNNCCCAGCTGCAATGGCGAGATTGGGTCATCCAGATGGCGAACACGGTATCGCCAGGGCGTGCAACACATTCGGCGCTTGTCAGATTATCTCGAACAATGCTTCGCAAACGCCCGAACAGATTCTTGAAGGTGCGCCTGCAGATCAAGTGTTTGGCTGGCAACTCTACGTTCAGAATGACCGTAAGAAGAGTGAAGACATGCTCGTCCGCATCAACGCCCTCAAACAGATAAAGTTCATCGTGTTAACACTCGACGCTCCCGTACCCGGAAAACGCGAACACGACGAGAGAGAAGGCAAGAATATAGGTGCCAATCTACCCATCCGCAGTGCCCACCAACAAGGCAGCGCAAGCACCACCTCNCCAGACCCAAAGAAAGGAGGCAACAGCGGCAGTGGCAGTGTAGCCTCTGCAATGTTCGCCGGCACTGCCGGCGACCTAACCTGGAAAACGACTTTGCCTTGGTTGGCCAAACACACAAAGCTTCCTATTGTGCTCAAAGGGCTGCAAACGCATGAAGACGCATACATAGCTTCGTTGCACGCACCCCAAGTCCAAGGCATTATTCTGTCCAACCACGGCGGTAGAGCTGCAGACACAGCACCGCCTTCAATCCACACCTTAATTGAGATACGCAAGTACTGCCCCGAAGTCCTCGACAAGATCGAAGTGTGGGTTGACGGCGGCATCAAGCGCGGTACCGATGTCGTCAAAGCTCTATGCTTGGGGGCCAAAGCCGTAGGCATGGGACGAAATGCTCTATTCGGTCTTGGTGCGGGAGGTACAGAGGGTGTGGAAAGAGTGTATGAGATCTTGAAGGCTGAGATCGAAACGACGATGCGTTTGCTTGCTGTGGAGAAGGTCGAGGAATTGGGACCTCAGCACGTGAGTTTCATTGATAATGAGTATTCACCAAGACACATGAGCTAACAAAATATTGCAGATNNCAATGCCAGAGCTGTGGAGAGGGATATCTACGACGGTCCTGCCGGTCTCGAGAAACTAAGCATGTGGATCAAGGCCAAGCTGTAGATACACCACAAACCACCAATGCAGCAAAATCAATTCTGCAAATTGAGAGAGTATAATTGAAGAATTTCATGCAAACAATCTGCGGAAAGGATTCAGTCATGTCATCTTCCTCATCTTCCAAGTATGCATATTTCGAGGGTCAAAGGGTCGTCACGAAGGGAGCAGAGACAACAGTGTCAGAAAGATAATTTCATCTCATTCATTTGCTATCAAGCCTCTTAGAGCAAAGCTCACAAGCAAGATAGCAGTGGGGTATCTACACAATTCTTCCGACTTGCTTACACTACAATCTAGTGCAAGAACTGCTTGAACCAGTAAACAGCAGAGTTCTTGGCTCTCTCAAGACCCTCCTTTTGCTTGGGGTCGTTCTGGTCGCCACGGACGGCGAAACCATGGACAAGGCCGGGGTAGTAGTCGTAGTTGAAGGGGATGTTGAGCGTAGGCAGAGTCTTGAGGGTAAACTCCTTGAGCTCGGGAGTGAACATCTGGTCGGTCTCGGGGACGATGTACTGGATAGGGACAGCAGTGTTTGCAATCTCGCTCTCCTCGAGCAGAGAAGGGTGAGCGACGGCACCGCAGTCGATCAGAGCTGAGCCCTTGGCACCCAGACGAAGAACAGCCCAAGCACCCCAGCAGAAACCAATGGCGGCCACCTTCTTGTAAATGGACTTGAGCTCCTTTGCGTTGGCGGTGATCTCGGGGAAACGCTTGTCCTTGCCGTTGCGGCCGATGAAAGCCATGATGTCGAAGTTCTTGCGCTTCTCGGGGTCCTCCATCACATCGGGCTCGACGACCTCGCCCTCAAANNGCTGTGATTGTCGTGTTAGTAACATATTCTGGTGAAAAGCATAATTTATGCAAGCAAGTTGGCGGGGTAGACTTGTCAAGAGAGCCGAGATGGTTCGCCAAGATGAGGACAGAACTTACTAGTCGGGCACGTAGACGGTGACATTGGCCTCNNCCTTTGCGTAGTGGTCGGCGAGCAGGCGGACATTAGGCAGCTTCCAGCCAAAGATGTCGCAGACAATGAGGACAGCAGCATCCTTGTTGTCGCCAGTGACGTAGGCTGGGTTCTTTCCGAGAGTGGTCTCCTTGCCGACGGCCTGGCCGTTCCACTTGAATCCTTCTTTGCAGCAGTTGGACATGTTTGCGATGTGTGTGTTGGTGTATGTGGAGAAGGAGAGAAGAGAGGATTTGACGGATGGGGGCCCGAACAGTTATATAATCTACATATATTGGAAGGGTCTTGCCTGCCTGCCTTACAAATCTGTTTGACCCGTGTCGGAGCTCTAAGCTCTAAGTTGCTGCCCCACCTGCTTGCTCGCTTTGCGGCTTTGGATGCTTTGGCCTCGGGCAGATCTCGCGCCTCACGACAGGCCCGGAACCGGCATGCTTCAAAACGTTCGGCCGAGTCAGTCGTGTACGTGTCGCAATACTGCTCGAGATGAACTGCGATCGGCATGTCAAAACATCCTTTCACAAGAGTGAGATACGGCATGGAGGAATTGTTCGTCCGTCTTACTGCGTGAGGCATTTTGACAAACTCACATTTGATCAGAAGGAATTGTAGTGGAATGAAGTACATACATGCCGCTTATCCGTAGCCTATCGAAAGCAAACGCTCGCTGTAGCAACTCATGACCAGGCGTCACATCTCGACTCATGTAATTACATTTTGTTTCTGTGCCCCAAACGCCACGCTAAAGATGAAAATCCCCAATCTGCAGTGACAATATATCCCTGCCTCTACTTAGGAAGCACGAAGAGACCAGGCTTCATGTTAATCCTGCAAAGCTTTGCAACACAACCAGAGAGCTGGAGATAGGTCTGCACACCCTCAAGGATTCTCATGTGTGTAAAGCCGATTTCTCTGATGAACTCGAGTTTGGCATGCTCTGATAGGATTGGAATCGTCTTCGTGACCTTGAACATGGTGCTGATGATGTCGTGGCATGAGTAGCCGGAGTNCCCTGCACTCCCAAGTCAGTAAACTTGGCTATTGGAAACCAAGACTATAATCACATACCAGAGCTCCTTGAGCATTGACAGAGCAGCGTCGATGTTGCATTGATGACAGTTCTTGATCATGGTCTCGACCTTGTAGGGGTGAGGCTGATCAACGACTCTGAAGACATTGTTGCCGTCGACGAAACCGAAACCGGCGTGTGTACTCTGCAAGTTGTTGATGGCCTGTCTCATGTCGCCCTCTGCACTGAAGACCAAGGCGGCAAGACCATCTTCGGAATACTCGACCTTCTCAGCCTCGCAGATCTGGTTCAGACGCTTGACAATCTGAGCATCGGTCAGACGCGAGTACCTCAGGATTGCGCAACGAGACTGCAGGGGCTCAATGATCTTGTTGGACTGGTTGCAGGCAAAGGCGAAGCGAGTGGTGCTTGAGTAGATTTCCATTGTTCTTCTTAGAGCTTGCTGGGCACCTGATGTCATGCTATCGGCTTCATCGAGAATAACCAGCTTTTGACGACCGGCGGGAAGCGTGACCTTTTTCTGGGCAAAGCCCTTGATGCGGTTACGGACAACATCGATACCACGTTCGTCTGAGGCGTTCAATTCGAGTACGGCTTCCTTGTATGCATCTCCGAGCAGTTGTCTTGCCAGGCACAAGATCGAGGTTGTCTTTCCAATACCAGGCATGCCTGAGATGATGACGTGTGGCATATTGCCATCTTTTGCAATGATCTTGAGTCGCTCGATAGTCTCTGTGTTTCCGACGACGTCGTCCAAAAAGACGGGTCTGTATTTCTCTANCCCTGTAGATGGCGTCAGTTCTGCGTGCGCATGCAAAGAGAAGGGCATTTCGTACCAGGGAAGCTCATAGCCAGGGGCAGCAGAAGCCGACGGGCGTGCCTGAGCACCGTTCTGTGCTGATGAAGGACCGGCAGTGACCATTGTGAGATGTGGATGTGATGATGTCGACCAGAGTGTGTCTTTCTTGCTCTTGACCGAGCACACGCGTTAGGCAAGAACGTGTATCGCGTAAAGTACTCGGTTAAACCTGCTTTGTCGTCTCGGCTTCACCTTCCCTCCAACACAACCAAGCTCAAGCAACTTTAAGCTCTCTCAATTCGACTGGCCGAAACTCTCAATACGTCAACCTGACCTTGACTTGACCGTATCTCTGCTCACCCGCGGGGCCTTTGTTCTCGCTTCTTGAATCCACCCAGAGAAGAACAACTGTCTCTCTGGGTGTTGAAGTAGGCGGCTATCGAGGTGTCCCAAGAGAGCAAGGAGCAAACGCTTGGCCAATCGTTTAGACGATCATCGCTGCTTCCGCGCCGCAACATTCTTGTTTCCTCTCTTTGGCATGTGCTCGTCTGTCCCTTAAACCCTCTCTTCCGCGCTCAACCTTCTCTGTCCACGATCCAACATCGGGCAATGGTTGCTACAACCATCCTCTACCTTTGTTGCACATTATGGCCATCAGTCCTAGAATGAAGAGCTATCGGCTCCTGCTCCTCTTCACCATCTTCGCTGCTGTTCTTTTCATCCATCGCGATCGTGTCGCATATGCTGGCTTCAAGTCATGGAATGCCTCCTCAAGCCTTATGTTCGGTAGTCATGTCGATTGGAGTCAAATTCCCAAGCATCACACAGTCACGTCTATGTATGCTCTGCCCACCGGTCAGCCAAAGAAGCTGCCAAAATTTCAGTACAGCTTCCCAACCGAGTCTTCGTCCGAGAAGTCAGTACGTGAGGAGAGACGAATCGCCGTCCTTGAGGCATTCAAACGAGCCTGGAGCTCGTACAGGGATCATGCCTGGATGGCTGACGAACTGACCCCCATCTCGGGTGACAAGAGAAACACTTTCGCCGGATGGGCTGCCACTCTGGTTGATGCATTAGACACGCTATGGATCATGGGTCTGAAAGCCGAGTTTAACGAAGCCGTGGCAGCAGCAGTCTCCATCGATTTCGCATCCACAGCACAAGACGAAATCAACGTGTTCGAAACAACAATTCGCTATATGGGCGGCTTTTTGTCTGCATACGACTTGAGTGCCGACGAAAGACTTTTGGTCAAAGCCAAGGAACTTGGTGAGATGTTGCTCCACGCCTTCGACACTCCCAACCACATGCCCATCACTCGCTGGAGAGTCATGGACGCTCGCAGAGGTGCTCCCCAGACCGCCGATCCCGTCACGCTCGTAGCTGAGATTGGCTCACTCGTCATGGAGTTCACCCGACTTTCTCAGATCACTAAAGACCCACGCTGGTTCGATGCCACGCATCGCGTGATGAAACTCTTCGAAGAGCAACAGTCCAAGACAAACGTGCCTGGTATGTGGCCCATCCTTGTCAACGCCAAAGATATGGACCTTACTTGGCACGACACGTTCACACTTGGCGCGATGTCGGATTCTGCATATGAGTATTTGCCCAAGATGCACGCACTCCTTGGCGGATTGGAACCGATGTATGAGAAGATGTACCGTGATGCCATGCAGACCGCCATCCGATACACGCTCTGGCGACCCATGACGCCTGATAAAGCAGATATTTTGATCGCAGGAACAGCTCACGTCGGTCAAGATCACAAAGGTGGGCTTGACTTTCAAGGGCAGCATCTTGTTTGCTTTGCTGGAGGCATGTTAGCTTTAGGTGGAAAATTATTCGATGACCAAACTCACCTCGACATGGGCAGGAAAGTGACAGACGGCTGTATCTGGACGTACAAAGCCATGCCTCTAGGCATCATGCCTGAAGTCTTTCACATGGTCGAGTGTCCTACTAACGAGCCTTGTGAGTGGGACGAGAAGGCCTGGCACAAAGAGGTTCTGAGAAGAAAGGGCGGCGATGATAGTGACAAGCTGGATGTCCAGAAGGTCATTGCCGAAGAACGTCTTCCACCTGGCTTCTCAAGTCTTGATGACCGCAGATACATCTTGAGGCCCGAGGCAATCGAGAGTGTTTTCATCTTGTACCGTATCACTGGTCGCAAAGATCTGCAAGAGACTGCATGGCAGATGTTCAACGCCATTCAGGAAAACACGAAGACTGCACTGGCCAATGGTGCTCTTGCAGACGTCTCTCGAGAAGATGGAAAGGTGACGGTCACAGACAGCATGGAGAGTTTCTGGTTGGCAGAGACGCTCAAGTACTTCTACCTGATTTTCAGCGAACCTGACGTGATCAGTCTGGATGACTACACCTTCAACACAGAAGCACATCCATTCAAGATCCCTAAGTAATAGAGATAGTAGATACCCTATGCAGCAATAATTGGTATGTCTCTACTTGTCTTTAGCACGCGTGCCTTGCAGCAGTCTACCAAAGCCATGCCTATGAATCTTGGAAGGTTGAGGGGGAGATCCTAGCTCGTGCATCTCACCAAACAAACAGCACCTGAAGATTGCTATGGCCATGTGCTGAACAGGGGCATGGCGCATAGCGGACCAATGAATCGATAGTACATGTCTTCGTACTTTTTCTAGTCAAATGCAAGACAGCCCGTCCCTGGTGCATGGGACAAAATCGATTCTTTGTTCATTGTATTGATGTCCTCTCAGACCTTTGTCTATCGTATCGCAGTAAATGGAAGACCATTTTCGGGCTTGAATAATTACGAGATTCGATAGATTGGCCACATAATAGAAGAGCTTGCGGAGATGATGGACATAGCTTCTGTAGAGGGTCTCGCCTCTTTCATGTCTGAAATGTATTCCAGACGCGCACGTTCATAACGCGGCCGGCCGATCAGCCGCCATCATGCAGCGGAATCTGAACGTTGCACAAGAAGGATGGCAGCGCGGAGCGAAGTGACAGGGAAGACGGAAAGTATGAGCTGGGTACATGGCTCTGCTTCTGCAAGCAAAAGGTATTGCAAGAGGGCTGGGCTCGCGGGTAAGCAAGGCACAGTCTAGTTTATAAAAAGTTGTATGACTTCGCCTCTTTCTTGCAACAGGCTGTGTATTCCCTCTTTTGACACGACCAACAAGTCAGACTTGTGGCTTCTCCACGGTCCCCTTTCTGACATCAGTCAAGTTCGCTCCTTTTCCCGCCTTGTTCTGGGCCAACACGAGAAAAAGCTTGTCACCCAGTCGACGCAATCTTGCCTTAGCACTAGAGAGGACCGCGTACGTTGCAAAGTGATCACACGGCAACCGGGCGGCGACAGAGACGACAGAGTGGACTTTGTTCTGCAAAACGCGATCTCTCTACTTTTCATCTCACATCTGATTTGATCTTCGCCAGGTTGTCCGCGGATCGTCTGTCTTGTTTCTCAGTCGGCACAGATTTCCCCAGAACTCGGCGTCATCCTGTCGGGAAGGGCGGATCGCGGCTTCTACGACATTTCGTGGCTGGGCACATCTGTGGCCGCGTCATACAAAACCTCAGTTGTCATCTTTCTGAAATACTTGTTGCCTTCGCGCTTGCTGTCGTTTGCTGCTTCTACTGATTTCTTTGTTTCCCTAACACTGCCACCTTTGTCCCCTACGTCCTACGCCACCGCTGTGTATATATCGTCGACGCCGAGTCCATCCACCACTTACTCGTAAGCCTCCCGACGTCCAGGACCAACATGAAACACATCTCCACCTTGGCACTCGCTGCCAGCACCATCATTGGAGCCGAAGCCATCACCCTTCAGAAGCGTTCAAATGGCGCACCAAAGGTCGTCGAGTACGAGATCGAGAGAAAGCACGTCGAGAATCCCCTGAAGAGAGACCATCTACGAAGACGTCAGAACACCATCAGTGAAACTCTGGACAACGAGCAGACCCTTTACTTTGCCAATGGTTCTATTGGAACACCGCCGCAGGACTTCAGGCTACACATCGACACCGGAAGTAGTGATCTCTGGGTCAACGTTGCCACTTCCCAGTTCTGCGAGGACACGCAACAGAACGACTGCTCCATCTCAGGCACCTACGCCCCCAACTCGTCCTCGACTTACGAGTATGTCAACAGTCTTTTCAACATCTCATATGTTGATGGTTCAGGTTCGGCAGGCGACTATGCTACTGATGTCTTCCGCATCGGTGGTGCCGAGCTCCAAGCCCAGGAATTTGGTATTGGTTACGTGTCGAGCTCCCAAGAGGGTATTCTTGGAATCGGTTATCCTACCAACGAGGCCATTCTCCAGTATGTGAGAACTCCTTACGTCAACGTGCCCGAGCACATGATGCAGGCTGGTCTCATCAACACCAATGCTTACAGCTTGTGGCTGAACGACCTTGATGCCTCCAAGGGTTCCATCCTCTTCGGTGGTGTCAACACTGAAAAGTACACTGGCTCCCTCCAGACTTTGCCTATCCTCACTGAGGAGGGTATCTACGCCGAGTTCATCATCGCTCTTACTGGTGTCGGCTACAACGGCCAAGACAACTCGATCGCTTCGAACCTCAACACTGCTGCCCTGCTTGACTCTGGTTCCAGTTTGATGTACCTCCCCAACGACGTTACTGAGAAGATCTACACTATGACTGGTGCCAAGTACAGCCAGGAGTATGGCGCTGCCTTCATTGACTGCAACATGCGCTACAACGACACCACCATCGACTTCACCTTCTCTTCCCCCACCATCCGCGTCAGCATGTCGGAACTGGTTCTTGTTATGGGCTACCAGGGTCGCAACCCTATCTGCATTCTCGGCATTGCACCTGCTGACGGTACCACNCCCGTCCTTGGTGACACTTTCCTCCGTAGCGCCTACGTCGTTTACGATATCACCAACAACGAGATCTCTCTGGCCCAGACCAACTTCAACAGCACTGGCAGCAACATCATGGAGATCACCAACACAAGTATTCCCGACGCCACTGGTGTCGCCTCTGCTGTCACTTCGGTTTCCCAGCAGACTAGCGCTGGTGGTCGTCTTGGCGGCTTCCCAACTGGCAGCTTGACCAGCAGCGGTATGGGTGCCAACATCACTNNCCCCGGACCCAAGGGTCTTGGTGCTCTTGCTGCTGTCGGTGCTGCTGCATTCTTTGCCTTGTAGAGCATCAAAAGACGGGATTTTTCTGATTACGAAGGTCATGACCTTGATTTCGCTTCCTTTTCTGCCTTGTTGTTATTGTACATAAAACGGGTGCTTTCCTGCACTACTGGCTCTCCTTACTGCATATCTCTGGCGTCTTACTGCCCATTGCTTTGTTTTGTCGATAGCGGTCTCCTTTGCTTTTGCACACAGTCGTGTTTTGGATGTGTTGTGTTACTACAGCAGATAGAGAATCTTTTTCTTCATTGTCTTTACGGGATAGAATGCATTGACCTTTCTGCAACTGTTTGTTTCAATTCCCTCTCATGATGGTGTTTTTGTGTCTTCGTTTGTAAATCGTTGATCTACCTTGGTCGTTAGGTCTTCGTGACATGGATGGAGCTCGAAATACAGCTTACACACGGAGATTCATGTGAGAGCTATTGGGCCTCTTTTTCATGCTCAGATTCCGCAAGCGACGTACCTTTGGATTCTCTTTGCTGTGTTGATAGTGTTGGCTTTCGACCTCTGATCTGTCTCTTGTTTGGGTAATCATCCCGTCGTGTTACCCTGATGTTACGAGTGCAAGTACGTATGCAAGCCAGGGTTACACTGTCGACGAGGTGCACGACACGACGATTGTGTCAGAGGAAGAGAGAAGCTGGAACATCTCGTTCATGCGTGGTAATGAGTTGATGATCGTAGGACACTGTGGAAGGGGTGTGCGGTAGAGGTACGATAATGATTGACATGTAAAAGTGGCTTTTCTCGTATGTGGGAATGTTGAAATCACATTATGCATTTGTCTGCATGGTTCTCACGACTCCATTCCTTCGCAGTAACCTTGGACAGGAAGGAATCAACAGTAGCTTGGTTGTCTTTGCTCATCTACTGATCTCAGTTACCAATGTCTATACTTTTAAACACCAACCACCTTTGGAACAGCCCAAAAGCTCGAAAACCTCTTCTCACCCACGACCTCCACTTTTAGTTCCTTCTTCACTTCCTCTTCTTTGCCTCCTTGTACATCAGCTACCGTCTTGATCCCACACTCCTCCACNNCACTTTTTTTGAGTGTTGCCACTGTGATCCCTGTAGCAACGATACTACCCAACACCCCTTGGACCTCTGCCTTAAAAGCCTTTTCGCAACCTTTGTAACCGCCAATATCAGCAGGAACAGCTTTCCAAGCCGACAAAGCTGTTTTGGCAGAAGCGAGACGGGAAGATATGGTTGCAAACACGGCAGCGAAGGAGGAGGCAGGAGTTAGGTGTGTGGCGGCGGACATTTCGTCTGCAGAAGGCAGGGTGGGTGTTCCGATTGGCAAAANAGGTTTCATGCGTAATTCGTGTCTGCGGGTTTCGGTGGAGTAGACTTGGGTTTCGTTGAGGTGGTTTAGCAGGTGTAAGCTGTGTAGAACCGCATACACTGAAGACAATCCAGAAGCGAGTTCGGCGGTTAGCGTTGCGTGGGCGATGTGAAACGCGATAGACGCTTGAGAGGCAGAGACTTGGTCTGCCATAACCATATGTCCCTGTTTCTTGAACTTTCTCTGTCGGAGATGCAAGAACAAGTCGATGTGTTGCAAATGCTCCGCCCTCGTCGCAGCCACAAAGCTCAAAAAGCGGTACAAATAAGCAACCTCCGCATCTTGATACACATCAAGTTNCAACCCCAACTGGCAACTCCACTCCATTATCCTCAGTTTGTGGAAATAAGTCCAAGCAGCTAGGGGATAAAACCTTTCGATGCTGGAAGCAGGGACAGGGAATAAAGCATGCAATTCTGCATCTGCGTGTTCGGCTTCTGCTTGCAGACCATCCAATACACCCACGCTCTGACNAAAGGTGCGTCTCATGCGACACCGGTTTTGGAGTATCATGCGTGGGATGTTGATGTATTCGTCCAAAGCTTTTGCCATGAATTCGTCGATGATGCGAGAAGACAGGTAGCGTGCATCCGTAGGCAACTCGACTTCCCAGTTTGAGGGGTTGAGGAGTGGGTCGCCTGACATGGAGAGACTGCGGATGTCTTCGAGGAGAAGAGACAGGTGGGGAGTTTTGGTGAGCAGTTTCTGGCCTTTGAAGAGTAGGCCTTGGAGGATTGCTCGTGAATAGGTCGAGGGCTGGGGTGTGCGGTTGGAAAAGTCCCATGCGAAGCNGCTAGATTAGGGTTTGTCAGTTTCAAAGGATGCAAAACACAGCTAGCAAGAAGCGAAACTTACAGTCACGTTCAAAGGGCTCGGGTCCTCGATGCTTGCGAAACGATGAGCTTCGATGTTGTCTTCGGCCATCCGTTTGAAGCGAGGATACGCCTCTTCCCAACTCGTCTTGATCATGGGTGTTGGAGGTGTGTTGCTAGCCAAATGTCTCTGCACGCGCTCAGAGAACAAGTCAGGTCGTGCCTTGCCCAGCTTTCCTGTATCGTTGACTTTATGCACAGAGACGAGCACTGCTTTCCAAATCTCAGTCTTGTCAACCACTTCAACGAGACTCAATGGCTCCAAAGCCTCGAGCAGGTGTATCCGCAGTTGCAAACGCTGCTCAAGTGCCTCTTTGACATCTCCAGATAGATCCTGTGCTTTCAGAACATCTAACGCGTTGTGGAGTTCCACAATCACATCTTCGTGGGTGACATCGTTAAGCATGTACTGCGTAAAAGTCTGAGTGACAAAATCCTCTTCCTCGTAGTAATGCTCAGAGGTGATTTCCTGAATCACTGCATCGCAAGATTTGATGATGCCGAGAGAGAATGCTCGAAGGACACTGCTGATTAGTGGATCTGGTTGCTCAGGGCTAGTTCTCTTGGGGTTGAATACGATAGCGTTGAGAGGTCGGTAGTAGGGTGTTAGTAGAGAGTACATGTGCAGACTAGTGAATAATGTCTGGGAGAGTGCGTATCCTTGGTGCCAGGCCANTCTAGATATCATGTCAGCATTTATGATCAGTTCACATTCATCGACTGAACATACTTCGAAGGAGAGCAACTGATCCATGATGCCGATGATCTCTTCAGGTAGCATGTTCTGCAGAGGGTCGAAATTGTCTACAGCAGCATCCTTGTCTGGTATCAACAATCCACTGTCCATTTTTGGATCCATGATNNCTGACTAGACATTAACAACGACCGCAATATTCAGAAACAGGAAAATTACCTCGAGCGCCCCGACAGCCTCGAAAAGCGTAAAGAAGTCATCCTTGACCAATTGTCCCTGCCCCAATTCTAACATGCAAGTCAGCAAACCATAAACATTCTCCATACATCAACTCAAAAGATTCTTTCGCTACATGGACGGAACGAAAGTACAAACATCTCAACCTCGAAAGAGGATGTGCAACATACCTGCAGAAGCATCCGAAAACTCCTTGGTGATATCCGTCACAACCATTTGTCGCGGCGTATATTGCGAAGATCTTGCAGCACCCCCGTTGTATATCGAGGACATGGTAGCAGGCTGGACTTCACTGGTGCCTAAGCTGAGGCGTGTTATATCTGGTTGCATGATGTGTGCGTGTGGGGTTTCGTGGTTGTCGTTCAAATATTGTTGGATTTCCTTGTTCGGAGGTCTGTTGGGCGGCGTCTTGGTGTTTGGCTTCGCAATCGAAGATGGGATTTGGAGGATTATTGATGGCTTCACAGCTAGACATGGACAAAGTTCACAGCAGATAGGTCACAATAAGAATGGCCACGCAAATACACGAAGAACATTGAGGGAAACGTCACTTCAAGCACGGCAGATAGAAAACATTCACGGGGCCGTAACAGACTACAAGACAAGTGATGCCGACTGATGATTGCATTTATTGCATTTCAAGCGTGTTTTTGACCTTCGCAAATTGACAATGTTGGTACAATCACCCCTCAAGGGTCTTTCCCTCCTCTGCTTCGTGTCTCCCTAGCGCATTGGTATCTGGTTGGATCTACGAGGACTGGGCGGCGGNGGTCGACTCTGCGACGGCGGCGGCAAGGTTCTTGCTCTCGCCCTGCTTGCCGTNTCTGTAATATACAAAACTCCGTCAGCGATACTGTTTGAATTGTTGTAGAACAAGGTATGAGGTTCGTGGCGTGGGCGTCGAGTTGGGGATTGCGGTCTCGTCGTAGGCATAGGATGGGGTATAACGCACCTCCCACTTGGCGAATCTCAAGTCCATCTCTCCTCTGCGCTCGGCAGCCAATCTCTTGTCCTCCTTGAGCGAGCGGCGGACGACACGGGCGGCGACGGCCATGTAACGGTTGTAGCTGTGAATCAGATCCAACAATCAGTCGTCTGCCTCTTTCTGGATTCCATCTTTTGCGAGCTCGGGCTGTCGCGGGTTGTGGCGGAGAGGCTCACCTGAGACCAGCGGCTTTCCAGGCGGCGACCATTGTGACGGTATTGACGAGTGGTAGGTGGTAGTTGCAGAGGGTGGACAGAGAGCTTGGAGTTGGCTTGCAATTGACAATGCGCTACACTCGACGACTCTCTCCGCGCTGCTTGGCGTCGTCCTCTTCCGCCCGCACGTCACGTGGATTCAATACCAGTCCCCATCTTTCTATCCACATTTATAGCCAGTGAGGAGAGCTTACGAGAGTCAAATCAGTTGCAAGGCTTCAATGTCACTTGGATGTCTTCTCTGAAAGACTTCGTAAGACATCTGCCCAGACTGGGACGTCTTCACCACCATCTTCTTCAGCACAGCTTGTTCATCATCAAAACTCAATTAGCTTTATCCACACTCGTGTCAATAAAGGACGAAAAAATGCTGTGTATAAACAAAAGAGAAAATTGCAAGTCTACCGCAGAATCGCGAGTACAGTTTTAATGGTACATTTTTGTCTTGCCGCTGCATCCTGAATCATATTTACACCCTCTACACCTTGAGGCCAAGCTCCTCAGCGTAAGGGAGAACGTAAAGGTCACCGACCGATGACACTGAGGCCTTGTTCTCGAAGATGGCCTTGGCAGCCTGTAATAATCGTTAGCAATTGTTAAGAACGCGAAGAACACAGATATAACTCACCTCCTTGAGCTGCTCCTCAGTGACAGCATCGATGCCCTTGGCAACCTCATCTATTTGGTAGGCCTTGTTGCCCTGGACGAGACCGGCACCGGTAAGCTCAATACCAGCATCAATGTTCTGGCCGAACTCAAGCTCCTTGAACTTGGCAGCGGCCTTGGCCTTGGTGAAGTCCTCCTTGGAAACACCCTCGGCGACCTGCTTGAGGGCGTTGACGACCTCCTGAGCGGCACCCTTGACGTCCTTGGCGGATCCCTTGATCGAGACGGAAAGGAGACCAGCGTCTGAGTAGATGGCGCTCTTGGTGGCGACGGTTGCGCCCTGGAACTTGGAAGAGGCCTTGGAAAGGAGAGAGAAACCAGAAGACCACTTGATGGCCGACTGACCACCGAGAAGAGCGGCAAGGACGGCAATCTCGGGCTTGTATGAGGCACCAGTGGGAGTGCTTGAGCCGGGGAAAGCGAGGACCATGGCGTTGCCGGAACCGTGAGCAATGCGCTCCTCACCACCGTAGTACTGAGACTTGGGAGTGGTGATCTCGGCTCTGGCGGAAGAAGGAACGTTGTTGAAGAACTGACCAACCCACTTGGAGAGCTCACCAGACTCGACACCGTTGGCGACAATGGCGAAGTTGGGGGCAGCGTAGGCGGAGTCGGCGAAGTCGGCAATGGCATCGGCGTCGAGGTACTTGCTCATGGGAGTGGAGGAAGAGGGCGAAGTGGGGACACCGAGACCGCGGTGGAAGGCAAGGCCGTGGGCAGAGTTGACGGCCATCTCGAGAACGTCACCGAGAAGGGCCTTCTGGGCGAGCTGAATGTGGGGGTAGATTTCCTCATGGTAGACGTGAGGAGCGTACTTGGTCTGGGTAGCGACCTCGGCGAGGAGCTCGACGAAGTAAGGCAGATCGTCTCTGAGGAACTTTGCGCCGACAACGAGGTTCTCGCGGGAGCGCGAAGAGTAGGTCTGAGAGCCCATGAGCTCGGCCTCGCGCTGGATGCGGAGAGTAGAGCGCTTCTGGGTNNGGCCTGTATGTACGAATGAGTTTCATGTATGACGGGATCTTCGGTGGTGGTTGGCGCAGACCTTGAAGGCGAAGCTCTGCAGACCCAGGGTGAGGCCAGGCAGGGGCTCGTAGCGGGTACCGGCCTTGGAGACAATGGCGAGCTTGGTCATAGGACCGGCCATGTCTCTGCTGGCGAACTTGACGCCATTGGCGGAGCCGGTCTCAAAGGCGAAGGAACCCGAGGCGGGAGCAGCGAGGCCACGAGTCGAGGGGGCCGAGAGGTTGCGGGCAGCGCGCTGGGCTGGCCGTCTGAAAGCCGAACAGGACAGCATTGTGATTGTGCCGGCGAGAAGCAATTGGCGAGGGGGAGGGGAGCTGGGAGATACGGCGATGTCTTTGAGCCAACGCTGTCGACGCTCGAGGTTCCTTCCTGGCCCTGCTTGTCGGAATAAGCCGCCGCTGATTCGCTGAGCACCTTCCCTCCAGCATAAAAGTTCAAAGCACAGACCCCCAGTCGCGCTTTCCCTGTCATGTTCAAAATGATTTGAGCTTTCTGGTCCTGCCTCATTCTGCGTCCACTCATGTCGCGGTAGCATAGGGAACTTTTAATAACCTGACCGAGGAAGACATCGCTGCTGCGCTCCACCATGGCCGAGGTAATGACTTACTTAGCTCTTGCTCTATATCCAGAATTGTCATTCTGAGTCTTCTTTACAGCACTATTCGCAGCTTTGCGCTCTCCTGGTCGATGAGTCGTATGGTCAACTCTCGGCCCACGTCTTTCGCACACTTGCTCTTTGGGGTCGTGTGAATCTGCAGACTCTGATCTCCAACGCCGGCCTCTCCCCTCGCCATGTCAAATACGCCTTGAGTGTTCTCATACAGCAACATCTGGTCCTTCACTCCTCCGCTGCCGGTAGCGATCCGCAGACCTTCTACGAAGTCGACTGGAATGGCGCATACAACCTGATGCGATCCGGAAAGATCATCAACATCGTTCAATTGCGCTTCGGTGAAGCTGCCGCCCAGCTCGTGTCCAACCTGCTGCAACTGGGTCACGCACGTGTCGGTGATCTGGAGGATGCCTACAAGTTTTCCAAGAATCCTGGACATGCAATTGATACCGAGGTCGAGCACATTAACGGTGAGGGTATGCCTGCGCAAAGAGGACTGAAGAAGATCACCACTCCCGAGCAACTCCACTCAATGCTTTGCAAGCTCTTGGAATCTGGCTTCCTGACACGAGTCCGCCCCGCCACCTTCCTTTCTGCCGCCGATTCCCACAACGAAGCCGATCTCGTAGTCAAACGCGAGCAATTCCCTGATGGCAAGGTCACTGGTCCTAAGGCCAAGGTCGTGTATGAGCAGGCTTTAAGAGATCTGAAAAGAAAGTGGAGGGATTCTGCAGAGGATACTGTCACTGGTGTAAAGAAGGTCTCCAAAAGATCCAACGGATATGGTCCATCCGCCAAGAGAATAAAGACCAATGGAGGCGCGGCAAACGGTGTAGGCACATATGGCGCTGAAGATGAGGATGACGTCGTTATGGATAAAGACATGGTACTGAAGGTCAGCTGGGACAAATGCAATGTCGCGTTGCGCAGCCAGGCTCTGCAGAATTTGGCCGCAAAGGCAATCGGAGATGTCACAGCGACCGTGTATGGCGCATTGCTGGAACTGCTGGAAAGAAAATGTCCAAGATGTTACGACGAGCTTGCCATATACACAGACGAAGCCGATGAAGAAGCTGCTCAGCCTACCTCTACTACCCTCGAAATTACAGACATTCTCGATCCTACCGTCGATCTAGCCTCCACCCTCTCTAACGGCGACGATGACGATTACGACCTGGAGNNGGATGGCGATGTTCCGAAACGAGAAAATGGCAACGACAAATTCAAAGGTGGTGCCTCTGCCTTCGCTGACCGCAACCAACGTCTGACACTGGTCGAACAACACATGGCCCTTCTGGCCGAACATCCTCGCGGCTTTGCTCANAAAGTTAGCACTCGCGGTAAAGGAGAGTGGAGGGTTAATTTCCCAGCACTCATTCGCTGGATGCAACGCAACGAAGTGGAACAGGTCATCAACGCTGGCTACGGCAGTATCGCTACACGTATCGTACGTATGCTGCATGCTAAAGGCAAACTCGATGAAAAGCAAGTCGCCAATTTCTCTCTCATGCGTCAGAAGGATATCCGCAGCATCTTGACAGCCATGCATGAGCAAGGTTTTGTCGAAGCACAGGAGGTTCCTAAAGACAACACACGTCAACCCAGCAGAACTCTGTTCTTGTGGTATTTTGACCCAGAGCGCTGTCGTCAGTTGCTTCTGCAACGCACATACAAAGCTCAAGCTCGCCTAATTCAGCGCATGCAGCATGAGAAGGATGTCGTCAGCGAGGTCATTCAGAAAGCCGAACGTCTCGATGTCGTTGGTCATGAAGACGAATATCTGACTGCAGGCGACAAGCAAGTTCTCCGTACTTGGCGCGAGTTTGAAGAGAAGCTCTTGACTCAACTCGCCCGCCAGGACGATCTCGTTGCTTTGCTTCGCGATTTCTTGCCTGATGTGCGCGATGCTGCTTCTGCTTGATGGACTCCACCCTCGTTCGACACTCTGATTCTTGTGCTTCCTTTTGACGACCAAAAATACCATTTATTCTTTTTCTTGCATAGCGGCTGGCGTTAATTAATGGGTCAGGAGGACAAAACATCTGAGGCGGGTAGCTCTCTTGTTACACAAAAGATGATAGTCTGGAAGAAGTAGAAAAGATGTATACAGAAAAATCCATACCTATATCAATAAGCAATCACTACTAGAGCAGTTTTTGCTCCTCCCTATACTGTTCCATGACCTTCTTACTCCTCATGTGCTAAAGTGTGTAACCTCCACTGTACTCCGACGACTATAACTAAGAGCAAACCATAGACTATAAAAAGGTACAGCTGTATTCGGAAACAAGGCATTTTTCCACAAAATATCAATAGGTTGTTGCATCTCATTATAACTATCTTGTTTCCTATTGCTATCGTGCATCTCTACAGCTACGCGTTACATGCTTTAGCACACGGGGAGGTACATCCACTTGACTTGTTTGACCCATCAATCTTCTCTAAGCACATTTTGAGTAACAGGTATGTCATAACTAGAAGAGATCTTGCCTTCATTGTACACCAGACATCAGAAAAGCTTTCTACTCCGGCTTCGCCTTTGTAGTTTAGGATTGCCGCAATAATCCTCATGGAAGCTCGAAGCCTGGAAATCGATGCCCACGGAAGAAGCACATAGCTCTACTCCTCTAAATGGCTTCGTATTGTTCTCGGAATGGTCAAATACGTGCACTCCCTTTGCCCACCCTATCCTCTCCTCTTCTTTTCATCTTCGGTCATCCCTTGTTTCCAAACAAATTCTAGCCCACTCCGCAAATCCACAAACCACAACTCTAGGGTGGCCCAGCCACCCTCCGCTCTAGAGCTCTGCGCCCCAAAAAATCTGATGAACCTGACCCGATTTGAAGGGGTGGCCTTGTGGATGTCCTCGACTCTCCAGCCACGCTAGTTTCGTGAACCATATGTGCAAACGGTGCGCGAATTTTCATCAATGGACCTGTGGCGCAGCGGTAGCGCGTGTGATTCCAGTGTCATCCGGGACATCCACAAGGTCATCCGTTCAAATCGGGTCAGGTTCATCAGATTTTTGGGGCGCTGAGCTCTGTCTGGACTTTTTGTTTTTGTGGGCGAAATTGTCTTTTGAAGAGGTTGGAATTCTGTGGAACAGATACTTTTATGTAAAAGAAGCTTTTGCCAATCTCTCTTTTCACGACTTGTGTCGTAATTCTTGAGTTTTCTGTTGGTGTGGAGCTCCATGTTTTGGTTCGTTTCTTCCTCTCCATTTCCTTCTGTTGCGTTGCAAGCAAACATCCGCTGGACTTTTTATGAGAAAATCTTCAAGAGTTACGTTGGCGACTGGGTCTGCAGTTGGCACGACAAGTATGAAAACTAATTAGTCCCGATACTCCAGCACAGTATCACCTGAACACATGGGGAGGACAGAGATACCCTGTAGATGCACTCCTGATCTTGGCATGTTGGGCCAAGATAGCTTACACATGTCCACATTACTAATCAATGGGTGGTGTGGTGTCTCTATCAGTGATCAATGGGTAGTGTAGTATGCCAAAGCAGGAACAGATAAATAGGAGAATTCCTAATCACTCTTCCTTGGCGACGATACTACTCCAACGGTAATCCCTGGTCTCCATTTGCAATGTCGTCCTCCCAACTTGTCATCACCTCCTACGATATCTACCATGGCCTTCCAACTTTCGAACAGGAAGGTCTTACTGCCATAGTAACGGGAGCAAACGGAGTCTCTGGTGTCTACATGCTTGAGATCCTTGCTCGACACCCTCAACGCTGGAAGAAGATATACGCATTGTCGAGACGTCCTCCTCCCGGTAGCTTGCCAGAAATTGTCCAACACATCCCCTGCGACTTTTTGGCTTCTCCCGAAGCTATTGCGACTGTTCTGAGAGAAAACAATGTTGAAGCGGACTATGCGTTTTTCTTTGCATACATCCAGCCAGCTCCCAAGCAAGGGCAGAGCATCTGGGCGAATGTGCAAGAACTGGTGTCTGTCAACAAATCACTGCTCTCGAACTTTCTAGATGCCTTGACGATTACCGTAATCATTCCCAAAGCCGTGTTGCTGCAGTTGGGAGCAAAGTACTATGGTCTTCATCTTGGACCTGGCTCTCCTNNCCCCTACCAAGAAACTCATCCTCGAGTCAACCTCGAACCAAACTTCTACTACATCCAAGAAGACATCTTGNNGAAGCAATGGGCAGAAGACAACAACTCAACCTGGATCACCACACGACCTTCACACATCCCCGGTGCTGTTGCTGACAACGCGATGAATTTGGTTCTGCCTTTGGGAATCTATGCAACCGTACAAAAGCACCTCAACAGACCTTTGGAATTCCCTTCTGATCTTGCGGCGTGGGAGAATACAGTAGCCATCTCTTCGGCGAGGATGAATGCACATCTTGCCGAATGGGCTGTGTTGACTGCCGCTGCGAGAAACCAATCCTTCAATGCCTGCGACGATAGTGCGTTTACTTGGGCGCAATTGTGGCCAGGTCTGGCTGCCAGATTCGATATGCAGTGGAAAGGACCAGACCTTACAGCAGATTACAAAGAAGTCGAGATGCCGTATAAGACTCCACCACGTGGATGGGGTCCTTCTGCGTCCATGAAGTACAAATTCACGCTTGTGGAGTGGGCAAAGCAGCAAGAGGTCCAAGAAACGTGGAAACAGATTGCCAAAACTCACGATTTGAGATTAAAAGAGTTCAACGATATCGATCGTGTGTTTGGCTTTACAGATGCCGCGTTGGGATGGTCGTTCCCAATCCATTATAGGTATGTTTTCGCTTTTGCCAGACCGTGTGCTACCCTTGCTGACTTTTTTTCGTGTGTGTGTAANAGTATGACCAAAGCCAAGGAGATGGGATATTTTGGCTATGTGGACTCGACCAAGTCGATCATCAGAACGGTCGAAGAATTTGCAGACCTGAAGATGATTCCTGGTTTGCCAGTAGTGTGAAAGAGGTACACTAGGTGCTCTTCGTATGATGCATGAAGTCTGTACTCTACCTCACTCTGCTTTAGTATCAAACGCTTGAAATGTTTTCTAGTATAATTACTACAAAAGTACACAGTAATTCTTGTAAAGAATGTAGTCCCCACAGATAGAACCTCATCAAAGGCTATCTCAACGGCTAGACTCATGTTCAAACCGCAACTATGCATTTTAACAGCTCACGATAACCCTTATACTTCGAGGATGGAGAAAAGGGTGATTAGCAAGATTACGACTGTCCTACAAGCACAGGAAGGGCATTAGATGGTCAGTCTGCATAATAGACTAGGGTGGAAAGACTTGGAATAATTCAACGATTGTCTTTTGGAAACAAAAAGTGTCGTCTACTATTTCCCCTCCTCTCCTCTCTTCTACATGCAACTCAAACATGCCTCCGAGAAAACGCCTTAGGTACTATGCTGGGAAGTGACAATCGAACAAAAAAAAAAGTAAACGCTTAGGTATTGGTGCGATGAAAAAGACAAGAAAACCACAAAATTACAATAGGTTTGCTGCTGCTATGCAGGCAGGAAAAAGGGACAACATCCAAACACCTTTTCAAAGACCCCAAACAAGTTTCCTGTCTAATGCTTATGATAACCTGGGACTGCCGAGTGGCGTGCTGACTTCCCGTCTCTCTGCAGTCGTGGTGGGTGAAGGTGGGCTAACAATAGTGATGGGTGGAGACGTCAATGCTGGACTTGTTATGGGGGTCATGAGTTGGAGATCGATCTTCAGACCATCGTCGACATCCCCAGTTCCGGCATCTGATTTGGCGTCGCCAATCTCGGACTTGTTGTCGTCGTCATGATGGTCGGCACTAGCCTCGCTGATGCCAGTCTGGGGACGTCCATCTGTTGAAGCGGTGCTGGTACCTGGTGCGCGTCTTCGGCGGCGGCGCTCACGTTCGCTGTCTGCGTGGTCACGACGGCGGCGAACACGAAGGTTCTCACTGTCACGAGGAAGAGCTGGTTCGTCATTGTCGCCAGTGCTACCTCGAAGGCCAAGTAGAAGACTTGCTGCTCGATCTGCCACATCTTCTCCTTCGCTGATGGCACCCTTGTCGTTCTCTTCGACATGAGGAGACAGTGTTGTGCTGTCTGAAGTTGAAGGACGCTCGGGCGCGTTATCTGAAGTTGGTGAGAGGAGGGTTGCATCGTCTGTAGGCGATGTTACTCCAGCAATCTCAGGCATCTGTTGACCAGAAGCTACGCGGCGTTGATGACGCTCATTTAGACGGGCTCGTCGTCGGCGGTCTCTTGTATCTCTAGTAGCAGGAGCGGCGGCGCGAAGCTTCTCTAACAACGTATCCATGGCACCTTGCGAAGCGGGTGAAGGAGGGGCGGACGGGTCTGCAGTGGCCTTCTCGAGGGCAGATTGTGCTTGAGCTTTACGACGCATTGAGACTTCATTGCGACGTTGTGTCTCCTCCTGAGCAGTGTTCTTCTCGTGCGATTNTCTAATGCAGACGTCAGTAACAAGTTCAGCGGTCACAACATGTTTGATCAAACTCACCTTATACTCGTTGACGAAATTAGCCAGCTTGGAGAAGAATTCTCTCCTCGCCGATTCGTCTTGGTTGTCATCGCCAAAGAAGGTCATGATGTCGTTGTATGTCCTCTTCATCTCCTCGAGGTACAACTCCATCTGTTCTGCCTTCCTTCTCGCTTCCTTCATTGATCTTTGAACCACTTGACTGACTCTATCCTCTGGATGGAACCTGCGTGGGTCGCTGAGATTACCAGCATCCAAGGACATTTGCACGTTCTTGACGTTGTCGATATACTTCTTAGCATCAACCATTAGCTGGTCCACGTTCAACTTGGCAGCAACAACAACGCCACCAATGTCTTCAGTGAAGCCTTCCCATTGAGGATACTGCCTTCGTACGACACGCTCGACATAATCCATCAAGGTAGACTCGTTCTTATCATCNNCCTTGACCATACCAAGACGGGCGAGCGAACTAAGCTTGAAACCAATGGCTTGTTTGTTGGAGTCGTTCATGTAGTTACCGATATCGAGAATGAGACCAAAGACGGGCATCAAGCGAACAGAGTCACGAAGTGATTCTGAAACGTTGCACACCATCTTCAGCTTGTCTGAGACTTCGTCATATTCTGGCTCGAAGCTCTTGGTCAAAGCCAATGCTCTCATTCTAGCCTTCCAGTAGTGATGCAACTCGAAGGCTGTGTAGAGGTAAATCTGGTCCTCGCGAGTCAGTTCTGAAGGGTCTTGCTCTCTTGCTGATTTGAGCGCGTCTGGTCCAGTCCAGTCTCTGCTGTAAGGTGCCATGAGCTTTGAAGTATTGTCAGGAATGGTACACAGGTCTTCTCTCTGCAAGAAGTCCATGACGACAGGACTGTCCAACACTTCCTTGTCGCAATGTATGATCATGCGGACAACGTCTTCCAACGGCCGTTGTGAAAAGACAGCCAAAGAGATCTGGAAAGTCTGCATCAAGTTACTAGGCATGATCTGTTTCTTGTCGCTCTTCTTCTCCTTCTTGCCGATTGCTTTGATCTCCTTGGCCATGAAGAGACGTTCAATCTCATCCAGGATACCCTTCTTACTAAGTTCGGCGTACTTCTCTTCCTTCGCCTCATGTGTAGGTGCGTGTGAAGCCCACATGGTGAATTCTGAAGCATCAATTTTCTCCCAATGCAAAGCCTTGAGCTTCTTCTTGGGTCTTGCAACACCCATACCAATGGTAGAGGTAGCTGCATATTGAGCTTGAGGCAAGAATCCACCTCGTCTGGCTCCAGGCATTGGAGGCGCTCCTGGCGGGGGAGGTGGTGGCGGAGGTCCTCCAGCTGTCATGCCTGGCATGCCTGGTGGAGGGGGAGGTGGTGGACCACCAAATCCAGGCATGGGAGAGCCAGGCATAGGTGGAGGCGGGGAGGAGCGCCGGTAGAGAACCCAGGCATACCTGGCGGAGGAGGGGGAGGTGGACCAGAGAAACCAGGCATTTGTGGCGGTGGTGGACCACCAGTAGAGAATCCAGCCATTCCTGGCGGTGGGGGGAGGCGGAGGAGGAGCTGCTCCGCTGAACCCTGGCATCATCGGAGGTGGAGGTGGAGGAGCACCATTGAAACCAGGCATGGGAGGTGGCGGCGGAGCTTCTGCTCCATTAAAGCCTGGCATAGGTGGAGGAGGTGGTGGGATTGCGCCGTCGAATTTGGGCTCGCCATCTGCTACGAGCTGAGCAGAAGGATTTCTGACATGCTGAGCAGAAGGATTTCTAACGTGCTGGGCAGAGCCATTTCTCGAATGAGAGGAGACGTGTCTGGACTGCGACGATACATGTCTAGACTGGGAGGAGACGTTCCTAGAGCCTGAAGGACCAGTGACTGTGCGGTCCTCTTCGTCATCGCTTGCGTCAATACGGCGGACCTTACTAACAATGTCGTTAAGATAACCAGCCTGAGCGTGAGCAGAGCTAATCTTTGGTCGCTTCATCTCAACAATGCGAGGCTTCTCATAAACAGTAGCATCTTCATCGTCTTCATCCAGAGACTCGTCACCATCTTGTTGAGATTGACTAGGAAGTGGCTTGCGAGTGATGCCGCCTCTTTGTGTCCTGGAAACACTTCCGATATAGCCATCGGGCAAGCTATCAGGAATCGCACTGGTCGGTCCACCTGGGCCATCCATCTTCTCACGCAACTCACGAAGCTTGTCTGAGGGGTCAACCTGTTGCCAGACTTTGCCTTCAAGTTTTGCCTGTGTCTTTGCTCTCTCAAGCTGCATCTCCAAGCGGTCCATGAGCCTTTCACGATCCAGAATGCCTTGCATCTGGACAGGATCAGCAACTGTACCATTCTTGGTTCCATTCTTTGCTGAGGACGCCGCAATATCTTGAGCATCACGCAGCATAAGATACAGCTCTCTGGTCTCAAGCTCGTTGCGTTGCAGCTCCAAAGCTCTGACACGCTGAACTTCTGCCAATTCTGCTTTAAGACTTTCGATTTGGCGTTGTTGAATCTGGACGACCGAATCGCGCTCTTCGAGCTGGCGGGTGAGCTTCTTGACTAAGCCATCGGCACCAAGCTCAAGTTGAGCTCTCAATTCATCACGCTCAGCCAGTGCCGATTCGGCAATCTGACGAGCTTCCAAGGCTTCATCTCTCGCTTGTCGAGCTTCAGAGTCTGTGTACAGCTTGTCCATCAAACTCTGAACAGTAAAGTTGAGACTCTGCTTGAGGTCCATATCAGGTAACCGCCTGTCCATGGCTACATAACTCAACATGGCGTCCACAAGCTGGAACATGCGAAGCCTGTCCTCAGCCTCGTTATCTCTGATAAGCAACAAATGCTGCAAAGAAGATACGAAGTAATCTGCCGAGTGACTTCCGTCCACCTTGGACATGATTGCCTGGACAATCTGCACAGGGTCGTTCAAATCCTGAGGTTCTGGATCTTGACCATCAACTTGATTCTCCTTTTCGAGCAAATCTTCATAATCGATGATCTCGTTCGCCCGGTATCTCTCAACTTGCTTGTCGATGATATCGTACTGGAACTGCTCCATCTTGTTGAGGATACGCTTGATGCCGCATGCTGTGAACTGCGCGCGAATATGGCATCGTAGGTGCAAATCTCTCTCTGGCGCATCAACAATCATGTTGACGAGGAACAGAGATGCGACCGCATATTCCATGAGCAAGTTCTCCATACCAATACCACCACTGCGGACCTCATCACTGGCTCCGACCAAGCTACCCATCTTGCCTCTACCGTCAACGGTGACCTCGACAATGCGCATCCAAGCATCGAAGCGGCCATTTTCTCCTTGCGTAGACTTAAGCGAGTCCAGAGCTTGGAGAACCTTTTGGTGGCCGCGTCCTTCTGCCCAATGACACAAGAAGGTGAGCACTTCACTGACGAGTTTTCTCGTGTTGAGTCGAGGAGATATAAGGGATGCGCCGAGGGCATTAACGATAGGAGCGTGTTCGAGAGCATCATCCGCTCCGTACTTGTTGTTCATCAATGCTTTTAGACATTTGACAATATCGTATTCGCGGTCCAAATCCTTGTCGTTAACTGTGGGATTTGTCGGGCCTGTCGTCTGCTTGCGATTGTATTTGCCGAGCACGTTTGCTAAGGCAACTTGACCCTGTGCTTCCACAAATGCCTTGACCCATCCTATAGGCTGGGTACGCAGACTGACGGACAAACTTTGCAATTGCTTCGCGCTGATCGAGTTGTCGAGAACTTTGCGAACATACCATTCTGGACTCCCTTCCTCATCCGCGCGGCCGAGTATACCCAGACTTGAGTCTGCGTTGATTGTTGACCTCGCGTGCATGCGTCTCTTTTGTTCGCCCTGCCACTCGGCCAGTCTGTCCTGATGCACCAAAGTCCATTTCTTGTTTATAGGGTATGCTTCCATCTGTCTTCGTGCCTGTTCAGGCAAACTCTTCCACCCACGCTTGTGCATGAGTTCCAAAAACTCCTTTTCGATGATGCGGTCGTCAGACGGTCGTTGTAGATTGAATCCATCGGGCGTGAAGGATGCGGTAGAACTGAAGGCTGACGGCTGATTGGCGCTAAGAAAGCCGTTCTGTTGAGATCCACGAGTGGATGAAGGAGCTAATTGTGGTAGAAGGGTGGTCGAGTCGAGCGACATATTTGGGAACGAAGACGGCGAATGTTGGGGGTGCATGGATATCGACGTGCGATGGCTGTGACTAGAGCGTACGCTGGCCCTGTCCGAAGCAGGATATTGGTCATACTGCGAGTGTATCGAGTTTTCGTAAGAGCTTGTCCGACCGGTACTGGCCAGCGAGTATTGCGATGCATGTTGCGGCGGCCGTGGCGGAGCAGGCAGTTGTGAGTTGTTCTCTGGTAGGTAATCAACACGTACTGGCGACCTGGTATCTCGCTGTACGCTGTCGTAGGGAATGGCGGTCATGAGGCCAGCGCCATGGTCGATAGAGTGACGCGAAGAATGCGAATGCGACGATGAAGGAGGCTGCTGATACTGATGTTGTTGTTGGTGCGGAGGAGGCACAGGTGGTAGGGGATTTTGCGACCAGTTCGATGGCAGCGAGGGACTGTCAGGCACGTGTTCGTTGTGCTTGTCCTTGTGGTGACGGCGCGAGAAGAAGGACGACTTGCCGCCCGATGTCTGCCGCCCTTTGGCATCGCCCGAGCCCGAAGAAAACATGGCCGCTCTAGTGTGAGATGTTCATGTCAGGTGCGTCGTCCGTATCGAGTGGCTGTCCAAAAGAGCTTCGTCTCCAACAAGCCGCTTCAACGTATGGATGCCGTAGCCAACAAGAAAGCCGTGTTCGTGAGTATGGTGGTATTAATGAGGTATGAAACCTTTCCAGGAAGGAACAAAAAAGATTGGCGGCGTCGTATGCTCCCAATCCAATCTCGGGTCGAAAGGGAAAGAAGCACAAAGGCGGCTGACTGCGATTGCCCGAATTACCACTCTTCAAGACTGTCTCCTATTTCGTGTTTCCCACGCTCTTTCCAAGTCAAGTCGGTCGAAGTGTCCAGTATCGCTGTCTGCTTCTGCTGCCGTCACGGGCTCTCTTCTCAGCATTCAGCTTACGGAGGTCGAGGGCGACGTGCCGACAACGACCATCAAACTTGCCTTGCTCCTCCCCACATCGACTCTCAGGGTTAGAGCCCGCAACCGGTTTGGGGGCCCGTGCTTCCGCCTTTGTTTCAACCCATATCCTACTTCATCTGCCCGCCGTCTTTGTCTCAGACCATCACATCTTCTCGAAGTTCATATAGAACTTATACTTTCTCTCTGTGCCACACGACACTTTCGTATAGCTATAGGACTGCCTATATCGAAATCAATCGACAATATAAAATGGTCAGGAGTTCGATCTTTCCTGGTTCGGGCAAAGCTGCGAATAGGCTCTCAGGCCTAGATGGACGAGACCTCTCCGGTGCCTTGCCACTCGTGTATTTCAATGGCAAAACGCGAGGCGGTTGGGCTAGCTAGTCAGCCATTAAGAGTGTATATCTCGTACGTCATGGTTTAGTCTTTCGTTTGCATGCTCGATACATTTTGTTCATCACCAATGGCAGATCGATGACACTTTAGATCAGGGACAACAATGGCGAAATATGAAAAGATATTCTGTTTTACTTGTAGAAAGGAGATGATTATACCAAGGAAAATGTTTTGTCTTGCCCATTTTGTAGCACACGACCTTAAGAACTCCACATTTGGCTTGAGTCGAGACCAGTATATTCTCCATACTCATTTTCTCTCCTGAAACACAAGGTCTTCGAGCCACTTCTCTCATCCGACCGTTCTTTAGTCGGTCATGCGCCATGAGTCGAGCCACTTGAGGTGAGTCCATTGAGTGTGGCTTCCCTCCATACCGAAAGTAATGGCTCTGAACATCCAGAACAAGCCAATGACAACAGTGTAGAGAACAGCGTAGACGCCATATTGCAGAGCACGAGGGAAACGGCTTGTGACCCAGTCAGTGCAGAAAGCAAGACAGAGGATAGCAAAGTAAAGAGCAGGGTAGTAGTGGTGGACGTAAGTAACACGACCCATGGCCATGAAAGGTGCGTAGTGCAGAACCCAACCAATGACGGGGTAGATACCGGAGTAGTGGATCTGGTCGATATCCTNTTGCGACAGCTCGTTGTAGCCGCGTTGCCAGCGAATCAGGTAGTATGCGACGAGAAGACCAAAGGCGGGAAGAGATGCAGTACTGGCCCAGTAGACGAAGGGGTTACCGAGGAGGAAGTACTTGACAATGTGGTCGTCCCAGCCGCACATGCGGAGACCAACATTGAGAAGAGGCCACTGCCAGGGAGCGGAAGCCAAGTCATCCTGCTTGTCAGGGTCAGGAACAAGGGCATTGTTAGAAGTCATCATAGCGACGTTCAGGTGGATAAAGTCACGAAGGAAAGGAGATTTGTAGGCACCAGTGTCAGCAGCAGGAAGCTTGTCGTTCCAGTGGGACTCGACGTTCCAGTGAGTGTAGACATCGCGAGGGTGGTTTTCCTTGACACAGGTTGTCTCAATCTGCTTGAAACCCCACTGAGGAAGGTTGACGTTGCCAGCACGAAGATAGCAGTTGAGATCAGCGTGTCTGAGGCGGAAAGCAGTGGTCAGGGTGCGGATCTTGGAGTGATCGCGAGAAGAAGCGTCGTTAACGACCTCGACAATCCAGTGATCCTTGGTGTCACCAACAGTGGTGTTGCCGTAGCATGAAACTTCGTAATCGGCCTTGGTGACAGGAGCAGCAACTGAATGAGAGTGCAGGTTACGACCAGTTTGAGCATGGATCAGACGGATTTCATCGCCGTTGCCAACAAACTTAAGAGGAGCTTCAGGATCGAATTCGGGCTCGTGGCGGTTGGGGTAGAAGAACCAGTCGTTGTTGGCGTCCTTGTGGTGATAGCAAGTAATCTGTTGTTGCTGCGAACCTTCAGGGTAGGTCTGAACGTGAGAGTGCAGAAGACCACCACCATAGCCCATGTTCTTGAGNNGGGTGGCACGAGAGCCGAGAGCGATTTCGAGAGGGCTGTCGACTCCGACTTCAGTGCCCTTGAGGTTGGCCTGGAAGAGAGAGCTCATCTGAGCATCACCAGGACCGCTGTTCTCAAGGATGAGGAAGTGGAGGTAGAACGAGAACATGTAGACGACCAAGGGGATGATGATCAGACCGACGACGCGGAAACCGAGGTGAGCTGCGAGCTCAGTCTAAAAGAATTCATGTTAGCGCGAATGTCTTGTTCCCATCACGTTGTCTTAGCATACCTTGGGCATCTTGAGGTCGCCGAACTTGTTCCAGAGGTCTTCGATGGTGTACAGACCGACCAAAGCGGTTCCGAACATACCAACCCACTTGACACTGCAGACACAGCCGATCGAGAGACCGCTGAGGAGAAGCCACAGAAGCCATTGAGCAGAGAAAGACTGGTTCTGAAGTCTGTGGAAGCGAGCCCAGCAGAGGACAGTGGTGAAAGTAAAGAAGAGAAGCATGGAGTCGAGCAGAATGAAGCGACTGATGGTGGCGTACGAGTTCTCGAACAGGACCATCAGGGTAACGAACCAGGTGGTGGTCTTGCGGAAGTTGAGCTCCTTTGCAGTGTAGTAGGCCAGGGGNNGAATGCACAGAGCACCGAAGGCTGCATTGAACTGGCGCATGAAAACGTAGTTGATTTCCTCAGGGTAAGTCTCACCAGACTTGAACTCGAAGGTACCGTTGTATCCGGCCAGATAACCCGAAAGGCCAACCAGCATCTTTCCCAGCGGAGGGTGGACATCGAAGTAGAACTCGCGTTGCAGGTAGTGCGATCCGAACTTGCCGAAATGCGCCTCATCCCAGGTGACAATGGGCGAAAGGCCAATCTTCCATAGACGGGTGAAGAAGGCGAATGCGGTAAAGATGATGGGTGCGAAGATGGGCTCCCACTCGTCGATGACATTTACAATGCTCTTGGCCTGAAGATGCGGGTTAGTCTGAATGTGCGGTAAGTTGGAGAGAAGTCTGTTCACCTGCTGCTTCTTCTTGTCGTCGATGATGGGCTGCTGTTGGACAGCACCATTCTGTGCTGGAGCGCCAGCTCTTCTTCTCAACTCTGCGGCATCACGGTCTGCGCCTGTTGCGAATCCTTGGTTTGTTGCAGCCATGTTGGTGAAGTAACGTGGCTGTTGCGATGTGGTTGCAGTGGGACTGTCTGGATATGCTTGGTCTTCCTTTTCCAGAAGCGCCTACTCAAGCTAACTGAGCTCAAGTCGGCACAAGCAACCGAGACGAAGCAACAACAATTAAGAAAGAGTCAAAGTCGTCGGATGGACGAAAAGAAAGAAGGGATTACAACAAGTGGGAGAAAGAAGAGAAGGAGGAGAAACGTTTCTGAAGGATGAGATAGAACGAGAATGCACACCCCTTTCAAGATGCCAGCGTGGAGCTGATGGAACGGTTTCCTCTCCTGTCCCCCCTCCAAAGAAAGCTCTCGTTCCAGCTTTCGGAAACCACGCGTTGCCGTCTGCCAAGCCCCTACTTTCGAGGCCAACTGGCAGCTATTTTTATCGAACTTTCTTCCCTATCAGATCGTCTTATATAGCATTTTTATCGTTGTGCATCTTTTCGGCTTCTCTTCTCGCAGCGTACATCATCTGCGTGGTATTCTACCAATTTCGAAGGAGCATAAACCTCTGGTCTGAGCCCACCAAATCTCGGCCGTTTCGAACGTGTATGTGCTTAAAACCAGGGTCACCCATCTCACAATGCTCACTAGAGTATCTAACGGCATAACTCTTGAGCAACATGATATTCGTTTTCTTTCGTACTCGTGATATGCCGATTACATGTCGTGATACTAGTTTTATAAGTCTCAGGGCGTTTCCGATCGTTGTCGCTGGGCAATATCGATTAAACACTTTTGGACACGCTTGCCCAAGAGCACACCCTCAGACACACACACTCAGACCACTCTTCTGTATTCCATCAATGAAACTTGCAAATACCATGCCACAACAACTATCAGAGCTGTTCAACGGTATGATCATCGTGTGCAATATTGTCCAGTGCCTAGCAGAAAGCAGACGATGTAGTACCATCAAAAAATCCGACAAGCATCGCTGAGTGCATGACCCACTTGTTACTTGCGGACTTTGAAGGGATATCTGTGATCACGAAGAACAGACTAGAGAAGAGGCGAGTACGAAAGGATCTGAAGCGAAAATGTTCTCTTGTTTGATATCATCATCTACTGCTAAAATCGAAGCGAACTCTTGACCACCTTCCCAATGTTTTCTTATGCTTGACATATAGTCTACTTGCGTTCGTTCGAGGACTCCGAGTCTCTGGCTTCCTCAGATCTGGTTTCCTCGGATCGGATGGTGCCGTCCTGACACGTGAGACGAAGCAGGGATTCAGTACCACAGATGCTTACAGCCTCAGTGGTGATATCCACTTCCATCTGCTTGTGAATGCCAGCCGAGGCAGTCTGCCCATCGCCTTGACCAATGACAGTCTCAATGCCGACCCAGGAACGAGGGCGCATTCTTTCAGGAACATGGCTGCTGCGAGGCCTGTATCTGGGAGCATCATCTGAAGTGGTAGGCTGAGCCATGGGGTAGCTGTTGCTGCTGCGCAGATCAGAGCCGCCACAGAATCCAGGAATCATACGGGCGATAAACGGGCGGAGCAATGGCAGACAGGCACAGATGATGGAAACATTGGTCTCAACTATGGTCCAACAGAGAGTAACAGCACCGTCATCTGTCANTTGATCAGCCTTGGTCTCAATCCATGAAAGCTGTACTGGCATGACTCGAGAGTGTTACTTACAAGTAGTATCGTCGCCAAGACCTCCTGTTTTGAAAGTTGTAATGCGCATAATTGTGACAATGACCACNNACTTGAAGCAAATGTCAGCGAACCCGAGTATCGAATGTCTGGAGGTAGCTTACAAGCCGCCAAGTGAGAAGACCAAGCAAAGACCAAACTTCTGACGGGCAGGAATCTTGAGCAGGTTCTTGACCAATGGCATCGGTAAGACAAGGATTATAATGTCGGAGATGGTATTGAGGAGAGACTGTGCCAGCCACCAGCTGAAGGGATCCACGCCACAATGTCCAGGAGAATCCTTGTCCCAATAGTGGCTGACGGGAATACACGAGAGGACGTTGACGATGAGCGTAACAACACAGAAGATCGCAGAGAAGGCCATCAACACGTGCACAGACTTGCGGAAGTTGACACCGAAGGCTGTAACATTGGGTGTATCGCCGAACACGCGAAGATAGAGGAAGAGGATGGACAGCTTGGTAGGCCAAATGGTCAGTTTGTACAGTACTTGGGCCCACCAGAACCACTATTGAAATTAGCAATACAATCAGATGTGTCAGATGAGGGTCGGTACCATGAGAGCTCTCGCCAGTTGTTCGTCAGTAAGTGTAGACATGAGGGCGCCATAGCCAGCGGCAGCCGCTTTCTGAAGTTAGAGAGGATACCAGTAATCAGTTTGGATGTCGACATACCCAAGCANAGACACGGCACTCTCCAGAATCGAGAACAANNCTTCGAAGAAGAATGTCAGGGAAGGACTTGAGATCAAGTGTGTATCAAGACTCACCATGGCAATTGCGATGAAGCTGTCTTCATAGCTCGCAGTACGTCTCTTCAGGCGAATGACCAGGCGCAATGTACAGATAACGAACGCCAGAATCACGAGACCAATGGCGACACCCTGGATGAGAGGGACTCTGGTGTGGTGCTCATTGGCAGCGCGGGTGGCAAGATTCGACCAGAGAGCCAGGTATTGAGTTGGGGCCATGGCGGCAAATGTGAACGAGATCTTGAGAAGCGATGAATGTTGAAAGTGCAGAGAGAATCTAGTCGAGTTATTTGAGGACTTTAGAGGAGCAACGTGATCATGTCGAGTCGAGAAGGCACTGCAAACGACGATGCGTTACAGTGACTGACATGACAAAAGCTCACAAACGACAATAAGAGCCTTCAAACCTAAGTGAAGCTCCGATGCACCCAAGCACTCGAGGACAGCCAGAGATTCTCTTGAAGAATTCACTTTCGCAAACGCTTATCCCGTCATTACCAACGATTGAGTGTTACAGATTTGATGGCATTCGGGAAGCTGCGTCCCGCCGACAATCAGGATGAGGGGCATTACGCTCCAGGGCAGGCAGGAGCGATGAGCCAAAGCTCATACTCTCGAATACTGACACGCAAGGTTGAAGCCTGCAAGCGCTCTTGTAGATGGAATTGATCATGGCCAGATAGAGTATTGGAGCAGCTGGGGAGCGCTTTGATTACTATCCGGAACTCATCACTTTACCCGACATTGCTTCGAGTCTGCTACAAGTCGACAATTCTTGATGCTCATGAGATGTCGGATCGAATTTCATCACATCCAACCTCAGCGATGCATGTCGAAGGTGAAGGAGGATGGGAGAGCGTGTGTGACGTGAAGAGTGAGGCTTCTGCACGGACCTTCCAGGAGTGATGTCAACCCATCGTCTCCCAGCCTCTTCCATTCTTTTTACAAGTACGAACATTGTCCTCGAGAAAGCATACGACAACTTGTGCAATTGAACCAAATATCTATACCCTTGTGCGCCGAGAAGAACCCTCACCCAAAACAACGCCGATCATGTCTCGTAATCAATGCCTTGCGACAAAGAGTTTTCTCTAGAGAAATTTTTGGAGAGCTCGTACATCCGAGTTCTGGGTCGTCCACCATGCTCAAAAGCTGAAGCGGAAGGAGGGATGGTCATCTCCAAGATTGTCAGCATCCGACAGCTGAAGCCGGTCGTCACGCTTGCCCGCATCTCTTCTAGCATTCTCTCTCTTGAGCCCAACATAAAACACCACGGCCGCGATATCCGTCAGGATCAACAATGCCAATGATGTCCCGTATCCGGTAGGATAATATGGCGCCTCCTCCTGGANAAAGACGTTGCTTGATACAAGTCCGCCAGCATTGCCCAAGCCGATCATAGTGCCGGAGGTGAACGCTCTCTTATAATGCCCAGATGCATTGTTCATGATCCACGACACGACCATCGGCTGTACGATGTACCCGGAACTGGTGATGANAAAGAGCGCCATGTATGCGACATTGGGTCCAACCGCAGGTGATCTTTGGACCAGGAGGATGACAAAACCAACGCTGCCTAGGAGCACTCCAAACTGCAAAGGCCAAAATCGATTATTGATGTATGACGAAAGATAGCAAGTCCCGAGACAGAAGACACTTGCGACGATGTAAAGAGGAATCGAGTGAATCTNGGCCGTATTAGTTTTGCCTTTACAAGTTCAGGATCGACCAACCTGAGCTGCTGCGGATGTGTAGCCAAGCTCCTTGAGAAGAGTCGGATTGAAATTGTTAGTCGAGTAGTTGAGAGCTACAATACCGAAATACATCGCCGTTCTGTGCGAGCTCGTCAGCAATTGCACATCAGCGATTGCTTGGGAGGCTTACGCGACCCAGACTTTCCAGTCTCTTGCACATCTGGACCAACTGACTCGATCCATCTTGGCGTCGCCCTCACCATCATCCATCAGGCGCCACATCAGTACCTTGCGCTCATCAGGAGTAAGAAAGCGACAGTCTGCTGGCCAATCTGCAAGCCACCAATACATGAGAATGCTCACGATGACAGTGAAACATCCTTCGATGATGAATANTCCTGTACAACGTGTCAGAGCGCCACCACCCACAAAAGACGAGTCTACTTACCATCTCCATCCGCCGTATCCTCTGACTCCGCTCCTGGCTGGCATTAGTGTGTACACACACGACATCCTCAGAACCACTTACATGTTGGCCAGAGCATACGCAAGCAGACCGCCGAAAGCGCCTGCTATGGTGCCAGACATATACCACCAGCAGATCCTTCGAGGTAGCTCTTCGCGACGGTAGTACATCGTGATGAGGAGAATACTTCCAGGTGATATACCGGCTTCGAAGATACCAAGGATAAAACGGCAGGCCACCAGGCCACCAAAGGACTTTGTCACGCCTTGGCAGATAGCCATGAGCCCGCAACCGAATAGCAAGAAGCTCAACCAGACGCGTGGAGTGATGCGCTTCAGGATCATGTTGCTTGGAGTCTCACAGAGGATAAACGGAACGAAGACAATGAAGAGGGCAATGTTGTAGTCGTGTTTGACCATATGGAGATCCGTCAGCATGCCTTCGATTCTGGCATTTGCGATGTTGACNNGCTGCTCTCGTCGTTAGAGATGTATCTTCCGTCGCATGAATCAAACTTACCGATCGATGAAGGAGAGCATGAACATGACCGTTGGAGCAGGTACAACCCACCAGTCACACTTGCGTATGACTCTCCTTTCTATATCAGGATCGATCTCTCTTATCCTCTCTATCGACTCCAGTGAATCGTTCTGCGAATCCTCCAGGGACGATTTTCGAGCCTTCTCATCATCGATGGAAAGAGGCACCGTTAGAGCCTCCGACATGGTGCTTTGATGTATCAGTACGAGAAGGTATAGATGAAAGAAAACCCGCGGGAATTTCTTGAAAGACGGCAAATAACAGACAGCCGAAGAGCGGTAACACCGGAAGAATGGTAACGGGGCTACGAGGTTTGTTGGGAGATATATATGACCGTGGCCATGCCATGCGATGCATCCTCTTCCCGCTTCTGCCCTCTCACGCACGCACACACCATGCCAGGCAAGAACGCCATCGTTCCGCCAGTCCATCGAGCTTTTGGTCGATTGAAGATGATCTCTCACTTCCAACAAGCCGCAATATCCGCGTANCTAAGCGGCAGGAGCCTCAATGACCTTTCNAGGTGCCAAGCAGGACGACATGCATCGTTCCTGCGCAGGTAACCTCAAGAAGGACAATTTTACGGGTTCTCGCAGTCACTTCGCCATTGGTGATGCAGGNNACAAGCCAACGTTGAACTCATGGCGTGCAGTTCGTACAACATTACAGTTCCATATGCACCCAAGTCAAATGCCGATGCAAATGATCTGGGAATCTGTATACAGCACATGTCTACGGAGCAGGTAACTACATGCCATGTCAAAGGCATGGTCCCGTAAAGTCGGTCGGAGGCGCGCTTTGCCAATCTCGGCATCAGACTGCGGCCTTCATGATGACAACAACCTCAACGATCATCACTCGAAACCATCAAGTCTGACCAGATGAACTCTCAGGTTACAGAAGCACAATATAATCCGATCGANGAAAGCCCACTTCGCAAACAAAACCGAGCCCATCAAGAGCTGAAAATTGGCGGCCCGGTCACCGAGTACGACCCACACCCACACACCCGGTCCAGTATACTCGTATCAACACGACTCATCGCTTCGCTCTGTCACATGTGGGAACGGTTCTCTACAGATCCTCCCGCAGAACACCAGTCCTCATAACCAGGTAATGCTCTGGAGATCTGGTATCACCTCTCGGGATCCTGCATTACTGGTGCGACTCGATTGCGCGATTATGTACTGCCCCCCTCATGCAACCACCCATGTCTCACTTTTTCACCTGGGTCGTATCGCACGAAGACTTGACGCTGTCGGTGACTGATTACAATAGCAATGGCGCTTTTCTGCAATGCCCTGACAGAGTAAGGAAGAAGGAAATGGCTGCTTGTCGTGTTGCATTGGCTTCATTGTTAGCGCAGGCGATTACGATGGTGGAAAACAATGCACGACCTCCTAGAAAGCCCAACCTTGCATATTGCGGAAAAGTGCGCAGTCGCTTCGAGGTATGACAATTGAGCATTGGTCAATCTCAAGAGGTCACGAACAGAAACATGCGAACAGAGACATTGACCACGCGCTCTCTCGGATTTCCAAGAGCAAGCTACCAAGGTAAAGGTGGCTCATCGCCAGGTAAGAACAGTCTCAGATCCAGGAGATCTGTCATCCTGTGATGGTGGCTGATCAAAAGTGTGGGCATCGTGCCATTGTCGCGCAGCAAGGTTTCCGATTGAGACATATCTTGATCGCCATCGTGCGATTTTACGCTACTCACATCCCAACAGGTCTTTGGCTGTTACGGTGATTGCTCTTACTAATGACTATCTCTTTGCATCTGTCTACCTCGGCACAGTCTAAAGGTGAGGGCATCCTGCCGCCGAGCACAAGGAAAACAAAGAAACAAGGGCTTCCATCTTCCCCCGATCCACTCTGCCAGGTCCACTAGATTGACAGTAACCTACCAGAGTACCAGTACAACAACACCAGAGCACTTGAGAAAACGGAAACAAAGAAAACCAAGTAATGCTTCGAAAAACAAGCATGTCGATCTCGATCAAACAAAGACAGCACGGTCTGAGCCATCCATACGCAAGCTTTTCGAGATTCATGCTCACGCTAAAGCACTCACGAACAGAGAGACCCGAGATACTAATGAGTGGAAAAGTGCACTCGCGAGTGCCAAAAGAAAGGCGTATATTGAGTTCCAGTCATGACCTTTCGTCGGTCTTTCTTGTTCATTTGGGAATGAGCAGAACCGGTTTTCGAATCTCTCGATGTCCACGAGCAAGTGCTTTTCGTGTTGAAGAGGCTCGCAGGTTCGTCGACCAGGTGATTATCGATATTCAATCACTGTCGGTTCTTGGGATGTAGTGTAGATAACCAAAAGAAGGCTTGTGCTGCTGAATAATCTCTTCCCACTTGATCATGATAACCATGGAAGTCACGTTCTGCTATACACTATCTTTGTCAAGTACAGCATATACAACAAAAAAAGACAGCAGAGCACAAAACCTCATTCCATTCCCCCAAATCTCCTCCTTGAACTTTTGATGTCTCATCTACTCCTTCTTAACCACATTCCTCTCCCTCAACATTCTAATCTGCTGCAACCTACTCCGCCACGTACTAGGCAACTCTCCCAAACCCCTATTACTCCACACCCTACAAAACTCTTCAGCGTTAAGTGCAAGATTCCTCACATACGCACTCAACGCAGCTCCAGAAACCACCATCGTTTCCGCCGCCGAAGAAATATCCGGAAAATCGTGGCGGGTGAGTACGCGCACTTTGAACCACGAGTCTTCATACCAGCCGGTGTTGTGCAGACGCGTACGGGTTTGGATAAACGTTTGACGCGCCTCTGGCACCACGACGATATACACGTAATTAAACGCCGAAGGAAAAGTGTCAAAGTCAAACTCGAGGCCCGAGTTGTTGAAGATGATGTTTACGAAGTCGTTGCCGATGTGTGATTTCTTGCGTGTGCATTGTGGGTCGGCGTCGCGGTTTGTGGGCATCATGGTGGTGACGTGGTAGTTGAGGGTGGTGATGGTGTCGCTGTGGCGGAGCGTGCTTCTGCCGTCGAACATGCCTTCGCTGGTGTCCAGGCCAGCCATGTTTTCACGGTTGTTAACTAGGGAGACGCGTTCGCCTAGCCCAGCGATGAATAGATTGTAGTCTGGGGATCCAGATACGTTGGCCAAGATCTCGTGCTCGTGTGTTTGATTTTCGCCAATGTAGATGACGCCAGCTTTGAAGAAATCGATGGGTGAGATACGGTCAAAGATGCCAAGCGCGCGACGTGTGGCATCGGTGGTAGGTAGGATGACAACTTCTAGATCGCTTTTGAAGTTACCATTGATGGTTGAGGCAAAGCGCTCTTGGTATATCAAATCCGGAGTCAGTGGTTCCTCGCCGGCATAGACAAAGTGACTCTCATCAGTGCCAGAACTTCTTCGCTCAGTAATTTCGACGAGTCCATTATCAAGGTGGCACTTTATTGTCAGGATACAAAACTCCGAGACCCATGTTTGCATGACTGGATCTGCTGATGGTTCACTCGTCATACCAAGATCCAGAGAAAGTGGTTGCACAACATCTTTGCCTTCTGTAACTCGCCATATGTGGTCAACAGTGACGATGGCTTCATCGAGCACTTGTCCGGATTGGTCGGNGGAGAGCAATCTCTGTTCCATCCATGGGAAGTGCCTCTNTTGATCCTCTTTACTTAGAGCAAGAAACCAGAAAGTGATGACGTGGTAACTGAGCGCAAAGACATATTGTGGAATGTCTTCGGTAGATGGACGGTAGTTGCTGTCCACGACCGAAGAGTTTCTGGTAGGCGGTCCTGTTGGCCTTGAGCGATTCTGTTCATCATATTTCTTGCCTCTGGCGTAGTCAATGTAGCTGAAGCATACACCGAAAACTGTCTTGATCTCGTCGCCATGAAACTGGTTGACCAGCTCATCGATACGGGACAAACCTGCCAGGAACTCAAGCACATGGATGGCTGAATCTGATTTGGTAACAATGGTGGACATCTGCGCCACGATACGAACGAGATCTCGACTTAACGACACCGGCAGCTCGTAGCAACTCAAGGTTAGCGCATTGACGCAAGCTATAGTTGTGCGATCCCATAGTGTTAGACCTTTGACAAGAGTGGTGATTGTGTCTACGTTCTCCTTCCGTGGGAAACGCCAATGGTATCCGATGCAGGTAGTGAGAATGTGGTACAAGCACAAAGCCACGTCGCCTTGTCGTAGATTTGATGTCTCTGGTGGTCTGAATATCGTTTGGGACTGTATCTTCTTACAAACCAGATTTCGCAGTAACCTGATCTCGTGGATGTTCTCGGCAAAGAGTGACTGGTTGGAAACTTGAGGACCAACGTGAACGATAATGTAGCTGTACACCTCCCAGTCACAGCTCGCAGACTCCAATAATCGGATGATTGTCTCAAGCCAAGATCTCATGTTGAGGCTACAGTCGACACCATCAACAGGTTTTGACTCTGACCGGAGTACAGCGCTTACTGTCGTTGGAGGAGACTCTGGCAGACCATGGATATCACCATACTTCCATACGGGTGGCATGATTGATATTCCTGACTGCAGTGAAGATCTGCGGGATTGCAAGAAGGGAGAGTCGGAGTTCCTATGAAGAACTTTTGCAAGACTCTCACCTTCTGAGTTTGCAAGGAAAAATATCCGGTGGTCTAAATCACTTCGAATGCGGAACAAGCCTCTGAGAAGCATGACGGTGGCTTCGGCGGGTCGTTCAGGTATGGCAATGAGTTGGAGCATTTCGTCATAGACTCTTCGCGACCGTTCGAGTTGATCAACACTGCTTCTCATCAACAATGCCACCAGTCCGGCATCAGGTAGAATAGATGGCAGCTCTTCGTCTTGTGACTGGTTCTGCAAATCAATTTCAGGCTTTGCATCTTTGGGAGCTTCTGGCTCAGCAANAAATGGTACCTCAATAAGCTCATGAAAACAGCCTGTGCGTGCAGATTTTACGAACACCTCCAAGGTCCGATAGAACACCGAATCGCTGACTCCGACTGTGAAATGAAGCAGAACATGCACCAGATTGCCTCTGAATGCATAGTTTGTCTCGTTGTCAAGAGCAGTCACAATCAAGTCGCGACACGTGTTTGTGGCCTCTTCTTCACCAAGTTGTTGAGCCGTGCGCCACGCAGATTTGATGACTCTCAGAGCTTTTTGACGAAGTGCAAGGTGACAAGCAGTATTGAAGATAAAATGGTTGGCAAGTTCCCTAATCTCCCCAAGCCAATTGCCGATCGAGATGCGGAAGGAAGATGGTTGGTATGCGGATATCAGCTTCATCGACTGTTTTTCGGTCAACCATGGCGCCACGTAGAGCGCAGTCCTTCGAAGTGTTCTCGACTGCTGAAGACTAATCCCGTCAATATGCTCGAGACATGATATGATAGCACGAACAGTCTCCCTCCTATTCTCACGATCTTTCATGAATCGCTCAAGAGTGCCGTCTTCTTTATTTAATCCGACCGAGAGAGATTCGAGCGGAGCCTTGGCATTTCGAATGATGGCATCCTGTATGTGTATCCAATCCGGAGCTGCAAGGAGCTTTTGTTGGACCTCTCCATCCTGTACAAGGACTTTGACCAGTTCCAAGCGTAGTCTGGCATACGCAGAAGCAGTCTCCTCTGGTACAGATCTTGCCAGTGCATCCATCAGACGATTGATGTCCAGGTCGATCGAGTTTCTTGTTGTAGCATTCACCAGCGACAATTCGAGCAAAGCAGCAGCTCCAGCAGCTTCCATTGGACATGTGTTATCGTCTTCGAACCTGCGGAGGAGACTTTCGATTGTTTCATCTTTTAGGTGGGTATTCATAAAATAGGAAANAGTCTTGCTCGTTTTCTCCTCGAGGCCATTTCGCTCTCTCAGGAAACACAAAGTCCTCGTAGCAATCAGAACTGCGTCCTTCGGGATATGAGTGTAAATGATCAGAGTGCCTAGAATATCGCAGAGTTTCTCAGGATCGTCGAAAGCCAAGCGATGTCGCAGATCAAACATTCCCTGGACTAGTAAAGTTATGTCGGCATCGCTGAAGAACCTCGCATTGTACTTGACAATGTTGTTAACTAGGTCAAGTGAGGTTGAAACAGGCAGACCAGACTTCCTAGCTTCTCGTCTTCTGACGTCCTTCTCGGCAAACTCAGAGTCGACTTCGTGCAGAAGTGCAGGAATCAAACCTGCTAGCAGAGGCTCGAAGCCCTCGAGCTGACGGCCACTGTCTGTGAGTATTGTGAGGAGGTAAGAGGGAAAATTGGTATAGCGATTTGTAGAACCATCCTGGTACAAGGTGTAAAAGAAATGCAAGCGATTTGCGGGGGTGCACTCTGGTTTGAAAGCGAGTTTTGCAATGATGGCCAAGCCAAGGTCAGTTTTGATGAGATCTTGTTGACGAAGCAGCTTTTCGGCAGAACGAAAAACTTTTTCGACGTCGGGGACTGGGAAGTCGTCTATTGAATCGCATATCCTCTGCTGAAGCTGAACGAGGTCTTNTTCCGGGTCATGGGCATCTATTTCTCGCAGCAAAGATTTTAGGTGATATTGCGGCTTCTCGGATTTTGATGAAGCTAAGGATGCTGGGATAGAGACTTTTGAAGAGGCGCTNNGTATATCTTGCTTAGCATAGGCATGTTCAGTATGAGAGACCAAGCAACGAGCAAGATGACAAGTCTTGGGCAATCATGGTGATTGATGCCCCGCCGTTAGCCGGCGTTGACGCGACATGGCCCCGGCTTCGGGTGGTACGGTATGGAGACGAGTCAGGAAAGTACGGAAGGTTACCCACCTTCTGTTAAACCTAGGCCTTGGAGCAGCCAGAAAGTTGCGTTCGTAAGGGTCCCTCAGCCCTCTGAGTAGTGCCATTTTCCCAAGGCTAATCACGTTACGGCTCCCTCATGAGCTAAGGTGAATCTGAAAAGAAGAATCAAACAATTGACATGTGACGTAGGCGTGGTAAAGAAGTGTTTTGATGTGAAGAGTATAGAGCATTTAGATAGGACTGTTCTAGTGCTGATGCAAGAGCAGATGTGTATGATGGTTGATATCTCTGTTCAGACAGAGTGGTCATAGGTATTTGTGTGAGATAGGCCCAGATTGCGGAGAAGGTGCGGAGGAGAGCAGCGCCCAGAACAACTCAATCGCTGTGATTGGCCAGGAGCAACAACAGACACCCTAATTACATCTTTGGCTCCTTCCAAAACATTTGCGATTCTACCTGTCCGAGCCATGTCATGAGGAAATGGCAAACGACCACCTCTCGCCCATTGCGCCGGCGCGCGTGCGGGTCCTCGTCTTGCCCGCCGGGCGCATCAAGAAGCACCGCTTCACCACCTTCTTGCAACGACTAGAACAGCACGACAGCGTACGACTAGGAGACATTAGTCCTGATGCCAAATCCACAAACAACCTCTTCTCTCCTCTGGCATTTCCAAATGGCTCTCTTCTGTACAACTTCTCAACCTCGGTCCCACCGCCATCGCACACCCAATTGGTCCCTTTCGACCTGTTCAGAGAGCACTTGATGGTTCTGGGCATTGTTGATGCGAAAGAGTACGAGTCGTCGCCAAAAGAGGAGCTACAACAAGTGTCAGACAGATTGGCTGAACAGCATCCCAAGATACTGCTTTCGCAACTACTGGTCATGGACTGTACTCAGGAGCAGCAAGAGAGTTGGAATCTGGACAAGGCAATCTGCGTCCCACCTTCGCATGCCACAAAGACGACTACCATGAACACCATCATGTGCGATATTTCAGCCAGACTGCTGTCTGAAATGGGCACTTATGCCACTGCTGTACAGGCTCTGCCGAGTGTCCAGTCGCCAGGTGTCTCCACCTCTCGCCCACAGCTAGATCGCTCGCTTTCGCTACGCATGGATTCTTCACGCCCAGCGTCTCCCGCTGATTCGTCCTCCGCTCTTTCACGCTCCGAGACCCCTCCTCCAAGAGGCCCACCTACCAATTTTGATGACATGGGTGCACACACACGATCCGATAGCGGCAAAATTGCGAATAGAGATCGCATGTCGACCCAGACCTTTGCTTCCACTAGCGCACAAGAAAGAGCAAAGAACAAAGGAAAAGCAAGAGTCGGCATTGTTGTCGGAAATCTGTACATGCTAGCTGGCCGCTGGAACGATGCTTGGCGAGAACTCGTTGAAAACACAAACAAGGCTCGTTCCGCTTCTGACTACCTGTGGTACGCAAAGGGATTGGAGAGTATAGTAGTCTGTATGCTTCTGCTTATCTGGTCTGGCTTTGACTTCCCCATTCCTGCTATTTGCAATTCTGGACCTGACAGATCTTCCTCTCTTATTTCTTCCGCCATCACCAGAGATGGTGTGCCGCCCATAGGTCAGCAGGACCCTGCCGCTGCCAAACAAGCTGCTTCAAGAGCTTCCAGACTTCTTCCCGATCTTATACCCATGATCATCTCTGTATACGAAAGAACGAGTACATTGGCTGGTGAGCCAATATCTCCTGTTGCATATTCGGAAAGTGTCTTGAGGCTTTCGAAACTACTCGCNTTTTTACAGAACGCAGGCGGTGAGCTGGACTCTGCCATCTTACAAAAAATTGCATCCTCATCAAGTCGCTCCTTGTATCAACCAAAAACTAACGCGGGCTTCTCTGGTGGTATTTCAAAACACGCTATTGCTGATATCGCTCTTCGTGCATACCCACCGCCAAGTGCTGGCGTGCCTCTTGCTGATACGATAGCCATCCAGGCTGGCATAGTCTCTGTTCTTTCTATGCTCGGTTTCGAGCGCAAGAAAGCTGTCATCGTGAAGGAAATGATTACACTTCTTGTTCCTGCTCTAGTGCAAGCCAGAAAAGTCGGTGCTGCTGAAATGGGTATACATCCTGCTGCAAGCTTGTCTGCTGCGTTCGGTGCCGGAATGCCCTCTTCAGAAAACAACGATGAACAAGTGGGTCTTGGAAACATGCTTCGTGATTTACACTCTACCTATGGCGCTCGCGATCAAAACCATCTCGAGGATCAAAAGAAAGCAACAGACGGTGAGCAAGAAGATGTTCTGGATGTAATGATCAATGCTACAATCGCTTTGGCTACTCAGTCAGCCAGCACAAAATCTTTCGGCAGCATCAACCTCAAGATTGACATACTCAGAGCATGTATCGATTTCTGTGAGGCATTGCCAGATTTACCAGGTGTCGTACATTTCTCTGCTCTGCTTTTACGAGTTGTTGGTCCGCAAGGAACTATGACTGTGCATGAGCATAATCGTCGTGTTACAATGGTTACAGAAGAACAACTCCGTTTGATATCCAACATGGCAAGGACAATAAATGCTGCAGGCAAGATTGGCCTGCCAAACATTCAAGCCCTGTACTGGGATGACTTCCTTGTTCGGAACATACAATGGGTTGACGATACAAACAATGAGAAGCTGCGAGAGCGTCACAAGTCTGACCTGCTGTTCGATTCAGACAACAAACCTGGAAAGTCACCTTTCCTGTACAACCCTTTCGTCAAAGAAACGCACAAGACGGAAGATAAGGTTGTTGTCGTTGGCGAGCCGGCTGAGCTTGTTATCACTTTACAGAATCCGTACGACTTTGAAATTAGGATTGAGCATCTCTCACTAGTCACCGACGGTCCAGCGGTTGAGATCGAGGAGCATTCCATCATCTTAGGACCCGCCAGGCTTCAAGATGTTGTGATTGTTGCACGCGCCAAAGAAGAGGGTCAGATTCGGATTGTCGGTTGCTCCATCCGGATGTTCGGGTGTAGAGATCAAGTCTTTCCAATTCACCAGTCATCTTGGAAACCGGACTTCCCGATCAAGATGAAAGAACTTGGCCTTTCAGCTCGAGGTCCGACATCAGCCACTACACAATCACGAAGTTCTAAAGGCCGCTCATCGAAACCTGTCCTTCCCCAACCAACGACTGTCTCCGCTGTTGCAATACAAGCTCAACCACATGTCATAATTGACAATCTTGACCTTTCTGAGTCTGCCTTAATGGTCTTGGAGGGACAGAAGAAAACATTCCAAATCACTCTACGAAACACCTCTTCGCACGTTACAGTCGACTTCCTTCATATATCATTCGACGATTCTTTGACATCGTCCATTCATACAGCTTTGGCAGCTAAGGAGTTAACCAAGCCAGATATGTACGGCCTTGAGCTTGAGTTAAGCAACAACCCTACCTTCACGTGGGCTCGGTCAGGAGGCGGCCAAGACATGACTATAATGCCAGGCGAAACGGCAACTTTTGATATCACCGTGCTCGGAAAGCCAGGCCTGGCAGCTGCAAAGATCATGTTCGATTACGCGTATTTGGGTAAGCCTTTTCCAGAAGTCGAAGGCCGAGCATTCACTCGCCAAGTCGCTGTGCCCATTGATATCACCGTCAACGCCAGCATTCAACTTCATCGAATTGACTTCAGCGAGTTTCCTGCAGATTTTGCTTGGACGAATAGAGGATTGCAGCAACAAGGTCAACGGCCAAAGTCACCACGATCACCATCACATCCAGTAGGGAAGGGCAACAACCGGTTCCGAACCTTGCTGGATCGTGTTGGCTTGGAGTCTAGTAATGAAGAGCATTGTTTGCTTCTTCTTGACTTGCGGAACTCGTGGCCGAACCCGTTGACCGTGTCTGTTCAAGTGCGCTCCTCGTCTTTTGATGAAAGCTGGGATCGCGCTTATGCGGTTCATGAAGTTATTCACCCTGGTCACGTAGCACGTCTTGTGTTACTTCTTCCTCGCCTGCATATTGCAAACCCTTATGCACCCATCCCAATCTTGTCGCAGCAGAACCAAAGACAATTTGTCGTCTCTGCTGATGGACCAGTCTCGGCCGACCTTGAGCGCGCAACACGAGAGCAATTCTGGTTCAGAGAGGAAGTACTCAAGTACCTTTGCGGTACATGGGAAGAAAAGGGCTCAGACAGAAGCGGCAACATTGATCTCCGCGGTCTAAGAATGAGTCCGAAGATGATTGAAACCGTTCGGCTTCAAGATATCGTTACCACAATGTCTGTCGCAGCCACAGAAAACGAAGATGTTCAACAGACTGGCCGCAGTAGATTCACCGTCAAGGCAGAGAGTTTGTTGACTTTACGCACAACAGTACACAACAAGAGCAATACCACAATCAAGGCAGTCTTACGTCTTCAGCCCACACTCGCAGATCAAAGCTCTGCAGAAACGAGTTTGGACATCTCTCGCCGCTTGCTCATTAGTGGAGTCTTGCAGCAATGTTTGCCCACGCTGGCACCTCACAGCTCTGTCACCGTCGAACTTGGCATTTGCCCTCTTGTCAGTGGGGAGTTTGAAGTCAGTGCATTGGTCGAAGAGATTGCACTGTCCGTCCCTGAAACCAAAGAGATTGGCGAGGTTGAAACGGAAGACTTTGAAGCAGGCAAAGAAGGGCTTGCGAGGAAGGAAAGGAGGGTGTGGCGAAGTGAAGAGACTTGTAGGATCATTGTCAATTAGACAACAGAGTAAAGAATGAATCCAGCGCTGGTGACAAAGAAAGCAGAAAAACAACAAGAATCTCCGGAGAGTAACTTCAACCGAAAGGATTCCATCCATTGTTAACCATCTCCACAGTCCTCTTTGTCGCTTCATCCAAATCCTCATGCGGCAATCCCAAGCCTTCGTTGTCGAGACCTTTGCTACTCTCGTAATCACCGCTACCATCTGGATAGAAACATCTGGCGTACATTGNCTGTGTTTGGACTCTTGTCAGCAAACAGATACATCGGCTTGTTAGGAAAGAGAGGGAAGATAACGTACCTCTGGCAAACCCAGTCTGATCTCCCTTCTGCATATCCTCCATTCCTTTTCGGTATTTCTCCTTAGAAGTCTCAAAACTAATCTCCCAATCCTCGTCTTTGGTGCCCAGGACCCTATGCAAACTCTCCAACATCTCCCTCTGCGTAACCCTAAAACTACTCACATACAAACTCCTATCCTTGTATTTCCTCAACTCTTCCTCTGGCAACGAAATCAACGTAGCAATGGCTTTCCCACATTGAACCCAAGTACTCGTATTCATCTTCGTATTTCCCTCATCGTAGAAAACAGCTTTCCGAGAAGCAATATCGATACCATAACACCAAGGAATAGCTAAACTCCACTCGTACCAAAACCCGCACACTAGAGAGAAGTGGAGNNTCATACCGTGGGAGGAGATGGAAGAGAAGTATTCTTGAGCTAGATGGCCGGCGGGGATGTCTGCGATGATGGCCGGGTTCGTAAAGTCGAAGCCGTAGGCGTTGGGGATTGTGTATTTTATGTTTGCGGTGGCGGCTGCGGAGATGAGGTTGGAGTGGATGTGAGGGGGTGTTCCGACGGCGAGGGTGATCATTAGGAGATCTTGACCTTGGAGTGCTGAGGCCAAACTCTCGATGGAATCATAATCTACCTCGATGATGTTGATGGAGGAAGAAAGAGAGATGTTGCTGCCTTTGCGGGTTAGGACGGTGATCTCGTGCTGGTTGATCTTCTGAAGTTCGGCGATTGTGTGTTTGCCCATGTTGCCAGTTGNCCTTTGATAGATTCGTTAGTCTGAATAGGAAGAAGTGTAGAAGGGGTGATTTCTTACGCCAACAATAGCTACTTTCTTGATGGGAGAAGACATTTTCTTGATTTGGAATGAAGGTTTCAGAGATTGCTGATGTGTTTGACTAGAATTATGAGTGTAGCAGGAGCGCTGATTTTATATCTGCTCTCTCTCTGATGTACGTCGGACATAGAGCTTCCCAATCGGGCAATTTTACGGAGATAGCGACTTCCGACAAGACGGAGGGACTCATCTCTCCGACCCGCATACAAACTCCTATGTCCATCTGTACCATCATTAGTAAGTCATCAAATCACACGCGAGCTGGAGGACACGATTTGCGGTAAGTTGGTATGGAAGGCAATAATCGATTGTGCTGGTGGCTAGAATACTGAAACTGCCGGCTCAGCGCCCTCCTTTTGTCAGAACGCCGACCCTTGATGCAAAACCTCTCTGACCGGCTGTTGAATAATGCAAAGACTACCTCTTCTTTGCCTAAAGTCTCTGCTGCAAGATGTCATGAGAGCTCCTTGGTGAGCTCTGTGTCGTTGCTGGAAATCGTCAAAGTCGTTACTATTACTCCGCCTTTCTCTTCTTCGCTTTTGAACTGTTTTTCTCCTTTTTTCTGGTGTGTCCATATCTCTGCGTCGTCCTTCTCTTCGCCGTTACTTGTTTCTCTCGTTGCAGCTCCCAAATGTGTCAGTTTTTCAGAGGATGTCAGCAGCGTAACCATCAAGATCAGCCTGCAAGACGGCTCTGACCTTGTCCATAGCGGCCTTGATGGCAGGTGCGATCTCCTCACGTCTGGCGTCAGACATCTTCTTTCCTTCGAAAGACTTGAAGAGGACATCGCGGAGATCTGCGTGCATCTTCTCAATACGCGCAGTGGCCTTCTCAGCCCATGTGTTGATGACTGGGCTCATCTGAGAAGAGACCTCGTTGTTCATCATGTTGTAAGGTCCTTTGCCGCTGAGAACCTGCTCAACGATGTACTTCATGCGCTCTTTGGTGACGTTCTTGGTTTTAGGAGGGAACTTCGCGAAAGTGGTCTTGAAAATCTTGTACATCTCTCTGACAAACACAGGTGAGTCGTCATCACAAGGCTCGTCAGTAACAGATCTCAAAGCGGTCGATCTGTTTATGTCAGCGGTGTGATAACTTGTCAGCTTGGATATATGGACTTACCTCAGATTTGTCTTGAGCTCAACAATACCCTCCTTGATATCGCGAGCGCAGGACTTACCCTCCTCATCAAAAAGTTCAAAAACCCCTTCCAGGTTGGCGCCTCCGATGGTGTCCAGCATTTCCAGACCGTGGCGGATCTTGTCGACGACTCTAGAGATGTTCTCGCAGATGTTGCCTTCGGCCACGTTGACAGCATCCCAAGTTGACTTCAGAAGGCTTGGAACATCGTCTTCGACGACGAGCAGGAGATCTTCAATCCAGGAGACAAGTTCCGGTTTCTTGCTCTTGGAACCCTTGATCCTCGGGTTGTGTCTTCCTCCCTGACGGATAAAGACACCCTGAGTACGTGCAGCATATTTAGTAGCCCAGCCGTCCATTGTCTTTTGCGCGGCATCCGCCCATGTGCTGGAAAAGCGAGTGTTCAAGAGCTTCTTGTACTGCGTCAAGACTTTGGTCAAGGAAACCCTGTCACCCTCAACACCCCATTGGGTATGCTGCCCAAAGAGTGCCATCGCAGCATCGCGAGGGGGCATCTTAGGTCCATCGGCCCAGATGGAGATACGGCGCATCTTGGTGATGCAGTTCGCAGAGTGGCGCGTAAAAGCTCGAACACGCTCTCTGCTGGGTGTTTCACACATGTATGCCCGAAGCTCTCGGATGCCGGTCTGGTCAAAAGAAAGAATAGCCTTGTTGGTGCCATTCATGTAGTGTTCGTGGCACTTGTTGGCGACTGTGATGACACGTATCTTGCTAGCGTCGTGTTTGTTCTGGTACTNTTTCTAAGTGAAGTGGTCGGTGACGATACGGTCGCGGACGGCGATTCTGTACTCCAAGATCTGGCGGTCAATGGCTTGGACGTTGGCTCTGGCTTGCGATACGATGTCCTCATCGTCCCCATTGTCTCGCTGAAGTTTCGCAGCGCTCAATGACTTTTCCAGAGTCTCGAGATGAGCAGATTCGANCCTTAGACCATTTGCTTCTGGACTTGTCGACGTTCTGGAAATGTTGTTAGCATAGTTCAGTCCAACCGCTTGACATGTGATCCGTACCTCTTTTCCTCGGAGAACCAAGCAGACATTCTCTGCACCCTTAAGCCTGATGATTTCTCTCAAGCTCTTTTCCAACTCCGGAGTCGTTAGACATCTTGAAAGGTCGGCCACAAAAATGACCTTCGGGCAATTGACCAGATATGCCATTGATGTTTTGCGTAGGTGGATGTTGGTGTCTGTGTATCCAGGCAAGTCTGCGAATTCGATACCCATTGCAAGTAGATGCGAGTAAGTTTTGGTGCGAATACTGCTAACGAGGGGTGCAAAAGCACCGCGCTCCGAGAATTTGGCGGTCTTTGCGTGCAGTTCTCCAAGATTGATAGCAGTGAATCTGAGTCTTCTCTGGTCCAGATCGATACCTTCTAAGGAAGCACGGTCTCGGATCTGCTTGTGTAAAGAGTCAACGGTTGCGTCCGCAATTTCCTCATCGTCTTGATGAAGCAGGTCTCTGGCCTCCAAGAATTCTTCCACATCATCTAGACTTTTCAGTGCGTCCTGATGAGAGAAGAGATCGTCGAAAACTTGCTTGCTTGCCTCGGCCGAATCGCGAATGTAATCATTCTCTTCCTCGCCGTCATCACCTGAGATGGATCTAACGTAGTCAACAAGATCTTTGACGCATTTCTTGATCAGGTTTTCAATGGTTCGCCCATTGATGAACAAGACCTCAACCAAGAACATTGCATCCTGGGTTCCATGGTTGAAGATCTGTGGATTTTGAGTAACACTCTCCATTGAAGCGTCAGCATTTGCAAGACCAGACATGCCAAGGACATTGTTGAGTGTGGTTGTTTTTCCCGAACCGCTGTTACCAGTCAATGCGAAGAGAGTTGGTGGTGTCGCGGGAATGTTGGCGTTTTTCTCCAACCACTCAACAGTGTCGTTGACTGATTTGTCCTCATCTCTGTAGGGTGAGAGAGCAGGCAGCGCAACCTCCTTCAAGCTGAATAGAAAGTGTTCAATTGCGTCTTGATGGTGCTGGCTGTTGACCTCAAGCTGTGGAACAGTTTCGTGTCTTGAGTAGTTGTACGGCTTTCCAAGGATGTACTGACGAACAGGGCCTCCTCCATATGCACGCGGACCGAAAGATTCGGTAAAGATCTTGGGTTTCTTGGACTCCACCGTGGACATGGCGTCTTCCACGGTTCGCTTCGCTGAGACCTGTGGTTCAAACAGAGGTGAATGAGGTCCATTGACCTCGTTCTTGACCTCATCCTTGATCTTGGCGCCAACAGGCTCGTACTCTTCGAGGGATGGCATTGCGGAACGAGAAGGATGCAGAGCGATGTCCATGTTATACTTCTCCTTGTCGGAGAATGGTTCAGACATGATGATCTTGAAAAATGTATGAGTAAGAGAGAAGATAAGAATAAACAATCTCAAGAAAGAACATACCAAGAGTGAAGATCAAATCAGTCGTGGAAAAGAGAGATCGTTGAGAAGTCAAGAATGCTGTGTAGTGTTGCAGTTCAAGAAGCAAGATCTGTCGCGAAGATCTATGACTGGATGGTGAAAGAAGCAAAAGATCTTTAGATCAAGAACGCACTGCTACCAGAGCAGACGCCAAAGGCTTGAGAGTGTTGTATGATGTAGTGTAATGTATAAAAGAAGAAGCAAAGGTGGAAGTAGAAAGGGTGGACCAAGAAGATTGAAGGTGGTGGAGGTGTTGGAGAAAGGAGTAGTAGAGGAAGAAAGGAAGAGTCCGATATTGAGGTAGGAGCTGCTTAAGTAGGGCCTCGAGGCAGCAACGGACAGCCTGCTAGTGAGAGTGACCGACAAAAGAAGGTGTTGTTACTGAATGAATAGAAAGGAGTTGGGAGAGCAAGCTCGAGGCAGCAACAAGACTCGACTGAATGTGTCGACGAGAGCCTCGAGTGAAAGGGTAAGAGAGCACTTCCAAAGACAATGATTCTGATAAACCACAGACTGTGTGAGGCAGGTGAGTTGGATGTTGTGAGTTCTCCTTTCGTAATTTGACTGGGGACTCGTCTCAAAGCACTACTGCAAACCTGTTCAAAGAACCACAGCTTGATGTCCTTCTTTTCTCTTTCTCGAACAGTGAAACAAACAAACTATAGTGCCTGCATATTCGTCGTCTCTGCTTCAGCTTTCTCAAAATAGTTCCTAGTTTTCTCTAGAGTACTTCGGTTGCACGATCCGACAGTCGCAGAACATGAGAGCGAGAAAGCCAATCGGAGATGACACATGCTGTCCAATGACTATGATTACCGGGGTATAAGATCTGTTCACTATACACAGAGACCAAGTAATGTCAAGCTGAGCAGCATCTCTTCGACACAGGCAACACATCGAAGTGCGTCAGAAACTTATCGATGGCCGAGCGAGATGGGAGCAGGAGAGAATACTTCTATTTCTGTTCCTCGGAGATATCTGTGTCTGTCACACAGTCGTTTCTCTGCTTGGATAGTAGATGCAAGCTCATAAAGATGGTCCCACAATGTCAGGTACCTCTGGAGACCTGCTTGCCCTTCGTTGCCAGTAAATTGAGGAGCCCCAGGGTGATTTTCTGCTCTTCTTCAGTCAGAGATCTGTCATTAGACATCTTGAAGGTCCTAAAGAAATCCGATAGTTGCTCGATTTGGTTGTCTTTGTGCTCCGGCTCGACGCTGATATTCTCGGGGCTCAATTCCGTATCACTGAGGAGCGAGCTCCTCCGATGATCATGAGCGAGTTCAAGGCGACTTGGTGCTTGCAGACCAGCTTGAGCCATGTCATTGCAGAATCTGCTCGATGAGCCTTCTCGTCTATAGTCTCGGGTGTATCTTTGTCAGGGTCATCTGGATCTTCGTCTTCCTCCTCATCTTCTTCGAGGTTACTGGTGTCTCCAATACTCAGACTCGAGAGGTCTGATGCATCGATCTCCTGCTCTCTAGAAGTAGGAGGGGAGAGCTGGAATGTAGGACCGTGACTTTCGGCAGGCGAAGTTTTGGTAATTTGAGAATGAGTTGGTGTAGCAGGTATCTCTGATACGGCAGGAGAGGCGGGTCTGATTGTCGGCTGCTTGGGCAATAGTTGTTTTGAGTTCGTCAATTCCAAAATCTGTCCTAGCTATGACAAGTGGCCCTTGAGAAAGTCTGGAAACAAAATTTGCAAGTCCGCGAGTGATACCATTAATCTGGACAATCGAAAGAGCTCCTTGTCGAGCTTCTTGACCAATTCTGAGTTCACAACAAGATTGGTGCACTTCTCCGCTTGTGCGGCTAGAGGAGAATCTCCAAGACTCTCAGTGGAGGCTCCTCGATTTTCTAAAGTACTATGCATTTTGATAGCTGGAATTTTTGCTGTTTGCCGAGTGGAGAGATAGATGACTTAACTCGTGCCTGGTCTACATTCAAGACAGGCTTCCATTGAGAATACAGTACTCTCAGTGGAAGCTCCTCGATTTTGTAAAGTACTGTGTATTTTGATAGCTGGATATGTTGCTGTCTGCCGAGTGGGAAGACAGATGGTTTGAATTGTGCCTGGTCTACGTCAAAGATAGACTCTCATTGTAAAATAGTGCTCTCAGTGGACGCCCCTTGATCTTGCAAAGTATCCTGCACTTTGATAGCTAGATCCATCGCTGTTGGCCGTGTTGGAGAGAGGCGAGTTGATGTATGCCTGGTCTGCTCTAGGGAGGGCTCTCCGTGGAAGCTGCTCATTCATCGAAAGCATCGTGCATTGTGATGCATATTTCGTAGTCGAGATCACGAATCGGGAGAGGCGCCAAACTGTAGACACGCATGAAACCCTGGTTGTTCATCTCTGTTTCTGGATCTGACGCGAAAGATGGCATAGCCCGAGGCTTTGTTCGATGACTTGCAATAAGAGCAGCTGACTTGGCACCTCGCGATTCGTGTAACCTTGTCGGAGTACTCTTCAAAGAAGTTTGGACGCGATCCTGACTGTCGGAAGAAGAGAATGATATGCCACCTTGGATCTTGAGTATTCGCCAGTGCAAGTAGTTCCTAGATTCCGTCGTCTGATAACACGACGTGCTGATCCTGGTCTACAACATAGTAGTGGGTTGGGTCCTAGGCAACTCCATGCTCCCTTAACGCAGTTGCATGAGTGTTCGCGTCGTGTTCGCCGTCGCCGTATCCGACCTGGAAGTGGCTGGCATACATAGCTTGGTTGAGGAAGCCAATCTTGCATACAGAGCAACTGACAAAACCAGGGAGGTTATATCTTTATTGGCCATGGAAGGTAACCCAGTGTATAACAGCATGTGAGAATGATCTGAACTCATGGTCGCTGTTGTAGTGACAATGGTTTTGGGCTTTGACAACTAGACCTTGCGGACAGGTGTACGATATGGGAAACGTCGATCGATCCATCTGAGAGCGGGACCTCGAGATGTGATGGAGAAATTGTTGCCATTCATCCAAGAACGACCTGCCACACCCAAACTCACAGGCGAACTGACCACAGCTGTCAAGGAATGGTCGATGCTTTGGTGACTCCAAGTGCTGGTACCAGGCATAGATTGATGTATCGGAAGGCCAATCACCATAGCAATCTAGGTCAGGACACCTGGAATTGGCTGACGAGACATGTTGGCCTTCTGAGAGAAAGCATCGCGCCGTTCTTGTCTGGAGTCCAGGATCTGACTTGTGGTTTGAGAAGATGGTCGACTCTCTAGTCTTTTCATAATCTTCAATGTATCCTGGATTGGTGAGATCAGATGACACATCTGACTCATCGTCACTCTCAGACACGGAGAGACTGTCGCTGTCATATCCAGAGGATTCGTCACTGTCGGATCCAGAGAGGTCATCGATAGATGCATTGTCGTTGGTTGAGGCTTGGGCCAATAGTTGGTCGAGTTTGTCTCCAGCGATCACCTTTCAAAAGACGTTGGATTTGGTGTTTGAGACAGAGCGGAAGCCGGAGCTGAGGGTAGAGGTAGGCCGACAATCGTACGACGGGTTCATGCAGAACCTGTTGACTGCGGAGTTCCAAATCTCAACCTGTGATTTTGTGCTGGTGCCGACAGCGCGAGTCTGAGGAGGTTGCAGCTGAAGACTGCGGTTTCCAGCAAAGGTGTACCGTAGGATGTCTGATGTTCCGTTCTTCGGTGCATGTTCTCGCTGTTTGTCCTTTCTCATTTGAGCAGGTGGAGAGGAACTGTTGATGAGACGGACAGGACTTGAGTCTGACGAGTCACTGGTAGACGTCTCACTTTCTTCAGTGTAAACGTCGTCTGAGTCCGAGTTCAAACTTAAATGCTCCACTTCGTAGAATTTTGGTGGATGCCGAAACCGTTTTGTGACAGGAGGGGAGCATGGACTCAGAGAACGCTTGGGCAAAGACGTGATGGCTGCTTGACGAGACTGCTGTGCAGGGACTGGACGAGAAGCAGACGTAAGTATCAGCCAAGAAGAGGACGAGGAAGAAGACGTGATGGCTGTTTGACGAGGCTGCTGTGCAGGAACCAGGCGGAGGGTACGCGTAAGCATCAGCCGAGAAAGAGAAGCAGAAGAAGACGTCACGACTGCTCGTCGAGGCTGAGGTTCTGGGGGCAAACGAAGAGCATGCTGAACGACAGACCGAGAAGCAACGGCAGAAGAAGACGTGACGGCTGCTTGACGAGGCTGAGGTCTTGGAGGCAGACGAAGGGCAGGCGCGATAACAGTTTGGTAAGAGGTAGGAGGTGAGCCTTGTTGGTTGAACATATTGACTCGCAAGGCCTAGCGCTGGCTGATGCTAGGTCGGCTACTGTGTGTGACGATAGCTCATACGATGGCAAGAGATAGATGAGCGATGGATGAGCGACGAGAAAGAGTTCAGATGGAGAGTCTCCTGCTTTTGAGCAGATATATGAGAGTGAATGCGAATGCTCTGCTGGTAGTTACATAAAACAGGATACAAAGTAGGAGATGGTCGGTGGACCTGCAGTATAAACTTGGGAAAGGTGAGAGGATGTGGTGAAGCAGGTGTCGAACATGTGATATCAGGTCTTCAAGCGAAATTAGAGTCAATGGGGGGTAGAGGGGTGTCTGATGAAGAGAGAGGAAGGATGATGGTTAAGCACCAGGGACGCGAAGAACGTAAAAGGCCTTGGCAAGTCGGGAGGAAGCTTCAGGGGCAGGAAGGTGCCATCCTCGGAAGCATGTAGAAACCTTGAATCTGCAAAGCTCTTTGTCCGAGGTCTCAGCTGCAGAGAGGAAGGCACGAAGGAGCCCGAAGCTTTCCAACTGCCTCAACAGATGCGGGATTTCCATTGGATATGCTGCAAGTGGCTAGGAACATCTCGAGGAATTTTGAGATATGTCGTGCCAGACTCGATGGCCCTAGATATGGATGGATCTTTGGCTTGTTACGGACCTGCTTGATACTCTTCTGATTTGACCAAGGTCTGCGTGCATTGTTTTCGTCCTCGTCTTAAATGAGAATCGTCCCTGTCAAATAGCAGAGAAGAGTCGAATGATTGCGCCATCATCTGGGGATGTCTATACGCAAAGGCACCACCTCTAGAGAGATCTGTTCAATGAACAAGAACACAGACCTAGCAAACAAATAAGCAAGAAGCACAATTCTCATTCTTCATAACCTTCGTAGCAAGCAAGCACATGCAAAAGCAAAAGCAACTCCCCATCCCATATTCTCTCCCTCTTCCCCACTAAGAAGAGTAAGAGCTCGCAACACCACACCCAGCATCATCACAAGCCCCCATCAAAGCAGTAGACGGCACAAACGTCCCCGTAAAGCTCGAATTCCTGAGCTCATTTCCATCCGCATCGATAGCTTCCACTCTCACCCACTGATAAAACTTATCAGCCTCCCAGAAGGTCTCAAAGCCTTGTTTGTCGGTTTGGCCGATGGCTAAGAAGTCTTCGCCTACAGAGGCACCGCCGTAGAATTGCCAGGATGAGACTGTGGTACAGCCATTCCAGGACACGTAGATACGTGTAGGTGCGGAAGAGTTGACGGCATAGGCATAAACGTCAGGAACAGTGGTGGCGGGTGTACTCTCCCAGTCAGCAGAGAAGCCACGATAGTTCTGTGCTGAGTCCTCGGCGGCGAATTGGGCAGCAAAGACGGCGGTGCCGTTGGCAGAGTGTTCAGAAAGATAGGGGTTGTTGCCCCAGGTGTGGAAGAAGCCGCCGTTGGAGAGGGTTTGAGTGTTTCCTTGGGATGTGGCAAGTAGACCTTGATCTGAGGGGTAGGTTGTGTTGGAGAGCATAGTCGCAACGCCAGAGTTGTGATCGATAGCGATGACTTTGCCTGAAGATTGAGAAGTGGTGGTTGTGAAGCCGTTCGAGGCATTGTCGAAGATGGAGAGAACGGTGGTGGTGTCGTTTTCGGAGACTAATCGCGCATCATGTTGAAAACTAAAATTAAAGTTGGAGCACGAGAAATCGGAATGTCCTTGGTAGCTCAGCTTCCAGATGATATCGCGATCGGTAGCATTAACGTAGTACAGTGTGCTGGTATGTCTGGCCGAAACGAGATAGTTGCCCGAGACTGTCGATTTATCAATCGAGTTGATGTGGAAGTAGTCGAATGCTGTCTGAGGTCCGAAACCATCACCGCCTGTGTCAGTGCTGTTTGGCGTGATCTGGCTCTCGCTAGGATCAACATGGTTGGTCGAGAACCATTCGAACAAAACGTCTCCAGTAGTGACATTGACTTCCTGGAACACGCCTTCCGATAGCCAACCGAGGCCAGTCGTGATATTGAAGTACGACAAGTCGAACGGAACGATCTGGTATGAGCTGACGATTGCCGTCTCTCCATCATTGAGCAATTGGAACTCATGCATATCCACAGGCTCGACATTGCCGCCAGTTTGTGCTGTAGCCACAACTTTGTAATTCTGATCCACGATGACGCTCTGCCCGATGCCGTATCCGTTCTGCTGGTTCACCTGATTGAAACAGAGGTGAGGAGCGCCATTGTACTGACAAGGTCTAAAGTTGTGTGCGTTTGCAGATCCAGTAACACCGTAGCCGTCCCAGACGAGATTTCCGAATTTGTCGTAGATGTAAGGAGCCGGTTTGATAGACTTGTATGGCGACATGAAGACATAGCCAGGAGAAAAGTCGGCTTGAAGGGTGACATTCAAAGCAGGTGCTTGAGACAGAGGCCGAGTGTAGAAGAAAGAGACAGGTTGTGTTGTGTTGTCTTCGGCGCTGCTCTGCGCAACAACATTGGACGCAAAGGCCAATGCCGTGCAGGTCAATGAAGCGAGGCGCATCTCAGAAAGCAATATCAACAAAAGAAGGCGTAGGTAACAATTAGTAGGTAGAGGTGAAGTCAACAAAGAAGAGAGTTGCTTGTCTCACGACTCAGGCATAAGACATCAAGATGCAGAAGATGAGAGTTAAAATTAACAGCGTAGGCAGAGGGAAGCTCCACCTCTTGTTCTTTTCTTACAAGACATCATCAGGGCAAGTAAAAGTGCACTGTCCTTGTTTTTACCCACTGATCCATGTCCATTGCACACTTGATCTTGCAGCCGCGTATGAAACGTCGATCATGAGCCATCGGAGTCCTCTGCGACAAGGCCAATCGTCATGGACTATGCGGCACGTCCAAGTATCGCTTGGACCGCTTGAACCGGCACGCAGAAAGATACATGGCAAACACCAAGAATTCTTCGTGGCAGAAGATGAAGGTAGATGTCGACGTGTTGGTAGAACATAAGAACTGCAAGTCGCAAAGTCCAAACTGCCTTTCTGCTGCTTCCCGTACCTGACAGCTTGGCACTGTATACAGCTGCCACGCGCATACTATAAAGCTTCCTATCTTACTGTTGTGCTTTTCGGGGAGGATGTCGCGTGCCCGAGATCTTGCCCCAAGCAGTTTGTAGCAGGTTATCTCAAAACTCTATTCATCCTGGCCGCAAGTATCAAAGTACCTCGTCGACGTCAGAGGCTGGTATAGACGACCGGCGCGGGGCCTCTCTCGGCTGATTGTGGGCGCCCCACCATGAAACAGAACACGGCGAAATCGACGGGTCACGCGGAGATAGCCTACAGACCTACTACTCTATATTGAACAGGGCAGATACAAATTGCCTAGTCATAATATCAATCACGTTCACAATTGCAGGGTTTTGAGCGGAGGGTGTAAAGTGAAACCGCCAGAAATCTTCTCGTCCTTTGATATTGCAGTGGGGTATTGTCGTGAAGAAAAATCCGTAAAGCTCTCCTCTTCTCTCGTTCCTCTCTCTCAACTCTCAGTCGGTGGCGTGGCTTTTTGTAAGAAAGAAACAAGCCCCTAGTGTACCAATTGAAACAAAAACCAAGGGCTTGTCCTCTTGTCCAAGATGGTGGCATCAAACAACAAAGGAAAATAAAATGGAAGCAAATAAGAAAAATGCATGATCAGTCTCTCTCCCTCATCACATCAAATGCCCTTCGTGTCCGTTCGTGGTTTTTCTCCTCGTCCTCAGCGGTTAAGAAAGGCACAGCCTGTCTCCACCACCTTAGTAAACAACCCTAGATTGAAAAAGGTGAATACAAGAAAGCTTTTTTTATTGGGGACTGGCCGTTGCGATCAAAGGTCATGACGGTCGTGAAAAAATAGCAGAACGGATGTAAATGCGCAATGCTGGTCAAGAAAAAGAGATTGTCGTCAAGAGCAGACGAGCAAGCCCTTAGTTGGGGCAGGCAGCCTGGACGTGGCCGGGCTGCTTGCACTTGTAGCAGACACGGTCGTGGCTGATCTCGGCAGAGCAGTCGCGGGAAAGGTGACCGACCTCACCACCTGTGATAGACAGTTAGTATGGTGTTCGTAAAGATAGCATAGCATGGGTGGACAAACAGTTGTAGCACTTCTGGCCCTGGGTGCAGTCGCGGGACATGTGGCCGAAACCGCCGCAAGAGTAGCAGGTCTGGCCGCGAGGAGCGCCGTAGCCCTGGTTCTGGTAGCCGCCCTGGCTCTGGTAGCCACCGCCCTGAGAGCAGTTACGGGCAATGTGGCCAACCTGGCCGCACTTGTAGCACTCCTGGCCACCGCCCATACCGGCACCACCACGGGGAGCACCGCCCTTGGGGCACTCGCGGGAGATGTGACCAGTCTCACCACAGCCGTAGCAGGACTTCTCCTTCTGGGGGTTGGTGCACTCGCGAGAGATGGCCCTGGCCACCGCAGTTGTAGCAGGTGGGGTTGCCCTTGGTGGGGCAGTCGCGGGCCTGGTGGGTAACGTCGCCGCCTGTAGTGAAGCTTGTCAGTCTGTGACCTTTTGAATCTCGGTGAAGCCTGTAGCAGGGACTGCGCGCATTTCAATCGCCATGTGTCGAGTGGACAGAAGGCAATTGCGCAGTCGCGCAGCGAAGGCTCGAGTGAAGAAAAACGTACAGTTGTAGCAAGCGCGGCCAGTCATGGGAGGAGCGGGGGCACCGAAGTTCTGCATGTTGAAGGTGTTGTGTTTTGAGAAGGTCTCGGTGGTTTGTAGAGAGATTGTAGTGGTTGCAAAGAGCAGGCAAGTTTTGGTTGTGGTTGGAGGTTGGTGAAGGAAGCGGAAGCGATGAGAAAGAGGCGAGTGTGGAGCAGAGGCAGAATCCGCGCTTCCTCCAGCAAATCTCGAACTTGGACGGCAGGTGTGGGTCCAAGCTTCGCTTCTGAACCGTCGAGTGCCAAACCTCGGCGCAGATGTATATCCAGATAGAGTAGGCGGGGTTCACTTCAAAAGATAATCCAGTTCCTGGTGGAAGTGACTCGTCGAGACGCGTCGCCTTCGTCGTGCCTTCCTCGAGACCAGATTGAACGTTGCCAGTTGTGTTGTCTGATCGTGCTCTGAGCTTGAGGCTTCAAGCCAGACTCTCAGGTCTCTTTCATCTACTCCTAATGGCTTCTCTGTCGCGCTGCAGCATTGTTCAAGGCCACCTCACAAGGAGAGAAGCCATGTTTGGCATCATCATCATTCTTCACCGTCCACATCATCACCATCGGTCATATTCCTCATTCACAACATCAATGGATCTTTTCCTCGTTCGGGTATATGTCTCTCTTCTCGTTCTCATAATAAGCCATTTTCCTCATTCTCGTGATTCTCTCCAAAAGTCTGCCTCGTCTCTCCAAAGCAAGGTCGGTGCTAAAATGCAGCGCCGCCATCACTCTCTCCAGCAAGCGCTCTCACGTTCTCATCAGCCAACTGCGCTCTGAAACTCGCAGTCTCGCTTTCACGGCTGAGCTTAGCCCATTCTTTTAGTCCTCTGCGCTTGCGTGCCTGCTTGTCTTCTATGACTTGTCTCAGCTTTTCTGCCTCATCCTCTAGCTTGTTCAGACGTCCACGGTCATAGAGTTCGGGCGCTTTAATTCCGCCGTCGACGATACGCGGCATATCTGCAAGGTAGGCATTGCCAGGAGGCTTGGTACCTCTGTCAAACTCTCCCATGCCGCCCATGACTATGTCTGCCTTGGGTCCAGAAGGCAGCGGTGCTCCATTTGGTGCGAAACGAGTGGTACGTGGATATGTGCCTGAAGTGTGTGCGCCACCTCTAAACGGAGGNNGTGGAGCGTGGCTTATTGAGCCACGAGGACCTGACGGCGGCGTTGAAGCAAAGTCTGGGTCTCTATTGTGTTGTGTAGCATAGCCGCCGCCTCGGCCTCCTCGGTATGATGGTCCACCATAAGGTCCCCCTCTTCCGCGTGGTCCATGATAGTCTCCACGCGAGCCAAAATCTCGCGGTGGATAGTCCCTCTGGAAACCTCCTCTTGACATCATCCCGCCTCTAGGGTGTGTAGGGGGCGAGTTGGCTCTCACCCGAGGCCCAGTTGGAATGGGTACATCACCAGCGGCCTGAGCGTATGATCTCGAAGCACCAGGTCCTGTTGGTGGTGCTCTGGCTTGTGGAGGCTCATCCTGTCTGGCAGGACCGGTCGGAGGAGCACGAACAGCTGGGCCGGTAGGTATGTCACGCTCACGAGGAGGTGTGGGTTCGCGCTGGCGAATAGGCGAGCGCACGTTTGCTTGTGGTGGTACTGGTGATCTAGGTCTGGACGAAATAGGCGATCGAGGTCTAGAAGGAATGGGCGAACGTGGTCTAGAAATGATAGGAGATCTCGGAGGGATCGGAGCCGGTGAAATAGGACGTGGAGCGCGATTTGCGAACAAATCTTCTTTGGGCAAGGGATCAATGGCGGCAAGTCTGCTCGGGTGAATCGGTGGTGACGAGCGCCTTGAGCTGGTAACAGAAGCAGCGCCGGAGTTTTCGTTCGAGATGAGGTCAGGACGAGGTCTTGGTGGTGATGGCGAACGGCGTCTCCAATCAACCTTGCGAGGATTGACGTTCTCATTGTGTTGAATCGGCGAGCGGGATAGCAAGCGGTAGCCGCGAGTAACACCACGAGGAGGAGTCAGGCGCATTTCACGCCTGTCCCGTCCAGGTCCAGGGCTGACATCTCTCGATGGNNAGGGTATGCATTGTATCTCGAGCGAGGCGGCGAATCAAGCCTCTCACGTTTGGCTGGAGGCGGAGATCTTCTGCCGCGACTTCCAGCAGGTGAAATGTCACGACCACGCTTCAGAGGGGAGTGGAGAGCGGTCGCGAGGAGCACGTACTGGCGAGCGGGTGTTGTAAGGAAGTGGGTCTCTGTGGAATCGAGAAGCAGGAGGTGGACGGTAGCTTTCATCCCTCATGAAACCGCCTCTTCTAGGTGGTGGTGAGCGAGCTCTTCCTCTATAAGAATCGCCTCCATCTCTGGGCCGGAAAGGAGGAGGGCTTCGTGATCGACGACGGAAAGGCAAGGGTGAGCGGCTACGGTTCCTCGGTGGAGCACGGTACGAGTCCACATATGCGTTTCCTCGCGGTGGAGAACGAGGAGCGCGGTATGTGTCTGATCGAGGTACAGGGGAACGAGGAGGGCGGTAGGACTGGCCACGGCCATCGCCGTATTGGTCTTCACGAGGGAAGGGTCTGAACAAGGCATCAGTGAAACTGGCACTTCGCAGCAAGGGCAAACTGTGTTTTACCTTCTGTCCCTCTCGCGATCTCTGTCCATGTTTGCTGCTTCTGGACGGAGCTCCTTGTCAAGCTCGTGACACAGCTTTGGTTTGATGAGGCTGCCGTGCTGTTTCGTGTCTGCGCTTGTCAAAGCAAACAAATGACGGCGTCGGCGGCTTTGCTTCCCCAGCTTTTCTGCTTCTCGTCCACGTGATATGCCTCCTGAGCGCTCAAGGGCTCTACCTATTGTATGTCAATGTCAAGATGTCTCGCAAGATCAACTATTGCGATTGAAAGCACTCAGCCAAAAGATAAATTTGGCTCGACTGCTGTCTTCTATGCGGTGGTCAGTTTTCCTCAATACTGACCTTTTCACTAGACGTGCGGCAGGACGGTTCATGCCATCCAGGTGCACATCTGTTGCTGGCAATTGAGACTGGCTTATTAATGCGTGTGCTTCATTTGGTTTTGCTTTCTTTTAGCTGGGTAATGAGGTGCTCCATCCACAGGGCTTGGTCCAGATGAAAGGCGATGACGCGAAGGTAGCTCCAGTAATCATGTCTTATCTCCTGCTGCTCCTGCTGTCGCCGCCTCCTCTTCTGCGCTCATTCCTCTCCTTGTCCTGTTTCAGCCTCTTGTTGCTCTCCTCAGCAATCATCTGACTCAGATCTTCTTGGTCTACTCGTCCCTTCCATTGTCCCTCAGCTTGTGCCTGTCTTTGCGCCTCGAATTGTCTTTGGACCTCATCCTTGCTCAGACGGTCGTCTCTTTCAAGCGCATCTACGTCTACGCTGACGTCGATATCGCCAACCTTGCGCTTGCTGCCCCTGTTTTCTTGTCCAAGTACAGGGAGATTTTGTTGAGCGGCCCGCAAGTCGTATGCTCGCTCGCCTCCGAAGAAACCTTGAGCACGGATATTTTGTTCCGGAAGAACCTGGTACGCTGATCGAGGAGCGCCATCGTATTCGGGTTCGGGAGCTCTTGCATTCTTGCGCAGTTCGAAGTCGCCTCCAACGCTCTCGATACCGATTTCCGTTGGAACAGCAGAGGCCAATCCGCTTGGTGTCTCAAGTCCCGCACCAATATCCTCCTCATCCATAGCCTCGTCACCATCTTCCTCATCCTCGTCCTCCTCATCTTCGTCTTCTTCCTCTTCCTCTTCGCGTTCTTGAAGTTCACCCCACAGTGTCTTCTCCACCGGTGCTCCAGATGGTGCCTCTTCATCTTCTGCGTTACTAACACCAAAAATATCACCACCAAACAAGGGGCGGTTCGTGTACTCGTCAACTGGAGGCTTGCCGTAACCACCAGGGTGGAAACCCCAGGATGCGCCTGGTGGCGGCGGAGCATTAAGACCAGGGATCTTGAGACCAGGATATGAGGGAGGGGGTCCAAAACGTTGCTGGTTGATAAGCCACGGCGGAGGTGCTCCAGGTGGCATGTTAAGAGCTTCTCTCAGCTCATCGCTCAACTCGCCAGGTCGCAGATGGCGAAGGTTAGTCTCATACTCCTTGCCCTCGTAGTAGACCTCGCCGTAACGAGTGAGCGGGGGCTTTGTTTGGTGGCGGAAGAAAGCTTCGTAGAGCTTCTGGTAATCAATGTCAAGCTTTCCAAGCTTTCCTTGTACTCTCTCGCGCTGCTTCTGTTTCAATGTTGCCTCGGCCTGCTTCTCAAGTACGGCGTCACGCATCTCTGCGATACCAGTATCGGCGATGAACTTGGGCAAGTTGAAGTGTGTCTTCTCGATACCGCGCTTGGATGAAAGATACTCGCGCTTCAAAGCCCAGTGTGATGGCACAGGAACGACATTGCGTTGCGACTTGATGCGCACAAGTAACAGCGGGTCCGAAGCGTCGATGTCTGTCCACTCGACCAGCTCGGGCTTGCGCACCAGACGCTTGAGCTCAGCAATGGTCAGTTTGCTAGCAGCCTTGCGTGCCTTCTTTGACAGCTTCGGCTGGTTCTCATCCTCCTCATCAGGAATGTCATCGTTATCGTCGTCGTAGTAAATTTCTGGCTTTTCCTCCTCCTTTGTTTGCGACTTGTCGGTGTTGTTAAATTTTGATAAAACGGACTGAAACTCGGCATATAGAGGGTCGTCTTCGGGAATGGTAAAATCATCGTTGGGAAGGTCATTGTTTTGCATGGGGTCATCGCGAGTGTTGATCTGAGCGTCAGGTTGGCGGCCGGTCTCTGGCTTGGGAGTTTCTGCTTCGGAGAGGTCGGTAGACTCGGTGACGGATGGAGTGACAGAAGNCCTGTACAGGTCATTGTTAGTCGGTCGCAGAGCACAGTCAGAAGAGGTGAGACTCACCGAGCGCTCCTTTTGGGCCTTCTTTTGTTGTCTTCGGAAGGCATTCTTGCTGAGCTTCTTTGCGCCAGCGCCGCCATTGACAGCTACGGCTGCCATCTTGGCCTTTGCGATTTCTGTCCTTGGTGTGTTTAGGCGATGATAGACACGGGTCTGTTGATAACGATATAACTGAAGAACGCGAATCAAGTCGAGAGCAGTGAGGCCCGAAGGTGTCGTGTGGTGGTTGGCAAAGATGGATGACCTGCAAGAGTTCGCGGCGAGAAGCGTCAAGATGCAGCTGCGCGCTCCGGATTCTCTTCGGGCTTTCGCGCCTCGTCCTTGTTCAGCAAAACCCAACCAGGAGGCCATCAACATAACACATCAGGTTTAGTATGTGTTCAACATGCCACTCTTGTTGCTCATGCTCTCGACTGCTCTCCTCAATTCCCCAAGACACCTATTGCAGATCCAGCGCGAGTCAATGCGAACCTTGTCCTGCGTTCTCTTGCACAAGCCTACTTTGCGAGCTGTACACGCTTCTGTCTTGTGTTCGTATTCGTCATCGCAACCTTCGTTCCTGACGATGATTCTGTTGCACATTGCTAGTAGGCCTTGCCTTGAGCTGGTACTGGCTGTCAGGCAGGAGGCTTGCCGTGAAGAGCTTGTGGTACTTGCTCAAATTGTTCGTCTTGTTCTTTGTCTTCGTTCATGTCTTCATTCAGCTCATGCGTGCCTTGTTCCGGCACGACCACCTCATGGAAGACCCCCTTGCTTCGTTCTCGTCTTAACGTACTGCGTTACGCGGCAACACCAGGAGTTCTTTGTAATGCCATAGCCTGCCTTTCGAGACTACTCCAACATGACTATTTGACCTTCTGATACATGTTTGACCATGGGGTAATCACAGCGAGTCCTTACGGCTGATAAGACATGAGAGTTTTTGTTTGACCTTGGAGCTTCAATTGTATGGAGGAAGAAAACTAGTTACACATCATCGCCCGAAAATGCAGGCAAGGCAAGGCTAACCCTGCTCCTTCTCTCGCTCGCTCGCTTCCCTTCCTTCGCTGATGCTTGTGGCGGTAGTAGCAGAAAAATGAAAGAAAAGGAAAAAAAGAACCAAAGAAACAGAAAACTTCATATGCCCTGCGCGTCGTTCTTCTATTGTTGCACATTGGCCGTAATGTTGTGTGTCGTTATCTTCGTAGAAAAAGTGCGAGTTGTTGATGAAGAAGCTCCCATATGTTCAACTCCCCCCTTTTTGCGCCGTGCTTTGTGTGCGTTGGCGCTATGCAATTGAATGCTGGAAACCGATCTCATTGGAAAAAGTACAGTGTAGAGACCTTGAAAGCAGGATGCGATCAGTAGTGTCCCATGTTGGAAGAGTGAGAACCACGCGAAGCATGGCCGAACTGCTGGAAGACCTGACCAAAGCCATTGCCATTGGTCTGCTGCTGGGGGCCTGAGCGAGCATGGTGTTGAGAGATCCATGGTGGCGGTTGTGGGCGTTAGGAGAACCCATGCTGGCAGCGCCGTAGTTACCAACTTGATGACCAACGGGGCTGCCAGTGCTGGTGTAAGAAGTGATGGTGTTGGATCTGCTGGTGCGGAAGGGAGTGGTGCCGATCTGACCAGGAGGCAGAACACTAGGTGGCGACATAGAGCCAGGCATGCCATTAAGGTGGTTGTCATAGTCCTGAATCTTGCCGGAGATGCGACGGCCGTAGGGAGTGTGGCGGATTGATTGCAGAATAGGACGAATGTTGTCGATGAGGCGAGCCTTGGTCTCAGGGTCGGCGTAATCCATAGCGGTCTGAACAACGTAGTTGGCGTACGAGTCGCGAAGCAGCTTCTCGAGATCGGCAGGATTCATAATCTCATCGATGAGGGCGCGTCTGGTAGCATCGTCGCCAGTGCGAATCGACTTCTCGATAACGTTGGAACTGAACTTCTGTCTGGAGAGGGCGGCAACGTTGCCGAGGAAGCTCTGAGCCAGAGGCTGAGAGAAGGCAGGCTCACCGAGGTCGAGGATGTACTGAACAACGTAGTTGCCGAAGGGATCCTGAACAAGAGTGAAGGCGTTCATGGTGATGTGCTGGACAAGCGCACCCTTCTGATGGCCAGAGGCATGGTCGATACAACGCTGCAGGACGCAACAGCCATGACGATGGGTACCGACAATGACACAGCTAGTGCCAACAGCATCGAAGATGAACTGGGCGTCCTCAGGCGACAGGTGGTTGAGGCACTTCTGAATGACGTGGTTGCCGTTGAGGTCCTGGATGAGAGGCACGACTTCGAATCTCAGTGCTTCAGTGATGATTTGAATCTGCTCAGGGGTCGAGATGAACTCGATCATCTTCTGCAAAGCACGAGTGCCGTGCTGGTTGAGGGCGATCTTCACCATCGAAGGAGCAGCGGCGCGAATAAGGACGGTGCGTTGATCATCGTTGGCATACTCGAGCAGCTTCTGGCAGAGGTAATTGCCAAAAGGGTCTGCAGAAGACAATCAATTAGTGAAGTTTGATGTGCGTTGAGCAAGTGACTTACCAGTCATCAACTCGATCATGTGAGGGTTGGTCTCTTCGAAGATGAGTCTGATGTTCTCATCATCACCTTCTTCCAGCTTCTTCTGCAAGTAACGGCAGCCGTGCTGGTCCTTGCATAGACCGTAGATCTCGCCGACGAGATCCTGCAGTTTGACGTTAGCGTAACGCGAGTTGTCTGATTCCATGTTTAGCAAGCGATGTTGTGAAGAAGAAGGAGGTTGTGAATTACCATCACCAGTTTGACCACGGCGTGGCTGCTGCATGACGCGGGGCTGGCTGTCGTTGTAGCGCGCGGGGCTCTGCTGCGAGAGTTGCTGAGAGTATCCACCACCAAATCCATGTTGGAAGCCAGGCATGTGACCCCACTGACCACCACCCTGGTTGCCAAGATACATCTGGTTGAAGCCGTTACCCAGCATGTGCATACCGTAGCCACCGTAGTAGGCTCCATTGCCATAGGTCTGCATAGAAGGAGGACTGATATGGCCGTTGCTGAGACCATTCGAGTTGTTGTTCATGATGCGAGCAGGTTCGAACGAAGGCGAAGTGACCGAGGGTCCGAAAGGTGCAGCGCTGGCTTGAAGGACAGATCTCTGCGAGGTAGCGCTGCTGAGGTCTTCTGACTGGGGCTGTTCCTGGACTTGGCGAGAAGGAGTGTGGAAGCCGTTCTGATGACCGTTGCTGAGGGCGTTGGACTGGCGAGTGGGTGAAACGAACTCAGGACGAGGACTCTGAACAGCACCGGCCTTGTCTGAGAAGTTGGCAGCGTTGGTGCTCTTGAGAGTGGGAATGTCGTTGGTCGAGTAAGAGCCCTGAAGCTTGGGCACACCATTCGAGCCGATACCATTGGGTGAGGCCAACAAGCCAGGACGCTTAGGCGTGGCGAGACTGCTGAACTTGACCTCCATAGATCGTCTGTTGGCGGCAGTGTTCTTTGCAGTATTGATCTCAGTCAAGATACCGTTGAGAGGAGACATGGAAGCATCACCATAACCAGACTGGCGCATTGCACTGGGAGGAAGAGACTGTCTGTTGGTACGGGTAGTGGTAGCACGGTCCTGATTGTCAGTACCATTCTGCTGGGTCTTGGCCATCTCCACAGCTGCAGCAGAAGCGGAAAGCTGCATGCCCTCGCCGTCACGACGAACAAGGATAGGGAACTTGTCGTCGCTGGCTTGGTACTGGAGGAAGTGCTTAGCGTCAGGGGGAAGCGGCCGAGTTCTGGACACGAGTAGACTTGTGATCGTCCTCGTCACCGAACAGGAAGCCAGTGGTATTGACAGAACCGAGATGGGTTGACAGTTCGGCCATCTTGACAGGCATTGAGTTGCGGTTGAGGCTGTAGGTGATTGATGTCAGAACAGGAAGCTAAGATCGTGGACCCGAAGCTATGTAAGAGATCGTGGAAGTGTGTGATGTATGAGATCGTGAAGTGTATGAGGTAGGACAGGGGGCAAAGAGGTATCAGTGACCAGCACAGATGATGAGACAAGATGATGAGCCAATAGGTTCAATGTCTTGTGTGTGAAGGTTGGAGTGTGTAGTAAGAAGGACGAAGAAGGGGAAGTGGAAGGACAAGTAGTTAAGTAGTTGCTTGATGGGCAGAGTGAATAGGGATGGGTGTATTGTCAACTCCAAATAGGACAATTGACCACTCGTATTGAAGCCCGCTATTGAAGGCTTCCGAGGGTACACCAAGTAGCAGTGAGGTGTGAAAGGGTAATCGGAGGATGAAACAATGGCTGAAGAAGAAAATGATGAACATACTTTGCAGCGGCGCGGTGGTTAATGTCCGCGAATGAATAGGAAGTATCCTCATCATCCTCATCGGATCCACGGCGTGAGACAGGAACCGATCTTGACGGAATAGAGGTTGAGTGTACATGCGAGGTAACAGGTCTTGAGAAGGCTGTTTGAGGCGATGCAAGCTGAGAGCCCGAACGACTGGGGCGGGTCGGGAATCCAGGGGGCGAAGCCATACTGGCAGTAGACAACCGGGCGCTGTGCACGCGATTGACAGAGCTGTAGTACTCAGGCGGCGTGGTAGGTTCGCTCAGATGACCCGCCGTGAACATGGAGATATCCTGTTCAAGTCTCTGATGCTCGTCAACTTCGCGACGAGTCTCTGGGTCAATCATGGCCATCTGAGCCTGAATGCGACGCTGTTGAGCCAGAAGTTCCTCATACTGACGGGCCTTTCTCTCTGACTGTTGGGTGTTAGGGTCCATTATGGCAGGAATGTAGAAATCAGTGCATGCAAAACCGCAACTCGCAGCAAAAAAAAAAAAGAAAGAGCAAGCAACAGAAAAGACAGAAACTGCAGGAGAAAAGCTATTCAAAACACAGAGGATGTGGGTGCGTATTTTGAAGACGATACAAAAACCAGTATAATTTACGATCAGAAACCCAGGACGAAATGGTCGACCGCGACAGCAGTGATTGGCCACGGACAAGCCGCAAAGCACGATAGTGGACAGCGTAGAACGGAGAACCGGGACAGACTTACAGGAGTAATCTTGTTGAATGCCTGCAGCGAAAGTAGTCTGTCAGCATATGTTCTTTGTGCTCAAAGGTTCCATCTCAACAATCCTGTCGCAACCGTGATACACAGCAGCAAGTCGACCCAACACAACTACTAAAGCGTGGTATACGTCGACATAACTCTGTACTTGGGTATAGATGGTTCCTTCTCTTTCAACAAGAAAAATCATGGGAGATATGCTCACCGTCATGGCGGGATCGGCAGCCTGACGTCTCTGCTGAGCGATAGGCGATAGCGTGGGCAGCGCATTCGTGGTAAAGCGACGTTGTAGGCTTCCGCGACCTTCGGCAGCAGTAGCAGCCAGGCTGAGGTTTCGTAAAGGCGATAGTGGCGAAGGAAATGTGGTGGCAGAAGTTGGGTAGGGCGCATCTTCTCGTGGGGACAGTTGCGGACGGTACAAGAGACCACTGTCAGGTCGGTCTGACAGACCCTTGGAGAAGGCCATACTGATACAAATACGACAGCTCCTACAGCCTTGGTTAATGATGCGACTGGTAGACAGACGACAGGCCAAAGCACCCACCTACTGCTGCTACACTACTCGAACAGGCGGTGACTTGAATGTGGGGGTAGGCGCTTTGGATCAAGGGGTCCAGGCAGAAGAGAAACGAGAACAGAGAAGGTGACGCTGTCTCGTATCGTACATCCAAGGCAAGCCTCGCGCTCAACAGTGGAATACAGAACCCACACTTCCAATCATACAACCCGCGCAGTAAGAATGAGCGACACGGAGGAGAAGAAGAAGCTCAGAGACTCCGGAGGCTCAGGTCCACTGCACGCTGCCAGCCAACTGTGGAGAAAGCATCAAGCCTCGCCGCCGGTTGAGTTTCACACGCCGCGGTTAAGGCCCAAGCGTACCTGTGCAGCAGAAGCAACCTCAAGGCCTTTCTGGCCATGCCACGACCATGCCACATGAGGGGTCCTCTGATCCATCACGATCTGTTCTTTGCCTTTTCTGCCTCCTCATGCAGGGCAAGCACCCACCAGTTTGCTGACCTACTTTTCGTCATGCTCCGCTGCCTATCAGAAACAAGGCCGTGCGTACTCATCTCGTTATCATGCTCGAGTGTTTGCTGTTTGTACACGTGCTGCAAAGCGAGCCGTCTAGACTCGACCTGCTTATTGAGGCTTCTCTCAGCATGTCAAGATTCAGTCTCGGGCCTTGATCATGATGCAACATAATATCAACCGGGTCGTATTGGCTGTGGAACTCTTACCGGAATTGGCAGGTGAGTGTAGTATATAAGAGCTAAGTTATTTGTAAGAATAAAAGGTCAAGTTGGCTGGATGGGCTCTTGATCAGCAAGCGCTATTCATGACAATATTTCATGTCACATCTTCCAACATCGCAAGGCAGTGAGGATACCTGTGACCATTTAGCAAATTAGGAATAGTAAATCCTCTAACTTCAATGTTTTGGAGAGATTGTTCGAGCATAGGCGGACGTGTTGTATTTAACCAAAGTTGCTTTCTGGTTATTGGTAAGACCCTGTCCGGCAGCCGTTCGGTTGCTTTGCCGAGAGGGCTGGCTTCCGTCTTCCGCTTTGGCAGCTTTGACCGAAGAAGAATCTAGAGAAGGCAAACCTCGAAAACATCTCTCTCAAAGGCGCATACTGCTGTCAAATAGTCCTCGTATCTTCTGAAAAGAAGAACGCTGTATATCCGAGGCGCTTCAAGTAACAGAGCCCTCCATAGCGCCGCAGTAGCGCAGTGTCCGCGTTCCTGGCAGTGGGCGCATACAACTTTTGACCCCGCCACTTTTTTTGCGTGACTGGTCCATCGCATCGAAGGCTTTACATCTGCCAAACGAGCACATCGTGCTTTGGCGAGAGACACTAGGCTCTGTGATCATCTTCTGGCGTCTAGTGCATTAGGTCCTGACAGTAACGGCGAAAATACCTCCCAAGGCTCGCGTTGCTGCGCCAAAGGTAACCTCATACCAAGGTCTAGCTATCGCGTCGATGCATGGCTGACGATCTGCAGGCTCAAACGAAGAAGGCTCCGGCTGCGACGAACACGACACCAGCAACTTCTGATGTGAATTCGCAATCACAGGCGCCTGTCAACGGAGAAACACAGGATGCCACAGCTATGCCACCACCAGCAAGAAAGAGGCGGCATTCTCACTCAACTGACCCAGTAAGAATGTGTCTCATCGCTTGATCGGTAGAAACTGACATCTTGCAGTCCGATACGCTACTTGAGCCTTTCTACTATGGCAAAGGATTGACCGATCCCATCAACACTGCAAGGGTGAGTTGTTACAAATCTCAATATGATCAGACAACTGATCAAAACAGNGACAAATGGAACCTCCTGCCAGCTTTCCTCAAAGTCAAGGGATTGGTGAAACAGCACATCGATTCTTACAACTTCTTCGTCGATACCGAGCTGAAGACCATTCTCCGCGCCAATGCCACTGTTCACAGTGATGTTGATCCTAACATGTTCATCAGATACACAGACATTCGAATTGGTAAACCGGAACGTGTCGAAGACCGTCACAGCACTGTTCCTGGTCTTTCTGGTCCTGGTATTACGCCTAACGAATGTCGTCTTCGTGATTTGACATACTCGGCTCCAATCTACGTCAACTTCGAATCCAGATCGCAGAGTGGTCTGAAGATGGAACGCAACGTCTACATTGGCAGAATGCCTGTCATGCTCCGGAGTAACAAGTGTGTCCTGTCTGGTCGCTCGGANAAGGAAATGGGCTTGCTCAACGAGTGCGCTGTCGACCCTGGTGGTTACTTTGTCGTCCGTGGCCAAGAGAAGGTTATCCTGGTCCAGGAACAACTCAGCAAGAACCGTGTCATCGTGGAAATGTTCAAGGGAATTATTCAGGCCTCCGTCACCAGTCACACTGCCAACGTCAAGACCAAGACTTATGTTCTGCTCAAGAAAGGATTGATTGTTCTCAAGCACAACTCGCTTACCGAGGATATCCCTGTCGCAATTGCTCTCCGAGCCATGGGTGTTCAATCCGATCACGAGATTATGCTTCTTGTCGCTGGCGACGATGCTGTATACCAGGATGAGTTCTCCGTCAACCTCGAGGAAGCCGCGCGTTCAGGAGTCTCGACACAAGAACAAGCTCTGGAATACGTCGGAGCTCGTTTGCGACCCGAGAGATTTGGACAGTACGGTGTGCCCAAGAAGACGAACAAGCAGAATGCTGTTGAGAAGCTGTCCAACACAATCATCCCTCACGTTGGTGTGACAGCTATGAATTTCCGACCGAAGGCTCTCTACATTGCATTCATGGTCCGAAGAGTGCTCATGTGTATGCACGACCCGAAGTTGATTGACGACAGAGATTACCTTGGTAACAAGCGTTTGGAACTTTCAGGATCAATGATGGCTCTGTTGTTCGAAGACCTGTTCAAGGATTTCAACAAGCTTATCAAGCAAAGTTGGGACAAGGTGTTGAGAAAGCCAAACAGAACCCGTGCCTTCAACCCGGCAGACTACATCACCATGCACGAATCTCGCATTACACAAGGTCTGGAACGTGCTATCTCGACTGGTAACTGGACTTTGAAGCGTTTCCGTATGGACAGAGCTGGTGTTACTCACGTCCTGAGTCGCTTGAGTTTCATTGCTGCTCTTGGTATGATGACCAGAATCTCGTCTCAATTCGAAAAGACTCGAAAGGTCTCTGGTCCTCGTGCACTTCAACCATCACAATTCGGCATGCTTTGTACTTCAGATACTCCTGAAGGTGAGGCTTGTGGTCTGGTCAAGAATTTGGCTCTGATGACACACATCACCACTATGGACGAAGAGGATCCTGTTCGCAAGATGATTTTCGTGCTTGGTGCTGAGGATGTAACATCTGCAAGCGGTACTGAACTCTACGCCGACGGAGCATACATTATTTTCCTCAACGGTACACCGGTAGCTTTGACTCGCGAACCCAAGCGATTCTTGATTGCTTTCCGCAGATTCCGTCGCATGGGAAGAATCTCCGAGTTTGTCAGCATCTATATCAACCACCACCACAATGGTGTGCACATTGCAACCGATGAAGGTCGTATCGTTCGACCTCTCATCATCGTCGAGAAGGGCAAGTCAAAAGTCACAACACGCTATCTTGAATCTCTTCGCAAGGGTACGCTAGAGTTCGATGACTTCTTGTCTCGAGGACTAGTGGAGTACCTCGATGTCAACGAAGAGAACGACTGTAATATTGCAGTGTACGAACACGATATCAACCAACATACTACACATCTGGAAATCGAGCCCTTCACCATTCTAGGTGCTGTCGCTGGTCTTATTCCCTACCCTCACCACAACCAATCTCCCCGTAATACTTACCAATGCGCCATGGGTAAACAAGCCATTGGTGCTATTGCATACAACCAGCTCACTCGTATCGACACTCTCCTCTACCTCATGGTCTACCCACAAAAGCCCATGGTCAAGAGCAGAACAATCGAGCTTATCAAGTACGACAAGCTTCCTGCAGGCCAAAACGCTATGGTCGCCGTCATGTCATACTCTGGTTACGATATCGAGGATGCTCTGGTCTTGAACAAGGCTTCTTGCGACCGTGGTTTCGGACGCTGTCAAGTGTTCAANAAGGTCAGCATGCCCTTGAAGCAATACCAAAACGGCCAGACCGACCGTATCGGCGACCGCGATGCGTCCAACCCTCGCCACAAGAAAATCGGTAACGACGGTTTGGTGGAAGTGGGTGCCGAGATGGAAGCAGGCGAATGCTACATGCTCAAAGAAACACCAGTCAACCAAGGCATCAACACTCAAAATGCCGGCTGGGCACCCCAACACATGTCCTACAAACTTCCCGACCCTGCTTATGCCGACAAAGTCATGATCAGTGCTAATGAATCAAACACCCCCATCATCAAGATCCAGACTCGTCAAACCCGTCGTCCGGAGATTGGAGACAAGTTTTCTTCTCGTCACGGTCAGAAAGGTGTTACTGGGTTGCTTGCCGAACAAACAGACATGCCCTTCAACGATATGGGTATCTGCCCAGACATCATCATGAACCCCCACGGTTTTCCTAGTCGTATGACCGTAGGCAAAATGCTTGAGCTCCTCTCTGGAAAAGCAGGAATCCTTCGCGGCGGCCACGAATACGGAACAGCCTTTGGCGGCTCCAAAGTCGAAGACATGGGCGATATCTTGATTTCCCATGGTTTCNNCAGTTACTCGGGCAAGGATCATTTGACTTCAGGCATCACTGGCGAATCTCTACCCGCATATGTCTTCATGGGCCCCATCTACTACCAAAAACTCAAACACATGGTCCAAGACAAAATGCACTCTCGCGCCACCGGGCCCCGCGCAATCCTCACCCGCCAACCCACCGAAGGCCGTTCGCGCCAAGGAGGCCTGCGTCTGGGAGAAATGGAACGCGACTGCCTGATCGCCTACGGAGCTTCCCAATTGCTCCTCGAACGCTTGATGTTGAGCAGCGATGCCCACGAAGTGGATGTGTGCGAGACCTGCGGTATGATGGGATACCAGAATTGGTGTCAGAGTTGCGAGAGCAGTAGAGGTGTTGTCAGGATGACTTTGCCGTATGCGGCCAAGTTGCTGATTCAGGAGTTGTTGAGTATGAATGTCAAGGCTGCATTGAAGTTGACGGATGAGTTTCCTAGAGAGGAGTAGAAGCTTGTGAGGGAATACACATGGAACTGAGGACGGAAGTTTTTAGTGGAAGAAGCAAGAAAGGAAGGAGAAAAAGGCATTAGCATTGGGTGTGTGTTTCTTCTTTTTGTTGTTTGCTCGCTCTTTTTCTTTGGTAGACACAATTGATTTTCCAAAATTTCTTGTTACTCAACACATTCTTGCATCTGTCAGGGATTGAACACATACAATGTGCCTGCCCTCACTCGCAAAAAGGATATTCTGGTTAGTGTTTGGGTTTCTCCATCTCTCAAGATCGTTTGTATATCTCGCAATCCTTGGTTGCCAGCAACGTTATACTTACCAGAACATTCCCATTGCAAACTTTGGTCTTGCTGGTCGACAACATACGGTCTAGACAGTTCATACTCCGCAGACTACCAGCTCGAAGTCATGACCACATTTCAAACCACCACCGCACCTTCTCTCTGGCTCGTGTATCCTTGAGCAAGAAAGAAAACGACACTCCTTGCAACAAAGTTATACAAAGATGTATAACTAAGCATTAATGAGCACACCCCACATCAAAGCCCATCATAAAGCTTATGCAAAAGGCTTCCAACCTGCAAAATCCCCTAACCAAAAAAAGCCTTCTTCCTGTGCACCTTTTGTTTAACCACCATCTCTTCTAGATGAACGACAAAACGATATGCCCCCTATCAGAGTTGAACTGATGACCTCGGCATGATGCTAGAAAGGGTGATACTAGTGCCGCGCTCTACCAACTGAGCTAAAGGGGCTTGTGATAGCGAGGAGGGAAATCGGTAGACAATATGAATTTATTCATTGGTCTGTGCTACAGCACCGAAGATGAACTACTACCAAACAAGATGTTCCAACGCAAACATTGTGTTCTCTGTGATTGGTGTTGTGTAAAGTTTGACCAAGTGTCGTTTTGCTTCCAAGGTTGTGTTGTGGTGATTAGAAGATTGCGGTGCCGTTGACGTGTGAACTTACTCCGCCNNTGTATGCCAAAGGTTAGCAACAGCCTTGATGGCCCAAGTAACAAGGAAGCATCTCACCTTGAACGTTTGCCGGCGCAGCGGTAAAGAAGAAAGTCCATCTATTCTTCTCACGGCAAGTCTGTGACAACTTCTCTAGATCCAACATTTCCCCCAGCGGCATACCCCAGAGTGCAAGGATGTATTCGTGGAGATGGTACTCTGTCGTAATAGTCAGTCTCTGCTTTGTGTTAGGACGAACGAGAAACCCACCTTCATGTGTCGGCCAAGCCTCAAATGCAGGTGCATCACCAGCTACGGCTGAAAAATAAGAGTCGTGTAGCCAGTCCAGCATACGCTCTTCTTGACTCAAGCCTGCAAACCTCTGTCCGTCATCTTTGCCCATGGCATGTGGTCTTACGGCCAACTCGTTTCGTTCGGTAGGCGATTTGCTGTGGTAGGCCTCAACCCAGCCAGTACGGACGAATAGAATATCTCCAATCTTGATGTCACCGCCTTGAGCAGCTGGACGAATATCTATACCCTGATCTGCAGCGCAGTGCTTGAGTTCCTCAAAGGAAATGGGGTAGTACTCATAAGGGTCGTAGTTGATGCCTTTCTTGTGAGCATAGCCGCGATAATCGAGGAGAATGCCGCGGCCAGCAATACCATGTACAGCCCAATGATGGATAGAACACTTGTGGTTTGCATGTGGACCCACGATATCCGAACCCTTTGTGTTGTTGTAGAAAGTGCCAGAAGGAATATGTGCAAAGTGGCGGAAGCCATCAAATTGAGTGCCTGATTGAGTATTTAGATGGTAGATATTGTCATAGGCAACATTCTCTGTAAGTGTCTTTATTTCGTGTTTGAAGACTTCACGATGGAATGCAGGGACCTCGGGAGTGTTGAGAGGAAGGTTGACGGGAATGATTTCTCCACTCTTGATTTCCTTTCCAGCAGCAGCAACTCGGGTAGGTGTTAAGAGGTTCAGTCGGCCAATGTTGTCATTTTCACCCCAGACCCAGGCAGCACCTTCTGGAGCTCCTGGAATGGTGGGAAGCTCTTTGCGAGTCGGGAAGATGGTTGAGTCAGGGTCAANGGGCATGGACAGACTTGCAGTCTTGTTCATGGTTAGAAAGTCCTTGATCTGAGTCAAGCGAGTGCTTGTTGTGCTTTTGGGAGCGGCCATGATGATAGTGTTCAAGGTCGAGGACAGGATAAGGACCCACCTTTTGGGAGCAGAGACGACATGACTTATAGACGGCAAGATTGCACAAAGCTACGCCATGTCCCTCGGTCTCTGCTCCCCCCTCGTTCGCATACAGAGGGCTTCCCCGCATTGCGAACGTCATGATATACTCGGCATGTATAAGCGTTGGGTGTTCCAGCGGCAGTCGAATCAAGCTCGCAGAATCAAGATAGCGTTTCTATGAGTAGGCTTGATTGATGTTGACTTGATAGTCTTTGAGCCATGCACAAGACAGATCGCCTGCCTCAGTAATAGATGTCAGGGTTATCTGTCTTGTTCTTGTAAAAACATGACACAAGTATGGTGATTAATGCTCTCAATCAGACACAGGGACAGAATGCCAAGTGCCGAAGACGTCAATGTCTCGATAGCTCTAATCTGAAGGTAGAAGATTGATGTTGTGAGGGGTTGATGCAGAAGATGCAGGTGGGTGGAAAGGTGGAGCAGATGCGGGCGCTTATCGATAAGGGCTATGACGAAAAGCATTTGGCCATGACAAGGTCAACAAAAGCCCTTCGTTAACTAGTCGAAGGCTAAGAACAAACACAGACACCCAAGCATGTTCAAGAAGAAGCCAACAGTCAAGCCTTTGGCGCCGCTGCGGTCGTCGGACCGCCGCAAGACAGCCGACAGCATCATCGCCGAGTATGGCCTTCAACCCAAAGCGAACGACGACACCAACGTCGAGGACAAAGCAGCCGCCACTGCAGAAACAACCGCCCTAAGAAACGCCCTACTGCCTGATGGTATTCAAACTGCAAGATTCACAACAACCCACGGACCCGATCTCAAACAAGTCTCTGGAACCGTCTATGTCGGAGCATACCCTGGAGATGACGCTCGAGTCCTCTGGTTCAAGATTGAGGATCGCATGTATCCTACTGTATACACACTGTGGAAACAACCTGGCATTGTGCCTCTGCTACACACTCCTGGCTTTGTCGTCCAGAAGTTGCAAGGCGGCGCAGATCTCATGACTCCAGGCCTGGCCAATGGTCCTCCCTTCCACCCAAAGGCTACCAAAGGTGCTGTGGTCGCTATTGCAAGCCTTGAACAACCTTCAGTACCTGTTGCTGTTGGCGCTTGTTTGATCGACGTCAGCTCACTTGGTGCTGTTCAAGGTTCTCGCGGCCATGCAGTGCAGAACATGCATTGGGCTGGCGATGAAATCTGGTCCTACAGCAATTCCAACAAGCCCGGACTCAGCCCACCAGAATCTCTTGAAGGATGGCTTGCAAGCAAGGATGATGAGGAAAAGTTAGCCGAGCAGGCCTCCGAGTTGACTATCGACGATGAAGAGGAAGACCAAGGAGGTGTCATCTTGGACAAATCTGCTTCTGACCAGCCTGACCCATCAGAAGGTCTAGGGGAAGATGCTCCCGCACATGAAGGTTTGGTAGAGCAAGTAGAAATCAAGGAACTAACGACCAAGGGTATGTTTCTTCTGTCATTGGAGCTCGATTACACATACTGACAACAAGCAGAAATTGACGATGCCTTCCGCAAAGCCTTTCTCTACGGCGTCTACCACCACAAAGAATCCAATTCCAACCAACCAAACTTCGGCCTCGAATTCCCCTTGACACAATCATTCGTCATGTCCAACCTCGTTCAACCTTTCCTTCCCGCCTACACGCCCGACCAAGCAAACTCGCTCCAAATCAAGAAATCAAGTTACAAGAACATCAAGAAATTCATAAAGTCACTAGACAAGGCCAAGATCGTAAAGACGAAAGAGAGAGACCAACACGAGACCATCATCCTAGACATTGACTTTGAAGACGCTGCCATTGTCGATTTCAAGCCTTATCGTTTGCCCAAGAAAGAGACAGCAGCAGGAACAAGTCTAGGCCGTGGCGCAAAAGCAACCGCCGAACCCGACTCTACAGCCGACAGCTCCATCGGTCAAAAACTGGAAAAACAACAATACTACAAACTCAAGGAGAGATTGCTGCCACTCTTTGAACCTGCCGGCGCATCCTCGCAATCTCTGTTTACAGCTGCGGAAATCAAACCCATCGTAACCGCCTACATCGAAGCTGAAAACCTCGTCAATGCGAAGAATAAACGTCTCGTTACTCTAAACCCAACACTTGCAAATGCAGTTTTCGATGGCTCGACAAGTCTAGACAAGGAAGTGCTGGCTAAAGGCTCTGTGCCCCGAGACGCCCTTTTCGATCGTATCTTGCAGACCTGTGTTCCTCACTACGCCATCATACGCACTTCACCCTCTGCCTCTTCCACTCCAAAACCCAAATCCGGCACTGCTCCCAAGATCAAGATTACGCTCGAAACACGCTCGGGCAATAAAACCGTCACCAAAATCTCGGGCGTGGAGGCTTACTTTGTTCCTCCCCAGCCGCTGGCGGATGAATTGAGAAAGGTTTGTGCGGGCAGTAGTAGTGTTGAGCAGTTGCATGGCAGCAGTCCCAAAGCTCCGGTCATGGAGATTATGATCCAAGGGCCGCAGAAAGAGGCTGTGATGAAAGCGTTGGAGAAGAGGGGTGTACGACCTGCGTGGGTTGAGTTNTTGGATAAGACCAAGGGGAAGAAGAAGTAGAATTGTAAAAGCGATCTTTGCCTTGTGCCATTATCCTCGTGGGAGCGAAATTTCATCCCCTCTGGAACCGAAAGAGAAATATCAACATTTGCCATGCATTGTCGTTTCTTCCTTGCTGGTGCTCATCGCATATCCCTCAAGCGAACTAATCTAGCAAGCCTCTCCACCAATGCAGCAAACCTCTCTTCCCTAGGTGTGTGAGCAGAACCTACAAACAACAAATCATCCTCATCGAGATACAACTCAGCATGCTTGAAGCGTTTATTGCTCGCCATCCTATTGTGCGAAGGAGTGCCATCAAGATCAGTAGGCAGCGGTCTCTTTCTCGAATTGTCCATCGACGAAGAAGCAGGCAATCCAGTACTTGCTCCTCTGGTCGCCGATTCCAGCAATGCAGCCATGGTTTGATGATTCGCCGCCGCTGCTCCCGCACTAGGAGTCTCAAACTCTGGGGATCCAAAAGCACTTAGTCCGTCACCACCCACTGCTGCAGCACCCTCATTCCCATCTTCGAAATTGGAAGGCCGTTGCTGGTAGCTGCTGCTGCTGGGAATGGCTCTCCTGATCTCAGACCCCAATCTGTCTATCCCTCTAGCGCCCAACATGGCACTCTCCCCCCTCAAAATCCTTTCCACGCGTTCTTGAATGCCCTCCTGTAATCCGCCATCCACATTTCCATATGCCAACACAGCACTCAAGCGTCTCAGCCGCAACACTTCTTTTTCCTCTTCTGTTTTGTTGGAGTTGCCGGGTTTGGTGCGGCCGGCCCTGCGCGCTATCGAGTCTTCGAGGAGGGTGCGTCCGTTTGCGTCTCGTTGGGTGGAGANGGNGGATAGTGCAAACGAAGGACATACGCGGAGGTGGTCTTCCTTTCTGGTCAGGTTGTTGCGGGGCAGTTTTATGTTTTGGCAGTGCGAGCAGGTGACCATTGGAGTATTTCCCGTAGCGGGGATTTGGGTGAATTGGGCGGAGACTAGGGAAGCAATGGGAGGCATTGTTTTGATAATCTCTGAGAAGATGGTTGTTTGCTTCCAGGCTTTTGGTCCCAAATGCTAGAAATATTTCCGAGGTTGTTTTTTGTTCCAGAAGAAGGATTTTAGATTGGTTCTTGATATCTCTTTGTGGGAATGGCTTTCGATGTCAAGCAGTTTATTCGCGATCGACGTGTGGCCAGTTCCAATGCTGCGCTGCGTAGACCTCTCTAGACGGCTAATAACTTATCCAGGAATCTGCAATACAATTCGCCAGGCAATGAAAAAGGCACTCGAGTTCACACTCAAATGGGTATCAGAATGTTGCTATCGTGTTGGTGATACTGTTAGTGTCGATTGTTGCTGATGGATGAGAGTCGAGAGAACGCGTTACTCTCGGGCTTGTATGCAAACAAGAGGAACAAACTTGCCAAGCCCGGATCCACATCCGGACTGACAGGCCCAAAAGCCGCGACAGCATCTTCGTGACTCGCGGAAACGACGGCAGGGGATCGGTACAAAGACAATCCTGCCGGATAACTAACCACATACGCTATGCAAACCTGTATTTTCACTCTGAGTCACTGTCTAGACACTATATATATGACTGGCTGCATTCGACACCAATAGAGATAACCACGATTGAGTCTGTCCAGAAGATACCGAACCTACTATACTGTGACACCCAGCTTCCTGCATCTATCAAGCGCTAGCATCTCCCGAACCCGCTGTATGACCAGAGAACTGGATCCACCACACGAACCACCATGCTTGCTAAACTCAAAGAAGAGTTTGGTGTCGAGACACTGCTGTCCGCACCCAGAGATGTCCATCTCATCCTCCTCACAAGAACCCTTCGCATGTTCGCCTACGGCTGCACAACAATAATCCTCGCTCTCCATCTCTCACTCCTCAAAAACTCGGATACCTTGATTGGAGTCTTCATGTCGCTGACTCTTGTGGGCGATGTATTTATCTCTTTGCTGCTCACTTTTATCGCCGATTCGTTGGGCAGACGCAAGATTATTCTGCTGGGGTCGGTGACTATGGCGCTTAGTGGTGTGGTCTTTGCAACCCAGACCAGCTTTGCGGTTTTGCTGATTGCGGCCGTTGTGGGTGTTATATCGCCTAGTGGGAATGAGATTGGCCCGTTCCGTGCGGTGGAGGAGAGTACACTCGCACATCTGGTGCCTGCTGCTCAGCGCAGTGATGTGTTTGCTTGGTATGTCGTTGTCGGCACTTTCGGCACCAGCATGGGCGCGTTGGTATCTGGATGGCTGGTCACAAGCTTAGGTGCTGGAAACGAGAAAGCTCTCGGCAGCTACCAAGTCATCTTTTGGCTGTACGCTTTACTGGGTTGTGTCAAGGCTGGCATCACCTTCCTGCTCAGCGATGCTTGCGAGCTCGAAACAGTGGCCCAGAAGCCCAGCGCAGAAATCGGAAATGCCGAAGAAGCAGAAACCTTTATCCAACAACCTCAATCAACCACACCCTCCAAACCAACCAGCAAATTCGCATTCACACAGATCAGTCCTTCCTCTCGCAAAACCCTTGTCAAGCTTGCTGGTCTATTCAGCATTGACAGCTTGGCTTCCGGCATGGCCTCCATATCTCTAATCACCTACTTCCTATCCGANAAATTCGGCTCTCCGCCTTCCTCTCTGGGCACCATTATGGCAGTCGCCTCTTTGATGTCAAGCATCGGCAACATCGCTGCCTCCAGTGTTTCCAAACGCATCGGTTTCATCTACACAATGGTCTTCACACACCTGCCCTCCGCAGTTTTTCTGATGATGATGCCAGCACCCCACTCTCTGGCTTTAACAGTTGTGTTTATCGTTGTGAGAGCAACACTAGCTTCAATGGACCAAGCCCCCAGATCTGCGTTTTTGTCTGCTGTGGTGTTGCCTGCTGAACGTACTGCTGTTATGGGAACGCTGAATACTGTAAAGACGGCGGCGCAGAGTGCTGGACCTCTTTTCACTGGTGTGCTTGCTCAACACAAACATTTCGGGTCTGCGTTTGTGGTGGCTGGTATCCTGAAGGCTGGGTATGATTTGGGGTTGTTGCATTGGTTTGCTGAGAGTAAGATGAGAGGAGGATCTGCTGATGAGGCTAGAGATCGGGCAAGACAGCAAGAGGATGAGGAAGGTCAAGAGTTGAGATGATATGTTGAATGGCTAAGGCGTTGGGGTAATTTCAGAAGGAACCTGATCTGCTGAGGATCACTGTCTATTCTATTACCTTTTCATATACTGAAGACATTCGAGATATACTTGCAAGAATGCACAATACCTTTGTACAGCATACAACTTCCATAGAGAGAATCTTAGTGAGAACTACCTCAACTGACAGACTTGTATTTGAATCGTAATTATGCGTTTTGATAGCTTATCTTAACCCATATAGCTCGAGGTCGAGAAAGGTCAATTGCAAAATCTGACTGTCTTTAGCACATTGCAAGGGTATATGGATTTTTTGTACTACAGGTTGACTATACAGAAACAGAAGACCCAGCAAATGATATGACTTGCAAACGCCATCAACCAAACAATCTAAACCAACTCATATCTGCTATGCCAAAGATAACCATGGTGTGAATGACAGAACGGCATGTAGCGCGATTGTCTTTCATAAAGCAAAGCGACCAATTAAACTAGTCTCAATCTACCGCAGTCGAGTGACCGGCTGAAGCATGAGTTTCCATCATCATTGGACCGCGATAATGAGCAGAGATTGGAGCATAAACTAAGTTACGCAGTGGAACCGCATCACCTTCACTGTTGGAGTTAGATCCGTTGTTGTTTTGATCCCTCTTATCTCCGAGTCCTCTGACCCAGTTCTTGATGCGCTGACAGATGCTAGGTATGGGTGCAACCCAGATGACGTTCTTGGCAAGATCGAAGCCAGGATGTAGGTCTTGCGGATCGCCCACAAGGCCAAAGCGAAACTCGCCCCTCGCAAGCCGCAAAGACGAGTGCAGTTCGTCCTTTGTGACATCTGGGCTGAAAGCCGCGCGGCAAAACTCGGGGAACCAACGTAGCTGGCTGTCGTAGAAGAAGCAGAAATAGTCGTACAGACTTCCAACATCCCTAGGCAGTCTCCCTTTTGGNNCTGGAGGCCAATATGACGTCAAAGAGTATATGTAAATGCTCGAATAGACGATTGCGAAACAGGCAGCTGTGGGCGAGAGTTGCACGACTATTCCTGAGCCTGTTTCAGTGATTGCACAAAGACCAGTCATTATAAGTGGTGGGACCCAGTTGAGAGCACTTAACACACCAAAGTATACAACTCTGTAATGTTCGTTGGCCCAAGCTTGAGGTATGACCGCCAGTGGTGATACGGTCATATAGTCCAGTAAGAGACTGTCCGAGGCAGGGCTGGCTTTCTCGTACATGTTGGTGAAAGGCTGCACCCAGCGATGATGTATGTCCATTGTCGTGATCGATGCCCCGGCCCAACCTACGATACTGATCGGCAAAAATCTCAATAATAGATATGCCAAGGCATCGCGGGTCATGGCAGCATTGTCGTGACGGCTGAAAAGATCAGGTACGTGCAGCGGAGCCGGGACTCCCGGCCTAACGAATTCAGTACCGTTGGGCACCGGGGTGATATCGTTTGACTGAATGATCCATGAACCAGTGTTGAGAACAATTCCCTTGAAAAACCAGATGCGGATTAGTGCAAAGGAGAGACAACCCACAACTATGAGCAGGAGGCATATCTGCAGAAGACGCCAAAAGGCCCCATAGGTAAAAGGACCTCTTAGATAAGGATAGTGTGAGCAACGAGGATGATGTTGACAGCTACATGTTGAATCGTGAGATTCATTTGGAAAGAGCCTGACCACAAATACTGTCAGCATGATGATCGTATAGAATACCACGTAGACCACACACATCTTTTGGCGATCTTGCCGTGTGCTTGAACTGCTATATGTTCTGGAATTGAAGAAACATACGTACCGGGAAGAAGATTGGTCTGGAAGGCGTCCCAGATTGTCAAGAGGGCGGCAGCATGAGTCTAACGAGCCCTTCTGTCTCATATAATCATTGAACTGTCGAAGGTGTGCCGTGTTGTTCGTCGGACTGTCAGGATTCATCTCTCGTATTCCATAAACGATGGATGATGTTGGTTCAGGCGAATTTGTAATCCTCCAGTAACCAAGCCTGTATTTTTCTCCCAAGCGCGAAAGCATGTTGTACCATTTGATGTAGTCCAGACCATGACTTGGCTTCGGCACAGTGTCTGTTGGCGCGAACAACAAAATGATATCGGCCAGGGATGTGGGGTCCCAATTCTCTTTCAGGCCAGTACTACTAGACGCGTATCTGATTGCGATGAAGACATTGATCGATGCGAAGAGCAGATACGTGAAAGCCAGGAACACCGCAGCAGTCAGTCTAACGGAGACTAGCCAAACGCCGCGTCCAGTATCTTCGACGTTGAATAATGTAGCCTTGGCCGCTATCGTGAAGTGGACAGTGAAGTTGCCAAAGATCAGGAACCAGATTCTCCGATCGGTTTTTTTGCGAAGAGGGAAGTATCGCGCACATACCGTGTGCTCTCCCCAATGTCTATTCCTGGTGTTTTTCTGCTCGGCCAGATGTATGAATGGCAGTATCCTTCGCAAAGTCAACGTAGTAGATGAGAACAATGTGGTGGTGCATACACCAATGATTGCTGGTAGATAGCGTGCTGCTAGATAATAATTGACATTGCGGATAGTCCAGATGCTTCCGGAACGGGAGCGATAGATGAGGTAGCCAAGTAGACCAAAGATGCCGATGTAGAATGCGGCGATAGCCAGTAGTACTCGTCGCGTTAGGATCTTGGGTCGGAAAGTCAATGGAGTGTATCCCTCAGGCGGGTCGATGGGCTCAAAAATGACTTTGTTCGATTAGCGACTGAAAGCTTTCGGGTTGACGCTACTCACGAGGCTCTGATGNNGTCCGGGAGTGCTGGCTTCTGGCTCTGCCTCTCCTGTTCCACTCTCGTTTTTGTTTCCGTCGTCATCCTCATACCCATCTCCGCCGTAGATGGGGTCGGTCTCGAAAGACTCATATCGTGACATTGGCCATGTCGAGCTTCGGACTCCGCCCGCAAAGAGAGGAATCGATTCGGAGGAGGGTATGGCCTCGATTGACTCGAGCCTGACAGTGCCATCACTAGCATGCAGATCTTGGTGGTGAAAGGCGTGATGTTCCATGTTGGTATCGTGACAGAGACGACTGATGACACAGACGTTGGGGCGGCAGTAATATTATTTATTTACCCCCACCTTGGGCAGGTCCGCTTCACGGCTACAAACCTCGAGGCTGAGGCATACCGCCCTATGGCGCAGCCCAATATTTAGTTATAAATGGCGTTTCGTTCGTCAGTGGCTTTGAAAATGCGTGTTGAACCACATAAGACAGCTTCGGGGAAGGATCTGTGGCTTCTGAAGTGCTTATGCTGCAACATACCTCGCTCACCATTGGTTAGGAAATCCAAATTCGCAGACAACCAGACTGGGCCGTGTGTATGACGCGGAGTGCTGGCCGCAAGCGATTTGGAGAGATCCAGGAACCCGATAGCTGGTTCTGGAGACGATCGACCAAATGTCTGGGGAGGGCGGCCTTCTCGCGTGATCAAGCAACTTGCTTGAGCTATAAGCTGTCGTTGATGACTCGACGGAGCCGCAACCCCGAAGTCAATATATTGATGAACAATATTTCCAGTGCAGCACCAGAATGACAGAGTGCAGGGTGTAGCTGTCCAGCTGTCTAAAAGCGTATTGGAGCAGTGAGGCCATCATGATAACTCAGGTACCGAGGTCGTTTGGAAGGAGAATAGCAGTCGCAAATATAGAATCGGCCCCAGACATCTGAGTGGTTAGAATCTATCTTGGTGGCGATGCTGCATGCAATGTAATGCCACGTTCATGCTTGAGCTCCGAGCTCGGCAGTCTGCTCACGTTTGGCTCTACATGAATATGGAGATCATTTTTCTGGAGAATAGCAAAGGCAGACCAATAGCAGTACTTTTTGCATCGGATTGGTATTAGAAGACGATAGATATGGAAGGGAAGTCGAGTCTGGCAGGAAGGTGGTCGACCACGTCGGTCAAAGACGTGGCTGGCTGCTTCCTTGGCGTGACGGCCTTCACTTGTATCAAGTACATTCATGCAAACACAGAGACCAACAGTTTTACCACAGCATCACTTCAACTCTCTCTGCTAGCAATACTTTACAGAATTATATCGTGGATTTTGAGTGGTCTCTATTATCTACAGCTTGCTCTTGCCTGCCTTGATCAAGTGCAAATTGACCGGACTGATAGCCTTACCCTCCAAAAGCGTCCCCAACACATTCTTATAACACAACTCTTCGAAGCCAATATGTGTGTCGATAGTTCCTCCCGCCGTATGTGCAGTCAAAGTTGCCTGCTTGAGCCCACATAACTCCTTATTGACATGCGGTTCATTTTCAAACACATCCAATCCACAAGCACTCAACTGGCCCGACTTGAGGGCTTCCACCAGATCAGCTTCGTTGACCAAAGGTCCACGAGCGATATTGATGAGTCGACTGCCACGCTTGAACTTCTTGAACTTTTCAGCTGTGAAAAGCTGTTTTCCTGAGAAGGGAGTTGCGACAATGATGCAATCGGCAGCTGCCAACATCTCATCTAAAGTTTCGTNAAAGGTCGCTCCCACTGCTTCCTCCACAGCTTTAGATTTGCGGAAAAGATCGTGGTAGGCGATTTTCATATTCAAGCCCAAGTAAGCTTTTTGAGCAATTCTGTAGCCGATGTTGCCCAAGCCTACGATACCGAGGATCCTGCCAGAAGGGTTTATAGCTGTGGTTGGNNGGGAGTTTTTGTGGGCATCGAAGAGGGCATCTGGGTTTCCTGATCGAGCGGCCATTTGTGACCAAGCAAGGTTGCGGAAGGTGGAGATGATGAGGAAGAGAGCGGAGTCGGCTACTGAGTCTGAAGATGCTGCTGCGCCATTGCAGTAAATGATTCCTACATCTCGTGAATATGGTTTGCGTCTATGAGGGAAACGTCAGGTGATGATTACCTTNNTCTCAGCAAGGATATCGGTATCCACCCAATCAAAACCTGCACCCGCAGATGCATACACCTTGACACTATCTGGAAGCAAAGAAATCAACTCTCTGTCAATTCTTCCCATTTCTCCTCCAGTGTTCCAGAAGGGTCGCATGATGGCTACAAAGTTACCCCATCGCTTTTCCTTGAGAGCTGAAAGAAAGGCGGATCTTTCGCGTTCTTCCGCTGATGGACGAATGATGGTGAAATTTGTCTCAAGCTTCTTGTACAGATCTGCATGCCAGCGACATGTGTCACCAAGGTGAAGGATAGAGGGTTTAGCAGACATTGTGGATATGATTGTTTGTGTTGTGTTTGTATATGATCACAGAACAGGACTCGAAGCAAGAGCAAGGCGAGAGGAGAACGAATACAACAAGCAAAGACCTACATGGTGGGTGATCCTAGCTAGTCATGTCTGGACTACGGTTTCCGAGATGTGCAATGTAAACAGCCGAGATGTGGTGTTGCAAAGAAGGAAAGATGGCCCCGTTCGGCGTCGGGTTTTGACTTCAATAGCCGACACCTGCTGTTTTTGTGGGGATATTTGTTCAGCCCTTTGAAGGGGTTGTCTTTCCCTGTCAGCTGTACAAGCAGTACCTGTTGGTCAAAATAATATACCGTAGTCCGAGAATAGTTGCATGCGAAGGACACGGGGCATCCAAGGTTTGAAGTGGTTGGTGTCAATCAATGCATCTTTGAAGTCGTTCGAGACCGACTGATAATCGCAGATATCAACATTGATGATCAAAACAATCTGGGAGAGTAGTGAAGTCGAACAGCGGTTGGATGAAGAAAAGTTGTTTTATTCATATGGCCTCGCAAACCGCTTCAAGCCATGTAGTCGAACAGATTTGATCTGTGTTTTGTATACCTTCCCACATAACGCCAGCGCTGAAATGAACCCTCTCATGCTTTTGTAGATTACTTCGCAATAACCATCTCCCTGGCAGGGCGTTCGTACTCGTACTCGATCTCCCTCTTGGGNNACCCTTCGAGCCTGCCTTCTTCTTTGATTTTGTGTCCGGAGCAGGTCTCTTTTTCTTCTTGAGGTCTGCGAGCTTCTTNGGCCAGCTCTTTGTCGTCTGCTTCGGATCCGCTCTCATCGTCCTCATCCCCGTCATCTTCTTCTTCATCCTCATCCGAATCGGCTTCCTGTTCGCTACCGAGCCAGTCTTCCAGGTCATCCATATCGTCGTCGCTCTCCTCGACATCACTGACGTATTCGACATCCGGACCCTCCTCCTCTTGCTCGTATTCATACTCCTCCTCATCCTCATCAATACCCTCGTCGAGATCCTCGTCACGAGTAGCCTCGCCACCACGCTCAAGAGTGCGCATGACGCGTTTCCAGATGTTCTCGTCAACGTTGAGGGGTTGCTCGCCATAAGCACCGCTTCTCAATCTCTCGACCAGTTCTCTTTCGATAGCGCGCTCGATCTTAGCGGCTGACTCTGCCTTGCGCTCACGTGTCTGTTCTCTTCTACGAATCTTGGGAGCGAGTCTGGGCACCAGCTGTTCTCCAAGTCTCTCCTCTTCACGGGCCAGCTTTTGCATGCGGACTCTGACTTGAGTCAGGCGGGTAAGACGTTGCTTGTTCTTGTGAACCAGGAATTTGGGCCAGTACTTGAGACGTTCGTCGACTTGTTCGAGGGCTTTGGAGTAGTTGCTGCTCAGACGAATCTTCTCCCACCATTTGCTGGGCATGTGTGCACGTTCGATGGTCTTGATGTATAGGTATAGGCGCTGCGTTTGCGGATCGGCACGGATGGTGGCATAGCGAGAGTTGGCCAGAGGACATGATTGACGGTTGCAGAGACCAGTGACGTTGTGTTCGTTGCGACAGAAGTTTTGCTCCTTTGTAGTCCTAGTCGCAAGAGTCAGTCATATGCATCAAGCAGCATGAGCGCGCGTGTCGTACTTGAGTTTGAAAGAACAGAACTGCTGGTTGATAACCTGCCAAACGATTTCGTCCGAGGCCATCTTGTCGGTCGTATGTGGATGATTCGAGTTGTTGTATGTTGAAACTCCAGACCGAGTTCAGAAAAGTCCAAGTCTCGGAGATGTGACTACGCCGGTCGAAGGTCGTAGATGTAGAGAGAGATAAATGGCAAAATCGAGATCCGCTTAAGCAGTCGCAAGCGCGCAGCGACTTTTTTCTGAGCAGAACTTGATTGCCAGCCGTCGACATTCTTGGCTGCTCACCGCCTTCGGCCCGGCCCGCGAGGTCCCCATCCGATCAATCGCCGTGGTCAGCAAAGCCTCGCCTCCTGATTTTGTCTCTTATCACGACTACAATTATTACACACCATCTTTGAAAGCTTGCGACGTATGAGGCTTGCCAGGAGCTCATTGTCACTTGCTATCACGCGTCCATCATGTCTTTCTTTGACGGCTAGAAAATTGCCATTGGCTGCCATATCAGCCCTGCCAATCACATCCAGCGTCCACAAATCTGCATCCTCCACTGTCGGAAGGTCACTGCATGGTTCGAGGCATCAGAGCGGCATTCCTCAATTCTCGACCAAATTCTATGGTGAACCTACCATATATGCCTTGTCTACTGCCCCCGGTCGCGCTGCTATTGCCATCATTCGCATCTCTGGTCCAGCATGTAATGATATCTACCAGGCTCTTTGCCCAGGACAAAAGCCCTTGAAGCCTCGCTACGCTGCTGTGCGTACCTTGTACCGTCCTGGAGCTAGAGCTTCACCTGACAACCTCCTGGACTCAAGTGCTCTGCTACTTTATTTTCCTGCTCCAAATACTGCAACAGGAGAGGATCTTCTCGAGCTGCATGTGCACGGTGGCACGGCTGTTGTTAGAGCTGTTTTGTCTGCTATATCTCAGTGCTCATCTGCAATTGGTGCTATTCGGTATGCAGAGGCTGGCGAGTTCACTCGAAGAGCCTTCATGAATGATCGTCTGGACTTGACCCAGGTCGAAGCTTTGGGAGACACGCTTTCTGCAAATACTGAGCAACAGCGTCGATTGTCAGTCCGTGGTACCACCAACACCCTCTCGCTCCGCTACGAATCATGGCGTCAGATGCTTCTCGCAGCTAGAGGTGAGCTCGAGGCTCTGATTGACTTTTCCGAAGATCAGCACTTCGATGAGTCGCCAGCCGAACTCGCCTCTTCTGTTGCCGGACAGGTCCAAGACTTAGTTCTTCTGATTGATACCCATCGCCGCAATGCAATGCGCGGAGAGCTACTTAGGAACGGTATTGCTATCAGTCTGCTTGGTGCACCTAATGCTGGCAAGAGCAGTCTTCTCAATCGTATTGTGGGCCGCGAAGCTGCTATCGTCAGTCAAGAAGCAGGCACCACTCGTGATGTGGTTGAAGTGGGTATCGATCTAGGTGGCTACCTTTGCCGCTTGGGCGACACTGCTGGTTTAAGAAGCGCCGTTCTTGCTACCGCTCAAGCTCAAAAAGAGCATATGCAAGAAAAAATCAGTATGATCGAGAAAGAGGGCATGAGGCGTGCCAAGCAGCGAGCCATTGAAAGCGACGTCGTAATCGTTGTTCTGTCGCTAGAACAAGAGGACAAGAAAGTAGTCTTGAGACCAGATCCCGAGGTCACCGATACTGCTGCCGAGCTTGCAAAACAAAAGTCGAATGTGCTAGTTGTACTCAACAAGATCGACCTGCTTTCGGGCCACGCATCCGAGCTAGAAAACTTCAGACGACAAGTCGCAGATGCGCTTCCGCACGTACGACTCGAAAACATTTTCGCCATCTCTTGTAAAGATGCAGAGTCATCAGTCTCAATTGATACTGGACACATCCCGACTTTCCTCTCTGGTCTCATTCGACAATTCGAAGACATGACTTCGGCAGTCGCAGCTACCGACGACGACACAGATCCTTCCATCTGGCAAGAATCGTTGGGTGCGACAGAGCGCCACAGACTTCTCCTCGACGAATGTCAATTCCACCTTGAACAGTTCCTCAGCCAAGTAGAAATTGGTACACAAAGCAACGCAGAGACAAGCCAAGAAGAACTGGATGTTGATATTGTCCTCGCTGCGGAAAACCTCCGCGATGCTGCAAATTGTCTGGCAAGAATCACTGGCAAAGGCGAAGCTGGAGACGTCGAAGAAGTGCTTGGAGTTGTTTTTGAGAAATTCTGCGTTGGCAAATGAATGTGTTCTTGACGATCACTTTGTAAACGATCTGTAAATATGCAAAAGAACCTGCTTGTTTGCTAGAATTGTAAAGAAGCTCTATGAACCCATTACCAAAACAAAACTCACAAAAAAGCAACAAGCAAATATATGCCTCAGACGAACAACAAAATCATAACTTCCTATAACCTGCTGAAATCGATCACCTCCGAAGCTCCTGTAAATGCTGATTACTTCTGACCAGTATAGCAATCCAACTCTAATGCCATGCCGTCTTTGTCATTGTTGAAAATGATACTATATCGTCGTTCGTGTCGCCGAAGACCATGCGTATACGTCGAAACAGAAACACCTCCAATGCTCAAAAGTCTTCTCTCGTCTATTCCATGCAAACTCAGCCATCCAAAACGCCATCTATAATGCGAAGCCCTCCAAAACCAAAACGGTAACCAGCACCCCAAGTTCCTTCCTTGACTCTCCAGTCGACGAACTTAATACCAGTAGCGTTTAATTGTAACCACCTCTGCCATCATCAGCAGCCACACGCGCAGAGCGCACGACTAAACTGGAGGGATTGCTGGGGCGACTGATGCCGCTGGTTTTGATGTCGCGGTTGTAGCCTCCGCGGCCGAGGATAGGAGAAGTGCGATTGTAGCCGCCGCGGCCCATGAGTGCTTGAGTTTGCATTTTTGGGGGTGGTGGTGGTTGAGAGAAGAGAAGTTGGTTGTTGAATAGCTGATTTGAAGATGGAAGTTCGATATCTTGTGATGATGGAGATAGAGTTGTGAGGTTTGACTTGTGGTAGAGATTGAGAGAAGAGGTGTTGATCTTTATATCTCCTCTGGAATATTCAATGTAATGATGGTAGTAATGATGATGGTGATGATGAAGAAAGCAACCAGAACAAATAGGACAGCATATATACCTTCCCTCGTCCTTTGTCCAACATACCAACCCGCAACACCTACACAATCATCCACAAGAAAATCTGAGTCTCTGTTTTCTTGCATCGGTGTCCCCATCTGGAATTGCACCGCCCGCAACAAGGCCCCCAAAGCCCATCATCAACAGATGTAACAAGAAAATGGCCTCTTCTGCTGCAGCAACCCCAGACATCAGGATCTCCGACATGGTATCCTGGCATCATCCACAGCCTCAGGCCGGAGCAAAGATAAAAGAAGATGGAGAGAAAGTGTATAAGCTGTAACCTGATAGGTTGTTAATTTGAGCAAGTAAGTAGAGTGCTGACTGGTACGAAAAAGGCCCCTAACATCTTTGCTATTTTGAGCGCACATAATATCAAAGAAACACGCATCGGTTTCCCCATCGGGTGTTGCGAGCTGGCGATTTCCGTGCGCAATGTATCTTATGCTAGATTTCCACCTCACTTGTTTGTGTGCGCGCTTCATCAGCATCAATGCAGGCACATCGATTTTGCCTAATCGAGGACGCAAGTGCGAGGCTGACGAAGAAGTTGAGGATGCATGGTAGGGCTATGTTTGGCATGTCATGCAGCCCTATGCACTGTACACGTGGGCGGGTACCTGTCTGACATGCAGTGATCATCGTCATCGCATGGCTGGAGGAACACCAACAGACAGGCACCAATTACCTACCTCTCTTCTTGGAAAGACCTCCTTGTTTTGCAACCTTGAATTCGATATTGGAACCCACAATCACGCTTTCCTCTTTTGGCTTTTTGAAGAGCTTTGCTGCTGAAAGTCACCGATGCGCAGACAACGTCAGATGCAATATCTGTATCGACGGCCTGAAATAGCCCTTCCCTAGTCAAACTCGATCATAGGTCTCGCATGTACTCGCACCTTCATCAGAAGTGAATCGCTGTCTATGGCTAAACAACTTACATCTATGTTGCCTGGATTCTTCGATCCTCGAAATTCGGAGACAACTTGTATGCAGCTCGTACATGATAAGAACACTGAAGCTGGGTGTGCATGTGCTTCGACAGGTCGGCGGTCATGATGGTGGGTAGGCCAACTACATCAACACCACATTAGGTAAAGCAACCACACACCTCCTCCCTCACCTTATATACCATCATCACCGCCTCCCTTCCACCTGCCAATCCATCGCTTTACCGACAAGCGGTGGATCGGTCCAGCGGTCCGTCGCCAGCACTTTGTGTTAGCGAGCTTCCGCTGAATGGTCACTGGTTCGATTCTCGTAGTCGAACTAAAAGTTTCGGAGATGCTGATTCTCCTATTTCCTCTCGACATCTGAAATGAAACCAGTGTAGCTGGTGGCTTTCTCCCCGCAGATAGGTTCTCTACGACTGAGCCTGTGGCGGGGATTTGTTTGCTGATTTACTGGAGGGTCTGGGTCGAAGAAGGTTGTGTTGTGGTTTACTTTGGATGTGTGCTGTAAGCATCTTCTTCATCGTCGGCCACTTCTTCCTGAGAAGCTCCTGCTCCTTGAGTACACGAAGGCGGTGGAGAAAGTCAAGGTTCTGTGTACGGCCGTGGTATGTGTCTTTGATCTCTATAATCAGATGAAATGCAAACAAGCGCTTGCCTCCAAAGTCCATCTTGCATGTATGACACTTCAAAGCTTGCGGTTGCTCCCGTATTTGTGCTTTGTATGCACGCACTCGCGACTTCTATTGTAGCGAGACCTCGATATTGGTATCGTCGTCGTTGTCATCATCCTACATGGCTGACATGCCTGGGATGTCGACGAAGCTGAAGTTCGAGGCAGATGCGCTGGAGTCAAAGTGGCCAACCAACAGCTTTCCCTGTTGTTTGGTCCGAAATTTCTGAGAATCCACGACTTGCGACGAAGGCGAGGAATCAGTTTGGGCAGGTAGGCCAGCTGTTGGTAGCAAGTTACTAAGTCAGCAATCTTTAGTAAGCTGTCCACGTGACTCCACCATACTCCCGAGCTATAAATTCTATTCGACTCTCATCTCTCCTTCTCTTCTTTATACTCGTTCCTCTGATCTGGCTTCCATACAGACAGGAGTGAATGGCGTGGCCAGCAAATCCGTGCTTTGCACACTTGGTGGAAAAGTGACTTCGGTCCAGCTTCCAGCCTTTGAGGAGCCGTCGCGTCATACCACTCTTGTCCAGTTTTGCTGGTAATCAGAGTGTTCAGTTACTTGATCAAGTTTGAATCAATCTTTGGAAAATAGGATTTTTTTTTGGACCTGCAGGTCCTCTTTTTTTCATCTGTTACTCTGGCTTCCAAGCTGGGTGCCGAAGAAGATTTGATAGCTTCGAAAGAAGACCTCGAGGCTCGAGGCCTGTGACCTCGCGGCGAGGGTGATGACAATGAGCTCAGGGTGGCAGACATTCCTTTTTGCGCGTGTTGGCCGGATCCTTAGCAGCATTTTAGGAAGCATCAGGACTTTGTGACAGGAGCGGCGCCAACGATGCTGTACCCGTCACTGGCTACCTCGACAGAGATGCCATCAAGTTCGAGCTCGAGGATCGGGCGCTTGTGAGAAGGATGACGGCGATGAGCTTGGTGACGCTAGCATCCTCCTCTTGCGCTTGTCGGCTGAAGTCTTCGAAGCAATCTCGGAAGTTCGAGGGTCACAACGTTGACGGTCTGGATGCTGCAAGGAAAGTGGTGATGATCCTGCAGTCATTTGGCCGTGCAGATGGAAGCGTTCTTGTTGGCTCGTCGTCAAGTGATACGAGCGGGCTTTTCCTATGAGCTGACAAGGCAGAGACATGGGAGCTTGGATGTGGGAAGCTGCTCTCTCCAGCTGATCCACGAGCGCGAGGTGAACGGCGGCTTTATCCTGACGAGCTTTTCTTGTTTGATGATATGTCCTCGCTCTTGCTGTTTAGGTACTGATGATGGGTATCTTGGAATGGCCGGTTGTCGTGGGTGGGCTGTCCTGCGTGGTAGTTGTGGCCAACAAAATGTGGTGGAGGCCTTAGACATCGCTGATCTCTAGGCAAAGAGGGATCCATGTGACTGTAGGCAGGGTGAGATGGATGCACGCTCATGTCGGCATATGGTGGCAATGATTCCGGGTATTGCTGGCTGCCAGGGAAGTGGGCAGGGTCATCATCTACGGTGAAAGCCTTCTTGCATAGCGGACCATCATAGAAGATGCGGAACCATTAAAGCAGAGAAGCGAGTGTCACCCTCCCCTGAGGCATTTGAATCTCGACGTTCAGACGAGGAGAGATCGTGGCAGGAGCTTGCATGGAGAGCAGAGTCTTGTGGCGGGGCGAAAGCAGTTTTATGGCATTCTCAAAGTGGCTGCGGTTGCGTGCCACGAGAGCAGTGTCAGAGCCGACTTTGAGGTCGTTGTAGAGATATGAATCGTTAAGGCATGCCGGATGTGGATCAAAAGAAATTCCAGAATGCTGTCGTTTGGTGAAATAGTACCTACCCACTGTCAAGCTGCGGCTGAGCATAAGTCTGCTTACACCAGATTTACAGCTCGTACGACTCCGTCGTAATCAAACTATGTAGTACACATCACTACCTCAGAGTATCAACAGTATCTGCAAAATTTCGAGTCCATAAAACCAAGTCCTTGGAATGTTTCCCATCAGAGATCGTGGACAGGGTTGTCCCCACACCAACGAGGAGGCGAATGAAATCCTTGCCCAATCTTGGTTGTCAAACTCTGGTATATACACACAGAGGTCGAGCTTGCTCGACTCGTACTTGTCTCTTGCTCGAAATCATCCAGAAGGGGGGCTCTTTAATAAAATGATCTTGCTTGCCGGTGCACCGAATTTGTCAAGCTGGATATTACCTACTTCCGTGTGCATCAGTCGATGAGCAAAAGCATCGACCAATTTCAGCAACCACTTGATGAGGCATCCAGATATGGCGAGGCATTTTGTACGCTTGCATCAAGACGTCCGGTCTGATCGGTAATCAAAACGAGGGCTCGGTGCTCAATTATGCTCAGTAATCTTGCCTTTTTCGACGAGACCTTGCCTTGCGTTCAGCTCAGACTCTTGGGGTCAATGTCGCCCATAGCTCCGCATCAAGGGTTACTGGCTTGCTACTCGAAGTCTCGTAGCACCAAGTACTATCGGCGACTGGACCGTGTTTCCATCTGCTGACCGCCATCGGCATACCCAGGGCAAAGATCGGTAGTCAGTAGTGGTTAATTCTCGTGACGAGGCTCATGAGGGCTCATAAGGGCTCGTGTGAAGCTCTCCAAGTTTGTTCGAACCGCACGACAACGAGGCAATCGGTCCTTCTCCGGATAACCCGCAATTGTCCTAATACGGGGAAGCCGCTTCGTGGGTGGACCTTCCGAGTCGGGTTCGCAGAATGTTACTGGAGTTTCCTGCACCTGTCACCTGGTATGACACTCAAGAGCCTCCAGCAATCTTCATGGCCGAGGAACTTATAAACAAGAGCGAGGTACGGCCGTGGACGGTTCTTTATAATCGCGAGGTGATCTTGCTCGGCGTGAGGGGCATGAGGACTGCGTGACTTGGCATTAGTACAGAATCGAGTGACGAGAGGTGATAGTGGATCGATCCTTGTCGCTAGGGTTCACGCTGATGGAGCACATCGAGAGTGTAATATCAGACTTGCCGACGGCCACTGGTGGTAGACGAGCTAGATGTCTCTGTGAGTTTGTGGAGATGGTTGGAGATCGCTCTGTCCCGAGGCTCAACCATTTTAACCGGCCAGCGAGTCAGGAAGTCGAAAGTGGGGCCTGTCGCTTTTCTGGGTGTTCGTGCGGAGACCAGACAAGAAAGTATCATGATCTTATTCAAATCTTCTTTCTGTTCACGTCACCAAATCAATCGGAAGTCCACTTCTTATTGACTGCTCAAGCTTCCTTGTTGTGCTTGGGTCGGCGTGGCTTGGTCATCGTATGCTCGTGCATTGCGAGTTGCAGGTAGATCGAGCAAAGCTGACTTATTATTGAGAGTTACAGTCTCTTGGTGTCGTTACAAAGCGAGAACCACATGCGAAGTTTTGCGCAGCCAGACAGACTCCTTAACGATCACCACCTTGCACCATCAGATTGTTCAGTCGGCAAATTCGATGGAATGGTCTTTCGGATGGTCCTGTTGCCGTCTCTGCCGAATGTGAGTAAGTAGGTGGCTTAGCACGGCCCGTGAACGGTCATGATCGGGTCTCAACGGCAAGCTACGTAGGTGGCCTTCCCGAAAATAATCACGACTCACGAGCATTGCTGTTGCTGCTGCTGCTGTCAGTACAAAGTGCCTGCTCACAGTAAGCATTCATGGAACAGAATCTACAACGCTCGTCTTCGATAAAGAGGAACTACTGGACGGCTCGAATCAGCGATTGTTGCTCTCCATGTCCGATGCCGACAATCCTTGCCAGAAGTCTGTCCGTGTTTTCCATGGGGCCTCCAGTGGGGAGATGATCTTCATTCTGGGGCAGAGGTCGGAGAGCACGCCCGTGCACGCCAAAAGTCAGGTACCCACGTCACATTGTTTCTTGACCTTCCTAGAGTTAAGAGGCACCAACTGTGGGCCGGGGAGGCAACTCATGTGAGAGCTGGTAAGACACGGATCGTCGAGAGGCACAGCGGTCAAGTATAAAGAGGTGCGATGATCCTGTACTCAAGTGTTCATCAGCAGCTCGCCTCTGAGGGACATTCACAACCATGCCTTCCCTTTCTTCATATATCCTTGCTTCGGCAGGAGCCTCCCTGGTGAATGCACAATTTGGCAACTTCGGCTCGCCGTACCCCAACACAACATATCCTGGATTTGAATCTGAAAACCCCTACACTATCGAGGGCTCTCAGAGCTTCCAATGGAGCCCTCCCAAGTACCCTAGCCCCTGGGGTGAGGGCTCTGGTGACTGGAAGGAGTCCTACGCAAAGGCTCGCGCCCTTGTGTCACAGTTGACTCTTGAAGAGAAGGTCAACCTCACGAGTGGTATCGGAACTAGTATGTACTTTGCAAAATTATGTCTGATCCCGTACTGACTTTTGCATNNAGACCAGGGCAACTGCGTCGGCCAGACTGGATCTATTCCTCGTCACGGTATCAACGCCTTGTGCCTGCAAGATTCACCGGTCGGTGTACGACTCACAGATGGCAACTCCGTATTCCCCGCTGGTGTTAACGTTGCTGCCACTTGGGACCGTGGCCTTGCCTATGCTCGTGGACGCGGCATGGGTCAAGAACATTACGGAAAAGGCGTAGATATGCAGTTGGGCCCTGTGGTAAGAACTCTTCTAACTTCCCCTGCATCAATGTCGACTGTGCTAATTGCTTGGTGATTACAGGCTGGTCCTCTTGGTCGCGCCCCTGCTGGTGGCAGAAACTGGGAGGGTTTCTCTCCTGACCCTTACCTCACCGGTCTCATGTTCGCCGAGTCAATCAAGGGTATTCAAAGTGCCGGTGTCATGACCAGTGCTAAGCACTTCATCGCTTACGAACAGGAGCACTTCCGTCAATCTCAGGAGGCCAAGAACTGGGGCTTCAACGTTACTGAAAGTATCACTGCCAACTTGGACGATGTTACTCTGCACGAGCTGTACCTTTGGCCTTTCGCCGACGGTATCAGAGCAGGTGCCACCTCTATCATGTGCTCTTACAACCAGGTCAACAGCTCTCAGTCTTGCCAGAACAGCTACATCCTGAACCACATCTTGAAGAATGAGCTCGGTTTCCAGGGCTTCGTCGTCTCGGATTGGTACGGAACGCACTCCGGAGTGTCTAGTATCCTTGCTGGTCTCGATATGAGCATGCCTGGCGACCCTGTTCAGGAATTCGGCAACCACGGAGGTGCCTTGTTCGGTTCTAACATGACTATTGCTGTTCTTAACGGAACTGTCCCCCAGTGGAGACTGGACGATGCTGCCGTCCGTGTTCTCGCCTCTTGGTACTATGTCGGTCGTGACAAGAACCAGGTTCCCGTCAACTTCAACTCTTACTCTCTCGATACCTACGGTTATGAGCACAACGCCGTTGGTCAGGGCTACGGTCTGATCAACCAGCACGTTGACGTCCGTGCAAACCACAGCCAGCTTATTCGTAAGATTGGTGCTGATTCTACTGTTCTGCTCAAGAATGTTAACAACGCTCTTCCTCTCACTGGCAAGGAAAAGCTCACCGTCGTGCTCGGTGAGGACGCTTTCGAGGATTACAACGGCCCTAATGGATTCACTGATCGCGCTGGTGATGAGGGTACTCTCGGCATGGCCTGGGGCTCTGGATCTGCCAACTTCCCCTACCTGGTGACTCCCAACACTGCCATTCAGAACGAGGTTGTTGGCAAGAACGATGGTCTCTACCAGTCCCTCAGAAACAACTCGGACCTTGACCAGGCTTACTCTTTGGCCAAACAGGCTAGAGACAATGCCGGAGTCGCAATTTTGTTCGCCAACAGCGACTCAGGTGAAGGTTATCTCGAGGTGGACAACAACTTCGGTGACCGCAACAACCTCACTTTCTGGCAGGGTGCTGATCAGATGATTGCCAACGTCTCGGCTACTTGCAACAACACTATCCTCGTTATCCACTCAGTCGGACCCGTCCTTCTTGAAGAGTACGCCAACAACCCCAACATCACCGCCATCCTCTGGGCTGGTGTTCCTGGTGAGCAGTCTGGTAACTCTATCGCCGATGTTCTCTATGGTCGTGTCAACCCTGGTGCCAAGCTTCCCTTCTCCATGGCCGCTAAGCGCTCTGACTATGGTACTGATGTTCTGTACACTCCCAACAACCTGGTTCCTCAAGCCAACTTCAAGGAGGGTATCTTCATTGACTACAGAGCTCTCGACAAGCAGGAGATTGAGCCTGTCTACGAATTCGGTTTCGGTCTCTCTTATACCAACTTCAGTTACAGCGACATCAAGGTCACTAAGCTGAACACCAGCGCTTATGCTCCTACCACCGGCATGACTCCTGCTGCTCAAACCTACGGTAACATCAGCATGAACCCTGCCGACCACGTCTTCCCCGGTAACTTCTCTCGTGTTCCTCTGTACCTTTACCCCTGGATCAACTCGACCAACCTCTCTTCGGCTGCTGGCGAGTCGCAGTACGCTCCCTACGGAGACACCAGCTTTGTCCCTGAGGGCGCTGTCGACTCTTCTCCTCAGCCCCGTCTTCCCGCTTCTGGTCCTTCCGGTGGTAACCCAGCTCTCTGGGACGTCATCTACCGCGTCACTGCCCATATCAAGAACATCGGCAAGGTCGCTGGTGATGAGGTTCCTCAACTCTACGTCTCTCTCGGTGGTCCCTACGATGCCGTCAAGATGCTCAGAGGCTTTGAGAGATTGAGCATTCAGCCTAACCAGACTGTCACTTTCTCTGCCGACATCATGAGAAGAGATATCATGAACTGGAGCCCTGAGGCTCAAGATTGGTTCGTCAGCAACTACACCAAGACCGTGTATGTTGGTAGCAGTTCGAGAAACCTTCCTCTCACTGCTAAGCTCGCTTAAGCGATATGTCTTTTTATGATCATGATAGACTCCCTAAAGATTGTTGCTTTTACTCCTAGACTAGAGATTAGTTCATAATATAATCACATTCACCATACACTGCTCATCTTTGTGACTGTTCTTGTGTTTTTGATATTGCGATTATCCATGGTATCATATAGAGTATACACGACTATCTTCGGTGGCACAGAAGGTTTTGAATCGCAATGTTTACTTCTTGGGCAAAGGCTCTGCTTCCGCAACCTTCTTGATCACTCTTGCAGGCGATCCCACAGCCACTGAGAATGCCGGTATGCTCTTCGTGACAACCGAGCCTGCTCCAATCGTACAGCCATTGCCAATAGTCACACCAGGCAGAATACTGACATTTCCGCCAATCCAGCAGTCGTCTCCGATAAACACTGGCAGAGCAAACTCGATACCATCACGACGAGACTGGACATCAGTCTGATGCGTCGCACTCAAGATGCTGACGTTGGGTCCAAACATGACTCTGTCGCCAATTTCTACTAAGCAGCAATCGAGAATTGTCAAGCTGTGACACTGTTAGCAGACTCAACAGCAAGAAGAGAAGAAACGAGCTCACCCAAAGTTGGAGTAAAAGTCGTCACCGATGAGGATGTTGCAGCCATAATCGACATTCAGTGGCGGCTCAATGAAGCTGTTCTTCCCCAGCGAACCAAAGAACTTTGTGAGAAGCTCGGCGCGTTGTGACATGATTTCATCTTCTGTTGCTTCCAATTGNNGAATGGGTGCGTTGAACTGCGAGGCCAATTTGCGAGCACGGAAGCGACCAGTCAGGAGTTCTGGGACAAATGCATTGTAGCTGGTTGAGTTTAGTGTATTGATATCGACAGGATCGTTCAATCTGGGGCCGAGACTGTGAAGGGGAGAAAACGTATAGATGTCTACAAGATTGAACACTCACAGCATACCAGATATCATCTTCTCATACTCCTGACACCATGGCACGTTTGCCAGATTCTTGGCACGCGCGATAATGGTTTCATTCTTCTCCTTTGCGGGCTCCATGCTTGTGATGAATTGGGAATGCGGAATATTTGAAGAAGTTGTCGGCTGTTCAAGACAAGAATAAGAACTCAGATAGGTAATAGGACCATTGACTGGAGACAAAGTAGGCAACGTGTTCTTATATACGGGCTGATGTTCAGACAAGCAATACCAAGAGTTATACAAGGAAGTAGGCGTCGGCCCGAGAGTGTTGATCGCAAGCTGTTTGCAACAGCTGACGAGAATGGCAAGAAGCCTTCTGCCCTTGTATGCAACGTATTAGGAATTCTTTACAGCGCCTATCACAGCGGAGAATCGTCCCGACACTCCGCCTGTTTGTCACACAGGAACGATGATGACTTCTGCCAAGGCGTGTTTTGCTTTGGCTCGTGGCAGGGTGGATATCTAATCAGAAGCACTCATAAGTTGAGCCATAGTCCGATGTTCCTTGCTTCATATTCATGATGGACTATGCATGCAGTCTGGACGCATGAGGGCACATTGAGTGATGATGTAGGTGTCGCTGAAGCGGAGCATATCGCCTGCCAAGTCTATGTGTTCCCGCCCACGTGCCTCGAGCATGGCTGCCAATTGCGTCCTCGATCAGCCCATGGATATCATGGTTCATCATCGGGATCGATGGCTTTTGAAGTCGAGGATGCTGCGAGTTTCTAGAGCTCCAGTCGTCAGGTACATATGTATCTTCACCCGGCTCTGACCTGGATCTGGTTCTTCCTCTCATTATTCCTACCACAATCATTGATCATGGGTTTGCGTGAACTCATCTTGCCCGCGGCACTTTGCGTGGGTGCCGTCAATGCCCAAAACATACCTTCTGGAGCAGTCTCTTCTCATGTTGCTTCCTCTGGCTTTCCAACCTCTGTCTTCTCCTCTTACTGGGTGAAGCCTGTCGCTACAGCAGAGCCTCAGCCTGCTCTATATGATCCAATTCTGAACATCACGTTCCCTCTGAATCTGACCTCTCCCAACACAATTCCGCAGGAAGATAATGATCCCGTCTATTATGCTCCTCCAATCGCTAACCTCACGCTCGCTGGAAAGGAAGCTGTAGTCAAGAGCGTTATTTCTCAAGTCGAGGAGATCGTCGTTAGTAGTCAATTCACCACCAACTGCTCGAAATGTATTGCTGGCTTGACAGTTGCAAAGACTGCAGCTCAATTGGCACCTGAGTTGGTACCTGATGCCATGGTTTCGCTTTGCAAGCAGTTCAAACTCCATAACAATGAGACCTGCGAGGAAGACTTTGAGGCCACTACCTTCGGAGCTATCTGGACGCAGATTCTGGCTTTGGCCGATGTGTCTGGCTTGGACGGTCAGTATATCTGCAACAGAATATCTAGCAACTTCTGCTCCATGCCAACTACCAGTCCGCTGAACACTACTGGACTCTTCCCCAAGCCAAAGCCAAGCAACTACACCATTCCTAAGGCTAGCGGCAATCGAATCAAAGTGCTTCATATGTCTGATATCCACTTGGATCCTCGTTATGCTGTTGGAAGTGAGGCTAACTGCACATCTGGTTTGTGCTGCCGTGCCAACAACTTCAACACTGCTCTCCCCACTGGTGAGATCTCTCTTCCCGCGCCATATTACGGAGACTTCAAGTGTGACAGTCCCTACGGCTTGGTTCTCTCAGCTATGGACTCTATTGCTCCCCTCACTGGTACCAGCAAACAGAATCCATTCGGTTTCAGTATCTACACTGGAGACTTGGTCAGTCACGAAAGTCAGAACGAACTCTCTAGAGCCTATGTCGAGTATGCAGAGCTATCCATCTACGACATGCTCAAGAAATTCATGGGCAAAGCACCAGTCTATGCAGTCCTGGGCAACCACGACACCAATCCTGAAGCAGTCGATGCTCCCCACAGTCTTCCCGGAGAACTAGGCATGCAGATGTCCTGGAACTTTGATCACGTAGCTGGACTCTGGCATGAAGAAGACTGGTTGAATGCAACAGCTGCAAAGCAAGCTCGTCTGCACTACGGCGCTTACTCCGTCAAAACACCCCAAGGCCTGCGTATCATCACCTTCAACACTGATTTCTGGTACAAGTCCAACTTTCTAAACTTGATTGACACACTCAATCCAGACAAATCCGGTATGTTCGCTTGGATGATCCGAGAACTGCAAGCGGCAGAGGATGCAAACGAACGCGTGTGGATCTTGGGACATGTGCTCAGTGGCTGGGATGGCACTAACCCCATGCCCAACCCCACAAACCTGTTCTACCAAATCGTTGACCGTTACTCTCCGCATGTAATCGCCAATGTGTTTTTCGGCCACACGCATGAGGACTTTGCTTACGTGTGGTATGCCAACAACGGCACTAACCAATCTTCCGCCAATGCTTTGACAACCGCTTGGGTAGGTCCCAGCATTACGCCCCTCACAAACGTCAATTCCGCCTTCCGCAGCTATGAAGTCGATACCGGGGATTGGAATGTGTATGAAGCGTATACCTTTTACTCTGACGTGGAGTTGTTTTCTGGTCTCAACTCCACAGGTCCTACCTTCAAATTCGAATACAATACTAGAGATGCTTATGGGCCTAGTATCGAGTGGCCTGCTGAGGCACCTCTGAATGCAACGTTTTGGCATCAGGTCTCGGAGCAGATTGCTAAGAATACGACACTGGCTAGCACGTTTAATACTTATCAAGGCAAGAGCAGTGTCAAGAGTCCCAACTGCACGAATATTGCTTGTGCGCAGGCTAAAGCATGCTATATGCGTAGTGGTAGTGTAGCATTAGGTCAACAGTGTCCTCAAGGGTAAGTTCTCTCTCATTCTTTCTGTACTCGCGAGGTTTGGTCTTGGGATTGAGCTAACGAGAGGCAAACAGANTATGGCAGTGTGCAAAGTCCATTCACTCCATCCTCAAAGTAAGACATTCGGATGCCAGAGAGAACATGAGCCGCATTACTCCCCCAGTTCTCGAACAAGTATAGTTAAAATCTTTGTCACAAAAGAGATGGAGGAAACGATTTCAAAATGATATATTCTTGGAAATTGCCTCTATGGCTTTAGCACCACAAACACGACTAAACAAGCTTTCTTTTTTTTTTTTTTTTGTATGTCAAACCAGCATCTGGCACATAACTATGTATCGCCTCTTGGGTTTGCTTCATGGCTTTTGTTAGTGGTAACAACTGTATCTACCTGCGAAATTCGAATTGTATCATGCACATGGCATCAAACACCTTTGCTACCCCTTCTTACTAACGCAAAACAAACCAAACTCCCCAATCAATCATTTAATCAAAATCTAACTCTTTTACTTTGCTTTCTTCGTCTCATCATTTTCTTGTCTTTGTCTCCAGAGTTTTACATCATCCATTAAACCCCAGCCACGAAAATAAGAAACCCACAGAATGATGCTTTGCTTTGCTGTATACTAGCTAGCTAATCCAAAAAAAATTTCTACAAACCCCTAATCTTCTATAAACCCCTAATCTGATATAGCTCTATACCAAATTGCATGCACTGCACTGCATACTAACAAAAAGCCTTGATACATGCATTTGCATAACAAAAGTACCAACAAAAAGAAACATTGCTACCAAAAACATCGCCAGAAAAATACTTACAAAACAAAAAACCACTTTCTAGACTTTGCGGGGGATGTTTTGGTAGTATATGCTGCTTTTGTGTTTTTCTGGTTATGCGAGTGTTGAAGAAAGATAGATAATGATGATGATGATGGATGGGGGTTTGAATCTTTGGATTGGACAAAGTAACGATCAGATCAAGCTGGGGTTAGAGTGCTTAAAGCAAACTTTACAATAACAGAGGCAAATACCCGTGATTTTGGCGTGTGAGGATGCACAAACAACAAGCAGCAGCAGTAAAGACATATGCTCGTGGTGAAGCAGCAGCAGCGACGTGGATATTTTGAAAAGGACGGGACGAAAGGAAGCCGATCAGGGATACGAATGATTCTCTTTGACGGATGGAAGAAGAGGAGAGAAACCCATTGATGACGATCAACCACCGTAGAAAAACAGTGAATTCATGCTTTGGTTCAAAGGATTGTTATGTGACAGCTGTAGATTCTGATATCTGCATCTGGGTTGTGATGCAGAACTATCTCTGTACTTCATCACTCCTCTGCCCATCCCCGCCTTCATCCTCAACTTCCTTTTCCTTACCCCCTTGAGTCCCAATCGTCAAAAACAAAGCAAAAACAATACTCACCCCACTAGCCGCAGCCGCGAACCAAAAGACCGCAGAGTAAGGTTTGGTCTGTACGTCCCAATAGCCTGCTGGTCTAGCGCTTTTGCCCACAGCGTTAAACACCGCAGTTCCAATTCCAAAGCCTACAGATTGGCATAACTTGGTAATGGTTTGGACGATACTGCCGGCAATGGATTGTTGATGCACAGGCATGGAGCTCGCGACATAGAGATTGGCGACATTGAACTCGAGGTCTGCGCCCACGACTGCAAACAGAAAAGACGGGAAGCAGAAAGCCCAGTAGGAGGAGTGGATGGTGTTGACGGCGATGAGCGTGAACGCCAAGATGTAGCCAAAGCAGCCGGTGAGCATGAGAGCCTTATTGCTGATTTTGTGCATGACAAAGGCGGCAACAATGTTGACGATGATGCCCATGATGGCCATGGGAAGTAAATGCACTGCAGTAGTCAAAGGTGTCCATTTCCAGACTTCTTGCATGTAGAGAGCGAGGAAGAATTCGCCGACGGAGAAAGACATCATGCCCAGAAGCAAGACAACCATGAGGAGTGAAAAGTTCTTGTCGAGCCAGATGGACATGGGAACCAATGGATGCGGGTAGTAGTTCTCCCAAACGACAAAGGCGACAATCAGCAAGGCGCCAACGATCAGCATGGCAATGATGTAGCCTGTTTTCCAGCCTTGTGGTGCCGTGTCGCCGGAAGAGAGAGCAGCACAGAACATGCCTACTCCAGCAATGGTCAAGATGACTCCAATAGGATCGAGTTTCTGAAAAGTCTCCCAGGTAAATGGTTCTTTTGGTGTAGTATCCTTGGGAACTGTGAAGATAGCCAGAACACTGAAGACGAGATAGATGATGGCCAGAAGGAAAAAGCTAGCTCGCCAGTTGAATATATCACTAGCGATTCCAGNAAAGATAGTGCCAAACACAAAGCCCAGTGGATTACCAGCAGAGAAGCAAGCAAAAGCTGCATTCTTTCGTCGCGAAGGTTTCTCGTAGATGGTGCCCAGAAGTCCTTGAGCAGGAGGTACAGAGGCCGCTGTCATGAGCCCCATGAGTCCGTTGAGCACATCGATTGCAATTGGTGTTTTGCAAAAGCCAGCGGCGAGTGAAAAGACGGCAAAGATGAAGAGTGAGCCCACAAATAATGACTTTCGTCCAAAGCAGTCAGCCAGCCTTCCAAACAACAGCAAGAATGCGCCACCAGCCAACGTATTGGCCGAGCTCATCCAGGTGATCTCCGCTGTAGTCATGCCCAGGTCGGCTCCAACAGAAGCGGATATGACAGAAACAGCTCCACTCAGGAAGGCGCCCATCGCTATTGCCATAGTTGCTGTCAACACGAACAGCACTTCTTGCGTAGTCGATTTGAAGCACGATGGCCGACCCTCAGGATTCGAGATTTCGACAGTGGAAGGGAGGACGGCTTTCTCATCGACCATGGTAGTCGTAGCTGCGGCTGGCGCTACAGGCGCAGCGGCCATTTCGACTGTCGTCATCACAGCTCAATTCGACGATGAAAATTATACCCTGAGTTGAGGCATTGATGGTAAAGGAGAGGACCAAGAGTCATGGACCAAAAGCTCAAGGCGCTTCCGTAAAACGGTCGCAAATGCTTGATAAGATTGACGGAATGGTGCCGTGGGGAAGGGGAAGAAGCAAATGTGGCGGGGAGCGGCAAGACAAAACGGCAGGATCAAGCTTAGGGACCTCCCAAAACAGGTAGATTTATCCGCGAATGTGGTGAGTATACGCGAACTTTGTTCCTGTACCTATTCGTCAGGCACGTGGAATGGTAGTCGAGCACTCATAGCTTGACGACTTGCCAGCCTTCGAGGTCCATGTGTGCGAGTACACCGCTCAGTGGGCCTTGTACTTCCCGACCATTCAACCATTGCTTGGGACCAGCCCAGTAATTGATGAAGCCTTCTGGGCCTGACACAAGAATAATCTNTTTGCCTTGACCAGGAGTTGTAGCTTGATTCGAGGCTGGCGCAATAGCTTTGCGCACATGTTGAGGGTTGATAANAGTGCTTTCTTCATCGACAAAATAGTCGACAGAAAATGCCTTGTTGGTCTGTTTGAGCGCATCCAATTGCTTTACAATCAGGCTCTTCTCGTCGCTGAGCGCTACATTGTGATGTTGAGAGCTGGCGAAGAGTCTGGCAAAGTTCGCGTACCAACCAGGCGTGACTGGGTCGTCGCTCTGTCCTCCGAGACAATCTTCCCTTGATCTGCTTGCCCACAGCACAGCAATGCGAGCCTTATCCCCCAAAGCGTGTGCTATTTGGATAGCAGGTGCAACACCAGTACCTCCAGCCAAGAAGACTACTTGGTCGACATTTTCTGGCAACTCGTATTCAACAGCAGGTCCTCTGACTTCAATATCAGCACCAAGAGGGCGTCTGTGTATGTAGCCCGAAACCTCGCCTCTCTGCTCACGGCGCACCAACAGACGCAAAGCATCAGGGTCTGAGCCGTCAAGCGGCGGCAGAGGAGTATATGCTCTTGCAATCTGGAGTTGAGGTTGCTTGATCTCAATGCTCCAGACTCCCTTCTTCGACCAGTTGTCAAACGTGCCCGGGGAAATATGCGATTGCGATAGGGTGAAGATGGCGCTCGTGGAGGAAACGGTCTCTTTGTTCTTGAGAGCGAAGGGCGTGAAAGTCAAGTCGTTGAGGACTTGAGGCGATGCGAAGGAGATAAACTTGTAATAATCGTTCAGAGCCCAGCCGGTGCCAAAGAAGAAGAGAGATGCTGCAATGCTTCGAAAAGAGCTGCGTTTCGCTTTGACCGGAGCATTGTGGATATTGGTTGCTGTGTGTTGACTGCGTGAAAATGGTCGACGGATGGCCAGAGACTGGCTAAACAGAGAGTTTCGTGATTTGGGCAAAGAACGGAAGCCCGGGCGAAGTGTACAAGGCATTGTGACTTGGATATGCAGCGAAACAAAAGTCAGATGCTTGAAACATGAAGCCTGTCAACCTCCGCCAAGATTCACATGTCAATGACGACGAGATGCTCATTCTCATACAAATCTTCACAACCAAATTTATGAACTTGTCATATCGTTATCGTACATAGTATACAGTTCTTCTAATCCAGGTCGAGTCTCAGAATCTCGCCACCTTCGCGGATGCCTCCTCTGAAGAGACTCTTTATGACTTTGCCGTCAATCAATGTCTTGCCGACGATACCCTCGATATGCTGAGGCTCAACTCTGCCGTACCAGATACCACAGCCCGCCAAAGGGTTGGTCTTGAAGCTGGGCGGGATATACACAATCACATTGCCAGCCCACTTGTGTCCTCCAATGTGCGAGATCTGTCCAAGTCTTGCTGCAGGTTGGTACTCTTCAATCGAGTAATCAGGCTGCACTGTGTCGTGAGGCGGCGCATCACTGATAACAGGAATGTTCTGTCTCTCCAGCTTGTCCTCGAATTCTGCCTGCAGAATGGGTCCCATCTTTCCACATCTTTCGTCGCGTCCGCCGTGACCACAGATCAAAACGACAATCTCGTGCACTGGCCGCGCTCCGGGGAACTTCTTGCGCATCTCAGGCTCATGGAGCAGTGTGTTCTNTTGCGCCCTTGTCAAACGTTCGTGTGATGCGTGTAGAGTTGGAGGTAGAACAAATCCCTTGATGAATGCTTCGACGCCGCTGTCATCGGTGGGAATGCTGGGAACGTATTGGAAGCTGGGAAAGAGGAAAGCCGAGGCGGGCGCTGTGTTGGGTGCTTCTTGAGGAACGACATCTGGGTCGGAGCCAGGTTTGGCGGCGGGTATTGTGTTTGCCTTCTGTGCAGGCTGTGTTGATGGCTCGGCATCTTCGAAAGGCGTTGGTGGGATTGACGAGTTGATGACGGACACGTTGTGGTATGGCTACAAGCAATCAAGTCAGTGGGCTGATGTGCATGGGAAAGGGTACTTATTGTAGTCACATACGTCAGAGAATTTGCCCTTGGGCCCAGTCAACTTGGCCATCTGATTCACGAGCACACTGTCCTCGTCCTCTTGTATCCTGCTCTTCCAATCCGTTCGGCCTGTCGAGATGATGACCTGCTCAGCGTACGCCGGCATGGTCCCATTAAGCTTGCTCTCGCGGTCGATGTCTAATCCCGCCGGTGTCTCTCGACATTGGCAAGTCGGTGAAGGACATTCGGCAATGGTAGGAATGTTCCAGTGCTTGTCCTCAGGCGTTGGTTGCGCGATGGGTACTGTGTATGTAGCTCGAGATGCGTTGCGGAATTGTGACGTCCATAGCGACATTCTAGGAATGCGCGAGGCGATTCTGGCTCCTCTGATTATTAGCCCCATGATGTATGATTGTGAATTGGAAGAGAAACAAAGAAGGCGACATGATTTCGAGATACGATCGAGACACAAGTCAACGTCATGGCCTGGTCAGCACATGAATCCACTTCTCGGCGCCTCGGGTCCGTCATCTCCGAAGCAACATTGAGAATATTATCACTTTCCAAAGATCCGCAATCAAAAGGTGGAATACAAAGACTTTAGTGTTCGTAGGAAAGATTAATAGATGATTGAGATGGGAGCCAGCCAGACTTCGGACATGGTAGGAAGAACGCTGCTGAACCCTTCACCTTCGCATCGACCATTCGGTCCCCAGATTAAACACCACGCATGACATCCTTCTCAAGCTCCTGTGCGCTAGACCGTCTCCGACCCTTGTCATCAGTCCACTTCTTACAAACTTTCTCGAAGCACTCCCCCGGTTTCCTTCTGATCAAATCCAGTCTCACGACCGTCTCATCGTCTTTCTGTTCTCCATGCCTCAACGCGTGTGTCTCTCGTGCCAAGAACATTGCAACAAGTGATGATGTATGCTCGAACATCTCTAGCACTGCTTCGTAGGGGCTCGGACAACGTTTGGTTTCGGCAAAGAGGACACCTCGCTCGAGAAGCATGCCTTGGAAAGTCCCGTCTGAATTCTTTGATACGGCCATGCGGACCCATGGTTGCTGTCTGTCAGGCGGTGTCTCGAACGTTGGATGAGTAGATAGTAGGTGGTCGTCTAGCACTTGTATGTTCGCTGGTACTGTTTAGTGCAAGAGAGCATAGAAATCAATGTGTAATGATACCAGATATCAGGTTCCATAGTTCTTCGATGCCCAACGATGGCCCGCTCATTCGAATTGCTTGTGAAGGATGCGCTTGGTAGCGATAAGATTCGAGGTTGGGAAATGATGAGCACTGCTTTAGGGGTTTCAGGAATGGTCGGCGTGACGAATTGATACTGTGATTGCTGTGAGGGCGTGACTCTCTCGAGTGCACAAGTATCTCCGAACTTTGGTTATTCGGCGTTCGGTCGCTCTTTCCTCGTCTCACATCGAATCCGGTATAAGCAAATCCCTAGAGAGCAGATCTATATCACAGATCATACATATATTGCATGGAGCTAAGAGCTCGAGAACAGCATGACAACAGACACTCAAGCGGCGACAGCGACTGGAGCAACCTCCGTGACCGCAGGTGCCCCAGCTGGAACCTCAACTACAACAGCCTCATCTGCTCGCAGTAAGCACTTTGCTATCTTCAATGCTTGCCAGATACACCCACCGACTGATGCTCTCTTGGGATCCATTTGCATAGTCCCGTCTTTGTGCCTAGTGAAGAATCGCTTGCCTTGTTCACGAAGGACATGCGTGACTTCACCCCTTCGTTCGAGCATATCGATTCTGCGTCGGTTCTTTTCGACATATTGCTGTCCTGTATTTCTGTCACGCACCCACCGCGGGCCTAGTATGATGACCGTGACATTCGGATCTTCACCTTCCCCGGTAGCTTCTTCGGCAGCAGGAGGTGCGGCATCAGCACTTTCCCGTCGTATACTGATAGTGCTTGACTTGGAAGACGATATGCCCATGTCGCCTCATGTGCAAGAAGAGCGATGGGTCTGAGTGATAACAACTCAGGGGTCCATCAGAGGGCATATAAGCAGAAGTGACATCGACAAAAGCTTCCTCGTGCCTCCACAGACGTATCCCTTGGAGGGACATCACGTCTCTGATGCCCAACTCACCTGTTAGCTGCTTAGACGGCGGCACCGTAGCTCGACAAGTATATAGACCTGAGATCTCGGATAGGCATGGCAAAAGCAAACGAAGGCGCGATTGCAGCTCAAGGGCCCAAAATGGCCAGGTCCGTGTGCCACGTATCATTGTGCTTGTTCCCCTCAGGATGGGCGTTGCTGGAGATTGGAGACGTGGCATGCATCAGAACCCCATCCGAAGCGGCGCCGGCTCAAAGCGACATGCTTCAGGATCGATCAGAGGCATCCCGAATAGCTTGCTTCCAGCATTGCATCTCAGATTTCGGTCATGAGATTGATCTGCTTCGCTGTGCTGTGACAAACAATTCGCGTTATTGTCACTGCATCGGGAGCGGGCTATATTCTCCCCCTGGCTTCGGTACCCCTCACAAACTGAAGACATGAACTTTTTCCAGTGTATTGAGTTGAGACAGCTCCAATAAACGAAGATAGATGCAATGTCACATTCGTTGTTGATTGATGTTATTGAAAGACGATTGCAGTTCGAGCGGTCTGACAAAAACCCACAACGTCATTCAGAAGACCCTGAGACAAAGGCCCAATGCGGAGGTGCATCGACTCCTGAACAAACTTGAGTTTTTGCGGCCGAGTTGTTTGTTTGTCACAGCGAGTCGAGTAATGATACAATAACACAGCAGTTACACGACACGCTCGTTCGCATGGCCGGACTCGCACCACCTCGCCAATTCGAGCGCGACTCGCTCGAGCTGGCTTCCCTTGCTTCGGACCACAACTCGCGTGACAGCATCGACTCTTCGGCCTCAGGCGTCCCTTCGTCGCGCAAGCTCTCCGACGACGATGACCACCTCGGTACCCCTGGACCTAGCAGTAGAGGCCAAGGCGGTCGTATGAACAGATCTTATTCAGTCTCCTCAGCCTTCGACTTTGCTCCCGCACTTTTCCCTCTGTCAAACTCAGGAGCAGGATACACCGCTATAGGCGCCCCGAGCGGACAGCCATTGGCAGCAGGAGGAGAAGGAAGCTTGGAAAGACACAAGACATTGACGTTGTGGAAGGGTGGTCTGTCGCTGGTCGTTGGTCTGATCATTGGTTCCGGCATCTTCTCGTCACCTGCTCAGGTCAACATCAATGCTGGCTCGCCTGTTGCAGCCCTGACAGTATGGGTCATCGCTGGCCTGCTTGCTTGGACTGGCGCTGCGAGCTATGCTGAACTCGGTAGTGCCATGCCACTCAACGGTGGAGCGCAAATCTACTTGAGCAAGATTTATGGTGAATGGGCTGGCTTCCTGTTTACATGGTGCGCTGTCGTAGTGCTGAAGCCTGGTTCTGCTGCTATTATCGCTATCATATTTGGCGAATATACTGTCAGAGCCTTTATCGGTGCCGACGCCATGGATGCAAGCATCTGGATCAACAAGGCCGTCGCTGTAGCTGGACTTGTACTGGTCACTGCCCTCAATTGTGTCTCCACAAAAGTCGGCACACGCAGTACTGATGCTTTCGTTCTCCTCAAGTTCTTTGCATTGGCTGGAGTTACTGTTGCAGGCATCGTCGTAGCGATAACAGGCTGGAGCTTCGAAGGCAATGCTTCAAGAGAATGGAAGCAGCCTGGGTTCTGGGTGGACGGCACAAAGAATGACCCTAGCAACTGGGCGGTCGCCATCTACGCTGGTCTTTGGGCTTATGATGGATGGGATAACGTGCGTCCACGAAACAACCAGATTTCTCATTGGGTTATGCTAACGTTCTCATAGGTCAATTATGTTGCAGGAGAGTTCATCAATCCGCANAAGGATCTCCCACGGACTATCCACACTTCGCTCTCGATGGTCGTCCTATCGTATTTGCTCGCTAATATCGCCTACTTCTTGGTCTTGCCGTTGGCCACCATCAATTCGTCCAATACAGTCGCTGTAGCGTTTGGCCGATTTGTTCTTGGACCAGTGGGCTCGTTCATCCTCGCACTGATCGTAGCTGGATCTTGCTTTGGCAGTCTGAATGCTACGACCTTCACGTCTGGGCGTCTTGTCTACGCTGCTGGTAAGGAAGGATATCTCCCTGCCTTCTTTGGACAGATTGGCTTTACCAAGGACAGTGTACGTCTTCCGTATCGTCCTTCTCGAGCTTCTCGTTTGACTCGTATCATCGCCGACGATGGTGTTGGATTATTTTACACGCCTGCATATGCCATGATGCTCAACGCTGCTTTGACTTTGATGTATGTCGTCGTTGGCAGCTTTGGAACCCTCACAACATTTTATGGAGTTGCTGGATACACCTTTTACTTTTTTACAGTTCTTGGTCTCATCGTTCTTCGTGTCAAGGAGCCAGACCTCGAGCGACCGTACAAATGTTGGATCACTACACCTATCATTTTCTGCTGCGTCAGCTTGTTCTTGCTCAGTAGAGCTGTGTTTGCGCAGCCATTGCAGACGTTATTGGTGGTGGCTTTCATCCTTGCTGGTTTCCCACTGTATTGGTGGAGGATGAAAGGCAGAAACAATGGTCAGGGAAGAAATCAAGAATTGGACTGGAAGTTCTGGGAACGATGGATACGACGATGATCGATTTAATGTATAGAAAGGACATGCATGACTTGGATATGGAAGATAGAAACCAAAATAATGACCACCCAACTCGAAATTGAAAGCACGTGACCGCGCGGCGGATGACGCTGCCTGAGACACGTCTTTCGGCTCAAAGCTCCAACTTATCGACCATCAATGTGGCGTTCTCTCCATCTTGATCACACAGCAGAATAATCAACATGCGTTTCCGAGCAGACATCAAGAATAACAATGTCTTTACCAGTAGGTGTTTGCAGAACTGGAGGATGTGCAAAATCTGACATCTTCGCAGANNGTTGACGGCCTCACTTGCATCATTAAATCCAGTCGCATGGGTCAAGTTAAGTAATGAGGATGTTCGATTTACCATAATTCCTGATCAAGGCTCGTCAGTCTGGGCGTACGTTCAATGCTTGAGCGTGTTAGTGGCTACATACTAATCCTTCGGTAGTGCGCTTGAAATCGTTAGTGAAGTGTTTCTTCAGAACTCAAGTTGTGATCGANNGACTAACCATCTGAAGGACCAAATGTTCGAAACATACACCATTCAATCCGCAGCAGAGAACAACACGATCAACCTGGAAGTGCCTCTGCAGAACCTTCATCGAGCGCTGAAGTCCGCTCAAAATGCCAGCCATGCATCAATTCGTCTCACCAAGAAGAATAATATCCCACTTCTGTCGTTGACGATCACAACCGCAATCTTCGCTGGCGCGCCGAAACCGACCTTCCAGAGCGGTCCATCTGACGAGTACGGCTACAACACAGGCTTTCCACCAGGCGATGAGTTCGGCAATCAATTCCCCACAGACGAAGTCGATGAACCTGTGTACGATCGTCCAAACAGAGAAACCATCATCACCCAGGACATACCTATCAAAGTGCTCGCTCCTGCCGTTGTCTCCGGCCTTCACGAGCCACGGTCAAGAGAACCCGACGTCCACATCGTGCTTCCACCTTTACTACAGCTCAAGTCCATCTCTGATCGCTTCACCAAACTCGCAGTCTCGAGCACAAAGACGCCGAATGGGTCAACTGGTTTTAGGGGCAGCACAACAAGGACACCAAAGTTAGAGTTGAGCGCAAACATGCATGGGTGTTTGAAGTTGAGGTTAAAGACCGATGCCATGGATATCAGCTCCAGATGGACTGGCCTTAGCAACCCAGAACTGGATCCTACAACTGTGGAAGGTGGTGAGGAGGGAATTGCACAACATCCGAGCACTCTAATGCGGACGCGAGGTGATCCTGAAGGTATCAGTGACGAAGGCTGGGCAGTGGTAAGATTAGATGGCAAGGATTGGGGCAAAGTGTTGGGTATCGGAAGAGTGGGTGGAAGAGTCATTGCTTGTAAGTCTGGTTTCTACTGTTCTTGAGGCATCTATACTGACACTTTTGCAGGTTTCTGTAATGAGCATGCATTGATATTGTATGTCTACTTGCCAAATGAAGAGGTTGATGTTGCAGAATCGGTGATTACATACTATATCAGTTCATACAGCCAATGATTGTATGACCAAAGTATGCTATCTCCTCTGCGCTTGTGCCTCATTTTGTGCTTGTAAAAATGCAAGATGTTCTCGTGTTCCTGTATAGTTCCACTGAGAGCCCCTGATTTCAACACTGAATCTTGGGCTCTCAGTGGACATCTCAAGTTTTGGGATACATCTCTGCATTTTAGCATGAGTTTATCTCTCTTGGTTCGCAGTCGGGAAGCAGCGATATTCTCGTTGTCGGGGTGCTGATGACGTGTACCCCTTTCCTGTCTTGGTGTGTTGGACCTGAGAACACAAAACCCAGGTCCGCGACGCTTGCTTCTCCTTTCTTCTTCTCCCACCACCGCAACCATTGATCAAGCATTGTGAGTTCATTCAGTACCATCAAACGGGCATCGCTAACAGGGAGACTAGTTAAACAACATCATCACCACCACCATTGATACTATTCGTATCATCATTATCACATTTGTATGTATCGCTGACCTGGGTCTTGCACTTCCATCAGCCTGTCGTCTGCACTTCCATCAGCCTGTCATCCGCCTTTCCATCAGCCTGCCATCAGTCCTACCATCAACCTGCTCACTGCTCTTGCATGGGCCTACCATCTGTCCTTTCATCAGCCTGCCATCAGCCCTTCCATCCATCTCATCAGTGCTACTGTGTCTTGATCATCGACTGACTTGCATCACAGTTACAATGCATATTTTCGCATTCTTCTTCTTCTTCCTCGGCGCTGCCTTCCTCTGCCTGGCCGCCCCGGTGCCCAAGCCGCCCTGGTCAATCCTCCGACGACAATCATCAACGAGTGCATCAATTGCACCATCGTCGAACAGGGGTCAGGCTCGCCCTCGTCAGGTCTGCACATGGTGGGTCCCGCCTCCTAGGACTGGTGGGTCCATGGGGTGATTGGCGCGTTGTTGGGAGTCGTGTTGGCTGGTGTGTCATCCGCCATTTGGTGGTGGCAGGGTGAGAGAATCAAGGGTTGGGGAGGCAAGGCAAGGAGGGCGGTTGCCGGGGTTCGTGATGGTGCTTTGGCGTGCCGTATCATTCTGCTCGCCATCAGAGCTGGTAATCTTTAAACAATCTATGATTTATATCTATATCTGTGCCCCTGTAATTACATGCGTGAGTGGCTATCCAAATGTGTCTACTCATTACCTAACATCGGTACATCTTCACAAGCTGTCGGCTCTCAGTGGTCTTCTCAGATCCTGGGACACAACTCTGCATTGTGACATGTATCTGCCCTTCTGGCTCGCTACTAGGAAGCAGCGATAGATGCCGATGACGTGGAAGCCATCTCCTGCTTTGGTCTGGGCCCAAGAGCTGAATTATGGATCTCCTCCAGCATTTATGTAAGACAACGTTCTCGACGAAATACACAATTGTCTTTCCGATACCGAGCTTCACCAGTGAGAGCAGTCACATTACGTCGTCTTCAAAAGCTCTCCTTGGACCGTCTAACACTTTCATTACTTTTGTGCATTTCTACAGGCGGTTGTCGATACAGAAGCTCGACTGAGAGCTGAGGTAGTTCTGCACGTGGCAAGGTATGACTGATTCTTGCGCTTATATCTTCTCACCATCGCGAGGCAGTTTTCTTCCCCTCTCCAATCTCTTCTCCACTCCTATCTCTTCTCCATACACAGGTTGACGCACAAAATTTATTTTGCGTAACAACAACATGGAGCATAACAGCAATACCAGATTCGCCACATCGCAGACGTGCTGTCATACTTGCCATCAGCCTGTTCCTATATCCAAATCGATGCACGCCGGAGTGTCTGCACCTGACGTTGACACCGACTCCCCGCCACAATACTCTACTCTTGATCATGGACCTGTGATACACTCAGTCCGTGACTGGAAGCACATCCGAGGTGAACATGGACCTTACGACAACCACTGGACCCGTGTGGTCAAAGACGGCGACCAGATCTGGAACCAGTATGGTATCAGCGAGCAAGAAAGCGACGGCAAGCCGGATATCTACTTCACTTGCAAGATGATGCCCCGCAAGAAGGGAAATGAGCGAGCAATACAAAGGTGTTGNCAAAAGGCAACCACATCTTTGAAATCGCATCGATCAGACAACTATCACAGATGCAGTTGCACCTTTGAGACGTTGCGGCAACCTGGAGGACCGCCTAGATGCTCTGTGAGGTGGCACCATCTGATCACCAGACTAACGAAGCATAATGTTGTTGGTTACATGCGCTTACACGATATGATATGTTCATGTGGATGCTTCGATGTCTCGACTACAGAAGACTCCACCGCCTCTGGCCAGTAGTCTGCTGGAAGCCTTTAGATGCATGAGCGACCTTTTCAGCATCCGAAAACCGCTAGCCCAATTGCCGTGGCAAACCAAGAGAAGGACATTGTTGTCGAACCAGCAGCTCCAGTCTTGACATCTTCGACCCCGTACCCTGAGCTGCAATCTACGGGATTCTCTCCTCGTTTGGCAGCAACTGTCATTGCAGGGTTGCATTCAAGCTCACTCTCCGTCATTGGCTCGTCGACATCGATCCAACGAGGGATGCCAAAAATGATGCCGTCGTCCAGGTATGGCGTGCACGCTTTCACCGCTGTCCCATTGGCTATATCGCCCTTACAGCCATCCAGCACGCCTTCCGTGCATATCCATGACGGGATGTAGATCATATATCCCCTGAAGCCTTGCCATCCATCTCCACGCAGGAACATTGAGCGGATCTTCGTGATCGCAGATCTGAATTTGTATCTGTGTTTGCTGGTTCTGCGATGCGCGCTACGTTCGATGAGTGCAAATACCGCATCCGCAGAGTCGGTGCTGATGTTGAGGGTTGGCTGTGCGGCGACCCAGCCTTCTAATACGAGATTTGGACACGCGGAGGTGGTGGATCTGCAGTCTATGCCTTTGCTGATGGGGTAGCCGTGGGTGCCTGCGTATTCGTCTGCGGGATGGGGCTCATCACCTTCCCAGGCCAGTGGTAAGGCTACATAGCTACTGCACGAAGATTGTGGCTGCAAAGTTGCAGCTAGTGCGCGACAAGACCAAAGTGTCAAGAGGCAGAGGCCTGTGGTGGAGAATCGCATGGTCTCGCTCTCGAGGCTGTTTTGAATGGTTGATTATTTACCTTGCAAGGACGAAGGCGAAAAGTGCTACCCAGAGATCCTTTTTGCGCTGTGACTGCTTACATATGCTTGACCTTTTCGTCTAAAGCAAATTTCACTGGCTTTGCCCAACCAGAATGGTTGCCAATTCCATAGCGCATCTAATTTTAAAATTGGTATGGAGATTCTTCTTGAGCCAAGAGCGCGACTTGACTCAACTAGGCGAAGAACGAAATATCGTTCTGTGAAAAATCGTCCCAATTTCGCATTTTTGGGTGCTCAGGCGTGAAAACTCATGAAAGACTGTACTGTCTGTTTGAAAAATTGAAAACATTTTCGAATGACAAGTAATTAATTCTGTGGGTGAAGTCACAGCATAAAAGGCAAACGAAAGATGAGAACCGGCTGAATCCCGGTTAAACTTTTGGTTGGAAGCTTTCTGTATCGTGGCAAAGCATTACCTAGACATTGCGCTTGAGGCACCGTATCTTTATCATTGAAGAGGCTCGCATCTCTTCAGATACATATAAAAGTGCGAAGCAGCTCAATAATATGCCTGTAAAGCGTCTGGGTCAGCAACCTCTGTAACCCCCACGCCTCCATCGCGGCAGGAAGTCCGTCATCGCAGGATTTCGCAAACTCATAACCTTCAAAGGTTGATCGACGCGAACTTCCCTCAGACGACAGCGGAGAGTCCTATCGATCTTTGACCCTTGGCTAGGCTGGTCTTGGGACTACCATTGTCACCGCACCCCTTGGCGACTTTGGCACTCTTCTGGAGATACTCGCTCAAATGCCAACCTCGATGTAACAGATACCTACGACAGAAGCCTCGGAAGCAATAGACATTTCGTATTGAAGCAAAGAACCGAGGCTCCTAGACTGAGTTTCAAGAGGCGTTTGGTGTATTCTGCATCTTGAGCTTGCCTTATCGCTGGGCAAACGCCAGACCGTGGCTTTTTGAACTTGCTTACCACACATCCTTGTCACGCGACGGCTTGGCTACTGTTGACAAGTGAGCAAAACAAATCATTTCAGTCATTAAACGAGCCTCGGTAGGTATTCGTGAAGGCAAGGGTCGCAGAGATTCAAGCACACGAAGAAATGAACTGAGAGCACGCCAACTACCGGTTTCTGGGGATTGGTCAGACATCTCGGATTGTCTATTGTCGTGTAAGACAGAAAAGCAATCTGGCAGGGAAGGGTGTCTTCCGAAAGCGCTGCAGCTGCTGTACGCTGACTGGGTCTACCTACTATAGATGAGAGAGACCTCTGATGTTTTGGCCTCGCATGTCAGCAACTCTCAACGTCTACGGAACATGCAACAACCATCCCCAGCTCGCCATCCATGGATAAATTTATCCTGAACTCCTCGAAACCAAAGCCATGACTTCCCTCGTCCGAGGCAACTTTCCTCATCTTCGTACATGTACGATCCGCCAAGGTGCACTTCTTCTGAGCCAAGTGTCTTGGTATCAATGGTTTGACCGTTGCTAAAGCAAAAGAACAAGTCCAGCCGTGTTTTTGCAAGCCATGATACAGCCAAGATGTCCTCCACATCGGACTACCCCGCTTCTCCACAGCCACCCAGCTGCATCCAAGGAAAGCATTGTGCTTCTTGGCGAACTCTTTGCTATCACAACCTCAACGTTCGATCACGCAGTTTTGTGTCACTGATTGAGATAGACAGAAAGGAGTGATTGATGCTGACCTTTGTGTGTGTATACACATTGCTGGCAGCACCCTTCAAGCTCAGGATTGGTAGAGTATGCATTGGAAAGGTCGAGGTATCGTTGATGTATTTCGCCGAAGGCATGGTCTAGGGCAGTCTAAATCTCTTGGGATCAACGTTGGCGTTTCGGGCGAACATGGCACGCCGCACAACGTGGGCGCTTGTCGCTCTCCCGCACCATTCTGAGCAAGAAACTTTACCTGCAAACCGCCTCCTTGCGGGGTACACAATACACAGGCTTGGCCATAGCCTTATATAAACACCGGTCGTTCTTCAGTGGGTCATCTTGCATCTCCTTGATCAATATCCTTAGTCCTATTCTTCGGGGTACTATATCAACCCACCCATCATGGCAAACCGAACCGATGANAAAGACCTCGCCATCGATCATCTCGAGACCGTCGATACTGCTGACGATGCACAATCAGACAAGATCAACGATGCACGTATTGAAGCCTTCACACCAGACGAGCAGAAGAAGATTATCCGCAGAATTGACCGTCGATTGGTTTTGACTCTGGGATTCCTCTACTGTGTCAGTTTGATGGACAGAACCAATACCGGCATTGCTGTTGTTGCTGGCATGGGCGTCGACCTTCTGCTCATCAAGGATCGTTATTCGATTATCGTTCTCGTCTTCTTCATTCCTTACATCTTCTTCCAACCTCCGGCGACTGTCATCCTTCGCAAGGTTGGCCCTCGTGCTTTCTTGCCGACCATCACTCTGTTTTGGGGAATCACCATGATTGGTATGGCCTTCGTAAAGACCTGGACAACACTGATTCCGCTACGCATCCTGTTGGGTATCTTTGAAGCTGGGTTCTTCCCTGGCTGTGCATACCTCCTGTCGACTTGGTACCCCAGATACATGCTTCAGAAGCGTAATGCTGTCTTTTACTTGATCGGCTCTCTATCATCTGCCTTTTCGGGTATTCTTGCCTATGGATTTAGTCAGATGGCTGGCCTGGGTTCTGGAGATGGACTTGGTGCTCACTATGGTCCCGACAAGCTCCACCCTAATCGTCCAAAGGGTATTGCTCCTGGTCTTGCTGGCTGGCGCTGGATCTTTATCATGCAGTAAGTGTCAAAGTCTGGATGTTTTTTTTGTAGTACACTAACGAGGCTTCAGNNGGGTCTCATCACCTGTATTCTCGCCATCGGTGCCTACTTCACCATTGTGAATTTCCCCGAGAAGGCTGCCCACGTCTCTTTCGGACCCAAGTTCTTGAATCAGAAGGAAGTCGACTTTGTCGTTGCGACAATCGAGAAGGATCGCCACGATGCCACCCTCGAAGAATTCAAAGTCGGCCAATATCTCAAGTGCGCCGCCGATCTCAAGGTATGGGCTTTTGCAGCCCTCTTCGGTCTCTCTACCACGGTGACCTATGCCATAGCGTACGTAAAGCAAGGGTACAGATAGCATGGGTGAACCGACATCAGATGGCCCCAATACCCATCAGGTGGCTTTTCGAGTGCTGTCTATACTATTCCTACGCAAGAAACATGCTAACTGTACCTTTATCTTTAGNNCTACTTCCTCCCGATAATATTAGAAGTAGGCATGGGCTTCAACAAGCGTGATGCACAATGCTTGATTGCACCCCCTTACGTCCTCGCCGCCATGGTCACTTTCGGTTTTGCCTGGTACGCAGACAAATACCGCATTCGCTCNTTCATCATCGCCAACGCCTGCTTGATGCTCATCGGCCTCGGCTGTCTCGGTTTCGTAAAGTCGGTTGCTGTCCGCTACTTTGGCGTTTTCCTCGCTACCGCCGGATGCAATGCCAATGTTCCTGCCGTACTTACCTGGCAAGCCAACAATATCCGCGGACAGTGGAAACGTGCACTTACCTCTGCTACCCTTGTCGGTGCTGGCGGCATTGGTGGAATCATTGGCTCGACGGTGTTCCGCACACAAGACCAGGCCACGGGCTACCGACCTGGTATGTATGCTACGCTGATTGCTAGTGCATTGATCATTGTTATATCGTTGCTGTTGGATCTCAAGTTCCACCGTGCCAACAAGAGAGCTGCTGCTGGAGGCAAGATTATCGAGGGACTCCATGGCTTCAGATATACTCTGTAGGGATACTGAAAACTCTCGAGGGTTGTCATAGGGGAAGCAAGTCATGACCATTTGATTTCTGTACATATCTAATTACAAATCTTTCCATCGTTTTTCACTTTCAAACAACTGTCTTGAGGTTCTTCAGATACCAAAAGGTGATTGGTGGTCTTGGGCATTATCCCTTGGTAGTCATCAAAAACCTGATCTCTGGTGTGGTCATTGCGTTCCTTTCTTCTTGTTCGTTGCAAACATGTCTCGCTCTCGTAGTAGAGGAGTGGGTGATAGATCTCTATCTCCCTATGATTAGTGCGACTCACTATAGACAATGTGTTTACCTTGGTGAAGAAAAAATCGGCGCCAGGCAAAGTTTAGTCTAGCTAACTAAGATGTATTACGTGCCTTACAACTTTAAGAAAAGCGACGAGAATGGTGTTATCGTCAACGAAAATTCAACTTCGGATATACGAATCAGAACATTAGCTAAGTATAAGCACAACTGCAATCCTGCAATGCACATCTAGCTGAAAAGAAAGGAGAGAATCCTACGGACTGTCAGTCGGATCTAGAGGCTAGTGATACAAACAGTGGAGCTGCGTCTTTAAAGAACATTGGTTTTTTCTTTATCGTGGCATTGTTTGGGCTAGCGTCCGTGCTGTTTTAACAAAGGCTTTGATGTATCAAGAGACTTCTAACACAGTTTAAGCGGGTATTGCTGTTTGTGGTTAAGGCTAATTTTGATATAGAGCATAATGAACATTTCCTACCTTGCCAAGTTCCATAAAACATATATAACCACATATACACGCTTCCGTGCCTGAACGTTCTTGTATACGGTATCAAACTCGTTGGGTATCCAAGCTGCTCCAAAGCATTCTTGGAAAACATGAAACGTGATCAATATGGCAACCCCTTCATTCAAATTCAAACATTGCCTCATGTTGGAGAGGGTTGGCTGTGTCTCTCGTCATCGTACTCTGGAGGTCGATCGTACACTGGCAGAATCTCATCGTCAGACTCGTCGTCGACTATGGGGATTTGGCCCGGCATAGATTCGGCTGTGGATCTTCTTCTAGGTCCTGGACGAGTCGGGGTCATAGCATCATCTGGGCGAGCGGGTGGTAACCGATCGTCTGCAGTCCACGAGATGTTTGAGTTGGTGCGCACAAGGCGGTTCGTAGGAGGCGGAGGAATGGGACTGGCTCGGAAGGGAGGTGAAGGATCCATCGATGTGTAGGCGCCATATTGAGAGGAGAAGAGTGGTCTGGGTTCTGGTTCCGAAATCGGTGGGAGGTATGGAGGCATGGTGTTATATATGTTTGGATGCGAGGGGACGTATGCAGAAGTAGATCTCCATGTGTAGGGCTGTTGAACCGCGAACGTCGTGTCAAGAGGAGCCGGTTGACGTGAGCTGTACTGACGTGACCAATTGTACGCAGGACTTGGAGGAGACTGTGGGCTCGAAGGTTGGTTGTCTTGAGGGTTTGTTAGATGTGGACTTGATCGATGAGCGCGGGCGCGTTGGTGTGGAGCACGCTGCGGACCATGGGTAACGTTCAGGTCCAATCGAATGTGTACGGTGTCACCTCCGATCCTGAGGTTCGAGAAGGATTCTGGTGAGATTGCCACTAGGATGAACATGACGAAAAGGACTGGGACAGCGGCGATGGCAATGCAGATAGTGATGCAGGTTGCAACAAAGACAAGAACACTTCGGGACAAAACCATCCAGAACATGGATGGTTGAGGAGGATTGTCAGCCATTGTTGCCAGTGTTGTCGAAGAATATGGGTGGAGCATTTGTATAAGTAGTCGAACGTGCGCTGTCAGGCGAGCTCACACGTCAGCTCCATGTTGGTTATGACAGGCTTCAGCGTGGCCCAAAGCAGGCTTGCGTAGAGTCATGTTGCAAGCTTTGAAAAGATGTCAAATCATAAGGCAGACGCAACGAATCTCTAACGACGTCGTGGCAGGCCATGTGATAGACTGACGACTTCAATGCTGGCCTCGGAGTTCGGCGACAGTGTCATGGTTTAGAAGACATCCTCGGTGACACGACGACCGTACCAGGTAGAGAACTGATCTTCTCCTTGAGCATGTTCTTCGGCAGAGTACATGAAGAAGTTTGTCAACTTGGTCGAATCTTCGTCTTCTGCGACAGGCCAGTTCACCTTGGCAGCAGGCTTGACATCGAGCAAGTCTTTTGCAGTTGACCAACTGAAACGGCATTCGTTGCCCCAGCCGAACAAGGGATCCATGTTCTTCTTCAACCAAGTAGAGCAGCGCGCGTCACTGGGATAACCAGACCCCCATCCTTCGGCAGGCTGTTCAGGCACATGCTTCTCATTGGAAACAGCATCCTTGAAGACGTGATAACAGACGTCGAGAGCAGCATCTCTTGTAACCTTTGCGCAAACACTGGCGGCGGACACACAGGGATAGAGAGAGTCAGCTTNTTTGGCGACAGTGATTTTGACGGTTGGAAAGATACGCTCGAGCTTCTTCTGGTATGCAGCTGGTTGACCGATAGTATCAATGTAGATCTCTTTCAGATTGACGCCGAGAGCGAAGACGGCATGGATCAAGTCGATGGTGGCATCCATGGCTTGAGCGTTGAGGTTGTATGTAGCTGTGGGCCTCATTTGAGCCGAAGAAATGTCCTTGGCTGACATGACACGCGTGGCCCATCCGGAAGACTCATACAAGTCAGTGCCAGGAGTGCAGATGGCCTGCATCAGAGAAGATCGGACAGCGGGCGACAAGACCTTGGAGTCATCAAAGTGGTGAGTGTCGGCCAGCAGAGAGCGATGCATGGACAGAGGTAAATAATAGAGACCGTAGACCATTGGGCCAAGCACAGGACCTCTACCAGCTTCGTCAACACCCAGAACACACTCTATAGACATGTCGTCTACGAGCATCTTGGGTACTGGTGAGATGTAAGAGTATGAGTCTCCCTTGGCGATGTTGACCTTGTCGATTGAAGGGGCCATAAAGACATGTTCAGGAGGCGTTTCGAGGGAGATGTCTTGCTCCTGAGAGTCTGCAAGCTGATCCATTGGTTCATCCATGATATCTATGCGTTTGATAAGATATGTTTGATATTGGTCGATTGTGTGTTGTGTGAGAAAAACACACGAGTGGCAGAGTTGAGGGAGACGCGAGCAGACGCGACGCGGGATTGCGGAGAAGACGATCTAGCCGAAAAGGGAAGTCATGAGCTTGGCGTGTTGTTTACAGCATGCGAAGCTTCGACGGGTCCAAAACAAACCACCAACTCGCCCAGCGACCACCTACCAACCTCATTGTTTCCCCCGGCGCATTTGTCGCATTCTCTCAGGAACACGCGCGACAAGATGCCTGCTCAACCCGCTGCCTCACACACGCCGCAGCGTCAATCGCGACGACACAACAACTTCAAGGAAAACATCAACTTCTTCGAGCCCGGCAAGCAGGGCCGTCGCACTGGTCTGGTCTTGAAGGATACTGGCGTACGCGATGAACACGGCTTTGAGCCCGTCAGTGGCATCTTCTCGTCACCACAGCCTACACCGCAGCAGCCCTCGCCGCAACGCTCGCCCCTGCGCTCACCTCAGCGCCTCTCGGCAAATGGTAACGACACGGCGCTAGGATCGTCGTCTATGGTTCTGCAAGACAGTACTGAACGAACCATATCCTGGATCTTCATCTAGACCACATGCTGACCCATGCTCCAGGCNTCTATTCCAGAAATCTCAGAAACTCTCCACCTACGCAAGACTCCTCATCTACCACCAAAAGCTCAGACTCCACGCCGCTCAAACATCCAAGGATCGCCCATTCGTCACTCTGCTATCAAGCCAGTAGACACCCAATCCTCCNNCCCTCAAGATGCGCCCTCAACAACTCGCACGAGCAGGCGTCTCGACTTTGCGAACAAGCAGCAGAACAAACCACAGCCGACCGTCGCTCCCAGCCCGAGTCCTTTCAAACCGCGATTCGGAAAGTCGCGTAAGAGCGTTTTCGACGTCCAACAATCTCCCGGCAGGCCTGAATACAACCAGCAAGACGACGACGACCTCGACCATTCCGTTCAGCAAGTTCAAGATGCCGTCAATGAATTGTTCCAAGACGATCCTCCAAAAGATGTGCTCTCCTCTGCGCGCAGCACCAGATCGCAAAAGCGCAAACTCTCAAATCCTTCCTCGCCCGTTGCCATTCAACCCTCTTCAGTGCCAAAATCGAATAAACGCCAAAGGCCGAGCCTCGAACACCGCGAAGACCACACAACCGTAGACCAGACGATCGCAAATCAGACGACGATGGATCAGACAATTGCAGACCAGACGACGGTGACAATTGCAGACCAGACGACGGTGGACCAAACAACCGTGGATCAGACCATTGCGGACCAGACAGGATTGCCTGATCAGACAGACGCCGAATACACGTACATTACGGTAGATCAGACGGAGATGCCCGACCAAACAGAGTTACCCGACCAGACAGAGCTTCCAGAGCAGACTGAGTTACCTGATCAGACCGAAGTGGTTGATCAGACCGAAGCGCCAGAAGAGACGGGAATTGAATACACCTGGATTGACCAAACGGTGCTCGATCACACAACCTACGACCAGACAGCCATGGACGATACGAATATCGAGCAAACGGTTGCAGATGAGACAGCCATGGACAAGACGGAAGCAACACATATCTATGACCACACAATGGCGGATGCGGATATGGCCGACGAAGACATTGCCGAAACAACAGAGCTGCCCGATGAGCCCGTCATCGAGACATCTGCNCCTCTCTCAACCAAGAAGAAGAGACCGTTCGAAGTACGGAAAGACGCCCAAGATCAGCCTCACGAGGACGATGCGAGCGATCACGATCAAGAACCCGACCTATCCTCACCTTCGCAAGCCGCCCAAGATTTCATACCACCACCAGAGGACCATGTACAAGACGAATCCGAACACGAGCCGCAACCAGAACCGACCAAGAAGCGAGGTCGTCCCAAGGCTGCTGCGAAGACCAAAGGAAAGAAGAAACAACAATCTGCCAGTGTGGAGCCACGTCCAAGAGCATCAAGAGATAGTGAATCTGTTGGCCCTGATGGTCTTAAGAAACCTGGCCCCAGATCTATCGTCAATCTGCGTGCAGGCACGCCTGCTGATGACGAAGGTGCCAAAACTACAAGATCTGGTCGTACTTCGATCAAGCCTCTGAAATACTGGTGCAACGAGACATATATTTGGAATCAGGGCGAGGTTGAGGGTATTGTTCGCGCTGAACCCGTCGAGCAACCAAAACCAAAGCGCGCTGCCCCATCGAGGAAGAAGGGAACGCGATTGGGCCCCATTAAAGAAGATGAAGAGGAGGACGAAGATTTATTGCCAGAAGCTTGGGAGCAGGAACTGGGTGTTATCAACAGCACAGTTCGAGCTTGGGATCCCAGGACTGGTACTGGCAGTACTGAAGTTGAAGGAGTGAACGAGGGTATGTTACTTTCTTGCTCTCTATCGAAGTTACACTGANNCGAGGTCGAAGATATCGCATTCGCTGCTACAGCTATCAAAACGCAAGACGTTCACGGCTCGTCGTTCCGCTACGCGAAGGTTATGACCCTTCCGTTCTTCGGATCAGGCATGGTTGAGATACCGCCTGACGGCTACAAACGCGTGAAGAACTCGCGCAAAATGCAGATGGTATTTTTCGTGCATGAAGGAAAGGTCACAGTTGATATTGAAGACGTCCAATTTGGTATGACCAAAGGTGGTGTCTGGCAAGTCCCCAGGGGTGAGTTTCTGCTTTTCCTCCCTCTCTTCTTTTACCTCTTCACCCTTCTGTTTGCGTTGTTCTTCCCCTCTTGTTTTCCATTCGTGAAGGAACAGCGGTCAGAGGTTCACCTTCACCGCAATATGCATAGCGAGCAGCTCGCCAAGTTCTTCATGCACATTCAACACACACCGACTATGTCGAGGTGACACCCGGGACCACTTGCCTCCACGACACACAAACCGACGTCAAAATAGAGTCTTTTCGGTGGCACGGTCGACGGTTCACCCCTGAACCGTGCCACGTCAAAGGAACCTGGGGACGAACCATGGTATTGGGACACTCATAACCCTTGAAGATCGACTTTACGGAAAGAACACTCTGTTGCGAACGCTTGTGTTACATTCGATGACTCGAGGCATCTGCTGTTGTGTCACTTTCCTGTTTTGGTTTTCGCTATCACTGTCCTTTGCCGGCTTTTGTTCTTGTGTAACCTTGGTTTGAAGCATTGAAGCTGACTGATCTTTTGTGTTTGTGCAGGAAACAACTACTCCATTATGAATGAGAGTTCTACCCACCCGGCCAAAATCTTCTTTGCACAAGGATGCGAGATTCAGGCTTCGTCTAGTCAGTTTGAAGATATGGGAAGGGACTCGCAATCTTGAGGTCGGTCCTTCCTTCTTGTATTTGGCTTCGGGTCACTTGCAACTTTTGACAGCTTTGTATCATTCTTGCCTCTTCTCTTTCGGACTTGCGTCGTTCTTGCCTCTTTTCTTGAATGAGGATTTGGTCTTTTGAGGCCCACCTCTTTTCTGGGTTTGGAGTTTTCTTTGGTCGGAGGTTTTGCACTTTTGCAACTTTCTTTGGGAAGGGGTGGTTTGTTTCTCTTCTTGTCGATATCCTGTCTTTGTTTTGACTTAATGAATCCAGCCATGATAAGTCTTTCCCCTGTTCAGTTCTTTCGAGGCATCCCTTCCGTGATATCGTCCGTCTTAACTGTGTGGCCATGTGCCGAACATGCGCTGGCTGTTTGGTTTTTCTTATTAGCAGTGTTCATCCACTAGGCTATAAGGGTTCGAAAGTGATGGCAAGAGGACAATAACCGACGCTTCTCCTGAACTCGGGCAGCTTGAAAGGTGGGCTTTGGTGCGCTACCTACATCTTAAATCTGTTGTATATCTATCTCCATTGTAGAGTTTTGATTGCGTCTGTTCAGTACAGAGACTTAGTAGTTGATGTCCGTTAGGAGTGAGTGGTGGTGGTATCTTTTTCGCCCTCCCCCTAAAGGTCTTAGGTTCCGTTGGAGGGGTTTTGAAGAGCTTTGGCCTTGGTTGGACTAGATGGGACATCCATACTAGCTGCATGCTAAAAGCAGTAACCAGGGAAAGATTCAATGCAATGCCAAACAATGCTGTTCTTCTCCTTGATATCTGTTTTCTAAGCTATAAAGGTAATAAGGTCAAGGTCCATCGTTAGCGGCAACCTGATACAACTCACAATCATAAGTTCTGGTTTTCTGCTAGGGTTTCACTCTTGGATTCCAACTGTTGATTCGTGGGCTGATGCCTGTTACTTCTATTCTGACACTTGTTAGTGCAGGCTCGGACACAACTAATGTTCTCAAGACAAGTGACTTGTGTGTGTCGAACACTAGAGATAATCTCAGCTTGACCGCTATAATTTTTAGTACCAAGTTGGTATCATATGCTGGTTTGAGCGCATCAGTGTCAGCGTCCAAGGTCCTTAGGCTTAGGTTGATTGATTTGGTATTGTCGAGCTCCAACCAGGGTGATTACTGGCATGAACTGAATCCACTTCGCAGCGAGCGGCTTCTGGGGTGTTTCTTCTTGTATTTTGTCTGAGGACGTCAAAGATGCTAAGAGAGGGTCGTGTCATCTGGATGTGGATGTGTGACGTGGGTGCGAGTAGCCATTAGTAGATCGTGCTCTTCGTGGCTTTTGAATGTAAGGATCGAGAGGTGTGCATTATCTGGGCGCTAGGTGCCAGATGGAGAAAATGAGGTAGAAAAATGATATGTTGGCCATCACGACGATGTCCTAAAGTGTCATTTGACGTATATTGCAACTAATGATCGGATCGAAACAGATACAGTTGTGATGTAGTTTGTGATCGAACGTGCAAGAAGGAGAAGCGAGATATTGGATGCGAGATGTATTGAATGAAGTCCGGTCATAATTTGGAAAGAACTAACCAATGCGTTCTTTTACCTTTGAGAGGATTCGGGTTTGTCAAAACAACTCATTATATATCGTGAACAAAGACTGCTGCTTCGTGTACGCAAAAGGATAGCTGAGTGCTGAAGTGAAAACACAGCTCTACCCTCACTATGTGCTAAAGTACGTAACGCACTGTGGCAATCGCAATACACAATACCCTCATGAAAAGAACAGTTTCCGCTGATGAGCGACGTCTTGTCAGCTCTCCAGATGCGCGTCTGCTTTTGAAGACAATTGTGCTTTTCCAGAGGAACGATCCTACTCTCTACCGGAGTGACTTACTCTCGGACTGTCCAAAAGGCACAAGGAGTCTAGACCTCTCTACTTGACAAACGTAACTCGAGCAAGATCCATCGTTCAAGTAGGATTGGCACATCACAACATCTGCAAGGAATGGCTCGCTGCATTCCAGAATCCTAGATTCCTTTCTGCAGCCGCAACGACCAAAAGACGTTTGATTCTTTCCCTACCCCCTGCTTTGAACACATCTTACGACCAAAGCCCTATCGAGTCGCTGACTCGAGGTGGAGTTGCCTCCGAGGAGCTGAGATTTTCGATGGCAGGATTACCGTTTTGCCGAGCAAGCAATGGTAGATGTATCATACGCTTGCAAGCGGGCTAACAGACCTGGTGAGTCGAAAAGAAGAGGTTAAGAAGGCGTGCTGTCTCTCTTGCTTGTGAGAGGTTCGATCGTGTGCTTCGAGCTCTTGCCAGAAGTGGGTTTTGAGAATGTGTTTGACGAGAACTTGTGTCACTCTCTTGCTACTCGGATCCGAGTAGTGATAAGGACTGCTGTGTTTGTCATTGGATGCGGTCGTTGGCCTTCAAGGATTACTTGCGGATGCTTGTAACTTGGATTTCGGAAGCGTTCCATTGACCTGCTGATCTTGCTCGGTCACAAAAGCGTGTTGGTTGCCAATAGACAGACAGACCGGTGCTTCATCATTAAAGCGACGACGGAATTCTCCTTGGTTTTTCAGAGTACCATAAGCTTGATTTCTGTTTCATGGATCTGCGAGTCTCCACATTTAAGACAAGTGAGGATGATAAGAGGTATTGGCGAGTTGGACAAGTCAGGGTGGCCTGAGAGGGACGATTTAGTAGCAAACCGTCCGGTAGTCAGTTGAGACACGCAAAGGATTGACACACCCAGGCCCACGGTCTACGCAAAGACCCCATTCGAAACCACGTCCATCAGGGTCTTTGTGACTCATGCGTGGACCTTTCCATCTGGTATCTATAAGGAATCGAGAGTAAGTCAAGTGCCGAAGTCGTGCTTGCCGTCCCGAAGTCGTGCTCACTGCTGCCGTCTGAGACATCATTGAATCTTGCTTTGCATTTCCTCTTTTTCGTTGATGGCAAAATTGCCAATCTCAATGCTCAATAGCCTTTCTCCGCACGATTCAGATGGCGTAGTAGAAGGCTGACTTGTCTTCTTCTTCGAGGGCATGCCAATAGGCACGGTTTCGGAGCAAAGGAGAAACATAGAATCTCTGACTCGATTGGAAACCATCAAGACGTCGTGCCTTGCTTCGCTATCTCTGCCGTGTGTTTTGAGTTGCTTACTTTGAGTCTGTTGCATATTTGGAAACCTTGAGTAATCGTGGTATTCGTGAACCAGAACGTATCGTGGTCCTTCCAGATCCCTGCAACTCTATCGCGCATGGAACGAGATCCCACCGTGAAAAAGCCGCTCCATTAGTTCTCATTGGCAAAAAAAAAGTCTGTGTAAGTTGCAAGTTGAAGATTTTGGTGGTTTGTGCCAAGTCCGGGTTGATCGATATGATATCTTAGGGTTTTCGAGTCAGACACTTATACAGTGATGTGCAAGCCTGACATCGAAAATTCGATATCAGGCCCTTGTCCCGTTCGCTGCAACCAAACCCATGAACACTTTATCCACTGTCAAACGTTAGTTCGGCACACCTTTAAAATGTCCGCGGTGAACATGCTTCTCTTTGTCCCAAAAGTCTACCTTTGTAGGCTTGTCCTCCGCTACTTACCGCTGGCGCGCGGGCGGTAATGTTAGACGACGAAGACCAGCGTCACAAAGAACGACAAAAGCCAATCTTGTGATCTTGTCCCCAAAAAAAGCAATAAAAGTCGACAGGCGGGAAACGTTCTCAACTCTGTCGTCGTTCTCGCGAAAGAGACTTTCCGCATGACCTGTGAAACGCGAGCGACTCGAACAAGAAAGCAGCAGAAGCTTGACGAGTCAAGGCCGACAGACCGAACTCTAGAGCTGGGATACGCGGACGCGAGTGCAGATCGTCGGGCGCTCTCCGGAGCGGGATCACCAGACCAAGACTTATCCGCAAGTTGGAGAGTGAGTGGGGGGCAATCAACCGTTCCGTCTCCGCATGATGAGGCTCAGCTCTGACGATGGTTTTGCTTGAGTGAGCGACAAAATACCGGTTCTGATTGGCTGAAAGAAAGAGGTTGCAGGCGACGGGAAGGAGTGGTTCGCGCGAGGCAAACCATCAGAGGGTACGAGACCGAACTTAAACCCAAATGCGACCACACGTCCGTACTGCTGAGTTACATGCAGCATATAAGCCCTAGCTGCAAGACAATATCGAAATCAGGATATGTACAATAACGGTCGGGAAGAGACAACGACGAAAGTGAATGCAAACTAAGCTTCTAAGAGACATCGCGATGAGTTGGAGAAGGATTTCGAGGCTGGCAGGAACATCTTGGCTTGGCGTCGACAACGTTTCGGTCAAAATCCGCTCTGCCGTGTAAGAGAGGGTCGGAGGGCTTTGCCCTACGTGTTTCGCAACGTGATGCATACGTAGACATGCAGCAGAAGTCGAACAGTCGTTACAGTTCGTCGCGTGAACGATTACTGAATCTCATCGATCGTAATGAGGCGTACATCGTGGTCCATATAAGCGACACGCGCCGACGGCGATGCATCCTACTCGTATAGATTGACCGATATGTGAGTGCCACTCCTCCGAGCGACTCCATGAATCTTGAGTTCCGACCGTTCATCATGTCTTTGGTCCAACACCAAGTCTCTGGCAGGAGGCAGGTGTACGTACTGATGTACTTACCCTCTGCTCAACGTAGTTCAAACCGCACACTACATACACCTACGAGAAATGTAGTGAGATGCGGCCGAGCACTCAATACTGACCTTGTTAGCCGATAGTCAAAAGGAGTCTGTACGAATACGTTCTCTGCTATGCTTATGACCGAATCTAGGGTTATGAACATTTCCCTTCTCATCGGACGCCATTCTATCATCATCATGCAGTGGCAAAGCTCGCTGCGACGCTGGTTTCTGACACCCATTTCTCGGAAACAGCACAGTAACTTTCAAACTTCTGTTCGTTGTTCCCAACAGGCACTTCGTGGAAGTACATCTGGCCAGATTCGAATTGCGAGCAGAAAACAGAGGATGTCCATGAACAGGCAAAGGTATGCGCCAGGGGTTTGGGGTTTTGAGAATGTCCAACTCGACCGAGTTCGACCGCTCCGAGCGCTAGTTACTGTTTTGGGTCCATGGTAAGAGTCGACTTTCTATCAACTTAGTAAAACAAGAAGTCAGCTATCGTCGTTGAAGCCGCCACGGATTCAACGGTATAACACGTAATCTACTGATTATAGCTGTAGGGCTTCTTTGTGGAGATAGGTGGCTGGTATGAAGGGATATCACCCAGTAGCTCGCAGCTCGGACACAACTCCGACGAGGACGCATCAAGGACTGGCCATACCGTTACGAAAGTCTGCGTGACATATGGATCAATCAGCTTAAAGTGTTTAGAACATCCCCTCATGGATGTCGAGAGTTAGGCTAGTCAGAAGATGATACGGCCTGTGAATCATTCATCAATAACTGTGTAGCGCAATGTAGAAGCGAGGTCGGCAGAAAATCCGAATCTGTGCCCACGCATCTTGTGATCAGAGCGGACAATGCGATTTCCATCTGAGCCCATTGTTCGCGCGTCATGTCTACTGTAGTACAGTTGAAGGCCTGAGTTGCGTAAACTTAGTATCGAGCCTAGTACATTCAGATTCATGAGTTGCCTCTTCACGATTGAGAGCATTCGCAAGATCCCAATCCCAGAGCACGCGGAGAGCCACCCCCATGACCTAGGGCATGCGACGGTCTCGAACCGGCCTCCGAAAACGGGTGCCGACTTGGCGTTGTAGCAACACCGAACTCGACCGCTGGAATCGAAGGCAGTACTGTCCAACAGCAAAGTATTCGATAATCTGCTGGAAGTGTCCTCGAGTGGATTGATCCCGACGACATTGTGGCTGCGCGGTCTGTAGCGTTGTCTTTTGCTCGTCGTTTAAGGTTGACCTGGGTGGCTTCCACGAGGGATCGTAGGGCTGCGCACCTTGTGGGTTGTAACTGTTGGTAAAGCCGAAGATGACACGGTCCAGCTGCTGCAACAACCACTTGGGGAGTATTTGAGTTTTCAGCGGCCTAATTCACTGCCAAACGTAATAGAATGTGCTGCGGGTGAACATAAGGCCTGCGTATTACTGCCAAGTAGAAGATCGTGGAAGCTTAAGACCAACTCAAGAAACCTAGATATACCTGAATTCACGAAGTCGTGTCAGTCGATTGTACAACATGGTAAAGTTTGACTCGTAGAGTCTGGACGGACGTCGCATCATTCATGGCGACATCTGTTAGCAGCAGAAAGCGGTGAGTCTTGGCAGAGAGCTACACGGGACATGTTGCTAGTTAACGCTGCGAGATTGCAAAGAACGAGTTTGGCGAACTTGGGCCCCCTTGACCCGGCAGTGGGACGTTGACCGGCTGCAGGCGGGTAGGACTTTCGCATCTGGAGGTTCGCTTTCGCGAATGTGCCTCCACTTGGACGATTTGCACAGTCCCAAAGCAGAGTCCGCTAAATTGCATGATGGCTAGGATCTGAGCGTTGCTTGGGAGTTGTGTACATCGCGAGGGGTCAAGAGGTCGAGGACGGGACATGAGTCGTGAAATGCAGCTCAAGTTCCTTTCGCCCAAGGGGTATGGATTCGCGGCCATCGAGGTTCGAGACAAAACAAGAGTTGTTGCGAACGTAGAATCCTTCGACTTCCACGTGTAGGTTGACATGAGGCGCAAACCTACCTTAGCCACGTTCAGCTCGCGCCACGACTCGCAACACAAAGGACAGAAATTTTGTGTGCAAGTACGTCCAACGTTTACATGATGACAGCGGCATGGCGGTTCCTCTCCGAGGAGCATTTTCCTTCGCATCCACATGCGAGCGACGCCATCGCACTTGCGTTTCAGCCAATTGCCAATGTTCAGGTCTCCTACACAATTTTTCCACGTGTGAGCACGGCCGAGTGTGTATTTGGAACATGACTCCGTTACTGAGAGACACAGAACTGGTCTGTATGTCACTGTATCTATCGTGAGTCGTGGGCATTGATCAATGACTACAAAGTCGAAACACTCGCGTCATCGAAAGTTCACGCCCTCGCCTGTACTTGCGTGATCAGACTTCGGCTCATGGATATCTCTTTCTATCAGCGGACCGAGATCTGCTCCAACGTTGCTCACTGCAAGATTCCAGATGTAACTTACCATTGAAGACGTATGAACAAGAGATACGGTCCAAAAGTCTCTTGAGTACAGTGCATACACTGTACCACAGCTGTTTGCTTTGTCTGATGCTCTATGTAGATTGTGTGCTGACTAGAGCTGAACGGAGTATAGACTGTGTGGCTTCTACACAACCTTCACCTTTGATCTTTGATCTTCTGAGCTTTAGAACTCTTCGTCGCTGCCAAATTCATCGATGACATCAAAGTCGCCAACCTCAACCCTCTCTGGTCGTACTATGACACCGCAGTTGGCTCCACATTGGAAGTAGCGGGTGCCCTTGACCATGCCATCGTTCTTTCCAGTAGGTTCATCCAGTGCGATGCCAACCCAAGCACCAATTCCAGGAATTTCAGGGACAGGTCCAATGTACTTTACAGTGCCGCGACGTTCGAGTGAGCTCTCACTTTGATTCGCAGCCAGTAGACGACAGCGAACGTCCAATTTGATCCCTGTGGTGACCGTTAGCAAGCTCTAATCAATACGCGAGGGCTGTTAGAAGTACCTCTCTCTTCAATTTCTCTTTCGATACCGGCGACCTTTTGTTGCTCTATGCTTGGAGCATTAGGATCAAACCGGCCCAGCTGATGTGTCTTCTTCCAGTGCAGTACGCTGTCAGTCCGGCTCTCGTACTCGTCTGCTGGCATCTCGTATTTTTCAACTGCCGATACATCTGTGTAGTTGGCACGTAATCCTGCTGGTCGAGTATCTACTATCTTGACAAATTGTCAGTAGGGATCAACAATATCGTTGTCGTTAGTGGCCGGTGTTGGTGCATTTCATGTTGACCGGACTCTACTCCGCCACATCCGTTGTAGTACTGCGTGGAGAAAGTCCGCGATCCAGACCATGTAGACGCGGCTGCCAGTAGTAGCAGTGAGCAGATTCCATTGAACCAGTTCAGTATCGTGCAAGAACGGACGAGTACCTGAACGTTCTGGGAAATGCTGAATAGGCGGCTCAAGACTAAAAGCGACGGAGGCTCACCGGACCATGAGTACGACCAAGCCCTCGGATCAGAGGAGGCCATGTCATGGACCTGCTACGGCAGTGCATACTCGGCAGATGTGGTGAAGCAGTGAAAATGATTACTCACATGGAGTTCTGCGTAGCTTTGCAGATTGAATGCACCAAGTTGTGTGTTCTCTTCATCAACCGTCTGCAAGTTCTGATCGGGCCAGGATGCGACCTTCAAGGTCAATCTTTGTGAGGAAGCCGGAATGCCTGTTATGGGTTCCAAGCGTGATTTCAGCTGAGCTATGGTCCAAGCAGGTGAGATACGTCGTTCTGAACGGGCGTTCTCCGAATTGATCAGAAGAGGCACATCCGCCGTTGCTGCCATCTTCTCGGGCTGAATTGGCGTGTCAGGTTTGATTCGACGTGAACAGGCCCCGGATGCAGTGCTGACGAAGAACACTTGGAGCAGAGTCCAATGACGGTCTTGCTACGGATGAGAGTGCCGATAAGCGAGAGCAAGAGTCGAGCGGTGGGGGAAAAACTGCGCACTACCTGATGGACGTTGGGATAGTTGGGTTGATTCAACTCCGCGCAAAGAGTCTGGACTGAGGCTGATTCGAACTGCCCAGCGAAACGCTTTGAAGCAACTTGTTTTCACAGCTTTTGGCAGCTTTGGCAGCTTTGGCCGCTTTGGCGCAGTTCAGTCTTGGCAGCTTCGAGACAGCACTAACTTCTGTCACGTCCGTTCAAGCGGTCTCGTGGTCAAAATCCGCGCGAGCTGAGGGCCAACATGACCCGTAGCCCCTTGATTCTTCTGGCGGCTCTTTTTTCCTCAAAATGGCATAGTCGGAACACCCAGTACCTGGAACATAACTTGCTGTGCTGTCGATGGATAAGCACAGTCTGACCTTGACTGTCTATCAAGACAAGGCCTCGTCATAGTCGGCTGCTGTCCGATTTGATGGTTCTGCTTTCGTTCACTACGTGTAACAGCATCAGTGTCGAAGGATTCTGGCATGGATGTGTTTGGCCATATTGGTCATATTGACAAAGGCTTGACCGCGAACCGAAACATCTCGGAAGTCTGTGCCAAGGTTTGTGCACTGAACAGCGGCTCCGTGCTTTGAATCCGTCCAGAAATGCCAGTCATGACTTGCATCGAACACATGCAGTCCTATATTAGTTGGGGTCTACAAGGCTGCAAGCACACCGCTACGAAGCTTGCATGTACGCGCAGCTTTATCCAACACGCTCGTCTGCCACAGACACGCATCTTGCATGTTTCCCTTGCTGGTGGCCTCGCGCCCGGATTGCACATCTGTTACAGCACTGCTACACATTCGAGTCGTGGGATACTTGTTGCGTCAGAAAGCGTCAAAACTCGATGGTCAAAGTCCCAGCTTCCTTTCCTTTTCTGAACCCGTCTTCTACAGCTGCCATCGGCCGATACAAGCGATTACAAAAGTCTCCCAATACTTATAAGCTCTTATGTCCGAAGCTCCGGCTGAGACCATAACGGGACATGGCTCGGCTACGATTGTCGTGCGATGACATGCAAAATGACAAACCTCCGCAGATCATGGTTCGTCTTGAGCCTCGACCCCTGTCCTTATTATGGCTCCATGCGGCTCTCCTCGCACTGCGCTCACCGCTCATGGGCAACTGCATGATCTCTCAGGACGGCAGGACAGCACTTGTCACCATACTGGCAACTTTGCAATTTCGATTGTCCGGATTACCAGCAAGCTGGAACGGCTGTAGATAAGACGTTGAGGTATCTGCGCAGAATATCCACTGTAGAAACGTTTTGTCGCATCGCATGCACGATTCAGAAGAGCCTCAAGGGCCGCAGGAAGGGAAAAGCAAATCATCACTCGCCTCGGCGCATGAGCTAAAATGTATCCTTGGCCAGCCGTCCTTCAGTGGCTACAGCGCTAAGCCCTGGATCCCAATCTTACACTCGAGTGCATGCTGTGGCGCAACTGTCCAGTCACGACTCGCGCGCCCAATAGTTGCCAAGATAGCGCCAGTCCGTACTCCCATACCGAGTGGGTTCCGCATGTTCGCAACACTCAGTCCCGTTGATGTTCTTTCCTTGCCTTAGTGCACCGGTTCCCACCACTGGTTGACAGTTGTTTCATCCCTTGCTCTGGAAGTCTGATGGTCCTCGATTCGCATGTACATCTTACAGCCGGGGCATTGGTCACATCGTCATATAAACTTGTCATGCTGCGCATCCGTCGGGGTACCTCCATGTCTGGCGTCGAATTCTGCGCACGAAGCAAAACTCTATCCTCCTCTGTTCTTTTCTAATCACACTAAAAAATCCCTACTCGAAACTTCCCCACTCATGGCGATGGATGGCTTCTGATGTCAGCCGAGTCACGGCCATAACTCTATCAGAGCCCTTCAGGCGATCTCGTGGAGTCATTTCCAGACCCTCCCGTCTCTCGCTCCTGATAAACTCCTCCGTGCCCCGACCTCTTGTTGTCTCGCACCACAAACGCTCCTGCCTGCCGATCAAAACCGAGCTCAGGACCGATCTGCCGGACACGCGACTCGCAAGATTTGGTAGCACTGAACTCGTTTTTCGGAACCGTTCCTTAGTACCACCTCTGGCTACCTAGATTATTTAACAGGGTCGCACAACTCACCGCAAGCATTCACTCCGGTTCACTTTCATATAAACATCACATCCCCCCTCGCACAAGATCACACCTCATCCTCTCCACTTCCATCCGCCACCTGCCATCACTACATCAATCACTACATCACTACATTGGCACAACACAACAACACCATACCGGACGTCCTTCCCATTCCATCCTCTATGCTCGCCCTGAAGCCTTCAAGTGCTTTCAAGATGGATATCTCTTCCCTGCTAGAGGGATCCAGAGATCCTCCTGCGACTTCTCCAGGCTCTGTCTCACATTACCCTGCCAACAATTCCCTGCCCAGAATTGATATGGACTCGAGCTATACTCGTAACACACAACAACCCAACTTGATGCCTCTCCAACCAAGCATCCAACAAACATTGCCCACTCGCTTTCAACCACCTGCCTTCTCATCACAAAGCTTCAACCCTCAACTACCGCCTTTCCACCAACAACAGAGCTTTGGCCAGCTACCTCCCATCACGACCCCGGATCAAAGACTACCTCCTCCGCCTGTCAATGGCTACACAGCTAACGGCCCTGTCAACAAGCGACTGGCTCCTTCTGGTCCCCACCCTTCCGAGTCACCAGCAAAGAAGAAGCAATCCAAGTGGAGCCCCGAAGAGGATGCTGCCATCATTGAGCTTCGTGGTAACGGTATGAAGTGGGAGGATATTTCTAAGCACTTGCCCGGCCGTAGTGCCATCAGCTGCAGACTTCGCTTCCAGAACTACCTTGAGCGTCGCTCGGAGTGGGATGATGAGAAGAAGAACAAGCTTGCTCGTCTTTATGAAAGGTGTGTGATTGATGTTGATGCCACAAAGTAACATGACTTACTAACAAACTATCCAAGGTTCAAGAAGGATATGTGGGAGAAGATTGCCAAGGAGATGGCGCTGCCATGGCGAGCTGCCGAGGCAATGCACTGGCAGATTGGTGAGGTCGAGATGGCCAGCCGTGCCAACGTTCCAGTTTTCCATCTTGCTGGTTCTGCTTCGCAATCCCAGTCACAATCACAAACCAACGCTTCAAGAGCACAGCACTACTACTCGGCTTCGAGCTCGACTTCGGCTTCGGCTGGTCCTGGTGAGCCTCGCAGCAGTAGCACTTCGCCCACGACATCGGCCCACGGCCACTACCCGCCGCCTTACACCTTCGCTCAACAAACTCACAGCCACACTCTACCGCAAATGGTCCAATCACAGCCTCTCTCACCCGGCAGCTCAAGGTCGCGCAGGAACAGTGCAACCTCACTCAGCGGTGCAGACATCAGAAATCGTGCAGACAGTGCACGCGATTCTGTTATTCCTCAACCACGAACAACACTCGAGCCACATCGACAGCACATTCACAAGCGTTACGTTAGTCCCTTCGCCGACAAGGTCTCAGACAGCGAGACCAACTGAGGGAACAGCCCATAGCTCTTCAACCTCTTCACTGGAGAAAACAGTATCCTGTGGACTCTTGCATTATTTTAATAGCACACAGATGGGCATAAAGTTATTGCTCAACACACATGACAGGCGTCTTTGATTTTTTTTATTCATATTTCTCAAGCATACAAGGTTCTAGGCATGGTGTTTGGATGTGCATTGCATGGCCCTGTATACCTGTTGGGAAGGGCTAGGAGTTGTCGAACAGTTAATCAGAAACAAATACATTCACGATTGACCATCAATCAAAACCGAAGAACGATCTACATTCTTGTCTCATGCGGGCTGTGTTTCTTGCACAATAGGTTGGGTTGAGTTTTCGTATAGAGACGCTACTGCGTAGATGCTGGTTGCCTCGTCGGAAGCTCACATATCCGACCCACTCTGACTGCGCAGCTCGATGTACACACGTACAGGACTAGCCAGATTTAGCGTACATCCAACGTGATTGCAATACTCGCTTCAGCGATGCTCTACAAGATTTTATGTCACTTGGGCGACTGCCTGGTTAGGCGATACGTGCGCATGATTCGGTGTGGCCGTCGCCCCGTCTTGGCGTCAATGACGAGCGTTCAACCTTCATCGTCCACGGTCTTCTTCTCCGACTGACGACACAAACACTTCGAGCTGCTCACATCCCACGTCTGATATCGCGTAGTCGTATATCGGATCCTGCGAAGTATGCCTACGCTCTCTGTTGTCAACTTCAACATTGTCTGCGCCACACTTGGAGGTTTCATTACGCTCTTTGGCCTTGTGTCGTACCTTCTCAAAGAAAAATATTATCTGTCAGAGGCTCGTAAGTCTTTCGTCCGCCAACTCTACTGACGACACAATACTGAGTAATCTACAGTCATCTCTCTGATTGGAGGTCTTATCTTTTCCCCTCACGCAGCCAACTTGATACGCCCACTTGATTATGCTCAAGGAAATGCGGAAGACCTCGAGACAATAACCCTTTACTTCACCAGACTGGTGTTAGGTGTGCAGTTGGTTCTGGCTGGCGTTCAGCTACCGAGCAAATATCTCAAACAAGAATGGAGGCCCTTGTCGCTGCTTTTAGTACGTCGTTTTGCACTTTCTAACCAGGTGACAGACTGTGGGCTAAGTAAACAATAGGGCCCAGGCATGTGTGTCATGTGGCTAGTGACCAGCCTGCTTGTTTGGGCTCTGGTACCCAATATCAACTTCCTGTTCGCACTTGCCATCGGAGCTTGCGTTACTCCTACCGATCCTGTGCTGAGTAACAGCATTGTCAAAGGCAAGTTCGCTGACCAAAACATACCCAGAGAACTTCAGAGAATCATCATCGCTGAATCTGGCGCAAACGACGGTCTTGGTTATCCTTTCTTGTTTTTACCATTGTATCTGATCAAATATGTGGGTCATCCTGAACTGTCGGACTCGCACGGTGCTTCGAAAGCAATCGGCCTGTGGTTTGGTGAGACGTGGGGGTACACAATCATTCTCAGTGTCATCTATGGAGCTGTTGTTGGCTACCTTGCAAAAGAACTACTCCACTGGGCAGAAGAGAAGAAGTACGTGGATAGAGAGAGCTTCCTCGTTTTTGCCATCACACTTGCTGCAAGTACATATCGCTCTACCTTGTTGCTCACTGCTGACTTTAAAAGNCTCTTCATTGTTGGTACCGTCGGTATGATCGGCTCCGATGACGTTCTCGCTTGCTTTATCGCAGGGAATGTCTTTACTTGGGAGTAAGTACTTACATCCAGTGGATGGCGCATAGGACTTACACGTTACAGCGACTGGTTCCGCTTGGAGACGCTTGATGACTCTTTGCAACCGACCATTGATATGCTGCTCAACGTCTCGATCTTCATATGGTTCGGTGCAGTCACACCTTGGTACAAATTTGCCCACAACGATGTTATTCCCATCTACCGGCTCGTACCATTGGGTATCTTGGTTTTGCTTCTTCGTCGGCTTCCGATCGTCTTTGCTATGCATAAGAAGATCCATCAGATCGAAGAACCGCGTCAGGCTCTCGTGGTCGGCTTTTTTGGCCCTATCGGCGTTAGTGCAGTGTTCTACCTGTACATCAGCCGCGAGTTTCTCCGTGGTATCCATCGAAACGGTGTGGTCAGAGATGATGCAGAACATTTGTCAGAGATCATGCTGGTCGTGATATGGTTTTTGGCAATCTGCAGCATTGTAGTGACAAACGACTAATCGTCGAAGATTATTCTATTGACATATTTTCAGGTTGTACACGGTATCAGTATACCTCTGGGGAAACTTGGATTCTATCTTCCAAGGACTATATCGGCCGCAGTCTCGACAGAACGTCTATCTCGTAGATCATCTGAGGAGCACACACCTATTGGTGAAGAAACCTTATCTGGTGATTCAACCCTAGCTAGTCGCTTCCGTCGCTACAGAGCAGAAACTTCGGGCAGCAGTTCGTCTCTACCCCGTTCGTTCTATCGCGTAGGCAGAAGCATAGTCTCGGATTTGCAAAGAGGCCATCAAGAAACCACTGCCGCGAAGAACGCCTCGGAGGCCACGGGCGACCTTGCCAACAGGAACATCTCGGAGCCCTCCAATCCTCGCCCACTTGGCAGGAACCTTATCAAAGACACGAACCGCAATTCTCCGCTTGGTGCTACCCCTACAGCAGGCCGCTCTGGCGCCGTCACTCCAGCCGGATCACCTCCACCTCTGAATAGAACCATCCGATTCCCGGATGAGAACCCCAGTGTTGCCAACTCCTCGAGAGCTGAACTGGACAAGGCGATCTAGCCAGCCCTTCTGCTGGCACGAACGTATCGTCTTTGCACTAACCTTTGATACTAGGCTTCCTTTGTACATAGAACACAGCCAAGGCCCGCATCTAGCCGCTCTCTTGCCCGAATCTCCTAGATATACATAACTATCGACAATAACTGCTTATCCCGTGGATCGGTGCGAGTCATGCTTCTCCACAGTCACATCACCACTACTAGTACTTTTACCTGTACCTCCTAGGGGGTTGATGAGTAGAACGTATGATCCTACAGTAGCTCGAAACAAGTTCATGCAGTACTACTTCTGATAGTGCACTGGTTTTCTCGGACCTTCCACCGAGATGTTCGAGACTCACTCCTGCTTTGTCGCCTCATCTGTGCTAGACGTTCCTTCTTGCCTTCTCCGAGCTTGACCGCAGACAAATGTTTTTCATGGGTTTCAGCAGCCGTTATCGATTTTGTGCTGCATTTCCCATTGCTGGATGCGGGTTTGGCATGCTCTTTGGCATGCGGCTTTGCTGTCGATTCCCGTCTGGGTGTTACTGTTTTTGTCTTTTTGCTCTACTTGCAACGGCTGTATCTGTCCACATGGCTATGCTCTTCCCGCGGTGACTGTTCCATGGACCTGGCTTTGATTGCGCCTTCCTGCCCTGGAATAGTTCACGGTGTGCGGCTGAACCAATGCAAGGGTATTTCCGGTCCGACAACTTTGTGAACTCGATGTGTGGGAGTTATCGTTGTCAACACAACGTCTTTCCCCCCGTTGTTCGCTGGGAAGCTCTTGTTTCCCCTTGTGTTCGCTTAAGTAAGATCTAGGCTGCCTGGGCTTCTTGTGCTGCGGACCCGAGTCCGCCCTCAATACTCCTACAACAGTGTTTGTTCTCGCAGGCAGGGCATGTCTGAGTTGAGCAAGAGCAAGGCGAGACAAGGTGTTGCGGGCAGTGCCTGTTCATGGTATAGCCCTGTTGTTGACGGCGACGGCTGATCCGGGGTTTGGACTTGTTCTGTCAACATGTCACGTAAGCCACAGCTGTGTTCTTCATGTGACTTTAGGAACGTTTTGTCGTCGGCTTTGGCTGTCGTTCCCTGTTCCAGTTTTCCCGCCTTTTTTTTGGGGAGAGACAGCTCGCTTGTTCGGGAAGGCGTATGGTTAGATTGGTTTGGTCGTTTGAGTCGTTTGTTGCAATTGTGTTTCGTTAATCTAAATTCTTTCATGCAGAGATGGGGGGTCTCGATCGTCTAAATCTGGTTCTAATCTATATCTAACAAATCTTTTATAAAAACAGAGTGGGGGTATCGTGCGGTGCTCGAAAGACGAAAGGAAACGCAATCGGTGAGTGATGCGGAGGAGCAGCAGACTCGGGGTGAGCAAAATACATTATCGTCATCTGTAGCCCGAATGAAATCCGAATATCAAAGGAAAAGAATGAAGAGGAGTGGAGTAATGCCATCGTCATCAGCCCTCGCAACGGAGGACGTTTTTTCTGACAGCTGTTGCAGAAAACCGTATCAGAGGGATCAGCCACGTGCTCTTCGTAAGTCGTAGCATCCTGCTGGCTGGCGATTCGCAATGGTATGCAAACCGTTTCGATCCTGAAAAGGATCGTGGATGTGCTCAAGCGTGGTTGCAGAATGTAGGTCCGAACCGCCGACTAGTGGATATCTGCTAAGCGGCTAGACGTTCCTGAACAACGACCACAGGTCACTCGAAGCGACGGACATGTTTGCAATAAGCTTATATTGCAATTGCAGATAGAGCGTCGGATAGATCGGCCCTGTTGTCGATTCGATTTTTGCGTTCGATGAGGAATGAACACCTTGAGATTGAGGGGTGATGTCGCGATGAGGTGTTCGGATGGACGGGTCGACTCCGCAATATCAAGACCAAGATAGCCGAGTGAGCCGTGACTGTCGACGGTCGCAATAAAGAAGTGACAGGATCTGTTCTCGCGAATCCTCGAGGTGGCTTGCAGTTTGATCATCTCTGCGTTTGTATCTTGTCTCTGCATTGTCTCAAGGCGTCTATTTGTTATGATGATCAGTATTTCTTCTTGTTCCTCTTGTTTTGAAGCATCGGACGATGTTGTAGTCTTACCTTTGCACCTGAATCGGGACGAAGTTCGCAAACACCTGGCTTGGGGAATAGCTCCCCTGTAAATGCTCCTCTGATGGTTCTCACAAAGCAGATGATCCAGACCAGAACAATGATTGCAGTAAGAACCTCTGCGATAACACCAAAGAATGCAGAGTCCAGCTCGGCGCTCAATGTAATTGTTGCTGATGCGACACCGCNCTAGAGGATACCAAGTCAGCATGCCAGTCTTGAGTGGATTTGCAGATACGGCTCAATCATACCAACTGGATATAAGAAAGCCCACCAGCCAATGTTGAAAGGGAATCTGAACTTCAAACGAAGGACAGAGCCTACAGCGAAACACATCCATGGGATGGCCATGGCCCAGATGACAAGACCCATGATGACCCCCATAACGTAGAGTATGGTACCAGCCTCTGACGGCAGTATAGTGAGTTTCGGAAAGATCATCTTTGCAGCTTTTCCGCATTGCAATATTCTGGAAGGAGGTCAGCATCAACTTCGATCTGGGAACGGAAGGAGCACTCACCCGAAGCTTCCNNCTTGTCCTAGTGGCCCTAAGGATAAGAAAACGCTAACGACGACTTCCTGTGAAGGAAGCTTGAACAACAACAATCTGTAAAAGTAGATGCACAGAATCATCAACCCAACAAAGAAGCCAATGGCCCAGCAACAGTAGCAAGTAAGTAGTGTCCAAAGTGCCTCATGCGCTTCGAGAGCTTCCATCTGTGCGACTTGACCACCAGTCGATGCAGCAACGATGCAACTAACAGCAGGTAACAAGCATGCAGCAGTCAACTTCTCAGGAGACACATCATGAACCGAGANTCCTAGAAGCCGACAAGTCAGTTCGACAGCCCTCTCAATTCGCAAGCTGGAAGTAACAACATACATTAGGAATGCGACTGAGCAACAGATGGTCACCGCAAGAGCAGCATCAATCCACCATAAGGCCCACGCCATTGTCGCCGCCCAACGTCCCCATGCTGGAACGCAGACCAACACGATCAGATTGACAATGGTTCCGAGGCCCATGGGGAAACAACCCAAGAATAGAGAATGCGTGGGATGGTTGATCATCGCCGGCCACAGCTCAGGCCACAGAGCATATCGTAAGATGGATATCAGCAACGCGCTAATGAAGATCAGGACGTTGAGTCCAAACACAATATAACAGGGGTAATTCGTCCAGCTGGCGTTGTACGGCATTTGATGCAGCAGGATTGCCACAACACCAGTCCCCATGGTTATCGAAAACATCCTGAAGATAACCAGTTAGCCATGCTTCTCCTACAATCTTCGGGATTCGCGGAGAAGACACAAAACATACGAAGGAGTAAATCCACGGACAATCCGTCTCCAACCGTGGTCATCTTGCCTGGGAAGATCAATCTCGGTCTTATCTGACAATCCTTTCTCGAGATCCCCAAACTGTGCATCTGGATATATCGAGGGGTTGACCGGGGTCATCACCCCAGAGGGGGGCTGCGTGACAGCGAGAGTGGTTTCGCTCAGGCTATTTGGCATGCCTGATTGAAATCTGCAAGAGGTGAAGCGGCCAGCGCGTCTGAATGGGTTATCTATCGGCCAGAATATGCTACGCATCCACGCTTCCGCAAGTCGGGAGAGGGGGGCAAAGAATCACGCCTTGCACTTTCCAGTCTTCAACAAAAGCAGTTGCCAAATCAACAACAAGAGGCGATGTATGGTGAGTCAAGTCGAGTACACTGGATGTATGAGTCTATACCACAGCAGGGCGCTCTTTGATTCGAAGTTTTCGCCCATCTCCTGTCATATCCCGGGTCTGGCTCGGGATTCGCTCGTCGTTTCTGCTGATATCCATTGCCTGCTTCTCTTTTGCCAATCTTACCAAACGGCGCCTTCCACCTCGTGGCTCAGATACGATTACTCCGAGATAGCACCGTCTATCTCTACAGACAGATATCTGGGGTATGTCTGTCGTTTTGCCTTTGTTTTTGCCTTGTCATCTGTTGCTACATTCATCTCTACATTCTGTTCTTTTGTTCATTCAAACACCTTTGTATTTGCTTACAGATGCGGTGATCAAAGCAGATGTTGGCATCCATCTCGCTTCGTGACAAACAACAAATCCATCCCACCGGGCCGGTTCGGAGCCAACTTTTCTCGGACTCGGGATTGCTTTACCTCGACTTCGTCATTGGGTTTTCCGAAGTTCGCATTCACCAACGGCTTTTTTTGAACAGCCTCGATCTATGACTTGCTTGTGCTTGTGAACACCTGCTCATCGGAGTTTTGCGATTCATGCTGTATCGCACCTATGTAGATTCTTCGTAGGTGCTTGCAGTGCTCGCAAACGAGCGTTTAGATAATCTTGCGATTTGTAGTGGGTCAAGCACGACAAATCGCTGTGTTCTTGCGGCGCGAAAGGTAAAGTGCCGATGGTAAGCGGACTAGACTTGCTGTCCGAAATAGATCCGGCTTGCATGTCGACATGGTCAAGAAGAATATACTGTTTAGTGGTACATCTCACATCTTTCGTATGGTATACAAGGTAGTTATTGGGCTTGCGTGATGTCTACTTTGCTATGCATACTTGAATACGCCATATTTGCAAGATGTGTAACCATTGTATCAACGAGGAAGTCTCGCTCTCGGCATATGTAGAGTTTAGAAGTAGGTTTGGTACATAATGCATTGAAATATGAATTGTGATATTTCCAACGATTCATAATACGAACAAGACCGAAACTTGACCCTACAGTTAAAAAGGAAGCACTCCTTTGGTTATCTACTATGTGAACCTGCCCAGTTGGAGGATGTAGACTCAAGGTGGATACGATGTTGTAGAGACAGGGTGGCCCGACTGACCATCATGTCTTGGCGGCCAGTGCTCAGCCTGACGATCTTCCAGTGGGCGAACGTATGAGGAGAACTTGCGAGAAGAGAAGACAAGAGACGTAGAAGAGGATGAAGTTGATACTATGCTGTTCTGGCTGTAGCAAAAGCAAGTGGTATTGGGTGGTAGTAATTCACGAAACACAAAAAGAAGCAGGTAAGATCCCCTCAAGACGCCTTTCCACTGTAAGAACAACGCCGCAACCCCTAGTTGGCCATTACCCTTCCTCGTTCAATCAAATTCCGGAAGCAATGGAAAAGACATATGCAGAAGCTCAGGTTAGAGCAAGTCTGTGACTTATACGAAGAGAGCAGGAAAAGCTGCTCGCAGTAGCGCAGTTCGAGAGAGTGCGGCGCTCTAATAAAATAGTCATGTGAGGTCGCAAAAGTCGCGACGAGCACTAACGAGCACTCAGCCGTTATGGTATGGCACCCACGGGACAGCCGGCCGGCGTTAGAGTATGGAAGTGATGTGGTCAGGAGTAGCCGCAACAATAACAGGATTACGTAGCGCCTGAGACATTGTTGCCAGCAGGGTGAAGGTCACTGATTTGCTTCCCATTGTCGCTGGACTTGACCGACTGTGACAGTGTACTCTCGGCAAATTGAGCCTGGCCATTAATCGCTGGTTGCCAAGCTGCAACTCCTGGTGTGGCGTTTCATGCATACTAAGCATCATCGTCCCGGTTTCCAGAAGCGTTGGCGCGATCTTCATCAGAAGGTTCAAGTCCAGAACGTTGAGCACATCTTTTCCATGCGTCCAAGTCCTTGTAGACTTGACTCAGTTCGGCCTTAAGTCTATCGCAGGATGCGCTGAGTTCAGCAATAGCCTGCTCTGTCAAAAGCTTCTCCAATGTCCACTTTTCGATGTTCTGAGATTCGTTCTCCTTAAGCTGTGTGATGAACTGGACTGCACGCTGGAGAATGCTTCCCTTATTCTTTTCGCAGCCAGGTACGATCTTGGCGAGCTCGTTGATACCCTCGTTGATCGTCTCACGACGACGACGTTCGANCTGTGTAGCTGTCAGCAAGTGATCGAAGCGAGCAACCAGATTGGTGTCCGTAACAATTATCTTACCTTCTTTGTGATTGTCGCGACGCACCTTATGCCATTCGTCAGTACCGACAGCAGGTTTGCTACCAGAAGGGGTTGCTGATGGCGAGCCTTCGGTATTACCCATGACTGAAGTCTGAGGCGGGGCTTGTTGCTGTTGTTGCTGAGGTTGTGCGTTCTCTTTTAGCTGCTCAAGACCAGCAAATTCGCCATATGCTTCGGGATTCGGTTGACCGGCACCGGCTTCTAGAGAGAAGGTGGCACTCGACTCGCGATGACCATCATTGTGAGTGAGGAAAGACTCGTCATGGTTCTGTGGCACGCCCATGGAGTAGTGTAAAGCAGCATTCGCTGTCTCGCTGGCGCTCTGACCGTTGGTAGAGCCTTGATTGTGGACATTGTGATCATGTAGAGAATGGTCATGCACACCGTGGTCGCCAGCATTGTGTTGAACCAAAGCATCAGCGAAATGCGGCGGCATGTCGTTCTCGTGGCTAGTGTGAAGGAAGGGCGTTTCGTACTCGACCTGACCATTTGGTGAGCCTCTGAACTCCTTGAAGTCGTTGGGCGCAGGAGCATGGCCGACATCATGGTCGAGCGAGTCGCGCTTGCGTTTGTGAGCCAGGGATGCCATGGTTGGCGCGTGTGTTTGTGTTGTTTTTGATTGTAGGTAGACGCGTCGTAGTGGCCAACAGATGTGTGCTGCTTGGCTTTTCGAGTATGTATTGCGTTCAGCTTGCGGGGGTCACGTTCGAGTAGCGAGTGTAGGAGAAGACTATGTCGTCAGGCTTGGTCAGTCATGAGTATATCACAGGATGGTCACGAATGGTCATGGGCAGCCGACAAGTTGACAAGCTTCGCTACAGGCGCAGCTCCATCATGGTCTCTTCATGCATGACTAGACTGTGCGGCAACATGGTCGGCGTGGCTCTGCGACAGATGCTCAACCCTCAACTCCTGNNAAGCGCAGCTGAAGCATGGCAGGTCGACGATCAAGATCGAGGACGCGACGCGTGCGTAGGCAAGACGTCGCGCGGGTGCAGCGACGAGAAGAGGGCGAGACGAGTCAAAAGCCATGCCGTGTTNGTTGTGAAGCGCGAGTCTAGATGGCAGGCCGTTTGCAAGGACTGAAGTGGATGTACTCACCGAGTTCGAGAGTCGACGTCGTTTGGAGATCCCGTGACAAGTCACGAGTTCGCAAGCCGGGCGCTTTAATCTGGTTATCGACGCGACAAGACTGTCAACTTTGATATCAGGAAATAGACGTCGAGAAGTGAATCCTTTAGCTTTGCGCGGCGCAACAAGTCTTGGACAATTCGTGATATTAATCGTCGAGATAATCAACGACCAGGAGAGGGAGTATTCGAGGTCACGTTGAAAGATCACATGGGATGGGGGAGGAGGAAGGTGGTCCAAGACCCTCCCCCGACTCTGGCGGTCGGCAGACGCGCATCAACTTCCGTGAGCCGATGCGAGCAATCGACAATCCGACAACAAGCCCATCCTTCGACCTTCCCATCAACTTGTACAGCACCGCTTTCTCCTATTTTGTTTCTTGCTATCTTCATACCTTTTTCTTTTCTTGTTCTTTCGAACGCTCAGAGTAATCAAGTTGTTGTATCCCATCTTTATCTCGAAAGCACCTGCTACAATGTCTTATCTAACATGCTGATGCCACACGCGCACCTCTGCTGCACTTCATTGGTCGCGTCTATAACAGGCTAACGCGGTTGAAATGCTCTACTCTTCCGACTTCTTTTCATGCATCCACCCTGATTATCTGCGACGCCCACTCGAGCATACTGGGTCATGTGCACTTGGTATAATGACTTTGATTATCTCTTTGTTCAAAACTTCAAGTTCGGAACAGCTAGAGCGGTGTCACTTTGCCCATCCTCTACACTCGAATTCTGGTGCCATGACCTCGACTTGTCGCATCTTCATGCCATGCATAGTTCGGTACTCCATCACGCATGTCTTGACCATTCATCTGCAGGCCTCTCATGACCAGAAGATGAGGGGATGTGATCTGCGATACCTCGTCTCAGAAGCCGGACCACTTGAGCTGGGTAAAAGCGAAAAGTCGTCTATCAATCATGGCAATCATTGCTCTGTGCCGCCAGGTTTTTCTGATCAAACATCTTAAGCGTACTACATTGAAAAACAAAATCCAAATGCTTATGTGATCACTGCCAATCAAGCGACTGTATTGTGTACGATCCGACTTTTGAATCTCGCGGATGACCTATATGGATGCTGCAAGTCATAATGTTGGTGTTCCGCTCTTGCTATTCGCACGTGAAATGCTCACAACAAAGACCAATGTTGAGGTGAACTCTTCCCAACATCGTGCCTGGAAACAGCAAGTGGCAGTGCGTGCCATGAATGAATTATTAAAGGACCAACCTGCTCGATTTTGCATCTGCTGTATCAAGTACTGCCTTGTCAGCAGGGGAAGATTGAAGGACCCGCGAGGTTGACCGCAGTTGTCTCACATGCTGGACATGCGGCAGGAAGAACTCCCAGGCCCAGATGACTCCTTTATTGCGAGAACTCTCAACGAGATCGTATGACTTTGCGAGAGAATCGATTCAACAATTGTGACAATCCAGGTCTAGACAGGAACTCCAGCAATATGTAGTCAGTGTTAACTTGTCAGCCCCTCGATACGTCAACCCCTAATTATGCACCACGCTCTGACCGCCTCACTGCCACAAGTGTCAAGTCGTACAGACCACCGCGCCACGGCCATGAACGCGCCATCCACTAAAAGCGGATCACACAGCACAGATATATCACACTGCTCCATGCTTCGCCTCAACCACACGGCTGCGAGTTCCGCATCAAAATGATTGCAGAAGTCGATGTCGTAGGCGCCCAACTGTTCTTTTGGGCAGAAAGCTCGTGTCTTTTTAGAGTATCTGCAATATACAGGAGCGTCGGCTTGTGGGCCTCCGTGCCAGCAACGACTGACTCCACCGCGCCTATGGACGACGCGATTCCCCTAGATCGCGACTCGACAGTCCAATAGAAAGATCGGATGCATGGCCAGTTGAACGGCCCGAGTGAGCGGTGGAGGAAGAGAATGCTGGCAGTGTTCTTCAGGGACAGGAGCACGGACGTTTCACCATCTTTCTGAAACTCCCTCTTCCTCTTTCGCCGCTGTCCAACAAATGGCCTTGAAAAAAGATCCACTGATAGCACATTTCAAGCAGTCAGGAAAAGCTTGATCGCGAGGCTCTGCCTTCCCGTGGACCTTATGGAGAATTCGAGTGTGATTCGGACGCGCAGTCGCGGCTAACGGCATTCCTTACTGGCCAGCCAGGCGGCAACCACGGTTTCAAAACGTCCCTGGATAGTTGATCCACAACATGCTGAGTCGAGTCGGTAGGTTCTATCAGGGGGAACACCTACACAGGGGGCTGCGTATACGGCCACGATAAGACAGCCTTAGTTCGCTGTGTCTCTCTATTCTTTCTTTCAACATTCTGTTCGAGTTCTCCAATTCCCCAGCCTAGTGCTGCCATTCTTTATTTGCGCTCTCTGTGAGAAGCCTTTACGCTGCTTACGTCCTTTCATTCGAGTTTATCACTCCTCACAATCATTACCGGCGAACTCAACGGTCTTTTCCAACTCTGCTACGTCTCCCAGGGATACAATCTGCTCAATAGATTCCCAATAGCCACAGCCGAAGCCACGTCACACAATCGACGACATATATCAAGACACATTTCTCACACTCTTTTCGAGAAAGTAGTGCTGTAGCAGAAATGTTCAGCTCAACCTCTTTGCGTTTGCTTATTTTGCGTTCTCTTCTCTTGTTGCGGAAGCTTTGCCTGCACCTGCCCCATCTGCACCATCGTTTTCCCTCAAATCTTATTACCACGGACCGCCAGCCTGGAGCCCATCGGCCACGTACGAATCGACTTCGACCTTCCCAACCCTCTCCGTTGGATCACAACACATCGCACCTACTGGAATTGTCCCCTCTGGATATCTCGCCTCTGGATTTTACCCAACCGCATCTGGATATGCTTGGCCTACTGGAACTGGATTCCCTTCTGGAGTAACTGGATACCCTCAACCCACTGGAACTGGACAAATCAACGCCACCGCCTTCTCTTCATGGTGGACATCATACCGTCAGGCCTCCTCCTCTCAATCTCTCTACTCTACTGCTTCATACAACAGCACCCCCTCGGTCTCTGCTTCTAGCACTGCAGCTGCCTCTACCGGATCTACCGTCCTCCCTGACGTTCTTCGCGGAATCAACATCGGCGGTTGGCTCATCCTAGAATCATGGATGAACTGGGATGTCTTTGCCAACACTGATGCCAAGGACCAATACTCTTTCGACAGCTGCGACGGCGCCAAAGATAAGTTGGAGCAACACTGGTCAAGCTACTTCACTGAGTCCGATGTCGAGGGACTTGCCGCCGCTGGGATCAACGCTGTGCGTATCCCCATCGGTTTCTGGTCCTACGTCGAGACAGCACCCTATCTTATGGGCGCCGATGCTTACCTTGAGAAAGCCATTGGTTGGTGCCGCAACCACGGCATCAAGGTCCTTGTTGACTGCCATGGCTCGCCTGGCTCGCAGAACGGTTTCGACAACTCTGGTCACTCGGGCAACGTAGCCTGGCAGCAAGACGACAACCTGGAGCAAAGCATCAGCATCCTCGAGACTATTGCTAAGAAGTACGGCGCTCAAGAGTACGCGGACGTCGTATTCGGCATCCAACTTGTCAACGAGCCCATCTCGTGGGACCAGAACAACATCGACATGACCAAGGAGTGGGCAAAGAAGGCTTACACAGCTGTCAAGTCTGCATCGACCAACCAAGACCTTGCTGTCATCATGCACGATGGCTTCATGGGACCTTCTGACTGGGAAGAGGTCGGCTCTGCTATCAATGGCGATGCTTCTCTTGCTGACGCCAAGTTCTGGATCGACACTCATCTCTACCAGAACCAAGTAGCAGCTGACTCTCTGCTCACTCAAGACCAACACATCGAGAAGGCTTGCAATTGGTCATCGTCTGAGTTGTTGCCTTCATCATCCTCGCTGCCTGTGATTGTCGGCGAGTTCAGCGCTGCTACCAACATCTGCGCCAACCCTGATGGATCCACCGTTGCTGGTAGCGTCTGCTGGATTGACGGCTGCCAGTGCTCTGCCAACGTCGACATTGAGAACTGGAACCAGCCTCTCATCGAGGCGACACGCAAGTTCCTCGAAGCCGAGCTCGATACATTCGAGGCACATGCTCGCGGCTACTTCATGTGGAACTTCAAGGGTCCCGGTGCTTGGGGCTACCAGAACGCCATGAAGTATGGCTTGATTGGAGACAAGATCACCGACAGAAAGTACCCTGGTCAGTGCAGCTCATGAGCAAGGATAGAGAAGATATAGAGAAGGCGCTGGACGCCGATGAACAGGTTAAAAAGTGCATTGCGATATACCCCTTCCATGATTCAATGGACATAGATTTCGATTCGGTTTTTGTAGATAGATTTTTAGAGTGCCATGCACCGAAATGAACATTTCTCCCAGAACTGATGTCTTGCCATGGATTCCTCGTCGTAGTCGGTCTTTTCACTTGTCCTTGAAGGAGCAAGGGCAAGTGGAATTTATTCGAAGTGTCTAGAAGGCGATGCGGAGTGAGTGTTGGCAGAAGCTTGTGCACGGACGTTTTTGGCGGTGTTTGGTTGGAGCTTGTGTGACAAGAAGTCGCATTTCTGTATCCACAAGCACGCGACTCTGATTCTTTCTTGAATTTCAGCTCGAAAGTATCCATCTACCATACACAATGTCGGCCGACGCAATCAGCAACCCTCAACCCGCCGGAGAGTCCAAGAGCGCTCGCAAGAAGCGCGAAAAGGCCGAAGCTGCTGCCGCTGCTGCTGCTCAAGCCGCTGGCCAGCCTCAGCAGGACAGCGATGGCCAGAAGACTCCTGACGCCGCAGACACCAACGGTGACTCTTTCGAGAGCTCCTATGTCAAGGAGTTGCAGAAGTACAAATCTCGCTTGTCTTTTCTTTCAGATCATCTGTGCTGACCCTCTTCCAGGAACATTCGCAATGTGAACAAGAAGCTCGTCAGTCATCCATCTGTTCACCACAACCACACCGTGTTAACCAGATACAGNAATGCCATGACCAAGTTGGACTCGATCCTCGCCGAGAACCCTGGCAAGACCCTCGACGAACTCCTCGCTACCCGCAAGATCAACGCCGACCAGAAGGCCCAAGCCTCCAAGAAGCCCGCCCTCCAAGCCCAACTCGCTCAGCTCGAAGAACAGATCGCCCAGTACAAGAAGGTTGATGCCGATTACCAGTCGCGCATGTCCGCTCAGCACTTGCACCTGACTTCAGCCCACCAATCCGAGATTGAGAAGTTGAAGGGCTCTCTTAAGGAGCAGCTCGAGCAGGAACTCAACACTGCTCTTCGCCAGAAGTTGCTCACATTCAGCCAGTTCCTCAGAGCTGCCGCTGCCAAGCGTGTCATTGAAGAGGAGGCAGACACGGATGAGTCCAAGGCATTCGAGGGTGCTCTGTTGCTGGTCTATGGAGGTGACGACAAGGCTGTCGATGCCGTTATGAACTTGATCCAGGGTTCTGACGAGCAAGTGCCTTCGGTCGAGGGCGAATTGTTGCCCGTCAANGTGTAAGAAGACTAAGATCTAGTCGATCGTCCAGATGCTGACTTCTCTCCAGACTCGCAGGTCAAGCAGGCTGCTGTCGGTTTCGGCGCATTCCCCGGTGAAGAGACCGCTCAAGAGGAGGCTCCTGCTGAGTCCAACGACGCTACTGCTGTCCAGCCTGAGGACACCATTCCTTCGAGCGATCCCACCATCGCACACGCTGGTCTCACCGAGCTTGGTCTGAACCAGCCCGCCGAAGAAGAGAAGCCCATTGTCGTGGCCGATGACCAGATCGCCGAGGCATCCATCGATGACGGCTCAGCCAACAAGTCAGCTGAGACACAGTGGGACAACGCTGCTGCTACCGCCGGCACCGACCAGCAGCTTGACGACTCTTTCGAGATGGTCCCTCGCCCTGCCGACGAGACCGAGGCTGTCCACGAGCCTGCTCAGCCCCAATCGACCAGCTCCTGGGCCGACCAGTCATCTGCAAACGCCACTGCTACCGAAGCTGCTTCCGAGAACAACAACATCACCAACGGTCTTGCCTCGACCGATGCCGAGGGATACCAGTCTGTCGAGAGACGTGGAGGAAGAGGTGGACAAGGTCAAGGCCGTGGAGGTCGTGGACGTGGACGTGGTGGTCCCAGAGGAGGACATCGCGGCAACTTCAGAGGTCGTGGCGACGGTCGCGGTCGTGGAGGCCGTGGCGGTGCCCCTCAGCCTCAGGCATAGGAAATCGCTTTGAGGTACAGCGTCAAGGACCTCCTAACAGCGCAAACACTCAGTGTCTTGCAAAGAGGAGGAGACGAATGAAACAAACAAATACGGACAGGGAAGGGGGGCGCTATAATGACTGACATTTGATCACGACGGCGTTTTCTTGTTTCTGCATACCACACACTTCTTCTTTTCTACCCATTTCTTTCCTCACATTCTTCTTTCGGAGATATCATTTGCTTGTCATGTACACTGGAGCGCTGGAGTGTCTTCTTTCCTCTTTCTGCTTTGGCGTACTGCTTCTGTTCTCCTTCGCTGCATAGCTATTGGAGCTTTTGGGTGTGCATTCTCGTTTGGGCAATGTTTTGTTTCCCCAGTCTGGTCTCAGTGTTTCGTTTTTCTGAAAGTTGGAAATTCGGGAAAAGAGAAAGAAAAGTGTTTTTGCATGACATTTGTTCGAGCGTTATGACGATTGAAGCGACAGAAAGATTGATGACAGTTTCCTTGTTTGTCCTCTCACACCTGTACTACCTACCACCAGTTTGCTCGAGCAGCCTCTGCCTGTGCGCGCTCTCCACATTCACAAGAGGTATTGGTGGCCGACGGCCGCGTTCTGCCTCGCAGTGGCTGCATATGCATACCCACCACCTCGCACCTGTTCTTCTGCGCCAAACCATGGTTTGCCAAGGAGGTGTGGATCTCATGGCCATGGTGGAACCTGAAGCCAGGTCCGTCTTGATTGACGATGGCAAGCTCTGAAACCTTGCTGCTACTCAAGGTGTATACGAAGACCACCAGAGCCGGAAAGCTTGGGCAGCGTGTCAGCCCTGTCAGATACTGGAGAGAGCTATAATAAGAGCCGGGGTTGATCAGGGGTGCTTGTGCATCTAGGCATCGGCGGATCTTATCTGGAAGGAAGTGGCTCCGGTAGTCTGTACGCGCAGAAGAAGATTTGCGTGTTGGTCAGATCTATGTAGCAACACGGTGGTTTCACTACTTGAGCTCTCTACGTAGAATGTGATATTATCAGTGTTACACTTCATTCATCGTGCCATGCATTTCTTCACAAACAACAATGATCATTCGAATGTTATTGTGCCTGGTTATGATGATTCGAGAGATGGACCAAAGCGTCCGTGCCCTACGGAGGAAAGCGGCTTGGCGTGGGCTTTGTGAGTGGAAAGCACCTGATCGATGGGGTGAGGGACGGCAGCGACGACTCTTGGTTTTGCGGATCTGATCGCATTCCACGCACAACGACGACGACAGCAAGACCTGCCTGGCCACGACTGCCTTGCGCATGCGACAATTATTCTCCGCTCTGCCACGACTTCCGTGAGCAGTCGACACAGACTGTCTCTCCTTCTCTTTGCCGCCTTCTGCTGTCGCTTGCCGAGCAACCCACCCGGGTCCAAGCAAGCCACCGTCACAACCACTCACCTCGCTGCTTCCACGTCGAGTTTTGTCGCTTTTGAAAATTAGTTACGCCCTTTGTGGCAGTATATGATTAGCTAAACCGCCACCATGGACACGTCGATGCCTTCGCCGGCCGTCGCGACCGAGCCCTCGAACGTCTCCTCCGACGCTGCCTTGCCCGAAGCTTCCAACTTATCCAAGCACCCTGAACCCGCACATGCATTGACTCCACCCACTTCCGAGGACAACAACATTAGAGTCGACGATGACGCCTCCTCTGACTTGTCTGAATTGGACCTTGACATTGAAGATGAGGAAGAAATCGAACCAGACCATTACTGGGATGACGGCAAAGTGCCTGTCTTCAAACCAGTACGTCACATTACTATTTCCCCAAATCACCTGCATGACTAACACCTGTGCGACAGNACAATGGCACAGTTCCGCGACTTCAAAAAGTTCATTGACAAGATCGACAAGTACGGCATGAAATCTGGCATCGTCAAGGTCATTCCTCCTCAAGAATGGAGAGACGACCAGCCCGCCCTCGACGAACTCGTAAAGACCATCAAGATCAAGAACCCAATCTCGCAAGAGTTCATGGGCACCCACGGAATCTACACTCAAGCCAACATCGAAAAGCAGCGCTCCTACAACCTTCCCGAATGGAAGGCGCTTACGGAAGAAACCCAGTATCAGCCACCTGCCAGAAGAGGAGAACGTCGCAGGAACCAGGCACAAGTCTCCAGAAGTGCTGCGACTAGGACTCGTGCCTCAACCAGAACTTCGACTCCTAAGGATCCTACCAACAAGAGAAAGCCTGGTAGACCTCGCAAGCACCCTCTGAAAAATGAAGTTGATGACGAAGAAGAGGATTCTTCCTCAAGAGCTAGTCAAGTACCACCAACACCTACCTCTCCAGTGCTCAAATCGACCGAACCTGCCGAACATACAACCCCAAGCAAGCCGAAGCCAAAACCGAGAGGACGCCAACCGAAAGCAGGCCAGCAGAAGTCTGTCTCATCGCGCAGAATGAACAACACTACAGAAACCAACGATGTCATTGATGAGGCTGCGTTCAAGGATTTCGACTACCACATGGATGATCTCGAAGAGTTTACTCCCGAGCGATGCGCCGAACTGGAGACTGCATACTGGAAAAGTTTGACATTTGCTCAACCTATGTATGCTGCCGATATGCCTGGTTCTTTGTTCAAGGATGACTGCGATGTCTGGAATGTTGCAAAATTGCCCAACTTGTTGGATGTTCTTGGAACAAAGGTCCCTGGTGTCAACACTGCATATCTGTACATGGGAATGTGGAAAGCTACTTTTGCCTGGCATCTGGAAGATGTCGATCTCTACAGTATCAACTACATCCATTTTGGAGCGCCCAAGCAGTGGTACAGTATCTCTCAGGAAGACGCCAGAAAGTTTGAGAAGGCCATGAAGAGTATCTGGCCCAACGACTCCAAGGCTTGCGATCAGTTCTTGCGCCACAAAACGTACCTCATCTCTCCAGAGATTTTGCAGAAGCAATTCGGCATCAAGGTCAACAAGCTCGTCCATTACGAGGGTGAATTCGTCATCACTTACCCTTACGGATACCACTCTGGATACAACATCGGCTACAACTGCGCAGAATCTGTCAACTTTGCAACCGAATCCTGGCTCGATTATGGACGTATCGCGAAGAAGTGCGAATGTGAGGCTGACAGTGTCTGGGTCGATGTTGGAGAGATCGAGCGTAAACTCAGAGGCGAACCCACGCCCGAGTATTACGAAGAGACCGATGACGATGACGAGGATGAAATGGATTTGGATGGTGCGACTGATCTTCCTAGTCCTCCTGCAAGTGTTGCAGGCAAGCCGCAGTCGCAAGCTCGCAAGCGCAAGCGTGATCCTAAGGACAAGGACGCAGGCAAGAAGAAGAAGCGTATCAGAATCCTTATCAAGGGTCCTCACAGAGAGCCTTGTGTTCTCTGTCCGAACGATCCTCCCAACGAGCCTTTGCTACCTACGGACAATGGCCAGAAAGCGCATCGCTGCTGCGCACTCTACACTCCTGAAACCTGGATCAACAGCGAGGATGGTGTTGAGAAGGTCGTCGGTGTTGCTGGTATTGACAAGGCACGCCTCGATCTCAAGTGCAACTTCTGTCGCTCCAAGCGTGGTGCTTGCTTTCAATGTCAAGCTAAGAAATGCACTAGAGCGTACCATGCAACTTGTGCGCTTGCTGCTGGTGTACAGATTGATGTCGGCCCTGTGCCAACCTTTGGTGAGGATGGAACCGAGTACTTCGAAGAAGGCATTGATTTGAGGTGCCGTTTCCATCGCTCCAAGCGTGCGAAGAACATGGATAGCGGTGCTTTGGAGAACAGCAAGCTCATTAACACCTTCGCTAGATCTCTCAAGAAAGGCGATGCTATCCAGGCCCAGTACCTGGGTGGCGATATTTTCGCAGGAATTGTTGAGGAGAACCGCCCAGGTGAAAGCGCAGTTCTCGTCAACGTGCTTCCTTCTGGTGATCAAGTCGAAATCGAGTGGAAATGGATTCTGGTGCTGGACCCTATCGACTCTGAACGTCCTAAGCCCTCGCTAAATGCTGTTCCCATGCCGGAGGGTATGAGCAAGCAGTCTGTGTCGATCGAAAACCGCCAAGATGGCGTTCCGCTGCCGGACACGACTTTCCATGAAGACGCAAACTGGAAGTGGGCTGATTTCCGCAACCTGCAAGAACCTCCTCAAGGCTATAGCACAGCCATCATCAAGAACCCTGATCAGGTCAAGATTGACTTGAACAAGCCTGATCAGTTGTATTACTATCTGCCAAAGAAATCGACTGAGGCCAAAGGCAGGTTTACTGACGACCCCAAGGGTCAGAACCATGTCTTCATGGGCGATTTCATGGAGCGCGTCAAGCCTGCTAAACCTTTCAGACCTGTGGCACCATCGTACACTGGCGGCTACACTGGTGGTTTCACTATGCCTCAAGCCTCGCGACCTGTAGCACAAAGCAGTGAGCGGCCATACATGTACAAACCTAAAACTCCCGCTTATCCTACAGGAAACTTTGGTCTTGATCAACGCGCACTGGCCTCGCAGAAGCAGTTCATCCAACAAGCTGACCCCAGAAGAGCTTCGTACGCGACAGGACTCTACTCTAGTCAAACAATCCCTCCACTTCGTCAGCAGCACAGCGAGCCAACACGACCGCAACCAGCTCCACTTCGTCCTTTCTCAGAGGGATACTATTCGTCAAGAACTCTGCCTGCGGCTATTCCTGGTGAATACTCGCAGTTCCATCAGCAGGTGCGCCGTACATCAGGCGGTGCTCTTGCAACGCAACCTTACCAGTCACAGCCTTACGGAACCACTTCTCAGATCCAGCAGCCAAGTGCGAGCAGTACCCAGCCAGGTGCTGGATATGCTCAGCAGCAAGCTGCCAGCCGTGCTCCCTTACAACCCTACAGCAACCTAATCAATGACTTGGTCAACAAGGGTGGACCGGCAGCACAACCTTCCGTGCAGAACACTCAAGAGTCGTCTGGCAACAGACTTACGGGCCAGTCACCAACAGCCAGCGTTCGTCCTGCCAGCGGACAATGGACCCCGCCTTCACAGATCTATCATGCATACGATCGTGCTAATTCACAATTGCCTCCCCAGAACTCTTATCGCCCGCAGCCAACATACCAGACAGCACAAGAGTTTCAGCAGCAAATTGGCATACAGGCCCGCCAGCCAAGTGTCTCCAACCGCTGGGGAGCATATGACCGCATGCTGAGAGATGCTGCCAGTGCACAATCAACACTGCCGCATCCATCCAACCCTTACAACATGTCAACGACAACAGCTGGTGGCGCACCGAACGGATTCTCCATTCCCACAACATATCCTAGTCCAAAGGCTCCCACGGCTAGTCCCTTGAGTGACACACAGACACCTCGCGCACCTAGTCCAGGTATGAACTATCGCGGTCAGNNGGGATTGGCATGGGGAGGACCACCACAACAATCATCTCCACACAATCCAATGTCAGTTGCAAACAACACATTGCCGTCGCTGCAATCCATGACTCAGGAGGGTCCGTTTGCTGCTGCCTCTCATCCTCCACCCGCTCAGCAGTAGTACTGGGGAGGGGTGTGAAAAGGATGGTTTGGCATAGACTGGCAACGATCATGACGGAAAAGAAGAGATGAAGATGTGATGACTTTTTATTCCTTTTTTCTTTCTTTCTTTTGCTGGTACAGGAGTGTGCATGGGCATTGGTTTCAGCTTCAAGGATGGGGCTATGGACACAGCTCAGGGGCTTTGGGAAGACTTTCTTTTTAAGGGCGTTCTTTTGGTGTTGATTTTCCTATATTCTTTCTTCTCTACCTACCTATGAGTCTTTCAAGAATTTTATTGGTGTGGTCTTTCTTCCTTCTCAAACTTGTGTCTTATTGTCTTTGCTTTTTCGTATGCCTATCCAGCTAGCCTTTCTACCTATTGACGCAACTTTTTAGGAGACGTAGAAGTCTAACACGGGAGATGTAGGCTTTAGTATATTCGTAGGATAAGAATGCTATCTTACATCTAATCTTAAATTGCGAGCATTGTCAGTGAACAAGTTTCGACACTGGTGGTATTCGATCTTGTTTACTTGCTATGAATGTCAATGGCTTTGGTTGCGCAAAGGTACTTACTAGTTAAGCCTTTTGACTTTCTACGTCGTAGACAAGTATGTGTTGGTCGGAGGATGTATCTCTTATGGAATCTGTTTTCCCATGTGTTTTGGTTAAAGAATATGCAAGCAAAGGGGCAATAGATTGACTTTACAGTTCGTATACCACTGTCAGGATGGGTCTTGCCATTCCTGAACATTGTTGTGAGATATTGAGATACTGGGATAAAGTCTTGCATAATCAAAGTGCGACTTAAAAATCAGCAAACAGACGCAATGCCGACAATTGAAAATTATGATAGCGGTGACATGGCTGAGGAAGAATCTGCTGTTGAAGCATGCCGTTGTCTCTCAAGAAGTCAAATACCTGGTTGGAGCAGACGACTGATCTACAATTTTGGGCTTTGGCTGTTGGAAGCAAGTCAAGAACCAAGTAAGCAGTGTATGGTGTCTTGCAAATGCCAGATGGTAAGTTGTGAATAGCGAGCGGCTTTGATTGGGGTCAAGGATAGATAGAAGAATATGGAGTTGGATACTTGAAGCTCACTCGCTGCAAGTAAGCTGATTGGTCAAGGCTATCGGACACCAAGAGCAATGAGTATCGTGGACCCAAGGCGCCTATAGTAATAGATAAGACCTGCTGTCGGGGTAGCGAGTCGGCGGTGGAATTGACCAACAGGGTTGTCATGAGCAGACTGGCGTATGCAAAGTGTGTGATCTGTCTTGGGACGCATCGATAATCAGGCTGAGGGAACCAGGAAGGGGTATTGGATTTAGGACGATGTAGTTTCAGATGCCGTAGATTCTTTGCTTCGGTGGTTTGTGGGGTTGGTGTTACGCGTAGGTGGAGTTCGAGCTATGTTGCTCTAGTAGCTAGAGTCATGTATTTTGTATCTGTTTTGTCTATATGGAGACATAATCCTAGCGCTGCTTCGCATGTCAAGACCCTCATAGTATCTAAGAGAAGATGTAGCGAAATGGGAAGGAGTGTGGATCTTTAGAGGCAAGCAGAAAAGGTTGAGTAGAAAAAATTGGTTATAGACCTGATGTCTCTCATTTTAGAACTCCCACGGCCAGTCCTCCAACTCCTCATCCGAATCAGAATCAAGACACTCGATGATTGGGGGTAGATTTTCTGGCAATTCAAGAACGTTCGGGCTTGGGAAGCGGTACACTTGTGATAACAGTGAGCGACAAACGAAACGTAGACAACTTGTTTCGTCTTTGTTGTTCGAACATGATCCATTTTGATAGTAGTTCTTGTCTTCAGGTGAAACTCGTCCAGATTTTGACACGGCTAGCATGCGGGCCTTACTAGGAACCAGTCCATTAGGATCGCTGATAGAGTTAGTTGCCCCTAAGTTGATGAGGAGTTCTATCATTGCTAAGTTGTGTCGCTGCTGATGGGGTCGATCTTGCACTCGATGCTTCCAATGCCATACATGCGCCATTTTCCATGTGATTTCCAGCACGGTTCCCCTTGGATCAGCCATGTTGATATCTGCTCCATGAGCGATGAGCATGCGAAGTATGCGCGAAAATCGGTTCTTGAAGTAGTGTGCATTTTCTCTCCCGGACCTGACCACAGCATGAATAACAGTGCCGGAGGGGCCGCATTGTGAATTTATGTCTTCGCCCTTTGCTAGGAGCAAGCGTAACACCTCCGTAATTTCCTCAACATCAAATCGTTCCATAAGCAGATAGAGAGGACCACAAGGGTATTCGAATTCGTAAGAAGAATGGTCATATACGTGGAGCTGCGTTAACGATCGCAAACGCAATGGATACTCCGGGAACAGCGTGAGCAAAACGTCTATCTCCGTCATTCGTGCTTCCTGGATGGCCACTAACATGAAAACATGCTCCAATCGAGATGAATGGGAAACTAACCAGAGCATGAGGTTTGATCTTTCCCGGCGTCTTGTCATATCGCTTTCGGAGCAGAGGCAACAGATCGCAATTCCAAGAGCGCTTGCCCGAGGGTTAGTCGTGGATGCAATTGCGCCTGCTGATTGTCTGCCGCTATCGGATTGAGATGGCGAGAGTGTGAATGTGTCACCGGGAGCGAAGGCTTTCGGACAGTGGGCCAGTGCGTCCTCCAGATAAAGCATCAGGCAGTGACATACCGCCAGGTGAATATCACTGCAAAGGATATCGCGGTATACATAAGGTGACCACGGTAGGTGACACGTAGCACACCACTTTTGTGCTGTCGAACGAAATCATTGTTCAGACATCCCCGTATCAACGGCCAAGAGGAGTTGAGTGTTTCTTGCTCGAAGTCATACGCATGTTGTAAGAGAGTCATATACGCATAACGTTCCAAGCTCCTGAAAGGATTGTTGTCTACGAAGTCATCGTCGACAGTGATCCGAATGCTTCGGCTAAGATCATCCTCGCACACGCGATCTGGCGGACTCCATTTCACGCGCTTACCTGCCAGGAAATCTGTGCAGACTTTGAGCCAGAGCTTGTGCTGAGATTCCGAGGCTCGCTGCGCTCCAAGGAGTTCTTCCCAGCCTCTCCTGCTTAGAAACGTTCGAACGGATCTGTGAATGAAACGCACAGCTATCACTTCCGTTTGGCGCAGACTCTCTCCAAAATTAGCACTGTTGTATTCCCAGAAGCTTTCTTTGGTGGAAAAGCATTCAACAAGTCCAACTCCAATCACTCCGATGTATCGCTCAAAGCCATCTAAATCCTGACTGGTGACTGACTTCTCATGCGATCGAAAACCGACACCAGCAAGGATTGTCGCTTCAAACAATTCTGAAAGCCCGAGATCACGCTCAGCAGAGTTGATCAATTGGAGGATAACGCCACATGCTTCCTTGTATTCTTCTTTCACAGATTGGCAAATAAGAACATACAAATTTTCCAGTTCTGGCGGCATGTCAGCAATTATGCTCTGGATCCAGGCGTATTCGATCTCGTGTCCGTTGCACACTCGATCGATGACCTCGGATACTGCGAACCGAGCCCATAGAAAGACACCTGCAGAAACTTCTGTGATAGTTTTTGCAGCTTCCCGTAATGCGTGTCGTTCTTCGGGTTGTGAGGGGCATAGGTTTGCTGCGAAAGTGCTCCATGAGTAAGCATTGATGCCAGGCTTGTTCAAAATATCCATGCGGAACTGAAATCCTAGATCCTTGTAGGCAACGGTGAATGGTTTCATATCGGCTCGACAAGCAGATCTTGACCTTGAACTTAGTCATGCTGTTGATCAGATTGAGAAGCTCTGGCTTATGTCCCTGATACTCGTCCAGACCGTCGATGAAAACAATAAGGGCTGTTTGTTCTTTTCAAGCACGTATTCGAGAACACTGGCATCAGCTAGCAGGATTAGATCTTCCAAATGCTTCACGCTGAAGTGCTTTTTAACTTCAGCGGCAAGTGTGCTTGACTCCGTTATCACTTGGTACAACAAAGATCTCCTCATTCCTTCGAAGTTGTTCGCGATACCTTCTTTTCCTCGAAAGTCAAAAGAATCTCGCTATCAAAGGACCCTGATTCAAGGCTCCTTTTATAAGCTCTCGTGTCTTCTGATGTTTCGCGACGTAGTTGACCAAGGTACTTTTGCCTGAAGCCGGTTTGCCAGCGATCCAGAACAATTTGGCATCGCACGAAAGCCAATCAGCAAAGTTTGATTCCCATATCCAATCGAAGCTATCTTCGTGAGTGATCAAACTGTTCAACTGGCGTTCTCGGGCTAAGCGACCAGCAAAATCCAGCTTTTTGGCGAAGTCTAACGACGGTCAGGCTCGATAACGAAGGTAGCTGTGTGCATCATCGCAGTTGTGTCACGGACCTGAGACTATAGCTTGGTGATTGGTTTCTTGAGCTTGCTGAATTTCAGCTTGCCTTTCTCTGATGGTCCGAAAGTATCCTCGCAGAGCTCTCAAGGTGTTCTTATAGGTTTGATCATCCGCAGACGCGAACTTGCACATCATCATATGATTGGCGGTTTGGTTGAAGAAGCTTTGCTCAATATCGGTGCGATTGAACTTGGACGAGTAATCGGGCACCACCTGAGTCTGATCAGCAAAGAAAGTCACAATATATTAGCACAATGTACCTTGCCGCCTGCTCCCTTCATACTCGACATACCCAGACCTTCTTGCACGCTGCAAATCTGAATCTTGTCGCGGTCAGGTATGGCTTGGTTTAAGATCTCATTGAACCTTCTGGTTATTGTATAGAGTGTTTCACTGTCTGGTTCGAGACCTTTCAAGACTTCACTGTAGGTAGAGAAGCCACCAGGCAGAGCACCGACAATGTTGCTCATCATTGTGCCCCAAGCTGCAACTTCAGCTCCTAGATGTGGCGTTCCCATGAAGATAATCGCGTGGCAAGATGAGAGTAGATCCGAGTATTGTCGTTGAGTCATTTGCCGAGACTCGTTAAGTGCGCCTTTAACGAGAATTCCGCCTAGGCTATGGGCGACAAATATCAAAGGTCTACCTTGACACTGTTCCCTCACGCCAGCGACGTTGTGCATCAAGTTCTCGGCATGCTGAGTGATAGTCATCCGATTCGTTCCCGCTTTGTAGAAATGCGTGGGGTGAGAGTTGTAACCATAGAGCAGTATTCTGGCCTGCGAGATGTCGTCATCCTTTGGTAGAAGGTCATACGGCCAGAAACAATACGAAGTCTTCTCGCCGACTTTCTGAGACAAACTGCTAGGTTGTTGGCCTCCAGGTTTGTTGCGACGGAACAGTTTTGTCCGCAATGAGCTCTTTGTGCATTACTCTCGGATGAAATAGTTGACTGAGCTGTGTTTTGCTTGCCATATAGCCAAGTGTCTCTTGGATGTCCTTTAAGACCATGCACAAACACAATGTCAGCAATAATTTCATTATCCTGGGCCGGGCAGTAGATCTCAGTCATGTCAACATCCGCAATCCACGGACAGCCATCTTTGGTAGCGGACAACACGCGTGTATCTGGCAGGGTCGAGCTGCTGGTCGCAGCCATTTCTTTTGATCAAGGGTAGGGCCAAGGTGGATGAATTTGATGTCGAGTTGGAGAGTCAGAAGCGACACGAATGAGTGGCGGGGGTACACCGAACATTGTGATCAGGTGCCCAACGAGGCGTTCGCGTTATCAAGTGCTGCAAGGCAAAGTGGCTTGCATACACGCAAGCCGTGTCAAAACACATGTGAACTGAATCATATTCAGAGGTGTGACGGACGAGCAATCGGTTCTTTGGCACATCGCAGGTATGTCGACAGAACAACATCGAAACCTGAGGCTTGAACGAACTTGAGCGATGTGCCAATTCTTCAAACGATGAAGGTTCGGTATGCTGAGCACGAGACACAAGAGAAGGAACAACCGCGATGGCGCTGCCAAGCTCAAATGACTCTGCATAACATTACACAAAAGAGAAATTAGAGCATACCTTTTATGCATGCATGCTTTTGCTTGGAATTCATGTCATGCAATACTATGATAATCAAATGCTATATACGTGCTACTGCTTAATCATATAACTGGTCCGTAATCTTATTTTCCGCAAAAGACTCTACGATGGTTTACCAGAGCTCACAAGTAGGTGCCTTGACAGGACAGTTGAAGGCTTCTCTGAATTCGCGCGAGTTGGCAGTTGTACCCTGAGATTTTGTCAACATAGATACATGTCTGATGAATAAACTGAAACATACCTTGATTCTGAACATGTCAGGACTGTGAGGGTCTGTGTAAATCCTCTGCACGATTTGCTCCTCCCTCATCTTGCCGCACCAAGTCTGTCCGTATGCAAGGAAGAAGATCTGCTCCTTGGTAAAGTGGTCAAGACCCGGCAGCATAAGATCTGCCTTCTCGTCATCGCGACGCTTCCATGACTGATAAGCGGCGGTGAGACCACCGGCATCAGCAATGTTCTCGCCCAAGGTGAGCTTTCCGTTGATTGGCAGACGGCCATTCTTGGTGGGAACAGTGTAGTTGTGGTATTGCTCAACGAAGCAATCAGTCTTGGTCTTGAAAGCCTCGATGGTAGGTTTGTCCCACCAATCGGTGTAGTTGCCGTTCTGGTCGTAATTCCTGCCGGACGAGTCGAAGGCATGTGACAGCTCGTGACCAGCAACGGCGCCAAAAGCACCATAAGAAAGATATCTGGGTATAGAAGGATCATAGAAGACCGGAGCTTGCATAATACCCGCAGGGAACACAATTTCATTAGCCGGTGGATTGTAGTATGCGTTGACCGTGGGTGCACTCATATCCCACTCGTCTTTATCGACTGGTTTGCCTGCTCGTGACCAGCTTTCGCGGACATCGTGTCTGACAACTGATAGCTTGTTTTCGAAATAAGCTGTGGCCGAGACACTGATGTTGCTGTAGTATTGCTGCAATTCTCCAGCGTTGGTGATATCAGGGCTGCGAGTGGGGTAACCGATCTTCTGACGGATGAGATGGACCTTCTCAATGGCCAACTGGCGAACGCTTTCGGTCATCCATTCGGACTCGTTAAGCTTGATGGTGAAAGCATCCTTGATGTCAAGGATAATCTGGTCGCCTAGGTCTTTTGCCTCTTTGGAGAACGCGCGCTCTATGAAGAAGCGACTCATGATCCATTCTGGTTGAGGTTAGTGAGTAGCTCATACCTTTAGCGAACAACTTCACGACTTACCAAGGTCATTACCAACCGAACTCACGCATGTTCTCCAGCGTTCTTGCCTGACATCTGGGGCTTTGCCTTGCAACTTGTTTCTGAATCGTAGAAGTGGTTGTACAGCAGGGTCCTCAACAGCTCCAGCCCAAGATTGGACTACCTTCCAGACCAGATAAGTCTTGATTGTCTTTCTCGAGGACGATTTGAGGATTTTAGAAAGGTCCTTCAGATAGGATGGTGAGCCAACAATAATTTTCGAGGGTGTGTAGCCGTGTGCAAATTTGTCAAGGATGTGAGTGATAGAGATTTCCGAATTGTAGGCTTCGGTCTCCTTCAAGGTACGCGGGTTGTAGTACTTTGTAACATCGGCAGCGTCCTCTGGGTCCGGAGCGGCATTTGCCAGAGATTTCTCAAAGGCAACAAGGCTGTCAACAAGATCCTTGCTCAGTATACCAGATTCGTTGTCTCCCTCGTACATGAAGGAGAGGACACCAGACTTGGCCTCCTTGAGAAGAGCCTCCAAGACAGTTCCGATGGTATCTTTGTATGATGCAACAATTTCTGCACGTTCGAAGTATTGTTTACTGGGCAATCCGAATGACCAAGGAGCACCGACAGAAACAATATTGACATCAGGGTCCTTATCATCAGCACCAACGTCAACAGAGACTGGACCTCCAACACCGATCTCCATCAGGTACTCAACTGCCTTAGTCAGCGACTCGTCCTTCTTGCTTGACTTCGATTTCTCAGGGTAGATCTCATCGAGTTGCCAAAGAAGATCGAGCAGAGGTTTGGATCCAATGTGAGAAAGTAATGTCTCGTTCATGCATGCGTTGTAACCGTCCTGCAACTTGGTGAAAATCTCCTGATCTGGGTTTGCTGCAGTCCAGAACAGCGACGTATCCTTGGGAGCAGGCGATTCTAGGATGTGCTTCAAGATGAGCTGGTTGTCTTCATTCATGATCTGAAGGTTGCCAACGCCAGCCTGATCCTCTCGAATTTCGTGGCTAGCATCAAATCCAGCACAGACATACGTGCGGAAATCATCACAAGGATCCAGCTTCTCGTAGCTGATTTATTCTTAGCTCTTTTCTTCGAAGACAATCATTGAGACTTACCTTGGAGCAAGACTACGGAGAATATTTGCAGATGCGAGCACACACGCGGCAGATGTACAAAGCTCGGTATTGTTGGTTGATGGATTCGAAGGTTCCTTATCGTGATGGTGTTTCTTGTTATGATCATGAGAGCCGTGGTGCTCAGAGCTGTTACGAACACTCTGGATAATCAATGGTATGAGGACCAACAGCAGTAAAAGTATAATGATTAGATAGACGCCATTGCGTTGCAAGAAGCGTTTGATACGGGTGCCTGTCGACTCGCTTGAGTCAGCCCGACCAGCAGTTGGTGCATCACCATCAAGCAATGGTGTACGCTCGTCTCTGTTGTTGCCTGCCATACTTCGAGTTCGGCAGGTGTTGTAGCTGATGGAGAGAGTGGTGTTGCCTGCTCCAACACGAGGTCGAGTCGGGGAAGTGGGGTCAGCTATGACTGCATGGGAGCTTGGACCATGTCTGAGCTTCGGATAATAATGGATTGTCTGCGCTCCATTTTCCTCAGCGTTTCTGGGTCTTCACGACAAAGACTTCTATGCTCACGTCGAGAACCTCAGACAAATTGACTCTATCAGACAGTACACCCCAGGTGTAGCTCTCTACTTGATAACCAATACCGGTGCTTGCGGCTGTTCCCAGCCACCCATCCTTGTGGCTTCAGAGAAGGGCCGTTCTTTTGCGCTTGAAGGTATTTCATGAGGCAATTACTCGCATTATGCTACGCTTTGAGGCAGCAACATTTCTGGTTGTGGATGTTAACGACCGTTGGACATCTCTTTCTCGAAGCATTGTAAAGCATGGACCGTATGGTAAGCTGGGTCCTTGGCTCCTCAATGTTCAGGCTCCACTCTCGAGCCCGAAAGAAATAGTTCGCAGGCAATGCCGTATTTGGCTTTCAGGACTAGTCAGGTATAAGTCTGCATTTTTCTTTGTTTCATCTTCTTTTCTCCTTGTCTCTGCAACAACGCTCCATCTCCAAGCTTCATAATGATAGCTAGCTTCCAGCCCGACCAAGAAGCCGAAGTACTTCTTTCGAAGACCTCCATCCTGCGCGATACTACACCGTTGCCGGCCGAGCTCGCATCTCTAGGCCTTCGTATCCAGTACTTCTTCCTTGTCTGGACGGTCAAGATCAGTATCGCTTTACAGTTGGCATACCTGCGGTTCTTCCATCCAAATGCCGAGACGCAACCAACGTCCGTCAAAACTTATTCATGTCGACCAAGACTCCCAGTCCGCGTGTTCATGCCGAAGTCTCGTCAAAGAGGAAACAAGGCTGTTCTTCCGCTATACATCCACATCCACGGAGGGGCATTTGCGACTTGTGATGCATCGATCGACGACAATTTCTGCAGATCTTGGTGCGAGCGCACAGGGATGGTGGTTGTGAGTTTGAACTACAGAAAGTCACCTGTCCACCGATTTCCCGTGCCCGTACTGGATGTTGCTGCGGTGGCACGCGCAGTTGTCGATGATGCAACTCTGGGTATCGACAAAACCCGTGTGGTCATGGGTGGGTTCAGTGCTGGTGGAAAATTAGCCTTGACCGCCTGTCAGCTGCCTGAGCTGCAGGGTCGAATCAAGGCAGCTGTGTCGTACTTCCCAATTGTCGACTGGAGCGCTCCTCCGCATGCCAAATGGGCCGAACGTCTGTACACAGAGAAGAAATCGGAATCACTCAACACTGCGGGTCCAGCATTGGATTGGGCATATGTGCCTGCAGGTCAAAACAGGAAAGAAAAGCTGCTCAGCCCCTGTTACGCGAGCAGAGAGGAACTTCCGGAATGGGTGTGCTTGATCGGAGCTCAGCATGACATGCTGTGTCGCGAATCTCGAGATATGATATACTCGCTAGCCGGCGAGGAAGTCTCTGAATCTGGCTGGGATCAAGGTTGGGAGAAAGGCAAGTACAAATGGCTGCTTGCCATGGGCGTCAGACATGGTTTCACGGACGAGTTCCGTAAGAAGCGAGGCCGACAGTCCGAGATACGTAGGCAGGTCTGCGAAGCCACCTATGCATCTGTACACGAGTGGCTAGAGACCAAAGTCTTGGTATAATCAATAAGTCTTGTGTCAATATGAAATGCAATCCATAGTTTCGAAGGATGTCGGGGACTCTTGATGCCCATAGGCTGCTTGATATATCCGTTAAGTCCGCGCTTATGTTTGATCCTGCCGATCTTTGTTGACATGAATCTTTCACCGGTCGGCTTTCAACATTGGCCCGCTTGCATTGATATGGCGAGTAATGGCAAGCGAAGGATGCAACCCACTATGCGCTTTGATCAGACCACGCCGTAGGCAGACATGAAAGCACATGTATAAGAAGGGTTCAAGCTTCGCCCTGTCTCTCGAGCATATCAAGTCTCGACGAGTTGCTGATATCACTCACTATGGCTCTCAGCGCAGGATCTACTTTGCCAGAGGTGTATGAGAGCTACGATGCTATAGCCCCGGCCAAGTTTGCCGGCAAGCTACAAGGCAAAGTGGTAAGTCACTCAGTCTGTGGGAAAGTTCATGAATTCAAGGCTGATCCACAATCCAGGCCNATCGTCACCGGCGCATCAGCCGGTCTCGGTCGATACATCTCCAAGGCATTTGCTGCTGCCGGTGCATCTGTCGCTATTGTCGCCCGTCGCAAACAGGAGCTCCTCGCACTCGTCGAAGAGATCAAGTCGGCCAACGGCAAGGCCATCCATATCGTCGCAGACGTGATTGCCAAAGGTGCTGCTCAGAAGATTGTGGCACAGGTCGAGAAAGAGCTAGGACCCGTGGATATTTTGGTCAACAACGCAGGCGTCTCGCGTGTCGGCCCTTTGGATGGCGAAGACGAGGATCTGGACATCTGGTGGCGTGTACACGAAGTCAACGTACGCGCCCCGGTGGCCTTGACTCGTGCAGTGCTGCCTTCAATGATTAAGCGCAACACTGGCGTCCTCCTTACCACCGGATCTGCTGCGGCCACCATGACACTTCCTGTCATGACTGCCTATTTATCATCCAAAGCTGCCATCAGCAAGTTTCAGGAAGGCTTGAGTGCTGAGCTTGAAGGTACCGACATTGTGTCCTTCTCTGTTCATCCCGGCTACGTCCAGACAGAGCTAGCCGCTGCCGAGAACGTCATCAACAAGGAACAAATGCACCATCCCGCCGTGCAATTCCTCTCCCAGATGATGGCGAGTAGTGATATCAAGTGGCAAAAGCCTGAGCTGTGTGCCGACACAATGGTCGCTCTTGCTGCTGACCCGCGTTACAAGGTGCTCACTGGTCGTCATATCAATGCTATTCAGGAGCTTCCTCCTGTTGCTGAGGAGGCAGAAAAGGAAGGCAAAGGCCGTCTTGGTACAGACAGGTTGTACCTCGTCACCGTCCCTACTTTATAGAGCTTTGGTGGAGTAGTAACCAATCCAGTCAATGTTTTGAGAATTCATCATAAGGTCCATGGTGTAGGGATGTTACATGGTCTTCGTGAAGAGCAGCGGCGTGAGGATTGTCTCTCGGCCGAATTTGCCCGATGAGCCCGACCTTCGCACCTGCCCTCCTCGAGCTTGCCTAACTTACTTCAGTCAATGGAAGCAATTGACGCAGTCCACACCACGTCACGTCGAGTTTCGCAAGTTTATCCAAATCATCAAACCAGTGAAAATCCGAGCTGTAACATCACGGTCTGTTCTTCAGATTTCATTTCTTGCGACAGTTCTTCATATTCGGCGCCCAATTGAGACACCGACCACGAGTTTGTACGACGTTCAACCGCCACTTGATGCGAAACCATCAGTCCTGCACTTGATGCTTGAACAACTCATTTCCCTAGCTGTCATCGAACGTCTCTGGACTTGGAGTCATGACTGCAATCAATGTTAACCTACCTGTCGAGCTTCTGGACCGCATCATACGCTTCACGATACCAGATCTAGATTACTTAGCATATCCTGCATCGCATCCTACGACCAAGACATTGATGGCGTTTTGTATGGTTTCGAACGCCACTAATCAAACTGCAAACAAATTGCTCTATACTCACTGTCTCCACATTGACAAACCATGGCGTCTCGATCTCCTTCTTACGAGATCTTTCTCTCAATGCAACTTTTCGATCCCGGTCTCTGGCGTTCAGAGCTTGTACCTTTCGCCGTTCTCCAGTGATACAATTCGGGAGTCAAAAGTCATCACCCAGATAGCAGAACTCTTCACTCTTCTCGGTCCAAGCCTCAAGCGGCTAGTCATCAACATGTCGCTGCGCTCCCACTACCCCGAGGAGGACATAAACGACCAATTACGACCTATCCTTCGTAGAGGCTTCGAGCAGCTAGTCCACCTTGAAGAATTCTGCAGTGTCAAAGACGAATTGTATCTTGCGTATTGGGACTCTACATCCTCCCCAGAAGCCAATGGGACTGAGGTCAATAATTTTATGTTTGAGAGATGGACAAAACTGCGTCGCCTTGCACTTTACAACCAGATGCTCGACTCAGATTTCGAGGCAGCACTCACACGTATACCAAATTTGGGGAAAATCGTCTTGCCCCGTCCGGACTTTGAAGAAGATGAGACTTCATGGTCGAGTGATATGGCCATTGCGGTCGGTGACCGGATTCAATTTACAGTCGTCAACACTACAGACCGGGCTCCCGAGGCTGGGATCCGAAGCTTGAGATTCACGATCGAGTCTTTGGGGGTACAATCTGATGCATGGAAGTACAATCTCTTCATGGGCAACGACATGGACGAAATCTCTGCTGTACAAGACTGGTCGCTTCAGTGCGCGCTAGATGGAAGCTTATGGTCTTTGCCCGATGGTTTGGACTCCCATTTGTAGATGGTCTATTCCCATCACTATATCACTAGAGTATTTCAAAAATTCTATACCTGCACGGCATCTTTCGACCTTTGCGGCCGGGCTTGCAGAGCCGCTGGTTTAATCGACCCCTTCTCTTGTTGTCCACTATTGTCTCCCAATGCCTCACCCCTCTGCTCTGATGATCTGGTGCATTGCAGATGAACGCGTTGATGCCCGAGAACTGCTGGAAAAGGCAACGTCCATACCTACAGCTGTTCTGCACTACACTTCCTGAATTAACGGGTCTGCTCAGGAAAGAAGCTCAAGCTTGAAGCTTGAATTCATGGATACCGGGTTTCTTCTGTTCTTGGATGGCGGCCTGGGTCTCGATTTGGACGAGAATGCGATTGAACATGGTTTCCAAGTGTAGTACAATTATGCGACAAGCATTTTTGTTGCCAATGATAAGCGCGAGTGTGTCTGTTCCGAACGCCCTTCGGAACTGCACATGCCACTTGGCGACATTCATTTAATTCAGGACAGCACTACAATCCATGGCGAAACACGGATGTGACTTCCTGACCTCACTCATATAATGCAACGTCGACCATCGTAAAAGTCAAGTTCTCTGGAGACCTGGATCCCCGTCACACGGAGATCTTAGGCCGAGTGGCTTGCCGGGCTTTGATGTTTGCGTGATAGCAAGCATAATATCTCGACACTGACAATCTATGGCCTCTAAACTACCTCAAGAAATATTGTCTATCATCGCTGCATATGTCGCAGCCGACAGCAAGACACTATCAGCATACGCTCTGGTTAATACGAGCTGGCAAGCGGCATTTGAGAAGCAGATCTACTCGTCACTTTGCGTGCTCAGCCCGTCGCAGACCAGTAACGTTGTTGTTGGAGAGGACTTGCAGTTCCCCAAGCGTGGATTGTCGTTGGAGAGATTGAATGCCATCACCAGCGGGCAGCAGAGTTGGCGTGTCGCGAGGAGAAAAGCCGTTCGCAAGATTCTCTACAAAGCTGCCATACCACATTGGCTGAACTACGAACGAGAAAAAGAAGACGGGTTTTCCTACGTCAATTTTATGAGAAGAGAGAATGACGAGGTTTTTTGCAAGGGCGTGCCGCCTTTGTTCGAGGTCCTGTCTTCTTGGGGTGACAAGGACTATCCCATCTCGTTGCGCATTGTTCTGCAAGCCGAACACGTCTACACTTCCGATCAGGGCGGCGAACCCTTGACCAAATCTTATGGTGGATTTGATCCGGTGGTTACTCCCTATTGTGCGGATCTTCTATCAGATTGCCATATCGCAACCGCTAGTTGTATCGCTTCGCTGGACTTCCCTCAGGATCAGCTACTCACTTTCATGGGCTCTCAAAATGGCATCTCGCCTTGGGCTGCGCTCAAAATCTCCGCCGCTTGTGGTGGTGATAAGTTACTCTACATTCGCATCCCAGGAGACTATCCGATACACCCTCACGACGCCGTCTGCGAAACACAAAAGGCAGCGCGACGAATGCCCAAGATCAAACACCTGATGTTATCTTTTGGCAACGAAGAAGATGTATTGGAAGTCTTCATGGAGAGAGGGCGATGGCTGCTTGCCATTGAGTCGCAAAACAACTACAGCCCTTCATCGAGAGTGCTGCAAGCATGGAAAGCAGATGCGAAGAGCCAGGATACCAACAGTAAGAGATTGTTGTCTATTGCTGAGTATGAGAGTTGGCCGCCATAACTGGAAGCCGCATTTGCCATTGCTCATAGCAAATCTCTTCTTGGCGATGGCATTACCATAAGAGATCCAGCTTATCAGTGTAGCTGACAAACAGGAGCTAGTGAGGGCTAGTTTGATTACATGTTTCTCTAGTATAATCTCCCAGAGGACTTGCCGAGCTTTAACCATAAGCACATACCCCTTACCAATTTTTACTGTCGCAGTGATTTAACAATATCTGCGCCCAACTAACTTGGCTTAAGGTAAAGAACTTGCCGCAATGTTGTTGGGCGCCTTGAGTTTGGCAAAACTAATCTTCAATCCAATACTGCAGCGGAGGTTTCCCAACATGAAGCTCATGCCCGACTTCATTCTTCGCTCAGCGACACGACTACTGCTTGTCCATACTGTCTTTGCCTGGCTGTTTTTGCAAGCTTCTCTTACGGACTTACCGTTAGTGCCGGGACTCGCTTTAATGATTGCTCCTGGTTTTGTGGTTGAGATGACCGAATCGTTCTTGGACCTGCATGCTGGTTTCGAGTTGCCAAGAGAAGCGACCTTTCTTCTCCCAATGCTATTCAACGAATACGTCAGAGAGTCTTTTCCTGAGCTTGGTAGTCTTTTAGGCATATCGCCATGCTGGCACGACGTGGTGTACAAGGACAAGCAAACACAGTGTAAGCAAGATCTTGCATACACCTGCTTCCAACACGCTCAAATTGAGGACGGCGAAAAGAGTCTCCAAGTCATGCAAGATTGCTACAAAGACTATGGCATCTCAACCGCAAAAGCTTTACAACATCAAAACCAATGTCACATCGGCGACAATTTCCACATCACAGGACCTCTGGCTTGTATAAGAGCCAAAACGCGACTCATGGAGAATGAAGAGATTTCTCCAAAAGTGTTTCCAAGTCTGGAATGTACTATCATATATGCTTTATGGGACCTGATACTCCCTAGGGCCAATGAGATAGGGGCGTGCGTAAATACGCGCGGGTCCTCTGAGTTCTGCTGGAACAAGGTAGATCCTAATGACTGGACGGTATCAACAACCAGGTCAGGATCAATAAGCAGGTTACTCAAGCATGTAGACTAGCGTATAAGTTCAAATCCGCATTGACAAACTGCAAGACCATATCGCGCGAGCATTGCAATTTGGAAGGGCTTATGGGCGGCTCGAGTATCAAGATAGAGCCTGGCTCAACTAAGCAGTAGTCAAGCTTTGAACGGAATTTCCTACAGTTAGCTGGCGGGAGCGGTTTGCAAAGCTCTTGTCTGAAAAGTCATGAGAACATTCGAAGGGAGGCTATGGCTGCTTCTGATGCAAACAGCAGTAGTGGCGATGGCATGGATACCATGAATTACGGCTTTCGAATAGTGGCAACGAGCATCGTGCTTATGTGGCATTGCAACAATCTGTCGGAGGGTTTCAGCTGTTCGTCGGCATAGCAATACCATGCATTCAACTACAAATACCTCCAATGGCTCGCGATAATGACTTGTATTGACACAAGAGCAGTATTGGTCAAGATGACAGGTCGATGTAAAAGCAAGACTAAGCCTAATGCAGAAGATATTCAAGTCATATTCTTTTGAGCTGTGCCAACTAGACATTGTAACCCAAGCATTGAGCTTGCCAGAAGTTGAAAAAAAGTGGTATAACGTAGCAACAGTAAGAACAAATCAAACACCCTAATGGTACCTTACGCACTCTGGCATCTATAGTATTAGCAAAATATGACTCAAGCACCATTCAATCAAGAGATATAGTTGTACTTAGATACAAGGGTGTGATCAGAACAGGGAGAATCTTTGGTTCGTGGCAGGGTCGTACCTGCAGCATCCAAAATCAAGAAAGTTAGGATCATATCGACATATACTGCGATGAGAGGAAGATGAGTGAATAGAATCGATACGTGGGGATTGACAACATAAGAAGAGTGGTTGTATTAATCATGTGGATCTCGAGTTCGACGCGCTAGCATCTTCAAAGTCCATGGTGGATGCAAGCGTATAGCCGAACGTCGCGCTTCTTGCTAGAGAAATCAGTATGTAGCAAGCATTTACCAGACGTGTATAGCAGGCGAAAACGTGCTTACAGCTTACTCGAGGAAGCCCATCCGACAAGCTGTGTGAGCTCGGTGCTGCTTTGAGTCAGATACCTTCGTACGTTTGTAACGTGTGGTAATGAAACCCTGCTTGATGTCCTAACCGCCCTTTCTACGATAGAGAATTGTTTTTCACTACAGGACTTGGGTGTGTTCTCGTAGGTATCTTGGCCTGCTTCTCTTGTGATTCCTCCTTTGCTTTGGTCGTTGGGTTGCCTTGCTTCTTGCTCGACTGGTGAGCTTGCGTGACTGCCATGCTCTGCTCATTACTGGGGGTTGGATCGTGTGTGTGGGTGGGTTCTGTGGTCGATGTTGAGATTGGGTCGGATGTGTATGGAGGTTCGGTCGGCTACAAGATTGGTCTGAGGGCGATGCACTGGGTGGCATCGGTTCATATAGTGCTTTGGCAGGTCGGTTTGAATGGATATCGTAAAGAGGGCCTCTGCAGATCATCGAGCCGGAATGTTTCTGGTAGTGATATCGTCAGCCATGGCGGTTGGTGTTATAATTCTTACCTTGACTAAAGCTTGACCGGTAGTTTGTAAGGCGGTGGGATTTCTCAAGCGCCGACAACAATGTGACGGCGGTGGTGAGAAAACACCATATTGTTTTCGAGTTGAACACAAAGATTGCATGACAAGAAGATCAAGAAGATGGAAGTAGACTGGGAATCATATTTTCATTTCATGACCGTCATGAGGTAATAATTAACTATTTTGATAGAAGAGAGGTGAATTGGCCTTCGACCAAAAACAGATCAGCCAGCGATCTGTTTAGCGGGCGCAGTAACCACCGTCAATGACGAGGTCGGAACCGGTAGTGTAGGTGGAGGCGTCAGAGCAGAAGTAGACGTAGGCAGCCTTGAGCTCCTTGGCGTCACCGTCACGGCCCATGGGGATCATGGAGTGCCAGAGCTTCTGTGTCTCCTTGTCGACGAAGTCCGAGAGACCAGTGTCAATGTATCCGGGGGAGATGGAGTTGACACGGGCAAAGTCGCGCCACTCGTTGGCGAGAGAGCGGGCCATGTGGATACAGCCAGCCTTGGCGACGTTGTAGGAGGTCTGCTCCTGAGGGAAGTTGGCGATGTGACCAGACATAGAGGCGGTGATGACGAAAGAACCGGTCTTGCGCTCCTTGAAGTGGTGGCCGACGGCCTTGGCGCAGTATGCAACACCGAGGAGATCGGTCTGGATAACCTCCTCGAAGGCGGAGATCTCGCCATCGAGAACACCAGAGTCGGCGGTCTTGCCGGCGTTGGCGACGAAGGCGTCAATCTGACCGAAGTCGGCAATGACGTCCTTGACGAGCTGGCAGCAGGACTCGTAGTTGGCGACATCGAGCTTGTAGGCCTTGGCCTTGATGCCGTACTCCTTCTCGAGAGCGGCGGCGTTCTTCTCACCACCCTCCTTACGGCCAGCGTAGGTGAGGGCAACGTTACCGCCCATCTCGGCGATACCGCGAGCGGCCTCAATACCCATACCACGGGGACCGGAGGCACCAGTGACGACGGCGACCTTGCCCTTCATGGAGAGCAGGTCCATAAGCTTCTCGCCCTTGGGAATAGAGATAGGCATGTTGATGTGATTTGGTGGGGTTGTTGGTAGAAAAAGGGAGATGGATTGGTATGAAGAGAGGATGAAGAGAGGAAAGATGTGCAGGGGAAGAGATAGCTATTTAAAAAGAAGCTTCCTCCGTTCACTTGTTACCGCTCGATGGGCTGAGGTCATATTTTCTGCTGGGATCCAGCCAAAAGTCCCTCCTCGGTCGTCCTGCAGCTTCACCACGCTTCTTTCACTGACCTCATAGGCGGGGTCGTGGGGCTGAAGGTGGCCCGGTCAACGAGCCTCAACAGATACAAACCAACATTGAGCGGCCCTTAACACAGCAAACTTGGGGCTTGACTGAACGTTGACTGAAAGGGCCGAATTCTGACTTGTTTGTGGCACCGATTTGCTGCAACAATTTTCGTGGCAGGAGCTCCAGATGATCCAATGGTGGGACAAAACACATGGCCTGGTGTGATGTCAGTGGGCACGGGCCTTATACGATGCAAAATATCGAAAGCTCCCGACAGCTCCGCTGTCTTGCCCCGCCAAATCCTCGATCTTCACACCTCTTGCTTCCAGCACGGACAACAAACAGTTCACCAGAATTGGACATCAACGATCGTTTGCTTCCATCGACGATGTTTTGGCCAGAGGATAGAAATCACAAGAAGGTCATGGTAGGAGGTCTTCTTCTCGCTTTGACAATTTCTCCTGCCTTCTGTCTATCGTCTCGCTCCGCCATCTCTGTGCAAACAAGGACGAGCTGCTTCAGCGGGGGACGAGCTGTCGGTGCGGTCGCCTACTCCGCCCACTCGGGTGCCGCTAAACAAGGAGAGGGTTACGTGTATCGGACGACTACAGATTGTTGCTACACGTGTCTACATTGGCATCGCAACGGCAACATGATCGTAATTTCCAGTCAGCCAATTCGTGTCGACAACTGGACATGAATGGTCCGAGATCCAAAGATTCAAAATTGAAGGATCATGCAAGAGTGCGGCCACTGGCAATCGATACGAAAACTACGCCTGTGCCCCTGCTTTCTTCCCGATTGGAAAATACCTCAATTCTCTTTGGCCATATTTTCCTGTACAACAGGTGGTTGCTCTTGCGCTTCACGACTTCTCAACGACAGTCGCATCTGCGAGAATGAGACCTACCCCTGCACGAGCACATCGCAATGTGGTCAAGCAGTGTGACACTGGCCTCTGCACAAGCTGCAGGGACGATGCAGCAGACGCGGGGTTTTCAGGAACCGTACGGCACTGATGTTTTGAGTAAGCCTTTTGTCATTGATTGGTGCAAAGCAGATATGTTGGTCAGAACCGAGCAGGCCTATCGAAGAGCCATGAAGTCTCCTCTTGACTCTTCAGAGGTCGCATGGTTCTAAGAATGTCCAGAGTACCGAGAGTTTTGATCGAACAACTGCGCTGATCAAATCCACTTGCCAGGATGCTTCGACAACTATCCACGATTGATTGATCGACATCTCCCAAGTCACTCAGATAATGCCCCATCGACGGCAACATCTCCCTGACTGGTTGCCAGAACATACAAAAGAGCCAGGAAGAAAGACATGAAATCAAGGCAGCGCTTGCACATTACAAACGTTTTCCCAAAAGAGCTTCGGCATCTGCATGGTAGACAACTCGTTCAATCTGGTGCGAACAGTGCTATGCTAGGTAAAATGTACAAGTCGACTAGCAATGCGTTCGCTGGTCATCTATTCTCTACTCCTGAATAGCGATTCATGCAATCTGATCGCATGCATGGCTGGTCCAATTGTAGCAGTCATGAATGTAAACACCTTCACATGCAAGCATAATATCAAAACACCTCTTTCGTGCACAAGTCTGGACAAAGGTCACTACTCAGAGCAAAAAGAACTGCCATTGGGAATCGGATAATCTATTGCGTCCAACATAACAATGTATGCCTTTTGATCTGTTTCTTTTACATATCGCTTAAGCCAAGTTCAGAGGCTTTGATCTGCAAACCCAGGAATTTGCTGTAGATCCTGCAGAGAGCGAGGTTTCCTCCCATATACCAGAAGTGAGGATGGCCTGAAGGTCGCCACATCTGTTTTTTAGGTATTGTCAATCAAAGGTCACAATATAAGTTTTTGTATAAAAGAATGACAGGGGGAAAACTTACACCATTCAACTCTCCCTCATCGTCCAAATCCCATACATCGGTGACTTTGTCTGCAATTTCGTCGCCGAGGATTTTACGGCAGGACGTGCGCATGTTGTCGTAGCCGGTAGCCAAAACAACCACATCGGCTGTGATGAAATTGTTGTCGGCTAGACGCACGCCAGTGGCTTCAAAACCAGCGATACCTTCTGCACAGCGAACGACTTTTACTTTGCCGGATGTGATGAGTTGGCTGCAACCTACATCGATGTAATAGCCACCTCCTTTGGTCATATACTTTCTAAACAGCCCAGAGCCATCATGCCCGAAATCGACTTTGAAGCCTGCGTTTTCCAGACCGTCTAGGTTTTCTTNTTCGGCTTGTTTGATTGCTGCAGTGAGATTTCTGCCTAGAGCGAATTGCACGGGCAGAGGTAGGGATTGCGAGTAGATGTCTGCGGCTAGGGTGGGAGGACCTGTTTCATCGTAGGTGCCGGCGTGCAGCATGTGGCCTCCTTTTTCGGCTTGCAGCACGTAGGTGCCTGAGCGTTGAAGCATTGTTACAGAGGCAGCACCAGCCTCGTAGTAGTTNNTTTGGGCAATGTCGTGGCCGCTGTTGCCAGTGCCTACGACGAGGATTTTCTTGCCTTGGGCAGATGCGAGTGTGGCATCTTTGTGCGCGCTGCCGTGGTAGATGGTGCCGTTGAAAGAGTCTTGACCTGGAAACGTAGGGATGCGAGGTTCGCCGCTGTGGCCTGTAGCGAGGATCAGTTGAGAGGGATGCAGTGTTCTCTTGCTTCCATCTGCTTTTGTGATGTCGACAGTCCAGGACTTAGAGGAGGGTGACCACGTCGCGGAATTGACGGAAGAAGAGAGCCAGATGTTGAGTTCCATCAAACTGGCATAAGCCTCGAACCAATCTCCAAGCTTGTCCTTTGGAGTGTACAGCGGCCAGTTGGACGGGAAAGGCAGATAGGACATATGTGCGTAAGTCACAGGATCGTGGGTGACCAAGGTGCGGTATCGAGAGCGCCAATTATCTCCCACGCGAGCTTGTCTGTCTACTATCAAAGTAGACAGCCCCAGGGCTTGCAGTCTAGCAGCAAGATTCAGACCAGCTTGCCCAGCACCAATAATCAAAGCAGTAGGTTCGGAATCGACAAAATCGTAAGTTTGTTGTCTTCGCTCGAACCAATTACCTCCAAGAGAAGAGTTTTGACCGCCGTGAGCGCGACGAGCACCAGTGGTTTCCTCATGACCCTTGATTTCGTCGAGAGCGGTGTACAGCATATGGGCCTTCCAGTCGCCGTCTGCGCCCTGAGCTAGCCGGAAGAAACCTCGACCTCTGCCTGTCGCGGTCTCGAAGGTGAAAATTGACTGAACCCAATCAAGTTCTGGAATGGGAGTGACGATGGACGGAGCGTATGCCTCGCCCTCTGAAACCAAAGACAACGGGCGTAGATTCACAGATGAGAGAATGGGAGAGAGGAATGAGGTTATGGCAGGTAAACCATGCAGAGTACGGAGATCCCAGGATAGAGCTACATGGTCACGCCACCAGCTGTCTTGATGGAAGACGGTAGAGAGACGAGAAACATGGCCAGAAAGAAGGACTGCTGAGAAGCGGTCGAGCCAGTTTTGAGCAATCGATCTCGGATTTACATTGGTAGAGACATCTTGAGTAGGTTGTGATGTCTTGAAGTGAGACAAGAAGACATCATGTGGTTGGGGAGGTGTAGCAAGCATTTTGATAGTGAGGACGTTCGGGAGAAGAGTTGAGAATGCAGAGACAAAGTGGAAACCAGACAGGACCTACGTGGTATATGTATACGTACGAGTCGCGGAACTACAGCGGCGGGGTAACATGTTAGTGCTACGTATGGACACAGAAAGGGAAAGACTGGCGAAGACGAGGGTGAGGACGTGAAGTTGGAAGGTGCTCGGATGACCCTTTTGGGCTGCCAAGGCTCGGGTCAGTTGCTCCAAGTCGGCACACCTTCCTTGACACTCGTCAACCTCGCACAACATCAACCCGAAGACACGATCCGACCTGATTCAAGAAACATACAACTGCTGGCAGTGTAGAAGGAGCAAGTCACCATGTCGTCGTACCTGTCCAACATCCTCACAAACACAACGTCCAAATACAACACACTCCGGCGCAATCTCCTCTCGGACGAAGTCGACGGCGACACCGAGGACGACTCGCACCTGTGTCGAGCACTCCGCGCATACTACACCGAACAGAACAAAGCCTTTCCACCATGGTTGCCCAACGACCCCAAGCGCTCGGCCTCTGTGCAAACAACATCGTCCTTCACATCCAGCCTGCGACAACAATCATCACAACAAACACCCACAATCAATGCTCCCCAAGGAGGTGGAAGAGGCGGTCTGAGTGACCTTTGGGATACCCCAGGCCAGAGACAGCCATCACCACAACCTCAGTCGTTGAGAGTCAGAGCACAAGATCGAAGTGGATCTTTCCAGGGACGGTCACAAGGAGGAGACAGTCTGGCGGCGCCGCGACCATTGCCGAGTCAAAGAGCAGGGAGCTATCAGAGTACTATCTCTCAGCAGCAACAAGGAAGCGACCCTTCACCACCAGCCAGCAGTGGAGGTACGGCGCAAGAGAGACTCAAGGCCAGATTGTGGGGAGCTGCAAGAGTCAACAGTGCGGCAAATGCAGCATCGTCGGCGGGAGCAGCATCAGGAAGCGCATCACCAGCAGGGTCTGGTCGTTTTGCCAGAGGTTGATATTCTTGAAGTAGCGCGGAGTTATGGAGTTTTCATCTTTCATGGGATACTCGGCCATTTTATATTATTGCTTGAACAACAGAAGCACTCTTAATGTTTCCGAAAGAGAGATGGTCCAACCTTTCTTGGTGCAATGCGTGACGGGTGCTGCTGTCTTGTATAACGATATATGCAATAAATTGTGGAAGAGGGGTTTGGGAGTACAGCGAGAAAATACCCCACACACGTCACTCGGTCCCCATACTCCATCACAAGCATCAAGGCAGCAGTTTGAGAGTCTTTACTCTGCTAAACATGGCGGCATCACACAACAGCAGCCCGCGTGGATCAGTATACGACATGAGCGACGACGAAGAGAGCGACTACAACAGCGTACGCCGTCGGTCGTCGGCCTCGCGCGGCGTCAAGCTGCTCTACGCAAAGAGCAAGGTCTTTGTCCACCCCTCGCCCTCTTCCAAGGACAACATCGATGGCTTCATGGCCCTCTACGAGCAAAAGTCGCCTTCTGCTTCTTCCGCCGCTTCCTCGTCCACCCAAATCCCCTCGTCCTCGCTGATTCTCGGCTGGACCCCTCTCGCCTCCNNCCTCCAGAGCCAGGGCCAGTTCGACACTTACTCAAAGGTCGATCTAGACGACAAGGACCAACCCACAAGAAACCTCGTTCCACCCCCACCCATCACTTCAGCCCACTCCGCATCCCCAGGTCCATACCCTTTTGCTGTTCAAGCCAGCGAAATCTACTCAATTCAGATCCGTCCGCCCAGCGCCGGCTGGTGGTTTGGCAGTATCGTCATCAACACTCGTTCTGGCGACAGCTTCCCCGCTCTCTTCTTCCACGACAGCGAGTGCCAGTCCACAATAAACCACCGCAAGAAGCTCGCCCGCGAGAACTTCGATCCCTTTGGCGAAAGCGGCAATCTGTTCTGGGGTGGTGATCAAGTCTTGGGATGGCTGAAGAGACACCTCAACGTCGAGCGCTCCCCCGAGCCCAACATCTTCTTGATCGAGCCTTCGGATGCTGATCGTACCGGCTTTGGCACCAACAAGTCCGGCAAACCCACTCCAGACAAGGCTCAGCAAGCTCTGGAAGGTCCAAATGCACAACCTCAGAAGAAGAAAAAGGAGGATCCTGTCGCAAAGTTCCTCAAGGACTCTCGCTGGGCCGTCTTGGAGAAGCTCAGCCAAGTCACCACCTTCACTCGTCGCACTGCTCAGGCTGCTGCTGATAACCCCAAATTGCCTCCTCAGCTGCGTCGTATCATGCAAAATCCTCAGGTTCAGACCGTCCAAGAAGAGTTTGACAGTGCTCGCCTCTATCTCGCCAGATGGGCCATGACTATTGCCGAGCAGAGCGAACGTGACAGAAGCCAACGCATCTACACTGCCAAGGACCTGCTTGAGAATGAGGATACCGAGCTGGGCGAATTTGAGATTCTCGATGTTGATATGAGAAATCTCGAGCTGAACGAGAAGAGAGATCCTGTCACCCTTAAGGAATGGAACGCTTTCTTTGATTCTCATGGAAGACTACAAGTCACCCCTGATGAAGTCAAGGAGCGTGTCTTCCATGGTGGTCTGCATCCAGATGACGGTGTCAGGAAGNNGGAAGCTTGGCTGTTCCTCCTGGGTGTTCACGATTGGAACAGTACCAGAGATGAACGCAAGGCCAAGATGAACAGCCTCAATGACGAGTACATTCGTCTCAAGGGTGCTTGGTGGGATCGCATGACGGACGAAGACGGTACACTCGAAGAACGCGAATGGTGGAAAGAGCAAAAGATGCGCATAGGTAAGCTCACCCTGATTAATCCTTCACCAGCATCAAGCAACTGACATCTGCCCACATTTCGTGGGGTCCGCGCTGTAGANAAAGATGTGCACCGAACTGATCGAAACATCCCTCTATTCGCTGGCGAAGACATTCCACATCCAGATCCGACGTCTCCTTTTGCCGAAGTTGGCACAAACGTCCATCTCGAGCAGATGAAGGATATGCTACTAACGTACAACGAATACAACAAAGACCTGGGCTACGTTCAAGGCATGAGCGACTTACTCGCTCCCATCTATGCAGTCATGCAAGACGACGCAGTAGCTTTCTGGGGCTTTGTAAACTTTATGAATCGCATGGTAAGTACCTTGATCTCCTTGACTTGTTTTCACCACTACTAACACAAAGTGTTTCTCAGNGAACGAAACTTCCTCCGCGATCAAAGCGGCATGCGCCTCCAACTCACCACCCTCGACCACCTCGTCCAACTCCTCGATCCAAAACTCTACCTGCACCTCCAATCCGTCGATTCTACAAACTTTTTCTTCTTCTTCCGCATGCTGTTAGTCTGGTACAAGCGCGAATTTCCTTGGTTGGACGTCCTCCGTCTGTGGGAAAGCCTCTGGACCGACTACCTATCCGCAAACTTCCACCTCTTCATCGCAGTCGCCATTCTGGAAAAACACAGAGATGTGATCATGGAGCATTTGCGCGGTTTTGACGAGGTGCTCAAATATGTGAATGAATTGAGCAATACTATTGATTTGGCATCCACATTGCTCAGAGCAGAAGCACTGTTCAGAAGGTTCCAGAGGACTGTGGAGGCTATTGACCGTAAAGACCATTTCCCTACGCCTACATTGAGGCAGAGGAAACAGATTGCGGGAGGTAGTTTGGATCAGGGTGCTGCTGCTGTGGGTCATGACGGTAAGACTGCTACTGCTGCAAGTTCTTCGGATGCTACGGGGAGTGCGCAGATCACGACCACTACGGCACAGAAAGAAAGGATTGTTAGTCCTGAGCTTAGGACTTTGCTCAGTAGGGACTTTGCCAGGGTTGAGAAACCTGCAAAGTGATGATTTATCTTTACGAACAGGACACTTCCAACACTCTTTTTTGTCTCTCGGAGGTGGACTTCTTATGAATTGGGGCTCTGTATGTGTGGGTTCTGGCGTTTTTGGATTCTGCGGATCAGGAAGGAAAGGAGATGTTTGCAAAGGATAAAGGATATAGGGGGCAGGAGGCTTTGGGCACTGACTTGAGGGCGTCTTTGATCACGATGCGTATACGAACACACCAACAAATTCTCTTTGCATATCTCTTGCTCTGTTTCTCTTTCAGGATTTGGGTTATCTTGAGTAGTGTTTTTCTGGTTTCTAAGCTTTGTTGTCGTTCGCTGCTTTATTCTTCCCTTTCCCCACACGAATTTCTTAATGGGCTTTTTCTTTTTTGGGTACAGAGGATAGTTCTTTCGTATACATGTGCCTTGATTTATGCCATGCCTACTTGCATATATGGAACAGACATCTTGTTGTATGTGCTTGTGCTTGCAGAACAAACACGTTAGACCTTTGCAGTCACAGCAGCCCACCTCAATATTCCATTCTATGCCAAATTCTCACATCTTTTTTTTTTCTTTGGAGAACTATGTATTAAAGACATAGAGAATTTCTGATCAGAGAGACAATAAGAAGGACAAAAGCACAGAATCATTATTCCTGGATGGACTATTAACATGCAAGATATCCAATTACCGATGCAAGAAGAAAAGTGATGAAGAACAGGGTTATTGTCACAGCAAAGAAGTTTGGCACGTGACTTAGCTAGATACCAAAGCAAGCCATTTTCGTTTCTTGAAGAGAACAGAATTCTGTGATACTTCGTGTTAAGCTTGCGGCCGCCACTTCAGCAAGATTCGAGGGCAATTACAACATTGCACGAGATACTGATTATGTGGGAAGGAACAGTTGTTGAAAGGTAGAAATAGGTGTGTTTCATAAGAGAAAACTATACAGAAAATAAAAAGAAAGGGTATTCATCCATCATGATAGAAAAAGTGCAGGACTGATTGTGTGTGCGAGCTCATGCACCTAAAGAGGCCAAAATCACCAACATCCTTCAGGGATAACCCTCAACAGGATGCCAGCACCCGGTACGGCTTCAGCAACAATATGACCAGTATCCCGTGTACTATGCTCCCCAGCATCGCCAGCAGCATTCTACTTGCGCTGGCCATAAGNCCTGGTGGCATAGTCACCACCGGTAACGATAAGGTCCTCAGGGCGGTAGTCGTGCTTGCCCGAGAAGTAGGACTGGAGGATGGCCTTGGTGCCGGCGGCGTAGCGCTTCTGGGCATCGATGGAGGTTCCGGACATGTGGGGAACCATGGCGTTGCCGCCGCCCCAGTGGGTGTATTGGGCGGTGCGGAGAGGGTGGTCGGCGGGCGCGGGCTGGGGGAACCAGACATCACCTCCGTAACCGCGGAGCTGGCCGGTCTTGAGGGCTTCGGCGACGTCCTCCTTGACGACGATGGCACCACGGGCGGTGTTGACGAGCCATGAGCCTGTTGGAAAGAAAAAGTTAGTAATTGGAATTTGTGAAGGGAGAGAGGCAAGGAGAAAACACATACCCTTCTTCATCTTGGAGATCAACTCCTTGTTGAACAGACCACGGGTCTTCTCGTGCAGAGGGGCGTTGATGGTGACAACATCACACTGAGCAAGCATCTCCTCGAGGTTCTCGACACGACGGCAGCCAATCTCGGCCTCCTTCTCGGCCGACAGAGGCTGGTAGTCGTAGTAGAGAAGCTCCTTGCAGTCGAATGCCTTCAGACGGCGAAGGACACGCTCACCGATACGGCCAACGGCAACGGTACCAACAACCTTGTTCTCAAGATCGTACTCGTTCTTGGCGACGGCGGCAACGTTCCAGTCTCCGGCGGCGATCTGCTCGTGGGCGGGCACAAAGTTGCGGACCAGAACCAGCATGGTCATGACGACGTGCTCAGCAACCGAAACAACGTTGGAACCAGTGACCTCGGCAACAGTGATACCGCCGTTGGTCTTGTTGGCAGCATCCAAGTCGACGTGGTCAGAACCAATACCAGCAGTAACGGCAATCTTGAGGTTCTTGGCCTTGGCCAGACGCTCCTTGGTCAGGTAACCAGGGTGGAAGGGAGTGGTGATGATGACCTCAGCGTCAACAAGGTGCTGGTCAAAGGTCGAGTTCTCACCCTCCTTGTCCGAGGTGGTGATGAGCTCGTGGCCCTGGTCCTCGATCCACTTGCGCAGACCGAGCTCGTTCTCGGTGGTACCGAGCAATTGAGGCTCCTCCTTTGCGTGCTCAAAGCCATCGTACAAAACCATCAAAACCTTGCCATTCTGGCGGGAAGTGGCCGATAGCGTGCGAATGGCACCGGCGGATCTGAGAGGGGAGGAAAGAGAGGCACCTGCAAGAGGNNGGGAGGCACGCAGCGAGGCGGCGGCAGGGCGCACAGCGCGAGTAGCAGAACGGAAGAAGACCATTGTGTATGTGTGAGAGGGATAAGAAGAGATATGAGAAGGAAAAAGAAGAGAAGAGGGGATGTGCGGCCAGTTATAAACAAAAAGAGGAGGGGAGCTCTCGCATCATTGAGTTAGCCAATTGTGGAGAAAGCGTACGCCGCAGTCAATGCAAGCAGCAAGCCCTCGTCCGAACTTCGGTCTCGCACTTGCGACTGTTCCTGTCCCGTATGGCCAACTTCGGCATTTGGAATCAACAGCTGGTCTGATGATCGGGAAAGAAAGAGGGGTACACATGCGGCAAGTCTCATGAATAATTGTCGCGTGTAGGGGTTGAATTGATTGTATAGATCGTGATGGTTGGTATCCAGATTAACAAAGCATCAGCCTCACTCTTTCTACACACCCGCTACTCGCACAGGAAAACAAAGTGGAGAAAGCTAACTACACCCCTCTTACCCAAAGACAGTTAACCCTTTACAAAGACCCCATAGCTCTGATGACTTCTGTTCTGAATATGACTTGCCTCGCCATACTCGTCGTCGTGACAGAGAGAAAGAGAGCTGTTTCACTTGCCTTCTATTGCTCCGCTTAGTGACGTCTCACTCGCACCCCACAATTTGCCAATTCCCGCTTTCTCGTCAGAACAACGCAATTGTCTGCCAGCCTCCCCAATCTATCTTACACTCTGCTTATCTTCCCACTCATTACATATTACAATATCTTGCTTGCTACAACATTTCTTGTCGAAATATGCACAAACCACTAATCTCTTCTTTCCATTGTTAGATATTTCCCAGACACGGCAAAACAGTCAAGCAACACAAAAGGAGGAGAAATGCGGGAGGGTTGTCCAACGGCTTGCGGACAAGCAAGCCAGAAGGTCAATGCTGAAGCTCTCTCCACAAAAAGATCCAGCTCAGGAATCCCCGAATCTCGTCCGCCCGTCTGCTCCTTCCATCTCCCAGCAGAACATCTCAGCATAACCAAAGTAAGCAAAAACAAGAGCCAAGTAAATCTCAAAACAGTAAATTGTTCGTTTCCATAAGAATCTCGTGATGTGGAGAAAACACCTGTATAGTGTAGGATTCTCGTAACTTGGATCCCAAATCTCTCTACCATTCGGGGAAAAGGAATCCGGAGGGAGAATGCTGGTTTTCCGAATCTCGTCCGCCGCCGACTCGACTCCTCACCTTTTCCCATTGCCTTTCCACGGAGGCTTAAAGGGCGAGACTCGGGTCAAGGTCACGAGGAAAGTTGTTAACAGCGCTCGACCTTTCTCCTTTCGGGCATCCAGAAGCTGTGAAAGAGCACCTGTGAAAGAGCATCGAGGCTTGAGGCTCAAAGCGGTGTTCCTAGCTGCAAACCAACACTGCTACAAAAGGCAATTCTGTCCATTCAACCTCGTTTCCACGGCCGAGATTCGCTTGCTCCTTAACAGCGATGTCGGATCTACGAATATCCATTAGCTGCCAAATATGAAATGAACAGACTTGTCTCGTGTTTCCTCTCTCCCTCTCGCGCGATTCAAACCACAGGCACCAGGAATTCATTCAGGAGTGTCTTGTCTCCACAGTGACACCTTGATGAAAGAGCAAAGCGGGTCGGTATGGGGGACCATGACGTTTGAGTTTTGCCGGTGCATCCGGCCGAATGGACTTCATCTCCGTGAGTGCGGCTCTTTTATCTGCAGACGACATCCAAAACATTCAAGAATGCAAGACCTTTCTGTCGCTCGACAATATTGTAACATCTCTATTGTGCATGTAAGTTTGGAGCTGTGTTGATTTTGATGCTTCGATTTTCATTTCTATCTCTGTCTGTTGTTCCCATCTCGTACTCATCACATGCTTCTTCATACCATCCTGCAAATCTGAGAAAGAAAACGAAGGTCGAGGACACCTGGCCCTAAAAAACATGAAACGCAAAATACTCAAAACAATGATGCCAAAAGCCATGTGAACCATTGCAAAGACCACGTCGGTCGCCAAGCGAGGACAAACAGCAAAACTTCAATCCATATCAAAGTGCAAGTGGTTATCCATGCTGGTGACCAAGCCATTCTCACCAAGAGCCAACGTATGCATCAAAGCATACCACGACTAACCTCCAAGTGGGGAAGTTAAGCATCATCACCATCCTCCTCTGTGTACTGGTTGGGGACCGGTGAGGTGGTGTAGTGGACATTGTGTCTGCGCAAGGTTCTTCTGGGTGTAGCAGGCTGCGGCAGAGAGAGCATCTCTGAAGTGGTCGTGTGGGTGACCCAATTGGCTGGGAAGATGGGCGACTCCGCAGCGACATCAGTGTCAGCTGCCGACGAGCCTTCTCCAACNNCCTCACGAGACAGGGCAACAGCAGAGGCAGAGGCAGGTCGGTCCTGGATGGTACGAACCAAAGCTGCGATGCTGTCGTCCGTGTTGTTTGGTGGGATAGTAGGCGAAGAAGAAGCGGCCCTGGCATGGGCGTTGCTCCTCATCTCAGCGATGGTAGCGGCAGAGAATCGAGGGCCAGTGCGCATGATGGGAGGAGCCAACACGGGTTGGTTGGCGTTGCGGATGGCCATGCCTGCAAAGGTGCCTGGACGAAAAGGTCTGTCAAAGGTTGCAGCCATGAAGTCATGATTGGACATGGAGCCTGGATAGCGAGGCATGAGAGGCACGAGAGGTATGTCGTAAGTAGCCATGATACGTTCGTTGTTTTCCTCGTTGTCGCTCTCTTCGTCAGGCAGATGACTGTACTGATACTCTTCCAAGCGAGCGTCTTCGCACTCGAAGCCGGCGGCTCGGATGGCGGCAGCAGTATTGGAGGGAGGGAATGGACCGTCAGCTGGGTCGAAATGGTAGTAGTATTCGGCAAACATCATGTCGGCCTCCATGGCGTGAAGTTCGTTCATGTCAACACCATCAGCACGGAGAGGCTCGCGCAGATTGGNCACTGTCAACGTCTAGTCAGCCGAAGATCAGAGACGAAAGGACTGAGCAATGTACCGGTATCTGGAATTTCTGCCAGGTGGGTGTGGTCCATTTGTGCCGAGTAGTCTGATCTGGGTCTGGACCTCTTCGAGCTGTGAAGCGAAGGCCGTGTCACCAAGCTGAGAAGCATGACTGTCGGGTACATCATTAATTACAGCTGGATGATGCTGAGGTGGAATGCCAGGATGGTTCTGTGGACCGATGAAAGGAGTCAATCTGGCAGTAGGGACAGTGCTGGCAGATGCTGGGGACTCGGTTACAGTGCCATCGTTGGAGACAGCCTCATCGACCGAAGAAACAGCCGAAGAAGAACGACGGTGGGCAGAGTCAGCGTTGCGGGACATGTGTGATGGGGTTTGTATGAAGACAGATGAGGAGTGTGCTGAGATGAAAGGGGGTTGAAGAAGGGGGAAGAGAAGAAGTTATTGAGGAGCGAAAGAGGCGATGGCGGCGGTGCTGGAGGAGCGAACAAATACTGCGCAGGTGATCAGAAGTGAAGGAAGTGACTAATGAATAAAGAGCAAACTGTGTGTCACAATGTTGGTGAAGTGAGGGCAAGTTCGAGAGATTTGCACCTGCCATATCTTGTTGACCGTCAATCACTTGACCGAGGCACTGCGACACTACTCTCAAGATTTCGCTGCACCTTCAAAGAGCCATCTCCAGGAAAAGATACAAACGATAGGATACGTGTTGTGGAACAATGACAGAAACGTTACATTCATCTTTGTCTATATCAAAATCCAAGACAACAGCAAACGACCCATTGTCTTTGTGTGCCAAACTCCCATGTCCTCGCTGTGCAAAACAAAAGCATAAAACCACGCAGTCTATAATCAATAGCATGTCAATATCAAGATCCGAATATCCCTCAAACTCCTTGGACCTTGCGATAACTAGGCGGTTTAACCGCCCGTCGAATCAACTTGCCAGCATATACTGGTACCAAAGACACCGCCGAGATAGCAGCAACCCTCCAAACAAATCCAGCGCTCGCCACAAACCTCAAATCAAAGTACCCAGAAAGGAATGGTATACTGCCGAAGTACAAACATCCAGTTGCCAGGATAGAGATGATGTTTGCAGGATGCCAGGTCGTAATTTCAGCAGCCACCATAATCAACTCATTGATGACGAGAACTGTAAAGGAAACACTGACCATACGCGCAAATGANNGGGCGGCAGTATCGGCGTTGCCTGTGCTGTGTTCCGCAAATTTGGGAACTAAAAGCTGGCTTCCCCCNNCTTGGATGATGATGCCTTGATAGACAGAGATAGCGACCCAGATGAAGAAAGTACGGTATGACAGAGATTTTCCTAGAGTCAACTCCTTGTAGAGTTCTGGATACAGATTGGCGAGATTTTCGTCGACGTCGCGATCGAGTGTAAGCGAGAAGACTGGGGCCATGGTATATAATGTCGCGTAACCAACCAACAGCCAATCTCTGTATAGAGCAATGGGTTGATACGCTGAAGCCACTGAGAACACAGTCTGGCACACACTGATAATCAAACCACGATGGATCACAAACTGCGCAAGTTTCGCCGATCGCTTATAACTATTGCGACCATGCCAAACAAGCAGTTTGGTGAGGTGGCTGAATTGAGTGATGCTGAAGTCAGCAGCAAGAGAAGCTTGACGACCTTCTTTTCCTACTATACCGACACCAACGTCGGCAGCCTGAATCATGCTGACATCGTTGCCACCATCACCAATACAAGCAATACGTTTGCGAGTGTGATTGCGGATCAACTTTGCGACGTCTGCTTTCTGAGTGGGAGAGCAGCGGCAGGCTATCACAGCAGGTAGACGCACTGCTAGAGTGATGAATGCGTCTCTGTGATGGGTCAGATATAAAGACAGAGATTCGCCGTCTATCAGTAAAGCCGCGTTCGGACGCGAATGCAGAAGAGAGAGTGCGTCGAGAGCCAGGTCTTTCCGCTTAAGCCCTGCGATTGTGTGTATGTACTGACCTCTAGAGACAAGCTTGGAAGACGCTGCTACACAGCGTGCAGTCTCAACTTTGTCTCCAGTCAACATCCAAATTTTGATGCCCGCGTTGCGGAGGAGTTCAAGAGACGGCTTGATGTAAGCTTGTAGTTTGTCTTCCACGCCCGTGACGCCCAACAGCTCAAGGTTGTGTTCGAGGTGCTGCTTGACGACTCGTGCCATGCTGTTATCGCGGTCGTGGAGACTCAATGATGCTTCGGCGTAGGCTGAAGAGAAGGCAGCGTATTGGTCTCCAGAGAGAGCCTTCCTGCCAATGACAAGAGTGCGCAAGCCTTCACGCGCCATGTTTGCTGTCTCCTCGTCAAGCCAATCATTGGCAGCGACAATAGAAGTCATGACAGTGTCTGCACCTTNTTGGAAGAAATACAGCTCGCCCATATCACCTCCGGCTTCGCCTTCTTGCACGAATTTGACGATGATACCCATGCGCTTGCTGTCGGAGGTGAAGGGGAAGATGTTGAGAATCTGTACACGAACCACGATCTTGCTGTTATCCACGAATTGTAGGGTGATAGATTTGCGATCGCGATGCAAAAGCCGTAGTCCGACTTGTTCTGTCCATGCCACAATGGCAATCTCGTCAGGGGAAGAAGCCTGATACGAGGTGACTGTAGAACCATCAACTTCTTCTGTGGTGGGTGTGACGTTATGACACAAAGCCAATGCCAGGACCAGGTCTCGAACTCGCAGACCAATTTCTCTACGCGAGCGTGTACCTGAAGCAAGACCACCGGTCACATTTGAGGAAGGCAAGAAGAAATCTTGCAGATCAGAGAAAGCTGACTTGACATAGGCAGAAACCTCATCCATCGCTTCGTTGGCGTACGAGACTGTACCAACGTGAATCTTCTTCAACTCCATCTCGTTCTGGGTCAAAGTGCCAGTCTTGTCACTAAGCAAGTACTCGATGCGGCCAAGGTCTTCAGGGATAGTGCTGGTGCGGACGACAGTTCCTGGTATACCTTGATCACGTTCGATGAACCAAGCATACATTGACTTGCCCATATCGAGATTGACACGCAGACTGATAGGTACGATGGTGGAGAACAGGATAAGGAAGCGCATGACAGAGACATACCACTCCCGACCATTTTCAGCTTGAAATCCTTTCAGAGCGACCAGAATGAATGACAGAGCAAGAGTCAAGAAACACAAAATCTTGGTCAGAGAGTTAATTTCATTCTCGAGCAAGCCAGTCTTTGAACGACTAGCGGAGGTGGAGAGAGCGGCACGTGTCTCGGGACCTGTATAGATGACGACAGCATAAACAGCAGTGCTCGAGGCCAGTACGGTGTTGGCCCAGGCGGTGTTGTCAATGGACAAAGGGATAGATTTTGTTCCTGGGACTTCAGCAGCCGGCGCCTCGGACTCGTAGGGATCGTATGCTTGACGGCCATCTGGTAGCAGATCTAGAGTACCAGCAAAATCGTTGACACGTTTATCGGGCTTTCCAGCGGTCAAGCGTAGTCTCGTATAGTCGCGAGATGGCAAGTCTTGGGTGAGAGGAGAGGCTAATCTGAGCTTCCAGTCTGTCTCACCATCGAGCTGATCTGTTCGAATGAAGGCTTCACCGCCAGCGCTGGGATCTTCAGAAGTGGTTTGGTTGGCTAAAGGCGGTTCTGGCACGCTTGCGACTTCGGTCTCGAACAGGTTTGCTTCGTCGCTCTCGGGCAAGGGTTCAGGCTGGGCTGACGACTCTTGAGAGAAACTTTTGAGAATGACAACATCAGCGGGAAAGCGCTGGTCTTTGGTCATGACCAAGACGTCTCCGACTTTTAGCAATCGCGAGGGCTTGGAAGTCTCTCGCACTTCAGCATGCAGTAAGCCGTCAGCATCTTGGTCTGTCGGGCGGTGTCGCCTTGTGTTTGTAGTATCATTGTCTCCAAATTGCAAGACGGTATATCTCTCAGAGTTGGCCTCTTGGTCTCTTCTTCTTCGGTGTATATCATCCATAGCCTCCTTTCCGAGAGTGATGGTCAAGACAAAGAGCAAGGGGAATATGTAAGTGCTCAGGTAGCCAATGCGTAATTGTGGGATGATTTGCGACAGGGCGACGAGGAGGAAATACATGTTGANAAAGAAGGAGAACTCGTTGTATAAAGTCCTGGGTAGGAAGGAGACGGGGGTATATTTGGCGTTGGATACGGCATTGGGAGGGTATTTGGCATCCTGGCGGGTGCCTACGACGATGGTTCGGTTGGAGGCGGGATCGTGTTCATCTTCGGGCTCGTCGTCGTCGTTGTCGTTGTCGAGCGGGATGGAGCGCGAGAAGGGGTTGAGGCGGGCTCTGAACTTGGCTAGAGCAGATTGCGACTTGTCGGACAGACGGCGTAAGCGCGACGTGTGCGAGGGAGGTGGTTGATGGGTATGCGACTCTCGTTCATGTGCTTGACTGTCTCTTCCTACCAGGGCTTCCAGGTCTTCGGCATCTGCGTCGTCGACATAGCGGTCTGGCCTCCTGAAAGCTCTTCTCCCTCCAAGTCGCAGGTTCTTGAGTGGGATATTTTTGGAAGAATGGCCGTTCGCCGAAGCGTGGTTGCGGCTGTTGTCGGTGGTGGTCTGGGGGTCGAGTTCGTCCAAGTCCAGGTCCAGATCCGAGTCGGCATCAGGGATCAGAGAGGCCGACGCAGTCGAGTCGCCGTGCCGATGTGACATGCCTCATCTGTCTTGTCGTGGACGAGTTGAGGCGGTGACTTTCTTTGTTGCTGCTGCCTGTTGGATACAATTACGTTGGTGTCTGCTATTCTAGGCTCACGTATGACTCGAGTCACCCTGACCCGGGGGTGTCGCACGAGTCAAAGTCCGGGGAGGTTGACGCGATTGGCTGTCGGCCTTGGCTGATGTCGCTTGCAGTCTGTCAATTATCACCTCCTTTCACCTTGGTACACTCTACAACGAATATGTTGTGTGGCTGATTGTACTACTAACTTATCCGATGTCTTGACAAGCCTCTCTTTGCCTCTTGTCAGTTTGTTTTGGTGAGTTGCGCCGCCCCAGCACCTAAAGGCATGTCCGAATGGTCACGTCGCCTGACTTGTTACTCCATGATTACTGAGACATGGCCACAGCAACCGTTATACATAATATTCAGTCATGGCCGACGACGGCCCTCATTCTTCATGGCATCCTGCTTTGAGGTCCCACAACAGCGCCCGCCATGTTCCCATAGTCACTCAGCAAGAACCACCTGCTCCAGCCGACCATGATGATGCCGACTTCTTCGACCGCATTCCTGCAGAACAATCCCAGTCCGCCACTGAAGATGCTGGGGTTGAAGAGCCGATCGAGAATCCAACCGCTGGAACAGTACAACCTTCATTCATCCAGGACCACAAGCTCACGGCAGAGAGCGCCGAAACCGAAGCTCCAGTCGCAGACGAATTCCAGGGAAACACACAAACCGAAGTCTCGGAGCACGTCGAATCGCCAACATTGACACCCGATCCAACACACGACTTGCTCGAGAACGCATACAATCCTCCGGATGATGAGGTNCCCCAAGTCGATCCCGAACCCATCGCTGAGCTTGAACAAGTGCCACCGCAGGAGCCGGCGCGCTCTGCTGTTGATGAAGCTTTCGGCAGCCTGGACGAGGAAGAGTCGGAGTTGATCAGAGACCAGTACGAGTACCAAGGTCAAACTACCGCTGCCGACGACGCTGTTGACGAGAGCGACAATGCGCCTCTGATGCAGGATGAGGAGAATTTGCCAACNCCCGGTTTTGCTACGGACGCCCCTGCCATCAATGCCCACGATGTTCCCTTCGACACTATCCACGCGGATCCCTCAGCAGTCGATGCAGCTGCACAGCACGTTTACGAACTGTCTACCGAGGACCCAGAGTCGACAGAATCGCACAATATCCATGAACCCGCCATAGAGTCGCAGATGTTTGACGACCATAAGGCCGAGCCCTCAGCAATCTCTCAGCCATCAGAGGCTCTGGAAGAGACCAAGGAGACTCTGCTACAAGTGGCCGAAGAGCCCATTGAGGAACCAGCCCAAGTGCAACCTCAATCGTCGGCTACTTTCGAGTGGGGCGATGATGATCAGACTGAAGACTTTGGAGCTGTTGTCGGAAACGTGCCAGCTGAAGAGAACAATGTGGACTCGGACAACCTTGCGGCTGGAAGTGGTTTCGTGGCTTCTCAGGCGACTGCTCTGGCCCAAGCTTTGCAAGAGCAAAAAGCACAAGATGGTTCTGCCGAGGCTGAGAAGAGTGAGGAGGATCTGGCTGCCATGTGGTCAGCTGCACTGGATGATGACGATCTCCTTGACGACAACGCTGTAGATCCCAGCGGCTTCTTCGATAATGATGGTGAAGGCTTCTTGGACGAGTTTGACACAGCTCTGGCTCCAACTCAGCAAGTCCTGAGTCCGGAGCAAGCGCTCAGCCCTGGCATCGCTCCGGTCCTGGACGCCCAAGGAAACACAGTCGGCTTCACAAAGCTCGGAGGCCCGCAGGAACAAATCAACGCACCTGCAAATCCCTACTCGCCTGCAGCGCAGCAGCCAAATCCTTATCTAAGTCCGGCTCTGCCATCTGTGCCTCTGTACAACCAGCAACAGCAGCCTGTCCGACCAGCCTTAAACAATGCCCAAAGCTTTGCCGACAAGTCCAAAGGTGGCTACTCCTCCCCCTACGACCTGCCCGAAGACATTGTTCAGCCGCGTAGGCGTCCTGCTGCTGCTGCACCACCTACTCAAAACAATGCTCCACCTCCCCACCAAGGAGTAGCAGTATGCAATCTGTCTNNCATCAAATGTTCCTCCGCCTTTTCACGGTCTGCAACTGCGGCTCCCTCAGCAACAATTGCATCGCCTCCCATGAACCAGTCACCCAGCGTCGCAACCTTGCCACCGAAGCCTGCCACTGCTTCTGGTGCCGACAGATCTGCTTCTGGTTTCTTCGAGGAATTGCCTATGGCGCCAAAATCTCGCAACAGACCACACACTCCAGCTGTCACTGCACCTTCTCCTGCTCAGGCTCCTCCGCAGGGACCTCCTATTCGTCCACCATCCCGTCCCGCAATGCCTCCATCTACTGCCTCTGCAAATTATGGCATCTCAGATTTCAGACAGCCAGAAAAGCTACCATTGTTGCCCGATTTGCAAGCCGCACCTCAGCAGCTAGAGCCCCCTCAACCCACTGGTCCCCCAGCGAGTTCGAGATACTCGCCTGCCGCTGCTCAGCAAGCTCCCTCGACAGCAGCACCTCCACCAGTGACTGGCCGGTTCTCGCCAATGCCGCCGCCCGCTCCATCAGCAAACTCTCGTTATTCTCCTGCTCCACAAGCTCAGGCACAGAACAAGTATGCCACTATGCCTGCTGCCACGCCTGTTTCGAGACCAGTCCAGCCATTTGCGCCTCGTACCTCGAGTCCGTTGGCCTTCCATGAGAAGCCCGCCGCTGAGGTGCCACCACCAACTGTGCGTGCGGTGTCATATCAGCCGCCACCTCCAGTCCGCCAAATGTCTGGTCTCGCCGAGGGTTTCGAAACTCCGCCACGAAGGGACAGCAACACACTCGACCAGACTATTTCTCAGTCTTACGCATCGCCCCCTCGCGCCAATCCTTATGCTCCGATGACTTCTTCTCCCGAATCTCGTATTTCTCAGACATATGCTCCTACTAATGCGCCCACGCCGAGCGATACCTTCTCACCGCCAAGGAGGTCAAAGACTCAATCGCCAGGAACTGCTATGAAAGTTCCCCTGAGAGCTGTTACTCAAATCGATAGGCCGACTTCTGCTGCCGGCAATGTCACCTCTCCAACCTTGCTACAACGTCAAGATGCAAGAAACGCCTTGCCTCCCGCTAGACAGCAATTCTCTTCGGATCTGAATTTCACTGTTCCTCAAGATGAACGAGCTCAAGATCCATTAGAGAGATACAAAGGTTGTCCCGTCTTCAAATGGGGCCCTAGCGGCTCGCTGATAAGCACCTTCCCCAAGCAAGCGCCTTTCTATGCTGCTGGTCATGCCATTCCAACTATCAAGTGTACACCCGGCCATATCACCATCCATGATACCAAGATGACTTACCCTCTGAGCGAGCGTGATGCCAAGTTCCCTGGACCCTTGACCAAGGGTAAATCCAAGAAGAAAGAAGTTCTCACATGGATAACCGGCAAGATTGAGGATCTTGAAAAGGCCAACGAAGACGCTCTTCATGACTTCGGCATGTCTGTCCAAACGAAAAAGCGTGTTGAGGAGAAGGTTGTGCTATGGAAAATGGTCAAGCTTCTGCTCGAACATGACAACAAGATCGAGGGCAACGCATCTGCAGAGGATGCTGCTCGTAAAATCCTATTGCCAAATTTCACTCAGGCAGAAGATTCCACTGAGGAAGTTGCAAACGGTAAATCGTCAGGATTATCTACTGAGCCTGTCAATGCGAATGCCTTAGCGCAGATCCGCAAACATCTCNNCCTTGCAGGCGATCGTGAGAAGGCTGTTTGGTTTGCAGCCGAACAAAAGCTGTGGTCTCACGCTTTGCTTATCGCATCGGTCGCTGGTCCCGAGATTTGGAAGCAGGTTGTTCAAGAATATGTTCGCTCTCAAGTCAAGGATGCAGGAGAAAACTCTCAGTCCCTCGCAGCATTGTACGAAGTCTTTGCCGGAAATTGGGAAGAGAGCATTGACGAGCTTGTACCACCTTCTGCTCGTGCTGGTTTCCAGATGATCAGCAAAGCAGGACCTAGTGCGAAGAATCCTCTTGACGGTCTCGACCAATGGCGCGAAACATTATGTCTGATTATCAGCAACAGAAGCAACAACGATATCCAAGCCATTTCAGCTTTGGGTAAACTTTTATCTAGCTATGGCCGCAGTGAGGCAGCTCATACTTGCTACCTCTTTGCCAAGGCTACAGCTCATCTTGGTGGCGCTGACGATGAGAAGTCTGACTTTGTATTGCTCGGAGCGGATCACAAGAACCAAACTCAGGAGCTTTCTGACCTGGACGCCATTCTTCTTACCGAGGTTTATGAGCTTTGTGTGTCTCTCGCACCTGCTCCTGGAACATCGCCCACACTCCATCACCTACAAGCATTCAAATACCAGCATGCTCAGATACTCACGGAGCATGGCCTGCGTAGCGAAGCACTGGCATATTGTGATGCAATTTTGGCCTCTTTCAAATCATCTACCCGCCTTTCGCCATATTATNNCACCCCTGCATTATTAGGCAGTGTAGATGATTTGCATAGATGTCTGTCGCAAGCCCCTCAAGCTAGCGCTTCTGGAGGCTGGATTCCAAAGCCATCCATGGACAAGGTCTCTGGTAGTATGTGGAAGCGGTTCAACACTTTCGTTGCTGGTGATGACGACGAATCGAAACCTAATGGTTCAACTGGCAGTGAAAGTACTCCTGCGGGACCATTCGGTGGCATCACTGGTGAAACACCAACAGTCAGTCGAACCGCTTCGACCACAGATTTGTATGGAGCAATGTCAATGGGCGGGAGTGTGTCGTCTGCACCTGCTGCTAGTGCCTACAATCGTTATGCACCTCCAGCTCAGCATGGTGGTGCTTCTGCATCCCGTTATGCACCAAGCAGCTCAAGCGCATATGCTCCAAGCAGAGGTTCCATGGAGTCCTCTCGTTCTTACGAACCAGAAAGGCCTGGCACCGGCTACAGTAGTCTGGTATCTCCCACCACAGCCGCACCTGCGCCAGTCCAGCGTGCTAGTAGCACACCGTTCGGAGCGTACTTGCCGCAACAAGCTGGAGAGAACCAACAAGCACAACCCTCACTTGGCGTTCCTCGACCAGATGTATCTCGTGCCGTTTCAGATTATCGTGTACAGTACAGCCAGCCTCCTTCAAGGCGCGAGTCTGTTCAGTCTGGCGCCGATTCTGAGCCTCGGTCCAGTCTTGATCAGGGCAGACCAGCATATGGATACCAGCCCGAGGCTTCGAGATATTCTCCTTACCAGCCTAGCTCGCACACGCCATTGTCACCGATCTACGGCGACAACAGTGTCGAGGCTGCCGAGACTGAAGAGGCCCCGTCGTACAAGCCCCACACAGACTCGCCTTACCAGCCATCTGAACCGACTCCTGTGCAAGAGCCTCAGTCATTTGGTTACACACCCACTGCCCCTCCGGGTGAATCGTCGAGCTTTGGATATGAACCCCCGTCATCTTACGAACCGCCCACGTCTTATGAACCACCATCATACGACCCCGAGTCTTCTTACGAGCCTCCGTCTTCGTACGAGCCACCTTCGGATGAGCCTGAAATGTCGGACGAACCCAAGACATCTGCTTACACTCCTTCCTCATACGAACCACCCTCGTCATATGCGCCTCCCACATCCTACGAGCCTCCGACTGGTTCGTCAAGCTACGAACCTCCCACGTCCAACTATCAACCATACGAGCCCGAGCCTGATCCGGAAGATGGTGATGGAGAAGGCCAAGAAAAGCCAAAGAAGAAGAACTTCATGGACGACGAGGATGATGATGAGATCGTTCGTCGAGCCGCCGCTCTCAAGAAAGCAGCCGATGACAAAGCAGCCGATGAGGCCTTCCGCAAGGCAGCTGAAGAAGACGCGAAACGCGATGAAAGAGCCGCTGCTGGTGGTGACAAGAAGGGATGGTTCGGAGGCTGGTTTGGCAAGAAAGATCCAAACGCCCAGCCTGGACCCATCAAAGCCAAGCTTGGAGAACAGAGTTCATTCTACTATGACCCCGATCTCAAGAAATGGGTCAACAAGAAGGGGAGGCGCTGATGCTGCTGCTCCAACTGCTGCTACACCGCCGCCACCCAAGGGACCGAGTAGAAATGTCAGTGCTGCTACTGCACCTCCAGCTGGCCCGCCCATGTCTGGCCCTCCTTCCCGTACCTTGACACCAGCCAGCGGTCCACCCTCAGGCCCACCATCGGTCACCGCATCTCCTGCCACACCACAAACCGGTTTCCCTTCTGCCTCTGCGCCTCCACCGATGGGGGTCTTGCAGGCGGACCACCTCTATCTGGACCACCGAGCCGTCCTGCCACTAGCATGAGTAACGCGAGTAGTATCGACGATTTACTCGGTGCGCCCGCACCACGAAAGGGAGGCACTGCCAAGGGCAAGAAGAGAGGAGGCAGATATGTCGATGTCATGGCTAAGCCTTAATTGTTGGTTTATGTATGATCCTCTTCTCATTTATCTGTATGACTAGGGTTCGTATGATTCGAAGTGGCCTGTCTCTATGTACTGATAACCATATCCATTCTTTTTTTCTCCATCATCGTTTTGGAACACCTTTTGGTGTACATATTGGTGAATCTGGCAAACTTCTGCTTGCTTTTGTGTAGGTTGGTTCTAGGGGATTGCGTAATGTTCTTCTTCCTTTGGCATGATTGTTCATGTTTGGGGTAGGGGTATTGAGAGCATGACCGTCTGTCTACACGATTGAGAGGTGTTGGTACCAGTATCTTACCCGGAACCCCCCTCTGGTGCTGCGGTTTGTGTTCGTGTGCAGTGGTTCTTCTTTGATAGATTGTGCCTATCTGTATCTTTGCTGGTAGCTTATCTACATCACTTTTCTCAGTCTTGGTAAGCTGTTAACTCTGATTGCCATTTTGTGATATATTCGGTTGAGATATCATAAGTTAACTGTTGTAGGGAAACCACTGATGCCAGCAGACCTCCACGGCTTGACTGAGTACGCTGCACCGGATACATGGATAGTAGCAAACAGATGCAAGGTTGCAAGAACTAGCTATACGGAGATCAAGAACAATGCGTTGCACCGCGAGCTGCCCAGTCTCCTAAATGCCTGGACAGATATAAAGGGACCGGAACCACCTCCATCAGCAGTGAGGTCTTGATGAGACATGGCACCTAGGCGAATTAGCTCGAGGACTGATGAACATTCTTTTGATTGCAAAGCATTGCTTACCGCAAAGCACTGTAGCGCTATTCGCATGGCAAACACCACACGGTATGGAGTCTTGTCCTGGTTTTTCTTGAGCGATTCTTTCTGCCATGCCTTCTTGTTGTCTCTGTACACGGGATATTCGTATACGGGGTTGTTTCCGGAATTGCAAGCGTCCACGGCCCAATGGATTGCTTCGTTGTTGTCGAAAAGGTGCGGGTAGCTAGGTGAGAATTATGCGTTAGTCTTTTCTTTTGCCCTTGTTATGGTTTCTCTTCACGAAAACAAGAACAAAACTCGTCCGAAAAAGCGAACTTACCCGCTTTTGCCTGCATCGAAATCTCCAGTCACTGCAGCTGCTACCTGGCCGCTCAGATAGCCAGGCTGGAAGTTGGTTGCAGCTGCAAACTTTGGATAGTTGCAGTGGTAATGGCTTGGAGCCTGTTGATGGGGTTTCTAGTGTTTGTTCGTTTTCTTTAGAGATCTGAATATGGACTTACACGACGCGAGAGGCTGGTCAACTCTGGGATTGGTCCAGCATACGTTGTAGAGATATACGCTAGTGCAAGCGTTGCAAGAGTGGTAGTCTTAATATTTGCTCTGAACAGACTTAGGATGAGCTTTGAACGATGACTTGATCTTCCTTGAGGGACATGGCTTTGTTATATGTCTTTACCTCTCAGGAATTGCGGCAAGCTCTGGCTCTAACAATCGTGTCGATTGTGAGGAGCATAGCTCTAGCCTGGATCCTTCTCATCGATTTGACCCCTGCGATATCCTCGAGGGACGAATCTCATACCAGAACTTGCATCGATAGATCGTCTTTGCTTTCGATAGTGGTTTGGTAGTTTGATCCTTCTTGTCGGCATGTCCTGTTCGATCTTGCCGCTGGACGAACATCTTAAAGACAATCAACAATAACAAGCCATCTAATCCGCTTTCTTGCAGTAGTGATCCAATAGCGCGGATTCTTCCTATCAGTATCACATGTTCGAGCTGTCATGGCATAGACGTCTAGCTGATATGCCTTGATAATTGGCCATCGAACATGGTTGTCTGCAGTAGTCATGTTATAGTGTAAATCCTTCCTCCCAAAGATGACTTGTCCGCTCTTTCTGCGGGATCGATGTCTCCCTAGCACATTGCGATGGCAGTCTATCTGACACTCAAGCAAAACAGACTTCAACAAAGACTACAAATCAGAGAACGGTTTGTACAATACAGGACCTGATGTGGATTGCCCTGATTTTATAGCACTCATAGCCATTCATACAGATCATGGAAATATCAATAATTCAGTATTCTGCTTCTGATAATGATCGACGCATGTAGTGTGACACGAGTCGCAAGCGTACTTCATGTGGAGATCAACAATCAGTTATGGTTTACTCTTATACACAAGGCCTGCAGTAGTGCAGGATCCTGCTCGCGAGCTCGAGACTTCCACATTCGGTATATATCTTGGCATAGAGCAGCGATCCTTGTTTGAATTTCTTACGTCACATCATACTCCAAGGGACCACAGCCATCCCTCAACTTCACTGAAGACAAGTGGACACCCTTTGTCACTTGTTTTGACTGCGGAAGTACCTTGGACCAACAACCAAACATGGACGACCAGTTGCCTTACCGCATTCGAGCTGATCGCTACACTTTTGGAGAAGAAAGCGAGATCGATCCATACTCTGAAGTAGTCGTTGCATGCGTCGAAGGAAACCTCAGTCCAGTTGATGCTGCTGAGAAAATCACAACCATTCTGGCCGACCAGGCCAGCCAATCCAAAGCAGACATTGACTTGCATCAGAAGAATCAGCCATATGTCGTCAATACAGACCTGGTGGCCGCAATCATTGGTAGTGCATCCTCATCCTTTGCGCCTTCGAGTCCTGCACATGAGAGGCTGCTCTTGTTACTCCGGTCTTTCCCCTCTGTCCGTTCGCGTCAGGTCCCGAACCCAAACCTCGATGGAAACTTGGAGATCCGCCCAGCATTGAAAGATTTCGGTCACTTGATAGATACCAGGCCACACATGATCCTATGGGAAAACTTAGACAAGCTCCACCTAGTCGAAAATCTTGGAGTTTTGGCAGAAATCGGTAAGAGAAACATAGAAAATCTCCTCTTTTGCTGTCCGCTTTGAATGAGGGGTTTTGGTTGTGTTTGGCGTTTGCTTTTGCTGACATTTGCTGTCTTACGCAGGTCAAATCCANNCTGGACAGGAGTGGAAAAATGTACAAGCGAACAACAACAACGATGGCGAAATTTATCCTTCTTCTTTGCCAGATTGACCACGCAAGGAATCGTCGATCTTAGTCACTTCAGCGCTCTGTTCATGCTCCTTCCTGAGATGCAGATTAAGTCGACAACCTCTGGTTGGTCTGGTTTCTTAGCCGGCCAGACTCTTGCTGCTGCTCAATGGATTGTTCCCGAGAATCATGGAGTTTGGGTGTGGCGTGCTTGTCAAAGGACAGAGAGACTAGCTGCTGAAGAAAGACCGCCGCGGCGAAAGTGGAATCTTGAGTATTGGGAGTTGTGGAGATCACGCTTCCGAGACGTTGTTGAGAGGGAGGAAGATGAGAGGATTCATCCTGTTGTTCGTGAGGAAGCTAAGAAAGCTCTCAAGGTCATGATTGCGTTGGAGCGAGGTGATACGAACAAGGAGCAGTAGTCTGTCTGATTGCTTGCTGGGTTTAGTATTTGTTGTACTCATTCACCCGATCGATGGCATCTCTTGGAGCCTGTATAGCAAGATCTAACTTATGCCAATGGCCTTACTCTCATGCCTCATCATAAGCCTAGCAGCATCCGGCTGTTTCCCAAGAAACTCTTCCAGATTCTGGAGTTCATCCATACTCGCACCTCTCTCCAGCACCACACGTCTATACCTTTCCCAAACCTCTCGATCTCTCGGAGCTTCTGCAAACCGTGCAAACACATCTGCTGCAAACACCTGCGCGCTTAGGTAGCTGTAGTATCCTGCATCGTAGCCCGCAAGCAAATGTGTAAAATCTGTTTGTGGGTGGCCTCGCTCATGTCTACTTGACGTTGACAAGAGTGTGAGATTTGCTTCGTAGTCGGTGTATGTCGTCGTGGGATCGAGAGATGAGCAGGAGTGATGGCTCGAGGGGTCATGTACAGCCATATCGAATCGAGAATCTGCTCTGTGGGTATCTGTTAGAGTTCTGTTTGAGTGTCTCGGCTCGACGAAAACTTACAACTGCTGCAACATGTACAAACCGCGAAAGGCGAACTGACTGTGCACCAAGGGGTTAATGAGATGGTCGGGTATAGTTGCAGTTGGCTGTTTCTGATCCGGGTGTTGGGTTTGCCAGTCGTGCAGTAGTTGAGTATTAAGACTTGTGTAATGACAACTCATTCGTTTCAGTTCTTCCGGCAGCCAAACGTAGTTTTCGAGCATGATGCTCAGAGCTTCGGCGTAGTCTGGTGGTGAGCGCCAGCCGTGAAAACGCGAGTATGTGGTTCGTGATATCAGGTCGTGTATGCCGTGGCCGAGTTCNNTATCGCAGATTCGCGTAAGCCTAAATTCGCTTTGGTGGGTAAGATGATGAATGCACATACCATGGAAGAGAGAAATGAGTTGACTATGTTTGAGCAAGATACAGGAGGGTGATTCAACAGGCGTAAAGGGAGGAAAGTTGCACATCAGCAGTGTAGCTGGGTACTTACGCTTTCCATCGCTGTTGATATATGANNCTGTGGATTACCTCCCGAGTCAGCCATACACAAAATGCTTGCGCTTGATGGTGTTGCTTACAGGCTGGAGATTCACATTCTGGCATCCGCGATGCTTGTTCTCCCTAAACACGAGATCCATATATAGGCATCCTATGAATTCATTTTTCTCTTCCAGTCTGTCATCCCAGACTTCCCAAGCTGAGACATCAGGATGCCAGACATCAGGGGGNNGAGTTACTGCGACGAACCTCATCTGCAGGCAATCAGAGAATAAATCAAGCATACACGGCACCACTGCTTCGATGGGGAAGTATTCGGCGATCTTGTCGTGGTCGACGGACATATGCTCAAGCGCCAGGCGTTTCCAATATGGATAATCCCAAGCTAACATGTCGTCAGTGTGGTCGGGTTGACCTTCGTATTTTGAGGTCTGTGATGCTCTGAAGACCTGCAGTTGTTCGATATCCTTCGCTCCTTGAGGCAATAGTGTTGCTTCCAGTTTATTCATGAATTCGTAAACCCACTCTCTGGTCTTTGCCAATCTGTTCTCCAGACGATATGCTGCATGACTCTGATAGCCGAGTTGACGCGCATTCAGATCTCGAAGCAGAAGTACCTCTTTGAAGATTGCCAGATTCTCCGGTACCTTGGAGGCATTGGCGATATACACGCGTTTCCTGACTTCAGACTCTTTAGCATACTGCAACACAGCAGCAACATCGTGTTTGTTGAGAGCAACAAAGCAAGTCTTGCCACCGTCGAAAGAGTCTTTATCTGGTTGCTTTTCGCCCGCACTGCGAAAGCGGGCAATGTCTTGTTCCAGCACACCTTCCAGCTCAGTCTCAGATAGCCAAATCCCTTGCGAGCAATTCCTGACATTTCTGGTAAACTCTGCACGCAGTTTGTCGATTTTGTTTCTTCGTGCAACATATTCTACAATACCTTTAGCATCCAGAACACCATACCCACAGCGCACGAAATCAGCTAACAACTCATCCAGATATTTATCAGACTCGGCATCTAAATCTTCATTGTGGTCTTTAACTGCTTGTAGTAAAATGTAGACATCGCGACGATCGGCGAATTCGCTGAAGGCTGCGTTCCACAGAGTTCTTGCTTGTTCTGCAGCAGCTCTGGCGTTGGCGTCTGGAGATGCGTATCTGAGCATTGCTATCATGCCTACAGAGTCTTCGATGGAGTGTTGGGCATCGGCGAGAGGTTTTACTACTGTTGAGAAAGTTGCATCCTTGGGCTTCACGTCTCTGACTATGTTATTTCGTGCTTTTCGTAAGGTTTTGATGTTGTGTTTTGTTAAAGTGAGGATGTCATTCGTGGCTATGAGCTGAGGATATTGTTGAGGGGGTTTCGGTCGTTGCATTTTGGGGTCTTGATGTGATTACTGTACGGCTTTGTTGCAAGAGTCTTTGGCATAGGGATTGAAAAGGACATCACAGTGTTTGAGAAGACATACTTGCTTATCTATGTCCTTGTGATCAATCTCATGTTATCTTGCGAGATAGCTTCCTCTTCGGGGTTTGGCACCAGAATCCTCTTGTTGCTAGCTGGTCTTGGTAACTTGGCAGTGACTCGATAGGAGTAGCAGCACGACACTGCTTTAACCTTATGACCGGGGATTCTTCCAACAATCGAAGGGCAAGGCGTCCAGCCACTAGATATACCAGATCTTACCCTGGGCTTCGATACAACACGAAACCAAGTTCCCGGGGTTTGGATATGCTGGTGAAACTGCTGGAGGGCCTTTCATTCATGAGGGGCACGGCCTTGGTTATGAAACACGGGTGTGAGTGTGGCCAAAAGTCGTGGTTGCTGCCTATCTCGTCAAACCTGAGCATTCTTTTGTTTACTTAAACCATGGCCTGACTCTTCAAACCTATCTACACAGCAGATAGATTGGGATTTTACGCAACATGGCGTCTTCGTTGCCACAAGAGCTTCTGTCGTTGATCGCAAATCACATCACTGGAAAGAATGAGAAACTCACTCCATATACACTGGTCAACAAATCTTGGCAAGCTGCGTTCGAGAGAAGGATGTATTCTTCGCTTGTGGTACTCAGTCCGTCAGATGTGGACTATATTACAGTCGGTCCTACTGAGCAACACAAAAAACGCGGTCTTTCCTTATCAAGGCTCGATGATATTACTAGTGGACCCCAGGACTGGCGACAGGCTCGACGCACTTATATCCGACACATTCTCTACAGAGTTGCGGTACCCCACTACTTGGAAGAATGCCGCCGCGGGGACGACGATTATACTTACGACAACATCTGGCACCGCGAGAACAATCTAGCTTTCTCTCATGGTATGCGGGCTTTGTTTGACTACCTGCCACGATTGGTAGATCAAGCCATCTCGCTTGATATTGCTCTGCAAGCAGAGACTGCATAATTTGATGAAGAAGATACTGAGCCAGACACTTTACCCATCGAGGTTGGCTATGGTACAGATTTGGCACCTTACTATGCAACTTTTCTGCCTGATTGGCGTCTAGCTGCTTCAAAATGCGTAAGGGCGTTGGAGTTCCCGGAGATTATTCTTCCCGCCGATGTTCCCAGCGAGTACAGAGGATATTCTGAGAACAAGATATCACCACCCGCAATGTTGAGGATAGCATCGGCATGCGTCGCTCTGCAAAAAATCAAGGTTGATGGTGCATGCGATATTCCATGTGAGGAATCTGACTTGAGATTGGATATGCGAATTGCCACCGCAGCAGGTCTGTCTGAGCTACCNAAAAGCATACGAAGCCTCGAACTCTCCTGGAGTTCGCCGGGCAGCTACGAAATTCCCGAGGTGAGGTCTTTGAACGAGAGTACTGAGCAAGATTTGTTATGTATTGCCTTGCACAAAGTCTCTTTGCAGCTACAAGACTTGGTTATCTTCGACATGGCAGTTTTTCCCGAGCTCTTCTGCCCAGATGGCTTACCAGGATCAGCTGAAGTGTATTGGCCCAATCTCGAAACCCTCGACTTGGACCAAATCGATGACGTCTCGCCTTCTGGTGCCCTATCCCGGTATGGCGATGGCTCGTCCTCAGAGGAAGTGCTGATAAAACACTACATCGATGACCTCTATACAAGTCTCGGCTACGCTACTCAGAGAATGCCGAGACTGAAGAATGCTAAGGTGGAGTTAAGGAGCATAGACCACGAGCTCAAGGTGCTTTTCCGAAATGGTCAATGGATCTTGCGTGTACGTGTAAACAAGCACTATACCCCATCGTCGCGGTTCTTGGAGGCTTGGAGAGTGCCTGGAGGGTGTTTGCAACCTTGCAAGGGCCGTGGCTGGCAGCAAGCCTCATACACAACATGGCCACCACAGTAACGACGACTGTCGAGGCTATCAAATAGGGTAGGTGTGACAGAAGCCTCAACCCAAGCCTACAGACAGGATGTTCGCTCTGAATGTCGTGTTTGCGCATTTGGGACATTCCAGTTTAGCTTATCAGACAAGCCCCATCCCTGATGCTACCGTGTAGCAAGAAACTTTTGGCATAGTTGTGAGCACAGTGATCATCTTTGGTGCACACTCTTCTCTGGTTGTCGCTCAGTATACGATATCACCGTCATCTCCTCCTACCCTCAGCTCTGAAATGCTCTCGTGCCATTCCCGGTTCATTTTGAAAGCAGCAGCCTCATTGCTTGTCAGAGCAACAACATGGTACTCCCATCTCTTCCCATCTTGCGCGATACTGAACGAAGCCAGACCACAGGACGCACCAGGAGGCAGCAGCATACAGGTGTACACATCCCCACTGAGTCCCAGATACTTGAGTGTTACGCGCTCATCACCCTGAGCGATGCTAACTCTGTTCGCACGAAAAACGTCTCGTGCAAAAACTTTCCAGTGATTCTCGAGCTCTGCATCATGTTTTTCGACGAGGTCTTGGAATTCTTGCGGTGTGTTCGTTTTCCAATGGGTGTGATCGGGTACTAAGCCTTGGAATGCGTAACCACTTGCATTTTCCCTTCCTACTAGGAACAATCGCTGCAGATTTCGCAGTTGTGGGAGCACGTCGTCGCGGAACTTTGGCCACAACTCCTTGGGTAATGGCAGCGTCAAATCTTCGAGGTGGTCGTAGGTTGCGATGCAATCAAGCACATCTTCGGGTATCTTGCAGGTGTGGAAAACATCCCCGATCAAGAGGGTTCGCCAGTGGTTTCCTGCCTGGGCTAGCGGCTGTGAGAACAGTTGCTCAGGATCCCACTCGGGCAGGTTTTCAATTTCCAAATCCCATTGCTTGGGATCCCAGAACTCGTTCGTCTCGTCCATTCTTGAGCGAGGTTGTGTGTTGCAGAATCTCGGCAGGGATAGATTTATCAGCTGGCCAGAAGAATTGAGCAGACTTATCAATACCACGACATCGGCACTCAGACGTTCTGCAGTCAGTGACTTGACGTTGTTGGCTGCTGCGAACTGTGCTGCATCTATGGGGGCATCACGGCCGATATCATGGACACCGATATTATCGTTGTCAAGTCTGAGGGCTTGTAGCGCGGACAATTCAGTCAGTCTCGAAACGTAGTCTGTCCCAGTCTCAATGGGAAGGAAACCATATCCCAATCGTAGCGAGCATAGCCGTAATTGCTTGCCATTCGCATCTTCGAGATATCTGACCAATGTGGGCAGTAATGCCATGTCNNATCCCTCACGACACGAGCAAACCGTGGAAAGCGATAACTCCCTCAAACAAGGGCAAGACATCAAGACTCCAGAGACCTGTCCAGCTCTATCGCACTGTTCCTGGCTCATACCCAGCAGCTCTAGTTTGTAGAGATTGCCAAAGGATGGAATGCGGTTGCTGAAACTTTCAGGTATGCCTTTGCTATTGACGATAGACACTTCTCGCAACTTCTCAAAGCGCACAAGGGAGTCGAGTACATTCTGCCCATCAGCTCCTGCCAGCAGATACTCAAGGGCTTGGCCATGATTGAAACTNNACCGACCCTGGTAAACATCATACAGTCATTTCTCTTTTTCGAGTGTGGAAATGATTGCTTACTAGACAGAAATCATCTCCTTTTGCGCTTTCAAACACCCATCCAGCGCTTTCAAGATCCTCTCGAATGCGATTCCGGCAGGCAAGGGATGATTCATTGCGGTATCGCGTCCAAAGTATAGACTGCTAACCATGCCCGGATGCGCAGCCAAACCCTCTAAACTCGAGAGACAATGGGTATAGTGCGAATCTTGTAGGCTTACATCTCTATACAGCAGAGGCTTACACATCGCATCAAGTTTCCGAGATACCTGACACAGTGTCGCCAGCTGCGATCGCGACACACATTCAACGATACGCAGCAGTATTTCGTCTGAAAAGCCACGCATGGTAACGAAAGAGATTCAAAGCAGTAGATATCAAAAAAAAAACAAAAAAAAAAAACTCGTGATACTGATTCTGATTTGATGCAAAAGAGAAAAGAAGGCAGATCTGGAGATTGCCACAAGTCTGTGGTTGCAGAACGAAACGCGGGAAATTAAAGAAGAAGAAAAGAGACTCGTATAGCACCGTTGGATGGCGTTTCGCATACCAAAGGCGACAGAGCGCCACGTGGAGTTTGGTCATCATATAGAGGTTTTCCAAAGATTACATAGAAATCGCATCTGTGGTTTCAATATCATGAAGTCGTCGAGAATAAGGATTAAAGTAGTGAGTGTTTCCAAGCGCTGGGTACCAATAAAGATAAACGTAGAACAAGAAAAAGGGAGGATGTCATAGACAATAAAATAGAAGGATTAAGAGAAAACCAATGTCTATAAACTATGTATAAGGTAACCTAATATGCAAAAGTAGAAAAAGCAACTTATATGCCCACAGAACATAGAAATCTAGGACAGAAAAGGAAGCGCGTTAACACTCCTTCATGCAATAAAGTGTGTAGAAGAATATAAACAGATGGAGGTCGTGAACATCGTTAAATGCGAGAGAAATGCTGAGCGCCTAGACACGCTTTGAGATTGTGCTGGTAGGTTTCTTGGAGCTGGACGAAGAAGAAGTGCTGCGCTTGACAGTGCTGGTCGTCAAAGTCGAGCTGGGCTTTTTGGTGCTGCTGGTCGAAGAAGTCTTTTTTGTGCTGCTTGTCGAAGTCGTCTTCTTGCTGCTACTGCTCGTCGAAGTCGTCTTCTTACTCGAGCTCGTCGAGGAGGTTTTCTTACTACTGCTCGTCGAAGTAATCTTCTTACTCGAGCTCGTACTCGAAACCTTCTTACTACTGCTCGACGAAACCTTCTTACTCGAACTCGTCGACAAACTCTTCACCACAGCCGTACTCCTCACAGTAACGCCCGCATTCTTCGTACTCGCCGTAATCACAATTTTGGCACTCGAACTGCTGGTTGAGCTGGATCTACGCGTCGATGAAGTCGAAGAAGAGGAAGACGTTTTCTTCGATGACGAAGACGATGCTGTGCTTCTGCTGGACGATTTGCTCGATGTGCTTGTGGTTGAGGGTTTGGTAGTTGAGGACGTTTTTGTGGATGAAGAGGAAGTTATGGGTTTGAGGGTTGAAGAGGTCGAAGTGGGTTTTGTGGTTGATGAGCTGGTGGTGGGTTTGCTGCTGCTGGTGGTGCTGGTTGAGGTTTTGGTGCTCGAGGATGAGGAAGTAGTGCGGATGCTACTGCTGCTGCTTGATGATGTTGAAGTGGAAGGCTTGACGCTGCTAGAGGACGATGTCGAAGTCGAGCGAGAGCTGCTAGATGAGGAAGTAGAAATCGACGAGGATTGACTGCTGCTGCTGGTCGACAAAGTCGAAGACGACAATGAGCGAGTGGCGCTTGTCGAAGATGCTGACGACGACGATGATGAAGTGCTCGTCGGACTCATCAAAGAACTAGAACTCGAACTCGTCGGATCCGCAACAACAGTCTCCGAAAACACCTTGATGTAGTTGACCTCCCAGTACGCCTCTGTGAACGCACTAGGATTACCCGCCACATAATCCACACAGCCATTGCTTCCACTACTAGCCAAAGGACAGCTGGTAGACGAATACACACTCCCCGCCCAATCACCACAAAACGTAGTGTCAAAGATCATACGGTGATTGATAAAGTGAGAGTCAATATCACAGCTGCCGCCATCAAAGTTGCCGACCGGAGTTCCAAAGTCAAGAGACGGGGAAGGCGAGCCAGAGGAAATGGAGGCGGGGATGGCGTTGCGAGGGAAGAACCACACTTTCATGAATGAGGAGGTCCATTGCATGGCGTAGACTCCGCCGCCGTTGGAGTTGAAGCCATCGCCATAGCCGGTTTGGTCGTTGGAGCCTGTGGCACAACCCGCGGCGCCGCCAGTGCTGACAGCGCAGTCGTAGCCATTCGCCCAACCGGTCTGATTTTGGAATTTCATGGTGCAGTTGGGTGCAGTGTGGGCGGCGATTTGGTTGGTGCTAGCCATGTTGACGCCCTCAATAATGTCGAGTTCTCCGTGAGTAGGCCAGGTCGAGTCGCCAAGAGTCCAGAAGGCAGGCCAGACGCCGCAGATGGAGCCAGGCATGTGTTTGATATCGGCAAGGAAGAGGCCATGGTTGTAGTTGACCTTGCCTTCAAGACGTACTGATTGACGACCAGTAGAGTTGGCATAGAGCACTGTGGTGTCGTCTACGCCCCATCTAGCAGTATTGCCTGAACCGTACCCAAGGATGCCGCTGCTGACGGCTGTCGCCTGGTCTACATACTGGACGAAACCATGAGTCGGGTCCGGGTCTGTGAAGAAGTTGAAGCCGTCGTAGAAATTGCTTCCAGCATATGTATCTTGCAAAGAATAGGAGTAAGAGACAGCAGAAGCCGTCAGGGGAAGAAGAGCAAGCAAAAGGCCACTAGGACCAACAAGCCTTGAGCAAGGCATTTTTCTGCAGCAGAAACGACTGTCTCGATAACGAATGAACGACTACGCCAAAGAATGGCAAGCAAGAGCAAGAGCAGAGTAAGTAGCAAAGCAGAAAAAAGTCACCAACCTACAGGAAACCCATCCAGGGACAAGGCCTGTGTTTTATTTCGCCCTTCACCTACAGAGTGTATTGGAATCCCACCGGTAGAAACGGGCGGTTCGTGCTGGAGGGTCTCACATTTGGGCCATCGACCTTCAGCTGCTCGGTCATATGCGCGGTACCTACACCTACAAGAGCGCCACAAACAGAGCTTGTGGCATTTAAGCATGACCCATGGTATAGCGGCCGGCAAAGAGTAGTGACCACGCACGCACCTGCATCAAAGAGGGTGTAGTGACCAGTTCGCGAATCAGGGGAAAGAAAGCACAAGAAAGCAGAGTTGGTCGACCGTTCAAAGTTTGGCGAAAGCCGTTGCCGAAAGCAGAGTTCGGAGATGCCGTTTTGGGCTGAAGGGCTGAGCTGAAGAGGAGAGCCAGACTTTTGGCTGGCTCTTGCACCTGTTCTCAGCTCTATGGATCTATCGGATCTCAAACTCGAGACACGAAAGAGCCGCATCTCGCTCTCGCTCCACGGAAGCCACTCACAAAAGACGGGATATACTGAAATGCATGCGTGTTGCGGCTCAAACCATTGGTCTGTCCGCGATTCGAAATCAGTCTTTTCCACGTTTTTCACACTCACCGACTGGGTTTCTCGAGCTTCGATCTCAGCTGAGACCGCCCCAGTAGGCCAGCTGAATAAAACATGAGTTGCATTTGATTAAATTGCCTTTGCCTGCATGGATTGGTTCTCTCTTGTCGTCGCCCTTTGCCGTAGCGCGGAAACAACACCGGACCTCGGTTGGGTATGCGTAAAGGGATGAGACAAAACCGAGCAATAGGACAAGGAGAATGACAGGCTTTGCAGCTTACAGAAGCCATTTTCTGCTGCGAAATACGTACAGAGGCACAACGCGATTAATGCGTTTCGTGTCGAGTGGTCACGATTCCGTGTCGCGAGCGCAAGGTAAGGCAAAGAGATGTATGCTTCCGCGGGTGACGGGGTCAGTCACACTAGATCAAGTGATGCGGTGAACTGCACGCGAAAAGTCTAGATTCATGTCACGATTCGAGACGCGCAATGCACCAGATGGAGAGGTCGGAGTAGAAAAGATGAAAACACACATCTATTTGACAAAGGTCTATATTCCAAGAACCGCAATGCAGGATATTAGGCAAAACGCAAAATAACGCTTGAACGCTCGACGAGAACCAAACTCTCAAAGAATCAATCTTGCCGCTCGGCACCTCATGCCTTTGCATAACGACAAGCCGGGCTGCTGCAGGCCTCGTGCCTTTGGTTCAACCAGTCATAGACATGTCTGTGATCGCCCTCCTTTTCCCACGAGCCCAGAAGCACAAGCAACGGCTCGTCTCCCTCATACTGATATCCAGGCGCCTTGCGCTGTCTCGCAACTTCCAGCGTCTCGTGGATGGTATCCCAGACGAAACCCGCCGTCAAGGGTTTGCCATCTTGTGACTCGCAGCGGATGAGGTAGCTCCAGTAGTAGAGCTCGATGCGTGTGGGTGCTGGGTTGGAGAAGTACATGTTTCGCCAGCTGGCGGTTGGAGACGAGCGCTCGCCGAGAAGGTAGAAGGGGTCATTTTCTGAAATCTTGAAGGCGAGCATGTGCTTCTTTTGGCGGTCTTGAAGGTCGCGGAAGACGACTGGGTGGCTGAAGTAGTCGTCTTGTGACTGATTGGTGTTGTCGAGGTGGCGGCAAAGCGACTGTTGGTCGGCTCGCGCTTGTCTGGCAGCATCTTGCTTCTGTCGTCGCTGGTCGCAAGAGAAAGAGTTGTGCAGGATGTGTTTCTTGAGAGTGGGTGCAATGAAGGGGTTTGTCTCTGCGCCACAGACGCGATCCTCCTCTTGATGACCACAGAAACAGGGTCTCTTTTGCTCAGAGTCGCGTGCCAGGAACAGACGTTTCTGCAGACGGGCAGAAGCATCAATCATGCCCTTGAAACTGCGACACGTCCTCGAAGTCGTCATGATGGCGCGGATGCTCTGTCGTTGCATCTCGACCTCGTTGCCAGCCCAGGGCAACTGCATCAGAATGTGTTCAAAGAGATCGAAGTTGTTCAATGTCTTAGAGGCGGCAGATTCTCCTTTGTCGGCAGAGAGGATGTTGGCAGTCTCGGTGGGTCGCGATCTAAGTTGTGGCTCGGGAGCAATGACACTGCTTCGTCGGCGTGACAGTTCCTTGCGGATGCTCTGTGAGATTTCGCTTCGTACGTCTTCGGCGGCCGAGTGACCCAGGCTCATTGACACCTTTGAGATGCGGCGTCTCTTGCCATTGCAGGCGGGCTTATATTCGTGGTCGTTGTGACCTTCGGGGATAGTGCTGATCATGTTGGCTGCGAGTGAGAGAATGATCGTGTGAGAGTACTGAGGTGGAGTGTAGGATCGGTTGCAAAACAAGCAGCAAGCAAGGGAGAAAGAGTCAAGCAAGAAAGAAAACAAAGGTCAATCCACCATCTTAAACAAACCAACGTCAGGACCCCTGCTTCGTCTCTTTCGCCCCGAATAGCCGTAACCGCGCCATGACTACCCCATGAAAAATCACCAACCCGAAGGCCAAGGGCGAAAAAGACGATGGGGAAACTCCAACGGTCGATCATGTTTTGATCTGGACCGAAACGAGAACGAGTCCAACCAAGACGCGTCCAAGCTTCCACCGGATCTGCCATCCCGAAAGGGTAGCGGCGAAAACAAAAGCAATATCTACCCCAATGCATATCGTGGGGTCTTCTAGAAGAAGGGCGACTCTTGCATCCATCTCGCCATCGTAGGCACCTGTTAACAATCTCATGATAAGGTGACAAAACATAAGGTCAAAGTGGTATGTTTGCTGCAGACAGTCAACGTCATACATGCACCCATGTCAAAAGTAGCAATTCCGTTGGAATTCTTCTGGAAAAGACACGGAAGCTTTTTGGTGCTGCAAGCAGAGCACACGACAAGCACATGTCAAAGATCATGTTTCGTGCATGGGGCAAAAACCACCCAAACATACTCAAACCATCGTTGCACCCGCTGTCAACCCTCTTAAATCTTTTCTGCCATTTTTGTTTTGTGCAGCACACGAAGCAAAGACAAAAACAATCGGTGAACACACGGCGCCGGGCGTTCGGCAGAACAGGCATCTGGAATAGACTTCTCGACCTTTTGATCAGCACGCACGCAGCAGTCATGACTGTGACGATCAGGTCCCGGCGTGAGAAGACCCTTTGCATCGTCTATCTTGGCCCTATAATACGACCCTGTCTGAAGCTCGTCAGTGTCGTCATGCATTCTTCAGACTCACGTGTATCAGAACACTCTCTCAGGCAGATGATTTTTAAGAGCTAGCGCATGCATGGAAAAGCTCTGCATGCATTGAGAATCGAAGAGAATAGATTCTATATCTATAGATGCGTAATGCTTATTACAAAATCGTGAGTGGTTGTGTAGCTCCATGTAGCAGCCATGTCAATCTATCATGGCTGAGATCAAAAGTGTATGGCACGACGGTTGGCCGTTTCTGTCACCCTTCGCAAGACAGAGCCAGTGGCGCCGCAATCCAAACGTGTATGAACTTGTGGCTGGCTGTACGATTTCGTACACCAGTTTTCCAGGCAGCTGTGCCTGATGCCCCGTGGAGCCTCGCGATATTTCGAACTCCTGTCGTTTGGGGGCGACTCGACCTCTCAGGGAGTGAGCTCGCGTGCTCTGCCATCCTTGCCTGATTCCAAACGAGTCAAGCGATATGTTCTTTCTCCAACGACTCGACAATTGCCTGTCATAGCCAACCTCAAACCTTCAGCGTGAACCAGCACGCCTGATACTCCTTTCCCTAGCTGTCCTCTCAATCCTCGTCTTCCCTCGGTGGCGCCACCGTTCCCCTCCACAATCTACCTCTATCCTCCTCATAATTCAACATCCCCGACTCTTCATCTTCTTCTCCTGCATCTTCATCCCATTCCTCTTGCTTCCGGAACCTCTTCGCAAGATTCCAGACTCCTTGTTTGACGTTGTCTTTTGCTCGTCGCGCGAGATCGGATACAGTATCGATGGGAAGGTTTTGGGATTGGGAGCGCCAGAAGGGGAGGATGAGGTAGGAGATACTGAGGTAGAGCGACAAAGCGATGGAGAAGGGAAGGAGGAGAGTCTGGTTTTGCGCAGAGTTAGCTTCTGGTGGAGGGATGAGGGATGGAGAGATGAGGGATGGAGAGAGGGAGAAAGGGCTTACGAGGAGGGCGGAAGGTAGGGGTTGTGATTGTGACATGTTTGGGCGCGTGGCTGTTCACTCTCTCGTGATGTGCTTGAAGCGATGGGTCGTCGCTGACTTAAATTGCGTGACACCCTCGACAATGCCCAAAATCCAGAAACCAGTACTCGTAAGTGGCGAAGACCCAGATCTACTCCAACAGCGTCCAGTCCAAATAATGCAGGTATATCCAGCGACCTAGTAAAGCAGAAAGGGCAAAACCAGAAGCCTCGTTCAAGTAGAAAAGCGAAGAGAACTCGCTATAGAGAGCAGTAGCGAATGACGAAACACGCAAGACAATAGAAATGATACAATCGTCCTGAAATCGTGTCCCGCTGCCGTCTGTATCCGGATAGAAACGGCTATAAAGGCAAGCCAGCACAAGGAAAGAAAACGTGGGGAAAGATGGGATCTATCGGTGACGACGACTGGCCGAAAGCGTAGATTGGATCGGGTAGGAGCAGCGTAGAAACAGAAAGCAAGAAGAGAAGCTCAGAAAAAGGATTGTAAAACCACAATGTTCGAACAAGTCTCAAGGACGGAGCTCTTCAGCCCTGTGCTTTCTCAGCTCATCTCAGCATTGTCAGCTTTCTCGAGGTCGCAAGAGTGCAGATGAGGCGCTACGGATGACGGGTTTGCCGAACGCGGCGGGCGCGCGGCAGAGGCGGAAACGGCCATCTGCTCGCTGGACCTTCCTTGTCAGGTCGCTCAAGGGTCTAGAACTATTTTCGTCAAGTGGTTGTTGAGGATAACACCCTGTTCAAAACGCAGCAAGTGTTGTTTCTTGACCATATAACAATTAATCGGAATATACTTGATTGGAGCGATTTATGAGGGGTAGTCCTTGCGATTTAGGAGTGAGAGATCGATCGTATTGGCTCGGTGTACCCAGTGTGGTGATTTGCGAGGGAAGACGAGTTATAAACCTGAAGCTTGTCCACACTTCACACACGTCTCGCTCAACACCGGACGACATTGGACGCTCGATAGTTCGTGCAAACAAGCAAATACACAATTCTACACCTGTTGTTACTACTCCAAATCCTAATCCATCACATCGTAACTACATCTGTACACAAAAAGTATAGATAGCCGTACAAAACTCCACACATAATGCTTCGCCTCGGCCCCTTCTAGTCTTCATCCTGTCCAACACGTCTATATCTTCCACTACCTCCTGCATGAGAAGAAGCGCCATCTCCCTTGCCCTTCTTGACAAGGTTAGAGATCCAGCCTCCTAGACCCTCAAAGTCACTGTCTTTGCTGAGCATGGGCTTGCCGTTTTGCACGTCAACGGCAGGTGGATCGATGTCAAGGTCGGGGATATTAGCGTCTTGAGGTGCATTACCATCACGATCGAGATGGATGGAAGCTGGAGGACTTCTGCTGAACAGTGACTCGGCCTCAGCGAGGGTCTGTGGTGAGGGAGCCACAGTAGAAGCGTCTCCAAAGATGCTGTTCATGTCTTCTAAACGAACGTTGGCTGTCTCGGGGAAAAGGAAATAGACCACGACGAGCGAGACAGCACAGAAGAATGCATGCATCAAGTACAGTCGCCATTGGATGAGGTCCTGAAGGATCGGGGTAAGTTCTCCGACAAGCCAGTTGAAAGCCCAGTTCGACGCTGTAGACAGAGAAGCTCCCTTAGCACGGATGCTCAAAGGCAGAATCTCAGGTGGGTAGAGCCAAGGAATGGGACCCCATGACGCTCCAAATGCTGCATTATACAGGACGACAAAGATAACGACCATACGCGGGGTAAGGTGAATATCGATGTAGATGAAGTATGATATGGCCGAGAGCGAGATGATCATAGCGACAGCACCCCACATCAGGATGGGACGGCGACCGAGACGGTCGACAAGGTACCATGGAGGTACTGTGGAAAGCAGATAGGTGAGGCCGTTGATACCGGTCATGAGAATAGCATCGCGGCCAACCCATCCAGCTTGCTCAAAGACCAGAGGAGCGTAGTATGAGATAACGTTGATACCGTTGAGCTGAGCAAGAGCTTGTGCAGACATGGCGATGAAGACACGCTTGTAGTAGCGCTTGAACATGTCCTTGTAGCTGCGCTCACCTTCTTGACGCTGCAGCAGCACGTTCATCTTGATCTCGCGGTACTCGTCACGCGCCTTTTGGTTGTGGATATCGCCCTTACCGTAGAGGTTAGCAATGACGACAATACCTTCCTCGTCGTGATCATTGTCCAGCAGCCATCNTTTGTATTTGTCAGCACCGATCATATCTAGCAAGAAGAGCAAAACATACCTAGGAGATTCGCAGATCAGGAAAGAACCAAGGATGAGCAAGGAGCCCATGACACACTGCATGAACAAAGGAAGTCTCCAACTCCAGTCATTGTGGATGAAGGAGCAAAAGTAGTCAACCCAGACACTCGAGGCGTAACCAACAATGTTACCCGAGAACTCGATACAAGCAAGCTTTCCGCGGTTATGGGGTGGTGAAATCTCAGATTGGTAGACAGGCACGATTGTCGACAGAGCACCAACACCGAGACCAGCAATGATACGACCGAGCATCATCATAGGCATGCCGGTAGCAAAAGTCTGGAAAGCACCACCAATGACGAAGACGACAGCTCCGTAGAGGATGGTGCGACGACGACCGAGTATGTCACCAATACGGCCTACACCCAGAGAGGATATGAAAGCGCCAACCTCGAGAATGGCAACCATTGTACCAATCTCTGCTCTTGTAGGCTGGTTGAAGTAGCCCTTGAAGTACATGCCGGTGATGATACCACTCATGACACCCTGGTCATAACCAAACAGGAAGACACCTAACGAGACAAAGACCGAGGTGAAGTAGATGAGCTTCTTGCCATGAAGGCCATGCATGCGCGAGGGGCCATCATTAGGAGCCATGATGAAGGCGAGGATGCGTTCGGCTTGGGAGATTTGGCGCGGTGGGGGGTTGGGGATGGGAATGTCGTTCTTGCTGATTGCACCCTCTTTGGTTCCGCTCTGGTAGCGAACGTGCTTGGTGTTCTTACGACGACTACTGGGGCTCTGGTGCTGCGGGTTGAGAGCAGCGCGTAGGGGGTCGTCTTCGTTGTCAAACTGGTCAACCAGATCACCCGTGTCGCTCCAAAGACTAAAGTCGCTGTGGGCAGAGTCGGACGAGCGCCGGTGACGGCTACCGTCAGAGTATCGCTTCTCGTCAAACGATGAAGCGCTGCTGGTGTTGCGCAGATGCCGTGACGACGATGAAAGAGTGTGCAATGGAATGTTGGCAGGCCTGCGTTCGGGAATCTTGGCGGCGGATGTTCAATCTTTTCCTGCCTGGCGATGGAGGCAGGAAGAAGAATGAAGAAGAGTTTCAAAAAGTGCTAGGACGAATTGAGAGCACACGTGCGTATAATCACAACACCTTGCTCGATGGCTTTGGCCGCTTGCTTTGATACGAGTATCGACTCGTCTGCCCAACACGACCACGGCAAATCGGCCAAAGACTGATAAGGGACCAATGACGTCGCTCGGATCAACAGAAAACTTGCAGCTCAGGTCACGGTGGCTACGTGGGAATACCGGAAGCGAGTGGGAAAAAATAGAGGCTGAGAATGGCGGTAAGAAAAGGACGACGTATGATTGAAGATCCGGGAGAAAGAGAGAGAAAGCGCTCCTTTGCTCTTGTCAATCTTCCTTCGCCGTGCGTCGTGGCTTGTCGCGTCCCCTTGAACCTGAGCGACTGTCGATCTCCTCCCTGATTACCCGAAGACAGACATCTTTTCTGCATCAACACCGTTTTCTGTTCTTCAAGTGTAGAGCCCAGAATGCATATCAGTCTGTTCTTTTGTGAGGTCCCTACTCGACCAACATCCCACTCGAAGGAGCAAGGTCAGAGGTCACAAGCCATCAATGTCCATGACCCGAAACTAGCTCCATACCCGGGGCCTCCGCAAACCTGAAGCAGAACCCATGAGCTGCTACGCCCGTGCGCCAAACGCCATCTCTCCATGCCCCATCTTTGATCCAAGACTTGGAAGGGGGAAAAGGGGATAGAGTGGTTCGAAAGATAGAAACAGGTCACATGCTCGAGATGGTGCAACTGACCGCTTTGTTGGCATGAAACTTGACAGTTTGTTTGACTAACAAGTATCGCTGTAGAGGAAGTGCACTTAAGTCATTTGCTTGATGCCATCTGACAGGCCGCCAAGTCAATCTCAACAAGGATGACTTGACCTCTCTGACAGGTTTCCAGATCATGACAATGAAGGAATACAAGTTTTGATATGTACAACATTTCCATGACCACGACTATGCTAAACAGAACGTAAAAGGAAACAAATGGAAAAAATATAAGCATGTCGAATACAGTGTGAACGCCCATGTTCGCCTATCTTTGAGGGCAATGTTTGTGAAGTAAGCCCCTTTCATCTTTCCTTTACGCAAAAATCATCTTCTGGTGACGTTCTGCCTCTCAGGCTCCAGCCACTCTAGGCATAACCTCAGATTCTCGGGTATATCCCTCTTCCAAATCTTCATCCTCTGCCACTCCGGACTCGGCATTGTGTTTTCGTAAGAGCTCCGTCTTGTGTAATTATTATCTACAACAAAAGACTGGTAGTTGCTTATGCGCTGGCGACAGCGTTGGGTCCGTAATGTACTTGAGGGTTGGGCTCACCGGGAGCCATGAAGTTGGTCTTTGCGTTGCCTTGAGCCTTTGATGCTGAGCAGCGAGCCATGGTGGGCGAAGATCTTGAGATGGCGTTGGTGAAGAAGAAGTCGGCGATGGGCTTCTTGAGGGCGGTTCCGGTGATCTTGGCACCGTGGTTGGCCTCAACGAGCTGGACCTTGGAAAGAGAAGCGATCTCTTGCGAAGTAGGCTCAGCAACATCGTAGGCGGAGAGAGCGGGCGAAATCTCGTTCATGCGGTCGCGGAGCATCTCAATGTCATCGTAAGGGAGGGTGACGTTAAGGGCCTCGGAAACAGCACGGAGAATCTTCCAGTCCTCACGAGCGGCACCGTAGACACCAGTGGCGGCGCGAGCCATCTGTGTGCGACCTTCAGTGTTGACGTAGGTTCCGCTCTTCTCGGTGTAAGTGGCACCGGGCAGGATGACATCGGCGAGCTGAGCACCCTTGTCACCGTGGGAGCCCTGGTAGATAACGAAAGCGTCCTTGGGAATATCGGCACCTTCGATCTCATCAGCACCAAGGAGCCAGACCATCTTGGGAGTAACCTGGGCAGTGGCAGGGTTGCTGACACCCCAGCCAATCTCGTAGGCACCGGTACGGGCAGCAGCACGCTGGAGAACGTTGTATCCGTTCCACTCCTTGGTGGCGAAGTTGGCCTTGTTCTCCTCGATGAACTTGCCGACAGTCTCGAAGATGGCACCGGCATCAGGGTTCTCAGCAACAGCGCTACCAACAATGATCATGGGGCGCTCGGCGTTCTTCAGCTTCTCGGCGAAAGGTCCAGACAGAGCAGACTTGAGGGCGTTGGCATCGGCACCGAGGTTCTCGTACTCGAAGGTAGACTCGAAGTCCTCACCGACAAGACCAACCTCGAGGTCGGAGCGGATCCACTGCTTACGGATACGGGCGTTCAAAACAGCAGCCTCGTGGCGGGNGTTAGTTCCAACAAGAAGGATGGCATCGGCCTGTTCAACGCCGATGATCTTGGAGTTGAAGGTGAAGTTGGCGCGAACATCAGTACCGTGGGCCAGAGGAGAGTCACCCTGAGGCTGGTCAAGAGCCAGGTTCTCGGATCCAAGACGGTTGGCAAGGTCCTTTGCGGCGACAAGCGACTCAGTGTCCATAGTGTGACCGGCAATAACTTTGAACTCGTCACCCTTGGGCTGGAGCTGCTTGAACTTCTCGGAGATCTCGACCAGAACATTCTCCCAGGTGGCGGGCTTGAAGGTGGAACCCTCACGGATGAGGGGNNGAGTGGTAAGACGCTGTGTGCTGAGACCGTCGCATGAGAAACGGGATCTGTCGTCAATCCACTCCTCGTTGACATCGTCGTTCAGGCGGGGGAGGATACGCATAACCTGAAGACCTCTGCTGTCGACACGGATGTTAGAACCAAGACCATCCATGACATCAACAGTCTCGGTGTGCTTGAGCTCCCAGGGACGAGCGCGGAAGGCATAGGGCTTGGAGGTGAGGGCACCGACGGGGCAAAGATCAATAACGTTTCCAGACATTTCGGTGTCGAGGGCGGTCTCGAGGTAAGTACCAATCTGCATGTCGTTGCCACGGCCAGTGGAACCAAGTTCGGGAGCACCAGCAACGTCGTTGGCGAAACGAATGCAACGAGTGCAGTGAATGCAGCGGTTCATGGAGGTNNCTGAAGAAGCTAGTCAGCCAATGCCAGGCAGAGCGTAAAGATGTGCACCAGAACAGACCTTGACAAGAGGACCAATGTTCTTGTCCTCGACGGCACGCTTGCCACCAAGCTCATGGAAGCGGCCACGGTCGGCACCGTATCTCATGCTCTGGTCCTGAAGATCACACTCGCCACCTTGGTCGCAAATGGGGCAGTCCAGAGGGTGGTTGGCCAGCAGGAACTCCATGACACCCTCACGGGCCTTGTGGACGAGGGGNNGAGAGTCGGTCTTGACGACCATACCGGGCTGGACGGGCCATGCGCAAGAGGCAACGGGCTTGGGGGCGCGCTCGACCTCGACGAGACACATACGACAGTTACCGGCGATCATGAGCTTCTCGTGGTAGCAGTAGCGGGGGACGGTAGAGCCGGCCTTTTCGCAGGCCTGGATGAGGGCGGAGCCGGNCTGTGAAGAGCGTGTCAGACGGGGCAATGATGTGTAAATAGTGGTGAGTAGAAGCATACCCTCTATTGAGACCTTCTTGCCATNCTGGAAGCGCGTGTCAGTCATGTCGGATGCGGTCTTGGTCTTGAATGCAGGCGTACCGATTGTGAGCTCGACCTCAGCAGGACGAGGGGCGGACGAGGAGAAGGCGCGGGTGGCGTTGAGAGAGGCCAGCCTCTGCGAGCGCGGCAGACTGCGCAAAAGCTGTTGGCGCATCATGTTGTGTGAGGCCGGGAGGTGTGGATCAGGTCGAGTAGAGAGGGCGAACACTCGAACTGTAGTGTCCTGTCCATTCAAGCGGCGTCAAGTTTCCGCTCCGCTGACAGCATCTCCGCTGATTGGCTGGGCGTTGGTAAGCGGCTGTCTCCGCTGGCAGTCGTCTTTTTTCTTTCTTTTCTCCTTTTTTCTTCTTCTCATGGATCGAGTGCACGTCCCAAATGCGGGGAGCTGCTCTGTTTACACGCCTAAAACTTCTTGTCGCCTGCTCGTTGCTTCCATCATTCTCTGTGCACTCATTTGTTTACTTCGGTTTCCCGACCCTTCTCACCATGTCGGCCGATCTGTCAACGATTGCCAATCTGCTGCAGGCCAGTCTTGACCCCCGCCAGAACAAGCAAGGCAAGTCTCTCGGAAAACACTCAACAGCGTCATGTACTGACTGTACACTACANGCTGAGCAGGCCATTCGCCAGGAAGAGGCAAAGCCCCAATTCTCCCTCGCCCTCCTTCAGATTGTCGCCTCAGAATCATATCCCAACACAACACGGTTGGCAGCCGCCCTCTTCTTCAAGAACTTCATCCGCCGCAGCTGGACCGACGAGGATGGCAACTACAAGCTCTCTCAAGACGAGGTCACCGCCATCAAGCGTGAGGTTATTGGCCTCATGATCTCGGTGCCTGCCACCATCCAGACCCAGCTTGGAGAGGCCATCAGCGTCATCGCCGACTCGGACTTCTGGGAGCGCTGGGACACTCTGGTCGACGACCTCGTATCGCGCTTCACTCCCGACAACCCCAAGGTCAACAACGGTGTCTTGCAGGTCGCTCATTCCATCTTCCGCCGCTGGCGCCCTCTTTTCCGTACAGACGAACTCTTCACTGAGATCAACCACGTCTTGTCAAAATTCTGCGAACCCTACCTGGCTCTTTTGCAGGTACGACACTCCCGTTCTGACAAGCGCTGACAGCATTGCTGACAATATGAACAGAGCACAGATCAGCAAATCGCCGCAAACCAAAACAACAAGGACCTCCTCGCCCAACATTTCACCACACTCAACCTCAGCATCAAGCTGTTCAACGACCTTTCTTGCCAAGATCTGCCTCCTGTCTTCGAAGACAACCTCGCTTCCATCAGCGCTCTGCTTTTGAAGTATCTGAGCTACGACAACCCTCTCCTGCACACCGACGACGAGTCAGAGGCTGGTCTCTTGGAGTACAACAAGGCTGCCATCTTTGAGGCTTTGATTCTTTACGTTCAAAAATACGAGGATGCCTTTGGACCATACTTGGGCCAGTTTGTCGAGAGCTCTTGGACCCTGCTCACTGCCATTGGCCCCGAGACCAAGTACGACATTTTGGTCAGCAAGGCTCTGCAGTTCTTGACTTCGGTCACCAAGATCAACCAATATGCTCAGAGCTTCAACAACCAGGAAATCCTTGGCCAGGTCGTCGAGAAGGTTATCCTGCCCAACCTGTCTCTGCGCGAGTCGGATGTCGAGATGTTCGAGGACGAGCCTATTGAGTTCATTCGCCGCGATCTGGAAGGATCTGACAGCGACACCCGCAGAAGAGCGGCCACTGACTTCCTTCGTCAGCTGGTCGAGCAGTTCGAGAAGCTCGTCACCGATGTCGTTTCGCAGTACATCTCACACTACCTGGCCGACTATGAAAAGAACAAGAGCGACAACTGGAAGTCCAAGGACACTGCCGTCTACCTCTTCACCTCGATTGCTGCAAAGGGTGTTCCTACCGCTGCTCGTGGCGTGCAGACAACAAATCCCAACGTTGATGTTATCGACTTCTTTCAAAAGAACATTGCTGTCGACCTCACTTCAGCTGACACCGAGGCCATCCTTAAGGTTGATGCCATCAAGTACCTTTACTTGTTCCGCAGTCAGCTCACCCAGGACCAATGGCAAGCTGCCTTCCCTCTCTTGGTCCAGTGCCTCGGCAACGAGAACTACGTCGTTCACTCCTACGCCGCCATCGCTGTTGAGCGTGTTCTGTACATGACCGACGACAAGCGCCAACCCATCATTCCCAGAGAAACTCTCCAGTCACTCAGCAAGGATCTCCTGCAACATCTCTTCCTTCTCATGACCAAGGACTCCAAGGCCGAGAAGATCCAGGAGAACGAGTTCCTGATCAAGTGTGTCATGCGTGTGCTTATTGTCATTCGCGAGGGCCTTCTTCCTATTCTCGACATGGTTCTCACCAACCTCATCAACATTGTCAAGGTCATTCGTCATAATCCCAGCAACCCTCGCTTCTACTACTACCACTTTGAGAGCATTGGTGCCGTTGTTCGCTTCGCTGCTCCTACACAGGCTGCCAAGCTCGAGGCTGCCCTNTACGATCCCTTCGCTGAGATCTTGGCCAACGATGTTCAAGAATTCCAGCCTTACGTCTTCCAAGTCTTTGCTGCACTCCTCGAAGCAAACCCTTCAGGTTCCCTGCCTAGCTACTACCAGAGCTTGCTTGGTCCCATCCTTACCTTGGACATGTACAACTCTCGTGGCAATGTGCCCGCTCTTGTCCGCCTCCTCTCATCTATGATTCCTCGTGCTGTTGAGCAGATTGTTGCCAACAACCAGCTCGAGCCTATTCTGGTTATCTTCCAGAAGCTCATCTCCTCCAAGGCAAACGAATCACTCGGATTTGATCTGCTTGAAGCAATCTGTGGCAACATTCCTATCGCTGCCCTGCAAAACTACCTTACCACGATCGTCCAGCTGCTCATGACCCGTCTCTCCACCTCGAAGACGGAAAACTTCACGATCCGCTTCGTTCGTTTCTACCACTTCTTCTCAGCACGGGACGATAGGGGTCTTGGTCCCGATCTTTTCATCAACGTCACCGACCAGGTTCAGCAAAACGTCTTCACTCCCATGTATCTTCAGATCATCCTGCCTGATACCCAAAAGTTGTCACGACCATTCGACCGCAAGACTGCTGTCGTCTCGCTCACTCACACTCTCGCTAACAGCCAGGCCTTTGTGGATCGTTACGGCAAGAAGGGCTGGGGTTTTACATGCGAGGCACTTCTCAAACTTCTTATCAACCCTCCTCTCCCACAAACTGCTGATGATCTGATCATCGAAGATCGTGATGTTGAAGATGTCGGGTTTGGAGTTGGATTCACCGCACTCAACACCTGCAAGCCTGTGCCTAGAGATCCCTTNCCCGAAGTCCAGGATGTCAAGAAGTGGGTTGGATTGTACTTGCGCGAAGCCGACTCCAAGACTGGCGGTCGTATCGCAGCTGCTGTGAGCGAAAAGCTTGGACCTGACGCTCAAGCAGCCTTGAGCAGTGTTATGCAAGGATAGGAACTTCCACGAACACCGAATCACGAACCACTACGTTTGCCATCCAGCAAGCGCGACGCACTGGAAGCTTTTGGTTCGGTGCCTGAACTGCATTGGGATTCAGGGACCGACTCTTCCGTCTCTGGGGCTTCTACACCTCGCTCAAGCAGAGAGGTATGATAGGATCGACCAAGAGCCAGACAGTCGAACCACATTCGGCAGCCTCAGACCACCGAACCGTTTGGCATGTTTGCCGAAATCCGAGCAAAAGTCGAGATTGCTGGATACTTGATCTTTGAAAGAAGGAAAAGACCAGAAGCATTTTCCTCATCCAAAACCCCCTCGTTTATGCATTTAGCTCTATAGACACCCCATTTTCGTATTGTATCTCTATCTTCTTTTCTTTTCCTGACTTGGACTCCCGACTGATATACATTTAAAACTTTGACCATCTTGTCAACAGTGAGTACAGAATCGTGATGTATGCGATCACATTCAAGAGCTTGCGGATGTGGATCCATAGGGTGCAGTTCTCCCTCAGGCCCTCGGACCACGACTTTTGGCCACTTCCTCGACCAACTGCTTCGCTTACGAAAACCAGATTATACCGCACCCCGCTTTTCTGCTTCAGGCGACAATCAAGTCGTCTTGCTAAAGCTTGCTTTATGGTCCTGCAATGTAGATCTTCGGCAGCTCACGAGGTGTGCTCACCGCATACTGTACAACGTTCCCTAGCCAATCGCTCAAAGTCGTGCCTGACTATCACGAACGACTGCTCGTTCCTTCCTATCTAGGAAAAGCCACCTCCTCGTTACTCCAGTACCTAGCCTTGTAAGAAACACGCGCGTAAGTCTCAAGCCCTAGATCGTTTTGTTTGCATGTGACAACAATATCAATCTCTCAATCACATCTTGCATGCCCTATACCCAGATGTCAATTCAGCCGACACCAAGAGATATAAAGCCAGGGACAGGGACGACCATCATGTTGGCGAAACTACATTTTCCATCTTACACACCACTCGTTGCAAATATATGGCAATCATGCCTTCGTCTTTCGTTTCTACCGCCCTCGCTTTGGCTTCTGTCGTGCCCGCTCTTGCAGCACCCACAAACAATCTTCTCAAGCGTGCTGCCCTCCCAGCTTATGCTCTGACATACGCACCTTATACATACCTTCAAAGTGGTGAAGGATGGTTCCCATCAGATGTTGCAACTCACGTCAAGCACATGTCTGTCGAGTACGACTACAAAAACGTGTCTACTTCTGTCTCACTCAAGACATTAAACACATTCAACTCATCCACATTCTTGACAAGTTATGACAATGTCGAAACCAATCCCGCTTGGCTGACAAGCACATATGGCAAGCCCAATGCCAAGGGCTACAGTGCTGCTCCTGCTACCATCATCGCTGTTGAGAAAAATGGGTTTGTCGACGTCTTTTACTTCTACTTCTACAGCTACAACCATGGTAGTCTGGTGTTGGGAAGCAGAGTCGACAACCATGTTGGAGATTGGGAGCACAGCATGGTAAGCGACATTTCGGTTAGCATCACGCCAATACCCGAGTGCTTACCAGTCCTTACANNGATTCGCTTCTCCACTGCCGGTGTTCCTCAGAATGTTTACTACTCCGCTCACAGCAGTGGTAGCGCATACACCTATGCAGCCGTTCAGAAAGTCGGCGTCCGTCCTGTTGTTTACTCTGCTGCTGGTAGCCATGCAAACTATGCTACTGCAGGCACTCAACAGATCTACCCGATCGTCGGCAACATCGTCACTGATACCACTGATGCCGGTTTCTACTGGGACGTTGCACAGAACTACCGCGGCTACTACTATGACCCCTCTAGCAACACTGTTACCAATGCTGGTGGTGCTGATATTGGTGGTACTGAACAAGCTTCTGAAACTGTTGATTGGCTCTACTGGAGTGGTATGTGGGGAGATGAGCAATATCCTGACAGCGACAAGAGACAAAGCTGTGCTCTCGGAGTGAGTTATTCCCATCTTGATGAGTAGTGACATACTGACCTCAATGCANNGATTGATGATCTGTGCCACTACCAGAGTGGTCCTACTGGACCCCTTACTAAGAACCTTGGACGTACAGCTGTCTGCCAAAAGGAGGATGGATGCACCATCAAAACATCACTCTGAGACTCGACGACAACACACTTGCCGGTGATATTCGTTCTCGTGTGCTGACTCGATGACCATTTTCATTCTCATTTTCATGTCCCGTTCATGTCCTATCCCAGAACATTCTCATACTGTTCTCCCAAGCTGCTTTTGCCACTTCCTCTACACTGATTCCCTTCAATCCAGCAACGATAAATGCTACATGACTCATACTGCAACTCTCATTCCTCTCCTTGACCATACTGCCCATTGCAAATTTATCCTTCTTCTTACTCGCCGGCAATATCGGCGCATTGACCAGATACCTTTNTGCAACTTCCGAGCTGGCTTGGATGATCCCCCAAGGCGCGTCCGTCTCGAGTTGTAGCTTTTCCAGCGGAATTGCGGATACCATCTCCAAAGACTCGCGGTCCTTGAAACTGAATCCGTTGACACTGATGTCCAAGCCCAAAGATACCAGTTTTTGCATCTGTGCTGTTGTGCCTACGAAAGAGTGAACTAATCCCCCTCTAGGCAGTTGGGGAATGTAGCCTTCCATCACCGACACGAAATCGTCAAAAGCAGCTCGACAGTGTAAAAACAGCGGTAATTCCCACTTCTGAGCCACGAAAAGATCGAGTTGGTCTTTGAAACAGCGGAGTTGTGTTTCCTTGTCTGCGAGTGCGAGGTGCTCGTAATCTAATCCCAGTTCTCCGTATGCAGTCACCAGTCCTGGCGCCGAGATTTTGAGGTCGTTGATTTGCTTTGCCATGCTGTCGTAGTAGTCTTTGCCATTGCTGTTGTTTGTGTAGGGTTCGCTGGCATGGTAGGGATGTACTCCAATCGTGATGCTGCAGTGTAAAGGCCTTGATCGTGCAATCTCAGCATTGGAAGTAATGTCTGAACTTGACATTCCCGTCAACATCACTTNTTTGACTCCGGCAGAGTCCGCGCGTGAGAGTACGGAAGCAAAGTCTGGAGTGTGGTATTGCTTGTTGCGGTAGATTCCTGCGAATTCTTTTGCTGTGGCTGTTACGGCGACCTAGTTTTGAGACACTTGTTAATAAATCATTGCAGAGTAATCACGTCGAACGAGAGCTAGAACTGAGGATTTGTGGTGATATGGAAGAGGTGAACTTACATCTGCATACTGCAGTTCCTCTGACGGCTTTGGAGGAGCGGCTTCGGGGAAGCCTTGTAGCAGACTTTCTCCCATGCTTGCAGTCTCTGCACTTTGTCGCTACTTCTGTAGTCGTAGAAATTGTGTTAAACTACTTTTGTAAACAGCATTGGTCGGCCGCCGGTAGCCACTACTCTACTCAGCATCCAGAAGACAGAAGACACAGAACGACGTTGTGGCCACTCAGGTGGCGGCAAGCTCGGGCCGAAATCGGCGAGAGAGTCGCTTTCTGCTCTTGGACGACACGTGATGTCTTGGATATCAACATTCAAAAACTGCTCATTGTGACTTTATGGAGTTGTCAGAAGACGAAAGCAAGACGGATCATGATATGCCGGTGAGAGTATGCTGGGATCATTGATTACTACAAAGGCACATCAGTTTCGTTGAAGCTCTGGGATACAAAGCACATCGAAGACATGGTCTCGAGTATTGGAAGCACAATAGATCGGAGCCGATCGAAAAGCGTTAGATGAAGAAAGGAAAAATTGATTAGGAAATGTCAAAAATTTCATCTAGTAGAAAGGAAACAACTCATTACAATTCTGTCTGGACCATGCTTTGACACTGTCTGTCATGAATCTCATGGGCTAGTTACTTTGAAGCCCCAAGTCGAAGCTAGCTGTCTCGGATTGGCATGTTTCGTTCGCAAATGTCGAATCGTTTATACGTCTTGGCCAACGCTGGCAAAGCCAGCGTCAACGGGAGGAGAAAGACTTCCAAGATCGAGCGAAGCGAGCAGGGCAGCAACCTCAAGAGAGGGGGCGAGAAGACCGACATCTTGACGCTTCTTGACGTCTTGACCAGCGGTAGCGACGATGTTGCCAACGGGAGGGAAAACACCACTGAGGCCGAGACGGTTAAGCAGGTCCTCAAGTTCGGGGAATAAGTCTTCAAGAAGAGCGTGCTTCTTGAAGTCCTGGCCAGCAGTAGCAATAATACCTCTGACTGGAGGAGAAAGGCCGCTCAGGCCAAGGCGGCTGAGAAGATCGAGAACTTCGAGGGAGGAGTCCTGGAGAAGACCCATCTGTATTCCTGCAATTCCCGAACTGATCAATGTCCCCTGAAGGACAATTGAAGACACCTTGAAGAGTAGTGCTCTCGAAAGCCTCGCATGACCACCCCGCACTTCGAGTAAATGTCGGGGAGCATGTAGTTAGGGGACCACAGTAGGACGTGACATTTGCAGGTGTCTGCCATACAGTTGGTGTTTGTCAAACAAGATGCTCCAGCAACGAGCGCGCAGCATGTCTTCAAGTTGTTACGGAACCCGCTAGATCAGACCGAGTTCTGCGAACAGGACGATCCATCCTGGACCAAGCCACAAGTTCGATTGGGCTTACAGAAAGCCTTGCAGTCTGAGTTGAAGATAGTCGAGTGCAAGTAGCTCTATCAGGAGACAACCCCAAAGAGGCCAGTGCGCCAGATGATCAAGCCACGCTCCAGGTTGATGTCTCGTACGTGAGATTCAAAGTCAAATTTCGAAGAAGAGTTGTGTCTAGATCGAACTACTGCATGTAGTATGATCTCCACCACGTGGTACGACATGGACGTAAGCACGGCATAAGCTTTGAGATGAAGAATTCTATTCATGGAGACAAAAGCGGAACCGGCACAACTGAGTCCAGAGGGATACAATGTCGTAGTCGGAAGGAACGTCTGTCCTTTTCGTTTGATTGGTCAGAAGCTCGGTAATGAGGACCCATGTGCAATCATAAGATACGTTCTTGATATACATGAACTCTGCCTACCCCTTTAGCTTGCATTCGTTAACCTAGTCTTGAAGTGCCTTCAAAATCACAGGCTTCAATGACTCCGGCTTCGAAGTGCTGGCGTATCTCCGAACCACTTTCCCGTTGCGATCGATCACAAACTTTTCGAAGTTCCATTTCACACGGCGGATTCCCATGAGCCCAGGCATCTCGTTCTTCATCCACTGATACAGTGGTGCCGCTTTCTCGCCGTTCACGTCCGTCTTACCCAGGACAGGGAAGCTGACCCCATAGTTGACTGCGCAGAAAGTCTGAATATTCTCATTTGCTTCTGGGTCCCCATGTCCGAATTGATCACAGGGGAAAGCAATGAACTCTATGTCGTCCGAGTGTTTCGCCTTAAGATCTGAACTGTGGTGTTAGTCACAACATTCGAGGCCGAGTACTCTTAGGAACAACCCACCTCTGTAGAGAGTCTCGAGCTCTGCAAATTGAGATGTGAAAGTACATTTGGATGCCGTGTTGACGACGATGACAACCTTGTTTCGGTATTTGGAGAGATCGAATTCTCTACCTCTTTCTGTCATCGATCAGTAAGTTGCNNTATCAAATGTTTGTACTCAAGATCGAGACGCACTGTCCAGAGGCTTGAAGTCGTAGAATGCCATATCGGTGAAGTGAGAGGAAGTTCTGATCGACAGATGTCCTATTTCCAGGCTAATCAGCTGAGGGTTTATATGTTCTTTGTCTTTGCCGTAGACCAGGCTTCACACGACTCTGAGAATTTGGAATTCCTGTTATCATGCTTTAGATTGGTATTTTCGAGGGTATTCCTACAAGAACGATGAGCTGAACGACGACTTTCTGTATTCGAATGAGGATTTGCGAGGTGCATTGGCGCAAACGGCCGGACGGTTCTCCGGATTGCACGATGGAACTTTAAACGAACCACCCTAACACATAAAGGGGTATCGGTGCTGGAAAACGCATGGCACAATCTTATAACCTTAAGATTCGGCCTATAGAACCTGTCAACAATAAACGGGCTACATGAACCCAATAACTTTATCGCAGAGCTGGTGTAGGAAGTTGTCTACATAGTACTTCCAGAAGTACTAACAAGCTCCTCTTCAGCTCCCATATCCAAGCATGCACACCCAAAGTGAGACTGTTGATCGATCGTGAGATCCGGCAATAGACTCAAACGCTCATCAATAAATCGTTCACCGTACGACTGATAGCGACCTTCTCAAGAATGGCTCGCGGATGATTTTCCTTCGATGATCCATTGAGACTCGACTGTACAGGGAGGTCCGTGCCAGAACGGTCGAGATGCACATGGGGCTGATCTTTCACTGTCTGCAGACTCCTTCGGTGCATGTGCTCTCTGGAACCTTGAGGGATCTGTGGATAAAAGGATTTCTTTGAAGATTCTGTGAAACACTCCATACATAATACACACGTAAAGATAGCACAAAACAGTGTAAACCCGATCAAGATTGAACCACCAAACAGGCTTTGGAGATGCCAACATGGCTCCTAGCCTCCACTCACGAATCGAAGACAGGCCCGAATGCAGGAATGCCTCGGGCTTCCACTTCGAATATCATCCTTTTAGTGAAGAAATAGTTACTGATGACACCGACAGATTCTGCCTTCTCTTGCTTGACCAATTCTAACACATCTGGAACCATGTCTTTACGCGTCTTGGAAAGACTCGAGTCAATGATAATCGCTGCTGGATCGAGTCTGTGCACTGCGTCAATGATATCCTGTCCATAGGTAAGCAGAGGGGATCGCGTCTGCCAGATCACTCGTAGACGGGGTCGGTTTTCCAGCGCCAGAAATGATAGACAAGGTCCGATACCAGATCCTGTAGCAACAACAATGCATGAATTGAACATCTTCAAGCAGTATCCAAATCCGCGGACTGGCATACCGCGTTTCCACAGATAAGTGGGTGGGGACTCTATACATGCAGATGTCCAGTCACCTGCCCGAGACACAAGACATGAAGAGACTTCACCATCCAGATCAGGGAACTGCGCAAAGCCGTGCCAGTCACGAAGCGGATGGCGCGAGACAGCAAAACCTTTTGCGAATTCGGGCTTCATGGACTTGAAGTGGAGTCGGATAGCATGGTTTGAGATTTGTTCTGGTTCGACTTTGATCTTCCTAAGGCTCAGCCATGGATGGATGATGATCGCAGTTAAGATGACCAAGATCCAGAAGGCAGGGAGATGGATCAAGTAGTGGCTGATAGTCACTGGACCTCGGAATCTATGTGCCAGAAGGAAGAGAAGAGGCCAGTAGAGAGCAATTGCGAGCCAACCAGAGAACCTGTGAACAAATTCGAAGTTGTCATGTCGCTTGGCTCGGAATACAGGGTATGCTACTACGATGATAGCCAACAGTAAGCCAAGTACGATGTAGGACAGGCTCATGATGACAGGTGTTGCCCGATAGCCAGGCTCTCCGGTTGCATATTGATGGGTTAGAATAGCCACGAAGCCGATGTACCACATAGCAGCAGAAATGCCGCAACCACTGTGGATTCCACCATAATGGGAGACTTTGGATGCAATCCATCGAAGCCTCAGAGGCGCAGACCGAGGGAGAGAGCAGACGCACTTGTACATAATGTTGATGGTCGCAGGGTGCCGGGAGAGACCGACACAAAGTAGATTCCCAGCAGATGCATTAACAAATTTGGTCGCTTGACGTCTGGATACAGCAAGATAGACGAAGGCAGCGACATTTGCCATGAATACAATTGAGAAGAATCGTCGATATGCCGAGAAGAATCCCCAGCGGATCCGAGCCAGAATTGATTTGGATGGTGCTTTGCTTGGGACGACTGCCTTCAGAGATTCATTTGAAGTATGTGAATCATGTCTGAAAGATGTCAGAGAGGCATGGAGTCATCGGAACCAAGTTACCTACATCTCTCGTGCGCGAATTTCCATTGATCGCTTGTCCAAAGCTATCTTTGGAAGGACAGTAGCAAGAGCATCGACCATTGATTGCTTCTCGCAGTCTGATATTCGATGAGTTTCGGTAGACATCGTGTGTGGTTTTCCAAGCATCTGAGAGAAGCTAAGTCACGAGAAAAAGTTGAGTTATTCATGGTGCATCGAGAGCGACGTTAATTTTATATGTGTATGAGGCCAGATACTATGATTCTACACGTTGTGTTGCCGCGAAACATCGAACTGGGCCGAGCGCCCGAAACTTTGTGATCGCAACAGTCAGGAATTAAGAGTTCAAACCCAAAAGCAGCCACTATCTTTCAGCTCTTGTCTTTCAAACGTTGAGAAAAACGGAAGTTATTAGCGAGAACATCCATATCTGGTGTGTATCGTGCGATTACTGTCAACACCCTCGGACCATGTGCAAGATGAGCAACGTCTAAAGTAAAGTGGTCAACGAGAGTTCTCAGCTCGGGGCCGCTTAAACCAAACGAAAACGGCGTTCTATCCATCTATACCTCGAACCGGCCAAATTTTTGCGAGCTGAAGACTCATCACACATGTCCAATGCACTTCTCAAGGAGCTACCAACGTTCTGTACTTCCCCGAGCCTTCTGGTATTGATCCATTCCAGATGCGAGCTCACAACACCTATGCCCATTTCCGGACGCAATCTCACCGCCTAGATGCATGATTCCAAATCTCTGAAGACACTTGGGCCTGGTATAAAAAGGTCCGCATCGTGAGTGGAGACTGCTCTCACCATTATCATACGTCTATCAAGGAAGGCTGTCATTTTCCAAGTTCGAACTTTCTAAGCAATGAGTACTGTTCCAAAGCTGATCGAGGAGCTCCGTGAGGGCCCGCCTAAAGGATCACCCTTTAGCGTGGCCATGAGGGGTTCTCAGGTTCCTGGTAGATCCTCGATCTACAGAAACTGGAAGTTCCAAGATGCCCTACTCACCACCCTGGATCCAAAGATTACAACCATACACGACATGTTCCAAGAAAGCGGTCAGTGATACAACTAATCTGTCTATCTCATCACAAGCTGATTGATTTTCCAAGCCACTCTGTACAACGCACAGAATTGCCTAGGATACCGACCATACAACGCTGTGTCTGGTACTTATGGACCGTACTCCTGGCTCAGTTACAACACGGTCGCAGAAAGGAGAAAGCATTTCGGTGCCGGCTTGATGAAAATTCATCAGGACGTCTGCAATGTTCTGCCACAAGGAGGTGTCGGCTTGTGGTGCACCAATCGTCCTGAGTGGCAGATAGTCGATCTCGGCTGCATGTCCCAATCGTTGTTCACGGTCTCCATCTATGAGACTCTGGGAATCGAAGCGACTGCACACATCATCAACCAGGCTGCACTCACAGCAGTGTGCGCGTCTGCGGACCATCTGGAATGTGTCCAAAGCCTCGCCTCACGCTGTACTTCCCTCAAGTTCATTGTTATTGTGGACGATGCTACTTCAGAGCAAAAACCAGACCCCTATATGTCACATACATCTGGACAACTGCCGGTCTTCTCGCTGAGCTACGTTGAAGATGTAGGCAAGCGTAATCCTCGTGCATTCCAGCCTCCCTCACCGGAATTCATCATCACAATCAACTACACTTCTGGAACGACTGGTATGCCGAAAGGCGTTGTTCTGACCCACAAGGCGGCAGTGGCAGCAGCATCTTGTGCCATGTCAATTGTGGACCTACGGAAAGGCGATAGAATCTGCTCCTTCCTGCCATTGGCACATATCTTTGAGCGCGTCACTGAAGCTGCCAGTCTGTGGGCCGGGAGCAGTATTGGTTACTACCATGGTGACGTACAATCACTTGTCGATGACCTCAAGGCTCTCCAGCCTACGAACATGGTCAATGTGCCCAGAGTCTACTCTCGGTTTGCAGCTGGCATCAAGGCGAAGACATCGCAAGCAGCTCAAGCTATGGACTTGACCAATGCGGATAATCTCTCATTCTTACATGCGCAGATTGCAAAGGGTCTAGGACTGGACTGTTGTCGTACCATGGTCAGTGGCTCCGCTCCCATCGACCCTTCTCTCCAAGACTACCTGCGCGGTGTTATGAACAACACTTTCAAGCAAGGGTATGGGTTGACCGAAACATACGCCATAACCTTAGCTCAGATTGCCTCGGATGAATCTGTAGGAACATGTGGAGCGGTCTTGCCGGCGGTTGAAGTCTGCCTACAAAACGCTCAAGACTTTGGCTACATGACGAGCGATCAGCCCAATCCTCGCGGGGAGTTGCTCATTCGCTCAACCACACTGTTCTCTGGTTATTATTTGAATCCAGCTGCGACTGCGGAGAGCTTTACAGAGGATGGCTGGTTCCGTAGCGGCGACATCTGCGAGATCGACAACCTTGGTCGAGTCCGAGTAATCGACAGGCGCAAGAACATCCTGAAACTCGCTCAAGGAGAGTATGTCTCGCCCGAGCGCATTGAGAATATCCTGCTTGGAGAACTNCCCTGGGCTTCTCAGATCATGGTGCATGGTGACAGTGACAAGTCTTACCTTGTTGCTATTATCGGTATCGATCGAGCATCGTTCGCGAAGATGATCAATACACTCTATGCAGATTCGCCAGCCTCATCGCCAGCAGATAACATGATGAAAGACGGCTTTTTCGAGACTACCTGCGATGCACGTGTCATTGCAGCAGCCTTGAGTGAGATCAGAAAAGCTGAGATCTCGAAGAACATGAATGGGTTTGAACGTGTGAAAGCCATTACACTGCTGGAAGAGCCATTCAGCATTGAAAACGGACTTCTCACCCCTACGTAAGTAACATCAGACAGATACCAAGAACAACATACTAATTTTACTGGACTAGGNCTCAAGCTGAAACGCCATGAGGCAGCGAAGACCTACCGCGGCCTCATCGAGCAGATGTATGCAGGGAATGAACTTACTGGCGGCAGACGATGAGATGCATCCGAGGAAGTTTTACAGATTGGACCGTTTTGGCTAGCCTTGTCTGTAGGAGTTATTGAATTCATCAGCTACTTCAGCCCGTAATTTCACGTCGACATCTATACTACCACAGCCCGTGACATTGATCTATGTTGCCATACGTGAGCTAGTCTGATTCGGCGAGTGCTGCTGGACAACACGCTTTTGCCAGCCGCGACGGTCCTAGCCAAGCCAGGGCGCATGAGCCATGGGTCGTTGCTAGATGTTCTTTTTCATATGTCTAGATACACTGGCGAATGATGATTAACCTTGTTCTGGACTTACGCACGTGTGACTCAGCTGAGGACAAACCTGCCAAACGGGATAGTTGGCATGAATGTTATTCTGGGTGCTCAGAAGACCGCGATTCTGACAAGACGGGTGTCTAGTTAAACGTTTTCCATCGGACGATATCGATGGATTTGGATCATTCCTGCGGCCCTTTAGACTTTCTCAGTCAGCCTGTGAGAAAACGAATCAATAGTCTTTCGGGTCGGGGACCATGGCTTCAATAGGAATGAGGTCCATGTGCATGTGACAACGGGAGCACATGTTGAAGCTCGAGGCAGCCTCGAGCAAGATATAGGACCATCGTGTTGCTGTCCCCAGATGATCGACAACACACCATCCCTTAGTCGCTATCTGCTTGCATACTAGATTCCAGCCAGTCACGGATTATGACATCTTCTGCTCTCCGCGTGCTTGTCCTACATGGTGAGTCTTGGTCTTGCTTGTACTCAAACATCAGAACAACCCGTGCTAATGTGACTTGGGGAAGGATATGGCCAAAACAGCGAGATGATGCGTCTGAAGATGAAGACGCTCCAGAGATTCCTCGAGGTTGAACTTAAGGACCACTTCCCATCAGGGGTTGACATGGACTTTGCCGATGGACCTGTCGATCTTTTGGAAGATCTGGAGGAGACGTCGCCCGTCCGTCTCAATGCTTGGTGGAAAGCCCTCGACGATCGCAGTCGTTACGTTGAATTGGAAGAAAGTCTGGCAAGCATCTTCGCACGGCTACGTGAACGACCTGTAGACGCAATCATCGGGTTTTCGCAAGGCGCAGCGCTCGCAGTCATGGTTGCTGCAATCCTCGAAAATACAGCGGCACGATGCGCTGCTATGGCTAAGCAGGGCAGCCCTTTCGTTTTGCCGTCTATACCACAACAACCGCTTAGATTCGTCATTGCATACTCTGGCTTCAAGGGCTCTCCGGCATTCTACAGCGGCTTTTACAAACCCAAGCTCAGCACACCAGTCCTGCACATTCTGGCAAAATTAGACCATATGATAACGCCAGAAGACTCAACAAAATTGATCAGAAGCTGTAGTAATTTTGAAGTCGCCAAACACCTTGGGGGACATTGGATACCCAGGGATCCGGGCATGATCTTGCTTGTCTCGAGATTCATTCGGCGTGTGTGCATGGACACAATCCGGACTGTTTCCTTNTGCAACCCAGTCTAACATTTTTTATTGGCGTTCTCGGTTGTTGGGAACATTGGGGTCGCGGTAATACTTTCCCACAGATAACGAAGCAATACACGAGTATGTGGCGTTTACGTACGACTTCTGAATTTTGCAAAAGTTACCATTATTGCTCTGTAGGCGGGGATATTTTCTCGGCGATCGTTAAGTTTGGAAACTCGAGCCTAAAACCTGTCAGCGGTCGTGCATGTCAATAGCGGGAAAACAAAGCGATGCTCAAAGATGGAAGTAGCCCCCGATCATGATTTGGCACATTCTTCCTTGTCTCAAGTCGTAAAGTCCTCAGCTGCACTTTCGGCGACTTAGACTGTCACTTTCCTCAAGCCCACGCAGTTCACGCCACTCTTTGTGCTCGCTTCTATCTGTCGCAAGTATCCGGACGGGGTGCACTCCAATACAGTCAATTGATGATCATTCATCCAGCCCTAACCGCCTTGAAGTAAGCAGCCGCCAAATCGCAGGCTTCGGTGGCTCACTATGGTTAACGTCGGGCGGTCCAATGGATGCTTGACATGCAAGAGGCGGAAGATAAAATGCGACGAGACCAAACCAGCTTGTGTGCGATGCACCCGGGCATCTTTTCTTTGCAGGTGGACGAAGCCAGCAAGGGCGCCAGAATTCAAGTTCGTGGACATGAACCAAGCTGTCGCCGCGCGACAAGAGCAGTTTGACCTGCGACGTAGACTCTGGACGTCGACAACACCATCGAGAGCACTGGAAGACGACCGGGAGACGCAAGCGATCAACTTCTTCGCCCAAAACTACATGCTGGAACAATCAATAGACGGCGCTCCAAACCCAGGACTCTTTGGCCTCTTCAAACCTGCTTTTACAAGCTCGTCGCGAGATTCATCGGCGGCTTTGGCTGTATCCGCGCTTGCTCTGTCTGTGTACTCCAGATGGCGCATGGACGGAGTGACAGAGAAGAAGATTGCTAACGTCTTGGGTGGTGCTATTTACAAACTCACCAAGGATCTTCACGCAGAAGAAACAAGAAAGAGCGACATCACGCTTTTAGCAACACTAACACTGCAGTTTCACTCTAGTTTCGAATCCTTGTTCGGCTCCAACAAGGCAACCATTGTCCACCATCTTGGCGCCCTTGCATTAGTCAGGGGTTTGGGACCACCACAATCCTGGACAACCCTTGCCAATCAGTTTGTGGCGTACATTCTTCATGTAGAAGTTGCAGCCGCGATTCGTGAGCATCGTCAAGTTCATCCAGAGCTTTGTTATTGGAGCTCAGTCATCACCACGACGTCAATGGAGTCTGATACTCAGATCGACGCTCTGGGTATTAGGGTCGCAGACGTCCAAGTTAGGGCTGACAACATCTTCAAGTCTACTGATAGCGACCCAGGTGTATCATCCTTGACGTTGGAGAGAATCTTAAGCGATATACGGGATCTCGACAAGCGCCTTGTCCTGTGGCATGACCGAGTTTCGCATTTCTGGGGTCCGTTCTGCTGGAGTCAAAGCGACATAGTATTTCCACCGATACAGACATTCAGAGGCGCTTGTCACGTGTATACGTCCATCCGTGCTGCTCGACTCATAAACATCTGGCGCAGTTACAGACTCACACTAACGCTGTTAGCCCTACAACTGACTGGTGGGAACCAAAGGCAACAGATCTTTGACTCCAACGAGGTTCTTACGATCGAGACCATACTTGTGAAGCGTATCCAATGGCTTGTCGATGGATTCTGTGCATCTGTACCATTCTTCCTGGGTAACAGGACCAATATTGGCACAGTTGCGGACTTCGACAACTCAACTTGGCGATTCCCTACTTGCCATGACATGTCCGAAGCATTCGACACCACAGGGCGCCCTGCTGAAATGAAGGGGCTAGAATCAACGGCGCACCACAAAAGCCGTGCTATAGCACAGGGTGTTTGGCTGATCATGGGCAACTTGACACAATTGGTTGCCTTTTTCCTCAGCACCGCCAGCCTCACTTCTCGCCTACCACTGCGGAATGGTCAGTTGGCTTGGATATGTCAGCAATATCTTCGGAATCTCTCACTGCTTTCTCTCCCGTGGACTATGAACAAAGCTCTTGAGGAGCAGGTGCTCACTGGTGTTTGTCTGCCGGCAGATGAGGATCTGATATCTGAGGCGAGAAGATGTGTCCAGCGGGTGCAACAAGGTTTGAAAATGACGGGAGACTGAGGTCGCGAGATTATACCCGCTCAGCCATCGAGTATCTAAGATTGCTGTTCAGCTTTGCTCACAGCTCTAGGCGAGATGTTCTGTGTCTGCTATAGTCTCAGATCCGCTGCAAGGAAACACGCAAAGTAGCTCACCGTTCTGTAACTTGCACGCGGATAATCTATGATACAGCCATAGTGAAGTTCAAGACCTTGAGGGTCTCACTGAGACACAAGCTACTTTTCGCGCCTGCGCTCTGAACAAATCGCTGCGGGAAAACCGTGGCGACAAGAACCACGTGCCCTCTCTATAGGACCGCTGCCTACTTCGGGCAACTGATCTGCAATCACGAGCAAGTTCTGGCAATAAAGTTTAGCTCACAGCGGCGCGACTGGCTGCCAAAAGCCCTAAAACCCAATCTGATCAGCGTTACTTCTCGGTTCCGAATATCATGCCGGAAGGATTGTGTTGCCTTCGTCGAAGACGAAAGTTGAGCTCATTCCACTTGTTGCAAAGCTTGTTGCGAACAAGACACATCGCTTCTTTGGTATTATACATGGGAAGTCTTCGTTCAGAGATACTCAAGAGAGGCTCAGAGCGAGCGTCGTCAAAGCATCCAGAGCTTTGTGACAGTTTGATAGATCGATGAGCTGGCTTAGCACGGAACAGGGTGCCTGCCGCATCCATCAAATTACTAACCTCAGTCCGCGGTACTCTCTCTGTAGAATGATACTGACGGGACATGTGTCTGGACTTTGTGCTCGTATATCTCTGATAGGGAACAACTTGCTTTGTGAAGTATATGATACTGTGTTAACATCAACTGATGATGGGGAAAACAATCTGCACCGCCACTGTCGATGCAAAGATATTTTTGAATGGATTCGTATGACCTCAGTGAAGTTTACGCAGCACGACAAAATAATAAACAACAACACAGATACTATGAACAGAACCATGCTTGCACAACTATAGGACATAGCGGAAGTCCTTGTTTTCGAACTCAGTCTGATCGCGCATACCTGCCTCGTCACTTCTTTCCTTGTTGCGAGGACCGTAGACCTTGTCTCTACGCTTGTTGACACTGAACATGTAGACTGTCATGGTTGTTAGTAAAACAGTGTAAGGTATTGAACTTCGGGACTTACTGAGTAGCGAAAGGTGGCAGCAGAACTTGATGGCGTAACCGACAAGAAGCCCGATGGTGGCGCCCTGATACGCGGGTGCTTGGGAAGGCTTGACAACGAAAGGACCGGCAAAGTTGCCCCAACAGTATGCAGTGCTTATCTGATGTCAGCCAGGATGAAGTCGATGTCAAGATAGATACTTACAAGACCAAACCACTTGCCAGCGAGCGATGGGTATATCCAGCCATGTTGGAAGAGATAGTAGTCAGAGAAACAGTGAAACCGACGGACTGAAGATTAACCAGCCAGAAACAAGCCAGACGTGCCCAAGTGTGGTGTCGAGGAATGTAAGCCATGCAGCCAGCAGCAACAGTACAGATGATGTTGGCCACAGTAGCAACAATCAGACGAGCTGTGTATGGTGAGTATGGTTGGCTGATTTGAACAAGATGAGAACTTACAGTTGGGAACATTGAGAATGATGGCGCCACTGATGAGAAGGCCAATAATCTGGACAGCATCGCCGACCGACTTGAGTTCAGTAGTCATGGTGGTAGAGAAGCCCATGTCTTTGATGATGATAGTGGAGAAGGAGTTTACCACACCATTAGGAATTGCACTGTGATTCGTGTCAGATCAAAGTGTCGTGACAAGTGTCTTGTAAGCATGAACACTTACGCAGCGAACACCGAGATGAACAACAGCAAAGTCTTGGGGTCCAGGAAGCCCAGCTTCACTTGTGTTTTGTCGAATGACTTGTTCTTGACACCGGTCTCATTGCCAGCGACGCGCTTGACAGCGATAACACGTTCTCGATGGTTGAGGAACTTGGCCTTGGAAGGGGAGTCGGGAAGGAGGAACCAGATGAGGATGGCCCACAGGCAAGTGGCACCACCAAGCTAAAACCAACAGTTAGTGAACGTACAACAGATAGGGCGTTGTGTCATAGTACTCACAATGAAGAAGATCAACTCCCAGCGCTCGGGAGTCATGGTGGCTGGAAGCTTTGAGACGCCCATAGAGATGTAAGAGCCAATGATGCCTCCCCAGCCCAGGGAGGAATACCAGATGCATTGACGAAGAGGAATCTCTCTTCTTGTATACCAGAAACCAGTCATCAGGGTGAGACCACTATTTCACTGTTAGCAAACGCGCACGATAGCAGAGCGGAAAGACATACGGCGTGACAGCTGCTTCGAACACTCCCATGAAAACTATGAATGTTAGCAAGTCAGTTTAACATCATGCAAAGGTTGAGCATACATCGGACGGCCACTATAAGGAGATTAGTAAGTTTCTTTTACTGAATGAGCAGATTGTGACACTTACAAGCACTAGAAAATGTTCGGCATTGGGTCATGACAAGAACCATAACTCCCCAAAGAAAGATACTGATGGACATGACCTTTTGAGCAGGGTAGCGACCAATCAACCAACCACAAGGATACTGGCCAAAGAAGTAGCCAGCATACACCACTAGAGCTTCTGTCAGTGACCATTCGTATTGAGATCATCCCAGCGGTGAACTTACTTGCGGAGAGGTATGCAAACTGTTCACCCTTCAAGCCCAGGGCTTTCTGGTAGCCAAACAGGTTCGCATAATTCAGCGACGTCTTGTCCATGAACTGCAATGCTTGTGTAACAAGGAACATCGGGAGGACTGTTAGATCGATCTTCCAGCGCACTTTTCTTGCCTGTCAATCCCAGATGGTTAGCCCAAAGTCACAGGGCAAAGAGTTGTGTTTGATACCTCACGATCTGTCACCTCGATGTTCAGTCCTTCGACGTACTCTTCGTAGCCGACTGCATTTTGCGCCTGGGTATCATTGAGCTCGGTCTTCTTCTCGTAATGCTCGATGGTCTCGTCGCCTGATACGACATCGATGTCATGAGCAGGCTTCGACATATTTGCGGCTGGAAGGTCGTCGCTGTCGTGTAGCACTGGTATATGGACTCGCAGAAGAGAGAACAAGTTGACTTTGGGGTGAGATCTTGGTATGGAAAACTGCCAGGTTAGTGAGAAGAGATTTCCAACAGCACAAAGGGGGTCGGCTTTATGAGGCGATCGTCAACGTGGGTCGGTCAATGCATCCGTTTGGTGGCGTCGTGCACTGGTCTGGGGAATCCACTTCTTCGGGGCCCCGGAATATCGTTCCAAGCCACAAGGTGGATTGTGACGGAAACTCACCACGGAGAATGCCCGCGGCGTCTCGGTCAGGCCTGACATCCTGCAGCAAAGATAAGCGGCAGTTGTAGACCTCAAGCTGACGACCCCTCCAGAAGCTCTCTCAATATATACACTTTTGTTACCCCTCTCAGGATTTGGACTCGCAAACTTCCGGTTGTATACAGCAAAAATGGGCCAGAACAACACACCATCAGCCGCAAACAACGAATACTTGGCCAAGCCAAGTGGTGCTTGCTGTTTGAAGGGAACAATTCACAAAGGAGAATCCAGAGGCTCATGGACAGAGATCGCAGGCGTTGAGACATACATTGCGACACCTCCTGCTGGGAAAGCCAATGGCAATATTCTGCTGTACTTTCCCGATGTCTGGGGCATGTTTCCCAATGGACTTCTAGTTATGGACGCTTTCGCAGATGCTGGATATCTAACTCTGGGACTGGACTACTTCAGAGGAGTAAGTCAATTTCGAGTCCAATAATATACTTGCATGATCTGGTCGTGTGCTGATTAGTATGGCAGNGATCCAGTATGGAAACATCGCAAGAACCGTCACGATAACACAGACCCGGACTTTGATTACGAAGCATGGAAGAAGAAGCACACAGCTTTCGCAGACGTAGCTGTACCAAAGTGGGTGAAAGCCGTACGAGAGGGCTATGGAAAAGAAGGCACAAAATACGCGTGCGTTGGCTACTGCTTTGGAGCACCCTATGTGTGCGACGAGCTGGCAGGGGACAATGTGACGGTCGGGGCCTTTGCTCATCCTGCATTCTTGAAGGAGCACCATTTCACAAACCTCAAGAGTAAGTATTGCAAGTACAGACTTGTATACTTGGCTGACAAACTGCTTGTCCATNNAGAGCCCTTGTTCTTGTCTTGTTCGGAGATCGATCACACATTCGACGTTCCTTCAAGGAGGAGAGCCCTGGATATCATGCAGAAAGAGAAGAAAATCTACCATTACCAGCTTTTCGCTGGCGTGGAACATGGTTTTGCCCTACGCGGTGACCCCGAAGACCCATACCAACGTGAGTGAGGCAATCAAGGTCTCTTGCATCTCTTTACTAACTGTACTCTCCAGGCTGGGTGAAAGAGCAGAGTCTACGTGGTATCGTAGAGTGGTTCGACTACTGGCTCTCGCAGTAGCGAAGAGAAGGTGATAGTCAACGCGTTTTGATGACAAGATAGACGAATCAATAGCCAACATCTAATCGATATACCAATAGGCTAGAGCATATGGGCACAAAATATCTCTGACTCATGCCTGAAACATCAGATGCTCGCTGTCTGAAGCACTCAATCAATCACATTCCAACAACGAATGGTCGAATTCTGATCACACGCTAGTTTTCTACTCACCGGACAATGAGCGTGTGTCTCATGTCAGATCTCACCGAGATGTAAGGACTGAGATGTGGGTTGAGACACTGCTTCCAAGTCAGGATTCAATCGTTGATGACGTCTGAGAATCTACAATTTCTGCAACTTGCAACTGCACTCTAACAGTTCTACTCCTCCACGATCCAAGCATTCTTATGCCTTACAAGCCCCGCTCATATCGTCCTCGTCTTCATCGCCTGTGAACGCCTTGGTCAAATCTCGCATATCCTTGAGACTAACCACATCCAAGAATGCTTTGTGAGCAGATTGCGCTTTGTCTGCTCCAATCTGCTTGGAGACCTGGTCCAAGAACTTCATTTTGAGGTAGTCATCGGACAAAGGATTGGCGAAACTACCGATGGCATGTTCGACATGTGTGTCCAAGACTGTGCCATCGCCGAAAGTGACACTCACGTACGCAGAATAGTCTGGGACACCCTTGTCTCCTGTGACTGAGACTTTCTCGCTAAGCGCTTTGATAGTCTTGTTTCTCACTACCTCATCGCTGAACTGTGTTGGCGTCGCTTGTCCGATCAGAAGCGATATAGCAGCAGCGTGATAGAAGCTGAACTTGGCGGCGAGGCCAGTCTGGGGATCCGGATTGTCTGTTAGGAAGAGCACACTGGGATTGGTGCGAGCCGTCACGTTTGTTATGGAAGATAGATCCAGGTCTTGCTCGAGAGCTTGCTTGCGGACTTGGATCCATCCGTCGATGGGCGCATGCAAGACTCGATCGCAAGGATAAGGCTTGAATGTGTTTCTGGTCGTCTCCCAAACCTTGCCGAGGGTATTGAAGTAATCAGTAATGTTGTTACGAGTGCTGACAACGTTCACCCAACCCAATTTATCTTCGAGCCCATCTAGTGCGCCATGCAAGCCGCCTTTGCCATGACTGCTGAGATGAGACCTGATTGAGCAGCTCGACCGATATGGAAAGGCTTTTGATCGGTGCCGAACGACGAATGCATGCCGATGACCTGGACAGAAGCAGTGCTGATGGCATACTGCATCTCCTCCTGGGTGAGGTTCAAGAGCTTGCCACATGCTACGGCAGCCCCAACGGAGCCCACTGTACTTGTTATATCTGAAAAATCATGTCAGTCTCGGACTACTACCAATCATTTCCCTGATGGGTACTCACGCCAGCCAATGTCGTAATGTTCAGGGTAAACCGACAATCCGAGCTTCATCTCGGTTTCCAATCCAGCCACAAAGGCTGTGACGAAGTCTTCGCCAGTGACGTTGCCTTTCCATTCAGAGAAAGCTAACAAAGCAGATGCAACAGGGCCCGAGGGATGGATTGGAGTATCGACATGTGTGTCATCGTAGTCGTCGACATGAGAAGCTAATCCGTTGATGAGAGCTGTGTGCTGTGCATCGTACCATCCTTGGATACCAAGGAGAGATGAATTGCCGGGAGCAGCAAAGGGTAACATGGATTCTTGGACAGCTTCGACCACAGGCTGATGGTAACCTCCGATGGCGCAGCCTCCCCAGTTATGCAAGCTTTTCACAGCCATATCCACGACAGGCGTGGTCAAGTTCGCAAATTGCAAGGCCAGAGCCCAAGATGCCAGTTGCTTGGTTGCCATAATTGATTGATAGATATTGATCACGAAAGCTTGTGAGGGAACGAACTTGACATGATTCCAACATCTACCCAGCCTTCTATATACTGGCGATAACAGCGACGCGAAGATTCTCCCACCATACCGACTGAGGCATTTGATCGACAACCACTATCACTTGCAGGTCTGACCAGCAGTCAGTGTGTCATGGGATGCAAGTTTTGCTACGCGAGATACGGATACTGCCAGGCAGTCTGCAGTCGTCTGTGGCACTTTGCACCGATAGCCCCTCACATAGCAGGACCTTCCACGGGCATCCGGCGCGGTCATTCCTGCCCGCAGCCCGACACATTACATATTCGATATGCAGTCTGGGTCTGTGGGGCTCCACCATGGGGTCCCCGCACCAAGAAGCGCCATCTTCGTGCGATCAACTGGGAAAGCTTGACCTCATACTCATACTACTCGCCTCGCTTCCAGATCACTCGGTGCCCGAACATGCAGGACCAGCAACGGACTTCAATGAGATGGTCGGCCATGTGCCGAGGAATCTCGCCGTCAGCATCTCTGTGGGTTTTCCAGGGCGAAGATAACACCGTGATGAACTTCGTTTTCTGACTGCCATCCCTTGAGTTGATTGCGAAACTCACCAGACCCTTCTTCCATCATTTTGGCACAGCTGCTTCCTACTCCGCAAAATGCAGGCCTTGCCCACAGTTCACCACCTCTTGACAGGTTCCTACACCAACCATACTTTGTTCCTTCTTGCGTTTGATACCATTGCAAGAAAACTTACGCTGAAGCAAGAGGTGCCAGCATTCGGCCTACATCAATTCGTCACTACCAATGCTGCTCGCGACAGAGTCTACGCCACTACCATGTCGGAGCCACCACGCCTCTTCTCCTGGGCCGTGGGCAACAACTATGAATTCACTCACCTCAACACTGTCAATATCTGTGAGACATTGATGCCGCACTTTTCATGCTCGATTCCAGGCTGACTCAATCATCCAGCATCGACATCTTGCTACTTTTCCGACGATGGCAGCTACGCATACACAGCCTCGGGTCCCACTGCACAAATCCATTCTCTCACCGATGACGGTGCTCTGGGCATCCAAATCCAGCAGATGATTTACGTGCCACCAGAAGAGTTTGACAATGTCAACAAGACCCGTGCAGCAAATGTAAGCTTGGATTGTCATCACCAGATCGCGCTGGACTGACGCTTGACAGCTTTATGGTGCCCACTCGTTTGATGTCAACGTGAACCGCAAAGGCTTTGTCCCTCATCTGTAGGTTGTGGTAGACCTCCGTTCAAAGACAAGCTCTGACAGATTTTCAGTTTCAATGATGCCATCTACATGTACAACGTGGCAGATAATGGTACAGCAGAGTTGTTGTCCAAGAACTGTTCGCCTGATGTCGGAGATGGACCACGCAACGCATATCCAAGCCCAGACGGAAAGCTTCTTTATGTTGTGACTGAACACAGTGAGTGGCATCAATGGAAACTGCTACATCTTGACTCACAGGACAATAGGTCAATATCTGGATGTGTATGAGATTGGAGAGACCAGATTGAAGCATGCTCAACGAGCTAGTGTTATTCCCGACGGTTTGTGCATGCTGACTCGCGTGTAATTTTACTTCAGCGCTGACCAAGGATACCAGACATGCGTGGCAAGTACACTTATCGCAGCAACACTGTACGACCATCACGCGACGGTCGCTATCTCTTCACAAGCACTCGAGGCTGGAACGATACAGAGGCGAACGGCTGGGTGGCTGCTTTCGCCCTCGATAAGAGTGGAAACTTGAAATCCGAAAAGGCCGTTACCTTCTACAAGGCGCCCTTGACTCTTGGCTCGGCAGGTGGCTTGCGTACTGCCTTCTGGGAAGATTCTACCAACTCAAACCCCTGTGGTCTGACCGACTACATGTACCTGAGCGATACCTCCGAGGGTACCATGTTCATTCTCGGCTGGACACCTTCGAACCACAGCCTGGAGCTCATCTCAACCTTTGAGTATCCAGATGACTCCAATCCGTATGAGGCCACTTGGCTTGACTAGTTGAGCATGGATGTTGTTTGTTGTGTCTGAAGTCGTTAGAGTAGCCGAAATGCCGAAATGCCGAAACACCGGATGTGCCGAAGTGTCTACAATATATGATCGTGTCATGCTGCAGATCCAGATGTATCACCGTGCTAAGCTTTATATCCATGGAATCTGCGCTTGAGGATACCAGTTTCCACAATCAAAATGCGTACAAACATGTTAGGTAATCATCGATGTGACTGGCTGGCGGAAAATGACCATGGAAAATGGCCGGTGAGAAGCAAGCCTTTGCGGGGATAGCCAAGCACTTTTGAAGTAGTCTCCGCAACATCCACAAGTGGACCCCGCATAGCAAACCCCGAAGGATGCTTGATGTGGAGCTAGACCCACTGGCAGGTGATCACTGAGCTCCGAGATCCGTCTGTGCGTGGTGCAGCCGTATCAAGAGCGGTCTTCGGCATTTCGTGACTCGAAGAAATCTACAGTGTGCACAGTTCACGTCCATCAACACTTGTCATACTGACAAACTCACCAGGTCATCATGGCTGGCAAGAGCGCAACGGCGGTGGATGAGCCTTCGTTGAAAGCAGTCGTGAGCGATCTCGCTGCGACCCCGGCTGCTTCAGCTGCTCGGCGAAAAGGGAATCGCAAGTACAGAGGCTTGACATGTGCCAATTGTCGCATCAGGAAGGTATGCGATTCTCCAGGATTGCCCACATAGCAAATTCTCAAGCACATTTCGCAGATCGCAACCTGACGAGATGCTATAGGTACGATGTGAAGGGAAGTCAGCCGACATGTAAAACCTGCGAAGCATACAACGACACATGCCGATATGATAAAGCACCACCTTTGTCCCAAATTGTCTCAATGGCGAAGCGACTGCAGGAAGCTGAAAGCACGATCGAGAAATTGCGGACTGGTCGAGAAGAGACGTCCGCGCCTCCAGCATCAGCGTCTTCACGTGATGATCCACACGATGAGGCTGTGCCAACGCATGCTGCAACTTGGGACGTCGGCCATGATCCGAATGCGTATGCTCGTGATGGCGCCAGGTCCACAATCGAGACAAGACCCACTGCATTTGCCCCGGAGTCTCTAGAGACTCACATGTCTTCTCTGCCGCTGCAGACCCAGGACCGGCGTTTGAGTAACATGTCACGGCCTGTCTTGCCACTAACGAACCACTCTGGCCCTAGTCTTATGCAACAAGATCCGGCAGCAATTGACCTGAGTCTCGATCAACATGGTGAGATATGTTACTACGGCCCTACTTCCGCTCTGCATGACCCTCCGGAGCTCGACGCGCCTTCGCCCAGGTCCTCAGCCTATGGGAGCGTGTCGACCAGAAACGAAGTAAGGGAATATCTGTTATCCCATGCCAAAGAGAGCTCAATATGGGAGCAATTCGCGCTAGGAAATGCAGCGAGGCAGACGGGTATGCCTCAAAAAGTCATGGCAAAGCTACTGCAGCTACACTTCACCTGGGTTGCGCCCATGTTTATGTGGGTATATCGTCCAGCGTTCATGCGTGAGTTATCTACAAATAGGGTTTGTACAGCATGGCTGACAATTTTCCAAGGTGATATGACAACTGGGGGCACATATTACTCCGAATTCCTGCTTTCTGTTCTCTGTGCACACTCATCCAAGTACCAAGATGGCCAGTACAGTGAGTTACTGCTTACCCGAGTCCGAAACCTCCTTGGTCAGGCTATCCAAGAGCCGAGCTCGATACCTACAGTACAAGCCCTGCTGCAGTTCAGCGCTAGAGAGCTTGCTCAAGGATCCATCTCCCAAGCATGGGTATACAGCGGTATTGCTTTCCGAATGGCCACCGATCTCGGCTTACAACACAACGGATCTGTTATATCAAGTCTCAAGTCGTTGAGCCCAGTAGATTTGGAAGTCCGACGTAGACTCTTCTGGAGCTGTTACTTCTGGGACAAGTAAGACTTTGCGCTCAATGGTGCTTTGGAAGTCATCCGGCTGATCTATCTCCAGGGCCATCAGCATGTATACCGGCAGGCTGCCAGCTTTGACTGACCTTCCCCACACGTCTCTCGATTTTGGTTAGCATTCCTCGCTCAGCTGCTTCGAGGTTCTCCATGCTAATTCGTTCAATTCGTAGTGGATGAAACGTCCGAGACCGAGACTTGGTCACCATATAACGGCGAGTCATTTTCTCTGACCAAGCTTCCTCCAGGTCAATATCCTCCGATGAGAAGCTATGCCGTCTCGTGTTTTGCAAACTCTTGCAAGATCTCGGTCATCATCAACGACATCATCTTGCAGCTTTACTCTCGGCGAGACAGGCACATCACAGAATCTTCATTGCACGATATCAGAGCACGCCTCGATACATGGCGAGCGCAATCTCCCTCTCATCTCAAGTACGATCCGGACAATCTTCCTGCTGTGTCTCCACCACCTCACATAATTACCCAAAAGTATGTCCACGCTCAGACTTCTCTACAAATATTCGGTTACTGACTGTTAAACAAGTCTGCTGTACTTCACGACTGTCATCCTGGCGCACCGACCTTTCTGGTCTATACCTGCTTACTACAATGTATGCATCAGTGCTGCTCGCAGTATTGAGAAACTGATTCTCCTCCTCGAGATCACCTTCGGCTTGGACAATATCACATATCTCATGGGCTACTGCATTTATACAGGCGCATCAGCTATTCTCGAAGATGCGAAGAAAGCTGATGGCGCAGCCAATGCTACGATGCAGAACTATCTACGAGCCTTGAATGCTGGTATGAGCAGATGTCCGCTGCTAGAACGCAGTCTGCATATCATCATCAAAGGATTGAAGCAGACCTCACCACCAAGATATCCTGACAACACTGGACAACCTGATACAACGACGGTCAACAGTTACATTCCAGCGTTCCCCTACCTCGATCCTGGTTCCACCGACAACATCGACATGGATATGTACTTCGATGTCAACAACCTGGATCCCATGGCAATGCTTGATTGCTTCCCTGAGCTGCAAACAGATTTTAGCGAATACTCTGGTCATCCCATAGCTTAGCAATCTCAAGCAATATAATGAAAGTACGAAACTGGCTGAGCCGCTCCTGTAACGCAAGTGGTTGATTGAATGATGGAGATGTTCATGATGCTAGCACAAGGCGTTGAACAACATAGTGTCTTTGATTGAGTTTATGATTAAACAAGTTACAGTACGCTTATGATATGTCAAGATTCCAGATCTCCATCCAGTCCTTGGAAAGTTTGCAACAGCCTTGCTTCTAGTTTGAAATCCCTGAGTTCTCCGCAGCCAGAGTATCGGCTTTGAGAGCTGGTCTGTCGGCCTTGCCAGCAGTAGTCTATGATTGTTCGTTAGCACTAGAAGCCAACATGTTTCGAATGGTTTTTGACTTACTCCGCCATCAACAGGCATGATGAGTCCGGTGATCCAGCCAGCTTCTTTACTGGCGAGGAACAAGATTGCTGCAAAAAGATTGTCAGTACGAACTATAGCTATGGGTTGCACTGAACTTACCGTNNATCCAACATCCCAACCAGTACCTTCCTTCTTCATCAGGTTTTGGTTGATTCTCGCTTGCCTCATCTCATCTGTCATGCCACGGCCTCGGGTCATTGGTGTGTAGACCATGCCTGGAGCGACGCAGTTGACACGAATGTTCTCTTNTCCATGGTGAGCAGCCATTGCTCTTGTCATCTGGATGATGGCACCCTTTGTAGTTGGATANNTAGCAAGCTGGGGTTGCCACCAAGCACTGAGAAGTTTGTGATTAGTCTTCCATACGCATGGAGTTGCATTGAATCCAAACTTACGACCACTGACAGAGGACATGTTGATGATGGAACCTCGGCCCTGCTTTCTCATCTCTGGAATGGCATATCTGCTCATAAGAACCATACTCGTCACGTTGATGCGGAAGTCTCTCTCCCATGCATCCAAGTTGATCGTTGTGGCATCGCCCATAGCACCGCCAACACCCACTGTGTAAGACGTCTCAGTCAGTTGTAATTGAAAAGATGCCGCAGATCACTTACCGATGTTGACCAAAATGTGTACTGCTCCATATAGCTCGACTGTCTTCTCAACTGCGTTCTTGCACGACTCTTCTGATGTCACGTCTGCTTGGATAACTTCTGAAATACCACCGTCCTCATCAATCATGCGCTTTGTCTCTTGAGCCCATTCGACATTGAAGTCGACAAGTGCAACCTTGGCGCCTTGTCTGGCGAGCAAGATTGCAGCGGCACGACCGTTACCAATCTCGCCTGATGAACGGTCAGCTGTGCTTGTCAAACCATGAGGAAGAAGTTCAAATTACCATTCATGCGAGATCCGGCACCAGTCACAATGGCGACATCGCCTGTGAAGTCGAAAGCTGGAGATGGAACCATGATGATGTAGTTTATTAATGTAACGCAAGATTTGAGTGAAGGAATCTGGTAATCAAGCAAAATCAAGAGTCTCAAAGATACAGGAAGTCATCTGTATATCAACACTTTCGCAAGATCAAGCTGGTGGATCCGGTGTTGCCAGAGTGCTGGTGGTCGGTCATTTTCCGTGGAGACTTTCCGGCGCAAGACGTACAGGCCAGAGGACACCGCGGGGTTCTGGCATCGCTCCGGTTCAATTTGTCCCACAACTCCACAATACTCCGTACTGGGGAAAGAGGATCTCTCGAGTCACTTGACTTGTCCGGCAAAAGTGCCGGTACCTGACAAGATGAGGATGCGATGCATGGAGCCGCGAGGGACTGTCGCAGTTCATGGTCACCTGGGCGTCTGATTCAGAACCTGAAGCGCAACATGATGGGTACGGTCTACAACATCGATGGTAACCGACCACAGCGAGACAATTCCTGACCAAACACTTGCTACGTGCCGTGACGCAACTATCATCGACAAGTAACTGCGCTATGATCCGGGTCGAATCCTTCTGAAAAATCGATTGACTCGAAAAGGGCAGCGGTGTCATGCGGTGACATGGACGGCCTCCGATATCGTCGCTTGGAGCACGTCTCGACACCCACGAACCTTAGCAGAAGCCGAGAGAGCGACCCTGTTTCCAACAATAATATTATACTATACTTGTCCATATCATTCTTGGCCTAGATCAGTACGATGGATGAGCTTTTGCAGCTCGATGAGAGTATATTTCAGGAGGATGAGAGTCTGTATGATCGAATGGAACGCTTGAGGCCGAAGTTTGACATGACGAACGCTGCTCTGACAGCCATGTGTGGCGACCCTCCAATTCCCATACATTCAGAGAGCGACGAAGCATGGCCACCAGAGGCTGAGTTGTTCAACATTCTTGTTGACCTCATCAATGTACCGAATCAAAACTATGTGTGTTGAGACTGTATCACATCATGTTTTCCACGGACTAACTCTACCGACGACTTCAGAACCGCGCCACTTCGGCTTCACAAGCAGCAGCAGCAACAAATGCGCTTTACCTCTCTATGACCCCGGACGCGTCGCTGCGACACACGGAAGACTACTCGTATGGTGCTCTCTGGACTGTCTGGTCGCAACTCTTCAACTTCATCAAGCAAGTACCGGTCGAACACCATGCGATGCAAAGGCTGGTGGATTGGATTGCAGAGTTGAGGATGATAGAGGTGCAAACCTTGCATATCTGGGGCAAAGACATCGAGCTGTGGAAAGGTCTACCGTTGTTATATCCGGAATGGGTCGAATGGGTAGAGCAGTATTACGTGTTACCAGAGGACTGCAAGAGTCGCAGGTTCAGAACATTTCGAGATCTTTTGGAAACCAGTGGTGGCTACGCTCTCTGGAACTACTGGAAATAGTTATTCAGATTGAGGAGAAAGGTGTCAATAACGATTATAATTACAAATTATGGTATCAAGGTCCTTGAAGTAGATCAAGCAAGCTTAAGATCGTCAGGGATATGATGCGCTTCGCCGACCGCTTCTTTCAGCGCAAGAACAAGCTCATCCACGCCTGACAAGAATCCGAGATATGCGCTCATGCAAACGGTATACCCCCTCACGCCCTCTTTCTTCAGGACATCGATTGTCAGGTTCTCCACAGAGGCTCCATGCCCATGTTCGAGGCACTTTTTGAGCAACGGCGTCGGCAATCGTGCAGGCAACGGATCCCCGGTCTTCAAACTCTGGGCGACGATGCTCAGAACGACCATAACATCCGCAATGGATCGGTGGTCAAGGATGCCAGACGCGACGGCAAATCGATGTCGTAGTTCGGGAGAAAGCGTGGCGGCTCGGATGTGCAAATGAGCAAGCTGGTAGTTGATAAATTCGGCAATCGACTTGATGTGACCACAAGTCTTCGAGTCGAAGACACTCGAAGACAGCTCAAACTTCAGACTTCCGATGGGGCCGCTCAAAGCACTGAGTTCTCCTGCAAGTTGGACGGTCACCGCCTCGACTGCGGCAGTATGTTTGTCGTGACTTTCAAGATCAGACCATGACGAAAGCAATGCAGCGTAGTGATCGGCCTCGCGGTTCAACACTCCAGAGAGCTTGCGAGCGATGTTTCGCGATAGTGACGAAGGCCAAGGAAGCAGCGTGACGATGAAGCTGATAGCGAACCCGACCAGTACTAGAACCGTGCGACGCCAGAAGACCTCGTAGCCCCATCCAGGATTGCCATAGGTAGGAAGGTGGGTGTCAATGTAGCCGTAACCGATGACTAGGATGGTCGTTGAACCACCAATCATGACTGCCTGTAAGAGCTGAGGTGGAGTGTACAGACGGAACCACATGAGAATGACAGCGTAGACAGCGAGAACAGCTGCGAGACCGTAAGGATTGCCAGGACCATTACCACTCCCGATATACCTGAGCTGTTAGCGATTTTTATATCAAGCAGTTTAACGAGGATCTTACCATCCGACCATGCCAAGTACACCCCCAACAATGCTGCCAAAGATCCTAGTCGTGAACGCGAAATTGAACTCGGCAGAGAAAGTTGCCGTACCCGTTTGCGCCATGATGAGTGCCCACAAACCTTNTTCGCGGTAGTAAAAGCCAGCAGATGTGGTGCAAACTGCGGGTATAGCTGCTGCAAGAGTGGCGACGAGTACGCGAAGGGCAAAGACACCCTCATCATCGCTTAACCAGTGTCCAAAACCAAGAATAATCGCAGAAACCTTGTTGCGCTTTCTGGTCGGTCTGTGAACCCTTTTGAAGCTCTGCTGAACTTCCTCGATCGTGGCCTTGTCTGCTTGAGGAACGTCATCGACAGTGGGTGCTCCAATAGCTGGTGCACGAGAGCCGCCGAATGCCCAAGCACCGAATTTTCGCAGGCCTGTCGGAAACCATAGTCGCACTCTGGTACGCTCCTNTTCCAAGAGGGTGACCTGCTCTAGAGCTCGATCGAGAGCTGCAGCCAGTATCAAGAGACGATCCTCAAAGTTGAATCCGAAGAACATGCCAGTCAATTTGTGTCGTTCCGAGGTCTGACCATGGAACTTGCCATTCTCATCGAATAGATGTTGATGAGAGGCGAAGAGCGCTTCGTTCGCGACATCAGGAAATCTTGATCTTTCCTCACGCAGATATTGGAGCGCATCAACATGCGACTGTCTCATTTGAGCAAACTGCTCGGCAGACATCCTGCCAAACCATCTCCTGCTGTTGTTCTCGTGAATGCTGTGAGTTATGGCTTGGAAAGCGTTTCTGCAAGCCTCAAGCAGCGGATTGCTAGCTTGTGACAACGCTTGGTACGAGTTGGAAACAGATTGGCCAACTTCTGGCTCGCGGAGGGAGTCAATGAGATTGAGACTTTGCATGACCTGATGCTTCCCGTACATGTGCTTCTTTTCTTTGTCTTCTGCCTCGGCCAGCTCCTGTGTCCTGACGTCGTTTGATTGAAGTTGCTTCATTCTCTCCCGAGAACGGCCTTGGAGAATTTCGAAGGCAAGAAGACTCATTGAGCCGATCATGACACGACGAATCGGCTCTCTCAACGAAGCGATATCTTGAGCACTCCAGTAACCAAAGGAGAGGTCAANAGAGAGGAAGCCGAACGCCGGTTCGAGAGCAGCCCAGCCTCCGAGAACGCCGGCTCTCAAGCCCTGTATTGGCTCCATGTGCGATGTATCGGGATAGTTCTCGAGGAAGCCTCTAGTGAGATCGAGACAGCTAGTCATGGATGTGACAAGCTTGTGCATGTTGTACAGCGTCATGTGTGAAGTTGACTCCGGGAAAATGAGTATAGAGCAAGCAAGACTGATAGCAATACCAGCGGCAGCCGGCTTGATCAGAACTTGGGGTATAGTGCCTTGGAAAGAAGGGAGCAGCGGCCCGATGGTGAGAAAGACGTCAGTGATGATCCAGGCAAAAATGGCGGTCAAGGTAAGCTTAGGCACTCTGATGCGAAGCCTGGCCATGAGATAGACAAACAAGCCCAGCATGCAGAAAAAGGTGACGGTAATGCGCGTGTCCAGCATGAAACCATTGTAGACCAAGACGCTCGCAGGTGAGTAGGTGGTCGCACCTGTGTTCCTTGCCGCTTGTATCCCCAGGGCTTGGAGCCTAGCCAGAGTCTCTGCCTGTGGTCTTGTCGCCTGTGCGGCTTTCATCGCTATGACACCCCATGACCAAGCCAGGGCCATACCCAAGATCATCGTGAAACCGCCGAGGAGAAAGACGAGTACGACACCGGATGGTGGCAGGAACATGATGGTGATACAGCCGAAGAATGTGGCATTGCCGAACGTCTTGAGTGTGGGCTCGATGACAATGAGCAGTGAAGCGACCCAGAATGCGACCGAACAGCGGAAGAGTATTTTGAGGTCGCGCGCATTGAAGTGGTCGAAGAATGGTGGGAGCTTCTTCTTTCGAGTCGTTGTTTTCGCTGTCGGATGTGTATTGGTCTTGTGCAAGGACGACGAGTTGCCGTTGTGCGACTCTTTCTCGGTAGGCGAGCCACTGGGCTCACGTTCGGACAACATGGTCGTGTATAGCAATGTCCAGGTCTTGCGATGGTGTCTGGGTGTTCGGGCAGAGAGTGACAGGTAGAGTCGCCGTCGCAATCCGGGCGCTCGTTGTGGTTGTCGTCGCTGTCGTTAGTCGTCAAGTGTTCAGTAGCCGCTCAGCTTCAGGTTGTCGTCCGCAAAGTAGCTATGGAGCTGCAAAACAGCTTTCCACCTACCTGGTAGTTGCTTGTCAAGAGAAAAATAGCGAAGGATCAAATATGATGGCCTCGTACCAGCAGCGATCCCAATTGGAGCTGGAACCTACTTGGCTGTTTATCATCCCAACTGCCAATCTTCGCTCAGGCGGTACCAAGCCAATCCGAGAAGTCTATTTGTGCAGTGTACTCATTCCTTCGAGCACTGAGTAAGCAAATTGCTGCCCTACATCTCGGTGGTTGCATTGATACGCATCAACGGAGCTTGGTTCAGATTGGGTCCATTGACGGAACGCATAGGTAGGAATTGTAGAAGCAAAATGTGTGGTTGTGCAATGAAATCGGCTTCGTGGCCTGCCGGAATCGGTTCGACTTTGCACAAATTTTCATAATAGTCTCCTGGATGCACAGTGAGCCGGTTGCCGGCCCGTCACAGTACCTCCAAACATCAAACGGTCCATCATAATCATCACCCTCCCCATGTTCAAAAGTATGTAACGCGTGTAGCTGTAGAAATGCATGATACTACCAGAAACCAGACAATTTCCACCGAGAAGCAACGAGATATGGACTCTCTATGGACAGCATCTGTGTCCGAATGGAATTGTGTCTTTTCGTAGCGTGTACCTTACTCTGTGCTGTGCTCGGAGTATGATGGAAGCTACATAGTTTTGAACACGGGGAAGACAGTCCATGATCATGCTAAATGCATGTCTCCATGCGGAAAATGAGAGACAACAGTCAACGAAGTCCAAGAGAAATTCATATCAGAAGCGACCCTAAGGATGCGTGGAGTACATGATGAGGATCTTGTCACGCCACAAGAGACAACCCAGACCAGAGACTGTGCGGTCAAAGCCATGTCGCAGTCCTCCTGGAATCCGTGCGACAGCTTTTCAACCCGGTCCCGAAGTAGCTAGGACCGCGTCTGAGATATTCACCGTCGTATGGCTTGCCTTTGAGCTCGCCATGAGCCCAGATTACCTTGCCCCTGAGAATAGTGTAGCGTGGCCAGTTGACAAATTTTTTCCCTTCATACGGGGTATCTGATTTCGTTAATCTTATTGCCACAAGGCGAAAAAAGAACTTACAATCTACGTTGTGATGGAGCATTGTGTTGGTAAGCGAGAACGGCTCGAACTGCTTGTCAGGATGCCACTACAAGTACCCATGTCAGCCTGAGATCCTGTCCACACCTCTGCTTCAACATACGATCACGATATCGGCATCTGGTCCAGGCTACATGTTTTGGGTCAGTATGGTATTTCAACACTAGACCCAGACTCCGATGCTACTTTACCATCAGTGCTCCTTTCTTTGGATAGAGCCCGTACTGCAATTGCTGGATTAGCTCCTTTCCTTACCAACCAGACTTTGTGCTGCACTCACCAGCTTCGCGGGATTCGTGGACGAAATTTCGACAAATTTCTGGGGAGTTATTCTTCCAGTTGCTAGCCCACCTGTGTATAACAAAGGCAGTCTTGTTTCGACTCCAGGAATACCATTTGGGATGAATCGGAAAGCACCAGACTTGCGAGAAACCAAGTTCTGTAGCGCTTCACCTTCACATGCCTGTTCGCCTTCCATACTGACGTGGTCTTCAAGCACTCCGCTTGGCTTACCATGCGGATGATCATAACGGAATGGACAGTGATCAGATGAAAAGATTGTGAATGTGCCGTTCTGCAGACCACTTCGCCTGTCAACTGGGTTCTCTAATCCATGGAAAGCTCTTGAGTGTATTGAAACTTACATGTATAGCTCATCGTGATCAGAGGTTCCAGGAGGGGGCGACGGCGAGCAGACGTGCTTGCTATTCTCGAAACAGGTCGGCGAGTGGGATTTTTGCTGCGAGATGTCAGCAGTCGTCCCGATACGGTTGATGTGTTCTGCTAACAAGATCATCGTAGGTCAGATTTAGATACTGTGGGCAGGTTTCGGCATAGACAGGCATTCCCTGGGTCTGCGCGTGGCGTACATTGCTTGCGGCAAGCTATCTTGGTAAGCAAGGATCCTAGAGTTTCTCAAGGAGTCACTTACAGGAGGGCCGATATGGACAAATAGTATGGGGTTCTTGATCAAACCTGCCAAAGCGATTGCCCGATTCGTGGCTTCCATCTCGACTACAGGAGGCCGCGATAAGGCATGGTAATGAGGAGCGACCATTCCTTTTGTTTCAAGCTTCTCGGTCAGCCATTGGATCATGTCACCGTTTTCTGCGTGAATCATCTGCAAGAATCAGCTTGTAACTGATACACATGTCAATGACTGAGTGGTACCGTTGTGATTTCGTTCTTTTGAGACGCCAGCATCACATCCAGGAGCTGTGAATCCGTCAATCGCTGCGATTCGTAAGTCATGAAAAGCTTGCAAGATGTAATGCCCCAGTCGCGTGCAAGTATGGGAAGCTCATGCTCTAGGATATCAGCCAGTACAGTTTAACCGTTCGAAAACACCTTTAGTCCAATCGGGCTTGTGCTGCGGCTGAAAAATTGGGTCTGTGCAGTTCATCCGGTTCGACTTGCGCACAGGCTAGATGGTTCTCTGTCGAGTCGCTGTCGCTCGATAAGAAGGCATTCCACCCTAAACATGGAAGTAGTCGTGAATACTAAAGTTGGGCTTGCGTAGTACAAATAAACTATGGATTAGCAATGTATTCCGACGAATCCTCCTAATAAGTTACGACTCATTTATGCATTAACTCCATATACATATTTTATGCGACAACCGACATATAAGCATGTCTAGCTACGCAAAATGGGCTCTAATACGTAATAGGACCTATTATTACTTATCCCTTTTAAATGCCTCTCGCCTCTACTAATAGTCTGCTTATAGCTAAGAAAGCGATAGTAGGTTAAGTTTAGGACTCTTCTTCTATATCTTAACCCTTAAGAAAAGCCACTTTTAGTATTAAAATTTTACATAAGCTAATTAGAGTATTAACTAGTCTAACAACTAGTCTAGACCCTATAGGAAAACCTCTAATAAACTAAGACTAAATCTAAATCTACTTAGAGAGAGTTAATAGAGCTACTTATTAGATAGTTATCTTAGTATTATCTTATAGCTACTATTTTATCTAATATATAGAAAGTAGCCTTTATAATTATACTTAAGATTATTACTATAATCTATATAACTTACTATTATAATCTACTAGAGTATAAAACTATAGCTCTAGTACTATAATTTATAATGTCTACTATTCTTCTAATCTTTTAACTTATATTTAAATTATAAATTTCTATAGAGTAATAACCTAAGATTTTCTCCTTAGTATTAGTACTAGTTATATCCTTATAAGCTAATATATTTAAAGGAATCTAGACTAATTAGTCTTTAAGCTTAACTTTCTATAATACACTTATTTTTAAAATAATATAGAGAGGCTTTTTATTACCTTTTTAGCTATATATATTAGACTTACTAGCTTAGTATTCTAGGGTTATTATATACTTTATTACCTATTAGATTAGAGCAAAACAAAGAAAATATAATAAAGAGGCCCCTATCCTATAATAGTAAGTAATTCTTTAAAATACTAGTACCTTTATAGGTAGTAGCTAGAAGCTTATTTAAACTACTTTAACCTAGGGAAAATAATACCTACTAGTTCTAAATAGGTATAGAAACTTATAGTTATAGTATTTATCTATAGTCTAATCTTTATTATAGCTAGGCTACTTCTATCTTAAATTACTAAATCTAGAAAGTAGAATATCTTAATTATAAATAGAAACTATAGTATATAGAGATTCCCTAGCTTAGCTATTACTCTAAATAAGGGTTATTAAATTAAAGTCCTTAATAATAATAATACTACTATAGCTTATACTAGAAACTACTATAAGGATAAAAATAGCCTACTAGGCTATAGGTTATATATTAAAGATAATCTAACCTAGACGATTAATATAAATAAGATATACTCTTTTATAGCTAGTATATATATTAGTAGGAATATAGCTATATATAGTATAGATATAAATACTCTTAATTCTTTAAAAGACTTTAGACTTAATATAAAGAAAAGCTTAAAGTATTATCTTAAATAGATAGGTATACTATTATATATAAAAGGCTTTAAATATATAGAAACCTTTAAGACTCTATATGCTAGTAACTTGAAAGTTAATAATGTCTACTTTCGTTCTAATATTAAAGGTAGGTTTAACTTTACTAACTAGTATATTATTAAATCTATTTATATATAACTTAGATATAGAGTCTTATAGGTAATATACTTAATCTTATCTAACTTTATTATTAATAATTTTCTAGAGCTAATATAGCTAATCCTAGGTAATTTAACTTATAGAAACCTATTACTAAGCTAAATTAAACTAATATAGATATTTCTATTACTTTTATTAACTAGAACTTAATTAAATATAACAAACTAGTTAATAATATTATATTCTCTATATATATACTAAGAGCTATCTTATTAGGTAGTACTTTAATATCCTATTATACTAGTAATAGTATCTATAGTATAGTTATCCTACTAGGCTTCTTTATTAATACTTATATAGACTAGTGCTAGGGCTATAAGAGCTATTCTAAATAAGCTTAGAAGTTAGATAATTTTCTCTAATTATACTATTCAGTATAAAGAGGTACTAAATATAGTTACTAGAAAAATTTATAAGAGGCTATACTAAGATTATAGAAGAATAAGTTACTACTTCTAGGCTTATATATAGTTAATAAGAATAGGTATACTATTATTAAAAGCTAGGCATTAAATCTAAGAGCATATATTAAGAAAAGTAACTATATACTAGATACTAAAAAGGTACTAGAGTATGTTTTATAAAGCTCTTATTAAAGGTATAGAGTTTAATAGGTATAATAAACCTTTAATGTTTATAATTATTTAAATATCTACTAATTATTTAGAAAGGGTTATTAAGCCTAGCTACGTATTTATTATATAGCGATATATTTAATATAGTATATAAAAATAATCTACCTAGTAGATATAGTTTAAGTAAGAGAATTAAGCTATATTCTACTAACTATTATATATCTAATATCTTCTCTAGCTTTCTTATAATCGCCTCTAGCTCTAGTCTAGTAAGTAGCTAATAGCCTAGCTAGATTCGTTAAATTTATAGTTAAAGTTACTAGGACTATTATATTTCTTAGCTCTCTTAAGTATAGGTAGATAGTGTTTAAAACATATAAAGACTATATCCTCGCTATAATATATAGAAAAGTAGTTAGATAGGTAAGGTACTACTTAGAATACTAAGTACCTCTATCCTAGAAGGTAAGCTAGTAGTACTATACCTTACTTAAGGTATCTATAATAGGGCCTATAAAACTGGTTATCTATCTTATATAGTAATATATATATATATTAAAGTTGATACTAACCCTAATTTTAAGGTTCTCTTTATTAGAAAAGGTTAAATAGAGTAGCTACTTAAGAATAGATCTCTTTAATAAAGTTCTAAGATCTATCTTACTCTACTTTATTATAACTATATTAGGTAATATAAATATTAGCTTTAGACTATAGAGTAATAAACCATAGGCTAAGTAGCTCTATAGTGTATATTTAGAAGTAGTAGTAAGTCTAAATCTACTAGTAGCTTTCTTTAAATGCCCTTAGAAGGTTATATTATAAAGTAATAATAGTAATATTTAATTTTTAATAAGTAAAGGTTAAGTAGACATATTATTTTATTATCTTATATAGAGTTATAGCATAAGTTACACTTAAATTAAAGAAGTATATATCTTTAAATAACCTAGATAAGAAGATTAGTATAAGGAACATATTAGGACGATTACTATTTATAGACTTCTTACTATAATAAAACATATAGAGGTATATATTAGCCTACTAGCTCTATATATTCTAGAAAGCTTAAACTCGACTATAATCTTATCTATATTTAGTAGATAAAGATAAGATTATAGTAGTAGACTAGCTATATAGAGATTAATAGCCCTTTTACTATATTTAGTTATAATAGCTCTATAGTGTATGCTCCTAAATTAAATTAAAGCACTAGAAAGACTATCCTTAATATACTCCTTATTAAACTACTAATAATAACGTATAGTAGATAAGATATTTATTTCCTATATAATAATGTTATCTTACTCTAAATCCTACTATTTACTAGGACTTCGTCTTTATTATTTCTCTAATCTTTTAAACACGCATTCTACGCGCTCCTAGATTCTAGGAAAGAGTACTAGCTAATAGATATAACCTATGTCTTTACCTTAAGTAATAGTAATATTAAAACCTAGATACTCTTAACCTAATCTAATAATAAGTCTAAAGTAATACTTATCCTATCTTAGGCGTAATAGCGCGTAAAACTTGTCCTTTATAAGCTTTAAACTAAATGCGGTATAACTAAACTCTAGGTCCTAGTAAAGCCTACTCTAGTTTAAAAAAGTAATATAGATTATAAAGACTACTAATATACTAAGGCAATTTTCTCTTTATAGATAGCTAGGAAGAAAGAAAAGTAAAAACATAGATAATTATATAGATAATATAAACATATACAAATATAGGTAATAGTTAAATAATTACTTCTAAGCTAGTTCCTATAATTCTATATAAACCGGTTATAATAAGTAAAAGGACCTAATTAACCGTATTTAGTATACTAAAAACTAAGACTTTTTAATAGCTCTTAGACTATGCTTAAGGTAGGACTAAGAGGGGTAAGACTATTATATAGTCTAGTACTAAGGTTTCTAAGGTAGAAGAAGCTTTATTAAATATATTAATAAAAGGCTAGATCTAGTAATAGTATTTATCTAAGTTTATAATTAAGTTTCTAATATAATTTATTAGAAGTATTAGTAAAAATCTTAATAAGATAAGTATAAGCATATCTTACTTTATAGCTACTTTATTATAAATAAAGTAGTTAGTAAATAGGATAGATTGCTCTCTAGTAACTACTAATTAAGTAGCATTATAAGTAGTAATAAGATCGTTAGACTATATAACCTATGTTTTTATATTTAGAATTATACTATTAAACATCTAGATCCGGGTTAATATATAGCTAAGAACTACGACAAATACAGTAAGTATAAGTAGCTAGTATATAACCCTAATAGTACTAACTAGGAAGGGACCTTACTAATAAGGATAATGTTTATACTTTAGACATTTCTTATAGCAATTTACTAGAGGCGCTATATTAGACTTCGTAGAATTAGGCTTTACGTCTAAGGAACATTATAGCCTAGTAAGATAGTAGTAATACGATTCTAATAAGCCTTAAGAGTTAAAGTACGAGTTTAATAAGTGTAAGTAGATCGAAGTGTCATCTAGCTCGATTATACTAATGCTATATATAATGGATGGTTTAGAGCTTTCTAAGCTAATAATCTTCTAGTAGCCTAATCTATAAGTTGTTTTAGATTTGTCCATTATACGGTGCTACTTTAAACTGTTTAAAGAGTGTTCTAGATTGACTTTTTTCTCGAACATGGCGAATAAGACAATAATATCGGCCAATGACGTAGGATCCTAATTTCGCTTTAGCCTAGTACTACGTCTCGCATAAGTGAGAGCGATATAAGCCGTAGTTAATGCCAGCTCCAGGTAAGTAAATCCAAGGAAAACGGCAGGAATCAATCGGATGGAGATAAGCCATGTGCCCTCACCCTTGTCTTGTACAGACATTAAGGTTGCCTTGGAGGCTATCGTAAGCGAGGTGATGATTTTGCCGAGGATCAAGAATCGGGTCAACGTGTCGTGCACACGCAGAACCGGAAAATAACGAGCACAGATCGTTGAGCTGAATTGGCGTTTCTGCTGCGCTCGCGGCGAGATCTGATCAGCCATGTGTATGAACGGAAGCATTCGACGAAGCGTTTGTGTTGTACTGAGATAGAGCGTGGTCGTCAAGACTCCGACAACCGCGGGCAAATAGCGCGCCGCCAGATAGTAGTTGACGTTTCGAATCGTCCATGACAACTGGTGGTATGACCGATATAGTAGGTATGCGAGGCCGGCCAGTGTGACGATGTAAAAGATGAAGATCCCCCAGAGCACTTTCGCAGTCAACATTGCGGGTCGAAAATCGAGCGGTTCATAGCCTATAGGCGGTTCTGTCGGGATGAGTGTCACTGCAGATGTTAGGTGACCGAACCCCGATCCATAATATTCTACGTACAAGTTTGAATATCGTTCGAATGTGCGCATCGCACATCACCAGCCTCTGGTCTGTCCTCATGATTTTCTGCGTTGAAGCTATGGTTCGGAGATGTTGAACCATTGGAAGCACTCGTCGAGTGTATTCCGATAAGTGCTTCTTCCTCTGAGGATGGAGATGGAGAGCCGGTTCTACTATGTAGGAACGAACGATGAGCGGGTTAGGTCGAAGAACGGGCAATCGGTGGGATCAAAGTGGGTCCAGGATCTCACTCATGGGGATGATCACAGAACAACTTACTGAGTGAAAGGAGATTTCGCGTGTCGAGTGTGCACACGGCTCAGGCATGGCATATCTTTCGGCTCTTGCTTGTATGTCAGTTCCCGCGCTACGATCCTCATATGATACTGGCCCTGGACGTCTTGCGATCATGAAGACGCTCATGGCGGACTGGACGTGCTTCAAGCTGCGGGCGTGTCAGACTGTGCTTTCCTGGAAAACCCTGATGAAGGCGTGTTTAGTGCGAAGTTGGTGTGGTGATCAGGTGGTCGTTGTTGTGAAGCAAACCTAGAACCTACCAAATCGAGCCACTGGCCCTGAACATATTTATGCGTTGCCGGCTGAGCCGATCGGGAGAACGAGAATCCCTGAGCACCAGCCCATATTTGCTAGACAGCATGCACTTCCCGTGGATGCCCCACCTGGTCTCCGATTGAAACCTTCACGGATCGCCAACTTGGCAGGTACAGGACTCCATACCTCGCATCTTGTGGGAATGCTGGTAACTACCTGTTTGTCTGACTGTTTTTGCCTAATTCCACGCATAACCTGCACGTCATTCGTATTGCGTGAAACATTTTCAGTAGTTACAATCGTATTCAAGCCCAGGGTAGAATGCCTTTCCATCGAGTGACAGCGACTCGACAGAGACCATCTAGCTATGCGCAAGTCGAACCGGGTAAAGGTTTATAATTAGACATATAAGTAAGGATGTCTATCTAGTATACTTAAGAATTAAAAGAGAAGCTAGAGAAATTATAAGAAAACATACTAATAAGTAGATTAACATATTCCTTAAAGAAGCTAAACTTATAGATCTAAGGTATTACCCTATAAAGATTAACTTTATCCTAGTTTTTATAGTAGATAAATGTAATAAAAGAAGAATAAGCAAATATGCTATAGAAGTATATATAAGAGAAAATAATATTAAAGTTAGAAAAACAAACTAGTTAGATAAGCTAAAACTAAGGGTAAGCTATGCTTCTATAGTAGCTAAGCTAGCTATAAAAGAATAAGTAAAAGGCATCTTATACTCTAGAGAGATAGAATAGAGATAAGCCTATTTAAGTATATAGTTAAGATATTAGTCTTCTTTAAGAAAAATAGGCCTAGGGCATGCTACTAGTATTAATAATTTAGATATATTAAGAGAGACTATAAGAGTCTCTCTAGATATATAAGATACATAATAAGCCTAGACTTAATATTATTAGGTATAGGGATAATAGTACTTCTTTTCTAACTAAATACTATAGGATAAATAGTAGAAGCTAACATATATAGAGGTAGCTAGATAATAGAAGTAGTTAGTAGCCTAATTATAGAGGACAAGGTCGCATCGCGTTTTTTATTAGAAGAGGGTTTATCTTTAGGCTTTAAAAACTACTTGTTAATTAGATCTCATCACAGACCCATTGGCCTGGTAAAAACATATTGGGCGTGTCGGAAAATCTCAATCATTGCACCCAGAAGAAACAGTCCCTACCACAAGCGCGATATCCCGCTCCACTACATAACTTTCATCACAGAGAACCAAAAACCGCTGGCACATTTCAATTCCTTCAATCCCATCGCGAAATATGTCATCGCTTCTGCAACCTGCGTGATGTTTTGTCGCATCGGTTTCGGCCGATCCACCGACTGCCCGCGAGGATTACATAGTGACTTTGCTCTCGAATGCCCGGCATGTACGAAGGCCGCATACAAATGCGACTTATGGTTTGTCCGACCTCATTCAACCGTCCAATTGATCCATCTGACCAGAGCGCTCGTCAGAAAAGACTCGACTCGACCAACCCGAGATCTCTCGCTCGATTCACTGCCCGCACCCACTCGACGTACCCGATCTCGCAAACGCAACACCCGCTTCCGGTAGACCTCAACTCCGGCGTCGACGTGCCCGACACGCACCCATCTGTCTCCCCTAACCACCTCGGCATACCGGCATACCTCAAGTCATGTCGTAAATGGTGCTCTGCCGCAGCTCGCCATCTGACACCCTCGTAGCAGCGACGCAGCAACGGCTCGGGTTGCCAAACCACTTGCTCAATGCTCAAGTCACCGTCACAGCGCCTTCTCCCCGACTAGAAAGAGCCCTGAGGCCAACACATCCTGCTCCCGCCATGTCATTGCCCGCCATTGCTACCAGTGTTGCTGTCTCCTCTGGCCACACACCCACTTGACGACTCGAGCTTGCTGACCTCGCTCTGGGAGACTCGCCACCGATGTCCTTCGGCTCGTCTTCTAGCCACCGGATAATATCTCCGTACTTAGTTCCCTAGTTTGTGCTTCGATGGAAAAATTTAATATTAAATTGGAATAAAGCTATCTTAAGTAAACGTCTAAATAGCATAGGGTTAAAGTATAAATATCCCTATAATAATATGCTTACTATAATAGACATCATAGTCTAGCCTTAGAAGTAAATAGGAAAAGTTAGATTGAAAAAGGTTACTAATGTTATAGAAAAGCTTAAGGATAGAGTCGATTTATCTGTAGAGCCGAATCATTTAGGATATAGAGGTAAGAATAAGAAGGATGCAAGAATTTTCCCCTTGATTGTACTAAGTAGCTATGCCCTATAGTATATCCCGAAAAATCGTAAACACGCAGTCGTAAAAGTAAAGTAAGAGTATATCAGCAGTGATCGGTAACAGGCATACTAAGCGCTGTCCAAGTGTCACGGCAACATTCATCCACTCCTCTTACAGTCGTAAAGCCCAGATTCTTCTGGGCACTTTCGGTTGCAGCAATACAAAACCCAACATCTCCCTTCCGTCTCGGAGCTCGTACGGCATGAACCTTGATGTTTGAAGCCTTCTCGAAGCTTTTCAAAACTTCTGCGACTGACATGCCGTTGCCTGTACNCAGATTGTAGGTTTCGAAAGAACTGGTCCTCGAAGAATTTGATTTAATGGCCGCAAGAGCGGCCACGTGACCCTNGGCGAGATCCACCACGTGTATAAAGTCTCGCACTGCTGTACCGTCTCGCGTGTCCCAGTCAGAGCCGAAGATCTCTAAATTGGGTTTCGATCCCTTGATCACAGAAGCGATGACAGGAANGAGATTCGTGGGCTTTTGTCGAGGATCCTCGCGTAAAAGACCAGATGGGTGACAACCGACAGGATTGAAGTATCGCAGAGCGGTGATGCGCATGGTAGGATCTGCGCGAGCCATGTCGGCCAATATGGCTTCGGAGAAGTACTTTGTCCGTCCATAAGGGGAAGTCAGACCCAGAGTCCCGTTTGGGCGAACTGTCTGATTACCTTCGGCGTCGATCGTGACCTCGTCAAAATGTATCAAGTCTCGCTCTTGGAGCGGTTTGCCCTCGTTGGCCTTAGATCCATAAACGGTTGCAGAGGATGAGAAGACAAAGTTCTTGATGCCAGTTTGTTGAACGGTGAGGAGAAGGTTGACGAGACCGCCAACGTTGTTCTTGTAATAGGCCAAAGGGTTCTCGATAGACTCGGAGACTGACTTGAAGGCGGCGAAATGAATGACACCTGAGATGATGGAGCGGCGAGCATTATAAGTCGCAAAGAGGCGGTGCATCGCCGGGCTATTGTAATCCAGCTTGTGAAAGCGAAGGGTTGGCAAGACAATGCCATTATTCCGGCAATGGTCAGCCGCCAGCAGACGTATCCTGTCAAGCACGTTCTCGAAGCAATTGCTCAGATCGTCGACAACAATAACGTTGTAACCTTCTTTGAGAAGCTCTAGAGTGGTATGGGAGCCGATATAGCCAAGGCCGCCAATGACCATGACATATACCTTGCCGTCATCTTGGAGATAGTAATCGACTGGTCCGAATGTGTCAACGGTCGGGGACGACGTCGGGGAGGAGTAACCAGTGTCGGGGCTGGACGCAGCACAAAACTCAGCCAACGACGAAAGCGAAGAATGAGAAGAGCTCGACAGGCGACTCATTTTGGAAGATGTTGCAATGTCTTGCAAAGTAGATGGCAAGTCTGTTAGGTGATTCCGAAGTAGTGTGACGTGTTATAGTTATGGAGTTCACGGTATCGGTATATATATACAAGGGACATAGGTCAGTCTGCGATCATTAGCTCACTCCGAACAGGCGCTTCGAGACAGTGTGTTTTTTTTTTTCTCTGATTGACTGCTGCTGCCGTTGAGGACGCCAGCTTGACCAAAAATTCCAAAAAAAAAAGGTCCAGACGTCTACGTACGCTGCACCCTTGGTTCCAGCTAGGCTTTCAATTCTCCGAATGTCCCAAAGTGGAGTGAGGAGGATGGTTCTGTTTCTCGCCCACCCCATGTAGCATTTGTCGGGTCGAGATCGAAAAGCTTATGCAGGTACATTACTTTGACGAATCCCGTCAGCACAGCTGGTCTGGATCCATACCGAATGATAGCTCAGATGGCACAACGCTAGCAGAGTCCAGAGTCTTGGGTTCTTCTTGCTTCGATGGTAGGATTCTAGTCGCCGCCTTTGGCACGAGGGACTGCCGACGAAGAAGGCTTAGTCCAGATTGTTAGGGACTGCTTCTTCGTAGAACTAGTGCGCTGAGGTTTGCATACCGAAATCGCTTGTGTCAGACATGGGCAAACAGGGATAGCGAGAATGGGCACCAGGTTCGTTGAACATTGCTTAGCCTGCGATCAGTCTCAAAATCGCCAAAGTCATTTGTCAATGAGGGCAGATCCATACAGTACGGGGTCCAACAGATCTGATGCCATAATGACAAGGCCGCAATCGAGAGAAGATGCGAATAGGATAGGTCCCATAGTGCTTTAGCTTTTACGAGGTGAATCGACGTCGACGGCAAGCGAAGTGCAAAGCTTGTGCCGAAGAACTAACGAATTAGGCGCCCAGGCGGACCAGGGCGCTCTGGTCAGCAACAATTTCCAAGGCACGCCGCAAAGCATTGACGCTGACACAAGACACGGCACGGTTCCCGCAGATTGGTACTGGGGAAACGTTCGTGCCTGAACTTGACCGATGGACAAGCGTTCAGCTTTGTCAAGTGAACCTTAACAGCGATAAGCCTTTGAAGATAACCATCATCGACGTCGCTCTCCAGCAGCCTCAGTTGTAATCGTGCATGCTTGCTGTGCACGCACTTGCGGCCTCTTCAGCCAAGTTTTCAGCTTGCATAGCTGCGCGTGACCGCGTTCTTCGCTCATGGGCGACATAATTACGACACATTCGACAGGTCCAATATCCTCGGCTCACTTTCTGGCGTTTGGAACATGTTGATCTGGACTGATCCATCATTGAGCTACGGACTCGCGAGTAGACTCAAGCCAATGCGGTGAGGTTCGCGGCCGAGACTGTGCCTTGGAGCCACAACTCTGCACCAACGTTTAGAGAACCGCAGATAAGAAGTGATATCGACATGGTACACAAATATTGGAATCGCCAAGGACTTGGCAGCAGGGTACAGCAGTATTGCAGGTACAGGAACGTTGGCAACCTAACAGAACCAAGAGTACGCATGCAGGTGCAATCTGCAGGTTGTAATCTGCAGGCGCCGGATTCGATGCATGCATGGTGCTACGGTGTGTGTGACTTGAGCTCAGTACCTGCACTGCAACCCTAAAACCCAGCTTGAACCAAAGCTGCAGCTGTGATCCATCTGAAAGAGTCTCACATCACGATTTCACATACTAAAGGTCCCGCACGCTTTCTGATTCCCAGAAGAATGCAGAACTATCAAGTCATGCGAGAGAAGTCAGGGTCGACGAGGAGACGATGGACTTATGCTGCGTTTACAATCGCCGCCATGATCGTCATCATTGTTGTCGTTGTCCCATGTGCTGTTCTCATACCCAGAAGCCGCAAGCCAGCCGCAGCAACGATCATGCTTCCTCTTTACATCTATCCGCAGAGCGACTCCACGTGGGAGTTCCTGTACGATGCGTGAGTAGCCCAATGGAGGTGCGAAATATCCCAGACCGAAACCTGATTTTGTCCAAGTATACAAGCTCAACCGAAGCTCGACCTTGTGGTCATCATCAATCCCAGCTCTGGCCCTGGCAATTCGACCTTGCCTGACGACCGATACGCCGAGCAGATTGCAAGACTTGACAACATCACCAGCGTCAAGACCGTAGGCTATGTCCGCACGAACTATACTAACCGGCCCATCGATGACGTTCTCGCCGACGTGAGTACCTACTCCGGTTGGTCAACAGCCAATACCAGCCTTGGTATGCATGGTATATTCCTGGACGAATCACCGCATCAGTACTCCAGCACGTCTGCCAGCTACATGCGGAATATCACCTCGACCATCAAAAGCGCGCGTGGCATTCAAGGCCAGAGAATGGTCATCCGCAATCCTGGTGTGGTTCCCGACGCTGCTTACAACGACACCAACACCGACGTCGTGGTTTTTTTCGAAGATAACTATTTGGACTATGCGAGTCACGTATCGAGTCTGCGAGCCCGATCGAAGGACCGCAGCAAGTACTCGATCATGGTCAACTCCGTACCGAGTATGACATCAGACGATCTACGAAGTTATGTGTCGGGATTGAGCAAATTGGCACAGTATCTATTCATCACAGACAACACTCAGGACTACTACGAGACCGTTGGAAGCGATTGGAGTAAATTCGCGAGTGTGGTCCCAACTTGAACTTTCAGTATTGGCAAGCAGGAATTCAAAGGACGAGCAGGCGCAAGCAATTTTTCGATTTTCTCGTTTAGTCAGATTTCATGCACCATCTATTCTAGAGCATATATGAATTCCTTCAAGCCACTGCCAAAACTCTCGTAGAAATTGTCTACCAGATCAGTAACAAATAAGTAGGCATATATACGACGCAGATCTTGGGTCAAACCTGCAATTTTATCTCGAGGAGTTGCCGATATCTGACAAGCAGACATGGCTTGCGTGTAGTTGAATTTGGCGTGGTGAGTTTTCACCTCTTCACATTGATAACGTTGGAATGGTTCTTCGCAGGTTACTATTACGTCGGCAGTGTGGGCCAGAGGAGCATCTGGTGGAGTGCCCGGATTGTGCATGATCTGCTTCGAATTAGTAGCTGGATCCAAGGCGATGATTGATAGACTGACTAAGCTCGGACCAGCGACACCGGCCAGACCAGATCTGATGCCGTGCTTGATAGCTTCGAGATATTCGACCTTGTCGGCTGAGTAATGGTTGGGTGTTTCGTCGACGAAGATTCCTCTGACCGCCAAACCTGGCTCCCTGCTCCAGGCTGCGTAAGTCTCGATCTCGGCAAAAACCTCGCTTAAAGGCTTCTTGCAGTAGTCGATGCGGACATAGCCGATTGCGGTGACATTGCTGAAGACATTGAGCTTCGGAATCTCACGACAGTAGTCGTGGCCGGGGAGGGAGAGGCGTCCGGGTGCGCTGTTCGGAAACTCGGCGTAAGGGCCACTGTTTGGATTAACAATGACCACAAATTCCACATTGGGGTGAGTGGCAATGCTATGGGCAGGGTTAGCAAACAATTGTATTGTTCAGACGTAGATTAGCGCCGTGATACATACACATCGTATAGAGGTCTCCAAGTGTCATCATCCAATGGATAAATATACAGCGGGATGAGTGCTTTGGGACGAACAGTGGAGGCACTCATACTGGACAAACGCGAACGTAAACAGATCGACTATAGCTGCTCAAAATTTTCGGTGATGCTCCCCGATCGCGACGACAAATTCTGATCGTGGGAAGCAATTGAGTCCGCATGTTGCATCCTGAGGTGGAGGTAACGTTAAGAGACTTACTAATCATGCAGTGTAGGGCAGCTCGGAAGAGCCGCGTGGATGGCATCTGCGGCCCGTTGCATCCCAATCCGGAAAATGGACATCAACATTTTGGGGGATATGTGAGATCACCCTTCTTCGTTGTGATCTCCCGATGCCCCACACGGCTCATCTTACGCTAGACGTGCCGCGCCCATGGTTCGTATGGAGAAAGCTTTCAAAGATCTTACAAAGCTTCGTAGTAGTGAGCCACAAAATCGTGGTTCTGTTTCTACCTTTCCCTGCTGTCCCTGTCGGCATGTCACTCCCGCTACTGTACATCATGGCTTGGCCGGACCCAACCCGAGTACCAAGTCAAGCATATCATGCCAAAGTCAAATTTGGTAGGCGTCGACCGATCGTGTTCTATCACTGCACTGCGCTAGGCTGAGGACGCGACGAGCACATACTGCGATACTGACGAAGGCCTCGACCGAGTGTATCTGCTTCCTGTTTTTGTTCTAGGTAAGGTCCGCGTTCAGCCCAGCTCCCTCGTGCTGAGTTTCGATACAGTACTGCGATCATAAGGATCTTCGGCCAGAGTAGTCCAGACCCGAGAATGGAATTGCCTAAGCCATGCCCTGCCGCCCTGTATGTCGGAATCGGTGTCGCATTATCGACTTGCGGCGGTCAGAACGTCATTTTGCCTAGGATCAGCTCCAGCAGCACATGGGCCATGCGGGTCTGCTGCTAGTCTGTCGTCATTGACAGAGACCTGCGTGAATCCTGCGCTGTATACCAATTACGGCTCTAGTCGTGGCTCAGCTGATAGACGATGAGGCCGCATTCCAACATAAGTTACTTGTATTTTCTCATTCTTATGAACCATGTATTGGCTTCTCCTCTACGAAACCCTTTGACCTACGGGATTGCTCGCAAACCTCTCGTCCAAAACCCGACTCATTTGGAAATCAAATCGCAATGAGCGAGCTCGCCCACCCTTCGTATCTAGGCCTGCAGGCCGTGGGCTGGAAGGTCATGACTGGAAACTGGTGGGAAAGGGTTCGTGGACTGATTCGCACCATTTATTTGCACTGACCGACGATTCCCTTAGACACTGGCAGGAATATTGCTTGTCACATTATGTATGGGCGTCATGTACATATTATATCTCCTGGCGATCAAACTGTTACAAGCGTTTCATGTAAGTTGACCGACGTTTCTTGTCACCTCTCTCGCAAACTCG